TAAACGACAGGGCCAATGGGGTGATGGGAAATATTGGGGGACGGGATGGTGGGCGATGCAACGCACACCTTTTGGGGGAAATAAAAAGATTAAAAATAATAAGGTACAGAAACGGGTAATCCCCGACAGAAGGCGTACAGAATACCACAAGTACAGCGAGGAAATACTTTGCCAGCGGCAACAACAGCAGCATCAGCAGCTACTGCAGACCAACGCCCGCACTAGATGCTGCTAGCGTGAGCCACGCCGGAGTGATCGTCGTGTGCAGTGGGCAGCATGGGTCGCGCCGCGCGTGGTGAGCGACGATGACGATGGCCGCCCAAATCTCTCGACGAAATGCCCACACACCCCGCTGTATTTGGCTGTCGCCGGCGCCTCGTTCAGTGGGCATTGCGAGGGTCCAACTGTTGTTGCTGCTAGTGCTAGCGTTACTAGTGGTGTTGCACGACTCGTTGCACACCGTCTGAGGCACTCCTTGCGACTCCTCTCCCCATAAAAGTTCCGGGAAGGATTTTTTGTAGGAAAAACTACGCTAATTACCAAACCAATATTGGCTTTTTTTTAAAAAAAAAAAATTGCAAAAAGGGAAGTTGATTCGGATTTCGGTTTTCTATGGCGTCATTTCGCGGAGCGCCATGTTCTCTCCCCGCGACTCGCGGATCCGTCGGGAAGCGATAGACACAAACTGGAAGTACAGTGGTTGTACAGTGGTTGTTCCCTGCGTGGGCGGCGGGTAGTGACGCTCTGGGTCAGCATGAGCGATGATTGACAACGGTGTGTGGGAGCGGCGCGAAGCATAATGCCCCAATAGGGGGTTTACTTCGACATTTCTTTTCAGCTGAGCGAGGTAGTCGAATGTTTTAATCTGCGCACCTGTGTGTGCAGTCTGTCTCGTCTATTTTTTTTCTTCATTGCACACCTGCTGGAGGTGACCACTCCGTTGTGTGTTGTTGATCACGTTAAAATCTATCCGTGTGCTGCTTGCTGCTTATTGCTGTTAGACTACAGCACCACCAAGGCAGACAGACAACCACCTACCAGCCAGCCCACAGCGGAGCGCACTGGGTCGGTACGGTGTCCGAGTGGGAGCCATCGGGCGTGGCGTGACCGTTAACGGGCGCTGAAGGAGGGGAGCAATGACCAGCGGGCGGTAAGATTGGCACTACCAGGGGACGGGGCAAGGAACAACATGTGGTTGACCTGTCTACAGTAGATGGACCAGATGCAGTGTCAGTCAGTCAGGCACAGGGCTATTGTCAGTTCAACAACAAGTCACATCTCCCGCCCCCCTCCATACAAATCACCTGCTATATGGTCTTTTTGTTATTTGTTATTTCCACAAAATGCCCAATTAACAGCTGCAAACAACAAGCCATGCAGAAATGCAAGCCTCGGGATCTGGGGCGACAGCCAACCAGACGCCCACCGCCCACCACACCTTAGCCCCCGGAAGCTGTGACCAAAGCAGGCGAGCGATAGCCGACGGTTGGCTGATGTTGTCCACTGGGGCGGTCGGTCACTCACCACCCCCTAAATTTGCGCCGTGGCGTGCCATAACAAGAGCCCCCAAAGGGGATAGTGGCATGGGGCGCTGGGTGTTGGGCGGGCGGCAGGCGATGTGGTGAGTGAGGCGGAATATGTGTCTATGCAGTTTGGCGTCCGTGGGCTTTTTGTTGGTGGTGCCGCGGGATGCACGCGCACTCCGAACCAACACGCAAGCAAGGTGACGATACGATGTAGAACCAACAGCTGTGTGATGGACGATTGGATGGCGGGTAAAGAGCGAGATGCACAACAAGATGAAGCCTAACAAAAAAATAAAATCAAAAAGTTGGGGGCAAAAACTATCCTGCCTGCATCGTCCACACACTACGGCTTTTGTTAGTCGGGCAGCCTGCCTGCGCGGTGGTGGTTGTGGTGGTGGTGCTGTAGTTCAGGGGAGACAGCCTTAAGGGTTCTGTACCTCACAGCCATCACTACCTAAACCTACGTTAGTACTGCAAACCAGTGTTGGTTGGTGGTCCCCTGCGAGCGACCTGGCCAATCTGCGCTGCTCGTCTGGTTGACCAATTAAGGTTTCGCTCGCCTTTAGCTCAGAGTGGTTGCAGCAACTACCAACAGCCCACACCCTACCTACAGCTTCTCGGTCAGCGCCGACCCTTTCTCCAGCATCGCGGCAAAGACAAGGTTTGGATTTACCGTTGTTAGGGGGGCGTCTTAAATTGTTAACCGCATTTTCACTTTTTTAGCTTTAATTTTTTTCCATTTTTTGGGGTCCGCCCCTCCTTCCTGCGAGGTGAAGACAAAAATGCCATGGGGGATGCCCTGTTCGGGGCAGACCCGGAACAGGTGGGGCCTGAGGTGTGCCTCGTCTGCAGCGGCCTGTGGTTGGCCGTCTAAGAGAGCAACTGAACCAAAAGGTTACAGCGAGTGTTTTAGCACCCTCGCGCCCTTAAACCTCGGACGTTCAGCGCATGCTCCCTATTCCCGGTAAACCCCACCGCCCCGAACCAGTCAGTCAGTCACTCACCGTCCCACACACACTCGCACTCGCACGCACACGCGCACACGCACACGCACTCGTACTGTAAACTGACTTGGCTCATCCCCCCAGGCGTCTTCTTCTGCTGGAACAACCACAACCACCCTGGGAAGCAGGGGACCACACACACCCTCAAACAACGCTCGCCCTACGACATCGTAGCTTTCCGTCCGTCATCCCGTTTCGTCTCGTCTCCCACAATCCAGAACCGCGTCCACCTTCCCGGGCCAACATCCTGCCGACATCCAAAGGTCCCTCACCACCACCACTACCCGATGGCTCGCCTCATATGCCAAAAATGGGGGCTGGCCGCAACGGCTCCTACAAAGAAACCTAATAACTCACAGAGTACTTTGTACAGACAGTGACACACTGAATGATGGACGGGGGGCTTGCAGGGCCATACGCGTCCCCTCCCCTCCCCTACGTACTGCTCCGTCTCCCCCGCTGCCACTAGCGAGTTTCAAGCACGTCACGCTTGAAAAAATACACGCCTGCTTGTTTGGAAATAGCCATTGGACCGCGCACCACTATGCGAATCCTCTGTGTTGCCCAGCTTCTACTAAAACCAAGGTGATTAGCTCTGTGACGAACTTAGCTCGCCCCTCTAGTGGGGGACGCTATCTGGTCAGCAATGTCTTTGTCGGCCGTCTCCGATGGAGCTGCTCCTTCGCAAGCCAACGGCGCCAGTAAAAAGTTAGCCGCTATCACGGCCTGGAGAGCGAGCACCTGGGGTCCAGGGCGATCTTCCCTACTCGCTACTCGCCATCAAAAGGAACGAAAACCTTAAATCCGGGCTGGCGATGTTGGGTGATTCAGCCGGGCCTTAATTTCCACCCGCCTTACTTTACAAAGCGTCTGGTGGCTCAACATCGGCAACGAAACAAAAGGTACCAACCAGCAAGAACGAAAACTTGCGCAGTCAATTGCCATTTCAGGTTGCAGGGGAGGATGTAATGAGCCTCCCGTTTCGCACTCGTTTTCGAAGCACACAATGCTCCAGCGTTGGCGTCGCCTGTCGCTCCAATGACTGACTGGTAATAGAATGCAACGTCGGCCGTTTCCCTTTTCGGCCGGATGAGCTCCATTTTAGCGTGCAAGCCCACCTTCAAATCTTAGCCCGCGATGGCAAGGCCGTTCATTTGCCCCCGGGGCCAGGTGACTGAGGGGCCGCCCTAACCTATTATGGGCAAATCTTGGCGACGTCGCTCGCTGTTAGCTCCAGTCTAGGCAGGCGCAGAGGCCAGGAGAACTGAAGCACAGTGACAGACTGTTGGCGCCCTATTCGGAGCCGAAGAGCCGCGCTCTGCTACGGCGGCCCTCAGTTCCGCCTGGGCGTTGGTAGCAAAACCATGGCGGCGGGCTTTGGAATGAGAATCATCGTGTCCCAAGACCTACTCTGCTCGATGGCTGCGTCACCGTCTCGTATCGCTGCTGTCGAAATGCCGAAGAAAAAGGTTTAGATTCATAATCAACATCAGTCATCGCAGCGGCAGTGCTGCTTAGTGGCCGCCATCAAACGCAAATCAAGCGCTTCCCGAAGATCAGAGCCTGGTTGGGGCCAAAGCATCGCCCCGTAGCTCCCGGCGAGGCTTCAGCCCATGAACCGTCTCTTTTTTTCTATTATTTATTTTTACACGAATGTGTAAACTGCCCGAAATGGTAGCATCGGCAACTATTAACCTTCTACCATCTACAGGAAGGGTTCTGGGCCGAACCTGAACGACGCTACCAATCAGACGGAGCGCGGAAGGCGGACACACAAGTCCGTCATTACTACTGCTGCTACTTTACTTGTACAAGCGGGAGAGCGTGATGACAATTGGGGAGGACGGGCGTTTCTTGTTATCGGGCTTTGTCTCGTTTTCGATACTAACCGATCACCATGGATTGGTAATTTGCCCTGCCCCATGAGTGAGAGCAGTTGAATGAGTCCCATCGTGTCCATGCAAAGTTGCATCACGCCGTGCGAACTCCCTTGGAGTTCGTTCCCATGTCCCAAACCGTCTCGCCGTGCACGCTAACACCTCCAAGGGTAACCAGTGTGCTTCTGGTGCAAAGCAATTGTCCTGTGCAGACACCTGTGGCCGGCCCCCAATGGCATAGCGGCGCTCAGTAATGGGCACAAGAAGTCAGCTCCGCCACATCCCACTCGGTCGTCACACTCCACCCCTCTGTGCTGACCAGTCAGGGCCCTGGGATGGCGACTTTGGGGGCATGGGCCGCCCGTGGGACACGAGGTGGACAAAAGGTACCTTGCCCAAAGATGCGACGGTGGCAGCGTTGAAATCGGCTACGCCCCAGGACCGGGGCAAGCAGTTTGGCGCATGCTGGGGCGGGCGAAGCTAGGGCCAGGCAAAAACCATGGCTAGCCTTCCGGCCGTGCCCCTTTACGGTAAAGGGCGAGCAACATCCATCCACAACGGATTGCGCTAACGCTAGCGTCTATGCACACGCCCCTTCGTTCAGTTTGGCACAGTGGTTCGCCTTACACACCGGGGACAACCTAGCAGCCAGCCAACACGGATCGAGCAACCATATTCCGCAATCACAGTGAGCGACGGTCCAACCGAACCCCAGTAGTTGCCTTCAAGCCACCACCGATGACTTCCCGGCCCTCTTCGTTTGCAAAATATAAACTCCTCTCATCCCCACAGACCTCTTGGATCACAGCCCGCCTCGTTCGCTTTGATCTCGTTCATCAATCCATCCCCCCTTCAAAGAAAGACACTTTAATAAGAGGCAATGCCCATAGCCTGAGAATGACTTCTTCAACCTTCCTTCCCAGCTACGACCCTGCTCTTCTCGAACCTCTTGGTTCACCTTGCATGCCAGACGCATCCGCCAGCTCTGACTCTGACTTCCTCTTCCCTCACAACGCTTATGAAGATTCCCTCTCTTCTTGCCTAAGCGCCTCGCAGTCTCCTTCCTACAGCCCCAAGTGCTCCTCCATTGACAGTGACATCTACGCAGACATGGACCAGAAGCCCTACGGCCTGCCCACTGACGGCGCCATCACCATGATGCCTACATCTGAGGAATCCGCACGACACAGCTGGGACTCCGACATGACCGGCTCCTACAACCAACACCATCTTGGATACTCATACGCATCTCCCGAGATGCACCACGCACAGCCCGACATCATGGAGCCCCGCGCCCCCATGCTTGTTGTCTCCAACGACAATGGCTTCTGGAACGGCAGCAGCTCCCACTCTTCGAGCAGCGGCGGCTTCTACCAAGTTTCCAACTCCTCCAGCGCCTGGAGCCACCCCAGCAGCATGGAGCCTCCCGTCACTGTTCACCCCAGCACCGACAAGCTCTTCTCCAATGGCGACTCCTACCACCTCCCCAGCCCTAGACGCATCTCACAAGCTGCCTCGAAGCCCCGCAGCCTCAAGGTCGAGTCCTCCAAGCGCAAGAGCGCATCAGCTTCTTCGCCCCGACTTTCTCCATACGGCCGCTCCAAGGCTTCCAAGAACGCTTCTCCCGAGCGCAATGATGTCTCTGGCACCTGGGACTGCGCTCACTGCTCCCTGCCCTTCCGCGATCTCCCCTCGCTTGACAAGCACGTCAAGTCTGAGCACACCCGTCCTCTCATCTGCGTCTTCCACTGGGCTGGCTGCACTTCGCGCTTTGCCTCCAAGAACGAGTGGAAGCGCCACGTCTTCTCACAGCACCTTGCTCTCCGCTACTGGCTCTGCACTGAGGGCACCTGCGGCCACTCTCGTAGCTCCACCAATGCTCGCCGCCGCTCTTCTTCGCTGCCCGCTGTTGGCTGCATCTTCAACCGCAAAGATCTCTACACCCAGCACCTGCGCCGCATGCACGTCCAGGGCGACGGCGGCAAGAAGTCCACCAAGAAGTCCAAGGACAGCAGCACCGAGGACTTTATCCGTGAGATGCAGACCCGTGCTGCCCGCATCCGTTGCGAGCTGCCCACCTTCATGACCTGCCCTGCTGAGAACTGCACCATTGAGTTCCACGGTCCCAACGCCTGGGACGACCGCATGGAGCACGTTGCTGGCCACCTTGAGCATGCTGCTGTTGGTGACGAGCCTGCCGTTTCCTTTGGCGGCTTCGGTGACTGGACTCTCACTGGCTGGGCCGAGCAGGCCGATGTCGAGGTTGTCAAGCGCACTGCCAACGGCTGGCGCCTGTGCAACCCCCTCAAGGGCGACAGCGGCTCTGGCAATGGCAACGGCGGCAGCAACAAGCGCTCCAGCATCTGCAGCAGCAAGCGCGGCATCGAGGAGATTGAGGATGCCGAGGGCGAGGAGGACTACAACCAGTGGCCCTACCCAGCTCCCGCTATCGCTCAATAAGAACGACAGCAGCGTTCGGTAACGACTACTCCATGACGACAACAACCACTTGCTATTCAATCACTCCTCTTCTTCTCGAACTCCGAATCCTACAAACCCCTCGAAACCTACTCTACGACTTTTTACACACACGATACACCCAGATTGACTTCTGTCTCGCAAGATACCTTTGTTTTCCTCTGCAATTTTGTGGTTTTTAAATGGCGGCTTGGAGCGATTCTCCTCCTTTTGTTTTCTAGCGGATGCGTTTTTATATTTTATGTTGGGTACGGACTGGCTTTCTACCCGTTGTTGTTTTGCTATTACCTTTTAGAGAACTACACAAAAACGATGGATGTAGATTGCGGAATCACATGTTTTTGGCGCCTTGGGAACTATTTTATACTTTTATACCACCATTTTGGTCTTGTCGTTTTTACTTTAGCTCTCTGCCCTTTGAGGCTCGAACAAATTGAATCACCAGGGCCCTTATGGCTACCTTTCCTCAAACACTTTTTTTCGTCTCTCTTCTTCAGTGACAAATTTTTGTCTTAACTCGCCTGCGCTTTGCAAGGCAACTAACTACCTTGACGGCTACTTTATCTCCGTACATCGGCCGAACTGCTGTCTTAACCCCGCGGTTCGGTTTGTGTCTCGTATGCCCGGGCTCGGTGGAGGTAGCCGCGTGGGCGATGACATCAATCCGGTATCGTGATTCCGGGTCCACAGCCTCATCAACCGTCCGGATTGTAAATACCGGTTGTCGTTCGTTGCGTGTGCGTCTCTTTTGGCAATTATTAATTGCGTCGGAATACGGAAAGACATGCCGCATGGCATACGCAATCTGTGATATCTAGATGGTTACAGTGTTTTTTCAACATATATTAAAACCACATGGTCCGGCTGCCATACAAGGGTCGTGATATCACATCAACCACCACACTCATCTCATCCTCCAAACACTTACACCGATTTAACAATCTCTCTTGTACTTTCAAACTCGTCACTACAGTTTTATAGCTCGCCCTACAATGACCGCCACATACGCTAGCGCCCAGCCCGCCGGCTTCTCCAACACCATCACCAAAGTCGCCATTGTCGGTGTAAGTCCATCCATCCATCCATCCACCACTCATCTTCCCAACAAGCTAACAATTACAAAAAGGCCACCGGCACTATTGGCGCACACATCACCGCCGCTCTCCTCCAAACAGGCAAACACTCCATCACCGCCCTCACCCGCAACACCGCCAACACCAACCTCCCCGCCGGCGTCACCCTCGCCGTCATCGACTACTCCTCACCAGACACCATCACCGCCGCCCTCGCCAACCACACCCTCCTCATCATCACCCTCGCGCCCAACGCCCCGCCCACCACACACAGCATCCTCGTCCGCGCCGCCGCCGCCGCAGGCATCCGCTACATCATCCCCAACTCCTACGGCGGCGACATCACCAACACCTCCATGGGCAGTGACACGCTCCTGGGCCCCGTCGCCGCCGCACAGCGCGCAGAGATCGAAGAACTCGGTATGCACTGGATCGCAGTCTGCTGCGGCTTCTGGTACGACTATAGCCTTGCGGGCGGCGAGGCGCGCTTCGGGTTCGACTTTGACAAGCGCGCTGTGACGCTGTACGATGAAGGCGATATGGCGATTCCGACATCTACCTTGGCGCAGATTGGACGGGCTGTTGCGGCGGTGCTGAGTCTCAAGGAGATGCCGGACGATGAGGCCGATTCGAGCTTGACGCTGGCGAGTTTTGTTGATAAGGGCTTGTACTTGAAGAGCTTTGTGGTCAGCCAGAAGGATATGCTGGAGAGTGTGAAGCGCGTGACGGGCACGACGGATGCTGATTGGACGGTTACAAAGGAGAGTTCGAAGAAGAGATATGAAGAGGGCATGGCAATGGTTAAGAAGGGCAACATGGCTGGATTTGGCAAGTTGCTGTATGCGAGGGGATTCTATCCCGACACATATCACAATCTCCTGGACAAGACTCAGAATGATATCCTCGGTTTGCCAGAGGAGAACTTGGATGATGCTACCCAAGATGCTGTCAACTTGGTACCCATACTGGCTGCTCGTGCTGAACGCATGGCCAACTGAGATGGTGTAAGACGTTAGAGGCACGCTCTCGTCAGCAAATCAGTCGCCTCTTGTTTCGCAACAGCATTTTAGAAGATAGATCTCTTAATAGTTATATTTCCATCATTAATCATTGTTCTGTTTCTAAATTCTTACATAAAATATACTCTATCCTTTATACGGTACAAAAGCTGATAAATTCAACTGCCTGCCCCAGCCTGCAGCTGGACCTGTAACTTCGACTAAAACAGCCGTATCTATACTGTATTCTCCAAAAATTATTACTACCCAGACTCTCGTCGCCAGTTACAAAAACTAATAAAGTATTAATGCATATCAATGTCCCAGAACTGTGCAGTAATGTCGCTTCATGCAGCTGCGGGCACGCTTTCTTGCCCTTGGTCCGCTTCCTTGCTAGCCTTCTTGAGCTTCAGTTTCTGGGAGCGTCGCTGCTGTCTCATCTTACACTCTAGTGCATATCCAGGTTCATTGGCCTTGCGCCATTCGATCCAGGCCTCGTATGCTTGCTGCCCCATTGCGTCTGGAACCCGCGGCTTTGGCACAGAAGAAGGTTTTGTCTTGCTTCCACTCTTTGAGGTCTGCTGGGTCGCTGCCATGGCAGCTACGTTGGCTGTAGGATACTGCAGTATTGGTGCCTGCGCCAATGGTTGCACTGGAAGTGATTGAGTATCAGTTCTTGTGGCCGAATATTGCGGTAGCTGAACCGGCTGCTGCTGAACTTGTGCTTGGAGAGGGGCAAACATGGTTTGCAGAGGCAATAGCTCTTTCAGCGCAGGCTGAACATCTAACAGAGACTTCGTTGGACTTTGAAAAGGAGTAACTGGTGGGTTCAATCTGATGGGCAGAGAATTTTGACCCGAGACGGGCAATAAGAGGTTCGCCATAGGCTGAGAGACAAACTGTGCCAGGTTTGCAGGCACTAGAGGAGGGTAATATGTAGGTAGTAGAGGTAGAGTTGCATATTGGGGTACGATCATATTGGGCATAAAGTTTTGTTGAAGTGCTGGATAGGCAACCTTTGGTTCTTTGAGAACATCTGTCTGGTTCGGAGTCTGGTATGTATTGTCTGGCTGCTGCTCAAAGAGACCGCGCACGCTCTTTCGCTGCATCCTAATCTTGTTGGCCAACTGCGGTTGGGCAGAAAATGAAAGAAACTCTCTCGCTTTTGGATTCAGCGTATTTCCTTTGCTCTCACTACTGGATATGTTGCCTGGGTCGACGACGTCATTCTCTAAGCTAGAAAATTGATGATGGTTTCGCCGGTATAGACCCTCGTCGGAAACAGTTGCATGACGACGGCCAGAGCCAAACGTGGGTATACGCAATGTATCCTGTTGTATATTAGAGTTGACCGAAGAATCTATTTCATGTCTTCTTTCGGAAACCTGTGGTTTCCTAGCTGTAACTGAGCTGGCTTTTAATTTCTCCAACAGTTTCATGAATTGGGCATCTCGAGCCTCACGATCAATGGCTACTGGTTCAATAGGTTTCGGAATAGGTTCCTGTTCTTGTGGAGATTCACAAGATATAAGAATATCTGAAGGCTCCTTTTTAAGCTGGCATACTGACTTCTGCAATTGGAAGCTAATGTTTCTTCGACTGGTCAAACCTGGTGGCGGATGCACAAACGCAGGTAGTGAGGGGCTCTCTGGCTCATCGCAGTTGGATGGAACATTAACATCCATGGAATTTCCACGTTCAGGCGCAGTTCCAAAAGATATGGTGCTTCCTCGTATATCTCCTTGCATCCGAAAGGGTTGGATTCTCGCCCAACATCCTTCACTAGACGTGTCATCGAGGGATGATGTGTCAGAGTCTGTAGCTCTGTTGCCTAATGAGGATACTTGTATGATTCGAGTTGCATTATGATGATCACTTAGACCCTTGATTTCAAGTTGCTTTAGAATCTTGTATAATCCCGTGTTCGTTGAGCGGCTGTTCTCCTTGTCGAAAGAATCTGTTTCCAAAGGATGTCGAATACTATGTCTATCATTCGCACTGACTTCAGAAAGTATAGATCTCTTCACCAGTGATGGCTTAGTAGGAGTACAAACTTCATCTGCTCTGCCTTGTCTCCAGTTGCTGTTGGTCAAAGCCTTTGTGGCTCTGGCATCGCCAAGGTCCGTTGATCGACTGCTGTGTCTTGGCTTTCGGGACCGGAGAGGAATTCGGGCAGATCGAGGCTTTGCAGAATCAGAATCAATTTTCTGCGAGACAGTGGTAGGTTTCTTTGGTTCCGGTAGCGCCATTTTCAAATCGAAAATACCTGGGTTCACTCGCAGCCTACACGCTGTGTAGAGAAGAAATGTCGCCAAAGTCAATAAACGTTGTGTTGATTTGTTTGCAAGTAGGAAGTAGGTCTCCATAACAATAAATCGGTTACCTGATAGAACAGCATCGCTTCATTAGTGCTCTGTGGGAAGGTGCCGTCTGTTGCCACGGGTAAAGCCAGCAGTCAATGCAAAGAACTAACACAGCATGTTACCAATTTTGTTTACTCTGCTGCTATTGAAAGAAAATATATAATAGTTGAAATTTTCCGTCCCTGGCTTCATATGTACAATAATCGACGTTGGTTTAGGAAGCCTGGATCGACTGGCCACCAACAAATGCGGCAAAGGCGCTCTGTATTGTACGTTAGTTATCATTTTGAAACGGTCTTTGATAGAATTATAACGTACGGCATTACGAGTCTGCAAGAATACTGTACCGGGGCCGGTAAACTTGCAAACCAAACCTTCGGCAGAAGCGATACCAGAGATGAAGCCGCCCGAGGCAACGCGCTCCAGAACATACTTGGTATTCCATGCAACAAGATGGCCGTTATCGACGATATATCGTTCGCCTTCGACAAGCTAAAATAACACCATGTCAGTGATAGACCTTTGTCTGTGCTACCTTTTCGCAACTTACATCCTTTCGAATAATAGCACCAAAGCTGGCAATCCATAGGATACCTACACCACTGATCTTGTATACAAACAAACCTTCGCCGCTAAAAATGGCTTTGGACAGTCCCTGACGTTTATGATCCTTGATGATGCCTTGAGTAGATGCCAGGTAGGCATCGTGGCCAACATTCCAGAAGTCATTACCACTCAGGCGAATGCTGGTGATATCTCCCAACATGGGGGGAGCTAAGAGAAGCTCTCCAGGACCAGTGTAGTGGGAGGTCGAAAGACTGGCGCCGGCAATCATCTTTTTCATGCTAAATTTGACTTCACCCTTAAGAGTAACCGTGGGAGACATGGAAATCATGGCGCCTACAATCTGTTAGCGGTGCTTGGAAGATGTAACCGCAGCAGATGACTTACCTGGCTTAGCTGAAAGAGGTGCACCCATGGCAAGCTGAATGGTCAGGATGGTGTTGCAATCGCGATGGCTAATTCGATAGCTACCGCCGTTGAACGTGCCGACATCGTCAATCGCTGCACTGGCGCCAACAAAGTGTGCAGCATCAGGAGCACCCGAAGCGGAGAGCTGGGGTGCAGAGGCTTGCTGTGCTTCTTCCTGCTGAGGCTGTGAAGGTGGCGGCGCAAAGGAGGGTGCTGCGGTCTTCTCAGGAGCATACTGGGCTTCAGGGTTGGGAAATGGAGGAGGAGGTGCGCTGTACTGAGACTGCGGCGACGTAGTGCCGGGAGCTGGTCGATGAGCCATGTTCATCTGAGGGTTTTGAGGCTGGGGCTGCTGGACTGGAGGGGGAGGGTACTGAGTCGGAGTAGGTCTGGTATTTGCCTGTGGTGACGGCGTCTGCTGGGGAGGAGGGTAATGTCCTGGGGACGACTGAGGAGGAGGCGCATAGTATGTTTGCTGATTGGCAGGAGGTGAAGAAGTTGGCGGCGAGGGATAGAACTGTGGCTGTCCTACGGGAGGTGAAGTTGGAGGAGGCGCATAGTATTGTTGCTGGCGCTTCTCTGGAGCAGCAGCTGCTCACTGTTAGCTTGTCACGATGGGGATGGATAACGTAGAGAGAAGGCAATGGAACGAACCTGCAGGTTGAGCAGCGCCTGGGGGGGCTTTGAAGAGCTGTTAGCAATCTCTAGCAAAGACGAATCGCAATGATCAACATACGAGGATAATAGTGCTGTTGCTGGTCCGCCATGGCGGGGGTCTGTTGCGATACTGTCTGGGAGGAATAAGTGACTTCTAGAGGCTACCAGACGGGAATTGGAGATTGTTTCAAGACAAAGGGTGTTTGGTAGAGGAATCAAGCTGTGAAATGAAGCTGAAAAAAAATACAGGAAAGAAAAGGAGACAGAGGCAGCGGGTGACGCGACAAGAGCCTGGCTTCACTTTTTGCCGCTGGCCATATGCGAGCAGCCCCGCACTTGGGCGACGGCTGAAGCTGGGCAGTGGCTAGCTGCAGAACGCCCACCGATAAAGGTGGTGATAAAGAATAATATTTTTATATTCTCGGAAAATTCGCGTCCGTTAAACAATAGCATTGAGTTCGTTCAAGGCCATCTGATACCTGATCTTGCCAACCTTGGGTTGCGAATATCGGGTTGCGAGGATTGCTCAAGGTGCCAGATCTTGTCTGGACCCCAAGAATTGGAGGCGCTGGATACCTCTTCTCCAACGATTCGCAAATTATCTCACAGTGAGCCAATGGCATTGCTCGAGAGGCTCTGGACGGCCCCTCCCAGCAGTCACAGCGCATCCAGTAAGAAGCAAGTGTTGGCGCCGCACTAGCTTAGCTCCTCCCTCATGGGCGCTTAAAATGGAGCAAAGCATAGCAGGGCAGCTTGGCGTGAGCATGCTGAGAGGTGACTGGTTCGTACCTATGCGGGAGGCTTGTGGCGATTTCAGAGGCAGCCCATGTCCGTGGGTTCCGTATGGGTGAAGAAGTTGAAATGAAGCGGACAGTACCATGGTATCAGATGGGGGGCTAGACCCGTGTGTACAGTCCGCACCTGGAGTTATGCCATGTTATTTTTAAGAGGCTGGCTCATTGCGGGTTAGCTACTGGGAGGTCACGGACGAACACAACAAACGGGTTTCGCATCGTAGAAGACGCTGCAATCCACGTAGTACCTGCGCTAATCATGCTGGCCGCGAAACGGCCTGCCATCTTGGTCAATGTAACCCATGTCGTCACGCGTGCTACAGGTGTAGCAAGTACCACCACTTTAACCGTTGTCGTTCGTTGCTGGTGGTTTTGGTGCGTGCCGTGCCGTCTGCCTCCTTTTCCATCGCCTCGAGCGGCAGATGCCTTTATCAACACCAAGGGTCTACCAACAGTTGAAGCTAGCCAGGGTTGCTGCCCCCTAACGTTTTTGCTAGGTTCGCCGTATCCTTGCTTTGTAAAGTGCTGTAGAAGGAGCTGTCACAATCTAAGAGTACAGCTAGTGATCAGGTGGTGGTGGCTATGGCACAGACAGGACGGGGTCAACCGGCCCATCAAGCCGCTAGCTATAGTAGCTGGGCCGCTTGGCAGAGTTGTAGCCGTCGAGATTCGGCCGCCGACTAGAGAAAGACACAGACTATGTACACCAGACCACACCTGGAGCGGAACGAGGGCTCCTTGGTTGCCAGTTTTGGTGTAGCGTTGTGAGCTAAAAAGGGCCTTTGTTGGGTCGAGACAATACAGCTCACAAAGCTAGACGCCATCTCGGATCCTTGGTTCTGAAACGACTAAACCTGCGCCAAGGGCTGTAGCGACCCCATCGACAGCCTGATTCTGGTATTCGGGAGAGCAGTGATCGTCACGGCGTCCAACGGTTTTCCAAGGCAGACGATTTGCCACCATCAAAAGCTAACCGTTATGGTGCAGAAACAGCGAGCCAGCCCAGCCGTTGGAGGTCCGATTGAGGTGCATGCATGCTTTTTGTGTCTGGGGGCTGCAGCATAATCTATCTGTCTTGGTTGCCACCACGGATTGATTGGGTCTTAAGATGTGCGAACCGCGGAGCTGGGTGCACCGTGTTTGGTGGAGGGGGTTTGGAGGCGTTTTTTGTTCTCTGGGTGAAGATTTTAGGTTGGTGCCAGCTCGTCCTTAGTGAACCGACATACAGTAAAGCGAACCCGAACGGTGGGCGGCGGGGCACGGGGAATTGCACGGCCAGGGGATGGGATGGGACGTAGCGAATTGCTGCTGTGTTTAATTATATGCTGTGTTCGTCCGGGCCATTCTATATTTTTTATTAAGCTTCTTATATTGTTATAGACCGCAGTGGAGGAATATGGCTGCTGTAATTCAGCTGTCGATACCTGTATAGTGGTGCTCGCTTATAGCTGGTACTGATGCCGGTGCTGCTGTCACACGGCCATCCCCGGCGCTCTTGAAAGAGCCACACACAGCAGGCAACAGCTAAAACCCAAAAGACAAAAACCCACTGATACAGATGACCGTTGGTGGTGTAATTAGCCATCGACGCTAAGGAGACGCTTACAGTACGCACCTGCTGTACCGTAGCGGTCGGGGGTACATTGCCCAAGTGGCACGGCGATGTGTGGTACCGTACTGTAGCGGAGGCAGCGAGTATCCCTGACGCTTTTTTTAGCCGCGTTCCTCCTCTTTTACGGCTTTCTTTTGGTATTTTGCTTGCTTTCCTCTTTTGGCACCAGGTCAGCAAAAACTCGGTACATAATGTACATTACAAACATCTCCGGGGGACTGGGGGATTCCTCCTGCAAGCCACATTTTTCGCACTGAACGGTACTTGGCGGTACGGCACTGGACAGCGCTGTAAACGTACTGTACAGGGTCCGCCGGCCCCCCCCCTGCTCCACCACGCTGGGCCTCTCACTAACTGGGGCAACCATTGCCCTGGGAAGGGGCAAAGCCACCGTCTGAATCCAGTAAAAGATGTGCACGTCTCTCCCGGTACCATGGCTCCCCGAGCCATCTCCCCCAGCGCAATCACCGCCTGTAATTTGTACCTTGCTGCACTGTATCTGCCCACCAACACACCATCCACCAGCACCCCGCCCGCCCCATCTACCCGCACCAGACCAGCCAGCTGGGTCGTCCCGCCGTCCTTCGCTAACATCCTCAACCACCCACCGCAGCCCGTCCCCCCGCCGCACTGACGCTAATGTAGGCCCTATCGTCTCTTTTCTCATCTACCGTGAGAACCCTGCTCTTTACCCTCCCAGACATTTGTTGTCCCTTTTTTCTCGTCCTGCTTGTTTCTCGACATACATCGACATTCCGTGTTTCTCTTCGTCGTCTTCACTGCCAACACACACCCGCATACACACAAAATCCTTTAACATCTGCGCTACCTCACGCATCGCACCCTCATCCGCCAAACCTTATCACGGCCTCTTGTCCCCATGGCGTCCCGCGATCTTCGTCTAAGCTCACCGCGTCCGACAACCTCCTGTTAAGGCCGTCCGATACGCCATGGAGCCGATAGATATCTCCGACAAGGCGTCACCGCCTGTAAATGGCAATCCTCCTCACCAGAAATCACCATCTCCTCTTCCGCCCTCCCCTCGCGAACCGCTATCTCAACTCTTACCCGTCACATCTTCGCCTTCTCCCCGTCATCCGCCGCCGCCGCCGCTGCCGCTCACCTTATCCCCTGCTCCCATTGACATACCGAAAAAGTCCCCTCGAATACACCAAGATCGCACAATATCCACAGACTACCGATCGACTACCCGGATTCTGCGACGAAACGCGAGCCATGGTAGTTTGCCTGTCGACAGGCTAGCCCAGAAGCTTGGCAAGCAATCATTACGGACTTCGGAACAAACACATCCTCTTCCTAACCGCGTCTCCTCCGTCAACGTACCAAGTTCTAGCTCACCGCATAATAATATTCTCTTCGTCGACGCTCTTCCGGAAATAGACACCGTCACAGTCGGTGCCACTCGGCAAAGCCCACTACCTAGGCTACGACAAGACGATGTCGAAATGCATGATGTCGGCTTATTACATCGTCTTCCATCACCAGCCATTCGAGACCCGCCACCCACATCTTCTCCTTATTGTCCGTCAAACCTTGCCTCCCGCCGTGGATCGTACATTCAAACACAGCTGGAAGCTGAGGGGCTTGCCGATCTAAGTCCGTCTCCGAGCGTGTACAACCCTCGGGCTTCCTTGCCGGCTCCGCCTCCAGTTACACGGCATACATGCCCTATTCTCGAGGCAGATGAGGGCTACTGCGAGGGCGAGGATGACTTTTCATGGCTTGAAAGCCAGGCAGAAACTATAGGGTTGCCCAACAGCCTGCGCAAGCGCGGCATTCTTCGATATCAGTCATCACAAGATGCTGCACTACGAAGTGCTAATCTGGTCCGTAACCAGACACGCATGCGCAAACGCCGCCTCAAGCGCCGCGAATCCAGAAGCTACGCTGGAAGTTATGCAGGCAGCTACGCAGAAAGCTACGCGGATAGTCTGATAGGAAGTTTGGCCGGAAGCATAAGCGGCAGCATCCACGGCAGTATTCACGGCTCAAATGCTCCAAACTCGCCAGTTGCTGGCGCCTCATCTCCGCCTCCGATACCTTCAGCAATGGTTTCGCCCATATAAAATGCATCCTGTTGCCATCGCTCTTCTAACAAACTGCGCGGCAGACCACACCTACGTAGCCAACAAAACTCTAGCCACCCTCTTCCCCCTTGCTCTATTTCTCTTCTTCTTCTGTACATACATTGGAGTCTACGCGCTTCATACATTATTTGAGAACCCCAGCTTCATACCTGCTGGCTGGCCTTGGCATCCCAGCTTGACTCTGTTATTTGGCCGCAGAACGAGAAAAGCAAACTGCACCTTTCAAAGGACTTCTCTTTCATTTCACGATATTCTTACTGGCGCTATAGGGGTTCTTCCTTTTCTGGTATATAGATTACCGACACGTTGTCCTTAAAAAGAAGGATAGTGCTGTCAGATGACGGAATACTGACAGCTCTGCCGGAGCTAAGGAAGCTCCAGCAACCATTGTTTATGTCCTTCAACAACCGCTATGAAAGTATAATTCAGATTAATCAAGAAGATACGTTCAAAGTTCGACCTGTTCTCCCGAAACATCTCAAGTTCATAATGGTGATGACAACACATCAGCGAGTGCCAGCCACCGTAACAGGACTACACCACAGCTCAACAAGAATCCGCTACCCTGTCATACGTTGCTAATGGATCAGCTAACACAGTCGAAAAAGCTAGCGCATCCCCAGATGCCGGGTGGTCCATATTACAGAGTTTGCCCGATAACCACTTGGGCGGATCCCAGGTCAACACAGCAGCATTAGACTTTATCTAGCAGCCATCGCCTTCTGATTTGTTATTAATCAGCGACTAGGAAGATTGAGTTTGCGCTAGAGCAAGAGGTTTTGCAGTATGCCCCCCGAAAAAGCTCTCCGTCGGTGGGACATTAAGGGTGATGAAACTCGAGGCGTTGTCAAACATCCCTTCTTCCCCGGCGTCCTTCAAGCCTCAGCAACAGTAATGCAGATAAGAAGTCGTCTGATGGCGTCTTCTTGTGCAAGCAGGCAAGCTGACCTTACAAGACAAGCGGGAGCCATGTCTTGAACGGTTGGCGTGGCAATGGTCAAACCCAGTGGTGAGACATTCCTCTATGCGCCCACGCGGGACCATCCCAAGGGTAGGCGACCAGCCCGGCCGTCCGTGGAGCCGCAATGCACGTCAATTCTGCATTGATGGAGAACCGAAAAGACATGGAAAAGCCAAGTCGGACGCCATCCGATACGTGACAGGATGTATCAACTTGCCAATGGTACTAGCGCACTCGGACCGCAAGGGATCTAGATGCTGGGTATTGGAGAACGGGTATTGCTGCTGCTGCGCTAGACTCGAATCTCTCTGTTTGGATTTATCGGCGCTTAGCACGGGATTTTCGCTGTGACAGCCTAAGCAGAAAAAAAGCTGGGGATGGGAAAGGCGTCTAGCTTTACCCGTCCAAGGTAGCATTGTGATCCATGCATCGTGCGCTCGGCGGCCCTGCTGCGTCGATACCACAGGGAATCCGTCTCTTTTGGTCCCCTCTTTGTTGGAGTCTCGGGCGCATTCTGAAGTCGGCTCATCGACAAAAAGCAACCTCGTATGCCGGGCCAACTGACTATCGATCCAGCTATCTACTACCACTTACACGCCACGCCACCACCCACCTTTTTGAGCAATCGCCTCACGTCCCTTCTTCTTCCTGTTCCGCACCCAAACTCTAAATCTTGCGCCTCTCACCAGCTTGCTTTCCGCTGCCCACTGCCTGTCAAATAGCCTTTTTCCCCAGCGCCCCTCCCTCACTGAGCTCTGCTCCAGCACTGCTGTGGCTGGAATGCAACCCCCGTCGCCACCACTGACAGCGTCATTCCAACAGCCCATCTAGCGGCCCCGAAGAAGGCCCATTGTGTTTTACCCATCTCTTTCGCTCAATAAAATCTCCTCTGCTTCGCCTTTTGAGACATTCTTGCTCACTTCCCACATTTCGCATCGGTTGCCGCTGGCTACAGCCTCAGTGCCTCTGTTGTTTACTCTGCGCTATAGTTACTGTTGCAGCTGCCTGTGTCTTGATGCCAGGCAATGGGCCAAAACTCGATTCAGCGCCGCTTCTCCGACATTTCCTGCTCTTTTTCTGCTCTTCTGCAACCCTTTGCATAATCTTTGCTCCTCCATACAAAGGCGTGTTGTTGACTTTCGTTTCACCGACAAAGTAAACACAGAAGAAGAACAAGCAAGCAAGCATCACCGCTTACACCACTACCAACCATACAAGAACAAGATCACGGCCAGGCTCTAGCTTAGAGCTCTCCCACCAAAAGACAACCTTGATCCCACAGTCCACATGGCTCTCTGGACAACTTCGTATCCCATCGATACGGGAGATCGCGATCCTTCATTCATGTGGGCAGACACAGATCCCAGCAGCGCAGGCACCGACGCTGCTCACGGCGACATCTTTTCGCAATTCCTCGACTTCGAAGGCGGTGTCACCAGCGGCGAAGCTCACCTTGGCCATACTGCTGTCGTGGATCCTCTGTTCCTCGATCCCCTCGCCCAGCACCCTCCTGCGCACGATGGCAGCGCCTCATCCGGCGTATCTACCGCCGATGACTTTGATTTCCTCTCCAGCAGCTCCCACATCGACCCGCCCATGTCGGCAGCAAGCTACGAGATTGACCCAAGCGCCTTGACACTCTTTGGCGAGAAGAACGTTGCCGCCGACGCACAGCAACCGCCGTTCTTCTCCGATACCGAGATTGAGAAGCTCGAAGCTCTTTCGGTGCACTCTCCAGTCAAGCTAGCCTCTGAGCCTCCTTCGCCTACACTAGCACCTGCTACAATCACAGCTCCCAAGACTCGCAAGGCCACTGGCACAGCAACCCGCAAGTCGAAGAAGATTGTCGATGCTCTGTCATCCACCATCCGCAAAGCAACCATGCGCAAGACGAGAAAGGGCGCCGCGCAAGACGTTGCCGCAGCAGCTGCTGCAGAAGGACCTGATCGTCCTGCGTCTCCTGTGAACGACGCTCCTCTGAAGCCAGCTAAGCAACGAGGTGCTGCTGGCCGCCGTGTGCAGACTCAACACCAGGTCCCTCGCATGCCCGACTCGCCGCCTCTGCACGTCGACACCGCCAACTTTATCCATGGACAGCCTGAAGATCCCTTTGCCAGCGATACCTCACCTACACACGGCGCCGTCCCTATGCGGTATTACAGCCAAGGCGGTCTTGGTACGCCCATGGACTCACCCACACGCAAGAGCGAGACGGACCTCTCTGTCAACCACCAAGCCCAGCAGCAACAGCAGCAGCAACAACACCAGCTCTTTGCCGCCTTCCTCCAGTGGCAGCAAGAAAACGGCATCTCGCCCAGCGTCGAGGCCAGCCAGCAATGGGAGTACTTTGCGCAGCACGCTCAAAGCAACAACCCTGCCTGGGCCAACGCCAACCTCGCCATGCACACCCAGCATGGCCAGCTTCCCTATGAATACACCCAGCAGATGCAAGATGCCAGCGGCCTCATGATCCACATGCCACAGCCCCGTCCACCCGTCGTCAACGATCTCTCGCTCTCTGCTCAGACCTATCTCCCACCACCAGCCCCTCAAGAGCGCGCATCACGACCTCCCAAGGCCCCCTCCGCCGGCGCCCGCCACCGCACCGTCTCCTCATCGCCCATGCGCAAGCAGCGCGGACCATCTGCATCACCTACCTCTGGCTCTGGCGCCGGCTCCGGTGTAGCAGCCTCCAACCAGCGCCAATCGCGCCACAGCTCCGGCGGCTCCGTGTCATCTGTCAGAAGCGCCTCTGGTCGTCTCCCCGGAAGCATGCCAGGAACACCTTGCAGCGTGCGCAAGCGTCGCTCTGTCACCGGCACCACGCTCAACACCTCTGCTATCGATGACTCTGGGCCTGTAGCCGCCCCCGCGGCACCTTCTGGTGGCTTCCAGATCGGCTTTGTCAACTTCACGCCCAACGATGGCTCGGCACTTATGACTGGTGTTGCACCCTCAGGTAGTTCCAAGACAAAGGCTCGCCGCGAGAAGGAAGCACAAGATAAACGACGACGACTCAGCGAGGCGGCCATGAAGGCTGTTGCTGCAGCAGGAGGCGATATCGAAAAGCTGCGTGAGCAGGGCTTCGAGTTCTAGCGTCCCTTCTCTCCCAAGTCAAAAAGGGAAAGCGGCTAGTCCCTCAAGATGGAGGTGCACATGGCACCTTGGTCCCCTCAGGTTGATCAGCCGGTCCCTGTAGCAAAGAGTTCTTCTAGCGAAGTCCTACAAAGCGCGAGGCATCCGGCATTTGGCGTAAACGGCGTTTTTCTGTAAGCGGCCGCGTTTGTTTTTTTGGTGTTTCGGTTCTGCTCCCCAGCAAGCCTTCCTTCTCTTTTTTTTTCCTTTTCTTGTTTTCTTTTTCACCTCATTCTGTTGTACCACTAGCGTGACCACTCTGCTACTACTACTACTTCTTTTCTTACCAGCCTTTTCGAATCGCCTTGGTCCTAGGAGCTCTGTCTGTTGATCGACGTTGGCTCTTAAGTTCAAGGTTGCCTCTTTTACTTTTCCTATGTCTTGGTTGTTATCTTTTCGCCAGAACCTAATTGATATCCTGTCATGGTGGGCGTTACGAGACGCACGGAAACGGTTGCTGTGTAGATTGAGAGAGATGGCGGAGTTATTTAGTTGGAATCTACGCAGAGCTGCGGTGGCGGTGCTATCATCCCTGGGCAATGTATGATATGATATATTAGCGAATCTACTATGATTAGAACACGGATGACCGCCCTTCCAAGTGTTTGTAAACATGTCACTAGAAATTCTATGCAAGATTATGTTGAAAATTGGTAGCTGCTATTCAACCCTCCCAGTGGCATACCGGAGGATATAAAGTTTGCTGTCTAGCCTAGTGTCCAAGCAAAACCATGTATATACAATAAAGAGCCTCGCCAGCGACGCGCCCTGCTTGCTGATGCTTTGTGCATCCCAGACCATCGCCTCCTTCCTTGCCGCTTGAAATGTAGCGGATAAATAACAACATTTGTGTGCAAACAAAAGCCGTAACCCCAAAGATAGAAAAAAACAAGAAAAGAAAAGAGAAACGATCAATGAACGATTGAGGGTACCATGGGTACCCTGAAAAGCAGAATCAACGCCGGTGTGATGAAGTTGTCGCAACAGCTCGTTTGGTCAATCCAGGCTGAATATGTAGACAGCTAGGTTGGCGTCAACTCAACGCTGGCAGACAAATACCCAAAAATATAACATTAGCTGCCCCCGCGCCAGTCTATATTACGCAGATCAAATAAAAACAAGTCACAGAACAAAGAGCCGTTTAATGGTCGTATCCAGCACCGCGCTGCCACGGGCTCGAGTTGTTTTGGTTGCGGTATCCCGGCGCAGGGCTAGCGGCCTGCGCTCGCTGCTGCGCCGCAAATGACTGCTGGTGTTGTGGTTGTGGGCGGTTGCCATACGGGCTAGGGCTCGAGTTGGCTGCCGTGCGGAACGGGCTCTCTGGTCGTGATCCGTTGGCGGGGAATAGTGGCATCGATGGGTTGACTGGTGATCTGGGGCCGTTGCCCTGTGCGTGGAAAGAGTGCTGCGAAGCAGCAGGCGAGGCGAAGGGGTCGCGCCGGTCTGAGTGCATAGATTCAATGTCGTCGTCGTGGTCCATGTGAGCCTTGTAGCCTGCCTTGTCACCACGGGCGGTGACGGCAAGAGCGTCGAGTTCGTTTGTAGTATTAATTTGGGTCTGCGACTTCATGAACGACGCACGGTCGTCGGCCATGTACTGGTAGCGGGCGTCGGGGTTCTTGCGGAAGAAGCTGACGGTGGCAGAAACAATGACCATGATGAGCAGGACAATAGCAAAGATGACGTTGACAAGGAACAAGACGACACCAACAATACCAATAACCAGGGCGGGAGCTCCAAAGACATCAGAGAAGATAAGCAGGAAGATGGCGTTGATGAAGTTGACGGCGCAGATGGCAATGTTGAAAGAGTTGGTAGGCTTGTCCATCCAGGGACGCATGACAGAGGCTCCGACGAGGGCACCAGCTTCGAGGACAACAAACGCAACAGCCTGAGCCTTACCGCTGCCCTGGGCAAAGGCAACCAGGATTGACTTTATCAGACTGTAAACCAAAACAGGTGCAATGAAGTAGTAGGCAGAAGCACGGAACTGCATGTAAAGGAAACCCCACTTGTTGAGGGCCTGAGGGTCGGAGAAGAGGATGTAGGCCGGGTTCTGGTGCATGGCGACAGAGCGACGAGCGATGAGAATAACCTTGCTGGCTCCCCAGGCGAGCGTAGCCACGATACCAAAGAAGAAGAAGATGGCAAGAACAACTTCGGCAGGTGAGTCACGCTGGGTTAGTTCCCAGAGCGAAAGAATGCAGATGGGAGCATAACCAAGGAGGGCAATACGGAAAAGGATGCCCTTGAGGATGGTGACCCAGCTGTTGCGGAACTCGAGGAATCGATCGGGCTGAATAGTGTTCTTCTTGGCAAGAGCCTCCACAATGCCTTTGAAAGCAGCAACACCAAGAATGGTGAAGAGAACGACAATGACAAAGAAGATGAGGCCCGTCATGAAAAGGTTGGTGGACTCGATCTTGGCCTTGAAGGCAACACGCTGGATACCATAGACAATATAACTACCGGAACCAGTGACAATGTTACCACGCTTGGCAAGGTGGCTAACAGCTCGGGGCATCATGGCGGCACCTCGCTGGAAGAGGTCGAGCGATCGCTTTTCAACCTGGACGGACTGGGTAACAAGGGTGTCGAAAATGGTCGAGGGCGAACCACCGGTAGCGCGCTGATACCAAGTAAAGATGTCCTGCATAAAGGGCACGTGAATGATACCCATGGACCACTGGAAATCTTGGGTCCAAGCAGCAACGATGGGAGGGAGACGGACGCTAGTAAGACCGACAATGGCCTGAGCCTGGAAGTAACCGAAAAGGGCGAGTGCGTTGGCGGCAACGTGAGCAGCAGTGTTGTACTGTCCGAGACCGTTGACAATGGCGGAGGAGATCAGGGCGAAACCAGCAATGAGAGCTGTAGCCCACTTGACACCAGTCAAATCAACAGTCTTTCCGTTGGAAATACTGGCACTAACACAAGCCAGAGGGCGGCCGATGCTGTTATCAGGGGCACCCTGTGAAGACTCGTTGATGTAGACCTTGACGTTGGCGTCGATATCAGGGATATAGTAACCAATAGTAGGGACCTGTTCGAGAGCCTTTGCGTCGACAGGCAGGTTGAATTTAATGTTAAGCTTGCCGGTAGTCATGGGGCAGAGACCAGCCAACTTGAGCTTGCAAGGGTCGAGCTTGATGTGAGCAATGTTATAACCGTAAAGAGCGATGCTGGCATCGAACTTGACGTAGCTGTTAATCGACGACGTAGCGGCAATGTTGAAAGCAGCGGTGTTGTTGCTAGCGGTAAAGACGACGTTGAACAGACTGGCAGAGAAGCCAGAGTCAGCCTGGCACGAGTTTAGAGACTCGGATCGCAGGAGTCTCTCGGCAGAGCCGGTCGAGGTGATTGACGCCGCGGCGGCAAGAAGCGCCAGTGGTGCCTTTAGAGAGAACCACATGGCGGGCAGATGTTGGGAAGAGCGATGCTATGTATCGATGGCGAGGGTGACGAAGCGGTAAGTCGGGCGTTTCGAGGATTCGGGCTTACGTATCGGCGCCGGGTGTTTTGTTGTTAAGCGAGAGAAATTCTACCAGAGAAGGTATTTGTGGCAGTTATTGTAATGAGAGAATACGGTCAGATAAGAGTCGAAGGACGGTAGTTTCAAAAACTTGGTTGTCGCGTCGACGAAGAAAACAGGTTTCGTAGGGAAATAGTTGGGTAGGTAGCGAGTGGTTAATGGGCAAGATGTGCCCCTGGCGAAGAAAAAAAAAGCTGGTGTAAGTCGAAGAAGAAGGAGGAAGACAAAGTCGAGAGTTATTTTTAAATCGAAAAAAAAAGACGATCTCGTATTTTGTCCTTCGACGAGTATGTCAGCGAAAGGAAGAAGATGAAGCAGAAAAGACGACGATGAACAGAGGGAAAGAGAACAAAGAGGGAAAGCAGGACGCCAGGAACAGGAATCTGGGGACAGGGGTCAGAGGGAAAACCGAAGTGGGGCGCAGTGAGTAGCACGCAGCGGCAAAGAAAAACTAAAGCTTACAGGGGGCTTGGCCACAAGCACAGCACAGAGCACAAGTCCCTCATGCTAGCGGTGGCAGCTACGAGACAGCATGTGGGGCCTATCACAGGCAGTGCAAGTGTACATGGCATTTTGGCGGTGGAATGCAGCAAACGCCAGGTACCTTGGCAGAATATTGGCGCCCAGCATAGGCAGCATGGCGCGATGTCGGCACTAACACGAGGTACCTAGACTTCTCCTTTTTTTATTTGCCAGATGTTTGAGAACTGGACATGGCAGGTAGTCTTGTTCAGTACACCTGTAACGCCAGTTTGACATTTGGCGATTGCTTTCTTTTTTACCCTTCTAGAGGCGTATGTGTTTTATTCCTCGCCTGTATTTTGTTTGATTTTCTCTCTCCTGTTCTGTTCTTTCCCTCAGATCGTCTGTTGTTTTGCCACACTACAAGTGCCGGCAGCTGGGCAACGCTGACGATCTAGGCTAAGCTGCTACTGCACGTTGTCCATCGTTGTTCTGGTGATGACCCCTCCACTGCAGGCGCCCTGTTCAGCGGTTACCGCACTGTAGCCTCTAGTGTACGGCGGTGTACGTACTGTACGAAGCACCAGCAGACCATACATCAGCTGGTTTCTTTGCACAACAACCACCGCCACATACGCATGCCCCTCAACGCGCTCGAGAACATTTTCCTTTGTAAAAACTCAATAGGTCTAACATTCAGCGTGGTTGGAATATGCAATATACGCGATTCCTCTGCTCTACTGGCATCCTCGCCGCACCGTGTCGCGTCGTCCATTCCACGGCGCTGCTGTACTGGCTTCCAGGCCTCTTGGCTCAGAACAATAGCGTCCAGCGCCCACTAAAAGCACCTGCGCGCCCCCCCCCCCCTGCATGCCGGTGCTGCACCACGGAGCAGAAAGGCTTTTAGTGGCGCTTCGACAGGATCCAACCTGCTCGTGTGCGTTATGCTATGCAGCGCCTGAAGACGAGACTATTGGACGCCGTCGAATCTCCTCTGGAAACTCGCCTGTTAATGAGTTTATGCGCACCAAAAAAGGACTTGACATTTTTTCTTTGGTCTGTGCCTCGTACATTTTGTTTCAACCATCCACGTCTGCTTGCTTGCTGTAAGGTCACCTCCAGCAAAAGGCCAGCAAGCACCACACGTCCATTCATTCAACATCCGAGACAGTTCAAGTCAAAATACGACTTGGCACTGCACAGCCTGTTTGTCATGGTCGTCGCATCGCATCCAACCTCCAGCAAGGGCATACGCGTTCCCTTCTCTTTTTTTATGTTCGCAAATTGACTGGCTTGGCACCGTTTTCCGGGTCCGCCGGGCATAGCCACACGCAATTTCAGCGCCTTGGAAGCTGAGTCTGGCACTAAACCCTCCCAAAAATACGAACTTACTGCTCGCACCAGCCCTGTCGCTTAAACGACCAGCTACAGTGACCAAACTGGCACCGATTCGGAATGCCCTGTAAGTTATCGGCCTATTGCCTAAACGAATCAAAAGGATGTGCGGAACGCACAGTCGCTGGCGATGATCCAAACGCCGCATCTAGAATATCGTCGTCCTGTCAGTGCGTAACTCAACCACAGCCTCGGAAACTGTCGCAGGCCGTGGTTTTTACATGTCTGTTCTCCGCCTGTCCATTCGTACAAATTCATTGGCTTTTCCTTTTTTTTAAGCTCATGTCAAGCTTCCTGTCCAGCAGTAGACACATCCAAGTAAATCGTGCTGAGGCGTACAGTGCAGCTTCTAATCACTGGAGACATACATCGTCAATACAGCATCGCCCATAAGTCCAGCGGCGCACGAGGTCTATTTACTCCAGGTGAAATGTTTACCGCCTTCTTTCTGCCCCTTCTCCCTCATCATCCTCCTTCGCATATCCCTCGAACTTTCCCTGGGCAATCCCGCCTTACTTCCCTGGCACAGTGTCTCATCCAACGACTGCAGCCAATAGCGATGCCGCCCCCTCCTCGCCTCCCTTCTGCTGGTTCCTGACATTAGCGCTGCCCGCAAAAAGTGGGTTACCCGTAGACATAGACCACTAGCGTAGCGTAGTCAGATCATCCACACACTCAACTCACTCGCTCACTATAGAGGGGGCTCAGCTAAGCGGCTACAGTGGTGTGGTGCTTCGCTACCCGGAACACGGCGCCGAGAGGGCACATTATCCATTGCCGCTTTGCCGGCGCCGCCTCATCCCAATAATGAAGCTGAAGTGTCGACAACTACATTGCATTGCATAGCCATACTGTAATTTGTTACTGCGCTCACCTGCAGCAGCCTGTGCGGTGCTCGTTTCAGGCAGAGGATCGGTCCGCTTTGACAGCAGATGAAACGCTTTGGGCACGTCCTCAAACAAGCTCTAAACAAACGTGATCATCACACACAAAAAGCAAATAAAACGAAATAGTGGACCAGAAAATGTTATATGTACAACAGTCTATGTATGTATGCTATCCCAATAAAATATCACAAAAATACGCCAATGATGCGCGCTGGTACTTGCCCACTCAAAACGCCGCTGGCTTTAAGCAAAACCAGTCATTACAAAACGTCCCATTGCATGTTCCACGGTCGAACACCTTGTGTAAAATCAAGTCCATGCTTGTAGTCGCTAGCCAGCTCTTCCTGGTCGATACCACAGTGCATCTGTCCATCCCTGCCTTCGAACCAGCCCAGGCCGTACGTCTTGCCGTCATCGAGTTTGCGCACCATCGCGGCTGGGCTGAGCTTGTTTGTGCCGACAAAGTTGTACAGCATCTTGCTTTGGTGAATAAATGCAAGCACCGAGGCAATCGTCGTCGGCTGGCGGGGTAGGAAGGGATGCCGGCGTCGGATAAAGACAACCGTAGACACAATAATCATGTAGAGCAGGATGAACATGGAGAAACCCACGGACACGTAAAACGAGGTAAACGTTTCCTGTCCAGAGGTCACATTTTGGCTACCTCCACCTGCATTATATGTGTTGAGGAAGTCTTTTCCGTCCACCGACGCCAGACCTGCGACGAGGAGTGTCAGGAACTCAACCATGACGGATCCAAAGCCCACCAAAAAGACAAATATGTGGCCATTTAGCAGAGCCTGTACACTCATATAGCCCCACGGCATGGCGTTGTAGTCAAGCGTCAAAGTCTTGGACGGCGCATGACGCTTGGAGAGAATATAGTACGGCTCGAGCGTTCGAACGGCACTATCCAAGCCAATCCACAGTAGCTTGAGCACGACAGACAAGAGCGTGACGAGCCATGGGGCCTTTTCTGGCACGACGCCTAAATCCGTAAACAGAAATGACGGAATAAATATCACCATAAATACAATGTAAATGATGAACGGAATGCAGCACTTGGCTCGGAGAATGAGCGGATGCGGGTGTTGTGGTAGGATATCTTCCTTGTACTTTTCGCGGTCTTCCTTGGTGACGGGGTTTTCATTGTCTGGCGCCAAACACGAGTTCTGGAGCATATAGCGATGGCCCTTTAACTTTTCATGGATATCCTTTGGCTTCGCCGTGTCCATGTCCTTAAAGTCCATGAGAATATGGCTGACCACAGCCATGGATGCAAGGCCGGCAATGCCTCTAACGTTGGCCTGTAGGCCGGAACGACGGGTCTGAAGCAACGCAAATACTATGAGGCCGCATAGAGCATTGATGGCGAGAATCGATGTTAGAAGCCGAGACCACATGGGCTGGATGTGCAATGACTTGAGAGTGTCAGGGTCTTTGCGCTCCTGGCGGCTCGGCTCGAGAACAATAGTGGCAGAGGCAAACGTCGGCACAAGCGACATGGCAAAGAGCGCTGCCGACGACATGGTGGCGACAATGTAGTGCCTGTTCTTGATGGCATAAAAAGGGCGAAAGATATTAAACAGCGTGACATAATCGATGCTAATAGACTCGGCTGCGAGCGCACCACCAGGCTTGGACAGCTGAAAGTACGGCTCAAGACGCCGAATCTCAATGTCGGCAAATTGCCAAAGCACACCGTACACAATGCCTAGCAGTGTGGGCATAAACTTGATAAAGAATAGGAGTCCTGGTGAAATGTCCTTGGGCGATGTAAATTGCAGAATGCCCGTCTTCTTGTACTTTTGGAACAGCCACTCTTGCATAATGGCAAGGCCAATGGACAAGAAAATCAGCAGCGTCATGTACGGCCAGCGAATGGACCACGGCTTCCAGTTTGGCTGAGGGTAGAAGATCTGCGTCATGGATTCGCGCGGCAGCGCCGTCTCCGTGCGGCGAAAGTCCGAGGACTCGACAAAATTGGCGCCTTCGATGAAGCTAAGATCGGCCCCGGCAACATGCTCATGGTCTCCGTCCTCGACAATGACCTCGATAACTTGGCCAGTCTTGTTGGCCTGCTCTTGGCCCATATTCCGCAGGGTCTGCTGCCGGGTCATCCTTCGCCCAAGGCGCTGAGTGAAGCTGCGCGACAGATTGCGGGCAAGCGGCGACGTCGGGCTGTTCATCAGATCGGCATCTCTCATGCGGGTGTCTGGCCGGAACCCCTTTCCCAGGCCGCCGGTAAGATGCCCGCTTGCTTCCTGCTGCTGAATCTTGCGCAGAAACTCTTCATCGTGCGGTGTAAATGGGCCGAGGGCTGAGCTAACATCGAATCCTAACGGATACGACTCGTCGTTGTGGGCCATTGTTTCGTCGTGCGCCGCCGCCGTCGCGCCCATAGGCGCAGCTGAAGAAAGCAGGGCCATATCATATGATTCTTCCACATCATGCGCCGTATCCTGGTGAAGGGGAGCATCGTAGCTATAGTTTGAATGGCGCGTTGATTTTGACGCAGCTCTAGTGAGACCCCGGGTTGATTCGCCCAGCGGCGAATACGGCGAATATATCTTGGTGCTTGCATAAGAGAGCGAGCTTGTCCAAGTGGGTGTCTTTCCGGAAATCGGTGCTGGAGGCTCAGATGCTCTATCTCGATGAAAGTTGGCCTGTAGTGAGTCCGTCGACGCAGACGGATCAAATGCCACAGAAGCGGCTGCGGCGTCGTAGAGAACATCAATGTCGTTGGTCATGGCGGCCGACGAAGCAGCCCGTCGCGGATACGGAGACCCTCCGGACTCGTAATTATCGTGGTCCATCCTAGCGTCTATGTATCATGTTCGAGGGCAAGTCGAGCCGTGGTTTAGCGGGTAAATTGAGCAATTGGTGTTGACGCGGATATTTCGTAGCCGTGGCGTCGGTTGCCTCTTGAGGCTGTTTGGTGGTACAGGGACTTGCGCGTCGTCGGGTGAAGCTGGGAGAATAGGGCAAAGTCGAAGCAAGCAAACGTCTGCGAAGCCAAACAAAACAAAATAAGAAAAACAGTGAAGGAGGCAAAAAAGAAGAGCGAGTCAACAGGGGCCGAGGGGAAGTGAAGCTCTCTGCTGGAACGAAAGCCTTGTGAAGAGCGAGCGAGAGCGGCTGTAGTGGGGACTCTGTAGTGGATGTGACCGTAACTGGAGGATTTCTGCGAACCGGGGGAGCGGGCTGCAGAGGGGCAAATGGAGCCCTGCAGGCGCTGTCGGCGGCGCTAAAAAGGGCCGCTAACTGTGTTTGCTGGTGCACCTATTTTTAAAGCACTGGTGGTGTGCTGGGGCTGGCCCGCTACAGCAACGTGGAGGGCTGGGTGCTGCTGGCTTGCTGTGGTTGGCTGACTCGCCGCCCACTACAGGTGGTGGCGCTTACTGATTTGGGGCAGAAGACAGCCTGTTTCAGGGGAGGCTCAGTGAGGGGGGCGGCTGCCGCGATCGCAAGGCGAAGAATTGGGACGAAGCGGACGATGCTGCACGTAATTTAAAAAGTAGTATAGGTGGTTTGGTTGAATGAAAAAAAAGTGTATACACCTGTGGAGTCTATTTCTATGGCATGTAAAATAATAAAACAACAAAAAGTAGTAGAAAAGCCGGGTACAGCCTAACGCCTATGCAACGCATTGCAGAAATAGAAATCAAGGAAAACCAAAGATACATGTACTACCTACCACCCAGATTGTCTGTGCGTTTTACAGCAACAAGTACGAGGCGGTAAACATGGCTGCAAAACTAAGCCAGGCCACGGGCACTCCCGCGATTGTTCCCGCCGATAGCTTTCCGCAGCAGTCCCATTTATACGTGACATTGTTCACTCTCGCCGCTGCTTCAAACACGGAGCCGTTGGGCGTGCCGTAGTTGTAGTAGTCGACGTTGATAATGTTGGGCGCGCGGCCCCAGTCGGAGCGGCAGTTGTTGGCGGCAAGACCAGCGCTACCGGTGCCGTTGAAAGCGTTGGTCTCGTTGAGCACCGCAACAGCAGGCGCCAGAAGCTGGAGGTTGAAGACGTTGAACTCCACGTTGAGGTTGTGGTTCATCAGGTACATGCGGTTCTTGGCATCCTCAGGCTTCAGGTCAGGAGGGCGCTGGACCGTGCAGGGAAATTTGCGATCCGTGGGGTCGAAGGGTGTCTCCCACATCTGCGAAAACTCGTCGAGCAGCCAAGGGTACTTCTTCTGGTCCGCATTGTAGTCCATAAACATGATAACACGCTTGCCCGTCAGGATGAGCTCCTCGAGTGTTGGCCAGTCGTTGAGACGCATAGGGAGGAGGGGCGCTTCGTATGTGTACTTTAAGATGCCTGACTGCTCGATAAAAGGGACATATAGTGACGGGTCTGAGTAGTTGCCGTTGCCGAGAAGAATGGTGACGACATCATAAGGGTGAGCATCGACCCAGTTCTTCACTTCGCCAAGCCATTGATATATTGGTCCTGCATCTAAAAGGTCGCACGAAGTGTGGCAGAAGTGCGGAACGGTGCCATTGGTGGGCCATTGGATCTGGCCCTGCAGGAACCGGACGCCATCGTTGAGCTGCAGCTTGACGGGGAGCTCCTGGTTGGAGGCGACGTTGCCAGGTCTCACAAACGGCGAGTTATGGCAGCCAACCATGGTGATATTGGAGTACTTGCGTTTGCAGAATTCGACATACTGGTTGCATGGCTGTGTATTCTTCGGTGCTTGAGACGACGTCGCTGTGGCATTGGCACCCGTCGGCGATGAGGGAAATAGGCTGCCAGAGATGGTCGATGCAGTCTTATTTCCACCGAGCGTGATTTGCGATGTGTAATTGGGGTAAGCACTGCTGGGCACAGATGTTCCCTTGCCAGGAGCATCTGTCTTTGTTCCCGTGAGGAACGTGAGATCTGTGGTACCTGCACTGTAGCTAATAACTTGCCCCGATACGGCGGGTACCAGGATGGCAGCGGCGCCGAGGGCAGCCACAAGACTGTATTTCATAGCTGGTATATGGTGGGAGAAGGCGGAGGAGGAGGAAGCCTTGGATGTTCAATGTTTATCGTGTCTTAGACGTAGACTAGGGAGACCTCTGCGAACGATCGATACGGGGTTGAGAGTCGTGGAGAGTGCAGTTGCTAGTAGAGGAGAGAAAGTAGGCGAAGGGATTGAAGAGTTTGAATATATGTGGCGGAGATGTAAAAGAAATCTGTAATCGGGGCGATGACGTTTGAGAAGAGCGAGATCGCGGTTGAGAATGGATGTGACGGATAGGCTTGTTGTGGTAGACTGGTGTTAAGGTCTACACCGATTGGACGTAAATAGCGAAATAAATGAAAGACGAAGACAAGAAATAGCCAAGAGCAATGCCAGCCTTGGGGCCAAGAAGAGAAATAGCACAGCCAAATGCACGGCAAAGTAAGGCAAAGGAAAAAAAAACGAACGATGGTTGTCAGATGCGGGCGCGCAGCGTATGGAAAAAGACGTGAGACCGAGCACTAGTGCCGATAGCACGCCTGGAGGAGCGGAGCGGCAGGGAGGCGCAGGCCCAAGAGTGGATGACCAAGAGTGGATGACGTCGTCTATCAAGCAAAGCGGTAGATGAGGAAAAAATAAGGAGAAGGAATTATTTGTGCAAGAGATGCTGTTTTTTTTTGCTGGGTGATGAGAAAAATATGCCAATGGGATATTGAGATGAATGAATAACCGCCCGTTCTGTCCACTGAGGTGTCTTGCTTCGGACATCTACCGTTCTGTGCCAACAAACTCTACTAACAGAACCGTGGAGGCCAAATACACAGCATCCAATCAAACAAGGTGAAACTGGCCTGCTGCATCATCCATGCAGCCAACAAATCGTGCCTCTCTCGTATTTTTCCCGCCGAGCTTCCGCCCGGGTTGCCGCTACTTAGAGCACAGACAGGGCCCCAAGCACCTGGATGTTGGGCCGCCTGTTTCCTAGGCCAGGCCCCTTGTAAGTCGCAGCTTAAGGAGAAGAGAGCTGCCATGTACTCTTAGATGGACAAGGGATTCTTGGCGGCGTTTTGTCGACCATGCACACCAAGAAACAACAATTGCGTCTTTTCAAAGCAGACAAACACAACACTCCTCACTGTCCGATTCTATGCGATGGTGGCTATCAGACTCGGCACGCTCGGCATCGGGCGTCAACGACTCGCGTAGATTTTGGCACCATTGAACGCCATCTTTTTTTCTTCGCATTTTTTCTTTACCAGCGCATTAGGGAGCACTACAATTACTACAGACAGGCATGTCCAGCACACAATATTGGCCTGTTGCAGTAGAGGGGCCGCGTAATCATCAGCCCGCTGGCCCAGGGCCATACCCATGGCAGAGAGCAGGCTGGCGCTTGGCAAAACAAGCAGAAAAGCCCAAGCTGTGCTTCGTATTCTTGGTCAGTAAACAGAGGCCAATCAGTTGTTGCTGGTATTGATGCTATTCGTTTTTTGCTTTCCCATCAATTTTGTTTTACTTGGAGTCGCTTTGGTCTCTTGTCCCTGATGTTGGTTTACATAAACTGCCGAGACAGCAATGCAACCTACTAGGCAACTGATAACTGCTATAAATTTAACGGATGCCAGCACATGGGGCGCCTGTAACCGCTGTAAACCCGCTACTTGTAGCTCGCACCTCGCTGATAACACAGCCTGCGCCCCTAAGCATCAGGCCGCTAGCGCAGCTCCAGTGGGCCCAGGCCCCGTTAAAGCTCATCACTAGCGCTTAATTGGCACCTGCCTTGGTTTCCACGTCTGCCGTCATCGCGAGATCGAGCAAAAAAAATAAGGGCGCCTCGCCGATGCTCGCTCGTCTCCTTCTGCTCGCAACCTCCAGCGTCAGCCCTCGTTTTTCTCCTCCTCTTTCTTCCGTCAGGCGGCATCTTCTCCGTAAACCGTCCTCTCGATCTTTTTTCTTCACGCCTTCCATTTTTCATCTTTGTTCCTCAACTTTATCGACTTCACCCTCCCAACCTCCAAGAACACGGAAACCCGCGTCATCCGCTTCTCTTCATTCCATACCTGAATACTACCACCAACGCCCATCGGATCTAAAATCTTCTTTCTCGGCGTTGCCATCTCCGGATTATTTTGGGGGCGTCTTCTGATAGACAGAACTTCATCTGCCTCTACCGTCATCGCTCGTCGCTCAATTGACACGCCTCCGACTCACCAGTCGCATCACCACCGGCCTCGTCGCCGGCTGGGTCATCGTCATTGGCTTTGTGAACAATATAGCTTCGGATTGCTCACTACCACCACAATGGCCGGTCCTTTCGCTCGCCGGAATACGGCCTATGTAGCCATGGCCTGCTACTTCATCACCCTCCCCTTTCTCGCCCTCGTCCTCACGGGCAACATCCGCGTCAATGACGTATTGAACGATTTCTACTTCTTCAAGCTCGACGTCTCTCACATCATCCCGGTTGCTGTTACCAACTCCAATTTGCTCAACTCAGTAGCACGAAGTCTAGGTCTACACGACTTTTACACTGTCGGACTGTGGAATTTCTGCGAGGGCTACCTTGACGAGTAAGTATCTCTGTCGCTCACAATTACACTCCAGTAAGCTAACCGTCACTCTTCAGGGGCGTCACTTTTTGCTCGAAACCTCAACAATTCTTCTGGTTTAATCCAGTGGAAGTCCTTGTCAGCGAACTCTTGGCCGGTGCCCGAATTGCGCTCCCCTCACAAGTCGTCACCATTCTCAACCTCCTCCGCATCGGCCAGCAAGTAATGTACACCTTCTTCATGGCGGGCAGCGTCCTCAACGTGGTGCTGCTAGTCGCCACACCTCTCGTCATCATAACTCGCTGGTGGACCCTTGTTGTTGGCTTTGTCGCTGGACTGTCTGGCATTGTCTTAACCGTTGCCGCCATTATTGCTACCGTCATCAGCGTTGCGGCCAAGGTGGCCCTCACGGCCCAAGACCAGCTCAACATTAGCGCAGAGATTGGCGTCAAGATGTTTGTATTTATGTGGATCGCCGCCATCTTTACGGATGTCGCCTTTTTGTTCCACGCTGGTATGGCCTGCTGCTGCCGACCTGACCGCTCAAAGCGTAACAAGGGAAGCGACTCGTTTGAAATGGAGGATCGCAGCACTGGTAGATCGTTGCCTGCATTTGGTAGCAGACGTCGACGCACTAGCCAGTAAGGTAAAACACACCACATACAAGAACAACAGAACATACACTCGGATTTACTTGTTTCGTATTGTATTTATTCCACGGGCGTTGAGGTACTACCATCGGATTGACTAGCATATGCATTATTTTTGACTATAGAATTTGGGCACACGAAAATATAGAGACACTTGTTACTTTCCCTTCAAACTATACTTTCCCCCTGTCGTCTTCGTCCATAATCTACAAGGCAATGGTGGATCCATTCACCTTGTTCCCAAGTGAACCGCACATCTTCGCAACAAGACATTGATTAACAGCCATAACAAAGCTCTTGAGCTGCGCATTATGAATGTCATCCATGGCTAACCAATTGGGATACATATGGTCATTCAATGCAGGCCAGAGCTCAGAGTGCAGCGTTCGCCAGGTGCCCCTCGCTAGATCTGTGATGCTGTCCAGAGGAAATGCAACACCAAACCCCTGCTGCGTCAGTAGCCAGTCTGACCTATAGACAGGAGTGAAGCGACTCCCACTATACTTCTCGAGCTTGGCAATCTGGTCTCTCGCCATGGAAGCCGGATCAGACATATCAGACCAGTACTCATTGACGGGAAAGTTGAGCTCTGTTACGAATCCTTCCGCTGCGCCAGGAAACTTGCCACCCTTTCGAATCCAAGACGAGTGCACCCGAACCAAGACAGCTGAATTGTTGTTATATAGAAAGTCTCTAAGTGTCAGCCTTGTCAAGTCCCCGTTCACCGCAACGTTACGGCGATATTTGAGCTTCATAAGCTCGGCGTACAGCTTCTCGCGCTCCAGAGAATTCAAACCGCGGAACGAGGCACCGGAAGTAGCAACATGGTGGATATCCAGAATGATCAATTCGCCTGGATAGTCCTTGTTGAAGCGATTAATCTGCGTCACCATATCGTCAATGCTGGCACCAAGCATACCGTTCCAGAGGCCAGCCACAAAATTGCCATGCGACTCCCAGAATCGACCCTTGTGGTACGAGGGGCGGATGTCGAGAACGCGGATACCTCCCTCAACAAGCTGCTCGTACAGTGGCTTGCGCTGTGTCTGTGTGTTCTTCGGAGTAGCTACACCTTTTAGCTTGCTGATCTTGTAGGATCCCGCATGGTGCGAACGAGGAAGAACGACTTCGTGAAGGGGGAAGTCTCCTACAACATCAAGTTGAGACTGCATCCAGTTGATGGGGGGATTCGCGCCAATAAATCGGTCCTCAGTGCCTGCAATGATAAAACCCACTCCACCAGGAGATCTGGAGAATCCTAGATTATGTTCGGAAAGCTGGCCGCTACCGCCGCTGCGCATGTTCTCGAGGTATTGAACATACACTTTATGCCTGCGGCCCTCCCGGTACTGCACCTGGAATGACATAGGGACAGTCGTGTTTTCGAGTTGATATGTCACCTCAGCGGCGCTCCTTTTGGGAAACCAGCTCGCAGAAAGCTGGACTTGCATGGTAGTAGCCTCACCAGGGTGGACAAACTCTGGCCATTCAGTTGCCCATTTCTTCAGCTGGTAGGCCCTTTCGCCCGTTCTACGCCAGATGTATGGTGTGGCATTGATGATGGTGATGTGCGTGTTGTCAATGGTGGCGATGGATCTGTTTGGCCTGCGAGGAACTTGTCGATGGACTTGAATGTCGTGACTATTTTCATGCTCATCGAAGTCTATAAATGATTGTTCAGCTTGTGATTCAGAAAATGCCCATGGCTTTGTCTGATCGACGAGAGATCTGACAGAATGGTTCAACTATGTATGTTAGCAATGTATTTGGTACCAAGTATTATCAGGGAGTATTAACCTTAGTTGAGCTAAATGATGAGGCGGTGGGCCCTTCAATCCCAAGGATTGAAATAATGATTATAGTATAGAGGATTAGTGAGATAATAAGAGCCGTGATGGCTACGACTTTTGAACTGAAATAGCTCATTTTAGCGATGAACGTGTTACTATTGTACATGCCGGATGGAAGAATAGATGTGAAAAAGTTGGTTAACAAGGGTGACTAGGCTGCCAATTTTATACTAGAAACTCGGTAAGATGCTCATACCGTCTAAGTTATAGTTTCGCTTCACTAGAGTTTTCAATGTTGGACGGGATTAAGCTCAGTTTACCACATGTCTCGCTTAGGAGCAAATTTATTGTAAAAATCTATCATGAAAAGCTTAAAAATGACGAAGAGTCGCAACGCCATGCCAACGATTGGGTTTCATAAACTCATTTCAGCCGTGTGCTACTATGCCCGTCATCAGATCCTCATCCTCAATCTGACTGTCAAAGCCTACTCCGGGATCTGGCCCATCCTTGTCTGCTCGTTTCTGTTCCCGAGCAACAAACTTGACGTACTCGTCGTTGCTAGCCAGCTGTTCTCCTATGAACTTGTACTGGGCTGTAAGCTGTTTGACGTTTCGGTGGCATCTAGCAATCTCGTGCGCGTATTCCGCTTCTGTCTGGACCACAGCACGCTCTTCAAAAGACACATATGTAACCCCATCATCACTAGTTTCCAACTTGGCTTGTAGAGCACCATTTGCAATCATAGACTGAATCAGCTCGGCAACCTCGCCCTCGCTGCTGAGCTGATTGCCAGTGTATGCATTTTGCGTTGAGCGCCATATCTGGCCCAGTGTGATGTTGCTATAAGCTTTGCGGAGCTGCAGAATTTGCCACTGTTGGTAGCCTTTCATTACCTCTTCCACCAGCCCCAGGTTTTTGTGTTCCTCCCAGAGACTCTTGTGCTTTTCATACAGCGATTTAAGCTCTGTTGCGTTATTCTGTGAAAACGCCTTGGCAAATTCGGTGTACGCGGCGTTAAGACCTTGGAAGCTGGTTTTCGCGTGCGTGGAGGTGTATGAGGGTGTCACTGGTGTTGATCCCTCACTCAAGAGACCAACCAATATCCAGGTTTGGTGCGCTTCAACCATAATCTTGCTGACGCCTCGGTCTCTTGAAGGGTGGCTTATAACTTGTTCCAGCGCAGCCTGGGCGCTTTTCCAGTTCCTTTGAGAAATGAAAATAAGACCACGAAGATAGTTGTATTCGAGAATCATAGCGGAGGTAATTTTATCGGTGAACCCATTTCCAGTGGTGATGAATACGGGCGGGGAAAGCGAATCGTCACCGAGGAAGAAGTCACGCTTGGACGTATCACCCATAGCGCCAAGCATGTTGTGTCGCGATGAGACGGCAACCGGGAAGTAAAGAATGTTTCGGTTAGCAATGTCTAGAGCAGGAAGATATGATTGTGTTTCGGCGGCGTGCTTCATCAAGAGCATATGTGTCGAGGTGAAGGTGGACGCTGTCGGGTCGAGTCGAAGAATGGCGGTTGTCAGGATTTCAATGGTGATGCGGGGCTAAATAGCTAGAATTAGACAAGCATTTCACCCAGTAGAAGTATTTGGAAGACATACAGAGAAGACGCCCTTGTGAACAAGGCCGGCCAGAAGCTCTTTGAATGCTCTGCCTACGTAGCGGACCTGGGCAGGCCTAAAGGCACTGACGAAGCCGACAATGGCATCCTGCAGTTGTGGCATGTAATCGAGTCGAGTTAAATCGCTGTTGACAATAGCGTTTAAAAGTACAAGGTAGCCTGCGGAATTTGTTGCGGGATCGAGGAGCTAGTTGGTTCAATGTTAGCTTGGCAGTGCTTTTCAGAAGCTATTCGACTGCGTGCGTACCTCTAGAAATGATGTACCCTTTGCAGGAACAGCGGCTAGAGTATCAAGCACCGACAATTCTGCCACATATCGTCTAATTTCAACATCATCGGCCTTTTCGATCGAAGCCCGGGCAAACGCCTCGGGGAAGTTGGTGAGTAGAGCCTTGACCTTGTCCATCGTGCCAACGTGTGCGGGGAAATCGTCTTTATTCGTGAACGTGGTCGAGCATCCGGCTCGTCAAGGACCACAATCCAAAGGAGTATCAAGTAAAATCAATTGTAAAAGATCGCCGGTATCTATTGTCTTGCGTAGCTTGGCGATCGTGGAGCTGTGACGTTGCAGAAGAAGGAAGAGAGGCGTGCACGATGGCGGGGTGGCGGGGTGCTGGTGGCCGACGTTAAACCGATCAGGCGTTATTCCAGGCACCACCACAGCAGCCTCTGTCACTACGGCGTCAACACCAACCACTAGGCAGCACAGCATAGGCCAAGCAAACATTTGCATTGCAAAATACAATAAAAATTCTATCTATAATTTGTCTAATTTTCTCCCTCGTTTTGTTCAGCAACTCTTATACTCCATAATGTTATAGTGCCTTGCATCAGAGCAATCTCAGCTATATCGAAGCACCCCTCTTTCAGACAACCCGGGAGCCCACATTCTCTCGTACGCCATTGTATCCCGGGTTGTTGCTGTTATTGCCTCCGAACTCCGCAGCATCCGTGCCCATAGAACACCACGAGCTCATGGTTGACGATCTCTGGTGATGGCCAGGTCGCATTGGTCCTCGAACAAACGGAACAATACCGCTCCGCATCCATGGCGAGTTGCTCGTTCCTTGGCCATTGCCTAAACCAGGCGGTTCAACAGGTCTCATTGGAATATTTCCATGTAGAGGTCCGGGAGCGAAGTTTCTCTTATCAACATCTTGCTTCAATGCATCTCCTCGTCGGTCACTGCTCCTCGGGGACGTAAAGGAAGCGTTGCTACTGCTGGACGAGCTTCGGCAAACGCTCATCTCCTCGTTTCTTTTCTTCCACCAGGCTGGGAAGCCTTGGAATAACCCTAGGGATCGCTGTACGTTTTCGTCAAAGGGCATTTCGTGCCTGAACTTGCAGCCCTGCTGTGTGAATGCGCACACGCCTTCGTGAACCCACTTGTCACAGTACACTTTGCCTCGTCGTAGTGAGCCGGGACTCGTGGTAACTATCCGATCGATGGATTTCTTGTAAAATGTGTCAGCTTATCCGAAAACGTTTCGCCATTGCAATATTTCACATACCTGCACACCCTCGTTCCCAAAATCACCATTTTGCTGCTGTTGTTGATCCTAGCAAATCAGTCAACACCATCATTTTGCCCTGTAATCGAACCAATAATAGTAACCTTGATTCCTAGAAATGTCTTGAGCTGTTCTTCGCTTCGTACAATGGGCAGGACGATCATGCCCTCCTGTCGTGGCTCTCGGGCGGGCACCTGTTGCAATGGAGGGAGCATATCAGCTGGAACAAGTCTGGTGTATTCGCCATTTCCCCTGTCGATTACATAGAAACAATGGTCCTGGGCTTCTGCTGCATTTTGAACACGAGGTATAGAAGGTTGAACGGTTGGATGTGCTTGGGATTCGGAAAACATCGAAACACCACTCGGCTGCTCCGAGAGAATCGCTTTCCCCAGGCTGCGGTACGGATTATGAGTAAACATATTCGCAATCTGCTGAGTATTCCACAATCCTTGGGCTTCCATATACGATTTGACGTAAGGAGAAAGTGACATGCTACTTGCCGAACTGGCGCTGTGCTTAAGGTGCTTCGGGACCTGTTGTGTGTGTAGCAGATGCATCGCCTGGGAAGCAGATACCATATTCCAACCAAGTAATCTGCTGAGAAATAAGCAAAGTCCAGCGCTAGAACTTCCGAAGCAAAGGAGATGCTTCCTCAGAGTTCTTCGCACGTCTAGTAACACGGCGGACAGAGTGAGGGCGGACTCGTGCCGATGATGCGGGCGGCCGGGTCTCAATTTCACAATGGGCGGGCGCACACGCTTTGCGGAAATGTAAGTGGCTGAGCAGACAAAGAAGATCGAAATATTGTATACTGTAGCAGTTTAAGGAGTCGAATTGTGTGAAATACCGCCTCTTGTTCTGTAGTAAAACGACAGCACTAGAAAGTAAACCCTCGTTTTGCAAGCCAAAGCTTCGGAATATGACCGCTTCAGTAGCAGGCGCCCGGCCTGATATATCAACACAAGTAGAGCGCTCACCGACTTCAATGCGGTATTCTGTGTTTGTGCGCCCCTTCACCAACGGCAGCGCCCATTCATGTTGTGGCCGGCTACGCGCAGCGCCCAAAGGATTCCGTTGGCCACGTCATGCACAAGATTATTTCTAGGAAACGTGTATGTATAAAAATGTATAATACAATCACTAAGTAATGTGCACGTGCGTCACTACGTCACCGTAGGAGGATATCATCTAAAAGAGCAAAGGAAACAATCAAATAGCCGACCCAAGTCTTAGTCACGGTCTTCTGCTTCCAAATCAATAATTTCCGGAGACGGCTTCTTAGGTGGTGTTTCTGGCTCCAAATCAATAACGTCTGGGCTAGATGCCCTAGGCAATGCTGCGCTACCTGCCGCATTGTTCATCCACGCAGCGCGCCGTACCCGTTCGCCGATATCCGCCTTGTTTGTGACAATGAAGCGCAACTTGTTGTTCATCGCGGCTAGCCACGTTGTCTTGAGTGATCCTTGCCTCATGTGTCTGCCCACAATGTCAATGCCAATTCGTGCTTCTGCTTCTGTGGATATCGTTTGTAAATAGGCCCCAAATCCTATCTTGATGGTGTCTGAATTTGGGTCCATCGTTGTTAGAATGGCTTTTAATATCCCCATCCCATCTACTTTCGCTCGCTTGGGCTTGGGCGGACTGTCGGTTATCGTTACTACCTGCGGTCCTGGTGGAACAACGCTGGATATGACTGCTTCTGGTTTCGTTTGGCCATCTTGTGCTAATGGCACTGTTTCAGCCTTTTGAGACTTCACGACTGTGCGTGCTGGCGGCGGTGGAGGGTTTGGGTCCCAAGAGCGAGCAAGATGGCTCAGTGCAGACTGTGTGGGTAGGCTTGTAACGCTGTTCAAACGGACACGAAAAGAGGTTTTGCCCATAGCATGTCTTGTCGCCATATTAACCACTGCCATCTGGTCTTCCGGTGACAGAAGCGGGCGTTTGCGATTTAGCAAAGGCTGCTTCCCCTTTCTTTTGCCTTGTAAGCCTTTGGGCGGGGCTTTTGAAACGTCGATAGAAACGTCTGTTGGGATATCTGTTGGACGGTTTGTTGGCAGACCTAGTGGCTGTGAATGGACTTGAGCAGACTGATATTGTTGAGAGGCCGCTAAGCCGGTAACTCGGGTGGCGTTGTCTAGCCGAAGATTGTCAGAGTCCGTGCCGAGCATCGAAACTAGTTTAGCAAATGTTAATAAGCTGCTTCAGTGCCATTGTTTTGAAGGAAAACACTTGTTTCTTTCTTGAGCTGCGACATCCACTTGTGATTTGGTCGTGCTTTTTGACTCATCTTCGGCGTTGTGCTTTACCTTTGGTCCGCAACTCGGGTACATCCTCCTCGCTCTCGCTCTGGGCGGCATCTTCAAAGTCGTCCTGCGAGTCAGTGTCTTCATCCAGACCGAGATCGTTGGCGTGCGAGTTGTAGTTAACATCCTAAATTCGGTTAGTACAAGCAGTAGTCGCATGAAAAGTAACATACGGTTCGCCTTCGTCCTCCGCGACCAAGCACTTCTTGCGATAGCTCTGCTTCTCGCCGGGCCTCTTCTTCTCTTTGAGCCAAGATCTTGTCCCAGAATCCTCTGGATGCGTCATCATCAATAAGTTCATCGTCATCAATATTCCCCACGTCTTCAAGGCTGGAATTTGAATTATCCCAAACTTGGCCGTATGGGAACTGGGGCTGTTCGGTCGTCGCGGCGGCTGTGACTAAAAGATCAGACCGATCGAGGAGCTTGTCAACGGCTGCAGATGTGTACTTGATGGCTGTTTTTTGGTAGTCATCATTGAATAGAGCTTCTGCACCATGTTTGAGAATAGATTCAATATCTTCCGCTTCTAAATTCTCATCATCCATGGTTTCAATGAGAGCATGGTCAAGGGCCATTTTGCGTCGGCCCATTTGCATGATGCGCTCTTCCACAGTTCCCTTTGTCATGAGCTGAAAGCAGAGGACACTCTTCTTCTGGCCAATACGATGCGCTCGAGCAAATGCTTGCATATCTTGGTGAGGATTGAAATCGGGATCCATGACAATAACAGTGTCTGCCGTAGCGAGATTAATTCCGACGCCACCGGCACGCGTTGACAAAAGCATAACAAATGCAGGCGAATCAGGAGCATTGAAAGCCTCAATACACTGTTGCTTTTCCAGACTTGTCATGGAGCCATCGAGTCTTTGGAAATTATACCGCATCCCGGCCATGTACTCTTCCATGATGTCAAGCTGAATGAGAAACTGACTGAAGATGAGAACCCGGTGGCCGTTGTCCCTCAGTTTTGGAAGCATGATATTGAGAAGCTCAAGCTTAGCCGATGCATGTATCAGATTCTGGTGCAGGATAGCGGCATCGTGGTATGTTTCTTCAATTGCCGTTGAGTAAACGAACGGATGGCATAGGCATTTGCGTAACTGCATCAGTATATTATTCAGGCTTCCTTTTTCGGAACGGGTTAGCTCGCGTTTCGCAAACATAGCCTTGATCAATTGGGGGTTCTTGGACATAATAGTCTTGGATAACTTCGCTTGAAGTGCAGTCATGGTGACTGGGACGATAATTTGGCGCATTGGTGGTAGAAATGTTAATACGCCGGCTTTGGTGCGACGTAGAAAGTATGGCCGAATCTTCTCATGCAATTTCGGAAGATTGTCCTTGGTCAAGACGGCGTACTCCTCTCCCAGCTTATCAGCATTCTGATTCCGGTCTATAAACTGAAGAAGGTTAAAAAGCTCCTTTGTGTTGTTCTGCAGCGGTGTACCGGTAAGAAGGAGTTGGAACGGAAGCTTGATCGCCGACAGAGCTGTATATAGTTGGTTCTCGTCATTCTTAAGGCGTTGTCCCTCGTCTACCACCAAGCCTGCCCACTGCACCCTTTTGAACTTGCCATGGGTTGCAGGATCTTGGGCAGAGTCATACGACATGACGACAACGTGAGCCTTCATATCATCAGCACCGTTCGGGAAAAGCTCGTACTTGTATGCATATTCTTGGGAAACCTTTCCTCCATGATAAGAGACGACGCGTAAATCAGGAGCCCATTGCTTGAATTCCCGGCGCCAATTACCACAGGTAGCGTTTGGGACGACAACCAGGAACGGATAACACTGTTTCAAAATTAGTACAAAAATTAAACGTTCTTATAGAGGCGAATGACCTACTTTTGGTGTGTCATGGATTAATGTTGCGATGAAGCTGATCACCTGGACAGTCTTTCCAAGGCCCATCTCATCTGCTAAAATGACACTTTTAGATTCGTGAAAGTTGTCCAGCATCCAGTTGACGCCTTCTATCTGATAGTCCATAAGACTGCCTCCCTTAATATACGTAGGCTGGCCCGTTATCTGTGGCGGTTTGCCAAGCCGCATTTTCCGCAGACGCTCTCTGATGATATTCGGGGCTTCGTTTACAAAGAATTGACCATCGACGTACTGCTTATACGCATCTTGAAACGCTTCATACAGAAACCCCATTTCCTTTGTTGGCGGCGAATCCCAAACAACAAAATCGTAGCTGAGGCCTCGAAACCTGACCAGCATACGCTTAACACTGCTAACCGCTTTGAGAGCAGCTTCCTTCGTTTTAGGCATGCTTGCGTTGTGGTTTAATTTGAGGGCAAATATGATGTCTGCTGTCAGATAATCGGCGGGGATGGCATCCTTCTCGCTTCCCTTGCAAAGGGGCTGTTCCGCCGCGCGTTTAGCAAAGGAAGATCTCATTGTCCCATGGGCAAAACCGTAGAGCCATGAGCCTGGAACCCATGTGCAGTGGAAATGGGACTTGTGTTCCCATTTTATCAAGTAGTTCTTTTCATCTTCTGATACGTCAGCATGCACAAGAGTCGGCGCATAAGTCGACATATCTGATGGCCGCCAGGCTACTATTTGGTGTATCTTTCCTGGCGCAGCAGAGCACTGATTACAAGTCGAGTCAACCATGTAGTCTTCCATTGATCCGGGTTGAATCTCGTCTGATGTAATCCGTTTGCCAAGTGCGGGGAGATGATCCTGATGCCATGCTCTGTGGCAGCCATTACATCGAAAGAGAACATTTTCTCCATTGTTGATCAGTGAATCCTCGACAACAGTGATTGGATCAATGCCATCATGTTCTAAACGTAGCTTTTCTTCCTGCTTTGCTCTTTGGCGCTTTGAAAACGCTTTGCATGCTCGACCGTCTGCTTTGCACTGCTGGCATCTTGAATATGATGGAGCCTTCTTGTCGTTCTTTGTGTATGTACCGGTGCAATACTTGCATTGGAGGACAAATTGATCCGTTCCAACCTTCGTCACGAGATGATCTCGAGCACTGCGAGGACCAAGACAATGCTTGTGTACCGCCGTTGTACAGCCCTGGCAGAAAACTAGCTGGCCTCGTCGTCCGCTCTGACCACATGAAATACACTGTCTCAGGTGGACAGAACCGAATTCAGAGGTTACAGATATATCTTCGAACACTTCTTTGATGCTATGTATTTTGGGAGTATCGGATGTTTTCACTATGCGTTCATCGTATAGGATATCGTCGAGGTCATCCTCAACCATGCTAGCCGTGTTCTTTGTAGCGCGGCCAGAGCGTCGTACATCTGCATCGTTATGGGAACGTCGCTGTAATCGAACAGGTTTCCGTCTAGCCATGCCCCTTCTAGGTCTGCCCGGCAATGCGAAATCCGACCGGATTGGGTAGAAGTCGTCTTCATCTTGAAGAGGGTCTATATCAGAGTCGTCGCTCATCGTAACCATCCCTACGCTTGCTTGCGATAACCTTGTGAGGTTGACCGATTTATGTTCTCGTTTCCGAAGGCTGCGTTGTCGATGTGTGATATCCGACGGCACAGAGTCACTATCGTGGACGACTTGCCGGTGCCGGCGCGTGCGGCGTGGTATTAAAGATGATATGAGTGATGAAGCAGATGAGACAGAGTTGGTGCTAGCGGCATCTTCGTTATCTGAGCCATCATCAAAAACGTAGGTTTTTCGTCTCTTGTGCGACGATTGTATGTGATCGGCGGCGTCCATGAATTCGAATAGGGCCTCCTCCGCGTTTGAGAATGTGAAGAGGTTGACGTGCTTGATCTAGTTGGGCCAAAATATCAGTAAATGTTGAAGCAAGTTAGAATTACCCAGAATTTTGCAGAGTTAAATATCCCGTTGCGCATTCGCTCAAAGACAGTCAGCGTCGCTGGCAGCGAGTGCCAACACAGAAGTGCAGAGGGCTTTAGGCAAGGCAAGTCTTCGGCGAAGGCAAAAGCCATGCAAGATAATACTAGATGCATTCCCAGGGTCCATCAAAGTAGTGCAACGACTTACCACATCTTCTCGGCCATCACTAAACTCAACAGTGTAAAGTGCGTCGAGGCCACTGCCCGACTGGTCGACGATTCGTTCTATTATGGAACTCTCGACGACTTTAAACTCATTGAGCAACTCTTGGGAAACTATAGGAAGCCCAATTTCGATTGCTCCAAGCTTTTCTGTTATTTCATAGTCGGTGCCTTGTTTACTCGAGTTGCTGGCGGTGTCGACGGCTTCCAGGTCTGGCGCTGGCGACAGCTGTGGCGGTTTCTCATCTTGAAAACTGTGACCGGAGACAGCATCGGAATCTTCGTCATCTGATATCATGAGTGAATCGTTATCCTTTGTTTGCGCCGGAGGAGAGCTGTACTCTGTGTGTTCGTCTGTAGACTCCATGTTTGGCGGTTACAGCTCGTCGCAGTACAGACATCTGACGAGATAAACAGTCCGTATTCGTATATTCGTAGCACTCGAGTGGCTATTGCCTGTTCATTGTCGCCGTTTCCCGTCATAGCAGCCACAGCGCATCGTGAAGAAGTGAATGGAAGGTAAAGCAGAAGTCACTAGAGCTGCATTGTAGTACGCTTGCCGTCAAAGTTAATGGCAGGTGAGTCGCGTAAATAGGCCCCCACCCTGCAAAGCCTAGGTCCTCCCACCAGCGCGCGCAATACTGTAGCGCCTAACAACGCCACCTGTAGCCACTACACTACCTGTAACAAGCCCATGTGATGTCAGTGTACAGGTACCAAAAAAAATGACGAGAAAAAAAAATAGGGGACTGCTCTCTGATCTGGCCATCAACCATTTTCTTAAACTCCCGGCCGCGCTTGCTCAATGATGCAATGATTTCTACAAGGTTCTCGGCAGTTAATTTGCCATACAGGACAATAGGGCCTTATATTACAACACGCTCAGCAAGCCTGTCCGCCATCCATCGCGGCCTACGACGGTCCGAACGAGCTCAACATGGCGCACCACGACCACGCAGTCCTCCCAGTAGATTGACGGACCGCGCCCTAGGCGGTGCCTCTTCCGATAGGCAGCGATCCAAACTTCGAAAGAAGCTGTCAAAAAAGGAAGAGGAGGAAGCCGACGAGGAGTCTGGTCGTCAAACCCGTCGAAAGAGATTCACAGACCCGTCGTCCGACTTTGGCAAAGGTAGCCTGGTCTACGAATTGAAGCACGGCGCCTTCAAAGACAGGCTAGAAACTTTCCAGAGAGATAAGCGAGCAGAGCTCAAATCATACCAAGTAGACAGGCGATCAAGCAGCAACTTTGGATCACGAAGAATGCAGGACTCGCGCGACAATGGCCAGGATAGCCACCGAGACGGCGGTGGCTGGGCATCAAACTTTGCTTCTCGGAGAGAACGACCAGAATATACAGACAAATCACCGACAAAGCGATACCAGTCTTCTTCGACACCCCGAGATGCCCCTAGACAACGAGACGACATGACGTCGACTATGCGCCATGCTCGCCGCACCGAGAGTGCACCACCAACGACCACCATCAAATACTCCACAGCCGCTTCACAATTTCTCTACGGAAAAGCTGTAGTCAAGTCTGCTCTTGAGCAGGAACGCCGCAAACTCTACCGTCTATACGTACAAACTGGCGAGAACCGCAGCGACGACCAAACGCTCACACGACTAGCCGAGCGCAAAGGTGTCGCCATCCAGAGGGTGCCTAGCAGCGAGCAGCACGTCATGGACAAGATCAGCATGGGCCGCCCTCACAACGGCTACATTCTTGAAGCCTCGCCTCTACCACAGCCCCCCGTTACTGGTCTAGGTGCTATCGAGCAGTCACCAGGCCGCAACGGCTTCCACATCTTCCTTGGCCACCAGACCAAGGAAGAGCTCGACGTGAACGGTAGCGACACCTTTGTACGACGTTCCAGTGGCAAATTCACATCAAAGCCATTTGTACTTCTACTGCATGAGATCATGGACCCTGGTAACCTGGGTGGCATCCTGCGCACGGCAAGCTATCTGGGTGTGGACGCAGTAGGCATCACCAGCCGCAGCTCGTCATCGCTGACACCAGTGGTGCTCAAGTCTGCAGCAGGTGCTGTGGAGGAGATACCCATCTTCAGGGTCGACTCGCCCCTTGCGTTTCTCGAGGCTTCCAAGCAGGCTGGTTGGCGTACGTATGGTGCCGTGGCGCCGCCAGAAAGAAAGCTTGCGGAGCGCCACGACGGCAAGTTTGTATCTCTGAATGACGTGGAAGCATCGCAACCGTTGCGAGACGCGCCGTGCATTCTTGTTATGGGTAACGAGGGGCATGGCCTGCCGAAAGCTGTAAAGGTTGCGACAGACCTCGAGCTGTCAGTGCCCCGATTTGTCACTAGCAGCTGTGTGGATAGTTTGAATGTGAGTGTGGCAACCGGCGTTTTATGTCATGCCTTTGTCCGTAGCGCCACAAGAGATTCCAAAGCTCCTGTGCCGGAGGCTGCGGCCGAGGGAAGCAATGAGAGTGCTCCCGAGGAGGGCGAGAAGATGTTTTAACGACACAAAAGTTGTAAACTAGCATTGTATTATACTTGTACTATACTGTATCATCATCTATCTACTTATTTATTTAACATATACGTCTGTTAGACGGCCAACCCTATTCACATCTTGCCTCTGTTGATGCTTGCTGCAGGGAGCTTCCTTTCTATGCTGTTCTCATTGTGATTGATAGCGGCCCTCGGCGCCAACGACGGCCGCAACTCACCGCCATTCCTCAGCCACCCATGACAATAGGACAATGACAACAGAATTGAATAGAAGTCTGGCTCGAAGGCATTGGTGTCATTGGTAGACATATTCACATTGGATGCCTACCCTATGCGTAGATGCGGTAGTGTAGGTGGAGTCCTGGTGAGTCGGCGCGCACCTGCAGCTGCAGCTGCATTGAGAGCAAACATACTCTATGTCTTCCCCCATGCAATGAGAGCTGAACAAGGGTTCGAGACCCAATCTGGAGACCTGGAGCTGACCTTCCATAGCCCCCATGTCGCCGAAAACTGTCGATGACCCTTGCTAAAAACCTTGTTTTCTCACGGGTCCTCCCGCGCCAACATCGACCTTGGTGTGGCTGTCGTCGCTAAGTTGTAAAAGAAGAAGGGCAAAGGGTCTAAGATGCCGCAGGGTATGGAGGGCGGGCTTCTCTCCAGGGTCTCGTTGGAAGCCTGCAGATTGAGACAAATGGTGCTGCAACGACACCTCCCCCAAACAGACGAGTCGTCTCTTCTCTCCGTCGAGCCTATCGTGAATACTGAGACAGTGATTTCATCTCTGTCCCAGATGTCTCTTATTCCCAACTGCGCCACTTGCAGCAGCGCATATCAACGGCGCCTCATATTCCTCATTAGGCCAGGGTGTTTGCTTTCGCGATGCGCTTGCTAGGGCGCGATAGTTTTTCCACTTTCACTTTTGGGCGTCAAACCGTGACTGACTAGCATGTTTGCCTGAGTAATTGTGAATTGTATGCGCGCCCATTTCTGCAAGGCCGGCTTGAGGCTGCCGGGTTGCCGCTGATTCGACCATTTGCATATGTGAAAAACACAGTGGCCCATTTCGTATACGTGAAGAAGCGGAATCCGCGCTCACAAGTGGTTAGCAGAGGATCAGTGGCCTAAACTCGTGAGAGAAAAGAGGCGAGAAGGGAGAGATATAAAAACCTGTTGACATCGCCAGTTTACCAAATTCCTGGATCCTTATCCTTTCATCTCTGGTTTGTTTGCTTCCCTTGCTTGCATTAATATATGCCCACGTTACTCAAGTTATATTACCCCAGCAATCTACGCCACGAATCCGGGATCTCGGTCAACATCACAATGTGTGACTTTGATGAGTTTATCTTTACCTGCGGACACTCCGTTGTTCGCCTCAAGCAATATTGCCATTTTGCACGAAATGAGCCTAAGCATCTGTGCCTGAGTGTCAAGATTCTAAGAAACTCGTGGCTACAGTCAGGCCCTTGCGACGACTGTAAGATGTGCGACAAAAGCTAGACCATCGCTTTGCTACCTCACAAAGAAAGACTTTGCTCAGCGCTATATGAAGTTTCAAAATACTCGATATTGGACCAGGGGTCAAAAAGCTGGTTGGATGGATAGATTGCATAGATGGAAAATGGCCACGGGCAACCAGCAGATGGGATTGAAAGATTTGGAAAGCTGCTAGGCTCAAGTCAATTAGCAATAAGATGCCAATTTAACCCATAATTCGCGTGCAGTCTCGATACAACTCTAACCTGTGAATGTACAGGCTAACGGCTGTGTGTTAGACCTAGCATTTGAGGTAGCACCGCGTAAGCGGAACAAGAATAACCGTCAGCGATGCAGTCATTCCAGCGTCGAGAGGAATGAGCGCCCGTTGGGGGCTCTGAATGGGACCGTACGGGGGTGGGTGTATGAAAGATGTTGGATTTGAGCACGTGTGGCTTGACAAGAATGATTGTATTGAATGGTATTACTCCATGTTTGTGGCGCCAGCAACAACACCCACAACGTTGTATCGTTTTGAGAAAAATGTGACCCAGTCATCGAGGACTTTCTTCTCGGCGTCCGTCAAGACGCTCCAGTCGGCAACAGCATCCTCCTCCTTGGTGGATGTCTTGCCGAGAGCGCGGGAAGCATCCTTGCCAGCGAAGACTATAGGCCAAGTTAGCGCGGACCTTGATGCCTTACCAGAATCAGTGCATACCGTGATAAGAGGCGCCGGGGAGGTAAGCCTTGTTACCCGTCACATCGTAAACCTTGCCCTGAGCAAGTTGTTAGCAGAAGCACATCACGGGCAAACTATGCAAGAGGACCATACCTTGATCGCAACGTAACACTTGTCGCTGTCCACACCTGAGGTTCACACTGTTAGCAGCTGATCATATCGCCCTGGCACATTCACTCGTATCATATACAATCGCCTGCACCTTTGCAACTGTCTCATCTGCACAGCGGCGGCGCTACAACCGATTCGCGAGTTGAAGACAAGGTGCGCTGGTGGGATGGCGGGGTTGACGCACCGTTGGCTTTGGCGAGCTCTTCGAGGGTGATGGGGTCATCCTTGGGAGGGTTGAGGACGACGGGAGTCTTGGGTTCGAATTTTCCAGTCATTGTGATAATATGTGATGCACTGCGAGAAAAAAAATACACTGCGATATAAGAAAAAAAGATTGAACAAAGCGGTTGAGATGGGCAAGCTGGCGTGCCGACGAGAGCGGGTCCCCACCCTTCCTCGGGCCAAAGAGCAGTAGCACCAGCAGCTTGTGCAAAACGCACGGGCCAACTATAGCAAGCTCCAACCTTTTTTTGCGACTTTGTGCTTGTCACTCCTTTGACATCATCCCATCGAGCAGCAGCAACAAATACGAATTGTTGAGCGGCACCATGACTTTGTCGGCAATTGCATCGCTGCGGCCATTGGCTCATACCCAGTGTATCCGCCAGGCGGCAACAGGTGCGCTGTCGCTGCATCTGCGATCGCGCACGGGATCTATGCACATCGAGGCCATTGTCCGAATTCATCCACAGCAAGCGAGATACCAGTCGAATTCCGTCGCCAAGCCCCCCGAAAAGAAGACACACGATGCACCCAAGGTCACATTTCGACAATTTGCCGGTCGGGCCCTCGGTGCCGGCTTGCGCAACATGGCGGTCGCCCTGAGCCCAAGCGGAATCAAGCGAGCATATCAGGAGGCGCCGGCAGTCACAGCCATGAGCGTCATCATGTAGGTCTAGGTTTCACGATACAATGTACGGCGGCAAGAAGATTCTAACCGCTGGTTCTAGGTTACTCTTGACGCTCGGCATATCGGTTGTGGCCGTCAAGTGGTACATGCAGGCGTTCTACAATCCGGAATTCAGCAAGTTCCCCGAGCCCGTTGCCAACACGCTGCGACGAGCCATTTACCACACAAATATCAAGCCAGATCCCGAGCTTGCCCTGAAATACTACAAAAAGGCCATGCAGCAGTGTGCTGAGCTCGGGCTGGACCCCTTCTCGGACGAGGTGCTTGGTATTCGTATACAGGTGTCGTTTTGGCTGCAAAAGATTGGCAGCCACCGTGCGGCGGTCGATGTTCTCGAGTCCATCCTCACCGACTGCAAGAAATGGGTTAGCATCATGGATCTTTCTGTAAAGGAGGGCAAAGTAACAGCAGATGGACGATACTCTGCGGACGAGCAGGCCAAGCTGACCAACGAAGCTGCCGCATCTACCGCTGACCTGAACAACAAGCAAGCTACCGAGAAGACCACCACTGCCACCACAAAAGATGAGCCAGAGCAAGAACCGGAGAACCTCTGGCGCAAGAGACAGCGCCTGCTGGCCAAGGCCGTTGGCACCAGTGTCAAGCTCGGCGAGCTCTACTCAAGCGATCATGTGCTTGAAGCGGAGAAGTCGGAGCCCCATCTCGTCTGGGCCGTCGAGACGGCTCTATCGGAGTTTAAACGACGCAAGACGGATGGAATTAGGCCTGGCGAGCAAGACTGGTTATCTGCGGAAGAGCTGGGAGGCTCTATGGAATCACTTGGACGGGACTACGAGCGCAAGTCGCAATTCCACCTGGCCATTCCGCTCTTCTTCCAGGCCCTCCGGCTCTGTAAGGACCCTTGCCACCGGGTGGTGATTATGAACAACCTGGCAGCGTCATTTGCGCAATATCCTGCGGACAACGACAGCAGTGCAGCCCGGCTGTCGGAGAGTTTGCAGCACTTGACAGATTCGGCGATGCCCCAAACCCGCAAGGATTGTCTCGAGGCCGGCGAGAACTGGGCCAAGAACGCGCTGGCGCACTCCAAAGACGTCAAGGGTGATGAACGAACCCCAGAGTGCGATGCAGGCTGCGCGGTCGCCCTCTGCAACTGGGCCGACGTGGCAGCCATGATGGGGAAGCGGGCAGTAGCCAAGACAAAGTACCTGGAGTGCATCGAGATGAGTTCTAAAATTGGATTCGGCCAGGGTATCGAGCAAGCCCGTGAGGGGCTGGCTCGGCTAGGTGAGGCGTAAGAGGAGTGAGTGAACAACCGCGACTCCCCGTCCAGATGTACGAATAGGTGATGATGAGCATAGGCTTGGCTTGGCCTTGTGTTCCAATTCGAAAGGAGAAGATAGCCCCTTCTTCTTCCCGTGTAATACCAACAAAATACATACCCCATTTCCCACTAACTAACAAACACCGTCTTCACCGAACGTGACCACCCCTCCTTGTATGCTATCCTCTGTCCCTAACTGGCCGCCTCGCGGATTATTCATGCCCGTACGGTTCCCACGCCCCGTTCTTATTGCCCGTTGTCATTTCCAGGAAACGCCTCGCCGTCAAGTCTAAATATAGACTCGGCCCCTGTCCCCAGCCTTGCCATGCATCAAGGCACCGCAAAACTCTGCTGCCAGGACTCATCCCCGGCGCCGCCAGTCTGGTGATCCTGTCATCTCGTGCATTGGCGAGCCAATCGGCAGCCCCCATGATTCTATTTTAAGCTCGGCCGCACTTCCATAGCGTCGGTTCGTTTGCATGGCGAACGAACAACTCCGGGCGAGCTGCACCACGCTAACTCCACCATCCCGCCCGCTAGCGGTGCATCTCCATCCACTGGGGATGGATGACTCTTTTACCACTGCTCTTTAGACGACGAGATTCCCCCATCGACGCCCACATAACGCCAACCACGAAAAATGCAGACTAAGGTTCTTTTGCTCAATCGGCCCTATATCCTAATCCATCTTTGTTTCTTTTTATAGTATTTTTGGGGGTTTTCCAGTGGCAGGCTTCCCATGCACCCTGTACTGTAATCCCGCCTGTCGTTCACGCTAAAGATCAGATCTGGTTAAAAATAGAACTCGGCTCTGCAGCACCAGCTCAGAACAAGGCCAAACTCAACCAAACCAAAGCAAAATTACGAGGCTTGCATTTTTCCACCCTCCTCCCCTTTCTACACTGACTCTGTCAATTCAATAGTCCGACTCTCTTGATTTTTATTGATTTTTTTTTTCCGTTCTTTTCTTCTACACGACCGTTTTGGCACCTGGTCCGTGGCTCGTCGTTGCGACGGGCCTTGCGGATCTTCGAAGAGCGACGGCGCGTCTCTCCACCACCAGCCCAGCAGCCAATCAGCGTAAAGAATACGCGAGGCACAGTAGCCCTGCAATATAGCACTTGTCCTCTCTGATATCGAGGCGCCCAGCTTATGTAGAACCGGGGATACCAGTACCGTTTCAACCTTTTGCGTTACAGCCAATTTTTCCACGTCATATCGCCTATTACCAGAGGATTTTTGCCGGCTAAATGCAAAAAAGAAAAAACGCAAACGCAAAAAAACGGCCCCCAGTGCTGTGGAGCGGGCGGCACATGCTACCAGCCTGATGTGATGGGAAGGTAACCATGCACGATACACATCAGGGCCACACGCCCTGCAGTCGTTTGGACGCATTCCAGATAGGTCGGGCTACGGCAATGCTGCACACCCCAATCCAATACAGTTATACTTTGGCGCAACATCTTCCCTTCTAAATGTCCTACGGACATACTAGGACACGTCCCTCAGCCCCTCATGCTCTGCGCGTGTGCGTGTGTGTGTGCTTGTCCGTGACAAGGCTCCTAAGTTGTCATGTATTTTGTGACAAATTTAAAAAGAAAATATTGATTAATTTGGTTGCAATAACCAGGGCAAACGGTGGTCCTATTCTGACATCAGAGGCGGCCCCAGATGTTCGGGTCCCCCTGTAAGTTACAGTGGAAGGTTTCGGGGCGAGGGCTAGGCGGCGTCGCCGAGGGCACTCATCCCCGCTATGTAGTGGTACGCCCAGCGTATGTCTGATCTTCTAGACCGCTGAAAAGGGGCCTTTTGGAGGTTCTTTGACAAGAGGGGCCATCGTTACCTTCTTATTTGCTACCCGTCAGTGTGAGATGTCGTGGGCCGACTTTGCAGCCAAAGTTTGAAAAACCCGCCACCTGAAGTGCACATGGCAACAGAGAGCCTGATTCGCTGTAGGAGCGACAAGCGTTAAAGCCATTCCCGAAGCGGTAAATTTGCCGGGAAGCAGTTTGGGCCAATAGAAAAATGTATGGAAATTGGACCAGTTTAAATTTGAAATAAAAAGTATTGCCTTTTTTTGATCGACCCAGCAGCATGGGTCACAGACTTGGAAGCCACTAAAGCTAATTAATAGGCAAACCACGGGGCTTCAGCTCGGCTCTTGATGAAGTCAGAAAACAAAGAAAGGAGGGAAGGAATAGTATAATCTGGCATATGCTGTTGCCTAGAGCTGCAGCGGAAGAGCGCCGCGTCACGTATCTCCGTTTTGAGCCCATGTCGGATGCCCATCTTCGCCGAGCATGTAGCCCTAAATGCGGAGTTCGGCAAGCGTGGCATGCGTGGGTGTCAGGCTTGTAACTGGACGGCTGGTTCCTTTGGGCATGTCACCCATATTGTTGCTCTGTCCGTTTCTTTTTCAAAAGGGTTATGCTTCTGGATTTAGCTCTCGTTTATTTAGCGTCGATTTGCATCCGTTCCTACTCAATCAAGCATCTAAGACGCAGACAGAGCGTCATGCAACCAACCTGTAGAAAAGCCTTACCAATGGTGCAAGACTGGTGGCTAATTTCACCACCCATAGTGTCTTTTCTTTGCAGTAGTTTTGTTTTCCAAGTCAGTTTGTATTAGCAATGGAAGGATTGTGCCAAAGCCCAGTCCACCAGCCACTGCCACTCGCCTCATCGCCCCTACAGTGCCAACTGGGACAGCCATAGCCCTTCTCCCCCGCAGGCTTTGACCCGCGAATCGGCCGCACCATGATCAGCAGGCTGGGGTCGAAGCTGCGAAACAAGCTGATTCATCTTGCGCGGCAACGGGATCACCAATTCCCGATGTGCAGTTGTGGATGAGAGAGCCAGCGCCACAGGGCTAAGTATGAAGTGGGCGCTATGCAAGACGCTCTCTACCCGCAATCAGTGCCATTGAGCACCACCCACGGCAAAATACCACTATGTCATTAGCGCACCGTGATCCCAAACTTGGCAATCTTCTTAGCACGGTGTTTCCCGCGTACTTGGACGCGTACGCCATGGCTGGTTGTGTCGGGAGAGTCTGCTTGGACGCTTACATGGAGGCGCGCCAAGTTGTTGGATCCTCTCCGTCGGCGTATGTAGTAGGTTGCCCGAATCAAGCGGCGCTCCCGGGGATCACGGACGGGAGACGAAAAGGACGATTGAAAAAAAACGAATGCAGAATAAATCCAGGCCAAATGGGACCGGGAATACGGACAAAATACTAGTTTGGGTGCTATAGGGCTGATATTGGTTGAGCTCTCGTGTAGGAGAGGCTGTGATGAGGCGAAGCAATTTGGAAACGGCCCTTCTTTCTGCATACTCCCACGACATCGCCGGATGTCAGTGAACGAAGCGTGGCTTGCCTAACCGCGTTTCCTCAGATCGTATAGACTTTTTCTAAGGTCGAGATGATGGCTTTCGTAGTAACAGAAATGGTTAAAAATAGGCTTTGTCGTAACATGCCGCTCAGCGCTTTGGCCAAGTTGAAGTTAAAGACGCTGTTTAACACAGCAAGTACTGTGCATACCAGCCCGAAGTAGGCAATCAGAGGCATTTCCGATTTGGGCAAGGCGCCGACTACCAATCAGTACGCTAGGAGGCACGCTGGAAGCATGCTGTCTCTGTCACTGACGAAGAAAAAGAAGGCGAAGAAGAAAAAAGTGGCTACGGAGCGCTAGCGGCTGCGGGAAACGTTGCACCCTTCCGCTGGCAATGCACGCTGGAACGCCCAGCAGCTGAAGCAGGAGCAGCATCTCCTCTTGTGCAGACAGACCTAAAATTTTTAAAACGCAGCCCAGAGGGGCTACAAACACAAGCAGACAGCGGTGGTGCTCGACTAATGCTGTGTCCTTTTCTGTTCCTGTTTTTTTTTTTTAACATTGGAAGTGATCCCCTTTAGCCAATCAATAAAGCTCGTTCAGCATCGCTCATACCACCACCCCCACTATTCACTATTCACTATTCACTATTCAATACCCGACAGCCTCGTCCTCCCACTCAGTGCCGTAAACGTAAACAGCACCGCCAGCAAATGCCACCACACTAGACAACTCTGCCACGCAACGGCTTCATTAGGTTCTGGGGCCGTAGCCGAAGCCGCGAACAGCACCGCCATCAAATGCCACCACACTGGACAACTCTACCACCCAAAAGTTTCATTGGGATCTGAGGCCGAAGCCGCCGAAGCCGCGTAATCATGTAGGCAGCAACAGGCAGCCTGTCTCGATACAGACGGGCGAATCGTCCTATGACGCACCTGGGGACGCCAACAGCCTGCGCTGGCGATTCCAGCGTATCCATCATACTCTCTTCGGCTGCATCCATGAGCATGGTCGACCGCCCCCATGTCGCTGCAGAGTAGTCTGATCTAGCGCACACATGCCGCGCTCACGCCCCCAAACCGTTCTCCAGGCTCGCAGGGCAACGGCTGCCGCTGGAGCTGCCCTAGCTTTTGCAGAGAGGGGCCTGTCCGGTGATTGAGTCCCTCTCTGCTGCTGCTGCTACGCTACTCCCTACACATCTCTTCATTGGCGGCTTTTCTCCTTCTTCTTCTTCAGGGATTATGCTGCCTCGTCGTTAACTTTCTCCGACGGACATCTCCAGCTGGCCTTACCGTTTCGTCCCACACCACAAAGCAATGCAGACACTCTGGGTTTTCATTGGCCTTGTTAGGCGACGCTATTATTCATCCTCTACTCTTGCAGCGGCCAAGCGTCTAATACTACTAATGTGACCAGGAATCAAGATCCGCATTGATTCATGGCCTACTATTTACGGCCGAGCAAGGAAGACGTACGTACACTACAGCGTAAGTCCCATGTATGTGAGTCCAATACAGCAGTTGTGTGTAAGCCTTTCCCCTCTTCCTCCTTCTTGAACGGGACTAGATTTCAGCCCAGCGGCGATATCTCGCACTCGCCTGACAGAGTCACATTAGCCTTGACGGCAGAGCGCGTTGACAGAAGCCGGTCTCGGGGGATGATGCTGTTGACGCATCTCAACCCGTCACGCCTCGCGTGCCGAGCTCTTTCGTTTACCATGCCCGGGAAAGTGGGAGCCGAGCGGGCGATTTGCATCGACTTTTGCAAGCAGAGGAATCTGACGCTGGCCTGTTCTTCTTACGGATTTACGGCACTCATCTCCGCGTCCTTGTTGCTAATGGCTGGGGTCTGACCAGCCTGCTCTATCCGAGTGCGATGCCTCCATTCCGCCATCAGTTCCGTTACAGCTCGGTACTAGAGGGGCCGGCACCCACTGGAAGACCCTGTGGTTAGCGCTGTGGCTCCAACACCTGGCGAGGCTGTTGCTCCACCACCACCCACCCCACCCATATAGCGGAGGCGACGGGGCCCCCGTCTCCATTGGAGGCACTAACACAAACAGAGTAATAACCATAGCAAAAGTGGTAGGTGATTGTCAGGTGCAGTCACTAACAAGACTGACGGAGGTCTGCCAAGTTGCCGCAGTGGCACACACCAAGCGGCTGCGAAAGTACCACCGAGCCGTGGCTGCTGTATTGGCCATCAGGCGTCTTGCACCTTGGCGGATCTACTACAGCCACGGATTTAGGACATAACAGTGACTTGTGACAGTGGACAGACTCAGTAAGGAGATTGAAGGATCACGGTCTCGTATGTCTGTGTCTAGTCATAGTTGCTCGCCCGGCTTCTTCTCAACAGCCCGTATTGTCCTTTAGAACAGCGACACCGTTTTGCATGCAACCGCCAAAAACGGCCTTACGCAAGGGCACGTCCTCGCCCGTATCGACAGTGCTTAAAGACAGGTCCGTCGAGTTGGCCGGAACGTGGGCAAGCCACACACGCCCCCTGTACGATATCCATCCTTATTTAGTGCTTTTGCATTAAATTTCTCTTCACTACTGTACACTACGCTAGACAAGCACATGGTGTGAGGGGGGGCCACTCTGCTCGCTCACCCGCGCTTTTCTCCGCCTAACGTTGCTTCCATGGGCGTGTCCCCAAAGCCGCTAGGGGGTGGCCTCTGACACATCTCCCAGGGCCGCAGGACAGGGCTTGTCGCTGTCCGTCGCCCGATCGTGTTCAGGTTTGGCCTACTGCTTCCTCGTCCTTTTTTGTTATTCTTTTTTTTATTTCTGCCCGAAATTTTAAGCTTCTCCAGTTATTTCCCACAGCGTCGCTTTCGGACTGCCCTTACGCCCCCATCATTTGCAAGGCACGCACCCGTGAACGCTATCGACGAGCCTCAAGCCCACTCTAGGTCCCCCGTGGCAGCCTGCTCCGTCCACCTAATCCACCACCCCCAACCAAATCCTCGTCATCCATCTATATATACAGCATCTTCTTTCCCTCTCACAGCCCCTTCAACTCTACCATCTTGACCATCCACCAACAAATCATCAATACAAATCATCTTAAAAAGACTCCTTCTGCCCTACTTCACTTACATCTCTATCAGCCCTATAAGTTCATGCAGGTGCTGGTCTAAACCTTTCACTCCTTGCACATCTTTACCAGATCATGAGTCAGAATAGTACATCTTCTCGTGTATCTGCATCATCATCATCCAAGAGCCAAAAGCAAAAAGCCAATATATCACACCGTCCTCCAACTACTTCAGCCATGCCTGATACCACTCTCGCCGAGTCCTACGGTATGGCCGGCCAAGGATACAACTACGACGCTTTCTCCTCAGATTCGTCTAATCTTGCCCTTTACATGAACGACCCCAACTATGCTGTACCTGTACGTATCTATCTTCATGTCGATTGAGTTTCGTGGACTAATCTTTCGCTTCGCTTCGCGACGTGCAGACTACGCAGATGAACTGGCCTACCATGGATGCTTCATCATATCAAGCAAACGACAGCTACGCTGACTCAATCGGTTCTTTCACGGACCCCAACTTCCCTCATTCTCCCATTGAGATTGAAGTCATTGGAAAGACTGGTGCCAAGAAGACTCGCAGTAGGCCCAACCGCTACAAGAACGCCCATCCCAGCGTCAAAGAGGTACGTGAGGTTCGCAGCTTGCTTGCGCTATTCGCCCAGAGCAAACTAACATCTTATCTTTTTATACAGCGTCGCCGAGAACAGAACCGCGAAGCTCAGCGCAAGTACCGCGAACGCAAGGACCAGCGCATTGTCGAGCTAGAAGGGCTCTTGCAAACCGCACAGCATCAACACCAAACGTTAACACAAGCCTACGTCGATTTGCATGCAGAATATGAGATTCTCCTCCGTCAAACTACACAAAGTCCATCTGAAGTCCACACAGATGAAGACCTAGGCGAGGGCAGTATCCACGGCGGCCGGGTATAACCGGTGCCATGGTGTGTCTGCAGACTGGAAGATGCAGCAGTCGACGCAGCTACACGGGAGGTCGCAGTGGGTAGTCCTCGCCAGTCCTGGCGCACTCTGGTGCTGCAACCAACGCCACTAGTGTCAAGGGGTGTCCTGGCAGTCGCAGAGAAGTCTCTGTGGGCATATGTGTCTAATTCCCGAGCTCGCTCAGAGTACTTGTGCAGATGGCCGTCGCATCCTCGTCGTCAGCCGCCTGTGGGAGGGGGGAGGGGCAGCAATGGAGCCACCACCACTACTACCATCCGACTCTTGCAGCAATGTCCTGTGCTGTACCTTTGCGCGCCAACCACGCACACACCCGTCTTGGCCGCGACTTGTCCCGCCTCCCTCTCGTTCCCACCAAGCAAAAAAAAATGAAAGGACACTGATTCCAGATAATCCAAAGTCGCATTGCTACCTCCCAAGGCTGTGCTGGAAGGAGAGTGGCGCTTGGATAGAGTCCGGCCATCCGAAACCTTAGCTGCCAGTCTGTACGGGAATTAGGATGCACCGGAAACGCAAGTCTTGCCATTACTGAGATTCTCGCACTGGCTGCTTTACCAATACTGGTCTACTGCACGCATCCCACCCCCAGACCGGGTGACTGATCAAGCAAGGCTGTGTGATTGGGGGCTTGGAATCAAATCGACCAAAGCCTTACTGGCACGTTACAAGATGTGCCGGTAAGGCTGGCCGAATAGCCAACTCCGGAATTAGGCAAATGGTTGATTGGATAAACGAGCGAGCAGAGGCGGTCAACAGCCCGGAGCGTTAACGATGACATGAATTATGAGTTGATTTAGAAACAAGCGCGAAAACGGCACTGATACCACCAGCCAACCGGCTGGCCCAGCATTTGATTTTCTTTTTCTCTTTTTGTTCCGAGTCTCTTTTTGTTACAATGGCCCTAAGGGGAGGTTTTTTGTTATTTTACTTCATTTCAACTGCACATAGAAAGATAGATCGTATTCAGTTCATAATATTAGAGAAACTTGACCATAACAAACAGTCTCTACAGACGAGCTAAATTGGTGTGATTTCAGCAGATCATAAAGCATGTTTCTCCTCAGTTCCTTCAGCCATCATTTGGACATCCTTCCCTCCCGTCGCATCTTCAAGAGCAACTCTGTATCGCCCACCTCTGTAGGTAGCAGTCCCAGACCATACACTCACTGCCTGACATGTAAAAGAAAGCAAAACGCCGAGAACTAACAATGATAAAGCAAAACCAGGCGCCATACGCATGAAACACATTACTACAGCGAACCTATTTACGTCGTCTTCTGTCGCTTCGTATCCAAGCCATCGCTCACCACGCCAGCTATAACAGCAGCGTTAGCCGTCACATCGCCCAGCGGGATGCGATTCGGGGCATTCTCGCCTATCAGAGGCCGCTTCATCGTCGGCGGCTTGTACGAGTTCCTGTTTGCTAGCGGGCTTCCCGCACCGCCAGGAGCGCCTATTCTTCGCGTATGGTCAAGGGCCGGATTCACAACATTGCCTCGGGTTGCTGGGGCGCCGGCGCCTGGTCTGCCTGGCGTCTCGGCGTCTTGGCTTGCTGGAGGGACGTGCTGGCCGCTGCGGGAGAGGGGCTTTGACGAAGAGTGGTCGATGCCGGGGGTCTTGCGGATCGATGGGCTTTCAGCTTTCGGGTTGAAGAGTTGGCGGCTCGGTGCGGCTCCGGCTCCGTTGCCGTTTGTTATGGATGGTGCCGAGACAGATCGCGCTGAGAAGAATGCTACGGGCTCTCCTGGGTTTGGTTCCATGCCACTAATGGCCGGTGGTGGTCCAGATGAAGGGCCGCCGCTGGGGCGTTGCGGTTGTGCTTGGTTAGGAGTTTGGGGTGGTTTTGGTGTCGGGGCGGAAGAGTTGCGTGTGCTGGGGGCGGAGGTAACTGCGACAACTATTTCGTCGGGGTGGCCGTCTTCAGGGACGGCAAAATCTGCTTCGTCAAAGTCTGCATATTGTCAGTAATGTCCAGGGTTGAGATTGGTTTGGATATCAAAATATACCACCGAGAAAGTCATCAAAGGACTCGACTGCTACTGCGGCTGGCTTGGGAGGCGGGGCCATGGCAGTGGTTGGCCTTGACACTGGTTCCTTTGTATCTTGATTCGGGGCAAAGTCTGAGTGACGGTGCAAGTTATCTTCGCTGAACTTTCTGACAGGGTTGGCCTTGATCTTGGTGACTTGCTTCACATAGTCCTGGTCGTAGATACAGTTGCCTAGGACATTGCCGAAGCTGCGTAGCGTTCGTTTCAATGCGTCTGTGGTTCCCTCCTTCTTGGCCTTCTCGAATGCCATTGCTTTTCCTCTAGCGTTCTCAATAGATCCGTAGCCGATATCTTCGTGATACGTGCCATCACGCAGCGTAATTCGTACAATAACCGAGAGGCCGATGCTGACACGGCCCGTTTGTGCATTCTCGTCGGCGAAATCTACTTGTATAGTCTGGATCGATGATGACCAGCCGTTGAATCCAAATACTTCGTTTGCGAGGGTGATGCACTTCTCTGCCGTGAGGTAGTGTACGCGTGAGCCACCGGGTCCAGCTCTTGATGATATGTATTCGGGTCCAAGCTGCTTATCCAATCGGGATGCAATCGTGGCAATCTCAACTGCAGACCATTCTGCTATTCGCGGCTTTGCCTCCTCAAAGGGATTCGGCCATGTCCCGTGCTGGTCGCCTGGTCTGTAACCTTGGTCAATATTCACGGTGCCTCTATGTAGAGCTGCACGCTGGCGTGCAACCGACTCACTTGGGCATTGTAGCAGCGGTACTTATTCAGTAAAGTATTATGTGGTTTGGCCGTCAAATTATTATTTCGTACTTTTAACGGCAAATGTATTGGGTATAATTGAGTGTTTTCAAATACAAGGTCAGCGGCTATGAGGAGCTATTGAGTGGGTTGCCAGTGTTGATGCATCGCGTTAGCCACAAGGCGCGTCCGCGATCCACTCTCCCATCCAACACCCGTGAGCACGTGAGAGGCCTAGGCACTTCCACCTAAGTCTGGGGTGACGCAAGCGCTACGTATAGGATGTAATAAGTTACAAACACTTCTATTTCGCTATTAGTATTACGAGTTACGCATCGCTCCATCTGATGATTGTGTGACTATTACAAATAGTATATTCGCCCAAAATGGCATACTATCTACTGCGTGCTATTTATTCACTTATCAACAATGTTTGCACGCTCCTGTCCATGGAGGTCCATGAGACCTCGTCTCCTTGTTAAAAGCTTCCACCAGCCGTACCATCCGCCGAACAAACGTAAATAGTGTGGGTTTCCAGACCAGAAATCGCAGTTTAAAAAAAGAAATCAAAACTCCAGGCCAAGCCAGGCGTAGAAAGCAAATGCCAATAATAACAATCAAAATGCAAAAACCCCTTGTCTATGCTAGTGAAGAATGCGGGAAATGGGTAGTCGTGAGGAAAAGGGTCGTGTCGTGTAGAAGTGTCGTATGCCGTAACTCCGCCCAAAAAGAGAACTTTTGTCATGTACCATGCGCATGCTGCCGTCTGCCTGTTGTTTTACCAGGGGCCAACGCGTACGGGTGACCCGTAGTTGCCTGACATGATCTGGTTCAGAATCGAGCTTTGGTCGGAGTTGGCTTGTTGGGTCGGGCCCATCCAGCCAACGCTGCTCGTCATTGCGTCAATAGCAGCAGCGAGGCGGCCACCAGATTGCTCGTTGTGGCGTGCCAAAACTTGATCCCAACCAGCAGAATGCAAGTTGAAGCCACCAGCACGTTTTCCGGCTTCGGTAATGACAAGAGCCCACGCCTTGGAAATTTCATCATAGGCGTTATCCTTGTGGTGTCGGTACGCTTGCGGCTCCCAGTCGGGAAGCTCGTGAACAATCTTGGTAGCTCCATCAAGGAACTGTAGCGACTTGGTAGGCTGTGACTCGGTCGGCGGGAGAAATTGTGGTGTAAAGTCCGAAATAGCATCAACCAGCGCAACCAGCTGTTCCTTGATACGGTAGTAGGTGTACTCCGGGCTGCTTTGTCCGTATGGGACTGCGGCCTTGAACTTTTCCTGATATCCAAGCAATACATCAAGAGCAGCCATTGGGGTTGGTCTGGGAGCTCCGGTAACAACTTCGTGGGCAATATCTGGGTGGCTGTCGCAGATGCGTTCTAGTGCTGATCGCAGCTGATCGGTGTCGAGAGTTTCTAACAGGCGAGAGAGGGCGAGTGGGCGGCCAGTTACTTCTGTCGATCGGACTTTTTTTGATGGGCGAGGCAAAACTCTGGAGGAAGCAGCTGGTGAGCTTAAGGGGGACATGGACTCGTCTCCATCTCCATCCTCGTCGGCCTTTCTCTTTCTGTTCGTCATGTTTTGAAATGGAGAAGCTAGGTGAAGGTTAACAAAGCTGCAAACCTTGATGGGTGGCGACCGGGCCATTTCACGAGGGACGCTTCTAATTATTTGATAGAGCGAATCCTTTTTGGTGTTAACATACCTGAGCGTTGGGGAGACTGTCGGCGGCCTTCGTGGTGATGCGGGAAAATGGGTGGTTGAGCGGCGAGGAGAACGTTCATGGTGATCTGGTGTGCGGGCGTACGTCGGCAGTTGGTCTCTTATGCCTCGATAGCGGCTCCCCGAGACCGAAACTAGACGCTCTTCTCGTCTAAAATAGAGGCTTTAAAAGTAACCGGGTTAAAGAGGCGTGGCGTGTGCGTCGCTGGCAAAAATAACGTGGGAAGCAGGCGATGGCGAAAACGTGGTGATGTTGATGTAAAGGAGAAGAAAACAAGACCATGGCGGAGCGAGTCAAGGAGGGTCGAAGCGGGAGGGAGGGCAGCCCCAGGCCAAATGTAAAGGGAAAAAAACACCAGAAAGCGGAGGCACGGGCTGCTGGGCGCTTTGCCGGGGGCGCTGGTCACTAGGCTTGTCAGCTGCAGTGGAAAAATGGAGAGTGCCATCGCTGGTGGGCACCCCGGGCACTGTGGCGGCCATCGCAGCCGCTAAGCTTGAACCTTTTTGGACTTGGTTAGCGCCGTGCTAGGCCGCTGTGAGGTACGCTGTTTGTCTCTGAGGCTCCCACTAATGGCGCCATGGCTACGGGCGTAATACAGTGCACACGTGACGGCGAGTAATACTGTGACGGCGCTTTGGGCATCGGCGGCTCCTACCGTAGGCAATGCCCGGAGGGGCCAACCAGCGTCCAACTGCACTTTATTTTCAGCCGCATGGTACGGTGCGATTACTCTGACATGAACATGGCTGGAACCATCGCCGGAATAGAACTAGGATCGATATTTCCGTCATGGATTAGCCACGACTGCAACCAGGCACACGAGCAAACAAACGAGATGTAGAGGGGCAGTGCGTGAATGCAGGGCAATTAACTAGCGGCGTCCCTTACTATAACATTTATATGAACAGTGGATTACGGCAAAAGAAGAAGAAAAAAATATGTGAAAACGATAAGCCATCCTTGCTTCTCGGCTTGTTTGTTTGCACGAATAAGAATCATTTCTCCCTGCATCGACTAACAGCCAGTAGGCTTATTAGCGCCATGGCAAAACCAATCCCGGCGAAACAGCTCTGGTCGGCTCGTAGCTTCGTTTCTGTCTGCTTTGGTACATTCTTACTGCATCCACGTTGCATCCTACCATGGCCTCCTGCTAGCGGCCTTTGGGTCGCTTGTGTTGCCACGCCGAGAGCGTCTCGGGTGCGTCCACGACTGTGGGCCAGTGTTCCAATTCACCATGGCCGAGCCATTGCAATCTGGGCGCCTCGTCTCACAATCCGAAGTGAGGCGATGGATCGATTTTTAGGTTTGGCCTTGCAGTCAGTCGCCTCGTCCGGTGGCGTAGCACGCTCCCACGACTACTCGATCCAACATGTCTTGCATGCTCAGAATGGTAGAACATGGACTGCAATACGACCGTAATGCGAGTCTGCTTGACTCGGGCTGTCGCTGTTGTTGTCCACTGCTTCCAGTACGGAAATAAGCCAGGGTGAGCAACTGTTGTTACTGTTCCATCCTCAATCACTTCCATGGGCTTCCACAATTAAGTCGTAGAGAATTTTTTAACGATGATGCTATTTAAAATGGCTGTTTTGGACTACTGGTCAAGAAATGGTAATGTTTTACGAAGTATTGTAGGTCAAGAGTACAGGCTTAGCATAGTAACTTAACGGTGTGCGTAAGCTTGGGTAGCTACGAGTAATGGTCAGCGTCGGCCCAAAGTGCCACTTCCACCGAGACTGTATTTCATAAAGAGTATCAATTATGCTCGGTGTACCCTTAATATTGGCTGGGAAAATATCATATGATAAAAATATATTGATATTTCGAGCAAAGAAATACATATATCGTGAAATCTCATCGCCCAAGGCTAGTCCAGGGTACTGCCGGCCGTGGCCCACTTTCTACTCCGCGCCCGTTACTTATCGCGCTTATCGTCGCAGTGTCGCCAAAAAAATTTCTGGCCGTCGTTGTCGAGTAGCGCTCTTCAAGCAAAGAAACACCGACAGGCTTCCAACGACAATGACGAAAGACGAGACGAAAGCTGACTCCCCCCAGGTCAAAGATAACACCAAATCGGTTAAGCGGAAGGCTGATTTGGAGGAAATTGAGGTCGATGTTTCCGCTCCAGAGCCTCCTTCCAAGCGAGCGAAGCGTGCTCTGAAGAAGGGCAAAAGCCTTACCAAGGCGGCCACGAGCGACGATGAAAAGGATGATGAAGAATCAGGCAAGCCTGGTAAGGTCCGATCTGAGCACAGCGTTTGGATTGGTAACCTCCCCTTCACCCTGACCGCCAAGGAGCTGCGCCAATGGCTGGTTGACAACTCTGGCGGTGTTATCACCGACGAAGCAATCACGAGAATTAAGCTTCCTACCGTCAAGGTTCCTGGCGGAAGACCCAAAGATGAAAAGCCCGCCAACAAGGGATTCGCCTACGTCGACTTCACCGATATTGGTGGCAAGGTGGCTGCCATTGCCCTCTCTGAAACCGAGCTCAACGCCCGCCGACTGCTTATCAAGGACGCCAAATCATTTGAAGGACGTCCCGCTAAGGAAAAGGAAGAGGGCGAGGGCGAGGACAAAGCTGGCAAAAAGGTCAATGGCAAACCTGACGCTGATGCCGTGGACCCCAACGCAAGCCGCAAGGTGTTTGTTGGCAATCTGAGTTTTAAGGTTACTGAAGATGATGTCTGGCAAAACTTTGAAAAGTGCGGAGAAATCGAGTCTGTTAAACTCGCTACGTTTGAGGATACTGGCAAGTGCAAGGGATTCGGCTGGGTTAAGTTTAAGACGGCACAGGGTGCCGCCTGGGCTGTCAAGGGCTTTGTTAAGATCAAGGAAGCAGTCGAAACTGAAGCCGATTTCCAGGACGATGCCGACGAGGAGAAGAAGCAGGAGCAAAAACAGTTCAAGACCCGCAAGTGGTGGGTAAACAGGCTGATGGGCCGCGAGCTTAAGCTGGAGCTTGCTGAGGACGACCAATCACGATACCGCAAGAGATTTGGTAAGGATAGACCCAAAGACGGTGAGGCTCGTCCTCCTAGAGACAGAGGAAACTTCAACAGAAGAGAAGGCAACAACAGGGCACCGGTTTCTGAGGTCCGGCCGTCCAAGGACACCGATATCAATGTTGCGCGTCTCACGGGTCAGGTCGTGGAGCACACTGGTACCAAGACGAGTTTTGATTAGAGCGCGAACGCCATGTACATACTATATTTTATGTTGGATTAATGTCAAATTATATATTGCCATGAGAATAACTCTTGTTTGATGCAGAAGCCGATCTCGATCCGCCGGCCCGGGGCTTGAGCGGGGGCCCCGCCCGCATCTTCTACAGTGACGAGCTCTCCCAGCTCCAACTTGCCCGTCTTCACATCACCTCACAAGCAAAGTTTCTGCAGAAATGTATGATTCAAAAGTATCTTTTACGCTAGACACGATATGTCCCTGGTAAGATGCCTTTCATGAAAATAGAGGCTCCGCAAAATGCTGAGTGGTGTGCAGGACCTTTATCGCAAAGAAGCGTCTCGACCAAGCTCTTGAGCAAGTGCGTGCTTCTGAGGCAGGCTCCAAATGTAAATTCACATTGCATTTTGAGCCTTACCAGCTTCATCCCGACTTTGTCGAAACCGAGAATAAAGATGCCTGGTACCTGCAAAACAAACACATGGGTAATCCCGAGGCGCAGAAGATCTTCCAGGAACACATGAACGGGCTCGTGGAACCACTGGGCACAAGGTTTAACTTTGGGGGCGATATGGGGAACACGGTTCATGCTCATCGCGTCATTCAACACTTCCAAGAAAAGAAGGGGCCCGAGGTTGCCAATAAACTAATTGACGGCTTGTACCGGCGCTACTTTACCGAAGCTAAGCACCCTGCCGCTGATTCCACCCTCATTGGAGCTTGCGTGGAAGCCGGTATTGACGAAGCTGAAGCTAAGAAATTTGTGGAAGCTAAGGATGAGGGTCTGCGTGATGTCAAGAGCAAGATTCGCATGATTTCTATGGATGTGGACGCAGTGCCTGTCGTCATAGTTGAGGGAAAGCGACGAGACATTACATTGACAGGAGCCAAGGAGGTGGCAGATTACGTCAAGACATTGGAGACGATTGCGAAAGAGAGCGGGTAATTAACAGATTGATATCAGTAAAAGAGTACATTGAAGAAATAATATAAAAAAGGGTCATAAGTATTGGCATAAAAGATGAAGAATGACGTAGCATCATCAGGTCCATAAAAAAGGGTCGTAACATAACACATTCAAGAAGCGTGTAATAAAATCATGATTGTCATGACGTGCTTAGCCGCGAGCAAACATGAGCGGAACTAGCATGCTTGTTCTCGAGTTCATGGAGTATGTATCCTCCAATACCTCATCACTGCAGCGTCCAGACATGAAGTCGCGATTGGCCATGGACCTGCAAGCAGCAACGGCACCAGCATCGGATATCTTGTCACCTTTGACGTTCTTCTTGACCGAGAATTCACGGCCAAGCTTATTGATGACGGCTTCCTTGGCCCTTTGGAGAGCCGAACCTCGCGCCTCAGCGTCCTCCGCCATCATGCGGTGCGCCTCCTCCTGCTCAATGTTTCGCTGGACTGAAGAGATACCCTTGATTCCATTGAATGGATTCTTGGGATCGTAAACAGCAGGCTGTAAGAGCACGGGCTGAGGATCGTCAACGAGGATCGGAGACGAGATGTTGGCATCGGGAATGGGGATGGGAGCCGATACCACCTCTGGGATAGTAGAGACAGAAGGCTTGCGGTAGCGGGGAGACCCGGAGCGATTGGAGAGGACTGCGCTAGGGGAAGGAGGTGAACGTGGCATGCTTTCCTCTCTGCTGCTGTATGAGCCACGCGACGGTCTTGTAGGCGTAGTGGGGGCAGCTGTTGAAGGAGAGCGTTTAGGTGTGACTGGCCGATCTGAGTGGCTGGATTTGGGGGTGACAGGGCGCTCAGAGCGGCAGGACTTGGGAGTCACAGGACGTTCATCGCCAGATGTCTTGTCATGATGCTCATCTGGGCGTCTTAGTCTGCGGCGCTTGCCTCGCTTCTTCTTCAGCGTGGTGCTGAAGCTAAGCGTAGACTGCCTTGATACGGAAGCATCGCATGGGAAGTCGCCCACAGACTCATTACCAAAGCCGAACGGAAAACCGCCGATATCGTGTTCGAAGAGCTCTCTGCCTACGGCACTGACAGCGGCACTGGGACTGGGAAGCTCATCGTCGCTGCTGACTGGTCCGCAGTCGTAGGAATTGATGCGGCTGCTGCGTGACCAAGTGCGGTCATTGTCCACAGGAGCCAGTGCATCTTCCCAGGCAGCGTTGTTGCCAAGATAGACATTGTCAAAGTCAAACTCTTTGACTGTGTCGCGGTGCGAGGCAATCAGGTCCTTTAGCTGGCATGCGTTCATGACGGCATTGCGGATCTGTAAGTGTCGAAGGTTGGGGATGCGGATGGGAGAGCGCGCAGGGCGGCATGGAAGAGGGGACATGGGTGAAGTGACCTCGTGGAAGAGCTTCTTGGACGCGCGAGGGGGAGCAAAGAGCGGATCGGCAAACAATGCAATGGGGCAAGGACCGCGGCCACCCAGCCAAGTAAATGACAGCTTCTCTAGTGTGGGGGACAGAGTGCGGATGTAGTCGTCGATGATCTTGAGATGATCGAGACCAGGGGACGGGCCGTAAAAGTCCCACGACTCAATAGCCATGTGAAGCTTGCGAATCTGCTTCCAGCGGCGCCCGGCAGACGGGACGCTCCCAAAGCCAGTTACATGGCGGAGGTAGTTAAGTGCCGAGGGGTGCAGGGAAAGGGACAGCTTGTGCAGTTTGGTCAATGGGGCCCTCTCGACAGCGATGCGCAGGCTAATGAGCGCATAGTCGACAATATCGCGCCTGTACCGCTCCGCTGGGTTCTGGCCCGGGCAGCGCACCGTCAAGTGTCGCAGATTAGGCATGTTGGTCATTGCATGGATGAAACTGGGAACATTGGTAGCGGCATGGAACAGCGGGGGATACTGCTGTGTCAAGATGTCGCCCAGCTCCGAGTTTGCATACTTTGGCCGTGTAAGCGCTGAGTCCATGCTCGTGTGCGGCGTGTAGAGGAAGCAGATTTCCTCGCCAGTGGCCGGGTGGACCAGCGGCGGGAGGAAAGTAGAGTCAGAGTGGGAGAAGTGAAAGGTAAGATGTTCGACATGCTGGCCCACGCGGGATAGCGCAGCCAGACGGCTCTGCTTGGTGAATGTGCTGGCTGTGAAGGTGACAGTGATGCGTGTGAAGAGGGGCTTGGTGAGGAGATTGCAGCATGCCGACGAGGCGCGGCGCAAAGAGCACAGATCGGCTGTAGATAGGTGTGGGAAGAGGTGGTCTTGGATGTTTTGGCTGCGCAAGGCTGCCACCAGCAGCTGGGCTGTGGACGACGACATGGCCAATGCCGCGCCGCCTTGCACGGATAGAGTTTCAAGAACCGAGAGTTGAAACTCTCAATGCGGGAATGAAACGAGTAAAAGAGACTATGCGCAGGGGCAGGTAAGTGAGTTTGTAGGCAAAATAAAGCAAAAGCTGTCGTGTGGTTGATTGATGTTGAACGTATGAAGCAATGAAAGTGTACGAAAGTATGCAAAGTGTTGATTGATGCCTGACGATATCAAGTCTGATGTAGAAAATAGGAATCAAGGCCGCCAGAATAGGCCAGCAGCGGACCAATCCCAGTATATATCTGGCACCTGGGCTGCCTCTGGTCCTTGCAACTGATCGCGCAGTAGCAGCGGGATGTCCTCCTGTCCATCCATCGCTTACCTGTCTGTCCCAGCCACACCCCAACCCACACGAAGCCGCCCAGCTGTAGTTACAATGCTGAGAAACAAAATTCTCCTGGCTTCCCCCCGCTCCCGTGCGTCGTCCCCTGGCGCAGCTTGTCGATGGCGCCCGCGCAGCCAATGGTCGGTGAGTCACGTCACGTCTAGCCGGTGTCGTTGGGGGGGGGGGGGGGGATCGAGAAGCAGCAGTCGTAGCCAGCCAGTAGGAAGCAGGCCCGCTTGCTCCATTGTCCCGCATGCGCCCATGTTTCGTGGAGCGTTGGCGTTTCGTTCGCTTCTGTGGATTTACTGGTTCGGGCGAAACACACGCGGCTGGACAACGCCTTGTCGCGCTTCCATCGACGTGTCGGGCGACGCTGGCCAATCACGGCGACGGGAGCACGCGCGCCGACGCGTGGGGTTCCACTTGGCTCCCGCGATGGGCTCCTGCAGTTGGCGTCTTTTTCCCGTTTTGGCTCTGTCTGCATCTTTTTTGGGTCGAATAGGCGTATTTTACGCTTAAAAGCGGGCGTCGGTGCTTGTAGGATAAGCATGAAGTTTGTTCCCGTTTTCTTTGTTGCATGTGGCGTAACAATAGGGCTTCGGGACTCAGAGACATGGCCAACTGCCGTCTCTCCAGTGATGGGAGGGCAGCACTGACCCAAAAGAAAATCTCAACAATTATTGCATAATTCTGCAACTCAGTAGGTCTTATTCTGTGTCTATTTCTGGCTTCCTTTCCCACACAGAGATTGTATTTGTCCTCTTTCGTTTCACATTGTGTTTGTTTTCCTCCAGCAACGCGCAGACGCTGCCCGTCCTATCATTCACAGCCAACCGACCCCTCAGTAGTGTATTGGTACAGAAATAAATCAAATATTTGTGGTCATGATGCAACCAATACCAGTCGTTAGATAATACAAAACGTTTCCACAAACGCCACTCTATACATGCTTTTACAAATTGCCATACTGCACACTCTAATGTCTGTCCGTCCCTCAATCCCCTCCTCGCCTCACCTTCCTCGTCCTTTTCCTCCTCGCCCTCGTGGACGTCCGCCACCACCGCCTCCTCTACCTCCGCGTCCACCTCCTCGAGAGGGTGGTACCCCGCTCCGTGATCGACCTGGTCTTCGTGACGACGCTGGTGGTGGTGGGGGGAGCGGCTCGTTGCGGTAGTTCTTGGGGGGTTTCATAGGTAGCCCTGGTGGATTGGCGATTGGCTGGTAAGGATTGTATCGCGATGCGCTAGCTTCTCGAGGAGGAGGACCTCGAGGAGGAGGGCCAGGCGGCAGAGGAGGCTGCGAAAACGATGGCTTGCTCGGTAATTGGATGTTGCTCGACATGCGAATCTTGCCTACAGGTGCCGGGCGTCGAACTGTATGGCTCCCCAGAAATTCTGGTTCGGAGTCGTCCGTCTCTGAATAATGGACGTGCGTGCGAGGTCCCAGCTTCCTTTGGCCGCCTCGCGGTTCCGCTGCAGCTCGGCCTCTGATTCGCGACTGTGCTACAGCCACTTCAATGGATACGGCATCGCTCTCAGGGTTGACGTACTTGTTTCGGTTGGCAAGCGTCCAGGTCGGGTTGGTTGGGTCGTGCCCGCGCAATGTACAGTCTGATGCAAAGTGGTTACGGCTGCCGCAGACGGCACAAGAGGCCTCGATCGACTTGACCTGCTTGATATTATCCGCATTTGCGTGAAACGAGCGCCATGGCTCTGTACACGAGTTCTCCAAGTGATCAGAGACTTTACAAAACGCGCATGCCAATCCCTCCTCCCGCGTCAGTGCGAGTTTCTCAACACACTCTTTAGATAGGTGACCAAGTTGCAAGCACTTGCCACAACGCGATGGAGCCTTTGTGCATGCATACTCCCAGTCGTCTTCGCCATCGCAAAACTGGCACTTGAAAGGTGTGCAGCCCTCTATAGCGTGTCTCTCCGAGCCGCACTTTACGCACATGTTGGCTGGATCTTCCGCCGAGGGGAAGTACCGTTTCTGCTCTGCTGTGGGTTCTCGTTTCGGAACTACTCGCTTCTCTTCTATTACGACTGGTGCTTCTGCTTCTGCTTCTGCTTCTCCATTCGTCGTAGTATCTATGGCCCTGCCCGCTGGTGATGTCAGGTCCACGACAACGCGATCCTCAGCCGCCTCTGCTGGTTCCATGGGTACCCCATTGGCTGTGGCAAGAAATTCGGCCAAATTTCCTGATCGTAAAAACATGTCCATTGTGTGGACGGCTGACTTGCGCTTCGATGTCTTGAGCTGTAGGGAGTTGAGGTAGTCTTTAAATGCAGCGACGGCAACGGCCGGTGTAAATTGTGTGGCAATGTCAGCATTGCCCACCAGTGCGACGACAATCCAGTCCTTGATACGCGCAATCCAGGAACCCTCCTTCTTGTCGGACATGATTGGCATTTTCCACGACAGGCCGTTTGCTTCAAAGGTCCGCGCGTTTGCCGTCATTGTTGCGCCGGCGCTGGGATCCAACGGACCGCTAGATTCGGCGTTCTTTATAAAGGCCTTTGCGCTAGCCTGTGATCGTGATGACTCGGGTGCATCGCTATTGCCCTGACTCTCGTTGATTTCGCCTTCTTCGGATAGTCCAACGTCGGCTCCATTGGTAGAAGTTTCGCTCAGTCTTTGACGCTTTGCAGGGAAGGCCTCAAAGACTTCCTCTTCAGACTCGATATCCTGAACTGAGCGCTTCGCACTTCCAGACACAACGTCATCTTCGCTATTGTCCCCTATGCTGATGACATCCCCTAGTTTATCCTCCTCCGATGCCATGTCGGCTGCGCAGGGGGATCGGCAAATTTGGGTTTGCGATAATCGGTGTTGCAGAGGTATTTCGGGTGGTTCGAGCTGTTTGCAGTAGGTCGTGGTTCTGGGTGGATTATTCGCAACTGCGATCCGCAACTACCGAATTTTGCAGAATTTGGGGGAATAAAGAGGGTGTAATGGGAATAGTCGTTGTCGTTGTCAAAAATCTTTTGATGAAATCTCCAAAAAGCAGTCGCGACAAGCAGCAAATCAGCGTGAGGCGTGTGGATCCACTTTGCTACCAGACAGCTCCAACAGCTGCTGGTTTGTGTAGAAACAGTGGGGATCTCGAGTGAAGTAGGTGATGCGAAATATTGTGTGAGTTGCAGGGAGTTCTACATTGGACGCGCGTCTGTCAGGTATAAATTCTCGTGTTAGTTTTTGTAGTTCCCAACTGAAGAATGCGGGTGAATCGAGACTGAGCGGCCTTGTTCTTTGCGTCAGCGGCAGGCCTACCATACGCTCTTCACGCTACTATACATGTTTAAGATCATAGATGTATAAGCTATCTACCTCTGCTTTTTTTTCATCTCCCAAGTCTAACATTCAAAATAGCCAGCTGATTCCCTCAATTCTTTCCTCTTGGGGCTATGGCAAGAACACTTTCACGAAGTCGTCGCCCCCGGAATGAAACGGTATGTCCACGATTCTCGCGTTGAATCTACATATTAATCGTAGTCTATTCTAGCGCGACTCTGTTGTCCGTGGATCTGACTTGGAAATCTACTACTGGCCGTGTGTGAATTCCTGGGCGACTGCGAAAGGAAACCGAATCCCATATTGCTGTTCTGTTAGTGGCAGGGGCAAGCATTGCTACGACTGTCGTATACATCGCTCTTCTAATTGCGATGAGGTTCCACCGTCAATGATGCCATTGGCTCGTTCGCTAGGTTACGCTTCGCTCAATAATGCCGCTGTACGTGGAATTCGTAAAAAGCCAAACTGCGCTTCTTCGTGTAATATACTAATCTATTGTGTGAAGAACCTAGGGGTGATTCAGACTGCTTGGCGCCTTCAGGCTAAGGTGTGTCGAGAGCATCCCGAATACTGGCATGACGACACATGGACGCCTACGACTGCTCCTGATTGCACAACCACCGCGCCCGTGACTAGTGAGTCCATAGTCACCAAGGATAAAATCAGCGAAACACAAAGCACCGTGTCCGACTTATATCGGTAATCAGTGCGTCTGAGATCACTGAGCCGGAACTCACTGGGGCTAAACCTCTCTCGGCTGGCTCGGTAGCAGTTCTCCGTGACATTATAAAGGAGCAGACTGGTTAAATCCGGCATCATGAAGACTGTGAATCTCTTGTAGAGTATTAATCTACAATCAAGATGTGGTCTCAACCATCTATATTTCGACTGTTTTATAGCTTGCGTTGTGATAATCGCAGTACATGGATAGTGTAGAGTAGTAGTAGACTTGCCACCTCACAAACTCCGACCAGAAAATAAAAAGACGTTACCGTAGCATAGAGTGAGTACCACAGTTTTGGAGTCCACAACATATAGCGTTAGTTACATACTTAAAGCATGACTCTTCTGTAATTATAAACTACCCGCCTCGCGCCAAACTGCCTACACTGGAGATGCGCCTCACCTACATCTAATTTCCAGCATGATATTCGGCACCAAAAAAATGGATTTGATTGACACGCGACCGCTGCAAGCCACCCTCCGAGTCAAAAAAGCTTGGTCAGTGCCGGAACCCACTAAAAGTCACCACTAAAAGATGGCCGCTGGTTGGCTGGCGGGCATGCCCCAGCAATAGCAATCGAGGGTCCAGACCCAGACCGTCGGTCGGTCTCCTTTTTTCCGCCGTGCTGGCAGGCTACAGCATACGTTAGCGTATCTATCGCTGCGCTGGAGTGTACCGTAGGGGCCTAACAGTGGCGCGTGTTCGCTAGCAAATCCCCAGTTAGTGCTGTGGTGCTCTCTACTTTCCAGTGCTGTGGTGCTCCGCCCCTCCTCCTCGTCCTTTTCGGGACAAGACCCCGTCTCCTGACATAATAATTTCACGACACGCGGCAAAACGGGGGGCGAAAGGGAAACCAGATTGCGTCTTTCCCTTTGCACTCTCTTCTCTCGTCGTCATCTCCAACACCACCACGGACCAAAAGCTATCCGCTTTTCTCGTCATTAGACTTCCATCTCTTACTTCTACGTTTTTTTTGTGCCTTGTCCATCACCGCCAGCACACGACAGCTCCGTCGACGACCTCGATCCGCTCTCGTCCCCTTTGTATCCATAAACTTTCGTTCTCGCATCCAACAAAGCTCGTGTTCGGGATCTCTAGCTCGTCGCGCCTCCTCTTACTCCTCCATCTACTCCGCCAACAACCTTGTTTGCTGCTGCACACGCGAGCTACGCGCCGACATCAAAGTTTTTGCAGCGATTCGAACCATCGCCATCGTCAATCAACCTTTGTCCACCCCCTGACGTATCTCACCCTCCGCCGACGAGCAGACTGGTCTGGAAGCAAACGTTGCTCCCCGACCGTCCGCCTCGCCCCATACAGTTGCCCAACATTTCGTCCTCAACCGACAATACCGCCAAGGTGTCTTCCCCTATCGTGACCCAGCAAACCACGTCTTTTGACGCGGCAGCGAAGCCCCCGCGACGTGGAAGCATCTATCTCAATATGAACAACACTGATAGCGAAGGCCGTAGGAGACGGTCTAGTAGTATTTTGCAAGTCTACCACGAACCCCAAGAGACGCTGGAACAAATAAGTGACCAGGCTGCTCTGCCCAACCTCAATGCCAACTGGACAAACGGCAAAGGTAAGAATACATCGTCCCACTGAGTTTTGTTCCTCTCCACCATTCTGCGTCCCAGCCTTCTTGTTGTTGGGGCGTTTTCTTTGGAACTTTCATAGCAAGGTTTGAGCTAACATGCTGTGTTTTTCGCAAAATAGGTGCCTGGACGATCCACATTGTCTTGATAGCCCTCCTCAAGATCTTCTACGATGTGATTCCCGGAGTGTCACAAGAGACTTCGTGGACGCTGACCAACATCACCTACATGTTTGGATCTTACATTATGTTCCACTACGTTCGGGGAGTCCCGTTTGAGTTTAATAGCGGCGCGTTCGACAACTTGAACATGTGGGAGCAAATCGATAATGGCGCTCAGTACACCCCCACCAAGAAGTTTCTTCTTAGTGTCCCGATTGTGCTATTCCTGCTTAGCACGCATTATACCCACTACGACCTCGCATACTTCATCATTAACTTCCTGGCTGTTCTGGCTGTCGTCATCCCCAAGCTTCCATTTGTATGTATACCCACCCCCCGTCTCTCCTGACCCGATAAGCATAACACCTCTGTCCACTGTTGAGACATCTTTGTTGTCAAATGCTAACGCTATGTTTCGTTTTGTAGAGCCACCGCATGCGATTTGGACTCTTTTCCGGAGTTCCAGAGGATTAAACTCCACTTTTATGTCGAATGAGAAAGCGTAACGTAGGTTACGCTGGCGTTGAGGGGACAATTAGGGAGGCAAGAAATGCATTAATATTGGCGGAATAAAAGGTTAATTTTGGAAGCTCGTCTTTTAAAGATGGGCAGAAGCACAAACGGCACGCGATCATACGGTACATGGTACATCTACAGGGTCGAAGATACCGGACGGGGTTGAGTCCGGCGGCCAGTGGTTTTTGCTCTGTTGTACAACAGATTGCTGGATGTGCGTCGCAGAAGACTGCGGCGCTGTTGTTTTATTGTATCTTCTCCATCTGGTACTCGGGCGTTTTGCCTACCAGCGGATTGTATTCTTTATCTTTTGGGTTCAAATATCTCTTATGGGAATAAATGTCGAAACTTGTTACTTATGTCACACCCTCTGCATTAGAGTTAACACAGTACGGGGCCTTTGCTGCATCACCCAGCCATCCTGGTAACCATAATCTCCATGATATGCCCAACAAACTATGTCGTCTTTTGAGTTGGAGGCTTGCGGATTTGCGTACTGATTGTACTTGCATTTCGAGGTATAAAGATACGATATGCCTGTCCCATCTGGACGATTTGCTTTTACCTCGCCACACTCTTTCTTCACCTTCTTTTTCGTTTCCTTTTGCACCCGACTCTTTTTGTCCTCCCCACCTCAACTATCAAGATGAGATTCAGCGTTATTGCCGTTACCGCTCTCGCAGCTGCTGTGTCTGCTGAGCAGGACGTCCGTATTAAGTCCACCAAGGCCAGCAGCCTTGAGGAGCCTACTGGCAGTGCTGCCAACAGCACTGCTCCCGCCTCCTCCAGTGCGCATCATCACTCTTCTTCCGCTGCCCACAGCCACCACCCTTCCTCTGTTGCCCACGTTCACTACAGCAGCAGCACTCCCACTCCCACCTCTACCTCTACCCCGTGCACTACCAAGACTCCCACCAGCACTCCCTGCACCTCCAAGGTCAAGCCTACTACCGTCAAGCATACCCCTAAGCCTAGCGTCGCCTGCACCAAGACCAACAACGGTACTCACCACGCGTGCCCTCCCAAGCCTCAGCAACCCATGCTTGCTTACAACGGCACCAAGCCTACTCAGGTCCCTGCTGTGGTCCCTTCTGCTGGTGCAGCCGCAGATAACGTTGTTCCTGCCGCTGCCGGCCTGGGTCTGGTCGCTGCTATCGGCTTTGTCCTCCTTTAAGCGTCTCGCAAGAACTCTTATACTAGGGATCTGCGTGGGATTCTACATTCTGGCAATTGCAATTAGGGAATCTGCGCTGGGGGAAGATCTTTATTTGGACAATTACGATGACTGATAGTTCTTTGTGGGGAAACATGCGTGGGTTTATACTGCTGGAGGGTGGATGGCGGGGGGATAGTTTTAGTGTAGCTTATTTCTCTATGATGTATTTAGCCTTTAACTAATAGCTTACTTAATACAAATCATCTGGGGAAATTTAATCTTTTGTGCTCTTGGATCCATGTGTTGCTGCCCAACTTGTACGTCGTCGAAAAGGAGCTCGGAGTAGCGCCTCCGTGAGCTCCACCCGAGCGCCGACGGCCGGCGGGGGCGGCGGACGAAGTCCGAGGTGCGGCTTGGAAAATATGAAGCGGGTTCAACATCGCGGGATGGGAAGTTGGACGCTTCATAACCATTTCAAAACTCGGCATGTTGGACTTGGCGACATATACAGGGCAAGAGGTCCGGCTCAAGGCCAGGTCCAACGAGATATGCAGGCCGACGAGCGGCGTGGCTAGGGGTTACATCCAAGCAAACGTTGTGGTTCTTCCATCAGAGTATGCCGACGACTTTCGACGACTTTGCGCGCGCAACCCGGTACCCTGTCCACTGTTGGCTGAATCTTATAGGATCGGCAGCTTCAACCAAGTGAAATCATACGTTGAGGGAGTATCTGGCCATGCACTGCTTGCCAGCGGCCTCGATCTGCGACAGGACCTCCCACGCTACAACGTCTACAAAGACGGCGTTTTGCACAAATCACACACAACAGACATCACAGCCGAGTGGACAGACAACTATGTTGCCTTTCTAATCGGATGCTCCTACAGTTTCGAGACTGCCCTTGCGGATGCTGGCCTGCCGCCGCCAGCCATGGTCCACGGGAGAAACTGCGCAATGTACCGTACCAATATCGCCCTATGCCCTGCTGGCAGGTTTACGGGTAGTACATTTGTTGTGTCGATGCGGTCGTACAAAAGAAGGGATATTGAACTGGTCCGTAACATCACCAGTCGTTTTGGAGCCACGCATGGAGAGCCGGTTGCATGGGGCTGGGATGGCATGAAGAATATCGGCATCGACAACGTTGATGAGCCTGTCTGGGGAGATGCACCACTCGCCATGAACGGCGAACCGCTAGGCAGATTCCAAGGCACAGCTGGTGAAGATGACGAGGTGCCTGTGTTTTGGGCATGTGGCGTGACGCCCCAAGAAGCTGTCATGCGGGCTGGGCTGCCCGGAACCGTCATGTCGCATGCGCCAGGGTACATGCTGCTTCTAGATATTAAGGACGAGGCGATCTTAACACCCCCTATAATCCGGGGCTTTGGGGGGTTTCAAGCATCAGCAGACGATGAGGACGGCAGCGGTGGGAGCGCGGACTGAACGACTATTATTTTGTAATTAGCATAGCATCTTCTGTTTGTAGCGTACTCTTAAACGAATTTTAAGACTTATTTCATCGAATACACGTCCCAAGTCTGGGTCTGCCTGCCTTTCCCCAGTGAGGCTGCAACTGACCCCTCCTATTTACACTGACTACTGCGCGGGGCAAGTCGGGCTGGGGCGGAATTTATTAGTGGGCTGACCTGCCAGATGGCTGGCAGTTGGCAACTAGCAACCTGCGCTGTGCGCTTTTAGCCGTTACTTTATTTCTTTTTCAACAAACGAAGTCGTCTTACTTACGGAGTTCAAAACAGCAAAAGTTACGCCCGGAATGTATAATAGATAACTGCAGTTTGTACTATGGAAGACTCGCAGACACCAATCGGCGAATCTATTCGCACAAGGTGAGTACAACTTGTCGCCGGTTATCGGGGGACCGCTGCTAACGAAGATGCAAATGGCCAGTTGCGAAAGATGCAGACGCCGCAAGGTAAGTAGCCTATTTCTCTACGATGCAGTTGCATACTAACCGCATGGGCGTTAGATTAAATGCGATCGCAAACGGCCCTGTTCGCGGTGTGTCAAGGCTGGCAAAGAGTGCATCTTGCAAGGAACGGGAGAGAAGCAGAGGTACGCTTTGAACGGACCCTAGATTTCAATCGCAGCCGCAGACAGACTAACAGTCGTATAGACCCGTATCGAAAGGATATGTTACCGCTCTGGAGGGGCAAGTCGCAGCCCTGGAACAACTCATCCACCGTCTCGCACAGGCTGACTCTCTAGAGAGAGAAGAGATCCTCGCGCAGCTTCCAGTGAATGCTTCCATTGCAGAAGACGCTGTGAAAAAGGATCATGAAGAGTCGCCGACGGATACAAATGTTGTCGCTGCTCGCCTCCGCTCTGGCCAGCTGCGCCGCCGCCATCCCAGCCAAGGAGCCCAGTTCTACGGCGGCACGAGCTTGTTCCAGATCCATCTTGCGGGGGATTCAGCAGTCGCATCTACACCCGCTGGGGGCGTTGTGGCAGGATCCCCTAGTATGCTCCTAGATACGCCCAATGATGCGAGCGGCTCCGACCCGAGAACAGACACAGAAGACCTCACGCCAGCGAGCAGCGTGTTCCAGTACGCTCCGCATGATGAAATGTCGCAGCGGCTCATGGCGACGTTCTTCCGAGAGCAGTATCCTTTCATCATGGTGGTCTACAGAGAATATTTCTTGCGCGACTACGACATTGGTGCTGGCAAGTACTATTCAGACTTTTTATTGTACGCTATTTGCGCCCTTGGAGCCCTGCAGGAAGACGATACGATCCATGTCTCGGAGATCTTTGCGGGTCAAGCCCAATCTCTTCTGTACGCAACCTTGGATAGCCCCGACTTGACGATTCTTCAAGGTCTGGTGCTTCTGGGCTACCATGAAATCGCTGTTGGTTGCACTTCCAAAGGCTGGCTCTTCTGCGGTATGGCATTCAGACTGGCGCATGAGATGGGGCTTCACCTGGATCCGAACAACTGGGACGGGTACACTGGTTTCATTAGAGATCGTGAGATTCTTCGACGAGTATACTGGGCCGTCTTTGTTGCCGACAAGCAACTCAGCCTCTTCTTTGGGCGACCCCCAGCCCTCTACCCTGGCGAATCCGACGTTCGAAACACGATTCGATTACAATATCCCCCGGATTGGCAGGGCTTGCTCGAGACGTATATCTGTACCACCCTACCGGCTACCGAATTTGAGGATGGCGTTGCGCTGGTTGGCTCATTCATCTACCGCGCTGAGCTCTGCAAGGTCATACATGTTATGATCACAGATCTTTTTGAAAACCGCAGAGCCGCAGCTGACCCGGCGATTATTGCGACTAAGGCTCGCCAAATTCATGTCTCTCTAACAAGGTGGCTCGCTAGTCTGCCTGGCACTTTGCATTGGAACCAATGGACGGTAGGCAAAGTCCCACCAGCTGTCCTACATTTACAGTATGTACAATCCAACACTTATGTGACTTATTGAAACTAACGAGATATAGCATGGTGTTTCACACGGTCATGATTATCCTCCATCGCCCTCCGTCAAACATGTTTGACAAGCCCGGCATCGCCGAAAGCGAAGATGTGGAAATTTGCTACGAGTCCTTGCAAGCCATCCTACGTCTAATGCGCAGCTTTTCGCGGTTTTATAGGTACAGATCGCTGCCGCTTGACTTCGTACATACGCTCTCCACCGCGGCTGGCATAGTCATGATGAAGAGATATCTGCAGAAAGCTTCGTGGACAGACCCCGACTTGGAACGATCCTTATCGCTTATTCTAGAGGCTATGACCGACATTGAAAAGACATGGCCATGTGTGAAGGAGATTCGCGATGTCCTTGTTCAGGCGCAGCAGAAACAGCAATCTATTCCTCCCGAAGACCCATTAAACGCACCGGATTTGATGATGGGACTGCAGCTTGACCCGAATGCCTTTGAAGGGTTTGTGCCTGGTGTGGCGGATGATATTGGAACTCTAATTACGGATGAATTTCTAAGCACGCAACTACAACTACCCGAAACCGTGCTCGACGGGTTCGACTTCAATCAAATCCCCGGACCTAGTGGCCAATGATCTACAATTTTCCTGGCCACAGACGTCCCGCCTGTTTTGCATCATCTAGCCATCCGCCGTCGTGGGATAACACTACTTCCACCTTGCCCAGCATGGTGTTTCCGTCCTCGATATCTATAACTCGTTTGATGGTTGAAATGGCCGCGGCCTTGTTGGTGTGCGCACATCTCATAATGGCGGGATACATGGGATCTGGCCATGTCGACATGTCCATTTCGCCAGTCAGTATTCGGCGGTCATGGCAGATGTCTCCAGCGAGATATACATAATTGCCACCCTCTAATCGACACAACATATTCAGATGGCCGGGCATGTGACCAGGAGAGTCCACTACAAAACAGCTTCCGTCGCCAAATATGTCCAGTGTATGTGGAAGTGTAGCCACCGGTCTCCATGGCTCTGCGAATAGCGGCGATATACGCGCTGTTGCTGAGGGATCGCTCCCAGGTTGATGTAATTCGACGGTTCGCAGTGGTGGGAAGAGCATTCTTTCGTATGTGCCATTGACTCCCGCTGTAGACAAATACTGCAGGCCGCCGCCGCCAAGAACGAACTGCGCGCGAGACAGCTCGCCAGGAACACCGATATGGTCCCAATGCAAGTGACTGAATATGGCATAGTCAATGTCAAACTCTGACAGTCCGCCTTGATGCAGTGCAGAGTGTATGTTCGCAGGGTTCATTGCTTTGTTTTGTGGGAGGAGATAGTCTCGCATACTTTCTGTATACTGTGTGGTATCGACACGGATCCCGAGATCAAACAGGATGCGTGTTACTTTTTTTGATGCTGGGTTTCGATGCTGGATGAGAAACGACATGGATGGAAGGACTGTCATTTCATTCTTGTCGTCGAGAGGCGTTACGAAGAAGCGGAGTGGCATAGTAATTGCGCCAGTGTCCAAGGCGTGGACAGACACGTGCGGATAGCGGTTCATGGCAGGCGATCCCAATTGCTGTGTTTCATTGTATGGTGTTTGTTTGGGTGTTGTGTATATACCGGGCGAGGAGGCTGACTGTGTTGGGCGTATTTATTTACAGGTTGCCTTGGCTGGATGAGGCGCATGTACTTTTGTTCAATAAGCTAACGGTCGTCCTATATTTATTTTCCGATTGGTAACCATGAGTGGCCTCCCAGCCGTAAGGGCGCCGTTTGCGAGACCGTGGGTCAGCCGCAACAGAGCTATGCGAGGTCTGTGACTGATGAACCAGCGTATCCGATGATCGGATATCGGACATGTTTGCCCCGGTGGGTTTAATGCCACCTTGGCTGGGCTAGTCTAAGCTTCTATAAATGGGGTGGAAAGTTATATCTTTGTTTCAATTTCCAACAATCATTTTATGCCATCTATTTTCTACGTGTAGAATTTCAGTGTTTAGGTGGTGCAGGAAATGTTTGGAGTTGTACCTGCCAGTCTTTGATCCCGTTGACAACTCTACGAGGTATCCAGATGTAGAATCGATTGAGCACGAATAATAATAATTACTCATATGAGGCTGAGGGGGACCTGGTTTTCGGTACTCTTTTCGGAGATATGCCACGAGGTCTTGCAAATTATACTCGTTGTTAAGCTGGCCGTTGCCTGTTTCGTCTCGGCGTGGGCGTATCGCATAATATAGGCAACGGCCTCAGCAGCAGCCCTCCATTTACTCTGGCCATAAGTGCTAAGGCTGTAAGTACGGCTGTAAATAGGTGGGTGATTTAGCGTTCCTCAGCTCCGCAATCTAATGACGACGGTGGTGCGTTCCGGTTCCGGGTCCCGGCTAATAGATATGGGGTCAAAAGATGAGGGGCTGTAAATGGCTCTGGTAGCAGCAGCACCAGCTGAGCTGCCCTTTGCATCATTTAACCTCTTTGGGAATATTCTGATTAGTTTCACCATTAAAAGCACCGATTTCAATTGAGCCTGAATTCCACTTAAAAATGTCTACTGGAAACAAGGAACTCTTTGAGAAGGGCGTCAAGATCCGCCGCGAGGTTGTTGGCGATGAGTACGTTACCAGGGCCCTGGAGAACGGATCCAGCGAATTCGCCTTTGTAAACCAGCAATTCGTCACAGAGTAAGAAGATTCATGCATTTACAGGATGTAATCAAAGCTGACATATGTGCCAGGTACTGTTGGGGAACTGTTTGGGCCCGCGACGGACTAGACCGCAAGCAACGCAGTCTTCTCAGTACGTGATTTGCTCGGAGATTGACCGAGACTCTCTTTTCACATGCATTGCAAACGACACTGTCAGAGACGCTAACACTGTACACAATAGATCTTGGCATCCTGACCGCCATCAAGAGCTGGCCCGAACTTGGTGTCCATGTTCGTGGTGCCATCAACAATGGGCTGACTGAGCTTGAAATCCGTGAGGCGCTGCTCCACGCCGCCGTTTACTGTGGCGCACCGGCTGGTATGGAAGCTTTCAAGGTCGCTGAGAGAGTATTAAACGAGATGGCCGAGAAGGGCGAGCACAAGAGGGAGCTTAACGGCATGGCGCCGGATGCCGCTCAACAGAAGTGAGCGAGCGCCCATGTGTGCGGCGAATATTGACACATGCAGTATGTATTGCTTCAATAGATTTGCAGTATATGCATAAGGTTACATTTCTATAAACATGGTTCACAAGGAACAAAAATGGAGTGTGAGTGTCGAAACTACCGTCGGAAAGTGAGCCTAGGGGATACGCGGCCGAATACCCCATGCAACGTGGTGCTCTTGTAATCTTTTTAAGAGAGTGTCGGTCGAACGATCGGACCAACGAGAAGGAAGTGAAAATCTATAAATAACTCGGGCTAAGCATTCAGAAATGACGATGCTATGCATATCACATGGCGATGAATAAGAGCCCATCGCTGGCTGCGATCCGGTGTTTGATCTAGCTGGTGCCTACCCCATCCACCAGGCTATCACATCGCGTTCAGTGGACTGTTATTGGTCGCTTAAGCGGATTAGAACGTGGAATGCTTTTGAATCCTTTGAGTATGGTTCGCTCGCTTAGCCTTAGCTCCCAAGTTAAAGATGTCGGCAGTGGCATTTCAGGCTAGCGTGTGGCTTGCGCAACGCATGAATCATCAGATTTCAGGCCACGCTGTCGGGTAACCCATCACATAAAGTATACTCGCCACAAAAGGAAGGGTTTTAGGCTCAATAGGTTGATACACTTTGGAGTCCGTTGGTATACACCGTGACTGTCGCTCGGTGTGTATGTGTAGGATCACCGTATTTTTTCTTTGGTACAGTACATACGTCATCTGTTGTAAGCGGATCATCCGCTAAATGAGAACCATTACAGTGGACACAGGCGGGCCGGGGTTTGAGGCGGGGCCGTGGCCAGCGAGCCAAAAATAGGTAATTAGTGCCAGGGCAGCAAACCTTGTAGCGGGCGTGGAGCACCATCAGTGCCCTATTGCCAAAGGGGGTATCTTGCCGAGGGAAATTGGCCGGTGTGTGTCGAAATAAGCTGCCGGGGAGGGGGAAAAGAAGCTAAGTGTTGACAAAATGTGAGTAAGTGAGAGGCCGTGTTTCAAAAGCCATGTTCATGTCCGTCGGAGGTGGCCAAGCGGTCGCCCCCTCCTCTTTAAGGAATGTGATGATGATGGATGCTGCACTGTACTGCACTGTAGATGTTGCATGTATAGCGCCAGAACAGTGTCTTTTACTATTTCAGGCAGTTACCAAGTTGTTGATGAAAGAAAAATGTGGGAATATAAGACACACACCTCCCCGTTTTGGTAATCCTCTTTTTTTTTTTTTTACCTCCTGTTTGCTCTGTTAAGCTCCCTATTCCTTATTCCTCCCATCCCAATCTTACGTGCCTTGTTTTTTCACAGTGGGCGGCCGTTTTATAGACCCTCTTGTCACAGCCATGGTGGATGATCCTGCACCACTGAGACGGTGGTGAGCCTCCCCCTACCTTTGGTATTCTTCCTTCTGGCAGAATTAAAAATAATCAAAAAATAGTGCTCTATTTACCCCTACCAGAGATACAGCCACTATATTATCCATTTACATCAAACAAAACTGCCGACATACGCAACTCACCACCTGCGTGAACAGCAGCCTTGCGTACGTCCTCCACTGTTCCCCCCCTGCGGGCGTTCATTCAACCCCCACAGCCAGCGCTATAAGCCTCCCCTCTCAGCTGCCCAACTCACCTCCCACAGTGGTCTGCCACAGCTAAAGCCCCAAGCGCCCCCAAGAACATCGCCCCCGGCTTTCACGCTTCGTGGCCGCCCTGACCTTTTCCCAACTTGCATCTCCAGCCGCATCACCATTTTCCCTTGCACACAAACACAAACATCTTCATGGCCTGCTGACAACATCATCCGTCTCCAGCTTCGACCAAATATTCTTCTGTGCACATTTTAACACACGCCAGACGCATCAGTATCCCGTTTCCAGCATCCGCGGGCCATGGGACAGTCTTCATAGCACCACGCAGCAAGTTCCCATCCAACCCCGACGACGTAGCTTCGCACAGCCTCGTTCGCCCCAACATCGCCAATGAATAGCACCGCCCACCCTCGCAATATCAACCCTTCATAGCTGCCGGAATGGCTTCAGATGAATTCGCAGCGCCGTCGACGCGCGATGAAAAGCTGCCGCCGCTGGTAGATCCCTTTGAGCAGCTTCCCGACGAAATCATCCAACAGTTTGTCCACCAGCGCCCCCAAATCATCCGTGCGCAGGTTGGTAGCTCTCCATCGCAATTTGCTAACCATATCTCTAGGATTTTAAAGTCTGCTGGTCCTGAAGGCTTCGCTTGTCTTACTCTATTAAACCGACAATGGCGGAGGGCCTCGTCCCAGCCGTCCCTCTACGAACTTCACTTACGGCGGTGCCCGTCCTACGCCGCCAGCCATCTATCTCTACCCCCCTCACAACAAAGCAATCTCGATCAGTTGAGGCGACTGTTTGCCGCCGAAGTAAAAAGAAACCTCTTCGAACCATATACCCGAACCTCCGAAACAATAATCAAGCTTATATCCACTTCCAACAGCTCGTCGTCATGCCCAGGTGGCGAAGGCATGCACTTTAATGCATCAGCCCGGGGACACCATGTACTGGCGTATAACTCGTCGAGATTATACGTTATTGACGTTCGTGGCCACGACATTGAAGTCAAGAGAGAGTTCAAGATTCGTCGCCGCCCAGCGTTGGCATGCGTCGCGGACAATGCTGAAGTGCTTGCTGTAGTCTCGGACGAGATGCAGGTGGACGTATATACCCTTACCTCGTCCCCGCCGAAGAAGAAACCTACCATGATTCTCGATACAAAACCCCGTGCCATTGCCCTGTCTGCCTGCGGATCGGTTCTCGCCATTGCATACGACCACGGCATCGAGGTCTCGTCTCTTGTTGCTGGTGCCATGCCCACCGACCGACGAGCCGTAAAGTGTGATCCAGTCGATTCACTAGCATTTTCTTTTGACGGAACACAACTCCTTGGAACAACAGTCCATACTACCTCCCCTTGTACCGTCGTGATTACAGCGCCCTACTTTGACCCAGGTAACCTGCTTTCTGAAGGAAACATTGCATCCATGTGGACGACATCGATTCTCTTTCCCAATACGAGCCACGATTCGAGTCACGCTGTCCTCTTACAGAACGGCACTTTTGAGGAGGCCACCTGGGCCTTTACTTACGACCGCAGTTTTGAAGCCTTCCGTGCGATACGCATCGAAGATTTACGCAACGGCACTACGTACTTTACCGGGCCGGAACCAAAGGATGCATCCACAGCTACCTTGCTTCCTTGCACTCTTCCGGCAACCACATATCAGAAACAGCTTGCTGCTGCGGGCTTTGATGGCAAAGAGGTCTGGATTTACGGCATCCCTGAAGACCTGGATGCCATTCCTGGCGGTGCTGCATCCAATGGTGACCATCTAAGTGTGTCTGCTGCTCTTGGACGACATAGCAGCCAGCACAGCAATATATCACGTAACAGCTCTTCTAGAAGCAGAAACGCACCTGAACCGGGAAACAGAATGCCTCAGTGGCAAGTCCTGTGCGACAAACAGCGTAACAACATTGTTACCGGCTGCAAGGTTTCAGAGTTGCCTGGTCTAAGTAACCTTAACTGGGTGGAAGGCTACGGTGGATCGTCGCTCAAGGAGCGATTGATTGCTACTGCCCGCGGGGTTTCTGGCCCCGTTCTGGCCACTGATGAAGAAGACATGGACTTTGTGGACGGCGGCCGAATCGTCCTCATTGACTTTGACTTTGGCTTTTCAGATGGTCAACGCCGCGAAATTTCCATCGAGTTAGGGTCCGATGAGGCTGAATCTCTCGAAGAAGAGAAGCGAGACCTGGAAACCGAAGTTGCCATTGTCCGGCGCCGTACTGTGGCACAACGCCGAAACAACAACCCATTGTTGCGAGCTGCTACTACTGCTAGCGCTACAGTCTCCGTACCACTACCAGAAGAACCAGAAGATGATCCCCTTATCCCGCGCCGTATGGGGCAGAACCCTCTATCACAGCCCGCGGCTGTTGAGGAAGAAGAGGAGGCTGAGGGTGGGCTCTCTATTGCTGCCATGGAAGCTCTGGACGCCCCTTATGCGCATGCTAGCCCACGATCTACAACGACCCTTCGCCGCGCTGCTACTGCCGCCGCGGTGAATCGTGCAAGGAATCCACGCACAGCTGATGGCCGCCCCATTGAATACAGACGTGCTGATGGTCGTCGTGAGCATCCCCATCCAGCAGATGGAGACAACTGGGTTCCTCCTCCGCCCCCTTACCAAGCTGATGATCCTGGAGATTTACCACCGTTTTTGCGAGGCCCTGCTGTAGCACCGCTGGCGTCACCACCACTCCAAGCAAACTCCATGCTGACACGGTCCAACACGCTGGCATCTACAAGCTCGTCATACCTACAGCGACGACAATCAAGGCAACGAACAGGCAGCGACTCCACGACCTATAGTGCCCGTCCACGCCCTGAGGATTTTTCACGACCCAAGTCTAGTCCTTCATTAGCGCAGGCATCCTTTCAACCCTTTGCCGGCGGCTCTACATCTGTGGATGTCCCTGATACCGATTCAAGCGCAGTTATTGACACGGAGCAGCAACAACATCAGCCTGAGTCTCCTGTTCTAACCAGCGCAACCGGTGGTCTGCCCATACTTCGCCGAGCAAGCAACGCATCAATGAGCCAGCCTTCTAGCCGTCAGGCATCAGGCAACCAGCCTGTGATCAAGAGACGGCCAGTCCGTCCGTCAGTAGACGTTGATATATCACCCAACGATATCTCGCCTCTGGGCAGCACCCTCTCGGGACCTTTCCGCGGCTTAGCCACTGCTCAGACATGGCCACGGGCTCCGGAGAATCCCCAACCTTCCTCGAGTGGCTCGCAAACTGGCTCAACGAACCCGATATCCCCTGTTGGTGGTAGAGCTGTCGTGGATGATACTGCTGCATCACTACCGCCAGCACCTAGTTCTGAACAGCTTGCCCGCCTCAACAGACATTCCACATTAGGGCTCAGCCCACGGAGCCAGGCTTACCAATCATCATCGCAGTGGCATGTAGGTCCTTCTGAGACGATTGCAGCTTGGCACGCAGCCAACTATGTCACATCACCCAGCGGAACCTTGGAGGATGAACCGACACTAAATCCCAACGAAGACCGACCTCTGATTATTAGTACTCCGAGTGGCGTCTCTGGAGCATACGACTCTGAAAAGGGACGGATGGCGTCATCAACAGGAGATGCTATGCTAGCCCCAGTTCCACGCCGACCGCGTGCCAATATTCCCTTCAATCCCGGACAAAGGTCAACAGTTGTACAGCCTATCTACTCTGCAGCGGACGTGGCGGCCTCTCAGGAACAACGGCAGCAATCCGAGCGACGAGGCAGTTTGGTTCCCGCTTGGCTCTCTTCGCCGCCAACAGGAAGCCGCCAATCCTTAGGTGTGAGCCGAAAGCCCAGCAGAGCAGAGCGCAGCGCGGCTAAGAACATGCACGACGCACGTAAGAAGGGCTGGCGGCCGAAGTCGAAGAAGGGCAAGGCAGTTGCTGGCTCTGAGGATCACGATTGGGCAGATGTGTCGCCAACAACAGCACCAAAGGACAAGAAGTGTGTGGTCATGTAAACTGACAGAAAACATTTGCACGAACGTCTTTTTTTATATCATTGCATTATCTAGCGTGTATTTTACCTATACTGGCGTACAGCGCCTTGAGCTTAGCTGGCTGAACATAATACCACTTATAGTCTTCTGTTTTTCACATCTTTACACGTTGCACCAAAATTATCAGGAACTTGTGATTTGAAGCCAAAAACAAACAAACTTGTATATATTATTACGCCAAGGCGAAACTAATGCGCCAATGTTCAAATGCAAAAGGTCTATCCAGATGGAATGATGTACGTAGTCGTCCTCCATCCATCATGTCAAAAACGTGAAAGTAGTTCTGTAATCCTTGCGCGTCTTATCTATCCATCTACTGAGGAACATAGGCTTTTCCATGCGCCACGTCTCTCAGACCAGCCTCCTCCATCATGCCCGACATGGTCGTGTTGCGTTCACTAGAGTAGAACTCGCTCCTGTTAAGAGTACCGCTCCCCGGGACACGCAAGCTATTAGGGACCGTCAAGGTCTCTGCCGACACACCAATCTCGATACTCTCCGTACTTGGCTCACGGTGGATTGCCGACGGCACAGCCTTGCGCGAGATAATGCTCGACGCCTTCATCTGGCGAATGGGCGCAACCCTCGCAGCACCAACTTGACCCGTGCGCAGCTCATCAGCCGACTGATTGCTACCAGAGCCGCGACGAGTATCTGCGTACGAGTAGCGCTGGCCAAAGGGGTTGCGAGGGTCGTCCTCCGGGTCCCGGAACTGGCTGCGGTGGTCGTCGAGCTCGGGGACAGGACTGGCGTAGTGCCTGTTGATGGGCTGCTGGCTGATGGACGACTGCATGCCGGGGCTGCGGAGGCCAGCTACCGAGTTGGACGACGACCCGGGGAGCTCCTTAGTCTCGTAGAAGTCGGTGTGGATGCTAGCGGCGGGCTGGGGGATGGGATAGCTGATGTCGTTGCGAGGGCCGGCCTGTTGGCGGCGGCGACGGCGGCGTCGGATGCAGCAGCATGCGAGGGTGGTGATGACGATGAGGAGGAAGACGCCGCCGGCTGCGCCGCCAATGATGGAGACGAGCTCTGGGTTGGCGATGCCGCCTTGGATAGGCGGTGCGGAGGTTGCGGCGGCTGGGTTGTCGGTGCTGCTGGTAGCGGGGGATGTAGGGGATGAGGTTGGCGGCGCGGAGGAGAACTTCGTCGGCATGAGCTTGGAGTCGGGAGCGGTCGATTGGTCCTTGTTCAGGATGCAGCTTGCGTCGCCGTCCTTGTTGGCGCAGGAGTAGCCGAATGGGCAGCAGGCGTCGGGGCCGCACTTTGTAAGTGTGGCATCGAGGGCGACGGTCTTGATGGGGGCGTCGCCGTGCAGGCTTACGTCTTGCTGGGTGATGTCGCAGGTGATTGCGAGGATGGCGGCGCAGTCCTGGCCTGAAGGGCAGCAGAGGGCGGTTGAGTTGCCGGCGAGGGCGTGGCAGCTATAGCCCTTTGCGCAGCAGAATGTGGATGGGAGACCGGCTGGACATCCTTCGAGACCTTGTGCTGCGCATGTTTCGGATGCTTGAATCTGGAAGGCGGGGATTGCGGCCGCCGTGGACGCCAGAGCGGCGAGGAAAGTGGCGGTGGTGAGTCTCATGGTGAAAGTGGTGATCTTGGCAGTTGTAAGTGGATGGTGTTGAGATAGAGTGTGTGTGTGTTGCGGCCTGCGCTGGAGAAGACGAAGGAGACGTTGACAGATAATGAAACTCGTTACGGAATTCGCTGTGATGTTTTAACAGCGTGATTAATTGTTGTTGTGGTGGCGGTGAATGCTGGTCGTTATGTTCGTGATACGGACAAAGGAAAGGAACGGGTCAGGCGAGCAGGACAGAATGAATGAATGAATGCGTCCTGCGGATCACCACGACAAGAACAAAGCAATGGATGTGACAGAAAAAGAAATGTATAGAAAAAGAAGAGAAAGAAAGGAAATGTGAGAAAGGAAGAGGGCATACGCAGGTAGAGTATGGCGGCTAGCTACGAGCTTAGCAGCCAAGGCGACGCCAAACCTCTACGTGAGCCGCTGCATAACATAATCACAGATGGAACAAAAAGAAATTGCTATTTGCTTGGTTGCCGCCGAACCATACGCGCCGCCGCCAAAAATAGGCGTTGCATTGGTTGGTTGGCGCTGCATCGCCGAGATGGTGGTGATGCAGAATGCAGGTGGTTTCCAGTCACGAGAGCCAGTCGTTGTGTGGACGGCGGGCGGTTTTGGTTTGGCAGTGGGCGCTTAACTGGCAAAACTACAGGGCAGCAGTGGCACAACTGCAGGCGTACAGCGGGGAAGAGGGGGAAGCAGGGGCATGGGCGGCTACAGGTACCTGTCAGCGAGTGGTTCAGTGGTTTAGAAACATGAAGACAGAAAAAGGAGGCGCTGAGAAAATTCAAGCGGATGAATGCGAATGGAAACATGCCGGAAAAGAATTTATTGGAATTTTCAGAGCGGCGGAAGAAGAAAGGAAAAATGCCAAAAGGGACACGGCCCAGCACAGCGAGACCCGGCCCGGCAGTCCACTCTACACGACTGCCGCAAATCACCCACCGACACACTAAGTTACTGCTTGTTAGCGGGTGAGCGTACTGTGCCTGTTCATCACCTGTAAAGCCGCTGGTGGCCCCCACCACTTCACTAAAACAAACCCTGAGCTTAGGCTGCCGCACGCGCCGTGGCAAGTGCACCGCCCCGCTGTAGCCGCCCACGAAGATATCGGCCAAACGCCGTCGGCGGTTATAAGCTAGCCAGACAGAGGAAAAGGGGCGGGCTGTCAAAAATAGAAAGAGAAAGACAGCGGAGGTCGAGCGAGAGTAGAATTCTCCCCCCCCCCCCCCAAAAGGGCACATTTGAGGCTAAATACACGGTGGATGTTTGGCTGCTGCGGCTGGGCTACTACTATATCTGTAGTGCACTCACTACGTTGTATAAATTTAGAGGGCCACTATACGAGCGGGCCAACCAGACCTACACGGCCGAGCTGCCGGACAAACAACCCAGCACATTGACCAGCACTCGGCACATGCGCACACCCGCTATAGAAATTGCGCCTTTTTATCGTTACTATCTACAGAAAGAGAGAGAGAAAAATAAGATACACGCCCTTGTAATCTCTGTACACTGTGTGTGCATGTAAAAGCCCAGTCCATGTCACTCCGTCATGTTTCGTTTCCCCAGCGTCGCAGCCACCAGTGAGTGACACGCTATCGACTCGCTCATCGCACACAACCCCTGCACTGCGTAAGAAGCCGCTGCAACGCAATCGGCGCACTAAAGCTCCAGTGATTAATTGAACCCCTCACTGGTCTGTACACTACTCATCCAGCAGCTAAACTAACATCGTGAAACTCTACAACGGCCATGACTCTCCCTCTCCTCAAAGAAACTACTGACTCTACACTAACCCAGAAAGAGACTAAAGAAACAAATAGCCAGAAAGACAAAATAACGCCATCTCCGTCCACCGGCCCACCGCCCTGGTTGTAGTCTCGCACGTTCCCCCCCGCCCACACTTTAGACTTTCCGCTCAGAGCCTTTTCCCTTGTTCGGCCTAGCTCAGGCACCTGAAACTTGGTCGTTGCTTCTCTCTTGGTTCCGTAGGAAAAAAAACACCAACTCAAAGCACGGCTTTGCCAAGCAGCGGCGGCCCAAGAGACCCGCGCCCGCGAGTCCCCTCCGCCCTGCTTTTCCCGCCCGGAAACCAGTAAGCCGTGGCCCCCGGGTCCGCTTTTGCTTGTGAGGAAATCTTTTCCTCTTTTTTCGTTGAGGAGAATAGTCTACACTAGATGAAGCTAGCCTCGCGGTGTTTCGTTTCGAGGCGCACAGTACGAGCGGGCGGGCGGGTTGACAGGACATGTTGGTGACCCTAAAGAAACGTGGGTTCCGGATGGGTGGGCGAGCAGCCGAATGGCTCTCTGAATAGGGAAGACTGTGCGAGGTGAGAATCAGGAATGGCTGGATTTACATTGGAAAAAGATAGTCGGTCTCTGTATCTACGTCTGCCAGAGAGTTGGTTGCCCTAGGGGCGGTAGACTTCCGTTGTGGCTGTTGTAGATGGCTAGACAATATTACATGCACACTGAGCAACGATAGATGCAAGATTGACAGGAAATGGTGTGAGATTTCTATCTACTAAAAGACAGTCTGTCATCCAACACCAGACTGTGACAAAAAAAGAACGCCATCACCCATGGAGGGTGTGAGCAACAAGAAAAAGTCATGAGTCGTCATCCTCCTCACACACACCCGTAGCCTTCCCGGCTCTCGTGTTTCCCGTCCCGTCATAACCCATCACCCGCTAAAATTTTCCAAAAAGTCCCAAGTGTCAAAAAGGCCTTTTTGAAGTAGATTGATGCGCTAGCGCTAATAACCCGAATTATGATAATGCTCGAATGCCTTGCGGCGTTCTCTAATAGCAAAATGTGATTTGAAAAAAAGACAAGTTTCGTTCCCACTGGTGGTATCATAGATAAAAAAAGAAAGAAGGGGTCGGCTGTCCAGCAAAGCCTTGAAAAAATGTAAAGTCAAAAAAAGTAACAAGAGAATGTTGCAAAGTTGCAGAGTGTTTGGAGAGGCCTCAATGCCTAGATGAGGAGGTGGTCCCAGCCATTAATCTGCATCACGTCCCGCCAGTGAACGTGAGGAGGGGCCTGGTGAGCCTCAGAGGCAGAGGAGCCAGGAGAGCCACTGTCGGAAAGGTAGTCGTTCTGGTTCCAGACCTCGCGGAGGACTGTCACCATGCGACCAAAGGAGCCGCAGTTGCCCATGTCGCCCAACTTGGCGATGCGGTCCTCGAGGTGAGCGCGGAAAGCGCTGCCAGCAGTGCTGATGGAGCCGCCAATGAGGTAAACCCAGACCATGCTGCGGTCGAAGCCATCGACGCCCTCGGGGATGCACTCCAGAGCGTGGGTGAGCTTGTCCAGCAGTGCCATGGGCGAGGGCTGGTTGGGGCTGAAGCCGGGGACGAGGCTGCAGAGGTAGATGCGAGCTGCCAAGCGGAAAGCAGTGGTGATGTTCTTGGATAGCTGCTTGGGGGAGAGGCTGCCGTTCTCGTTGAAGGGAAGGCGGGGGATTTCTTCACCCACCTCCGTCATGGAGATTTGCTCGCCCAGCGAGGACACGTGCTGGCACAACACAAAGTCGTCCATGCCGCTCTTCTTGAGAGACTCGAGGCAGGCAATCTCAGAGATGAGGTACATGACACGGTCGTCGCAGCCCATCAGCTCGCGCAGACCAAGCTGCGTGTTGGGAGACAGCAGCTTCACGCGGTAAGTGTGTGCAAAGGCAGGCGAGTTGCCCTGCATGGAGGCACCGAGAATGTCAATCCACGCGGCCAGAGTCATGTTGAAGGGAGTTTGCACCATGGGCGCGGTGGGCTCGGTTACGATGCGAGGCAAGTCCAGCTTCTGCACCAGGCTGATGGCCGCCTGGAAGTGCTGGTGCCAGGGAATGTCAAGAAGCCCGTCGTTGGGGCGGCCCACAACACACTGGAAGAAGATGAGGCCAAGAGACGCCTCAAGAATCTGCTGGTGGTTCTCATCAGTCTTGAGCGCTTCGCACAATGACCAGATTGTGGCGTAACGGTGGCGCATAATGTCCTCGTCAACGGCTTCCTCCGACTCCTTTGCTGTCATCTTGATGTGCTGAGCAGCAATGCTCAGGCAGCAGTGGAGGTAGATGCTGTTGGACTGCAGGGCAGGGAGGACCAGATCCGACACGACGGCGCCGTGCTGGTTGGCCTCAAGAATGGGGAAGATGGTGGGCAGCACAAACTTGATAAAGTGATCCAGCAGGCGCTGGTCGTTCTCCTCGAGCTCAACGCGCACCTGGCGGGTCTCCTGTGCAGCAGGGCCGTGGGCAAAGTCAAAGAAGTTGGGGTTCAGCGCCTCCTCGGCAGTAGACTGCCGGCGCTCCTCATGGTACGTCTCGGTCCAGCCGCCAGCAGAAGGCAAGACGGTACCGGGAGGAGGAGGAGGTTGGAAGGTGCTAAAGGTGGAAACATGCGATTCACGTAGCGTGGGAACATCGTCAACAAACATCTGACGCTCAGTCTTGATGTCGACCGCATAGGGAGGGTATCCGTCATACATGAACTCGGGGGGAACCTGTGAGTTGTATGCAGAGTATTCGCTGGGAGGGCTGTTGAAGTTGAAGGCAGCCGATGCATGCGAATCAATCGACATGGATCTGTTGCGGTCGTCTGTGTAGGTTGCCGAAGTCGGCTGCGAGTGCGAGAGGCCGGGAGGCGAGCTCACAGAAGTCTGAATGGCATGCGCCTGCTTCTCAGCTAGCTTCTTGCGCTTGATGATGGTCTTGATCTCTTCTTTTTGGTTGCGGCGAGCATCATTGTTACCCCACCAGATAGGCCGCTTGTATTCACAAACAAGGCCGAGATGCTTGCAGGCGCTGCAGAGGCCCTCGTTCTCGTCGCACTTCTTTCGTCTAAGTCGGCAAGTGTAGCATCCTGTAGTGTAAAATGCGCGGTTAGCCAAAGCGCTCTAAAAATGGGAGGAAAGCAAAGAAAGAAAGAAAAAATCACGGCGAATTGGCGCATCGTGCGAGCGTGCACCACAAACCACAGCCGTTGGGCCAGGCATCGCGTGTAAGTGCTCTTTTTTTTCGCTAGGATGGCGGGCTCAACGTACCTGTTCTTGAGCGGCGATGCATCTCCGCCTTCTCTTTGGTTGTGCTATCAGCAGCCTTGGAGGCTGTTCTGGCCTTTGCAGTCTTTGTAGCGGCCATTTTGGTCTTGGAGATAGAACCAGATGAAGCTTCGCGATCCATGGGGGACTGGGAAGGCATATGTAAGGCAGCACCTTTGGGTGTGGGAGTGAATGGAGGGGCGTGTAAGTGTGGTTGGGGGGGAGTGTGACTGGGCAGTAGGTACAGTGCCGGGCTTGACGGATATGCACTGTAGCTTTCTTGAGTGACCACTCAGCAAGTGGGACAGGGAAGCCGCAGAAAGAGGGGGAGAGTCAGTGGCTGCTAGCTGTGAGAAAGAAGCCGACTCGGGTCTTTTGCAGAGGCGAGAGTGGGGGATTTGCTGCTGTTGCTCTGCTGTTGCGTTCACCTGTTGTGGTCCGGCCTTTGGGCTGTTGTGAGCGTGTACTTGGTGAGTCCTGCGCGAAACACTGCCAAAGAAGACCTGCTTTTCGTGTGTTTTTTGGTTGCGTTTTTTGTTTTTTCAATGTTTCCAACTTATCAAAAGTCGAAAAAATATTTCTTGGAAATAATAAAATCGAGGTTGTCAAGAGAATGTTGTCTGAGGCAAGACCAGCTTGCTGTGTATTAAAGATGGTAAGGAAAGTCGATGAACCGTGAACGAAACTTGAATCCGGGTTAAAAGAGGAGGAGCCTTTTGGTGACACTTGGAGCTTCTCAATCTTTCACACCTAGAAAAGAAAAAGAGGGTTAAATTCAAGCTGGGCGGCAACAATGACTTATATCATGGCCGCTCTCGTGGAGACCACCCTCCCCATCCACCCTCTGTCACCATGGTGTTTGCAGGTCCGTGTTACTATTTTTGAACATGAACTAAATACAACCACCCGGGTCATCATGCTCACCACCACCAGCACACCAAAAAATGACTGCGCTTACACAGGCCAATGAGATGGCCCAAATCCCCTCGACGCGCCCAGAAAACAGCGGACCCCCTCACAGGGATTGCACAAGAATCATACTCTGTTGGGGAACTTGTGCAGAAGGATCCACGAGACTAACAGTACAATCTTGCATGCCACCGCAATTTGTGCGTCCTCGTCGTGGGGCCGTACCTTCTTCACTTGCAAGCTCTGCTCGTAGTAGCGATGGCCGGGCCCGCTGTCCTCCTCTCCAGCCATCTTCACAACTACTCGCCCAATCTCCGCCGATATGCCGTTCCCGCTTTCTCCCACACAAGTCTGTTCGCCGTCGCCCTTGTAAGTAGTTCATAACTAGGCTTGGCGGGCTGGGGCTGCTTCGTTACTCGCTTCCGCTGATGGGTCCCCTTCCTATGCAACCACAGCGCCTCTCACTCTCTCTCCCAGCCTTCTTCGTCGCTATCCCACTGTCTTCCGCTACCCGCAACAGCTATTGTTCGGTCCCCAAATAGCGTGCATACATGCGTCAAACTAGCGGCGCCATGCTTTTACGGCAGGTTACTGTGAGCGTTTTTTTTTCTCACCCATCTCCCACCGGCGCTCTCCAACCTCTCTCCCCAGCCCAGGACCGGAACTGCATCCATGCAGCTCCGCCTTCGCGTGTTTGCCCTTGTACGAAAATAGAGTCGAGAATATCCTTATCATCCTTACTAAAGAATAAATTGTACTGTTACAGCGCTTGTAGTGGGCAGATCCACGGATGTGGCAAAGGCCGCCCTCACACGTAGACTGGCCAATAGTGACACACTAAGAACGCTGCTCCGACGGCACGTCTAGCCACTCTCACACGCTGAGCTCACATGCCGCAAAACCAGCGGTCTGTACAAGATTGGTGGATTTTCCGCTTCACGCCCATATCCGCGATACCTGTTTAGTCACTTGCTCCGTGCATGCTGCGCAAGTACCGGGAAACAGGTCTCCATCAGGCCCGTGGGGGCTAGAATGGGTCTTGGTCAACGAGAACCGAAAGATAGAGCACGGCTCAGAATCGCACCCGCTCCAGCGAGCAATTCACGGCTTCTCTAAGGTGCGAGGCACTCAGCAAATGCCCAGGGTAGTATCTGTGGCGGTAGACTTTACGCTAACACAGCTAGCGCTGTGAGCCGTAGTGCGTCTCTGGCTTCTCATTGGACAGCGAGTGTGACGAGACGTTGCCTACCTGCAGCTCTCTCCGCTCCGCGGGACCAACCGATTTACGTATGAGGACTAGCCCCGCCCACCAGTGGTGTTTCTGTGATCAAGATTGGCTATCGCATGCATAAGGTCGAGCAAGGGTTCTCCGCCCGTCGGGCCAATGGCGAGTCGAGGACTAGTCAGTGGAAGTGGTGGTTGTGATCGCGTGGATACATTATCCCTGCTAGCGAGCCCCCGGAGCAAAAAAGGCCCTTTTCCACCCGTCAGCTACCGCAGCCCCCCTGCCGTACTGGTTGTTGTCAAACTTGTTGTAGGGCAGTATTCATCGTCGCTGTTCATGGTAATTTCCTCGTGTTATCAAACGAGAAAACTGATGGGAGCCTCTCACAGAGTAGAGCATGTGCTGAGGCGACAGTCTCAAGGTGACGGGGAAACTCACTCATTATTGCCTTCTAATTTCAATGCTTCCAGTGTGGGCGCCAGCCGTACTCGGCACACAATCCCAACGGCGCTGCAACGATCAGCCTGTAACCTGGCTCGTGTAGCCGCTGGATGTTTTCAACCTGGCGTTACGCTCTGTAGGCGCCTGCATACCCTCCCCACCCTCAATGGCGTGCTGAAGGTCCTCAGCGCTAAGAGCGATTTTTTTCTAGAGCGGTTGCTATTTTTATTTTTGCCCAATTTCCTTTTTGCTTCCGGGCTAATAACAGCAACCAAAACTGGTGCCCATAGAAACAAGTATAGCACTAAGCAGCCGAACACACACTTGGGTGCTAGGCGAGACTTGATCGGTGTCTCACCGAGACCGCTGGATTCTCATAGCCTTCTCACTGGAGGGAGGCATTATATCTGTAGGTATTTGCTACGGTGGGTGCCACCATGGCTCAGAATCATCCTCGTGGATCATTGTCACTGGAATTGTTATCTTGCGCCCGATATGTCATCGCAACCTCGTTGGACGTTCACTCCAGCTAGTGGCTATTGGAGGTTCAATCCAGAACGTTGATGAATGTGACTAGTTCTTTTATGCGGAAGAATACAATTGCCATTTTCAACCAGTGGCTTTTTTTCCTTTTGCTTGTGGTGGCTCCTGTCTGCTTTGCCACATGATACATCAACCTTCAGCCACTCTTCTGTAAGCCATTTGGAGTGGCTGCGGGAAACACCGTTCCGTCTCTTTGAGTTTCGGAGCTAGAAGGTTTAGCATGTCTTACAGAAGCTGGCGCATCGTGGCGATTGAGTTCCAGCCACGAGGTCAACCGCTGAAGCTAAGCACCTAATCCTGACCTGTCAATTGCGAACGTGAAGTGGCAGCGACGGTATAAACCTTCTCAGCGGCTTCACACCCATAAGTTTTCGCAAAACTCAGGCTGCACCATATGGCTTCAGCCATCGGACCCGTTGTTGAAGATGGCGCCTCTCAACCGGCAAACAAGCAGTACACACCCCACGACCCTTTTGCACTTCTAGTTGACTAACGGCAACCTTGGTGGCTTAAGTGGAGGCTCTGGAGCATCCGCCCACCACTGCCCTCTCTAGCCTGTGCTATTAGTTCGGGAACAAAAATAAGATCCTGAAACGCACCACAGCCCACTGATGGTGGGTGTAGTCTCCGCAGGCGAACTGGTCCGATCGGAGGTGCAGCGTTGCGCTGCATCCTATGAGATTGAAAACGACTTTGCATGAAATCCATCCTAGCGCGCAATCCTAGCTCGTTGCTAGTGGTGAAAATCGTCGAAAATTTATGACAAGTCACTCACTACCTTGTAAAGATCGGTAACTGTAAAACTTGCCATTTGTGATAAGACCCTCTGGTGTTGTCGCCGATGGAGCGGGACTGCTGTGACGGGACACCAACCTAGGCGGCCCTCCAAGTGCGCAACCCTTTTGGTACGGTGTGCTTTGTGAAAAAGACCGCACAAATCGAGGCTATTAAAAGGGATAACTAATTCTTTTTCGTCATCAAATATCTTAGCGTTATACCGTACTATGAACCGATATCCAGTTGTTGACATCTGTTATTTTTCTGCAGGGTAAGACACGTTCATTCGGCCGGAGTGCAAGAGTCAGGGCTAGCCACAGCCTGAGTGGGTTGACGCTACGTCCAATTAGGTAGGTTATTGTCAAAGCTCCAGAGCGGCGAATCTTCACGCTTTGCTAGGATGTAGGCGAAATTTAGCGAGTGATTAAGCCCGAAAAATCATTGTCAATGCCCCCTTGCAGGACAATGCTGGCAGAGAGCTTGCAATTGCAACGTTCGGTTGAGTAATTGTAAGTGTGTCAACAGGGGCAATATGCAGGCCACATCACATCACTGGGACAGTAAGCACAAATTGTGACGACGCGGATCATCAAATTTCTCCCCGGCTGGTGAACGGCCACAGCGACCCATTAAGACCAGTGATGTGCGGCCCAAGCGACCACTCTGCCTAGCCCACAAACGGATATCAGACGGTGCGGCTTAGCCTGCGCTAGCGACTGAATTCTTTCCGCGGAATTGGATCGGAATAGGCACTTATAAGCGGGTGTAATAGCAGTGCTTGCTGCTTTTGCCACTCTCCGGTAAAGAAGACAGTGGAATTATGATGTAGCCATGTTTAGGTTGCATGATAATTTGATGTCGAGAGAGGCTTTTCATCTGTCACCACGGTGGCCGCTTGGTAGTTGTGCTCCAAGAGCCTATTTTGATATTCAATCACAATTGTACAGCTCCTTCGCTACTGGGGCAGATGGTTGTATGCAGGGAAGACGCACGGCATACCGGATATCCCGCGTGGCTGAAACTCTAGCTTGAATCTCGGACCGGTTTGTTTTTGTAGAGGCTGCACTACGGCCGATAGTTAGTGTGCCACTAGTCAAATGGCACCAACGTGGGCCTAGTGCATGAAGACGAGTCGAAAATCGATGCTGTGACAGGCATAGTAGCTCTGGACAGGACCCGTGCTAAGTTAGTGTTGGGCAGATTTGTTTTCCGGGACGGCGAACATCGAATTAGGTGAATGTAACCATGCCAGCAAAAGAGAACTGGAATTTGGTTACGAAGCGTGGCGAATCTTGCCACATGAGTCGTTCTGATGAGCATCGAGAGGCCACGATGGCCGAGGTTTCTCAACGGTTAGTAGCAATAACAGGGTGCTGTGCTTCAATTGGATGTGCTGGCAAATTGTACGTATGTTGGCGAGATGGCAAGAAAGGTCCCGTGCAAAGGGTCGAATACGGCTGCCTGGGCCTTGGGCGAATGAGGAGGGATTGCCAGGGTTTGACAGACGCTGCTGTAGCTTCTGTAATTCCGGGGAGGACGCTAGCGAGACGGATGAACGCTGGTGTGCATTGGGCTGGAGTCTGGGCATCGAGCGTGGAGAGCGGATTGGCAAAGAGGGTGCACAGTTTGCACAGTGTCGGGTTGCCAGCTGCGCCAGCTGGGTGTGGTGTCAACTGGCACCTTTACACGCCCCTCCCCTACCACTGTAAGCTTCTGCTTTTAGCGGCGCCACTTTCTCAACTTTTCAGTGGGCTCCAGTGGGTTACAGCGGGCAAATGCGGTCTACAGGGCATCTTTCAGGCCTCTCAAGGTCTCTCGATGGCGGGCATAGGGATTTTCCAACGGCACTCAACGGGTAGCCTCCACTTCTTTTTCTGGTGTCGAGCCCCGACCAGCCTCCCAAGATCAACCACACCATCACACCAGTACCCTCCATCTCAAGGAGTGCTTCGGGCCTACCCGGGCCAGGCTATCGAAAAACTTACTAGCAAACAAACTCCCCTGTCTGCGGCCCGGAGACGATGGAAGCAATGAGGAAAGGAGAAAAAAAAACAGGGCAGCATCCCAGAAGAAGTTGCATTGCAACTCTCGACTCGCGTACCGCTACTCATCTCCGACACTTCTTTCTTACACGGCACAGTAGATGAATGTGATAGTAACGACAGTAGCCTATGAGACGACTCGGGGATACCGCGCCATGCTTGACATTGCACGAAGATGCACTACACTAGGTTGGGCCAACTACACTTGCATCGTATCACACCCTCCACCTGCACCTTGTTTGTTGGGCTTCAAGCTGCTGTAACTGTGGCAAGAAGCTCTTACGATGTTGGAAAAGGCTGACCGCTAACTCACCGACAAGCCACAGCGCGAGCAGAATCGAGGTCATGGGGCGTCGAACCATCACCGTTTGTTGATCATGCTGTAAGCCTCGTTCCCCGTCGGCGTTGAACAAGTATGAAAAGTAAATACGTAGGCAAGCCGACAAGAGGACAACCATGGCAACACAACGTGGGCACATTTTGTGGAAATATTACTCTCTCTAGCCACGACACAGAAGGAACAAGCCACCAGGATTTAATATCGATGCGGAGTCTTTCAACCACCGTTCTCGGCTTTCTGATATGCAGTTTCCCTTACCGCTTCGGGCAGAGGCATTGAGGCCAAAGGAGCCGGGCTGTTGTACGCACATCCCTCGGCTTGTCCATATTCTTTCTGCGAGATAATCGTGGAGATGTACGGCTGTTTGTAGTGGCTTTAGCCACTTGCATGGCGGCCCATGTTCTGGCTTGCATATGCTGCGTAGCATCGACTAGAGCTGAAAATCGGACAAGAAACCGTTACCCTCTGCATGCATGTGTTTACCTTTTGGGAAGCTACATGGTCATTTTGGACAAGTAAAAAGCACTCGACTGAGACACTACTGCAAGAGACGGTAGCTCGTCCTTCCGCCATCGGTGTCATTCCGCCGAGCAAAATTTCTCCTCCTCTCTGCCTCCCATCGCCGATGAGACAGTGGAGCAAGCAAATGCGGTGGAGGAGAGCTACAAAAAAGGTGCTCATCGGTGACAATCAATTGACTCCGCCAAGTGACCAGCAGGCCGCCGTGTTGAGTGACCCGGGCAATGGCTGGGTAATTAGTCTTTCTAAGTCAGTGGCGAGACCTTGATTGCGACCTTTTGTCGAACCCTGAAGGAAGTCATCGCAGAAGTAGACGCAGAATTTCTAAACGAGTTCTGCGGCTCTTCTTGGTGCGACGATGCTACATTAGAGCGCCGTCCTTATGCACGCGATGTACAACAAACGGCTCACTACTGCACCATGCAGCTCACGCAGACACTGCATTTACATTAGAGGACAATAGCTTGAGTCCTAGCTGTTTCTTTCTGCCGTACTGTAACATCGTTAGCATCGAAGCTTGCTGTCAAGATTCATGCAGCCAGCGACAGTGGGAGAAGCTGTCCGCGCCGCCGCAACAATGGCTTGCACGGAAAAGAGGCTGCTTGCACCATCCTGGCTGCAGCAGTGGCACTTTTTAGTCTGAGCCTAGTGCAAAGGCAAGGGTCTTTAGGTGGGCTGGCTCATGCTGCATATTGTGACTGTCCATAGACAGACTGAGAAACTCATCACGGCGCTTACAGGTATGGTGGGGGCGCGAACAAGACGACGAAGAAAGCAGCGGCATAGTCCAAAGAAGCGAGCTTGCAGAAGAGGAAGACGAGGAGGGGGGGAAGCCACAGAGGAGGGGACCTTGCACACCGCAGTCTTTGGCCAGTGCCATGCGTCGTCGGGTAGTATTCTTCCCCATGCACCATCCTGGGCCGTCGACAAGGGAGAGGCTGGTATTGCCGTTGCATGTGGGCTTGCGCACACCACCTGACCAATCACTTGTAGCGACTTGGCGCCGAACCATCAACATGAAGTGGCGCTGCGATGGTCGTCTGCCAATCATTGTTCGAGTTTATGATTCAGATGGTGCTGGGCTAGGTCCCGTCACAGCCAAAGACGGGCCATCTTTGGTCTCCCGCCCACTGCCGTGTGTGGTGCATGGCTCGACTCCCGCTGCAGCAACCGCTACTACTGGGTACCCGAGGGGTGGCCCAACAACTGGTGCTATTCTTATCCCAAAAAAGCCATTATGTGCTATCACTTTGTTCCATTGTGCAGCCCTTACGCTAGGTGTTAGTGGACTCCCTAGAGTGCCATCCCCCTCCCCTCACCTCACCTAGCCTACATTAACGCTGGATAACCGCCGGACCCAAATTCACGGCATCTTTTGGCCCCTCCTCTCGATCTTTTGCGACCATTTTCTTCTTCTACATTGCATTGCGAACTGATAGTTTCTTTTTCATTTGTAACACATCCAAAACGATTTCGACCCAGCATTCTCCCAGGAAGCGTTGTTACCGACTGCCGCTATATCAATCTAGAACATCTCGTTACCGCCCGCTATCAAACACTAACTGGCTGGCTCAAACCTTGTTTGCGCACGCGGCGCCCATCTGATCCCCTAATATCCACCCTTCCGAAACTTTCTTTGACAGAATGGTACGATATCTCTATTTCTGTTACTCTTCCGGAATCACATCACTTACACTGCATTAGGAATATACACAATTTGAGTCCGGCGAGCGCCGAACCTACATGGAGATGAGGCAAAAGCCTGCTCCCAAGAACACCTTCTTCAGTCTCATCAACGAGTCCCAACCAAAGCGACCAATCTCGGTTGCAACTGAGTTTGTAGATACTGACTGGGATGGAGACGACCAAATTATTAGCGATGACGAGGAGAACTCTCCTCGTGTCAGCGTTCGATCTGTAAGTGATGTTGTACCAATGTAAAGCACTAACAGAAGCTAATATACCAATCACAGGCTGACCAGACAACTCTTTCGTCCTTTGACGAGATCCCAACACCTCGATCAAGTCGTATGGACCACTTCTCTAAGCAGATCCAGGGACCCAGCGGTCCTCATCTCTTCCGCAGTTCCACAGATCCCTCAAATCTCTGCAGCACACAAGATGATACAATCCTATCCATGTCTCCTATTACGCCGAAGCCCAGAGGATATGGTGAGATTGTCATCCAGCCTCCTCCCTTGCCTTATACTCAGTTGCCTCCCACGATCCAGCCGCAACCAGTTCTTGATTTAGCTACGTTGGTCGACTGGACCCCAGAGATGGTGGCAGAGTACATGTTTGAGGCTGGTATCGACGGTGCTATTGCTGATCGATTCATTGAAAATGATATTAACGGTGCAATCCTACTCACACTCAAGTTTGAAGACCTACGCGAGCTGAGTATCAAGTCGTTTGGCATTCGCACCAGAGTCTGGCAGCACATTGAAACTCTCAAGAAGGGTCCCAACGCCTCGCCTATTTTGACCACACCCATTGAAGACCAACCTAGCCGCGAAGTTCGCAGAGAGTTGAGACACACTGAGGAGCCTACTACCAAGAGACAACCAAGCACAAGAAGAGGAAGACAACCAATGAGTGACGGCATCACCCCCAACGAATCAGTATCTATTGTTGGGATTGAGCAAGTCATTCCAAAGCCCCATCACTGCTCCAAAGGAGAGAACTGCAGTAAATGGAGAAGAACGGAGCGTGCCATTGCACAATTCAAGCGCGAGCACCCCAATATTGACATCCAAGCCTCGGGTACAGTCCTTGTCCGTGGTGACGCTGCCAATCTTGAGACTGCACGCGCATTGGATGCTAGTGAATTCATGAGGCCCTACTCTGAAGCTGTGAACTCTGTTGTTGCTTCATCAGATGTTATGGGCCCAGGAATGCCACCAATGCAATATCTCCAGGAGGCCTCGCTTCGAGCCGTCCAAACTCGAGATCCCCAGGACAATGTCCGACAGTTTCTCAGCTTCCAGCGTCCCCTCCTCGCTGGCGAAGAAGTCCCTCCTACTCCTCCCTTTGAGATTATCTCAACAGTGCAACCTCACCATGGTTTACGCCGTCTTCCCAAGTTGTCCATCCCACTCAATGAGGAAGCCAAGCGCCAGCGCATGGGACATGCCAGATCATCATCAAGCTCTTCCCATCTTCAGCGACCACAACAAGTCCAAGAGCAAGCCCGCGATGTCCAGCCTGCATACTCTGAGCGATCATCTCCTGAAGAGACAACTCCGAAGTCGACATACCGCTTCGGCACACCGTTCTCGGAGATGGATGTCCCTGTCACTGCAGTTCCCCTCGGCCCTATTGCGCGCGACGCCTCACAGTCTGTCCCTCCTGACATGAACTACCGCACAAGCAACCACCACAATAATAACTTCTCCCGCCCCCACTCACAGTCTCGTGCTTCATCTCGTCGCCCCTCCTTCCCTGTGCTGCCAGCCGTCAGCGAACACAACATCACCCGCCAATACTCGCAAACGCCATCTCCACAGCAAGTGTCGCCAAGCCTATCTGAGGGTGCACAGCGTGCCCTTCAGGCGCCTCCTCGTGGCAACTACCCGTGGACTGCTGCGGACCGCGCAAAGTTCGAGCAGGTGCTTCCTCCAGGTAGCACGGTCGCCTTTGCGACACCTGGTGCTGCCGATGGTGTGACCTTCCAGGGTCCTATGAAGAAGCGTAAGACCCGTATGCTGCGTCACGAGTGGCAAGACGGCTACTTTACGCTCAAAGGTACCCGCCTGAACATGCACAAGGACAACCGTGCCGTGGACCGTACGCTGGAGTACATCGACATTGATGACTATGCCATTGCCTGCTCCAACGCCGCGTCCACCTCCAAGCTCACTGCCGCCTTCAAGGCCGTCAATATTTCCTCCCACAGTCGTGAGAAGAGTGACCCTGTTGGTGCCTTTAGCTTCCAGCTAATTCCCCAGGACAAGAACGGTACTCGTCTGCGCAAGCGTGACAGCTCTGTTCCTGCCACTATCCCACCCGAGGGCGTCAACGGCACAGGCAAGACTCATCACTTCGCAGTCAAGAACCGCGACGAGCGTATTGACTGGATGCGTGAGATGATGCTTGCCAAGGCTATGAAGCAAAAGGGTGCCGGCTTCGAGATCTCTGTCAACGGCAACATGATCTAGACTGCTCCATCTACCTATCTAATCTTATTTCCTGTCGTCTTGCATCGTCTGGTCTTTCCACAGCCCCCCCCATTCATTGCATTTCTTTTTCTGTTTCATCTACTGGGTCGGTTATCTGCATTTCACAGTTCTCTTACATTCACAACGCTTCATTGCATTCTACTACATGCTCTCCTTGACGGACTAGCTCTTGCGCAAGCTTGGATACCAATTTGTGGTTGTTTATCATTTACACTCTTCTTTCCTATTTGTCTTTCCTAGGTAAAACTAGTTAGCTCAATGACCAAAAAAATGTTGAACAACAATTCCAATCACTTCGTCACACAGGTGAATACTCAGCGCCGTAGATTAATCCAAACTGCCATTCTCATCACAACTTTGTACACATAAAATCACACCATGTTCACAAGACAGGTAAGGATGGTTTCTTTTTATTCTCCAAAGTATACAAGGACACAAAAAATGATAAAAGGTATTGTACAGCGCCGCGGACCGTCTACGCCGCGGGTGAAGCGACCTCAGTCGCCCAGAAAAGGGATTCCTCCCCATCTTAAAATTAAACCATGATGTTGCTTTTTTCCCGATCAGCCTTCCAGATTCCTTTACTCAGCTGACTTGAAGTCGACCCGGTAAGCGCCAGCCTTCTGAGCAACCTTTTGCCAATCAATTAGCGCCCACCAGGCCTCTGCATAGGCCATCTTGCCACCGTTACCACCAGCACCAGTTCCCCAGTCAAGCAGCCAGGCGTGCTCCCAGGTGTTGAGGCACAAGAGGGGCTCGAGGTCAACACCACCAGGAGGCAGCTCGCTGCCGCGCTTCTTGCCACCAAAGGCCTGGTTGCTGAAGTAGTTCTTGGCGGAGCCCGTCTGGCCAACAGTGTTCATGTCAGCAGGCTGGGCGCGCCAGTGGGCACCGGGATACGGCGAGCCGGCGAGGTAGGTGGACAGGATGCGGTACTGGCTGGGGCCGGACTTGACGAGCCAGACGAAGCCGGGGCCGAACATGGCGGACGCGGTGAGGACGAGTTCGCGCTTCAGCGTCTCGATGGAGGAGAAGGATGCCTCTAGCTCCTTCTTGAGGATCTCGGGCATGGGTGAGCCGGTCGGGGAGATGCCGTCGAAGAAGAAGTGGTTGTTGTGGGCCATCGAGGCGTAGTTGAAGATGGGTGCTTGGTTGGGCTCGCGGGCCGTCATCAGCGCAATCGTCTTGGTGTCTTTATCTTCGAGCTCGGTGCCTGCGTTTGTGGTTGGTTAGCTATTTGCTGCTACGCTCGATACTAGAGATTCAATCGCGAGATAGATGCGTACGTGCTGTGCGGCGCAGCAACAGAACGACTGTCTGCGCCAGTATTCATGGCCAACGTACCTGCTGTCAGAGCATTCAGCTTCTCCGTCATTAACGTCATGTAGTCTGTCCAGGCGAGATTGAAGCCGGCCTCGCTCATCAGATTGGGCACGCCGGCCGAAAAGTCGTGAGGAAGCTTGGGGACCGTGTGCAAGCTCTTGCAGGCGAGAGCAAAGGGAGCAGCGGCGGACGCGGCGGGTGTCGGGCGCAGTGACTGGGCCAGAGCCCTCGTGGGTGTCCTTAATCGCGTGCGGAACATGATTGTGTGGTTGGCGACAAAGCAATTGGCGAGTTTGTTGCGTTCAGCTGTCGTCGACCGAGTCCAAAGCACAACTTTTCTGAGCCCCTTTCGGAACATGGAGCCACGTTCTGCCGGGTCTGTGTTCTGGTGGGGCCCCGAGAGGTCGCTGTTTGGGGGGTTGAAGGCGCTAAAACAGCCTGGTTACAGCGCCCTACCGTTGCAAAGGTCACTTTTAGCAGGGACGCCACAGAAAAGTGACATCGTGAGGTGTCAGCTGCTGTTTCACGACCACTTTCTTGTCAGCTGCACGCTTGGGGCCTCCCTGTCGTCACTTTGACACCATCGCCAGTTCAACCGCTTTCTTTCAGAGCTTCGCCTTTTGCTGGGTAGCGCTGCTCAATGATATAGCAACCTGCAATTTTAGAGGCCTATTTCTGCACTAGTCTATCGTTCGACAACGGCCGATCATCCTCACCCGTGCAGTGCACGCTGCACCGCCAACTCTAGGCGTCATCAACACGTCTCTCGAAACTGACCTCATCCCTCGCCAACAAACACATCGAAAATCCCGTTAAATATGGATGGCCGCAATCCTGCCACTGGGGCCATTGGCGTCGATATACCGACGCCGTTAGCCACCCTTCTCACAACCGCAACATCGTCTCTTGCTGCTGCAGCTACCGCTGCCGCCACGACTACCGCATCCATGACATTTGTTTCATCCGAACATAACCCAGCCACGCCTCCGGTTCCTGAAGGCGAATGCAGGCTGCTTGGTCCGTTTGCTCTTCTTGTGCAAGCCGCACTAGGTGGTCTTGCTTTGCTAGTCCTCGTCTTCAAGAGATATAGGGAACGACCGCAGCGACCTGTTAAGATCTGGTTCTTTGATGCCTCGAAACAAGTCTTTGGATCCGTCCTCGTCCACATCGCCAACGTCTTCATGTCTATGCTCACGAGTGGACGCTTCAAAAAAAAACCGCCACTGACTGTCGCCACACCAGCGTTGATGATTCGTGATGGCTTTTTGCCAAATCCATGCTCATTCTATTTACTCAATCTTGGCATCGACGTAAGACCACACCATACACGGCAAACATGTATACGCTAACATTGTGACAGACTACTCTGGGTATACCCATTCTTATCGTTCTTCTACGCATCATCACCTATCTCGTCTCTTTTACGTCACTCGGCAAGCCTCTCGAGTCGATCCAATCAGGTTACTATGGAAGCCCCCCAAATGCATGGTGGTGGCTCAAGCAGTCCGTCATTTACTTCTGCGGCCTCTTCTGCATGAAGCTATGCGTGCTCATCATCTTCCTCGTGATGCCGTGGATTGTGGTGGTGGGCGACTGGGCCCTCCGCTGGACCGAGGGCAACGAGAAACTTCAAATTGCATTTGTCATGATGATCTTCCCCCTCATAATGAACGCCTTACAGTACTACATCATCGACTCTTACATCAAGAAGGACCCAGAAAACTCAATAGTCCCCAACACTGACGACGGACGCGGCAGATTTGACCAGCTGCGGTCCTCGGTGGACGATGATAATGTTGACACACAGGAAGAGCACGGTATCATCAGAACTCGCCATCATGGACGCCCTGAAATAGCTGCAGAGTACGACCCAGACTTTGATGGTGATGCCCATACTATTATTGGCAGCAGTGCTAGTGGCCGCCTCTCAGTCAACAAGGACACACCCGAGACATCGGTGAAGAATGCCTAGTGCTTTCCAGTATAAAGGGTTCTCTTGTACGAATATCACCATGTCAACTAGATCATTATTGGCGGCTATTCTTTTTTTGGAAATGAAATTTGCAGCAGGAGCATAAAAATGGCGGGAGTTAAGCATTCACATCTATATGAACATTGTTTTAGAGTCGTTACACAAATGATTACTATCTTTCTCTCATCTGCATGATTGTCAAGTATCATACAATTTCTAAAGAAGCGAAAATGGTATCCCAACAAAGACGCCGTGCATTATGTTATGTACCCATGAACTATCCCTGTAAATACGACAAAGCCCTATCGATGGTTTTCGGCCTCACCATCCTTGGTGCTGTCCATACTGCTGCTGTTGTTGCTGCTGCTGGTAACCAGGTTGGGGGTTTCTGCTGCCATTGAGTGACTGCTCCGAGTTGACACGGCCGCCGGTGGGAGGTCGTGAGTATCCCGAGCTAAAGTCGAACCCAGCGTTGTTGGTGATGGGTGACGTTGGGGGAGGGGCGATATCAGGGCCGCGGGGTGTTGGCTGCGCAAGAGGAACGGTGTGCTGAGGGCTGCGCATTTGAGGTGCTGGAGAGTAGGTTCGGTTACCGCCATCTCTTGGGGGAGGGCGAGCGTAGCCGTCTCCATAAGGACCTGGTGTGTTCAAGGGCGATGGTTGGTACTGATCGGGTCTGCCGCCGGGTCCGGGTCCGGGGCCACGACGTTGGCCGGGTCCTGGGGAGTTGCGAGGACCAGGAGACATGCCACCCGGAGATCTGGGTCCAGGAGAGTTTCTCATGCGCGGCTCCATACCGAAGGGAGCACCTCCGGGGTTGCTGCTGTCGCCGGTTCCATGGCGACGCATGGCATCGGGACGTCCAGAGTTTCCTTGAGGGGGAGGACGGCTGCCATATTGTCCAGCATTGCTCTCGCCGGTACCTTGACGACGCATTCCGTAGCCGTCGGGGGCATCACCAGTAGGCCGGCGCTGCATCTGGGGGTTGGGAGGGCTCTGAGAGTTGCCTCTAGCGGCATTGGGAGTAGCAGTAACTGGTGTAATCGGAGTCATACCGCCGTCCAACTCAACAGGGGCGACATGGTCACTTGTGGGCATCTCCATAATTACTGGCTCATTTGATGACTGGTGGCTCTTCTGGCCATAGCCAAGAGGTTCGGCGGACATTTCAAAGCTTTGAGCGCTTACGCTGCCTGGGAGCTCTGCACCAACGGCCCTGGGCTCGGACGGCATCTCTGAGTAGCCACTATGAGGGGTAGCCTGTGCTTGACCAGGTTCGATTGGCATCTCGGCATAGCCCTGGTTGTACTGATGAGAGGCGTCATGCTGTTGCTGGCCAAGGCGAGTACCGGCTGCTACCAGAGGGATGGTGGGTGCAGGAAGCGCGGCGGCGTGGTTATCGTAAGGCTGGTCAAGACCGTAACCGTCCGACAACCGGTTGGAGCCGTAGCCCTGTCCAGGTTGACCGAAAGGACCTTGGCGATCGTTGGGTGCAAAGGGGCTGACGGTTCGGTTGTCGTGCATGCGGTTGCCAGCTCCTACGGCGTTGTACTGCTTCATTTCGCCTTGGGGCGTGCGGTTATAGCCGTGTCGTTGTTCGTGGATGGACACGGGGCTGACAGCTCCTGCGGCCGAGGCACCAGCCATTCGCGGGTCGTTGGGATGCTCGTTGGTCTTGGGCTTGAGTGCGTTCATTTCTACGGCATCATCTTCTTCAATCAAGACCTTCTTCGAGTTTGCGGTGTCCCATCCAGGCATTTGTGGGAGCGCATCCTCAGGCCCCTTTCGCCCAGTCTCAAACTCGGCGTATTGAGGAGCTGACGAGTGGTGTTGTGGCGGTGGTGGTCCGTAGTTGGCATGCATTGGGGGCTGTTGCTGGTAGCCGTGGTGAGGCGGCACGTAAGGTGCGTCGAGATACTGGTTATTCTTTCGTCGAGGCTCGCAGCATGTGCAGCATTCACAGCACTTGAGGCATCGGAAGCAGCTGCAGCAGCAGGACATGCCACAGCAGCAGCATCTGACAACACAAGTGATGACACTGAGTAGGATCAAACTTCCAATAACAATAATGGCGATAACAGGCCATCTGTGGAGGTTGTTAGCGGGGCATACGCGACTGCGCGTAGCTTCTATTGTTCAAACTTACTTGCAGTAGGCAGCCTTCATGCAGTTGTCCCAGCTCGAGAAAGCAGTCTTGACGTTATCAACGTGCTGCTCAGTGTCGCCAATAATGTTACGTCGGCGGAGCGTCTCGGCAACACTTCTAGCAAAGTTCTCCTTCATAATCTCCAGGAGACCGCCGCGGAGGCTTCTCGCCATCTCCACGTCGATGGTCGGCATGATGGCGGTGCTAAGTCTTGAACTGAATGGAAAATAAATATAAAATGCCCAGATCGACGTTGCAGCAACTAAGGTTTGAGATAGACGGCCCGTCGAATATGTAACGTCGTAATGTAAGCCAGTGTCTAGTACACCATTCTAAGTTGAGGTGTAGAGGCGATGTGACAGCGATATGCTGGAGTCGAAGCTCGGATTGACACAAGATCTGCGAACGACGGGGGAAAGGCTGCGATGGACAAAGGCGAGCCTTGTGATCACTGTATGCGCAAGAGTAGATTTCGACAGTAAAAACAAGCCGGGGACGGAGAGCGACTTCGTGGGGTCGTGCAGCAGAAAAAAAAGGCGGTTGGGTAAATTAGTGCTGTCTCGGAAGATTTATGTCTTGGGTTCGAGTCGATTGCGTATGGAGCGACAGGAGGTTGGGCGGATGGATCTCAGCGCCAGCAGAATAAAAAGAAGAAGAACGATTGTAAGTACGTAGGTGGCGATTCGTATTTCAGTGTTGAAAGCGTCGATGTTGGCGAATTGCGGGAGCCGATACGAGGTCAAGTGACGAGGCAGCCTGCGTAAAGAGCGGTTCTTTTGGTGAGAGCGAATGAATAAGCGAATGCGTGGTTAAGGCGCTGACAGAGCGAAAGACGTAGAAAGGAAGGACTAGAAGAAAAAAAAGATGGGAAAACGAAAGTGATTAAAGAGAGAAAGCTGGAACAGCCTCTACAACTTCATCAGAAGAAAAAGAAGGGAAGAGAACGAAAACAATTGTCGTCTTGGTTGCGTTGCAGGAAGAAACCCAAGGAGCTGGGGAAAAGTTTCTTGTGTCAAAGGGGGAAGCACCAGTCAGGTACCGAGTCGCACGCAAAACGGTCCGTGCAGCCCGCTGTGGGCTGTGCTGTGGTGCGCAGCTTGTCGCTATGTGGCGCTGTGCCTGGGCCGAGTGCGGGTTGAACCCACCGAAAACCGAACCAGGTCCACTGAAGGTCCACTGAAAGATGCTGAGCGAAATCTCAGCCGGGGAAGCGCAAATCACGAATTACATAGAAAGAGGCTTCCTCCCCGGAAACGAAAAAAAAAAATTAAAATAAAATTACAAAGCGAAAAATCAGACGACCTCAGAATGGAAACCTAGTCACGACACCAGGAAAAAGTTGAGCAGTGTCCCCAAAACAAACAAACTATACACACACCGAAACCCTAACTCCGGCAATGACGACGACCTGTCAGTGGACATATCCAACGTGGCGAATGGGGGCACAGATCAAGGGGTCTAACCCCCCAGCCCCCGAAAATGCTGCAAGTAAGAAACCAATAGTCGACATGAGACGCAGGCTACTTTACACTTCCGCTCGGTTCCTTTTCCGTTCAAACCCCTTACCAGGAGGCAGTACTGTACGTACGGTATAGCACCAACCTCACACTCCATAATCATTATCACCACTTCCAAGAACCACAAGACTCTCATCTCCGCATCGGCCGCTTTTTCAAGAAAAAAGACACACAAGAAACGGACCCTTGGAACCGGGTATATCCCCCAAATTGCGCGCTATATGTTAAATAGGCCCATGACGTACGCCAACACCCATCAGCCCAGGCGCACGCCTCCTTGTAGATTCATCCCTGTCAGAGTGCAATCTCGGCGACGGGGCTATGCAGATGACGATAACGGCCAATGGCCGAATGCCGGTATGATTATTATGTTTGCTCTTTCTATATTCGACTATTTACATATGCCGTCGCCCGGCACTCTCGGTTCCATTGGCTCCCGTTTGTCGCCCTCTATGGCTTTCCGTGCTCCTTTTCCAGCTCCCGAGCTACAGCGTCATGGTAGCCCTCGATGCCAGCCGACTTCATGCAGATGGCCAGCATATCGTCTGGGATGCAGCTACCACGGGGCTGATCCATGGTCAATGTTCTCTTGAAAACGCATCCCTCAATAGTCTTGCCGTCGACTTCCAGTTTCGTTGGCTCCAGGACATATGCAATCTCCGTGGTGCCGGGATAACCGTCCGTGATGGCCTCGTCGGTGGCACAGATACCGTTTTCTTGCAGAAACGTCCACTTCCACGGTTTAACGGCCGTGATGAGCGTCCAGCGGGCATAGTAGGTGTTTGGCCCAAGGACAACCTTTTCGGTCCATTGGTCTCCCAGCTGGAGCGGTGTGGGGAGCGTCTGCTGGATGCCGCCGCTGCCCTTGTAGGTCTTGGGCCAGTTATGCGGGTTGGTGATGAAGTCGTACACCTGCTCCCTGGTGTAGGGTATCACGGTCGACCCGGTAGCTGAACAGATTCCCATGATTTCGAAGATTTTCGTAACACTAGAGGGCGGATTGTCCAAGCCCTCTAGAGAAACCGTCCTACCTGCTCTTAATGTACCTCTGGCCCATCGTTCGTGGCTCCACCACGTTCGTCATGATTGTGACCCATTCAACCATCTATTCGACGCTAGCGTAGCCTCTGGATCCTACTAGAGAAACGAGCAATCATAAAGAGTAGCTCCTTTTTCATTTTAGCTATGTGGCGGTGCGCCTTCGATTCCTTTGACAAGGCGGGTTCCAGATAGATGCTACGGTCCTCCTCATACCGTACATGATGCAAGCCAATCATCTTCGCAGATCTCCATCGACCGGGCATAACCGAGTCAACAGATCGTATATAACAGCTTGCTGTGCATTTTAACAGTTTTGCTTTTTCAATTGAGCCGCCATACGCCTCAAACTCACACTCAAACTCCTAACTACACCAAGAAACAAATACACACTCAAACTCTCAATTTCACCAAGAAACAAATACACACAGAGTCCAACAGAAAAAGTTGTAGATATAGTATAGGTAAATTCAACAAGGCTTAAAATAGCTGTGTGCATTGCGCACATTCTTGTACATCATAACAAGTGGTATATCATATCATTTGCATCCAAGCAAGTCATTTGTTTCCCCATCCATTAAAGACTCCTTATAGGCACACCAATACATTACGTTTCCTCACACTTACAACCGCAGCTTTAACCTGTCTTGCCGGGAGGAGGGCCACTGGGGGGAGCGTAGTCGCCGCCACCCTCGCGGTTGTAGGTATTGGGAGGCTGCTGGACGTTGCCGTAACCCTGGTTTTGGTTTCCATAGTAGCCATCGTTAGGGTTGAACGTAGAACCAGTGTACTGCTGCTGCTGCTGGGGGTACTGAGGAGGAGGCTGGTACGAGCCGTAAGCCTGCTGTTGGGGCTGGCCATAGGTCTGGGTGTTGTTGTAGCCCTGGGCGTTGTTGTTGTTGTTGTAGTTGCCAGCGGGAGCCATCCAGCCAGTACCGTAGTAAGGCTTAGCGCCAGTGCGGCGACGACGACGGGCAAGGCACCTGCGCGATATGAATTAGCACGGAGCCCCCAAAAGACATTTCACACTCATCCAAACTTACATGCAGAGGAAGGCGGCGGCGGCGGCGACGAGAATAACAACGCCTAGGAGGACCCAGCGACCCCAGGAGCTCCAGCGGTTGTCGTAGCAGTAGCCATTGCTGTAGTACTGGCCATAACCACAGCGCGAATAGCGCTTGTCGAGAGCGAAGTGAGTAGCAGCGTCCATGGTGATGATTGAATTGGTGATGCAAGAAGAAGAAAAAAAGGTTCGACAGGAAGGGCTGGTCGGTCGGGTGTCCTTTTGACAAAAGCGGGCAGAAAAGAAAGCTAGGCTGCGTTGCGAAGCGGGTATCTGGGGCGCGCTACGTGACGCAATCAAACGTCGGAAAACAAGGCACTTTTGTAGGTAGAACTGCTTTTGCGTGAAGCCGGGGGGAGAGGACGAAGGGAAAGGCTGAAAAATTGCTCGTTTTATCGCCAAGAGAAATCGGATAAACAAATTAATAAAAGATTTCTAAAACACTCTTCTGGACGATGAGAGGGGGGCACGTTCACCTTTTGAACCGTTCCCGTCGCAGGCTTGTCTTGCTTGCGCCTCAGAACTTTTTAGGCCCAGTGCGCAGCAGCGCCACACTCTTAATTTTTGGGAAGCTAAGCCAGCTTGGCCCAGCACAGGCTGAGCCCATGACGCCGCCTGGAGCTTGGCATTGCGGCCTGTAAAAGTCCCCGCTTTACTGGGCTCCCTCCGCTAGCTTGGCTCAATGCGGTGCGTCGTTCAGTTTGCCCGACGAGCGATGTGCGACGAGAATTGTGGGCTTGCTGTGCAAATCATCCTGTGGGCGGTGGACTCGCTGCGTAAGGTGGCGGTGCAGCAGGTGTCAATGATGCTGGATGATGTAGTTCTAGTTGCACCCTTGCTGTAAATTGTCAGATGTTGTATTTGTAAGGCTGCTGCTATCGGAGCATTGCCCCAGATTTGGAATCCACGATTAGATGAATTTCTAGAACATGTTATTGTGGCTTAGTTGGGCTCATTCACTCTTTGTCGGATGCATGCGATGTAACCCCATCTATGCTGCATCATTCTACAAAGCAACTATATATTATACGCTGTTAAAGAGTGGTTCTATTACATCTTCATAGGTAGGTTCGGGTATTGTACACGAATAATTCCAGAGCTTTTAATCCGCTTGAAAGAGACCGATAGTGATCCGTCATCAACAACCCAAAGAGTGCGTCCAAACTCGGAACTTGAAAAAGAGGCTCATAAAACGCCATTGCGCCGTGCGATATAGAAAAATCAAATCCCAATTCGTAAAACGTCGTACTCCCATCACCAAAGGTATTGTGAGTGTGTACCAGCAAATAGCTTACTACAATCAGAATGCGTACTGTGAATGCCGTGATGCTGCAAGGCACCTAATTAAAGACCAGCCTTGGAAAACGAATATCGGTTGCGTCGCAGCTCTTCAGTCGTCTTCATGTTGCGCTCGGCAGCTTGCTGTCGGGAAGCAAGTGCATTGATCTTCTCGCGTGCACGTATGAGGCTGGTGTTATCCTGTTGCTTGAGCTTGGCTCGGATATCGTAGAGGGCCATCAGAGTCGAGGCTCGTTCAAGATCATCGTCGGCCTACTATCGTTAGCAACAGTTTCATATCAATCATTAGGGCAACATGCATCGGAATCTGTGCGTCGTGGTGTGCCAGTGCCAGAACCAGCAGCTGACCCAGGGCCAGCGCTCAAGATTCGGCGACCAAGCTTATCAAACTTGGGCGGCGCGCCGGCCTCATTAGACCACGTCCTGCGCGAGTTTCTAGGTCGACTAGACGTGGAAGAAGTACTAGCCTCGAGTGCCAGATCCGGTTTGACGATGGGGGCGTTCGCTCGGACGATGGCATTTGCAGCCTCGGGCTCCTGTAAAATCACAATTAATTTCTTGCCATCTCCATCCACCTACATCATCCCATCACCTAAGGGGTTATGTAAACTTACAGCAGCTCCAAGGTTGCTCAAATCCGCAAGGACCTGGGAGAGTTGAAGAGACTCCATCGCGAGGGAGCGGCTAGGGCGGCAACGCGGTGTTGATGAACGGCAAGGGAACAAACGGCGTCAAATAGCAGTGATGAGTAAATCGAATCACTGCGTATCCTTATGACATGAAAGGGCCGTCGAAATGTCGATCAAAAGCGCGTTAGATCGATGAAGAGAGTCGCAGTCGCCAGAGAAAAATATCCACTGGACCGCATGCAGTAGGGAATCTGGGTGTTTCAGCGTGGCCGTTGTGGGCTAGTTGGCCAGCAAGAGGATTATGGTGCGGTGCAAGCAAGGAATGCTGTGTATCGCTTGATCGAAGATTCGAATAGCAAGATGCTGGGGCGATCGATTGTAATTGTGCGATGCTGAAACCAAGGGATGGCGATGGCAGGCAGGCTGGGGAAGATGGGAACGGGGAGAAAAAGCCAGCTCACGCGTGTGCGGCAGGCCAGTGCGGGGGGAACGGGTCAGCCTGCTGAGGGGGTCTTGCCACCGCCCTGTGTTTACGATGCTTTTTGGGCGGCCCACGCCCAACTTTCAGCGGTCTTTTAGTGGCCCTTCGGCGCTGTCTCGGGGGCACGCGGGGGGCATCTACCGTACTGTGCGGTACACCCACCCCCACACTTTCATCAACCAACTACCAACGGACGACCAGGAATGCCAGGTGATTTGGAGCGGGAGCTGGACGTCGGCTGACGTTGGAGGCATGCTACTGTGCCATGAATAATAGATGAGACAAGCACTGTTTACTGATCGCGTGTCAAGAAGTGGGCTTACTGTTGCTCGACACAGAATGCGCCGTAGCGATGAACAGCCATAGGCCAATATTCAAATCTCATCAGCGCCGTCTTTATTGCTTTTTGCAGTGGTGACTTGAGTCTTGATGAACCCTAGAATTCCACAGAGTTATCATTACCACCCTTCTCGGGGCAGACGCAGCCTTCTTTTATGCGGCGCGCCCCAGATGCTTGTTTTTTTTTACGCAGGTGGCTGACGCCGAGAAAACCAATGATGCCTACTTGAAGCTACGCCCAGAGAATATTCCATGCTTAGAAAAAAGGGTCCTTCTTTGCGGAGGATGTCTTGCAGCAACGTAGCATTGCAGCGGAAGTCCCAATGGGTCGGTACGTAGTTACTTGGTGCTGGTCCTCCTCACTAGCACCAATAGGACCAAAGATCAGGCTGTTCTATTTCTTTAGCATCGTTTCGACAACACTTACAAGCTCTAAATCAAGTACTGTAACCTGAGTATTAGGGTAATTAAGTTATAGTTATGAAAAGGTTAGAGAACGGACATATGGCTCGGCTTCAAAATGGTGTGCAGCCATCGCGAACAATGGTAGACGCGCCTCTGGTCATTGGCTGACGATAATGTCCCTGCGCCCGGTCCGTTTGACCGACGAAAGTAGACCTCGACAGACTCGGAAACATTATACTAGTTTATTATTATGATAGAATGATAACGGTGTTACGGATCAAAATATATGCTAGCGGATCAAACTTCTCCAGGTTACAATATAAGGTTGCGTAAAGCCTTCGTCCCGTCACTATGTCAGTGCAACATCCATAATAGCTACCACTTAATATATATATATCAAATCTCTGTATTCCTATAGATCTAATTATCAATTTAATATGTGTAAAATATGGTACCTTTTCACGACTTTGGCGCCTCAGACATTACACAGTCGTGCCAGGCTATGACTCGGATATAGTGTATAAAAGATATAATACGTCATATTCATACTAACAAAAGCTGCTACCAAAGGACAAAGGAAAAATTCATAACCTGTACCAAATCCTACTTTTTGACTATTTTACGTTGTTTTTAGGGTTGTTTTATAGTTCGTTCGTTTAGGCCTTGGTGATGCGGCAGACCAGATCGGAACCGTCAACCGAGTCGCCCTCCTTAACCTGGAGGCCAGAAATCTTGCCGCTGTGGGGAGCAGAAATAACCATTTCCTAGAAGCAAATTGTTAGCTATTGAATCGATAAATTTCAAGGAGCAGATACTTACCATCTTCATGGCAGAGAGAACAGCCAGAGGGTCGCCCTTCTTAACGTCGCTGCCCTCGTGGACTCTCAACTCAACCAAGACACCAGACATGGGAGCACCAACCTGGCTGGAGTCTCCAGGATCAGCCTTGGGGCGGCTAATGTTCTCAACAGCAGCCTTGCTGTCAATGACAGTAACCTGACGGACTTCACCGTTCATCTCAAAGAAGACCTCACGCTGGCCGGTGTTCTCGCTCAGAGGACCAACAGCGAGGAGCTTGAGGATGAGAACCTTGCCCTTCTCCAGTTCGACGCTGAATTCCTCGCCAATCTCAGGCTTGGAGAGGAAGTAGCGAGTGGGAAGAACGGAAAGATCACCGTACTGCTCAGTGAACTTCTTGTAGTCTTCAAAGACCTTAGGGTACATGACCCAAGAGGCAATGTCACACTCGGAGACGGGTCCACCATACTTCTTACCCAGGTCGCGCTTGACCTTACCAAAGTCGATGGGGTCGAGGTACAAGCCGGGGCGCTTGTCAAGCTTGCGGCGGCCACGGAGGGCGTCGGTTCGGAGAGGCTCAGGGAATCCACCGTACGGCTGTCCCATCAAACCCTCGAGGAATTCAAGAACGGAACCAGGGAAATCGAGTTCGGAAGCACGAGCCTTGACATCGTCGGAGCTGAGCTTGTTGGACACCATGAACTGAGCAAGGTCACCAACAACCTTGGAAGTAGGAGTGACCTTGACAATATCGCCCAAGAGATCGTTGGCCTCCTCATATGCCTTCTTGGTCTCAATCCACTGAGATCCAAGACCGAGCTGCTGGGCCTGGAACATCATGTTGGTGAGCTGACCACCAGGAATCTCGTGCTCGTAGACCTCGGGGTCAGGACCGGGAAGGTGAGCCTCGAAGGGAGAGTAGAGAAGGCGAAGCTGAGCCCAGTAGGTATCAAGGGCACGGACTTGGCGACCATCCAGACCAGGCTCAAGGCCAGTACCTTCGAGGGAGGCCATGATGGCGTTGATGCTAGGCTGCGAAGTCATACCAGACAAACTGTCGGTGGCGGCATCAACAGCATCAGCACCAGCGAGGGCGCAAGCAACCATGGAAGCAACACCAGTACCGGCAGAGTCGTGGGTGTGAACGTGGATGGGCAGGTCGGGGTATTGCTTGCGGAGAGCGCTGATCAAAAGAGTAGCGGCATGGGGCTTGAGAACACCAGCCATATCCTTGATACCGAGGACGTGAATGTCGAACTTGACAAGCTTCTCAACAAGGTCGAGGTAGTACTGCAAGTTGTACTTCTTCTGGGGGTTCTGTGAAAATCATTAGAAATTCGTACGGACAAACCTGGGGATAAAAGACTTACCAAGAGATCACCAGAGATACAGACAGTGGCTTCAACAACACCACCAGCCTTGTGAACAGCCTTGATACCGACTTCGAGCTGGTCAACATCGTTGAGGGCGTCGAAGACACGGAAGATATCGACACCGTTCTCCTTAGCCTGAGCAACGAAGTGGTCAATAGCGTTGTCGGGCAGAGAAGAGTAAGCAACGCCGTTGGCACCACGGAGCAACATTTGGAAAGGAATGTTGGGGACCAACTTGCGCATCTTGCGGAGACGGTCCCAAGGATCCTCGTAGAGGAAACGCATAGCAACATCAAAGGTAGCGCCACCCCAGCACTCAAGCGAGTAGAGGTTGGAGAGAGCGTGGCTGGTCTGCTTGGCAATGTTGAGGAGATCGACGGTACGGACTCTGGTGGCGAGGAGAGACTGGTGAGCATCGCGCCAGGTAGTATCCATGAGCAAGCAGCCCTTGTTCTCACGGACAGCCTTGGCGAAAGCTTTGGGACCCTGCTCGACGAGAATGTTTCTCCAACCCTTTTGGCAGGGCTCGGAAGTATCAATCTTGGTACCGTCGGTAGCAATGATTTCGGGCATGATGATATCGGTCTTGAGCTTGGGCTCGCCGACTTGGCCCTTGATCGAGCTACCGTTGACAGCCATGTCACCCAAGTAAGCAAGAAGCTTCTGAGCTCTGTTCTGGCTGCCGACGAGATCGAAGAGCGCGGGGGTGTCGTCGATGAAAGTAGTCCAGCAGTTACCCTCGATGAATGTGGGATGGGTCAAGAGAGAAGCCAAGAAGGGAATGTTGGTCTTGACACCACGGACACGGAACTCAATAAGAGCACGCAAGACCTTGCGGCGAGCGATTTCATAGGTAGAGCCCTGGCATGTGCACTTGACCAACATGGAGTCGTAGTAGGGAGTAATGACAGCTCCGGCAAAACCGTTGCCACCATCGAGACGGACACCATTACCACCAGCAGAGCGGTAGACTTCAATCTTGCCAGTATCAGGTCGGAAGGCTTCGGCGGGGTCTTCGGTCGTAATTCGGCACTGGATGGCAAAGCCACGGGTGGAGATGCGATCCTGTGTAAGGCCAAGCTGAGCGAGGGTGGCACCAGCGGCGATTTGGATTTGAGCGGCAACAATGTCAATGCCGGTGATTTCTTCTGTGATGGTATGCTCGACCTGGATACGAGGGTTGATTTCAATGAAATAGTAGCGGTTCTGCTGGTCGACCAGGAACTCAGCGGTACCGGCGTTGCGGTAGTTGACAGACTTGGCGAGTCTGACGGCATCTGCGAGAATGGCATCGCGCGTCTCGACGGGCAAATCCTTGGCAGGAGCAATCTCAACGACCTTCTGGTGACGGCGCTGGACCGAGCAGTCACGCTCGTAGAGGTGGACAATGTTGCCGTGGTTGTCACCGAGAAGCTGGACCTCAATGTGCTTGGGCTTGTCGAGGAAGCGCTCGACAAAGACGGTACCGTTACCGAAGGCAGACTTGGCCTCGGAAGTGGCACGCTCAAAGCTCTCCTTCAGAGACTCGGGGTCGCGCACAACACGCATACCACGGCCACCACCACCGTAAGCAGCCTTGATGATGATGGGGAAACCGTACTGGTCAGTGAAAGCCTTGACCTCCTCGTACTTGGCGACAGCGCCTTCAGTACCAGGAACCACAGGGACGTTGGCAGCAATGGCCAATTTTCTGGCAGAAACCTTGTCACCAAGCGAGTCAATGACATCGGGGCTGGGACCAACGAACTAAAATAGGCGTATTAGTCGCGGCGTCGGCCACTGGTTCGTTTAAAACTTACAATCAGACCAGCCTTCTCGACGTTGCGAGCAAACTCAGCGTTCTCAGAGAGGAAACCATAACCTAGAGGTTGTTAGAGACCAATTGGAAATGTACCTGATATACACGCGGGCCACACATACCAGGATGGATCAATTGGACACCGTGCTCAACAGCAATCTTGATGATCTCGTCACCAGCGAGGTAGGCACCGACGGGGGTGTACTGGCCACGCTTTCCGATGACATAGGCTTCGTCAGCCTCTGCAATGCGCGTTAGTGATCAAAATCGTGGAAAATAGAAATTTCGGGAAGAGAAATTGCCATACTCTGACGATGCATGCTCAATCGGTCCTCATAACTACGCCTGCCTGTTAGCCATGTGGTCTCGGCGGGGAACTGTTTAGTGGGGAGGAAGCTCACCTGTAAACGGCAACGGTGTGCAGTGACAACTCGTGGGCCTGGCGGGGAAGATGTTAGCGGGCTTTCGGGCAAGCGTACCATAAAGCCGAGGTTACTCACGGTTCTGAAAATCTGTACGCAGTGACGCTACTGTTAGTATCTATTTTTCGACGAATTGGTGATTTAAATTTGTAGAAGGGCATACTCTGATGGCTGGTGATTTGTTAGTAGATTGCTCTAGCAACCAGGAGGGTGGGCAACTTACGGATTTCACCACGGTTGGCGACTGTAGATAGGCAAAAGAGGCACCAGTTAGCTTCCATTCTTGACCAATTGAGGAGCACAAGCTTCGCAGTCACAGCTCGCACAAACGGCAGCGGTACATACCAAGGATCTTCTTGAGCTGCATGATGCTCGAGTTGGCGCGGATGTGGTGGACAGTCTGAGCCTCCTTGGGCTCGTCGACGTCGACGTCATCAAAGACGTCTGTGAACGTCAAGGGCTGTTGCGGAGTAGACGTCATTGTGAATTGTGATTGGAAGCGAAACAGAAATAAAAGATAGGCGACGCAAAAAGAGCAGGAGCTGGTATAGATAGCGCAGACGGCAAATAGAGAAGTCGAGCAACTTTTTCTCTACAGCGACGGAGCGAGGCTTAAGCGGCTGTGCAGGAAAGAAAAGCCACCAGGTAAGAGATGCGTAGATGGGAAGCACGTCTTGCGGGGGGGTGGTGTTTTGGGTTTTATCAAGAGACAGAGAGGAAGGAGGAGGAGAGCTTGCCGGACTTTTTAAGAAAAAGAGAGAGGGAGCGGAGAGACGGGAGCGTGGCAGCAGCAACAGCACCGACTACGCAACGAGACTCGATAGCCGGAGACGGACGGCGGGGTACCTTGCGCCTGCGACAAGCAAGCCGGCGGTCTTAGCTACGAGTGGGGGGTGGGGTGCAGCTCTGGGTCGCCTGGCATCCACGCGCTACAGCACGCTCCAAAGAACCCCCCATGCCAAAGGCCCGCTGTATATGTGCGCCGCAGGCTGGGTCCGGCCTGGGCTGGGCTGCTGCCAAAGATGCGCTAACGCCCATCTATTATTCCTTCTTTCTATTTTCTATTTTTTTTTTTAATTTTTTTTTATTCTGTCGTCATGCTGCAACCATTACCTGGTGCATCTCGGCCTATATTCTCAAGAAGCTCTCCCCAATAGCGTCTTGGATTATTTTAAATTGCTCATTATTATTTATTTCTTTTATTGACTTTTCTTGAGCTACTGTCGCCATACTTCCCTCATACGGTACGCTACAGTACCGGCTCTCTAGGCCATTGAGCGCTGCGAGACTCCCTAAGCCGTAACACCTCCCACTGCTGCCCCCTCGGAGACCGCTCGTAGCAGCAGGTTTAAGCCGAGCGAGATGCGAGGGTACGCGAGCCGTAAGTGTTCGGAAGCTGGACATGGCACGTAGGGGACTTCCCCTTCACTACAGAAAAGAAAATTGACGACAAAATAATAATCTCAATCGAATATGGACCGGATCAAATAACTCTCCTGGTCCAACGAAGCGCACCTAGCGCCACGTGTAGATGCGCCATCTGCTGACCGGTTGACGGTAATATGGGCTCGCATTATCATGAGCGCGGCTATGAGAAGGATGGAACACCAGTGGAATATGCGTCTGATGATCATAACCGGCGAGTCCAATGCTTACGCACCATGCTGCGTGCTAAATACCTAATCTTGCGCATATCCTTGTGCGAGCAAGCTCACCACTGTTCAACCGTAATGATCATACTATCTATTTACTTGTACGATAAGAGAAAGCGAGCGCCAAACTGCCAAGCGTATCGTCTTACCACAGCATCGGAATCTTATGCTGTTCATGGCCAGGGTATTACTTATGGTGCTGATCTGGGGGAATAGAAATCTTACTCTTATTTCAGTGTGGCTAAGCGAAACACTCAGACACGCGCTTGGCGACTACGGTCAGAGCATAATACACGGCTGAATCCCTTGCGATGTTTCGTAACTGGCATACGCAACTCCCATGCAAGTCCGTAGAGAGTCATTCTTGTTGTTTAATCCGGCTTCGGGTATTGGCCCCCGAGATGCTGGGGTAACGACTGGCACGGCACCTACTCGCACCACAGGGCGCAAGGCTACCTCACCAAGCACAGGGCAACTCGTACCAGCTGTAACTCGGTTTGTTTCCAGAGTTGACACCACAAACACTGCCAAGAGCGGATGTTGCACAGTACCGGTTAGTAAATTAAGCAGGGCTACACTTAGATCTCCACGGCACTCGTGCAAGATTACATCTCGCACGCTACGCCGGAGCTGGTCTTGCATTCCGCCCCCATTGGACAGGATGAGGTGAGAAGTTAATAGCAGCCCCCCCCCCCCAATGCGTTCCACGAAGGGCACGCAAGTTTCTCAAACGTTGCTCGACAATGCTGTGGACACTCTCAAACCTGCCAAGGTGTTTGTCCATAAACGTGCTACAGGGCCAACAAGGTTAAACTGTGTAGTCGTCTGCGCTGACGACTAAGGTTTTGTTCCTAGCGTTGATGGCCCATGCCTCTTGTCAATGGCTTTAGTTTTGGGTTTAGTTTATTTCATGACTGCATTTCTGGCGCCTGTCCCAAAGAGTCCTCTCCGCACACCCCCCATGTTTGGCAAACCCCATGGTCCAGACATGCATGTCCATTCCCTTTAGAGCGTGGTCATTGAGGTGCTCGTCTGCGGCCGGGGCAAGATGGTGACCTCCATTGAGCCGGTGCTCGCCGTTTTAGTCCGCGAATCGCCGCTCCTCCCTCCAAGCGCGCCGGGGGGACGGGCAACCTCGGCCCCATCAATACGTAATGTATTTCGTACTGAAAAATAGCCGCGACGATGCTTGTAAACCTCTAGAACGTTTAGGACGGTCACGCAGCGCTGAAAAAAAAAGTACACAGGGCACGGCAGAAGACATTGGCCTACTGGGGCGGTCTACATCCCTGGTAAAAAAAAAATTATACCTCACCTGGTTTACCCCAAGACTGTGGCTTGGAATCTTGGTAACAGGGGAGCTGCTAGGCCAGATTTACTCAGCGACAGACAGCGCGGAAGGTCATGCGGGATCTGGGAGCCAGCAGCTCTCAAGCTCCCGCTTCTTGTACGTTGGTAAACGTAACCAATTGTCTAGTACGAGCTGACGGTTATACAAACCGAATTACCATAGCCGGCGCAAGGTGACTGTACAGGGCGTAATACCTGGCTGTGTTGGCTGCCAACGTGCTTCAAAGCCGCCTGTCTTTTGGCCGCTCAGCTGATGCAGCAGCTACTAACCCGCCTGTGACGAGCAGATCTGGATTGCCATGCACAGCGCCCGTTTGGGAAGCATCTCTGACAGTCAAACCAGCAATTACTGCCTGTTCAGGACTAGGCGCTGTAGTCCCAAGGGGCGACACTGAGTGCTGCTGCACCAGTGGACAGGCGCTGGGCTCCAGGTGGGAACTCCCTGCCATTGATAAGGACCATTTTGGTCAGCGTTCTTTATCAACTCTATCTCTATCTACTGCTATCAGACAGGATAAGAGGGACGTTATCCTGGCAGGCTGGAGATAAAAGCTCAATTGATAACGAAGTAATGTTCCATCCAGCACCTGTCAATCTCATCTTCAACGTTGCGAGCCAGCTGCCACAGCTACCACAGAAAATACCGCTCCGGTCTCGGCAGCCGTGGCAGTTGGCGATAGTCCATAAGCACACCGAGGTGCCGTTGAAAAGCAAGCCAATGTCCACTTCGTTTACAGCTGGTTGCCACTACTAATGACGACTATTACTACCGGTACGGAAAATGACTCCTTTCCTTTTCTGTAATTCGCATTTTCTGTTACTCACGAGACCCCCGCCATGAAATGATGCCATCCCGTCCTTGCACAGGCCCGTCCACTAAAATGGCCACCCCGTTGGACATTTTTACTGGAACTCCCCCATATTATTGAGCTGGCGCCGCCTAAAAAAACACACACAGCACTCGGTTCAGCGCTCGCCCAGCACTCAAGATCCATAGCTACCCGAGGATAGCCACCCTGAGGCTGCCAACGGCACTGGTACCTGCAATGCGGCTCATGGATTCGATTCGTGAGGGGTTCCATCGGAGATTTCAAGCCATGGACGAAAATAAACCTCTTGCACATCCCGTCCGCGCAGCCTTGACTTGCCCTATTCGGCTTGGCTCTGTCCCGCATTCTTCCATACCTGCAGCAATCGAGGGCCGAGATTCCTCTTATTCCCGCCTTCCAAGCTGGTTACTGTCCCATAGACGGCTGGGGTTGTTTCTGTTAGCTCCTTCTAGCCTTTATTTTGCATGTCATATGAGGCTTTGTCTCCACGGATCTCCACGCCCATGTAGCTGTTGCCGTAAATTTGCATGTGCAAGGACAAGGTTGACTTTCGGCCTACTGAGCACCTTGATTGAGAATGACAGTACCGACTCTGCTTGGCAAAGTAGATTTTATGCCGTGAGTGTTCTCTCGAGCACGTGCTTTGACCCGAATCTCAGATCTTAGCCGTGCTTTGCAATCCTCTCGCTGCCATTGGCTTGTCTTTCTTCTTTCTTCGTCAACACTCTAGTCACTATGCTTGTAAGTTCAACTTGCACCATATAGTGAATGAATATTCATATTATCCCATATTTGCATGCAAGCAGTCTTTAATACCGCTGCACTCCCTGCATAGCTGGGGAAGCCTGCTGTCATACATATAGCAGGCGTACTATTATTGATACATGCATCGCCTCTTCCCGGTAACCTTCCATCACGTTTGGAACCTTTCTGACATGCCCAGAACAGCTTTCTAATGCCGTCGGAACATTAGATGGCCCCAAAACACCGATGCTGCAGCTCTATCCGTTACTCCCAATATGCTTCAGTTTTATTTGCTGACAACCTCCTTGACCTTGTCTCCAACTTCTTGGATCTTCTCCTTGGCAGCATCAACGCCCTCCTGCAAAGCCAGCTTCTCCTTTCCACCCCAGTGGTGGTAGTCCAGGTATCGGTAACCTTGTGTGAGCTGGGCGCACTCGTTGATGAAGTGGCAGCCAAAGAGGAGGTAGTTGGCGGGGGTAACGGCGAGGGAGTAGCGCATGAAAGTCGCAGAGTAAATGACGAGAGCACCGGTCATTTGGCCAGAAATCCTATAGGGCAGATGTTAGAGAAAAGTGTCTTCAACAAGCGAGCAGGTTGGGAACTAACAGATCAGGGCTCTTCTGGGTATCCATGACGGCGGCGACGGGGATACCAAAGTTCGAAACGGGACCCCAGAAATCTGCACCAACATGTTAGCATTCAATTGGTATCATAACCAAAGATCCAGCACTCCAATCCTATTCTATGGGATGTGAGGCATTAGGGAGCGGCATCAAGGTGCGCCGGATGGGCCGGTGTCGGCGCCCCTTCGACAGAAGCACAACGTAAAGTACCGCAACAGACACAATTGTCTACAGAGCGCCCTTTTCCAATGAAACAAATCGTAGGCATACAATTTTGTATCGCATTGGTAGCGTGCCATACTTGTAGCTCATTTCATGCCTCGCCCCCTTCGATATGTCGCAAGCGCTGGATCGAGACAGTACGTACGTGTCGAGCAAATGTAGCTGACGGTAGGGTTAGATCGGATCTTGGCGTTGATCGCCTTAATGAAAGCTGCCATTTTGAAGGATACCGCTTGTCGAGCTGTCGATTCGTGGTTGAGCGTCAACGTAAACTTGGGATGGAGCTGGGATTTTTTGCCTCCGATGTCGACCTCAACATTTAGCAAGGTCACGTGTCGCGTTGACTTGGTGTAACAACTGAAGCACTCCTTATGATTCACTATTGAAGCAATTTTGCAAATATACAGACATATAATTTATAGTGCCTAATAAAACTGACCTTACGTTTTACTCAATAAAGATATTTTTACCTATAACGACTGTTTTTGGCACTAAAACGCCAGAACCATCTGTTGGCTGGTTGAAGCGTAGCTCGCTGTAGCTTCCCTGGCTCTAATTAAAAGCGGCAGATACGACAAAGTCTTTCCTTTAAAATAACAAATACCGAATACATCTAATTAATATTCTTAAATTAGGTTTTCGGTTAGCAAAAGCAGCATATATAGCTAGGAATCCTTTATAGCTATGTATGTGTGAAGATATGCAAAAGCTCTTGACATGTACAGCATGCATTAAGAACGCGTTGAGGTGGCGTTGCCACAAGGCACCAGGCAAGAAGAAAACAGTCAATCGATCCTCAAATACCAAAAAGTAGACAGCTTTGCACATTTGTATTTCTTCCGTTGAAACGTCCGCCAAAAGTGCAAAAAAACGTGGAGTAGCAGGGAATTGAACCCCGGACCTTCTCTATGCGAAAGAGACGCCATACCCCTAGACCACTACCCCAGTTAACGTGCTGTGGGTCGCTTATTACTTACTATTAACCTAGACCGCTTTTGGCTCTGACCGCCGCTGTTATTACGCTACTGCTTTTGTCATTATCACCAACGAAGTTCCCATTCTTTCAAGTAGCAAATAAAAATATTAGGTTCATTTGAATCAAAATAACTTTCCAAATACTACAAACTCCTCATATGCTACTAATTCTGCACAAGACAGCGTCCTCCTGCGGGAAACATGAGAAACATTAGTTTAGGGTCCATATCACCAGGTGTCATGCCCTCCTTTGACGACCTTGAAACGTTGGGGAATTCTCTGAAGAACTTTGAAGCAGCCACGCGGATTTCCATCTCAGCCAGATGCAGGCCAATGCAGATTCGTGAGCCGCCACCAAAGGTAAAAATGGAGTCATTCATCTCGCGCGTCTCATGGAGCCAGCGATCAGGGTTGAATTCATCCGGGTTAGGGAAAACCTCTGGGTTGCGGTTAACAGTGTAGGGCTGAGCCGCAACAGTAACTCCTGCATCCAAGTGATAACCGCCAATTACTGCTCCGCCAGCAGGCACATCTCTGGGCATTCCGGCGGGAACAGCACTATATAGGCGAAGGGTTTCCTTGATGGCGCAGTTCAAAAACTTGAGCTGGCGGGTATCGGCGTCGGTGAACTCATCGGAAAGGCCCTTGACTTCTTCCACGACACGATCACGCATCTTCAGGTCGCCACAGATGGACCATACCAAATAGGTAAGCGTAGTGCTGGTGGTATCACTGCCAGCCACAATATAGGATCGTGCGTTGGCCCTGAGCTCTGAGTAACCCATCTTGTCCTCGTCTTTAGCGCGGATGATTTTTGAAAAGAGTGTCTCCTTCTCCGCTGTTTCTTGGCGTTTGATGGATGTCATGGCATATCCATCCAACCTTATAAGTGCATTCTGTGCTTCGCCAAAGATCTGAGCAATGCCAGGGATGTACGCGGCCCATCTGAAAAGGGATGGGAATACGATACGTATACCAGTTGATTTGCCGAGAGTGGCAAGATCTTCAGAGTATTGAGTTTTCTACACATTATTGTTAGCAACAGTTCACAGGCTTACGTCAAGATGGCCTTACCTTCCCCAATTCAAGCATTTCAAACGAGCTTCCAAAAGTGAGCGTGCCAATGGTATCAGTAGTATAGAACAGCCACCACTTGGCGACGTCAATGACACCGCGGGTTGAGAGTTCCTCACTCATTCGTGCAATCGCAGTGCCAGCCAAGGAGAAGATATCGTCGTAGAGGAGCTTCAAGCTTGACTCGCTCATAGCACCTGCGAGAAGGCGTCTTTGGTTGCGATGGCTTTCACGGTTCCTGGTACTGAAGACACTGGGTTCATTCAGATGAGGTCCAGCAAAGGCCTCGTAAAACTGAGACTTGATGAATGATTCCTTAACGTTGTAGACAACTTTAAGATCCTTGGGATCACTGATAGAAACCTCATTGGGGCTGAGGCGAACCACAGGGCCGTACTGCTGATGGAGACTGTGAACCCATTTTGGCTTATTAGCGTGGAGAGTGTGATAGTGTTTCACAAGACCAGTCCATTTGGTATACCACGGTCCTGGAACCTTGGCCGTAGACGTAGATAGGGTATTATAGACAGTCTATCAAGAGGTTAGTTTAGTGAGATGACAGTGGGCAAAGGTGGCAGGGGTCTTTGTACTCACTACACCAGTGACCAACGCAGCCGCAACAGCAAGTACCTGCGTATGGGGAGCTTCAAGAAAGTCCATGGTAATGTGGTGGACGAAAATACTATGATCGATGTTTACTTTTTATGGTAGATGAAGGACGAAATTGATTGATTTTGTGTTGCCGTCTCATGTTGTCAGGGATAGGAGTCATCATCTCATTATATATGGGCGGATGCTACGCTCCGAGCACAACAGAGAATAGACGGCACACCCAATGACGGTGGCCCCATTAGATGCACCCACAACATCATTGCAAACGAGCTGTCCCCTGCACGCTGTAACCCGTTCATGCCGCCGCGTTGTGAGTTGTAACATGCTGTGCTGTGCTGTACATACAGGACGCCAACATTGTGGGCGGCGCCGTGGCTGCCGATGATGGTTGATCACTCGCTCTCGGAGCCTTTATGCGACGCCGGCAATTGGCAAACACGGCTTCTCGCAGCCGAAGAGTGATCTCTGCAGCGCGGACAATTGAGAAGTGCGAAGGGTGGCCCGCCGCCTCCACGATGCAGAATGCAGAATGTGGAAAAATAGACGACGGCACACGGCGATCGGAGCGATCAAGCAGCGAGCACCGACGCCCCGCCCGCCCACCGCCAGGTGCCAGGCAGCTGTCGGCCGTCGGCCGGTTGAACGAGAAAAAGGCGATAGTCGGCTTTGACTCATCGTCATTCAAATGTCAAGTTTTAAAATGTTACATTTCAATGGATCATCATTCTTTTTTTTTATTACGCCCGATGAGAGACATCATGTTTTGAAGCAGCAAACGTCATACCTCCGGGTGGTCCGGATGCTATACACGATGCATGCATTTGTGAAACGGTATGCAACTTTTTTTATTGACATGGATAGAAGCAAAATACAGAAATGTACATTTATCCGGAGGTTACTGTGTACCTCGATACTTATATCCGAGCCTATATCTGCATATATGCGCCCCTTAGCCAGAACTCGCAGCGCTCATTCGCCATCTCGTCATGATCCGTAGCTGCTATAGTCGGTCCAAAGGTCATTACTTCGGCGCCGACGGAGTACTTTGGCCAGGTAGGTCAGCCTGAAGCTTGATCATTCGGATTGCTCGTCGTGGCAAACTGCAGGAAATAGTCCTGCATAAGCTCCGCCAGCTGAGGGGCCGTGACGTTAGATGTATGCCCGTCAAGGACTGTCCACTTGATGTCTTGGCCATGGTGGCCTTGCTCTGCTTGGAAGCGATAGTTCCAACAATTATAGTATGCCTTTCCAACATAGCGAGAATTGCATTGGAAAAGTATCTCACTGAAGATGGTCTCGGCACGAGTCTCTTGGGTGGTATACAGCTGACCATAAGGCGGAGCAGGATATAGTTGCAAGACACTATCCACGCCTTTGGCAGAGATGCTGGCCAGATTGTCAATGATGACCTTACGAACATCATCCTCTGAATTAACTTTAGGAAAGACTCCTCCTGCTTCATGAGCGTTGTGAGCGACCATTACATCTACATCCTGGTGGTACCGCCCTTCCAATAAAAGCTGCCCGGGTAATTTCGGTGTATAGGAGCCCCCTGACTCTGGACCAAATCTGTAAGTACCATGACAAGAGGGAAATATCGTCATTGCGTTTGCTGCAATAAGCTCGTCGGTATCAAGATTGTTTAACTCTTCGACAGTTGCCACGGGCTTGCCGGGTATCTCTGAAGCTGTTGCGAAAAGCCGGTGCAGAATCTCTTTGTCTTGAATGGATAAGGTATACCCCGGGCTCTGACCAATCGCTCGCTTGAATGGTACATTTCCTTTGCCTCCATTTGCAGTAAGATGGTGCATAATACTCCCTCCCCCTGCCGATTCCCCAAAGATGGTGACGTTCTCGGGATCACCACCAAACAAGCGTATATACTTCTGAACCCTACACATCTACAATTGGTATTTCTGAATGCATGTGTATCTGGCAGAGAACTTACCACTTCAGCGCCTGCCGCTGGTCTTGCAATCCAACGTTAGCATCTGCTGCTGGGGCGTTTAGGAACCGGAACATTCCCGGCCGATAGTTTAGTCGCACGATAAAAATACCGTCTTTGCCATCCATCACTGACCACGCAAGAAGCCCAACTGGATTGAACTGGTAATGGTCTTTACTGCCTGTGGAATCCGTTAATTGGGCAATTCAGTGGCGCGAATGTGCTTACCCTCAGAGAAACCTCCCCCGTAGATCCAAACCATGGCTGGAGACCCCTTCTTTGGAGCTCATCTGCTGCGCCTGTCGTAGACTTATTTAGATACTGATACATCTAAGAATAAGCAATCCTCAGAAGAATCAGGATCACGCTTCACTTCCTCAAGAGCCTGGTTTGCGAGGGTATCGTTTCCATTATAGGTCCAGCGCTGAACCGCTTGCGGGCACCGATATCCTATTAACCCGTCATTTATTGTCCGGTTAACTGTCGACACCGGTGCTGGGTTTTTGAACCTAAGCTTTCCCAAAGGAGGATCGGCGAATCGAATGTTGTTGAAAAAGTAATATTGTCCAGCATCCTAGTGTATTAATGATTAGCTGGGTTACAGTACACATTATCTGATTTACGGCATACATTTTCGTTCACCTTTGCCTGTTGAACAGCGTACCCAAGATCTACCACAGGCGCATTGGGCGTCGGCTGAGCATAGGTGGCCAAGGTCCAGGCGGCAGAGAGGAAGAGATACGTAGTTAGCATTTTAGGTCCGTGGAAATGATGAATAAAACTTGAATATTGTTGTTTTTATAAATCTCTTACTATTGCAGTTCTACGAGGATACAGGCAAGGCTCCCATTTATATATGCAACCATCGCCATCTGATCGAACGACTGTTTTACCAACTTGACTCGTATTCAGTTCGTTATTTACTAGCGCAGTGTAACCTTCTGGATTGATTTGAATATGTCTCGATTATCTCGTATGAGATAGGTTGGGGTTGGCGAACAAGCTCGTACCATGAACAATTTGCGATGAGCACACTTGTATGATGCTTCATCAGACGACCTCTAGAGAAACGAGAAACATGGGATGATTGCCACCAACAAAGTTAGGACTCAACATGCTCAAAATATCTTGGATTGAGGTTATATTAACTAATAAATTTAATTAAAAATGTACAATTTCCCATTTTCATCCACGTGCTAGCGATCGACTAAAACGCTTCTATTTTGTAGAAGTCAAGTCTATATACCAAAACTCTTCCGCTAAAACTTAAACACCGGGGTTGGTGAAACCGCCACCCTGAGGCCAGTTACCAACCTTGGCAGGGTCACCACCAATGCGGACGTAAACACCGACGGCAGGGATACCACCGTCGAGGACAAAGAACTGGTACCAACCAGGAGGAGCAATGTACTTGCCAGGAGGAGCGGTAACAGTGCAGCTGGTGCCGGCGCAAGAAACAGCAGGGAACAGAGTACGAGCTCCCATGGAGTTACCATGGGTGCTGGTGACGGAACCCAGGAGAGAGACCTTGATGTCGCCGTTCTTGGGGGCAGAGCCCAGGTTGAAGCTGATCTGTTGACCGTAGGTCCAATCCTTGTTGGTGATGGTGAAAGTGGGACGAGGCTTGCCCTTGAGGAGGTAGGGGGGAGTGAAGGTCTCAATTCTGTACTCCTCGGGGTGCTTGCCATCCTGAGGATCAGAGCCGGTGATGAGGACGCGGCCATCGAGCAGGGTAATAGCCTCAGAGTGGTAGAGTCTGGCGACAGTGGTGTTGGCCATGATGGTGATACGGCTGCCAAGAGGCTTGGTAGGGTCGTAGAGAAGAGCGTTCAAGTTGGGGTTCTCGCCTAATCCGAAACCGGCAACACCATGCTGAGCACCGTTGGCAATAAGGTAGGTACCGTCAGGAAGAGGAGCCATGCAAGACATGACACGGAAAGAAGGCATACGCTCAAGATCCCATGTGGCGCCAGGGACATCGGGGGTGGTGGAAACACAGTTGTCAAGAGCGTTAGCAGGGCCCTCAGTCGAACCACCGCAAATCAAGATTCTAAGAGGGTCGGTGTAAGGAGCGTACTGGGGAAGAAGGACAGAAGCGCCTTCAAGAGGGTAAGAACGTCCACCTTTGGGGTCGTTGACAGCACCGGGCATGTTGGGCAGAACCTTGATAGTGTCAAAGGTGTTCTCGTCCAAAATGCGGGCTTCATTCCAGTACGCAACAAAGATGCCACCAGAAGGCAAGACGGCAGTGAAGGGGTACAGGTTGTTCGGGTTGGTGCGCTCAAGCCAGTCCATGTGAAGAGGGGCAGTGCCGGTGGGAGGAAGAATCTCGATAGAGGGAACAGCCTTGCCGTTAGATCCCTCTTCACCACCAATAACCATGACGGAACCGTTGGCCATGACCATGGCGCTGGGGTACCAGCGGCCGGCCTGGAGGCTGAGGTACTTGACGTTCTCCTCCCAATCGTTCTTACCCTTGACACCGGGGCTACCATCGGGGGAGTAGAGACGAACACCGTAGGTAGAATCACCAGACCAGCCACCAATGATGAGCTGACGGCCAGCCTTGTCGGGGAGGGTAACACCACCAGCGCAGAAGATGTCAGTCTTGACGTGCATCTCCTTCCAGGCAGCACCGAAGTCGTTGAGAACAGAAAGATCCAGTTCGTAAGCACCAGTAGAGTTGGGGGGTCCAGTACCCCATTTCTCCAAGAAGGTAACCTTGCCAGTAATAGATTGAGTAGTCATGAGAGGGACAACGACACCACCAATGAGGAAGTCATATGAACCGGCCTCGGGAGTACCAGCAGCAGGAATGTCCCAGCTGTAGAAAGGCTTGCCGGTCCAAAAGTATGTGCTAAACTTGGAGCCACCACCGCAGTAGGCAGAGCCGTCACCAGCGCAAGGAACATCACACTGCTTGTCATCGAGCTTCTGGGAGCCAGCGGTGACGAGGTTCTGGGGGTCACCACAGTAGCATTCCTTGCCGTACTCGAGACCACCGGCCATGTAGCCGTAGAGAGCACACTGGTCCAAGCACATCTTGGGGGTCATGTTGACAAAGTTGGTGATTTGCCAGAAGAAGGTGTGGTGGCCATCGACGTTGACATCTTGGTAGCAGCCCTGGTAGGTCCAGTTACCAACAGTAGGAAGGGGAGCTGGTGGCTGAAGCACCTGGGGCTCGCCCAGCGACATGATGCTCATTCTGCCGCCGCCGCCGCAGAATTCCTTGGAGTTTCCTTTGCAGGGAGTGTTGCACTCAGTGTCAGCCGCGGCCTTTTTACCACCGTTGACAATGTTGTTACCACAGAAGCACTGGGTAGAGTATTCAGCACCAGCAATGGTATAGCCTTGACTAGCGCAGCCTTGGGCACAAGATTCAAGGGTGAGGGTCTGGCTGTCGGGGAGCTGCTTGTTAAGAATGCGGCCATTCACACCATCGACCCAGCAGCCGTAGGCAGCCCACCCCTGAGGCAAGGCTGTAGCGCTGGGTGCGCTGGACGAAGTGGGTGTGGAAGACGGTGTCGTAACAGTGGAGTTTGGATCGACAGCCTGCAGGGAGTATACTGAGAGGCGTCCTCCCGCCCCGCAGTACTGGCAGTCTTGTCCAGCGCATCGCATGCTGCACTCAGCCGCTGAAGTCTTGACAGAGCCTGCATTGAACTGATTGCCACAGTAGCACTCGCGAGCATACTCAACACCAAAGTAGTTGGAGCCCTTGCAGAAGCTGGCGCAGCTCTCAAGCGTCATGCCATCATCAGCATAGGTCTTGTCCGACAGAGCACGGACTCCATCGGCTTCAGTGTAGCAGCCAGCAAAGGACCACACATCAACCTTGGCAGGCTGGCCGGGACACACCGATGGAGTTGTCGTGGGACCACCGGATACGGTAGAGGTGGGTGTCTGGATACTGCATAGCGGTCGTGTTAGTTGGGGCTCTGTAGTGGAACAGGAAATAACAGCGAGACAAGCAACGCCAAGTGGGCACTAGAAAGAAAAAAAACAGAACAATGGAGGCCCTAGAAAAGGAAAGGTTGCAGGCGCCAAAGCAAAAGCAAAAGCAAAAATGACTCGGCTTCAGGTACCGCTAGCGCCTCAGCGGTCTCTTCGGGGGCTGTCGGGTGGGGGAAGCGGGATGGGTCCGACAATGGGCGGCAAGGAGGAAAAAAGGGTGTGGCGCCTAGCGGCCTGAGATGTTGTGGCGCCTCCCACTGGCAATTACCTCGTATAGGTGCGCCTTGCAGTGGATGATCCCCATATACACACAGCACTGGCTGTGTGGGCTGCCCAGGGGAGAGACAGTTGTAGAACTTTGGGTGTAGCCACTCCGCGACACTCCGCTGCACACGCCACCCATCATGTAATTTGCAGGTGTTGGGGTGCGTGGCACCATTGGGGTAATGTTGAAGAAAAGAAGGACCATGATTACTTACACAGACGAGGTGGTGTAGGACCGCTTGTCGTAGTAGAGGTTCAAGCGGCCAGGGCCACCGCAGAGCTCCGTGCTGTTGCCGTTGCAGGGCATCGTGCAGCCTGATGTAGCGGGTGCACCGCCGTTGCTGATCTTCTTGCCACAGTCTAGTCGATGTTAGTTTGTTGCACATCATCCACACGGGTTCACATCGCTTATGTCTTACAGCATTCGCCGCCGTATTCAGCACCAGCAAGATTGTAGCCAGCAGCCTCACAGCCGGAGGTACACTTGGCAATCGTCATCTGCGCTCCAGGAACGCCGGGCAGACCGTAGGTCAGGGTGCGACCACCAGTTCCTTCGCTGTAGCAGCCCATGGAGAGCCAGTTTCCAACAGCCTGTGTCTCAGAAGGTCCAGTAATCTTGTCGGTCTTGTACACGGTAAGTCGGTTTCCAGCACCGCAAGGCTCAGCACTGTTGCCGCCGCAGGACGCACTGCAGTCGGAAGCAGGCTTCTGGACACCACCGGTAGCAAGCGACGTGCCGCAGTAGCATTCGGTGCTGTATTCGGTGCCGGCGTAAGGGAATCCCTTGCCAAAGCAGAACTGAGCGCACATGGCATTGGTCATTTTGGGGTCAGTGATCGACGCGCCGCCGAGTGTTCGGCCGACATCGCTATTAGACATTAGTATCACGAAACTCGACACCACAAACTTTGCATGTATATATTTCAACAACTTACAGGTAGCATCCTTGGTAGGCGTAGCCATTGTCCAAGGTGGGAGGAGGGACAAAGTCTCGCTTCTGGACGTCATCTGCAGTGACATTGCCCAACAGAGACAGAAGCGTGATGGACAAAAGAGAGTGTGCCATGGTGGGCTTCATCTTGAACAAAGAAAGGTGCCCAATGGGGGCAAAATTGAAGAGAAATATAAAACGAATGTAAGGTCGATAGGTGTCGAAATCGATGAGAGCCTCCAAAAATCAAAAAGATTCTCTGACCATCTGACGTCGCAAGACCAAATCGTGGATGCGCCGCCCATATATGGCATTTGACCCAAGCCCGCCGCCCCAGCTCACCTACGGTAGCCTCCCCTGAAAGAAAATATTTGCTGGGTCGCGCACAGGCTCGTAACGGGTCGGGCGGTCCAGTCGCATAGCTGCTTTTCGATATGCTAGCGTGGAATCTAGATGCTCCACCCCCTGCGAGGCCCCTACTGCAACACAGTAGACTTTCCATTGGTGCCTCGTGGACATGATCACGCTAGGGTCTACACAAGCGAGAGGAGGCTGCAGCCAAAGCGTAACCAAAAAGGCAGCTGAAAAAGAGGTTGCCCGTTTGCGGATTCGCAGATGCAACCATAAACGGAAAAGTACAACCACTACGGGTCTCGAGCTGCATCTTTTTCTCTCCCAGTGGGTGTTGTCGGCCCTATCTCATGCGTAGCTGACTGCGGCGCATTGGGTACTTTGCGGTCGTCGCCTGCATATCGCTCGTGGGAATACGAGAAGCTGCACATGCAGTCCCCAACTGCAGATGTTCAGGCATATTTGATCCTCCGGCGTGCCGATTCACCCGTTCGTTCCATCCGAACAGAGAGCCTTGATGGTCTTGACGCTCTCCAACTTGTAAGCGCCGGAGTACATTTTAGCTTTGGACAAGTGAAACGTCCTCTCGAAGCGCCCAGGTCATGTCTAGTGGCGGCTTGCTTTCTTAGCTCTCACGTTATGGGCGGCAGTGGAGCCGCCGTGTCAGGTACGGGTCCTCCCTATTATCACGATGCACTAAACTTGGAAGCCATCCATCCGGCGTGGTACAGCACTGGCACTATAAATGAACCAGACGTCCGGAACCACCAAATCATATCGTTGAGCCATACAACGCCAATCTTCTTCGGGCGTCTCCACTGCCAAACTTGGCTGATTCTCGACAAGAAGGCTGTGCCTGGACTGGAGCTTCTTCCTATCTAGGAGGCTTGGCCGGCATGTGAGCAAACAAGGTTCCGGAGGCGTAGTGGAACTTCCCATGGTGCATATCCCATTTGCAAAACAGAGGGTTTTTTTCTTTCTCGTCTAGCCGGGCCAGCCTCACGCCAGAAAATCTTCAATTCCCCTTCGGCGCCCTGTTAGCAATCATCAGACGTTGCTTCGATCAACTCCGCTGGCATCCTTGATCCGGAACGATGGAAATTGACCGACCGATAGTCTCCAGTGACCCCCGGTTCCGCCGTCATATTCCTGGGCGGAAATATTTGCGAGCGGCAAACGGGTAATGAGGGTGGGACGCCATGTATGAAGCACTGGTCACCGTCAACCCCATCGGAGTTTTGGTGGGTCGCGACGTCGTATTCCCAACATGGAGCATCAAAATTGAGCGAGGCTCTCAAATTGAACCACGCATGAGGTGGGTGGTGGTGCCTGTCGTCTATGGTGGCCGCCCATTGCTTACTGATGGTAAACATTGCTTCTGTAGCCGTCTTTTACGGCCCCTGCATCTGGTGAGCGCAGAAAAGCAAAGAGCACCTTGCTGCATCATGACTTGCTTTTTAGCCCCCGTGCGTCCCTCATAGGCCATCGTCACAATGACTGCAGCAGGAGGTGGACTCTCCTCCTGCACCGTGCATATTGCTTGTCGTTCACACTCGCGTTGCAAGCCACTTTGCCTTAGCTGCTCCAGCCGCACTGGCAGCGTTGGTCTTCTCGGATGATAGTGGTCCATCCCATACCAGCGTGGCGCTGTTCGGCGGAGTTCAGGTGTTGAGCCTTTGTATCACACACATTGTCCTCAGCCTTGCAATTCGCTGGCTAAACAGCCTGGGCTACAACAAAGACTTAAGACAATGGGCCGCGTGAAGAAGCCCACCAAACATTGTGGCTGAAGATTCTTTCCGTTTTTTTTTCAATCCATATCTCTCCGGTGTACGGTTCGTCGCCAGTTTTAGAAGCCGGCCCAGTTGAGTATGCCGGCCGAAGCTCTTCCCGAGATGTACCACATGGCCGACATCCGAGCCCAAGTTGTGCAGGGAAAGAGACATATGAGCGATATATGCCCAATATATTGACGAATGTAGTAAATTAGTATGTATACACACCCATTGTGTAATCATCCCGTTTAGATAATTATAAATAAAATTACCGTCTTCTCCTGGTACAGTGGCTATGACAAGTATTGAGATTTTGATAAAGCGAGGAGCCATCAAAATTACTCAGTTGCTAAGGTCTGAAGTCGCCAGGGCACAGGTAACACCCAGGGCAAATATTGGTACTTGGTGTGCGAAAACATAATTATGTAAATGTTAAGCACCAAATCTCAACCTATCTCCAGGCAGAGAATTACACAGCCAATTGCATCATCGGCGCGGGGTAGCTGTAATCAGTCGTATTATCATGATGCGATTTCTTGAACTACCTCGCTTGGATATGAATCGAATAAATGCGGATCTTTTGGTCCCCGTGTTCCTACTCTAGCAATCATGTCAACTGGCAGGCTATGCTCACATTCTCAGCAGCGTTGTTGTAAAACAGTCATCACAGCTTGTATGCAGATTTCCGTCTAGTGGCGGTTGCTGTGCAAGGCATTATTGGTCGCTGGAATTAATGTCATCGTGTGACTCTTTGTCTAAAATAGAAAATGGATCTTTTCATGTAAACCTCTTCCAATTGCGCTGATGGGATTGGTCAATTGGCTGAGAAACGCATGACGAGGCAAGCTTGGGTTTGACAGTGACTCATTTTTGGTGTTTGGTCAGCGCCTGGCTGACGCTCATTGGGCGGCGAACGAAAACTGGTAGCAGAACTGCTCCACTGGCGATTTGCACTGACGTCGAAGCTAACGGGGGCGTCGACTGGGGTTAGGCTGCGGCGGAATTGGAGAACATTATTTTGGTTGTCTTTTAAGGAGGGCTACGGTGCAGCATTCTCTTTTGTCGTTTTCATTTATTTAGAAAAAAGAGAAGAAGAAGGACGAAAATATCAATCGTAAAGATTGTCGACAGTCGTACACCGTTCCCTAACCAAGCACCCTCACTCACAATTCGCCGCTCAGTAGCATCGCCACATCTACCCCACGTCAACGTCAAAATTTCTTCTCTCCGTCCGCCATCCAGCATCACCGGCCTTCCAGGCACAACAACAACAGCAACAATGTCCGAAGCATCGGGCAGTCAGACACAGACACAGACCTCCGAGTCGTCACGAGGACGCTCAAGGCAAGGCCAACGCGGAGGCCGTGCCAACAGACAAAGAAAACCACAAGATGGAGCATCTGTAAGAGGATCCGGCGCTTCAACCGCCGGTGAACCCTCTACCACACAACCAAATGGCGCGTCAGAGCAGTCTTCGCCGTCAAATTCACAGCAGCAGTCGCGCTCTTCAAGAGGCGGGCGCGGACAACGTGGCCAACGGCAGAATGGCCGTGGCCAAGGCAGAAGACCAGAAGCACCGACAAAGCCTGCAACACGTCGCGCTTTTGGAGGCCATCTCACTTCCGAAGCACATGACGATACACAGAGTGAAACGGGGTCGCTTTCTCTTAGTGGCGATGCACCTGTGTTTGTCCCTGGACAACCGATTGTCGCCAGAAGGTACCGTCTATCACTCCAATCAAATGTTATAAAGCCAATTCTAACGACGACGTAAATAATAGCAAACCGATACCTTCACGACCTAAGCGCCCTGCAGTTCAATTGCCCAAATCCACCGCTACCGACTTACCTACCCGAATTCACGAGGACATTGGAAACTTCAACTATGAGTGTGCAATCTGCACAGACGATGTCACGCGATCATCACAGGTTTGGTCATGTACCATTTGCTGGACAGTCATCCATCTCCGATGCGCGAAGAAGTGGTATTCGAATCAGATGAAGCAGCAGGACAATACCTCCTCACAGCCTCAACGTGAGCCTTTATGGCGATGCCCTGGTTGCAACTCGCAACTCTCGGATGACCCAGGCTCCTACCATTGCTGGTGCAGCAAAGAAATCAACCCCAAACCATCCAGTACTTCCCTTCCGCCTCATTCTTGTGGACAGACTTGCTCTAAGCCAAGAGCAACCTGCCCACACCCTTGCTCACTGCAATGCCATGCTGGTCCATGCCCACCATGCGGTCTAGTTGGTCCAACGCAATCTTGCTTCTGCGGCAAGAATTCCTCACAAAAGCTTTGTAGAGAAACAAACTATGAGAAGGGCTGGAGCTGTGAAGAGATTTGCGGTGACCTTCTTCCCTGTGGAGAACATTTTTGCCCACGCCCCTGCCATACTGGACTTTGCGGTGACTGCGATATGAAAATCGAAGCCCGCTGCTACTGCGGAAAGCTGCAAAAGCAAATACCTTGCTTCGAACGAGACGACCCAGAACAATCATATAGCCAAATCGACGGTGAATGGTTTGAAGGACTCTTCAATTGCCAGACCAAATGTAACCGTCCCTTTGACTGCGGTATTCACAAATGCTCCAACGACTGCCACCCGCAGGATGAAGACTGTGGCCATTGCCCATACTCACCAGACGTTGTGACACATTGTCCTTGCGGCAAGACACTCTTGGAAGAGCTCCCTGGATTTCCTCGATCTACCTGCGAAGACAAGGTCTCCCACTGTGACAAGGTTTGCGGAAAGGAGCTCAAGTGTGGGCACGCCTGTCAGGCCGTTTGCCACGATGGTGACTGCGGTAGCTGTCTTCAGAAGGTTGATATCCCTTGCAGATGTGGCCGAGTCGTTTCAAAGTCAGCATGCCACCAGGGGACTATTGATCCGCCAATGTGTATGCGTATCTGCCAGGCCAATCTTAACTGTGGCCGACATAAGTGCGGCGACCACTGCTGCTCGGGCGAAAAGAAGGCTCTGGAGCGTCAAGCGGCCAGGAAGAAGCATCGCGTAACGTTCAATGATAGCATTGTCGAACCGGAACATATTTGCATCCGAACATGCAACAGGCCGCTAAAGTGCGGCAACCACGACTGCCAACAGATGTGCCATCGCGGCCCTTGTGGAAACTGTCCCGAAGCCATATTTACAGAGATTAGCTGTGACTGTGGGCGAACTGTTTTACAGCCTCCCCAACCATGTGGAACACAAGCACCCGAGTGCCGTTTTAATTGCAGAAGACGACCTCAGTGCGGACACCCTGCAGTCGACCACAATTGCCACCCTGGTGATATCTCTTGCCCCAAGTGTCCATTCTTGGTAGACAAGATTTGTGCCTGTGGAAAGGAAAAGCTTCACAGCCAGCCATGCCACCTCCAAGAAGCCCGATGCGGCAAACCTTGCGGAAAGAAGCTAAAGTGCGGCCTTCACACCTGCAAGAAACTGTGCCACAAGGACGGAGAATGCGAAGATGCCGACCAAACTACAAACCGCTGCCAACAAGCGTGCGGTAAGGTGAAGCTGTTTTGTGAGCACAAGTGCTCGGCAAGCTGTCATGGACAGTCACGTAAGAAGCCCCCTAGGACTCATATGCTCAAGATGAATGCTAATCGAATCTTAATAGCCTGCAACGAAACCGCTGCCTGCACAGCAAAAGCCACGATATCATGCCCCTGCGGAATCCGAACACAGGAAGTGCGATGCCTCGCAAGCAGTTCTAACCCTGAGCCAACTCGCCTGGAGATCAAGTGCGACGACGAATGTCTTCGCCTTGAACGAAACAGGCGCCTTGCCGCAGCTCTCAATATCGATCCAGCCAGCCATGCGAACGACCACGTCCCCTACGCTGATGTCACTCTTCGCCTTTACCAGGACACTACCTCGTGGTGCGAAGTCCAAGAGCGAGAATTCCGCGTCTTTGCCAATGCTGCTAATGAGATAAGACTACGCTTCAAGCCCATGAACAAGACTCAACGTCAGTTCTTGCACGTCCTTGCCGAAGACTACGGTCTTGAAGGTCGTAGCGAAGACGCAGAACCGTACCGCTACGTCGTTGTCTTCAAGGGCCCCAGATTTGTTTCTGCGCCCAGCAAGACTCTCGGCCAGTGTGTAAAGATCCGTGCTACTCAGGCAGCTGAAGCAGCAGCTTCTGCCGCTGCTTCTAGAGGACCCAGCCCTCCTCCCATGCCAGCCCTGGACCCGTTCAATGGTATCTTGCTAACGGCGCCGAAATTCGGCCTCACCATGGACGAAGTGACAACTGCCATGATCTCAAGCTTCTCCCAGCAGCCCTCTCTCAATTTCCACATTGAGTTCCTTGGCACGGACGAAGTCCTCATGCGCGCTACGGTGCAGTACTCCTCGTTCCTGTCTCCCGCTGGCGTTGGTAAAGCTCTGGCCGATATGAAGTCCCACGTTGTCACTGCAGTCCGCCGTCTAGAGCTTGCTGGCAATGTTCTTCTATGCCACGCCGATTCCGACAACCATATCACTCGCCGCGAGGATATAAGAAACTCGGATACGTCTGGCTGGAGCGCAGTCGCCGGCCGCGCTGCCAACAAGGAACCTGCACTACCTGAAGAGCCTACTGCACGAGGATCCGGCCGAAAGCTCCTTGGTCTGAAGAAGAAGAAGATAGAGCCCTCGAAATCAAGCTGGTCTACGCTGGGAGGTGATGTTGAATGCTAAGCAAGCTTGGTTTTTATTTCACATGGATGTGTATACTCGCATCACACTTATATAAAAGTTCACAGTTTCAAACAAAATAACGGTATATTTAAAACTCGAATTAATATAAAAAAACTCAGAAAGCAATTCCATCTGTCTCTCTGACCTTGGTGTTGTTCTCTGTGCCTTGATCAAGCATCACTATCAGATCGGCTCACAAACCGCTACGATTACATCCATCACACCGCCTGTAGTCCAACTAAACATACGAGCCCACACACACCTGTTAGTCTACTACACCCTTTGCAAAATCTCTTCCTATCATGGTACCGCGGAAAATAGTGCGGCACAGATCACGCGACTAATCGAATGGCGGAGTGGAAGCGATCCTATGCACGTCACATGGCTCCCTGCGCTCTCTCTGCGCCACACGGCTGCCATGCATGTCTCAGCGATGAGAGGCATTGTGGATGGCGCGATAGAGGCATTTAAACAGCCTTTTTACAGTCACTTTCTCGGAACCATGAACGCCAGTTGGTTGGAAATGAACTAGCCACCCTCTTCGGGAGCCCTTTGTTTCTTGATTATGGTGTGCACACGGGACAAGCTCGCGGGAAGCGGCATATGTGGCGCCGCCCGCAAGCTGAGGTGCTTTGCTATTGCTAAGTATGAGAAGAGCATGCGCCAACCGTTGGATAAGAATCGTAAAGTAACGCCTCGTGAAAAAAAGGGATGAACAACAATACTTGCTAAAGAAGAAAATGCAAGTTTGCGAAAACCAAACGGCAAAGTGGGTATCAAATCACAAGGGCGTGGACGCTTTCTCAGCGCCGCCCTTTCCCTCCTCCTCGTCCAAGCCTCGTTGCTGGGTCTCATGATGATGCAAAAATAATAAAATGTTTACGAGCGTTCTTTCGACTTCTCCAACTCGGTGACATCATTCACAAAGTCGGCCACCGCCTCAAAGTAGCCAGGCTCAACAACGCTGGAGTTGTGATCGCCACCTGGGAAGGGTTTCCAGACTTTGTGCGAGGATGTAGAAATCTCGTAGAGTTGACGCATATGTGCAGGCCTACACGTTTAGGAATTAGTAATGTTTCCGAGTGCATGATTTGTGATTGGTATTGAAGATGCGGGTTATCGCGTTGTTCAGATATGGTATTCATTGTCAAATCAGAGCCGCAAAGGGTTCATATTTTGTGGGTGAATATGATCATCATAAAAAGCGAACGGGAGGGGTGTGTGTGCAGAGACAATGCATCAAAGGGTTTCAAAAAGAGGGATAACAAAAGACCATATACTCACGGGACAATCTCGTCTTGGAGACCACTCAGAAAGAGAATGGGGACATTCGTAATGGTGGGGAGAAGACTCTCACTGGGCCAGACTTGGTGGCAGAGCAGAGTAAGAAACTTGGCGGGGGGGATCACGGAGGGAATAAGCTTGCGCATGGACAAGAAGGTGTTCTCAAGAACAAGACCGGCAATGTCGCCACGGTTGTGCTTTGCGACGAGGCGGATGCTGACAGCGCCACCCAAGCTTTGGCCGAACACAATAAACTTGTGCTTGCTTGTTTCTGCCCGATCGCGCAGGTATCGCAGCGCAGTCTCGGCATCTACGTTAATGCCGTCTTCGTCCGGCTCGCCCGTAGACATACCGTAGCCTCTGTACTCCAACATGAAGACATTACAGCCAATCATGTTGATGATCATCCGGGCAATGGGAAGGCGGTGGCCAATGTTACCAGCATTACCGTGGAACATGAGCATGGTGACATTGCTATTAGGGTGCCCCTTCGGACCACGAATGTAATATGCAGAGAGCTTCTCACCGTCATCAGTTGGGATGACAAGCTCTTCGAAATCCCTGATACCAAATTGTGTTGGGCGTGGCACCTCCGTTCTTGAGTTGGGAGGCATGTGCGAAGGGTAAATTAGAGATCTGCTGACATGTTAGAAAGCTTCTGATGGACATGTCATGAGGGGCATGGGGGCGTACTTTTGCTTGAAGTAGAGCAGAGAGGTAAGGACTGCTGCAATGCCCTGATGGCCAGAGGTCGGGTTAGCACTGTAATCGGGCGGGAGTAGCTGTCATGCTTGAATTTGGAGGGGCATCATACAGTAGAGGCGATAGCTGGCAGTCGCATATACGACGCGATAGAGCTCAGAGCCGAGACGGTCTGGTCCAGATAGCCGCTGAGGGTGGACGGCGGGGAGTTTGAGCTTGACATGGCTTGTCTTTCCGGCATTGGCGCTCTGTCTGACTATGGCGGGAAGCTATTATTGGATGGGAAGGGTATTCGAGATGCCGGAGCAAACAATGTGAAGCAAGCAGAAGCTGTGTTTGTCCTGGGGTTGCAACGACGTGATGATGCGTCCAACAGGTTCAACGAGGCAGCGGCAGACGGTGAATGCTGTGACGATGACGAATTGGCCAATCAGGGCGACCGCGTAATTCAGGCCGACTAGAAAAAGGAACTAAAGAAAAATAGAACAACGGTGTAGTGATAACGATGGAATACGTCAAGCCGTGCCTGTTTGTGGCAAAGCGCACAAAAGGGATGCTTTAATGGCAACAAGCGAGGAAATTTGCGAGGCGAAAAGACGCGCCAGGTTTCTTTGCCGTGGCTCCACAGGCAAGCTACTGCCCTTCCTTGTGCACTGCTGCGGGGTGAAGCCGAGTGCCCGCCCAATGGCAACTCATGCAGGCGAGATGAGCGTTTTTGACAGGGCGCCGAGGTGATGAGCTTTTGGCTAATTTTGGAAGAAACAACGCCCCTGAGCGTTTCTTTTATTGCGATTACCCTTTTATCTCTTTATTTTCTTTGCTTTTTTCTTCTCCCCTCCCTTCTCAGGTGGAGGTTGAAGAGTTAATCTCAAATCCACTATCCTGAGAATAGGCCAGCGTTGTTGGGGGAGTGTCTCCGTAAGCATTGTATCGTACGCAACAGTACCATTCGCCAGAAACTTGCTAAGAGAATGACGCCATGTGTACTTAACGCCTCTACGTCGAGTTACATAGCAGTGTCTATCGTCCTATCCAACTGTGCCTCCCTTGTGCTGCTATTAACCTTGACCGGAGATACGCATATCCAGATCCTCTATCACAAGTCTGAACCAGAAAAAGCTTTCTTGTGCGCGTGGCTTACCGGTACTTTGAAACTGGTCCATGTTTTTGCTGAGGTCCCGATATAGCATATGCTCGCATTGGCATGAGCAAGAATGCAACGCTTGGAGCGTAACCTTGTAAGACAGTTGGCACGGACGATCTGGTAGTTTAGCGTCGCGTCATCAGTAATAGTAAGCAGCGCTGTTCTTTGCTCTGTACTTGGAGGACTGTGGTGGTACTACAGTAGCTCTAGCTAGATACGCTTCGTCTTACTTGCTGCTACGTATTGCGCTTTAGATACCACCATTAACGTCCAACCCATCGCCACACCTACGGCAATGGGCCTGTTTGTTCTGCCGTTGGCGTCCTAAGCCTCTCCCTCAAAAGGGCCGCACAATGTCTCATTCCACTGGCGCAAATAGGAAGGTGTTTATTGCTAGTGTCGCAAGGTGCAAAACATCGGCTTCTGGTTGTGCTTGGTGAAACAATTGGAACTTTATGTCCTTGGCAAAAGACCGGGCTCCAGACGATCTATGAAACGAATGGGAGTCTGTGGTGTAAATGCTCATGTCGCGGCGAGACCGAGCCCATCCTGGCCTCGCACAAGCCTATTTGGCTGATTACACAGCTCGGTTCCGATCGAGAGGACCATATGCAAGTCTCTCTGAGACAATGTCTCTATTCTTGTTCGCTGCGACGTTGCAGACCTTTTGGTCAACGCACCTTATGAACCAAGTCGCAATTGCCAGCCTCTTGCCTTGATGCCGAGGCTAGGACAGATACAGTCATATTTAGCAATCACCAATGCTCTCTGATTCTGCTGCTATTATGGGCTATGACCAGGATGGATCTCGCAATGGTGAGTTTACTGCTGATGATGACATACAGGCGTAAAAGAGCGCCCAGGTTAGTGCTGTCGCGCCAGAACGCCACGGCGTCGGAGCGCTCTGCTCTTTCATAGGTCGGCGGTGATACAAGAGCACCCAAACTTGCAGCAAGTAGAACCAGTTTTTTGCGCTACTATATGCGATGAGCAGCCCGCGCCAGCGAGACATTTCCGTCGCAGGCAAACGACGGACTATATGCCGTGGCAGCCGCTAAACTGGCTAGGTGTGACGGGAGTGAGCAACGAGTCACTGAGAAGCAATGTACTCGCAACCACTAGGTAAAGCAGACAGACGGCTGAGCTTTCCAGAATAGGAGCTCCCGAAGCGCATTGGCCGTGCGCCCTGAAAACGGGTAATCAAACCAGCGTCTATGCGCAGCCAGGCCCGTCACTATTCTAAGCCCAGCGCCAAGTACCGTACCTACACGCTGAAACTGGTAAGAGGTGCCGCTGAGGGTGGTGCCGTAGCCTGCGCAGCCTCTTTTTCTTAGGGGGGTCTTTTCGGGACTTAACTCTCTCATGTGACTGGTCAGTACTGTAGAGCCAATTACAGCAGGCGCTACGCTCTGGAAATATGCGCCTTGTGCCGCTCATCGCGTCGCGTCAGATGAGTTTCGGACCCTGGGACACGGTTATGGTGGCGTGGTCGGAAATTTGGAGGGGGTGTGGTCAGAAGAAAGGCTCGCTATGGTGGGCAGAAGAACGAAACACAGCAGGTTTCTGTGCTTGGGACCACTGGACATTGCCACTGTTCTGCAAATATACTGAGTTGATGTCGGGTTGGTGATGAAATAAGAGGTTAGGCTACCAGGCTGACTCAATTGGGCGGCGACGACTTTTGCATGTACTATGCCAGCTGGCAGACTGCTGCTGGGCGAATTGGCTGGCACCTGTCAAGTGGTTGGTTGGCAGTGCTGCGCTGTGGATTTGTTTATGCTGTGCGTTGTCAGTCAACAAAAAACGCGGACAGCCGCGATAGCAGCAGCCAGCTGAATATTATACCGTATTTCTGCCAATTCTTATTCGGTGGTATACATGTGCACAAAGCAGAGCATGATCTTTTTTCATCTATAGTTGTGCTTGTGTACTGTCGTTGGCTGGCCCGCCGATACTGCCGAGTGATACAAGTTGCCCAGTCAGTGCCCAAGTGGGAGCGACTGCGAAGGCGAAAAAAACTTTTTGCTTCTCTCAAAAGAACGACAGCTCCTCTTCCCTTTGCACCCGACAGATTGATAGCCAGCAATACAGCATCGTCTAGACGCACTAAGCTTCGCTTTTACAAGTCTCTTATTGTTTTTTGAATCACCACTGAACATCTCTGCCTGTCCCCTGCATTCGCCAAACGCATAGCAAACGGGCGCTATTAACCATCACCGACCTTGCTGGACACCTCGTCTCCATTTACATTACACTTGCAATACAACCGCTCTGACACCTGCTCTTGCAAAACCTACTAGCTCTGTTACTCCCCGCAAAACTGTCTCTCGATTTCGCCTTGGCCTATTGCAGCATCTCCTAGGCCACTGTCGCCCTTGAGCACGCACACCTGACCCTGGTTTAGTGCTTGTGCTTTGAAGCCCCTCCAAACGACCATTCCAGCCCAGCACCTTCAGCGAGGAGCTGATACCGCTAAAGCTCTCTAGTGGCTGTGGGCTGTGTCCTCGCAATTTTTTTTCGTCCCCTGCTCAGGCGCTGGAGCTCACTGCCCCGTCTTGAGTCGCATTCCTCGAAACGTCCCCTTACAGCAAAAGTTTTTTTTACCTTCTACCATACAAACGTATCGGGAGATTCGCGAAATTCTCGCGCAAACGCCGTGTCTCGCTTCACTTGCTCGTCAGCAAACACGCCTACCACATCTTTTGCCGCTAGCTCTGGTTCCGTGTCTGTTACGGCGCGAACTTTTCTCTATTAGGCTCTCCCAGCGTTAAGCGCTTCGCCCAGTCAAGGCGCGTTTCGTCTCTAAGAGAAGCCCCCAAAATTTTTACCGCCCAACCATTTCTCATCGCCCAATCACGGGCTTTACCACTCACCATCATTAACCATGGTCTCCTTTTCGTGTGAGGTAAGTCTTCCTTTCCTACCCATGTTGCGTTCCCTTCAAAGTCTTGGTCTGGACACTCTACAATGTTATGACGCCAGTCAACTCCATAGCGTGGCGCCAAAGCAGAGACACTCCTTCCCTACCTCACGTCCCGGCGGCGCTCACACACTTGCTTTGCGCCGCGCGCCCCTCTCCCCAATCCCAATCTCGCCCTGCGCCCACACCATCTAGCGTCCCCCGTACTCCAGGACCTGACATCACTCCACCCACACCAAAGCACCGTCTACACCCATTTTAAGCAACTCCCTCTGCCCAGTCCGCTGATCCCCTGGCCCACCACCCCGGGTGCTTTAATAAGTCGCTTGGTCTCCCCCCCTTGAACACACGTCTCTGCGACTGTTTCTATATAGAAACGTTTCTGTCTCTTTCGTCACGTTTTCCACCACTGCAACTCCAATTACCTCGCTCGTTGTCACTTTACTCACGCAATATATTATCATAGGAGTGCGGCGACATCTTAACCAAGAAGAAGCTCGATCCTCATCGTGGACGCTGTCGCAACGCAACATTTACCTGCATCGATTGCATGGTATATTTCCCCGGAAGCGAATATCGATCTCACACCGTAGGTGCCACCATTTACACGCTCCATGGCCCTTCGCCGCAACAACTTGCTAACACCAGCGTGGGCAGTCATGCATAACTGAGGACCAGAAGTATCAAGGTGCTCTCTATAAAGAAAAGCCCAACAAGAAGCAGAACAAGCAGAACGAAGGCGAGCCATCCAAGAAAGCAAAGATGTCTCACCAATCCTATGTCGAAGACGCCGCCGATGTGAACGACTTTGTCCCCTGGGGCCACTATGAAGGCCAGACCGAAGACGAACGATCGCCTGCCGAGCCCATGCCCGAAGCACCTACTCCTCCTCCTGCCGTAGTAGAGGACATGGTCAACGTTTTTGACTACATGATCGCAAAGACCCCGAATGCTTCGCATGCTCACCTCCCCCAGGATCCCAGCGGCAACGATGACACGTCCCTGGTTCGCTACGACCTGGACGCCAAGAAGTATCTTGATACATCCTCCACTGGTGACCGCGAGCCTCTGGTCCAGTATGGTACTGGTCCTGTCCCTACCGACGCCTTTGTCACACCTCATCACAAAGAACGCCGCCGAAACAGCGACAGCAAGAAAGACAAGAAGCGAAAGCGCCTGCACGTTGATGTTCGTGGCGGCGACCAAGATATGACTGACGCGCCTCCTGTTCTGCACTCTGGATTGACTGGGGGTCTGAAGAATCTGTTGCGCCCAAACATGCCCCCATCACCCGGATACTCTAGCGGCGACAACGATCGATCCCCAGCCAGCCCTTTGAAGAAGACGAAGCATTCCAAGAGCTCGAAGCCGACGCAAGTCAGCAACAGCATCTTTGACATGATTGTCGGCTCTAAGAAGAGCAAGAGCAAGGACAAGAAGGATAAAGATAAGAAGAAGTCGCGCCGCCATCGCGCAGAAAAGGAAACAAAGATGATTGAATACCGCGCCCCGTCGCGTGACGGCAAGACGGATGAGAGCAATGGCCAAATGATTGTGTTCAAACCTAGAGCCGATGTGTTCCTAGGCTTTGTCAACAAGGGCCCGGACAGTGACCGAGGATGCAGCATGAACAAGGCTCTCCGCAAATACCACAAGGAGCGTCAAGCTTGCGGCTCAACGTCATCGCGCGGAAAGGAAGAGAAGGAGCTTTGGCGCTCCCTTCGCCTCCGCAAGAATGATCGCGGCGAGATTGTCGTTTTCGGCCTCTAGTCAACTGTATTCCGTCTTGTGTTGGATAACCAAAACGAGAATTGGCTAGGCGGCTTCGCGGGAAACGACAGTACCGTGTATGCCTGCCTCGAATTGTTCGGAGTTCTCAGTTGCTTCGCTTCTGTTCGACATCCTTTTCTTCCTACCTGCAGACCTCTTTCTTCTTTTTCTCTCCTCTCATCTCGACCTTCACCTCGCATTTTCTTTTTATTTCACATCTAATTTTTTTCCGATTTTTACGACTGAGACCTTTTGGCTCATACCGAATACCACGATTGTCTAGTTTCTGTCTTTTACAGAACTTCTGTTCTAGCACACGGGTGCCCAAGTAGCAATTTTTGTTGGAACAAATGCGAACGGATCACTTGGAGCAAGAACTGCTGGTGGCCAATCCCATGCTATGCAGCTGCAGTTACCTGCGCCATGCATGGGATTTGAGGGACCGCTAGATACGGACTTTGGGTTTCATAAGGCTTAAAAGGCGTTAATGACGGAGTAATGATACCATGGACAGACAGAATCTATTAGCTCAGGCAGCAAATTCATAGCGCAAACCAGTCAAAAAAAGTAGGCTTGGTTACAATGTTATTAATACTACAGAACTTATGTACAGACAACTCCTTTTTCCCCATAATGCGTTCGCTACATGAATGTGATGCTCCTTTATACATTGCTAGTTGTTATTTTCCTGATGAATCGCGACTTGTGGGGTTTTTATATAACCCGTAGCGGCAGGATGTGCTGCACCAGTGTATCTCTTCGGCACAGCGGGCACTCGGGCTTCTCACGCACCCAGTCGCCAATGCACTCCCAGCAAAAGACATGCCCGCATGGCGTTGCCGACGGATCTTTCAGCTCCTCTAGGCACAAGGTGCATTTACGCTGCTGGCTGCCCTTGATATAGCCCATTGCCTTCTCGTTGGTAAGGTCGAAGCGCGGTACATTGTCCGCTGGTGTGTGCGTTGCAGTCGCTAGATCCACACGACTCTCACCCGATGCTCGGCTACCAAGATCAGACATGAGAAGATTGCTGTTGGCAGAGTACGAGTTGTCGTGATCAAGCGATACATCCGCGCCAGTAGCATGGAAAGCCGCACGCTCCCGCGACGCCGTGTACGAGTTCATCGTGTCCCGCACGTGCAGGTAGCCTTGGACGCCCATCTGGATAACTAGCAAGACGCCAAGAACCTCGTAGCCCGCGCGGTCCGGCGTATCTGGCACCTCTCTTGTGAAGACGTAGCGCAGCGAAAGCAGGCGCTTTGTGAGTTCGTAGTATGTGCCGTTGAAGTAGAAGAGGGTGAGCGTGATGGCTTGGATCGGCGCGGCCGAGGTCAGTGACGACAGGTGGTTTGAAATGTACTCCCAGACGCGCGCTTCGCGGGACCCTTCTTTGCCTTGGTTCTTGAGTGTACTGATACGGCGTTCAATCATCTTGCGGATGCGTGTGCGCAGACCAGGCAGGCCACGGCTGACAATGTACGGCAGGAGAATGCTGCCGGCAATATATGAAGCGCGGGTCTGCAAGTTGGGCAGACGGCCATTTTCGGCGCCATTGACTTGCACTAAGTCGCAGTATTCCTCGCCTAGCGTGCGGTTACCGGGCAGTGTTGTGAGGCAGAAGTAGACGAGTGTGGCGAGGGATCGGAGTTCGGGAGCAGCAGCATGTGTCGCGCGGGCGCCGAGCACGCGGCGGTAGAGGTCGGTGATTGTGTTGGCGAGATGGCCGGTGAAGTAGGCGTCTTTCTGGTGTGCGCGCACAATGTCCGGCGCGGCGGCGAAGGGGTATGGCGAAGCAACTGTCGCTGTTGCCATGGTTATATAGCTGTCGCCTTCGGCCGAGGTTGTGCTGGGGGCGATGTGTCGAGAGTGCTGCGGTAGTAGGGCTGGACGACGGGATGGTCAGATTACTCAGTAATTGTGGTGATCAATTCGAGCTTCTCAAGAGCAGTAGAGGTATCTCTGAGAGAAGTGGTGGCGCGAGAAACGGCGTGTCGTGTGGTGGTGATGCAGAGGAAGAAGTTTGGACCTCGGGATAAACGTTGGGCGGGTTCATGTGGGCGTCGTCCGGCACAGGCAAGGCGCCATAGCGGACGGAGCCGATTGGCTGGAAACGGACACGTTTGTGTAAATTGAACTTGGCACCCTAGCCCGTTTTCAATAATATTTATAATAAATCATGAAGCTATAAACTACTGTTTTAAATCCAGTGAATATTTTGGACATATTTTATTTTAACTGTATAGAGCCTCAATAGCGCTACGAACGCTGCCTAGCAGATGGGTGACGTCGCTCGCGCCGCGCATCCCTAGCATCGTCACCCCTGACCTCCCCTAAAACTCCACCACGAAAAAAAAGGACAGCATCTCGTATCGCCAACCTGCTTCAACATCACCGCGTCCAAGAAGCATTTGGCGCTGCTGGCCTTCTTCACGACCTACCGAAGCATTCAAATTTTGCGCAGAGCCGCGTATTTCCACTCCTTATTTCCTATCTTGTCTGCCTTCGCGAGAGCTGCCACTGGCTAACCCCTCCATCACCATATTGAACACGACGCCTTGTCGCATGCCACATTCCCACCATGGACCCTGCTGTTGAGCCCGAGCTTGACTCCTTCAGCTTGACATTTCCTTTGCCTTATAGAATTGGCTTCATCGTCACCTTAGGTACGTAACCGCCGATGCGCCACGCTGCTGGACACTTGTCGTTGTGTTTGCTAACGAAGCTGTCTCAATAGCTGTCTGGGGATGGGGTCTTAACCTCCACGGCCTCTATTTGTTCAAGATCGACTTGCCGACCTTAATAAAATACCCTGTGCGGTCATCGCCACAACAAGTATCGCATCACTTGTCAACATATCGACTAGCGACCGTTCTCTCGGGGCTCTTTGCCTTCTCCATTACCCTCTTTTGGATCTGCACATGGCGCATTCCGTCCCGCGTTATCGAATATGACTGGATACCCATGACATACTTGGTCGCAATGATTGCCGTCTTCTTTGCTCCGCTAAAGCATCTGCCTTCCAATGGCCGCAGACGTTTCCTAGCTACACTTCGCAGAGTCAGCATCGGCGGCATCGCTGAAGCAAAGGACGGCAAGTTTGGAGATATTCTGCTCGCTGATGTCTTAACCTCCTATGCAAAGGTATCAGGAGACATCTTTGTCACCATTTGCATGTTCTTCAGCACTGGTGGTTCCTCCACCGATCGCCCGGACCGAAACTGTGGAGGTGAAGTCATAGTACCTCTTCTGATGGCTGTCCCCAGCGCTATCCGGTTCCGGCAATGTTTTATCGAGTACTTTAGAGTGCGTAATGCCCCTTACAGAGAGTCAGCAGGCTGGGGTGGACAGCATCTCGCCAACGCGCTCAAGTACTCCACGGCATTCCCAGTCATCATCACGAGTGCACTGCAGCGTAGCGCCGATGATGACAACAGCAAGACACTGCTCTACAGGGCATGGCTAGTAGCGGTTGTTGTCAATTCCATGTATTCATTTTACTGGGATGTGGCCAAGGATTGGGACCTAACCTTGTTCTCATCTCCCCAGCCACGCAAACTCGGTCATAAGCAAGCCTGGGGTCTACGTGAGAGGCTTGTGTTTCACGAACCCAACTTGTACTATATTGTCATCGCTATTGACTTCTTGCTACGCTGCACATGGTCAATGAAGCTCAGCCCCCACCTGAACCGCTTCAGTGACTGGGAGAGCGGTATCTTCTTGATTGAGTTCCTTGAGGTGCTACGCCGATGGATCTGGATCTTCTTCCGCGTTGAAACAGAAGCAATTCGAAACTCTACATCATCAGGAATGGAAATCGACGATATCCTCCTCGGTGACTATGAGGGTGATGGCAACGACGACGATGATATGCTGTAGCGGTACAGCAACCATGGTCGAACAAGGTCAACTTATCTGCTTTTCTTTGGAGTTAACTTGGGTAGGCTACATATTTGGGCATGTATATTAGGCGAACTGGTTACGTTAGACTGGCTTCAGGTAGAGGAAAAATTGGAGCCCGGCATCAAACATAGTACAAAAGATGCATTATTTAATAGACCTGTTGTTCAACCTCATTGTTCTCAGAGAGTGTTACGCAGCACAACATGCAAGCCGCTGGATCTGGCATTCGGCACAGCCGCACATGATTGAAGAGGTTTGGCTTGGTAGATTGGCCTAGATCAAGAGTCATATCCGCTTCGTGGCAATGAACACGGCTCCAAGCCTTTGCTGGCTGAGCTAGCGATGGCCGGCACTACCATAAGACCCAACTCGGCGGTGCCAGCTCAGACATTTTGTTACTGGCGCCTTGTTGTACGATCTGTGATGCTAATTTTGGCAGCGATTTGAGAGATGGATGATACAGTTGCATGGCGGCGATGCTGTCTTAAGCGGTGTTGCATTGCAGCTGAGTGGCGGACCTGTCTGCCAGGAGAACTGCACCCCCGTTTATGCAACCGCTACGACGTTGAGCTAACAATGGCAACTCGCCTGTTATCTGTTGATTTGCCTCAAAACACCGGTAGATGCCTCCCCTGGACAGCGAGGCGATGTCCTCTGTGAACATGACGTCGTGCGACCGGGTTCTGTCGGCAGGGAAAACGAGATTTGGCGAGTGCGTGATCTGACTTGGGTGCGCGGAATTGAATCCCGTAGAAGGCAATTCCTGTTTAGGAAGGTTTGTGGGGAGAATTAGTGTCGTTAGGTAATATTATGTGCGGCATACCGCCCCCGAAAACGTTAAAATCGTAATTTGGCCAGCGATCGCTAGCTTAGTGACTATAGTGGCGCTATGCTTTTTGCTAACGACCAGCAGAGAATTCTTGCTATTTGGGAATTCTCTTTCTTGTGCGTTTAGGTGGCGCAATCTTGTCAAATCATATTACTCATGAGATTGGGTAACAGTGGATGATGCGGGCACGCGGCATGTTGTCTCGAGTGTAAGTTTGCCTGTCTCAGCGCTGCAAGACTTAGGCTACGGAAACTACGGCCAGATGAGATGTCAGCCAACAGGCTGTAACACCGGGAAAGGAGAAATGGTTGCCTTGAGGCGATGGCGCAGCACAGCGTCGCAGTGGTAAAAAGGGCGTGGTAGCAAGCCGGGTGCAGCACGATGCTTGATGCTTGATGAGATTGACGAGACTGCTTGCGTTCCCTGTTTGCGAGAGATGTGACAAGACAACAACTAGGCGTTCACTGCGTAACTATCACACAGACAGCAGAGCTGATGTGGGACGACGTTGCTGGCGGGTGACATGGTCGTGAACGATGAGGTAGGCATGCGCAAGCGAAGCAATACGTTAGTACCCAGGTTACCAAACTATTGGCAGCGTAAAGAGAAAACGTTTCTTCGGTTCGTGTTTGTCCGCTGGTCTGCTTTAGGTTTGCGGCCGGTGTCGATCGTGACGAGTATTACCTGTTTGTACAAGAGTTGGCGGCGGATAATTACACCGGTTCTACGAGTGGGTTAGTGAGGTGCAGCGTTCCATAGGACGGCTATGAGAGAGGCTATACGATCAGGCAGCCCTCTGTACTTCAGCTCCAGTGCTCAGCTGCTCTCAGCTGACGATGGCGGTTCTGGTAAGGCTGGATGGTGTCTTGCTCAAGAGGTGCAGCAGCCAAGGTGAGCGGTGCAGGTAACTGCCTGGCAGTCGGAGAATTTGGCTAAACGCCTTGAAACCCGCCGCCGGCAGTGCCAGGTGCGTTGCAGGTGGCAAGCCAGGCAGAGGCGCTCCAATCGGCAGTGGCTGTTTAGCGGCTGCAGCAAGACATCCACTACTGTAGAGTACTCTATGGCGGGGCTGACCCAGCGCTGCCAGGTGGTGGGGAACAGCCCTGGCCAGCCCCAACGCAACGGACACTTGGACAGGATGGTAGCATCAGCGCTGACCACCCGCCACTAGGGTCCCGCAAAGTCCCCGTCCAGTACCTCTTTTGTCAAGAAAACGTGCAAGGGAGACTTGGGGATGACTTGGGAGCCGCATGGGTGGTATCGGTGCTTACTCGCCGTTTGCACCGTGGCCGCCGCAGGGCAGTTGGGCTTAGCAACGAGACACGACGTTGAGGGCGAGCCAGCACTACGCTGCCAAGCGTGGACGGCAGAGAGGCCACTGCGGAGACTCATGAGATGGACTTTGCTTTGGTGATAAGGAAGACGTCTCCCGCCTTGGCCGTGACGACGGAAGGGGAAGGGGGAAAGAAAGCGGAAGCGTAAAGCATCCAACTTGCAATACAGGCCAGGTCATCGCCATCATCAGCATCACAAACGCTGGTGCAGATCACCAAACCCGGGGCCGTTTGAAAGCAGCAAGTAACAGCAGATTCATCATTCAGCTGCAGGCTTCCGTGAGACCTACCCATCATTCACTCTCTCCAAAGTCTCGCCTCTGCCATCCGCATGGTCCGCCCCCAATCTAACAGCCTACATCCCAGCCAGCTTCACTACGACAGCACAGGCCAGCACGAGTCTGTGTGTTTCTTCATCTTGTCTCGGGGGATCCGCTGATCGCCTCTGGCTGTTTAGCACCGCCTGTGCCGCCCGCTCTCGCCGTCGGCCGCATTTTCCGCGCGTGTTGACAACAGCATCTCCGCCAGATACGCAGAACGATATAAGGGAAACAGGACGCGAGAAGATTAAACCAAAAAAGTAATTTACGCGAATTACGGATTATCGCCGTCAAGACTCTCCGGAAAAGGAAACCGGTCAGGCAGACTCAGAAACAAAATCACCGCTTACAGCACCCAACAACGCTAAAATTATCGGGCCACCAAATCTGAATCAGCACCAGCGTGAGACGGTCCGGCTGCTTTGGGAAAAAGACACCCGCCCGCGCGCTGACCACGTTTCTACATTGTTCCCCAAACCTCGCTATTTTTAATTGTTCATTTTAACTTTCCCACTCGACAACCCTTCAATCTCGCCTTCATCTTACCTGTCAAAGTTACCGCTCTGAGCCTGCTTTCCGTCGCCGGTGGCCTGCACAACACAATCGCAAACAAATAGCGAATCCCGCCCGTTACCCACTTACACCCAGCCTGCAGCCCGCCACGCATCTTACACAACGATCGACCACGCCTACACCGCGCATTGTTGTGCATTGCACACGAAACCCACCGAGTTTGTTTTATCCTCCGCAAGCAACGCATAACAAACGCCTATTCGACACTTTAAACGCTTCAAAAATGGCGGACGTCGCCTCCGTAGACTCGATCCCGAGGATGATGGAGGACTTCCCGTCACCGCCCAGCGATTCCGGAGACCATGTCACCAGCAAGATCCTCAGCATGTATGCTACAAGGCCTCTACCCGATGTCCCCGCCATCCCGCCACGATCAGCACTCAGAGAAAGCCAAAGAAGGCGAACCGGCCATTCCATGTCCATGTCTGCCGACTTTACTCATCACAAGAGCGATTACAGCGCCTACAGAAGCGAGTACTATAAGAGCGATTACAGTGCTTATAAGAGCGAGTACAGCGAGTACGACAAGAGTGATATGAGTGCTTACAAGAGCGAGCATTACAAAAGTGACTACAGCGCATACAAAAGCGAACACTACAAGAGCGACTATAGTGCCTACAAGAGCGAATACTACAAGAGCATGACACCACCGCAGCGTGCAACCAGCTCTGCTCCCAATGGCCACGCTCGGAGTCCATCACAAGCCTCAGCGACATTTTCGACAAAAAGCTCGACTCGCCGACACTCTCGCCGGTCATCTCAAAAGATTCAACAGCTGACAGGTCACGACGTGGATGTAATGGACGAGTATAAGTCACCATTTGCCCCGCTGCCAAGCGACGCCTCCATCGAGACCGGCAGTGTCTACACACTCAACTCTGCTGCCTCTTCCGAGTCTGATCTTCTTCGCACATCAACCGAAGATGGCCTTTTACCTCTTCTTGAAGAAGATGAGGAAGGCGGCCCTTCTACAAGAGAGAGTTCGTGGGGTCCTCCCGTCGGACCCTCACCTTCTGTGCCTGCCCCTCTCAACATCTCTCGCCAGCCTACTATTATCAAGCGCAACTCTGCCAAAGAGTTTAGCTTTGATGATGCTTTCAATCTAGACACCAACTTTCTTCGTCCATGGGAGCCAGGCTATGGCCAGTTTACAGACCGGAAAACTGCTGGCCAGTATCACAAGATTGCCGTTGAGCTGGCCGCCGCTCCTGGAACCGCCACCATCCACAAACCCGCACCACCTCCCATCTCTAGACCTCCTCCTGTCAGCGCTCGCCGAATCAGTGTCATTAGCAACGCACCAACAGCAGCGCAGAACAGAGCTGTACCTGCACGATACCGCTTCTCCGGAACAGCCGCATTTTCTCGCCTCTGTGACACCCTGTGGTCTAACGAGGAGGATAACGAGATTACACAAATCGGCATCAACTATAGCGACCCTCCCGCAACACAAGACACCGTGACTGACGCAACCGAGGACGACGAACCGCGTGATGAATCTCGAGACACACTTGATTTCTTCTCCAAGCCTCTCGCCTTTCGATCTCTCAAGAGAACGGAGAGCACAGCGGCTCCCAAGGCTAAACCAGCCCCCAAGCTCGCCCCATCGAGTAGCATCAAGAAGCCAGCCCCTCCACGACCAGCAAGAACCAGCCTCGAAGATCTTAAGCTAGAACCACGACCTAGCAAGAGTGTCGCCTTTGAGATTACGGAGCCCCCCAAGGTAGCCCGACCTGTGACCCCCGCTGCTCGCCCCGAGCTTCTCAGTGCCTTTGACAGCGATAGCGAGTCTGAATTCGAGCGTCCCATCAGCTCCGGCCTTGGCCTTCGTCAATGGTGGGCGCGCCGTAGCGACTGGGACCTGAGCAACACCGCTGCTGCGGCCGGTCCCAGCAACGAGAACGGTAACAGCAACCTGCGCAATGTCCGCAGCACCACTCCCAGCAATGACGGCTCGCGTATGTCTGGCCACCGCCGCTGGGAGAGCACCGAGCGTCTAAGTCTGTTTGCTCGCAAGACAGATCACGTTCGAGAACTGTTTATGCGTGGCCGAACAAGTCCCACGGCAGCAGTCAAGGCAGAAAAGAGACGCTCTGAGATGAGAAAGAGCATCAAATTTATGCCCGGGCCGACACTCGTCTAAGCCCTTTACGACGTTTACCCATGAACCTTGCTTTTCCTTCTTTCTCTCTGCAAAGCGAGTATCAAAAACTATTCTTCACGTTCTTCCTATTCTTCCTATTCTTTTTTTAAGCGAAAAAGACACGGCCTTCGTTCTTCATACTTTTCCTATACCAACCTTTGTTAATCTCGCCTTCATTCTTCCACTTCTATTTACAAGTACTACTACCAGTACAGGATTATTACCTATTACACTATGTTTTTCATTTGGTTTTCTCATTTTGGCGGAAATTTTCTTTTCTTTTTCTGATACAGGCAATAAAGCGGGCAGAGCGTCATTTCTTTATTTCTTTTTACAGTCTGCAATTGGCAGCGTCACGATTTCTTTACGGCGGAGGGGCGTATATACCAGTATACTGTACATGAGCTTACGATATGGCCCTACGGCCACCAATATACCACTTTGCTCTTTCTTACAAATAAACGGCGTTTGATGATGCATGTGAATGCCCGAAGGACGATCGTATAGGGGTAAACCTGATATTGGGCAGGATGGGCGACGTGCGGGAGCGGTACGGTGGTCTAGAACGGCACCGCATATCTCCATGTGGTAGTGTGGTTTGACAGTTCGGCCCTATTCATGTATAACTTTTTTTGTTTTAATTATAATTTTAAGGATTAATTTGGGTACGTGTGTATAGTCATCCAGCAGAATCATATGCCCCTCCCCCACACAGTGGCCGTAGATGGCGCCCTTCTCCCCGCAGTCGGCGCCTACCAGCCCAACTCCACTGCGGCCTTCCTGCATCGGCTCTTGACGCCAGGCCGCCCTATTCGTTCTTTCGCTTTTGCATCATCACTGCTCTAGAGCCGAGGCTTTGCCCACTGCATACCCGCATATTCCGAGTTGTGCACGCGTACAATCTGGTCTTTTTCAGTACATTGCTCCTTTTTAAAGCTGCCTTTGTACAATCGTTCGCTTTACTCTACTGTTTTAACCAGTCTTGTCTCTCTGGCCAATTACATCGCTACCTGTTTAACCCCGCTAGAGTGAAATCCTTCGGAGCCAACTTAGCCCGCGCGCCTTACATACTACCACACCATCACCTATTTCTTTGCCCTGCATATAAAAGCCTGTTGTACCGACGGGCTGTGCTGATATGGGCGAGGCGGCTATAGCAGATTCAGAGACTACTGCAGCAGCATCACCGCCCGTCACAAGCACCGACAGCAGCCACGCCGATCTAGACTCCGACCTGCCGCACACTGCATCGGCCCTCGGCGAAGTGCTCCCTCTAGACGCGTCGTCCTACTACGATGCTGATACCATGGCCGGCTTAAATCCTTTCTCGTTGGTACGTTGCCACACTTACTAAATGTGCTTCTTCATTGTGAATACCCATAGCTTACATGTTCCGCAAGGCCGCCATCAACCGTCTGCGCGCATACAGACCACCAACCTTCCCGCTATGGGACAAGCTTCCCGTCCGCAAGAGAGCGGCCGTCTTGATCCTATTGTACGCTGATAGATGGGGCGACTTGCGCGTCGTCATCACTATGCGAGCTGCCAACTTGCGCAGCTTTTCGGGCCATGCCGCACTTCCCGGTGGCAAGGCGGACAGCACCGCAGAGACACCTTGTGAGTTGAACAAAGCTTGTGTGCGCAGTATTGATTGCTAATGATGGGTGCGCATAGATCAAATCGCAAGGCGAGAAGCGTACGAAGAAATCGGTCTCCCCATGGACGATTTGCGTTTCCCGAAACCCTTCCGTATAGAGGAGCTATGCCATCTCCCTCCAGTCCTCGCCAGAACACATCTAGTCGTGACTCCCTGTGTTGCCTTTTTACACGCTGATGAGGGCAAATCTACTGCTACAGTAGAGGATAGCCTCGTGCCTCGCCTCGATGCTCGTGAAGTCGCCGCCGTCTTCAGTGCCCCATTCTACAACTTTCTCAAGCAGGCCGACCTGCCTCCCCAGCCGGGCCATGTTCTGCCACCAGGCGACTGGTATGAGGGCCAATGGCTTGATTGGAAAGAGACGCGCTGGCGCTCTCACAACTTTTTTGTTCCCGTCAACAACCAAAAGGTATCGACTCCTCGACGGGACAGCGAGCAGAGTAGCGAGGAGCAAGGGGATATTGAAGACCTCGAAGGCCGTTTCCGTGTTTGGGGCATGACTGGTAGAGTCTTAGTTGACGCTGCAAGAATTGCATACAACGAAGAACCCGAAATTGAGCACAACAGCACCTATGGCGATACGGACATTATTCTGAAAGCTGACGCTGACGGAGCGTTCACTGAAGACCCTGAGCCTTCCAAGATTTAGACTGTCGATTCGTTTCATATTTCACATTTGTAGAGGCGCTTTCGTTTTTTGTTTGTAAATTTGCGCGACCTTCACAGGACGCTTCTTGGGTATTGACTTTCCTGTATCGACTACTACTGCGTAACTAATAGATGGCTCATTGCAATGCATCGCGCGCTCTTGACATAAGAGCTACATGCTGCTCATGGTTCTCCACTCTACCCCGATCTTATACCTACTAATGGCACGCGTTGTCCTTGGTAGACGATGTCGTGTGGCCAAAGAGGACATATCCAATAAATGCGCCGAGCGTAACCGCAATCATGACCCAACCGTTGTATGTCATAAAGACAAGCCTACGCCGAGTCAGCGCTATCTTGAGTCTAGGACTCACCAAGATAGAGATACTTACATGAGCATAAAGGCGTAAAAGTTTTGCAGAGCGTAGATGGCAGCCTTGGTATAGTGGTTCTTGCGGCTGGCCTCCTCTGCAAGTTGTCCTGGTGCGAGGAAGGGGGTTGTCTCAGTAAGGCGTTCGTTGTCGTCTCGATTGTCATACACGTAAGTCTCTTGAGCATATTCCAAGTCATGTTTGTTCCTTATTTTTAGGCGCTTGCAATCCAACGGGAGATGCAGAAAGAAGACGACATAAAAGAAAAACGAGCACAGACAGCTGTCCGTCCCACAACGCAAAAGAGACAAAGACGCAAATCACAATAGGGAATAGAAAGGAGGTTTGGTACTCACTAGGGAGGCTCTGGATGCGCTGGTTGGAGGCGGTCTCGTAGGATCGCGACAGGGCGCGCAAGGCTTCGTAGCCAACGCCGATGAGGACAATGGCAAGCAGCGAGATGATGAGGGAGAGCGTGGAGCGGATGTGCCATTGGCGGAAGACAATGCAGAGATTCTTGGTGTCCCAGGTAAACAGCATCTACAGAATATCATGGTTAGCCTCACTTGGTTGAGAGAAGGGCGGAGGGCGGGCAGAGACGTACGCTCATGCTGCACATGTCGTCCATGCCTGGCATGCCGCCGTGGCCAGAGTGGTCCATGGCGGAGTGGTCCATTTTCGGTGGTTACGGTAGAAGTTTGTTTTTCTTAGCTATGTGTAGAGGAGAGGAGAGAAGAGGAGGTGAGTGGCTTTGTAAAGACGAGGCGCGTGCGGAGAAGCTGTGGATGGCGAGAGACACAAGGCGGCATAACTTGCTCACGTTGGGTTGCACTGACGGCGGCGATGGCGGGCTCCTCTACTAAGCTGCGCTGTGCTTTAGCGGTTTGTTGTGGCGCGCGTGGCGGGCGGCGCGCTGTGGCTGGACAACGAAGGGTGGTGTAAATACCCTGGATAAAATAGTGAGGGAATGACGGGGTGGCAACAGCGGGGTTATCTTTATGAGAGTGTGCTGAAAATGAATATAGAAAACTATTGTATTGATTTTTATTTTTCATATTATTTTTGGATCGTTAACTCTGTCCTGCTCTGCGCGTGATCTATATCCGTTATTCGTGGCTTTCCCAGTATTGTAGATCCTCTAACAAGCACACTTTACATACTAACGTAGATAAATATACGGCAAGTCAAATAAAACTCTGCTGTGTACATAGAAAGGGAATGGCTGGCCTGACTTACACCTCAACAACTATAACAGTTGGATCTTCCATGTCGGGCTCTTTTGCCGGCTCTCACAACTCCACTGATTGATAAGCCGCTGAACCGACGATCCCATGCGCTGAAACTTTTCATCACCAGCTCCTCGTTTTCCGATCCGGTGCTTCCGCCAAACAACTTGCCCTCCATTTATCGTTAAATAGCAACGGCATCCTATTCTTCCAGACTGCATCACAATAACCTCACCCGCGATCATGCTCGGCCCGCCCGTCAACCTGCCCAGGTGGTGAGTCGCTTTGCACGCCTCACTAAAAATACAGCAGCTCAAGCTAACCTCTCCGCAAGGCTCGAGGAGAACTCACACATGCTCAAGCCACCTGTGAACAACTACTGCGTGTACAATGACGACTTTACAATCATGGTACGTACCTTGTCCCATCTCTTTGCTCTCTTTGCTAACTTAGACTACCAGATTGTTGGTGGCCCCAATGCCCGCACAGACTACCACATCAACACCACACCCGAATACTTCTACCAGCACCAAGGAGCCATGATTCTCAAGGTAGTTGACGACGGCGCCTTCAGAGACATCATCATCCGCGAGGGTGACATGTTCCTGCTCCCTGCCAACACGCCGCACAACCCAGTTCGCTTCGCCAACACTGTTGGCATGGTTGTCGAGCAGCGCCGTCCAGCCGATTCACTGGACCGCATGCGCTGGTACTGCACTAGCTGTCCTGGTGGCGTTGTCGTCCACGAGGCTGCTTTCCACTGCACAGATCTCGGCACGCAGATTAAAGCAGCCGTTGAGGAATTCCGCGGCGACAACGACAAGAGGACGTGCAAGCAGTGCGGCACGCTTGCAGACTGGGCGCCGCCTGCTGGATCCATTGCGGATCCCAACTTGGCGTAATATTGTTTATGATGAAAAAGAAAAGTTTGGAGCGGTGTTGTGTTGTTACGAGGCGCATTGGTGTTTTTTTAGTGGTACAGCTCCAAGCACGATTAGATGTCTAGGGGTATGAAGTTTCTATTCTCTTGTTTTGTACAAAAAAGTCCTCTATATTTATTTTTCGTCTATTGCGTATCCAATCTGCCAGATTATGTCTCGGCAAACTCGTAGGCAGAGGTAGACTCCTCGACGCCAAACTCAATCTTACCCTGCTCGAGCTCCTTGCCATCCACACGGACACCAGCACGGAGAATGTCGCCCGGAGTGACGGCACCAACACCAGCAGGCGTACCAGTCAGGACGACATCACCAGGGTGCAGAGTCATGACGCGCGAGATGTCGCTAAGGATGCGGGGGATGCGGTAGATCATCAGACCAGTCGAGCCCTGCTGTTTGGTCTCGCCGTTGACAGACAGGAAGAGCTCAATGTTGTGGGGGTCGGCAATGGCGGTCTTAGGAATAACGTTGCTCATAGGCAGGAATGTGTCGAACCCCTTGGCAATGTCCCAGGGAAGACCCTTCTTCTTGGCCTCGTCCTGGACGTTGCGGGCGGTCATGTCGATGGCGATGGCGTAGGCTATACGACCGGGGTGGGTTAGTTAGTAAGCGCCTCTCAATTGGCATCGCATCCGATAGTCACATACCGCCGACGGCGTCAATGGCGCCCTGCTGGTCATCCGGCTTCAGGTTCTGGATGCGCTTGCCAATGACAAGCGCAAGCTCGACCTCGTAGTGCAGCGAGACGCCCTTGGGGCGCAGGCACGCGCCCTCGCCGGGCAGAAGCATGGAGGAGGGCGGCTTGAGGAAGAAGAAGGGCTGCTTGGGCTTCATGTTCTTGAGCTCGGTGATGTGGTCGCTGTTGCGCGTGTCAATTGGGCTGTATTCTTTCTTTTGGGACAGGCAGAGCTTACGCATAGTTGCGACCGATGCAGACGACCTTGCCGGCCTGCTTGAGGGTCGAGGCGCCAGTAGCGACGGTAGCCATTGTTCTTCGGAGTCCAAACATGGTGGTGGAGGGGGTTCTGAGGGTTGCGCGGGAGGTGGGCGACTCAGGTCTTTTGTGGTGTTGCGATGGTGTAGCGTTCTCGAGGCTGGTGGTCCTGAGCTTCCCCAATTTACGCGGCGATCATGGCCTGCCGTTGTCGGACATGGCTTGGTGGGCAGCCGGCTCGTCTCGGCTGAGCCCCAATTGAGGCTCTCAAGGTGATCGTTTTGGGGCCAACTTATATGCACTAAAATGGTCTGGTTTTTTATTTATCTGTCGTTTTTAGGGTGGTATTTAGCATTGCTTCGGTATTAAGGAATTTCTTCAACTGGCGGGCTCTTTCTCATTTGCGTGGCTGCATATACACAGTGGCCGTACTAGTCATGTAAAGTGTGAGCGCCAACAGGTGGCCTCGCAGAATATAATTTCTATGTACAATGCTAAAAATAATCAAACTCCTAGTATCCGGTATTTCATAACTACTCCTCATACCCCGTTATGATGGCGCCGCCTCATGCTCGCGATGCGATGCGTATATGCTAATAAAACTTCGTTTCTCGTAATATAGGCTCGCCTGGCCATTCTTTAAGCCAGGTACCTATAGCGCGATGGTCCTTCTTCGTCTTCGGGTCTCTCGAGATATTCACGGACAATCAAATCTTCAATGCGTTTCTTGATTAAACCAACGTCAGGCTTGAAGCGGCTCGACATCTGCTCAATCACTTCGCTGACGAGTTGAGCATGCGCAAGCTCTTTACGAGACCTAAAAGGTGGTTAGCATTATTTTCATTTGCGTCAATGAGGTTGGGGGTTGGGCAACGTACTTCATGATTCTCACAATAGCTGCATCAATCATGTGAGCTCGTGTCTGGTTATTCTTCTCTTCCGTGTTGGCTCTCTGTTGCGTATCTTCAACCTTGGAAACTGCGTTGATGATAGGCGCCTTGATGCGGATCGTCTTGCTTTGGAATGAGCTGTTGAAGGAGAAGTTGTCTCCAGACTTGATGGACTTTGTGAGAGGGTCCTTGGAAAGCACTCTTGATTTGGGAGCAATGGCGATCGCGGTCAAGGTGCGCATCAAGTCGGGCGTCGAAATGTTGGTCTTGGCCTGGATCTCTTCAAAGGACAGCTGCTCATCATCAGCGATTTCATTGAAAAGCATCAGCACAACCATGCCAAAGGTGGGCACGTTGAGCTCATATCGTCGCTCCTTGGCCAGTGCGCCGGATTTACCAGGTATAGCTGGAAAGACACATCTGATATCTGCGCTGCCAGTGGTGCCAACCCAAGTAAGCTTGCGTCCACTCTTGCTAGTGAGGTAGAACTGCTCAAAGCTAGCTTGCAGCCGCAAAATCTCATTGGGATATGTGCAAGAGATACGCGATCCTTCTCCGATTTGAGCTGAGCGGCCCATAACTTCTGGTGGCCAGTTGTTTGTTGACAGGACATTGATCGCCAGGTCGATGGATTTGCCTCCGTCTCCAACCTTTTGCACATGGCCCTTGTAGCCGCTCGACAGATCAGCCGATGTATCCAGATCCTTGAACATGCCCTCGAACTTGCTGGTAAACTGGTTACCAAGTTCTTGCTTCATTCGTGAGATAATTTGCTTTTCAACGTCGTGGCTTTCGGATTTTCCATGGAGAAGACGGCGTGCCAGATGCTTTTGATAATAAGCCTGGAACATATCCTTATCTTCTAGATATCGGATCAGGACAATTGCCTTTTCGAGGACAATATCAACTTCAGCTTCGGTTTTGCCTCGAATGCCCCTCTTCAGGTTCTCGTCAATAAAGAGCGACACATACTCAGAGCTTCGCGTGAAAAGGTTGATGAATCGGGAAAAGCTCTTTGTCAGAGAGCTCTGGATGAGGAGGTCTGACTGGAAAGAATTCTTCCACATATTGTCAAACTTATCCTTTAGCGACAAGACGTCGTCTACCCATTTGATTGCGGCAGCAGTCTGTTGCGCTGCTGCATTCAATGCCTTTGGTTTGTCCCTGTCGCCATCAGCAGGCTCTTCACCTTCTCCTCCTTGTGGGATGGAAAAGTCGGTGTTCTTCAAGACATTCTCGATTTCAAAACCAAGCTCCACAACACGCTTATCCAAAACTTCTTGAAGTTTCGTCTTTTTGCTGTCAATACGCGCAATGAGCTGGTACAAGATGGATAGATCAGACACCTTGTCGTTGTCAATCATCCATCTTGGTCCACTGCCTTCGAGGGCAAAGAAGTCGGAGATGTGTTCAGAGATGAGCTTCTGATCAATGACTGCGCAAATTTTCGGAAGCGTCTCAAGTTCGATTGTGGTGCCGCATCGATCCATTTCTTCTGTTAACCTTGCTTGTGTATGGCGCAGCCATGCGATGGCGTCCGCATCTCGAAGTAACCGTTCGCATTCTCTCGCATAGAATTCTTCGCTATTGCTGATAAATCGAGGTTCAAAAACGGTGAGATAGAGCTTGGTGCTCTGATCCTCTTCGGGTGTCTCATATAGGCAGGAAAGCATTCTACTGCAGCTGCGAATGAGGTTTCGATCGATAACGTCACCCTCTCTCTCCATGTCGATTTGTTCGAGCATGACAGATATCAAGATATCCATTACCTGTTGATTCGGTACGTTAATCTTGTCGCTTAAACAGGATTGCAGAATATGATCTCGAAAAAGCGCAATAGTCGAGGAGAATATAGGCACACGATGCGCCTCTTGTTGTGTATACCCTCTATCCAAATACATCAGGATATCAGACGTCATGTTCATAGACATGTTGTGATCTTCCCATGTATCCTTCAGTCCCTTGAGGAACTTCTCGCCTGTCTGGCGTCGTTCGTTGGCAGAGGTGGCGGCTGCCTCGCTGCCGACACTAATCAGGCTCTTGGTGACAAGAACCTTGATCTTTGGAATGACATTCTTCTTAAACCAATCCTCTTCGAATTGTTTCACGTTGTCGTAAAGTACGTCGCCTTTCTTCTTCAAGACAATCTTGTAAGCTGCCCTGTAAAGTTGTTCGAAGGACAGTTTACCACAGGTTTTGTTGTGGATATCTACGAGCGCTTCACGCAACATGTTCCAGCATGTTTCGAAGTCGGAATCTTGATCGGCCCCAGCGGTCTAGAGACAAAGGTTAGAACCAGCATCGCCAAGCAAAATACATCTTCTCCAAATCCACTTGGGTATAACTCTACTTACACGACCAGCACCGAGCTTACGAGGTGGCCTGATGCGCCCTCGAGCGCCAGCACCCCCACGTCCGGAAATCATTTTTGATACTGCCTTGCTAGTTAAATTAATAGAGATCGATATAGTTGGGCATGCGGAATGACGTTAATCGTTGCGTATGGAGGGGTAGCTGTGATGCTCCAATGGTCGACCGGAAGGCGAGGCAAGCAAAGAGGCCGTCTCTGTCGGGTGTATGGGCGTTAAAAAGTGACTTCTAAGCAATCCGGCACACTGCCATTGTCACTCGCCCTACGCTGAAGCAAACGGATGCAGAATGATTAAGTCCTGGCGTGCATTCACGTCCACTTCACCCAGTGGGCCTCTACAGCGTAGCTTATCGATACCTAGGCCACCTTTTGTTAGAGGTCATCGTAGCGCCGGTCGCGCCTACACGTGACGCCAGCTTTACTCTGGAGGTCACGTGCCACCGCAAGCTCGAAGCTGTTTTTTCGATGAGGGAGCAGCTCCACCGATAGAAGGGCCAAAGACGACGAACGACACGGGTTGGACGACACGGAATATAGTCCATCTTGGTATCTAATACAGACAGTCAAGATGAAGCTCGTAAGGTATGTAGCACCGGCTGCCACTCCATACCCTATTCTAGCGGTTGTTCTTTTTTGCTAACCTATTTGCGCGACGCAGATTCTTGATGAAATGCGCCAACGAGACGGTGACGATTGAGTTGAAGAATGGTAAGGCGACCCGGTCCCCAATTGAGACGGAGGCCTCGAAACACGATTTGCATTCGAGCCTTTAAGGCGCATTGTTACGACAAAGCTAACACGCGTGTAGGAACCATTGTCCACGGCACCATCTCCTCCGTCACACCCCAGATGAACACCGCTCTGCGAACAGTAAAGATGACAGCAAAGGGCCAGGAGCCCATCTCCCTGGATACTATGAACATCCGCGGCTCTACGATCCGATACTTCATCCTCCCCGACTCTCTCCCCTTAGATACCCTCCTCATTGACGACGCGCCGAAGCCCAAGAACAAGGCTCGCAAGGAAGCCGAGCGCAGCGCCGCCCCCGGCGGCCGCGGCAGAGGAGGCATGAGAGGAGGTAGAGGTCGCGGCCGTGGCCGTGGCCGTGGCAGACCTTGAACGGGGCTTGTGGAGAGGCATGTATAAAAATCTGGAAGAGAGATTCAACCCACACGACGAAGGGGGAATACAACCTGTCACGAGAGATATCATGGCGCGATAGGGCATTTGGCGTTCTGGGATGTTTGTCCATTACGATGAAAAGCAGAGAAAACAACGGGTTATTTTGCGTAGTTTGCTATTTTTGCGGCGGCAAAGAATCGCCAGACTAAGCGGGACACAAAGCCAACGGGAACGATTTGCAAGGCTCATGATGCAAAACTTGCTGAGGGAGCAAATTATCCCACCGACGTTTGATGTTAATATTACAAATCCTGCTCTAACGATGTTTCCTGTTTCTAATCTATGCACCGCTCTTGTCCCTCCATATACGAAGTACTTGTAGTTTCTCCCATCCGGCAGTCTTGCCGCTTGAGCCCACCATTTCTGTTCGCCAACCGCCCTCTAGTTGCGCGATCTTTTGCTTTACTTCCTGTGGCTTGTTTTGCGCACATAGCAGCAGATATGCGCAGCCTCTTTCTGAAAGGATATCTGGTATTTGAGATATTAAGCGGTCTGTAGTCTCCATGCCGTCATGGCCTCCGGCGTAAGACAGCGCAAGTAGGTATGAGTCGTCGTCAAATGACGGATCCTCGGCATCCTTCTCTGGGACTTCAGCGAGGAACTGATCCGGCTTTACCGGCATATCAGGCGTTGGTACGTATGGTGGGTTAAATATTAACACGTCGACAGCATGCGGTCGAAAGCAAGAGGCGAGATCGCCCATACTTGAGCCGAGATACATGCCATGTGTTGTCGGGTTGTCTTCGATGGCTCTCTTTGCGGTGCCCACGGTAGCCCTGCATGCATACGCGTTCATGTCCACGCCTGCTGTCAGAACCCTTCTGGTTCCAAAAAGAGTATCGGCGTGCGCATTGACAAAGCCAATCACAACTCCAGATCCGGTGCCGATTTCGAGCACTAGAGGAGGCGGGGCATTGGTATCAGGTCTAAAGTGTTCTCGAAGCCATGTCTTTTCGCTTTCTGATGAGAATGTGTCGAGGAGGAGGAATGAGTCTTCTGCTGGCTCGTAGACTCGCTCATATGGGACGTGAGAAGTATCCGGGGTTGGCAACATTTTTGTATCGCGGTTGGTTTAACAGTGTTGAATATATGCTGGTGATGAGGAAGAGCTTTCTGTGAGAGGGTGACTATAAGTGGGGCGTTGGTGTAAGTGAAGTGGATGAGGACAAAGTGATGACGAACGCAAACGAGAGAAAAGAAAAATGTATTCCTCTGATTTTGGTATTTGTAAACCTTTATCTTAAAACGCTGCATAATTGTTCATTCCAGTTCCAGAACTCTGTTGGTGGCTCGCTCAAATCAGCAAATGCTCAGCGATTCCCAGCATCACCCCTTGATCACCAACATCGCTTGACCACCACCATATTACTCGTCTGTGACCTTCACAAGATGGTACACTTTCTCGAAGTACCCAGACGTAAATCAATTCCCCAATCGCCCCCATCCGGATCAAATCCCAGTGTCATACCATAACCCATCTTCTCAACCAATCTCAATGCGTTCGGGTCAAAAGCGCCGTCAAGCTCACACTTGGGACAAGCCCTAGCCTTGGTCTTGTAGAATTTTGGCGTGCTCTGTAACGGTCCTGGACTTTGCCCTAGTGCTGTTCGGTTTCCTTGTGTGAAACTAGGACAGGTAGTGAAGCCCATGAAGGGTGCGCATGGTTGTGAAATAATAGCCCAAGTGTGCTTGCACGCTTTGTGCTGAAAGAAGGTAATTTGACACATGCTTTGCATAGAATGGGCGGAACTTTCGTCTGTTTAATGCCAAGTGGGTTGTTGAGGTGAAGGAAAAAGTGAAGTGAACCGGTTGGTGATTGCTCGTCACATGGGCTAGTCGGCAGGAGGTAAAGAATCTAAAGTATATAAAGCACGCTATCGCCAAGAAATATATATATATATATTTAAAGAAATTCTGTTCGAAGAATAGTCTCCAAAATTATTACAACAGGACCTCATAGATCTCCCTGAGAATTTTGGGTGCTGTTCTTTAACGTGCTGCTTTCACCCAAACCATGGCCATCATCACTCTCATCGACAGCTTCCTCATCAACTTCTTCCTCATCATCGTCCACGTCGTCGTCATCCTCGTCGTCAATCGCGCATTCGTCCTCGGGCAAAAGTTTCGCAAGCATCATTTCCATACGGCGAATAGACTTCTCCACTGCCTCCATTTTATTAGCTGTGCTCACCACATCCTCGGTGCTGTCTGAGAACGACTTGCGCAGTTTTTTGCGGATGCCAGGAAAGTTTGAGTCCCGACGAGAAGGTTTGCGGAGTCGAAACGTATCGTTGTTGTTTCTTGTGAATTGCCTTCGGATCAGATGCTGCGTCATATCGTCGTCTACGGTGATTTCGCTGTGGACATCCTCAGGAGGCGGCTCGTCGAAGACGGAACGTATGTATCTGTGAGCCGAGAGCTGCCACTTCTGCCAGAACCATTTCTTAACAAAGCGCTTAGGCGAGTGTTCCTTAAACGTAGACCAGAGTAGACGTCTCTCGAAAACAGCAATAATGAGAAGCAACGGAAGATTCACCATACGCACGGTAGCGACATGAATCTTGTGGAACCAGCGTGGGTTGGAGACGAATTTCAAGGGAAGCAAGAGGAATACAGCCACGAGGTTGAAAGGCGGTTGATATGCAAACACGGCGTCTGCTTTAACGCCCTCGAGAGTGAGTACCGCTTTGCGAAACTGAATCTCTGCGGTTGCATTGGCAGAAAGGTTGCTAAACGTATTTGACAGCATGGACACCAAGATGGTCAAGAAGAGTGTGTTTCCAAGGAATGCAAACGCAACCATGATGCTGGGTCCAAGCAGCCAGTGGAATTCAGTCTGAAAGACAAGACGCGTTAGCAGTCAGCCTTGGAGGTTACATCATACAACATACCGATCGCTGGATTCCGGTTCCGTCTAATCCAAACCAGATATAAATCATCCACTTGGAAATAGTTCCCATGGGGTGGGCTCCCTCGCCAAGCCAAAGAAGCGAGAGTAGAAATCCAAAGAAGCACCAAGCAGAAAGTGCAGTGAGGAGGAAGAAGTCGGCCATCATCGATCGAAGCGAGAGGAATACCAGATTATCCGACATGAGGTTGAATGCCAGACGCGGAATCAAGACTGGCGCACCAAGTGCCAAAACATCAAATGCCTGCTCGGCAGGGGATATACTTCCAGTTCTGAACCCATGGACTCGCAACGTCAAATACACCAGGTAGATGAGGATAAATGTCACATCGAGGAAGGACCAAAGGTTTTGTGTGTAGACATTCCTGTACAAATTAGCACGTGTAGCAGTAGGATAGTGTCATAAATACTTACCACCCGTGGGCCAATAGTGTAGCAAACTGGTCCAACCCCCAGCCGAAAGAGTAAATCATAAACGAAATTTCGACCCAAGTCAGTCTCTCCTTGTCGCGGACTATCATGATCGCAATATAAAGAGAGAGCAAAATGACAAACTGGATCGACTCAAGAATATTTCGGGTTCTAGGAACAATCAAACGATACTGATTGAGCAGGGGCGAATCCCTGGGGTCGTATATAGAAATGGGCTTCAGCTTGTAGTAATCCGGGATGATATTCCACTGTGTGGATGGGGTATAAATGATGCGGCCCTCATAGATGGCAGAGATGACCCTTTGACAAGTGGTAGAGCTCAGGAAATGTTTACTTTCCGTCAAGATGGCAACTTCCAGAGACGGCAGTGCCCTATGTTGGCCGCGCCACATGTTGCTCTCAGCCTGTTCCCGAATATAGCGCGGCGCGTTCTGAAAGGGATCAAAGCTTGCGACGAGGACATGGGACAGGAGAAGCAGGCCGTCATTGCCCTCATGATCCTCACCAAAGCGACGAAGGATACGCGTGGCAATAAGCTCACACATGGTTGCGCGCGTCCAGTTGACGTTTTGACGATTGCTAGAATGCGACTCCTCATCCAAGAACTGCGCGCGGTTGACCAACAAGCAGTAGACTATATTCTAGATTAGCAGCTGCTCAACTTCAATAAACAGAAACGTTAGGCTTACTGATAGATAAGTCGTTGAGCTGATAAAACTTATCAACCAAAGGCGTGACCACAGTGACGTTGATGCGCACATCGCGTAGCTGCTCGAGACTAAGATAGTCTTCGACGACAGTCATGACGTCGCGTCGGATACGGTGTATGGTTGTGTACACAGGCAGGTGGCTATGCGGGTTTGACATGCAACTAAACGTGCCTTCGCCGTTATCGCCATGATCGGTATACAGCCGACTGAGCAGCGGGCGACGCTCATCTTCGGGAGGAGGAAGAACAATGCGTCGCGGTCGCTCTTCTCGCCGCTGCTGCGGCTGCCGCTTCAGTTGTTGCGGTTGTGGTTGTTGCTGTTGGCTCTCCTCCATGGCCTCCCTTGGTATTGGTGACCGGAGCTAGATACGATGTGAGGTGGGCGTGGTGTTATTGCATAAGAGCGAGTTAATATGGATGATGGGAATATATGTATGCGGCTTTATGCTGCCAAGGCGAAACAAGCTTCGAGGTTGAAGACAAAAGGGCGACACTGAAGGTGGATCCGGGTTTGGTGTGGTGGTATGGTGGCGGTGGCACCTTGGTTGTCACTGGCGCAGCCTGTAAACAGCGCCCCACAGCGGTCAGTTTTAGACGTTGACTGGCGGTGCTGGCAAGTATTATCGGCTAACAAACAAGACCTTTGTAATTGACGTTGGCAAACACTTTTAGAAATTCAAAACTAATTAATTAAACCCCGTAAGTACGTACTCCATTTAGCCCCATTGTACTTCTCAAGCCAGATGAGCAATCTTGCGATCTGTCCAAAGGGCTACCAATCTCGCCATTCACTCATGTACTCACCTAGAACAGCAAATGTGATAAGAAACCATTGTCCAATAACACATCAATATGCATTGTTTTCATATACATTTGGTGCAAGGCTAAACCAGCAAAAGAAGAAAAATAGTGGACTCGTAATACATATAAATGCGTGCATGCACCCTTCATCACCTCTCTCTCTCACTCTTTTTTTACAGCTTCGGTGACGAGCCGCCGTTGGCCTCCTCTGCCAGCATATACGCAAACATAGCTAGAGGGATTCTAGTCTTTGCATGCTCCTTTGCCTTCTCACTGCTAGCCTGTCGCTGCGCATATCTGGCCGCAATGCCCTGGCACACACCAGCCAGCTTGAAGATGCAGAACGCCATGCCCCATTTCATGCTGGGACGCGGGTCGTAGCCGCCGGCGTCCATGTACCATTGGATAATCTGATCGGGCTGTGGCATGCCAGGCGTAGCGCCAGGTTTGAAGCCGTCCATATCTCTGTGTCCAGTACCTCCTGGCGCATTGGCCATGTAGAAGGACATGGTGAAGTTGCAGATATCAGAAAGGGGGTGGCCGATTGTCGACATTTCCCAACTAAAAGAGAGACCAGTTAGTAAACTTTCACAGAATCAACAGCAAGCATGTAAAACGTACTCAAGAATACCAATCACACGGGGCTCCGTCTTGTGGAAGACCATGTTATCGATTTTGTAGTCGCCGTGGATCAGCGTAGCCATATCCTTGGGCTGCTTCTTCTCGTTCTTGAAGAAGCGAATCAGCTCGTCAAAGTACGGCAGCTGGCCGACCTCCTCCTTGGTCTCGACATCCGGGACCTTGGCCTGCATCTCGCAGATGGTCTTCCAGGTCTCAGCTTGGCGCGAGTAGAAGCCGTGGTGCTTGCCAAACTTCTCAAGCCCGACCTTGTTGAAGTCGACCTTGTGGAACTTGGCGAGTGTCTCGACGGCAGCCTTCCAGAGCGCAGAGCGCTCCTCAGCCGAGAGGCCGGGCATAGTGAAGTCCTCAAAGATGCGGCCGTCAAGGAACTCCATGATGTAAAACGGCGTGCCGATGACGCTGTCGTCCTCGCAGAGGCAGTAGGTCTTGGGGACGGCTACATCCGTCTTCTCAAGGGCATGCAGGATGCGGTATTCGCGTTCGACTTTGTGGGCCGTCTTGGAGACAAGCTTGCCTGGGGGCTTCTTACGCAGGACATACTTGTCGCCCTTGGCATCGGTAATCTGATAGGTAGGGTTGGATTGACCAAAGCCAAACTGTAGCCATGAGGTTAGTCGGGCGGTCGGCGAAGTAGGCCACTAACGGAGCGGGCGTGCGGGGGCTCACCTGTTTCAATTCAATTGGGGTCTTGATCTCGGGGACATTCTGGGCAACGAATTTGCTGAATGATTCGAGATCAATCGGTTGTCTAATACGGCCGGCCATATTGCCGATGCGATAGCTCTCAGCGATGGGTTGGTTGCGTTGCTGAGCGGTCGTGTGATGTTGCCGGGCGGAGAGCTCGAAATGAAGGGGCGGCACGTTGCAGATGAAGATTCGTCGCAGACCAGAAGCAGTTTCCCTCGCAATATACCTTGAATTGATGCTTTTAATGTGCCAACGGTGAGTTTCGTCCAGAGGGGAAAAGCTGGGGTTGATAAAATGGCCGTCGGGCGCAGCCGAGGTCCGGCCTAGAATGTCAATCCCCGCTTGCTCCCCCGGATTGGAGAAGCCGTCTTCGATCCACCACGCAAGAAAACGCCGTAGGACTTTACGTCAAGTGCCCGAAAACGTCTCAACTACAACCAATATGGCTTGAATTCAAAGTATTAATGCAAAGTGGTAGGCTATATGAGCCTTATTCAGCAAATGAGAGAGTAAGCGGTATGAATATTTTTTTTATCAATTTAAAAAAAAAATGAATATCCGACAATCCGAAACTACTCCTGGTCTTAACAAGACTGTCGTGGCGGTAACCCATCGCCATTGAATCTATAAGTATTCACCAAGGCCTTTAACATATAAAGCAAAAAGAAACCCATTTCCCATATATCCCATCCATCCTTTTCACAGCATCATCCGCGCTGCAGTGTTTGCTCTCATGACACCATCGCCCTCGCAAGAAATGTTTTTTTTTCAAGGAGTTTTCGTGTTTGTATAAGTGTGATCCCAATGGGGTGAAAAGCGCCGTCGACACTTGCCCAACCAGGGAAGAGCAGGGTCTGTGAGCGTGCTCCATTACCGGCATGGAGCTAAAGAAGTGAAAGCAAAGGGTATCCGTCATGAAGAGCCATCTGTGATTCTCCGCGACTGCGGCTAAACTCTGCGCGTTTCAACGCGGGAGCTCTACTGTCGCCAGTCCAACTGTGTATATAGTATGAAAACAACATGATAAAAACACAAACTGTAACTCCAAGTCGGTTGGCCCGAGCCCAGAGGTACCAGTTCAAAGCTCGAGGTATCCATATGATACGCAACGAGTAAGCATGGCTTGGTAGCATACTTAGTGTGCTCGTTATTGTAGAGGCTTAAAACAAGAGAAGAAAAGAACCCGCATAGGGTGGAGTCATGGCGTCGTAAAGTAGCACCTAACAGGGTGGCTCACATAGCTTCGCTAGCGAGTTCGTTTAGCGACGTTTCCATCAACTCTCATTGGCACCATCGGGGCGGTGAGCGGCTTCTAGCACCTTGAGCTTCTTGTTCTGGTTGCTGAGAGCCTCTGCTCTTCTCTTGGCGCCAGCACTGATAGGAGGTGACTTGGGTACAGCGGATTCGGCCTCCTCTCCAAGATCAAGGCCCTTGCCTTCTCGCTCCATGGCAGCCACTTCTTCTGTTGTCAAGAACCGTCCTCCAGGCCCACGGGGTCTGCGCATAGCATGATTGTGGCGAGACTCGTGGAGGTATGGCTTGCGTCCCTTAGAGGTCAAGCGCAGCTGCTCCTCAAGACGTTGACGGGCGACTCTTCGCTTCAAAATACGGTGGAACTGTTTCGCGTTGACGTAGAGCGGTGATTCTTCGACGGGGGCAGCAGGAAGTTCGGGGGATCCAGGATGCTGACCCATCTGAGCTGCCGGTCTGGCAGCACCATGTGCCATCATTGTTGGAGCACTTGGAACGCCAGGGCTGGTCACTTGGCTTAGGCGTCGGCCGCCGCCTGGGACTTGAGCCATTCTGGGTGAGGGTCGGCCGTCTTTCTTTGCGCCAGAGCCCATCCGCGGCGATGTTTGGGGCATATTGGGATCGGACTGCATGTAGGGATAGTTGGAGCCGGAAGCAGCTGCGGTAGCGGCCATGGCAGCTGCCTGGATGCCTGGCATGCCATAGGGGACCTGTTGCATGCCCTGCTGGGACACGCCATACTGTGATTGGTACATGACGCTGCTGTGAGTGCGTCTCGGTTGTGGACGTTGTCAAATCAGCTTGCTCTTGCGATGGCGTCGGAGCAGACAGTACAGCTTGTCTAGAGGGAAAAAGATAATGTTTGATGCAAAAAGTCTGTTGGCAAAGCGCGTTAGTTTATCGAGTCATACGTGCTAGGAACGATCGCAAAGACAGGGCGTTGTAGCGGGGAAACGGCGGCATGCCTAGCCATCCAGCGCCTCGGGGCGAACAGCCAGAAGCGAGTGTGCTGGCAAAGCCTCGAGCGGCCTGCCTGCTGGGCGAGGCGCCTGACGCCCCACCCACCATTCACAGTGCGTTCTGCCTCACAGCTTGGCCCCCAAGCGCGGGATTGCGACGTGAGCTGCGCTTGGGCACCAGCTAGCTTTAGCATGGTGTGTGTGCGTGTATGTGACTGCATAGTGCCGCAGTGGTGGGCTCAGAGAGCCCAGTGCAGCAGCCACGGGGGGCGGTGTTAATCAGCAGGGCCTGAGAGACGCCAGAGAGCAACGCAGGCACGAATAGACGCTCCGCAGACTTTGCTATTGGGCCAAGGGTCCGTGGTCCGTGATACACTTGTAAAGCGGTGTGATGCAGCGTAAGGTAGGAGGAGGTAGAGGGCTGCCCAAGGTAGGAGCACCGGGCACGTAAGAGGGACATCATCGTGCCAACGATAACAGGCAACAACAAGAACGTACCTTGAGGCTAAGCTTGTTTCTAAAGCTTTCCGTAGTTTTTGTCTAACAAAGAGCAATCTGTATGGCACTGATTAGCAAAATCCTAAGCGCAATAAAGCTTCATACTCTAATCGAGTAGCTACGCGAAGCGGACATGGAACAAAGTCGCGCGCTCGCGAACCTCCGATGGAGATGGCTCTCCATCGGTGGCAGCGTAGTAATAGGAACGTACCAAATATCTTTATACGCAGATCGATAGCGGCTGCTACTGCAACTCGGAGAATAAAAATCGATGGTGATTCGAAGATCTGACGCGCGGGGTGCAAGTCTATTGGCGCGCAATGGAACCCGACCGTGAAATGATGGTAGGCTGCAAGCGCGATTTAATGCAGGACGGGTGCCGTGCTGCGAGGCACTGTAAAATAGCGTCGACGGTGAGACGGTCAAATCGGACTCAGAAATCGATGATGATGGCCTCGTCGGGGTCGCGAAGCTCGTTGATGGATTGAATGCGAACAAGGTAGAGATCGCAAAAGCTGATTTGCTGAAAGGCCGGGACGAGAGGGGCCGGGCTGGGGGATGGCGGTTGGTTGGTTCGTTTTGGAGCTGGGTCGCTGTGAGTGGCTAGTGCGAGACTTTTCCTTATTTTCTCGGCCCTGGGGGGGCGTTAGTGTCGGTGTTTCCTCGCTGAAGAGCCCTGTTAGCTTTAGCTTTAGGATTTAAATTGGGTTGGGGCGCAGGGTGGCGCGGCAATGGTAGTGCAATTGATTGATAAAAAAAAGTGAAAAGAGAAAATAAAAATGAAGAATGATGCAAAAATACGAAGCCAGTGTCAATGGTAATAAGGCAATGAGGCAATAGAGAGGGCAGCGGAATGAAAAATTAGACCGTGAAACGGGAGGCAAGCCATGCGAAAGCTGGCAGCGAGAAGCTCTAGCCTGAGTGGGCTGGTTGGGTCGCGGGCGTGGTGCTGCAGACGCGCTTTAGGCTGGAACCCATGCGCTGAGGACCGCTGAAGAAGGGGATACGCGACGCACCCACCCCGTCACGCCTTTTGGGGGCGGGAGAGCTGAGTCCCAGGATGTCGGGGCCAGGATGGTGGGTGGGTGGTGTGTGATAGTGGCGATGCAAGTGACGGGGGCCAGATGGAACGAGGAACATCAGCAGCACGCCAGTGCTTTTAAAGAGCCAATTGAGCTCAAATAATTGCAACCTGAGTGAAAAGGTGTATGAAGGTATTGGGGAAGCAGGTGAATGAATGAGACGGATCTTACCGGTAAGGTTTGGTGTAGATTGTGGCTGCAGTATATCGCACGTCGCGCGACAAAAGCGTGGTGCAGTAGGGACGAAGAGCGTAGGCTGATAGCGGGCGATAGCGCAGAACCGACAGATATTATGAGAGAAACGAGACCAAAGAAAAAAAGTCGCGCCCACGCGTAATTAGAAGTGGATAGATAGAAGAGCCAGGAATTGAGCCGAGAGGACGGAAAGGTGGTCCTCGCCCGTCGATTTCCACTGTAGCGTTGACAAGCGAACTGGGCCAAGAGAGACAAGACAGGGAGAGACAGACGAAACTGTGCGGGTTATGCGCTGTTTTTGGGGTGCGATGGGAACAACAGTGGGATTGCAGGCCCCTTTTTTCCACTTGGCTTTCCGATTTAGGGTTTGTTTTTCACGATGACTCCTTTTTTTGTCTGCTGTCGTTGGTTTTGCCTTGGCTGATATTACGCACGGCAGCTTAGTTGGTCGATTCGATTTGCCCGTCACAGCGGTTTAGGTGCGAACGGTCGAGGGTGATTGGTCGAGGGGGCGGAGAGCAGCTACCAGCAAGAGCGGAAATGCTGGAACGTGATTTGAGGGGACGGGGGACTGGAAGTACCTTTTATCAACTGTGACTGGCTGATTCATCTCCGACATGTGGGGCTGCGCTCGAGCCCCGCTCCCGTTTGCATGTTGGCTGTGTGATTGGATGGCTGCCTCCTCGTCTCGACGTGGTGTCTATCGCCCGCCAGTTCTCGCCCGCCTTTCCCTGTTTTCCATTGTGCTCAGCACACGCTGTGTCTTTGTCCATCACTATTTGTCGGTGTGCTATCACGAAATAACTTTGACCATGACTTAGACTCGTGTTTTCCATTGCAGCCAAAGGTATTGTATCTAAGATGGACGGTATGCATACCAATACGCATCTCTAACTTGACTTGTTGTGTCTGCGTTGTAGAAGCACTTCACCATCACGATAAACCTGGACGAGAATCGGTAAATGATACAATCAACTCTTGTCACAGCAGCCCACCCCACCCATTCCCTGCTAACCAAGACCGGGCACGCTCCGTTGCTAGCCCTGTGGGCTGCCGACCAACGCCAATCCTTTCCCCGTGCTTTTTGGGCTATCGCGTTTTCCCAGTAGTGAATGTCATCTGCTCCATGAGGAAGAACACTGCCCTCCCAGTAGAGCTGGAAAGATGCACCAAGGGAATTGAGAATAAGAAATCGGGCTTGCCGATATGAACAAAAGGGGGACAGACGCCTGTCGGGAAAATGTCTAAGATATGGCAACGCTCTACGCACTGTAGGCGCCTCACTTCACCTCTCAGCCGGTGCCACGGCGTTACTCAATTATTATCTGCAAGCAGGCGTCACGGAGAGTTTCACAGTCAGGCTATATGTCTGCCATCGCTAGGGATATTCCTGGTCATTCTTTGTGTTACGCCAAGTGCCGCTTGCAGCAACAATTTCGCCTTGGTAGGAGAGTGCCAGACTTATCGCGGCCACCAAGATTGAGTTGACCGTTTCGGGCGCCTCCCAGATAACGAAAATAAAGAACGAACGTACGAAGAGTGTGCCAGTGAACCGAACCATGTTTCCCGGTAAATACCAAACCAATTCAGTGTTACAAAAAGCCAAGTATACCTAACGTTGCCAAAGGTTTAGGGTACCGCTGCCGGTCAACGCCTGTGGTCCAATCAAACTCGATGAGATTCATCCATACTGCCAAATACGGAGCCCAAGCCAATGATTATTGGACGTTGTCGTCGCCAACCCCTCATCCCGTTAGTTGATCTGACACGCTCTTAATAATATCCCCATATTATTGCGACAGCCGTGGCCAACCAATTATGGACAAGGATCGAGGCACCGTAGATACTACCAACAAACAGGGTCGCGCATCCTTTGGTTTGCCTATATCAGGCAGCCGACCCTCATTTTGTTCAACTCGGCTAAGAAGCTGGGCTTCCTTCGTCTTCACGATACATTGAAGCGCGCATCATGTCAGACAGCATCCCAGTAGGAGAGTGTGCGACTTTTACTATAGCCTCAGGTGGCATATGTTTTGGTCACCTGCTGGATATATATCAAGCATCACGCATCCCGATTCAAGCACCCCCGAACCACAACCTTTTCTGGATGGTACCGTGAGGAGGCATCAAATTACTCACAACCTACCCGCCAGAAATGGTACATGGCGTACTTATCCATTGTCTCAAACAGAGCCGCCATACGCCATCAGTGCTTGGTTTGTAGCTCATGAGACGGTCGACCCCATAACAGAAATAACAAAGGTTCTACGGGTGGCTGGCTCACCGTACGAGTACGATTGCGGAAGTAGAGACAACAACGCCGTCACGCGTGAGGAATGTGTTCTGTTAGTGAATCGATACGACTGGAAAAAGTCTGAGCGCAACGAAACTGATACGCTTCCGAGCTGGCTGCAGAGCTCAGACCCTGCGGACAAAAATTTTGGCACAGTGACCGACTTGGATACGATTGGTGTTATTGACTATACCAACGCAATGGAGGCTGCTAGGAGCTGGTCAGAGTATCTACCGAATCAGAGGCTACCATCACCAAATGGACTATGGATGGACATCTCGAATGCAGAGTATATATGGGCGCGCGCTGGCTTTGATGACCGATACAGCGAAGCTCGTTCCCTTCTTTGCTTCACCCAATGGACATCATTCTTCAAAACATCGCTTCCCGGCCATACAGAGCCTCTTCGGATGGAGGAGACAGACTTTGAGAGATATCAAAGAGGTGTACATGAGGGACGAGACTATTCCGGCTTGGCGTGGCTCCGTGAAAATGAAACGCGTCAGCCAGAATTGCAAGATCCAACGTTGGGATATCTTCATGAGCCCCCCACCTCGAACAGAGGAATTAATTGGCTCACACGATAGAGAGAGGTTTCTACTAACCATGGCGGATCTTGAAGCTCTTCTTGCAAGTAGGCACCAAAGGGAACCTCATCCAATGTTGAATGTTCAACCACAAGATCTACCAAAATGGAGACACGAAAACAGTAAAGTTGATTTTGCAGAACCATTTCGAGATGATATACTGGATCTGGTGAATAAGCTCGCGATGTGTTATCTGGAGCGCCAGCTGCCCCTGTTGCGCAGGGCCAATCTTGAATCTGCGCCAAAGCTCTTATTTCCTAAACATGCCGTGGTTATACAATGGGGTGGGCCGCATGTTGATCAACTTCTTTATAAAGAGTTCTCAACTCCGCCCATATTGGCCTTGGATGCTAGTGGAATTTGCAGACGTACTCGTAAGTTTGTGGATGAGCGATCTAATACTCAGACTACACCGACCGACGATGTTTTGCGAGGTGTTGTGAACAGCATCATATATATGATTCGAGAAATTCTGGATCTGGCTGATATGAAGCATGCCATTGCAAAATACGAGGAACGCCCAGAAGGTCTCAACCCAGTTGTTCTACCTGAGTCAATTCGAATGGCGACGTAATTGGATACTGAGATTTGCGCTAAGTTACAATATTCTTCCGTCTTTTGGTATGGAAAGGAAGTAAATAACAGATCATAGCATTGAAAATACCGATTACAAGGTTGAAATGAACGGGCTCCTCTTTGCTCTTAACGCGTGCGCATGGAAAGGAGGGCAGTCGTCCTTTTGGGAGGAGGAAACCTGTTGTTTGAATCATCGCTATTATACCGCCAGCATCAGGAAATCCCTAACCACCCATAAACTTATTATTACATGGTGCAGGCTAATATTGACCCATCTCGGCGTACAATACACCGTCGGCTTAGCCCGAGGCACGCTTTAGGCAATGCGGGGTGAGAAGGACCGATTACACAGGGATGACGGGCTTGACTAGTCAACAAGAGACAATACTGTACGTGAAGCCGAACGGGTATGCATAAGTTATATCCGCGTATTGATTATTTTCATACGAGTATATGTATTTGTTCTACACTGTAGAGTATGTTGTATCTTTGGTCTGTTTGAGGTACACGAAGTGGAAGCCGGTCCCCAACCCCAGGGAAAGCCGCCGGTGCATTTAACAGAAGCTATGCTTACTTGCTGGAGGTGTTTCAAACACAAACTAAAGAAACTGCACAGACCGCTTTACCGTCAGCAGCGCCTGGGGTACCCCGGATTGCAAAAACGTGGAATTGGCGAACCATCTTGTTCTAGCGCGCCATCCACAGAGTCTGTACATGTGAATTGCATGATTAGAAACAAATGCGTTATATACAGGCGCATAATTTAATTCGGCATTTGCAGTTGTTTACTATCTGTCTCACTCCTATTATTTGCGAGACCCAACTAAGGCCTCACAGCTGTGGTACTGGAGTCTGTTCGGAAGATGGATCAAGGTAGCATTGGCCACTCTGACAGTTCGCCGCCTGCATCGTCACGAGACAGGTGTATTCGGAGGAAGGGAGGCCAAAATGAGAGAGGGATAAGCGTTCCCAGAATGAGTGTTGGAGAAATATCTTGAGCCCGACGTTCCCCGTGTAAGTTGGCACGGGCAGTTTGATCGACACCCTCCCGCGCGGCTAGAGTGTGTAAAGGCTATGCCGGGATCGAGTGGCCATAGCTTGCAGCCCCAAAGACCAAGGTGTTCTATGAAATTTCATGCATAAGTTCTCTTAGTAGTGCGACGGTATTGGTCAATTCATGATCGGCTCTTTAGCCATAGGGTTGCCTCGTCGGGGAACGTCGGCCACAGCCCCTGGGCCACGCATGCAAACTTCGTCTTATATGCAAGGATTCAGAAACGAAACTAGAGCAAATGCGACCGAAAAGTCCTCTGACATACGCTTAAACTGCATCCATTGGCCCCCAAGTTGGGCGATGAGCCTCCCGGTTTGTCCTGCAGCACCTGCCCTTCCTGAGCATCTGAGAACGGGAATGAGAGGGGGCGCATTTACACACTATTGGCTAGTTTTCTAAGAAGAACTAGGAACGGCAGTTGAAAATTGACAGCTCAAGAGTATCGGGCCGTATTTTGTAAAATGCTTAGAGCCATAGCGCGGGTGGCCATTCACCATGACAGCATGGAGTAGCATTTGGGAATGGCGCGCCAGCAGTATAAAGGAGAGCGTACCTGGCCTTTCATTCTAAGGCGGTTGCTTTTGAAATTCAGAGACAATCCGAGCAGCAGTCCAAAACATTTACACCGTCCTACGCTTTTCGTTATGCCTTCTAGCCTTACTGTCGCAGCCACTGTTGCTGCGGCCCTCCTTCAGGGAACCAATGCTCAGCTATTCACCGTTAACTGCGCACCTTTGACCATTCAGCGCGGTGATCCTATTGTTTACCCTGGTCAAATTTCTCCCCATGTTCACATTGTCACCGGAGGTACAAACTTTGCACTGTCTGAGACCAATGAGCAAGCTCGAAACGCAAAGTCTACCACGTGCGACAAGATCCTTGACCAAAGCAACTATTGGCAGCCACAGCTTTACCATCAGCGCCATGATGGAAAGTTTGAGATGGTTCACATGCAAGGCAATGTCAGTTTGATCCTTTACCACCATTGGAACGAAGTATGTGGAAGCTAACTGGACCACAATCTCACAGGCTGCTTATTACATTGCCCGTACTTGCGACTACGCTGCCGGACGAAAGAACTGCGATGGCGCCCCTGCCCCCATTGCCCCTCCCAAGGGTCTTCGTATGGTCGTTGGAGACCCGTACCTTCGGTGAGTCGGCACTCAGACAGGCGTTTTATCATGAAAGTCCGCTAAATAAGATGCAGTACATACAACCAGTCGAACCCAGAGCAACGTGCCATCTCTCACGTATGCCTAGATGGTGCAGGCAAGGGCGAAACTCCAGAGATGTCTAAGCTTCCTTGCACCCGTCTCCGCGCCGAGACGTTCTTCCCTGCCTGCTGGGACGGCAAGAACCTAGACAGCAGCAACCATAAGAGCCATGTCAGTACTCACCTGCCCTTACGATGTATAAACTTCTAACAGTATACTAGGTCGCCTTCCCTGCCATCGGCGACTACAATTTTGGCGTCTGCCCTCAGACGCACCCCAAGGCCATCCTGTCCGTCTTTTACGAATTCTTCTACGATACCGGAGCTATCAAGGATCCCAACCGCCTTGTCTGGGCTATGGGTGATCCTACCGGCTACGGCCTACATGGTGACTACCTCCAAGGCTGGACTGACCAGGACCGCCTGGAGCGTGCCATTGCTTCCTGCACTGGAAACCATGGTGTTGACGATCCCAACTGCAGCTTGAACGTTGGCGCTGATGGCAGCCCTGGCCACGCAAGCGAAAAGACCATCCAGACTGCCCCTCCCACTGAGGATGTTGGTATTAATGGGCCTCTTGACAAGCTCCCTGGCAACAACCCGGTCACTTTGTGAGGGGATAGTGGGATGACGATGCGAAGCGACCATGTCTTGAACGAATCAGTGACCGAAGTTTTGAGATGGAAAGCAGATTGTAAATTGAACATTCTTGTATTTAGTCTTAATAACATGATTTAAATGAACACAATAGTTCTTGATCACCGGCTGCACTGCATTGAGCTTCTGATGATGCATGTCCATGTTCATTGACAAGTATACTTGCAAGCCACAGTTGGGCGAGCGTTGTAAAAGCGGCACTCGATGCTGCCCAATTCGAGTTAGCTCGTCACATTCGAAAATCGCATTTGTCATTGACGAGAGCGACGAAGGGCTGCCCATTGTATGGATTCTGTTGGCGCCCAACGGGGCACGCACGGACGTAGCTAGTAGGGATTGTCGTCTAGAGTGGATTTAACATTGACCACAAAGATGCTATTGAAAGCCTCAAATACACCCTTTATTCATTCAATCCTTCGGACTCATCAAACTTGGTCATGGCGCCAACCGTGGACGTCGGTTGGCCACTCCAAGCGCCTAACGAAGCCATTGTTGAGCGGCAAGGCGAACTGGATGCATCCCATTAGCCCACGATGACGGCCTTGATTGGCGCCATGAGTAAATACGTAGGCATGCCATTTTTCTTTTTACAATTAGTGATGATGGCACACGTTTGCGGATATTGCGTTTACGAGAAAAGCCAGAGGACGCCTCTCGGCGCTTGCGTGGACGAATGGGATATGCCGCGCCAGGGTGGCTTCGGGGCGACTTGAGGCTTGTTCTGAAGACACGCCCGTCCGCTTGTTAAATGCAGCGGGGGCAGCTAAAAAGCATTTTACTTGTGACTTTGTATGCCCATTTTCAAAGTGGAAAAAGGCGTTCCCAGCGGGTTGGGTCAGGCTGGCTGACATGGCGTTGGGGCATGCGTGTGGTTGGCCGAGAGTAGGGCTTTGTGCAGGTTGAGCGTTTGACTGGCTTTAGCTCTGCAGGAGTTTGCATGAGGGATGAGCAAACTGCTAATTTCCTTGAGGTTCTTTTTTGGTCCTTTCTGGATTTGTTTGCTGAGAGATGAGGTTTGTCGGACAGTGGCCGAGGGAACAAGGTCACGGATGGCCTTTTTGAGTAGTATTTGTTTTGCTATTTGATTCCGTAGAGTGGTAAAGGATTTCATTAGGGCTTAATTCTGACACTGTATCACGGCGATTCCCATTCAGCTACGAAGCCACTTGTACACGACTGACTGCATGCAAGTCTGTGGATTCTAGAAAAAAACGATGATATGCAAGCGACAGACGCCGAGGCAGTAAACTAGCGGTGATGGTGAAGTGCCAGCAAATCGTGCATGAGCGCTGAGGAAAGAGAAAAAAGAAAATAATGAGTGCGAAACGCTCGGGGATTGGATCGCCAGCAAGAGGGCGGCGCACCATCACAGTGAAGCTCCGGCCGGTTATGGGTGGCCGGCGCATGGGTACCTTAGCGGAGAGATGCTGATTTTCTGGATGTCCAAAGATAAAACAACGTTTGTTTGTATAGACAAAAACGTCGCTATTTTATAGAATGTTGGAGCTAATCACACGTACTCTACAAAATTATACGTTTTTTCTGTAGCACAGAATGTATCTTAACAAATAAATATGTTTTTAAGTGTGTATTTTGACTGTATTTAGGGTGTCCTAAAATCAGACAGTTTCCGCTAACGTATCTGCAGTGGCCAGCACGCCGACTTTTCCTCAAAGGGGGTGTAGAGGCAAGGCCAGCTGTCAAACTAGAGAAAATCGCGTTCCCCAATCTTGGCGAATGAAAAGTCCAAGCGGACGACGAAGTTTCCTTGGGGCTAGAAAACGAAAATGGCGTTAGGCTCGGCTGGTGGAGGACTCGGAGGCGTCGAGGTTCAGCCACCACCAAGACGCAGTCGGCGAATGGTGCGTCCAATTGGAAAGTAATAAAAAAGAGCGAGAAAGAGGCAAAAAGAACGAGAAGGTTGCCAAATTGATTAGTTGGGCACACGTAGACTTGTAAATGGGCAAAACACCCAATTGATGGGCAGGTTGGGCCAATTGGGACGTCGGCGATGCGCTTTGGTGTAAGCCAGCAAGTTAGTATGCTGATCGGGAAGTTTTTAGCCAGCCCATTGGCTACAGCCCGTCTGCATAAGGGCGCTTATGGGACAAGACGGCGCTGGCCTAATTCCAACCATGTGCATTTTGAGGCTCATTGCAAGGGCACATGCGAGAGAGCTTCTGGAAGGATTGCTTGCACCCTGTGTCGATGAGCGATGGTGATGCTATTTTTACCACAACACGAGAAACGCAAATTATCGTCGACCACTGCCGGCGGGGAAGAAAGATGAAACAACGATATAAATGGATACGAGGAGAAGCCGCGCGCAAACTAGAGCAGCTTGGAGCATCGCCATCCAGTGCTTTAGCTTACCGCCAGACAGACTGAGATGCTTCATCTGGCGCGCGCAAAAACGGCCGACATCGTGAGCAGCTTCGTATGGCAGAAAGAAAAAGAATGGCGGGTTTCCCTAACAACGAGCAGGTAGGGCGGCTAGGGCCTCGTGTAATTAGACCGTTATATCCTGAAAATAGCTGCGCGTCAACGTCGCTGGGCCAGTCATCATGGTGGACAGACTCCAGTCCTGCGAGCGAGACCCGGCGGGGCAGACGAGCTATTGGCTGTAGAAGGAAGCTGTAGGTAGCAAATAAGGTACGGGACGGTTTAGCTTCTTCTCACGGCCACCGGCAGCGGGCGGTTAGCAGGGCCGGGCGGCAGGACGAGAGGTGAGGCGGGTTGGTGCAGGATGTTGTGCATGGAAGCGCTGGGGGACGGAGAGCCCTTGGGAATAGGCCGCCCCTTCAATTTGGCGATGTTGGGCGAGCGGTTAAGTGTAAACAAAAGACGATGAGATGTTGGTATAAAGAAGTCGTGATGTCCTGCTGCTTTCTATTCCATTGTACAGCACCAATCGTCCGCTTCTTTTACATCATTTCCTTTGTCTATTGCTGAGTACCTGGTGTATCTCTTGCAGCAACTTACTTCACTAATTCAGACACCCTCGACTCACGGAACAGTCTCTATTCCCCTACAGCCTTGTTCTTCTTTTACTGTCCATTTTGGAAATCCGTCACACGTCGCCCTCTCGCAGGATCTTGGTCGTTCGGAAGAAACCTTGTTACTGTTACGCGCCGAGCAACCTCGTTTTTTGACTTTGACAGCAACCACCATCGTATTGCCCTTTGGAAGAGCGTTACGCTGGCACTTTTGGTTTTCCTTTTTTTGCCCAAAAAGAAGCCAAATTATCCCACCCACTCACGACCACAGCACAGAAACGCAACCCGCACCCGTTTTCTACTGCCAGCTGCCACCAGCTGCCACCAGAAACTTTGCCCAGCACTTGATTGGCTCCTGTTTCTCGCTGCTTTAACGCCCAGCAAACCGAACGCTGGCTCCACCCTTTCTTTGTTCTCTTTTACTTTGACAGGGATTGGCTACCTGCACCCCTCCCCTCTTTGCTGCTTGCTCCCCACTCTTTGCTCCTGCTGCCTTCCGTCTGCTCGCTCTCATTGGCTGCGTTTCCTCTACAAGCGCCAGACCCCCCCTCGACACTCAACACCCCTCGTCGTCTGCCAGTCCTCGCACCTGGCGCTGCATTTTCTCGTCACCCTCACCACTGCGCCCAGCAGCAAAAGACACCAACCGCTCTTTTTCTTTTTCTTTTTCTCTGCTGAGAGAAACAAGAATAAAAAGGCAGCCATTGAAATTCTTGGATATCCTGCTACAAGTTGACAGCTTCTTCGTTTTGCTCACCTGTCCTTGTTCCTCTCCACGGCCACCGCTCATCAAGCTCCGTCAACCACCACCAAACATCGATATCGTCATTTCCCACGCCGCGAAACAAAATCTCGCGCTCTCCTCCTTCTCATCGGCAGTCTCTCTCTTTCTCGGCCCCCTCTCTCCCTCCCTCCCTCCCAAACAGAGCCACGGCTGCTTCTTCTCGTTGCAAAGAGACTTAGCCGCCCATCTTCCCCTTGGCCTCTTTCCAACACACACCCCCCTCCCACCTTTTGCCTCGCCCCTCCACTCTCCCACTCACACACGCCAGCGCTTTAGCCCACCACCGCCTCAGCGCCTCGCGAACAATATAATCGCCTCGAACTTCCCACCCCCAAACCTCAAACCGGCCCTCTTTTTCTCTCCTTGTCCCCTTTACCTGTCGGCTTTGGGTTCCCATCTGGCTTCTGCCTGCCAACCTGGTAACGGTCCTTTGCTTCTGCTTCTTTATAATCGCCGTGTATTGTCGCCAGCTACACACTCACACCGTCTGCCTCGACAACTCTCGCTCCCTCTCCCGACTCGTCCTTCTCCGTCTCCTACCAACATGCCGTCCGCAACGAAGCCCAAGCTCGAGAAGCTTGCAACGCCTCTCACCTCCAACTTCCCTTCGGAAATCACCTCGGCCAAGACTGCCACGCCCGTCTCTGCCCTGCCGGTTCCCATCAAGGCCGACCCGGACTGGATCAAGACGCCCATCAGCCCGCCTCCCGCCTACGCCGACTTCCTTTCCAAGATTGGTACGCTCAATTCGCCTGCCGCCATCGCTCCTGGTGACAGAAGCCCCGAGTCTGCCCCCACTTCTGCCGTCAGCGATAAATCAGACGCTTCGGCCAAGAGCAGCCCGGAGACCTCGCCGCCCAGCTCGCGAGGCAGCAGCAAGGCATCGCCGCCAACATCGGCCTTTTTGGCTCCTCCAAGCCCATACTCTGCTCAGTTGCCCATGTCTGCTCCTCCTACCGGGGCATCTTGCTTCCCTAGCCTCAAATTACCGCCTAGCCCTGCGCTTTCCACCTTTGAGTCACCACTAAGCGCCGCCAGCACCCTCCGTTCTCCCTTTAGCGCCAGATCTGTCCGCTCCTCGGTCTTTGACTGGGACGCCGCACTCAAGGCTCGTTTTGCTGAACAGAAGAAGCAAAAGGCTGCCAACGGCCGCAGTGTTCGCCATATCCGCGAGGTTGTCACTAGAACCGTCACATACACCCCAACCATGGAGCCTGCCCCCCGAGGCAAGCGCCGCAAGGTTGAGTAAAGCGATTCGACATGCTTCTCTGGAAGACGCATGATGACTAGGACATGAGCTATGACACACAATTATGAATTACTACTGCGGTAATTATTCTTGATTACATGACGACATTGCTGCGAGTTCGGCAATGCTTCACCACCCCCAGACCGGGACTACACATACACCAACCAGACCAGACATTTTTATTTCATTTCCTGTATTTTCCTTATACCCCTCCGCTTCCTTATTGGAAGCGAGAGCACAAAACGACAACAAAAAAAGAACGCTATGCCAGCCTTTGGCGAAGAGACATCATCACGGCTGGCAACTTGGCGGTGCCTAGACTATCGCCGCTTTCACGTTTTACGACAGTATGCTTGAGACAGGCGCAGTACCATCATCGCCTCATGCCCATGGCAAAGGCAAGGTAGGGCCAGGACAATATAGTTGTCGGCCCTGCTGTGTTTTCTTTTCCTCTTTTTTTTCCTATCATGTCGATTTGATTTACACCTACACCACCCACCAGGGCTGCACTATACAGTGTGGCTGCGACTATCCTTTGCAGGCAAATCTCCGTCACAAATCCTTTATTTATACAGGCCCCTTTGGGGGAAGCTGTTATGGGAGACAGATTTTTGTGCACAATTTATTATTGTTTATTCTGTTTTTATTTTCATGGATCGGCGAAAGCAAAAGGGAGATTTGGGCGGCGTTTATGGGAGTTGGCTACCTCTGTGTGTCTCGGCTTGCTGGCCTGGATTTTATCTACTATACTAGGAAGACAGACAGACTGACAAGTAGTCGGTTCAATTTGGATTTTTTGTGTCTTATTTTGCGGTCCTCAAATCTTTCCCTATTTAGTAAAACACAATGGATACCTTGATTAATCTCACCGAACAGGCTTCGCCCTATCAACGTGCTAGAATGCCATGTGCTGGACGACACTAGTCGGGCTAATGGGTCTTCTTAGAAGCTTCCAAGTGGTCTGCTCCTACGCCAAGTGGGCTTGGGACGTATAGCTGGGCATTGTTCCTGAGCCATTTCCCCATTGTAATATATACGAATGGATACTTGTTGAGGGGACATGCTTCGACACGAGGAGCCAGCCCAAGCATGGGTTAGGTTGTCCATTGATGGACAGTCGTAGCGTTGCAAAAATGGTGTCGTCGGCGGTCTGCCACGCCTTGAAAACGTGCTATTCCCAACGACTCTTGGGCGGGCACTAGACGGCTAGTCTCTACTAAGGGCTCACCAGTGTAGTATTTTCCCTCGCACGAGGGGGAGTCTGTACTCCTTGCGAACGCGGTGTGCTGTAGTTTCACCCCGCATCATGCCTCACATCTGCGCCGAGGGACACATCCCGAGTTCGTAGTGTTTGCGATATGCGATAGATTTCTATCTGGGATGGATCCCTGCAAGAGCAAAAGACGCCTAAAAATAGGCTGCCCCGGAGAAACTAGGACCGCTGCTGTGTGTGTGTGAGTCTGCCGGATGCTGACCCGCGTGACTGGTTCGCCTGGCGCACTACCCATAAACTTCTTCAGTGCTGCCCATTGTTTCAGAAGCCAGGGCGTCACAGTGGGCGTAGTGAACTGTGCATGAACTGTGACGGGAAGGGCGCTGAGTTTGTGTTTGGTGGCAGTGGGAGTGGACGAGGAGGGGTGCAGTGTGGGCAGCTGATCGGGCGGCTGGTTTCTGTGTCATTCAACGGAGAAATGGTAGTTAGATTATTAGGCGTTTTTCCTTTGTGAACATTGGCGTTTTTCTTTTTCGCTCAGAGATGTGAATATGCATGAAGAGGAGGGGCGGGATGTGCATAGCATGGGCGATGGATGGCGGGCGTTTGTGCAGCATCAGCACTGCCCAACTGCAGGTGTCTGCCGGCATAGGAGGCAGGGCACCACAAAATGCTCTGTAGTGGTGTCGTAGCTGCCTGTGAAAAAGAGGACCAGACCACCTGTTCTGCCTAGAATATAACCAAGCCCTCGCTCTGCGCAGCAGCCTCGCCGACATGTCGTGCAGCAGGCGAGCAGCAGGTTACTGGTTGGAGGGATTCACGCTGGGCCGCGACAACGGGCCGCGCGACGTTGGACGATGGAGCGGGTGTGACTGGACGAGGGCGAAAAAGCAGCCGCCGTGTCATGCGTGCGTAGGCGTGCAGGATTTTGATGTACGTGGGTTGCGTTAAATTTACTTCTGATGTAGTCACATATTATTTATTATTCATGTTTAGTCTTAATATATACAATGCTCGAGTCTCATGTAAGTTTGTTTCGTGGGAATCTGATGCACGGCCAAAGCGGTATGCCCAAAAGTTATGCTTGTCGCCTTTTTGGGCATAATTTGATGAAAATCCGGGTTAAATCGTTCTTTCCCACGTGGAGTGGCCGCAAGAAGGGACGCGGGGGCGTGTGTCGTTGCACCAGACGGCGAATTCGCTCCTATTGCCAGTACTATATGCAGATTGTATGCTGCTGCTGCTGCTGCAAAAAAAAAAAGGGAAAACAGCGCAATAAAGATGAATAACGACAGACAGCGGTAGTAGTACTGCTAGGCGGGGATTTTTTTCCCCTGGTCTGTAGGATCGCAAATGGGTAAATACCAGCGGAGCATCCTTGGGGACCCATGCCATGCCACTAACAAACTGGAGGCTAGCAAACGAGAGCCTGCTGAACAGACAGACCTTTGTTCGGGGAACGGACGGCAGCAGCAAATAGACTTTCTTGCTTGGTATTTGACTCGATGGACAAGCCAGAACCAAGAAAGTATAAATCGTACGTTTTCTTGTCCGGCCCGTATTCCCTTTGATTCTCTTTGGGGTGCTGTGTGTAGATGATCCCCTAAAAGCGGCGCCGGATTGGTGCCGGCACAGTGGTGCTGTAAGCGCCCGCGCCCTTGCAACAACGCTGATTGGCTTGTCCGATCTGGCACGTCACCCACTAATATTCCAGCGGGCCCGTGATTGGCTGACCAGTTAAGCGCCCGCGATGGGGAGCTAAAGAACCGGGGGGAGGGGTGTGGAGAAACATCCAGCAGTAAACAACCCAGCAAGCTCTGGTTAAGCTTGAACCGTTTTGCCCATGGGACACCCACAGCTCTCTTGTTAGCGTTGCGCTCTCTGCCGAGGAATTCCCAAGCGGAAGCATTGCAACGCTGCTACTGCAGGGTGAAGCTGCGTCCACAGCCCTCTCCTCGGCGCCGCACTACCACGCCTGCCCTGCTCCCCTCCCCTCCCTGGCTCTGTGTCGAACCTGGTAAAAGGCCGAGGCGGGAGGAGATTGGAATGGTGTAGGCTGTGCGCCAAATGATCTGCCCTACTCTGCTCTCTGTAAGAGAAAAACGACGGATAAAAAAAGGCCTCGTTCAGATGGTGCCGTGTAAAACGGGACGCTGACCAGTTAGTCCCACCCTCATCAGGCCACTCGTCCCGGGAACGGCAGTCGTCTCGAGCTCTACTTTTTGGTTCCGGTGGCTGAACCTGTCCCGCTTTAGGGCGATGGCTATTGCTGCTGCTGCTTCTGGCTGACTCCATCTTCGACTGCCGAAGGGTTCCTTTTTTGGTGGTCGTACTAGGAGAGCCACTGACTAAATGGGGGCGGCTGCCGCTGCGTGATACAGGCTAGTCTAGTGGCTATCAACCAGGTAGCTGGGTGTGGGACGTCATGGATAGAACGCCTGCTGCAATATAGCCCGAGCTGCCGTCACCTATACCTCGCGGACTTGGCTGGCAATGGCGTTGCACAGGGCTACCTGGATGCCCGCGCCGGTTAAGACGTGAATCCACAGCCGCTGTGTCTCGCTTAGCCGGTCGTTTTCGCTTTTGACTTCAACAAACATGACCTCGCCCTGCTGCTGCTGGGTGTCGTCCGCGGAGACTTTTCCCATACGCCATAGAATTAGATCCGGGATCCCTCCTCCGCGCTGCTTATACTCCTGCGCCATCACCTTGCACAGGGCTGCCAGCGCGCTGCCATCAAAGCATCGCACAAGCTCTGTGAGATCATCCACCTGAAAGTCCCAGTTCAGCCCAATTGCCGCTGTGCGCCGTTCATGTTCCCGCTCCCACACCTCTCGTAGGATTCGCTCTGCCTGGCCGTTGGAGATTTCCACCAGCCGGTGATTGATTTCCGATGCGCGCGCTGGCATAAATGCATCTGTGTGTAAGTCAAGAGGGCAGGTCTGGTACGCTGTTTGGAATACGTTTGGAATATAGAGAAACAAAATGTCGTAAAACAAGTAAGCAAACAATGTTCTGACAATGCCTCCTTCGGCGTGGTATCCTTTCCATCCATCGGTGCGGAAGTGACTGAGACACATCTCCTCGACGGTGCATTCGTCCCCCGTGCCGAGCTCGTCCAGCCACAGAGTGCGTGTTGGGGGTGCAGCAGCTCCGGGCTTGATTGGTATGTCCTTCTTAAGCTGAATACCTTTGACTGTAATCTCAAGTGGCTTTACAAGGCGAACATGTCCAAAGTCGTGCTGTAGTCGCTTGGGGACTCGCAGCTTCTTCTCAAGCTTGATAAGCCGCTTTTGCAGTTCGTAGTGATAAATGAGATGGCAGTCTGGATCTTGAAGGCCGGCCTCGCATGTTTCTGCCGCTATTCTGTTCCAATGTTTCCGTTGGAGGTCCGCATCATTTGTTGTAGTAGGGGGCTCTAGTTTATACATGTAGTTTTCTTCCAAGAGTGCTTTGCGCTGGTACCAACCGCCACGCCGTGAAAGATGAAAAAGCCGTTGATCTAATAACTCTATCAGGAGTGACCGCTCCTTTGCATGATCCTTTTGTCGCCCAAATACGTGGGCGCATTTGGAAATGATTCGTGTATATGGGTGCGCTGGGTTAAACCGTCGGAGATATGCCCCTTCGCCGGTGTCGTAGACAGTCCTTTCTTTTTCAGTCTCCTCCTTGATGAGATTTTGCCACCTTGGGTATACATTGACGAACAGCTGCATTATTCTTTCGCAACCAGCCTCAAAGACGGCACCACTACCCTCCAGATTGGCATCTACATCGGCTTCCAGGCGAATGGCGGCCTCATACTCGATAAGGTGGGCACGCGAAGAAAATATCGTCGATGTGCGGCAGACCAGATATTCAGGAAAGTTCCTCCGAGCGATTTTGGCAAGAATAATGGTCATTAGCGATTTCTCAGTCCATTCTGTTGACCGGTAGAAGACGAGGTGCACTCGTTCAAATAACTTGAAGACCGGTTCTGTAAGACGTATGCAGGGCCCCAAAATATCGGATATTTTGTTGAAGATATAGTCGCCATGGCCTTGTTTACTATCGTCACGGCCCGTCTCAGACATCTCTGCGTCGGAAGCACCCTTGCTGCTCTGTCGACTGAGCCCCAGTGATTGCAAATTTCGCTGCTGCTGGCTTGAGCGGTATAGCGCTTTGATGATGTCACTCTTGTTTTTCCCTTGGGCTTTGACGTCCTTGGAAACTGTTTTCAGCTCGTCAAGAAGCAATAAGCCTGCTGCCTCCTCCACAGATGTTAGACTTTCCGACGATGTATCTGCAAAGGTCATCTGGTCATCAATCTGGTAATCAGAGAGAGCTTCGCCAGTAAGAGGGTCTATCTCCGAGTCCACTGCTATATCTTTCAATGTTCTTGGGGTTTGTAAACTCGCAATGGCCGCATCTGGGTCGGCTATATCATTATAATACCCAAGCTTGTCTGATCGATGCCAGGCAGCCGTCTTGCGCAAAAATAACCTTACATAGCTAGCTGGGGTTAGAACTTATGTTTATCTGCAGTAAACAATGACTTACAGATATTGTGCCTCATAATCTAATTCTCTCCAATATTGAAAGACGCTCAGCTCCCGCTCATTGAAGAGCTGCTTCTCCTCGTCCAGTACGGTGTCAAGGGCCAGAGCAAAGGCATCAACATAGATGGAACGGCGACCTTTGATCCAGATGGACTTTTCCTTAGCATCAGATTCCCCTGATACCTGCTGAGAAGACTTAAACTCTTCATATGCCTCCTCAGCTTCTTCCTGTGTGCCAGTAGGGGGGAGCGCCCGTTCGACGTCTGTTGGGTGAATTTGGCTCTCATCATCAACCAATTCAAATGCTGAGTGATTTGCACCTTCAGATTGAAACGGGGTATTGTCCAGTTCTTCAGAATCCGCATTGCTTGCTGTGTCGTCTTCCCTCTTTATCCTCTTGGCTGTCCGCTCTTCAGCCAGTAAAGGCGTAGAGGACCTCGAGGAGTCCAGCTCGCTCTCGGTTGCAGAGAGCTTGCGCACAAAATTATTCATCACCCATTCATATAATCCAGACCATTGCTGATATACCACGATCTGAAACAATTTCAACGCGTCGGACCTACGCTCTTGGTTGCAGGAGGCTTGCACGGCGAGGCACCGTGAATCTTTCAACGCGAGGTCAGCTGACCCGTTAAACGTCCACGGCGGGACAACGTCGAGGCGACCCGCGTGGAGGGGGATACCACACTCCCAAGCCTTACAAAAGGACAGAGCCCAACCTGCAAGACAATGGCAGAGACAAATTCAACTATGGAGCAAAGTATCGAGTCACAGAACGACAGCTCCGTCGCAAACAGCTCCGCAATTGCGCAGACACAGCCCAAGGACGTCACCATGTCCGACGCGCCAACAGACTCAGTCGCCGTAGGCCTCCATGATGGAAGCAATTGATATCAGAAACGTTTCTAACCAGTATATAGTCTCCTATGCCTCAAAACTCAGCAGATAGTCCGGCGCCCGGACGAACGGGGACACCTGCGCAAGCTTCTAGAGCTGCGTCGGCGCATCCAGATCCAGGTTTTGGCGTTCCATCCGAGGCAGCACCCCACGGTGACCCGACAAGAAGATATCTCAATACCAAGGTTACTGGCGCATTGCTGGAGGGCATGAAGCTGCTTGCCAAGGAGCAGTAAGGACCCTTCTATCGATCTTTACTATTACGAATACTGACAATGCTGGCCCAGACCCGAGGATCCTCTACGAGTGCTTGGTGAATTCTTGATACAAAAGTCAAGGGAGCTAGAGGGGACGAATTAAGATGGAGCTTTCGTTGATATTTGTGTTTACATGGAGCATTGGAGTTAGCTGGAGTCTTAATATCAAAAAGATTTACTTTGATTCACGACAAGACCATGATGTTTTGGGTATTCAGTTTTTTGAGGTTGGTAGAATTTGCTTTTTTTTATTCTCAGCACTCAACTACCGGAGTTGGTTGGCTTTCGCCTAACCGAAGATTCATGGCTCTAAATGCATGTTTTTGTGTTCCTGAAAAGTGTTCCCAAACTCCAAGACTAGGGAAAATCCACCATAACAAATCATCAACAACGTCACGGGTTTCCCAGCTTAAGCGACGATGGTGGAGGCAGTGGCGGACTCGTACTTCCAGGTAGGGGGGAGGATGCCGACGGTCTTGTAGTAACGGGCAAGACGGTGGATACGGGACTCGATGAGAATGAGGCGGAACTTGGAGTCCTTGTCCTTGCGGTTGCGCTCAAGGTGCTTGCGGACGGCGACAGCCTAGATTTCATCATTCAGTTAGCATTTCCTTTCTTCGTAGGTTGACGGGCAGCGCGTATGCTGCCGCTCGGATTGGCGCGTGCGTACCTTCTTGATCAACATGTACAAGTCCTCGGGGAGCTCGGGGGCAAGACCTATTAATCACTCTGTCAGCCATGACCGCACAGAGGCATTTGGGAGAGCATTTTGCAACTCCAAGCGAGTATATGGGGGTGTTTTTTCTATCCATCGCTCGAGTCTAGTGCTTCAGGGAACCGTACCGTTCGACTTCAGGATACGCAGAATGCGGTTACCTATTGATCCATTCGTTAGCAATTCGTTCCGCCGGCTGCGTGTCCATTGCGATTTCTCCTTACCGGTGACAATCTTGACCTGGGCAATGCCGTGGGAGTCACGGAGGATGACACCAATTTGAGAGGGGGTAGCACCCTTACGGGCGAGCTTGCAAATCTGGTCGACGATCTGCTCGGGGGTGGTCTTCAACCAGGCGGGAGCGGCGCGAGAGTAGGGGACGGCGGAGGCAGACATGCCCTTGCCCTTGCTGTGAAGTCTACCCATGTTGTCGGTGTTGTGGTGTTGTCGACGGCTGAAAAGGTTAGTTTGGTCGTGAAGTCGTGAGAAAGATTGGAAGGCGAGGCACACGGCAAATGTGTGGAGTTCGAATTTTTCGCCTAGTTAGGGCACGGTGGTTGGTGGCCAGATTTGTGGGACAGCCAGCCAAAATTTGCGTGGTGGGTCACGTGCGCGCAACTGGGCATCTGCAAAAAAAAAGGGAACAGCTCCCAGAAAATAGATCCCCACCTTGAATTACCCAAAATGGACATGGGTCGTTGGAACGGCAGAGTCCAGTATACTTGCAGTAGGCACGCGCTACAAAGTATGGCACTGAATGAATGGCTTTTGCATTCTAACTTGTCAAAATGATCAAACTGCTAACAATTACTCTCCTTTCGCCAACCGCTCGACTTTTCATTTGTTTTACACGGCGGTACATAATAACATATGTGTACCTTGAATCTCCAAATCAGACTGTAAACTTCTCCGTTCCCCTTTGCGGCAAATCTATCAAGAAATGCATTGCTTTAAATCCAACGCTCTACCATGCTCCCACGTCAAAGTTTTCCTATCAATGTTGTTAGCAAAAGAAATTGGGTTCGGCCAGTATAGATCAATGCTTACCTCAGGGAAGTATGTTGTTACCACGGTTCTATCCGCAAATTTGCGTCCAGCTAACGACTTGAGCGCACTGGTCGTGGACTCTGCCGATTCGAATTTGACAAATATCTTGCCAACGCCAGCGGATTGGCGACTGCCACCAACAGGTCGAGGTACTTTAATATCAAGGACCTTGCCAAACTTAGAGCATTCTTCACGAACATCTTCGCAGATTTCTGTAAACTGGGTTAGCTTGGACTGGATGAGTGGAGAATACAGTGCTGATTTGCATACCTTCGTAGTCGTCATTGTCATGCAGTTCCTCCTCTGTAACCATGTTGAGAAGTTGCAGGACACGACTGGCTTCGCTGTCACTGGCGCCCTGAGAGGCAAGACTGCTAATGGCGGTGATGCCAACATCAAAGTTGGCCACTTGTGTCGAGCCAACGCTGGCTTTGACAACCTTGAGCTTCTTACCACCAACATCCATACCATTCAGTGTGTTCAGCGCCGCCTCGTTTGCTTTGCTAGGGTCGGCATATTCGGCGAATGCAATGCCTCGTGACTCTTCTGTGCTGCGGTCCTTGACTAGAACGAACGCCTTGGGCTTGCCAAATGCGGCAAGTAGCTCCAAAACTTGGTCTTCAGTAAGGAAAGGGGGAATGTTGGTGACACAAAGCTTGTTAGCAGTGTCGGGGACGACATTAGAAACAACGTCAGGATCGCTGTTGGTCTCTTCTGTCCCTGCTGGCATGACGTAGTCCGAAGGACGCTTGATGCTCAGCCCACTGCCCTCGGCGCCATCAGCTTCCATCGATATACCATCCAGAGCGAGAGCAACAGTGGCATCGGAGGGATCGCGGAACTCCAAAACTGCCAGAGATCCATCTGCAGAAAGCTGACAGAGCACGCAGGGATCGTTGCCAGTGATAACATTGAGTCCGTTTAGCTGAAGGTTGAAGAAAGAGATGAGAGCGTCATCACCAACACCAGGCTTATAGTTGGAGACCAGTAGTCTCTTTGCCTGACGAGAGTTGTTTGCCTTGAGACCAGCACTGCTGACCTGACCGCCCGGCTGGTTCATAAACGCCTGCAGCTTAGTCGGGTCCATGGTCTGCTGTCGTGGAGCACCAGGTAGCGGGAACATGCCCGAAAGCTTAGCTTGTTCTGAGGTCACCATCTCGTAGCCAGGTGGCTTAATATCCCACTGAGTCAAACGACGCTTGCGTTCGAGAATAGAGACGACGTCTGTCAAGTCGGGTGTTGGCTCACGCGGCTTAGGGGGCGAAGGGCTGCGGCGCTCCTGTCTAGGGAATGCGTCTTCGCGGCGGTCGCGGCGACGGCGGTCATCAAAGTGGTCTCTATCCCGACGGCCACCTCTATCATCATCATCACGGCGGTCGCGACGCGAGCCTCGGTCTCTATCCCAGTCTCGATCTCCGCGACGCTCTCGTCCATAACGATCCTCCCGCTCTCGGTCTCTGTGGCCTCTGCTAGAAGAGTACGCATCGTTTTCTCTATCGTCGCGACGGCCGCTGCGATGGCCTGGTGAGCGCGAACGTCTTCGCTCGCGATCTCGGTGTCGGTCCCTTCGGTCGTCTCGGTCGCCACGTTCGTTACGATCACTTCGTTCAGGACGATCGCGCGGGTCGCCACGGTCACTGCGAGAGGGCTAGATTAAAAGTTAGTAACGGTATAAGGTCTGGTACGCGATTCGAAATTTACAGGATAGTCTCGGCGACTGCCTCCGTCTGTAGAGTAGATATGGATGTTAGCATTTCCTCCTCAAATGATGACTCTCAATCGCATCAAACAACGTACCTCTGGAGGAGTAATTGTCTCCGTTCATGGCCAAGAATCAGCTTCGTGCTTCTTATCCAATGCCAGAAAACAAAGATTCGATGAAAGACGCGTCGCGAGCAGGCTGTACGATCGCCAATGTCGCTGAATCGTTCTGCAGCTGCCTCTTGATGCTGGTGGTGTTGCTAGGAGAGAGCATGGAGCTTTTTCACAGGTGGCACTAGTCCTGTTTTGGGTTAGCGGCCTCTGATGACCGATGGCAGGAGGCGACAGGCGCTCCGATCCCAAAGGGAGCGAGGCACATCCCATTCTTTAAAAACGCAAGCTGATTATCACTGAATTTATTTCCAGTCCATGGGATACTCATTTGATTACTATTAATATTTTCCACCGCCGCTCAGTTCTTATGCTCGCATTCACTGCCAATGGCATCCAAGGCGTTGACCGAGTGGCGCAAGCTGCCAGTAACCCTGGCAGAGCTTTGCATTGATACCACGCTGCGCTGCGGACAATCCTTTCGCTGGCGAAAAATTAAGGATGAATGGTAAGTATATGACATTTAATATGGAATTATATGAAATTAATCGTTATTGTTGGGTGAAGGATCTGCGCTCTTCACGGCAGAATTCTCGCATTGAAACAGGATCCCAAATATGTTCACTATAAGATAACTTGGCCTGATGCTATGCCAGGTGTCGCAAAATCTTCAATAAAACGAAATGGAGATGCTCTAGATGATAGCGAAGAGCTTTTACGGCGTTACTTTGCGCTCAATGTCAATCTTACAGCACTCTACGAACAGTGGTCCGCAGCAGACGCCAATTTCCGTCAAAAAGCTCCCAAATTCACGGGCGTTCGAATGCTAAGCCAAGATGCATGGGAAGCGCTTATATGTTTTATATGCAGCAGTAACAACAATATTGCTCGTATTTCACAAATGGTACGTTTGACAGACTAGAACGTGACCAACGCTTTACTCACACAGAGGGTCTAGGTACACAAGCTCTGCCAACACTACGGCCCTTTAATTGGCTACGTGGATGGTGAGCCCATTCACGACTTTCCTACGCCAGAAGCCCTCTGCGCAAGCGATGTTGAGTCCCGTTTGAGAGAGCTTGGTTTTGGATACCGTGCCAGATACATTGCGGAAACAGCCCGTGTAATCGCGAATGATAAGCCTGTTGGGTGGCTTGAGGGCCTACGAAACCCTGGCTACGATATAAAAGTCGAGAACGGCGATGGAGAGAGTACACGGTCAACATATAAAGCGGCGCACGAAGAATTGCTTACCTTGTCTGGAGTTGGGCCAAAGGTTGCCGACTGCGTATGCTTGATGGGCTTGGGCTGGGCAGAATCTGTTCCAGTCGATACCCACGTTTGGCAAATAGCACAGCGCGATTACAAAATGGGCAAAGCCAAAACCAAAACCTTTAACAAAGTTATGTACGATGCGGTTGGCGACTTATTTCGCAATATTTGGGGCAATTATGCTGGCTGGGCCCATTCCGTCTTATTTACAGCTGACTTGCGAGCATTTTCGGACAAGGGCTTCAAACAGGAGCCCATTGAGGAGGATGAGATTATGAAGAATGAGAGATCACCAGTGAAGAAGCGAACAACAGCCAACAGCAACAGAAATAATAGTGACGTTGCACCTGTTAAGAAGGAAGAAGAGGCAGAAGACGTCAAGGTCTCGTCGCTGCCATCGCCTGGCCCCGCAAAACGTCGCCGAATTAAATAGAGTTAAGGTGTATAAATAATATTTAATGATCATTCTATCTTAAATTTCATCCATTTTCAATTTTTACAAATTGTACAACCGCATTGGTGTTTATCAAGCACATCTAGGTTCGTCGTCTATACGCTGGCGGCTAAACTGCGGCAGGGGTCCTGCCACCCGAACAGCGCGCCAGAACTTTTTGCCCCCTCGAGCCAGCCCTGCCAGCAAAACTTCAACTCATCAACGAGCTTCGACTTTAACAATCAAGAGTTCCCATGCGCAACGTGGAAGCTACGACGGACTCGTGCATCTTGGAATCGGGATGAAGTCAGATTAATGACCAGCCAAAATGTCGGACTCTGATTTCGCGCAAATCACGCGACTCCAGCAGGAGCGCAACGCGGCAAAGGCTGCAGAGAAAGGGTCGCGCCTTGGCTCATCGACCCAGAGAACAGATACGACCAAGCAGAAGCTGACAGACAGTGCCGATAATGAGCTGTATGATAATGATGGAGGAGACAAGTTTGCGGGATACCACAACTCTCTGCCAATGGGCAACGACGCCGATGAGGACGACGAGATGGGCGCCGATAACACACGGCGCCTCGTTGGCCAGTACACAGCACCTCGCGAGCTCGTCGATGAGTTTGCACGGGGAGGTGGCGTCGAAGAAGAGGATATCTTGGCCGGCAGGGGCGAAAACAGCGGCCGTATCACCGACCGTGAGACCGACTACCAGAAGCGCCGATTCAACCGTGTCTTAACGCCGACTCGCGCTGACCCGTTCGCCGAAAACCGCCAAGCTGGAGTGAATGAGAATGGCACCAACTATCGCGAAGTCATGGAACTCCGAGAACTCGAACGAGAGGAGGAGAGAGTGCGGCTAGCGATCGAAGCGAAAGCCAACGGCCGGGAGCCTGAAGGCGACGAACCTAAGCCCACTCTCATCGAGGGCGATAAGGAAAACGCAGAGGCTGGATCTACCGAGGCTGCCGCTGGACGCAAGCGCAAGAAGAGATGGGATGTTGCTACTGCGCCCACTGAGGAAGAGCCCGCGGCCGACGACGGTGCAGCCAAGCCCAAGCGATCACGATGGGACCAGACACCATCGATTGGTGGTCCAGACGGCGCTGAAGCACCCAAGAAGAGATCACGTTGGGATCAAGCACCATCTACTACTGGTGCGACAGCGGTGGCCGTTCCTCAGCAAGCACCTGCAGTGCCGACTTCCTTTGGAACAGACATTTCTGCCCGCAACCTGCCTCTAAGCGACGAGGAGTTGAACGAAATGCTCCCTGGCGAAGACGAGGGATACAAGATTCTGGTACCCCCTCCTGGATACGAACCCACCCGTGCGCCTACTCATAGACTGGTTGCGCCAGTTGAACAGACAGGCTTCATGATGCAGGACCCGGATCAGGTGCGGTTGGGAGGCAAGCCTATGCCGGCGGAGATCCCCGGTGTTGGAGACCTCCAATTCTTCAAGCCCGAGGATATGGCCTACTTCGGCAAGCTTACGGATGGCGCCGATGAGAATGCGCTTACCGTTGATCAGCTCAAAGAGCGAAAGATTATGCGATTGCTCCTTAAAATCAAGAACGGAACACCGCCAATGCGAAAAACGGCCCTGCGTCAGATCACAGATAACGCTCGACAGTTTGGAGCTGGTAGTCTGTTTGACCAGATTCTCCCACTTCTCATGGAGAAGTCTCTAGAGGATCAAGAACGCCACTTGCTCGTCAAGGTTATTGACCGCATTCTATACAAACTGGATGATCTTGTTCGCCCATATGTGCACAAGATCCTCGTCGTTATCGAGCCTCTTCTTATTGATCAAGACTACTACGCTCGCGTAGAAGGTCGTGAGATCATTTCCAACCTCAGTAAGGCCGCTGGTCTAGCTACGATGATTAGTACCATGCGTCCTGATATCGATCACGTTGACGAATATGTGCGAAACACGACCGCCCGAGCCTTTGCTGTCGTAGCTTCTGCCCTTGGCATTCCCGCGCTGCTCCCCTTCTTACGTGCAGTCTGTCGAAGCAAGAAATCGTGGCAAGCCAGACACACTGGTGTCAAGATTATCCAGCAAATCCCTATCCTTATGGGCTGCGCTGTTCTACCTCACCTCAAGGGTCTTGTGGACTGCATTGGCCCCAACTTGAATGATGAGCAAACCAAGGTTCGAACAGTCACCAGTTTGGCCATTGCGGCTCTTGCAGAGGCCGCCAACCCATATGGTATCGAGAGCTTCGACGATATCCTAAATCCCCTCTGGACGGGAGCCCGCAAACAGCGTGGTAAGGGTCTCGCAGGATTCTTAAAGGCTGTTGGCTACATCATTCCCCTCATGGATGAAGAGTATGCAAACTACTACACTAGCCAAATCATGGAGATTCTACTCCGTGAATTCTCCTCACCCGACGAAGAAATGAAGAAGGTGGTCCTCAAGGTCGTTTCTCAGTGCGCGGGTACCGAAGGTGTCACCGCCGGTTACCTCAAGGAGCACGTTCTTGATGAGTTTTTCAAGAGCTTCTGGGTTCGCCGCATGGCACTGGACAAGCGCAACTACAGACAAGTAGTCGAGACGACCGTCGACATTGGCCAAAAGGTTGGAGTCAGCGAGATCATCGAGCGCATTGTCAACAACCTCAAGGACGAGAGTGAGGCCTACCGAAAGATGACTGTTGAGACGGTCGAAAAGATTGTAACTAGTCTTGGTGCTGCTGATGTCGGTGAGCGCCTAGAGGAGCGTCTTATTGACGGTATTCTCCATGCGTTCCAGGAGCAGAGTGTCGAAGATGTCATTATGCTCAACGGCTTCGGATCTGTTGTCAACGCGCTTGGCACCCGATGCAAGCCGTATATCCCCCAGATTGTCAGTACTATCCTCTGGCGACTGAACAACAAATCGGCAACCGTTCGTCAACAGGCAGCCGACCTTATCTCCCGTATTGCCATGGTTATGCAGCAATGCGGTGAAGATGCCCTTATGGGTAAGCTAGGTATTGTTCTGTACGAATACCTAGGTGAAGAGTACCCCGAAGTTCTTGGTTCGATCCTCGGCGCTCTGCGATCCATTGTCACAGTCGTTGGTATCTCGCAGATGCAGCCGCCAATCAAGGACCTGCTGCCCAGACTGACGCCTATTCTACGAAACCGTCACGAAAAGGTGCAGGAGAACACTATCGATCTTGTCGGCCGTATCGCAGATCGTGGCCCTGAGAGCGTCAACGCTCGTGAGTGGATGCGTATCTGCTTTGAGCTGCTCGACATGCTCAAGGCTCACAAGAAGGGTATCCGCCGCGCGGCAAACAATACATTTGGTTTCATCGCCAAGGCTATTGGTCCTCAAGATGTCCTGGCCACTCTTCTGAATAACTTGCGCGTCCAGGAGCGTCAGTCGCGTGTCAACACCGCCGTTGCCATTGGCATTGTGGCCGAGACTTGCGCTCCCTTCACAGTTCTGCCTGCGCTCATGAACGAGTACCGCGTTCCAGAGCTCAATGTGCAAAATGGTGTGCTCAAGTCTCTCTCTTTCCTGTTTGAGTACATTGGCGAAATGGCAAAGGACTACGTCTACGCTGTCACACCTCTGCTCGAAGACGCCCTCGTGGACCGAGACCAGGTCCATCGTCAGACAGCTGCTTCGGTGGTTAAGCACATTGCTCTGGGCGTCATGGGCCTCGGCTGCGAAGACGCCATGATTCACTTGCTCAACCTTCTCTACCCGAACCTGTTCGAGACTAGCCCCCACGTCATCGACCGCATCATCGAAGCCATTGAAGCCGTACGCATGGCTACAGGCCCTGGCGTCGTCCTCAACTACGTCTGGGCCGGCCTCTTTCACCCGGCTCGCAAGGTGCGAACGCCATACTGGCGCCTCTACAATGACGCCTACGTCCAAGCGGCGGACGCCATGGTGCCATACTACCCCAACCTAGATGGCGACGAGATCGACCGTCCCGAGTTGGCTATCATCTTGTAATCTGATACACAACAGCAAGGAGAGACAGAAACGCGGGACGGAAAGGCCGTTTCCCGCCAGGGATAAAACCGAAGAGGGGGGGTGTGTGAATTGGCGCTGGAGAACGGAAAAGTAAAAACACGTGTACTTTGTATGGGCATTTTGTTTTGTTTTTTGTTTAGTCCAGCTTCTTTTAGTTTTTAGATACCGGCTCCAAGGGAAGTGGCGCCGGGCGACACTGGGTGTGTCTTCTCTATGTTTTTTTATCATGTAATTGCCCGGGGTTTATCTCGTACATAGCATGCGACATGGCGTTTTGTAATACAATTGAAACTTATTGTTCACAGCATCTTCGAGTCCGTTTAGAGTTCAGCAACCTGTGTGTGCAAGGGGCGTGCCTGGACAAGTCCAGCATGTGCAGCTGAGCAGGCCTAGACCTGCGGCCGCGGGAAGATCAAATGTGTAACTTGGTGGAGGACGCCTGCTCATCCATCTCCATGGACCTGGAAATCTTGATACCGTCCCGTCAAACCCTGCCCTCCTGTGCAACTTAGCCGGCTGCCCGGATCGACCTTACCGTCAGTTTGTAGCAACTTGGGTTGACATTGTCGCCACCGCCTCCCTAGGCTAGAACGGGTATACCATCCGTTGGCTGTTTACAAGGATCTGAGGAAATGTGACAGCTGCAGTTCCAAGAAACAGGCTGCTGGGTTCGTCGAGTTTATCCGGGTCAATCACATTTGCATCGAGACATGCGGCACAGGTTCCAACGGGCGCGCGCCGTTGTTAGCCGTTGGAAAACTCGTGTCTCGGCCGGTCTACGGCGTGAACAGCACCACATCTCACAGCGCCACCACGAACAAGGGTGAGGACTGTCGCAGTGATTTCCGCTTACATATGCAAGTTGAATCGACGAGGCGCCGAAAACAAAACAAAAAAAAAGAGAAGGTGAGCGAAGTGCTAGCGCAACGGCACAGCAGAGGTCGATCGGTTCAAGCAACATTCCACCTTCGTAGGCCAACGCCATGGGGGCCGTTAGGTCGGTTGATGCCCAACGGCCGAGTGACCAGAACAAGCAGACGATGAAAAGAAAGGGAGCTGTGGGCTGCGGCGTTGTTGAGCTCAATTCTCAGCCTTTGCAAACGAAACAGGCGATCACGATGAAAAAGTGGCTGTTTGAGGGCCTGCGAACCGTGATCATGGGCAGGGCCGTTGTAAAGGCTGCATAGTGGCGTTTGTGTGCTTTTTGCCCGGTGGGACATGATTCGTCTGGCGGGCTGTAATGGCTTGCATTGGCTCGATGCAAGGTTAAGCTGGCGATAGGACGCCTACTCACTCCTCAGCACAATACGTCTATGTACGAGAGACAGCGACTGTCAAGCGGGGGTGGGAACTTCACAGTGGCTGCATGGCTGAGAGTCGGTGATAGCTGGTGAGGAGGTTGGCGCCGGGACGAGCATTTCCGTGGACAGGGCTGCTGCTATTACTTTCGTTTTCCGCCTTTGTCTTTTTACTTTTCTCTTAGACATGCGTTTGTTGCCACGGCCTGTAATGCAGAGGGTGATCATCCAGATGGATAGACAAATAGAATTTGCTGGTCACCCGAGAAGTCGGGAGATCTGCGAAAGCCTCAGCATACGATGGCTGCACCCTCTAATCACACTGGACATGCGAGCACTGCATTAGCGCTCTGCGTCAGCAGAGCAAGACGATGAATATTATCCGAAAGAAAGCCAAGCGTTGCCTAGCGTAGAGTGTCGCGCAGCATCCTGGCTTTCCGTCGTGTTGAGGGCGGATGGATTTGGGCATAGCTTTCGGCAGCGTTTTGACCGTTGTTGCTGGTTGGACCCTGCATCATGGCAGTTTCGCCGTCGGCCCTGCGTGTGACAGCACCTCTCTTGTTGACGGGATTGATTGGTGCCCAACTGCCGGCATGGCCCTGCCTGTGCAATCCCAGTGCCCCGGGACGTGACATCCCCGTGAGCCTTGAGAGGCTGACGAGGGGCCACCAGGCGTCGAGCAAGTCGAGAGTCGGACGCTGACCGCATCGCAGTTTAGTCTCCAAAAAAGAAACGTGGAACATGCGTAATGCGTGTAGTGGAACCTTCAACAAGTCGTGGGATACTTAGTACACTTTGGCACCGTTCGACACGGTACTAGGTCTGGCGCCGGTACTAACGAGTCAGCCTGTTGTACTTGCATCGCCTTATCTTTTGCGGGGTGGGTGAAATGCCCCCTCCCCGCGGGTGGAATATAGCAGGTGGCGATGGCACTAAATTGGACGGCACTTGGGATTTCGGCTACCGGCGAACGCTGTCATGTCGGCGCCGGTGTCCGCTGCCTCACTAGGCATATTCAATCCCACCACGGCGGTATCTCATTTCGTCTAAATCTCAAGCGGCGTTGTTTGCGGCAAAAGTCCAGGTCCCCTAGCGCGATGCTTGGCTCGGCGAATGTTCTAATTATGGCATTCGACAGCATGAAACGGCATCGACGCCCGGCACTAACTAGCCTCTCCACGCCTCCAACGCTCCGTTAGTATCGTCCGTCAGTCGATTCCATCTTCTAGAACTGAAATCGACGCCGTAGGAGAACCCCGACAAAAAGCAGAACTGGCAGAAGACGGTTGACGGGAGGCCGCCCACTGATGGAGTCTGTAATTCGAGAGGCAAGACTGGGTCTCAAACCACTGGCAATTCCCCGTAATATCATAACCCGACCAAGCTAATATACAACGAGAGATTGTTGGGGTTTCCAGATTTTTGGCGTCTTGCATCGGCGTTTAACAGGTTGTCTGAATCCCGTCACAGCATACTTTGTCCTAGATCAGTAAACGTGTTGCGCCGTCTCCGGGCCGATACCTGTTGCGTCGCTTCTCCTCGGCCACAGCTGATTGATTGCGAGCGCGCGGAGCGCTCATGTTCCGACGAGGGTCTTGTTCAAGCAGGCAAGTGAGAAATGGCAAGGGGCCTGCGGGCCCTCAACAGCCGCGTTTCAAGTGTCCCAATCCAGTCCGCCCGTTTACTTCACCCGCTTAGAGTAATCAAAAACTGGAGCGGGGGGCGCAAAAAAGAGGCTAAACTTGGTGCGGACTGCAGTGCGAAGACAGGTGCAAGCACGGTAGAAGCGAAGAGATAGCACGAAATCGCCCCCACGGCAAGCCTCCGAAATGCAACTAGCCAGGGCTATTTCAGGTGGTAGGGCTCAGGCGGTCGATGTGCTGGGTCAGCGGCCCCAAAAAGCTTATTACCCTTCTTACCTAGAACAGCAATGAAGGCGACCATCACAGGTCCAGGCGGCGTTCGCAGCGCATCTTGCTTCCAGAAGAAGCTGAAGAACTTACACAAACACCTGAGTGTCCGGGTATTAAATAACCTATATCGGCACTCATGTGGCATTGAATTGGGCGGGGCCGTGACACTGGGAGAAGCACGTTGCTGCTGTTATTTTTGGACCCTGCTGCACACCATGTCAGCAGGAGCTGCGTGTACGGATGTAGGCGAGGAAGACGTACCCTATCTATTTCTCTTTTTAGGGGTGTGATCCAAACTAGCGGGTTAGAATACGGGGTTTCTTATGCTGCTTCAGAGATCTTTAGTCGCATGGCCCTTGCGACGTGTGGGTGGTGTAGATGGCGAGCTGCTTGTCTTCCGAGGAGCTAGAGCTTGCACCTGGCGGTTTGCAGCTGGCAAGTGTTGAACGCCAACTGCCTAGCACTGCCACTAGAGACAAAGAAACCAAGTCTCCGACGTCGGCCAGCTGGTAGCTTCAAAGAGATGAAGCATCACATCGCGCAGAGTAAAAATATATCACCGCTAACGACGCTACCGCAGCACAGGAACCCGAGTGCAACAGCGCCGGTTCCTCTGCCACTACGGTACAGGACAGTACAGAACGACTAAGTCGCTGTGAATACCGCCACCACTTGCACCAACTAAACAAGCAATGGCACTAAACAAGTGCTGTGGGTGGGGATTGTGGGTTTGACGCGGTCGGCATGGTCTCATTGGCCGCGGCTGAGGGGGGCCGCCATGCCGCTGGTTCCCTTTGACGTCAGTTTCGCCATCGCCAGGGTTCCTCGGTGCGAAATATTCCGGCAGGCTTCAATGGGCGAATTCGACGTTGCCATGCGGTACAGAATTACACTTGGAATTCAATCGCATGGCAAGGGTGGAAAATTACGGTCGACGCGGCGTTTCGCAGAGAGACACTGTTCCAGAAGCCCTTTGGACGGTGAGGAAGCTCCTTTTCCCCAGGCCAAGCGCTCATCACTGTGCTAGCCGTTGCTTGTTTTCGCTGATCCAAGTGGATCATCAGGCACCATGTTAAGCTACAGTTGGCCAGCGTCCCAAAAAGCCAAGTCGGCCGACCCCAAGGCGAAGCTTTTTCGTGGAGAAAAGCCCCCGCGACAAAGCCAAACGTCCCATTGGACGCGTGCGGGGCCTATGGCATCACTCTTTGTTTGGTGCTATGGTCCTCCGTGCGTGACCAAGATGCAAACCTCACGCATGCTGTCATAGGAATGATCAAGGAGGAGAATTTTGCCACAGGCTAACCAACACCTGTTTGCGCATTCTCGGGATGTATCCCTATTTTGGGATCCTCTATAATCAGAACCGTGACGGACGCCGGCAGGTGGGAAGCGCGTTAAAAAGGTGGACTGCTGGAGAGACAAGACCGCTTTACCGAGCGTCTTTTCCAGCGGTATCTCCCAAGGCTCGGGTTTAACGTCCCCGTGGCAAGGGTGTCTCTTTCTGCCAGATGGGCTAAATAGACAAAATGAAAAGAGTAAAGAAGCCCCTGAGTGCTAGTGCGGAGACGTTGAGTCGCGAGATTGGAGTTTCCTCATGGCCTAGCGATTCATGGGCTTCCTTCAAGGAGGGAGAGGCTCGCTAAGGTCGGAATTTGTCCACCGTCAGATTAGCATCCAGCTTGGGCCTGCTTTGATATGGGCGACTTAATTAATCTCTTGCGCAATCTAGCAGCCATTGAGGAGAAAAGGTGGATATCCTAGCTCTTCCTTTGCGCACGTTTTCCCTTTTGGCTATCAGTTCCTTGTTTCTTGTATTGGTCGTTTTTTACAACAGCTGCCATGACGGACTCTCCCCTCGTCCCCGCGGTGTATACACAGCGAGCACCGCCGCTGGCACGGTTGCGCCCCATCGTGGCGGGGGGGCTTTGGTAACAGAAAGCGAGCAGTCCCGCACCATCTACGTCAACATGCGCCATGCATACGAGCCGTTGTGAGATCCGCTGTTGAGTCGAGCTAGGTGGAATCTGCGCTGAGCAGCAAATATGCTGTAGCAGCACAGCCTATAAACAGTATAATAGCTACAGATATCAGGGATGCAAAAGGAGAGAGTGATGCTGACAACGATGACGCTGCCAGCTGTTTCAGATCACCGCATGGGTTTTTAGGGGGCTGTTGGTGCTATAGCGTATAGCGTACTGAAAGTATAGTGCTGGGTGCTGGGCTCTTCTCCTACGGTTGTGGTAAGCAGTGGTACTATGAGCCCGGGTATCGCTACGGGCTGCCCGACTTTGTTTCTCTTTCATCTCCACAACGGCGCGAACTCTTATTTTGCCTCCCATGTATCGGTTCACGTGTAGCCCGTGTCATGTTTTTTGACTTTTTTGTTATTTTACTTTTTTTGGTTTCTACTCCCTCCCGCTCCAATGTTTAACATGCGGCGGCTGGCTTCTGCCAATGGCAGCCGGGAGCAGGATTGGTGTCGTTGGTGCATGGCGTTGACAAAGACAAGCGTACCCAGGCACCCGGTCCACTGGCTGCATGCTTTAGGTGGTCCCGGCTATTTTCCTGGCGTCGAACGGCGCCCAAGGGAGTGGCAGTAGCACATGCCTGACGTAAGGTCCTGCTGCCGAAATATGCACTGTACTTTGCTTTCCCACCAGGTGCTCAGCGTTACTGGCTGGCCACTGTTTCGCCATCTTTTGCCTTGCGCAATCCCTGTTCCCCGCCTTGTTGTCGGCGGGCAAGCATTGTATCAAGCCGCAAGACATGTTGAGGGGGCGGCTGCGGCTGCGCTGTTGTTGAACATCGGTCTTGCTGCTTATGTATAGTTGTACTTGTGCCCAACCTAAACACAACTCTGTATACTTAAATTACAATGGTAAAAGTCCCCTGGATACGCTGCTTGAAGTCACTCCTGGTTACGTATATGCAGCGTTCTACAAAAGCAGCGAAGAAGGCTAGCTGGTCGGCGTCGCTCTCACACTTGTCGGTATCTTTTGCCTCTTCACTTTTTTTCCTTCTCCTCCAAGACATGCAACTCCACTGGCTTTTCGCCTGTTCTGGGTGGCGTCAAGGTGCTTTCTGCAAGATGGCGGGGACGCTTTGCTGCACCCTTTGCAGCGGTCACCCAAGGGCAAAGGGACAAAAACAACGCATGAGCGCACGGTGTAGCGGTCTGTCTGTCTCCTGTGCGGCCCTTTCAGTGGACTGGAGTGCCTGGGGGCGGCCAGCACAGTGGATGGCAACCCCCGAAACGACAGGGCCACCAGGTGCACAGTGTGTCGACCTACCAGGTCCTGTCCTTATTCTCTTTTGATTTTTAAAGAGCCACAGTGGACAGGCCGACCCCACTCAAGTGCTACAAGTTACAAGTTGCAGGCGCAAGCGTGCTGTAAACCACGCAGCAAAGGGTCCTTTTCCAGCGAGCTCATACGCTAAGGGGTCACAGCCTCCGCCATTGCCGGGGTTGGCCAGTCGTTGCACGCCCCCACTCGCTCTCATGTCCGTTTTTTCGCCTGCTGTACACACTCCCTCCTCAGCCAACCCAGGCGGCCCACTCACGCCCCCCTCCCCGTTTGGGCCAAACTCCCAGATCCAGGACGCCGTCCAATCTCCAAGCAAGCTCCCTCGCCGTTTACTCGCTCGGGCTTGGGGATTTTTCTTGTTTGTCGACTCTGTTGGCGCCCTGCTTCCGAAAACTTGGGCTTGTGTTTGGCTTTGTGACGATTGGGTACACTTCTTATTCGTACTTTATTCCCATATTAGGGTATGGGCGAGTTGTCTTGTTCGATAGACCCGTTGCTCGTAAACACGCGAGAAGAAGAGGTCTTGTGCAAAAACTCGCACCACCCATCATCTCAACAACTATGGCCACATGTAGGACGTCCACTGCAATCAGTTCATCCATAGTCAAGCATCTACAAATAGCCACGCTTGACTCGCTTCGACAAAAAAACACCCTCCCCAAGTTGTATACAGGAATACCAAGCAAAAAAACAAGCATTCGGTACTCCAGCTTGGCTTTTTCCTTCTCCAGACGTTGGAACGCTGATCTCATCTTCCTTCACATTTTTTTCCTACATAGACGGCACCGTCTTTGGAAAACGTTTATTTTCCTACGCAGGGCATCCACCACGCCCCCTTCTTTTCCTCTGCCTTCTCAGCGACCCTGGTCCTTGCGAATGGGACATCGGCCTGCCGATCACTTTACCCATAAGTCGTCACACACACACACACAGACACGGCAGCGCACAAGACCTGCTAGCCAGCGCGGTACTTGGGTCCGCCCCTCGAAACAGGCTTGCCCACACGTACCTGTCTTCCCCTCCTCTTCCTTAACAACACACACACACACAAGCAGCACACACACACATACAAACCAGCAGACCGGGGGCCGCCTATTAGCCTCCTTCCCCACTGGGCCACTCTTTCTTCTTCCTCTTCTCTCCACTTGCAAGTACCAGCCTGCCTCACAAACACACCCACTGACGCACACCACCACTTGCACTTAAAGACTTCGCTGATCCCACACTTGGCTCTCCGACCTTCGCTCCATCTTCCCGCGCCAATCTCTTGTCTTTGATCTGTGCTACAAACTTGGCTTTTCTCTAGTCGGCACGACCCATCTGATCTTCCTTACTTCCTTGTCACCTCTTACTTGCACTTATCCTTTACACTCACCCATGATTGCACGCCAAACTGCCAGTAACCCGCCTTGAGAAATTCTTCCTCTTCCTCCTCGTCCACTCTTGCACGTTCAGTATCCTATATCCGCGCAAAGCGTCCGTCAACTTGGCAACGTATTTGCAACTTTAGCTCATTCAAAGTGGCGAAACAAAACAACCAAGAACACCCGCCGACACTACCGCCGACAATGGCCATGGCTCTCGATACCTCTCAGCAAAGATTTGGCCCTGGCCTCAACTTTGACTATCAAACACACGCTCAAGCACCTTCATTCTCAAACCCGTGGTCTTCGGCCTCGCCACCTTCTCACCCGGCTCCCAGTGCCTCAAATGCCAACGCCATGTACGTTGGTGCGCAGCCGCAGCCTCCCATGAACGCAGCCGCCCTCCTTGCTAGCAAGCCTCCCATGCCTCGCCCTAGTGTTGGAAGCGTCTCGTCGATGGGTTCATACGGCTCCCTCCCTGTTGGCAGCCACTCCGCAGACATGATGGGCATGAACCGCTTGCAAACTACAACAGCAGCCTACGGCGATGCTACCTACGCGACATCTGCCTCGCCTGTCGCCGGCCACTTTCTCCCTCCTGCCACTGGGCCTTACGATGCTGTTGGTTATGCTGCAGCTCACAGTCGCCCTCATGCCTTCTCTCTTGGTGGCCATGACGACCCTTCACGCAGATTTCCTCTGTAAGTTTCATCGCACCGTTGTTCTACCTGACACTCTGGCTAATCGCACCAAAAGACCTGTTCCCCAGGAGGACAGACGAGCCTTTGCTGATGCTCTCGACGCGAGCCACGGCATGCTTGCCATGAGCCAAGATACTCCTCGAAACATTTACGGCCGCAACGATCGATCCTCTGTCGACTCTTATGGATTCCCCTCTACACACTCTGCTACTTCTTCCGTTTCCTCTTCATACTATGGCGACTCGGTGTCCGAGTATTCTGCCGGTTCCGATCTCGAATCCAGATCGCTTCCTCGTCCTCACGGAATGATGGGCGGCCAGTTGCCTCCTGCACCGCAATCCATGATGGGCCAGTTCAGTTCCAAGGTCTCCTCCAGCACCCAGAAGAAGCACAAGTGCAAGGTTTGCGATAAGCGCTTCACCAGACCCAGCTCCCTGCAGACGCACATGTACAGCCACACCGGCGAGAAGCCTTTTGCCTGCGATGTTGAAGGCTGCGGCCGCCACTTTTCCGTCGTCTCCAACTTGCGTCGCCATCGTAAGGTCCACCGCGGTGATGCTCGCTCTGAGGCAGGCTCGGAAGACCACCAGTCCGACTAAAACACCTTTTACAAATTACTCTTTGAGGCGAATAGACTCGCTACCTCGTGGTTCTTTTTGGGCACGCACCCTTGACACGACCAATAGATTGGACTTTGCGACCGTCTGGGGTTACAACCTGGCTCTCAGCGCAAGCAGCACAACCACTACCACCATGCCTTTTCATTCCTCACCGCCAACAACCTTTGGCGGCTGTTTTTATTGCATGTTTCAGCATGCGTGGGTTCTTTGGATATATGGGCACTACTTTCTGAATACTAGAGGCTTGCAGCTAGTGAATTCCTCGGCGTTGGGAATAGCTCAAGAGGACTCTGGACGGCGTTTTGGAGCCATTTTGTTTTTCTGTTCTGTTTCAATGGGTGTTTATCCATTCACGACTCTTTTTTTGGTTATTGTTTCTGTTGCTATATTGGAGAATGCGAGTCTCTGCCGTTGGTACCCAAAACGGGCAACGCGTAGGAGGTTTCAGCATGTCGATGTCACTGGACCTTGTGAGGCTTGGAAAGCGAGACACTACGGGACAGACATGAATGCCTGGGCTTTTTCTCTGAGATGGAGACGCCACCTTGTACAAATATCTTATTTACTTTCATGATATACCCACGAGATAGGTAGAGTCGCATGAATCTACATGAATACAGTATATATATACACAAATGGATTTCCAGACTTGTTTGCCCATGAACTTTAGAGATTGTGACAAAGTCTAATGAAGGGGACTATGGTTACGGATAAGCCTATTCAACAGCATGAGAGGTACTGGAACAAGCCAGCTACAGGAAAGAGTAAGTGGTGCCGAAGCATGCCAAACACAAACAACGAGGTCAGCGGGAACTGACCTGGGATCCAAGTTGCAAGCAAGCAAGCAAGCATTGCATGCCGATTGGGATATGGGGACATGGTTTATGGAGTATCCAGGGCGCAGAACGGAGCTTGTGTTCCGTTTTGGACACGAATCAGGCACCATTTCAAACTGTAGGTCAGCGTGGAGCAGCAACAGCACCAGTAACAAGACAACCATAGCGAGGCGCAGCATCAAGCCAGCTGGGCTGGAAGGGGGCAAGGGAGGTTCCGTCATCGAGTGAGAGTGGGCGGCCCAAAAAGAAAGGCATCAGCGGCGCGTTAGCGATGGGCTACAGAAGATGATGACGCTGTAAGCCCCCAGTTTTCTGGGCGACGATCCTTGACTAGAAGCAGGAATGGGCTGGCGTTTCAGCAGTGAACATCACTGCCTTGTCGGGGCGCCTGCGTTGTTGTCAAGACAGGACAAGCTTTTGTGGAGCCTGCAGCGCCGCCAGCCGGCGAACGCTACAGGGCGTGAACATAGCTAAAAGACAGGTATTTTTTTCTACTATGGATGGATGGACTTTTTTAAGAGGGGCGAGGAATTTCCCATAGTGGAAATCATGGAGATTGTGCTGCTGAAAGAACGCAGCAGTGCCCAGTACGGTAGTGAGGTCCGAAGTATACGAAGGCGTTGACATGTGTAAGGAGAACCGAGAGCTCCGCGGTGAATTGGATAAAGGTCTGATGGAGTATTGCCACTGACGACACACAGAGACATGAGATGGCGGTTTGAGAGGCGCACAAAACGGGTTGTCCCGTGCTATCACCGAGAGGCAGGCCCTTGTAAGTACTGTAGTGGTAATAGTAGCACTATTGTTAGGAACAGAACAGCACGCATGTAAAGTGGCAGCGGATATTAAAAGACACAGAGTTACAGCCGCTGAACCCGTAAGGGGCGAGGGAAACAAGGCTCAAGCGCCGGCGGGCTCGCTTGCGGCCAAAAAGCCACAATAAGAAGTGACATTGAACAAGGCGACGTCGACATCCAAAGCGAATGGCTGGATGTGACCGTGGGTTAGCCGACGATGCTAATGGATTCAATGCGATTGGAAAGCTGCTTATGCCCAGCGAGAGGGTTTGATTGGGGCAGAGTAGAAGATTTGGGGGATCGTCCAGGTGCCGGTGCCAATCCCTTCTATGCGTGGAAGGTGAAGGCAACCAAAGCGTGACTAGAGGAAAGGTCACGGTACGTCGGATGCAATGGACATGTTTCTATTCTTGGGACAAAGCTGAGAAAATCTTTTCTGTCTATGTATTGGGGGAGCATGGAGCGGCATCTGCGCCTACGCGATCACAACGGGCAAAGGCTTGGCATCGAAGCCAAGAGTTTTGCTTAATTATTGGGGCCAGCAGCTGAATAGACAAAACGACTAGCCCTGTTTTTTAGGTTCAAGTAAAAAACTGAATCAGTCTGAGAAGGAGGATGGTGGGCATGGCCGAGTACACACTTGCCTCCAATGGTCTTATTTTCCCCTTCTCCAGTGAATGATTCTTGTAATATCCCGCATGATTAATGGTGCTACTCAGAGGGTACCCATATCATAATCATTCGAAATCAAAGCTTTTTTTGCGCAAGTGGATTAACTAGCCAATTGGAGACGGACAAGGACAAAAAAGGTTCCTGCTACCCTCTCCGTTTTTTGCCTAAAGTCCCAGCGATGCAAAAACGTGACTTACGAATGTAGTTGGGGGGCACGCGTCTCCAGTTTACGGAGCGGGGGGGAGCCGTGTCCGTAACATACGAAGTAGCACCAACTAAAGAGACAAGAGTGCGCAGCAGCAGTTGCACGAGTAAGCTCATTACGGAGCGAAAATAAGCAGAGGAATTCACAAAAAAAAGAGGATACGTTCACAAGTACCTGTACTAAAAGTACTGCAAATTCTGCATATTATGTATGTACTTTTGTATTCAAAAAAGATAACAGTAGTTGCGTGCAGCCCAAACAACCACCGTTATCTCAGCAAGGTGTGGTTAGTGTGTGGTTTTCAGCGCTGTTTGCTGACACCCGGCACTGTGTTTGGGCTGAACAGAAAACGGAGCCTGGCTTTGCTCGCTCACTGGCGCTGTTGGTACAGTACTGCTGCTGCAGCATATGGACGCGCAGCGTTAGGGTGGGTTGGCCAGCGCCTCTGAAAGCGCCAATTATGTGTAGCGCCCCGCCCTGGGTCAAAACAAGCTTTCGCCAAATTGGCCTGTGCCAGGGGGGGACGTGCCGCTAGTAACATGGGCGAAAGAGGCGGTAACGCACAGTGCATCCAGCCTACAGGGGGTTACAGGCACTGCAGAGCGCTGGAGACAAATGACATGCGCTGCTGCAGCACTGAATGCACAGAGGATGGGTCTGTCGGTCCCAGTTGGCTGCATCGCGAGCCAGCCAGGCTGGGTGGCAAAAGTTGGCCTAGCTCTTTTTCAAGGGAATAATACCCAATTTCCAAGAAAATTATATAAAAAAAATTAAGGATGGCGTGCCACAGCGTGAATGTTCGACTGTGTGGTTGGTTGTTGTCGTCGGCGAGACATGTGGCGAGGAGGACCCAGTGCGTGCCGTCTCTCACTGGGGGCGGGCCAGTCAGCCGCTTGACGTCATAAGTGCTACCGTACCCATGGGGGCTAACGCGCACTTTGCGATGTCCGAGTTGGCCGCAAAGCACCGGTGCGGCCCATTCCATTTTTGGAGAGGGTATATTTTTCGTAACTTATTAATTTACTAGAATGCTTCCATGGCCGGGGTGGAGGGGAGGGGGATTGGCAAGACTGCGAATCCGGGGCATCAAGCGGGCGGGTGCAACGACAATCGCTGCCCGAACAAGTAGGAACTTGAACTTGTCCCTATTAGCGGTGGGCAGACTGCGCCGTTGCTGCCGGCTTGGCTGGCATTGACCTTCAATCTCATGTGCCTAGCAAAAAGGGCGGGGGACGCGGGTTGTTGATCCTTCAGAAAAAGAAGCTTTTGGGACCAGCGGGAGATATGCAGAGCTGCCTGCTTTGTTTTACCTTGGAGGGGGAGTGGACGCAGTTAACGCTCTCTCTCAAACAAGGGCCGATTCCTCGCTCTGATACAAAAATATGTCATGCAGTACCGGAATTGCTAATACAGTGCAATCAGATACTCGTCGATTCCTCCCAACTTTCATCACGCGGCAGGCTACTGCACAGTCTGCGTGCACCAGCATGCATCGGGTTTAGTTGCCGCCCCAGCCCAAATGCGACAAAACCCAGCAAGCAAGCAAGCATGCTATTGCATAATCAACGAACTACTCCCCCCCGAAGTCGGGTTGGTGGTTCCAGGAAGCGCAGAACGCGCCGTAGCCCGTAAGCATGTGCGTGCGTGCCCATAGCTTCTAGCATCCATCCCGGTAGGTAGAGCAGGCCAGCGCAGCATTGACCACCAAAAACTGCGTTTTGCTTGCTTTTTTGCTTTCAGGCTCCGTCTTCCCCGTTAGCGCAACGCTGCGCCCTCGCGGCTACTTGGGGCGCTCCGAGCGAGAGAAATACAGTGTGAATAGAAGGGTAACAGCACGGCAGGGGGGATCGTAGACGACAGATCTCTTGTGACGTCAGCGGCTGCAGACTCCACAGCATTAGCATTTCATTGGGTGCTGCACCGAAAAGGTGGCACAGTGCGGAAATTGCTCGCCTGGCGCGGGAGCATAGCCAGCCATTACGGCGATCAGGACGCAAACCCGACATAAAAGGTAGAACAAATATAGAAATAACTTCATAGTAAATGCATGTGCAAGGGACCACCATGTGTCAGTTACATACATAGTGTTGATCATCATAGCATGCGCGGTTGGCGCCGCAGCGTCCACCTCGTCCTGTAAGTCAGCGGTCACTGAATCGTCCGACTCTCGTGGGGAAACAGGAATCCCCGCACCCCCGGCTACTTTGGTATAATTTTATACGTCAGATGAAGTCATACATGTGTCTAGCGGGTATTACAGCATTAACACAGTCTGTTATGCGCCCTGGTTGTGCTTTGAATTTCATAGAACAAACGTGCCCAAGCGCAGGTGATGGCGTTAGTGGAGGCTCAACGACGTCGTTCAGCAGCCACCTCCTCTCGTCTCGGCAATAGCCGTCTTGGGAACGCCGCTGATGTTGAGGCCGACACGCTGATCATCTTGCTGCACCATATCGTCAAGGGGCTACAGTGGATAGACTGCTAAATGAATCGCAGTGGTACGGCCACAAAGGCACCAATAGCGTTAGACATGCACAGTAAGAGGACGATCAATGTAGAACAGTGAATGTATTTTCAAGTCACTTGTAATAAACTATCAGCTATAAAAGGACTCTTGTATAAAAGTCAAAGCACGCAACGAAACATGGGTCGCTGAACCGAGTCGGTGAAAAGGCACTCAATGTTATTAATGCCAGCGCAAACAAGGGACCACCAGACTCAAGGGCTTTGTAGAAATGAATACATGGGGAATAAAAAAAGTGTCGAAACCGTTTGTACAATATATTCAGCAGTATATTCAAGTAGTTTTGAATATTCTGGAGACTGCATGTCTGCATATGGCCGTTGTCCGTGGCCGTCCAATGTGGTAAAAGGTGTCAAGCCAGTAAGTACTAAAGCGCAGAGTTTGAAAATGAAAATCAGATCTGTGCGCCTATCCAAACGCCAAACAAAGATGGTAAACATGTAAAATGAAGAAAATGAAAAAATGACAAGTCAGTCGTCAAAAGGTGTCAGGCTCAGACGTGCGGCGCTGACGGGCGAGTCTTGCCTAGAGATTCAAGCAATTCTCTTGGCGGGATTCTTTGAATACCGCTTCCTCGGTCGTACATGGACGTCGGTGCAGGAGTGTAGCCGTCACGCTTCTTGCGAATGCGGTCAAGAATAACACCTGCAACAACAATCAATAAGATCAAGGCAAGGGCAATGGCGAGGGCAATCAGCACAACAAAGCCAAGCGCAAGATGACCACCGCTAGAGGCAAAGAAGTCATCCTTTTGCGAGAAGATCTTGGCAATGCTTCCAGCACCGGTGCGGGAGCTTGTAGTCAAAGCATACGGTAAGTAGTGGGTGCCGTTGAAAAGGGCAGCTGAGACGGTGCCAACAACCGGAAGGTCGATGCTTCCGGTTAGCATAAGCGCCTGGTTGTTGCTCAAAAGATCCGACTTGTCATGGTCCTTTGTGAGTGTAAAAATCTGAAGACTGCGGAGCTGTGTCGAAGCTGGCAAGGGGTGAGGCGCATTGAGCCACTTGTCGCCATCATACTTCATCAGGAAGATGGACTGGTCCTTGGACGACTTGCCAGAAATCCAAACTTGCTTGCCGTCACTGGAGCCAGGAGTCATCAACAATACCGGTCCGGGGATCGCATCGTTTCCGGGGAACTCCTCCCACGTCTGTGCAGAGGTGTCGTACATGGCTAGCCGCAGAGTGGTCGTGTCATTGCCCTTCATGTCGCCAGCAGCAATCAGCTTCGAGTTCGAGGCCCACATCATGCTGTTCACATCACCCTCCATACTGGTTCCTGGGCGGTTCCATTGGTTGGTATCAGTGTTGTATAAGCAGACGCCGGGGCAGGTAAGGCCTCCAGCATTGTCAAAAGAGCCGGCAACGTAGACGTCGTTTGTCTTGGGGTTCACTGTAATGACAGACACGGTTCCATTTCTGCCCGAGATTGGTGCAGGCTGTGCCTTGAATGTCTTGGAGGCAATATCGTACGCAATGATGCCACCGACAGCGCCGCCATTGACTCTTCCGCTTAATTTGCCACCAGCATACAGGACGCTTCCCTTTAACGCAACAGTCACAATCGATGAATCAGCTGATACGCCTTCGCCTAAGCCACTGATACTATCCTTATTCTTGCCGTCGATCAAAACAAGGTTGTTGATAGTAGTGCCGTTTGCATCTTGAGCAGAGAAGTGGCCAGCCAGGACCGTAATGTTCTTGCCGTCTTCTTGGTAGTATGCTCCAGTAACAACGCCACTAAGTTGAGCTTCGCTGAGAGACCTGCGTCTCGTGTTGGAGGTACTGGCTGCAGGTAGCTTAATCTTAACAGGGAATGGTCCGAGGCCATCACTGTCTAGCTTCGCAGCTCCGTGAGCAGCAAGCTCTGCCGACGAGATGGAGCCAGCAAGTAACGAGCCATTAGCAGGAAGGCCCAAAACCGATGCCGTGAGTGTGCCACTGTAGGCGGGGACGGGAACAGGGGAATTTTGAAGCCAGTTGCCTTGCGAAGGGACCCAGATAGCAAATCCGCTGGTTGGAATGACGTCCGAGCCCTTGAACTTGTTGATTTCGGAAAACATTCCCGTCAGAGCAATAACAATCTCAGGCTTGTTCTTGGTGATGTTGACCTGAAGAGGGACGACGTATTGAACCATACCGTTGACGCCTGCGCCGAGAGGACCCCAAGTGTTCTTATCAATGTCGTACACTGCAACATTTCCAAGACCCTCGGCAGAGTTATCAAGAGTGTTGTTGAATTCACCACCGGCATAGATCTTTTTACCTTCCAAGTGAAGATCCATCACTTGGCCATTTAGGCCGCCATCAAGCGACTTGACATCTTTGCTGCCAGTAATGGCGACAATATTTTTGTGATCTTTAGACGTGAAGTTGCCGCCAATATAAAGAGTGTCGTCAGACGAAATAATAGAACGCACACCAGACATTTTATCGAAACCAGATCCCAACTTATTGATAGCTGATGTCTCCAGTTCGGAAGCTTGAATATTCGGGTCTTCGGGGTTAAATTCAAATAGACCATTCAGACCGCCGTTGGAGTTGATCAATGTGAATCCAACTTTCTGTGCAACGGCAGTCATTTCCTGTTGAGAGTCGTCGGGTTGAGGTGTAATGGTGACGGTGGGCTTGAAACCATCGGAAGTCTTCTCTACATATCCGAAGTAAATTTGATCATACTTGTCAAAGTTGTTGGTCTGGTAAAGAGAGGTAGTAAAGTCGAACTGCTTTGCACCACTGGACATGGTGCCGGTAACGTTCACACGCCCACGTGTTAAGCATGTATCATCAGGCTTACATCCCGGGGTGAACAAATTGATAGAATAGTTTCCAGACTCTTGGATGCTGGGGAAAAAGACGACCGATGCTTTCGATGCTGACTGGTGGTCGACGTTGACGGTCAAGTACTTGGAATCGCTTTGTAGTGATGGTGATTCGGTCCAAGGGCCAGTTGCAGTGGCTTTAGAGGGAAATTCGAGTCCCCGGCAGGTCGGTTCATTTAATGCGTTGATGGCGTATGTGCCGATCTTGTCCTGGTAAATCTGAACACCACCAAGACCACCGCCGTCGCCGTATACATCCGACACAGCAATGCGTAGTCGGCTCATCCCGACGGCATTGACGAAATGGAAGTCCTGCGGCTTAGAGGCGTCTTTGAGAAGGGGGCATTCTCTGGTGCAGCTGGCATTACGGCCGGTTTGCGGATCAACGTATGTGAGATTTGCAATGCCGTCCACTGGCTGGGCAGGGAACAAGACACGGAACGTCTTAACACCTCGGCCATCCACATTCGTGTTCCATAAACGAAGCTTTGTAGGCTTAAATGCAAAATCAAACTGGGCTTCCCAGAAGCCCGACTTGGTTCCTGACTGCATCAAATAGGTGCTTCCGGGGGCGTCGCCACCACTCGAGCAAGCAATGTTAGCGGGGTTATCGAAGCCGGCTCTGTCAATATGGTTTTCTGCCACAATATTGGCACCAGAAAGGTTAATAAGTTGTCGGTCTGGTTGACTGGGTGTGCTGAGATTGCCAAGACCAGTGAAACTGCCGCCAAAAATGATATGTCCATTGGAGGCTTTTGTGATGGTGTTGACAGGTCCGTTGAAGCCTGCAAATGGGAGGTTGGACCAGCCACTGTCTCCAAGCCAGGCAATAGCGTTGGTGGAATTTGAACCCATAAAGCTTCCACCGACGTAAACTGTGTTACGCTGTTCGTCGCAATACACTGTGTTTACCTCACCTTGGAGGCCATCCAGCGGCGTGACCTGCGCAGTAGTTTGGTTAAGTAAAGCCATCGCAGTAGACTTTGTGCCATCCAACGAGGTAAAGTTTCCTGCCAATATAACGCCTCGATTTTTGAAGAGGCACATGGCACGAATGGCTGCATCGGCAGATACGATAGATGCTAAGGCACCATTAGGCAGCGGCGCAAGAATCGACTCACTACCGTTGTTGCTCAGTGGCTTGCCTACTTGGCCTTCATATTCGTACAGAGAAATACCGCTGAAGTCACCAGCGATGCCCACATCTCCAAGATTAGCAATGTCGAGGTTCGCTGATGGCGCTGGTTTGAACTGAAAAGCACTCGATGCGGAGGGCACCAGTGCGATTAAAGCGGCGACAGTTAGACTCAGCGGTTGCGAACGCGCCGCCTGTCGCCGGCGGCACGGTAAGCGCATGGTGAGGGTGAGTTGGTCGAAGGATTACCAGATAGATCTTTGATTGGTTTCGAGGTGATCGTGGTGAGAGAGTTGGACGCGCTAATGAGCTCTAAACCGCAGATATCTTCTAATAATCGAATAGCATGACAACCGTGGCAGGAAAATCGATAAAAGATGTTTAATCGGTTCCTGGCAATCGTGATCTAGGTGCCAAAACAGACGGACGCGAGTTTCAGAATCGAGTATTATTACGAGTTGAGGAGGTAGCGTGTTGTTATGGTGTGTTTTGATTAATGTCGAGAGGCGAGGATTTAGTGAAAGGAAAAAAGTATCGAGAAACGAGAGAGAGGCGGGTGCGATAAACGAGTGAAAAGAGCGAAAATGACGAGCCTCGACGAGATCGAACACGAAGTCGCAGGTGAAAGGGATTGTTTGCAGCAAAGAGAGCAAAATGGCTGGGCAAAGAATGTGGGAAATTGCTGGGGAGGCAAGAAGCCTGCCAACACGATACGCGGTACTAAACTGCATGCGGTAATAAGTGGGGAGCTCTGGCCACAGCCTGGCAATCAGGAACCAGTGCTCGGCGGCACAGCAGCAATCGGGGTAACCAGAGCAGCGTTCCAGTGGCGGCTGGTAGAAAATAAAAGACACAGTTAGATGGATTACGAAACAGGAAAATAAGGACGATTATTTCGTCTTTATTTCTTGTATATAAATATATATCAGACGACTGCGCCTTTTTTTTCTCGTGTTTCCCTCTCCCCCCCTGGACGCATAAGAGAGGAAAAAAGGGACTCGGCGCTGCTGGTTCCAGGGGTTGCCATTGGATCGCGCAACCTTACAGGTCAACCGCCGGCCCTCCTGCAGGGAAACAATTGGGCCACTGGACCACTGACGTCTGCCACTGCGCTGCGGCCAGTTTGCGCCTACCACGCTGCAAGCCCAGCGCACCCTGAGCCTGTCTTAGGGGGCCGTCACCAAGCGCATCTACAAAAAGTAAGACCAGCGTCAGACTCGAGACCTTTTTTTGGTTGCCCGAGAGGAGGGTTTGACCTCATGTGTCTCAGGGAACTCATGCGGGAAATGGAGCATAAAAACCCGCCGGATAAGGGAAGCACAAGAGACACCGCGAGGTTTCAGCCGCCTTGAGGTCGACCTGTGCCTCGATCTGAATGCATGGTGATGGCCTGTTGCCATGACACAGGTTCTGCTGCACTGGATTCATGCAGTCGGTCTTAAGTTGTACCGCCATGTTTGGTTTTCTCTGGTGCCGGGAAACACAGCTTGGGACATTTGGCTGATCCTGATCATATAGCCAAGTCTCGGATAGAGGGCGGTTGATGCAACTCCCCTGAGCATGTGTGACGCGTGGTTTCTCTCTCTCAATGAAGAAAAAAACGGTGCCAGTTTCTTTTACCGTTACTTTGTAGCTCACTGGCCCCCAAGGCCATTCAGCGGGACAAGAGCAGCGGTCGCATGCATGTCGAATCAACGATTAGCCTATCCTAGTAGACCGTTGGATATGTAGGGGCTAAGCTGGGCTCAATCTGGATAGCCCTCTAGGGTACCCAAGCTGTATAGAGTTTACATCGGCACTATGTCTACCATATTGGTCATTTATATTATAATTTAATTTTCTCTTGTATTGATTCTTTATTTGTCACGTTATTTTTGAAGATCATACCGTTTTCAAGATGGTTGTTATTCTTGTAGCACTAAACGTTGGTCATCTCTGTATATTGAGTGCTCTTCGTTTAATGGTGGGGTACGAATAGGGGAAAGTAATCGACACAAGGTCGGCAAAAGAGGGTGCTAAGTAGATAAATATACATAGAGATGATACTCCGAAGCTCAAAAGCCCATAGAGAATGTATAAAATATTTAGTTAACCACTATGATGTTTACGATCGCGGACACACTGCAAGCTTCAACGCCGCTTGCTTCTGTGACTCGGTTCGGCAAGCCCCACTTTAAATTCGGAGATCCAGTCGTCCCCCAGCATCCTAGCAAAACTTTTTGTCGTGACTGTTTTTTCGATTGAGACATCGTCACCACCAGCTTCAACATAACAAACGCCGTCCTAAGGCTTATGGTATCTGCGCGAGGACTCGCCAGACGCCGAAGCTATGGCCCACTCCGTCGATAGTCCTGTCAAGCAGCAACTGGTGGACAAAGTGCCCAAGCGCTTCCGTGGAATCAAATTCGGCATCCAGTAAGACTACTACCTATCGCACGTTGGATTATATACTCACCACGTCTCCCAACAGGTCCAACCAGGATATTTCCAACCAGGCTGTCACTGAAATTTCGAATCGACTCCTCTACGACATCGAAAACAACCGTGCTCCCTACAAGAACGGTCCTCTTGATATCCAATTGGTTCCTAACCCCACCACATACTCGACAAAGCTGTACCACGCTAATACATGGATCTATTTAGGGTACCTCTAGTAAATCAGGCAAATGCTCTACCTGTAACGAAGCTCTTCAGGGCTGCAATGGTCACTTTGGTTATGTCCGACTTCCGTTGCCAGCCTTTCACGTTGGCTATCTACGTTTCATCATATCCATTCTCCAAGAAATCTGCAAGGTATGGGACTATTGATATAGAAAAAGCCGAATTATTATTAACTTTTAATAGGACTGTGGACGTGTACTGCTTACCGAAACCGAACGACGACAATTCCTTGCCGATTTGAGAAAGCCTTTTATCGATAATTTGCGGCGCACCCAGATCCGCAAAAAAATCAATGAGCAATGCAGGAAGGCAAGAACCTGCCCTTATTGTTCGTCGGTAAATGGTCAGATCCGAAAGATTGGCGTGTTGAAGCTCGTTCACGACAAGTTTGTTGCTTTTAACAAATCAACCGCTATTAAAAAGGAGCCGCCAGCCAGCAAAATTATCTTCGACAACTCCTTCAGCGAAGCGAAGCGAGAGAACCCCGAAGTTGAGAAGCACTTGCGTAGGGCTATGGAAGATCTTAACCCGCTACGAGTTTTGAACCTATTTAAGATGATCAGTGCTCCGGATTGCGAACTTCTTGGCCTCAACCCTGCTGAAGGCCGACCCGAGATGTTTATCTGGCAATTCCTACCCGCACCCCCCGTTTGTATCAGACCATCTGTTGCTCAGGACAACTCAAGCACAGAAGATGATATCACTGCGAAGCTTGCTGATATTGTCTGGATTAGTGGCATGATCCGCTCGGCCCTGCAAAAGGGATCTGCCATTCAGACCATCATGGAACAGTGGGAGTATCTCCAGACTCAAATTGCAATGTACATCAATAGTGATGTCCCAGGTCTGCAACAACCCGGATTTGGTAAAGCCGTACGTGGCTTTTGCCAACGCCTTAAGGGTAAACAGGGCCGATTCCGTGGTAACCTCTCTGGCAAGCGTGTCGATTTCTCTGGCCGTACCGTTATTTCACCAGATCCCAACTTGGGAATTGATGAAGTTGCTGTGCCCCAGCTTGTCGCTAAGAATTTGACCTACCCTGAGAGAGCCCAGCGTCACAACATCGAAAAGCTGCGCCAGTGCATTAAGAATGGTCCTGATGTGTGGCCCGGCGCTCAGCATATCATTAAATCTGACGATGGAGGCTATAAAATCTCGCTCAAGTTTGCCAATAAAAATCTGGCGGCTCGAGAGCTCAGATATGGTGACGTTGTCGAGCGTCATCTTGAAGATGGCGATATTGTGTTGTTCAACCGACAGCCTTCGCTTCACAAACTCAGTATTATGAGCCATCTTGCCAAGATTCGCCCTTGGAGAACCTTCAGACTAAACGAATGTGTTTGCAATCCTTACAACGCTGATTTTGACGGTGATGAGATGAACCTTCACGTTCCTCAGACAGAGGAGGCCCGCACAGAAGCCATGACTCTCATGGGAGTTAAACACAACCTGAGCACCCCAAAGAACGGTGCCCCTATTATTGGTGCCACACAAGATTTCATCACCGCTGCCTTTTTACTTAGTAACAAGGAGCGGTTCTTTGATCGAAAGACCTTTACATACATGTGCATGCACATGCTCGGCACGGAAACGTACCTCGAGCTCCCACCGCCAACAATTATTAAGCCAATGGCTCTGTGGACCGGAAAACAGCTGTTCAACATTATGATGAAGCCCAACAAAGACTGCCCTATCATGGTCAATGTCGAAGCCAAGTGCAAGACGTTCTCATCCAAGTCTCGCAACTGCCCCGATATGGACCCCAATGATGGTTGGTTGGTAGTGAGAAATTCTGAAGTCATGTGCGGTGTCATGGACAAATCAACTGTCGGTACAGGAAAGAAGGACTCGATATTCTACGTTATTCTACGTGATTATGGCCCCAATGAGGCCGCAGTTGCTATGAATAGACTGGCAAAGCTTTGTGCCAGATATCTGACGAATAGAGGTTTCTCAATTGGTGTTGGAGATGTGTGCCCGACTAGCAGTCTTACAGCTGAAACCGAGAAACTCGTCTCTACTGCTTACAAACAGTGTGACAGCCTCATTGAGAAGTTTAAGCAGGGCAAGTTGGAGAAAGCGCCTGGTTGTACCATGGAACAGACGCTGGAGAACTCCATTTCTGGTATCCTCAGTAAGGTCAGACAGCAAGCTGGTGACTACTGTATTGATACGCTCAGCAAGAACAACGCTCCCTTGATCATGGCCAAATCCGGATCCAAGGGTTCCGACATTAACGTCGCCCAGATGGTTGCCCTAGTCGGTCAGCAAATTATCGGTGGTCAGCGTGTGCCTGATGGTTTCCAGGACAGAAGTTTGCCCCATTTCTTCAAGAATGCTCGTCAACCCCCCTCCAAGGGTTTCGTGAAGAACAGTTTCTACACCGGCTTGGTGCCCACAGAGTTCCTTTTCCACGCCATCTCTGGCAGAGAAGGTCTGGTTGATACTGCTGTCAAGACTGCTGAAACTGGTTATATGTCACGTCGTCTCATGAAGTCTCTGGAAGATTTGTCCACTCAGTATGATGACACGGTACGAACATCAGCTGGTGCGGTCGTTCAGTTCCAGTTTGGCGGTGATCGTCTAGATCCTGTTGACATGGAAGGCTCTGGTGTCCCCGTGCAATTTTCCCGAACTTGGAGTCACGCAGATGGTTTAACAAACGATAATTCAGAGCCTACTCTCACGCCATGCGCGGCGCGAGAACTCTGTCAATCACTCCTGGACAAGGAGCGCAAGAAGTTTCCCCGCAAGGGCCTGCTCTACGATGAGCTTCTCGATTACAATGATACGAGTGATTACGGAGTGGACGAGTATGAAGGCACAAGAAACTTCTTTAACGACATTGGAGCCTTTGTTGACCAGCTCGCCTCAAAGCTTACGGATGTAATGAAGCATGCTGGATTTAAAAATGGCAAACCTACCAATGCTACTGCCCAAGCGCATGCGGAGAGAACTGGAAAAATCACTGCCAGTACCTTGAAGATGTTTATTGAGCTATGCTTGGAAAAGTATAAGAAGGCTCATGTCGAACCCGGCCATGCGGTTGGTGCCGTCGCCGCGCAGTCTATTGGTGAACCAGGAACGCAGATGACGTTGAAGACTTTCCATTTTGCTGGTGTCGCTGGTATGAGTATTACACAGGGTGTGCCGCGTATTAAAGAAATCATCAACGCCTCCAAGTTGATTTCAACGCCTGTCATCACTTGCCCGCTGCTTAACAACAAGGCGATCGAAGCAGCCAGGGTTGTCAAAGCTCGAATTGAAAAGATCTTCTTATCCGACGTGCTCCGCTTCATTGAAGATGAGTGGCGAGCTGACGAAGGCAACGTCGTGGTCCAGATTGATCGCCAAGCTCTGTCAGACATGCATCTAGGTGTTGGAGTTGAAGATATCGCCCGAACTATCTGCAAAGATAGGAAGCTTAAGCTGCAACCGGGAGACATTACCATCTTCGATGATAGAATCACCATTCGCGTGCGCGACGCCAGCAGTATCGTGAAGAAGACTGCCTCTCGCAGCAAAGCAGGTGATGATACTGGAGATATGTTAATCAGAGCCAACGCAATCCGTCGCCAACTCCCTGCATTAGCTATCTCTGGTTATCCTGAAGCGACCAGAGCTCTGATTGAGACCTGTGATGACGAAACGCACAGAGTCTTGGTCGAAGGCTACGGCCTCCGCGCATGCATGACCACTGAAGGCGTCGTTGGCACGCAGACAAGGACTAACAGCGTTACAGAGTGTAACGATGTTTTGGGAATTGAAGCTGCACGAACAACAATTGCATTTGAAATCGAAGAAGTCATGAAGTTCATGGACATTGATCACCGTCATATGCAAGTTCTTGCTGATGCAATGACTTTCAAGGGTGAAATTCTTGGTATCACCCGTTTTGGTCTGTCCAAGATGCGAGACAGTGTGCTGCATCTTGCATCGTTTGAGAAAACGCCTGATCATTTGTTCGAAGCCGCAGCTGGCATGAAGACAGACAAGATTGAGGGTGTCAGTGAAGGTATTATCATGGGCCAGGCGATGACAGTAGGGACCGGCGCATTCCAAGTGGTGCGCCGACTAGCTATTGCTCCACGAGATCTCAAGCAAAAGCCGACGCTGTTCGAAGATGCCTGGGCGGAGAGTGGAAAGAAGAAATAGTAGAAGAAGATGGAGACAGGTATTGTAGTGACTAGCTGGAAGAACGGATATTCCCCATGTTGATTTTATGACCTTTATTGTCCCTCTATGTAGCAACTGCTACCAAATAGAAAAAAATAAGACACTGTACCTTTACCAAAAACAAAGCATGTAAAAATTCAAATGTATTGTATGTCATAGTTAAGCAATTAGACGCTCGTACATGTTCTGGCTCTATACCTGCACCTTGAATGACCTGCCGCTGGCAGTCTTGCGTTCCTTCTCCTCGTTCTCGGGGCGAGCACGGCGCAAGACCTGGAGGAAGTCTGCCGTTCGCTTTCTCATACGCGAGTGGATGTATGCTTTTGAGGCCTTAATGTGGTAGTGGAAGTAGTCGCGGAACGTCTGGATGTGAGAGATGACGTGTTCCATGCGCTGGGGGGTGAGATGACGGGGGAAAAGGACTATTTTCTGTTAGCTGGTGTTGAAGTTGTAGTACGTAGAGGAGGCTTTCTTACCAAATGTGACATAGCCAATCTCGCCACCGGAAGTATTCTTGACTCCAGGAACACCCTGGAGCTCCAGAGGAGGGTCGGTGCGGAAGAGAACGTGGGGAGCATTCTGGATAGCTCGTCGGCGGGCGTCTACGAACTCTTGGATGAACACCTTTCCGTATACTCTATCTGTTTCCTCGCGGAAGACTGTGCTGAAAATAACGATGACTTGGTCGTGGCAAGCCTTGACGTAGATGGCCTCCTCCTCACGGTAATGGATGGCCTTGACTTCGCCACCGTCCTTGAGATCTTGAGGCGCCTCCTCTGTTGTGAATTTGGAAGCCTCTTCCTTCAGCTTGTAGTGTTCTTCGTATGCTTGCTCGAACGGCGCGGCCATGGCATTGCGCTTGAGGAGGGCGAACTTGAGTGCCAAGGCGTCTCGTTCCTCTAAAAGACGACGAGTTAGTAGTGTTTCCGGTTGACAGTGTACGCCAATTGTAATAACCTTTGCTAGCAGGCAGGTTCTCCAGATCAATCAAAACCGAGAAGTCGTATCCGGGCTCGACCTCGCAGGCATAGTCGCCATATTCACGCTGCAGGACCTGCTGGGCGCCGTAGCGGACAAGATCCTGGAAGCATCTTATTTGAAGAGAGAGAAGAATCTTTGTCTTAGTGTCGGGAAGGTTGGAAATATGGAAAGTGACGCCGTCAAAGTCGGAGATGGTCTGGTCAACGGAAGCAGGCGGGGCTCTGAAATCGCATTAGCCAGGTACACGCCACAGTAAATCGCTAGTGTTCAATCTTACCCCGAGAACCGCTCGGTGAGAACCGATTGGATTAAAACGTTTTGATAGTCCAGGAGAAGCATGGCAGCAATGCGGTTGGTTTGGTGAACCGTTGTCGAAGCTGCCCCTCACAGAGCTGCTGTTAGCTGGTTGACGACACCTGGTGGGGCTTCGCGGCGAAGCAGACGTCAACCTACGCAGCCGTCCACGTGACGTCTACTAGGCGTAAACCAAGCTCCCCCAAAATCCGACCGGGCAGTATCGATAAGAAATCTCAGGGAAAAAAAATCCCACCTTAGCGCTGCCAGCCAGCCAGCAGATTGTTAGTCTACATTGATTTTTCTTTGTACTAGGCCAACGCCAATTGGGCTACGCATTCGGCACAATGGTTAAATCATATCTGTAAGTGACCTGTTGGACTATTTTGTGATCTAAAATTCTAATTTAGGCTCCTTTATAGCAAGTATGAGCACGCTCAGACGTTTGGCGTCGTGGCTTCCGTTGCCTCCAACTTGGTCTGGCAAGCCAAAGACAAGGCCGGATCGGGAGTCGGCCAAGCTGTTGTTGCCGCGAACGAAGAAGTATTATGCTGGGACATTAAGAAGGGTGAACTGGTGAGCCGCTGGCGAGACGAGCGCTCTATAGTTCCCGTGACATGCATTGCGCAAAGCAAAACCGATCCCGACATCTTTGCCGTTGGCTACGAAGACGGCAGCATCCGAATTTGGGATAGCAAGATTGCAACTGTTATTGTCAACTTCAACGGACACAAGTCTGCCATTACAAAGCTTGCTTTCGACAAATCTGGTATCCGACTCGCAAGTGGCTCGAAAGACACCGATGTTATCGTATGGGATTTGGTGGCAGAAGTCGGCCAGTACAAATTGCGCGGACATAAGGACCAAATTACCGGCCTCACATTCTTAGAACCCGAGACACAGGTCGAAAATGAAGACGGTACACAGGCAGTTGCTTTGAACTCCGAACAGACGACGGACGGATTCTTGTTGACCACAGGCAAAGACTCCCTGCTAAAGCTATGGGATCTCTCGTCCCGACACTGTGTCGAGACACACATTTCTCAGACCAATGGCGAATGCTGGGCCTTGGGAGTCTCCCCAGACATGAGCGGCTGCGTGACAGCTGGCAATGATGGAGAGATGAAGATTTGGTTCCTGGACGCTGATGGTTTGGCTGCCAGTATGGGCAAGGTTGATATGTCGACAAAGGTACAATTTCTCCACGACAGAGGAACGCTGCATCGCCAGAGCAAGGACCGAGCCACCGAAGTCATATTCCACCCTCGCAAGGATTATTTCGCTGTTCACGGCGCGGATAAGTCGGTCGATATCTGGCGAGTGCGAACTGAGTCCGAAATCAAGAAGGGAATTGCCCGAAAGCGACGCAGAAGAAGAGAGAAGGCTAAGGATAACAACGACGCCGACGCTGCAGATGGCGAGGATGACACAATAGACGCTTCCAAGGCAGACGTTAGCGACGTCTTTGTTCAGTACGTCATTGTTAGAACCGGAGGCAAAGTCCGTTCCGTGGACTGGGCTACGCCTAGCGGCCAAAAAGATCTGCAACTGCTCGTTGGAACAACAAACAACCAACTCGAATATTACACCATCCCTCCCAAGGATAAAGCAGACAAGAGCAAAGAGGATGCCCCCGAATACACTCGATCTCTCGCTGTTGAACTCCCCGGTCACCGATCCGATATTAGAGCCCTCTCGCTAAGCTCTGACGACAAGATGCTCGCTACTGCTGCCAACGGATCGCTTAAGATTTGGAATATCAAGACTCAAGCGTGCATCAGAACATTTGAGTGTGGTTATGCGCTGAGCTGTGCCTTCTTGCCCGGTGACAAGGTTGTTGTCGTTGGAACCAAGACGGGTGAGCTGCAACTCTTTGATATCGCCTCTGCTGCCTTGCTCGACAGTGTCAAGGCACATGAAGGTGCTGTCTGGGCATTGGATGTACACCCCGATGGCCGCTCCGTCGTCTCTGGTAGTGCCGACAAGTCGGCCAAGTTCTGGGACTTTAAGATTGTCCAAGAAGAAGTCTTAGGAACTACAAGGAAGACACCAAAGTTGAAATTGGTCCAATCTCGAACCATGAAGGTCTCCGATGATATCCTCAGTCTGAGATTCTCTCCAGATGCCAAGCTCATCGCTGTTTCTCTCCTTGATAACACCGTGAAGGTCTTCTTTGTTGACTCCCTCAAATTATATCTCAACCTATACGGCCATAAGCTTCCCGTACTGAGCATGGATATCTCCTTCGATAGCAAGCTTATCGTTACCAGTTCTGCTGATAAGAACATCCGCGTTTGGGGATTGGACTTCGGCGACTGTCATAAAGCTCTCTTCGGTCACCAGGACAGTATTCTGCAGGTCAGATTTGTTCCACACAACTCTGACGGCAACGGCCACCATTTCTTCAGTACCAGCAAAGACAGAACTATCCGTTACTGGGACGGTGACAAATTTGAACAGATTCAGCGCTTGGACGGCCACCACGGCGAAGTGTGGGCTATGGCAGTCAGCCATACTGGCAACTTTGTTGTCAGTGCTGGACACGACAAGAGCATCCGCGTCTGGAACGAGACTGACGAGCAGATCTTCCTCGAGGAAGAGCGTGAGAAGGAGATTGAAGAGCTCTACGAAAGCACGCTCACGACATCCCTCGAGAGGGATGAAGATGCCGAGGATGCCAACGGCGAGGTTGGTGCTGCCAGTAAGCAGACAACCGAAACACTTATGGCAGGAGAGAGAATAGCAGAGGCGCTTGAGCTCGGTATTGCTGATCTCAACCTCATGCGCGAGTACGACGAGGCCAAGGAGAGCAACCCACATGCAGTTCTACCTCAGCGAAACATTATCTTTGCGGCTCTCGGAAACATTACTGCAGAGCAGTATGTCATGTCGGTACTGCAGAAGATTAAAGCTTCCGCTCTTCACGACGCTCTACTCGTTCTCCCATTCGCCTCCGTCCCTCTTCTCTTCACTTTCCTCAATATCTTTGCTCTTCGATCCATGAACATACCTCTCACCTGCCGCATTCTATTCTTCATGCTTAAGACACACCACCGTCAAATTGTTGCAAGCCGCACCATGAAGACGATGCTGGACGGCATCCGCACCAACCTGCGTGCATCCCTCAAGAAGCAAAAGGACGAGATGGGCTTCAATATCGCTGCGTTGAAGATTGTCGGCATGCAAATACGCGACAACAGTGTCAAGGATTACATAGATGACAACTGGGAGGACGAATCGGCTGATCGATCAGCCAAGAAGAGAACATTTGTACATGTTGCATAAAGGTGGGATGTAGTTGGAGATACCTGGGATATAAGTACGGCGCAATCTTGGCATATGAAAAATGAGTTTTACATATAGAATCAATGCATATTTGACTTTCCATAATACGATTTCTAATTATTTTTAATTTCTCAAAAGTGTGCTTGTTCTGTAATGACAAAGTCGCCCTGCGGCGAAAAAGAGTCACGTGACCAACATCTTGAGTCGAGGTGCCAAAGCTCCATCAAGGCGTATCTCGACAATGTCTTTTGAACCCCGCGATTACGACCAATCAAATCAACCTTTTGTTTCTTGCCCTTGTTTCTTGCTCTTGAGAACGAAATTTGGGACCTATACACTGCAGCGAATCACTATCTCCACCTATAATTCGCCACACCCCTCCCGCCACTCATCATGCTCTTCTTCAGGTGAGTCCTTAATATGAGACGAGACTCTACGCTGAGCCGTCGCGCGTTGTCTTTAGATGGTCCAAGAGTTAACAAATATGACCAGTTTCTTCAAGACGCTCATTGACCATGAGGTCACCGTAGAGCTTAAGAACGATATCCAGCTCCGCGGCACGCTGAAGAGCGTCGACCAGTACCTCAACATTAAGCTCGACGACATCTCCGTCGTAGAAGAGCTGAAGTATCCTCATCTTGTGAGTTTATTCAGGCTATGTGAGCCATTAAATCAATTTCACGGCACTAACCGGCCTCCAGAGCTCCGTTAAGAACGTCTTCATCAGAGGATCGGTGGTACGATACGTCCATCTTCCCGCTACCTCAGTAGATACCCAGCTCCTTGAGGATGCGACAAGAAGAGGTAAGACTCCTAAATTGGAATCGAATAAAATAGGTGCTGACGAATCGATACAGAAGCTGCAAGCCAGCCAGCCAAGGCTAAATAAATTTTATGTACTTGATGATGAACCAAACCAAAAACGAACCACAGAGCGGGCACGCGCGGGCGCAAAATGCAACCTGGCAGAAAAGTCGGCTCAAGGCTATACCATAGATTATGTTCTAACATGATGCATCACGTTTGATGTTTTGCTACGGCGTTGAAATGATATCTAGATGAGATGATTACTTATGGAGGCTGCTACAAGGATGAACTACAAAAAGAATGAAGTAAAATCGTTTCAAATTTCGTGGCTATGTTCGTGATATAGTATACAGGAATACGTAATTCTACATAATTGAAGAGCGTGCTACCACCACGCATTGCCTCCATTCCCACTCTTGCCATCCCACATGACAGTTTTGGGGTTCTCTTCATCGTCACCTTCGATAAGCGGCGTGACCAATCCTCCTTTTCGTCTATCTGACATCCACTTATCAATCCACGCCTTCATCCTTTTGCGAGACTGTTCGCTGCCAACGTTGACAGTTGGGATGACCTTGTCAATACGAAGGCACATTAGGAACATGGCAAGCTCGCGGAAACTGCTGTGTTCTGAATACGGGACTCCAAAGCACATAGCTTCCTTGGTACTGCCTCTCTGGGCTACAAAGTCTTGCGTTTTGAATCGTGTTCTCCAGGCTTTGGTATGCAGGATCTGTTGTGTAGATATTGTGGAAGGTACCGAATTCGCGCCAATGGCCTTACCATTCGACGGTCTAAAGTTCCATCCGCTTGGACGGAAGCCGACAATATGAGTGAAATGTGGTTTGTAGCTGTTCAAGTATTCTTGCAGGGTTTCGGCTCGAATTTCCATCAGCATTTGCATGTGAACTTGAGCTTTGGTTGGATCAGACGTTAACAGCTCTGACAATTCAGGATCATCAAGTTGTTTACAAATCTTGATCTTCGCAGGAGTGGCAAAGATTTTCGAACCCAAAGCTTTTGCAATGGCAACGCAGATGCGTTCTTTGCCGATAGAATATGTGCCACAGATGACAAGCAGGCGGCGTTTGCCTTTGGCTGGAGCCACCGTGCTCGATTTGTCCGCAGTCTTATCTGATTGAAAGTATTTACTGACGGTTGCGTTGCCCACAGGAACCTTGCTTTGATCTAATACGTCTTGGTTGTCAGGATCAGCAGCTAGCGTGGCACAGAGCTCAGCCGTTGCCTGAATAACGTCGTCTTGCGGAGGAAAGGAGTATCGAGGATTCAAATATGTTGTATCGAGATAGCATATATCAATCCTTTGTTGACGTAGCTTGCCAGTTGACAAATCTGGGAGATCGGGTTTCAACAACGGATGCTGAACATGCTCTGGACATGCCCTGAAGTCGCCGCAGTGCAAAATTCGCTTCAGCTTCTTACTAGGGCCGGGCCCAACTGGCTTTTCAAATATAAACATGGAACTGCCAGGACAATGGTTGGCTGGAATCATGGTCACCTTTGCACCGTCCGTTCCTGGTATATCATAGGACTGGTCAAACTCCAACTCGACAATGAACTTTTCCGCAGTTCTAAGCTGCTTCTTGACCAAGCTGCCAGTGACTCGGCTGCAATAGATAGGTCCGTGAGTCCAGTTGGCTGTTAGGCCAATATAGTGGTCGCTGTGAAAGTGGCTGAGGAAATATGCCTTGCATCCTTCGACTGCACCATAGCGAAAAGCATCCACGCATATTGAGAATCCGGGCATGATTTTATAAAACGGACAGGTGCGCATATATGCAGGCCTACCACGGGAGGCATTCTCAGCGGCTGCCGCAGTGGCCCAAGCACTGTCTTCTGCATTGCCGGACATGAGCTGAGAGAATGCAGACTTGCTAGATTTCTCGTTTCCTGACAAATCAAACGGGTTTGCTTGCCCAGGACGAGGAATAGCTGCCTTGATAAAGCGCTTCCCAACTTCAGATGCCTCTACTTCTGTCGGTTCCTCAGATTCGTCTTTCAACGCAGCAGGGAGAGGTGTCGGGTTTCCATCCAAGCAAGCATTCACATGGCGTGTGGCCTCGTCGGGAGAAGCACCAGCTAGTGATCCGTTACATATGGGACAGGCTTCGGTCATAGATCCATCGTCGTATCCATCATCGCCAAACTGGTCTTGTAGCCACGAGGTATCGCCTGCTTCTTCTGCCTCTAGCCGTGCCTGCTCCTGCATGAATCGACGCTCGCGCATCTCTTCGCCCTCGAATGTATCCAGATCAACATCGTCATCTTCCTCGAATGAACCTAATGCATCTCTATTCGTATCTGGTTGCTCCTCTTTTTTCACTAGCGGCGATATGGTAGCGACCGGGATAGAGTTACTCGTTGATTCGGATTGCGCCAATGGCGGTGGAGGTGGGGGAGGATTGGTTGGGAGTGAAGGCTCGTCTTCGTCAACCTCGTCCTCGCTGTCAGAATCCATCATAAAAGGTTGATTAACCATCTTTTTGGAGCTTGCAACTGGTGTGTTGTTTTGTGTGAAATTCGGCGTCTGCAGAAGAGGTAAAGCTGGTAGCCCGTCATGACTGAGCTTTCTCTTTTTTACGGGTGATGCTTCGTCCTCGTTTTGATCGTTTTCGTATATATCGTCATTGTTGTCAACTGGCCGGGCAGTATCCACGCTACCGACAAACAGAGATTCTTCTGGCTTTGCAGTCTTTTGAAAGAAATTTAGAATACTGGCATTTGGCTTTGCAGGTTTGTTAGGCTTCTTGGTGAAGGTTTGCACGGTCGATGGTTTGCGTGGGGTGGCAAACCGCGCACCCTTTGCTGACGAAACCATCTCGTGGGAGGTTTTATGATTTGAATGTCATTTGAATAAAAAAGAAAGGAGAAGCCGGATATAGTTATTATCCAAGACAGGCCGTGATATGCGCAGCGGTGGTTAAAAAAGTTGATATTGCAGTGAACTGTAGTGGAGCGAACCACCTGAAGTGGAACACGGCCAGCACGCGACGGGCGCTTCAGGCGTGTCACGAAGTCACGAGGGCGCCCATTAAACACCAAGCACCCACTAACTCCCACTGTAGCCGTCTACACAGCGCCCCATAAATCCGCCCCGATTTGGCTCCATGCAAAAATTCACCTTCCACAACCAATCATAGGGCTCCATTTTTTATGGTTGAAACCGGCATATCAAAGTCCTCACTCCAAATTCTTTACATGACTTGACAAGTCTTTATTGCTTCACATTTTGTCACCAACCGGGACATTTCTCTCACTCCCTTTACCGATAAACTTTTGCAAATCATTCACCATGGCCTCTAAACGAGTCCTTGGTCTCCTTGGCGGCGGCCAATTGGGCGCTATGCTCTGCGAGGCCGCAAACCCGCTGAATGTGCCCATTGCGATTCTTGATGCTGAGAATGCTCCCGCAAAGAAGATTCACTACAACAAGAACCACGGCACGGGCTCCTTTAAGGATGCTGCCAAGATCAGAGAGCTTGCTGCTCACTGTGAGGTCATGACTGTTGAGGTTGAGCACGTTGACACCGAGATTCTCGAAGAGATTAACACGAAGGGCGTGCAAGTCACCAACGCCGATGGCACCACCACCACAAAGAAGATTGCAGTCCACCCTTCATGGAAGACAATTCGACTTATTCAGAACAAGTACGACCAGAAAGAGTACTTTGCCAAGCAAGGCGTCCCCATCGCCGAACAGGTCGCCCTTGACGGTGGCGACGCCATGCTTCCCTCAATGAAGGAGATTTCCAGCAAATTCGGTTTCCCTTGGATGCTCAAGTCGCGTAAGGACTCCTACGACGGCCGTGGCAACCTCAAAATCTCCAGCGAAGCCGACTTTGACCAGGCCATTGCTGAATTCGGCAAGCTGTCCTGCTACGCCGAGAAATGGGTTCCCTTTCAGATTGAGTTCTCCGTCATGGTGATCCGCACAGAAGACGACGCTGGCAACACTAAGCGCCTTATTCCTTACCCTGTTGTCGAGACCGTCCACGAGGATAACATCTGCTCCAAGGTCTACATGCCTCCCCGCAACATCTCCCCCGAGATCTGTAAGCGCGCGCAGGACGTCGCCTGCAACGTTGTCGGCAAGCTCTGGGGTCGTGGTGTCTTCGCAGTCGAGATGTTCCTTACCAAGAATGGCAACGTCCTTGTCAACGAAATCGCTCCCCGTCCTCACAACTCTGGTCACTTGACCATCGAATCCGTCCCCTACATGTCGCAGTTCAAGGCCCAACTTACAGCCATCCTCGACAAGCCTCTCCCCGAGACCCTCAAGCCTCATGTCCAGTCCTCCATCATGATTAACGTCCTCGGCGGTGCTACCCCGGATGCCCACGACAGTCTGATCGAAAAGGCTGAATCTATGTACCACCCCGACGCCGCTGTCTACGTCCACATGTACGGCAAGGAGTCCAAGCCTAGCCGTAAGATCGGCCACATCACAGTCACTGGTTTCATGCCCGTTGCCGAACTCGAGAAGTTTGCCGAGCCTCTCATCCAGTCCGCCCAAGACGTTCGCCAGGAGCGCTTGAAGGCCTCCAGCAAGGCTCTTCGACCTCAAGCCGCTGCCACTGCTCCCGACGTCGCTGCTCCCAGCGCTGGTGTTAGCCGTGCTTCCGGGGACCCTCTTGTCTTGGTAACCATGGGCTCTGACTCTGATCTGCCCGTGCTCAAGGCTGGCTTTGACATCCTTAACCAGTTCGGTGTTCCCTGGGAGGTTGATATCACTTCTGCCCACCGCACACCCGCAAAGATGGGCCAGGTCGCTACTGATGCTGCTGGCCGCGGTATCAAGGTCATCATTGCCGCCGCCGGTGGTGCCGCTCACTTGCCCGGCATGCTGGCCGCTTATACCCCTCTGCCTGTTATTGGTGTCCCAGTGAAGGCTACCCACCTTGACGGTATGGACAGTCTGCTCAGCATTGTCCAGATGCCTGTAAGCTTTACACATTAAACCTTCGTATTGTCTATTACTAACTAAAACTGCACAGCGTGGTGTCCCTACTGCTACCGTCGCCATTAACAACTCTACCAATGCAGCGCTGCTCGCTATCCGCATTCTCGGTGCTTTTGTCCCTGAGCTGTTGGAAAAGATGAAGGCATACCAACTTGACATGGAGAACCAAGTCAAGGACAAGGCTAATGTCTTACGAGAAATTAGCGTTGAGGCGTACTTGGAGAAGATGGGAAAGAAGTAACTCACGAGATGAAAGTATCACGAGCGTTCGGAATGATTAGACTTAAAAACAATGCAAATTAGACATATATTCACCCAACTTAAGATATTTTCCAGCCAAGGTTTATTGTAGATAGTTCAAGAACCAATTTATTGAGTTCTTCCAATTAATGTTAAATTAAAGCTTTCATAACTTGGTCATCTGCACTATAAGCTTTTTTGTTTAGGGCTATTACTTCACTTGCTATATATATACATCTATCTGCATCACCCACAACCTAATACTGAGAAACAATAACTTGCATTGATCAGTTTACTTGTTAAGATGGTTCACGCACTCTCCTTTCTTGCCCTTGTGGCATGCTCTACTGCCGTTCAGGGCTACTTTATTGAGTCCAATGCAGACGCAAATACTGTTGACGTTGGCCACTTCAAGTCTATGAATGCATTTTGTAAGACGCAAACCACTTATGGACGATTTTTAAACACTTTTAACAGGTTAATTAGATGAGCACCTTGGCACTACCGACGCGGACTGGCAAGACACACAAGTTGACGCCCCAATCAAACGTGAGGAAACTGCCGGCCCGGATTCTGACCTCGCTGGCGATGGATTCTACAATGCTACTAGCAGCGGCGGGACCTTGGTGCCTCCCGCTGTCTGTTCCATTCGCAGCCCGTGGCGGGATATTGTTTGTGAAGACATGCCAATCCACAAATGGCAGTACGCGCACCATCGACCTCTGCCAATCAAGTATACGCGTACCCGTATGGAAAGCTCGCTGTAAGACTGACCAAGCCGGTGCACCAAACCTATGATACTAATCATTTTAACCAGTCTGGGCCTTGCATCGAGTCTCCGGGCAGGAAAGGACCGCAAGATGAAGTACCGCCAAAACGGCAACCAACGCCTGCGTCCTGACCATGATATCACTTACGACAATCTCAAGTTCACGGTGCCTATGTCGTCCGTCCACGCCATTGAATTCAACAAAACTACCACTGGCCTTATGGTTCATATGCATTACATATTCGACCGTGAAGAGGGCCATATCTGGTACGAAGGGGCCACTGTGTCACTCGGTGGCCACGACATGTTGAAGATGGAGGCTTCTGGGACCCCCGACTACAGTAACATCACTGGTGACGTTTCAGGCATTTATGACTATCCGGTGCACCCTGCAGCTACTTGGGACTACAGTAAGTGTCATGTGTGGAGAACCTTGAATTTTAGCTAATCAGTGCATTACAGATATCGTGGTCCAAGTTTGGCGTCAGACCGAGTACCCGCCAACAGCCAGCCCCGAGTGTATTGCCCAAGTTATCAAGTGGCATATTGATCATGCTGCTGCTAGGCACAGCAGAGTCTGCACCCAACTTGAACAGCTGGGAGGTTGGTGGGCGTGGTTGAAGATCAATATTAATGAGGGTAAATATCCCCTCAACACCTTCGGCTGCTGTGACGGCCGCCCGCTGCACCAAGAAAAGCTCCCTCTGGCGGAGTCCAATGGTTTGAAGAAGAACGAGACAGAGAAGTATGAGATGGAGAAATACGAAGGCTAAGGCTGCTCTGCGTTTCGTGAAGATGTGGTGATGCTTTTTGAAAGTTTACGTAGTATGGTACAGCACAGCGTCCCTAGACGCTGGTCCCCTAATAAATGCCTCCGTTTAAGCTTATAAAACAAATGCACTTGCGCTTGGGTATTCATCAATCGTTCTCTACTCAACTCAACTCTCGTTGCCACCTCCCATTCGTCGTTTGTATTCTCTTGGGCTCTCGAACTCGCTCGGTTTGCCAGACCACATCCCCAGGCGCTTCTTTTTAGCCACTGCTTCGGCACGTTCGTATACGTGCTTCATATCGCCGTATTCTCCACCAGATTTCGCTTCGTAGACTGTCGCCAGGCCGCGTTTCACCATTTCCAGTCCAACGTTCTTCTTCATAAACCACTTCCAGACGTAAACGGTTCCCACAATTCGATTGTATTGATCTCGTTTGTATACGTGCGCTCGGATATTTCGATGGAGGATATAATTGTTCAGCCACTTCAATGCTTCGGCAGCATATGGTTGAGCGGGCTTTCCAAAGTGTGCATTTTCCGGGGCATCTACGCCTGCCAATCGAATGGCAATCTGTGACCAAGGTTAGGATATTGCGGAGGATATAGAGGGTGACATGAATCTCGTACTGTGCGATCTTTTAACTCGCGTCTATTTTGAGGAATCTTTCGCAGCCATCCCCAACCAACAGCGCGACCACCCGGGGTGTGAAACAGGTGGAAGTTGTCGCCGTCACCAACGCTCGTGACGCGTCCAAAGATTGTGCGCTTGTTGAAATATGATTGTCGGACATGGGCAGCGCCGGGTATTCTTCGTAGGTAGTGTGAGTAAAGCTGCAGCGCGCCGAGGCCGACCAAGGGGAAGATGATCATAGGTAGCCATTGTTGAACAGCTTCGGTACGCGAGGTCTCGGAGCGTGTGAGCGATTGTTCCCATTTGCCATTCTGTTTTGACTCGTCTTCTGGAGCTTTGGCAGGCTCTTTAGACGATGAACCAAATGGCCAAACCATAATTGCTGTGAACAAGCTCCTTTGCCTCCTTGCCCTGTGGTAGGACGTCGCAAGTGCACGCGAGACGATCTAATCTGTAGGTGGCCCTGCACGTGGCTGGCCCTGTGGATGGTCCTGTGGATTGTGGTTATCCGCGTTTAACAAAGCCACTTACACTCTCCTAGGTTTAAAAAGTATAATAAAGATTAGAAATTAGAATAGGTGCTTAAAATTATCCACAATAACCACAAACATTAATTTTTACCATTGAGCGCAAATTTGCAACCTCGTCTTTCTCTACTAACAACCACTAACTTAGTAGTTTGGCACCAGTGGAGCGGCGTTGGCCTGTGACGTCGTCACGCTAACAGTTGCGACTTGGCTCGCTGCTTCTGCAACCTCCTTGCTTGTTTCAGCTTCTTCCTGTTTGGCAGCTTCCGAATTATTTGGCGAATTGTTCCAGATTTGGGTTAAAGTCGCTCTTTTTATTCGTTCTTTGTCCAACTACTCTTCAATATGGCTTGTTAGTACCCCGCAATACGTGCTTGGGTTGGCATATGTTAACTTGTTGGCAGCGTGGTTTACTTCCATTACGAAGCTTCAGCACATTACCGTGGTTCCTGAAGGAATTGCCGAGGACAAAGTTGTTGACCTGTTGCACCGTCATGAATTCTACCTCCAGTGTAACCCTCACATGACCAATTTTGAAAAGACAGAGACTCCTGCGGAGAAGCCTACGATTCCGGATGACCGCGACGCGACAGCTATTGCCGAGGCCCAGTGCTACAAAGTTACGGACAAGGTGCACACGATACCCGGCGGTCTATGGGACTCCAATGTTGTCAGTAACTACGAGTTCCTTGACGTCAAAGACGGCGTGTTTGTCAGAATCCACAGTCCTCTGAATACTACCATGGAGACACTCTGGCAGGTCAGAACTACTGAGGACGGCAAGATCGAGCTTGTGGAAAATGTTGTTATCAAATGTTCCAAGCTCTTGGTTGGAACCATCAAAGATATGTGTGAATCTGGCTGGAAGGGCATTCATGAAATGATGATGAAGAAGCTCCAGAGCGAGGCATAGACTACTAGACTTTTTATAGATTTCTACCCTTTCATCTTTCTTTTCTTGATTTTCTTGACAAATGCACATTGCAAGAGACTCTTATATACATTCTTGATTCTGCCACATTAATTAATCTGATCCGGTTATATCGATCGACAGTTACCTATTGAAGCAGGCGTCAAAGAACGACTTCGTCTCCCCCGCTCTTGTTGCCCCACTACCTACGTACAGCGAGTTGTGCCAGTCTGCCAGCGGCATGTTACAGGCCGCTATAGTGGACGGTGGGTACTGTAACATTCCGCCCCTGGCCGGCAAAACGTCGCTCCGCTTGGGACGATGAGACAGACTCTCCTTACGCCGAACCTCCCTTGATGGCAGAGACGCGATCCGTTATATTTTGTAGTTGCACAACTCTGCAGAGCGGAGGGCCACGACGTACGATTCGATTTCGATTTTGACGATTCATACACATTCGAAAAGAGCATGGTCACTATTTTCATTCGCCGCTCGTCCTAAACCCCCGAGCAGCGCCTTGCTCTACCCAGGATCGTCCCTCCTGCAGGCACAAGGACTCCAAACGACATTACACCAAACGACAGCAACCCATTAAAGATCCGCCAAGATGATGGCCTCACTGCAGGTCCGTGGGCCCGATTACTCGGGTACCAAACAAAAGGCCCTAGAAGATGCGAAGAAAATGCAAAAGGCAATCATTGAGATCTGCAACAAGTCTGGAAAGGAGGTACCGCAATACCATCTCACAGAACTCATTGGCAAAGGAAGTTTCGGTCGAGTTTACAAGGCTAAATCGTTAACTCGCGGGCAACTTGTTGCTGTCAAAATTATCGATATTGAAGAAGGCGATACGGCAAACCCGAAAATGGCAGACACTTACAGCGACCTCCTCAAAGAAATCAACGCTCTCAAGATTCTTGGCGACCGAGGTGCAAAGAATATCAACCTCGTTATTGAAGCTATGCCCGTTGGACAGTCCATGTGGGTTATAACGGAATACTGCGCCGGTGGCAGTGTCGCTACTCTTATGCGGCCAACCGCACCAGGTGGATTGCAAGAGAAATGGATCATTCCTATTCTTAGGGAAGTGGCTGAAGCTATCCACTGGGTACATGGAGAGGGCATCATCCACCGTGATCTCAAGTGCGCTAATGTACTCGTTACGGAGGACGGCAATGTCCAACTCTGCGATTTTGGTGTCGCTGGTGTTATTGAAACCAAGTTTGACAAACGAACGACATTCATTGGCACACCCCACTGGATGGCTCCAGAACTCTTCGATGAGGCCACCTCGTACGGTACTGAGGTAGACATATGGGCGTTTGGCGCCATGGTCTACGAAATTGCCTCTGGCGTACCACCCAACACAGCGTTTGGCATGGACTTTTCTAAACTAAGCAGCCATCTGAAGCAACACAGTCCCCGTTTAGATGGCGACCAGTATTCTACTGGGCTGAAGGACCTTGTTGCATACTGCTTACAACATGACCGAAACAAGCGTCCCAACATTGAACAAGTTCAACGTCATCGATATATTTTCAACACTTCAGAGGAGTTTCCAACATCGTCTCTCTCGCACCTTGTTCGCGCATTTAAGCTATGGGAAGCACAAGGCGGAGACCGACGCTCGCTCTTCTCCGCGGGTGGTGCCCAAGGACTGGCTGAAGCGCCGCTGGCTGTTGCTTTGGCAAACGATGATTGGAACTTTAGTACTACCGCTGCGTTTGACCAACAAGTATTCAACAACGGCGGTGCCCAAGAAGTCTACGATGTATATGGTTCAGATGTCGACTTTAGCCAGCAAAGCTTCGATGAGGCAACTCTGCAACAAAAGCCAAAGTCCCGCCGACGACCACCACCTCAACTACCAACTGTCAAGGCACCGTTAGAAAAGCTGTTCGACCCAAACACCCTCTCATCATATGATGACAACTCTAGATTATATTACGGGCGCCCCGTTATTCCACCCCCAACGTCGGATCTGCCACTACGCGATGCATCAGCCCCGGCTGCAGATGTTAGAGAGTCTCTCATCGATCTAGATGCGTCGCTGTACGGCAGCGATTTGGCCAATTTCACAGACATGGATACCATTAGAGCTGGTAATCCACGTCTGACTATTGATTACGACTTTGGCGATGTTACCTACACACCAGGCCCTTTAAGTGACCCCGCCGATGGAAACCTGAATCGACGAACTCAAGACTGGAAGTTTCCAACACTGGCACCACCGGCGTCTGCCAACCCCGAGGTATTCAGATTCCCTTTCCATGGGGACAACGGAATGCAGGATGATAGACCACCGCTGCTCCACCGCCCTACAGAACCTCTTCTGCCTTCCGCTGGATTTAGCGATATGGCACTTGATGATGCCTTTGACGCTCGAGCATCTGTTGGAAGTTTGATTGACCTCGACATGAGCTTTGCAGATCCTCCACCGATGGACTATACACGCCCATCCACATCCCATTCCGACATTGGCTCTATTAATGGATCTGAGATTGGTGGCGCAAATCCTTTCGAGTTGGAGAAACATGCGTCTCTATATGTTATGCCAACCACGATGCGCGAACCTTCTCTCTATGTTACAGACGACTCTGATTACTCCACCGCGCTCTCTGGATTCTCCGATATGTCTCTGACGGCGAAGAAGAGCGAGCCCTCGAGCGAAACCCACGGACTGTTGCCATCACAGGAGCAGTTCCACAACAACCGACCATACTCACTAAGCGACTTTGCTGATACGGAACCTGAATCCTATACCCCACCGAAGCTACCGTCCATGGATTCAAATAACTTTGGATCTAGCTACCGAAGCGATGGAAGTGAAGGCCAACCCTTCCCATCTCTCTCGGTTGCACACCCTGAAGACGGGCTACCTCACATGCCGAGTGCCCCTGCACCTCATATCATGATGGGCCAGGCATCTCAGGATGAAATCAGAGACGAGTTACGACGTATCGCCATGAGCTTGAGCGATCACTTGAGCTACACCCAAGACTATCTTGCCAACTTGCCAGTTAAACGCCGCAGCGCGATACAAGTTGCGACGCCGACTTCGGAAGGAGAATAAATCCCACCACACACACCTGGGAACTGTTATGAGATATGTGATTGCTTAAAGAGCGCGTTGCCCTCATGTTTTATTATTGCGACGGAGCAGGACTCGAGTTACAATGACGGAAAAGAAATGTACTATAGATGAGATATTGTACTCTTATTGTTTCAAAATCAAGTGCTTATCATTTCACTCTTCTCTCCTAATTATTGTAATCCATTATATGTCTAGCGGCCACCTCACGAATACCCAATCATGTCGCCCATAAGTAATGCCTGATACTTTTCAATTGCCTCTCCGAGTCTGATGAGCACGCCTGCTGCCAGCATTTTGACATCATTTTCGTCGCCTCCATCTCCACCTCTAATTCTCTCAAACACGCGACTCACCCAGTCTCTGGTTTCAACGATTTCCCTACTTTGCGTTTCGCAGAGACGTCGCATGTCTCCGCCGTTGACCTCAAGAAGAGCAGCCATGGCGACGAGCCAACCCCGAAGTGCCCCAAGGTCTTCAACAGCATGAACCCGGACACCAAGCAGTAGATTCCAGAGTTCAGATGTAAGTTGTGGGAGTGACAACGTTGAAGGGCCAGCTGAGTGAACAATCACACCGAGTGTCTGTAGATAAATGGCTAGCAGCGCAGGGTTGAGCGTAACGGATCGAGGGGACCGCAGCGCAACTTGGAAATGCGCTGTCAACGGCGAAAAGAAGTACGATGCAAGTAGAGACGCGGTAGTGTTTGGTATAGCTCGAACCTTGGGCCTTGTCAGCGAGCTGTTCTTGTATCTTGCCTTGTATGTCTGAAGTTTGAGAACGTCTGGGCCAGATTGTGAATCTGCCGCCTCAGCTGCTACTGGAGCTAAGAAGTTTGAAACGAGGTCCTTCGATATCGACTCAATGGCATTCGCGGGAAGTGCTTTTAGCTGTGAATTCGGGAGTGTATCCGGGGTAGAAGATGGCATGTCAGACAAGTACAACGACTCAATCTTCTCAGGCAGTTGCTTGCTAGGAAATGCTGCCGCTGCTTGATGTATTGAGACATCGTACCCTGCGATTTCTCTCGCTGCAAGACCAATGGATACCAAAATAGTTGTTCTCTGTGAGAGTGAGAAGTCTCCTTCGAAGAAAGACCTGGCAAACCATGGAGCCATGAGCTTCGGTTGGGCTACGAGAAGCGCCATAATGCTTTGTCGCTTTTGTTCCTCGAAGTCTTCCAGTTCAAACTTGTCTTGCAAACCGACCAATATTGTGGCTAGTTCATCAGCATGAGAGCTGACCTCAGTACCATAGTTTGCCTTTCGTCTAATTAGGACGGGCGCTGTCTTTAGCGCGAGCTTTTGTTTATCGTATGATTCCAAATCACGGAAGTATAGGATTAGGTTGCGGATGTATACAGGAGCTTTGATCTTGTTTCTTTGTACAAGCGTAGCATCTTCATCAGAGTCTTCCGGGTCAGATCCTTTAGGGTAAGGGATGAGATCCTCATCATCCTCCGAGGAGTCGATCTCTTCGATGATGGCTTTCGGTAAATTCGTAGTGACAGCTGAAGCTGGCTTGGGTCTCGTAGGTTGAAGTTTTGAAGGCTTAGATTGTGGTGCAGCTTTGGTTGAAGGAGTAGTTGCTATCCCAGAAGGGCGAGCAATACTCTCGATAGATCCAGGCTTATCGACCACATGGACTAGAGATTTGAGAGACGCAATTTCCGCCGATTCGCCTTCATCTAACTTGAAATCGAGTTTTGTTTCAGACCCGTCTTTTAACGAAGACAGTGTTTCACCAACAGCCATACCGAGTAAACGAAGGCGTGGTTGTGTCGATGCTATGCGGTTCGAAATGGTTGTTAAGTAGGTGCTGGAGCGCATGAGCATGTTCAACTTCATCGGTGCAAGTCTATGCACATAGCCAGCACTGAGAAGGAGAATCTCCGTGTGGACTGATCATGTTAGTAATGAGATGTGCAATTTCTGTTCGCAAACGTACCATCTTGCTGTAGAATGGCAGCGTGCTTGATGTACAGTTCATCGCCAAACTGTGACAGCGACTTCTCAAAGACGTTTACAATTACGTCTTTGTCTTGCGAGAGAACGGCTAGGACCGCGCGGCGAATTCCCACCGCATCTCCTAACCCGGCACCTGATGAGGAGACGCACCAGTTAACAAGGTGCTCCTGTCTAAACCGGTCTCCTGCGATGACAGACGTAAGAATTTGTGCGGCTGCTGAAACGACATCATCAACAGTTTCGGTGGCCTGGTTTAAATATTCCCTCGCCAAGTAGCTTAGTAGAATATCGAGAATTTTCTTGACACGCTGTGGTTGAAGGAAGCAACAAGCGACAAAATCGGCCGCTGATGCTCCAGGAGCAAGGAGGAGTTCCTTGATCAAAAGTTGAACAAGCGCATCTAGTTTGTCAGTAAGAGAATGATGAGATATGCGCAGACAGTACTAACCAGAATATCCCAGCGACATACATCGCTGGACCAGTTCAAAGCAGATTTCTTTGGCATCAGGATTTGCTTGAATTGCCATGACAACATTTTTAGCAACCCATTGAGTGTACGTGGGACCATCTCCAATCCAATGGCAGGTATTCGGTACCTTTTCCTTTCCAATCTTGTCGATAGCAGCTGATACTATAGAAAGGACTCGGCCACCAGCCGTCAGAGAAACTAGAGTTTGCGTCAGAAGCTTTTTCTGTTGGCCCTCTTGGAGCCTGTTGATCGATGCTGAACAAATATCCCATAATGATGATGTGCCCTCCAGCACAGCAGAAGTTAACTGTATAAATGAAACGAAATGAAGAACTGTGTCCGAGTGTTGGTTGGGGCCTTTTGTCTGCTCTGTATGCTGCACGAGTGACTTGATGTTTGCCACCAGCGCGTTCAGGCCAGTAACGTTCCGGAGACAGCTAACTAGCAGGTTAAGATTTTGATTTTCATCTTTGTCTGTAGTTTCTGATCCTTCAATAAGCAATGGCCAATAATTTGGAACAATGTCGGTAATAATTGTCTGAATAAGCGCGGCGCTTTGGGGACTAGGCACCTGTGCTGCTGGCGTCGTCGATATGTAGCGTAGTATTTTCACAAGAGTATCATAATCTGGTTCGTTCTTCAAAACTTCAATGGCGTCATCCAAAGTTTCTATTGTCGATATAGAAACAGGTTGTGCCGTCTCACTTTGAGACGATTTTGATTCCCGAAACTGAGGCTCTTCAATCTTTGCCTTAAGATAGGTTGTGCTCACTGGTGTGAAGAGTTCCTCCATGGCGACCGAACCGGCTCACATAGAGCAGTGAGTTGCTATTTTAGTGTTTATGAGATTGTAGCATGAGGGGAAATTATCGCATTGCTAGATTTTGGTGGGATTCATTACCGCGTGTATGTTGAAGGATGATCGCATCGACGAGAACGAGGCAGAACCCCACTAACCTCGCCCCGCCGAGCCAACTACCTCTCGCAGCTAGGCACCAAGCATGCACATGCACCATCGCCATTCTCAGCACCAAAACCGAGATTGACTCCAGTAGCGTAAAATTCAGCATTATAATCGTACAATTTCGGGAATATTCTACAACATGAGCATCGAAACGCAGTCAGGAGCTGCTCTGCTTGACGGTGAAGCTGCGCGCTGGTACGCTACCGAATCGCACCTCATCCCGCCACCCCATATACTAACCGCTGCGTAGGAAATATCTTGATCATATTAGAAGGACAGCCGGTCCATTCACAGATCCAGATGCCACTACTGAAGAATTTATGAACCAATTCCAGAACTTCAAAGTCCTGTAAGGATACCCGTTCACGCTTGAATTCGATCCCCGCTAACAAGTCATAGTGTCATGTTCGTTAATTTCCACCCTGTGGCAGCTCCATCCCTGTTACTAACATTTTATGTCTAAAGTGGTGCAGGAGGTTTGGGATGCGAAATTCTCAAGAATCTAGCCATGTCACGCTTCAAGAACATTCACGTCATTGACATGGGTAAGAATACATCTTCTTCTCGCGTGAGTTGTGCCAATCTAACATGAAACAGATACCATCGACATATCGAATCTTAACAGACAATTTCTTTTCCGAAAATCAGATGTTGGAAAATACAAGGCTGAGGTAGCAGCTCGCTTCGTCCAGCAGCGTGTTAAGGGCGTCAACATCACCGCACACAACAACCGCATCCAAAACTTTGACGAGTCCTTCTATAAACAATTCCAGCTCATTATCTGCGGCTTAGACAGCATAGAAGCCCGCAGATGGATCAATGCCATGCTGGTATCCATTGCGGAAGAGGCAGAGGATCCCGATGGTATCAAGCCTTTGATCGACGGTGGCACTGAAGGCTTCAAGGGCCAGGCTCGCGTTATTCTCCCCTCGATGACATCTTGCATTGAGTGTCAACTCGACATGCATGCCCCTCGTGCAGCCGTTCCACTATGTACAATTGCCTCTATCCCTCGCCAACCTGAGCACTGCATCGAATGGGCGCACGTTATTGCGTGGGACGAGGAAAAGCCGTTTCCTCAGCTGGACAAGGACGATCCCGAGCACGTCACATGGCTCTACAAGAAGGCGCTGATTCGCGCTGAAGAATTTAACATCCCGGGTGTTACTTATTCACTAACACAGGGTACTATCAAGAATATTATCCCGGCCATTGCCTCCACCAACGCCATCATCGCCGCTGCTTGCTGCAACGAAGCTTTCAAGATAGCAACTGGCTCTGCACCTTGCCTCGGCTTTGAAAACAACTATACCATGTATTCTGGCAATGACAGCATCTACACATATACCTTTAAACACGAGAAGAAGGACGATTGCCCCGTTTGTGGAAGACAGGCTCGCCCTCTAGAGGTAGACCCGCGCTTGACGCTGCAAGATCTGCTCGACTCGCTAGCCATTCGCCCCGAAGCCCAGCTTAAGAAGCCTTCCATCAGAGCAGAGAGCAAGACACTCTACATGCAATTCCCGCAGAGTCTCGAAGAGAGTACCAGACCAAACCTAAGCAAAACAATACTAGAGCTAGGTTTGGAAGACGGTCAGGAGGTTGTGGTAACAGACCCCGCATTCCCTCTTGAGTTTAACTTCTTCCTACGATTCAAATCCGTATAACTGTTAGCATAGATGGAGTCCAGGATGCAGGAGCGGAGTGGTTGGAGTCATGGTATCATTTTTGTTTTATCTAGCCATATTAACGACAGTAAAAATAAATCAAGACGCGATGAACTAAAAAAACGCATAAACACAATCATAGAGTCCCCTATATGTACACCAAGGCTTTGTATGCCAAAAATAACGAAGAATTATCGAACCATGTTGACAACCTGCTGCTCGAGCTTCTTGCACTTGAGCTTCAGATGCTTAACAGACTCGAGGAACAGCTCGTCACTGTCCCACTGTCCCGTACTCTCTATCGAAAAGATGAAGTGGTCTGGTCGGCGTCCAAGCTTCACCTTGCCGTCAAACTCCGCATGGCGCAAGCACTCTCTGCTAACAGTATCCTTCATTGCGTCCACCACAACAGCCTTGACTTCACCAGCGTGGCCCTCGTAGCCGCTGCCAGCCTGGGAAGCCTCCTTCTTGGAGATCGTCTCGAGGCCGATAACGCCTTCAGGGAAGCACTTGGCAAACTTTTCAGCATCAGCGCCAACGATAGGCTTGAGGATATTGATGGTCGGGAGGATTCGGTACGAGGCAGTTGCGACCGGGGAGAACTTGGCGTGGTCGCCGCCAATGCCCTTGTGCATGTGCATGGCGAGCTGAATGGTCTGTCTAGGTCGGAGCTTGGCGATGAGGATATCAGGGTTTACTGGTGCAATGGCATCCTCGCCACTAAAATACTTTTCTTGCTGGCCGGTGGGCACAAAGACGATATCCTTGGCGTAGACGTTGGCGTTCTTGTATGCTTTGAGAGGATCCTGCTCTCCGGGGGCAGCATCGGGGTTGACAGTGCAGGTGATGTCGAGCTCGAGGCGGACCGTGTTGTAATCGAAGCATCCGGCGTAGGCGTCTTCGCCAGGCTCAGCCTTCTTGTGCCACTTGAGGAAGTTCTGGAGACCGTCGCGGCCGCCCTTGAAGGGGATAAGTCCTAGTCTGTGTGCCAAGACTTCGTCCTGAATCACAGATGTGTTGTTCTCGATGTAGACGTTTTCAATGGCGAGCGTTGGGATCTCGCCGAGGAGAATGCGTCGGAAGGCGTTGGAGATAGAGGCGTCGATGCCAATGAGAGAGAAAGACGCCTCGAACTGGTCATTGTTGTGGAAATCGACGGAGAACTGTGAGGCAAATCTTTCAATGGTAAAGGCATCGTCTTCGCCGGGGAAATGGCCGGGGTAATTCGTCGAGTTAATGTTGGTGACGGTTTCCTTGTTGATGCCGACGGTCTGGCGATAGCATGGAGTTAGCTCAGGTTCGTCTTTCTTTTTGTGGTCTGCAATTAAATTTGCCAACATCAGTTTAGAATACATACAGGACGTCTATCGTCGCTGGACTGCACGCCGGGAGCCATGGTTATCAGTCGTGGTGAATCAATCCAAGCTTTCAAAAGGCGAGGAAAAAAAAGTTGACTTGCAGAAAGCAGCGGCCAAAATTTTTTGGGCTGCCCCTCCAGAAAGTCGGGACGTCAACCGCACCTTGCAGAGCGGCCACTAGACCCGCTCCGGTCGTAGCGCCGCCTTTTTCCAACGATGGCTCCACAGCGCCTGTAAGTATTGGTACAGAGAGACACTGAGGCGAGACGATTGAGTAGATATAAGAAAAAGAAATATTCATCAATTGTTACAATGCCTAAAACTAACACTAGGACATCAAGTCCTTATAGATATAATTATTCGTCCAACATCCTAATCAATCTCTACCTCATTCAATATCTTCGAGGTTCCAAACGTTGACGCCGCGCTTCTCGACGCTGCCCTTTAGCTTCTCTAATACGGCCTGTCTACGGGCTCTCTTCTCCATCAAGTCTCCCTTTTCTTCTTTGCTGAAGCCGCTGAGCTTCTTTCTTGGCGGGGTGGCTCGGACTGTAGAGCCAAATGCTATGCTCGACGACAAACTTTGGCGCAAGTTGCGCGCAGGAGTAGAATCCGGCGACATCATGATGCTTCTTCTCGCCTGGGGCGTAGCCATTGGCGAACCATCTCGGCTAGCAGACGCCAGGCGGATTTTGCGGAGTTGTGTCTCAAGTACGTCAACATCGCCGCTGCGCTTCTCAACCATTGTTGTCATTTTCGAAATGGTGCGCATGACAGCCTCAACCGTTGGGACGTTGGTGCTGCCGCGACCAGTTGAGCTGGATGCTGATGCAATTCTAGCCTTCAGCAGCGTAGTAGCTTCCTCAGCCTCCGAAAGGAGTTTCGAGAAAGCAGCAAATTCTCTTCGAAGCTCATTCTGCTGAGCGCTCTGCTCGGCGCTCAAAGGCAGCGAGCGAGCAACATCAGCTTGGTTAGGGTCCATTCGCGCCATGATGACTCGGCGGAGGTCTTCCTGCTTCGCTCGAAGACGCTGGACATCCTTCGCAAGGTCTTGGCATCCATCAAGCTTGTCCTCTAGGTCTTGAACCTGGCCTTCTTCGAGATCGGTGTAGAGTTCGTTGTCGAGAACATCGCCAAGATCCTCAACTTCGCATAGGACCCAGTCGTCGGGAATTTCCAGGTCCTCAGGACCACGGCCATCCTCGTTGGCACTTTCGATGTGTCCCTTGGTAAATGCCGTAATGGTTCTAGCGTTTAGTCCCAGTGTATCGATCATTGAGTTAATATCGCGATATACAGCTTCGACTTGGGCCGGGATGCTTTCTTTGGCCGGTGGAGCAACGTTGGAGTGGGCGATAAACTCGTCTAGCTCCAACGTGCCTTCAATTTCGGATGCCAGGATGCGTTGGATTTCGTCTCCTTCTTCATCAACCAAAGGCTGCGCTTCTTCAGCCTCTTGCTTCTCCCGCAGCTTTCTGTGCTGGAGCATGAAGGGATCAACCGCATCGGGCTGACGGGGGATAGCCCCAACTCCACGCTGAGATTGGGAAGCCTTGGGTCCCAGAATTTGCGATGCCATTCCCGGCGCACTGACTGATCGAGATGCCTCTGAGCGGATGACGCGATCAGGAATAGCGTTGCGAAGAGGACTAGGAGATCTAGGACTAGGGGCGCTAGGACGGCCAAAGAGAGGAGCTTGACGGGTAATCTCGCCGAATAGGGTGCGCGACTCTTGCGGTCGTTCGGTCGCTGGTGTAGTGCTTGCAAATCCGTCAAACGAGCTCTGGGGGGTGTATCCAGGAGTGTGCATGAAACCATGAGTTTGAGGGCTGAGATCTTTGGCAACGTCAACGCCACTGCCCTCAGACCCATCTTCTTCATCGAATTCTGCCTCATCATCATCATCATCCTCTTCTTCTTGTTCCTCTTCCTCTTCCTCCTCTTCTTGTTCGTCCTCTTCTTCCTCTTCTTCCTCTTCATCATCAGAACCATCCGTAAATGCAGGTAAGTTTGAGCTTTCCTTAGAAGGAGCCTTGGGAAGAACAAAGCTAGACGCTGCTGAAGAAGGCTTGGTAGGATCGGGAGGAAGGGGGGCCTCAATGCTCTTCTTGATAGACGTGGTAAAGTCTGGTGGAAGGGGGGCATCATTCACCGGCTTAGTCGTACTCGCTGCTTTAGATGCTGCAATTGGAGGCAACGCTGGCTCAGGCGGTTTGCTCTTGGTGAAATCTGGTGGAAGGGGTGAATCCTCAGCAGGCTTCGATGGCTTTGGTGTCATGCTAAACGGTGGGAAAGGAGCAGGGTCAGGCTTGGCGGGTGTCACTAGAGCGCCAAACGGTTGGCTAGGGGCACTTGAAGCAGCAGATGAGGCAGAAGAGTCACCCAATGGGTATGCAGCTTTGCTAGTCGAGTCAGGTGGCAACGGTGCCTCGGGTTCGTCCTCAACCTTGATCTTCGGCTCACTAGTCTTAGGTTGCCCAAAGATGGACGAAGTCTGCTTTGGTGTCGTCGAGCTGGAACCAAAGAGACCACCGCTGGCAAAGCTTCCCCCAAGCTTTGTAGGCTGTCCGAAAAGAGACGTTCCGGGAGCCGGTGTGGCAGGCTCCCCAAATCTAGGTGCCGCGGGGGTTGTTGTGGGAGTAGTTGACTCAACCGCGGGCTTAGGAGAAAAGAGAGAGCTAGTAGGAGCTTTAGGTTGGGGTGGCTCTTCGCGAGCCTCTCCAACATCCATATCCTCGTCTTTCGCAGCGGGAGTTGAGTCAGCCTTGCTGGAACTGTTAGTAAGAGCCGAGCCAAAGGCAGAACCAAACATGGAAGAACCCGAGCCGGTGGGCTTAGGAGCATCATCCTTTGCTGAGCCGTCTGGTTTGAAGGAGCTTTCCAGTTTAAAGGGCGTAGAACCAAATACACTGCCAGCCAGCTTGTCCTCCGACTTGACTGCAAATGGATTGCTACTGTTTGTGTTATTCGTGGAAGATGTTAGAGCACCAAAAGGAGTAACGGAGGGTTTGCTACCGCTACCGAAGACGCCTGTCGACGTATTTCCTCCAAGAGAGCCAAATCCGCCTTGGCTGGCAAAGCTGGCGAAGCCACTGGGTGCAGGTGCCGCAGCGGGCTTTTCCGCTGGAGCAGCATTGACAGAAGGAGACCCGAAGGCGCTCTGGTTACCGCTCTTATTCGCAAAGCTTGCAAACCCGGACTGTCCAAAAGCTGAGCCTCCGGTTGCGCCTGCAGCGCCCCAAGGTGAGCTTTTAAGACCAAGTTGAGATGACTGACCAAACCCGAGGGACGATGTCTTTCCAAAGGCTGTGTTAGATGCCGGTGTTGAACTTCCAAACGTGCTAGATCCAAAGGTTGGACCGCCAGTTGCGGCAGGGGCAGTTGTGCTTGCGCCCCACGGCGATGCTTTTTGTCCAAGCTGGGATGATGCTCCAAAGGCGGAACCACCAGCGGCTGGAGCGGTGGCTCCGAACGGCGATGCGGATGAAGAAGCAAACGGGTTGGCGGGTGTTGCTGCAGGAGCTGCTTGTGCTGCGGGAGCAGGAGCAGAAGCACCGCCTGCAACAGTAAGGCCAGGGTATGCCTTTGCCTGTTTCACAGAGTCCGTATATACCAACCACCAGGAACACAAAACACCCTCATGTGTAAGAATCCAAAGACCGGGGAGAGCGGTGTGGGACTCGTTCAACTCTTCTTCAGAAGGGATTGGTCGGTACACCTTTTCGGTGGCGGATAAGTCGAGAGCAACACCAACAGGGACCGAGTCTGCATAAGAATCAGTCATCGGTAATGTTGGTCGTTTCGTATCATCTAGCAGCTCTGTCATGGTGAACGCGCCAGTCACTTGGTTGTCGGCGGCCAACGCCTTGGTAGACCGACTAAGAAGGCCGACTTCAGTAGACGCAGTAGATGCAACAATAAGCAAGTCCTGGAGGTCAGGCGGGAAGTCTCTCAGTCTCAGCAAAGTGTGGTGGGGTGCTTTATCTCCACCGTAGGGCTGGACAGGGTCATTAATCTTTTGAAATGTAAAGCTAGACGGCGGTTGTCTAGTGATGATCTGGTACGTTGACGATGTTTGCCCATTGATTGTATAGATAGCCAAGAAGAGATGGTTCTCCAGCCATGTAAGCGATGATACGTGACAGTTGCTAAAGCCCGGAGGGATGGGGATTTGGGCTTTTGTGTCTCCCTCTGGTGTCATTTGTACAATTGTTCCGTCTGCGAGGCCGGCACAGAGCTGCTTGCCCTTGGCACTCCAGCTGAGACAGCTAACCTGGCTCTTGAGAGGATTGCTGAGCTGTTTGTCCTTCAAGTTGGCCATGTGCAGGCTTCCAGAACTTGTTACAATGGCACACAGTTCGGCTCGTTCGACTGTAGGATTCGGGATGAGCGAGCGAAGAGTCTCGCCACCAGTCGGAAGTTCGAAAGCAGAGTTTGTTGAGCCTTGAAGCAGAGAAGCGACCTCGTAAACAGCTAGACCACCTCCAGTTTCTGCAGAGAGAATCAAGTAGTTTTCATCTGCCGTGAACGCTACTTGAGAGATGCGCATTGGCATGGGAATGTTCAGCTGAGGTTGGTACTTGCGAATGTCGGAGTCGCCATCCTTGGGAGATTCGAAGGCCTTTCGTACTGATTCGGTAGACGAAAATGAAATATGGTCAGGACCAGCGGCGGCTATCAAGCCTTTTCGAGATGCAATGCTAAGGAGAGACGACGAATTCGAGGGGGCGTTTTCCCAGGGCGAAGTTAGTCGTACTTTTGCATCGCCCGCAATCGAAAGAAATCCGAGAGCCTATAAACTAATAGTTAGCATTGATTCAAGGGTGCTTTTATCGCTCAACCGAAATCCAATACTAGATTGGACGAAAAGAGCTGACGCAACGGTTGTCACAAACCTCTGTCTGAATAGTTTGCAGTTCAGGACCAGAACTAGAGCTAGCATCAGCGCCAGCATTGCCGCCTGCCGCTGCCATTGCGTTCGGTGCGCTGGCAAAAGAAGAGAACGCCATTTTGTCGGTTGCGTTCTATATGCAGCTGGAAAGAATTGACTCGCGAATGATGGTTGATTGCACGAGGAAAAAGGGCCAGCGCAAGACCGGGGGACGGGCACTGTCGCGGTTGTACAGAGCGACCCTAAGCCAGCCAGCGAGTTTTGGAGTCGAATAAAAAAGTCAAGAGCTGTATCGAATGCAGATATATATACCGGGCGACGAAACGGCTCTTTCCTCTCGTCGCACGCGAAAATTACGCGGTTGTCAAGGTGATAGGAGCCTGTGTTCTTGATATCGCGAGCTTTCAGATAATTGTTCCTGCCTGAGTTCTGCCTACGCGCTAAACCGTTTTGGGCGGAGCTCTACTGGCGCTGTGGCAAGCAAGCCTCCAGCGGCGGCGCTACAGCAGGTGTTACAGTGGAGTCACGTGGTAGGCCAAACAGCTTGCGCGCCGCCTCCCTCTGCCTGGAAGAGAGGGGCTCGCCAGACCAATCACTACTGGCCATCTCCTGGGGTAGCTCCAGCCAGAAGCGTGTCTGGAGGCACCTTTTAGCCTCGTCATCAGCTCTGCCTTCATCAGCCATCGCTCGCCTCCACCAAGCTGCCCGTTTGCCCATCTCCAACGACCCATTCGACGTCGCCGACAGTTTCAATTCAAATTGTCCTTCTAATATACGACCGCAACTTTCACCGCCTCCCTACTTACGGCCGCAAAATGCCCGGCTTCGACTTCTCCAACTACAACCGCAATGCGGCACTCCACGCCCAGGGCATTCCTTTGCCCAAGGCTACCAGCACAGGTACAACTATTGTCGGATGTATCTTTGACGGTGGTGTTGTGGTACGTTTTACTTGCTGGCTTCCATCCTGATGGACACAGTCTGCCGCAGCGGTGGTGCCTTTTGCTCCCAGCCGCCTCTTGCTAACCATTCAATCCGACAGATTGCCGCCGATACTCGTGCTACCAGCGGTCCCATTGTTGCCGACAAGAACTGCGAGAAGTTGCACTACATTGCCCCCCAGATTTGGTGCGCTGGTGCTGGTACAGCCGCCGATACCGAGTTCACAACCGCCCTCATGTCATCTCAGCTCGAACTACACTCCCTCTCGACTGGCCGTAAGCCTCGCGTCGTTACCTGCATGACCATGCTCAAGCAGCACCTCTTCCGTTACCAGGGCCACATTGGTGCCTACCTTGTCGTTGCTGGCTGCGATCCCACCGGCACTCACCTCTTTACCGTCCACGCCCACGGAAGCACAGATAAGCTGCCCTATGTGACCATGGGCAGTGGTAGTTTGGCGGCCATGAGCGTCTTTGAAACACAGTGGAAGGCCACTTTGACACAAGAGGAGGCTGTTCAGCTTTGCAGCGACGCTATCCTTGCTGGTATCTTCAACGATCTTGGTTCCGGTTCCAACGTTGATGTTGCCATTATCACAAACGAGAAGACGACGCTAAAGCGCAACTTCATTAAGCCCAACGAGAAGTCTGCTAAGCTCCAGAGCTACGCATACCCCAAGGGAACTACTGCGGTTCTCAACGAAAAGATCATTAAGAAGAACGATATTGGTAGATACGTCACAGTGCAGGAGGTACCTGTTGGCGGAGACAGCATGGATGTTGATTCATAGAGTATTGCCTTTTGAGATGGTCGTAATGGAAAATGAATGATTGTAACAATACCACTCTAGGCACTACTAGATATTGAAACATAAAAAAACAACAAAATTTACAATTTAACTTTGTCGAACACAAGTGATATTGAATGGAATCCCAACCCAGGGGCTATGTATTTCGCATGCTGATTACGACCAGCTGTATGCAACCAAAACAAAAAGTAGCCCGCCAAACACCATTCCTACTTCACAAAAACAGTTCAGCCGTCATAATAAAAAGATAACAAAAGAATATGTGCGCAGGCTGTGCTGCACAAATCTGAGTAATGAATGTTAGAAAAAGAATAGAATCACCTGCTGAAGCTATACATTCAGAGGGTGTATGAAAGGTAGAGAAAAGAAGTAAATGCGGTGGGGTATGAACAAGAAAGATACATCCGATGGGGGCATAGGAATCGGCAGAAGATGATAGAGAAGAACGGAAGACAACTACGAGCTGGATTTGAGTCCAAACATTGCTCTTGTTCGTGACTTGCTCCGTTTCTTCTTGTCGTCCTTGTCGGCGTCAATCTTGCCGCCATCATTGTACTTGGCTTTATGAATCCAGCTGTTGCCAATCATGCTCATGCCCTTGGCCTCGGCTTGGCGGTAGAAGTGGGCGCTCTTCTTAAGGTTCTTCTTGCAGCCGACACCTTTGGCATAGCAAAAGCCAGCCTCTGCGAGAGCATCGACGTCACCCCAGTTGCCTGCAATCTCGAAACATCGCAGAGCCAGAGCTTTGTCTTGTTCAATGCCCCAGCCATTCATATGGCTGACACCGAGTTCGTAGATGCTAAGTGCAAATTGTGCTTTTCTTGTCTTGTTCTCAAGAAAATCGATACGCTTGCCTTCTTTCTGCTGGTCTTGATCCAAAGCAATTTCAACACCAGCATATTCAGCAGCCTTCCGAAGCCATTCAACACCTTCACGCGGGTTTGGACGCATTCCCCATCCGTGTCGGCAAGCCAGGGCGTAGAGCAGCATAGCTGTTGGATTATTCTGTCTAGCAGCCAGTCGGAGGTGATAGGTGGACTCGTTGAGCGACCCGCTTTCATGGCATTCGATGCCCTTGGCCAAGTGCTCTTCTGCCGTCAATTCGAGGGCAGATGAGTTGCCCGTCGATCGCAGCTGATTGCTAGCCTTTATCGTGCTAGCAGTATCGCTTGTATTGACAGATGCAGGTGTCTTCTCACGTAGTCTCTGCTTGCCAGCTGCATGTAGAGATCGCCCACGACTGTCATCGTCCGATTGTCTCGCGGAATCATCCGATGGTCTGCTTGGGTTTGGTGAAGGGTAGCCGCTACCCAGTCTAGGGATATCAAGGCTTGCTTTTGTCGCGTCGATTGATGGCCGTGATAACGAATTGGCGGGGTCGTCTGGAACCACTCTTGCTGACGAGCTCGATGGGCGAGTGGGAGGTGATGGTGGTGCGCCACCAGGGAACCGTTGAGATGCGGACAGAGGAATGACTGGTCGTTCCCACTGGGTATTGGCATGTTCATCGGCGTCAGAGGATGATTCGAAGCGTTCCAATTCTTTGCCACGGGGAAGAGTGAATTTAGAGTATATATATGAGCCGGCGTTTTTGGCATCTTCGCTCTGCTGCTCGAGGAAGCCTTCGCTGTGCATACTTACGGGAGTATGCGCTGTATCATCGGCTAGAATGAAGGAAGGGTGGCTGTCAGAGGAGGCCTGCCTTGTCGGCAAGTCAAAGCTGGGGGTACCAGCTCTGCTCAGAGGTCGCGAGAAGTTGAAGGAGGGTCGGGGAAGGGCGGAGGAATCAGATCCCACAGATGGGGATCTATGGAATGATCCGGTAAATATTGTGCTCGCTGCCGATGTCTTACGATGTATAGATGAGCCAGGATGAGAAGTGATGCCGGAATTACTTGTTGTATCGTCGTCAATGTGTGTAGGAGGCGACGACGATAGCGCGCTCGGTGAACGCTTTGGAAATCGTGGTGGGATTAGGCCCATCTCATCTAGAGACATTTGCTTGTTTCCATATGGAGGCGATGCGTAATGAGAGCCATCCTCGCGACCCGTTGCAGACTTCAGTGAGCGCTTGTCACTGAAAGATTGAGAGTCGCTATGTATCGGCGATGGTGACCGCACGCGATCCGAGCCAGTGAAGTCGTTTCTTTCGTTTTGGTAGAGGGATTGGGTCGAAGGAACCTCAGGGATTGTCTGTGGCAAGGCGGGAATATCGCTATCTGGCATCTGCGGAATTCTGCTCATGCGCGGATGCATAGACATCGGGCGCTGTGAGGACGCAAAGGCGTCCTCCACTTCGACCTCATTCCGCAAGCCAAGAGCATCTTTCGATCCGCCAATAATCTCGTCTTCTTCCACGGCGGGTTCGAAGTTCATGGATCGGAAGTAGTCAGAGCGGGCTTGCACCATGAGGGGGCTCTCTAGAGTAAGCGGTGGAAGACGACTGAGTCTGTTGCCATCACGGGTGGTTGAGTCTTGAAGCTGGCGGGCCAGCATACGACTCTGCAGCGCAAACGCATCGAGGGGTGAGAGTTCAGGCGGTGCTTCGCCAGCAATATGCATTCGTGTTGCTCGTGGTTTTGACGTCGAGAATGTCGACATTTGAGAATTGGCTCGCAGATCGGCCAAGTTCGGCCGTTGCGACATGTTGGGCAAAGGATGGCGCTGAAAGCTGTCGAGAATATGAATTTGCGGAAGTGATTAAATATTTAAGTAGCGTAAAGGCGTAAAGATAAGGAGAATATGCGTCGAAGCTGTGTCGTTGTCGGTCGATGTTGACAGTTTAGGTAAATGTGGAGGAATGCTGCGTGCCACGCTGGGTAGACGTCAACGTTGAAGCCGATGAGTCGCCTGCGTAGAAGGTGAGAAAGACAGGAGAAGTTCGAATACGGAAGACTATTATAACGCTGATACGAAAGTCGTCGTCCAAGAGGCCATCTGCATAGGGCGCAAGTGCCTGTCGCGAGGCCGTGTCAAAAACGAGGTCGTGTGTGCGGTAAAGCCAGTCGATGGCGATGGTGAGTGTGGTAGTTGGGACAATTACGCCAGGCGACGAAGACTAACAGAGGCCAAAAATCAGCGGTGGATAGCGGATAAGCCACCGAGATGCCTTCGCATTAGCATGCGTCGAAGAAAGCGAAGATGGGATGGCAGAGCGTCGAAGAAAAAGAAAAAGCGCGACAGGATGTAGAAAACCGGGCAGAGGAGAAGAGAGGGCCGCGAAGGAATGACCAATGGCGGGCGGCAGCCAGCGCTGTAGTTTGACGTGCTGGCCACTAAACACACCAGAGACACTCCCTGACCCAAGAGGCGTCACAACGGGCGCCCACTAAAACACACGCTAAGGAGGGCCGGCCAAGGGGGGGTGGGGATGGGAGGGAGGACACGGGATTAAGCAGCCAGTCAGTCTCACTAAGGAAAGAGAAAATTATAGTGTACTGTAAAGCTATGGCTGCTGCTTGGCCCCGATTCAATTAGGCTCATCTCCCACTGCGGGCCACCAGAGCAAAGGTCCTGGGAAAAATACGAAAGGACAAGCTTAAAAGGTAAAGTGTCTTGGACGCCACTTTGGCGGCCGCCTGTACGTTTAAGCATGGGCGGTATTACGGTAGGGTTTATTTTCTTTTTAGGGGTGTTTGTCTGCATGTATGACCGTCACCCTACAAAAAAGAGACAATTGGCAACGACGGCATTATGGTGGTGAGAACAGACATTGGCGACAACTTGAACATTTTGATGGGAAAAAAATGGACAAGAATCAAATCGGAACTTATCCGCTGCCATTTTAAGTACACTTGTTCTCCTGAGTAAAAAACGGCATCTGCTCGCCTCACATACCTCCTGTATGCCCGCGCATTCTCGCCCTCTTAGGCTTGGCTGGCTGAAGCACCACCACTGCTGTGGCCACTCAGCGGATCCGCCGCCGCCCCCTCTCTGGTACAAAGTTACATCTGGGGTACAGCAAGCTAGCACTCAGGGGAAAGGGGGGCAGCTAACCTAGGTGGCTAGTCTCGCTGCTAGTGACCTACATTGGAGCCCAAAAAAAAAAGTCCCCAGCTGACAGCCAACGTTAATATTAAATTTTAATAGTCTCGACGCCACGCTCACCAGCACAGAATTGTAAAAAGCCGAGGCCATTGGGCATTGGCGATGGTTGAAAGGCGGACCCAAAGCCCGACAGAGCCACTGAAAACCTGGGCCGCTCCCAAACTGCGACTTCTGGCCAAGGGAGACAGCTAAATTAACTGGCAGCTTCCATCTGAAACATTTTGCTTGGCCCTCCCGGTGGGCAATCACTCGTTACGTTACAGCAGCGGTCTTCGTTCCAGCGCAGCGCCAAACAGCTGGTGGAATCTAACCCACAGTACCTCACGCGCGGAAACTCGCTCTCGTCGATACACAATGGAATAAAACGTTGAGCATGAACAAAAGGCCGTATATCAGCCATCAAAATTGTATAAAACTCTCTTCATATATGTCAATCAACACCAGTGACCAGTCTGCTTTTCTCCCGCTCTCCATAATGCTCCTCATGCCCAAGTCGACATATTCCAGAAAAAAACGTACTCATAAACGCCAGATCCCATGCAGCTCATGGCCAAAGTAGGCCAACGCAACCTTATAGCTCCTTGGAGCGAATCTTCTTCATTCTGTTGGCGCCTTCGAAAAGACCACGGTCCACGGCAGCAGCCACAGTCAACGTACCACCAACCACAGCGCAAACACCGGCAATGAAGCCTAGGAAGGTCTTGGATTGGCTTTCGCGGTTGATAACCTTCATGGGAGAAATATCCTATATATGAAATTAGTGTCACTGGTCCCCTATGGAAACACAACGTGTTCAGATTCAGACTTACATAGGAGAAGAAAACTCCAGGGATACCGCCACGCGAGTGAAGGCGCTCAGCGTGTCCTTCAGCAGCATCATCGCCACCAGCAAGACTGCGCTTGTGGCTAGTGACAGAGTACTGGTGAGATTCGATGCGTCCACGGCCGCCACTAACAGAGTTCCAGCCCAAGGGCAAGAAAGACGTGGGGACAATCTTAACAAAGTACATGAAGTTGAAGTTAGGATCAACGGTGTTCTGAATGGCTCCATCAAGAGGGTTCATGTTGTGGAAAGCCAATGGGTTGCCGGCCTTGCCCAGCCTATCGCGGATATCGGAGGGAAGCTTGGGGCCAAATCGCAGCGAGTGGATAACGTGGCTGAAATCGTGCGTCTTGCCGTCGGGCACATCCCAGTAGTTCTTGAGGTCATGAACGTGCATGTTTCCATTGCTAAAAGAGCGTCCCGGGGCAAGATGGAAGTTTCCGACAACCTTGTTAACTTGGAGGGTTCCGTCAATGCGGCAGCCCTCGTGGCGCTGCTCTTCCAGTCTCTCGGCGTAATGTTCGCGCTGGCACTGCTCAAAGGCTCTGCCATCACCAAAGGCCCAGGACTGCTGAGCGTATGCTTCTCTAATTTCCTCGCAAGTATTACAGCATCCCTGCTTCACAACGTTGCTAGGAGCGGGGGCGCCACCACATTCACCACAGTAAGAGGGGTCGAGATGCTCAGCACTGTCGTCATGGAGGTTCAAGGCAGACGATTCGATAACACCGCCACCTTCGGATTCCGGTCGGAGGCGCACCTTGTGAACACCGTGGGCGACGCCGTGCTGCTGCTCACCAGACACATCCATGACATCGAGGGTAAGAAGCTCACAGGGCATCTTGGGGAAACTGATGTTGAGATGAATATCCATGCGTTCACCTATATAATAGGCATTAGTTCTGACCCTCCCATGCACCTCTCATGTTTCCAGTGACTGCAGAAAACTCACCTCTGCCCTTGTCGACAACCAATTCAGGTAGGACGATCACTCTTCTGTAGTCGGCCCATTCTCCCCAGATCAAGAAGACGACGACAATAAGAGAAACAATAGTTACGACACCACCGCTGGTGGTACGCACTCTAGCTTCATCGACCGTCTTTGTGAAGGCATCAAGCCTTGTAAATCTCGACTTCGCAGGCATCGTGCTGGTATCGGAGCCAAGGGCGGGATGTCAAGGGTGATCCAAGCCAAAGCGTCGCGCCGTTCGTATGCTTAGGTCAATTGAAATTTAAAGTCCAAATACCCGAGTTTCCAAAATTCACACTCGGAGTCGTCAGGACACTTCGTCGTGGCAGGACAAAGTAGATGGTGCAGAATGCTGGATGAACAAGTGTCGTTGCGCAAGAAAGTGCAGCCCCAGACTTTCGGAGAGGCCACCGTCGCAAGTAGATGCCGTAGCGTCCCAATTGGAGGTGCCCTGGCGCTAGCGCCTACCACTGCGCAGGGGCTGTTTCGCGAATGGCGTCGTCGGCAAATCACCGGCTGCGGCTAACCTTGCTTCCCAAATTGACAAGCTCACAGCTTCCACCCTTCAAAAGCTTCGTCACCAACCAGGGAAATATTTTAAAAAGACGCATCATCATCGTGTGTTTGCGTTCCGGTGGTTTTAACAACACAAAATCGCGAGCCTCCCCTTGTCAGGTTCACGTACGAGAGCTGCCACTACCTGGAGCCTTTTAGCAGTCGCAAGGACATCGAACGAGCTACGAAAGCGGCGTCGCAGCATCACAAGATCACCTGTATACTGTGCAAATCTTGAGTTTGGCATCTAGACCTGGCCATAATGTCCACAAGAAAGCCCTCCAGAGTTGTGTTCGTGGGCAATATCCCATATGGTAAGTCCCTTTAAGCTACCCTCGTGTGCCTTCGCTAACATGCGCCCGCCTCCAGGATTGTCCGAAGAACAAATCACCGATATATTCAGCAGCGCCGGCAAGGTCGAGCGCTTCCGGCTTGTCTACGACTCCGAAACAGGACGTCCCCGAGGCTATGGCTTCGCCGACTACCCAGATACCGATTCGGCGGCTTCCGCAGTTCGAAATCTTAACGACCATGAAATTATGGGCCGAAAACTAAAGGTCGACTTTTCGGACCAGAAAAGCGCTGCTGAAGAAGAAGAGGCTGCAAAGGTTTGTTACAGTATCCTCAAAACTCCCAATGCCACAATCTAACCAGACTTATAGTCCGGGAATGGCGGCTCGAATGGTGCCGCATACGCTCCCCAGTCATCCTCTCTCCAGCTACCTCCCGGAAAGGATATTCCTCCCGGTCTGACATGTACCGACTCTATCTCACGAACCCTCAACACTCTTCCACCATCACAGCTCCTCGATATCCTCGGCCAAATGAAGATCCTGGCGTCTTCAGAGCCTCAGCGCGCCACTGAGTTACTGCAGCAAGCACCACAGCTCTCTTACGCCGTTTTCCAAGCTCTTCTTCTCATGGGCCTTGTATCCCCCGAAGCTATCCAATCAGTCGTTGACCCTAGCGCCCAAGCTTCTCAGCCACCAGTAGCGACCTACGGCGGTGCACCACAAGGCTATGGCCAAATACCTGCTACCAACACACCACCCGTTCCCCAGCAGGGATATGCTCCTCCACCAGCGGCAGCTCCTCCAGCGGGCGGTCAAGACCAAGAGGCGCTCATTCGCGCGGTTATGGAACTGCCCCAAGCACAAATTGATCTCCTCCCCGAGGCCGAAAAGCAGCAGGTTATGGCCCTGCGCGCAGCCTACGGTGGACAGAGAAGGTAATAACGTTGGTCATAACTGTATTCGATTGTCCGCATGCCCTATTGGTCATCTAGAAAGAAAAAAGTAAAGGGCACCTTCTGGGGGTAGATATCAAGGCGTTCAGGTTGGACTATTCTAGTATAATGAAATAAAATGAAGCATAAATATGCTCGATGTAGCTATTCAAAATTTACCGCCTTTGGGCTTTATTTACATGTGTATTTGATCTCAATCATTACGGAAGTCCAATTTAGGTTGTACGTGGTGTAGGGTTGTGGTTTGTGAAACGCTTTCATAAATTTAGGTGCATGATATTACTTAGCTCGTTTAATATAGTCTTATCAAATCTATGGTATTACTCTCAAATTTCGCGTCAAAATAATGTGCAAACCCAGTATTTGAAACTCTGACGTCTGTCGTAAATATGAAAAATAAAGAACTGGAGTAGTGTTGCATATCCAGCATCGCAAACCCCCCTGTTCTCTATACAATGTTATACACCCGCTTGGCTATCATGTAGCAGGCCAGGCCGAAGAACAGCAGCCCAGCACTGATCCACATAAACCATTGCAAGTCGCCCTCAGCCTGCTGGCCGGGGACCCAGACGTTCATGCCCCAGAGACCAGTGATGATGTTCATGGGCAGCACAATGGTACCAATGACACTGAGACGGCCCAAGACGTTGGCCGTCAACTCTTGGCGCTCGTTCATGAGGATATTGATCTGAGCTAGGTAATTGCCGTGTGCTCTCGCCAAAATCCTAGTAGCTAGTTAGCACGGAAACTTGGTCCGAGATGCAGGTGTTATCAAACTTACTTTTCATAATGGCCCAAGTTGGACGTCATGGTAATAATATGATCTTGAATATCGCCAAGATACAGTCCGATCTCTGATCGGGGAGCAACTTCCCATCTCTCATTGCATCGTTTCGCAAAGCCCTTGATGACATCTGCCTTGTTGCCTAACAAGCGGTACAAGCTCATGACACGTTTTCGGCACTCGCCGACTCTTCGAAGCATGTCGCCGCTGGAGTCTGCAATCGAGCTGGCATCGTCACCTTTACCCTTTGGGTCGTCTTTCTCGCTAGACGTTGAATGTAACTGTAAAATAGCCTCATCGATCTCGTCGACCTCGTCTTCAATATTCTGAATGAGAGGCTGGAAAACGTCCGTGATGTCGTCGATGATGGCATATGAGATCCAATCTGACGATAAGATCAAGTAGTCGCGCAATTGTCGAATACGTCTGCGAACATTGGCAGCATGTGGTGTCATGGAGAAATGGAAGCTGAGCACGCCTTCTCGGAAGACCACCACATACATGTTCACGGGCTCAAGGTAGTTGTCGCTGTTAATATCTTGATCAAAAGTTCGGTAGTTGACAAAGTAATAATGTCGAAAGAGTTCAACCTTCTCGCGAGCTTCTTGCACCATGATATCTTCTGCCGTTAAGGGATGGATACCAAAGGCTTTTGCAATGACCTTCATTTCCTCCTCTGTCGGGCACATGATATCCAGCCACCAGACCGGGCGATCGCCATAACGAACTGGCTTCTCTGTTAAATCTGTATGAGCGGATTTGAACATGCCGCTTTCCATGGATCGTAGGTTTTGCGAGGGAGCTTCTCTAACTGACGGTGCTCGCGAGCTTGGCAAAGCGCTAGCCAAGAGCTGTGATGGAGACATGGTTCCGTCCCGTTTTGCTTCGGTTAAGGAAGGCTGCCTTGTAGGTTGACGAGACTCGCTAATGATGGAACTGAGAGGTTTGTTGGTATTGGAAACAACTTCGTCGTCCTCATTATCGCTTTCATCGTCGGATAGCACCCGAGGATCTGGGACGAAGAGCTCGCGGAAGTTGCTTCCTGGCTGGACGAGTTCTGAAATCGTTTGACTGTGAATAGTACTTTGAAACTCTTCGTTAAAATATGTGAATCGGTAGGGAGCATCTTCGTCGGTTTGATACCACCCCTTTCGAACTGGCCGTAGTCGACCATTAATGAGCTGGGGTTCGGTAATCTTCTTCACGCGGCGCTCTTCGCTGCGATCTTCCTTTTCAAAGTGCATCCATTCTTCTAGAACAGACAAGTCGGGCCATGGATGGCGTCGCCGCCTGGACTTATATTGGTTTTGGTCGGGTGGCTGCTCGTCATCGCCAAGTTCCGACATGCCGGGGCCAGGATAGCAAACATCGTCCACATCACCAGACGATCGTCGATCGTAGCTTTGTCGGTTGTCTTCGCTTCCTTCATGCGAGTGAGAAAACAACCCATCCCCGTCCCTCAATCGGCGGGGGCTTGCATTTCGCAGATCCAGATCGCCATGGATCATAACATCGGCAAAAGCTGGTTCGTTGATATCCAGAGAGCCAAAGGTTGGTGAGGCGGGTCTTGATGGCGGATTGTTCACGTCGTATGCCTCTCTGGCACTCGCAGCTGTGCGCAACTTCGGCCTAGACGATAAGCTTGAGTTTCTTCGACTTCTAGCTCGTGCACTTCTAGCTTCGGGCGTGCCATAGCTGCCTGCCGTTCTCCCACCGTGGGATCCTGGGCGATGAACTGAGGTAGAAAGCAGAGGTGCCGTCTCATCCCATGGCGTAGATGGTCCAGAATTTCCACTGCCCTTTGACGGTGTTGCTACTGATCGCAATCGGCTACCGATACTCTGGAACGGGTTCTGAAACGGGCTGTGGCCAGCTACGGTAGAGGCTCGCCGTAATCGCATCGGTTGTTGGGCTCTATACGACAGGATATTAGTACCAAAGTCGTGCAATCCCTTCACTTCCATCCTGAATATACCTATGATCCAGCAATGCCTCGCTGTCGATGCTCGTTCCACTGAGATTGGCAGCAGGCTGCTTGTAGAAGCCCTCGCCGGGATCTCGATCGACTTCGTCATGGCTGTCTTCGTGTAGGAGAGCAAAGCTTTTTCTTCTGGATCGCTTCTTCTTGCCTGCTCTATGTCCCTTGCGTTTTCTGCTGGGTTTCTTTTGGGCGCCAGCCGGGTTGGCGCCGTTTGCTGGGGCAGAGGTTGGCGCCGCTGCCTGCGAAGGCCCCGTCATTGTCGCCCTGCTGTGATCGTTGTAGAGAGAGATGTGTGAGGTCAGCCCACCATAACCCTAGGAACGAAATGCTCAAGGCGAAAGCATAGACGAGATCCTGTTGCAAGTAGTGAAATACAGCATGGGAGAAAAATTCGGTCGCTTGGTGCGGAGAAGGGGACGAGGAGGCGAACGGGAAAAAACTTGGCTGGAGGTGACGCTACATGCTTGTTTTCGGAAAGGCCCCAACCAAAATGCGCCCACTGTGGGAAAAAGGCATAGTGGAGTTGGCGGCGGCCCATCAGTGTTGGCCAGCAGATACAGTGCAGTGCGCTACGGTAGCGCGATGGGGCCCTGCAGGGGATGGCATGCTGTTGTGGTAGCTGCAGACGAGTTTTCAGCCGCCAGAAACGAGTACAAGGCCCACTGAACAAGGTAACAATAACGCCTACAGTACGAGATACGGAAGCGGCTGGTGAAGCGTCAAAGTATAGCGCGGCTCTAGCAGCAGCCGCTGTCACTTTTTCGAAACTATTTTTATTTTCTTTTACACAGATTTTCTCACCGGGAGATCAACAATCGTCCAATTCACCGCTTTCCCTAGATTCAGCCATGTGTGCCAAGGGAGAAGCCCATGCCGCTAAGCCAGACGAGCGATGGTCACCCGACGTCTCAGGCTCGCTTCGGTAGCCCACGGGTTCCGTCTAGGCCCATTCATTAGGTGCAGCCAAACCTGCGGAATTCACATCGCTTCACGCCACTATATGATACATTTCACCCGCGTGATAGAATGCCATGTTGTATATAGTATCATTCACAGGGTGTTCGCTAATAATTATGCATCTATAATAAAAATGTGCATGGGCTGATTTCGCAGCCTCTATGTCGACTCGACAGTCTCCCCACCAAAATCCCACAGTCGAACGATCAGGCTATCTGGCGTGGCAGCGGGAGCTTCTTGTGGCAAGAAAACCTTCTTCGGGATGTGGAACTCGATTACTGGCGCTTTTCGTACCTCCTTTGACACTTCTGCATCCAGCAACTAAAAACCTTGTTAGCAAAACGAAATACGGCTGAGACAGATCATTCAGTTACTTACAGTGGCGTATGAGTGGTCCAAAAAGTCCTCCATGTTATATGACTGCTTTGTAAACTGCTCCGAGATAATCTTTGCAATTGTCGCCACGTTGGGGTGATAGTGCGACTGCATCTGCACCAATTCCCAAATACAGCTGTCGATAGCCTTAGTCTTCATGGGGTCTGCCTCGTCGGGCAAGAAGGGATCTTGAAGACCATTGCTTTGGATGTGCTTCTTCATCTCATCATCACGCACTTGGCGATGAATCATAAAGGTACATGTTGGGTGGCGCTTGAGTAGGTTGTAAATCCAAGGGATGACAAAGGCAACGGCACTGGGGGGTGCGTTGAGACTCAGTCTGGAGAGACGCTTGACAAAGCTAGCCACCAACGCAGCCGGCAGATGGGTAGATGCAAGGAATGTGTCGAGGAGGCGGAAGAAGCGGGAGCGGTGTTTGGAGTGGAGGATATCGCGGTTGAGGAGAGAGTAGAGCTTCGGGTAGAATGAAGGGTAGTCCAAATTTCTCTGCTGAATGAGGTAGAAGACACCGGAAAGGGCAAGCAAAGAGAGCGAACCGCCAGCGTTGTAGGAGTTGGTGAGGAAGTCGGAGAGCAGCTCAGGCTTGTTGAACCACGGAGCAACATGGGTAGATGTAATATCCAGGATACGCTTTCGCTGATCCTTGCTTTCACAAATGTTGAACAAAGCTAGCCAAGCATCTTGGCCTTGTCGCTTGTGTTGGATGACGGAGAACAGAGGATGAGACTTCTTCTTAGGCTTTTGAATGTAGAAGTCCTCGAGCTCATCCACAGACTCTGGTACACCATCAAGCGCAGAAAGCAACGTAAACGTGTGATTAAAGACCCTGTCGAGGTTCTTGCCCTCAGCGAGCTCTGCTACTGATGCCTTGATAGCTGCAAAAGTGTAGAATCGGATATCATCGTGCTGCTCGACGTATTCCTCGATAAAGGCTTGCTGAACTTCTTCGTTGTCTATTGTCAGCAATTTGTTGACAATTTGCTGGAGAAAGTTCTTGGGAAATGTATATTCGGCTTCATCGGCCAAGGAGTCTCCCTCTGCTTTCAGAAGTCTCATGCAGAGAGTCAGCGCAGTGGCAGCAATCTCCTCATCCTCCAGCCAGTTCAAGAGCGACGATCTGTACTGTGAAAGCTGTTCTCTCAACCAAGCTGCAACAACAGACTCCTTCTCTGAAGACTTGTTCTTTGACAGAGCTCCCTGTGCAAGCAATCTCATAAAGATTCTGCACAGGGCGACTGTCGCCAGCATTGCCTTGGGGCCGTCCGACGTACGCTCCTGGGCCATGCTGAGGAGGGCAGCAATATTGTTATAATTCTTCTTCGATTCAAGAATCCCCTGCTCCATCAGGAGAATCTCGGCATTTGGGTCGGCAGCATCGCTGCTATCGCTCGATCGTCTGGCTTTTTTGGCAGGTTGCGATGTCGACGAGCGCTTCCGCTTTGCGCCGCCTTCTGCAGCTTTCGAAGGCATAGTAAAAGCTGAATTGAATTCGGAATACTAAATCCGAATTACAAGCCAATAGTAATCAGCTGAATACACCCGTATTTCAATTGGCTGGCGAGCTATCGTGTGTCGTGCAAAAAATCCGATGCTGTATAAAGTCTTGGAGGGCAAAAAAGTTGCTTGTCGATAAGAAAAAAGAACTTGAGAGGACTGGCTGCCAAAAATTCCAGCCAATTAGGCGGGTCAGGCTGGCGGGAGCCTTTCCTCAGCGGGAAAGCGTCGGCTAAAGCCCCTCTCTCCTGGCTGGTGAGCGTTCCACGGCTGGTGGCCCATAACAACTGAAATGACCCTCACGTGACTAGCGCGAGATTTAGTTGTCTTCCGAAAACCTCACACCTCATACTCCCAGCTCTCGATCATCGACTTCAGTCGCAAATACCCCTACCAACTCATCCACAATGGCCTCACGCTTGGCGCGTAGCGCAGTCGGTACGTCGAATTAGTCGATAGAAACTGCAATTGGGCGCCATTGGCCTCGTACTAACCGCAGGACGCAGGCGCTCCCTTCCTCCGACCTACCGTCGCTCGCCGAGCCCTTCCCGCTCTCTCTGCCGCCTCGGTCCGCAACTCCAGCAACGTCCCTACCGAGGAGCCCAAGAAGAAGGCCCAGAGCATCATCGACTCTCTCCCCGGAAGCAACTTGCTCAGCAAGACCGCCATCCTCTCCTCCGCTGCCGGTCTCTCCATCTACGCCCTCAGCAATGAGTACTACGTCATGAACGAGGAGACTGTCGTCGCCGTCTGCTTGATTGCCGTCTGGACTGGTCTCATCAAGTACGGTGGTCCCGGCTACAAGGCCTGGGCCGAGAGCCAGAACGAGAAGATCAAAAACATCCTCAACTCCGCTCGTGCCGACCACACCGAGGCCGTCAAGACCCGTATTGAGGACGTTAAGCAGATGGGTGGTGTTGTTGACATCACCAAGGCTCTGTTCGAGGTTTCTAAGGTAAGAATTAGTCGTCGTTGGGGAAGCAAATGTTGCTCCTCAGGGATAAAATGATGGATCGGAGACCAGAAGCTAACTTTGAGGCACGCAGGAAACCGCCAAGCTTGAGTCCCAGGCTTTTGAGCTCGAGCAGCAGACTGCCCTCGCCGCTGAGGCCAAGACCGTTCTCGACTCTTGGGTCCGCTACGAAGGCCAGGTTAAGCAGCGCCAGCAGAAGGAGTTGGCTGCTTCCATCATCGCCAAGGTCCAGAAGGAGCTTGAGAACCCCAAGGCTCTCCAGCAGATCCTGCAACAGAGCGTTGCTGACGTCGAGAGTACGTTTTATTCAACCAGTCATTGAAGTATTCGTAACCGCTTGCTAACCATCGATTACAGAGATTGTCGCCGCTAAATAAATGGTAAAAGTCTAGAGTCTAGAATACAAGGACGAGCTACTATTCCCTTTGTTACAACACCCCCTTTGTGCATATATCTACCCCTGTGCATTAGCTATTTCAATCGAGACACTAGTCACACTGTTTAACTAGAAACCGCTGTTTTTTCTCAATGCGTGAATTATAGTGGCGAGTGCGATGGGTGTGGCCTACAAGGCTCTCTAACAAATAGGAATAATCATAGAGATTCAACAACAGTCAAGATTGAAGAAACAAAACTGTGACTAGAGCAATTTAAAAAGATGAAAAAAGCAGTACATGTTCTCCAAAAAACGATATCAAATAAGCATACACATAACGCCGCCGCCCCTTTTCCTTTTCTGACACAAGCCTAATAGATTGGCCGTGATTCTTCCCATTTCTTCATTTCTGCTGTGTTCGCCACAGGTTTGGGAGTATTAATGCTGGCGTCTAGTCCCCAGGAGACTCTTCCGCTTCGCCGCCTGCGAACGCCCTCTCCATTAACGGGGCCAATCCACTCCCAAGCACGGCCGACCTCGCCGCTGCGTCCCTCGCGTTGGCTGGTACGAACGTTACTGTTCTGTTCTACAACGGCCTTGACACTACGCCATATTCTCTCCCGTTCCGAAAGCGAATGCACAGATCGTAATATATCGTCTCGTAAGTTTGGCAAAAACAGCCAAGCGTCATCCAAATCCTCATCACCCAACTCTTTTTGGTTGGCAAGCTTGCCGAGCACCTGGTCCACAAGAGCCGGCACTTGTGCGGCTGTAGCCAGATGCTGACGGTAGCGAGATCGCAGATAGGCAATACCAAGCAAGACTAGACCTACAAGTCCAATTGGGAGTCGATATCTTGCCAGTCTGCTTCGGATGGCGCGCTTGACGGCGCACGAGATTGAAATGCGAGCGAGAGAGGTGCTCGATAGGTATCGCGTTGAAAAATGGGTGGCACTGGTCTCTCTGTTGGATCAGGAACGGAACTGATTAGTGAGCCTGGTCAGAAACATGTGGGTCATAGAGGGGGGGATTGCTGTTCAAAGAACAATTGGTAAAAGAGATGCTGGGTAAACTTACTCGTCTTCGACCTCGGTGGTCTGAGAGGTGACCTCAATCTCCTCTCTATCAGTGATATCGCCAATGGCAGCTTCCCAGAGCTCATCGAACTCCTTGTTGCTCATCTTCTTGGCTCTCTTTCTGCTAACAGATTCTTTCAACTCTTCCTCAGCAACAGCAGGTGTATCCGAGGGCTGGCCGGCATCATCCGTAAGCTCACCACATTCAAACTTGGCACGGCGCTCTCGGAGCTCTTCCACGGCCTTATCAGCGACGGCCTTGACTCGTCTAGCCTTCTCACTGTCGGGCTCGCAGGTGGGGGGAATGGGAACAAGTCCGCCAAGAGACAGAGGGTGGTGCCGAAGAATGAAGTCATCCTGGCACTGAATAGAAAAGTCTTCATAGCAAAAGGCATGCTTGGGGCATGGCTCGCAAAGAGGCTCAATAAAGGGAAGCAAAGCATCAGGCACTGGAATATCGTCGGGAATGATTTGCTTGGCAGGGCGTCCAAGTCCACAGTAGCCAACAGCAATTTTTTCCTGGCGATACCAGGCCATGTAAGCACCAACAAGTGCCATGAGCAACACGAAGAAGGGAGTCTTGATGCTTCCTTGGCGGCGAGGAGCTGATGACTTTCTAACCGGCACAACTTCGCCTGAGGCTGATGCCTCCTCCAACTCAAGCTGAGCTTCGGGAGTAAACTCCTCGCCAGCTTCAAAGTGGAATTCGGGTGTCTTGCCACGGCGTGTTGGTTCGGGAGTCGCACTTGTTCGCAGGTATTCGGTGCCTGCAGTTCGTCTTCGAGCAGACTTGGCTGTCTTGTTAACGTCACTACCGGCTGTGCGTCGACGTGAAGCAGATGCTCTGGGTGTAGATTCCGGCAGAGGCGAGCTTCCGCTCTGGAAGGGGTTGTCGTCGGTAAAGACGCTAGGTTCTTCATCATAGACAGTGGACTCATCGTCCTCCTCTTCGACTTGCTCAGGCTCTGGTTTAATCTGAGGGGTAACCGTTCGGCGCGCGCGGCGGGCAGATGCAATATCTTCGGGCTCCATGGAAAGCTGACGGCTAACCGATCGTGACAGGCGGGTGGAAGCTGTGCGGGCTCGCGAGAAATCTTCTTCCTCTTCCACCTTTACTCTGCCAGAGCTCTTGCGCGGCGACTTGGATCGACGGACGCTGCGAGGGGGAGAAAGCTCGTCATCGTCCCAGCCACTAGTATCTTGAGCACTACCGGCGTTGACGATACCGAGACTCGAACGCTTTGCGCGCGCTCGCTGGGCGCGAAGCTTGGCTGCTTGGGAGAGAACATGTTCGGTAACGAGTTCTACAAGCTGAGGTTTCTTCGCGCTCGATGGATAATCCACGTTATGTGTGACGAGGATGGATCGCAATCGTGGGATGGTGACGCTGCGGGGGTCGAAGCCCTCTTGGAGGTAGTCTTCGACGTCGGCCATTGTGAACTATCGGTAGCTGCTTGGTTGCGTCAAGATGTGAGATGGCAGACAAGCGACGCGCCGTTGAAAAGAAAAAGGCCAAAATAAGAGGGTGAAATGGCCTGTTTCGCGCTTTGACAACGGACCTGCAGGCTCGCGCGGGCTTGTGAGACAAAAGAGGACAGAAGTCGCAATTGATGTCTCACGTTGTGGAGGGCAAGGGCTAGCCTGTGGAATGAGTTAAGCAATTTTGATGAAAGGCGATGGAGAATGCCTGTGATGAAGGGGAAAAAGATGCGAGCAAAGCAAAAAAGAAGAAACGAAGACAACACGGCGATGCTTAGCGGCGTCGATGGCGGGCAAAACTTGGAAACAGGCTACGCGGCCGTTAAGACGACAGCTGTTTTGTTTGCGAGGACCGTTCGTTGTCAGTGGCAACTAAACAATGGTGGGGGCTTGGGCCAATAAAGCCTGCGCTGGGTGCTGTAGCGGTGCTGGTTCTAGTGGACGAGACGCGCTGCAATAAGCGTCTACCGCGAGATGCCGGAAGAAGAACCTGAACCAATGGGTTGGGCAAGTCGCTGTGAAGATGTAGCAGTTCTATGGGTCGTATACTATAGTTACAAGTAATTAATTAAATTATCGTACATATACTTGCCAGCACGCACACGCACGTCTACGCAATCGCTGTTCGCATAAACAGTTACCGCAGCTTCCCGCGTGGCGTGTCCCGCTCCAGGCACCGCAGGCCACCACCCCGAAAAGCTAGGCTCCCCACTTTTGCCTAGCGCTACTCTACCTTCTCCAACAACAGCGATTGACATCACCACATTGAAGCTCCAATCAATCAGCCACATTAATCCAACCCACAATGCCGGCAAGCAGGTTGATATCTAGCAGCTCACGCTTTGTCTGCCGCGGCTGTACCAAGCGAAAGGCACACCGATTCTACAGCTCGGCTGCATCGCCAGAGATCTACGATGTCGTCTGTGTCGGCGGCGGCCCAGCCGGCCTCAGTCTGTTGACGGCACTACGTACGCTACATTGCCCCTTTGATCCTTCATATAGGCCAATTGACTAATTCTTTGCTTCTAGGTGCCAACCCCGCCACTTCTCGCCTCCGAGTCGCCCTTGTTGAAGCCCAAGATCTCGCCAAAACTGCATCCTTCTCCCTCCCCTCAACACAATTCTCGAACCGATGCAGCTCACTGACACCCTCTTCGGCACATTTCCTCAACGATATCGGCGCTTGGACACACCTGAAGAGAGACCGAGTGCAAGAATACCACGAGATGTTTGCCTGGGATGGACTTACAGATGCCCGCATCGAGTTCGAATGGCCCGACAAGAATACCACTCAAAGCCCGGTCATCGCTTACATGACCGAAAATCTCAACCTCACTTCCGGCCTGCTGAAGCGCATACATGAGCTGGGAGGTATTGATATCTTTGATAACTCCAAGGTCGAGAACATTGGCCTTGGTGAGGAGACTGAAGATCTCGACCTCAGCAGCTGGCCTGTCCTCCATCTATCGGGAGGTCAGTCGCTCGCTGCCCGCCTTCTTGTTGGCGCCGACGGCGCAAACAGCCCTGTCCGCGCTTTCGCTGGGATTGAAAGCCGCGGTTGGGATTACGGTCGCCACGGTGTGGTCGCGACACTGGAGCTTGAGGGCGAAGGCTGGGGTGGCTTAAACAGCAAGGCTGCCTACCAGCGCTTCCTGCCTACCGGCCCCATTGCCATGCTGCCTATGCCTGGAAAGTATGCCACACTTGTCTGGTCTACAACGCCAGAGAATGCGGCTATTCTCAAGAAGCTGGCTCCAAAAGACTTCATTGCTCTGGTCAATGCGGGTTTCCGATTAGGCGCTGTAGACGTCGCATTTATGCACACTCAGCCCACTGGTCAGGAGGACGAGTTGAGCTGGAGACTACAGCACACTGCTGTTGATGAACATTCGGTTCCCCAGACCGTTGTTGGTGTCCAGGAGGGATCCGTCGCATCATTCCCGCTCAAGATGCGTCACGCAGACACATATATTGGCGAGCGTGTTGCGCTTGTTGGCGACGCTGCCCACACAATTCATCCCCTCGCTGGTCAAGGTCTCAACCAGGGCCAAGGTGACGTCCAGAGCCTTGTCAAAACCATCGAGTATGCTGTCACACACGGTCAGGATCTCGGCAAGCAAACGTCCCTAGAATCATACAACAGCGAGCGATATGCCGCCAACCACGTTCTCCTTGGCGTGTGCGATAAACTTCACAAGATTTACGCCGTCGAGAGTGGCCCTCTTGTTCCCCTCCGCTCTCTCGGCTTAAAGGCTGTCAACAGTCTTGGTCCTCTCAAGAACTTCTTCATGGAGCAAGCTTCTGGCACCGGTCTCAAGATGTTTTAAAACGCTTCCCTTATGTAGCTCACCGATGTACTCTTCTGTGTAATTTTATACTTTTCGGCCAGCTGGTGCCGCGGACGCTAGCAGTTCATGCTTCTTCATGTTTGTTATTAATAGAACCGAGATAAAACAAAAAAGGGATAGTTTAAGTTAAAAGGAATTAAGCAAAACTTGCATTTGGAGTATATACTTTAATTCTCCTAGCCAGCTATGACTACAGACAAAAGAAAAAGAAGACTTTGATAACCATTCTACATGACTTATTCCACCTCCTTTACACCCGTTTATCGATCGACCTCACCAAACACCAAATCCATAGTACCAATAACAGCGACGGCATCAGCCAACATGTGGCCCTTGGCGACGTGGTCGAAACCGCCCAAGTGAGCGAAACCGGGGGCGCGGATGTGGCATCTGTAGGGGCGCTCGCTGCCGTCACTTACGACGTAGACACCCATCTCGCCCTTGGGGGCCTCGATGACGGAGTATGTCTCGCCAGGGGGCACAGCGTAACCCTTGGTGTAGAGGAGGAAGTGGTGGATGAGAGCCTCCATGTTCTCCTTCATGGCAGAACGGGGAGGGGGAGAGACCTTGTAGTCCTCGACGCGGACAGGGCCGGCAGGCATGTCGTTGAGGCACTGGTGGATGATGCGAAGAGACTGGCGGAACTCCTCCATACGGCAGAGATAACGGTCGTAGCAGTCACCGTTGGTGCCGACAGGGACGTCAAAGTCGACCTTGTCGTAAGCATCATAGGGCTGGCTCTTGCGGATATCGTAGGGGACACCGGAGCCACGAAGCATGACACCAGTGAAGGAGAGGTTCAGGGCTTCGGCGGCAGAGACGACACCGACACCGCGGAGACGTTCGATCCAGACACGGTTATCCGTCAACATCTCCTCGGTCTCGTCGATTCTGTCACCGAACTGAGTAGCCCACTGGTAGATATCGTCGAGAAGGCCAATGGGGATATCCTGGTGGACACCGCCAGGGCGGACGTAGGCGGCGTGGAGTCGGGCACCAGAGACACGCTCGTAGAATTCCTATAAAGTTCACGTTAGTAATTTTTTTCTACTACGCCAATTGAAGAAAAGAAGAATGCGTCAAACATACCATGAGCTTCTCACGCTCCTCGAAACCCCACAGGAAGGGAGTCAAAGCACCAACATCCATGGCGTGTGAAAGGACGGACATGAGATGGTTCAGGATGCGAGTAATTTCGCCAAACATGGTACGGATGTACTTGGCACGGTCGGGGATCTCAACATTGAGGAGCTTCTCAACAGCAAGAGCAAAGCACTGCTCATTGGTCATCATGGAGACGTAGTCGAGACGGTCAAAGTAAGGGAGAGCCTGGAGATAGGTCTTGTACTCAATCAGCTTTTCCGTGCCACGGTGCAGGAGGCCGACGTGAGGATCGGCGCGAATAATCTCCTCGCCGTTAATCTCAAGAATCAGACGCAACACGCCGTGGGCAGCAGGATGCTGGGGACCAAAGTTGACAGTGTAGTGTCTGACCTTGCGGCCCTCGGTCGAGTTCTCGTCAAGCGCCTTTTTCACCTTGCCGTCACGGCCGGCGCCGGGAAAGCCGTAGTTGTCGGGGAGGGGGCGGAAGTCGTCATCAACGGGGATGAGTCTGGTGCCCATGGGCTCGGAAGTCGTCGCGTACTTGCGAGCACATGTCGTCGAGAGGGGACGGGCGGCAGGCAGGGCTTGACGAAGACACAGCCGTCTGGCGCCGGTGCTGGCGAGTCTGTGGAGGGCGCTCATGGCGAAGTGATGCGGCCCCGGTCGGAAGTCAATTAGCGAGGGAGGGGGAGATGTCCTGGTGAAGATGGGCCTATTGCTCGCAATCAATGGCCGTTGTGTTGGCAAAGGCAAGACACCGTCGAATTGGGCCTTTTTGTCGTCGTGTCTGGTGATGTTCTAGCTGGGCGAGAGCTCGTTGAATTGGCGTGGGTGCGGAATATTATTTTTGCAGGCCAGCCGGGCCAATCAGGGGCGCCCAATTAGTGTGCCTGCATGGGGCTCCGTTTTGCCTGGTTTGGGTGGGAGCCTGTCTAAGCCGTAGCAATGCTATAAATTTGGATAAATATTGTAAAATAAATTTATTTACATTAACACATTTAACAGTATTCTTAGCTCCATACTGCTATCGATTGATCCTTCAACTTCTTCTGCCGTCGAGATACAGCCGCTCAGAATGCCCGAATGAAAGACGCAGACTACTTGTAACCTCAATTCATCTTTAATAAACGCATTAAAATATAAATAAATCAAAAATCATAACAATTGTTTTAGTCTTCTTAATAAATACAGTAAACATTAAGGGTGGCCTCCAAAAGGTTGGCTGAAATCATCAGGTGGCCTATCTCTAAGACTTGCCTGACAAACATGTTACAAAATCGTAACAAAATTCCGCAAATAAACTCCAGTGACAAAATCCTAGCATAATATCGGATCGGTCCTCAAAAGTCCAAAAGTAATGGTATCTAACATCTTTCCATTCTTTTCCGTGGCGTTTCGTAGTATTCCCTCTTCCTTGAACCCAACCTTCTTGAGAACACTCATACTGGCAGGATTGTGCGAGTATACTTGCGCTTGAACGCGCAAAAGCTCTGGCCAAGTCTCAAATAGGAAGCGAACCAGTGCTGATACTGCTTCGGTGCAGCAGCCTCCGCCCCAGGCCGACCTATGCAGCATGTATCCAATGGTCCATGTGCGGTAGCCAGTATCTGCACCAGGCCTCACAACCATATTTCCAATGGGAACAGGCTCGCTCCCGTGTTCGTTAAATGTAGATCCAGGAAGAGCAAAAATGACCACCGGTCCTGGGTATTGGCCTATGTCGTCACTCGGCCGCTCTGCTTTAACTAGACCTTCAATGACCCCTCGAAGATATTGTTTTGAGTCATCCACTCCGTCTGGTACTTTAAATCTGTCGCTCAACATGGCTTCGACATCCGGGTCACCAACGCACTGCACGAAATGGTCCACATCCGCGGCCGTTGTTCGGCGCAGCTGGAGGCGCTGGGTCTCGACTAGTAGTGTGCCTGGCGTGGTGTTGAGCCGCACCGCCGGTCTCAGAATTTTGTCTTGTAACGACATAATGAGGTAATTGTGATTGAACAAAAACTCTGTGTTTATTCAGGGGACAACATGGTAATAAATATGCCATCAGCCATAAAAAACGTGGTGTTGGTCGACTACTTATGCCACATTCTGAGTCACTAGCGCAAGTGAATCCTATCGGCGCGATTACTCCGAAGCGATGACGAGGCTGTGATGTTGTTCAGCCCAGCAGCCCACCTGAAGTTCAGCTGAAGAAACGGGTTTTCCGTTGAGTAAAAAGTTCCAATAGAATTCGCCCTGTGAATACTATACCCGGTTGGCAATAACCCGGGCATGTTAAATAAGAATATATACAGTCATAATCCCTAACAAAGGTGTGTGTGACTCCCCAAAAAGAACCAAAACGCCGTTTTCCCATGCATACAAAACCTCGTCATTAACAAATGTAATAGAAAAACCGATGTACCCCTTTTTTCATGGCTTCAAAGGACCCTCACCCGCATCGAGCAAGTTAACCGCGAGTACAGACGCCATCGCAGCCAGGCTGCCTAAAATAAGCATCTGCACGCCTGACCAGAGAGCCTTACGCACGCTTTTATCGCTTCCGCCTAGAACAAGGCTCTTACCCGTGCCAAATGACATAAGAGCAATCAGGCACAAAACAATGCTCCATACAAGGCCGATTCCAACAGTGGAGGCAAAAAAGTAGGGGAAGAGGGGGATGATGCCGCCCACAACGTAGCCAGCTGAGATGGAGAGGCCTGAGCCGACGGGCGAGACGGGGACCTCTTCACCCGATTCCGAGGATTCGTAATTAGCTTGGATTTGGCGGGCGGCGCGGCGCAAGCCACCAGGCTGCTCGCGCATCGAGTTGACAATATAGGTGACTGTCGAGTCGGCCAGCGCCAGAGGAGCTAAGTGGCGGACAATGACGTCCTCCTCGCCGGCTGTCGGTTTCTCATCATTGCCTGAGCGATCGCTGCTGCTGTCTCGGCGTTCGTGCATAAGCATGCCTTGTTCCTCGATATCTTCGCCATCTCTGGTGTTTGTTGCCGTGGAGGCTGGAATCTCGTCGAGCGCAGCTAGGTAGCCACCAATGCCCATGCTAATGCTGCCTGCGCAGAGCTCTGCAAGACCGGCGTAGATGACGGTGTCGGACTTGCCTAGCGAGCTGAGGCCAGCTGTCAGCGCAAAGGGAACAGTGAGGCCATCTGAGAAGCCCAGAGTAAAGTCGGAAAGGAAGCGGTTGAGGTTTAGGCCGCGAGATTCGGGCATTATGACTGGTTAGAGAGAGAAGCGCGGTAGTGGCGTGAGTGATTCGTCGTAAGTGACGCTGCTTCTACTGATGTCGGTTCAAGATTCGCAACAACAGCGTAATGTCTGACGAACTGCAAACCAATGACAAGATTAAAAAGATGAAGATGAAGAAGAAAGAAGAGAGAGAAGCCAGCAGCTACGCATCATCTCCGAACAGTAGCCGGGCCTTTCTGCAGCACGCACCAGCAGAAGCAGTTTAGCGGCCCTTGCTTGACACAACGGGGATCCATCCCACCCCAACCAAGCCCGTTTAGCTGCAAAAGGTGTCGGTGGCCGCATACAGAACGCAGCGCAGGTGGCGGACTAGCGATGCAGGCCCCAGAAGTTAGTGCTTGTTCCCCACCCCCGAGTCGTCCCAGCGCCCAAGGTTGGCTGGCTACAGTGGGCAGACCCTGGAAACTACCGCTATTCTACAGTCCTATGTTATACAACTACCGTTAATACCCAAGCGAGGAGGGAACCTTTGTCAATGCTACATAATAATACACATCTTGCAGATGGTCTGACCTCTCCACAAACAGAAAAGAAAGACGACGACAGTCCGCGCTTCCACGGCTAACACGGCTGTATTGAAAGTAAAAGAAAAAACCATTGTCCAATATTTTAGTGGTTCCTGTCCCCCAAAAGACATGCGCTCAGGAAAAAAAGTCAGGCTGGCTCCCCTCGTGAGCGTCTCTCGCATCGCCAATCGCCCACGTGCTTGGCGATGTGCTGAGGAATGGCAGGGTCCTGATTCGCGGCCCAGCGCCCCAAATTTCCCCTTCTCCATGCTAATGCGAACAGTTGGTGGCTTGCGGCCACAGCGCATCCATCCTCGCTGGAAATTTTTTTCCAGGTGGTGGCGCATCAGCCAGTGGTGTGGTGGATCTAGTGCCGCGTGCAGATCCTCCTCCTTTCAACTAACGTTACTCCAGTGCAGGAGCTTGGCTCAGCACGGCGGACAGCCAGCGCCGCCTGGGAACAAAGCAACATCGCTCTAGAGGAGGAGTGCTGCACTAGCTGACAGCAAACGGCTTTTTTTTACTGCCATTGTTTACATAATAAAGTGAAAAAAAAAGTTGGTAAATATAGCATTTGGAACTTTGTTGTTATATACCTCTAATACCCAAATACCGTCACATCGTAAAATGGCCAATCTGTGGCCTCTATCAAACAAGATATGAATCATACATGGAGCATGTCAAACAGCATCAGCTAACCCGTCACTTAAGTAGCTTAAGGGATAGGGGCATAGCCCTGGGGAGGGGCAAGACCGTCAGGAAGCTCAATGGTGTCCTTGTAGTAGGACGGAGCAGTGCTGCCAGCCCAGCGCTTCTTAATGGTGGAAAGGATCTTGCGGCCATTGAAGCTGTTGTCAAGGTCCAAGTTGGGGGCGGGGAAGACGGGGTTACCACCGTGAGTGTTGAAGTGGCCAGCGTACGAGTAGTTGTAGTAGCGGGCGTTGAAGGTATCGGCGGAAGCCCACTTGCGGAGAGTGTCGCCAGTCTTCTTGGCAACCATCTGGTAAACGTTGGCACCGACATCCCAGCGGCCAAGGGTGGGGAGGTCCCAGTTGGCAGAGACGGTAGCAATCTCAGAGTAGTGGTTGTAGAAGTTGGTGTCGGTGGTACCAACAAGCTCCTTGGGGACGGCGTCACCAATGAGGATGGCAAGAATGTGGTTCTTCTCGGGGTAGCTCTCGTTCTCATCAAAGGTGATGACAACAAGGGTGTTCTTCATGAACTTCTTGTCGTCAAGAAGAGGGGTGAGGAACTTGGCGAGCCACTTGCCAGCGGTGGTGATGTCGGTGTCATGGCCGTCAGAGGTCATGTTGGGGGTGATGAACATCCACTGGGGAAGCTTGTCCTCAGCAAGGTCCTTGTGGAACATGGAACGTGAGGTGTCAATCAGAGACAGGTTCTTGTTCTGGGACAGGCGCTGCTCCCAGTGCATGATGGAGTCGGCCTGCATGCCGGGGTTGTGCTTGCGCATGTAGTCGTTGCGGCCGTTCTGCTGGTTCTTGAAGCCGTAGCCCTCGAAGCCAGAGTAGGGCATGTCCTCCTGGTAGAAGCCCCACGAGATGCCGCGGTACTGGAGGAGGTCGATGACAGAGCTAACGTTGTACGGGGTAGAAAGGAAGTCATCGTTCTGCATGCCAAAGTAATCACCAAGGACAGCAGCCATGTAGTTGGGCTGCGAAGGGTGAGTGACGGCAAAGTAGCTGTCGAGCAGGATGCCCTTGTCGGCAAAGGACTTGAAGTTGGGGTCGCCAATGGACTTGTCGTAGTTCTGGTTCTCGAACCAGATGTGAGCGATGCGGTCAAAGGCCTTGCCCTTGACGTTGGAGGTAGGGCTGGAGGTCTTGGCCGTGGCTTGGGCAGCGAGAACGTCCTGGACACCAGTGGCAGTGTACTTGTTCTCGGCGCCGGCAGGGCAAGCACCGTTGGCGGCAACAACGCCAGCAAGGGCGGCGACAGCGAGGAACTTCATGATGGTCTGTGTGAAGAAAGCGAAGGACGGTTTCTTTGGCGAGACAAACTGAAGAGGAAGAGAAGAAAAGAAAGGCTGTGGAGGAGTGGTGCGGACGAGTAGGGAAATAAAAAAGAACCTGAATCGTCGACGGGGGGACCCTCAGCGCGCAAAGTGATAAGCAAAAGCAGGGCTGCCCGGTGCTACTCTAGGACGCTAAGAGGCGCCTTTTTTTAGTGGATACTGCAGGACGGCCGCAGGGCGGGGATCCGCTGTAGAAGGCGGGATTATAGAGGGTGAAGAAAAAACAAAGGTGGAGTGGAGAAATGGGGTTCGGGGCAGAGCGAGTGAGGACGAGGCTATTACTATGCTACGGGGTAATTTAGTGTAGAAATTAGACGAAAGGGTTAAAAAATATCCTTATTTGTAGGTAGGCCGCCGGTGGCGCAGCTGGAACAAATTGAGCTGCAGCGTATCGGACAAGTTCCTACAATAATGTCTCTCTTCGTTGTCAATGTCTACTACAAAAGACATTCTTCTATCAGCGTGAATCCTTTTTAGCCAGCGCCGTGAACCACTTCGGCCCAAAAGGTCGTTCGGTCGCCCGCCGACAGGGTCTCTCCGCCCACCAGGCTTCCCAACTGGTATCTGCATCCGCTACGCCACCCCGAACGAAGCCACTAAAGACCAGGCACACTGGTCAGCACTGGGCTCAGCCAACGACGGCGCTCCCTCGCCTACACGTGCCTGTCTGTTGCTCTGCGCCTTGAACGGGCCATGACGCTGTCGCGGCCAAGCGGGCAAAACGTGGCCGACGTTGCGAGCCGTTCGATCCGAGATATACTAGCGACGAGTTGACAGCACGCAGACAATAGTTCCGGGCTTTTTGCGCTGTGGCGGCGGGTATTTGTTTGGTAATTCTTTTTGAACGACACGCGTGTGGTGAGCTGTGTTGGGTAGCTGTTTTTGGCGGAGTGGGCAGAACTGCTACCCGGCAGCGATTGCAAAAGCGTGCGCCGCAGAGAACGTGGTGTTTTTTGTTGGTATATAGGGCACATTGTAATGTTTCATCATATTTTGGCTCCTCTGCTATAGCCAGATATGTTTTCGTAGCCAATTGCTCTCTGCTGAGCCTTTTGGACTAGGTTGGCCTCTCTGAAAACTACATCGTCCAAGTACACAACCGTGCCAAATGGGTTCAGCACAAGGTACGTATTAGACCATGGCGGTGCAAACACAATTTAAAAAACCAACCTCAAAATACAACCGCAATTGCAAGCATATTTACACCACTTATCAACCACATAAATACACATCCTACCAACAATGGTCGTCAACTGCGGCGCGCCACTCGCTACACCACCCAAGCGGCCAAGAGATGTGGCGCGCCAAAGCCAAACGCCGCACCGTCGGCTCCGTAAAATCACTTTCTCCGCGCCACGTCCAGCCGACGACATGCCGTGTCCACCACCAAACTCGGCACTCGTCATCTGCCGTCGACGGCACTTAAACAAGTTCAAATTATACACTCAAATGCCCAGTGTATAACCATCGACCGCCGAAAAGCGGATATATACTCCAAAATGGCACCCAGAGACGACACAGAGCTCGAGGATCAACCGTTCCTCGCCGGCGGCTCTCCTCGTCGCTCCAATGCAACGCCGACACCCCGTCGCCAGAGCTCGTCCTGGAAAGTCGCTGGTTTCTTCTTACTCGTTACAATCACCGTCTTCGGACTCATCCTTATCCCCTTTGGCATCAAAGCAGACCCGAACCACCCGCTCGAAAAAGGCCACGGCCATGATGGTATGGGCATGGAGATGGGCCATGGCCACGACGCGCCAGCACCCAAACCAGAACCCGAACACAAGCCAGAGCCCGAAAAGACAGAGCACGAGGCCGTAACAAAACCGCCTGTAGAAGTGACACCGCTGGGCGCCCGGCTACGAGATACCTCCGAATACATCCTCGACCAAGCGTGGGACTACCACGCCGCACCACAAACACGCGAGTACAAATGGACCATAGCCAATGCCGGCCTGAACCCAGACGGCATCTACCGCCCCATGATCCTCATCAACGGGCAATACCCCGGCCCTCTTATCGAATGCAACGAAGGCGACACTATCGTCGTCAACATCGACAACAAGGCCATCAACGCAACGTCCATCCATTTCCACGGGCTCTTCCAAAACGGCACCAACCACATGGACGGCACCGTCGGCATCACGCAATGCCCCATTGCGCCCAACACGCAATTTAGCTATAAATTCAAAGTCGACGGCCAGTCCGGCACATACTGGTACCATGCGCACCACAGCGCGCAAGCCTCCGACGGCCTGCTCGGCCCGCTCATCATCCACTCCAAGAAGGAGCGCGAGCTGCAAAAGATCGACTACGATACCGACCGCATTATCATGGTCCAGGATCACTACCACAACCTGACGTCAGAGCTCCTCATGAACTATCTGAAATCCGGCAACGAAAACGACGAGCCCGTCCCCGACAATGCACTCATCAACGGCCGCGGCGTGCGCAAGTGCGCCGACTTCCCCGGCTGGAAATGCACCGACCACACACCAGCCCTACCAACCCTCGATCTTGAAAAGGACAAGCGCCACCGCCTGCGCTTCATCAATGTCGGCGCGTTTGCCGAGTTCCAGATCCAATTCGATGAACACTCCTTCCAGGTCACCGAGGTCGACGGGACCGACATCCACCCCGCCCAGTTCCACCGCCTCAACATCCTCCCTGGCCAGCGGTACAGCGTGATTCTCGAGCAGAACAAGACCGCCTCAGCCGACACCGTCTGGATGCGCACGCGCATGGTCACACACTGCTTCACAACAGAGAACAAGCGTCTCACCGCCGAGCTCAACGCCGTCGTGCGCTACTTCGACGCCGGATCTAAACCCACCGGTGCGGCCCCAGAGCCCAAGAGCATCGAATGGCCAGAAGGCATCGAGATTATATGCCGCGACCTGGACATTGCCAACCTCCACCCCGTGATTGAGCACACCGTCCCAGCACCAACAGATACCCTCCGCATCAACGCCAGCTTCGTCATTGGCGACTGGCGCCTAGCCCGTGGTAACTTCAACTACCACTCGTGGATTATGAACGCTACATCGCCATCCTTGCACCGCGTGGTAGACACACCCGTGAAAAAGGCCAGGAAAGATCTCGCCATCGCCATCAACAGCGACATCTTTGACGAGAGCAAGGAGTACGTCATGGAGACGTCATCTGTACGCACGGTTGATCTCACCATTAACAACTTTGACGACGGCTCGCATCCATTCCATCTCCACGGGCACAAGTTCTACGTTATGGCCATTGGCGAAAAGGGATACCCGCCTGAAGCCAAGGACCTTAATGCATACCTCAAGGAGCATAAGCTCGGCGTGAACCCGCTGCGCCGCGATACCGTGACGATCCAGGGCTACGGCTGGGCCATTATCCGCGTGGTGCTGGATAACCCGGGCATGTGGGCGTTCCACTGCCACAACGCGTGGCACGCAGAGGGCGGCATGCTGATGCAGTTCCTCGTGCAGGGCGACGAGGTTCGTAAGAGAGGCGTGGGCGGCCAGAACATGAAGGCCATGTGTAAGCTAGACGGCGTGACGAGCGGGATGCGCCCTGATGACGGTCTGTGGTTTGGCAACTTTGACGATTAGAAAGCGCCAACAAACACACACATCTATCTATATGTACATAGCAAAAGGCAAAGTGCAGCGAAAGCGAATGAACCCATGAATATATATGAAAGCCAAGAGTTAAAGGCAAACATTAAAGCCTCTTGAAATCTGTTTTTGATTCCGCCACAGTTCCGTCTCGTCTACTTCCTATCATTTTTCTACTAGATACAAAAAGCGATCTCAAAACGTGAACAAAATGTAACAAAGAAATTCAGAATGCCAACCACCTTCCCAAATGACCTATATGTAAAACGAGGAAAAAATATCAATCTTCTTTTTCCTGTAGAAGCCCGCCTCCCAAAGCCGTGTGGCAGTAGTAGCTTCACAAAGGAAAGAGCGCGTCTCTGCCACAGCGCTGCTTGCTGCATTGCCAACAGATCAAAAACGCCAGATGCTGTAGTTTAAGTAGTTTGTGTTTTGCGCCGAGAATACAAACAATTTTTCACGGGGCCCAAAATTAATCAAGTAAAACGCCTCTCCGGTATTTCCAAAAGCAAAAATGGTTCAAAGCTATACAAAACAGTGGGAGAAGATGGTATAAGCATCTTCTCTCGCTGCCAGAGTGAGTAGGATGGGTGGGAGGAGGGATATATCATGTCGCTGGCTCAAGACCTGCGAAGGACATTCACTCCCGGATTGACAAAAGCCCGGGAGGCTATGTCGCTGAAACGGCGCACCACGTTGGTTGTGCCACCAGGCGAGTGCGATTCGTCAAGGATGAACTTGGATGCCACTGCCAATCTGCTCTTGGGATCGGCTTCATCGATGTGCTGGGGCGTAGTTCCGTAGGTTGGGCCAAAGCTGGGAGCGAGCTCACGAGCAACGGCAATCGAGTAGAGCAAGTCTCGGTTTTCGCGTCCGTCGAGCACAAGGCGCATGCGGTTGATGACTTCTTCTCGCGCCTTGACAGCCTGGGGTGAATCGGGATTCTCGCGCTGGCGAACAAAGTCCGCCAGGCTGTACCAAAAGTCGAATTGGCGAGCTCGTTGGTTGTCGGAGTCGGCCACAGGAGGAGAGAGTGGATTATTAGTGAGATACTCTCCGGAAAGCAGCGCCTCGACGACCCGAACGCGGCCTCTGGCTTCGGCGGCATCACCTTCTGCAGGCAATGACAGGCGCATTGCGCCGACCGCCTTCTCTGGAGTTTGGTACACGCTACGCGCCAGCTCCCAGACAAGTCTCGTCTCCAAGACTCCCGAGTACGCCATCTGGGTGTGATCGTTCGCCTTGACAGCCTCCAACGTCTTCAGGAATGACGCCATATATTCGACTAGTCGTCCATCGCGGGGGAAGGACATTTGGCCGTTTTCTGCGAAATAGTACCAAGTCGTTTCGAAGAAGGAGGCAAGACTGGAGGCGTACATTTCGTGATACACCTTGGTGACTTCGCTCAATGTAGCCTCATTTTGGATAATCGATTGAGCTGGCAGCGCGGGGCCGAGCAGGGCTATGATGTCGTCAATCTTCATGTTCTGCGTTGGGGCTATATTCTAGTTAGTAAGGGCTGTTTGCTATGGTTGTTACTGTCGCGGCTGGTGCGGGGCGAAAGAGAGTAATGTTATATGAAATACGTACGATGCGCAGGAGAGATGGCGTGAGGAGGCGGCAAGTGCTTGGGATCAAGGCTTCTTGGCGTTTCGTAGGCTGTAGCTGTGTAATATCTACCTGACGGTTGAGAAGCAGGTGGATACCCGTAGTGAGGCTCTGGCTTCAGCTGAGGAGAAGGAGTATGCACAGACGTGGCCTGCAGATTGGGGCTCGAGGTATATGCGTTCGGGATGACGGCTGGCTGGCTGCCGTACGAGTTGATATGGTTGATATGGCGCGTCGCAGGCGAGACGGGCAGTGTGGTGGCACCAGTAGGGGAGCCCGTAGCAGAGTGACTGTGCTGAAGAGGGGCTCCTGGCTGACCCGGCTGTTGTCTGAAAATGGGATCGTAACCTAGACACTCGCGTTTCGACTTCTTGCAGTTGTTGCAGGTGGGATGCGTCTCGTCGCACTGGTGGGCGGTCAGTTTGTGATCAGACGCAACCTGGCGGGGTAGGCTAGGTGGTGGAGGTTTAGGTGGATGATGCGCAGGCACGTGCGGCTCGATGCGGGAGAGGGGATGAGTGACAGAGAATGCGATGATCAAGAAGGAAATTGCATGGGAATTGTGGTGATAGGCATTGGTCGTTGCTCGGAAAGATGACATGCAAAAGCAGCTGTTTTAGAAGATGGAATGAAAGCTGCCGCACTGGGTAGGGCAGAGTGGGTAGGATTCCCTTCAGCCAAACCAGGACTCCACAGTGGAAAGGGTAAAAAAAGGAAGCATGGGGAAATGGCATGAGGCATGTGACGTCCGAAACCAGGTGATAGGAGGGAGTAGAGGCAAAAGTAAAGAAGAAAAAATAGTGTAGAGGGAAGAAGGAAAGCGATAGGACCAGAAAAACATACCTTGATTCTTCGTTTTCTACACGTTAAGCAACCAGTCTTGGTTCGGCGCTTGATCTCCTGTTAGAACTCTGAGTAAGCAACTGCTGGTGGGCGAAAAAAAAGTATATATCCAACGACAGTCGAGTTGAGGCTGCCACAAAGACGCCCCGTCGTAGGTGTAATAAATATAAAGAAAATGCAACAGGTTCGAGCATACCTTTTTGGGGCCACGAGTGCCTGACATCCGGGGGTCGTGAGGCAGCGGATAGCGCGCCAAGGCGTCCTGAGGGCCACCAGCGTAGTGCGGCGGCGGCGGCGCTGCGGCCATGGTCTGATGTGAATAGTACGACGTGGTGGGCGGCGCATGGGCTAGAGGAGCGTTCATGGAGTGAGGGGACGGCGTCGACTGCTGTCGTGACAGCTCCTCCATTGTTCTCATGCTCGGCAGCGTCACGTTGTTTGAGCTCGTCGAGAGCGTCGGTCGATGGGGGTCGGCCGCCGTGGAGGGAGGCGTCGAGTAGGAGGAGGAGCCATAGGGAGCCTGGGGATTGGGGAGGCTGTTGTGATAGGCATGTGTCGGCGGCGGGAGAGGAGAGGACGAGTAGGCAGGCGGCCGCAGAGGATGATGTGCTGCCGTAGGATGAGGAGAGGGCAGCGTCGGCCGGTGACTAGCCATGTCGTCGCTGTCCGTCTCGGACGGTCGAGCCTCGCCGTTTGCCAGCTGCTGCTGGGGATGTATATCCTGTTGTTCAGCGTTGGCGGGATCGTCGTCGTGGTGTTGTGTAGTCTGTTGCAAGGCAGAGGCGAGGTCCGCGGGGACGTCGTCGTTGTTCTCGAGCGGCGGTGGCACGGGCTGGTTGGAGAGGGCAGAGGACGAAGAGTCTGCAGCAGCGGCGGCGGCGTGTGAAGAAGGAGAAGGAAGAAGAAGAGGGTCGTCGTCGAGGGTGGCTGTAGAAGAAGATGCTGTGGTAGAGTCTGAAGTAGGAGCAGCAGCAACGGGACCAGCACCAGCACCAGTAATAGTAGTAGCAGTACCAGCAGCAGCAACAGCGGTAGCCGTAGGTGCAGGATTGACGTTGGCCGGCGTGGCTCGGTCAAGGTGGTGGTTCTCTTGAGCGGCAACGGCAGCGGTAGCGGCAGGCTGAGGGTGGCCTTGGGCGGTGGTATCAGCACGAATAGCCGCTACAGCCTTCAGGCCAGGATGGGAAGTAGCAGCAGGTCCAGTAGCAGCAACGGTAGAAGTAGTGGGAGAGTCTGCGGCAGTGGCCGTGTTGGTAGCAGTCGCAACCGGTGCAGCAGCGGCGGCCATAGTAGTGGCCATGGCTACGCGTAGGGAATTTGTTAAATTAGAGAGTTATTATGGAACCAAGAGAAGGACATGGGCTTGGCGTCTGACAGGCAGACCCAACACGAGAGCCCAGTACAGCCCAGTACAGCCCAGTTTCGGTAGTAGTCTGCAGCAGGTATCGTGGGAAGGGGGCGTGTGCGTGGGTGTTGGTGGTTGAAGTGTGTGGTTTGTTGTCGAGAAATTTTTGGGGACAGTACTAAAAGGAACAGGGGACGTGCTCCAGGCCGCTGTGGCAGTAGCGGAAGCAGCAGTGGTGCCTTGCCTGGGTTTACAGCGCCTGCTGCAGGGTGGATTTTCGCCCCGTAGAGTTGGGGTTTAGGTTTTCGTTAGCGCGCCTGCACTGGGGGACAGGACCCGGGAACAAGCCTAGAATTTTTTTGCCTCTAGGGGCCTAGCGTTCGATACCTGGACTAGGCGGGATTGGAGGGAAATAGGCGAGGTGGTAGTCGTGGTAGTGCTCTCTGTTGGGTTAGAGCCGGCACTAGTGACCGTAACAAATTTAAAAAAAAAAATAAAGTAAAGTGAAAAGGAAGTACGGAATACAGTTTAGAGTGGTCTTGTTAGCGGCCTTTTGGTACGGTACAGAGGATTGGACAGCGTAAACGAAAGCACGGAAACAAGAATAAAAAAAAAATAAGGGAAAAGCGAAAGTCAGTTAGCGTAGATGGGGAGGGGGGTGTGTGGGTGTGTGCTAGGGACACTCTTTAGGCGCCTCTTTTTCTTTTGTCTCTCGCCTCGCTGCGGCGGCGTCGTCTATAATAAAACTGGCGCTGGAATTTGACGCTTGTGTAGAACGAAAGATTATCATTATGATTCTTCATATTTCTGCGTGCACGCTTGGCGGGAAAAAGGGAGGACATGCCGCGCCACCCCGCCCTCGCTGAAATCCAGGGCAGCAAGAATTCCTCTGTGATGTCAAAATGACAGCTGTTGGCAGATTGATGGGCCCCCTTTGGGCGGCCGCTGTGGGTGGTGCTCGGCAGTCTTGTCTGGGCTGCCCCATGTTTCTGGTCCCCTAACATTTCAGCGGCCGCCGTGTGTAATTGGCTGGTTTCCGTGTCTTGTCCCTTTTCTCCTCATTCTCTTTTGAGTATTGTGTTGAATGAAACGAGGTTAGATCACAGGACAAGACACTCGACGTGAAATCTGATAGAATCTAGAGACACGGTTTGCGGCTGCTGCTACGGCTGCTATTACAGCTAGTGCTAGTGCTAGTGCTAGTAGTGCTGCTGCCACTGCTAGTGGTGCGTTGCTTTATCCGGGGGTGGCTGTCAAATGATTTTCCTTCGGCAAACTCTGTACACCTGCCCGGGCTAAGCCTCTTCTAGCGCTAGCCGGGGCTGCACGTCTCTGGCAGGACCACGCCCCCCATAAAATGCGCCGCACAGCGAGCCTGCTTTTCCCAGCTGGCAGGCTTCTAGAGCTGCTGTCAGGCCAAGTGGGCTTACGGCTGGCTCGGTAAGTGTTGCGACCCCGTTTTCCAGCGCTCTGGCCACGTCTTCTGGGGCGGCCAGCTTTTGAGCTAAGCCCAGCTAGCGCTGGATCCGCTTCTTTATTGATGATTTTCATGGCAGCGAGGGACGTGGACCAGCAATAGACAAGTCGGAGGGCCACCAGCAAGCGAGACACTTTTTGTTTTTTTAATTTTCTTGTTGAGAGGGTAGACTGGACACACTGCATTGGCGGCTGGACGGAAATAAACAAGAAATGCTAACTTGGCCAAGAAAAGGGTACCCAGAGACAGTAGCAGCCAACAGCACCAGCACCACCAGCTGGATGTCCCGTTTAGTGGTAATAAGCTGCTTGGGGCGCTGAATCAGAGACGGTTACAGGCGCGGTGTGCTCACTACGATATGCGTCAATCTATCTGGTCAGTCTTTCTCCAGCGCTCGGGTCCGTTCCTTATCGACGCCAACTTTTATTTCTTTTTCGTCTTTTTTTCCTACCCCTGGTACCCTTGGTCTCTTTGTGGCAAACAGCACAGCGAGCAAGTATTACACGGAGACGAGCAACACACTCTGTCTCTCCAAAAGCGGCAACCAAAAAAAAAGAAATAAAAAAAGAAAAAAGAATGCTTCGCCTGACTAGCCGCAGCCGCTAAGCAAACGAGCGAGAGACACCCTGGCCACAATGCAACCGCGCACCGTGAGACTATAGCAGTTGGCTTAAACAGAGCCCCCCCTCGACGTTAAAGCTGGGGCTGCGGGCTTTCGGCGGCGGCGGCCGGCGGAGCTGTCTTCCCCGTAGAGCGCAGCACACACCCCCACTGGGTTTGGCACAATGCATGCCTGTTTGCCTGTTCTGGAGCTTGGCCCCCAGTCCAGCCCTTCGCTTGAGCGCCGCCTACATGATTCCGGCGAGAGCGAGCGAGCAAGCCCCGTCCGCCGCCAGTCAGCGCCGCGCGCCCATTAGGCAGATTGGCTTTCGCTGGCCGCCCTAAAAAAGTTACTGGGCCTAGAGGACACATGCAGACCAAAAAAAAACCTGATTTTCCAGCGGGGTGCTGGAGCCGGAGTCACTATGCTACTGCACTGTATGCATTAACCTACTGACCAACCCTATAAACAGCAGCCGTATTGCGTCAATGGCGCCTGTCGGTCCGCCCAGCCCAGCCGCTGTAGGTAGGGAAGAACAGATGAACACCCATCATTGGGTCGGCTTGCTCGTTTGTCTACGAAGTAAGAGGCCACCCCCGGACATTTTTGGCTCTTCTATTCATCCGTTGCCTCTTTTCACAGCGAGCGAGCGAGCCCTGTTGGCGCGCGTGGTCAGGCCGCCCCGGAGCGAGGTACCCGATACCGCTTGACAGACCTGACACGGGGGGTATAGCGCATAGAGTTCAGCAGCGAGTGGTACTGCAGTGTACGGTAGTGGCAACTAAGAGTCAGCTGTGTGGCTCGGATGGTGGGCCACGCAGCGCATGCGAGGCGGCGCAGGCGAGCGAAGCAACCACCAGACGAAAATGCACGCCAACGCGGGTCGCCAATCTCAACCGTCGTTGTGCCAATCCCGTGACGCTAACGTAGGGTTGTCAGCAGATAGAGTGGGCGGCCGTGGCGTTCAACGCGTAGTGGGAATAGAGGCTGCAGCAAGCGCTAGCAGATGCACGCAGATGCCATGCTATGAATCGTGCAGCCCCCCTAAAAAAAGAACGAAAGGGTGTATCTATTGTCGAGTGCCATGGACTGTACGTACCATAGAGACGCACGATGGGCCGGTTGGCCAAAGCGCAGGACAATGAATACGGTACAAAGAAAAAGAAATGCCCGTAGGCTTTATTTTCTCCTTCTTTACGCTTTTTTTATTAATTGTCTATTTACCCTGAGTTACGTTGCACTTACTGGGGTAGCCTGACATGGCTGGGCTAGCTGGGTCTGATGAACGACAGGACGAACGCGCCAACGACGGTAGCGTATTACTACTACTGCTGGCGCCGCTGCTGCAAGCCTACTGCTGGCTGCCTGGTCCTTCCTGCACGGCGTACGGCGCCTCTGTAGAAAAATAGAACGCTGACGATCCACAGCGATACGGCGGCGGAATGTCTCTCGCCTTGCACCCTCAGTTGGGAAACGCCGTGCAGGGGGGCATAGGGGCCATCCTGGCGGATTCGGATTGGACTAATAGACGACCTGCCTGGGGATTGTGCTCTGGCCACCCACCCATCATCCCATTGAGCATCATTCTTCGAGGTTGGCAGTCCTTTGCAATTTCCATCACCCCTTCTTCGAAACACTGACCTGTCCTGATCAGTCAGGTGAAGGGGAAGCCTACCTGACCTGGTCTGCGTGTTCCTGAGCCTAATTGGCCCTGTCGGCTGGCTGCAGGGGGTTGTTCGGGATCAGCAAACACCAGCACAGAGGTAAGGCGAACCCAAAAATGCCACTGCCTGCAGAGCCGTAAATCGGCGGGAACAGGTAGGTGGCCAATTACACCGCGTAATGCACCACTCCGCGTTCGTTTGCCCTGCCTTGCATGCAATTATTACAAATAACAGCCCTCACACTTGCCAAAAAGAAGTCATAGTGATGGGAACTTGGTGCCCTGAACAAAGCGGCTCGTAACGCAACCTTAACGAGACGAGCCGTGTCTGCTGGGCTGGTCTGCCCCCCAAAATCCTACGCTTGACGGTTTAGCGCTGCGGCGAGTACGGGGTATTACTATACGTAAACTTATAGCACAGTATGAAGCCCTGTAAGTTAGCAAAGCAGAGCACGGCACAGCGCTGCAGCAGAAGTATATCGGTATAGTATAGTACAGTCCCGTACACCTTCTGTCCCCGCCTCCAGGACAGCCAGCCAACCAGCCAGCCCTTCTGTTCCAACGCCCCGGGGAAAGGACAGGAGGAGGGGAGGGGGGGCCCTGGCGCTAGGGTGGCTCTACCGGGAAAGTTGGGGGCCAAGTCCCAAGGTGACCCGCCGGCCCCCTGGCGCTGGCGCTGGCGCTGGCGCTGGTGCTGGTGCTCGCAGCAAGAAGCAAGAAGCAAGAAGCAACACCAGCAAACATCTCCCTATGGATCGGAGCAGCCGAACGTAAAAACCCCATCTCCAGCGCTCAGCACCGCCGACGGGGGTGTTGGAAATAGAACCCCAAAGAAGAGAAATGTCTTGCTTGCCTGCACGCTGATTCTTGACTAGCACCCGCTGACTAGCTCATTGTTCTGTCGGGGCCTGCTTCGGACCCGTGGATGGAACTGTACCCAATCGTGAGGCGCCAGCACACACACACACATCGAGCAGGAAAAAAGGAACACGACATATCGCACATCACCACCATCAAAGTGGCGTAGGTACCGACATGGACAAGAAGTAGAGAAATGGAACAAAGCACCTGTCGGGTTGGCTGAATATGGAAGATGCCGAAGACTGATCTCGACACCCCCTCCCCTCGTTCGCATGCTTAGTAGCGCCAGCTATCCCCCAGCCAGTAACCAACAACATTAACAGGCACCAAGCAAAGTACAGAGGGTTCTGGCCGACCGTTTTTGGCTCCGCGTACTTTAGGGCGGCTCTAACGACGCCAGTCATCCGCTGGGCTGGGCGTGGCTCGCGATGGTTGTCGTTTTGGACGTGCAGTATTAGCTACAGTTTAGCGCTTGGCCCGCTGGCGCTGGTGCAACCCGCTTTCTCAGCTAAGCTCTAAGCCACCAACGACGCTATATGTATCCGCCTCACAATTCTTGCATTCTGCCGTCTCGCCTCTTTTCATTTAGCCTCCTTCTCATGCATCTCGCCTCAGCTGACAAGGCTAGCTTGCGCCAGGTATCCGGTACACACCACCGAAATGGGGGCTGCTGGAGCTGCTGGAACCGCCGCCAAGGTTCAATACGCACAAACTGACAAGCTAACCTCACCACCTGTCAGTATGTACGCTTTTGAATGTATGCATGCAGGCAGGCAGACAGGCAGGCATGCATCCACCTTGTCTGTATCCTCTTTAGCCAGCCAGCAAACAGGAGAAGTAATGTACTGTGGTAGGTAGCATAAAATGCACAAGACAGATAAAAAAGACGGCCGAGAAACACGCACTGCCGGCGACTTACCACTTACGGGGGAGTATCGCCGCGCGAGCCGCCTCCTCCCCCAGCTTCTCGCTACCTGCCCGCTGGATCCTGCGCCGGTTGCCCCCAATGCAGACGCCAATGCGGCCCGACCGCTTCGGTAGGAAAGCTGGTGGATCATGACGGCTTGGAACAGTAGACGAGAGCAGCAGCAGAGCGAGACATGCCCTCTATCGAGCAGGGAGGGGGGAACCCTACTACAACTCCTGGCTTTTTGGTAGTGTAATGTTACTTCTCTCACCTCTCTCGATCCGCCTTATGACGGACGACCCAGGGTCTTTGTTTCAGGATGAAGAATGAAGAAATACAGCATCTCCTCTGTCACCGCTCCTTGGTCGTCGGCAGATGCGCTGCGGAGCACGAAAAATGAAGAGCAGCATGATTAACGGACCAGGCCCATTGGCGTAGATCGTTTGTTAATTTTGGGCTGGCCCCAGCGCCGCCATGTCGAACTTTACCATGCATGCATGCATGTACACATGCGAGCGAGGAGGAGGGCAGGTCCAGTAACGAAGCCTTACCCTCTGGCGTCGTCCCGCCGGGCGACATCGATGGGGTCGAGGCGGCGGGGGCGGCCTCTCTCAAGCAAGACAAAGGCATCATCAGCGTGTGGTTTCTGCATGTTTAATTCGATTGACACAGCTGAATTTGGGGGGCGTGCGTGCAGCAGCAACCAACAGAGAGAGAGAGACGGAGCGAGATGGAGAAAGATCACAAATGAAAATACAAGAGACGATGGCACCAGCAAACACTCTGTGTTGTGATGACCGTCACTTCCGTGTTATTTCCTACAAACACCAGCTACGTATACTTTGCTAGTACAGACACTGGCCAACTAATAGACTGGGAGATCTGGGCAGCACCGCTACGCTGCCTTTTTCGCAGCCTTGCTTCTAAACTCTTCTTATTTTTAGACTCGTCTGATTCAAAAACAAAAAACCTTGGGCGAGGAACGTTCCATCCCGCCCACCGTCCACGCCAAGAGGGGGTATCAATCAAGGTGGTGGTGCAGCACCGGTACAGTGTATAATACAACGTCGACGGACGGGGTCCGAACAAATAGCCCATGCATGGGAGGGGAAGGGGGCAGCGTAAAGAAAAAAAACAGACTTTCTCTTTTTAATCACCCGCGCAGCGCGCCCGTAGACCGACTATGGCAGCCTCGTGCACCCCCGAGGCTGTAATGTCCTTGGAGCCTCGCTCGCCCGGCACCACCCACGGACTTGCATGGCACGCTGCCGCTGCGCCATCGTGCTTCCACGCCAAACACCACCGCTTCGAGTCGACTTCGCACTTGCGGCGGCACTCGTCTGCCGACTTGACGTTTTTCCAAGTAGTTGTTTTGTCGTCGAGCGGGCCGACGCGGTCAATCACGCCGCCGGCGGTGGGCATGCCAAAGACCTCAAGCAGCGTGCCCCATGATATCGGCTTGCGGAACGGCCGGAGCGAGCGCGCCAGGTGATCCATTGCTGTGGGCGTGCGCAGCGAGTGAAACGACACAATGGGCGCGCAGAATCGCTCCGCAGCGACGCGCGTAATCTCGGGCGGCTCGCCGTTGAAGTGGTGCGCATACCGCTCCTCCAAGTAGATGCCGAGCTGCTGTAGTGTTGTGGCGACGAGCTTGTCGCCCCAGGTCTCGACGAGCGAGACAGCCAGCGACGTCGCTATGACGGTCTTGTCTGAAGCAAACTTTTGCATTGCCTTTCGTGATATAATAATGCCTGATCCGCCATGTGCAAACCGCGCGCGGAAGTCGCCCACAGCATTGCCAATGTAGTGCGGCTTGTCCGGGTCCAGATGCGAGAGCAGCATCTCGAGCGTCGGACGCACTAGATACGTATCGTCGTCTAGAATAATATACCACTTTTTCTCTGGATAGCGGTTATAGAGGTCATACATGCCCGGTATAAACTGTATCGTCATCAATATTCCGTCCATCCTTTGCACTGCTGCACAACGCCTGATATTCACTTACCTTGAGCGCATCCAATTCCCAGCCAAACTCCTTCCCCAGCTCCAACGCCTTCTCCTCATCCCCAGACTCAATCGCCGCCCTCAACAGCCCATGCTTCTTCCTCCTCTTCGCCCCCGCCACATCATCATCCACCCCAAACTCCTCCATCATCTGCCACCCTCTGCTCAGCGCATCTGTTACTCCATCGCCGTCCCAATCGCCCACGACCAAGACGCCCTCTTCCCCTAGAATGCCTCCACTCTTCTCATATGCGTCCCGCATCAGCTTAACTCGCCCCCGCGTCCCGTACCCCGTCTTGATCAGATACCCAATGTCCGCGCTCACCTCGACCTCCCAGCGGCCCGGCACGCGCATCCACGCATCTGGATCCTGATACGCCGCGCCGCGCACGGAGCTTCCTAGGCGCGCGGCATTGAAGTTGACGGCCGCGCGCACCGTCGACGCTGGCGGTTGGAAGTGGTACCAGACGAGCAGGGACACGAGCACAAAGGTCAGAACGGCGAGGGGGCGGCGCAGGCGCCGGGGAATGCGTGCCGATATCCAGGTGCCGACGCGGAGGATGATCAGCGACGATATAAGCCCCATGATGTCGCGGCCTACATGTGTTGTTGGATGTTGTGTTGGCAAGGGGGTGGCTAGATATTGGTGATACTGCCAGATCGGGTGTTGAAAGTTGGTCGGTCCACCAAAAACCCCTGGGGCGATAGCCGTCACCACCATGTCACTGCTGGTGTGGCTACACGGCGTCAAAGCTTGTGACGGACAAAAATGCAGAAGTGGATGAATAAATGAATGACGGACATAATTATTGATTGGTTTAATTAATGTATTCATATTTGGAATTATAGAGGGATGGTTATGGGATTGGTTGTGGCACGCGACTCTAGCAGGGGTGGTTTATTCACTGAAAGTAAGAGAGAATGTTTGTTTGATGGGACACAAACGACAACTGTATGTATTGTTCTTCTTACAACACTTCGCTATCCAATGCTCTGACTGGCGCAATCTTCGCCGACAAAATGACTATATACAAAAAACAGGAAAAGGAAAACTGTATGCAATGTAATGCGCCTCTTAGTTTTTATGCACTGTTCTGGGCACCACCACCACCACCGCCACTCTGCCAACAATGCCATATAATACTGTAAGAAAGAAAAAATTATGATCGGTCCAGTTCGTAAAACAGGAGATAAACCTCCTTCTGCATGCCGAGCACCTCGCTCGTCTTGGCCTCACGCACTCTCTCGTCGCTCACGCGCCACCATCGATCAGCAGCAACTTTGGTCCGTCGTGGGCGCTTTGCCAAGGGATTTGGCGGCGTCCTAGGACCCTTGATCGAGCCAGCATCGCCTTTGGCAAGCTTTGACAGTGCAGACTTGGTCGAGGCTGCTACTGATCGTAAGCTGCTTGTTTCCGCATCCTTGACTTTGAGGCTAGATGTGGACGACGCAGCTGCGGCGCTGGTGCCAATGGGGACGCTCTTGGGTATCGATTCGAGAGACGGCGTTGACGAGGTGGGTGTGGAGGAGGCGAGCAGTTCAGGAGTCGAGATGGTGGAGCTGTCGGGCTGACGAGCGGCAATCTCGGGCGTAGAAATAGGCGTGGGCGTCTTGCTGTAGACACCGGACTGCTGAAAGGTGTTGGCGTTGGGGAAAGGTAGCGGCAGGTTCTGGCGCCTAAAGGCTTCGTAGTGACCGCTGTTGTGTCCGCCACGATGTGTCACTACGCCGAGCAGCTTATACTTGCGCTGGTCTGCGAGGCCGCCGAGAGGCAGTTGTTCGGGGAACGTGACCTTGGCTAGGTTCTTCTGCGTCATGCCGACGCCGTAGATGGAGCGGGAGAGGTGGATGGCTAGGATTTTCGGGAATGTCGTCATGCGAGTTGTCTTTGCTATTCTGCGCTTCGGCGCGTAGCGGATATCGCCCAGATCAATGTCCGCAGGCGGGCACTCGGGATCCATCTGGATAGCCCGCTTGAGCTTCGCAATGCTTTCTTGTGCGCGATGCTTAAAGGCATCTGACGTAGACTTGGCAGCTTCGTGCTCGAGATGTTCGACTGTCTGGAGGAGACGGCAGTTTTCGCATTTGAAATCGTCAATGAATTCCGTCTTGAAGATGCCGTCAAAGCACGACGTTAGTGAGGTCGAGTTGACTTGTGGAACGTTGAGGGTGAGTGTGCAAAAGGTCTCTTCGCGCGGCTTGGTTGTGTAACCGCAGGTCTGGCACTTGATATGTGACTCGTATTTGCCTTCCATGGGGAAACCGTCTTCGAATTCAAACGGGACATCGCTGTCGGATATCTCGGATGGGGGGGTGGTGGTTTGCGTCGTCGATTCGTCGTCGTCAGCATCAGCAGCAGCAGCAACCCCGGCCACGGCGGCTTTTTTCGAAAAGAGGCGTGCTCGCTGCGCAGCATGGTATTCGTCCTTGAGGCGGTCGGCGACAATCTGTAGGAACTCCTGGGCGTCCTGCTGCTGGCGGCTGATGCGCTGCTTGAAGGCTGTTTCGAGGACGCGGACAAATGGAAATGGCGAGATGGCCTTTTTCGAAATGGGTCGTTCGTTGAGAGCATCGAGCATATCCTTGAGACCCTGCGTGACAAGGCCGTCTTGCATGCCCTGAATCTTCCACGCCGGCATCTCCTGGCCGTCCGGCTGGACAATGGTGGCATAGACGGAGGGATTCTCAATGCGGCGGCGGTGAGTCTCTCGGATGAGATATATTCTCAAGTCGCCGAGGCCGGCTAGGGCCTGGAGGACCGAGTTTATGAAGCAGTCATTTGCTTGGTTTCGGAGACCGACTATTGTCTTCTTCTTGGAGGAGGAGCCGTCGGCATCGAGGGTAAAGGTAGGGCCGAAGACGTAGATGAGAGCGACGGCGGCAAGAGACGCGCCGGCCGCGTACGAGACGACAGACCCGGCTCTTTCGGGCATGTCTTGGGGGGGGAGGATTTGCGTCTGTTATATAAATCGAGGAAGGACTACTGAGTAAGGGTTGTCGATGTCGGTGCGTGTTATGTGCTGCGTGCGATCTGCGCGACGTTGAACCGCATTGCCGGGGAGAGCGGGATCAGCAGTTGCAGTAGGCGAGGAAGACGAGGGAAAAACGGCTGCAGGGAAAAAGAATGCAGCAGCAACGGGGCAGCGAGCCCTTGAAGATTGTTTAGTTGTGTGTGCTGGGAGAAGGAATCCGAGTCGATGAGATTGTTTGGACAACTCGCAGCGGGTGACGACGACGCCGGTGTTGAGGAGGCGAACGGGGGAAAAATACGAAAGACAGCGAGAAAGAAAGAAGCGAAAGGGACGCCTCGTCAATCGCTGGCCAAAGAGAAGCGTCACTGACGCCCCCCCCACTTACAGCGGAGTTTGGGGTGGATTTCCAGCGGGTTTAGTCAACAAGCTTACCGACCAGCTATGCTGAAACTACAGTAGAAAAGGGTCCTACAGGAGGAATGATGTCACCCACGTGGGCCGGCCACTATATAAAAAAAAGGGAACAGAGTAAAGAAAATAAAAGATGAATGAAAAGAGATTTACTAGAAAAATGCTAGAACCATCTCTTCTACAGTACTTCCACTTTTTTTTCTGGTACTGGTGTTCCCCCCAAACAGCCAAGCAAGCAAGGGCACGGCAGCGGCTCGCCCTCCCGCGGCCTGCCGCAAACAGCCACCACGGCGCCCAGGTCTCACAGCGCCTCTTTATCCCCTGTATTCCCTGCACCTGCACTGTAAATTAATAGAAACGAGCCTCCAACACACAGCAAACCGTGCATATGCACCACAACTAGCGCCACTGCAAAATACCACAGTATTGGATAATGCCTGCGACATGCCCCCCAGCGCCGATGCACAACACCACCTGTCCTCGGCTGCTTTAGTCAATCTGACATCTGCATCTGTCTTTTACTGTTTCGCAGTAGTAGCCACCGCTGTTCTCTTCGTTGGTCTGTGCCGTCCTGTGCAAAACCAAGCTAGTCACACGACCAGATGCCTTTTTCGGCCGCATGGCTCTTCCAACGTACGATGCATTCACTACAAATCACGTCGTTTCTTGAAAACAACACATCATTTGTCTTTTATCCGCTAAACTCTATAACCAAAGACCTTTATCATCATACACATCTACTGCTGCTGCGCAGCGGTCTTCTGCTGACGCACTTCTTCCCCCCCCCAGTCCCATATGCTCCCCTCCAAAGCACCCCGTCTAACCCAACTACACACCAGCTCGCTCTCCGACTCATCGCCATAATATGACACCGGCACCGTAAACACATCTACCTTCATAGTCTCCCCCGCATCCCACTTATCCCAGTCTGTCGTCACTAAATCTGACACCTCGCACCCGACAGCCATTAGCGTCACCCGTATATCCTTTCCTCCACCACGCTGTCGCCCTTTTACTACTTCTGCTGTTGCTACTCCTGTAGTTGCTGCTGCTGCTGCTGCTGCTGCTGCTGCTGCTGATGTTGATGTTGATGATATACCCCCCATGGCAGTGGCAGCACCATCCCGCTGCTCAAAATACGCCTTCTTAATATTTGCCGTCCTCGCAGCCAAATCCTGCGAATCCGTAACCGCAAACACTATGCTCTCCAGATGCGCAAACCTCGCAAGCGCCCCAATGTGCTCCGTGCTGACGAACCAGTCACCGCAAAACGTGAGACGCCGTAGAGCGGGCCAACTCGGGGTCGATAGCTCGCCCAGCGTTCGCCATGTATAATCTCCGATTTCCACATACTCCTCCAGCCTCTGCAGCTGCAGCAGGCCCTGTAGAACCATCCTGTTCTGGATCGAGTGCGTGTCGGCATCTACCGAGGGCAGCTCCAGCACCAGCCGCCGCAGCGTCCCAGACACCGTATACAGCAGATTTCTCACCCGCGTCACTGTCTGCAAATGTTGCCGCGGATTCCCAAATGGTGCGAGATACATGCTTGTGACATTTCTAAACACCAGCGGGAGAGACGATGCTGGGTCAGCCTGTGAGAGGTGCAGCAGCACTCGGTCTAGCTTCCATTCAGAGTCTAGGTAGACGTAGCGATCGCGGAGGAGTCGCGATGCCTGTTGGTATGTAAATCGGCAGACTAGCAGCCATGAAAGCAGCGTCTTTACGCACGTGTGAGTGGCTGGGAGGAGCTGGTGGTCGTTGCGCGGCAGGGCCGTTTCCATGATGTGGATGAGAATCTCTGGCGGCAGATTACTGATATTGCCGGCCGTGCGCATATTCGCTTCCACTGTCGTACTAGCCATACTGGGGATAGATATAGGCTAAAAAGCTTGCTATCGAATACTCTGGTAGACTATTGAAAAGGACTGGAACATGGTAAGAGATAGGCTGCGAAGTCCTGTGAGCGCATCAGCATTTGCCCCGCGCCACATGGCAGAATACGCTGCCTCGTCCTATCGAGTTATGCACATAGCAGGATCAGACGTAAAAAAACGAAAATGGTATTATGTGCAAAGCAATGTACTCTAAATCTTCTCGTACAACGTATTTCTTTGGCTTTTGCTTCCCACCTCAATACAGCACTATCCCAACTCATCTCAACCAGTACAAAAAGAAATACAACATCATATGTCGCCAATGATATCTCAAAGCAAAAAAACGCCGTCCGGTTTCCAATGACGCCTTATACAAAACGCACTGATGTACAAATGAAAAACAAACGCAGTATAATGCATTCTAGCCTATTGAGGCTGGCCAGAACCTTCACCGTGGTCTTCTACAGTCCACATCGTCTCCGAGACCACAGACTTGTGGCCGCTGGTGCCTGATTCTTCACGATGCACAGTTAAACGCTGCAAAAAGGTCTCCCTGTCAGTACAACATATCACGGCCCATTCAAGGCATCAACATCTCGTACCTCAGGAGTCTCTGTTGAAGCTTGATCTGCCGGTAACGCTTGTCCATTGCAAGACGAGGCCTCAGGTGTTTGATTGTTTTCACGCTCTCCGATTCTACCGGCGATAGCGTTGGCAAGCATGGACGGATTATGCAGAGGACTCGTTCCAAGTGGCGTTTCCGGGGCCACTGCTCGTAGAGAGTCGGTTTCGCTGGCCAAGGCGCTGCTCTTAAGGAATCCACCACTAATGGAAAAAGGCAAAGCCTTGGATCCGGAGCTGCTTCGACGGCTCTCTAAGCTCTTCGATAGAGTCTTGTTAATCCCCTCGATGCTTGTTATGCTATCGCGGTTCTTGCCCTTGGTGCGGATTGGCTGTGTCTGGATGTTTGCCGTGGCCGCCACTGTGTTTGCAGCAACAGTAGATTTCCCCATGCCAGGTGTTGTTGGCGCACCAGGCTTATCCTCGTGCGCATCAATCAAATACCATCGCAACCCGTCGGAAAGCTGGAAAGGGTTATCATTTCCGCCCTCGTCAAGCGAGTCTTTGTCGTTCTTGGTGCTGGGCTGCTGCACGCTCTTGGACAAGTCTACCACGCGCTCTTGCACTTTGGAAATACGTGCCACGAGCCACTCGCGATGGCGTAGACGGTGGTTGTCCTGTTCGCGCAAGAAGAAATGAGGAAACCCAACATTGAACGCAGCCCAGGCTCCGGCTTGCTGGTTTCTAGTTGGTAGGAACAGGGCCAGGTCGCCTTCTTTAAAGTTTCGGAAGGCAATCTTGTCGTGGGCATCCTTGTGGAACTGGTGCGCTCGCTCTCGGTACGCTCGTGCCTCTCGCTGCCACTTTCGTGCTTTATGCTCCGCCTCTTTAATGCGGTGATAGATGGTGTCGGCAAATACATCCATGTCAAAGGTTCCCAGCTTGTTGAGGAAGTTTTGGTACTTTTCCGTTTCAGCAGACGTATCCGTCTCATTCATCCAATACAAGAGCTCCAGGTCCGCGCTGTCGCTCAAGTTTCGGCTGCTTAAGTTGCGGGAACTGAGATTAAGCGACCTCTTGATAGATGAACCTGGATCCGAGGAGTCGTTGGGGTTCTGAGTCTGGCGCTCGGAGCGAGGAATCTTGGTAACTATCATCTCTGCTTCATTGCGAGTAACCGAGTACCCAATACGCTCCAGAAGGCGAATAAGGCGGTCATTCTGCGAGAACACTCGCTGAGTAAGGTCTTTAGTCTTTTCGCTGCGAGACGTGTAATGGTCCGTCATGGAGGATATCTTTTCTTGCATAGATGTTGCCTTTGTATTGAGCAAGAACACCTCTTCCTCTAGGCTACCGACTCGGGATTGTCTTGTGGCAAGTTCCTCGGTGAGTTGGCTGACTCTCTTTTCCTCGCTCTCCAATTTCTTCTGTAGAGTTTCGGACCCAGTTTCACCATCTGAGAGCTGAACACGTAGCTTTCGGATTTCTTCACGGGCATCAGTGAGCTCACTATCTAGAGCCGTCGCCTTGGCTTTGGACTCAGAGAGCGCCTCTGTAATTTCTTTAACAGCCGTTTCATGTTGTGCGAGTTTGGCTGACGCCTGCGCAATCTCGGTACGAAGCTCCTTTGTAGTGTATGATGCGTTTTCGAGATCTGTTTTGGCAATAATGTGCTCATTGCGGGCCTCTTGCAGCTTCGAGTCAAGGTCGGCCGTATATGATGCCAGGGCCTCGGCAAGATCAAGAGCATCGTCTGGCACTGCGGCATCTGGAAGCAGGTCGGCATGCAACCGTTGGTACACCTGGGCCTGTCTTTCAGCCATGTCCTGAGCATCCTCGAGTTGTTTGGCGGTTGAGCGGTGGTCATCGCGTGCTGCCTGGGCATCTCTGTTTGATATATCAAGCTTATCTCGTTGTGTTTGAGCTTCCTTGCGGAGGAACTCAACTTGACCTTGGACTTTCAGCATCTCATCGTTGCCTTCTTTTACGAGGCGTTCCATTTCTGCTTCCAAGGTCCGCAGCTTGTCATCGTAGGATGCCTTTTCATTCTCGCGAGATTCACCAAAGTGATCCATCTCATCCTCGTTGTCTTCGATCCTAGCTTTTAATGCCTTGATTTCGTCCTCGTAGGACTTTCTTTCGCCCATGAATTCATTCTTGAGAGCCTCCATATTTTCTAAAAGGTCCTTTTTAATGGAGTTGACCTCATCCAATTGCCCCTTCATCTCGTCACGTTCGGTGGCTTGGGCACCCATGTCCTTCTGAAGCTTTGTGGACTTTAGCCTCTCCTCTCGAATCTCATTTTCTAGCTGGGCGATACGTCGTAGCAGTGGGTCAGCACCATCAGAAGATCGCCGGCGATCTTCTAAGCGATTCGAACGGATGGAGGCACTAGAGCCAGGTCTTTCCTGAGATCGAGCAGGAGGAGGCTGGAAGAGGCTGCCTTGGCGAGATGCCTGGCTTTGACGATGTAGCAGGTCTTCCAGTCTTCGAACACGGCTCTCTGACGTTTTCAACTTGGTCTCGAGTTTTGATTTATCGTCCTGTAGAGTTCGGAGTAAGTCGTCATCACCCCTGATCATGAGACCGCTTCGTCCAAGCACAGCTTCATGCACGCTGCCATTTTTGAACGCCTTTAGACGTTTGGACTGCTGTTTTGTCGGGCTGTGCAGCTCCTGCACAAGCTTGGATATGTCTTCTAAGATAGCGGGATCGGTGTTTTGCTCCTGCAGCCTTTGAAGATAATCCTCAAGCTCTTCCTTTGCCAATACTGGCCATGCCTCATCGTTTCCGTGAAGGTTTACTTCCAACCCCATCACGTTGGTATCCAGCTCTGGCCCGTACATGCTGCCAACCATCTTTTGCCAACGGCGCCGGCGCTTAGACTCTTCGTCTTGAAACAGGGCCATTTCGTTGGCTAGTGTTGAAGAGTCCAGCTTGACTTTATCAGTCCACTCACGTCTGCGGATGGATTCTACTGCAAACGAGGCGTACATATATGGTAGCTGGTGTACAAGGCGGAGGTAATCAAACGTAGTCATATCGTCTTCGGACTGGTTCAAGACATTTATCTGGCTTCGTACATTGCTGTGCAGAGACGTTATATCCGTAATAGTGCGCATCAGGAGGACTGATTCTGAGGCAATGGCGTTGCGGTTCTCAGTGGCGTATTGCAGCATCTCCTCCATTTCCTTTGCACGCTTCTTCAGATTCGGAATCAGTCGTTCGGTATGGTTGGATGCTGTTTTTGACGCCTGCGCCAAGTCCTTTTGCGAGCCTGCATAGGCAAGTGCTGTTCGATAGTCAGAGTCCATCTGTTTGACAACGACTTCAATATCTTGTAAGAGCTGTGTGGAATCTTCATGGTGAGCGAGAACTGATCGTCCCATGACATCCTCAAACGATGCAATGAGGGATGCCAGGCCTTGGTGCATATTGGAATTCGCCTTGTCTAATTCAGCTGCCTTGTCAGCAAACCTCCGCTTTGCCGTCGGTGCCAGCTTGCCAGCTTTTCTGGCAGTATCGAGCTCTATCAAGTCTTCTAACGTTGGGGATGATCGTCCGTTTTCACGGCGGGTCATAAAACGCATCATCGTCGCCGAGATGGGGGTGTTGCGGGCTAGGTGTAGGTACTGCTCCCAGGAAACTGCTAGCTGCTCGTGTTCTCGCAGCGCTGGTTCCACCCACTTTTTCAACTCTGCATATTTTGGTTCGATCTGCTTGACGCTGATTTCGAGATTTGCTACGGCAGCATCCAGACACTTGATCATGACGTCGATTTCATCGTACCGTGCACGAGTCTCGGTGTTCATGCCAGCGCAGTCGTCGGCGAGATTCAGAGCCCAAGTGCGTCTGTCTTTGTATAGATTCTGCCATGCTGAAATAACTTTTACGTCCTGTATCGAGTTTGGTGCGTTGGCGACGGAGTATGCTTTCGGAGAGGGAAGATTAGAGACAAGTGACGAGCTCGAGCTAGATGACGCCTGAGTTACTCGAATATCATATATGTACAGTTCCTTCTATTGTCTGTATTAGCCCACTGTCACTTCCTGGGGTTCTAATTTACCTACCTCAGCATGGAGGCTGGCGTATTTGACGCTTCGACCTTGAGGAGTCAAGGCAACCATGTGCTGGAGAGGGACTTCGCTATTCCGGGCCACCCAAACCTTCAAATCATCGAGACTAGCAGAATAAGAACGTTAGCTGCGGAAACAAGACACAAACCTCGGCCGTAGGGGTGCCAACATACTTTGAAAACTGGGAGGTGTCGACCTCGAGGCGCTGGCCCGTATGGGCAATCAACACCTGAGTAGCCATCTCGAACGCATATCCCAAGGCGACAGGCTACAATAGCGTAGACAGCGACTTGTGTCGACTAATGCGGGAGAATAAAATATCGCCAAAACTAGAGAATACTGCGCAAGCAGAAATTCCTGCGAGGGGAACGAAAAAGCAAATGCAGGAACCAGCGAGGCGTAAAGTGCTATGTCGTCAAGTCACGCCGGACAGAGGTCGTCGGTGACGGAGTCAGGCAGCGGGTTGCTTGCGTTTTGGGTTTAGCGCCTGGCCGCCTGATAGCCTTTGTTTTGGTGGGCACGAGAGTGCTGTGTGGGAACCTTCTTACAGGTGACGGGCGTCTTGTGACATGGTGGAACATTCGGCCGCTGAGGCTGGAGAACCGAGCCACAGTGGTGCTGAAGAGTGGCGCTGGTAGACGTGCTGGACGCGTCTGGCTTTTGACGACGGCAAGCTTGCAAATATCCAGATAAAATCCAGGAAATTCAAACAGATATCATTATTACGGTCTAAAATAAAGATACGCACTCTTGTTTATACCGTAACTTCACACAATGGAGGAACCATACGACGAAATCATGGAGGAGGTCGAGGTTGAGCTGCCGCCAGAGACGCTTCCGCTATCAGATGATGAACAAAGGGTCCTAGAGCTATACAGCAAACTACAGCAGCTGCAATTGGAAATCGCGATAATCAACGCGCAATATCGCCATGATATACGTATGCAGCACCTCTATCCCGCAAACCGACAACCTCATCTAACACTTCTGTAGATCCTACAACCAACGCTGATTCACCCGAAGAGACGGAAAGGGCACAACAAGCGCTCTTAGACGCGCGAGCGCAGTACGCAGTGCTAAATGACATGGCTGAGTTTGTTATGATGGCCAATCCCATCATCAAGGCTGTGCATGACGGAAAAGATAAAACACCCATTGAGAGGCTAGTATAAGCATCATCACGCAACCTTATTCGCAGGACTAACCGGCCTGTACAGAGACCTGCTTCCTTACATAGAACGCCGCGATAATGGGGCCATCACCGCCGCCCAAGTCCACCAAGAAACATGGGACCTTCGCTCCGACCTGACCCAGGTCCAAAGCGACACTATCCAGGCCTGCCGGCGAAACATGAAGCTCACAGCCGAGCTCTTCACTCTAGCAGAAGAGCTCAAAGAAAAGCGCGCCATTCACGCCAAGAGTAAAACAACTATTGCAGAACTACAAACACTGGAAGATGAGCTCAAACATAGCAAACAGCGCTGGAGGGCGATGAAGGGCGTGGCAAGCGGCATAGTGGCGGAGAGCGGCGTGGACTGGGTATCAAACGACGAATTACGATATGTTGTGCTGGAGCCTGAGGACGAAGACTAGAGTGGATAGTTTGCTTCGGCCAAAGAAGAAGGAAATAAAACTGTATATATATGGCTGAGCCCACCATTCTGCTGTCCTCGTCAAAAGCATAACCCAAGTAGTAGGTAGGGAGCTTCTAGCCAGTCAGGACCCGAGCCCTGCACCCCTATTTCTAGCAGCTCCCGTCGGGTGCACGATTCCATCTAGATTGCCGAGCACAACCAAAGACGACCACCAAAAGAATCGTCAAAGCCACTGGAAACGTGGCACACGCCTAACAGGCGACGATTCTTGCGTGTCGTATGCACGGCGCCGGCAGTTAGGGGAGCTATGACCACCACGCGGAAGCCATCGGAGATCAACACGTGACGGGGTGAAACCAGACCTGCTAGCTCGCTTTAGCACTCTGCAAAAACTGGTTGGAGGTTCCATATGGGGAAATGGCAGCTTCGATATGGCCTCGAGAACTGGCCGAATATTTACAATGTCGATTCTACAGTAATAGAGGAAATAAAAGCACTGGCGGAAAGAGAAAAATCAGACAAATCGAATGGATATTTTTTTAATAGTCTTTGCTTCTAGGATCACTAAGGATTTGCGCACATTGAGTTTCTTCACTACCGCGTCACGGCAGGCCTGCGCAATAGGTGAGGGCGCGGTGGGCAGTATAATCGACAGCAGGCGCTGGCGCAGCACCAGGCAGGCAATAGCGCAAAAAACGCTAAGCTGGGGGTAAAGGCTCCTCCGCGGCACTCACTTTTTGATTGCGCTGGAGCAAAGGAAATAAGGCTTACCTCTTTTCGGCGAGGGAAGATATGCGCCCAGGCCCTTGCTCCCTCAGCAGCAGGTTTGTTTTTGGTGCGGGTTGCGCTTGGGTGGGTGCGCCGTGGCACACAAGTACAGCACAGTACAAGGAGCAGCACAGTTTACATGGCCACGCAAAACCTGTGTGTCGCGTACCCGCCTAAAGTCGCAGCGCTGTACCTCGACTAGGCCCCGTCCGCCAAATGCCGCACCGCGTTTGGTGTACGCCCCCCCTAAGCCAAAACTTGCAGCGCATCAGAGAGACACGCATTTTGCTTTTGGGGTGGGCAATTGGAATGGCGTACTTTGTTCCTCGTTTGCAGGAGAGGGAGGCGGTTTCGCTTTTTTCCTGCTGGCGCCTAGCCTTTTCACGGGACGGGCGCAGACCGAGCCAGTGCCCTTCTGTATTGCTGGCTTACACGCCGCCAGACCAGACCGGTGCAGCAGCATTGAAGTAACCCATGGCGGCGTTGCCGTGACTGTTTCTGCGCAAAATATGCCCTCAAGTCGTCCTGCAGTGCTACGTACAGCTTCACAACGAGGGATATCGGCCCCCTTCTTTTGGGGAAAAAGGGAGTCTGCGTCGTTGAGTCGACGGGATATCGGACTTGCCAGCAACCATGGGCTGACGGCGGACTGGTAAAGCACGCAGGCTAGACTAGACCCAAGTGACGGGGCGAGTGAATTGCATGCCAGCGTGGGGAAAATGCACCTAAACTCGCCTACCGCTTTGGGTGGCGCATTGTTGCTGTGGACGGAAGTGGATTAGGAGGTACGAAGAGCAATGTACCTGTACTTGGAAAATGCCGTGGGGTGATACATTCCTCCCTGCAAGCGGCAAAGTACCCCGCTTCACTATGGTGCTAGCTCCAGCCCAGAGCTCAGCCAAGCTGGTGCGCGCGACGCCTGGTAAGCAGTCGCAAGCGCTGATTGTGCGCGGATGCGTGCCAGCCGTCCAAATTGTAGGTTGGTTGGAGGACCGTGTGATGCAATTTGTGTGTGGGCGGGCTGTTCCGGCAGCAAAAAAGAGAGAACGATGATGCTACTGCTCCCTACTTTCCGAATTGCTGCGGCAGACGCTCTGCTCATTACCCGATTTCGCCGCTTGCTCCTGGGCAAGGCCATTGCTTGCTAGTCGCGTCACACGGAGGAAATATCAAGGTTTCCCAAGCTATTGGCGCACTGGTGTTGGTCGCAATCAAAGTGTGCTGATAACTTGGTTGACATGTTACTGCTTGCAAATATTGGACAAGGCCAAGTAAAGTCACACCAGGTTGCCATGGAAAAGTGTATACGTAGTTGTAGACAGTCGGTAGCTGTCGCCTAGATGCCAGCCGGCCAGGCGAAGGAGGAGCAGCAACAGCAGACCCCCGTGGTGACTTATTGCCGCGGCGCACCGCTTATGACACAAGCGAAAGGATGGCATTGGTATATAATAATCAGACATGCAAGCGTGATTTATTTGGGCTACTGGCAAGGGCGGCGCGGAGCAAAATATGTAATATCAGAAACCCTGGGCGCTCGTGAGCAGACCAATAGCAGTACACGGCTTCAGGCAGCTCGTGGAATGCGCCTGGTAATTTGAAGGGCAAGCTGGCTGGGACACTGCAAAGAGTGAGGAAGGGAAGCGTGGGAGACCCCGAAAATGGTGGGAAGAGGGGGAAGGCAGAAGTATACAGTGCGAATAGAGCGTTGTTTTGTCCGGTACAACGCCCTTGTACAGTACATGGGCAAGAGGGCCCGCGTCAGCAAAGTACCCATACAGTACCACGTTAAAGGACACGCCCTGGGCCCAGGAGTTGGGTGCGGCTGTGGGCAGTGCCAGCGGCGCGATGAAAACAGATGCAAAAAATTGTTTTGAAAAATTGGACATATTTGAATGTATTTTACATTGTTTTATTGAAATTGAAGGATATTGTGCATACACTGTAGAGCGACGACAGGTGCTTTGATATTCGGATTTGGGTGAGGTCTTCTAGTAAGTGCACACCACCCACTGTAAACAACACAAGCACCACCGGACCAAGGCAAGGAAATGGGCGCGCACAGTACGCGGACCAAACAAAGAAGGGCGGTGTTTTGGGGTAAAAGGTAGGCGTGCCAGTAAAGTGTGCACACCAAAATTGGTAAGGGGGAAAGAGCGCCCTTTTTCGGCTTTGGTTGGAGGTGGTCGCATCACAGCAGTAACCAGTAGCCGTAGCACCCAGTGAGCAACACGCAGCAGCAATGAAGGGCCCAGCCGGCCTAGCGACGCCCAGGGGAGTGAGTTAGAGAGAGAGAGTGGGAGGGAGTGTGTCTGTGTCTGCGCGCGTGGAGCAATAAGCCAAAATTGTAAGTCAAGGGAGACCAGACCAGACCAGCGCTGTCGCGTCCGCCCATCCCACCCGCTAACTGGGGCGCTGGGTGCACTGTTGCTGTTGGCTGTTACTGGGTGGGCTGCTGCTGCTACTAGCAACTGGCTGCGCGGGTTGGCGTGGGTGTTGGTTGCGCCGCGTGCGTGCCCGTGCAATCACTCGCCCCTAGCAAAAGCCGGCGCCCCTCTCTTTTCCCTCTTTTACCAGTCCCCCCCTCCTCCCACTCACTACTCCTCTCCTGCTCTTCTCACCATACAAACTCTCCCTCACAAACACTCACAAACACACAGCAAAACCGCTTTGGTGAGTACCTTATCCTCCCATACTAAGGCCCATAGTAGAGGCCGCGCACACTGCACGCCAGCACCAGCACCCTTTAACTTTTTTATTTATCACCGCATCGCCGACTTGACAGCCTCCTTGAAAACTTGTCTGAAGTTCAACTTGTTTTTTTTTCTCTTGTCCAGTTCTCGCGATCGCGTTGTTTGCCTTCTTCCTTCGCCTTCTCTACTACGCGCTCTCATCTTGACTTACACGCGACCTTCTCGCTAACACGCTTGCTCGCGCAGTGTTTTTCTTCAACTTCCACCACTTTTTTTCAGTTTTTCTCAAAAAACCACCAACGTAAGTCTCGCGTCATTCTGCACCTCTTCATCACCCTCTTGCCCATTTTCCCGTGTCCTGGCGACCGCAATGGCTCTTGCGCCTCGCGCTTTAGCTGGCGCTGGTAATCGCATCGCCTGTACCTTGACTTCATAATTTTTTTTATGTCGCAAAGGTATCAGCGCAAACGCGATGAGCGGCGAGTTCACAGCTTTTCCAATGGAAATGACTGTACTCTGCTGTTCACCACGGTCGCACGCACGCTTCATGCCATCGCTCACTCACCTACCTACCACCAACCACCATCACCTCCAATCTCATCATCATTCCGCATCATGTGCTAACGAACCCCTCCTCAGTCATTCAAAATGGCCAAGGCTGCCGCTGCTGCCCCTAAGAGAGGCAAGGTTGAGAAGCGCCGCACCAAGAAGGACCCCAACGCCCCCAAGCGTGGTCTCTCTGCCTACATGTTCTTCGCCAACGACCAGCGCGAGAACGTCCGTGAGGAGAACCCCGGCGTGTCTTTCGGACAGGTCGGCAAGATCCTCGGTGAGCGCTGGAAGGCTCTCTCCGACAAGCAGCGTGCCCCCTACGAGGCCAAGGCTGCCGCTGACAAGAAGCGCTACGAGGACGAGAAGGCCACCTACAACTCTGCTTAAGTTGTGAGCGCCATGTATCTCTAGCCAGTTGGCAATGTTTTCTATCTATTTCCTTTGTCACTTGGGAAGGAAGGTGTTGGTACGCCCGTAATGGGTCGGGTCGTGTACTTTTTATGCTCTTTAGGGTGTCGGAAATGAAACGAACAATGGATTTATTCAAATCATTTTACTATTCCCCCATGAATGCACGTAGTCTTAAGTAATGTGAAATTCCATCACCATCCACCACCAACCTGAATCGTCCATGATCTTGAGCTACCCAACCACCTGGTTCTACACATCGTGCATCTGTCGGCAGCAAAGCGCCATCCATTCAACCCCAGATCTTGCTAGTACTCGGTCCCTCCATCGTATCGCATCATTGCATCACCTCATCGCAACCCTACGTCCATCCAGCACGGCAACACCCGCGACAAAAACGTGCTTGGCAGCTGCGTCCTACCAATCCATCCCGCCATCCATCCATCTATTAGAGAGCAATGTACCTCGGCCAGTCCAAAGTACTCCTCTTATTCCCCAGACTATGCGACTCTGCCAATCAGAGTAGCCCCATCGCCCTCTCTATTATGGGAGCTTACTTACTCCAGGCCGCGCAGGATCGCCAGGTGCTGGCCCCCGCTGATTGGTGGAAACGCAAGCACCTCGTCGGCACTATGCATTTACATGTAGCGTGCTATTGCGCCGACCATGGCCGCTATGAAGCTGACGATAAATGCCTATTTTGGTATTGATTAGTGGTCATTTGTCCGTTCATCTCGGCCTGTATTTTGCGGGGGACATGTGCTGCGTGTCCGACTATAAGAGACGGGCCACCGCTGGTTTACAACACCATCACGGCCGCTTGTCTCCTCGCAACGTAACCAATTCAATTCCAATATGCGTTCCAACACTCTTTTCAGCCTAGCTGCTCTTGGTGCAGTCGTCTCTGGCTACGATTTGCCTGATAACCTGCGCAAGATCTACGACAACCACAAGGTTCGTTGCTCACCGTTGACCACTGCCACCACCCACTAACATGCATTACAGCCAGGAAGCTGCAAGTCTGCCCTTTCTGGAAAGTCGTCCACTAATGCCGTTTTCTGTGGTGATATTCCCAATGCCATCTTTCTCAAGAGCCCCAACGGCTATGATAACATGGATGTCGACTGCGACGGCGCCGACGACAAGGCTGGCGACTGCTCTAACGACCCTTCTGGGTACGGCGCCACGGCATTCAAGGACACTGTGAGCCAGTATGGCATCAAGGACCTCAATGCCAACATTCACCCATATGTGGTATTTAACGAGCCCCCTTTCTTTGATGCGCAGAAGCACGGTATGAAGCCGCTCTCGGTCATGGCTGTCGTCTGCAACAACCAGCTTGTAAGTCGTACCCCCGTTCCCATCTTCCACACACGTACTTGTTATAAAGAGAAACCAAAAAAGCCACACTAACCAAATCCATAGTGGTACGGTATCTGGGGTGATACCAACCAGGAGCCCACCACTGGCGAGGCGTCCATCTCCCTCGCGAAGCTGTGCTTCCCCAAGGAAGGCCTCAACGGCGACAAGGGCCACGGCCCCAACGACGTCTTGTACATTGGCTTCACTGGAGACGGAGCCGTTCCTGGCAAGAATGGCGCCAAATGGAAGGCCTCCAACACCAAAGAGTTTGAGGACAGCATCAAGGCGCTCGGTGATAAGCTTGTTGCTGGCCTACCTAAGCAGAAGTAGACGCGGGTGTGCACATGATACGTACATAGCACCCACCCTCGAACATATAACGCTGTATAAATGAATTATTATTTTACAAACTTGTTACATCATCACTTTTGTCTGCGTCACTCTTGGTCAGCATAGCCATCGTCGCATGATCCAAATCATCGCTACGTTCGTCTTACAATCGGCGGCAGCCCACGTCGCTGTATCAGGAAATCCCAGAGCCTGATCGAGTGAGTGAGCCTTCTCCCCTGGAACATTCATGCTAGCCGCTGTGGATTGTAAAAAAAACAGCCTGACGCTACAAGCCAAGTCATGCAGGTTGTCGTGGCTGTGCCAGCGGGCGGGCGGCCGCTAAACACGGCCCCTTCCACGTCCCCTGGTTTTAGCGCCTACAGCTCCCCCATTTGGCAAGCCGTTAGTGGATGCTCGGCGCTTCGAAGGCTTGCTCGCGTCTAAGCGCTGTGACGGCGGGGGCTCTGCGAAGGGGGATTTGCAGAGGCGATGACGATTCTGTTTCAAGGATACCCGCCCAGAGACCTCTGGAACGGGCCGCTTGGAGGAGGGAGGGAGGGAGCTAACGTGAGTGCTGATGTTGGTTGGCGATGAAGAATAAGAGAGGCTGCTCTCCGTCTTCCTCGTCAGTCTACAGACGAGCCAACCAGTAACAACTACTAGTCTCACCGAAAAATACTCTGTGCGGGCAACAGACTTCGCCATGCCCAAGTACCGAGACGCCAGCGCATATGGCGTCAGTGCGGTTCACATTGTGAATCGAGAACACAAGCACGGCAAAAAGGGATCCTCTACTAGAGTTCGCAAAGAACATGTTGCTATCCGCCTTCGAAAACCCGAGACAAGATATCAACCAAAGAGCCGACCTGCCACAAGACGGCCATCCACAAGCAGCACCCGTCGCATCGCACTCCGTACGGTAGGACAACCAGCCATGGTCTATCCAGACGGTACATCAGCTGTTCGATACGTTACCCCCCGACGATCCAAGAGAGTTTCTATACCTAAACGAGTCAAGTTTGTCGTTCCTCAAAGATCCCAGCGACAACTAGCTGCCCAAACGCCGCGCCAGACCCGCGTCAGTCCGCGAGAGAATGTCGATGAGGACCTCATTGCAGGGCTTTGTCGACAGGGTATCCGATGCAGGGAAATATCAAAAGCCTTGGATAGGCTGCGTAAATATGTCTTTGATTCTGACGCCGACTTGTTGAAAGCCACAGTAAAGCAGGTCAAGGCATTGCGCGCAGCCATCTTTCAGCTTGTCGACTACTTTGACTTGTATCCCCGACGGCTGTCCATGGTCCTCTTTTACATCAACGCTGTTTACGGAACGACATCCTTTACCATCCAGCGAATACTGTCTATTCTTCGCGATACATCAATCAACTCATCACAGCTTTGGGATCACTTGCTCCATAGCATGGAAGAAGCGCTTGGCGGACTAGAACTCTATGAAACACTACGCATATATCGCGACTTTTTGCTTTCGCTGTCACATTTGCTGAAAGGCGATCACCCGTTCGATGCTGGCCCTGTAGAAGAACTATACGACTATACATTACAATTGCGAATACATCAGGGTATTGGGGGTAAGTCTGTCGTTCCGATATCGACAAAATCTGCGACTAACATGTTCACAGGGGCTGTTAGTAACAAATATCTGCCATACAGTCCACTTAACGAAATCGTGCAGTGCTATCAAGAGTTCGACGTAAATATCTCCAATAACCCTATGAAGATCAATACACTAACAAAGATAGCCAAAACACTGGGCGGAAACCTGCCTCAAGAGCCCGCTGCCATCCCGCCGGCGCATGCTGCGTACTCAACGGTTCGTCTTTCTACTTGTCATTGTCATCCACAAGTCTAACCAGCCTTTCTAGCTCCAAGTCATTAGGCGAGCATTATCCCTTTGCGTATTATCGAAAGACAGACGCCCCCAAAATCCTCTGGCGCAAGTATGTACGGCCATCAAGTTCTGCTTCGACGTTACTGACACTACCAGATCTTTCGATAACAACATTTCGGCCATGATATTCCTCAACGAGAATGACAACAATGCACACATGCAGCTCCGCATCGTCAATAAAGACCAGCCACTGTTCGCTACTGCCCCCATAAGCCTACTCGGCATCACTCGCGAGGACTCCTGCGTCAAGCTACACACCCTCGGCGACGGTGCATGGAGAAGCCCCCAGCGGCTCTGGGCCGTACTCAGTTTTGACATATGGGAAGGTATGTAAATGATGATTCGTCGCAAGGTGATCTTGCTAACTCTCAGCTAGAACTCATTCTTTTCCACGCCGCATTCATGTCCATCAAAGCGCGACACTCGTTCCAGACTAGCATGATACCAGACGACCACTTTAAGCAGGAATCCATTATCTACCAAACGTACGTTACTTGTTGAATTACAGTTCCAAAACTAACTTTATTAGATATATTACTGAGGCTGGCCGTATTCACAACTTTGTCATTTTAGAAGACAAATACACGGGCGACATGCGTTTGCTCGCCATCAATGGCCAGGGTAACCACCAAGGAGCTCCGGCGTGGATAATATTCTGTAAGCAGCTATACTAACCACCGTATCACACGTTTTCCTAACAAGTTTACAGTGACGGTTAGACCAGAGGCCCCTTGGATAGAGACACTCTCATCGCAGGCCGTCTGCCTACTCGATGTCTATGTGTACACCTTCTCAGACAGACATGTCCTAGATGAGGGACTGTATGGTCCCAAGAGAGATTTCCAAATTGAGTTTGCCGACTCCAAGTGTACGTAATTATATGGGTTTGTTTTGTATGATCTAAGCTAACAGCAGCAGCTCGCCGCAAGTTTGAAGGCTACTTCCCAGGCGGCGTGATTCGACGAAAACGCAGCGGACACTAAGGCGCTGTGATCAAGGTTTCTATTCGTGCAATATCACAATGTTATATATATTTCATATTATTTATGTAATTCCATAATGGTTTTCAATATTAAACTCATGCATTTCCTCATACGCTTCATGGATTCGTCGTTGCTTATGTCTTGACATCGGGCTCATCACGGCCAACATGCTCCTTGAACTTGAGCAGTTCAGTGGCAAAGGTAACCTCTTCCTTGAGGAAGTCCTGGGCATCGAGGTCGTACATGGAGGCATCGCTGGTGTGCTGCTCGATGTAAAGGCGGATAGTGGCGCCGGAAGAGCCAGTACCGGAGAGACGGACAACGATGCGGCTGCCAGAGGAGAAGCAGGCAAACAAGCCCTGGTTGGAGGAGACGGAGCCGTCAAGGTCGGTGTAAGAGAAGTTACCGGCGCGGGTGACGGTGCGGCCTAGAAAGTGTTAGTACATGATTCAAATTGGTAGAGTCAGGATATCATACCTCCAATAGTGCTGCCAACAAAGGCAGGGTCGGCAACGAGCTTGGCGAGCTCGCCAACAACCTTGTTAGCACCCTCAGAGTCGACATCTTCGTAGTCGTAGCGGGTGAAGAAGGTACGGCCGTACTGGGTCCAAAAGTCCTTCTGGATCTGCTTAATGGAGGGAGTGACTTCGGGGTTCTGGACACCGAGGGCAGCGATAATGTTCAACCAGGCAACAATAGCCCAGAGGCCATCCTTCTCACGGATGTGGTCGGATCCGGTACCGAAACTCTCCTCACCGCAGATGGAAAGCTTCTTGGCGTCGAAGAGGGCGCAGAAGAACTTCCAGCCGGTGGGAACCTCGTAGCAGTCGAGGCCTTGGGCCTTGGCAACGAGGTCAACAGCCCCGCTGGTAGGCATGGAGCGGGCAAGACCGTTGACACCGTTTCTCTGGAAGTAAGGGATGAGCTTGGCGTGGTGAGCAATGATGGCCAGAGAGTCACCAGGGGACACGAAGGCATTGGCGCCGTAAATCATGTTACGGTCACCGTCACCATCGGAGGCGGCACCGAAGGGGATGCTGTTCTTGTCGACAACCTCAACAAGGGAGTGGGCGTAGGTGAGGTTGGGGTCAGGGTGGCCGCCATTGAAGTCGGGGCTGGGAACGCAGTTCTGGATAGCACCGGTGAGGCCAAGCTCATCCTCGAAGATGGCCTTGCCGTAAGGGCCAGTGACACCGTGGAGACCGTCGAAAAGGACCTTGAACTCGGGGTGAGACTCAAAGAACTTCTTGATGGTGGGGAAGTCGAAGATGTCCTTGAGCATGGCGGTGTAGTCAGCGGTGCTGTCGACAATCTCAACCTCGAGAGGGCCATAGGTGTGGGTGCCGACAGTCTGAAGGTCGACATCAGGGATAGCGGCAATCTTGTAGGAAGTCAAGGTCTTGGAGGTTTCGAAGATCTTGTTGGTAACCGACTCGGGAGCAGGGCCACCGTTGGCCAGGTTGTACTTGATGCCGAAATCGTTCTTGGGGCCTGTTTCCAAGTTAATCATGCATTCAATGCCTAAGAACTGCAAGACATACCACCAGGGTTGTGACTGGCGGTCAAGAGGATACCACCAGTAGCCTTGCGGAGTCGGATGAGGTGAGAAGCGGCAGGAGTCGAGAGAATACCGTTCTGGCCGATGAGGAGCTTCTTGACACCGTACGCGGCACCAATCTTGGCTGTAAGCTGGACAACCTCGGGGTTCCAGAAGCGACCGTCGCCACCAATGACGAGAGTAGAGCCTGTAAGTTGCTAGTTAGTTAACGGGCGATCTGGCGGCCATGATCCGGTGGCGTCCCTACCTTCAACACCCTCAGGGATAGAGAGCAAGATGCTGGTGACGAAAGCCTCGCTGTAGTGAGGCTGCTGGAAGACAACAACCTTCTTGCGAAGACCAGAACTGCATTGGACGGTCTCGTTAGCATTTCAAGGGCCAATCATCCTAGGGGTTGCTGCTTCAGTGAGGATTATGACGTACGTGCCAGGCTTCTGGTCCTGGAAAGGCTGAAACTCGACAGTCTTGACGTCCATTGTAAAGAGTCAAGCGAGAAAGTATATCAGAATGGAAGAAAAATAGGATAGAAAGGAAGTTCCTCGCAATCCAGTGGAAAGTTGGTAAGAAAAGAAAAGGCGAAGAGGGGAAAACAAGGCGGCGGCGCTGCTTAGCTTGAGACGAAGAGCTGTGGTGGGGTCAACTTGTTGAGCCAAGCAAGCGAGTGCTTTTTTTGGAGGGGTCGGTCACTGTCAACCACGGTGCACGATTACATATCGGTACTGTCGCCTGGGCCAAGGGGCCCGCAAACCAGCACAGTGCCTAGAAATCTTATCGCTGTGATACCGCCGCTGACGACTAACATTGGCTAATTGCACAACGCGCTACACGGACTAGTTCCAATTCGATAACAGGCTGCGGCAGAGATTTCTCAATATGTTGGAAATATGCATGGCCCATCGATTCAAGCCTAGCTAGGTGGAGATTGTACCTGGATTTGGGCCGAAATTGCAACGCTGCGCTTCTTCACCGACTACCGTTGCGCTTTTTCCTTAGTATGCCTATGAAAACCCGATACCGCTATTCTACCAAACAAGCCACAGGTACCAATTGCCAGGTTATTCTTGCGCAGGTTTGGGCCGACGGAAGATGGCATCCCTGTAGTACTTTGCCTCTTCTATGCTCTCTAGGATATCGTCCCTTGCCTTGTGCAGGCCCTTCTTTGTGGGCACATGGCGTACTGTTTCCTCGTCACACCAGCGTCGTGCAGCTTCCTTTATAGCGCTGACATCCAGCAGTCTATGGTGAAGATGCCGTGTTACTTTCTTGTAAGGTTCTTTGCGCAAGAACGCTCTGTCGGCGTGAATACTGTTGCCAGCCAGCAGCGCCTTTTTGCGTTCCGGTATAAACTTGGTGATGTATTCGTATAGAGCGTCTGCCGCCTGCTGTGGTGTTGTCGTAGAGCTGAGCACAGCTGCTGTCAGTCCAGAATCACGATGTGTCTTTGTGCACCAGTCATCCATCTGGGCCATGCGTTCCTCTGGGAGGTGGATGATGGCATGGAAGCCATCTTCGTCAATCACCTCCAGATCGCCAGTGGTCAATATGCAGTAAATCTCTATAATTTCGTCTGTGTCTGGGCTCAAGCCAGTCATCTAATAAGAGACAAGTTAGTACATCTAGTGGTCATCCACGAATAAGACATGTACATGTGCTACCAACCTCACAGTCAATCCATACGAGCGGATCGTTTGTCGTGCCCTGTCTAGAGCCAGACTTTTGCTTGGCTGGTTGTGCAGTAGCCATAATGTCCTGTTGGCAATACGCGGGATACAACGTTTCTATAGCATACGGTCAATGGTGATCCCTGCGTCTCCAGAATTCAAGCATAAGCATACGCGAGAAGTGCGAGTGGCTTCAGTGAATTCAAAAGTTATGTTCCTTCAGCCTTCCTATTTCAGTATAAACAAGCCGTGTTATGTAATTGCGTATGGAGAAGTATCCAGTAGGACCACTATTCTCGTCTGTCGCTTGAGAGACAGCCGCACTGGGTCAGGTGTAGTCGCGTGCTTGCAAAAGGGCAATGATGGCTGTTTGCTCTTCCGAAGTCGCTTTTGCTAAGCCGTGGGGTTCTGTTTTTTGCAGGCAGCCCACCCAGCGTGGCGTTAGCGCGGGGCTGCTCGCCGGATGGCGCTGAGCAAGCACCCGCCTAGTTGCTTTGCCCGCTGTAAATCCCGCCTAACACAGCGCTGGCCAGCCACACGAGGCGACCTGTCCACTGCAAAAGTGGGCGACGCAACGTTTCGTATTCAAATGGCGGCCCTGTGATTGGCTGAACCCCACGGCTGGCCGCGGGGGGTTCACCTGCTGTAACCGTAGAACAATGCCCTGTTGGGAATCGCGCAGGCGCAGCTGTCATCAACTAAGCGACTGTGGCATGACTTAAAATCCAGGACACCGTCACACGCACCAGCTGCGAGCCTTTTCTCAGCCTGCATCTCACATTTTGCCCTGCTGCTCTACAATCACAAGGCACTAGCAACAATCATGGCTATCAAAGACACCCTCTCCAAGCTCGCTAAGCGCAGCTCCATCATCCCCGCCTCATTTGGAAAGGCCAACGGTACTACAAATGGCACCACCACCACCAACGGCACAAATGGCACTACAGAAAGCACCTCGCATTGTGGCCCGCTTGAGAAGCCTGCCACGGAGGAGGCTGCCAACAAGACCAAGGATTCTGCTCGCTTCATCATCATTGGTGCTGGTTCCAGAGGCTACGCCTACGCCAACGCCATTCATAAGTTCACCAATGGTGTAGTCGCCGCTGTGGCAGAACCCTACAAATTCAAGAGAGAGACTATTGGCAAGAAGTTCATCTGGGGTAGTGAGGAACCCTCGGAGGGCCAATCCTTCGAGGCCTGGGATGAGTTCCTCGAGTACGAGCTGGCTCGTCGTAAGAGAGTTGCCGATGGCGAAGAGAACGTGCCTCCTGGTGTCGATGGCATCTTCATCTGTGTCCTCGATGAGATGCACCACGAGCTTGTCGTCAAGCTGGCTCCTCTCGGCCTCAGCATCATGTGCGAGAAGCCTCTGTCCACCTCTCTCAAGTCGTGCATTGAGATGTACAACGCCGTCCACAAGAACCTCAACAGCAGCGTCTTCTCCATCGGCCACGTTCTCCGCTACAGCCCTCATAACCTTGTCCTTCGCCGCCTACTGATTGACGAAAAGGCCATTGGCAACATCAGCTCCGCCACACACACCGAGCCCGTAGGCTGGTGGCACTTTACACACGCCTTTGTCCGCGGCAACTGGCGAAACTCCAAGACCACCGCTCCCTCGCTTCTCACCAAGAGCTGTCACGACATTGACTTTTTGCTGTGGCTGCTCTGCTCTCCTGAAAAGGCTGGCCAGGGCGAGCCTCATCTTCCTACGACCGTCTCTTCATCTGGTGGCATCCACTTCTTCAAGAAGAGCCGCAAGCCTGCCGCCGCCGGTGACGCCACCAACTGCACAAAATGCCCCTTGGGCGACTCTGGCTGCAAGTACTCTGCCAAGAACCTGTACCTTGGACCTCACGAGGAGAGTATCTCGGCTGGCAACACAAAATGGCCCATCAACATTGTCGTCCACGACATTGAAGACTACAAGACTATTGATGAGCGCAAGGCTGTCATGACCAAGGCCCTCGAAGAGGACTGGGATGAGACCACGCCCGAAGCCGAAGTTAGCAAGCGTCCCTGGTACGGCCGTTGTGTGTTTGAGACAGACAACAACGTCTGTGACGAGCAGTTTGTCACCATCACATGGCCCGAAGGCATCAAGCCTGCCAAGCGCATCACCTTCCACATGGTTGCTCAGACCAAGAAGATCTGCCAGCGCTTCTCCAACTTCTATGGCGACAATGGCGAGATCTACGCTGATGGCGACAAGATTGTCGTGGAGAACTTTACCACTGGCGAGACAAAGACATATACTCCTGAAGCCGAGTCGGCAGGTCACGGCGGCGGCGACAAGGGCCTGACAAGCCAGTTTGTCAAGGCTGTCGACCATGTCAAGAACAAGGGCTGGGAGGCGCAAAAGGCGCAAAACGAGTTCATCGGCTGCACACTAGATGAGGTGCTCCGCAGTCACGCCATGGTATTTGCTGCTGAGGATGCTAGATTGAACGACAAGGTCATCAACTGGCAGCAGTGGTGGGATGCCGAAGTTGGCGCCGCCATGGAGACGAAGGAATAGACTATGTCATCGACATGACTTATTAATAATGTTAATGCAATGATAATTTAATAAAATATCCGCTAGAATGATTAATAAAAAGAGGTATACTGTAATCCAAAATCAGACGCCACCCCCATGACCGTGAGAGAGAATGCCACGCCTTGCCGTCTATAACCAAAAAAAATGCAAAAGCTTCCGTCCAGCAAATATATACGGGTAACAATTTTTTCCTAGTTCCAAGATTCCCTTAACTCAATTCTGCACGATTGCTCTCTGATCCCACTTGATGATCAGGCAGTTCTGCGAGGCGCGCAAACATTGGTCGCTTCGGAGGAGGTGTCGGAGGAATGTCGCTAGGTGTCGGTTGGTGATCAGAACTCGCTACTGACGGCGCCGGCGCCGAAGCAGATATGTGTGCTGATGTCGATGGCCCAGCTGTTGTTGATGTGCTAGCCTGTCCTACACTTCCGTAGCGGTTGTGGTTTGCCGTGGATGTGGATGTCATGGTAGTCTGGCCCAGGCTCTCGTAACGGGTGTGGCTCACTGTGGATGTATGTGTTGGTCCATATGTGAGGCTCTCATAGCGGTTCGTGTTCGTATAGTTGGGGGTTCCATGACTGCTTAGAGAGTGTTGAGAGGCGAGTGGGGATATATCCTTTCGCACAGGGACCGGCCCCTGTGATGTCTGGCCAGAATCTCCAAACGGCGATGTGTTGAATGTGAGGCGCTGAGGGACGGCGTGATAACGCTGTGGTTGCTGTAGGTGTATTTGTCGAGTGCCTTGGGCTCCGAATTCTGATTTTGTCGCCGTCGAGGCAGCGCCTCTTGTACGACGCCGTCTAAAGCAGCATATACCAACTGTTAAAATAGTCAAGGCGGCTAGGCCACCCACTGCACCTCCGACGATGGCGCCAATGTTGGTCGAGCTTCCACCACCGGAATCAGGGCTTGTTGTAGGAGCAATAGTCGGGTTGCCAGTCATGCTGAAATGTGTCTTCGACCATACAGGATCATAGTCGACAAGTGTTCTGCTACCGGCTGTGGGTGCGCAGTCATATAGTGTGTATCGCTTGGTAGCTTTGCCTCCAACACCCGTGATACCCACGTCCCATGTAAAGCACTTGTTACTGGCAGATTCGACGCTATTTCCCAGTGTTAGTTTGACACAGACAATTACGAAATGTCCATATGAAAAACATACCAGCAGAGTGTCTGGCTGTCGGGGCCGCAAGACTTAGCCGCGGTTCCTTCCACACAAGCCGTGTTAATCGCTGAGCAATCCTGTCCTGGGGGGCAGCAGCCTGCGAATCCATCGGGTCTATATGAGCAGGTCCATACCGGATTATAGCACCCAACTTGGCCTAATACACATAAAGGTTAGCTATGTAGTAAGAGGACGGCTACGATGAGCGTGACGTACGGCCAAAGGAGCTTGAGTCGGCCTGATATCCGCAAACTCCAGCATCTAGTGTGTATCCTTCCAGGCGTGCATTCAGTTCCATGCGTCCAAAAACGGCCTTGGGGCCCTCGGTCGGTCGTGGTGAGTATTCACGAATGTTTGCTGGCTTTTGCTGACTGGCGCCCTTTGTTTCCTTGGGCCAGGCTGCGTCCTGCGGTGACGAAGCTTGCGACGGCTTAGTTGCATCCTCCCCAGCAGCACGCGATGCGCCCGCCAAGAGAATCACGGCCAGCGCAGACAGAATTCGCATGGCTGTCGTCTGGATTGTATGAGAAGAGGACCATTCGATGTTTGGCGAGAAATTGGACGGGCATCCAGACAAGGCTGCGGTGGTTGGTGCCTATATCCAGTGCGGTGGTGGCGGGCGGACTAGGGTACTCGGTATTTAGAATGGGGGTTGAAGCGCAATCAACACAGCAACACTGTATAAATCCAGCATATGGCCAAGAGCGAGGGGAAATGCAGATTGTTATGAAAATATGGGAGCTGCAGGTGTTTAACAGCAGATAGGGCTCGGAATGGGGTTTGGGGCATGGACATGGGCTTTAAGCGGAGAGAGCACCCAACGCAGCCTCCTCCCCAGCCAGCCGCATCATGTATTCGTATGCAGCTATGTGCCGAGCCCAAGCTGGCGGGAGCCGTGCCACTGTGATCGGCGTTTTTCGGTTGGTTCGTCTGGCGGCGGCTGCTCGCTTGTTGGACGGGCAAACCATCGAAAAAGCCATGTTGGACCTCGCCGTACCTGTCCGCTACTTGCCGCTCGTTGTTACGTGATTCCCACCAACTGAACTGCAGTCCATATGAGGGGGACTCCCGAAATAGACAGACACGCTGTTCATCACATACTCAGCCTGCACACATAGGCCCGAATTCTGCAGCAAGGTGCGAGGCTCTTGCAGGAGGTGGGGATGGCATGAGAATGGGATGGAGGGTGCGCGCACTGGCAACTGACTGTGGCGGAGCCCGTCACCCACGGCCACTAAACACAAGCGCTATAATCAACCGCTTTAGTGAGGAGAGGCGCTGTTTTGGCAGCGGCTACAGCGGCGTCCGTTAGCGGGAGCTACGGCCTAGTACGAGTGGCTCACGGGTGCACGGCCCTTTGTGCCTTCAGCCACTGATATTCGCTAAACCGCCCTACTCTCTGGAAGCACAACTCAGCCTGGTGGGTGGGTGGATGCGACGCTTACCATGCAGTAGTGCCCATGTGTCAGTGAAGCTTTCGGTCTGCCTTTCTTTTCTTTCTTTAGCCTTCAGTAGTGGTGAGTGATCAACAAGCGGCTCAGTGTCCTCCCCTCGCAGATACGGTTCTGATGGTTGCAAGGCTGCCACATGGCATTTAGGCAGACGTTATTCAGTCCAAAAATACATGGGGAACTGATCACAAGCGCCTTACTACTTGCAGTTGCCAAAACTTTCCGGCCTTTGCCTAAGCTAGAGTTGTCTCCGGCGCAATGCGCCTAGCGCAAGCCACTCTCAAGCAACCTATCGATAGATATTGTGCAAATACCGATTGCCAGTCAAAGCTTCCGCTTTGATCATGTGCTTTCTATATCATAATAACGGCTTTGCAGTAAAATGGTAAGCTTCTATTATTACTGTTGACACCCAGTATAGATGTGCTGTCTTCTAGCAATAAACCACACTCATCACAAGCCGCCCGCAACAAAGGTTCCAAAACATTGGAGGCGTTTAAAAGCTACATCAGATAGTCTTTTAATTTCTAAATAATAATTACCGTTTTTATAATTGTCAAACACAGCTCTTTAGCGGTCCCATTACCAGCGCACTGGGAGGTTGTAAAAGGCTGCCCTCCTATTGGCCACACTTGATTAGCTAATATTCTCATTCTGGAGCCAAACTACCATTGGCCTCAGCCTCCGCCATCGTAGCGATTAGTTTTTGGACGCCTATTGCCAACCAAATCATCGCCAAAAATGTTTGCCGCACGACAAAGGGTAGGCTGCGCTGCCCGCCAGCTGCAGCGTACAGCTCACAACACCCGCACCTACGCGTCCGACGCTCACCACAAGGCCGCTCCCGTCAACGAATCTTTCGGGGTACGAATCCGCGACTTTTCCGTCTTGAGCGAGGCACTCTGCGCCCGCTGGAGGGCCAATTGACCGATAAGAAGACTAACAATTGACTATAGAAGGGATCCATCATCGCCGTATCCGGCTTCCTCGGCACCGTCCTCCTCTACCAGCTCACTCCCCGCGAAGGCGAGGACTCTGCCATTGGCACGCTGATCAACAAGTACCGCTCGCGCGCTGAGCACTGGGAGGAGATCAACGCTCTTCACACGAAGGCTGCCGAGCAGGCTGGCTTCGACCGCAACCTCTTTGAGAACGGCTCCAACAAGCACCGCTTCGTCGACGTTGCTTACCCCGAGTACGTGATATCGCCAGCCCCCAGCATCCTTCGTGACATGGAACTAACGCAAGCATAATAGGGCCTTCCACTCCCACGCTCCCCGAAACATCCAGGCTGGTCAACTTGCCAACATTGATCACGTCGTCGAGCACTACCGTCAGCAGCACATCAAGGAGGAGGAGAAGAAGGCTGCCAAGTTGGCGGCTCAGCAATAGAAGGGCTGGGATGTATAAAATATAGCGATATACCTTTATTTTTTCCTCGTGAGCGGAAGAATAACCGCAGCGAGGCCTCTATCAGACAAACAGAGATGATATTTCTTTTGTGTAACAACTATATTTAAGCCTCTTGCTCGTTAAGTGTGTGTTCCGCCATGCCCAAGGGATGCGGGAGCGTTGTTGGCTTGGCGTTTCCTTGGAGCTGAGAGCCTTGAGGCGGTGTCGTGGGAGAAGACTAGATTTCAATCCATCGGTGTAGTGATGGCCTCTATTTCACCCCCGTATCGACAAAACCAACTGTGTCATTCGACCGAGATATAGTTGGTGCTTGTGGCCGCCCTGCATCCCCAGCATCTCAACACGAGACATAAAAAAGGAAGAAAAAGGCTCGGCGAAAACGCCACAACTTTAATTCCTTTGAAAAGAAAAAAACATATGATACTATTCTTATAGTCTTTTTCTCATATACTAATTCTTTGTATATTCTATACTGCCCTTGTTTTGACGTTATTGCGGGGGAGGAACTTGTTTTGAGAACAGGTATCAAAAATAGGGCGTTCGGTAGTATCGCTTAGGTGTTTGGTAGCGCTGAACGTTGGACGCTCGGCACTACGGCAGCCTGCTGGGAGGCGGCTGTGTCAGTGGTGGGAGGCGCTGCTACGCAGGCCAATTTCAAACAGCTCCCTTGTCGAGGCGCAAACTCCTTTCCTGAACAAAACATGAAAAGAAAATATTAAAATCACATGAATCGTATCTAGTCCTTCTTTTAAGCTTAACCGTTTGTCGATCTTTATATATTCCTTGTCCCTCCTTATATTTAACCGCCTCCAACCACGTTCCTTTACATCAGGCACCATCATTATTGGACCAAACGCCGTGTCACACGACCTGTTTTCCCGCTCAGCTCGCGCCGGCCCAGGTGCATTCTTTCATTATGACATTTACAAAGATTCTATCGTTGCCCGGTATGTCAGTATGGAAACTTTTGCTAGAAATGCGTATTGTCACGTTATAACAATAGCTAACATGGGCTGTCTATAGTTTTGGCTCTGCGCAAGGTTGTCAACGCTTGTAGCCCAAGAGCGGAGAACGATCAAGCCTCCAGATCTGGGGGGAGACATCAAGGTGAGGGCCAAATCGCCATTCTAAAGCGCATTAGCTGAAGCATGGACTAATACATCGTATAGTTGCCAAGTACCCAAGAGAGAAAGGCTCTATTAGTGGGTGGACCTCCATTTCCAACATCTCTACGTCACAGAATTCCTACCTTACAGAGGACAAGTCTCTACACACTGCTGGGATGAGACTGAGAAACTTCGACGTTGTGTACATTGGTGATACCGGCACAAATCGTGGTTTGGGAGTGTTTGCCTCTCATAACCTATCCAAAGGGCATCGAATCATTATTGAGAAGCCTGCCATCTCTTGTGTGCATTTCAAGCAACACAAGACCGTGGCAGCAGAGTGGCAGAAGTTGCCTGTCTCTAAACAGCAAGAGCTTGTCTCTAGATTCAGAAAACTGAAGGGCGTCCCTGTCGGTAGGAGAGTTGCGTTGGATAAGAAACAGATCAAGTGTCTGGAGTCATTCATTGGAGACTACGGCTTCTCGGACCCTAACCGTGGAAGAGCACATGTCTTCTCCCTGACTTCACATATTAACCATGCGTGCCGCTCGTGTGCAAATGCTCAGCACTGGACTGACGGTATTGAAGGAAATCATATGACTGTCAAGCTTATCAAAGATGTCAGAGCTGGTGATGAGATCTTTGTCCACTACAACAGACCAAAGCTGGGGTTTGGTTGTGCTCTGTGCCCCGCCGATAATGCAGTTGATCGCCTCACGGCATTCACCAACTCCAGCAGACGCAAGATATATGGTCAAGGGACAGATTCATCCGCTCAACTCAGACACCGCTACTCATTTGCCGAGAGCAACAACCTATCTGTAACGACGCTGGTCAATACCGCTGCGTAGCGACCCTTGACGATGCGACTTTTTTTCATCATTATGAATGAATGTACGAGAGGAAGACCCTTCTTTTTAATGTTATTCTTTAATGAGTTCTAGCGACCCGAGTTGGTGGCTTGGAAGCGTAATACTTTGTACACTACTTCACTTAAATAAATAATGCGTTCGTTTAGAAAAGCGAACATTGTTAGCATTTTATTGAACTACCATGTACGCCATAGTCATCAACAACAATCGACAGAGGCTTTTCTTGCCTTTTCCGTCGAAACCAGTCCTTTTCGCCCATAACAGTCCGTGAATGCAGAAACCACCCAAGTGACCACAACCTCCTTACTTCAGGGGAATGAAACGAGAAGAGTTGGTGGCACCGATACCGGGTCTACCGTGCTTGACAGGCTTGCTATAGTCGTTGTTAGTAAGGTGTTTTCTTTGTGCTGAGAATGGCACTTTGGATGCCACGTGGAGAGAGGAAACGTACTATGAGATAGAGAACTCAGCAAGGTAGTGACCAACCATCTCAGGCTTGATCTCAACCTGGTTGAACTCCTTGCCGGAGTAGATACCAATAACGCTACCAATCATCTCGGGGACAACAATCATGTCACGGAGGTGAGTCTTGACAGTGTCGGGCTTCTCGTTGGGCTGAGCCTCCTGCTTGGCCTTGCGGAGCTTCTTGATCAGACCCATGGGGCGGCGCTTAAGACCGCGGTTGATCCTGCGGCGGGCACGGGCGTGGACGACATCGCGGAGCTGGTCGGAGCTGAGGTCCAAAAGGCTAGAGAAACATCATGGTTAGCGGGGTTGTCCATCTTGGTGACGGCGTCATGGCCACTTGTCGACGCAAAATTTCGCTCTCCCAGACACTGCCAACAACATCGCTATTTCAATTTTCCGTGCGGTGAGAAACGTGTTCTCATTGTTCTCGAGTTTTCGGGAGCGATATTCGTTGTCGTTGTCGTCGGCAGTGGGTGTTTGGCGAAGGGGAAAAGTTGCGTGACGACGGTGCGGCCAAAAGTCAGCAGGAATAGTAGACATACTTATCGAGGTCGATTCCTCTGTAGGAGAACTTGCGGAAGGTTCTTCTCTTCTTAATCTCGGCAGCCTCCTCGGCGTTCTATAATTTCCAAAATGTCAGCCCAAAAATTCGTTGCGTCGCCCGTCGCATGTAGACTCGGCTTGGGAAGCGGCCCTAATTCGATGCATGCTTTTCGACGGGATATCCTCATGGGATTATTTGTTTAGTGAAGACATACGTATTCGTCAGCCATGGTTGCGGTTGTGTTGTCGATTTACGAATTCGCCTATCGATGTACTGGTCGTCGAACGAAAGGTGGTGTCCGTGGTCTCTGGATGGCGGTTGGTATAGCGTAGCGAACTGGGGCCTCTCAATTTTCGCTTGTAGGGTTTTCGTGCCCTTCGACCCTCTGGTCAGGTGACCTCCACTGCGTCAACTTGAAAATGGTAGTTGGTGGGCCATTATGTAAGCATGCTGGAGGAGACTGTGCCGGTGCCTGGCAAAACTTTATTCCGCCTTTCGACAAGGTGGGTCTGGGCTTGCCAATCAGATGGTAGTGACATGCATCGAGAATTGCCCAATCAGGAATGAGTGGTATCCAGTGTTGAACCGAGCAAAGTCGATCTCTCAGATACTAGCCGCCACGGGTGCAAAAACTATATTTTGAATTTTGAATTGTCAATTACATTTCTACAGGTATTTATTTGCTCCCATTGCGGGCTAGCAGCATGTCAACACTCCCCAGCAAGCATTACTGGGTTGCATGAGTGCCCTGATATGTAACCAGGATGCACGAGGCGGTCAACTCGGCAGCGTCTGTAATTGCCTTGCAAGGGTAAAGGTTCTCTCCTATTTTCCTCAGCAGTAATTAGGGGCCCATATCTGTAGAGTTTGTCGAATACGGGTGTCTACATCGCCTGTCAGCATCGTCCATAGTCAACGATGGCATTGGTCCCTTTGAGAATGGGCTGTATTATAATTTCTCGAATGTTTTTATTCCTAAGATTCAATTGGTATGACGAATAGGACTGATTTACGGGCTTATATACCTATGAACACTTTCTTCAGAAGCGACGGCTCGCTACCCTGCACTGTTTTTACACTGTTGGCAAGCTAACAGTCGGACAGAACACCGACCTTTTATACCTTTAAGATATGGGCCAATAAAATGTACAGAAGCCTTTTGTATTAACCCTTTTTAAAAAAAAATTATTGAATTGCACTATAAATGTTGATATTTACGATCTAACTCTTCTATTTGAAGCTTCACTAATCGGCTGGTACAGTGGGTAAGCAACAGTTACAGGTAAACTCGTTTTCGGCCAAAATTTCAAGTATTTTTTAATATATATTATAAAATTACGTTTTCTATCAATATATGTAGAATATCATGTGTGATACAAATACTTTATATATATCAAGTTTTTAGATGACTATTACATATAGAGTTTGTATAAATATATATTTCGAATGCGTTTGTTGAAATATGGACTGCTTGCAACTTTTGCCTACCTACTGTAAGTGGTGTGAGAGCGACCCACTGGCGGGACTGATTAGGCAACGCGGGCCGGCAAGCGCCCCTGAGAAAACAGTGGTAAAGTGGGTAAAGACGCGTCGTACGGTAGCTTGGGACAGTAAAGGTAAAAGAGAGGAAAGAAAAGGTCTCGACGATACGACTATTCGGCTTGTTAGATATCGTGATATTGGCTTTCAGGGTCCTTGGCAGTCGCTGCAGGGCTAGTGCTCTCTGTGCCTGCGGCAGAAAAAAATGCAGCAATGCAACTGGTGGCTAATTTCATTGGCCAGGAGGCACAAGACGCGACCAAGGCCCTGTAAATATCCCAGCGACACGTTAATTAGCGGTGAAAGGTACCTGGGACCCAGGTTACGCGGGCGCCAACACCCAGAGTGGAGGTACTGGTAACCCGTTGGAAGCAGCTTTTCCCCACCTCGCTGCTCCCCTGGTTGGCGGTGGCCGAGTGGTGAATTTGTTGATCGAACCCCGCCAACAAGCCCACAACAGCACTACCAGAGCAGGCCACTCATACCAGGGAAATCATCACCAAGAGCCACCGCTTTGCCCCAGGCAGCGCGCATATTCCACCCCCCTCCTCCACCAAAACCGCCATCTTCATCAGACTTGCCACGCGTCTTGTCCTACACCATCCAAAATGACCAAGGGCGAGGTGAGTCTTTGTTTCTTTTCATCGTCTCGAACTCTACTGTTCACACAGTCTCGCGTTGCTGCGGGCTGCTCGACCCCGCCCCTGATTTTTGCTTGCTTTCGTGAGCATATTCGCTAACGTCTTTATCCAATGATAGATTCTTCACGTTCACATCGGCCAGGCCGGTACCCAGCTGGGTAACTCTGCTTGGGAGCTGTACGTCTATATCTACTGTACTAACAACGCTCGATTGCGTTGTCTAGTTGGGCCGTGATTGTGCTAACCGCGAGAAAAATAGCTACCTCCTCGAGCACGGCCTCGGCCCCGATGGTCGTCCCGACCCCAACCTCAAGGATGTTGGCGATGCTGGCTCTTACGAGACTTTCTTCTCCGAGACCAGCGGTGGAAAGCACGTTCCCCGTGCTCTCTTCGTCGATCTTGACCCCTCCCCCATCGACGAGATCCGAACCAGCGCCTACCGCCAGCTCTTCCACCCTGAACTTTTGATCTCTGGCAAGGAGGATGCTGCCAACAACTACGCCCGTGGTCACTACACCATCGGCAAGGAGATGATTGACAATGTCATGGAGCGTGTTCGCCGCGTTGTTGGTGAGTGGCAACCCAATCCCTGATGATATATCGAACCATATATTGTTGTTATCCCCGAAGCTAACCAATGACACTCATAGACAACTGCCACTCTCTCCAGGGTTTCCTCATCTTCCACTCTTTCGGTGGTGGTACTGGCTCTGGTTTCGGTGCTCTCCTTCTTGACCGCCTTGCCACTGAGTATGGCAAGAAGACTAAGCTTGAGTTCGCCGTCTACCCTGCTCCTCGCGTCTCCACTGCCGTCGTTGAGCCTTACAACGCTGTTCTCTCCACCCACAGCACCATTGAGAACGCTGACTGCACTTTCCTTGTCGATAACGAGGCTGTCTACGACATCTACCGCCGTAACCTCGGTGTCTCTCGCCCCTCTGTTGAGCACCTTAACCGCCTCATTGCCCAGGTTGTCAGCTCCGTCACCTCTTCTCTCCGCTTCGATGGTGCCCTTAACGTCGACTTGAACGAGTTCCAGACCAACTTGGTTCCCTACCCTCGTATCCACTACCCTCTTATCAGCTACGCCCCCGTTGTCTCTGCTGCCAAGAGTGCCCACGAGAGCTTCAAGGTCCAGGACCTGACTCTCCAGTGTAAGTTTCCATCATGGTATATATTGTGTTTCCGTCAACGCTAATTCAGCTATAGGCTTCGAGCCCAACAACCAGATGGTTGTCTGCGACCCCCGCGCTGGCAAGTACATGGCCGTTGCCCTCTTGTACCGTGGTGATGTTGTTCCCCGCGACTGCAACGCCGCCGTTGCCGCCGTCAAGGCCAAGGCCTCTTTCAACCTTGTCGAGTGGTGCCCCACTGGTTTCAAGGTTGGCATCAACTACCAGAAGCCCATGGCTGTCCCTGCTCCTGCTGAGGATGGTGGCCTTGCTTCTGTTGACCGCTCCGTCTCTATGCTTTCCAACACCACCGCCATTGCCGAGGCTTGGTCTCGTCTTGACCAGAAGTTCGATCTCATGCACAGCAAGCGTGCTTTCGTCCACTGGTACGTTGGTGAGGGTATGGAAGAGGGTGAATTCACCGAGGCTCGCGAGGATCTTGCTGCCCTCGAGAAGGATTACGAGGAGGTTGCTGCCGACTCTCTTGAGCCTGAGGAGGACCTCGAATACTAAGTTCTTGCGACGCCTATCGAGTCAAGTATCTCATATTCGCCTTTCACTTCTTTAATGTGATGGATCTCTACCGCTGAAACACTGGAATGGCGAATGCTGGATCTGGCATGGGTTAACCGCCTGGCGCGACATCCGCATCCTTAGAGGTCTGATCAGGGTTTATGGTTTTTGGGAGCGGTCCGCGTCTAACGCTGTAGATAATCACTACTCGGAGAACACACACCCTCTTATTTTGTTTCGGCAGTATGTTCTTTCGAATTCAGGCAGGCAAAATTCAAGTTGATATCCCTTAGTAGAGATACGAATTGCGTAAGCTTTAATATGTGACCTAGTAGCCTTCACAACGTGGGACAATTCTATAAGTGTGTTTGTGTGTAGATGCGTAGCTTAGGTTGTATTGCTATGTAATTTGTACAGATTCTTGATTCAATGCGCCAAACGCCGGTTCAACCAATATTTAATAGAGAGCTTTTCCAAATCGACGATGCAGCTTTAGGCAGACTTCTTCTTTTTCCACTCGGCACCACGGCGAGCGCCTCTGTTGGTGGGCTTACCCTTCTTGCCCTTGCCCTTCTTACCCTTGAGGTCCTTCGGAAGAGCATCTCTTGAAGAAGCTCTGCGGCCTTCGAAAACAATCTCGGAAGGAGGCTTGATGCCATCAGGAAGAGTAGAGTTTGCAGAGCGGTGGGTGGTTCCCCGGCTGGCATGGATGGCTCCAGAGCGGCCGTAGAGTCTGCTAGCTCTGCCAGCAGCAGCAAGCTGCTCGGGAGTCTTCTTGGGGTTGTAACCCGTCTTGTTTTTGGCATCAGCAGCAGCATTAGCCTTGGCTCTGGTTCGTTCGATAGCCTGGTTCGTCTTGCGGGGGTCCTTGGCGCGAGTGACTCGGAGCTTGCGTGGCAGCATGGGAGGGAAGGACTTTCCGTTGAGGAGAAGCGCGGCTTCAACGTCGTTGGCGTCCTATTCATAGTGGTTAGTAACAGTTCAATCGAGGTATTGGGGAGAGATGCTGGGGTGTCTTACATAGAATTGAACGTAGGCAAAGCCCTTACCGACTCGGGTCTTGGGGTCACGAACAACACGGACATTTTCAACCTTGCCGTGCTTCAAGAACGTGCGCCAGAGGCCTTCCTCGATATCTGAAGGGACCTTGTTGCGCTTCTTTCTCTCTTCTTCACCCTCGCTGTTCTTCTTGACAATTGTCTCGTCATCGACAAAGCCCAGGTTGCCAACAAAGATGCAGCGACGGTGGTCCGTTGGGCTAGGATGGGCAACGCTGTCTACTCGAATGTGGCGGCCGAGGACCTCAGTGCCGTTGAGCTTGGAGACGAGTCTGCGAGCGGCAGCCTCTGTAGACAAGACAACGTAGGCGTTGGTAGACTTTGTCGTGGCGTCCATCAGAGACTTTGTAATGTAGGCAGCGCGCTTGGGCATGGCGGCGGTAGAGAAGGCGACGGATCGGAAGCGGATAGACTCGACCTTTTGAGCTGGGTACTCGTCCTTTTCGAGGGCATCAGAGAGATGGGTCATGAGAGTCTTCTTGGCGGACTTGGAGGAGATGGCGTCGGTGGAAACGTTGGCGATGAAGACAGTACGGGCAGCCTTGTCGGCTTCCTCAGATTTACCACCCTTTGTGAGCGATTCGTGGACGGGGAGTTCACCATCATCCATTTCTTCGTCTTCATCCTCGGCTTCAGTCTCCTTTTTGCTTCGTTTTGTCTCATGTTCGATGTGCTCGTCCTTTTGGAGCTGTTCGAGATAGTCGCCCTCCAAGTCTTCGTATTGGTCCTTTCTCTTGCGCTTGCGCTCGCGGCGTGGCTCTTGGTCAGCAGCTTCAGCGGCAATGGCGTCCAAGTCTTGTTCTTCGTCCTCCTGGACGTCATCTTCGTTGTCATCATCGTCATCATCAGAGTAGTCTAGTTCTTGACTGGCCTCTGATAACACCTCGTCGTCACCCTCTTCTTCGTCATCTTCGTCGTCTTCGTCGTCTTCTTTTAATTTAGCAGCGCGCAACTCAGCATATCTAGTCTTGGGAGGGGCCTGTACTGGACCAGACTATATATATAATTAATTAGCTTGATTTGTTTTGTGTATATCGTGACCGGTAACGTACACTACCAGAGAAGAGCGATTGCAGGTGGGGGTCAATCGCCTTCGAAGCAACGGAGAAAACGGACGTTCTGTTTGCAATTGCAGTTAGTACTAGAGTAAATAGAATAGAGCTGTTATCCTAAAAACTTACCCTTTGGCCATTTTGGAAAATAGTTTTGCTGTGGTTGTAGGCGATACAATGCCGATGCCGTTCTTGGGTTCCGCCGCCTTCAACTTTTTTTTCTGCCACTGATTTTTTTCTGGCTCTACAGGGACCCTCTCTTTTGCTGCCAGTTGTTGCCAGCGCTGTAAGTGGCTCTGACGGGGCCCGGAACAATGCGTCATTGGCCTCCGACAACTCACCACCAGCGGGCGCCCCCATAGTAGCGCGTTTCTGCCCGCAGCCACCGCCCGATGCTCATCGCTGACCAGCCCGTTCTCGGGTTTGCTGTTGTGGCCGGCCCGCTGATTTGGGGTCACAGCCCATCGCCAGACCCAGTAGAGGTGCGCCGAACCCATCACCATCTTTCTCCAGACTGCAGCTGGCCCTCCAACAATCCCCCTCAACCACGCGATCCCCTGCGACCCAAATACTGCGAACCCCCTTCGAGAATTCATGCCAGCCATTTCGCACAGGCTGTACAAGCTAGCAACGTCCCTGCTGCCTCACTAGCAGGCCTCGCGTTTGCTTTTTTCCCACCTTGCACCCCGGGCGGCTCGCTGGCTCCCCTCTCAAAACCCAGCGGTCTCGACAGCCCTCGCCAACCCGGCACGACCCCAACGACACTCAATAACCTCGAAAATCAATCGCTGACAGTCATAATTTAGTCCAGTCATGGCAGCGACCGCCGACCTGGTCCAGCACCGTCCCAGTGCTGACCCAGAAGACAGCAACGTCTCCAGCCCGCTCTCCGAGGTTGACGACAAGGACGCCCACGACGAAGTAATTGAGCATATGCAACTTGATAGCGACCATTCTAGCAATGCTAGCGATGAGAACGAAGAAAATAATAACAACCCTCTCGAGTCGGACAGTGCCCTCTCCGACCCTGGATCTGACTTAGGGTCGGACGCTGGCAACGACACCGAGGCGGAGACCGAACGACTCTATGACACGCCGAAAAATCAGCGGCAACGCGATGTGGTGGTGGACCAATTCAATAATGGAGAAGTCTTTGAGCACACCCCTAGCAAGTTGCGGCGCTCGGCGGCGGTCGTCCGTGACGACGAGGACGAGGACGGCGAAGCCTCCAACTCAGACGACGAGCGCTCTGTTGCTTCTAGCGATGCCGGTGACGATGAGTCTCCCTCTAAGCCGTCCATGCGACGAGCAAATGCTGCGGACGACTTCAGCTCCGATTCGCAAGGGCGGAAGCGGAAGCGATCGCCAGTAGCGTCCGAGTCTGATCAACCCCTCAGGAAGAGGAAACCATCGGTCGGCGAGGCCTCTGCTGAAGACGACGATGATACGGCAATGAATGATGACGAAAAATTGGCGGCTCAGCTCCAGAGTGGAATCCAGTCTGGCGCTGAGGACGAAGACGACTCGCCGAACCGCGACACCGCAACTGACGTGGAAGCACCTAACAGAAAAATGCGATCGGGCAAGAAAAGCTCACGCAGCAGTTCTACGAGGAGTGCCACTAAAGCCGGTGATGACAGTGCGACTGATATTCCTGACGAAGGTGCCGATGTCGCTGCCGAGGAAGAAGCCCAAGAAGAGGAGGAAGCAGAAGTGGACGAGGCCGAGATTGCGGCAAGAAATCAGGAAGAACGTAAGTTTTTCTCTCAAATAATCCAATTTCGCCCATGTACTAACGTACCGATTTTAGAAGAACGAAAAGAAGCTGCTTTCCGGGATTGGTCCCACATAGAAGAAATGTTCAACATCTTTAGAGACAGGTTAGTTTGCTCTTGGATTACGTTGCGACATAGTTAACTAACACCACACTAGACTCTACAAAGACCGACTTCAACGAATCGAAGACGAGGAGCAATCTCTGGTTGCCGATGTCCCGACTCACAAGGAATATCTCAACATGAAGCAATGCCTGGACGAACGATTCAAGCAGAAGACCCAAGAATTCAACGCCGAGTACAACTTTCGAATAAAGGCACAGGAGACCTGGGCTGTTGCGCAGCGCGCCCAAATCTGGAGCCAGTTCTTGCAAGCTGTAAGAGAGAAGCGTGAACAAGCGCTCGAAGCTTTGAACAAGCAGTGGTATGATGTTCAGACAACCCGTCGAAACGCGCACAGCATACAAGACTGGGGTCTACTCTTCCCCAAGGACCATACCCAGCGTGTCAAGAATGCCATTGCATATGGTAACGAAGTGTCTACGCTCTCAGGCTTGGCCAAGTACGAAGGTTTCCCTTCTGGCCCCGAGATGAAAGGCGCTTCTGCATCCGAATTGAAGTCTGATTTTCTAGCTATCGAGGTATGAAGCCCAAGAGTTTATTTTGACTGCCTCACCTGATTGCTAACAACTATCCTGCAGAAATCGAGGAAGGTTCAACAAAAACCCAGTTTCCCAGCAAGAGACGACTACCGGCCGGCGAGCTTTAATCGACTTGGCCCGGCTGGTGAACAATTCATCAAGGACACACCATGGGCCAACCCCAATCACTCTGTACACAAAGCCACCGTTCTGAACACGGTGGCAAAGACCGCGCAAAACAGTTCGAAATCTGATGCGGTACCGACAAAACTATCAGAGTCACCGGAGCTATCGAGATCAATACTGAATCAAACGGCACACGCCATGAAAGGCGTCGGAGGTGTACAGGCTATCAGCCAACCCTCCACGACTGCCGTCTGAGACGCTGTCCACTTGGCTATAGCATGTATAAATTTCTTGATACCCGGTGGTTGTTCGACGTGTGTTCATAACGATGGCGTTATTTTTCGGCGAGGCTTTACATAGTTTGCTCGCATTTATCATGGCAAGGGGAACGAGCTTTAAAGGCTACACCACAGCGCATGTTTGGGATTTGCTTGTGCAGTGCTTCTTAGAAGCATATTCATTTCGTTTCTTATTTTTCGGCTATTATACACTAGGAGTTTTATATTGAATTGATTTCCCCATCCAACCTATGACCTGTCCGCCGGTATTCTTCAGTAGTATTGTACAGTTAAATCAAGCGTACTAACGATGTAGAACCAATGTCTCCTGTTGCTTCACCATCGCAATGCTGCGTTGTACGGTTGATTTCTTTTCGTCGTGAGTAGTGATGTTCGAATATATATTTAGTTGCCTTGAGCAGATTTTCTCGGCGCATCAGGGACCTTGACGTCCTCGAAGTTGTCCTGGCCGACGGCGTTCAGGGTGTAGTAGTCTGTGTTTTCATGTTAGCAAGTGCTGCATGCACTTCAGCAGGCTCAACGTACAGATGCCGCCAACAATAGCACATAATCCGAGACCAGTGATTGCATTCTTGAAAAGATACGGTCTGCGGGCTCGAATAAGAGCCGGTCCTTGTCGCAGTCGACGATCGTAGTAGGTTGAGTGAGGGCTATTGAAAAGTTAGTTAACTGATTGTGAGACCATGAGTTGCGTTGATCACGCACTTGGCCATTGTGACAGATGTAAATCAGAAGAGCGACGAGTGAAATATAATCCGTATTTTCTGATTCCGAGGTTGTCGCAAGATTGTGTCGAGTTCAGGTCGCTCCAATGACGGTTCTTTGTCGAAGGATGATTTCTGCGGGTCATTGCCGGCTAAACCGATTTCTGGCGCGACGCCCGCGCTGGAGGCGCCTGTACTTGTAGAAGCAGCCCGCGTCTAGGCTACCTGCAAGACCTCCAAACGCAATTTATCGATTGCATCCGACAACGTTGCGGCGGCAATCGAGTTGCTGCATCAAATCGAAAGATATTTACCAATCAAGCATTGGTGTACGACAATAGATACATCGACACCCCATAAACCCGATTGCGAATTGAGCTCTGAGCTGCTGCTAATCTCTGCACTCCCGACGCTAGGCACCTGGGATTGGTCTCGCAGCTTGGCTTTCTTCAACGGAATTCGAAAAAACGGACACTCGTATTGCTGTCACACCGAATCGCATCCTAATATCTTCACCAAACCACGTTGAATCATCCATCGAAAGCGACCCGGCTGTCGAGCCCTGAGAGCTATGGCCGCTGCTGCAGTCTCAGTGCCGGACCAGATCCGCCAGCTCGACGGCGCCAGAAAGCTGGTGCTGGAAAATGTTAGCTATTACAAAGATGTTGTTCGCGGGACTCTACCCCTGATAGGAGCAAACTCTGCCGTCGAGATTAGAAGATGGGGAGCAGACTTTCTCGCCGAGGCTTTCGCGACACCAGCGGTGCCTAATGGCGAGAAGGAGACGATGCAGCCCTATGTCCTGGTGACGCTAGAGGCTCTACTTGAAGATAAGAACCAGGATCCGTATGTACTGCGAAGTGTAATACAGACGGCTGCTAGCATTTACCCGTTGGCTTTGAGATGGATGTAAGTATTGACCTAACACGAAATTCGCTAGGTTCTGGAAGCTAACGTTTGAAAAGTATAAATAACGGCTACGATACTATAACATGGGATAAAATGATGGAAATCAAGCAAAAGATTCTACAAATATGGGAGCGGGCGCCACCGACTGTGAGCATCTGCTGCATCAAGTTTGCGCAGCGCATCATCTTGGCGCAGTCGCATAGCTCTGGAGCAGAGCACCGAGTGAGTATATCTGTGTTTCATGGCATAACATTATACTGATACAATGACTTTTAGCATGCGACCAGTCTAGACCTTTCACTCGACAAGATCCCGCCGAACCACCAATCGTTGGACACAAGAACCCTACAAGCAGAGGCAACGGGGCTGTTGGACCGGATGCTGACCATCCTGCAAGAGAGCAAGTATGTACATGGTATTCATCTCGAAATAAGGAACCAGTTGCTAACAGACTCTAGTGACGCTCTTCTCGTGGATGCCGTTTTGAACTCTTTGTGCATTCTGATTCGAACACGACCAGGCACCTCTAGTCGAATCGTAACAGCACTTCTCAACTTCAACCCAGCGCAGCTCGCCTCAACATCCAGTAGCCCACGCACGAGGGTTATGGTTCGATCGATGGAAAAGACGACACGTATTCTACTTACACATCTGGTGCGACGCGATCCTCAAAATCCTGCGAACCCAAGAATACAGCAACAGATTGAGCGCAACATGCGGTTGTTCAGCGAAGCCTTTAGCGACTCAAAAAAGAGGCCGTTGGATGCCAAAGGAGTGGAATCGGGAGATGTCACGAGGCAAAGAATCGATGTATCGACGATACAGATTCCAGCGTTTACTGCTGGTAGCCACAGTGTTGCAGATCTTTTTGCGCTGATCCCACCGGATGGCTTGCGGACATTTGATGTAGCGCAAGTTCCGGCGCCACTTGTTTCGAAAGTCTCCATCAATGCGCTGTCTAAGCTTGATAATGACGTCTTTACGCGAGCTCTGGAAGCTGTCCGTGACCGTCTCCTATCAGTTGCCAACACACCTGCCGGAGCAGTCAACCCCAACACTGCCCCTCTGGGTGTCGATGACGACGATGACGACTATGAGCCTGACTTTTATGAACCCGAAGATGCTGAACAGCTCCTCAACAAACAAGATGGGTCATCTTCCACTCTTGAAGCTATTGGCTTAGAGGATGGTCTTGGTTTGACGTCCTTTAGCTTGCCCCAGCCAGCTCAGCTGACACCTGAAGCGGCATTGGCAGCTGGTAATGGTACCGTCGGTCGAGTTCTTGATATGCTGAAAGATATAGACGAACCTACTAGTAAGAAGCTTGGGTTTGTTCGTTTGGCTGCTAGTGCTGGCAGCCGTGATGCGTGGATGACGATTTTAACACGTCTTGCCACAAGATCCTCTGCCACCTTGGATGAGATCAAAGTCAAAGGAGAGGATGAAGGTCTAATCAGCCAGTCTCTGAGCAACAGCATCCGCGAAATCTTGTTCAATTATGTTATGGAAGACTTCCGTAAGCACATTGATGTCGCTGTCTCGTGGCTCTGCGAAGAGTGGTACAATGACAAGCTACTCAGCCGCCTACCAGGCAACCGCCCTGCCTACTATGAAAAGTTTGCTCTACGTTTGCTCGACGGCTTCCTACCGTACCTTCATTCCAGAGACAAAGTGCTTACTCGTTTCCTGAGTGAGATTCCAGAGCTTAACAGCACTATGCTAGCAAGAGTGAAGCAAATGTGTCGCGACCCTAGTGTTGTGGATCTTGCTCTTAAGAGTCTACTCTACCTGGTTCTAATGAGGCCGCCAGCGAAGGAGATTGCTCTGGATACCGTCCAAGATATCTGGACTGAGTGTACGTTTCTTCTGACTCCGCTTTGTGATTCTGTATTACTAACATGCTTATAGACGAAGATGCTAGATCTATGGCAGCTAAGTACTTGAAGAAGTACAGACCCGACTTTTTGGAATCAGCCACTGGCAATACCGGCGGAGCAAACGACAGGATGGCAATCACAGCAGCATAAAGTTTGATCTGATAGATTGGATGTGTAGCGCTATTACGCTGAAGGATGCAACCCAGGCCGCCACTACTCGGAAGTGGCTTTTCGTTGAGCGAGGAAAACTATTGGCATATACTGGCGTTTGTGTTATTTACGGGGTTTACTCTGGTGTACAGAGCAATGATATATCTGTAGGTTTAGCAACGAGCATAGAGAAGGGGACTACGACGGCTGTGACGATAGGAACCATGTCTTAATACTATATCAACCAATTGGGACATACGATGGCTATTTTCAGCTTGATAGCTCTTTATCTCCTTAATTTTGAACTTTTGCCTCTTTTTTCCCCAACCTCACCTTTTCTTTTTCCTGGAGAAGATGTTTTCTCCTTAATTTCAGGTTTGCTTTTTCCAGTGTTCGTCTGGCGCCACAGCGACGCCCAACCCGCCTGAGCACTTCACGAATAGCGTGGGAGGATGCGGGCTGAGCACAGCATCGAAGCGAGACACAGTCAGTGCGTTTCAGAGCGGCCTGACGCTAAGAATAACCGCTGCAGCACCCCTGATCAATTTAGTTACGGGGCAAAAAGGGGACTTGCATGCACTAAAAGCAGCCTGCAGCGTGCTAACTTACTGCCAGCAGTGCGTGCGTGCGGCACCCTCTTAATGCAGCAAACTATCAGCAATTAACCCTTTATTTTTTTGTCTTGTCTTGTTAAAAACAATCGAAGCCCCAATCCCTTCGCCAAACTCTCCCCGATTTTCCTGCCTCTCCAAAAAACCCTGCTCGCTCACATTCCAGCGCCCCCCCAAGCCACGACCACCTAAGACGAAACAACCCTGGGCGCTTAAACAGCTTCTAGTTAGCGTGCTAAGCCTCGTCCACCACCCACCAGGCCGCTCTTGTCAGGCGCCCCCAGCACTGCCGGCCGCTGAACCAGGCCCCCCCAACACACCACCAGGACCCGCACGTACCTCCCAGAACGTTCAACGTCACCTCTCGACTCAGCAACCACCAAGAAAACGCAGTGACCAGGGCCTCTGTCCTCTCAACGCGTGCACAACAAGACACCCCTGCCTGTGACCTGCAAAAGGTTCGTCATTCCGCCCTGTACACACAGTACGGTGCCTGCTTGTCTGCCTGTCGGTTGTGTATTTGTACCGGCCAACCGTGCTGCCTCTGATTTTCATGGCACAAGGTTCCAGCCCGGAAAAACCATAACACGAAACACGATCAACCAGAGGTTATTCTAAAACGCTCAATCTATTTTTTCTCTCTACACTCGCCAAAATACGCATATTCTCCTCGCTCAAATGCCCCGGAATCGACTTCAGAAACAATTCCCCATCCTCGCCGACAAAGCCCAAGGTGCGCCCGCTCCCCCTACCCCAGATGGCATCGTTCCATCATAAACATCAACATCATCTCTGGAACCAAGGCGACTACGACGCTGTCAAATGAGACAGTGTCCACGGTGTCCAAGACCTTGTTGCCGCTTGCTGAGATCCAACACCTGCTAACAATTGTATTTTTAACCCCGCCAGCAGTCTCTGTAACCACTCGTCCTCAATTGCTAGATGATTCCTTCCTGACGCCGTTAACTCCCGTCTCGACCGCTTTCATCAACAGCATGCAAGCACATTCACCACAATCGACACCCAAAGTCGCTCTAGGACGCACAGCTACTATCCGCAGCGTACGTAGCTTCGATGCTTCTGACTCCAGCCCAGACAGCAAACAGAGCAGCGGCACCATTGCCAGCACAAACAGCAGCACAAGCATCGGCTCCGTCGGGCCCGCCACACACAATATCGACAGAACAGACTCTCCTACAAAATCGAAAAGCGACACCATGCCGGACGGCCCGAATCGCTGGAGCGCTAGCTCCATCCGCGTGATAGAACCCCAAGGAGACAGCAATGTTCTCACTGAGGCCGCCGACGCCGACGGCAACCAGTGGGATTCTACGATTGGCAAAGCAGGCCTGGGCAAGACCGGCCGAGTAATCAACCGATTGGTTAGCGAGAACGATGCGCTCAAGCGCGAGATTCAAATAGAACGCCTGCGTGCCGAGGAAGCAAAGCAGGCTGCCAAGTTGATCGAAGACAAAATGGAGCGCATGATGAACGAATACGAAGGCAAGCTCCTCGAAGCCAACGTCACAAAAACATTATTAGGCAGAAAAGAGCGTCAAGTAGACAGCTTGACGGCTGCTTTGGACGCAGAAAAGAAGAAGTCCCAGGCTGCGCTAGAATCCGAACGAACTTGGCTCGACGAATTAAATCGCGTTAAAAAGGATTCCAAGATCCAGGTTGACAAAGCAACAACACAAGCTACGTTAATGGAGGGCCGCTACAACGCTATATCATCACACTGGCGCGACCAAGGCGACCAAGTTAAGCGGGCTATGACAAAGATGCGAGGAGAAATCGCAAAGATCACCGAGGAACGCAGTGGCGACGACGACAAAATTCGGACACTTCGCGACTTGTGTGAGCAGCAGGATTCTAATATAAAGGAACTTCGACGGGAAAAGGACGAAATTTCTCGACTCTTCTCCGAATATAAAGAAACCCAAGAAAAGGAGCTTCATCATATCAAGACAAATGGCCGCGAGACGGAAGCTGAACAGACTAGACTTCTTGCCGACGCCAAAGAAACGCTTGATAAGCTGCGGTGGGCACTCAACGTAAAGAACAATGTTGCAGGAGCCCAATAACACTATATATACCATTCGACCTCACCTTCCAACTCTCGATATCCCCGACACCCGATGCACAAAACCTCAGAAACTTCGTACATATTGACACATCAAGTGTCTAAATCATGACGCTACGCTCATTTATACCAAAACACAATTTATCCCCTTCTTCATTTCTTTTTTATGGATACAACAGATGGAGTCAACCATCACCAAGACTGCAAATATCGATTTTCTAGCGTCTGATACGGCCTTTTGATAACAAGGATGGAATTTGGAATATACAACGGAAACATGCATAAAAGAGTTGACAATTAGCGTGCTGCAGCAGTAACGCGATGCTGTGTTTTTATATTGGCATCGAAATGCACAAGAGGAGGAAAAGAAGCACTCAGGGAACGAATAGGACTGCTAGATTGATAGTCTTGTACGAGCTGCTAATGCATGCTTGTACTTCGTACTATACAAATGAAACGGCCTTTGTAGAAAATAAAGAACCTTGATTGCCATCTCTATAAACGCGTAACGGAGCACTACCTTGCCTTGCATCTGCGGTTGGCCGGTGGGCTTCACTTGCCAGGTGCCAGGTGCCAGCTGTTGGACTGTTGCTATGGAGTAACATTTCCCACCATTTTTTCTAGCTCAACTTGACTCTTTACCATTGCTGAGATGTCGTTTAAAGAGTTTTATGTGACTTGTAACCCGCCACTGCTGCTTGATGGCGTGGACGAGGTTGTCAGCCATATTACTGGCTGTTTTCAGGAAGTATGGAATCCTTACCTGGTTTCCAGAGAGAGAGACCTTGCTAATCCCTCATTTAGGGCGTCGTTCTAGAGATTTTGTATGAACCTGATATTCCCTGGTTCAAGGTGATTGCGGATGAGTCGTACCAGGCCCAGGTGACCAAGGCAATCGCAACTCGAGTGCAAGAGTTCGTTGCAGAGGATCCAGAGGCTCTGAACGGACAGGACAATACGCTTGGTGATCTCACAAGCGGTAAGAAATTCTGCTCCTGGGACGCGTACAAAGCCGACTTTCGATGTGAGACGGAATGGAAGCAATACTGGTCGTACATGGTACCCGAGACGATGCGAGATGCACGTTGCGTACGACTCTGGAGAGGGATCGAGACATGCGGAGCAAAAACCTTTGATAATCTATTCAAAAAGATGTCACTAGTTTTCAAATCACCTAGGATGCCAAGGGACTTTGCTAGTTTCCAGAGGTTCGTTGGAAATGATATCGAGGTTGGGCATAACATGAGGCAGGATCTGGTGTATCTTGCTTCGTCTACCAGTCAGCGAGAAGTAGAAGAGCTGCTGGTCAAACTCGATGCGATTGTATCTGCATATGTAAGCGCAAGAACAAAGTACAAAGATAAGCCCTGCTAACTTGTTCAATTAGAACCGCAAATCCTTTCGACAAGATCAGCTTGTCCAAATCGGGCATGTTATCATTGCAAATACTAAGCAGAAGCCGATGCTTTCATTTCAGCCTCTGGCCTACCATGGATTGACGCAGCGAACGTTTGTACAACCCGAGGTTTTCAGCAAACGGGATATTCAACATGAGTATAATACTTTAATGCGTAGTTATACTGTCCGCTCTGTCAGGGACGGTGATGAGCCCATCAAGTCGGAGGGCTTACTGGAACTGCAGAAACACGAATCTAGTGATTCTGGAACTAAGGTTACACCCTTCACCGAGTATCAGTTCACGGCTCGACAACCTGCCCTCATAGAAAGTAGAGGAAACAGAGCTAGTGTTATGAAGAATTTGATGATCAAGAAGTGGAGGAGCAGAGTGTCTGATGTGGACGAGAGAGCATCGTCAGAGTATGCGGATGAGGAACCTCTTAATGCTCTCTTGCCAATCAAGCGGCCATTTACAGACTCCGAAAAGAGTACCAGCAATATGGATTCTGTGGATCAATCTATCAAGGGCGAAGAAATTGACGAAGGCATTAGTCTATCGCAGTATGAGATCAAGAGCGAAGAAAGTGAAGTTTCGCTGTTACTCAGCTTTGACGCCATCCAAGACGGCGAGCTATCTCTTGACCACGGAAATCAAGCAAATAGTGTCGTTGCTTCTCCAGCTAAAGAGGTATGTGGGTAACCTGATAATTTTACATATGCTAATAAGAACCTGAAGGGTGTACCGGGCTATTCTCTTCTTGACGAGTTGATTGGCGATGAAATGCCTGTGAAGGAAAATACTACTAGTACTGAGTCCGCCGAAGAAGACAAAGAAACGGAACTAAATGGGAAAGAGAATCCACTAACTCGCATTATGCATTTTCATCTTCGACAGTTTGCGCCCATTCTGAAGATTATTTCCGGTAGGGTCAAATTTGAAGTGCAACTGGGCAGAATCTGTTTGAATCAGATACCGGCCGGCCTTTTACAGGGAAACGAGACACCCTTACCGGCGATGTTGCATAACTTGACAATCAATATGCATGCACTACATCAATTCCAGTTTATGTCTGTACTATCGACATCCGTGGGCGATATAAACAAGATAGCGGCGGCGAACGTGGAGTGCCAACCGGCCTGGCAGTTTGTAAGCCTGCATACGAGCTACAACTTTGTTGTCAAATCCAACGGCGAAGTTCCAAATAGCTTTGTTGTCGAAGTGGATGCCGAGTCTTATGAATACCAATGCCGTGAAGCATGGTCCGACTTGTTGTCCATCTATTTGCATCATGGGAAGAGCAACTGGGACGCAAGAGTGTACGCTGCCAACTCGCCCGTTCGAGACTCTGATTTGGAAGATGACTTGGCAGTGAGGCTAACTGGGTCGTTGAAGGCCGAGTACGTTATCTTTGCCTCTGTGTACTTTCGACGCTAACATCAGATAGGCCGGTTACTGCAGACGGTAGCGTTGTTCTAGAAATTATGGATCTTCACGGCCGATATGATGCGACAGTAGACTCAGTGGAAGTGAGGCAAGTCGCCAAGTATCAATCAAGCACAAACAGCAGCATACAGCTCAACGTCTCTTTTCATCGTCTGCTGGAAAAGAGCCGTGGCCTTATCCGGTCCAAGGCGAGCCCGTTTGCCGGAATGACGACGTCATGGAAATTCCCATCTGCCGCTTGCAAAAATGGAAGCCCAAAGGTTTGGGTCGAGGCTACGATTTCACACAAAGTCCTGGATAAAATACTAGAAGAGAATACTGATTTGGAGTTTGGGCAGACTACAGGTTGGGATGTTGAGAGGTTTTGCACTGAGGGTTACTTTAGTGCCATGTGCCAGGCGGCCTCTATGTTGATTTCTCAGATGGACTCGGTAGGGATTAACGACGATAATGGACATGCTCAGAGGCTCGAACGAGACAGACGACAGCTTCCAAAGCCAAATATTGAGATCAGGAAGTAGGGGAGCCGTCGGATACGACGACTCAGGGTAGCCTTGTGTGCGGGATTCTCGTATCGTACGTTTACGTGATGCGTTTCGGGAGCTACGGAAGCATGATGACGCGTGATTGGACTTGATGAAATACCAGGCTGCGGACTTGCGCAGAGGTATTTAAGAATTGTATGCGGAGGTGTGTAGGCAGTGCATATATAGTGTTTGTGGCTACATCCAACAGCGGAGTGGCCAAACGCCCCAACTTAATATGGGATGTGTTTCTGTATACCCGTCTCTGTGAAGTGAGGCTTTACAAGTTCGGATGGATTTATGTGCCGAGTTAGGCTGTGTGGTGTTATGCGCCGCTGATCCATGGCAGCTGAGCTGGGTTAGGGTGTAAAATCAGGCTGGCAAGCGCAGGAAGTAGCTTAACTAAGGAGGAACGTTCTTGGAAGCTGTCTACAGAATGCACGTCTATTTTTACGCTGCACCAGTCATGTAGTCAACAAGTAGTGTGCATCATGCACCATGCAGCAGCCAGTTGTAACACACCGGCATCAGCACGCCAGCAGCTGAAGGTGTGAAGTGGGTGTTGGCGCAGGGTCAGGAGGGGGCGGCGCCACGTTGACGCCAATACAGACTGGCCACTCAGAGTGTATTTTGAGCCTCCTTTACTTAAGCCCCAAGGCGTCGTCTATCCATTCAAGGCCGTTGTTTGTGTAATACGTTTGTCTGGTGGCTTCCTGAGGTTGGGAGAGAGTTGCCCGAACAGGCAGGGGGGGCCAGAGAACCCGAATACGATTACAGATCCCAGATACGAGCGTGTGAGAGTGTGTGTGGTGTCTTGGTTGTGCAGCTACTTGTCAAAGAAATTCTATGAAAAATAAGAAACAAAAGATACGCTGTATAAAAGTGAATGTGTAAATGCATTGTGGATGGGACGAAGCCGTTAACAGCTGAAAGACAACGGGTAGATCTGGGGTGGGCAGCAGCAGTCAGCCAGCCAGCCAGCACCACGACCGCTGGGGTTACCTATTCCAGGGGGTCCATCTGCCGTCTTATGGGATTTAATTGGGGGAGGGTCAAAGTTGTGGGACGAACGGGTTGCACGTTTTCTGCTACGGGGGGCCTGTCATGCGAGGTGCATACGGCGTATTACTACCGAACAGGGTACTGCAACGACAGACGAAAGACACTACGACAACTAACTTAACGCTCGGTCGGTCTCGTCCGTAGCGGGTTAAATCCCGACAATGCTTGCTAATTACTGGTTAGCGATAGTGGCGCTAAGTTCTGATTGTTGGCTGCACAATGCACAAAGAAGGCTCCCTCGAGCGGGTGTCGTCGGCGATAAGAACCTGGCCAAAGTGCGCAAAGGATGCGGGCGTAAATGGGCCACTGGGGTATTTCCGCCCAATGCTGGCACGGGTCGCGAGTCGTGAGTAAGCGCTACGCCTCCTCTGGCCAAAACTTTGTGGGCGATGCGACGGCGGTATGACAGGTCCTATGGTCTAGTTTTTGTCCCTTTTCTGGCCTTTTTTTTTGCTTTCACGCAAAATACTCACCCAATAGAAGAAGAAAAGAAAAAACACGGCAGCCTGATATCCCGGCACTTGCTGCTGCTGCGCCGCACACGAGACCAGTCTACCGCGAGTCGGCGAGTTCTATTCTGGGAATAGCCTCACCTTGGGAAGAGGGGCTGTGGCCACACCACTACCAACTAGTTTTTGGTGAAGGAGTGGAACGTGCGTAGCGGTGCGGATCCGGCCTGCAGCGGCTCCGGTTTTTCTCACAAACAAGGCTGGGCGCCATCCGCCCCAAAACCCACGAAAAGCCAACTCCTCATCTCCATCTCCAGATCGGCCCCAATCAAGGGATAAACGAAGCAGAACGAGGCGCCATGGCCATGACAATGACCCAGACGCAGACCCAGGCGACGACGGCCTTTGATGCCGAGCTGGGCAAGAAGAGAGTCAAGCGATATGCTCCCAAACTCAGGACTGGATGCATGGTTTGCAGGTGAGTGGTGATGCTGATGCTGAAGTTCACTGGTGCTGGCTTAACTGGCTGGGTGAGCTTGAGATGTTTTTTTGTTATTGTTGCTAACCATAACCCTCCCATGCAGACAACGAAGAATAAAATGCGACGAAACAAAACCAGAATGCCGCCGATGCATGATCGGCAATAGACCATGCCATTATAGCCCTACACAACGAAAGAAGAAATATCCGCCTACACCGCCTCTTCCACCAAGCAGCGTCAATATCCTGCCTGCTCCTATCCTCGCTCGCTCACCACCGTCTCTTCCTCAGTTCAACGGCACCTCCGATGTCCGCGACCTTATCTCACTCATGCCCATGGCCTCGCTGGGCGGCTTTGTCCAGCGCTCACCGTACGACTGGGCCGCGTGCATGCGAAGCTACAGTCAGCGAATGAACACCTACGTCTTTGAACTGCCCATGCGAACGGGCTACCACCCTGTACTTGATGGAGCTGTGAAATGTGTGGCTGCGGCGTTGAAATGCCGTTTAACAAAGGGCATGGAGACCACGCCGTTTGGGTTGGAGACGCTACAGTTTTACGAGAGTGCGCTACAAACGCTCCAGAGAGCGCTGGATGATCCGGTAGAATCCCTAGCCTCGCATACGCTATGTGCTACGCAGCTGCTATTTTTGTTTGAGGCACTAGCCCAGGATATCAAGAACGCATCTATCTATCATGCATCGGGGGCGTCTCGCCTAATCCACCACCGCGGCGCCGAGAGATTCGAGACGGCGTTTGACAAGGCTCTGCTGGTTGCCCATGCGCCCGTGCTTATTGCCGAGTGCTGTGGCACGGCTACGCACTGCTTCTTTGAGGCCCCGTCCTGGCAGCAGGTCTTTGAGGACTGCTTGGACCCCAACTCGGGCGTTCCTATTACCGATGAATCTGTCATTCGCAGTATTGCCATCCGATGCTTGGCCCCAGGAGCTGATGTTGACGCCACGAATATTATCCTCAACGAGAGAGACGATGTAGAGAAGCGTGCAGAGGTCTTGGCCAATGTGTCCAAGTGCTTGGACGGTATCTGGAACTGGCTGGATAGATATGGAGCGTACTCATTCAACCCGTTCCACGCTGACGGCACACCCGTGACGGATATCCTTCAGGGTGAGGACCGTTTGCCGGGTAAGCGTCTGGACATGATTGTGCTGCACGATGCCAACATCCTGTTTCTCAGCCGCATGGCTGTTGGTCTCGGCCACCCGGATGCCGTGACAGTGGAGCGACGAGCCCGTGAGCTTGCTGAGGGCATGGTGTCGGGCTTCACAAATGAGCAGGTAGCCGCTTACAATGTACGCCCCAACGCTGCACAGGCGGCATCTGTACTGCTTTGTTTAAGAGTGGGCAAGATGTTCTTGCAAAACTCGAACACGTGGATGGAATTTGCAGCACGCAACGACCGTCTTGTGGCAGAGGGCAAGCCGCGTGAGCTGTGTGAGCCCGACCTGCTCATGAGCTTCTTGTCGCCGCTGGGATACTCGAACCCACGGGACCAGAAGCACAAGATTCAATAAAGGGGACGTTGTAAGTGATGGTGGCGGTGGCAGTGACTCGAAGTCTGTATGATTTTCACGAAATGTACCACGGCGTATACACATAGGATTTCTCTTCTCTTTTTTTTCTCAGACGGCTTCTCCTTTCCATCTTTTTTGCCTTTTTCTTTTTGTCGGTTCGTTTGATCTGCAAGAACCTCTCTTGGCCGGAGCACCTCGTTTCTTTTTTTGTTTTGGTTTCTTCATGCCCACGGGCATAAATGACACGTTAGTAGTCTTGGGCGAGCTGGACTGGGCTGGACTATAGAAGTGGGCGGTTATCAATGTACACATATAGCTATACACATGTAAGCTATTCCTATAGATATACATATACACGGTATATATGCAAACACACCTTTCCCAAAACTCCGCCATCGAGCTCCGTGCCGAGCGCAGCCAGATAGCATATGATCATGCAGGCCCCTCCAGCAAAAACGGATCTCTCACACCGAGGACCGGGCCGTTGGATGGAAAAGGAAAGACTTCCTACTTGAGTAGCATGCCCGGTGGGGGTGGTGCAGCGATGTTCAGATGGGTTGCATGGCCGCCTACACACTGTCCGTCCAGCTGGTAACGACACCATGCTTTGTGTATGCAGAGTACTATAGCCATCGGACGCCTCTATTGCCCAAGTAAGAAAGTAGGCGTGTCACTGCTCCGGGGCGATCTTTGCATGCGCAGGAGCACCGTGCAGGCGGAAGCTATGCAAGCCGAGTCCGAAAACTCTTTGTGGGTTGGCTGCTGCAAGATACCGCAAGCCTGTCGCTTTTTGGGGTTGGTGTCGTCTTCGGCGCCTCTTCTTGGTGGTGGCACCCCCATCACCGTACTCGGATAGAGAAGAAGCCCAGCGCATTACCACACATGGGGAAGCCCCCCCCAAAGCTTCAGCGGCCAACGACTGGTCACTGCTTGCTAGTGCGGCTAGTGGAGACGCCGAACAACTGCCTAGGCGGGAAATTAGCCAGATTAGCGGCCACTGAGAAACCGAGGACGCCTCGTCCACGGCGCATCGCATGCCCAGCGGTCCACTGTCACAAGACAAAATGTCTCTGCTTTAGGGGAACCAGGGTTCTCATCTCGGCGCTTCTTTTTTTTCTTTGCTTTGCTTGTAATCCTGCGTTTGGCGGATACGATTGGCTGGGGGCTGGGTTGCTGCTGTAGAAAAAGTGTGCTGTGTTGTAGACATGTGTGTTACAGCGGGCGGGCAGTAACGTAGTTTTCGGCGGGCGGCACAGGGAAGAAAAGTCAATCACGTCTGGTGTTTTCCCCATTTTATCCTTTTCTTCCCGCGTCCTATTAAGCTTTTGTATTCGCCTCATTTTCATAAATATCCGCAGCTCGTCTCTATTTTCTACACCTTCATGGTATTTTTTTTTTTTTTTACTTGCAGGCCTAAACCCCTGCTTCACATGCACGCGACCAAGCTTTGCTTGAACTGACTGACAAGACAGCGCTATTGGATACCCGTGGCCCACTGTGGTACAGCAGATCTCCGCCGCTAATTCCACCGAGAAATCAGGTCCCACACAGGCCAGGTCCCCCCCCTTGTGATTGATCCTCTCTGCTGCGATCCCTCCGTTTTCTTCTTCTTCGGCAGCAGCTGCATCCCTCTTTTCTTTTCTTATTACCTGGGGCCCTGCACGACTTTCTTCCCACTGCTGGTACACCGACCTCGACCACACAATCGCATCGAAAGCCCATCATGGCCGCTTCCAAATCAAGTCTCGGCGTCTTGGGCGTCAAGGAGGGCGAACGCGTCCCCGGCACTACACGATACTTTGGCGAGGACCCCAATGCCCACCTATCCATATCCGAGACCGCCAATCTGAAGAAGGATCCTAAAACAGGCATTATTCTTGTATGTAGGAGGTCGAAATAGACGCTCTGTGCTGGCTAGCTGACCGTTGAAAACAATACAGACTCCTCAACCTTCCGATGACCCCAACGATCCTCTCAACTGGCCCATTGGCAAGCGCGATCTCATCACCTTTGTGCTCTGCTGGGCTGGCATTCTCGCGACTTGCCTTGGCTCCATCCTTGCCGCTAATACAATCAAACTCAAGGTCGACATCTTCAGATCATCGAAGCTTAGCATCACAGATATTGTCGTTCTCACTGGTTATTTCCTGCTCGGCGCCGGCGCTGCCGCCATCTTCTTCGTACCCTCCGGCCGTATCTGGGGTAAGCGCCATCTCTTCGTTATCGGTCTTGCGCTCGTCGTTGTGTCGAGTGCCTGGGCCGGCGGCGTTGGCAATGACTACAAGAGCATGATTGGAGCGCGTGTTGTCCAAGGAATTGCCTGTGCGCCGTTTGAGAGTATGCTCAACGCGGCCGTTGGCGATCTCTACTTTGTGCACGAGCGCGGTTGGCGTATGGCCTTTGCCAATTTGGCCATCTTTGGCAGTGCCTTCTTCACTCCCATTGTCACCGGCAAGATCACCGCGAGTCTCAGCTTTTACTGGACTATGAACCTTGTTGCCATCTTCAGCGGCGTCACGTTCCCCGCAGTCATACTCCTTTGCCCCGAGACGGCTTACCGCAGAGCGTCCAAGTACAACACGGATTTTGGTAGCGGTACTACTAGCGGCGGCGAAGAGCCCAAGGGCGAGGAAGAAGCGCCCCCTGCTACTGCCCCCGCCACTGGTGAGCGCCTTGAGTATCCTGGTATCGGCGTGAATGGCCTCATTCTGCTGCCTTCTCTGAGACCCCAGCCTATCGGTAACGCCTCCACCCCCAAGAAGACCTTCTGGGAATCGCTCTCCTTCTTTGACGGCACCAAGACCGACGACAACTACTTTATGCTGCTTTTCCGCCCTTTCTTCCTCATTGCCAACCCCACGTTCATCTGGGCCTGCCTCATTCAGGGAACCATGATTGGCTGGACCGTCTTCATTGGTGTCATTCTGGGTGCGCTCTTCATTGGCCCTCCTTACTTCTGGGGTGAGGTGTATGCTGGCTATGCCTATGCTCCTGGCTTTATCGGTGCCCTGGTTGCTTTCGTTATTTGCGGTGTCCTGGCCGACCCTCTGACTGCGTACCTGACCAAGAAGAACGGTGGCCTCTACGAACCCGAGTTCCGCCTGTTCCTTATCATTCCCATGATTATTACTGGCGCAATCGGTCTGTTTGGCTTTGCCATGGTTGGCGGCGAGGTCTTCAGCGGCCGGTACTCTTACATGGTGCCTCTCACCTTCTTTGGCTTTGAAGTATGCAGCATGGTCATTGGCACTGTTGGTAGTGCGCTCTACGTTGTCGATGCCTATCGTAAGTTTTATTACATCTTTTCAAACTCTGTTTTTGCTAACCTAAACTGTTAGGCGACATCTCTGTCGAAGGCTTTACGCTCATGATCATCTTCAAGAACTTCTTCAGCTACATGCTGACTTACTTTGCCGTCGACTGGCTCGCTGTCGACATTAAGCGCACCATGCTGATTGTCAGCGGTGTCCAGATTGCCATTTGCTTGACCACGATTCCTCTCTGTACGTAACTTTTAAAATTGTTTTCCGAAAAATGATAATGCTAACATATTGCAGACTTCTTTGGCAAGCGTTGCCGCGCCTTCTTCCACCGCCACGACGTCTTTGCGCCTCTCAATGCTCTCGGCGACATGCTGAGTGGCAAATAGAAACAATTCCTAAATAGAGGCTTTTTTTCTTTTGCTCATTGTGATGCAGCGTATACCCCCTGATGCGCCTGGCCCGAAAGATGCGAATTGTATATAGAGGTTCGATGAAACATGATATTACGCGCTGATACACTTGGGAACCCGGCTTAATGATAATACAAATTGATTTTAATAATCTGATATACTACTACTCTACTACTAATAGCTGTTGCTATATATTGTACGTAAATGGGGATATATATAATTTTTTATACTCATAAGTTAAACTACTTCCATGCAGTCATGTACACCAACATAAACTTCGTTTGACTTACGCCTTGCCAGCGGCAGCAGCGCTGTTCTGCTGGGCCTGGACAAGAGTAGACTTCTTGACGAGGCGCATGCCACCGATGAGCATGACGAGGGCCTGGACACCGAGGATAACAACAAGGGTGACGAGAGCACCAATGACACCAGCAACGGGGCGCGAGACGCCAGAGTCAGAAGAAGAGGAAGAAGCGCTGACAGAAGAGTCGGTGCTGTTGGCAGAGCACTGGGCAGCAGGGTTGCCGCAGGCGTTGCACCAGCTAGCAGTGTCGCTAACGGCGATCTTGTTCATACCGGCCTGGAAGTCGTTCCAGGACAGGGCAGTCTTGCCGAAGAGAGGGTACTGGGTGAGCTCGTTCTGGGCAGCAGTGCCGTTGGCAAACAAGAAGCGGACAGACATGTCCTCCTTCTTGGCGTCGGCAGAGGGGGCAACAAGCTCAAGGACCATGGAGGAGGCGTAGTCGCAGATACCGTAGAACTTGGGGTCGGCCTTCTGGAGCTGGGCGAGACCGAAGAAGGACATGAAGGTGCCGTAGGCGCCGAACTGGATGTTGAAGGTGGTGGCGCCCTTCTTCTTGTTGGCGAGGTCGGTCAGGGCGCCGAGGGCCTGGCCAGCAAGGACGGCACCGGCGATGGCGCGGACGGGCTCGGTCTCAGAGTAGGCGAGGTTCCATTCGTGGGTGGAGGCGAGGGAGTAGAGACGGTTGAGGGTTTCGGTCTTGTTGACGAGGTCCTGGCCAGGGTAGGTCTGGTTGTGGATCTGGGCGACGTTGAGATAGTCGAAGACTTTTGGTTGCAAAATGTTAGCATTGTGTGTCTCAATATAAGTGTATTTGTGAAGTGTATTGGTGAAATAGAGGCTGTTGGGAGAGAGGGTATGAGATGAGATGAAAAGGACATACTGGTATAGGCGTTCTTAAAGGTAGCATTGCCCGAGTTGAAAGTAGTCTGGATAGCAGGCAGCAGGCTCTGGTAAAAGTCCTTGGAGTCGGCAACGTCCTTGTTGAAGCCGTCAGACGAGAGGTAGCTGTTAGAGCTAGACACGGCCTTTGGGCACCCCGAGTTGCCCTGGAGCCAGGCGTTGCTCTCGGCCTTGGTAGCCGTAGCGGCCTGCTCGACAGCGTCGACAGGGATGTACTGGTAGCCCTGGAGCGGGGCGTTGACCTTTGTGTTGTTGGCGAGGGTTTCGGCAGTGGCAGCCGTGGGAGGGTAGAGGCCCTGGAGGAAGGCCATGGCCGAGTTGTGCAGGACGGCGTCCTTGGGCGAGGTGACGCTGAGCTGGGAGAGGACGGCGGTGTCGGGCTGGATGCCGGCGACCTGGAAGGCGGCACCCTTTTGGACGTATCTGTTGCGGAAGAAGGAACCCGACGAGAAGGCCTCATCGGCACCGAGAGGCGTCAGGTTGACGGGCTTCCACGACTTGGAGGTGCGGTCGCCGTGACGGTGGAAGATGTACACGCCGAGGACGTGGTCCTCTGCGGCGACGGCGGCGGCCAGCGAGGAGATGAGGAGAGATTTGGCGAGCATTGTGAAAAAAGTGGTATCAATTCCGTAGAAGGAAGAGAAAATGATGATGATGATGCTTGGAGGAGAAAAGAAAAGAGGCCAAAATGCACCAGAGGGTGGTGAACGAACGCGGGGAGGGAATAAATTTATTTCAGCTCCTCGCCTGTTCTGAACTGCTGCTGCAGCCCCGCCAGCCAGCCGGACGCCCACCCCAGAAAGGGCCCTGAGGAGGCGTTGGCTTCAGTGGGGACTCCACGCTATTGGAACCGTTTTTTCCCTTGCTGCTCTTTCTTCTTACACTGCAGATTGGTGCATCTCCGGGGGATGTGCGTTTTCATTGCACGCGGTGGTATTGAAAAAAAAAAAGAGATGCAGCTTGCGGCTAAATGTGACATTTGCTGGTAACTGCCTTTTATCTTTTTCTTTCTACTTACAGCACCGAGTCCCGTTCCCGCATGTGTGCCACACAACACAACCATCCTTCGCGCTCGCTTCGTCGCTAGCTGCAGTTTGGTCGACGCCACGGCTGAGAGCCACCACCCACCACTATCAGTAGCTAAGCATATCGAATCGCAGTGCCGAGCCTTTTTAACGTAGCAGTCTCCGCGGGCCGCCGTCTTCCGCGCTCTACTAGCCCCGGCCGGAAGCCTCCGCACTAGAAAATGGGTAGCTACAGGCAGGCCGTTGGAAGCGTCCGATGTCGCCGTTGGAGATTGTTGGGGTTATTATGGTAATAGTTGCGGATGATGGAGCAATTATTGGAGTGTGGTGGAGAGTGCATGTGGAGAGGTGTTGGGGAATTATTTGGTTTGCCTGGTGTAGATGACAATCCAGCTTGATATCAACGGACCACGACACCCGACGAGGTTTATACACAGACGAAAACAACCACATATACATCATTCATGTCAATTTATCAATTCTTTTTATACAATTTCATCATCGCTTAGATTACAATGCCGTGCCTACAGCTTGGGTTTGCCGCCCTTGAGGCCAGGCGAGATGCTCTCACCCTCATCCAACAGGTACGAAGGGTACTGAAGATCCATGCTGACGCCCACTGTCATCGAGCTCTGTCGGCGCCATGAAGCACCATCCACAGGGATAATCTGGCCGTTAATGTACGAGCCGCCCTCGCTGAAAAGGAACACGGTGGCATCCGCAATGTCCTTGACAGTGCCCATGCGGCCGCTGGGGATTTGCGCCGTGAAAGCAGTCGAGTCGACATCCTTGCCGGCCAGGCGGTCCATGCCCTCTGTCTCAGCAATGGGCCCAGGGGCAATGACGTTGCTCTGCACGCCGCGGGGGCCGTATTCGAGCGCAACAGAGGCGCACAGGGAGTCGATGGATGCCTTGGCGGCCGAGACGTGGGCCTGGAACGGCATGCCGGTGTAGTGGAAGGTGGCGGAGACGTAGATGATACGGGGGTCTTTGCTGCGGAGGAGGTGAGGCATGGTGACTTTGATGGTGTTGAAGGTTCCGAGGACGTCAATGTCCATGACGGCCTTGAAGGCGTTGCTGGACATGCCCTCCATGGGGGCGACAAAGTTGCCAGCAGCACCGGCGCTACAGTCAGTACATGTTAGCCGTCTTTTCTTCTTCTGTAGGAGGTGGAAGTGTAGAATTCGATCACGGGGGGCTAGACGTACATGACAAAGTCGAGGCTACCGAGTTCGCGGGCGCATCGGTCAGCAGCAGCAGCTAAGCTTTCGGGCTGTCAAAGATATAAGGGTTAGTTCGGCGCTGTACATTGGCGACATGTGCCCTAGAGAGTGTAAGACGGAGAGAGAGAGTTGTCAATCGTACCTTGCGCACATCGCAGCCGCCAATGCCAATGACCTTGGCTCCAGGACGGACCTGGGCAATGTCCTTGGCGGCCGCCTCTGTCTTCTCTACGTTTCGGCCGATGATGCATGCATTGGCGCCGAGGCGGACCAGCGCGCGGGTCTGCATGCTGCAGATGGTACCAGCGCCACCAGTCACGAAGACGACGCGGTTGTCTAGAGAGAAGTGGTTAGTTGGCTGGCTGTCTGACTGGTGAGTTGAGGGCACGCACTGAACAGACCATCTTTCCAGATGGGGCTGAGGTACTTGGACTCGGGGACGACCATGGTGAATGAAGGAAGCTGCTGTGAATGTCGCGGATGACGATGTGGACTGGAAGAGGGCAGATGCGACTTCTTGTAGTGGTGGTGGTGAAGAAGGACGAAGACCCTTTGTGGCAGGCTGCTTTGCTTGCTGATTGTCTCCGCTGGCGATTAGAGCCTCGGCTACTGGCTGTGGGGCCGAGTGTCAGATCCGGCGCCAGAGGCCGCGAGCGAGAGACAATGCCAGCGATACTGACGGGATGACATGATAAATATAAAAGAATTCTTGTCTAAAATATCTCTTATTTCAACTATTAGTTCCATTATTTTGAATTTTATTAATAATATTTGGCAAATGTACAGCATAGCCTGTATGCTGGGCCTCATCTCTTGTGTTGCAGCCCCCGGCCCTCGCGCTCCGGGGCGGAACAACGGTACAACGGTCCCGACACGCGAGGATTAAGCCAATCCCGCTTCCTTTTTTTGCAATTTGCCGAAAGAAGACCTTTTGGACAGATGCATTGCCTATGACCTGAACGGCTATATCTGTGAATCGTATAACATGCCTCCCCTCCGCGCAACTGCCGCAGCCTTTTTTCAGGCAGACTGTGCCGACTTGGTGATCTACAAAGGCGAGAGGATAAACCCGAGAGCCGCCATCCGCAGAAGCCGGTCTAGAAAGACTGCCAGAAGGATAAAAGTGCATTCGGGCCTGGTATTTTTGTTCTTCTGCTCGGCCCTCTGGGTTCAAGCTTAAGACGGCCGCCGCGCACGGATGCTGACTCTCCCTCCGCGGCCGTAAATGTATGACAAGTATTGGACACGGGCTGGGAGCTTGACCTCGCACCAAAGCTCATGTCACAGGTTACGTCTCAGACAAGCTTCAAACAGAGATTGTTTGCTGCAGCGTGCGTTTTTCGTTTAAAGAAGCAGCAATGCTAAAAACGAACAATTTTGTATGTTTTGTAAACGAGGTCAACCGTATAGCAGACGCCGTACAGCCTCGTTCCCAACGGCTTGAGGCGTGCATCTTGACCGTGCGCAGTGGTGGCGCGTTGCTTTCCTCATTCATGGGCACCACGTTACCGGTGAGGCGGTTCTAGATGAGCGCGCGTGGGAAGGACCAGGGGCTTGGATGGATCAACGTAATGAGGTTGGGGCTGGGTCGTGCTCTCTACATAGGTGCTTGGATACTTTTCATAAGACAAGGCGGCTAGTAGTAGTAGATTTATAGTATTTGTATTAATTCGTAATATATGGTAGAATACTCTGAAATATCCATTCCTCGCCTTTCAAAAGGCGTATAAGTGGTGCTCGTATAGAGCGATGCGGCCTGTTGGCGTAGTGTGTTCGATGTATTTCCGTCGCCGGCGCAGCTTGACCTTCCAGTTCAAGATGTATGTGTGGTGCGAATTCCCTCTCGGAATAACATGCAGATGTATGTATATAGTATGAGGGAGAAGTTATCAAAAGTGTCTCAATATGTATGCGTATGGTTGACGGGGTATTGTGTAGTAGTTTCGTAGGGTTATCGCGTCACACTCAACCAGAGCAGAGAGGGCAAGATTCGGGAATGACAATGTATCGCTCATGGGGGCCTCGTTGACAAGACTGGTGACGACTGCCATCGGTCGATGTGCTGCAAAAGTGCATACCGGGGTCGATGCAGCTCATGTAGATGTAGTAGTTTTGGGTGTAATCGCACATGGTGGTGGTGGGAGGAGTATGTGAGACTAATACGTTGTCAAGTTAGAAACAATGTTTGAATGATGAAGAATGCCAATTGGTTTACAGTGAAGATATTGAAACAAAGTAGTAGAGGAGAACAATAGAAGTAAAGAGTTTGAATGGTGAAGCAGGAGAATCAAACGAGAAGAGGAGGATGTGAGGCTATATATGTTTTGGGGGCGCTCTGGTGTAAGTGACGAGTAGCCGCTGACCAGGGCAGGGGTGAGGGGCAGGGAGACTTGGTGCATGGGTAAAAGAGGAGACAGAGAATAAAAAGCACAGGTAACCGAAAAGAGAAGAATAAAAGAAAAAAACAAGAGCATTGTTGCTCTAAGCGCTGGAGCGGAGAGGCTGAAGCTCCTCCTTTCTGTCAGAGCATGGCGTTTTAGTGGAGGAGCGAGGAGCTGCAGGGCATGCGGCAGAGAGCCACAGGGGGGCGTGTGCGCTAAAAAGTGACAGGGCCTGAAGCATGGGGAGTGTGAGAATACAACACACGAGCACAGCACACAGGATTTGCTAAAAGTTTGTGTATCAAGTAAAAGAAATGGGCAAAATGGTGCAAATAGATGCGTCCTGTTTGCGAATTGATTCCGAACGGAAAGATAATGGCCCGTGTAGGCGCAATTGCCCCCGAACAGCTTCAGTACCCTATGTTTACACCAACCAAGAGCAGCAGAAAGGAACAGCAGTAAGAATGGCTTTTCTGCTTACATGTGCGTAGCCTCTTTACTTGATCAAGTAGTTCATAACTCCCATCCAACCAAATAAGATTTACGCAAGGCTGGTTACTTGCTTACGTCGTCCAAGATATCACCATCATCCTCATCAGCCACCACCGACGACAAAGGTCAGGACGACAGCCACCACCTGCGCTAGCTGTTTTGCCTGGCAATATTTCATCATGCATTTTACACATCGTCTGTCCCCAACAGGTGCCTGGGCCGACAAGCAATAATGCTGTCTACGCCTTCTCTGCAGCGCCTCTTTCTGCGCACGGATGTCCGTATACGGTGGGGGGTGAAGCAACAAGGGGAAAACCACACGTTGTGGCGGCGTCTACTAGCACAAACAAGGAAAGCCCATTTTGCCCTAATTACAATTTGCGTCTTTTTTTTCTATTCTCACGAGTTGGCGTCTTGTTCGGAGACCTCGGCTCTATTCGCCTCCCACTTACACCTGTCGTCTGTTGGTGGCTGAAGACGGCACGCGAGCGGTGGCTTGATGTTTGTATGCCAGCGAATAGGGCAAACAAAACCAAAAAAAGACCTAACACAAAGATGGTGTGAATTAAACAACATAGTGGAAATCTACAGCAAACAAAAAGCGAGAATGCATGCGCAGGTAGAGGCCGACGGGGTGTATGCTGCTCGGTACTGCGAGATCGATATACTCACGGGCTGCCTTTGCTGAAGCACGTCTGCGGGTAATATCTGCTACTGCTGCTGCTGCGTGTTTCAAAAGTGGTTTGATTCGGATCTGATACACGCTCCTATTCGTCCTGTCCGTTGCGCGGCCTGTGCTGTGTCCAATGGCGGATAGCGTGGCCCGCCTGCGCACAGACGCCATATCCGCACTCGGCGGCGTTACGCAGAGCATCGCCTTTTGAGTTTTTATTCATTTTGCTGTACAAGGTTGGCCATAAAGGTAGGGTACGTACCGACGGAGACGGATTGTGTGATGCATTTCAGTCATGGATGGCAGCGCACTGACTAACTTGGGTGTGAATGTGTGTGGGCGAATGGACGGCACGGTTCGAATACTGCGTCCTAAACCGTATGTAAAATAGGCTATGCTGATCACATCTAGTGGTTCGATCAGAATGGATAAATGACTATTTTGATGACAAGTAGTATAGATAGGACATTAACTTATCCGCTTAAAAGATTGTTAAGCATTGTGTAAGCTCACCCGTGCCGATCGTTGAATAACTCTTACTACTTCTTTTTTATAGTGGTAATAGCTGTGTAGCGGGGGTATATCACCCAACCCAGTGAAAAAGCCACAATGTATATTGTTATGCGTCGGGAGGCATCGGGGATGTGCCGAGCCTTTTGGCTGCAAGCTCTGCGGCGGCGATTGGGCAGCGGATGGGGGGTGCATAAACAACAGCGTAACACATGATGTGCGCCCGCCGGTTGAGGGCATGGTCTTATCAGTTAGATGCCCGTTGGATGAGGGGAAAAGGGTTTGTCGGGTGATTAGACTCCGACTTGTTCGCCGACCTGGGGTAGTCTGTTGTTGTTGTTGGGGCTAGGGTGTGTGGTTGCGATTGCAGACAAATGTCGCCGTGGTACGATGGTATAAGTAAATAACGTAGCAAAAGGGACGCCCTGTTTAAGAGTTGTGTTTTTCTTTATAAGAGACTACATTGTAAATTGAATATGTAAATGCAGGTACATGGAAGTTAGAACCTGTATTTGAATTGACTGGTCTTCGCGTCTTCAACTTAGGGGTAAGGGATCTGGCTACCAACAGCTTGATGCCAATTCCGGTATTCTGGATTATGGAAGGAGTATTGTAACTATAAGCATAGACTGGTTTTAGTTTTATATTTTGGATGGTGATCATCCGTCTTCTGTCGTTCGTCGCGCCTAACCAGACGAACGCGTGGTTTTGGACGAGCCATGCGATCCTCACTTGGCCGTAAGTTTCAACTAGTCACCATCCATTTACGGACGATTATCGACTAATATTTATGGCAGCAGTGCGAGCAAACTGATGATATTTCTTTATACACCTTGGGTGAGAAAGATGCACGATGTCAATGAATGAGCTTTTACTCGCCAAGCGGCTTTACTTCGTAGTATATGTTTTGTGACTAGATGCGCATTCTCTAGATAGAAAAGTAACTAAAGCTAAATCTAGTGGTGTATATACTACATAATTCGAAGCAAATAGTCATTCGTGTCTAGAATGGACTTTGTTCGTTTAGGTGTAGATGACGTGTTAGTGAGCTAGGCGGCAAACTTAGATGCAGCTAGAGACAAGAATCCCTCCCCCGCCATAGAATCTGCAGCCTGCTCAGAGAAACCTCCCAAACAATGACAATAAATTACCAATTGTCCAAATAATCATGACGCAAACTAATTCTGAACGAGATCGGGTCGAAAGACGTCTAAGATTTAGTCAAGTTCACATGCGCTTGGCGAGCGATAATATCGAATCAACCTCTGATCGACACTGGTACAGCAATGGTCCTTTGGGAAGAACATCACCCGGCGATACATGCACAGCTCGACGCAAGCGCTAGGTGTTTTTGAGGTAGACCTGCATGATCTTTGGTATAAGTTAATTGCCATCGCCAAAGTCACACCGGCAAAGGATGCAGAAGCGGACCGGATTGTTGCGCAGGTCGTGCGCCTGCGCGAACTCGGGCCTTTGACGCACAAGGATACTGGCAAAGAAACAGTGATGAGTAATGGACAACGATTATGGTCAGATCTACCATTTCTAGAAGAGGATTTGTACAAGGCATGGACTGATGGGCTACACACAATGACACCATCGCAGAGAGAGAACCTTGCCGGCTTCATGACCCGTCTTGTGGGGAGCAATGCCTGTGGTGATGGGATTGCGTCTTGTGCCTTGCGTCTCTTTCGCGCAGCCCTGGAGACCTCTGAAGAGTCACCATCAACCGATGGGCCTGCGTCTGAATATCTCCTGTCGGCACTCTTCACTTGGCTTTACTGGGGGAGTTTCAAGATTTGGAAGCTGAGTGTATTTGGGGCGCCTCTCACCCCAGAGGCTAGGCTGAATGCCATGGATTCGAACTGGGGCGATGTTGGAGACTTGGGTATTGCCGCCGGAGTAGAAGAGAAGGGATTTATTGAGAAACGACTGCGGTTTTGGATCACACGTCTTGAAGGCATTGCGGCGCATGTAGCTGAGAAGGACAGCACACTGAGCGACATGTGTAAGTGGTCGGCTGCATTGTTGTCTCAGTGGTATGATACAATGAATAGAGGGTAATCTTAGCAATTGAATGTTTTGCTACGTGAGAGGAATCTACATTTATTATTGAATTTATACGCTAGTTTAGTTTTACTTCCGCTTAGTAGTCATGGCAGTAGATCTTGGACAGGGCGGATGGATGTACTGTACCGCTCCCAACTTTGGCAATAATCAAGAAATTCGACAAAGAGAAATAATCATCTTTAAATCAGTTAAATATTGGTTTAATACAGTTTATGACTCTTATAAATTGTTCTGATTTGTTACATGGGTTTCATTGTATTTCCTAATTCGGCGATTTGCACTCGCCACGCACCAGCCCCAGTAAAACGGCTTTGCGTGTCCACCCAGCTTGGAGTGGCGTAATTTTAATCCGTCACGTCGTCGTAGCTCCTGGGGTGTCACTTCGCGCCGCTGTGCATTTCTCCCCCGCGAACAAACACAGCCGCTTCATCAACAGGAAGCCCGAGCTATAAATACACAGCAGCTGCACGGAACAGTATCCCATGCTACGCCTCAGCTGCTAGATTCCACCAACACTGCTGCGAACCCCTCTCGCAACAAAGGGAACGCCTCAGCTTGCCAGAGCTGAACGCAGCAGCCTAATCGACCAACGACGGCACCCTCCACCGCCCAAGAAGCGAAGAAGCGAACCGAAACAATGTCCAACGCTGTGCCAAGGGAGGCGACTCTCCCTGGGGGCGAAGCCGATGGCCACTACGATGGCTACCCGCCCCAGAAACCCCAGGCCATGCCAGAGTCCCCCTCTAGAGAGTACCACGATGCACCACATACACCTCATCAGGAAGCAGTAAACTTGGCAGGCTACCCGGATGCTGCGACTGCACAGGCAGCAGGCTTCAAGACGCAGTGGACTTCCAACGGCGAGGAAGCTCCCACCTATGCCCCCCAACGCCCCATGGGCCCTGTCCGAACCCCCTCAAACACGTACAATCCCGCAACATCCCGTGTACCAGCATCCTCTCAGCTCGCAGCACCGTTTACAGATACGCTCCGATCCTCCTCAAAATCGCGACCCCGTCAAAATGACAGTCGATTCAGAGCGCAAGAGCGAGCTTACGTCCAGAAGCTTCGCCAGGACTACGACGAGTACTTCACCGCATATCCGACAGATGGCAATGACTCCGACTCGGAAGGAGAGACGCCATCGACGGAAGGCCTTTTTGACGATAGACTCGATCAGGAAACCATTATGTTCTACGGTGACGATAACCTGCTCCCTACCGAAGACGACATCAAAGATCCCGAGAACAAAGAGAGGCTTGAGTGGCATGGCATGCTCGAGGCTGTGCTTACCGGTGATGTTGTCCGACAAGAGAAGAAACGTCTGATTGGCTCCAGCGAGCAGGAATCCAGCAAATCTGCGCACAAGACGGAGCTTTGGCTTGGCATTCGCAGCAAGGTCTGCGGTCGCCATTTGCCTGTGCAGAAGCGCATCGTAGAAGAGGCGCGTGCAAGTGTTGACAAGATCTTGGACGAGATTATTAATTTCGAGGTCAAGGGCGAGAGTGAGGTTGGCAAGTCTCCTCACGAGCAAGTCAAGGACGTGGTAGAGAAGATTGAAAAGTGCGAAAAGCAGTACCCTTCGTGGCAGGCGCTGGTTTCGGAACACAAGACGGCCTCATCGCCGCAATACGAGGAGGCATCCGAAGCCATCCTGTCTTGGTACAACACAAATGCTATGATCAACACCGAACTCTCTATTCTGAAGAGCTGGGTCGGCAATGACGAACTCGACTTTACGCGCACCAAGCAGAGATCACCAGCAGTCAAAGGCATCACAAGCGATGAGACTTCGTTTCTGGATAGGCTGATCAAAGAAGATGGCCTTCCATCACTATACAACGACGACGATAAGCAAACGCAGAATGGCATGTTGCCACCCATCTCCAATATCATCCACAAGGCGAAGCAGACCCTCATCCGCAACTCTGTTCCGTTTCAAAAGCTACATCTTCCACCCTACCTCGATGAGCTTCTGACGCTTATTAGCTTCCCCTCTCGTCTTATTGAAGAAATCATCCGCATGCGTCTAGAATATGCTAGAAACGTTAAGGAGACTGCCTCGCAAAATCCCATGATGCAAGACCAGATGATTTCCCAATTTCAGCTTTTACTCAAGTTTGCTATCCGTATCAAGCAGGAGTATCTAGCTATTGAGAATCCCGAACCGGGATGGGACTTGCCGCCGTGCATTGACGAGTCTTTTGACCAGGTCGTGCTCGACGCGCTCAAATTTTACTTTAAAATGCTCAACTGGAAGCTCAGCGGCAACAAGAACACCTTCAAGGAAGCCGAACTGCTCTTCCAAGAGTGGGATTTTGCCAACAATATCGGCAGCAACCTCCAAAGAGGCAACATCGAAGTCGCAGAACAGTTTAGTGGCCTTACGTTCAAGGCTTTGAAGCGCCTCAGCGAGACGTTTGAACGCGAGCTTCAAGAGAAGCCGCTCGAAAGCGCCGCCGATATGAGCAAGAGATATAAGGCTTGCTTAGATTCCGTTCGAGTCCGACAGCGTATGCTGCAGCGTTTCTCACGCATGTTGAGTGATCATTACGAACACGCATCCGACTATAGCATTTCATATCCCCCAGAGCTGATGCAAAAGTTTTACGATCAACTGTTGGCGACTGGGCATTTCCGCGTTGACACGGGTGTTTTCGAAAAGAATGAGATATACGTGATCGCGTCGCCGGAGCTCCGAGACAGGCTGTACGATATCCAGTCCATCATGGCCATCACGTCAAACGACTTTTTCCCCGAGGAAGCTGGCGACCCATACGTGCTTATCCTTCGCCCTGAGAATCCCATTAGCTGGTTTGGCGACGTTGTACAAGTTCCTCTCAACCAGCAGGACATTGACCTGAAGCGCGGTCAGCTCCGACTATGCGCCACATCGTCACAAGCGCTCCCAAGCGCGCGCAGGGCTTTCCTAGACGCAGTAGACATGCACGTCGATCTTCTTCAGGAGACTCGCTCGAACATTCGTAAGGTGAATGCGCGACTCACTGATAACCGACGCGTGGCATACAAGCTGTCCAACACATTCATGGACAGTGTTGAGACGATTCGAAGACAGGCTGCAGGCAAAGACTGCCAGGAGCTGATTCAGACTTGCTTTATGTTTGCGACGGAATTTGGTCAGCGTTCGCTGCTCTACATGGATGCCAACCGCCGGCAAATGAACAACCTGAAGCTGACCAAGCTTGCGTTGGACTGGATCAGCTTTGTGTGCGACGATTGCATTGCTTCTGACCGCAAGACGTTCCGATGGGCTGTGCAGGCTTTAGAGTTGGCTATGGGCATGACACGTGGCCGACACATTCTGATGCTCGGCGAGGATGAGTACTCGCAGCTGCGATCCAAGGTGGCTGGCTGCATGTCCGTCCTGATTTCCCACTTTGATATCATGGGTGCCAGATCAAACCTTGCAGCACAGGCTGAGAAGGATAGGATCGAGGCCATGATGGGTCAGTTCAAAAAGCTCGACAAGAAGCGCATGTTGGACGACGACGAGGCTTCGCGTTGTATTAGTGAGCAAAGAATGAACGAGCTGGAAAGGGTGGATGAGTTTCGGCAAGAAAAGGAGTCTGAGAGACGGGCTTTGGGCCGTGTCTTGGAGGGCAACACAGAAGCGGATAGATCGCTGGCGTACCTTTCTGCATCTGCCACCAATGTTACCATGCGCTGGCAGCAGGGTCACTTTGTGGGCGCTGGTACGTTTGGCAACGTCTATGCTGCCATGAGCCTGGACACTGGCCAGCTCATGGCAGTCAAGGAGATTCGTCTGCAGGATCCCAATCTTATTCCTACAGTCGCTGCACAGATTGGCGAAGAGATGAGCGTGCTGGAAGTGCTGGACCACCCCAACATTGTCTCCTACAACGGCATCGAAGTCCACAGAGACAGAGTGTACATTTTCATGGAGTACTGTTCTGGCGGCTCGCTGGCCAATCTACTGGAGCACGGGCGAATCGAAGACGAGCAAGTCATTATGGTCTACGCGCTTCAAATGCTGGAGGGTCTATGTTACCTGCACGAAAGCGGCATTGCGCATCGCGATATTAAGCCTGAGAACATCCTGCTCGACCACAACGGTATCGTCAAGTATGTCGACTTTGGCGCGGCCAAGGTGATTGCAAGACAGGGTCGCACGATGGCTGCCGATCTGCACGCAACAAAGCCCAACCGCTCCATGACGGGCACACCGATGTACATGTCGCCCGAGATTATCAAGGGCGAGAACCTGGGCCGCGCTGGTGCCGTGGACGTGTGGTCGCTGGGCTGCGTAGTGTTGGAGATGGCAACTGGACGACGACCATGGGCCAACCTGGACAACGAATGGGCCATTATGTACAATATTGCGCAGGGCAACCCGCCACAGCTGCCCAACTCTGAGCAGCTGAGCGAGCAGGGCATTGACTTCCTCACCAAGTGCTTCATTCGCGATCCGACGAAGCGCTGGTCGGCGATTGAGCTGCTGCAGCATGAATGGATCATGGCGATTCGCAGCCAAGTGGTGGAGCCAGCAACACCGAGCGATACAAACAGTTCGGCTTACTCGAACAGAGGAAGCGGGGCTGAGTGAAGCAGACCATGAGCGATGTTTTTTTTGTTTGTTTTTGTACTGGTATATGGGATGTATAAGATGGCGCCTGCAAGAGCAAAGCATACGAAAGGAATAGCAGCAGCGCTGAAGGGCCAAATGAGGGGGAGTACGTGGCTGTGTATATGAATATAATAAGGATCTGCATAATATGAAATACAACCCCGCTTGTAAATACCACTTGCCGCGTCCTGTAAATGCATACTTGGTCTTCGTTGCTGTCACTGATGCGTCTAACACACCCAATAGCTGCTATTGTGTATGTCTACGGCAAGGTATGCCAACTGCCGCGTCCTGTAAATGTCTTGACAGTGGAAGTACTGTTTAACCAAGCCAATCACCGCTACTATACTTGGCTAACCTGCAGCAGCCAAGCCAAACCCGCTGCTGCAGCAGCGCATCGGCGAGCGACTCACTCGGCGGCGTCGGCCCCGGAACCGACCGACCGGTGTGGAGCAGCTCCTTGCCCCTCACCACCGCCACCACCAAACCTTTTTCCTTCAGCCGTTGATGACACTGTTTAAGGTTGGGGCTGCTTTTCGTACCAACCAGCTTTTACGAGGGACATCATCACCTGATCTCTCATTCTTCCTTATAAAGCAAACTCGGCTCGCACCTCTTTTCCCGCCGTGGTTGTCATCTCGCCTACTTGCTCCGAATAACACAATGTCGCTTCACTCTAGCTCCGACTCATCTGCCGTGGAGCAGACATGCGCCGCACACGCCATCACCGCGCAGGAATTCCACACGATGCGCACCACTGCCGTCGAGGGCAAGTCGTTTGCCTACTGTCCGTACAGCAAGTTCCGCGTGGGCTGCGGCCTGTTGACGGCTAGTGGGCGTGTGATTCGCGGTGCGAATGTTGAGAATGCGTCGTATCCTGTGGGCACGTGTGCGGAGAGGACGGCCATTGGTACGGCTGTTGTGGGTGGCGAGGGGAAGGGGATTCGTGCGATTGCGGTGTCGACGGATATTAGCCCGCCAGCTAGTCCGTGCGGCATGTGCCGACAGTTGTAAGTGTTGTGTCTGCTGCGTTTGTCTAGACGCGGCGGTTGGCTGGATATGGGAGGGAGGGGTTTGGCTAACAGTGTGGTTTGGTAGTATTCGCGAGTTTTGCGACTCTCATGTGCCCGTCATCATGTTTGACAAGAACGACGACTTTTGCGTCATGACGGTGGAAGAGGTATGTGTGATGAGTGGCTCGGTGTTGAAGTGTGCGTGCTAATAGTGTATTTGATAGCTGCTGCCCATGTCGTTTGGTCCGGATAAGTTGCCGCCTCCCGGTGCGCCTGGCACTATGTAGAGAGGAAGTATAAGAAGTGACAACGAGGCGATGTGAGGTGAGGTGAGATAGGACGATATGAAGCTAGCGGCGAGACGAGTGCGAGAAACGATATAATGATGATGAGATGAGATGACGACGAGAAGCATAGAAGCGAGATATGAGCAATCATATGTTGGGCGGTGACGATTGATTTTTGGCACGCGGGAGTTGAAGGCGTCGGTACGTACACAGGGGCGAATACAAAAACATACAACTATACAGATACATGCAATGAGAGACGTACGTTGACAACTTACATAACTATAATAGTCTAGAGCTATAGCCCTTGAGGCCTATCCATACAATATCGCCAATCATCCCAGCCCAGGCAACGGCTCACACTGAATGCACGACGCTGGATCACAATGCCGCCCGACGCCACAACCACGTAGCGGCTCGAATCTGGGAAAGCATGGACGCCCTGCTTGTGTGCCGTTCTGTGACATCGGCCGAGTCTAGCGGAGCATCATTATTCCCGCGTAGCCCCCGTCGAATAATCTGGGGTTACTGTTTCCTGCCCTTTCCATTGGCTGCTGCAATGATGTTTGCACGCTTTATCGCTTCAGCTCGTTGTTGCTTTGCCCAATCAAGTCCATTTTGGTACGCCGTGACTGCCTCTAGAAACGTCTCGAAATTCCCCATCAAGCTCCAGGAATTGACTTGTGTCATGACAAAACCGGGTGGATGATCTGATCCTGGTGGCAAAGGATGAACAGTAAACATCATGAGCGCGCCCGCGTGGTATATTGACGTCAAAATATACGCGTTATTGTCGTAAATCGGTGTAGGATGTCCGTACGATTGAAGGGCGTGTATAGCTCTTGCGCCTAGAGCACCATTATAGCACGCTTTTCGTAGCGCAACATCCGAATCACCGCTAGATCCCTTTACCTGAAGAAAGAAATTTGGTATAATTGGGAGATCGTGCTACGTAGAAGGGGATATTAGCACGTCTAGTTGGTTGCGAACATTCTGGTCCAGTTGTTCTCGGCGTGCGCCGTAGAAAAAGCTAGGATTGCCAGCGGCGAGCGTCCCATCGGTCAAGTCGTCAAAGTTTGTGAACGGAATGCCTCCAGCCACACAGTTTCTGTCTGCAATCTCTCCTTCTATCATGGGTACAATTGTATTTATAATATCTCTCTCCAATTTCGCGCGTCTACTGGTTCGTCAAACTTGCGAAAATCAGCGTTTGAAAGTGACGATGTAGATGCTCTTGGTTGCTTTAGAGCCTCTAGGATTATACATATATTACCAGGCTCCGGGGGGAATTGGCCATCTGCATACTCATACTCATCCGGTAGGATGTGGTGATCAATTAGGTGCTTCTCGAACGCACTGTCGTACTGTCCCATGGTTTCCGATGTTTCAGTGCAGTCACTTTGCTCTGGGGTTGTTGAGTAACCTTCTGTAGAACCGTAACGACGAGTTGACAGGTTCTTGTCGACTTCAAGTAGTGCCCGGTGCTATATATGTCACGTTAGTACTGAATGTTTTCTGCTTTCCTGGCTATTACATACATCTCTCAAGGCGGATAGATTAGGACCGCCGTGCTTTGTGGAACGCTGGATTTCGTTGAGTTCACTCGACGAGAGCTCTAATTTGACCGAACTAGGTTGTTTCACCCGATCGTTGTCGTTTCTAGTAACGCTTTCCGTAGTATTTTGATCCTGCACTAGGTCATCAGACCTCTCAAGAGCTGCTCTCCTTTCCAATTCACGCAGTGCGTTTTTCGTAAGTGGAATCTCAGAAAGCTGGTCCCAGAAGATTGCAGGTGGGAAGCACCGATGGGCATTCTTTTGTTGTTTGGGTGCAGAGTGGTGGTCTACACTCTGTGAGGATTGTCGCTTGCGTGAGGAACTGGCTTTGGTGTCTGGGCTTTGTAGTGCAGCCATTGTTGACCACTGGTGATTATGTGCAACGGGGGGATATGTGTGCAAGATGAAAGGCTTTTACAGGAAAACAAAAACGTGAATTGTCAATGTGATGCTTGTTTTATTCAGGTGAACAGGGTGTCTTTATATTGCACATGGACAGCGGGCGTTGTTTGTCACATGATAGCAACAAAGTGCTTAGCGGGCGCAAATCAGGTACAAACATGGTGCTGAAAGAAGAGTTAGCGGTACATGTTTATAATTATAGAATGGGTAGAAACACTAACCTGTATGTGTGTGGTGTTTCGGGGCGCCCGCTCAAGACACGCGAACATTGCCCGTTATGAGTGGATAACTGATGTGAACCCTGAGTCCTAATTGGTTTATAAGAATATACCAAGTTGGCTTTATTATCTATTGTATTTATGGACGTTTGTGTGATTCGGGGGCTTGCTTTTATGCTTTGTTGCGTCGAGGAGTAGACAGTGGCTTCCATAGACTCATGGTGAGGAAGGTTACGTCTGCCATTTACTATCCACCGCAGCATCCTTTGCCAATTTTCTTCCATTTTTGGCTTTATATTGGCTGTAAACAGAATCCTCAAGGCATCAATAATGTGTTGCAGGAACTGGATGCATTTACCTACTGGGGGTATAAGCCGGTGACGTCATATACATCTCCCCCAGAACAATACTTGTAAGAAAACAAATACCATCTATAAAGACCAAAAGAATAAATAAAATCCGTATCTTTACCATGTAGATTTCGTCTCATCGCACAGCCAAGCCGGCTCCCGGCAGCTCCAACCGAAATGCAAATCCTGTTAAACAGGTTGCCCGACTACAATGGAGCCTGCAGATTTGCCACAAATACTTGGCGTACCTTTTTTTTCCTTCATGTCGATCACCAGTCTAGAACCCTTTTAGAGCGCCAGAGCGAACAGCGTAGCGCAGCCTCGTATGCAGAGGCTAGTGTGGCTCCCACAATGCCCCAGTGATGCAACTTAGACGAGGAGGCGGACGTCATTGAAGGATTCAAGTATATATAACAGGTTCTCTGCGTCTCCTAATTGTCCCCAAAAGAATGACCAATTACAAAGACACCAAAGCCATTCAATATGAAGACTTCTTACCATCTCCCTGTTCTAGCGCTGGCTTACACGGGCGCCGCTGACAACATCAGCAATGTAACGGTAGACCCAGCAACTTACAACGCCACTTCATCCGTGTCCATCTCTGGCTACAACGTCTCCAGCAATGACACAGGCGCTCACTCCTACTGGACTATCACCAGTGGCCTCGTTGACCAGCCGAAGCAGGTGCTCAACGTCATCACGCTCCAGGACGCGGATCTCAAGGCCGGCAACCAGGACTGGGAAGTCTGCATCGGCGTATACTGGGGCAAACGCAGAAAGGATACCAAGCCAGTGCCAAAGGACTGCACTGGCTTCTTGAGTGACAAGTGCATCGAGGGGCTCAAGAAGACGGGCTCCAAGGGCGACGGTGCAGGCTGCTCGCTGCAAACTGTGCCTGCTGAATGCGAGCTTACCGATGGCGTTAACTCACGTGCGTATATCAGCAAGCCCATCCGCTGAATTTCAGATGCCGAGTATTGACATTCTTAATAGATTACCGTGGAACGGAGCTGGCTTATGTGACAGACGGCCGCCTCACGCTCACCAGCTCAAGCCGGGAGAAGACGGGCAATGGCACCGCCGAGTACGATAGCTATGTTGGCAACGTCACCGTTGTGTCTACCTACTGGTCGTACAACCACACCGGAAAGCCACTGGGCGATGTCCAGCTCAGTTGTATGGGATTTGACAGCTTCAAAGAGGGCAGCAGAAACGCGACGGCCGTTTTACCGGCTGCGTCTTCGGCACCAGCTATCAAGATGTCACTGTGGTTGGTGGGTATTGCTGCGCTGCTAGTGGCACTTTGAACGGGAAGCATATTATGTAATTAGTGTTTTGAATACCTTAATATCCGTATCGCATGAGAGCTTGGCCTTGCTGTTGTCGCCGTAGTTTGTATACTTGCCCTGTCAACCTGCTGGCTTGCCACCACACAAGACAATCTTCCCCAGAAAGCACATGTACGCACCCTACGTCACTGGCGTTAATGCTCTCCTGAAAAATCAAGAGTTCCTCACGCTAACGCCCAAGGTAGATGCGTCGGCGCCTGCGTGCCCTCCCCGCTAGCATTCAGCCACAGAGCCTCGTCTCCCGTTCCTTGCTATAGCCGTCTGGCGCCAGCGCCACCGTCAGCATCGCTTACAATGTCTATCTGTCGGGCGCTAAATTATAGACTCTCTGTGGCGCATGCGCATGCTGTATGAACAATGTAGCTTCACTTGGGCTGTTTGTCTACTTTAGGAGGCGCTTGTGCCCGCGTGTTACTTCTCCTACACCCAAAGCCCATTCTTCTCTCTCATCTCTTTTAGTTGACCAATCCCGTAACCATGAAGTCTCTATTCTTTGTCTTTCTTGCCACAACAGCAGCAACGGAATTTCGTCCCTATCATAACTACATGTACAACGAGACTTTCAACGCCACTGGCGCAGTCATGGCGGTCGGCTACGACATCTTCTCGTCCACGCCCACGCATCTCAACTGGACCTTTGAGAGGCGACTTTATGAAAATGAAACTGGGAATTTCACCGAAAAGGTTATGCACCTTAAACCGGACCATGGTAACTTTAGCGAGACAGCCGACAACTGGAATGTCTGCTGGGCAATTGCCAGCATTAAGGACAGCCGAAAGAGCACAGAGCCCGTGCCTAGTAACTGCAAGGGCGTCGTCAGCAGCGATTGCCTTAGTAGGCTAGGCAAGACTCTTTGTGGTCCGGATGGTGCTTCTAGTAGTATAGAAACGCAAAATGCGTGTGGAGGGGATTTGTGGATTGGTGGTATGTATAAGCTCGCGACGACGCTGCCTTTTTGTTAGTGGTGTTTGCTAATTGCTCCTTTGTTGGGTGGTTGAACAGGAATGAACTATACCAGACTAAGAAACCAAACGGGAAATGGCATCAACTTGATTGGCTTGTTTGGCTTTTCCAGTGACTATGACAAATACATGAAGGAGAGCGTGGTGGTTGCTCTCCTGTTTTCGCAAGGCCTGAATGGGTTCTGGAAGCCTGACGCGCTAGACCCTCCTGCTATAAACTGCTTTGGAACTGACAAGACCAGCCTAGGAAGCAGAGACTTGCAAACTGTGCTCAAGTCGTCGGCCTCATCGGTTGCGGTCTCATATGCTGTGGGACTTACTGTGCTGTTAGTGATACTTTGAGCGAGCTATCTGTAGAAAACAGGTATAGTATCTTATGTAATTAGTGCCTTCAATTCTTCTATATCGATATTTTATAAGAGCAAACTACTTTCAGCAGTCTTGCCACTGTCGTGCTGTGTCAATCTGGGGGCTGGCTATCGCACAACGAGTTGTCTTTATTTATTAATATTAATATTCTTTTTAAAACTACAGAGTTTCAACGCGCTAAATTCTAAAGTAGATACACGACGGGCTGCATGACTCTCCCAACTCGCACGTCCCGCCAATGTTCAGCCTCAGCCTCGTCCTCGTTCCCTGGCCATAGCCCCAACATCAGCATTAGGTACACCTTTTATCAGGCGAGATAATGGATCTCCCTGGAACCCGCAAGGGGTCGTTTCCAATAACCACGAGGCTACGGCCTTGTCTATTTAAAAGAGTCGCCTGTTCGCCCACCACCGCCTCTACGGCAGCCCCCATCTCTACTGTTGACCAATTTCCATTACACGTAACGATGAAGCCTGTATTTCTCGCCTTCCTTATCGCGATAGCTCATGCATCTACAAACACCACTATGTACGGGGCTGCCTTCAACGCATCTGGCTCAGCCGTCGTTCTCGGCGGCAACATCACCGCAGAGGTACCCGTATCGCTCAGCTGGATCTTCGAGAAGCGCATCTACGAAAACGACAAGGAAAACTCTACAGAAAACGCCTTATATCTTAGACCTAAGGATACTCAGTTTAGCAAAACCGTCGACGGGTGGTACGCCTGCTGGGTCGTCGCTACCATCCCGGATAGCCGCAAGAGTACAGAGCAAGTCCTCACAAACTGTACAGGCACCGTAAGCAGTGACTGTCTCTACAGGCTAAACAAGCTTGTCTGCGGCCCTGACGCTAGTCCTGTTGACCTAGACTTGCAAAAAGCATGTGGAGAGAATGTGGTGATTGGTGGTACGTACGCTGTCACGGCGACCTTGCTTTTTTTTACCCTGACAATACGTCTCGTTTTTTGTACTAATTGCGCTTCATCAATTGAATAGGAATGAATTATACCACCCTGCAGCAACAATTGGGCGATGCCATTCCAGTAGTTGGCGTGTCCGGCCCGTCCAGTAACTACGACAAGTACATGAAGGAGAACGTGGTGGCTGCTCTGTCGTTTGCGCGCAATGCCAACGGTGTTGCAGCTTCTCAGAAGCTAGACCCTTCTGTGGCCTGTTTTGGAATTGAAAAGGTCAGACCGGGAAGCAAAGATTTGCAAACTGTGCTCAAGTCATCGGCCTCGTTGGTCGCGGTCTCCTATGCTGCTGGCCTTGCTGCGCTGCTGGCAGCCCTTTGAACGGGGGATATAGTTACAGGATTTTATGTATTTAGTATTTATATCTCATGGGCACACTATTTTCCTACCTTTTTGTTGCCATTGGTGGTGGGTGCTTTTGCTGAAGTTATAGTTGAAGATGTTCGTATACAGTCTAATGAAGGAATACTTACTGCATAAACATGTTTCCCCCAAAAGTATCCGTATGTAAGATACTTTCTGTGTTATATAAAAAAACAAAAAGGTCTTCTAGACCACGTGTGACTATCTCTACCATTCTAAAATGCAGCAATATTTGTGCCTATACAAATAAACGTCATTTTTATCTTTGAACGGTCTCTCCGCTATCGCCCAACGTGCACTCCGCCCCGCCAAGATCCCCCGCCATGCAGCCTCGTCGTCGTTCCCTGTTTATTTCCAGCTCGGCCGCCGTCACCATTGCTTGCTTGCAACTTTAATCGGGCGAGTCCAAAGAAAATCATTCTCATAGTAGGCACACGTGTACTACTGCGCCTCTATTAACCAATTGGGACACGGCGCTTGGGCAGCCTTGTCTACTTAAAGAATCCCATGCTCGCCTACTCCTTCCACCATGTTTAAACCAAGTCCCCTAGTATAAATACATACATCACCATGAAGCCTACATTTCTCACCCTCCTTGCCGCAACAGCGCATGCCTCCAAAAATGCCACATACGCCGACGCCTTCAACGCCTCCGGCGCCGTCACTGTCCTCGGCTACGGCATCGACCACGCCCACCACCCGTCTCAACTGGACCTTTGAGGAGCGCATCTACGACCACAACAACGGCAACACCAGCGAACAAATCCTCTACCTCAAACCCGACGGCATCGACTTGAACAACACAGCCGACGACTAGAACGTCTGCTGGATCCTCGTCACCAGCCTCAACACCCGCACAAGCACAGGACCCGTGCCCAGCGACTGCAACAACGTTGTCAGCAGCGACTGCATCGACAAACTAAGCAAGTCCGTTTGTGGCCCTTGGGGCTATCCCCCCGGCACAGGCTCACGCAGCGCCTGTGGAGGGTATTTACGCTATGGTTGTACGTACACGAACCCTGATTGATGTCGTATCTTTTTAACTAACTCGTACGGTCAAATACCACTAAGCCATAAGAAACTCAGAAACCAGACGGGCGAGGCCATTGAACTAGATCGTTTGTCTAGCCTGCCCGGTCGTTACGACGAATACATGAAGCAGAACATGGTGGCTACACTGCTCTTTTCGCGCATGACGGGTACTACAAGTGCTAAGATGCTGGAGGACAAGCCTATAACCTGCTTTGGTATCGACAAGGTCAGCCGGGAAGCAGAGAATTGTCAAGTATCGTCCCGTCGTCGGCCTCTAGCCTCACCGTCTCTGGTGCTGCTAGTCTGGCGGCGGCGCTGGTGCTGCTTTTGTAAATGATCTCTGTGTGGACAGATGACGGTTGTAGTTTGGTATATAGAGACATCGAAATAATTCCCAACAATATTGCATGTGTGTCTTGCTAGAGGTATGAATCTAAAAAAAACCATCCTAATGTTGCTAGACATGCACCCGGGGAATTCTTACTAATGTGTAGATCTGGCGTAGATTTACGAGGACCACACACTGTATGTTGATCATCCCTACAGATACGCTAGGGCTATGATGTGGCGTACAGACTTTTGCCGATCAGGTTACCTAGGCACAAACGTATAAATTATATAGGTATCTATCGATATATATCGATATATACTCTTATAGTACATTCACTTGAATAGAGAAAAAAAAAAGGAAGCTCGTCATAATGAATTGCATTTCTATGTCCCAGTAAAAGCAAAAGAATTGGCTAAATATGTAACACGAGATCTAGATACATTCGACATCCCTTCTTCACCATCGCAGCAATACATTTACAGGAGCTGAGCGAGAAGACCGGCAACGGCGGCAACAACACCACCAGCGGCAACAGCGTTGTGCATAGCAGCGTTGGAAGAGGTGGGCTTGGCGGTGCCGGAGGTGGTGGCAGAGGTCATGCTAGGAGCAAGAGTGGTGGAAGCAGCGCTGGTGGTGGCGTTGCGGGAGCCAGTACTGACGGCGGAGCTGGTGCTCTTGGCGCCAGAACTGGTAGCAGAGGCCTTTTCGGAAGAAGAGGAAGAAGAAGAAGAGTCGCCGTCGGCCTTGATGACCTTGATGGACTGGAACGAGCCAGACTTGTCGCCATAGACGTACTCCTTGATCTCGCTGGTGGTGGCAGTGCTGCCGCCACCGTAGTCGACAATGTTGAGGTTCTTGTAGTGGGCCTCAAAGGGAGCCTTGGAGAAGTCGGCCATACCGCCAGCCCACTCAACGGTGCCCTTGGGAGCGCCAGGCTGACCAGCAACCCAGCTGCCAATCTTGACCTGCATGGGAGTCTGGGGGTACTTGGTACCGGCCTGGGCACGGGTCAAGGTGCGGACAACGTTGTCATCGACGAGCCACTGGATGCGCTCGCTGGTCCAGTCAATGGAGTACTTGTGGGTGGTGGACAAAGCGCCGTCAACAGTGTGGAAAGCACCGCGGTCAAAGGTGCCCTGAGTATCACGGCCAAAATAGTTGGTCTGGGCCTGATTAGGCTGGAATCCAACCCACTCCCAGTCAATCTCGTCGAGGTCGGCAGACTGGAGAACAAGAGACGTAACAATACCGGGGCCCGGCGCAGGCTTAATCTCGACGTCGACGTGGCCGAAGAAGATGTACTTGTCGGACTGGAAAGTAGGGGCCTGCTTAACAGTCTTGATGGCGAAGACGGCACCGTTGGAGTTGTACTTAACGTCGGTGCCGGAAACGGGCTTGATGGCGTCGCAAGCGCTGGAGAAGCTGCAAGAGACCTTGCCCTTTCCGAAGGCAGGGTTAGAAGGGCAAGCTGTGAAGAAGACATGGGTTAGCAAAAAGGGTATTCTAGCGTCGCCAAACACTCCACGATAGCATGTATTGTCCTGTCGATGCGCGTCGTCCTGGCTATGTGGGAAAACAGATCCACGTACTCTTCTCGAGGGGGTTGCAGTCGGTGAAGGTCTGAGCAGAAGCAACAGAGGCGGCAGCAAGGGCTGCGACAACAGTCTTGGAAAGCATGGCTGCAAAAAATGGGGTTATTTAGGCGAGAATAAAAATTAACGGTCGAAGGTCGAGCAAAGAAAAAGTCAAAGTCAATGAGAGACGGGTCTTTTCAGATAAGCGAGAGACTGAAAAAGACGTTGGATGGACTGATCGGAGATGGATGAAGAGGACAAGTTGGTGAGGAGGAGGGACGAAGGGCAGTTAATAAGAGGAGAATAAGAATAGACAGGGGGCTGCAGGTACAGAACAGGACTGGACAGAGTCGGCGTCAGGCTGGGTGCTGGGTGCTGGTGCGTGATGGAGCTAGGGCCCTTGGCCAGGGGGTGGAGGGCAGCCGACAGCCAATTAATATGGGCGGGTACCTGGGGCGGACCAGGCGTGGCGCTGTTCAGGGTCTCAGGTTCCTGTTCCTGGTGCCCGTTTTCAGTCTCTGTGTTGTGTTTTGGGCTGCACTGAAAAAAATGTCTCTCCCTCTTTCTCCATTCCGTTGGTCTTCTGCGTCTGCTTCTTTTTATCCGTCCGTGTCTCTCTCTCTCTCTCTCGCTCGCTCGCATCCTATACCGAATCAACTGTACCTACCCAACTGTATGTCCGCACTCAGCATAAGCACTGCGAAACACAAACACATCAACACAATGCCATTTCCGTGGCCCGCCCACCCACCACCGCCCAGAGAAATGCTACGTGAGGCGCAGTGTACCAAGTAAACGAACAAGAAAAGAAAAGCTGGGCAAAGGGAAAAAGAAATGGGTCTTGTCAGTATAGTGTTTTAGTGCTTGGATGAGCTCTTTCCAGTGGACGTCATTCTACTGGAGCCAAGCTTTGCGCAGCTAACAACACGGAGCTTGGCAGCGGCAAAACACACACAAACAATACGAACCCGGAAGCGCCGTGCACGAGTAATTCTCACCAGCAATCGGGTTTCGGCGGCTCATGTTTTGATTTGTTCTCTTTTCTGACTACTGCCGCGCGTGACGTATTTTATTTTAATTTTTTTAACCGTCTTCTGTGCCGGAGCTGAATTACACTGCCGGTAGCACCTCTTGGTAATATCCCAGCCATACCAAAGACAACGAGAACACTTCCTTAGGCGAGTCCAGTGCTTGTTCTGTTGATCCTTCACGCGTCTCATACCAAAGAGCTCGCCTCGCAAATGCTGCCCGTACTGTTTTTGTCGTCTCTTTTCGTCCGCTGGAAATTCTCCGCCTGAGTCAAAGGCCCGCGTCTAGATTCCAAGGCTGTCTCTTCACCGTGTCTCGCCTCGGTGGACTCGCAGAATGCCAGTGCTGGCCTGGGCTCACAGCACACAATTCTGTCACCGCAAACTCGCAATAACACATCGTACGACAAAGACAAAATTTTCTCAAAATTGACAAATTTATGGATTGAATGTTGTCATAAACGGTCTCTAAGAATAGAGTTGCCAATTGACTTTTGGCCAACCGGTAGCAAAAACGTCTAATGCTGCGAGATCCAAAAGGCTAAAATTACATGCTCCACCATCAACATAGCGCACAGCCATTCACGATACTACTGGCGAGCAAAGGGACCGTCTCACCCAAAGGGAAATTGCTCATCCGCAGTGCCCACGCCAGCCATGCCTCCTTTCGGATCTCGCTTCCCACTTGTAATAACTGGGGTTTACAAGCGCAATATTGGTCGCCTTGCGCCAAGATCGGGCGTTGCTTGTCTATTAGGGGGCATCCTTGGCTGTCCTAATTGTCTGATTGTCTGGTTGACCCCCTCCGTAGATCTGACCATACAAAGCAGTGAATCTAATGTCTATGACAATCAATCCCTTAGTGCTAGCGAATGGCTGGGCGACCAACGCTCCGTCTGCTATTGTCGGGCCAAAGCAAGTCTCGGATGCGGCCATGTCCTTGGGATGTCTCAGTCTTCCAACCTCGTTGTTTCCGGCGCGCTTGCAGCCAGCAACCGATTAGCGAGAAGGGAAATGGCGCATGCTACGCAGAAAGTGAATAAGCCAAAGGTGTCTGGAGCTGGAGAATGTGTCTTTCTCTTTAGACCTAGTGTTGTAGGCTATGCAGTTGACTTTTGGTGTGGCACCGGAGTTGGAGTAGGTGAAGCTATTCGCAGCTAGTACCGTAGCTAACCTGCGACGGAAATATGACGTCTCTCAACAACACGCACATCAATTCAAACCTCCACCAATATTCCATAGGGTTAACACTGTAGTCAATGCTCCTAAATATAGTACTATCAAAAACTGTACAATATTTTTTCTGCTCCAATACCTATCCCGCCAGCCGACAATTTATGTCTTCATATAGGTTAGCTGGATCTCTAGCGCAGCTCTGGCGCCTACCATATTGCACAAGCTACAGCAGCCATGACGAGTGCAACAGCTTCGCCTCTCCCTCCCAAAACGTAATGGACACGAACTCTTTGTGGTTCATGGCGTGGTCCACCAGATATCCTATCGGCGATGTCGTCGGCCACCCCAAGCCAAGGAAACTCGCCACTTCGTGATCAGCCCGTTCCCCGAGGAGGGCCGTATGCATGGCTTACACCAAGACTTCTTCATGCAGTTGCTTTTTTTAGTACCTCACCCTCCTCCTCCAACAAAGGTAAGAAAAAGTAAAAGTAACCTTTGCCTTTCTTCACAGTGTGCCTGTTCACTGTACAGGACCCAAACTCAGCGGGGAACCCGCCGCTGCCTACAAAGTACCTACCTTGCATTCAGAGAAACATGCACAACAGGCGCCAACTGAGGGGGCGAATGCAACGCTACCACCTGGGCTTCCAACCACTCATCGGGCGTCAGCGGTGATGCCATGCAGCTGCTGGTGTCTCGGTGGGCCTGCCAGGCTCTAGGTGGAGCGCAAGGTTTGGGCCAGCGTCGCATCGCCGTGGAGCTCTTTCAACAGCGCCTGAGCAGGCTCATCGCAAGCGCAGTGTTCGTCTCGTACCGGCCAGCCTGCCGTCTGCCAGGTGTTCGCGTCTCTGCAACAGTCCACCTGGCAGACAGCTGCGAGCGCACCACTGCCAGCTGGTCACAGTAACCATCTGGCTGACTGGCTTTCCTCACAACTGTCACTAAAAACAAACAAACATGGCACCAACACAAAAAGACCTGCACGGTCCATGCACTCTGCAAGCCCTTTTTTTGTCATCTCTCGCCTCCGCCCCAAGGTTTTAGTACAACCGACTCAAGACCGAAACTCAAAGCAGACAACCCCAAAAAACGCCGTTCATCTTTTAGCTCAACGCTGTAGCATCCACCACAGGGCGTTAGCGCGGGGGGTCTTAGCACCGACCACTCACCTACGCGCTTCAGAGCAGATGATCCATCGTCTGTCGCTCTGCTATTCGCTAGCGTCGATAGCAGGGTGGTTTGTGCGTTGTCGGAGCCCCAGCCCAAAGGGGCCATTCCCCGGAGAGCCGCCTCTCCCACGCTACGTTAGTAACTACTGTATACCACTAAGTTCCCTGCTTGCTTTGCCTGCTCACCACCCTCCGGGCATGTCTCGGGCTCGCTGGGCCCAATCATGCATTGGCAGGCGCACACCTAGCTTCCTTGTATGCTCGCAGATACCCTCGACCCCAGCTTATCGCTCGAGGGTAGTGGAAGAAAGCTGCTGCGCCCACTAGTCATGCGATATGTGACTTGCGGCGACAGGCGGGCGGGGGGTTGATATGAGGTTGCAATCTGCGATGAAGCAAAAGGACTAGCCCAACCAACGCTCAGAGGACAGCCTCATCGGCCGCTTGATCTCCCAGGGCAGACGGGGCCCGACCCGGTGTATATGGTGTCAAAACAAGCGCATTTGCCGTCCCTCTCATGTTATGGATAATGGATTCGAAACTGTCCTAATGGGCTTCACACTGCGACGGAATCCGCTGTAATCACAGGCAAAGACCCTCGGTTAGTTGTCCCAACCTGTTGGTGGCTTGCTTCACATCGCAACTAGTCCGTGTACTCGGTGGCGCATCGATGGCCTGCCCCGCTTGCTCCTTTAGGCTTAACCAAAGCCACTGTGCGCAGAAGCGTGCCGCCTGTTGGCTACTTGCTCGGTATCCAGCCCATCACATTGTGTTGGCCCCTTCCCGTCCTCTCCAGCTTTTAATCTTCTCTCTTTGCCGATAGCCCCAACCAACACGGACCGAAAGCTCTGTGCTCAGAAGCAGCCTTGTTTAACGCCAAAGTTTATAAACGCCTTTGTCTCCTCCTCCACCCCTTCCTATCTCTTTCCCCTCTTCCTTTGCTGTATCAGTCGAGAACGATGGATGATTTCCTCTTCTCGGAACTACACACCTCACGATACGATCTAGCAAGAAGTACTCGCCGGGACTCTGAGCCTTCATACCGCATCCTCTCCTCTTCCCCCAAGCAGACCGAGCCTACTCTCCAGAAGAACAGTATGTCTTGTCTAGTTGCCCTTTCGCCCGGGCTGTCATCCAACCATGCTAACCTGTCGCCCACTAGCCGTCACTGCGGCAGGACTTGAATATGTGTCTCGTCGCCTTCCAACCTCCAGAATGGGAAATTTCGGTCCCTTCAACAGAGCGCCCTGCGGCTTCGGCCGATGAGGCCGATCCCAAGACTCCCGTCTCGCCGGTTCCTCCACGGGCCTGCATTGTCCATCACCCTTTTACCCTCGGGCTACCTGACCTGGTGACGATTTGATTTTCTTTCTTTCAGCATATGGGGAGGCGTCTTTTTTTACTCACGCAAATTGTACCATTGCCACTCTTCTCTTCTTCTACCTGCCACCGGATGGCTTTATTTAGGCTGTACGTTTTTGCCGACCACACCACATAACATCAACTTATGCCAAACATTCTTGAGGCTATTTTTCGTGTTTCTTAGCTAGCTCTACCACAAATGAGAAATTCATTTTGCTCATGCATACTTTATATACTTTGCACATCTCCAGTGACACTATGAACTAGATGTGTGTTATACGTATCGGTCGATAAGGCTGCCTGCCGATCGCAACACGCAGCGGCCGTTGTAGAACGCCTTCTGACGACATTTCAGCTGGTACACAGCAGCTGCACGAATACTTCTTGGCCCTAGCGCAAGGCTATGCTATCTGCCTTGATCTCTCTTTTAGTGCAGTTTCCGACAATACGCTCGATACGAAGGCAGCCTCTACTAGTCGTAGCGAGTATGCAGGCCCTCAGCTCGATACACTCTCATTCATGCTGCCTAACATGCTCAACCACCAAGACAGGCAACAGCAATAATATCTCACCTAGGCACCTAAATTCCAAAAACCAAACTTCTATATATTCCCATCACCCGATTTTCTTCCTTCTCTCTACTTATAATTCCTCCAAATCACCCCGTGGCACCATTTTAATCTATCCCACCCACGCAAGTGGGGATCCCATCATCACGCCCTTCCATCAAAACCACCTCACTTACTCACTACCTCACTTACCCTCACTCATTCATACTTCCTTTTCGCACCAACCTTTCGCCAAACATGGCCCAACCACCCGACCAATTCACCTTCTCCCCCGCCGTACACCCCCTCACAGCCTCCCCCGCCGCCTTCCAAGCCCTCTACCCCCATGTCACCGACTTCATGACAGGCATCGTCGTCTTCCGCACCTCGCCCACGCTCCAAGCCCTCGTCGTGCGCCGCGCCGCCAACGACTCCCACCCCCTCCACTGGGAGACTCCCGGCGGCGGCATCGACGCAACAGACGCCTCCGTCCTCTCCGCAGCCGCCCGCGAGCTCTGGGAAGAAACAGGCCTCGTCGCGCAGCACTTCCACGCACCCGTGCTGGTGTCGCCGATGCCGGACTTCTCGACCCCCGAAGGCCAGGCGCTCAAGAAGAGCTTCTCGCTGGACCCGGAGTCCAAGGAGAGCGTGGACACGATTGATATGGACGGGCTGGGGTTGAGTTTTACTGAGCCAGGGCGGCGATGGGGAAAAGTTGCTGTGTTGGCGGATGCGGTGGATACGGCGGCCGTGACTATCCGGCCGGATGAGCATGATCGGTGGGCATGGATTACGGAGGAGGAGGCTACGAGTGGCAAGTTTGCGAGCGGCGAGACGCTGGGCTTTGTGGCCGTGGGCGTGATGCAGACTGTCGTGGAGGGGTTTCGTATAAAGAAGGCGTTGCTTGCTGCTGAACAGTAAGACGAAAAGCAATTGTTTATATATTATGATAGAATATTAAAAAAACGCCACCCAATGCATAAGAAATAGATAATACAAAACTACTAATGTCGCTTGGTGCCCATCTCCTCTGTCCCGTAGTCGTCCCAGTCATCATCGAGGCCGCCGCCTGCGCCGACCTTGCGGCCAAACCACAGCCCAAACCAAGTCAACAAGCTAGCTGTCAAGAACCAGCCTTCAAACCAGCCGTCGACAAACGACGGGCTGAGAGCGCCGCCAAGGACTGTGCCCACAGCGCTGGATGCCTCACCAGGCAGCTGGCCTCGTAGGACGAGACTAGACGAGATGACATAGGTAGCAGCTATCTGTCCGACAATGAGGGCGAGGTTGGCCTGCGCATGACGAAGCAGTCCAGGCGTCCACTTAGCAAAGAGGTGGAAGGTCTGGATGGCACTGTTGGCGCTCGCTACGAGGATCACGCCGCAGAGCGCAAAGCTGATCGTGCGCGCCCACGCGAGCTGGTCCAGCTTTGGGTCCCAGTGCCGCGCGAGCAGGCCTAAGAAGCGGTTGATCGGGTCGCTGCCCGAGAAGCTCGCCGACGGTGCCGACATGCGGCGCAGCGTGGTGAGCGCGGTAGCGAGGATACGGTACAGACAGTACGTGCTGAATGCATATGACGGAACCAAGAGGAAGCGACCAAACGTAGACGAAGCGCGCTCTGTCTGCTTGCGACGGCCCTTCATCAGTAGTAGTGTGGAAGCTAGGTTGGCCTCCATGGTTTCCAGGCCAGATACCTCGATGCGGAGATTCTTAATCTCCGTCTCTTCCTTGGACGCGCCGCGGAATGAGCCCACCATCTTACCGACAAAGCCGCCAGATGCTCGCGCCGCGAGGAACTCGGGATCCGATACTTTGCGCTCCAGGGCAGCCAAGCGGTGTTTCTTGGATGTGAGCATCTCGCGCGTCGCATCGAGGCCCGACTGCTTTCTGTTGACGTCGCCCTCGCTGATGGGCTTTTGGTTCCTGGATGCTTCGCCAAAGGTGTGCCACGGCGCCGACACGGACGCAAAGCCCGCAAGAAGCGCCATGAGAGTGATCCCCACGACGCCGATGCGTTCCAGGCACTCTCGTGTCATCCCGTCGATCCAGCCATCGTCGCCCTTGTGCCCTACGCTCTTCATAGCACCTGTTGGTACCGCGCCACCGATTTTCCAGAATGCGAATAACCAGCCGGCAAACAGCGCAAGATGTAAGCCCCACGCAAACCGAGGCAATGTTCCTTTCGAGGTGCGCTGCAAGCTCCAGCCTGCTCCTCGAACGAGATTCTGGCACTCTAGCCAGGGTAACACAAACACTAGCATGAAAAGAAGACCCGGGACCGTCATCTTCAATGCGACGACCTTGCCCACGCCGTCCATAATGCCCATCACCTCAGAGAGGATGAGGATGCCCATCGTCACGGCGAGACCAACAGTTGTGCCAAAGGCCCAGGCTACACTTCTTCGGCCTGCACTCCTTGCGCCATGCGCAGCGTGTGCTTGACGCAGTTCAGCGGGCGCATGAGCCGGTAGAACATGGTTTTCTCCGTCGCGCTCGTCGTCTTGCGCTGCGCTGCTGAGTCGTGGGTAGATGGTGCGGATGGCGACCAATGTAGAGGCGAGGAAGATGAGAGTGAATGGCGATGCGGCAATGACCGATGCTGGCGTGATGGCATTCATGTCCACTGCCGAGCAGCCATCGTCATCGCAGCCTGAAAAAGGCCACATGGCTAGGGTGTATAGTTATAATATAGAGAGCGACGGGGCCGTTACTGTTCCATGGGGGGTTTGTCCCGCAGAGTCGATTGATATGAATTTGCAGCGATTGAAAAGCAGCTATGTCGAGCTAGTCGTCTGTCTGCTTGTCCGTCTTTCTGTCTGCTCGGTCTGTCGAGTAAAGCCTCGTGTTGCGATGCGTGCTGCAAACTGCCACAGTATCCGCAAGGGCGAGGCGACACTGCGTTTGTCGAGTCTTGTATTCCGTCTACTGTTGGACCGCACAAGAGTCGATGATTTGGTTCTGCGCAAACGAGGATCTCTGCTTCATCACCAATTCTCAAACTGTGCACCGTTGCGTTGCTTCGTTGTTGGGAGCTGGAAGCGAAGCTTGATGTGGAGAAGGGGGGGAGAGTGGTGCCAGACCCGCTGAATTTCCGTTGATGGTACGTCACCACAGTGGATGAGGCTACTCCCCTCAGGTCATCCTAGGCATTTTTCTTTTCAATTGCAAAAGTCACAGTAATTGCATAAAAAAATAACAAAATTAAAATAAAGGTTATGTTCATAGATGAATTCATAAGTGTACCGCTTCTTCATAAGCATTCTGCTCCCCATAATACAAACAAATAAGAAAATTAATACGCCGACACCGTCCAACATGTACAGTGAGCCACCACGGCTCTCGCTAATAAGTGACATTTGTGGCGTCTTCCCATGTAACGCCAATGGAAGTCTTTTCTAAAAAGACAAAAAAACAAAGAATGAGATGAGTATCGTAACATGGACTTGCATCGCCGTGAGGCGGGGATATACCGTTGCCCCTGCTGTCATTCATGGAAGCCGCCGTCCTGGAAGGTCGCCTGCGACTAAGGTATCCATAGATTTTTGTTTCTTTTATGAAACAAGCATGTCTGCTGTTTCTTCCGTTGATGCATCCGTCTCCGTCTGTTCTGTTGCACCTCTTGGTGAGCGGGATGCATCGCCCAGTCTGCGCGGCTGGAGCTCGTAGGATGTCATGCCCGTTGGTGTGACACCCATGCTGAATTCGCACTCGGGTGTGGCTGACTCTGATTCTTCCTGTGCATGAGATTCATCCATCTTCTATGATGTGAGCTTCACACCGGCAGATTCATCCTCATCCTCTTCCTCATCGTCGTCGATTGTCATGCGAAGGGCGGCGGCTTCACCCATTTCCATCTTATGGAGGGTTTCTGCTTTTTGCTGTTGGTCAAGAGCTTCGGTGCCGGACATGACCTCAAACTCGCCGTCCTCTTCCTCTTCCTCTTCACTATTGGGGGCGCTGACAGCCGGCGACTCCAGGTTCGCAGAGCGAGGAGAGCTGTCTACGCGTGGAGGAGGTGGTGGGGCAGGAGAACGAGGTCGCAGTAGCGAAGATGAAATGGGCTTGATTGTAGGATCAAAAGCGGCCGGTAATCCCAATACCTTGGCAACTTGGTGTGCCTCTTCGTCTGGAGAGATCTGGACTTCAAGCTCGTAGGTGCTGCTCGCCTCGCTATCCGCTTCATGCTTGCCGTTCGTAGCAGCAAGCATGCCAAGATATGTTTGACGAGTAGCATCGTTAGCTCGCTTGACCTTTTTCTTGATGCGCTTTTCGGTAGGTCGGACGACAACGACAGGAACGGGAGAATACTGCAGGCAGTATTTTGAGAAGGAGTTACGGTTGTTGACGAGACCCTGGATACCACCGAGAGAACGTCCGCGTGTTCCGACGATGAGCATGGCTGGCTGATACATTTGGATCTAATAAAACCGTTAGCACATGTTTCAATGAGGTTTGAGAGCAGACATATCTACTTACGAGCTTTTGGAACGTCGCGTGCAGCTTGCCGACAGCGTATTCAAGAATAAAGCTGACGGCACGGTTGGAGCCGTTTTTGGCGAGGATATTTTGCATGACACGGTTGGCGTCTTCGAGGTACTGTCTGTCATTAAATCGGATACCACTCTCGATAACGCGAACACAGACGATCTCGTCGCCGTCGTCAACTAGCTCATCGAGCAGCCACTGAATGGCGTAGTCTGAGTACGAATGCTCGTCCACGCCCACCATGAAGAGACGTGACCGGCGGCGAGCCTGGTAGCCCTTGTGGCGGACATTCAGCGTAAGCGATGTCGTATTGTGTTTTGTAGTTTCGCCGTTGGGCACATTGTCGAAGCCAACGTGGCGTTGGAACCTGGTCGAGTGTGGTTCGGTTAGCGTTGCCATGCTGCTGAAGATGTCTTGGGAGTGCCCAAGACGGTGCAGGATTGGGCGATGGCAGATGCGGTGCGGGCTAAGGATAGCAGGGGATGAAACGCTTTGCTTTGGAAGGCGATGGTGCGAAAGGGAATGTCGGATCGTGGGGTGAAGTTGAAGGTGGGAGCGATGATGTGCGCAACTCTGCACGTGGAAAAGAACATGCGAGGGGAGCAAAAGCAGGAGCCGCAAGCCGCAAGCAAAAACCGAAGAGTCACCAGTTCCCCTCTCTCTGCTAAAGAGGGGGAAGGTGGGTAGGTGTGGGTGGCTGTGAACAGGCGAGTGCCCACTTTAGGCGGTCCCGAAGCAGCTAAAGTTTTAAGCTAAAAATCCAGCGACAAGCCGCCACCACGCTACAGGGAGCCACTTGCTATAGTAGCTACAGTAGCAGCACCACCGCCCACTGCAGCGCCGCTTGGTGCGCAGAGGCGTCCCTTAGGTTTGCTTTGCCTTGACCAAAAAAGCATGTGCTTTTTCGGCTAGGCGGGTAGATGATGATGGAAAAAAGAATAGAAAAAAAATAGGAAAAAAGAAACAAAAAAGAGACGCCAAAACAAATGCCACATTTGCCAGCCAGAGAAAGAACACCCCTCCATTCCTGCAACTGCGTGAATGTCTGCAGTGCCTCTGTCTACGCATACGGCACTGCCGCACTGCATCCACTGTTTAATAGGCGGGGACAACAGCACCAGCAAGCAGCAGTAGCACTGCGACAGGCGTGCCCGCTAAACTTTCAGTTGGGCACCAGCGCACGGGGCCCCCGGTACGTAGGGCCGCCCAAGTCCCTGGGACGCCCCCCCTCCTCGCCTGTTTTTGGGGCTTCCCAGCACCAGACAAAGCCCATTGTTGCTGTAAATGCCAGGATCATCATCCACTTTGCTGGGGTTCGGGCCACGGCGGAGAGCTGCTGACCCCGCCTGGAACCTCCACCGCTCTCTCGGAGATGTCTTGTCAATTACAGCACCCTTCCGGGGAATGCGCTTGTCTGCAGCCGGTGACCCGCTCACTTCAAGGCCAGGCAGCGCTGAGACCAGGCGGCGCGGCAACATGCGCCCCAGGCTGACGAGGGCGATGACGAACTTGCGCCCCCTGGTAGGAAACCTGGAGATTGCCTCTTTTCTTTCCTCAGTCTTGTTTATGTGTTTGCTGGGACAACCAAAAAAATCACCGACAAAGCGGAAATGAGCTTTGCGGCCGAATTGCCATCCAGCAAGCAGCGATCCGTGCCGAATTTTCCGGCATCGCACAGCACACGGGTTCTAGAACTGGTATTCTTCTTCCCATGACTGGTAGTCGCCCACTTTATAGGCTCGGGTTGTGGCATAGACCTTGGATCCACGCGCTGGCGTGTCGCCAAAGTCTTACACGGAAACAAGGCGGGTGCAGGTCGGCGCCGCAAGTCAGGTTGCTCGACTGGCAAACCAGTGCTATTGTGGCAAGATCTGCTACCTCTAGTAGCACCCGATTGTATGCAGTGAAACGCGACTGTCATAGAAAAGTTTGTGATGCGCGCCCTGGGCCGTGTCCCATGCACCTTCGGCAGAGAATGCCGATATTGCAACACTGGCCGGACTACCATCGCCAAGTCCGGCGAAACATGGCCATCTTTCATCTTCGATAGATGTAGAGGGGCTCCGTGGTGGTAGCAACGCTGGAAGAGTAGCTGGCGCAGTAAACTGAGTAGTATTACCCCTTGCCCGACGTGGCAGATTTTGCCGCCATATCCTAAGTAAACTTGGACTCGGACTTGGCCAGATCGTTCGAAGGAAGTCAATACAACCCTAGCCCACCGCCCAGTTCCAAAACAGGAGATGAGGCACCCATTTCCGGAAATGGATAGGGAAGAAAACAAAAGGGAAAAAAAAGGCAACAAGGGAATGTGATATCAGAAGAAGAAAACGGCTAGGCTTACCTGGTAGGTGGTGGCGAGCTAGGTCGCCCTTGGGCTCCGGAGAGTCCTAATTCGGACTCTGTTCGCTGGAATCGCTCGTCGACTTGGGGAAGTGATGATGACTGATTTCGAGATCTCCGAAATGATGATATTGACCACTTTCGCGAAAGATGTGTACTGTCGGCATCGCTGGCAGAGGAGTCTCGCCGTTGTAGAAGCTCTGGCATGAATGCGGGGGCGCTTCCTCGTCGTCCACTGGCGCTGCTGCTAGTTCCAAAAGAGGAACCAGTTTCGCTATTCGCAGAAGAGTCTCGTCGGTGTAGTCCTAGGTCGGCAGCAAAGGAGATGCTGCTGTGGCGTGATGTCAACGATCCCCATGTCTCGCTTTTGGGGATGGAGCTCCGCCGAGGGAAGGGTTCCGGAGCAAAACTAATGCTGGACTTGCGGCGTAGCGGAGCATCTTGCATAACCGTACTCGAGTACGTTTGTTTATTGTTATTGATGCTCTCTGTTTCAGTAGTTGGTACGGCGGCGGCGGTTTGGGCTGTCTTGGGTTCTGTCGCAACTCCGGCGTTTTGTAAAGATTCGTCCATGGGCGACACTTCAGGTAAAGAGTATAAATCATATGCAGAGTCCTTGGCTGAAAATATGCTTGTTTTGAATAGTTGCGTATCCGACGGTGGCTGCCTCAGCGGAGTCTTGGCCTCGAGTTGTGGCGCCCAGTCACGCTTCTCATTAGACGCCTTTAGGGTTGAAGGAGGCTGTACAGTCTTGGCCAAATGATCCTCCAATACTGGCTCCAGTATAGTGTCCCGAGGCTCGTCTGTGACGTGTCTAGTGGTTGGCGTCGAGGCGGATTTCCGAATCGGCTTGGGTTGTGCGACGGTTGTGTTGGTGTGCGAAGTAGTCATTGTTGCTGAACCGTTTGATGATGGTCGTGTGGACGAATGGCGGATGGATGTCGAAAATCTGTGACTGAATAGTCCATGTCTTAGAGAGCCGGATGCTGATTTAGGCCCATCATGGCTACGAACAGCCTGCGGAAGTTGTGTTTTGAGCATGGTGAGGGTGTTGTTCAGTCTTGATATCGAAGGCCGAGGCGGCTCCCCCACCGTGGTTGACATGGACTTTGGCGCGAGGTTGAATGGTGGTAACGCGGATCAACCTGAGTGAAAAAGAAATCTGGATGCAAGAGCTGCTGCTACTGATATTGAAACGGCGCTATGTATATTTCGGCGTAACAGCGAACCCTATCTTGTGTGTAGTGCTTCAAACTTTAGCCGCTAGTTGAAGCTTGTTTGTCTGGCTGGTATGGGCTGGAACCGACTGGCCCAGTAAAGTTGTGGCGAGCGGGTTGGATGTATGGATGAGATGAAGTGTAAATCAGAAGTAGACAAGGTCGACTAGGCCAGAAAAAGACGAAGAATGAATTAAAAAGTGCAAGGGTCCCTTTCTGGTAGCCCTTTGTGAAGCCGTGCAACAAGAGAAAATAGTACAAGAAAGATGGGAATAAACACAGACGAGAGCTGTAAGATGAAGTAGTTAAAAGACACGAAATGACGAGTCGAGACGTGTCCTGGGTCCTCGTCACCACTGCAATGCTAGTGCCCTTTAATGCTGCCGTAACTCCCTGTCTTGTTTTGCAGGGCAGGGCGCACCAGAGGATGGACAAGGGGGGGATCTCAGAGCTCTGGCTTTGGGAGGTGGGGCGGCAAGTAAATCTGCACCAAGAGGTTGTGATCTTGGGGGTGTGTGCGGAGGGGCCCAGATGGCACCCCCAGGTTTGCCGGCTGGCGGGCAGCTGTCAAGAAGTCCAAAAACTAAAGTTTTAGAGCTGCTGTAGTGGAGGCGGGTGGCGGGACGGGAGGATGGGGCGCAAAGGACACACACAAAAAAAGATCCACCTGCCAAAACCCTTTGGGCTGCTCTGCAATGAACAACCAAGATACAAATCAGGAAATCAAACAGGCTCCTTTTGGAGATGTTGCAAGTCGCACGCAATGTTGCGCGTTTGCAGTGGATCGTTGAGCCGCTATCGTTTGTCTCAGTCCGGCACCTTTTTGCCGGGTCCGATAGATGCCACGCAATGGGGATGCGAGACAACGTCCAGTCCAGGTTTCAACCCAAGCGGATGCAGCAAGTAGTACTAACAACACTAGTAACACGAGCCTTTAGTTCCTGTTTGTCGTCCGCGCGGGGGCACAGTAGCGTGGTTTTGACGCAGGATATGAGCCTAAATGAAGATGCCCGATGGGTAGGATTTGTCCGGGAAATATGCGCTGGCTGGGTGGTAAGCTCGACGGCCGTTTTTTCCTATCACGTTGAGAGGCGTTCCAACTAAATAAGAGGAGGATGGTTCTTGCCCGCAGGTATGCGAGATGGTGTTGTGCGCGTGTCGATCTCCTGCGTATAATCAAGCGTTGGCGCAATCATTAGAGTGTCCGCCCGCAACCTCGTTTTCTTCCCGTACAGGCCGAGACCGGTCAAGCACAGACTACCCTTGGGCTGGCTTGCTTTTCGGGTAATAAAGCGCAAGTGGGATGGCGGATGGCGGATCACTCACCCATGCATGCAAGACTTCCAGAACAATAGCGCTTGGGCTGAACACGGGGCAACAGGCAGAGCTTGTTATTCGACACTAGAATCAAATGCAAAGATGGGTCCTGCAGACAAAAGGCAACGGCTCTCTGATAAAAGCAGGGTTTAAAATATGATATATATGCCGTCTGCGCTTGTTTGCCCAAGCCTCTTTGTCGGTGAGGACCCAAAAAGGGCTGAGCTGTCAGACTTGGAAGAGGCGGTAGGTTATTTGTAACAACGGGGACCCGGAACATCAGGATGTCGCTTCCGACCCCACGCCTACAAATTTACGAATATGATATTGAAGGCTGTGTGTTGCTTCGGCCCTTGTCCAACGCCTGTATTTCCTTGTTCTGGATAGTGCGGCCTTGGAAAACGTCATAGTTAGCCACCGCGACACAAGGCCTCGCCATGCATCACCAACGCCCTTTCAAATAGTCTATCCAACCGGATGCCTCACCAAGTCAACCGGAGCCACGCTAACAGAGTCGGCTGTGCTCGGCGTCGCGCGCGCCAGTCCAGGTCGTCGTTCGCTGTTCGGGGATGTGACTGCGAATTTCCAGAGCCTGAACAGGGGTCCGCCGTCTTGGATGGTGGTGTGGAGAGAGCTGACGGGCCATTTAAGAATGTATTCAAGGTTAAGCAGCCACACTAGTCAATCAACGGATCATGACTGTTAGGCTACAACAGGTAGCGAACCTCCGGGCCAACGCTCAGCCTGGCAGAGCCTACAGCTCGGAGGCTCTGCTGGCCGTTTTGTCGCACAGCAGCCGCACTTGCATGTGTATACGAAAGGCAGTACAACCGCTACTGACAAATGTTCGACACCGCCGGGGTTTACCAACCGAAGCCTTGTGAACAAAAGAAAGGCGAGATGCCTGAATCTAGAGGCGCCGTCAGTGGTATGTACTCGCCCATAGTGCCCCCGCGGAAGCAGTACTGCGCAAAGGCGCTGTGGCGGATGCGCCTTATGTTAGTGCCGTCCACTAAATGAGCCTAGCGCAGGTAAGGGGGGTGTGGGAGAGCTATGCGCCATGCTGTCGCTTGCTAGCTCGACTTAGAGCAATGCTACTGTGAAGATGCTGCCTGCGACTTGCAGCGTGCTAACCGCCATGGATTAAGCGCAAAAGCGAAAAGCAAGACAGAGGTGCGTAGTATCTGTTATTGTACATGCCCGTCCGTATTCGCACCCTCAGAATCTCAAGATCTCGCGATACCATCTCCGCCAGACCCGACTGGCGGCGCCGGCATGTGTGCCAAGGGCCCAAGAACTTTCAACAGGGAACCAAGCGCTCACCAGCGAACAGCTGATGAAGCCCCAAGAAAACGCCCTACAAACCCCTTGCAACCACCATGCCTGTTTACCGCCAGAACGAGCGCTTCTGCCAAGCCAACAACGTACGTGCCCTTCCGCTGGCCGCCGCCCCAGAGGCGCACCGTGAAAAACGTGGATGCGGAGCAAGTGGACGTCAACAGTCAACGCAGCAGGGCAGGCTCGCTAGCTCATACTGTAATTTCCAACTACGACTCTCCCAGAGTGTCGCATCCAGTCCAAGTAGTAGCGTTGACTACAAGCGCTGGCAAACAAACGTAACAAGACACCCAACGACCGAAATTTATGGGGACCGATCAGCACGGGATACCCCAGATTTAGCCTTTTTAAAGCTGCGGTTCCGTTCTTCTTTTGCTATTTTCAAGAAACCCGGAAGAGAACATACCTCAGCGCTGCCTGGTGCGCGGGCGGAGCTCCGTAGGGAATATCACCGGTCTCCGAGCGCTCTTGTCGCCAGCCATCACCTGACGCTATCCTAGCAATCCAGACCCCCTCTCCCTAAACACGCCGCGGCGCTAGCAAAGTCGTCTGTGTGTGTGTGTGTGTGTGTGTGTGTGTACGACTGACGTCCAACTAAGCTCCCGTCCGGACGCTAATTCCGCCAACTTTAACTGGATGGATGGCCCGGCAGCCAATCTCTCGCCAGCGGACAGACCCCCAAACAACCACCACATGCACCCAGCGCGCATCTCGTCCTGGTTCGGAAGATGGCCTGCAGCCAGCGACTGAGCGCTGGTGGTTGGTGGCGTCGCTTGGCGTCGCGTGCTGACAATCCCTACACCGGCCCGGACGCGCGACGTATGAGAGGCCTCATCACGTACGGCGGCGAGCCGAGCTTCTGGACTAGTGGCAAACCTAGCTCGTCACACGGTTCTTCATGTGCAGGCCGCTGTTGGCTTGGCAAACCTCGTTGGCTTTGCGCCATACATTCCGAATGTAATCGTAGAGGGGTGTGCGTTTCCTAAAAGTCACGTTAATAGTTGGCGATAGACTGATGGCTACCGTAGTGAGAAACAGACAGCATTTGCACGGGGAAATGAAAAGAATGTACGGCATATTATAAAAAAGGTCTCTTTTTTTGTATCTGATTACTGCATGCTCGGCAGGGGCGCTGTCAATATCGCGTATATCCTATGCTTGCCTCGTTGCATAGTGTGCAAATATGCCAACCATGCAACACTGCTATGCCGTCCTTGTTACCCATTTTCCAAATTGCCAGTTGATTTTGCCCCTGCTTTGAGACGCAAAAAAGGGCCGTTCCCAACTCCTTGACGCCAATGCCAATGCAGCCAAACTTTTTCACGACATGATGGCCACGTTGAAAAGTGGTTCATCTGCGTTATACTTCCACCGCTTTTCTTCGTACCGTAGAAGCTTTGAAATTTCCTCCTCTGACCAAAAGTGTTCCTCCTTTTTTCATGCTGCGGGCTGCAAGATCCCGTCATATTCATATTTATCAAACCAAAAAGATGCAAAGCGTAGTGTTTTAAAAGTCGTCATTACTTCCTTTCAGAGAGACACACTTTAGTTGTAAGTGCGAGAAAGGTTGCGGAGGTACCAGTCCACCAGCTTGCGGCCAACCTTGGCTTCGGAAATGTGGATGATGTTCTCGGAAATGGCGTAGTCAAGATCGCTCAGGTTGACAAGGTCGCCGTCGAGTAGAGAGTTCTCCGACCAGCGCAGCTGCTTGTTGTGCTGCTTGGTGACCATGAGAAGAGAAAGGAGCTCATCGGGCTTGACCTCGAGGAAGCCAGCCAGCTTGCCAAGCTCCATGGTGGTGTAGAGACGGAGGTAGGACTTGATGGTGGGGCTCCACATGTTGGTCTTGACCTCGTCCATGAAGACGGCGAGATGGTGCTCGAGAGGGTCGACGTTGGACTCGGGGTTCTCAAAGTCAGGAGGAGTGGGCGAGATGAACTTGGGGGCGGCGGTGCGGAAGAGCTCCTCGAAGATGGGGAGCGACTCGGGGCCACCACGCTGCAGCTTAAGCAGCTGGTCGCCGTACTTCTCGCGGAGGGCGCTGTGGATGGTGTCGTCGAGACGAGTGGGGTGGAAGGCAACGCAGATGGCGATGAGGGCGTACATCTGCTCGTTCTTCTTGGTGATGGAGTCGTACTGGGCGTTCTTCTGGAAGTTCTTGGTGCGAGAGACGTAGATGAGGATGTGGCTGAACATGCGGATGGCATCGGCATAGCGGCCCATCATCATGTAGGAGAAACCGACGTAGTAGTACGTGGTGAAGTGAGCAGCCATGACACGGGCAAACATGGCCTTCTTGTTGAGCTCAATGTCATCGAGGGTCTTGAGAGCAAGACCAAAGTCACCGAGCAAGCAGTGGACGCGGAGGAGACCGATGATGGAGAAGTAACCCAACATGCGGTAGAGGTTCTTGGAGCCGTACTCTCCGGCAACAGCAGCGGGGTCCTCGTTGCGCTTCATGGCAGCGAGCTGCTCAGTAATTTGCGAGCGCTGCATTAACGAGTAGAGAACGTTGAGCACACTGTAGCAGCCCCAGGTGTTGGGGTTCTCCTTGAGCATCTGGAGCTCCTCATCGTTGTTGGCCTGTCGGGCAATGCGCAGGCGGTAAGAAGAGAAAGAGTTGAACTGGTAGATGAATTCGTCGATAACGTCCCAAGCCCAGTAGTACTATTGTTGTGATATATACGTTAGCAAAATTTCAATCTTTTACATCTTTTGTCGCATATCGACCCAACGGCCGCGCGGGGAACACTAACTGAAGGGGGCTCGAGGTCGACAGGGCCCTCAGAGTTGAGGATGAAGTGGAACAAGCTGCAGTAGGAGTCGTAGCTCTGGAACTTGACCTCGAGAGGAGCGGAGAAGTCGAGCGGCTGAGCGGCGAGGACGAGGCGCGACTGGATATCGTCGGTCTGGGGCGCGCTGTTGGTCTGGCTAAGCTCTTCGCCATCCTCATACTGGACCTGCTCTCTGTAATCGGCGACGAGAGCCTCCTCTTCAACATCGGAGTCAACGTCGATGGCACGGGGAGGGGCCGCGCCGTTCTGGTAAGAAGCCATGATTGCGATGTGCGGGTTGGCAGCAGCGGTCGAATCGGGGCGTGGGGAGTTCGGGGGAGTTGGGCGTTAAAAACGATAGGTATGCAGGATCTAACTAGCAGACCGAGCCGTTTAAAATATTTGCTTTCCGACCTTGAAACGCCGAAGCAGCTCTACGCGAGATTGAGGGATGAGGGGCGTCGCTACCAAAATTTCGTGAGTTTGTTAGGGCTTGTGGTGCGGATATGCCAGTAAGCCGTATACTTGTGTGGCTTAGCTGCATATCGTGTCTACCTATCGAGGGGCATTTTCGGATGGTGGGGCAACACTGCCCGAGTGCTGAGAGCGGGGTGGGCTGGCTAGCAAAGGCAAGGCGAAAAAAAAAAAGCTTTAGCGGGGGAATACACTGTAAAAGCAGGACGGGTATCTTTCCCAGCAAAACAGCTAGCGCCATAGAATAATTCTGTGAATTTCCAGCAGAAATTTGCCCTCGTTTATCGCACCCTACAGAGCCAGTAAAAAGCCAGCTGCGGATCAGCCATACAGCATTAGTCACACGTTTTTAGCTGCAGTTCAAGGCCTGCCTCCCGCTGTGGGTACCTGTGGAAGAGTCATCCAGCAGGCTCTGACGCAACCTCCAAAGACGCTTGCATCCTTGCTGGTCAACCACGCGAGCAAATCCCTGCAGCGACAAGCCTGGCTGTGTTGAACGCCGCTTGTATAAGTAGCAGCGCGACGTGGTTGCTACAGACGGCTCTGGATAAAGAATCGAAACTTGTCGATTGCATCACCAAACTATATACCCGTGCAAGTACACGACTGCACAATGCCCGTCGTCACTCCAGAAAAGCTGGCTAGCCTGCAGAGGAAGTCCCAAGATGTTCGAAATGTATGTATTCTACCAAATACCAGCTGCCTGGCGTGTAATTAACAGTCTTAGATTTGCATTCTAGCCCACGTCGACCATGGTAAAACGTCTCTGACAGACGCCTTGCTTGCCACCAACGGCATTATATCCGCAAAGCTTGCTGGCAAGATCCGATATCTCGATTCTCGACCGGACGAACAAACTCGAGGCATTACCATGGAATCCTCCGCTATATCCTTATTTTTCTCTATGCTTCGCCGTAATGCACCTGGCGCAGAGCCAGAAGCCAAAGAATATCTTATCAACTTGATCGACTCTCCAGGCCACATCGACTTTAGCAGCGAAGTTTCTACAGCATCTAGATTATGTGATGGTGCTGTAGTGCTGGTAGATGCTGTAGAAGGCGTGTGCAGTCAGACTGTCACTGTCTTGCGACAGTCGTGGACTGAGAAGCTCAAGCCTCTGCTGGTAATCAACAAGATGGACCGTTTAATCACCGAGCTCAAGATGACGCCCAACGAAGCCTTTACCCATCTGAACAAGCTCCTAGAACAAGTCAACGCCGTTCTCGGTAGTTTCTTCCAAGGCGAACGCATGGAAGAAGATCTCAACTGGAGAGAAAAGATGGAGGAGCGGGTCAACGCTGCCGCCGCCGCGAAAGCCGAGGCTGCAGACGACGCTACAGACGCAGGCGAGCTGGAATTTGAAGAAAAAGACGATGAAGACATCTACTTTGCTCCCGAGAAGAACAACGTCATCTTTAGCAGCGCTATTGACGGATGGGCGTTCACATGTCGCCAGTTCGCCAGCTTATACGAGAAGAAATTGGGTATCAAGAGGGGTATCCTCGAAAAGGTCCTCTGGGGATCCTTCTACCTCGACCCAAAGACAAAAAAGATTCTCGGTGCCAAGCATCTCAAAGGCAGAAACTTGAAGCCCATGTTTGTACAGCTTGTCCTCGAGCCTGTCTGGACTGTGTACCAAGCAACTACGGGAGGTGATGCTGGCAAGGGAGACCCCGTGCTTTTGGAAAAGGTTACAAAGTCTCTTGGCATTAATATTCCCCCTCATACTCTACGAGCCCGCGATCCCCGACTGCTTCTTACGACTGTCTTCTCCAACTGGCTACCATTGTCTACTGCGTTGCTAGTATCCGTTATTGAATCGCTACCTTCACCACCGGCAGCCCAGCAACAAAGAATACCCGATGTTTTGGATAGCTCGCCTGGATCGGATAAGATCAACCCAGCTATTCGAGACGCCATGGTTTCATTCAAGATCGAAAAGGAAGATCCCGTGGTTGCATACGTTAGTAAAATGGTGTCTATCCCAGAGAGCGAACTCCCCGAGCATAAACGCAAGGCTACAAGCCATCTCAGTGCGGATGAAGCTAGAGAACTAGCCCGTCAGAAGCGAGTTGAGGCAGCCCGAGCCATTGCACAGCAAGGCGAAGCAGTGAATAACGTGGCAGATACACTTCAGCATATCAACCTCGACGACTACACACCAGAACTCGAGGAAGCCAAAGTAGACCCCGAGCACCTCATTGGCTTTGCCCGTATTTTCTCAGGTACACTATCCATTGGAGATTCCATCTACGTCATCCCACCCAAATGGTCCCCCGCGGACCCCGATACAGAGCCGAAGCCTGAAAAGATTGAGGTCAAGGCACTGTACATGCTCATGGGCCGTAACCTGGAGGCTCTCGACTCAGTTCCCGCAGGTGTGGTCTTTGGAATTGCTGGTCTCGAAGGCAAGATTCTCAAGTCCGGTACGCTATGCAGTCAGATCGACGGCGCAGTAAACCTCGCTGGTGTCAGCATGGCCGGTCAGCCTATCGTCCGTGTTGCTCTTGAGCCTGTCAACCCTGCTGATCTGGACAAGATGATTGAAGGACTAAAGCTTCTGGTACAAAGTGACCCTTGCGCTGAATACGAGCAATTTGCCAGCGGAGAGCACGTCTTGCTTACTGCCGGTGAATTGCATCTGGAAAGATGTTTGCTCGATCTCAAGGAACGATTTGCCCGCTGCGATATCCAGGCCGGTGCCCCCATTGTGCCGTACCGCGAAACGATTGTCCGTGCCGAAGAAATGAGGCCTCCCGTGAATAAGGAACTAGGACGCGGTGCTGTAGAGATTACCACCAGCTCCAAGCTAATCTCTCTTTCTATCCGCGTTCGCCCACTACCCGCTGAAGTCACTGATTTCCTGATCAAGAACGCCGACTCCATCAAGCGCGTCTACACAGAGAAGAAGTCCGCTGGCGAGGATGCTGAGTCGGAGGCTATTGACGAGAAGATTGCTGTAGACACCGCTCTAGCTTCCAATGCTATTCTATCCGCAGATGACCTAATGAAGAAACTCCAGGAGCTCCTAGAGACTGGCAAGGGCAAAGAACTATGGAAGGGTGTCATTGACCAAGTTGTCGGTTTCGGCCCACGCCGCACAGGACCAAACCTGCTCATCGATGCAACAAAGGACGGCATCCTCCCCAGAATCTTTGCCACCGGAAAGACCAACAGCAACGGCAGCTCCGACTCCTTACACCCCAAGCACCTCGCCGATAAAATCTCCTACGCCTTCCAGCTCTCCACGGCGCAAGGTCCTCTATGCCAGGAGCCAATGCAAGGCGTAGCCGTCTTTGTCGACGACGTCACTCTACACCTTGAAGGTGAGGAGTCCGGAGCGCGCGAGAACATCGGCCGTCTCACCGGCGAAGTCATCAAGGCCTTCCAGTCCGCCATTCGAAGTGGCTTCCTCGACTGGTCGTCACGCCTCATGCTGGCCATGTACACCGTGGAAATCCAAGCCTCCACCGAAGTCCTGGGCCGTGTATACGACGTGTTGACTCGCAGACGCGGCCGCGTTGTCGCCGAGACCATGAAGGAGGGCACGCCGTTCTTCACCATCCAAGCACTGCTCCCTGTAGCCGAGAGTTTCGGTTTTGCCGATGAAATGCGCAAGCGAACAAGTGGTGCCGCCCAGCCACAGCTCATCTTTGCCGGATTTGAGATTCTTGATGAAGATCCCTTCTGGGTCCCGTTCACCGAGGACGATCTGGAAGACCTAGGCGAGCTTGCGGACAAGGAGAATGTCGCCAAGAGATATATGGATGCTGTGCGTCGCAAGAAGGGTCTCTTGGTAGAAGGCAGGAATGTCGCGACGGATGCAGAGAAGCAGAAGACGCTGAAACGATAATTGATGAACTCTTGAATAGAATAAAAAAAGTACCAATGCATATTGAAAAAAAACCCGCCATCTGTCTATATCTAAATCTCGCTTTTAGAAAACATTGCTCGCTTGCTGTTGTTTATATACTCGGGTATCTCATCCATCTGGGACACTATGTCGTTCCCGTAGCCGTAAATGTGTTACCCAAAACAAAATGTAACGCCATGCTCCACAAACATGCTAATCAGAACTTTTCTTTCTCTTCATTCTTACGCCCTGCAATCTAGTTGCTTGGGCCCGGGCTTCCATCCTTGTTGTATTGGATCGAGACCTCTACTGTCCGTTTTATAATCATCTTCTCTGAGCCGTCTGTTTGCACAGACCACGATTCATCCTGCTCCTCGCTTGTCTTTGATCTTTTAAGTTTGCCCTTGTGCTCAGTGGACGCTTTCTTTCCACGTTCCGCACTTGTTCGTGGTTGGGTTATTGACGCTCCTGCTGCTGCTGTTGCAGTAACATCCGCTGATGTAAACCCACCTTTGGCCTGTGGTCCCTCGTACGGTTTCCAAGCATTCTCGCCGGAGGGGTCCTGTTGGTCTTGCGGCCGCGGATGCAGATTTTGCAAGCGGTAGTACCGCTCGCGTGTTCGGTCTTTGGAAGCAAGCGTCGAGCTATGCGACGTCCCTCCAGCGTATCCAACAACATGTGCTGGGTCGAATACTGCGAGGAATGGCTTCAAGGCTGTCATTGAGCATGCTATAATTGAGAATTGTAGGACGGCTTCTGTAAAGATGTCTGCTACTATGCCTGATGCGGTGGGGGATTCGTTTAATATAGAGGGTTGGAGGTAGCGAAGGCGTAGGATCACTAAGGGTATCAATCTGAGCGTGGTGTTAGCATGGGATATTATACGTGAAGGGCGATTTCTTTACAATAGGCGTGTGCCAAAGGCTGTGAGGATAAAAAGTCGCCTGGTAAGCTTCATCTGCAGCCCCCACACGAGGTGACACGATGAAATCCAGAGGGCGAATTCAAGAACCATCCCGCTGATTTCAATGCCCATCCATGCGGTGTGCTAAAAAGTAGAATTAGTAAATGTACATGTGGGATGCTGCGTCAGCTACGTACGAGATGGGTGTCGTTGGTTATAGTCTGCCAGTGTTCGTAGCCACTGACAGCAATGGCAATGATGGAGCCCGTTACCCATACTGCACCGGCTATGGCGAGACTTCTGGCGATCCAAACATTTCCTTTAGTGAAGATAATATGACCAATAAACATGGCCGTCGCGATGCGGCACAGTCCGATGGAGATGAGGTAGAAGAACTGCGCGACATACAGGATCTGGAACAGCGGAGGTTAGAAGCTGCCAGGCGTAGAATAGAGAGTGTCTCCTTTTTCAGTCTTACCATAGATATTTGAGGTACTGGAGCATCTTGCAACTCAGCAAGAGCCTTGCCATATCCCCAGTTGATTGCTTTGGCCACGAGGGCAACGTGAACCAGCGACGCAAGCTGTGCGGGATCTGTGGTTAGCCGACAAACAACAGGACGATCAGAACACACAAAAAGAGAGACATACGAATGCGGTTAAATAGGCGTAGTCGTCCAACGCCCATGATTTTGTTCTGTACTTTGCCCACACGCGGATCAGAAAGGCAACAAGCGACCAGGAAAAGAAAATATAGGCGGCGCACGCCAGCCAAGAACCACGATTCTCGCCCATGGCATCTTCATGGGCTGGCTATGCAGCGTAACAAAAACAACACAGTATAGGGGACTTGGGTTTGTTAATGAGTGAGTCGGTTGGTTGGGAAGTGTGAAACAAATCGGAAAAGTGCAACGGCAGCAGCCACAGTGTTTATCAGACAGCCCGATTCCGCCAAGGGGTTACATTAGCGCTGGTCCTTTTGCGATGGTCCCATACGCATGAACCCATGCTGCAACGTTTTATGCACACAACAAATAAAGAGGGAGGGAAGAGAGCCAAGGCCCGCGGAGGCTTCCATTTTCTGCGGTGGCCCGAAGCGTTACGACATCCGAACTTTTTACAGGGGCTCGCAAAGGGGACCACACGGCCTGAGCCCCGGGGAACAGGGATTCGACATGGCGCTAATGCAGTCCACTATCCGACACACCAACCAAGCGCAGCGCTGAGCTGTTGGCTCTTGTTGCGGAAGGTGATGCGAAACGTCTGGACCCCAAGTTAGGCTCCCCCCGATCACTGTGGCGGCCGCTAAAGAAGAGAGCTTAGCACTGGATACACCACTAATTTAAAAAAGGAGGCTTCATGGCGTGACATAGTATGTACGAATTGTAATTAACTTTTGTGCAGATCATGCAACGCACCAACGGCTAAACTACGCCATGTGTCTCTTTCTTCCCTCCACCAACACCACAGGCCCATCGTAGCGCTTGCGCCCAGCAACAAAGTAGTAAATTAGCGAGATGATAATCGTCGCCACGAAAATCGGCGAGCTCCAGTTGAACAGGCCCACGATGACGGGCGTCGATTGCGGCCAGAAGCTCCAGAAAAAGGACCACAGACCAAATGCAACAGCGGCCGCGTTGACGGGGACACCCCATCGTCCAAGGGACCACTGCGCAAAGGGCAGCGTCTCGGGGTAGTAGATGCGTCTCCAGAGCATGCAGGAGCTGCTAATCACGTAGCAGCCGATAATGGCAACGACGTAGAGCGAGGTGAGGGCGTAAAAGGCAACAGGGCTGCCAATGTAGATGAGACTGAAGATGCAGGCAAAGACACCGCTGAAAATGTACGCGTTGGTGGGCGTGTGAAGCTTAGGGTCGACCTTGGAGATCCAGGCCGAGTACGGAAGACCGTTGTCACGAGAAAAGGCGTACAGGTCACGGCTGACGGCGGCCAAGTACGAGACAACACCTACCCAAAGGAGGGCGCAAATAATGGTTAGAAGAACAGTCACCCAGGCGGTAGACATGGACTGCTTGATGACATAGATGGCCGGGTATGTGCTGGGGTCGGCGAGAGACTGCTCGATAGAGGGGATGTGGTAGACGAGGGTGAGGGAGGTGATGAATGTCTGCAAGAAGTTGACAATGAAGATGATGATCATGACGCGGGGGACAGACATGCTTGCGTTCTTGACTTCCTCGCTCATGTGGGCTGCCTGGAGATATCTTGTTAGTACATACATGGAGATTGTAGTCGTTGAAAGTGCTGCTTACAGTGTCAACGCCAGTACGGGCTGTAATGGCAGGCAGCTGTGCGATAAAGACGGCGAGCACCGTGCTTTCCCAGCCGCCCGTAAACTCCCACTTAGTCCAGACGTCTGACGATGGGACAACGGGCGCGTTGATCCAGATGGGGATAAGGAAACCAATGTACGCTGCGATGGCGAGCGCAAAGAGAGCGTTTTGTAGGTAAGGAATGATGTGTGTTCCGTAGATGCTCAAGGGCACACTGACAATGGTGACACCAATGGCAATGACGGTGGCATGCCAGTTGGGAAAGGCATAGTCCGGATTGTTGATGAGGATGATGCTCTGGATGAGGGTGCCGAGGAGGAAGATGCCCTGGGTGTTGCCAGACTGCCATGCCAGCGTGGACAGCCATCTATAAGACACATGTTAGCAACAGACACTGGCTATTTCCACGACTAAAACAGACATACCCAGTCATGTAGCTCAGAAACTTTTGGTATCTTTCTGGCGCAAACTCACTGACCCAGTGATACTGGGCGCCAGCAATGGGAGCCATACTCGCCATCTCCGCCATACTCAGGATGATGGGGACGAAGCCAACGAAGCACCATAGATAGGACCAGAGCAGTGCCGGAGCACCGCCATTGATAAGAGCTGGTGTGACCTAGCAGGTTTTGTCAGTATTGAAAATTCCAATATACAGTCTACCTGCAACTAAGCAGAGGACAATGTCTTTGTTTACCTGGAAGAGGGTCAATTGCCAGGCACTCGTGGCAACAACGACAAAGGAAACAAGTGAAAATAGTCGATAATGGCGCACAAGTTCCTGTGAGCGACCCATTCGGTTCATGGCCTGCGCATCAGCTTGCGTAGATCGGTAGACACCGTCGACTTCGTCGAGGCCAGCAGCCTCAGTGTCTACATGTGTAGATCGCTGCTGGTGCTGCATCTCGACAGCTTCGTTGGACGGCATTGCTCTTGCGTGTGTTGGACTGAACTACCGGGCTGTGAGAGTGAAAGAAAGACAGCCAAACCGCCGTGCTTTTGAGGCGAGCGTCTATTATCCGAGATTTCTTCTGGACCGCGCCCGCGATCACCAGCGGTGCGTGGAAAATATAGCATTAATACCCCTGTACAGTTACCCCCCTAGTCGCCATGTTGTTCGTGTGAGTGAGTGGGACTGTAACGTAGCTAGCTGCATGCAAGAGAGCCCTCGGAGAACCACGGGCCAGCGACCCCAACTTGGAAATGAGCCGCAAAAGAGTTTTCTGGGTTTGCCGATGGGATGGTATCCGAAGCGAGTATCGCTTCTTCTTGGGGCTTCATCGGTTGTTGCTGCTAGGCGTGCTCCCTAGCATCTAAGTCTGTTGCGGCTGAGCCAGCAGTCCTCACGTCTGCTCTGACCTGCTGTAAACTATCGCACATGGTAGACGATTTTTTTTTGGTTTCGGCCCGTAGGACGATGCCAAGTCTCACCTCATTCCTCTATCCAATTCATATGCATTGGCATTAAGAAAATCCCTGCATTGCTCGCAAGAGAGGAGGGACCCTCGTTTGCGAAAAAAAAGAACCCTGGTGTATGCAGCCGCGGTGGAGTTTCTGTGCGTTTAGATTAACGCCAAACCACGCTAAAGATTCCCTTTGACTTGGCTTTTTTTCGAGTCTCGGTAACTGGCCCCTTGCATGCTGCAATACATTGTATATTGTTCGAAATATATTAAGCACTGTAAATGCAAACGGTGGCTGGCGCTCTCCCTTGTCAACCCTGCAAATCCACCTTCTAGAAGATTAGAGGCAATGAAACGGTTGAAGTCCCATGCACAACCGTTTGATCAGCCAGGAAGAGAGTCGGCAATAGCAGCCACCCGTTTCTGCACCAACGTAGAGTTGCATCCTGCGACTGGTACTACTGTTGCTGGTGTCCCGATGTGGATGGGGGAGTCCTGTGTGTTGTACTTGGCCTGGTTCACGCGTCGCAGTCACGAGACGCCTCAATTGTCGTAGATGATGGGATTATTTGAACGAGTTTGTAAAAAAAGAGCTGTGGCATATGCCGATGTAGCACTATCACTTGTTTTCTATCTCGTCAAGCACCGTAGGCATTGAAATCTTGATGGATACCGTTGAATGTGAGCGGTGCAGTTGATAGATGGGATATGATGAAATCATCTAATCCCTAGGCGAGGAAATGTAAAATCGCTCTCACTGAGCATAGATTCAAGTCCATGGAGTAGCCGTGTCGCTTTCGTCTGGAATATTCACCTGATCCCTCTATATTAGCGTTGAAGTAAGGCAACGGGCGGGGATCGAGAATCGGACGCCACGCCGTACGGGAGGAGCCACTACTCCCGCAGGAGTAGGAGGCACATCTGTACAGTAGTGCTGACAAGTGTAAGTTGGCAATAGAGAGGGTCGGGAAAAGGTGGGCTGTGAACGAATAAAATGTGTCTTCGTTAGTAAATTCTGGTTGATGAATGGTCTAATTGTAAATTGTAGAATGCCAGCTGTCAGGACCGGCCACTTGAAGTGCAAAGCCGAGGGTTACTATTTGGCTGACATGAACCTCAACTGAATTTCAGTTACTGTTAATGGGCACAATGAATCTTTTATGCAGTAACAACTAATCTGACATGCTTAAAATGTCTTATAGATAATGTTATTATTTTTCATACGCTTTTAAATAATTATTTACACTCACTAAGAATCGAGACGTTGCTTACCGGGTAGTGAGTCCACTGCACACTACACACAGCGTGAACAGCGCCATTGTCTCCACTGAAGCACGCCGCCTCACTGCGCTGTGACGCACTGCACGTTAGCACCTCAACGGGCGCTCGCTGCCTACGGTGCTCCTGCGCACCCCACGTTTTTCGCCCGCCTTTGGAAAAAACCCCTGCGTTTTCGTCCGTGCTTTTTTCCTCCTCCTCTCCAAACAATCACGGCCACGCATCCTTTCGCCTCACTTGTGCGCCGTCACGCTACTTCTTTTTTTTAGTCAACAGCCTTTGTATAGAATCCCTTTTTCTTGACCACTTCTTGTATCTTGTCCACCTTATTCCTTAGAACTCCTCCCCCTTTTGTACATTACCTTGCTTCTTGCGCTGGCCACGCGGCAACACACACGGTCAGACGACATCCGACTTTGCCCAATCATCTGCGCACCCGCCCGTCGCACGACATCTACCCGTTTGCAACCGACACCTGTCGCCCATACGCTTCATATCCCCTCCTGTTTTCGCGACCTCCGCGCCGCACCCGACCATGCCTCTCCTCGGCGGAAAGGGCAACAAGTTCAAAGCTGATCCCCCCAAGATCAGAATCGAACGTGTTGCCGTCGAGAGACCTACGCCTGTGAAACCCAAGACGAAGCCATCCTCCCTCGCTTCCAAAACCGCATCCTCCTCGCGTGCCGCATCCACGCCTGGTTCTTCCCCGAAACCGTCGCCGCGACCAAAGAGTCACTCCCCGTACCCTTCGTCGTCGGACGAAAAGCGCCTCGAGCGGAAGCGCAAGGCAGCCCCCTCGACCCCCGCGAAGAACAAGTCGCCGACGAATAATCGAATCGCGTTCGATAAGGACAGCGACAATGAAGACGACGGCGGCTGGATGAACCTCGACACCCGCAAGCGGCAGCGCAAGAGCGGCGACTCGGAACAGCTGTCCGACCCGAACCGCAAGCTCCGCAATGTGCAGGCATATGAGGAGCCTGAAGCTGGCCTCAAGTTTATTCATGCGCCTGATATTCCGTCGCAAGATACCAAGTTGGTGCCCGTCATGGGCGGAACCATGGACGACGTGGCTATTGAGATTCAATATCCTAGCCCGCAACCTAGGGAACGGTACGTTTTGTGTTTTCAGAATACGCTGATTATAACGATTTTATTGACAAGAGTATAGATACGAGCTAGTATGGGGCAAGGACAAAATCGATGCAGTTCAAGCGAGTATCCGAATCGTGCAGCTCGTAGCCGAAAACTACCTCTCAGGCGACGAAGCCGAGCCGTTCACCAACCAAACCAACGGGTTTATCCGACGCCTCGAAAAGGCATCGAACCGAAACATCCAAGACTTGGCTGGTTTCAAGTCTGCCATTCGCGAATACAACCAGTCGCTCCTTGCTCTCATAGAAGACGGCGTCATCGCCAAGAACCTCGACAAGATGCACGAGCTGCCGGCGCATCTCGTGGCGTTTATCCTCGACCAAGTCTACGACCGCACCGTCGCCCCCAAAGTTGATCTGCTGTCCAAGTACGAAAACGGCACCGATTACGTCTACGGCGAGCTTCTGCATCCTTTCATAACCAAGCTGCTGGTCGAGCAGACCAAGATGACGTCAGACCAGGTCTTTGTCGACTTGGGGTCGGGCGTAGGAAACGTGGTGCTGCAGGCGGCACTAGAGGTTGGCTGCGAGGCTGTGGGCTGTGAAATGATGGAAAATGCATGCAATCTGGCTGACGCGCAGGCCAAGGAGTTTGATGCTCGCTGCAAGCTCTGGGGTATCCAGGCCGGCAAGGTCCAGCTTGAGCGCGGCGACTTCCGCAAGAACCCCGTCGTCCTCAAGGCTCTGCAGCGTGCTGATGTTGTTCTCGTCAACAATAAAGCCTTTACTTCGCAGCTCAACGACGACTTGGTGCGCATGTTCCTTGACTTGAAGCCCGGGTGCAAGGTCATATCTCTGCGTTCCTTTGTCACCGACTTTAAGAGCTCGCATAACATCAACGACGTCGGAAGTACCATTTTGGACGTGGAAGAGTTTGCTTATCCCGAAGGCTTTGTCAGCTGGACGAATGCAGGAGGCCCGTATTTCATTTCCACAAGGAAAGGCGTCTAAAAGTCCCCGTTAGAAGCCAAGCAAACCAAAATAAGAAAAAAAAAAGAGGTGATGAAGCGCAATTGCAGGCGAACATTTCACCATAGAGATACATACATCACATCCCATAGAGAATAATCCAACATGCGTAATGCGTTCATGTAATTCGTAGCTCGTTATTCTTTTCGTGGACGCCATGATGCTCGTCACCGTGTGCGGAATTCAGGCTCGTTGGCAATGTTCATGGCCTCCGCCTCTTGCGCCATGCGCTTCATCCAGCGGTCTACTAGCTCTTTATTTTCCACCTTGACCTTGTCGCGCTCCGTTTCAGCCACAGACATTTGCAAATTAAGCGTAATCATCTCATCCTGAACTTGCTGCACGGGTAGGTATTAGTAGTGTAGGTGCACACTAGGTTCTGTTATACTCACCTCGAGAAGCTTGTGTTTCTCACGCAGCTCATGTTCTCTGTCTTTTAACCTCGTGACGAGCATCGTGCGCTCTGATGAGAGTGTCTTTATCCTGTGCGCATCCTCTTTAGATTTTGCCTTTAGCTTGGTAAGCTCTTCGTCGGAACTTCGTAGACGGGCTTCTGTCACGCCCTTGGAGCGGAGAGCTTCTGCGAGATCGAGGCGTAGTTGGGCGACACCGGGGTCGTTCGGGTTTGTCGATGCAGGTGTCGTCTTGGATGGAGGAGATGAAACAATGTGTGTCTCAAGGGTTGCCTTTTCCGCCTCCAGTGCTGCTATTCTGTCGACCATTTCGGAGCCTAGCAAGGTTAGCAGGAGATGACGTAGTGGTGCGGGGGAGACACGTGCATGTTTGGACGAGTTCCATGTTGACTGGGTTATTCTTCTCGGCTTCTTTAAGCGAGACGAGATATTCGTCTCTCCATGGCGGCATTTTGGGCGGCGGTATAATTTCTGCTGAGATTAGTTGATGGTAAATACATGTTGGAGTAGCTGCCCCTCCGCCACAGACAGCTTGTTGGAGTGGCGGGGCACAGCCAATCGCGTGACTGCTAGAACACCTTACCAATACCAAATACCCAACCATGAGCTCTACACCATCGTGAATTTCTTAGCCGAGCGATCTCTACCTTAAATCGCGGACGGTGCAACTTCAGAATTTACAGAGGTTTGCACTATGCGATCTTCTGTCAAATAGAGTACCAACGAGTTCCTCACAACGCCAGTGTGTTGTCCAGCTACATGTTTCGGAAAGCCTATGGATTCCGCTGCGGCAGTTCGATATTGCAGCACAATACGTCCATTTATGGAATAATTCTTTGTAACAGATGATTTTAATTGATTATGTCGTTCATACTGCTCTAGCGTCGCCATGTTCCATTACGTGAAGGTTACTACCCAGTGTGACGGCAAGCTTTGACAGCAGACTGCTACCAATACGACTCCTGGGAGATCTCTGAACTCCACTGTATTACAGAACTGGTGTTTCCAGTAATTGAGACACTACTGTTTGACTGAGACCGGTAGTTGTTCAACTATAACAGTCTATATATATATATATATACGTCGACGTCGTCAATACAAAACCGAATCACTCGCTCTCATAGGCACGCCTAAGTGGAAATGATCTAGATCCTAAGCATGATTATCTCTTTGAAAACCGCTCTGACACTGGTAGCAACTGTAGCAGTAGCCCAGGCTACCGTTCTCACGCTCCCAGAGATTGAAGAATGCTCGAGCACTGTAACTGATGAAAACAGGGAGATGGCGTACTACCTCGACACGTACGAGTTGCCAAGCGACATGGAGCAAAACATCAACATTGATACATACATGCATGTCGTTGCAGAAACAAAAGATGAGGCTGGTGGCTATCTTCCGGTTAGTAATGCCTACTTTTGTAGCGTAGCTGCATCACTGACAGGATGGGTCGACAGAGAGAAATCGTTGAGAAACAGTTCAAGGTGCTAGTTGACTCGTTCAAAGACCACGACATCAGTTTTACACTCAAGGATATCACCTGGACAGTCAACGCCGATTGGTCCAATCACAAAGGATCCAATCTCAACTTTGCCATGAAAAAGGCGCTGCGTAAAGGGTCCTACGCCGCCCTGAACCTATACTATCTTAAGAAGGTCGACCAACACAACGGATACTGCTACTATCCTGTTGCGAACCCAGGAGACCAAGCAAGAACCCAGGATGGCTGCGTCCAGCGAATGGACACGATGCCAGGTGTAGGCGACCGAGGTTATGCTGGCTTTGTAACGACCCATGAAGTCGGTCACTGGTTGAGCTTGCTCCATACATTTGAGAATGGCTGCAACTCCCCGGGCGACCATGTTGATGACACACCGGCTGAGAACCACAAGGACAGAGATGCTTGTAATGAGCGGGACTCGTGTCCTAATAGCCCAGGCAAGGACCCTATCCATAACTACATGGCCTATGTTTTTGAGTAAGTTGTTATTGTTAGAGTAAGAGCTGTGATGTAAAATGCTGACTTTGTTACCAGTACGTGTAGAAAGGAGTTCTCTCCGGGCCAGGTCTCCAGGATGAAAAAGTCATGGGCTGCAACGCGTAGAGGCAAATAGGCATATTCATATTCTAATGTAGTTGTATTTTTACTACTTATATGGGGAGTTCTATCTTTTTCGCGTATAAGCTGGCTGTCGCTCGACCATCTGTTAGTTATTCATCGTCACTAACAAGCTCCATTCCTTGAAATAGATCAAGCCAGTCGTCCAGTCTTTCGTTGATAAATGTGTCCAGATCCCATAGGCTTTGTGATAGAAGCCCCATCTCGCCATTCCAAGTATACATGTCAGCCTCTGCCGTTTCACCTGTAGGTGTCTTTTTGGCAACTAGTATGCTCACATTCACGGCGGTCGCCACGTAGAGCTCGCCTTCAAAGTTATCCAACTTTCTCCGTTCGGATGCTGTGTTGAGCCGAAGTAAATATCCATCAATAGTTGAGCTAGAGTTGTTCTCGTCTCTAATTGCGGCTGGATAATCGGCGTGTTGGAGGGCGAAGCGGATGTATCCCGAGACTTGGGCCGGGCTGATCATAGGTGATACTGTCGCTATGGAAGCATCTCCCGTCAATACCCAGGCAAGGAGTGGTTTAGCCCGTAGAATCATATAAACAAATATAGGCCGTGGTAATATATCTGGTGAGGCAGGCTTACATGCTACTGGCTGTGTTGGGCTATCTGGCTGGGACGTCATGATTTCGGGCTGCGGCAGGGAATAATGGGCAATAATTTAAGAGGAATAAAGGAAATAGTCATGCCAAATGAAAGACTGAAATATTTAAAAGAATTTACTTTTCACATTATTTAGTCTTTTGCAGCTATCAAAGTTCACAGAGTATAGGCAACCGCGGCTCTGTTTAGCCGCGGAATAAGCGCTACCGTTGATGACGCAGGTGACCTCCACTCACCATTCGAAGTTTCATCCTGCATCACGATCGTCACAAGCCACAACTCACCAGCCCGGCGCTATTATAATCCAAAATAATACCGGAAGCTGTGCGCAATGCAATAGCGTGCAATGGATACCCTACACGCCAAAGCAGACTGGGAGCGCGTGGGGGACAAGTGGTTTCGCAAGACGCAACTGTACACCGAGGTGTTTGACCAAGACTTGGACCTCGACACATACATTATCGCTGGAGCTCCTTACGGAGGAGCAATAGGTTAGTAAAGCAATGAGGAAGCTCAAAATTGAAATATGCGAGCGACGCGAAGAAACCGAAGCTAACCATAGCATAGCGCTCTGGCGCGATGAAACGAAGCTCCAGGCCTACCAAGCGGGCAAGTCTCTAAAGCCGACGGTCGATATATACAGCTTAGCAGGAAAGAAGCTGCTCAGCGTGCAGTGGGATAAAGGACCTGTCAAGGGACTAGGCTGGTCTGACGACGAGACACTCCTGATTGTCGCGGCCAACGGCGAAGTTTCGTGCTACGATTTGCAAGGCGACTTTAGCACATTCTCGCTCGGCCATGGAGCAGACAACTATGGTGTTGAGTCGTGCGCGTTCCATAACGACGGCATGGTTGCCTTGCTCGGCAACAACACCTTCATCGCTGTCAGTTCGTATATAGAGCCGCGGCCTGCTGCGCTGGCTACGCCACCGTCGGGCGAGATCCAGGCGTGGTCCATTATGCCACCAGAGCATACACTCTCTCGCACTGTAGAAGTCCTTGCGAATATTGGCTCTACCGTTTTTGCTATTGATGCTACTGAGTGCGAGGATCGCTACGTGGACTTTGGCGCACTGAGCCATATTAGTGTCTCCCCCGACGGCATGTACATTAACCTCTACTCGACGCAAGGCAAAGCCCACATTATATCGAGCGACTTCCAAGACCAAATTATGGAACATGAATCCGACTCGAAAACGCCGCCTCTGTATGTTGGGTGGTGCGGCAGCGACGCCATCATTGCCTGGGAAGACGAACTGCATATTATTGGACAGGGCTCAGAATCCTCGACGTATATTTACGACGCAACGCGCATACACATTATATCCGAACGTGACGGAGCACGAGTAATTACAAACGATTTTTGCGAATTTATAGAAAGGGTACCCGATGCTACACTACAAGCGTTTGGGGCGTCTACAGAATCGTCACCCGCCGCTATTCTGCTCGACGCTGTTGGCCAATTAGAACTGGGATCACCAAAAGCAGACGACTACATTCAACTCATTAGACCGAATTTGACAGAATCTGTAGACACTTGCGTCAATGCTGCTGGCAGAGAGTTTGACGCAGAATGGCAAAAGCGACTCTTGAAGGCGGCATCGTTCGGAAAGTCGGTACTGGATATCTACAACAGCGACGAGTTTGTCGAAATGTGCGAGACACTGCGCGTTCTCAACGCTGTCAGATTTTATAAGGTGGGACTCGGCGTGTCTTTCGAACAATTCCATCGCCTAACACCTGAACACCTCATTAAACGCCTGCTCAACCGCCACGAATACCTCCTCGCTCTGAAAATCGCATCCTATCTCAAACTTCCATCAGACCGTATATACATCCACTGGGCAGCAGCCAAGGTTCGCACGGGCACAGAAGACGAAGACACGATCTGCCGACTCGTCGTCGAACGCCTTTCTGGAAAGCCCGGCATTTCATTTGAAGAAATTGCACGAGCCGCGAACCACGAAGGCCGAACACACCTTGCTACTGAGCTTCTTAACCACGAGCCTCGTGGTGGCAAGCAAGTGCCACTACTGTTAGAGATGGATCAGGATGATATTGCGCTCGACAAGGCAGTTGAGAGCGGCGATACCGATCTGATTGCCTGTGTCCTGTTCCACTTGAAAAAGAAGCACTCGCTATCAGAATTCTTCCGCATCATCAACAGTAGACCGACGGCATCAGCACTTGTAGAAGCTGGCGCGCTTCTTGCGGACGACACAACCATGCTCAAGGACCTCTACTACCAAGACGATCGCCGCGTTGAGGGTGCCAACGTCTTCATTCGAGAATCCCTGCGCCAGCCAGACAGCCGGACGGCGTCGGATAAGTTGGCACTGGCAGGCAAGCTGCTTTTGGATTCCAAGGACTCGGCTGTTGAAACGATTGCAATCAAGGAAGCCATGGCGCTGCTGAGGCTGCAAGACGCCTTGGAGAGGGATCTTACAGACAAATTCACTGGCCTCAGCGTCAACGAGACCATGTCGAAGCTCATTCACCTGGGATACCACTCCCGCGCGAAGAAGATTCAGAGCGAATTCAGAGTCCCAGAAAAGGTAGCCTGGTGGATCAGACTTCGGGCTCTGGTCGCCAAGCGAGAATGGAGCGAGATTGAAGACATTGCCAAGAACAAAAAGAGCCCGATTGGCTGGGAGCCGTTCTACAACTTGATCCTGCAAGCCGGTAACCCACGCCTTGCCTCGCAGTTTGTAGGAAGATGTCTCGTCGAGACTGGCGAGACTATTACCATGTACGAAAAGTGCGGTATGAGGGTCAAGGCAGCCGAGGAAGCTGTCCGCCTCAAGGATGCGGAGTCGTGGCAGAGGCTTCTACAAGCTGCAGGTAGAGCGACACCCGAAGGACGAGAGATTGAGAGGCTAGGAGCCACAGTCTTTACAAAGAAGTAATGCTGAGTGACTTGGAATTCATACATATCCCATGGAAATAATTATACATTTTTAATGCCTGCCCCCTTCTATCTAAACGCCTGTAAAGCTGCATCTTTCGCTACTACTTTATATACAAGAGATACTACTTTTGGTTCTTCTTGAGTATGCCCGTGACATCTCGGTACATTTGCTCGTTAGCCAGCATCTGAATCGCTAGCTGTGCTTCTGCACGCGCCACGATTTCCGTCTGATTGTAACTGAACTGCGTACCGGCCTGCTGAGCAAACCCGGGCTCGTGGTTGAAAGCACAGGCAGTCTTACTGGCAGGATCGCAGATGTTGTAGTTTGCATGGAAAACCACTCTATCAACACCTGTTACAGAATGATCCGCACCAAGTGTCGCATTCTGCAACCACGAAGCATCAGTAGAAGCAGGAGCAAGATCTGTCTTGGCCCAGTCATGCAAGTCGTATCCTGGTGACGAAATAATGGACAGGAATGCGTCGGGAATAGACGGCGTGAGCTCCAAGCTGGGGTATTTGACATCGTGCGTGATGTTCGTGGTTAAGTTGGCAAGAGCCTTGTCGACCGATGCCGACAGGGCGGGCAGATCAGAAGTGTATCGTGTTCGCAGGTCAATTGTGATGTCGAGTTCCTTGGTGGTAGTGTTACCCGGAAGATAAAAGGCGTGCTTCGCATCCTTGGACATGGCGCGGAAGAGCTCGGTCGACAGGATCAGCGGACTCTTTGTCGAGTGGGAGCCGTGGCCGCCAGGCCCAGTCATGTTGACAGCAATACCGTCTTTATCCTGGAACACGGTGTACTTGACATTGGGATACGTGCTGTCGAGGATAGAGTCGAGCGTTTTGCGGACCTCGTCTGCCGTGGTGCTAGTCACGCCGAGGCTGATGAATGTCTGGACCGTGTTTGTAGCATACACGCCAATGTTTTCAATAGTGGCAGCGCTGGAGGCCGTGCCTGGCAGATTTCCCGTCAAGCCGTCTGCCGCAAGAAGACCCTGGTATGCCTTGTAGACTGCTTCTTGGTGCGTCTTGCCCTGAAAGCGGGCGAAACAGTTGAGGCGCGAGTTCATTGGCTGAATGGCGCTTTTCACCGTAGGATGGGCCATGACCCAGACATCCGCGCTGTCAAATGCACCACGGGCATTGAGGATGTGTTTCCCAGCTGCGTTTTCTTCGTCTGGTGTACCAATGAGCTTGATGCGGCCGGGGAGGTCAAACTTTTGCAGCGCCAGACTTGTCAAGATGGCAGTGGACATGCCATTGAGAGAGATGTGGTTGTGGCCGCACGCATGACCGATACCGACGAGAGCATCGTACTCGGCAAGAAAGCCAATGGTCTTGAGGGGGCCTTTGAAGCCGACGGGGCGGTGCTCAAAGGTCATTTCGAAGGACGTGGGCAAATTGAAGGCATGCGGGACGACGGTCCATTGGGGCAGCTTTTTGAAGTGGGAGACGATGCGGTCGCTGGCGCGGTGTTCGTCCAGTCCGACTTCGGGATCAGCGTGAATGGCAACGCTGATGGCCTTCAAGTCGGGGAAGATGATGTCTGATGAAGTTTTGAGGAAGGTCGGTAGTGTAGAGAGGTCTTTGGCGGTGCAGAGGCCAGCACCAACCACGGCGAAAGCGATAGCTGGTTTCATGGTGGGCGACAGTTGTCAAGATGGAATTTCGATGGAATTTGTTTTGTAGAAATTTTAAGAAGGCGGTTACGCCGGGGGTTTAATACTAAAGATGACAGGCGAGATCGGCATCTGGTACGGCAGATTTTCCGCGAATCAGCGGGGCGGGATTATCCCGAAGGGGAAAGAGAGCCATTGGGAGGATGTAAAGGAGCCTATGGTATAAGCCATTGGTGAAGTTTGATATTTGATAAATAGGAATGGTGATAAAAACAGTGATGTTTATAGTGAGACAACAAGTGGCGTGGTGTTCTTGGCACTAACACTTAGTGTTTGGTGTTGGCGTTTTGGGGGTGGCTGACAGACAGCCTCGTCTTCCTCACTACACGCAGCCCAATTCATCAGCTTCATCTATTTTGTTTCGTTACAGATTAGACAGCATGAGCAGAATGAGTATCCGAATATTCTCCACGTTTGTTAGACCGGTAGCAAGAGTGCGAACGTCATTCGGGACCGCCCACCAGGGCTTGCGCACTGCTTCTCAGAGCGTAGGCAACAGCCGAGGCACATTTCTGGCCGCTGGAGCTGGAGTTTTAGCTATCACTGCGTTGGTATACCATTCTGTGAGTATCTAAACCCGGGAAAGATAACGATTGGAAGCTAATTAGTAAGAAAGACTGCCGATAATGCCATCAAACTAGACGCTGCTTCTCCAGCTGACGCTGAGAATGGACAGGTCACTGTGATTTCACCGCAGCCAATGCGCCTTCGCATGGAAGAGTACATCCGTCTCAAGCAAAAGGAAATCGTGTCTGCCCTGGAAGAAATAGACGGCACCAAATTTCGCGTCGACGAATGGGATCGTTCCAATGGTGGCGGTGGTGGTCGAACCTGTGTCTTGCAAGATGGCAACGTCCTTGAGAAAGCCGGCGTCAACATTAGCATCGTCCACGGAAAGCTCAACAAGAAAGCCATCGAGGATATGAAACAAAATCACGCAAGTCTTTCCCAAGTAGACGAACTGAATTTTTACGTCCTTGGGCTCAGTATGGTGCTGCATCCGAAGAATCCCATGGCGCCAACTGTACACATGAACGTTCGCTACTTTGAAACAACCACCATGGACGGTAAACTCTACTCATCCTGGTTCGGCGGCGGCAGTGATTTAACCCCCAATTATTTGTTTGAAGAGGACGCTGTTCACTTTCACAAAACGCTCAAGGACGCCTGCGATATCCACGACAGGACCTACTACCCACGTTTCAAGAAATGGTGTGACGAATACTTTCAGGTCAAGCATCGCGGTGAATCGCGAGGAATCGGTGGAATCTTCTTTGACGATTTGGATTCAAACGCCGTCGACCCCGAAAAGGGCTTTGCTCTGGTCAAGTCCACCGCAGATGCCTTCTTGCCAGCTTACCTGCCCATCTTGACGCGCCGCAAGGATCTTCCCTTTACACAAGCCGAGGAAGAATGGAAACATATTCGACGGGGGAGATATGTAGAGTTTAATCTCGTACATGACCGAGGAACGGCGTTTGGGTTGCATGTACCTGGATCGAGAGTAGAAAGCATCTTGATGACGTTACCTGTTACATCGCAGTGGACCTATATGCATGAACCAGACAAAGAGAGCCGAGAGGGAGGGCTGATGGAAGTTTTGAGGTGCCCAAAAGAGTGGGTGTCGTAGTAAATCCAAAGTGGTATTAACGCCTGTCCCTATGCCCAAGGAAAACATTATGACACTCCTCCCACTAATGTACAGTTTATATGGTGTCCGTTCTATTTCCTTTTTCGTGCACCTCTTGCCTTCGATTTTTTCTTGATCCCGGAGCTTGTTAAAGCCTTTCTTATTGTTGTCTTTGCGGATGGTGTACCCTTGTCATGGCTGTTTGTTTGCCGTAGTCGTCGTGGCTTTTGCCAATCGTACCTGGCAGCATGGAGAAACTTGTCCCGCATTGTCCACCAGTCATCAGGCCTCGTGGTTTGTCGCAAGTTATATCTATAACTGCTGATACCAAGAAAGCGTTTCCAAACCAGCTGATTCGGATGTTCCTCATTCCAGTCATCCATGAGCCTATCGAATGACCAAAAGTCTTTGGTGCACAGCTCGTATGTGAAACTGTTTACTTTCCCATCGATTCGGAGATCTCTATGTGGTACTGTGTTTGCCTGGCTAAGGTCGATTAGCACACCGTTCATGTAATTGCCAGCTCGTAGATCGTATATCACGATGCCCAAGTTATTGATCTTCAACACGTTTCGGCGCATAGCAGGTATATCACGAAATGAGAACGGCGGTGAATCAATCGGTAGCAGATCCTTCACAATAGCGTACAATGGGTCGTGCTTATTAGTTTCACGCCGATGGAACACGGTGCCGTATGGATCGAGCTCCTCTTCCTGCGCCTTGGGTATGACGACGTATCCGTGGCAAGGCAGAGCCAAGCCCTCATTCCCAGTTTCCTTCAGACGACCATATGCGCGACATTCCGCATAAAACGGGTGGCTTTCGTAAATGAGATCCTGAACATTGGCCGGTCGCTCCGTCAGAAGCGTGGGGTCCACGAGCTCACGTATGCGCCAGAAGCAAAACTAACGAGATGTGTGAGCAGAGTAAACAGATGGGCATGCAACGCAGGGTATTACGTACAATTTTCAATGCGTACATTTTGCCTTCTATTTGGGCTCGATACACCGTAGAATGCAATCCGCTACCCAGTCGCTCATAAATCTCTATATGCGCGTTTGCTGTGTCCCGGAACTGGAACGGCGCCAACTTGGGGCCATGGTACCACGGCAGCGGGCGGTTTGGTGTATGATTTGGATTGGAAGTCATAAAAGTTAAAAAGAAAGAGATCTTTCCCACTAGATAAATGCCGACACATGCGGATTTAAGCTTGTAGTGTTTGCTGAGATTTGATGTCGATAGCCGCCATTTGATGATGTTAGGGGACAAGGTGGGTGAGACGCGTCTCGTCGTGTCGTCTATACGCCAACTCGAACCTACTATAGCCATCCGGCAATGTCAACTAGTCAATCTTAACTGAACAATTGGAATTAATTAACTAACTCTAAAAACATAAAAATCTCTACTTATTTTTGCACTGTAATAGATAATCGACAATGCCGCCAGGTTTTGCACGTCTCTATGTCAAACATCACGTGTTGCTACTCGTCTCATTTTGACTTACAGCGGCTAGGTGAGTTACTATCTTGAGCAAACCACAGGGTGCCAATCTGGTGATATTTTTGGTTCGCAATATTTAAACTTGGCTATTCTCATGGTTTTTCGTACCTGACGGAGTGGCCTGCCTGTTGGCCCGATGTCTAGGCCCTTTCTCTTATAGCCCCTGCAGGACAATAGAGGCGGCCGTGGTGATGGGCCGGCTGGTGGCTGACACTCCATAGCCGCCGATGAGTTGGGCGTCTATTAAAAATAGCACAACAGACCTGGATAGTATTCTTCCTGTGTTTCGGCGCTTAAACAATATATACTTAAAGGTGCAAGATTCCTCTTTGTTATATTCTCGATATGCATTTACATCTATCATTACTCTTCGACTATGTTGCAAGGCACCATCTATGAGCTACTCACCCACCCAAACCCGGTGCTTGACACCCGGCAACAAGTGAAAGGCCCTGTTACCCGAAATACTGAATATGTTAAACTTGAACGAGAAAATGTCTCTATTTGGCATGACTTTACTTTTGAAAACATTGAAGCTGCGTATTCGCATTTGTTTTCCATTGGCCCTATCCAGTCCGAGGCAGTGCACCCATACCCCCGAGGGAGTCCTTCCGAAATCAGGACAGAAGATTCTGTCGACAAGATTTCCTACTATTGGAATGCTCTAGTATGCCGCTACCCATTCAAGATCGGCTGTGAGAGATTGCAGACTGCCTTGGGACTCGTTCGAACCGATGTGAGCATGGCAAAGGGCGAGCTACCTAGCCCTCCTTTGGATGGAGGACGAGACATGCATCCAGATTGGAGTATCTACTTGAGAGACGAGCGCCGTACTATACTTGTGTGGGGTGATAGCAAGTGTAGTAGCAAATGGTCGTCTACCAATACGAGATCCGATAACTGGATCTGGCCTTTTCGCCAACTCGCTACCTACTGTGTTAATGACAGCACACGCTATGGCTACGTTATTACACCCGACGAGCTAGTAGCGTTGAGGGTTATCATGGATCCTATATCTCGATGTGGATATCGACTTGAATATCGAGCTATTCCCTGGAGTCAACACGGGCCACATGTTTTAACTGTCAATCTTGCGATTTGGGCGCTTGCGATGATGAGTGTCAACGACGGCCACAGGTCGATTGCACCCCAGGATTGGACTCTTCCACTCAATATTTGGTGGCAAGATATAAACCGCCGCACTGGCCAGGTATCCTATGAGCACCATCTCTCTGCTAGAACAGCTCAACAGCTTCCACCAGGAGCCATAGCTCACCAGCGTCCAACTGCTCTACCACCACAGTATATACCGGAAGAACCACAGACCGTGCGCCGCTCAACTAGAAATCGAAGATAGCAAGTGTTATATAGTATGTCAAGTTATAGGAACTAAGTTATTGTATTTATTATATTGATAATCTCTTAAAATCGAGAACGTGGGACTAGCAAACTAGACGTTTTAGTGATGAAATTTGAAAATATTTTACTTTAAAATGTTTCATTAATGTGTTTATACAGGTTCTAAATAATCACTGATATTTAATATTATATTACTCTTGTCGAGGGATGTTGGACGGTAGGCGTAAGGTCCAGCATGTATGTGATTAAGCAGCTCTGTCCGTCACTGCGCCGCGTCTCGACGACCATGAGCCAACAGACCTTCATCAGTACGTGTGGTGCACATCTTCCTCTCCGCCATAACAATCAGCTCGCAGTAGACTGGAATTTAACGGCTCTATCTTAAAATGAAAGGCCATGCCCCATCACGATCGCTACCACAATACAACGGACCAAAACTCGCGCCATTTGCTTTTCAAAACCCCGCCGAGCCACGCATTGAGTTTCTGATTGTCTTGGGCACCGGCCTTCACTCCGAAGTCCACCGGGCGCGTATAGATGGTAAAATATATGCTGCAAAACTAGTAAGCCGAATATCTGTACCACTGATGTTTAACAGAGACTGAGGCTTATAACTTTGCAGTTCTGCTTCTGGAGCATTGGTGAGCTCGTTCCGCCAAACCTCATTACTGATGAGGATGCTGATAGACATATGAATGGCAAGATTATTGATTTCAGTCAGGCACGCACGTCGCCCCACGAGTTCCTCGATTTGAACAGAAAAAGATTCAAGTCTCTTGTGGCTGAAACGTGCGCCACTGATTTTCAAGCTTTTGATGATATGATGATGCTTTGGATGCTGGAGGACCCGGGCCAACGAGTCTGGGACAGATTCATGCCAAACTGGAGCTACGGACGAAAACTGCGCCACAAAGATCGATACGAAAAGTGGTTTCCTGAATCAGACTGTGTCAAATTTGATGCAGCGTTGTATGATTGGAAAGCTGCTGAGAAGAAGAGAAAACAGCTGGCGGCGTCGAAAGGTGCAACTGCCAGCCAGCAAAAGCCTACGTCAGGCGCTGTACGGAAAAAAACAACGAGAAAAGCGCGTCGATGATTGCATTTCGGGCGTTTTTGGGAGTTTTGATTTTAGGGTGATTTATTTTGTATGCTACTGTATTCTATGATACCACTAGAACAATTGTACGTCTCGAGTTTTGAGTCGTGGTAGGTGCCAACAGGTGAGCCTCTGTGCAGTCAGCTCCGAGGTGTGCTGTCGCCATGTCTCACAAACGTCAGGCTGAGTGTGTGAGCTACCTCAGGTGGCAAAACAGCATGAATCGCACAAGGCTCAGCGTACGATTTTTCATTGTGATAATATGTCTATATTTATTCCCGTGTTTATTTACCCGGCGTTGGCTGGGAATCCCATACAAGTACTAGTTGCAGAATCGCATCGTTGTGTCGCGTGCGCATGGCGTCGATATCTACAAGCCCCCAAGGAGTAGTGTAGCTGAAGAAGCTGAAAGTGCCAGTGTCTCTAATAAGTCGAGAGAGATGCTGTTCCATGGCTAATTCACAAGCAAGGCCAAGGTGGCGACATCCGAGTCGACGCAGAACATAGCAAGTGTTTAGACGTTGCATTCTGTCTCTATACATTCGTCACAGTATCTGGTAGAATAGGCACCCTGAGTTACGAGTACGAGCTCAACATTGTCTCTCTGTTTTTGTGTTTTTTTTTGGTTAACTAAACTAATGACCTGGCAAGTAGTAAAGGGTGAAAGGAAGCATCTGTACAGGACAATGTTGAATGCCTTGTAGAAGCGTACAGACGAAATAAATCCCCCCCCATCCGATGTACTACTGTCTCATGTCCACCACCCGCATGCTCTCCCACTTTCTCCCAAACTCCTCCTCAGAAAGAATATGGTTCATGACACGCATGCAGTCAAACATGATGTTTGAGCGCTGCGGCCCAACGAGGCCGTACTGCTTGTCGGCGATGACGGCAAAGTTGCGCGGCACCTCTTCGCTGGCGAGGTATCGCTCGGAAGGGTAGAAGGGCATCTTGTCAGCCATGATGTTGAAGTCTGGCTGTACGGGTGTGGTGGGTTGTAGAGCGCTTTGCTTAAGCCGTTTTTTTTGTTTTTAGGGGGTGTTTGGCTAGTAGTAGAGAAACTACTTGTAACTGGATGATGAATCAAGCGTGAGAGTGAGGGGGGCACGAGATAAATACTGGTAGGGCGCACGCGGCAGGCTGCCGTCTCTGTCACCTGATGTCGCATGCAAGCCAGCCACGCGAGGCCAGCACCAGCGTCGTTTTGGCGAGTAACAGAGCAATGATCGCCAGAAACCTACATAAAACTTGGCTGGCAGGCAGGTAAATGCCGTGTGTATGTGTGTCCTTCGACGAATGTTAACCTGCAGCTATGTCTGCGTGCTGCTTGATGTCGACAGACTCTTTTGTAGATAGTGGAGAAAGCATCAGCACCAGCAGCGGTTTTGACGATCGTACCGATGGCGGCGGAAGCGCAGAACCACTTTCGCTAGCAGCGGCTGGACCCTCCCATCCCTTTCCCTTTGCAAGCGGGCTGCTGGACAGTGAGGATAAGTGGTTGAAGCATGCGGAAGAAGCCGTTAGCAAATATCACAGAAGCCAGTACCAGCATCAGAATCAGCAATGGGATCGGACCAAGGAGACGATGGACCAAATACCACGAATACAACAAAATACAACACAACTGAAAGCAAAAGACGACTGTACTACAGCCTCTTTTTCGATCGCGGACCGTCGTCCACTCTCGCCGCATTTCTCTCCAACCAAAACCCCACAGCAAAACAGATAGTCTCGCCGTAGATCAGTACCGATGCCCACCTACCAAAAGTGGACAGAGGGGGGCTGCTGGAGCTAGACAAGGGCCTGTGAGCCCCCCAAAGGCAGTCCCCTGCAAAGTATCGAGCGCGTGGCAAATAGCGCCCCCGAGAAGAAACGGTTGGCGCTGGCTAGTTTAGCAGCGTCGTATTTCCCATTTTTTTCTTCTTTTTGCTGTGTGTCTGTTACAAAAAACACGTTGCTTTTTTTCTGTACCTAAAAAAAGGGCGGCCACCCTGGTCTTTTTGGCAGGGCAGAGATGTCGATAGCCGCTGTGATACCTGGCCAAGGTATATGTATGTACTGTACACAGTTTGCGGTAATTGACCGTGAGGATGGCAGCCAGTGACATTGTTGATATTAATTCACGCACGCCGTGTCTTGATTTTCATACTCATCACAATGCCATCGTCACAAGACAGGACTGCCTGAAAACGCCTTCCACACACCACACGCACCCCTTTTTGGGGGGAGCGATTACAGCGTGTTAGGTGCTGCCACAGCCTGCTCGCTCCACTGAGTCAAGGCCCCTGAACAATGCCCATCTGCTGGTTCCACCCGCGTGGTGGGCAGCCTCGTGCGGGATGCTGCAGGTGAGCAGGCAAGCAAGCAAGCCGCAGTACTAACAGGACGCCTAGGCTTTTTCAGGTAGGCGGACTGGGGGAGGGCCCTTCTAGACTGGTGTTGGAGTGGGGGATGCTGCAGATGGATCGTTCATTAGGTGTATCTATTTGGTTTTGCACAGGTCATTAGGTGGCCTGCTGGGGGCCTTGGAGCAGTGCTGTTTGTACCTGAACACCCGCTGTTATCTTGGGGTGGTTTTGCCACCTCTTTTAACATGACACTTAGACTTGGTTTTTTCTACTGGCTACTTTTGGGGAATTACTGCTGTTATTTTCTTTTTGCGGTGACTGCATCCCTTTCTATGTCTGCTAAAATGTACATAGTTTCATCTTTTCCTTGTTCTCTCCCTTTACTTTGTGTTGTCCATCACGACAACTGCTTTTGCGGGCTGTCCAGTGCTGCTGCTGGTGCCACCCCCTCCACTCCCCCTAAAACCCACCGCCGCCACGCCACACCACCGCCCACCTGCTAACAAGAAAATAAAAAAAAAGTCCACTAAACTGGCCTGCTTGTCTGGCCGCGGACCAGCTCACTTGACTCGCTAAGAACGCCCATTGTTCGTCCATCATGCTTTTTGGGCCCTGGCCTAGCAAGCTTTAACTAGTCTAGTGTTTCCATATATGCCCTGTCAAAAACGATTTTTCGGTTTCTGTTGTTGTTGCTACCGTCCTCTGCCCAGCTCTTCTCCTCTGCCATCTTTTTTTCATCTGTCATCAGCATCATCCATCGCCTTGTCTGTCCTCACCCAACCCGTCGAAACGGTTACAGCAGCAAATCAAGCCCCCTTTCTAATCTACGACCCGCCAATATTTGCTGCGGCTGGTGCTTTTCTATTGCTGGCCACTGCTGCTGCACTCTTAAATACGACGTACGCCTGCTAGCTAATCTGAATTCGTGAAAGGCTGCTACTGCGACTGCCAAACCCAACCCCCTTCGGCTGTAACCGGACCGCAGCTCTTCGAAACCGTTTCTCTTTACTGCTGCTTTGTCCTTGATTCATTCATTCACTCGTCTCCCTTGTTTCCAGCAGACAAATAGCCTCTTTTGTCTTTTTTTGATTGCCAACAAATATACGAGATCCACGTTTGTTGCCGTCCCTGGTCACCCGCCAAGTCTCCTTCTCGGCTTTGGCTTTCTTTAACCGCTACTGCTGCAAAACATACGCCGCCAGCAAGCCTCACAAGACAGTAGCGCACACTAAGCCTACCGCACCACCGCATCACATTCATCCAGGCGCACGCAGGTGCTGATCGCTCACTTCCACAACCAACATACGACGCCTTTTGCCGATTCGGTCATCGTCATTGCCTCCAGCATTGCCATTGTTGCGACAGCGCTTCAACAAAAACGCCCGTCAACTACCCGCCCTGCCAAAGCAAGCCGCCCTCTGTCTCGTGTCTTTAACGCAACCTTTGAATCTTTTTTTTGAGACTCGGCCCTTTCCCCACCCATCAAAAACACCACCTCCCTTTTGCCTGCCGTCTTTTTCTAGCCTACGGTCGGCTGTTCACCTTGTTCCATTCGCCCTACCATGTTTACGCAGCCTGTTTCTGCGCCGCCACCTGGGCCTCAAACTTCGTCCGCTACAACCACAGTCAACTCTTCTCGCTCCAGTCGCCTCAGAGGTTTCAGCTACCTCCGCAACTACACCAGCAACCACATCCTCTCGCGCGACCAAGGCTCATCGTCTGGCACACCCACGGCTAATCTGTCCCGTCGGCGTTCCGGCTCTAACCTGACACGATCCAGCAGCTACACCACATCACCGTCATCCCCCACTAGCGCTGCCCTCGATCGGTCTTCCAGCAGACTCCAGCACATCAACTCAAACCCCGACGGCTCGCCCTCGTTATTTAGCCAGCGTACCTCCATCGTAGGCATCACCTCCTCTTCCACCTCTCTTGCCGCCGACAGTTCAACCCGACGAACGCCGCCACCCTCGCTTCCAACCAGCCTAATTGCATCCACATCCGCTCCCGCTCCCGCCGCACACAGTCGCGATACTTCACCAGAAACCTCCCCCAGCCCGTCCAACATGGCGACAACTGCTACGACGGCTACCGCCACCGTGACGGCGACCACAACAGTGCCCGCAACCACAGACGCTTCCGCACCGACTGCCGAGGCAACACCTTCGATTCGATTTTCCTCGTATTACGATCCTCGCTCCACGCGACCCTCACTCTCCTTCTCGCCCATCACCCGAACACTCCCAACTGGTCACGAGGTGATTCGCGTGGGTAGATATTCCGAGCGGGATACCCAGACCATGGCCAACGCGCAAGGCAACCAGGCGTCTGCTGCCCCCGTTGGGTTCAAGAGCAAGGTTGTCAGCAGACGGCATTGCGAGTTTTGGTGCGAAGATGGCAAGTGGTACATCAAGGATGTCAAGAGTTCCTCCGGCACTTTCCTTAACCATATCCGCCTCAGTCCGCCATCACAAGAGAGCAAGGCTTTCCCTGTCAACGATGGCGACATTGTCCAGCTGGGCATTGATTTCAAGGGTGGCGAAGAAATGATTTTCCGTTGTGTCAAGATGAGATTGGAGCTGAATCGCGGCTGGCAGAACAAGCTCAACAGTTTCAAGTGAGTTTGCCTTGGTTATTTTACCGTGGTCGACTAGAATGTAAATACTAACCGCGTCAATAGCGTTGCGGCACACAAGCGCCTTCGTACCCTCAACATGGAGAGCTCAACCTCCCAGGACTGCTCCATCTGCCTCAACTCCATTGCTGTATGTGCCAAGCCCATGAATTCGTACTTGTTGTCTTCTTCGTTGCTAACTTCAGTCACAGCCCTGCCAGTCTCTTTTTGTCGCTCCTTGCTCGCACACTTGGCACTTTAAGTGCATCCGCTCACTGCTTGTCTCTCCTCAATACCCAATTTTTGTCTGTCCCAACTGCCGTGCCGGGGCTGATCTGGAAGCGGACGTGGATGAGACGTCTGAAGAATGGCAGATGATGGCCGAAAAAGAAGAGCAGTCTAACGGAACACCAGCAGCAGCTGAAGTGGAGGCCGAAGCCACAGAGACAACCGCACCGCCTCCCCCAGCTGTTGTGACTCCTGACGACATTGCCGAAGTTGCTGAGCCCGAGGCCGAAGCTGGAGATGTCACCATGGCTATGGCCGCTGATACGGCGCGCGCAGAGCCTGAACCTGCGGCAGCTACTGCTACAGTAAACAATACGAGCAACAGCACCACGACTCAACCGGTGCCCATCCGCAACCCTGCTTCAGGATCAGGCCGAGGCATTCGCAGCCGCACCACACCATCACCACCTGGTGGTCGTGAAGGCCCCATTACACCGCGAAACGATGCCGGTCCTTGGGTCTTTGACGGAACCGCTGGCCGTGGTCCAGCCGTCGATGCCAACGGTGAAATGCGCAGCCTGGATGCGGCTGCTATCGATGCGGACATGACCATGAATGATGCGAGCGATGGAGGCGAGGCTGGACACTAAGCCTAACATTCCCTTGCGGAAGCACATTTTTTCTTTTACAACACTCCAATACACAAAACACACTCTATGACGAAATGACGAATATACTTTGTATGCTGGATAAGAGACCAGATACAGGCAGCATCCATCACCATAACGGCGCAAGGCGTTTTTTTCTTGAAGAGCGGCAACCACCCATGAGTGGACGACGACACATGACAGCGTGGTTTATTTACACATCAGAGGGGATTTGGATATAGGATTGGGACCACCTTGTAGACTGAATTTGGGTTTTCTTTTGTTTTTGTTTTTCTGTTACCATTAGCATGCATAGCAGCACAGCATGGTGGGTGGGTGGTGCATCGAAGGCGAGAGACAGGGAAGAAGACTGCATTTTACACGAGACGCTCCTTTTAGCTCATTAATGAGACGCCTGCGGGCGGACGGCATTTGCTCTGCATAAATCAAAAGTTTCTCTTTTTTATTGACTTAATTGTTCTAAATTTCTTTTTGACTCTGTTCTTTACAATGCAAGTACGGCATCCTAGCATCTGGCTTAAGCCGAGTCTCCCTCAACTACGCCCTGTAACTGCCGCCGTCAGTGGCCACAGTGGGCCAATTTAGGCCTACCCGACCCGCCTGGTAGCCCGCGGTTTCCGGGTATCGGCGCACCAGCACCCACAGAAGACGGATGGTCCGACGTATCGCCGAGGCCGCAGGGGCAAAGTCGACTCCTTGGAGTGCGGGTTGCCAGCAAAATATTTTGACAACCAAAGTAGCCGGCAGAGGCGCCTTTCCGTTTCCCTCCTCCATCCATCCAACCCCAATTCCAACCACTTTTCCGTCCTTCGCACAGCAAGCATCATCGCAATATCCGCCATGTTGCGCCAGCTTGCCTCGCGAATTCCCGCCAGCTGCTCCCGGGCTGCCTCTGCGCCCGGGGCTCTGCTGGCCAAGCGAGCATCATCAGCCTCATCCAGGGCATTCACCCGCTCCATGGCCACCGTGCACGTCGAAGGCATCCCCAAGGTTTGTCTTTCTCTCTTCTTCGTCATTGGCTGCGACGCCTAACACAGTTGAAACCCCAGGACCCCGCCGAACTCGATGCCATCACAACCCTCCCCAACGGCCTGCGCGTCGCCTCCGAAGCCCTCCCCGGGTCCTTCTCCGGCGTAGGCGTCTACGTCGAGGCCGGCTCGCGCTTCGAGAACCAGTCGATCCGCGGTGTCTCGCACATCATGGACCGTCTGGCATTCAAGTCGACGGCGTCGCGGTCCGCCGACGAGATGCTCGAGCAGGTCGAGGCGCTCGGCGGCAACATCCAGTGCGCGAGCTCCCGCGAGTCCATGATGTACCAGGCGGCCACGTTCAACAATGCCGTCCCGCAGACGGTCGAGCTGCTTGCCGAGACGATCCGCGAGCCCAAGATCACAGAGGACGAGGTCGCCGAGCAGATCGAGACGGCGCGATACGAGATTGCCGAAATCTGGAGCAAGCCCGAGCTCATCCTCCCCGAGCTGGTACACACCGCGGCCTTCAAGGACAACACGCTGGGCAATCCGCTCTTGTGTCCCGAGGACAGACTCGGCAGCATTAACCGCGACACGGTGCTCACGTACCGCGACCTGTTTTACCGCCCGGACCGCACGGTGGTTGCCTTTGCGGGCGTCGAGCACGCAGAGGCTGTGCGTCTGGCGGAGCAGTTCTTTGGCGACATGAAGGCGCCGTCGTGGCCTGCGTCTCGCCGTGGCTCAGAAACCAGCGCTGCGTCCAGCGACTCAGAAACATCCTCCCTCTCCTCTTCCTCCTCGCGCCTCATCACCAAAGTCCCCTTCTTCAAGAACCTGTCCACCTCTGCTCCCCACAACGCCGCCGTCCTCTCCACGCCGCCATCCCTCGCGGAAACCCTCCAGCCCGCCGTCTACACCGGCGGCTTCCTGTCGCTGCCACCGCAGCCCCCGTCGCTCAACAAGACCAACTTTACGCACATCCACCTTGCCTTTGAGGGCCTGCCCGTCGCCTCGGAGGACATCTACGCGCTCGCCACGCTGCAGACACTGCTTGGCGGCGGCGGCTCCTTCTCAGCCGGCGGCCCCGGAAAGGGCATGTACTCGCGCCTCTATACAAACGTACTCAACCAGCACGGCTGGGTCGAGTCGTGCGTCGCATTCAACCACTCCTACACCGACTCCGGCCTCTTCGGTATCTCGGCGTCCTGCCTGCCGGGCCACACGTCCGCCATGCTCGACGTCATGTGCCAGGAACTGCGCGCGCTGACCCTCGAGACGGGCTTCTCTAGACTGCAGGAGGGCGAGGTCTCGCGCGCCAAGAACCAGCTGCGCTCGAGCTTGCTCATGAACCTCGAGTCCCGTATGGTCGAGCTCGAGGATCTCGGCCGCAGCGTCCAGGTCCATGGCCGCAAGATCCCCGTGCGCGACATGTGCCGCCGCATCGAGGAGCTTACGGTGGCGGATCTGCGCCGCGTAGCTAGCATGGTTGTCGATGGCGGTGTCAACAACATTGGCGGCGGCAGCGGTGCGCCTACCATTGTTCTCCAAGAGGCTCAGGCGTACGGCCTCACTAGCCATACCATGACTTGGGACCAGATCCAGGATCGCATCGATGGCTGGAAGCTCGGCAAGCGTGCATAAAGAAGACAGCAGCTGAACTAGGTAAACTAACTGGGTGTAATGATGGGAAATATAGGAACTCGCCCCTTGGGCATCGCCCGTGTATCAATAGACATGTACAATGCATACATACTTTACGATTATTCGAAATAACAGATCGACTAGTGCATAAGACGCAGCAAGGTTCATGTATTGTGTGTGTGTGTGTATTCATGTATGTATATCTACTCTAATAATCCAAAGAAACGCCAAAAACAAAAAGGCTTGTGCTTATCCTGTAATCGCAATCCTAAAACAAGACATCGTAGAAATCATGCCCCCTCGCCAACATTATAATTTGGACCGCACCGCTTCCAGACGGTACTTGACGTCCTTGAGAGCCTTGTTAGTCGGCTTCCAGTCGTCAAACTGCCGTAGCAGCTCTTCAGTCTCACTGCTCAACTCAGTCTTGACAAAGTCCTCCTCTAGCATACCACGCATGGTCCACGGCAAGAAGTATGGATTCGCCGAGGCAAGAGGGAGAGCACCTGGTGCTACTGAGGTCGATGGGGCGTGGTGGCGGATCTCACAGGGGGTCGGTTGCGAGATATCCGTGGTTTCAAGCGTGTGTGTAATGGCGAGGTCGTAGACAGCGCTGTCAAAGTACAGCCGCGAGTGGCCTTCGCCCGAGTAGAGAGAGCCAGCGAGGGCAACGGAGAGTTCGCGGATCAGGCCATGGTCTGAGACTCCAAGGTTGCGAAGCTTAAGGGCAAACCCAACCAGATGGGCGATAAAGTCTGGTGCGTGTACGCGTCCGTCAATAAAGACGGCGCGGTAGATGTACGGGTGTGAAGCGGGAGAATAGACAGCAGACTATGCAGTTGTTAGTAACAAAGTTGTAGACAGTGCGTCGTGAGTAACTTACCTCCATGGGAACGACCTGGTCATCAATGCTTCCGATAAATGTGATTCTAGCGCCGTAGTCAAGAACTCTTTTCAGTGACTTTTCAAAGCGCTGCGCATTCGCACTTTGCGGGTTACCAAAGTCCCACAGCTCCGGCACCGAACCTATAAGCAGGGACGACTTGTAGTCGGGAAACGGACCAAGAGATACACCAGCCATGGCGCATACTCCAATTTTGGCTTTGGTGATGATACCAAGATCAATCAGCTTTTCCAGCAGCATGATGCTGACGGGGACACCCTGTGAGTGGCATGCCATAATGACAAGGTCAGCCTTGCGAATATGGTCAATCCAGTTGAGCAGCAGAGTCCACAGGTTCTCAACTCTCTCATTGATACGCCCTTCTCCTTCCAGTGCCACTTTCTCAATCTCGCAGCCCGAGCATCCGTTAGCATCCGCCCACTTACGGATGGCATCGGAGCACAAGCCCGCAAAACGTAGCGATGTACCTGTGGGTTGACCAATCATTGGCCGCAAGTAAGCCGCAGGCATTAGCCCATGGACACCAATAGCAATGGCCTTCTTGATCTTGGGCGTTTCTTGTGCTTTGAATACATGGTTGGAGGGCGGTTGCGATGTGCGAAGCAGAAAGGCCGACAGTTGTTGTAGAATGGAGGGGTTCTCCTTCATACGGTATGTACTAGTAAACGAGGGGAGCAGCAAGTTTGGCCGCGACGTAGACGCCTGCTCACTCTCAGCTGAATTTTGGCCTTTCGGTGTTGATGTTACCGTCGGCGTCTTGGCTACATCTTTGGGTGTTGCCGGTGCTTTAGACTGTTCTTTGGTAGGCGTAGAGGTTCCAGATCCTGGCTGTGAATCGCCGATAGAGGCAGGTCTGCTTCGCTTGTTCTTCTTCGACGTTGCTTGGGTGTCATTTTGTTTCGCAGGCGTCTTAGATTTCGAAGCATCACCGGAAACTGAGTTTTCAGCCATGGGCTCGGGGTGGCTCTCAGAGCCTTGTCCAATGACAGCAATTTCACCAGCTTCATTCGGTGGTACATCTCCTTGTGCTTTGGGGGCCTCTCTTGACCAAAAGGCCCATGTAGAGCCCGCCTTCGGAGGAGGTAGGGGTTTCGTTTCTTCTGTAACTGCTTCTGCACCTGGTTCAGGAGCATCCTTCATTACCACATCCTCCGCCTCAGGTGCATTGCTAGACCCATCTGGTTTCTGGTCCTTTTCTGATGCTGATTTCATATCTGCAGCACTAGAAGGTGTTCCTGGCCAGAAGCCGAACCACGAAGTAGGACGTGATGTCGTACTCTCTGGGATGGTGACTGGGTTCGATGGCAACTCAGTGGTCGTCGCTGCAGCAGGCGTAGGTGCAACAGGTTCCGGTGGCTGAGTCGTTTCTTCTACAGGCTTCGAGGGCTCTTCAGCCTCGGTAGATTTGCTTGTTGTCGGTGCCACCGTAGGGGTCTTGGAGAACCAGCCTGTCCAGCCTGACGCCTGATTTGACGGCTGTGGTGTAGATGGAGGTACTCCTTCTGCCTTTGGAGTTTCTGTCACTAGTGTCTGTGTACCAACACTTGGTTCAGCCGCTGCCTCTTCCAGTATCTTTGGTTGTTCTGGTTCTGATTCTGCGAGTAGCTTCGGTGGTTCGTCTACTAGTTTGTCCGGGGTCCCGTTCAGTGGTTGTAGAGACTGTGCTGCAAGGCTGCCAGCTGCACTTCGAACGCTAGCAGTCTCGGAAGCTTTCGAATCAAATCGGACAATCTCAGCAGCTGGTGGGCGAAACGTATCGCCAAGTATATTTTCACGAGCCAATGACGTAGATGCTGTAGCTTTAGCAGGGCGTTGCCAAGAGCCGTACCAACTCTGGGACTTTCGAATCTGGCGCATAAATGTCAGCATGCGGTAAGCGGATATAGTTCAGTCGACGAATGGCCGTACCGATGGTGAGTTCAGCGTGCTAGGAAGTGTTCTGATGCTGCCGTTGGAGGGGGCTTTGAACGGCATTTGTCGGTCGTTGGCTGCGATTTGTCCCGAGGTACTCGTCGCGTCGGCTGCAGTGGAGCGTTCCTGTGATTGTGCCGCTGAGGATTCCGATCGCAGCACCTGTGGATTTGGCCGCTGTCGCTTGCGCGGAGCCATCGTCTTTGCTGGCAGATTAGAGCTCCATGCGCGGGTGCATGAGAGGGTGTTGCGGAAGAGATGTTTGGAGGGGTGAAAACTGAGTTCGGGAAGAAAACGGTGACGTGCTGCTGGCTGTGCAAAGGTAAACTCAACGAGAACCTGGCCGGCTTTCCCAACAATGACGGCCGGGCCAGCTGGCCGGGGGCAGCTGGCGAGCAGTTGCACTAGCATTACGTAGACCCCACCAGCCACCTGCCGCCCTTTAAACCTTGCAGCTGGCACAGCTGGTCCAGTTGCCTGAGAGTGGCACCTGGCGGGCGTCTGGCACCTGATTGGGTGTCGCTGGATTCAGGGTAGCGATGTCTATTCGGCCAGCATCTGCATTTTTACCCCACGTTAGAGTCACTAGCTTTAGAAAAAATTGTTGGAGACTTACTAATATCTAAATTTATATAGTAACAGCGAATTAAGCCCATTGAAGTTACGGTTAAGCAGTGTATAGACTGTTATTGGCTGCGTCAACTATTTACTTCACTCTCCATACAAGCTCTAGACCTAACACCTTGATGTCTGCATGATATAGTGAATACAACCAGTAACATAAATTATGATGAAAATCACCCAGTTTACTTACACAACTGTTTATAAATTAAGAAAAGAACATAAATAGGAATGTTAAACACTGTCATTGCTTCAGAGAACGACGAGCATGACATGAAGGGCAAAAGATTAACGTCACAGTGAAGAATCTCTCTATAAACTGATACAATCGATTTGAATATTTCAATATAACTTATTATCCATTTTAAATATCAACTATACACGATAAAGTCTTCCAATCATATATGACCCTACCACAAACGACTTACAGAAGGCATCGCAGCCATTAAGCGCTAAGCCGATCCACTGTGGAGGCGCCGTCACTCGCCGGCCGGAACAACGTCGGGGCCCGAAAAAAAGTGCAGAGACGCTTCTTATCGCGCCTGCAAAAATGCTTATCGGCGTCCCGCCAGAAAAAAAATATTCATAGGCTTAGCGTAGCTTTCAAGACTGGTACAATCAACCACGACGCTTGCCCAGGTATTCACAATTGTTTAAGCAGGGACACATTTACTTTTGTCTTTGCACTTGTGGATGGCAGTATGAGCAACTTAAAACGAAAAGACGCCCCTGGCGAATCCCCGGCCGCAAAGGTCAAGAAGTCAAAGGGCGGTGCCGAGCAGAGCGAAAAGCCTGCAAAGGCTCCCGTTGTTTCGCTTCTCAAGGATGAAGAGCCTCTCTTCCCTCGTGGAGGCGCCAATATTCTAACACCGTTGGAACAGAAGCAGATCCAATTGGAAGCCAAGGCTGATGTTATTCGCGAAGAACAAGCCTTAGCCAGTGGCAAGCCTCTGAAGAAGAAGAAGGCTGCCTCCAAGAGCAGCAGCAAGAAGACCGAAATCAAAGCTTCTGATGATTCTATCAAGGTTGAAAGTCTTAGCTTCAAGGTATGCATCTCGTTTTATTGAACAATTTTGAGACTGTGTGTACTAACGACTTCTCAGAAATTGGCCAAGGGATCTCTCGTCCTGGGTGAAATTACCAAGATTTACAAGCTAGGCCTCGAAATCTCACTCCCCAACAACTTGACCGGCCATGTCTCCATCGTCTCAGTTTCAGAACAATTAACCGATCGATTACAACACAAGGCCGACGAATCTGACGAAGATAATGACGAAGACTCCGAAAACGAGGGCGAGGATGTCGACCTGAACAGCATCTTCGCCATTGGCCAATTTGTCCGCGCATATGTTCTCTCCACTACAGACAGCTCAGTCACAGAAGGCAAGGGCCGTCGCAAGATTGAACTCTCGTTACGCCCTGCCGAAGCCAACACCGGACTGTCCAAGGATGAAGTCGTCGCAAACAACACCGTAACCGCGGCTGTCATCAGCGTCGAAGACCACGGTTACATCATGGACCTCGGCATTGAGGGCCAGCGCGGTTTCCTTTCCAACAACGAGATTGACGAATCCATGGATAAGGAGCGTCTCCAGCCTGGCGCTTCGTTCCTGTGCCAAGTCAAGACTGGCGGCAAGGTCGCCCAGCTGACTCTCAAGCAGGAGAAGCTTGGCAACATCAACAACGTCCCCGGCGACGCTACCACAGTCAACACCTTTGTCCCTGGTACCGCTGTTTCGCTTCTTGTTACTGGCCACGACCGCCGTGGTATTAGCGGCAAGATTATCGGCCACATTGACGCCACTGCCGATGTCATTCATTCCGGTGTTGGACCCAACGGTGATGATTTGGAGGCCAAGTACAAGATTGGCTCCAAGGTCAAGGCTAGAATTATCTGCAACTTCCCTACGGCCAAGGAGCCCAAGCTCGGTCTCTCCCTTCTCCCTCACATTATGGACTTGACTCGCAAGCATGCCGAGTCGCCCAAGAAGTCCAAGCTACCGACCGATGTCATCCCAATTTCCTCGATTCTCGAAAAGTGCACAGTTCGCACCGTTGAAACCGAAATTGGTCTGTTTGTTGATACTGGTATCAAGGGCATGACCGGTTTCGTCCATATTTCCCGCGTTAAGGATGGCAAGGTGGATGCCTTGTACGAGACCTCTGGCCCGTACAAGATTGGAACTACTCACAAGGGCCGTGTTGTCGGCTACAGCGAGATGGATGGCCTGTTCCATATCTCTTTTGAGCGCAGCATCTTGGAGCAACAGTACATTCGTCTCGAAGATGTTCCTGTTGGTGCCGTTGTTACCGGCAGCATTGACAAGATTGTCATCACGGAGGAAGGTGTTAGTGGTCTTGTCATTAAGATTGCCGATGGCATTACTGGCTTTGTTACTGAGCGTCACCTTTCCGACGTTCGCCTACAACACCCTGAGAAGAAGTTCCGTGAAGGCATGAAGGTCAAGGCTCGTGTTCTGTCTGTTAACATGATGAAGAAGCAGATGCGTCTTACCTTGAAGAAGACTCTAGTCAACTCTGAAATCCCTGTTGTCCAGTCCTTTGACGACGTCAAGGTTGGCTCGCAGATTATCGGAACCATTATTCAGCTTCCTCAGAACGGTGCCCGCATCCAGTTCTACGGATCTCTCAAGGGTTTCTTGCCCATCTCCGAGATGAGTGAGGCCTACATCCGTGACCCTACTGAGCACTTCCGTGTTGGACAGGTTGTCAGCGTTCACGTTTTGGACGTTGATGCTGAGAGACGCCGCCTTGTTGTTTCTTGCAAGGACCCCGGTGCGTTCGGCCTCGACAAGCAGGACGCTTTGAAGGCCCTCAAGATCGGCGAGATTGTCTCTGCCAAGGTCAGCCAGAAGACTGAGGATCAGGTTTTCCTTGAACTCATTCCCAGTGGCCTCAAGGCTCTTCTCCCCGTTGGCCATCTCACTGATAAATCCACATCCAAGAACCAGTTCGCTTTGAAGCGCATCAATGCTGGCCAGACTCTCACCGATCTTGTTGTTCTTGAGAAGAACGACAACCGCCGATCTATCATTCTCACTCACAAGCCTAGCTTTATCGAAACCGCCAAGAAGGGCAAGCTGCTCAGCGACTTTGACCAGGCCAAGGATGGCAAGACATACGCCGCTTATGTTCGCAACGTTACTGCTACTGCCGTCTTTGTGCAATTTGGTGGATCTTTGCACGCACTGTTACCAAAGGGCCGCCTTGCTGCTGACGTCCAGAGCAAGCCTGATTTTGGTATGCAAAAGTACGACTCAATTGAAGTCAGAGTTGTGTCTAGAATCCCCGACCTTCGCCGCATCATGGTTGGCCCTGCATCCGCCCCCATCGAGGAGAAAAAGCCTTCTGGCAAAGGAGCTGCTCCTGCAGACGGACTTGAGCTCGGTTCTACCACCACTGTCAAAATCACTTCCATCAAGGAGACTCAGCTCAACGTCCAGGTTGGTGATAGCGACGTCCAGGGCCGTATCGATGTTTCTCAAATTTATGACAACTTTGAGGACATTGCTGACCCTCGCAACCCCCTCGAGAAGTTCCAACGCAAGCAGGAGCTGGAGGTCAAGGTTCTTGGCATCCATGATGCCAGAGACCACCGCTTCCTCCCTATCTCGCATCGCTCTGCACACTCCGTTCTGGAGCTCACCGCCAAGCCTAGCGACTTGAAGTCTGACAAGTCCACTCCCATCTCCCTTGAATCTCTCCGTGTTGGTAACACCTACATTGCATTTGTCAACAACGTCAGCCCGCAGTTCATGTGGGTGAACCTCTCCCCCAAGGTCCGTGGCCGCATCACAGCCATGGAAGCCTCCGACGACCTTTCTCAACTCAACGACTTGGAAGCCAACTTCCCTGTCGGTTCCGCCCTCAAGGTTCGCGTTACCGCTGTCGATGCTGAAAACAACCGCCTCGACTTGACAGCTCGCTCCAAGACGTCTGGTGATGTCATCAGCTGGGATAGCCTCAAGACCAACATGATCCTCCCTGGCAAGATCACCAAGATTGACGACCGCCAGGTTATGGTTAAGCTTAGCGAGAGTGTTTCTGGCCCGGTTCACTTGCCGGACTTGGCTGACAACTACGACGATGTGGATACTACACAATACAAGAAGAACGATATTGTACGAGTGTCTATTGTGCACATGGACAAGCCTAACAAGAAGCTTCGCTTGTCTATGCGTCCTTCGCGCATCATGAGCTCGGCTCTCCCTATCAAGGATAAGGAAATCACTGAGCTGTCCCAGGTTGCATCTGGTGATATTGTTCGTGGTTTTGTCAAGAACGTCTCTGACAAGGGCCTCTTTGTTCTCCTTGGTGGCCAGGTTACTGCTCTTGTCAAGATTGGCAACTTGTCTGATCGATTCCTGAAGGAGTGGAAGGACCAGTTCCAAAGAGACCAGCTCGTTAAGGGTCGCATCATCTCCATTGATGCTGCCACTGGCAACATTGATATGAGCTTGAAGGCCTCCATTGTGGATGAGAACTACACACCTCCCATTACCTTTAACGATATCAAGAAGGGCCAGATTATTACCGGCAAGGTTCGCAAGGTTGAAGAGTTTGGTGCTTTCATTCTGGTTGACAACTCTGCCAATGTTAGTGGTCTGTGCCATCGCAGCCAGATGGCTGAGAAGAGTGTCCAGGATGCTACCAAGCTGTACAAGGAGGGTGATGCAGTCAAGGCTATTGTTCTCGAGGTTGATGCCAAGAAGAAGCGTATTAGCTTCGGTCTTAAGCCATCGTTCTTTGAGGATGATGATGAAGACATGGACTCTGACGCTGGTGCCCTTCTCGAGGATGAGGACGACGACGACGTTGACATGGACCAAGATGCCCTCTTGCAGCTCCTTGCAGCCAACGGTGACGATGACGACGAGGAAGATGATGAGGATGATGATGAAGACGAAGACGACGATGAGGATGAGGATGAAGATATGGAGGATGACGACGTCGCTGGCGGACTTGGTGCTGGCAAGAAGTCTTCCTGGTCTGCCGACCCCTTTGCTGAGTCTGACGACGAGGATAACGATGAGGAGGTTGACACTAAGGAGTCTACCAAGCCCAAGAAGAAGAGAAAGACTGAGATTGAGGTCGACCGCACCGCCGATCTCGACGCCAGCGGTCCTCAAACCTCCAGCGACTACGAACGTCTACTGCTCGGTCAGCCCGACTCCTCCGAGCTCTGGATCGCATACATGGCCTTCCAGATGCAAGTGAGCGACCTGCAAAAGGCCCGCGAGGTCGCCGAGCGCGCCATCAAGTCCATCAACATCCGCGAAGAAACCGAGAAGCTCAACGTCTGGGTCGCCTTCCTCAACCTGGAAGTTGCCTACGGCACCAAGGCCAGCGTCGAGGAGACCTTCAAGCGCGCATGCCAGTACAACGACCAGCAGGAGATCTACGAGCGCCTCACCAGTATCTACATCCAGTCCGGCAAGACCAAGGACGCCGAGAAGCTCTTTGACGAGATGCTCAAGAAGTTTGGTGCCGTGTCGCCCGAAGTCTGGACCAACTACGCCCACTTCCTACACGTCACAATGAACGATGCCGTCCGCGCGCGCGCTCTTCTGCCCCGTGCTGTTGAGCGCCTGCGCCAGAAGAACGGCGAGAAGCACAGCCACGCGATTGTCAACAAGTTTGCAACCTACGAGTTCCAGCTTGCCAGCGGCGAGGCGGAGCACGGCCGCACGCTCTTTGAGGGTCTGCTCAACGCCGCTGCGAAGCGCGACGATCTGTGGCGCCACGTTGTTGCCCTCGAGCAGAACCTCGAGAGCGCCAAGGAGGATCCTACCAATGTCCGCGATGTCTTTGAGCGCCGCACGCGCGTCAAGAGCCTCAAGCCCAAGCAGGCCGAGAAGTGGTTCCGCATGTGGGCGGATTGGGAGGAGAAGCGCGATCCCAAGGGCAAGGACAAGATCATGGCCAAGGCCCAGGACTGGGCGGCTGCTTACAAGTCTCGCAAGGAGGCGGAGGCTGCTGCTGCCGAAGCTGCTGAGGACGAAGAGATGGAGGATTAAAGCACTACTACTACTACTACTGCAGCAGTGCTTACTGGGACGACGGAATCTTTTTGTTTAAAATCTTTTGCATGGCGCATGAAAAGCTGATGTACATTTTTTTCTTCTCTTGTTTTGTATGTTTGCTGTTTGAATAGTCTTATTTCGCAGTATATCACGGGTTCAATACATGAATACAAAAATATCATATATACACACAAGTCATCTATATGCGTGCATCTTCTCCCTTTTTGGTAACCTCTCGTATTTTTGATGACACTGAAAGGGCGTATAAGCGGAGCTGACCAATTTCGCAGGCGGCGGTGTATACGAGCAATCTGAGGCTATGACAGCGGGGCCACTATGACTGTGGCTGCGGTCTCGGCGTTAGGTGACGCTTAAAAGCTGATTTTCCGCACTCTTTGTTTTTTTATGTCTTTTTCTTTTGTCGGGTATTAGACAACGAAACGTATAGCAGGAAACCATGTCGTCGACGACATCCATCCAGTTGGCCGAGTACAGCACCTCGGCTGCCGTGGAACCGGCCAAGACAACCGCGACCCGGCGCCGTGTTCCGCAGGCTTCCGACGACGATGAGACGGCCATCTTGGAAGCATCGCGGGCCGCAGACTCGGAGGCCCCGGACGGCGGATACGGCTGGGCAGTTGTTGCGGGCGGTGCTATTCTGCTCTGGTGGGGATCTGGAACTACATATGCTTGGGGCGTGATGCAGCGACAGCTTGTTCAGGAAGGGCTTGCCGGTCCGGCTGTGCTCTCTTTTATTGGTTCGCTACAGGCGGCGATGATTGCGACTTTGGCTATTGTTAATACGGCGCTCATGAGGAAACTCGGTCCGCGGACAATGGCTATGATTGGTATGACGCTCATGGGAGTCAGCGAGATCATATCGAGCTGGACGTACCATAGCGTTCCTGGATTATTTATCACGTTTGGCTTGATGACGGGTATTGGAGCAAGGTATGTTGTTACTGAAATCTGGACGGTGTATGATTTGTGTGGAATAAGGGCTGACGATATGTCGCACTCATAGTTTCGGCTTTGTGGTCATTGCTGCCGTCCCGGCGCAGTACTTCAACACGAAACGAGGATTGGCGAATGGTCTTATTTTTGCAGGCAGTGGGTTCGGCGGCGCAGCAAACAGCTTTGTCATGGACTTGCTCATTCGCAAAGTTGGAACGGCCATGTCTTTTCGTGTGCTTGGCCTGATGACCCTGGCTACTGGATTGCCTGCTGCTTGGCTGTTGAAGGAGAGGACTAGGATTCAGCCTCGCCGGTTTGTCGAATGGTAAGACGATTATGCTCAACAATGGAGTAGAATAAGGGAAAACTAACACATGCACAGGCAACTCTTCAAGACAGTCAACTTTACGCTTATTTGGCTGGCTGCCGCTATTGGCAACTTTCCCATCTTTGTGCCACCATTCTTCCTCCCCCTGTACACTGAAGCTCTCGGATACTCGTCAAGCACCGGTGCCAGTCTTGTGGCTGGCTATACCCTATCTTCCGCCGTTGGGCGCATCGCATGTGGTTACTTGTGCGACAAGCTCGGTTCCATCAATATTCTGCTGGGATCACTGGTCCTCTCGTCCGTGAGTATGCTCGCCATTTGGCCAGCATCACAATCTCTCGGACCTCTAGCGCTCTTTGTGGTGGTCAACGGACTCTCTAATGGTGGCTTCTTCTCTACGACACCCACTGTGGCAAGCAGTGTGTTTGGCAGCGCACGCGTCGGCATTGTCATGTCCATGATTATGACGGGCTGGGTCGGCGGATACCTCTTGGTAAGTGGCTATATCTAGCAAGGCACCAGCACAGAATTGCTAATTTGCTTGACTCAAAAACAGGGCGCGCCTATTGCGGGTTACCTGCTCGAAGCATTTGGAGGTGCCGAGGGCGGCTTACAAGCGTACCGACCAGCCATGCTGTATGCCGGCTCCGTGGCAGCCGTGTCTGCCATCATGCTGCTCACAGTACGTCTGCGCATCGACAAGAGGCTCATGGCCAAGGTTTAGACCCAAGGAGTTGCGGTGTACATACATACAGCGTTCTGCGCATCAAAATGGATACATACCGTGTCTGGTGTGCATGATGCGGCTCTGCTTGCCACGCCGACGACCCGGGCCAGTGGTACGATATCACGCGCTCATTTCCGGGGCAATTCCAATGCGGCTTAAAATGCCACGATATTTTGCATCGTGGAAATCGGAAGACGGCTGCCGGAAGAGGGTCTGCGTGCCACTGGTGTAACTGTGTCTGTTGCCGCCAGAACCGACTGTGCCGCAGGTCTTATGGAGCAAAGGCTCCTTGCCTTGGCCTATGCATTACGTCGATAGGCGGCAGAGGTGCATTATATTCTCACCCGGGGCAAGTTGCAGCGGAAAAGCGGCAAGAAAAGGTCTCCGGCGACGTTGCTTTGGTGTGTAATTAAACAAAATAGAATTTCCGGTTTTCTGTATTAGCGCCTCTCGAGTTGGCTGCGCTGCCCTGTCTACCGTTTTGGTGGTGGCGCACTCTGATCCCATGCGACCGACGTGCCGGCGCAAAAGGAAAAGGCAGTGTCTTTTTGGTGCACTGTACCGGCCTTAACAAAGGCGGGTGCCTCCTCGTTGCGCCATCCGGGGTGATGGTGATTGCATCGTGTGCGATAAGGTGCGCGCATCACGCAAAGTTTGTTTTGCTTGGTGTGATTACGCTGCTTCTTTCTTTTCCCCGCTCCTTCCGCCTGTCAAATCTCCCGCTAGCTGGCCCAAGTGCCCCAAGTGTTTGCTTGCCAGCCGGTGCCAGCTGCGCCAGGTGGTTGTGAACGCTGCTTGCTGCTTAGTGCCCGCCGCCGCCGAGCACGTCAACGCTAGTCACTCTAACGTCACGTCGGATCATCGGCACTCTGCCTCCGGGCGGCCTTTGCCAGTGTAAACCGGCATGTCGCCATCGCCTGCCCGCAACTCACCTTTCGCAACCACGATTCTGAGCTGGGAAACTGAGGAAATAGATTTTTTGGGAAAATTGCTTCATGATGGGCTGCCGCGTCTGCAGGGCACGAAAGGTATATTGCACACTTTTTTTTAATTGTTGGTTCTTTAATTTTTTTCCAATTTTCCCTTTGTTACTGTATTAAATGGACCCTCGCTCTAACCTTGGCGCCCGGTCGGCTCTTCGCAGGTCAAATGTGACGGCAGACCAAATGGCTGCCGCAACTGTGAACGCCTTCAACTCGACTGTGTCGCCGACGATGGCACCGCCGCAAAATTCAAGGGACCCGGAGGCTCGGGTTCGCCTCGCAAGATTCGAACATATCGATCCTGTCAAAATTGTCGCCTGTCGAAAACAAAGTGTAACGGCGATCGCCCGAAATGCTCGCGATGCACCGACAAGAACACAGACTGCATCTATGATGGAGGTGCTGCGCCCAGGTGGGCGCGCAATTTAAATAAGGTAGATCGGCAGACAGTCTCCGACGATGGCAGCTCTGGCGACTCCAAAGAAAACTCGGTGGATGTGAGCATGGAAGATGAACCGTACTTTGACAGCAACAAGGTGTTTGGTCTCGACAGACCAAAGTCCTCTACAACGACTTCTGAAGCAGGACAGTACGAAGATAGCCTACAGACGCTAGTTGGCACCGGCGAATATACAGATAACCCGGAAACCATCTTATCCCCGTCGGATCCGAATGCCTGGTAGGTGGCGGAGATACTCTTGCACTTAGACAAGCAGCGCATTAACACAATCAAAGGTTACTCTCGCCGAATCTGCCAACGGGACGATTATTGCGACGAGTTGTCGAGCAGTACTTTGCCAATATACACCCGCTGCGCTGTTTTGCCTTTGTTCATAAGCCGTCGTTTATGCGTCAGCTTGACAAGGGAACCACTGCCGACGATGAAACTGCACTGCTTCATATTGTCTGCGCGCATGGAGCAAAGTAAGCGAACCGGGAAAAAAAATCCCAAAGAAGAGTATATGCTAACATGTGGTTAGATTTTATGTCCTCACGCAAAATGAAAAAGCACCCGATGCTCTCCTACTCAGCGCTGCTGGCAACCAGTGGGCAAAGCGCGCGGAATACCTCCTCTTGGCTAACTTTGGCAAGATTACCGTTCAGCGACTCATGGTAATTCATCCAAGCTACGCTTATTGGTACCACTTAAACTAACAAACTGTAGACTGCTATCCTTCTTCACGAATTCCACTTCCGCGCTGGCGAGTACACCCAGGCGCTCATGATTAGCGGCCTTGCCGTGCGCATGGCCCATGCTCTCAAGATCAACACCGAGTACAACTCGGACATTATGTGCACGGAAACAGACGAAAATGCACCTTCGGTTGTATCACGAGAAAGCCGTCGCCGCCTCATGTGGGCTTGCTACATCCTCGACGCATGGTCTGGCAGTGGCATCGACCAGCTGACGCTACTTCGAGAAAACGACATCAAAATCCAGCTCCCGAGCAACGAACGCAACTTTGGTCTGCGCATTCCCTCTGTAACGGAAACTCTTGGTGTTGGGCACGTTCTCCAATTCCTTCCGCCGTCTGTGGTGCCCCGTCGCCCGGCTGCCAACATGGGAATCATGGCATACTACATCCGCATCGTCACGCTCTGGAAGAAGACGGTTCGCTACGTTAATCGCTTGGACGCTCACACGCGCCCATGGCTTCCGGAGTCTGACTTTGCGGCTTTGGATGCCGATCTAAAGCTGTGGCGACGCGAGTTGCCAGACTTTGTCGAATACTCGACAGAGACTATCTACGCTCGCCTCGACTCCAACCAGCTTGGGGCCCTGGTCCTAATCCACTGCACATATCACCACAACTATCTCGAGCTGTACAAGCTGTCCATGCCGGATCTTTTTAAGCTCTCGAAACCTCTGGCTGTCCCGCCAGAGCACGTGGAGTTCTTCCAGTCTGCTCAGGAAAACTGCTACTACCACGCCCACCAGATTGCGGATATCCTAGCTGAGGCAGCGGACCATGGGGCTCGTCTGCTCTCTGATAGTCTGCTACCGTATTTTGTCTACGATAGCAGCAGAGTAATGCTCTACTATGTAGCACGCCTGCTGGATCCCAATCGTGAGGATGCGCGAGACAAGGTCCGCGAGGCCATCAATGCCGTCGAGAGCAATAACACTGTGCTGCGGCTCATGTCTTCACTCTTCCCCATTGCCAAGTCTCTGGTAAGAACTCTTGCCCCCCTTGCACCATATATCTATATACACTAACATCTCGTAGTCAAATACGATTGACCGCTGGTTGAGCAAGATTCGTCACGCATCGAACCGTGAGGAACTTGTACATCACCTTGAAGGTGAACGAGAACCCGAAATCCCAGGTGTTGAAATGTACGCCACCTTGTGCTTTCCCCTTTTATCATCTGCTAACAATCGCAGTCCCAACCCGTCTCTCAGCAGCCCTGGGGCCAACCCTGATCTCAGCCTCCCCTCCATCTCCCTTCACTCTCTTGCTCGCACCGGTGTTGGTGCTCGCCGCGCGGCGGATCGCTCACCCTCAGAAGGCGGTGGCAAGCCAGCCGCCGGCAGCCCTTGGCCCGTGGAATCTCCAGCGAGCGCCAATGCCTGGAGTGACCGCAGCAGCGTGGCGCAGCAGCTTCTCGGTCTTTCCAAGGACGTAGGCTCGCCCATGCGTTCTGGTCTGCAGCACGAGCGTCCCGTCACGGTCCAGGCATCTCGTAAGGCTGCACAAGCTGCCAAGGCTGTCTATGACGGCTTAGATCTAGACGATCTGCAAAACTTCCTTTCGTGGGACATGTATGGTATCCGCGACATGGGCGACCCCATTGACGAAGGCGTAGAAGATATGGCAGCGCATTCGTGGGCAGGCGCCATTTAATGTATTGATTTGTGGGTGTTTTGGCGTCGTTTTTAGGATACTACAGGATGAGATAGCTACGATACCACGATATTTTGATACCACTGTTCACATGAGACGACCTTCCCTGCGACCATGTAACAAGAACATACTATAATAATCCCCACGGGGCAGCTTATCACTACACCTCGGCACTTTATTTGGCGAGCTTATAACACTGCCACGCTAGTTGTCGCATAAGCCAGTCCCCCCCCGCAGTCAGCCAGCTCCCCGTTTCAGAGTAAGCATGGCGATCACAGGGGAATATACCGAAGCTTAATTCATCATTGGTGCGATCGTGATTTCCGGAGTTCCACGTTACGATGCGTCCGTCCGAGGTGACGTTGTATTCATGCCATTAATATACTAGACGGGGGTCACAAGTCTATATAAGTTCTATTGCTATGGCGCAGCTATAATGCTCACTACCCCCGCCAACACCTTTCAAAAATAACCACTCTCAAAACATATCTCTGTACATAATTTTACACCTATACATCTCGTTCATCATGTTCAAGGCTCTTACTGCTGTCGCTGCCCTTGGCGCCGTCGCTTCGGCGTACGATCTGCCGGATAACCTTCGCCGCATCTACGACAACCACCGTGTATGCCCAACTATCTCCGAATTATATATTGTAAATATATACTAATTGCATTCTAGAGCGGCGGCTGTGGCAATGCCCTCTCGGGAACTTTCAGCGGAGGCGCTGTCTACTGCGGCGACATTCCCAACACCGTCTTCCTCAAGGGCAACAACGAGTACGACAATATGGACATTGACTGCGATGGCGCTAACAACCACGCTGGTGACTGTGCCAATGACCCCTCGGGCCAGGGACAGACTGCGTTCCAGAGCACCGTGCAGAACTTTGGCATCAGCGACCTTGACGCCAACTTGCACTCCTATGTCGTGTTTGGTAACGAGGGTGCTAACCCGTCCTTCCGGCCCCAAGATCACGGTATCCAGCCACTCAGTGTCATGGCTGTCGTGTGCAACAACCAAGTCGTATGTGGACCTCAATATTCTGCTCAAATTATGTACTAATATTTTCAAGTTTTACGGCGTCTGGGGCGATACCAACGGCTTCACGTCGACTGGCGAGGCTTCCATTGCCCTTGGCAAGACATGCTTCCCCAACGATGGTCTTAACGGCGACAATGGCCACGGTCCCAACGATGTCCTGTATCTCGCATTTGCTGGCAATGATGCTGTTCCCGGCCGAGACGGCGCTAAGTGGACGGCTGGTAGCCCCGAGGAGTTTCAGGAGAGTCTGCGCAGCATTGGCGAGCGTCTTGTGTCCCAGCTCCCTTCTTAGATAGAAATAAGTATGAATCAAGTAGCGAGAATATATTACTCTATCAAAGTTTCTAAATGCATATGTATAATTATTATTTCAAGCGCTACAAGACTTCTATCCAGACGGATTTCCGTTAAAGGCGAGCAGATTGGGTGTTCCAGCAGGCAGCTTCTCCAAAGCGTCCTTGGTAGCCAACTCGACGATGCGATCGCAGGCCTTTCCTCCATTGACTTTTTCAAGAACCATGAGGTACGCAGCGAGACCAGCAACATGGGGAGACGCCATGGAAGTACCACTCATTTTGTCCTATAATGCACGTTAGTGTTTAGTCGTCATGATACGTATCTACTTTGTACTTACATTGCCACCACCAGGCATGGTAGATACGACCTGCATAGCGGGTGCGTTAATATCAACCAACTTGCCGTGGTTGGAGACGCCAAAGCGGCCATCACCTTCAGCGGAACCAGCGACAGTGCAGACCAAGGGTTCAGAAGCAGGAGAGTCCTGTGAAGCATCGCGGCCCATGTTGCCAGCAGCGGCTGCGACGTGCATGCCTTGCTTGACTAGCTTTGCACAGGCATCATTCATGGACTGCAGGACGGTATCGGCAGTCAAACTCAGGTTGACAGTAACACCGTTAGCACATCCACGCTCCTTCACATCGCCTGGGATCCAATCAATAGACTCGATAATACCAGAGTCTGGTCCACGGCCCTGTCTATCCAGGCCCTTTAAGCCAAGTAGGAGCGACTTCTTGGCCACGCCAAAGGTAAGGCTACCAATAGTTCCAGCGACGTGTGTTCCGTGCCCGTGGAAATCCTTATTTTCTTCGCCCTTGATCCACGTCTTGACCTGCTTTGCGCGGCCTTCAAAGTCCTTGTGTGTATCATCGATACCGGTGTCAATAACATAGTTACAGACGCCCTCGCCGCCAGAATCGTCGTAGGTGTAGTTGTAGTCTTTGTTGCCCTTGGCGCGGCGAGAAATTCGAGCAATTCCCCAGGTGGTTCCGGTCTGAGTGACGTATTTGCTGTTTGTATTGCGGATAATAAGAGGATTTAGGGTGTTGGGGGTCTGAGTCTCTTCTGGGTCGGGGTCGAACCAGCCAGCGATCCTGGAGATGCCATCCTGCTCAATATAGAGGACCTGCCTATTGTCAGTAAATATCTAGGATAGTTTGACAAAGTGTTCTTACGTCGGGGTGGTTGCTTAGCGCTTCGAGCTCCTCCTCATCCATTTCTCCAGCAAAGCCATGGAATACATTCTTGTATGTACGCTCCGGCTCTGTCTTGAGAATCGCTCGGGCACTTTGAACGGATGCCATGGTGACCTCGTCTCGCAGACGGACGATGTATTTGCCGGGGATTCCATTTTCACGACGCTTGATGGATGCTGGCTCGGCACGCACCGAGGGCGCCGCAAATGCCGCCGGCAGAATGGCTAGCAAGACCGACAAGCGCATCTCTTTTTGCAAGTACTTTTAATTGAAGTTGAGGTTTCCGCAAAAGAAGAACAGAAAGGGCCAGGAAACAACGTATGAGGCAAGGATCACCTGTCCATATATACAGTACTGCAGACGCCTCTAAACCCGGTATCTGACAGCCAGTCTCACACATGTACGCAGTTTACCAACTCTTTGCGTGTCTACCATGCAATATGTTTTTGCTATAAACGTAATATCCAATCTAGAACCCACGGTTTGGCGGGGGAGTCTGCGACACCCGGCTTGGCGAACGCAACGCTGTCACGTAACCTTGGCTGATGGTGGTGGGAATATGTGCCGATGTAGATATTACAGGTAAAATGTTCCGTCCAGATACGAATAGATAGGTTTATAGCAGAGTAGAACTGTGTGGTTTGAGAATAGCTGTTGTTGTGTAGAGTGACGGTGTTTGATTATATGGGTGGCTGCATGATCATATCGTACACATAGAATGCAGGAAAAAGAAAATATGAAAGAATAATACTTAAATATTTATAATACTTAAATTGTAGTCCACACTTTTTTAACAATTTTATTGACGAGTGCACATCACACAATCTTGGTATCACTTAACCGGCGCTCATCGGCGTTAGCCTTATCGCTATCGCGGCGCCCAGCTCATACACCATTCACACTCTACACGCTTAATCTCCAACCAGCCATCCCCCTTTCCGCGCATCAACCACAAAATCACCAGCATCCAAAACAATGGGATTCATCTCGCGAACAATTCTTCTCTCCGCTGTTGGCACTGCCGGCGCAGCCGCATACCTCGGCACCCGAAACCAGGTTGTCACGCCGCTATCGCCATCAGACGCCATCTTCAGCTCCAAGGTCTACAAGAAACACAACCCGGCAAGAAACCCCGCCACACAAGACGTCTGCATCAAGCGCATCCCGTTTAGCAAGATTCGCCCTGAGCTGCTCGAGAACCCCAGCAAGCTCACCCTTGAGTACTGCCGTGGCGTCTGGTCGGGCATTGGTGAGCACGCCGCAACCCACTGTCTTAGCCGTTGCAACACGCCATCTAACCCGATATCACAGGCTACGAGATCCAGCGCAGATACCTTGAATACAAGTACTTCGGCCCTGATACAAGCAAACAGCTCTGGTCAAAGCAGCAGCTAGCCGAGAGTTCGTATGACAAGGGCACGTGCATTACAGACCACTTTGAAGTAGTAGAGAAGACTAGCTCCGCCATTACTGTGAGGTGCGGCGACTCGCCTCGCAAGACCGGCCTGCGCCCCAGCGATGGACTATTTGTAATTGGCGCCACGCTGGATAAGGAGCGACAAGAGGTTGAGTTGACGCTCAAGAGCTGTCTCTTTTCAAGCGAAGGCAAGGTTGCCGGCACACATGGCCCGATGCCCGACTGGATGGAGCCGCTGCACCAATGGTATGCTCGCCTCTGGTCGGAAACCGGCTCAAGACGGCTGTTGAAGTGATTTGTTAGACTTGGATACAGAGTTCATAACAAGAGCCGAGGCTGAAGGTGGAGCAGAATATGCAGAGAGAAACAAAGTGCGCGCCCAATACATACTCTATTCGTTCGCACAGCGCGATGTCGCGAATACATGCCTCTATTCGTCAGTATCCGACGAGCCCGGATTATCAAGCAGACGCAAATATTCATGACTAGTCTAATTCACTATATTCTACACGCCATAGCTATCACGCAATATCGCCAGGAAGCCCCTTTGAACGAGCGTTTTACCGCAGGTGACTACGTTTCATCCGACGTGGCTCCCCAACTACCGGCTGTACTGTATACGACGCTAAACCGTTTCTCGCTATATTCGGGCGCGATTACTGATCCCCGGGGTGCCCTGCAGCCACCAACGAACTGAGATCGGCCTAATTCAACGGCGCAAACCTAGAATAGAGTAAACTTGCCTGGCTGATTTTTAATCAAAAAAATTTATACCAGACGGTAGGACTCTTGTGACGGCAGCCGTGTCCGAGCCGAAGGAGTAAGTAAGTTGCAACGCTTGGCTAAGTAGCTAGTGATGTTTGGTATAAGATCAGCATGACCCCGCCGCAGGGAAGGCTACTGACCATGAAGCAAGTCAAAATATATCCAAGAAATTCTAATTCCAATCTCTAAACACTATGACATCTCCAGACAGACCTTTGGTCTTTGTTGTCGGTGCTACCGGTGCCCAGGGCATTCCTGTTGTCCGCGGGCTTGTCAAAGACGGCGCCTATGCAGTCCGCTTCTTAACCCGCGATGCTACATCTGCCCGCTCCAAGCAGCTGCTGGACCTCCCAAACGTCGAGGCTCGCGAGGGCAGCTTTGCCAACGAAGATACACTTCGACAGGGTCTCCGTGGCACCCAGTATGCCTTTATCAACATTGACGGCTTCAACGCCGGCGAAAAGACGGAAATGTTCTGGGCCATACGAGCATATGAATTGGCTCTGGAAGAGGGTATCCGCTTTTTTGTCTATGGAAATCTCGATTACGGCTACAAGTTGAGCGGGTACGAAGCCAAGTTCCGATGTGGACACTATGACGGCAAGGGCAGAATAGGTGACTGGGTGCTACAGCAGAACAAAGATGCGGCCGCGAGCAAACGAATGGGTGCTGCGCTTTTTACGACTGGACCATACATTGCGATGGCTGTTGGTGGCCGCACGCCAATGGCGCCGACGGTGGAGGATGGCGTGGTTACTTGGAGAGTCCCGCTCGGTGAGGGTGCTGTTCCGCATGTAAGTCTGGAGGACTGCGAATATTATGTGCGGTGGCTATTTGATCACCAAGAGCGCGCTAATGGACTGAATCTCGCCGTCGCCATTGAGCATGTGCACTACAGAGACCTTGCTGCTGCCTTTGAAAAAGTCACCGGCCACCCGGCGAGATATATTGACACACCCCTCGAAGAGTACTGGACATCTGGACCTCTGGGCACTGGTCAAGGGCCGGCAGGATACAATGCCAACACCGACGATGCAGCTACCATGAACATTCGGGACAACTTCACCGGCTTCTGGAACCTATGGAAGCACTCGGGCAGCAACACCGGCATCGTGCAGCGAGATTACGCGCTGCTGGACGAGATATTCACCGGAAGGGCAAAGACTGCAGAAGAGTGGTTCCAGCGGGAAGAAGAAGCCAGTAAGGCGCAGGGATTGCCTGGTCTGTGGGAGCGTGTCAACAATCTCAAGCCCGTGCTCAAGGTAGCGGAAGACGGCAGAAAGGGGAGGATTTAATATTTTTATTATCTGGTACAACCCACAGGAAAATTACTGACACACGCGAGCAAATCATAATTTAGAGTAACCATAGACTCCCCTTTTTTACTATGCAACCTACCTTCGTTTTGGTGCTCTTGACCGCCAACCAGTCATATTGCTGCATCTGCAGCCGTAGTACAAAGTGGAAAAAGGCTGTTGCCCAATGATGCAGCGTGATGCAGGCGTAGCGCAGCGCAGCTCAGCAGCCAGGGAACAGACATGCATCACGAGCCCTTTCCCAACAAATAAATAAAAATCATGAAAATTCCCTCTTGTTCTTCTGTTTCTAAGCAACTCTTACCAATTTTTCGTGGTGTCAGCCATGGCGATTGACCACAACTCCCCAGCCCTCGCAGAAAGCTATGTGCTCTGCGACAAAAAGTACATTGTCACCCCCAAATCATTCATCAAGCGCACGCTGCGGCGCCACGAATGGCAAACCGCATGGAACAGCCGCCTCATCATCCCCTCACAATGCTGGCCGCAGCGCTGGCGCACCGACGCAGCCAATCTGGCCTTTATCGCAGCCAACACGACGATTCCTGTCCCACGGGTCAACTTTGCCTTTGAGGACGACGGCGCCTTTTACTTTTCCACGCGCATGGTGGACGGGGTATCGATGCGGTCGCTGCCGGATGACAAGAAGGCCGTTGTCCAGGCCGATTTGGACGGCTACATTGCGCAGCTGCGCGCGCTGAAGCGGGATAGACCGGGTGTTCCTGGTTCAGATCTGCTGTGTCCGCCAATCCGTGTCTACGAGGAGCCTGAGGTGACTGGCAATGGTGGATGGAATGCGCACTGCTGTTTCAGGCTGAAGCCGGGGTGGAGGCCGACGCCGGGCGAGGAGTATGTGTTTTGTCATAATGATTTGGGGAGGCATAATATCTTGGTGAATCCGGAAACACTAAAAGTTATGGCGGTTATCGACTGGGAGTATGGCGGGTTCTGGCCGGCTTGGTTTGAGGGGCACTTTTGGAAGAGGGATGGGCCGTCGGGGGCTGTGGGGGACGAGGAGTGTGATGTGAAGAGGCTGCGGGCGTGGCTGGAGGAGAATTGTGATCCTGTGCCCATGCCGCCTCTATGAGGAATACTGCAGGGTATGTGATATGTTATTGGCGATAATGGATATGGTGTCTTTAGCAAGGAGGGACTGATTGATTGACTGACTTACACGGAGGGGCAAGCGGCGTCCCGGGCCGGCATCTCCACTTTAGGCCGGCGCCGACGACCCGAGGACGGACTGGGGCACGGGGGAAATGTGGAACTAAGATTGTATGTAAAAGTGGCTTCATTGTAGTATTTATAAAATAGACTGCAGATTTATTCTTTGAGTAGAGCGTCCATCTTCTCCACTACTTCGGTTCTTTGCGCGGCGAGGTCAAAGTATCGCAGGTAGTCCCATCGGCCGTTGAGCGTAGCCTTAAGCTCGGCGGGCGTGTACTTGTCTGCGTTGCAGATGAGTGCGCCGGCCTCGCGACTATTGTGAACGAGCATGTTGCCGCGAGAGCGACGGACAGCGTCATAGACGGCAAAGGCGGCGGGTATTTCCTTGGCCGTGGTGACTTTGGCAAGAACGGCAGCTAGAATCACGGCGTCTTCAATGGCCAAGCCGGCGCCGGCGCCTTGCCAGGGCGTAGAGGCGTGCGCGGCGTCTCCCATGATACAGACGTGTTTGTTTGTGTAGGTGCTAGTGTTGAGATGCTCCCATTGTGAGTAGGCGGTTACTTCGCCGTCCGGGGTGAGCAGCTACGAAGAGTTAACAGAGGCTATATGCAGTATACAAATGGCAGAGGGAATGGATCAAAAGAAAACTCACATCAATCATCCCATGGGCAAAGGGGTCGCTTAGCCAGTCTTGAAATGCGTCCTTTAAGTCGTCACGAGACATGGCTTGCTTGCGGTCGGAAGGATGCTCAGTCTCAACATGGGCCATGACAATCTGCACCATGGTGCCGTTTTCCACTACATCCGTCATGGTAAAGGCGCTGCCACCGCCACGCACCCACTGTCGGTGAGATTGAAAAGGCTTATCGCCAAGCTTTTCGCGCGCCAGTTCCATCGGCACAATGGCGATGCAGTTCCAGAAGCCGGCTGGCGTGGGCTTGTCGGCCTCGGAGCCAATGACATGCTTACGAACAAAGCTGAAAATGCCGTCTGCGCCAATGACCGCGTCAAAAGTGTCCGAGTGGCCATCTTCAAAAGTTAACCGTACACTGTCATCGAGGGGCTCGATCTTGCACAGCTTCTTGTTGGGATACAGAATGGACTCGGGCAACGGCGCCAGCAGCTCACGCAGTAGCGAGGCGCGGTGGACGATATAAAGCGACCCATCGGTCTCAATATCCTTCATTTCTTCTCCATGGTACTTGCCACAACCCTGGCACGAGGTTACTGGTAAGTACAGTTGAGAATTTGAGGGGTGATGCTTACCACATGCATGCAAGCGGCGCCCATTTCGACGGCGCCAGACTTTTTAATCACTCCATTGTAATCGGCAACAGCTAGTTTGAGTGCATTTTGAGCATGTTTCGAGAGACCAACTGCCGCACCGCGCTCAGAGAATTTAGGAGCTGATTCGAAGAGCTGAAGAGTGAGATTGTTGCATTGGGCGAGGGCGTTGGCGAGGCTGGCGCCAGCAACACCACCTCCCACGATGGCAATGCGGAGTTTTGAAACCGTCATTTTTGGAAAGAGTCTATAAAATCAAGCTGATTCTTCTGTATCTATGCCATGTAGAGAAAGGGACCTAATACAGTGTAAAATAGACATTGGGGAGCGGTGTACTCTCCAACTAGACAGACACTTAGACAAGGCTGCGGCGGGGTTCTTTTGTGACGTCGACAACCGTGCGCGGGGAAATGCATGAGAGCCGGAGAAAGATAAAAAGTTGGGGGCTAATTCACTAGGAGCCGCAATTGCCTAGTTTTCTTGGGTTTATTTGAATTTCTTTAGCCCTTTTTACTTGTGTAAGTGGGCGCGGCTGTAGCTGGCTGGGGTTTATACCGGGTAGGGTGGGAATGCATCGGATCTGGGTTGCATCGCGCTGTAATTACGGCGGTGTTACTTGCGCGGGTGCAGGCGGTCGCAGCAGGGTGCCGGCTGCCTACGCTACAGCACGTACAGCGCAGTGTCTGTGGCAGCAGCAGCAGCAGCAGCAGGTGGCTGCAAGGTCCAAGCACACGGAAATAGGCGGTCTACTATAAATGATATAAAAACTGGAATTAATTTGCTGTTTCCAGTCTATTGAAATAATTCTATTTAATTACTTTAATAGGCAATTACTGACAAGTGTAATCAGATCTCGTTTTTTGCTGGTAGTGGACCTCCCTCCCCTCGCCCGCCCAAAAATAACCCAAAACATGGTCCTCGCGTTGTCGTGGCAACCGCCCTCTCCACGCGCCATGCAACGTCCACTCTCCGCCAAACAAGGCGTCTCCAGCAGCCAAACAATACTTTGTCGCCAATCAAATCCACACCTTCTCTTCTCTTGGCCTTGTTGTTTTCCATTCGTCTCGCTCTCTCTACATTTATCTCCTCTTCTTCGTTATTTCTTCGTCACCACTGCCTCTGCGTCCAGTCTTCACCACTACAAAACAACACTCAACGCGCAACGTTTCTCCTGAAAGCTATAACTCATGATCTGATCTGACTCTGATTCATGATTTGCGCAACAAACGACACCTCAAGACCCTCTAGGATGCCCTGACGATAAACAATACTCTCACCACGACACACGACTTTCCATTTCTTTTTCCTTTATTTTCTTGTCCCATTGCAGCGTTTAGCCTCACGACTACGAGTCACGACACACGCTGCTACGGGATAAACAACGACACAAACATCCACGTATACACACAAATTTTTGTTATAGACATCTAGTCTCGAGCTCAAACACATAAACAAGCAGTATTCTACCCGCCGCTAGCAACCATGGACACCAGCTATCTGGCCCAGCAGGTCAATAGCAGCATCACACAGCTGCATGGCCTGTTTGACGAAATCGGCGTCCCTAGCCATGAGCGCCAGGCTCGTGAATCAGAGGTACCCATTGTTATTTTTCTAGTTGTATAGTTCTGTCAGTGGCTAACATTGCATGTTTCGCTCGCAGCTCTTTGCAGCCCTTTCCGAAGCCCTCAACAGCCAAGTTCGCCTAGTCACGACTGAAAAGAAGGAAATGATGGACGAAGCCAAGGAAATTATCACAACCATTCGCCAAATGGAATCATCACTCGACGACTCAAAACAGCGTTCAAACTTCTCCGACGACGGAGAGTTCAAAATCACATATCCCCTCAACAAGTGCCTCCAAAACCTCAAGGAGCAGCACACCCAGATTAGCAGACTACACAAGGAGCGCTTCGAACAAGTAAAGAAGCTTGTCCAGGCTCTTGAGTCGTACTCATCACATCTTGAGGCTACTTTTGTGCAGATTCCCCTGCCACCAACTGCCCCTGGTACCGTCGTCTCGCCGAGCTTCGATCTGTCTCCATCTTATGTAGACCGCCTCGACAAGGAGTTTACCCGCGTCTACGAAGAGTACACTCGCCGCATTGCCTCGGTGCAATCCATTTCTGACAGCGTCATTCAGCTTTGGGCAGAACTTGGCATTCCTCAGGCGCAGCAGGACGGCGCCATTGTCAAGTACTACCGCGAAGCCCCTGAGCAGCTCGGTCTCCACGACGACGATATTAAGCGTCTGCAGTCTAAGCGCGAGCGTCTCATGGACGAAAAGAAGAGCCGTGAGAAGAAGCTCCGTGACCTCAAGACCGAGGTCGAGTCGCTCTGGACCAAGCTTAACATTGACGAGGCCGAGACCAAGGCCTTCCTGAACCAGAACCGTGGTTGCGGACTGCGACAAATCAACGAGTTTGAGGACGAGCTGAGCCGTCTCAACGAACTGAAGCGCGAAAACCTCCACCTCTTTGTCGAAGACTCCCGTGTCCAGCTCCAGGGTCTCTGGGATGCCCTCTACTTTTCGGAAGACGAGATGCTCGAATTCACCCCTGCCTTTTCTGACGTGTACAGCGACGCCCTCCTCGAGGCACACGAGCGCGAAATTGCCAGACTCGAAGCCATCAAGGAACAAAGAGCGCCCACTCTTGCCCTTGTCGACCGCCATAAGAGTCTTGTCAAGGAGCGCGATGACTTGGCTGCTTCTAGTCAGGATGCTTCGCGCCTGATGCTCAGAGGACAAAAGGGCGAGAAGCGCGATCCCGGAAAGCTTCTTCGCGAGGAAAAGATGCGCAAGAGAATCGCCAAGGAGCTGCCCAAGGTTGCCGTGGAGGTGCGCAAGGCCCTGGAGAGGTGGGAGAACGAATACGGGCGACCATTCCTTGTCTTTGGTGAGCGCTATCTCGATGAATTTGAGGCCGAGGATGCAAAGAAGGGCGGTGCCATGACAAGAGCCAAGACACCTGCTGGTCCTGCTTCCGCAATGAAGCCTGCACCCAAGTCTGCCGCCAAGGTCATGCCATCGCGAGCCGGAGCCAAGACACCCACTGCTAAGAGCACCGTCAAGAAGCAGCCCGCAACGGGCCAGTCCAACAACGGCCGCGCCAGCCCTACTAGAATTCCCGGCCGCGTGCCTCTGTCCAACTTGAAGCACGGCAACAACTCACCGGAGCGACCCCGTCCGCAGTCCCGCGGCGAGACTCTCCGCAATGGAGCTCCTGCGCGTGCGCCTCCCCCCAAGATGCGCGATCTCAAGGCTGTCCCTGAACTTGGCCCACCATCAAGCCCATACAAGGGAACTGGTCTAGATACGACGATAGTCCGCGGCATTGAGCCCGAAGATGTGTATGACGACAGATCGCCAGTCCATCGTCTCCCTCGCAGCGACTCCAACCTGACAACGGCCACGACGGCAAGCTACTACACAGAAAGTGAGCACTATGGACGATCCACGGCGTCTGCGTACCCCATGGCACCGCCTCCCCGCCAACACTCTGGCAGCTCGACACTTGTGTCGGGATCAGAGAACTGGGAGACGTACGACGACAACAGCGAGCCCGAGATGGACGCGACAGACACGTACTATGCCAAGCTGCGCGCAGCCAAGAATAAGCGAAACGAGCCCGACTACGGATCGCGGCCGCAGAGCAGCATGGCCAAGCGACTAAGAGGGATCCCGCCGCCCCAGGGCTACACGGGGCCTGTCATGATTGATGATCAAGGAAACAGAATCGTCTCTGGTAGCGAGTGGACCGACGACGACATGTTTTAAAGTGATATGTCTGGGTTTGTTTGGCGGTTGCTGCTAGATTCTGGGACTCGCGTCCTCCTTTGTTCATTTTTTCACTTTACTTGATTTTTTGTCCGTTGTTTATACGTGTCACTTATACACCATTTTCAATACTGCTTTTGGCGAGCATCATCTCATCACTTTGTGGTTGTCTTTTTTATTCTCCGAGACGACTGCTTTGTCGAACATCATCACTTTGCGGTCGTCTTTTTCATTTTCCGAGACGACTGCTTTGTCAAACATACTCACTTTGCGGTTGTCTTTTCCATTTCCGGACGCAGTGTACATTTCTCTTCTTCCCTCTTCTTCTTTGAACGATAATTTCTTGTCTCTTTTTCGTTGTTCAGTACAAAAACGAGTGACCGAGGCTGCATGATCATGGGAACGTCTTCTAGCAACCATTGGCTTTGGTCTGGGGTTTTTTCGTCTTGTTTTTCAGGGTTGGCGTATTTTTCTTTAAGAAATGTAAATGTTTTTCCTTTTTTGGTTTCTTGTAGCGTGGTATAAATGGATTGAAATTTTCTTTTCCTCTATTTGATTGTCCTCTACTGTTGTATGTGTGAGTGACGCTGCAATGTGGCATGTATGCCTGCCATGTCTATACAACCTCAGCACATCATTGAGTATCTTGAATGTTGTGCTGATGCTATGGTGTGTTTCTGGTTGAATACCCTTATTTTTTTCTGCTTTTCCGTTTTACCATGAGGATTTGGCCGTTGGGCGGCTAAAAATAAACTTGCACTGTCCACTGTAGATGCACACTGTCCAATCGATACACTACAGCGCCAACGGGTCCCCTAAACCGGCGACCGTGGCCCACTAGAAAAACGCCCGAGATCCGCTGCGCGTCTCGTGTTGGGCGGGACACGCAAGGCAGGCTAGCCCCTGTGGCGTCTTCCAAATGTTTGCATCACGCTGCTTCCTTCGTTTCAAGTCCAACATCACCAAATTTTCTACGTTTTCTTTCACCACTGCCACTCGTTTTTGCTGTAGATTGGTATCGTTATCTGCACATCATTCGCTAGCATCTCTATTAATAATTCCGTTATTTTGAACTCGCATTCCTTTACATCATCGGCCGTTACACGACACGATACCCTCACTTCCGAACCCTCCGCCTCCCATGACGCTCCTCCTCTCTTCCAGCCGATGAGTTCCGCCCACGCGACTCCAACATCCAGCTCTAGCGGAAGCCCGGGCAGCAGCAGCCAGCAGCATTCGTCTGCCGAAGATGCGGCAGCCGTGGCTCTACGCGGAGCGGCCCTCGCCTTTGCGAAGAAGCCCGCCGCCAGTCTACCAACCTCCAGTGCCACCACAAACACATATACATATTCACCAGCACTTTCACACGGATCCTCAACACACATCACCGCCGGCGGACACCCCGTGCGACTACTTTCCTCGCACGCACGCAAACGCAGCATCGACGCCCTCGCTGCCGCGGAGAGGGCCCGCAGTCCCGCGAGGTTACTCGTCCAGCCACATCCCCCCGCGGAAGGGTTCGGTGCATCCCATGACGTAGAATCCCAGAATGCCTCCCTCCAAGCCGCGGGTATCGTTGCGGCCAGACTACAGCAGCTCGGCGTACCCAACCTCGTTCCCACTAGTTCGCCTCAAGCGGCGGACGCGAATTCGAAACTCGATGCGAAGACGAATCCGAGCCTTATTGCGGCGACCCTCGCGGCGAGCAGGAGTGTAAGCCCGAGTGCGGCGAATCGAAAAGTGCGACATGCCGGTGCTGGTGCGGATGGCGATGTGGTTGTGGATGCGGCGCCGATTCCGCCGACGACGTCACTTATATCCATGTTTGAAAGTAAAGATGAAGACGTGGAGGTGCCGGTTGTGAAAACGACGCCGGTACGTAAGCAGCATAAACAGAAACTAGTAAGGGAGGTGTCGCCAACTGGAAAGATTCCTGCATCTGCCGTGGCCCTACCCAAGCTTGCTGCTGCTGCTGCGCGGCCGAAACGACAATCGTCGCCGCCTGTTACGAGCGAAGCATCAAAGGAAGCACCTATGACACCAGTTGCTGTTAAGACTTCAGCTGCTTTTAAGACGCCAGTCTCTGTCAAGACGCCTGTATCTGCTAAGCCAAAGAAGATGCTGACGCCGCAAGCTGTGGTCGATGCTGCATCAGCCAAACCTCGCGTGCCGGCTGTGTCACCAACCGTCAAGACACCTACAAAGCCAAAACACCTCAGTCAACCAAAAGAAAAACCTACGCCTGAACCAAAGCCCGTCAAGGTAAACACAGAAAAGAAGGTACGGGATACTTTGTCATTGAAAGCAGAGCCGAAACCCGTCAGTCAACCAAAGGAAAAGCCCACGCCTGAACCAAAACCCGTAAAAGTAAACTCGGAGAAGAAGGCACGGGATACTCCGACGTTGAAAGCAAAGCCGAAACCAGTCACCATTCCACGCGCCGAATCGCCTACTCCCCCTCTCATCAGCCGCTCGACCACCGTTGTCCTCTCTCCGAAGCCTACACGAGTTGTCAAAGCCGCCTTGCGAAGCTCGTCCCCTCCTGATGTTATCCTGAAGCCGACAATTGAGGTCCAATCGCCTCCCATAATTCTCAAGCCGGCCATTGAAGTGCAGTCACCGCCGGTGGCCGAGCCAATCAAGCTGGCCAGTCCTCAGCCAAAGGCTGCGCCAACACCGCCACAGCCCAGGAGAAGCCAACGATTCGTCAAGAGTCCCGTTAATGGTCGTGAAAGAGGTAACTCTGATACAATGTCAGCCAGCCCTGCTGTCATCAGCATGTACGGTCTTCCTATATCTATTAGGGCGCCGATATCGAGAGCGTCCCCGCCACCTCTCCCTGGCCGACGAGACTCTGTTGCAAGTGCACCGTCGTCGCCGTCGCATGAGCCGCAGCGAAGACTGAAAATCAAGACTCCAGCCGTCGATCAGCTACAGCTCAACTCGCTCACCAGTGCCATCATGGCTGGCTCTCTCGCTTCATCCCGCTTGACGCCACAAAACTCTGGATCGCCCATGCCACCACTACTACCTAAGCGCCAAAAGTCGCCACACTTATTACAGACACTGCGGCGTCCTCCGTCTTCTGATTCAGATGAAAATGAGCGACAGAAGAACTTGGGCAACCACCACCGCCATAAACTGCACAGCTCAAGGCACCAGCATCATGAAGGATCCCGCCGACGATGGCGTGACAAGATTACAGACCGTGAAAGGAAGCGCTACGAGGCAGTGTGGGCATCCAATCGCGGCCTGCTCCTGACAGATGTGTCACCGTCATCGAGCGTAGTGGGTAACATTGGCACAGAGCTGTCAGAATGCGTTGTGAACGTAGTGGTCCGTGAGCTGTGGCAACGCTCACGCCTTCCCGACGACGAGCTGGGTGAGGCCTGGGACCTGGTAGACCGTGAAGGACGAGGCTATCTGACGAGGCCCGAATTTGTAGTGGGCATGTGGCTTGTAGACCAGCGTTTAAAGGGACGTAAGTTGCCTACCCGAGTTGGAGACTCCGTGTGGACGAGCGCATATGGTGGCGTAGCCGTAGCTCGGCCGCGACGATAAAAAGGCGTTTCTTTTTTTGGCTCACAGTTTGAGCATCATCCAGTGTACATTTTTACATAGCATCATGATAAAGCGAGCAATTGACTTTTTCTTTTCTTCACCTCAGTCACTCCGCTAATCAATAATGGCCCGTAAGCAGTTGGCAACTCCTTCACCTGCCCAAACACGTTTTAAAATAAGGCTGCTAGTGGATGCTAACTGCAAGCGAGCCCTGTAACCAAGGCTGTCTGTGGATGCCCTCGTGCCTTATGCCGGAGAAAGGCGCCCGGTCAGCCTAGACTCATGGTTCGGGCAATTCCCCTTTATGGTAAGTAGCGAACCAAATGATGCCGACATAGCCGCCTTGAGAAAGAGTATATATGGACATTCAAGGCCAGCTAGTTACCAGAAAATGTAGGATACGCTTGGTCAATCTTCACCGTATTCCTTCTTAGTCTCCAAAAATGAAGTTCTCAATCGCTGTCGCCTTGAGCATGGCTCTGTGCGTTGTCGCTCAGCCTATCACCAACACGGAGAGAGTAAGCATTGCGTCTATGTAATAGCATGATGAAAACTAATCCTTTCCTTTTAGGGAGTGGACAGGAAAGAGGACGGACACTGCACCTGGAATAGCAAAACCTGCTAGAATGATGGACTAAAACATTGTACATGTAGGACATAGAGGCGTTCTGGTTGCAACTTTTTAAATAAATATAAATACATTATACAAAGAACTCCTTGTGCTGTGGCATGACTCAGTGCTGGTAATCGGGGCCACGGACATGGATAGGTAGCCTTGCGCGCAAATGAGATGCTGCTTACGGATAATCTAGAGAGGATCAGTACGCATGCTTGCTTGTAATAATCTACTGATTAAGGAGCTGTACAGTATATAGCGGCGTAAAAAACAGAGCATTGGTTTTATTTGTTCACTATGCATAACGCGCTTGCTCGGCTGGGCCACGTTTGCATAAACGATCTTTGGTCGCATTGGATCTCACGGGCCGCCGATTACAGGAGCGGCGGGCAAACATAGAATGGTCACGGTAGTCATTCGGTACTTGGTCGATAGCGTGAGATGGGGCCCGGTACTTTGGGGGCTACCGCTTTTCCTGTGATGGACATTAAGCAAACCGTGTGCCAACGTTTTACCATGTATATAGCGCGTCGCTAAGGAAGAAGACTCATGTCTCGTAAATCTTTTCTTTAAAAAGGCTCATTCGTCCTAAATTTCAGCTGGGAGGGGGTCCTTGGTCCACGCAAAGGGGGGAAAGATATCCGGCTGAAGTGGACTCCAATGCGCTCGGCTGGGTGAAGACCCAGGGCACCAGCGAGCCTGATTTCGTTCGTTCCCGCAAGGCTTTCCATATTTAGGGCGAAGCAACAGGGCTGGGATAATTTGGATGCCATGACCCTCTGTGGCTATGTAGGTAGGTCTACAAATATAAGTACAGCTATATACGGTTACGGCTCCCCTCTCTGGAAGCCAAGTCAAACTCTACACACCAAAGTTCCAATAGTTTGTTGTCTATATATCTACTACAATGAAGCTTTCATTTACTCTTACTTTGAGCGTTGCTGTCTGCGTTGTAGCTCAGCCTGTCGCCAATGTAGCCCGCGTAAGTTCTGGATGATTTACAGAAACATCGAACGAAAGCTAATCCTGTTGAATCAGACGAAGTTCCCCGGTGGAGTGGGCAAAACCCTTTTTGAGCGGGAGCACCAAGCAAGTAGAGGCCAAGAAGGAACAGATGTTGGTTGCTCGTGGGGAATAGGAGTATCTGCGGACGATTGCCACCCGTAGAAGTATGTGAGAAGAAATGTATATTAGAAACAAGTTAGATTTATCCTATCTTTGTATGTGACTCTGTGATTCGATTCGATTATAACATTATGACGTCTACGCTCTCAATAGAGCGTTCCCAGCTGGATACTACTTGCATAAAAGAATGGGCTGCATGATTAACAGTAAAGACGGCAAAACAGGCTGCTGGTGGTGTGCGCGTCATGAACGAGCCTGGTCTGGCTTCCGCAAAAGTCCCCTCCTTGGGGAACGGGATTGAGCAGAGTGGCAGAGTGGGCTATATATATATATATATGGGCTTTATTTTATACCGTACGAAAGTAATGAATTCTAATATTTCTTTTAGGAAACGGACCTATCGAACCAAATACGTGGGGAACAACAAACCCAAGGAAATAGTTGCGTATGGGTACGAGGCTTGGGACACTAGTTGTATTATACAATCCAACGGTATAATCTAGTCGGTTGTCTTCTATCCCCGATACCATCGCAAGAATGCTTCTGTGACCTCTACCGTCAATACGGGAATGGATACCAAGTATGTGGCAAGTTGTGGCGCAACTCGTACCAAGAGACTATACCATACCTTGGCGAAGGCCCATATACATCTTTCTCGTAATCGCCCATTTTGTGATCCCGGCAAATGAAGACATCTGGGATACATTCGCAGCTGTTTAGAGGGTCAAATGTCAATTCCGCCCCGTCATTACTCTTAAAGCTGGACAGAATGGGGAGGCCCGACTGTTGATAAGGCAGGGTTCTCGCCGGGCCGGTAGCGACGTGGTGTTGTACTATTTCCATAATCGCTATTGCCTCGTCACTGCGAATGCCCACTTCGCTATAGGGCCATTTTCTCATCAGCTCGACCCCTCGGCGGCGAACTTTTGGGCTGCTGGAGACTGCTAGAAAAATTTGCAACAATCTTCCAAGCGACGGCGCAAAGATATAGGGGGGTGGCTCCAATGAAAACGCCGTACCGAGAGACGACATGCGGCCCATGGCAGCGTCTACTTTATCCAAAGCGAGCAACATCTTTTCGTTGGCTGCAATAGCCTCGTCTCTAGTTTCTGCCAGTATAATCTCCTCTCTTATAAAAGATAGCTCCATAATTAGATCAAGAATCTCGAGAGTTTGGCGGTCATGCGGGGTAATGAGTCGTTGACTTTCTTTAAATGCACCGAGCCTAGCGACGTAGGATTCCAGCATGTCCAGGCGGAAGCGAGTTTTCATTGAACCTTGATGACTAGGCGCCATGACATCTTCATACTTGAAGAGTCTCAAGAACTGAGTCGGCAGCATGGCAAGGTAGGCGTCTGTCATGCAAGTAAAACTGTCGATTTGAGGGCATTGTACGGTCCATTTTCGCGTCCAGCGGCCTGGTAGACCCATTTGCTCATATATGGACACGTCAATGATGAGAATAATAGAAAGCAAGTCATTGTAGGACATGATTCCATTCCGCGATACAGGATCTTCCTCGCCAAACTGCATTGCTTCCAGAAGCCGCGAAAAGCTTTCGCACTGAGATTTGAGCTGGTGATCGTCGGACAGCATGCCACATAGGCCAATGTACAGTATAACAGTCATTATAATCATTTCTTTGTCTCTGTATGATATCCGAGACAGGTCGCTGGGGCACGACGCCATACTCTTTGCTAGCGCCTGGATAGATTTGTTGAAATGTACCAAGGCGTGTTGGTATAGCTGGTTTCGAGTTGGGCTGGAGGTAGAGTTACTACCAAACACTCGTCGAAGGGATTTCTTATCGACCTTGATGCTCTTGTATATAGCGGTCAAGGCCACAGCCCCGTGCCAAATGGATGGGTAGACCTGGGCGGCTGTAGGCACATCAATTCTCCAAAACTCGCGATTAAACGCTCCACCGACGACGGAGACAAGCGAGCTGCGAAAGGTGCCAAAGAGATCAATCTCGTATCCTTCAGGATGAATGCCAGCCGGACAGAGATATGTCGCGGGCTGTAGCAAGACAATACGCTGTGGTTGCAGAGGTTCCTTTGTTTTGGCATACTGGCATTCCCATCTACCGATGACGCACCGCTTGCACCGCGGACGCTCTTCATCGCACTTGATACGACGTTTACTATAAGATGGAACGACTTAGCAGATGCTAGATACCTGATGACGAAGGCTGTAGTGAAGTGCTCTAGACTTACCGACAAACGAGGCATCCTGCCCGACTCTTGGGCGCAAACCGTTTTGCCCGCCGTGGTGCGAGGCTGGTGCTTGCCGGCGATAGCTTAAGGGTCAAGAACTGTCCCGGGATTGATTCTAACAGTCTAGGACGCACTGATGCCATGTTTTGAACAGACAATACACGAGATACTGTGCGTATGGCGCGGAGAAGATTAGCGAAAGGCAACAGGAGCCTGATCTCCATAAGGCTAAGGCTGAGCCGTGGGTCGGCAGTTAGGTCGTAGCGTGCTAGTCGGCTAAGATAGAGCGTCATTCGTTAAAATGCGTGCCGTTTAGTTCGTCTAGAACTGCTGCCGGTGAAGTTAAAAAACAAGATTGATCAACATAGCGTAGATAAAGCGTATTGCTACAAAACCTAACTAATATTATGTGGTGATGGAGCAACGTTGTCTACGCGTAATAAGCCGTACAATTTCTGGTCCACTGTGATATAAAACCATTTTACGTACGAAACCCACAAAGCCGAGCTATGCGGTACGAATTGTGTCTGTATATATTGTATACACGCTATAGACACCAAACACCGTTATATTGCCGTCGTCTGCACATTTCCTCCAATGACGCTTCTGGTGGCGGGCGGGGATAGAGAGGTACTAACTTAACTAACTTAGATGGTGGCTGTCCTGGTGGGGGCCATGGAAGTAGATTATTGTGCAGTGCCTATTTATGGCGTATTCATTGGCGCATGTGTTTATGAATATGCTATGACTTGCATGCAGCTTGGGACTCCTTTTTATTTTTCCTTCGCCCAGGGCCATATTTGGGTGCGGCATGTAGTTTTGTCGACCTGCGGGTTACTATGCATGGACAGTTAATAACGAGCAAAAAATGGTCCAAAGAATATTGGATGAACTCGTCTGAGGCAACGATGCCTATTCTAGGTATTAATGACTCGGATATAGATATTATGTAAGGAGATGTCTAATTTACAAGTCCAATATAATACAAAATACAGTCTATCTTAGAAATACAAATATAAATACAACAGCAAGAAAGCCTGCTTAGTTCATTCTGTAGGCGATCCAAAGAGTTCTGAATGCACCTTTTCATCTGCCACCCCCATATCCTTGAGCGCCTTACATTGCGCCTTGATGAATGGCGCCGGACCACATATGTAGTAGTCGGCCTCGGGCAAAAGGACCGTGTCCTTGATTTTGACCATGTCCACTCTTCCGACGTGGTCATAGTCCTCACCCTGTCTATCAGCGTCCGTGGTCTCTTCGTAGAAGATGGCACGATCAATATCGCTCCGTGCCGCCATGACGGCTCCAAGTTCGCCCTTCATGGCATGTGCGCGGCCGTTTCTCGCAGCGTGTACATAGACCACCTTTCTCTTGGTAGGTTGTGCAATAGCCGTCTTGAGCATGGTCATCATTGGCGTCTGGCCCACACCACCACTTACCAATACGACAGGCGTGGTGGCGGTGGTATCAAGCACAAAGTCGCCAAATGGCATACTGACTTCCACTTCTGAGCCAACAGCGAGTCCCCGATGCAATATGTTGGACACTCGGCCAGCCGGCTGAACATGAGACCCAGGCTCTCTTTTGACCGAGATCTGAAAGTGTGTCTGGTTAGGAATATCCGATAGACTGTACTGTCGTGGCTGGTACGCCTTGAGTTCAGGCACATAGCATCGCACACTGACAAATTGACCGGGCTTAAAGGCTGGAAGGGCCTGTCCGTCCACGGGAGACAAGTGGAACGAGACAATGTCGTCACTCTCTTGCTTCGTCGCAGCAAGGACGAACTTGCGCCACCCTTTCCAACCTCCAGGTGTCCTTTGAGCGTTTTCGTACAAGCCGCCCTCAAAGTCAATGAAGATCTTTGCGAGCTGGCCATACGCGGCTTTCCATGCGTCGAGAATAGCCGGAGTGGCAGCCGTACCAAGAGTCTGCTGGATCGCGCCAAGGAGGTTCTCCCCAACAACAGCATACTGCTCCGGGGTAACTCCCAGACTGACATGCTTGTGCGCAATGCGAGAAACCACGGGCAACAGTACCGCCGGGTTTTCAATGTTGGCAGCATACGCCAGGACAGCATGAGCAAGCGCGGCAGGCTGCTCGCCGGTGATTTGGTGGGTGATGTTGAACATGTTGCGCAGCTGCGGGTTATCACGCAACATGTTCTTGTAAAAGAGTGTTGTGATAGCCACGCCGTGTTGCTGCAGAGCCGGTATAGTGAGTTTGATAGTCTCCATTTGCTGCGGCGTCATGCGCTTGGCGGTTGTTGCGCTGAAGCCGCGCTGGAGGATACGCTTGGCGGATACGCATCGATTGATCCGAGGAGTAAACATAACTCGATAGTATGTGGTATGTGTGTGTGTATAATAGATATTGTATGATTGGTCTTGTGTGCCTATACTTACAGGCTACCCGAGCGACTGCCGGCTTCCGGGGACTATTTAACGGTGCGATCGGAGCCCCGGTGGCCAGCCCACCCGTAACGGCTTTTCCCGAAAACAACAGGTGATGTTGACATCATGGCTCCAGTCTTGCGATTTCGACTTTGCAAGGGGCCCAGACTATAAAGAAAACGGTGCATCTCCGAGGAAGGTCAGCAAAAGAAAAAATTGTAATTGGCTATGACTCCCTTGTACGATTCGCGACATGGCTTGGCCGGCTATCCCACCCTATAGAATTGGTAATCGCTGCAATTTTCGTAGCACGTGGACATGGCCGGTATTTTACGCGACGGGCTTGGCTCTCGATTTTGACTCTGTAACTTGTGAACAGAGTTTCTGATATCTGCGACGGTTAATTTACACAACGTTCGATCAGAATAATGGAATCTTACTGCCTAGAGTCAGTCACTGAGTAGTTCAAGCTCTACCGGCTCGTGATGGTAGAGCTCGATCTAGGAGCTACTGATCATGGTGTCTAACAAAAAACGGCTGTATATTGCGCTGTACCCGAGTGGGGTGAGGGACAATATCGAGCGAAAGTAAGACACTGTCAACGGATAAATATAGATTTCGTCTAACGTTTCGATTGCCATTAGATACCACTGGGGGTTTTTAATCGGTCCAAAGCTTGAATCGCAGGCTCAGGTTCCGGGCGTACAATACCATGTCAAGAACACTCCGTTTGAGGGTTGGGTTTATGAAGAAAATCCCCTTCAAAATGTGAAGTGTACAGCTCCGCTCCTTGCACGCGTATTAATAGCAAAAGTTAAAGACGAGGGTAGACTCATTAAAATTTTCCGGGATACACCGGTTGTCCAGAACAACGCTGACTGGCGTTGCCGCACTTGGATTGCGGATGCGTTACGGAGGATTTCAGAAGACGGCGGCGCAGTAGGAACTGCAGTACTGGATTGGGCTAAAATAGAGCGATGCGCACGCGATTATGTCTCCAAAAAATCAGATGAAGGGAGATATGGACCGGGCAAAGACATGTTAATGGATAAGCCAACGTGGGATATGATTGAGCGCAAGGAACTGATCTCGTGAATTGGGTCAAGTTGGTTTTTCGTCCAAACAAAAAGACCAAAAAACATGCAATATATGGTATCCGCTGCTTGTTACTGTATCAATGAGCAAGCTATGGTCATATAAACCAAAAACGCAAAAATCAGAGCGAGATATTTAACTAAGATTTCTTTTTTTGTTCCCGTAAAAATATACGGAAATATTCAATGTCACCTATAAGAGTTTCTACTTTGGTCAGAATATTTATACTGAAAAAGAGCCCCAAAAGACAACATATAACTTGTGCTAATCAGAGTAACTCAAGCACCGCTATCTAGCCCTGTCCAGCACCTTCGTCCCCAGTCCACACATGGCATGATCTGGGGCCCAGGTGCAATCCTCTACGGCGCATTTAAGCGCGGGTGATCATAGCCTCACGTTCGGGACCGGTTCCAATGTACTTGACCTATGAGGTGTTAGCAACCGCGGGCTTGAACAACAAATGAACCAACTTACCTTGACTCCCAAAAACTTCTCGATGTACTGCTTGAAGTTAGCGTCATTTTTCACTATGCAAAATCAATTCTAGTACTTACCTCAACGTAATCGCGAGCCTTCTGGGGCAGTTCCTCGTAGGTCTTCACGTTGGTAGTGGGCGTTTGCCAGCCGGGCATCTCGTGGTAAACAACCTCGGCTTGTTCCAAGATGGCGAGGTCGGCAGGGTACGATTCCAATTCCTGTTCAGATGGTTAACATTACTGTCTTGTATTATGGTCGCACTGGCATCACTGACCTGTCCGTCGACCTTGTACGCCACGGCAATCTTGATCGTTTCGAAAGTGTCCAAGACGTCGAGCTACAAATGTTAGCTTATTTTTCAGGTACGTAGGAGACGCAAGGCTTACCTTGGTCAAGTTAATCGCATCGTAGAAGTTAATCGAGTGACTGTAGCGCATGACGACCAAGTCTGCGTGTTTTCGTTAGTGATGTTCTCATTCTCGTCAATCTCTCAAGCTATTGAAGTTGCACATACCAAGCCTAAGAATAATTAGTAACTTGATCAGCAGTCAGGCATCCAATTGACTAAAACTCACCATCCACAGCGGCGTCTGCGGCCGGTAGACGTTCCCTATGGGCTGTTAGCAGTGGAGTCTCAACTCCGGGGGTCCATGTAACCTTACCCATTCGCGTCCGATCTCCTGAAGTTGAGTGCCGACCCTAAGGCCTTGGTTAGTATATAGAGTGGTTTCAAGAACATGATATAGACGTACTCTTCCGTATCTTCGGTCTTGAAGGCTCCCCAACCGACACGGGTGGTGTCTGCTGCGAGTCAGCGGTGAACATCAACTTTGAGGCAATCAACATACAAGCCTTGACCACTCCGATCGTCTCTGTGATGTTCTTGGGGTTCAGGGTGAGTCCACCAATGATACCAGCAAGCGTGGTACTTGATGAAGTGACAAACTGTTGCGGATTGTAAGCGCTAGTACAAACTGAAAATGAAGCTAGCGCAGACTTACGGGGTATGAGCCATAGTCAACATCCAGCATAAGTGCCTATTCAAGTCAGTGCTGTTTGCTTAGCAGTTGGGATGAGAGGAGCATTACGTTAGCACCTTCGACGACAATCTTTGTGCCGCTCTGCTGTGCGGATGTCATGAAGGCAACACCGTCCACGACGTATTTCTTCATTGTCTCCCTGTACTTCTCGAGGTAAGCAAGTTCAGCCTCGACATCGTACTCGAACAGGTCTCCGAAGCGCTTCTTGTAGCCATCAGCCAGGCGTCGAACCTTCTTCTCCAAAAGCTCAGGGTAGAAGATGTCGGTCATTTTGATGCCAGTTCGCTAGGAAGGTTAGCGCATAGTTCGAACTCCCATCAAAACGAACTCCTTACCGCTCTGCTTGTTTGGTAGCAAGGTCCAATACCTATAGTTCGCGTTAGAACCCATTCCTTCTATAGAATCGCTCGCCGTGTTCTTCATATGTCGGAGTGCTTGTAAGGGCGAAGGTAACCGAAAAGAACAGCCCGGCATAGAGGTATGTGGGTATCGTACCGCGTCTTGTCGTTCCAATGGATTCATCTGAGGTTGTTATTAGCTGCGGCCTTTACAAACGAACATTGACATAATAGGACGAACCTCCAAGCTCCTTCTCCTCGAGACCATCGACTGCCATGTGCATGTCCAAGAGGACGTTGACTCGGTCGGAAACAAGGATTCGGTCGTGAACGGCAACGAGGCCCTCTGAGCTATGTTAATTATACCGATGCGCAAAACGCTGTGATGTCTTGTAACGTACTCTCTTCAAGCTCCTTGAGCTCGCTGAAGAAGGTCGGGCTAGAGGGATGGAGTTAGTCTTATTGGTCTGTCTGGCGAATGATCGTGTCTAAGTCGGAGAATTCTGTGACGACGTACATGTGGAAGACAACACCGGAGCCGATAAAGTTCATACATTTCGGGTTCATGAGGCCGGAAGGCAAGAGGTGAAAGCTAGTACACATCAGTAACTGCCCATAGCTTCGATCCAAGTCCATTTATTACCTGTAGGAGACGCCATCCACCCTGTATCCCGTTAGCAAAAGAACGTAAGAACGGAAAGCGTTTAACGAACTTGATCAAGTGACCTGAAACCGTCGTATTGGTTAGCGCTGGTGCTGAATCGGGGTCGTTTTAGAGAATCGTCTCGTGGCATATGTACTAACCTGCGTTAGATCCACCCTTAAAAGCAGTTAGCAAGTATTCTACGGTCAGAGAGTCGACTGCGCATGGGTCGTGGATGCCAGTCGCGGCATTGGTGCCTTCGTTGAACTTACGGCAGCTCGGCAGCAGAGTTGCGCCTCTCGGGACTGGATATCAACCAGCTTTCCCTTCTGGATTTCTCATATTGTTAATTTCTGGATTTTCGGCCTGTATTCGGTTCGGGTCGAGAACTTACGCCTTCGTCGCCTGTGAGGTGACCGTCAGTATCGTCAGAGCTAACCGATGTCGGCCGGGCGCAGCACAACGGCGCATCCCGGGGACGAAAGTCGTGCAAACTTACCCCATTGGGCACCAAGAATGATGTTGATAGTCATTTTCTGCAATAGCGAGATCGTTTGTCGTAGTTGTCGTTATTGTTGACGAGGATAAACGCGGGATTGTGAGCGATTTGACTGGTTAGCAAAACACTTTTCGGGTATCCACAAAATTCTTGTCCGGCGCCGACGAAAAAGTTAGACTCACACAAACCTCTGGGACATCCGTATCGGCGGTGTACTACGTATTTACAGAAGCTGGTAAATCTCTCACTAAAATTCCGTCTTGCTATCAATAAAATGCAAAGATTAAGTTGAACCTAGAGGCGCGACAGAGCTACCATTGCCAGACCACACCAAGGGCTCTGAACCGGCGTCCCCAGTACAACGAGAGCCCCTCTTGGCACTCTCAACATGTGCCACTACTAGACTCATCCTAACAGAGAATTGGTATTGGATTTGGAGGAAGCATTATTATAATATATTATTCTGGGTTTGTATTCTTTAAACGTCGTTTACAGTCGATTGCCCAGAGAGTTGAGCGCCGACCGCATCGTACTATCAAATTTTCATGCTGCCTTCACCACTTATTGAATTCAGAGTATAAGAAGCGTATTCAAAGGATGCGCGAAAAATGATTTGCTATTTATTAAAATGATACCGCTCTCGATATGCGGAATGTTTTTAAATTTAAATTCTATCGAAAATGAAGCTCTTTTGAAAGTCGTCCTATAACCAGAACCCCGCGAAGGTGCCCCGCGTGCAAGCCCCGCCTAATTGGAGGGGTCTGGGCGATACCGGGCTGCCCCTCATCCAACCGTTGTATATGGTGGTCATCGTTGCAAACGTCCACCGGAACTAAACATTGTATTTAACGATAGGCATTCCGGTACAGAAAACAGTTTAATGACCTCCATTTTCAATATGCAAAATTCCAGAAACGGGGAAAGGAACACGCAGAGTGCCTCGATGAGGTAGAGCGTGTGATGGCCTTTGAGCTATACGCCAAAGCTTACGGGGTTTGACATCTTCAACGCATTAAGACGTCTTTAAAATAAAGATACTCTGGGAAAAAACAAAACAAACCATAGACATATAATTTTCATTTAGTCAGTGTCTATTTAAAACCTTCGTTTATTTAATTTTTGATATTTTAACTACTTAATATTTCTTTTTATGAAAGTTGGTGATAATCAAATCTGCAGGTTAGCGCTGTAAACTATGTTCAGAGGCGTTTTACAGTGTATGCTGAGCATAACTGCTCCAAACGACCGAGGAAAAGGTCAAAAGTGAGAGCGGGAGGGCGAGTTAGCAAGACAATTCAGAATCTAAAAGTGGGAGGTCCCAGCACGGCATTCAGTTCGCTACAGAGGGAGCGGCTGGCATGCCCTGGTCGCCTTGCTCGTACTCTGACAGCCCAACTTGGATACTAAGGGCGTCGACTTTTGGACTACTTGCCGGACTAACAGCTTGGTATAGGGTGGGTGGTGTGGGTGTGTTAAGAAATATCATTGGCAAGGTACCAGGACATGTTCAATCTTACAACGCTGGTTCATTTACTGCCTTCAGAGGGGTGATACGCCCCAGCCGCGCCTCAAACGACTTGTGTTCACGAGTGCATCCAGTAGCACATGCCCCTAGCTCAGGCTGTACCCCTGCCTGAACAGTGTGGACGTCGTGTAAGCTGTAACAGCGCTCCGTGATTAACGTTCGCCTCGTTGTGTGCTGTGGCTTGAGCCCATACCACTGTGGGACTCTGGTCGCATTTCGCATCAGCCATCCACTCCCCGATCATAAGCCAGGCCAGCGTCCACGTCCTGTAACGGTGCTTGCTGCCAGCAACTCCAGCCTCACCAAGACTGTCACGCTGAACCTGCGCCAAACATTCAGAGATTGGCGTGGCCAGGATATACGAAGCACTGGCACCGGTTGCCCCCGATGAAGCGAAAAGACTTAGGGAGTGATCCGGTTGTTACATGGTTATGTTTTATATTTCGGGGCTATTTCCACCATACGGGCACGATGAGCTTTACAGTAATGGAGGCCGAACAAACACATTGCCCTGCAGTCGATGTTGTGCCCTTCTATACGAACGATTTGGCGGTGTCTGCAGAAAAGAAAAAAATTCTCACCCACCCCTGTCAGGCGCTAAAACTTGGTGCTTGTGACTGTTCTTACTCCAAAACGCACCAGTGAACCCGATCGTAGGGGCTGTTAGTACTTCTTCCAGCTCCCCTTCAGAGGGTGCACTCACTAGCAGGGCGCCACAAACGAAAAAAATGGTGTCATTAGACCAAGTGTCATCGTGGCCAGCACCGGGTATTTTGGTGCCCCACTAAATTGTTCTTTACTTCCGCAACCAAACAAATGCCTGGTCCTGGTCCAATGTGGCCCATAGGTATGCTGTAGTAGAAGCAAACCTTGTACCGACTTCACAGAGACGACGTCGTAAACCATGTAAAGAACCAAGAACCTTTCGTCTCGGTTGTAGAAGAGCTTGTGGTAGTTCTCAGAAGAAAAAGGAAACATGAACCAAGAAACGCCACGGAAGATTGTGTAATAGAGCGTCTCCTGCGCCCAGTGCTATGGAAACTTCTAGAGCGATCAGGAATAATCGAAGAGGCCGCAGCTGTCCAGCTTTCTGATTGGCACATAGGGACCGGAGCAATTTGCGGCGTACTGGGCTCGCGGCGCCCCCTGCCCTGTGGCGATCCGACACGCAGCGTCAAGCTCGAACTAGGCTTAGCGTATTTGAGATCGCGCCCTAAGGACGGGTAGCAACACCGGGGCCGAAGCGAGCCCATTGTTGCTGTTGTGTCAGGGGCCAGCCAGTAATATGTCTTGCTTCTTGGAAATCCTTCGGCCGCACAGGGCCATCCTTTTTCTACCCTGTCCAAGTTCCGTTGTCGGTCTCGCTGCGTCCCGACATCACCGGCTCCAGGCTCTCACACGCGCCATGTGAAAAGTAGAGCTTCCACTACAAGCACCACTCTCTATGTCATTCATAGTATACCAATACTATCATACTAGTATTCTATTGAATTTTGTAGATTAAGGATGAATTACTTCATGTAGGATTAACACGGCCGGCAAACCAAATCGCTGTTATTTTCCCTGCTGCGGCGAAGTGGCTAGCTAGCTGCGTTGCGTAGTCCCACATGTACTAAGCTGCTGCACGGCGTGGTAGGGGCCAACCCCCTATTCGTTCTCGCGCTGCCTGGTGGGCTTTTAGTGCCTCTGGGCTATTCTGTTATGCGTTATCCGCCGCACCCCGACATCTCCGCGTCCGCCTGGCCTGTGGGTGGGGTTGCGCTGTTCGGTTTTTGGCCTTGTTTTGTCCCTTTCTCTTTGGCGTTGGTGCTTGCCAGAGCTATGACCACCCATACGCCTTCAACAAGGCAGATTAGCTTCGTTAAGGACCCCCCACCAAAAAAAAAAAAGAATGGTCCCTCGGTCAGAGCCCCGTCCCCATCTTCTGCCCAAAATCCGTTTAACTTGTATGCGATTCAGATCTACCGTACCCACCCACCGCCGCTTACAACCTTTGGCGGACCTGGCGCAGGTTGGAAGACAACCGTAATTGTATCCATGAAAACTATGGTCTTTGTCTTTTGTCCTTTTGACCCTTGGCTTTTGTCCTTTTGACCCTTGGCTTTTGACTTTTGGCTCTTGTCTTTTGACTTTTGGCTCTTGTCTTTACCGACTGTTAATTTCTTGGATACATCTTGTATCCCGGTGCTCGCTAAAGCCAAAAGACAACCGCAAACAGTTCGCAAAGCTGTGTGTTTGTTGCTCGTCTGGCGCAGGATGACGACACAGTGGATGTAATAAGCGCCTCTATACGATGCGCCTGCATCGAGACCAGCTTGAAAAAAAAATCAAAACTGAAGAGGCGCTAAATTTTAGCGTGAAACAGAAGGCTATAACCGCCGATTGGTCTTTCTTTGATAAACGGTTGTTTAAAAACCGCAGCCACGGCGCGATTTGTCAATGGAAGAAAGCCTGTACCAAAGAGCGAGCTGTGAACAACCAGATTAAATTACAAGTCAGTACAAAACGACAAAGGACCATGGATAGCAGTTGACTTCTTCGTTCTACCGCTTTATTCTCATCCGGGAGCCGTTGACATTGCTATCAGCACTACCTCACAGCTACTGTCTGTCTTCAGCGCAGTCTACGAGGCGCTTGTCCCAATTGAGCAGCCACTGGATTCCGGTCAATGACTGATTCTAGCCACTAAGCTTGCTCCCAAGTTGGTGCCTTGGGCCTTGAAAAATGCGGATGTCCCCCATTCAACATTTTAGTAGACGGCATAACTTATAAACTACACAAGTCCACTCGCTCATTCACTCCTTTTGTTTCATTCTTTTTATTCTTCCTTACCATTCCTTGTTGAGTTTTACGATCTATTCATCTGTTTCTGCAAATATATGTTTTATAAAAGGGGGTGTGTTTAAAAGCAACACATCAGTTATTTACCGACGTTATGGGTGACTTTGCTGGCCACTCGCTCCTGTGCGAGACAGCTCTAGGACAAGCTAACGCCGCCGTCGACGACGCCGAGCCTGCGTGGAACACATCCTCGTTCGCCGCCTCTCCTCCTAGCGTTGCATTCCCCAATCAGCTGGCATTCTTTCAACACAACATCACGACGAGTGACAATACTCAAAATATACGTGCTTCCAATGCCCTAGCACCTAATGCTGGCCGACCACAACACTCGCAACCATCGTCGACCACAAGTCAAGACTGGGACGGTCTGAGACCTACCATTACTTTGCTCCGTCGAGAGGGCAAAGCACGCCGAGAAGTGCTAGAAGTATTGAAGAGAGACTTCTCTTTTAATCCAAAGTACGTCTAACATAATCTCTTATACGTTTACACTACTAATACTCACCCAGCCCCCGACATTTAAGCTACCGTCTAAAGATTTGGGGGCTCGCGGGCAGGACAAGGGCAACTAATACGAGCGGGATACTGCCTTTTTCGCACCAGCCACCAACACAAGACAGAGCTGCAGCTCTTTTGCGTCATGGAGCAAGTTTGCCAGTCAACGGTATCGACGGCCTACAGCTACAGGGTGGGATAGGTGTGCCCATAGTCAGTCACAACCATGAGGGTAAGTTCAACGGTAACGTCCCCTGCGCGCCCCGCCATGCTAACCTTAACTACAGTCACATCGGGTCCCACGAACGTGGCCTATAATAATTCTGGCACGCCTAGTATCGCAATCACACCGGCACTTACGCAGCAACATATGCCATCCTTGTTCTTTCCTCTCCTACCAACTACCACCGGAGACCAGCTTCCGACGACACCTTCTCGCAGCTCCGAGCAGCTATCCACGTTCGAATCCGCCCTACAAATAGGTGATGGGTCTTCCGGCATGGGTATCTACGGCGATATTCCCGGTCTGCCATCAGCACCCTTCAACTCAGTGGGAGCAGAAAACTACAACACATCTACTACTGAGGAGCGAGATTTGGGAGCTAGCTTCCCTTACGATGAACTGCGTGAAGCAATCGATACCGACGACAACAACCGCTTCAAATGTCTCGTGCGTCGCGCCATACGTGAAGTTGATCCCCATCACCACGATCAAAATTTGGCCAAGCATGCACAGAAAGCACTATCGCCCCTAGTGTTTAGTATTGTAAAGCGCGGTAATACTAGCCTCTTCCGATTCCTAGTTACCCGCAAAATGATCCCCCCACAGCAGATCAAGGATCTGTGTATCATAACCGCCCTCGTCAACGGTCACCGCAGCATCGTCGACGAAATTTTCAAGCGCCATACGCCAGCTGTGCTAGACTTGGACCAAATTCTTCATCAAGCAGAGTACATCCGCAAGTCATACGACGCACACGGTCGCCGCACTGCGGAAGACATCTTTGATCGAGTCCACCAGCAGCATCTCAAATCTCCGAACAATGTTTCTGCCGTGCATATTGCTACGGCCCTGCTGCTCGGCGAGAAAATCGAGGATATAGCCCGTCGATCAGATATCAGCGTGTCAATGGCTAATGGCCACACAGCGCTACATATTCTATCATACCAAGACTTCGGCCAGGATTCTAACAGAGTTATCCGTGTTGCCAATATACTCCTAGGCTGTGGCGTGGATGTTAACAAGAGAGACGCCGCTGGGAATACTTGCTTGCACGCGGTAGCCTCGAACTACGACACGAGCTGGACACCAACATTCATTGAGATGCTTATCCAGCATCACGTTGACGTGAATATATGCAACAACGAAGGGAAAACTGCTATGGAGATAATGGCGCTCAACTTTCCATTGAACGAGACAACATTGGAGCTGCGACAGCGCCTGCAGCGCATGGCTGTCTCTACCTACTGACAATTGAAAGGTCTGTCTTTTTTTTTTTTTTTGAAAATCGTTTTGATCTTTCTTTTCTACTCTGGCTTTCTTTTATTGGATATGGCTACGAATTTAGCTACTAGAAAAAGAATTCTCGGGAGATTCGACGTTTCAAGCGATATGAAGGTTGACAAGCGGTGCTATGATGAAATACGGATTATAACGGGAAATAACATTATGTATTTTGTGGTTCATGTATGTATACTAGATATCTGTTTTATTATTTTGTAAAATATATTCGCTTTAATTGTTACATCTTTCTATAGTGAAAGCTCTGTTGCTCTGTTTGAAGAGGATTATGTGAACAGTTTCTTCTGGTGAAATGTAGTGATCTGAGATATAGGACTGAGTTGAACCCTGTATTAATGCTCGAAAAGGGTTCATCCAGTCTTTCTGATAGCAATTAGCATAGTAGTGTTAAGGAATCATTATATAAAAGTGATATAATAGACCGCCTTTCCTTTCATCTGTATAATAATTATGTACTTTTACTTTGCTTTTCGTGTCTCTATTAGAGGTGTTAGTCAAGGGCGCTCTGCTTGGTCTTGGCGCACGCCCTCAACGTAACATGTTTGCAGCCTTGTCTAGCACGTCTCGTCGCACCTCGACTAACCAACAGTTCAGATGTAAAATATTCTGTTGTGCACATAATTCTTTCCGCACACACTTAGAAAAGAATCGCAATATATCATGGCAGCCGAGGCTTCGCCGCAGCTTCTCCCCATCTTCATAGACACCCCGAAATCCAATGAAGCGCAGATCGACGCTTCCAATACGGCCCGGCGCCAGTTTCTAGACGAGATCCAATCTTCACAGACACTAGAGACAGTTACATTCCAGAATTCTCTAGAAGCAATCACTCAACAGTCTGATGTGGCATCACTCTTGACGCGCAAGATTCTCTTTTACAGCAAAGTGTCACCCGATCCCAACATTCGCGCTAGTTCCAGAAAGGCCGGCCAAACTATCAGAAGCTTCAACAATGAAAGTGTGAATTCCTTCGAAATATTTGAGATTATTCGCACTCTCTATAATAAACGACATAATATAACTCTCAACACCGAAGAGGACATGCGCCTCCTTCAGCTGAGATACCGAGAGTACACTCTGGATGGCTTTGGCTTGGTACCGGGGAGCACCGAACAAAGCAGGCTGCGCGAAATCAAGACACGAATCACGACCCTCAAGGATTCTTTCAAGCGAAACCTGAATGAAGAAAATGGATATATCCTATTTACACCCGAAGAGCTTGCTGGTGTTTCTAACGATGTTCTCCATGGCCTGAAGACTGAAAAGGGTAAGCTACGAGTGACATTTAAGAATCATCATTTCCAAGCAGTGCTGCGATATGCAAAACTTCCAAACACTCGAAAGGCATATCTAATTGCCGCTGAGAATAAGGTAACGAACGATTATACCACTGCATCAATTGCAGTATCAAAGTTAATATATGGAAATAGTGCACTCAGAATACTGCCATTTTCCGAGAAACCTTGTGCTTACGACAAGAGATGGCACAGATTCTCGGATATGAAAGCTATGCCAACCTCGTGGTCCAAGATCTAATGGCCCCTGACACAACTCGCGTCGAGGAATTCATCAAGGATATGCAGCACAGACTTACTCCGTTGGCAGAGCGTGAGCTAGACCGTTTGAAGGACCTCAAAGAGCAAGAATTTTCATCGAACGGCTGGCAACATGATGGAAAATTCTACCTTTGGGACCAGCGATACTACAAGCGGCTGCTCTTTGAGACGGAATATCAAGTAGACGAGCTGCAGGTCTCAGAATATTTCACGCTGGAGAGAACCGTAGAGGTAATGCTGCGAATCTTTGAAGTTGCGATGGGATTCGTCTTTATTCAGCTAAATGATAAGACGAAAGCGCTGCTGAGCCCGACTGGGAAAGCTGAAGATGTGGTCTGGCACGAGGATAACATTATCTACAGCGTCTGGGACGAAGACGGCGCTAGCTTTCTGGGGTATCTGTATATGGACCTGCATCCTAGAGAGGGCAAGTATAGTCACTGCTGCAACACAAACTTCCAGCCGGGATTCACGCGCAGAGATGGCAGTCGACAATACCCCGTGACAGCGCTCATTTGCAACTTTAGTCCCCCAACAGAAGGAAAACCATCGTTGCTCAAACACCACGAAGTTATTACTCTGTTCCATGAGCTGGGTCATGGCATCCACAGCCTCGCGGCCAAGACGAAGTATGCTAGGTTCCATGGTACCGCGGTTGAATGGGACTTTGTTGAGGCGCCATCACAGATGCTCGAGTCGTGGTGTTGGCTGCCGAGCGTGCTCAGGTCGCTCTCGAGCCATTGGGAGACTGGCGAACAGATTCCAGACGACCTTGTCCAGCGTCTCGTGGCGACGGAAAAGGTCAACCAAGCTATTGATAGGCTCATAGACTTACACTACAGCCTCTTTGATTACGCTTGCCATAGTCCCACAACTCCGGAAGAAGTTGCCAAGATAGACCCGTGTACGCTGTTTAACTCGATACGGGAGTCTACTACCATGATGCGTGGCTTGGAAAACAGGTAAGATATCTCATTGCCGTGCTTCATGTGCGGGCCATGTAAAAAGAAAACGATGTTGCTGACACATTGCAGCGACTGGGGGCACGGCGACGCCAACTTTGATCATCTCATGTCTGGCTATGCGGCCACGTACTATAGCTATCTCTGGTCCAAGGCATTTGCGGTCGACATGTTTGAGAGTATCTTTCGCGACGATCCTCTGAATGGCTCCCATGGACGTCGCTACCGGCGGCTGGTGTTGGAACCAGGTGGTAGCCGAGGTGCACTCGAGGGAGTAACTGAGCTTCTAGGTAGAGAGCCCAGCGTCGATGCATTTTGCAGCTATTTGGGCATTCACAAATAGCCTATGAAAGTCTATTGAGCAATTGAGCACTAAAATAGCGTACCAGTGGCCAGGGAGTATAGATTACTAGTCCTAGATGAGTGCATGACCTCCATTCCTCTTTAGAGGCCTTCTCGGGGCCAGTTGCTTCTCAGATAGCTCAGACACCCGCAGTATCGTGGATAAAGTCGCGAATGCTCTTATTTCCAATATCCGTGTGGTTGCTGGGGTACTTGGTGCTACCACACTCGTACACAGTAGATGGAACAGCTGCGAGCTTTCCATTAACCACGAGCGAGCTACCGCTACTGCCATTACACGGGCTCTTGCCGGATGTAAAAGTGCACATATTACGGTCTGTGACGTGGATATCTGTGTCACTGAGCTTGGACTTGCAGTCTGCAAGCGAAATGACATCCAGATCCTCCTCACGAAGGGTGTTTGGGAAGCCTGTCTCGGTCTTGCCCCATCCTGACAGATGGGCTTTGGTGCCCGGCGCAACGGTCGCGTCGACAAGGCCAGCCGCCTTGACAGAGTCGCTGAATTGGATTTCAGATGTAAGCTTGACGAGAGCAATGTCGTGATCGACGCGGCTGCCTATCTAAGTGAATTTGGGGTGGTGGGTAAAGGACTCGACTGCGTACTGCGTGCCTGTGTCCAGCGTGTTGGTACCTACATGAATGGAAAGATCACTCGCACTGCGGATTCCGCCCGTACAGTGACCGGTTGTGACAATGTAGCACGAGTTAATGATGGTACCACCGCATTGAAAGCTGCCTTCAACAGAGTACTCGGCCTGCCAGGGAACGTTCTTGATGTCGGCGTCTGTGCTGCGAAAGCTGTTGCTATTGCGAGGGATGGACGCAGCCGTGGCGGAGGACGCCAGAGCTAGAAAGGCTGGGGTCTTCATGGCGGAAATATAGATGCGTCTTGAAGCTGAAAATAATAAAATCCAACGACAGGGCAGCTTCAATTTATTTGAATTTAGCCAGCTAGCTAGCCTGTGGCTGTTGTCTACCCATTTGGCGATCGGACTAAGAAGGTAGTATTGGCGATGCATCATGGGGGATAGTTCTCGAGCTAGTGAGCAACCTTCCAAATATGGATAGCAAACATCAGACGAACTTGTAGAATGTTGATTTAATGGACAATGTCGAGCATTATATAACAAAGAAAGTACGCATTGCGCTTTTTGTTGCCAGTTATAGCTGTAGCGAGGTTGCTGGATGCGTTTCATCATTACGCAGACCGCCGACGACAGCAGCGTTCACCAACAGCGTTGGATTCGAATTCTTATTTGTTAATGTAGTGAGCCTTGCGAAACATGAAGAAACCCATCTCCGGGCCAAAAAGGCTGGCATCAGCACAACTGCTCCGAACCCAGATGCTCCCGTCATGACGCCGTCGTATGCGGTTCCAAAGCCATCATAGGTAATCACGTCCCGGCCGCGTCCTGCATGGATATGCCCAAATACAACAAGTTTCGGTCGCACGCGCTTTACTTCATGTAATAATTGAGGACATCCCTTTCCCTCCAAGTCCAAATGGCCCAGCGGTGGTCCATGGGTGACAACAATATCGGTGTCGTCGGGGATGGTGTTGGGCCAAACCTCCCTGATTGGCGGATATTGAAACGCAAATGTACCGAATTGCGGTGTCCAAGGCGAACCATATACTGATATGGTGCGGCCCTCGTCCATTGTTAACGTGACAGAGGTGTTGCAAAGATATATGATGCCGCCCCAATCCAAGTCAGAGTGGCTTGTTCCTGGTTCCTCGTGAAGACGCTCTGGAAACCGCGCGACATAGGCCGGATCTAGTAACGAATCATGGTTGCCTCCAATGACGATTTTGTATTTATGCGGTAGAGTATTGATCCAGTTGAGTTGAGCTTGAAGCTCCTCGAAGGAGCCTTTGTTGGTCAAGTCGCCAGCGTGGAGGAGAATGTCACCGTCAGGCACAACAGGCTGCGTGCAATGCGTGTCGGAAATGCAGACAACAGTGACGGCTGAGTGGCTTTCATTTTCGTTCTTCTCGAATTCTCGGTCGAGAGACTGTCGATTATACAGCCAATGAGATGTGAACTTTGTAGGGTTGCGACGAAACTTTTGCCAAGGGGTCAATGGTGTTAGCCATGGCACGTTGATGGGCTTGGGGCGACTAATTTGAAATGGTTTAGGCATAGTGAATATTCATTCTGTAGGCGCAAATATAAAGGGATGTTGAAACCAGCAGAATATTGTTGCTCCAGGTAAAGGACAGAATATCTTTGTGAAAGGGAAACAGCTGCTACTAGTAGCAGGCAGACGCGTACACTTTGCATGGCGTGTGACAGATGCAGTAACACCGCAGCTTACCACAGGTTTATAACGTGTAAATAATCCTGACATAAGCCAGTATAAATGCGAATAAAAGTAAAAGTAAACTGAGTAGCCCGGCATTAAACAGTATTGCTTTTTTTGTTTAAACAAACATTGAAGAATATCTTGATGATTTTTACATTTCTATTTATTCTGTCGTCTATTTTCTTGTGTATGTTGAGGCTTCCCAACGAATCGTGAAGCTTGGAGATTGGGAATGAACCCCACTAAAGCCGCTGATCTATGAATTTCTCTCCATTCTAAGCTGTATCTTTAACCTAGTAGGGATCCTAAGATCTCAGCCACCATGACCCCAACTGCTCCTTCTGAACCATCGTCCTTCCATCGCTGCACATCTTCTGGCTGTGGAGCCTTCGCAGCTACGTAGAAGTCATGGGCTTTTGGCGATGACTTGAAGGTCACCTTGGTTGCCACTGTATTGACCTTGAAAATACTGAGAATCTCAGCGAGATGGACGCTAGCACGAGCGCCACCCGCAGTACCATAGGAAACAATGCCGACAGGTTTGCCACGCCACTCATGAAAGAGATGGTCGAGAGCATTCTTTAAAACAGCTGGGATGCTTCCATTGTACTCGGGAGTGACAAAGATGTAGGCATGATATTGGCTGATGATAGTCGACCACTTCTTTGCATAGCTGTTGATGTAGTGCGGACTAGGATTGTCCTTTGGTAACATCATGGGATATGCCGGTTCGTCATAAAACGGAAGAGGGTGATCGGCAAGATCTATGATGTCGATAGAAACTCCTGCTTTTGCGGCAAGTGGCTCAACCAACCCGTGGATGTAGTTCGCCACACCAAGGCCTTGCCGGACATATCGGGTACTGGCAAGAATAATGCCGATTTTCTTGTCAATCGCCATTGCTGTAGTGGTTTCTTAAAATTCAACAGAATAATACACACATGGTACTCGGTGAGCGAATACAGCAATATACTCGTTCGACTGAGACGTACAACCCTTTTATACTACACTTACTACACTGCTTAACCGAGAGAAGCCATCGTGGGCATTGTTCGGTAATCGGAACAAACGCTTCACCGACGGCTTTCCCTCTCTCTCTTGAAGGTGTAGGACATAGTTCGCTCAAATGCGGATTGGGCGGGTGATAGTGCCCATGAAGGGTCCCGATACAATGTGCACAACAAGCTCGCAGAAAACCCACCAAGAGCTGTGCTTCGACGCTCGCGCGCTGTAGTGGAGATTGCTTCGCTGGGTTGGGCTCATGCAGGGACTAATAGCGGAGTTTCCAGCTGCGTGGTCATTAGAGGTCGTTATACGAGAGATTTTAAGAAAATGTACAGAAGGCGCGCGCTTCGCTTTCTTTGTAATCGCTACATCGGCGTCGCGTCTTTCTAAAGTTCCGACAATGAGTCTCTGTCCCATAACTGACGTTACAACAACCTCGGACATCGGTACGCAGATGAGACCGATGTAGTGCCCAAGATGTAATTATTAATATTCTAAATTTTATTTGTTCTGAGTATATAGAAGCTTTGCATATTTGTGTTATGTCTCTGTTTAAGACAGAGCCTCTATAAAACCCAGGTTGCATCCAGAAAGTACAACTATTACCGAAAGAGCATCTAAGTCCACCTGCGCACTTCAACATGGCAACATCCAGCCGCGTACAAGTTGCAGACCACCAAACGGGCCTATTAGCCCAAACTCAGACGAGCGAAGCGGCAAATGTAGTCTCGTCGCTACTGCAGCGTGACATGGAGGTATAGTGTTGCCATTGAATCTTTAACACTAGCATAAATAATCGTCTTACATCGATGTTATAGGGGCACCATGTATACTTTAATGATCGTGGATTCCATAACCATGTGAGCCTGCCCCTAGGAATTTACTTACACTTTTACTTATAAACGATAGATACCTCATCATTTGCTTTCTCTTTACGGGACAGGCTGCACAGTCCAAAATCTTCAAGATGCATATACCCTAAATGCTGCCTATCAAATTAAGTCAAAAGAGAGCAACCACGATATTTTAAAAGAGCTGCAAGAAGATTTTGACACAGCATTCATAAATCATGCGGGAAATAGCGGCCACTATTCGAGTTTCCTGGCCTATTTCCAACAACAAGTTGCTGCGATTGGAGTGGAGGCTTGCATAAGCAAGTATCTCTTCGGATCGGGAGAAACAGCCGAGGCCATGTTCCGTCGACTCTTTGCTGGTAAGTTGGGCCTCAGTCTACACCAATACAATAGACCGCTTACTGATAGTGCCACTGCGTTTAGGTGTTCTTCATCCACTCATCCAGCTTATGTTTGGGCTAGAGTGGGAGCAGCCTGCTATCGTGGCCGAAGCCCTTGCGCAAATTGCCATTCACAGGGAAGAAATCGGGGGTTTCTTTGCTGACGTGGAGATACGAGCAGCACAGCTCAACGCCTCTGGTGGTACTTCGCATCCAGTCCGCTCTGTGATTGACATCCTAGAGGCCGCTCATGCAGAGCACCCGGCTCTGGTTGCCGCTGGCTCACCTGAGTTCATGGGTAGTCTCTACGGTCCATTAGTTGATGGCAGCTACCGAGAGGAGCTTCTTGATCTCCTTGCCGCCATTTCAGTCGATCCAACGTGCCTCGATGAGCGAATTGATGAAATGGTGCACACGTGTGCCTATGTATGCAGCGCCACTGCTTTCTGCCCTCCATATCAGCCAAAGTTTGACTTTTTCTTCATGTTAGTACACTCCAGTGGAAAACTCCAGTTATATTCACAGGTTATTCTAACGAGGTTTATAAACCTAGTCATCGCAATAATGCATCACCCTTCTTCATCTGGTTGAAGACGCAGGATTGGATAGCACAGGCCCATAAGATACGCCTGCTTGAGTGGAAGCTGCGTGGCCTTGTCCTTGAATATCTATCCCGCGGAAGCCCACCACTCCGTCTTGACAACATCCGCAGCTACGTACCCAAGGATATTCAACGGGGTAAGGCGGAAACTCCAGTCACAAGCCCTGAAATTCTGCTTCCACGGTTCCACGCGTCTCGCGATGATGGACACGTCATAAAGGTTGCTCGCTCATTTCTGCTCGCTCAGAAATTGACCCAACCCCATTTGGACAAGCCAAAGCAGCCAGCTTGGCTTCGTCTGGTAGATGATGAATCCTGGTTAAAGGCCCATTACATCCTACTTGACGCGACAGAAGGAGTCGAGGGATTGGGCTTGGAGGGCAATAAGATACGCTGGGTCTACGGCATCGGGTTCGAGGAATCTTGGAGAGGCTCGCGTATAGCGGGCATGGATTAGTACACGATGTCTCATTACTGCCTACAGTCGAGATGTATAAGAATCTAATTGTATATTGTAACTATTATTTAACGAATACAAGCGACATCGCCGCTCTGACACTGTACCCAATCACTCCAATTTCGATGGTTTACCCATCATGCAAGCCAACTATCCAAAACATCAATTATTCATGGACGAGGGGTAGAGCTCTCTCCTTCATTTGCCCCAGCTTCCAATAGCGCCCTCCACGCAGAGAATCCTCCTTCCAGGTCGGTGGCAAACTGTAGGCCTAACCGTTGCAGCTCCCGTGCGGCCAGCGAGCTGGTATATCCTTCCGAGCAGCCAATGACGACTCTGGTGTCATATCCGCGGGCGTCAACAATATCTTTGAGCCGGCTATCTGCCTGCGGATCGAAACGCCATTCAAGAACATTACGTTCTATAACGAGGATTTTGTGTCGGCCATCAATTTCTTCCGGTAGGTATGCTTCGCCCTCGCGTGCTCGTTGCGCGGCAGGGCGAATGTCCACCACATATGTTGGCGGCTGCTCATCGTCTTGGAGCTCACGGAGGAGCTCGGCAGCTGAAATTCGCTGGAGATGGGAGCGCGCTTCCTCGAGGATTTGCGCAATGCTCTGTGCGCCTGCTGGCGGCGTGTGAATCGACATTTTGCTTCTTTGTAGGTGGTGGTGCAGCGAAGAGAAGAGATGAAGAAGGCTGTAAGCTAGCGTGAGAAGAGTACTCGATGGCGCCATCAGGTGTAATTAAATGGGGATCGTTTCTACTTCAACATTATAGATCGCAAATAGATCTTTACCGGATTATATTTAAATTAATAGTAAATAATATAATTGTAAATTTAAATACTGCGCAATACGTTTCTCTGCAACGCTCATATACAGGGTATCAGTGCACTAGAGCAGATGGGCAACACGCCATATCTTTCAAGTTGACAAGCCATGATTTCGCTTTCGTTAAGATTGTGTTATATTACAATTTTATATATGCATGTGCAGTAACCAGGGCTATTTATGTTATAGTTATGACCTTTGTCACTCGTTATGCCGTAATAAGAGTTAGATTGAAGGCCTCGAGACTCTTGTTAATCGGCGGGAAGTATTGTTGGCCCTTCTTCGATGGACCATTTCTGGCGCACTCGCCGCTGCCTCCAGAAAGAGTACCCTGGGCCTGATCACCGGAGAAGAAGGAGCCGCCCGAGTCACCAGGCTCGGCGCAGACATCGGTCTCTGTGAGGCCAGTGCTGGGGTGTCTAAAGTCGAAGTCGATGGTAACATTCTTTGCTGTGATGGTGCCGCAGTGGAAATGGGCTGTCTTGCCCGAGCGGCAGATGCTGGCGCCAATAGCAGCCTCCTAGCTCCCCTTGATGGGGAAGTCACCTTGGCCGTAGCTGTTGACATAGCCGGTCAGGTTGGTGCCATCAATAGTCTTGATGTAGCTAGAGTCCACCTCGCCACCAAAGGAAGATTCGACGGCGGTGCCCAGAAGGTTACCCTCAATGTCTGTGACATTGATGCCCTTCTTCACACAGTGGGCGGCGGAGATGAAGCCGCCGTTGACCGAGAAGCCAACAGAGTAGGCGTGCTTGCTGTCAATGTGGTAGATGTCACCACCCCTGACGCTAGACATGAGTGTGGGAATCTCGTCCTCGATCTTTACGCCAAACTCGGAGGCTGAAACACCGGCCTGCTTGGCCAGATCCTCGGCCTGCGCACGGCCGTGAGCAAGGATCTTGAAAATAACCTTGTTGGCAGCCTCGTCAACGTAGAAGCCGATAACGGCGTCATTGGTGCTGCGCTTGGATCTGTTGTGGCCTAGGAAGATACTGTCAAGAGCAGACTTGGCTTCCTGAAACTTGGACAGAGGGGTGGTCATAATAACGGGGACGGCGCCTTGGGCTGAGATTGTGTCCGCTATGGCTTGGTCAGTGACACCAACCAAGACCTTTTGGCGTTGATCCAACCACCAGCAAAGGAAGGGCCAACTGAGCCACGGAGCTTCTCAATAAGGCGGCTGGCATGGAAGTCATGGGCAACACGAGCGACGGCTTGTTCGGCGTTGTGGCCCAGGTCACGCTTCATGGCGACGAGCATATTAGGTGAAGGTCCTTGGCAGCCTCAGCAGGGGCACCGTAGGCGATGGGCAGGACGACCGCGAAAATCGAGAGAAACTTTGTAAGCTCCATGGTGACCGATTGAGAATACTGGGTTGTGGAACAGAAAATAAGTCAATGTAGGAGAGACAGGGAGAGGTAGGAGACGGAAAGCATCGAGATTTAATAAGCCAAGCTAATGGTGGACGAGGCAGCACCTACAGATAGCTTCCGAATTCAACCACATCGGACGGAATTGCCCTTTTCTTACTTCTCTTGCCTAATTCAGCGTCGTACCGAGTGCTACCATGATCGCCATGCAGATTATACTTTCTCCAATTGGCGACGCTGGCCCAACGAATATGCGGAGTGGTAAACACGGCTCTGCTGTACACAACAAGGCAGGTTCTAACAATTAGGACTGTGGTGCGGGGGATGATACACTACTCTGAATGCCCTATTAGGAAGGAGGATAGAAAGTGGTGGCCAGTAGCGCTCGGCCGCGCTCATAGCTAGTTTCTGCCCTGGATAGAATACGACGCTCTTATGGCTATCCAAATATCAGCGGTAATTTTTGTACTTGTGAGGGTTATGGGTTACAAGGTTTGTAGTAGAGTAGTAGATGGCCCTGGATGGTGAAACAGTATATATGGGGATCAAACCATTCATCGATCAGCGTGGAATCTGATGGTTTACGAGAGGGGCATGGAGATAAACTTTACCCGTGCAGAACTACCTGACGGGATTTTGGGCAGTATGCGGAACGCAATCGGTTAACCGTTTCGAATTTCCATTACCTCGAGCGCGGTATATGCCAGCTCACAGTTGTCCAAGGACCATGGTTGGGTTCATTCTTCAAAATAGAGTGTGGCGAAGAGGAGCCAATTATAGCTCACTGTCGATTTCTGGAGAACCGATCTGCGCGGGGAAAACTGTGTTGGCATGAACTGCCGAGAGGTAGCCTAGCAGGCGGACGTCATCACCACGCACTAGAAATCGCTTAGCTTTAATTTTCAAGGAAGCAAAGGACACGTACGATTAGACCAACAATATATTCTGGTTCCTCTTCATTTCTGTTCCCTTCACACTAACAATAAAATATACCAGCAGCGTGGACCAGACGTACCAGGAGCAAACAAAAAGCCACTACATCCCCTGTCTGATCATCAAAACAACCTCATTCACAACATGGCTCTAAGCGTTGAAGAAGCCATGGCCCGCGCCGACCGCGACATGCGCTTCAGCCAAATCATTGACCAGCTTCGCACTTCGACAGGCGACTCGTTTGCCGGCGGATGGATTGACGGACCCAAGGTCTACGTGGGCGTCACCAAGCAGGCCCTTGTGGATGAGGTGACTGCCGCCGGAGCCACGCCCGTCGTGGTGAGCAACAGTCTCTCCAAGCTTGAAAAGGCGCGAGATGCATTTGATCAGGTCATGACATCAAGCACCGGATCGGCAAACTCGGCCGGCATTGCCTCGTCGTACGTCGATGTTGTTATCAACAAGGTGGTTGTCGAGGCTCTTGCCGATAGCCGCGGACACGCGGAGAACATGGCTTCGCAGGCGGGCGTTGCTGCGACAGACTTTGAAGTGCGCACAGTCGAGACACTACCTACTATCAAGGGATCGACCTAGCCTACATGGAGCAATTGAAGGTCATTTCTGCATCTTTACATGAGCTTGATACATAGTTATATACTTGGTGACGAGAGAATCGAATCGCCATCTATCTATCTTAGACCCCGTACGCTATACAACCGTGCGACCCTTTCGTAGCTTATCCCAGGCGACTCTCATTCTTTCCTTTTGCCCGGGCGTAAAGTGATCCTTACACGAGCTGTTCCAAAAAGTGTGTCAGTAAAATATTGCCTACGTGCAGAAAATAAAGCAAAAAGAGTCAACATACTCAAAGACATATGCCATGTAGTTGTGAATAGGGTCTTTTCTCGGCATCTTCGGACACGTATCCTTGTCCTTGTTGTTGCACTCGTAGATTTTAAATTCCTCCAGCTTCTCGGCAGGCGTATCGTCCACATGGTCACCTGGGTTGTTGCAGCCGCCCTCGTGCGGATGGAACAGATGGAGCCAATGACCTACTTCGTGTGTCGTTGTCTTGACCATCTTGCGCGGCGTCTTGTTGTACGCCATAGTGCTGATTCGCTGCCAACAGCCATCGTCGAGCATCTGGCTCTTACTGGGGTTGCGCACCGGATAGTTGCAATAGCCGCCGGCGCCGTCAATGAACTTGACATAATACAGATTGAGCGTATTGTAGCCACCTTTGCGAAGGGCCTTGGCTTGCGGTTGAGTCCCTCCGCGAAGGTTCGACAAGTCTTTCTTGACAGTCCAAGATATGTCCTTGAGGGTAAAATTTATACCAGAGCCTTTGAAGCCGTCTACCAAGACTTGGAACTGCTCTTCGACATCTTTTCTCTAAACAACGGGTAATTAGTATAGCGTCTTCGTCTCTTTTATATATATATATATTCTTTTTGAAATACTTACTAAAGCGTAGCCGCCCTCTGTAGAGTTGGACTCGGCAACGATGTGCATATAAGTATCAATGACGATGTCCTGTTGCGCAGCGGGTAACACGGGCAAACTCTTCAGATACGCAGCCGTCTGCATATTTTCCTCCGTAGTCTCAAGCGAACATTCACCATAATCGCCGGCACTATCAGCATCAGTAGTAGAAGAAATACTAACCGCCGTTACGGTGGCACTACAACCCGCCCCGGACTTTATCTATACTCCGGATCATAGATATATTTGAGACGGGAATATACCACGAACCCAGTATCCGTAGCCCCCTCACGGGCAGATAGTCGGGCATCGCGCAGCCTTTAACACACAGTCGCCGCATCTCGCGCAGCACTTTTCGTTGGGCTGGCAGAGGAAACCACTGCACATGACTTGTCTAGCATCCAAGTCGTTGGGCGACTGCGCAGGCGAAGCAGCACAAAGGCCGATCAAGGCAACGGTGATGACAAAAAGGCTCTTCATATCGAGAAACGCTGAAGAGAGGTCTTCAAGAGTGCAGTGAAGAAGACGGCAGAGACAATATCAAAGCTGCAGTACCGAGTGTAAAGACAGACAACAAAGGCAGTACTAAATGATACCGATAGAAGGACTGTATGGAAAACTCACGCTTTTATACTTGAAAGTTCAATAGGTTGTTCGGGCTGTCGGCGTAACCCTCGTGACCTCACGTTTTGTCTACTATATAATCTGCAGGCATGCATGCAAATCAGCCTCAGCGTCTACACTGCATGTCAGCCTCAGTGTCTAAACTACATGTAGCAACTAGACGAACTGCATGAATTGAACTATACCATAACACCCAATTTAGTGACTAATAGAATCGACAAGCGATATGCTAAGCGTACGCGTATGGAAAGTGGCTGCATGCACAAAAGTATGGCAAACCCAATTGCTTTTCTAGCTGCGGCTTCGAGATGAGGTTTAAATGAGGTGCTACCACTAGGTTAACTCGGGGTTGTTCACAAATATTCCAATCCAAAAATCCATATGCATTTCGTCTCTGTAATTAAACAATTTCAAGGTAGTGTACCGTAGACTGCTAGTGTACAGTTGGTAATTGCAATTTCGTGTCATACACCTATCGCTCTGAGCGAGCACTGCCATACATACACGCTTCTCCAACCCCGAGGTAATAATTCCTAGGCAAGCAAATCCTGCGGTAGCTTATTATCTATTATTGTAAGCAAGCACCTGCCATCGGATATCGCCAACGCTGACAGCACCAACAGACTAAAAAAGAATTTCCACTATTGTAGCGCTGTCCTTGATCACGACGGCGGCTCCGAAGCGGCCTAAGCTTATTTTGCTAGTCCATCGCCTAACAGGCAGCACAACACGCCAAGGCTGACCCGTGAATCGACGGGATCCTAGGCCGGACCGTCTAGACCCAGAACAGACCCTGATCTTAGCTTGATGAATGGGGCGGTCCTGCTTTTTTTTCTAGTGAGATAAGCACACGATGTGACTTCGGGGGCCGGGACAAGAGTTGCCGAAATATTGAACCGAACTACAATTTTTTTTACTATTTGCTGACGGTTGCCCAGTGATATATTTATATATGCTCTATCACTCCTGGCTGCCACTTATTGACGTTCCAATCCTCAAACACAACCACATCGCCGTCATGTTTGCCTCCAAGTTCCTTGCTCTCGCCACTCTCGTCGCCTCTGTCGTTGCGCAGGGTATCGTCGAAGGCTCCAACCCCGACGAGAACGTCTCCTATACCTTTGAGGTCGCCAGCAGACAGGCTGCCTGCCCCAAGCTGCAGCCTGCCAACGTCGAGGATGCCCTCAAACGCTTCAATGGTCTCGTCCCTCCTGCGTACGTGAACCCACAGCTTCGTCTCCGCCAAAAAACTAATATGTGTTTCTTCTAGCTACACCTACGGCAAGACCAGCGAGTCCAACCCCCATGTCGGTGCCGGCGCGCTCTACCTGAGCTACCCTGAGGGTACTTTCGCCTTTACTCTGACCTACGACTTTGTTGTGCCCAACGCGACCGATACATGGGTTGAGAAAGGCGCCGACATCGCCAACGTTTACACTGCCATCCGCGAGGATGTCGTCAAGACCTGGGCGGAGGACACCTTCCAGTGGAAGTCGTACAACGTTAGCAAGATTACCGACGATGCTGAGCCCAAGCATGCCGGTGTCTTTACATTCCACATTTCCACCCCCTCGTTCGTCAAGGGCTGCGATACTACTTGCGGTGGTACCTGCAACCCCAACAACTGCAAGTGCTAAGTGAGTACACCGTCATGATATTTAGCGATCCCTTATAGACAGATTAATGAATGAAAAATAATCAATTGATACACATTATTACACCAATAATAATAAAAGCTCTAGTGGTGGATTAATCTATCGTCTATTGGTACTATGATACAAGTAGAAGCCCAAGCACCCATTTAGTGGGTGGCAATAGGGTCAGCAGAAACAAACTTGCTGCTGGTAGAATCGGCAATGGTAACGTTGACCTGCCAGTTCTCAATGGCGACGGACTGGTCAGCGCCCTGCTTGCGGAAGTTGGCGATTCTGATGGTGGTCTCGCCGTGCTTGGCGTCGCCGCGCATGACGAGCTGGCGGTCGAAGGGGCCCTGAGCGGCGTCCTGGTCTATAAACGCATTAGAGCTTTCTTCGGTTGTGTATATATTGAAGAACGTGTTACGTACTGGCAAGGAAGAGTGAACCAAGCTCAGCGCCGAGCTGAGGAAGAAGAAGGTCCTCGGTGGTTACAAGGCCAAAGGTCATGGCGACAGAGTCAATCTTGACGGGCGAAGGGGCCGTCAGGAACTTGATGGTGAAGGGAGAACCGACGGCAATGGTCTCGGGGACCTGGATTTCATTGATCCAGTAGCCTTCGACGGCGGCGGCAAGGAGAGCAATAGGGCTGAGAGTCTGGAAGCGCATTGTGGCGGTGGTTTGTGTGTAGAAAAGGGTGAAGGTGGTTGGTTGAGTGAGTGTCTAGTTGATTGAGGCGAAGATGGTTGTTGATGATGGGAATACAAGCAGCAGATGAAAGAGAAATATGCAGGTATTTTATATTCACTTCTTACAGGAGGGAAAAAAATACGGTATACTAAGGTAAAATATTGGTGTATTGGTGCAGTATGGCGTTCGTCGCCTTGGATTTCCTAATCGGGCAATACAACCTCGTATATTATTCCGGCAGTCGGCAAGGGCGACAAACGCATCGCATCGTATCGCCGGCAATAATGACGTCGATGACAGGCCTTGAAATAGGAATGGAAGATGTTGGCATTTCTATTTCGGTACCGGGCCCTCAATAGCGTTGCCTTTATTCTCTAGAATGAGTATAGTCGCATCGCAGACACCGACACGACTTTTCTCACCCCATATCTGACGTCATTTATAGCGAGCATACCATTTTTTTACGACGGAGAAATTTAGAACTCCTTTATTTTATATTTCCGTGTGCAATAAATGCACAGCCCTGTAGCGCTCTTACGCACTGACGTATCTCTTGATCTACAGATCGCGGCAATCATTCCGACTTACCTATCTAGGTTATCCGCCCCTTTCTAGCTACCGAGCTTCATGCATACAGTCTTACCCCTATCTAAAATTCTAGTCTAATTTTGTAAACCATCAGCAGTCTACAGCTTCTCGCCCTTGACCAAGACAGCAATGGACGTCGCTTCGCGCACATTGAACGCCTCTGCGCCGCAGGCCTCAATCACCGCTCTCATAGCATAGCTATGAATTGTCCATGAAACAATCTCATTCTTATCGTGCTCAAACAAGTCTTCCAGAGCAAGCTGTTTTCTGGCATTGTGTTCAGCGTCCGTCTCTTCGGCCTTTTGCTGGCCCAGCTGATCGACCTCTTCGAAACCGTCTTCGATAGGGAAGTCGGGCCAGTTCTCTTGAATCCACGACTTGGTGCGGCGCTTATCACAGGTGTGTAGGGTCCAGCGCTCACGAAGCTTCTCCTTAATGGTAGGGTGGAAAGGTAGGTTGTGCGCCGTCATGAGGGGCTTGAAAACGTATGTGGAAGTCTGCAGGCATCGGGCCATGGGCGACGAGTAGAGCGATTGCGGGAGAGGGGCGCCGTCGGCATCAATGAATGTATTCCATTTCGAGTTGAGGTCTTTGGCCTGCTCAATGCCCTCGGGGGTAAGGAAGGCGTCGAACCAGGTAGTCTTGTCGTCGCCATCAAGAAGAGACCAGTAGTTCTGCAGCAGTCAGGTTAGCGTGCTGCACATATGGGTACGACTGATGGTATATGAGTAATTGTAACGAGATCAGAGCAACGTACATCCCATGCCTCGTCGCCCATCTCGGCATGCTTCTGGTTGTGGTAGCCGAAACCATGGCGAGTCAGGTACAGAATCTTGTAGTGCACGTTGGCTGGCGCGGTGCGGTTCAACTCGTGCACATGAGCTGCAAATCGCACCCAAGGTTTCTCGTCCTTCGAAACAGCGGCGCCTTCGGGGGTCGGGTACTCGCGGTCAATGAGGGCGAGGGCGGGCTGCGTTGTGATCTTGGTGGGGGAGGCGGCGGCGAGGGCGGCGAGGTCCTGGAAATAGCCAGGTTCCAGGCTAAACTTCCACTTATTCGAGCTCATCGTGGCGGATTATCGTAGATTTTGGAGGCGAATTGGGGCGAAGAGAAGATGCTGTGGCGTGGTGACAGAGGGAAGAAAGCTGTGCTGTGCATCTTTGGCGGGATGTTGCGGTTGGTGACGATGGTGGGGGCGGGGCAGCAGCATAGAAGCAACAGTGGTGGACTACAGCGCAGTGGGTGCTGAAAAAGACGGCGAATTAGGCCATCTAGAACCTCAAATGAGATTTTTTCCTGAATTTTAGCGAATAATAATCGATACCGCCAGCCATGGGTGGAATTCCCATAGAAATACCATGGAATTTGCATAGAACTACCGCTTTGGTGTCTCCGTACCGCGCGCTAAACTGCTTTCAAACTCCGCCACCCCAAAATATCCATCTTGATAATCACAGCCTTAGTCTTACCAATCTGGGTCTGCCCAATCACAGCACCCCCAATTCACATCCTCTATAAATTTACACTCTATACATTACTCTCACTCTTCTCCAAACTTGTAATTTTCATCGTCTTCATATTTCATGCGCAGACTCTTCACACCGCTTCGCACGCATTCCCGCCAATTCTTCAGAACCATGACCACCGAACAGCCACCGCCTCTACCTCCTCTCTCTGCAGAGGATCACCAGATCTTCAACCGCTTCTCCGTCATCATGGACTCCTTTCACAACAACTTCCGCCGCTACTGGCAGGATCTCTGGCAAACAGCCACCACTGGCATCCGCCCCCGCGGCATGACGCTGCGCCAGGTAGTCAACAACGGCATCGACTTCACCAGATACCTCACGGCGCATCACAACATTGAAGAGCAGCACCTCTTCCCGCATCTGGCTACCCGCATGTCCGAGTTTGACGGCAAAAAGGGCCTCATGCCCAAACAGCACAAGCAGATCCACACTGGCCTCAACAACCTGCAGGTGTACCTAACCAAGGTTAGCAAGGGCGAGGTGGACTTCCAGACAGATGACCTTAAGAACGTCATGGAGCCTTGGGCCGAGGTCCTCTGGTCGCATCTCGACGCAGAAGTCGCGTCTCTCAAGGCAGAGAATATGCGCAAGTACTGGACAAAGGAGGAGATGATAGCCATGTACAAAAAGTATTGGTCATAGTGGACTAAAAGGCCTAGAAAGTCGGGGTATATATTCATAAACGTCTCCCGCAGAGACTTCATTCGTCCTATGTATGATATATGGTACAGAAATTGGGGATAGCCCAGTTGAAAAGTTAAAAAGAGAGAAAAGAGTAGATAGCAAGCATGTTTTCTTTGGGCAGCTCCGTGCCCGTTACAATTTTGACACCACAACTTGTATGCCCACTATTGTTCTTGGTGAAGCCGCAAAGGTAATAAAGCGAGTGACTTGATCGTTCGATTGATGTCGATTTAAGCGTTGGCCTTCCACAGGTCAATGAGCTGAGAGGTGGCGGGGTAGGCACCAAAGAAGCTGACGAGAACATCGGGGAGGAAACCGCCGGTTGTCGAGCCCCAGTGAAGGGTGAGAGGTGCCCACGAGGCATTGCGCAAAAAGGTCTTCTTCCATTGCGCGCTCCATTCAGCGTCCTTGACAGCGACACCACTGCTCTGCTTGCGCGAGCGCTCGATCAGCAGACGGCTAAACTCGATGAAGACGTAGAGCGCCCACGAGCGCACGCTGAGAAGCGCCAGCTTGCCCTGCGTTGCAGGGGAGAAGGGCAGCACCTTGCGGCCGGTGAGATACGATGCGTTTTCAGCGGCCTGGAAGATGATGAGGGAGATGATTTGGGTGTAGGCGACAACGGTGTCAAAGGTAGCCTCGGCGGCGCTCTCCGTAGAGGCCTTCTCCGGGTCGGCCTTGGACTTGCTGAGCGACTTGACAACCAGTCTCTTGGCGGCAAAGTAGAGACCCAGGAGGCCCCAGAGACGACCCATGCAGCGCATCTCGCTAATCATGGCAGAGTACGCCTTGAGCTTGGCGGCCAGGCTCATCATGGTAGCCACGGACGTCGGTGTTGTCGTCGAAGCCATGACGACTGTCGTCGCGGGAGGCAGCTTGAAGAGCGACTCAATCAGCTGGCGCGAAGATGCCTTGAGAGTGGCGGCGCTGGCAATTTCGAGCAGCGAGCCGGCCAGACGGGTCGAGTAGCAGGCAAACATGAGCACGGCGTCGGCGCCGGCACGAGTCTGCATGCATCGGAACAGATGGCTGAGGAAGTTGTCGAGCTTGTCGGGCGAGGCGGCAATCAGGGCGCCGAGGGAAGGGCTCTTCTTCGCGGGGGGGGGCGACGGCTTGACTGCATCGTCGGCCGGCTTGCCAGAGGGCAGCACGGCAACGGACTCTACCGGGGCGGCGTCGGGCATCTTGAAATCGAGTGTATGGTGGACTATTCAATCAGCAAGTAGGTGAATTCGGTGTGGTTGTAAAAGACGAAGCTGGTGCGTAGGGAAGGAGTCTGCGAGATTAATATGCATGCACCAGCAGAAAGTCGTTGCGGATCAAGTGTTGAAGGAGAGATGGAGTTCGGCGTTTTACGCCTGGGGAAAGCTGTAGAGGCGCCTCGGCTCAACGGCTCGTGATTTGCTGGGGAATGGTGTGGGTGGGCTGGAGAGCAGGGTCCCTCGGCTGTTTAGAACGGGAAGTTTGGAATGTCCGGTGTGTCGCAGGCGCTGCAGGTACAGTGAGTGAGGCTGGTGACAGGCTGGTTGCCTAAATGAGAGATCGGACGAGATTGTTTCTGATGGCAATCTATGAAAAAAACTGATGAAATTTTCCGTTGAGGCTATTGCGAATGGCGTTAATTAAGCTGGTGGGCGAAGATGCCACAGCGTGTTATCTGATGGCGGCACAGCGTCCTGTCACTGGCTACTGAGACACCCATCTCCACCGATAAACGTCAATCTATTCACAGCGAATTTAGCCCGCTTCTGTTGGTGCCGAACCCAAATGGAAAGCCACAGTGCAGACTGGGGACAATGGTTTCAAGAGTGAGAGTTTCGACTTTTACGCGGGACGCACACTGAATTAACCCTCAGCTGGCCGCCATCTGGCGCGGCTGTCGCACCTGTCGCACCTGGTCAAAGCTTACATGCGAGGCTCATGAGTCCACCAAGCTGAAGCTGGATGGGGCTCTGCTGCCTATTTTAACGTGAGCTCTCAATTGACCGCCTACTTTGGACTATATATAGACCGTGAATTCTGAAGCAATTCAGGTTTAAACACAGTCTTCAATTCAATCATCTTGCCATTGACAGACCGCAACACCTCAAGACAATGACACATCCTCAAGAGTGGCCTTCGGGCAAGCCCTTCACCACCGCACAGAAAGATGCCATCACCGGATGGATGCGCCAGTTCATTGTGATGCCCAGCTACGACCGGGCATTTGAATGGTTCAAATGGACCTATGAGGAGTCTCTTTCCGGAGATTTTATGAAGCAGCTCTTGGCTGAGTACCAGGTAACCCAATTGCACCAAGAGAACCCTAGACTACAGGCGCTGACCGACTCACGCAGCTTGGAGAGCGTGGCCAAACATCTTTGCCTGGCTTTGGACTCCCGTTTGACGATATGCCCGATTCAGAGGAACATTTCCCCATGTTCACAATTGAGTCAAGTAATGAGATGGGCCTGGGCGAGTGGGCCGCCAACACTCTATCGATCCGTGAGACCTGTATCCTTTACATTGTCAACTCCATCACCGACAAGCCAGAATGGTGGGTCAAGGTCAAGAATCCTGAGATTGTTGCAAAATGGAAGGCCGAGGCCCTTGCCGCAGATTGGTCATTTATCAACATATTTGCCGACATGTCTGAGGCCATGTTCGACTCGGCCATCTGCGAGCTTGAGAGAAAGGCCGACCTGTATGAACAAACAGGCCTCATTCCCGTCTTCGACTACAGCGCCTGTGTAGTCAAAGACGACAAACTCCTCACCGACGATCTCATCACCGAGCTCAAGGCCGCCGTGTCCAGCTTTGAAAACGTCCCAGACGCCAAAAAGGACTGGCACCCCGGAAGCAACAACCAAGTGCTTGACCTTGTGCACCCATCGCTATGGCCCATTGTCTACGGCAGAACACGCATTCTTCCTGACAAGCAAATCTCCATTGCCGACTGCCTCGATCATGCCGGTCTGGGAGTCGTCATCCCGCGACCCTTCCACCCAGATCGTGACGATCCCTACCGCCAAATCCACACGTACTCTGACAAATTCCAATGGTTACCATGCAATGTTGCCATCAAGGACGGAACAGCCAAGATCGAAAGCTACATCAACAACGCGCACCCCCGTATCCATGCTGACCTATACCCCGTCATTGAAAAGTTCATCGCAAAGTCCCTCCCCGCGCTCGATCTAGTCTACCGCTGGCCCAACGACTATGATACCCAACGCATCCGCGAGCACCAGGCGCAGCACGCCTGCATTATCGAGGACTCATGCCGATCATGCTACCCCCAGGCATGCCCGGAGCGCTACATCAATGCTCAGTCGCCCGAGGAGTTTGACGCCCTGCTCAAGCGCCAGCTCAGCGGTGAGGTACACGAGGAAGATGACCCTCGAGGCGACCACGGCGAGATGTGGGACATTGACGTTGATGAGAAGGACATCAACGACCCTCGCCTCAAATGGTTTATTGCAACGCACCCCATGGCCCTCACCCCGGACTTGCGACTTCCAAAGCTGCCCCTAGGCAAGCTTGGCTGCTTTGAGAACTTCTCTCGGCTCCAGTTCATCGTCAAGCTCGCCAATATCCACCTCACGCCCGAAAACCCAACTTACGAAGGCGGCTCATGGCACGTCGAGGGCATGCGCAACGAGCACATCTGCGCCACGGCCCTGTACTACTACGACTCGGATAACATCACGGACAGCCACCTCGACTTCCGCACAAATGCCAACAGGGAGGACTTGAGCATGGAACTTAGTCACGAGCAGTCTGACGATCTTAGCATTCAGCGCGTGTTGAATATTGACACGAGTGGCCCGGCAGTACAAGAGATTGGCGGCGTGAACACACGTCAAGGCAGAGCCCTCTTCTTCCCCAATGTCTACCAGCACCGCGTACGAGATTTCAAGCTAGCAGACCCGACACGTCCTGGTCATCGCAAGATCCTCGCTCTGTTCCTCGTCGACCCTAAAATTCCCGTCATCTCTTCGGCCAATGTGCCGCCACAGCAGCTGGACTGGTGGGCGAACGAGACTGGCATGGGGTCTATGCCACACCAGGAGAATACCCTCGACAAGCAGCAGCTGTCCGGAAAGAACGTCCTGCCGCCTGAGCTCGCAGCCATGGTTGCAGACAATGTCGAGTTCCCCATTTCGCTGGATGCAGCAAAGGCGATTCGCGAAGAGCTCATGGCTGAGCGAAAGGTGTTTGTGCAAGGTTCGCAGAGGAGCGAGTACAACGAATGGAGCTTCTGCGAGCACTAGTTGTACAAAAGACTGCTGTTGAATCGATGCTGTGTTTGATGTTGGATTTCATTTATATATACGCCATATTAGTCTTTTAGCTGTAAATTACATCTTCAAAGTCACTATCACAACAAGCAGCACATTGATGTAAATCATATATAAAAAAACATTCTTTTTTGTTCTCATGTAAATACCGTTTGCCCCTAGCGGGCTACAATCCAACTTGCATCCCACGATAAGGTTCCAAGTTGCCAGACAGTCCCTCCTCGTAAAATAGCGTTCCGTGCTGAATTCCCTCTTCCCTTGGTCTCGTCTCTCTTATGCATCTTTTTATAAACGCAATAAATAATGAAATAACTTCCCGTGTTTCGTGTCTTCTCTCTTTCTCCTTTTCCTCATGAGCCGTTACGTGAGAAACGATAAAGCAAACAAAGGGAATGCTCCAAAAAGAACCGGCCAAGCGCATGGCTTGATGGTTGGTTTGGAAGAAGAAAAATGCTGGGAAAGAACAAAAACAATTACCGACAAACGAAAAGCCGTGCAAAATAACCCAACACAACTCGCATAAAAGACTCCGTCGCTCGCACATGTTTAACCGCGGACAGCAGCACCGAGAGCGCCGCCGGTGAACTGAGTACCGCCGGCCTGGCGCTGAGTGTTGCCGCCGGTGCGGGGACCAGCGCGGGCACCGCCGCGTCCGGAGCGCTGACCACCGCGACCACGGCCACCCTGGCGCTCAAAGGCGTTGGACGTACCCTGGGTGCGCTGCTCAAGAGTGCGCTCGTTGGTCTCGATGAGGGCGGAGGCCTTGTCGGAGAGGGTAAGGGCGAGGGACTGGAGACGCGAGAGCTCGACGCCCTTGCGGAAGATGAGGTTGGAGGTGACCTGGTCAAGCGAGGCAGCGAGCTCCTCGTGGCTGATCATCTTGGAGACAATAGCAGCGACCTTGGCGTCGTCAAGCTCGAACATGCTGCTGAGCGTCTCGATGGCGAGAGTGTCGTAGAAGGGGGCGTAGGTGAAGAGGTAGGTGCGCAGGCCCTCCTCCTGGATCTGCTTGGAGAGCATCGTCTTGATGTCCTCGGAGTTGGGCATCAGCTCCCAGATCTTGATGCTGTGGATGAACTCAATCGACTTCTTCCACTCGCCAGCAGCCAGGGCCTTGGAAGCCTGCATGACGTGGTCACGAGTGTTCTCGGGAGGTCCAGTGAAGATCTGGCGCTCGTGGTACTCGAGCATGCGGCGGTAAGTCTTGCTGATGATTCTCTTCTTGACATCCGGCGACGAGCCGGTCTGGGCCAGCAGAGGAATCTCGAGAAGCATGCTGCAGGTGAGGTACACACACTCGAGGAGCTCGAGGTTGATGTGCATGTGGAAGGGAAGCTGACGCTGCTTCTCAAGGCGCTCCTGTTCGGGAGAGACCTGGCTGTAGCGCTGGATCATGACACCCTGGGCGAGGAGCTCCTTTTGACGGCCACTGCCGCAGATCTCCTGAAGAGTGTTTTGGGCGTCGTAGACGAGACCCTTGCGGAAGGCGCAGAGACCGACCTGGACAAGAGTACGGTTGTAGAGGATCTGAGACTGGACATCGAAGCTGGGGATGTTCTCTTGCAAGTGAGACATGAGCATCATGTCGCGGGCCTTGTAGTACTCGCCGTGGAGAGCAAGGAAGTAGATCTGGCTCAGCATGGCACGGGCACGGATGATACCCTCGCTGTTGGTGAAGAGGTAGTTGCAAAGGATATTGACGAGGTTGTTGGCGTCCCGGGACTGGTCGCGGGAAGTAATGGTGGACTCGACCTTGTCGCCAGCGGCCTTCCAGCTGTTCTCCTCAAAGGTCTGAACAACGGCAGCGGGCTTGAAGTAGACATGCTCCAAGCGGCGCATGGCAATTCTGTTGATGCTGTCCTGGGGGATCTCAAGACCAGAGTCCTTGCGGATGTACTCGTAGTAGAGCTGACCGCGGAAGATGATGTTGTAGAGAGCACCCTCATCTCCCAAACGCTCAATGTACTCGGGAGTGTGGGGGTCAATGTTCTGAAGAGCACGCATGAGCTCGTCATCAAGACGCTCGACAAACGAAACAATGCTGCCAGGGACCTTGATGTGCTTCTGGCCAGGCTGGAGCGTGGGGGGCTTCTCATCATCCTCCCACTCTTCGGCGTTCTCAATTACAATATAGTCGTGGTTCTCATCAAGAGTCTGAAGAAGGGAAGAAAGCTCCTTCTCAGCAGCGTTCCAGTGCTCAAGGGGCATGGTGTTGGAGGTACCGCTGGTGATATCAAAGCGGGCAGAGATGAGAGTAAGGAGGACACGGATCTTCTGGTAGGGAGTGTTGGCAATCTCGCCAAGCTTCTCCATGACCTTGATCTGCTCCAGTCTATCAGTGTTCTTCTTACCACGAGACTCCATGATGCCTCGGAGGTGCTTGAAGATGCTCTCGGGGGTGTACTGAAGAGTGCGGCCACCCTTGCCGACAGTGGCGAAACCGTCATCGTCACCGAAGGCCTCAGCGGTAGAAGTAGCATCAGCAATCTTAACCTTCTTAGCCTTGACAGGCTTCTCCACCTCCTCCTCCTCGGAGCTCTCCATGTAGGCATCGTTATCCTCACGGTAAGAGTCAACCTGTGTCTGGAACTCCTTAACGGTCTTCTTAACCTTTTGGCGCGTCGCGTTGAGGGCTCTGGCTAATGTGGCGTTCATCTTCTTGGGAGTAACCTTTTGCTTAGCAAGGGCCTCGTTGATGAAGTCCTCCAAATCGGCAATGATGCGGATGAAGGGCTTGGGGGTCTTGACGTTGGCAGGCAGCTTAGTGACCTGACGGGTAAGCTTGTCGAGCTCTGTAAAAGACGGGTTAGCATATCTATATTTTCCGTTTTTCATCTTCAAGTATACATCCTGGCCTTGATGGGCTGTTGCTCTATTCATTCCCCAAACGGCTATTTTGCATGTTGCGAGATGACGAACAGAGATCCAGCAACAAGACCAGTAAGAAAGTTTAAAAAAACTAACCATTAGAAATCAGCGTCCAGTCGCCGTTCTTCTGGCCGTTCTCGATCTGCTTGATGGAAGAGTCGAGCTCATCGGCACGCTTAGTTTTGGCACTACGGGCCTTTGCTCGCTCTTCGTCTTCGGAGGAGTCATCGTCTGAGTCGGCGGTAACCAAGAAACGGCCGGCACCAGTCGTGACGCCGTCGTCGGAGTCGCTATCGTCAGAGTCGTCTGAGGCGTTGTCAAAGGCAGAGTCGCTCTCGTCCGAGTCGCCCTCGAAGGGCTGTTGCTGCTCTTCCTCATCGGAAAGGATATCCTCCTCCTCGCTCGAGCTGTCGCTCGAGCTGTCGTTGCCGCCGCTTCTGAAGAATCGAGACATGATTGCGGCCGGGCGTTTCTAATTTTCTATAATTTTCCAAGATATAATACCCGTGTTGTAAGATCGAGAAAAAAGAACACGGTCTTTTTTTTCTGTCGCGGGTGCGCGGGGTTGTCCTAGAACACAAACGTGAGGGTCAAAAATTGAGGATTTTTGGTGGGCAAGGTGGGGCTGCCTGCTTGGGGCTTTATTAGCGATGACTCCCTTGTGTTTGTGCTTGTGCTGTGCTGTGCAGACAGCAGTGGGGAGAATGCCCCTCGCACGGCTCCCTACACACTGTGCACTGCTGCTCGCTGACTCATCCAGTTCTCGTGCTCTCTTTTTTTGCTGTAGCCAACCATAGGCGTCCCCATGTAAATTTATAATACAACCACCCTTTTGTCGTCTGCATCTCGACATTGGCGCCAGACGCATTTGCATCCCCGCGCAAACAACCGTCAAACATGGCTCCCATACGCTGCGCCAGCAATACCTGCACAGCTCGTGCCTTTGTGCAGCTTGCTAAACGACGATACGGCACCACCAGCACCTCCTCGAGCTTCGACTTCCTCGTCCCGCGAAAGAGCATCGCAGCTCCCACTCTCCATAGCTCGACTCCTCGCATATCCATATCCCGCATTGACTCCCGCATTACATCCTTCTCTAATACATCTCGTCTCTTCTCCACATCTTCCGCCAGACAAGCCACTGTCTGCATCCGAAACTCCCACAAGCAGAAGACGGCATACGAGATGATGCTCGAGATTACCCCGCGAGCTGCCAAGGTTTGTTGATCACAAGCCAAATATAGTAAACAAGCAAGAAACTAATATTTTACAGCGTTTGGATCAAATTATGGCAAAGGACAAGAACCCCAATCTTGCTCTGCGCATCCAAGTCGAGAGCGGCGGCTGCCACGGCTTCCAATACATTATGAGCCTCATAACAATACCAAGCGAAGGTGCCGAGGACACAACGATTATTAAAGAGGACGACTCCATTTTCCAATTCGTTGCCGAAGACTCCGCATCAGAAACTGCGCAGGAATCCTCGCCCAAAATCATCTTGGATGAACCATCTCTTGATCTACTCAAGGGTAGCAAGGTCGACTTTACCCAAGAACTGATTGGATCACAGTTTAAGATTATTGATAACCCGCTAGCAACAAGTAGCTGTGGCTGTGGAACAAGCTTCGATATCAAAATGTAAAATAGAGCATAAACATGTCCCATTAATACAAACCACTCTCTTGTATATTATCACCCATGTCTTCTCAGCCCATAAAACGCCGCACTCCACAAGTCACACCACTAAAGCTTTTCATAGAGCCATTTGAACAGCCACTGCAATAGGACAAAATAATACATTGATTATACTTTGCGTCACATCTATTTATGTTTATTCTTTTTGTTCACAATAGATATGCAAGACACCACAGTAGAGTAGGAGAATAGTTTGGTATTATTCATGGAAAGGCTTTATTTTTGCACAAAACCTATGTCATAACTATGAACGCCGTAACAACAAGAGCCTCTTTTTTCTAGTCTCTTTGCTATTTTACTTCTCGACCCTACACCACATTCACACTTTTGAATCGTGACACAACACCTTAGTTCATCTGGCGAACAAGGGCGTTGATGGCATCCTCACGGTTGCCAAGGTCACCACCCTCGATGAAGTGCTTGAACTTGCGGGTGCGGAAACCGCCAGTGGGGGAAGAGAGCTTGAAGGGCCAGAGGAAGTTGGCAGCCTGCTTGAAGTTGGGGCCAACAGTGAAGATCTCGTGGACGAGATCCTCCATGCAGACAATGCCGTACTTGCCGAGGGTGTCCTCAATGATGGAGTTGTCGGTAAGAGCAGTGCGCTTCTTGTCGACCTTGCCGTAACCACGCTTGTAGACGAGCTCCTTGACGGTCTTCAGGTTGGGGTAACCGTAGGCGATCCAGGGCTCGACGATCTTAAGCATCTCAGTGGTGGCCTTGGTGACGCGGATGAAGACACCGTTGTTGATCTGGAGGAGACGGAGGAGCTGGAGGATCTTGCGGGGCTTGGGGGCAATCTTGTTGATACCCTTGATGCGGATGACGAACATGAGCTTGCCCTCAGCGGGGATGTAGGCAGAGTCGTCCTTCTTGGCGGCGCGGGTAAGGCGGACCTTCTCGCGCTCAGCATCGCGGTACTCCTTGACGTACTTCTCGGCACGCTTGAAGATGACGCCACGCTTCTCCTTGTTGGCCTGGTCGCAATGTATGTTAGCGGAAATGCTCTTGCGATATAAAGTATGCATCAAATGAATGAATGGTAAGGGCAATGGGTCAGACCCGAAAGAAGGTTAATTATCAACGACATCGACTTTTTAGTCTGGTTGACGGGATATGTTGTGCATCATTATGCCACAGAAAGGAAACAGGAGTAGGAAACTTACGGCCTTGCGCTTCTCAACAGCGGCAGAGCGCTCAGCGCGAGCCTTCTCCTGGCTCTTGCGCTTCTTGAGGAGGGTCTCAGGGACCAAGATGTGGTCGTTGGTAGGGACAGTGCTATTGTCATTTCAGATTAGTACGTAGTCCGGCATGCCTGCTGTGCGACGGCATGGAAGAGAGCGCCGGTGCGAGAACTGTAGCTTTAAGCGCGACATTCTGTGCGTTGGCTAACTCGAGGTTGTATTTGATCGGTGAAGTAGTAACAAGAGTTTTCAAAGTGGACGTGAGTGTATTCCAACCCAAATGTTCATCTTCGACGTCTTGCGTTTCGTTCATCCGACAAAGCCCCAAACAAAATGTTCAGGAAAAAGCAGCTAGCCTAGGACAATGCATCAACCAAGAAGGTATTTCGACCTTTGTGTGCAGTTCCATGTTGGCAGCAATGTATTTGAGAGAGGAGGTGTGCGAGAACCGACAACCTCCAGCCCCAACACCCCAAGACAGCAATTCTCAGACAGCAGCAGACCGTATTCCAGGCCCAGTACGTCGTGAGAAGAAAACCGCTCAGGAGAAATCGAGCTGGTAGCAGTACCAAGCATTCATCGTGACCAAGAAAACTTGATCATCCGACAAAGAGGCCTAGCAGTAGACTACCACGCGAGAGGACCACGACAATCCGCAAAAAGTATCCAGTAGACTCGAAACCAGGCAATGCATTCTGCCTTTGTATTGTTCGCACGAACGAGAAGAGGGAAAGACCTACGTGGCACCCATTTTGTCGATTTGGCTGGTTGGTGATGGTTAGTAGGGACGAAGTCGAACGGGAAGAGGAGGAGAAAAAAAAAGAGAGCGAGAAGCCCAGCCCACAAAGTTAGCCTGTGGGTTTGCGAGCCACAAGGGCCATTTTGCGAAAAAAGCGGGCAGCGCAGCCAATCAGCGCGCAGCGTTGCGAGTAGCCCACCCAAAAAATACTCGGTAGGGTCTAGGGCTTTGTCTTGCACCGCACCAAAATGCATCTTTTTCTGCCGGGCCCCACCGCTTGCCCGCCAGCCAGTGCCCGCAAACCACCAAAAATTGGCGGGTCGTGAGAACCTCTCTTTTGGCTCTTCATTCTCAACCAGAACCAAAAATCCAACCATCAAGATGGCCCCTAAGAAGACTGTCCGCGCTCCCCAGGAGAACATCTCCCTCGGTCCCTCCGTTCGCGATGGTACGAATTTATAACCCTTTTTTTTTCCCGAGCGAGAACGATTTTGCCGGAACAACGAAACCTAGACTCTACTATTGTCTTTTTTGGTGCCCGCGCAAATCGGCTTCAGCTATACTCTGTTTCCTTAGAAACGACATGTCAATCGCACTTGAGAACCAAAAGCTAACTATTTTTTTTCTTTTTCGTATAGGCGAGCTCGTCTTTGGCGTTGCCCGTATCTTCGCCTCTTTCAACGATACCTTCGTCCACATCACCGATCTCTCTGGCCGCGAAACCATCACCCGTGTCACCGGTGGCATGAAGGTCAAGGCTGACCGTGACGAGTCCTCCCCCTACGCTGCCATGTTGGCTGCCCAGGACGTCGCCGCCCGCTGCAAGGAGCTCGGCATCAACGCTCTCCACATCAAGATCCGTGCTACTGGCGGTAACCGCACCAAGACCCCCGGTCCCGGTGCCCAGTCTGCTCTCCGTGCTCTTGCCCGTGCTGGCATGCGCATTGGCCGCATCGAGGATGTTACTCCTACTCCTTCCGACTCTACCCGCAAGAAGGGTGGTCGCCGTGGTCGTCGTCTCTAAGCGTGTGCGCTCGGCTTACTACCGATGTGCATCGCTCAAGGGAATATGCTGGCGATCTGGCTTTTTCGGCGCTTTGGACAGGATTCTTTATTTCGTCTCTCTGGTTATGCTGCTTTACTGCGGCGTTGAGAAAACGAGGAGAACGGCAATTACGCCTGGTCTCCAAACTACTTTGCCTCGTCGCGTGCTGTGAAAGGCGCCCGGTGTTGGCCATGAGTAGATAGTTACGAATGTCGCCCTTCAAAGGCCCACGAAAAGTTAAAATACATTTGTTCCATAAATTGTTCTTGATGGTATTGTTTGATTCTATCTCGCGACTGCTCTGCCACCCTTTGAATGAGCAAAGCAAATGTAAACGTAGTGTAAACGTAGTGTATACCTAGTGTATACCAAGAAAAGCAATGCTAGCAACGCCTTAAAAAGCAACTAGCCATGGGTATTCATTTACTACCATAACGCCTTGTATTCTCCCTGTATGCATATGCCAGTCCTATTTGATACCTGGCTTCAACGTCCACATGCCTCTACCAGCACCTCCAACCTTGTTCAACACGGCAATTGCGTCCAATGCTGTTTTAAACTCGTCGCTTTGCTTCTTCCCCGGACAGTATGGGTTAAAGTGGTCAACAAGCATCTTGCTTGGCACTTTGCCCCCGTTTCGATTGATGAACTGTTTAATCATCAACATGAAGTCTTGGGCCTTGAGATTCTTGTCTCCCCCAGGGGTTCCTGAACGCGATCTACTGCTTCCCCCATCGTCAAGTCCCTGTCGATTGGCAAGATTGCTCATGATGCCAGCAGAGCTGGGACCAGCGCGACGACGGTTGCCGCCGGGTCTGCCACCTTGCCCAACTTCACCTGTCCATGTGACGGTTCCGATTGGGATCTGTCTAGCTTCCGCTCTAGATCGACGAAGGTGAGCAGCAGCTTGCTGAGCTACCTCGTTTGCTTCGCGGCGCAACATGGCCATATCGGCCTTGGCCTTTTGCGGCCCGTTCACAATCTGCTCGTGATCGTAGGCGCTATTGACAGAACGTGCAAAGATACCATCCAACATGCGCTTCTCATCATGAGATGCTGGGTCCTCTTTGAACTCTTCCACAACCGCCACCATCTTTGTCAGCTCTTGGTCTTCAACATCGGCAGGTTTTGTAGTGCCATGAGATGTTCCTTGCGCTGACCCAGCCGTACTATCAATGTCCAACTCTGCTCCGCGAAAGACCTCGCTGCGTTGGGCAGCAGCATCTCCGCCCTTGTTGTAGACAAACAGGTCGTAAAGGTCCGACAGATCATACGAGCTGCGTTGCTTGGGATCCTTTAGAACCTTGTTCGTCATAAATTGCTTGAAGATCTGGCGGTGATATATCTTCTCTTCAATCGTCCCTTCTGTCATTAATCGGTAGATCTTGACTGGTCGTGTCTGTCCCAATCTCCATGCTCTTTCACGCGCCTGCAGATCCGTCGATGGGTTCCAGTCCGGATCGAAGATAATGATGCGATCAGCTCCAGTCAGATTGGTACCCAAGCCACCAGTTCGGGTGGTCATTAGGAATACATGCATATCTGGATCTGTATTAAACCGATCAATCATGGGCTGGCGCTGGTCGACGGGCGTCTCGCCATCCATTCTTAAGTATGCAATCCCGCAGTCGCGCATACACTTTTCAATAATGTTGAGCATCAGCTTGCCTTGCGAGAATAGTAATGTCTTGTGCCCGTTGGGAATCATGACCTTTTGGAGAAGGTCTTTGGTGAGCTGCAGTTTTGCAGACAACCGCGGGCTACCAAACTCATAGCCCGACTTGCGAGACAGAGTCTTATCCAAAAGATCTGGGTGGTTGCAAATCTTGCGCAAGATGTCAATTCCGTACAGAGACTGCCTACGCCTGTTCAGAATGGCCGACACCTCGTCAGAACCCAAAAATGTCGTGTACGCCTTTTCCTGGCCAAGTGTAAGTTTGCAAAAGAGCACTTGTTCCGTCTTTTCTGGCAGATCCGCCGCAACATCCACCTTGAGTCGTTGTAGCAGATATTCGCTGATGGTTTCCTTCAACGCTTCGGCACACTTCTCTGCCGTCATGACTTGTAGATTCGAGGCGTTGGCGTAGCCGCCCTGTCGGATGGGTATTTCAAACTGCGTTCGAAAGTTTACCAGTGTGCCCAGACGCATTGGATAAATGAAATCAAACAGCGACCACAACTCGGTCAAGTTGTTTTGCACTGGCGTGCCCGACAGGATTACTCGGTTTGGAGTGTTCAACTCCTTGCAAGTCACCGTGATCTCGGCATTTGGGTTGCGGATCTTATGTCCTTCGTCAAGTACAGCATAATCCCACTCCACGCGCAAGAGATCTTCAGCATATGTCTGTAATCCAGTGTATGTAGTGACGAGAACATGGCCTTTTCGCACAACCGAATCAATAATTCTCTGAGCAGCCTTTTGGGACTTGCCAGCCATGGGGCGGAAGTGATTCAGATCATAGTCATCTTCGTAGGCCGTGTCCAGCATGCCGCTACCAGAAGAATGGAGAATCGAGACACGCAACGGTGGCCACCACCGATGGAACTCGCTTACCCATTGTCTGAGAAGTGTAGCAGGAGCTACAACAATGACAGGTCGCTTAAGCTTCTTGCTGCTATGTAGCGCTGCAATAAAGGCAATCAGCTGAACTGTCTTGCCCAGGCCCATCTCGTCACCGACGATACCGCCAACTCGCTGTTTATAGAGTTCAGCAAGCCATTGTACACCGGTTTTCTGATATCCGAACAGCGACGGATGGATATCACCTGGCATTTTCAACCCATCATCAATAATGTGGTCAGCATAGTCGGGTGAAGGCTTTAGCCACTCCGGCTCATCACCACTATCCATATCCGCATCGTCATTCGTGGGGTTATTCTCCCTTCGCTTAGCCCGTCTGGCTCGACTTCTTCTATTTGTCCAGTCATTGAGGCGTCTTCGGTAGAGCTTCTCATCACCGTCGTCAATCTTGCTGAGGTCGACCTTAGCTTGAGCTACAGCAACGGCTTTTGCCTTTGATTTCCGGCGCTGCTCTCGAATCAAATCATCTTCATTTCCTTGCTGCATAAATGTGTCGTCTTCAGTTTCGGACCCATCGTCTCGGCTGGGTTTATAGTCATCATTTCCATCGCCAGAGTCTCCATCATCTTCAACCACCCGTCTCTTCTTTCGAGGCCTCAGCGAAAACTCTGACTCAACAGGAGTTGCACTGTTTTGGGCTTCTTTCTTCTTGGGCATATAGCCATCGTCAAATCCAGGCATTCGAAGCTGTTGGTGGGAGATGGGCTCGTCTGCCGTCGTGTCATATTGCTCAGCCGCAGCAGCCTCTTCAGCATCAAGAATTGTCTCTGCCAGCTGGCCATGAATCCCCTCGGGTCTAGCACCTCCAACTTTTGCAAAGGGTGTGATTTTGCCGGTTCGGATGAGATAGTCGCGATGGCTCTCGCCCGGTAGCCGTGCCGACTTGACTCTGTTTGACGTGTCTAGCGGATCTTCCTCATGGCGCTTATCGATTCGGGACTGAAAGTCGTTTATATCGCTCGTCTTTTGCTGGATTTCCTCTTCTAATCTTGCAATCTCTTTTTGCACGTTTCTCGCCTGATATGGATTGCCTGCAACCTTCTCCAGCTTCTTCTCTAGCTTGTCTAGTTGCAGCTGCAGCAGCTTTCTTGACTCATCCAGCTTTTCAATTCGCGCCTTGTCTTTCTTGTCTTCAGCCTCGTTAATTGCCGCGTTGGCTTGGAGGGTAATGTCCCGCTCGAGGTCGGTTTGATCGCGTACAGTGCCAGTCAAGTTGCGCAAGGCGTCGTCTTCCGTCATGCCTGTGATCTCGGCATTGGTCTCGGCCGCTTCATCGACATTAGACCCTTGATGAGCTGCAGCAACCATGCGACTTAAGAGCTCTGCACGGCTCTCTTCGGGCTCGGCCGGGCTTTGCTCTCTATCCGACGCCATGATGCCGTGGTCCACGCTGTCGCAATGATTCCGCCACAGGAACACCAGTTGCGCGTGGCGTGTGCCTGCTTATTCAAAGTCCATATGTTATCCTATCTCAAGTGACGTAAAATCGGCCGCTGGATCGCTCTGATTATTGTCGTGTAGTGTTCACGGCTTCTTTAATAAGGGCGATGAAGGAGCCTTGCGCCGGGTCTCGTAGGATGAGGAGATGGAGTTCAAGCAAATATCAAGCTGGATAATTCAACCAATAGACAATCCAGGAACACCTTCACCATATATCCTTGCGTATTTAAATGCCGTGGTGATGGTGAAAGAAGAAGATTCAAGCGTGCGTGCAGCGTGGAGCGTGCAAAAAAAGTAGCGTTGCAAGGCAAAGTGTCGTCATCGTGGTGGCACCATGACTCTGCCTCTGCGGCGCTGCTGGCAGTCCGCTTGCGAGCTTCCACTCACTAAACACCACTAAACGGTGCATCGGATTTACACTCACGACAAACATTAGACATCGTTGTCTATCGCTGGAAATAAAGCTACTCTTTTATTTTGCACCATAAATATTCTTTATAAATTTAACTAATATTAGACCCTCAGACCGCCCGCCAAACCCCATTGCTATAACTCGCACCCACGCAATAGCCATCTTCAAACAGCAGTATCTTGATCAATTGTCCTCTATCCATGGCATTCTGGAATAGAATCAGCCGCCCTTATCCACTCATTACCTCTTCCATCCCAGTTATCCGTCAGAGACGCCCTCTGTCAATGGCACAAGCGCCCGCCTGGCTGAAGCCAGTTCTATCAGACACATCGGTGCCACCAACGCTCTACGCCTGGACTCCAGCAAACCTGAATCTCCCTTACACTCCACAGCGAAGGGATATTCAAGATGAATCCTCTCGCATCTACATCATCGGTATTGGTAACCTGGGTCGCATGTACGCGGCGTACCTGTCGTTGGTAACCCCAACACCTCCACCAATCACGCTCGTCGTCCACAGAGAATCACTGTTATCCCAATGGATCGAAAACAATGGGGTAGAAGTAACTCGTCAGGGCGTTCTTCACCAGTCAAAGGCGTACGACATTGAGTACTGGTCCGAAGAGAAGCCTGCTACAGGGCCAGTGCAGCAAGTTCAACCCCTCCGAAACGTTCTAGTGACAACAAAAGCGACCGCGGCTATGCCTTCTGTGGATCGAATCCGCGGCTATCTCGACTCACAAAGCACTGTGGCCTTTGCACAGAACGGCATGTCCAAACTTTGGCCACCCCACGGTTCTGCGTACATGACGCACCGCTACCCCAATGGCAACGGGTTCAATGCCCTTCTTTGCGTGACAAACCACGGGGTATTGTCCGAAGGTCCCTTTAAGAGCTTACATGCAGCTCCTGCAAACGTCTCCATTGGCTCCGTCTTCCCGGGTCACGATGTATCCCAAAACTACCTGGCCCAGCAGATTTTGGCTGCGCCCTTTATTGACGCTAAGGCGTTTCCCACGGCAGACTTATGGGTAGTCCAACTTGAGAAGCTTGTCGTCAATGCGTGCTTAAATCCTCTCACAGCTTTGCTGCGCCAGAAAAATGGTTTTATTTTTCAAAACCCAGATGGGCCCATCATCAAGGTACTTGATTGTATCATTGCTGAAGCCAGTGCTGTTCTCCAAGCACTCGCCAAAAGTGACGCTAGCACCTCTATTCTAGCATCTTCTGAGAGCGATATTGCTATACTACGCCAAACCCTTGTGGAGCGATTTTCTTTTGATAAGCTTAGATCCCTGGTCTACGCAGTCGGAGAAAAGGTCAAGGAAAATCGCAGCTCAATGCTCCAAGATGTCTGCGCGGGCAAAGGCACAGAAATAAGAGACTTTAATGGCTGGTTTGTCGACATGGCTACCTTTCTGGATCCCTCTATAGATGTTTCAACAAATCAGAAACTCGTAGAGCTTATTGAGAATGGAGCGGCACAGCTAGACGAGACATCACTCAGTCAAAGCATGTTAAAATAGTCATAATGAATAATAACAAAACAAAGTTCTTATCTTACTTTCCCACCCTATCGTCATTTCTCGTCTAAGAGTGAATATCGTACCCGGCAATACATCAAGAGAACTGCTTGATGTGTTGCCCTTCGTCACCTTTCCATTACAGGTATACTCCAAAAGAAATCCAACATAACAAAGAATCCAGGCCAAAGGCCAAACTAAAGGACATTGAATATGCCGTGGATACCACTAGCTAGACAATACCGTTTTTGTGAAAGCAAAACAAACGCCATAAATTCCCCCAAACAATACTTTTTTTTATCGAAGTAGGTGGTGATGCTTCCCGTCAAACGCAAGTTGAGGGTCATCTGCTCCATACAAGGACGTTTCGTCTCTGTTGGATGATAGTGCTGATGGTGAAACCGACTCGTTGAACGTCTCTGTTTCTCCCGATTCCCATTGCTCGACCCGCTCCCGACATGCTGCTGGTGTAAAGCCAGAGCCAATCTTGTGAGCTACTATTCGCCATTTTTCGTTCTCATAGTCTTGCAAGGCTCTTCGAAGCTTGTTATCCTGTCGATATGTTAATAAACTAGACTAAATCGTGCGTGGCCGTTGTCGTGCTTACCATTTCCTCTGTCCAGAGCGTTGTTTTGGCCTTTAATTTCGTGCAATACCGGACTTGAAGAGTACCGGATGAGCGGCCTGGAAAAAAGTCGGCGATTTGTTTCCATGTAAGATTCTTTTGCTCCTTGAGTTGAATCAAGAGCTGATCATCCTCGGCTGTGAATTTGAGCTTCGGTCCTCTGGGCCGTGGTGCTGGTGGTGGCATGCCTTCCTGTCCCACAAGGCTCGGTGCGGCAGCCACATCGTCGTCCCTCCTCATCATCTTCGATGGAGGCTCTAGATTTGGCAGATGGTGATGATGTGTCATAGTAAGCCCCGCGCCTGGGTGTATGGCACCAACTGGTGTGTGTGTGTAGGCCGATTCGAGACCAGTTGGTCCCATAGCACCCATACTAGCATGACCGAAATCAGACATATCCCCAACCGATAGATCGAACTCCGTGGGACGAGATCTTTTGCGGCTCAGCGGAGGAGACATTTGCGATGGCCGAGTTGTTGGGGACAATGACTGGTACATGGGTGCCACGAGCAACCCAGGTCCGCTGAAGGAGTGGCTAGTCATACGATCATGGCGAATAGTACCAGTGTGTGGACTAATCATGACTTGAGGGGTAGTTTGTGGTGATTCTTGATGGGTTAACAAGGAGTGTGCGTGTGATGTCCCATCATTGTGGGATGTCGAAATATGGTCGACTCCAGTATCTCCAGGGTCGGTTCTCGGATAGCTGGCATGGTCGTCTACCGGTGCATCTAGGCGGTTCTGTCGCTGATTATCCGAAAAGGATGTTGAGTTATAGTTTTGGTGGACTCCTCTAGCATCGGCTGTTGATGCCAGGTGCTCTGAGTAGTCCACATTGTATCCTGGGGCTCTGTAGTTGTCCGCCAGCGTGCTTTTGGCGCATGGATCCCGCCAGAGCGATGTGCTCTGAACGGACGCCGGTCTCTGGATGGAAATAATTCTCGACTCTGGGGCCCTCGCGGGCTGTGTCTTTCTTCAAAGACACACCAAATAGAAAGCGGTTGTGCGTGAATGGAGCGTAGCAAACGTGGAAGCGAGTCCACTTCGTCTTGAACAATCTTCCTTAAGCCTTTAGGGTCCGTGAAAGGCGCTAGAAAGACTCGTGCGGGTTGCCAGCCAAGTACTGTGTGTATAAAGTGCAAACCATAGAAGACCGTCACACCCAACTCTTCGATTGCAATAGTTGACTAGAGCAGGGGTTTGTTTCGAACAGAACGTTGCATAAAGGTGTCTCCAGTAAGGTAGGCTATATCGTCAGGAGCTGTGAAAGGAAAGACTGGCTATTTCTTTGCGTATTCCGATAGATTGAGGGTTAATAAGAGCAAGGCTGCGTTGTGATTGTTATTAAAAGTGTATAGGCTGTGAGCGAGATATATTGCCTATTTCAGCAGAGCTAGCAATGCAATGGACGAGGAAAGCGAGCGGTGCGGCGCGACCCCGTGTTCCCAGAGAGTGTTTATTATATCGTCTGATAATGGAGTATGGCGTCCAGGTCAAGAGTTAGTTCATAAGGACTTGAGGTATGAGCACACTTCGGGAAGAGTAAAGCACATGAGGTGGCCGCCATGTGCGGCATGCAGACCAAGTCGAGACACTACAGGTGCACTTGGTCGCCACGGCGCTGATACCGAGGGAAGGTCGCCCAATTTGAACGACTTATGCCCGCAGCGTCAGGAGCATTAGCCAAAAGGTGCTAACGGTTTTCCTCGTGGTGATCAAAGCTCCGAAATCAAGCTCCACAAGGAAGTTTAACTGCTGCAGACAACTTGATTGAATGTTTATGGGCACGGAGATGAAATGCACAAGCACAGCTTATAGACGGCATTCATAGAAACTCTCTAAACGCAATGGCCACCCGTCCGGTGAGCCCCAGAAAGCTCGCCCAGGCAAAGCAAGCAGAGCGGCCGGGACCTGCCACCCAATTGCGGGACGTTGTATTGACCCGAAGCAAAAGCTCCCTGGTCAAGGAGCTAGAAGAGGCGCCGTGCCTTGCTCACAGCACGAGAAGTGGAAAGGCTACCCACAGAATGTAACAACCATCAGATGTTAATTCGTATGCAAGAAAGGCCGACAAGGGCTGGCTGGGGCTGCAAGTGCATCCGAGGGGGTGGGTATAACGGATCCAGGGTGGGCTATAACAGTGAGAGACCCCGGAAGTTTATGAAGACCGCCTCACCCGTCCGCGCTTTGTGAAAGCCAGAGTTGCGCCGCTTGACGCAAATGAATGCATATTTTTGTAGGCATAAATACTCCAAATTTCAAACCAACGTGAGATAGGCTCAAGGTTCAGCGCAATTGGTAGGGGAAGGCGCTAGCCCCCTTCTATAGCACTTGGAGGCTATCACTTCAAGGGGTCTGCCTCCATGGCCGCCATCGTGACTAATAGCACAAAAATAGCATTCTTGAAACACGCGCTTGGGAAAGCGGCCAAGAGACACGGCAGAGGCTATGCTGACAGAAATTCCGTAGCAAGAGATCCCTAGTACCGTATCGTACCGCATGTACCCAGCATGCTGGATGGTTACCGAAGCTCAGGGCATGTAGCAGTCACAAGCTTTCGGCTCCAATGCGTGCAGCTTACGTCTGTGTTCGGCCGGCCAGATGGAACGTTGTTAAAGAAACGGCGCAGTCAACTCCACTGGCCGATTCGGCTTAGGTGCCACTTTGACCACTAAGTGGACGAGGCTAGCACCAACTAGGACCAAGTTCCTGACACTATAGGGATTGGCGCGCGCGAAGTGTCTTTTCTAAGGCCGGAGACACGCCGAGAGGTGGTAAAATCTCGCCGGCGCTCCAACTAAATGGCCGAAAGGAGCCCTGGGCCTACGGTGACGTGAACGTTGCTTGTACCGTGAGCTTCGCTGCTCGCCGTCCCTCTCGCTGTAGCACTCAACGAAAGTGTGCATATCGTTCAGCCCCCCATAATTTAGCTTCGTCTCATGGGGACTTGAGCGACAGCAGACAGCTGGCCAAGAGTCTCCAACAAAAGTGCTGCAGCAGTGCAGTTTCGTGGCGTCTGCCCCTGTCACGTCAAGGTAAGCGGTCCAATGGCAACAAGGTTCCTCGCACCCTTTCCAGCAATCGTTTGGTGAGTTTTCCACACGCTAGGTGGGGGATCCTTTGTAGTGGCTGCACTATAGCAAAGGGGCAATTGTGCCGTGAGGCTTGCATCGCCTCTTTATTCGACTACCAGCAGGTGTGGGCTGACAGACGAACATGAATTGCCGATGGCTCGTGAAATCTGAAGAGACAAGAGTCATGTGCCTTGTTCTAGATCTCGATTATCGTCTTTGTTTTTAAAACGGCGAGAGATGATATTTCTGGGTTATGCAGACGAGCATAACGCCGGCAGCCTCTGGGTACGTTACCAGATGGCAAACTCCTTTTTTTTCTGACAGCTGTGGCAGCTGGCGGACCTGGCAAGTACCAGATGGCAGAGCTGGCAGGTGTGCCAATACGTGCACCAACCAACTCAACAACATGATCGCATTTCCACGAGAAGATGAAAAAACTGTTTGCACAAATGTTTTGAGCTCTATTTTGCGTTTTGTCCACTTTAATAGATGCATTATGCACTTGTCCTGTCTTGCCTTGCCTTACCTTTGCATCCGGACAACGGCGTGGAGCAAAGCCAAGGTCAGCAGCATGAGCGCATTGTCCTGCACAAAGATTCTCACTAACACGGGATTGGACACCACTGCGAACGAATAAGCTGTGCAGTCCACCTGCCCGATCCAAAGGCAATTTACAAAAGATCAAGTAAACTGGCCTGATCATGCATGCAATAGTACGTTTTTCGGTGGCTGCCGCATCGCCTGGCTGCGTCGTTGCGCAAAGACCTCGAGGCACGAGCTTTTTTGCAGTTTAGCTTTGCAGCGATCCAGCCCATCGGCCTCGGCACAAGCAAACGAAACGGCCTTGGTACCCATGTGGCAATCGACGTCAAAGGGGAAGTTTGGCCAGCGACCCGCATGCCGCCGCCATGCAAACCAATAACTGGACAGGATCCAGAGGCGCCTGCAAGCAAGGGAGGGCGGAGTTTTGCATGAATGCATAAACAGTGGCTAATTTGACGTCAACCACAACTCGGTCGGCAGTCCTAGGCAGGTACAATGCCCCGAGCAGGCGCTTTTAGCAAAGGTGCCTTTGTTCTCATCTGCAGAGTCCCTTAGCAAGCCCCGCGCGAATCTGCGTCTGACAGCTGACCAAACTGTCCTAAATCAGTCTGGTCAAGGCGTTGTACGACAAGAAAAAAGTTTGCAGTGATTAATTTTCATCCTTGCAGCCCGCGGGGCGCCGCCGGACGAAGAAAAAAGCATCCCATGGGGGCAGACGCTAAGCTGCAAACCCACTGTCTGTGCTCCCTGACCGAATCACCGCCTGGCACCCAGGAACGACAGACAAGTAACCCAGAATGTTAAGCTGCCCTAGCATTAGCTTTCGGCAGAGGCGGAGATCGACGTTCCACACCCGCGTTCGGGGGCAGACTGCTTTCTTGGTCCTAGCGGCTCTTGGGAGGCGGACGGCGCACGTCACTTCACTATCGGGCCCGGAACTGACAGCTTGTTTGGGACGTGGTGTAGACTCTTAGCATGCCGAAGTTGGGCGGCTTATTATTATCGCGGTAAACTCGTCCTTCCGTGACAGCCAATGCGGCCCCTAACTCTAACATTAGTTTTCAATGCGACCAAGTAAGATTCATCTGAAAGACCAAAAATCACGATGCAGTGTTGACAGGGAACAGGACCAGATTATCATGTGTAAATCGACAAAAACTGACTCGTGAGTGCATACAAGGCTTGTTAAGTGGCTGATGGTCGTCCATAATGGTCAGTTACATATCGGACGAATAGCACAAGCGAGGAGACATCGGCCAACGAGATATGTGCAACGGATAAAGAAATTTAATTCTTATACATTTTGTGCTGGTTTACTCGGAGAGGATTCTGTTCCTAATCCTCTCTTTTTCGTTTTGGTTTAAGTACTAATCATACAGACAAATCCATCCTTCAAATCGATTAAAAAATAAAACAAAAAAATGCTTAAAAGCAACATGCAAGAGAGTAAAATAAACGCCAATCAACAACCGAGTTTTCCGCCTCCTATCATCCCCCTCCGTACTAATTTATGCAAAGTTGTCTACCCTGTCAACGCCAATGTCCTCCAATTCGGCAAAGCTGTGGAAATGCAAGGGCCGGTGGTGGTCGTTGAAGAAGGGCAAAGGCGTGTCGAGTTTAACGTGCACAGACTTGGTGACCATGCCGTCAAAGGCACTGCCCATGAAGCTGTAGTTCCAGCGTCCGTCATCGGGCACAAGGAAGAAACCTCTGAACCTCGGGCTAAGCAGAAGCTTGCGCTTCTCGCCCATGGTTGTAGTGAATCCTTGTGGTTGGTCGCTGTTGATGTCCTTGTTCTCGGCTCCCCACTTGTAGCCCTGTGGTGTCAGGCCCCAGGCCGATAGGGAGACGCTGCCGGGCGTAAACGCCACAGAGATTGTGATTGTGTTGGTCTTGTCCCACTCACCGTGGGCATCAAGCAGACGAGCGTGTTCCGTTACATCAGGTGCGGACATGTAAGGTAGTTCGGAGCCCGAAACTGTGTGGATTATGCCGAGAGGTTCCATGCCGTCGAGAAGCTGGCTCTGAGGAAGCTTCTCCGGCAGCTTGACATCCCTTTGTCCGCCAATCTGCGGCATCATTACGATACACTTGACTTCCTTGACCTGGTCGTTGTCAGGCGCCGAGGAACCGTAGAGGTAACCAGCGACTTGGACTCGCAAATCAGCAATGGTAATGAACTTTTTGAGGATGTTATCGGGCATAACATAGGTAACATCGTCAACATCACTGTCAACAGGCGACACATAGGTGTTCTTGGCTCGTGTGCGCAAGTTGGACGTAGCAATGGCGCGGGTTCGCCACTCAGTCTTGGAAGCAAAGGTCTGCTGTTCAAACTGCGACGTAGTCGTGACAACAATCTCTTCGCCGTGAACGTTCTGTGTCTTTGTTGTAACGGCAGTAAGCTGTGCCTGCTCTTGCTGCTGCTTCTCGATCTCGGCAGCTTGTTGGCGCTGCATGGACGGAGCAGAAATCTCCATACCCAAGATAATATCACGCACTTCACTACTAGTCAAGCTGGAAACGTTGACATTGTTCTTCTTGCCGTAGTCGTTCAAGATGAGATCGCGTAGCTGTGTTTCAATCTTCATCCAGTCTTCGTCAGACAGCGAGGGCCAGATATGGTGCTCAGCAGTGATGACAGTCTTGTCGGGGCGCAGGATGAGCTTCGTCTTGTCTTGGTTAACATGCAAAGCACGGAGAATCAGAACAAGACGGGAGAAGGCAGTGTAAGAGGACACAGTCTTCAGCCATTCATCATACAAGTTGAACAACACCATCTGGGGCTCAGTTGCGCGCAGAATCAAGTCACCCAGCTTTTCAACCTTCATGGCAGCCTGGAAGGGCAGCTGCAGTTCAGAGGCACGGATCGAAATGTTGGGGAAGTCAACAAGCTGGACTTCAAGAGGATCTAGCAGACCCTTACGAGTGACGATGAGTTGCTTCGGCTGTTCTTCAACAGGCAAGGATCGAATGAGCGCGGCGACTTCTTCGGCAGTCTTCCACTTCGCAAGCTGGCCCAGACGCTTCTGACCAGCCCAGACACTGGTGTGAATAATCTTGAGGAAGAGCTGACCAGTGCGGGGGTTAAAGATGAAGATGGCACCGTTGATAGGCTTGGTGGTCAAGTTGCCTTCAAAAGTCTTGTGGATGGTGACACGGTAGACGTTGGTGTCGTCAATGAAGAGCTGGATCTGCTGGCTGAAGAGCTCAGAGTAGTTCTGAGAGTTCAGGAACTCCTGGTTGCTCTCCGAGGCATACAACTGAAGACCCTTTCGGATACGCTCGCGCAGGACGTATAACGCAGGGTTAGCCTTCATAACCTTGGCCATTGCTTGCTGGACCAGAACCTTCAGACCCGGGAAGTACATTCCGAAGGCGGAATGCAGGTTGTAAGCAAGATCAATACCAATCATGAGACCAGTAGCCGAGGGGTAGATGCTAGAGCTGTCAGATGTGTAGTCAAGGTACTTGGCGCGAGTGTAACGGTCAATATCGTGAGAATCGTAGTCACCATATCGAAGCTGCACATCGATCCAGAACTTGTTGGTAGTGGTGGGCTCAATAACGTCCTTGTTGTCGAACAAGTGAGCAGGGCGAGTGACATTCCACTTGTGGCTGGCAAATAGCAGGATATCAGCACAAGAACTGTTCATCTTGTACGACTTTCTGGGATGAATAGTCTCCTTTTGCACGCTTTCGATACCGAGCGACTCGAGCTCTTGGTCAAATACCTGACACAAGTCCATGACAACAGATTCGTGAATCTTCTGCCACAAATGGGCACGGAAGATTTGGATAAGCGAAATCTTCAGCGTGGGAATCTTGCCGTGCAAGAAGATACCAGTCAAATCAAGCTGGACCTGGAAACCAACATAGACGTTGGCACGGTTGATAGTGGGAGACCACCACAGCGTGAAACGACGGTTAGGAATCTGGTTAAGACCGGATCGCTGGGCGTTGGTGAGCTTCTTGAACTTCATGGAATCTATAACAAATAAGTTAGTAAAATGGCCACTTTTAACAAATCGTTCATCACAAGAACCTACCTTCAAAACCGCTGGCCTTTTCCCAGAAGAGACCCTCCCAAGATGGGAAACCCGTTGCTTTGAAGAGTGTGTGCTCAAGAATAGTCTCAACACCACCCAGAGCTTGAATAACGTCGGTACGGTAAGCATTCAGGTTCCACAGTTTACCATCGTGGCGCTGGCTGGTCCACCAGAAGGGATTGCTCTTCATAAGCTGGTAGACCTTGAACTCAGAACGAGCACGGAAACCCTTGTCGAAGCTAAGGGTGCTGCGATCCTTTTGGAACAACGTGTTGATACGGGGCAGACCTCGATCCCAGCTATCCTCCAAATCTTCAAGAGTAAGACGACGGTTTTGCTGGTTAGCTTCCAGACGCTTCTGCGAATATTCCGTCCAGACACGCTGAGAGTCAATAAACTCAGCCTCCCACGGGACAATGTATCGGAAAATGTTGGGGATCAAGGTTTCTTCATCATGCGTCATACCAGCACGGTAATGGGTGGTGCCGGTGTCGGTTTGCTTGCTCCAACGCTTATCACTGGCGGGAATAAGGATGTGAGAGCCGGAGATCATACCGAGACCACCCAATTCCTTGGGGGTGTAAAAGACGGCAGGGGGGAAACGAGAAGGCATCTTCGAGTTCAGACCGATCTTGACACGAGTCTGAATCTTGGTTTCGCACTTGACAATAGTATCCAGAAGGTCAATAGTTGAAACAGCAGCCTCACGGTAGTATGTGAAGAGAGCAATGAGGGCTGTGTTCCACTTGTTGGCAATCTTTGTAAAGGTAGTGGAGCCAGAGGACATGAGAATCTGTCGAATTCTGTTGTTGAATTTGGCAATATCATCCTCCGTGACTTGGAGGAAGGCATGGGCAGTACGTTCCTTGGTGGTGTTGTCAACTAGAGACCACACGCTGTCCTTGACAGGGAATTCATCATTCTGGTTCCTGATCTTGGGCAAGATTCTGACCTCAAATCCACACATGGAAAAGAGCAAGTTGGGGTTGTCTCTGCTGTAAACAGAGACAAAGCTGTCCTCCCAGTCAATTGTTGTAACAGAGCGAGGCAAGCGGTTCTTAAGATCCCAGAAGACAGCACGGCCAAGGTTGACATCGTGGCGCATAAGGCGCATCCGCGAATCTCTGGGCCAGCACTTCTTGCTCTTGTAGCCAATAACGTTTTCAAAATTGGGGTCAGGCTGCTCGGTAAGGAAGCGCTGAATCAAATCACGAGATTCTTCAGCGGTGAAGCGGAGGAATACCCAAATCTTGTCAATATATCTGCTGTACAGACGGATCGGGTGTCTGGTCTCCGTTTCACGGTCACGGAACTGCAAGAAGTCATTCGGGCTCTGGGCAGGGCCAGCAATTTCGCTTGCACGCTGAGGGCCGAGAAGGAGCAGATCTAGAACCAGACCATAGTACTGGAATACGAACGCAGAGAACTGCAAGCCTCGAATCATACCATAACTGTTGACATGGTTCATGTCCTTGTATGTCAGTTGAACGTTGTTCTTCGAAGTAATATAGTCAGCCAAGTTGTGATCCATTATTAGACGAAGAAGAGAGTTGAGGAGCGTCAACTCCATCTTCTCGTAAACCTTGGAGAGCTCGGTCTCAACCATAACGTTGCACTCTCCATCTTCAGTAACCCAAACGTTGCTGAGGTTGTTGATGCCCTGGGCCCATTTGTATGTCAACAAAGGTGGAACCTCCGAGTCAGAGGGCTTAATCCAGGCAGGGAAGAGGTGTCGCTGGTCAGCCTGGTACCACAGGTACTGATCGAGATAAGCATCGCTAATCTTCTCAATTGGCTCGATGTCGTACACAGGGTTGATAGTGCTATAGTTATCGTTCATGTCAATGTTGACTTCCTTGAACGCACGCTGGGTCAGGAGGAAGCGCTTAATACGCTCCAGAGTGGTTCCAGGACTATCGTATGCTTGCTCAATAAGAGCAAGTTCTTCACGCTGGCTCTGGTTCAAGCGACCCTTGACAGAGTACGCCTCACGAAGGCGCTCAAGAGCAAGAATAAGAATCTTGGTGTCGTGCTTGTAGGAAACACTAGGGAATGGAATGGGAGAGAACTTGCGAGACTCCAGCCAGTGCACAGTGGTGGTGTAAATAGCAACAGCCTCCTCTGAAGAGACATAGGGTCCGTCCTTCATGTGGTTGTGCTGACGTTCCTGTTCAGCCTTGAGCCAAAGACGAGTCAATCTACCGACGTTCTTCTTGGCAACAGTCTTGTCGACGGTGGCACCGCGTCGAATACGCTCACGGTTGTAGTGGGCGACAGAAATCCACCAATCAGCCTTTGACTTGACATATCTAAGAATAATGTTCTCAATCGGCGCCGGCAATCCAGGCACCTTCCAAGGAATGTTACTCTTCCAGCATCTCCAAGCCTCAGAAAGATGCTGCAAGACCGTGTTGACCTTGTTCTGCTTGATACCCTCAGGCATCATGTCCATGAGATCGGACATGACAGAGGCACGAAGTTCCAGATCAAAGTGAGATTCAACACGCTGCTTGGTAACAGTCTTGGCGACTCCCTTGCTATGACGGCCCTCGAATTGACGTGAGAGTAGGTTGCCGAGCCATCTTTCCAAAAGAGGGATGATACCTCTCATGAAAAAGAGCCAGACTCGCCAAGATGGCGCCCAGAAACCGCAACCAGGGCCCTTTCCGACTGGGCCAGAGTTGAAGCGATAGTAAATCAAATGCTTCAAGTCCTTGCAGCTACGAATCTGGTGCATGAGCTTGTACTTGTAACGGTACATACCAGTGAGCTGACCAACGTGGTTAAAGGCGTAGTGGATGCCATCAGCCAGCTGGAAGGCATCGATATTACCCAGACGGTACTGTACTTGAGCATCGACAATCAACTTGGTAAGCCTAAGAATTTCTCTCATCAAATGGAACGCATTTCCGAATCGCGACTTCTTTCGTTCCTTTGTAGTTAAGGTTTTGACAGGCTTCAAGTTGAAGTTATAATCCAGATGCAGATATGTGAGATTCTTGCGGTGAATCAGCAAGTTAAGCATGTTGAAACCCTGGCGACAAACTTGAAGACCGGCCTCTACCCAATCAATTGTGGTTTGCTGGAAGAACTTCGTCTGTTTGAGCGATCGCATCAGGTTCTGGTTGTTTTGAGCCTTCGGTTTCTTCTTGTGGAGCTCGTTGAGGGTGAAGTTCTTGAGAAGCTTCTGGTATGAAACGCGAACCTTGACAGGCGGCTTATCAGCAGGAGGGTGCTCAAGATACCATTGCTTAATCAAAGGAACATCCTGGGCACGAACCATGCGGCCAGAGCGTCGATTGAAGGGGAACGGTGCCCACCAGAGCTCAATAGCAGCCGCGGTATGTTCATTGTCAATCTCCTCGTCCGCGAGGAACGGCTCAACAGCTTCAGGCAGAGTGAAAGCAATTTCCTCATCCTCTTCATTATTTCCAGGACCAAAAAGTTCGTCTTCGAGAGACAGCTCAACGTTCTTAGGCGCAACGGTTCGAGAGGATATGGGGTTGATTCGGCGGTCGAAGTGGAAGGTTGGCAAGTCAGGGTCATCGGATCGGTTGAAAACGACTTGTGGGTGAGAGTGCCAAGACATGTGCACACTTCTGGGTAGAGAGTTATATAGGTAAGGATATGCGACTCGGAATTCGGTTCGGATAGGGTTGCGGAAGATAATACGATCGATCGCGTTGAACTCGCCGAAATCTTCATCGTTGGGGTTGATATCCTTGTACAGGGGCTCGAATCTAGGGCCACCAGGCAAGGCAACATTGAGAGCCTTGGCTGTTAACAGACTCTTGAGATCAAAAAGATAAAAGTAGTTCTCATCGACAACATCGGAGATGAGAGGTCTGCTGAATCGGAAAAGAGCAGCCATCTGGGGCAACGTCAAATTCCAAGTCTTGTAGCTAGGACCATTAACATGAGAAGTGTCGAGTAATGGTCGGTGGTCGTAGAACCATTCATATACAGCCTCGTCTTCTTCCTCGTTAAGCTCCATCTGAATAGGTTCGAGAGGTTCGACGTCTTCGATGTTTTCGGACCAAGACAGAGGTGGCTCTTCGTCATCGAAAGGGGGGAATCGCATACGCTTGAATAGTCGTCTGTCAGCCTTTTCTTTACGCATAAACGTCCACATCATAGCCCACTGCGCGAAGAAGACGGGTTCAACGACACGGGGGATCTCATTGACCAAAGTCAAACAACCGTTGACGTGGTAAAGAACCTTAACTTCACGCGCCGATTCCCACGGCATAGGCATATTCTCTAGCAGCTTCAAGACAGCATGAGGCATGAACTTGAGAGCGCCCAAGTAACTGCGTTTGTCGTTTGTGTATTTACGCTGTGAGACATCGCCAATATCCTTGACGATCTTGCGCAAGTGCTCAGGGGGCATATCAGCCTTTTGCGTCTCAACGAAACCACCCTTTCTCTTCTCGCCGAAGCGCTGACGCTGATGTCTCAGCCATTCTTTCTTCTTCTGCGCAAACTTTGCGATCTGGGGGTCGGTTGGGGGTTGATAACCGGGAGGAGGAGGAGCAGGAGGAGCCGGCATCGAGGGAGGAGGTGGTGGGGGAGGACCCCATCCAGGAGGAGGCGGAGGCGGAGGCGGTTGCGACATGTTGGCGATGAAATATATCGATGGTTGTCGCGAGGAGTGCCTAGTCGAAAGCTTTCACGCCCGCCGCGCGTGTTCAGACGCGCCTAGTTCTCTTGATTCGGGGGTGCAGGAATCAAAAAGACTGTGTATCAATCGTTCAAACTGTCTCCCGGCGATTGTCAGTGCCGTTTTCGCGATGGCACAGGGAGAGGCAGCCGTGGCGTGGATGTAGTGGGAAATTTTCGTGATGCCGACCCTTGCGACGAACAATTTCCTATCTTGCTGCAGCGCCAGGCAGACCAAACGCGGTCACGTGATGGCATCTATCCCAGCTCAGCTGTGTTGCTTTATCCTCTGGCTAGTAGTTTATTATTAAATATGTAAAAATGTATTTATACATTAGCTGTATATTCTGTATTGTATTTAATAGTCAGATCTGTATTTAAAGCTGTTGTCCAGTAACCATATCCAATTCGCTTTCGCACTACGAGAGTCTGGTGTTTGACTTTTGGCTCTACTCTCTGAACAACTACCTATGAAACATCTTTAGGCCAGCAATTGCAAAACCAATTAATTGAGAAGCTTGAAAATAGGATTTTAGTAGGAATAAAAATTATTATAATATTTATTCATTTGATATAGAGTCCAAAGTGATAAATAAAAATTCCAGATTATCTTCCCGGGTAGCTGCACCTACGTCTCAGCCAATCAGACACCCACAATTTGCCTTACCTAATCGCGAAACTGGATCTTCCTCAACACCAAGCATCCGCGATCCGTTCGCTGAACTTCACATCCAAGCACAAGTTTCGATCGTCACACAGCCCACCATGGCGCATCTCAGTACGCAATTGCGACATTCACGCATTCGATTTACTATCCCTGCTAACATTTTGTAGATGTCAAGCCCGACCCGGGCTTCATGAAGCTGGCTGGTTCGTAGACATCCCCGATTCGAAAACCGCGAAATAAAACGAAGCGCAGAGAGCTAACACACAGGCACCGACAGCTATGCAGAGAACTCGTCACCAGTACTTCCGATGGACCCCCCGAACCGCTAGAATTACCTTTATGTACGTCTGTGTTGTGCCCGCCATTATGGGCTACATCGCCTACAAGACCGACGTAAGTAGTCTCGCTTCCAGGAGAGGTGTGTTGGGAGATGGTTACGCTAACATAACCCAGGGTCGCTATAACTTCCTCGGAAAGCGCAAGGGCGACAGCATTCTCGAGAAATAAATGTAACGATGATGGGAGGAAAGCGTGGGAGCCTTGTACATATAATACTATACCAAAAGATTCCAAGTCCAATTGAAGACTTTGCAGTCCCTTTGTCAACAAAACCGATACAATTTTGAAAAGTGAAATAAATGAATAGCGTGGAAATATATTTACAGGGTATAATATGGCACATTAGCCCATCACCGGTGGCTGCCTGTTCGTCTATCGTTATGCCCGCCCCATCACCATCGGTTGCGGCTATTTGATCCCCGATCTCCATAGTAATCCATATTGTAATTTCGATCCCAATCACCCATAGGGACAGTGTTACCTGAGTATGGCGGCGATCGCGTGCCTTTGGGCCGTCGGCCAGGACCAAAATGGCTGGCTTGGTTTTGGCGATGCCTTGACCGTGTTGAGCCAACATTGACTTTAGCTAGAGAGGCATGCGCGACGGACCCGTCTGACATTGGGGCGAGGATAGCGCAAGAGATATAGTCGCCTTCGAGGAACCGAGCCTCGTCCAGCGTTCGTGGCAGTTCACGCTCTCGGCGCTCCGTCGCTGGGTCGTTTTCTATCTCTGCCCCGGGGCCTCCTTCTCCTATGACAACGCTACCGAGATCCTTGGCGGAGAATCTTGCACGTGAGCTCCCTTCGTTGTCGCTGTCGTCATCTTCTGGGGAGATAAGCTGAAAGACAAGCCTTGTGCCGACAGCAGGCGAGGGAAAGGCGCTCGGTCGTGCGTCGGCGAGCTCCAAAGCTAGCTCGTACAGAGTACAAGAATACCATGTGTGAACTTCAATAGATGGAGGTGAAGGTGATGAACAGAAATCCGATACCCTAAAAGCCGTTAGCATACATCACTCCGCTGCCATTAAACGTCAACTTACTGATACAGTGACCCAGCTCTGTAAAACAACCGGACCATGAAAGGCGGCGCCGGGTCGGAGTTGACAGAACCCGGCGAACTCATGATATATAAATGGTCTATTTAACAAACAGGCTATTCAAAATATATTATTTGTATCAGACTGTCGTATAAAATGGTGGCAATGATGTTGCGCAAGGTGGGATGCGCCTCAAACCACAACGGCCTGGTGACACTGTTTTTTCCGGCGAATATCCGCCCGCAATCGATAACCTCGCGCCGTTCGCCAAACTTGATGCCTACAACAACCACCATCCAACGATTGGCCCTTTTAAGTCGTGGCAATTTGTCTTTCAGCTTACCACTAGTTTAATAATTGCTTACGGAAACGAAACGAAGCCACGAAAGTCGCAAGGCGCACCATATATCACCATGGATTTCGCCGCGCTCATGAGCAAAGAGCTCTCAAAATCGAAGCCCGCAGCCAAAGCCGACGACAAGAAATACCTGAAGCGCTCCGAGGTGGAATCGAATCGCAAGGAAGCATATATAGCCGAGCAAAAGGCCATTGAAGAGGAGCGCGAGAAGAAGGCAGCAGCTAAGCGCAAACTAGAAGAAGATACGCTGGCAGCCAACAAGGTCCGCGATGAGAAGCGCCGCAAACTCGCCGAAGAATCGCGGAAACGCCAAGATGATGCCGACTGGGAAGAAGAGAAAGAACGACGTAAGCGACTCGGGCTTCCAGAAATCGAACGACCGCAAAAGGTCGAGGTGGAGGAGACTGTCGCGCCAGAAGACGACATTTCCGATGACGAGCTGCAATCCAAGCTCCGTGAGATAGGACACCCTGTAATACTGTTTGCCGAGAGCCATGCTGCTCGTCTCAGACGGTACAGAAAACTGACAGCCGTCGTCACCGATGGACCTATTCCGACAACACTTGTCCTCGTCGACGAAAAGGATATGAAGGTTGCTGAAAAGGTGCCAGCGGACGCGGCAGGTCGCAAATTCCTTTTCCGCCAGATTGCAAGCTACTTCACCATGGTGTTAAAAGAATATGAGAAGGCCATGGACTCTTCGCGCACAAACACTACTGAAAGCAAGGCCGCATATGCTGCCATGGTTCAAGCGCGTGACAACATGAAACCAGTAAGCACTCTTTCTCTTCCTCCTAACACCGATGTTCTGCCTGCTAACGATATCTAGCTCTTCCGTAAACTCGAGACTGGCGATATCCAAGATTCCATTCTTACACCTATAAACGATATCGTTCGCGCGCTTCAAGAGCGTCGATACGTCGACGCCAATAACGGCTACCTACACGTCTCCATTGGCAAAGCGGCTTGGCCTATTGGTGTTACCATGGTTGGTATCCACGAGCGTAGTGCTCGCGAGAAGCTGCATGACGGAGAAAAGGGCCATGTTATGGGAGACGAAGTCACGCGCAAATACCTACAGAGCATTAAGCGCTGTCTTACCTTTGCACAGGTCCGCTGGCCGCCAGATGATCTCAAGCAGCTGATGGGCTAAGAATTTGCGGTTATATGACAAAAAACAAGCAAGTACAAGCACAAGTTTACGATACCCTCGATGAAACCATGTAAAATAATAAAATATCCTCTTAAAACAATGCCAGCTGCAAATTACGTCTAATCATCAAAGGGGCTTTTGCATTACCGTAAGCCGATTACTCATTGGCCCTATGCTCAACTCCAGCCCTCAGCAGCCTGGCTCTCTTCAAGAAATGAGGAATCCATCGTCAAACCAGGTGTGAAGACCTGACCATGCGCCTGAGCCTTCTTTGGACCCACGACTTCTAAGCCGGAGCAAACGATACCCATTCGTCGTAGTCTTTCTGTAGCTTCCTTCTCGTAGCCATGTGCTACTTGGAGTGCCTGACGCTGCATCTCAGCTCTCGGATCTGGTTGGACAGCAACCAAAAGCTACATGTCTAGTTAGAAACACTTCTTCACACTATGTCACAGATAGCATGGTACTCACCCTGTTCTTGGTATCGATTTTAGCCTTGAGCGTGCCCTGGCGAATCATAGCCAAGAGCTCATCTTCAAGGGATGCGCCAGGCGCTGCAAAGGCAGACTCCAAACTTTCAAGAGTAACACAGGAGAACGGAATAAAATACTGCATGATGCATTTACTCCTGATCTTTGCGTAGAGGTCTTGGACATGCTTGAAGAGGTAAATATCGAGTAGGTAGTCGGCCCGAGTCGATTCTAGGATGGCAAGGCATGCGGAGTATCGGCCGTTGACGAACAGACTGATTGCCTTGCGAATTTGTGGCTCTGTCTCCAGGAAGCTTCTGAAGTTTTGGCTCTCCAGCACACGGCTCTGTAAGCTGTTTCGGTCCATTGTGGCTAGCGACAACAGGCCACCGTAAACGGCAATGTCGTTGGGGCTGGCAATATGGGAATAGTCGGACGGCGAGGTAGCGTAATCGGCCATCAAGAAGTTACGGGCAGCTTCAGTATAGTTTCCTTGTCCTATATATCCAACACCCGCAATGATTCTTGATGTTCCCACACTGCCGGAATGCTCTTGGACGTTAGGCATGGACCACACCTTGGTTGCGTGTGCAACAGCGGAGGGCCAATCTTTGCGTTGTAACGCGATGCCTGCGAGCAGCAGACTGCAATCCACAATTTGTTTTGTTGTGCTGACGTCTTGTCGCATTCGCCCGAAAGCTTCAGTGGCGGCAGGGAGCTTACCAACCTTCTCAAAGTGTTTTCCTAGCTCTTCGTTCGTCATCTAGAAGTCGATTCGTTAGCCGCAGTCTCTAATAATGTAGGAAGCCGAAATACCCGAATGCTCTCCTTCACCAGGTTATTCTTATATCCCTTAAGAACAGTCTCCAGATGCGATGTTACGGATTTGGCCGTCTTGTCTGTTTCTTCGATCCATGTTTCGTCTCGTTGGGCTTCGGGCTCGTTCGGAGCTACCTTGCGTAGCAAGTCCCATGCTTCCTTGTATCTTGGAGTATCGGTGCCTAACTTGGCTTCATTAACAGCCGCTTTCAGCGATTCGATGCACAACGGCACGCTCGTCAATCCGATGTGTATTAGGCGCTCGAAGCGGGTGCGCTCTGTATGGCGGGGTTAGTAGTGCAGCCGGTAGGCAGCAACTGCGGGAGAATGTACCTGTGTAATTTCGGATATATGACTCCAAATCAAGCTTGGATTGTTCTGTTTAATAAAATGAGCTCTAATTAGCACACACGAAGTCCAAACGAGAGCCAACCTGGCCGTTGAAACTCACCACGCACGATGGCTTTGCTGTCTTCGTTAACCTGCGTGAGCAGAGCCAGTACAGCGTCGGATGACGCCATGATGTACCGACACACCAAAAGCTTCAGATATAATACGTATAGAAACCAATCTCTAAAGACTCTTTATGCAGCGTTATGGGATGTGCGAAAGCTATGCAGTGGACTGGTGAGGTGGTTGTCAGGTTCAAGCTGCACATGGTGGATGTGGGGTTAAGGACGCCACCACAAGGCAACACCACTGCGGAGCCATAAGCACGAGGCTACAATGCTGAACTCTGAAGGGCGTTTGGTTGCGTTCTTCAAGACATTTCAGGGTGCCAGTTAAAATGATTCGGTCAAAGTCGTTGATTTAAAGATGGATTTGATCTATTGAAAAAAAAATAAAATAAGAACTAGGTTCACACTGCTATGTTGTATATATCCTCCCCCAAACCCAGAATCAATTCCATACTGTTATGGACGAAAATGTATAAAAAATTCAGGCCGTAGAAAAAGGAGACCAGAAATAAACAGGTAATGCAAGAAAATTATTCAATATATAATCAACACTAGAGACATTTATTCCATTGCCCCCTTTTAATACACAACCGCGCCACCATCCAACTTGAACGCTTAGATCTCAATGATGGGACCGTTGTACTCCCTTCTGGCCCAGGCGAAGTAGTAGCCCAGAGAGATGATGATAATGCCACCAAAAACAACACAGGCATAATTCATGGTCGTATAATCGACAACGGACGAGGAGGGGAAAAAGCAGAAAACAGCAACAATGATGAGGTAGATGCAGGCGAAGATATTGTTGAGGATACCCCAGATGCCAGGAATGCGCCAGGGACCCCATACGAGCTCAGCGCCGGTCGTGTTAGCCAGAGCAGGCATTTCGGAGGCACTGGGCATGCTGAAGCCGGTGGTGCAGCGGCGGTACAGAAGAAGAACAGCGCAGATAAGGTACGAAAAGTAAAGACCGGAGATGGACATCGTGAGCACGGCACTCAATGCGGTGGGAGAACCAATGTTGATAAGACCGAGCAGAATAGCAATGATAGAGGTGGTGTAAACAGAGTTCAAAGGAACGCTGGTCTTGTTGTCAACGCGAGATAGAACGCGCCAGAAGGGAACGCCGCGGTCACGGGCAAAAGACCAGAAAACGCGCGAGCTAGACGCCATGAGACCAACATCAGCACAGAAGGCCATGACGACAATGACGGAGGCCATGACGCAGGCTCCAGCAAGATGATCAGCGCCAGCGAGGTTTTTGAACACTTCCATGTGGGGGAAGGCAGGGTTGGCTTCCATAAGGGCCCCGAGGTCGCCAATGCAGAAAAGGAACACAATGGCCATGGCAAGGCCAGTGATGCCGTTGATCATGACACTGAAGAAGATGGAGCGAGGAACAGTCACGGCGGCGTTGGTAGTCTCCTCAGACATGTGGAAAGCGGCGTCGACGCCAATAAAAGCGAAGGCATTACCGACCAGACCAATGAAGAAAGCCATGCCGCGATCAGGCCAGAAACCAGCATCTGTGAAATCGGTGAAAACGGCTTCGGCGGTGGTGTGGTAACCGAGGACAGCCATGGGGATCAGGAGAGCAAAGAAGCCAACGATGTGGAGGATGAGAATGGCACCCTCAAACTTGGGCAGAGTAGAGCTGACGATGGTGTTGATGAAGGTTGCCCACGCGATAACGGCAATGATGAGCAATGTAGAAACCCAAGGGATGGGCGCGAAGCCCGGGTGCGTCATGGTGTACATGCCTTGGCACATGTTGGCTGTCAAGTAGGCAGCAGAGGTAATACTTCCCTGCCAACCAGTGACGGTGAGCCAACCAGCAATGTAACTAAGGAATCGAGCGTAGCGACGGGGAGCAAGCATAGCCACCCAGTGGTACTGTCCACCGGCAGTAGGAGCCATGGAAACGAGTTCTGAGAGGGAGGTGAAAACGGAGATGTTGCCAACCCAGACCAAGATATAACCGTAAATCAGGCCAGCACGGCCACCGTTGGAAAGACCCTGAGCAGACAGGAGAAGGACAGCTTCCCAGGTGATGAGAACGGTACAGGCGAAACCAAGAATGGAGAGGAAACCGAAGTTGCGCTATACGACGGCGAGTTAGTTGAGTGTCAAGACGAGGAGGAGTAGCGCAAAGCGAGCAGTCTGTCTATATACCTTGAGGACGCTCTTCTTGCCAAGACGGTTGAGGTCGCGGTCGTCGTTCATGGACTGGAGGTTTGCCTTGGATTCCTCAACCTGAGGGCTGCCAGGCTTGTCATTGTCAAAGACTTGCTGGGCCTTGGCCGTGGCCATGTTGCCCATGCCACTGTCCTGGCTCTTCGTGCTCATCTTGGATGTTGTTTCCGGATTGCTGGGCCTCGATTATAAAGCGCCAATGGAAGGCAAGAGAGGCGAGAAGGCGATTCAACAAAAGAGTGAAGCGCCTTGTCCTAGGGTGGTGGAAGAGGGCAATGTAAGGAATGAGGGGAAGAAAGACGTTAGAAGTAAAGGTAACTAGAGGGGGGCACGCGGAAATAAAAGGAAGGAAAGTAGAGAGGCGTCTGGGCTAATCAGAAACGAGAGCAAAGCAGAAAAAAAGAGGGTGCAGGTCAGAGTATAGGCCGAAACGGGGGACCAGGCTACGATGCAAAGACTGGGTCACTCCAGTTGCCACCAATGGTTCTGCAGGGTCAATGGATGGGTAGATGAAGCAGTGCAGAGGAAAGGATTAGGGCCAAGCAAGCGAGTACATGAATCAATATCGCCGTGATTAGTGGATGGGAATTGCCATGCGAGAAAGAGGCGGGCCGGCCAGGATCATGAATCTCGGACGGATCCCACACGTTTCTGGAACTGAGGCCGACGAGATGGATGCAGGCCGTCCCATAACCCTAGTACGACCACGAGAAAAGGGGCGATAGCATCAGAAGAGGGGGCGTGGATGCATTGGCGTGGAATTGCAACGTGGGTGTGGTAGCATTTCAGGATGGAGCCATCGCGGAACAATTCTACAGTGCTAGCTTAACAGAGTAACAGATGCCGTGTCCTGGCAGCTCAAACAGCACCTGGCGGCACCTGCACCAGCTGGCAGGTGGCGGTACCTGGCAACCCCCAGCAGAAAACCCGCCTCCACCTTACCAGGGCCGAAAGTCTGTGGACATGGTGGGGCCAAACAACACATCCACTCGCAATCGTCGCTTCCACACTAAAACTTCCACAGTGGCGCCGTCGATTTACGCTGCAAATGGCGCGTCGGCCCATCCGTGGCGCCAAGGTGGGCGCCGTCAGGGGCCCAGTCTATTGGGATCAGGCTGTTGTCCGTGTGTATTAGCGGCATACTCACTACGGACAACATCCTCCACGCCGAGCAGAAGAGACAAGGAGGGAGCCCTGCCCAATATTCACATTCTTGTGGATGCTATGCAAGGACAAACGTTCTTTTCTAGGTCGTCGTATAATCGGGCGTCAGGGTATGCTTCCCCCCGCAGCTGTAACGTCAAGTCAAGAAACTATTGGAAGGCTAGTTTACAGTTCCAGACGGCACGTTCGATAAGAAACAACCCGAACGATCCAATAGTTCCTGCAAGCATGCCGCGAGAGCGATGGGCAAGCAGGACGGCCTAAAAAAAAATCCACTCTCCGCACGGAATCCTTCAGCACCGGCTCTGAGACGAGTCCAAATTAGGAAAACATCGACACACAGTGGCGCCGCGGAGAAGACGGACCCTGGCCGTCTGGAACACTCTGACTTTGGTGGTGTGTGGCATAGGCTCCACGATGAACCTGTGGCGCTGTTGCGGCTCTATGTTGGAGACGGCCAAGACGCAATTCCGCTGGGCAATCAATTTTTCTTTTTGGAACGCAGATTGAGCAAATCAAAACACAATCGACGGAGGCTTGTGCTGTCCCCTATTTTGATGTGCGTGATGAACCGCAGAGATAAATGAAATATATGGGCGCAGTTTAAAAAGCGCCACGACGGACCCGCTGGCGCATATGGTGGCTTGCTGAAGTTGCCCATATGTGGTTAATTTATTTGGCTTGCAGGAAGAGAACGCCCCGGAACACCAAACTGAAAGAGGAAAGACCTGCGGCAGACTAGATGGGCCTCTTCAAACGTGGTAAACGGCCTTTGCGACGCTAAATGTCTAGTTTTCGGACGTTGCACGGTGGACACAGCTCACAGTCACAGGTTATTCTCTTGCGAGTGCATTGAGATGGACCATAAGAATACATTGCTGCATACGACTTCTAAAATATGTACTGTCGCCAAAAAGGAAGGGAAATACTTTTTACATGAATCCTCATTACATGGCGTGGGGCCCTTCTGATGTCCGAGCCTCGTCGACGGACTTGGACTCGACATCGACGTACCATGTCTGCTGGATCAGGATGGTCTGACTTGTGTGACTTTGATTGTCCCACCCTTTTCTGTGGCCGCTCGATGTCCCCGGCTTTGATTTAGGTGAAGACATTTCAAAAACATCGCTTCTCTTGGAGTTTAGAACGTCGTTCCCTGATCTGTCGACGCGTGATCCTCCTTTGATGTAGGTTCTGGATCTAGTACCAGATCCAGACCGCTCTGCGTATGCACTGTCGAACTGGCCGACACGGCGCGAATCGGCGAGGCGGAGACCCGATTCAGCGTTGTCCATGAGGGGTTTCAGGACAGGGATGCAGATGGACAAGACGCTCATGCACTGCACGAGTTGAATAGCCAGTGTCAACTCCCAGTAGTCGAACGTGAAGTCGCTGGTCTTCATGTTCACAATAGTGAAATAGAGCTGTGCTGCCACCGCGGGAATGATGCTGCATAGGAAGCAATGAAAGTTAGCAAACCGCCTCTTCAGGATATCAGAGTACCGTAGGGGGAGCCTTACAAAACACGGCAGCCAAAGACGCACATAACCACGATCTTTTTGCTTTGGGTGGTCTGAATGAGGCGCACATTGATCACCATGACAACAATGAGAAAGAGGTCGCTGACGATGTTGAATATGGAGAAGAAGACCCAGAAGGCAGTCTAGATGGTAGTGATTAGCGGGGTCTAGCACGAAGTTGATTTGCGTGACGTACTCTATCAAAGCACTTCTTGGATGTAATATCCCAAGGCGCTGGAATACCGCACTCGAACAGTACAGATACAAAGGCAGTACCAGCCCAGGCGCCGCAAAGGGCTTGAAAGCCCAAAATATATTTCCAGTGTTTGCGATGCGAAATCGCCTTCGTCATGGACCCGGCGCTGAGCTTGCCTAGAAGTAGGGCGACAATGAAGAGAAGGTTGGAAGCATATTCGCCCTGCGGAGTGTTAATACCAGTAAACGATTATCTTGGGACGACAGTGCGTACTCTAATGATACTGTTTCTATCGCTGTCACTGAGGACATGAATATGTTTTCCAAAGCCTTGAGCAGCTTGGATGATGTTGGTGATGTACTGGGCCGTCGCAGCCACCTATACCCGAGAGATTAGCACGATAACTGCGACAGGGAAAGCGGAATCCAAGCGTACAGTGGCAGCCACAGCTAGCCAATCGTCTGTTTTTAGACCAGTAGTTAGGAAGATTTTGGTAAGTGTTCTGGCAAAAGTGCACAGGATGATCAAGCACATGAGGAAAGCCGCCATAATCTTGATTAGCGGTGCCTTGTTGTCGTGTGTGACAAACTCTGCATAACCTTGGCCAGCCATGGTTACGTTTCCTGAAGGGTCCGACATGACGATGATGTGAAGGCGACACCACTCGTCGCGGAAGATTGTCGGTAGGCGTCGTCGATTTCGGTCCAAGCAGAGGGTAGAAAAACTGAGAGGCTGCGGAGAGAGAAACAATGAAAAAAATGTACGAGATTGCTGACACCGCCAAGTCCAAAGAAGGCTTTAGGAGGCAGCCAGTAAATGGGACGAAGCTAGCAAGCGGATGGGCGGGTATACGATTGATAAGTACGCGACGAACTGCAAAAAGGAAAGGAACGACGAAAAGAGCGAGGTGTGGGATGAAGGAGGAGACAGACGATAGATCAATGAAGGTGATAGACAGGTAACGAACGACCAGGTCATCTCATCGACCGGTCGAATCGGACTGACCTCCTACGACTCGCACCCCCTGGCCCTGGAGCGTAGCAAGACGAGGCCCACGACACACCTCCCGTGCGTCTGAATTCGCACGTCCCGGTGTCATGGTTAGGGGGGCAGCGACGTCAACAGGCCCATCTTGCGCCCGTGGAGGTACTCAAACTTCTTCAGCAGTCTTCGGCGTAGTTCCAGAAGCACACGCTAAAGAGCAACTAGCAGCACTGAGTGGGAGTACTGGAGACCGCTAGTGACTTAGGACGGCAATGGGGTGTGGCATCCACCGGGACTGTAACTTTGCAGCCCCGACCTGGAGCCTGCCCGTCCTTTGCTGTGATTAGCCTGGTGTTTGCTCTGCAGAATCTTTGTGTGCCCACTGGGAGGACTCAGCAGGATTGGTCCTCATCACAGCGGGTCTTGAGCTACGTTGATCCACGCTCCACCTCCAAGTTCCTCCTAACTCTCTAGCCCGAAAAGTAGGAGCGGCTTTCGGCCCCATTGTCGTTAGCTAGCTTCGGGCACAGAAACAATTGGGTTGTTTTCACCAGCAGCTACTAAAGTTCAGCACTGCCTACACACACAGTGAATCCAGCCGTCGGCAGTGTCATCTTTGACAGGGAATGATAGGGGCACTAAGATGCAGATGGTCGGACCAGCATCAGCACTGGTACGAAGTGCATATGTACAGATTTGCATACTGGCTATTTTAGAGCGCGCAAACTGGTGCCCACCTGCACATCACTGGGTGTTGGTGGATGTACAGAGGCGTTTATTGTGGCGCATCTACCTTGGTAAACTAACCCAGTAGGGCAAGGTGAGCAGGATGGTGGTGCGAGCAATTTTGCTGCGCCGTCTCTCTGTCCACCCTATGTTTCAGGATTGGAAAGGGGCCCTGACTTACTCGCATGGAAAACGAGTTTCGGTGGACGGTATAGGCACCACTTGCCCGACACCAGGCTCATCGACAAAGCATGAGATTATCCAAATTGAAAATTCAACATTACCATGGAGCAATATAGTGCTATGCGAACTGTTATTGAATAGCAAGGTTCCCCTCGCTGTGCGAACTATGACAGTGGTCACTTGCATCTAGCACAAAGCTATTGGCGGGCCCTAACAAAACGGCCTCGCTTGGCTGACTCCCCTGTTCAGACGGGGAATTTATCCTGCTCCATCCATCCATGGAGCCTAGGATTTCTCATTGACCGAACACCCAGGGCAAGGCCGCTCTCCCACTGAGCCAGATGCCAGAAGAGGAAGAAGGCCTGCTTAGCGGGCCATCTCGCCATCCTTTTGGGGGCTTCACCAAACTAACAACACTCAAGACGAGCCGGATTGTGGCGTTGCGTGGATACCTGTTGTTCCTTGTCCCCTTTACCAGTGAGGAGCTCTCTGCTGCCAAGACAGCTTTGGAGTAGCCAGGCACGCAAAAAGCAAATACAAAAGTACCGAAGGTTTAGGGAAGCCTGCAAAGAAGCCCATCCAGACAAAGGCGACCCGCCACGGTGTGGAAAGCCAACTTGGCTATAGTACCTCATCGCGGGACATGCCCTTTTTTGAGCGTGCACAACGAGAAAATGTTTCTCGTCCTGATTCAGGCGACGACGGACCTACGACTGGGCCGTTCCGCAGCCGTGTCAAAGCATACAACTCCACGGACGGCCGACAGTATCATTGCCACCTGTGTCGTGCCGCGGCGGCGCTAGACGGGGAAATCTTGTGATGACGATGTTAGCATCACCGCGGACCAAGACATACCAGGCAACCGGTTGACTATTTGTCGTCGCGAGCTACTCTTTTGAGCATCTGCAAGCGCACGCTGACAGCACGGCCCATTGAAAGTACAGGATGCAGGGCATGTAGGCCCACCCCTGAAAGACAAGGCCTGTTTTTGCAAGGGTGGCCCGCTCTGCTTGTTTGCTGAGATAGGGATGCTACACCACCGTACTTAGCTGCATAGTGCTATGCCGCTTCCAGCCTGGCGCGGATGCACGAGGTCAAAATGCCTAGGAGATGTAGATCTCCGGCATCTCCCTCTTGCAACCGCAGTGCGAGCGCGAGGCTGCATGCTTGCCACGCATGTGTGCATAAACGGACATCGGCTACCAGGGAACGTTCTAAACGAAGACGGCAGTGATACTTTGATTGCAAACTGTCACCAGTTTTCATGCAGTCCCCATACGTCCTACCGTTTCAATTTAGCGACATTTTTCATGACTATTGAAAGTAGTTTGGCTTGGTGTTTTGGCCATGGTGGAGAATTTCATGTGCATGACTTGTGTTGTGAGCTTCGGGTCTAGGCACGCCGAGCCAGGCAAGCAAAGCTCATGGAGTTTCTCGCCGGGTGTTTGCAAATGTGTTTTCGGTATATGGTCACATGAATATACAGACATGTATGCGAAAGTAAAAAAGCTCATGCACCGGGTCCCGGCACTGTGGCCCCGGCCATGCAGGACGACGGTGGTGGCTACGTCGTAGGCGGCTATGATGTTGCGCTTTGGTGTATTCTGGGCTGTTCTTTGAGAGCAAATATTGCCTATAGACCACCGGTCCGATGTTCCAACGAAGACGTCAGTTTCGCTCATTGTGATCCAGCAACACGTGAAGCTTTCCAGGCGAAGTCAAGGATCCGAGCAAGTCTACTGGCTTCGGGACGTGTACACGGAGGCTTGATGGTGGCTGGTCAATCACTCCAGGGTCGATCTTGTTCAGCTGGGTTCGTCTTATCTCTTGCCTGTTACAGCCAGCCTTTGAAAAAAATACCACTACAGGGTCTCGTCTGAGTTGATGTGAGTGTAGTTGTAGTAACTACTTGCTAGTCTGGTGGGCACACGACCTGTAGCCGCAACAAGAAGTTGACCGATTCAGTCAACTAGCAGCTACCCTGAGTCAATACATATCTACAAGATGAAGAGGCCGTGATTGATCCAGTATACTTTACAAAAAATAAGTTTCTTTCTTGCGTTGTATTCTCTCTGCAAGCGGCTGTATTCTGTATGCCACCATGGAGCGTGTTCCCCCGCGAGTCGTGCACCAAGATGAGGAATACCTGGGGTCCCCGCAAAATACCCTTGTCACTGAAGTATCCTTTATCTAACAGGCTCATACCTGGAACTGTCATTTTCTGTCACCACCAATGAAAGTTGATATATTCTTTAAATAATCTAGAAAAAGAATAGGCATTCTTAAAAAATTCTTTACTAAAAGAATTCGCCATTTACTCTTCAAGATTCTACGCTTACCGCTCTCCCGCTTCTACCCTCTCCCCTCCAAGCCAATACCCCAACGCCAGTTCAACCCCGCGGCCAAGCAGAAAAAAATACCCCGCCAAAAAAAATATCGGCGGGCAGCCGTAAAACTTTTTTCCCGCTTTTGGTGGCAAGCGGCCATACGGCGCATCACTGAAACGTCATCTCTTGCTATTGCTTAGCATCGCTCTGCAGCCCTGCAGTGCCCCTTTCGAAACCGTTGCTTCCACGCTTGGCCCTTGCTGCTGACCGTCTGCGATAATAACCATGTGTGGTGTCGCCGGTGTCTTGGTACGTCGAGCCCGCCTTGCTTCACCGGATATGTCACTCTTTGTGGTGTCTCCGAATATCAAGCCAGCCTAGCTAACCTGTGTGTAGTTGGGTGATCCCAAGGCCATCACGGCCGCCGTCGACCTCTACGAGTCCCTCTTCTACCTTCAACACCGTGGCCAGGATGCTGCTGGTATCTCTGTATGCCACGGCGGCCGCGTCTACCAGTGCAAGGACAACGGCATGGCCCAAAAGGTCTTTAGCCATTTCTCCGATGGCAATGCCTTGATTAGAAACCTCCCCGGCTGGTGCGGCATTGCCCATCTGCGCTACCCTACTGCCGGCAGCTCGTCTGCGTAAGTGAAGTTGTTAGGTGTGCTCGACATCTTGTGCTAATTAGGTCTGATAGCTCCGAGGCGCAGCCTTTCTACATCAACTCTCCCTACGGTATCTCCATGTCGGTAAACGGCAACCTGATCAACTCGGAGTACCTCCGTGAGTTCCTCGATACCGAAGCCCGTCGACACGTCAACTCTGATTCCGACTCTGAGCTCCTGTACGTTTCCCCCGGTATATATATATATACATTCATTCATACAGAGATATATCTATATATCTTTATGTAGATGTGTAGCAGTGAAGCACACTTACTAACTGATACATAACAGGCTCAACATCTTTGCCAACTCGCTCAATGAGCTCGGCAAGCGCCGAGTCAACACCGACGACATCTTCGTTGCCCTGCGTGACGTCTATGAGAAGTGCAAGGGCGGCTTTGCCTGCACAGCCATGGTCACCGGCTTCGGTATTCTTGGCTTCAGAGACGCCAACGGCATCCGACCCCTCTGCTTGGGCTCCCGCCCGTCCACTACCCTCGAGGGTGCCAAGGACTACTTCCTCGCCTCCGAGTCCATTGCCCTCCGCCAGCTTGGCTTCTCCGACGTGGTTGACATCAAGCCCGGACAAGCCGTCTTCATCGAAAAGGGCGGCAACGTCCACTTTAGCCAGATTGTCGAGCCTCGATCATACACCCCCGATGTCTTTGAGTTTGTCTACTTTAGCCGTCCCGACTCCACCATGGATGGCATCTCCGTGCACCGCAGTCGTCAGAACATGGGCGCGCGTCTTGCTCAGAAGATTAAGGCCGTCCTTGGCGAGGAGGCCATCAAGGAGATTGACGTCGTTGTCCCGGTCCCCGAGACATCCAACACAGCTGCTGCTACCCTCGCCAGCTCTCTCGGCGTAGACTTTTCTCTTGCCTTTGTCAAGAACAGATATGGTGCGTGACACATTCCTCAATCGCCTCTTTATTTGATTTTAACTAATTCTGTTATCTAGTGTACCGCACGTTCATTCTTCCTGGGCAGGATGCCCGTAAGAAGGGTGTCCGCAGAAAGCTGTCGCCTATTGAGTCTGAGTTCAAGGGCAAGAACATTATTATTGTCGACGACTCCATTGTTCGCGGTACAACGTCGCGCGAAATCGTCCAGATGGCCCGTGAAGCCGGTGCCGTCAAGGTCATCATGGTGTCTTGCTCGCCTGAGATTAAGAACCCTCATATCGTGAGCCATCCTTTGTGATGTACAGTACCAGAATTTGAACTAACATCATGGCCCTACAGTACGGTATCGATCTTGCCGACCCCCGCGAACTTGTCGCATACGGTCGCACAACAGACGAAATCGCGCAGCACATCAATGCCGACGCCATCATCTTCCAGGACATTGACGACATGACTGGCGCCTGCGTGGATGCCTCCGAGGGCGAGACCAAGGTCAAGGACTTTGAGGTCGGTGTCTTCTCGGGCAAGTACATTACGGAAGTGCCCGAAGGCTACTTTGAGCACTTGCAGAACCTGCGTGGAAAGAAGGACAAGTTTGCCGCCATTGTCAACAAGGCTCCCTCCACCAACGGTGTTTCGAACCCCGAATACCGTGAGGATATCAAGTAAGTTGGCTTTGAGCTCCTACTCTTCTTTTATACGATCTAACATCTGTCTTGCAGTATCCACAACCTCGCCAACTAAACATCCCCTCTAGCATTTTTTACGAAACCTACCCTTTTTTTTGACATATACCACGAAAACCGAAACATTTTGATGAGCACCAGTTTTTTCCTTTTACTGCGACGATTGATTATAAAGAAAGCTACTTTTAATAGCTGTTGGAAAAAAGCAAAGAAGCGAGGGCGAGATTCGTGGCGTGAGGACGACTGTAGATGAGCGAAGAGGATGACGCAACGAAAACCCTTTACTTGATAGATTTAGAGCCCTACAGTCTAATAGCACCCGCGAGGGCCAACACCGATATTTTGAAACAAAACTGCTATCAAACGTGAATAATAACAGTAAGTCTCTGGAATGTGAATAAGAGTATCACCATCATCAAAACGGTTGTAAAGATGGCAGTATGATGGATGAAGAAAAAGAACAGATGCTGGTATTATAAATTGTCGATGCTGCAACGCTATGCTATGCTATATTAACAATACAATTCAGAGGGAATAAGGCAACAATGCAACGCCAAAAAAAAGAAAACTCCTACTTGTGCCTGTCATCACTCCTAGGCAAGATCACGCACAGGCTTGACAAACACTTTATCCTCAAAGTCGCCGCACATGTCGTCCCAGCGAATCTTCTCCGCCTCCCCGTCTACATATCTATCCGTCTGCATCCAGAGGCCGTTATCCAGACCACGCGCTCTCAGCATCTGCTTGCCGTGGCCCGTCCACCACTGCCGCTTCCACCACTCGTCCATCTTGGACTTGTCGCCATTATAATGCAGCACTGCAGGGATACTCCTCGCATGAAAATTTGTAAACAGCTGCAAATCGCGCCACGAGCTCTCCCCTGCGCCATACGGGATCGGCAAATCAAGCATGTCCCGCGGAAACGGGAACTCATTGCCAAAGATGCGGTTCGTCTTATGCTTCTTATCCTTCTTCGCAAGGTCCACCGTATTGCTATGCACCACCAGCGACATATCGCCCAAGGCTGCGTTGAGCGACTGGAACATGGTGCTCGTCAGGTCCACGCCGAGCTTATAGTCGGTATGCGTCGTCTCGATGTGCGGGACGATCAGGCTGCTTTCGCGGAACTGCTCGCCAAAGCCAAACACCCACTCCTTGCTTCCGCGCTGGTACTGCCGCGAGAGCTCCTGGCGGCCATATATATTGCTAAAGTAGTCTTGGTCGCCGCCGCCCGTTTCGTACGCCGTCCACATCGCGTGTGCGCGCTCGTAGAGCTTCAGCATGTCCTTGACGGGGCCGATGATGGTGCCGGAGCAGAGCCATCGCGGGCGGTTTGTGTGCGTGCTCGTGTCAGTGCGGGGGCCGTATGCGTTGTGTGGGAGAGGCGATGTCGGGACCGCGTAGCACGCTGGGTGTCTGTGGTCGAAGGGCCAGCAGAACTTCTCGGCGCCCATGACGATGCTGAGGTCGAGGCCGAGTTGGGATACTTGCTCGGCGCCGTGCTGTCTGATGAGGCGGGCCATGGTCTGGCTGCGGAACACGTTGTAGCGGTGGACAAGCACCGAGGGGGGAAGCTGGAAGACTACGTCGTGGGCGTCGGCCATGATGATGAGGTCGTCGGAGGCAGAGGCGGGCAGAGATCGCATGTACTGCAACACGCCCCAGTTCTTACCCGTCGTCATGTCGTAACCGTTCATGGAGTCGTCGCCCTCATTTTGCTGCCAGTTGATGATGACGGGCGGCGGGTAGTCGTTGACAATGGCGCTGGTGAGGGTTCTGCAGATTTTGTAGTTGGCCTTGTTGCCTGGGAGGAGGAGGTGTATTTTCGGGAGGGTGTGGTTTATGGAGACGGAGTGTTGATGGTGATGCTCGTCTTCCCATGACGTAAAGCCTGGGTTGCTGTCTAGCGAGATGCGGTATAGAGGCTGCAAGCAAGCAGTGGAGTCAGTCTTTTTGTATCTTCTTTTTTTTGGGGGAGGTATCAACAGGAAGATGGGAGACTCACGACTTCAGCAAAACTGTTCCATGTAAACAGGCACACTAGTATAATGGCAGTGATGGCGACAAGACATCGACGGCAGTACTGCTGGCGAATGGTGCACTTTGAATTAAAGGCTGGCCGCCATAGTGAGATGGCCTTGGCTAACATCTCGAATATATAAAAGATGCACCGACGGACAAGCGAACCACACTCAGGCTAATGGAAGAAAGCAGAACAGCAGCGTCTGGCCATTTTGGCCATGCTGGAGCACTTACTCGCATAGCGGTTTGGAGCACGAATAAACCCCCTTGGTATGGAGCGGACACACGTACTCCTGTATCAGCCAAGATGCCGCTCCTTTGAGTAAGGCTGTGGGTGATCCCAGGCATTATGACGACGACAGGCTCCACCGATTGTATTGGGGCCAATGAAGCGAAAACGGGCAAGGCTTTATTTCTGGGAGATTGCCCTATTAATAACTGGGTATTTCCATTGTCTGTCAGCACGAGATTGGTGCGCTAGGTGCGAGCGTGCCCCTTTCTCGGTGTTTGCCTCTTCTGCGACAGGAGGTCGACGCACAGAGGTTATCTGCATCTCGGAAAATCCCTGCTTGATTTGATTTTGCACCTAGTTCCATTATCACCTGTCAGAGATTCCCACCTGAGTCGTCATCGACTTTGTTCTATTTGCCACAACTTTTGGTCGTAACCGCGTCTCGTAGCCACGGCTTGGTGTGCGCACTTACTGAGCGCCCAATTGGATCACCAACTGGATCACGATAATGGCTAAGACGCGAGACAGGCAGCCAGCTAGTAAAATGACGCCTGGGGCAAAAAAAGAAAAAAAGCATGCTAACACATGCCCACTGCGTAGCATAAAGGTGTGTCGGCCCTGGCAATGCTGCGGAATAACACTGCACACAGTTTGTTTGTGTCTACATCTCAGCAATCTACATAATCAGTTTTGTTGGTTATTCCCGCCCATCCACACACAAACTTTATTTTGTACTGCGCCGCTTTGTAGGGAAAGCCGCTAGCACAATCTGGGCGATGGTGGCGCTCGATGGCTCTGCCTACCATACAAGTACAACCACACTAGGTAGCCTGATGCTGCTTCCACCCGACTGGAACACACACTATCATCTTCTGCCATGTCGATTCCCCAACTAATGATGGTATTTTGTGCACTCATGTCTTACCCTCCGTCTTAAACGCTGGCTCTTGTCGGTCGAATCGCCGCAATGCCTAATCGGGCGACTGAGGCGTCTACATTGCAACGCTACGATCTCCGTTGCGCCAATGACGATGCTCGAGTGAGAACGTGCTTGTATAGTGGCCATACAGCAGCTCAAAGCAGTAGATGGTCGTAAGTCACAAGCAAACTCCAAGACGGTCGTGTAATTCACCGACTTCTTGTAGCAAGATCACCAACGAACCCAAAATGCATTTTGCTACGAGTTTTACTATTCTGGCAGGCGCCGTTATGGCCTGGCAGGGCTTCAACGACCCAAGCTCCCATTTGCCAATCAGCGCTAATGACACGCGGTGGACAGACGCCGTCAAGCGGTCTGACAGTACCGCCATTGTCAGTTTCTTTGACCGCGACGTCACAGCGGCGTTTCCTGGAACGCACATCTTCGGCTGGGTGATTAAGCTGACTTCGGTCAGCTTGGCACCACACCAGATGGCCTGGGACTTGAAGCTTGTGGCGCCGCAGACGTCCATCTCGAATGCACCAAAGGACGCTGACAAGAAAACTGTCGATGACAAGGCGAATGGCCAGATTGTTGCCGCCACAGATGACTGGGCTGCGTGTGCGCTTGTGTCTTGGGGCAGCGGCAGCTTAGATCCCAAGACGTTTCCTAAGGATGCGCCGACTGATCAGAAGGGTGTCTGCAGCGCGTGGCTGCCCAAGGAGTGTATCTCGGCGCTGGAGAATTCAGCGACGGCGCCGTTCAAGATGTTTACATCTGAAAAGGTTACGAACGGTGGTCTGGGTCGTAGGGTCTGCGCGGCGCCGGAGCTGCCAAAGGCGTGTGAGGGCCTCGGGCTGAACTTTACATCTGCTCACCAGAGTGCGTGCTTTTCTTTTGTAGTATTAAGGTATATGCTTGGTTTACTAACATGATGTAGTCACCGACTTGCCACTTCGCTATCTAAGCGGTGCAACCACTCGATCGCATGGCTGGGAGCTTGGGGGATCAGGCAAGAACAACTTGTCGGCAGCCGACGCCCCCAAAATCTGGACGGCGCTAAACAGACACTATGTTGCTGTCTTGACTACATTTGGGCAATATAAAGAGGATGACACGGTGCCTGGATATACCAAGCTTAGCTGTCTTCGTGCGGCAGAGAGCCCGCTGCATAACGCCGCTGCGCCCGCGATGCGCTTCTCGATCGCAGGAGGTGTGCTTGTGGTGGGTGTCATGTTGCTGAACGCATTTTAACATAGAATATGAAATGGTGTATGGGGCGGTATTTTGTTTTGCAATTTTGGTATAACTTATTTTATCATTATTCTTTTTGGCATGTTAGACGGTCGGGCGGTAGACGGTGTAGAGGACTCTTCAGACGATGCATATGAATCATGACAAAGAAAATACTATTTTAATTTTGCTATATATTTTGCATGTGTCTTATACGAGCTAAAGGGCACCGGATCGCATATCCACTGCATCTAGTTCGCGTAGGCTAACTGGTCAATTGTGGCTTAGCCTGCTTTACTGGCTGCCGACATGGGCTGACAGTGAGGCGGGCAAGCTGCTGCATATGCTCCAAGAGTGGTCGTCATCGTGTAACCGACAATTGAAAATCGGAGAGAAACATCTCCTCAAAACACAAATCACGACAATGGGATATCACACATGGGACTACATGTCGCTAATGTGCCAGGAGCGCAAGGAGATGCTCGTTGGCGTCTACCGCCCGGACAGCTACCAAAGTCTCCACGATACTCGGGGCAACGCCTTTATCAAGCTGGTCAATATGGATGAAGTCAAGCCAAAGCCAGCAAAGACATCACGCTGGAAGGCGTTGCGACAGCTCCCAAAGAGGAGACCAAGACCCAACAATCAACATCAACAGCCGTTGTCAGCATTAGAGTCGTTACCCAGCGAGCTCATCAATTGCATTCTCGACAGAGTCACGCACATTGGCGACATTATGAGTCTAGGACGAACCTGTCCAATACTTGCAAGGCACGTCTTTGCACGATACGCTAGCAAGTCGACAGTAGGAAGCTGGAGCGGTCTTCCACTGACCTGTATACCCTGCGACTTTACTCGACGAAATAACCGCCATTCATCACGCCAATCATACCATGGTTTACCCTTGACGTATCGTCTACCATTACAATTGGAAAATGAGCCGTCAGGCTGGGACATATCCATCTACGACACCTCCGGCCGCGAAGGCGACTCGCGATACCTGATTGCGAAATACCCCTGGGGCACGAACCGGCTAGCAGTACGCAGCAGCAAGACATCAGATTTCGAAAAGGCCCTCTATACGACACAGGTGCCAGACTTTGAAGCGCGGGCTGGGAGGCGCTGGCTACTGCGCAACCATACAAAGAGCCTGGTGGTGCGGCTGCGCTTACACCAGAACCAGAAGAAGGATGCAATGCCACATGTCGTTGTCAACGGCGGCACAAAGCTGTCGCTAGACATTCTGCTAATGCTGTGCACCATCAACAAAGGACGACGCCGTCGAGAACAAGACACGACACGATGGTACGGTGACTGTTTCGACATTGTGCCTGATACGCGAGACATGCGGCGGGACCTGCGGGAGTCTGGATGGCGCGATGCAACAGAGCTCGTCCTCTACTCCGGACGATATACCATGAGAGTAGCCGCTGCGTATCGTGGGATATGTCGGAGTCCACTGCGTCAAGGCCTTCACATGGCAAACATGCTGTACGGACGGGTCATCAAAACACCGTGGAGACGTCTTATGCGGGTGGTGGATGCCTGGACGAACGAATCGCGACTAATCAAGCGGCTTGTACAGTGGCTAGACCAGCCGTTTATAAATATGTGTATTGTAATACCCGGTCGTATAGTGGTTCTACTGCTGCTTGGGGCTTCTTTCTGTGTGGTGGGTTATTCGCTGACTGGGGTGAGTTCCTTGCTGAGCTGGGCGCGACGCAAGTTTCAAAGCGACAGGATTTAACAAAAGGGCATGTTTGTATACATTCCATAACAAGAGACTAGTCAGTCAGGCTGTGCAGGCGGCGCGTCCTGTGACAAGCAGTGATGGCTTCTAGGATCTCGTGTAAAGAACGATTTGAGACGGAAAGCGAGCGGCGAGGCTGATAGGCCTGGCTGCCTCCACCTTTTGGAATATGTACAAATACAAGGTTCCAGATGCCCGCCAATAAAAGACAGATAAATGTATTACTTTTTAATCGTTTTCTTTTCACTACACAAATCAACATGTTTCTCTTTGGCAGCAAACACAAGAAAAACCCCAAGTCAACACCCGCCAAGCCTAAAGAGCGGCCAAAGCCTATCAGGAGGGCGTCGTGGAAAGAAAGAGACGGATTCAAAGAACTAATTACTCTCTACAAGACCATCCTAGAGATTCCAAAGCTGCTTTTCTACTGCGTCTGCGTTATCCTCTACGTGTTGGTCGCATCGTTTTTTTGGGTGTGCATATGTTGCCTTCAGTGTGGTAGCGTTTAACCGAGAAAATATGCATCTTTATTTATTCAGTATCAATTATGTCCTTTATTTACATATTAATTCTTTCGTTCTTTATTTCCTGTAGCAGAGGCGGCTACTCGCGAGCGGATGACTGCCACCACAAGACCGTGTGCTTGTATACTCTCCCATCACAGCCTCGCCTTTTCCACCATCTTGTTTTATAATCGCTTTTTCCAACTGTAAATAGCACACACGCGATCCTTTCCCTAAAGGTGTGGCGGAGCAAGCTGACCTCAAGGCTGATCGGATTGCCGCCACCGTTTGGAAGATGTATAAATACACAGCGACGCAGCGGTAACATGCCTATCAAACAAACGTACAGACAGAGATTACATTCCTAAGGACTCTAAACCTTTCAACTTCTACAAGACTACGACTCTACTTCTAGCATACAGGAAACATGCTTCTCTTTAGCCGCAAACACAAGCAAAGCTCCGGCACCGACTCTCCGGTTTACACTCCGCCAAAGGCCACGTCGCCCAAGTGGACAGAAAGAGAAGGAGTGAAGAACTTTGGAGAGACCGTCAAGTATACTCTCTATCTCCCGCTACTGTGCGTGGGGCTCATCTTCATTGCAATATTCAAGCCGCTGTTTTGGCTCGTCAAATGTGTGCTTCAATGCGGCCATGTTGAGCTGAAGAAAAAATACTAAAAAAGTACATAACTTCTTGTTTGTACCTTTGCCTTTAAACTTAGATTATTCTGTATTTTTGGTACTATTTATTTCGACCAGCAGCAGTTGCTACTTGCGGCCACCATCCCCCGACAACAACACCACTCTCTCTCTCTCCCACCTACTTTGCAAAATGACAAGCTCAACTTCTATTTTACTTGCTTTTACAACATGAATACCCAGCAACACCCGGAAATTAGCACCGTACGCTTCTTCGGCTACCTAGCGAAGCACCGCCAAAACTGTGGCGGAGCAGGCGCCTTGGCTGACCTCGAGGCTGAATAGCGCTAGCCTTTGTGCGACACCAGCCTTGAATCCCAAACAATCTGGCATATTTGTTCTCTAACGCACCATTTGCGATACAAAGGAAAAGAATTTCAGACAAAACATCATGATGGAAGAGCCAGAAGACTTTTACATCGCCTACGATGCCTTTTGCGTGCTGTCGCCGGCGCGCCGAGAGGGCCTGATAGGCATCTACCGCCCGATGCTCTGGAACATCAAGTCCGATGATCGATCCAACATCTTCCACAGGCTCGTTAAGCCGTCGTACCTACCACAGCAGCAGAAGAAGAAGACAACAAAACGCCGCAACAAGCCCGCCACCCCCTTGTCGCGCTTAGAGTCTCTGCCATATGACATTCTCAGTATAATCATCGACCAAATAGTGAACTTTGAAGACGTCATGACTCTTGGGAGCACCTCACGGTTCTTCGCGCAGCTCATGTACGACAAGTATACCGGGCCATCGACAGTCGGAACATGGGCCGATCAGCCGATCGTCTCGTCGCTCGGTGATTTCCAAGACCAAGCCGAGCGTGAATCGTCCAACATGTACTTTGCTGGGCTTCCCGATATTGAAGCGGTCTGTGAGTGGCACGATTTACCTCCGTCTGCTTGGCACATGTCCATGTACGAAACAAGCCAGTTGGCAGGCGACGCGCGCCACCTGCTCACGCGATATCCCTGGGGCACTGAGCTCGCCGAGTCGCTGGATCTGCCGCGCGTGAAGCGTATATCCCGGTTTGAGCGGATGCTCTATCAATCACAGATACCGGAACTGGAGAAGCGCGCGGGTACGGACTGGCTGCTGCGGAATCAGACAAAGAAGGTGTACTTGCGACTGAAAATGCTGCAGCGGTGGAACTGGGAGCCAGCCCCGCGGGTTTATGTCGATGGAGAAAAGTCGAAGCCGCCGTTTGATCTGACGCTTATCTTCCTGACGCATTCTGGGACACCGGGGGGTCCTGGCGGCTCTGTGGTAGTAGGCAGATGGAGGGGCGATAGTTTTGATGTTGTGCCAAGCACAAAGGAGCGTCTTGCTGAGATGACGGCGGACGGGTGGGAGGACGCAACAGACAGGACGATTGCTGAGGAATATGATGCGCTGTCGATTCCGCACGAGTACGGAATCATCTGGGACGACGAGGACCACGGGCAGGGCCTATATCACCGTGATATACGGATAGCGGCGCGTCTACAGCGTGCGGATGACCGACTGCGCAAGCACCCACGGATACAGAGGGCCGTCAAGGGCACGCTGCGCTGGATAGAGACGTCGCGGGTGACAAAGGCCGTGGGAGTAGTCGGTACGCTGGTGATGTTGCCGTTGATAGTGGCGTATGTCGGGGTTGCTATTATTCGGCATAGACGTGGGGGTGGCGGTGGAGGTGCGGGTAGACGATGAACAAGATGTGAGTTGCAAGTTTGGGGACTACGGATCAGTGGAGAAGATAGCTTTGGGAAATAATATCAAGATGCACTGTTGTTGTGTATAGAATGGTTGTATTGGACGGGATGGGTGGTGGTAGAGCCACGGCTGAACAGAACCAGCCAGCCAACCGTACTTGGCCTATTTTATTTTGTATTTCTAATTAGCTGATATCTGCGATACCATTTCGATTTAATCTACTATTTACATATTTTATTTACATATCTTACCGGGAATAAAGTACACACCCACGTAAACTTTCCCCATTAGGCAAAATCCACTTTGCACCTCGGCTCCGCCGGCCCCGTCCTGTGTACGTCACCGCTGCCGAAGACGGAACAGGCGGCCGGCTCGATCGGAAGAAAGCACGGAACAAAGTTTATGTTGGCGAGATTGCGCAATTCTCTTTTTTTTACCAACTTCATCATCTACATTCCATTACCAGATTTGTACAATTTCTTCTAGAATCGGCGTTTTTGATTGTTACATCTCGCTTGCTTACTTCCGCCATGGCCATGCAGAGGATTCGCGCAAGCCTCCCGTCATGGGACACCACCAAGAAGACCAGCAAAAAGGGCTTCGATAAAGTCTGGGAGGGCGTCGACAAGCTCGGTGCGCCCGTCAACAAGCTGACCAACAAGATTGGCAGCGAGGCCTTTTGGCCGACGACGCTGGACAAGGAGAGTGACAAGGCGGCGCGCATTCTCAAGTCATTTTGCAGTACGTCTTTTTCTTGCCTCACCTTTACTTACTACTACACACAACTCTCTCGTCTATTCAGAGAATGTATACTAACATCTATTGACTCCTGTAGAGGACGGATTCTACGCAGACGACACTACCGACACACCGAAAGACGGCCCCAAGCAGCAGCAGCGCGTCATCAAAAAGATTCCCCAAAAAGTCATTGAAAATGCCGTGGGCCTCGCCATCTTCACCACCATGCGCGCAGGCCTCTGGATGTCTGGCGCTGGCGGCTCAGGCGTGCTCGTCGCGCGCACGGAAGACGGCTCATGGTCGCCGCCATCCGGTATCATGCTGCACACGGCCGGACTCGGCTTTCTCGTCGGCATCGATATTTACGACTGCGTGCTCGTCATCAACAACCGCAAGGCGCTCGAGTCGTTTACTAAGGTGCGCGCGACAGTGGGCGGCGAGATTAGCGCCGTAGCTGGGCCCGTGGGCGTCGGTGGCATCCTAGAGAATGACGGTAAATGGAAAGAGGCGAACCGGCCGGTGTTTACGTATCTCAAGTCGCGGGGCTTCTATGCGGGCGTCCAGGTCGACGGCACTATTGTGATTGAGCGGTCTGACGAGAATGAAAAGTTTTACGGAGAGAAGATTAGCGCGACGGATATTTTGGCAGGTAAAGTGAAGAATCCACCTACTGCGTCGTATCGCCGCTTGACGGAGACGCTGAAAGCGGCTGAAGGGAGCAGTGATGTTGATGAGGGTATTCTCAGGGAGCTGGATACTGAGGGGACAGTGGATGATAGGCTGTTTGGCGTGCCGGAGGCGACAGATCCTGATCCGTATGGGTTTCTGGCGCTGGAGAAGGAAGGACTACATATTACAGACGCGGGGACACATAAGCGCGGTGCGAGCCACGATTTCGAGTTTCATCCGAGCCCAAAGAGTCCCGTGTACGACAAGTTCCACGGCTTTATGAGCGTGGATGGCCGCCGGACCAGCGGGGTCTCTAGTTCGAGCTCAGCAAGACACTCAACAAACTATGTGGCGGCAGATGCTGGTACTCAAACTGGTGACGATTTGGGTCTGTCTAAGCAACAGTCTCCAACGGGTGAGGTACACGGCGGTATTACGTACTTTGGGCCCCAGCCGCATGAAGAGGAGCAGAAGCCTACAGTTGATGCGAATGGTGGCGCAGATGCAGTGAAAACCAATGGGAGAAATCTCACCGAACGAAAGGAAGATAGCGAATCGATACCGAGACAGGTGCCTGACGAAACGGACGAGCTTGTTGAAGGTATAAACGCAGTCTCTCTACCAGAGGAGTCAGAAGTTGAAGGCGTTAAAGACGGCGTTACAACAAAGGAGAAAGAAAGTACGAAAAATATAGAAATATAGACGGGATGAATTATATATCAAGGGACGAGAAATCATGGTATCGGAAGGAGTTTATGGCGTTGATTGATTTGTATGCCAGCTTATGCCGCAGTACCTGCGTATTGGTAGTCATGCATTAAATATTATACCCAAATTAACCCAAAAGCAAACTATCCAATGCTACTATACGCAGCCCTCCAAAACGCCTAGCTAAAAATAAAAGATAAAAAAAACGCCTCACACGCGGCCATCCATACCCAGCTTCCTCGCGCGGATATAGCACTGCCGCGGCCTATACGCAATCTGCACAAAGCCCTCCCAGCCCGACAACGTCTCCGGCACACCCAGCAGCTCAAAGTTCCACACAATCAGCACAATCAGAAACTGGTACTCGATATACGCGAGCTTCTTGCCGAAGCAGCCCCGCGGACCCAGCCCAAACGACGTATTCGGCCACAGATTCACATCAAACACGACATCGCCCGTCTCCAGGTTCTCGCGCAGCCACCGCTCCGGGATAAACTGGTCCATGTCGTCCGTCTCCGCGGCCATCGGATACGTCGCCTGGTCTTTGCGGTACGTGTCGGTGCGCAGGGCGTCGTCGACCTTGCGGGAGCGGCTGAGGAAGCTGGGCCCGTCGGCGACAAAGTTGACAGTGGTGTGCTTGGGGATGTGGTGGCCGAGGATGCGGGCGTCCTGGGTAGCTGTGCGGGAGTTGATGGGCGAGGGAGTCTTCCAGCGAAGGGTCTCGGCCATGAAGGCCTCGAGGTAGGCGGGTGTGTGGGACATGAGCTCGTCTACGGTAGGGTTGCGTTTTTCAGAGGCAGCGGTGGAGTGGGTTTGGTGGAGGACGGAGCGCAGTTTGGTTTGGACAGCTGGGAATTCGGTGAGGATTTTGATGGTCCATGCCATTGTGCTGCTTGTTGTTTCGTGGCCGGCAATGAGGAAGCCGTATAACTGACATGGACGGGTTAGCAACAAGTACGATGTGATAGCAGTAGAAGCCGAAAGGAAAAGACTTACCTCGTCTACGAGTGTCCGTGAATAATAGTCGGGCTGGCGTCCATCCTTTTCGGCAAGCCGCGTCTCGCGACTTACAATTAGGTCAATGGCGTGCTTGAGGCGCGTATCATCGTCCTCGTGCTGCGTCTGGCTCACTACAGCCTTGCGAATTTCCTCTTGAATCACAGCATCCTTCATTTTGAAAAGTCTACGGAACTCGGCCGTGTTGCCAAACAGCAGCCAAGCCAGCTTGACCATGGGAAACGACGACCACTTTTCTGTCTGCGTAGCCACGCGCTGCATACAGTCGAGATCGCTGTGCAGCGGCCCAGCCGGGAACTCCACGGCGTCATCCATCCCTAAACTGTGGGTGAGGTCGTCTGATGAAAGACCAGCTAGCGCCTCAATGTGCGGTTTTGTTGCTGAGTGAGCAAAGTCGTGGCCAAACGTAAAGGCGAGGACACCGTCAAACGTGGCAGCAGAGAAATCGAGGGCAACAGAAAACGGGCGACCATCTGCCAAATCGCAGCGCTGGTTCCAGAGGACAATGAGATTCTGAAAGGCGCTGTACAAGTTGGGCGCGGCGATGTTGCGCAGAAAGACGGGTGACATGGTGTCCTGGACAAGACGCCGGTGGAACCTCCAGATGTCGTCGGTGGCTAGGGTAACTTGTGAACAAGGACCGATGGGCTGGAAGATGTCGCGGGATCGAGTAGATCGATCAAACTCCTTGACGCGGTGCATCATGATGTCGCGGATCTCGCCAAAGTCGGAGATGACAACGACAGGGCGGCGGAACGGAAACAGGAACAGCTGGAAGATGGGCCCGTCAAACTTGTACGCCTCGGCAATGAAGAACCGCTTGACATCGCCGTCGCGCTTGATCTGCGCCAACAGCCGCGGCAGGTCTCCTAGTATAGAGACGGCCGAGTCCTTGTTGTATGGGATTCCAGGGATGGGCTTGGGATAGGCGGCCCAGATGAGATATGCGACGATGCTAGCAGCAGCAGCTGAGCCGACGGCCGCAATGTTGAGTGTCATGGTCATGGTGGGAGACAAAAACAAAGGAAAATATGCAAGTAGAAGCAAAAGACAGGCAAAAGAGGAGGCCGTGACGATGCCGAGGTGCAGTGGTGGTGACTAGCCGGAACCTCAAAAAAAAAGAAAAGAAATAAAAGTATCTGGTCTTCCTAAAGGAGGAGAACAAGAGAAAAAAAAGAACTGATTCCCCCCCCCCTTTGTACAGCTTTTTTCTTTCTTGTGTTGGGCGGCCGAACCAACGTGCGGTGCAGGAAGAGATTTGTTTGCTTTGCTCAATGTGGCCAACGCCGACGACGCCGAAAATGATGTAACCAGCCGACAAACAAGTCAAAGACGGCGAATCACTGTCAACTAATTTACAGCGGGTTGGGCAATTCTGGGACTAGCGCCGTTGAGACAGGGGAGGGGAGGAACAGTAGCATCTTCGTTTATAGATAAACCCGCGATAGCGTCACATGACAGGAGACAACAGGCCTGTATAGCAGTGGCAGGTGTAGAAGCAGGCACTTGATCTTTTTATAAAGAATACAAGACCATGTGTTGAAAAGACGGGGATCACGGTGGAAACTTTGAGGCTCTGCGCCCAACGGCCTGGCTGCTTCGATCGGTGTCGTCCCGTAGTGGCGGAACAAACACGCTATTGAGTGCCACCAGCAAGCCACCAACCCTCGTTCGTCCATACCAAAAAGGCGGAGGTGGAGAGAGAAAGTGGCCCTTGAGAAGCAGGGAAGAGAGGAGGAGGCGTTGCGGGAGGCTATGAGCGCTTGCAGTGACTGGCGGTAACTTTTCTACGTACTCAGAGAGAAAAGATCTACTACAGGAACATCATCCCAATTTTTGTTGGATTTTCTAACGCGTGGTTTTTTCAAGGATGGGATCAATCTCCCCGATCGTACGTGTGCCTGACTCGGCTCGCTTCTACTTCCTATTCGAGGCATTTTATTGGGCAAAAGAATGTGTAGGGGCGAAAGCACAAATTGCAGGATGCCAAAGACACGGAAATAAAAAATACAGGAAAACAAATCGACGTCGGACAGCGAGTGCGCAGCGGTATATTTTGCGTAGGTAAGCAACACGGTAGACAGTCACTCTCAGCCTCGGCCTAAGCTTCCCGCCTTGGCTCTTCATCCTGTCATAAATTCATTTAGTACTCTTCTCGTAGTGGCAGCGTTAAAAAAACACGTGGGGAAGCAGAACTGGCGGCGGCTTATATCTTGCCTATTTGGGGTCTACAGCGCGCATTGGGTGTAAGCTGACGGCGAGGAGCTGGATGCAGGCATGGAATAAAAGAACAGTCAGCAAGACGGAATGGAGTTGGATAAATATACACGGGATCCCCCAGGATCTGTAAATGGTGACGGTAAATTTTATTAAATTTTTTTGTTGCAGTAAAACACAATGTCGGTTCCGCAAGACAAGAAGACGGTGCTCGTCACTGGGTACGATAGAAACACCACTAACACGACACTGGACCGCGGCTAACTATGGTATTTCGAGTATAGATGCACTCCCGGTGGCATTGGCCATGCTCTCTGCCTCAAATTCCACGCCTCCGGTACGATTTCCATCACAACCAACAAATACGACACATCGCAGTAACCACGAGACTAACATGATATACAGGCTACCATGTCATTGCTACAGCCCGCCGCCCCGAAGTCCTCGACGGCCTCCGGGACATGGGCATGACAACCATTGGTCTCAATGTCGACCAGCAGTCCAGCATCAACGAGTGCGTGGCGCAAGTGACCAAGCTGACGGGCGGTACTCTCGACATTCTCGTCAACAATGCGTACGTCCTTCTCCCCCTTTCTATTCCTCTAGATATATACTCTCCTTGATCATCCTTCATCTTCCGGACATGTCACTAACACCTCTTCCCCAGCGGCGTCATGGCACACATGCCCGCCGCCGACATCGACCTCGACGACGTCCGCACCATGTTCGAGACCAACGTCTTTGCCGTCATGGCCATGGTCAAGGCCTTTGTCCCGCTGCTCATCCCCGCACGCGGCCTCATCCTGCAAATCTCCTCCATTGCCGGCGTCGTCGCCGATCTCTACGCCAGCGGCTACTCGGCCACCAAGGGCGCCCTGACATCTTACTCGCGCACCCTCCGTCTCGAGCTCAAGCCCTTCAATGTCCGCGTCATGATTGCCCACACCGGCACCGTCAAGTCCAACCTCACCACAAAGTTCCACAGCCCCCTACCCGAGGGCTCCATCTACAAGCCTGTCGAGGACATGGTGCTCAAGAGACACGAGTTCTCGCAGGAAAACTTCCCCATGGACACGGATGTCTTTGCGGGCAAGATTGTCCGCGCGGCCATTAAAGGTGAGGGGTGGTTCGGCGGCTGGTTTGGCCGCACGCCGGATTGGATTTGGACGGGTGGTCTGGCGAGACGTACGTGGCTGGGCACGTATTTCCCGGATTCGTGGATGGAGGCGCTGGTGGGCATGTTGTCTGAGGACGATGTGATTACGGCCAAGATTCATGCTGCTGCGGCGGCGGAGGCCAAGGGCGAGTAGAGGGTGAAACGGTGCGGGTAAATATGAGCGTGTAATGATTGTGTGTGTGTACATTTTTAGCGATATTTTATAGAGGTCCTACAACAGGCGAATACAACTTCTTTACTTATCTGGGTGTGATACTGCTTGTGTTGTAAACGTGAGTGATTAATTCTGAGTACTCTTTTTCACGACAAACGAAGCTGTACAATGTGATGGAAGTAAAATTCAGTCCATACTCGGAATCAAGGCCAATTATTTCCAGCCTTGCGTCTTGCATCGACTGGCTCTCTACCTGCGCTTCATCACAGAATTCTCGCCATCTTCTATTCACTTCATTTCAACAATGTATAAATTCTCACAATGGTCCTTGCATTACTTAAGTAGCAATGAAATGGGAGCAACCAGCCTTTCCTGCAAATTCAACTTGACAGCTTCGACTATAAGAGCTACAGAGATGTGGAGGATTCCATACTCCAGGTAGGAGCCATAGACCTTATTCGTGACAAACTCACAAACTAACACTCAACGCAGCATTGTCTCCTCCAGGCCATTCAAATTTCTTGTTGGGCCTGACAAGATTGAATACACAATTCATGGAGCGCTGGTCGCACACCAGTCCCGAGCCCTGCATACTCTAGTCTACGGAGGCTTGAAAGAAAGCCAGGAGCAATGTGTTGAGTGGGCCGAAGTTGACCCCGATACATTTATTCGCTTTGCCCAGTACCTGTACACGGGGGACTATGCGGCCGCTGCGACTGAATGGCTCGTTCAGAGCGCGCAAGCCACCATCGAAGAATCACCAGAGCAGACGAGCGATAATCAGCAACTATCCAACCAGGCAACGGCACCAGAAGAGCCCAGGCCGCACAGGCACCCTGAGAGCCCATTTATATGGCGATCAAATCACGATCCAGCGGAGAGCTTGGGTCCCTTGTTTCTTTCACATGCCAAGTTGTACGTGTTGGCCGATTGCTATGGGATAGAAGGCTTGACGCAGATATCACTTTACAAACTACATAACCAGCTTCGCATCTTTACGCTACACCCCGAGAGAATCACAGATGTGCTTGACCTTGTCGAGTTTAGCTATGAACACGGGCCCGCGGAGCTGCAGGACCTAGTGTCGTCGTTTGCGAGCAGCCACCTAGACATGCTTTGGAAAACGGAAGAGTTTAAAGAGTTGTTTGGGAGGTTTCCTGATCTCGCAATGTCATTGATGGATATCCAGATGAATAAGCTGCTGTCCTGGCACCGCTGGAGATTCCCTACTTGGGTGAGGCAGAGTGATTGAGGCTGGGCACCATTTTCTACAAGAGGCAAGGAAATGAAAATTTAAATGGGAATTTATAGAATTGAGTAAAGGTAAATCATCTATCTGCATATATTCACTTGTACATGACCCACCAGTCACTTTGGCTGCAGTCACTGTGGGCAATTCACTTGACGCTCAATTTTGTCACTTGGCCCCAGCATCTATATAAAGTCTCAATCACTCTTAGAGCAGACGCGAAACTTTTCAAAAATACAACACCCTCATGTCTGAAAACGTGAGAAAAGAATTGGAATCCCATACTGAGACTCAGAAAATCATGCCTTGCGACCCCTTCGACAGGTACAAATATATAATTCTCGTGTGGCATCCGTATACTAACTGCATCTTTCAACAGCCTAATCTCCTCCAAGCCAGTAAAATTTATAGTAGGAGACGACGAGTTTGAATATTTTATTCATTCCCATCTTCTCTCTCGCCAGTCCCAAGCTCTACGGGACTTAGTCCGGGCTCGGGGAGGTGATTGCATTGGGTGGAGGCATGTCTTCGTCGGCGTCTTGATTGTTTCACCCAGTATCCTTACAATGGCGATTACGAAGCTCCTCTATCAAAAGACCTTGCAGCTATTCAAACGCAACAAGCCAGCAATACCAACTGTGACGTAGCTGGGCCAAGCGATACGTCACTTGCATATCCTGGCAAGCCGTCATCACGAGCGACAATTTGGCAGGTGTTCCAGGAATGACAATACAAATGCAACGTTGACAGCCCAAAGAGCCCTCCCGCCGTTGGAGAGGATGATACTGACGTGTTTCCAATACATGTCAGCGTACACCGTCTTGCCCGTGAATACAAAATCGAACCACTGGCAACGATGGCGCTCCAAAAGCTGCACCGTGAGCTCTGTTCTTCCCAGCTGGATGACGACAAAATTCCTTGACATTGTGTCGCTTCTCCGGTTTAGCTACGAGGATGATGCCAATGCGCTTCAGGAACTTGTGTCTGCATATGTCAGTAGCCATATGGAGAAACTCTGGACTTGGGATGAGTTCCAAAAGGAGTTTTCGAATCATTCTAAGATGTCTCGATCTGTGATGGACACAATTGTCCGTAATCTCCGCTAGCCAAAGTGGTAGTCTATCAACCCGAGTGACAGCGCAAGCAGGCGCACAATTTATCCTATAGTGAAAAGCTTTACATAACAAAAAGAGGCAGGCTTTCAAGAGGGATGTGAGTAAATGTGCACCCGGAGACATTTGTACTGCAGAAGCAAACTACAGACGCAGCAGCAGCCCTGATGAGCTGGTTCCTATCTGTCGCCACATGCGATGTGACGCTGCACGAACCCGCCGATGGGAGCTCCCAGGGTCCCTTCAGGTAGAAAATAAATCATTCAAAAAATACGGATGAATTGAAATCAATCCCCCAGTAATCGTAAACATATCCGGTGACCACTCTACTGCATGGCGTATATTAACTTGGCTTTTTGTTCCCGTGAGGGACACTTACGCATCCCAACCACCATCACAGCCAAACAATACGCGAGAAACACCGGCTGGGCTGCGACGATCTTCGGGACGCGAGCGCCATCGATACCCGCTGAAAAAATAACTCCCAGCAGGGAAGACTAGGCTCGATGCAGTGGCACCACCCAGCGATGTGATTAGTGCTTATGCAGCGGAACCGCGGGTGGCCGGCTGGACCCTTGGCCATAAAGAAACCTAAGAAAAAAGAAGTGTAATTAGTTCCATGTCTGCATCGTTCTAGATTGGTGTAGAGCATCGGCGACTTTTACCTTTGCCCGCGGACAGGCATCCTTCTTACATATAGACGGACCACCCCCCGAGTCGTGATCCATCTCTCTGCTCACCACCACCGCAACAATGAAGACATCATCGGCTCTCCTTCTCGGTCTCGCGACTGCGCCTGTCGCCCTCGCCAAGCGCAGTGACAGCGCTCCCGTCGCTAACCACGAGCGCGCCGGACAGATCCGCGCTGCCTTCCAGTCCGCCTGGGGCAAGTACAGCGCCAATGCCTTTGGCCACGATACCTGGGGCCCTGTGTCGAATACGGCCCAGGATAACAAGTAGGTTCATACGTAATGAAGACGAAGGAGAAGAAAGGCGGTGGTGTTGACACGATATCGACAGCGACCAATGGGGCGTGACGGCATTCGATGCCCTGTCCACGGCCATCATCATGAACGACGAAGACATTGTCAACCAGATCCTTGACTATATCCCCTCAATCAACTTCACCACGACTCCACGCAAATTCGACGGCGTCAACCTCGTCGAGACCACTGGCCGCTACCTCGGTGCGCTGCTCTCCTCGTACGATCTGCTCAAGGGTCCCTACTCCCGCCTCGCGCACAACGCCAGCAATGTCGATGCCCTCCTCAAGCAGGCCGAAACACTGGGTTCGTCACTTGCCTTCGCCTTCCAGACAGCCAGCGGCGTACCCCAACCAAACCTCATGCTCAACCCTACACCACAATATGGCAACAACCGCTTTGGTGTCATCAACCTTAACGAGGCGGGTGGTCTGATTCTCGAGTGGACGCGCCTTGCCGATCTCACCGGCAACAAGACGTACGCCGACCTCGCTGCCGCCTGCGAGAAGCATCTGCTCTACCCTGAGGGCGTGTACCAGGCGTACCCGGGCATGGTGGGCAACCAGCTGAGCGTGGGCGACGGCCACTTCCAGCGCCCATACGGCGGCTGGGGCGTTAACTCGGACGTCTACTACGAGTACCTCATCAAGATGTACATGTACGATCCTGCGACGTTTGCGTACAACAAGGAGCGCTGGGTAGCCGCCGCCAACTCTACCATCACCCACCTCGCCTCGCACCCCAAGGTCCGCCCCGACCTAACCTTTTTGGCGGGTGTTATTGCCGGCGGAGGCCAAGTCTCCGAGACCAGCGACCATCTTGCTGCCTTTGCTGGCGGCAGCTTCATTCTGGGTGGCCTTCTTCTCAAGGAGCAGGCATACGTCGACTTTGGTTTGCAGCTTGCCGAGTCGTACTTCCAAGTCTACAACCAGACAGCGTCCGGTATTGCTCCCGAGCACTGGAACTGGGTCGCCGGCGACTTTACACAATACGACAGACCTCCTCCTGAACAGGAAGCGTTTTACAACCGCACCGGCTTCTGGGACACCGACTCGCACTACCCGCTGCGCCCCGAGGTCATTGAGAGCCTGTATTATGCGTACCGCGCTACCGGTGATGTCAAGTACCAGGATCACGCGTGGCAGGCCTGGGAATCGATTAACAAGGCCTGTGGAATCAATGGCGGCTTCAGCGGTATTAAGAATGTGTCGGTGGCTGATGGCGGCGACAAGGACGACATTCAGCAGGGCTTCTTCTTGGGCGAGACGCTCAAGTATCTGTATCTGATTAACGCGGACGACCAGGATGTCCAGCTGAAGCAGGATGGTGGCGACTACGTGTTGAATACCAAGGCGCATCCTCTCAAGATTCGGGAGCAGTGAAAGAGGGGATGACCTGTATGTGGAAATTGCCATGGTAACGGTAAATAGAAAAGGGCAGAGTAGTGTAAGGTATAAACCTGGTCTATATATAAATATATACAACCTTAGCGTATGATAAACAAGCTAAATATAAAATATATAGATAATACTGATACACCGTTGGCATACACAAACAGACTAGCACACTATGAATTGACGAAAGACACCACCACCGTCCTGCATTATATATACGAAGCCTCGACTGCAAACGCCGCCAGAAACTTGACATGGCGCATCACCGCATTCCACTGCACCTTATCGTACGTCTGTTTTCTTCGTTAGTGTATCCCATCTTCTTCACCCTTAAAGGGAGTACTTACATCAGCTGCGCTATGAATATCCGGATTCGACTGCTTAAACGCCTCTTCATTCACAAACGCCGACGCTACACCACCAAAGTTAACAAAGCCCATCTCCTTTTTAGGATTCACTCACGATATCCGTTCCGCCGCGCCGTCGCATGATCCGAGCACGCATACCCGCACTTGGACGTCCCCGGCGCCCCGACAAACTCTGTAATCAGCATCCTCACATATTCATTCAGCTTGGGCTCCGTGTTATCTGTATAATAAAAGATCTTGCCGCTAGGCGAATACGCCGTCATGTCCACATTCACCATGGCCAGGATACTCTTCTTGGCGGCCTTGTAGCTCTTAAAGATGTCACTCGACCCTAATAGTCCTGCCTCCTCGCCGCCGTACCACTGAAACTCGATGGTATTCTTAGGCTTGAAGCCGCTCTCGGCTAGTACGCGCAAGATCTCTAGGATCGTGACGGTGCCGCTGCCGTTGTCGTCGGCGCCAGGGCTCCGTGCCGATGCGCTGCCGGATGTGCAGTCCAGGTGGCCGCCAATGACAATCATGTCGGGTCTTTCACCGGGGATGCGAGCAATCACGGACGGCTGGTTGAAGGAGTGCTTGAATTGCTCGACTATAATGGCTGAGTTGGGCGCGGCGACTTGCTTGACGAGTTCGAAGAGCCATTCAGCGGCTTCGGTGCCTGTTTGTGAGCGGAGATGACGCGTGTGGAAGCTACAACAAGTTAGTATGACGAGAAACAAGAGTTTAGAATGTGTGCGCACTTGGTGAATGGCTTCAGCCACTTTTGGGGGTTGCCGATGCTTGTTCGGCCAATCATCTTGGTTGCCTCGTCCTTGTGCATAACTTTGCTAGGATACGATACATCTTGGACGGTAATTTCGTCGTCGGGCATGGAGAGGGCTTGTAGATAGTCTTGGTCCTGTATGGAGTCGTTAGTAAAAGTGTAGCTTGGATAAGAAAGGAGACGGACGGTGATGTCGGTTATGTCTATGAATCCGCGCCGTTTTAATGTTAGATTCTCAAACATCTCCTGCTCCGTCATCCACTGGCCGGTGTCATTTTCTGCTGTTTTAATCAGGCGCAGAGGGAACTCATGGGATGGCGCTTGGTCGGCGGGCAAGGCGGTGATGATGTCGACGCACAGCGCCAGAGCGACAAGGGCACCACAAAGATGCATATTTGTCGATGGAGTTTTTACAATGATTTTAAGTTAGGGGTGAGGTCGAGGTATTATTCTTGTAGAGAAAATAGTGCTGCTCGGGGTTTGAGGACCTTTGACGTAGTCTGACTCAAACCGTGTCATGCAACATTATCATTACCAAATTCCTAACAATAGCCAACTACACACTAAAGTATCAACTATTATAGAAAATCACTCGTGTCATTATATAATTCATACCCTGATCTTCATAAAATAATTTATCTTAATATTTAATGACGGCCTGTCAGAAAGCTGGCCGTCGTTGAGCCTGCGCGTTCAGCGGATAGGGTAGCATCGCCATCTGAGCACCAATTATACGATACTATATAAGCAATATCGGTACTGCAAACTCCCCAAAAATGCTTAATTACGCAGAGAATATTCTTTTATATTTCCATTGATTTATTTTATCCGGTACTACTCACTCGCCTTCACCGGCGTCCGCACCATGTACCGAATCATATACTTTCCCCATTTACCAATGCCCTTCTTCCCCATAACATGCTCATCATCTCTCGGCGGCCGCGGTGCATACTCGTCCAGATCGATATCAAGCTCCCTCATCGTCGTAAACCCAAACTTGGAGTATGCCTTCCACGCCTGATCCGACGAGTGCACATAGATGGACAACCCCAGCTGGTCCGCCGTCTTATTGCCATGCTGGATCAGCGCGCTTCCCACGCCTCTTGACTGATACTCCGGGTGCACCATGAGACACGCAATAATCATACACGGCTTATCTGAGGGCACCTGCTCCGTCATCCACTCCTGCATATCTTTATCTTCTAGCGCGTGAAGTTCGTCGATGCGCCCGCCGACTGGAGCTTCGCTCTTCTCTTGTTTCGCCGCCGTCTCAGGCGTCTTCTCTTGAAGTGCAGCAGGCTTCTCGTCGCTCGGTCCTTGGCGCGGAATAGTAGCTGGATCGACACGGGGGAATGCCCAGCCACCATGACCCACGATTTTGCCTGTATCTTGGTCTACGGCTTTCACGTGAACAATGGTCTTGCGCTCGAGATTGCGAAGGAACATGCCGCGAAAGATGTCGGCCATGTCGTAGCCATCCTTGCCAAGCTGCTTGACAATGGTATGGGGGTCTGTAGCAAAGGAGTCTGCGGCGATTTGAGCACATGTTGAGATGTCTGCATAGTTGAGCGGCTCTATGGAGACGTTGATGGGTTTGCTACTCGCCATGATGTTTGCCGTGTGGTGTGGTGTTGTGAAGGGTAGGGCTCGGCGGCTGGGACAAGGTGTATGAATTGGCTAGAACTCTCCGCTATTACTTGAGAGACGCAATTCGACCTCTATGTCAACTTTATAGATGAAGAGAATATAAAGTTCCCCATATCGCGATTATGGCATTGTGGGAACCAGAATGTTCGAAACCCCACAGACGAGGCTACGCCATATGCGTCACGCCGCGAAAGGCCACGGAAACAAATTTTAGATATTTCGTGGATCTAACATCGCACGGTTAACCTTTCAACAAAGGAAACCATCAAAATGGGAAAAAAAACGGGACCTTTGTCTGGAGCTGGCTGCCTCCTTTCTCGACAAATACACGAAAAGATCGACAGGCAACCAAGCAATGCACCGAGTAAACTCTGTTTCTGCAACCCGGACCCTGTGACAGCTCTCCCCGCACGATCGTCGTTCAAAGTAAGCGGGAGTCTGGGGTTACACGCACTAACCAACCAACCAACCAACCAGTCCATCCTCAACATATAGCCCACCACTGTAATAGCAGACCGGCTCAATTCAAAAGTATCTTTTCCCCAGAAAATTCCCTAAACTGGACACCGGTTGCGAACAGACCGTTCTCTTTTGTAGACGGTACGTACCCCTCTCGTATGATATCATGACCGCCTGTATTCCCCTCCACCAACGCCACCCAATCAATACAACCGTCCCCTCCACCACCAGCTTCCTATAGGCCGTCTCACCTATCCCATGCATATGCCCTCGGGCACTCGGCCACACTTCCTCTTTTGGGCGACGACGACCCGTGCCGATCAGATCGTCAGGGTGGCCAGCATCTGCCGAAGCCGAGTGGTTCATGAGACATACAGCGCAGTCAATCAATAGCTTGTTAATTGTTTATCTTGAGGTGTCGTACCGAGGGACAAGCCATCCAGTCATCGTTAATGCAGCATGTGCGTGCCACAAGTAAAGGGTAGCTCGTAAAGTAGTGTCCAGCGGCAAAGTACCCGTCGGAACTAGTGTGCCGTCGCGACGTGGTAGCGACTACTGCAACAATGTCAATATCGGCCCGTGGGCAGGATTCACATTCAGCTAGCTACTCGCAGGTCGCTATTCGGCAATTCATAGTCAGCTTGCTGGGCCAGAAGAGCAAGATCGACAGTTAGCGTGGGCGGTGTCTACCAATAAGACAGCATTGGCGGTGTTTCACATTCCACGCTTCGGATCTTGCTGGCAGGGCTAATGCGAGCCAAGATGGTATATTCGCGGGGAGCTATTCGTCACATGGACCGGGTGCATGTGCGTGAGAGGAGAGATACACTGTTTGCGGATATAGAGGGGCGTTCTTTTGGGAAATAGGTAAAACGGAAAAAGTATATAAGGCGGTGTTGCACCCATGTACATCTCCAAGTAGACCATTGAATCCAAACGACTCTCACAGACTTATACACACTCATATACTCTTCACATTCTTCGTAAACAACTACCAAAATGCAGTTTGCCGTCATCCTCTCCCTTGTTGCTGCCGTATCGGCCGGCGTCCTCACCCGCCAGGACCTCCCTGCTTGCCCTACAAACTCTGGCTCTGCCTGCGGCATCGTCACTGCTCTCGGCAAGACCATCACCTACCCTGACTGCAACTGCCAGCCTACCTGCTCTGGCGATGTCAACTTCTCCGGCATCAGTGCCAATGTTGTAAGTGTATCTGACTATGAATCTGTGTACGAGCATGAACACTAACTTGGATATAGAAAATCGGCGTAAGTTTTGCGACGGCGATCTGCTTACTGAGTGGAATATACGCTAACCTAGCTTTGATGATGTGCTTTACAGACCTGCGTAAGTAATGGTGGGCAAGTTATATGGATCATGGGCTAATACTGTGCAGGCTTAAGAGACGACATCAAAACCAACTTTCGTAAACGAATAACCTTGTCAAGTATATACTGTATATACACCAATACAAACACAAATATAAACACCGTCAGACCAATTGCCCCGTTGTAGAAAGTTGTATATATATCATTATAATGCTAAATCTAAGGCAATATGTTGTGTATCCTCATTATCGTTACATTTCATCCGTTATTCATAAGTCATTGTACATGTGTTTTCGTTGCGCTCCAACCCACTAGTCCTTGTCGCTCTTGCTGCTCTTTTCGCTGTAAATCGTGCTATCCTCGTGCAAGACGCTCCAGTCGACCGTCTTTTGAATCACCATTTCGCCTGAGACAGATCCTTCGCCCAGATCAGCCTCGACCTTGCTGGTCGAGCTGACTCGGTACTGTGAGCACCATGACCAGCGTTCTCGGTTGCCGCACTCGACATCTTCGTCGCAGGCGGCAGCTTCATTGGCGCTTCGCATGACGCTGCGCTTATCAGACTTAGCTGCAGAAACAAGATGACTAGGCTTGATTTGGCTGTTGCTTGGATGGAACATGGCCTCTCCACCGCGCGAGAGTGTACGTGAACCACTGGTGCTTGCAAGGTGGCGCACGTTGATCCCCATACCGGTGTGGAAGCTCTTCAAAAAGGGAATCAGTGCAATCACAATCACCGAGATTAGTGAATAGCAAATCCCAGACTGCTGCCAGACAAGAGAGTTGACTATCCATACAGACGGGGTGCGCGTAGTGAGAATGTGCCACAGCGAGGCTGTGTATACGGCAGTGAAGCCAGGGCATCTGAAGTTGGTTAGCAAAAGGCACATTGATTGGTGGCAAGCTAGATGCGTGCATGAATGCATGTAACTTACAAGAAGCGTAGACCCTGAAGACAAAATAGCGTAATTTTGAGCTTCATGCGCATCTGTAACGACCAAACAATAGAACAGAAGAGCGCCAGAAGCATGAATTCTGTCAAAAAGTCGAGAACGGATACGAGCACCCATCGCCAAATATGTCCATCGCACTTGTCGCCGCCGTCGTTGATGGTGACGGATCCGATGGTGCACCCAAGCGTCACTGTCAAGAAGGACACTAGGGCACAGAACACAAGCAGTATTCGCAGGATGATGCAAATCTTGCGAACTGTCACCATGGCCACGGAGAGCAGGCGCTCTGTCGCTAGAAGCACCGCAAATTTCGCCATGTATAATGTACAAAGGAATAGAATCTCGGCAGCAACAACTGTCTGTATATACCAGTTAGCTAAAACAACAGCCTCTCTGTTTGCAATTTGCGTTAATCTTACCCTGAGAATCATGGCCTCGTGCCCGCGCTGGATCTCTGGCTGCGATGTTCCCAGACCAAGCGATAAACCAATAAAAATGGTTATATGTTGACCGACGGCAGCTACTACAGCAGCAAAAGTTGCAAAGTCATCTCGACCAAGCATGTGCTTCCGTACATAGAGCCTGGCGCTGAGAGTGAAGAGCACAAAGACGAGGCTAAGAATAGAAGCAATCCACAACAGGCCTCTGCGGTCTGTTGACGTGACGGCCGCAAACGCAGGCTCTGTAGCTGCCATTGTCGTGTACTGCTTTCTGCTTGGCGATCTTCTTGAAAAGAAAGTTGAGTATGAAGAAAAGGAGACAGACAGACTTGAAACGACAAGGAGAGATGCGGCCGTGTCCAACAAGTACGATCCGGGCGACCACTTTTCTGCGTCCTGTCATCTCGTGGACAACACCATTTCCAGCAACCTGAATCCAACAGTTACAGTGCTTGGCCCATTCGCCGCTATAATCCCACCAAGCAGAGGACACCACTTAAAAAAAAGACACAGCCGCGTCGCAGTGGTGCAAGCTTGACGTGGGACCCGATGCGACGGTAACCCGGGAAATTGGGCGGATAGCATACCCATCGAGGTGACGCGAGCGCGGATCTGTGGCGGGAGATGAGACGACGAATTGCGGTGTCTCCTTTTTCTGAACACGATTTCTAGTTCGCCTAACTCTTGCCATCGTCGCATCCGTGGCTGGGCCGAGGCGAGCGGATATTTCATTCTTAAGTGAAATGGGTCCTTGTTTCCCGGTGCGCAGCGTTCACACACCGTGACGTCCACTCGCTTTTCTGTTTCGTTACAATTTTACTTGCTTCCAACATTGTTCGTGCTTCTCGCTTGATATCTGTCAAGGGGACATAGACTCAAAAAATGCTGGCCGAGGAGCCCAAGTTCAGCTTGGCTGAAGCGCTCAACGACCTCGACCTGGACCTCACCAAGCATGGCAATGAACATGATAGACGGGACATGGCCCGTATGGGCAAGATCCAAGAGATGCGCGTAAGTGGTACCTCACAAAGACCTAAAACAGTGAATAGTTTGCTGACCTCAGAGGTAGAGAAATTTCAAATCCTTGACTGTGATTGGCTTTAGTGCCATCATCATGTGCTCGTGGGAATCTCTTCTCAGTACAGCTTCCCTTGCCCTTGAAAATGGTGGTTATGCTGGTCTTGTGTACACATGGCTCTTTGCATGGCTCGGCTTCAATACAGTCTATGCGTCCATGGGTGAGATGGCTTCCATCGCACCAACCACAGGTGGCCAGTATCACTGGGTCAGTGAGTTTGCGCCTGAAAAGCATCAAGCTTTCCTTAGCTACATTGTTGGCATGCTTGGTGTCTTGGGCTGGCAAAGTCTGGTCGCGTCCATTGCGTTCCAGGCTGGCACCGAGATCCAAGGCCTCTTCGTCCTCAACTACGGTGATGCCTATGAATTCCAACGATGGCATGGTACGCTCTGGGTCATTCTCATTATCCTCTTCGCTGCCTTGTTCAACACACTCCTGGCCAACCGCCTACATCTGGTCGAAGGTTCCATTCTTATTGTCCATGTGTTTGGATTCTTTTGTGTTCTTGTACCATTGTGGCTTCTGTCGCCTCGCACAGCTAGCAAAGTAGTCTGGACCGAATTCCGCGATCCAGGCTGGGGAAGCAAGGGCTTATCTTCCTTGATTGGTGTTGTTGCCAGTGTGCTGCCCCTTCTGGGAGCAGATGCCTCCGGTATGTATCATCAATCAAACCTGATGTTATAGAGCTAACCCTTTCACAGTACATATGGCTGAAGAAGTCCAAGATGCGGCCCGCACATTGCCTAGAAGCATGTTGTGGTCAGTAAACATCAACGGACTTATGGGCTGGCTCACGGCCATCACCCTTTGCTATTGCATAGGAGACCTCAGTACTGTTTTGGATACACCCACTGGATATCCATTCATTCAGGTCTTCTACAACAGCACCCAGTCGCTTCCAGCGACCAACTTCATGACCATCATTGTCCTATTCATGGCAACCTTTTCATGCGTCACCATCATGGCGTCTGCGTCTCGACAGATATTCGCCTTTGCAAGAGACCAAGCACTACCATTTTCGGGCTGGATTTCAAAAGTTCACCCGACCCTGGGCGTCCCTGTGAATTCTGTCATTATATGCGTCTGCATCTCATCCGCGCTTTCTTTTATCAACATTGCTAGCGTTGTTGCTTACAACAACATCCTGTCCTTGGGCTCGGCGGCGCTCATGGTATCGTATATTGTGTGTATTGCCTGTTTCCTCTGGAGACGCAACTCCAGCGAACCTGCCCAAATGAACAAGTTTTCCATGGGCAAATATGGCAACCTGGTCAATATTATCGCAATCATATTCTTGTCCATAGTTTTTATTGTGGCGTTCTTTCCGCCTGTGCCACGGCCGTGGCTGACTTGGGACACCATGAATTGGTCGTCGGTGATTTTCACCACGGTATTGGTATGGAGCATTGCATACTATTACATTTGGGGAAGATATATATATGAAGGCCCGGTGAAGAATGTGCAAAAGACGGAGATGATTCATGAGACACAGAGCCACCAATACGTATAGACGATAATGATCTGTTACGCTGTTAATGATCTGTTAGTTACTTACCAATTGCATCTCGTTTATTTTTAACTTAACCCAGTGTTCTTCCTATCGTGCATCCCATTCCTAGCCGATCCATCCATACCGCCAGTGTTGAATGCTTCCAGTTTGGTCTCTACACAAGGCGAGACAAGGTTATGCACCGGCCCGTCTGCCATTGGTCCCTGATTAGAGATTTGTACCAGGAAGGGGCCATCGAATGCAACCTCAACGTCGTAATTAATAGCGACCAGATTGACACTGCGTTGCTCCTTAGCTGACTCGTTCGAGCGCTAGTGTGCCAATTTCAGCCAGCCCCGTCGCTTGAATTACAGGGTTTTCGATGCTATGCCAGAAGCAGTAAGTACAACTTGGGTTTCGTTTCAAAGCGGCCACGCAGCCTTGTTTCATGGATTGTCCAAAAAGTAGGCTGTCGAGGGCTGAAAAATATTCTCCGACGGTCTGCCAGCTGGCAAAGGCCGACCGAGGCCAAGTTGTACAGCTGGTACAGCTGCGAGCCAGGTGCACTTGCTCGCCAGCTGGCAGAGGAAACAATGAGTTTCATTCTACAGTGCTATTTGTTGCAGCATCACCAAACCACACCATCTACAAACTGCATTTGCAACAATAAACCATCTCAACCAAAAAAAAAAGTTCCCGTGAACGAGTGAAGGATCCTACATGTCGGCCCAATACGGGTAGTAATAAGGACAACTTCCTTCTTTGGGGGAGGATTAGCAAGCCACTAAGCCACAAGACCAGCATGCTGCCCCCACCACTTTATTCAACGTAGCATATAATGGATCGCTAGCCTCGAGCACAAGAACCACTCGTGGCACAAACGCAACGCTAATGTCCCAGGAAGAAGGTTCGCGGCCTAGGGGGCGAGATCCATTATCCTTAATTGTGTCCTTGGTGCAAATACCACTTGCCCCTCTCAGCATACGACACCACCTACTATACAGACTCGGCTTCGAAGGTCGCCGACGCTACACTGCGCTCGCCGGCGTCACAGCAGTAATAATCTCATCGCCCACCCAGCATCCCTGAGGGCAGACACGCCATCCTTTCTACAACATTCTTTTGGTGAATTTTCCATCCGCCAGCCCTTGGCACAGTGATCCGACCGCAATTGAGAATGGAAGCGGCATCAGAATACAGCGAAAAGCCTCCCCGCAGCGGCGCAGCTCGATCGGATGCGTCGTGCGCCCGAGACGGCAGCGAGCCGTTAGGGGACATTGGCGAGAATGATGTCTTTGGCCTTGAGGAGACTCACGATATCAAGTACAAGAGTCTCTCTTGGCCAATGACGGCTGTACTCATGATTGCAGAAATCGTCTCCAACGGCATGCTTTCGCTACCATCGTCTCTGGCGGCTGTCGGCATGGTCCCCGGCCTGATCATCATCGTCTTCCTTGGAGTCTTCGCCACCTACACCTCGTGGCTTCTGGTCCAATTCAAGCTGAGACACCCCGAAGTGCACAACATGGGTGATGCGGGCTTCATCATGTTTGGTCCCATCGGCCGTGAGCTGCTGAGCTTCGGCACACTCTGTTTTGCCATCTTTGGCACTGGCGGCCAACTACTGGCGGGGCAGCTTGCACTTGCATCATTGACGAGCGGCAAACTGTGCAATGTGGTCTATACAGCCATTTTTGCCATTGCTACACTTCTACTTTCTCTCCCGCGAACCTTTTCTGGCCTCGGCCTGCTCTCAGTGTTGAGCGTCGCCTGTATCGCGGTAGGAGGCGTGGTTGGAATGGCAGCGGCCGGCGCACATCCGGCGCCGGACCGACAAATCGACATCGTAACCACTGACACCAACTTCTTTACGGCATTCGCTTCCATTACAAATCCAGTATTTTCCTTTGCTGGCCATTTCGTGTAAGTGATGCTTCTTTAGAGACTACCGTTTCATTGAACTCTAACAGAGCTATCTAGATTCTTTGTGCTCCTTTCGGAGATGAAGGAGCCGAAGCACGCTATGCGAGCAGCATATGCGCTGCAAGGCTTTGCGACATCATATTATGCCATCTTTGCTGGCGTTACTTATGCCTTTCTTGGTAAAGCTGTTAAATCGCCGTCGTTCATTTCGCTCGACCCATACTGGCAGAATGTTTGCTGGGGAATTATACTTCCTAACCTGCTCATTGCTGGCTCTTTGTATTCTCATACGGCAGCCAAAGTTGTTTTTATTCGAATCTTTCGCCATTCGCGGCATTTACACAGCGATACTGTCCTAGGATGGGGCGTGTGGGCTGCACTGATTGCCGTCGTCAACGGATTAGCATTTCTGCTGGCCGTCGGCGTGCCAATCTTTAACTACCTGATTGGCATCGCTGCGTCGCTTTTTGCAGCGTGGTTTACATACGGAATGTAAGATAACTGTTTCGTGAGATACCCAAGGCGGCTTTATGCTAACTTAACTACAGTGCGGGTATGTTCTGGCTTCACGATGCCTACCACGCAGGGGACGGCTTTTCTGTCTGGCGCAAGTGCTGGTTCCAAGCTGGAATGGCGCTGTTAACAGTCTTGACTGGAGCCTTCATCTGTGTTGCAGGATTATACGTCAATATCAAGAGCTTAGCAGATGACTATGCTGCAGGAGTAATCCCCAGCGCTTTCAGCTGCAGCGCGCCATCTTGATGGCGGCTTGGAGGACGATGAAGGCACGAAAGTTCTGCTATGGATGCAATAGACGATTCTAGAAGTTTAACGGTTATGCTTTTGCTCTTTTTCTCTTTTTCAATGTGCTCATCTCTTTTGAGTACTAGCCCTTCGACTGTACACTATATTACCAGTGGTACTTGACATAAAAAGTTGTCTCTTCGCCTCCGTGCGCAGCCAGCAAAATGCTTGTTGTATAATTGTCTGGTGGATTTATACATATTGTTTAAACGAGTTATTTCGCAGATAAGAAGGATTTATTGTAAATCGCATCTATTATTTGGACAAGAGATCGGCGATTCTATGTGTCATGCTTGGAACGCCTGGGCTTGGCGCCTTCAATTTGTACGCAGCGCCCTGAGACATCACCAGTGCTATACGAGAGGATACAAATCGGCAGTACAGAATTTGAATTTGTATCAAAACTTGCAGAATCAGAAAAAGAATGAAGTTGCCGGTGATATTGACGCTCGTCGCGGCAGCCGGGGCAAAGACGTCGTATGCAGGGCACAAGGTATTCCGCCTCACCTCTTCATCGGAAAGCAACCATTTCGCGCAGAACTTTACATCGCTCGCACAGGATTTGGCTCTGCCGATCTGGAGAGAGCCTGACATTGGAGGCCAATTTGCCGACATCCAAGTTCCGCCCAGTCTACTGTCATCCTTTGAGGAAGGGATCGAAGGATGGGCAGAGCTAGAGGTCATGCACGAAGACCTCGGGGCCGCTATTGATGAAGAGGCGCAGTATCCAGAATACAAGCGTAGGTAAACTACCACTCAGGTCTGGCTGTTCTAACAATGCCTCAGGCGGATCGGTCGACGCATCGTGGTTCAGCAACTACCACCCTTATAAGGACCACATGGCATGGCTAACCGACTTGCAAGCCAAGTACAGCAAGAACTCGGAAATCATTAACATTAGCAAGTCTGTCGAGGGACGGGATGTTTCCTGTATCCGCATATTCGGCAAAGAAAAGGGCAAGCCGGCCATCTTCTTCATGGGCACCTTGCATGCGCGCGAATGGATTACGACCACGACTACGGAATATATTGCACAGAGTCTCCTGGAGAATTATGGAAAAGATAACGATATTACCGCCGTTCTAGATAAGTACGACGTATATATTGTCCCAATTACGAACCCCGACGGTATACCGCGCCCCGACCGGTGTCAAATAATACCAAAGCTGACAGATGATCTCTAGGCTTCCTCTTCAGTCAGACCAGCACGCGCATGTGGCGCAAGAACCGCAACAAGAACGACGGCAACAAATGCATGGGCGTCGATACAAACCGAAACTGGCCCATTGACTGGGCAAAGACGTCCAAGGATCCTTGTGCCGACACATACCGCGGGACAGCTGAGGGCTCGGAGCCTGAGATACGCGGGTTGATGAACACTATGCAAGATATTAAGAAGAAGCAGGGCATCAAGCTGTTTGTCGACTGGCATTCTTACTCACAACTAGTCATCTATCGTAAGTCTTCAAAGGTCCATCCTTCTTCGACTAGTAGTCTAAGAACTCGCTCCAGCGTGGGGATACACTTGCAACCAGGCGGCACCACGGACTGAAGAACACTCTCGTCTTGCGCTAGGCGCTGCTGAGGTCTTTACCAAGGCCAAGGGAGCGCGATACAAGGGCGGCAACACCTGCAAACTGCTCTACGCTGCGTCTGGGTGTAGTGATGACTGGGTGCTGTCGTCGGGGGCGGCGGAGTACTCGTTTACTATTGAGCTCCGCGATGACGGTAAAAAGGGATTTGTCTTGCCTGCTAGCGAGATTCTCCCGACGGGAGAGGAGAGTTATGCTGCGACAAAGTGGCTGTTGATGAATCTCAAGTAACGAAGTAACGAACAGGGCGTGTTTCACGGTCTGTCTATGTAGAAAAGCGCACCTCGTCTAAATAAATATATAACTCGCTTTTATTCTCACTCTAGATAAATTAACAACAGTATAATTCTAATTAATGAAAAAAAGCTGCTTGCTAGCCGATTATTTCTTGTCAATTCCGCAGTCCTGCTTGGCTTCACCACGGTGGTTAGGGTAGCTGGTGTTGCAGCCGCCGTGGTGCTTGGCCGCAGACGCTCAGCGCCAGCGGTAACCGTGACAGGGTACAAAACGAATCCATTAGCTTTCCAGGCCATCGTGCCATATGCAGTAAAGGGATATCTTCAAGACAACGTTACAGAGCAGCCACGCCAACCAGAGCGACAAGGCCCGCCACGGCAGCAGCGTTTGGCGTTACCAGAGGACGCGCGTTTCCCGTCATGATAACCGATGTGGCGTTGGCCGATGGGTGAGACAAAGGAGATCCCATTCCTGATGAGGAGGAAGACGGCCCAGCTGAAGGAAGTGCGGTTTGCGACGGCAAGGCACAAGCTGTAGACACGGGAAGCTTCTCTAGTCCAGCGATCAAGGTGATTATGCAAGGATCCGGGCCGACACTCTTAGTAAAAGGAGCTTCGTCTAACTTCTCAACGGTAAAGATGGTGCTCGGGTCATCGACGTATCTGTATGTGGCGCCTTTGTTGCTGCAGGTAGTATTGCCAGACGGCCCGAGGTGACAGCCGACGTTTACCTCTCTGTTTGGTGTTAGAAGAAGAAGTAGACTTGAAGAACTGGACGTACCCGGATATAGGGCCGCGACCGAGTCCTGTTACTTCCTTGGGATCTTCTCTGTCCTCCATGTGTACTACTAATGTCGAGGCGCCCTGTGTGAGGGCAATGGTCTTTGCTAGGCCATAGTAGAAGTACATGTTCTCGCCAAGAGTAAGCCTTATAGGATCGAGAGAAACTGTAGTGAGATTTTGCACCTCATCGTAGCCAACGACGCTTGCGACACTATTGTTGAATCTTTGATCGGCAAAAGGAGATTCATTGTAGTGACCTGGGCGGCAGCGCGGCCCGCGAGGCCAATGGCGATAAGTCGGTGCATTAGAGACAGTTGAGTAGAAAACTTTTAGAAATTGACGAATTTCATCATGCACGAGACGTTGGGAGAAAAGCTTTCCTTCAAATGATTTTGCGCGGCGCCCTCACAACAACACGGGCTGCTCTAGGCGGCTTAGCGTGACAGCCAAACGAAGGCGGCGCAGCCATCGCAATTACGATATAAATAGAAATAACGTCATTTAATTGAGTGAAGACAACGAAATGCTAAAGTTCACCAGCCAAGTATCTCGTTTTCATCGGAGCCAAGTATCTCCTTTTCGTCGGATTTTGTTCCCCTCTCCCCGTTCTTCCTCCACGCCGGCAAGCCGCATGATATATACGACCGATTCATAAGTAGGTAGGTAAATTACGCAGACGGAGAGGTTTTGCACTGATTGGAATTTCATGAGCGGTAGTAGAGAATTGAAAAAGCTCGCTTCCATAATACTTTCTATCTACGCACATAACTAAGGTCTAGTCGCTGGCGCTTGCGAGACGGCGAAGTGTCACCTAACGAATGACTGTCATCAGCTTCCGGGATGTTTTCGATTTCAGTCTTCGATAGCCATTGAGCGTCAGGTATAGATGTTTCAGAAGAAGTGATGCGCTGGAGCGCAGCGACTATCTCGGCTGGGTGTGACGGTAAAAGTGCAAGAATATGCCGAATGGCTTGAAAGTGTTTCGGGACCCAATGGTCATAAACATTCTTAACAAAAGAATAGGCAGTCCATCTTTCTTTGCCATCCAAGTCCATGAAATTAAAGGAGCGTATCATATGACGATGATACGTAGTTCCACTAGATTGAATGCTTGGGTAGTGCCCATAGATTCGAACGCATTCATGGTTGTGTGATACGGAAAACCCCAATATCTTCCCATTTACTTGGTGCTCCTGACCACACATTCGATAGAGAGTTGTGATTGCTCGGATTGCAATTGTCATGCTATGCGCATTTTGGAAGTCAGCACTCGCCAGAGCTGCTACACTAAACTTGACTTCACACGTTAGAAACGGGAAAAACATATCATATGTTGCCATAAAATAGGACCGATCTCCAGCTAGATAATCGCCGATAAGATGGGAAAGCTTTTCCATTTCAGCCTGTGTGAATACACCTTCGCGGAAGCCGACTGCAAAGTCTGGCTGTGGTGCCGTTGAGGTTAATGGGATGCAGTTACTCCAATTCTCATTGATACTCTCTATGAGCCATTTGAGGTTGGTAGATCCCGACAATGCCAAGAGCTCTGGACTAGGTATGATGAAGGGCGTAATGTCACGAAAGACCCGGGCCTCGTTTCTCCACGATGCTGCTTCACACGTTGTTTGAAAGCGGGTATTATCAAAAAGAGAGTTTGCTGGTAGATCTTGCCGCAACGTGAGAAGATGGGCGATAACAGTTCGACTGTCTAGACAGATACCATTCTTCGAATCTGATAAAAAGCATCCTTGTTGTTGAAGCCGTCTTGTATAGCGTTTGTCGGCGTATGATACCATTGTCTTTTGCGTTCCTGTAGAGGGAGTCTCACTCCGTTCGGATCGCTTTCGTGAGCCCGTTTTTCGTATTATTGCGCTAAACATGGTTCTCGGCCAAGAGCTAGTCTGAATCCAATGTTGAATGTTGTGGTTGACTTGGTGGTTGATTGTTGGCTGTGGCTGATGCTTTTGTATAAATGTTGGCTTTGATACTCCAGCATTTGATACTCCAGCATTAGCTTTAGGCTGTGACATTGTCCTTGATGTGAATGGGTTCAAAGTAGTGTTTTAATTGCGTTACAGTTTGATGGGAGTAGAGTATTTAATATATCTATTGTATGGGAATGGAATGACGGGCGTTGGTGTGCTGTTGTTTGGCTCTGCCTCTCTTTGATTCGACAGTGTTTGGAGTTTGTGAACGAGGTGCGGGCGTCGCGACACTCAAAAGCAAACCCACATGCTATGCATATCTCCTTTGTTCCGACTTACAATAGAAGGAGAAATGTGATCCTGTATTGTATTTAATTGTGTTCCAATGCGAACAGCGGGAATCACAGCCCAGGTGATGCTCGCCAAAGAGACGATCCATTGTTGTAACTTGGACAGCAGCGCCCGCTAGGCCAATGGAAGGCGGCGCAGTCATTCACAATTATAATATAACTATTAATAGTATTATTAATAAAACCTTCGAATAGATCGATGATAAACTATTTGGATTATTCTACTCCTCGCATAGCGTGAATAGGCCGCTACGTGGGCTCAGCTGTGCAATAGTGCTGGTGCCTGAGGCCGCAAACCATGGCATTTCAGGCGGCGCAGCCTTACAAACCCCTCGTTTTGCCTGTTCATAAGCTGAGGCCTACTGGCTCCAAATAGTTGTAATTTATTCACAATCTCAGAGCACCCCAGATTATCTCATCAATGTCGATTAGCGTCCTTTGAGCGTCCTGAACGCCAAACGGATAACTATGGATCTCCGACCCGCCCGTCCAGCGAGCCGTGATGGCTTCGAGATTGCTATCATCTGTGCCCTCCCCCTCGAAGCCGATGCCGTCGAAGCCCTTTTCGACCATTTTTGGGATGACGACGGCATTCCATTCGACAAAGCTGCTGTTGATCCGAACACCTATTCTACTGGCACTATTGGCCGCCACAACGTTGTGCTTGCATGCTTACCAGGCATGGGAAAAGTGAATGCTGCGATGGTAGCTAATAACTGCCGCGTAAGCTTCCCTAACATTAAGCTAGGCCTAGTGGTAGGCATCGCTGGAGTTGTGCCATTTGGCCCAGACGGCCAGGAGATTATTCTCGGCGATGTGATCATTAGCGATGCGATTATCCAATATGACTTTGGTCGACAGTTACCAGAGCGGTTTGCGCGCAAAGATACGCTTTTAGATTCATTTGGGCGGCCGAATACAGAGATACGAACGTTTCTAGCCAGTCTGAAAAGACTTCGACGCCTCAAATCTTTAGGCAGTGATATAGCCGAGCATCTTGCTACACTTCGAAAAGAATCTCAACTTGCCGCTACCTATCCCGGCGTTGAGCATGATAAACTTTTTGAACCAAGATATCGCCATCTTGGGGATAAAGACACATGTGACAAGGCGGGCTGTAATGGCAAGCTGGTTCCGCGCCACCGTCTACAGGCAAGCCCTGACTCATCGCCGACCCCGGCTATCCATTTTGGGTTGATCGCATGTGGTGACACGGTTATGAAGTCGGGGGAGGATCGAGATGTAGTGGCGGTTGCTGAAAGTGTGATCGCATTTGAGATGGAGGGAACAGGCGTGTGGGATGTGCTGCCGTGTGTTGTAATCAAAGGCGGCTGTGACTATGCGGATAACCACAAGAATAAGAAGTGGCAGCGATATGCAGCAGCAACGGCGGCGGCATGTATGAAGGCATTTTTGAAGACGTGGGTGCCATCGGTAACAAAGCAGCCATCAACCGAAACTAGCTGCCCGATTGCAAAGCGTACGTCGTAGAAGATATCGTGGACTATTATCGCTAATAGACTGTAGCCCGTACCTTCTTCGTGCCGTTCGCGAATAATGAAGACTTTGTTGGCCGTGACGATAGCATCCGACTCCTCATGGACCTGACATTGGCCGAGACAAATACAAAACAACGCATGGCATTGTTTGGGATGGGTGGTGTGGGAAAAACGCAAATCTTGCTCAAGATTACCTACCTGATGAAGGATCAAGATCCGGAGCGAAATATCTTCTGGCTACCTGCGCACAGCATGGTAGGCTTTGAGCAGGCATGCGCAGGGTGTGTTGAGAAATTAAAGCTTGCCAGACCCGAAAACGACGACCCTAAAGAAGTCCTTCGTCGATACTTGAGCAGCGACGATGCTGGCCAATGGCTTCTCATTTTGGACAATGCAGACGATGAAGATATTCTGCAGGGATATGACGATACGACAGGCATATACGCATACTTACCGCGCAGCCTGCAAGGCCAAATTTTAATTACAACGCGGTCGCGGAAAATTGCGGTTGACTTCGCAAAGAAAAACATCATTCAAATCACAGAGATGGAAAACAATGACGCAAAGAACTTGATGCTTTCGTAATTGTTATGCGAAGATTATATCCAAAATAAGGAAGACCTGCACGAGATGCTTGGACTGTTGACGAATTTGCCATTGGCAATCACACAAGCCGCAGCTTATATGAACATGCTTGACATATCTGTTGAAGAGTACCTCATACTATCTCGTCAAGAAATGATGGATTTGATGCGCAACCGGCATGAAGACGATAACTTTCACGACGAGAGTCAATACGCGGTCGCCACGACGTGGCTTATTTCCTTTAAGCAACTGGAGAAGCAGAGTTCCGCTGCGACACGACTGCTTCGTTTCATGATATGGATACAACCGCAGGCAATTCCTATGTCAATATTGCCTGATGTAGGATCTGAAGGAAATCTCATCAAGGCAATTGGGCTGCTCAAGAGTTATGGGTTTGTTAGAGCCAGACCAGAACGCGGGATGTTTGACATCCATAGCCTAGTGCATATGGTTATGCGATCATGGACAGTTGAGCAAGGTATTGATGACGAAATAAAGACGGATGCAATAAATCATCTGAGTGGCATTTTTCAATCTGATGACTGGGATGTTCGGGAAACCTGGCGAGCTCAACTGCCTCATATACTTCATATATTAAATAATTTTCGGGAAACAGATCCTTCCACGGTGTTAGAGTTAGGCTACTGGGCGGGAAGATGTTTATATAAAGATGGCCAGATCAAAGAAGCGGTGGCGTTGCTAGAGCATGTTGTCAAGATTGAAGAGACAACGCTAGCCGAAGACCATCCCTCACGACTATCATCGCAACATGTACTTGCAGGAGCATACAAGAGTAATGGCCAGATCAAAGAAGCGGTTACATTACTAGAGCATATTGTTAAGATTCAAGAGACAACGCTAGCTGAAGACCATCCCGACCGACTATCATCGCAACATGAACTTGCAGGAGCATACGAGAGCAATGGCCAGATCATAGAAGCGGTGGCGTTACTAGAGCATGTTGTCCAGATTCGGGAGACAACGCTAGCCGAAGACCATCCCTCACGGCTAGCATCGCAACATGTACTTGCAAGAGCATACGAGAGCAATAGCCAGATCAAAGAAGCGGTGGCGTTGCTAGAGCATGTTGTCAAGATTCAAGAGACAACGCTAGCCGAAGACCATCCCTCACGACTAGCATCGCAACATGAACTTGCAAGAGCATACGAGAGTAATGGCCAGATCAAAGAAGCGGTCACATTACTAGAGCATATTGTCAAAATTCAAGAGATAACGCTAGCCGAAGACCATCCTAATGGTATTCGCTCAGAGACGCATCTCTCAGACGTTCTTGACCAAGTTTATGCCTAATGAATATAGCGATACATCTTGCTTAATGTACTCAACTTCTTTTGCATGTTATATCTGGCCATAGTTCTGGTTGTGATAGACATAAGGCTCTTCTACTCGACAAAGCCGACATTTAAGGGCATCTTAGATCCAATGTAGCGCAACGGGTCAGCCTTTCTAGCCTCATGCGCAATTTATCCGAGCTATGTACCCAAAATGCAGGCCCTCGCTTTCTTGGGCATGACTGCAAGCAGGCTAAAGGGCATCATCGCTAGAGTAGTTATTCACCAATGCACTCGCGGCTACAATAAAGTCTACAACTTGTGACTTACCTTCCATTCCCTTCCATTACTTTCCAAACCGCAAATACAAAGAATACATAAACATCACCAGCCAATAATTTCCTTTTCGTCAGAACATGTTCCTGTTTCGCCGTCTTCCCCCAGACACGCAAGACGCACGATATTCACGGCCGATTCATACGGCGGCCTCCCCAGCCCAGAGTCCTTGGTAAAGCTAGTTGCTGTGAGGTTTGGGCAAGACGCATTGACTTTCCACCCCCTGGAGTCAAATTTGGCAGCGTAGTGTAATGTAAGCATATTCAGAGCTGCTTTACTACTGCGGTAGATTGGGAACGACGCGCGGCTCATGCGCTCGTGCCAGGGAGACGCGGAGTCGGACCGCAGCGTGAGAGATCCAGTGTGCGAGGAGACAAACACGATGCGAGCAGGCGAGATTGCAGTGTCTAGCAGCGGGGAAAAAGCTTCCGTTACGGCCGCCGCGCCAAACAAGTTTACTTCGTAGACTTCATGATATGCCTTTCGCAGCTTGGCCAGTGATAGAGGCTCCAGATCTGTAGTGGCACCAGTCTGCAGATGCAACATGTATGCTTCCAGCTCATTGTTAATGCCAGCATTGTTGACGAGGACGTCAAGACGGCCGTATTTGGCAGCGACATGGTCGGCTGCAGCTTGTATAGAAGCATCGTCTGTCACATCGATGGTAATGGCTTGGACTATTTCGCTAGAGGGATCTAAATCGACGGCAGCTTTGGCTCCCCGCTCTGCATCGCGAGAGCCAAGAAGGACGGTAAAGGTGCCCTTTTCAACAAGATGCTGCGCAACGGCGTACCCGATGCCCTGGTTCGCGCCAGTGATGAGAGCAATTGTTTTCTCGCATGACCAAGACATGATGTGTCTGAAAAAAAGTATATGTTTGGTAGAAATGTATCGAGTGAGAGAGGGGAGAGTGGTTTCATAGTTTAGGTAAGGTGGTACTGTAGATCTGGAGTTTGGTGCTAACTCCGCTGCGCTAACTCCACCATGACGGCATCTCTGTATAGATATTTCTCTAAACCGTTGTACTGAATATGCTCCTTAAATATGTCGAATAAAATGCAACTGGTTTATTATGGGCAGAAAGGGCATTGGTTGCCACGATGGCGTTAGGGTTGTCCACTTCCACACTCATCGCAACAGCGCAATCCGGGGTCGCAGTGATGTGTGCTGCAAGGCGTTATGCGAGCAAATGCCATCGCAGCCATTGTGGTCATAATCATGGTGGTGGTAGTAAGAAGAGTAAATGGAAGGGTGAAACTAACAAGACCGCACCTTCAGCAGCACTACACAAAAAGACATATATTTATACGTTCACCATTTGAAGCACCTCGGAACACCGAGTTTCCTCGGAAACTACAGTTCATAGCTGAATGTCGGGCCATCGGCATGCCGCCATATCCAGCCTAGCCGCGATCCTTAGCAGCCACAGCCGCATCCACGACGCCTCGCTACGAAAATCACATTAGGACCCATCACGAGATGCATGAAATTGCATTATGGTTTCTAAATAGTTGAATATTGACGGACTAAGTGCGGGATACCCCACGATAGTTCTTCAGCTCGACGCATTCCACCAGATATAGGCAGGTCAGGATCTTTTGAGGAACCCCCCCTCTTCCCATAATCTCCTAGAGGCAGAGATCTGTAGTGCAATACCACTGGTTTATAGTGTCCAGGCAGCAGTTCTTCGTTGGGCCGCACCCATGGGGACCGCAATAATCGGACACATCTGGCTTGGGGGCAGGAGTGGCAATGGCGAAGGAAGCCATACAGGCGACGAGGAAAGTAGATGTCTTCATAACGGAGTAGATAGAAAGGAAGTAAAAGTATTGTGGAGCTATTTCTGTGTATTTACTAGCCAGTGACAGAAGATGTACCGGTATTTATAGCCAATGTTATGCGGTCCTTTCCAGCTCAATACCTGGTCCCTCGCAAAGCTGCCCAAAAGACCTGTCAACGCAGTGGCGGTGCCTCTACGCATCGCTCACACCTATCAGTGCAATACCAGCTTCCGTCGGCACAATAACAGCAGTGTCCGCGTCCCGAAATGCAATGGCAGTCTTCGCCGGGACCGCCAGCAATGGAAGCCGTGACCATGGCGGAGACCATGTAAACAAGGAGAAGGGTTGCGGCTCTCATTTCAAAATGAAAGTAGATTGGTAATAAATATGAAGAAAATAGTAAACAGAATTTGTAAATTTCAATGCAATGTGTGATGTCCACCCCCGTTCACGAACAGTATAAGTCAGGTTGTGTATTTATAGGCAATCCTTTGCGGGGACCTTCTCTCAGCTGCATCGCATAAATTCCCAAATAGTATAACCATTCATAGCCTTCAGCAAGGTTCGCAGGGTTTGATAGGTTTAAACTCGCAGTAATAGCCTCCGAAGTCACGACACAGGCAATATTTGCCACAGTCACAGGGGTATTCGGGGTTCTTTGATATAGCGACAGCCAACGCGGCAATGCAACTAACCATGATGCAAAGGAACTTCATTTCAAAGAGTAGTAGAATAGTTGAATGATTGTGTTGAAGATAGAATAAAATATAGTGTGGATGTTTAATTGGTAGGACAACTATACGAGAATGTGACGCGAATTTATAGCCAAGCCTCCACCGAGTAGGTGCATCAGCAACATCGCTAATCCTGCGCAATGATGTTCTTAACGAAACAAAGTTCCGCTATGCATTGTTGAGTCCTCGAAATACAGTAATAGGTACCATCGATGCAGCGACAGCAAATCCCCTGGTTGCAGAAGCTGCACGGGCCGTCCGGTGACGACGCAGCAGCGACCAGAGCAGTGATGCAAGCGAGTAAGACAAACCACGATTTTCATTTTTTGAAGGAAGCAGAAATATATTTATGATGAATTAATGTAGATTGAATTACAACAAACGTTTCCAAGTCCCGCTAGGCTAGCGTATTTATACACGCTAGATGCAGCTGTGTTGTTGATTGTCATTTTTCAGCCGTATCGCTAATCCTGCGCAATAGTATTCAAAGGGAAACAGCCATTAATGTCGCATTGCTTGTTCCTTGGAGTACAGTAATATGTGCCATCGCCGCAGGGACAACAAAGCCCGATGGAACAGAAGTTGCAGGGGCGGGCGTTCGCAGAGGGCGCAGCAGCGACCAAGGTGGTGATGCAAGCGAGGAGAACAAAAGACGCCTTCATATTAAAGTAAATAGAAAATGTATTTATGATGAAATGAGTTGGTCAACTGAGTTGCATTGAAAGTTCCCGGTACCGCCAGACTAGCGTATTTATAACCCGTACATCATTCGCAGCCCGCTTTCGCTGTCAATGTTCACTTTTCAGCTGCATCGCTGATTGTCTGCAATAGTATTTGGAATGGGACAGGTCGGTTGGCATATTCTTTTATTTGAAACGCAGTAGAAGTCTCCATCTCCACAGGGGCAACAATGCTCGGGGCAATCACGAGCATTCCATCACCAGCACGTGAGATATGTGTCATTGATATGCTATCCAAGTGATCCTGGCTTGCAACGAGCTTTGCAATCGGCCAGACTGTCGAAACAATCAGGCGGACCACAATCACGACAGCAGATTTCGTGAGCGCCGCAGGGCCCCCCTCCACCACAGTCAGGACGTTGATAGGTTCCAGGTGGAACAGCGATGGTAAAGGTAGCGGTATAGGCAAGTAGAATATAGAGCTTCATGTTGTAGATTAAAGCTTGTAGTAGTAAAAAGAGATAAACTGGCTGAACAGGAGATCCTCAGTGTTGCGTCTTTATATACGCCGCTAAACCAGTACTTCACAATCTATTCCGATCAAATAAGACCACAACAGCCTTCCCGAGCACTCCATAGCTAGTCTGCGAAGTATGTGTCGTTGCGGAACTTTTGGGAGTGTCATGGTGGGCAGAGCCGGTTGCAGGTAGCCTGGTCTCTCACACAGGCAGGCGGCCCACAGGTATCGCAACAAAGATAGTATGGCTGGCATGGCGGCCCATCACCACAACGTGGACGGGCATTCGTACCAGGCGGGGAAGCTAGAGCCAGAGTTGCCATAAAGCCGAAGATGACGTGTAGCGACTTCATGGTGGAGGTGTACAAGGAGAAGAGTATGAGTATATGAAAAGAAGCCGCTAAGGGAATAAGACTAGAGAATAGACTATCTTAACCAGGCAAAGGCACGGCATTTATACCCCAGAATCCCATGTCGTGTATACACACACCCCATCACCCATCTCCTCCACAGCCCACATCGACCCAGCTGAAGAGGCGTCTAGTTTCGGCACCGGTTGCAAGATGAGGGGCTCTTAGCGCAGTAGGATTCCTTGCAGTCATCGCAGCAAATGAACCAAGACGGGCAGTTCCGCCCGTTGCCGCAGTCCACGGGCGTATTCCTCTTGTCCCCGAGCGGGTTGGCTGTTGCCAAGGCTCCCAGGCACATAGCCACAACATAAAACGACTTCATATCAGACAATAGATAATAGAATACGTTTGTTTGTTTAAATATGAAATAGAATGGTAAATTGGTAAGTGAAGAAAAAGCTGCGTAGTACACATAGACATCATAGTTCTATGCATATATATAGAGTTCAAGCATACATACGGCTGAACTCGCAATCTATCCGATTTAAGCTTCCCCACAACACAACGCGCATAACTGTGACACATACCATTGTATCGGCTGATCGTCACTATAATGTAGTAGAACGACAATCAGCCGCGGCAGCGGTTACACCCGGTCGGGTCTTTGGCGCAGTATGATTCCTCCCATCCACAGTCATCGCAACAGGTGAGATGGGGTGCACAGTTGACTGGGGCACGACAGTCGATAACGCTCCCAAGAGGAGTAGCGATGGCCAAAGTGGTCATGGTCGCAACAATAAGAATGTAGGATCTCATCGTGTCAAGATAAAGAGAACAAGTAGGAGAAGAGAAGAATTGTTCGTTGTATTCTATTGAACTGCTAGAGCTGTCTAACAGGGATGCAATATGCATATATATAGACCTTATCAATTATATTATAGCAACCCAGTGATATAACATGCTATAAAGGCGTAACATCGCAGTCCGTTCTGTTTCCGTCGAGAGGGCTTGCAGCGTGCGTTCCAGCCGCAGGTGTTGGCGTCCAGGCGCGTCCATCAAATTTAATGGCATCGACATCCAGTCGGGTACTTTGTACAACGAATCTCGCTACACTCTGCGCAACAGACAAACCAGTCTGGGCAGCTTGGCTCCCCAGGACATCTTTTAGTTAATCATCCCAGAGAATTCGCAACCGCCAGCGTAGCAGCCATGGACATTATCGTCGAATAAACGAGCTTCATAGTGGATAGAAGAAAGAATGAAGTATGAAATGAGTGGCTAGCTATTCAATCGTACACGTAAAGCAAAGGGGTATTTATGCACACCATCACCGCCACCTCCTCACCAGCAAGCCAGCCCAGCTCCGACTCGCAAACCCTCTCCTTTGGGCGACGATGCTGTACACGTCATAAAGCATAAAATACGTAACATAATTAATCATGTTTCCCAGTCCCGCGCAAAAACTCCCAAAGTAATCGAAACCCTTTAATCCGTGTCGTACGAGTACACGGACGAGTCGTCAGCCGGATCGTCCACGTTACTAGCACTCGCCGTGCCAACACTGTCCATGCGCTTCACAACGCCCATCCACTCCATCTCCATGGTGTCTGGAGTCCACTTGACGCCATCGGCACCGCGGAAGTAGCCCTGGCGATCGTATATGGAGCGGGCGCGCACATAGGGATCGAGATTCCAGTAGTTGGCGATGAGATCCTGGGCAATGGCGTCGCGGCGCATCGAGACCGAAAAGGCGCGGTCGCTGCGCTGCGCAGTCATGATCCATTCTCTCGTGGTGTTTTCAAACTGAGAAACTAAGAAGCGTCGGTGCTCAAGGATGCGCTCACGCGTTGCGGTGTCTTCCATGAGGATGTTCTCGGCTGGATGGGGCTCATCATAACTGTACTCCCAGTCTGATTTGCCGCCGAGCTCTTTGATGATTTGGTCGGCGGCAATGTATTTCTGCAGCTTCTTGGCGCTGGATGTGAACTTAAATTTGGAGGCAAGGTACGGGTTGACCCAGGACTTGATCATCTTCCAGAGGGCTCTGGTTCCAAAGGGGGCATTGTGCACGAGGATGAGGCCAATGGACTCGGGGTAGTTTTCCTCAATGCACTTGATGATGATTTTGAGGGGTGACAGATCAATGTTTCCAGGGCGGAGGCCACTCATATCGATGAGGATAGTCTACGTTTGCTTAGCACATGTATAGTGAATAGGTGAGAGGGAGAAAACTTACACCAGTCTCGACAGGGCTGCGCAGAGCGAGGCGGGCCATCTCAAACACGTAAATGGCAAATCGCTCAAGAGTTTCGGGAGTCTGGTCTGAAGCATGGTGTGTACGGACTCGAATGTGTACAATGGGACGGCCTTTAAGATCGGTGCCGTGGATAAAGGCCTTGCCTGTTCGAAGCTGGTTGAGGAACTCAGTACCATGATGTCTGGCGACACCCTGGCCATTCTTTTCGTCCTCTGAGGCACCGCCCTCTCCTCGCTTGAGGATATCATCTTCCACCACAGCCTCCATGGTGCGCCAGTAGATAGACTTGCCCAACATGGTAGTGGCTGCAATGATGTCCCAGTCACAGGCACGGAGGAAGCGAAGTGCGAGTGCATCGGGATGTTCGTAGCGCACGCAGTGCTCAATAAGCAAGTGGTACATGTCTGGCGTCCAGTTGTCTAACGCCTCAACAGCCTTCTTGGCCAGCTTCTTGGGGTTGCGCTCTTCTGTCGGGAGAATGGCAAGCAGCTCATCCACCAGCATGGGATACTTATCATGTGTATGGCTCGTCTTGGTCTTGTGTTTGCCAATGTTGCAGGCTTGCTTCGCAGGGGGTACATATTTCTCCTCTAGTGTCTTGTAAGACGAGTCTTTATCGTTGCCCTCACAAATGTCGATAAACTTGAAGCCAATGGCCCAGAGAGCACGAAGCTTGGCCTCCTGCTCCTGTCCTAGATGACCACGATGGCCCATGGGGATGGTACACATTGCCGTGGGCGCAATTGGTGGCATTTTCGCCGGCTGTTTTTTCGTGAGGACTCTTTGAATGCCCATCATGATGTGTACGAGGATGAGTGATTTTTTTTTTCGCTTGAGCTTCCCCTCTTCCCCAACAACATGCATTCGCAGCCCCGCGATATATACAGCACTTGCTCGCTTACATGCGCCGAGGAGCAGCCTGCCGAGGCATGGGTCCTCCTGCGGGGGTGGCGCCTCTTAGTGGTGACATTTTGGGGCTAGGCAAACTTGCTTTTGTAGTGTGGTGGGCTTCTAGCCTCCCCGCCACCGTCAAACTATCGTGCAGCTAAACCACGCTGAGGGTAGTAGTGCGGTAGGGTCCTTACCCCATGGGGATAGAAAAGGCTGACGCCACACTCGGCGGTTCTCGCACGTACGATTCATGGTCGGCAGTATCCTTCATGTGAAGGCCCAAAAGATGCACCGCGCTAATATATTTGGTGGCAAGATGATTCGATGACCTTTCGGTTGCGGGAGAGTAACGGAGCGGGGTTAGGTGAGGTAAGTACTGGCCATTAGATCAAATGAAATGGAAGCTATCGGGTTTTCCCACGGACTTGGTCGGTGGAGCGAAGCGGAGCATGGTCTTAGCAACGGTAGTGGGTGTTGTTTTTTGCTGACCTGTTTTGGTGTAAATGAATATGGAGACGACCGTTCTCTCGACCCATCGTCGTGGTAGGGTGGCAGCAGCCACCGTTTGTAGAAGACGAAAATTAGATTTCGAATATTGTTGGTTCATTCGAGAGGTCATTGTTGGGTCCACTTACAACAGCGGCATTTACAAATATTGTGGCTTTGTTGTTGCCGAGCATGAACACCCGCATTATTCTCGCCCACAAAGCCAGCATCACCATGTATAAAACAGTGCCCCAGCCAGCCCAACCAGTCATAATTTCCTCGTACCCGCCTTGCACCCCATCCAGTATGGCATCTTCTCGCCCATACGATACGTGAATGTGTCCAAATACGTGAAGGCGTGGTCTCAGACGACGAACCTCTTCTGCCAAATACGGACATCCGGCGCGGTGGAAATCCCATCTAGATGGAGGCGGGGCGGACCATGCGTGATGATGATGTCCGGGATAGTAGTACCAAGAGAAGAGAGAATATTTGCCCAATGGTAGCCCTCGTCGGGTCGATATTGGAAAGCAGACGTACCATACTGCGGTGTCCATGGACTGCCGAAGATGGTGATTTTTCGAGCATCTCGTACATTGTCAGTCTGTTGATCAATCCGACTAATTTCCGAAGGGGTGTTAATTTCCAGTGTAATGCTGGTGTCCTGTAGATATATCCAGTTGAGATCATGTCTCATTTTGGTTTCGCCATATCGCCGCTCAGGATATTTGGAGAGAAAAGCGTCATCTAACAACACATCGTGATTGCCTGCCACCAGTATTCTGTGTCTGTAGGGAAGTGAGGAGAGCCAGTCAAGCTCGTTTCGGACTTCATCATACGACCCGTTTTCCGTGAAATCACCAGCATGAATCAAAACATCGCCCAGCGGTACTGTTGGGCGTTTATTGTGCGTATCGGATAGACAGACAATCCGTATTGACTTGGAATGGCTGGCTGTGTCTAACGTAGTAGAATGTCGGTGGGCTTGTAGGATAGCGGTTGCTACCCTTTGTTTCCAAGGCTTGCGAGTTTTGATACGCGCGAGGGGCTCTGCATTAGACATTTTGGATATCATAAATGTCCGCTAATATTAATTAATATCGACTCAAGAATCGGAAGTTGTAAATACAAGAGCGTATTATTTCCTGTCTTTTGAGGCTTTCAGTCAGATGAAGAGTGTAAGTTTTGACTCACATCGCCGGCCAACCGTCTGGCGAGCAGTGTCTGTCACGTGTACCAGCTGGCAACTCGATATCAGACTTTGGAATTTTGCGACAGTCACTTGAGCGAAGACATGAAAATTTAAAAAGAAATTTTAAACACCGGAGCCAAGTTGATCACCCTAGTCTATTGAATTCATGATTCTTCCACTCACGCTAAAGTGCAGCCATGGAGTGGATTCAGCGCCAAATCCACAAGCAATGGAAATTTTCTCCAGCAATAACAAAACATGTCTAATGGCACGGGCACGAATACACTGCCACAGCTGTTAACTTTAATCATTACAACCTCCCCAATTCCTTCTGCTCCATCGACTGATCTTCTTCAAGCTGCCCTAGACTCATTTCGCCTCCATTGCGACTCTCTATTGGATATCAATGTCATTGTTGTGTTTGACGCCCATGAACAGGTCACTTCCACAGCCCGCCTCAAGAAGGGCTACGTGACAGAAAAGGGCATCCAAGACTACGAAAAATATAAAGAAAACTGCCGACAGCTATTTCTCTCAGCTTATGGCCAGACTCCAGAGCCAGCATTTACGCAATGCCGGGGTGAAGCAGAGTTTGGCTCGCCCAACAGCACAACACCAGTTCCCTATAGCGCCGCATCTACAGAAAATGGACGTGTAACATTTATTGACGTCGAGGAGCGTCGCCTGGGATTTGGTTTAGCTGTTCGGACCGCACTGCGTATGGTGACGACACCATATGTCTGGGTTCACCAGCATGACTGGGCCCTTCTGCAACCGGTGCCAGTAGCCTCCATCATCAGCGTGATGCAATATGCAGAGACGCAGGATCAGCTCCCAATCAAGTATATATGTTTGCCATCCGTGCGAGGACTTTCTTATGCTACATCAAACAAAGTCACAAAATTTCCAGAGCTCAAAAAGCTTACCGACACCCTGACAAGAGATTACACGTCGCCAGACGATCCGTCAGTCAGTATCCCGCTCACGCCCATGTACTTTTGGCACGACAGACCACATATTGTGTTGACAGAACACTACCTTCAACGCGTGTTTCCAACAAGATTAGCCATGCTACGCGGCGCATTTATCGAAGATACCATTGGGCAGCGTGCGCGAAATCAGATGAAGGAAGGCCAATGGGAGAAGTGGGCAACATGGATCTATAACCCTGGCGGCGGCACGCAAGCGTGTCTCCGACACTTGCAAGGAAGAACGCGAGCAGAACAAGGGAAACCAACCGAAGATTCTATTCCGTGATATCTTATCTATGGCTTATAAATCCAAAGCTTGCCATCCTCATGAAGCTGAATCAGATACCGGCCCCCGGCAAAGATACGACTCGTGTTAGGGTTACCATCAATCTGCTTCCACCCCGTCAGCGGCGTGCCAGTATACTGCCAGATACCAGCGTCATCCTTGACAACATAGGTGCCACTGGGACCAATTTGCGCGTCGCGAGTGTTCTTCTTGTCGTCAATCAGTGTCCACTTGTTCGGTGCTCCGCCGTACAGGTACACGTTCCTATCAGGACGCTTCTGGATGATGTTGGTCTCGGTGACCGGATCGGCGGCAATCCCAAAGACTTGGCCGCTGCTATCAATCTGCTCCCACTTGACGCCAGGGCCGACATATCGCCAAGCAGTGCCATCGTCATCACGCACAATGAGGCGTCCAAAGAAGCCACAGTTGCTCTTCCAGAAGTCTTTGAGGATGTAGTCGAAGCCGTTCCAGAACCAGATGGAGCCCTCTTTCTGAATGACGTAGAGGCCATCCGCATTGGCGATGAAATAGGGATGGTTGCCAGCGGCCGCAGGGCCGGTCATCTTTCTCCAGGTGTTGTTGGGACCGGGAAATGCCGAGATTTCTCCCTTATTGGTGATTTTGGCAAGGCAGCCGCCGCCCGCGTCTATCGAGTCATTGGCTTTGTCTTCGTCTAGGAGAGTCCACGTGGCATTGCCGTCGTTGTAGCGCAAAATCTGGCCAGTATTGCGTCGATACTGGTAGATTTTATCACCATCCAGAGCAACATGATCAGTATCGGGATTGCTGTCAATTAAAGTCCATCCGGGCCAATTGCATCTTGATTCTAGAATTCATTAGTGCTATCCTAGTGCTCAATTGATATTTTGGTGGTACTAACTGACATCAGGAGCTGCGCAACCAACACCAATGGAGCTGGCGAGGAGAACGAGGCTAAAGAATCGCATATTGATAAATTGCCTTGGGACTATCGCAAAAGAATTAAACAGATGCAGTCAAGGATGGATATTTACCTCTTATATATAGTACACACTGAGAAATCCGTCGGAAATACAGTTTGGGTTACATTTTACTAATCCTGTTCTATACGATCGTATATCTCAAAGCTCATCTCGCTTAGACGTATGGGTACACGAGAAGTGCGAAACTCAGAAGTAGCGTCAGTCATCATTATTCGGTTCTTTGAGAGGAAAGGAACTTGCACTGCGATGTAATTACTTGTTCAGCCAAAATCTAAAAGCTTTAAACTTTGTCCCGATTCTTCTCTTCTTGCTCATCCCTTGCATTTACAGCGTGGTTTATCCGCAGCCGATCGGTTGTGCCTTTTCTGTGTTGACAACACCGAGGTAGCCCAAGCACTTTTTTGCCTCTGTAATCCATTGCATCTATTGCAACAGGCGTTACTTTATTTGCATATTCTCCGTTATCATAGTCGGTTTCGAAAATATTGATTTGCAGTACTTCTGGGTCTTTGGCGCACTTGCTACCAGATGATCAAAGGTTATGCCATAGTAGTCAAATTGCCTGGTGCACCCGGAAGAGCTACCAGTTAGCAAGCAATTTACGGGGCAGATGAGAAGATTGGTACCTGATATGACATGGATCTACTATCATTCCAATATATTCTCCTCGAAGTACAAGTTCGCGGGCAACTTCTGGATGTGGGTCTCTTCCATAAATCGCCTTATATGCGAGGGACGCCAGTTCAACTCCTCCAGGCTGTGGGAATTTGGGAGTATACTGGTCAAAATACCACTTGGAATCTGGAAGAAGCTTTTTTAGAGCCACAAGAGGACCTTCGATGGAGATGCGAATCGGTTTGTCAATTGGTGGAGGATGGTGCTGATGACGAGGCTCACAAATGCATGGGCGTATGTAGAGCTCCAGCGGCTCGTCGTTGAAATGCAGCCGAGCAAAGTCCATGGAAATCAAGGCGAAAAGTGGTGTTTTATAACGCAACGAAAGGGATTTGCGGTGATTGAGCTAGTATACTTGAGGTACGACTGGAACTTGAGTAAGTGTGGTTTGGAAGCTCAGCCAGGTTTCCCCGCTGGGGCTGTCACTGCCCCAACCTCTCCCCACTCACGCTCATCACCAGCAGGGCTGTTGCCTCTCTTCCTTTCCCATCACACGAATCCATCGAAGCACGGCCGAATTAAAATCACTTCGAGAAATATAAATCCCACGATGAAGCTGTCTTCCTCTACTGTTTTGCTCTGCGCCGCAGCGACGGCAGCCGGTCTCGAGCAAAAGGTGATCTCGAAGCCAGGCAGCTTTGGCCTTGACTTGGACGCGTGGACCAAATCGCTCGAGAAGACATATGGCGCCATCACAGAAGAGGCCAAGGCAGCCTGGGAAGAAATTGCTGCGCTTGCTCCCGAAGCCATGGAGGCCATGAAGGCACAGATGACGCCGCAGAAGCCCAAGAAGCACACCCGCCGACCCGACAGCACCTGGGACCACATTGTCAAGGGCGCCAATGTCCAGGCTATGGGCGTTCAGACTGCCGACGGCTCGCGCACCAAGGTGGACGGCGACTTTGAAAGCTACACGCTCCGTGCGAGAACTGTGGACCCCTCCAAGCTGGGCATCGACAAGGTCAAGCAGTACAGCGGCTACCTCGACAACAATGACGACGACAAGCACCTCTTCTACTGTGAGTCACCATTACTAGCTGACCATCTGGAACCAACACTAACATAGTCAGGGTTCTTTGAATCTCGAAACGACCCCAAGAACGATCCCATTATCCTCTGGCTGAATGGCGGCCCCGGCTGCTCCTCCATGGGCGGTTTGTTCATGGAGCTCGGCCCCTCGAGCATCAACAAGAAGGGCGAGGTTGTCTACAATCCATCGTCATGGAATTCGAACGCCTCCGTCATCTTCCTCGACCAGCCTGTCAATGTTGGCTTCTCGTACAGTGAAAAGTCGGTCGGCACCAGCGTTGCTGCCGGCAAGGACATTTACGCCCTGTTGAGCCTCTTCTTCCACCAGTTCCCCGAGTACGCCAAGCAAGACTTCCACATTGCCGGCGAGTCGTACGGCGGCCACTACGTCCCTACCTTTGCCGCCGAGATTCTCTCCCACAAGGACCGCAACATCAACCTGCAGAGTATCATGATTGGCAACGGCTGCACCGACAGTGCCATCCAGCAGGACTACTACCAGCCCATGGCCTGCGGCAAGGGTGGTTATCCGTCCGTGCTGTCTGACAGCGAGTGCCAGTCGATGAAGAATGCCATGCCACGCTGCAAGCAGCTGACCAAGGCTTGCGAGGAGAAGCAGAGCATGTGGACCTGCACCCCCGCCAGCATCTACTGCAACAATGCGCTCATGGGTCCCTACATGCGCACCGGCCTCAACCCGTACGATATCCGCAAGCCCTGCGGCCGCAGCGCGCTGTGCTACACGGAGATGGAGGACTTGACCGAGTACCTCAACCGCCGCAACGTGCTGGATGCTCTCGGTGTGGAGGTGGACGACTTTACCATGTGCAGTGATCGTGTGGGCCGCGACTTTAGCTACAACTACGACATGTCGCAGCCGGTCATCAAGCTGATTCCCGATATCCTCGACCAGATTCCCGTTCTTGTCTACGCTGGCGATGCCGACTTTATCTGCAACTGGCTGGGTAACCAGGCGTGGACCGACTCGCTCGAGTGGAGCGGCCACAAGGCGTACTCCAAGGCTGAGTCCAAGGATCTCAAGCTTGCGTCTGGCGACAAGTACGGCCGAGTTAAGCAGGCAGAGGGCCTTGCTTTTATTCAGCTCTTTGAGGCTGGCCACATGGCTCCTTTTGACAAGCCGGAGCCGTCGCTGGATATGGTGAACCGCTGGATCGGCGGCGAGTGGAAGCACAACAAGAAGAACTGAGCGGGCATAGCGGGTGATTCTGTAGGATAGCAAACACAGCGTGCATATTTATATTGAATGAGCTATATATATTATGTTTTGGCGTCCGAAGCGTCGCTCGTTATGTAAGTCTAAGCTGGCTGCCCGATGGCAATGGTGTTTTAGTAGAGTATTAGTATGAAGGCTCGAACTTCTAAAATGACCTTCTGCATTAAACGTTCTCCAGTTCTCATTTTCATAGATTTGTTTGTGGTCGATGTGTCTGACACATCGACGGAGAAACACATCAAACAGAGGCTCCGGCCAGAGCTACCTGCAGAAATAGAACAAAGGATTTTATGTATTTACGCAGCTAATATGTATGGTATGTACTCGGCGTTTTCTATGGCTGACGCTATCTTCACTCACGATTATTTCCACTAGCCTAAATGCTTACTGAGTGAGGAGACGGACGTTGTAGGTCTGTAGGATGGGGTTGACGGGTTGGTAATAGCAGATGCCGCCGCTGTTGCAGCCTCCGTTGGTGGCCGACGTGACACCCTGAGCCTGGTCACCAGTGAAGAAGGAGCCACCAGAGTCACCGTGATCGCAGCAAGCCGAAGTGCGCGTGAGATCATAGACAGTATTGACCTGGTCGAGCACGACCGTCTGGCCCTTGCCCTGGATGTAGCCGCAACGGAGACCCGTCTTGGCGCCCGAACGGCAGACGCTGGCGCCCTGAGCGGCCTCCTGGCTGCCTCGGATGGAGTAGTAGCGGCCGTTGTAGTCGCTCACCGAGGCCCAGAGCTTGACATTGTTGCCCGTTTGCGCGTAGGACATGTCATTGCCGGGGAATCGCGAGTCAACAAACTGGCCAACGTACTCGCCGCCTTGCGATGTGCCGACGGTGACGGTGTCGCCACGGTGGGCGCAGTGGCCAGCAGAGATGAAGCCGCCCTGGACAGCAAAGCCGTAAGAGCAAGTCAAGCCGCCAGCAACGTACGGCCATCCGCCTACCACGTCAGCAGCAGCCGAAGGAAGGCTCTTGACGACGCGGATCTCGTACTCGGCGTCGGACAGGTTGCCGCGAGCAGCAAGCGCACGAGCTTGGTCCTTGTTCTCTGCAAGGGACTCAACGATGAGCTTGTTCTTGGCGACGTCAATAAAGTAAGAGGCAATGCCGGCGAGGTTTGGATCGGCCTTGGTATTGTCACGGGCCCGGACGGATGAGGAGAGGTGGTCATCAATGGCCTTCTTGGCAGCCTCCAGCTTGGAGAGGGTGGTGTTCATGATGACGGGCACGGCACCGGCAGCGGTGACATGGTCCTTGGCTGCCTTGTCGGTGACTCCAACGTACGTCTTGCCGGCACTGATCCAACCGCCAGCAAACTTATCGCTGCCGATGGACTCGGTGAGCTTGGTGATGAGCTCGGTGGCCTTGTGGTCATCGGCAATACGGGTAGCGGCCTGTTCAGCGTTCAAGCCAAGATCACGCTTCATGGCATGGAGGAGCTCGGGGTGCATGTTATTGGCATCCGTGGTGGGCGCACCATAAGCATTGGGGAGTGCGATAGCCAGGAAAGAGAGAAGGGTGGTGAGCTCCATGGTGAAGTCGATGATGTGGAGGATTTGTATTTACCAGCAAGTGTGACGAAAGGATGCAATTGAATGTTGACGGGGATAGAACAGTCATTTTTAATCAGGGGGCAGCTTCATGGCTATATACCTGTCAACGAACATGGTTCAAGTACACAATATAACTGCCAGAGGCCGAGAGATGCAAGCATGGCTCGCTATTTAAGAGTCTTGACTAATGAAATCAACGCAAGTCGCGGGCTCGGCTTTCATGGACCTGGCTCATTAATAATAAGTAATGGACTGGGCTTTACCGAAGCAGATACGGGGAAAATAGTAAGGCATGGTGGTTGACGGGTTTTGTTGCATGGGATGGCAACTGCCTAGTTAGGCAGGAGTGTAGAGCCGACGTGGTAATGCCAAGCTTTCCCCGCCAGCCTCGACGGCGTCAGCGACCAAAGCGTGTTGCTTTTTGTAAATTTCTACTGCGCAGCGCAAGCTTTGCATTAGTTCAACACAGTCTCGACAGATTTTGGGGCCCAATCACTGGGATAGATGGGCAACTCAGCGACGCTATCCGACTTCGTAGATCCTGATCCAGGCCAAGTTCTCCTAATTGCTGCTCCGCCCCTTGCGATAGAGAGAATGTAATTGGCTGTCAATCTAGACTAATACTTGATGGGGCGGGCCGACCCAGAACACAAGCTGCGTCGATACTACATTGCAATAGCTATTTGCAGGTATCCAAGTATCCAAATATTAGCTTGTTACACTTCTTCTCCACTAAGGGGCTCGCATCAGGGTTCGTTGGCACGCCCATGGCCTTGAAAGTCAGTGTAGATAGGCAATCACGTGAGAATCAAATTTGGCTCAGCATGGTTCTTATATATCGGCAATTATGCTTTGTCTAGTCCACTATTCCGCGACTCATTCATTTTCATATCTCTCTACTGGCCCTAACGACGATTAAGGTAGGTAGCCTTACGGAAATGGGTCTAACCCATGACTGTCGACAGAGTTGTTTATGGGACCTCTGCGGCCACCATTGTTTATTAGAGATGAAAGATGAATCAAATGAAATCAGTCTATATGTCTATACATGTTTATATACATGTACGTGCGAGGTAATGAGGGAAACATGGTAACAATTAAGGATAGGGTTAATAAATTGGGTCCAACTATTGCTATTTTCAGTGTATGTTTTGCAGTCGTTGCCAGAGTCGATACTCTGAGCCTGAAATCTTAAATAGTAAGAACTACTAGAGTTACCGTGTTCAGAGCAAGCACTGGTTTTTAAAAGACCTTTGACAGTGTTTTTCTAGTCAAATAGCATAGTGTTAGCCTTGCTTAGGATGGTCCCGCATCGAACGCCAGTCCTGCAACTAGAGCGGTAGATGCTTGTGCTTGTAATAGCCTCGGAACTTCCCTTTACGGCTAGCGTTTTGCAGTGGGAGTCGTCTATGAGGCCGTAGAGCTTGGCATTACTAATAGTCTAAACGTAAAACATGTCGCTTCCGAGGAAAACGGAGCCATAAAATATGCTAACGTTTTGGCTGTCCTGTGTCGTGACCTTGTTGCCGTGTTGGCCGCAGTGACTAGCTGAAACGAAGCCCTAGTGACAGAGAATCCATAAGAGCAGCTAAGTCCATTGTTAATGTTGTAGTAATCGCCACCCACGATATTAACCGTGTTCATGGGAAGCATAGTGACGTTGCGGATTTCAAAGTCAGAAGCAAATATTGCCAATGTTGGCCGTGACGATAGATGCTAATACTGTACCGATAATACGGCCGCTTCCGTCGCTACAGACAATGCCGAGAATACTTAATTTTCTAGCTGGTGGCGCATACTAGCTGCCATGCCTTGCATCTTGTCTGGAAGTCAAGAAACTCGCTTCTAATTTACGTCGCCAAGGTTACTATAGATGGTATTCGATTAACTTTGTTTTGACCCAATCAAATTCACACGGAAGCGACAGGTGGGTCAACTAGCCTACTATGTAGCATCCATTGACGACGGAGCGACGTATTCCGAGCAGCCACCCTTGCTCGTAAAATTTCTTCGAATGGCGTAGTTGGCGTTGGTGGAAGTGTCTAGATCGATCAGCCAACGGCCGTTGACCAAAGTGGGAGGCTTTCTCCTTCACGCATGGCATGAGAGCGGAGCAGAATCCATTCTCAGGAGAGCTAGCAGCGATGGCATATACACTAAAGACATCTACCAGAATACGTGAACCAAAATATAGCACTTTTTACTCGTACCAAGGCTAGCATGGCTACCCTGAACAAGCCATATCAGCAGTCTGGACAAGAATACAGTCGATGTATATACAACTCCATCGATACACTGGCTAGTAATGACAATACTATTGCTATTAGCTGGGACTTATTAGGTATGAATATAATATTAAGGACGGCTAAAAGATAAGCAACAGTAGCGATAAAAGAAAGCATGATACTAGAGGTATAATTATTGTGGTTGAAAGTTATAACTTTGAACGAAGAAAGTTTAAAGATACGCCTAAGCCGTCGCTGGACATGGTGAACCGCTCAATCGACGGTGAGTGGAAGCACAACAAAAAGAACTGAGCGAGCATAGCGGATGATTCTGTAGGATAGTAAGCACGGCGTGCATAGATTTATTCGAATAAATTACATATATTGTGATTTTCTATAAATTTTAAATTGAATTGTTCAATATTATCACAGGTTCAAGCTCCATTTTGTAGTCTACTCATTTGTGCTTCGTCCACGTGCAGTCGTATAGCTTATAGTAGTAAATTTAGTTGATGCACGCGATTTATTTTACACAAAGACCAATATCCCTTTATAATATGATAGTCCATTAATTTATCATCACAGTCGCAGTATATATATACAAAACTGCCGTCGCTCATCGTAGTCGACCACTCCCATCTCGAGCCACTTTAGCAGCGGTAGTAGCACTTCATGCTCCAGCCATCAGCATTCTTGCACTTTCCTTGGCCAGTCTTGCTGCCCATGTCCAAAATCTTGTTCTGGCAGTTGGTATCGGAGAAGAGTACGCAGTTGGTAGAGTAGGTTCCATCACCAGCAACCTTGACGGAGTGGAACCTGTCGACATAGCAGTTGCCAGCACACGTAGGCTTATATCCTTTAATGTGATCGCGGTCAGCGCAACGATTTGCAGAATAGTAGTGAACGCAAGCTCCATTCGCGATGCCTGGGATATTTCCACATCCAGCGCGGCGGTCGAGTGCAGAAGAAAAGCGCAGGTCGACGACCTTGTCGCCGTCGGGGGTGAACTCGGGCAGGTCGAGGTTGTAGAAGGTCTCGTCGTCCATGGCGGTAGCGGCGGCCGCAAAGGCGAAGAAAATGGTAGAGAAACGCATAATGACTTGTAAAAGAAAAAAGAAAGTGAAGGGACTGGTTTGTTAAAAGAGACGGATTGCGCTGGGCGAGGGTGCGGTCTCTGGGGACGAGATATTTATATACGTTGGGCTTATAGGCCAGCCGGCGGTTGGGTGAGCCTCACCGCGAGCCCTCCTATCGTGAGAAATAGAAAAATGCAACGTCTAATAGAGCTTCCATTAAGGTTGGCGAACCACTATTACAGCTTGCACGTGGCGTTGGTTGCGCGCGATTTAAGCTTATCACGACGACCAAGCTTCACCAATCCGGATGCTTGGATATGCCAAGAATGGACGGCCCTGGAATACAGAAACAAACAAAAAACGTGACTGGTCTATGAAAGGAAAAGTGGATGGGAGAATGGACCCTGATGGACATGGCCACGCTGAGTAGAAGGATGGAGTGACACACTGGACAAGGACGGCGTGACACACTGGAGAAGAGTGGCAGAGGGATGAAGATAAAACAAAATGCAATTGGTATCTCTGGTGTTCGCTTGTTTTCACTATTACTACTACAGTACATATTCGTTAGGTGTTATTTTGCCATGCGGCGCATTATCGTCGTCGACGGCCTGCCGCTCCAGATCAGACAGAGCCACCCATTCGGCCTCGCCTTTATCGTGGCTCGCTGTCCGTGATCTCGGATCAGACGTTGTATATGCGGTTGTTTGCTGGGACGCCAGGGTGCGGATGCTCCCTCTGCGGGCGCTGCCGTGCAGTCGATCCTGCGACTCCTGGGAGCGCTGTGTATAAATGTCTCTGTCTCTGTTGTTGCTGCGGTGCTGGGACCGCGATATCCGCGACGGCCGCCGCGAGTCGATCTGGCCAACTGTGAGAGGGGTGTTATTATTGTTATTATGGTTGTTGCCGCCGGACGGGACGGATCCGGACGAGGAGAAGCCGATGCTCCAGCCGAGAGAGCGGGCAAGCGGGCGCAGCGTCGAGAAGCTTGCGGCGCTGATGCCGAGGCCCATTTCGATGGTGGACCAGATGGCAATGTCTGTTGTAGCATCTACAGGTAAAGAGATGTTAGTGATATATAGGAGAAGGGGAGGGGAGATGGGTGGGCGTACAGAGAAAGTCGGGGTCGGAGAAGTGCCTAAAGTATAGTATGCGGACGATGACGGCGCAGCTGGCTCTACACTGGTGTGTTAGTGGCCATGATTACAGAGAGAGGGGGGGAGGGAAGAAGGATAGAAGGGACGAAAACGTACAGACAGCCTAGGCCCATCAGGATAATAAGGATAAAGCGGATGCGCGTGCGCAGCTGGACGTGCCAGATGACAAAGGCCGGCAGCAGCGCATACGAGAGATCAGTGACGACACTGACAGCACTATATAGATACGCGAGGTCGGTAAAGATGCGCGGCGGGATACAGTAGCCCGGTTCATCCTCTTTCCAGAACTTGGTAACCGGGTTACACTGCAGAACAGTCACAAAGAAGAAGATGATGGCGGCGATCATGACAATCGCCGAGGTCGAGTAGATGATGTATGCGTGGGCGGGCTTGCAGACGATGCGCAGTAGAAGCCAGCCAAAGGAGAGTTTGGCGGCGCACATGGTGATGCCGAAGAAGAGGTAGCAGAACCACCAGAGCATCTTGGCGGTTTCGTAGTTTTCCGGCGCCAGGTCGACCTTGTGCTGGCCGGTGCCGAACCTGACGCCGAGATTCGAGCATATAATGTAGCCCAAGAAGAAGGCCTTTCTTTCTGTTAGCATGGAACAGCAGCAGGTTGAAGCAAGTGTAACGAACCGTCGCAATCACCATCAGCCAGTCGTCGGCGCCAAACGCCTTGGTGATGCAGATGCGCGTGTAGCATCGCATGATGACGATGCATGCTGTGACGACAAAGAAGACAATGTTGACAATCAACAGCTCGGGGCCTCGATTGTCCGCCATGGCGGCGGTGTTGGCATCAGCAGACCTAACTGTATATAGTCCAATACAAGACTAATTGTGTGGCGATGGAAGAAGGAGTGGATAGAAGGAAGAAAAACGATACGCGTGTTTCTCAGAATGTAGTGTAGAAAGGCGCAGCTCCGCGATGTATTTTAACCTTTTGGGGCAAAACTTAAACGGCGACGCGCCACGTGATGATGTCTTGTCTTTCTTGTAAACGAGAGACGACGGGCTTGGTCTCACATTGTTACCCGGTGGCTTGCGGGCCTCTGCTACGCTCGTGAGACTGTCCGTCACAAGTATTTTTTCTGTGAAAGAGAGGGAGCGTAGTATCGTGGAGAGAGAGGCTGGTTGTCTGTGTGTTGAGAGGGAGGGGGTGTGTAGAAATCAAGTAGAAATCAAATCCCGTAGTAAGAATGGTCAATGCGGTTCCGACCAATGATACAAAAGAGAAAAAGAAACCGAAAAGGTGGTGTGTAGTAAGTGTTGGGTTTTGTCAGGGGAAAACCACAAACAAGACGGGCTTGGTTGGCGAGATGTTGGTTCCGGTTCCGGAAAAAGGAGCATTTGCACGGGCGGAAATCTGCTAAATTGTGGCTTGAAGATGCGCGGGCGGGTCTCCTCAACAACACCAAAGCTAGCAGTAGACCAGTATGAATGCGCACAGTGGGAGGGAAATAGCTTCACGAGCAACAGTCGCGGGAATACGACTGGGGGACAACGGCAGCAGCAGTAGCAGCAACGGCAGCAAATCCGATGTAACGCGATGTGGTTGCGGATAACGGCTTCACGGAGCGATATCGCCGGGGGTCGGGTCCCATCGAACGATTTACAAAGAGACCCAAAGGCACGGGAAAAGGCTAATCACGATACAGGCTGTTTGCTGGAGGTGATTGGTTGGGGTTGGCTTGGTCAGCGGCGTATGAGAAGCGCCGGATTTTATCTGTGCACTTTGCAGCATCGTACATATAGCCGTTGTGAAGAGTATAATACGATACACAGCACGTTTAATTGTAGAGACATTACAGGTAAAACACGGTTTCACTGCCCTCTGTTAGGCACACACGCGAGTCAATGGAAATGAACATTCTCATTAGGCTACTCCCACGACTTGAATAGCCAGCTACCAAGCCACTCACCACAGCCTCCCAAATACAGTGTCAGTAACAAAAAAAGAGTCATGACAGGCGCTGCTCCCCCCTGCTGCCCCTGTCGTGTGTCAAACCCATCAGTCTCCATTACACTAATACAAACTTAGAAAACACAGGGGGGGGATGTTTCGTTCCGACGTGTGAGCCCTGTAAGAAATCACACAGCTACAAAGCAGGGCCCTCTGATACGCTCGGCAGATGCAATCTGTCTCACGAAACACGCCTTGCCGAGGGAAATAACCGAAACCCCACGCAGCCAAAAAGGCAGTAAACGGCCATTGGCTGCCATCCACGTAGCGTCGCATTGAAAAACAAAATAACTAGAAAAATTCAAATCCCTGTCTTTTTTCTTTGTCTTGGACAAGCATGTGCGTGTCAGTGGCCTGCGAGGCAGACACACGGCAGGCCGGAAGACAACCGGCTACTGTACTACAACGCTGTAAGCCAGCGAACTGTACTGCCACTAATTACAGAGCTAGCTAGTGCTTTTTGCGCGATGCTACTCCAATTGAAGGAAAACGGTCAAGCATGGTGGATTAACTAGTGGGCACGGCACGGCTAACCAAGTAGGTGGACCGCACACGCTTGCCGAGGACCACCAAGGAAGCTAGCTAAGCTAGCTACCCGCACGGAAAGGAAAATCTGTTTCTCTGTAATGTTTCCGCATCACCAAGGCACACGGACACTCTAAATTCGCCTGTGGGCCGTTGGGGTGGGTGGCGTGCGTCCCGCACAGCCCAGCACCATTGGGCTGCATGAATGTTTCTTTTGTTTTGCAGATGCAGATGTGCACGGGCTTTGACTAGCAACTGCTGCCTTGCACCACCCCGCTCGGGCTTGGGCCGAGTATCGAGCTTAGCTTCCCTTACCCAGATTGCGGAGGGCAAGCATCGCGAACGCAGGCATGTGAACAGCCACAGGGAGGTATACACACGCATGCATATAGAGAAAAAGTACTTGTCGCATCTTGATGGCACGCTAGATTTGGAAAAACGCCCCAACGGTTTTTTCTGTTCGGCCAAGCGGAAATCCGGGGGAGAGGGAACCAACTGAATGTGATAGACGAGGCCGTGATGGTGTAAGTGGAGGTTGATGGAGGCCGCGGACCGACGGTGCAACGTGATCGCGGCCAAGAGGCGGGAAAGGGGAGAGGAGATGGAAAGCAAGCGGGAGCCAAGCACGGGAAATAATTTCATTTGGTGTTTGGTGTTTTGGCGGCCGGAGTGGTAATGTTTGTAAGTCGTAGTTCTGGTGTAGGGTAGCCAAGTACTGGTAGGAACGCGTAACTTGTTTGTACTGCGAATCAGAACAAGAAAAGATAAAATAAATGCCAGATATAATGAATATATCAAATTACAATACATAGAAGCTTATATTGTGCAAATATTTCCCTAAATGTAAAATTTATAGTGTTAAACTGCAAGCGTATAGTTAGCTTAGCCTTGGATTGTATTGAACTCTTAGCAAGTCGTATAGGTTTACTGGCATATTCAAATAATACAGGACTTATAGAAGTTTCTATGTAAATCGAAATTTGTCAAGTAGGATATAAAACACGAATTATTTCTTAATAAGTGTAGAAACTTTGAATCTGTGACAGTCTGCACTGGTCCGCGGCGCCTTATAGTCTGCCTTGCAGGCTACCATTGGACACCGCATAGCCAACGTGGCAGAGACGAGTTACGCAGTAAATCTGCCCTTCTAGGTCTATAAAAATGTAAAAGGCAACTCTACTGGTTATTCCACTACTTGGGTTATAAGACCTGTCGCTGAGGATATTTTCTATACCTAGTTCTGCAGCATCTTTAATCAGAACACAACCGCCATAGCCAAACGCATATTCCCTCTTCCACCTGGCAAATCATCTACCGTGCTTTCTTAAATCTACATAGAGACTTTTAACATGCCTCAGAATTATTACGTGGTCCTGAATGGAGGGCGAGTCGAAAAGCCTACAATTTTCTCTTCTTGGTACTTATTCTTCCTTTCACGCCTCATTGGCAATCTAACGCGGTATAATTAACAGGGGAGATGTACATCCACGGGTAGCAGGATGCAAAGCAAAATATGAAAGGTTCAAAAAGTTGGAGGAGGCGTATAAATATCTCAAAGACAACGGCGTTGAGGAGGGAGATTACCACGAAGTTATCAACCCAACAGCAGGGAAAACTACGCCTGATAAAGGCAGCAAGGCCTTTTATGCTGTTGCAAATGGAACAAGGGTTGGAGTTTTTGATTGCTTCTGGTACGTACTTCAAGTTTACTGACTTTGTCTTCTTCCTTGGCTCTAATTCTGTACCTAGTGGCGAGGACGGGTGCAAGTGTCAAGTTGAGCAGGCGCCTGGAGCTTGCCACCAACGTTTCCGAACTCGTCAACAGGCTGATGCTTTCCGTGAAGATTGGAATGAATCGGTTGCCTATATATATTACAAAGAGATAAAGAAGGCTCTTGATGAAGGCAAAAGACCGCTTGACATGAAGTTTGATATATCAGGGCTGCGTCTCGTTCAGCGTGATATAGTGGACGCTGTTGATGATGCTACGTCGCAGCTAGGCGACTTTACGATTTAAGACGTAAAAGTGGAAGACGCAGATAATACTGGTTGCTATAGTTGGACGGATTTGAGTATTTCAGCATGTTATTCCAAAAGTCCTTCTTGCATAAGCGAGTTCATATAGACAATTTCATTATTCTAACCCATGTAAGCTAATTTAATTGTGGTATGATTCTGGCCTGACTACAAAGTTTTAGATTAAAGTCACCCATCCATCATTTACCATGGCATCACCCCATTCTATTGAACTTTTTTGTTTTACGACTTTACCTCGGCTAGCCTCGACAGCGGCACCACCACACAATTGTAAAACTCCAATGCCGGATGTCTCTCCTCCTCACCCACCTCCCGCTCGCCAAACTCCAGGCAGAACCGCGTGGCCTCCATATACGCCGTTCCCACCCGAAACGCAAACTCGCTCTCCAGCCGCCGAAACACATGCTTCCGCAGCGTCTTTGCCTGCTCCTCACCAAACACGTCCATGGCCGGCGACCGCAGTAGCCGTCTGTCGGGGGAATCTACTCGATTTTTATTGTTTGTCGCCAGCAGGAACGAGCTGAGCGGCACCCAGAGCGCAATCTCAACGAGCACCAGGCCCAGCGAATACATGTCGTACTCGATGCGGTACCGCTGCTCGGTGCCCTGGTACCGCGGGTGGCGATACATGGCGGCCTCGACGTCCTTGGACGATGCGGCGGTGGTGACGGAGCTCATCTCGCTCTCTTGGCGCGCAAAGTCGAAGCCGCAGAGAATCAGGCTGTCTAGGACGGTGGACTTTTGGTTGATTGATGTGCTGATGGCTGAGTCAAAGAGTACGTTGGCGCTGCGCACGCCCTTGTGCAGCCAGCTACTGGAGTAGAGCTCGAAGAGGGTCGAGCAGAGCCTGCTGGCGAGTCTGTAGCGGTCTTCGAGGGCAGGCTTGAGTTTGGACTTGGTGAGCAAGTCGTGTAGCGAGACTGGTACTTTTTCATCTTCGGTAGACACAGCCGTAGACGAAGCTGTAGAACCGCGCAACCGAAACACCATCCACCAGCAACTTGACGACGGATCGTGGATGCACCCAACCGCCTCGGGCGTATAAAAGCCCGCCGTCTTCGGTTTTGATAGCAGCATCACAAGACGCTGCAGCCGGGCATTCAGCAGTTTCTTAATCTCGGGGCTAATGTGCGGATCAAACGTCTTTGCTTCAAAAAGATACGGCTGGTTGTCTTTTGTCGCAATGAATCGCTTCTTGTTCTGGTAGTCTGCTGGCAGGGTGTACTGCGAAAAGGCCGGCGGAGGGGGCAGCGGCTGTGGAATGACGGGGAGATTTACTTCGAGCGAGAGCGACTTGTTCTCGATACGTGTTTGCGTAGCAGATGAGCCAATGTCGTTGCTTTTGCTAGATTTGGCAGCAGCCAGTAGAAGCTCCAACGACGACATGTCCTTGATATTCTCCACCATCACGATGCTGATGCGCTCCTGGTCCTGCTGCAGCTTGGCTTGCTGCGACTCGGTCAACAGCTGATTAAGCTTGTTGATGCGGTTTGCCAGATCGACCACGAGTCCATTAAACTTTTTGACGTCCTGAATCGCCCATCGCAGCCTCTTTGTAGGCGAGGCCGTCTTTGTCTTTGCCTCCGATATCACCAGATCCCTCTTCCCATTGTGTTTGGTAGTTGTCGCCTTAACCGAAGCTGCCATCTTTTGCACCAGCGCTTCAATCTGCTGCGACTTGGTAGCATCCTGATCTGTTTCGCACAGCCCATATCGCTCAGCAAGCTTATCAGCATCCTGCATCAGATGCCGTATCTCGTCCAGCATGCAGCCCAGCACAGCGCCTATCGGGACCAGTCTCGGGTGCAATACAGTCTCCTGTTTGTCGTCTGCTGGCACCAGGCCACAATTCTCTCCCCAAATATGTAACCGAAATCTCTCGAGCTCAAGATTTAGAACCAGCCGCTCCGCATCTTTGGCATAGTGCAGGCTATCGCGGAGCACGCCCACCGATACCGCGGCGCCACGAAAGGCCACATCCACAGCGGCAGAATACACGTTACCGTCCATATTTGCGCACAGCGGACCGCAGAGCTGAGAAGGCGGGCGTGGCCTATCAATTTAAGTATTTCGAGTCATGCGGCGCAGCAAGCGGGCGGTGGTCCAGAACTATCGCCTCTTTTATGCATGAAGCCGCCGTCAGCTTTACGCGCAGCCACACAAACACGACAGGGTTATACAAATGGGGCTGAATGCCCCTCCGACCGGAAGATGGTGAAGCTGAACAACGGTAGTGAGTGAGTGACTTTGAATATTCAGACAATTTCATTTTTGGAAATGACGAGTTACTTGTATCCTTCTGCGTTTAGTGGCGGGGAGACGAGCACGAACAATTACACGGAGCCTTCGGAGGAGACGACATCGGCGCTGACTGCTATTGTATCGAGTCTTGATACGCAGCCCTCAGCAAACATTTCGGAAGCGGGCAGCTTTGCATCTTTTATCTGTCATTTGGCTAAACTTGACGAATCGCTAAGACGGGGCGAAGAGTCTACTATTTTCGGCGAGAGCGGCGATAGGAAGTTTAGCTCCAGGACTCGTGTGGGCTACGGGACATCGTTTCTTGTCGACAAGGTGGAAATTGCATACGAACAAAAGAATGAACCGCCCAAGAAGCGACTGGCCGTGGTCAAGACGGTGCGTCAAGACTCGCTCAACCCAAATCAGTGGCGGGATGTCCTCCTAGAAATCCGCGTGCTTCTCCACGAGCCGATCCGCTATCATCCCAACATTGTGCGGCTGCTCGATGTCGGTTGGGGCGCCGTGTCGAACATAGGCTCGCCGTTTCCTGCGCTAGTGCAAGAGTATGCTGATTACGGAACACTGGATAAGCTGCAAAAGGAGCATGCGCCGCTACCGTTCAAAATCAAACAGAAGCTGTGCTATGATGTCGGTCGTGGGCTCTCGATTCTACATGCCTGCGGTATAGTGCACGGCGATGTCAAGCACGAAAATATTCTTGTGTTTATCAACAAATACGATAATGTGCCTGAGCAGCCATATACCGCAAAGGTGGCCGACTTTGGCGGCACCGTTCTCGACTTGGACGAGGAAGAGAGCAGCACTGAGAGCCACCGCGTGCCGATGCACACGTTTCCCTATGAAGCACCCGAGATTACGCAGCGCCTAACAATCGACGGTGTCAAAAAGACAGACGCCTTTTCATACGGCATGCTCATCTGGCGCTGCATGATGGACTGCCAGGACATCTTAACCGCGCTGGGCATTTCTGTACAAGGCAGACCAACCGACGAACAAAGAGCTGCAGTCCAACAACTCAAGACAAGCGAGCAGCTCCTCCACAAGGCAGCAGAAAGCCTTGACAAGATTCCCTCGATAAAAGGCCTGCCCAAGGATAGTCTGTCGCTGATAACAGTCGCCCTGGCGTCTACTCTCCGCGGAGACCCTGTCCAGCGAAACATTGAGTACGCGCAAATGTCTATGCGAGGAATGACTCTCGCCGAATGCAAAAGTTATGTGGAAATGAAAGATGCTGCCAACGCCAACATCAAACAGCGCGAGCAGTACCGAACACCCGGAGCCCACGGCATCGACGTAGACAGCACTGGGTATGGTTTAGGCAGATTAATCGGCGACGACTACGATCCGCAGAACAATATGCCCGGATACCGCCCGGATCTTCCGCAGCCGACAAAGGACGGGTACGAGTTTGAGCCGTGGAGTCTAGGCCGCATTCTTGACTGGCACCAGCAGACACAAATGGTTGCTGGCTTCATTGAGGCCGCTAACATGCGCCACAACGCTCGTCAGGATAAACTTGAGCCGTGGTCCGCCGCCTTCTTTCTGTATCAGAGCTACCTCTGTGGCTTTGGCACAGCTGTCGATCCCGCCGAGGCGTGTAAGTGGCTGCGCGCAACAGCTAACCCCAGCGACGAGACAGCAGGCGTCGACTATCTTGCTGGTGCATGGCTCGTTCGCGTGCACAAAGCACTGGGCGTGCCTAATCCGCTTTCCATTGAAGACCAGCTGGACTTTTTGCGCTGGGGCACTATCCGCGGTCACCGGTTCTGTCTGCAGGATGCTAACGAGCTGATGGGTAGCCTTCCAACCGCTGCGAAGAAGATGGAATGGCGACACGAGATTGACTGGGCGCACTGGAACTACCGAATCCGCACCAATGGCACGGGTATGCCGTACTTTATCGCGCGTCGCCTGTTTCGAAAGTGGGATACTGAAGATATGGCCGAGTTGGACCAAGAGATTCGCAAAGAACTAGGCGACAAGTACGACTCTTGCTTGCGAGTAAACGCCACAACAGCAACAGCCTCGACAGATACTGCAAAAGACAAGGAGACGCCGTTCGATGAGATCAACGTCAGCAATAAAGGCCACGGCCTGCTCCATCTCGCCGCGAGTCTTGGCCGTCTCGCGATGCTCAAGCACATATACACAAAATACAACGCCAGCATCGACCGAAAGAACCACTCCCACAGCGACACACCCCTCGTCAGTGCCTGCAAGTCTGGCCATCTCGACTGCGCTCTCTATCTGCTCGAGAACGGCGCCAACCCGAATGGCTGGGATACAGGCGAAGAAGCACCACTGCACTGCCTGATGAACTTTACCGACGAGCAGGTCAGCGTCATTGTCAACAGGCTCGTGCATGCAGGCGCGAAAATTGAGCGTCTCACGTCCGCGACGAGAAAAGACGTGCGCATGATCATCGCAGACTGGGAGGACAACGGGTACATTCGGACCACAGCGCTTGGCCGTGCCGTTTTGCACCAGAAGACGGCGGCTGTCAGGGCGCTTCTGGAAGTCGGTGCTGATCCATGGTATCGCGAGGAAATATCAAGTGATACTATTAGCGTTGAACCCGTTCGTCTTGCGGCGCTGCTGACACTACCAGAATTGCTGTTGATGATGCTGGGCTATGCGCCTGAGAATCCACACCCAGATAGAGAGCCTCTCTATGATGACTGCGGGATGCTGAAAGCAGCTCGGTCCAGTGAGATTATGGCCTATGATCCGCTGACGCTGCAGAGTAGGATCGTGCGATGTGGTGCAAGTTACAAGGCAGACCTAAAACAGACACTGACGGTTTTGCAAAACTGGCGATTTGCGAATGGCGGAGAGGCGCAAGAGGAGGCTCCTGGAGCACAGCTGTGTCGTGAAATATCCCTTGGAAACGACGATATTGCAGAGACGTTGCTCGAGTTGGGCCATCCGGTCGACGGATCACCGCAGTTTAGACCGATCAGGGCAGCCGTGGAAGCAAATAACCAGAAATTGTTTCATCTACTTATGAGCAATGGCGCAAAGCTGTCTTTTGGCGATGAGGAGTCGCTGTTGCTCGTGTCTGCTTCACGGCCACGATATCGGCCCCGTGGTGAAGGCATCTCGGCGTACTTGATTGCGCAGGGTGTATCTACTACACCATTAGATCCTTCTCAGCCATCTGCTCTCGCGCTCGCCATACAAAACAGATACTTTGAGCTAGCCAACAATTTAATAGCCCACGGTATCATTGACGGCATCAACACCTTTTGTACATGGTCTACAGGCCGCGAGCCAGAGTCGCTGCTTGGATACCTGCTCTCGGACCACACCAACGACAGCCTCCAGAGCATCGAGTACCTCTGCAAGCTTCACATGTCACCGGCCATCCCCATCACTCTAGATCCCGAGGTCACTAGAGGCGCATCAGCGCTGCATGTCCTGGCCCAACAACCCATGGCACTCTGGAACAACTATTCGCAAATATCAGCGCGAATCGTGCAGCAGACGCTTAACATGTTCCCTGGCCCCGAGCACCTCCAAGGTCTGCACATCGACGACGTATACCGCAGCCCGCTAACTGCAGCAATCCTCGCGTCAAATCAGTACATGGTTTCCGCGCTACTAGACTCGCCATTTCAGCAGGAAGCGTCGCTAGAAACACCAGTTGTGTTGGATGACTCCCCTGGCACATTTACCGCGCTAGAGCTCGTCGCTCAACTCCAGACTAATCTCAAGGCGAAATCAGAGCCATCCTCAACACAGATGATGGCAGCATTAGCAGATATCCATGACCAACTTAGTATCATCACGCCGCCTGATCTCTCCAGCCTTAACCTATTAGACTCTGCTGCGCAAACAGGAGTAGCGTTTGACATACCTGTACCTCGATCCGCCACTGCAGATTACAACCCGTCGCTAGATACACCTGTCGACCTGTCTGTTATTAGCGAGGAACTGCCCGTCTTTTGGAAAGAAGGCGACGACATGGGCCGCGACCAAGCCATGCGCACCATGCTTAGATCGTTTCGCACAAACGACATGTTTGCAGGTAACTCCGTCGACGTCTTGATGGACAAGACATTTAACAAGCGGCCGCCTAGGCCAACATCATGATCCACACCACAAGATGATAGCTTTTTCTTAGTCATGTATAATACAAATGTATTCATCTCCGTCTTGCCTTGAACCTAGATATCCGGCGCAACCTGCGCAGCCCAATCCTCCAAATGATCAGCGTGCCCATCACACACAGCGCCGATACGGCGCCAAATGCGTAGAAGCTCTCCTCAAAGTAATTCACCACGTTCATGCCATACAGGCCCGCCACTAATGTCGCCGACGCAAGCCCAACCATGAAGATTTCAATCTGCGCCTCCAGGACCAGAATCTCGTTGCGCCGTACATTCAGAATCGACTGGATCGTCTCCTCGGTGCGCTTCACATCACTGAGGAGCCCACTTGTCTGCTGCACAACTGCATCACTCGCCTTTTGCGTCGCTTCGAGCATGTACTCTACAGACTGGTGGTCCTCTTCAGCATGCGGCTTGCCGGCTTGCTTGTCGGTAAGATACATGGCTGCCATGTCTGCATCATCGTTGAGGGCAGCCTGCACTGTATCCCGGACGTGGCGCGCGCGCTGCTCAATCGCCGCTAATCTACGAACATGTTCCAGTAGCGTGCGCAGCTCAAACTGGATAATGCTGTCTTCGTTGAGCATCGCGAGCATCTCTTTAATCTGCGTCTTGCCCACAAGGTATTGCGCCTCTAGCGTGGACGTGACGGCCGTCAGGGCAATCTCCAAGACGCGCAGCTCATACGGCGTGCCCTCTTTGCTGACGTTGAGTAGCTTTGCGCCGAGATTGTGGCTAAAGATGCGCGATGTGTTGTCGTCATGCTCACGGCCAACTTCTTCGTCCACATCAAACAGGACCGTCTTGTGTGCCTGGATAATGAGGCGCAGGTCAAAGATGTGCACGAGGATGGAGTGCTCGCGGATCAAAATGTGCGGGAAGCCAGCGGAGGGGAGGTCTATGGTGCGCAGGTCCCGCGTGGTGAGGCTAAACATTTCGGCGATGGCGTCTTTGGTGAGCATCTGCGTGGATGTGCACGTGCCCGCCTCGTCGTAGAAGATGCATTGTACTTGGCGCGATGAGTTGGCCTGTGTGTGCGAGAGGGAGAGGGCGAGGTTGTAGAGGCGTTCGTTGGCCTCGCGAGATGTAGATGGCTGGTCTAGAGATGAGAGTGAATGAGCGGCTCGTGATGATGGACGGGGAAGAGGTGTCCATGCTGCTGCTGCGCGTAGCGGAGATTGATGATGGCGAAACGCTTGTTGTGTGGATGCAACGGGTCGTGAGAGAGCGCGTGTACAGCGGCTTGCGCTGCCAAAGAGGCGATGCGATAGCGGCGGCATGATGTGTCTTGTGCGGTGTGGTGAGAGCATTGGCGATGTCGACGACTGGTGGTTTTGCGCAGGTGGTTGGCTTATAGCGCGTCGGGCTGTCAATGCAGGCGGGGTGGGCGCTATGGCGCTGCCGTGGAGAAAGAGTTGCGACTTCACTAGAGCACATACTGTGGATTTTGAGGCTCTGATAAATATAATAAATTTATGAAAAAGTCTCTAAATGTAAACATATTCGTCTAGAATCTTCTAAATATGAACTTTTGTGCGTTTGGGGTAAACTATTGACATAGTAGCCTTGCATCGCCTTGATACAACACGGTCCGCTCCTCGCTTGCCACCATCTTCTACCAATGTCCCCTAATCCGTTATACTAGTAAGTGACTTGCGTAGAATTAGTATAATCGTGTTACAGTAAGTCTCCGATCTTCAATGCATGCAATCATCGTGCTCACTAAGCACCCACTCCATCTCCAGCACAACCACAGTCTACATATCCCATCAATAACAACAAGGAACCAAAAAGGCCTGGAGATATTATCCTATAAAGTTGTATCAATAAAGACTTACAAAACTTCAGAACAATTTTTATACTCTGCTTTCTTCGTTGTTACTTGTTGCTGCCACACAACACCAGCATCCACCAACAAGGCTAGACATCACGGTCCTACTCCCTCTGCTATCTCCGCTAAATCCACAGCCCCTCTTTATACTTATACACGGCCTTATCCCACCCTCTACAAATTAATTCTCACCAATTCACTTGCCACCATGTCACAACCAGTCTGGCTCATCACCGGCGCTTCCACAGGCCTCGGCCTCAGCCTCTGCTTGCGCGTCCTCCGCGCTGGCCACACCGTCATCGGCTCCGTTCGCAACAAGACTAAATCGGCAGCAAGCGTGCAAAAGATTGAGCAGGCCGGCGGCTCCGTCATTGAAATGGACATGACCGAGTCCAAGGCCAGCATCACAGCCAAGATCCAGGCCCTCGGGCGCATCGACTACCTCGTTAATAATGCTGGATACTCCATCCTGGCGCCCTGCGAATACATTTCGTGCGTGATTCTCAAAAGACTTGCCTCACATCATGCTAACATATATACAGAGATACGGATGCCACTTTACAAATGAATACCAACTACTTTGGGCCGCTGTACGCCATGCAGGCCGTACTTCCGGGCATGAGAGCGCAAAAGTCTGGTACCATTGTCAACGTCTCTAGTGTGGCTGCGCAGGATCCCAAACCTGCGTGTTCGTTATATTGTGCATCGAAGGCTGCTTTGGAGGCTACATCAGAGTCTCTGGCTATAGAAGTTGCTCCACACGGCATCAATATTCTCATTGTTGAGCCTGGAGGCTTCCGCACCGACTTTGTCAACGGCGTATGTCATCATTTTTGGTTTTACTTGTTCCTGAACTAACGTTTACGTAGTTGGCTGCAGCAAGCCCTGATCCCTCGACTGTCCCAGCCCACTACGAAAACCCCGTTGGAGCCACCATGAAGGCATTCCTCGCGTACCACGGCAAACAGGTGGGCGATCCCGACAAGGCCGTTGAGCGCATCTTTGAGGCAGCATCTGGAGAAGGGCTAGCTGGCTCTCTCAAAGGCAAAGTACTGCGCCTCGTACTTGGAAGTGACGCCATGGCACGCATTCGCAACAACACAAGCAAATACGTCTCCGAGCTGGACTTGCAAAACGAGACATCTAAAAGCACTGATGTTACTGAATAATGAACTGAATTCCAATATTACTTTCTAAACTGCTTTAAACAGCTCTTCATGTCTCAGCGCCAAACAGAGTATCATGCCGCGTCATGATACGTCCAAAGCAAGTAGCGCATCGTGTATTTTCCATCACCACCAAACATGGAATCATCTTGCACTAGCTCGCGCAGCACCGTGAATCCCATCTTTTCGTACAATCGGAAACCAGGCTTGCAAGCCAAGATGTACATGTCCAGCTTCAAATCTGCTGCACATTCCATCACTTTTTTGAGAAGAAGCGTGCCGATGCCTTTACCCTGTTGGTCTGGGTGAATAGCGAGGTAATCAAGATCTATAACGGGCGTTAGTCAAGCTTGGAGTATTCGTCGTGCAGCCAACATACTTATGTACGGCGTAGTGAGCGAGGCCTTCACCTCCTTGTTCAGACCTTGGATTTTTTCGTCTATCGCATCCGTATCACTTCCTGGATTAAACGAGGTTGCTTCCACCGCTTTTTCAATCTCTGCATTTTCTTTATCCGTCACTGTTGGCCCCAGAAACTCAGGCCACACAAGATTACCAGCGTCGTCTTTTGCCCGTTCCGCAGGGATAAGCCAACGAGCATATCCCACAACATTCCCCGCCTCATCAACAGCCTTCATATGCCGCTGTATCTTGTGATCCGCTAGAAGCCTCCGAGCATATCTTACTCCTTGTACCTTAATATGCTCCTCCAATGTCGTGTGCTTCCAGGTAAGTGCCCATGTTTTGTCCTGCCAAAAGGCAGGCATGTTGTTTCTGGCTAACGCGGGCGCATCTGCCAACGTGCAAGGTTCCAGCGTGTATTGAACCATCGTGTTTATCCTTATTCCGTACAATCTATCTATATTTGTTAAAAGAAGAAGAGAGCTCAGAGCCGCGCTGTTCACGTCAACGTGGCCGATGACGACGATCCCCGCTTAGCCGAGTTTGGAAATGCCCCGAGCCTTAGTCTTCATTAAGCCACGGCACCACGGGCGGTCTTTTGGCAAGGCCTCGTAGAAAGCGTTCGGGTAGATGCCAGAGTTCTTTGTCTAGAATCTCGTGTGAATAGTTCAAGTAGTTGACACAAAAGACCGTCCACACTAATGACTGTGAACGAAACGCACCGAGAGCCGGAAGAAATGGGTCATTCGCCTTTGCTGCTTCAATTGCGTGGTCTACGCCTTCATTATCAAGGGTGATTAGTTGGCATTGGTCGAAATCGATAACCCAAAACTGCGTTGTTCGGATTTGGGCAAAAGCAAATCGTGAGCCACCCAGAACAAACTCGACTCCGCGTGCATCTACCATTGCCTCCCAATGAAGAACGGCCATGGCATAGGCCATGCAGTCGGCATATTTTGCAGTAGGTAGCTGCAATTTCCGCATGTCATTGAGGTGCAAGTTGAAATCACGTAGGGAGAATGGCCCACCAGGTTTGGTGTTCAAAGACCCTAGGTATAGACGGACAAGGCAGTCTTTGTTCTTATCGTCCGCTAGGGCCATGTCTTGCCGGGCCGGGTCGCAGAATAGACGTATCAATTCCTCTCTTACACGCTGCGGTAACGGCGGTATGCGCTCCGTCTCCAGCATTGCTGCTGTAGGACATCCACCAGCGGCCGCAATGGCCCGACGTAGCTCTGGATTCTCACTAGAGTTTTCTGTGAAGAAGTCATAGCAGTAGGGAACGTTGACCTTCTTTTCTCGCAATTTGAAAAATTGTTCATCGATCCATGTGTGCATTTCGTAGTCGTCGTAGAGAGCGTCTTCATCAATCTTGGCGACTTTCACAGCACAACAGCCTTTGTCACGCGTAAATACAGTGCCGCACTCGCCTTCTCCCGCTTGTCGAAATTGTCGAGGATCCGTGTCGTTAGTTTCCAAAGGAGTGGTTCCATTAATAGCGAGCATGTCTGTAAGGCATGTAAAGAATTCATCTCGGTCTGGGCCTAAATTATTTAAGAGAAGTAGGTTGATTTTTAGACTCTTGGCCAACTTGGGCGAGATGTCTGGCGAGGTGTCTAGAGCCATGATAGTGGTGTAGGATAGTAAATTTGAACTGTACTCAAAGTAGTGCTGAAGATTGTATTCAAAGTACTCCTCAGAGAATAGCGTCGGAAGGTGGTACTGTGTTCACGGTCTTGTTGGCGAGTGCTTCAGTTATATGGCAACGCCAAACTCTGCTTCCGAAAAGCTTGACGTTGAAAATTTAAAAATCTGAACATTTTGTGACGGTATGATTAAAATATGCATAAGCCTGGTTAAAGTTTTCTTGCCTATCCCATGGGCACTGAGAACCGGCTGAACATAAAATCAACAGGCAAAGCATATAAGCGAGTGTCGATGCCGTGCAACGTGACTTGTAAATGCGCGCTTGCGCCTTGCATACTGCTTGCATCCTTGGGATAGTTGGTGCCTTGCATCATAGTTGATATGATCCGCAGCAATAAATATTCCTGTAAAAAAGAAATATCTAATTCGAATAGTTCGCTACCCAGCTCAATCAATGCCATTGTTTCTATTAAAAGCATCCTGTGAATCCCGCAAACCCACTTTTGTCATCGTGGCAGGCTAGTCGATTATAGGTTGGTTCGCATTGTTTTGCGGCTTAGCCACAACGACGCGACGGCTCCGGCGAGATATCTCGTCACCATTAGAAATCAAGACTATTCGTTAATACGAGATATAAATCTTGGTATATTTGAGACGAGTCCAGCTTGAGCCGCCTTTGCCAGGTTGAGAGACACGCACGGCGTTCCCAAACAACAAAAGCGGTCAGCACGTGCCAAATCGACCATGGACCACAAGCAAGTCTTTGAAGAGTTCAAATCCCGATGCGAAGCCGCCGGGTACCTGGAGCCAATCCATGGTGAACCAGGAGATGACCTTGCGTCAGGTATCAACGACGATGGCACCTTGCTGTAGGTCATGCCCTTTTGCCACACGTTGATGTCAACCTGCCCTGACACTGCTGCAGTCGCTTCCTCAGAGCAAGAGAGTATAATGTAGAAAATGCTTTTGTGCAGTTTTCCAAAACTCAAAAGTGGCGAGATGCCAACCAGCTTATCAAACTCTATGAGACAATCGACGTCAACAGCTTCGAAGACACGCGCAAAATGGTGAGCATGTACCATTTCCCCGGACAGAGTAACCTACCTGACGCATGACAGTATACACACTGGACAGGCCGCAGAGATCGGAAGGGCACTCCCATATGCCTCTTTGAGATTGGTCACTTGACGCCTAGTGTAATGCAGGCCTACAGCAAGTCATGTTTGGCAAATTCCGTGCGTACAACACAGACTGAGAGCGAGGCCATGCTACGGCTATTCTGCACATACGAAAGCCTGGTCCGCTTCATCATGCCACTGTGTTCCGCTATTCCCAACCGCGTCAAACCTGATTTACCCGTCACATCGACAACATGCATCGTCGATATTTCTGGCGTGGGGATCATGCAATTCTGGCGACTAAACAGCCATCTGCAAGCTGCCAGTGCACTGGCGACAGCCAACTACCCCGAAACACTGGGCAAAACATTTGTAGGTGGATCAAGGTTTAACTCTTTTCGGCGAGATGTCTGACTGGTGATTGCAGGTTATTGGTGCACCTTCCTTCTTTTCTACAATTTGGGGTTGGTTGAATGGCTGGTTTGATAAAAACACCGTCTCCAAGATTTGTATTGTCCCGCCAGGCCAGGAGTTGACTCTGCTATCAGAGATTATTGATCCTAACAACATCCCAACCAAGTACGGAGGAACGCATGACTTTAGCTTCGGTATGTTTCCTGACCTAGACGACGAGATTAAAGGCAACATGACCTGGCTCGACGATGACCTGGCCAAGGACAAACGACTGCCCGTGGGGTCTATGAGATGGATAGAGAAAGATGGCCAACGTAGAGTGTTGGCTGTTGGGACGGAAAACGGTGTTGCAAGACACAAAGAAGTCATTGCACTTACCAAAGCTAATAACTGATGGGCTTGCTGAGGATGCATCTGCATTAGAATCAACTACCAAGAGGATAGATATGGGCAGCAGAATAGATATTATACTGTTACAAGTGGGTAGCAAGAATAAATTGCCGTCTCTATTTTATCTCAATCAAGATTCTTCTGTGCCTTCATCAGCTGACCTTGCCAATTCCAACAGTTGGCACAGCTGCCAGAGCTGGCAACGCACTTCATCGCAACGAGCCATTCTCGCCTTATTACTGCCCATCATCATCATCGCCAATTTTAGAAAGTAAAGTTCTGATAAGCAATATATGCCGCAGCCAAGAAATTCTCTTGTCTAAGGCCTTGCGTCAGTCTCATCGCAAACGCACGTTTATGTAAGAAACACTGTCGGAGATCGCCAACCGCTTCGTCCAAGCCCGCCCAACTAACGCGCATCAAGAGTTTATTTTAAGCGCCAAAATTAGCGCTGCCATAAATATCCCAACTGCTGCATAATTGGCTCCTAACATGGAAATCTTCCAAGACGCTTGAGATTAGCGTTGCCGCCGTGCTTCCGCCCCTGGCATCGCGTAGTATCATCGTGTCAGTTGCGTCGCAGCCAACCACCCGCGAGTTGCGACGACCATACATGCACCAGCACAATGAATCCCCACCATTGCGGCTCTTGGCTGAAGGATGTCGACTGTCGTGTCCTTTGGATTGCTCTTGCATAAGCGTCCATTTGCAACGCAGACCATGCATCGTACAAATTGGACAAGCAGCCGCGGCGAGCGACGCTTGCGCTCCCTCCTAGTCCTAGCCTTGTGCAATACGTATCGCCAGCTTTGCTAACATGCCGTCTCCTACAGAGCCGTCGACTTCGCCTACGAAGAAAGCTAAGAGAGATAGTCGCATGATTGAGGACTTTGACGAAGAAGATGAGCCTCTCTCCCGCCGCAACTCCGTCATCAGACGGGACTCGACGATTCGCGAAAGTTTAGCTGCCGACTATAAGCCTGAGGATATCTACAGCCCTGGCTCGCCTGATTTGCTGGACCCGAATAACCCTCACTTGTCGATGCTTCCTAGGCCATCACTAGAGGCTTGTGCCATGTCCATCCGAAGCGTCTCTCCCATTCAGCGCGATCTTCCTCCCAGAACAAAAACACCTTCGCCTCTTCAAGGGTTTCCGCCTTCGCCGCGAGGCACGCCTGTGCCAGTGCCATCCTCTATTAGAAGCACCGGTTCATCACCAATTCCCAAATATATTCCGATCTCTCCGGTCTCCGACATCTACAGTGCCACTCCTGTTCCTCGATCGACCAACGCTACCAATTCACCCGTGTATCACTTTACCTCGCCAGTTAGCAACCCTCCTTCTTTAAGGCATGCTCCCTCTCAGGATCAATCGCTTGGATTAAGCCGTCCCTTGACACGCCACGCAACATTTGTACAGAAGAAGTCGTCTCTCAGCAAGCAGCATTCAGCCCATGACGATGATTCTTCGGTCGTGGAGAGTCAGCGAGGCAAAGCTGTCAAGGTTGACTACTCTGGAGCAAGCGAAAAGACAGATCCTAGAGAAATTGCGCTCGTAAGAAAGCTCGACTGGCGAATTATGCCCATGATTTGGATCATGTACTTTCTCAACTACATTGATCGCAACGCCATCACCATGGCTCGCCTCAACAACATTGAGCGAGACTTGCGCCTTGTCGGAACTGGTACGAATTATCGTCTGCAATTCAATACAGTGTTTGGCTAAAAACGTATAGAATATCAAACTTGCGTCTCAATTCTCTTTGTTGGTTATATCCTTGGTCAGATCCCCTCCAACATGATTATCAACCGTGTCAAGCCACGTCAATTCATGGTATGTCTTTTCAGTCAGCGTCTTGATTTCGCCTTCTAATATTTATAGGGTGTTGCAATGATGGCTTGGGCTGTTGTTAGTGCGATGACAGCTCGTGCTGAGAACTACACCGGTCTCTTACTCACACGATTCTTCCTCGGTCTTGCTGAGGCGCCCTTCTCGCCAGGTGCCATTTACCTACTTTCAATGTTCTATAAGCGCAAGGAGGTTGCCACCCGCGTCGCGATCTTATACACTGGTAACATCTTTGCCACTGCATTTGCTGGTCTTATCGCGGCAGGCGTATTTCATGGTCTGGATGGCGTTGGTGGCCTCGCCGGCTGGAGATGGCTTTTTATTCTTGAGGGTGGTTTCACTTTCCTCGTGGCATTTGTTGGATTCTTTTTGCTTCCTGACCTTCCTCTCACTACCTGGTGGTTGAATGACGACGAGCGACAGCTTGCACATCGCCGTATCCAAGATGATACTGCTGATAACGGTGTTGAAACTGGTACCTGGACCGGTTTCAAGCAGGCTGTAACTGACCCCATGGTCTGGCTGTTCTGCATGATGGGCCACTTCCACCTGGCTTCCAACGGCTTCAAGAACTTTGTAAGTTGAAACGACTGGCCTATCTTCCTTTCGCTGTGCTAACATTTCGCGGTTCCCTACTGTGGTGGCAACTCTTGGCTTCAACACAACGGTTACCCTGGCCCTCACTGCCCCTCCATACGTAGTATCTGGCTTGGTTGCCGTGGTGGTCTCCTGGTCCTCTGGAAAGTTCAACGAACGAACATGGCACATTACTTGTTCCAAAATCGTCGCCATTGCCGGTTTTGTTGCAGCAGCGGCCACACTGAACACTGGAGGCCGGTACGTCGCCTTGATGCTGTTCACCATGGGCACCTATGGCGCCAATAGCTTGATCCTTGGCTGGGCTGGAAGTGTTTGCGGCCAAACCAAGGAGAAGAAGGCTGTTGCCCTTGCTATGGTTACCACATGGATGAATATCAGTCAAATCTGGACCCCATACCTGTGGCCACGAAGCGACAGTCCTCGATATGCATCCGCGTTGGGCACCAGTGCTGCGTTCAGTTTGATCGCAGCTGTATTTGCCTGGATTGCCAAAATGATGCTTGTCAAGCGCAACAAGAGACTCCGCGAGGATGGCAGGGCTACTGTTTTCTACGTTTACTAATTTTGAGACTTTTTAAGCACTTGTAATTAGCCAGGGTATTTCTAGACGTATAGATATAAAGGGCGACTTGTGCGTAAGGCATTTAGAGGCCTTTTCTTCTTTTCCATTATTGAACTCTTCTTTTTCTGCTTTTAATTTCACCATCTTCAAGGATGCCTTCAAGGTGCAGCTTCACAAGTTCGCTTGGTGTTTAAGCTGTACGTTAGAAATAGAGTCATCCAGATACACTATTCTTCATTTTGGCCCTCACATCCTCATGAGAACAAAGTAAATTATTCTATTTAACCTTCTCAGATATATTTGACTTGCTGTCTTTTATTTTAACGCCGTATCTTTTTTCCGGTCGGCTCTTGCCAGCTGTGCCAGGTTGCCAGCTGGCATACCCTACACCTTCTCCCAGGCTGATATCGCCAGCTTCTATGCTAGTCTTCCTTTCATTGTTTCAATTCTGGTCCCGCATGCACATCTTAGTCTGATTTAACTATGGTGTATACGAAAACTATCTTTCTTCTACATAGATTACGACTACGACCACATCCACTCTCAATCGCCACCGTCCAGTCACGCGTCCTCGGGATCCAAGAGCTTCGCCTATTTTTGGCGTTCGAACTGTCGCCTTGTCTTCTACTTTCGCGTCCTTTGCGTTGAAATCTCCTCATACTGCGGCCACGCTGTCTTCCCGTATGCGAATGGGCATCCAACGGTCGCAGTACGCCGAGCGATGCCAGTTGTCGCGCTGCACGTAACATCGCAGCGCCGTGTCACTGCAACACCACCCCACCACCATCCTTGTACACGCCAAAATATGCCAGCACCATTCGCGATACGGGCCTGCTGTCAAACAGAGATGGCAAGAAATACGGATACTGACCGTTGGGACTAGAGTTCTATGGGCACTGAGCACCGCGCTAGTGTCAGCATCTGATGGATGAGTGACAGGCCCAAGAGACTTTAGGGCGGACCACTCACTCCGGACTGCCATCCTTTTGATTGCTGGTTTATGCCGTCTCTCTGAATTTCCGTTGAGACAAAAGCCACGCGTTCTTCCCCTCAAAGCCTGAATCAATAGGATTGTTGAGCGGGAACGCTGTCCTTCCCGCGACATACCAAGCCAAACACACGTGGGACGATAATTCTCCTCATCTTGGCCATTGTCTGTGCCAATCAGAGCTTTCTATATTCCTATAATCACTCTACATTCTCTTCAGACAGCAAAACTACTACGAAATGCCAAGCTCCGCTCTACAGTACCAGCAAAGACTTGCGTCGAGGCTCGACATTCCCAGCCTCGTGGTCACGCTGCCGCCGTCAAAAATAGATCCATAGTTACATCGCGGCGTTATTAGCTCGTCCATCGTGCCTATAGCATGATATCCTGTCTCACAGAATCCATACATTGGTGGCATGCCATTCCCGTTACCTAATTCCTGTGGCCAAGCACCGCCTACTCACCCGCCGTCCGGGGTATACCGCAGCCTACCCGACCGTTCTTGCCCCAAGTGCCTCTACAGTGCCTTTTTAACGTGGGTGCATTAACAAATTGATTTCCAAACAAGGTTGTGGCGGCGTCGACGCAACCGTCGCATGGATATTGGAGTACAATGCCCACGTCGAGGCAGATACTGGGCTCAAATACCCTTTTGCCTGCTCTCTTGCTCACGAGAGATTCCTCTGGATGGAATTGCTTTCCTTTTATTTCATGCAAGGCGGTTTCCATATATACACGAAGAGATACTGCCTACTTGTAACTAGCCACACGTGGCTGCGCACCCCCGATACAACCGGCACCAGCCTGGAACGACGACAAACCATAACCCTTCAGCAATGGCTGCAAAAGCTGCCGCTCGTTCGATAAGACGGCATGTCGCCAAACGAACAGGCTCTCTAAATAGCAATGACTGGAAGCATCAGATGTTTGACTTTGAAGATGACAACATTACGGACCTGTTTGCGAGTTTCCCGCCGATACGAGGGGTGCCGGAAGAGAGCAGCCCATTGACCTTTCGAGCGGTTACTATTGGCGTCTTACTCGGCTCACTAGTCAATGCCTCGAATGTGTATCTCGGTAGGTTGATACTATCAAGCTGCGGCTACTGCTTCTTGCCGGTATTAACATCACCATGCTAGGTCTGAAAACTGGCTTCTTCTTTCCCGCAACCATGTTTGGCGCCATTTTTGGTTACGGCGCTCTCCTCTTTCTCACAAAATCATTTTCAAGTATACCATTTCTAGGCATGGAATTTGGTCCCCAAGAAAACTCTATTGTACAAGCCGCCGCTACCGGTGCTGGTGGTCTTGCCGGCCTGTTTGTTGCTGGCCTGCCAGCAATGTACAAGCTCGGCCTTCTCTCCGACAACCCAGCATCCGATTTTGGGCGCCTTCTTACAATCACGTTTGTCTGCGCGTTCTTCGGACTGTTTGCTGCAGTACCTCTTCGCAAATTCTTCATTGTCAATGTTGCAAGGGAACTCAATCTCGTGTTTCCCACAGCCACAGCCACAGCAATTGCCATCCGCTCCATGCACTCTGCTGGTAGTGGTGTCAAAGAGGCCATGAGCAAAATCAAAGCTCTTGGTATCTCCTTTTGTGTCGCTTTTACCCACATCGTTGTGTCCCAGTACGCCGACGGTATTCTGCACAACTGGTATGTCTTTGGGTGGTTCTACATCTGGAGCGGGTACTCCAACATGGCGTTGGCGGCACACAACTGGGGATGGTATATCCAACTGACACCAGCATTCTTTGGATCCGGTATGCTTGTTGGCGTCAATGCTGCTCTATCTTGGTGGCTTGCTACTCTCTTTGCCTGGGGCATCTTGGGACCTATTCTGGTTCATTTCAAGGTAGCTGGCGGCATCCCCATTGGCGAAGGCCGATGGGCCGGCCTCATTTCATACAACAACATGGACAGCAACGGCGAGGACGGTGCTCTCCCTTCGCCACGCTATTGGTTCCTTTGGCCCGGTGTGATGGTGCTCATTGTCTATAGTCTGATTGAGCTTATCCTTCACGTTCGTGTCATCTGGGATGGACTCAAGTTTGGCATTCGCTCATTTGCGGGTGCCTTTGTCAAACCAAAGCCGGAACAAGCTGTTAACCAGACATTCTTTGAGAAGCAGGCAGCAAAAGCCAAGCGGGAAGCAGAACAATGTCTTGACTTTGCGCCTCGCGACCAACAGGTGCCGATCTGGATCTGGCTTCCGGGTGTTCTCATCATGGTCATCATGGCATGCTTGGTATGCAAATTTCAGTACAACATGAACCCAGGACTGGCTCTTTTGGCTCTTCTCTTGGGTCTCCTCTTCGCTTTTCTCAGCATTTATGGTTGCGCCGTCACTGACTTTACACCGCTAACAGCGTCCGCCAAGGCATCCCAGCTCGTCTTTGGTGCGGCGACGCGCGGTATGGACGTCAAGGCCGCCCAGCGTATTAATCTTATTGCTGGCAACATTGCATCTGGTACAGCAGATGTTGCAAACAACCTGACAAGCGACTTTCGCGTCGGCTTCTTACTTCGAACACCGCCACACTTGCAATTCTACGCGCAAGCTATTGGCACCTTTGTGGCAGTGTTCCTTGCACCTGGTATTTTCGTTCTCTTCATGACAGCGTACCCATGTGTCTGGAAAGATTTGACTCCCGAAGCGCAAGAGAGATGCCCATTCCAGGCTCCGTCGGTTCATGCTTGGAAAGCGGTCGCCGAGGCCGTTACCGTCGACGCGCTACCCATCCCGCGCTCTTCTGGCATCTTTGCCATTGTCGTCGGTCTCATTGCCGCTGCACAGGCTCTCACAAAACACTTTTTCTTGTATGGAAAGCGCGAAAAGTATCGCAAGTGGTTGCCGAATTGGATGTCAATTGGCGTAGCTTGGGTGCTTGGTGTTGACACTGGATACGCCAACGCCATACTCGGAGGCAGTATTGCCACTCTTCTCTGGCGCCGATACAAACCTCAATACTTTGAACAATACGGATACTCAGTCGCAGCAGGGTTAATAGCGGGCGAAGGTCTCGCAGGAGTGGTAAATGCTGCGCTGGCTGTTGGAGGATTGGATGGCGCCTCGCGAGGCAGCCGGATCGCCATCCCAGGCGAGCGATGGTGAAGAAGAACGACAAAAATATTTTTTTTGACGACTTACAGCGACTTGATGACCCTTAATTTCTTTTTATTTCTTTGTTTACCCGGATTTTGGCTGGCTGCATCGTCCATTTTTTCTTTTTCATTATTTACTGTAGTTATATATCCCCTGTATAAAACGACTGGGACAGGCCGGGACGGAGGAATGTTTTATATATCAACGTCAGGTACAAAAACTGGCTGTTTTCGAAGGAAAAGATACCATATTTGTTTTGAATATCTTTATCGTCTTTTTTGCTTTTGTTGTTTGTTGTGTTGACAGAATCGCATTCATGGTGTAGTCAGCTTGCTTGGCAGCTGAAACGCCGACAACCGGAGGGCGCGATCCTTCGCACGCCGAATGAGTCGTTCCGAATTGGAACGAGATGCGAGCTGCGTCGTTGTCGCATCTCATAAACTGTTGCTGCAACAAGTGCGGCTTTTGCAACTTCTTCACCTTCATCATCATCACATTGACGGCCGCCGAAATGAATCCGAGCGACTTTAACAACCGCCGCTGGGATCGCGACGACTACTACGTCACCACCGATCCGTCGCAGATCTCTGTTGCCGCTCTCATCGACATTTACAACTCGGATGTGTTTTACTGGGCAAGCGCAATGCCTGCCGAGTACATGGAGGCCACGTTGCGCAATTCACTAACCTTTTGCATCTTCTCCAAGACGACTGGAGCGCTCACCGGCCTTGCGCGCTGCGTGACCGACTACACAACCTTTATGTATCTGACCGACGTCTGGGTAGATCCGGCACAGCAGGGCCAGGGACTGGGCAAATGGATGTTGACATGTATCAACGAGGTAATTGACGAGATGCCTCACCTGCGCCGATGCATGCTCTTCACGACGAACTGGGATCGATCGGTGCCGCTGTACGAGAAGACGATGGGCATGGAGGTGATTGAAGGGCGGGCGTTGGCGACAATGGAAGTCAAGGGACGAGGCCATCCCAAGTACGGACAAAAAGGAAGCTCATACACGTGAAGAAAGGTAACAAGTTGGAAAATGCACTCGGAGATGCGAACTTTAGACGAATAGAAATCGGCTAGTCATGACCCAATGACGTTCACCCCGGCCACTGGCGCTGCACAATACAATACCATACGATCAAAACTCGCTTCAATTACAAGGGACCCTATGCGAAAGATTGATTTACCGACCCCTCTAGCGACCCCCAAGCTAGAGCGTAAGCAAGTGCCGTTTGATCCGGCCACGGGCCATCACCTAGCGAAAGGTGCCCACGACAGTGGATCAATGCGCTATTTCCGACCAACCTTTTAGCTGTTTTCTAGCGTACAGAGGTAAGACAAGGCATTTTATGGATTGCCATCTTGGCTTGGCATCCACGGGGTTGACTGGACACGGGGTAAGCCAAATTGCATCGCCAAGTTTTTTTTAAGTGGTGATGTTAAATGCGCCATGATTCCGGCGTCCGTGCATCAGCGCAGCCCTATAAGGAGTACATTTTAACTTAAGGTGCTCACTGCGAACAGGGAGAGTAAGCAGGCTGGTAAGCATCTAATTTTCTCCGGAGTAGGGGCTCGGGAGAATTTGAGTTTGGTCTAAACCAGGAGAGACGGGACAATTTACGTTCACGACAGACAACGATTGGAGGAGAATTTGGGGACCATCGCTTCCGTACCTTGCAGCCTCGCGTAAAACAAAATCGGGAAATAGGTGGGTATCGGGGATATTCCGTGGAAGGTTATTTCGGTTTGTTGGCGATGCATGCAAGGACAAGGGCCTTTTGTCTGCCGAGCGAGCAAGTTTCCACGGCGCCGACGGCCCTCGGAGGTGCTATGACAGAATGTGGATTGTATGGAATCATTGAGAGGGTCAATACTTGGGATTTACATGCACTATCCAGGTGGTAGAGGTTTACATGAGTGGTGGAATTGAGGGACAGGGCTGCGTTCGGCAGTCGGCATCACTAGCGTGGCTTGACATTACGATGCTGACCGGGGCTAGAAAATGCCGCCGTCACAGAGCTCATCAGTTGAGTCAGTCACTGTCGTTGAGTCTATTGCTCTCCAATGGTATACTAAATACTGAACAGGCTGGGATTTGCAGCGTTTGCGGCCAGTAAGCAAGCGTTGTTATTGTGTAGCAAGTACCGGGCAACAGAATTCACCCCGATGGTTGCATATGCATGCAACAATTACATGCATCTACACCCAACTAGCGCAAAGGGTGCATATCACTTGTCGAGCCATATAGGCTAAGACTTATGGAAACATTCTAGCAGCGTTAGCTTCCCCACCAAACCACACTTCGTATCCCCGATGAATGACGCCCCGGATGCGACGGCATTGTCCCAAAGCGTCTGAAGATTCACGATCAGCCCAACGAAACCGGTGCATCAAGCCCACGGGGGACCACGGGGTAGGACATCGGGAGTAAGCTTCTGTGCTGATTTGCTCCAATGGCAGCATGGTGCCTCGCAAAGTTCATCGCCAGCGTGCCATTTCTCAACCAGTAGGGCTTAGCGGGCCTGGATTCTTAGTCTTGCTTGTTGGTTGTGGAGTATCGATACGCTTTTTGTTTCCCTTGATGGCCTAAAGTCTATACACGTTGTGGAATGATCGACCAGGGGAATGTAGCCTATAATCTGACGAGTCACGACAGCGCAGCCGAAGCGAACCCCAACCGGAGGCACTCCGTCCAAGCTTCGCCGGCCCCGTCTCATCATTGCATATAAGCTTGTCATATCCCTCCCCTCATCCTCTCTTCCTCCCCATCCATCACCAACACACACTCACTCTCTTCAAGATGATGTTCTCCACCCTCTTCCTCGGCCTTGCTGGCCTTGCTGCTGCCATGCCCTCCGCTGAGGAGATGTTCCCCTCTGACGGCGGTGTCATTGTCGAGCACCTTGCCTCCAACTACTTCCCCCACGCCAAGGCCGACGTCTCCGCCTTTGACGTTTCCACCCACTTCACCGGCTACAACCAGTCCATGGAGCGCTGGCTCGAGTCCGTCGACCCCTCCACCGGCCGCGACGACCGCGAGAAGGCTGGCATTCTGATTTCTGTTGCCTACGCACGCAACTTCTCCGAGACCAATGAGGACATGGTCGCCGACCGCGACATGCTCCTCGCCGCCATTGCTGGCACCCCCGTCCCCCGCTCGACCCTGGAGCAGCGCGACGCCCACTACATCATCTCCCACGCCCACGTTGTCGCATGGCACGCCTGCAAGACCTTCTTCTCCTGCGTCTCCGGTACCACCTGCCACTTCGACATCAACGTCGGCAAGGCTCCCCGCAACAAGTGCCAGGAGCAGGGCGGCTCCAACTGCTGCATCTCCTGGTCCACCTACAAGGTCCAGGCTGGCTTCTTCTCTCGCACCTGGACGAACTGCAACGCCGAGGTCAACGACAAGACTGGCGACAACGTCTCCTGCGAGGGTAAGGGTGACAACACTGGCGGTGATGTCTGCCTTTCCAACCGTGGTTCTGGCTGCACCTAAGCGGGTGCTTGTTCGCCTTGCGCTGGTTGATAGAGCTGCCTGTAAATAGAACATCTTCTCTACATTAGCTAGCAATGAAATCCTAGTTATTATTAGTATCTCCACTTCTTATTACCAGTGATTTTATCAAATTTTGGTCGTTTCACCAAAAGTTTGCCTCTGGGTAGTGTCGAATTGGGGAAATTTGGGGTAGGCCAATGGGTGCCTCTGATTGGCCAATGGGTGCTAAAATGCGCCAACTCCTTCACCATTCTCTCAACAGTCTCTCATAAGTTTAAACTGTACTCCCACGACTCCCCAGAATATTTTACATTTCTTACATATTTTTGCGCATACGCACCATGCAATCTCAAGGCTGTTGTGCTCAACCACCCCACCGACCCAACAAATCACTTTTTGGAGATGGAATATCTGAAACAGGCGGCGAAGCGCCAGGTCGCGCGTAAATAGTGGCGCCATTCGGCCCTTTAAGCGACAAGTGCACCCTTGACCAGAAATGGCCAGAGTCCCAGAAGTAAACGTGACTTCACCAGCCATATTTTACAGCCACTGCACCGCCACAGATAAGCGTCGAAAAAAAAAACCTCAAAATTTGGGTCAAGGTGCAGACGTCCCTGACCCCGAAACTGCTCCCTCGAAAACACGTGACCCCTTTCGACCCTCTTTTAGCGGGGCGAAAAAGTGCGCGCGTGACCATTTGCCCCGCTTTAAACAGGCGCTAGAGCTGCAGAGCAGGTCAACCAAAAAGCATGACGTGAAGGAAGACAGCATTAAGTGATGCATTCATTACGTGATGTCTAACGTGAGGATTTTCGGACCTGTTGTGTAGGCAGGTTGCATGGAGCTTGCAGGCATGCGCCACGCTGCCTCAGCCACACCTGGAAGCGCCAGGTGACGGATTGGGAAATTCGAGGTGAGGAGGATCTAATCAGATTTAATCTCGGTGTGCCAGAAGGAAAGACGGTTAAATCCCAGAGCTGTGGGTCTAAATTTGTGCAGCTGTGGCGTTTGTGCAATAAGGATGTTATGCAGCTGTGGCTTATGCCTGTGCTTGTGAGTAATGCCACCTTTTATGCTAGTTTCATGAACATGCATTATTCCGGTCATAACTTGCTGTATAATTCGTATTTTCTAGCCCGTAACTTAATTGAAAAGAGACAAGACACTCTTTTGAGAGGTTTCAACGATCAAATCTAGCAAAAGTTGTAAAAATATACAAAATAGCAAAAGCTTCTTGTATCTATGCCTTGAGTTATTTTAACTATTATTTATATTTTTAGATCATTATTTGACTGTTTTGTCGTGGCTCTTACCGTGACCACTATCTTCATATGGATCAACAGCTACGGCAACGGTAGTTTGCGACGACAAAAAAGACGTTAAAAAGCATCAGAAATTTTAAGCATATAATGCACTTTAAATCTGTAAAGATAGCACCACCAGCTACAAAGCCAGTAATTCTAATCATTTATTTTGAACCGTTAGCTTTAATAGAGTCACAGCGACACACACACACGCTCAAGACAATTACTTCAAAAATACACATAAATTAATAGACACAGTATTTACACTTGTACTGCCAAACCATTACACCAAGACGGCAAACTCGGCCACAGTAGCGCCCGTGCCATTCTTATACTGCACCTCGCGGGCAGCCAGCGCCTGGTTGCCCTCCACCCAGAGCGTAGCGTACTTTGCGCTCTTGGCGGCCCACGTGACCGTCGAGCTGTTGCCAGGCTCTAAGTGAATATCATTATCATTCGCCTGCGCATTATACGGGCTCGAGATCTTGACATTGAACGAGTAGACACGGTCCGCAGCGGCAGTAGCAATATCCGCCGTCTCATCGTCGTGCAGCACAACGGTCGCATTGACAGGCGGCTGCTGGGCCCAGTCAAAGAAGAAGCCCGTGATGCCCTTCTCCGTAGGCGGCAGAGCGACCGTCACCGACGCCGCCTTATCAGCATGCAGCGGCTGCCACTTTGTCGAGGCGGCGCCGTCAACCACGCTCATGGGGAACTGACCGGGGACAAACTCGCCCGCCGACTTGGCCGGCTGGCACTGCGCAATGTTGCCGTTGACAGTCGCCAGGGAGCCCGTCTTGCGGTTCTCAATGACGAGCGGCGTGCCGTCGACCTTGAGCTCGTGTGTGGCGGCGCCTGTGCTGCCGACTTGCACCTTGATAGAGGCGTTGGCGTACTTTTGGTCGGCGGTATCGAGCTCCTGGGTATCGACTGCACGGGCAATCGTGGTGTGTGTGTAGTTTGCCTGGGCGGTGATGGGCCAGCCGCGCCAGTAGAAAGTGCGGAAGCGGAGGCGCGGGATCTGGGGGGGCAGGTTGGGCGAGATGTGCAGGGTGTCGTCGGGGATGAGGCGCAGGCCGAGGTAGCCGTAGAGGGCGACTTGGTTGGCGCCGCCGTGGCCCGTGAGGAAGGGGAAGGCGGGGTGCGTGCCGCCGTTGATGGAGGCGTCGTCGATGAGCTGCTCGGAGAGCTGGTAGAAGGGGGCGCGGGCGTAGGGCGAGTACGAGTACTGCGCGTAGGTGTAGGCGGAGCAGCCGGAGGGGGAGACGTCGTTGGCGACGATGGAGAAGATGGCGTAGGTCATGGCCGGGCCGTCGGGGGACTGCTTGAGAGCGTACTGCGCGGGATGTGTTAGTATATATGTGCGTGTAAGTGAGAGAAGAAAAGAAAGACGTACGTAGTCGAGGTCGCTGAGGGCTTCGCCGGGGCCATAGCTGGAGGTCAGATCGAGAGGGAAGGCGTTGAGGACAACGTCGGCCTGCTTGACGGCCACGCTGTTGTTCATGGTGGTGTACTCGAGGGTGATGTTGTTTTGGCGGATAATGAGGACGTCAGCGGCCATGCTGGTCCATGTGTCGTTGGGGGCCTTGCCGAATTGCTTGCGGAATTTGTTGGCGTTGAGCATGGTCTGCGCCATGAGGGCCATGGTGAAGCCGCCGGCATCAACGTGGTTTGCGTACTCATCCTGCGTTGGAGTCGCGTGTTAGTGAATCTGATGTGATGTCGTTTTAAGTGTGGTAGAGGTGCAGCCAGCCCACTAATCGTTGCGGGCGGCCCCCACACGACGATTTTGGGGGGAACAGGAACAAAAAACTTACAGGGTCCGTCATGTTAGTCAGCGTCCACTTGGTGCCGTTCTTTGCCAGCAGATTGCCGTACGCGGTGGCCACGGAATCATAAATTGGGAAATAATCCTCCTTGAACGTATCATCGTCACCGCTCGTGATCCACTGGTTGACCAGCGCAATGCCAATGTCGCCGTTGAGATGGTACTCGTAGTCGAAGCAGGGTCCGGTGCCCGTGCAGTTACCAGAGCGGCCACTGGTCCACGGGTACAAGGCGGCGCTCTCGTCAAAGTAGGTTGCATTCTGCGAGCCGACGAATTTGGTCTTGACATTCTCCTTGGCCTGGTCGTACAGCGCAACACGGTAGTTTGCAATGCGGCGCGCCGACTCCGGGAACGCGGCCACCAGACCGGGCTGCATCCAGGTCTCGGCGTCCCAAAAGACCATACCGGCATAGGCATCCGACGTCAAACCACCGACAGAAATAGAGTAGTCGTTGACCTTGGCATGGTCGACCTTTGTCAGGGCATTGGCCGAGACGGTGTTTTGCAGCAGATAGTACGGGTTGACCACGGCAGTAATGGACTGGTCGACAATGTAGTCGTCGGCAGGCAGCGTGCCATTCTCGTAGCAGAAATCATCGACCGACTCGACGGGCATCACCTGCGCCCACTCGGAAACGTGCGTGCGCAGCAGATTGTCGAAGCCTTGCTGCTTGCCATCGTGGGCAGCCTTGCGGGCGGTGGCCTTGGCGTCGGCAAAGGCGTCGGTGGATGCGATGCCCACAAACTTGGTTAGCGTGGTTGTCTTGCCGGCCTGCAGCTGCACATTGACAGCCTGCGCAATCGTCGACTCGTTGCCGTGAATGTACGGCTTATCCGCAATTTTCTGGGCCGATGCCAAATCAGCATCGCCATCTAGCACAGAGTAAATGTACGCCTTGACATCGACACCAAGCGGGCTCACACCCGTGTAAATAGCGTCGCCGTCCGCCCCCGACTCCAGAAACGAGGTGCGCACCGCCGACGCGCCGTCAAGCACATTGGCCACGGTAGCATTGACGTCCTTGGACGGGGTAATGCTCATGCGCACCACGGCCTTGTTAATCTCAAGCTTGTGCGCAAAGATCTGGTACGACACGTCAAACGCGCCCGCGCTGCACTTGCTCGGCGTCCAGCGGTACTTCCAGTGCAGACTGCCCTCCTTGTAGTCGTAGGTAGTCTGGAATCGGGAAATGGTCGAGTTGTTGACCGTGGCATCGAGGTACTGCCCGTTGCCTAAATCAAGAATCAGGCCCGCCCAGTGCGGCAGACCAGAGATGAAGCTCTCGCCGCCGTACTGGTAGAGCCAGTCAAAGTTGGAGCCCTTTGTGCGCGGCTGCTCGTCCCAGAAGCCCGCGAGACCGGCAAACGACAGGCGCTCCGAGAAGAGCGGCCATCCGGAGATGACGTCGCCGTTGACAGGAACCTCGCGCTCGAAAAAGGGACCAGCGCTGGCGACGCTGATGCCAATGTAGCCGTTGGCGACGGCGCCGCGGGCCTGGTAGTGGCCTTGGTCGAGGACGGTGCTGGACAGACGCCAATTGCGGACGTCCCAGGAGACGCCGTCGAATCGCGACTTGGAGATGTATGGCGATGAAGCATCGTGGCTGGCTGCTGCCAAGGTGGCGGCGCCGAGCAGGATCGGGGCAAGCTGTGACGACGCGAAATATAACGGTTAGCAAGGCGTGTTCTACGAATGCAGTACTAGCAGTAGTACAATGGGCAACTAGCTTACCCGAGGCAACATGTTGGAGAAGATGTCAAGATACAAGAAGCCCTCCAATTGGTGTGCAGGAAACAAGTGTCTTTGTCTCTCTTCTTTTTTTTTAGTGACAGCGCGAGCCCGCGCCCTGTAATTATACCAGCCCAGAAGCTAAGGCGGGCGCCCTCCACAGTATTTTCCCCACGCCCGTCAGCTCCGCAACTGAGAGTGGCTGTAGGCTGTTTCCCGGCGGAATTCCGGGGCGGATAAGTCGGCGCTGATCTCAATGAACGCCTCTCAGCATGCACGGTCACCAAAATTCAATTTTTTCTCTCAGAATATTGTTCGTTTGCTTGCGGCCGCACGTTGACAACGCCCAGTGGCGCTGTTTGTAGGGAAGCGATTGCGGGGAGCCCGCCCGGGGAATACGACATTACGCCGCGTTGGGGCCGAACGCCAGGGCTGATCTTGGACGCATTGAGCAAAGTAGGAGAAAAATTTCCAGGCTTCCAGAGGGAAAAGGCTTCCAAAGGCTGGGTTGGGGCTCAACAAGGTGGTGGTGCGGAGCCGACATCGGGGTTTAGCAGCGAGAGCCGGCGCGATGCATGCAGGAAACTAATAAAAATGCAGTGCAAGTGCATAGAGAGAGGGCTGAACGTTATCATGGGTTTATGATACAGTGTGTTCTGGCGGGTGTTTATGCGCACTATACACGGCGCTCTACCCATACGACAAAAACGGTAATCAGTCTAATTAGGTGGCTACTGTATTTTCCCAGTTGGGGGTTGGTGGCGCACACGCTTATAGTAGGCCATCACTTAGTCTAGTAAAATAGGACAGGCAAGGTTTCTGGGCCCAACTGTAGTATATATTCAAGTGTAAAAAATAAAAGAAAAGAAAAATATCAAGAAATCTTTCAGTAGAAAATAGGGAAGAAAATGGCTTAGCATCCGCGGCAAGCAGGCTATTCACTCTGGTCAGCATACACTCAGTTACATCATCACGGTAGTAGTCCACTTACACCAGTGCTACCAACAGAGGCAAGGCAGGCAAGGTCAAGAACAGGGTCTACATACCCAATTAGCTTCCATTTATCTTTTTAAAAATCGGTCAAAAATAACTCACTAGCAGCACCCTGGGCAAAAGCAGCAGCACAGGCAGCAGTCGCACCAGCAAGCGACGAGATACAGTTCACCCAGTCGCAGCCAGCAATCGCAGCCTGGGCATTGTACTCGGCAGCGCTCTTCATAATGGCAACGCGGCCAGCAGGGATGGCATTATCGGCCGCAGAGACGGCAGCGACAAGAGTGGCAGCGGCAACAATGGAGAACTTCATTGTGACTTGTAGTAGTGGCTTCGGTAGAGAAGATAGAAGAAGAGAAGAGAAGTGTGAATGTGAGTTGTGTTGTGTTTGATACAGAAGGAAAAGAACCCATCTCTAGCTGGATTTCGTCCTCTTTATATACTTGAATTCTATGCACCGAAGCTCAGATATCCGAGATGAGATGCCCTCGTCTTGGAACGAGATGCCCAAACAGACATCATCATTCACCTCTACGGTCAAGGCCAAGGCACTGTGAAGTTGCTTATACAGATATGCCCCCGCTGGCGCCCTCGCACTTTCACCACAATGCAACCCTTTTAGCTCGGACCTGCGTTGGCGGTGCTGAGATCGGCGCGATCTGTGGCCGCTTTGGGGCGTCGGATCTTTACGACGGGCGCTGGGTGCGTGAGCTTATTCCCTGGCGTGGGGCGGGCATGGTAGCTTTCGTGGCCCGCGGACTGTCGGCCACCCTCCTAACAACTTACACCCAAGGAATTGTGCACGGTTAGTTGGGTGTGGATCGAAGAGAAAAAAAAACTTAAAAATTCAAGGCACATCAGGATGAAGAAACGCAATTATGAGAAAAAATTCAGTCTAATTATTATGTATGCAAAGTTCGCTCTAAAATGCCCCATTCACAATCATTAAACACCAGCCGTCACAGCCAGTGCTAGAATCCCTAGCCGCCTCCCGTAGAAGACGGCCAAAAAAACAAACGCCAAATGCCCAGTCTCATTATGTAGCAAGCAGGAGCTGCTTACTACTTTGGATCGCAAAAAAAAAATTTAGTGCGAGGTTTTGCTGCTTTACGCAACGGGGACTGCGTTGGTAAGACGCAGAGTAACAGCGGATCCCCGCATGGTGACCCAGACAATGGGGGGCTCGCTGCCGACCTGGTCAATCTTGGTCTGGTCGAGGAGGCCAGCAACAGCACTGCCCTTGGGGATGGTGACGGGGACGGGAGCACCGCACTTGTTGCCAGTGGTGGTCACGGTGACAGACGAGATAGACTTGCCATCAGACGAGTAGGTGTAGCTGGCAGCGGGCTTGCAGTTGTCGACAGTCATACGGTCGATGAAGTACTTGGCAAACTGGTCGTGGGTGAGAGAGGTAATGGGCCAGGTGGTGAGGCGGGTGAGCTCCTGGACAATGGTCTCGACCCAGGACTGGATGAGCGAGAACTTGCCAGTCTGGCTGCCGACAGTAATGGTGGGCATGTCGGTCTGGCGCAGGTTGGCCTGGTGGAACATGTACGGGTCGGCCTGCAGGTTCATGAGGTACTGGGCGTTGGTGAGCTTGGCGTCATCGAGCAAGTCCTGGAAGGTGCCGCTGGTGCGCTTCGTCAGGACATACCACTCCTTCACGAGACAGTCGGTCTGCTCGCAGTTGAAGTAGACAGTGGTAGCATAGCGGGGCACAATCCAGAGACCGTCGTAGCCGTTGACAGCCTTGTTGCTCATCAGGGGCCAGTACTTGCTCTGCGAGTTGCGAAGGACAGGACGGGTGTTGTCGCCGACGACGTACTTGATACCGTTGTCCATCCATGCCTTGATGACGTCGCCGTTGTGAAGACCAGTAATGGCAGGGGGGATGATACCATCAGCAGTGTAGCGCGTAGCCTTGTCAATACCCATCTGCTTCATCCAGGCCTGGTTGAACTGGATCTCGCGGGCGGCATCGTGGTAAGTAGCGTTGTTGAGCTCCTCGTGACTGAAAGTGTGCGAGATGTGGGCAAAGGCGTTGAGGTTGCCGGCGGTGCGGAACCAGTTGCCAAAGGTGTCGAGCTTGCTGCAGGTCTGGGACCAGGTGTAGTTGGTAAAGGTAGGGGGCCAGATGTCCGTGCCGGTGCCAAGGGGCTTCTGGAACTCAAGAGGGGTATCAATCTGCTCGGGGTACTCGACGGCATCGGCGGGGCTGCATTTGCCCTGCGCGGCTTCGAGGTTGGTGGCGCTCTCAATGTTGCCGTTGCCGTTGTGGCCAAACTCCATCCAGTAGCTGGAGCCAGCGGGCATGCGGGCGTTGATGTTCTTTTGCCAGGTGACATGGGCATCCAGATCGCCCGTGCGGAGCTTGAACTGTTGGCCGGCAGGGGAGTAGAGGTCGGTGCTGAGCTGGAGATCGTCAACCTGCGTGCTGAGGTGAAGCTTGCGCTTGCCGACAAACAAGCTGCGGGTCATCCAGTGGACATAGGCGTGGGACAGGAAGCTCGAGGCCAAAGACCACTCGGTAGCAACCGAGGTGAACCAGACGAGCTGCTCGCGGCCATTGTTGTTGTTGATGACGGCGGCAACAGTCTTTTCGTTGATGCCGCCGGCAGGCTCAAACATGGCAAAGGCGGTGGTGCCATTGGCGGCGGTGATCTTGGCAGGGTAGTGGTAGAGGCCGTTGAGGAGGACAGGAGCGTTGCTAATGCATTGTGTTAGTTTTCTTTTTTTCTTTTGTTTTTTTCTTTAAAAAAAAAATGGGAGCGAGAGCGAGGGCAAACTTACGCCTTGAGGCCGGCGCCAGGGATCAGCGTGGTGCTGGGCAGGCTGATGCCGGCGGACACGCTAGCGTCGCAGCAGCCAGGGCTGTTGGGGTTGTAGGGAGTGGCACCTAAAGAGTGAAGTGGTTAGCTGGCTGGGCTGGGTGGACTAATACGCGTGTCGTGCGCATCTGACAGAAAAAGAATAAAGAAATTGCTGCTTACCAAAGTTGGGGCCAGGGTACTCGTTAATGCGGACCATGCGGACATTGAAAGCAGACTGGTAGGCATAAATCTGATTCCACTGATCGTCGGTCAGAGCGCTCTTGAAGGTGCCGTTGTAGTCGTAGGAGATGCTGCCAATCAAGATGATGGAGCCATAGTTGCCATTGGTGGCAGTCGAGTTGAGAACAGGAAGGGGAGAGCCGCTCTGAGCAATGAGGGCCTTTTGCCACGGGATACCGTAGGCATCGAGGCCAGGGCTGGTGCTGGCAATGTCGATGTCGTCACGGCCAAGAATGAGAACAGTGCTGCCGACAGACTTGGTAGAGGCGCCAGGCAGGATGCCGAGACCGGCAAGGGATGTGGTGAGAGACTTTAAGATGCTAGGCATTTTGTCTGAAAGATGAATGAAGAGTAGGACTTGATCGTTCCAACAAGACGGGACCCAGGGAGTGGGACGACGTCAAGACTTATAGAAGATCCGAGGAGGAGAGAGAGGAAGATGTCTCTCAGGAGGTGGGACAAGGCCGACAGCCCAAAAGGAAAAAAAAAAAGAAAAAGAAAAAAATACAAATTAATGCAGGCCCAATCGTCCGGTAAAAATCGCCGAGCTATTCTAGGGCGCCATCCAAGGAAATAAAAAATTAAAAATTAAAAAAAAAAAATATCTCCTCCTTGGCCGATAGGGGACGACAGGACTCCGCTGCCACCACCACGCGGCGGAAACAAGCGACCCCGACACTGGGCTGCCACACTCGAGCGTGCACCGACATGCGGGCAGCAGGGATCCGGAGGGACAAGAAAAGTGGTCTAGAAACAGCCCATGCAGGCCAAATGGAATCTGGCCCGGCTGTGGCGGCGCAAGACAGGGCCAGGCCTCGCAGGGTGTGGTGTTCCAGCTCCAGCTGTTGCTCCAGTGGGCGCAGCAGGCTACTGTAGGGGCAGCTAGCAGCACACGGTTAGCGGCCAAGCTAAGCTAGCGCCGGTCTTGTGCGTAATCGAGACAATGTCTTTTTTTCTGCAGTAGTTCAGCTTAGCTTGTCAAGTCAGTCATCATAAGCAGCCTCGTGTAAAAAAGCATGGGCCTGGCCTCGGCGATAACCAGAAGTCACTAGAGGCATTGGTAATACTGGCATTGACGTCGGCGGTTGCAAAATTGGAGGAGGAGGGAAAAAAACAAAATCAATGTGTGGTGGGACCCTGGCGCCAGCGATCTCATTTCATTTCGCGCGTAAACAGTGCCGGCCCCATTGCCATGTCACCAATTTTTTTATTTGTGTCTGGCAGCGAGTGAGCGCCGTGTCACTGGCTGGCTGGCAGACTGGAGCAGGGAAGAAGAAACGGAAAAAGAGGCGACAACGGAACCAAAAAGGGCTGATCATTTCGCTTGGCAGTCCAACTGGTTGCACCGTTAAGACAACTTTGCACCCATCATTTCTCTCGCGTGTCTGAGCAACAACGGTGAAACGAGCAGAGGCAGCGCAACATCGTGCGTAAACGAGAAAATGGTTACGGTGCAGTGACATCCCGTACTGGGTGGCCCTAGCTGGTTAGCTAGAGTAGTATTACTGGACTGTCCCGTATGCATGGGAAATCCGTTTTGTCGGTTCGCTCGGGAACAATGGCGAGGACGGCGGTAATACCCCTACACTTGCGTAGCCGGTCATCCGTGATCCTCTTTTCGTTCTTGCTGCACGCACTGCACGCACGGTGGATATCTCTCTTGCAGGCAGCCAGGCAGGCAGCAATCAATACTGTACATACAGCACTGCCTTCGGGCAGGCAATGACATGACAGCAGCATCATCCTACTGTACAGGCAACCTAAGACCCTTGCCGGGCTGGGTAGTGATCGTAGGGGACCACCTACGCCACCGTATGCACCGTGCCCGGCCTAGAATCAATCTCATCATTCATTCTGCCCAGTGCCATCGCCCCCTCCGATTACCTGGGCAGTTTCTGAGAGTAGCCTCGCCGTCGCTCCCCGGGCGCGCGCCCACTAAGCGTGCTGTCGCAGCACTACCCACACCACCCACCGGGCAGCGCCCACCACCACCACCGTAATAAGCTGTGTTCTAGGGCCGCCAGCGCAGCGCAATGTCGCAAGGCCTAGAAGCTCTCACCACCGGCTGTCTCCGTAAGCCACAGCAGCAGGCGGGCATGGCATGGCCTGAGCTAAAATATCCATACCGAAAAAAGACGATTCCAGGTGGGCGGTAGTTAGTCAATTTCCTCATCTAGACGCCTCTCGCCTGATGGGGCGGCCGCCGTCTAACAGCCATTTTCAGGGCTGGGCGTTTTGGGGCTGGCTAACTAAACCTGCTACAGTACCGTACCTATGAGCACAATACCGTATTTGCCAGCCAGCGTCATTTATAGTTGTGTGTGGCGTCTGCCTGCGGTGACCGGGTGGACTCGCCGACTTAACCTTTTATTTTCCCTTATATTTATGCGTGCCAAGTTTCTTTTGCTGGCGCCCGTATTGGGCTGCTGGCGGCGCCACCTCATTACCGCAAAGGGCAGTAGTCGGGGGCGAGATGGAAGAAGCATAGATTGGGCCCTGGGCGCCACGATAGCCGCATTGTTCAGCTACCGAAAGGGGGCGCTGCGCTCGCTTTGTCTAGAACCAGACCGCCGGTGTCGCTACGGTGCGGGTAAATACAAGACAGAAAAAATCGTAAATCCCTTTTTGGGCAAGGAAAACAATATTTGGCACTTGTCAAAAAATTTTAAGGCGACATTTGCGCTAGGGGTGCTGCCCACGGATAGATCTGCCTGATCGACCACCATATTCGTATATGTCTCTGACCATCACGGCAGGCTGCTCGGCGCTGTAATACAACATGGCCGGGCGAATACAGACCGACGGCACGAGGCAACGTAGCAGCCGTTTGGCCAATTTTTTGTAGTTTGCATGTATTAGCAATTTTTCTCTCATTCTCGCGCACGCACTGCTGACGCCACGGCTATCACGGCGTGCGTCGGAGGCCACTCCACTGGTCGACCGGCGGCAGCACCCCGGATCTCCGCTCTGGCCAGGAGGAGAGCCTGGCCTTTCCTTTCTGGGACGCTTTAGCGAGAACGAAAAACAAGCGTAGCATCAAAGCGCTGGCTTTTGTTGTGCAGGGGGGGGGAGGGAGGCCGCGGCGCAAGGGTCATGGAAGAATCTGCATACCACCACAGCGCTGGCGGCGTTGACGTGGACGCATGTCCGGTTAATGTCAGCGGTTATATGGGATTGTGATTCGCCCTGACAAAGCCCAGCAGCAGCACTCACGCACAGCTGGACAAACTGTTTTTTGCTGCTGTGGTTCTAGACCGGTCAAACTGGCTTGCAGCTGTAAAAGAAAAAAAAAGTTTACTCGCAGCATGCAGAATACGAACAACGTGGAAAAGCACGCAATATCCGCCATTCAGCGACGTTGGTCTATCCCACGAGGACCGAGCGAGCGCTGTTTCCAGTCAAACGGCAACGGGTTCCGAGTGCTACGCTCTGACGATGGGAAATAAATTGCCTTGCTGGCTCGCGATAGCGAAACAATAGACAGCGGTGGTGGAGACGCTAATTAGATCAGGATCAACTGAGACGTCCACACGCAAAGCTCCACTGGTACGAACTGCCTGAGAGCCTTGTGGTTCTCCTGTAAATACGGCGTCTCCTGTTTTTTTTTTATGCAAATAATAGTAGGGTTTTTGGGGCGGAGTTAGGGCCATGAGGCTGCATGTGTGTGTTTCATCAGTGGGTTGAGCGGGCTGCAGCTAAGATTAACGATGCGGTGCGCGCATGCTTTACAGCGGGACTAGCAACTGCAAGGGGAGGGGGCAGCGCAGCACAGAGACGGGTTTGAAGCCTTGCTTTTTTGTCTTTTTTGTGATACTGCTTCTTTGGGCTTGGGCTCGGTGAATTGAATTATTCGATTTTTTTTTTTTCCTTGTTTCGCTTGAGAGTTTGTCTGATGTCGACATCCTGGACTTGCGTACCCGAGACACGGGTGCTTAGTTCGCTGGGTGGTGGTAAAAATAGGTGTAGTGGGCTGTGTACTGTAGGAGAGTCCAAAAATATGTCTTGGAATAGCTTCGGCAGAGTGCTAGAGAAAATATGCTAGCAAAAGAAATTGTGCACATAGCTATCGGAGGCTTGTTTGAAGTCAATTCGGAATGACATGATTGTATTGGAGTAGAATTGTGTTCAGCAATGGCTGACAGTCTTGTGCACATCGGTGTCTACACAAGTCTGGCTGACTGGTAAGTTAGTGCATAAAAACCATTTAGCCCAGCACCCGTGACAGAAGCCCATCAGCAGCCGCACAATCCAGCAGCCTCACCGACACGGTGTAACATTCAGCTTTAGCCACCGTTCCACGTGCTTTAGTAGATGTAGCGCCACACATTTTGCCCAACTCTCATCACCTTAAAACCCTCACGTAAGGCAGTTTTGTACCGTAGCTCGGGGAGCATGTTTGCCCACTCGACGGCCCCCTTGGGCATCAACACGGTTGCCCCAGCACCATTTTGATTGCCAGCGCGTCAAGAAGAATAACCGCTTCCAGAAAAGTCAATGCTTCTAGACGCGCGATCTGCCGCTGGCGCCCGTTTGGCTACCCGACGAAGCCACTCCCGCCATCCGTGCGAACTCGATGACGCTCTTGCTCTGTTTTAACTTGAATCCAAGTCGGTAACTTAGTAGTACACTGATTCGTCGATACAGAGGCCGAGGAAGTCCTGGCAAAACTTCGGCCATTGACACTGGAGACTTCCCCTTATACAGCCACATAATCCTCTACTCGATCCTTTTTTACGTACAGTACCAGAGCCTGATTCAACCTGTAGCTCCTCCACACTTTTGCTACAATCCCCAGCTAGCTTGGTCGGCCTCCGTTGGTCTTGTTTTGGTGCCCAGTGGCGACCGAACGAGTGATTTGGGCTCCTAAGCTCGTTCTGTCTCGGTACTACCGACTACCAGCGCTTCGATTCCCTGTTCGAGACGTAGATCGCGGGCTGCTCCTCATGTGATGTCTTAGTCTGTAGGTGTGCTTGTCTTCTTCGGGCCACGATGTGCTGAGGCCTGGAGAAGTTAGAGCGACTCAAGGGCCTAAGTATTGTTCGAGCCCTGGATAAGTCTTTGTAGCCAATCAAAATACAAAAAACAAACATCTTCAAGTGCCGGACGGGTATGCAGACGCAATGCAGGTCACGATGTTGCTAAAAATGGCCAATTGAGGCGAATTAGTTCGTTCGTCGTTCCTGTGGCGCCTACTGTGGTCGTCTGATGATTCGCATCCTGGGCAACCGGCGCGAATGCTCGCCCTGTTTTTGCCAGTAATTTGGCGTGGTGACAGAGTCAGCGCCAATACCACTGGATAGGAGCGTAGCTCCACGGCCAATACTGGTTGAGGTGGCAGCGTCGGCGAATATTTCTAAAACCTTAGCCACCACCGGCACTTCCCTCAGAGCAACCATCTTCAAACTCTATTTTTTGTTGGTGTTCATCATCGCGCACAGGACAATGTCATCGCGTCTCACCTTAACGAACGACTCTTTGCGACAGGCGGGCTCTTGACTAGATCGTCCACGGTTTTGTTAGCCATGCGTAACCCCAGTATGGTCTAGAATTACCTATCGTTGCAATCACGTCTAACATCAGATATCATAGCACCTTACCTGCGCAGTGGCCAACAATTCTTTGTTTTTTGACAATTTCGGTGACATTACTCCAGTCACTCAACGACGAGCAACTTCTTACATCTCAGCCAATCCCGCACTAAATATAACCAAGATGGGGACATAGACGAGCATCTTTCAAGTGAATCACAGAACGCCTCGCACTTGAACATTTATCCTACGAACATTATGCAGCAAGCTCTGAGGACAACGCCGGTTAAACTCACATTCGCCAAAGCTCCGTTAACTTTCTATTTTCAGAAGATCGAGTTTGATATTTTACTTGTATGTGGTGTGCTGGTCACTCTTGCAACGGTACTCGAGCTTTCTGTCGGTAAATATATCTCGTCTCACCCCCTGTGATCATTACAAAGCGCAACTAACACGAGTCCTAAGAAATTTGCGTGACCATCTATTTCAAAAATGAACCGCCCAAAATTATACCGATATCTTGGTACATGCTTGTTGCTGCATTGACTGGTGTTACAACCTCCGCCGCCCAACTGTGGGTTCTCTTTCCCGTGTCTATGTTGTATGCATCGTGCTAACTTCAAAACCAAGACTCATTACAAGAATAACATGCACTCGTTCGACACTAACACTATTTGACAGCATCCTTGACGGCATATCGCGGTTAGTGTCTCAAGGAAGTCATGAAGACACACTCGATTAACACTCTCTAGTGTATCACTCGATCCTAACAAATTGAGTTCCGTCATAAGCGCGTAAATAATTCTTAAATTTGCTTTTATTGGAGATGTTAGCTCTAACGGACAGTAGGGCATCTGTCAGCCACGGTGTGGCTTTCCACGGTACCAACCGAGCCATTCTAGGTATTGTGTATTGTAAGTAAACACAGCTGGACTTTACCGTCGATGTACTTCTTCTTTTAGATACAAGCTTTCTTTCCATACGATACACTTTGGTGTGCGTTATGAACCCATACTTCACTCTGGCTGTGCTTGTGTTTGCCATTGTGTTCTGGGTAATCCTACGAGCATACGGTGCAATTGGCCTGCAGCTTCATAACATGCGGATGCACTCCGATCAACAAATCTGCTCCCGCTTTACAGAAATCGTTACTGGTACATCCCATCTCAATGCCCTTGATTGGCGTGAACAATCGCACAGAGTCAGCCAGATACACATCGATCAAAGACTAGTGATATCACAATATCAGGACGCTGTAACAAGGTGGAGAATGGTCGCCGTCGACGTGATCTTCTGCGTAGCGACTGCTCTCTCTGTGATTGGTAGCATTCACTTCGGCCTCGCACCATATTATTCGGCCCTTTTAGCACATCTAGTGTTCCCACGGATACAAGCTGTCTCCTGTATTGTTGATAGGGCGCTGGACATGGATGTCTCTCTTTCTACTACTGGACAAATGAGGATTTTCACAGATGAGCCAGAACCTATCGAGTATGGCGACAACGCTTCCAGTGCCGAGTGGCCCGAGAAAGGACACATTGAGATTAGCGATGTGGCGGTTCAATATGAGTGTGGCGGTTCAATATGAGTAATTCAATTGTCGTATTGACAGAAGTGTTGAAGAAGCTTACGAAGATACAGGGAGAGGGATATTGTAGTAGCGCTGCACGGTGTGTCTCTTTCAATAGATCCTAGTGCCCGTGTAGGCCTCTATGGATCATCCGGAAGGCAAGTGCGATTTCAAGTGGCACCCATTTCTTTATATGAGAGTGACTAACCAAGACAACAGTGGGAAGAGCACTTTACCGCTGGCAATTTTGAACCTGGTGTCTTATCGAGGTTCTATAAAGATTGACGGGCGGGAAGTGCGTGACATCCCGCCCGATGTTTTGAAGAGGAGGATCACCGTCGTCACGGAACGTCCTATCTTGATTCCTGGAACGGTTCGTCAGAACCTTCTGCCCGAGGAATTTATCGTGGACCCTGAAGACCCTGAGCCGGCGATGATTGCGCTTGAGCATATTTTGGGCCGCCTTGAGCTCTGGGATACGCTCATAGAACAGGGTGGCATGACAACTGACATATCCAAGATTGTCTTTTCCGAAGACCAGTGGCAGAGATTCTCGCTAGCGCAGGCGTTGACCACACATCTGTACCAGCAAAACAAGATTGTCATTGTCAATAATGTGACGAGTCATGTCAACGAGGCATCACGAGCAGTTATGCAAGAGGTCATGAATGAAAGCTTTGGCAAGTGCACACGGATTATCACTGGTCACATGCCTTCAGCGGTACGAGGTGCTCATATACTTTATCTGGTAAGGAATAGGCGCGTCATTCCCCATGAGGAGGTAATAGCAGCGGCAAATAATGCAGCCTCATCGTCTGGGGGCTCTGCACCGAATCAGCCGCCTCCAGCGCCTGGTCAGGCATCCGGTTCAACACCACGACAGAAAAAGCAGACTCATCAGCAGCCGCAAGCCGAAGCTTCGGGATCACAACCTCGACAGTCAACAGAAGCGTCTGGTTCACGCACCCAGCAGACTCATGCACCTGCGGAAGCATCTGGCTCTGGATCACGGGCTGCTCAACCGACTACTTCCTCAAGTACCGAGCACCCTACGACATTGTCATCATCGTCTTCTGGAACTACATCGCGGGCTCGTCGACCTGCACCACAGCCGCAAGGGTCTGCGCGCGGCAAACAACCGCAATACGATCAGCGGCCACCGGCGGCGACCTACCGACAGCCTGTCCCACTGGCTTTCCACAATCCACCGCCACCGAGAACTACAGCAGAGACGAATCAGCCCCCATCAAAATATTATGAGAAGCTGAGGGCAATGCGCGTGGTGCCTCCGGCTCCAGCAGGTTATCCTGCATCCGCAACAGCGCAGCCTCGCCAACCGCAGTCGAGGGGACCTTCGAAAGAAGACATGGAGATGATCAAAGAGTTTCTAGCTTTTGTCCAGAAACCAGGGCGGCGGGACATGAGCCTTGACGAGTATCTAGATCTTCGGCGGCATGACCCTAGAGCTCAGCATGCTCGACGATGGGGACCAAACTCCAGATGATTGGCCCAGGACCAGTACATACAGTCGCCATTGAGCAGTCTTGCTCATCACCTATTCCATTTATCACTTCCTGTCCCCATTTCCCCTGTATTTTGTCATTTTGGCGCACCACTCGGATTGTACATCTTTCTTTCTTGCATACTTGTCTTGTATATTCATTCGCACTAAATACTGTCAATCTACTCGTTATTTATTCTACTCGTTTAAAACGATTCATATATCATATTATTCTTTGCCACATGGCGAGTCATTGTAGAAGTGAAAAAAATCCCTCAGAGCAAGAGACCAGCAACGGCGGCGGCAACAAAGCCGACGTTGGCAGCCACGACGCCAGCAGCACCGGTAGAAACAGACGACGTGCTAGATGTAGTCTTGGAGCCGGACGATCCGCTGCTACCGGAGGAGGGCGAAGCAGTGGTCTGCATGGTAGCTGGCTGCTGGGTGCCGGACGCAGCGCTCTTGGTAGGCGCAGCAGTAGCCGTGGCAGGAGAGCTGCCGCTGCCGCCATTGTTGTTGGCAGGGTGCGAGCGGTCAATGGTCGTGGTGAGCTGCTCGCTGCGAGTGGGAGCAGTAGCATCGACACGGACGCCGTTGGCTAGGGCGGTGGCGGCGGCGGCATCGTACTTTGTGCTGGCGAAGCCGCAGACGTGCAGGATACGGTCAATGTCTATCACATGTGTACTCATTAGTTACTCTGATTCGTTTCTTGGCGTATTTTGGAATAGGAGGGGAATAATACGCACCTTCCAAGTCGTCCTTGTCGGCGCGGTCGTGGTCGTGGTCATCGCGGCGGCGGCCACGAGTCTGGTGCATGCAGTCGGCGCAGAGGGCCGCAACCTTGGCAAAGTCGAAGCTCTTGTTTGTGCAGATGCACTGGTTCTGGAGGAGGTCCTCGACGCGGTCGCTGCCATGGTACAGGTCGACGTCGCATCTGTCGACGAGGATGTCGACGGGCTTGCAGATGGTCTTGCAGGCCGAGGGGACATCGTCGAGGTCGAAGTCGAGGTCGTCGTCTGCGCGGGCCACGAGGGCGAAGGCGAGGACGGCGGCGGGGGCAGTGAATCTCATTGTGAAAGAAGATAAAAGAAATAAAAGATGAAGTGTTGGTTGGTGATTGAATTGATTGAGTGATGGATGGATGGTGGTTGATGACGGCGGCACCTCGCAACTCTTATACTTTTTTTTTCTTCTAGTTTTCATCTTGACGTCAATCACTGCCTTCTTTTTTTCATCTTCTCCATGGATAATCTTTCCCAAACAGCAATCTCATCGCCAAACGTAACTACCGCGAGCTTCGTCGTCTGCGCTAACCCGCGATCCCGTAAGGCGGCCCCCACAAAAGAGAGTAATATCTCTGCCGATCGCCCGCTTCGCCACGCCATAATTAGAAACAAGACGCTGCGACAAGAAGCTAATCGCCCAACAATGCCCGCTAAGATGACGCAGATGCACGCTTGATTGGCTCGCCAGAGGGCTTCGTCGGTACCTGCGTGGCTGTGTTTTGGGCTGGCGATGTAACAAAGCACCCAACTACACGCACTATTTCCCGTGCATTGCCGGCCGCGGAATGACGCCAAGTAGACGAAAAAGGTTAAATTTAGCTGCGGCAATCGGCGGGCACCTGGGGGCTGTATGTATGCGGTGTAAGGAGCACACAGACAGACAGACAGACGGACCAATAGGAGACGCAGGCCTTTGCTTATGAGATGACGGAGGCCTCACTCTCCCACGGGATGTACTTTGTCTGTCTGTCTGCTTGGCAGCGAAGTGGCTGTGGTGTTTCGAGATGGCGACGGGATATCGAGAGACGCGGCACTGCGGCCGAGTGAGTGGCGGTAAGCCATGACGATGGAATGCGCCTCGTTGGAAGGGATCAGATGAGCATTGTTGTTCCGTAGAATTATCGTTTGTATGCTGTCCAGTATCCGTGGTGGATGAGTTGGTTGGTTGGTGGCCGATGTCCCGAAGGCCGAGGTTGGTTGGGGATGGTATTGGTTCTGATGGGAGCAACCACATATGCGGTGGATACAATGAATCCCATACTTAGACAGATAGACAGGACTCCCCAATAACAACAGCATTCATCGTGGTATCGTCCGTCCATTGTGCTTGTTGCATGTATGGTGTGCAATAGGTTATGAGGCCCGGTACGTTTCAAACGTCGTTCTGAAAGAACTTTCACCAACAGAAAAAAGAAAAACAACCGACACCACACACGAACTCGAAGACAAACCCCCTCCGACAATGAGACACACTTCGACAAGCCAACACACACCATAGGCACAGCCCACGAACCTCCTTTCTAGAAGGTGCCCAAATAAGCAGAGTCTTGGTAGATGATTTTGCGGACGTTTTCAAATCCCTCCTGCTCCGTAGTGGCATCGAGAGTCTTAAGCCAGTCCCGAGATCCGAGGAGTTTGCTATAATCGTGAGTACAGAAATACACCTACATAATTCACTATAGTAGCTTACCTAGATACGTCTTGTCTTCGTAAACCGCTATCGATGCCGCTTTCGTCACCGTCGAGAAAACGTGACACCCGTATACGGTCCCCCGTTTGTACATAGCTGGATCCGTTTCCTGCAGCGTAACAAAACGGAACCTAGGGCACGACCGTCTCGCATCAAGTACGTCTTTGGGCCGTCCGCACATGACAAAGACAGACACACCACCCCCCCTATGACATCGCCAGCGCAGAATCGAGTCCTATCGGGGCGGGGGATTCCGTCTTGTCTGACAGCTTGCAGCGGGAGCACCGCAATGGTGACATGGAGATGCAACGCCGACATGGTCTCGACGTCTCCCTAGCTCATTTGACAGGTGATGTGCGCGGGATGTCAAACTGTCAGTGGCAGTGACGGTGATGATCCCTCCGAGTATCGTCAGCTTGTGTTTTCGAAGCAAAACGAAGAGAATCACATACCCAAGTAGAATGCCATTTTGAGCAACTTGGTTCTATACAAGTCATTTCAGCTAAGTTCCGTTCCATTCACCTCAGATTGTTTCATGTCGGCTCAGGTTGGTTCAGTCACAATGAAAACAGAGGGGATTTTTGAAAATTTCTTTTGTATTTTCAAACCGTGCAAAAGAGGACGTATCCCCCTTGCAAGCACACTTGCGAAATCTGCACTGATGTGCAGTCCGCGTCAATCAAAACTGCCTATCCCTTTTTTATATATACAAAAACTTTGGCTGCTGCTAAAATGAAATGGGTAGTTTGTTCAAAACAAGAAAAAATGAGGCTTGAGGCAATGCAATGCGTGTCTCCTTAAGAATGTAAAACGTGTCGTATAGCAATGAATCCGTAGCAAAGTGAAAATTTGTGATGCAAAACGTGAATGCCGGAAAAATGAGGAGCAAAAATGTAAAGGCGAGAAGTGCCACGCTCTAGTTGGACTTCTTGCTAGAAAAGAGCTCCTTCCAGCCGCGCCAGGTCTTCTCGTTGAAGCCGTAGACCATGGCGTCAAAAAGGCCCTGGATGACAATGCACGACTTGTCGACCGTGGCAATGGGGAAGCTGGCAGAGTTGCCGCTGACAGCCTGGTAGATTCGGATAATGGTGGGGAGAGCCCAGACAAGGCCGTACACAAGAGGGTACAGCATCATCTGGTAGGAGAGCCTCTTGAGGTCAGAGTGGCCTCTGGTGCGGCGAGACTTGGGCTTGGGAGGAGGAGAGGGGGGGATGATGCGTTCCTGGTCAGAGGCACCGTCGGAGAGCTTGGCCAAGTTGACCGACTGGACGCGGGGAGTGGCGGAGGACATGGTGCCGCGGGTGCCGGTGCCGTAGTTGTCCTCTTCGTCAAAGGACATGAAGTTGTTGTGAGCGCGGTGGAGGACAAAGTGCAGGCGGGCGTAGAGCAGCAGCATGGCAACAATGATGATCCAGCGAGGCAAGAAGTTTACGAGAAGTCTGGTTCTGTCGCTAGTAAACCAGCACCAGGCACCAATGTCGCCGTAGCCGGCAAGAACGAGACCGAGAGTCGCCCAGAGGAGAGAGAAGAACCAGGGAAGAGCCCAGACGACGTATCTGTGGCTCTGAACCCACTGAGAGAGTGCCTTTTTATCGTTGAGCATGACGAATGTGCAAGCAGCAATGAGCAGCACCCAGTAATCAGCTGCAAGAAAGGTTAGCTGTTGTGATCTTGGCAAGTTGAAGTCACGTCACATACTCTGGTCGACAAAGGTCTGGATCATGAAGCCGTTGAAGCTGCAGAATGTCTTGCATTCCTTGTCACCAATGTCTCTGCCGGACAGGTTGACAGCAGCTGAAGAAAGGAAGTTGATGGCCATGAAGAAATCGGAAATGGCGAGGCCGAGAATAAGCTGGTGTCTAAAGGTACGAAGAGACTTGTTGAGCTGCGAGTGGTCTCGGGTTAGTTGGCTGTTCTCTATAGCACTAAATAAATGCAGGTTTATACATACGACAAAGCCCATAATCATCCACAGGGCACCGATGGCGGAAGCAGTGGCGACGCAGAGAATGACGATGCTGAGAGTGTGAATCTGTTGAGGGTTCTTGGGAGCCGACAGAGGAGGGGAGTTGGGCCCAAGCGTGGGAGTAGGATCGATGGTGGCCATTGCTGCGATGTGATGGGTGTCCAATGACACTGGTGAAGCGAGATTCACACGTTGAAGAAGTGAAGAAGAAAAAGCAAGCTCGTAGAAGAGAGAGCGGCGAGTTGCAATGCTTAAGTAGAAGGAAGAAGGAAAGGAAAGCTATCGAAGGAGGTTGTTCAAGATCGGCAAGCCAGAGCCGCTATGGGAAGACGGTTGGAGATTGGAGGCAAGTTGTCCTTGATGATCTTCCAAAAAAACCGTTTGGCTAAAGCGGATGCCGATGAGATATATAGAAAAGGCGCCGGCCGAGGGAAGGTGTGTGAAGTGGGAGAGAGAGGGAGTGTGGGCTATGGATCCGTGACAAGGGTCCTGCATACGGTTCCGCGTGCGTGAGAGACACAAAGAGAACGAGTGTGTAAGAAAGAGAAGAAGAAAGAGTCAGGTCTGCGAGACAAAGGGTAACAGCCGAGCCTGGGATGCAGAGCAAAAGGGGGTCGGCGGGTGAGCCCAAGTGGATGGGAGGGATGGATCTTGTTTCGTTTTGCAGATTCCGCGTCGATTTCCCATGCACCTCTGCATCGCAACGGAAACTAGTGAGTGGTGAGAGACGGGGGGTTAGGGTGGTGGGAGGGGACGGGGAAGGGTTGCCGTCGAGACTATCAGCTTTTTTTGCGGTCTTTCTATCACAGTAACGCTAGACCGGGGTTGTAGCAGCAGTGGCTCTCTGTCTTTTGCACAGGCGACATCGAAAAAAAAGGGACCAGGGCTAGGATAGCTGAGAGAGAGGGGACGAACTTGACCAGGCACTGCCGCTACTGCAGCAGGTACAGTACGTACACCAGACGGGGGAAAAAGATAGTATGCCCACACACACACAACTCACCCCAGTCTGCCATTGAACAAGGGGGATGCATCAACGTTTTTCTGGTCTTTGCTTTTGTACCAGTGTCGACAGTGATTAGCAGTGTACTGTACACGCTAAGCTAACAGCCGTGTCAAGATAGGCTGGCTAGCTGGCTGGCCTGGCCTGGTGGTTGTTACTAGTCATGGATGATATGAGCACGGGCAAGCCACCCAAAAGGAACCAGGGCCCGGCAATGCACGAGAGGCGCTCTCTACGCCGTGCTAAGTAGCCAGCCCAGCCTATCTTACACACACATTCCCTAACGTAGACCTTTGGGGGCGTCCTACTCGCTGCTTGCCCCTGGTGCGGCTAGCGGTTATCATTGGCATGCCAGAACGCAGAACCACCGCACAAAAGGAGGGGACCAGACTCAGCGATAGACTTGCCGTCCAATATGGATATGGATTATCAGCTTTTTTTTCTGGCAGTCTAGACGCTCCGCCTCGACTGCAACGGTATCCTCTCCTCCAGACCAGACCCGGCCAATCCATTGTCATTGCTGGGCAGCACTAGACGAAAGAGGGGCCATGACCCGGCCGAGGGCGAGTCGAGTCGAGTCGAGTCGAATCCTTGCTAAGTTGCTGCTACTGGTGCTAAATTTACTGATGCTGTCCAGTTTTTTCACCGTGTCAAGGCCCCGCGCCTACGCTCGCGCAGCTCCGGGCAGCGCCTATACTGCGCCATAGGCATACGGAGAAAGCCTCTTAGACAGGAGCCCGGGGAAGCAGAGCAGTGGAGTCGGGCGGGGAGCTAAGAAACGGTGGTTATGCGTTAGCTAATACCAGAAAAGTAGACAGGTAAAGACAGGAGGCGCGCGTGTGTGTGTTGGCTATCGATATCACATTAGCTTTTTTGACAGTCTTTTTTTCATGCGTCTTCTACAGAATCCTCAGCTCCATGGGAAGGGTAGGGATGCTGGCTGATGCTACGCTCTGCAGACGCAAGGGAACGCAAGCTTGGGCCCAGGCACGATGGTGAGCGAGGGGGGGTAGACTGCTGCTGCAGCCGTGTCGCAGCGACGGTGGGTGAGAAGAAAACAAAAGAGAGTGACATGCTTTAGTCTGGTAGAGCTAGGACAGGAAAGGAAAAGTGCGCCGGTTTCGAAACAAGGGGTCTTGTCTTTATTTTTCCCGCGAGTGGAGGATCTGTGTGAAAGAGAGAGTGAGAGAGAGGGCCGATATCCATCCAATACATTGATGGGGCGAAGCGAAAATGGAGGCGCGGAGCCTGACGAAACAAATACATTGGAAACGTAAATATTGAATTTATTCGAGTACAAGTATTAGATGGCTGTGCAATTTCATAGATTTATTTTCTGTTTGGTTTATGCTTCGTTGGGCATATGTAGAGTGTGCATGTTTTTTTGTGTAAGTACTGTAAAATAGGTTGGCTGCATTATTTAGCGTCTACACACACAATAGAGCGCCGCCACCGTGAACCACGCCGACGGACGTGGGCACAAAAAAAGCAAAAACAAGAAAAGAACTATTCGTGGAAGCCCGCCAAACTCCACCAGCCGCCCTCCCGCGGATGGGCCCGGTGCAGCGCACAGTTAGCACTCGACTGTGTGGGGCGCGCTGTTCGTTTTGCTGGCAACGGCTTTCCCACGCACTGTGAGCGAGCTTGACTGAGATGCACAAGGGGGGTGTGGCCATTGTCTGTGCAACAATATCCCTGTCTCTTGCACCCTCCCCCCCTGCCCAGCCCAGATTCAAGCAAGGAACACGTTTGTGCTACAACCGCAGAGCCCCCCTGTACGGCTCTGCTGTGTTTTTTTTTTCCCTTCTGTCTCTCGTCTCGCTCCGATCCTGCGGGTGAATCCCCCCTAAAATAGCGCCTACCTTAACCACCACACGGGGGACCGGGGGGGGGGCGCTCTACACGGCCGAGATTGGCGGGCACTTGGCTTTTTTTTGTGGTTTGACAGCTTGACTTACACGAGATTTTCCTCTCCCTTCTCTGCCTTTCCATTGTAATTCTTCGTTCTCCGATCTCGCTGGTGTGTGTGCCTGGCTGCCCCCCATCGTTGTGTAACTTGCTCCCTCCTGTTCGTCCTGCTGGCTGCCTGCTGCGGTCGCACAACAGCTTCCCAACACCGCTGCCTCATTGCCAAATCGGGCTAGATCTCGACAAGGGCACCCTAGATTTGGCGCGCCCATCTCCAACCCGCCCTACAACTTGCAGAGAGTCGTCGGAAATGCTGGCCCAAGACGTGCGCTAGCGTCATGCAGGTCAGGCCTTAGCGCCCTTTGCGCCCCACTTGCATTCAACCACATGCCTCCGCCGCCGCCCAAATCCACGCAACTGCTGCTTTGCATTGCAAGCAAGTAAATATGCCGATGGCTGCTGGCGCAAGGCGGGTGTCTGAGTCGAATCTGCCGCTGCCACATGCGTCCTGCAGACACTGTATTTCAGGGTGTTGCTGGTGCTGAGTGTTTCATCGCCGCTGTGCGTCAGAGACGCCACTTACACCAGCGGCGGCGGGCTTGGATAGTGGTAAAAAAAAAAAGGCACGAACACCGCGCAACCATCCACTAATTTCGCCGCTATATTGTTCTTTGTGGCTTTTGCTATCTCTCTCTCTTCGGTGACCCGATTCTAATCCAGTCTCTCTGCTATTCCTGGTCTGATGCTCCATAGCTTTGTGGCTCTCGGCCCTCGCCATCATCGTTGCTAAATAACCCCTTGGGCTTTGTATGCAGGGTCGACAGCGGGCGGCACAGCACAGACATTCTTTCTTTCTCGCTTCCTTATCTGCAGCCGCGTCGGGCCCAGCATAATCACCATCATCACCGTCGCTATCCCGTTGCACTGTAGTAGTTTCGATATTCCTCCGCCTGCTCGTTGTAAGCGTGATCCTTGACATGTATTCCTCCGGAAGACAAGTATACGTTGTAGATACCACCCACCATAGCCAGGGGCAATCGCAGGCATTCATCCTTCCATTGCATCTTCCATTGCCTCTGTACAGCAGTGATCGCCCATCAACTCGCAAAAAGACCTTGGTGCCTGTGCCGTGTCCTCGCCTATCCAGCCCCCTGCATCATCACATTCGTTTTGATATCGTTTACGGTCTTTCTTTCACTCTGTCCATCCCAATATCAACATACATTGCTCCATTTCTTGGCAATATCGTCACCGGCCCATCCTCCCAAATTCAGCCAAACTACCGTTCATCCTCAATCACTCTTCGTCTCGTTCGTGATTCAAAGTGGCGCCGCGTCTTATTACCGGCATGTCTCTTTAATCTCCCCTGCACGACACGGTCCTCACTATACACCGTTACCAGTGGCTGAGTTTTCTTCGACTCCCCCTTCTGGAATGTCTAAGGCCGACTGCTATTTTCGGGCAACCCAAGACACGCCAACATTCCAAGCACCCGCCGCCTCTTTGGTGCTTTCTCCGTAGAATACTAATTAACAAACATATTTCAATACGTTCGTAGTTTCAACTTGTGCCTTGGCAATGCCAGCCACTAATGCATTGTCTCGACGCCAAGTGTGGTATTTCCGGCACTGCAAAAAGCCTCCTCTGGGCTCCCGGCCGCGCCCACAGCAGGACTCGCCCGAGTGCGCCACCACTGCATTTGTCGCTCGCAGAGCCCTTTGTTGCTCTGTGCTTGCTTGCTAATCTATCCTACAGCGGGCGGCTGGCTAGGCACCATGGCTCTAACCGAAGGCGAGCGGAGCGCCCGACGGCCCTGCCCGCGCGTCTTTCCGTCGGCACTAAAGAAAGCTGACTTAGTTGCCAGCCTGTACTGCAGGTACAGGACATAGCAGATTTTCAACTCGTAAAACAGCCCAGCACGTTACGGTTCTAGGCACTTTCGGGACAACAACACGGAAACCAGCAAAAAATACCGGGCTCCAATTCCGTAGTCCCAATTGCCGACAATAGAGCCAAGATCCTAGTCTACAGAGAAAAAAGATCCAATACAACAATCAGAGACACCTAGCTATTACCTGCATCTATTGGTTAGCAGCAGCAGCATCTCATCTGCCAGATGGCACGCCAGCGTCGCCGCGACAGGTCCCTCTCTCCTACGCTATCGAATAGCCACTAAGCGTGCGGGAAGCCCATATTCCCCTCCCGTAAACGAAACAATGGCCCCATCGCCATTGTACTTGCAGCAGCTTTAGCAGCAGCCGCAGTAGCTAAACTGCTTGGCAGCGGGGCCGTGCTCGACCATCCCCTCGGTGCCAGCAATAGAGCCCTGTGTTGCCGGAAAAGCTCTGCCCCTGATCTGCGCTATTGCTGCCGGGGAGCGTGCCCGAGTCCACTGCGGTGGATTCGGCGGCCGCGAGCTATCGAACACGGCCTACCTGCATGGCCACAAGTCAGTCAAGCATCGCGCTTGGCCGGCCTTGCCACGCGACCATGGCGTTTTGTAATATCTCACATGCCTGGGAAGAAAACAGAAAAAAAACAGAATGTCACAGCGGGCTGGTTGGTGGGACAGGTCCGAACGATGACTGACTAGCGCTGGCATGGGATTGCTTGATTGTGTGCACACAGGACGGACTGACGTGTAAGTACAGTACACTTGAATCAGTAAAAGACGCCAAAAACAACAGTATGAGTCGTGGGAGGTGAGCAGAAAAGGCGTGTACGAGAATTAAGGGTAAAAAACTGCTCTAAGTAGTGTAGGTCTATAAGTGAAAAAATGAACGGATGCAGCAATGGCCACTCCTCAGGAGTAGACTAATGCTGACGAAAAGGAAGAAAAAAAGGTATATGCAAAAAAGAAACAAACTGCCTCCAGTGACCCGAATACACAAACAAATAGTACAAAGGCAATATATACTGCGAAACCATTCCAAAAGAAAAGATCGAGAAACGAGAAACGAGAAATGGCACCAGTTGAGAAGGGCAGGCAATGCAAAGACGAAAACTATGTTCTTCATGTTCAGTTTTCTGTTCAAAATCTAATGCAAAAGTTGGACGTCATATGTGCGTACATTACATGATATAAAAAAGGAGCATTTCGTATGCGGATATAAAACATAGTTTCCCAATAAACCCAAAAATGTAAAACGGACCCAAAACAGATGATGCAAAGTTTTCTTTTGGTGCGTGCATGCATGCTCCTCTACTGGAAGCAAATCCTTCGTCTTTTTGTTCTCTTCTTTCTTCCGCTGTCTATACGCCTGTTGGGCATCCCTGCAATTTATTTGTTGGCAGGGACGGGCTTGATCCAAGAAACAAGCAGGTTGGCACCAATGGTGAAGACACCAATGGCCCAGAAAGCGGTTCCGTAGTCGGTCTTCATGTAACGGAAGATGATGGCAAAGATGATACCACCAAAGTTACCCGCGGCACCAGTGATACCAGAGACGACACCGTTGGCAGAAGGGAAGATGTGGGGGACCAGGGCAAAGTTGGCACCGTTGCCGGCCTCGAGGAAGAAAGCCATACCGGCAATAAGACCGAACATGGTAGATTGGTTCTTGGAGTCGAGGACACCAATGGCAATCTGGAAGGCACCGGTGATGAAACCGAGGAAGTGCAACCATCCCTTCTTGGTCCAGACGTTGCCAGTCTTCTTGTACAGGACATCAGCAATCACACCACCAAGAGGACGGAAGACGACGTTGAGAAGACCAAACATGGCAGCCCAGTTACCGGTGCCAGTCTGGCCGAGACCCTTGAAGTTCTTGAGGTAGTAGGCACCGAGGATGGAGTTGATGGCAAGCTCGGCACCGAAAGAGCAGATGTAGCAGACAGCGACGGTAATGGTCTGGGGAGCAAAAGAAACGCGGAGAGAGTCCATGAGGGTAGGGTCGCGGATGACTTCGGTCTTGAGGTTGTCGAGCTCGCTGTCGGACATGTCGGCCTCGTTGTTGTGGTTCTCACGCTTGGCCTCGGCGGCAACGGCAGCATCGGCGCTGGTCTCGTTGGGGGTCTTCTCGCTCAGGGAAGGAGTGTCACTGGGAGTGTTGATGCCGCGGGCGTGGAGGTTGTCCCTGACAGCAGTCTGGCGCGTAGACCAGCTACCGCTGGGGCAGTCGTCGCAGAGAAGAAGCATACCGGCAGCAATGGAGGTGATGAGGATGAAGGGAACGACGAAAGCCACTCTCCAGGCAGTGTGAGCAGAGAGGTTCTGGTTAGCAACAAGAGAGTCGAAGATGGCAGGCATGACAAAGTAGGTGATGCCACCACCAGCGTTACCCCAACCAGCAGTCAAGGCATTGGCAGTACCAATGACGTTCTTGTCAAAGAACCCAGTGGTCCAGACCTGGCAAGGAACGAAAGTTCCACCGAGGATACCAATGAAGAAGCGGAGGGCAATGAGGCCACTGGCGCTCGTCACGGTACCGGCAAGGGCAGAGGGAATGGCACCAGCGAGAAGGCAGCCAGCAAATGTGATTCTAGGACCAAACTTGTCACAGAGGGGACCAGCCACAACGCGGACGAGAAGACTGTAGGGAGTCTCGTTAGCAATAGACCAATGTGCATGAGTTCATCGGTGACAGCATACGTAGCAGTAAGGGCGACAATGTTAGAGTTGGCAATCTGTTCGGGGGTGAGGTGAAGATCCTGCTTGATAGTGATGGACAGCTAGGTTGGGAGTGTTAATCGGCGAACAAAGAGGCAACTGGGGTGAGCGGCAAGCGCAAGAGATCAATCATACCAGAGGAGGGAAAGCGTACCACGACAGGAACGCTACCATGAAGCCGAGCCATGAGAAGAAGAAGACACGGCCGTGCTTATCGAGGGGGTTCAAGACGGGGATAGTTCGGGCCTTGCCGTTGATGGGGTTGACTTCGGGAGCCTGCCACAAGGTTGCTACGTTGAAACCCATGATGGCGGTTGGTTGTGATTGGAATGAAGGTGTATCGGGTTGGGCAAAGTTCTAGAAGGCAGACGAGAAAAGAAAAAAGGGAATGTATTTGGCCGGGAGATTCTAGAGGGGGCGCGCAAGGTGACTAGGATTGCAAAAGGAGTCGCCGGTGCTTGCCGTCAAGATCGGGAATGTCTCTGGAATGAAGAGGGAAGAAGAAAAGACGTTTCGATTTCTAGTCGAAGATATCCGTCCAAGATATAACAAACGGAACGGTTGAAACCAAATCCCCTGGGAAAGATGTATCTCCGCGGCGGGTAGCAAACGACGATTTGGACGGAGAAAGGATGCAGGACTAGATGGAGCGAGCAGCAGTAGTGGCAGTAGCAGCAACAGCATATGGCGAGGGACTGCAAGCCAAGGTCTAGTATATCGAACCCTGGTCCAGGCACACGCGCAGGCAATCTAGTGGGCAATGGCAGAGGCGACGCTGCGACGCGCGCAAGTGGACACAAACGTGGGCGCTCAGAAGGGTCTGCGGCGCACACCCCTGGCCCTGGGGCAAATCTCAAGCTAGTATTAGTCGTGGGTGGTGGTATCAGAGGAAGCCGAGTCAACGAGCAGGCCAAAAAGGGCCAGGGCCTCCGTCTGCCGCAGGCCACACGAGCCAAGACGAGGGGCGGTACGGCGGAGACTGCAGACGGGGGTGGTCCCGGCGATGGAGATGGCTACTATTGGAGGTTAGTCTGCATGCGTTGGCAGAGTAAGAAAGAGGCACGATGTTTCGGAACCTCTTGTTTCTGGTGGGTTAGGGACGGTGGGAACCCGCCGACGCGAGACAAGGACCACTCACAGCCTAGCGGTTGGTTTCTTTTTCTCCTCCAATGTCCTCTGTTGCACTGTGGTGATGTGCCGTGCTCGACAGTCATGGATGAGCAATGATGCAATCAATGTATGCAACTACTACGTCGGTTAGAAAGTGAAAAAGGGCGCACGCACACACGCAAGGAGAAATAAGAAAAGGCGGCGGCGGTGGCTGCAGCTCTGTGCTTCAGGCCGGCGCAGCATAGTGGCAGGCCCAGCACAGTGGGAAGTTCCCGGCGGGACGTCACCCACCATGTGCGCAGGTGAAATTATTGGCACTGTCTGGGCGATAGCGGCGCCGGCCAACGGTGGAGGAGCTCCAACTAGAAGAGCGCCCCGGCAAATCAAACCAGACGCCTTCCTGCTAAATAAAAAGCGGACCATGAGCCTGGCTGGCCTATTCAATAGATTACGGTTTGGTGGCTCTGGAGGTTACAGCGGCCCATGTTCGTTTCTGGATCGTTTTTTTTTTCTTAGCAAAAGAGTCAGTTAATTTGTCCTTCGCTTATCCACCACCATCTCGGTTGTTTCCCTTGTGAAAATTCTCCTCGGCCAACCGCACCAGCGCTAGGTAAACAGTGGATAAGCCGTCGATCCAGCAATCCGCCCAGAGCCCCTGAAAGCTTGACGCCCCACCCGTTGTTCTGGCAGGACTTGTGGCGACTTACAGCAGGGTCTTCCAGCGCCGCTCGGCTCTCTTCACCCGCTGATACGACGCTGTTCTGAGCCGCGGCCAGCAGCAGCCCACTGCCATAGGACAGGTCCAAACTGCACTATTGGTTTTTTGGTGTGCTAGAGTCGGCCATTCTTTTTTTTATCCACAACAGCAGCAGCATAACTCGTGTTCCTGGATAAAAGAGAAAATTGAAAGCGCATTACTAGTGCTGTGGATAAGCCGTCCGCTCTCCCGCCATCTGTTTTAGTGTACAGATTTTCATCTACAGCGCTCAGCCAAGTGATGCTAGCGCATAAATTACAAACGACTAGTGGGCGTTTGATGGTCTTGGAAGCTTTCCATTCTAGGACACGCACAAGATACACCCACGCCCCCCTCTTGCATAAAACACTCCACCTCCATCATCGGCCATCATCTAGACTCGCGTTCCGGTCGTACAGCACTAAAAGCATACACTAAGTTCTGGGTACCATTCTCTGAGCCGCATATCCGTGTGTTCTACTGGTACTCAGGACTCGCCCGCACGGCTAGGCCGGGGAGCACACCGCGCGCGCAGAAATGCAATGCACAAAAAAATAATACACGCACTGGGCTACGTAAACAGTGTCTCGCTCGGCTGGGACGCCCTCCTTCTCGTCAAGTACCGGCCTCGACTAGCAAAAAGGCTCTTTGGGCGGGCTGCGCAGCGCCGGCACCGCCAGCCACCAGCAAATACAAAAAGCAATGGTAGATGAAAATCATCCCACGCGGTATCAAAGAAGAAGACATATCAAAGAAATAGAAACTACCGGGCTATATGCAAGTTGCATCCACGAGGCGCCCACTTCATGCAGGTTGTTGCGTTCCCCGTCCATAGTTTGCGTTTTCAGCCAAGCCCATAATCTACCGAACCCGAAATCTCAGTTGCTCAACTTGCATCGAGCCCGCTTCCCTGCACGTCCAGCATTTCCATGGAGACTTGCACTTCCGGAAACCTCATCGAAGAGAGAGAGAGAGAAAGGAACCAGGCCAGTTGCTCCCCGCACAGGTCGTCCGCACTCTTCCCTTTTGACCTTGTCAACGGCCAGAGACTATTGGTTTTGGACCCTTCTGTATCTAAACTTTATCCCGGGAGGATGGCCATTCGGCAGTGGTGGGTGCTACGATATGCCGTCTGAGTATTCTATTGGCAAATTCTGTTGCTTTAGCTTTCCGTAACATATGATGATGATGACGGCGAGGCAACGGCGGTCCAAAAAGAGCCAAACACCGTCCGCAGCCCGGCGTCTCGCCCACCCGAACCGCTCTCATGCTCTCCATCCACCTGACGCAGCAATTACAAAGGATGTCTTGGGACGGTGCTCCGAAAAACGACGCTCCTGAGCACGAGGCGCTGGGGGGAATAACAGCATGTCGCTGCTTACCACCGTAGCACCACTTTAGCGTTGCCCCCGCTAACTCAAAAGAGACGAAAAGGTCCAACTAATTGGGTCACTTAGCAGAATGGCTCCTCACTACGGCAAAGCCTTGCCGGGCCAATGCGCCGTCGCCTGTTTCTAAAAAAGCGTGGTGGCCAGGAAAATTAGCGAAGCCTTCCGGGCAGAGTCCCACGCATGGCGGCGCCGCCGCCCACCATAGCGCTGCAGCACCAAGAAAAAAAAGGCGCGGAGCTCAACACCCCCCGGTCTACGCTGTGCCCAAACGTCATGCTTGATTTGTGTTTCTCCTCCCAAGGTTCAACCTTCTCCGAGCTCCGCTGGGAAAGCCATAGCAGATCTCTCGCGCTCCCGCTAAACGTGGCTCTGCTCTTAAGACTAGCTTGCAAGTGGGATAGCGGTGGAAACACAACCCTCCGTCATTTCTTAGCCCAAACTTGCAACTTGCAACAAACCTCTTTCTTATAATTATTTTTTGCTATTTCGATACAAACTGTTGGACTCTTGCTCTGTTGGCGTCCTCTCCACGTTTCGGACCCCTGCCAGACAAAAAAGCCTGACTGATAACTCTGCTCGGCCTTCCAGAAGCAAACAGCACGCCTTCAAAGCGGACTTTTGTGTGTGTGTACATTGTGTCTGTCCGTCCCTTTTCAGCAATTTCCCTTTCCCTTTCCCTTCCCAGCTGGGAATATTGCCCTGTTGTTCCCGGAGGGGCACACCTTATCTCTGTTGCCGAATCTGTCTGTTCCCCCTCTCTTCCCCGGACCTCGCATAGGGCATAGGCCGGCCACTCACTCAAAATGGCAACCCTCACAATGAATACTGTTAGCGCATTCCCCCCTAGCCCTCCGAGCACGTCGAGGAACTCTCAGGCCAACTCGGATGATGCTACCTCTGACATTCCTATCCACTCCAACAAGCATCTGCTCAAGAGCTACCCTCTGCCCCCCGAGAACGGCGTCAAGACGGTCCAGCCCGAAGACCTCAAGACTCCAGATGCTCACGTGGAGCGTGACCCCAGACTCATCCGTTTGACGGGTATTCATCCGCTCAACTGTGAGGCTCCTCTTACTGCCCTATACAACCAGGGCTTCCTTACCAACGAAGATCTGCACTTTGTCCGCAACCATGGCCACGTGCCTGACTGCCTCGACGAGGACATCCTCGACTGGACCTTTACTATTGAGGGCATGGTCGAGAGACCCTTCACTTTGACAGTTCGCGATCTTATTGGCAAGTATGAACAAGCCACATACCCCGTCACGTTGGTTTGCGCCGGCAACCGTCGCAAAGAGCAAAACATGGTCCGCAAGTCCAAGGGTTTCTCTTGGGGCCCAGCGGGCTTGTCGACCGCTCTCTGGACCGGTGTTCCCATCTCTGATCTCCTCTCCCAAGCAAAGCCCATCCGTGGTGCTCGCTATGTCTGCTTCGAGGGAGCCGACAAGCTTCCCAACGGCTACTATGGTACATCCATCAAGCTCAACTGGTGTATGAGCCCTGATCGCGGTGTCATGGTTGCTCACAAGATGAACGGCTGCACTCTTCACAAGGACCACGGCAAGCCCGTCCGCATCATCATCCCCGGCCAGATTGGTGGCCGCAGTGTCAAGTGGCTCAAGAGAATCATTGTTACCAAGGAGCCCAGTGACAACTGGTACCACATCTACGATAACCGAGTTCTGCCAACCATGATTACACCCGAAGCCAGCGCCAACCTTCCAGACGTCTGGAAGGACGAAAAGTACGCTATTTACGATCTCAACGTCAACAGCGCCACTTGCTACCCCCAGCACGACGAAATGCTGTCGCTCGACACCCACGCCAAGACATACAAGGTCCGCGGCTATGCCTATGGTGGTGGCGGTCGTCGCATCACCCGTGTGGAAGTCACCCTCGACAAGGGCCGAACCTGGCGTCTAGCAAACATCGACTACCCCGAAGACGCATACCGCAACGCCCCCGATGGCGATACACTGTATGGTGGCCGCATGGACGTCTGGTGGCGCGAGACCTGCTTCTGCTGGTGCTTCTGGGAGTTGGATATCCAGATCAGCGAACTTGAAAACTCCGCTGACATTTGCATCCGCGCCATGGACGAGGGCCTCATGACCCAGCCCAGAGACATGTACTGGTCTGTCCTGGGCATGATGAACAACCCTTGGTTCCGTGTTGCCATCCACAAGGAGGACCGCTTCCTGCGTTTCGAGCACCCCACGCAGCCTGCGCTGATGCCCGGCGGCTGGATGGAGCGTGTTAAGAAGGCCGGTGGCAACCTTAGCAACGGCTTCTGGGGCGAGGTCAAGACCGAAGATGACGAGAAGGCTACGGCTCAAGAGCCCGAGAAGCAGATTGTCATGACAAACCCCAAGGTCGATCGCATCATCTCGCTAGAGGAGCTGCAAGCGCACGCCGGAGAAGAAGAGCCATGGTTCGTTGTCGAGGGCCAAGTATACGACGGCACGCCATACCTCGATGCCCACCCTGGCGGTGCTACATCCATCTTTGCCGCCGCCGCACAAGACTGCACCGAGGAGTTCCTCACCATTCACAGTGAGAACGCCAAGGCCATGATGCCAGAGTACCACATTGGCCGCTTGGACGAGGAGTCGCTCAAGGCTCTCAAGAACAAGGAGGCCGAGGCCGAGTCGGACTCGACGCGTGCTATATTCCTACAGCCCAAGAACTGGAACAAGGCCGTGCTGACCAGCAAGGTAGATGTGTCCCACGACAGCAAGATCTTCACCTTTAAGCTAGACCACCCTGAGCAAGTGCTCGGTCTCCCCACCGGCCAGCACGCCCTGATGCGTCTGCGCGACCCTGCATCCCGCGAGGCCATTATCCGCGCCTACACACCCATCTCGTACGGCGACGCCAAAGGCACGCTGGACTTTGTCGTCAAGATCTACCGCCCGACCAAGACACAGGCCGGCGGCAAGATGACCATGGCGCTGGACAGCATCCCCATCGGCCATTTTGTCGACTTCCGCGGCCCGCTCGGCAAGTTCGAGTATCTTGGCGAAAGCGTGTGCCGCATCGGCGGCAAGAAGCGCACCGTCGAGCGCTTCATCATGGTCTGCGGCGGCTCCGGCGTCACGCCCATCTACCAGGTGCTGCGTGCCGTCGCGGAGAATGACGACGACGAGACCGAGTGCGTGGTCCTCAACGGCAACCGCTTCGAGGAGGACATCCTGCTCAAGGACGAGCTGGACGATCTCATGGACAAGGGCGACTACCGCACGCGTCTGGTGCACAGTCTGACCAAGCCTGGCGACGACTGGACCGGCCGCCGTGGCCGCATGGACAAGGCCTTCTTTGCTGAGCAGGTCGGCGCTCCTGAAAAGAGCGACAAGTCGTCCATGGTGCTTGTCTGTGGACCGGAGGCGCTCGAGAAAACGGTACTCGAGAGCTTCACGGGCATGGGCTGGAAGGAGGAGGATATCCTCTTCTTCTAGGTTGTGTTTTTTTCATTTATTGTTTGACCAAAATCTGGGCGGGTATTTTTGTTTTTTTTATCTTTTTTGCATAGTCGGCGCAACGACGACCAAATACTTTTTTGTACAAAGAATTTTGTTTCTTCGCATATATATACAATTTCTTCGTTTCCATAGCATACACGGGACTCTGGATAGACTGCTACATTGTTTCATAATAACGAAATGAAAAATTGATACCTTTTGTTATGAGATTAAAATGAGGTTCTATTTTTGGCGCTATTGATTTTGTGATCCACCCTGAATTCCAGCAGACTTGTCCGTGAAGGACTGTACGAGTATTGGGTGAGAGGTAGTGTAAGTGGTGAATGAGTTGAGGGCGTTGTAAGGTAACCATCGCATCCAACGCCCAAAATGTCTATAAACAACCTTTATTCGATATAAACACTGTAATAAAGCAAAATTATATTATATTTATAATTCACTGTATTTATCTAGTCGCTCAAAGGACATTTGTTGTGCAGTCAAGTTTCTACAGGGTAGTAGCACCCTGGGACGCGTCGCAACAGGGGGCAACCCATAACCACGGACAAAGGTAGTTAAAAACCGCAAAGAGGAGAAGAGCCCCTCCAAAAGCTGAAAAAAAAACAGGTAGAATAAGAAGACAGATTAAAAATGAGAATGTAAAAAAAGTCAATTGGCCCATGTCTATAAACAGGCGGGCAGCGCTTTGTATGCTATTTCTATACTATGCATCTCTATTTATGTATGGTATGTAAACTGAACGTATCAACAGTAATAACAACATCATCCAAAACGAGGGGGGATAATAGTGGTAAAGACGAATCAATATATAAGGAAGCGGGCGAAGCAGCAATATAATGTGAATGATGTAATGTACAGCCGTAATGTCGTAAACTCATGACTTGCGATGAAAGATGAAAGCGCGCGCCAGAAAGACGGCGCAGACGCCGAGGCCAAGGGCCGACAGCCCGATGCCCATGTACATGGCGCCTCTGTAGCCGAGAAGACGTCCGTCTAGTGTCGCTGGGTTGCCGCGAACGTGCAGCTCGACGGTGCCTGCAAAGCCGACGCCAAGGGCGATGCCGTAGTTGACGACTGTGTTGACGAGACTGGCCGCGACGCCCTGGTGCTCCTTGGGGACGGCGTTGGACAGGATCAGCGTGGCGGCGGGGAAGCTCATGTCCATGCCAAAGGGCATGACGAGCATCGATACAAACGCCTGGCCCCAGTAGATTTGGTCCGTGGACAGCGTGGCTGTGAGCGTGATGCCCGTGGTGAAGGCTAGTAGGGCGAGTGTCATGACGACGGACGGCTGGAAGTTCCATGCACCGAGGAGTTTGCCGGTGAAGACGGCGGCGCAGCCTCCGGATACAACAACGGGCGAGAGCCAGCCTGAGACTAGTAAGGGGGACATGCCGCGCGTGTCTTCGAGGAATTGGACGAGATAGAGCAGCCAGATGCCGAATGTGGCCCAGCCGCAGGCCATGGCGGCCAGCACCATGGCCACGTCAGTGTTGACGGCGTCAAAGGGCAGCAACGGGTTCGGGCTGACGCGGAACTCAATGTATCCAAAGACGCCAAAGAGCACAAGGCCGAGAATGAGCGGCACGAGTACGGACGGCGTGTCCCATCCGTCAATGGGCGCCTGGGTCCAGGCAAAGTTGAAGAGGATGAGCGAGAGCATGCCGACGGTGGCGCCGGGCAGGTCAAGCGTGCGCGACCACGAGGTCAGGTCGGTGCCGTGAATCGGGTTCTGGTGCTGATGCTGCGGGACATCTGGGATGGCGAACCACGAGATGCCAGCAAGGACAACCAGCCAGATGGCCATTGCCCAGAGTGCCCAGGGCCACCAGGCCATGGCGAAGAGCGCGGCGAAGAGGCCACCGCAGACACCGCCGATGGGCGCAACGGCGCCAAAGAAGGCAAAGACCATAGCCTTGCGCGGACCAGGACGATACGTGGTGCCCAGGATGGCGAGGGCATTCGGCAGACAGAGCGCGGGACCGATGCCTTGCATCACGCGAGCGGCGACGGCAAACTTGAAGTCGGAGTAGACTGTGAGTCCGGCAATAGCGGACCATACAGCAAACCATGCGTAGCCAATGAGTAGGATGCGCTTGTATCCAAAGACGTCGCCGAGGCGGCCGGAGAAGAGGATAAAGGTGCCGACGGTGAGGGAGTAGCCGGCGACCAGCCAGGCGAGCTGGAGCTGGTTAGTGATGTGGAAAGTTTGGCCAATGATGTGGAGGAGGACGAGGGTGCCTGTGAATTGCGTTTCTACAAAGGTGCCAGTTAGTATCTTGTGCGGTCACGGGTTGTTTGCTTGCGGCGACAGTTAGCAGAAGGGGGAAGGAATTGCATTGCGTACGTGTACAAAACTGCGCCATGCAAATCACAAAGAGCAGCAGGGCCTCTCTGCCCAGCGGCATATTATCAGCGAGCCAGACCGAGTCTGCCGCGGAGGCCTGCTTGGCGAGGACGCTGCGTGCTTGGTCTGGCGCGGTGGTCGAGGCAATGTCATGGTCCTTTTCGTCGGAGCCAGCATCGCCGGCTGCCATGATGAGGATTTGTTCAGTGCGCGTCGGTGGCTGTGGTGGTGGTGGTGGTGGTAGTGGTGGTGATGTCTAAGCACTCATTGTTGGACGGACGAGCAAAGAAAGCAAAGTAGGTAAGTCGTCGTCTCCTTTCGCTTTTAAATTCCGCTGGTTTGGTGCGCGGTTAAGGGTGATAGATAATAGCGATTCGGTGACTCGGGTGGTTATCGGGTCGGATTCGGCGGACACAATAAGATTGGCGATGACAGTGTTTTATCTTGTTTGAGACCAGGTTTCGGATCGGGCGAGGAGGAGGAGAGAGGAGGCGGACAATGCAGACGATGACTAAGGATTTGTTATGTTGGAGATGGTCCACTGCGATGAATTTGTCAAAACTTATAAATTTCGCAATCGAACGATGGGATATGCCGAACTCACCTGATTACCCACTGTGGCTATTCGTATAGTGAATTTTGCCTGTATTATCGGTGGCTTTTTAGATGAATTTACCGGACAATGGCTATAGTAGGCACCGTATTTGAAGTTCTGCTTTTTTTTTGGAGCGGACTTTGGGCATCGCTAGCGGGTGAGGTTAGCGGCTGGTAGCGTCGGATGGACAGCATCCCGAATGCAGAAGACGAGAAAAGAAATCCGGCTCGGGAAAGGCGTTTTGATGACGATCCGCTTTCGCGGGGGCGGGCAGCGCTGAAGAAAAAATAAAAATAAGAAGTGAGACAGAAGATGTGATCGCAATAAATACATTTTATTTTTATTTTTCCTTTGTCCGTATTGCTTGTGTAGACAGCATGATGCTTGGTTAAGAGACCCTCCTCGTCATAGTAATAGTGAGAACCAATTCACTGGATATATTTACAGATACATTCTGTGCTAAATACATGATTTATGTACAAAACCCGTTTATACGGTAAGGGATAAAATAAAATATAAATATACTTTTCTTACTTCTTTCTCGTGGCTTGCGTTCACCGCTCCACGATTCGCCAGCCTTGTTCCTCGCCCTGATCAGCTCTCACAAAGGCGTCCGATTCTGCAAAGTAAAAAAAAGAGGCTTGCATATCGTGGCGTTTGCTTGTTTTCCACGTGTTTACACAACGTCCGCCACAACGCTCATCGTGCTACTGTTGCTGCGACAGCGGCTGCACTCCTCTCCACCTCCTCGGTGTACTGAATCCATTCTCCCCAGTTCATGGCGTTGACATCAGCATCAAAGTCCAAGTCGGAGAAGCTGTATGTAGACTCTCCACCGTCCGACATGGCTGGGAAGAGCATGTCTGTGTCTAGCTGAAGCTGCAGTGACTCTGTCCACAGCTGTGTCTGATCGACAGCCTCTCCCACAACTACGCCTTGTTGTTGCTGTTGCTGTTGCTGCTGCTGCTGTGGCTGAACATCTTCACTTCCAGCAGTAGCCGTCACCAGCTGCCTCCATCGCTGCCGGAACAGCTCCGCCATGCCCTCCATGGGCCCCGGAAACGGTCCAAGTCCGGGACTATTGGGCTGTTCAAGGGCCATGTCTTCATGGTAGAGACTGTCAGCGGCCCGTTGGTCCCCTCGGAGCCTCTCTAGCTCTGCGTCGCGATGCGCCCTCGCTTTGCTAAACAGCTGCCGCAGCGGAACCCAGGTTCGCGCACGCAACGCCTTGCCCGTATCCTTCGGAATCAGCCAGCTGCTATGTAGGGCGACCCATGCGCGCTCGATCAGCGGCGACCATGGCTGCTGCGCCGCATTGAGCAGCATGTACACGACGGCGTGCCAGTGCGTATAGGTCTGGAAGATCCAGCGCCAAGGCCGGCAATCGCGTGACCCGTTGAGCGCATGGTTGAACTCGGCGATTTCAATGGCCGACACCAGCAGCTTGGTGCTAATGTCTTGGGTGATGTTGGCTGGTGACGAGAACAGCGCAGGCAGATATACAAACAGCGTCATCTTGGACACCACGATGCGCGTCACACCAACGGCCATCCAATACGCAGGGCTGTCTTGCGGATTCGAATACTGCAAATACATGCGCTGGATCTGGTCCTCTAACTCACCCAGCAGACTGAGCTGTTCTTCGAGGCTGCTGCCGGCTTGACCACCCTGCGCGGCCATGAGAAACGTCATCCGCCGCATCACATCCACCTGGCTGAACCATAGTAGTGGCAGCGTCATGTCTGTCAATCCATCCTTTTCTGGCGGCGCCTGCTGCGTGGTAGGTCGTATATCAGACGTGTTGACGTTGAGGGGTAGCCGAGTGTCGAAGCTGCCCTGCGCAATGGTCATATCCATGGCCAGTTCTTCGGACGAGCGCAGGTCCAGCACGCATACTGCCCACCATATGCGCCGGCGTTTTTCTACTTCAAACGGTGTCAGATGATCAAACCTGCTTCCGTCGCGGTGAAGGCCCAGCGCTTGCGCCATGCGGATCACCAGCCCAGTCAGCATCCAGACGTAGCGCGGGCTATCGTGGCGGCGCGCAAGGAACAAAAAGATGGCCATGGCCTGGACGAGCGTCATATCGGACGTGTTCATGAAATCTGCGTTGGCAAGGGCTCGCTCGAAGCCGACTCGGTACTTGAGATTCAAGTCTGTCTTGGATGCTCCAAAGTTGACGCGCACCTACAAGTGGATGTTAGCTAGGACGGGGACTGGTTGACAAGATGAGATTCTTACAGCATCATCGTCCATGGAGGTAATCGTTGCATAGTAAATAGAAAACAAGAGTGCCTCATTTACAGGCGACAGCGCAGAAAGGTCGCTACCAGGCAAATCTCGGATCATCTTTTCCAGCGTTGGCATATCGACCAGCTGGCTCTGGCTGTTGGCGTTTTCGTGGAAAGTGTTGAAAATAAAGGGAATCTGCGACGGGAGAGGATGTAAACTGGCCAAGCTGTTGTTGTTCGGTAAGTGATTCATGCCAAAAATGAATCCACTGCGCTCATTTGGCCGTCGATGGAACTCTTCTGTTGGCGGCGGCGCTCTAGCCGCAGCATCATCGTCAGATGAATCGTGCTGTTCAGGTGCCAACGCTCGAGTATCTACTCGCAATGCACTTATCTATATCAAACCCGCTCATCAGTATCATACCCTCCATTCATTATCTTTGTACATCTTACCTCGTCATTAATCTTGGCCCAGAAGCTAGTGCCCACATAGCGACTCTGGCTCTCGTCACCCGCCACCAGCCTCCCCGGCCTTTGCACCTGCGATTGTTCTCTCCTCGACAACGATGCAGATTCCGAATGTAACTGGCTTGACGGGTTCGGTGCAACTGGCGATCCCTGCGACTCATACCTTCTCAGCAAGTCCTCGAGCGTATTGAGCCTCGCGAGCATCTGATTGACTCCCCCTCCGCCACCACTACTACCACCCGCCTCTGTGGATGCATTGACATACGCAGCAGACTTTTCAATCTTGTTTGCCCATCGCGGGCGTTTATCCAGAGGAGGCAAGACACACGCAATCCGAGCTCTCGCGCAGTGTGAGCACGGCGTCTTCTTGTCGCAGCGGACTTTGCGGGCGCGGCACGTCACGCAGCTGCGCGGCTTCTGCGTGGCCGTCATTTGTGAAGCATCCAGAGGCAAGCCGCGCGTCGGCGGCGGATTTTGAGAAGAGGCGGTATTGCGCATTTGTGGAAAAAGAAGCGAACGCAGCGCTGACGGTTGATCTGATGGTGAAGCTCGCGCGTTTCTCGCTCTTTTTTCGGGTGCGGAGACCGACGCTTACGCGGGCGGTGCTGTCAGTGGCTTACGCCCCGCCAGCAGGGCGAGGATACAGCGGGCCTCTGCCTTGAACGGAGCCTAAAAATTTAGAGGCGTCCGAAAACGAAGCGAAAATGCGCCGATGAGGCTCCTCGAATGCCATGTATAAATGAGGCCGTACCATTCCTCTTCAAAACGAAATATTTATCATCATCAACAAGTGACTCATAGGTCTATAACAGAAACACAGTCCCATTCTATAAAAACCCCATTCTACTTTCCCATACACGCCTTACAAACGAGCAACTCAACTGCCTCATCACCCGCACTTACACGCTCATCTTACAACCTTTTTTTCCCCTCACCTTTCACAATGTCCTGCACTGAATGCATCAAGGGATCTATCCATGCCGGCCTCCCCCAAGGCAAGGAAGAGATTATCCACGGCCTCAACACCTACGTCGTCGGCAACCGCGTCAACCCCAAGGCCATTGTCGTCGTCTACTCCGACATCTTCGGCCTCCCCCTACCCAACAATAAGCTTCTTGCAGACGCCTACGCCCGCAGCGGCGAGTATCTAGTTTACCTGCCCGATTTCTTCGAGGGCGACCCTGTTGCTCTCAAGGTCGCCGATACGCTCATCCCCGTCGACGCCAGCAAGCAGAGTTCGCTCAGCAAGTACACGGGCATGCTGGCCATGGCACCCGCCTTCATCATGTGGATGAGTCGCCACAAGGAGGCTCCCACAAACAAGACCTGCATGGACTTTTTGGCAAAACTGCGCCGCGACACTCCCGCAGAGCGCAAGATTGGCATGGTCGGTTTCTGCTGGGGCGGCCGCTACGCCATCCGCGCCGGCCAGGAAAGCAACATGATTGAGGTCAACGGCACCAAGAAGCCGCTTGTCGATGTCGTTGTGGCCATGCACCCTAGCAATCTGGTCATGCCGCAGGATGTCGACGCACCCGTTGTGCCCATGAGCATCGGATGGGGATTCGAGGATGTCGGTGTCAAGATTGAGCTCAACGGCAAGATGGAGGGTATCCATGCCCAGGCTAAGGCCGGCGGCAGACAGTTACCCGAGATTGAGCATGTCGTGTACAAGCCTGGTCGTCATGGATTCGCGGTCCGTGGAAACCCGGACGACCCTGCCGAGAGGAAGATTTTGGAGGACTCTGAGAAGCAGATTATTGCCTTTTTGGCCAAGCATCTGTAGTCTTGTTTTGTTTCTTTGGGAACGGTGTACTTGTCTGATTTTAATTGATACCGAATAGATACATTGCATATAATTTATACTATTATTTTTACCTCTAACTTACCTGTTTAATTGTATTTGATGAACGTGTTAGCTTTCCATTTTTACACTAACCAAAAAACCACATGACGAAAGGCATGTGCACCGCTATGTCTAGCCGAGTTATTAAAATATGCAAACTAGAAAAGAATTAACGACGAAACAAAAAGGATATGACCACTTGAACCAACAAGTGCCAAAAATGACAAAAAAGAAATGCCAATCGATGAATGGATAGGAAAAGCCCAATGCGGGGGTCGAACCCGCAACCTTGAGATGTCGGAAACTTAAGAGTCTCACGCTCTACCGATTGAGCTAACCGGGCAGGTTCGCTTTGATGTCACCCTGGTCACTTATTTATCTATAAGTAGCTATTTTCAAACCAAAAGATGCGCGCATGCCACAGTTTGTATTTTATCAGCTCGCATACGTTCTAGAATATAATTTTTAATTTTTAACCCGGTAAACGTATAGCAATTTGCGCTATATTCGGTCCGTAGCTGACATCTGCGTAGACCGGCTGCTTTCACTGGCTAGTCGTGCCAGTCTATGTCTAAGCAATCTACAAACTCGGCTTGGCGTCTGGGCGGGCAAGAATGCTCTTCACAACGGCAGTCACTTCGGCTGGCTTGCTGGCAATAGGACAATGATCAACCTGCATAGAGTGCACCTCCACATGGCTAGTGTTGGCCTTGAGCAGCTCAATCATGGACCGCTGCGACTCTGGGGGGACAAGCTTATCCTTCTCTGCCAGAAGATAGTGCACCTTGGCATCGCTGTATCCCGGATACGTGAGCTTCTCAGAAAAGCTGAGGTACGAGTGCGTGGTGAGCTTTGCCGCCCAGATCTTGGCCTCGGCAGGCTCGAGATCCGAAAAGGTTATCGTTTCTTGCTCGGAGGGGTCGTTGATGTGCAAAACGTTGTCCTGGCAGGGTTAGCACGGCATACCGGCGAATAAAAGAGTCACACTTACTTTGAGCGTTGCGCGTCCGCCTAGATCTTCGCCCATCATATCCGTGCTGGACATGCCAACAGGTAGGATCAGAGACGTCAAGTAGATGATGGTGTCGACGCCGCCCTTCTTGCCTGCAGCCTCTCTCGACTTCTTGGAAATGTGCTGCATGCTCTGCGTCCCGGGGATGCCGCCGTACGAGTGCGTCATGAGAACAACCTGGGTGCCTGCGTCCAGTAGCGGCTCAACAACACGCACAATCGCATCGACATCGTCGGTCATGGTGGCAGCGCCTTCAGCGCGAGGGCCGACGGAAGGTAAGTCTACAGCCTGGGCGGGGATGCCGGCAGCTGTGAGGCTCGCAATCTGTTTCTCGTAGCTGGAGGCAAGAATAAAAGATCCCGGGACGATGACGATGGTTGCCATGATGTACTAGCAGTAATAACCAAGGAGAAGATGTCGAGTATTCTGTTGCGTGCGAGGTGTACAGGAAGCCTTAACGCCAGCCAGCGCGGGGTAGCCACACTTATAAGCTAAAGGCGGGCTCGGGGACATAGCGATATAGTTACACAATATACCAGCTATTTAGCCGTACAGCCTCGGCTTTAAATTAGGTATATGCGCCGGTATATGCACGTCGTTACTGGTGCAGCCTTGTTGTGCATCAGGCTCATTGAAACGCCGGCCTTTATCCAGATGCAGCTCCAGGCTCCGACGAATCCACATCAAACTCCGACCTTGATGACAAACAAATAAATTGTATTTCTAATCAGATGCAACTATCTTATAAAATCGATCTACAGCTACAGAGCAAGGTATGTCAACCGCTCGCGGTCTCTCTGCAGTGCGGCTTCCAACGTAGTGAACTGAACTCCGTACTTGTTGGCCGTCTTCTCCGCCGTACTGTCAATATCAAACGTTTCAACATTCGACCATAGCTGAAATCGCTGACCGAAAATAGCAGCTACACCGTCCTCCTCCTCCTCCGCAGTACGTCGGTGCAGCTTGATATTCTGACCGCTAGCCTTTTCAAGCAGCTTATGCGCTTCGGCAATTGTAAGTGCTTGGCTCGCGAGGTCAATCTCCTGCTGGTGGAAGCGCGCTGGGTCTAGGAGCGCGGCTGATGCATACGCTCCAACATCATGGGCATCTGTAAAGGGCCCTTTGATTCCGTCGTTGAAAGCGTGGTCAAGAACTCCCTCGGCAAGTCTGGGATAGTTCCCGTATGCACCGGGCAAGTAAAAATCTTGGAAGAGGATGGCGGGGCGCAGAATGGTGTACGCTTTGATAGATGAGCCTCGTACAGCCGCTTCCACTTGCGTTTTGGAAGTAAAGTAGTCTTCAAGAAGGCATTTCTTGGCGTCTTCATTGTCCCATCTCGACTTTTGTCCGGTCAGGTATGTTGTGCACGCCACTAGACTCTCCACACCAGCCTTCTCACAGGCAGCCACAATGGTCTGTGCCTGGAGGGCCTCGAGGCCAGGGATGGGAAACGTGTTAAGGAAAGCCCCCTTGCAGCCCTGCGCCGCAGTATAAATGTCATCAAAGCTTTTGCTTTCTCCTTGGAAGAGGGTAATGTTGGGGTGGTGAAGCAGAACCGGGGCTTTAGTGAGGTCGCGGACAACGGCGTGGACTTTTGCACCAGCCTGAAGAAGATGGGTGATGACCCATTTGGACTGTTCGCCAGTGGCTTGAGTGACGAGAAAAGTGTTGGCGGGCATTTTGAGAGTAAACTACTGAATGAGGTACAAGTGAGTGATGATGATGAGATAGAGAGCGTTTCGTTTTTGGGGGGTAGGTATTGCAATATTTATACCCAAGTCCACCTCTGTTGCTTTCTATACATTTACAGCATTCTAGGGCATTAATAATAAATAGATACAATTATCATGGGATTTTGGGGCTAATCCTGGCAACCATATCGGATCATTGGCTCAGCCGCGCCACTGATTTTGTCAGCCTCGCGAAAAGTTGCCAACGGTGGAGAGCCAGTCAACGTCGCACAGCGCTACGTATACTAACATGACGCAATGTGCAATTCAATATGGGCTAGAAAAATATATTTTGGGATGCAGAGTTACGCAATACAAACTAGAATATTCTTCTAGAATTAAATTGGCCCTTTTTGGTACGTACACTTGTCTCGATATGCGGACCGGCGGCTTTCTTACAAATCACAGCCACACCTTTTCTCAACCTCATAACCACACCATACTCAGCATGAGGACCAGAAAAGGATGCTGGACTTGCTCTGGTTAGTAAAATATACTATGAATATACTATGAACTTCTTCAAAATATCCCACTAACGCCTTCAGAACGCCGCGTGGCCTGCGACGGCGGCAAACCCAACTGCGCAAAGTGTATCCGAGGCAGCCGACAATGTCAAGGTTACGACGCCAGACTATCATGGCCCAAAGCCGGCGACAAGAAGCGCAGCCTAGTTTCATATGTCCCGGTAACTAGGGTTCGTCGCGGGGCTAAGCTGCCCTTCATCAACACGGCAGCGCAAGACCTACAACTGTACTATTTCCCCGAATTGGTATATAGGATAAACCACTCCTTGTACAAGCAGCCTAGCCCATGGCACGCCACAGAAAAGGCTGTCCCTGACGCAATGGATCTTATTTCATACTGCAAGTTCATGTTTCCTACCCGTGGCGCATCTGCTAACTAGCTCTAGTTCGTGCTTATGCCCACCCAGCACTGAATACCTTTGTCGGCGAGTCACCTCCACTAAGAGACTTTCTATTACGGCTCGCTTTGAGAGATACATCCACACCAGGCCGCGCCGTTCTCAACTCAATCTTGGCACTCTCTGAACTTCACCGTGCGGGACGGACAGATCGAGCCCTACAGCTCAAAGTCTTGGCTTTGCAGTACTTGAGTGCCGCTACAAAGCAAGGTTCTCTCACGAATATCGAAGCAGCGCAGGTGGTTGGGGCCTCGATGGTACTTGGCGTGTTTGATGTAAGTGCATATACGATGAATTCAAGGCACCGCCACTGACCGCTGCAGACTTTACAACCTTTCACACAGTCTGATGAGTGGCTCTCTTATACCAAAGGAGCGGCTAGGATTGCCGTGGCATCTGGCCTCATGGATGATGGAAGCGACGAAACTATGCATCTAGTCAGCTGGGTTCAATTTCACGACGTCTTGTCCGGGTTTCCGGCACGCCAGAAACAAATCAAATCGGAGTCGCCTACACCGGCGTCGCTTGTATACCGCACACCGATGGCAGTGTCACCGCTACGTCCACAAGAGGATATGCTGTCTCTACTATCAGAAGTTTACGAGGCCGTACAAACCACAAGAGACGTTACGCCAGAATATGAAGATCGTATATCCTTACTACAGCAGCGTGTAGAGCAACTTGCTGTCCCAGAGGCAGCGCGGACTTCAGACACGACGATAGCAGTGGACGTCTGGCAAAAGGCCACGCAGATATATCTTGCTAGAGCGACGCAATCCGTCTGCCCAGCCGATGACCTTGATCAATTAATCGAAGAGGCATTTCAGGGACCGATACAAAATTGCTCGTGTCCCCATTTCTTTCCACTGTTTGTGGTAGCATGCGAGGCGCGCACCGACGCTCGACGAACAGCCATTCTTGACTTAATCGACCGAGCAGAAAAGAGTGGCCTTGTGAGGAGCAAGCTGTGGCTGAAGGATGTGATTCAGGCAACGTGGGTACAGATGGATCTTCACGCTGATGATGAGGTTCTAGTTGACTATATTGGCACGATAAGCCGAGTTATCGGGTCTGCAGACGTGATTCCCTCATTTGCATGAGACGATCAACATAATAGACGGACGGAATGGAATCAATGGACGGATTGCATGTACTAATTCATGCAAATTTATGTATTCATAGGCACATGTTCAAGAATGGCGGGCTAATTGATTACGTTTCACTGACTTTAACTGCCACGTCGTCCCCTTTACCCAAGTTTTCGACAGTAGTAGTACCAGTTGCGTTCGCAATTCTCTTGGGCCGAAGGACTCGCACGTCAACGACGCGCAGTAGGACAGTCAAGATGATAACAAGAGCCAATAGGGCGATTGACGACTGCCAGCCATATTTGTCTATAGACTGTTAGATGGTATTCCGACGAGAACAAGCAGTATACTGACAGAGAGGGGCTTGGCTTGCAGGCCACAGAAGCACTTGGCTCCACGCGGAAATGGCGTAGTATCCGGCAATAGATGCGCCGACAATGAGCGTTCGGCCTTCGGGATCATTAGGGAGGCTTCAGATTATTAGCAAGGAGAACGAGGAAGTCGCTGCATGGAACTTACAGATCCGAGAGCCACGACCAGATGAGTGGCGCTGTGCCGAGAGCAATATTGATGATAAAGTTGCCGGCGTACGCAGTGCCAATAGACGTTGTGTCGGGGTGTGTGGTCCATACAGTCATCATGACACCAACAATCATCGCAATCGCGGCTACACGAGTTAGTGTATATTAAAAGTGGTGGCAACAGAGAGGATATACCTTGAGCAACAATGAGCGTCCATCGAGTCTGCATCATATCGGACATGTATGCCCACATCCAACCTAAACAGTCAGCAAAGTTATGATATTGAACGACGCGTCTGACCTACCAGTTGCAACAGTAATAGCTGACGCGGCAATAGGGATTGCATTGACTTCAGCCTTGCTCCATCGCGGAGTGCCATCCGCATTCTTGACCCATTTCAGGAACAAGCCAAAGTAGTTGTTTCCAGAAACTCCGAGCACCATGGCAATGTAGAGAATGCCAATGGTATATGCCATCCAGCCAGTAAAGACGCGCTTGGCACCAGTCCACGTCATCTTTTTGGTGTCGGTTCTGTTGGTTCTGGCCAAGCGGGCTCTCGCATGTTCGCCGTACGATGCCTTAAACCAGAACGCCCATGGGTTGGGCTTCTGTGGGAAATCAGGAATCATAAAGTAGCCAGCAATGCCCCAGACGACAGTAATGAGCGCATTGACGATGAAAAGCCAGCGCCAGCCAGCAATGCCGTTGTGGTTGTCAATGGTGCTCACAATAGCGGCTTGAAGAGCGCCGGAGAACATTCCGCCGATGGCTTGGCACGAGTGGTAAAAGCCGATACGCTTGGCCATCTCAAGCGGGGTGTACCAAGCCACTACGTGGGGTGGTTAGCAGCGATTACGGATGAAGGGTTCACGGGCTCTTACTGAAGAGGGTAATCATGCCAGGATACGCGGCACTTTCGCAGAGGCCGAGGAAGACGCGCAGGACGTAGACTTGGTTGGCGTTGGATGTGATGGCGATGAGGCCGGTAATGACACCCCAGACAATCTCGACAGAGGGCAGCCACCAGCTTGGGCGGACGTAGGTCATGATGATTTGCGACGGGATAAGCATGAGACAGTACGCGACGTTGAACCAAGTAGTGAAGCTGGACTTGTTAGACAATAAGGCCCGGCATCAGAGGTGGCGACGACATACTAGTTTAGCTCGTTGCCTGTGAGGTTGAGGTCCTCCTTCATACCAGAGACGTAGGCATTGCTAATGTTGGACTGATCGAGATATTTGATGACTATATCTTGTTAGCAGATATGCGCTGTAGAATCTATCGTAGGCACGACTTGCTCTGAGAAATACAGCCAAAGGTGAGGAGGAAGACGTCGAGACGCCAAACAAAGGCGCGCTCCTCCTTGGTCTTTTGATGGGCAAACTGTGGTTCTGCAGCCGGAACACTGTCTGCAGCCATGATTATACTGGTGCTATTATAGTAGAAAGCAATGCTAGAGTAAATCAACGTTCAGTGAGAAGTTTGTTGAAAAGAACAAACAATCGCGGCCATCGCAGGGCACAGAAAATATTACCCTTCGCAAGCCTCCTACTAATCGGTACTAGTAAATCTGACAGCCTAAGGGACTGTGGGGGTCATTTCGATAACTTTAAGGCGATGCCGGCACTAATGCGGCAAACCGCGAAGAATCAATAAAAATTTGGGAAAAGTTGAAAAAATATCAAAAGGAACAGCATTTGAAAGGAGGACTGCTGCTATTTGGTTAAAATCTCAACAGAAGCGTGCCAGCTGTCGAAGATTATGCCAGCTGGCAGGACATCCCGATCACGGCGCGATAGCGGAGACGACGGCCAGGTTCCGTTGATTGCCATTTGGCTGCATTGTTCTAAATCTATGTCAATACATTCTATAATAACTGAAGAAAGCAACGCGCAGACAGAACATGTTACAATGAGGCCTTTTTCTTGCCATTGCGTAAGTTGCGCTCCATGCTGATAATCAGTGCAACCTGATTGCTCGCGGCGATAATCGCGCCTTGCTCGTCTCTCATCATGACATTCATATCAAAGCGGCCGTTTTCCATAAGTTTAATGGTCAATCGCATATTGACCCAGCGGACTCCCTCAGCCGGCAGAGTGGCCTTATTTTCGAGATCAAGGACCACTGTCGGGAACCAAAACCCAGCGCGCTCCTTCTTGCGCTCCTCAAGTTCGTCACGCTTGGCCGCCGAGTTTCTGGCTATGTCCTTGTTGCGATGGGCGGCGTACATCTCTGGTGTCACCGTAAATGTTGTCATGTCGTACGGGACCGAGTCTACCACGAATGGCATCATCTCCTGTTTGATGGGTTCTCCGCTGCGCGTGCACATCCACACGTCGAGCACGCCTGGGGAAAAGGGACCTTCGCTAGGTACGAACATGCGCCAGAAATCGTTGGATCTTGCCACAGAGCCAGCCGGAGGGAGCGATTCACGCCAGAGGTTAACCTTGCCATCTCTCAGGAGAGCTTCTAGGTCGGGCTTTGCCGGCCGTGTTTGTTGGTCCAGCTGCTTGAAGCCCGTCTCGATAGAATATCCACCGAGCGTCTTGAAGTTGGTTTGCGTCGCATATGCGAGGATGCAGCGCTTGGTCTCTGAGCGAGTAATCCAGGGTGCTTCTTTGAGCATGCCTTTGCCTTGCCAGAGTGTGACGTGTAGAGTGGATAGCGTCCTGCCAATCTTGACTTCTTCTACGGTGATGATGGCCGGTCCAACTCCAACCGCGGTGACAAACTCATAGTGCACGTTCAATGTGTCTGTCTGTCCACGCTCGGTCAAGTGCGCACGGGCGGCGGCAAGCACGCATGATGCAGAATAACCGCCGTTTGGAACTTCAATGGCTGGTTAGCAAGGAACGGAGACGGCGGCGGGTGCATTGCACATACCGGCGCCGATAGCAAATGACCCATCAAGCTCAGCCTTGTAAGTATTTGCATCCAGCTTTTCTAAGTGAATGCATTCCGCAAATGACTTATTCGGAGGACTCATGGCAGTTTTAATTTTTTAAAGGTTGTGGAAAGAACAGAAACAAGACTGGTGACGAATGGTGTGACCGAAAGGGAGGTTGTTTGTTGGAGCATCTTAGCCGAGGTTCCCGCATCCAGAGGTCCACGCTAAGGCAAACCTGACATACTGTATGTGCGCCATCACTTCCTATCCGCGCGCAAGTGTATAAATGACGTCGCCGCGAAATTTGAAGGTCGTGGCAGTTACCTTTGGTTACTTTTGTGACGGAACGAATTTGAAATTTATTCTACTATTTATGCTATTTGATTGGCCATGGTAGTATACTGTGCCTTGTGCAAACCGGGTTGGTGAAGTGTCTTTTGCTATTGTAGGTTGCACGGCCAATACTTACCTCTAACTGCGATGTTTCATGTGGAGCTTGATTTTGCGCCTTGCACTTCTAATGATATATAGACGATCGAACGTTTATTAGCACGTGGTGAGCATGATGCTGTCTTCGAGCTGTTCACCAATCATACGAGTATGCACCTAGGACCTACATAGCTTATATGATGTACCAGAAACCCAAGGACCTCCCTGGCCAACTGAAGAGTATATTATACTATCTTTAATTCAACGACCAGCTATTTCAGCAACTGCGTGGTCCCGTTTGATCCTAGTAGTGAAAAGCGATGGCGGGTCTCGATCCAGTGGATCAGGCACCGTTGTGCTAGTGGTTTACACTGGGGAACCCCTGCGCTGTGTCATGCCGGCTCTCACTCTGCAATCAACCTCGCACCTGGCATCCCCGCCCCTTTCTCTTGCAGCTTCAAATATTTTCTGCTCTGTTTGAAGATCCTCCGAAAACAAAGTGCAGCGGCTCGATACCTTCACCTTGGATATAATTAGAAGCGTGCCTTTCCCGTCCGGCCAATCACAGAAAGCCAACAACCACCCACCCTCCTTGACAGCGGCCCATTAGCATAGCCACCCCCGCGGCACCGCCAATCTGCTGCCCAAGTCTTCTTCACAAACGTCGAAAAAGCCTCCTCTTCGCAGCTATCACATATCTAACCGCTAACGGTGAAACACTACGGCTGCGGGCCGGCACTCCCATGACCGCCATCCCGCCTCTTGCAAGCGCCAACGTCATGCGATAGGCCGCAGGACGCTGCCCGCTAGACCGCTTTCTGTGGCCAAGCCACCATTACAAGACATGGAGGGCTACTAGAGACAGGATTTAGAAAACAGCACAGATTCTCACAGCCCGATTCTAGTGGCTGTGTGCAGTGTTAGGCGTCTGCAGACTGCATCTAGCCCTTCAGCTTCGGGGTATGGGCTGCCCTCCTGCAGTGTTTCTGGGTCGTCGAAGGAGGTCTCCTGATTCGAAAATAGCATCAGAAGGGCTCACTTGTGCGGCCGTAGCGAAAGCTATGCTCTAATAGGTGATTTGAAGATGAATTCCCGGCTGTAGAAGGTCTTGTACCTGAGTCGAAGCTGGCATCGTCACCGACATAGGTAAACGCGCCGCTGTGCATAAATAGTAGACTGACTTCCATCGTGTTGTTTCGAGTCTACAACCTTACTACTATCTTTCTTTGCCTTTTTCCTTTTTCACTAGCCCAATATGCCACTTTATGAAGCTCACGAGAGCAACAGTGACGTGGACGAAGTATCAGTCTTACCGCAACTCAACACTGACGCTGCTAAGGATGCGTTTGCCATAAAGTTTGACAAGTTAAACTTGTCAGAGACGGATGTACCTAGCGACTCTCCACCTTCTAGCCCAATTAATGCTTCTCACGACTGCGCTGAAGAGCCGCAAAGTCCAAAAACAGCTCTTCCTGAGGACCCATTCGAAAGTGCAGCAAGCAAAGTATTGTTCGAGGCCATTGACAAGCTTCAATCTTGCAACGCCAGACGATATATGAATAATATCCCACAAGTCAGTCCTGCCTCCAAAATCTCATCCTGTACTTTGTGATTTTAACAACTATTAGCTCGTCATTGTTGGCGGACAATCTGTGGGCAAATCGTCGCTGCTCCAAAGCTTGACTGGTATCCCATTCGCAGTAGGCAGTACACTCTGCACTCGATTTGCGACCAGGATTGTATCTCGACGCTCTGAACCAGGTTCGCAAACCGTGATACGCATCTCCATTTCGCCACCAGAGTTCGCGGTTCCCGGCATCGAACTGGCCGACCCCGAGGTTTATAAACGTTTTGATGAGATACATGGCAGCATCACCAGCGATGACTTTGCCAACATTATCGACATGGTAAGATAAATAACTGTGACGTCTACATAAATAATGTCTTAACGGTTTCGCCTAGGTCTCCGAAACTTATCTTGGCATTCGCCCAGGCTCGGGCAATATACACAAGAACTTTGCTGCTGAGGTTTTGAAAATCGAAATCTCCGGCCCAACCCGTGCATACTTTAGCATCCTGGATATTCCAGGCGTTTTTGAGAATTCTGAAAGAGTTAAAAAGTCTGAAGCCAGCGGAGTGAAAAACATGGTTGCGGAGTACATGCGGCAAGAGGACAACATTGTCATGTAAGTCGACTGCGCTTCCACGTATAATCACCAGCTAACACCATTCTAGCTGCGTTGCTGACGCCAATACGGATCTTGCAAACCAAGCTATATGCGAAATTGCCCGGGACCGGGCTACCTCAGATCGTCTTGTAGGCGTATTTACAAAATGTGATCGTGTGGAGAACACGGACGCAGTGGTATGGTTGTCCCTCAAGAGTAGAATAACATGGCTTATGCTAATTTTGACAGGTTCATACTGTAGTAAGCGCTCCTAAAGGTGGTCAGTTCTCTAAGCACGGATGGTTTGTTGTGCGAAACAAGAAGGGCCTTGATGACGATGTCGTCGACTTTGACCTGGTTTCTGAAGAAGATCAACTCTTTAGCAGCAAGGCTTGGGACGAAATCCCGTCAAGCCGAAAGGGTACTACGGCACTGAAAAAGTACCTTGGCCATATTCTGAGTGAGCGCATCCGTAGTGCCTTTCCCAGCATTATCCGACAAGCACAGCTGCTCCAGCGAGACGCTGTGCGAGAGCTCACGTCGCTGGGGAGCGAGCGCAAGACCGTTTCCGAGCAGCGCTCGTTCTTAGCCACAATTGCACGAAACTACGAGGCCAAGGCTACTGAAGCCTTGATGCAGCCGTGGTGCATAACAAGTCCTGAATCAAGAGTCAGGTCCATTGTCAAGGCTACCAATGAGTCGTTTGGGGCCAAGATGCGAGCCTATGGCCATACCTACTGCTTCGATAACAACATGGAGTCATTCGATGATATGATCCGGAAACTCCAGAACGAAATGTATCCGGATGAGTCTGTCGATTTAACCGAGAGCATTGAGAGGCCAGAGGTGTTGATGCCGGCCGACGACGAATTCTCCGAGGTCCTCTCTACAGAAGACCTTTTTGACAAGATTGCCGAGGAGGTGGCCACGTTCAGCAGTGCCACTCTGCCTGGCATGGTTCACCCGGATATTATCCCACAACTGTATCGGCTGCAAACCCAGAAATGGAGGCAAATTGCCGAGGAGCACGTCAGGAACATTAGTGATGCCATTACCACGGCCACATGCCACCTAATCCAGAGTGTCTGCCCAAGAGGCAATGATGCTAGCATTTTGAATGCCGAGATATCCGAGATCATTTCGAAAATGCACAGGCAAACACTGTCTCGCACACTGGAAGCGCTACATGACTACTGTGACGGCAACCAGTCTCAGCTGTTGCAAACTGCAGACCCAACCTTTTTAGAGAGGCTTCAGAAACTCCAGAAAGTGCGGCTCATCAACGCATTTAACAGGGGCAGTGTTCTGTTTCGCGAGGCCACAGCAGCAAGGGCCAGCAGTCTACAAGCAGCATGCGAGCTCTTTGCGCAGTGCCATCCATCAGCAGCGGCCAATACTTCCAACGATGTCCATGATACATTGAAGGTCTACTACGAGGTACGTTTCTTCTTTATGATTGAACTATAAAACGTAGCTAACACATGGCCAGTCTTCCTTGGAGCTGTTTGTTGGTCACGTTACCAACACAATTGTAGAGAAGTTCTTGAACGACAAGAACGGCAGCCTCTGCGGCTTCTCGTTTGACTACATCTTCAAACTAGACGACTCCACTATCACCAAACTCGGTCAGGAGAGCAAAGCCGTTGTAGAGCAACGAGAATCTCTTCGTGTCCGAATCCAGACCCTTGAATTGGCAGAAGAGACGGCACGTGAAGCGTGGGCCAAGGCGGCTTCGCTGAGCTAGAGGCATACTCGAGCGTTTTGTATCATAGTAGATTTGTTGGTTTTTGCGCAATTGATCAAGTTTCTTTGAATAAGTCACCTGAATGACAAGTCACCTGCTCCATCCCTATCAAACCCATATTAATGTCCTCGTTAAAGCCGCCAACGGGAGGGCTGTGCAAAAGAAATCGGCTCTGAAACATGCGCTAACCAGGGCTGGCCAAGACTCCTTCGCTTATAAAATACTTTAAGAATTGGCCTGGATTCTCTGTAGCTCTGTATAGTTGAAAATTGCAATTGATTCATAAATTAAAATAGCAAAACTATGATTCATATTTATTTAGTATTAATACTATTTTTTGAAACTGTATTTTGGTACCGACACTCGAAACACCTCGATGGGGCGGCCTCCCGCCCACAACGGCCCGCCCGTTCACCGTCCGGCCCTACCGATACAACAGCCACTGCCGTGTAAATCAGTAACCTAAAATGCAATCACCTCAACACCAATGCATAAATGAATTGAAACGCAGCCAATTGAAAACTCTCTCGACGAATGTCTCCGGCGCTAAAACTGAGCACATGAGAAGCCCCTAAGCGCCGCTGAGCCACCTCCCGCCCGTTGCAGCCATCCAGTATGTCGCATGGGGGGCTGTGTAGGCTGACAGGGTGGGTTGCGAGGCTGAGATGTCAAAGAGAACAGCCTCTACGTCTGAGCGGGGAGGGAACCAAAGATGGGAAAAAATGATAAAAAGGATTGAATTGCCAGGCCACAAAGATCAATTTGAAACCATCAAACCATCATCTATATACAAGACAGTTAGCAAACCACTACAATACCAACACACGTGCAAGTACACATCTCCATCCCACTCGACACACACAGCGCCATGGAGGTCAACAACACCGTCCGCGTCTCTCGCAGGTCGCGGACATCGCGGGCGAGGAGAGAGACTTCTCCTCGTCCCGCTCCCTCGTCGTCTCGTCGCAATCGCCGCTCTTCGCCTCGCCCATCTTCCCCGCGCCGCTCCTCTCCCCGACGCCCGCTCGGCCGCTCAGACAGCATGGCGTCCAACGTCTCCAACGCATCTAGTCTCTTTGGCCGCCAGGAGTCGTTTACACACGACTGGCCTCACCGTGACACAGAGGCCCGTACAAACTCAAGACGGGTGCGGTTTGATGTGCCCCTCACAGAGACCTTTCGCCGACGAACAAGCTCGGGTCTCAGCTCAGAGGGAGAGTCCAGGTGGCCAAGGGGACTGCGCAGACGCCCAAGCTACAGTGGTTCTACAACATATAGAGCGGCATCGCCGTCCTCGTCGACATATTCTACACGGCGGAGCTACTCGCCGCGGGCGACCTACTCATCTCGGGCTGCTAGGAGAACGCTGAGCAGAGAGAGCACGGGGTCAAGCTTGGACGACGGCGCAAGGGAAATGGCTCGGCAGATTAGCGCAACAGCAAGCAGGTTGGGCGCGAGGGCAGAGATTGTACGGTATCGCTTGCGGGAGCCGAGAGTGCGGCTGCTAGAGCGCGAGCGCAGGTGACGACATAGATAGAGACAAATTGATACCCTGGATGTCTTCAAAGACGGACTAAATGCCCCATCACACCTTGTGTTACACCGTGTTAGAACCACCCTCGGTAGCGGGAATAACAATGCCACCACAGAGAGTCGCATCGCCGTAAAGTCAGGCCTGAATCACCCCCTCCTTCTGCTTTCCAGCGCGGTGATCATGGATACTCTTCTCGCCCGACACTACGGGCGATCGCGGTTCGTTGAGGGCGACATGCCGCGGCTTGCTTGGCTGCGGATATTGCGGCATGGGCTCCGTCCACCCTGCAGTATATGGCACACATACCAAAGGAGGGCCCTGAGCACCTTTTTGCTCGTTTGGTCGAGCCGCTTTTTTGCACAGCCTCGCTGGCGCGGTAGCCGGCAAAAATGGCTTTCTATTTAGCCAGCGAGCGAGGCAGCGATCGATCGTTTTGATCCCCAGGCCCATTCGATCCCATCCACGTAGTTTGGCAGGGCACCGGACATTCTGCCGGATTTGATTGATTTCCTTGGCTTTTGTTTCCTTTTGCTGGTTTGGCGATGGGGTATCGGCACAGCTGGGCCGGCTGGGCAGGGAGCGACCTCCAACCAGGACCCTTCACCGAGGGCAAAGCGGCTCTTTGGATGCAACGGCTAGGGGCGGAAAGAGGAACGCTGCAATTTTTTTTCTATAGGCGAGCGTGACCTGACCCTGCTACGGAGACGCAGGCGCTGCGGGAATGCGACTCTGGTATTTAGGCGAGAATAGCCTGTATTCGGAAGAATGCACGGCGGGCGGCGCCGCTGCTATTGTTAGCAAAAACGCCACGGCCTTACAAGATTGCGATGCGAGAGCATACGTATGCTGCTGTTTTGGAGGTTGATGCCATGGCGCGCTCGGCTCAACATCTCTCTGTTCGGTTCCGAGCTCTACAGTACACACATGGCATGCTGTAAGTCGTTGGCGTCTACGGGACGAGGCCGACCCGCTGTAGTCGAGCACGGCCGAAATCATCCACTCACCACCCGCTTATTCTTACTACACAACCATATCGCTTCCAAGGTCCAATTAGCACATATGCATAAGCTAGAGCGTTCATGTTGAGCCGCTAAGCACGCACGCTCCCGTTGCCAAGGGCCAACGGGTCCGCTCCTCCACCAGCTCTAAATCTTACAGTCCAGTCAAGGAAAACAATTATTATAGCCTAGGAGATTCCTGGCTAGCCGTAAGGTTTCTTTTGACCCTCGGCAGCTCGGGCGCTTACGCCAATCTCGTGGACCAGTCGGATCATGCGCATTTGGTGGTTGTAATACAGACTGCAAGCAACATGCAACGCTGACATAGCCGGCACTTTCTTTTGGCCCTTGTCTTTTTTCGTCGGCAGTGATTCTGCATTTTGTTGGATTAAGTATTTGCCTGCCGTGTAATAAATGTGCTCGATGTGTACACAAGCTATCACATTTATGATCATCCTAACACCTGCAGCCGGGGTTTGGTTGGCCGTCAGCTTACGCTGCTGCGCCTCGCCACTGCTTAAAGCTTCTTTTGTGCCTGCTTCTGCATATATGCCGGAAGACCTATTTTTTCTATCAAGTAAAACTGAGGCGGGCCTGTGCTTCAGCCCTGCTGTACTGCTACAGCACAGCACACAGGCGCAATTCGGACATATCGTAATCGTACCGCCTGTCACGGCCGGCGACCCGTGTTTTATCGTTGCTGTCATGCTGGCTTGGCGTATACTAAACAGAATAGCGTTAATAAGTAAGCATGCAGAGAGCTAGCAGCACTTGGAGAGCCAATGCAACATCACAGGACGATAGGTAGACCAACTAGTTTCTAGAAGCCTGTGATCTGCATGTACTTGTTGACTTGACAGCTGAAGCGGTAACCAACTCAGGTGTATCATTCCATTCAATATTGCCCCGTCGTTGCTCGAATCAATTGGCTGTTTCCATTTATTAGGAGACGAAACATACTGGCGCCATCGTATCGCCCTTCTAGGTAGTAAACTCGACTGGCGTTCTGGGCCGATATCACTGGTATTTTCGCCTATTGATGCGGTCATCCGCACGGCAAGCCTCCGAAACAAACGCACAGGTGCCAAAGGTCGATACGCTTAGGATGCAGTACAGGGCAGGCTGTGCTGCATGATTCGTCATAATCGGCCGTCTGGTCTAGACGTCTAGACCGGCATCCTGCGGAACTCAGCGTCTGGCAAATCCCCCGTGTCGCCAACTGCTCTTGCATCTACACATGACGCGCACAACCAGGTTGCTTGGAGAGGGAAAAAACGAGCACCGGCTGTCGATATCTCGGCGAACTTGTCAGCTTGGCTGCAACTCAACAGCACGACATCAACCCCTGTAGTGTCCATCCCAACGTGCAACTCCAACACCACCCATCAGTGCTGAAATTATGGCCCGCTGCTCGGGCTCAGACTCATCCGCCATCGGCCTTCCTCCCCAACAGCCCAGCATCTGCAAACGCTAAGCGGGGCAAACTGGTAGGAAAGCCGCCCGTCGTTAATTTACTGAGCGATGCGTTGTGTCATCCTTTTGCTTCTGTGTGTCTGTGTTTGCTCCACTGAGCTAGGCTTTAGTCTCTGACGGTGTAGAAAACCCTTGGGATATTATTTCAGCCTAGCCGGAGGATTGCAGTGTTTTAGTGCACATGTTAGAGGGCCACTTCATATCGATGCGCGTCGATGTAGACGAGCTGAGGAGGAAAACGCCTTGTCATCAGTGGCAGTAGCGCCGAGCGAGCTTATTTCGGGATCTCGAGCGGCGCTGGTCCAAAGGCTATCCTGGAGGAAGGCACTGAAAGACGCAACTAGCCAATGCATGTCGACGACGCCACCGGCTTTGCTGTAGCCATTGATTGTGTTCCGCGCTGTCAACTGCACGCGGAAGCACGAGCTGCATGCTGCAGAAGGGCAAGAAGCTTCATTTTTTGCGAGCTTTTTTTCACCCTGGTCGGTTTCTCTTATGACACAACACACGGCATGCTAGAAATGTTAGGGCGGTACATCCTCCCTTTCGTTTCTCTCTGTGTTGTGCTGCTCAGTGCAGTTCAGTGCAGCGGGGAGGACGACGCTGCTAAGGTTGTGGGGGAAGACGAAAGTCAAACTACGACTGGCGGTGCGAGAGCCGGGGGAAACGTGGGTGTGCCGTGGTGCCCCTGTACGATACAGTGCAGCAGTAGAGCCTCTTGCAAATCAAGGCGGATGATGAGCGTAGTGAAGACCAACTGCACTGTCTGCATGCCGTGTGCTTGTGCGCAACTACAAAGGTTCTTGTGTATAAATTAATAGCCCCTCTACAGCCTTCTTTTCTTTTTTTCACCTTCGTGTCTTTTCAGTCTTGTTCCCGCTATCCTTTGGCCTGTAGCTACATTTCAGAGGAGGACTGGTACCAGCAACGGACGCCTCGTACCAGGTTATAGTGGAGTAACGCCTGGAGCTTATTTCTGTCCCCTGCGCGGATGTCCGTGTTGGGCCAGGCTGTGGCAAGTCCCGTTGTCTATTTTCACTACCTTTTTAGATTAAAAGACGCATCCAATGTGACGTAAGTAATCGAGAACATCGGCATGCATCTATTCATATATTCTGTATATTTTTATATTTCACGGTTATGTCTTAAATCCCTTTGTATTGTCCAGCGCACCCCAGCGATCGCCTTAAATACTTGGCTTTCTAGCCAACAGGTCCACCATCTTACGGTGCACTGATAGGCCGCCTGTTCCCCGAGGCTAGTGGACGCCTTACCCACAACTTGACCTGTTGGCGACCATCTGAGCTGGGTGCGCGACTAGTGTATGCTGTAGCATCTGCCCACTTGCGGCTTGTGCAGGCCCTTTTTATTACCAGCACTTTTTATTCTCTCTTAAATTCTGGCGCCGGCCACGCACATCCCCCAGACTTACGGGCTCCCAAGCTGGCGCCCACTAAAATCCCACTAAAACTGACAAGAGAATATTGACTGGCCGGCCTTGGTTTCCGTCATGTGCAATCAGGACGGCCAATGGGTGAGCGTGTAATACTGGCGATGGAAGGACGATATGTGATTGTAGATGTCGATGGCAATAATGCCTGGGCTGGTGTTTGCTGAAATTTTCTATTTGTATTTTTTTTTAAATCCGCCTTTATTACTTGTCGACTCTTGTCGCACCGGTCTGCTTGCTGGCTCAAAGCCTGATCTGGCACAATCACCCACCAGCACCCACCACATCAAACCACGTACAGCGCTAACCCACAGCGCCAGGTGCCCGCTATTTCTCGCTCCCCTCGTCGTCGCTCACACCCGCGCCCACTCTCCCAGCGCCCGCCGCTCAGTGCCCCGGGTCTCCTGAAGCGTTTCCTCCTCCTCTCCTCCTCTTCCTCCCGCTTCCCCGTCATCTCACCACAAACACGCCCGCCCGCTCGTCCATCGATCTTTCTGCGCCTTTTATTTTATTTTCGCCTTCTTTCGACTCAGCGCCAAACGCATGGCACTGACTGCCTCGACTTTCCCCGAATTGGGTTTCTAGGGCGCTGCCTCGCTGGCTTCGCAAACCGGCCAAAAATCTCCCTCACCAACCCGAGCCTCAATACGCTATCGTGCGATTCATTCTTTCCGGCCCGACAGCCCTTCTCCTACCGCGTCTTTCCGATCCGTTACGGCTCGGCCTTCCATGTCCTGTGCCTTTCTTTTGTAACATTTCCTCGAATCGCTTGCCGCCGTGCGCCCAGTCTCGTATTCTCGACACTTTACCACCACAACACCGCTGACCACCTCCCTTCCGACCGCAAGCGAATGATACAGCAACGCCTGCTGTAGGGGAGAGTATTACCTTGTCGAAATCTTCTCGACAATAGACACGGCTCTCCCGCGTCTCCAAGCCCCCGCTTCCATCGCCATAATTCTCTGACAAGCCACACTCCCACGTCATTTCGTGCCGTCGACAACATGGCCGAAATGTCAGAGGACGACGTGGGCATGTCGGTGGTCGAATGGTCGGCCCATGATGCCCCGTCTCCTTCAGATACATTAAAGTCCGACATGGACCTGGAGGATAGACAGGGCATGGACGGTCCATCGCAGCCCATTCAGAAGCGACGCCGAGTAACCAGAGCCTGCGACGAATGTCGACGAAAGAAAATCAAGTGTGATGGAAAACAACCGTGCACGCATTGTTCTGTATATAGTTATGGTATGTGGACCGGCCTATTGTCATTTTTTGCGGTCAAATTAACGTTTCGCTAACTAACTTGCTTCAGAATGTACATACGATAAGCCATCTAACCGAAGGAGGAACCCGGCGCCCCAATACATTGAGGCTCTCGAGGGCCGGTTGCACCGCGCCGAAGCCATGCTGCGTAAGCTGTTGCCCGATATCGATCTCAACGATCCCAATCTCGACCCATCAGTTCAGCAAGAATTCAACAACCGCGAACAAAATCGAGCCCAAGCCGCCAGCAAGATTCAAATCAACGCTCCACCCACTGCACCGCCCACGGCAGATCTCAACGACAAGAAGCTGCTGTCTATGATTGACTCGATCGGCCAGCTGGAGCTTGATGATAAGGGAGCCTGGGACTACCACGGTACCTCGTCCGGACCAGTCTTTTTGAATCGCATGAAGGAAAACTTTCGTGGCATGCTCGACCCCGTCTCCGGTGGTGTCTTGTCGCTCCCTCGTGCCGAGCAAGAATCCGGTCTGCTCTTCGGCCTCGACACATCTAACCCGTTAAGCTATTCCTCATTTTCCACAATGTCAGCATACCCCGAGTTACCGCCGAAGGATGTAGCCCAACGACTATGCTACTACACCCTGAGTTGTGGTACCTGCTTAGTACGCATCGTGCACATTCCCTCATTTTACGAAAAAGTAGAGCGCATATATGAGGTCCCTCTCGACCATCTCGATCCAGAAGACAAAAACTTTGTCGGCCTCTTCTTTGCCGTCCTCGCCCTAGGCTGCATGTACACTGCGTTTGACGACACATCGGAAAATGTGACTTACGAGGCTTCCATCGAGCAAGGCCGCAAATATTATCGCTACTCAAGAACCATCCTCAAAGAGCTTACCGAATGCCGCGACCTCGTCTCTATCCAAGCTCTTCTCTTCATGATCCTCTTCCAGCAAGCCACATCCGACCTCAGCGCCTGCTATTCATTAATCGGTATTGCCCTGCGCTCAGCTCTCCGCATAGGTTTACACCGCAACATCGATCACGACCAGATGAATGGCGTGCAGCAAGAAACACGAAAGCGCGTATTCTATGTAATACGACAGATGGACATTTATGTATCCACACTGCTCGGCTTCCCGTTGATGCTGCAGCGTGAGGACATTGACCAGCCGTTCCCTGCAGAGATTGACGATGAGTTCATCACCATTCAGGGCATCATCCAACCACCGCCGGGCACACCATCATTTTTTCAAGCGTTCAACGCCCATACGCGCTTGATGGAGACGCTGCACAAAATCACCAAATACGTATATCCCACGCAGGCATCTGCGCAAGGCGCCATCAAGGGCAACAAACCCACACAAACATATCTTATCAGCTACAGTCGTATAAAAGAAATAGAAACAGATCTGCACGGGTGGTTTGAGAAACTACCCGAGGCATGGAGACCCAGCCCTGAAGGGCCTGTAGAAGTAGTCCGGTAAGTTTGATTTTTGAGTAGTCAGGTTTTCCCGTTTCCTTTACTAACTTGACACAGTGTCCGACATCTTTTGCGATTCGCTTACGCCCATGTTCAACTCGTTCTGTACCGCCCTTTTATACACTACATCTCACCCCGACTTAACCAAGGCATGAAGGTGGACGAGCTGTCGTATGCTTGCGCGGCCGCCGCCGTCAGTGTTTCACGAAACATTGTCCATATTGGCCTGGAGATTCGAAAGCAGCGCGTGCTTAGTGGACCGTACTGGTTTATGCTCTACACAGAATTCTTTGCCGTTCTGACGCTCATATTTTACGCCGTTGAAAACCCTGGTAAGCCTGGTTGCGCCGAGGTTTTGAGTGACGCGCGCGCTGGTCGCCAAATGATTGCTGAGCTCGCCAACAAGAGCCAGGCGGCGCAAATGATCACAACAGCATTGACGGCCTTGTTCGAGCAAGTGCCCGATATGATGGAACAGGGTCGTGTGCGAGCGCTTGCGGCCAAGAAGAGAATGGCTGGCCCTCAAAAGCCTAGCCTGATGGCAGCACAGCACCAAGCCATGGCATCGCAGGTGATGCCGCCGGCGCAAAACGGCCACATGTCCAATGGCACCTTTGGCACGCCCGGCTCCATGACGTCTCTCGACCAGCTTACCGCGGACCAGTTCCACGACCTCGCATTTAGCGGTAGCATGCAAGATCTATATCCGATGGAGGTGTCGTCGCGTGCAACGCCCGAATCGGCCACATCCAGCGCCAACCACCACGCGTTTGTAACGCAGGCCATGGCCGCGCAGGGCCTACAGAACCCGGTACACAAGCTCGACTCCCTCATGTTCCCTTCGGACGACCCATTTGCATATCCCAACCAGCCAATGATGGAGCTTGGATACCAACCCAAGGGCGGCGACGACACCGCCATGGTACAGGACCCCAACTTCTTCTTCGGCAACGAGTCACTCGGTAACCTCAACGACGACTTCCTGAACCAAACCCAACAGTTCCTCATGCAGGGCCAGGCACAGAGCCAAGGCGGTATGGGCCTCACGTCGAACCTCTTTGGCCAGAACATGATGCTCGGCCTCCAGAACCAACAACAACAGCAGCAGCCCCAGCAGCCCATCCCGACACCGCACGTCCAGACACCGCAGATCTCGCGCCAGCCATCTCAGCAGTCGCAGCTCTCCCAGCTCTCCCAGCAGCAGGCACAGCAAGCACAAGTACAGCCGGCACAGCGCAAGCCCAAGGTCCAGCGCCCCAGCGTGTCCCAGCCCCAGCAGGCTACAGCAACACCGCCTGTCGAACAGACCAGACAACAGCAGCGCGGCCGCCTCGGCCTATCCTTCTTCAACCGCCGTGTGCGTGCTGAGCGCCAGCAAGAGCGCCAGCAGGAGCAGCAGATTGACCAAATCTTTACCGAGCACGGCATGCAGGCCGATTTCGGTAGTTTCTTTGGTTCTGGCAGAGGTGGTTTCCAGGGCATGTAAAATCGGTGCAGTCCGCCGCTTGTTATCCCTACCGTCACTTTTTATTTTTTCTATTTGTTTGCCTTTTTGGGAACGATACCCCGTTTACATTTTGTTTTTTTGGGTCTGGTATACACAACACATATACACGCACACACACCTTCTTTTGACAGTCTTGTCATTTTTGTTTTGTTTTTGATGAACCATGGACGGAGCAGGCTGAAATTTTTCTGGCAGGAAAAAACGGAGTTTTATTATATTGTTTAAATACTGTTATCGGGACATTTTTCTTATGTTCTGAGCGGGAGCTTTTGTTCATGAAGGTGCTGGGGGTGTAGATATATAAATGGATATTTCTGTTTTATCTTGAAATGACTTGTTTAACAGTGATTTAAAGTGTGTAAGTGAATGAGTGAAATAGTGATGTGAAAGTCTTTGTATTTGACGGGTATCTAAATGTTGCTATATATCTGCTGGCTTCTATGCTAGGCACTGTAACTCGTAATGTTTCTAGTAAATCTTCAACAACCACCACCGCCACCACCAGCGCCAGCGGCAGCGCCACCTGCTGATGCACCTGCTGCTGCACCGTTTGAGTTGCGTCTGTGCACTGCAATCATGGTGAACGCTGTGATCATAACCATGTCGAGCTCCTGTTGCGAGGGATTGCCAAAGACCTCAAGTGTGCCTTTCTTAGAAAACGACCACGATGCGTGGCCAAACTTTGCTACAACGTCGCCAGCCGTCGTGATAAGTTCGATGCGACTGGACAGCGAGCTGGGGTGTTTCCATTTACCGCTCAGGGTGCGAGAGGCAAATGTATAGCTACTGCTGAACATCTTGGGACGCTTCAGCGTGACTTGCTCGTTGCCCATGTCGATGTTGATGCCCGAGCTCCAGCTTGGAAAGGTGATTTTGCCAACCAGAAGGTCCTGGCCAGATGGTTTCTCGGAGGTCCGTGTTATTTCGATATGCTTCTTGAGGAAACCCTTGGTCTCGTACTTGTAGAGAACAGCGGACGTGGACGGATCAACAACCTCCAAGCGGCTGCCTCCCCAGCCTGGACTAACAATGTCAAGGCTGCGACTCATGTTTGGCCCCGATGGTATAGGGAATAGGAGTAGGAAGATGATAATGTTGTAGATGATAGTCTTGGTATTTCTGTGGTTTGGACGAGTAAGACGGAGGCAATCAGGCTGTGTTTATATACAAGTCGGGCAAACAATCCGTGGGAAATATGACGTAGGAGCAGCTCAGCCTCGTCGTCACGCGGAGTCGAAGGGCTCGGATTCCTTTCTGGGCTAGTGAAGACGCTGCGCCGCCCCGATGATCCACCATGGTTATAGGCGGGATTTGGCAGCTGAAGTCGGGCGTGTGGGGGGGCCACCACATTTTCTGGGGCATCAGCAACAACTGGCAATTGGCCCAGCTGCACACCGCACGCAACGCCCGACAGCAACGACAAACAAAATGGACTCGTTTAACTTGGAGCTCGAGTATGAGCTGGTGAATGAATTCGATGCCGTGTAGGTGCTGCGCATGAAGCCCACGGCCAGCATATGGCTTGCTAACTAGCCGTTTGTAGCAACCTGGTGACGGCCTCCAAGCCGATCCGGCACGTTGTCCTACGAGACGAGAAGCTCCTCAAGGGCAAGTATCCCGCCAAAGCACATGCCCGCAAGGTCGCGAAGATCCTGGGCGTAACCGACGGTGTCATCTATCTCCCCGGCGAGCGCGACATCAAGTGGGAAGACTCGGACCAGCCGCGCACGTTTCGCCAGCGCAGATAGTAAGTCCCCGAATTTGTCTTTCCTCACATCGTCCTAGCTAACGGGGATCTACAGCTTCTTCTACCTCACTGGTGCCAACTTCCAAGACTGCTCCGTCACATACGACATTGCCAACGACCACCTCACGCTCTGGCTACCGTTTGTCGACCCGCGCCAGATCCTCTGGTTCGGCAAGCACCCGACCGCCCCGGTCGCCCTTCGGACCTACGATGTCGATGATGCGCGCTACAACGAGCAGCTGGCAAGCTACTTTACCACGCACCTGGGTAGCCGCACGCTCTATGTCCTCCGCGAATCCCACATGCCTGCTGGTGTCCCCCTCGGCCGCTCTACCGTCAACATGACGGATCTCCTGCCCGCCATCGACCAGGCCCGCATTGTCAAGGACGAGTACGAAATCGCCATGATCCGCCGCGCCAACGACATCTCGAGCGAAGCCCACTTGCGCGTGGCTCGCAACTTTCTCAAGATGACCAACGAGAGACACATGGAGGCCATGTTCATGGGTGTCTGCGACTCGTTTGGCTCGCGCGAGATGGCGTACCCCGTCATTGCGGGCGGCGGCGTCAATGGGTCCACGCTGCACTATGGCGAGAACAACAAGCCGCTCAAGATGGGTGATAATGTTGTGTTTGACGCGGGTTGCGAGTATAATTGCTACGCGGCTGACATTACGCGCACGTTGCCTGTGGGAGGCAAGTTTTCGACGCGCGGCAAGGCCATCATGGACATTGTCACGAGGATGCAGAGGGAGTGTGTGGCCGGAGTGAAGCCTGGTATTTTGTTTTATGAGTTGCATAAGCTGGCTGCGCGTATTGCGGCCCAGGGCCTCAAGAAGCTCGGTGTGCTGCGTGGCTCGCTGGCAGATATTGAAAAGGCCGGCACGGCGGCTGCTTTCTTCCCCCATGGTTTGGGACATAATGTTGGCCTGGACGTGCACGATTTGATTGCGACGCTGCCGCTGGGTGTGAAGCGCGGCGTTGGCCTCGAGTTTGGAAAGAGGCACTTTGTGTCTTCAGAGATGCTGGCGGCAATGGGCACCGAGAAGATGCAGGGCGGTAGAGGACCGCTGCAGCCTGGTATGGTGGTGACGGTCGAGCCCGGTATCTACTTTTGCAGAGAGTATCTTGAGGGCTTTTACAGGGACAGCGAGGTCCATGCAGACCTGATTGACTGGGATGTGCTCGAAAAGTACTATCCCGTTGGAGGTGCTAGAACAGAGGACTGCATCTTGGTGACGGACAGCGGACATGAGAATCTGTCTGTGGCGCCCAAGGAGGCAGACTTGCTGGCGGTGATTAACGGTGCGTAAGTGATCGCACGGGTAGCACGTATGTAGAAATTGATGTTGTATGATAAGCATACGAGGACATACATGGGCATAGTTTGTCACCACTGGCAAGGGAAATAAAAATTGGTTAACGTCTTTAATCTTCATTTATATACTTATACAAGAAAAAACGATGCCTAGACTCCGGGGATGAGGGAATAAAGAAAAAAAACAAGAAGAACAACTTTTTACTCCATTTACAAGTACTTCTTGGGGGACGTCTTGCGGCGCTTGTACATGACGTAGCCGACGGCCAGGACAACCTGGAAGCCGATAATGATAAAGATGAGGCGCCCGTGGCCGGGGACGTTGTCAGAGACAGTCTGCGACAGCGTGCGGTGGTGGTCGGACAGCTGACCTCGGACCGAGTTGTCAGTCGAGCGGATGCGGTCGATGAGGTCGTCGCGCATCTGGTTAAAGTTGTGCTGGAGGTCGGCAATCTTGCGCTCCATGGCGGCAATCTGGTCCATCTTGGCATTAAGATCGGTTCGGATGCCTTGCATCAGATCCCGCGTATCTGTGTTTTGCATGTTTATGGTATCCTGAGCGACAGTGATAGCGCGGAAGATGGCAGACAGCTGGTGCGTCGTGGACTGCATGCGGTTGTGCAGGTCGTGGAACTGCGCCTTGGACGTCTTGAAGACGTCGGCGTCCTCATCCTTGGGGGCGTCGCGGAACGCAGCATCGTCGACCGCCTGGTTGTGGTTCTCGCTGCGCGACTCGTGGTGTTCGTGCTCGTTGTTGTGCGAGTTGCCAGCGTACTCGTTGTTGATGCTGGGGTCGTGGTGGTCCATCTGGCGGGGGTCGACCGAGTCGGACATGACGGCGAGCTTGAAGATCTCAAAGGAGTCTGGGTTCTCGGGCGTGGCGGCCGTCAGACCAAACGTGTAGCCCTCGGGGATGACAATGCGGTCGCTCTCAAAGCACAGCTTGCCGTCGACCTCGACGCGCAGCCCGTGCGTGCTCTGCTGGAACTTGATCTGCGAGGGGCGGCCCAGGTTGCGGTAGGGAAACATGCAGTGGCCAAACGCGAGGCTGTCGACGCCCGAGGACCGCGAAAAGTCAATGGAGCCGTCGTTGAGGAAGCCGCGCAGCATGCCTCCCGAGTTGCCGTGCTGGTCGACCACGAGCACGAGACCCTCAAACTTGGAGATCGTGTACACGCTGTTAGCGCCAATCATGGCCTTGCCGTCCTTGGCGAGCCAGATGTTTAGGTTGCCGCCGGCGCGCTCGGGGCCGGACGCGCGGAACTCGACATCGGCTACCCAGTCTTTGCGCTGCAGTGTGCGCTCGCCCCAGAGCGAGCCGCGCTGGTTTCCGGGCGCCACGGGTGTGAGGATGACCTTGTTGGAGAGGATGTCGGGGCGGGTGGGCGAGCCGGCGGCAATGTAGTGGGGGATGTGGTCGGGGGAGTGAGGGTCGCCGATGCTGTAGATTTCAAAAAGGTGGTTAGAATGGCTAAAGAATTGCGGAAGGAGACGAGGAAGGGAAGACGGTACCGGCTGCCGATGCCAAAGGAGAGCTCGTTGATGAGGAACTGGGCGTGGGACACGCTGGCGCCGAGCAGGGCGGCCAACAGAGGCGCAGATACGCCGGTAAACAACTTCATGACGGGCAGCGGGCAAATTGGCGTTGCTGGTGACAAAGTGTGGTTGTGGTGATGTTGTTGGAGGAGTAGCTAGCTAGCTTGCTGGTGGTGGGCGTCAGGAGGCATGTCGTCACGCTGCGTGAGGACACTTTGGCCGTTACGAGTGGGTTGGCCGTGGGGCTACCGTGCCCAGGCTTTGCGGGACGTGCCGGTGTTTCATGGGGGGGATCCCTAAAAATAAGAATAAGACAAATTATTGAATAAAAGAAATATTGGCAGCTAAAAATGGAGATATACTGAATTGGTGTGTATTTGATGTTTCAATTTGGGGATATATGTGGAAAATGCAGAGCAGAGCCACGGTTGGCTCATTGTGCTGGTACAGCGATGGCGGTGCAGACAGTCGGTTTACTAAACGGGTGAAAATGTATTATATTCAACCGAGTATAATATATAATACTTTACTTTCAAGGCTTTAGTCTCGACCTGGTCGACGATCTATAAAATTGATCTCTGATATGGCTTGCTCATCGTAAGGCTCTGGCACACGCCACAGAACTTGAAGTTTGGCGGCGTGGTGACTCACTTCACAACCAATATAAGCCCGTTGCCAAGTCCAGAATACTTGCTATAAATTATACAAGCATCAAAGGGAATGTCGCAATCCACTAAAAGCAATGGGCTTCTCGATCTCCCTTGGGAGATTCGCCGCGATATACTTACCCGAGCCCTGCGTCCCATAAACACCAAGAACAATAACACAAGCAGTCTACCCTCCTTAAGCAAAGAGTCTTTCCAGCGACGCGTGCGATTGCGCAATTGTTTTGATACAGACTTTCCTGAAGAGACAAATCTCTATGTTCCCAGGAATAATAATAGATATGCGCAGGCCACTGGTCTACGGGCTGTCAATCGGCAGCTTCGCGAAGAGACTGACCTGCTGATTAATAAACTTGACCTTCCGTTTGTTATGGATATCATGGTTGTCAAAGACGTCGGCATTTTCCCTACCTGGTTAAGCTATCCATATCCACCGCGGCACCTGAAAAAGCTAACTATCAACCTGCGTACTATTCAACCTGGAAAGTGTGCCATTCCCACGGATTGGGTGGAAGCAGGGAGACATAAACAGGCCAAGTGGGAGTTTTGGAGAAAGGGCCCTACCATTTGGAATATTATGGCCGCCATTACCTTGTATACCTTCAATTGTCTCTCTATCAAGTCGACAGCCTCGGAATCAACACGGCCAAATGCTCTTAGTGGTCTTACCAATGTGGCTGACGCGCATCTCTCATCGTCCCGGGCATTTGTTACTGATAAGCTATGCATCCACATTGCGCCGCTTGAGTATGATGCCAAGAATGCGCCCATTCCCATAGAAACCCAGGACCTTTGCAAAGAAAGCCGGTTATATAGAGAAGGTTACTTCCAATTCGGCCGAGAGCTATTCGAGGACTTTTCGACAGAGACCATGTGGCCAGATGAGATTGACTACATGCGACGGCTGCTGGCCCGTGGTGAATATCCGTGCTATCAGCTTTCAGATCGCTTGGGAAATATTATCTACGAGGTAGACCGTAACACCGACTCGGCATATTATTTCTATCTTCGGCTGCTGGCGCGTAGCGTAGGCGAGCTGATAATAGATGGAGGCATTCCTGGCCAGGACTTGACTATATACAGGCACCCTGCCTTCTGGGTTCATCTTCGTTATGCTATAGATTGTGAACTTCTCGTTGAGGGGAATTTCAATAAGAAACAAGTGCTGCGCAGCTTGAAGAAGGAGATGAAGGACGGGTGGTCGGAGATGGCTGCAAACCTGCGCACAATTGAAATCCGACGGTCTCACGGCTGGGTCCAAGAGGACGACTAGAAGTGACACGTATATTTGTATAATAATGCAATATTTTCTCTCATTTATATATCATCCAGCTTCTCGTCAGGACATTCGGTTGCTGTGCAAAGCCCAGTGATGAGCTTCGCAAGTTGCGGTTGGCAGCGATTGGTCGACCCCACCCACCACCACAGCCAAGCTGTAGCTTTGCTAGCTCCCTTTCCTGAGTTGCCAGCAAAGCGTCACCACGGCGGCTCAACACCACAACCCAAGAAAATCGCACAGCGGCAGTGCCATTACGAACTTTCCATTCTCCTTGTCTCTCTTTAACTTTCCTTTTTCTTTTTCCTTCTTCTTTTGTCTACCTCACACGCCCTCTATGAACTAAAAATCCCTTCTTGCTGTCCGCCAATTTCATCCGCCGCCATGGCAGACTCCTATCCCACCTTGACGCAATGCGCGCTGGTGGCCGCCGCGTTCAAAGTGCTGCTGTTCCCAGCATAGTGCGTATTCCCCTTTCTCTCTTGAATATCAGCGCGTGCTTGTTGTTTTCCGTGTTGTATGCGTTGTGCTAACGTCGCTCGCGTGCAGCAAATCGACTGACTTCGAGGTTCACCGCAACTGGCTGGCCATTACAAACTCGCTGCCCGTCAACGAATGGTACTACGAAAAGACGTCCCAATGGACCCTCGACTACCCGCCCTTCTTTGCCTACTTTGAGTGGCTCATGTCCCATATTGCCCGCCTCGTCGACCCAGCCATGGTACAGGTCTGGAACCTCGAGTACGACAGCTGGCAGACCGTCTACTTCCAGCGCGCCTCTGTCATTGTCACCGAGATCCTGCTCGTCTATGCGCTGCAGCTATACATTGATTCGGCCCCGCTGGGCGCGAAGAGAGCGTCCAAGGCCGCTGCTATTTCTATCCTCTTGTCGCCCGGCCTGCTCATCATCGACCATATTCACTTCCAGTACAACGGCTTCATGTACGGCATCATGATCCTGTCGCTGGTCCTGGCCCGCTCCAAGAATACCCTGCTGGTCAGCGGCTTCATCTTTGCGGCCCTGCTCTGCTTCAAGCACATCTATCTCTACCTGGCACCGGCCTACTTTGTCTTCTTGCTCAGAGCCTACTGCCTGTCGCCAAAGTCAATCTTCCAGATCCGCTTCGACAACTGCCTCAAGCTGGGCAGCGGTATTATCGCCATTTTTGCCACGGCGTTTGGGCCGTTTGCCGTCATGGGTCAGATTCCTCAGCTTATGAGTCGCCTGTTTCCCTTTTCTCGCGGCCTTTGCCACGCTTACTGGGCTCCCAATGTCTGGGCTCTCTACTCGTTGGCTGACCGTGTCCTTATCCACTGTAAGCTTCTTCTTTTTTGTTTTTTTGTTTCAGCAGTTACTAATTAGCATTAGTGGCGCCTAGACTTGGCCTCCCCGTCAAGGAGGATGCCTTGCAGAGTGTTACGCGTGGCCTCGTGGGCGACACTGCGTTTGCTGTGCTGCCCGAGATTACACCCCGCGTCTGCTTCCTGTTGACGCTGCTCTTCATGTGCTTGCCTCTGGTCAAGCTCTTCAACAAGCCAACTTGGGAGAACTTTATTGGCGCCGTGACACTGTGTGGCTATGCATCCTTCTTGTTCGGCTGGCACGTCCATGAGAAGGCCATCCTGCTCGTGATCCTGCCTTTTAGCCTTATTGCGCTGCGTGACAGACGCCATCTCAGCGCTTTCCGACCTCTGGCTGTGGCTGGACATGTCTCACTGTTCCCGCTGCTCTTTACACCAGCCGAATTCCCCATCAAGGCCATCTACACTGTCCTCTGGTTGATGGTGTTTTTGATGGCGTTTGACCGCTTGGCGCCGGCGTCGACGCACCCGCGCTTCTTCTTCCTGGACCGCTTCAGCACGCTTTATATTGCGCTGTGTATCCCGCTGGTGGCATACACTTCATTGGTGCATAATGTGATTTTCGGAGGGAGGCTAGAGTTTTTGCCGCTCATGTTTACGAGCGCGTATACGTCTGTGGGCGTGGTAGGCAGCTGGGTTGCGTACTTGGCGGTATATTTCACTAGCTAAAAGGGGATGTAATGGTTGGGGACTTAATATTATTTGTCTGATGTTTATGCTACTTTATTGTGTTTGTGCTTGTGCGTTGACTACAGTAGGGTTCCAGGATGCCACTATGTCGCTAATGGATGCGTGAATGAAGAGGCATAAAACACCGTCATGGGTGGTTGATATCCGTCATAAAACAGCGGTAGATGAAAGAGATCAATGGAATTTAACGTGTCCTTATTTTCATGATGGTCTAATTAGCCTTTACGGCCAGAAACGTTGTTTCTATGATCGTGGGTTTGGCCACAGGGTAGGCTGTAGGGTGATGTCAGGTGTTTCAGCCCCCAACTTTAAAAGCACGCGCTGCAGATATCAACATGACGGATAATAACACGGTCAATGGCACCCCGGAGGATGATTTCCAACAAAGCCATGGCCAATTTTACACTGCCGATGAATTTCCTACCTGATTGGCGTTGAAGAGGCGTCTTTGTATCCAGTCGATGGCCGCCCAGGCCACGCCCAGTGGACACTCCAGCAGCCGAGGGTACCCTCGGAGGAAGCGTCGGGGGAATGGCGGCACAAGACACGTCGGTAAAATGAGCAAATGGGCACCAAATAAATTGATTCTACATGGAAAAGAAGGGGGAATGGCGTGGGAATCCAACAAGCCCAAAAACGCACGTGTTTTGGCGCTGTGGTGGGCATCAAGGCGGTGTTTTGTGCAGAGGCAACAAGATGAGGTGAGAGCGAGGAGGCCCGCTCCAGGAGACAGCAGCACAGGAGAAGCTGGCGCGCGGAGACGCAGCGGCGGCATTTGGTTGGCTCGGGCAGCGCGGGCGTCTGGATTAGGCAAGCCTGGTTGTGTGGTTTCTATCGAAAGGACATGCGCGGCAGGGTACGGCGGGCGGGTCCCCCTGTTTGAGTTGGGAAAACGGAGGAGAGTGTATTGCAGTACGTGTTGTAGATGTTGTAGATGGTGATAAAAATATAACAAGCGAATTAAAATAGATATGAAAGATAAAAGCATTATGAAATATTTTTCATACAATTTATTTAGAACAACTAGACTCCATCGGTGGGGGCCAAACAACACACTTCTCTCGGAGCTTCCTTTTTTCTTCCAACGCCCGTCCGCCCCAAACAAGAGCCACACCCTCCTCGTTCGTCTTCCTCCCGCCTCGCCTCGTCGCCTCAGCCCGTTTCCCACCTTTCCCCTGCTCCCGTCAAGCTTTTTTTTTCTTCTCCTTCACGCAGCAACATCACTTTACGCAGCATCCTTTTTCCATCTCGCCACCACCACATCGCCCTCGTTTGAAAATATCCCGTCCTTGCTTTCGCTGCAAGTCAAGGCCCGTCCTCCATCCACCGCCCGCTTCTTTCTTCGCGACAACGCACGCACCGTTGAAACCAAAACCCCGGACCAGCTTTTTCTCGCTCGTGTATACAAAAACGGCCGCGTTCATCATCACGGCTGCCTTTCGTTGACGTCTTCAACGGCCGCCACTCTTTCATCTATTCTTTGTCTCGGTCTCGTTTACACGCTCGCTTGTCGCGCGTGTTTGCCGCAATTGATATCGCGCGGGTCCTCGGTCTGCCTCAGCGCGCAACATCTCGACGTCCTTCTCACACGCGCCAATCTTTCGGTTCTCATCCGTTGCGCATGGAGTAGACAGCAGTTTCGACTTTTCTGCAGCCATTGCGTTTACTTTGCGGCGCGCGCTGCCTTTTATACATCGTCTTCCCTGTGCCTAGTTAGTTGGCTGCCCAGCAGCTGCTAAGTTTTTCGCCATGGTAAGGAACGCGTGCGCGGCAAGAATATAACTATAGAAACTAACAGGAAATTGTAACACAGGTCCTTTTTAAGCGGAAGCCGGTCAAGTTTCCGCCGCCCGTCGAAATTGACGATGAGGACATGGAGGTATGACGTCGTTTGATCTAATGCCGCGCAGGACCAGCCATTACTGACACTTTCGAAAAAGGTCTGGCACATCCCACAGACGGGTGAAGTATTTACAACATACGAATCATATTTACACCGGTAAGTCTCTTCCTTGGAAAATTTCATCGTAGTCCGAAGCCCAATTTGCTAACGTTTGCCAAGAATGGACTTTTACCGACAGGTACGCACCGGCCGACAACCGACCACCAAGCAACATCTAACAGCGTGTATAGAAAAAGTTTAACGACCAGATCACGGGCCACTCCGGCCTTACATTTTTCGAAGCATATGAGAGCGAGGTATGTATGCTGCGCTAGGCTGAGAAAGCATCGCTAATCTGTGTACAGACCGCCGGCGCGGCCGAAGTCGAAGCGACCTTCCCCGAAGCCCTAAAGGGCCCTATTCTGCGCAAAGTCCAGTTTCAGATCGTTTCTCGATTAGATAACCTCGTCGATGTCATCTACGATGAGTTCAAAGCTGATTATTTCCCTGGCGAAGAAGTTAGCGTGACACTCGATAGCGGTGAACGGGCCCACGGCTTGGTCCGCGACAAGACGGCATTCGGCCCTCGAGTCCTTCCAGACGGCACGCGAACACTCCCCTCGACGCGATATCTTGTGAATCTCAAGGACTCGGAAGACGAGGCCATGGTCACAGACGGACAAATCTCACGGGATCGAGGTGTCTTCACCAAAGCCATGCTGCGCTCCTTTATCAAGAGGACTGTCATGCGCGAGGCTTGGACAGGTGCTCCTTGGCTAGTCAAGCACGACTATGCCGTACAATATTATATCGATACCAGAATACCGCCACACCTGCGCTACGATACCAAGCTGCAGGAGCGCAAGCAAGCTCAGGCGCAGAAGCGTGACGTGAACGGAGAGGGTCGCCTGCCCGAGCTGAAGCCCGGCAAGGGACAAAAGTCTAAAGGCGCAAAACTGAATGGTGTCAACGGCGACCACTCGGTTAAGCGTGAATCAACGCCTCCCCCAGCCATCAAATATCCAATTGAGGACCTGCAGCTGCAGCCCAATGCCGAAAAGGTCCGACCTGCGCTCCGCTTCATGTGCCGCAACGCTCCAGGCGATGCCGAGCCAGATGAGGAACTTAGTGGCAAGATTGATATGGAATCAGTTGGACCCTTGCTCGAGACTTGGGATACCCTCAACGTTTACTGCGAAATCTTCAAGCTGGATTCGTTTACTTTTGACGACTTTGTTCAGGCCATGTCCGTAGCGTCTGAGGAGCTTGTTGTACAGCTCTTTGAAGAGATTCACTGCTCTGTCTTGAAGCTCTTGGTGGATGCTGAAGCGGATGGTGGCAAGGTTCGCATCACGCTCCCTGATATTGAAGATGAGAACAGTGATGAAGAGGACGAAGACGAAGAGGGCGAGGAAGAGGAGCAAGAAGAAGAGGAAGAAGAAGAAGAACCCGAACCCGAAATTAGAACCAGAGGCAGAGCTACACGTAGCAGCCTGGCGAAGCGTGAAGCTGAGAAGCTAGCCGCTGAGGCCGCGGCTGCCGAAGAAGAGAGTGTTCTTATGGAAACCGAATCTAAGCGCCGCGCGGAAGAGGCCATGAAGGAATTCGACTGGATAGATCATCTTCGCAAGAGAAACTTTCCCGATGGTGGGTGGGAGAGGATCGTGGCCGGTCTTTTGCATCAATTGTCCAAAGACGAGCGCCACCAAGCCCTCTGTGAAGAGCTTTTGGCTACCTTGGTCCCAGAAGATACAGACCCGACACCAGAGGCTGTGGCTATCAACTATGCCAACCTGGACATCAATACTCGTGTCAAGATCCTTCAGCTGCTGTGCATGCTTACTATGGAAACAAAGTCGATCCGCGGCTACATGGACACTTGCAACGAGACCATGACCAAGTATAGAAAAGAGCGTGTAGAATGGCAGCGTCAAAAGAAGCAAGCGCTTGAGGATCTTCGTCAGCTTAACGAGCAGCGCAAAATCCTGCTGCCCGACAACTTGCCTCCCGAGGAAGAGGAAGAAGAAATCAAAAAGGAAGAAGAACAGTCGATGGTTGATGTCGACGATGCAGCCACCGAAAAAGACGAAGAAGACGAAGACGAGGACGAAGACAGCGTTAATGATGGCACACGAAAGAAGCGTAGAGGCCGCAACGTTGTGGACCAGCGACGTAAGCGTGAGGAAGAGGCAGCGGCAAAGAAGGCCAAAGAAAAGGCTGATAAGGAAGCAGCCAAGGCCTCTCATCAGTCCAAGCAGTTCACTAAACTTCTGAAAGAAATCAGCAAGAAGGAGGAGACAATCAAGGAATGCGAAGACGAAATCGCCATTCTGGAGAATGACCTTCGCGAAGCCGACTGCCCACGTACGCGTGTACTAGGCAAGGACCGCTTCTGGAACCGTTACTACTGGTTTGAGCGCAACGGCATGCCGTATGCTGGTCTGCCCGACAGCTCAACAGCCGAAGCCGGGTACGCCAACGGGCGCATCTGGATCCAGGGCCCTGACGAGCTCGAGCGCGAAGGCTACATTGACGTAGACGAAGCGCTGCAAAAAGAGTATCGTGACAAGTTTAGCATGACTGTGGCGGAGCGCAAGGCTACGGAAGAAGGCGCCACGCATCTCTACACCGCGCGCCAATGGGGCTACATTGGCGACGTGGAGAGCCTCGACGAGCTGATCAAGTGGCTCGATCCGCGCGGGTTTAACGAGCTGCGGCTGCGTAAGGAGCTGACTGCGTTCCGGGACAAGATTGCCGAGCACATGGACAAGCGCAAGGAGTATCTGACTGAGGAGGCCGAAGAGGACGAGGAGGACAAGAATGAGGGCAAGCGCACTAGCTCGCGGATCCGCGATAAGACGCCGGATCTCCCGAGCTATAGGTGTCTTGACTGGGAGAATTCCATGGTGCTGGAGGAACTGGGCCATTTGCATGGTGAGCCACCACCTCCGCCGCGCCTGAGGAAGGGAAAGAAGAGAGAGGCTGTAGTGGAGGTTGCGTCGCCGAGGAGAAAGTCGAGACGGATGTAGACGGCTTTCTTTCTCTTTTTTTGTATGTACTTGTTGGTTTCTCTGTATGTTTCTCTTTTCGAAGGGGTTCTCGGTTTCTTTTTGCATTGCCAGGTCATAAAAATGGATAGAATGGGGGAGCAGGCAGGGCTTTTTTTGGTAGCTTTCTTGTTTATAGGCATAATTTACTCCGTTTGCTTTTTTACATGGCCGATATCATGGTGATGGTAATTCATTAGTCGATGTAGCTGCAGTGTAAGAGTCCTGTTGTCACCAATCAAAGTCGGTTGTATACCTTGGCGGACAGATGAAGAGAGACGAGCGCACGCCTTTGTACTGTAAAAACGTATTTTGCAGTTTAAATCGTCTTAGATAAGCGCACGTACTTTAGCAAGGATACGGTTTGATAGCGTATTTTGACCGTACTTGAAGCGTCCCTAAATCTAGACCCTTTCCGCTAAGCGATGCAAACGGGGGTGCGTCCCCCATACGCTGGCCTAACCACACGCTTGGACATTTTAGCTCATCAAACATTTAAGCATGCAGGGAACTTTTGCACAAGCAAGTGACAACTGCAGTCCGGTGTGGCACAGCGCCATGCATCATGGTGTGCGACGCGCCCAGCACGCAGCCCTGTTTAATAAAGGTCGCAGGATTCCCTATTTTCTTTTGTGGCTAGTGTTTCTGCAAACTGTAGATTTCTGTGAAAATGTCGACAACTACAGGATCATCTACATCGAGGGACCGAATCGCCGACGGTGACACAGCAACCTCTATATACACCCTTTGTGGCACCGCAGACTTGTAGTGACAAGTTTGTACCAATTATTACCAGGACACTTAACTTGACACAAACAAGCACTATATTCTACTGCGATCCCGAATTGAACTTGAATTGCCAGCCGACCGAGTATTCGTCTTCCCATCTTCCGCAGCTTGGGGGCTGTGACTGGTGTGTTTGCCCTAGCGGCTGGACAGCCTACGACCTCGGATCCTATGCGCCGTTCACTGCGTCTTGCTGTACAAGGTAAGGATATGCCCTATAAAGAAAAACAATGTAGCACTTGCAACTAACTCGCTGGTGTGTAGCGGATTCCGCTACTCGACCTCTCGCTCTCTCAAATTACAGGAAAGGCATGCGTCAAAGCAGACGGGATACAGAATACAAGCCATGTGACTATCACAGCGCTTCCCCCGTGGAAAATTTCTTGGGGGAGGAACAGAACACTATTCGGGTCTCTTTCGCCGTCACCTACATCGATGCTGTATGACTGCGACCAGGTACAGATACGAACGTGGACGCCTGGAGAACCAGTCAAGGAGACGGACCGTGTTGCTTGCACGGTAAGCGCTTATCCGGACCGCCGTCAGAAAAACACCAATACGATGCTGTAATTATCGTAACAGTAGTGACGATTGTTGTTGGTCTCATCGCCATTGGCGGGTGCTGCTATTGTTGTTGGAGGAGGTCGGAGCCCAGTGTGAAGCGGAGGAAAGCGGCGATGGGGCCGACCATGAGCGTGCCTCCAGAGGCATTTCAGGTAAGGTGGTGCCCATCTACTTCTATGTTGCATTCAACTAATGGAGGCGGTTGGAAGAGGACAATTCCAAATCAGAAGAGTAGGGCAGCTATGCTAAGGCAGACAGAGAGCGTGCCTCTAGAGACACTGAAGGTATAATAGTACCATATACTACCGCACCACATTAAACTAACTGGAGCTTTAGACATAGGTCAAGTCTCTGCGGAAACCAGGCGGTGCATCCGGTAGCACCGTTCCGTTGAAAAAGGCAACGCCGTGGAACGTGGACAATCCATAGTCCTTAGTGCTGGTAAAGGGGAAGCCAACCTGAGATACCTTGCAATTCTGAGTAACCATGTACATGTTCATGCCGATGGCAAAGTTTTGGAGCAGCGTGTTGTAAAACTCTTGCATAATTTTGTCGAGGTATAAGCGTCCCAGTGAGTTTTCAAGAATAACTGTGGGAAAGCAGTCCGGAGAGAAGTTGTCTAGGCCAAACCAGTACAACCATGGATTCGAGCCATAATACCAGTCGCGCTGATGTATTTGCCGATTTGCAGCAGATATATCAGCCTTCGACTCATATCTATCGCCCAACGATTGAGAAGGTATATCGCACGTACCGTATGTGAGCCACGCTAGTACTACAGCCTGGTTTGAGACGAGGCTGAGAGGGAGGTCTCTAGCAAGCGCCTAGACTCTTCTCTAAGATCATATACCACGACACCCCCGCCCCTCTATTTGCTACCAACTCTATCTCCATTAAAAAAACAATGGTGCTTGAGATAAACATAGTTATCTGATCTTCACCCAAATGCGACAGCTGAAGAAGCGCCATGGCCGCCCCTCTGTTTCCCTCCTTCACTCGGCTCCCAAGAGAGCTTCGAGACCAGATATGGTACTATGCTTTACCCGACGACGATAGCCCTGCTCTATTTTCCTACGTCAAGGGATTTGTAAGACCATTCATCTACGACTGCCCGCTCGGCCACAAATGGTATGGCCACAAGGTGGGCATGCGGTTCTACCACGAAGAATTAGACCCTGTTCCAGTGGACGCGCCTCTGTTGCATGTAAATGCCGAGTCAGCGAGCGCTGCCATTGCTTGGGCCGAAGAAAAGGGTTACATAGTCTCGCATGACATGGAAAAAGACTGTCCGGCCATATCGCGGCGTATGGATCGCCATCACGACATCCTATACTTTCCACCTGGGGAAGGGGAGGAACTTGCTCAAGATATTTGGGATTTGAACGGCATTCATCATAAGTATTTCGGTGACTGGTGGATGCCAACCCAATACGCTATTAGTGAGATGGAGATGTTGTCTGCAGAGAAAGCTATAGCCTCTATATTCAGCTGCGACGATACCACTTGTTGTCTAAAGGCTGCTGTGGCATATGTTCTGACCGCAGAGAGAGCAACCATTTTGCCCAAAGCAGAGTTTACGGGAAGGATCAAAGCACAGCGCTGGAGTATCCAGCCTGGCAATGAGAGAGCGCTCGAGTTTGATTTCACTTCACGCACCTTTCATGGGGACCAGGCGATAAACTTGACAGCGATGCTCTCTTGCGAGTAATGGAAGACATGTATCTCCCGCTCGAAATGGATAAACGAAAGTTCTTTTACATGAAAGTCGTGCATGCGCGGCGAGAGCTGTAAAGGGATATACAATTAAACGTGAAAATGCTATTTGTCATTCAAATAGAGACAAATCATTAATACCGCTTCAGTGTTATTTGTAGGCCGTATAGTTATGCATAGAGAGAAGAATGAGTAGCAGTACTTGGACAAGAGTAAAGTGCATACAGAATAATATACAAACAATTAAACTCCAACTTCTTTGAGACCTTATTGCATTGTTACTTCCGTACACAAAAACCATTTGTATTTGTCATGCTTCGAGTTGAGCAACTAGATCGACCCGTACCTTGATGATCACCTTAACCCGCCCACGTGCAAGTCTGCGCTATTCTGCACTGTATTCTCAGCGCCTTGCTGCTGCCGAGGCCACGCGTTTTGGGGCCGAAATACAGTGCCGATCCATCTCTGCACCGTATTTAAAACCCCGTGCCGGCCCCGTTCCCCGCTGTAGCTCCTTCGCATAGCGCCGCCACCGGTCCTTGTTTAGCCCGCCCCCGGTAGTATCTACAGCCAAATGCGGACTTTACGCCTGCCGAGGCGGCGTTTACAATTGGCGCCCTAAACATTGCATCCTCCTCTTTTCTTCCTTCGTCATCATCTTTTTCCTGTACAAGTAACTTGTATCTTTTGTTTTATATTCCTCACAAAGACAAAAACCAAGTTAATTTTTCACAATGGCTGCTGTTGCTACTTCTGAAGACCAAGGCAAGGTCACCCTCTACTGGTCCGTACAATAACACCCATGACGTCGTCGCTTCTGTTGCGCGCAAAAAACAATTCAAATCATAAACTAACATATCCTCTCTAGGCTTTCCCAGTCGCGCTCTCAGCGCATTGTCTGGCTCCTTGAGGAGCTCGGCGTCCCCTACGACCTCGAAATCTTCCACCGCACCAAGGCCCGCCTTGCTCCCCCCGAGCTCGAAAAGATTCACCCCCTCGGCAAGTCGCCCGTCATCAGCGTGCTGCCTCCCGGCCCTGATGCTAAGCCTATTGTCATTGCCGAGTCTGGCGCCATGACCGAGTACCTCGTTGACCACTACGGCAAGGGCAAGAACCTCGAGCCCAAGCGCTGGAGAGACGGCATGGAGGGCAAGGTTGGCGGCGAGACCGAGGCCTGGATGCGCTACCGCTACTACATGCACTACGCCGAGGGCAGCTTGATGCCCAACTTGGTCATGGGCCTCGTCATTGGCACCCTCAAGTCTACCACGGTCCCCTTCTTCATCCGCCCCATCACTACAGTCGTCGCCAACAAGATCATTGCCCAGTTCCTGCTGCCCACTGCTAAGAAGCACCTTGCTTTCCTCAACGAGCAGCTCGCAACCTCGGGTGGCCGCTATTTGTGCTCTGATGAGCTGACTGCTGCCGATATCCTCATGAGCTTCCCTCTGATTGCCGCTTCTGGCCGCTGGAACGACATGGGCGACTTTGAAGGCGGCTCTTGGGACAAGGCCTACCCCAAGGTGAAGGAGTACGTCGACCTTTTGCAGCAGAACGAGGGCTACAAGAGAAGCATTGCCAAGATTGAGGAAGTCGATGGCAAGTTCAGCCCTTCTCTTTAAATGTGATACCCGTTACTGTATGATTTTGGTTAATGAATTCGCCAAGTGCATCTTCATCTTGCAATTTTGCTCAATATTCCTAGTATATAACCTTACTAATTTTCAATTGGTTGAATTGACTGTATATGAATTCAAATGAATTTACCAAGAAAAATAAAAATATTATTCTCAGTATCCGTTGTCCCTTCCCTTCACGTTTTCCTACTAGCTGATCCCGCCGCCATTGGCCGAAGCTCCGTCCGCCCCACAGTCTCCTAAAACTTGGACATCACCACTTGACGCCTCGCGAAGCACACGACAAGCTCTGCAGCTTCGCCAATCTCGATACCTCCTGATTGATGAGTGAATAATCTACAAAAAATAGCATCAGTACCGATCATCAACAACCAACACTACCGCCAGCTCATGCGATAAACCACCACTTCTGCGCCAGGCGCAATGTACACTTCCAAGGCGGCATGCGTGCGATGCGCATCCCGCATTCCTATAGCCGTTGGCAGAACAAGTATCGCGACATATTCGACAGCCAAGGACGCAGGATCAACACCTGCCAAGCCGAAACGTCATCGGTCGATAAACAAGGGCGACTACGTCAGCAAGAGGTACGACACGTACGGCGGGAAGGGAAAGTCTAGCGATCCCTTTGTCCAGATCTTTCGTGACGTCGTGTCACTACGAAAGCACATCAAACTCGATAACACAACCTCCAAAAACCCGTCAAAAGCCGAACCGAAAGACGACAAAGGCAAACCTGACAACACACTACCACAATGGAAGAAGGAAGCCATGGGAAAGGTCCTCGAAGACCCGTCCAGCTTCCGCATCGACGACGGTAGATTTGCCTATCGCTATAAACAACCACACCCCGAGATTATGGATGAGCAAGCGCGCATGTTTGAGGCAAACATGCACGATTGGTCGCTAGAGGATGCTCTTACGAGACTAAAGGCGTCCGAACTAAAGTTCCCAGACAAGGTCAACTTGCTAGAGAGGCTGTGGCCTCGAGTCCGCGACCTTCCCAGACATCCGCGGCCGCAAATATTTAACGAGGTGGAAGCGCTCCTCATGCAGCTGTTTCATATGCAAGGCGCGTACTTTCGACAGCACTGCACCATCAGGTTATCCAAGATGATGGAGCTCGTCGAATATGGCCACCCGAGGATTAAGCTACGCGCATCGGCGGTTCTCAATCTTGGAAAGCTCTTGCTCCGCGGCAAGGCAAGTTCTCTGGAACAGTTTGAGCGTATGATTGAGCTGGTCGACCTCTGGAAACACATATCACAACTAGGCAAGCCGGAACAGGACGAGCTCTCGTGGGCGTTGCCGAGCGTGTTTGACGCTACAGATGCCATGCTCTACGGAAACCGGGGTCGTGATTGCAAACGAGATGGACTAGTGGCGGCATCTACGGCCATGGTTTGCATGTTTCCTCACCTGCCCATCTCGCATGCGCGGCATCTGCAGTCATCACTTATCCTGACAATCACCATGCTTATGGATCCGGAGCTGACGCACTCGAGTGTTAAAAAGGAGGCTAGCCCTTTGCTTCACCTCGCTGCCAGCGTCTTCTCGGAAACGAGACCGCCCAACAAAGACTTAGTGGAGAAACTATGGGATGATGAAGAGGCTGCTTTCGATGGCGTCGTACACGACTTTTCGCGCCCGTACGTCATCGAGAACTGGGATAAGACTTGGAAGGCGTTACAGAACGAGCTTGATAGTATCGCACGAGCAGCTGAGCAGGCTGCCAAGACAAAAAAGGCGACTGTGCATACACCACTCTCAACGCTGCATCGCCAGCTTCGCCAGGCGCACCGAGCTCGCAACGTAGGCGCCGCTCTGCAAGTCTTTGATTCGCTACAGCAGCAGGCTAGCAAGGATGTATCGATGCGCAACCAGCTCCAGGACGAGCCAGACCTTCTCAACTATGTGGTCTTTGTATGGGGAGCCCTCCGCCGCCCGTCTGAGATGCAGCAGACGCTGGCACTCATGCAGAAGCTGCGTATTAGGCCCACCATCAAGACGTACACGGCCATGATGCACGGCTGGAAAATGTCCAAGGACTACCGCCGCAGCGAAGCACTCTGGAACCAGATCCGCGCGTCCGGTATGCCACTTGACCTGCACATCTGGACGGCGCGCGTGTCTACGCTACTCGAGATGGGCAGGCCGGAGCAAGGCATGCAGGAGCTCGTGGGCATGGTGAACCTGTGGAAGACGCAGGCTCCCAACGCCGTAGAGCCTGATATCGAGGTCGTCAACGCCGTCTTCAAGACGCTCATTGTGCTTGACCGCAAAGCCGCGCAGGATCTCCTAGCATGGGCCAGCCGCGAGGGCATGCAGCCTAGCATCGTCACGTACAATATCCTGCTGACCGAGTCCTTCCGTTCCCACCCAGAAGCCGTGCCGTCCATCCTCAAGAACATGCACGCAGCGGCCGTCGAGCCCGACTCGGCCACCTTTACCATTATCCTCGAGGCCGTGCTGGGCGCCCTCACCGAGTCTACGGGCGAAGAGCAAGTGCAGGCCGTCGACCAGATCTTTGCCGACATTGAAAGCGCCGGCCTGCGCCCTAACCAGGAGACGCTGGCCAAGATCCTCTACTCCATCTGTACACTGCCCAACGGGTCCGAGGCCGCCATCCAGCGCGTCCTCGCTAAAGTATCGGCAAGTGGTTACGTCATCACGCCGCACATGATTACGATTCTGATTGAGCGCGCCATGTCCCGCGACCCGCCTGATATCGTTGCTGTCGAGGACATTCTGCGCCGCTACGAGATCCGTACAGTGTCGGATGGTGACCAGGTCCTCTGGGAGCGTGTGATGAGCGCCTACGCCGTGTCGCGCGACTGGGCTGCCGCGCTACGTATCTTCAATGAGCTTGATGCCGCAGGACGCACTGCTACTAGTCTCTCGTGCCTGACAGACTTGTTGACAGCCTTGGTAGACGGCGAGGAGCGCCGCCTCGACGAGGCCAAGGAGATGGTGAGCGCTGTGCTGCGCAGTAAAGGCGACTTTGACCAGCGCGGAAGATACTGGAAGCACCATTTCTGGTTCCGTGCAAAGGCGCTCGGCTTGGTGGATCGGGAGCTTGCCCCGGGCGAGTTGGTGGAGGAGGATGACTTTAGCAGAAGAGATTGGGCAGACGTTGGTGGTGCCAAGGGCGTGTAAGAATATATGTTGTGAACAATTAGTGTATATTATAAATAATACAAAAGCGATCTTCATTCATCACATCGTTCGACCTAAAAACGTGCTGAAAGCACTAAACAAATCGGTATGTACTGGGTCCCAAAAACGCCCTCCCATAGATGGTCATTCATATTCCATAACGCCAGATCCAAGAAAAAAAGAACAAAGTACACTTTCACAACTCTTCCATACCGTCATCTTCATCGCCAGCATCGTCCTCTTGCGTCTCGCCTGCTCCCAGCATGTTTACTACATTCTCCAAGTCCCCTACTTGGCCCTTTTCTAGACCAGCACCAGCACCCTGCCATTCTCCATCGCGCAGCTCGCCCTCGGTGCCGAGCTCCAGGCCAGCCTCACGTTCCAGGTATCGCCGCGACGACGACTCAATGTACTCTGCACGCTCTGCTCGCCACGACTTGTCCGTCTCGCTGTCTTCTCTGCGATCAACGTCCAGATGCGGTAGGATGCGGCGCAGCGCACTCGACACCTCGCGCAGGGATTGCAGCTGTGAAATTGTAAACTCGGCAGTCGTTGCTATCGGTGCCTCTGATCCGCCCTGCGCCAAACGGCCCCGATCCTTCAGGAATCCAAGGACGTTCTGCTGTGGCGCGGCCTCATCGTCTTCCTTCTTTACCGGCGCCGGGGCAGCACCCAGCGCAGCGCGCAGTTTGACTAACAGGGCCTCGTTGCGCAGTCGTTCAGCCTCGAGAGCGGCGTGCACACGCTGGCTGGCTTGCAAGCGACGTCTAAGGGCGTTTATTGAGGCGAGGGTCGGCCGGTCCGGCGCTGTAGACGCCGCAAAGTCGAGGGCTTCGTAATGTGAGAGGCGCATAAAGGGCTGGTCTTCGGGGCTGGCGGTGATGATGTTCTTCATGACATAGAGCTCGAAAATATCAAAGCTCTTGTCAATGGACGTGTTGAGCAGGGTCTCGAGCTTGTGCGTGCCTGAGTCGATCTCGGACTGCACGGGGTCGGGGCATTCTTCCGTGACATCCTTCTTCTTGGGTACAAAGCCTGGGATATTCTTGGACTTGCTTTTGCAGAGAAATGTCTCGACCGAGTCGATTGCGCGCGATGAAAGCAGGTTGACGGTGTTGATGATGTCGTCGAGCAGAGCCTGACGCGTCTTGTGGTTAGCGGCGCGTGTTGGGACAGTGAACGGGAAGACGTACCACAGGAGGATAGGAGAAGTGTTCAGTTAGCAGCTCGTACTCTGCACTATTCGGAGTCGCCATTGTTAAAACGGGTGGGTGACGCGTTTGCGTACGACGACGAGCAGCGGTAGCAATAAAAAAAGAAAGCGACGATGGTGCTGCGCTGCACGTTGAACGGTGGTACCCGGCTTGTCAGGCTGCGCTGTGGCGTTAGCGCGTGGTGGTGCTATTACAGGGGATGAAGTTGTGGCGTTAGTACGCTGGAGGTGGGGAGAGGCCCAGTCCGAGTCGGCAGTCCGACCAAGTTGGCGCCATTGACATAACCAAACTACACTAGCGCGGGGGTGGATGCGGGAAACCGGCATCTTGGGAGAGCCCGATAGCCCTCGTGTAGCCGCATTGGGGTTGCAGCTCGGCTTTGCCTCAACATGGTTCGCCAAGAAGGGGAACTTTTGTTTTGGCGATGGCTGACAAGATGTGCATGCTTCGCAATGAACCATGCTCGGAATCAGAGGCGGGGTGAAATTGGGGGCAGCGGGCAGATAGAAGCCAAGTAAGGCTGTGGGCGCTATCATGGCTATTTAATACGCGCGGCCTCCCCTCCTCTAACCTCCAGCATCAGCAGCGAAAAAGGACATTTCTTCAGTACAACGCTACCTCAATTCATCTGATCCTTATCATGTCTCAAGACGCTACACCTTCTCCGCAGGTTGTGCCTACTCAGGCCGACTCCAAGAACCCCTTCGATGATGATGACTTCAAGGCATTGGTCGAAAAGGCCATGAAGGACTGGAACATTCCCGGTTTAGCCATCTCTGTTGTTGATGGCGATAATGTCTACGCACAGGTACCGTCACCCACTCTTACTACCACTTCCACCATGTACTAACTCCCTCCTCAGGGCTACGGTTATGCTTCCCTCCCAGATAAGAAGCCCTTCACTCCAGAGACCCTCGCTGGTTGGGGTTCAACAACCAAAGCTCAAGTCATGGCTGTCCTTTCTCAGATGATTGACTCGGGCAAGTACCCCCAGCTCGCCAAGGGCTGGAGAACCCCCATCTCGTCCATCATCCGCGAGGATTTTGTCCTGCAAGACGACTGGGTCACGCTCAATGCCACACTGGAAGACGCTGCTTGTCACCGTACTGGTATGGCCTCTCACGACTACGCAAGCTTTCCCCTTGAAATTGACGGTAAGCCTGCCACGGTGCGCGGCTATGTCCGCAACCTGCGCAATCTCCCCATGACCGACCTCCTCCCTCGCACACAAGGCCACTACTGCAACCCCATGTACTTTACGCTGGGATATGTCATTGAGGTGCTCACCGAAAAGCCTCTTGGCCAAGTTCTCAAAGAGATGCTCTGGGCACCGCTTGGAATGGACAACACATACTCATCCAACAAAGATGCCAACGAATCCGCACACGAACATGCCAAGAGTTATATGTGGAACTTGGAAAAGGGCGAATTTGAGGAGAAGCCGCTCGTCGAGATCGGCCATGCAGGCGGCGCTGGGTTTGTCATCTCCAACGTACTCGACTACGCCAAGTGGGTGAAATGCCTGCTTAATGAGGCCGAGCCACTCTCCAAAGCTGTCCATAGTGATATTAAGCGAAGCCGAATCATTTATAACCCGACCCGTAGCTCGCTTGCTGGACCTGTCCACTACGGCCTTGGGTGGCTCGACACAGATATCCACGGCGGTGTGACGCAGTACACGCACAGTGGCTCAACTCAAACCTTCAGCTCCAACATGTTCTGGATGCCCAGTATGAAATATGGCCTTAGCATGGTCCACAACGGTTTTATGGATGGTGGAAGCATTCACGGTATCCTCATGCGGCGCCTGGTCGAGGACAAGTTGAACATCCCGCTGGAGAAGCGCCTTGATCACTACGCACGGCACCTTGAGAACCGGGCAGAAGCTTATTCACAGCCCCAACAGATTGAGGAGACTTTGTTTGGTAAAGATTCGAAAGATATTGTTCCCTCGCGATGCCCTATCGAAAGTCTCGCAGGTAAATATCATAATGCTGGCTATGGACCTATCGAGTTGGTGGTCAAGGACCATCCCAAGGACGCTAGCAAGAAGATCCTCTGGGCTGACCGCGCCAACTCCATCTTCCCGGGTCAGTTCATACTGCACCACAAGTCTAGTGATTTCTGGGTAATGAACTGGACACCTCTCGGTAGCTATCCTCCAGACGGAGTAGAGGTGTGGAAGGCGCAGTTCCGTTTTGGACTCGACGGCAGCGCTACGGAATTTGGCGTCCAGATGAACAATAGAGGCGAATCAGAAGGCGAGGTCGTCTTCAAGAAAACCAAGTAATATTTATTTAAGAAATTGTATCTAAATTAGCATCATAAACAGCTTTTGCAATTTTATCCCAATTTATTCCGCTTTTATGCTTGTGTGTAATGCTTCATGTAAGTCGAGCTTAGGCTGATTTTTTGTCCCCGCCCTACGTCAGAGTGCGACTCCCCCACCATCCCAGAAACGGCGCAACCCAAAAAAGGTGAGCACGCGCGGCACTTCCGATTCCGCCTCCAAATCCCAAACCCTCCTTCACACAACCTGAACAAAGGGAATCAGACCGTTACTGAGCAGCGGCCATGTCGGGATTCAAAGGCGTTCTTAAGAACGGATGGCATCCTGAGAAAGAAGGCACAACTTTCAAGGGCCAAGTGGTATGTCTTGCGCGGCTGCTCTCGGCCCCCAACTCACGGGCTAACCGAAGTCTCCAATACAGAACAGCGTCCTGGGCCGCAACAAAGACGACAAGCGCAAAACCGACCATGTTGCACGCCCTCTCAACTCTCTACAGGATCCAGACTCGTTTGCACCACCTCCTCGCCGCACAGGAACGGGCCTCGAGCCAGCTCCTCCGCCATCAGGCGAGAAGCGGAAAGTAATCGGTGCACCTTCGAGATATCAGGACCCGCGATCGCCAGATAAAATCTCCCCAGTCAAGATTTCACACGAGTCTCAGCTGCATGAAGAGGAGCAGCAAGTAGTAGCGCACGATGACAAGCCCAAGGCGTATAGCATGAACACCACAGGCTTGCGAACCGACCATCTACCTCCCCCGCCAGGGCGACGAGACGGTGCCGACGGACGAAGCCCCGACGCAGCACCGGCAACAATGCCCATTGGAAGAGCTGTAAAGACACAGGCAAAGCCAGCACCCGGACTCCCGCCGCGATTACCTGCGCGAGGCCCAGCTCCTGCTCCGCCACCACGAGACGATCCCTCGCAGCTCAACCAAGGCGCCGTGGATAGACTAGGTTCCGCGGGAGTCTCGGTCCCCGGGTTCGGAATCGGCGGAAATAAGAGCCAGATGAACGAGCTGCAGAATAATTTTTCCAAGTTGAACACCAAGACAGACACAGGCGCCGCAGTGCCAGCGCAAGGGACGACATGGGCAGAGAAGCGCGCGGCGCTGGATACGGCGTCCAAGTTTCAGAAAGATCCGTCATCGATATCGCTTTCGGATGCAAAGGCTGCGGCTAACACGGCAAACAACTTCCGCCAGCGGCATGGTGAGCAGGTCGCAGCGGGTCTCAAGACTGCGAACTCAGTGAACCAAAAGTACGGCGTGGCTGACAAGGTCGGCGGGTTTGCAAGCAAAGTGCAAGGCAACCAAGATGGACAAGCTCAACAACAGCAGCAGCAAAGTCAAGGAGCGGCCCTTTTGAACATGGCAGCTGGGCTGAGCAAGAAGAAGCCACCACCACCGCCGCCTGCAAAGAAGGCCAGTCTTGCAGGAAATAAGACCAGTGCTGGGGGCGACGACGACACGCCGCCACCAGTGCCCATGTCTACAAGACCCAACTTTTAGAATTAAATGTCATTACTTTTAGCGAGCTGGTTAGCATATTCAAGGATTTGTGAACGGGAGCGTGAGAGATGTGGTGAGACGTAGAAGGACTTTTGTATTAAATGACTCTACAATTCCCAGCGCAGTCGTGGTCGAATCAAAATCGTTACGTGAAATCCTGGAAACTTGGTGGCCAAATAATATGGCGGACCCGTAGCAGGGACATTTTAAACCTTCTGGAGCTTGACACCAGCATCCCAAACCATGACGTAGGGAGTGACACCGTCCTCACGGTAGTTAAGGAGGACAACCATGGCCTCGGGGTCCATGGACTCGCCAGTGTAAAAGTCAAGATCCTTGAAGTTAGGACCGAGCTTAGCAACGAAGTACTTCTGGGCCTTGCTCTGCCACGCCTTGATCTCATCCTCGGACTTGCCAGCCTCGGTCAGCTTGCCCTTGATGGCCTTGAAGTAGTCTGCAGAGGTAATACGTTAGTGGAATAGGCTCAAGAGAGGTAAGTGGTTGAGAAATTACAAACCCTTAAGGTGAACCTGGTAGGACTTCTTGTCGAAAGAAGTGTTCTGGAGACGGAAAGAGTGGACAATGTTGTTGACCTTGACCTCAGTGTCGTCGAGGTCCTCAGCAGCCTCCTCAGCGGAAGCGTTGGCACCAGTGTCTGTAATAAACGTTAGTTATTGTGTCGAGAGCATCACATCGAGGCGCGTGTATAAGAAATTGTCTTTTCTTCGCCGCGACGCCGGGGTGAGCAAGCTACGTACTGACTTCGACCTTGCCCTCAGTGATCATGGCACAGTCGGCCTCCCACATGACCTCGTCGACGAGAACGGGCTCGAAAGAGTCGGAGAGGAGCTCATCTCCGGAAAGGATATCCTAGAGATATTTTGTTAGTTTCTGCAAGCGATTGCGGACGCTGCGTGGATGAATCTGCATATTCGCTCTTTCATTAGCCCCCTCCCCCGCCAACCCCTCCTTGCACTAACAGCAAGGAATGAGAAAAAACCTTGCGCAGCAGTGTTTTGGCAGGAATTGGAGCAAGGGGGCCGCGTAAAAGCAAAGCAAATCCGCAGCTAGAACAGGTAAGTACGTACAGTGAAAATCTTCATTTTGGCGGTATTTGGATATACGACGACGGGTGAGTAAACAAAAGGACAGCAGTTGCTAGGAGGAGGGGGAAGAGAGAAAAAAAACCAGCAAGCATGAAAAAAGTGGAGGGGTTCGGATTATCCACGGCGGGGCCTGCCTCTCCAGGCAAACTGAAAAAAAAAAAGCAACATAGGCGCTGCCCCCATACTGGAGCTGGGCAAGCACAGCTGCTGTTACCCGCTGTGGTTCAGCGTATGTCCCTCTGGCGCGCGACGCACTGTAGGGCGGGACTAAGCCTGCAGCGGGTATCCCCAGCCAGCCAATCACAGCGTGGCCTTTGCGCAGCCCCGAAGACAGCGCCGCCAAAGTCGCCGTCCAAGTGACCGGGGCCGTCGATAAGACACTTTCTTATCCAGATGACTCGTCCTGGCTGCTGCACAATCTGATCTCGTGAGACGCCTGCTTCCCCGCCCTTTCACCATACACGATACATCTGCCGAGAAGCATTTCTTGGACTTTTCTGGCGTCTCATTACTCTTTTCCATCTTCTTCATTCTACATACTAGACTCCGTCTTGCTGTCACCTGCATCCGGCCTGCTCCGACACACACTCGCTGACAACCCCAGCCCCGATCTCGCAGTCGTCATGATGCCTCTCCCTGGGCCTTCCACCATGGCTGCCGACGCTTTGCAGGGCTTGCCGGTCCTAGAGGCCATCTCAGGCATTTTTGGAAGTATCAGCATGGTTGCCTGGATCTTCGTTATTGTATGTTGTCGCGTGCTGCCGCCCCGATGGCCCGACACCGCTAACCCGTTGCGTAGCTACCACAACTCGTCACCAACTACAAGGCCAAGAGTGCCGACGGCCTCAGCATGTCGTTTCTCGTCATCTGGATGCTTGGTGATGTCACAAACTTGATTGGTATGTTGCCCACGGGCGGTCGTCACCGCTTGCTTTTGCTAACCAGGTCCCTTTGCAGGCGCCATCCTCACCCACCTTGCCCCGACCGCCATCGTCATCGCATGCTATTTTTGCTTCGCTGACTGTGCTCTGATTGCACAGTGTGTTTACTACAATACTATCAACGCAAACAAAGCAGCGGCTGCTGCGGCTGCTGCTGCTGCTGCTGCCCACGACCAGGGTCCGAACGAAGAGTCGCCACTGCTCGCGACCAGCGAACAATCAGCAAAGGATAGCAATGCGGTTGACGACATGTTTGGTGGTCGTGCTTGGCTTCGAAACACGGCTGCTCTGCTCGCTGTCCATCTTATCGGCTTTGTAGGCTGGTTTGTGTCGGTCAAGGCCGGCGCCTGGGACGGCTCTGAACCCCAGCCGCCAACCACTCTCGACGACGGCCGAACTCTTGGTGAGGCTATCGGCCTTATCCTTGGATATGTCAGTGCTGTATTCTATCTTTGGTAAGCACTTCTTCTTTTTTTGCTAGACTCCGAATGAGTCGTGTGGATCAGGATTAACAACATTGTAGCGCTCGTATCCCCCAAATTATCAAAAATTTCCGAGACAAGTCTTGCGAAGGTACGTTGCCACCAAAGAGTCCAGGACGCACATCTGCTAACCAACCACTAGGGCTCTCCTTGCTCTTTTTCATGCTCTCACTTACCGGAAATGGTACTTACGGCATCAGTCTGTTGACCTACTCTCAGGATCCCAAGTACCTGGTTAACTCCATCCCTTGGCTGCTTGGCTCTGTCGGTACCATGGTTGAGGATTCCCTCATTTTCCTGCAATTCCACCTGTACGGCGAGAACTCCCGTGTTACTCAGTCTGTAGTGTAACAGTAACGTCGCATTTTTTGGACAAGGTAGTCCGGTAGAGAGAGGATATGTGCCTGCCCTTCAGATGGTATAGAAGCGAAGAGGGTTGATCTATCATTATGGCGTTTTACGGATTGAATTTAGGGCTTATTGCATCGTGCCTGATAGTAGTCTACGGGTCACGGCTCCTTCTGGTTACAACGGATATAGCATATATTGGACGTATTTCATTTTCAATTTCTGCCCGTGTTGTGATATTACTTGCTGGATCTTAGTTGTCATTTGACGTGGCCTGCAGGCTATCTACCCGCCCGCTAAAGGGTCATGTCCGAAGCCGGACAGCCGTGGTGGGGGGACAGTCCATGGCGGGGCGTTCAACTTCTTTTGACTCAAGGCCGCCCAGAGCTATCTCGTCTGCGCTCTTTTCGTCTTCACACCCTTTTGTATCTTTTTTGGTTAGATTCTACTCTTCTTACCAATAAAGAATTTATAGGTTCACAATGACTTCACAATTATCCGTAAAGAAGTGCGGTACGCAGACCCCAACCCTCCTCGCTGCCCAGAACCACCCGCTCACTGACGCAAAATCACAGGCGTTCTCGGCTGCACTGGCTCCGTCGGCCAGCGCTTCATCCTGCTCCTTGACCAGCACCCGTGCCTCAAACTCCACGCCATTGGTGCCTCGTCTAGATCCGCAGGCAAGAAGTACAAGGATGCTGTTCGCTGGAAGCAAGCCTCGCCCATGGGCGCCGTAGCCGACATGGTCGTCCGCGAGTGCAAGGCCTCTGAGTTTGCAGACTGCGATGTCGTCTTCAGCGGCCTTGACTCAGATGTCGCTGGTGATATCGGTACGCCATATCGAGTGCTACCACTCTCCACAGTACGCTGCTAACACATGTGATAGAAATGGAATTCCTCAAGGCCGAAATCCCCGTCTTCTCCAACGCCAAAAACTACCGCCGCGATCCCCTCGTCCCCCTCGTCGTCCCCACTGTCAACCTCCCCCATCTCGACCTCATTCCTCACCAGCGATCCGTGTATAACCTCAAGAAAGGCTTCCTTGTCTGCAACTCCAACTGCGCCGTCATCGGTCTTGTCATTCCTTTCGCTGCCCTCCAGGCCGCCTTCGGACCCATTGATACTGTTAGTATCGTCACCATGCAGGCCGTTTCTGGCGCGGGCTACCCCGGCGTCAGTTCCATGGACATTATCGACAATGTTGTTCCTTTCATCTCTGGAGAGGAGGATAAGCTCGAGACCGAGGCTCGCAAGATTCTCGGCCGCTTGGACGACTCTCGTACCGCATTCACCGAGCAGAGCGACCTCGTCGTCTCAGCCGCCTGCAACCGTGTTCCTGTCCTCGACGGTCACGTTGCTTGCGTCAGCTTAAAGTTCAAGATGCAGCCTCCTCCTTCACCTGAGCAGTGCAAGGAGGTCCTGCGTTCATACACCAGTGAGGCACAGACACTCGGCTGCCCGTCAGCACCCAACCCGCCCATCAAGGTGTTCGACGAGGACGACAGACCACAGCCCAGACTCGACCGCGACTTAGGCCGTGGCTACACTGTTAGTGTTGGTCGTGTTCGCAAGGATGACAGCGGCTTGTTCGATCTCAAGTTTGTTGCTCTCAGCCACAACAGTAAGTTCCCAAAGCATATCTCGGCATCAGAACGCCTGGTCACTAACATACCATTACTAGCTGTCATTGGTGCTGCTGGCTCTTCTATCCTAAACGCAGAGGCTGCCATTGTCAAGGGTTACATCTAAAAAAGCACAATACAATTCCAGGCCCAGTCCTAAAAGTTGACAAATTCCATGATACCAGAACTACAACAATTGACGAAAAAAGAAATACTCCAAAAATTAAGCGCAATGATCGGATTCATTAGTGTGCATGTACATAACGCTCGCTTGCTAAATACAAAATGAAACTTGTAAAGAATCCCGTATAAACCGTTCAAAACTGTCCAAGATAAGCCATTAAGACGGATTGGTCCTATCGTCGTCGCGTAGGCGATAGTGACCTCGACGCTACGCGCTGTCTAGTGCTCAGGGTATTGGACACAATACTAAGCCATTCCTCAACAGAAGTCGGAACTCGACTCTGAGCCGAAGGGTTCGCCGTACCCTGTTCAAGATCACCGTCGGCTGCATTCTGAGGGCTACGGGTGTTCGGTGCCTCATCATCGCTAGGGTCATCGCTGTCCTCATGGTATGGCTCATAGCGCGGGCCAGCTTGCGAGCCATATCGCAGAGATCGAACTACATCACCCTTGCAAATTGGGCAAGTACGGCGCCTGGTTGTAAGCCATGGTGTGCTGTCGTCTTGTTTAGTATATGCCGTCGACAACAATACAATTCAATACTTACATGCAATCGACGTGAAATTCATGGCCACAAGGCAGACTCATGACCCTACTGACTCCATCGACATACTCCTCCAGACATACAACACATTCTACTTGGCGGCCCATATATTTTCTCCATTCAGCAGAGAAGCCACCAGCTCCGGGTTCGTTCTCGGGCTTAGATCGGCCGCGTGATTGTCTACTTGAGCTAGGAATCAAGAGAGAGTCACTTTCGGGCACACCTGTCGTCGTTCGAGATCGCGGACGAGAACTCGAGTGGTGTCGCTGCAAGAGGGGTGTGGTTGGGGTTGGAGTGGCTCCCGATGGCGATGGATTTCTCGAATTTAAGCTGGAAGAAATTGCGACAGTGCGGAACGTGCGAACGGGGAGTCTTTCCACAACTGACTTTGGAGCTCGCCATCGGCGACGTCTGATACGCGCTCGCAGAATCAGCAAAGCATAGACAACGCTCAAAGTTACTAGTGGGCTGACAACGAGCACCAAGAGGGTATCAAAGAATGGGCTTGCTCCGCTTGTCGGTGTAATAGTAACCCAGAGCCCTTCATGTGATGTTGGTGCAGGCTCATGTGGTATATCAAGGTCGTTGTCGTCATCGTCGTCGTCATCGTCATCCGGGCTTTTGCCAAACAACTTCCTCATAATGCCAGCCTCTTTTTGATGCAAATCTGTAGAAACGGAGGAGCTAACCCCTTTGCTAGTCGCTGATTGTCCATTAGCCTTGGCGCTTTTAGGCTGCTCGCGCAGGTCAGGATCTCGCCAGTCGTCCACGCCAATAACAAAGCCATCATCAACCACTGGTGTTGCGTTTTGCTTTGTCTTCTTATTAGTGTTCTTTTCAGCAACTTTGTCACTCAGCTGGCGATCTTTCCGAGGATCCCAATCTTTACCAACAGTCTGGTCTGGTCGCTTCTTTGCCACGGTGCCTGTTTTAACACTACCTCTACCGAGTATAGTGGATATCCAGCCATCTCGCTTACTGCGAACCTTTGGTAAAGCCTTGGCACTAGCAATAGGGGTCTCATGTGGTGTAGGCTTCGTCGTTTTCCCAGACTTATGCATGTTCAGCGTAGGCTTGCCACGAGGATTCGCGTCGTGCTTCCCCAGAGACCCAGGCTGCGTGAGTGACGATAGGAGCTGAGCGGTGGTGCGAGCCGTGAAAACTGAAGGAATTACCACGCCTTCTGCATCTTCACTTGTAGCATACATCTGTATCAGCGGGCCGCCACGGGTATTGTCTCCAACAATAACTGCGATAGCTCCGCGACGCTGAGCCCAAAGAACCTTCTCCAAGAATCCACATCCACCACGCATCAACAGAGCAATCTTGCCCTCTATCTCGGCAGCTTCTTGAATACTTTGTATATCTGCGTGTGCAGGGGATGGATCCTTGTGTGTGGTTTCGCTCTTGCTTGGTGTGTCAGAAGATACAATAAAAGCCAACCCACGTCGAGCTCTAGCCGACTTTTTCTTGGAGCTAGAGCTGCCTACTTCTGCAACCTCATTGCTCTTTTCTGTAGACGCTACACTGCCTTTAGCAACCGGGGTCGTCGAGGTTGCCATGCCTCCGTCCCATCCAGGGATATCACTGCAGCCTAGCTCTCCATTGCCGTCGACACTATCCTCAGCGAAGCCGCTGCCAACCCAGAGAGGGCCGCTCAGGCCGGTGCTAGCCAGTGATGGCCCAAATGCTGCCGGGCGTGCTGCAAACGAAGTGCTATTGTCTTCGGTCAAGCTAATAGCTGCATTTGGGGGGAAGAGAGAGAAAGGTGTATTATAGTATAGGAAACCGAAAAATGACTGACGGCCGCTGGGGTAGCGGCTGGGGTATCTCGAAGGAGTGGTGCTTTGAGTAGAAAGCCCTCGTATAAGAACAAAGAATGTTGCGGTTAGGAAGAGGATAAGAATCAATATTCGTGTTGTTCGCATGATGTCGGCTATGGACGGCGTCGAGTGCACGCTAGTGCCTCTTCAACCATCGAAGGATGTCGGCTCGATGCTAATATAATTTCTTCGATTCAAACTTCGCCGGCTGCTTCTGCTTATGTGTCTAAAGGCAGCATATGCAATGCAAGGGCAAACTCGATGTTGCTGTGTTTCGCACAAGGATGCGGCAGTTGGGTGCGGGAGAGTCGGGTCGAAATGTGCGAGTTGGTCGCGTTTGTCAACGTAACGCTGGGAAAAGATAAATGCCTGACGCAGAATGATACAGAGTTTCAAAAATAAACTGTAAGCGAGGTCAAATACAGAGCGGTAAAGGCAGCAATCGAGGGCGGCGGCGACGAAAAGAAAAATCAGGTGAGGAGAAGAAGCACGATGAGTTTTCCCAGAGTCACAAGGGCGGCAGGTATGTCATTCACCCGCCTGCCACTACCACTTTCCTCACCAATGCACAAGGTCCACTGGCGCATGCGTACCGTACCAGGGACTGTGCAGCGCTAGCGTACGCCGCTAGCTTGATTAACCCGATGCATAGCGCTGGTGTCGCTAACGGGGAAGCTGGCTTACTTGGATACCGGTTACTTAAATATCTACCATTAGTCAGACATAGACGTATATATAATCTACTAGTTTATGATTTCTTAATTTATTTTCACACGAACTGGTGAGTTCATGCCCACCCTTCACCTGGCGTTCCCTCGCACACTGAACAACCGCCATGCTTGAAAGCGGGGACCCTGGCTGAGACGCTGCCGGCGCGTGACGCAATGGCTGGACGAAATGATCAACTAGCGATTCGATCAGAGTCCAATCAGATAAGGCTCTCAAGTACATGCAAATGTGGAATCAAGGGAGATTGATCCAGTGATATGCACCGTTTCCATTGTGTGAGCGATAGCGCAACCGACATCTAAACGTGACGTGTTTCAGGTGCTGACGAGACCAACCTACCCGGAGGTAAAAATAGCAACATAGTAGTCAATAAGCAAACATAACCGCTGTGCAACTTATTATGGCAAAACTTATAATACATTGCTATGCAAGGTGGATTAACATGCTTCTATACAAACTGAAGCTATTCGTCACTCATTCATCATTATGGAGCTGGGACTTCATCCTGCTACGATATGCATCGACATTACTATCCCAGTCGTCTACCGGTTCACCCTCCCAGTGCGTATCAGTTTTCGGGTCATACGATTCCGAGAACCGTCTGTCTATTCCGGACATTTGGCCAACATCACCACGGCCTCTAATCTTGGGCTCCGGTGCTGGACCGATGGAGTCTTCCGAGTCCGAGTGGTTGTCTTTTTTGTTGTAAGATGTGCGTCGTCTACTCTTACGCTCCAAAGAGGTAGATCTATGACGATGTCGTTCTTTGCCAGTATCATCCCTTCGTCGGGGAGACCTTGATCTGCCAGTATGATGTGATTTGCGGCGCTCGTCAGACTCCCGATGCTGCGAACGATGCCGTCGGCTTTCAGGTGAATGATGTCTAGCTTTTGATCTGCTCGAACTATGATCCTCGCGTCTCTCTTTATCACGTCGACTGTGTCTGTCCGATCGATCTCGTTCTCGACGATCTTTAGAATGATCGCTGGCGTGCCGCTTACTCCGACTTTCTGTATCCGACGGCTTTACTGCATCTCGCTCGCTCGCTCGTTTAAGCTTTCTGCCACCAAGAATAGCTTGTATATCACCCATGTGGCGTCTGCCGATATCCTTCGTAGTCGGATTCTTCTTCACTCGCTGTAGCTCTCGAGTTCGCTCCAAGCGCTTCAGTCGAGCCTGTGATTCTTCTGCTTCTTTGGCTAGGAGTGCTTTGTTATGACTATCAGTTCCTTTAATGATATTCCGCAAGAATCGTGTATTCGGTTTTGGCATATTTTGAGGTCTGCACGAACAGATTAGCAACCTCTAGTCGTCGGGTATCCATACGGAGATCCTTACTTCTTGTCCGATTTGAACGCGTCCATTCCCATGGCAGAAAACTTGAGAGAGCAATCATTTGCTTCCTGGCTCAACACCCCCGCGACATAATCGTCTGTTAATAATTCGTGGCTGGACATATCGAAGATTGTAGTATTCAAAACAAAGTTCTGGGCTTGTAATTGTCCTTGGGCGGCGTGTCGGCAGCGCCAGCTGGCGCCAAAATATCTAGGGTGAACTTGAATAAACTTCCGCTTGTGCCGCGATTCAGCTGTATCCAAGAACAAAGCAAATTATTCTCAAAACAGGGAAGAGTTCTCCCAAGGCGTGATGCGCTGTGTTGAAACTTCATCCACAGCGGAACAGTCTCCGTAGACTACGCACGTGAAGCAGGAAACGGACTCCACTCTAACCAAATCGGGCGATATCCAAACAACGCGCCAAACCGATAACACCAATATTAATGTCGACCTCGAGAATCTCGACGAGTTGTTCTCAACAGCCTACAAATTTTCCAAAGTTACTGAATAATGGCTCCACGAAAGTCTACGTCAGCACCAAGCGTACTTGACAAGCTACGAAATATGGACGAAATTTCCATCATTAAACTCAGCGATCCCATCACGAACAGCGCCACGGAATCTGGAGCGCGCACTTCAGATGCCTCGAACTCTTCTGACAGCCGAACAACCCCTGCTACGCTTGAAGCCGACCTCATTCACTACACAGAACTCTTCTCTAAGCTCCGCTTCTCCTATGTCGAGCAAGTAACCAAAGAAAAGTTCATCCGAGCCATCGTTGGTGACCCGCCGCTGATTGTCACTACGCGCGAAAATTTTGAGTTGGAGCAGGAGAATATGGAGGCCAAAGCACGGCTAAAGGCTCTTAAAACAGAAGTGGCAGAGATGATTGAAGAATTGGAGCGCAAAGGGCGAGAGCTAAGCGCGAAACACCAACACATCAAAATGCAAACGACTCGACTAGAAGAACTACCCTCTCAACTAAAAGAACTTACGGCACATATCGATGATCTACGAGTAGCCAGTGAGATATCAGCTTCAGCCGATCACGATCTAAACCTACCTCTGGGCAAGACACAGGACCTGGTGCTGCAGAAGCAGTCCCAGCTACAAGATATCACACGCGAGTTGGAAGCACTGCAGTCAAAGCTCCCCCGAAAGCGCAAAGAAGGCGAGCGTCTGCTAGCCGAGCTTGGTCCCCTGGAGACAAAGCAGCAGACCAGTGCTGCTGCGGCGAGGGATGCGAAACGACGAAAGGAGGCCTCGCTGGGCGGAGTCGGGGATGATTTGGAACAGCGTGCTCGTTGGTGGAGAGCAAACGAAGCCGTTTTGACAAGGCTTCTCAATATTCAGAGCTAATGAGAAAAGGGGCCCGCTGACAACGACATGTAATGACGAGACTTACGACTACCTGTACATATAATTACCCCCGTCTAGGGTCTACGTTGCGAAATACGCAGTACTGTGAGAATCTAATCTTACTTCCAATTGAAACAAGCATTCCCCGCAACATGATTGGTTGCAAGGGGTGTGCATCTTTGAACCTTGTGTGTATTTGTCGTATATGTTCTGTTCTTGGCTACCTGTTGAGCGCCGCCTGAACTGACTTGGCCAGCGTGGCTCATAGGCTGTCGTCACGCCTGGGCGGCGGAGCAGTGGATGATTGAACCCACCCGCCAGGCGGTCGATCGATCACGCTCAGTTTGCGAGAAGGTAAACTGCATTTACGCGTAATACGGCCCCTTTAGCCAAGACATCAAGCCAGCGATAAACACAAATAAAAAACTGTATTATTGTGGCTGGGTCCAAGTCCGCAACATGCTCGCATCAGCTGGTCTTGGAATCAAGCGCCCTGTGGATTTGGAAGCATCGTTTGTTCTCCCACCCAGGCTCCGTCGTTGTTTTCGCAGTGGGCTACACTGTACCAACTTAGGCTTCTCTAGCCCACAATTCAGGCTAACCTGGGGGCACCAATTGCCATGGAATGACACAGGCCGATATGGGGGCCGGTGTGCACCGTACTTGGTTCTCACTCAGCCAACCGGTCGACGTGCAGCATTTTCTTCACCTGCAGCCCCAACATCAATCAACCTTTTGAGTCTCTCGGAAGGAAACGGCTGTGGCAGGGAAAACTGGAGCGCCTCGATCCTTGTGGGACTCCGCGGTCCTGCCAGTCCTCGTAGTAGCTCCGCATTTAGTACCCCTAAGGCACCGTCTTTAGGGCTTCTATGTATGGACGGGCCTTTCTTAGACTCCGACACCGTAGAATAGCGAAGCATTACCGAAAGGCTAATTGTTAAACTCCAACGGAAACAGAATGTTCATCTAGAGTGACATCCTGTGTTCAGATTTGTTCGACGGAAATATCCGCTTCCATTTAATCGCAAACTTTTATTTTCGGAAGTTTTTTTTTTTGTCAGTGGACAATGGGGCTCTTGGGTCATGACGTTATGGGCATGTTTAATCTGTCGGCAACATAACGGAGTCCGGCGTGGCTGTCACGGGCGGTACGAGGCTGAAGTGACTCTTACTCTGCCGTGTGGCTTGCATGCAAGGAGCTCACAGGTGGCGTGTGTGCGTGTGTGTGTGTGTGTGTGCGTATTTGAGTGGACAATACCAAAGGGGTGGTTTGATAGCTTCAATGGCGTGCCGATGGGTGGTTGATTGGATGAGATAGCGAGCGCCGAAGCATAATGCGGCTCAGCTTCGATGATTCATTGGGGGCATCCTTTTGCGTACGCCCAGACAACCGAAATTCTTTTTTGATAGAGAGTTTGCGCCAGTGGTCCCGCTATGGTACGTTGACCAGGGGGGGAGTGTAAAATATTTTGATGTTTGCAACGGAGAGCTTACAAATGGTGACAAAACGTTAAAAGATTCAATTCTTCCGTGCAGGGAAAAAATGGCATGTTTCAGTGCAGGAAAGCTCCGTCCAGACGCACGCTTAGCAGACTAGGACTACGGCAATGCAACCGCTAGCGGGATGCGCTACGGGGCTTGGATCGGGCGTCACGTCTTCTAGAATACACATCGCCGGGCACGGAGGGCAGCAAGGGATCATTCCGACCGCCAGATTGCGTCGTGTGGAATTTTCTCCAGGGCAATAGCGCTTAATCATAGCCTTACGGTGCCCGTTAAGAAAAGTCCGAAATTGAATTGCGTGACAATGGGGGTATGGTCGACCAAAGAGTGCGATTCTTTCGGACTCGGACTTAATCAGCGGCGCCTCTTGATTTCAAATCCACGCACCCGCTAAATTTCACGCCCCTGCACTCCGCTCAGCGGTAGTGTGAAGGCCCGCCTGTCTGGCAAATCGAACTAATTCACGATGGGGGTGCACATCTGATTTGTCTTGTAAGATTTTATTTCTCATTTTCTCGAATTCATCCGAAAGTAAGCAGTTCCCGTCCCGTAGGCGGTATCTATTTCCCATAACGCCGTTCGCCAATTCAATTCGTTCTTGATGTACACGAGGCATCCAGCCTGTCAAAGTCTATCCAAAAGTGAAACCAATCCAATAATTCTACCCCTCATTACAATCGCATTTCGTTGTCAAAGCTAGAGTAAATCATGGGATCTCCAAGACCCATCATGACTTCGTTGTTGGTCATAGCCATCATGTCTGGCTTAATAGCGCCAAACTCGGCGTCAAGTAAACCAGCACCTTGGCCTAGTAGATCGATACTCTGCATGCTGCCGCTTTGCTGAAGGAATTGCATGGCGAGAGCGTTGGCGTCAGACGCCGACTTGGGCATCGACCAGTCGTCGTTGCTAAAGTTGGGCAATGAAGATGAGGATGGAGAAGCAAACATGGCTCCTTGTTCGAATTCTGTAGATGAGCTGAAGTCGAAGTCGTGGCTGCCAGCATAGCTTTGCGGAGAAAGGGTGAGGCCGTTGTTGCTGTTGCCCATGTTATGGCGACCAAAGGCAAGCTTGCGGTAATCCAGTTCCAAATCAGAGTGATCTCCTTCGGAAGATGAGGCGCGGTCGTGGTGCGCATCGCCGTTTTCGCTATGCTCCTTCTGGCTCGGCGTTGTTTCTGAGTGGTGTTGTTGTTCTTCAAGTTGTGTAGCCAACTCGGCCATGCCAGCCTCGTCTTCAGGGAAAACGGAGTGAACAGGAAGATCGATATCTCCATTAGGACGGATGCAGCCCAGCTTATCAGCAATGTTGTGAACAATGGGGAGACCGTGATCGTTCAAGTCGGGCTCTCCTAGGTCCCAGGACTGGCCGTTGCGAACCATAGAGTAGAGCTTGTGTACAGTAGCGACCAGGGTGAGTTGTGTGTTTTCGAGGACTTCAGCGTAGCCTCTGGGGAGCTGCTTATACTCGACCTTTTTGCGAAGGCCAGCTGTGCAAACGAGTCCGTCGTCCTTGCATCGCTTACAGGGGAACTCGCCATCACACTAAGGACAGTTAGCGAATTGTCACTGAATTCCAAGGAGAAAAAAAACGAACCTTAGTCTTCTTCATTCTACAGCGCTCACATGCCTTCCAAACGCGCTTATGACGACTGTCCTGCATGCTAGTATTGTTGACAACAATATCGTGGTGGTGGTGTGCAGCCGCTGTTGAGCTGGCTCGCTTAGAGGCTCTATTGGTGGGCTTGGTTGATTTGGTGTGACTTTGCTTCTTGACTTTACTAGCCTCGACAGGAGGCGATGGATAGCCGTTTGGTCCCATGGCTGATAATTGAAACGCTGGGCGTTAATGTGTTGTATACAGGTGGGCGAAGTAAGGTGTTTGGGCTTTGGTGCATGAGAGGTGTGTGTGTAAGTGGCCAGAGGAGGAGACTGGGCAGTTATGCAAAAGGGGGCCGGGTTTATTGACGATGGAGAGATTATTCTGGAATGATGAAGGAACAAAATGGGAGGGGAGGAAAGGCCGTATATATCGAGCCCGTGGAGGAGGAGTGTGGTTTATTAATACGGTTGATAGCATTACAACTAACAGGGTGGGCGTCGTCGTTGAGCACACGCCCTCGCCCTCTCGGAATTAACGCGCCGCCGACAGTACGTACCCTTACGTGCACGCCCTGGCGCTGTTTCCCCCTTTGAAAATATGCGCTGGAAACGGCTGTTGCTTCAGTGTGCATGGGGCGCCTGAGTCCACTGTAACCTGTCGCCTTTGGGGCACACCGAACCCGCCCCGAGCCCGCACCGCCCGCATCTACCGCATCGCACAATTGTAAAGTCCGCGAAAGCGCGGACTTTAAACAGCCCATTTTACAGTTTACGCGGACTCATGTGTCCCCTTGCCCAGATTTTAGCGAGGACGATTGTGAATTGAGCTCGTGACGTGCAGATCAAATATTTCCATTGTATAAGCCTCCTGTTTCTTTGTCTGCTTATTTTTCCGTTTGCCGTGCTTCTGTTCTGTATTTATCCCGTCGCTCATGACGAATCGCAGGGCTGTGTGGTCTGCGGCAACAAAAAACTCCAATAAGGCCAATCGCCGTAATAACAGCGCCTATCAGCCTGGCTGAGCAAATAAAAGTGGCCGAGCCCATTCTTTCCTCGTTCATCCTCGAATCGGTACGCCATTCGAGTAAGGCTGGACTGGAAGGCTTCCTCACTGTCGGGTAACAGCACGGCAAAATGTACTTACGCAGCGATCCCCCAAAACGGTTGTTGGTGCGCCGTGTCAGGACCAAACCATTAAATCAATAGATCCTACTGAATCAAGGAACAGTCAAACTATTGCCCCGGGTAAAGAACGAGTACACCCACATCGCAAACTATGACAGTAAGAGCCTGGGACGATGAACGGTATTAGCCGCACCACGCAGCATCATAGCTCGAGTTATCTGATCACCACGCCAGCCATTTCGAATCGCACCCAGCATGTCGGACAATGCAGAATCGCCGTCCGAATGGGGACTAACAGCGAGGTGTCGCTGCCGAAATGCTCACCACGGGACCGTGTTAGCCACACCAGTTGAGGGGCCACCGGCGTTGCTGTAGACCGACGCCGATGGGTGACTCCCATGTCCGCGGACCTTTCCGCCGATGCGACAGGGCTGGATTGACTTTGCAAAACTGCACAAACAACTGTATCCGACAACGGCACCATTTGCCACGGAGCCTCGATCTAGTCATTAGCGAGACAAAATCTATCGAGTTTTGATGTCCGGTGATAGGCCCGATGATGGCGGCGCCTTGGCCGTCTTGATACAATGTCTGAGAGCCCCAGAGCACTTACAGATGGGCTCAATGTGCTGAGCAGCTCAAGCCGAGCAATAGGATAAGCCCAAAATTACAGAGCATATATAGCCATGGCTGCTTCAATTCAGCTCATCAGACCACTCCTGCAGTGCATGTCACATTTTATTATTGTTGATGTGGCATCCTTCTCGGTCTTGACAGGGGGAAGCCGATTAACCCCGATATGTGCAGCTCTGTCCATAACTGCCCACTGTTCTTAACCTTGTCCAATTTGTGAAGGGATGAATGAGGACTGATCCGGGTAACAGGTAATTTCTGCTCAGCGCATGCTAGAGTCATTTTTAACCCTACCCTCATGGAGTGCGAGATGGGTAGCTTTGCGAAGTTTGCGCGTTGTTTCGCGACCGTTGGATCCAGGGCCTTCCCCGCGGAGTTTCCGGGGCACGGATTCCGTCCAACCATCCTATGTAGGGCAATATATTTCGGATCGGTTCGCTCCAATCGGGCGATTCGCGTAAATCCATTTCGTCATAGAAGTATCAATGGGTAGCCACAGTTTCTTTCTTTAAATACAAATATTGAATAATATTCTTTTTTATAAAAAAACAACCCACACACCCGCCAAGTCCATGGAGGATGGGAACCCGGGCGGCGAAGGGGCCGGTTGGGGATTCCCCAGCCGCCAAACCGTCAATCTGGCTGGCGCTTTTCTCACCAATGGAGAGTTGTAGAGCTAATGTCTGTATGCCGCGGGGTTTCATTCACTGGATTGATGATTTGTTTGCTTGGGATGCCACATATTGGCCCCAAGTCAGTCAATATTGCTATGCAGAGTGCCTCAGTATTGAGTGGGGACGCGCAGAAGCTTGTTTTCCTAGCGCCTATGACGCAATAGAGTCTTTGCCCACGGAGCTTTGGCAACCGCCATTCTTCACCGTAGACAATCCATAACGCTGCACTTGTAGTGAGCCAATTAGTCACAAAATATCGAATACAATGTCATCCACATACTCGACGCGACAGCGCATCGTAAATTCCGTCGGCGAAAAGGCCCAAGAGGTGATGTGAGGCGCTTGTGTCACGACGCGTTTGCGCTCTCCGCTAATCAGTCAATTGCAGCAAGGAGGACTTCGGCAAGGCGAAAAATGTTACTGTTCAGGCTGTATCCAGTGGAGCCTACTTCTATCCGATCAAGGTAGATACACAGCGGCTATTCGTACAACGACCAAGCGACGCTGACCAAATCCACACCATGTAGGGCATCTACTACTTTCTGGCTCATCGAGATCTCTGGAAGCCATTGACGTCGAAGATCGGACCGTACCTGACGCTTTCGGCGACAGTGCTGACAGGAATGTTCACCTTTACCTTTATCCCGCAAATGACGATGTTGTTCTTCGTCAATGGACCCCTGGCCGTTGTGACGACGTCACTGCTGGTCCTTAGCGAGAGTTCGGCTATTATCAATGGTATTGCTCGAGGCTGGCTTCTCCAAGAGGGAATTCTGGATACATTTGATGCAACTCTGCTGTCTCGCAATGCTACTGCAATTGTCCGCGAGGGACGAGTCGTCACCAGCGGAGCCAACTCAATGGCCAAGCTTGGCAAGATTATCAAGTCACCTTTTGACAAGTTCAGTCCAAAGGCCTTCGTCCGCTACCTCATCTATCTGCCATTCAACTTTATTCCCCTCGTTGGTACTGCCATTTTTGTCTATTTACAAGGTATGGGGATAATGAAACGGGCGAGGTGAAATGAACAAAAATGGAACGGCAACTGACCGGTATCTAGGCAAGAGTCGCGGCAGGCTAGTTCACGAACGCGTAAGAGAAGACGAATTCGGATACAACAACGTAGCACTAACCAGAGGATAGTACTTCCAGTTGAAGAAGTGGAACTCTTCGCAGAAATCGGCGTGGCTGACTAGACACGTTGGGCCGTACACAGCGTGCGTACTCGGCTACAAATTCCGATGCTGATCAGATACGCTGACCCACCATTTATAGTTTTGGTCTTGTGGCAACTGCGCTAGAAATGGTGCCCGTTGCATCCATTTTCTTCACCTACACCAACACGGGTACGAGATGCAATGCCACCACCAACCACCAGGCAGCCTAGAGTTTGCTAACATGTTGATAGTCGGTGCCGCGCTGTGGGCCGCAGATATCGAGGCCAATAAATCGTTGGTGGAACGTGCCATTGAGCTTCGCGAAACAACGCAGGGCGGGCGAGGCTGAAGGCGCTTATCTGTGCGCATTGGAGATGCGAATACGCAGCAGCGTTGCCAAGGCTTCCCGCCAACTGGCAGGTCCACCGTATAGTCAAGAATGGCCCCTCGCTCCACAAGCCGAGACGTCCGTAACAGTGGACAACATAGTGTTTAAAACGACGTAGACCAAGGAAAAAAACAACAACCCCCTGTCATGTTGCGCCTTGATTATCCCACGCTCTACTTTCGGTCCTTTTTGCGCGTGCCCAAGTTAAACTTCAAAGCGCCTCCCGTGAAACAAACAGTGCAGACGACAAGCGTCAAGAGACTTCGCCGCGTGGCCAGTCCCTTGCAAATATTGGCACTTTAGGCAGCCAATAGTAGCAAGCTCTGGATTCCCCGCGCCCGTTGATTGGCTGGTTGGGTCTCCAGGTGCCCTTACCTCCAAACGCCTGCCGCCACATAAAGTGGGGCACGCTGTTTGGCTTCGTCTCGACTTCTCCGCACCTGCCGCCAAAGAGTCACATTTAGCCCTCGTGAGCCCTCTTCCGGCGATTTTCTTTTTCTCTTCTCCAACTCTCCCTCGTCTTTCTCTACCGTCAAACCGTCTGCTTTGGTGTCTGGTTACACCTACAATCCATTTTCTTTCGTTTTCATTGCGCCAACAACCACCGCTGCCGCTCGCAGTCGCCACCATCCACCGCATTCGTACAGCCTGAACCAACAGCGACTTCTGGAAACGCCACACCAGTCGAACGATGCTTCTCAAATACCTCAACTGTGCAGCAGCCGCTGCGGCTGTGGCCATCACCCCTCAACTGTCAGAACAAGACATGAAGACAGTAGAACAGGTCTGGCCTGAAGCTGCCCAGACGCCCATGTCTGCCGCTCTCTCTCGGGCCTTGACAGTGCCTTGCCCCAAATGCCCCGGCGAGAATGCCGAGCTGCACTTTGCTTTTAATATTCAAAAGAGCACAAAACTTGCACTCAACGGCTTTGAGGTGTACCCCGACGCTGACCCGTTCCACGGCGACCTCCAAGCAAGGCTTTACGCTGACGGTGGCCCCAATGAGTTGCAAAAGCTTGGCTACAGCATCGCCACCGTTCCCTTGACCCCAGCCGACCCCGAAAGCCGCTTTCAGGTTGTCGATGTCACTCTTCGAGTTGTTGAAGTTGGATCCCTCTTTGTAGATGATCTTCCCACTATTGTTGTTCGCATGGTAGAGTTACCAACTGGCGAGACCTTTATTGGCAACATTGAGACGCTGGACCAAGTCAAGGACACTTGCACCTCTGCGCTCTGCCGCCTTGGAGAAAAATTCGACTTGCTATGGGAGAGCTTTGAGGAGCTTAAGAGCGTCAAGTTTTGGGACTGCACCGCTGGTGACAGATCTTGCATCCGCCGCATGGCGTGGTCCATTAGCGGAACAACCTCCATGGATCGTTTGAGTGGTGACAAGATCTCTACTCAGGGCCAAAAGATTCTTGGTCGCCCCCGAGAGTGGTCAAGACTCATCAAGCAGGTTTCGTCTTATGTATTTCTCCCTGTACTTTTTGGAATTACTGGCGGTATTCTCATTGCCTGGTATGTTTGCGTCGCAACCCTCAGTTACGTTGTCTACAAAACTAACCATGCTCTAGCTTCTTTGTATTTATCAGCACCGTGCGACGAGTTGTGTTTGGAAAGCGACAGCGCCGTGCATGGTACGAGCGCAGAAAACGAGGCTCTCGTTCAGTCGACGAAAAAGTCGGTCTCATGAGCAGCCACCAGGAGCAGCAGCAGCCAATGTGCTAGGCTGCTAGTTTGTCGCTGTATCCCGAAGCACAACCTATCCTTTGAAGGCCAGGAGCCTTTTCATCATTTGTCGATCACCGACTCCCCGGCGTTTTCGTTTGGTTTTATCGATACCTGGCCCTTTGCGTGAAGCGAAGGGTTTGGTATTGATGTACATTTAGATATGGGCTGCATCTCTGTTTCTGTTGTCCGGATTTTGCTTTTCTGGTTTGTTTTGTTTTTGATGAGGATGGTCCAGCTGGACCTCCAAAAAGGATATACCCCTAGACGCTCCTTTGGTTTTATACCCCATGATGACGCTCATTTGATCTGGGCCCACGACGCCCCATGTTGGACATGCTTTACTACGCTCCTTTTGCAATACCATTTGCAACTTTCATATAGTTTGTTAACCAATCGATACTTTTTTCTCCTGTACTCGCACAACATCCAAGCTCTGTATGCAGTGTGCAATGTCTAACTCGTAGCCGCTGCAGGTCCAGTCAAACGTCTGCACGTCTTACAGTGAATCAGCTTCAGGCTGCACAATGTCACGCGGGCAAGGGTACGGGTAGAAGAGAGGGCTGCTTTGCCAGGGTGGGCGAGTAATATGGCTGACCGACTTTGGGGGGAGAGCTGACAGCGTGGCCGGGGTGGGGGGCCTCGAATCTGACTTACTCGTGGCCGGCTTACTTCAACCGCCTAAGCCGATCTTGTTGAATTAGTTAGTTACTTATGGTGCGGAGAGTGCCTTCCAACTTTCTTTCTCTGTGACACTAAACTTTTTCTTCTTCCTTCTTTACTCTAACTCTGTGTACCTACATACATTCTCTACTCTAACAGCACGCAACACGACCGATTTCTGTTCTCACGGATCGCCCCTCCCACCTACCATTATCCGCAGCCTCCGTTTTCGCTCAGCGACATCCAAACCAGGGTCGCGCTAGACTCAACGAAAACTTACCCTCGGCACCAGCTCCGCTACCATCACAAAAATGCTTTGGCAACCGCGCCCAAAGGTCGAGATCAAGCCTCCCAGCAACAAAATCGAGCTGTGGCAGCCTGCGTCGCCCTCTGAGGTTCCTACATCACCAACCAGCACCACCAGTGGGTGGAGCACTAGTGAGAGCGCCGATGGCAGAGTCCGAAACCCGGGCCGACGTTTCGGCCAAATTATTCGTCTGAGAAAGGAACGCGCCGAAGAGTACAAGGCTTGCCATGCGAAAGCCTGGCCCGAGGTGCTCAAGCAGATTAAGGAGTGCAAGATTGAAGATTGTAAGTGCATCCCGTTAAACAGATGAGTTTGCTTGTGCGAGTGCTGACACACTTTTTTTTTTTCGTGGGTGGATAGACAGCATTTGGTACGACGAACAATCGAGCATGCTCTTCTCTTCGTTCAAATACGTTGGTTACGACTATGACGGCGATATGAAGCTCATGGCAGAGAATCCAAAGGTCCGCGAGTGGTGGAAGATGACCGACTCGATGCAGGAGAGCTTGGTTGATGGCGCGGTTGGCTCGGCTGATGCGCCAGGATGGTGGAAGCCCGTCGAGGAAGTCTTTTACCACGCCTAATTGGGCGAATGAAACGTGGGGCTATGTGTTTGTTAGGATGTTGTAATTTGGCTTCTAGTTTGCATGTTTTGTTTGCGATTCCCTTTGTTGTTGTTTTACTTTGTTCACGGCCGGGCTTTTTGGTGGGTAGGTGTGCAGTCATGCACACAAACACACATGCATACATGCATATATCTACAGCATTAGCATATCTTTGCACATAATCATGAGTTCATTGTTTGATATTTGCTAGGCATTCCCATGTAAGCGAGATTATGATTGATGCAGTGTCGAGTTTGCAGTGTCTGCGCCGGGCGGATAGTGACGCGCCACTCAATGCCACTACAGGGCATGGCTACGGTTGATTGTGGCTTGCTAGGCACCGTTTCTGTTAAAATGAGAGACGCAAAGCAATGTCTTTGTATTGTGTAGTGAGGCTTTTTGCTCTTAGGCAATTAGGCAAAGAATGAGGCGGATTCAACTGGTCAAGACATGGAATCGCACAAGGCTAGTCTTTGTTGTTGTCTGAGGACTCCCAATGCAGCCACTAGTTCACGGCCTGTTCGTGATCGGCCGCACATCGAAGCAGCCGTTTCGCGCCGAGTGCAGGATTGACAGGCATATCATGTTGAGCATCGACAGCGTCTCAGCCCTTTGGCCCAAGGACCGCCGACGTCATGCCTTTGTAACAGACCCCGCGGCGCGCAAAACACGAAACGGACCAATCATGACTGCAAGACTCATGTCCAACACAAGGGCATGCCTACTGTGGAACATGGTTCTTGCGGCACCTGCTCAATGGCCGGCCGCTGGTAGGAACGGGTGCTGTCATGCCACACACACTAGGCATGGTGGGGATGCTGAACCCTTGATGGCTGCAGGAACCAGGGCACGCTAGTGTTTGATCTTAACGGCGCCAGGGGCCGCTCACGCTGATGGGATTGGTTCGCTTGCTGCCTGTGGCGCCATTGCGGCTTGACTGGGCAAAATCATGGTTCTCAGGCAAGGGGATGCGGATTTAACCAGCACACGGCATACTGCTGTGCAAGGAGAAAGGGGTGGGGGAACAGGAAAAGAAAACATGTTCTTTTCTCCTGTTTGGTCGACTGCGATGACCCGCCAACCTGGGATTCCTTTTTAGTTTGTATGGAGACCCGTACGATCCGCAGGGGGGAGCAGCACTAGTCGATGCGACTGTGAAGCGTTGCAATATCCATTCCAGAGGTTGGAAGTGCCATTGTTGGGCAGAAGAACAAACAGGGCCGCGAGGATGAAATTCAGGATACTTTTGTGTGTGCGCATTTGTGGCCGGTGCCGCTGCCACGAGGGAGAGAATTCCACGCGGTGGCCCGCCCCGTGGTGATGGCGATGGAATGGAAACCGCCTGCGTTACGGCTTCTGACGGCGGAACATGGCCGGAGCTCGTCGCTTTGCCGCATGCCTTGGAGGGGCGCACTGCACATAATCCTCGCTGCATGTGCCTCTCTCTGTGTGCCCATTATCCGTGCTTTTACTGCTTTTTGTGTTAACGCCGCGTAGTCGTCGCCTCCTTGCTCATCTGCCGCAGAGGCGTTGCTTTTTTTTTCCTTTCGCTCTCCGCCACCAGACAAGCCCTCCCTCTCTGCGTGCTTTCCCCTCTCCACCAAACGTAGTAGGCATGTCCCGATAGAATACTTGCATCGCTCTTATTGTTTTCTTGTCCTCCTCTTTTGTACTTTTACTTGGCCAGCTTCTCTTTTCTCCTTCTCTTACTCTCGTCGTTCGTTCGCCAAATAGAGAACCCAGCTTACACAGGCACTTGCTACCTCACTAACCTCGCACTTGCCACTTTGTGAAGCGTCATACGACTGCCCACCAGCTGTCAGGCACTCTAACTCCTCTTCTTGGTTTCTTTCTTCACTTGATTTTCAGCTTTCACGCATAGGCGGGCCTGGCGTTGACGTTTAATCTCCTTCTTCACCTCATGATTTACGCACTTTGGGTCGCATTAGCGTCCACCCCAACAATAAAAAAGAGAAGCTGCCTGCTTGCCACCTCCGCGCCCTTGCAACTTTTTCGATAAACTCACAGCTCTTGGATTCCTGGAGAACTCTCTATTTGCCTCCAGTCTGCCTGGCTCTCCATCTAAAGTGATTCTGCGCAAGGGCGACTGAGACAGATAGGCTTGTCTCACTGGCACACACCAACCACCTATCCCCGAGCTCTTTGTGCCGCGTCTCCCTCGCGTCCGTCGGTCGCTACCGCGATTGTCTCAGACCATATCGAGACATCTTGAACACGGTAAGTAGACCTTAATATGGAATCCCTCCCAGGGGCGCCCCCGATTGTGCTGAAGAAATTGTTTCTCTTTCCTTCAACTTCGACCATTCATCACCACGCATCATTCAACATACACGGCCTTTTGTAGATGCTAATCGACTGTACAGGGCTCATTCTTCACATCTTGCTTAATTCACAAACGACCTTTCATAACGTTTACAACCTCTTGATCATCTCTTTTTTACAACGACGCCGCTGCGTCCGCCATCCGCTTAGCGTGCTTTGGATTTCAGTCCCCGTGGCCCAATGAATAACTACGACAATGACCGGAATATGGGCGAGCAGCAGCGCCAACCTGCTCCTATGAGATACCCAAGAGGTCAGGATCCCAGAGAAAGACCAGACGGTCGTCCACCGTACGATGGCTACAACAGGCCACCTCCTGGGCAGCCAATGAGAAGTCCAATGCACGGCCAGATGGGACACCACATGCAAAACAACAACCAAGGGCGGATGCCCCAGCAATATCAAGATCCCAACTACGACAGAGATCAACAATACTCACCCCAAGGGCCATATTCTCCCCAAGGACAACCTCAAAACTACGGACCACCCCAGCAGCGCGGACCTCCTCAGAGCCAAGGACAACGACGACCTGGACCTCCAACGGGGAGACCTATGAATTCACCGCGTGGACCTCCTCCTCATGGTGCCCAAGGATACAATCAACCTCCCGGGAACTACCCACCGGGCCCTCGAGCTGGCCAACGGCCTCCAGGGGGCCAGCCAATGCAAGGTCAGCAGCAGCGACCTCAAGGGCCGACACCCATCTTTGTCTCACCAGTAAGAACCGATCCCCATACCCAAGTGGATGGTCAGACAGCTCCACCACGAGGAAATCTTCCTCCGCAAGCTGCACCTCCTAGCCCTGCCTCTGCGTGGCCTCTTGGCGGAAGCCAAGAGAGAGCACCCCAGCAACAATCGCAGCAACAACAGCGACGCCAACAGCAGCAGCAGCAAGCTCAACAGCCTCAACCACCTCAGCCTGTATATCAACAGTCACAACAACAACAGCAACGTACGCCGGAGCAATCTACCCCGGCTGGTGAAAGTCTTCATAGTCGTTCCCATGGGTCCTATGCCTCCTCAGCAGCGATTCCAGAGGCTTGGGGCACCGGCATAGCAGCTCCTGTTCCTGGACAGCGAGATGTTCAACATTCTGATACCTACCAGGGAGGCCCTCCTCAAACAGTCGTGGAACAAGCACCTCGCCCAGTTGTAGAGGATAACCGCAGTCAACAGCCTGCAGACCGTGTCGCGGTAGCAGAAAAGGCTACAGTTCCTCAAAGCCACACCTATACTACCACAACACCTACACCCACCACGACCAGCGAAACATCTACGACGCAGCATGATATGCTCAAGGCTTATGCAGCGGCCAGCTCATCGGAAACCTCCGCGAAGGAAGTTACCAAGAAGGCTCCTATTGTGACAACCCGGGAATCATTCGACGGAGCGCCCCCAAAGCTAGACGTCAACCTGAAGCCCTCTGATGGGCGAGGTAGTATGTCGAGTTTGTCAGACCTTATTCTTCGAGCCACAAAGCTTGCAACCATTATTGACAAGGACCATCAACAACGCCCTCGTAGCAAAATGATCGATGTTACAACCTACAGCCACGATAAGAGTGGTTATATGACCGATACAACGGGTAAACTGTCCCGTAAGTACGCTGTTACTCAGCCGACCAATATAGGTGCTAACATAGGATTTGCAGAAGAGAACGGAAACTCCGAATTTTCCGATATGCTGGCCTCGTTTCCTCCTCCATCGACTGCTCCCCCCACCAACGGCAATCGAGGACCCGGCCCATGGTTCCAACGTGTATCACAGCATCTTCGTCCAATTGAGATGGAAAAGGTGGAGATGCAAGAGGATGTTCCTGCTCCTAAAAAGGGACGTCGTTGCTGCGGGATGCCTGTTTGGGCTTTCATCATTCTTATGTTTCTTCTACTCTGTGCCATTGCTGCTGCGGTCATTATCCCACTGGAAATGTTTGTTTTCAAAGGATTTGGAGGCATGGGGCAAGAGCCGTCGCCAACAGAAAAGTGCAAATCAAGTCTACCATGCATGAACGGCGGTACATCGGTGTTATCTGATGGTACTTGTTCTTGCATTTGCACTGGTGGCTTTACCGGTGTCAACTGCAATACCGTGGCTGCGATTGGATGTGCAACAACAAACTTGGTGGGACAGAACGGAGAAGTGGAAGTATCCAACGTTACAGTTGGCATCGCTATCCCTCGACTTGTTGCCGATGCCAGTGCAAACTACTCATTGGCTCTTTCTGGAACTCAGATCCTCGCCAAGTTTAGCAAGACCAGCCTGTCATGCCTTGCTCAGAATGCGTTGGTTACCTTTAATGGCAGCTCAGGCAGACCAGATGCGAACAGTCCTAGCAAACACTTGGTGATGAACAACATGCCAACAGTACAACAAGCCATCACACCGCTCGTGGATGTGCCAACGCGTCGTCAGATCACACACAGTGGTCGTGTGGCCGAAAGAGGTCTGCAATACTCTGACCTTCTGGGCATGAGCAACAGCAAACTCCGAAGCCGTGATAACAAGCCCAAGGAAGCACCACCACCCAAAGACAGCAGCAATAACAAGGGAACGCCGTCGAAGGACAATGCTCTTCCGGGTTTTAAGACGACGGATAAGATCCTCGATTTTGCAAGAGTCGCCGTTTTATACATTCTTCAACAGCAAAATTTGGACGCCGCCACCAAAGCACAAGAAGAGCTTCAGAAATTCTTCCAAAAGAGCCTGACAGGCGACGCTAAGCATGGTACGCTTGTGACGGAGAAGGATGCTGCTAATGTTACGATTGGTGGCCCCAACTCTATCAACTTGGTCAAGTTGTCTATTATATTAGCATAAATTTGTCATGTAGCGAATGATTTTCATGTATTATATATCAGGGAGGAGGATGAAGCAGGAGTGGAACATATTTCACGCAGATTGTGAAATCTTGTATAAACAAACGAGCATATTACAAACCTAGATCGTATAATTCTACAGCGAAATCGTTTACATTGAGCCAACCATTATTTAGGATAACTGTTCGGAGACAGAGTCGTGAAATTCAATAGCTACATTCATTATCTATTTCCTGCGTATCAATCTTGTATTGCACTAAAGAAAGAGTGCTACAGCAACAGGTAACCATATCAATAGTCCGACAGCCACAAACTGAGCAGCGCTCTTCGCGGGGCATGAAAGATGGCCCGTCTGACGGGGAGCTGTGCACCCGCTGTTAGAATTTTGATCGATTTCGATATCCCTTGTGATATTGCTAATAGCGACGCGGTCGACAGGTACTGCGCAAGGATCGGGGTCTGGAAACGGGTCGATCTCATCCAGCTTGGCGCAGGTAGGACAAGAAGGGCTTTTTAGCACCGATGCGACATTGATAGCTTGGCCACTTCTTCCCGCACAGTCTTGAGCGGCTGCAAGTAAATCAGGAGTCTCGCCACCTCTGTTTGCAATTTGGAACCAGATTGATGACCTCGGGGTGGTTAAGTTGCTGATCCCGCTGTTTGGCAGACACTGTCCACCACCCACTTGCCATTCAAGCTGGTAGGTGCCTTCAAGTGCAACTCCCAGGACAAGCATAGTCGCATATTGTATATAATCCGTTCTATTCGGATTGACAATGGAAGGGCGGCCATTTTGGATGGGGTGTAGGTCGGCGCCCCAGTCCATGGCAAATTCTATGCGCGCATCTAGGAGCTTTGCCTGAGGAGCATTCCGCATTGCCCATACCACTGGGAATTTGGTGAATTCGGTGCGGTTAGGCATCGTGTAAGTCTTGTTTTGGGGGAAGATTAGGTCAACCTCAAAAATCCCAGGTGAATCAGTCGTGGCCCCAATAGAGGCGAGACGGGCGCTGAGAAAAGTGGCGTGAGGTCGCATTGTGAATGTACTTGGTTGCTTGGTCAGTTGATGAAAGTAGGGGACCAGGTTTAGCAAGGCTAAGTTGGGGGACGGGGTATTGGAAGAGGTTTTAAGGCGGTAAGGACTGGGCTCTCTAAAGGTATCCCTTGCGCTTATCTGACTCTACCCCAGGTTCTCTTCTCCCGTCGAAGCAGGTGAAGCAACTGTGTTGGGCCGACTAAGACGAAATCAGGCTGCGCTAGCGTGGCGCTAAGGTTGCGCTCAGATATGGGCATGACTAGGCTGAATGGTGTCAGGCTCGGCTGCAATAGCCGCCATCTCGATAGAGATAGACTACATCGCGCTGTCTTGCATGGAACCTACAAGGAAACCCCTGAGTCTCACCAGTGTCGGTATTTTTGGATGTTCGTAAAGGTTGTAATTGGACTCGGCCTCTACGCTGTGCCTCTTCCTTATAAACTCTGGAAAGCCCGCCCTTGACCAAGCATTCATCATTCTGAGCCTGCAGCTCTGTCTCTTTGCTAGAGTATTCTTTGAAATACTCAACTTTCCACGCTCAATTTGAAGCAACATACACTCCATACCCTGCTAAACCAACTTCCTCTCCATTACCATGAGCAATCCCCATCTGAAAGCTCTACTGCTAATGGCAGCATTGACGCCTGTAATGGCACTCCCGAGCGTCATTCGCTCAAGGCATGTCTCCCATCTTGCGGATTCAGCGTCAGCCAACACGGACGGGCTAGTGAGTATGGCGCAACAGAGTCCGGATGCAATACCAATACCCACCGCGACCTCAGCAAACGTTGAGCCGCAAGCCCAAGATGATGTAGCACAAGTTACAGCCTCTGAGCCTTCGGTTCCCGATGAAACGCCTGCGGGCGAAGCCAATGAACAATCAGACATCCCACCAGACATTCAGACACTACCAACAGATGATCAGACACAACCACCGGATGCTGCTCCAACAGAAGAAGGTGAACCAACCAATGTCACTCCACCGGCTAATGAGAACGTCCCTGCATCCAGCAACAATACTGCGGAAACCCATCCCACTGGTCCTTCCACTCCATCTCCTCCTGCTGTATCAATCCATGGCAATAGGACAGGCATTTGGACTACGCACAACTGCTACATGCCAGCAGTACATGAAATCTTTATGGAACCTGCTCAAAGATGGCTAGAGCTGGATACCCCACGAGCCTTCCAAGATGTGGTCGACACATGGAAAAACTACGACAGACCCAATAACAGAGACTTTTTAAAGTCTGTTGAAAATACTATCGCTGATATTGAAGGTCAAAATTGTGGGCATATATCGGATCCTGGCTGTGCAGCCATGATCGATTGTCAGCACCTCGAAAACCAACCAGGCACAGGGCCAGCTGGATTTCTCATTCACAACTCATTTGTCAACATTCACAATGTAAGTTCTCAGGGAATTGTTAAACTGGAACACTCGCTAATCAAAAGCAGATTTATGCGCGGTTTGCTATCGATCTTATGGTAGCTACGGGGGTAGCATTAACCGATCTGGACGGTTTTGTGAACACCTTTGCACCACTACCACCCCCTAATCTGGATGATCAATGGCTAAAATTTGTATTTGATATGGTCATAACAGCAACTACGGGAGGCTTCGGGAAAATACTTGGCGGAGGTAAGCGACTATTGCTCTTAGCAGAATCACATGACAGCGAAGACGAAGACGGCTAACAGCAGACAGGCTTACTTGCTTCGGCTGGTTTTGCTAAGCTGGGCGATGATAACACAAAAGCTGGTGTAGAAACACTCATGCGTGGTGTATTTGACTTCATCCGGGATGCCCAAAACAAGCCAGCGTATGTTTTCCAGTGAATCTACTGCTATAAATTGCAAACTAACGTTGTATAAGTAAGACGGTATGGAACGCGCAGGGTCAGCATGACTTCAAAACCAGCATTAACACTGGATTCCGCAAGTCGTGGGAGATGGCCGCGACGTCTCTAGAAACACTCTTTGATGGTACAGACGAGAGCGTTCATCGCCTCGCCAATCTGATCGATAAAGGCCAGATGTTGCCTGGAGCTAAGACAAGCGACAGCATTTCTAGCAAGTCTGATATGAATCTGGCCAAACACTCGCTTACAACTATGTTTGGTTTTGCAGTTCCTCAGGCGTGGCGGGTATCTAGACACCACGTCTTTATTCTCGATCCTGGAACTAGTTGCTACAACAAGCAGCCTGCTGACACCTTCATCACCACAGATACGGACCATAAATCGCGCGTTTGCGTGGATGGGAAACTCTACTTCGTGGTAATGCCTCCAAATGAGCCGAGCACGAAGGAGCGTGGAGGAGGCGGAGGGTGTATGAAGTTTGACGCCTGTATACCCACAAAGTCGGTACCAAATCAATTTGTTTCTCCTCCGGGAATCGAGACACTGGATGGCAAAAACGATTTGATTGGAAACATCAACTTGGAGCAGATAGTCCGAGGGTGAGCCGATACCGCCGATTCTAAACCCCTCCTAACACTACTAATGATGTTTTCCTAGGTCTCTCATCTCTTTCCGCGCCAATAACAACAAGAACGGCAAGGTTCCGTTCAAGGCAGACGATATTGATAATGTCATGAAGCTGGCTGATAATAATCTGGAAATGCCTGGCTTCTTCAACCTGCCAATCTGCTCTGGCCGGGTCGCCCACGATAATTGGGGAAGGGTGACCTCAAGGATCCAAACTTTCCTTGCTAGGCAGATGGCACAGGTAGGTAGTGCCCCTGTCAACTAACAGTGTTGTCGTTCCCTGTATTTTAGTTATTGAAGAGGTGTGCTAGGCACAGATGAATTTTGGTGGACCGTTTTGTCATTTGCTCATGATATTAACTACAAAATATGTACATTGTTATCAACCTCCATGTTGCTTACTTTCTTTATATCTCTTTTCGTCTATAATTGTATTACATTCTGAAGACTCCGTACTTGGTGTCGCCAGCCTTGACAGCATTTCTGCCAGTCATGGCAGCATTCAGACCAAGACCGAGGTAATGTCTGGTGTGCTGGGGAGGAATGATACCATCGTCCTATAGGTTTTGATTAGCTTTGTTAATATAATATGTAGAGGAGCAAATGACTTACCCAAAGTCTAGCAGATGAGAAGGTGGCATCGCTCTCGCGGTCAATACGAGCCTTCAGCTCAGGATCGGCCTTTTGGCCAACAGTCTCCATGACAGAAGCAAGCTGTTCACCACCCATGACACCAATCTTCGCATTGGGCCACATCCAGAGGAAGCGTGGGCTGTAAGCTCTGCCACACATGCCGTAGTTTCCGGCACCGTAGCTGCCGCCAACAACGACAGTGAACTTGGGCACGTCGGCACAGGCGACGGCGGTAACAAGTTTAGCGCCATGCTTGGCAATACCGTCGCGCTCCGAGGCGGAACCGACCATGAAACCGGAAATATTCTGCAGGAACACCAGGGGGATGCCGCGCTGGGTGCAGAGCTCGACAAAGTGGGCGCCCTTGACGGAGGACGAAGCGAACAAGATGCCGTCGTTGGCGACAATGCCAACCTTATGTCCGTAGATGGAGGCGAAACCGGTGACTAGAGTAGTGCCAAAGTCGCGCTTAAACTCGGAGAACTCGGATCCGTCAACAATGCGAGAGATGATTTCACGGATGGGCATGGGCTTGCGGAGGTTGGTCGTGGCAATGCCAGTGAGCTCTTCGGGGTTATGGATAGGCTCGGCGTAGGGGACGACGGCAGCTTGCGTGGCAGGGTCCTTGGCCGGCCAGTTGAGGTTGCTCACACAGCGGCGGGCGAGGGTGATGGCGTGGGCATCGTCGACGGCGAGGTAGTCGGTGACACCAGATACAGAGGAGTGCATCTTGCCGCCACCAAGGTCTTCATGGCTGACAATTTCGCCAGTAGCAGCCTTGACGAGAGGAGGACCAGCGAGGAAAATGTGGCCTTGCTCCTGGACGATGATGGACTCGTCGCTCATGGCGGGAACGTAGGCACCACCGGCTGTGCAGGGGCCCATGACGACAGAAATTTGAGGAATGCCCTTGGCAGACATGCGAGCCTGGTTGTAGAAAATGCGGCCGAAATGGTTTTGGTCGGGAAAGACGTCGGCCTGGTGAGGGAGGTTGGCGCCACCGCTGTCAACCATGTAGATACAGCTAAGAAATGCACAAGTTAGAGGATGATAATGGACTTAGAATAGACAAATACGGGGGATTGCTTACGGGAGGTTGTTCTCCTGAGCAACAGCCTGAGCGCGGAGGTGCTTCTTGACGGTGATGGGGTAGTAGGTTCCTCCCTTGACAGTGCTGTCGTTGGCAACAATGACGCAAGTAACGCCCTCGACAACACCAACGCCGGTGATGATGCCGCCAGCAGGGACCTCGGCCTCAGGGTACAGCTCGTAGCCAGCCATTGGGGAGAGCTCGAGGAACGTGGTGCCGGGGTCGATGAGGGCTGTCACACGATCGCGAGGAAGCATCTTCTTGCGGGCAAGGTGCTTCTGTCGGGCCTTTTCAGGGCCACCGCGCTGGATCTTCTCGGAAAGGGTCTGCATGCGAGCCATAACCTCAGCCATCTGGCGCTCGTTGTCTTTGAACTCATCAGATGACGGGTCGACATTGGTAGGAAGGCGGGAGATGGCAGCGGCCTGGTGCGGCGGGGTGATGGTAGCTACGGCACGGGCTTGCTTGAGCTGGCGTCTAGAGAGCTGGCCGGCGAGGCGGAGAGCCTTCTTGGGGGCCGTGGAGAGGACCATGGTTGCGGATGGTGTGGTCTGGGGGCGATGGTGAGGGTAAGAGAGTAGGAGAGATGGAAAGAATGGCGACGAGGGTGAGAATGGGTTTTTCGTGGTGTTGAAATTTAAGACCGAGATGCGCTAGCTACGTAGAAAAGCTGGCTATTGACGGGTCTAGCGAGCCTGGGGTAAACGGCTGGAGCCGTCGAAGGCTCGGCTTACGGTACGTGTTGGGGTAGACGACCGTGTAACTCGGATAAAAACTGAAAGTAAAAACAATAAAAAAATCTTTAAAGTCATGTATATATCTCAGTATCTAATTGATCTATTAATAATTATTTAACATTTTGGATTTATTTTCCATGGTATTCTTTTATAGCTCATAGTCTTGTGTCGGCTTTAGCGGTGCGCGCCCTGCAATTTTAGCGACCAAAAACAAAAGAAAAAAATGCCCTGGTCAACTGAGCAGCAGGGGAAAGCTGGGGGAGCAAATCGTGGGGCAAACGCCCTTAAGCCGAACGCCTAAGACACTGGCATTCCAGTAACCAGGCACGAGGGGCAGGGTCGCCGGATGCAGCCTTTTCACTGCATCCAAACGGTAAAATTGACGCCGTAAAAATGCAAAGAATACTGTAAAATATTAAACACGGTTGAATGAGCCATTGATGCCCCTAAATCCCCTATGACAATTTATTTGTGAGACGAATCTACAAAAACGGCTTTGTAAACCACCCATCAATTCGGCGCTAAAGCCGCGCTGAGCCGGCTAAGGGTCAGCCTCTGCAACCGGGTCGGCTTTAGCACATCCTCTCTGGTGACGTTTTTTTGCTACCACAATCCATCCCTCTCGCCGGTCGACTTTTTCTCCTCCAGTCAACCTGTCCTTTCTTTTTTTTTTCCCCTCTTCTCTTTTCTATTTTCCCAACACTCTATATATCACGAAATACACAATGGCCAGCATCCGATCCATCAGGGCTCTCGCCCGCCCAGCTATGCAACTCCGCCCAGCTGTTACCGTCTCCGCCATCCAAGCTCGACTTCACTCCTCCAAGCACCCCAAGAACTTTGTCGCCCCTGCTGCTGACGAGCTTGAGGAGCTGCGTGAGCGCGTCCAAGAATTCACTCGCCGCGAAATCACAGAGGAGGTTGCTGCCAACACTGACAAGACCAATGCCTTCCCCAACGAGATGTGGCAAAAGCTGGGCGATGCTGGCTTCCTCGGCATCACTGCTGACGAAGATGTCGGCGGTCTCGGCATGGGCTACCAAGCGCACTGTATCGTCATGGAGGAGCTTTCTAGAGCCTCGGGCTCCATTGCTCTAAGCTATGCCGCTCACTCCCAGCTCTGCGTCAACCAGATCCAGCTCAACGGCTCGCCCGCACAAAAGGAAAAGTACCTCCCCGGCTTGATTGCTGGTACCAGTATTGGTGCCCTCGCCATGTCTGAGTCCGGCTCTGGTAGTGACGTTGTCAGCATGCGCACCACCGCCAAGGCTGTCGACGGCGGCTACGTCCTCAACGGCTCTAAGATGTGGATTACCAACGGCCCCGACGCCAACGTCATTGTCGTGTACGCCAAGACAGAGCCCGAGAAGGGCTCCAAGGGCATCACTGCCTTCCTTGTTGATACAACGACCGAGGGCTTCAGCTGCGCCCGCAAGCTCGACAAGATGGGAATGCGCGGCAGCAACACTGGCGAGCTCATGTTCGACAACGTCTTTGTTCCCAACGAGAACGTCGTTGGCGAGATTAACAAGGGCGTTCGCGTCCTGATGGAAGGCCTTGACCTCGAGCGCCTCGTTCTCAGTGCCGGACCTCTTGGTCTGATGCAGGCTGCTCTCGATGTCGCCCTTCCCTTTACACACCAGCGCAAGCAGTTTGGACAGCCCATTGCTCACAACCAGCTTGTCCAGGGTCGCCTAGCTGATATGCATACCAAGCTCCAGGCTTCGCGAGCATACACATACGCCACAGCTCGTGCTGTTGACGAGCAGGGTTCCATCCGCACTGAGGACTGCGCTGGTGCCATTCTGTACGCTGCCGAACGCGCCACTGAGTGTTCGTTGGACTGCATTCAATTGCTGGGTGGCATGGGCTACGTCGAGGAGATGCCTGCCTCTAGAATATTGAGAGAGTAAGTCGTTTATTTTGACTATCTGGCGATGATTGGTGCAAATTATGTTCCGCTGCTAACTACTTTGTTTTTAGTGCCAAGCTGTACGAGATTGGTGCCGGAACCTCGGAGATTCGACGCATGGTAATCGGCAGAGCGTTCAACAAGAAGTACGCCAATGTATAAAATATAAAGTAAGAAAGACGTGTTACCGGCGACTGGCATTTGATTTGATGTATATATTGCATGGCGAGTGGTTACAGTGACAGAACACAGGTAACCTCGCCGACCCAAAATCGAAAAATGTTTTTTACTTTACGAAGCATGTAACAGAGTGTATCGTCATGAATTGCCTAGTTTATTGTTATCAAAGAGAAGATTGAGCCAAGTCGGCGTCTGTGTCCACTTCGCAAATTCGGGCTTTTGCTTTGCCGCTGAGCCGTTGTTCAACAACCAGAAGCAAAGAATGACGTTGGCGGCTGATGGTGATTCGACGGAACAGGGAATCGGACAAGGGGGGCATAACTGGGGAGAAAATACGCCTTGTTGCCGATCTCAAGAGACCAGCCTCCACGAACGATGAGAGTCAACCATTGTTTACTGGCGTAACACCCGCTCATCCACGTTTTTGTCCACCCTCTTTTCTTCTTTTACTCTTCGTTACACACTTCTACGTCCTATTGAACCCATTATATCCGCGAACGGCCAGATGTGAACAAAGAAGTGAGACATTTAGAGATGGGTTGGAACGTAATCGTGTCTCAGGTCCCTTGTTCCTGAGACATTTCGACGAACACGGCCAGACGCTTCACCAAGAGCTTCACGATTTACAACTATATAAGGGGAGTTAGGTAGACCTCTTGGTCTGTTTATTTTTCTCATCATCATATCTGCTCAATACTTCCAACCACTCTATTCAATCGACACTTTTTATCTCTATTCTCTACTCTTTCAAGCCATCACCATGGCTTCCAAGTCCTTCGCCGCTCGCCTCATCCAGGCCATTGCCCGCCCCAGTGTCTCGCCTTTGGCTCGACCTGTCGTCCACAAGACATCCATTGCCCGACCGGCCTTTGTTCCGGCGCGTTTCTTCCGTCACACACCAGCGGCCCTTGGTCAGAGACAACACAAAGGTCGTTCTGAACCTGACACCCAGGTCAAACGTGCCCATTGTCTCAAGAGCAAGCTGCTTTCCGCCAAGCATACGGCTAGATCCGATGGCCGTAATGTTCAGTCGGCATTGCCCGCCTTTTCATTAGATGGATACGTCGGGATTGCCACGGGCAAAGTCCCAGATCATGGACTTGCCATGAACCACAAAACAGTGGCGTCAGGTGCTCAGTCAGCTCTGGCAAACATGATCACCAAACATCAAGAACGTGCAACAATCAAAACCCTGATCCCTAAGAACACCGTTTCGCAAAAGACCAGCATGCACCGTTCAACATCACAACCGCTACCAAAGACGACATTTTCAACCGCCAGCCCAAAATCACGGCCCATGGCTGCAATGTCTCGGATTCTACCTCAGTGGATGCTTGCAATACAGAAGCTACTACAGCACATAGCAAGATGGACAGCCTCGTTACGTCGACTGGCTTCACGGAAAGCATCGAGATCGACAACAACCCCGTTCACCACTTATGAGAGATCCCAAATGGTAAAGTCAAAGACTCAGACTGCGTCGCGGCCGCCTTGGCCAGACATTTCTTCATTCACAACATTCCCGGCCGCGAAATACCTGCTTGAAGCTTGCCGGGCTCCATTATCAACATTCCGAAGCAACAAGCTCCCCACTGTGCCTCCCAGACAGTTGTCGGGGGCGTTGCCTCGCCCTTGGCCGTTGAGCCCATATTCATAATGTGAGGGATTCAAGGCCAAAACATTTTGCGCCGCCGCCTGCAATCTCTTGAGCGCCAAGGTTGCATAATTACAAAATTAACGGTTACATATTTTACCATCATATACCCTTATGTAGTACATTTCTTAATATATGACGAGAGTTTACAATGTTACACTTTGAACAAATAACTTATCTGCCTTCTGTGTCCACTTGCGGCAGACGACTCCACTCCGTTAGCGCCTCCACTACTGCACGATGCAACTGACAAAACCACTGCCACTCTCGCCTTACAAACCAACCGCCAGCTGCAGCATCGCATCTACGAGATACGATTTAACCAAACAGCGCATATCTGCCATCGACAGGCCCTTGGCCCTTATTTATTTATTTCCTAAACCGCCATAGCTGTGCCTACATTTCTTCACGGACCAGGCTGCTCCCCACCAAGTGTAGGCTCGTCTTGGTAATACGCCGCATTTCGTTGGTGCAAGACAAGCTGCACGAGGCCGATCTGATCCCCTCCACACCTGTCGGGGCGCCTTCATGGCCCCTTAGCAAGGAGTTCTCATCTATGCGCATTGATCAACTGTCATCAAAAAGCAAACACCGCCTTGGAGATGGTCGTCTAGTGGCCGGTGTGCCGTTTGCTACTATCAACCAGGCACATTCGTCTACTGGGCGTCGCTATTATTTTCACAGTCCTTCTCGCCTCACAGCTTCTAGGACACATACCAGCTGCCTTGTGAGCTCTGTTTGTCGGGAAACCACTTCGGATTTACGTGATTCGACCTCATATCATATCCCTTTACGCTTGCGACATGGATGTCACCAACACTACACCTTTGCCAAGCGGTATCGTCAAGAACTCGTCGTCAATATACGACGAGATCTCTCGCTATCCTATTCTTCCCGCGGACAATGCCTACCGGTATTGGCACGGTGCGTTTGCCGACCGATAGTTTCATACGATCAGACGCTAACCAGCTAGTTCTAGTCTACACCGTGACGAATAAGAAGTTCCAGGATCCGACAGCGCGCCGGCTAGAAAATTTCTGGTGGCATGTCTGGGGAAGCGACCGCTCGCGGCTGAGTGGGCGTGCCATAGCTAAGATGTTCGAGCACATAGCTTCAGGTCCAACATTTGTTCCTCTCGGAGAACCTACAGATTCTTGGAGAAATAAGCATGTAAGCAGAGAAGGTCAATAACTAGTAAGGCTATGCTAACTCATGTCTTACATGAAGACACCATCTACTTCTAGAACTGTGCTTAGCGCCGAGACACCTCAAGCCGCACATGGCGGATCAGCAATCAAAGCGAAAGTTGGCTCGCGCGACCAATTATCAAAACAAAACCAGCCTCTCCCTATTCTTAAAAAGACAAGAGGGCCATCGTCCAGCGGCCCCCGACCTACTGCCAGGTTCATCTCACCCAATGCGCTCGAAGACAAACAGCGGCAATATGGCACACACGTTCGACCTGATATCAATAGGCCGTATTGACACGACTTGGTATCGCAAGCCAATATATCCAGTATCTTTCGAATTTATATTGCTCTAGAGCATGCTGCTATCCAAGTCGCCCGCGGTTGTATCATGGAAAAGCGACTACCATTGGCCACGCTATCTAGGAAGCCCTTGCTTGCGACCTGTTCATCCCCACATCTATTTACCGTGGCTGGGATTCATTTATTATTTCGCTAATTACGTGTTTGCCATAGACACTATTTTCGAACTATCTTCGACTTGACCTGGCAAACCGCAACTACACCACTACCTGAACACTGTTGGTGGGCTGGGAAATAACTGGGTTTAGTAAAGCAAGAGTAGCAGAAATGGTAGTGCTGTTATTAATTCTATAACCAAACTATTAATAAGAATATTAAAGCCGAATACTATTAATGATATTACGTTTGACATAAATAACGTTGTTTTATCCAATCGAGAGCATACGCCATATACGCAGCCTCGCCTCAGCGCCAAACAAGACAGATTGAAACAATAAGGAGACAACATCAGCAGCTGAATAAGAAATACGTCACCCCCATGTAAGCTGTTCAATAGTAGCAAACCATGATAATGATGGGAATCGCGCTGCCCAGCTCAAATATACACAAAAACATAACGCCTTAAAAATCACCAATCGGTTTCAATCGTGAAGCCGAAGCATTTTGCGAAGAGTGCCAAACTTCTTCTTCTTTTGTGGTGAGAGTTCTGCTAAGTCGGGAATAGCCGGTACAGCCGGCAGATCAACAGGATCACCGTTCAATGTAGTGTGATCCAACCCAACCATGCCTTGTGAGGCGCTGCGGCGGCGCAGATATTTCGATTTGCCCTTTACTATCTTTGGTGCGCCGTTGGATGTTGAAGGCCGGTCCTTGTCGGAACCTGAGTTGCCTCCTACATCAACGGCACCATTGCTCTGGTTTTCATCGGGGAGAGGCCAACTCGTTTCACGAGCCAAACCAGCGTCCGCAGCATCCGAAATATCGATCGAGTGGCGTTCAGCGGCATCCTTTTTGCGCCTAAGCATAGACATGAAACTCCCACGACGAACATGGCTAGCGCGTGTAGGGGTTGAAGTTTCAGTCGAGTTAACATTCTGGCTCTGCTCCAAGGTCGACACTCGCTTCGGTTGAGTGATGAGGTTCGATTCTGGTATATCTGGCGAATCAAATCCGGTCGCCGTTGATCGAATGTCAATTGCACTAGCTGTTGCGCGCTTTGATTTGTTCCTCAGAGACCTCTGCATTGACTTCGACTGAGGACGTGCCGGTTCTTCTTCGTCACTTGAATCTGCGAACCGACTGCGAAACAGACTAGTCGGCTCATCTTCCTCATCACTAGAATCTGCAAACCGGCTACCACTGGGCTTTGTCTTGGTATTTCCTTTGCTTGATTTACCAAACAAGCCTCGCCGACGCGAGGCGGCATCGACAGACTCTCCTCGAAGCGATTGGCGCATTCTTCCGGAGTTAATGCCCGCTGTCGACGAGTTAACTGCAGTTGAACTGCTTTTAAATGCAGTTGGAGACATTGATCTGAGGCTGAATCGGTTTGTAGTAGGGTCAGACGTTTCCTGTCCGCCACTGCGCATTGACCGACGAAACTCTCGCGTACCTCCAGAGCCAGCACGGGCACGGGTAAAACTGCTCTCACTTGAATCGGATCCACGGCGACGCAGCGTAGGGCTCACCATTGATTTTCTATTGTTTTGTGTCAATGCCAGATCTCTGGACGTCTTACGCTCATGTGATAGCGCAGAGTCAGGATGATAAGACGCAGGTCGGGCACCTCCGTTAACATTCGAACGACTTGCAAAATCGTCAGCGGTCGAGGGGCGCTGTCGAAGGCTCTTCTTCATTTTAGATCCAGCAGTAGTTGACAATGGACTCTCTGATGTCGTGGCGTGTCGTTCAATATTACTGGAGGATGTCGGTCTGCTATTACGCATAGACTTTCGCATCGTCAACTTAGGGGTTGGCTCTGGTGCAGTTGTACTTATCGGCTGAGCCGTAGCATCCCGCATAGATGCACGCAAAGCACCAGCTGTCTTCCTTTCTGCTTTACCAGTAATAGCTGCGGCGTTTTTGTCGCTAGTATCCCAGGAGCTTCCGGGTGTAATTTGATACGTACGGTCCGAGGCCTGAACTGGTTGGGCTTTCTGGATCGAACCGGCAGCGGTGCTACCCGATTCTCCCGCTTCTTCTAGGGCTTCAAGCTCAAGCTGACGCCTCTTTTCTTGGGATAAACTCTTCCAGTAGGCTTTAGCGTTTTCCCAATCAGCTGGGTTTTGTTCTGAAGACGCCGCATCAGTTGCTGAGTTCAAAGCTGATTCCGTAAACTCTGTAGCTGTAGGCGAGCCGGTGGGACTCTCGAGCACAGCGTCTAGTGACATAAAACCGTCTCCATCTACTTCCGCAAGACTGTCATGCGCATCTGCGTAAATGTCGTCTTCAGGCTGTGTATCGCTATCATTGGCATTGTCATTATCGATAGTCGCTTCAGCGATTTGGCTCGACCCTGTATCGCCACCAAAGAAAGGACCCTGACCATTAGGTTGGGGACTGGCTTGCGAAATGGATATTGTGGGAATGGCATCCTCTTCGGGTCCTTGTTTGATGATATTGGCTTTAGACCCCTTGGCGCTAACTTCAGTGCCTACTTCAGTCATTGAGTCATCCATCTCATCAGATGTATCATCTAAGAGGCTATCGCCAGAACTCAACGAGTTCCTGTCAACATCGGTGACTGTGTCGAATGCATTCGCTGCTTCTGTTATTGTTAATACCGAATCACTCAAAGCTGGTTGGAAAAGCTTACCAGTAGCTACGGCGGGGCGGACGAGAGGTCGCTCCTCAACATCTTTAACCTTCTTCTCTCTAACGCTACCAAAACTGGGTAGAGCTGGTCGGGGAGCCATTGTTTCACCTTCATCCAGGGTTATTGCTTCTTTTTTTAGTTGTTTTGGTACAATATTATGCCAAACTTTCTTTGTGGGGGGGCTTGGAGAAGGAGAGACACCAGTAAAAGCCTCCGGCTCCGGTTCAGAGTCTGCCGAAGCAACAACCGTGCTACGATCATTCCAACTGACTCTCGCATTCTTCTTCCGCAAAGCAGACTCCTCAGGTGTTAAACCTACTCCGGACACGTCTGACCCATCATCAGAGGGTGAGATAGCCCTTGTCGGGCTGGAGTGTTTGAGAGCTGATTTGCGAGGAGACAAGGATCTGGGAGGTGGGTCATGCTTAACAACCAATTGATCTGTAGACGAAGCGAAACGAGTCGATCGGGCGGGGCTTTCCGACGGAGCTCGTTGTTGTATGTTGATCTTGACCTTGGATTCGGGGGTCCTAGGTGCCTTGGATGTCTTCGGTGATCTTTGTTGTTTCGTTGCTGACGCTTTCTTCGCCTTTGTTTTTGGAGACGCTGTATTCTCGTCAGAGCCAACTTTGCCACTTTTTGGCTGCGACTTTTGGTCTTCGGCCGCCTCCCACTCTTCTCGTTCAGGCTCTTCTCTAACAATGGATGGTTTCTTCGTCAATCTTGGCGTCTCTGTCACAATTGTGGCAGGCTCTTGGCCATGTGCCCCGTTGTCATCCATCTGGGCAGCTTCTGTAGTTGGTTTTGTGGCTTTTTGCGTCTTCTTCGTTTTCTTTGGCCTAGCCTGACCAGCTTGCTCCGCTGTGCCAGGTAAGCCGGGGCTACTGTCGGCCAAAGTATTCGATACGGCTTTCTTCTTAGACTGCTTTCTTGCCGGCTTGATATCCAGTGTACTAGCAGCGACCATTCGTCTCGAATTGGGGTCATATACAAGTCTTTGGTCGTCGGGTTGAGAGCGAAGACTACCAGTAGGTGACTGAACTCTTGGGTAGGAGAAATTAATAGACGGGCTCACGCTTCCAGGCCGAGGTTCGAAAGATGTTCTTGACGAAAGCTGGATGGCGGACGATGCTTTGCGAACAGTGCGGGGGTCGCCAGCTGCGGCACCGCCAAACCATGACGCTTGGTTGTCTGTCGACCGTTGGCTGGCGGGCCGAAACGCCTGGGTAAGTGATCGGCCGGTTGCTCCCTCGTTCAATGGTAGGCTAGGAATGGGAGGCATATCGCGTAAAGTTGGGATTGGACTTCTACCAGGTGACGGCGAGCGAAACGTGCGTTCAGTCATAGAACCAACGCTAGGTGACCTAGCAAGTTCACGTCTTCTGTTCCCTTCGAGACCAGTAGCTGAAGATACAGAGGGTGTGCGTCGAAGCACCCGTTTGGACTGTACATCGCCTACTATTGTTGGACTCATCGGTCGGGCTTTCAGAGCCGCCGCAGCGGCTGCGGAAGAGAGCGATGCATTCTGAGCATCTCTTCGCATAAAGGCAGATGCTGCCGCGGTCGCTGCATTCGCGTGTGCCGTTTCCCTGGTAAGGGGCTGTAGGAACATATAAAGTCAGCATGGTTCTTCAGTAACTGTCGAGGCTAGAAGAGCGTGTTTTGTCGCATGCAATGGGTTGATGCAACTCACCTGAGCGGACCTTGCGCGCCGACGCGAGCCTCCGAACATAGCGAATTTGTTGGCTCGTCAGCCTAGGGCGCGAAAAGGCCGGAGTGCATGAATGAAAGAAAGGATGGATAGGGAATGTAGGACGATTCGAGAAATTGCCAGTAAGAGATACAAAACAGACGTGGCGCGTAAGAGTGCAGAAAATCACAACAGCCTGCTCTAGGTCAAAAACTTGGCCAGACCAAGATGAGTAATGAAACAAGGCCTGACAGAACAAGGTGGTATAATAGCTGGGCTGGGTAGGGGGTGGGTGGTATGTGCTGCCAAGCTTGTTTTTTGGAAGTTGGCCAACTATGGAGCCGATGACGACACCTGCTGTTCCCCCCAGTAGCGCTCATCAGCCATCCTTAGTACATCACGTGATGTTCACTTGCCTTGTGTGTACCTGGAGACGTAGTCAAAATGCGCCGCACGGATCTAAAAGTATTATTATTATTAGCTAGAGAGAATCAAAGTAGTGGGCTAAGGCCCATAATTCGAAACCCCAGTTTTGGGCGATAGCTACTGACAACAAGTCACTCTGCTCTTTACCACACCTTAACTATATTGGCTGAAGTATTGATCAAGGAGAAAGCCCGTACAGATTAAATGGAATTTAATTCACTCAAGTTCCGCTTGGTATTCTATGATTTCCAGCACTTAGTGACCCCAACCTTGGTGGAGTTTCGTCTAGTGCATAATCTGTAATGCTCCCGGGGTGGTTGCCTTGACTGTTGGCGATGACAACGCCTTCTGTCCCACTCTCAAGCACCGCCAAGTCGGATTGCGCGGTCTTTTGGGTTGTAACCCTGGCTGTATTATTCTTCCTATTTTTCCAGCTTTTTGATTTTGCTTTTTGCAGGAGACGCTGGCGTTCTTGTTCGTCCTTTCGTAACTTTCGGTCCTTCAATTCATATATCCGAACAAGAGCACGCGGAGGGGTTCCGAAGATACTTTCATACTCGCAAAATTCACAAATCCAGACATCTTCCTGTTTTGGAGGTGATCGAGCTTGTTTTGCTGCTGCTATGCGGCGGCGATAATCCGCAGCGGCATGGAGAACTTCGCTGAGCGGGCGCCTACTGCGAGGCCTAATAGGACGCTCGCCTATACCAGCATCCAATGTATTCGGAGATGCGATACTATTAGTAGTGCTGCTTTGCATGCTAGATGGTGATTTCTCTATTGCTAGTGTCAGAATTATGTCGAGAGATTTTGTCCAACAGAACTCACCAGGCCAAAGTAGCGTGTCATGATTCAGGGAATTGCAAGTAAAGGTGAAGCTGGGCGAGTTCAGTACGTCTGTGCCAGTGGAGCTAGCATTTTCCTGTCCATCAAGGGTGCATGTATTGGTGCTGGACAGCATTTTAGAATCGTATGCACCAGCATCGCGTTCGAGCTTCAGTTTCGATAGCGTGTTTGAAGTATCAGATCGGGCTCTCAGAGGTTTCCTTCGACCTTGTTTACTCCTAACATTCTCTCTATTCAAACTTTGTCGGTTTATGATGGCAGATTGGTGATTTAGTGTGGATTGGGGGCTGTTTAGTCCATTATCAATGAGTTCTTGCTTTGTCTCTTGTGGTAGTTGATAAAGCACAGACTGTTCTTGCGGAACGTCCGTCAGCGAAGGGATCTTTCGTTTCTTTTTGTTGTTTGCATTTTCTAGAGCATCATAACCACTTGTATGTTCTGAAATATTCAAGCTTCCCGAGACACAGTCCGTGTCATTGTAGGGTTGTCGGCCATGCCCAGTATCAAACGCGCTGCGCTGATCGATAAGAAACCCCTCTGTAGGGGGACAAGGATATATATCAAGAGAAGGGCGCTGTATCTTGTCACTATCCGGTCTGTACTTTGATAGTTCGGGGTCTATAATCAGCGCAGAGCTCGATCGTAATTGTGACTGCCTAGTTGGTTGGCGGCGCTGGGGGAGTGGCCGTATGGGTCGATTTGGAAAGCGAGTAGACTTCGCATCCGGCTGCATTGCTAAACAATATCCCTACAGCAGTGAAATTCGTTGTGAGAATATATTGGTGGTGGTGCCAGTTAGGAGCTAGTCCTCGAGGCGTAAAACGCAACCAAAGCTCGGCATACAACTAGTGTAGTCCTCTTCGTCCTTGGTCCAGGAGGACACAGCCATGCAGACGCATGTAATTGGAAATCGATAGGTATTTATAGATTACCAACTATAAAACCGTTAGACGACATTCTGTTGACTGATTCTCTTGTGGCCTCCGTAGGTAACCGGCCTACCTAATTCGCCTTAACCCCATAGGAGTATTGCGAAGCGTCGAGAGATATCGGGTAAGCGACGAGCTCTATAGTGGATATTAAACTGAAAAACGATGTATTATGTTTGCCATGAGCTCTCGTTTATGCCTGAGTAAAATAACAAAGATGTTTGGAACTTCAAACGGTGTGGCTGATGTGCCTTAAACTATTCGCCAGTGGATAGGGGAGAAGCGTAGGGCATTAGCAGTAATTAGGTAAGCTAAGCAGGAACTGTATTGCTGAAACAGTGGTAGATGGTTCTGGATAAAATGCGGGTTAAATATGAGCGAGAGGAGCGGGAATTATATAAGATTGTTATTCTGCCCTCTGTGAAATCCACGGGCTATTTTATTGAAGAAATAGAAAATTCGTCACTAATGCTGCACTGGTACGCTTTACTGGGCGGTTTCATGAGGTGAGAAGCTCTGTCTGGCAAGTCGCCCCTCCCACCCCCAGATGACCCACTGTCAGGTCTACGAGTGACTGCGCCCAGCGACCCCAATTCCATACCGACCACCTTCTTCGCAAGCCGACCTCCAGTACACAGCTCGCGCTCGTGAACTCAACTCATTATAACCTACAAGATATACAATACGGCGCTATAATTTGCGCTTACTAGTGGACTTCTAGGTTCCATTCACATCCCTACATAGATTACTGCACCCAGAACGGTCCGTCCTCCTCTCACTCCGCGCTCGCGCGATCGGAGACTCTATTTCGAAAAATACCAGCACCTACAAAGAGAAAATACGTTAATTATCTCAATATTGTGCAAGGCTTGTCCCCAATGGCACCATCTTCGCCGCGACGGTCGTCACGAGCCCGCTTTGGCAATTCGCATTCTCACCAGCCAGCCGGATTTTCCAATTCTACACCACGCTTCGACAGAAGTACGCGATCGCTCAATAAGGGTTCCCCGGAGAAATCCACGTCTCGCTCACTCTCTTCAGAGGGTCCAGATGATCTCGAAGATACACTTCTAAGCCGACGGCGAAAACGAGGTTTGGAGGATGATACCGACCGCGCCACTCGTTTGGATAACAGTGATTATGCCAATGCAAGTGATGACCTCCAGGATGACGATGATGAGGAAGAAGAAGATGAAGCCGTTCGCTGTCTTTGCGGCTCTGACGATTACCCCGGCCGACCAGATGTCGATGGACCAGACGCAGAGTTTTTCAACTCCGTAGAGCTGACCGACGATGTCACGGGCTTTTTCGTTCAATGCGACATTTGTAAAGTCTGGCAGCATGGTGCATGTGTTGGTATTTTCAGCGCCGAAAGTTCACCGGATGAATACTTTTGCGATCAATGTCGCAAAGACTTGCATAAGATATATACGGCAAACGACGGGTAAGCCTCTGCCAACATCAGTCAATGACCCCATTCATAAGACGAATCTCTTTCTCTGACGGTATGGCCATTCACAGACAAAAATACTCAAGATACTTGCCCCTTTATCGATTTTCGCAACCCGGCTCGAGAGCAGTTTCCGAGGCTCAGGATACACCGAATTCACCGAAATTGGGAGGACCAAAACTGAGTCGCAGCGAGGCCAGAGAGCTTGCGTCAAAGAGGCGATCGACCATGAATAGCCGCGATGCTGCATACGATGATGAACAGCTCCGGCGAGCAATTGAGGCTAGTAAAGAAGTAATGGATGACTCTACAGAAGGCTCTATAACCAGAAGGCCGAAGCGAGGGCGAAGTGATAGTGAAGGGTACTTTATTTTTATCCGTATTTGTTTTGTTTTACTAATTGTCTTTACAGGAACCAAACTAGTGCCAAACGGCAACGAACAGCCTCCCGCTCCCCGACTCCTGTTGAAGATCCGGGCTCATTACAAAGTCGCGAAGAATCCGATGATGATATTGGTGCCCATAGTGGAACCAGGAAATCTAGAGGGCGCGCCATACGCGAAAAGGTAGAGAAGGACGACCGTGAGCGTGCTAGACAAGAGGCAGCCGTAAAACGGCAAGGCCGTGCTGATCGGCGTCGCGCAGAAGGTACGGATTGAATGTATAATTTGGATAACAGAGGCTAACACTTTTTAGATTCAGATCTTTCGGAAGAGAATTTGGTCAACAACATGGCCAAACCAACTCCCGTACATGCTGTTGCCGACACCGAGTCGAACACTGAGTTGCCACTATCCACGACAACCTCGGCACCTGGAACACCACCACCAAGTCAACCGATGTCAGGCAATATGCAGAAGAAACTCTCAAAAAGTAATCAGAAGCGCGGTCGGGGAAAACCTCAACCTGCTAAGGAACTAGATGGAGACACTGAGGCTTCACCTGCACCTTCTGCATCACTAGATGGTCAACCCACGGCTGAAGAATCCGCGCCAACATCCAACCCTAAATCGCCCCCTGGTGAACAACGGCATATTTCTAAACTCAAGACATCATTGGCGAATAAACTTACCATGCTTGATATGAAACGTCGCGTTGCGGCTATTATGGAATTTATCTCGCGTACCCAGCTTGACCTTGCTGCTGAAGCAATGGAACATGCAAGCACGTCAAGCTCGGGCAACGCAACGCCAACTAAACAAATATCTGCTGACGAGGCCGCTGCTGCTGCAGGACGTGTCATTAATGAAGAGGATATTTTGACCGGCAAAAAAGACTTCGAGAAGTTAACATGTATTGAAATGATGGACGTCTTGACTAGGGATATGGTGAAGTGGCAGAATCAGTACTCATAACAAGAAAGTCGTTTTAAAAGCGGCAAAACAAGACGATTAGAACATGTCAGTTGTATATGAAAATAATAATGGGACAATAATGACAAGTCATTTGTACAAGATGGGAGGGGTGGGAAGCTGAACAATTGGGTATCGCATTAATCGCAATATAGTTACAGTATTATACAAATGGTGTACACAGTTCTTCAAAAAAAAAAATCTGCGGCTTTCGTTATCCGACATTTGCTGAAGAGGCAGCTTTCTCCTCTCGACGCAGCTTTTTCGCCTGGTGCATGCTTTGTTGTGGTCTAAGGAGCAGTGCCTGATGAGCCAGAATAGACTGTTCGGACAAGTCGTCTAAGACGTATTTCCCTAGTTTTCCCTCACGCCACTGAGACAGCAGCTTCGCGGCAGCTTCTTGATGATTCGGTACCCCCCCTATTTTGAGTTTTCCTTCACGTATCGCTACAGCAGTCAAAAACTCAGTGATGTCGTTTGTCGGTTCGCAATAGCGGGCGTATAGCGCCGGGTTCCATGAGTTCATGCGAAAAAGCAGATAGTCCGCCAAGATCTCATCGTGAATCAGTCCTTTTTTTATGCCATGCGCTAGCGCCACCTTTATCATGGTTTCGCCGTCTTCAACGTAGGGTTGAAAAATGCCAGGTGTGTCCAAAACAAAGACACCGCCACCAACACCGCCATTCTCTTCGGAAGGAACGACTCGCACAGCCGTTCCAACTTTTCGGGTTACTCCAGCTTGATCACCAGTTTTAGCAGCTTTTGCGGTTTTCCCAGTAATGCCAGCATTCCGGAGTGAGTTGAGCAAGGTGCTTTTACCAACATTGGGCATTCCCACAACCAGTGCCCTTAGGCCAACAAGTGAGTCAACCGACCTAGCTGTTTGCTTCAGGACCTTAAGCAGCTGTTGGGTCGACGATAGTTTATTTTTGTCCCAGAACAGGACTCTGTCGCCGTATATGCGCCTCAGAGCTGTCCTTGCTGATGTCGAGTCGGTGCCAAGATCGCACTTCGTGTAGACAATTAGCTTTTCTCTCCCGCCTATTGCTTGCTCTAATGTCGGATTTTGTGTAGACAGCGGAAGCCGGAAATCTCTGCATTCCAAAACGATGGAAACATTTGGGATAATGGTTTTGATCTTGCTAGCACCAGCTTGGTGATGGCCTAGGAAGTACGTTTTGGGAACTGACGACGGGACCTCGAATATTGATCTGGCGATAAATCGTGCCATCATAGAGCTTTTAGTAATCGTATTAATGACAAACCCATGGTATTGAAACGCGTCAGGCCGGGCGTGAAGTGTCCAGCGTGACGCAACAGATTGATGCTGCGTAATTTGTAGTTGTTCAAACCCCTTCTCCACCTACAATTCGCGAGGAGCTTCGTTGGGGAATGTCGGTAATATGGGTGTAACAGCGACGAAAGATACCGCACATTGAACGACAACGTTCTGTTAGATTTTATACCAGTCTGTTCAATCCTTTTTTTATTCAAGGTTTTATCTACATTTTTTCAAGTTGTCAAATATACAGCGCATATATATTGGCATATAGTTGTTCAACTGGCCTAGTGTGCGGACTGGCGGGAAAACTATGGATGACATCACTTGAGCTTACGCCTCTTCAAACGCCAGCTTTCGCTTTTGGTACATTTCCTTAGCTGTCTGCCTACTGTTCACCATATGCATCTACATATATACAAGCTTTCATACAATACTTTATAATGGTTCCAAATATCACCAGTGAAAGCGGCACCGCCACAGATACTGTTGAGACTAGCATCCTCCAACCAGTTTCTGCCAGCCGAGAGCCCTCGCAAGAAACCCCGCGTGAAGCTTCGGTATTGCCAATAGCTAGAGAGAACAAAGCAACGGTGAATAAGACAAGCTTAGGGTGGAAATTGAGTCCCTTTAGACTACTCAAACAAGATGTGGCCAATTTGAAAAGTCGATATAGATCCGACTGGACGACCTTCAATCAGCAGGTTATTGCGAGCGCCATTTATATCTTCTTCACGAATATTTTACCCGGAATTACCTTTGCCAATGATCTGAACGTTCTCACAGGGCAGTCTTGGGGTACTATTGAGGTTGTCTTTAGTACAGGATTGTGCGGTGCCATCTTTGCCATGTATGTTGGTCCAATCTTAACGATTATTGCCATATAATGCTAACTGTCAAACAGGTTTTCTGCGCAGCCGTTAACTATTCTTGGTGTTACTGGTCCGTTTTCTGTCCTAGCTGAAAATATATACGAACTCTGCCAGAATAATTTCAAAGTCAGTATATTTATGTTCAGAGAGGTATCAATTTGCTGACATATTCCTGAAGGTTGACTTTTTGTCAATCATGGCTTGGTCGCTCATACACGTTGGATGGATGCACTATTTGCTGGCAATCTTCAATGCCCATGATTGGACTATGCAATACGTTACGAACTTCACTGCTGATATATTCTCACTTCTGAACAGCGTGATTTACTTCCACAAGGCAGCGCTCGTTCTCCAAAGAACTCACACCAATTCTTCCTTGGCTACGTTTCTTTATTCTGTCATAGGTGCCCTGGGTACCTGCTTCTTAGCTGTCTTCCTCTCCACAGCACGATCTTGGAAACCGCTCTTTCATAGATATGTCCGCATTGGCTTAGCAGAATATGCAGCTGCGATTTCAATCATTATATGGATAGCGATACCGCAAGCTGGCGAACTTTCTACACTGGATCACGAAACACTGGAGATTAACAACAGATTTGTTCCGACAGACCCAACAAGATCATCGTTTTTTGTCAAGTTTTGGCAAGTTCCGGTTTCTTGGATTTTTCTTTCCATTATACCTGGAGCTATTATCACGATTCTCTTCTACTTTGACCACGAGATCAGCAGTATAATCTGTACCGCCGAAAGATATGGAGTTCGAAAACCCGGTGGCTTTGCTTGGGACATTATCCTACTTGGAAGCACGACAATACTTTGTGGCATTTTAGGTATACCTCCCGCAAATGGCCTCCTGCCACAAGCACCGCTTCATTCAGAATCACTTCTCCACCATGCCAATGAAGAAGCTGGGGAAGCACAAGGTCTCTTCATAGACCACAGATCCGCGGGTATATACGAACAACGTTACTCGCCTCTTATACAAGCTAGTCTAATTCTGGTATTCACCGCACCGCCCTTCCAGAAACTTCTGGGTTTTACGCAAACGTCTGTTTTGGCAGGATTATTCTTGCTTATGGGCTATCAATCGCTCTCAGTCAACGCTGTACTCCATAGAGTCGCTTACATGTTTACTCCGAAGACCGAACTACCCAGAATCCCCCTCAACTCAACCTGGAGCGGTATTCACAGTTATACTATAACACAAATAATTTTAACCGGCTTTGTGTTCGGTATGACTCTAACAGTTGCTGCCCCTGCCTTCCCCTTGGTTATAGTTGCTTTGGTACCAATCCGCTTAGTGCTTATCAATCGACTTTGGTCAAGGCAGACTCTTCGTTTAGTTGATAGTTGGGCCTGTCGTCCAGGGCGACCAGAAGATGACGTTGATGATCAAGCAGACCGATCAGACACACGAGAATCTATAAGAGTAGTAGAAGAATAAGTCGTTACATAAGTATATAACCTAATACATTTATTGACACCGGAGACAGTCTCGGGTTAATTTTAAGCTCAAAATACACGCTGTGCAGATAGGAAATCGGTATACATTTGGCCAGTCTATTTTGGCTATGAAAGAGGACATGTTAAATACGAAACTAATGCTAGGCGTTGGGCTCGAGATGAAGAAAAAAAATGAGCGCATGGTAAATGATAAAACTCATGTGGAGTTGTGAGAATTGAAGAGATAGGCAGCCGCCATCGCCATAATCATATGTAATACTGGGACTGCCTTAACCCGACTGAAATAAAAGGAAACTGGTTTCAGAAAGAACCTCGTTGCAGAAGAATTCCGCCAAGTATTGGGATATGAGTTAAAGATATTGCTTTTAAACTGATACGCAGCGTAAAAGTTGCAATATTGGAAATAGAGAGACACAAGAGGTTCCGCTCGTGCAAGGATATTTTACGTTTCTTCGCTCTTTCACCTGCGTGGATTCGATAGCAGGATGGCGAATGAGATCTGATTCGTTTTAGCACAAGATTTTGAGTGTGCTACTTTATATTTCTGAAAAGATCGGTACCAAGGCTTAGATCTTCTTCCTCCAGACCTTGAAGCTCTGGTATCATGGGAGGTGGCGTGAAGAATTTTGAGGTTGTTGAAACTCCATATATGGAATCCTGTTGCTCGTCCACATCATTTCCATGTCGACCTAATCTGGTAAACCAGCTGCTGTATCGCTTCAGTCTGCGACTGCTCCTGATACTCATACCTGCGCGGCTTTGGGGGCGCATCAGCTCTCGCTCTTGATCCATCGACGCTTGGCTGGCTTCAACGTAGTCAACATTTAGTTTGCTTCGGCTGAATAGACGACGCAGGCTGCCTTGCCTAGGAGACGAAATGGGACTTGGTGGAAGATTGTCATTCATTTGGCGGCTACTCATTGTCTGAGCGCGAATGTCATCGTGTTTGTCTAGAGGCGGAGTTGATGGCGGGGTTTGCATCAAGACATCCTGAGGAATGGACATGACAGGTGGTGGGATATCTGTTCCATCCGTAATGTTTCCAAAGTTGAGATCAAGGCATGGTATTTCGAATGGGGGGGTAGCTGGCCTGGCCATTATGGGCAGTTGCGTGATCGGGCGGGCGGGCGAGATTGTAGAATAATTCGCTGCTAGTTGTGTCAAAGCGCAGCTGTAGATGTCGAGGATGCACTTTACAGTGACAGCACTATGCTGATTTCTGTGGTCGTTTCGAATTGGGAGATTCGATAGAATAGCCACTCTGGGGCGAGGTGATATAAGGGGGAAGTGTAAATATTGGCTGGCGATAGCAGGCCTAGGAAAAATTGCCAATAGTTTCGATTTGCAGCATGGGAAGGCAGGTGGCTTGGTACACGACAGGGAACCGGGGTGTGTCTGTGAGCAAACTCTGTGGCGCAGGGGGGACCTTTGCTGTGGGAAGAAAACGGGCGAACAAGGCTTCTGCACTGATGGATAATGAGGACGGATACAGAAGGAAACAAGAAATCTGCGGCTGCGCCCCGATCTTTATAAAGAGGAAAGCCTCATGCCTCCCGAGACCTCTTCACATCGGCATTTGCTTTGTCCATGGTTGCTTTCTTTTGCTGTGAAGACCCATTTGCTTTTTCCCTGCTGTGAACTTGCTTTTGGCTGGCTCGGAATGAGGCCAGCGACGATGCTAGTTATTTGCAGTATAAAGTGCATTTTTGTATCGTTCTATTGGGCCTATACTAATCTGCATAGCATAATGAGTTGCTGGTGACAACTAGGGACTTTTTATCCGACTGGTTTGCACCGTCTGTGTTTTCGGTTAAGTTCTGCGGTAGTCACAGCGAATAACCAACTCCCTACGACGAACTGAGCTGGGGCCACAAGTACCCAACTAAGGCCGTATATAATGAGAATAAAGAAAGAACCGACAGATTCAAAGATGACACTAAAATAACAACATACTCAGTCAAAGAAAGCCCTTCAATCGAACAACACTCGGGGCGTCCAAATCCTGCCGGGTAAGTTGTAGTGTGACCCACAAATATTCTAGTAACGTCATTGAACGAACGTGAATGCTCCCAACGCTCCAAGTCAGCCTCTCGGCAGTCTATAACAAATCCAGCAAAACGAGTCCAAATACCCGAGGAAGCATGTCAATCGGTATGAAAATACTAAATTGTACACCAAGGGCCCTAAAACGGGCGACTGCTTGCCGACTCTGTCGTGCCAACCCATTTCCCAGCTTTGGAGCGCGATTCAAATCTGGGCCGTATGGCTATATTCAAGCCAAATCCCTCTTCTTCTCCAAGAATGGCGAACCAGAAGATGTTCTAAAGTGAATATTACCGAATAATACATCGAAATATACAGAATACTGACCAAAATATAGGCTTCATACGCACTCAATCTCACCAACCCTTCCGCCATCATCCATCCTCGTTCGCGCACTTGCCGCCCCAATCAACCCGGCCGACATAAACACAATCCAAGGAACATATGGATCAAAACCCACATTTACTTCATTACTTGGGACTCCAGAACCATCGATAGTGCCAGGAAATGAAGGTGTTTTCGAAGTGCTCTCTGCTGCTGACCAGTCATCGACCCTCCAACCCGGTGATTGGGTGATCCCAGCCGTTTCACAGATAGGAACCTGGAGAACCCACGCGGTATTCGGCGAAAAAGAACTCCTTAAAATCGACAAAACTGGTCTTACGGCTATCCAAGCTGCGACTGTTAGCGTCAATCCCTGTTCCGCGTATCGAATACTCCGCAACTACGGGCCCAGTAGTGGTCTTAAGACTGGCATCCCCGCACGGCCGCTGGAGCTTGGCAGTGGGGAGTGGTTTATACAGAATGGAGCCAACTCCGGAGTTGGTCGTGCCGCTATTCAGCTTGCAAAGCTCTGGGGCTTGCGGAGCATCAATGTGATTCGTGAAAGGGCTTCTGACGAAGAAACAACCGCACTGAGAAAGGAACTCCAGGATCTCGGCGCTGATGTGGTTGTCACAGAAACCGAGTTTCTATCCCGAGAATGGAGAGACCAACTTGCCAGCATTACAAGAGGTGGACGAGAGCAAATTGGGCTGGGCCTAAACTGTGTTGGTGGCAAATCTGCAACCGCCATTGCCCGGTCGCTAGGCCAAGGTGCGACTATGGTATCTTATGGCGGAATGTCGAAACAACCAGTCCTGTTACCTGTCGGCCTTCTAATTTTCAAAGACATTCGATTTGTTGGATTCTGGCTGAGCAAGTGGAACGAAAAGGATGTTGTTGGCAGGCAGCATATGATCAATGATATTCTATCTATGACAAAGAACGGCCAATTAGTGGATGTTCCCACCAAAGAGATTTCATGGGAATGGGAAACTACGGAAGACACTCTCCGTAATGCTGTACAACATGGTCTTGACGGCTTTCAGAAGGGCAAAGGTCTTTTGGTCTTTGGCGACACATAGCGCAGCCCAGAATTGACCAAATTCAGTTACTTAAAATAATAACGGAGAGAACGAGACAATATATAGGAAATCAAATAGGCTACTAGAACTCGTGGTGTGCTGTCTTCAATTTCGGAAGGCCTGAGCCCATTCGTGTAGTTTATCAATCACCACTGGCGCCAACGCAGCCAAATTATCATCAATGACCCTACCAAAGTAGACGATAGCTTCCTCCTCTGTCAACTCGAGGTGGAAGCGTTCTCTGACCTTAAGAACAGCTTTGTCCGGTTCAATACGGATATCAGGAATATTAGCATCGACCATGAGGCTGAACAGGTTCAGTATCAAGTTTGATGACTTTCTCAAAGCCGTATAGGCCAAGAAGCAATATTGTCTGAATCTAGCATAATGCTCTGATTGTACCCCACCCATACAGTCAACCATTTCCTTGGAAAGCTTCATAACCGGCGCAAACGGCTTCGGGTCTCGACCCAGAATGTAGCCAAAATCAGCGTGGAAGAAGTGTCCATCCGGTGCTAATAAGAGGTTGTCAAGATGACGATCACCAACACCTAAGATGTAAGTGATAACACAGTATCCAGCACATGACCTGACGTATGTATCAAGAGCTTCTTGCCTAACCCCAAGCGGTTGCGAATCGTCTGGGTTGTGATGCTTAAGATATGCCAGTGCAGGGTTTGTCCTGAATTTGGACACAATACTGGATAAGCTTTGCGACTGGATGAATTGTGATGCACCAGCACTGGTACTAGTCGCAAGGATTTTATATGGCACCAATTTTAGATCCAGATTTTCCTTGCGCAATAGTTGATCCATCAGAGTGATAATCTGGATGACCAACTGATCTTGGCGTAGGTCGTCGCCGACTTTGAAGATGATGGGATAGTTTTGGCCGGTGGTCGTTTTGAATACGAATTTAATTGGTGTCAATGACGACTTGAATAATGTCACCTGGTCTGGAATGATGCCTGTGATCTGGATTGAAGGGTCCAGTGGTAACGGGAGCGGTGGATCAAACAAAGTAAACTCTTGTTTCGGCTCAGCAATGTATGCCTTGACTCTCTCAGTTCTCCTGGCCATAGTCTCATTCGATAGTTTGATCTCCGTGGCGATTTTTGAAAGCGACGCAACGAGCTCTGCTTGGCGAAGCAGTGTCTTTCGGCTCTCAGCACCATGTGACTGTTTTTCAAGTTCCACCATGAAGGTAAATGCGACTTTGTGATACATATTCCGATTATTGGAGCCTTGCTCCGAACTTCCATCATCGCATTCAACCATGAGATACCAGTAAAAGTAATTGCCAAGCATGAAGTCGGCTGCTGCACGGTGGATCAGAAATTTGGCAAGTGTTGAATCCTCTGTGACATCTTGGGTGGAACTGGACGGGATGTTTTCGTACTTTAAGGCTTGGACTAGCTGAAGGAGATATAGAAGGAGCTCTTCATCTCCTGCTTTCTGTAGGCGGCGGACGGCGTAGGAGCGAACGGCTGAATTGCTGAAGGAAGACCCTAAGAGCTCTAGAGCATCGTCAACATCGATTTCCGTCCATCGTTCAAGAACATGGATAGCTTGTTTCGATTCGATTTGGTCGTTCCAATTTACTGATTTGACAAACTTAGTCAATGCTCGCTTGTCTCTAGTCAGATGATATCTAAACTTCCAAACGAGATCGGCTTCTTCGGATGAGAGCGCTTGAATAGGTGGGTATGCCATTATTGTGTTCAGCTCATCCCTGACTTTGGCATTTGGTTTCAGATCCTTGTCCAAAATTCCATGTCGATGTGAACTTCTGAAGAGTCGTCTGTGTTTCGCTTCGGCAGGATTATCACGCTGGCCTATCTCCGGGTCATAAATTTCTACGACTTTTGCGTGTGACTGATCACCGGATTCACCCAGGGCATTAATGCCTGGGCCATAATGAACCTGCGGTATGCGATGATTATCAGCAGATTGAGAGGCTGAAGTTTGTAGAGCTGAAATGGGAGGAACGTCATATTCTTTGTCAGCGAAGACGATTGGGAAGTCGAATCGAGGAAGTTCGATATTCAGAAGGAAAGTTGATGTTCGAGGTTCGTTTTGGTGTTCATTGTTTACTGGTGCTGTTGTTGATGAGGCAACATGCATCCGCTCACGATTGAGTGATCTTGCGGATGACTGCGCTGCCTGCAAGCCGCGTTTCTCGAAATTTCTGAAGACGATTTGATCAAGCCAGTCTACTCGAGCAATATCACCCATTTCGTGCTTTTTGAAGAGACTCTCCATCCGTTCCAGTTCGAGGGCATCCGTATTCCGACTGCTGGATGAGCTGTTCATTTTTCTAGGTTGGCGTAGCAAGCCCGGTGTGCTGTTGATTTCAGAACCGTCAGAAGCGACATGCCTGTGAACGACGCATTTTTGGCGGCCCTTCAATAATTGGTTGTCGCTATCAAAGAGAGGGATCGTGGTTCCACCAAAAGGAACAGCACTTCCCTGCCTATTTCCAAACCCTTTAGGTGATAAATCCCATATTGTTAATGCCAGGACGGCATCTGAAGGTAGGTCACAGTAGAATATAGGTAGCTGTAGCCATTCATTCCACCTAATACTATGTTAGCCAGACTGTCTAGGTATGATTACATTTGGCTGACATACCTTCGCTCTGATCGAAACGGTTTATATGAAGTTTGGGCAGGTAAAACTAGTGGTTTTGAAGACGACCATATCTGAGCTGTCACATATAAGTCAAAGTTTGGACTAAAGCTGTTTAGCATCTGTGAGATTCGCATGCTCCTGGTTACTTACTCAATGTTTGAGCCAACATGTCGCAACGAAGGCTGATCGAGAAGAACAGACGCCTTTTGGGGCAGTTCCTCGCCATCAAGGCTAATTCTAGGGAGAGATCAGCTGAAATATCAGTGAAAGCTGACTGGATAAAGCTTACATGCGTACTAAGACATGATGAGCCAGGTCGCTGGAGCTGACGAAAGAAAAGGGATCCATGCTCGCCCTGTTATTCTTCGCGCAGCGTTTTTATCAAGCCATAGATTTCATATCAGATCTCTATTGAATAACAAAAACAACACCGGAAGTCCTTTACCGTCATTTATTGCAACTGCGCGAATAGATTAGCGACGGTTATCTGTTGGTGAAGCTGGCTATGGCAGCCCCACGGTCACGCGTCTTGGTGCGTTTTAGAGTTGTCGCCTGATGCGGACCGCCGTATTAACAAGCAAGAAGCCACTGGCCAATTAGTCACACTAGCAGAAGTTGGCAATTGTGGAGGTTCGCATTTTATTCTATTTTTTTAATGAAAATTCTAAAGTTGGTAATTTATTTGACTGACTTAATATGGCGGTCAAAAACCTTGTGGAATATTTCTTTGCCGTTGCCTTCTATAGTCTCACCGTGGCAGGGAATGATGGTTGTGAAATCCCAGAAGCTGATGACCTTGATGCTCTTGTTATAGCTTGGTCGATCTTTGGCAAGTAGATACCAGTTAAATCGTTGCATCCACTTGACGTCTCCTTCTGTGCTCTGAATACCAGTGAATAGTTTATCCATAAAGCTGGGACTTGGCCGCTCGCTCTCAGGTACCCGGCTGTACTGTTCAATGGCTGGTAAATTGAAGAGTAGGTCTGCTTCAATCAAGACCGAGTCTGGCTTGTAGCAGAAGACAAGCTCCAAATTTCCATGGCCATCAACGTATTCATAGTCGAAGTCAGTATCAAACTGATCGTCTATTTTCATTGAACCCTTATTATCCTTGGTGAATATCACTGATAAACGTTCCTTTCCGACTCTCTCGTCGACTTGTTGGTCTCGCTTCTCTTGCAAGCCCTCTGGCCCAATGATTTTGGCATTAGGGAAAGCTTGCGCCCATTCACTGATAAAGAGGTGATGCTCAATATCGAGGGCCACGATGTATTGAACATCACCTCCCATTTCCGAAATTTTTTCCCTTGTTGATTGGGTTAAAGCAACGGGTGAGAAGACGGCCAGATTTCCAGAGGTCAATTTCACTAACACAAGGTTAACAACGGGGTTAATCTCCATCCATCTTGCCTGATATATTATATTTACCTAGAGTACCACGACCACCAACTTTAAGCTTCCCGAAGCGCGCAAACGGCACCGAAAAGGTAGCTACATTCGGGGTGATGTTGCGGATTACCATCACCTCATCAGGATTCGGTGGGGCAAGTTTAGAGGACATAATGGGCAAACCGCGACGTTTCGAGGCTTTTGAGGGTAGAAATTGACGATGAATTAGGAGTTTAGAATAAAATAAAGAGGTTCGGCGGGCGAAGACTTTATATATTGACAATGGTAATTTACTAGTCTTGAGCCCACCGATATCAGATCGCAAGCTGACAGTTAATACGCCCCATAAAACTCCGGAATCGCCGTCGGGGGTGACCGGTAAGTACAAAAACTCAAATCATTGTTAATTTGGAATAATCTACGTCCGTGCTGAACGCGATGACAAAAAGGTTAACGCCCAACACATGAGGTAGAAATTATTGATGTATTTGGAATGTATTATGTCGAGTGGAATCATAGAACCTAAAGACGTGAAGCACCGAAGGACAGTGTCAAGCTTTTAAGATAGCTCCAAACAATAGCCTGTATCACCTGCAAAATATCCCAAATATCTTGTACGCCAAGAGCTAAGTCAGGGTTGACTCCAGGTGCAACAAGCAATGAGGCATCGTAGTGTAAGATGCCAAAAAGTTGCGTTCGCGATAGATTGTTCGCTTGAAGCCATCTCCCCCGTTCCCGGCGGCAGGCAACATATGTTTGGACAAGATGGAGCATCAGGAGTGTTGCACTCCCAAGTTTGATGTACGTCATCATTTTGGCTGTCAATGCTTTTTTTTCTTTGTCGAATATTGCCTCCTTTATCGACCTTTGCACTGCTGAAGAGTTGTCTCCATCTGGAGAGCCTGCCCGCAAATGAATCAATTCGGAGCCGGGACGGGCAGCAAGCTCCTCGGCCAATGTCACATTGCCTTCATCTGAAACAATATTCACGATCTTTTTGAAATCGATATCTGTTTTACTCTCATGAGGACCTTCAGAGTCTGGGCCCATGGGAAGTGCCGGTTTCATTACCGCCTCAGTTTCCGATGGTGGCAGCCCAGGTTGAAGGTTACGCGTTCTTCCCTTGTTGGGAAAGTCGTTCGATTCAGAGGCTTCAAGTGATACTGGCTTGTCTTCGACATTGACGATATGAACAACCTTCGCCTTCTTCCCCGGATATTGATTTTCACTGATCTGTGAATTTTGGCGAGCGTCGGCCTCGGGTGGCGTGTTACGTGATGCGGCCAACGCAGCCAACTTGGCCTTTAGCTCAAGATTTTCCGCCGACAGTCTTTTGATTTGTTGCCAATATTCAGAATTTTGGACCGCTAGTTCGTGGTCCAATGGCAAAACGGATTTACCGGCGGTAGTAGAATTGGATTTAGACATGGTAAGACGTATTCACGGGTAGCGTATTGACATGTGGTGGAAGCGGGTATGTATACTTGAACGGGTGTCCGCTTTGCGCAAGTTGGGATCCGGCGCGTTGTTGTTATAATTACTTGCCAAGTCCGAAATTAGCGACACATTAAATACAAAGTTTGTTCTCTCCGCCACATTGCAATACGTGAAGGTTCAATGACCTGCGGGCGCTGTCAAAGGATTTCGTTGGCGAGCGGGCGTCGGTCTTTGAGTAGGCGAGGCAGTATTACGGACCTTTGAATTTAACCATCCGCACTCCAGCGAAGCGAAGCTGTCATTATTGTTTGGTACTTCATAGAAAGGGAAGCGTAGTTTTTGGGCACTGCTGATTTACTCCTAAGGTTAACTGTACCAACTTCGTGCTCCTGGTTTCTCAGTGCTCCGTTCCGCTCTGTGTTCTATCATGGGCTCTGTTAGGCCCAACACTGTTATTATTTCCCTCCATGTCTCCATGTCCATGGATAAGATTGCCTGGTGTTTAGATGCGCCTTGTCGTATTCCAGGTTCTTCTTCAGAATCACTCATTACTGGGGCTAAATACCGGTTAGCGTTTTGTACCTGCTGGAGGGAATAGCGCGCTTACCAATGGCAGGCAAGCCATAATCATCAAAATCAACCTCAACTCTACCATCCCGAATGAGAAAACTTATATAGAATAAGTTTTCAATCGTTTGGCCAAACGATTTTGGATTAACAACAAAACGCATCAGATCTATGCCACCCGTGCTTCTCAGACCATGTGCATGCATTATGTCTTGCTTTTCATCGTCGTCCATTTCAGGTGTCAAAGCTTTGGCGACTGCTTCTTGCATATCAATCTGTGTTTTAACCAACTGCTCCAGGATCTTTCTGCAAATTGCTGTGAGGTCGTTCTCCCGCTTTGCCAAATCATCAATGTTCAGGACTTCAGGCCTCGTCTCAACCAGGTTGTTTGGGTGAAAAGGTGCAGTTCGTTTCGAAATTTTGCGTATACGTCGCTCCAGAGAAAGCGGACCGATTAAGAACCCTGCGAGCGCAGGTCTCCGAATGCTCGGCAGACATGCCATTGTCCCTAGATGCGGCCAATCCATCATATCTCCATCATCGCCCGTGGTATCCTCATCCTCATCGAGTATCAATCGATTGGGCCCGCTAACAGAATCCCGCTCCTCCTGTATGGACGCTCCTTGCCGCATATAAGTGGCACACTTGGAAACAAATTCGTCCACATCAATGCCTTGGGAGAGGCTCCCTTGCGTTAGGCGCAACGCTTTCTTATATGATAAATCAGTTGTGCTGACTAGGAGTCTGGAGTCTATTGTGGCCTCTGTGGTTTGCCGAAACTGTTTAGAAAGCTCTGTAGCTTTTAATATCGTCTCAGTAAGCCCACGAGAACCCGTCTGAAGATAGTCTTCCGAATTTTCCGTTACCCCGCGTAGTAGGTCTCGGAAGCCTCGTTGCACTCGCCGTCGCTCCTCAATGGGCTGGCATGGGTCATAAAGGTCATCGCTCCCATCAGAGTTGTCGTCATCGTTGTTTCTGACCCGACTAAGTCGTCGACTTGCTGTCCTAGTCGTCTCAACTTGGGGTTGCTCAGAGACTGACGTTTCTCTTTGGCGCACTGCGAGATGCTGACTATTCCCGACCATTGTTGGTGAATTTGATTTTTCGTGGCAGCTGATGCCCAAGGCTCGGTCTGGTAGGAAGAAATGTCAACGCGTTTATGGGGGTATCGACTCCGTGCGGGCTTCCCCTACTTGCAACGCGTGGTTGGGAACGCTGGTTCTATATTCAGTGATTATATGTACAAATTTGCTTGATTCGCCAAAATATACTATCATCTCCTAGTGCCACAGGCCTGGTGCGTTGATTGCTTTAACGCTTAGTTTGTTTCCGCGCAGACGCGCCTAGTGGGCGAACACTTGGAGGCGCCACCCCAACCCCACACTGCATTCACTTACACTAGACTTGGCGCGAGTCGAGGTGCAGCTCAAGATGCAACCACCTGTGCGCCACCACGGCTACAAGTCAAGTGACCCTTTGCCGTGAGGCTCCCATCCTAATGAAAGCCACACCTTTTTAGACATGTCCAATTTAAAGCCCTCGCAGCTGCACCGAACGTTGCCCATAGTTTCCTGTAATGTTTCCCGAACCACGCGAGCATAGCATCATCAGTGAAAACCAACTGTAGGGGTATGCTTTAGCACTCCTGTATGGTAACAGTAACATCCATACAGTTTGAAGAAGGTGCCGTTTTAGTAATGATCGCTGACTGAAATAGAGCACGCGTTTCTATTGCGGACGTCAACCACCTGAGTTCACTTACACGAATTTAAAAAGAGTCGACTTTTACAAGAAGCAACGTGAGAAATGCAAAATACAACCGAAATGCAAGGAAGTTATGGCTCCAGGGATGCCGAAACATCATCTATACATTCGGCAACTCCAACATATGGTATTCCATTTTAATTGGTAATATAGATTGTAGAGCGTGGCTAATTAGATGTCAATAGTGTCCGAAGTGCCATCGTACCATTCAGGAAGATACAGCGATGATGCCCCTCCATACACTCCTCAAAGAGTGGATAACATGGCGACCCGAATGTCTAGCAACAGGCTTGGTGCACGGACAAGCGCAATCGGATTGCCACCGATCCCGTCTGTGAAGCCAGAAATAAGTTTAAACATGTTGAACTTCGGCACACCGTCTTGGAAGGTAGCTAGCAACCCTACGGTAAGACAATACCGCAATGTTGCCGAGCGCCGCGTGATCGAAAACCGGCTTCGCCGCAGCGAACAAGATGTCAAAGTGCCGGCCACCGCAGTAGTCAAAGAGCCTGCGCCTCTAAGGCCACTAGAGGATCCATACTTGGTAGGTGAAGCAGCGGCAGCAGCCGAAAAGCGAGAAAGATTGGCAAGAGAAGCTAGAGACGACATATTGTTGATTGAAGACAGACACTGGGACTGGTTTCTAGGTATACGCCCTATGGCCTTTGCCTTCCAAAGTGTGACTACTTGCTTACAATTATCAGCGACAATGAATGATTGGGATGAAAGGGAACGCAGTTGGGCCAAATTTCGCGCGCGACGTAATGAGAAAAACCAAAGCTCAGTCCTCCGTAACCGATGGACCAGCCGCTGGCTCCCAACTACTTGAGGGAATTGTGACAAACAATATGGACTTCGTAAACGGCATCTTGGGAAGATTTCATTCCTTTTTTTCTTTCGTATTTTGCTTCTTCTTAGGTGGGTTAAATGTCACGCAACCGTTTACTTTACAAGGGATAACATGTGCATAGACGCTTTTATAACATGTTAAGGCCGTCATTTGTTTTAGCTGAGGTTCGAACAGTGTTTGCTCTGTTTATCTTGACTCTGTAATAGGGATAACTGAAGACCCTATACTTTTTTCTCGTAACTGAATGGTGCTGAACCAATGTGTGCTAGTCGTCTCGTTTCGAATCGATGTTGTGCTAGAATTTTTGTACAGAACATTTTAACCCTTGACTCTGGTATTGAGTAGAAGAGCGACAATTAAACTGAAGAAGTATTAGCCACAGTGTCGAATCGTATTTCAAGTATCACTTACCCATAAAGACCAAGGACTTCGCCGAAAATTAAAATCAACACCATGCCGACAAAGATGCGAGATTGCTGCATGAATGCCCTCACTCCAGAGTCACCTACAATACCAATACAATAACCTGCAGCAAGACCAGTGATTCCTACAGTTAATCCGCATCCGAGATGTAAAAAGCCGCTATTAGACATATTAATCAGCTGGGTAAGTTTAGGATGAGGCAAGTCAACCTACGCGAACAAAGAATAGCTTCCAGAAGCAGAGGGAGCAGCCAGATCTTCTGCAATCAGGACGGATATGACTAGTGAATAAACAGCGATAATACCGGACATAACAACCGGGATTAAACACTAAGAAGGTTAGCTGGTACGCTTCTACGCGTGAAAATGGCAAGTTTACCTTCATTATCAAATCAGGGCGAAAGGTACCAACACCTGCGATACCGATTCCAGATTTTGCTGTTCCATAAGCAGCCCCCATTGCTATAATTTGAAGAATGATCTGGTTAGCATGTCTAATATTCGATCGTTCGCGGCTGGCTCGACTTCATACATCCAAACACCATGGCGGCAGCAATACCAGCCTATTCATTCAGTTAGCTAATGTATTTTATGGAAGGGTATAGCTTAATATCGTACCATTCCAAAGAAAGGCGCAAATTTAGGAGCAATTTCGGTGTCCATGTTGTAGGTTTGTGGTCTTGCTACTAACTCCGTGTTGATTGATTGTTTGGCGCATGCCAAAGCTGTCGAGTGTCATTACGTCGAAATGTGGCTGACAGTCACATTCACGTGATATGTTCACGACGGTGACATCCCCAACGCAATTATAGGCAGCGGACGTTGGCAAACGCCTCAATCGTAGAATTAAAATGAATGAAGACATTGTGTTAAATTTTAGCCATAATTTAGGATAACACTCTACGTTTGAAAAAGCATGTATTCAGCGTCAGGCAACGGTAGAGAGAGTCGTCCAGTTTTGGTATCAGCCACATTCGTATCAGCCACAGATATCCTTCCGACACATTGCCCCCCTATGTAATCGCAGCCGTCAGAGATAATTACCTAACCTCCCGCCTCCAGGTACTCTAGAGCGACAACCTTCCACACCACAGCCAGACGCTCCTCCTTCGATTGCCCCGACTACACCGATATCCATACACTCCATCTGAGTTGTCACAGATCGTAAATAGCACAGCTGACGCTATTGACTTTAATCTGTATGCGAGCTGCCCCTAGAGCTCGATTTATCTGGCCTCAAAATAACAGGCGTTCATCGCGAGATCAAGCCACGCCGTCGCAGTTATTGACCCAGAATATACGTCGCCATTCGGGCACGTAGATGAACTTGGGTTCATACTAAGAGCAGGAGGGCCGACGTGCCAGGACAGCCTCGATTTTGTTTCTTGTCCGAGGTTGGAGGCTTCTTGTGAGACTGATCAGTAGCGCAAAGCTGCCGGGTTGTTTTCAGGTTCGCGATGTCTGAATATCAGTATGACCCTCGCATGCCACAACAGCGACAACGTGGTTACCAGGAATCGAACAATTATCAGCGAGACAATGCGTTCTCGACCATCTTCGGCGCCGCACCTCCAGCCGGAAGAGCACAGACAATGTCGGATTCTGGAGCATTGCAAAGCGATCAGTTTATTGGACTCCGCCAACCACAGGCTCGCCCACCTCAAGGTTACTACCGGGACCGAGAAACGCTTCCAAACCCTTCGCGAGCATCAGATCCTACAATGCAAAATGGGTACTATCCCAATCAACGCTCAGTATCGGGAGGCATGTACCCGCCTCATGGTACGCAATATGCACCCCAGCTAAGACGCCCGCAGCCTATTTCTGTAGGGCCTCTTCCTCCAAGATTGGAGTCTCGTGGGGCACCGCGACAGGCTGCTGGGGCACGTCATCCACCTGGCCGCGCATACGGTGGAATGGGAGGACCAGCAATGCATGATGATCCGTACAGGTCCCAATCTATGGCTTCCATCCCCCGCCCGCAGATGTACAATAACGGACCGCCAAGTCATTATCCACCCTCACCGGCAGACCAATCGCGCCGCGCGCCGTATTCTCAGCAGTACTCGTCAAACATGACTGCACATGGCCGCGTTGTCCCCGAGAGACCCGAGGAGCGCTCAATGTCAATGACAGGCACTTATCCGCAAGAACGAGACACATATCAGACTATGAGCGGAAGGAAAATCCCCAATCGGAGGCCGGATGCGCCACCAGGCGTCAACTTTCCTTTGCAAGACGACAGTTACGTATCTAGTCAAACAACACGGACAACCAGCATGGCATCATCAACTGGTGACCACTCTCGATCTATGTCCATGGCATCTAGTATTGCACCTACGATAACCCCATCTGAGTCCGACGCTGCGACCCTTGTGCAACGCCCGTCAAGGAGTAAATCCATCGAAAGCGAACGTCCAGCGACTGCGACAAAAATTCGACCTCCTCTGGTCTATCCTGCTCTTTTGTCCCGTGTTGCGGAATGCTTTCGACAAAAAATCAGAATCGGCGATCGAACGAAGAACGAACTTACATATAAAAACGCCTTCAGCGGTTCCGAAGCTGTGGATGTTTTGTCATATATTATTAGAACGACTGATCGAAACCTAGCTTTATTGCTCGGGCGTGCTCTAGATGCTCAGAAGTTCTTCCATGATGTTACGTATGAGCATCGCTTGCGAGACGCACAGTCTGAAATGTACCAGTTTCGTGAAAGTCTCATGGATGAACCAGATGATAAGCCTCCCGTTAATGGTGTATTCGTTCTCTTATCAGAATGCTATTCTCCTACGTGCACAAGAGACCAGCTTTGCTACTCTATAGCATGCCCCCGCCGTCTGGAACAGGTTTCTAGATTGAATCTCAACCCAAACATTGCTCTGAGGAAACAAGTCTCTGCCAATGTCAATGACGATGAAGTTGACCAAACTGACGAACAAAAGTTATGGATCAACTCTGTTCCCAAAGAAATAGCTGACGCGGTTGGCGAGCGAGAACAAAAACGACAAGAAGTCATATCTGAAATCTGCTACACTGAGCGAGACTTTGTCAAAGATCTTGAATACCTTCGAGACTTCTGGATAATTCCCCTGCGATCAAAGGCGTCCCCTATCCCACTCCAGCGACGAGAGAAGGTTGTCAAAACAATATTCAGTAACATTGTTGATCATCCCAGTATACACACTGTTAGCTCTAGGTTTGCTGCTTCGTTGACGACTCGTCAACAGAAAGATCCTATTGTGCACAACATTGGCGACATCTTCCTTGAATTTGTTCCACAGTTCGAACCATTTATATGGTATGGCTCAAAGCAGCTCGAAGGCAAATTCGAATTCGAAAATGAGCGTTCTGTCAACCCCTTCTTTGCCAAATTCGTTGATGAAATTGAACGCCGAAAGGAATCACGAAAGCTTGAGCTAAATGGGTATTTAACAAAACCAACAACTCGTTTGGCAAGGTACCCACTGCTTCTTGAAAATGTTCTTAAGTACACAGAGGATGACAATCCAGACAAAGAAGATATCCGCAAAGTGCTCACTATTATTCGCGATCTCCTTGGTCGCGTAAATGCTGAGTCTGGTAAAGCGGAAAATCGCTTCAATCTTAGGAGACTACATGAGCAACTCCGCTTTCGCCCGAATGAAAGAGTAGACCTAAAGCTTACGGAAGAGGGTCGCGAGTTGGTATTCAAGAGCCAACTGAAGAAATCACCTACAGATCCAGCGGAAATTACGGCCTTCCTTTTCGATCATGCTGTCCTCCTAGTAAGGATCAAACAAACTGGGAAGAATGAAGAAATCAAGGCCTACAGACGTCCAATCCCCTTGGAGTTACTGGCGATCCGAGAAATGGATGAGGTTATTCCCCAGCAAGGTTCAATCAAACGATCTTCATCCAGTCTCATACCATCTATCCGCACCAATACATCTGACACAAGAAGAGGTGACGGATGGCCGATCACCTTCAGACATTTAGGAAAGGCTGGATATGAGCTAACACTTTACGCTGCAAATCAAGCGGCGAGGAAGAAGTGGCTTGAATTCATCGACAATGCCCAACAGCGATTGCGGGCTCGCGCCGACTTCTTCAATACTTCTATTTTATCAAGTAACTTCTTTGTTGGAACGAACCAGGTCAATTGCGTCGTTCCGTTTGGTAAGTAATTTGCATCCCAGCTTTGTGTTTACGTTTGCTAACTAAATAATCAAAGACGGTGGCCGAAAGTTATTATACGGCACAGATAACGGCGTTTATATATCCGACCGTAAAAACAAAGACCAGATCCCTAGAAGGGTTCTAGAAACAACAAATGTGGCGCAAATTGACATCCTGGAGGAATATCAATTGTTGCTTGTTTTATCAAACAAGACTCTCCAGTCGTATTCACTGTCAGCGCTCAACCCGGATGAGCAAGGCTTGGCAAAACGCCCGAAAAAGATTCAAAACCACTGCAGCTTCTTCAAAACTGGTATTTGCATGGGTCGCCATCTCGTGTGTTGTGTGAAGTCCTCTGCGCTCACCACAACCATCAAAGCATTTGAGCCTAATGACGCAATGACGAAGGCTAAGAAGCAAAAGGGCCTCGGAAAGTTCATGTCGGGTGGACAAGATGAGCTGAGACCGTTCAAGGAATTCTACATCCCAACTGAGGCCTCCTCTGTCCACTTCTTAAAACTGAGGCTTTGTGTTGCTTGCGCAAAGGGCTTTGAAGTTGTATCTCTGGAAACATTGGAAACACAATCACTACTACATCAAGCCGATACCTCACTTGATTTTGTGGCACGTAAGGAAGGTGTCAAACCCATCAGTATCGAGCGCCTGAACGGAGAGTTCTTACTAAACTACTCGGAGTTTTCGTTTTTCGTCAACAGGAATGGGTGGAGAGCAAGACCAGAGTGGAGGATTGATTGGGAAGGTACACCACAGAGCTTTGCTCTCAGTTACCCTTGGATATTGGCATTTGAGCCGAATTTCATCGAGCTTCGTAATATTGACAATAACGCTGTGCATATTGTTCCTCACAAGAACATTCGTATGCTCCACAGCAGCACCCACGAGGTACGTACTTACCGATGTACATGAACCGCAAATTGTGGCACTAACATCCTGATCAGATTATTTTTGCATACGAGGATGAGAGAGGAGAAGACGTTGTTGAAGCAATTGACTTTTGGAAGAACACTAATCGGAGGTCTGAGATGGTCGAAGCTTCTAGTTTATCACACACGATTCCCATAAGATAGATGGCTGGTGTTAAACTGTCGTGTTCTAGTACAGAGAATAACGGTAATCAGGGTATAAAACTGTCTGTTTCCAAATTTATCACTGCATATTTCAATCATTGTTCCTACCCCTTTCACACCTAGGGCCCATTTGCTTCGCCCAAGTGCCGAATTCATCTAACAAGATAAATGGTGCGCACCTGCGGATATCCTGTCGCTCGTCGCCGTTGTTAAGGGCTTCAGTGGCTAGGCCGTTATGAAATGATTCGACCATCCGGTCACAGACGATATGAACATCTAAGAGAGACGTAAAGGTTATACCAAATCTATGCGAGCTAATATGAGGGCTTTTGTCACTTGCATATTCAGCGTTGTGAAATGAGGCACCCTCTGTCACCCGTAACTCGGCAGATGTGCCCCGGGATTGGACCCGGGGCAAGCTTGGTTGTATAGAGTTGAGTAAGAGAATTAGCGGATATGAGTGTAATGAATGGCTTATGCGACGTAACCGCAAGTTCATATTTGTGATCAAGTCATGCGCTGTCTGTCTGTTTCTCTGCGTAAACAGTCCAGTAAGGATATCCGCGATCCCAGTGACTACTATCACCCCAGGTATCTCATGTAATGGGTAGGCTGTTTCCTTTTTCGGGGGTGCTGAGTGATCTGGGATAATAGGGTAGTCCTCATCGTCGCTATCCGCTATTTCAGTCATTTGGACTGCTGGATCATTTATATTTCGCCTAGTTGGTGACGGGGCAGTGCACAGTTCTTCCAAATCCGCCAGAACTTGCCAAAGGCCATCAACGTCAAAAACTGTATGCAGGGTCACTCTTCTTAAAATTTCCTTTTCAGTATCCGATTTGCTAGCTCTATCATAGGACAGTGGTAGTTCAAGACTGGCGGCATGTCGTAAGCGGCTAAGCACCAATGGTGTCGGAAGGCGGGTGACAATGGCTGCACCCGATATATCTCCCCGTGCTAGAGAGCCAACGACAGTACGGATTGCGATCTAAGAAATATTAGCAATCATTTACAACCGAGTTTCCATTCCATCTCACCGGCAACGCGGTTGCATCCTCATCTTTGGCGCTAATTCCAGTTACGCATCCACGGCTAAATCCACGTAGCAAGGGATTACGGTCGATTTCGTCGTAGCCGGAGAGCAATGGTCCCAGTTCGGCTATATGGTCTCGTCTTTCTACTTCCCGCTTGGCAAGTTGAGAAGCAACGGCGGGTTGGAAGTCCATAGAGGGCATTTTCCACGTCTGCTTTGTTAACAAGAGGCTTTGTCTGAGTAGTTCAAAGCTAGATACTGGACCTGATTACCCCACCATTAATCATGGCGGCCTGCTTGTTCTTATGTCAAATCCCTAGAGGAACCACCTGTATATGCGATTTGCGGCTTATAATTGAGAGTCATAATATATATTGGTATGTGAAAATCAAATTTTCAAGCGTTCTGACTTAGGTTACTACTTCAACGGCAATCGTTTGTATCATATATTGATTGACTAACGGACTCTTATTACTTAAAATCAGTAGTGACAATGTAGCTGCTAAAGGTCGAAGAGATTTGGTCTCGGATAATTAACCATGCACCTGTTTAAAACATAGTTTCTCATGCTGCACTTCCCGATGTACCTGGGTTGGAGGCTTCAGTATTTTTTGCACGGCGTCCACCCTTCAGACTTTTCATACGCCCTAAAAGCCCCGATGGTTTAGTTGAGGGCTCATCCGCTGAAGCGGTAGCATCCGTAGTAGCTCGTCGCTCCAACGGCGCTTCGGAATCTCTCCGAGGAACAGATGGGGGGCTCGTAGTAGATGTCTTCTCTCGACCTTTGACAGTAATTTTGTCCTCACCCTTGCCAAACTCGGCAAAAAATGGATTTGCTTCGGTGGGTGCGCTGGTTCCAGCACGCATAGTATCTGGAGAGGTTCGGTTATATACCCCATCAGGGCTCGTAACTCGACCAGAAGAATTTATATCTCTCGGCCCACGGTTCATGTGGCGAATTCGCTGTGCAAGAGACTTCTTACGTTGAATTCCAACTTCACTTGCTTCTTGAGCTTGTTCAGCTTGTCTGCGTGCAATAGCAGTTCTTGCCGCAGGAGTTCCTTCGAGAAATGTAGATGTACCTAAGCCGTAGCTTTCGTCACCATGAATCTGCTGACCGCGTGATGCCGGATCGAATATGGTGGCTTCAGTGCGGGAAGCTGTAGGGTGATCATAGCCAGATTTGGCTTTTCCAGACGTAGCATAGTCTCTAAAGGCCTCATCTGTTGCGTTTCCCATAAAGGTGGAGTGGTCCGCCTGGGCATTTAGCGGCCCAGAACCACCGATGGAGTTATTCAAAGAGTCTTTAGGGAATGCCTGCATAGGTGCGAGACGTCTGCTATTCTGTCGGTTGCGGTGAGGATTCAGAGCATCAAACGGTCCATCATGGTGAAACACTTAAGAGTACTGTCAGCTGGATACACTCATCGAATGCAAACACTGGAGCTAAGGGGGGATACGTACATCCTGTACCATAAATGCTTGTGGCATCGAGTTGATCAATGATATCCAGGCGCCGGCTAGGCTTCCCGCTCTTCGCCTTATCTTTCCCATCGCGACGAGCTCGATCTTTGTCAGCAGGTGTTGGGCGAACATCAAATGAGATTAACGAAGAGTCGGAGTTTCTTCTCGGTCGGCGAGACTTGCGGTTGGGAGAACGTGACGATTCTGCCTTTGAAGATGGTTCCTGCCTCCGTCTTGCAACCTTCAAGGCTTCTTCTTGTGATTTCGTTGGCCGATGATTTACAGATCGGGAACCGGGCTGGGCTTTGCCAGGGGGGCGCTGGTCGCGATTTGTTGGTTTCGATGAGCCAGAAGGCTTCTTATTGTTGTCAAGAGTCAGAGAATCCTTTTGATACATTAGCCAGGTTCTACACAGCGTTCTAGCTACACCGCAAAATGACAAGAAGGCCAGGCGGCTAGCCGTGCGTACGTACGAATATCTCTTCAGCCGAGAAGGGCTTTGATTCAGACCCTGTAGAGAATGATGCCCTTGCACGAGCTGGACCATTAGACTGGTCCAAAAATGGGTTTCGCGATACAGGTCGGGGTGGGGGGTCATCGAAAGGGGACGCGGTGAGCGTAGGTTTCGAGTCCGTGGCAGATGATGGTGACGCGGCACGGTTGCGGAATGGATTATTAGATGAAAGAATAGACAAATGGCCTGCAGTTATCAAGCGGTGTTAGTGTTTGCTCGATACGTCTCCCATGTGCATAGTCGACAGTTTCATGCTGCCAAGATACTGCGAACTCTAGCATAGCAAAGATAACAGACACAATGCTAAGGTGGGATGAAATACGAACCAGTCTTAGAGGAGTCTGCAGTGGACATCTTCGTTCACCGCTGCTGCTGTAAAGCAGTCTCAAGATTGTAATACTAATGTTGATGGAGATCACTAATGTCTGCGCAGAGAAGACGTGGCGGAGTGAGGGAGAGAAATAGCCGTAGTGTTTAGCCCCTTGTCAACCTAGGTACCTAATACCCCAGAGGGGCGTGGCGGGGCTACCACCCCGCCCTGCACTAACAGTTTGGGGCACCGCCACCCCTGAGAAGAGATCTTGATACACTTCTCCAAAGCGATGTCAAAAGAAAGCAGTACAATATACATCGATCCGAATTTTTAGAAGAAGAAGTTCTCTACATAGGTATACATAGAAGATAGAGGTTTTTTCAGCCATTACTTGCGCTCATAAGAGAGATTGCAGCCCCGTTGTTTACAACACCAGCACGTACACCACTATCCCAAATCACAGACTGAGAACACAAACTGTAGTATATATCAACCAGCTCAATGGAGGGTAATAGATACATCATTCCCACCTGTATCAGGATAAAGAGATAGATAGACATTCTGAAGCTATTCATTCCTCTGAGATCCCTACGCCGCAAACTCGAAAATTGGTCATTTTGCCAGTGTAATTTAATTCACTTTTTTATTTTTCAAAATGCATACAGCTTCACTCTTTTTGAATTCTTTTATTTTTTTGTATTTTAGTGGCCATGGGTTTGTTTTCTTGTTTTTGTATTTTATTTTTATGTTCTTGTCTGGATAGTCGTATTTTTACTTATTCTTATTTTATGATTGGGTCTCTGTCAAAACTGCCCCTTTTTAATTTATTTATTTGTCCATTTAGTTGGTCATTTTTATTTTATTCTTTTACAAAATACAACGTACCAAATAGTATAATTCATTTTAATACTTTCGAGCTTATTTTAAAAAAATTATTATCAGCTTTGAGATGAAATATTAATTGAAAATCGTTTTTTGCCGTTTGGAGACGTCACTCCCCTATTTTACCAATCCCAAGCTTAAGAAAGAGCTATATAATATCAATAATGGTTACTTGTCTACGGAGGGATTTCTTTTGATCTTCTTGGGCGGAACCTGTCTGTAGTTGTGAGATGTGGTTGTTGAATGTTACTTTCTTTCGTTGCGTTGCGGATTTCCCAACTTCACCACCTTCACCTTCACCAGCCACTTGTAAAAAAAAAATGACCCTGCCTCTTGATACCTTTCGCGACAAACTAGAGACACTGGACACAGAAACGATAAAGAAGAGACTAAGCGTTTCCCACTTTAGCGTGAATGCAATCATTCGTGGGGCACAGCTCACATTCGTAGGAGGTATGTCGCCCGCGATCTCTTTCCTGCAACACACACAGCTTACCATCATATAGCACACCGAGCTCTACAGAACCCGAATCTCTTCACTAGTGAGCACTACAAACAAGCTGTCATTGCTGTAATTGTAGGCATTGTAATCAAGATTCTCGTCGAGTTACCGGTAGGATTCTCCGCAACCCGCAGGTTGTCCCTCTTGAGCCCGTTCTTACCAGCATATATATACAGATCATTTTTGTCAGGATTTCAATATGGGCCATCTCTCTATTTTGGGACCTTGAGTCTGTGACTTGGGACAACACACTGCTTGATGGCCTAGGCTTTGTTTCAGAATACGTCCTTCAAGTCCCGCTCTTCCTAATGACGTTGATGAGATATGTGGTACCAACTTTGGACAACCTGTAAGTCACTTCTCATACAGGTAACCATACGATATCAGCTAACAAGTATTGTCTCTAGCTTCATGCAATCTCTGCAGTGGGTAGACCAAACATATTTACAAAAGCACAAGCTTGACGATCAGAACGCCCTCCGTGCGTTATATTACCCGAACTTGTCAATGTACAGCAAATCCCGGCACCAGCAGGGTTCGGCATCCGCAAGTCAACCTTCGATGGGCTCTTTTCTGTCTCGTTTCGGCAAACGCGCTACCACGTCCATTGTCATATATGGCCTATCATTTATCCCGATTCTCGGTCGCCTCGTCTTGCCAGCTGCTGGCTTCTGGACCTTCAAAAAGGCCGCCGGTTACGGTCCAGCAATATTGGTCTTCGCCGTCAGTCTCGTTGTACCCAAAAGATATCTCATCATCACTCTGCAAACATACTTCTCATCTAGGAGTTTGATGCATGAGCTCTTAGTGCCCTATCTATCACGTGTGGGTTTTACAACTAAGGAAAAGAAACATTGGTTCCGAAGTCGAGAAGGCGTTCTCCTGGGTTTCGGCTTGGGTTATTATTTTCTTACTAAAATACCTCTGGTAGGAGTGCTCATTTATGGTGTTGCTGAGGCGTCTACTGCATACCTGGTCACCAAAATCAGCGACCCTCCCCCTCCACCGGAGATGGCAGCAGCATTCGCCGCTAGCCAACAAGTTTGGCATAACGAACATCAGTTCCTCAGTTTACCTTTGAGCAAACTAGATTCCCTACAGTCCAGAAGGTTGGTTGAAATTTTGAAATGATGATTCATAGCAAATAAAGTACACTAAGCATCATCTTCAATCTCGCTTAATGATGTGTGGCCGGTTTCGTCAGCATGTTTTTGGCCCTCCCGTTGCCCAGCTCCTATCCAGTTACAGCCTGGGATATTACACTTAAGAACAAGACTTTGAAAATCTGTATAGTAATGAGTCTGATGCAGTATCTCAACCAAACTGCTAGCCTTGTTGAGAACATCGGCATCATCTGCGGGCCACAGGGCCCGATCTAGTTCAGGTGGCAAATTTGCGTACTTATGAGGATAGTCAGAGTAACTGAATGCAATCCTGTCGTAATGGATACCCGAATACACTAATATACATCGTTGAGAATTGTTTTCGCCGAAAATAATATTGTTCTTTGTCTGTAGAATGGTTGAGCAAAACATAAACATCACTATGTTCAAGAGTCTCACCTGAACATCAAAGGTGCAGATTTGGAGATTAAATATCGTCGACAGAATACTTAACTCTATTCCCCCTCCCCAGGCATCCGGGTTTAGAATTCGCTCACAGTATCTGCTAGGTGGGTTCCCTAGAACAGCGTCGGTGTAAATGTCTGGGTTCGACTGAATATAGTCCGCCATCATTTGCCTGAGTCGTTGAGGCGGAATTTGTTCTGGTAAAGCACCACCAAATGCAGTAAAGAGACAACTATTGTCACTGGGCATTACTCTCAAGACTAGACTTTGTCAGCATGACCCATTACATCTACCAGCTGTGACATCCTCACCAAGAGTCCCTTCACGCTCTGGCCAAGCTATACAGCTTTCTCCTGTTTCGCTGGAGCTGCCTCCTGTGGTCTGAGCTCTCCTCATAGGACGATGACCAGTAGTATCCTCTTCGGTATTTCTGGTCTTCTCGACTGAAACAATTGTCAGTGTCTCTCCATTGAGCTTGAAGCTTTCAACTAGTTGATCCTTCTGCTTCTTTTCAATACTTTTCATGGCAGTAGGTAGTCCGTATTTAATAATAAAATCGTCATTGCCAACCAGTGGCTTCAGCTTCTCAAAAAGGAACCCAATCGTGCTCCCATCAGGAACTTGAAGTATGCCGCTGACCTGTTCATTTTTATATTTAACTCTCATCTATAACATGTCAGCAAGCCATAAACGGTACATTAAAATATGTACTACAGCTAAAGCACCTACCTTTCTGATAACCCAGTATGTGAATGTACTGGTGAGCCCAAGTTGGCAACCTGAGACAATGTCAATACCCCGCTAGACACCCGGCGTCGCATCACCAGGACTTAGTTCCCTTGTAGAACACTAACGAAGTATATTACAGCGATCACTGTATTGTGTAGAAAATCTTTTTGGGCATGACTTTTATTTGCTTAATTTTTATTTATTCCGGCTTCTAATTATTTACTCTATAAGGATCATTCGGTTCTTGCTGCCGCCTTCGTGGTTACGTAAGGTTCCTGTGGTGGCACCCACCGGCCTGGCCTGTTGGTACCTTACAGGAAGAGCCTCCCTTTGACCTTCGACGAAACGCGACTACTGCGTGCGACGCGTCTTCCTACACTACCAGCAAGCCCCCGAACGAATAAATAACCTAGGCTGACGTTAACTACGCTGAACCAGAATATTGGGCTGCTCCTTATTAATCAACCAGTTTTTTTAAACATACTGCGAGCGCAATGGCAGCAAGACAAGGCGCATCATTCTCGTCCAACCCGCCCAAGTCCCACGAGAGTGACGATGAGGATGTAGAAATGTCCAACAGCGCCGATGACTTAGGCAGCGATCTCGATGATCCTTCAGTGGAACGAGTCAGTCCCGAAATTCTTGAACTCATCGACGAATTGGCGGAATATCTATGCGAAGTTAAAGAAGAGTACGTTCGGTAGCTAATGATTGTATTGACCATCTTACTAATACCTCCCCCGAAGTGATGAAGAGCTAGCAGCTGGGTTCCAGCGCATTCCCAATCGACGGGCATTACCAGATTACTTCGATGTTATCAGTAATCCTATTGCGTTCAGCACTATCAGAGTAAGCAAAATGGAATTGTCCAACTGTCAGGCCTCGCGGTTAACCGCTCCCATCAGGGTAAAATACAAAAGAAGTTGTATACCTCTTTCGCTGAATTTGTGAAGGATGTCGCACAAATTTGCCACAATGCACAGGTATACAACCGCCCTTCGGCTCCCATTTTTGGGGCGGCAGTTCGATTGCGCGAAGTGTTCGTCAAAGAGTTGCAGAACCTCGCTGCGCAAGGCAAAATATCAGCATCGGATACAACAATACCTGACCTGGGGGAACTTCCACCTGCGGAAGAATCGCTCTCTGTGGATTCTGAATCTTCAGGAGATGAAGATGTTGACGATGATGATGACGATTACGATGGTTCTGACGACGAATACGGTGCCAGCACGAGACGTACGAAGTTACAAAAAGCTACATCTAGTCACATGGTCAACCCAAGTGATGGTGATGGCGACATTCATAAATCTAAAGCGCGTCCTACGATGGTACTTACACCGGTTGAGGCACGCATCGCAGCCATTTTGCGCGACCTTCGAAAATTGAGAGACCGTGACGGCAACATTCTGATTGCACCATTCGAAAGACTGCCGGATCGTGCGGCGCTTCCCGATTATTATCAAACGATATCAAACCCAATTGCACTAGACAATATCAAGAAGAAGGCCAAACGTAAGAAATACGTCTCCGTTGAGCAGGCCATGTCTGACATCAACATCATGTTTGAGAATGCCAAAACATACAACGAAGATGGTAGCGCGTTGTACGAGGCTGCAGTCGAACTCCAGCTTCAAGCAAAAGGGTTAGCAGAGCAAGAATTGGCCAAATCAGATGATGAGTTTCGGGATGAGAATGGGCGTTTGCCTCTGGCTGAAATACATCACAATGGCGAGATCTGGGGAGTCGGTAAGTGCTGAGGCTCAAGCATTCGGAGCAGCATGCAGCTGACACATTCAACAGGTGATTGGGTTCATATCCGTAATTCGAACGACCTAGCAAAGCCAATCGTTGCACAGATTTTTGGCACCTGGCAAGATCGAGCTGGCGAGCAGTGGATCAACGCTTGTTGGTATTATCGACCAGAGCAAACCGTACACCGGTTTGAAAAACACTTCTATGAGTATGAGGTGGTGAAAACTGGTCAATACCGCGATCACCAGATAAGTGAGGTCCTCGACCGCTGCTTCGTTATGTTTGTCACGAGGTTCAACAAAGGCAGGCCCAGAGGGTTCCCCGCCAATAAGCAAATCTATGTCTGCGAATCACGCTATAACGAGGAAAAGTTCCAACTTAATAAGATTAAAACGTGGGCTAGTTGTATGCCCGATGAGGTGCGGGATAGGGACTACGAGATGGATCTTTTTGATATGCCGCGAGAAATGAAGAAAGTCCCCAGCCCAATCAAACACTTACTTCGCGACGACGCGAAGGAAACGGATGAGCTCCCACGCCCGACATGGGGTAGCCCCAATGCACCACCCATTGTCGGTGCTGTTCATCGTCGAGCTCCAGAGAAAAATGTAAAATAAGGATTTAATTTTGTCATCGATGACTGGCGGCTAACAGATAATAGGAATCCCCTCCACCAAGTTCGACTTCTCAACCGATGAACTTCATGCCACATGCACCTGGAGGATCACGCAATATGTCAGATATGGTTGCTGCCCAGGGTATGCATCCGATGGTAACCCAAATGGCTCATCACCCAGGCGTGCAGTCACCGGCTCACCAAATGCATCTAAGCCAGCAGATGCAGCAAACACCGGTTCCCTTGCCCCAGATGCAGCAGCACTTATCGCCTGTCGTTGGTCGCACTATGCAATTTCAAAACAGTACACATGGGTCCTTTGCCCCAAGCTACCAACAGACGCCTATGCAAACTGGGTCCCATTCGCAGGCATTTCAACAAGTACCACAAGGCTATGGTTCTGTTCACCATCCCCGACCTCAGACAGTAGGCCAATCCCAGACACCTCATCAAGTCAATGTATACAATCCTCCTCGGCCTCCTGAGGTATATACATTACCCGACACAATGAATGATGCATTGCCAGAAACTGTTCGTGCTGCATTCCAGCATGATGTCAATAACCGTGTACTATTTTTCACATCTCCACCACTGGATCGTGTCGACGATGGTGTAGCTCCTGTAGACGTTACCCTGGGACATAGCGCAAAATATTTGTCTGGGCGCCAGGACTGGCTAAAAAAGAGAGCTGCGAGGAAGTTCGAACAAAGCGAAGGCGGAAATAACATGGCAACACAACACTTGGCGAAGAAGGCAAATATGGCGGTCATCTCTGGCTTGCAGCCGCAAGCCAATGCCGCTTTAACGTCTTGGTTTCGTCAGATGGATAAAGATACTGAGGTATGGAAAGATGAGACTGGTCTGTAGCGCTGTAGTTGAGGGAGGTTGAGAATTCGCTGGGAGTTTCGGATTTGCGACTGGATTTCGATTCGTGTATCAGTCAGTTTAGGGAGTGTTTCACCATTCCAATAGTTTTTAAATATTGATTATGTTGAAGGTAGCCGTTTTCGGTAGGCATTGAATACTTCCAGTGGTTAAATTGCATCCTGGTTATATTCCACAACCTGCAGCTTTGTGGTGTGATATCTATCCATGATATATTCGTAGACCATCCACTGTATTGCATTGACAAAGAAGGCTCGAGCGCAGCATATTGTAAATCCTTTGAAAAGCACTTGCCCTCCTTCTTTTCGAATTGCATTTTTCGCAATCTCGACGGCGCCCATGTGGGATTTCCAGTCCTGTATCGGCTGGGTCTGCACACGGGTCTTGATGACATCGAGAGGAAATACACTGGCCCACGTCACGATGCCTGCTATCCCGCCACATGTTAGTGTACGAGCAGCTGCTGATTTGCTGCTTTCATCCAACCCTGTTATCGTATTCCAATGATTACACATGAGCTTGTAGGACCAGAAATAGAACCCATATCCGATGCTATCACGCAATGCAGTTATAGTGCCTCCTGTGAACATCCCTCTAATTCCTTGCGATTGCCATATACTTTTTGTTATGTCCCAGCTGTTCCCGCTCCGTCGCACCTTGACCTGTGCTTGGCATTTAACAAGCTCAGTCGGTGTACTCACAACCCACGTAGCCAGACCACCAACAGCTCCAGCCACCCAAGTCGACCAAAGGCCACCATCTCGGCCGATGCATTGGTTGATTCCTGCCTCAGATCTGTTGTATACTACGTAGAGTATAGCGTTGAGGGCACCGTATCCTAGTATCGGGCCAGCACTTCCGGCTAACGACATGGCGCTGTCCCTGGGTCCTGGTACACGCTGGCGATTGGTAGCTTGTTGCCTGACTTTGATGATATCCATTGGATTTCCAACGAGAATTCCAATGGCACCGCTGGCATAACCAGCCCAGAAATCGGTCGACATAATTATATTCGATGGTGATGTGTGGTTAACCCAGTAGAATCAACGCAGCGGGGCAGTTATCAAATCACACCATCACCAAGATCAACCTGAACGCTTAAGATATTATTATAACGAGGTCACTAAATGATGACAACTATGACAACATTCAACGTAGAAATAAACACACTGGACGCTGAGTAAAAATATAAATATGCTATTTAATAGCTAAAGCTAAAACCCATGCTATTTTCATGAGACGCCTGTAGGGTATTTCACGTGACAGCGCGTTCGTCAACGCGTCAGCCAAAGCAGCAGAATGGGCACGCGTTCCAAGAGGACTAGCTAAGGAAACGTGCAACACCAACATAAATGAAGCTGACAACAACGTCACGGATCACAACGTGAAAGAATGGCCCAATATAATGGACGTGCCGCGGCAGATGAAGCTGCTGTGACACGGCTACAGCGCCCTTTCAAGTGCCCTGGAGCTGCAGTTCACGCGCAGAACATCGATCGCCCATCCCGCAAACGAAAGCGAATCGACTACGGAGGTGCGGATGGTAGCGAAAGCAACGAGAACCTATACACTACCGAAGATCGAAAAGCTCTGATAGCCCGAGATATGAATAGATTTCCAGTGTTCCAAGTCAAAGACAAGGAGACCGTTTTCCGAAAAGCGTTCTCAGTACCGCTCAAAGACAAAACACCGGGACAATATGTGTCATCACGACCGCCACCTACACTCGGCCTTCGACAAGGGCGAGTTTTTGCACCCCGGCCCTTGCACGATCCTAGCGGAGAATTTGCTATAGTTCTATACGATCCTACTATTGACGACAAGGCCACAGAGTCAACTATGGAACCAATAGCTGCAGAAAAAAAGCCGAAGGAGTCACCCGCACTTGATACACCACTAGTACATAAGAGTCTGGCAGAAATTCTCGGAATTAAGAAGAATGTGGAAGAGAAAACCGTTCGGGTACCAGTCGTACTCGACCCGAGACTGGCAAAAGTTCTGCGGCCTCATCAAGTGGAAGGTGTCAAGTTCATGTACAAGTGCGTCACAGGGATGATCGAAGAGAATGCGAATGGTTGTATCATGGCAGATGAGATGGGTCTTGGAAAGACGCTTCAGTGTATAACGCTACTATGGACATTACTGAAGCAATCCCCAGATGCTGGTAAATCCACCATTTCGAAGGCAATCGTTGTCTGTCCCGCAAGTTTGGTCAAGAATTGGGCAAATGAGCTAACCAAGTGGCTTGGTGCTAATGCCGTCAATCCATTTGCAATAGACGGCAAAGCATCCAAAGAAGAATTAACCCGCCAACTTCGCCAATGGGCGATTGCAGCTGGCAGGTCCATCACGCGACCTGTCATTATCGTCTCATATGAAACGCTACGGTTGAACGTTGAAGAGTTGAAACATACCAAAATTGGACTCTTATTCTGTGATGAAGGTCATCGCCTGAAGAATGGAGATAGCAATACGTTCAACGCACTCAATAACCTGAATGTTTCCCGCCGAGTTATTCTTACTGGAACACCAATTCAGAATGACTTAACCGAGTACTTCTCACTCACAAGCTTCGCAAATCCTGATCTACTTGGCTCACGGTTAGAATTTCGAAAAAGATTTGAGATTCCAATTTTGCGTGGCCGTGACGCTGATGCATCGGAGGCGGACAGGCAGAGAGGCGATGAAAGTACTGCAGAGCTTCTGGGTATTGTCAATAAGTTTCTGATCCGCCGCACAAACGATATTCTCTCCAAGTATTTGCCAGTCAAATATGAACACGTTGTGTTTTGCAACCTGGCGCCATTTCAACTGGATCTTTACAATTATTTCATCACGAGTCCGGATATCAAAGCTCTTCTACGAGGCAAAGGTAGTCAGCCACTAAAAGCTATCAACATTCTTAAAAAGCTATGCAATCATCCTGATCTTTTGAACTTGTCAGATGACTTGCCAGGATCTGATAGCAAATACCCCGAAGACTATGTACCAAAAGAATCGCGAGGGAGAGACAGGGAGGTCAAGCCATGGTACTCTGGCAAAATGCAAGTGCTTGACCGCATGCTAGCGCGAATCCGACAGGACACAAACGACAAAATTGTTCTCATCAGCAACTACACGTCTACTTTGGACCTATTCGAGCGACTATGCCGTTCGCGCCAATATGGGTGTCTAAGACTAGATGGAACAATGAATGTGAGCAAACGACAAAAATTAGTGGACAAGTTTAACGATCCAGAAGGGGAAGAATTCGTTTTCCTTCTAAGTAGCAAAGCTGGTGGCTGTGGCATCAACTTGATTGGTGCCAATCGCCTTGTTTTGTTTGATCCAGATTGGAATCCTGCCGCAGACCAGCAAGCCTTAGCAAGAGTCTGGCGTGATGGGCAGAAGAAAGACTGCTTTGTTTACAGATTCATCGCGACTGGTACTATAGAGGAAAAGATTTTCCAACGACAGTCCCACAAGCAGAGTCTGTCCTCGTGTGTTGTTGATTCAGCTGAAGATGTGGAACGTCATTTCTCCCTCGACAGTCTACGGGAGCTTTTCCAGTATCGCGCAGACACCACCAGCGATACTCACGACACGTTCAAGTGTAGTCGCTGCAGGGCTGATGGTAAACAGCATGTAAAAGCTCCAGCTATGCTATATGGAGATACTAGCACCTGGAATCACTTTGTAAACGACGGGCTGAAACCTATCCAAGACTTGCTCCTTCGTCAAGAGCATGGTGAGAGTGAAGTCTCGGCAGTTTTCCAATACATTTCGCATTAGCAAGAGAGCGTTCTTTTACCACAGTTTATAGACACAGAAGTTATGTTATCATTCAATGACTTAGTTAGATAATAACGACTATATGAAGACGGCATATTTTATTAACAGTAAATGCTGGGAATTTCAGTTTGCAGCATAGAGTACTGTGGTAGGCGAAGCCGTGCTGTTTGCTGGAGTGAGTGGAGCACTCACTGATGTTGGCGAAGACGGTTCGCAGACTATCGACAAAATCTGACTTCTCAGCAAACACTCCCCTCTTAATCTGAAAACAAGATAATAACCAACCTGTTTAAACAAATATCCTATAATAAACGCTACATACACTGTCATTGAATTGATACGGCAATTGACAAATAAATCAACGCGTTGCATCCGACACACCGACTGCTTTGTGCGACAATGTCCAAGGACGAACAATTTGCGGCCCAATACCTTCAACGCCTCACGGGAGAGCTTGCTGAGGATATTGACAAAGTACGAAATTCAGACGACTTCAAATCCGATTCTGTACCGTTTCTAGTACATGCCTTGCAACAAGGAGCGTCCCAATTTGTCCCTAGCGAAAAAGACCGGGTACTAAATAGTACTGAAAAAGAGGCAACGGTTACCCAATCGCGCACATGATTCTTGTTTACAGATGAGGCACTTTATGAGAGAGCGATGTTTAAAAAGTAAAATGGATGGGTTACGACAGATATCAAAACTTCTTTATTTACTGTAGTATGAAATACTATCATCCTGTTAACTACTGTGCATGTAATGTAAACTTGATGACAAGAATAAATTCATGACAAACTAAAGTATCTCTAGTCCGCTTATGCCTGTGTTCGGTGGGTATAACCACTAAGCAATTGTTTTATATAGCTGTCATGTAATTAAGGTAGTTGTACAAGTAAAGAATATACGAGATCCGGTCGCCAAGACAAGCTGTTCTATATCGCTGATTTTGTCCTTTTTTATGCCTGCGTATGCTTAAAGCTGCTTAGGGCCGACCATGAGCTCAGGGCGGACAAGGGTGTCAAACTCTTCCTCAGTAAGGGCGTTGAGCTCCATGGCGGATTCCTTAAGAGTCAAACCCTTCTTGTGAGCATTCTTGGCAACCTTGCTGGCCATGTCGTAGCCAATCTTGGGGTTGAGGCAAGTGACCAGCATAAGGGACTCCTTCATGATGTTGGCAATCTTCTCCTCATTGGCCTCGAGGCCCTTGACGAGGTTCTTCTCAAACGAGCGCATGCCATCGGCGAGGATACGGGCAGAGTGGAGGTAGTTACGGATGATGAGGGGCTTGTAGACATTGAGTTCAAACTGGCCGTTCATGCCACCAATCGTACAGGCAACGTTGTTACCCATGACTTGAGCGCAGACCATGGTAAGGGCCTCACACTGGGTGGGGTTGACCTTGCCAGGCATGATGGAGCTTCCAGGCTCGTTCTCAGGCAAGTTGAGCTCACCGAGACCGCAACGAGGGCCGGAGCCGAGGTAGCGGATGTCCTGGGCAATTTTTGAGAGAGAGGAAGCGACGGTGTTGAGGCTGCCATGGGCCTGAACGAGGGCGTCATGGGCAGCGAGGGCCTCGAACTTGTTGGGGGCCGTGTAGAACTGGGAACCGGTCATTTTGGTGACCTCTTCGGCAATGGCCTCAGCAAAACCGACAAAGGTGTTGATACCGGTACCGACAGCGGTGCCGCCCTGGGCCAGAAGGCGCAGGTCACCGAGGGAGCTCTCGATGCGCTTGATGCCGTAGTCGAGCTGGGCGACGTAGCCGGAGAATTCCTGGGCGAGGGTGAGCGGGGTGGCATCTTGCAAGTGGGTGCGGCCAATCTTGATAATCTTCTTGGCCTCGAACTCGTCAACCTTGGCCTGAAGAGCGTCGCGCAAGGACTTGACGGCGGGGAGCAGCTCAGTTTCGGTCTCGAGAACGGCAGCGATGTGCATGACGGTGGGGAAGGTGTCGTTGGACGAGGCGGAGCGGTTGACGTGGTCGTTGGGGTGGACGGGAGACTTGGAGCCCATGGTGCCGCCGAGGATCTCAATAGCACGGTTGGAGATGACCTCGTTGGCGTTCATGTTGGACTGCGTGCCGGAGCCGGTCTGCCAGACGACGAGGGGGAAGTGGTCCATGAGTTTGCCGTCGGCAACCTCCTTGGCGGCCTGTTGGATGGCCTCGCCAATCTTAGGGTCGAGGCCAAACTTCATGTTGACGGTGGCAGCGGCACCCTTGAGGATGCCAAAGGCCTTGACGATGGGAGGGGGCATACGGTCCTGGGGCTGGTTGATCTTGAAGTTTTCGAGCGAGCGCTCGGTCTGGGCGCCCCAGTACTTATCGCCGGGGACCTGGATCTCGCCAAAGGCGTCGCTTTCGGTTCTGGTGGATGCAGACATTTTGATTGAGCTGGAGTGGAAGCTACGGAGGAGCTGCTGGGTGGCAGTCGGCGAGGATGCGTGGCGACGGGCCGCATTTAAAGAGGCGGCGAGCTGCGGGGTTGAGGCGGTCCTCGGCAGGCAAGCCCGTGACAGACTTGCGGAAGCAGCAGCTCTGCAGGAGATATTTCGCAACATAATTTTTTGGGTCGTGTGAGGGTGTGTGTCGAGAGACGAGAAACGTATTTAGCTTGTGACGATGACGCTACTGCAAGTGCAAAGGAAGCAGTCAACTCAGGGGGGTGTGCGGATTCGGGGGTCAGGCCTGCAGGAAATAATAGTTGTCGGTGTTATAGATGGTACAGTTGCACTGGTGAAAAGAGACCAAGATGCAATAGCCTACAAGAGGAGCAATTCGCAATGCCGATTGGGCAGAATAGGAAAAAGGGGGGAAGAGAATTAAAGAGAAAGAGAGGGATTAAAAAAAAAAGACGACAAGAGAACCCTGGCAGGCATGACAAAAATGACGCGCGCTTATTATTATTTTCCCCGTCTGGTGGCTTAGCGCGCCGTAATACAGAGAGGCCCCAACAACTCTGCAAAAAAAAAAAACCCCGAATCCAAATTCAAGTCAAATACAGCACTTAGCCCACGATAATATAGCACCTAGTCCCCTATGACCGCTATCCTCTAAAATATATAGCTAAATTTTATAAAAATTTCATCATGTAGTTGACATAATCTCCTATATTTACATAGATTTGTAATCTATATTAACCGTTATTAACCGTTATTAAGCTTTAACATTTAAGAGTAGATTTTGGTATAAGTTAACTGAAGTAAAATATACAGTGGTTATGTGGCTCAACAAAGGTCTTCTCCATTTTCCATCAGCCGCTGGCGTGTAAGTTACATCCCAACAGTGCCAGTGGCGTCGTCTGTTACGGCAACTTCACGCCTTGGATAATAGTTCGTGCACAGGTTTAAATATAGAGAGCAGAATGTAACTGCGCTAGGCGAGTAAGGATCGAGATCGGGTTACGTTAAAATGGTAAATAGAACAAACGAGATTATCTTCGATCATAACCAAGAATGAAACGTATGCTGGATATCCTAGTCATAAGTTCTAATCAATCATCCCCAGATCTCAAGTGCCCATTATCACTCAACGGCCCGCGGCTTAATCGGATGATTTGGGAATGACGCCAACTCAGTTGGACAGCAACCATACAAAATCTTTTGTATTATTGGCTGGACCTGCGGAGGTGAGTGCGTTCGGAGGTCCACATCTCACCAGCGGAAGTCTATACATGTTGTCCTTAACGTTGCCATTGTGGTTTAACTTAGATGTTATTGCGCCAGGAAGATAGGTCATACTTCTCACAGGCTCTTGACTCACTCTGGGTCACAGGTACAGGTAAATACAGATGCAAAAAAAGAGTGATAAGCCAAAAAAACATACAACAGCCGGTGTTCGCTGGTCGTCACCGACCCAACTACTAATCTGCCGATTACAGGCTTGTCTATGGGAGAGCGGACGGGATCCCGAATTTTCCTGTATCTATGGTCGTATGTAACAGGTAAGCACCAAAATTGGTATATAAGGACGTCTTCCATAGGCCTAGAGAATACCACCGTCATGTTCATAGTTTGAGCCTCCGATGATGATGCCCTGGCAGTACATTTGGATAAATAATGTAGGTTATTTAAAACTCATTTGTAGGTCTTTCTGAAGTAGAGTATTTTGTTGGCGGTAGCGTGACGAGTCGTCGTTCGTCATGTATATCAACCTCGTTGGCTCCCACCCGCACCACGCAAGTCCTCAGGCTAGTTAGTGCCTTCCACGGCGACCACTACAAAGTTAAAACTATTGCATCCAATTTATACATCGACCTCTTGGGAGAGAATAAAGAGAATTGATTATATTACTGCCTGATGAAAGTATACATTCAATTTGCAGTGTCTTTTGTGCGCACTGCTGCGATTTAAACAAGTTGCCTCTAGGCTGGCGCTCTGCTCATGATTACAATATCCTCCAACATGGCCGGGCGCTCCTCCAAGTCAACGTGTTCATTGCAGGCATTGGCTAGGCACACCACGTCAATTTTGTGTCACCTATCGGTTAAGTGTTTAAACATTTAATTAGCTTCAATCCAGCATCTATAATTCACATCATTATGATTTCTAATTTAATGAAAGTTTTCACGCCCTCTAACCATCCTTCTGTGCTTCTGGTGCTCGGCGAGTTTGGCTCTATGATCCACGTCCTTCATCTCCTACCTGAGAGTAGTACTATCGAACGCTTTGGTCTTACCACGTCCTCTTCCACTGGTACCTTTCGCTGAAACGGAGCTATAGAACAACCCCGGGAGAATATCGGCACGGTTACACCTTATGTTGGAGATGGCGAGACTCCCAAAAAATTTCTTGACGATATTGAGGCACAGGTCCGCAAGCTACGGAACTCTTTCCCTAGCGTTGTCACAGCGCAGCAGAAGACAGCAAATATTGATGTGACCCAACTAGTGCAATATATTCTCCGACCAACAGCAATGGATGCACTTAAAAAGAGAGAGGTGCGGGAAAGGTCTATGAATGCGACACAAAATTATCCAGTCTCTATTAGTTGCATTAGGCGCTCGAGGGCAGGGACGATTTCCAAGGAACCCACAAACCTTCCTTGTTGAGCTCTCTTATACGGCGCCATTCATCATGACGCGAATTTGTTCAGATGCTTAAAGAAGATCTCATTTTGGAGACACCAGAATACACACGAACCGTATCATCTTGGGGACAAGCGCAGCTATTTTCAGCAGCCTCGGGCTGGACTGTGAGTTTGTTACGGTCCGGAGATTGCTCCAATTTGTGGTTGGAACTGCCAAAGATATCAGCAGCGGAACCGATGGATGACAGACACTCGGAGTGGAGGTGTGCTGGGATACTAATTGAATGTACGTTTCGAGCGAAAACATAAGCGTTACTAATTGTTACGGCCCTCGGCGGGCATCTGAGTATCATGTAGAGGAATGCGAATAGATTACTACTCTTTGTCGACATCGAATTGCCAGTCAAGCCAGCCCCGGCAGATATATTTGCCAATGTAGTGCAAAACTGCCCCGCGATGCCGAGAGATCGCAGGCACTGTTTGAAACGCAGCCACCGGATAAAGTTGGCTGCACCGGGTAGCAAACTCGCTGACACAATGATACCCCACGATAAAATCCATAGGTATTAAATTACACTGGTATAGTACAATTGTTATTGCCAATCTAGGAAGGTCGTTTGTGAGGCGTTATTGTGGAGGAGAGATCGGCAATCACGCTACCAGGTCAAGAAACCTGCCATCTCGTCCGCCGCTGCCAAGACACGATGCCGATGGAAAATGGGCTCCGCGTACCTGAGCTCGGACTACATCACTAAACCAGTGTCTGATACCCCATAGTGATGCAAAAGTACTTATGTGTGCCGAGTTTCCCGTCTTCATCCGTGTCAAGTATGCCGGTTTTCCGCACCACCACCACCAATAAGGATGTTTTCTATACCATTAAAGAGATGATCAGCAACGCTGATGTGACTTCCAATACATGCGCATAATAGGCTATCTCTTTGATATTATGGTACCTTCTGATATATCTGACAAACTCTGCTTTATTCAACTGCTTCATTAGGAAACGTCGTCCACTCTCTGGATACCAACTCGGAAGGTTGCAAAGTTGCCATGACAAATAAATAATGATACAGATGGGTTAAAGCTTCAGCTGACGGTGATTTCCAACTGAAAATCCACAGGATTCAACTATAAAAGATGTCGTCAGGAGACTGATCGAATTGTATCATCCAAAACCAACTTCTTGACAATCCTCTTGGAAACCTCTCAAAACTACGCCTCTACCATGCTCTCTTCTACTTTTGGAAGCTTTATCGTCGCAGTCCTTTCAGCATCATTAGCTGCTGGGGCTGCTGTGCCTAGCAAGGTCGGAACGGTAGAGTTCAAGCAAACCACCAACAAGCGCTTTACTGGCCGCAACGGACCTCTTGCCCTTGCTCGTGCATACGAAAAGTATGGTCAGCCCGTTTCACCAGAGCTGAAGGCTGCCGCTGAAAAAGCAGCTGCCAATGGGGCTAAGAAACGGGCTACCGGGACTGCAGTGGCAAACTCAGATCAAGGTGATCTCGAATATCTTGTGCAGGTGTCCATCGGAACGCCAGCGCAGAATTTGAACCTCGACTTTGATACGGGCAGTTCAGATCTCTGGGTCTTTTCAAGCGAGACTCCAAACCCAGGTAACCACAACCTGTACCAGCCGGGACAGAGCAGCACCTCACAGCTCGCAAATGGTGAGACTTGGAGCATTACCTACGCAGACCAGTCCAGCTCCTCAGGAGACGTTTATTTTGACACTGTGACCGTTGGAGGCCTCACTGTTACCAACCAGGCAGTCGAGTCTGCACAGCAAGTTTCTTCACAGTTTGCTAATGGTGACTCGGATGGACTTCTCGGCCTGGCCTTCAGCTCTCTCAACACGGTCAGCCCTGATAAGCAGAAAACTTGGTTTGACAATGTTACTCCTCAGTTGGACTCTCCTCTTTTCACCGCAGACCTCAAACACAATGCACCTGGCAGCTATGTCTTTGGTGGAATCCCAGGTGGCGCCAGCAACATCAATTACACGCCTGTGGACAACAGCCAGGGATTCTGGGGCTTCAGTACCTCGATCTCCGGGACTTCCATTAATGGAATTGCCGATACTGGCACTACCTTGCTCCTGCTGGACGACTCTTTAGTCAATGCGTACTACCAACAGGTATCTGGAGCACAGAATGACTCTTCTCAGGGTGGCTGGGTTTTCCCCTGCTCTGCAAACCTGCCCAACTTGTCTTTTACCGTTGGTAGCGGCCAGATCACCATTCCTGGTAATCTACTCAACTACGCTGCCCAAGGCAACAGTTGCTTCGGTGGTATTCAGTCTAGTGGTGGTATTGGATTGTCTATCTTCGGAGACATTGCACTAAAGGCTGCTTATGTTGTCTTTGATGCGGGCCAGATGCAACTTGGTTGGGCTCAGAAGTAAGATAAAAGAAGAGGCAAAGTGTGCGGCACAGCGGGAATCCAACGCAGTTCACACACGAAATGAATACGACAGCAAGCCCCTTATATGTGTATATATTCTTCTCATATATAGAATGAACACTGGATTTCTGATATCTTCTCAACGTCTAAAGATGGTGTTTTCCGTCCTAGTTGACGCGAAACCTTTGATGGCAAGCACTACGAGTTCCCAAGCCATCAGTAGTGCAGAGCATCCCATTGTGACAGTATAGAAAAACATTGCGTCTAGGTTGTAATGAATCATTCCTTCAATGGTGTCAGAACTCTAGAAGTACAAGTCAGCAATCTCTCCGAGAGTTTGGCCAAAGATTATAGTGTATACGTACGCTGGCCATGAAAATAATGCCTCCCGCAATTAGGCCGAACGCAGAGAGCAGTTCTGTTGGAGGACGAGAAGGAAAAATTGAGGTTGGGGGCCGAAGATAGATTAGAAAGTAGGTCAAGCCGCGGGATAGAGATGCTCCTAGTAAGAGATTTCCCCATTGTTTATGAACCATGCTAGAAATCATGGTTGATTGTTGGTGCGAGCTCATCATTATGCCGAGTATAAGGATGACCAGCGCTGGGATAGGATTTAGTGAAAAATCGTATGTTTCTGGTTCTTCGAGCCCGTTCTCCTCATTGTTTAAAGTGGAAGGCTGTTGAGCGGCCCGGTTATGGACATTGACATTGAGAAATTTCCGAATAGCATGAGACTCGATGAGTATACCACACTGTAGCATGTAGTTAGCATTGCTATTTGAGGACAAACGCAGGGCATTGAAAGGTCAACTTACCAAACCACCGCCAATGAATAGAACCGTAATGGACATGTGTTCCAGGTCCTGGGAGGACCATGCTTGGCCAGCGTTCCCAAGGTGTTCGAGGAAAATATTAGTAGAGCCGTAAAACAAGATCAGGGAACTTTCTACGAATTCAGCGGTAGGAACCCAGCCTTCTCTCTTGTTACCATTACGAGGACGGCGATTCCATGCCCAACCGAGTTCCGCAAAGGCACCTGACCATCGACCGAGGTTGAAGAGTCCAAGCCAAAAGAAGACACCTCCCTTGATCCAGTGTGCCAAGCCGCTGAAGACCTCATGTCCCTCCTAGAAGAATTGTTAGCCGTAATTTGACGAAGAAAACACCAACTTAGCATACAAAAAATCGTGCGAACGTTATGATGCCTGTAGCCAAGGCTACGAATCCAAAGGGAAGGATAATACGATCAACGACTTTGTAAAATAGGGCCAAGCACCGTTGCATATGTGAAAATACAACCGTTACTGGCCTAGAAGGTAACAGCCTGTGTAAATTGTCATTGCTAGTCGAGGGTGGTGCATCGAATGCCTCGTCATAGTTTTCTAAGTCGTAGTCCTTTGGGTCCGGGAGGTCACCCGCTGTCTCGTCATATGCTGTTGAAATTGAGCTATTGCGAAAGGGTGGTGACGTTGGACTGACGTCTTGCGCATCTTCAAAACCCATGGATTGATCCCTTGGGTTGGTAGCTGCAAGCAAGAAGGCCCGGCTCTCACTCGCATCTGAGAGCTCTTTGCTGCCAAAATTCCGAATGATCTTGGCGATGCTGCCGGACAGCCCAATGGAGATTTGACCACAGACAACTAACGTGACTATCCATCCAATTTTGTGATGCGCGTTGTTGGGATATAGATCGGGCGTCCGCGCGTTGTACACCGTAGCACAGAAGATGCTTACAGCGTTGAGAATGCTGAACGCTATTTGGAGAGGTAGGGTAGCTCGTGAGCGAGCTATTGAAAGCATGACACCTTGATACCATGACAGCAACAGATTAGCTGACTGAGTTTACAACATTGGCAGCGACTACTTCGCTTTAGATTCGAATATCTGATATCCACTTACCAACGGGCAAGATAAAGATCCAGGCAACTACAGAGAGGGCAACATGCGCATATATCAAGCCCATGTGCTCAGGATGGGCAAAATAGGTTGGCGGGTAGTCTTTGGGGGCCGCTGGAGCAGTGGAATTCATAGCGGGTGACATATCCATATCCATAGTCATTTCTTGCGAACCATGAACATGACCGAAGGCAGTTTGCGTGAGCAGCACAAGAGCCGCTCCTGCAGAGATGACAGATCGATAATTAAGCAGGAACATATCGATACATTCGCAACACGTCACGCAATAGAGAATGTAAGAGACGAAGGTGTGTAGACAATAAAACGGAGGGGGAGGAGAGTGTAGGTGAATGGAGCATGGTGGGAAGCATGTGCGTGGGCTTAATATACCAAGCAAGAGAGCAACCGAAGGTTCCGGATTAGATCACTGATAGAGTTATTTCAGGCCCAAGAGTTTCGTTAGGCGGACCTAAGTGCCGGCCAATTCGGGACGAAGGGTCAAGAAATGGCCTGTGAGGGGCGTGATTGCTCTGCAAAGAGTGACATTCTAGCGACGCACAATGCTGCAGCTAGCGGCGGTCCCATCAGGGTTGATGCGGTGAAGCTCGATCGTCAAAGTACCGAACAAGTCACTGCAGCACGAGGCAATAAAACCTGACCGTTGCGGCACTCCGAGCCTTCCGGAGTAACTCACAGGCCGCAACACAACAGCTTGACGTAGGTGGTGGGGCGCCAAGGTTGGAGGTTGCTTGGAGCCTTCCGCATGCATTCCAAGTGCCAGAGCTGGAGATGGCGCGACGCAGAGGACTCTGTCGCTACGGTTCTTTCTGAATTGCGGCTGGCAACGAAGAAGTAAGCAAGCTGTGGTTAGAAAAAGGATTGGGAAGATTGAACTCGAGGATATGAAAAGAAAACACCAGTTAGACAGGAACGCGCGCCGTATTGATTTCTCTCAGTCGCTCGCTGGGTTGGGTTCACTTGCACCAAAGCCGCCCGCGTTATGGATGCAACCTACAGCAGCTCGACCATTTACAAGACAACCAGTCCAATCCCCACAGGCCACTTGGTCCATCCTGGCGCCCTTAGTGGTCGGCGTTGTCTTAAGGCGAAGCTTTAAGTTAACTTACCTGCAACTGCATTATGCGTCACAAGCACAAGCCTCCCCGCCACGATTTACTAACCGATGTGGTGTCTCCCTAGTGGCAGTAGCGCGCTTTTCCTAGCTCCCAAGCTAAAACTTAGCCCCAAGGCTGATCAATCCAAGTCGCCTCTGTGGCTGGCAGAGGCCAAAACGTCCTTGTCGCCTCCCGAGAGCTCCGGAGCAGATTGGAAGCCAACGGCCAAATATCACTGCTTTGAAGCACCAAGCTAAATTTCAAGGTGCACATGCTACTAACATTTGTCCCTGGAGTGTGGATGCAAGCAGAGGCTGCAACCTCTCCCACTCATACGGTCGACTGCAGATGTAAAGTAGCAAAGTATAATATTTGGTCCTCGAAAATTGTCACCCACGTTCACAAACCTCGGATACCCCGGATGCTCTCCAGTTCCCAAAGGTAGTTGGATGAGTCGTAGGCCCACCTGTAAATATTGTATTACTGGTCAAATCTGATGCGCTCGCGGTACAGCATGCACATGATATTGCGCTAACGTAAGACCACGAAGTATTGTGGGGTGATTCATTGATTACTGTATGTCACACAAATATCTTATAGTATTAGATGTAGCGTATATTTTGGAAATCGCCTTTAACGCAGTGCTTTGAATAATTGAACGACTACAGCGTTGCTCGATTTGACAACTGCCATCTTTCAGCGTCAACCTTTTGTACACGCCCCTCCTCAGTTAGCTTTGACAAAATTTGAATGATACCTTGAGCAGCAGCTGGATGTAGCTCAACTGGCACATCGTGATATATAATCTTCACAATGTCACCCACCAACCAGGTTGCTGTTGTCGGTGACGATCGCATGGTCTGGATCACTTGCTCCTCACGTTGCCGACGATGTTCAATGTATTCGGCAATTTTGCCTGGACCATCGTTAATCACTGGACCATGACCCGGATATGCCCGCCCTTGAAATAAGCATTGCATTTTATGCAGACTTTGGAGGTATACCCGCAGGTTCTCAAACACGGCCGTGCCATGCCCGAGAACGTTGTCCGCTGTAAGCATCGCGTCTTCTTCTTTGACAAGAAATACCATGTGGTCTGATGTATGCCCTGGAGTATGAGAGGCAACCAGTGTTACGCCTTCTGCAGTAAAAATTTGACCATCGTGAATCGCATGCTGTCCGACGGCAGGGTTGTTTTTGTATATCTTTGCCTTGGATGCAATAGCCTGGACATCCACAATACCGCCAACATGATCACCGTGCCAATGTGACAATAGGACAATGTCAATATCGGCCTTCTCTTGCTCCAGGACAGATCGTAGAGACGCCGCCCACGCTGGTTTTCCTTCGCCGGTGTCAAGCAAGATGCGCCTTTTACCGGAGCCAAGGAGATACGTATTTGTACCCTGTAGTGTGAATTTGCCCGGATTACCTCCCAGGATCCGAATGCAAATCGGACTGAGTCTCTCAACGGTTGGCAGCACGGCAAGAGAGGGAGGCATACTGGTGGCTCTCTGATATCTGAACGAAAGGTGAAGTTGGTAGCTGCGTTTGAACCCCGGCTTGTTCGCCACTAATGAGAGATCATACAATAAATTGTACTAGTGATATAGATGGTGTGTGTCAGTATTGTGATGATTTATAACAGATCAGGATTGGAAGCTTGTGGATGAAGGAGGACAATAAAGCATGTCATCGGCTGTGGCGTCTTAGCTACCTCGGCCATGATACAGGCGGCCACCCGCTGAAAGCCGGCACTGGGGCAGTCGCTCGCGGGACCCTACACTTCATACCGCATTCTTGGGGCTATTTACTAAATTGCTGTTAAAGAAAGGGTAGGTATAGATTTGAACGTCCTCTTAATTTTTATTCATTTTAATTCATGTACTAAGCATGTCGGCGACGACGCCGGCGCGGAGTATATGGCATTCCGTCAGATCCACGCCACCGCACCTATCGATAACGACGTTGCGTTGGTTCTGCAGCAGGGCTATTTCTAAGGGTGTACCAGGTGTCGCCGCGCTCATCGAGACCATCAATACTCTTTTGCAATTGCTTTCGCATTCTAGCTAGATGGAAGAAACCGTCTAAAGCCGAAAAGCAATTCCTAGCAAGTCTAAAGTATACTAGGCAAACTCCATTTTGAAACCGAACTTGGCACAAAACACGTTGATCAGCCACCCACACGACCTATGAAGCGTCGAAGCTAAATACTGCGAGCGATCAACCCATAACGATCCATAAAACAACTACGATCGATTAGAGATTATACGTCTATTTATCGAGATATACCACGGCCGAAGCTACATACCGATCGTTGGAACGTTGTCCCATCCGCAAAGTTATCATCATGTCTAGCCGTCCAGTAACTCCGGCTTCGCCAAAGAATGCCAGAGTTAAATCACCGGTACCAGGTGCTCCAGTATTTGGATGCGGTAGGAGTGACAGATAATCGCTTGGCTTTTCCTGACTCTAATTGTACTTCTAGAGCACGTACAGTTGCTGTTTTCTCAGGGACAGGAGCTTATGAACAGCAGCATTTCGCATTACAAGATGATTCTGCGTGGCATCTTTGATTCCAGCCCAATAATTCCCCAGACGTCCACCAGCAAAGAAGGACGCCCTATCACCTCTCTCACCTCCAATTACTTGTGTTTGCAGTGCCCAACGACAGTTGCTGAAGAAGATCGGCTCACACATGGCAATAAAAAGTCCCATCGTTTCTGTGAGTAGTCCCAACACCACATAACGCTTGGGTTGTCCTTTCTAATACCCAAGAATTTACAGTTGTCGATTCACGCAATGGTGCTTTATATTGCCAAATCTGCGACGATCTCGTTTGGGACCCTACACTAGAAGAGCTCAGACTTCGAAAGATCGGTACAGGCTCCTTTTCCGGTATGTTGAGTCTCGTCGTTTTCTCTGAGAGACAGCAGCCAGCTGATGAAGTTCAAGGTCGCAAACGCAAGCATGACGAACTATTCAGTGATGCCATAAAAGAAGATCCACGATATATTGCATCGAACACAACTACAGCATCGTGCCGCGCCAACGGTCTCCGGGGCATCTACAACGCTGGCGCTACCTGTTATCAGAATGTGGTCCTACAAAGCTTCTTACACAATCCTTTGCTGCGAAACTTTTATCTGAGCGATGGTCACCAGCGTATAGAATGCAGAGAACATTGTCTGAGCTGCGCAATGGATGACATGTTCCAAGACTTTTACGCGTTAGAAAACACAAACGGCTACACGGCAGCAAACATTTTATCGGGATTCTGGATTTCAGAAAAAAAGGCATTCGAGAACCTGGTTACTACAAAAGAGCAAGATGCCCATGAGTTTTTTCAATTTCTTGCCGAAGATCTACATGAACGGAATGGAGATGGAAAGAAGCCGGAAACTGGCAGTGAACACAGTTGCAACTGCATCATACATCAAACCTTCTATGGAAAAATGCAGACAACTACTACATGCCAAAACTGCCAAGCATCCTCCCATGCGGTCCAGTCGTTTTTGGATCTCAGTCTAGGATTGGAAAGCCTTCAACGTAAGAAAAAGCCAGGAACCAGGGTCTCTAATATTACTCTTCATGACTGTCTGAACGAAGAGTACGTAAAGTCTGACAATTGTGAATATCGCTGTCACAATTGTTCAGACATTCAACAAGCAGTTCGCTACACCAATATTAAACGGCTCCCTAATGTACTCTCTATACAGCTCAAGGTATGTTCAACTTTATCCGAAGCAGCCATGTAGCTGACATTTGAATCTTGTAGCGCTTCGAATATAAGCAAGGAAGGCATGATCATGCAGCATCTAAGATTGATTCTCCTGTCGATTTTCCCCTGCAACTAAACATGTTGCCATACACCAACCGGGTTAAAAGCAGAGACAATAGAGAAAGCATGGAATTGCAAAGGTCTTGTATATATGATTTGTTGAGCGTAATTGTTCATGTTGGAGAGATTGAGACTGGGCATTATGTATCATACTGCCGAGTTGGCGACCAGGTAGGTTCATTTGGACACGTCTCATCTGGCTGCAAAAGCACAAGGCTAATATTCTCTAGTGGTTCAAGTTCAATGATCACAAAGTTGAGCTGGCTAGCACCTCGGACGTTCTTGGAGCACAAGCATATTTGCTCTTTTACATCATTCGATCTCTAGCATAATTTTGTACCAGATTATGCGAGTCTATTCGGCTGTTGTGAATGTTTCATAACCAGCCCGTCATAAATTATATATAGATGTATATAATTTGTCTTAGTCTCCTTCTAAGCTTCCACACGCCACTTCCAGTCCTCACATTCAAAGTTTGAATAACAGTAAAACTCATTACTTAGGCCGCGTGCGTGATGAGGTTCAAACGTGGTAGTTTTCACATCCAGAGACTTGTAGAGCTTGACAATCAAGTTTTCCATCCGCTCTCCAGTGCATACGATAATGCGTTGATGTGGGAGATTAGGCTTGAGCAGCCATCGGGTTGTTAGAGCCGCTGAGCTTGTCAGCCAAGACACGTCAAAATGGGAGTTCGTGGCTTCTCTTACCTTTGGTTTGGCAGTCCTCGCTTAGGAAAGGGGGATCGCATATTATATGGTCAACAGAGCCCTTTAATTGAGCTAGATAGCCATTTTTGGTTAATGGTGGAGGATTGAACGGGTGAGCCTCGGAATACATACCAGGAAGCTTGAACGGCTGATTAAAGTCATAAAATTGATACTCTGAAAAAACACCAAATCTGTCGTCGTGTTCGAGGAGCAGCAACTTTGGGCGAGCATCAGCCTGTATATGACGCTGCATTGACATGTATTTAGTCCAACCAGCATCAATTGCAGAGTCAACGGTCATGGCTTACCACGATATTCTTCAACGCAACAAATACACTAGGCGCTGACACAACTCCAATGGTAGATTCGGGAGTTGCCTTTTCAAGTAGCCGAGTCGCGAGCAGATTGGCGGTCTGATCAGAATACTATACAATAGTTAGCGCACGTCTGCTCTCAAAGCCCAATTTGGTTGATTCATACCCAGAACTGGGACTCGTTCCAATCTTCCGTAAATGCATCCATGGATATCGGGCCATTCGCCTCAGCCTCCGCTTGCAGTTTATCAAACTTAGACTGATGTTCTTCCTTTTCGGCATTAAACTCAGCCAAAGCAGCAAGAGCATGCGAGGAGAGTGTTCTATAGAAGATTGCTCGATTAGTAAATCGAAGGCAATTTGTCAAGCGCTAGTCTCACAAAGGTTCGTCGTCGCTATCAGACATTGTCGTAGCTTATCAGTTTTTCGAATTAGAGGGCTGGGGTAGACAGGTATGGCATTGGCGAGGATCTCGATTGACTGGAGACTTAGGCCGTACGTTGGCTGCAATTTTTTTGTCATCATCGGGCCACCCCCACCAAGACGCCGCTATGATGCACCTCACAGGCGAGATGACCCAGCGGCAAAGTACTAAATCTTTTACAAATAATCAACAAATGAAATACTTTATTAGTCTAGACGATTTATTTGTTTTTTACAAACACGTCGACCTTGTTTGAGGAGTAAAAAAAACAAGCAATAGTTCCCATTGCATTATATGTACACAGTAACCCCTCACCACACCCGCGCTACCGATATGCAACACTCTCTCAAAGCTCGTCGAGGACGTGGATGTATTTCTTGTCCTCCTTCTTTTCCTTTTCGGTAGCGGGAGGCAAATCGTAGTAGTTCTGGCTTCGGAATCCTTGCTGCGAAGAAAGTTAGAGGTTGGTCTAGTGATGCTGTATATGGCCGACAACTTACCAGGTAGTGGTATGTGAAGTTAGCAATGTCTCCGGGCTCAATGCCGAGGTCCTTGAAAGTTTTGGCTTCGGGGTCAATAACCTGATCCATGCACTCGCGCTCGACCTCGTCGGCAGAGAGGGTGTGCCACCACAAGACGTTGTTGAGGATGTTTGCAACAGGCTTGAGAATTGCCTTGGGGATGTTGACGTGTCTTCGCTTCTTGAAGATTTCCTTGTCGACGAGCTCGGCAATTTGAGCCATAGAATACTGCTTAGGACCGTACAGTTCGTAGGTCTGCCCCGCGGTAGAGTCATCGTAAAGCATCTTCTCAAGAGCGGCACCAACATCGATTGACTAGGTATCAGGTAAGCAATTGTTATGCGTTTGGGTGAGTATTGGGACATACGTGAACAGGATAGAACTTCTCTTGCATGTTGTTTGTAGTAAAGAGATTGAGGGCAGATGCGAGTTTCAACAGCAGGTTATCTTCGAAACCGAAGAGAGGAGCAGGACGAACGATTGTCGTTTCGGGGAAGATGCTGCGCGCAACAAGCTCACCACGGCCCTACTTAATGCATTAGATCGACAATCTTTGACTACAGCGTTTTTGCATTTCATACCTTTGTGGCGTAGAATTCCGAGTTGGACGCTGGGTTTGCGCTGTGCGAGGAGACGTGGATATAACGATCCACGTCGTACTTTGCAGCTGCCTCGACAATTCTTTCTGTTCCTTCGATATGGACATCCTCCAAGGAGAAGTTTCTATAATCAAATAAGTATTGTGATGCATGTAAGATCTGGGGTACCGTACTTCGTGGGATAGTCACGGCCGACCAGATTGTAGACAACGTCGGAGTGGCGAACGCTAGCCTCAATAGAAGCAGTATTGCGCAAATCGTACTCCTAAATAATCGTTAGAGGCTCGTATATAGTGTTTTAAACCGGTCTGGTACGTACAACGAAGACGACGCGGCCAAGATCTCCAGTGACCTTGAGATGACGCTTGGTCATTTCTTCTCTGAACGGCACCACGACGGTGCAACCTTGGCGGGCTTTGATGATATTAGTCTCGTAAATGTCGTAGAGATATTTGTTACATTAGCATACCGAGTCGATTGACAATGTATCGTCCGAGTTGTCCAGTTGCGCCAAATACCGTAGCAGTGTGTCCTATGAATGATTAGACATTGGTCGGTCTGACGCGTAGCAATAAGTCTGTATTACCGCCGAGAGATGAACTATAGATTTCACCAGTTAGTTGGGTTAAGAAGGGGGTCAATTGGACAGTTTGACATACCGACCACCCTCAACTCGAAAGATGGGTTTGCCAGTTCGGGTGATGGCAATGTCGGAGAGGAAACGCTTGCCAACAACGGTGTGGATAGCAGAACGGGCCGAGCGGCCAGCAATTGAAGGGGAAGCCATCCTAGCTACAGTTATAGCAATAATCGAATTGGCGCACCCGCAGTGTCGAATACTGATTCGTAATCCAAGCAGCGAGAACTGAAGCTAGGACGGAGATTCTGGAGCCAGCGTAAGTGGATTTCACTACGATCACGTGACTGGGCCATCCCTCCTCGCTCAGTTTTGTCGCCTGCCAGCCCACGCTCCGGTCCTGGCTCCACCACATCGCAGGCTACAGTGGCGCGCGTGTGCACAGTCAGCGCTGTCGGCTCACCTTCAATGCAGCTGGTCTGGCTTGCAAGTCATCATAAACCCTCCACGTATCAATCGACTTCGCCCCGTCACCTTCTGTCATTCTGCCGACGGCAATAGCATCAGTTGATCTGTCGAAATCTCTAGGATTAAAATGAGTAAAGACGACATTCCCGATTTCCTCGCAGAACAGCGAGATGAAGCTCCAGAAGAGCTTCAACCCCTCATCCTTGACTTTGAGAACTTCTGGGAGCGCAAACTCTGGCACCAGTTGACCGATGCTCTCATCAAGTTTTTCGACCATCCTGGTAGTGGCCCGCAACGATTGGCCTTTTACAAAGTTTTCATCCTCAAGTTTGCGGACAAGATCAACAAATTAAAGCTTGTCGATCTTGCTTTGAAGGCCGCAACACAATGCAAGGGTACAGATCTAGTCGTACGTGGTTAAAGCGCCTATGTTAACATGATAATCTAGATGATAATGAACGACTAGTATTCCTACAAGCTGTTGCTAAGAAAGTCGACACACCTGACTCTCAAGACGCTCTGGTCTACGCTTCAGTGGCGGTCGCCCAGGTCAAGCTCAGCTTGAATAAGCTAGATGACGCAAGAAAGGACCTCGATAGGGCTGAGAAAATCTTGGATTCTTTTGACTCCGTTGAGGTTATTGTTCACGCCGCCTTCTACGATGCAAACGCTAGTTACTACCAGGTAATGTTCTCTGTTGTCGTCTCTCAAGCAACTCGTCTAATGGCAACACTGCAGCGTAAGATGGACTTTGCCAACTATTATCGTACTGCGCTCCTCTACCTCGCCTGTGTCGATCTTGAGGCTATGACCGGAAAGGAGCGTCACCGACGAGCTTACTATCTAAGCGTTGCTGCACTTGTTTCGAATAGCATTTACAACTTTGGCGAACTTCTTCTGCACCCCATTCTCGATGCATTGGCTGAAAGCGAAGATGACTCATGGCTACGAGATCTGCTCTTCGCATATAACCGTGGAGATTTAGCGGCCTACGAACAATTATCCGATCGAATCGAATCGAACAAGTTGCTGGACGACAACTCTACACATTTGCGACAAAAGATATACTTGGCCGCTTTGACAGAGGCCGTCTTTCGCCGACCGCCTCATGACCGAAACATGTCTTTTACGACCATTGCTCAAGAAACGAAAGTACGACCAAACGAAATAGAACATCTTATTATGAAAGCCTTGAGCTTGGGACTACTCCGTGGCACCATTGACCAGGTGAATGAAGTGGCACACATCACATGGGTGCAGCCCAAGGTTTTAGACATGAGACAGATTGCTGGTATGCGAGAGAGACTGTTGGACTGGGACTCCAACGTGAACAAGCTCGGAAACTGGATTGAAAAGGCTGGTGGTGACGTTTGGGCGGCATAGATATCAATGAAAAAAAAGAATCAATAGAGTACCTTGCGTCGTCAGTCCCCCAGCGACCTTCACACAACGAACTCTAGGGGCAACTTCTTGTATTAATACAGCTGAGAATTTATAAATTCTTATCAGTAACCGCTCGTCGCTGTACATTCTATGCAGTTCCTAGCACATTGATCATTCCTATCAGCCAAGCGGGCCACCATACGCACCAAATTACGACCGGTGTATACATGCCCCATACATCCCAACCGAAGCTCGCTTCAGTCAAAATGCTTTCAGCGCTAATTCCTGTAATTTGACAAATGACTTGCAGCAGCGTGGCCGGGGAGACGATGCTCATTATGCCAGCTAGTGTCCACCGCAGGAATGGGTTTGTGCTTGACTGGACGAAGCTCAACGGGCTGCAAACTATACCAACCAGGAATGCCAAAGAGAAGTTTAGCGTGGCAAGGGTTGCAAGTGACATGCCCAAAAATAGCAAAGAGAATGATTTAATGAGCTGGTACTGCTGCACTGTTGGCTTGTAGCAGGATAGAACAAGTGATGCTGCCACAGGCAACGCCGCGGAGGCTACCGTGAATACTGTGAAGGCAGGGGCCAGAGTCTAAAATGTTAGATCAGGAAGTAATGTTTTAACAATAGAAGCGTACCTTGGCGGAGAGGTTGTTAAACAAGTACAGCGGAATGGTCGAAAGAGCATGGCCAAGCACAACAACTGCACATGGCAGAAACAGGTCACGTTCAACGGCTGGTGTAGAAATTGAAACACCTCTGGTAGCTGACTTGCTTTTAAAATCCTTCTCTTTCAATGGAGCTGGTGGCTGCCCGGATTTGACCCAGAGGAAAATTGCCATGATGCTAAAGTTGGCTGCTAGCAGCATAGCACTCGGCAGGTATGTGCCGATGCTGACAAAGCGATCTTTGTGCATCAAGAGATAGAAAAAGAAGCTCTGGTGCAAATGTTCCAGCAGATTGTTAAGGCTGCGGAAGGTCCCCTCTACGACACGGCCCATCGCCATTTCATCGTGCCAGCCTTCACCCCGTGGCTGGAGAGTAACGGCGTCCACATGATAGGGAATGAAACAGCTGTGAGGCCCGGTAGAGTATCCAAGACCTTGGCGCAGCATTCCTCTGAAAATTGTCTGCAAACGATCTTGGTAGTTGTTCGCGTGTTTCTCCAAATCCTGGATACCAGTGTCGATCCCCATTTGTCCACCAGCGATGTTCACGATTGAGTTGATAAGATCGAGATTGGGTAGCTGGCCGTTTGTACCATCGTAAACAATGTGAAGGCTTTCGAACTTGTTATCAAACGGATAATCAATGGCGAGAGCGCCTTGTAGAGCACCAGATTTGATTGGTAGCGGTGCCACCTTGTTGGGGTCATGGGCATCATGGTAGGCGTCGACCCAGGCTTGTGTCCCACTCTTGCTATCTGGAGGTATGACAAGAATGATGTCCTTGGACCACAAAGACCAGCCTGTTTGTTGCTCAATCAGTATCATTCCTGGGGCATTTGAAGCTTGTTTGTGAACCTACGTTTGAAGTAACGAGCAAGTGTCATTGCGAGTGCAACTCCATTGCGGTTTACTGCATCAGCAGTATTCTTCCAAGCCGCGACAAGCACGATTGCTTCTGTTGCATCTCCTCGGGGAGCCTGAAGAATACCGTAAACGTTTTCGCCATTCAGGACCTCGCCAGCCGAGTGGTACGTATAATTCTGTCGACCGACTTTGAGCCCAATGTTTTTCAGCATGACTTCAACATGATTGTTGATACTTTTAATAGTTAGTATCATACTATATGAACGATGCCGCCTTAAAGAAACAAACCTGTAGTTGTCAGCATCTCGCAGAGTGTCGACTTCTTCCCGGTACGCTCGCAGTACATTCTCCTCGCTTCCCCCGAAATATGTATGAACCTGGCCAGGAAGTAGTGCATTTTCAGAAATATACGTTCGTCTAGAGTACTCGTCAAGGGGCAACATGAGCAACCACGCAAAGCCGACGAGGATGCATATGAAAGAAATGTATGGGGGTGCCTTTAGAACTCTAGGGTCCTGTCGCAGCGAAAGCGCCGTCGCTGTTAACAATAATTGTCAGCAAGGATATGTCAACCATGACATATCTTTACTTACACAATAGACGCGGCATCCTTTAATCTTCACAATTTGTCCGGAGCGGTTGTCTGCGATTCAATAGATGATGTTGGGATGGAGCTCCACGGTCCGGAGCTACGTGTCGCGTTAGGGGCCAGGGGCGAGGCTCTAGTGGGGTCGGTTCTCTGATAGCCACAGTTCGTAGCAGTATCCACGAGTCGCATATTTAGAATGGCTGCATGTTGAAACAACTGCGTTCTAGGAAAGGGCGTAGAAGTTACAATGCGCTTGTTAAATACAGGTATTAGTTTCTACAGCTAGCAAATCTATATGCCACATTTTGTTCCCACTTAACGCCAGAGTACCGTGCAACACCGTCATTATATAGATGCGTTAGAATAAACGTACAGGCCGTGCCGATCTGTTTGTATAATGCATGAAAAGAGTGAAAACTCTTACGATAAAACGCCATCCAAGATCTATGATTAAAGGGCTCATGGGCCAAGACGTTGCGTACTGCCAACCAACTCAGTTGCAGCGCTGCCGCTGGGTCGATTTGTAGTGGGTAAGACTCCAAATCGTCCATATGTTTTCTGATCGATGCTGACATAGTGTGGGAGAATGGCAAGAAGGTTGAGGCGCCCTTCAATCCACCGAAGTGCCCATTCTGGCGGTGCAATGTACTTGACGTATCCGAGTCCAGCTGGAGTAGTCATGTTAGTTCAGTTATTTACACACTCAAATGTACAGCAAATTCTTACCAATATAGCCGATGAGAACGCCGCAGAGATGGCCAAGCAAACTCGTATTAGGGACCAGGGCCCAAACAACGATGATCAAGACAAGAGGTGTCGTCCAAGTCGGAATCTGGTGCGTCGCAATAACAATGTGGGGGTTCGTTCGGTATGTTCGGATCGCTTCCATCCCTAGAAGTAGAAATACCCAGATGCTACAAGATACAGTTAGTAGACGACATGTAGTTGTAAGGGAGAGACACTAATCACCTAGCACCCAAGACGGCGGTGTTTGCTCGCAAGATTACTCGCTCTATGATGATATACAGAACGGCGGGTACTGTTGTCAAGGCTATTAATTATGACTTAGTATCAATTCTGAATCTTTGGGCAGGTAATAGGATTTGCTTACGTCCGAAGAAAAGTGCCAGTGCAGTCAATGTTCCATATTCACTTTCGAATCGCTCCATCAAAGGGGTAAGAGCAATGATATTCATAGCTGCATGGATGAAATTCGCATGTACCAGAGGGAATGTAGTTAGGCGGTGGGCTATATGATTGTCAGCATAACTGCTTCCGCAATGGCCGGACTGCTAGGTGAAGGCGAACCAGAAAACAACGACACCTTATCTGGTATCAATGCGCCCCATGCTTGAAGATCCCAAAGCTTGGGTATACTGAGAGTCCATACCAGCGCTATTATGAGAATAATAGCTCTTGTGAAAAGGGGCAGGCGGACGAGATAGGAACGCGCCGGAAGGAAGCTTAGGCCGCGGATAGATGGCATGCTGGCCGTAACGATGAGGGAAGTAAAAGGCGAGAATGGATATGAGGACGAGTAATTGCGCTATATCGTGGAGTTGCAATATCAATTGTTTAGAAACAAACGACACCGTCCTCTTCGCGAACAAGATTAACAGTAATGCAGGTTGCCAACTCGATCGTCAATCTAAGAATCTAGCTGATGACACCAAGTCCATCAGGGGCGGCGCCTTATCTATCACCACGTGACCTAGAACAACTGAACATTAACTGGGTTCACCAAAATAATCTTAGAGCTAGTCCGCTATGAATAAGAGGAATATATTTCAATTATCGACAGTATGTTTATATCATTAGTACTAGTATGGTTAGTAGAGGTGGTGGTAGTAGGGTAGAAGGAGCGATCGTTACCCCAATGCATGATATTGTTTACCTGTTGCCGCAGACGATGATCGCAGAGTCACATTGAATAAAACAGATTAAATATACGTTTTTAATTGAATTGGTTTTTAGGAAATTGTTGTACAGTGCAACAGAAAGCAAATCCCTAAACTGGATATCATGTTATTATCATCCTCCTCTGTCGTCGAAGAGCTTATTTCTTGGCAGCGTTAACAGCCATGGTGTTGAGGGCGCTGCCGTTGCGGAACCAGTGAAGCTGGTCCTCGTTGAAGGTGTGAGAGAGAGGAATCTCGAACGACTTGCTACCATCGGCGGGGTGAACAATCATAGGCAAGGGCTTGCCAACAGCGAGCTGAGTGGCCAAAAGGTCGACCTTATCATCAGGTCTGATCTTGTCGTAGTCGGCGGGGTCAGAGAAGGTCAAGGGAAGCATACCCTGCTTCTTCAAGTTGGTCTCGTGGATACGGGCGAAGCTGCGAGTGATGATAGCAATACCACCAAGGTGGCGAGGCTCAAGAGCGGCGTGTTCACGAGAAGAGCCTTCACCGTAGTTCCAGTCGCCAATAACAACCCATCGGATACCCTTGGCCTTGTAGTCACGGGCAACGTTAGGAACACCAGCCCATTCGCCAGTGGTGAAGTTCTTGACCTTGTTGGCCTCGCCGTTGGCCTCGTTGGTAGCACCGATAAGCATGTTGTTGGAGATGTTGTCAAGATGGCCACGGTACTTCAACCAGGGGCCAGCCATGGAGATGTGATCGGTGGTGGTCTTGCCCTGGGCCTTGAGCAAAATGGGCAAGTCGGTGGCATCCTTACCGTCCCACTTGTTGAAGGGAGAGAGGAGCTGCAAGCGGTCGGATGTGGGGGAAACCTGAACGGTGACAGTGGAGCGATCCTTGGGAGGAGCCTGGTAAGTGTTGTTTCCGGGGTCGTAGCCCTTGCTGGGGAGACCATCGCCGGTAGGAGGCTTGAGCATAAACTCGTTGCCATCCTTGTCCTTAAGCTTGTCGGTCAAGGGGTTGAAGTGCAGGTTACCAGCGACGCAGAGCGCAACAACCAAATCAGGAGAGGCGACGAAAGAGTGGGTGGCAGGGTTGCCGTCGTTGCGTCCAGTGAAGTTACGGTTGTAGGAAGACACAATGGAGTTGGCGTCACCCTTCTTAACATCGGTACGATCCCACTGACCGATGCAAGGACCGCAGGCGTTGGCGAGAACAATACCGCCGAACTCCTCGAAGGTTTGGAGCTGGCCGTCACGAGCAATGGTGGCACGAATCTGCTCAGAGCCAGGGGTGACGGTGAAGATGGACTTGGACTTCAGACCGTGGTCAAGAGCATCACGAGCGATAGAAGCAGCGCGAGACATATCTTCGTAGGAAGAGTTGGTGCAGGAGCCAATGAGACCAACCTTCATCTCCTCAGGCCAGTTGTTGTCCTTGACGGCCTGGCTGAACTTGGAAATGGGAGTACCCAAATCCGGGGTGAAGGGACCGTTGATGTGAGGTTCAAGCGTGTTGAGGTCAATCTCGATAAGCTGGTCGTATTCAGCACCCTCATCAGCACGGAGACCGTGAGCGTAAGCACGAGCAAAGTCACCAATATCCTTACGCTTGGTGGCAGCAAGGTAGTCGTACATGCGGTCGTTGTAATTGAACAGCGAAGTGGTAGCACCAATTTCAGCACCCATGTTGCAGATTGTACCCATACCGGTGCAAGAGATGCTGTCAGTGCCGGGACCGTGGTACTCCACAATAGCACCAGTGCCACCCTTGACAGTGAGAATGTCGGCAACCTTCAGAATGACGTCCTTAGGCGTAGTCCAGCCAGAAAGCTGACCAGTGAGCTTAACGCCAATAACCTTGGGGGCACGAAGCTCCCAAGGGAGTCCAGCAATGGCGTCGACAGCATCAGCACCTCCAACACCAATAGCAGCCATACCAAGACCACCACCGTTGGGAGTGTGGGAATCAGTACCAATGAGCAGACCACCAGGGAAAGCGTAGTTTTCGAGCAAGATCTGGTGGATAATACCAGATCCGGGCTTCCAGAAACCAATGTTGTACTTGGCGCAAGCAGAAGCAAGGAAGTCATAGACTTCCTTGTTGATGTTGATGGCACGATCCAAATCCTTGGCGCCACCAACCTGAGCCTCGATCAAGTGGTCGCAGTGGACGGTAGCGGGTGTAGCAACAGAAGGCATACCGGCAGACATGAACTGAAGGATAGCCATTTGGGCAGTGGCGTCCTGGCAAGCAACGCGGTCGGGGCGGAGCTTTAGGTACGACTTGCCACGCTCGATGTCCTGACCGTGAGGATCGTCCAAGTGCGAGTAGAGGATTTTCTCAGCGTATGTCAAGGGACGGTTGAGGCGGCTGCGGACGATGTCCAAGTTGGCGGACATCTTCTTGTAGTTGATGAAGTTGCCCTCTTCATGGATGTTCTGGCGAACCTATTTGAAGAAGATTAGCATGGAGCAAAGACATTGACGTGGCGCAATTGTTGTGCTCTAAATTTGGATGCCACAACCTAAGCCAGTGTCATTGAGCTTACATTCTTATCGAGAGCAGAATCGGAGACGGTAGCCAGACGACGGACGCTGGCAGCAGCGCTGCCAATGGCACGGCCACGGGCAAGTCCGCCCAGAACCTGTCTGGAAGCGAGCATGATGGACCAATTGATGTAGAGCAGAGGGGAGATTGTCTAAAAAGAGGTCAAGATATCCCTTGTCACCCAAGCAGGACAAAATAAGGTCGTGGGGGGCAAGAGGAGGAAGGGTGGTTAAGAAGGAAAAAGGGTTGTGGATGTGGAGGTGCGCGGTGTTTTCTTCTTTGCCGCACCCAGCTTGCTGCTCGATGCTACGAAGCCAATGCGTAGAAAAAGTGGGGATAGGCAGCCCTTGTCACAGCGCCCAGTCTCCATGGCTGCGATTGTGGGGACCGTTTCCTCGGTGCCAGCGGGGCTACGGGCGAATCAGAGGACGCGAGAATCAAATACGCTGATTTTTTCGGCGGCTCTTGGGCAACCACTTCTCGTCTTCCGCCTCGCCGACCGCGGCAGAGCCGAGCCTCCAGCACATGCACTGTAACCGGTGATGGGCAAAGCAAGGCACCGCCGGGACTAAGTTTCAGGTTATTAGGCAACGGAGATATATCAATGTCCGAATACTTTTGTGCTGGTTTTATTTAGGCCTTCATTGATTATGAGGATTTTCTCCGGATAGATTGCACAGATTAGAACCCGTCAGGATGGCCCGTAATAGCGAATAGCCAGTCGACATGTGCTTGGCAAATAGCCTGTCACGGCGTGATATTACTATCGCCATTGTAATTCGCGCAGGATGGCCCCATTCCACAGTAGTCAGATTGGAGACACTAAACCGCCAGGGTTAATTTTTTTCAACCCAGCTTGTATTGGCTGACCTCGGTTCGAGCGGGCTTGTGTCGGTCATCGTGGGCCTGAAGCTCGCTTTTGCGACCGGCGCCGACTGCTTAGGGTCGGTCGCCGAAACGCAAGGCAAATACGACCGTGGCCACAACCGATACCCGGCCCTGTCATCCGAGGATCTGAATGACGTAGAGCTCGATTAGAAATTTGTTAAACCTAGAGAATTTGTAGCAATTGTTTAACATCTTCCATCTTATACTCAACGACACAAGATCAAGGTGCCAATTAGGTCAGGGTTGCAGTAACTTCAACCCAAAGCCGCTGGTACTGAGTACGCCGTCGCGCCTCTGCGAGATGCAGCGTCTTTTTTTTAATTTTAAAAGCTAAAAGCGCCACAGACAATTCTTATAGATATCATATATCCCTTTTTCTTTATATCAAATATATCATTTGATCGCTTGCGCATTCTTCAGATATAAGGCACGTACAACGAAAAGCTATGTCTTGATCTACCACGTGATTGATTGTGATAACATGAAGCGCTCCACAAAAAAATTGTTGGAAGGCCTGTATCAACTACAGATTTCTTCGTAGAAAACATCATTACAAGCAACTATTGGCGAAAATGGGTGTCCTTAGCCAGAGAACGATTACAAAGACGAGAAGAAAGATCAGGTTCGTAATTTCAGTTCTTTTTAACCCAAAAAATATGTACGAACAACCATAAGCTAACCACTAGGTGCAGAGACTTTGATCAAGTCAAAGCCGATCTCATATCCAGCAAAAGTCTGGAGAAGTTCAAGGATTCCAAAGCAGCAGAAGATCTACCCGATTTAGGCAGAAACTACTGTGTCGAATGTGCTAGATGGTTCAATGCTGAATCAACACTCCTCGCACATCGCAAGGGTAAACCACATAAGCGCAGGTAAGTTCTATAGTTTGCTGAGCTTTTCGGCCTGGCAACTAACATTGAATATCAGACTCAAGCAACTCCGTGAAGAACTCGAGACTGCAAGGATCCCTGGCGGAGGTAGTTCAAAACGATCAACAGAAGCTTCCGCTGAGACCGCCACGACCACCGACGACGTGACCATGGCCAGCTGAATGATGTTCGACCAACCCTGCGAAAAGCCCATAAACGACATGGCATACCCAATACCGGCGCCGCTGCAGGTCCATGGTCACAATTTAGCAAACTGTGTAGGGTCCAATTTCATCTTCCCCCGCGCCCAGTTGGTCTAGCAAGCCCACTAGCCCTGCCTCTTGCCCGGGTAGCTCTGCGACCTGTTGCATCCCCTCGGGCTGCTGGGAGGCGGGACTGACGTGGCTCCGGGAGTGCGCTTCGTATCCGTGGTTTCGTTACAGTCGGAGGATTGTCAATAAATGTTGTATCCGTTGTCCTGTTCGAGACGGTTAGCTATGATACTCTGAAGTGGCAGTGTGGACCAATAGGCAGGTGCGTATCCCCACGTACATAATGGTTGTTTCGCCTTCATGGTCTGTCTTTGGGGTAGATGGAACTTGGGGGGCATCACGTTCTCGCTTAAAGGACTCTGGTATGGGACCCTATATTTCACTTGTTAGCGTATGTTTTTAATGATTGATGATACACCCGGACCTCTGGGAAATCTACGCAAAATGCATTCATATTCAAACCGTAAAGGAAGCTCGCAAAAGATTCGCTAAAACGATCTAAACTCTCATGCATAATTTGAAAGTGCATCATGTTAGCTTCTAGATCAGTCATGGCATCTGAGAGCTCTGCAAATGCGTTTTCAAATACGCTGAGAGGGAATGCTGGGTTGATGTCATTGGAAGCGCGTGTAGATTCGCGAAAGGAAGCTTGTGAAGCTGCGCGAAGGGGTGTAGTCGGTCGCGGAGTACGAGGTCGAGGGGTAGGTCGCTTGGCTGCCGAGTCATAGGGCTCTACAGACATCTTGAAATCTTCGCCGCTTTGGTCTCAGAATCGCAGCATATATCAACGCGTTGGCCAGTTCAGACAGGTCGCGATGCGGGTGGTCTGTTGTGGTCGGTATCGCAAAGTGTATCGTATAGCGGGTTGCTTCGTTTAAGGTCTTCGAACAAACTAGCATACATGCAAACTAAAAGAAAAATCGGTTTCGCTGGCTCAATCTGCTAATTTGAGTGCCGTGTTGGTGGTGTGCAAATACGCGTCCAAAGTCGCGACGTTGGGGCCCTTTGATGTAGTCGCCCCGCAAAACAGCACCAGAGGTTAAACGTAGGCGAAGCTAGCCACGTAATGCTGAATTCTTGTGCTCTTGCAATTATAACTCGCATTCTGCCCTTGGACGGACATGATTATACTGTTTCAATCAATTCTACCTTTTTGACGCTTTCCATAGCTGTCTGCTTCACAAGGCACCCTCTTGGTGCATGTGGGATGCTGGCTGGCAGCGGGGCGAAACCTAAGCCTCGTAAACTCCGACAGAGCCTTGACATCATCGGCACACTTTACACGTACGCTGCTAACCGCCTCAACGTCTCTCCTCTGCTCACTGTGTATAAGAGCCTATGTATAGGCCCAGTTGTTCCGCTTTTTGTTCCAGAATATCTTTTCGGGCCGCTCTTATAGTACGTGCCCCAAGGCAGACTCTGAGCTTCTCTAGCACGTCTCTATTTTGGCGCACCACCCAACCGCGCGTCAACTTAACGAAGCAGTCAGCCTTCCAGCCCGGGACTATTCGCCAGCCTCTGCAACTCCAGAGTTCATCATCAAACGTATTTATTATCGCTGCTGTAATTGGTCTTGCAATTGCTGCTGCGTATTCTGTTCAACCAACATCTCTTCCATCGACACCGTCCCAAGTCCTTACAACTATGGCCACTAGTGTTCCCGAGGGCCACGTTGGCAACCTTACTGCGGAGCAGTCTGAGAAACTCAGACAGTTTTGGAGGGCTATTTTTCAGGTTGCCGGCTTATTACAGGAATCCGAGTCCTTCGGCAAGGATGCCGTCACGCATGACGACGACAAATTTGGCCTGACGAAACAATTCCAGGAAATTTTGAAGACCAACAGTCCGGAATCTATCCGTGAATCTGTCTGGGGCATGATCAAGTGCGATCACCCTGATACACTTGCTTTGCGCTTCTTGCGTGCCCGTAAATGGGACGTGAACAAGGCACTGGTTATGCTCATCTCTGCCCTCAACTGGCGCGACAAAGAAATGCATGTCGATAGTGATATCATGAAGAACGGTGAAGCCGGTGCTGCAGCTGAAGTACCAGCTAGTGACAACGCTAAGAATGTTGGCAAAGACTTCATGACCCAGCTACGCATGGGCAAGAGTTTCATTCATGGCGTGGACAAAGAAGGTCGACCCATCTGCATTGTCCGTGTTCGCCTCCATCGTGGTGGTGAACAATGCGCTGAAAGCATTGAACGATATACCGTCCACATCATTGAGACCACCCGTCTGGTCCTCAGCCCCGAGGTTGAAACTGCTGTGAGTAACGCAAATCAACTGCACTGCTTATTGGTGACTAATTTTTTAGACCATCATCTTTGATATGACTAGCTTCTCTCTAGCAAATATGGACTATGCACCGGTCAAGTTTATGATTAAATGCTTCGAAGCGAACTATCCCGAATCGTTGGGCTCCGTGCTTATCCACAACTCCCCGTGGATCTTCCAAGGTATGCACATGCACGTCAGGTATATTGAGCATCCTTACCAACCAGTTATCTAGGTATTTGGCGTATTATCAGGGGCTGGCTTGATCCAGTTGTTGCTGCCAAGGTTCACTTCACATCTGGTCGTGCTGGACTAGAAAAGTTTATCGAGCCCAGTAGACTGTTGAAGGAGTTGGGTGGTGACGAGGACTGGGAATACAAATATGTTGAACCTGTGGAGGGAGAAAACGCGACAATGGACGACAAGGCGGGTGCAGAAGCGGTTCTCAAAGCGAGATCTTCGCTCGTTGTTGATATGCAGGCAGCCACGCTCGAATGGATCCATGCCGCGGACGCCGCAACAATTGATGCAGCTGCCAGCAAACGCCAGGAGATTGCGGGCAAATTCCGCGAAAACTACTGGGAGCTTGACGGGCATATTCGGGCCAAGTCGATCCTTGATAGACAAGGTGTTATTGGGGAGAAGGGCAAGATTACCTTTTACCCATAGGATCTTGGCCATTGCTCAAACATGTACATCTTATACCGCGGAGTATGATAAAGTCCACTTCGCGAGACATGTATTTGTATTTGACTGTGATTTCCTATAGGTTAAACCAACACATCTACATCTTGGATTTAATATCTTCACATAGCGCCTTAAGCTTATCCATGTCACCAGTGGTGGCTGGCCACTGAATTCCTAATCCCTCGGTGTCATTTGGCTTGGGGATCTGTGAGAAGGTTAGAAGTGTTTTCAGTCAAGAGCGGTAGGTAGACTGGAATACCATGTGGAAGTGAACCTAGTTAAAATCGTTAGTCAATTTCCTTACGACAGCCATAGTGCAGATATATTGGGGAAGCATACGTGATGGACTTGCTGGTGAGCAATAGTGCCGTTATTCTGTAGAATGTTGTAGTCCGTTGCACCAGTAGCTGAGACGAGCTTCTTCAGGGTAGGCTGTCAATGCGTCAGTTGTCGAGTTTTTTTACAAAGTCCGTTCAATTTTGTCATACGAGGATTTCAGAAAGTTGATCATCGGGAATATCAGCAAGCTTGGCGCCATGGTACTTGGGAATTACAAGCTGATGGGCAAGGGTTGTAAGCATGATCTTTTGTTCAACGAAGTAGTACGCGTGTCAACATACTGCGTGTCCCTTGCTCAGAGGTCCGATATCGAGAAATGCAAGAGTTTTCTCGCTCTCAAAAAGTTTCATACACGGAATCTCACCTAATTGTAACATAAAATGGGTTAGCAACTAGATTATACAAGAATAAATAGCTTGCTCTTCCTCTTCACACCAGCCCCCTCACCCCCTCTCGCACCAACACCTGCGATCGCATCTCTGGTTGGCAGCTTAGTTTTGAAGGTTGAGGTGTTGTAATTTTACCCTTGATGATACGACAGAAAATGCAAGCAGCCATTATGAGGAAATTATTCGCAAACGATTTTGATTGGTGTTTGAAAGGTGGTGAAGAGAAGACGGAAGTAAGAACGGTGACGGTTGGGTACGCCTTGGGTCATATGCAGAGTTATGTAATACACTTGTATGGGGTACTTAAGAGAATATAAGCCGCAGTGTTAGTTGGAGTGGGACCTCTCATCGAACTCACCTCTTGCCTTTTACCAGATGTGACCGTGGGATTGGCCCAGTACACTCCATTCTGCTAATCTTTGGCCCCACTTCGTCTGGAGTTCCCAGATTCGATTCTTCTTTTTGCCCCGTGCTGATATTTTTTTTTGGTGATTCAGATTCCGTGTATTTAAATTATCGTCAAAAAGAACGTTAATATCAAAACTAACCGTCCTTGTCGAAGTGTTTCGAAACGAAGTAGAGACTCGTGTATCTTGTTCCATGTTAGTGGTGGTGAAGATCGGTTGTGTCGACTGTCATATCTTATTCGAATAGAACGCGAGATGTAATAAAGCAATATATTGCTACTGTCATAACCACAGGCGAATATCCACGATTTGTATAATATCTGGTGTTGCAAAACTTAAACCAAACTGTTGCAGCATTGTGTTATTGGAGGCTCCGAGCAAACCGCCGCCAGGAACCCCACCTTTGCGGCGCAGGTGTTGATTGATGACGTGAATGCCCAGCCGCCATAATAAATCGACACAACACAAGCCTCTGTGCGAAGAGAGCACACTTAGCAAACCACATCTACACTTCGCCCGTCCAACGACAGCCTACACATTATGCCTAGCTTTCGAAGTACCCCTCTATATGGAGGGGCCATGGTCTGCGACATTCCTGCGCACTTTGCAGATGTCAGGTGGGTTGTTTTGCGCCGTCAGATAACCCTCGCTAATAATATCTAGCAAACTGCGCGAGGTCCCCGATAACCAAGAAGTATGGATTGACGAAGACGGCTTTACCAGCATCATCATCGATATTACTGAGCGGGTTGGAAAGGCTGGGAGCGGCGCTGAAATTGACGGACGAGCCATGACAACACATTTCGAGGAACTCGTTGGCTCTGACATTGACAGTGTAAAGCTCTGGAATACGGCTGAAACCGAGTTTACCGGCCTCGAGTAAGCTAGCTGTATCATCAAAGCGTCCATATTGGAATACTGTGTGCTAATACTTTATAGCGGCGAATTTCCTGCATACACAATGATTGCAACCCAAACACCAAAGACAAAGGATTCGCGTGGCTCTTCATCCGCTCCCGATTTCACAGCTATAATCATGACCTTACTGCGATTAGAAAAGTACCAAACGGATATTCTTGTTACCATCAACGTGCCTCATATTAAGGGAGAGTATGATGAAGAGGACGTTGATTTAGAGTTGGGCAAGCAGGGCAAGTTGATTGGTGACGCAGTAGAGTATTCATCTAGGATCTGGTCATCTTTGAAAATCAAAGATTGGGGACTCTTTGGTAATTAAAATACTAGCTTTATAATATATTGCGTCTGAATAACATCGAATTCGGCGACATCACTTCTACTGGCATAGTGATAGCGAGCTGTTAGTCAGAATAAATTTTCCTTGTTGGCAATGATGCATAGTATAATCACGTAATAAAACTACAAATAACACATCAATGCTCCTAGTGTACAGTCCAAACGCCATAGATCCTTGAATTTTGCCAGTGCGACTTCATCAAGAGACTAGGGTGGCTTCTAGTGATAGACTGCCAACCTGTCCCAGGATATCATCAACCTCATCCACTTCTATTGGTTCCTTGGAAGCTGTCGTTGACTTGTTTTTCCACTGGGAGGCGGCAATCTTCATAACATCCTTCTGAGGTAAGTCAGGGTTCTCTGCTCGAATGGACTTCATCTGATCCTTCAGAAATGTTTGGTACTCTGATGGCCCCGATGTCGTTTTTCTTGGTACAGGTTTAATTTGTTCAAGCTGACCCTTGCATCGGCCACATCGCTGTTTTTCAGGCATAATGCTCTTTGAATGTCGCTTGAGTTCGGCAAAGCATTCCTTGCATTGCCAAACATACTTGAAATCAATATCGTACGAGTGTTTCGTGGTAACTTCGATGCCACGGTGGCTAAATGTTTGAGTGCATTTGGTGGCCCAGACCTTGAATTCTTTGCCATGAGGGTTGTTGGTAATACCCGTAATCATGAAATTTGCTAGATGGCAAAACTCATGCGCAATGACATTCAAGAGTTTCAGCTCATTATCAATAACCTTTTCAGCCAATTCAATGGAGGAGTGGTGTTTATATGTCGTTTCCGTCGAACCGTCTGTGAGGGTTTCCTTGACAGATTCCCTTTTCCAGTTGGCACGGCCGGCGGTCGTGTTGAGTGTCTTTGACCAAATGAGGGATACGCCTCCGGTGCTCTGCGCTAGTACACCAACTTTTCCATCTGTAATCTTTTGATCCAGCTCTTCCAGAAACGACATGGCAAGTGCCTGCTTGCCAGCCTCAAATTCAGCCTTGTGCAGCTTCGAGGGGCTCTTGGTAGGGCTTTTGATAGGGCTTGAGATGCGCAGAGGAGTTTGTGGACTCAATTCTGTGTTGATGTTGTCAATTGTGCTTTGATTCCAGAAGTCGTCAACAGTCTGTCTCTGCGCGGCCGTGGCGAGCTTAACTTGTTTACGAGGCGATTGTAACGTCTTTGCAGGTTGTTTAGACACTGGCGGTGTACGGGGAGGTGTCTTGATGCGACAGTCATTGGCAAACTGTTCTGCTAGCGCGGCCCCAATTGAGTCGTCGTCAAATTCTTCATTTTCTGCTTCTGATTCATCCAGGACAATATCGGTATTCTCTCGGTCTGAAATGCTTGGGGGTTTTAAAATGGGAAATTTAAGTGATGGTACTCGATTTGTGCCATTTAAGCCCCGCGACTTCATCACCACGCTATCCAAGGCAACCGAAACCTCTGGAATTCCAGATATGTGCAGTTCAGAGTCAGACCAGCTGTCTTCGTTGATTGGTTTGATTTCACTTTGCTCAGTATAGCTTGATTCTGCTGTCGATGGTCTGCTCTTTGTGGTCTCAGCAGGCTCTTCAAAGATTGTGCCTGTAACGTTGTAGTCATCCCCAAATCTAGACGTTGGTTCTAGACCGAACTTTCGATCCATGCTTTTCTTAGATGGTGAGCAGAGGGGGCGCGAACCACCGAAGGAACGCTTCAGACGATCAGCAATTCGTTCTGTGTTGAATGTCATATTCATGGTGTCGTCCCGGAGCTCGGTGCTGTTTGGTTCAGCAACTTCTTGTAGAGGGCTAACTGGTGCGCACAGCATGGGAATCTTCAGTTCGGGTGTTCCTTTGAGGTCGTTGTTGAGAGTATCTCGTGTGGATAATGACAAATCATACTGCGGAGTACGGAGAAGAGACTTTCGTGGGCTGGTTTTAAATGGACTTTCGGTTTCCTGTAGGTTCCAGGGCCGAAATAGAGGATTGTCGACCATTTGGACTGCACCACCTAGCCTGCGCACACGGCGCGCAGAGGGCTTTGCCGTTGATTTGGGGATGAGGTCTCGTTTGTTTGTTGGTGTCGCCATGGGATTGATATCCCGAAACTTGGCTTGTTTAGAAGTTGGTGTTGACATCATGTTGGTGTAGGGTGTTTCGTCATCACTGGATGCGTAGCAGTCAACTATGGACGCCATGGCTGCGAGAAGTGTGTGTCGAGATAATATACTGGCTTCGTTTTGGAGCTGAGTTGTCGTGGTTGTGTTGGCCGTTTGGAATGTAAGGGTATTTGGTCATGAGCTCTGTTTGTTAGCCGTTGTTTGCTTAGCTTTGACAATGGTAACCATGGCAACGGAGCTCGACATGGTTGACTTCACGTGATGTAGCAGACTATGTCCGCGCAGTTTTTGGCTAAAAATACCAAATAAAAAGAACATGTCGTGTGGTCCATCTCCGTACGGTAGGGAGACTGTTTAGGGGAAAATGCCTAAGTTATCGAGGATAGTGTGACTGTGCTTGCTGCGTGCAATCATTTGATGTTATGACCCATCGCTGTCTACGAAGGTTTGGTTGTACAATGATTCCACTACTTTACAACCGTATTCCTGGAGCTGAGTATGTCTAATTCATAAAAAGCATAAGAGGAAACTATTTTATGGCTAAAGCCCCGATCTCGCCGCAAATTCTATATATTCAACAATGATTCATGGAGCGTTGATTGGTGTAGGGTTAGGTCCGATGGGTCGGTAGCCACCACTACCAGTCACAAGAAGCCCTGCAACTGGGTATTCTTTAGCATGTCTGGGTCGGCTCGCTCTGCCAAGTTGAAGAGAGAGCTGGTCAGAATTATTGACGTCTGAGACGCCAGCTACTCTGTACACAGACAGGACTGTTTGCCACTGTAATGCTGCGGCCTCCACAGTCCCCCTGCAGTAGTCGGGCGCGCCGCAGCAGACCTGTGCTGGCGTAGCTGGCGAGCCAAGCGTGGCAGGCAAAAATAACAGGTATGGGCTCCACACTAAGTTCCAGACGTTGACTTGACCATGGCCACGGGTAGAGAGATTATGTACCGCCGCTAGGGGCTTGACCCGCAGACTACCCGCAGAAGCCGGCGAGTTACAACAGAAAGGGAGGCAAGGGGAGAGACCTGCCAATGAAGATGGAGAGCGGCGTTGAGAGGGCCAATAGGCGACGGAGGGCTTGCACGGCATCGTTACATTCACTGGCAGTGCAGTTCGCAGTGCTGCTCTACCTACGACCAGCACCAGTTCACACCTGGCTGGCGCTTGCCAGAGCCTTGTGTGGCCATGCATCGTTCTTGGAAGCGCGTTGTGGTGTGGTGAATCGGATACCCGTGCTGGCCAAGGCAACGGAGCGCAGGAAAAAACGGATCAAGCTTTTCAGCCCCCTTCTACTCTAGGCAATTTCCCTAAATGCTTCTTAGGCAGTGTGCCTGGGCTGGCGGGCTTCTGTGGGCCCGCCTCCTGAGTTGCGTTAGTGTCTGCGGGAAGCAAGCTGTAGCGGCAGTCAGTCAGGTACGCTGTCCGCCAGAGCCACATTCTTTCCAAGTTGCCCGCCAACCAACCCCTGGAGCGTCTCCCTAGACCATCCAGCAATGGGGCCAACGAGGTCACAGAAACTGGATCGAAAATTGGCACCCCCCCTGTCTGAAAAGGAGTTTCTCCTTTCTCGACCATTTTCGTTGAACCTGGCCAGTTTCTGTTTCTCCTTCCTTCATCTCGCCCTTTGACAGACACACACTCTCTGATTCTTCTTTTTCTTTAATATTGTCTTTTGACGCGCCGAATTACTTCTTCAGCACGCTGTACTTTCATTAACACGACTTTTGCGTACAGTTCCTTCCCTATTATACTACGGTGTGCTGCACCAAAACAGTGACACGCCTCCCTTTTCGATTTGGTTACTCGCTTGACCCCTCCTCGGTTTGTGACCTTGGCTCTACGCTGCGCTCACTTGCCCTATTTTTTTTCCCCAATTCCATCCTCGAAATCATCTAAACGACCGTTTCCTTCCATGACTTTGTTCGGTAGGCATTCTGATTAAACTTGATACCGGATTGGACTGACAAACTTCCACCCGAATACAGCCAACTAAAGACCATCATTATGTCCGGATATCACGGTGGTGGCCAAGACCACTACGACGCCGGATACGGCCATGGCGGCCAGCAAGGCGGCCATGGCGACGGCTATTACCAAGACGATCAATACTATGATCAGCATGGCGGCGGCGGCGGCCATAGTGGTGATGGGTACTATGATGAATCGTATGTCGATTCCCTTCTTCTTCCTGTTTCCGATACTATACTAACATACTTCCAAGTGGCTACTACAATGCCGATTCAAACAATCCCTATCACCAAGAAGGTGGTTACTACGACGGTCAGGACCAATACCAGGATGAGTATTACAACAACGGTCAGGGCAACAATGGCAACTACTATGACGGTGAATACAACCAGGGTTATGGTCATGGCGAAGAAGGCGAACACTTCAGCGACTTCACGATGAGATCTGACGGTGCTCGTGGTGGTGATGACTACTACGGTGGCGGCGGCGGCGGCGATGACTACTATGGCGATGACGGCAGGGGGTATCGCCCTCCTTCATCACAAATGTCATACGGCGGTAACCGATCTTCTGGTGCCTCTAGCCCCAACTACGGCATGGACTATGCCAACACTGCCGCTGCTCAACGTTCCCGCGAACCGTACCCGGCGTGGACCTCGGATGCCCAAATCCCAATTTCCAAGGAGGAGATCGAAGACATTTTTGTCGATTTAACCAATAAAATCGGCTTTCAAAGAGATAGCATGCGCAACATGTACGACCATCTCATGGTGCTGCTGGATTCCCGCGCCTCACGCATGACGCCTAATCAGGCCCTCCTCTCCCTCCACGCTGATTATATTGGCGGAGATAACGCCAACTATCGACGCTGGTACTTCGCAGCCCATCTCGATTTGGACGATTCAGTCGGATTTGCCAACGCTACAATCAAGGGTCTCAAGAGAAAGAAGAAGGGCAAAAAGGCCCAGAAGAACCCTGAAAACGAAGCTGAAGCCTTACAAGATTTGGAAGGCGATGACAGCCTTGAAGCTGCTGAATACCGCTGGAAATCTAAGATGAACAAGATGTCTCAGCATGAACGAGTACGCCAGATTGCTCTCTATCTGTTGTGCTGGGGTGAAGCCAACCAAGTAAGGTTCATGCCCGAGCTTCTCTGCTTCATCTTCAAATGCGCCGACGACTACCTCCAATCACCTGCAGGACAGGCTATTGTGGAACCTGTTGAAGAGTGCACGTTCTTGAATAATGTGATCACGCCGCTCTATCAATATGTCCGAGATCAAGGCTATGAGATCCTTGATGGTGTCTATGTTCGCCGTGAACGCGATCACAAACACATTATTGGTTACGATGATTGTAACCAGCTTTTTTGGTACCCCGAAGGCATCGACCGCATTGTACTTCAAGACAAGAGCAAGTTGGTGGACTTGCCACCTGGCGAGAGATATCTTAAGCTGAAAGAAGTGAACTGGAAGAAGAGTTTCTTCAAAACATACAAGGAATCGCGGTCCTGGTTCCATCTTCTCACCAACTTCAACCGCATTTGGATTATTCACTTGACCATGTTCTGGTTTTACACCGCTCACAATGCCAACACCTTTCTCATCGTCGACTATGAGAGAGAACGAAACCCTCAAATGTCACCTCCAGCATCAAAACAGTTTTCTGCTGTTGGATTCGGTGGTGCAGTTGCCGCATTGATTCAAGTATTAGCCACGCTAGCAGAATGGGCGTTTGTACCTCGCCGATGGGCAGGCGCCCAACATCTTACCAAACGCCTCCTCTTCTTGCTTGTCGTTCTTGTTATCAACATTGCCCCTGGTGTTAAGGTTTTTATGCTCCCCGGTCCTCGCAGCGACCCGAAAGACAAGAACTCGGAAAATGAAATTGACAAAATCATTGGTGTTGTTCATTTCCTCATTGCTATCTTCACCTTCTTGTTTTTTGCCATCATGCCGCTTGGTGGTCTTTTCGGCAGCTATCTGACAAACAAGTCCCGACGCTATGTCGCCAGTCAAACCTTCACAGCTAGCTGGCCTCGCCTTGCTGGCAACGACATGGCAATGTCCTTTGGCTTGTGGCTGACTGTTTTTGGTGCTAAATTTGGTGAATCCTACGTGTATCTCACCCTGTCTTTTAAAGATCCTCTCAAGGTTCTCTCTGACATGAAAATCGACTGCGTCGGAGACGCCATCTTGAAAGATATGCTCTGCAAACGACAACATCAGGTGCTCATCGTTTTGATGACGTTTACAGATTTGATCTTCTTCTTCTTGGACACGTATCTTTTCTACGTCTTGCTGAACACCATCTTTTCCATTGCGCGCTCTTTCTATATTGGTTCTTCTATTTGGACTCCATGGCGCAACATTTTCTCTCGCTTGCCGAAACGAATCTATTCCAAAATCCTGGCAACGTCAGACATGGAAATTAAATACAAGCCAAAGGTGCTAATCTCGCAAGTCTGGAATGCTATTGTCATATCCATGTACAGAGAGCACCTCTTGGCCATTGATCACGTCCAGAAGCTTCTCTATCATCAAGTACCGTCAGAACAAGAAGGCAAGAGAACCCTCCGAGCACCAACCTTCTTTGTCTCTCAAGAAGATCATTCATTCAAAACCGAGTTTTTCCCCAGCAATAGTGAAGCTGAGCGCCGCATTTCCTTCTTTGCCCAATCTCTATCGACACCAATCCCGGAACCCGTCCCTGTGGATAACATGCCCACCTTTACCGTCATGATCCCTCACTACAGCGAAAAGATTCTTCTCTCTCTCCGCGAGATTATTCGCGAAGACGAACCGTACTCTCGTGTTACTCTACTGGAGTATCTGAAACAATTGCACCCCCACGAGTGGGACTGCTTTGTTAAAGATACGAAGATTCTGGCCGATGAAACCGCTCAAATGAATGGTGATCCAGAGAAGGATGAGAAGGACACAGCAAAGAACAAGATTGACGATCTCCCATTTTACTGTATTGGTTTCAAATCTTCTGCGCCTGAGTATACGCTCCGAACTCGTATTTGGGCGTCTCTCCGTTCCCAAACTCTTTATCGCACTATTTCCGGTTTCATGAACTACAGTCGTGCTATCAAACTCCTCTATCGTGTTGAGAACCCAGAGGTTGTGCAAATGTTTGGAGGCAATTCCGAAAAGCTCGAACGCGAACTCGAGCGCATGGCACGCCGTAAATTCAAACTTGTTGTGTCTATGCAGAGATTTTCTAAATTCAAGAAAGAAGAAATGGAAAACGCCGAATTCCTTCTCCGCGCCTACCCAGACCTCCAGATTGCCTACCTCGACGAAGAGCCGCCAGCTGCAGAAGGTGAAGAGCCTCGTCTCTACTCCGCGTTGATTGACGGTCATTCTGAAGTCATGGAAAATGGCATGAGACGCCCCAAGTTCCGTGTTCAACTCTCTGGCAATCCTATTCTGGGTGACGGTAAATCAGACAACCAAAATCACTCTGTTATCTTCTACCGTGGCGAATATATTCAACTTATTGATGCCAACCAAGACAACTACCTGGAGGAGTGTCTCAAGATTCGCAGTGTTTTAGCTGAATTTGAGGAAATGAAGCTGGAGAACACATCGCCCTACACCCCTGGAGTTAAGAACAACGTTACAACCCCCGTTGCTATTCTCGGTGCCCGTGAATACATTTTCTCTGAGAATATTGGTATTCTCGGTGATGTTGCCGCAGGAAAAGAACAAACATTCGGTACCCTTTTTGCTCGTACAATGGCACAAATTGGCGGTAAGCTCCATTACGGTCATCCTGATTTTCTCAACGGTATTTTCATGACTACTCGTGGTGGTGTTTCTAAGGCGCAAAAGGGCTTGCACTTGAACGAAGATATTTTTGCTGGTATGACTGCCATGCTTCGTGGAGGCCGTATCAAGCACTGCGAGTACTATCAGTGTGGTAAAGGTCGTGATTTGGGCTTTGGTTCTATTCTCAATTTCACTACAAAGATTGGTACTGGTATGGGCGAACAATTGCTATCGCGCGAGTACTACTATCTTGGTACACAGCTTCCCCTGGACAGATTCCTTTCGTTCTACTACGCACACGCTGGTTTCCACTTGAACAACATGTTCATTATGCTCTCTGTTCAGTCATTTATGATCTGTCTGCTCAACATTGGCGCCTTAAAGCACGAGACTATCGTTTGCGACTACAACCCTGATAAGCCGTTTTACGATCCATGGTACCCAACTGGCTGTACTAACACGGTGGAACTTATGGGCTGGGTGCAGCGTTGTGTTTTGTCCATTTTCTTTGTCTTCTTCCTCTCATTCGTTCCGCTTATCGTACAAGAACTCACAGAACGTGGTGTTTGGCGTGCTACCGTTCGATTCTTGAAGCAATTCTTCTCGCTCTCACCATTCTTTGAAGTCTTTGTCTGCCAAATCTACGCTAACGCCGTCCAGCAAAACTTGGCTTTTGGTGGCGCTCGTTACATTGGTACTGGTCGTGGTTTTGCTACAGCTCGCATTCCGTTCGGCATTTTGTATTCGCGATTCGCCGATTCATCCATCTACTTCGGAGCGCGACTGCTCATGATGCTTCTGTTTGCTACCGTCACAGCCTGGAAGCCAGCTCTGGCCTACTTTTGGATTTCATTGTTCGGTCTCACCATTTCCCCTTTCTTGTACAACCCCCACCAGTTTGCATGGAACGACTTCTTTATCGACTACCGTGACTTCCTCCGTTGGCTGTCTCGTGGCAACTCTCGCACGCACTCGTCATCATGGATTAGCTTCTGCCGACTGTCACGAACTCGCATCACTGGTTACAAACGCAAAGCTGTCGGTGAACCATCTGCCAAAGGTGGTGCCGATGTTCCCCGTGCTGCTATTACAAACATCTTCTTCACTGAGATCCTGACACCTTTCCTACTTGCCGTCGCCACTGTGGTGCCTTACCTGTACATCAATGCCCAAACAGGTGTTAAAAATGACAAGGCCAACGCGGATAAGAAAATCACTGCTACAAACTCGCTCATTCGTGTTGGTGCTGTTGCCTTCGCGCCGATTGCTATCAATGCTGGTGTCCTCATGATGATGTTTGCTATGGCATGTTTCATGGGTCCGGTTCTTACTATGTGCTGTAAGAAGTTTGGCCCTGTTCTTGCGGCCATTGCCCATGGTGTTGCGGTAGTCATGATGCTCGTCTTCTTTGAGGTCATGTACGTTCTTGAGTCCTTCAATTTCGCGAGAACAATGGCCGGCATGATTGCTGTTGTCTGTTTGCAACGCTTCATCTTCAAACTGATTGTCTCATTGGCACTCACAAGAGAGATGAAAACAGACCAGTCTAACATTGCCTTCTGGAATGGTAGATGGTACTCGATGGGTTGGCACTCGGTCTCGCAACCCGCTCGTGAATTTTTGTGTAAAATCACTGAGCTCAGCATGTTTGCTGCGGATTTTATCTTGGGTCACTGGCTGCTATTCATGATGGCACCTGTCATTCTTATCCCCAAGGTCGACACACTTCACTCAATGATGCTCTTCTGGCTCCTACCCAGGTAACTATTCAGCTGTACAATTTGTTTGCAACACAGCCCGCTAACAATCGTCTCTAGTCGTCAGATTCGCCCCCCAATCTATTCGATGAAGCAGTCCAAGCTTCGACGTCGTCGTGTCATTCGTTTCGCCATTGTCTACTTCCTTCTACTCGTTGTTTTTGTTGCCATGATTGTTGGACCGGTCTTTGCTGGCAAGGTCTTTGGCGAGAAAAACCCGTTGTCAAGTGTCAGCTTCCTTGGACCCGGTGGCTTGGCTCTTATTCAGCCCAATTTCCCCAATAACAACACCAATGGCACGATGGCTACAGGCACTGGCATTAACGGTGGTGGTAGCTCTCCTGCTGAAACCAGCAGCGGATCCTCGGGCAGCAGCGGAGGGTCTAGCGGCGGTGGTGGAAGTGACTTCTAAGTCACAAACTGAAAACCTCATCCCGACCGTTGCTTAATTTGTTTGTTATAGAATTTAAGTTTAGACTTGTTTTTCCCACTCGAAAAACTTCCTTGAAGTAATGCAAAATTTGTTTTTTAATATATGGTCTTTTTTTCTTTCTCGCACAAAAGAAGCCACGGCCCGCCTATACGCGTAGCAAAAGTACGCAAGCTTTTTTGTCTTCTAGTGGTGGAGGGTCGATTAGCGACGCGTACCGGAGTAAAAAAAGGGGCTTCCCCTTGGTGACTAAGCGAAAATGCCTTTCGCCATTGAACTCCCGGTCTTTCCACATTGCCCTCTACCATCTGTCCTTGTGATTTTAGCTGGTTGTGGTGATCAAAATGGATTTCGACAGTATTCAGCACTATGTGCGAGAGTACTACGCGCAAGCAGCATCTGCTTTCCAGAAAGTTCCAGGTTCAGCAGTACTGGTCCGATACATCCAGTCCAGCTACCAAAACGACCCCGTCAGATCTGCCATTGAGCTTGTGCTGGTCCTCTTCTTTATCCGATATTTATTGTCCCCATCCTACTCGACTCACAAGCAGAACTTTGTGAAACTAAAAGAAGACGTATGTATACACGACATCTAGCGGCAACTATCGGTTGGAGAGCGTTGCGTTAACAAGTCACCTTAGGAGATCGAGGAGCTCATCGATGACTGGACCCCTGACCCTCTTGTCGCCGAACCTACCGCCGTGGAAGAATATGAAACGGAGAGGCTACCTGTTATTGTCGGGTTAGTGATAGTACTACCAATGGAGCATATGCTCATCTGGCCTAACCGTTTCTCGTACTAACTAAGCACTCTACAGACCTACTGGACCTAAAGTACGACTTACCAACGGCCGAACCGTGACCAACCTCGCTTCTTACAACTTCTATAACTTTAATGGGAATGAGCAATTGAAGGAAAAGGCTATCCAAACGCTGCGTACCTATGGTGTCGGACCCTGCGGCCCCCCACAGTTCTACGGCACTCAGGATATCCACGTTAAGGCAGAAGCCGATATCGCGGCTTACTTGGGTACAGAAGGGTGCATTGTTTATGCACAAGCCTTCTCAACAGTATCGAGCGTTATTCCTGCCTTTTGCAAGCGAGGCGATGTGATCATTGCTGATAAGGGCGTCAACTATGCGATTCGCAAGGGCTTACAGGTATCTCGAAGCAACATCAAGTGGTACAACCATGGTGATATGGCTGATCTGGAAAAAGTGATGGCAACCGTCGTCAAAGAGCAAGCAAAGGCGAAGAAGTTGACACGACGCTTTATTGTTACAGAAGGCCTCTTTGAGCTCACTGGCGACACAACAAATCTCCCCAAACTAGTAGAGTTGAAGGAACGTTACAAGTTCCGGATTATTCTCGATGAGACTTGGTCGTTTGGTATTCTTGGTCGTACTGGAAGGGGCCTTACCGAAGCGCAAAACGTGGATCCGCAACAGATTGACATGATTGTCGGCTGCCTCTCGGGGCCGTTATGCGCTGGCGGCGGCTTTTGTGCTGGCGCCAAAGATGTTGTTGAGCACCAGCGCATCACATCTTCTGCTTACACCTTTTCGGCAGCCTTGCCTGCCATGCTGGCTATGACAGCCAGTGAAACTGTTCACCTCTTGCAGACCAATCCAGATATTCTCACGCAATGCCGCGAAAACATCAAAACATTGCGGGCTCAGCTCGATCCCCGCAGCGATTGGGTTACATGCTCAAGCAGTGTTGATAACCCGATCCTGCTTTTGTTTATTAAGCAGGAGGTTATTCATGCCCGCCGATTGAGCGTAGATGACCAGGAGCGCCTCTTGATGGAGTGCGCTGATGAGGTAAGCAGCCCCCGATGTGCATGCCTGTTTATCTATCTGCAGTGGTGATATAAATGCTTTTGGAATCTATACTAATTGTTTCCCTTTAGTCGCTTGCAAACGGAGTAATGGTCTCGCGCCTCAAGACACGCATCTACGCGCATGTTATGACAGCTAGGGACAAGGGCTGGGTTCCGCAGCCAGCCCTGAAAGTGTGTGTTACATCTGGACTTAGCAAGAAAGATATCGAGAAGGCGGGAGTTACGATTCGCCATGCTATTACCAAGGTTATGACGCGCAAAACGAATGCAAAGGCATGAAGCGCATGACGAGAGACTTTGAGCCAAGTGAGGGCTAAAGTTGGTTTGGCCTCCTGTTTCCAACCCAGGATGGTCTGCAATTTCTTGAGGATGGTTGGAATATTGTAAACACTAGAGCAAACTTTGCCGTAATAATTAATGCATGTAACAGATGTTGCTTCGTCTGGCCGAGTGATATGTTTTGTTGTGGTGTTTCGACTGGGAGGGCCAGGAGGAGATTCATGTGTATGAATGACGGGATGTGAGGCTACTGGGAGCATCAGCTACAATTAACACCATTTTTTTTTTGGGGGGGGGGGTTTGCAGGCAAGAAACCAACTTGGAACTATGGTTTGTCTTTAGATGGCGTCTGGTTTTCGGTCCCTTGGTGCTGTTGCATTGCATGCTACAGCTCAGCTCCTTTCCCACTGTTAGGCGCGGCGCAGGGCGTCTGAGACAGCCGCTGTGCTGCGTAAGTTGCAGAACGAACAAGAGTTGCTGTAAGTTGGTCTCAGTGATTTCACCCGCCAGGAGGTGGACAATATCTTGTTCCCTAACGCACTGTTGGAAAACCGTGGCAAGAAATAAATAAATTGCGTAGAATAGCTTGTAATTTTTATTATTTAATTATTTTCCCGCTTTCTTTCTCTTCTCCCGCCTCCCGACTATTGTTCAGCTTGGCTTAATACCTCCGCCGGGCGGGCAGTCCCACTGTAATGCTCTCTCCAGCCGCCTGGCAGCCCACTAACATTCCAGACAATGGCCAGACAAAGCTACGTTCACAGGGCAGACTTTCTTTAGCGTGTCTCACAACCCACCGGCCCTCTCTGCGCACGTTCATTCCTCATCACCACCACGCGCGGTTTATTGCCGAGCTTGCCAGCCCTTTCCCAGCCAAACGGATCGTGTAAGGGCCCAAGCGGCTGAAACCTGCCCGAAGTGGTACCTGCCTCGCCCGTGCGCCAGATGGGTTTCTCGATCTGTACCATGTCAGAGATGGCCAACCTCTCTTACACATTTTGGATTTGGGATGGCAGGTAGAATAGTGTAAATACAGACCATGTTCCCTCAATCTTTCCCTCTTGAACTCTTCTATTCATCATCCTAAGTCTTTGTATTGCTCAGCATCCTTTGTCCTTCCTTCTCTTTCCCTCCCCCCTCCCCCCAAGACAATACTAACCTAACAGCCCTTACACCTACTTGACTTGTGCTGGTCACAGTCTCACTTCCTTTCCTTTTATCATGTCTTTCTCTCTCAAACAAACCGTTCTATCAACGCTGGTGTTGCTGCCGCTGGCGGTCGCGCACCCGACTGTCGCCAACGTTGTCGAAGCTCGCGCAGATGCGGACCCTGTCTTCTTTGATGACGTTCCGGAACCTACAAAACGGCGACAGGTCGTGGTATTCGCCAACGCTCAAGGAACTCCAACTGCCACAGTTACAAAGGAGTTTTCTGTTCTACCCAAGAGCATGTCCACAGTCCGCGACGATTCCACAACAACTACAACAAAGACAAGGCAGGTAACCTCAACCGTCTTTGTTTCTCCATCCGGCAACGCTTCCGCAGCTCCGGCATCGTCTGAAAAGAAGCCAGCCTCCGCCTCTTCAAAGCCCACGCCGACTTCAGCCGAAGACAAGAAGCCCGCCCCTTCAGCAGCTACCACCTCCAAAGCCGAAACTGACGCTAAGGCAGTCAAGAAGGAGAAGGATCTCAAACCCCTCGGAACTCTTGGTACGCTTGGATCTTTAGGAACCTTGGGGCATATCGATGACAAGCCTAAGACCACTGCAAAGCCTCCCCCTCCTCCCCCCAAACCCACCCCGTCCTCTCCTCCTCCTTCAAAAGACCCCCCAAAGCCCTCAGGCAAGAACCTCTTTGGCATTTCGTACGCACCGTACCGAGCTGACAGACAGTGCAAAACGCAAGCTGATGTCGATGCCGATATGAAGAAGTACGCTGGTCAGTTTGGCATTGTCCGCATCTACGGCACCGACTGTAACCAGGTTGCCATGCTGTACAAAGCTGCCAAAGCCAACGGCTTCAAGCTCTTTTTAGGCATCTTTGAGCCCAAGATTCTGCAAGACGAAACCAACAACATCATCAAAGCCATCAATGGTGATTGGGGTGTCGTCGACACTGTCAGTGTCGGAAACGAACGAGTTAATGGCAAGTTGTCGTCGCCACAAGAGATGGTCAACTTGGTTGGCCAGACCCGCAACATTCTCCGTAAGGCAGGATACAACGGGCCAGTTGTGACAGTCGACACTTTCAACGCTGCACTCGATCATCCTGAATTGTGCACGGCCTCGGATTACTGTGCCGTCAATGCCCATGCGTTCTTCGATGGTAGTAATGTTGCTTCGAATGCTGGTAACTGGCTCGCCGGAACTGTCAAGAACCTCAAAGCCAAGGTGGGAGGCAAGCGTGTAGTCATTACAGAAACTGGCTGGCCCAACAAGGGTGACACCAACGCCAAAGCCGTTCCCAGCTTGGCTAACCAAAAGGCCGCCATTGACTCCATTCGCGCTTCCTTCAAGGATTCGCCGGGCGATATTATCCTCTTCTCTGCCTTCAATGATCTTTGGAAGACAAACTTCCAGGGCAGTTTCAATGCAGAGCAGTTCTGGGGTCTTGATGGAGCCGTCTCCACGTCAGACAAACACTAAAACGGCATACGGGTAGAAGCTGGCTGTCTACGATTTTCATGATTTTGTGTTGATACCGGGTTTATGCTTTCACCTAGTGATTCGAAAGCACGGCGTTACGGACCTTCCTTTCTTTAGACTTTAGACATGATAGCGAGCATTGAAAATTAGAATCTGTTTTTTTCATACATGAAATCTATCTATACATAGTGTTACCAGAGTGATAAACGAACGCCAATGCTGTGGAACTGGTCAATCAATGCGTCATATAACAGTCCAATAGCTCGTCTACAAACTCGTCGAGTTCGATGACGGAGAATCTATCTCCCCATTGCCCCTTCCAGCGAGTATCCCTCCATGATGTGGATAAGCTACTTCTCCAAGATACTACCTCAACATTCCAGCCCATCTGTAACGCCCGTTCCACGTAGGCAAGGAAACCGTCAGAGTACTGAGCTGGTTTTGCGTCACCTGTAGCAAGCACCATTGTACCGGGATTCTGGAAGCACGACATGGCTGATTCTGCCATGCGCGTCTGTAGAGTTTCATCTACGAGATCCTCTACATAACGAACAGTTGTCGTCCCTATTGCCGATGCGCTTGTCTGCTCCAACTCCTCCACACGTTTGCGGGTGCGCACATCCGTGCTGTATCCAAGATTACGCAGATCTTGCACGAAGCGCGGCTCGGCAGACCGCCCTGGAAGGATTGAGCAGCTCGCAAACATGCGGTCTGCTTGGCGGCCTCTTAAGAGTATCTCGGTAAGTAAGGTGAGATTCAGACGCGGCATAGGATTAAATCTAGAGTCTTGTGGAAGTTGATGCCGGGTTCGGAGACACTTATGGAAGCTAATATCAATGTTTGACATGTCAAGGAAGATGTGGACGCCGTTTGATGCAACATCTGGATATATCCTTTTCAATGCGGCGTCTCGTTTTTTCCGAGGTGATAGTTTTTTGGATAATGCGTTGCGTGCTTCTTGTATGGTTTGAAGAGTGCCAAAAACAAAGGCCAGTGATCCGTTCATCTCCGTTTGATACGAAAGAATCTGCCCGAAGCGACTGAAATCGCTGGTAGGAGCAACATGGTTCGGTCTGGTGGCCGTCGGAGTTCCGTTGACACGCTTGGTGGGTGGCTCTTCGGTTGAGATGGTTTGCGAAGAAATTCCATTCAATACGTTTTCTGACGGTAGACGATTTGGTCCTCTAGCTGGTGGGAGAGATTGCTCTCGTCGCGGAGCTGGCGGCGCGGGACTGGTAGGTTTGGATTGTGGTCTCGGCGATGGTTCTCTTGAACTGCTCCCGCTAATACCACCTTTGCGTAGCTGGCTAACAATCTTGGAGAGATTGCCTAGCTTGACGTTGTCATCCCCCTGCCACTCATTGGTGAGGATATTATGTTGTGGCTGAAACGAAATCAGAGATTCTCGAAGACTGCTAAAGTCGCCAAGGCTAGCGGGGTATGTACTTGAGACAGAACCAGTTTGACTTGACTCTTCATCTTCATCCATGACTACATTGTTCGGATGAGTTGGGAGTTGGGAAGTGTCGTTGATGCAGGCGTGATTTGTCGTGTGCTCTCTCAGCTGTGGCTATTGAAATAGTGATGACGTTGGGAAATATGTAGCTGGTTATTAGATATAGCAATAACGAATCTTCTATACCTCGTCGGATAAATTCGATGTGCGTTTTAGAGCGTCTTTGTTGTGTTTGAGGAGGTGGCCGTGCGGCGACTACGTGTCGACGTTGGGAGCTGCTCTCGATCACGGTGAGTCAAACGGTGAGTAGTGGATCGTAGAGCTGTCACTCCACTGCATAACGTCTTCTCCGTGGCGATTGAGATTAACGAAACATAGTCAGATACTAGGGCTTAAAGTAAAGATAAATTTTCATTTCCCACTTAAAATATATTACTATAGAACCCCGAAAGGTATTGCCATACTTGATTATCGTACGCTAGGTCGCCCAGCGTCGATACTGGGCCGTACCGAGCTGCTGGAGCTGCGGCGGCGGCGAGCTCGCTGCTCCCCAGGATCGGACGGTTGCAACCCAGTTGACTTGGCAAAAATATTCAAAATGTCTGTCAAAGAGATAACACCAATGAGCTTTCCAGAAATTCGCGCACCGGGTAGAGCAGAGGCAGGGATTACGGGATTCGCGCCAAGCGAGGCTGCGGAATCCTGAGAGTGAATAAAGGAGGAGGACATTGGTGTTGTTGGCGCAAGTGAAGGTGTATTTGGGATGGAGCCAGATGGCGACGCGGATTCTACTACCCACATACGATGTGATCTCGTAGAGGTCAGTTTCGCCACAGTGTATGCTAATGTTGAGTGAGGGTTGACGTAAAACACTGGGAAGGCATCGCGTCCCATTTCTACACCCCGCTCGTTCAGGATGACAGAGATAAAGTGCATGCAAGTGTCGTCTAGTAAGGGTGCACTGGAGGTAGTAGTGAGATGGCGGACATCTTTTGTAGAAATATTTCCAACGACATTCCGTCCGCTGTCGACAACCGCGATGCTCGTGAGTCCCTCGTCGTTCATAATACCTAGAGCGTTACGGAGGGGCTCGTCAGAACTAGAACAAGATAAGAAATACGTTAGTAAAGGCAATAACAAGAAGCACTCTCGAATAAGTTTTATGACGCACTTGACCGATATCGGGTTGTGTGTTCCAACACCAAGCTCTCGAAGTACGGAGGGATACAACGACTCGATGTTGGGGAAGTTGATACCCTCGTTCCAGAAAAAGTCCATTATACGTAGCTGGCTCATAACCCCAACCACAGCACAATCTTCAGCTGTTACTAAAAGTCGGTGAATTCCGCTGCCAAGAACCTCAATAGCTTGAGCAAGATTACTGTCTGCTTGCAGCTGAATAAGAGGCTCGCTGTTGCAAAGCGGCTGAAGCTGACGGAGAGAAATCTTGTCGCCCCTTTGTGCAGCGGTCATAATCTCTTTACTTAAGGCGGCTTGGTGTCCATCTGGTTTAGCAAGACCTACCACAGTCAGCAGATATGTGTTGAGATGGCTGAAGTCGAAAACATGAGTGGCTAGCTGTGTATTTGTTGAATCTCTAACCAGCACAACGCTTCTGGGGCTCTTCATCAAAGTCTAAAGCATCTGTCAGCATGTGACTCGGAAAACAAGAAAAAGCTCAACATGTAATCTCACCAACGTAGCTTCTTCGACGGTAGAATCAATCTCAGCCCAACGGATATCACCTGCATCCACAAGCTCTCCAACCTTGACATCCCGCCACTCCCTACCAACAAACTTTGGGTTCGCTTGCTTGTTTGGGGGCGGATTATTCATAAGCTCCTGCACGGCGGCCTGGGACAAGGAAGGATTGCGCTGGCGAGGCGAGCCTGGACCATTTCGAAGGTTGTCTGTAAAGCTTAACCTGTGAGGAGGAACCTTGGTGCTGGGTGTCGAAGGTGTTGTCGGTACGGCTTGTCGTGGTGTTGGGCTGGCTGGTACTGCTGCGGTAGCTGGTGCACCGCGCGGTTTAGCAGGGGCGTTATCTGTCATATCCAACCACAGCCAATATACAAGATTATTTATTGAAGCTTGAATTAGCCACTTTACGTTTATTAGCGTAGAGGATGGGATTGTTCGTTCGTTGTGTCTGGCTCAGTGCTTGAGGAAAGGCGGGGTGAAGTTAAAAGTGACGTCTGGTAAAATGGAGGGGCTCTCTATGGGAGCTCTGCCGTTAATGCGGACAGAAAGATTTGGCGGGAACATACGATGTTTTATAGCACACAGAACTTGTGGCAAACCTCTCGTTTAACTCCTCTTCATGCCGAGTTTTCTTTGTAATTGATTCACTTCCAGTTATCAAGCGCTTCCCTCCGCTGCATGGCCTGTCTGGTCCTGCACTACGGTCGCTGTGTTGTGACGGTGTGCAAGCCGCGCTGAGCAAGCAAGACATGGTAGTCTCTAGAGTGTCCGGTAAAAAATACTGATTTATTTCAGAAGAATTTACAAACGTGCTACAATCTACAAGCCAGCGTAATTTACGCATTACCACCAATGCGAACCCCATACAGCGACTGGTGTTTTTTCTAGGCTGCACTTTCTAGCGGACCAGGGTACTTTGGAAATTGCTGGCTCAAATTCGCACCCGCTGTCCCTCCCCCTCCATTGGATTTTCACCGGCCCCCACCAACTTTTCTGTTTTTCTTGCACGTACCTTGGCCCAAACTTTTTTGTGCACTGATCTTGAAAAATCACGTCCTGCAGACGACTCGGAGACTCTACAGCATCTTACGGCTCCCAAAACCCGTTCATAAATTCAGGGCATTTCGCTTGCCTCGACGCGTTTTGGTCCTATTGCTGCAACAAGCAAGGGCTTCCCCTCCCCCACCTTGACAAACCACCTCAAAAGGGCGGGTTTGCGCGCCCCTCTCGACTTTTCCTGGACGCCGCCTCCAAACCAACAGTTTCAGCGCTTGGCCACTAGGCTGGAAGTTGCGTCTTAACCCGAACGCTACCTCGACAAAATCACTTATAGCAGACTCTTATTCAAAGACAACGCTCGACCATGTCTGTCCTCTCGGCAGAAATCCATGCGGAGCTCTCCCGTCTCCTCCTGGGTCTGCAGTCCGCCGATAATGGCGTTCGCTCCCAAGCGGAAGAGCATTTGCAAAACAACTGGACAAGCACACGGCCTGAAGTCCTTCTCATGGGCCTTGCTGAACAGATTCAAGTTGGCGGAGACAGTGCGGTAGGTTTGACCCCTCAGACTCTAAACACTAACGTTGGCTATGGTTGTCTAATGTGATGTCTCGTCTATAGACTCGATCTTATGCCGCCGTCATCTTCAGACGCATCGCCTCGAAGGCACGAAAGCTCGACAACGGAGAGACCTCTGATCTGTTCCTGTCCATCGCCAAAGACCAGGCTGTCGTAATTCGCCAGAAGCTTCTCGAAACGCTTGGATCGGAAACAGAGCGATCTATTCGTAACAAGATTGGCGACGCCGTAGCCGAAGTCGCTCGACAGTATACAGAAAATAAGGAAGACTGGCCTGAGCTCCTTCAGGCTCTTTTCCAGCTTGCTCAAGCTCCCGAACCCGACAAGAGAGAGAACTCGTACCGCATCTTTGCTACGACCCCCGGTATTATTAGCACCAAGCAAGACGAGGCTATCATCCAAGTCTTCCAAAAGGGATTCCGCGATGACTCTGTCAAGGTTCGCCTTGCGGCTATGGATGCTTTTGCTTCGTTCTACGGGCCTCTCAGCACCAAAACCCAAGCCAAGTTCTATCAACTTATCCCCGATGTTCTCAACATCTTGCCTCCCATCAAGGAATCCGGAGACTCTGACGACTTGAGTCAAGCTCTTGTTGCTTTAATTGACATCGCTGAATACGGTGCCAAGATGTTCCGACCTCTCTTCTCTAACCTCGTCCAGTTCTGCGTTTCGGTTATCCAGGACAAGAACCTAGAAGATATTGCCCGACAGAACGCTCTCGAGCTCATGGCCACCTTTGCCGACAAAGCTCCTTCTATGTGCAAGAAGGACGCCTCGTACACCAACGATATGATTACTCAGTGTCTGAGCCTTATGACTGACATTGGTGCCGACGACGACGATGCCAGCGAATGGCTAGAGTCTGATGACCTCGATCAAGACGAAAGCAACCAAAATCACGTTGCGGGTGAGCAGACTATGGATCGCCTGGCCAACAAGTTGACTGGTCAAACCATTTTGGCACCTACATTCAACTGGCTACCCCAGATGATGCAATCCACTGAGTGGAGAGATAGACATGCTGCTCTCATGGCCATCTCGGCCATTTCCGAGGGCTGTCGTGATCAGATGGTCCAAGAACTAAACCAGGTTTTGGACCTTGTTATCCCTGCTCTGCAGCACTCTCACCCTCGTGTTCGCTGGGCTGGCTGCAATGCTCTGGGTCAAATGAGCACTGATTTTGCACCCAACATGCAGACGGAATACTATGACCGCATCCTCAAGGCTATTATCCCCGTCCTTGATTCCCCCGAAGCCCGAGTCAAGTCGCACGCTGCTGCTGCGCTCGTCAACTTCTGCGAAGAGGCTGATAAGGCCATCCTCGAGCCATACCTTGACGATTTGCTTACCCGTCTTTACCACGTCCTGCAGAGCGATAAGCGCTACGTTCAGGAGCAGGCACTATCCACCATCGCTACTATTGCCGATGCCGCTGAAGCTGCCTTCTCGAAATATTATGATACACTGATGCCTCTCCTGGTCAATGTTTTGCAAAACCAGAGCGAGAAGGAGTACCGTCTTCTGCGCGCCAAGGCAATGGAATGTGCCACTCTCATTGCCATTGCTGTTGGTAAGGAACGTCTTGGACAGGATGCCATGACTCTTGTCAACCTGCTTGCGAACATTCAAACTGGAATCACCGATGCGGATGACCCTCAAGCCCAGTATCTCATGCACTGCTGGGGTAGAATGTGCCGCGTTTTGGGCTCCGACTTTGTTCCATTCCTCGAGAGTGTCATGCCCCCTCTTCTTGAGGTTGCCATGGCTAAGGCTGACATCCAGCTCTTGGAGGATGATAGCCAAGCAGAGAGCATGCAGGAGAAGGAGGGATGGGATTTCGTTGAAATTCGAGGCAAGCTCCTCGGTATCCGAACTAGCATTTTGGAAGACAAGAATATGGCTATTGAGCTGCTTGTCGTCTACGCACAGGTTCTTGAGGGTGCCTTCGCTCCTTTTGTTGCTAACATCATGGAGAAGATTGCCCTTCCTGGCTTAGCCTTTTTCCTTCATGACCCCGTCCGACACATGTCTGCGAGACTTGTTCCTCAGCTGCTCAACTCTTATAAGAAGGCGTATGGTGTTGGCTCGCCAGAGCTCACGGGTCTCTGGAACGCGACTGCTGAAAAGGTGATTGAGGTTTTGAGCCCCGAGCCTGTTATTGAGACACTCGCCGAGATGTACCAGTGCTTCTACGAGTCCGTTGAGGTTGTTGGCAAAAACTGCCTCACTGCGGAGCAAATGAACAGCATTATGGACGCTGTTCAGGGAACCATCGAGGATTACAAGGGCCGTGTTGTTGAGCGCGCCCAACTAGCTGCCGGAGCTACTGCCGAGGACCTCGAGGACACCGCCGAAGACACTCTTATCGAAATCGAAGAAGACCAGACGTTGCTCGCAGATATGAACAAGGCGTTCCATGCGATTTTCAAGAGCCACGGATCTTCCTTCTTGCCCGCTTGGGAGCGCTTGATGACCACGTATCAGAGCTTCCTCAGCTCTCAGGATCCCACCCAACGCCAGTGGGGACTTTGCATTATGGATGATGTCCTTGAATACTGTGGTGCGGATAGCGTGCGATATGCGTCCTACATTTCTCAACCACTGATTGACGGCTGTCAGAGTGACTCGGCGGCCATCCGCCAAGCTGCCGCATACGGTATTGGTGTCGCTGCTCACCATGGTGGTGCACCTTGGGCTCAGTTCCTTGGAAACGCCCTCCCTGTCTTGTTGCAAGTTACACAGGTCCCTGACGCAAGAAATGAAGACAATGTCTATGCGACGGAGAATGCTTGCGCTGCCATTGCCAAGATTTTGCACTTTAACAACTCGAGCGTTGGAGATGCAACCGCTGTCATTACTCAGTGGCTGAACACTCTTCCCGTCACAAACGACGAAGAGGCTGCACCGTATGCATATGCGTATCTTGCTGAGCTCATCGACAAGTAAGTTTTACCCCGTTTTGTTGTAACTCCATAATCAGACAAAAGCCCTCAGATGCTAACCAGACCATGTAGAAGCACTCCAGTTGTCCTGGAACAGGCTAGCAAGATGTTTGTGCACATTGCGCAGGCTCTCGCTGCTGAGGCCCTCGTCGGCCAGACTGCGACGCGGGTAGCGACTTCAACGAAGGCCATGCTGTCCGCCGCCAATGTTGACCCTGTGCCCTTGCTGCAACAATTCCCCCAAGCTCAACAAGAAATCATCATGCGTTACTTTAGCTAAACGACTCACAGTAGAGGGATGTCGAGTCTGTTAACGAGCGCGTTATACCTTGTGGATAAAGAGAGTACCACGAACGGAACACGGGCGGCGAACATGTTGTTTAGCGGGCTGCTCCATGTTACGAGCGTGATACATATAGCGGGATAGTCTTTTTTTTTGTTTCTTCACGAAAGATCTCTGCAATAATTGAATTTTCTAACCTATAGTTGGCACTTTGATCCTAATGTGCGTAGCTGGGCTGCCAAGAGGAAGCAAACAAGCAATCGCAAGAAAAACCAGCGCCAGTCCACGGCAATAGCAACACGAGGTGGTGAGGCGACGGTCACACAGTTAGTTAGACAAAACGCCGACTGGATCCCATGCTTGGGGGTCGGTTGGGTGGAAAATAGGGTGAATAGTAATCACGTCTCAAGACCGCCGGCCCACGACCTACAGTACAACAGAACAGCAGACCGCACAGGGACAAGCACTGCCTAAGAGTGGGCGGATATGTGTGTAGTGCGTGTTGTAACTCGAGGTACGGATGGTAGCGGGGCGCGCGCGTCAGTCAGCGGGGTGTTCTTCGGCAGGCAACAAATTAGCGTAGGAAGAACGTGGGTATCAGTACCCAGCCTATGCCTGGCGCCAGCTTTGGCCATCCCCCCCCCTCAGCATGCCCGGGCTTCTCGCATGCGCCGCATCTGGGGCCATGGTTTTTTCTGAGTGATGGTGTGGTAAACAGCCGTTTGATGCCACCACCACCACTTTTGCGACACCATACATACACATTCCATTCTTCGATGCTCGCCCTTTCCTCCACCGCTCTTATTTTCGTGCTCACAGCCGACTTCTCTTACATTGTAGCCGCTTCGAAGACTACCCGCCGTTAAAAAATCATTTCTCTCAGCAACCCAGGATTAGCGGTAGCGTTTCCCCACTAAGAGTTCCTCGAACGCATAGCTGCGACCGCGAAGAACAAACAGCGCTGCGGCTCTTGCACTAGCAACAGCGTTGACTTCGCCCGTCGGGTTCTATATCGATCTACATGGCTTAGCCAGTTCCCTAACAATATCGACAACCGCCCACCGTACTAGCAGATCCATTGCACGCCGAAACAAAGTCCGGTGTCGACCTGGTCATCTTGACTTTCAACCCACCACACCACAAGCTTCTAAACAGCCCATGCCACCGCTATGGAAGGAATATATTCTCCAGCACAGCTAAATCGCCAGAAGCAGCAACGCCAGCCGAATGCTGGTGGTTCAAGTGCCCCGATCGGCGCGCTACCCAACGAAAACACCAACGACAACATGGTGATAGATGACCAGCCACATATATCACGTCAGAGCAGCGTGCAGCAGCAATATCCTTCCGCCGCCGCTCAAAACCATCCTGATGACGTTATGATGTACGCAAATCAGCAGAACACGGGTACCTACCCATATGCTGGCCAAGTGCCAACATCAATTTCTGCAATCGATACCACAAATGTCGGACCGTATGGAAATGGACAAGCTGCATACTCGGCTTCGACACGAGAACTTATGGGAACTATGATCTCCCCGCAATTTGCCGACATGGATATGGCAGCCATGTTCCAGTCACCTACTGCCTCAGCACAGTACCCTACCCCCGCGTCAGCATATTTCGACATCAATAACAGACAACCGGGTGGAACGACACCGCTTGGCGCCAACACACCGTCGAGCTCCGTACCCAGCAGCAATGCTCCTTCGAAAATGGATAAACCGGTGAGCGGTCCAGAGTTGGGTTTGAGAACCACGGAAGCTCCCCAGGCTCCTGCCGCACCGGGAGTGATGGATGAGCCAACAGGACTGTCACGGGAATCATCAACAGCACCCAAAACTGCGCCAGATCCGATTCAAGCTACAAACTCGTCAGTGAACAGGCCCTTTATTGGCCCCGCCAGAGAGAAGACAATGTACTCCAAAAGTGGGTTTGACATGCTCAAGGCATTGTGGCTGGTCGCCACAAGAAAGAATCCCAAGGTCAACCTTGGAGCTGTAGACATGTCATGCGCTTTTGTAGTCACAGACGTGACTATGAATGACTGCCCGATTGTCTATGTATCCGACAATTTTCAAAACCTCACAGGCTACAGTCAGCATGATATTGTTGGGCAAAATTGTCGCTTTCTTCAATCGCCGGACGGCAAAGTTGAAGCAGGAAAGCGCCGCGAATTTGTTGACAATCAGTCCGTCTACAACCTTAAAAAATCCATTGAAGACCGTGTTGAAATACAACAGAGTTTAATCAACTATCGCAAAGGTGGCAAACCGTTCCTAAACCTCCTCACGATGATTCCTATCCCGTGGGATACCGAAGAAATTCGATATTTTATCGGGTTTCAAATCGATCTAGTTGAATGTCCTGATGCCATCGCATCTGGTCAAGAGCTCGGTCGCATGACTGTCAATTACAAGCACACTGACATTGGTCAATATATCTGGACACCGCCAAATTCCAAGTACTGGGAAGTCGACAATGGACAGACACTAGGTGCCGACGATGTGTCAACATTACTTCAGCAGTTCAACCCAACAGGTGTCGTTTCCGATTGGCATAAGCAATCATGGGACAAAATGCTGCTAGAAAACAGTGATGACATCATTCACGTTTTGTCCCTGAAAGGCCTATTTCTTTACCTATCACCGGCTTGTAAACGTATTCTTGAATACGACGGAGCAGAACTGGTTGGAAATTCTCTCTCTTCGATTTGCCACCCTTCCGATATCGTTCCCGTTACTCGCGAGTTGAAAGACGCCACAGCAGGAAGCCAAGTTAATATCGTCTTTCGCATCAGGCGCAAACAAAGCGGTTACACATGGTTTGAAAGCCGTGGGTCCCTTTATGTCGAGCATGGCAAGGGACGCAAATGTATCATTCTCGTCGGCAGGAAAAGGCCAGTGTTCGCTCTCAGCCGGCGCTATCTCGATGCCCATGGCGGCATTGGGGACAGCGAAATTTGGACCAAGATGTCCACTTCGGGCATGTTCCTATTTGTATCATCTAACGTACGATCGCTTCTTGATCTCCATCCAGATGAACTTGTCGGAACTAGTATACAAGAGCTTATGCGTAAAGAGTCGCGTCCCGAGTTTGGTAGAGCTATGGAGAAAGCTCGCCGTGGTAAGATTGTGACTTGCAGGCACGAGATGCAGAACAACAGAGGCCAAGGGCTGCAAGCACAGACAATTCTATATCCCGGTGACGCTACTGAGGGCCAAAAGCCATCATTCTTTCTCGCGCAGACACGACTTGTTAAGTCGATGACACGCAATATCTCGTCGCCTACCAGCGCTGGTGATGGTTCCACAGCCAGCGAGTCGCAAGGCAGACGCGGAACCATATCTGAAATCCCCGGCGGTGGCTTGGTGCCTGGTGACCAAGACGAAGCATTAGCCTCCGACGACAATATTTTCGACGAGCTCAGAACGACAAAGTGCTCTAGCTGGCAGTTTGAACTTCGCCAAATGGAGAAGGTAAATCGAATCTTGGCTGAGGAGTTGGCTGGTCTGCTTTCCAACAAGAAGAAGCGCAAGAGACGCAAGGGCGTGGGCAACTTTGTGCGCGACTGCGCAAACTGCCATACTCGCAGCACTCCGGAGTGGCGCCGAGGACCAAGCGGCCAGCGAGATCTCTGCAACAGCTGCGGCTTACGATGGGCCAAACAGGTATGTACACGCCGCGCCTAGACCGTAGTTGAATGGCTATGGTTTGCTAACAATCTCTACCAGATGGGGCGAGTCTCTCCTCGAACATCATCTCGCGGAAGCGCAGATGGGAAAACTAAAAAGTCACGATCTCCCCTCAACTCTTCACCTCTGCACAAGGAAGTCCCTGCTGAGCAGAATGCTGGCACCACTGTCCCAACTACCCAAGATGCACCCGCGCCAGCGACCTCCATGCTGCCGCCAAGTGCGCCTCTTGCGTCTAGTGCCGTCAGCACAGCTGGCATGACTTCAATACGAGAGGAGCGAGAAACCAGCTAAAAGTAATTCTATTCCTCTCGCCCTGTCTCCCTACAGTGGGCCGCTATGCACTTATCCTCGTCCTGTCGCCCCTTCATCTTTATCACCTTTTTATATACATTTTTCACGTCATGGTCGAAACTCAAAGCACACGATTCGAACGACACGACATAACGAACACGACTTTAGTCAGCCGACGCTTCTGTTATATATTCCTTCTTCTATCACTACGTTTTCTTAATCGGGATTCTCGGCGTCCCGATGGATCATGTGTCCATGATCATTGAATCCATTCTCCTTCTTTTGCGTCTTGGTGGCGCATGTGAGGCGTTCGTTTTGCGCCCTCTTTATTCAGAGCAAATACCCTTTACTTTTACTTTTATATGTCAAAGAGAATCCTGCGCTAGGTTCTCCCGTATGGTGTAGAATTAAATCCAAGGAATTGTCATTATTTTTGGGAACTTGACAGGTCGATTGGACAAGGCAGGAACACATGTTTGGTTACAAAGGCGGGTGCTACCAGTGTATACTAACTTATTGTGGCGGGCAATCCTTGCTTTTTCTATTAAATTCTCAATCTATCAAACTCTCAAATGAAATTCTATATCTCTACTACTTTAGAGCTGCCTAAAGCTCGTCTTTCGTATGTACCGGGTCACGCATCGCGCGGCTCTTTGTGTTGATCTCCTCTTTGCGTGAGCGCTTAGCCACTGCCGCAATTTCATCGTCATACACTGTCCATTCAGGAACCTGTCTTCTGGCACGGTCGAGCTTGGGCTCTTTAGTCTGCGGGTTATTGCAAAGATCGATAGTGCGAGCCTGGGCTTGGCTCTCGTCGCTGCACCAGGTTTCGCACCATAGCCACTCTTGTGGCAGGCTGTGAATGGGAAGCTGGAACTGCATGTGGTTAGGCAGATCCTGGTCAAGATTAGCCAAAGAGTTAGGATCGGCGGAAAGCTGATGATATTGCTGGCGCAGACGGTCGCCGGCAGCAATCTCTCGGAAGCGGCGAAGATCGACAACATAGAGCGCGCTAATATGGTAGGGCTTGCCGCGGAGGTAGCGCTCCCAGTATCCTTGCTTCCAGAAGCGGAAACCCTCCATTTCGGTGCGCGAGTCACACATGGGAGTGAATCCATATGGTGCGCCCTCGAGGTCGAGATTGACGAGATCCATCATGTCAGTGCGGACAATCTGGTCAGCGTCCACAAAAATGACCTTGTCGAGGGAGAGCGGGAAGAGGACGTCGAGGAAGAGAATCTTGTAGCCCCAAATCTCACGTTGCTTCTCTTTCTGTTGTCGCAACCAATGCGGCCATTTGTAAGTGACCATTTCATACTTGAATCCGTACTCCTTGGCCAGTTCAGGGATGAAATCCTTGAATGACGGCGATAAGAATTGCTCGATGAACCAAAACTTGACAGTCCTTTTCGTATGCTTCATAACGGAAACCATCATGATATTGAGCATTCTCTCATACAAGTGGCCACTGGCAACGGAGAAGATGTTGATGTCAGCGTGCTCCTTTGCAGAGGCAGATTTGCCGAGACCGCCCAAGATGCCTTCAGCAAACTTGAGGCCCTTGGCTACAACACCATCTTCAGGCTCAGCTAGCACGTCAGCTTCTTCCATGCCAGAGTTTCGCTGCAGTCGAGGGTATAGAGTAGTCCCTTCAAAGTCCATTAGAACAACGCGGGTTCCTTCATCACCAGGCACGGCGTTGTAGCCCTGCGTTCCGATGCTCTCGATGTTGTAAATATCAGCGCTGCGACCGTCCTTGAGGCGGATGTTGTAGAAGCCGGGGTTGGCTTTGAACTGGAAGAAGCCGAGGTTTGCCATGATGATAGTATCAGTAACATGGTCATCAGTCTTGGTGCCTAGAACGAGTTGTGCACCGCGCGGAGCGCCTCCTTCGACTTCACGAGAGTGGCCTTCGATCAGAATATGTTCCAACTCGTATGTGGCATCTACGTCAGATTTGGCAGAAGACAGCTTGATATTGTCCAGATCGTACACCGAAGATTTGGCAGACACAAGCCATGCTGGCGGAACGTCCATTCCGGCCGTTAGGAGAGCGTCAGTGGGTAGGTTTCTGAATGTACCACGTGGCGCCTTAACATTTCCCCTAGCATCAAAGGTAGGTTTAGATTCTAGCACGTAGCGGAAGAATCTTTTGATAGGCAGCTCGGTAATCTTAGTCTTGGGATTTAGGAACAGCTTCAGGTAGACGCCATCCAAATCCGCAAGGACCTTCAGAATGGGAGCCCATTTCTGTCCCTGCTCGCTTAGGGGATTGATCAAACCGACCAAGTGAACTGAGGCGGTGTCTGGGTTTCCGACTTCAATTTTAGCATGCGTCAAATCCCATTTGTCATACAAGGTGCTTCTTGTACTCGGAGCCGAATCAAATATTCCTTCAGGAACATCGGATACAGTTGAGCGGGCGACCAGAGAGGTGATCTTCGCAACGCTAACAGGATCGGTAAGCTTTTCACTAAGACCAAGGTCTTCTGCCGCAGCATACACGGGCGCAATGCGAGCTTTGTGCTCAATATCAAGTAAAAGGCTGAAATCATCGGCAAGGAATGGCGCATCGGCCAGAATAGGGCCGACCACTCGTCCGTTGAGCAAGACGTAATTGTGACCGGATAATAGCTTAGCGGATGAGAGAAGCAATTCTAAAGACTTTTGGACTTTGGTAGAAGATGTGGCTGATTCTAGGCTCTTCACCAGTGCCCCCAATTGAGATTCGTCCGTTACAAGCTTCAGCTCATCTTCCTTTGTCTTTAGGGCTGACTGTATACCGGTTGTAGGGGCATCAGCGGCTGGGTTGTGTACAAAGTCTAAGCGGACACCGTCGTTCTGTCGCTTAAATTCCAAAGCAGCCAAAACGAGGGCACGGCCTTCTGCAGATGTGAAATCAGAGATGATGGAGAACGCTGCCCAAAATTCCTTGGCAGAGTCTTTGCTTGCTTCGAAGGTTGGTGTGTTCTGGAAGAGATCCTCATAGTTGGAATAAATTGCGTTGACATCTAGGACCTGAGGCTTTCCCTCACCGCCGGACAGGTATGGGTTGCGTCTTAAGGCTGCACTGGTCAAGAAAACAGCCTCTGCAATCGATTCTTCGTCAGTGAGCTCGCCTTGGAAAATGGCCCTCTGCACAGTCTGCAGATCTTCGGTAATCTGCATACCAAGACTCTGCATCCACGATTCAGAGCGGGTGTGAATAGCGCCGTTTACAAACATGACTTTGCCATCTGCAGCCGAAGCTTTCAATCTAGACTGCCATTTCTCGGCAGACTTGACTTGTTCGCCATATAGTTCAGACGATTGGATTTTTTCCAGCTCCAAGATTTTTTTATCAGCAGAGGGTTCGTTAGAAGTGGCAACATGGTCCAGTGCTGCTTTATCGTCGGCTTTGTTAGTCTTTGCTTCCAAGAGGGTGGCTAACCCGGGTAATCCATATGTATCCATGATGTAGTAGACAAGTTTAGCGGTGGACTCCAATCTTGCTGAGGACAGTGCAGGTACGAGGCCAAATCGGACTGTGATGCCGCGATTTACCAAAGTGAGAAGTTGGGTGAGCATTTCAATATCCTCGCTGTCGTCGAAGTCGACAGGTGTAACTGCATGAAAGATATTAAGACCGACTGGTGGAATGGTTCCAGGGTACGCGCGTTGAAGAAGAGCGCGCGGAGTTTTAGGATGGTCTTTGTATTGTTCATCATTCTCCAAGTCATTGAGCCAGACTAGTGCATTATTGTCTTCAGTGCCGTCTCGCCAATCGTAACGAAGACTTGCACTGTCATCGCTGTTTGCCTCGGCAACCTTTTCGTGGCCCAGCAGGGAAACAACTTCCTTGCTAGAGAAGCCAAGGCTGGTAGCCTCGTTGAGCATCTGTCTTTCGCGGCGCAGCATGCTAATCAAAGCAAAAGGCTGAATCTGCCGATCGGTGAGTTGCATACCATTAATCCAAAGAACGTTTACGCCGACGGGAACTCTCTGTTCTGCAGCCTGTTCATATTCTTTGGCAAATTCCTCTGAAACAACATGTCGTGCAACAATGGAGGAGTAGCGAGGGAAGTCTTGGGTTAGCTTAATAAGAGTTTCGAAGGGATTTTTGCTTTGCTGGATAAAAGACGCCGCTTTCATCCCTATGCCTTCAAGATCAGAGCTAGAGAGGGGAGCAATATCAGACAATTCTTCCTCATCCTCACGCTCTAGGCTACCAGTATCCTGGTTCTTTTCTTTAGGGCTGTCTTGGGATCCGGCATCTCGATCATCAATGACAATGTAGTCGGTTCTCTTCAGCGCGAGTTCCACACCGTATCCACTGACTGGTAGGGGATTGGTTTGAAGAGTGTTGGGGCGACGATAGCGAAGGCGGTATCGGACATCGCCAGCGGCGGCCATCTTGGATATTTCTTGGTGGTAAGATCCAAATTTCGGTGAAGTTGGGTCAGCATATAAAATGGCATCCTTTCCTGATCCTAGTGTTCTGTCAAACTCAACATGTTCGGTTTGGCTAAAGAGCGTTAGCACCATAAGTTTAAATAGTAGTGACGTTGAGCTTACGAATGGCTGAAACTCTCAGAAGAGTGCGCAGAGTCTAGTGGGAGGCTGCAATATTGATTGCCCCCATATGCAATCCATATGTCGCAAGATTGGCCAACATCAGCTTGGCCCAGTTGGTTGTCATAGTATTGATAGTGGGCTTCCACCCTGGGCGCAGCAGATCGCAGGGCAAGAGCCAAATTGAAGGTAGACAAGGATGCAGCATTTGTAACGTGGCCATCTTTAGACAGGATGCTGACAAACTTCTCATAAAGACCAGCGTCGGTATCGATATTAGCAAAAGTGCCAGCGGCAATTCGGTCGAGAAGCGGAAAGTAGGACGTTGCATTTTCGCTAGCAGCAGTTTCCCTGTTTCGTTTGTTAGATATGACCTAGATAGTCTTGTTTGAGTGAATTGAAGTTGCATACAATAGCTCAATCAAATACGGCCCAGCCGAAAAAGCAGCCTCGACGCCAACATTGACCACTTTGGCAGCTTGCACGCTGGAGCAAGCTGCCGCAAGTGATATGAGAGCGGCCAGGCGAGTCATTCTGTAAAGAACAGGTATCGCTGCCCTGAGTTTGTTTCCAATGCAATTGGAAAGCTTTTGTGTTTTCTCTGATCTGATCTGGGGACGAAAAGAAGGAATGGACTCGGGACTAAGGTCCGGCGTCGTGATGGGTTTCGGGACACAGTCGCTACAAGCTGGCCCAAGACGGTTTAGCGTCCCATGACGTACAGGGAGTAATGTGGCAGAACTGAGCCAGTGGTGGGGTGGCTGTGGTAAGGGGCCAAGGCGGTGTGGTGTGCCCGTGCTGAGCTGTCCGGCGGAAAGTTGTTGCGGGGTTCCCCCCAATTGCGCCTACACGCAAGCCCACAATTACAGATGGACACGAAGCTCAATTGCTCCTGGTACGTGGAAGCTGTTAGTTGGCACGACTCCCTACGTTGGCTGATGCGCGCATCGACAACTCCATCTTCCCTCGCTTTCAATTTTATTCTACGCGGCTTCATCGCACAACCTCTGTTCCGATTCTAGCTCCCCGAGGCACACCTCATACCTTCATCCCTCCGAGGCAGCGGCTTCTGTCACCCCCGCCACCATGCAGTCCTCCCCTGGCATGCTCACCAAGGTACTGCTACCCTTACAATGCGAAGGCAATCGGTCTATATCTAACCGCCCTCTAGTTCGAGTCCAAGTCCTCTAGAGCAAAAGGCATTGCCTTCCATCCTAAAAGGTATGACGCTTGCTGGTCTCAAGGCGCCGCCTCCGCGTTCGACAAACAACAAATGAGCCACAACTAACTTGTCTAGACCATGGATCCTCGTCGCCCTTCACTCGTCCACTATCCAGCTTTGGGACTACCGTATGGGAACATTGATCGATCGATTTGAAGAACATGATGGCCCCGTTCGTGGTGTCGACTTCCATAAAACACAGCCCCTCTTCGTGTCGGCAGGCGACGATTATAAGATCAAGGTTTGGTCTCTGCAAACAAGACGCTGCCTTTTCACCCTCAACGGCCATCTCGATTACGTCCGAACCGTTTATTTCCATCATGAACTCCCATGGATTATTTCCTCTTCCGATGATCAGACCATTCGTATATGGAACTGGCAGAACAGATCCCTAAGTACGGCCGTGCCCCGCTTTGACTGAATATACAACGAAATGCTAACCAATCATGACATAGTTTGCACAATGACTGGCCATAACCACTATACCATGTGTGCTCAGTTCCATCCCAAGGAGGATCTTGTAGTCTCTGCATCGCTCGATCAAACAGTTCGCGTTTGGGACATTTCCGGCCTGCGAAAGAAGCACTCCGCTCCTTCATCAATGAGCTTCGAGGATCAAATGGCACGAGCGAGCCAGAACCAAACCGACATGTTTGGCAACACCGACGCTGTCGTCAAATTCGTGTTGGAGGGCCACGACCGTGGCGTCAACTGGGTCGCCTTCCACCCTACCATGCCGCTCATCGTGTCGTGTGCTGACGACCGCCTCGTCAAGCTGTGGCGCATGAGCGAGACCAAGGCTTGGGAAGTAGACACTTGCCGAGGACATTTCCAAAACGTCACTGGCTGTCTTTTCCACCCTCATCAGGATCTCATTCTCTCTGCCGGAGAGGATAAGACTATCCGTGTTTGGGACCTCAACAAGCGCACCGCTGTGCAGTCATTCAAGAGGGAAAATGACAGAGTTTGGGTTATTGCAGCTCATCCCGAGATTAATCTATTTGCCGCTGGCCACGACAACGGTGTCATGGTCTTCAAACTAGAGCGCGAACGCCCTGCTGGTGCCTTGCACCAAAACGCACTTTTCTATATCAACAAGGAGAAACATGTCAAGTCTTACGATTTCCAGCGCAACGTCGAGAGCCCAACACTATTGTCTCTGAAGAAGCTCGGAAGCCCTTGGGTTACCCCTCGCACTCTGTCTTATAACCCTGCTGAGCGATCTGTTTTGGTCACAACTCCCGCGGACGGCGGCTCTTACGAGCTGGTCAGCTTGCCCAAGGACGGCTCCGGCACCATTGAGCCTACCGAGTCCAAGAGGGGTAGCGGCAACTCTGCCATCTTTGTTGCTAGAAACCGATTCGCCGTCCTCAACACGTCGACGCAAAACATTGACATCAAAGACCTTTCGAACAACATCACCCGATCCTTCAAACCCCCAGCTGGTACTACGGATATCTACTTTGGTGGTACTGGCAACATTCTCATTATTACACCTACTGCTGTGCACATGTATGATGTTCAGCAGAAGAAGAGTGTCGCCGAGCTCGGTGTTAATGGTGTCAAGTACGTCGTGTGGTCCAACGATGGCCTCTACGCTGCTCTGCTTAGCAAGCACAATGTCACTATTGTCACAAAGACCCTTGAGCAGGTCAGCACGCTTCATGAAACTATTCGTATCAAGAGTGCTACATGGGACGATGCTGGTGTTCTGCTCTACTCAACCCTCAACCACGTCAAGTACACACTGCTCAACGGCGATAACGGCATTGTGCGAACCTTGGACCAAACCGTCTATCTCGTCAAGGTCAAGGGACGCAATGTTTACTGCTTGGATCGCTCTGCTAAGCCCCGCGTTCTGCAAATCGACCCTACTGAATACCGCTTCAAGCTTGCGCTAGTAAAGAGAAACTACGATGAAATGCTTCACATTATCCGCAACTCGAGCTTGGTTGGTCAATCCATCATCTCATATCTTCAAAAGAAGGGATATCCCGAGATTGCTCTCCAGTTTGTTCAGGATCCCACGACCCGATTTGATCTTGCTGTTGAATGCGGTAACCTCGATGTCGCTATCGAAATGGCCAAGGAGCTGGACAAACCCAAATTCTGGAGCCGCCTCGGAACTGAAGCCCTGGCCCATGGTAACCATCAGATCGTTGAGATGTCGTACCAGAAGCTGAAGCAATTTGACAAGCTCTCCTTCCTCTACCTTGCCACTGGTGATCACTCTAAGCTTGCTCGTATGGCTAAGATTGCCGAGCACCGTGGTGACTTTACCGCTCGCTTCCACAATGCGCTTTACCTTGGCGAGGTCGAGGACCGAATCCAAATGTTCAAGGAGATTGACCTGTATCCTCTTGCTTATATGACTGCCAAGTCTCATGGACTTGAAGAAGAATGCCAGGCTATCCTTGAGGCCACTGGTCTGACGGAGGACCAGCTCACCACTCCTACAATCGGCGAGCCACTCTCTACACCCAAGGCTGTCGTTCCTACCTTCAAGTCCAACTGGCCCACCAAGGTTGGCTCTCAATCTGTCTTTGAGAAGGCTCTGCTTGGTCAAGTTGAGAACTTGTCGCTCGAAGACAACGGCGCTCAAGCCGGCGTTGGTGGATTGGATGATGCTATGGATGAAGATGGCGCGGGAGCAAACGGTGCCTTAGCTGACGATGATGATGAGGATGCTGCTGGCTGGGACATGGGCGACGATGCCATGCCTGAGGCGGACGGCGACTTCGTCAACGTTGATGCTGAGGAAGCTGGTGGTGCCGGTGGCAGTGAAGCTGAGCTGTGGGCTCGCAACTCGCCTCTGGCGGTGGATCACGTTGCTGGTGGTTCATTCGAGACGGCCATGCAGCTCCTCAACAGACAGGTTGGTGCGGTCAACTTTGCTCCCCTTAAGCCGCGCTTCTTGGAGGTGTACCAGGCCTCCAAGACCTTCCTTCCTGCATCTGCCGGTCTACCTCCTTTGATCAACTATGTTCGCAGAACTGTTGACGAGACAGACCCCCGCGAAGTTTTGCCCATTGTTCCCCGAGACCTCGAGTACCTTGCTGGAAATGACCTGCAGAAGGGTTACGATACGATGAAGGCGAACAAGCTGGAAGACGGCGTCCAAATCTTCAAGAGCATTTTACACGCCATCTTTGTCAACGCTGTTTCGAGCGAGAGTGAGGCTGCTGATGCCAAGAAGCTCATCACATCGGCTGCGGAATATGCTTTGGCCATGGAAATTGAGTTGGAGAGAAGAAAGCTTGGTAATGCTGAGGCCCTGGCTGCGGACTCTACTAAGCTGAAGCGAAGCTTGGAGTTGTCTGCGTACTTTACCATCCCCAAGATTGAAGTACCGCATCGTCAGCTCGCCCTGCTCAGCGCCATGCAGCTGGCCGTCAAGAACAAGAACTACGGTTCGGCTCTGAGCTTTGCGAACCGTATTATTGCCAACGGTGGTGCCAGCAAGATTGTAGAAAATGTAAGTTTTAGCCGCATGACCAATAAGACACAACAAGGGACTAACTCAATGTTACAGGCCAAGAGAACAAAGACTCAGTGCGAGCGCAACCCCAACGACGCAATTGAGATTGAGTTTGATCAGTTTGCCGAGTTTGAAGTGTGTGCTGCCAGCTACACACCCATCTACAGCGGAACTTCGTACGAGACATGCGCGTTTGACGGCTCCAAGTACCACACAAAGTACAAGGGCTCAGTGTGCCGTGTCTGCGGAGTCTGTGAGATTGGAAAGCATGGCAGTGGGCTGAAGCTCTTTGCCTAAAGGACGTGAATGGAAAGCTAGAGAGAACGGGGAATTGCCCCTGTTTTTTTGACGGATAATGATAACGAGGTAGTGGCAGAGCATACCAACACTCTTGGTTTGACAAAAAAAAGTAGGTATCCAAAGATAGACGGGTACTTTATTTGAGAAAATTCACAGTTTGCATTATACAAAATGACTGTCCCCCCGTATTAAATGCATTAGTTCTACTACCATTCGTGTATATCACTTCTATACCATACCAAAACTAATGCATCTTGTTACTACTATTGTTGTGATGCGCTAGGTTGTGGTTGTTCGTTGTGATTTTGATCGTCATAATTTGATAGCATTATCTATTTTGTTTATTTTACACAATGGTCTCCAGCTCTCTGGCGTAGCCTAGGGTATTCTCAATGACCATTTGGCTCATATCCTTGCCTTGCTCTCCGTCCTCGTCGTCGCTTGCCTGGGGGAAGTAAATATGTCCGTCGCGGACGACCCAGCCGCGGTGCTGTGCAAACTTGATGACATCGCCCTCCGAGTCGAGGAAGAGGAGGGATTTTGTCGAGCTGATGGGCAGGGAAGGGTATGCTTTTTCGGAGCTGCTTGCAATTTCCGATCGGATCTGGTTCTTGAGGATCTACAGAAAGAAAGAGATTGGTTAGCACGAGGACATTACATCTAGCTGAGGGTCCATCCTATCGTGACGGTTTGCATCAACCCGGGGGGGCAAAACTTACTTCTGAAAACACGCCGTATTCATCACAGGGCACCTCGCTGCTCTTCATGGCCTTCCACACGCGATCGTAGCTGCCCTCCATGAGCCAGCGCTCGAGTCTGATGGGGTATCCGAGATACTTGTCGCCCTCGACATCGCCCACGTTGCCGCCGCCGTCGCGGTTAGCCAGGCTCTCGAGCTCGGAGTGGAACTCTGCGTAGCGGCCCTGTGTGAGGAGCAGCAGCAGGCTGAGGCCGGTGACTCTGTTGCGCTCCGCAAGGTTGGGCTGCAGGCGGGACGAGGGCAGCTCGTAGAAGGGCTGGAGCTGCTGGACGTAGCGGGTGAAGGCGTCTGGGTTGCGGGCGCGGATGGCGAAGAGGGCACCCTGCTCGTATGTTTCGCGGGCAAGGGCGAGAAGGCCGGAGGAGACGTCTGGCGACGGGGTGAGGGCCTTGAGGTGGAGGAGGGCGAGCTTTGCTTTGGAGAGGAGGGTGTTTGCGTCGGCGTAGCTCATGGACGGGGAGTGCTTGAGCTGGCCGAGGACCTGGGAGAGGGCGCGTTCAGCCATTGTGGATCGGATTGGCGGCTCTGCGTCGTCGTTATCGTCACTTTTGGGTTGGTGATGCTGATGGATGAGAATGGGTGATGGTGGTGGTGGTGGTTCGGGTATGGACAACAGGTCGGCGGCTTGCAGGCTGACAGTGGGTGACGTGCGTGCCTGTGCTTGTGCTGGCGCTGCTGGGACTGGTCGTGCTGGTGCTGGTGCTGCCACGGAGCCAGTGGAGCAAAAATTAGATAAGCAGGATCCCATGGCGAGCTACCCTGGAGATGGAATTTGGCGAGCGACACGGTTATTACAGGCCGTGCCGTTTTTTGGCCATGACGCTGGAGCGTATAGTATTAATATGATGGCGATTCACGGGGTTTCATGTCATCTATCTATATCTTTTTTGTATACTCTACTGTTTGCACATGTGAGCACTGGTAAAAGGTTGGTTTGGAGAGCAGCTGGTCAGCGCCACGGACGGTCACAAGACAATGACTATGCACAGTAGCAGAGGGATGGAAGAGATACTATCGCCTGGGGAAGAAATGATTGAGATCACCAGAAGGTAGCAAAAGGAACGAAAATGTTAATCAACCCAGTAGGGCACTTTTCGGCTAGATTCCCTTGGGCTTTTGCATAAAGGAGTGCTGGCGCGCATAAGCTTCGCGTCAGCGGTTGACGGGTGGGCAGTGCTGAGCTCCCTTTTTGGCGTGCGTCTGCCCTGGCGTCTGCGCTAAACCACAATGAGGCGCTGCTGGGATTACAGACAGAGACAGTTGGGCTACTTTACAGAAGGGGGGGCCAGGCGGCACAGAAGGGTTTGTGCGTGCCGGGGGCGGGGAGGGGCAGCAAGGGCCAAAAATAGCAGCGGCATCGCCACGCTGATGGCGGGTGGTGGGCGCAGCGCCGGTTTTGAAGCCTACCAGTTGTCAGCTGGTTCAACGGGAGACTTGGGACTAAGTGGGTGATTTTGTCATGCAAGTGTCATTTGTCTAATGTTTGTGTACCTGTTAGTTTTGCTGGGAAAAGGTGCAATGTAGAGAGAAGCGGCAGCTGGGCTTGTATTTGTACCGCACTAGAAAAAAGCAGGCTGCAGGTACTCAACCAACACGTTAAGACAAACATATTCCTTGTGCGTGCGGGTGAGCGTGGCCAGCCCATTTTTTAAAATAGCCAAATAAACATGATAAATATCATAAGCAAGACTAGAATATAATTGTTTACACAAAAACAGTCCACCTATTTTTGCTGATCTGCTGACTGCAATCTTGCTTCATCATCAGCCTTGTTTGCTTCGCCCTCAGCGCTATAGTGCTGTAAGTTGGGTGCCCCACAGAGCAACATTACAGTGCTCACTCACTAGCACCACCCAACACAGCAACTTGCAGTCAGAGGCGAGTGAGAGAGAGGGGCTTTCTTACTTACAACCTTGTCGAATGTGTCCCTCCACCACTACCACAAACCACCACCGCCTTTTTTTCTTCTCTTTTGCCGCACTACACTGCAACCAACAGTCCATCATTCCTCCTTCACCAAAAATAGTAAAGGGGGTTGTGCCATCATGGCGGACTACGGAAACTATGGCGGCTCATATGGCCAAGGAACGGCTAGTTCATCGTCTTCCCGTAAGTTATTCAGCACTAAAACGATAGAGCATGAGAGAGAGATGCACAGCAAGCAGCCCAACAGCACAAGCAGCAGAGCCAATCCAAGACGGAAATCGACGCCGATCACGACAATCATCCATACACACATTTACCAGACACACACACCCACCAGACCAAAGACCCGAAAAAAAAGTAGCCGCTCACCTACACCACAACAATGCCTTGTCTGTTCTTGTTCCCGCCAGCATAAGGAATGCGGCTTGCCTGAGCCCCGCCGTCCCTGGTGCTGCGCCCAACAGCCTGGCGCCTCCACTCGCGCAAGGGGGCCAAAGAACGAGGGTTTGTGCGTGCAGGCGCTGGGTGAGGCCAGGCTGGGCTGGGACATGTCGCATGATGAATGGTCTGTCTGCAACGCAACTCACATGTGGCTGCTACTCGCATATCAAATACGCCGCACGCCCAGTCCTTTTCCCCTCGCTCCCCCATCCTTGCCGGCTCAACCGTGCGACAAGACATCATAGCAGACGGACAAGCTTGAGCTTCTAAAGAAGACAAAGACAAAAGAAAACCACTCGAAATATCCCGCGCGGTTTTCATTGTTGCATTCGTCATCCTCCACCACGCAACGCAATCCCATCAGCCACCACCACCACCCCACCGAAACTCGACCTACAACCCTCAGCTGTTACTGCTACTCTCGCCGCCCGCACCAGCTCTCTCTCTCTGCTCTCTCAGTCGCCGTCTTGGCTGCAAATACCATCTTAAAAAAGCAATAGAAAACTAACACTAGCTTTTGCGAATATCTACAGAGTTTACTGCTCTGCCCGCCATCGACATGGGGCCTGACCTGGGAGCCACGTTTGTGCCTGGCGGCTTCGATGACTACTATCTCCCCGAAGTCTACGCACCAAAGCCACAAAGGTAATAACAATACCCCAAGATGTGTTATTCTCCAGACTGTCGTTGGGAAGCCCGCTAACAGAGAATGTCACACGCAGAAACACCACACAGGCCACGGAAAACATGGAGTCCGAGGTCAAAGCAGAGCTGCAGGGCGACAGCCAGCCTGCCGCACCAGCTGTTACTACACCCGCGATCCCCGAGCTCGGCAGCAACAGCACACCCCCACGAATCTCTGCTGCCACACTCGACGTGATTCCTTCCAGCGATACCGACCGACGACTATCTGATGCTATAAGCAACCTGTCCGTCGATACACCAAGCTTTTCTCCGTTTCCCAAAGTCTCGGGCGACAACATCCCACCCGGTGACGAAGCCAAAGAAGAAATCCTCTGGAATGCCCGTAAGAACGTCATACACTCGCAGGATATTGATGCTCAGATTGCCTGGGCCAGAGATGTACTCAGCTGGGCTGAAGTCTCCGCTGAGGCCATTACGAGGGAAGCTACGAATGCTGGCAAGCCGCGGGCATCGACACCGCGCATCGAGCACGAGCTGCGTATCGACGCCATCAGCATCATTGAGCACCTAGCCAAGCAGTCGCACCCTGATGCGCTGTACCTACAATCCAAATGGTACGAGTTTGGCAAATTCAACCACCGGGTAGACAAGCGCGAAGCTTTCAACGGATACAAAAAGGCCGCCGAGAGCGGCAGCAAGCGCTCCGAGTACCGCATGGGCATGCTTTTTGAGCAGTCCAACGACGTTGTGCGCGCAAAGGAACACTATTTCAAGGGCATTGATTACAACGACTCGGCCGCGCTCTACCGGATGGGCATGATGAGCTTGCTGGGCCAGCATGGTGAGATTCGCGACTATCACGCTGGTCTGGAGCGCCTCAAGGCTGCAGCCAACACCTCGGACGAAGACGCCCCCCAAGGAGCCTACATTTATGGCATGCTGATTGCCAGAGATCTCCCAGATATCCCTGTGCCAGACGATATGCTGACACACAACGTCGAGACTGCCAAGTCGTATATAGAAAAGGCGGCATACCAAGGTTTCGCAAAGGCGCAACTGAAGATGGGCCAAGCATACGAGCTGTGTCAATTGGGTTGCGAGTTCAACCCGTCGTTGTCTCTGCACTACTACGGCCTGGCTTCCAAGCAAGGCATTCCCGAGGCGGCCATGGGTGTCAGCCGCTGGTTTCTGTTTGGCTTTGATGGCGCTTTTAAAAAGAACGAAGAGCTGGCCTATAAGTACGCACAGGAAGCCGCTGCAGCCAAGCTCTCGTCGGGCGAGTTTGCTGTGGGATACTATTATGAGATTGGTATTCATGTTACCAAGAGTATTCCTGAAGCTCGCAAGTGGTATCAGCTGGCTGCCGACCATGGCAATGCCGATGCACCCGCTCGCCTGGAGTCACTGAACCAGGACAAGACCCTGTCTAAGAAGGATCACGAGACAATTACCCTGACGCGCATCAAGTCACAGCACGGCTCTCAGCGCGGGGCCAGACCTGAGCGCTTCCGCCAGCGATCTGACGGCGGCTTTGGACAGGGTTCGGCACTGCCTACGCTTAGCGAGCAGCCTCAGGACCAGTATCAGCAACAGCAACGCAGACCTGTTTCTGGCAGTGTGTCTCCGGCGACGGCAGCCTCCAGTTCCCCTCCTCGACCGACACCAGCATTCAACATTCGCCTAGACTCGCACAACAACCCCCTCTCGAGCGGCCGCCCAGCCTCGGCCATGCCATATCCTGATGATGAGCCTGCACCGCTCAATCTGACACGGCCGCAATCTGTGGTATCAGCTGTGTCGGCACCGTATCCCGACGATGAAGCTCCTCGCCCGCTAACACAATCTTCGACTTCCACGTTTCTCGGAGCACACCCTGGTCCACAGGCTGACCGCCCGGGTAGCGCCTTTGGTATCAAAGTTGACCACGGACCTGGGCCGGGCAACCTGCCACACTCGCAGTCCATGGGCAACATGTATCCTCAACAGCAGCCGCAGCCTGGCCGTGGTAGAGTAACCTCTGCCGGTTGGGAGCCCCAGCTTCGACCAGCGGGCGCCAGTGCAGGTTATAGACAACCGAGCCCTGGCCCGCCTGGGCCCCAGCGACCTGCATCTGCTCAGTATCCTGGTGGACCACAGCAAGGAGGGCCTCCTCCTCCCTCTGGCCGCGATTCGCTGCCATCAGCAAACGGCCGCTTGCAAAAGCCCCCGCCCAACAACTGGCAGCAGCAACAGCAACCACTGCAACATCATCAACAACAACAGCATAGCCAAGGCCCGCCACCGCAAAATCCTGCGTACCAAGGCGGTGGTGGCGGTCCGGATCCTCGCATGACACCCGGTGCCTACGACCGCAACTCTCGCAAGCCTATCAATGCGCCCCCGGATCGCTTCAATTCGGCCCCGGTACCTAACAACCGGCCGACATCGAACCTGCCTCCACGGGCATCGACGGGCATGGGCCCTCCTTCTCAGTCTGGCCGTCCTGGTCAAGGTCCTGGCCCAGGACGCCCAGGACCTGGACAGCCAGGACCTGGAGGTAAGATGGGGCCCGCGACGTTTGAGGACATGGGCATTCCACAGGGCAAGCATGAAGGCGACTGCGTAAGTTTTCTTTTTCTCTTTCTTTTCGTTTAGCCATCTTACTAACACGTACTCTAGGTCATCATGTAAAAAGATGCGACCACAGAACGGCATTTATGTTTGTTATCCATACCTTTTTATACTCTATACAGAACGCATGCGTCCACGCAACGCAAAACCCCTGCACCAGACGGGAAAGTTTCCCTGTCTGCACGGCCGCATTTTCCATTATGAATGAACAGCATTGATTTTCTTCCGCGGGTATATATTATATAACGAAGAAAAAAGACATATAGGCAGACAGAACCGCTGTCTGGTAGTAGGATTACTTCTGGATAGGATTACCTTTTTACTTTTTCTTCGTCTGCATTAAAAAAATAACGATAATATAAAATAAGGGCGAAGCACCAATACCTTGTCACCACACACACTCTTTCATTATTCACTCTCGCTTTGTAATGTACTGTCCTTCATCTCCCGGCGGCACGGCATCTAATTCTCCAGCCGACGTCGGAGAGTCAATCCCGCCCTTGGTGCATAAAGTGGCGCCGGCCGAAAGACGGGAACAAGCCCGCTTGCTTGCCTGCTCGCGCTCGCTTCCCCAGACTTTTTTCTTTTTGTTCCGTCCTGCCAGGCTGCCTGTGTCTTTTCTTTCTAAACGACGCCACTGCCATATTCTTCCGTCTGTAATTCTCATTCCCCCTCCCACTCACTCTCAAACGCCCACTCAAGATAGTAGTAATCCATCTCATCCCACTCCTACCCGCCCTCCATCGCCGGCCGCCGCCCCTCTCTCCGGTGGGTGGATCATTAGAAAAAAAGAAGTAGAACCCACCAAATGCCGAAGAGGTCCCTGGCTTAAGCAACCGCCGGTCCTCCTCACGAAGCCTCTTTTTTTTTTTTTTTTTTTTTTTGGTTTCCTTTTCTGTCAACTCTTGTGCACAAACAGAACATTGCAATGTCCGACTCGGCCACGGACGGGCCCATGGCCGATAAACCGCCCCGCGACGACATCAACATGCTCGCGCGCTCCAGGAGCCGCGCCAGTGCGGTCGAGAAGGAAGATTGGGCCGCCGGACAGAGCCAAACCGATCCTGCGGTCCTGCACGACCCGGAAATGCAGTCGACAGATCCCGAGGACCAGTATACAACCTCCGACGACGAAGATCAGCCGCAGACTGTCGTCTCGCGCGTGCTCTCGCGCATCACATCCAAGTCTAGCATTGACCCGGGGCCGCCTCCCGACGGCGGCGCGCGCGCTTGGGCGCAGTGTCTTGCTGCACATCTCATCATCTTCAACACATGGTACGCCGCCAAGACCACTTACCTTGGCTCTATTGCTAACATACACTCGTAGGGGCTGGGCCAACTCATTCGGCTCGTTCCAGTCATACTATGTGGCTCTTCTGGACCGGTCCCCGTCTGAAATCTCGTGGATCGGATCCATAGCCGTGTTCCTGCTCTTCTTCATCGGTGCGTTTACCGGCCGTCTCACTGACGCTGGCTACTTCCGGCCCCTCATTGTGGTTGGATCTGTGCTCAGTATTCTCGGCATCTTCATGACCTCGCTATGCACGCAGTACTGGCAGCTGCTGCTTGCGCAGGGAATCTGCACGGGTATCGCCAACGGCTGCATCTTCTGCCCGACTCTTGCTGTTGTGTCGACGTATTTCCAGAAGAAGCGCGCTCTTGTCCTTGGCATTGCGGCTTGCGGAAGTGCTACTGGTGGGCTTGTCTTTCCTAGTATGGTCAGGCAGCTTCTGCCGACAGTCGGGTTCGGATGGACCGTCCGCGCCATTGGCTTTGTCCAGATGGTGCTGCTGATTGTTGCTAATATTCTGCTTAAGCCACGCATTAGACCGCGCAAGACGGGGCCGCTAGTTGAGCTGTCTGCGTTCAAGGACTGGGATTATACATTTTATGCAGCTGCCGGATTCTTTGTAAGTATTTCTCTCCCTCCTCTTGTGGCTAGGGATTCGTACAAAAAGAGCATTAGGCTAACTATGTGATGTGTCTGCCTAGAACTTCTGGGGAGTCTACTTTGCATTCTTCTATCTTCCAGCATACTCGCGCGACGTGCTGAACCCACCACTATCCTACTCAGAGTCGCTAAACCTGCTCCTCATCCTCAACGGCGTTGGTGTTATTGGCCGTCTTGCCCCCAATGCTATAGCGGATCGTGTCGGTGCCGTCAATGTCTTCATCCCGACGTCCGCTGCGGCGTCCATTCTCATGTTTTGCTTCATCGCCATTGACAAGCCCGCCGGCCTCTATACATGGGCCATCATCTACGGCATCGTCGCAGCAGGTATCCAGAGTCTTTTCCCAGCCGCCCTCTCTTTCCTCACTACCGACTTGCGCAAGCTCGGCGTCCGCATGGGCATGATCTTCACCATTGTCAGCTTTGCCGTGTTGACTGGCCCTCCCGTTGCCGGCGCTATTATCAGCAGCCCCGCTGGCTATACTGGTGCCAAAGCATTTGCCGGAAGCTCTCTCGCTCTTGGCTGTGCATGCCTGATTGCTGCCAAGATGGCCACCATGAAGCGCACAGGCAAGGGCTGGAAGAGTAGGACCTAACGGGTATCCCGAATGTACATTGTGTAGCGCTTATTTCTTACATATTTCCACATAGCATTTAGTACATAGCATAGTAGCATTATAATGATTGAATAATACTTCACATTGAATTTATAGAATCTTACTTGATTCCTCATCAGATCTTGTACAGGCCACCTCCTAAAGCTCTTTTTACCTGTCAAACGATCCGCCCAAAAAGTCCATGCAAATGACAGCAAATTAGCCTTTAGCAATTACCCTCCTAAACGTTGATCAAAGATCACTTAAACAGAAGCTGCAAAAATGTAGTCCGTATCGAGCTTCTGCAGACCATAAGGTGTCCACTGCCACACGCCATCACGTACAGCCTTGTCAATCACCTCCCGCTTAGCCTTGCGGCCCGTCCCGTGGACACGGCAGGCCGAAGCCTCGCATGAATTGTCTGTCCATCCAAACTTAAAGTCATCTCCCCACCAGGTGCGAAGGTCTAGGCCAACGCGAAGGCGGATCAAGACGGATGTAATATTGGTGTAACCCACGAATTCGACAGGAGTGAGAGAGCACGTTCCTGATGGGAAGTTGGGGCAAGCCGGAACACGCTTGATTTCAGACCATGCAATAGATGACTCCGTTGCAGAAGCAGCATCGTGAGTGTAGGCTGAGACTTCAAACTCGCACCACTTCTCCGCCCCTTCGGCAGCACAACCAAGGTTGGCGCTGAATAGGTCGATCTTGTAGCAGGGATTTGCGTAGTTGGGTCCAACGCCAATCTCGGCAACGTCCCCAGATCCAGCTGGGTGCAAGACAGGGGAGAGTGCAGGTGGCACAAACTCGACCATATTGCCACCTGAAGACGGAATATAGGGATTGAAAGGAGGAGAGGATGGAGGTGCAATCAGGAAGCCTTCGGAGAACCACAGGTCTTCTGTAGGGTTGAGGAGTGGACCAGCCTCAAGGTTGTCAAACTATTGTTGTTAGTCTTTCATGCTTTCAAGCACAAGGAGGATACTCACATTGATGGTTGTGTTCCCTACTCGGCCCCCAAAAGGGCAAACAGAGGGAAATACCTGAACTGTAGACGTAGGGGTGGTTGTATTGGGGGTTGTGAAAGACGGGACGGGGGTAATAGACACGGGTGATACCGTGGGAGTTGAGGTAATGATTGACAGGATGGTTGACTCGGGTGTGGTAAGAGGCGTTTCAACTGGTGTAGAGGTTGAAATTGGCAACATTGAGGTCAAAATAGTAGAATTTGGAGAAAGGGTATGAGTAACCCAATCTGTGGGCGTAGAGGTCTCTGTTGCTTGTTCTGTGGTGTTGCTCGGGATGGAAAACGACGGAAAGGTCATTTCAGGAGTGGAAGTGACAGACGGAACTTCACTTGAAGGGGTTGTAAGAGAAGTTGGCTCCATAGAGGATGTGTCAACTGGGACAGGGGGCAGAGGAATAGACCAAGACAGGACGGGAGAGCTTGTATTCACAGCGGAAGACGACAAGTTTGCCGTGGGTGATGAAAACACAGACGTCTCAATTGGGCTAGAAGTGACCAATGAGCTTTCCGCAGTAGGTGTAGATGTTGCTACCGTCTCAATGGTCACATTAGGAGACAGAGTAGGGGACACAGTAGAGGATGGGGGTTCTGTCTTTCCGAGAAGAGAAGAAAGGCTGGCTTGGACGGATGTATTCCCAACAAGTGTTTTTGTTGTGAAATCTGTCGTATTATCAGAAAGTGTGCCTGACTCTGGGGGACTGTCTCTAATGTTAGCATGGTGCTTTATGAATAGTAAACAAGACAAACCCTTGACGCTTTGCCTTTTTACCGAATGGCAGTAATGGCGGAACTGTAACCGTGACGAGAGTAGTCATGGGAAACTGCAGAGTGTACGTCGTCAATGCCTCTGGAATAACATTGATCCAAGTACTGGTTCGCAGCATGGTTGTGTTGCAGGGAGTTGGAGTCGGCACAGCGGTTGGAAGAGAATCAGACAAAAGGGATGATGCCCAGTCTCCTGGTGCCGTAGAAAGCTGAACATAGGGTGGCAGGTTTCCCGCAGATGAGGTGAGACCGTAACCGTATGCAGGAGGGCCATCGGCAGTTGTTACTGCTGCCACCGTGGACTCCCCTCCGATGGGGGTAGAGTAGCCATGTTGCACATTGGAATTATATTCAGGGGGGCTCACAAGAGAATCAGTCGATGTTTCAATGGACTGAAAGATGGATGGCAGATTGGCTGTAGCGACTGCAGTGTTCTCCGGAGCTCCAGTCACAAGGATCTGTGAACCAACAACGACTGTTGCAATCGTGGGAGTGGCGGACCCATCAGTACCAATCACATTGATGGATACTTCAGTAGTCAGTCCAGAACCTTGGGAAGGAGATCCATCAGATGAGCCAGCACTCATAGGAGAAGAAGATTCCTGAGTGTTGAACGTTGATTGTGCAGTTGGGCCAGAACCAGCCAGGGTAACTGTTAAGGTTGAAGTTTGTCCATCTTGTCCCACAACCGTGTATGTATGGCAGGCTGTGGCAGGATTTGTGCCATCAGTAACTTCTGCAACAGTCCCTGACGGACCACCAGTTGGAAGAATCTGGGATGATGCAACCGGCCCAGTCTCCGGTGGAGAGATAGTCATGGTGATAGTTCGCGTAGACAACCTTGTGACTCTGCTAATTCCAGTTGAATGACTAACCCATTGCATACTGGTATCAGTTACAACGGAATAAGAAGTGGTGAGACCTTTTGCAGAGGATACGAGCTCGCTGTTTCCACCATACTCAGGGGGCTGATCTTGAGCGGAGCTAACAGGGTCAACCTTCCAAGTAGAAGTCTCCTGGGGCCATAGATCGCTAATGGTGATGGTGGTGAATTGAGTAACAGAGTGATGGATCTGAGCAGAAACAGAAGAGTCTTCAGGAAGCGGGCAAGGAGGATAAACTGTGACAAAGACAGTTTTTGTTGCTTCAGGAACGCAAAAGGATGCATCGAGACTGGTCGAGGCTGCTAGAGCAGAATTACCATTTGCAAGCCTTTGACTGTTAGCTTGGGCTACTCATTCTAGTACGAGAGAAAACACTTACCTTTTGTTCTGAGCAGCCAATGCCAGGCCTAAAAGGCCAGACATGAACAAGACTTTCATGTTGGAGATGAAATGAACGATTAGACTACAACCACTGAATCAAACGAGTGACGAGAGTTGGGAGAAGTTGAGTTACTGATGCAGAAAACGAGCGTGTTGAAAAACAGAAATCGAGTGAGAGGAAAGGGAAGGAAGAGAAAGGAGAACAACGGGAGGCACGGAAGATAAAGGTAGGAAATATAGGGAAAGAGACACGTCTTTTCGCCAGCTCTGTTAAATTACGCCAGCTCTGTTAAATTACGCCAGCTGGCATACGGGGGTTGCCAGCTGCCAGTCTTGGCTATCCAAGACGGAGTGATAAGAAGCATGTAAGAAAGCTGAAGTTTTGAAATGTAAATGAAGGGCATTAAATAGGCAGTAATTGATATGAATTCGCTAACTAACTCCTAATTCATAAAGAGAAATCCATTCGTTTTAAATCCAGACTCGATGTCAGACGTTTATAATGCAGAATTTGGTATAATTGTATCCTTTTACAGCTGAACAACTGCCAGCTGGCAATCCCCTTCATGAAGTGCCGACTTCCGGAGGTAGCGGTCAGCTTCAGTGCGAATGACGCGCCGAGTATCCCGCGTACCACTAAGCCGGCAATTTAACTCCGGCACGCTCTTAAACCACAGAGTCAGAGTAGGTTGGAGGTGCGGTGTCATGCGATATCTGCTCCTCTGCCGCACGTTGGCGGCGTTGCTCCTCCAAGTCGACGGTCCATAGAGCTGCGCCAGTGGCGGTAGTCAACAAGAAGAAGAACGAGAGGATGGGAATGAGCTCAAGGATCATGGCGACGGTTCCAAACCAGACATTCTCCCATCCAAGGCGCTTAATTTCAGCTTTTTGTTCAACCTTGGACAAGCCAAGCAGCTTGAATCGACGGTAGTGAGACAATTTGCCGAGTCTCGTGCCGGTAATGATAATAAAGGCTGGAGTGCCGACGTAGGGGACCAAGTTCAGAGGCAGGAAGAAGACCAGCTCAACAATCTGAATCAGGCTCCACGGCTGGTATACGGCGGACTCGGTTGGCTTTCCAAGCATCTTGACAGCATTTGGGGCGTCGTCGAAGAGAATGCGGTGCGGAGCAATCAACTCAACCAGGCCGTTCTGGATGAGCGTGGCCTATACAAGGGTTAGTGATGACAACAAATACATATGGGAAGCAGCTTACATCAAAAACGTCAACTCTGCATTCGTCAACAAAGAAGCCCTCAAAGAGACCCTGGATAATGACGAGACCTTCACCGAGGACGAGAACAACAGCGCTAACCCATGCACTCCAGCCTTGAAAGATGGCCAAAAAAGCGAACTGGATAGGGAATGCGAAGATGAAGAGGATAAAATAAACAATAAGCGATATCAGCGACAGAGGCAAGAGTCTGCCCAGAAACAGCGGCCAAAACTCGGCAGTCCTGACGAAATAGCCGATACCACGCAGCGGGTACCATGCTGCAGAGCCCGACCGCCGAGCATAGGACAAGAGTCTGTTGGATTGGAGTGCGTCCGGCATCTTGAAGCCTGGAAACGGTCGAAAGAAGACGGCGTGAGGGGCGAATGGATAAGAGCTCGATGTTGAGGAAGTTGGGGAATGGCGGCGAAGCACGACTCATTTGTTGAATGCGTGGCGCATGTGAAAATTGTACGTCATCCGCTACAGCGATCGGTACCCCGCAAAGATGGGGGCCCACAGCGCACGCAACGTTGGGTTAGGGTTCCGAAAGAGCGCCGACAACGACAGCCACAGCAAAGTGATGCTGGGTAAGAAAGAAAGAGTTAGGAAAGGGAGTCTACCACTATAGTAAAAAAAAAAAAGAACCCAAAGATGCTATAATACACATCTTAAAAACTTGATCCCGGTTTATACGGATTTCTGCTCCGACAGGTGGTTGGCTAGTCTTGCCGAACCCCGAGCAACATTCACGGTCACCGTGCTCTTTTCAGCCCTCGCTTTTAAGTGGCTCAAAAACCGTTCTCGTCAACTATGACTCTTGCCGCCACATCAAAATCTGCACATCGATAATTTCTTGCCATCATGAAAGTAAGGTGCCAGTGCAATACAATCGCGTTTGTCATTCCGCGCGATGAACCATTAGAAGTCTACTTTTGCCACTGCAGCGAATGCCAGCTCCAGTCATCCTCCGCCTTTGGCACATCGGCTATCTTCCCGTCGCGAGACGTGAAGCCGCTCCTCGACGCAAATCAACAACAACTTCAAGTATGGAAACGGTCATCCAAGACAGGCGGCGTCATGAATTGCTTCTTTTGCAAAACCTGCGGAACAAGAATCGCCCATCTCACAATCATGGACGACGGCTCGATACGAGAGACGGTCTCAGTCAAAGGCGGGTGTCTGGAGGGACTAGATATCACAGCTGCAACGCATATATACACGCGAAATGCTGTAGTTCCGGTCCCCGATGACGGGATACCAGGGTCACCAAGTGAAGATTAAAACAACACCTTCTTTTTAGCACTTTACTAAAAGCAAACGAAATTTCAAGTTCCCTTTGTAGCCTGTTAAACATAAGCGTGCTAGAAGCTGCTCTTTGCTTGTATCTCTATCTACGTCGTTTTTAAGCAGCAATGGCCTTTAGGAAAGCCTGGCTCTCGTTTCCTTGAGCGACCTTGGCCAGCGGTGCCAGGTGGGCATCATCGTGTTCCAACGAGCGAATGTACGCCTGCGCAACATTCAACCAAGCAGCCTTTTCTGCACGACTTGCTTGTCGGCCTTCCCAGACCCAAACGGCGTTACCACTATCCAGCAAGAAGACATCATTGCCGTCCAAACTGCTCTGATCAACACGGTCCACCTGGCTAAACGACAGCTGGCCGCTCGCATCACTAAGGCGAAACAGCTTTCTACCACGGCCAGGAGCCGGGGCCGCAGAGCGGCTCTTTGCACCAAATGGACGAGCCTGCTGCAATCCGTCGCGGGGAGCATCGTCGTTGGCTCCGAGAAGATTCAAGATTCTCTGCGATCGAGACTCGGCCTGTGCCACAACTTCGACCTCGACATGCTTGGCGAGGGTCATGTCGTGCACAACCTGTGCAGCCTTGGCCTTTTCCATGGGGCTGCAGGTCTTGCCCTGCCAGACCCAGATCTTGTCGCCCTTGTCGAGAATGAAAACATCGCCATCATCCAAGCTGCGCCAGGTAGGTTCGACTTCATGGACGACGACTCCGTTAGAGCCAGCGCCGGGGTTGGTGAAGACACGCAGTAAAGTAGTAACTTCCTCCTTGACAGGCTCCTCAACATGCGTGAAGCCAGACTTGACGCCGCCGCTGCGAATTGAAAGACGGGGGAAGAGTCTCAGGAAGGCATCTGACGGCGAGGCCTGGATCTCTCTGTGCTGGGTGGCGGCGCCGTGGAGGAACTCGTCGAGCTCGACCGTCTTGTAGGCAGCAGTGCCAGCCTCGTCCTGCGAAGTGTGGGCGCCGAGCCAAAAGAAGATTTCGTGGCCGAGCTTCTCGCTGCCATCCTTGCTGCCGACCTTGTACGAGTGCAGGACGATGAAGCTGTCGCCGTCAAAGAACTGGCCGTACTTGTCCTTGGGCCAGGGGACGACGTGAAAGTCCTCAATGCGCCAGACATAGAGGCCCGGGGCGGTGCCGATGGCGCCGGTGTTCCAGGCAGGCTCGGTAGCGGCCGAGTTGTACTTGACCTTGTGGTCGATGTCGGTGCCAATCAGCTCGACATTACTGTCCTTGATGTCGTATTCCTTGAGGTGGACGAGGCCTTGGTTGGGAGGCATGGCGGGCTGTGAGGATGGTGTACGTAGCTAGGGAAAAGAATAGATAGGCAAAGAAAGAAAAATGATGATGAAGGAATAGACAATATGCTAGCGAGATGCAATGCAGGGGGAAGATGGGTAAATGCTACTGTGCTGGAGGATGCTTGGACAGCCAGCTCGAAACAGGTGGGGGCGGGGTATGCCGTCATTGGGCTGTGCTAGCCAGGGACCGAACGACGGGGCAACGTGCTGGCGGCTAGGGGACGACGCAAGCGCCATGTGTTTACAGTGCGAATGAAATATCAGTTACTCTTTAGTTGTATTGCCAATGCTCGCTTTTAAATGCTCCAAAGTACTTGAAAAAGGAAAATCTATCGTAGATTGTTCACCACACTGCCCACCATGACCGCCGTCTCCCTCTCCCAGTTGCCCTCTGGCGCCTTGGTCTTGGGTCCAAGCAACGCACCAGGGACCTTGCAACCAGCAGCAACTGCTGCTCGAATAGCTTCACCGACATTGTTCTTGTTTGTTTTTAATGTTCTAGCAACGACACCACCACGAGTATTGATGTCCTGCACGCGCGCTGAGATGCTGCTAGCCATCATGCGCCAAAAGTACGACGGCAACGAGCCCGTCTCCAGCACATTCAAAAACGGCTGAAGAAGACTCGTGTGTGAATTTTGGACAGCTGCAGGAAGAAGAGGATGAGCCGGTGGCTTCACTGTCGACAAAAGCAGCTCAAGAGCCACAATGTTCTGGCACTTGGCCGTGACCTCAGCAAGAGCTTTCTCCAAGGTGGGCAGTTGGCCGAGGGACCTGCTCAGCGTGACTACACTTGTCTGTAAAGTTGTGCGCATGTAGTTCTCAAGAGCCTGCATGAGCATCCGCGGCGACCACTTGTCGTGCTTGATGCCAAAAGTCGGCGAGAGAAGGTAGAGCGCTGAAATGGCCGACGTCAGCCTGCCACGGGCCTCTTCGCCCTGTGTAAACGTCATATTGGCAGAGACAGCAAACTCGCGCACAAAGCGGTCCGATGTCTCGCGAATAGTTCGCTCAATTGGCGTCGTCACAATCTCCTGCAGGCTGCGAATGGCATCGACTTCGGTCAAGCCATGGCCCTCCTCTCCCGGACCTTTACTATCCAAAAGCTCGCGCAGAGAGAGCAGAGTATACGAGCAGCGAATCAGCGCCGTGTGGTCGTTGACTGCGGCCGTGCTACCCAACTCTGTATGCTGAATTTCAAGCTGTCGGCCGAGCTGCAGACACCTACTGACGGAGCGGCCCATGGCAAGGGTCTGCCAGAGGCGCTGGGCGACCTGACGGACCTCGTCTGCCTTTTCATGCTTATGGATAACCTCTTTTTCGAGCTGCTTGTAGCTTTCGTTCAGGCTGCTAATCTGGGCATCGAGCTCGGTGATGAGGCGCTGGCTGGCGGACGTCTGTTTCTGGGTGAATTCGAGAAGGGGCACGGCCGAGCGGGTAGTAAGAGAGTCTATATGGGAGTCGATTTCCTGCGCATCAAAGAGGACCTTGGAGAGTGGTGTGGCCAGGTCGAGGGGAAGATCTTGTGGGTTGTTGGTCGAGAGCACGAGGGTGTTTGCAAAGAGGGCGGGGTCGAAGTCGGGAGCGAGAAAGGTTTCGTAGTCAATGTAGGACGGCTCATCGTCGTGCTTGGGGCTGCCCGGCATAGGCGTGGACGCGGTGGTCATTGTGGGCGCCGGGAGAAGAAAGCGAGCACGCAAGGTGATGTCGTGGTGGTGGTGATGAAGGACACGAAGCTACGGTAGCCAGGCGTTTTGGCTGCGTGGTGGTTGATTTGGCAGAGCTTGGCGGGACGGCTACTCCACACAGAAGGGTGCCCGTGTAAGTTATGATGGCAGATGGCAGCGCAACACAATGACGGACCCGAATTCTATATTTGGGATTCAAAGCTAATAGATCGGAATTATATAATACGATGGATTTACCTTGTATTTAGTTGCATTTTAATATTCCCCTCAATCGCAGCGAATGGTCGCGTTGCACGCTGTGTCTGTAACCACAGATCCAGTGATAATATAAAGTCCATTGAAATTCCAGCAAAATGAGAAAAAGAGAACAAAAGCTCTATTTTCTGCTATTTCAACCTAACTACAGCCAAATTCCCAACCTGCCAGCCTCTCCTCATCGCCCATCGCCATCGCCCTCTACTGCAATCCCGCGCAACCAATTCCGCTCCCAGCGTCGTCATTCTCCGGGCGGCTGCTTACGCCCCCCAGAGCGCCGGCAGCGCCATTTTCCGCGCCCCACAAATATTTCGCCCAGCTCATCAGAGTGCCATCCGACCTTTCCGCCGAGCCATTGGCGATATTTTTTCTTCCCGTTTATCCATTCTTCTCTGGGCGCTTCGTGGAGGCATTTCTTTGCTTCCCTTTTCTTCATCGCTTCTCCATGACCGGCTGCTGTTAAATCGTCCAGCCCAATTGTGTTTCTCCCGATCTCCCTTGACCGGCGGTATCCTAGTCTTGTTTACACTGCCTGTCAGACGAGCGACGAAACGAAAACACAACCACCACCATCATGGATGCGATCTATAATTACGTTCCGACCGAGCCGCTGCCGTTCCCGCCTGGCGAAAATGCCACCGACACCCTCATCAACGGCGTCCATCTGAACCGCACGGCGCTCGACCTGTGGCACTACTTTCTCTGGCCCAATGGCACGATCTCCAACGAGTCCACCTGCGTAGTCGCTGAGCCGAAATATATGCCCGTCTACGTGTTTGGCAATGGAAGTTTTACAAACAGCACCAACTGCTACAGCGCCGTCCGCGAGATTGACGGCCGAGGCTACGCCAGTATCGCGTTGTCCGTTCTCTACGGCCTGCTCCTCGTTATCTCTGTCACCGTCCTCGCCAAGCACGGCCGCCTGTATCTGCCCACAGAGAAGCGCTTCTACCCGGTCGGCCGCAGATGGCAGTGGTACTGGGCGCTGTTCGTATGCGCCTGCGGCCTCATCAGTCTGATTATCAACATCGACGTCGACCGCTACTGGGTCCAGGAACTGCCACTTGTTGTGACATGCTTCTTCTGGTTCCTCATGTGCCAAGGCACCACCGCCCTCGTGTGGGAGGCTACTCGTCACTGGGGCAGCTGGCAAGAGAGACAGTTTATCGACCCGGACCCCTTTATCCTGCCTACCGATGACCGCCGCGCTAAGTTGGAGTTGCTGCTCCCTCTCTGGTTTTATCTCTGGGTGTGGCTGGTAAGTGCTTTTCTTTTCGTCTACTCTCACAACCTCTTACTAACAGCGAATTAGAACTTCTTCCTTGTCATCCCCCGAAACTGGACCTTCGTCGAGCGCCAAAACGCACCCCAGCAGATTGTCGAACAAGCTATCCCTGGCGCCATGGACGCTCGCTTCAAGGCCGGCGCCTTCTGCCTCGTGGTTGCTTGGCTGACCATCATCTACTCCCTTCGACACTCGATTAAACACTACAAGCCCAAGCATGAGGGCATGCTCAACAAGGCCCGCGGCTTCATCGGCAGCGTGCCCATCCGCCTTGCTCTGCTGCTCCTCGTCAACGCCGTGCTCATCGCATACCAGATCCTCATGTGCTTCAGCTGGTACTATTCCTTGTTCCGCTTCAAGGGCGAGCTTGGCGTCCAGTACGGCTGGGGCTACGGCCCTTCGCTCGTCATCATGATTATCCAGGCCGTTTATGGCTTCGCTTCGCCCAACGAAGATAAGGAGCTGATTCGCCAGCGCCGCGAGCGCGGAGAGGCTCTCGACCGGGAACTTGGCATTGTGCATCGCCCTGCCTGGTGGCGTCGCATCCGCGGCGACCACATCCAAGTCTCGATGCGCGACAGAATCAAGAACAACGTCACAGAGGTCGGCGGTGTACGTGGCACCGGACGCCGTGCTGAGACCGAGTTTGAGATGCAGCTCCGTCGAGATGCTGCCGCCTCTGCCAACGCGACGGGCGAGCTGCCTGCCAATCACCCGCGTGCAGACCGTGCTGGTGTCCGCAACATGTCGTCTGCCATTGCCTCGGAGCCTACAACCACGAGTGCGCCGGCGCCTCAATACACAGGACGCTCGCAGCAGCGCCAGTCGGAAGTGACTCTTCAATCAGCATCGCAAATCTTGTTCCCCGGCGGTAGCACCGCAGCTGATGACCGGGCTCGCCGCCTTGCTGAGCTTCAAGAAGACGGCCCTCCGCCGCCCTATGTGCGCGACACGCCCGACGCTCGAACAAACAGCACATCTACAACGCGATCGACGGCCGTGGCGCCGCAGCAGATTCGCAGCATGCTGGACGTCTAAGTCTGTCCTGGAGGAGTTCTTGTTCATTTTGCATATATAATCTCGGAGTTTTGGGGCACATGTATCCATATCCCACGTGTTTGATATCCAGTCTGATGATTGCTTTAATTACATGTTTTATTCTCGCTTTCTTACACTTGATGCCAACATTGACTCTTCAATTATGTGATATCACCAAGTGAAGTAGAATACTGCAGCTTACCACATCAGCTTACCATCTTCTTCGATGAGGGCGCAACACACTGCACGTCGGTCGTAAGTCATCATTGTGCAGATGCGTCGATCGTACACATCTGATATGTACATGTAGACCGCATCTTGCCAACAGCCATGGTCTTCCACGGATAAAGCATGCACTCTAGCTGACGTTTGCTTTTTCTTTTCAAAAGCGTACGACAGCTAAGTGTGTTCATGATGAAGACGAAGGTATAGATGTAGATTGAACCGCACGTCAATGTACGAATCTTTCCCATTGAATTATCCCAATAGTCAACTAGCGCTTGATGTTACCATATAGCCCACCAAAGCAACATCCCATTCAAATGAAGACATCTTGTTTAAGACGGGCTTTTACCGGTTCGGCCGTATGCTAGTCTTTGTTTCATGACGACCGGTGGATCTCCTGCTGACAAGTGGTGGTTAAGATGAGCGCCACCAAACAGGGTCTGGGGTCAAAACTAGGGTATTGCCAAGTTGCGATTGGCAGTTGAATTTGCTTCAGCTGGTAGTGCTGACGAACTGAAGTACAGAAATGACTGATAAACTGCTAGCGGGCAGCTGAGCAAGCCCCATGGTTCAATTGACGTAGAAACAATAATTGTGGCTGGGGGAGCCTGCCCTGAGCTATTACGGAGGATCAATTGGCAAGTCGGCGACGTTGTTGGTTGTGATCGCAGCGTAGCTGGTTCACATGGTCGTTACGGTATATGCTGCATCTCCAATATGCTGCATGAACGTTGATTTTCAGTTCTCTGTCATTACATGCGCCGCATACCATGCTAGAGAGTGCGCGTCTTGCAATGTGAAATTCCATTGCCGCGTGTAAAAGGGTAATCTCTGCGCTGCCCTGGGCATTATTCGCGCGCGCCACCTGGTTGACATGCAGATCATTACAGATTGGCGGGAAAATATGTCGGCGTCTGCTCCGAGAAATCAAATGGGCCCGGCGGAAGAAGCGGAGTGCAACGGTGGTGTTCGACTAAAACGATTGGGCTTGTAGCGTTGCTACACTAGTGGTGCTATTGTCGCTTTGTTTGTCGGTGAGCAAGGCTGGTAGCGAGCGATGCCCTCGACAACGGCCAGCAGGCGGCGCACGGCGGCTCGTGTGATTGCAATCCTAGCGTCGAACCTGGCCAACTCACCTTGGTCAACACAAGGCAGAGCTGGCAGACCGCCTGGCAGACCAGATGGTGTGCTGACCTGACCGACAGCAGGCCCCCAAAAGATGGCACGCTGGCGCATGTATTGGGCCAACAGGGTTGACTGGCGCATGAGGTGCCAAAATAACCAAGCGAGGGCCCAAGGCTACAATTCAGAGTGGCAATGAGGCGAACTAGGACTAGCACAGAGGTCATCAATACGTAGACGCAAACTCACTGGTGCCGTGGTGCGATGGGCGGCGCACGTTTGCCACTGGAAGAAAGACACGGGTAAGTTTGGGGGCGTTCCTGGAGTATGGGCCGAGAGACAGTTATCAGGCACAGTATTGATAACCCGTACCCGTAGGTCGGTGCCTGCGCTGGTATAGACTGGTGTAAGATGATATAGTTCCATCGGGGGTTCGGTTCTTTGCAGCGGTTCACACTGTAGCATGCTGCTGCACTGACTCGAACAGCGGGGGGATTGAGGGTATGGCGTGTGTGCTGGCGTGTATAAGTTGATCAGCCAGGGTTTACGAGGCACGGGCCGACATGAATGTGCATTGTGTCGTGGTGGTGGTGGTAAAACAGTTTTGTCTTTGGTCTCTTGCTTTTTTGTCTTTATCATACACCGACTATATCATGCAAGCTTGCTATTCATATAAAACACAGATGGAGAGATACATGCAGCGTGGCTGGTGTTGAAGACGGTCTACCAAAAGGAAAAAGGAAGCATGAAAAAGCAAGTGGGCAGGTCAGAGTTAGGAAGAGGCCGACGGATGCGATGGTGGTGGTGGTACAGCACAGACACGCCCGCCAAGCGTGGGACGAGAGGAGTGCACAGGGAACGAATTGCGTGCCAGGTGGCGGACAGTTCGGTTGCCAGCTGCCAACAGAGAGAGCGTGCTCTATCAATCAATGCCTGAAATGTATTCCTAAAAGAAAAAAACACCAAAAGTCGCTATATCTACCGTCATCATCGGCTTGCCCCAATCTCACTTCCACAATCCCCCCTCCAAAAAACAGCACGCTTGCATCATCGCTGTAAGCTTGAGACAAGAAGCACCCGTCCGCTGTCTCTCTTTCTGCAAGCGGCGCGGCATTGATGCGCCAGCTGCCAACCACCCACCCCCGCCTTTTTCGCCTCTCACGCTGGGCGATGCACGCTAAGAAAATCCCCTGGACACTTGCAGCACTGTGCAGACAACGCTAAAAAAGACCAAAAAAAAAAGAGGGCTTGTCTGCTTGCTGGCTGCAGGTAGTCGTTTCAGTAGCCTCAGAGCGACGAAGGGGGGGCCTGGGCCCGCAATTTACAAGCAAAGAGGCGAACGCAGCACCCAGAAAAAAGAGCAGATGACCTGTGACCTGTACCTTGCACCATCTGCGCAGCCAATCAGGCCCAGTGTAAGTCACAGCAGTGCCGTCATTCTGGGGGCGCGGCGGCGCTCGATCCGGAACAGACAGCGCCTCAGCAGTCTGGTGAAGGGAGCTGAAGAAAAGCGCTACTGTTACGGCCTGGCCTGCCTGTGCGCCCGCCTGTCAGTGAAGCTGCTGCCCATATATGTGTACGTGTATAGGCAGCGGCAGCAGGAACAATGCTGAAGATGTAGTGCTGTTTTGTAATAAAATAAAAATCAAGATATAAATAGATTTAAAAATCCGCTAGTGTCTCACGTTGATGATGTTACTCTATTTACTCTATATTGCTGTTGTCGTTCATTTATTCTACATACAGCACACAACGGGCAGCTGCTTATTTGCCTGCCTGCTGCCAAATCGCTGCTGTTGGCCGTTCCTGAGTAAGCGCAGGAACAGTCCAGGAACCTTGCATCGTACAGGTACACCCCCTCTGACGCCCGGCCCACTACACCAACACAGCGCCGTCAAGCCCCGGCCAGGTTCCAGGTCAGGTTCTGGCTAGTGACGATGGATTTCAGAGCGTTGTTGTCGAGCATCGGCCTTTTTTTGCAGATTTACTAGCACAAGAGTGTGCATGCAACACAGATTAGCAACCCGATTCCTTCTCTACGTCTTGGGTGATTTTATTTCCCCGATCCCGCTTCCTTTTACGTGCACCGCCACCGGGCCCTGCTGGATCGTCTCATGGCAACGCTAACAGTTCCTAGCCCGCCAGTTTCGTATCGCCGATGACCTACAGTGCCGTTCAGTGCAGTGCAGTAACTACGGTACCTCTCTGCTTGGCGCTTAGTGGTAGTAAACCTTTCTAAACCTCGCCGCATGCAAATACGAACAAAAAGCTTCTTTGCAAAAAAGGCTGATCAAGGCTTCTTTAAACGGTGCTTTGCGTAAAGTTTTATTCTTTTATTCTCTTGGCTGACTTAACTTGCCCGGCACTGCCTAAACTCTCTCTTACATGGCCCTGCCGCCGTTCCGAAAGCAGCGTCACGGCTGGGCTGCACGATGGGCGGGGTACTTGTACAGTGAACGTTTGGGCCTTGTGGCGGACGTGACGAGATGAATTTGTCCGTCTTGGCTACCATGCTATAATAGGGCCAGGGGCCATGCTTGTAAATCTGTACGAGGGTATTTTATATCGGAAAATTAAAGGATGGCGAAGAAACGAATCGCAAGGGTCCTCCAGGTGGTTGGTTGGTTCGTAGTAACAGTCGCACTGACAAGGCGGCTGCTCTGGCTGCTGACGGCTACGTCTTACAGAGCTCGCGCACTGTACATTTTCAGCGGCGCACAGGCGGGTGAGTGCTGGAGTGAGGTGCCTGTCTGCCCCACCCCCCGCCACTGCTTCCACCTGCACCTGTTCCCGCATGCGGCCTACGCTGCTGTCCTGCGGTGATGCTCCGTGCTGTCTGCCGCTACCAGAACGCGCGCGTTGCCTGTTGGTCCTGCTGGGAATCCACCCATGAAACTCAACTCACAGGACGCTTGCTGCAAGCCACACGCCCCAAGGAACCACTTTGCTCACTGCCTGTGGTCCGGGTCGCCCACTGTGTGCGTCTGACGGGCGGGTGTCTGCTTCTGCTTCCCAGGGCCTGCTCCAGGGCCTGCTCCAGGGCCGTTCTCGTTAGCTGGGGTCCGCTAAAAAAGAAAGCAGAAAGGGCAGAAAAAGAAAAAGTCGCCACCACAGAGTCTCTGCACTGTATGCAGCAGCCGCAAGGGGTGCCTGCTTGGTCTTTTTTTTTTTCGGATCGTTTACGGCGATTGGGCTAAGAAAGCGTTTTTCTTTTTATTCTTTCTCTGGGTAGCTTGCCTTGTTATTTTTCAAGTCTGTATTTATTCTAGTACTTCTATTGTCTTCGTCTTTATTATTTTTATCTATTATTCCTGTTCGTAATTATTTGAGTATTTATTATTATTATTATATCCCAAGTCTTGTTGTTCTGATGACCCAGTACACAACCCACCACCACCACACACTACCAACACAGCGCCCCTCCTCTCCGCTTTCGTACCTGAACTGGTCAGTCCTCCCCCCCGCTCTCGTCGTTTTTTCCCCTGCCACACGCCCAGTAGCCCGCCCGCCGCCTCTTTTTTTTCTGCTCTTCCTTGCCCACTGGACGCACACAGGCACACCCCCCAGCACCACCTGGCTTGCTAGCCCGTTTCCAGTTCACAGCCTCTTTTCCCTCTCTCTCTCGTCTGTCGTCTCACCGTGATCCTTTCTTCTTCTTCCTCTTCTTTTTACTTTCTCCTCCTTCCTACAACTTTTATCACCGGACTGGTCGGAAACCAGCCCATCATCAACAACCGCTCTCTAACGCTACGCCAGCTCCATCATCGCCCACGCACCGCCCACCGATACTGCCCTGCAGGGAACGTCACCGCCCTGAGTCAGCCAGCCAGCCATCTTATTCAAGTATACCGTCGTCCAGCCCAGTTTCTGTTCCAGACAGGACGCAGCTTTTCTTACTTGTCGAGTACTTTGTACTTTCTTTGCATGCTCTTTCACCTGCACACTCCTGACTCTTTGTCTTGCACGGCCGCCGCTACTACCTATACGGCTTGATTTATCCTCGCCTTCTCCGTCGCTACCGCAGACACCAGCACTTCGAGCCCTTTTCGTTTTTTTTCTTCGCTGGTACTGCAGGATCTCAAGCAAAACTTCGGAATCGACGACTGCTTTTTTTGTTCAAACAACACCTTAGTATTGGATGCTTGTTAATACAACCCGCCAGGCGTAATATCTCTTGCTACAGGTCGTCTAGGAAAGCCCGCATTCGCCTGTAACGTCTACGCCGATCACCAGGGCCGCTTCCCAAGGATCGATTATTATTATTTTTAAACACCATTTATACCCGAGTATATTTAGATATATAGCTCACCCTTCTCACATCAGCCCGACATGGACGCCTCGAAAACACAAATGGCTGTAGACGATGCCACTACTCCCACCAGAGCAAACTTTAGCTCGTCCCCCGTCACAAAGTCGCAAACCTCGCCGCAGTCGACAAACGGCAGTCTGTCCAAGGAAAGCGCTACTTCTCCGATAAAGGAAGATGTCGATATGGACGACTCAGACGGCGAAAACGCAGGCACCGACGATGAGGGCGACGACAAGTCTGGCAAGAAGAAGAAGTCGCAGCGTTTCTACTGCACAGACTATCCGCCCTGCAACCTCAGCTTCACACGAAGTGAACACTTGGCCCGCCATATCCGGTATGTATATTGTTTGTGACATGTGCTACTCTGAATAGCGATGCTAACCGGTTAGAAAACACACTGGTGAGCGACCTTTTCAGTGCCACTGCTCTCGCCGCTTCTCTCGCTTGGACAACCTACGCCAGCACGCACAGACTGTTCATGTCAACGAGGATATTCCCCTCGACTCGCTAGCTGCCTCCGGATCCCGCTTCCAGCGCCAAATTCGAACAGATCGTGTTCGCCAGGCCGGCAACAGAGCCCGTGCCTCAACGGGCGGAAGTGCCGGCGGCCCCATGCGTGGCCACTCCAAGTCGCTTTCTACTTCTAGCATCAACAGTGTCAGCTCTGTCGGCTCTGGCTATGGTTATCCTACAGACGACCGCCGCCGTCCTCCTCCTCTGGTTATGGCGGCAGACGGCCGCTCCCGATTGTCCACTGAGTCTTATCCCAGCAACCCCGACAGCAACTACTCATACCGGCCTCACTCACCTGGCGGCTTCAGCACACCCACATCGGCCACCTTTTCTACAGCACAGAGCAGCCCTCGCTGGCCGTCAAGCATGGGATCGCCTACATCGTCTCACTCTCGATCTCACAGCATGTACTCTGCTGGTGCCCCGTTGTCCGCCCGCCGCCTCAGCGTACCCTCTGGGCACTTCGGACCCGGTCAGCCTGGTCAACCTCGCATGTCGTTTGGCCCGCCTTTGGTCAACAGCTCCAACGCCGCAGTTTTTTCTCCCACCAATAGCCACATGACATCGCCTTCTTCCTCTACATCTGGGTGGCACGAGCGCCGAGACTCCTCATCCAGCCAAGGGCCTGAAGACTGGCGCCGACGCACCTGGCACCCGGAGACGCAGCCTTACGGCCACCATCAACAGCAGCAGCCGCAGCCACAGCATGGCGCTCCCAACCCTCCTCCTCCTATGGTAAACCCTGGAAATGCGCAGTCTGGCTTCCGTCTTCCTGGTATCGAGTCGTTCGACCCTATTGGCCGCCGTCCCGAATCGCCCACTCGCCGCCAGCCGTCGCCCATGGCTATGGACGAAGCACCACCACGCCCGTCTATGGAGGAACAGCGCCGCAACCTCAACATGTACGACGCCAGCCTGCAGCGAGGCATCGGCCGCCTGGACATTGGTGCCAAGGTCAGCCCTCCACGCGATAGTGCCAGCAGCTGGGCATCGGAAGTCAACCGCGCTGTCCAGGCCCAGGCCGACCGCCCAACGGTGCGCTTCGAGGAGCCTCCTCACCAGCCGCGCGAGTACGCACCTGCGCCACCACCAGCCCATGCCATGCATCAGCACACCATGTCTGCGCCGGCCTTTGATACATCTCGCGCATCCAAGCGTCACGGCTGGTACCGCGGCCCGCCTCCAGCAGCTACCCAGGCACCAGTGGGCGGCCCCGACCCCCGTGCTGCCCGGGTCGAGCGCATGGTTCATCCCAACATTAGCTCCTTCTCCGGCTTCCCTGCCGCCGAAGCCAAGCCCACCTCGCCTCAGGAGGCTGCGCCTAATCAGGACTCGCTGCGCCGTCTTGAGGCTCTCGTGGCTGTTGCTACCAGCGAGGGCAGCAGCGCTACTGCAACCGCATACTAAGTATAAAGCTTTAAGGCTTGCTGCCTCTTTCATGGGCACTGCAGCTATGTATTCGGTACATCGTTATCTCTATTTTTTCTTATTATTTTTGCTTTTCCTCGTTTTGGAGTATATCTAGGTTTACGACGCAATGACTGATACCATTGCTTTTTGGAACGACTTTGTTGGGACAATGAGCTTCTTTGGGAGTACAGGATCTTTTTTCTTCTCTTTCTTCTCTGCACTTTGTCTTGTAAATGAGCACGTTCTACGGCCGCGGGATTTGGTATTATGTTATTGTTATTATTTTCATTTTTTGGGTTACAGGATTTTCCAAGCACTCGCGACTCACGTCTATATACGTACGATATGATACCCTGCTTTCGGGAACTTGGGACAGGTTATGTACACATGATTTAATACACAGCTTTTGCCTCTCTCATAATGAAACTTGTGTTTGTTGCACCTTCCTAAAGTGCCTTCACATTAAGTAAACCATCCACCCACTCTTTTCAACACCGCAGTTCATTTCTTCTTGTCTTATTTACCATCCATCTCATAACTGTATCTTACACCATAGCTACGCAGAGGGGAAATCATGTTATGCTGTTCATGCCCCAACTATATATGCGAATTCTGCGGTACACTACACGCACATGAGCACATACCGTGTCAATGCGAGCACGTATCGTCCAAATGCGAGCATGTGTCATCTGAATCCTCCCAGTCATCCTCTAAATCCTCCAGTTCATCCCCCAACTCATCTTCCGATTCCTCCCAAATACCGTCCGAATGCTCGCACTCATCGTGCAAAAACGACTCCTCATCTCCCAACTGCACCAACTGGGCCTTGGTGGCACTGCCCGGGTTTCGCCTGATCACTATTGTACTCACATTGGCTCTCATGTTCGTCCAGGATGGCCACAAAGAACGCTTATGCTCTGCCTACCTCCCCACACAACGGATGTGTATCGTCGCAGAAATTACGACCGCAAGCTCTGTAAGCTGCTGGAATACCCCAGGTATAAACAAAAACACTGACAAATAGGCGTTTGTGACATTCTTCTGGGCATGGGCGGTGATGCTCTTCCTGTGCGTCTACCGGCGAGAGTTTAGCCTGGTCGTGCAGATGCCGATCCACCTGATACTGGCGACTTGGCTGACGGCCAACGTGGGCATTCAGGTGTATATGTTCCATGTTACTGGGGTGCTGCATCAGCGGCGCGAAATGGCAATGGTTGGGCTGCTGGCTACTTTGGGGTAAGTGTGTGAAGTTATGAGATGTAGATACAAGAGCACTAAACAATGGCAAATAGGGTGATTGCATGGTGCACGTTTGCCATGTGTATTCTGGGGAGAAGAGGATGTGCAAGGAGTAGACCGTACGGTCTGTAAAAAGTTAGATTTCGCTGGTTGCTGCTTGGCTTGCTATAGTGTTACACTTTATAATACATAATCCCAGTATTGTTTTCCCATAATATTACTGTTTCCTTGTTCCATTGCGTTTCCTTTTTTGTCTTCCTCGCAGCGGTTCCTTGTTCTATAATGTCGACACATCCGTCAAGCGCATATCAAAGCCCTCAGATGCCTCTGCCAGCCGCTGCTGATACTCGCGGAGAGCAGCCCACGTGCGCAGCTCCTCCTCCTCCTCTTGAGCGACAGTGTCACCGTTGGGATCGTGGACTCTGGTTCTGCTCGACTCGGCCATCTTTTCCAACGTAATGAGCACCTCGATGAGCTGCGCGAGGGTGCCCTCAGTCTTTGTTGCCCCAGGTCCTCCCTTGCGCTGCTGGGGGTCGTGGAGCAGCGTAGACGCAACTTGGCGGATCTTGGCGACAATCGAACCACCATTGGGCTCGATGTTGCGCTGGGAGATGGAGCCCAGCACGGTCAGCAGATCCTGAATAACGAGGTCGCGCTCGTCAGACATAAAGTCGAGAATGTCCTTGTCGTCGGCGTCCATGAGGGCCTGCTCCTCGGGGGACTGATGGTGCGCTGTCTCGGGGCTTCCGTTGGCCGTCTGCTCGCGGAGGTAAATGTCCCGGAGGTTGAAGTAGAGCTCGACAAAGTACGAGCGTGTTGTCAGCTGCGACACAAACACGTTTGCCTTTTGAATCTCGTACTGCAGTAAGCGGCGGTGCTGAGGCTGCTGCTTAATCATGGTGCGCAGATCTACCGTCGAGGGCGTGGGCACGCCAGAACCACTAAGCGGCCAGACGGGCGGGCCGTAAGTGCTAAGTGTGGAAGACGACTGTGCAGCGGCGTCTGAGGCCTCTGACGCGGGCGTGCCGAGCTGCAACTCCGGCGGGAGGTCGTCAATGATGGACTTTGCAGCGACCAGGCCGTCGCGGAGCAAGATGCGCTGGTCAGCCCAGGGCAGCGTCGACATGCCGTACGCAAGCTCGAGCGCCACGACGCCATTGATGGTGGTGTAGATGTCGATGCCGAAGCGGAATCCCGTGAGCAGGGTGACGCTGCTCTCGGGCTGCGCGTGGATGATTTCGTCGGCGAGGATGCTGCTGTCGTCGACATTCTCCGGGTACGCCGGGTAGGGCATGTTTGGCGTGGAGGGCGCAATGACAATGTCGCTGTGGGACTTGTCGAACTGGAACATGGACCGCACGCCGAGCAGCAGGCAGTAGAAGATGCGCTTGCCGATCTGGTCGCGGATGTGGTTGAAGCGGCTGGGCTCCGCGCTGGCGGGGTCGTGGCCGAACGTCGGGAGGCCGCGCTCGTGCTTGGAGCGGTTGAAGCCGAGCTCGCGGATCAGCAGGAGGGTCTCGGCCATGAAGTGGCGCGCGGCGTGGACCTGCAGGATGTAGATGGACGAGAGGCCCATGAAGTAGGAGGTGGCGGCGTCGTCCATGGTCTTGGGCTGCTTGAACACCCACATGGGGCCGCGGGTGGCCAGCACGACGTCGTGGCACTTTTCGATGAGCAGCATCGCCTTGGGGAACAGGTGGGTGCTGCTCTCGGCCTTGAGGACCTCGCGGGCTGTCCGGGGGAACGACGAGACGAGCGTGGCTATCATGCTGGCGAGCAGGCCGAGGAATTCGGGCCGTGTGCGGTCTTCGCGGTTGGCAAGTGCTGCGCGGAAGCTGGGCTCGTGTGGGAACGGCGCCAATGGGTGGATATATGTAAAGAAGTCGTCGACTAGGAGCTCGAGAATGTGCATTGGCGCAATGGACTCGGCTGTTAGGGCCTCGCCGGCTGCGAGTAAAGGCTGCGGTGCCCGCGGCGTAGCACAGCCAGCTGTGTCTCCTGCATTGCTGTCTGCACCAGGTATACTGCCGGGGATATTTTGGGCACCATCAGTGGCGGTGGTGAGGTAGTCGCGCGAGGCAAGCATCTCCATGCGCGCGCGCTTGGCTGCCTTTGACGCTTCGGCATGCTTATTCGGTGGCCCGCGGCGCTTAGTCTCGCGGTTATATGTGCAGTCGACGCCGAGCTCGCGGCACGGGCGGCAGGGGATGTTGGAGTCGTCGCACTTAACCTTGCGCATGCTGCACATGTCGCAGGCCCTGCGCAGGCGCGTGAGTTTCGGGTTGATGCTGGGGTCGCGGACGCCATTGGCATCGTGCTGCATCAAGGAGATGTCGCCTTGTTGTTGCATGTGGGCAGCCGCGTGGCCAACGGCTTCGGCTGCGGCATTCTGAAGGGCCTGTGAGTTTTGCAGAGCCTGTGCGGCATCGCTAGCGGCCTGCAGGATTTCCAAGCCGTTGCTTGCATAGGCGTGGGCTGTGGCGTGTGATGAGGGAGGAGAGTCGGACATGATGTGGCCCGGCACGGCAATGCACGGGAAGAGGGGGGAGGGGTCCTGAGTGGGCGGGCGGCGGTTCTACTTCGGCCGTGGGGAGATCGGATGCAATGGCAGATTGTCGGGCGATATCCGGAGATTCTTTTTTTTTGGTGGTTTGCGGCGCGACGCGAGTTGAAGCGAGGTGAAGCCGATGAGGTGCCAGAGAAAATCCTGCCCGGGGGGCTGGTCACGTGCCAAGGCTGACCCGACCCGAATACCCGTATGGGCCAGCCTCTGCTATGGGTGGGTGCGTGGGTGGACTTTGGCTCGCTAGCTACCCGATGTTGGAGAGATCGGGTGGGCAAGCATGACATCATTTCGGTGTTTGTCCATTGGCGAGCATAGAAGTAAAAAGAAAGGGAACAAAAAATACCATTAATAAGTAATCTATGAGTTATTTTGTCTGGATAAAAAAATTTGGATTATCAATTCGCTGCTTTTCTCCGCAATTTTCAATCACAGCTTTTGTAGTCACAGCTGAATTACACCACAACAGCCAGCCCCGCAGCCACCCATTTCCACTCCCCGTGAAGCTTGTCCCTCTAGCGTAGCAGATCCATTCACGCTTTGTAATCGCATCTGCCGCTAGTAATCGGATCATGCGAGACAAATTCGGAAAAAGAAAAGCCATTACTCTGAAAGTATAAAGCCCCCCGTAGTGCCCCAATTGCTGCTCCCTCCCCCTTCTGAGAAACCATCGAAGCTGTAGACTCTCTCATTACCCACACTCAACCTCATTTCCTCTCTTTTCTCTTATTCATCTTCACAATGGCCGCCGTGCTCAACAACACAGCCAAGAGCTTCAAGGCTCTACACAAGCCTGGCTCCCCCGTCGTCCTGACCAATGTCTACGATCTACTATCCGCACAGGCTGTCGCCGAGCTCCCTTCGTCCACCGCCCTCGCTACGGCATCGTATGCCGTTGCCCGCGCCGCCGGCACCGACGACGACTCGATGGACCTCGAGACCAACCTTGCAGCCGTCAAGCTCATTGCGAAAGCTGCCAATGACGCCAACAAGCCCCTTACCGTCGATATCCAAGACGCCTACGGCACCCAGCTGGAAGAGGCCATTAACAAGCTGATTGATCTCGGCGTTGTTGGTGTGAACCTTGAGGATGTCGACAAGGAGACCCAGAAGCTCTACTCGCTCGAAGGCGCTGCCGACCGAGTCCGTCGTGTGCTGGCCGTGGCCAAGGCTCGCGATGTGCCCGATTTTGTCGTCAATGCCCGCTGCGACGTGCTCGTTCACGGTGGCACCCTCGAAGAAACCATTGAGCGTGGTAAAGCGTATCTTGCTGCAGGCGCCACGACCGTCTTTGTCTGGGGCGGCTCGACCCGCGGCGGAACGAAGCGCGAAGAGGTCGAGGCTCTCGCAGCGGCATTTGACGGCCGCTTAAACGTGTCGCTGAAGCTGGCGGATGGTTTGACGATTGCTGAGCTCAAAAAGATTGGTGTTGCGAGAATCAGCATTGGGCCTGCGTTGCAGTTCAAGGCCATGGCTGCGTACGGAGCGGCCGCGGACGAGCTGCTTAAGCAGGCGTAAATAAAAATGCTGGGAAAATTGGGTGGATAGAATAATGATGTAATGAGTACTGAAAAAGAGTAAAGAAATAAATACTTAATAATTTGCGTCTATTTTTGTCCTCATCTCATGTCACGCTAGTAGATTTACATCTCTCTAGCCTGTGAGTGTCTACTCCGTATCATCTTATTCTCCTCTCCGTCAGCTAATTTTTAGACTTAGCGGCCTCTTTTTAGTGTAAAAGAGAAAACCACCAATGATGATTACCACGTGAAGAAAATCACCACCTCTTTTTTTTTTTATGCATGTCGACACACCTGCATTGGCCCAATCCTTGCACTGTCTCACCGCACACTGCCCTACCCTGTTGTTCTTATGCTACTGTTGGTCCCTCACCCGCCATTTGGTGGTGCCTGTGCCGTGTGCCTGCAGCAGCGCCTGGGCAAACGGGCAGCTCCCATTCGTTGCAAGTGTTAAACAATTAATACAGCAGCACAGCGAGGGCAACGCCACAGTGAAGCTTTCGCTGGTTGCGCCCAATTCAGCACGGCCCCTCCCCCGCACCAGAACACAGCTTCGAGTCTAGTCCATTGCCTAATTTTTTTCTTCAGCGCACCACTGTAGATTTAGGCTTTGCAGCTGGCAATCTGCAGTGCGGCGCAGGATCGGAGGGGTCAGTCAAACCATGCCAGGGGTTGAGAGCAAGGTAAAAGAAATAATAGAATAAAATAAAATTAACTGTATACTCTCCGTAACACGCACCCTGAATTCTAAATCTCTACTCTCATAAAACTCTCCTCCTTCATTTTCCCCGGCAAAGCTGCTATATAATCCCGTCCTGTGCTTTGCCCCTCTTTCTACTGGTACCAAGTGCTGCTATCGCCTGCCAACACCACTGCACCACCACCACTTGTGCTGCTGATAAGAGTGGATCGGCCACTCATCCCGCCTTTCCTCTTCCCCTCCCCCAGCTTAGCTTCACCTCTTCTTTTTCCCTCTCCTCCCTGCCAACTCCGTGCACCGGCTCCTTGCTCTCGATCTCGGTTTCTGGGCTTGCCTGTCTTTACTTCCCCTTTCTCCGCAGGCCACAATCCATCGACAGCCATGGCTCGTCGTCCCTCCCTCTCCGACATCCGCGCCGCTAATCCGGACCTGGCTCTAAGCGGCAACATCATCTCGGCTGCTTTCAACATCCCGCATGCCCTGACCTACAACAAGGGCGGCGACTGGGTAAGATTTTGTTTTTGTCTAACAAGATTGGCTTTTGTCACTGCTGTGGCTAACTTGTTGCCTATTTTTCTACGTCTTATAGGGCCTCAAACCCCGCCGCGGCCAATCCGCGCTCTTCGACTCCTTCACCTACCTCTCCTCTGACGTCAACCCGTGGAACCACACCGTCGTCTCGTGGACCGGCGAGATTGATTTCCCCAAGGAAGACGTCAACCCGCCTCCGCAATCGCCGCGAGACACCACCCTCGGCGTCTCGTCTCTCAATGCCCTCTCCGCCCCCGTCCCCGTCGATGCAAACTCACAGTTGCCCACACCGCCCCCCGTCGATGGCCTCTGGATCCCAAAGGCCGACCAGGAGCGCCTGGAATACCAGCTCTCTCACAGCAAGACTATCAAGACGGTCCCCGTCTGGCTGGCCGACGAGGATGAGACCACAGACGAGGGCATCATGCTCAAGGACCAAGGCAGATGGCGAGGCTACGCCCAACACGACCTCTACAGCCTCTTTCACTACAAGCAGCACGAACCCACCGATGGCCGTAAGGAGCGCGTTCAGTGGGCAGACTACTACCGTATGAACCAAAAATTTGCCAACAAGATTATCGAGTTTTACAAGCCCGGCGACATTGTTATTATTCATGACTACTTCCTCATGCTGCTACCCAGCATGCTCCGCCAGCGTGTGCCCAAGATGCACATTTCCTTCTTCCTACACTCGCCCTTCCCGAGTTCCGAATTCCTGCGCTGCCTGCCCCGCCGAAAAGAGATTCTTGAGGGCATTCTCGGTTCCAACCTCGTAGGCTTCCAGTCCTTTGGCTACGCCCGCCACTTCCTCAGCTGCTGCACCCGCATCCTGGGTTTCCCCTCTGATACGACAGGTGTCGAAGCCTACGGCAGCCGTGTGCAGGTGGGCGTCTTCCCCATTGGCATTGACGCTGCCAAGGTGGAGGCGGCGGCATCTGCACCAGCCGTCAACGAAAAGTACGACGCCCTCAAGAAGCTCTACCAAGGCAAGAAGATCATCGTCGGGCGCGACCGATTGGATAGTGTCCGTGGTGTTGCGCAGAAGTTGCAAGCCTTTGAGCGCTTCTTGGAGACATACCCTGAGTGGAGGGAAAAGGTGGTCCTGATCCAGGTCACTTCGCCCACCACATCGAGCGAGGGCGACAAGGACGATGGCGAGAGCAAGATTGGCAGCCAGGTCAACGAGCTTGTCATGCAAATCAACGGCCAGTACGGCAGTCTGAGTTTCTCACCAGTGCAGCACTACCCCCAGTACCTTAACCAGGACGAGTACTTTGCGTTGCTGCGAGCCGGTGATATTGGTTTGATTACGTCGGTGCGAGACGGCATGAACACAACCAGTCTCGAGTACATTATTTGCCAAAAGGACACCCATGGGCCTTTGATTCTGTCCGAGTTTAGCGGAACGGCGGGAAGCTTGGGTGATGCCATCCACATCAACCCTTGGGACCTGACCAATGTGGCCGAGAAGATTAACAGCGCGCTGACTATGCCCGAGAACAAGCGCGTCGAGATGCAGCAGCGGCTATATGCTCATGTCACAACCAACACTGTCCAGGCGTGGATCGACAAGTTTATCCAGCGCGTCACCAGTGTCTTGGGCGAGGCGTCTAACCAGCACTCGACACCACTGCTGGACCGCTCTATTCTATTGTCCCAGTACCGCTCTGCCACGAAGCGAGTCTTTATGTTTGACTATGACGGCACCCTGACGCCGATTGTGCGAGAACCTAGTGCGGCCCTGCCTTCGCCGCGTCTGCTGGAAGGCCTCACCGAGCTGGCGGCCGACCCCAAGAACGCCGTGTGGATCATTTCCGGCCGCGACCAAGAGTTTCTGGTGCAGCATCTCGGCCACATCAAGGGCATTGGCTTCTCGGCCGAGCACGGCAGCTTTATGCGTGACCCCGAGTCCGAGGAGTGGATTAACCTGGCTGAAAAGTTTGACATGACATGGAAGGACGAGGCTATCAAAGTATTCCAGAGCTACACGGACCGCGTACCTGGTAAGTTTGCATTTATTTTGTAAAGAGAATGTGTATTGGTAGTCATGAGTGATGCTAACAAGTCCACAGGATCTTTTGTCGAGCGTAAGCGATGCGCCGTTACATGGCACTACCGACTGGCCGACCCCGAGCAAGGCCTTCATATGGCGCGAGAGTGCCAAAAGGAGCTCGAGGGTGGCGTAGCCCGTCAGTGGGATGTCGAGGTGATGGAGGGCAAAGCCAACATTGAGGTACGACCGACATTCATCAACAAGGGCGAGATTGCGAAGAGACTCGTCGCACGATACCACAACCCCGGCCAGGATCCCACAGCAGAGGACCCGAACCCCGGCCAAGTAGAATTTGCTCTGTGCTGTGGTGATGACACAACGGACGAGGACATGTTCCGCAGCCTCAACGGGGCGGCAGGCACCGTTTTGCAGGAAGACCACGTGTTTACCGTGACGGTTGGCGCAAGCACCAAGGTGACGCTGGCCAAGTGGCATGTCCTGGAGCCCGAGGACGTGATTGAGTGCGTAGCCCTGCTGTCTGAATTCAAGTCATCACAGCGCTTGAGCGAGGTGAACCTGGCAGCATTGGCCTCTGTCGAGGGCCACATTCCGCCCCAGTAGAAGCCCGTCTGCAAATGACGAGCGGCATATATGGCCAGTACCGGACTAGACACGACGGAGCACCTTTTTGATTTTGATTACAGCACCAGAAGCAACATTGACAGCATTTCTATTTTACACCACGAAGCGCGCGGGCCGGCCTCTGTTTCTTTATTGTCCAGAGGCGCCGCCGCTGAGGCTTTGCATAGGCATCAGCATTACACGAAGCAAACGAACATACAAAACAAGACAACTGGCCCAAAGAGCCGTCTCAAAAAAAGGAGAAAAGGAAGGAGTGATAAACAAAGAGGGAGGGGCCTGATATATAGATGCGGGTTCCATGGGTTTAGGATAAAGAGGGTAACACGGCGCAAGAAAGACGGTGGATCAAATTTTTGGAAGAAGACGCAGCAGCTGGAGCAGCACATACATAGCTAGGATAGGATAAGATAATACAGGTAATTAGCTGTGGACATGTATGATAAGCTTGCATTCTCCTTTTTTGCCATGGATGATCAGTGCGTGAGAGTCTGTTCGAAGACATGCATTTGGCATGTTTACTATCTCCTTTCTTGGCTGACATATTGCTAAGGAGCTGCACATCCCTCTGCCATCTTTCTTGTGCATTGTAAAGTGCCGTACTGTACCTCTAGTCTGCCCGTCGAAATGGGGCGACGAGGCAACAGCTCAGGCAAAACGAGGTGTGTCCAATATTTCGCTCCACCGAGATAACCCCTTCTCTACTGACAGCCATTACCCCTGTATTACATTTCTTTGTGCCATTGATAGTCTGTACATGTAATTAGCTGTTTCTTGTACCTGTCAGATAACAAACACCAGCACCCTTGCCTGCATCTACAACAGCAGCACCGACATCGCAGCTTCTCTGCCGGCCCGAAAACAAGGTGAGTGGAACGACGGGCCGAATTCCAGACCTTCCCTGTCCTGCGTCATAAATTCCACTAGGCGCTCAGCACCAGCAGCAGCCCACCTGTAGATAGCGACTTGACAGGGCGCCCCGTTGTTTATGGGCCCCGCCGATCGAGAGGAAAAGTCGAGATAAGGAAAGAAAACTTGCAGGATTTTTTCTTGTTCTTGTTCTTGGCTACGAGTAATATTTTGGCCCCTTTGTACGTACTGCTCGAATCCTAGGTTTACTAAGGGAATTACAACGAGTGTGTCTGTAGTTGTGTGACGTCGGCCACAGCGGGCGCTGTTTTATTCCCGGCACCTTCGGCAGAGGCGTTCGCTTAAGCGCAAGGTGAGCCCCAAAAAAGAAATGTGGTGAAAATTCCGAATTTTATTTTTTTATGGTCGCTCCGCTTTTCACGGCCCCGCTGTTTTCGGAGACCCGGCGGGGTGGGTGGCGGGCGGGCGACACAAGAGAAAAAAACAAGACAAGAGACAAAGGAACGGGACAATGGGATAGATATCTAAAGAAGAATGATAAGATGGGATGCGTGTGTATGTCTGTGTATATGAGGGGAAGAAAATCTGGGGATTTGACATGTTTATTTGGGGGCAAGAATAGAAAGTCTGGGGGAGATGGCACACCTCGCTCTAGAGAAGAGAGACTGACGCAGTGGATTAGACTGGCCCGACAGGATTAAACGGATATTTGCGTGTCTGTAGGTAAAGGCTTTTGTCTGTCTCTGTATTATTGCCTGCCTGCCCGGCCGCTCCGACAAACGATACTCTCCACTGTTGGTTCGCTTGGCTGGCTGGCCTCAACAAAACAGCTGCTGGTACGGTGCAGAAGCTGTGTAATTCCCATAGCGTCATTAGCCAGCTAGCTCCCATGCCATGTCTTCTGTCTTCTAGCGCCGTGGAAAGGGAACGTCCCTATCAATGTTGTAGCGGTCCCCTCCGTCTCGCATACGCTTGCATCGCTAGTCTCGTCCTCCCCTTTCCCAAGAAAGCAAGGATAAGATGCTCTCTGCATGCACGCGTGGTTCCAGCGCAGACCCAGGCAGGCTAGTAGCGCCGAGATGCGCGATCGATTGGGCGCCCGTCCCCTCCACCCCTGTCTTTGCGCGACTTACAGGCCCCCTTCGTCCTCCCGCTAGCGATTTTTTGTTTGCTGTTGGTGGTTTGAACTCGGCTCCCTGGTTTATGTTCAGACTGAAAAAAACACATCACTTGATTCCTGCGCTTTGCTGTTGGTCGTGTATTTTTTTTCAGCTAGTGACAGCTCGTCCAGAAAGGGCAACTCCGCCTTGTAGCCGCAACCGGTGCCAGCCTCGCTCTTCTAAAACGACAACCTAGCTGGCCAACCGATGCTTAAAATCAAAAGGTGACACATGAAAGACGAACGTTCTTCTGGAAAAGTGTTTCAAATAGTTTAGTTAGTCTTGTCGGTTCGGTATCCACCGGGCTCGTCCTTGGACTCGGAAAGGGTGGGAAGAGAGAGAGACCCAACTTTAATTCCACCCAGTTTCTGTCGTTTCTGCCTTTGGCCTGGGTTACATCGTACTCGATTGATTGGGTTCGTCGTCTTTTTTTTGGGGCGGGCTCTTGTCCGGTTTCCCGCTAAAAATCCTACAGAAGTATTAGTGGCCCTCGTTCCCCCCCTCCCTCCCTAATCCGTACTCGGGGCACGAGATTGTTTTCCCATCCTTCTTCTTTCTTGTCTTTCATACTCTCTATCTTCCTGTCACTGTTGCTGTTGTTGTCATAGTTTGCTTGGACTACTCCCACCGCAGCCATGGCAAAGTTCATGACCGTCACCTTTGACGAGCACAACCCGGCCACAGACGCCGGGCGAGCCGCTGGTGCTACCAACGACAATGACGACGGCGTCGAGATTGACTACTCTCCTCTTCCGCGCCTGACGCTGCGCTCGGCCGTCATGGCCCTGCTCATTTCCCTCGGTGGCATGATGTAAGTTGACAGTTTTGTTCGTAGGAATTTGAACCTGTAACCTACAAAGCCAGCATCGTCGTGTAGACTAACAGCCGGTTCCTTGTAGCTTCGGTTACGATACCGGTTCCATCTCCGGCTTCCTCTCCATGCCCGACTACCTCCAACGCTTTGGCGAGCCCGACGGCAACGGCGGCTACTACTTCTCCAACGTCCGCTCCGGCCTCATTGTCGCCATCCTCTCCATCGGTACACTCTGCGGCGCGCTCATTGCTGCTCCTATTGCTGATAAGCTTGGCCGCCGCCCCGCCATCACTATTGGCTGCTTGGCTGCTATTGTCGGCTTCATCATCCAAATCACATCCGAGCAGGCCTGGTACCAAATCACTATTGGCCGCCTCGTCGCCGGTCTGGGTATCGGTGCCCTCTCCCTCCTGGTCCCCATGTACCAGGCCGAGACTGCGCCGTCCTGGATCCGCGGTGCCCTCGTGTGCTCGTACCAGCTCTTCATCACCATGGGCATCTTCCTCGCCGCCTGCTTCAACTACGCCACTGTCACGAACCAGCGAGACTCATCTGCCTCGTGGCGCATCGTCATTGGCATCGGCTTCCTCTGGGCCATTGCCCTTGGTGTTGGTATCCAGTTCTTCCCCGAGAGCCCGCGCCACGACTACCGCACTGGCAAGAAGGAGCGTGCCATCGAGACTCTCTGCATGGTCCATGCCACCACTCGCAACCACTGGGCCGTCTACTCTCAGGTCCAGGAGATTGAGACCAAGCTTGCCGCTGAGAGCAAAATTGTCCTGCCTCCCGTCGCCGAGTTCCTCAGCATGTTCAGCGCCCCTCGCATGGTTCCCCGTATCCTGATCGGCTGTGCGCTGCAAATGTTCCAGATCCTCACTGGTGCCAACTACTTCTTCTACTACGGTACCGTCATCTTCCGCTCCGTCAACGCCAACATGAGCCCCTTTGTTGCCCAGATCATTCTGAACACCATCAACTTTGTCTCGACCTTCCTCGGCCTCTACATGGTGGAGCACTACGGCCGCCGCAAGTGTCTTATTGGTGGTTCGGCCCTCATGTTCTTCTGCTTCATTGTCTATGCGTCGGTTGGCCACTTTGCACTCAACCACGAGCATCCTTCCGAAACACCTGGTCCTGGTGCTGTGCTGGTTGTCTTCTCCGCGCTGTTCATTCTCGGCTTCGCCACTACCTGGGGCCCTATGATCTGGGCCATCCAAGCCGAGCTGTTCCCCTCGCGATATCGCGCCAAGGCTATGGCTCTGTCCACTGCCAGCAACTGGACCTGGAACTTTTGCGTCGGTTTCTTCACTCCTTTCATCACTGGTGCCATTGACTTTAGCTACGGCTACGTCTTTGCCGCATGCAACTTGATTGCCGGTCTCATCGTTTACTTTTTCGTCATTGAAGGCCAGGGCCGCACCCTCGAGGAGATTGACACCATGTACCTGCTTGGTGTCAAGCCTTGGAAGAGTGAGGAGTGGGTAAGGCCTCCTGAGGAGAAGATGGCCAAGATTCGCCGCGAAGCTGGCGTTGATCTGGCTGCCATGGCAGAGGGCAGCGACAATGAGACCACTGTCGCATCTGAGACTAGAGAGGAAGTGAAGGACGCCAATGTTGAGAAGCACGAGTCTGTTTAAAAGAAAACTGTGCGTATTGGCACAGTCTGTGTTTTTGGCGCAAAGCGGTGTATCATATGCAGGATTATCCCGGGAATGTATTTACAAGCATATAAATTGCATCTGTTGTTTGATTTTCTATTATATAACCTTTTTGGTACATTCTGCGCGAATTCGTAGCTGATTGTTTAGAAAAACGGCGCGCCACAGGCTGCCAGGGTCACGTAGTAGAGCTTTGTCTCGGCGCAGATGACCATACGGCCGCTGCCCATAAAGTTGAAGTTGGCTGACGTGCCGTTGGTGAAGATTTTGCCGAGAAGCGTTCCTGAGGGGTCCCAGACGTGTACACCGTCACCACAGCCTGCGTAAACATTACCTTGGGCATCGGTATGGATTCCTAGCTGTGTTAGTACGAGAGCTCTGATATATAATATGATTGGTATACGTACCATCGGGAATTCCAGTGGAGATGAAGGCAAAAGTCTTGCGGTCTACAAACGTGCCGTCTGCAGCAACAGTGAAGCGGTAACTATAGCGATTAGTACAAAATACGTCTATAGAGAATTGTTTGACATACATGGTGGCAGGCGCAGTGTAATCGTACTTGGAAACGCTGTTGGTTCCTGTATCGGTGACATATGCGTACTGGCCATCTGGTGAAAAGATGATGCCATTGGGCAGGCGGAAGCCATCAGCAACTACTGTTGCCGCCATGGTATCGGGGTTGAGGCGGTACACCTGGTTGGGGAGCACAGGCGCAGGGCGGAAATCCTGAAAGTATCCGTACGTCACATCGGTGAAGTAGATGTGCTTGTTGCGAGGATTAACAGCAACGTCGTTGAGAGAGTTGAACTGGCGGCCATAGTAGTTGTTGACGAGCACCGTGGTGTTGTATGGAGCTTCTGGGTTGACCAGATAGAGCGCAGAAGGGTCTAGACCCATGCCTTCGCCAGTAAAGATGAAATTTCCATTGTAATTTGTTGCTCCATTGGGGTTGAGAACCTGGGGATTCGTAGGCACAGTCTCTACCTTTACCTTGCCAACGGCATTCTTCGTTCCCGCGACAGCCATGGCTTCTTTCAGACTGATCTTTTGAATTATAGCAGACTTGTTCTTTCCTGTGCCTGCGGCCGGTGCGCCAGCATTCTGTGCAAAGAAGGCCTCGTCTGTTGCGCGATGCCAGACAACAGCCTCATGAAACAGCGGGTCCGAGTCTGTCTGAGCAATCAAAGTTAATGTAGGATTGCTGCCTAGGATTTCCAGAAACGCTTCGTCGTATACATGGAATGGCTTCTCTACCATGCCTGCCAAAGTCTTGCCTGGTGGTACAAACACCGACGTGCCGTTGAACTCGGACGGAGGAGGAACATGGGCCAGCACAGCAAGTTCAGCAGGATCAAAGAGCTGCGCCTGCTCAGGAAGCGAAACAGTTGATAAAGAGCGCGTAACAAAGCCGGCCGACGAGCCCAGCGATGCACGCACGGCATCTGCCGCAGCCACGCCGATGGAGAAGGACGCGATAGAGACGGTCAACACCGACGCAGTGGACCAATTGGGATGCGACGAAGGCATTGTGTTGGACTGTACTTGTTAGCCGGTACTGTAAGATGGAATCCAGAGTATGTGAGGACAAAACTAACGGGCATCGTTTTCAATTGCCGGGGAAGCGGTGGTGTTTAATACAAGATTTTGGGCTTTTATGGGGCGATGATGTATCTGCAGATGCGGGATTGGGCGGGGTCGTAGCGAGTGCGACGCTGGGAACGGCAATTGCGCTTAGCATTTTGAATAGCCGGGGGCTGTAAAGTGATGCAGGGATATTTCGCTGACTATGGTGGAATTGATTAAAATATGTAGTTGACAACTATTTACAGTCGCTGTAGTTTGGTTAAATCTCTGCCAGCTGGCAGCCACTTGGCAGGTGGCAGCGAGTGTAAACTCAGTCGCGTTTCTTGATACGCGGGAAACACAGCCATGTAATAGCCACCACTGCAATCAACGCCATGACAATCGGCTGGAGTACACCGACACCTTTGTTTGCAGCGACAGCACCAATTATAAATGGAAATACTGCACCGCCTGAGCCGCCCATTGCCATTGCAAACCCAATAGCACTAACGTGAATGCGTCGCGGCAGCAGCTTAGTCGTGACAATAACGGCTCCGGGGAACATTGGCCCCAGGAAGAATCCAAGAAATGCGACGGCCACGGCAGATACTACGTACTGTGGGACAAGCCAAAAGACGAGCTCAAGGGCAAGACATGCGACCAAGTATGCCGTGATGCACACGCGCTCGCCAAACCGCTCCGTCACAAAGCCTAGTATTGCGCGTCCGGCAGCCATGCCCGCCCAAAAACCCGTAGCTGAGATTCCGGAAGCGTACGCTGTAGCGTGGCGCACGTTGAGCATAAAGGTGACGATCCAGCCGCCCAGACCGACCTCGACGCCCATATAAGTGAAGAAGAACAGCGAGCAGAGCCAGGTGACTGGAGATCGGAGGGCATCGCGTGTTCCAGCGCCCGTGGAGGTCTCAGATTCTGTGCTGTGCTCGTTGCGGTATACTTGGCCAGTCATTTTCCAGAACGAAGATGTCAGACCGACAAACTCGACGGCTGCAAGACCAGCCTGTTTCCTTCGGGTTAGCCAGCGTGGCAAAAATTAGGCAAGATAAATGCTTCATACCATGAGATAATAAAAGGTGTACCACGGCAGACCGCCCTTGACGACCATTTCTGTAGCAATCAAGGGCGAGAAGAGCGCACCAAGCGAGTAAAACGAATGCAGAAAGCCCTGCATCGTGTTGGCTTTGTCCATGTTTCCTACCCAGGCGCAGAAGCATGCGTCGAGTAGCCCACTGCCAAATCCAGATACTGTATTTGCAATAACAAGCACGGGATAGGGAGGGTGCGCGGCCAAAATGGCATATGTGATGATGTGACAGACTGGAGCCATGACTGCAATGCCTCGCTGACCCAAAGCTACATGGATCCGGGCGTTGGTAAATGCAGCAGCTGAGTAACCTAGAAACGGTGTCAAGAAGATGAGCGAAATGACAGTCTTGCTGAGGCCATAGTATTCTTCAATCTGGGGCTGTTAGTTGTACGAACCATGTTCGTAGCTGATAAAAGACATACATATGGTAAGAGAGCCTAGCATTTTGGTTAGTACATCGTATAAAACATGACCCGGAGACACTTACCCCAACAGCGGCATCATTCATGCCGACAAGCATAAACGCCATAAATGCAAACCCCAGCTTGACAATGTTTGACCGCGGATGATTCCACCGTTCAACTTGTGAACGGGCATCTTCGGGCGGAACGGCATCCTGTGCATGCTGCCCGTCTGGGGCCTGTCCTAGCTGCGCCAGAGGAATATCAGTAGACTCAATTTGTCTCGAAGTCGCCATTTTCTTCAAACCAATTGCGAATGGTGATGATGACGACAAAAAAGTGCGGGGAGAAGGGCGCGAGTAGTAGTGTCATGGCTGCCCCGGAAAAGCGTCCCGCGCACCCGACAGACCGTCCCGACGCTTGCTTACAAGGCTCGTCACTCGCGCAAGGCTGCAAAAAAGTAACTTCGGACACAATATAAAAAGAAGCTGTACGTATTTTTATGTTTCCAGTACCACCATTCCCTCTTTTTTATTTTACCGAAGGAGCAAAACGAAAAACATCAAAAAAGAAATATCATGATAAGACTGGGACTTGAACCCAGGAGGATTGCTCCACCAGGAAACGTGTTAAGGTAACCTTAACCTGGCGCCATAACCAACTCGGCCATCTTACCATTGATGTTACCGGAGCCTCTTACAGTTACTTAAAAGGGCCACTTCCTTTCGTGCGCAGGCAACCACCCACACTAAACTTCTGCCATGCTCCCCTCCATTCACATGTCACAACGATAGTAAAGAACAAAAGGGATAGATAGATTTTTTTTTTCAGTTTCATGAAAACATCATTTCTTTTTTCATCAATACCAGCCTGCCAAGAAAATTCAATATATCCGGCCGAGACCACGGCCGCACGTACGGTCCATCTGTATCGCCGCCGCTTCCGTTCCGTTTACCGCGGCTTGTCTCGGTCTACGGAGATTTTTGTTCTCGTCTTTATCAGGGCTAATCTAAACGGCCGCGGTGTTCCACACGGGCTGGTCTTCTAGATCGACAGGGAAGAAGACAAAGCAGAACAGGGGGCCCCATGGCGCAGCGGGGGGGTTTAATATATCTGCGGGATGCGATTGGGTGGGCGCCAGCTGCAAGTTTTATATTAAGCTTCAGCCTGCTTTTCAGGAACGTTTTGTCCGCGGAATGTCTACGCTAGGGGGACGGATGCTGAACCTGTTTGGTTTTGCATCGGAGATGGTGGTGTGTAGATTTGCGAGCGACGGCTAAATAGCCATTGGCGTTGAGGATAAGGTTTCAGACACAAAGTGAGACAAGTATGATTAAAAAGAGTCGGTATTAACTAACATTGGTTATGTGCTGGCCTGACACTAGGCCTAGGCAGTCTGGTATTATGGAAACTAACTTAGTAGCTTTGTTGGGGGGTCGTTATTCATACTTTGGTACATGGTATTTTTTGAAATGCAGGCCAAACGCCAGAAAACATGAAAACAAAAATCATAGAGACTCTAGCCTTGTAGACGACTCTGCATCAGACCGCGTGCTTTTGCGGTCAAGGTCCTTGATGAACACGAGGTGCATCTCGTCGTGGTCGTATTCCACGGCAAACGACCGCTCACATGCAATCTGGTTGTGCTCGAGGTCACGCACAGGGCCGCCCCGTTGTGACGAGACTGTGTTTCCCATGGCCTGAGGTGGGCGACTGGCACGCTTGGAGGATCGGCCCGTCGCGCTGGCATAGTACTTTCTCGTGGTGCCCATGATGCGGGGGAAGAGGCGTGCAAGGAGCAGGCGGACCGAGGGCATGCATACGCAGATGATGCCGACGTTGATTTCGACGGTGGACCAGATGCCAACGTTGTAAAAGTCCCAGGTTGGGTTCATGGCGTCGGAGCCAAAGCTTACCAGAGACTTGAGGCGTAGGATACTGACAATGGTAACAAAGGTGCCGACGGAAAACATGAGCACGACACCAATCTTCTTGCGCCAGTCGAGGTTAAGATGGCGCAGCTGGGATAGCGGGATGGCCAACATCCAGATGTCGAGAGCGATGCTGATGGCCGCGTTGGACCACGCAATGACGTTGATGTTGTTACATCTGCCCTCGTGTTCCCGATCCCACATGACCCAGTAGAAGCTGATGGGCTGGCACTGGAAGATGGATGCAAACGTAAAGGCGACGCCGTAGCAGATGTTGAAGATGATGGTGCCCCAGAGCACATTCTTGACCATCTGCGATGGGAAGATGCGCAGGTAGAAGAAGAGCAAGGATAGCTTCAACATGGATACCTCGGCAAAGTAAATGATTTCGAGAATATAAAAATAGCGGCTAAAGTTGGTGATGTTGTCGTATGTTAACGTCCAAATGTCCCGTCCGAGGCCGTTGTCAATGACGCCATGTGCGTTGATAACTGTCACGGGAATGCCGATGATGATGGTCGCCAGCGTGAACCAGTCGTCGAGGCCAAAGTTAATGCTAGCCCATAGCTTGTATCCGAAGCGCTGGACGACAAAGAATGCTGAGAGAACACCAAAGACGTTAGAGATGAGGGCGTACTGGGCGCCTCTGTCGCGAACTGGTTGGCCACAGCCAGTAGCGGTAGCGTTCATAATTTCTGTCCAGTCAGTATATAGATTCCGCGAGAGTATATACAAAGCAAATGTCTTACTGAGAGAGTCCTTTACACTGCAGTGTGACATGATGCAGCCCGTCATATTGGCCTTGAGGCTTTCGCTTTGGCACATGCATTTTTGATCTGTTAGTTGGCATTGCGAATGTTGGAGAGCAGGAAGTAAACATGTCGACTACAGAGCACCATGTTAGCAGATATACCCAACCGCATTTCGAAAGACTTGTCATACCGCGCAGGGTATTTTGAGAATGACTTGTAATGAATCCGACATTGCATCCCGTGTTGTGAGACTAGTTTGTTGTGCGACGACAGATGGGGCCGCGATAGCCGCCACCAGAGCGAGGAACCGTGACGGCTTCATTGCCGAAGTGATGTGTGTATGATATTATATAAGTTGCTGGTGTAGTTGGATGTTGATATAATCGTCTTAAGTAATTAGTGTTATTGGCGATGTAGGTCGAGGCAAGATGTAAGATGCGCAGCTGTTATACGCCGGTCGTTCGTTCAGATCGAGATGCAATGCATTCGAAGCGCATGCAGCAGGACCCGTCTTTATAAAAAGCCAACACCAAAAAGAGGACACTCGGACCAGGGATACTCTTTGCTTGTATACAATCGCAAGGGGAGGGAGGGAGGGACCGAGCGGTATGGCGATTCGAGCGATGCAGGAAGCCAAGACACGAAGAAGTGCGAGCCAGCCAAAAGATATGCAAGTCACGGCTGAAAGAGGGCGCGAGGGCCACTTTTGACAGGGAAAGCGGAGAGAGTCAGGCTCGTAGCGTGACGCTTGTTCGTGGCGTTGAAGCGAAGACGGGCCCTTGAACACTAGGCCTTGGAGCCAGAACCACCTTTTCCTAAGCCACCAGCCCCAACACATCGTTTTTCTTCATGGAGGTGTGGGCATCCTGCTGCTGCACAACATGTTACCTGCCCAAAAACGCCACGGCTGACTCTGACGCTGAGCTGCTGAAAGGGGAACCGTTTCGTTTTCCAACCACGTTTTTGACAGCTCCCTGCTACAAAGAGGCTCCTTCAAGTGCCGCACGAGGCAGCTCGCCAGCCTTGGCTTGGATACCAGGTCTGGGGGAAAGTCAAAAGTGGCGGGGGAACAGGATTAGCCTTTTGCTTGGCTACGAAGTATAGAAAAAAGCCCATCCATCGACTTACACCCTAGTAGTTAGCCAGATGACCACGACGGGCTGTTCCAGCCAGGGTTCTTCCTTTCCTGCATGGTGGCCAACTAACGCACGCTAACACGGTATCTGGGAGGGGATACGTCTCTATGCATGGCACAGACTCTAAGGTTGGAATCCAATCGGGATCAATGCACCACGAGGGAAAGGGGAGACGGTCCAGAGGATGGACCATGCTTGCCGCGCAATACAAGTGGAAATTTTCAACGAAATTGCAAGCCGCTGTAGCCTCTGATCCTTCCGCTCATGACGATTTTTTTTTCCTTTTTGTTTTGGTGTGAGTGGGCTTTGCACTGAAACCCCATCAACGGTCTCCCGTTTCGGCCACATGAAGAACCATTCGCAACAGCACATCGCGCTAATTTCCCTCCAAAGAAATCTAGCATAATTCTTTCCGTCATCTGGACACATTAGCGGTGCATAGCTATACATTCTCACGATCACGTATAGCGTCTACCCGGTGCACGACACCGCTCGTGCACGCTTGCACCACCCCCCAGCTCGCGTGACGGGTTGGTCGATCGCCTCCTTGCCCCATCGAGACGCATTACCGAAAACGACCTAAGCACTGTAAAATAGGCAGCGGAGCCCATGTTTTGGCGTCCCAGAGGCCAGGTTACAGTGGACGGCGCAGAGTGCCCGTTTTGGGTTGGCGGCGGTGGTGCTCGTTGCAGGGTGCACCCGGCCATCTGGGTTTCCGTGTCTTGAATTGAGCGTGTGTGTGTGTGTGCCTGATTCTGTTTCCGAGACACAGCTATTGCCGATCTGCCTTGGGCCTGTGATAATTGTACAAGTAGAGTAGAGCACAATCTTGCGCTGTCTCGGCCTCGGCTTAGGGGGCGGTAGCAGAAAAAACGCCTAGGCCTGGATAAAATGACCACTGCCTGTTGTGTTCCAGCCAAACTTACAAGTAGCAAGTTGCTTGCAGCAGGCAGGCTTCGTAGTCTACCTGGATACTAGCGGTTGTTGGGGCGTTTCAGAGGGACGACTGGGCTGGGCACCACCGCACAGACGCTGCACGCATAGGAATCAATTCCAATTTCCACTGCCAATGCAGCCCTCTTTGCCTTCCATTGCGCTTCTAAACGCAAGCCATATCTGCACCAAAAGGCAAAACCAATGGCGGCGTGCACCAGCCGGTCGAGAATGTACTGTATATCGCCTGGAACAGCCACACACAGCTTCATTCATTGCTTCCGTTGACTACCCCTTGGCCGTCGGCGATTTGACACGGAACCAGATACAAGCCCACTCTTGGGGCTGGGTGGGCGGCGGTCTCTCAACGTCCAGGGCCAAACCGTGATCCAAGCGTTCCACAGTAGTCTTCTACTTGTAGCCGTGCAGTTATGTTGCCCTACCCAACGAAAGCATATAGGATGGATCCAGTTCCTGTGTTTCTCCGCTCCGTTTTAACTTTTACCGAAGATACCCAATACGCAAGAACCTTTCATCGACATCCAGTCTGGCTGTTGCGCTGCCTTTTGAGTCGTTCCTGTTCGCCATCTCGCACAAAATAGTATATACCTCCGAGCCAAGCACTCTGCCACAAGTTCACTCCCACGTGCAAATCGCCCGATGCGCCTCGTACCTGCTCGGCCTCGTTCGGCCTTGTCACTGTTGGTCGTCCTCCTTGACGTGGCGTCAATCGTCCCCGCCACGCCCAAAAACAACGCTAATAAACAGCGCATAGAGAGAGTCAAACAGCCAAGAAGCAAGACAGAAAATAGCCCCTCTTTTGCAATCCTTCAGGCTTCAACGGCTACCCACTGGCCGCAATTAGTGGCTGGCTGGGCTCCTCCAATACTGGTAGGCGTGGCTGCCAGGGCCTGCAAGTATTGCTGTGCGTCTGCGTCGCTCTCAACATGCTCATTTCCTTTCAGGTAGGGCCGTTAAAAGATGGTTTTAATATGTGAATCATGCGCTTTTTCCCCAGGAAAGCTCTGGCCAGCACAAGATCCAAGATTCACTCACGCGCCCGACCGCACCACTTACACGGGCCAGCGTCGTAGCTCTAATGCACTCTTCGCTTTCCTGTTAGAGAGCGAGCATTGCGCCAAACCACGCTAGCCACGCCTAGCTGCTACACTACAACACTCGCGCGATCGCCACAGGTCCTCCTCCAACTGCCGCTCTCACCGCCAACGCCTTCTGGTAGTACAGGACAGGCATTGTGTGTTAGTGTTGTTGAGGTCGCAGCAAGATGTCTGAGCGTGCAGATAGCTCGTGTGCCAGCTGAAGAGAGCCTTCGCTGCTTGCTTGTTTGCACGGCGCAGGAAAGTAAGGTACAAGGGGGGGTCATGCGGTTATGCTGGCTGGCTGCAAGCCTCCGGAATCGTTCGCAGGTCCCCTCTTTCTCTCGTTCCTTGACGAACCTGCCGATGTGCATTTAGGAATGCTGTGATTGGTCGTATGTTTCGAAACAAACAGGCAAAGACGGTAGTATGTCACCACCATGCACCAGTTTGTCAGGCCATACCTGACGAACGCCATGCTGCCACGCCAAAAATGTAGGTATTGCGCCTGGACGAGCCTAGAATGTCGGCCATCTTCTCCCGAACCTTCTCTGTGCCTTCTCCCCAGACGCCACCTGAGCTATCAAGTCAGACTTTGCTAGCGCTGCGGCGTCGAAGCTTTGCTCCCATGGCCAATGGCAGCCCAAGTCGTCCCTACACTACGGTACGAAGCTAAGCTAGAGCTTCAAAAGCTCAACCTTTTCCTGTACCTCGCACGCTCTGCGCTCCGGCTTCTGACGGCCACCTGCTGCAGGAACGTGGCGATTCGAGTCGGCTGTTTGTGCCTGTGCTATTTCCCTTGCATTTGGTGATGGCTTACCGCCACATATGGCGCGGGAGCCATCATCCGTCCATTTCCACGGGCAATGCCCGCAAGATTTCTCTTTAGCTTCGGCGAGACATGGGACGGTCTCGGTACGTGCACCAACCGATGCGTGGCTTCCACGGCTTGACCAAGCCAGTGTCTGGTGCCTGAGAATGTCCTACGGCATTCCACATTTGTGCGTAACGGTAGTTGGCTACTAGAGTCAACGAAAGCCAGTTCAACTGGAAAATTACGCGTATAATTCAATGGGCTTCCAGAACGCCTAGCACCCAAACCTGTTAAGAGTTGGGCTATCGGGAGTCGGTTTAATACTGCCGCTTCACTCATGGAGTACCATATACATATAAACGACATCTGTAAAAGGGAACGTTTTGTTGTTACACTTCCAATCAAAGCACATAATAATTTATTTAAATATCTACACTAATGGTGAAGTGAATTTCTCATTCGCATTACTCCACAATGGTGTGTGGCGCTTAGTACCTAATGTTGGCAACATCGACCACCATGCCGGTGGTGGTGGAGGGGTTTTGGAAGCCTCCATTGATTAATTTAGTAGCAGAATCAATACATACTAACACTAAACTTACCTGCAACAGATTGGTCCGGACGGGTGCAATGGTCAATGACCCACAGAGCAGCCTGACCAGCTTCGCGGCTATAACCACGTGAGCCTAAGCCAATTGCGAAGATGGAGGATTACCTACCAGGGAACAGAAACATCTGGGCCAACACTCTGACCGGTAATTTGGGCATCGCCGGCTTTGCAAAATTGGGAGATAGCCGCGCCACCTCGAACGAAGCAGTCCTGGTCACCAAGGCTGTCCAAGTAGTGGAAGCAAGCAATGGCATCGTTAACGTTGGTGTAAGCATCTTCAACGGGCCCACAGCCAGACCACTGCGCACTAAAAGTACCAACTACGAACCATTAGTATGAATTGGGAGATGTGGAACAGAAGACGTACAAGACTTGGGGGTTCCCATCTGGTACAACTGGGCCGAAGTCAGGCCCAGTTGAGCAAGACTTGGAAGACCAGGGCCAGGAACGACTTCTGGGTACTTGGTCTCCCCAGCTGCTGCGATGGCAACGAGAGAAGCGACGACGATGGACTGAAGACAGGCCATTGTAGTGGTTGATAGTGGAAAGGTAAACGAATTAGTGCGTTGGGAGGGGCAGTGTTACGGTGGAGGTGAGAGAGAGCGGGATAGGAGCGAAAACATAAGATAAATATACCTTTCAGCATTACAATTCTGCTATGATGGACATCGTTTGTCTGTACCTATCGATTAGCCTGCCATATTAGCAGCCCATGCGAACCATCACATGAACCTGCTGCTTTTTCGTCGTATAGAACAAGGCTTCCGGGTTTTATCTGCTTCTAGCGAAACTTTTGGAAAGTTGTTCGATATTCAGCCTAACTGCCTAGTTACTTACATGATATACATTAAGGATCACCCACAAGGCTCTTGTACCTCATAAATCCCTCACGAAACTCTCCGAAAATGGTTACATGTTCAGTCTAACTGCCGTTTTATTTACATGATATGCATTAAGGCTATCCGCGGCCAACCGACGCAATCCTCACAGTCGACAATCTACACAGCCTTATACTCGTGAAACAGCCGGGCGATACCTGAGGAGCTAGTACAATGTATAATTAGTCATATGGTACCCTTGATTCGTTCTCGTTGGAAAAAAAAGTTAGTTTACTGAGAAGTTTGTCAAGGCTGTGGAAATAGAGTTACCAGGGTCTACTTACTATAGAAGTCGATTGGGGGAAGTACACGACGCAAGCATAGACTGCCAAGTATTATTTACCAGCTACCAAAGTAGAAAATATAATTTACAGTAGGAATTATATTCAACTATGTAATCTAATTATTTGCGTCAAATTGATCAGGAAGGAGAAGAAGTGTTTGTTGACCGGCTGGTATCTGCTTCCAATTTACGAAGCACCGAGGTAGACGCGGTTAGCATCAACAACAACCACATCGTCATCTCCAGCAACGGATTGGAAACCTATAGACGCATAAGTAAATATACGATTGAGACAGAGTATAGAGACTTACCAGCAACGGATTGATCACTACGAGTACAGTGATCAACAGCCCACAAAGCTGCTGCGGCGACCTCACGGCTATAAATTGTTAGCTGTTGCCACTACACTATCAGACACAAACATACCAAGAGTGGTCAGTATCGCCTCTAAGACCTTGTCCGCCAATTGCGGCACCGCCGGCGACACAGAAAATTACTGTGTGGAAATCACCTGGAACATGGCAAGCCTGGTCTCCAAGGTTGTTCAAGTAGTGGTAGCAGGCAATAACATCATTGACATTGGCATAGGCAGAATCGGTAGGGCCACATCCAGTGTGAGCGGCGGCGGCGGAAGGAGGAGTAGATGCAGATGAGACTTTGCATTGTTAGATAGACTTATAGTACGGTTGGCTAACTTACGGGACTTGGGCCTGCCCATCTGATACAACTGAGCTGAAGTGAGGCCGACTTCTTCCAGGCTGGGGAGACTAGGACCTGGAACAACTTCGGGATACTTCATGACGTTGGCGAAAACCAAGACAGCCATGGAAGCCATAAGGAGAGATTGAAGAATAGGAGCCATGTTGATTGAATAGTTTCGCAAGGTTGACTTTGGCCAATGTTATCATCCCGGCGAAACAAGATGCGAATGGAAAATCAATTTATAATATTCGAACTTCTTCATGTGGATCTTTTGTAACATACCACTGGTCGTCTTGTTGCTCTGGCCTGTTGGCGACGCGTTGTTTTGTCGGACTTTCCTCTATTTTGGTCGTAAGAGAAGAATGGAACCGCGAAAGCCTCGAATAAAAGTTTTCTGTATATCAATGCCTGTAACAGCCTAGCTTTTCATGGAGGATACGAGGTCAATCAGGCTGGTATAGCCAATCGCAACTGTTTGATTAGGTGTACAGGTCGAAAACGGATAGATACATTGGAGGAAACTACTCGAAGTATAATATTTCGCATTTGAACCAATCAATGAACCTTGCTTGGAACATGCGACCACTTCTGGCAAGAGCCGAGAAGTTGCTTATCGGGGATTGCCCGTGCTTGGAACACCAAATGACGCGGCTGTGAGCTGCCGGATATCTGCGCAGCCGGATGTCTGCGTATCCTGCTGGAAAGACCTTTTGGATGAGGTAATATAACGTAATTCGAGACAAAGTCCGATCACCACAGTCTCATTGACCCTTACTTGTAATGGGGGTCCTGGAGTGGTTGTACGGCGCGGATTTCAATCACTGCGTCGATATTTGCATATGGCCATCACTTTTTCATGGGCTTGATTTTCGTATTAACATCAATTTTGGCGCGTTTTATGATATATAGAGGAGATTAATATGTAAAATAGTTGCGTTTAGTCGACCACAGCTTAGTACGTCTCTAGTGGTCGTTTCGCTTAGACCAGGGAGCGCAAGCATCAAGCAAGCGGTTGTGCACATCGGCATCACCGCTAGCAGCTAGCAGATCCTGGAATAGCTTCTCGTCAATTCTCTTAAAGAAGAGTAGCACCCCAGCCCAAACAAAGTCAGCATAGCCGACAGTCTCACCGTCAAAGAAAGGACCACCGTTCTTCTTGAGCAGCTCGCCAACCGAGCCAAAGATCTCACCAGTGTTCTGGATGGCTTGGGGTCCACCATGCTCAGCAGCAAACTCGTCAACGGGCTTACCGCAGATTTTCTCACGGTTGGGCATCCAGTAAGTGACACTGGCAGGGTTAAGAAGGTTCTTAGGAACAGAGGCAACGATGAGGCCACGGCAGGCCACGAAGAGCTTGCCATTGATGGTTTCTTCGAGAGCGGCCAGCGACGGTGAGTCTAAGCGAGCGGAGGGGGTAGGATGCTCCTTTTCGACCTGAAGCGCAATTGCCTTGGATTCCATAATGTATCGGCCATCAGGGAACTGAGCGGCGGGAATGGTGTACTCCCATCCCTGGGGGTTAGGAGGGACATGGCCCTTGAGGGTTGGGGCGATGTCAGGATATTCAACCTAGATCACTGTTAGTGGTGAGCGGGCGAGCGGGAGCACCGGAAAGCGTACCCATTGCGTTGTATAGTCGAAGCCCTTGAAATTGAAGAGCATGCGAGCTATAAGTCATTAGCATAATGTATTCGAGGAGTACTATGGCAAACTCACTCTTCCAGGGGTTCAGCGACCAGCACTGATTGGGCTCCCTGCTGGGCAAATCGTAGAGTGTAAAGCGACCAGACATGATGACGTAGTTGTAGATAAATGCGCACAGCTAAGGATTGCGGCTGGAAATCGAATCTTGAGGGAAGTCGATGAAAATATATACGCTTTGGCAAGTAAGGCAGCAAGGCAAATGGCAAAGAGGACAGATTAAAATCAACAATATGGAAGGACTGGACCCCAACAAACAAGTATCACGATCCCCGCACTCAACATCAATGATTACCAATTCTCCGTGGCAGTCCGGCAAACGGGGCCAAACTACAGCCAATGGCGGGTCGTAGGGCGACCAAATGGAGGGCTAGCATGCGGAAGCTGCTTCGTTGCTGCGGCGCGCCCTGACGATGACGCATTCAGCTACATCCTTTGGGCTGACAGGTCGAGAGAAAAATAACAATTATGGACACAAAATAAGGGTGGATATTTGTGGTGAACTGATACTGGAAGGTTTGCGGTCGCCGATTCCCAGAAAGGAAATAGTCTCGCGCAGACTGGGATGTTGATTGAGTCATCGGGCTATCGGGACGTAAGGGTTCCCCAACACAGTTACAGCACCCAACGGGTATGAGTCGCAGAATATCTCGAATTGTGTAAGTGTATAATTTTGTGAATGATGTCCAATTGGTATCTTCGTTTTTGAGGGGTATCACGGAATGGATTCACATGAAGGTAGATACCTATCAGTATAGGTTAGCTGGGGCTACAAAGAGTACTGATTACTCATCGGTCTATGCAGTACGAAGTTCGAGCATTCGATTGTTATTTAATTGAGTCATTATATAAAGGTTTAAGATCTGCGATTCTGTAATTATATAGAATTATTCTTTGTTTATAGATGTCGATGTAGAAAGATGAGCTCGAGCGACAGGGGGCGCTTCGACTGACGGCTGGCAGGTCTGCCAAGTGCAATTTTATATTATGCCAGCTGGCAGACCATTGTACAGATTCAAAAAGTTCACATTATCATAGGAACCAGTAATTTAGATTTCATCTCAATTTCAATTTCAACACATGCATTTCTAAGACGCTTAATTAGGCTCCCATCTTCCGAGTGTTCTTCTAGGAAGGGGACCAATGGTCCGGTGCGCCTCTGCCGGGTATTTAAAACACATAAGGAAACAACAATCGACCGAGAAGAGGTCCCTCAACGCTGAATTTTCTTTCCAAATTCCTCCCCATAAAGATGTGAATACAAAGCATCATGGCTAACCAGTCGGTAGCTTGCGCTTACTGGCGGCCGTAGTGCATGCCGCCCTGCTGGGCCTGGTACTGCTGCTTGTGGCCCTGCATGAGACCCTCGCGGTACTCGGCCTCCTTATCCTGCTGGACAAGATGGCAGCAGGTGCAGAACATGGCCTTGCACCAATCACCCATGCAAGATCCCTCGAGGTTGTGCTTCTCGCGGAGGTCGGAGGCCTGCATGGCGATGGGGACACAGCCAATGCAGAAGCACGAGGCGCAGTACATGGTGAAGCACTAGACAGAGGCAACATATGTTAGTAGGTTGTCACGGTAAATGGAGGCGAAGAGAGTGTTGGACTTACGGCGCCGTTGCAGCAGCTGTGGTCGCTCATGTCGCCATTGTTTCGGAGACGGTGCTTGGTCTTGCCGTAGGTGATGCAAGGGAACAGGCAGGCTGTGAAGCAGGTTCCTGCAGGCGAGCAGCAGTCCCAGAAGGAAGCGTACCAGGGCTGTTCAGACATGTTGATGGAGGAGTCTTGTGGTGGTTGATGGCGTTGGTAGATCGACAAGAGAGGGGATGGACGAGAGAAGGACCAAGAGAACAATGACAACAGGACGAAACGGCTGGACAGTCTCTTTATAAGGAAAGGAGCCTACAAACTTTCTCCCCGTGTCATATAGGGTCTATATCGGGCCCTCGCACGGACGGCCGACTTACAACAAGGCTGGATCAACAGGCCCCCTCTACATGACAATAAGGGTGTCTGAACCCATCCACACAGCCATCGTCTCGCAACATGCACCCCCGTTAAGGGACCTAGTTACAGCCTGTTAGCCAATGAGGCGTCGCTCAAGCGTTAGCCTGGGCATTAAGTGGCCACCAGTGGAGGTCGCTAAGGCTGTGCGCACCACACACGCTGGGGCGGCCCAGACTATTTTAGGAACAGGCTGAAAAAGCCTACAGCCGTGCGCAAGTTTGATTGTTGTTTTTAAGCAGCCGGAATTAATAGCGAGCCGAATATGCAATTTCTCTAGACGAGCTGAATATTTTGAGAGAAAGAAAAGGATATCATTTCGTGAGAGGTTTGCGACACTCTTTGACAATGGGTGCATCACCAGTTGTTGTCTCATTGGCACTTCGTCTCATCCATCCTCTAGCCTGCTACAGAACAAGCACCGCCTCTGTGACATCTCCCCTGGAATTGTGGGTGGGCGCTCGGATGTCTTAGCGCGGTAGAATCTCCATCAGCAGAAGGGGATCGGCCGTTGACTTGGCGCGCTTTGGTCTCCTGTGGCCGAGCCTCGAGTCAGAACCATGTCTGCAACCCCGTTGGCAGATGCAGACTGGGCCTCAAAAGAAAGAGACAGTCAACAATTACTAGACAAGAAAAGTGCTCGAAATTTCGAGGATGCTGGAATCTGAGAGATGGCTTGCATATGGCTGCACATATGGGCCAGGCCGGCGAGCTGGACAGATATCCACCGGCTTTCACTTATGATAACATAACTCTCCGACACAACTCACAATTCTCAACTATCTACACCCGAAACAAAGCACGCACGTACAATGTCTCGCCAGCTCTGGTCTGACGCGGGCATCGCGCCGATCCCCATCAAGCGCACAACAGCGCTGCTCCTTGTCGACAACCAATACGGCTTCCGCAACGTCGCTGCGTTTGGCACATCCGTCTCGAACAGCAACCATGAGGAAAACACCGCTAAGCTGTTAGAGGCCTTTCGAAAGACGTCATCTTTGCCGCAAGCTAAGCGGCCTCTGGTGATCCATGCTCAGCACCGCGCGCCGTGGTCCGATTCGCCAGTCTTCCCTGGCCATGAAGGGCCGTATGGCGTCAACGGCGAGACCAGACGCGGGGTAGACTGGGCTGAATATAGCAGACCGCGCCTCTGGAACGAGGAGCAGAAGAAGTACTTTTTCGTGGAACAATTCCACGAAGCAAAGGTGGACACGGGAAATGTACCCTCGGAACAAGACGAGGTCTTTTTGACGTCTCATGGACACAGCTTATTCATAAATGCGCACTTGCAGACAATACTCAATAAGCACGCCATCAAGACGCTAATTATTGCCGGCATGCCGCTCGAGTATGCCGTCAGCACCGCAGTCCGAACGGCGCAGAATCTTGCGCTTACAGGTCACTGGGGAGGGCGGGGAAACATGGAGGATGTCGACTTTGCCAAACTATGGACGGATGGTGAGGGCATCTACCTCGAAGCAGCGGAGAAGACGGATGAGAATGGAGGCTTCGATGTTGACATGCCACGGATTATACTTGTAGAAGATGCCGTCCGCGCATTTGGCAAAGAGGGCCTACCGGCAGAGGTTGTCCACGCTGTTCACGTTGATTCGTTGAAGCATTTTGCTGAAGTCCGCAAGACGGATGACATTATTTCGGCATTAAAAGAGGTATGAATGAGTAGTATACAAGTTATAAAATACAAGGGGATAGATATAGTACATATAGGGAGTGCTTAATTGCGTGCCCGCTGATCAGCCAGCGATGAGCGCACATACTCGTCCATCTCGTCCAGTCGCGCCACCAGCGCTCCATCATACGGCGGTGCTTCCATCATGGTCATAACAAAGGGTCCCTGTGCGCCCCATGTACATCCGTGGAGGTGATTTCTCATCTTGAGCAGCAGCGCTGCGACATCGGCGTCAGGATAGAGGCCGGTCTCGTTCATCTCCTGCAGCATGTCGAGGGCAGATGTTGCGTCGCCGTATCGCTCCCAATGGATTTGGGCAAGACGTGTGTAGAATGGTGTAGAGGCGCCAAGGACGTATGACGGAAGACCGAGCTGTTTAACGCGCGGGAGCACTGCGAAGACATAGTCGGACGGCGTTGCAAAGGCCGAGTCGAAGAGCCCTAGGGCGCGGTTAAGAAAGTGGGAGTAGAGCGGGCCGTGAACGTCCATGATGCGCTTGTCGGTCTCGGGGATGAGCTCCGGGATAGCGGCCTTTTTCCTGCCCTTCTTTTTGGGCGCTTCCGTTTCTGCAATGCCGAGTCGGCGCGGCAGCGAAAAGACTTCAGCCTCAAGGAACTGCCAGAGCTCGTGATCCGTTTCGCACTTTTGCATCAGGGAATCGACTCGTTCCTTTTCGTCGTTTCGCGCGCGGTCGTACTTTAGACGCTCTTCCCAGAGCTTGTTGCTTGACTCGTCCAGTTCCATCATGCGTTGTGACCCAGGCTCCTCGACGTCGAGCTCGAACAGACCAAGGGCCTTTTGCGCAGCTATGCGCAGAGATATCGGGTATCGGCGGAGAAATTTATCACGGAACTCTGTCACACGAGCCTGTTCGACAATTGACCTAGCCACTGTGTCCTCTGACTGAGTCTGGCCGAGAGATGCGGGCGTGCCGCCTGTGCTTTCGAGGGGTCGCTTGCGCGCGGCGGGCATTCGGCCCTGCGCAATCTCGTCAAAGATGCCCTTGAAGATTTCGGCTTCATTGGGCGTGATTGTAGAATCTTGCTCGATTATATCTTCATTGCTGCCGCTGCCAATCTCGAACGGGATCGAGATGTCTCGCTTCGCTGGTCGTCTGCGTCCAGGGGCGCCATGATCGTAATGCGCTAGCCGGAAGAACGCTGATGAGACTGGCGCTCGGAACGCCCGCTGCAGTGTCCTCGTCTGGTAGAGGAAGGGCAGCAGATTAGGCGGCATGGCTGGGTCTTGCTGTGTGAAATCGATCCCCTTTCCCCGACGTGGATGAAACTCGTCCCAAAGAAAATGGGATGCTGATAAGATAAAAAACCAGCAAGTTCCCTCTTTGGGGGTCATCGTCACGTGTAGGCCGCTGTAAGTGGTGACGCCAGGCAGCGTTCAGTGGGCTTAACCCAAACGGGTGCGCCGTAGCCACTTTACGCGCGAAGCTCCATTAGTCGCGTCTCGTTCACGGTTCCCAACTACGCTCCAAATTGCATCTTTACGTTACAGGCCTCAGATTTTGGATTGCGCTTGGATTTTGGTAGAAACAGCATTATTAATCTTGGAGTTCATCATGGCAGTCAAAAAAGAAGCGGCCGAAATGAGCGCCTTTGAGCGCCGGCGTCTCGAAAACATTGCCGCCAATCGCGCCATTCTCACGGACATTTCCACCACAGCCAAGAAGGTCATTCCCAATAAGCCCGCCGCGAAGCCGACGTCGAAGCGAAGAAGAAGCGAGCCTGTGCAGAGGGAATCGACTCGACCAACGAGAATCAGCTCGCGATTGGCGGGCATTGAAGCCGACAATGAGACGCTGAAGCGCAAGCTGGAAGTGGAAGCAGAGCATCAGGCAGAGATTCACAAGGCCAAGAAGCTGAGGAATGGCGATGATATGAACCTGGGCGATATCAGTGTCGATGGCAAGAAGTGGTCTAGCGGCTTTGACGGCATCAAGGACCTTGTGCGTGGCGCACAACCTGGCGTGCGAACGTTTACGGAAGACGATGTAAAGAACACGGCCGACGACGCAGAGATTAAGGAATTGCGCAAGACAATGGGCAATCTCAAGATTTACGAGCACTGGGCACCCAACGGTATGTATCTGTGTCCTGGTTTCGGCGACCAAGCTAATGTGAATAGATATCAAAATCACACCGCAGCGAGTATACGCACTGGGCTTCCACCCCATCGAAGACAAGCCCATCATCTTTGCTGGCGATAAAGAGGGCGCCATGGGTATCTTTGACGCGTCTCAGACAGCCCCGGAAGTAGACGATGAAGACGACGACATTCCCGACCCTGTTATTTCGGCATTCAAGACACACGCCCGAACCATTACATCATTTGTGTTTTCGCCATCAGACGCCAATGCTGTATACTCGTCGTCGTACGACTCATCGATCCGCAAGATGGATCTTGAAAAGGGCACATCTGTGCAAGTCTTTGCACCATCAGACTCGAGCATCGACATGCCGATATCTGCCATGGACATGACGGCATCCGACCCCAACATGCTCTACTTCTCGACGCTACATGGCGCCGTTGGCCGCTACGACTTGCGTACGCCAGACAGCGAAGAGCTCTGGGAGCTGTCGGAGCAAAAGATTGGTGGTTTCTCTTTGCACCCCCTCCAGCCTCACCTGGTAGCTACTGCATCGCTTGATAGAACCCTCAAGATTTGGGATCTGCGCAAAATTACAGGCAAGGGAGACCTGCGACATCCCGCGCTTCTAGGCGAGCACGATTCGCGCTTATCTGTTTCACATGCGGCCTGGAGCGCGGCCGGTCACATCGCGACGTCATCCTACGACGACACCATCAAGATCTACGACTTTACCGACAGCTCCAAGTGGTCAGCAGGCTATGATATCCCTGAAGATGACATGAAGCCCGCACACACGGTCAAGCATAACTGTCAGACGGGCCGCTGGGTCACTATCCTTAAGCCCCAATGGCAGAAACAGCCGCGCGACGGTATCCAGCGCTTTGTGATTGCCAATATGAATCGCTTTGTGGATATATATGCGGCGAATGGTAGCCAGCTAGCACAGCTTGATGGCGAGGGTATCACGGCTGTACCTGCTGTTGCGCAGTTCCATCCTACCATGAACTGGGTTGCTGGTGGTAATGGAAGTGGAAAGCTCGCCTTTTGGCAGTAGTCTTTGGGGTGGAGGATAATGTTTTATGAAATTTTGTTTATTGCACCAATGTAAAAGTTTCTGGAGGAGGGAGAGTCGTGTATAGTACAGTAGGCTTTTTTTTTGGAAGAGAATATTATAATCACATCTGCCAGTGCTACTTTTTTTTATTACACTACCGCCTGCGTTCGGATGATGTGCTACAAAATTATGAGATATAAACCTAACAGAAATGGTAATCTGTAGATGTGCAAGAAGTCTGTCTGTCTGTACGCCTGCAGCTGCAGTACCTAGATGTCTGCCGCCTACTGACGCACACCGCAGCCTGACTTGGCAGCGTCACAAAACACCTGCACAATGAAGGTGGATATACAAATTGAGATACATCGGCATGCTGCTCTGAAAAGCAAACCCCGGCTAGCGAATGAAGACGACGTATTCCCCCAATTCCCCCAGCTTCCACTTGAGCTGCGCCGCGACATCTGGGTACTCTCGTTGGATCGCATCACCGTGCACATCAAAGAACCACCTAGCAAGGTACGCTGCTACTACAGTTGGTTCCACGACACTGTAGAAGACGAACTGAATTGTGCTCTTCCATCTGTATACTGGTACCACTTGCGAGGCCTCTACACAACTGCGCACCTCGCGGTTCCTGCTCCAGCAGCGTATCATGCGTGCCTGGAGTCGCGGGCAGCTATACAAGACTATTTCGACAGGTTTGAGAAGCCAAATTATCAAAGTCTACCCTCCTGGTTTTGCTTCGAGAGGGACATAGTCCGCTGCAGCAATTACGATCTGGAGTCCTTTCTAGACTCGCCATGGTTTTGCAGAATGCGGCATCTGGTCCTGGAGCACGAGTTGCGCACATATGCGTATGAGATGGCGTATAATTTCGATTCCATGGTGCCAGGGCCATATGTTGGGCCACTTGGTTGGGCCGGCGACGCTATTGGTGCGCTGAAAACACTGAGAATCGAGCTGAACGAGTGGATGTTTGAGGAGGACAAGAACGCACAGTATGTTGGGTGGGAACTTTTGCGAGCGTGGCATTGCAAAGGAGACACAGATGTCAAGGGAGTTCAATTTATGTAATTGTCTCTTGGAGAAATGACTATTCATGCAAGGCTGCCAGGGTGTGCCTAGGTCATGGAGAGCCTTGATGTGAAATGCGAATCCACCAGCCTCAAAACAATCATAGAACAGCAAACAAACAAACAATGACCGCGCAAGTAATTACTGCGGATAGCTCACAATTCTGCCGCTTTTCAAAATTGCCCGCAGAACTGCACCGCTCCATCTGGCAGACTATGATGGGCTTGATGCACGATTTCCCTATACATACCATTTGCGTTAGCATAGCTTCTACTCATGAACTTAGATTTTAAACAATTATCATACCAAATCCATGTAAACTGGCACACCAATGATTAAAATAAGGAAAATAAATATAGCAACAACGAGAAAGATAACTTCAGTTGGTGACCAGTTTGCCTTCGTATGGAGCCGGGTATTGGCTTCAATGTCGACATGTTGTCGACAGCTGGGCATTGTTGCTTGGCGGTCTTTTGGAAGAGCGTCCATTATATCAGAAATGTGTAGTTACTAGATATAAATATTACTTATAAAAATTGTAGATAGCTCTGTTTTTATAATCATTTGCTTGTTGATAGGCAAAGTTTTTATAAAGTATAACTGGGTTTTTTTTTATTTAAAAAATAGGTCTTAAGATTGTAATAATTAGAGTTGCATGTCTTCGTAGACTATGAGAGAGCAGTACTTTTTACTGTAAAGATATATTATTTATGGCTTTGTTAGTTTATGAATACGATCGACGGTATATCCGCGTAGTCATCCATATAAGTTACCAGTTAGGCAGCTAACCTTGTTATCTTATAAACTTGTTGCTGCAGCCTAGTTGGATGCCCCCACCAAACCCGAGTCCTTTTAAACCGCAACATCGCCCACCTTTTTGTTTCCGCCCAAGCTTTTGCTTCACAAAAGTCTACAGGGCATGGGAACAAAATGAAAACTCGTAGCGGATTGAGCTTTGAGAATCCCCCGCCTCTGCCGCGGCCGAGGACATTCAAGCCCTTTGGCCGCCTGCCCCCGAGCTACGCCAGCTCATTTGGCAGATGACACTTGACTCTGTTCTCTTGTATACGGTGCCGCCAGCTTCGATTATCTTGGAATGGCCCGATGCGGATAAGTATCTCAGCCTGCCGCATCGCAATCGCGGCCGTCTGCTCTACTCGCAATCACGCCAGACACATGGTTTCCTAGTCTACTGGACCAAGGCTATGGACCCAGTAGGTCTAGCATGTCAAGAGGCCCGCGCGGCTATAATATCCTTTTTTCAGCCGGGATTTCGGATGATGACAGCCTACCTCCCTGGTTTTGTTTAGGCGTAGACAGGATCTGTGGTACTGATGGGATGCTACAGAGTGTCCAGAACAAACCATGGTTCAACCAACTGCAGCATGTAGAGATTGAAATAGACAGCTCCAACGCATTTTATACCGGCGGTTATGCCGATAATGCAACGCCCTTTTTGTGGGCAGAGCCTCAATTGAAGAGACTCCAAACACTCACCATTGTCTTCTCACGTGCGCATACGTTTGACCAGGTCATCCAGGATCCGTACGAGATATTGGAGGGGTCAAATCTGCACTGGCTTTGCAACTGGTGGATACGCTACGACGGATGGTATGATCCGCCAGAAGGGAGACCCAAGGCTTCCTTTTATGCCCGCGTCATTAGCTGCGACACGGGGCCAGAAGAGTGGCTGACGCCGGAGAACTATAAAGAGAAGCGCATTAAATTGGATCGACAGTTGGAGGAGTTTCGGGCACATAGTGCGCGGACGCATCTTCTTTACCAAGTCCGCTGGGATTATGAGAGGAACCCGCCTGGGATGGTTGGCTGGGATCTTGTTACGTATGATGAGCTCTGATGGAGAGTGGTGGTGGTGGATTAGATGTGGTGTCTAATATATGTGCGAGTTGTTACGATTGGGAGGATACACAAAGAGAAGAATTATTAGTCTTTTCTTTTTTACTTGATTATATAGTTTAGATGCTGTTTACCCCGTGTTTCTATTTTAGATAGAATTTCTATTGAAGTGGCTTGTGATGTTTAGCGCAGCCTCGTCTACACAGCCTCCCTGAGTCATAGCCCGGCCAGTAGACTCTTCCTGTTTAAACGCCCATACCACCCAGATATATTCCATAACGAAAATATCGTGATTAACAAAATCAAATTTATAATCTAATTCAATAATAAACAAAACAATAGCGTCTATGGAGCGCGTCTTCGACATCCTCGAGTTGAGAGAGCAAATCTTCCGCTGTGTCGGGCAACGTGATCTGATTGTCAACGTTCAGAGAACATGCCGTTGTTGGAGAGATACTGTACTCACTCTCCCTGAAACATACCTCAATAAAGTTCCCGCCGCAGTGGCTCCCAAGGACAACGACCACCAGCCGCAGCTCCAACAATTCAATCCTCTTCTTCTATATCACTTTCGACCAATCTTCCCCGTACGCGATGCCGAGCTAAACTTCTATATGAAAGACTCCGCGTGTCTGCATCTAAGCAAGGGCTACTATCAAACCATTTGGAAACACTTACCACCGAGCCAAGGAAACTTATTCAATATGTCTATTGCGCAGCGGGGAGACGTCCATCGAGCATTTGCTCGCCCATGTGCGAGCTGGAGACGAATGCAACTTGCCTCGCCTCCCATCAAGACACTACACTATACGGGTTCGAACGATAAAAAAGAGACTGTACAATGTGACGACGGCCTGCGAATGGGTCCACTGTACGATTTACTGATAGAAGGTGGTGTGACAAATATTTCAAGCCATGGGTATACCTCGATATATATATCTTGGGCCAACACGGAACAGGCAGTGAGAGATGAACAACGTTGGAATCGTGATGCTGAGGATGAAGACGAGGAAGACTTAGAATGGTGGCTTTTTACCGGCTTGACCGACGATGAAATAAATGAGAAACGTATGCAGCAAGAGGGGATTTGTGGAAACGTGCAGGAAGTGCACTTGGTCAAGTCATTTGAGCGATTTGGCTCAAATTACCACAATCACAGGAACTATAGGATGGAGATTTGGATGAATGCAAATAAGAAGCGGCTGATGCGTGATGGGAGGAATGAGATGGAATTTATAGTGCAGCCGTAAATCATTAATTTCCAGCGTAGTTAACATATACCCCTTTTTGTTTTTGTTGTATCACAAGCGACTTGAGTTTTAAGAAAAGAATATTAAAAGAACGGGAGTCAAAGATTCAAACTTATAATCTGTCATGTCATCGCTACATACAGTCTAATTGTGAGATGTACAACTACATTAAACACATAGTTATATAAAGAACCTAAAAACACAGAAGTCATTCTTCAAGGAGCATCGGCAGGGTATCCATGAGTATCCTTGGCAGTCTTGCCTCTGTCACCCTTGTGCTTGTTGGCACCGGGATACTTGGAGCCATACTGGTTGACAGACTTGCCAGGAGGCATATTGGGACACTTTCCAAGCATATCAACAACGGGTCCAACTAGACCAACAGCCTCCTTGAGCAGCTCTCCAGTGAAAATCTTCTCCAGCGACGACGGGGCCTCGGCCTGGATATTCTGGCCAATGAAGCAAGCAAGGCGCGCAGGATCCTGAAAGTCTTCAATGGAGTTGATCAGACCACCTGAGATGTCACCAAGATCAATACCATCAAACGAGTTGACGGTGCCAGTGTTGCCGCCGACCTTACAAGTAGACGGGAACGCAAGACACTGCGACGCAACACCAAGCACAATATCGACGAGCGTCCACGGGTTCTTGTGGCTGCGGCGGTACCAGTTCTCAGGGATACGGTCCTTGCCGTACTCGTACTTGCGCGAGCCGTCAGGTTGGACTGAATAAGAAAAGAAGGCATCGAGGACGTTGTGCTCGAGGAAGCCGCGCGGGTTGGCAGATGAGTGGTTAGCCATGAGGGCCCAGACAAAGGTGTGCGCAGCAGGCGTAAAGGCAACGCCGCCAAAGGCAGGCGAGAAGTAGTTGGGGTTGGTGGCAATGGAGTGCAGCTTGCGGTTGTGCTGGTGCTCAGCGAGGACGGGCGCCGTGATGAGGCCGTTGGCGCGCTTGTCGGAGAGATCGAGAAGTTCTTGGTAGAACTTGGGGTATGAGGCGCAGTTGGAGTTGTCGTCGGGGGCAAGGAAGTCGCCGCGGGTGATGGAGGCGTCGTTTTCCGACTTGGAGTGGCCGTCTGTGCTTTGCGTTAGTTTCATGAAGAATGCGGTGGGTATATACACAGAGAAGAATTCACGTGTGTATATAAATACAAGAGGGAAAGAACAGAGGAGAAAAGGAACGTACAGGCACAGATACCAGTGGGAGTGCCCAGTAGGGCACCCGCAACAGGCCCCAGCAAGCTCACTTTGTCCGAAGCATAGCCAATGGACCACTTCTGTGAAAGAGGGTCGCCGTCGAATAGCGTAGTTGTCTGCTGGAGGAACTGTGTGGCGGTCTGGTCTAATCCAAAGGCTTCCCAGAGACCTGTCTGGACGGCGGCATAGGTGGCGATGCCGTCGCGAGGAAGATAGCCGTGGTTGGCGGCGGCATTGAGGCCAGGGCAAGGGCCGCGAATGTCTCCTGGGCGAGGATCGCGGTACTCATGCTCGCCATGGACGCTGACAAGTTGCTCTGTGGCGTCAAATTCGTTGAAGAGGGCCTGGTTGGGCGTTCCTGGGTACATGGGGAAGTCTGCCACCTTGGGCACCGCCTGGCCTGTAAGTAGTTTGCGTTAGCGAGTGGGAGCGGAGAGTAAAAGGAAACGACATACGGGCTCCCATGTTGGGAAAGGCGGCCGCCGTAACGACAAGCGTGGATTGGATAGCGTAAAACTTCATCTTGGGACAAATCTGTAGTAAGAGTCTAACAGAGTCGCGTAAAGTGTAAGCCGAAGAAACAGAGGGGACCCGTTACTTTATATACGCTCTGTTTTTGCTTTCTTCTGGTATTGAACTCCTGGCGTGTAGATAGGCCAACGTCCGCAGTACCACTCACACCCTCCATTAACCCGGCCTGACCAATTACTCGCCACTGATTCCAAATGAATCTGGCCCCTCAAAGAGCATGGGCTATTGGAAGGGCAGGAACCCCGATGTAACACCCCGCGTGGCTTGGCGGTGTTGACAGACGGGCAACTGGGGATCCGAGAACGGTTCCATTATTTTCTCTTCTCTCATTCTGGGGGCGAGCGGATGTATCCGATGAGACAATGCAATCATAGCAGCGCATAGACACAGGGAACCCTGGCGCGTGGCAAGCTGATCAATAGAACAGAAAGCCTAATGCACGCTTGGCGGTCTAGATGAAAGGCCCATTTTGCCTCTGGAGATCGCACTATTTGCTGCACTAAGAGCCCAGTGTTTATGCAGGTGCCAGCGAATAAGCTTGCAAGCGATGTCTCGAAGGGGACTAGGCCGGGGACACTAGCGCCGGGTACGCTGGACTCCGGGGTTACAGTGAATTTGCGTTTCTTGGTCTCCTCTCTAGCCAATCGCGCGACCCCCGTTAGTGTGCATCGCGCGACACTGCGCCAGGCACACATGCGTCAAATGGCTTAAAAGCCAGACTACATCTCACCAAAGACGCGGCTTGTGATTATATACTACAGAGCAGAGTTTATTATTTATATGACTAATTTGGTGTGCTTTGCGAGCGAATAGGAGCCCTTAGACTGTTTACTATGTACAAAGTACTATTAGCGTAACTCAGCAAAGTATATTTGTCTAATTTAAGAGCTTAGCTTCTATTAGAACGTGGTTCACCAGTAAACGGGCTACCCCCTATATTAGTCATAGTTAGCTCTAACTTCGCGTATAGCAGCAAATAGTATAATGATATTTTCTAAATATTCTGAATCTCGAGGTATCTATTACTTCTATAACCTGAATTTCCGCAACTAAGCATCGTGGTCGTGCTCGTAATCGTGGTTGTTATGTTATTGGTTATTATAGACTAACCCGGGCCAGCTGGTGAAAAGGGTGTCTCAAGATCATGATTAATTCTCTTAAGGGGTATTCTAGAGAGCTTCTACTATCGAGAAAATTTATAAAGAGCCCCTAGAAAGCGGTAACAGGTATCCTGCTTGCTTATCTACCCATTTTCGTTTAATTCGATTTACTAATTTTCGTTAAGATTAAGTATTTTATACTATAATACTAAACTGTAACGGGCTAGGCTCGTGGAGGTCTCGGGTAGCTCCCGATCAGGAACCCAGGTAAGTCGTATAAGAGGCCATTCCAGCCGAGCTGGAATAGCCCCTTTTCGATCTTTTCTTCTCCGTCTTCGAATACTCGTTGTTGGTTCAAGGATTAATAACACGTGTTATTTACCCTTGAACCAACAGTCACAATAGTCACAACACTCGTAGTAGTCACTTGGCTATTTATCCATATACTCAGTTGAGACCGTTACAATAAGTGATATATTTGAGATAGATAAGTATGTCTCGGATAATAAGTGCCGCTTGAATCACTATACTTTACTGAAATGGACAGTGTTATCTTATCTAGGGGTCAAATATGTGATATGTTCCTTACTGAGACAACACGCAACAGGCAAGATTCAGCCTGAAGTGATGCCTTCAATCCCAAAATGGTAGATAAACATTCACCACCCATCGTCACCAATTCCCTTAGATCTACCTTTCACCTCCTTATAACACTTCACCGCGAAAACCCCTTCAGAGCTTTGTGCTTTACACCATATTGAACAATACAGATAAAGTATGCGAAGACTTACATCTCCTGCGAAACGATCATCTCTGGAATGCTTTTCTATCACCAGCATAGAAGCAGAAGATAACAATACATTGAAAAAGACCAGAGAAGACGAAGCATGGACACCGACCCTCACTGTTACGGCATATAGCCTGATATGGCTTATAAACCTCTGCTTCTTCATCTATGAAGGTGTAGAGACATTGCTACTTCCAAGTACTCTTTCGGACATTGACGATGAATATCTGCTACCACTTGTCATGATAATGAGTTTAGTTCTATCATCAGCTTCACGATTATTTTTGGCGAGATTCATCATCCACTTCAGTCGCGCACTAGCGGTGGCTATTTCGACTGTTTTCATGACCATTGGCCTCGTGATCCTAGCTATGGATTTAGGCTTTATGCAATATTCTATCGGGCAGATCTTTCGAAAAATTGGTACAAATGGTATCAGTTACTGCCAAACAGTTTTCATATCGGAAATATCGCCCTTACGCGACAGGTCACTGTTGCTGGGTATGGTCCTATCTCCAACACTAATAGCATATTTGTCGAGTGGTGCTATTACACAAGTTGTCATCGCACACGTCAATACATGGGGTTATCATCTCGTTTTCATCGGTATAACGCCAGTTGCAACATCTGCACTTGGCCTATTATTCCACTATGCATCGTTTAGGCACACTGAACGCTATGTCGAAAACAGCACCGGCGACATATACAGAGAGCCCAAACGAGTCATGAACTACATCAGAGAATTCAATCCTATTGGCATACTTCTCTTTTCCGCCGCAGGAAGTTGTTTGCTACTTGTAGCCAACAATGTTCCGTTGCAGAGGAACGAGTTTGCCTCACCGTTGATTTTATCGCTGTCTGTACTCGGTGTGGTGTCTTTACTGGCGTTAATTGTCTGGGAACGGTTGGCGATACATCGATCGCTCACAACATATGAATATTTACGCAACCGAACTATCTTGGCTGCATGTATTGCTAATACGCTTTGTATGGCAAGTCTGAATGGTTGGAAAAGTTACTTTATCCCATTTATACAGGTTGTCGACAACAGGAGTATAATGGATACTGGATTTTTGACACCAATTTACGATGTTGCCGCAACCACTGGTACCCTGGTGTTTGGGATCATAATCCGGCATGTTGGATTTGTTAAATGTCCAGCTTTATACCTGGGTGTACTGGGAGCTATTCTTGGTCTTTGTCTGGCGATATATAGCTTGCGGCCCGATTCGAGCACCTCTTTGACTATCGCATGGCAAATAATAGCTGCTTTTTCTCAGTCCCTTCTTACAACATGTATTCCACTCGCAATTGCAGCTGCAACGGGGAATCAAGATCTCACTACTTTAGTGGCAATTTGTGGATTGTTCGAGGACATTGGAGCAGCAATTGGTTACTCGCTTGCTTCCATTATTTGGCAGGAGACATTGCCACAGAGACTCAACGAGTATTTTCCAACCAACATCAGACCTGAAGAGGGTGCTATTTATGGCTCGTTATCCTTGCAACTGTTATTCAAGGAAAATACACTAGTGCGCAAGGCAATCCAAATAGGGTATTGTGACACTCAAAGAATTATCTTTATAGTTTCAACTATTCTATGGATGCCTATTTTAATTACTATATTTTTATGGGGAAATTTTAGTACTATAGAGATTTGACATAGATATCAACGTGGTTCACGGGTGAGCGCTACACCCTTCTTGACCTTAACTTATGAAAAGTACTGCATCGGCCTCGAACATTATTAGAAAAAAATTAAAACTTATTCTAAACTACCCAAAGAAATAGTTTCTACTTCATTTTCACATGTTCTGAAATTATGGCCTATTTCGCCGCATTTTCCATAGTGTCTGTACTGTTACGTATCCCGGCTACCCTAGTATTTCTGAAACAAAGGCTAATTAGCACGAACAAACAAACACAAAGACAATATCTTATAGCGGTCAATTCCGCTCCTTGCAGTCTGTAATTCCGCATGTCTCACTTTCCTCAAGGAAACGGGGTAGACCCTGGAAGAGCCTCCCTCCGGCTCATCGCAGAGCGCGCAATTCGTTCCGCCACTGTTAAGTCCGGTTTGTTTGTTTTGTCCGCTAGTATTTAGCCATAGTAGCGCGGCAGATTCAGCACAGGCGTAGGAACTCCCGCCGGCACCTCGTCCAGCCCGCTCGGTTCCAGATAGTCCTTGAACCCATTCACACTCAGCCGGAGCTTGCGCGACTCAGCATACACTACGCGCCGCATCCTGTTGGTACTGCCCAGTGGCTGGTGCACCTTGAGCCCATGCCACCCGTTTACAGTGATTCTGTCGTTCCACCATGCCCGGAACTGAGGCTGCCAGCTATCCTGCGGCTCAAACTCCAGCGTAGCCACCTGCTGCCATGGATACTTGGCTGCGTCCCATTCGATGCCGATGTCGTCGACAGGCTGGTCCTGTAGATTCTCCAGCATCTGGACGCAAAACGAGTATGTCACCTTGTGCTGCATGTGGAATTTCCGGGCTTGCTGCGATAGGGCGTTGATAGGCGCGTCTTTGGGGATGTGCTCGTTGGCTAGCTTGAGTTGCTCCTCACCGAGAGGGAAGACCCCAAATTTGACGACAATGTCGCCGTAGCGATATGCCGATTGCGAGTATTGAGGCATGGCGACCACTAGAAGACGGTCAGTTATACATGGCTATATGTGGAATGACGCTTTGTAAAGAGGATTGATTGATACGTACTGTATTGACGAGGTAGTTGACCCGGCATACACGCTAGGGCTGCATCAGGACGAGCCGCGCACTCGGCGCCAAATTTATCCAGCGTATTCCAATTGCGCTCAAGAGAATCCGCAATCTCGTTGGTGGTTTTCGGGTCTCGCAGCTCCAGCACAGGGTAATTGTTCATGGTAAAGTCTTGTGTCTTCTTATCGTCGCCCCAGATCTTCTCGCCCTCGACGCCAAACACCTTGATGCCGATGCCGCGAGGCGCGGGAATGTTGTCGGGTACAAGCTTTGGCGTGAGCGACGAGTACCGGAGAATAGTGTCGTAGCTTGCAGGCTTGGAAAACATGCCCTGTGCAAGATGCGGTTCCAACTTATCCTTGACAGTAAATTTTCCCATAATGCACTGGTGCAATTATTAACACTCTGCTTAAGGGGTGGATGGACCACTTACACCATGGGTCTTGAGATGCGTGCCGCGCAAGCAGTGATGATGCTCATCAAAGGTCATCATTTGGAACCGCAGAAACTGCTCAGACACGGCACGAATATTGTCAGGTTCAACGTCGGGAATTACTTCGACGCCTGGTGCATCCCTAGTTTGTTCCGTTATAACTGGTACGATACCCTGGACAGAGCACAATCTTGGGCTTACCACTTGATATACGTTCGTGCAGACATGGTTACTTGTTCAATCTGATGGTATTTAGATTTGTCTCAGTATATTATGAAAAAAAAACCGAAGCAGAGAATATTGCCGGTTTTCTCTTCTTGTATAGCCGACTCATCGACTTACACGCATGCATACCCCGCTCAGTGCTGACGAGCAGGCGCACGCCTTCCGCATCTCCGGTGCGTTTGTTTGGTCAGCATAGACCAATACTATTGTGGTGATTGGTCCAGAGTTTGGGTTTTCTGGTGCGGGGGATCGATTTTGGGGAAATATCGCGAATATATCGGACGATGGTGGTGGGACGAGAGATCGTGTTATGGCGGCGCGTCCACATTGTCCAAATAACGACTGAAAGAAATAATGAAAATAATATCGAAAAAAGGAAAATGAGCCAAGTAAAATGTCAAAACTATCAAACAGAACAATCTATAAACATAGGAGAATCTATATGCAAACTTTTAAAATCATTCACTTCAGCAAATCCTTCATCTCCAGTCCCTCAACACCCGCGGAAATCGTGTTGATAATATCAATCAGCTCCTCCACTAGACCATTCACATCCTCCTTCGTATAGAACGCGCTGCTATGGTACACCGCCAAACGGTAATCATCTACAGACTTGCCCACCTCCACCACCAGCTCGTACGGCTGCAGCAGCTTCACCTGGCTCGCCTTGCTCAGCGGCAGCCATCTCGTGTTTTCAATCTCCTCCGCCGTCGTGCCTACAGGAATCGGCTCAAACGGCTGGTAAAGGAACATACTCTTGTTGCCGTACTGGGCGCGGTCCAGTCCAGCTGCGCGGTAGATCTCATCCAGGCCAACATTGCCATTCTCCGTAGCGGCCCAGAACAAGTCCTGAGAATCTTCAATAAACATCTTGACGGGCGTCTCTGGCGCAATACTGCATTCCATGGGCAAAAAGTTGGCCAGTGTGCCGTTGATTGTCTGAGGGTCAACGCTCGTCTGCACGTTGCGGCCGCTAAGAAGGTAGTCGAAGCCAATGCGGCCCGACGCGGATCGGCGCGCCATGTATATCTGATACGCGGCCTGGAAGATAATCGCAGGCGTCACGGAGCATGCGCGTGCAACATCGTCAACGTCTACCTCCAGCTTGCGGCGGACTACGCCATCCGTGATGGGTTGGTTGTTGGTCGCATTGAATGTGCTAGGCTTGCAGTGCATGGTGTCCTTCCAGTAGTCAAGCACGTCTTGCTTGTCTTCAGCCCAGGTGGCCAAAGCAAAGTCGCGGAACTCGCCGTGCTCGGAGATGGGTTGGCCCTGGCGGAGCTCGGTCCATTGGTCGTCGAGGATGCGAAACAGCGTGCCGTCGTACACACCGTGGTCCATCTTGATGACGAGATCCCACGAGGTAGCTCCAGATTCGGGAGTCTGCAAGACAGCATATTTGATAAATGGCGAACCGAATGCAAAGCGGGTGTCCCAAAACTTGGAAACAAATTCCTTCTTTTCATCTTCGTTTGCAACAGTCGCGTATACAACGTCCAGAGCAGTGGACTTGAGAACAACACCAGCCCATGACTCTTCGTCGCGAGTCCAGCATGTGCGAAGGATATCGTTTTCGGCAGTCAGCTTGACAGTTGACGCGAGCCAGTCTTCGGAGGTGGTGTGCGCCATGGGGCGAACGGCCATGAGCTGCCAAACTTGCTCTTGTCTGCTGCCGTGCTCGAGGAACTCGGCCTGGCCAGATGGAACGGGGTACACTGGTTTCTGTTAGTAAATTTTGAAGAAAGCGCAGGAATAAAAACGACTTACCATATTCAACATCATTTTCTAAGTCGAGACCGGCTTCCTGGATCTTCTTCTCAACAGCAGTCGATGCCTTGTACTCAACCGCGGCTTGCGAGCTTTCTGTGGTCTCAACAACCTTCATAGTGAGCGCCATCTCCTTGAGATCAGCCACCTTGAGCACCTTGGCAACAGAGAGAACATAGTTCTCCGTGCGTGCCAGGCCAACAAGACGAATGGCAGCGATAGAATCACCACCCAAAGCAACGAAGCTTGCTGCCTGTCCTATCCGCGTGCCCTCGGGAAGCTGCAAAATCGACATCCACATTTTCTCAAGAGCTGCCTCAGCTGGTGTTGCAACTGGGATATACTCGGCAGCATGTCCAGAGTTGGCACCAGCAACAGAGTATCCAGGAAGCAGAGTCTTGTCGAACTCTTCCAACCACCGCTTGAGGGTCTTGCGATCTGTCTTGAGCGACGGTAGCTTGGGGAACCCAGTCGCCGGCAGGATATACTTAGGAATCATGTAATGCGACAAAGTATCCAGCTGATCGATCAGATTGCGGATCGTGTCTACAAAAGGCGCTGCCTCTTGGATATGTGCAGGCCCCTCGGGTTTGGATTCAAACACACAGAAAGCGACAAGAGACAGGTTGATACCGCTGCCAAAAGGCATAACCACAACGTTACCGTCGTGGACAAAGCCGGTCTTGATAATTGCCTGCTCAATCTCAGCAAGCTCAATGCGCAGACCGTGAATCTTAACTTGGTTATCTTTTCGGCCGAGACATTCGATATCGCCGTTCGGGAGCCAGCGCGCGAGATCGCCCGTGCGGTAGAGGTTGTCAACTAGGGTTATTAGCATTGAAATGTAAAATGGATAGTTCTGAAGTACTTACTGCCGAGAGTCTTATTGGAAGTATATGCTGCGTCAGTAAGATCTTTGCGGCCAACGTAGCCGTCTGTAACCTGAGGTCCTCCGATACACAGCTCACCAACAGAGCCGTACGGAACCAGGTCCTCGCCGTCAGGATCGACAAGGTACGCCATAACAGTAGGGAACGGGGCACCAATGGCAGCAGTCTTGCCACTGGCCTGAACATCCTTGGTAGTGACCACCATGGACGTCTCCGTTGGCCCATAGACGTTGAGAATCGTACAGTGAGGTAGCCACTTGTCAACAACATCCTTGGTCATCGGCTCGCCTCCGAGGATGAGAGTTTCCATAGTAGGAACGTCCTCTGGGTGCAAGATCTTGCCAACGGTAGGGGTCAGAATGGCTTGCTTGACGCGCATCTTGTTGATCAGACCAGGGAGGTCGGATTGCATTTCGTCAGTCGGGGCCATGCAGAGCGTACCACCAGTGCTGAGGGTGTTGAAGAAATCCTGGACTGACGCGTCAAAGACATAGTTGGCAAACTGCAGTGTCCGCCATTCTCCAACATCGCGTCTTTCAGCAACAACCATGCTCATGACAGCAGCAGCTGAAGATCGATGGGGCACCTGGACACCCTTGGGTACACCGGTACTTCCTGAGGTGTAAATCACGTAGGCGTGATCATCAGGTGTGATGTTGACAACGGGGTCTTCGGCAATAGGGTCCTGGCTGATCAGGTCCTCAACAATGATGGGAGTGATACCGTCAATAGTAAGACGATCCAAGTACTCGCGATGAAGAATGACCAACTGTGCCTTGACATCATTCACAATGAAGTCGTTGCGAGCGGCATTGTTCTCAGGGCTGAGCGGGATGTACGCAGCACCAGCCTTCATAACACCGAGGATGATGCTCATTGTCTCCTCCGACTTGTCCATAATCAGAGGCACCTTGTCACCAATCTTGGCACCAAGCTCCAGTAGGTGGTGCGCAACTCTGTTGGCTCTGGCATTCAGCTCACGGTAAGTCTGCTGAGAATCACCGCGCCAATCGACAGCGACAAGGTCGCCGTTGGTATGGGCAATCTCGACAAATGGAGCATGAAGAAGACCAGGCGTGGGGTAGACGCAAGTCTCAGCGTTGGTAAGGTCCGTAGCAACTACACGTCTCTCTTCAGCTGTCATTCTAGAAATGCTAGAAACAGTGCCTTGCGGGTTGGATACAATGGATTCAATCAACTCGGCATATGCAGTAAGCAAGAAACCAGCTTGCTTCTTGTCAATCTTGCCAATGAGGCGAAGCTCGGCGTCTCCATTGCCGGTGCCATCGAGGTCAATTTCCATGGTGGTTCTGTCGGACTCCCAAATAGATCTAGCTCCGCTAGGGCGGAAAACAGACCACACTTGTTCTGGTTCTTCGTTGCGAACGAGCACGTTGATCAGGGTATCAACGACAGTAGCATCGAGGCCACCGGCAGTAAGTGCATCGCGCATACCTGTTTGCGAGTGGCTCATGACCTGGTAGAGTTCTTCTGCTACTCTCCAGATCAAAGTCTGCACAGGCTCCTCGGGGTTTATAAGGACGCGTTGAGGGACTGTTGTCAACGTAGGGCCATCCATTCGGTCGATACCAGGCACAGGAGCGTCGCGGCCGCTGAATGTTGTCGCAAAGACAGTGTCAACACTTCGAGTACGGCGCCACAATAAAAGTGCCCAGGCACCATAAAGGACCGAACCAGCCGTGAAACCAGCCTGTGCAATGCGACGGCCAAGTGCGGGAACCTTGGTAGTTGCAATGGTCGTCGACATGTCGTCCGTGGGAATGATGCTGGAGCTCATAGTCGCGTACTCAGTCTGTTGGAGGTACTTGCTCCAGAATGCTGCATGAGACTTGTCATCCTTCAACTGACCAAGGTGCTTGATGAAGCGAGAGAACTTGGGGCGGCTGGGAATTTCGTCGCCCTCATATGCGGCGGCAGCATCGTGATAGAAGAATCGATGGGACCAAAAGTCGAATAGGGCATGGTGTGTCACAATCACGAGGTACTGCTGACGAACGACAACAACTTGCATCAACGACTTGGAAGCATCACTGACGAATCGCTTAGCAGTAGCGATAGAGGATGTCAAGTCCTCGTCAGTCTCTGCCCACGGGAGCTGCCAGCCAGAGTTGACCACCTGAAGGTACCCAGTAGCGGTAGCAGCAAACGAAGTTCGGAGAATATCACTCTTGTTGTATGCGGCTTCCATGGCCCTGCGAAGTCTAGCAAGGCTCAAGTGACCAACCTTCCAAACACGGTGGTAGATGTACATGTCGGCATCTTCACCGGTAGTAAGAGAAGCAAGAAGACTCTCCTGTAATGGGGTTGCGGGATAAGCATCAGATGCTTGTCCATCTTGCACAGTCTTCAAAGCAGCAGCGTTGGGTACCAGTGAGAACGGTTCAATGTCGGAAGTAGCAGCGGCATCAAGAGGCATAAGAAGAGCTGCCAGGTCTGTCAGAGATGTACCAGGAGCGAGAATGTCGGCCATGGTGGCAACATATCCCTTGTCCTGCAGCATAGCGATGCTGCGAATAGCCTGAATGGAGGATCCTCCTAGAGACACAAAATCATGCTGGCGTTTGATAATGGAAGTAGGAATGTCAAGGACATGAGCCCAGCACTCTGCAACAATCAACTCGATAGGGTCACTGATGTCGCTGTCATCATCTGACACACCAAGAGCCTTTCGGAGAAGGCCTTCGGCACCGATGTCCTTCACAAGCTTTTGTACAGCACGGATATCGACTTTCCCGTTGGCGTTTGACGGGATACTGTCGACTGGTGCCCAGAACGCCGGGACCATGTAACTAGGAAGGCGACTGGCAACATGTTCTCGGAGCGAAGCAATGCTTTCCTTCAAATTTGAAGCATTCTCAGGGTGAAGAACAATGGCAGCCACTAGTGAGGCATCGTCAGAACCCTTGTGAAGTTCAACTGCTGCCGTTGCTGATCGAATGATGGCAGGATGCTGGCGCAAGACCTGGTCAATCTCTGCTGGATCAACCTTTTGGCCGGCAATCTTTGTCTGTAGATCGAGACGGCCAGTAACCTGAATCTCGCCAGTGGGTAATAATCTAGCAGCATCTCCAGTGCGGAAGAGCATACCACTGCCAAAAGGATTGGCTTGGAAGACGCGAGCGGTGACGTCGGGCAGATTCAGGTAGCCATCTGCCAGCTGGCGACTGGCAAGACACAGTTCGCCAGGAATGCCAATTGGCACAAGCTCGTCTGTTCCTGGCTTGAGAATGTAAGCTGCTGTAGTATCGACCGGCGATCCGACAATTCGAGAGTTGCTGCCAGGCAAGAGACGGTGGCTGAAGTTGAGCTGAGCACATTCACTTAGTCCGTAAGTGTTGAAGAGATCGACCTTGTCCGCCCAGCGGTCAATCACCTGGTTGGAGACAGCTTCACCAACCATGACGACGCGCTGAACATTGGCCAAACCGCCGTCAGGCAAAGCAGCGAGAGCAGATGGTGTAATACCGAGGGCGTCGACTCGCATAGTCTTCAAAATGGTGGGCAAGTCTTGCACGAGCTTATCTTTGCGCGCAATGACCAGCGTAGCACCATGGGCAAGAGTTGATAGCATCGTTCTCTGGGCGGCAGAAAAGATAGGGTTGTAGAAGAGCAGCCATCGGTCAAGGCCAGAGACACTATGGCACTGCATACCGGAGGTCGCAGCCCCATGGGAAATAACGACACCCTTAGGCTTTCCGGTAGAGCCAGATGTGAAGACAATGTATGCGGTATCCTTGGTAGAAATGCCAATGTCCAAGTTATCATCGGGAACACCAGCGTAGTCTTCGAGAACATCGTCGACGTTCCAGGCTTTCTCGAAACGACCAGCCAGTTGGGTCTGTACAAGGACACCACGAGCACCGCAAGCTTCAATAATGCTCTCATTGCGCACCAGCGGAGCCTCGGGATCAAGAACCGTGTAAGCGGCACCCGCTTTAAGGACAGCAAGGATGGATGCGATGAGCTCCACCGACCGCGAGATGCAAATCGGCACAATCTCGCCGACGTGGAGACGCAAGCCACGAGCCAATTTGTTAGCCATGGCGTTGAGCTCCTGGTACGAAACAATTGTCTCAGAGCCAAATTGAATTGCGCATTTGTTAGGCTGGCTGATGACCGATTGTTCAAACAGCTTCACGATCGTCGAAGGCGCGACATTCTTGACCTTTTCCTGGGCATATGCCAAGATGACTTGGCGTTCCTCGGGCGATCCAAGATCGACATCCTTGCAATGAAGCTTGGAAAGGCTTGGCTGGCGGGCAACATCTGAGATTGCTTGGATAAAGTGTCGCAACAGCATTTCAGCTCGGCCGAACGAGTGATCGCTGTAGAAGGAGGCAGTAACACGAGTAGAGGAAGTGCCTGCAATGAAAATAGAAATCGGGAATGTGTTTTCAATTCCGCCAGGAGGCAGATGCTTGATATCTGGGGAGCATGCGACGATGGACTCGATGTGGCCGCTGGTCAAAACATCCTCAATCGCGCGATATCCGAGATGTGCATGTTGCGACGCCTTGCGGTGGAAGGACTGCAAATCTTTAGCAGCTTCCATAAAAGTTGTTTCAGTGGTAAATGTTCCACGGACGGGATATACATGGTCAACCAGACCAACACAGGTGTCTGCGCCAGTGAAGGTGGCGTCGCGTCCCATTACAGCAAACGCAACATCTTGTGTGTCGGCATGGCGCTGTAATGTTAACGCCCAGAGAGTCTCAAAGAGCGACTTGCGGCTAATGACGCCTGTTTGGTCGAGTTGACGCAGCAGGTCGCAAGTGTTGTGATCAAGATCAATGTATACACTCGAGCGCTCAGCAGCCGCATAGCGGTCGGCTGGCACAAGAGACTTGCTAGAGACTCCATCGAAAGCATTGACCCAGAAGTCAAGAGAGGTATGTGTATCTTTGTGAGCAACCGAAGCGAGGTAAATTCCAAACGGAACGTGACCTGGAAGCTTGGCGCCATTGTAGAGGGCCGCGAATCCTCGAGCAACCAGGCTAAGAGAAGTGGTGTCAAGCAGTGCTCGGGGAGCATTCAGAACAACATAGCCAAGGCTATCGATATCCGAAAATTGAATAGTGAGATAAGCCTGTGTCGCACTGCCAATTATATTTGTTGACTTAGCAGCATTTTTTGTAATATCAATGACTTGCACTGTGGACGGTGTTGCAGTGGCAAAGTTGACGTGCTTTTGTGTGATTGTATCATATTGAATCGTGGCGTTGAGAATTTCATCTGCAAATCCATGTAAGTTGAAGAACAAAAATACGTTTTAAAATTACTTACAATGTGAGCAAAGCTGATTCCAGATGTTTTGTACGCGGTCAGCGTTGCCTTTGTCTTTGGCCAGTGTGAAGATGACGGCCTGAACCCATTGCGGAATATCGTCTTGAATAATATCCGACTGACAGGCTGAAACAGGGACTGTCTGATGATGTGTGTATGGGCAGGTAGTAGCAGGCCTGTCCAAAGCCTCGAAAGTGAGCTGAGGCACCTCCGTGCTAGGCTTGATAGGTTGGGCCAAAGGGCTGAGATCAATCACCGCCATAGTGAATGATGTATATATGGGGCGGTATGGAGAGGATAGGTTATGAAAGATAAGAAAGAATGTGATACGAGAGACAAAAGATGTATAATGGAGGAGAGTGTATGATGGGACGCTAAGGTTTGTATATGGCGTGGGAGGATATAAAAAACCGTCAGCTGAGATGGAAAGCGGGAAGCTGCTGATCAACAAGACGATTTATACCACAAAAGGACCCCGAGAACAACTTTTATATACACAGAACGCCGAATTCAGCCTCTAAACGAGCGGTGGAAGCCTTTGCATCCTGATGTCGAGCTTGGGGCTCTCAGCTGAAGCCAGGCTCCATCCATCCTTGACAAAGTTTTCATCATGAACGGCCTAATATTATCCTCAACGCAGGGAATCCGGCTCAATCATGACCGAACGGCTTCTTAGGCTGCGCCACGAACTACCTAGTCTGAAGTCTCGAGGGACATTGTTCGACAGGCAGTGTTCTCAGCTTCACCCATGTACCCAGGCCTCCAGCTCCCAAGTACACGACCAGCTAGACGACCTAGAATGTCATCATTCACATATTCAGCGCCTCGAAACAAGACTAACACACTGTTATTCAGTGGATCTATCCACTTGATGACTCTCTAGAAAGACTATTCCCAACACCGGTGTCTGCATAACAAGGCATACACAGACCAGTGCCGTGCCGGGTATTCTTGATGCACGACTAACTCTCCGGAGGCTAATTATGGAGTGATATCCACAATTTACGGCCTCTATACGGTAACTATATTACATGACAAAACGAAGCAAGAGATGTCCAAAACAAGACGGTTAGCCCAGCTCATTGCTCTTCTCTGATTCTATCCTACCAATCGCAACCACAGCCGCGGCCACAACAATCCAACACTCACGCACAACTCTTTACAACTCAACACAATGACCAACAAAAGGGATACAATCATCACTTATACGGGCATTTCCAATGATCCCGCCAGCGTCATCCAAGTCAGCACCGCACCGTGTGCAGAAACCCTCGCTGCAGATGAGGTGCTTGTCGAGTTCATTGCCTCACCCATCAACCCGCAGGATTTGCTCGTTATTAGCGGCAAATATCCGGTGCAGCCCTCGAACCGCCACGAAGAACGCCTCATTCCAGGCTACGATGGCATTTGCCAAGTAGTGGGCGTCGGAGCGGCCGTTAGCAAGCTGTGCGTCGGGGACAGAGCCATTCCTCTGCGCCACGGCCTCGGCACGTGGCGCTCATCAGCCATTGTGAACGAGTCGCTGCTGATCAAGGTGCCGGAAAATCTCGATCCAGTGGCTGGGTGTGTTCTCAAGATGGGCGCCATGGTGGCCGCGTGCCTGCTACGCGAGCGGCCGGCACTGCGCCCAGGGGACTGGATCATCCAGAATGCCGGCGGCAGCACTATTGCCACCATGGTCTCCCAGCTGGCCAGGATGTCTGGCGTGAAAACCTGTTCCATCATCCGGGACCGGCCGGCGGCACAAGATGAGCGCCGACGCTTGCTTCAAGGCGGGGCCGACGCCGTCGTCACAGAGTCTGAGCTTGAGGCAGCCAGCGGCGCACCGCTACCTATTCTACAGGGCAAGCGTGTTGTTCTTGGCCTCGACAGCGTCTTTGGCGAATCAGGAACACGCCTTGTTGGCCAGCTGACGTTGGGGGCTACGTACATCAACTACGGCTCGCTGGGGGGCATGGACAAGGAGCTACGGTTGACGCAGCAGGATGTGTTTTGGAAGCGCATTACTTTCCGCAACTTTCGCCTGTCTGAGTGGACGGGCTCCATGACTACGGATGAATTGCAGGACCTGCTGCAGTGGCTTAGCGAGGCCTTTGTTAGCGGGCAACTACGCGCGCCGGCCGTTCAGCTTGTGGATGTAAGTGGCCATGATGCGGAGCACCATGTGCAAGCTGCGCTGCGCAACTCAACCGCTTCGTCTGGGTGTGTTGGCACGAAAAAGTCTGTGCTCGTATTCAGAAAGGGGATTACGGGAGTGGAATTACGGGAAACAACACCAGCTTCGGCGCCGAAGGATCTGCCTGTGCGCGCTGCAGCCACTATGGCAACAACTGGGCCGACGGGTGATGTGGTGGTGGCGGCGCCGCCGGAGGCCACCGCCTCTGCATAGGTTCGACACAGATATCGCGTTTTCAACCGTTTTTAGAAAGCTATTACTCCTCAATGTTACATGTTCCATTCGCTTGTCCTGGTTCTGCCCTGCCGAGGTGCAACCCACCATGATCTGCGAAACCGTAGCCAATGTAACATGACGACAAACTTACATGCGAGATGCAAGGGCACTCAATGCATTACCCAGTTCCGACTATATCGGCTGCATCCAGCTACAGCTACGGCTACGGTAATACCAAAGAACAAAAAACAGCTCGGCTAGTACGTACACTAGCATTACTACGTGCTTCAAACACGCCATCCGTGGCGCACACACTTGTAGCTGCCTGCCGAGAGGGCGCTGAGTGCAACATTTCCGATCGGTATTACTACATAGATGCATCACCACTGCCGAGACGCCCCATTATTTAAGGGACACCTTACATATGCGCCTCAATTTCGCGTTTGGGGGCGGGTTCGTTTGGTTCCACATATCAACTTCAGCCTCACTCGAGGTTAGCAAGTCGAAGCGGCGTAGATGGGGGCGTAATTCATCCGGTCCCCTGTTTCACACTCTCTATTGTTCAGCCGCCAAGCTTTGTCTAGTGGAGATGTCGCTCAACGTTAAAAAAAAGCAGGAATTCGTATTTACCCGTATTCACTAGTGCATGCAGCTCGCCACCACGCCTCAATGGAATACCGGGAGAAGAAATTTTGGAAAATTTTCAGATCCTATTACAACATGCATGAAAAAAACTAGTCTATCAACAAGAAAAATTCTAAACGCTTTTTACGCGGACTGGGGACCAAGCTCCTTCTCAATGGCCTTGGCATTGAACTGGCGCAACATGCCCTCGAGGCCGGGGATCTCAGGGTCGTAGTCGATGCGGCAGCTGTTCATCATGCGGGCCAGGAAGGCGTAGACGCCGTGCGTGTACATGAGTTCCATAATTTCCTCGTCGTTGAAGTTCTTCTTTAGAATGGCCATGGTCTCATCGGAGGTGGTATTGCCCTTGCCAATGTCGGCAATCAGGGCGCCAATGGCCTGCTGGCGCTCAGTGAAGAGCGCGGCAGGCAAGGGGGTATCGGCATCGCGCAGCGCATCGAGGTGCACTTGCGTAAAGCCAAAGATGCGGGCAACAGGTTCGTTGACGTCCCATTCGTAGGGGGCGTCGAGGGTGGCGGCGGTGCGCAGAACGGTGGTCTGCCACTCGCTGGACTTGATCTTGCGGTCAGCGTGCCACATGGTGCCGAGGAGCGCCATGAAGGGCTTGAACGAGATAGTACTGTTGGCGAGCAGCTACGTGACAATGTTAGTCAATTTTCTGATGCGTCTTGTCGTCACATACCTTAAAGACATTTCGCTCAAAGGGCAGAGTCTGGAGAGCAGCCTTGATCTCAGGAGTGGCAGTCTCCGAGTCCACGTACGGCAAGACGTGCTTGTTGGTGACGGTGGTGTTTCCCCAAGTGGCCATTGTGAAGATGATTGATGAGTATAGACAAAAGATGTTCTCAGGATGGGAGATGTTGGGTGATGATGATGATGATGAGGTGTTTGACCTGCGATGCCGTCACGTCATGTATATTATACCAAGGAAATGTGGACAACCCGTCTCATTCAGCAATACCTTCTACAACCTTGTTTGCTTACCCATCTCTTCCTTCTACTAAACACCACGGGCGTCTTTGCTTCGTCATGGAGATGGATATTCCTGCGATGGGTCCTGTCCCGAGCTCACGAACCTTGGCTTCTCAGCCTCCAGGCTAAATTCTCGTCATCACCATCCACTTTTCACCAAACGATGCCTCTTTAGTTTTCAGCTGTTTGCCCTGACCGGCGTGTCACGACATCATGGGCTGTGGTGGTGGTGATGTCTACAGCTACACCCGGTGTTGTTCTCACTTACCCGTCGAGTAAGTAAGAACGCCCAAGATCGCCGAAATCCCACTTTTTCTCTGTTTTCAGCTCCATTCTTTGGCGCCGAGTTGAGGCTCTGTCTGATTTTCGAGTCTCCGGCGCATCACCGCCCGACAACGATGCATCGCATGCTGCAAGTGTGAGTGGGTGCGCAGGTGGGTGTGAGGCTGCAAGCCCGTTTCGATGGTTCCTTCGACCCTTGCCGCCGGCACTTGGATTGCATTAGTGTATACAGCCACAGTCCTGCTTGCCTGTTTAGGCAAATACCTCTACATCTACATAAACGACGCTGGGTCATCTCCCTGCGGCCGTCGCTGATTGGGTGTCGGAGCCCCGTCCGTCCCCGGCTCCGCTTGGTCCTTTCAGCTCCGGCTCCGCTCCGTCTCCGCTTCCGTGCCCACGGCGCTGGATGCCGCCCTGATTGGCTGCGCAGGCAGTTTACACTAAGCGTATGGTGTAATTTCAGGGACGGACTAGCTTTGCTGGCTTTGTAACATCTGCCGGTGCGCCTCTGCACACCACACAAGCCTCTCCCGTCCTTTCCCGCGTCGGACGGTCTCCGTGTCCGTCTAAGTCGACGCCCGCAGCCCCCAACAATCTCAGGGAATAATGCCCATTGCGAATCCAGCAGGCTGATCCCCGAGGCCTGCCTGTTTCAGCCCATGACACGAGCAAGGCAAAAAAAATGTTTCGTTCCTTGGCTTTGTAATTCAGCCGTTGCTGTCTTACAGGGTCTCTACACATCAGCGATGCATCTTGGGTCCACCCGATTTCGTGGCTGCAGCAGCTTAACTTGTATGAGTTTCCTCTTTTTTATTTTCCTTCTCTGTTCAAGTCAATCCATCCTCTTCTTGTTTTGTTAGCACACACAGCGCAACAATGTCTGAAGCAACTACACAGAACGGCGCTCTCGTCGACAACAACTTCGACGCTGAGAAGGCTTCCGCGCCAGAGTCCCTTAGCCCGCCCTCTTCCGAGGAGGCTGTTGAGGAAAAGTCGCCTCGTCAAGCGCACGGCATCAAGGTAAATTCTCACGCAAAAAACATGTCAATGGGAAAATTACAACTAACAGCAACTATAGTGGGCTCTGATTGTCATCGCCCTCCTTTCGTCGCTCTTCCTGTACGCCCTCGACAACACTGTCGTCGCCAACGTCCAGCCAAAGGTCGTTTTGACTTTCGACCGCGTTGATCTCGTCCCATGGCTCGGTGTCGCTTTCGCTCTTGGCTCTGCCGCTAGCACGCTGCCCTGGTCCAAGGCCTACGGTACTTTCTCCGCTAAGAAGCTCTACATTGGCAGCACCACCGTCTTCATGGGCGCCTCTGCGCTCTGCGGTGGTGCCCCTAACATCGAAGCCTTCATCATCGGTCGTGCGATTGCTGGTGTTGGTGGCTGTGGCATGTACCTCGGTCTCTTGACTCTTCTCTCCGTCTCCACGACCAACACTGAGCGTCCTCGCTACCTCAGCTTGACCGGTCTGATTTGGGGTATCGGCACGGTTTTGGGTCCCGTTGTTGGTGGTGCGCTGGGTGACAGCGCTGCGACCTGGCGCTGGGCCTTCTATCTCAACTTGCTGGTTGGCGCTGTTTGCGCGCCTGTCTACTTCTTGCTGCTCCCCGACTTCAAGCCTCTTGCTGGTGTTCCTCTTATGGAGCGCTTTGGACGTCTCGACTACCTTGGCACTGTCCTTTCCATTGGCAGCATGATTTGCATTATTCTCGCCATGAACCTCGGCGGTGTCACCTGGACCTGGGAGAGCGGCAAGAGTATTGCGCTCTTCATCGTGTCTGGTGTTTTGGCTATCCTCTTTGTCCTCCAGCAGGTCTTTTGCATTGGCACCAGCATGAGCGAGCGCCTGTTCCCCATGAACTTCTGGAAGAGCCGCACCATGATTGCTCTCTTCCTCACCATGAGTAAGTCGCATCTGATCTTCTTTGCCCGATTTTACTAACAACTTTTGCTAGTGCTGGCCACCTTTGGATCCTTCATCGGTATTTACTATCTGCCCCTGTACTACCAGTTCACCCGTGGTAGCAATGCCGTTGAGACTGCTGTCCACTTGCTTCCCTTCATCTTGGTTCTGGTCGCTTTCAACTTGATCAACGGCCAGTACATGGGCAAGACTGGATACTACTATCCCTGGTATGTTGCCGGTGCCGTTCTCGAGCTCATCGGTGGTGTTCTTCTCTGTAAGTAGACTTCTTAGCATACCCCCCTTGCCTGTATTCAAACTAACTACTAACTGTGACAGACACGATCAACGAGCACACAAGCAACGCCAAGATTTACGGATACACCATCATCCTCGGTGCCGGTGTCGGTTGCTTCTGCCAGGCCGGTTTTGCCGTTGCCCAGATGAAGGTCAAGCCCGAGGAGATTTCCCACAGCATCAGCTTCATGACTAGTGGCCAGATGCTGGGCATTGTCTTCGGTACCGGTCTTTCTGGTGCTCTCTTCATCAACTACTCTACCCAGTCACTTGTCAAGGTTTTCCCTGAAGCCTCTGCCAAGGCCATTGCCGACGCCATTGCTGGCGTTGGCAGCGATCTCATTGACAAGGCTTCTCCCGAGGTTCGCGCTCAGGCTATTGCTGGTCTGACACGAGCCATCGACCTCTCGTTTGTCCCCATCATTGCTGCTGGCGCCATTTGCGTCGCCTGCAGCCTTGTCATGAAGAGAGAAAAGGTCTTTTAAAATCATGTAGCGTGGTAACTTGTAGCCATGAGGTTCTTGATCATGGTCTTCGTTGGCGCAAACTTGGGTAAATTTGAAATTTGAAGCTGGTTGAAAATTACTTATGAATCAAATACGGTGTATTTAGAAACACGAGAAGCATTGCAGGTATAAATTTGTATAATTGATTGAAATAGATATGTCTTTATAAAGTTGTGTTGTTATGTATCAGGCAGGTATGACCATATCCAGCCAGACCAAACGGTCTTTACTGACATGATAAGCAGTATTCTTCCAGATGCCAAACTCAGGATAAAGCCTGCTGAGAGACTCAGGAACAAAAATGATGGGCTTTCCATTGCATATCAACCATCCATGTCTGAATAACAAATCAACCGGACTCTTCACCTCAGGTCTAAGCTCCAGTTCGCCAGTCTCAGTGTTGAGATAGCTCATCCTGCTTTTTAGATACTTAACGGCCTGCGCTGGAACCATCATGTCTGTCGATACCTGAACCCATTCAAATTCCGCCAGGTAATCCATGTCCAACACCTCTTCTATGGGAGTGACAAATAGTAATCGACTGCCATCAACAGCAGACAATATCTCCCATCGTGAGCCCTCTGATTGCTCAGCAAGTCGGCGTGTTAGCAGTCGAGAGCCATCATGCGTGAAGCATTTGCATACTTGATCGGCAGCACGCCACCGGCGGTGCCATGCTTCCCCGTCAAACTCAAAGAAGACCAAAAACGTGGTCTGAACGGCGGATATGCTGTCTTGGACGAGTTCGTAATAGGTTACGCTGTCGGATTGCGGCGAAAAGTAGAATGGATCGGGTCTAGGCTTCACCTCATCCAGACTACCAACAATCAGGCCTGAGTTTATATCATACACTGTCACCGGCAAGTTTTCGCAGGCAACCGCGAGGAGATTCCCGTCGGGCGACAGTGCCTCATATGACCAGTTGAAGCGGCGATCATGGGCTGTCCGATAAAGGTTCTGATAAAGGGTTACTGAAAAGGCTGTCGAAAAGTCGTGTGTATTTCGAACAACCAAAGACTCCGAACTCTGCATGTACATAACTGTTTCACCATTATTGGAAAATCGTGCTCCCTCGGGCTTATGTGCGGACAACCCGATGTCCTGATATAGGCATTTGCCTGTCGCGAGGTCTCGGAATTCAATAGTGTAGTCATATTGCAAAGCAATAACACCCTTTGAAGATATGGTAAACTGTTTAACTGCGTCGGTCTCAGGATCCATTTTCAGATATTGATAAGTCTCCTGTGTGCCGCCAGTCAACTTCCATAAAGGGCGATATATTCTTATGGAATGGCCATTCGAGAGCACATTTGCACAGAGATTGTCGTCGAATGATACAACTATGTCGGGTCTTGCTGGCTTCTCAAATGCAGCATGGGTCAATGCTTTAGAATCAATGTCCCAAAGCGCCAGACCAGACGATGTATGGAAGCATAGTTTATTGGAATGCCGAAGAAAGGTTTCTGATGAAAGTTGAACACGGAGGGCCTCGCGAAAGTCTCCAAAGTCGGCAATTCTAGAGCCAGACGCAATATCCCAGGCATACTTTTCGGTTATATGCGTTGTTTTTGCCGACTGGGCGTTTGAAATGATGGTCGATCCATTTGGAGAGAGTAGTAATCCACAAAGGAGGTCTTGATGCGCGCCAAACTTTGCCTTTAGGCGTCCGGAGTAAACGTCCCACACGGCTATAGCACCCATGGCAGTAGGCGATGCTACTGTAGACCCGTCATCAGAGAAAACTTGAAACCAATTGTATGTGTCTCCATACTTGGTCATGAACTCGGCAATGAAGGCATCCATCCCCTCTCGCTTGAGCCGTGGGATAATCTGGGTCATTCGCCACGCTTTGACATGCCAAGCTCTGCCATCATCTGGAAAAGACAGCTTCTGAGTATATACTTGTCTGTTGCCTTGCTGATTATTAAATGTCATCAGCAGGTTTGGACAGTTCTTGATAGTATTTTCTAGTTGTCCTGAATGGATGTCCCAGAAAAGCATCGACCCATTTTCATCCAATGCCGCAATCATAGTGCCGTCTGGTGAAAAGACGATAGTATCAATTCTTGTCGGCGATTGCAATCTCACAATATCAATACCGGAGATGGTATCGAATATGGTGATTGCCCCAAACCAGGACGCAGAGGCTAGCAGTGCACCGTTAGGCGAGAACGCCAACACTGAAACCATGTCTCTGGGTGTAGGTAACAGCTGCAGTGTTGTATCCCACTCTGGTGCAATGCCTTCTACTTTGGAAATCTCTTTTGGTCCTTCGTGCCAGAATTCATTTCTCAAAAAGGTATCTGTGGGAGCAAACACCAGGCCTGTACAGTACAGCTGGAGCGGGTACGTAAAGATGAACTCATTCAGCGAGGGGATGAAGCGCCTTGCGTCAGACAAGCACAGCACTAGATATGATGAAGGTGGAAGGATCGCCTGCAACGGTTAGCATATGGTCATTTGAGTTGTTGTATTGCGAAGGAACTAACCAACGCCTCTTTTTCAAGAGAGACGACATATGACACTGCCTGGGGGAAAGCATTGATCCAAACAAGGCACTCAAGCCAATGCAGAAAGTGTTGCTTCAGAAAGGATTCCACGGCGCTTGGATCTGATTTGATCATGCAGGAATATGTTGTATGGAGCGTCCATTGTTTGCAGGAATACTCCAGGGCCTCTGTGATTACCTCACGTTGTTCATAAGAGACTGTGGATTCTTTCTGCGAGAAATCCCCTAAGCTCAAGATATCTTTCCGTAGCCGTGCGTTCATATATTCTAGGCATTTGTTTGCATACAGCCGATGCCCTTCAATAGAATTAATTCGGTACTCAGCTGTCTGTGGTACAGATGTGGGTTCAGAGAGAAGATAGTCGCTGAAGGATTTGTGGTGTAGGGATATCGGCCTGTTAGAATCTTCCGATTGCTGTATTACCGCATGGAACTGGCGCAAAATCTCGTGAACATCGTCACAATCCACGTCAAGCAGCTCCGATATACTTGAAGCAGACAATGGAGTAACTGCAAGTATAACCAATTGTAGAATGGACTTGGCAGCATGCAGTTGCTCATCATCAAATGGTAGAAACGCGTCTGTCAGGATTGGTTGGTAGATTTCATGTAGCTGGTCGTTGCTGGTACTGGAAAGTTGGAGCCACTTCTCTAGCTGTTTTGTGGGCGAGAATCGATCAATAAAACGAATCAATGATGAAGCGTACACAAATAAGGGAGACGGGTCTGTTGCTCTAGAGAGCAGTAGTTGGATATCTTCTTCCGTTGGCCAAGTATCGCGCTTAATCTTTCTCTTCTTCCGAATCTCGGCGAAGCTGCTCCGTAGGAATGCTTCAATATCTTCTTTGGTTTCTTCAGCGAACTCTTCCTGAAGACGAAGTACTTCATAGACTCTTCCCTTTTCTGCAAGATTTTCAAGGACCAGCTCAAGTTCTGTTGTTGCTCGACTTGTGACGAGAACATTGAATCGCGGATGCTTGGATCCAAGTTTGGCAAGCTCAAAGAGCAATTTATAAGCCAGATTTTGTTCTATGCTTTCATCCAGCGCATCAATAATAATAACTTGAGGCTTGTGGTCCATGTACAAAGGTTCGAGTGTCCGGAGAGGGACATCAAAGAGTTTTTCAAACTGGAAATCCAAAGACATGGCATCCAGCGCATCGCCATCCTCAGAGCCTAGACTAGCGGATACGCAAGCCTTGAGTCCTACAATATGTCGAACCACTTGATGAAGCAGAGTAGGAAGTACCCTTACCATTTTATTTCTCGTCTCGTCACCGCGTTTAAAGAAATAGCCCGCCGCCAAGGTACCGTTCTCGTCGAGGGAATCTGCTATAGTTCGTGCGATGGTTGATTTACCGGTACCCGCACTTCCATTGAGCCAGAAGATATTTGGACCAGTCGTAGACTCACTCCAGGACAGGAGTCGTTTGCGAATACTTGCTCGAGTACCCTCGAGACACCTAGGTGCCTCCGCTGTGTCAGCGCTGTGGTACTGAGCCTCGGGTACAATGTTGAGGTTGATATGGGTGTTATTAATGCTATTCATCGTTTCAGCAATTTCTTTCTTTCTATTGGCAGAGTGTAAATGTTACGAACCTTAGCGATGATGCCAGTTGCGTTATCGCATCGAGTTGCTGTTTTGATACTGTGAGCTGATCTTTTGAAACAGCAACTTGTTCCTTGGATACTTCCAATTGCTGTGTAGCAACTTCCGTTTGGGATTTCAAGCCCTCCAATAGTCTCGCGGCTGTATCACCAAGCTCTTCAATTCCTTTCCGGACGGTCACATCATTAACCTTGTCGAAATACGTACCCACAACGGCTTCTGCGTCCTTTACAGATTTCAACATTGATTCCCATGGTTCAAATTTTACCATGTCTCGTATTGTCCGTCCAAACCAATTTCGATAGAACCTCAGTGCACTTTCGACGTGGAATGTAATGAGCGCTGTATAGAGCTTGACCAAGCTCGTCTCAAGCTCGGTTCGCAAGTCCTGCCTTAGCTGTACCTGTTGTGGCCATAACAATGGCTCCAGTCCGGAATAAAATCCCATCCGTGATGCCACATACGAGAAGCCCTCTTTGTTCGCGGCCTCTACTGTGCTTGGGTTGGTGAAGAGTGGGAGGATAACGCACACACCAGCCCATGCCATTGAAGCTTCTGGAGATGCCTTTATAGCGTCCGCCACATACTCCTTGAACTTTATCAGAGCTTCGCTGACCTGGGCAACCTGATCGATTACCACAAACTCCATGCCAGCTATAGTATACTTGAGACGACTCTCATTCAAACTCTCCAGGCCGAGTTTGGTGATTTGCTGCATCTTTTTTTGGTCCACAGAAGTCTCGGAGGTGGTAGTAAGAGATAGGTCTGATAAAAGATGTTTTGCCAATAGCTTTTCATACTCTTTGATAAGAGATGAGTTTTCTTCCCGCAGATTTTCGTAGGCACGCTCCCAGAGGGAGGGAGGTGCCGCCTCTGGTTGCGCGATTGAGGTAGCCACTACTTGTTGTTCCTCCTCTGTGGGTAACGCACCCGTCTGCTGAGACGCTTCTGCGGTACGACTATCTATGCCATCTTGTCTATTTTCTGCAGGCTGGGAGCTGAGATCTGATGGAGCATCGGATCCAACAACCGACGAGGTGCGAGACTGACCACTCACCGCATCCTCTGGAGACAGCAAGTTAGACGACTGCTTCTTTGACTTGCGGCCAAAGAGCTTGCTGAGAGAAGGCATCTTATTCCATACTAGAAGATATAATCAGTGCAGTTTTCCGTGGCTATTGTGTTGTTTGACGTTCTCTCACTGGTTCAAGGGGGCATGGTCGTGAGGGGGCTGGTAAGGCGGCGTGCTGAATGACCTGCATATTAACCAGCCAATAGGAAGTAACACCTAAATATATATATTGACCGCGACAAAACTCACGGGGGAAAAAAAATAAGTTGCGGGGTTTACATGTCCATGGAATATGTGTTTGTATTTAAAAATAATTTGCACAGGCATGCTGGCACTATGCGTATGGTTTTTAATACCTCTGCGAGGCTAACTGTCTCTTGGAAGACATTCGATGACGGTAGATGGGATGTACAGATGATTCAAAATTTTTTACAATTTACACCGGAATCGTCTTTTTCATAGTCGTAGGCTTTTCAGCGAAATCGGCATCGACGTCGACATCTTCGCGGAGATACTCGTTGTTTTTGGCGGCAGCAATGCGTCGCTTGCGGGCATCACGCGTCTGCTTCTCGGTAACTCGTGTAAACCACCATGTCACAGCCGTGAAGATGATGCACAGGCCGGTGAAACCCATGGCAACACCAAAGGATACCGTGTACTTGGGCTTGTACTGAGATCGGAAGATCTGGGGTCCAACCAGTGAACCAATCTGGCCGAGCGAGTTGACGAAACCAATGGCGAAGGCGGAGCCAGTCGCCCTGGATGTTGTCTGCAAGCGCCAGGGCCACATAATGGGGAACCAAGCGTGCGAGATGGAACCGGTGATGATGGTGGCAGCATAGACACCACCGAGGTTAGGGTAGGTGTATAGCACAGAGTAACAGGCCAGGGTGATGATGGAGTAGATGAGCGCAATCAGTGGGCTGGGAACGTGGCGGCTGTTGACGAGCCAGCTGCTTAGGGCGATCATGAAGAGAGGGACCACGGAGGCGGGGATGGTGAGAAGCTGACTCTTGGCAATAGAAGTGAGCTTGAGATCAGCAACAATTGTGGGGAGGTAGAAGTTGAGACCAGAGGATCCGACAGTCTTGGTGGCAAAGATGAGGGTAAAGAGCCAAAGACGGATATCCTTGAGGGCTGCAACAATTTCAGACTTGTCGAAGTGGGCTTCAGCGGATCGAGGAGCGTTTTCGGGAAGACGGGCTTGCAAGAAGGCTCGCTCACGAGGAGTCAACCACTTGGCCTGCTCAGGGACTGTTTTTTTTCGATGCAGTTAGCAATTTTGATGTTTTATACAGGAAGAGACGGCGATGCATGCTTACAATCGGGGAGAGCGAACCAAACGGCAACGCTAAAGAGAATGGTAATGATTCCTTCAATAAGGAAGAGCCACTGCCAACCAGAAAGGCCACCCTTGCCAGAGACATAGTCAAAACCAAAGGCAAGAAGAGCACTGATGACGTTGGAAAAGAACTCAAATGCGTCTAGTTAATTTAAACGTGGTTAGCAATTTATCTTCTCGGCATGGCTTGGCGGAGCACGGGAGTGGCTTACAGAACCACAAAAGGCGCATTGGCATCTCGTCGGCACGGTACCAATACGCAAGCTGCAGAATAACACCGGGGAACATGCCGGCCTCAAGAAGACCGAGGAAAAATCGAGCAATGTAGATGCCCGTCTTGGTGGTGACGGCGGCGTGGCAAGCAAGCGCAATACCCCAGGTGAACTGCGCAGCGCCATTGTTAGCAATCATTCTAGTTATCGGCCGAACAATTTCAGCCACTTACCATGATGCGCGCCTGGAATCTAGAAGGCAGCATGCGCTTAATCAAAAGCAGCGAGGGAATCTCAAAAACAAGGAACGGAATCTACCATTGTTAGTCCCAATCGCGCTGCCACTGCCGAGGAAGAAAAAAAACTCACAAAGTACACAGTGCTGACAAAGTTGAAGTCGTCGCCAGTCATCTTGAGCTGCTTCAAGATGTTCTGCGGCGTACCCTGGTTCATAATGCGGGCATTGGCGGCCTTTGCGACCGTATGTTAGCTCAATTGTCTCTCTGCGAGACAGGCCAGGGGGGCAAAATACATACATTGTTGACATCAATCGACTTGACCATGAAGATGAGCGCACACATAGGAACAAGTCTCCAATCGACACGACGAAGAAGCGCCTTCTCTTCTTCCAGCGAGAAGCCATGGGCCTCGCCGACCGTCATCTGCGCTTTGTCGCTGCCACTGCGCAAGTCAACCTGCGCGGTTTCCTTTACAGCTGGAGTAGCAGCAGACGCGGGGTCAGCAGCATACTTGGGAGGCTCGTCGCTGCTCGACATGATGCGCAAGCTGGAGCAAAAGCAAGGGGGGATGGGATGTGTCTCAAAAAGCCAGAAAGCGCACGAGACGGTTCAACGGCATTATAAGGAGGAGACAGAGTTTGGAAAGATTTCAGAATTTTTATCTAATCTGATCCGTCATGAGGCTCAGACTAGCGACTCTTAGCGTGGTCATCAAGGTTCGCCGACTGCATGGACCACACGGCGATTATCCCCAATCAGGAAAGGCGGCAAGTCATGTGCAGCAAAAGAACTGCGTTTTCGAGGGGTCCAGGAGATTGATAACGACGAGTTTTTGTCTGGCAGACGTTGGGGTGTCAAACTGGCGGACAATGTAACTGCTACACGTGGAGCGTTGTATTAGGTTGCGTACCGCATGTATGCGTCTTTTTAGGATGTAGATTAAGCTTAACAATGATCCGTGGAGATTTGTTTTTCAGCCGCACTAGACTACTGATTGATTATCCCGCCCTCGGGCTGTGTTTATTGGGCGACCACCACCACCATTGGGTAGCAGTATGATGTGCTTCCCCGGAGCAAGGGTTTTCATTATCCGGTGCACTGTACGGTCACAGGAAGAGCATAGTGGCACTGTATCCATTCTGTGGTGTTTATGCATTGGTCAGTATTAAAAGACAGTAATTAGCATGAAAGAGCGTTGGAGAAGATCGTCGGCCAACTCTCAGCCCGTACGTAGGGTAGCCCAGCTAGCCGAGGCGGTCGCGTAGCTGGAAACGGTCAAGGCTGAAATTGCAACGTGGAACCGGCAATTTCGAGGCGCTTAAGGCAGACCAAGAAACGAGTTATTTTTTTTACTTCCTCGTTAAGGCTCTTGGACTGCAAGCCGACATTGTTGGTGTTGGCTGTTGTTGACGTTCATAGCGGGATGGAGAAGCGATCTCCACTGGAGCATCCGCTGGTGGCTTGCGTGGCTTGCGCAGTGTTTCCCGCTGTTTTCCGATAATTTCCAAGAGCGGGGAAATGCTTTGTTGGTGTCTTGTAACCCTAACCCCGATGTCAGAAAAGGAGACACAGCTGATTGGTTCCCAACATGGCGTCGCTCGTATAGAATCGTGTCAGACGAGATAGGATAGCAGACACTACCCTGGATGTGCATACCACGAAATCTATGTAAATATAAATATAAGCGTATTAGATAATAGTGTCATATCTAATCCGACCACTTCATCTCCATAAACCGCAAGCAAATGGCCGACAGACCGGCCACCAATCTCCTAGATCTCAGCAATGAAATTCTCTGCGACATCATTTTCTTTTGCCACTCCGAAGCAGATCTCGCAGCTTTAGCGAGGACAAACAATCTACTCCATCAGCTCGCCAACGGGGCGCTTTATAAACGCAACAATGAAGAACGCAACAGCTCATGCTTGTCGTGGGCTGCGGCGACCAACAGCCTGCGTACTATTCGCTTTGCCTTCCAAGCAGGCGCTGATCCCATAACGGCAGGCTCACCGGCTTTATGTCACGCTATCCGTGAGGACAACATCGAAGTTGCTCGCACCTTGCTTGATCTAGGAGCAGACCCAGACTATACGTACCAAGACAGCAATGACAAAGGGCTACCACCACTCTGTGAGGCAATCCAGCATTCACGACTACAACATCTGAAGCTCTTGCGTGAATACGGTGCAAATGTCAACAAAAATTTCCTCGGATTACCTTTGTTGCTTGGCGCAGTGTTCTATTGGGATCAGAATATATTCGAGTATCTGCTTTCTATTGGTGATGTCGATGTTAATGCAAGAGATGAGGATAAAGGCAATACCGCGCTACATGTGGCAATCAAAATGAAAAATGAGGATGCGTTGAAGTTCTTGCTCGCGCATACCAAGATTGCCATTGATACCAGATCAGACTTCTCGTTCACTGCGTTGCACAACGCCTCGCTATGGGTACCAAAGGACGCGTCGGCAACTTGCCTAAAAGATGGCAGAATCGGAGAGGAGACGGCATTAAGCCTTACCAAGATACTATTAGACGCCGGCGCGAATATCGATATGCCCACTGATGCTGGCCATTCAGTATTACATCTTGCCATTACCTATGGCCGCTGCAGGCTGACAGAACAACTGCTCGCTCGGGGTGCGTCAATGGGGTGGACTGGCGACGAGCAAAAGTCGTGCATGGTAATAGCGGCCGAGAGCAATGCGCCCATTCCTCTCATCAGATTGCTTCTCGCACACGGCGCAGACATAGATGAGGTGGATGGCAATGGCGATTATGCTCTTCAAACGGCCATCGAGCGGTCTAAACTCAACCTAATACAATTTCTCCTCGACCAAGGAGCCAATCCAGACAAGACAACGAGCAGAACATACGGGCCGCCACTATTGCAGGCGAGATCCATGCCAAAAGTGATGGTATTATTATTGAACTACGGGGCCGACCCTAACCTCCCCGATGATGGTGATGATGGTATGCTCGCGAGCGAAGATTGGCTGCTTAATACACTAGCAATGCAAGGCAAGCACCACCTGGTTGCCCTAATGCTAGATAAAGGTGCTGATCCAACACGGATCGCTTACATTGGTGGGGGTTGCCGTGCCTCTTTTGCACAATGCGTGATCCGTGGCGGGTCGCTGGAAGTAGTAAAGTGTGCACTAGACAGGAAACTGATTGATTTCCAGTCCTCGGATTATCAACAACACGCGCTGATCTTCGATTCTTTCTTCTCAGACAATCGACGTATGTTTGATACGCTTCTATCCGCTGGTGCAGATGTGACCATTACGGACGAGGACGACCACGCCGCGCCGTTTGTTGCAGTGAAAAGATCCAGCGTCCGTATTCTACGCCGCCTGCTGGAGAGTGGCCTATTTTCTGTCCATGTTACGGATATGCACCGCAGAACACTCCTTATTATGGCAGCGTCGCGTGGCGAAACCATCATGATGCATATGCTGCTGGCTGCTGGCGCTGACATCAATGCCACTGACCGCTATGGCACATGTGCTCTTGCGGCAGCCATGCGCAACGGACATATGGATGCTGCCGAGCTGCTGCTAAAGGATCCTAGAATCAATACAGAGCTTCTAGATCGACGAGGGCGATCGGTGTTCTGGCGCTGGTTAAAGAGGAGCACCAAAGTGGAGGATGGCAACATTGCTTTAACCGCAGCTATTGAATCAGGAGAAGAGCCTCATCTGTCAGTATTTAATGGCAGGAATTGGGACCAATATTGTGATGTCTGCTTGATATTGTTTGCCGAGGGCTTTGAAGGCTATTCATGCAATATCTGTTACAAAGGGCGGTTTGCAATGTGTCCCTCTTGCTTTGACGACGGGTGGACTTGTTTGGAGAGCCATGGACTGACATTAACTGAAGAGGCAAGAAATAGTTTCGATGGCAGCGGATCGGCGCAGATGTTGAGCTAAAACTAGCTAGCGCCTCAACACATGCTCAAGGACCCTTAAAATGGAGGTCGCAGAACATCGGCCATCCTCTGCTGTCTTCATTCTATAATATTTCAAGAAATACCTCTGTAAATAATTCACAACCTCATAATAATACATATCACTATACTTCTTTTCCACCATTTTTTTATATTGCAAAACGCCACACGCTGGGCACTCACAAAGAAAACCCCTGACATTGAGCTCCCTCCCCGCCTTTCCCTATTTTTTTTTCTGCCGGGTTGTCTGTCTGCCTCAGACTCCGTATCTTCCAATTGACTTTGCCCCCCTTCGTCGCTCAAGCCGAGCCTAATCACGACCCAGAGAATTCAATGGCCGCAAAAACGGCTACGGCCGGTACCCAGCGTGCGAAGCACTCCAAGAAACAGGCAGCATCGTCGCAGCAGGAGGAGCTTGGTGCTGTGAAGAAGCTGGGCCGCTTCCTGCTCGACAACCAGACCCGTGCGTCTCCTCTCCCGTATTTTTGTCTCTTCATATGTAACTAACAAGTTTGCCTTGTCAATTTAGGCATCTCCTTCAACATCATTGGCGCTCTGCTCCTCTCCTACATCTCCGTCCCCGCCACGCAACCGTTTATATCCAAGTTCTTCACCCCGTCCTATCACAACCCGCGCACCGGCAAGCATGCCATCGGCCCCGACGATTATTACTTTATAGTGTTTTGTGTCGTGCTGCTCACAGGTCTCCGTGACAGCTGCATGAGATATATCCTTGCGCCGCTCTCACAGCGCTGGGGCGTCAAGTCTGCCAAGGATGCCACCAGATTCGCCGAGCAGGGCTGGATGCTGCTCTACTACACAGTCGCATGGCCCACTGGCCTGGTGCGTAGACTTACCACTGGATCAACTAGATCGTCTTGCTAATTTATATTTGCAGTATATCTATATGACCTCGCCGTACTACCTCGACATGAAGCAGCTCTGGACCGACTGGCCGCAGCGCGAAATGGGACTGCTGATGAAGGCGTATATGCTCTGGCAATGGGCCTTTTGGATCCAGCAAGTCGTTGTCATCAATATCGAAGAACGACGTAAAGATCACTGGCAAATGTTGAGCCATCACTTCGTCACTATTGGCCTGATAGCCGCCTCGTACCACTACCACCAGACGCGGGTTGGAAACTTGATCCTGGTGGTGATGGATATTATCGATCTCTTCCTTCCGGTGCGTCCTAACATTAAACCTGCAATATATTTATAATGCTAACAGTGTATTTTACAGATGGCCAAGTGTCTTAAATATCTCGGCTTCACGACCATATGCGACGTCCTCTTTGCCGGCTTCATCATCTCGTGGACGATTGGCCGCCACGTGCTTTTCGTCATGATTTGCTGGAGCGTCTACTACGATTTACCACGAACAATGACATTTGCATGCTACAGAGGCAGCGCCGAGAAGCTACAGGGCCCGCTGCCCCTACCCAATGACTGGGCGCATCTGCTGGAGCCATTCCTCGACCCAACCGGCCAAGTCTGCTTCAGTCAGGGCATTACAAACGGATTCCTCGTCTCGCTGCTATCGCTTGAGGTTATGATGGTCATTTGGTTTACGTTTATCGTCAAGATTGTTATTCGTGTCTTTCAAGGCCACAGCGCAGAGGATCTGCGCAGCGACGGCGAAGACGAGGGCGACGAGGAGATTGAGGAGCCTGAATCTACGGAAGACGACACAGATGCTGAGAACCAGCGCCGGCCGCCTCACAACACTACAACTGCCGCATCGGGAGTCAGGATCGCCGAGAAGGAATTGCTACACAGAATCGGGTGCGAGAAGCGTATCAACTAACCTATAGAGTATAGCACGCCTGGACCTGTAGACGGGTCGGTGAAAAGCATGTTTTTGATTTCTTGTTATATTTTTATATGAAGCTACTAATTTTAATCCCCGCCATTACTACTACACCGCAAAATGTCCTACACCTATTTTTCTGTTTATTTATAACCGCGCCAACCCCGTAAACGCACATCGCATATAACCCACCAACCACACCAACGAGTCGTTCTGCGGGGACGTTATCCGAGCTGATTCACACCGTGTGCCGCCACGATGCGGCGAGCCAGAACCGGTTTAGCGCCCCTCGTCACCCAAGCTTATAATCGAACTCGGCGCGCATTATTTCTATCAATGCCTTTATATCATACTATATACACATATCCTGAGCTGACCGCAAAGAGCAAGATGAGTGAATTACGAGACTATGAACAGGTCAATAAGGCCAATTGGGACGAACGCGCCCCAGTGGTATGTATCACTGCGCAAACTATAGACGTTGCCAGCATAATTGGTCCTCGCACATAAAGCTAACCAGAGCAAATAGCACGCAGAGTCGGCGGATTACAACTTGTCCGACTACATCAAGAACAAAGACTATCTCGGAGACGTCGTCTCATTTGATCGCTCCCGTCTGCCCGACTTGACCGGCAAAAAGATCGTCCATCTCCAATGCCATATTGGCACCGATACTCTGGGTTTGGCACGACTCGGCGCAGCCTCTGTCACCGGTCTTGACTTCTCTGGCCCAGCTATCGCCGAAGCGAGAAAGCTGGCCGAGGCAACTAATGGGTCTGGCGGCGAGAAGCTGACCTATGTCGAGGCGTCCGTTTACGATGCCGCCAAGGTGCTCGAGGCAGGCACCTTTGACGTCGTCTTTACTGGTATCGGAGCGCTGTGCTGGATCCACAGTGTAGAGGAATGGGCTGCTGTTGTATCCAAGCTTCTGAAGCCTGGTGGCCGCTTGTTCATTCGCGAGGGACACCCCGTTCTCTGGGCCCTCGACGAGACAGACAAGGAGAAGCTGTCGATCAAGTTTCCGTACTTTGAGCGCAAGGAGCCGACTGTGTGGGAGTTTGAAAATACATATGTTCAGACAGACCACGTTTTCAAGACGAACAAGACTGCCGAGTTTAACCACGGCATCGGCGAGATTGTGCAAGCTGTTATTAACAGCGGTATGAGACTGACCAACTTGGAGGAGCATCAGAGTGTGCCGTGGAATGCGCTGCCCGAGATGATGGTAGCAGATGGAAATGGTAAGTTTTGAAGCTTCAGATGTATTTGATGTGAGAGTGCTAACTGGTTGCAGAATGGTCGGTAAAAGACCAGCCGTGGCGATTGCCTCATTCGTACACGCTCCAGGCTGTCAAGGAAGATCTTTCAAAGCCATAGATGAGATATTCAACGTCATAAAAGAGCACTTTAATTATAATACCGTACATAATCTGAAATCGTACTGTTAGCCCCGTACCAAGTACCGACTCGTCCAACCTGGTAGAATCTAAGCGCCGGACCAGGAAACCCCCCCGGGCCGTCGTAGGCCAAATCCTATACGGGGCCTCCTGTTCTCCAGACAATGTGGCAGCAGTTCATGAGAATAAAACGACTTCTCAATCAACTCCAGTGCAAATTCAATATCTGGACCAATATATCGAACACCCAAAATGCAGGGCCACTGTCGGCTCACTTTAGGGTGAATTTCATTATAGCAGAAGTTATCCCTCGCTTCCAATGGCTCTAGTGGGTGAAGATGACACAGGTTTGGCGGCGAGACGTCGTTCGCATCATCGCGATCTACTACCCGAAGAGAGTGTAGCACATAGTAATTCAACTTGCGAAACCTTCCGCTCATGGCCCCAACAACATCGCTCCAATCACCGCGGACATATACGTTGCTTAGCGAAAGGAGTTGGAGCGTATCGGAAAAGCGCGTTAACAATGATACCAACTCTTGTGCAGATCCGAAGCTTGCAGATTCAAGGAAGAGCTGAGATATCCGGGGCACATGGTCAACCTCCATTAGCATTTTGTAAAGGGGTGACGGGTTCCCCAATCTCTGAAAAAGTACGTGTACTAAAGCGAGCTTTTGAAGACGAGAGGCCCTTGTAATCAGGTCGCAACTCAGAACCACGCCTCGGGAGAAATATTCGAAGTACATATCCAGCCAAAGGGCCTTGCTTGGCCTGCGTCCAAGCGGTCCAGAACGCCTCAGATGCGTATGTTGAGGGGCGAACCGCTTCTAGACAGAATGGCCTGTGGGTTGTTTTATATCCTGACTGGTCGTATTGCAGCACATTAGCGGCGCCTAAATGGACAAATAACAGCACTCTCCACGTCTACAGTACCGTGTCAACATTATAGCAGCCAATCTTGGCTTTAGGTAGCCGGGCCATGGGACCAGAACCAGCGCGTCCCAGTCCCTGCCACCCCGACGACTGGCGCGTGCATCAAAGGCAGCGTCCAACAGTGTCGTCAGAACTTCCCTCTGTGCGACGTGTGTTTTAACAAGAGGTTAATATTTCACTATGAAACAAAGTACTCATTATTGCATTGTGTAGGGATATTCGGTTTTTGGATCTATGGTATAGCTTTAGGTTGCAACAGACAATGGTTGGCTTGATTCAGCTGACTTGCCTTTCATGCAGGGTGCGCTCCTCCACTGACTGAACTGAATTAAAATGGCGCTATCGTGCTTCCCCTCTGTCTGACGCAGCCCAAATCTCTTATGTAGATGGAACAAATTTCCAATCGCTCTAACTATCTGAGTGCACTTCGCACGTACTATGGCAAACCACAACGCTCTCGACAGCGCCGACTCTTATGCGGTTGCCTGGATTGCTGCTCTTTCCATCGAGCGGGCAGCTGCGGAAGCAATGCTCGATGAGGAGCATACCGCTCCGAATGGCTTCCATAAGCACCAAACTGACGACAACATCTACACCTGGGGTCGCATAGGAGAGCATAATGTTGTCATCACCTCTCTGGCTGCCGGAGTGTACGGAACTACGTCAGCTGCGACCACGGCCTCTAGCCTGCTTGCCTCTCTGCCGTCCATTCGTATCGGCCTTTTCGTTGGCATAGGCGGAGGCATTGCCGACAATCGTGACATTCGACTTGGTGATATTGTAGTAAGCCAGCCTGATGGAACGACCGGCGGAGTCTGTCAGTACGACTTAATCAAAGCAAAGTCAGGCGACAAGCGTGAGCGCAAAGGCTTTCTCGGCCGTCCTCCAACGGTCCTTCTAAATGCTCTCACCAAAATTCAGGCCGCTCATGAGAGGAGCGATTCCAAAGTCCCTACCTTCCTTCACGAGATGTTCGAGAAGTACCCAAAAATGGGCAAGAGCTCAAAGCAAAACCCCGGCTATGGTTACCAGGGGCTCGACAACGATCGCCTCTTCAACAGCTCATACAACCACACCGCTGGGCCAGACTGTCGGGGCTGTGAGATAAAAGAAGAGGTTCAACGCGATAATCGAGACAATTTCGACCCTGAGATCCATTACGGAACAATTGCATCTGGCAATACGCTTGTCAAAGACGCTGCTACACGCAATCGGATCGCCGCTGACGTTGGCGAGGAGTGTCTATGCTTTGAGATGGAAGCTGCTGGCTTGATGAATCACTTTCCTTGCCTTGTGATCCGGGGAATATGCGACTACGCCGATGCCCACAAGAACGACAGATGGCAACGCTACGCCTCGGCCACCGCTGCTGCATATGCCAAGGAACTCCTAGAGTATGTACCCGCTGCGGAGGTTCAAGAAACTAAGAAAGCATCAGAAGTGCTTAATTCCAGTTAGTTTTATTCCTTTTATTTAGACTATATAAGTCTTAGATACAGCATATTTGAGTATAAAAATATCTTCTAATTCATGAGCAGTACAACGACAGATCGATAGCGTACATCAGACAACAACTGCGACGAAAGTCATAACTGAATTTCTTGTTTCTAGTCACCGTACCGATAAAATCCAATGTTGGCTTCGACCCTCAGATCCGTCTACAAATGCAAACCACGCGAGGAGCCTCCGCCATGAAGGAACTGGAGCATGGCTCCTAGAAAATCCAATTTTCAAGGACTGGTATTTGGGTTCGCGTCGGCATTTATGGCTGCAGGGGCTTGCAGGGTCTGGAAAGACGGTTCTTAGCACGACTGTGTTAGATCATCTTGGGAAGGGAGACGAAAGGCTGATTCTCAGCTTCTTTTTCGACTTCAGCGACACAACAAAGCAGACCTTGGATTGTATGTTGCGATCAATTGCTTTCCAAATTTACAAAAGCAATACAGGCTCTGCTGGTTTTCTTGACCAATCGTGGCAAGCACACGAGGACGGCAATAAGCAACCTGCTATCAAGACCCTCGAAGATACTGTGCACCGGATGCTTGCAGTACAGAAGAAATGCTTCATTATTTTAGATGCTTTGGATGAATCGACAACAAGGAATGAGGTTATCACATGGATTAAAAAAATAGTCTCGAACTCAGAATTAGGCGAAGTACGATTGATCTCCACTAGCCGGCCTGAACGCGAGTTCATATCCGAAATCCCGAAGACGATAGGCGAACAGAATTGCTTAACCTTTGATCAGCATTCTGCCAATGCCGACATTCGGTCTTATGTCTCAGCACAACTGTCGCAAAGAGATGGTTTCCGAGACGTATCCCGATATCTTCGCGAGAGTATTCGGATGGTAGTTGGTGATGGGGCTCAAGGAATGTAAGCTACGCTGCTGCTTTCATGGCTTTATTGATGAATTTCTAATACTAGGTTTAGGTTTAGGTGGGCATTCTGTCAAATGGACAGCTTAGCCCAATGTCCTCATGAAGCAGCTATTGAGGAAGCGCTTGCTTCTTTGCCGCAGACCCTGGAAAAGACTTACCAACGTATGATTCAACGCATACCATCACGGTTCAAGACCGATGCGATTCGGCTATTGCAATTCCTAGTGCACTCGGAACGGCCTCTTAAGTTGTCAGAAGTTAAAGAGGTTATTGCAACACAGATCGAATGCGAACCACGCTATTTTGACGCCAAACGTCGGCTATTCCGCGAAGCTGACGTTTTGGGTTATTGCCCTGGCCTAGTGACATTCGTTCAAGCCACCAGTAATGAGCTGCATCTCGCTCATTTTTCCGTCAAAGAATACCTAATCAAAGAGGAGCAGTTCAGCATCACGACTGCGAGCATTTCCATCACAATGACGTGCCTAACGTATCTGACAAGTATCAACGTGAGTCACGATTTAATTGAAGGGGCTTTTCCGATGGCAGATTATGCGGCAAAAGTTTGGAATCGTCATGCTATCTTGGCTCAGGCATCGGAAGATGTAGTTCAAACAGTAATCAAATTCTTAGCTGACGATGCGACGTTCCAACGGTGGGATAAATTGTATCGGGTTGGTACTTACGAACACAAAAGGAAGCCTAGAATCGTATATACTTGTCTATTTGGGCTCTTAGAGCCCACAAGTTATTTTATTGACGAAGGAGCATACCTTAGCGAATACAGTCATATCTCTGGTAGTGGTTTTCAGGCTGCCTCATTAGAAGGGCATCTGGATATCGTCAAGCTGCTCTTAGATGCAGGAGCAGAGGTGAATGCACAAGGTGGCGACTATGGCAGTGCTCTGGGGGCTGCTTCATTGGGAGGGCATCTGGATATTGTCAAGCTGCTCTTAGATGCGGGAGCAGAGGTCAATGCGCAAGGTGGCGAACATGGTAGTGCTCTGCGAGCTGCCTCATCAGAAGGGCATCTGGATATAGTCAAGCTGCTCTTAGATGCAGGAGCAGAGGTAAATGTGCAAGGTGGCTACTATGGCAGTGCTCTGCGAGCTGCCTCATCAGAAGGGCATCTGGATATAATCAAGCTACTCTTAGATGCAGGGGCAGAGGTGAATGCGCAAGGTGGTAGACATGGCAGTGCTCTGTATCGTGCCTCGTTAGGAGGGCATCTAGATATTGTCAAGCTGCTCTTAAATGCAGGAGCAGAGGTCAATGCGCAAGGTGGTAGACATGGCAGTGCTCTCCAGGTTGCCTCATCAGGAGGGTTTCTAGATATAGTCAAGCTACTCTTAGATGCAGGGGCAAAGGTGAATGCGCAAGGTGGCCACTATGGCAGTGCTCTGGGGGCTGCCTCATCAGGAGGGTATCTAGATATTGTCAAGCTGCTCTTAAATGCAGGAGCAGAGGTCAATGCGCAAGGTGGCGAACATGGCAGTGCTCTGCATCGTGCCTCATCAGAAGGGCATCTGGATATAATCAAGCTGCTCTTAGATGTAGGAGCAGAGGTCAATACGCAAGGTGGCAGATATGGCAGTGCTCTAGGGGCTGCCTCATGGAGAGGATATGCAGATATTGTCAAGCTACTCTTAGATGCAGGAGCAGAGGTCAATACGCAAGGTGGCAGACATGGCAGTGCTCTCCGAGCTGCCTCATCAGGAGGGTACCTAGATATTGTCAGGCTGCTCTTAGATGCAGGAGCAGAGGTCAATGCGCAAGGCGGCCACTATGGCAGTGCTCTCCAGGCTGCCTCATCAGGAGGGTATCTAGATATTGTCAAGCTGCTCTTAGATGCAGGAGTAGAGGCGATTTCGTGAGAGAGTCTGGTATTAAATCTAACTAAATCGTTCTAACTCTTGAATCTGTATCTCCCTCGCTTAAATTACTATTTTATATTACTAAAACCTTCTACTGCTGTAGATTATACAACCTTTTCAGTTCGAGTTCTCACTGTCAGAAATACCTAGAGTCGGCAACCATGGTCTAGCAACCAACAAAAATATATAGTCGGCTTTTTTTACTATAATCCTGCAGTATCTACATAGTTCGATGGTTAATAACATGTGATTAGAGGCTATTTACTTCAGATAGGCATATATAGATAGAGTGCTGCGACTATGAGACAAGGGTTTTGGGCAGAGTCCGATCTGCAAAATTAGGCTATACTCAAAATACGGTGATAAGATTCAATTAATTAGCTATTTAGGATATTCTATAGAGACTCCAGAATGTTGGGAGCGACCCTCGGCTTCTCTCTTTTGTCTGACGAACCGGATACACACTTCAAAGAAGATACTAACTATCTTAGTCGAGGAAATCAAACATTATCTATCCCCAACATAAACCCAGGCTCTGGAAAGCGGTTACAAAAAGGCAAGAGACTCCTGATAAAGTCTTCACAAACTTGGCTTTCCGTTGAACCACGCAATATACTTGTTTAGATTTCTCCGTCTTGCTTATAGGCTGTGATAGATAAGTCTTCTCTTGCGAGGTAGATTGGCGCGATCCCTTGTAGTGCCCAGCCCTGGGCTCGCTGCACTTGGCATGGCATCTCCTCCTCAACATGAATAGCCGTTCCTATAATCGATCACATAATCCATCTATCATATTCGAAGATATCGCCGTCGGTCGGCCGACTTTAGGGCACAGACTCACTGGTCGGCGTTGTTTCGACCTAGGGGTAGTGGGCGTTGGCGGCGCACAAGAAACTTCCAATGTATACACTTTGTTAACACACAAGAAAGTTTACACATAAGCAACCGATTATCTTTCTGTCTTGTTACAATTGATTGAAACAGCCATACCTATATAAAGTAATACGGCTATGCGGGTATAGCCATATCCAGCCAGATCAAGCGGTCTTTAATAACTAGATAAACCCTGTTCTTCCATGTGCCGAACTCAGGGTAACGGGTGCTGAAAGACTTGGGAACAAAAATAATGGGCTTGCCATTGTATATCAGCCATCCATCTCTAAATAACACATCAACAGGAACTGTCAGCTCAGGTGTGAGTTCTAGTTCTCCAGTCTCTATGTTAAGATAGCTCATCGCGCTTTTTAGATACTTTACCGCTTGGGTCGGAATCATCATGTCGGTCGATACTCGAAACCATTCGAAGTCCAGCAGGTAATCCATCTCTCTCACCGCCTCCATGGGGGTAACAAATAGCAATCTACTACCATCAGAGGCAGATAAGATCTCCCATCGCGACCCATCCAATATTAGAAGGTCTGAAGTTCGGCGAGTTAACAGTTGGGAGCCATCATGCGTGAAGCATTTGCATACTTGATCAGCAGCACGCCACCGGCGGTGCCATGATTCCCCATTTGACTCAAAGTACACCAAGATTGTATCCATAGTCCCGCTTACGCTAACGTTATTTTCGACGACTTCGTAACATGTTAAGCCATCGGACAACGGCGAAAAGTAGCACGGATCGGGGCTGGCCTCCACTTCGTCCAAACAACCAACAATCAGGCCCGAGTTTATATCATACACTGTCACTGGTAAACCTACACGGGAAACCACTAAGAGGTTTCCATCGGGTGATAGTGATTCATATGACCAGTTTAAGCGGTAGTCACTACCTGTCTGATGGGCGGTGGTTATTGAGAAGGCTTGCGAAAAGTCGTGTGTATTTCGAACAATCAAATCTCCTTCACTCCGCCTGTACATGACTCTCTCACCATTGTCTGAAAATCGCGCTCCATTGAGCAGACTTAAGTCCACAAATGTGTCCTTGTACAGGTGACGGCCTGTAGCAAGTTCTTTGAAATCAATAACCTCGTCATATTGTATGGCAATAATGCCCTTCGAGGATATGGCAAACTGTCGAACTTGCACGTTACCGTGTCTCTTTTTCAAGTATTGGCGGGTCTCCTGCGTACTGCCTGTCAACTTCCACGAAGGGCGGTATACCCTTACGGCATGTTTATCCGGGAGTGCGTCTGCAAAGAGATTGTCATCGGATGACATAGCCGGTTTTGTTACTGCTGGCTGCTCAAATACAGCATGGGTCAGCTCCCTGGAATCAATATCCCAAAGAGCCATACCAGATTCTGTAGGAAAGCACACTTTATTGGCATGTCGAAGAAATGCTTCTGACACAAGATGAAAACTGAGAACATCGCCATACTCTTCAAAATCTTGAATTTTGGTACCAGACGCAATATCCCACGCATATTTCTCGGTTATACGGTAATCCTCTAGCGGCGTGGCGTTTGAAATAATTGTAGACGCATTCGGTGATATCAGCAATTCACAAACGACGCCTTCATGTGCGCCAAACTTTGCCTTTAGGCGTCCTGAGACAGTATCCCAGACGGCTATGGCACCTGTAGCGGTCGGCGAAGCCACTATTGATCCATCATCTGAGAAAGCGTGAAACCAATTGAAAGTATTTTCATATTTGGTCATGAATTCGGAAACAAAGGCGTCCATGCCCTCTCGCTCAAGTCGTGGGGTAATCTGCACCATTCGCCACGCTGAGACATCCCACGCTCTGCCATCATCTGGAAAATCCAGCCTTTGAGTCGTTATCTGTCTCTTATCTTGCCGAGTATTAATTTTCATGAGCAGGTTCGGGCAGTTCTCTATAGTGTTTTCAAGTAAGCCTGAATGGATGTTCCAGAAATGCATCGATCCACGTGTATCTAACACGGCAAGCGTATTGGAATCTGGCGAAAAGACGATGGCCTCTATTCTTCTCCGTGATTGGAACTTCATTGTTTCAATACCGGAGGACATATCGAATATAACAACCCATCCATACCAAGACGCTGAGGCTAGTAGTGTTCCGTTCGATGAGAATGCGAACATTGAACCTGATATGGTTTCGTATAACAGGTGTAGTGCCGTATCCCACTCTGTCTCAATACCCCCTACTTGAGAAACCTCTTTTGGGGCATCATGCCAATATTCATTTCTCAACAAGCTTCCTGTAGGAGCAAAGACAAGGCCTGTAGAGTATAGCTGCAATGGGTACTTAAAGATGTACTCATTCAATGTGGGTATGAAGCGCTTTGCGTCAGACAGGAACAACACTAAATAAGATGAAGGCGGAAGAATTGCCACAGCTGCGGTTTCAAAGTCGATGACACATGACACTGCCTGTGAAAAGGCATTGATCCATACAAGGCATTCAAGCCAGTGGAGGAAATGTCGTTTCAGAAAGGATTCCACGGCGCTTGTATCTGATTTGATTATGCGAGAATGCGTTGCATGGAGCATCCACTGTTTACATGAATATGCCAGACCCCCTGTGATGACCTCGCGTTGTTCGTCAGAGACTGTGCGTTCTTCCCACGAGAAATCCCCCAAGTTCAAGATATCTCTCTTTAGCCGTGCATTCATAAGTTCTAAGCATTTATACGCGTACATTTGGTGTCCTTCTATAGGGTTGATCCGGTATTCAGCTGCTAGCGGTACTGATGTGGGCTCAGAGAGAAGATAGTCGCTGAAAGATTTGTGGTGAAGAGATATCGGCCGACTAGAATCTTCCGATTGCTGTATGACGGCATGGAACTGGCGCAGGATTTCGTGAACATCATCGCAATCCATGTCAAGCAGCTCTGATATGGTTAACGCAGACACTGGAGTGACCGCGACAATGACCAATTGCAGGATAGATTTGGCAGCATCCAGTTGCTCATCGTCAAGTGGTAGAAACGCGTCTGTTAGGATTGGTTGGTAGATTTCATACAGCTGGTCGTTGCTGGTACTGGAAACCTGGAGCCATTTCTCGAGTTGTTTTGTAGGCGAAAATCTATCAATGAAGCGAAGCAATGATGAAGCGTACACGAACAAGGGTGATGGATCCGTAGCTCTCGAAAGCAGTAGCTGGACATCTTCTTCCGTTGGCCAAGGATCACGCTTGATCTTCTTCTTCTTCCGAATCTCCGCGAAGCTGCTCCTCAGAAATGCTTCAATATCTTCTTTCGTTTCTTCTGCAAATTCGTCCTGGAGACGAAGAATCTCGTATACTTTTCCTTTTTCTGCTAGATTCTCAAACACCAGCTCAAGATCTGTCGTTGCGCGACTTGTGACTAGAATGTTGAATCGCGGCTGCTTAGACCCAAGTTTAGCAAGCTCAAAGATCAATTTGAACGCCAAGTTTTGTTCTATGCTTTCGTCCAGCGCATCAATAATAATGACTTGAGGCTTGTAATCCCTGTACAAGGGCTCGAGGGTTTGCAGAGGGACATCAAAGAGCTTTTCAAATTGGAATTCCAAAGACATGGCATCCAGAGCATCGCCATCCTCAGACCCCAGGCTAGCCGATACGCAAACCTTGAGTCCTGCAATATGCCGAATGACTTGATGGACCAGAGTTGGGAGCACTCCTACCATCCTATTTCTCGTTTCGTTACCCCGTTTGAAGAAGTAGCCGCCAGCCAAGGTACCGTTACCCTCAAGTGTGTCTGCGATGGTTCGTGCAATGGTTGACTTGCCCGTGCCTGCACTTCCATTGAGCCAGAAGATGTTTGGCCCATTTGTAGAGTCGCTCCAGGACAGGAGTCGTTTGCGAATACTTGCTCGAGTACCCTCGAGACATCTCGGTGCCTCTGCTGTGTCAGCGCTGTGGTACTGAGCCTCGGGTACAATGTTGAGGTTGATATGGGTGTTATTAATGCTATTCATCGTTTTAGCAATTTCTTTCTTTCTGTTGGCAGATTGTAAATGTTACAAACCTTAGAGATGATGCCAGTTGCGTTATAGCATCGAGTTGCTGTTTTGATACTGAGAGCTGATCTTTTGAAACAGCAACTTGTTCCTTGGATACTTCCAATTGCTGTGTAGCAACTTCCGTTTGGGTTTGCAACCCTTCCAATAACCTTGCTGAAATGTCACCAAGCTCTTCGACCCCCTTCCGGACGCTCACGTCATTAACTTTGTCGAAATTAGTGCCAACAACAGCTTCTGCGTCCTTTACAGATTTCAACATTGATTCCCATGGTTCAAATTTTACCATGTCTCGTATTGTTCGCCCAAACCAATTGCGATAGAACCTCAGGGCGCTTTCGACGTGGAATGTAATGAGCGCTGTGTAGAGCTTGACCAAGCTCGTCGCAAGCTCGGTTCGCAAGTCCTGCCTTAGTTGTACCCGTTGCGGCCAGAGTAATGGCTCCAGTCCGGAATAAAATCCCATCCGTGATGCCACATACGAGAAGCCCTCTTTGTTCGCGGCCTCTACCGTGCTAGGGTTGGTGAAGAGTGGGAGGATAACGCACACACCAGCCCATGCCATTGAAGCTTCTGGAGATGCCTTTATCGCGTCCGCCACATACTCCTTGAACTTTATCAGAGCTTCGCTGACCTGGGCAACCTGATCAATCACCACAAACTCCATGCCAGCTATGGTATACTTGAGACGACTCTCATTCAAACTTTCCAGGCCGTGTTTGGTGATTTGTTGCATCTTTTCCTGGTCCAGAGAAGTTTCGGAGGCGCTAGTAAGGGATAGGTCGGATGACAGATGTTTTGCCAATAGCTCTTCATACTCTTTGATAAGAGATGAGTTGTCTTCCCGGAGACTTTCGTAGGCGCGCTCCCACAGTGAGCTAGGTGCCGCCTCTGGTTGCGCGATTGAGGTGGCCACAACTGGTTGTTCCTGCTCTGTGGGTAGCGCACCTGTCTGCTGAGATGCTTCTGCGGTACTACTCTCTATGCCATCTTGTCTATTGTCTGCGGACTGGGAGCTGATATCTGATGGAGCATCGGATCCAGCAACCGAAGAGGTGCGAGACCGGCCACTCACCGCATCCTCGGGAGACAGCAAGTTAGACGACTGCTTCTTTGGCTTGCGGCCAAAGAGTTTGCTGAGAGACGGCATTTCATTCCATGCCACAAGCTGTAATCAGTGCAATTTTCTGTCGCTGCTCGCGTGTTTGAATGCTTTTTGGCGCATCGACTAAGCGCCTGTGGTGAGACAGTGTTTGATGGAGGGTCGTCTGGCGCTGGCCAAAATCGCTGTTTAAACACCAAGGAACACGGTACCGAGAGCGCACAGTGAGCCACAGTGTATCTACTGTGGCGCTACAGGCGGCTTGAAGGGGGGCATGTACTATTTCTTGTTCTATATTGAGAAAGGGCGGACGCTCTCCGGTCGACCCTGTATATTACGCCATAAATGTTAAGGGTGTACATCGTATAAACACTGTGTACACTGTACACTTTGTTTCATTGGCTAAAAGTGGCTGTTCGGTGTAAATTTTGGTATGTAGAAAAAGTGACACTGAACCTGAACTGCACTGCAGCGATCTAAAGGCGACACTATTTATTAAATTCGAAAAGACAAGCTCTTTCAATAGATACGCACTATTATAGAAGCAGCGCATCTATATCTGGGGCTGAGAACATTACAGTATGTATCTAACGGTTAGTCCTGTAGCAGTGTGAATAACACCCATACTTGATCAAATTTACTCCAAGAGGCAAACCTACAGCTTTCGTCTACATTTTGCCACAACCATAAAGCTCGTTAAATTAGTAGTAAGAGAGAGCCTTGTTTAGACTACATACTGGTATCTAAGAAGAGTTGTCGCTGCACAGGGTAACATTGAGATGAGCTATTCTCTTGCCAGTCAACCGGTCCTCATCTTTGCACCCCATACCCACGCCCCAGGAAGTAATGTATTTGCCGTTAGCAAATGTCATTGCTGGGGTCATATCAGTCAGCTGCTAGTTCTCGTCTTCCTTGCACTCCAATGCGACGCGGCCGCCGTTGGCGACATCCCAACGCTTGCCCTTGGTCTTGGACTCGGAGATCAAACTCGCCGCAGCGCCCATACCCTTCTCGTAAGATAGATGCCAATATTCTACACGAATAACATCATATTCATGAACAGATGTCTTGCCAGGTACAAGCCACATCTTGTTGGTCTTGTCCTTCATAGGCTTGACCTTGCGTGAGTATGACTCGCCTGGCTTGATGGTTTTAGCCGCTTCGTCGCCTTCACCCTCATCTTCAGCCCTGTATGTAGGCTTGTTGCCAACATGTACAGGGTATTTGCAGAAGTTGCGGATCGTGATTTTGCCGTCGGTTTCAATATCGCAGGCGTCATTCTCTGCGGGCTTGAGGACGGCGTTGATGCCTGAGAACGGTTGCTCTGTGGCTGCAAGGGTGCTGGCTACGCCGAGCGCAGAAAGGACAAATGATTTCAAGTTGGTCATCTTTGTTTCCTTGTAAGAAACGGGAGAATTTTGGGATGAGGGAAACTTTTTTTTGGGAACTCGGCGAGTGGCTGAAGGATAGCGAGTGTTGGCTATATACATCAGACAGCGGTGGAATGCCCAGCTATTCTATGTCATTGCTTTTAAAAAGCGGAGCATAATTGTACACTATAATTATATTTGACACGTAATAGGCATACAAGTTGAGTATGCTTTATGCTTACCTAGTGTTGACGATCATCTAAATACGGTGCATTGCGACCTGAACCAGTGTGAGGCATTGTTAGCCGAGATGTTCGCAGACAACAAAATACTCATAGAGCTGCCAAATTAGCGCCACCAATTAGAAACAGTTAAAATATTCGTTTCTGCTTTTCAATACAACCAGTTTAGCGCAAGACAACGGTTCGGTGTGTTGAACACGCTGAACCCCCATGCGCACTCTGTGAATGGATACCTATATATCAACGCGACTCCCGATGTATGCCCAGTCGCTCACCTAGAGGTTTTTGTTTCATCTCCCCAATACTGCATTGATTCCCCATATCCTCCTATCTAACCTTTGTCACCATGGCCAACGCCCTCGTTGCCCTGTTTGTGGCTGGCGCCGCCATCGCCCACACTATCCCATCTCCTCTGAATCTCCTCGAAGCGCGAGCCATCGACAATACCCTAGAGGATGATTCAAACGAGGACTTTAAGCTCGATAGAGCCATGATTACTTTTGAAAACTGGTGCAAACACCCTGTTCACGTTTGGCGCTCGGACGGAGGCATCAAGATGCTTGAGACCATCGAGGCCCAGACGATCGCTAACGAGACGCTGCCCACCGATCCCAAGGCCGGCATGGTCATGTACCGCGCTTCTCCTTCCGAAAAGAACCTCAAGGATGGTAGCGGTACTTTGCTAATGACATACAACCTCAACGCCACCCGCTCGAGCGTTGCCATGAATGCCAACATGGACTACCTGTTCAAGAACCCGTTTGGCCGTGACGACCATAACCTGGTCACTATTTTCAGCAGAAAATGCGACGACAATTATGATATCTATCTCGAGCACGGCAGAAGACTAGCATCCTCGTTCAAGTGCAAGAAGAAGATGTGGGCGGGTATCACGTTTATTACGGCACTTTGCACTGAGAATGATAGGCCAGATGATGAGAAGAAACAGTAGACTGCTGAGATGTCGAACAATCTAGTTGACGAGATTAATAACCATCAATATAATATCATATTACAGTCTTACAAGGAAACAGAAAGTGCGTATTTGGAGTCCGACTTGGTGATCATATCTGTGCCCATAATTGCTTTCGGGGGATTCGTCCTTCCACATACATTACAGCCTTTTGTAGAAGAGCTGTTGTGGATTTCAGTTCATTATTTCACTGTTTTCGATTTAATAAAGGGTATACTAAAAGTGCCTAGATACAATGTTGCTGACGAATCTACCATCAAGCGCTACACCATGTACAAAAGGGTTCCAACAGCCATAGCCATGGGGATCGCAGCAGCGACTCTCCAAAGAGATGGCTTGACTGCTGGTGCACTGCTATCCTTTGCCTTTCCATCCGAATCCTTGTGAATGAGGACAATAGCTTCGACATAATCGACAACGACAGCAGTTGGCGTTACCCCTGGGAAGTGTGATACCGATGTTGGGGGCAAGTCAAAGGTCTGTATAGTAACCGTCTTCCCTAGAGTGGCAGGCATCTGAAGTGGCGGGCTGTAGGTTCTGCCATGCAGTTCAGTGACATTTGCACCGTCGTGTAGAATCGTCCTAAAGGCAGCGCAAGCTGTGGTGTAGCTAAACTTCTTGGGATCGCCAGCTGTGGAGTGGCAGCCTCCAAAATAGTTTGTATCATATCCGCTGTTTTTCAAAGGGTCTATTGTCAGTACTATAGTTCTAACGGCCGACTCTATTGTCTTGTGCTTTGTATGCTGGTCAAGATCAACAAGGCTGAGACGAGTAACTCACCTAGGGCAGCAGAAGACAACAGTCTCTGACGGCTCCATGTTGTCAACAAAGTAGCTGGCGAATGGGAGTGGCTGATAATCCGGGTATGTCCATGGCTTGTCGGTAGCAAACGCGCGACCTGATGTTGACACCTGCGAATCCTTCCCAACGACGGCGACGCCGCTTGTCACCCAACCAGATGGGCATGCTAGCCCAGGGGAGTAGTATCGTACCGTTCCGAGGTCGGTGCTAGCGGTATGTAGCGGCTCACTGAGCCATTTCGACTCACTCGGCTTGCATAGTGATACTCGCGTTATGGGAGTTTCTTCACATTCAACACTCCAGCCACGGGTCCTATTGCCGTAAATGATGTTAATCCCATGGTCGCTAGGGCGCGTACAGCTTGGAGGCGGCGTGAAGGTCGATGTCAGCGGGCCAGCGTTGACTAGCGTCGCGTCAAAGTACGAGGCAGTGGAAGAGATGAGCATTTTGCCAATTCGGGTTTAGAAAGCAGACCTCCGAAATAAAACAATAGCCGGGGATGTTTCTAAGACGCGGGGGAAGGAGAGCAGAAATTGGCGCCGCGGCTCGATATAAATAAGGCTCTGGGAGGGTCTGTGCGGGACCGCTATTGGCCGATTGAGTCATAAGCATAAGGCTCATTGGGAGGATTGGTACCGTTGAACAGGTAGCATAGTAGCGAGAAACAACAGCTCTTTGCTGCGAGTGATATTCCCGAGAATAGGCATCTCTTGGCAGTGCTCTTATCCGATGTAGCCAAGCCAAGCCTGGGCATCGACGCACCATGTCGATCGCATATCTAGATGTGACCGTGCGGGAAAAAGCCAGCCTTGAAGAAACGGTATTACCGCGCAGATCAGATTATGTATGTATCCGCTGAGTAATATCTGTTGCTATGTATTTAGTTTCGGATATAGTCGCCTTGTGACAATTTATTTGTTTCGTCTTTGGTTATTCGATACAATTTGTATGATTTGTAGCTCATACTGGCTCCATAACCCACCAGGAAATAAATGTTTACAGTGGCTAAAAAACAACTACGCAGAGGCTATATCTAGGTACCAATTGTACAACACCTTGGCGGCCTGCAAACCAAAATATATCATGATAGTTCTACAATATATTATACTACTTCCTAGTCCATTATTTCAGCTTAATTTAGCAATACAAAGTCTCTGTGTATTGCAACAATACTGAATAGCCAACAGGCTATACAACTGCTACCCCACAGTTCTCTCTTTGTACCTCAGGAAGTATGCCTCAGGCTTTGGAAAGCTCACATATCCCTTTTCCTATAATATCACGCAGCTTTTGTGTTTGCATCTGTGTCTGCGTTTGCTCATTGCGACAGCTACACACGTGAACCATTCCGCCCCTGGTCAGCGCCATCAATACCCAATGCGACCCTGAACAAGCCACGACCGACATGAAACCGAAAGGCTATTAAGTGGGTGGGCGTTTCTCTCTCCAGCAATTTAAGCCACGAAACAAAACGTGAACAGTTGCTTCTTGACGCGAGGCAGACAACGCACCGTCTTCTCTTAGCGAAGCTCGTTCATCTGAGGAGGAAGCGGACATTCTCTCATCCCAGCTCGGTAGTTCTTGCGTGCTGCCGAAGCGGCAATTGTCTTAGTTGATCGCTAGCTGACTTGACACCCCGCGTTCCATTCCACGTGATGCAGTGTAATAGTATTCGCATCGGCAAGGATAGGATTCGCAAATACTTAAAAAGGGCAGGTACTAGGCAACTTTACCTGTATCCCAGCCGAGAACCACTGTAGACGACATTAACGTTTAGTAAGAAGAACTGAGTGCCGGTACTCAGGGTGACAGTAGCGCTGGATCGTCTGCGGGGGGCCGCCCGAATCTTATCAAGGACCTTCCTAAATCGCCTAGCTTACACCAATGGCGAATCGCGGGCAATGGACCTTCTGTCAAATCCCTATGTGGAGGAGTGTTACATCGCCTGCAGGTCGCACCTTGATACGAAACAAACTGCGGGAATCATTTGGGGATTCGCCATGCAGATCATGTGTACCGCTTATTGACCAAAAGCAAAAAGACAAAAAAACTATTAAAGCAAGCAGCTTTGCTGCCATGGACCTTTCCTACCGGCCTATTCCCTCTATCCCCTGATCCTTAGACCTCTTTACTTGTTTGTTGAAAACCTCATCTTTTTTCCATAATGGCTTTCCTCCTCTCTGTGCTGGTGGCCACTCTGGCTACCGCCTCCCCCGTCCAGTTCGTCACCAAGCAGTCGCTTGCTGCCGTTCCCCAAGGATGGGCTCTTCAGGCCGCTGCTCCCGCTGACCACTCCATGGATCTTCACATCCGCCTCAAGGAGCAGAACATGGACACTCTGCACCAGCGTCTCATGGAGATGAGCAACCCCGACCACCCCAGCTACGGCAAGCACATGTCCAAGGCTGAGGTTGACGCTCTTACTGCTCCCACCAAGGAGCACGTCGATGCCGTCACCCAGTGGCTGGCCTCGCACGGCGTCAACACGGGCAACGTCGACAACGGCCTCCTCAAGGTCACCGTCAGCGTCGACCAAGCTAAGAAGCTCCTCAACGCCGACTACGGCGTCTACAAGCAGGCCTCTACTGGCCGCGAGGCTGTCCGCACCACCAGCTACAGCCTGCCCCAGGGTGTCAGCGATGCCATCTCCATGATCCAGCCCACCACCATGTTCACCGATCTCGGCCTTGGCCAGAAGAAGGTGAATGCAGTCGACCCCGCCACCGCTGCCAAGTACGCTCAGGGCTCTGCTGCGGCCCCTGCCTCTTGCGGCAACGGTGTTGTCACCCAGTGCCTCCGCGACAACTACAACATCAAGGGCTACAACGCCTCCAGCTCTACCACCATTGGTATTGCTGGCTTCCTCGAGGAGGTCCCCAGCATCACCGACCTGCACACCTACATCCGCAAGTACGACTCCAACTTGCCCTCCAACATTGACCTGCCCATTGTCAGCGTCAACAACGGCAACACCAACGCTGGCGGCCAGGGCGAGGCTGATCTGGATGCCCAGATTGTTGTCCCTCTTGTCTACCCCATCAACGGCGTCTTCCAGTCCACTGGTGGCAGACCTCCATGGAACGGCAACGGCGACAACACCAACGAGCCGTACCTTGACTGGCTCAACTACCTTCTTGGTCTTGACTCCCCTCCTTCCACTTTGTCCATCTCCTATGGCGATGATGAACCCACCGTTCCCACCGACTACGCCGACTCCGTCTGCGACCAGTTCATGAAGCTTGGTGCTCGTGGTGTCAGCATTCTCAGCGCTGCTGGTGACTCTGGTGCCGGTGCTAGCTCCTGCTCTACATTCGCTCCCTCGTTCCCTGCCGCTTGCCCCTACGTTACCGTCGTTGGCGGAACCAACAAATTTGGTGCTGACGAGCAGGCTGATACCGACGGTGGCAGCGGTTTCTCCAACCACTTCTCTGCCCCTGACTACCAGACCGATGCTGTCAACGGATACATTGCCAAGCTCAACGGCAAGTTTGACGGCTCTTACAACAAGTCTGGCCGTGCCTACCCCGATGTCGCTGCTCTCTACAGAGTCTACCCCGTCTACCACGGCGGCCGCAGTGTCAGCCTCGTCGGCACCAGTGCCTCTACTCCTGCCACTGCTTCCGTCATTGCTCTTCTCAACGACTACCTCATCTCCAACGGCAAGCCTGGTCTCGGTTTCCTTAACCCCTGGCTCTACAAGACCGGCAACAAGGGTTTCCGTGATATTGCCAAGGGCCACAACAACGTCTGCGGCTTCCAGTCTGCTTTCCCTGCTGTTACTGGCTGGGATGCTGCCACTGGTTGGGGTGTTCCCGACTTTGGCAAGCTCAAGGCTCTGCTGTAAACAATTGCAAAAACAATTCTAGTACATAGTTATTAAAGCACTGTAAATACGAAAAATACATTTTGAAAGTTGTATTCATTTGCTGTTTACTATTGTCAAATACAAGCAATGTTCAAGCTAGTCATATATACTATATAAGTACAAATTAAAATTAAGAGAGGATATAGGAGAATGTGTATGTACAAAGTTAAAGAGTGTAAAACGAATGAATCATCAACCTGCCAATTTTGCTCTTCAAGTGAATAAGCGACCAAGGCTAATGTTGGCTATTTGCATCAACGCCATCATCTCACGAATGTGAAACGTCCCCTTTGGTAAAATGATATACAGGTTTCCTGCCTGCTCATCATCAGGTCGGAATTTATCATAGTATGAACGCTTGCCGTCCACGGCAACCGTAGTCATCAGTCGACGATAGCTTTTCTTTGTTAAGTGAGCCCAGAGGCCGGTTTGCCCGGAAAGCTCGTGCAGTGATTCAAATGGTTCGACTCCCAGGCTGAGATATGTGATACCCGACTGCTTGAGTAATTGGGTAGAAACCACCACTAGCAAATCAGTGATACCTCGGGGTGCATCTTCGCTTGCAATGCACGGGTCGAGTTGAAACCCGTTATTGGCGCCGAGGCAGCGGAGGCCAGCAACGCCATTGATGCGCCCATCTGGTCCCCAAGTGTATAAATAGATTGTGATTTCCGGTCGAGCGAAAAGGTCATACTGAGTAATGAATGTTTGAGCAGAGGAGGCATTCTCTTCGCTGTCTCGTTTGGTTCGCCAGTTGTCGTAGACAGTTTGCATCTCTTCCTCCAGAGTGGGATCGTGTTCAGATAGTCCAGGTGCATAAATACCAACTTGTATTCCCTCTCGCTTGGGGTCGAGTAGCTTTCGGCATTGACTGGCGATGCGTTTGCCGGATTTGCTTTCACAGAGGTTATTGGTGACTGGGTTCAGGATGCGTTCCCGTGCAAAGTTCATGACTACACAGCCTTGGGTCTGTGCATACTCGGAGAACGCCGCACTAGCAGCATAGTGGATAATCTTCATTCTCTTGTTTCCGTTGAAGAGTCTGAATTCGTCGAACAAGGCGTTTGTTTGAGCTGGATCGCAGAGAGGGTCTCCTGCCACAACTGCGACCTTGTTGTGTATCCTGTACACAAGCGACCCGTGACCGAAACGGCTAACGAATACCGTGTACTTTGGATCAAGTATGCACATGTGGGAGGTTTTGCTGAAGTTGTGGTAGGAAGCATCGAAATCGTCCTCCAGGGCAGACTCTTGGGAGCTTGCTGCACTTGTAAGGGACGATGCATACGACGAAGCCGGTCTTGTGATGTCGGTAGGAACGGCAAGAAAGTCTCCCAACTTGGATCTGACTTCCTTTCTAGTGTTGAAAAATATCCTAGGAAGTCCACCAGCACTAGGGCAACCAGCTAGTGCTGCCTCATGAATGTCAGTGATGAGCCTGCACGAATGCCGGCTGCAGACGCTACCACTATAGCTAGACATGATGAAAGGGCAGTCGAAATGAGATGAATTGAATTTCGATGATTATTATGAAAGATCCTGAGTGTTACAAAGGCTTCACTTATATTTCCGCTACGTGCAGCAGTGAATACCAATATATAAGACCAACATTAGGCCGAAACCTCCTGCGAGGCTATGCCATACTCACCGTCGCCGCCTGCACTGCCGGCTCACGGCTAGCAGGCACGAGAGAATCGTCCCAGCGCATCATAGTACTAAGTTGAAAAGGGCAAAAAAATCGTTGCGGCGGAGCAACATGTCTAGCCGAGTCGTGGTAGGTAATGTACCGACGTGGCGCAGCCCGGTACACCCATCACGCCGATCCACACAAATGATGTTTGTATTATGACACTGTTGGTTTTGGGCCTAGCGCCCGTTTAGGGAGCCTTGTGTGATCCGAACACGCCGAATACGCGCAATCCAGTCCAGCTTCTAGCGCAAACCTAAACGAGAAGCGTGCCGAATCCGAAAGGACCAGTTTAGGTTTGCAGATGCGACCTGAACGGTCGGCAAGATGGAAAACACCTTTTCAAGGACACGATTCGTCTCTGAATCATGCCATGAGCGCAGTCGGGCCGTGCTTCTGACCATGGAGTAATGTGTTTGTGGCAGTGTAAGTCAAACTGGCATATCGAGGCTGTCGGTACCCGGCTAGCCTGGGTCTTGGCACATCTAAGGTTAATTGTTAGGCGGAAGCGACGTGAAAACTTAGATTAAAGAAAATTCTCTAGGGGGAGGCTATGCTGCACAGCGCCCGCCCATCCAAGTAACGAACCCGATTGGCAGATTTTTGTTTTTTTGTAACTTGCGCGCTCGATAAAGACCTTATTCCCACGTTTTTTTTTCACCGCGTATTATATTGTTTACAGTGCAAGTATAGTGGCGGGACTCAGTGGCTCGATGCCCATACCAACTGAGATTAAACCCAACCATATTCCCATGGCTCGGCTAAGCGATCCGACATGTCATTCCAGTTCGTTGCTAAAATTACTGGTACTCTCTATGCCATGAATATATGTGTATATATGCAATGTAATATATGCGACCCTCCTTTGTGTCCACTTGCGCATATACATTTGATAGGTCCTTCTTCTTATTTTACTACTACCTATGATATCCCACGTGCAATTCGGGCATCCTTCTCGTTGCAAAACTTCCTCGTAGACACTATACTAAATATTGTCAAACAGCAGAAGGCAATAAGAATTCCAAAGACAACTACAAGCGGTCCCAGGATAGCAAACACGGTAAACCCATATGATGCCGACTGAAACGAGTCACTCTTCATCAGCGCTTCGTTAGAAAGTCCAACTTGCATAGCCGTCAAGACAATGGCAAGGTATACTGTTGAACCAGCCACCCATGCCAGATTATCGTTGAAAAACGTGCTCGTTTGGTTCCAAAACCTCACATAGCCCTTCCCAGGCGTCTCCATAAAGTAGTATATCTTGGTCAGGCGCCCCAGCCGTAATTCGCCATGGTGAAACCGCTTGTCTATCCGTGCATGGATGGTTTCGAGGCGGAGCTCGTTTACTACCGCCTGCCACTGCGCCCACGTTAACTCCTTCGGGATTAGGCATCGATCCCTGGCAATACAAAAGTCGCTCTCATAAGCAATCAACGCGGCATATGAGTAGAGGAACCCAAGGGCCCGTCGATAATGCAATTGCCGCGGTGAATCCGGTTTTGTACTGCCGACCCTCTCACAAAGGTACTTGTCCCAGAACGCGGCGGTCAGTAGCCATCGTGGCAGGGGCTTTATATACATCCGGCCTGTTGTCCAGACAAGATGCATATCCATGCGCTCGGTAATAAAAATGTGGCGATTCAGCGATATCTGTTGGTGTAGCGGGCGCGGGGGAATGGGTAGCCCGGCGAGCCATAGCCACGTGTGGATGACCGCCAGACGGGCTATGTCCAGCTCATTGTCAATAAAAGCAGTGACGTGATGCCGGGTTGTGAGGATATCATTGTCACTGTTGCGAAAAGATGATGGAAGCAATGTGATGAGATCCTCGGTGTCCGTTACACTGTGGCCTACAGAAGGCAATGGCACCGCGTTGGAGAATGGACACTGGAACAGGTAGTAAGCAACGAATGTCAAAAGACGGTCAGCCGAAACCCACTCACTGTTGTCTCATCATACACGCTCATTGTAGACATGGTGGACGAGCGCAAAATGATAGCTTTTAACCGATCACGGATAAGGCCTTCCGACCGAGAATTCAAGACATACTCCGCATAGGACAGCCACTGCCGAGGAAAGGAAAACAAAACAAGATACAGACTGCGGGAGTAGGCTGGGGCTGAACCGCTGTCAGCAAAAGTGACGTGGGGTTTACAGTGTCTGCACGCCACGCACGCTTAACGGGCTAGGCCGTCCAAGGTGGAGTTGTCTTTTTTCCAAACTTGGCCAGAAAGCGGACAGCCCGTGATTTGTTGATACGGCGTCACCCTAGTTGCTAGTCGGTCCCCTTGCATCCCACCATCGGCGAGTATCGAGATCGACTCGAGTCTTCTCCCGTTGCTGCTGCAGCGAAACTACAGGGGGCTACTTTCCAGCAACTACGAATGTTTCTGACAAATGACGCATCATGGCTAACCTCACAAAGTCAAAGGTGCCTTTCACATGGCGGGTTGGCGGTATACCCATATTTTGGTCAAAGGAGGATATTATGAATGGCCTCTCCATGGCGTTTGAGTGCTATACTGCCAATATTGAAATTGTGAGCAGTGAGCCGGTAATGGGCCATGAATACGAGCTGCAGGTTGCCACGATGCGGTTTACAACCCTTCCTGCCAGCCTGGAGAATACATGCGACAAAGCGTTCCATGTTCTGACTGTCAATCCCGCGGACGGGGCCACAGATAAAGTCCTGCTCACTATAGACCGACATTTCGAAGGTCTCACTACTCTCTATGCGCCGCCTGGTGGGCAAATCGATGTCAATATTATTGCATTGTCTGGTCTTGGTAGCCATCCGTACGGGTCCTTCGTCCACAAAGAAAGTGGTGTTGGGCACATGTGGCTCCAAAAGGATATACCAGCGAGGATCCCCAATGCCCGCGTCCTTATTTACGGTTATGATACCAAGCTTGAAAACAGCGACAGTTTTGCAACCCTGAAAGATCTGGCGCGGCCAATAGCGACGGTGCTCAAAGAGTGTCTGTCTGCTCCAGACCACAGACCCTACGTCATACTGGCACACAGCCTAGGTGGGTTGCTCGTGCAAGAGGCTATTCTTCAAATTTCAGAATCCGAGGAGGACAACGAGTGTAACTTGCTGCGAGACCTGCTGGGTATCCTCTTCTTCGGCGTTCCAACCGACGGCATGTTAACAGAGCCCCTTTTGCCCTTAGTCGAAGGAAAACCCAATCAGCCGCTCATCGAGGCACTGAGCATGAAGAATCAACCAAATCAGCCAGGCCGCAACTTTGCTAATATTTTGGAAGACTTTAAAGTGTGGTGTTTCTATGAAACGAAGCTCTCTCCAACAGTTATTCGAGTAAGTTTGTTCTGATTCTTAAATGACTATACAAAAATGTACAGCGGCTAAGATGTTTTCTAATCTAGGATGAGACCACTGGTAAATTGATCTATGGGGGCGAGAAGAAGCTCGTAGTCAGCGAGCGATCAGCGACAGCCTGCTTGCGCCGACAAGCCTCAGACAAGTATTCAGTGCCGCTGGAGAAGACGCATAGCGATCTAGTCAAGCTCTCGCCAAACGACACACAAAAGAGCCGCATCATGGTCGCCATTACAGAAGCATGCAAGCCCGTGCAGTGGCTCCCGCATATTGAAACCGGCGAAAGGCTGCTGGACCGCGACCCAGGCGAGGCGCAAAAGTACTTTCAATATGTGCTAGATGACTGCAACAACTCGGTTCTCAAGCGCGGAAGTGACTCCCTCGGGCTAGTGTTGGCATACCGCGGCCTTATTTCCGTCAACAAAATATATGCTCGCCGTGGCCGCAACTGGTTCATGTATTTGAGTAATGCGGAGGAATACAGACGCAGAGCGCTGTCGGAAGTGCGCACAGGGACGTTGGCTCACGAGAGCCTCAAGTTGGATAATTTTGCGATCCAGGAGATTGAGCTGCGGCTGCTTAGCAATGCGGGTAGACCGTCGACGCGAAGTCTGTCTAGTTTGGCATTTGATATCCGGGAACTGGAGCGTGATGTAAAAGCGCAGTATACCATTCTTCCCAGGCAGCATCGATTCCTGAAGCATATAGATCGGTTACTCATTGATCTATAATCATACTCATTCACTATTTATATATTCTGTCTATCATATATGAAATTTGTATATTTAATAGGATATTCTTACATTCCCAAGACAGTAGTACTCGTCCAAAGTCTACATAAAATCATACTGCCTACAAACAGAGTCAACCCGCTCAGGTATCAAACATGCGCCGTTAACAAGCCATCTTCTACTTTCCTTTTCCCGCTTTTTGGTCTATTTAAAACTTCGAATATTTCCAGCCTCTTCTCGTGGTGGCAGGCCTGGAAGCTCGATATCCGAGCCCATATTGTGTCCCTGGGCAGGTGGTGGTGCGGTAAAGGTCGATGCAGGAGGGCGGAAATGGATAGGAGGAGGGATGAAGCTACCGCCACTACTTGAGCCAGTATGCGCTGGCGGTGTGTAGGGGTGAACTATGTCTCCTGGTATCTCTATGGGCTCACTGGGAGATATGGGCGAGTAGACGGGCGGACCAGACAATGGGGGAGACGGTGCGCCGTAGCCATATTCTGGCTGGTGACCCTCATTAGGCTTCTCAGGAGGTTGCGCATATTCGCCTTTGCCAGCAATCTTCCTCTTGCGCCAGACCCAGAAGGCAATACCTGCCACAATGAGGACAACTAGGGGAATAGCAACGGCAATGCCTATTACGGTTTTGCTCGGCCCGGAGTTGCCGCTAGAGGTACCAGCGGAATCTTGTTGCGAGTTGGATGGTGGAGGCGCGGACGTGGCAGAGGGTTTGCCGGTGGTTGTTGAAGCGGAGGTTGTCGGTGTGGTATCGGTTGCTTTCACAATGGCCCAATACATGGATGTGTCGTCCGTCAGATCATCCACTGTACGTAGACCAACTATGGTTTGCCCGGCCGGGTTGTGGTAGTTTGCGAGATACTGCACAGGGCTATTGGCGGCTCGATTCGCAAAATACGCTTTGTTGTCGCTGCCCTATTGTCGATGTCAGTCGTGACTGGAAATGGCACGCGTAGAAGAGGGTGGGACATACAAGCTTCTCCCAATACTGGTTAAAGTCGTTCTTATCCCAGGCTTGACCGATGATGGGTGATTCGCCGCTCTTGGTAGTGAACCAACTCAGGCGGAGGTTCGTCGCAACCTTGTTGTATATGTAGTAATAAGGGTCATTCTTAACAGCCAAGAGGGTCCATAAACCCGCGTCGCCAACTGTTTTACACGAGTCGACCTTGACGTTGTGATCGTTGTCTTTAAATGTATAGTACATGCATAGGTCCGCATTGCCGAACGGCTTGATGTTAACAGCCTGGTCGGGGTAGTAGCCAGACATGGTGGGCTTGCGATATCGATACGTGATGGATTTGCAGTTTTGGAGGAGAAGCGATGGGAGAACTAGGAGGGGGGCGAATTGATGATTTGGGGAGGAAAAGATTTGTACAGCAGCCTGACCATCACCAGGAGACAACTACGGGGCTCGTTGTCTCCATATACAGTACACACCCCAGCCAGCCCTCTTGCGGCTGACTTGCATAATGTCGCCGCGGGACGAATGATGGAGGTTTGTGGCCCTGGAAGGATCTTAGTGGCAAGTCAGGGGGGCTGCCAGCAGAGCGGAGGGCTGACACTTGACATTCGCGCCATTAAACGACCATTATTGACCAGCAAGGGGCTGGTTGTACTAGGATTTACGCCCCCAGAGCCTTGTTGAAATCTTGGCTAGTGGGCAGACACGAGGATCTGCTGACTGCTGGTAGCCTGATGGAGCACAAAGTTATGCATTCATAAATTCGGGCTGTATACAAAAAAGGATATTCATGTACAAGCTAAGTGATTATCCTAGTTTTAAAAACTATGATGAAGCTGTTGTTTTATGAACAGATCCCCCAGTTCCTTTGTCGCCAACCAACTTCAGACAACTGCCGTCTTCTAGAAGGACATAGCGCGGCACTAATCTCACGGGCCGTCCCAGCCTTTCGGGTCTCACTGTACGACACTGGGCTGCAGCGTAAATTCCGCCATTCCCACTAGATTTGGGCCAAAATTGCTTATAGCCGAGGTGTGAGCGAACGAGGATACGAAATTAGACCGCCCCGCTTGCAGGCGCCACACGCACACCGGGAAGGCTATTTTTAAAACGTGCGGGCATGCAATCGAGCTTCAAGTTGGGGACTAGATTTTATCTTTTGTAAGCAAAGTTAGGTTTGGTTGTGAAGATGCATCGTGGAGATCTCACACTTGTAAAGATGCTCCGATGCAATACTGCATAAGGAAAGTTGCAAACATGAAAGTAAGGTACATATTATGGCAAGACTAGGCCAGATGCACTACAGAGACGGTAGAGGCGTGCTGGACGCGTTCCCCATGGCCATCATTCTACGCCTCTTGCGAACCATGAGCCCCGCGTAAGCACAGGCCGTTGCAGCCCCAAGGGCTGCAATTCCAATACACATGGATAGACCAGGGCGGTACTCTGGCTTGTACTTTGAAAGAAATGCAAAAGGAGCAACAAAGCCGCCCATGTTGCCGAAACCAATCATCCACGCCGACCCAATGCTGCGCTCCTTGTGTCCGTGGAGATTGACAAGGTACCAGCCAATGCAGAGAATCACAAGTGCCTGAAGCCCAATCACTGTAAGGCAAATACCGAGGTAGCGCACAGAAAACCCATCATGAACCGCCAAGAGAATAGCCAGACCAGCAATGGCTATGGCAGATGACAGCAAATAGTATGGAAAGCGAACATCGGTTCTGCCAATTGCAACAGCCAATATCATGCATAGAGCAAACGCCGCTGCATATGGCGGTACAGAATGCAGCTGGATCTGTACTGTGTTGTAGCCGAGTGTCTTAATCACGGTAGGCACAAAGTAGACGAATGCGTAGGCGGGGACAATAGCACCTGGATACAATAGTCAGATCATCGTCACAAAGCTTCATATAGCAATCCATGGAGTCCAAAAACTTACAGAAATACATTAGAGCGGCCACATGGTGCTCAAGATGCTTTACAAACTCGCCGATGTCGCGCAAGGTGATTTTGTCGTCGGCCGTCTTGTCGTCCTGCTTCGTCTTTTGATGGATGAAGCGCCGCTCGCGGTCCGTAAGCCATTTCGCTTGATCTGGGAAGTCGCAGATAAGAAAGAATGCCATAGCCGCTGCGATGATGGTCAAGATGCCTTCGAGGATGAATACCCAACGCCAGCTCGACTTGCCTCCTACACCATCCATGTTAGCAATGGCCGATGCAAGCAGTCCACTAAACGCTGATGCCAGAAGGATGGAGGAGAAGTAGACGGTGTAGCGTGTCTGCGCTTCCTGGCGCTTGTACCAGAAGCTGATCAGATAGAAGCTTCCGGGGAAAATGCCCGCTTCGAAAACACCGAGGAAGAAGCGTGTAGCGAGTAGACCAGCATAGTTGGTTACAAAGCCCTGTGCGAGCATGGCGATGCCGAAGCCCGTCATGCACAGAGACATCCAGACGTGCGGGGTCACTTTCTTGAGGATGATGTTGGAGGGGATCTCGAGAACAATGTAGGGAACAAAGAAGATCAGGAGCGCAATATTGGGCTGGGATCCGGCGAGTGACAGGTCTTCTTCTAACCCGAGAGTTAAGGCGTTGCCTATATTTGCTCTGCAAGTTTGTTAGTCCGAGTCGTCAATGGGGTGATCCATCACGTACCGATCAAGAAACGCCATGAGATAGATAAGGAATAGCATTGGGAGCAGACGCCCATCAATGCGGCGCAGGAGGCGGCGCTCTTCATCTTCTGGTAAGGCTATCTCCTCATTCTGGACAATCTCTTTGGTGGCTTGTCCATTGTCATCAGCCAGATTATCCGTCGTAGGAGTAGTCGCATCTAAGGCGACAGCCATGGTGAAAGACTTGCAGTGTTTCAAACACAGGACCTGCGATACAATGAGTGCTTCTGTTTACAGCGTGATTGGCCATAGAGGAAGCGGATAGTGGTGATTATATCTGCACAGAGTTCCCACTGCCACTTTGCGAAATCTCCGATTACGGACAAAAGCTGCGGGCGCAGCGCAGATGCGCTAGTGTCAAATGCGGTGCGGCTTGCGATTATCGAGATGGAGTCTCGGGGCCTAGCTGGGTTCTATTCCTGTGGTTGTCCGCTAAAATTACAATCGATACTATATGGGAGAGTATAGAAGATTTATATTTAAAGGCATCAGCACGATACGCTAGAGCTTGTATATTGAAGTCAAGAAAAAACACCCGACGGAAGTATCATGTAAGGTTAACCATCTCTTTGCACTGTTGTAGATATCTTCCTCGTTATTCCTGAAGACGACACTACACAGACTGCGTCTGAATAATTCTTAAAAGCGTAACATTGTCATATCTAGATTGAAGATTTTACACCAGTCTTTTGATTTTTAAACTTTAATCGAAATGTCTTTGTTAAGCTGGGCTTTGATTCCTCTTGTATTGCTCTAGGGTGGCAGCGTGTCGTACGTCAATGCACGTTCGCGGCGCACGCTCCACTTTGACAATGAAATCAATTAGACAAGGTGTAACCATACGATAAGTCTAATGGAATTCTTATGAATCAATTCATTTTCGTTAGTTCTACACTAATAATTGCTTAAATAATTCTGTTAGATAAAACATACCCTCTTTCTCGTACCAACTCGTTCAATAATAAGACAGCCACATCATACACAGTTGACACTATTAGCTATACCGCATGTACGCTGCAACGACGGCATGAGGGCAATAAGTTAAATCTATTTCTGGTGTTATAGAAAAATAAGGAAATGAATAATCTGTCTATCTCGTACAGCGATACATCCGATTAGCCGTTGCCTAGCACAAACGCATGTATGCAAATCAATTGCGCCAAAGGTGTTGCGAGTTGAGGGGTACTTTGCGGTTTTTATGATAGCTGGCACCGCTCTTGCCGAATCTTGTGAAATGTACGAATACAAATTGGTTCAAGATGATACCCGTTTGAACCGGCCTAGACTCCAGGTGAAGAAAGATAGAAGCTGTGATTTGGAAGGCTCATCGCCCTTCTATGGGTCCTCAAATGACAACCTTGGCACCAAGGATGGTCGCGGGTGCACATTGACCGCATGGACAAAGGACATGAGCAGCAGCGCCCTTGTAAAGAAGGGTCTGATTTCTGGATCTTGCGGCTATACTTATGTCAAGGGTTGTGTCAGCGGTTACAAACGCTGGTGGTGCGCCACCCCCCGGCAGAGGAGGACCTATGGTTGCGAATCGACTACGGACGATCGCTTGATAAGTAGGTACCCTCGGATGGGTTTGAGCTTTCAGGGGATCCGAGTGGATTTAAAGCATTCTTATTAGTAGTAGAAGCTCCAATAAATAGATTGGTCAATATTTTGAGCCTATATCTCGTAGTTGCTTTGTTTGCCAAGATTTGAATAGTGATATAGTATATCCAGAAATACTTATTGTCAACTCATCGTCTAGTAAACAGCTTTCGCCTTGTCCCTAGAGATTGCAAAACATCCATGTTATCTTGATCTTCCTCTAATAATCCTCCAGCCTGCTTTCCCCGCTTAGTCTGGGCAGAAGGAGACTGTGGCGATGAAAGCTGCAGCGCAATCTGCCGCTTGTAAGCAAGGCTAGAAGAAGACAATGCATAATGTGCATTTTCTTTCATAATAGACTTTTCTTCCTTGGTTTGTATTTTATTTTCTGCATGGAATTTGTCGTTGGTAACAGTGTTGATTGCCTCAATGACCGATTCTGGGCCGACGCCATCGCCCAGTTTGCGGCATTGATCCAGAGCATCTCGACCGTAGCGGGTTAATTTCTTGCCATCAAAAAAGTTTGGATTTGTGAAAAGGGTTTTGAAGCGCTTCAAGACTCGCAAAATTGTCTCACAATCAGCCTCAAACCACTCGGTATGCCCTCCTGCTTTGCCTGGGCTGGCTCTACAGAAGGCGCAAGCACCCAATGTCTTGCGCTCCTTATAGAAAACCCTGTGCAAAATTTTTTCGATAATCCTTGCCCCAACGTACGGCGCTTCATTCTTTTCGAGATTCACGAACAACATGTTGAATTTTCGTTTGCACTTTTCATTACCATATCGGTCCGCTGTACTTCGTTTTGCTCGGCCTATCTTCGTATGACCGCGGAGTAGTTCGTCATAGGTATCCCAAGCGAGGTATACAACCCCGGCTTCCAAGTAATAAGGAGTGAAGTTGCGTTCCATCATATCAAGATAGCCATGTGCCTCCTTTTCGCAGTCTACATGGTAAGGATAAACCACCTGTGAACTGGCACGTCGTATCGGATGAGCAAAAACCCGATTTTCGTCTGGTACAACCGGGGTCACATAGTATGAACTGCGAGCACGGTCATCCAAGGGACTGTCGTCCTTGCTAGGCGATATTGTCAGGTTGGAGAAGATTGCACCTGTCTCATCAACTTCCGTTCCTGGTGTGCTGGCAACGGAGGATTGCAGATCGCTATCAAAGACTGTGTCTGAGTCTGAGCTCCCAACAGAGGATCGTCTTCTTGACCATACAGTCTTATTTAACCGGGCACCTTCGTCCTCTGATTCGGAATTGTGTTGGACACTGCCTTCTTGCTCGGATTCGGCTTCGGAATCGTATTGAATCTGATCGTCCTCGTCATCGTCCTCGCCTTCTTTATCTTCTCCATCCGATTCTTCTTCCCTCTCTGAGGGCAATTCAGGAACCTCGAAATTGATAAATAATCCAGTCATACGTTCCAAATGACTCGGGCAAGTTGACTGCTTAATGTGTCTTGTCAGACTCTCCTTATGACGGGCAATCTTATCGTCGAATTGAGATGCACCTGTGTAGCGCTCACGAAACCGATAAATAGAGGCCGAAAGAATGTGCAGTGGGATATAGTTGTCGTTTTCGACGGGGGTACGACAGTGAGACCAAGGGCAGTTCGATTTACCCTCTGTGTAGCGCCTCAGCGCACTTCGTTGGAGTTGTTCGAGGGGACAGCCGTCGCCCACGTCGCTAACGTTGGAGGATCTACCCATATTGTATAAGACCTATGACGGAATAATACTTCATCTTCTACAGTGTGGAAAGCGCCCGACTTATAGGTGAATCAAAGCCTACTGAGTTTGAGACAACGGCCAGCGCAGCACCGGGGAGGGGGGTCGCAGCGCATACTCGCTGAGGGCTTCTTACAGGCTCAGCCGCGAAATGCTTCTAATTCGAGGCTGGAGGAGGGCCTGTTTAGCATTCTATTGGCGCCCAAGTCTGCGGTAGCTGCATCCGCGATGCACCTGTTGGAACGTGACGCGCCACCATGCATATGCAGGAGAGCCAACGGGCCCGTCTATCGAGGCTATGCTCTGGAAATTAAAGCCGTACCAAGTAAATACTCAGGGCTGACAGAGCGTATCAAGTGTAGTTTATGTACTGGGATAGACTTTATGCAGTGAAAGTAGCATATTTAATAAACTGTTAAGTTGTGTCGCGCTGGGAATAGAGCGGCTGAACTACCAATGCAGATCGCGGGAAAGTGAATGTCACAAACTGAAACAAGAGGCGCGGAACTGGTCAGGCTGTGGCTATTGTGGCTTTTACTGGTTCGCATTGGTGATGGTGCTGCCACTCATTGCCATTGTAAGGTAGAGACTAGAACCGGCGCAGGTCCGCGGGCGGCTAAATCTGTCGTATTGTTCCTCAGACCCCATGAACTGATCTGTACGTCGCCCACTTGGGCAAGGACTAATTTCACTTATAGGATGTAATAGCTCGTCTATCAGTTGAGAGATATCATATGAAAGAATTTTTCCAAGCATCCAGGATGAAAATGATAGCCTCGTCAGTATAGAGTGAGAATGCCAACTCTATGACATAGATCGAAGACTGGAATTATGTTGTATGTTATGACTAGATCTGTTACAGGGGATCGCTGAATGTATCTTTGGACGTCTAATTAACGGTGTAGACATTAAAACTTTGAAAGGTCTAATATACGATCAACAATCTGTTCCGGTGCGACAAACCCTACTGTGGACAATACTTAGTTGCCTTTGATGTAAAATGACCTTACAGTATATGCACAGTCGACAAGATCAGTTCGGAAAATTTTGATAATATTTAATTTAGGAATATTCATTTACTTTTGCCCCCATTAAATATAACCCTACATCCAGATTGGACGAATACGATGCGATGCGACTATTTCGTGGCTTGAACGTAACCTCAACCCCACCAAGTCTGAATATCTCCGCGCCAGCCTCATTTTGCGTCCTTTCCCCAACACATCTTTTTGCATTCTTTTCACTTATCAAAAATAGAAACGCAAAATGGTGGTTCTCAAGACACAGTCCGAATGGGGCTGCGCACCTCCTCCCCAAACACCATACAGCATCATTTCCAACTTGCCAGAATGGGATCTCTGGTTAAATCTCCGCGGGGGCGACGCATCCAAAGTGGTCACTGCGACACACATCTATCCGCGTCTTGCTCCGACACAGGCCGCTCGTGCAGTAAGCAGAACTAAACCATATATAATCATTAAAGGAAACAGTGCACTAATAATGGGATAGCTCACCGACGCCATTGCACAGAGACTCGGGCTGTCGGACAAGTTGTGCATGGCATACTATAACCCCATGATGTGGAAGTACACAGCCAACCATGTACAGCACAAGTTCAGAAAGGAATATGCCATCACACCCGATAAGCTCGTTTTCAAAGCTGTAGATATTGCTGGCCACCGACTCTACGCTATCCTGTACGACAAGCAGAACGCCAAGGCACTCGGACTCAGCTGGAAGACGCCCGGTATCGGCCTGTCCATCCGGGCCGCAGAGTACTTGCTAAAGCATATCGATACCATGAATGAGGTTCAATGCGCATTCGATGTACCGCCAGAGCCGACGTGGACGCCTGAAGGGCCCGCGCATCAGCTCCTGCGCCAGCGTGTAGTGGACTTGCTTCACCATGGAGCCATTGACCCGAGTAACGTGACCTGTAAAGCAAGCGACGTCTTTTTATATCCTACCGGCATGGCAGCTGTCTTTCATTCGAATGGTATACTGGAGAAGTATATCCCGGACGGCATGAACATTGAGATGGGTGTTGTTTTCCACAGCACTCATGAGCTGATGTACGAGGATAGCATCAACGGTTGGAAGCACTTTGGCCGAGTCGACACACAGTCTCTTGATTCGATGGAGGCTTGGTTGCGGGATGGAAACCGTGTTTCGTACGCGATTATTGAATTCCCTGGAAACCCTACGCTTGAGTCTGTTGACTTGCACCGCTTGAAGGCACTGGTAAGTTTAAACACAATAGTTTCTCACTCCTCAGACAGCTAATACTGTATACAGGCTGAAACGTTCAACTTTGTGCTCATTGTCGACGATACAATCGGTAGCGCCAGCAACATTGACGTCTTTGCGCTCTCAGATATGACACTTACGTCGCTCACCAAGTCATTCAGCGGTAGGGCAGATGTGCTCGGTGGCAGTGTTGTGCTCAACCCTCTCTCGAAACACTACAGCGAGCTCTCTCGCCGTTTCAGCGTGGCCCATCACAACGAACTGTTTGCTGACGATGCCGCTGTTCTGCTCTCCAACTCACAGGACTACTTTGCACGAGCTACCATTCTCAATGCCAACGCGCGAGGCATGGCTGAATTCTTGCACAAGAGCATCACCGATGTACCGGATTCACCAGTTATCAGCGTGCAGTACCCCTCCTTGATGGACAGCAAGGCGAATTTCGACAAGTTCAAGAGGAAGAGTACTGCAGAGATGCCTGATCCAGGCTATGGATGCCTTCTAACCATAAACTTTGAGAGTTTGGAGACTGCTAAGGCATTTTATAACAACTGTGGTTTCTACTCGTCGCCGCATCTGGCTGGACATGTTACTATAATGTTTCCGTACAACATGCTCATGTTTGGCGGTGACCCCAAGGAGGCTGAGGAGTACAGGGGCTACGGCGCAATTGAGGAGAGTATCCGTATATCTGCTGGTTTGGAAGATATTAATGATCTGGTTGACACGTTACAATCTGCTCTTGACAAGGCTATTGATGTGAAGAAGAAGGGTGCTGCTGCTGCAGAAAATTAGGAGCGAATGTCATCGTCAAGAGAACCATGTTAGTGCGCAGGTTTATTGGTATATGAGAAGATCACGTTCTATGGTTCTAATCTGACTGTTATCGCTACGCTATGAAGACGCAATGAATCGATGATCGATAACGAATCTACGGAGTGTGAGGAGGAGTGCGGAAGTCGGTAATGTAGTGCACCATCTCCATGCCAGACTCAGTGTATCCGCACTTTTCGTAAAACTTTTCCTTTTCTTGGCTGCAGTTGAGAATCGTCTTTGTGCAACCGGCGCTCTCGGCGACAGAGTTGAGGGCTCTCATCATGAGGAGGCCGAGGCCCTTGCCCTGGTGTTGCTTAGCGATGCACACCTCTTCAATGTGGCCGACGACGGCGCGGTTGTGGATGCTATAGCAGGTACTTTGTGTTAGTAATCCTGGATCCTTTCTACAATTTATCGTGCAATTTGAATAGAGAGGAAGACGTACAACTTCTTCTCGGCAACGACAATGCCAGTGCCGACGATGCGGCCCTCAAACTCAAGAACAACATAGTAGTAGGGGCCCTTGCCGCCGTTGTAGATTTCGTCCCAGCGCTCGTTGAATTCGTCCTCAGTCACGTTGCCCATGAAAGTGAGATCCTCGAGACACTTGAGGAAGCCCTTGGCAAAGTCGCCCTTCTCCATAGGCCGGACAGTGAAGCCCTCTGGAAAGGCAGATGAGACGTCGGCGCCAATATAGGACGCGGGGTACATTTGTTGCGAAGCAGCCATCTTTACTTGAAGTAATGAACAAAAGTGAACCGAAGAATTTGGATGATGAAAAAACAAAGAGGAAAATTTGAAAATTTGAAAGAGCAGAAGAGGATGATGTGTCTTTGTTTTTTGTTGTCGCAGGTGGCAGGCAGGCTGCGTAGCGCTGCTGGCGATGCGGGGGCGGGGTCGCTACGCTGAGGTGCGACGTTACCTGCCTGCGGTGCGCCGGTCTGCGGCCGACGATGAATGCTAGCAGCGGCTGATGATCCGATTGAGATTTAATCCCGAAACAGTGGCTGCTGTGATACATGAGGGTAATTACTGAGAAGTTCTCTGTCGGATCAAGTTGTACTTCCGCGGCGAGAGTTGTGACTTTAGTATGTGGCCAGACCACGAAGACCCAAATAGATCATTAGTTTTATTTCCATCATTATTTATTACAACTAGTCAAGTTCTGTGTAAAACTGAAGTCCAGGTATGCCATCTGTAGCCAAAAGCTGTAACAGCCTTATATCTGCATGAGGGCGTGATGTGCTGAGACGGCGTGACTCAACGCCTAGATGACCTGGGAAGTGACCTCGAGAATTCTTGGCTTGTATATCCGCACCAGGTGTCTTGAGCACAGATGCAGTGCCAACAGCACCGTAATGCGCTGCCCAGTGCAGCAGTGTCGCAGCTTGAAGCTCAACATGAGGGTCTCCTCCTTCTGACGCGTAAGTTGCGGCGCGTGAACCCCATATTCCAACGTTGAGGTTATCAAGGTCAGAGCCGCCAGAGATTGTAAACTCAAATGGCGGTTGCTTTGCAGCCCGTTGCGTCATAGGGGAGCCCCTCGCAATGAGATCAGCAGCAAGCTCGGTCATTAGGTCGCTCTCTCCAGTATCTGTATGTGCCGCTATCAAGTGCAATGGTGTCCATCCTTCAGCTGAGCCAACACATGCATCTGCGCCGTGCTCTAGAAGCAAATTCGCGGTTTCTACTACGATATGTAATTTGGACCCGGGGCCAGAGATCTCGGTAGCAGGTGATGGCACAATGGCACATAGGAGTGGCGTCCAGCCGTTATCGTTGACAGCATTGACTTCGGCGCCTTCTGAGAGAAGATAGGAAACAATCTCATAATTCTTGCCCGCAGTGGCCCAGTGCAATAAGGTTTCGCCACCATCATTTTTCAAGTTTATGATTAACAGGCTAGCAAACGCAGGTACCTTGTTCATCATAAGACGCAAGACTTGCGCATTGGCGCCAAAGGCAGCATAGTGCAAGGGTGTATTTCCAGCCGTATCTCGTGCCATGACGTCGACACCATGGTCCAATAAAAGCCGAATACCCATTTCGTATAGGGTGCGTTTTGGCCCCCCGGTAACGCCGACAGGTCTGCCGAGAAGATGTAGAGCCGTTGTTTATATATCAGGGCAACGCTCGTTGGCATCGGCCCCGTGTTCCAATAGCGTATTGAGGGCGAATACCAAATTGACCAGAGCAGCAGTTCTAATAACTGGATTCTTGAGACTCTTCAAATCTGCACCAGCATCAAGAAGCAACTCGATAGCCTCCTGCTGCTGCAAAAAGGCGATGCCTTGGGCTGCACAGGGCGGCTCGTTAAGCAAGTTGGTGGGAAGATCGATAACGCGGTCCAACGCGCGATTTAGCTGGCCTGGTGAGAAGTCGAATTCGTCGAGCGTCAAACGGACTATGGGAGAATGCCAGGCTCCAGCAGCGGAATGAAGAAGGAATTCTATCAGATTGTCGGCCCAATGAGCGCGGCGCGACAAAATGGCTTCAACTATGCCTACCTAACCGTGATTCCTAGCTTTCACAAGCAGGATATGATATTCCGAGCAGGATGCGTCATAATCTCCAAGCCCGGCGTGGTTGAGCAGTCTTTGGAAGATGAAATTGTTGCCTGTTTGAATGGCAGCCAAGATTGGCGACCTTCTTGGAGGCGAGCAGCCACGCGGTGCCCACGGGCTAGCACCTCCTGCTAAGAGGATATCCACGGTCGTAACATCTTCAAGAGTTACAGCCAATTCAAGCGCCGATCCCAATTCGGGATTGTAGTAGTTGATATCGAGCGATCCGCCGGTACAACGGTCGACGAGCCCCCTAAGTTTTGGTGTGTCCCGGTCGGCTACAGCGAGTAGCAGTGACGTGTCGTCACTTTCCTCCACATATTGCAACTAATGCCATGTATCCACGTCAATGCCCGCTGATCCTAGCTGCTTGAAGCGTGGGCGTGGCGTTTGTGACATGGTTGACCATATGTAGACTTCTAAATGGAACTTGAGAAGCTGGATCGCAGAACGCTTGTGGCGACGGGCAGTGGGCAAATGTTGCAACTTAGGAGGCAAATTCGACGCCCCTCACACGACATAGTTCGTATACAAAGACGGTTTGTACTTTGAGTTTTTATTGAATTTCCTTATAAAATTCCAAATCGGAATATAGTTTTATTTTTAAAAATAACTAAACAAAAATTGCACCTACGCGCGCCGACCCCTTCTCCCCATATGCAACGCCGCATCCCCATAACAAGTAATAATACTAGCTAATAGCAACCACCAGGATGCGGACGCTCCGTCGTCTCTTTATCCTCATCCTGCAGCCAATCCAAGTATGAAAGCGTCTTTCGCTCCACATAGTCGCGCAGCTCAAACCCTTCCTGGCCAGCATCGACAGTGACGCCATTGACACTCAGGTACTTGCGCTCGCTGGTAGCCTTGACCCTCCATATCTTAGTGGTGCTCTGCCCCTCGGGATTCTTGAGTCCTTCTACACCATACTGCTCTACATCTACATCTGCAGTCTCCCCCTCACCGTACAAAATGAATGGACGTACACCGCACGTCTTGCAAAATAGAAAATGGAGCTCAAAGTCGTTCCACTGGTAGTCGCCGAGACTCTCGAGTGGATTGACGGGCGACAACAGCACAAAGTCCTCGGGGACAACAGACGGACGTAAGTGGAAATGGCCCATTTTATGGCACGATGTGCAGTTGCAGCGGTAGATGCGCTGGCCAGGCGGATGGTCTTCGGTGGTAGGTGTGATGCGCAGTAGGTAGCGGACGTAGCCGCAGTGGCATGAGCCTTTGAAGAAGCGGCGGTTGTCCGACATGATAAATTATAACGAGGATAGATGCAGAAAGAAGAGGAGTGGTGGTTATTGTTGGATACAAGATGAAGCAAAGCAAGCAACTTACACGTGTCTTATAAGAAAAAGTGAGGGGGAAAAACAAGGCTGGGCGGCAGCGCCTTGTACATGACAGTTTTTCTGGAGTGTAGTGGGCGGATCGTCGCCCATTCACTGATCTCTAGACGAAACGCATACTAGAGGCGTGAATGCGGCTGAAAGAGGAGAAGGAGAAAGTCGCCCGATGACCCGCAATCCAACGCTAGAAATCACAGATGTAAATTAAGCTTGATTTGTAATGATGACTGTGATGGGAACATGATCTTCACGTCTTTTTCTTCTTTTGTTTAGAGGCTATCCAATTGTATGAAAATCCAAGCATTTGTGTGCGCGCTGTATACCTGAGCGTATTTTAGTTACAGTGACTATACTTCTATGACCCATGATATCCCGCCCCTTCCATCACCCAATTTGCAAAACTTACGCTTCTCAGGTAAATCGCGGTACTCTAGGTAAAGCCAGTTCCTGGTGCCCGTTAACAACCTTCATGCAAAATTTCTTTCGTGGATCCTCCTCCAAGGGATGCTCCATGTTCTCCATGTTTTCCCAGACCTCCTTCCCACCACACTTGTCCCCGGGTCCCCACGAGAATTCCCGTTTCTCAAAGTCATAGTTGAGTGCTCTTTCATTTCCCGGCGTAATAACCCAGCGGTGAGGCTGGACAATGCCCAAGTTTTCCACTTCCGGCATCCAGACAGCCGTCTTGGTAGTCAGGACATACACCGTCTCTGCTTGCAGGTGTATAAACCCATCATCTCTGCTAAACACCGATGCCGACCATTCTACCATTTCCATCTCTGTCTCGCTAATGGCATACTGCTTCGGCATCAAACATTGTCTGTTGGCCAAGCTGTCCCCTCTGCACTCATGCAATAGCTGTTTGGTAATGGTGTCAAATCCCGATGCTGGTAGCCATAGAATATCGTGAATGCGATCCATGCACCGCGATATCATGGTACGATTTGAAAATATATCCTTTGAGATGTTGAAATTTCTTTTTTTAGCCCAGCGCAAGACAACGCGTGCAGCGTCGGCATTGACATGCAAAAGCGGCACAATCACTGGGACTGGGTCCAAGAGCTCGTGGCAGAATCGCAAGTAGAGATGACTTCCTGGATACAATTTGTGGTTGGGCGGGTACGGCTTTTTAAATTTCTTCATGAACCCTTGGGAGTAGAAGAAGATAGCCGGGGCATCCCTGTCTGGTAGCGCATGGGACCAGATGAGGTCGCGGATCTCGAGGGGGAACCGTGAGAAGAGGGGGAATGTCTCCATCGCCACGAGGCTTTTGTGGGTTGTCGTGTTGCTGTCACTGTGGTAGAGTTTTTATTTGTGGTCAGGTCATCTTTCAGCACTTTCTTCTTGTCGATGGAGCAAAGGAAGCGCCAATTGGCGAGGCAGGGTTGTCGTGATGGGCGTTTGCAAGAGGGAGTGTTGGCGCCAGGATCGGGCTTGGGCGACATCATCTCGATTGGGAGGGGTTCGAAACGTTTCAAGATGACCGAACCCCACAGTGTAGTCATATCGCGATACGAACAGCAAAGGCTTGGCTAGCTCAAATACCCTTATTATAAGACTATATATCTAAAGTTGTTAGGATTATATATATGTATACATATTAAAAGAATCATTTAAAGCAAGTGAAATTAATACGCAGAATAACACCACCTAGTGTTGCTACCTTGTGTTGCGACCCTGTAGTACTACTCTGTAGATCGAAAAGCTAGATCCTCTGGCTATCCCTTGTCTCCAGCTACGATATTGACTTTGTGTGCTATGTAGGAAATGATGGCATCCGATACCAACTCCTGGTTCAGCTCGAGCTGCGGTTGCAATTTCAGCTCCATACGGCGCATCCTCTCCTCGATATCGGCCCAGTAGTTCCGGCTAGATACTATCCATTTTACACGGTAATGTTTAAGCTGATTGCACTGCAAGAGGAAATCGAGAAATCGCCTTTGGCCGGTGGCACATTCGTCTAGCGCATCCACCAATAACACCGCGTTGGCCGTTTCTGGCGCCTGAATCATGGTATAAAAGATTTCTTTCAGACTAACCTATGTATTTTCGGACTCAAAGAGCTTTTGCCCTTGCTCATCATACCTTTTTTCGCAAATGTGAGAGCAACAGCGGCTGCTGCGTCGCTAAAGCAAAGATGAGGCCTCGAAGAATCGCCGTTTCGCTATTCATTTTGGAGTTTGCCTGTTCGCAAAGGAAGTAGGATAGTAGCCGTCCAGTTGATTTGAGCTCGTTAATTATCCCACTCATGAGCATTGTCTTGCCCTTGCCTGGAGCGCCCTTGATCCATAGCAATTGCATGTCGGGATCGGCGAGGAACTGCTGAAAGTCTGCGTGGCGGATAATCCAAGAATACGAATCTTTGAACAAGCCGCCTTTGTGTTCCTCTATGCGCAACTTATCAGCACTTGGATCAGTCAGGCAAAGGTGATTTAGGCACTCGGTATCCTTAGCCTCGCGATGCCTCGCAGCGCTCTGCTGGGTCGTATCCTGGATGGCATCCTGTATATCGGCCAGTTTTGTTTCCAGCGACTGAGTAGCCTCCAACATGGCGTAGAGCGTGGATTTGACCAGTTTCGAGTTATACTACTTTGCGAATTGGTTGACTTGAGCCTCCTCATCCTTGATTGACTTAAGCTTGCCGTCCCAGTCATCCACCTTGATCGTATTGAGCCCAAACTTTACTAGCCAATTGCGGCTGTAGACACAAACGCTCTTGATCTGATATTCAAGAAGCTTTTCATACAATTTTACAACAGCATTCTTCATGCTTTCGCGTACTTTTTGGGAAGACTCTTCGACAATGTTCTCCTTCAAAAGAAGCATTGCCAGGTTCCAGTACCAGTCCATGCGTAACAAGACATACTTTAAGCCGGATCGGTTGCCTTGGTACTCTACAATCGAGCTAGAGAGAACCTAGATGGTATTAGTTAAGCTATCAATGCTAACAACGCAGCAAATTCACATCCCTCGAGTCCCAAACAAACACCAGTCCAAACAACAGCTGCCTGCGGAACTGACTGCAAGGCACTGCTGACCACGCCCTTGACGGTGGTGATGACTTTCAGGGCCTGTGTAGCTTTATCCGCAACCGCTGAAGCCTTTTCTGTCTGTTTCAAGCTGTACTTTGCAATGGCTTGCATTTGCACCCACCGCTCTTCTCCATTGTGACTAATGCTGTTGTCGCCTGTTGTCTCGGTGCTGATACCCAGTTCTAACTCCTTGAGCTTTGAGGAGAGAATTCGTTCATACGAGTCAATCAGCTTCGGATCAGCCTCTTTGATGGCGTCATAGACCTCGGTCCACAGTTGGACCTGTAGCGTAGAGAGTGTAGGCTCAGGCAGTGCTTCAGAGTCTGGCGGCGCTTCAGTGTTGAGCGGTGCTTCTGCGTCAGGCGAGGTCCCAGTCGCTGCCTCTGCTACTGGTACTGTTGAATCCAGCGTCCGGATTGGTAGCGGCCGTGTTGTCTCTTCTGTTGGACTCGTCGTAGTCTCAGTCTCCTCAATAGGCCCTTCTGGCTCAGGCTGAGGAGCGGCGTGGCTGTGGGATTGCCAAACGGCTCGTGCCACAGCCACGCTTACACTACTAGGAGTATGCACGTGCTAAGTTATAGAGTAGCCAATTACTTTATTACTTTATAATCTTAGAATACTGCAAGATTACAGCATAGAGTCAGGCGATAATACGACACAAACAAAAAAGTTTCAATTGAAATAGTAAGTTTCTAAAGTAAATCACGTAAACGCTAATAGCAAGTGAGCAACATGTCCGGTAGTTCGACAGGTGTATGAATTATGCACATACCTTCAAAGCACTGACGCTACTGTCTGCGTCGCCACCGTCATGGGGGGAGAGAAATACACCAGCAAGTTGTCTTTTAGACTCCTGCATTTGCATTACTTCCTTCAAAATTGTCAGTAGGCCGAATCCAACGTTGCATGAGAGTAGCAAACCTCTTCAAATGAGTTTTTAACATAGAAACGGACAGTTGTGACTTCTTTCGTTTGCCCTAGTCTATGGATTCTAGCGAGAGCTTGTTCTTCCAGAGTTGGGTTCCTAAGATGTTGGAATAAACTTGAACTTGGTATCGGCTGTAAGTTATATAGTACTTACCAATGAGGCTCTACCAAATATGCGCGAGATGCTACAGTCAAATTGAGACTGCATCCAGAGTTAGTTTTCTAGAGCGGTAGTTGATGAAATTGTCGTCTTTGAAAAGGTAGAAAGAAAAAGAAAAATTAAAAGCCTTACCCGACTGCACCACACGATAAGGTTAATAGCATGACTTGTATGCTCGGATCTGATCGGAATTTTTTGAGCACTGTGTGGCGATCTTTCTGCGCCACCTTGCCATCAAATCTAATGCTCTGTATCGACGCTGCATTAAGACCGGATGTTATCAAGTCAAGGGTAAGTCTCCAAGTGGAGAATACAATGCTATCGCTTCTGTTAGTACTGCTGTTTGGAAGAAGTGGTGGTTTAAAGCAGTGCCTACCATTTAACATCTTTAGGAAGGCTCTTGATGTCGTCAATCAGCGCTGTAACCTTTGACGATAGATTGTTCGATAGATTTTGAATCGTGGGGGGTACGAAGCTGTCAATCTCCTCAAGCGCGGCGCTGCTAGTAGAAACTGGAGCCGCTTGACAAGAAGGAGTATGGCCACAAGTAAGACTTGAGCCTTTACTGATAGACTTTTCCAAGCACTCCTTGCAGAAAAATTTCAAGCAGCTGGTAAATATCGCGCCATCGCCGCCCGCAGTGGACTCGCCTAGTAGTATGTCAGAGAGGCCAACTGTTGACAAGCACTTCTTGCAAGATAGTGACGACATTTCCCGCTGGGAGTTGAATGTCCTCTGAGCAACTTTGCTCCATTCGTTCTCAGAAAACTGATAAGACGGCTTTTCATGTCTTGAAAGGTAGTGGAACCCCAAATTGCTGAACAGTCGCATGGACTCTATTTGTTGAAGGATATTGACATAGCTATGACGCTTCGACGAAATTGAGTCGTTTCCTAGGGCTTCGTCAATATTGAGAATCGTGTGGTCTTTTAGCTGTTTGTAGGTTGCTCTCTCTTCAGCGGTGAATTCAACCGCTTGAACAAGATCTCGACGTGGAGGAAGGTTAATAGTGGCCTTGGCTCTTCGAAGCAAAATATGGGCTGAGAGGCGTTTCAGCCGGTTGACCGCCTCTCCATCGCTACCTGACTTCCAAAGCCGTGAAACATCCGTCTCGAATCGCTTCGGATCATTAAATGGATGCGCTTGGATGAATTTGAGCAGGCTGGCTAAGTCTCCCAGGCGGTTCTGGATAGGAGTTCCAGTCACAGCCCAGCGAGCGATAGAATCTAGGGCACATACTGCCCGAGCCATTCTAGAACTTCCATTTCGGATAAAGTGCGCTAGCGATATTGTTAGCACCAGCTTTAAATATTATTAAAGCTTCCTACCTTCGTCCAATATTATTCTTCTCCAACGGACAGAGAATAATGGGGACTTTTCCAAGCCCCCGTTCGCTGCTTTCCATTCTGCTGACACGGTGTGATAGGTAGTGAGAACGATATTGAATTGACGTATTTCGCTTATATCATTCAATCTGGTTTTTCCATGATGACGATGGAAGCTTAATTCTCCGGGAACAACGTGCCTGCTTGTATTAGTGGTGTGATTTAGTATAATAGGGTATGAACATACTCGAGCAACTGTTCTTCCCAGCTTGGAATCACTGTCAAGTGTTAGAGGAAAGGCAACTATGTTTCGAGAAGGTTCCTTTCAAGGAAAACAGGACGTACAAGGTGGCGGCACAATTATTAGAGTCGCGCTTGTATCCGGCATATCAACAGTAGGGTATTCACTCTCAGAAGGCAGCGGGTTCGAATCCAAATCGCTTGCCACCAATGCAATCATAGTAAGAGTCTTACCGAGACCCATTGGATCCGCTATGATGCCTCCGTAGAATGGTGGGGGTGCATCCGGCTGATACTCTTGAGAGATGGTGTTAAAGAACCTGTATGCGATTAGTTGAGTCTGACAAGCTAGGAACGTTGGCTCGTACATTCTTCTACTTCCAGAGTCGACAATGTCCCAAACATCGTGTTTGTCAATATTGAATCCCCACCCTTTTTCTCGATTTATCATAAACGTAAGAGCCTGTTTCTGATGACTTTGGTACAAGGTTAGCAATATAACTCGATGATTGCCTATTGATTATTATAAATTACCTTTTAAGAGCCGCCTGAATGGACGAGGGCTGCGCTGCCTCGTCTAGGTCGATGTGACTGCTTAATATGTCCAAAAAGTCCGGCATTTCAGGGATCTCCTTTGGCATAATGATTGACGATCGTTCGACTATCTCAGCGAGCGACACGCATCCATACAAATCGTCGCACGATAGTCTCTGAGGATTGCAGTATCGAACATTCATGTCACATGTGCTCGGGTCTTGCAAGAAGTACTCCTCGCTCTCCTTGAACCATACATTCAGATCGTCGAATAGGTCAATGGGCCCGTATATTCTAATGTCCAGAGTGCAGAGCGACATGACTGTAGTCCGGTTGCGCTTCTTTGTGACTGCTACCTTCTCCGGTAAACACGTGGCATAGAGCTTAATAGCCGTTTCTTCTAAAAGGCATTCAATTAGCTGAACATGGTCAGGATGAATCCGACCGCTAAAAGACTTGACTTCCTCTGAGGAGAAGCAGCTGGCGGAGTCAATATGAACTAGTAATGTCTCTGGGAGATCCCCACCACCTCTCATGTCGTAAGTGGCAGGTATATTTGGAATCTATAAATTCAAAATTCAGATAAGACTCGACAGCTATAAAGCCAGCTTTACTTACCATACCAAAGCACACAATCTCGGTATCAAGGTTCGCTATCGTGTTCGGTTGGTCAATTGCCAAATTCATACCCGAATCAAGTACATTATTTAGCAAATTTTCGTTCCCTCCGAATTCTGTATTCACTATTAATTCATCTACCAGCTGCTCTACCAGCTGGGGCTGTGGATGCGAGAAGTTGTTGGCGCATGAGGTCAGATCTTGGACCAAACAGTCTGCTACAATTTCTGTTAGTTTGCCTATGACAAGGACATCAGAAATGCTGGGAGAAAACCTGAAAAATCCATGATATTGTTAAAAGTAAAGGTTGTAAACTGTGCATCTCCATCCGTTCCAGATAAAGCATGGGATCCATGTTCTAAACGCTGGCGCTTAGCCTGTCGCTCAACTACGTCGTTGTCTGCCATGGTCTAGTTGAGGTGATAGATAGAAACCGACCAAACGCGAGTATAAGCCAATCGGAAACGTTATATCTTGCTTTATCTTGCTACACAGTCTCTCCTTTATATTAAATCTCTTTTGACCTTTCTTTTCAGGGGCTGAATGAAGATGCTGCATCACGTGTGACGATGCATATGCAACTCAGCCTCGCGTTGGTCACCTCCCCGAGCTTCTCTACACCGGTCAAAGAGGCTCCTTTGCAATAAATATGAAACATGACCGCCTAGGATAAGGCAGACCGTGACCTCCTATCGACGGCGAGGCAGAATGAAAGGATAGTCAACACAAAGTCAGCCTGCGCAAAGTCAACGTGGAAACATCTCTCCATCATACTCCTTGGAGAGCCAGTTTCGCCCCTATAGATTATATTATACTCAAATCTGAGGTATTATAATATACCGATAACTCTATCCATGAATATTAGCATTCGTTAATTAAAAATAAAACTAGCATCATGCCTCTTAAGCCAGCCTCCTCACCTCAGGCGCGTCAGGCTATTAGTACCGCATTCACAGAACTGGAACAAACGATCACTCCTGAAGACAGTCGCGATTTCAATGTTACGACCATCGAGAAAGTAAGAGATGAAGCAAAGGTTATAGAGGACCAAATTGCGAGTCGTAAGTGGCTTCGGAATATGCGGCGTCTGATGCCGTTGTTCCAGGGGTTAGAGCACTACGCAAAATCAATGGAGGTGCTTTGCAACGGAACTCCCTTTCTACCTTGGGCATGGGCCCCCATCACACTAATTCTTCGCATTAGTTCTGAACACGTTGAGGCATTTGAGCGGGTTGTGAAAGGTTACGCGAAGATTGGTGACTGCCTGGATCGCTTCAAGACGCTCGGCCTTGCGTTGGGTAAGAATTTAGAATTCCAACAAACTTTGGCTGCGTTCTATGTGGACATTCTTAAGTTCCATAAGCAAGCTTACAAATTCGTTCGCCGAAGAAGTAAGTACTGCATGATCTCATCATAACGCTCGAGCTCTTACTAATTATACTCGCGTCTTTAGACTGGAAGTTGTTCTTCGTTACGTCCTGGGGTCGATTCGAACGAACATTTGGAAATATCATCGAAGATCTTGAATACCATGGTAAACTTGTGGACTTGCAAGCAAATGCTCAGCATGTACTCGAGGCTCGCAATATGCGCGAAGAAATCAAAACATGGCGGGAAGAAAGTCTTGTGCGTACAAAGCAATTGGACGACAAACAAACCGCAAAAGAAGCTGAGGCAATCATATCTTGGCTCAAGGCGGATGAAGGAGATCAAGTCGACCTTCTTGATGCCTTGTCTACAGAAGCTGTTAAGTTTGCTGGGACTTGTTCATGGGTACTGAAAAACGAAAAGATCAAAACTTGGCTAAAGGAGACAATGGAATTCCCTAGTTTATCACTGCAAGGGAATCCTGGATCTGGAAAAAGTGTTTTGGTCACGCAGATTACCACCTTCATGAAGGCTTCAAACATGTTCACCGTCCATCACTTTTGCAGTCAAAGATACCCTGCTTCAACAACTTATGACCAGATTCTCCGGTCCATCATCCTACAACTACTTCGCCAAGACACTGAGCTCGTGCCACATGTTTACAAAGACTACGTGATTGGCAGGAAGCCCCCAACAGCCCAGGCATTGGAACGGTTAGTGCATACATTGGTCACAAACTCGTCACAGGAGCCTCGCAAAACTGAATACATTTGGATTATTATCGACGGGTTGAACGAATGCGACAATCAAACACAATCTAGTGTTTTGAACCTGGCTACTCAGCTTACAAGCAAGAATACGTCCACTGAGGGCACAGTTTGCAAAATTCTCATCTCTAGCCGTGCTTCACCAATAATCTCAAAGAGACTGCGAGCAAAGACTACTATTTCTTTAACTGAAGAAAGGAAGAGTATCAAGGATGCTATCAGACAATACGTAACCCAGCGTCTAGAGTCTCTCCGCGAAAAGCTTCGACAGTTGAGCCTTGGGCAAAAGGAGATCGCGGAGATTGAAATCATTATTACCAACAAAGCAGATGGCATGTTTCTATATGCACGTTTAGTGCTCGACTACCTCTCGAGCAACATCTTTTACAGCGGGGAGGAGATGAAGGCATCTATCAGTGAACTCCCAAACAGACTGTCGGAATTGTAAGCCATCTGAAATTGTAATACATTGCATTAGAAAGACCGCTAACCTATACTAAAGCTACCAGAAGATTTTGATTCAAACATTGGTTCAGCTAAACCCGCAGTCTGTGGAGCGCATCCGATGTATATTTGCATGGATTGCATTTGCCAAACGGCCATTGAAGAAAATGGAATTTCTATCTGCGCTGACTTTCAGCGACGGAAATGCTAATGCGACAAATCTCGTGCCAAGATATGTTTTGGATATCTGTGGTGTTCTAGTCGAAGAGCAGCCTGACACGACACTGGCCTTTATTCATATATCTGTGAAGGAGTAAGTATCAAACATTTGCAGTGGGGCATTGTTATTATTTCAACTAAGAATACAAGAGATGATCGCTAATATTATGATTTTTAGGTTTCTCATGTCACCTGATAGCAATCTTGTCATTGCCAAAGAGCAAGCAGACGTTGAACATGCTAGAGCAACGTTGGCTTGCCTCCAGTCTGGTGTCAACGTCTTTCTGAAGCCTGGGCCTGAGCATGACAAGATTATTCGAGTTGTGAAAGGCTTCCATGGCTTCCACGTATATGCCACGGAATTCTGGACCGAATACATATTGCAACTAGTATCTATTGATACTCTGAACGCGCAGCCGGCTATTCTCGCGCTTGCTTCTAGTCTTGCTATTAGTCTTCAAGACGTGTCAGGCCAGTCCGATGCAACACCTCCTATCACTGCGTCAGATTTACTTGACGAGAGACTAGCTAAACTGGATGAGTACCCGCTTCTCCAATTACTGATTCAAGAGGCTCTAAAATCGAGGTCTTTGAAACAATTGGAGACCAATATTCGTCAGGAGGCTGGTCACACGTCCGAAACAGCACGCCCAACGAGCAGCAAAGGCACAAAGGATGGCAACGATGACGCTACGGAGACAGGTGTAACTAGTGAACAACAACCAGCTAAGGATCCTATGTCTAAGATGTTGGCTGTTTATCAAAAGACAGTCAGGTTTCTTCTTGATCAGACCACATACTCTGGAGTATCAGCCGACGACCTTTCGCTATTTAAGCGCCAGTTTCAAAATTCAGCTTTCACGTGTCGCTTGAAGTTTTGTCCTCGTGCAACAACGGGATTTTCGACTGAAGAACAATGCCGATTACATGAGATTGCGCATACACGTCTCGTAACATGCACATATCCCGAATGCCACTACCCTCCTTTCACCTCTTTACAAACTCTCAGAAGGCACGTTAAAAAGCATCATCTCATTCAGTCAATCCTTAGACCAATACGACAAAACAGAAATGGTGCAACACAACGATCAACCTCGGATGTTGAACGCAACACAGAAGGGCATAAACACTCAGTTCCGCCAATGTTGGCGGAGGAGGACACCCTTTGCAACTCTAACGATGCAGACGATTACTGGCGAGATCTATTTAAGCACCCGTCGGAAGTGGAAAATGAATTTCCAATGCCCTCCCTCGAAGGAATATGGCCCAGCGCTACAGACATGTGGGGAGTAGATGATGCAGTTTCAAGTTTCTTCCGTGACGAAATGTTGCACAGTATCACAGACCCGATAAACAGCTGTCCGACTAGTCCAACTTTGGACCAGTTGCCTATTGTTCCCGGATTACAGATTGACGATATGGGTTTCTTCAGGTGTTCCGTTTATAACTGCGGGGCTAAAGTTTGCGACGGCGTGTCGGAAGGCATGTATCCAGAAGCGTTCTACCATTACTGGCATTGGCATCATGCTGATGGTATATCTCGTTGCGCAGAACCCTGGTGTCAGCGAACCTTCAGTACTAGAGAGGCGCTACAGAATCACTATATAAATAAGCACTGCACACTCATGTGCAAAAAGTGCGATCCTTGTCACGCTGAAGAATTTACCATGCTGGAAGAGCTTCATCAACACTGGAGATCAGAGCACCTAAAGCTGGTCCGACGATGGGTATGCCGGTTAGACCTGGACGCCAAGGTGCAAAGCATGATGATTTTGTTGCCGAGTGATTGTCATGTTTGTTCCAATCGATTATTATACTCGACCGAAGGCAGCGCAATTGATCATATGAAGGGGGACCACCGTGTCAGTTTCGAGGCCTTCTCAAACGACGTACAGACATTTATCAAAGAGATAGCTGCGTATGTGGAAGCTAGTACCATTGACCACGACAACGCAATGGTAGATTCTGATCACTCGGACACGGAAGACAACAAAATTCACCCAGGCGATATGTTCTACGTCAAAGACCTAGCAAGCTAGACGGTGGACAGGGGAACCGTATTCTTTAACAGTTTCTCTAGATTTTGAATATACCTTGTTTAATCGCATCTGTCACTCGGAATAAACAGCGCTACAAAACTCATCAGCAGTCTCTTCAATATCTCAAAAGATAAATCGAAATCTACATAAATTAAGCAAATATATATGTAACTTAGTGTAAAAGGAAAGTGAACATTATTATTTTTTTGTTTTTTTTAGGTTTTCACAAAATAGATAAGATAGAGTCGGTAATAACCACAATTTCATTGCAGTTACTCCAATTTTGGGCTGCGTATTTGTCGATGTGAATGCGCTGGCTCCAAGGTACGCGTGGAGTGCTTCCTAATGCGGCGCCTGTGCATCAAATGTGTCAGTCATAACCCCGCCGTTTGCTGCCCCTCCCACCCCGATCATCGGAGTTTTGCGCTAGAATTTATTTTTTACCCGGCAGCTGTCAAATCTACCGCCTTTTCTTTTTCCTCTCTTTTCATCTTCATCATCTTGTTTTTTTTATTTCTTCAATTCAATTCAACCTGCCCGGCAGCAGAAATATCACAATGGGACTCCCTGATCCCACCACCGACCTTGACTGGTCCGGCTACATTGGCGCCATCCACGAAATCTTTGCCGCCAATGCTCTCAAGAACCCGGATGCTCCTTGCGTCACCGAAACAGCATCTTCCACAACCCCCGAGCGAAGATTCACATATCGCCAGATTTACGAGGCCTCCAATGTCTTGGCCAATCAGCTCAGCGAAGCTGGCATCACAAATGGCGATGTCGTCATGATCTTCGCCTACCGCTCGGTAGAGCTCATTATTGCCTTCATGGGAACATTGGCCGCGGGCGCAACAATTACCGTCCTGGATCCTGCTTACCCTCCTGCTAGACAACAAATTTATCTTGAGGTGTCCCAGCCCAAGGCCCTCATCACAATTGGCAGAGCCAGAGATGAAAACGGCACGTTTGCCCCTCGTGTCCAGAAGTACATTGATGAGGAGCTCTCTCTCAAGATTAGAGTACCTGAGCTCCGCATGAGCGACGCTGGTCAAGTTACCGGCGGAGAAGTAGACGGCAAGGAAGTTTTCACCAACACAGAAGCTAAGAGGTCGTCACCGCCCAATGTCCTCGTTGGCCCCGACTCTACTAGTGTGCTGAGCTTCACTAGCGGCACCACATCCACCCCCAAGTATGAGGCACATCCCACTATCTTTTTCGCAAACACAAGCTAATATTCTCTCTTTTAGGGGCGTTTTGAGCAGACACTACAGCTTGGCCAAGTACTTCCCGTGGATGGCCAGAACCTTCAACTGGACCTCCGAGACTAAGTTTGCGTGCCTCAGGTAAGACATCCACCTTCTACCCTTTATCTGCAGCATCAGCTTTACTAACTTTATTACAGTGGCATCAGTCATGACCCGATCCAGCGCGATATCTTCAGCCCCCTCTTCATGGGCAGCGAGCTCATCATCCCCGCCCGCGAAAACATTGCCCACGAACGATTAGCAGAGTGGTTCCGCGACTACAAGCCCAATGCCGTGCACTTGACCCCTGCCATGGGTCAAATCCTGTGCGGTGGTGCCAAGGCAGAGTTCCCCTCGCTCAAGTGGGTGCTCTATGTTGGCGACATTCTCACCAAGAAGGATTGCGCCGGACTACGTAAGCTCGCGCCCAACGCCGACATTTGCGCTGCCTACGGTACCACCGAGACCAACCGCAGTGTGTCCTACTACCACATCAGAAGCCACTCCGAGGACCCGAATGCCCTCGACAAGTTTGGCGACATTGTCCCCGCCGGTCGCGGTATTGAGAATGTGCAGCTTCTTGTCGTCAACCGCGAGGATCCCACCAAGCTGTGCGGTGTTGGCGAAGTCGGCGAGATTTACCTGAGAGCCGCTGGTTTGGCCGAGATAAGTACTCTTCCATTTATGATAACAAGTCTCTTGCTAACATCTAGTTTACGGTTATCTGAATGATGCTGAAAAGACAAACGAAAAGTTCATCAACAACTGGTTCGTCGACAACCAGAAGTGGGTGGATGCCGATAACGCGGTTGCTGATCTCGCCAAGCAGCCCTGGAGAAAGTACTACAAGGGCCCCCGCGACAGAATCTACAGAAGTGGTGATCTCGGTCACTACTTGGACGACTCTGGTAACACTGCCATCACCGGCAGAGCCGACGACCAGGTCAAGGTTCGCGGATTCCGCATCGAGCTCAATGAGATTGACAGCAACTTGAGAGGCCACCAGCTGGTCCGCGAGTGCAAGACGCTTCTCCGAAGAGATCGTAACGAAGAACCTACCCTCGTCAGCTATGTCGTCCCCGAGGATCAGGAATGGACCAAGTGGCTCGCAGAACGCGGCCTCGACAACACCGAGGAGCAGGGAACCGAGATTGGCCCTGTCCTCGTCTACACCAAGCGCTACCGACCCATGCAGGCAGAGGTTCGCGATCACCTCAAGTCTCGTCTACCGATCCAGGCTGTGCCTACATACTTCATCTTCCTCAAGAAGATGCCCCTCAACCCTAACGGCAAGATTGACAGCCCTGCCCTGCCTTTCCCTGATGCTGCCCTGATTGAAGAAGAGGCTACCGAGGATGATCTCAAAAGATGGGAAGGCCTGAGCAGCACAGAGAAGGAGGTTGCTGAGCAGTGGGCGACTCTCATTAACGGTCTCAACGCCAAGACACTACACCCCGAGTCCGACTTCTTCGAGAGCGGTGGTCACAGTCTGCTTGCCCAGCAGCTTCTGCTCAACCTGCGCAAGCAGATGGGTGCCAACGTCACCATCAGCTCGCTCTACTCTAACTCCACCCTCGGCTCACTCAGCACACAAATCGACCGTCTGCGCGAAGGCAAGGAAGAATCCGTAGCTCCTGAGGACAGCGGTGCCGCATACGCCGAGTCGCTAGACAAGCTCCTCGAGACCCTCGATGCCAAGTACCAGACTGCCGACCCTGCTGCTCTCTCGCCTGCCACCAAGACAACCGTCTTTGTCACCGGTGCTACTGGTTTCCTTGGTTCTTACATTGTCAAGGACCTGCTTCAGCGTGAAAACATCCACGTCGTTGCCCACGTCCGCGGCACCAAGGGTGTCCCTGCTGCGCTTGAGCGTCTGCAGAAGTCGCTCCGCGGATACAGCGTGTGGCAGGATGCCTGGGCCAGCCGCCTAAGTGCCGTCATTGGTGATCTCGCACAACCACACCTCGGCATCGACGACGCAACATGGAAGACACTAACAGAAACCGTGGATGTCGTCATCCACAACGGCGCCCTTGTCCACTGGGTCAAGCAGTACAAGCATCTCGAGCGCGCCAACGTTCACTCTACCATTGAAGCCCTCAGCCTCTGCAACCAGGGCAAGCCCAAGCTGTTCTCATTTATCAGCTCCACCAGTGTCCTCGACACAGACCACTACATTGACCTGTCGCACCAGCAGACCAGCACCGGCCAAGGAGCCGTCATGGAGGCCGACGACATGGAGGGCAGCCGTGTCGGTCTCGGCACGGGTTACGGCCAGTCCAAGTGGGTGAGCGAGCAACTTGTCCGCGAAGCCGGCCGCCGCGGCCTTCTCGGCTCCGTCGTCCGTCCCGGCTACATTCTCGGCGACGCCGCCACGGGCGTCGTCAACAACGACGACTTCCTGATCCGCATGCTCAAGGGCTGCATCCAGCTCTCCAGCCGCCCTCACATCATCAACACCATCAACGCCGTGCCCGTCGGCCACGTCTCGACCGTCGCTGTCGCCGCATCCTTGAACCCGGTCCCCGCCAGCACCTCCGGCGTCGACAAGGGCGTCCACGTCGTCCATGTCACGGCCCACCCGCGCCTCCGCATGAACGAGTACCTTTCTATTCTCAGCTATTACGGCTACGACGTGCCCGAGGTCGACTACGACAGCTGGAAGGGCCAGCTCGAGACCTTTGTCTCGGCTGGTTCCGTGCAAAAGGACGAGGAGCAGAGCGCCCTCATGCCCCTCTTCCACATGGCCACTAACAACTTGCCCACGACGACGCGCGCGCCTGAGCTCGACGACCGCAACGCCGTCGCGGTGCTCAAGGCCGATGCGGACCGCTGGACCGGCGTCGACGAGAGCGCCGGCGAGGGTATCAGCAGAGAGACGGTTGGCCGCTTCCTGCGCTTCCTTGCCGAGACGGGCTTCTTGGCTTGGCCTACGATCCGCGGCAGAGAGCTGCCTGCTATTACGGAGGGTGTTGTTGAGAACCAGGCCAAGTGGGGTGTTGGTGGCCGTGGTGGTGTAGCATAAACAGGTTATATACAAATCGTTTTTATTGAGGATTCATTCAAAGTTAGATATCAAGAAAAAGTAACCATCTTGTTTTTTTTATGCGCGCTTCTGCTTGTCCGCGATAACCTTGCCGATGCGCTTCCATGAGCCGAGGCCTTCAATGAAGCATGAAATCTCCCACTTCCACCAGAGGGCTGAGAAACGGGGCACGCCGTAGGCCTTCATGCGCAGCTGGTCGAATAGGACGGCCTCGATGCCGTGGACGAGCGCGAGCCAGGGCACAATCTTTTGCGCGACCCAGAGCAGTTTCTCGGCGCTGCCGGGCAGCAGGCGCTCGGCGGTTTCCCAGAGTGCAGTACCTGGCGCGAAGTGGCCTGATGCTGAGGCGACGCCAGCGCCGTAGAGGAATAGAATGGCGCCGATGGCGATGCAGTCGGGCGTCTTGGGGGCAGCGAACTCGGTGATTCGGAGGGCGGACCTGCTGGGAGGCATGGTGACGGGTGTAGCTCGGGGGTTTTAGCGACGGAGGTACGGATGGGGTTCAAGAGTCGAAGGGGGGGAAATTCGTAACAATTTGGGGTGTTTAAGTAAAAAAAGATGAAAGGAAATACTGGTTTTGTTATAATCGTTGAGCGGGGCCGGAATGCCGGCGCAACTTTGCTGGTTCCGGAGATCGTGCTTTGGAGATCCACAGGCACGAGCACTTCCCGAGGCTCGTCTTGGCCGTCTGGGCCGATCGTGAGATCCCGCCGAATATCAATCTGGGGGACTTTGGGTACACAAATTTTAGTACTGACAGGTCGTTCCAAAGTAGATAATCTTCAGCTGCATTGATTTAAAGCAATACAACGTCGCTTTGCGCTGCTTGTAGCTCCTCAGCAGTGAGGTCGCGCGCTGTGATCTGCGTTTGCCCAATCCGCTTCATCGTATTATTTCCAGACGCATCTGCGGGCGTGACAACAAGACAATAGAACCTATCTGGAGGGTTGCATCCTCTTCCAGGCTCTATAACTTGAGCCACCTTGTTAATCACAAGCGCGTGCATCTCCATCTCCAGGAGCTTATCAGCAGACAGCGAAAGCTGTCGGCTCATGGTGTCGGGCAAGAAAGCAACTTCTTTACTCTCATCTGCGGCAAGTGTTAGATATATGCGTTTGCCTGGGCGATCATGCTCGTCCTTCGACATCACTTTGAGCGGAAGCACCGGTGCCGTCATGGACAGTGAAACAGCATCAATTCTACCGAATGGCTTCGATTCATCCGCGAGGCTCATCTTCATGTCTGTTATCACGGCGATTGCTTCGCCCTCAGGGATGTGTGCTCCACAGCTACCGTCGATGGACAAGATGGACCAAGACGGGATAGTATCGTCGCCTGTTCGCGTAGATCTGATGGCCTGCCACGCCAGAGAACCAAAGAACGAGCTCTTCCAGTGTCCCACAAGATACTCGTCGCCGCCCATCATGCGCTGATATACCCGCGCAATGTTAGCGAGCGCGGGAAGCTTGTCTAGTGGGTTGGCTACTGGTAGCCGGTTGTACTCAGCTATCAGGGCACGCCATCGTTCTATCGGGCTACCACCGCCATGCTTTTGACGGAAGTTGTCTTCGGGTAGTGTTTCCGCAATGGTGTGGTAGGCTGAACACTTCAATAGACCGTCTTCAGCGACAAAGCACGAGAGAGTTTCAAAGTACATCTGGTCAGAAGCAAAGTGGACTGTCCGCGGTGAAAAGACGCGCTCTTGAAAAGACCACAGGCCCTGCGAAATAGGCTCATCACGCATTTCTATGTATCGGTCTCTTACGACCTCCTTGACAAGCGGTCGTAGAATCGCATATACAAATACTGTAATGTTTGCTCCTTTTTTGTAAACAATGAGGGTGCTAGTTTGCAAGGGACGCTTAAAGAAGAGTCCGTCGTTTACATCGCTGGAGCCTGTGGCTGATATAGTGAGATACGCATTTTCGTAGGCGGCGGTTGCGGACTCAGAATCTCTTTCCCAAGCCTGGGGTCCATCCCGTATGCATAAAGAGTCAATCCAGATGTATCGAATCCCGAGAGCTTGTGTAACAGTGATTGCATCTCGAAATGTCTTGGGGAGCGTCTCGACACGAACGCAGTCATTGTCTGGCTTAGGGTTGTCTTCCCAGTAGCTGCGGATTTCTGATTCGTGGGCATATCTGAGAGCAGTATAACGATCACCACTGTTGGACTCTACTTCCACGAGTGTTACCGTATCCTTTGATGCCGATGACTGGACATCAATCAGGCGCCCTGGTGTAAATGCGAGGTGTGGACGGTCGTTACTGTAAATCCTATCCCACTCTGCAATGCGTTTCAGAGACTTTTCACCAGGCTCTTCTTCAGCAAGTCGTCCACGAATCACATCGTTGAGTAAATCATCTGTCATAGTTAGCACAGGATCAAACAGTATCATACCATGATACTAACCATCAGGAACGGCGAATGCAAACGCGGCAATTAGACTAATCGTAGACATGTCTTTGCTCTTTGGGACCTCAGACATTACCCAGAATCCCTGGTCTCCATCAGGACGTCTGACCAACCACATATCAAAGGTTGGCGTTGGATAGAGGCGTGCCTCCCTTGCTTCTGCAAGTTTATGGAGCTCAACCAACTCAGCTAAGAGAGCCTCAACTTGCGCCAGAATAATCACACATAGCGCACATTCAGCAGCGGCCGCTGCTCGCAGAGATTCAAGGTTCGCATGATATCTAACGGTGGATACTGCTGCGTCTGGCGGTTCAGGCAGCATTCGGTAAAATGAATGCTGATACTGTTTGCCACTGAGACCGGTCGCATAGCTATCCCACGGAAACCCTGGTAGGTCGTCGAAGGCAATCGACTCGCAGACTTGGCAGACTGTCATTTTAGCTTATTTTATGTGAAGTAGTTGAGGTTCTAGCGATGATGCTTGCCGCATCGAAGCCTTGTTTATATAGGCATCAACCACACGTGAGGGGAACATTGTGGCTGAGGGGCACTGTAAGCGAACCACGGTAGGATAAAGGCCGATATAGAGAGATTTGGTATTTATATCAATAATTTTGAGGAATGCTTTGTTTTGAGTTTCGATTTTGGTCTTGCGTCTGCAGCTAGAAGGTCCTTCATATCTGGAGAATCTGAATAAACGTCGCCATGGGGCATTGAACTTGGACTCGTGGGCCTGTCAAACGGACCAGCGGGGACCTCCTTGCACAGCCTGATCGATATCGCCATAGTACGCCTCTGAGTGTACTGCATACACCTGCAGAATCTCTATCAGATAGTGGCGTATTGTTGAGGCGAATACGAATACCTATCTGCCCTGCTACCTATCTGCCCTGCAACCCAACAGCCCAACCCACTACCCTGTGCGTAGGTCCCGTATGTGCTGGTTGGGATCCATAGGGTAACTGCACTTGACGTCGTTTATTTATGAACAACGCATTTGTTTGTATCTTGTTCGGAATTTCACGCGATTGCTTGTTGGTGCTGAACTCGTGGCAGCAAAGCGGCGTCACATGGTGGCAGTCCACCAGCTGTCAGCAGGCCAGCAGAAGGTCCGCATGAGCTGCTGCGGCCAGTGTTCTCAGGTACAACACCACTGTAAACTACCGCTGTAATAAGTACAGTACTCGCTAAATACCAGCTGTGGAACCGTGGCCCAGGCGATCAGTTTAAGGCGTCTGTCCAGTGGAGAGCAGCGCCCATGTGAAGACTGCCCCCAGCCAATCACGCCATGCCGCTTACAGCGCTATCGCTCTGTCGCTTTAGCAGTCTAAGACCCCCGCGCCCGCTCAGCAGATCGCCGTAGCCCGCATCCCAACTTTTTTCCCCTCACTAGCCAAAACCACCCACCCGGGTATCCGCGCCAGTATCAGCACAAGATCAACAACAACAGCCCAGTCTCTTCCATTCTTTTGGCAGACTCCTCCACGCTGTGGCAGCCTGATACACCAGCGTGATAGAGCACAGCACCCTATACTCAGCCCGCTGCGCTGTTAGTCAGCGTCATTCTGGTTGCCCATTGGTCTGACAGTGCGTCATCGGCCGTCGCTGCCAGGTGCCCACCACCTGCAACCGACCGCTTCCCAGGCTACAACACATGCTGTTGCTGCTGCACCTGCATCTGCATTGCCAGCTCCTCTTGTTTCTTTTTTGGGCGGCGTGAATGCTGGACGTCTTCATCGTCATCGCTTCGTTTTAATAGCTTTTACTTTGCATCTCCTACATTTCTAGCATCCTTTCGAGTCCTCTGAATCCTCCGCCGCCATGGCATCGTCACCACCGCATACGGACGCCGATGACGACAAACGACGAAACAGGCTACAAAAGAAACGCCGCGATATTTCGACATCGACGCCCGAGCTGCCAGAGCGGCTGCAAGATAGCGATGAATCCGAAGCTGAAGATGGCGCCGAGCTCACCAACGCCATGACGGTCAACATGAACCAGAGCATCTTTGGCCTCATTGCTGCGGCTGGTTCACGGGTCGACTTCAACAACAGATTCGACGGCAACTCGAGCGACGAAGATGAGGGGTTTTCTTCCTCTTCCAAACAACAAGACCTCACACAGACCACAATACTCAGCTCCCCGGGGCGGTCCAAATCACGCGGCCACAAGAAGAGATTCTCGACGCATAAGCTTTTCAAGTCTATTGCTGCTCTACCAAAGTTAAAGAGCAGGAAACGCGAGCCCAGCAAGCTTTCGCAAGCAGCTGATGGAGATGATGACCATGACGAAGAAGACGATGGCACCATGTCTCCGCCCGCTGTCACACTCACCACCAACGAGCATCGCCTGCAGCCTGTCATGAGCCGCATGCTCCAGGCGCGAGAAGAGCTGTCGACCCGGCCGAGCTTTGATGTAGAGAGAGGCTCTGCCGATCTTTCACAGTCAGACGATGAAGACCCCTCCACGCAGCTCGCAAAACGCCTAATGGAAATCTTTGAGTTTGACGAGCCTGAACACGTTATCGAAGAGTACCCTTGCTGGCTGCTGCAGAGCGTCCTGCTACAGGGATATCTATATATTACCGCCAAACACATTTGCTTCTATTCATATCTTCCTAAGAAAGAAAACACTGTCGTTAAATCCGGCTACCTTTCAAAAAGCGGCAAACGGAACCCCAAATACAACCGCTACTGGTTCCGTCTCAAGGGTGACGTCTTATCCTACTACCACGAATCGACCAACCTATACTTTCCGCACGGCCAGATCGATCTGCGCTTTGGCATTTCCGCAACTATTACCGACCGAGACAAGGAATGCATAAACTTTTCCGTTATCACCAACCAGCGAACATATGACTTTAGAGCGGACAGCGCCCCCAGCGCAAAGGAATGGGTCAGGAGCCTGCAGCGAGTCATCTTTCGAAGCCACAATGATGGCGACAGCGTCAAGATCTCTTTACCCATTGAAAACATCATCGATGTAGAAGATACACATATGATTGAGTTTTCAGATACTTGCAAGATCCGCGTCATTGACAATGATGAAACTTACGCCATTGACGAGTACTTCTTTTCTTTCTTTTCGTTTGGAAAGGAAGCCATCAACGTCTTGAAGTTGCTTGTCGAAGACACTGCTGGCAGCAAACTTATCGAACGGGAAGAGAGCGATAGCCGTCCGACTTCTGCGCAGCCGTCACATCCTGCCACGCCAAATAGGAGCGCCATAAATGTCGATTCGATCCGAATGCGAGAATTATCTGAGAATGTCAAAGCGACTTTAGCGCCGCTATCACCGTCGGGAGCCAATAGTCCACGTGCAAGCGGTGAGCTCTCGCCGTTGGATGCCTTCCGACACGGTGGAAAGAGTAGCCACGATAGCCCTAGAGCCATGTCGAGCGTCATGCGAGAAAATAGGCCTCGACGAAGTTTTAGTGGCTCAAGGTCGGGCAGTCGCAGACGGCATGCCGCTGATAAACAGACGAAGCTTGAGTCGTCCGATTCCAACCTGCTGCTCTCGTCACCGGACGATCCCAGCTGTCTCAGCTTGGCGACGTCAGGCAACGAAGACACTTCTGCAAGTCAGATCCTCAAGGGCAGTGATGCCTTCCAGAGCCCAACTATGCTACAACCGCCGGCAGAGCTGTTGACCGAAACGGCCATGCCTGTGCGAGAGAAGAGTGGTCGCATGAAGCATGCAGCGACTGTCCCAGTGGATAACCTAGAGGACTCTCAGAGCAGAGAAGCTGTGCCCTCAACACCAACATTGCAGAGTATTACTAAAATGGGTACCTATCCGTTGCAGAGAGCCGGTGCCTTTGCGGATTACCTAAACAAGACAAGCAAGCGCATGAGCTCGCTCCTTGCCACGGAGTCTATGGGTTACGTGGAAAAGGTGTCGGGCATGTGGAAGGGTGGTGGCAAGCACTACGATGAACCCGCCGGTCTTCGGCCCGACGATGATGACCTCGAGGTGGACTCGGATGGCAAAGTTCAGACGTCCATGGAGCGGTTCCGCGCTCATTTTGCTCTGCCAGAGACGGAACGATTGCAAGCCACTTACTTTGGATACATTCTTCGCGTTTTGCCCTTGTACGGCAAGATTTACATTAGCGACCGATCATTTTGCTTCCGCAGTTTGCTGCCCGGTACAAGAACCAAACTCATTCTACCCTTGAAAGATATTGAAAACGCCCACAAGGAAAAAGGCTTTCGTTTTGGATATTCTGGCCTCGTGGTTGTTATCCGTGGCCATGAGGAACTGTTCTTTGAGTTTAGACTGTCGGAGATTCGGGACGACTGCACGGTGACCCTGATTCAGGGCCTGGAGAAGTTCAAGGCTCTGCAAGATGCCGGCGCGTTTGACGACGAAGACGATGAAGAAGAGGACGAATACATTGCTGAGCGAGACGCTCTCAGGACGGCTCGTCAGGAAGAGTTTCCAGATCACGAGCTGTCGGAGCAGCAGCCTCCGCCTGGTCTGCCCAACGCCCCTACGATTCTTATGGAAGGCGGCGACGCCTCGTTTCTACAGTTTAAGCCATCGGCGCCGATGAAGATTACCTGCTTGACAATTGGATCCCGTGGTGACGTTCAGCCATACATTGCGCTCTGCAAGGGCCTGATGGCAGAAGGGCACAAGACACGCATCGCCACGCATGCCGAGTTCCAGGACTGGATTGAGTCTCACGGCATCGAGTTTGCACGTGTGGAGGGCGATCCTAGTGAACTGATGCGCCTGTGTATCGAAAACGGCACGTTTACGCTCGCCTTTCTCCGCGAAGCCAACTCGACATTCCGTGGCTGGCTGGATGAGCTGCTAGACTCGGCGTACACTGCATGCCAGGGCTCGGATTTGTTGATTGAATCGCCGTCGGCAATGGCAGGTATCCATATTGCCGAAAAGTTGGGCATCCCCTACTTCAGAGCATTTACCATGCCGTGGACAAGGACAAGAGCGTACCCGCATGCGTTCATCATGCCGGAACACAAGATGGGTGGTGCGTACAACTACATGACGTACGTCATGTTTGACAACATCTTTTGGAAGGCGACGGCGCAGCAGGTGAACCGATGGCGCAACAAGACGCTTGGCCTGCCCAACACCAGCCTGGAGAAGATGCAGCCAAACAAGGTGCCGTTCCTGTACAACTTTAGCCCGAGCGTGGTGGCTCCGCCGCTGGACTTTTCCGACTGGATCCGCGTGACGGGATACTGGTTCTTGGATGAGGGCCAGGAGTACACGCCGCCCAAGGAGCTGCAAGACTTTATCACCAAGGCGCGCGAAGACGGCAAGAAGATTGTATATGTAGGATTTGGGTCCATTATTGTCAACGACCCAGCCAAGATGACGCGCGAGGTGATTGATGCGGTGCAGCGAGCCGACGTACGCTGCATCCTGTCCAAGGGATGGTCTGACCGACTGAATCCCAAGGACGACCCGTCCAAGCCGAAGCCTGAGGAGCCTGAGATGCCTCCTGAGATTCACGTCATCAAGTCGGCACCGCACGACTGGCTGTTTAAGCAGATTGATGCGGCGGCTCACCACGGCGGCTCTGGAACGACAGGTGCCAGTTTAAGGGCTGGTCTTCCCACCATCATCCGACCGTTCTTTGGCGACCAATACTTCTTTGCGAGTCGCGTAGAGGATCTGGGTGTGGGCGTGTGGGTGAAGAAATGGGGCACCAACAGCTTTGGACGAGCGCTGTGGGAGGTGACGAGAAACGAGCGTATGATTACAAAGGCGCGTGTTTTGGGCGAGGAGATTCGCAAGGATAATGGCGTGGATGTGGCGATTCAGTCTATTTACCGGGACATGGAGTATGCAAGAAGTCTAATTAAACGCAAGACGGGCCGCCGTGCTGGCGAGGCTGAGGACGCAGATGACGAAGAGGAGGCCGAGGAGAGTTGGACATTTGTCGGAGGAGACGAGCCTGACCCGGATGTGGTGACCAAGAAGTTGAGTGAGGGTTTGGGCAAGTCGCTGGGCAGCCAGGTGTTGGCCCGATAATTCTAATGATCATGTACTCACTCTCTCACACACCAATTAGAGGTTGCGTTAGACGATAGACGTAGCGAGCATAATTTCTAGTATTCTTTTTTGTACTTTGTGCCTGTCAAGTGTAACACCAAAGCAACGAAACTAGCTAGCTAACAAACGTGGATGGACATGATTGTAGTCCTTTCCGAAAAACACAATACAACTTGTATACAGACTTTGTTCTGTTGGCAACTAATACAACTCTGCACAAACGGCAGTGTCCCCCTTGCTCTCAGATGAAAGCCAAATTTCATAGTAAAACGCCCCCATATGCAGCGGGTATATAATCGCACGCACGCTCAAAAATGCCAAAAGAAAAAAAAGTAATCAAAGAGCCTGGCTCACGACTTCATCGTGGCGTGGCAAACTCTTATCTCTTGACGACCTGTCTCTTGTCGCCAGGAACAGGAACCGCCATCGCCCTCTTTGTTAGTGGCCTCGAATTCGCCACAGCCTCCCACAAGTCGACAAACGCATCCTCCATGCCATCCGTGCGCGGGTCTTTATCGCGATACAGCCAGCGGCCCTGGCCATCGACAATCACATTGCCCTGTTTGTCTCTTACGGGCTCCTTGATGAGCGGGAAGAACTCGGGCCAGTCGCGCCACGGGGACGTCGCCAGGACATCGCGCCAGACGCCGTCGGCATGGGCGACATTGGCGTCCTCCCAGCGGGTCGTCATGCCGAAGCAGTCGCGGTACCAGTCCATCATGCCGACAATATCGGCGCGCCACCAGCCGCCGACGAGGGTGCCGCCGGGGAGCACCTCGGAGCGCTCGTCGACGACCCAGTGGGCGAGGGCGGGCCAGAAGTGGTTCTGGAGCAGGGCGAGCTTGGAGAGCTTAGTGATGCCGGCGTGGCCGATGGGGTGGACAAAGGACGGGTCGGTCTGGGAGGCGAGGGCCCAGTCGAGGTCGCGGTGGGCGGTGTCGCCCTCGAGGGGGGACTTGTGTGTTGGGTAGGGGATTTGGTGGGTGCGTAGCATGGTGCGGGTGCGGTCATGGCATGGTTTGGGGATGCAGGTGAGGTTGGCGTGGGAGCAGAGGTTGGGGTTTGACCAGCGGTGGTTGTTGTGATGCTGCTGCTGATGGTGTTTATACGATGAGGGGGAGAGGTTGCTGTGTCGAGCGAGGTTGTTGTTGTAGAGGTGGTGGTCAGAAGACGAGGAGGGTGGTGGTGATGCAGGCAGCAGATCGCAGGTATAAGTCAACTTTTCGTGGGGAAGCGAGGTTATGGTTGCATAGAGGGACTGCAGGGCTTGATATTCGGCCGACAGCGCAGACGAGGTAATGGTTGTGCGGCAGAGCCCGTGAAAAGAAGAAGAAGCAGAAGCCGAAGACGCAGCAGCGGTAGCAGCATTGCGTCCGTTTGTAGTTGGCGGCAGCATGTGAAAAAAATAAGCCCGGTTGGGCGTTCGGGCCACAGAGATAGCGAGATGGATATCGCGGCGAGGTGATTGGTGGATGCGATCGCGGCGCTACGTCACTACGGTGGCGATCATGGGGGAAGTTGGCGGCGAAACTCTGTTTTCCCACAGCGGATTGATAGGCCTTCGGTTAGCGTCGCTGTGGGCGGAAAGGGCGCTGTAAGCCGGAGGCACAAAAAAAAGCCGAAGACGGACGACAAGGCCAGAGGAACAAACAACAATGAAAAAGGCGAGGAAAGAAAGAGGGAAAAAAGGAGGAATATAGCGTGTGATACTAGACTAGACTAGACTAGATATTGTATATATATAGTTTTGTAATAATGGTTGAATACGCGCATTGTTTTTATCCTACGGATACTTTTTTTTGTCTTTGGCATCTTTCATCAGCACGCGCGCGGCCAAGTCGAGCACTGTGGGAGACCAGGCCTTGCCTTGCTCTAATGTGGGGGAGGATTGGGCGGTGGCAGCCCAGCCGCGCGGGATGACAGGCAGCTTGCACAGCACTGGTCGGTGTATCTGTACCAAAAGATACTGTAAGGGCACGGAAAAAATCAAGCAGATGCATAAGATCCTTTTCATTATTGGTATATATTTTTCAGAATTTAAAAGGGCCAGGTGAGGGTTACAGAAATCCCAGACTAGATCCGAGCTTCCGAATTACCGCGCGCGACGTCCAGCGGGGGCCACCACGCTAACGCCTACTAGCTTTAAGCCTGGGTGCGCTGGCGACGGTGGTGCAGTGCTGCCCAGTGAGTGACATGCTGCGTGTCGGTGCGTTCGGGCCCGAGAAAATACTACCGCCCTAAAAAAAAAGTAGCCGAAGATTAAAAACGAGGTACATGCAGTTTTGACTCAAGTATGGCTTGTACAGTGTGAGTAGTCCACCGCATCAGCTCAGTACAGGTATGCCGTTTCTCTAATAACCATCTCCAGAAGCTCTAACCTCCACATGCGGATATGTCTAATTACTTCTTAAGCTACTATTATCCGTCTTTATACAAGCCTCCTTGTAGCCAGGCTTCCTAAATAAGGCTCGCAAAGCATGGCTTGTTGTGTAAGGCTCTCAGTGCCAGACTTGCTGAGCAAGAAGGCTCGCAAAACGTAGACTACAACACCGCCCTCTCACCATCATTTCACATCTTGGAAAAGGAGATAAAACAGCATGAACCATCTTAAGCCACAGGGAAACCTTGCACATGTCGCAAAAAATCTGTCTCGGGGCAGCCCAGCCGCGCTCCGGCCTGTCATGTCATCGCTAAACGGCGATCACTCGTGGCTCATCTCGATTCCGCGACCCATCGACGACATCCGCACACTGGGCAAGGCGTATTTCCATATCGTTTACGACCCGTGGTTGAGCGGTGCAGCGATAACGTTCAAATCATGGCTAATTAGTATTTCGCTAGTCCAAGGGCCCAGCGCGACATGCGCAGCAGACGTGGAAGCGCTCGTGGACCAGTTGGAAGAGGTAACCATGGACGCCCTGGGCTTGTCCCGAAAGAAGAGGGTCGACGAAACCGGCTATAAAGGAGGCATCGACATGATATTGTTGGGATTTCACTTCACAGACCATGTACACAAGAAGACGCTAACGACGTTTGACGCACGCATCCCTGTCCTCGCGACGCAGCAGGCCATGGATATTGTCGCACCTTGGAACCACTTTGTTCAAATCGACGTACTATATGATTTGAAGCCGGACGATACGACATGGCAACACCTTAGCCCAAAAGTGTTGCCTGACTGGGTGAGTGTGGTGCGTATGCTGGGCCATCACGAGCTCAACTTCTTGTTGGCGTTTATTTGGACACACAGCAACGAGGATGGAAACACGGTGCACGAGGCGGTAGTGGCCTCACCACATGGCGTGAGGACGGACCAAGAGCGAGTCCAGGCGTTTTTCAAGTCGGAGCCGCCGACGCGGAAGCTGGCCATGTTGCATGGCATCGTCGACGGCTGGACGGCAGGGTGGCAGAATACGTTTGGGTTCGAGTCGGGCGTGCCGCTGCATGAAGCGCTGGGAGGATGCAGCTACTGGGTCACGACGCATAGCGCACCAAAATGGTATCGGGGATTGTTCCTGCGGATGGCGCAGAGAGAGCGGCAGGGGAACATGGACGAGGTGATGGAGAAGCAAGGGGTGAAGAAGGGACGTATTCATCGGGTGGAGGTGGCCAATGGCGATGCACTGGTATTGGTATGAAGCTATCACATTTTAGCATTTTGGTAGGTGTTTACTAGCTTCCATATAACATACGACGATTTCATATTAGGACATGGACGCAAGCTGATGATGTAAAAAAACGGCGGGCTTGGTACCACACACACAGTTCTGCAACTGTGCTGCGCCATATGTGGCTGATGTGATTCATGTACTATTCCTTGGGCGGACACTCTTTTGGGAGACCCTGTAAGTTATGATATCCGCGATTATCCAGGATAGTTTACGGTCTGGAAAGAGACGGCACGCGAGCAAAGCATAAGCAGCCAAGCAAACAAAGGGAATCTAGCGACAGTGAGCAGTGGGGACAAGGATTTGTGACAGCAGAGAGCGGCTGGCAGCGGTGGCGGCAAAAGGCGGCTCAAGAGGCGAAAAGGTTAAAAAGGTTATCTCTGGCGGAAACTAGATGTGATTGGACTGTGGGGGAGAGGCGAAACGGACAGTGCCAATTAGTTACGTTGCTCTTTATTTAGCTCTTCCATTATAGTTTAATCTACAGTGCAGTTCAGGTTCAGTGTCACTTTTTCCAAAGCATACAGTGTGTACAGTGTTTATACAGTGTACATCCTTAACATTTATGGCGTAATACAGACACGCTTGTTGGACACAGAATTAGATGTGTAGAGTGTGGTTTTCGTCCATTTAGGCGCCGCTATTGTGCTGCAACGCGCCCAGTCGGCATATAAAACAACCCACACGCACTCCTTGGCTCAAGACAGGGTCTTGACCATTTTGGACGTTTTTCCCCCTCCTTTCTACAACGGAAGCCTTTATTCCTTCCTTGTCCTTACCTGCTATAGTTCTTCAGGGTACGAAGGGGCCGGCCCGGTCACGCGGGCGGGGAAGCCCACACGTGGATGTAGCGGCAGTGCGGATCGCACTGACAAGTTTGACTAATAGGAGCAAATATAGGGTTGACCGAAAGAGTGTCCGCTCTTTTCGACAATCATTCTTAAAAGAGGTACATGCAGTTTTGGCTCCAGTGTGGCTTGTACCGTGCGAATATTCCAACGCACGATCTTCGTAAAGGTACTCTGACCGCCTCGCTGCTGGCCAGGACACCTCACTCTACACGTACCGGTTTCTAGTTACATCCACACCCGGATATGTCGGGGGCAAAAACACTAAGAAAAGTGGCTACCTGTTCTATAATAGAGTTAGTAAGAGGAATGCCTTGAATTATTTCTGCGTTAAAGCAGTTGTGGAAAGCATCTAGTCTAGGGCACAATATACAGAAGGGGTTGATCACGTGACAGTTTACACTCTGCCTTAACAGTAATTCTAATCATTTTGGTCGGAGGCGACTCGTGCCTAAGCGGGGTTGGCCCGTTCGTAATGGGGAGTACGCCTATTACTATCTCTTCCTCGCCTAAAGCTACCTTCGTCCTACTTTTCGTCACTTCCAAGGCCGGATTTTAACTGATAAAATACTAGTAAAATATATTGTCATCAAGTTCTTACCATCCTTCTGGATCAATTCGTCGATGCAGGCGAAACTAATAACCTGAGCTTGAGGCGTCTACTTAATGGCTCCTAGCACCATGGCGTCTCAGAATGCTCTTGACAGCCCCGAATCGTATGTCGTCGCGTGGATCGCTGCTCTCCCCATCGAGCGGGCCGCGGCGGAAGCGATGCTTGACGAGGAACATGCAGCTCCAGCTGGTTTCAATAGAAACCAATCCGACGAGAATGTCTATACTTGGGGCCGCGTGGGAGAGCACAATGTTGTTATTGCCTCCCTTGCCGCAGGCGTCTATGGCACCACCTCTGCTGCAACTACAGCCTCGAGCCTGCTTGCCTCTCTACCATCAATTCGCGTTGGCATTTTTGTCGGTATTGGCGGCGGTATTCCTAGACCGGATAAGGGCCACGATGTCAGGCTTGGCGACATTGTTGTGAGTCAGCCCGATGGGACCACGGGCGGCGTCTGCCAGTACGACTTGTACAAAGCGAAGTTGGGTGACAAGCGTGAGCGGAAGGGGTTTCTTGGACGGCCGCCAATAGTCCTCCTAAATGCACTTACCAAGATCCAGGCTGTTCACGAAAGGAAAACCCCTAACGTTGCCGCCTTTCTTGAAAATATGCTAGAAAGGAACCCGAAGATGGCTAAGAGATCAAAGCAAAATCCTGGCTATGCCCACCAAGGCCTTGACAACGACCGCCTTTTCAAAAGCTCGTGCGACCACGCCCCCGGGCCAGACTGTCGCAATTGTAACTCGGCGGACGAGATTCAACGCGATCCTCGAGATTCTACCGACCCTGAGATCCACTATGGGACCATTGCATCCGGAAACACACTTGTCAAGGATGCTGCTACGCGTGATCGCATTGCTGCTGACATCGGCGAAAATTGCCTATGTTTTGAGATGGAAGCAGCTGGCTTGATGAATCACTTTCCTTGCCTTGTGATTCGAGGAATCTGTGACTATGCGGACTCTCATAAGAACGATCGCTGGCAACGCTATGCCGCAGCGACCGCCGCCGCGTATGCTAAGGAGCTCCTGGCATATATACCGACCAAGGAGGTGCAAAAGACCAAGAAGGCTTCAGAGGTGCTTCAATCAAGTAGGTTCTTGTTTTCCTCACAAGGGCTAGATAGCACCTGAAAAGATGATATCTGAATTTGAATATATCCTAATTGCGAGTAGTTCAACAACGGATAAATGAAGTGCAGCAAACGACGGCTGCAACGAAAGCCGTAGCTAGTTCCGTCCTGTCTGACATCCACACTGAGAAGATCAGGCGCTGGCTTCGTCCCCCAGATCCGTCTAAAAACCTTAATGAAGCGAGGAAGCGTCGGCACGAGGGAACAGGCACGTGGCTCCTTGAAAATCCGGTCTTCAGGGAGTGGCATTCGGGCTCACACCGATATGTATGGCTGAATGGGCTTGCGGGCTGTGGGAAGACGATTCTTAGTGCGACTGTGCTGGATTATCTTATCACGGTACACGACGGCCTTTTACTCTTCTTCTTCTTTGACTTCAGCGATGCAACAAAACAGACGTTGGACGGCATGCTGCGATCATTTGCTTTCCAACTCTACCTATTCGGAGCTGTTTCTGGTGGTCCTCTTGACGAGTCATTCCAGGTACACCGGGATGGCCACGACCAACCTACAACAAAGACGCTCGAAGAGGTTGTAGGTAAGATGCTCGCAGCGCAGAAAGAATGCTCTATTGTTATAGACGCCTTGGACGAGTCTACGACGAGGACCGAACTACTGCTATGGATAAAGGACATGGTGGCTAATTCAGAGTCCAGCGATATTAAGTTAATCTGTACCAGCCGTCCTGAACTCGAGTTCCTGGACGACCTTCCGCCGCTAATAAGCCCGGAAAACTGTTTAGAACTCGACAAGGAGCCTGTCAACGCTGATATCCGATCTTACGTTGCTGCGCAACTGTCACAATGGCGCAAGCCCTTGACCCAGGATCTTCTTGAAAGAATCCAGAAGAAAGTTGGTGATGGGGCCGACGGAATGTAAGATCTACTTCTATTAATATAACGATAGTATATTAACAATATGTTTAGGTTTAGGTGGGCCTTCTGTCAACTAGACAGCCTAGCTCGATGTCGTCACGAGGCAGCTATTGAGAGAGCTCTCGATTCTTTGCCGCAGAGCCTAGACGAGACGTACCGAGACATGATCAAATGCATACCAATGGAGCTAAAAAACGACGCGGTACGACTCTTGCAGTTTCTTGTGCACTCGGAGCGACCTATCACGCTAGCCGAAGCTATAGAAGTAATAGCAACACAGATCGACGAAGAGCCGCGAGGGTTTGACGCCAAGCGTCGACTGTTTAATGAGACTGATGTTTTGAGCTACTGTCCCGGCTTAGTGACAGTCGTTCAAGCCAGTGATAAAGAGCTTCACCTTGCTCACTTTTCTGTCAAAGAGTATCTACTCGGGGAGAGTGAGTTCAACATTACAACTGCTAGTATTCCCCTTACGATGACGTGTTTGGTTTATCTTACGAACATCAGCGGTAGCTACGATGAAATAACACAGAGGTTCCCGATGTCAACATATGCGGCGCAAAGCTGGACAAGACACGCTTCTTTGGCACAGGCCGACGCTAATATAGTACAAGCCACTGTTAGGTTCTTGGAAGAGGAAGTCACACTCCGGCGATGGACACATATACATGAGGAATATTGGAGAGATGACGGAGGGTCACCAAGAGCTTCCAGGCTCTACTATGCTTGCCTCAGTGGGCTTATAAACACCGCAAGATGTCTTATTGTCAATGGAACCGATGTCAATGCACAAGGCGGCAGGTATTGCACCGCTCTCCAAGCCGCCTCAGCCGAAGGCCACCAAGAGATTGTTCGGCTATTATTAGAAACGGGGGCGGATATCAACGCTCAGGGTGGTGAATATAGCACCGCTCTCCAAGCCGCATCATTAGAAGGCCATCAAGAAATCGTTCAGCTATTGTTAGAAAACGACGCCGATGTCAATGCACAAGGCGGCAGGTATGGCACCGCTCTCCAGGCTGCATCGTTTGGAGGCTATCAAGAGATTATTCGGTTCTTATTAGAAAAGGATGCCGATGTAAATGCACAAAACGACGTGTATGGCACCGCTCTCCAAGCCGCATCATTAGAAGGCCATCAAGAAATCTTTCAGCTATTGTTAGAAAAAGACGCCGATGTCAATGCACAAGGCGGCAGTTATGGCACCGCTCTCCAGGCTGCGTCGTTTGGAGGCTATCAAGCGATCGTTCAACTACTGCTAGAAAAAGACGCCGATGTCAATGCACAAGGCGGCATATATAGCACCGCTCTCCAAGCCGCATCAGCAGAAGGCCATCAAGAGATTATTCAACTACTGCTAGAAAAGGGAGCTGATGTCAATGCACAAGGCGGCAGGTATGGCACCGCTCTCCAAGCCGCATCAGTAGAAAACCATCAAGAGATTGTTCGGCTATTATTAGAAAACGACGCCGATGTAAATGCACAAGGCGGCAGGTATGGCACCACTCTCCAGGCTGCGTCGTTAAGCGGCCATCACGAGATTGTTCAACTACTGCTAGAAAAGGGAGCTGATGTCAATGCACAAGGCGGCAGGTATGGCACCGCTCTCCAAGCCGCATCAGCCAATGGCCACCAAGAGATTGTTCGGCTATTATTAGAAAACGACGCCGATGTAAATGCACAAAACGACGTGTATGGCACCGCTCTCCAAGCCGCCTCAGCCAAAGGCCATCAAGAAATCGTTCAGCTACTATTGGAAAAGGGGGCGGATGTCAACGCTCAGGGTGGTGAATATGGTACCGCTCTCTATGCCGCCTCATTAAGACGCCGCCTAGAGATTGTTCAACTACTATTGGAAAAAGGAGCAGATGTTAATGCTCAGGGTGGTGAATTTGGAACTGCTCTCCAGGGCGCCTTAATAGGAGGCTGCCAAGAGATTGTCGAGCTACTTTTGGAAAACGGAGCCGATGCTAATGTATAAGGTAGTGGTTATACGGTTGCTCTCTCGCCTGCTTTCCCAGAACGTAACTTTAACCGATTCAAAAGCGTCAAATGAGTCGACCAAGGCAACCTATAATGCTCATCAAAACTAGAGTTGTGAAATGAATTTACTATCATCATGATATTACAAGATCTTTCATGCAAGTTATTACGTAGTTGTTGATGCGGTTCGACCGCCACCCGATTTTTAGCACGGGACATCCGACCTTTCTACCGGGAATATCGCGTTACTCGGCCCATACAAGAGCAAAATCTGGATTTGAGCATATTTATTCTTCGCCAGTGGTTTAGCCACAGCTGCAGTTTTGCAGCTGTAAAATTAATGCTATGTAAAAGCCAGAAACCGCTCTTTGGCCGCGCACCGTCGTCCATGGGCGAGGAGGTGGGCGGCCGTCTAGTATCATTCCCAATTGCCCTTGCGCTTGACCCCTGGTTCCTGGCAGCAGTTGTTCGTCCAAAAATGGCTGCAGTTGGATCTGCGCAAGGCGGGTACAACCATCACACAGTTCCATTACTGTCTCGCGCCACATGTGGCTCATGTGGGGCATGTACTGTTTCTTTTTCAACATTGCAAAAGGGCGGACACTCTTTCGGTCGACCCTGTAATATTCGTGTACTTCGAAGAACTTTTTACTAGCGTTCAAAGGTAGCTGATTCGCCCAGTTCAGCGAGTATTTGGAGTATATTTGCTCTTTACATCCGGATCTCGATCATCGTAATGGTGCACGAGCGCGTAGAAGCGTACTTCAGCATGTTGACGCAAGTTGTCGCCTAACGGAGGGCTAGACGAGAAATTTAAAATTTCCTCTAGAGAATCCTGATGCCTGTGCGCAGGAGTTCCCATCCTGATTTGGCTCAGTCCAGCGAAGGTTGAGGAAGTTAGGTTGTAGGAACATAGCCGCTAGTCACAGCTACGGTCATGTGACCTCTGACGCAAGCTGCGCGCCGTCTAACAGCACAGTACCGCACCAGTGAGCCGGCTAGAGAAAATCATAAAGTAAATTTCGGCACTTTGTCACTCGAGTACTTAAAGTATTCTGATCCTAGGACAAGCAAACATTCCAAAGCGTGGTTGGTTGTTAAAGAAAGCTCGGCCGTTATCATGCTTGGGCGGGGTCGCGGCTAGCTTGTACTCCTAGTTCCCTGCGGAAGCGTACTAGGCTATGCGGTATTCATCATTAACACGATATGTCTGAAGGAAAACAACTTTCTAAATGGTCAGAGGTGCTAGAATTTGATCGCCATAGCCCAATCACGGCGTCGCTTTACCAATCACTCACGTTGAGCGACTGTTTGCTGCTTTGTCAAACTTGCAGGTATTTATATGAGAAGAGGGCGACCATATTATCGCATTTTACAGATCTCAATACTCGCTTACTCCACTATTTCAACGATCCAGTGAAATTTCGGCGCCGACAAGGCGACAGCAACGCTTTACTATCGGGGCCCTTCGTTCTACATGCCCTAGAATGTTATTCTGGAACGACATCCATGCTCGATATCTACGTCAGACGGGGATTCGACGCGGACGAGCTCACTGATTTCCTTGAGAATTCGGAAAAATACGAGATTTGTAGTATAATTTTCAAGGTAAAACTGCAAATTCCCCAACAGTAGTTGTCGCAAATATGAGCGCTATTTCGAATCGTAGGGTCGTCCTCAGATTGTCTATCGCCGCGAAGGGCGAGACAGCTAAAATGTTCGTGTTCATATAACCAGTCAACTACCGATCTATGACATCCTTACAAACACTGGCACATCGGCCAACATCAACGTTATTAGCTGGAATAAGCTGTATAGCGTATTCCCGAGGCAAACGCTATTATCCCACCGTTTCTACCCGATGAAGCTCCCAGATGACAGCTTTGGGTTGGAATTAAGAGAACTTGCGGATCAAGGGTGGTCGGCTCGAGACATCATTTGGCCAGACTTTAAAGATAAGGATGCTGATCTGGCCGATGGAATCCGGCGTGTGGGTGACAACAAGTCCTTGATTTTGCGTTTGAATATCGATGGGATTCAAGTGCCCGACATTCCTGATTCTGCAATTGAATATTGTCAATTTGAGGTTTCTTGCGTTCTGAGAAAAAACATTCGACAACGATTTCTTAATATTCACGGCACCATTCTATCGTCGCCATCCTTATTCTACGAATACACCCACGCATGCGGAGCTTGGCACGCGTTTCTTAACACCAGACTCACTCGCTGGAGCTGGCTACAGTATTTTAAAGTTGACCCAGAACTAAGGTTTCGGGATCAGCTGGTTGGGGGCATTTTAACGTCTAACATTCCAAGTGTTATGATGTCGGAAGACTGGGACTATGCGGATGATCAAATACCCATATGGTTCAAGGATTGGGAAGTTACTGGAAAACCATATTCAAATTAGTCTGACAACAAATTAAAGTATCTCTTTTATGTTGTAAATGTGCACGGACTTCAATATTCATTTCTGATTGCGAAACGGCCCTCTGCTGCGAACCTCCTCCACCTGCAACATCCTATTAACCCCTACAGTTGTAATCTAGGATCTTCGTTCTGAGGATGCTTTAGTAGCCGCTATCAGAAGGTGTAACGGGCTAGGCCCGTGGAGGTCTCGGGTAGCCCTCGACCATCGAGGCAAGGGACCCATGTAAGTCATCTAAAAGGCTATTCCAGCTAGCTGGAATAGCCCCTTTTCGATCCTTTCTTCTTTATCTTCGGATACTCGTAGTAGTCGCTCAGCTCGTTGTCAATATATTCAGTTGAGACCGTTACACAAGGCTTTTATATACTATGGAATTTTAATAAAAATAGGTGTTCTCTACGTCTAATGCGGCACCCGTGGCGAGAAAAGGATCAGTAAAGAGCCGCTTGGGCCTTTCTAAATACCTAGACGAAGTACGGGACGCGTCGGTCGCCGTCACCAGACGCCCGAGCGACTGGGATCAACGCGAGAAGAAGACGACACTAATGACAAGATAGGTCGAAGCGAATAAATAGCTTAAAGCAAAGGAAGAAATAACTTATCTATAATAGTAAATAAACTAGCGAGCCATATTAGCCAGAGGTTACCGAGCGTAATAAATATATTATTATTGTACTAACTTATAATAAAGGAAATTAAAAGGAAACCAACAATCTAATAGCACTTATTCGACCTCTAGTGTTCCATCTCTTACCCTAGCCGCATCTTTCCAAAAAAGATACTGCGCACCGAGGGCGGCAAAGGAAGCAGCACCGACTCCGACTCCAATTTTCGCCGTGTCGGATAAATTACCCTCATAGGCGCACATAGCGCTACTTAGAACATCCACGGTGTCAATTATGAACCCCGTCCAGACCGCTGCGCGCAAAAAGGATTCATGCTGGGCGGCCAGCAAAGTATGAGACACTGACGGGGAGTTTTCGTTAGGCGAGGTCAATAAGGGTTTGGCCTGCTCATTTTTGGTGTCGACGGTTTTTAAAGTCTTCCATAAGAAGATGCCGAGCACCAAGTCGCGAATACCAAATAGCCTGCCGATGACAAGGGAAGGAGGTGATAGAGGCGCCCCAAGCAAATGGCTAATTTGTCCAGGCATGATCAGCGATGCCAAACCGACGGATGTGCGGGCAACAGCGAGAACTTGAAGCAGAAAAGCTGACATATTTAGTAATGATTCGTTATGATGAATAGTACTTGAAGAGGAGAAGTTCTTTGCAGGCTTAGAACGAGGGTTTGTCTGTTTTATACCTTTGCTAGCTAAGCGGTTATACGGGATTGCGGCTGGTAGAAATTAAGTCGTCGCTCCGCTTCTTCGGGGGATCGACATATACAATCAATACAATCTTAAAGCGAATTTAGTCAGATTTTGAAAGTATTCTTTCGAGTAAAATTGTCGTTAAGGTTAATCGTTATGGTGGATCCGTTAGCCTCGCCTTATTCTGGAGCACTCAGCGGGTTGCTTCAGTAGACGCAAAAAATCCTTGTGAATACCCTCCGCTTGGCATCCTCTCTAGTGACTGGGACAATGTCAATTTGCATGCAACTATATAGAAAGCCGAACATGGTATTAATAGTGTGGGGTGGGTTGGCATTGTTTGATAGTATTCATCACATCATTCATGGTATTGCTTCAATGTTATGCTAAAGAGTAATTAATTATGGATATCAAATAACTAGCGATCCCTTTTTACAAAGCTAAGCCGTTAGGTATTCTAACTTGGCCCATGCGCGTCTGAAAGTTATGTTCCAGCGTTATGGTTATGCCACGCATCATAGACGCAATGGTGTGAACAGCTTCACTTCCGCCGCCGTTGAGATGCCGTGCCAACCACGCTGCCATGATCCGCGTAGTAATATCCTAACATAGGTGCTGTAGTAAAGGTAAGCTTTGATACACGGGCGTTAACCGCGCTTTGATGCATTGCTTGCTCCAGTAGGCCAATACAAGTACATTGGGCTACATATCGTGGTGTCCTTTAGCCACACCAGCCACACATCTACCCACGGAGTTACAAGAACAGTAGAGCGTCAAAGCGGACACCTGTTTCGGGGCCTGCTATATTAAGCTTTTAAGAGTACTACTACAGTATTTAGTTTCATTCAAGAATACTATACGTAGCTGCTACTTTTAACTGTTATCCTTGAATTTTAGGATCCACACAGATTGCTTATTCTGGCCTTTAGCTGCCGTCTAAAAATACACAAGGGTGTAGTAGTACTACAATCGGATAGTCTTTAATCTGACTCTGCACCATATGCCAAAGAGAAATGTCTTTTTTTTTATTTTCCTGCTGCTCAAGCTAAGACTAAAGCTTCTCATCTCTCTTTGCCCGTTCCCACTTATGCATGAGCTGTGTGACCCGTGTCCTTGGCGACCGGCCGTCGCAATATCCGAGGAATGGCCTCCCAACCTTGTATCCCATCATCTCCACTAGTCGCGGTGGAATGTCGTCCAGCTTGTCCCAGTCCACGGCGAGCAGCTGGTTCTCTAGCTGGCGCATCCACGACATGCAGTACTGGACCGTCAAAGCCAGTCTGCCCTTGTCCGTTTGGTTTTGCCCCCCGCCGTGCCACAGTGTGCCGATGAAATACACAATGCTACCCGCGGCCATTGTTACCGGTACAGCTTCCGATCGCTTGGGTATGCGGTCGCCCCAGGTGTGCGACCCTGGTACAATGACTGTAGAGCCGTTGGTCTCCGTGTACTCGTCTAGAGCTACCATGATGGCCTGTGCAGCGATTTTAGGGTCTGAGGTCAAGGTTGGTTGGGCATACGTACGGTACCATATGGAGCATGCGGGCGAGGGACTGTAATGTACGCATCGTCGTGATGCAGAGCCTGGGCATCTTCGCCAGGCTGGATGTTGATGCTGTGAAATGCCGTCACGAGAAATCCGTCATCGAGGAAATGATCGTTGAGTGCCAATACATCGGGATGCAGCGTGAACTTGTCAAACACGCGTGACTTGTTGAGTAGTGCGTAGATGCGGTTTGTTCGGTAGCCTTCAAACGCATTGCGCCCACCGGCACTAGCGGGTCCTGGTTGGAGTGTTTGCTCGAGGCGTCGTAGTTCTACTTTGGCTTCTTCGATTTCTTCATTACTAAAAGCATTGGGGATGATGACATAGCCATGCTCAAGTGTATGTTTAATCAAGTCGTCAATCCGACTCATGGCTTCTAATTGCTTATGAGAACTGCTTATTTTTAAGGTGGTGTGTGGGTTGAAATCACCCTTATGAGAGTGTTTTATCGATTTGTATATCAAATTCGAAGGTTATTTTTTAATTGCTTGATATATATATTGCAAGAGGGGATCTGGGTGAATGCCTCGGCGCCTCGGTTGTCTGTCCCTCACTTACAGAAAGACAATGGCTTGCGGAGAATTCTTAATCCGACTCTACACTTTGTGGCTCGAGTTGTTCTATATTGTAGTTTTTTAGACACAGTAGGACACTGTACGCAATCCACTATGCAGTCACTGCAGACTTGTATACTGTAAAATTGTGGTCTCTCCCAAACAAAAGGTATTCACTTGCCGCGAAAAAATGCAAGCCGATCTGCTGGTCAAGCAGACAGATCCTGTGCAGGGCAAGCAGTAAATCAAGCACCACGAGCACCAAGCAACACCGATGGCCCGAGGTGTGTGCAGGCACAGCAATTGTGCCCAAAGATGCAATAAAAAATCAATAAAACATAAAAAGCAACTGCAGATGAAATCTACTTGTCCCTGCAATTTTCTTGCAATTTACCAGCAGCGTGATTTGTTTTCTGTTCATCCCTGGATTTGCATGCTTCCCTGCCATTTTTTGTTAAACAACTGCAGCACCAAGACATCACCCCAAATAGGCAGCCCTCAGACCCTGCCGCCGCACCTGATTGGCCCGCCCTGTCCTCGCTCACCACCACCACCACCACTTCCACCGTCTCACAACATTAGTTCGGTTTCCGTCAGCCTGCCAGCCGTATTGGTTCTGTTGCCCTCTTTTTCCAATTCCTTTCCTTTAGTGGCACCTCTACGGCGTCGTCTCCAGCGATTCGCGGCAGTTCCCACCGGCGCATTTGCGGCCTTGCTTCCCGCTTTATTGGACCCCTTTTTTCGGGCCTGTTCGTTTTCTGTTGGACCCGCCCGTCTTTCTAGAAGCTGGGTGCGAGGCGCTCTACGGCGCTGGTCCGAGAACGGCGAGAATCTATCTCGCTCTCTTTGTTCTGCAGTATGCCTCACCAAACAAATCTATTGGGAACTTTTACTCGGTTTGGGGGAAATGGCAGAGCACAAACAACCAGTAAATGAGACCATGCATATCACCACGGCCTAGGCCTGGCTCGCTCGCAACGTTGCCCGCCCACACTTAGCCTTGTTATATCCCCCCATGTCCACCTGTTCATTCTCCCCCCCAGAGCACGGATGCCATCTAGATCGTGACCCCCCCCCCCCCTTTTCGTCTCGCAAAACATGCCCCTCGCACTTTTATTGCTGTGCTGCTAAACAAAAGGTCCAACAGAACAAGGCTTTGGTGGCGCGGACCGGCTGCCCCAAAAACGTGGTGGTTAGTGACGCCCCTTCGTCCAAAAGTGCAGCACCCTGATTTTTCTACGAGGTCCAGGCGCTGCTCGCACGCTGCAGAATAAAAAAAATGCAAGTAAGCTCGAGGCTAGGCTGGGCTAGCCAGCAGACAAACAAGCAAGCAAGCAAGCCATGACCGCCTTAGATTAAGCGCTAGCAGGAGGTGCACCCACCCCCGCTATAAACAGCTCGTGGGGATTGTCGTCTACTGCTGCTGCACTGCCCGCTAGTATTCGTAACCGCCATTTTTATGTTCTGCCTAATATGTACTGTTTGTGTGTGTTCGTATCATGGATCACCGCCAATATGACATGACATGACGACATAGTGGCCATCAGAAGAAAAAAACAAGAGAGGGTTTTTTTAGACACGCAACCATGGTGCAGCAAGCCCATTCATTACGTTATGGACCTTATTCCTGGCCCCCCTTACCCTGCTCTTTATACTGCTGCACTGCGTCCTTTGGCACTATGCAAGCCACAGGGCCCTAAGAAAACGCCTAGCTTCTTTTCTTCGTTCCTTTGTTTTTGGTGGTTTTCCTTTCCTGGTTAAGCGACCGAGCAAAAACGCACTCTACTGTAGGTCCGTGGGGATAGGCGGCCCGCCACTCTATTGGATAAAATGGGCGAGAGCCAAGCGCACTGGGCTGCTCCACCGTGGTGCGCAGGACCCTGGAACCGTTGGTCAGGCTTGGGGCAGCATCTTTGGAGGCGCTCTGGGCCTGTCCCCGCTGCGCCAACGTTGCGCTCGTGTCATGCAAGTAGGGTGCATACATGGACGTGGAGTATTGCTAGTCAAGTGCAGAGTGCAGTGTGCGGGCAGGTCATTTTACAGCCGGAGGATGAAGCAAGGCGAGCTGAGCTGAGGCGGATTGGTTGGTTGGTACACAGTACTGTGGACAGGACAGATAGGGTCCAAGAGGGGCAGAAAGCGTGGTAGGTTCGGTTACGTGCAGAAAAACACTGATAGCGAACATTAATAGGCTATTTTGTCTACCCAGTCGTATCATGTGCAGTACGTACCCGTAGGTAAAGACAAAAAAAGGAAGCGATCTTGGCTTCAATTGGCACCTGTTTTCTGCCTGTTTCTCGGGTTTCTTCTACAGCAGGTAGCCTTTGTGTGTATCCACTAACCCACCAGTTAACGGTGCTGCTGAGCCACAAGTGCGGGTGAGCAAAAGGTGATCAGACGCGCGTTCCTGCGTCTTTTGCGGGCTGCAGCACTGCAAGTAGCACCGTGGGCCAGGCAGGGTTTTGTGATGCAGCAGCCCAGCCCTGTCGTTTTATTCTTGGAAGCAAGTCCCCTATGTTTGGGGGGGGGGGAGGTTACTCTGGTTTCTGTCCTCAATATTGCTCATGGTACAGATATCGCAGCAGATAATAAGCGAAATAATAGAGAAAAAAGATTGTTTGTGCCCAGGCCAACTCTCTCTCTCTCTCATCTTGGGTGTGGCGCGCGGCGCATGGCCCACGCTAGGCCTTTTGTTGGGCGTTTAGTGGATGCCCGCAGCCACAGTAGTGCTTGATGATGATGCGCAAAGTGGTCAGGAGGCGCTGCGCCGTTCCAGAACAAATGATGCCAAGTAATGCGCTTTTGCCAAAAACATGCTCCATAAGTTTTTTCTTGCGGGCACAAGACGCCCAGGGACGGGGGGGAAATATGGGCTTGGACCAAGTCCCCTGTGGATTTTCGGGGGAGGGGGGCGCAATGCGCTTTCGTATGTGCTGTGCTTGTCTGGGGGACGTTTTGATGGTGGATTGCTAGCGCTGTTAGTTGTATCTACAGGCGCTGTTACTCGCTATTGTTACTTGCTGCAGATACTGACTGACTGCCTATTGTTTCCTGTTTGGGACCGTCTGCCCGTGGGCCTGGGTTCATATTTGTCCATTCGTTTCGTGTTGCATCAAACCGCCTCGCCTCGCTCACCTGCTGCTACTGCTGCTGCGGTTGCCTTTTTCCACTCTTTTTACCTTTTCCCTCTTCCTTTCTTTTCCTCTTCAAACAATTTCGTCTTCTTTTTTTCTCTTCATCTTTGTTTTTCTTGTTGTTCTCTTCTTCGCCCTCCTTTCGACCACTACTACTACACTACTATTACAACGACACATCCGACACTCCTTTGTTACGACATCCGAATTGCACACCCACAGCTCGCTCGAGCCGATTTTACTATATTCTATACACATCATGGCTTCCCCAAGTCTGTCCAGCAGGGACAACATCCTCTCCCCGGAAATGGTGGACACCATGATTGCCAACGGCGACACCATCATCATCTTGGAAGACCACATTCTCAAGCTCAACTCGTGGCTGCACAAGCACCCCGGAGGCCGCTTGGCCATTCTTCACATGGTGGGCAGAGATGCTACCGAAGAAATATCAGTGTAAATATTTCCCTCCTTTTCTTTGTTGTATCGTCCTGTTGGCCGGCCCGCATTGTTCGTTGCATCCATCCCCAACAGTAGCAGCAGCCTGGCGCCGCCCAACACTCCGCCACTGTCTTCGAAAGGGGCGAAAAAAAATAAAGCCTCAGAAAAAAAAAGAGAACCAAGAACTCAAATCGTCTAATTTTTCAATTTTTGGATTCAAAAAAAAAGACAACGTAAAAAAAGCCGTTGAGCAATTACAAAGCTATTGTTTCGACGTTGGCGGTAGTGGTGTGGTAGTGGTACATCTGCATCGCGCGTTACCCGTTTTGGGGGCGGCTCACAATGCAGGGAGTAGCATCGCGGGAAGGGCTGCAGCAGCACAAGCGCCAAATCTGATGGCTCTCCGCGCCAACAATCCAGATCCGATGGGATGGATGGATAGACGATCATCTCGGAGACTTGTTACAGTGACTTTGAAATGCATGCTAACGCCCTCCTGTTTCCAGGTACCATTCGGCTGCCACCCTGCGCACAATGAAGGCTTTCCGGATAGGCCGGAAGCCAACGGGTCCATGGCCCAACCGCACGCCGCCAATCAGAGGAGGCGTCTTTCATGCAAGCAAGACACCTGCTGAAGATGCCCAACAGCCTCTACTAAACTCCGAAGCTATCAATGACGCCGAAGAAGCTGAAACTGCTGCCGCCACTGCCGCCGCTGTGACGACTACACCTGCTCCCGCCTCACCAGCAGCCCTTCCCAGTATCATCTGCACCGATATTGATGAAGCTTGGTCGTCTTCGCTCGCTCCCCCTTCGCCCAGTGACACCACGGCCAGCAGCACCTTTTCTCGCCGGCTGAGAAACAACAGCGGAAGCTACTCTGCGTCTGAAGTCGCCACCGAGACTTCGTCTCTTGACGGCGATGATGCTTCCTCCAAGCCCCTCACAAAGGCCGAGGCCTTGACCCATCCCGACAAGTGGACGGCATGGGCCATGCTTCAAGAAGAAGAAAAGGACACCCGCGATTACCCTTCTGTCGATCCCGCCGTCCAGCTAGCCATTACCGAAAAGTACAAGAAGCTCCACGAGACGGTCCGCGAGCTGGGCCTCTACCAGTGCCGCTACATTGAGTACGGCAAGGAGATGACACGCTATGTAACGCTCTTTTGCCTCTTTCTCTACACGCTTCACTTGGGCTGGTACATCCCGTCGGGCGTCTTTCTTGGTTTGTTCTGGCAGCAAATCATGTTTACCGCCCACGATGCCGGCCACACGTCCATCACGTCCATCTTTGAGATTGACACGCTCATTGCCATCTTCATTGCCGACTTTTGCTGTGGCCTCTCCATGGGCTGGTGGAAGAGCAGCCACAATGTCCACCACCTCGTCACCAACCATCCCGAGCACGACCCCGATATTCAAAACGTCCCTCTCTTTGCCACCTGCCCCTCCTTCTTCAAGTCTATTACTTCATCGTACTATGACGGCTTTGTCTTTGTCTGGGACGCCGCCGCCGACTTTCTTGTGCCCTACCAAAAGTATACATACTACCCCATCATGGCCCTCGCCCGATTTAATCTTTACTTTTTGTCGTGGAACCATGTTATTTCTAAGCGAAGTGGTGCCCTGGCTGCCACCAAGGCCTGGTGGATTCGCCCGACGGAGATTGCCTTTATGGCCTGCTACTGGTTCCTCTTTGGCTACCTGCTTGTCTGGCGCTCGATTCCTACATGGACCTGGCGAGTCGTCTTTGTCTTGACGTCGCACCTTGCCACGATGCCTCTGCACGTCCAGATTACGCTTTCTCACTGGGGCATGTCGACGGCCAACATTGGCGAGACCGAGTCGTTTCCTCAGCGTCAGCTGCGCACCACCATGGATGTGGACTGCCCCGAGTGGCTCGATTTCATTCATGGCGGCCTTCAGTTCCAGGCCATTCACCACTTGTTCCCTCGTGTGCCTCGCCACAACCTGCGCCGCGTGCAGAAGCTGGTCAAGGAGTTTTGTGCCGAGACGGGCATCCCGTACTCGACGCTCAGCTTTGTCGAGGGCAACAAGAAGGTCATTGGCCGCCTCCACGACATTGGCGAGCAGGTCAAGGTGCTCATTAGCTGCCAACAGTACATGGCTGCGACGGGCGAGAGTGGCCTCCACTAGTTTCTTTTTTACGACACTTAATAATCTCTGGCTCTGCGGTTTTCATACATGGATTTAGCCAACAGCATGCATTGTTTCATAGATCAGGCTGCCTCTTTTTTATTGTTATTCTTTTCTTCTATTGTTACCTTGTTTTCTTTGTCCCCATGACCAATTGTAGAGATCCTCAACCTTTTTGCCTTAAGTATAGTCATACGTGTTTACCCTAGTTGTGCCGCCATGCCACGTAGGTCTACTAACAGTAGACTATTGTTGTGACAATGGGCAGCGCGGCACCTACACATCGCGCGAGTACTTTAGCTTAACCTTTGCATCGAATTCATTGTACGCCTGCTTCGCCGCATCCACCCATCGCATAAGATGTTGCAGCTGCTCCATCTTTCGCTCCGTCTCCAGTGTCCACGGCTGCCTTACCAAGTCCCTGGCCAACCCTACCCGTGCTTCATACTCGGCGAGTAGAGCTTTCGACCGGGCAACTTTGGCTGCGAGGTCTTTGAGCTTGTTGTAGTCTTGGCGCTGTTCCTCTGTGTGCTCTAGGCCAATGAAGATGTCGGCGTTGGGCTCTTCTTCGACGGTCGGTAGGATGTCACCTAAGATGTCGGCGTTGGGCGGCTTGGAATCGTCGGTGCCCACAGGGGCTATATCTGTATCAAGCGAGTCATAGTAGTCTCGGAGTTGTTGTGCCGTGATGTTTTGTAGGCGGATGAAGAGGGCGTCGTTGGGGTCGGAAGAATCGGGGTCTATGTCGGGTTCTACGAGAGGAGGGATACCTAGTTCGAGCATGTCGTATTCGTATTCTAAGAGTTGTTCGTCTGTGATGCTTTGTAGGCGAGTGTAGAGGTCGTCGTCGTTGGCTTCTTCTTCTGTGGTCTGCTGTGTTGCACTGAAGAGGTCGGCGTTGGGCTCACCATTGTCAGCTACGACAGGGGATGTACCTATAGTCAACTTGTCATAGTCTCTGAATTGTTCTGCCGTGACGTTTTGTACGCCGGTCAAGAGGTCGGCGTTGGGGTCGGAAGAATCGGGGGCTATTTCGGAGCCGGGGCCGTTGACGGGAGGGACATCATCTATATCGAACATTTTGCGTATTCGTTAGTCTTTGTCTTGCTTTTTCCCTTGCTTTTTCCCTTGCTTTTTTAATCTTAAAATTAGGGCATTATATGGTTCATATACTAGTTTTGGTCTGTTCTGAATCACTGTTCAGTATACATTCTCAGTGGGAGGATGTGTAACTGCGTGCCACCACCGCGAGTTCCTACAATCACCACACTTGCGTCAAAAATTCCCTTTTAATTTTTGCCGTCTTTTCACTATACTAAATACTCGAAATCATTTTAAAAATATTTTTAGCGTGTCATTTCTATGTCAGTGCTGCGCTGGCAGTTGCGCCTCCTTCGATTCACTCGACGAGGCATTCAACCCGTAGACGAAACCGAATCCGGTTCAGTGTATACACAGCCACAATAAATTTAACAACTGCCCAATATGGATTTGCATCTGCCAGTCGTACGATAGGATAGATAGTGGCTTGTTTAGTAAACTCAATTAACCGAGCATACCTGCTACGATCTAGCGTAAACTCTAAACCCCATCACGAACTATTTCCGCCGCAAGTTCCGGTGGGGTTGGGGGAACGGGGATCTCGCCGCCGACGCATCCGGCTATAAGTTGGAAGATAAAGGTATGGATGTCAAACTCTGTAAGCGATTGAATCAGCTCTTTTTTGACTTGTGGTGCCGAATAGCCGCGGTGCTGTGTATATAAGGAGCTCACCGTCACTGTGTCTAGATGGATTGCTTTTATGTATTACTTCCTGTTTCATCTCCATCTAACTTATATACTACGCAAGACAAATTCTTTTCTCTCAAAATGAATGCAAAATCGATTCTCGGCTACACTATCGGTGTACTACTGACGTATGCGGCTGCCAATGAGACGCGTACTACGACTGTGACGAGATATCTTCCGCTTGAGCAGCATCCTTGCGCGGCATTTTACATCGTCGAAGCGGGCCAAGTGCCTCTGGTAGGGGCGTGTGACCCTGGAGCATGCTGTCTGGGTGTGGTTGAGGGGAATGATACTGTTGTCGAGGTCTCTGCGTCGTCGGGGGCTGTGAAGCCGCCAAAGACGGTTCCCTGGTCTAAAGTCGGAACAAGTATGACGGAGAGTCAGGTGTCTGGTACGAGCGTGTCGGGATCGTCGGACAGCGGGGTGTATACTACGAGTAAATGCACAACGACATCGCTTGAGCCGTCTACTTCAGCCTGGACAACGACAAGCGCTCGCCCGTCCAGTTCGGTTTTGGTTTCATCAAAGTCGGCGTCCAAAAGTAAGGCCGCGTCCACGTCAAGAGCCACCACTACTAGAGCTACTTCGTCTACCGTTGTGTCTTCATCATCATCCTCGTCCAAGCCATCTACGACAAGCTCCACCTCACGGTCCGCTGCTATTATCAGCCCTGCTTCTAGCTCTGCTGCTTCTAGCTCTGCTGCTTCTAGCTCTGCTGCTTCTAGTTCAGCGTCTAGCTCTGCTTCCACGTCTCCCTCCAGCTCTACTTCTCCTACGTCCTCAACTTCCCCAACCTCGCCAACTTCTTCTACCATCTCCTCAACTTCATCAACTTCTTCTACCATTCCTTCTACTTCCTCTGCCATCTCCTCTACTCTGCCTAGTTCCACTATCTCATCAACTTCACCAACCTCCTCAACGATCCCCTCTACCAGCTCGACTCCGACTACGTCGAGTAGCAGCACATCTACTTCGTCCACCATCCCCTCGACTTCCTCAACTTCGACGTCGACTACAACTCCATCCAGCAGCAGCACATCTACCATTGCCCCATCCTCCACAGTCACCTACAAGGAATGCCCTACTCCAACCTGCCAATTGGGTGTTGAGAGAGCAAAATATTTCAACCCGTTTCGAAGTGATCTCTCCAGCACGTACGAATCTTTCGACCCCGAATACTTTAAACATACGGCACCAGTGGAAACAGAGGTCACAAACAAGCCCATTTTTATATCTACTCTTCGAGGCAATGTCGAATACGAAGACGCCGCCGTAGGCTATCGCACATTCCTCTTTGCTTGTCAAAACGGCACGTACCGCCTGAGCTCGCCATACTCGGACGACATTACCATCATGTGGTTTGGTGAGAGGGCTTACCAAGGGTGGACTAGGGACAATGCGGATATTATCCAGTTTTACTACGGGAATAATGATCCTGCCAATGTCTATGTGGACATTGAGGCGGGAACCTATTATCCCATTCGAGTGCTCTGGGGCAATACAGGCGGAGCAGCAGATTTAGAGCTGCGCATATTTGCTCCGGATGGACAGGAAATGAGTGGTGGGAATTTGGTCAATGGAAGTTACCTGACGACTACGGCGTGTGACGGATCCTATGGTGACTGGGCTCCCTGGGGAGATGAGGTATAGTTTTCTTTTTTGTTTTTTTTTGGTAAAATAGTTTACAGTTAAGATATAAGACGCCAGGGTTGTAAGAATAAAGAGAAGAGAAACTAGCCACAGTGGTTCCCTCGCTTATCTGGTTCCGTTTGCTGTATCCACGGCGTTATTGTATTTATGTAATAACATCGGTTACAATTCTACATTACAACAGCAATTACACATTGGGCAGGCAGAGTGAGCAGACAACAGCGGCGCAGAGTCTAGCAGTATTGAGATGCCTAATTAGGCAGGTCTACATCCGTTACATCGGTTTCGGGGGGGAATAAGCCCACCCACCCCAGCGCGATGTAACGGAAACGTCCCGAAGCCCAGAATTCAGTCGATCCAAGGTATACCGAGTATCATACTCAACTTCTAGATTGAGCCAAGCGTTACAAATGTTGCATCGAGCGGTCGGCAATTGGCTCAATGGCCCAACATAAATGGCAGCCTCCCCGCGGTCTGCTTCATACACACGGGCTCATGGTTTCTCAACCACTCATTACATCTGTTATCCGCCTACTTTTGTCATGCTCACGCTTGCCCAAGCCACCATCCTGGCGTGGATGACCGTTTCGGTCTCTGCTGCTCCCGCTCTTGGCTCCCATGCTGTTCTCGAGGCCGTCAATGTGCCTCACACCTGGACTGCATCGGGCGCCCCCAAGCCCGATACCAAGATGCGTCTGCAGATTGGTCTAAAGCAGCAGGACATGGCTGGCCTCGAGAAGCGGTTGATGGAAATCTCGGACCACACGCACGCAGACTATGGAAAGTGGCTATCCAAGGAAGACATGGCTGCTTACACCAGCCCTTCTGCCGAGACCCTCCGTCTTGTAAAGAGCTGGCTGGAAGAGGCTGGCGTTGCGCCCTCTGCCATTGGCCAGGCCCAGCCTGACTGGGTGCATGTCGATGTAGATGTCGCTACCGCGGAGAAGCTCCTTGGTACGCAGTACTCTGTGTACAAGAACACCAAGGACACTTCGTCGCCCGACATCATCCGCACAAGCCAATACTCGGTGCCCAAGGCGCTGCATGGCCACATTGACACCATCCAGCCCACGACGTCCTTTGCGCACGGCGTCAAGGCCAGCCGCTCCATTGCTGCTGCTGATGCTGATGCTTCGATCACCAAGCGGGCTGCTGAAGCAGACAAGTGCAACGACGGTGTAGCCCGCCTCGCATGCATGCGCAAAAAGTACAATGTCAACTACTCCGCCACCGGCAAGGCAACCATTGCCATTGCGGGATTCATTGGGCAGTACATCAACAACGACGACACCAAGGTGTACCTCGAAGAGTACGACCCGACCAACAACAACACCGTCGCCATCAAGCTCGTCGGGGAGGGAGAGAACAACCCGAATCAGCCCGGTGGTGAAGCCTCCATGGACGTGCAGCTGGCCCTGGGCTTTGGACACGGCAACCCCGTTACCTTTTACTCCGTCGACACCCCGGCACAAGGCCAAGGCGAGAACTGGCCCGACCAGCTTTTGGCGTTTATCCAGGCGCTCACTGCCGAGACCAACCCGCCGTCCACGGCCAGCATCTCGTACGCTGCCGGCGAGGCTGGCGGCTCCGTCGAGTACATGACGCGCGCGTGTAACGAGTTCATGAAGGCTGGCGCTCGTGGCATCACCGTCTTTGGCTCCTCGGGCGACGACGGCGTCGGCTCGGGTGACTGCTCGTCCAGGCCCTTTGAGGTTCTCTTCCCAGCGTCGTGCCCCTACATGACCAGCGTCGGCGGCACCCAGTGGAGCGCAGACAGCTCTTCCGAGGCTGTCTGGCCCTATTCGGGCAGCGGCTTCTCCAACGTCTTTGCCCAGCCCGACTGGCAAGCCGCCGATGTCAACGCGTACATCAAGAACTCGGTCCCCTCTGCGTACAAGGGACGGTACAATGCTAGCGGTCGTGCTTATCCCGATGTTGCCCTCGTCGCCGACAAGGTCCCCTACTTTCTCAACGGCGCCGCCCAGTCCGACGGTGGTGGTACCTCGGCCTCGTCGCCCTTTTGGGCGGCCGCTGTGTCCCTCATCAATGATTACCGCGCTACAAAGGGAAAGCCGGCGCTTGGATTCCTCAACAAGCGCCTTTATACGGACAAGGCTGTGCGCGCTGCCATGACGGATATTGTGGATGGTTCTAACCCGAGTTGCAAGACGGCGGGATTCAAGGCCACGGTGGGTTGGGATAGTGCTAGTGGTTTTGGCGTGTTGAACTTTGGTAAGCTCAAGGATGCATTGAGTACTTGAGAGATGGGCGAGAGGACGTGCGGGGGCTTAACCAAGTTTAATCTATATAAGGCAAAGAGCATGGAACAAGGGACTCGAAGCAGCAGCAGATCAGTGTATATATGTAGATGTAGATGAATAGATACATATATACATATGTGTGTGTGTACACCTACGACATGCACTAACTCTACTTATTTGTCAATTTTCTACTCACATGGTATTTTTTTTCTTTTATTAATTTAAATTGGCTTTTTTCACGTTTTGCTACATTTTGACGCTACATGCGGTATTACTATTGCTAGCTAGTTTTATATCTCCTTAGCTAGTAGTCCTTCCTTCGACATACTTAGTGAATAGCCGATCGCTAACTTTCCCACTTGTTATTGCTTCATTTGCTTCTATCGTATACAAGTCAAGTCGCTTCCTGCATGCTCAACGGTCTAACCACAAGCGGCGGACGCCAGCTTGTCGGTATTCCGAAAGGCTACATTGCAGCTCTTAGGCCTTAGTTAGTGGAAACAACCTCTTGTGAGTACTGTATAAAAAGAGCCGCTTCAGCTCAGCCCCCGGCTATCGGGACCCGAAACCCTGGGTCAGCCGAGCAAGGGTTGTGGGTTGCATGCCGTGCCGCTCAAGATAACGAGACAAGAAAGAAAAAGAACCGGGAACCTGCGAGACAACAAACGGCTGTACCAAGGGTCCAATGAGACTTTTACAGACACATGACGGGCATCTCATCTAGGTGGCACGGCCCGTAGCGCCCAGTAGGGGACTCAACGCACCCACTACGCACCCATCACATCATATCACATCGATTTGGATGGGACCAAGACAAATCAAATGCCGACGCTAATCGGGCGTGGCTGGAAGAATCTCATTCGGGACAATGTACTGCTGGTAGACTGCCCACGAGCAATATAGCCGGGAACCGCGATGGAGCCAGCGGGCCTCCTGCATGGGAAAGTGTCGTGAGCTTTATGTACGTACTTTTGTAAATGCAATTTTCTCACAAATATTGTCTCAGCCTTTACAACGGGTGGAACCCCCCTGCTACGTACGGTGACGCTCAAATGACTGAAAATTGATACGGGTTTGGTCGTGTATGCAAGATGCACAAAGATGTTTCTTTTTTGCCGGTTCTCTCTTCGGGTCAATTGCCGAACCCATCGAATCTGAAGGTGTGGCTGTCGGAGGCGTAAAGGGATCGAGATGTATAGATATGCACGTATATATAATGATATTTACTACACCCGGCCTTCCAATGAAGCAGTTGCCTACCTTTTTCTGCCTGTACACGCTTTTTAGAGCTACGACTTCACAATGGGTAAAATTGAAATAAAAACAAAACCGATTGCCATTATAGGCATGAGCTGCCGCTTGCCAGGCGCCGTGGACTCGCCTGAGAAGCTTTGGGAGCTCGTGGCTGCTGCACAAAACACTTGGTCGCCGACACATCCTTCCGAAGAGAGAAGTGACGACGCTTTCTATCATCACCGGCCCGAAACACTTGGAACAGTATGATACTTACGGTCCAACATTTTGACACGTTTGCTAAAATAGGATTGCAGAATCACAGCCAGGGCGGCCATTTCCTGGACCATGATGTTGCTGCGTGTGACATATCCTTCTTCAACCTCACGCCTGACGTGGCCAAGGTTAGTGAGACTCCGAAGAGATTCAACCTCTACCATGCTAAGAGTAATATTCCAACTGACTTCTCTTGCTAGAGTATGGACCCTCAGATTCGTCTCCTTCTTGAGGTGGTCTTTGAAGCACTCGAGTCAGGTAAGTCTGAGTGCAAGTACCTACCGTAAACCAGTTCCTTTCTTCTAATACTGCATGTGGCGGTAGCGGGCATTACTCTGGACATGGTTGCCTCTTCATGTACTTCTGTCTTTGCGGGTGCCGCGTTTCACGACTACCAGGATATTCTCATGCAAGACATTGACAACCTTCCGCGCTACCACCTCACGGGCAACGCGCCGGCCATGCTTGCCAATAGAATATCACACTTCTTTGATCTTCGCGGACCCAGTGTAGCTGTTGACACGGCGTGTTCTACGGCCATGACGGCGTTACATCTGGCTTGCCAGTCTCTCAGAGCAGGCGAGTCATCCATGGCAGTCGTGGGTGCAGCCAATCTCATCTTATCCGCTACATCCTCTATTAGCTTGTCCACTCTTGGGTATGTACATGACATGCTACCAAAGACGGAAACTAACTAACTTCCGTTCTCAGACTCACTGGATCAACTGGCAAGTCGTTTAGCTTTGACGAAAGAGCTAACGGATACGGCAGAGGCGAGGGTGTAGGGTGTCTGCTATTGAAACCGCTCGATGCTGCGATCCGAGATGGCGATCCCGTCCGTGCTGTCATCAGAGAGACCATGATGAACCAAGACGGTAGGACGCCCACAATTACATCACCATCTTCTGAAGCGCAAGCAGCATTGATGAAGCAGTGTTATACTGCAGCCGGCCTCAATCCGCAGCAAACAGGGTATGTGGAATGCCACGGCACCGGTACTCTCGTCGGAGACAAGGTAGAGACAGCTTCCGTGGCCAAAGCGTTTGAAGCGCACAAATCAGTGTATGGTCCTCTGTATATTGGATCAGTCAAGGCCAATTTCGGCCATACTGAATCGACTAGCGGCATCGCAGCGGTAATCAAAGTTGTCAAAATGCTCGAGGCCGACATTATCCCGCCGCAGGCCCTTTTCTCAAACCCAAACCCAGATATCGACCTGGACAAACTAAACATCAAGGTATGTTGTCTGAGCTGTGTTGTCCAAAGATTGTTTGGCTGAAGAGGTCATATACAAGGTTTCCAAGACATCCATTCCGTGGCCTGAAGGCAAGCATCGGCGAGTTTCTGTCAATAATTTCGGAGCTGGTGGTGCAAACGTTCATGCCATCATCGAGAGCGCAGGCTACTTAGCTCCTTGCATCCTTCATGGCAGTAAAGCGACCAGTTTTATTGGTGATACATCACTTTTGTTTCCACTTAGTAGCGCGCGGAAAGACGGCCTACAAGCTATGGCCATGCGGTTGGCCGAATACCTAGAAGCCATGGAATTGCCGCCAGACACGGAGAACGAGATGCTACACAACATCGCTTACACGTTGTCTTTGAGACGATCTCATCTCTCTTATAGATCTTCGTTTGTTGCCGGGTCTATGTCGCAGCTCAGAGAAACGCTAGCGAGACCTCACGAAGTTCCATGCCATGTGAAGCCATTAGCTCCCCAGCTAGCCTTTGTGTTCACGGGCCAAGGAGCGCAGTGGCCGGAGATGGGCCGCACCTTGATCGATACATATCCTGTGTTTAAGAAGTCGATTCATGATGCGCAAGTATGCTTGTCATCTCTTGGGGCGGAATGGAACCTGGAAGAAGAGCTGGCTAGACCCGAGGCGAGCAGCAGACTGGCGCAGCCATACTTGAGCTTTCCGTGCTCAGTCATCATTCAACTCGCCGTGGTCAGGCTCCTTGCATCCTGGAATGTTACTCCTGTCGGAGTCACTGGCCATTCAAGCGGCGAGATTTCGGCTGCGTACGCCGCTGGCATACTAACGTTCGACGAGGCCATCACCATTGCATACCTGCGTGGTCGATTGACGAGCGATTATGTGAATGATGGGCGTATAACAGGCGGCATGGCGGCTCTTGGGGCAGGCGAAAGTGAAGCTCTGCAAATTGTAAAAGATCTTGGACTGGCTTCGGAACTAGTGGTTGCCTGCATCAACAGTCCATCAAATGTCACTCTTGCCGGAACTACACAGGCGCTGGAGGTGGTGTCGGAATGGGCAAAAGACAACTCCATCTTTTATAGACGGCTAGATATCCCGGCGGCGTACCACTCTCCTCAGATGGAGTGTCTATCGGAAGAATATCTCAAACGACTCGAACCACACTTTCGAGATGATGGCAAACGAAACGGTGGAGAGGCGTACTCTGGCAGCAGCAACACCGAGGTACGTTTTGTGTCTCCGGTTACGGGAAAAGACATTGGCAATGGTACGCAGTCCATTCGCGCACCTAAACACTGGATCGAGAACATGGTTCAAAGTGTCAAGTTCACGGATGCCGTGGAATCCTTGCTCTTCAATAACAGCGAAACAACAGGTGTCGCTGTTGACACCATCATTGAGATTGGCCCGCATGGTGCTTTGCAAGGAGCCATGCGCCAGATTCTTTCCAGTTTCAAGGTTTCTCCTTCAAAGGTATCGCTGCAATACAGCCTGAAACGGGGCTCCGATTCTGCCTCCGCGATGCGGATCTTGGCTGGCACGCTTCATTGCCAAGGGGTCCCTGTCAATCTGCAGCAAGTCAACTTCCCGTCCTGGGATATGTGTTCGCAGCGCCCCGCGGTAGTCACTGACTTGCCAACATATGCGTGGGATCACAGCAAGCGATACTGGGTTGACTCAGTGCGGGTGACGGAATCGCTGCAACATAAACAGCGGCGGCATTACCTGCTGGGCACCAAGGTCCATGGTCCAACCCCCAATATCCATATCTGGAGGAGCATGTTTCGGGTGGACGACATGCCCTGGGTGCAGGACCATCTGATACACTCTGAGTTATTATTTCCTGGAGCGGGAATGCTTACAATGGTCCTGTATGCAATGCCTCGGATTGACGGGGCTGACTCTACGGAACTCTGTTCGTCTGTAGTCCACGATATCACCTTTTACAATGGCGTCATTGTCCCTCGTTCTTCAGCCGGTATTGACATTCAACTCACCGTCCAGAAACAAGACACCTCGAGGCTCTTGGAGACGAAAGAGCACAAACGCTTTGATTTCTACTCGCATGATGGTGCAGGCAACTGGACGGGCCACTGCGAAGGCACCATCTCCACACTCTCTCAGCTCCCATGTATAAACACATTTGCGCAGAGATACATTGCACTCGAGAACACCGGCACGCCCTTTGACGTGTCCGAGTTTTATCAGCTGCTCGAAGAGACTGGTCCTAGCCTGGGTCCTGCATTCCGCCATCTATCGAGCCTCGTCCGCGGCGATGGCTTTGCCGAAGCGATTGCCGTGGTTCCTGAAATCAAGGATGCCATGCAACATGGTGACGAGACGGAGCAGTGGCTCCATCCGACCGTTTTAGATTTGTTCTTCCAGATAGCTTGGGTTGCTGTGGACCGCCAATATCTAGACAGACTGGGGATCTGCATAGCAAACTCTGCAAAACGAGTCCATGTGGCCCGTGGCGTGGACTTAGTTCCGGGCACCCAGCTGCGTATTGTGGTGTTCCTTGACCAACACGATGATGCTGGCTTCGACGTTTCGCTCTTTGTCGTGGAACTTGATGGAGAGAATAATGAGCGTGTGCTTCTGCATACCTCTGGATTGCGAATTTCTTCGTTGTCTGGTGGCTCGGAGGCTTCGTTGGTGGACAATTCAGTGATTCTGCGGCCCACGAGCACAGTATTGCAGACATCTACTCTGTCTGATACCGCCGTACACGACGCCAAGGTTTCTTTGCCTTACTCCATCATGGTGCATACTTCTGTTTACAAGGTCGGCAATCCTTTTGCGGAACTCGTACGTCAGACACTGTACAGTCGGTTTGATGGGGTGAGCGCCTTGGAGACACCAGGCCAATCGAGTATGGGCAAGATTGTGGTGTTCTTGGATGATTCTGACCATGCTTTCTTGTCAAATGGCGATGCAGAGAGTTTCAATAACATGAAGGAAATGCTTCTTGACGCGGAGATTTTCCTCTGGGTGTCGCGATGCTCGGATAGTAACCCCGGCTTTGCCACGCATCTTGGTCTTTTAAGGACACTGCGGATGGAACAAGGCGACAAGAAGTACATCACCCTTCACTTACCCATTGCTACAGAAGACCAAGATTCATCAGAACATGAATCTGCAAAAGCTATATCCGATGTGTTGTGGTACGTAGTATCTGCGTCATCATCGTCTGACTCCATCTACGAATTTGAGCTTCGGGATGGATCGCTGTATCGCCTTAACTACCAGCCAGCCGAGGAACTGAACAACGAATACTCGCTCTCGAGAGGTGGTTCCGGTGAGCTACTTGCGGCTCAATATGCTTGGTCCTCAGACAACTATCTACGGCTCGTTGCCAAGGAGCCTGGAATGCTCGATAGTCTCTCCTTCCGTCAGGACAATAGATTGCTACACTCAATACCTCTAGCAGATGACTGGGTCGAGATAGTACCACACAGTTTCGGTCTCAACTTCCGAGATGTGCTCGTGGCCATGGCAGAAATGAAAGAGGGCTGGATGGGCTTCGAGTGCGCGGGTTACGTGACCCAAGTCGGTGCCGCGGTCTCGGGTAATGTCTATGGAGTTTCTGTTGGGGCTCGCGTCTGCTGCTTAATGCAAGGCGGCCACTGGGCGAACAGGATACGCGTACCTCTCACAAATATTGTAGCCATCCCGGACAGCATGACGTTTGAGATGGCGGCCTCTATCCCCATGTGCTTTGTGACGGCATACTATGGGCTGGTAGAATGCGGCAGGCTCGAGGCCGATGAGACTGTCCTCATACACGCCGGGGCTGGTGGTGTTGGACAGGCAGCCATCGCTATTGCGCAGAGTCGTGGAGCCAAAGTGTTTGCAACGGTGGGAAGCGATCAGAAAAAGGAATACCTCGTACAGCACTATGGCATTCCCGCAGAACACATATTTTCCAGCCGCAGTGCCGACTTCAAAGAGGAAGTGCTTCGTGCCACAGGAGGGCACGGCGTCGATGTGCTATTAAACTCTCTGGCCGGGCCACTCTTGCAAGCCGGCTGGGATGGCATGGCACTTTGTGGCCGCTTTATTGAGCTTGGAAAGCGAGATGCGAGAGTTGACAAGGTGCTTGAGATGCGCAACTTTAGCAACGCAACATCCTATATGGCAATTGACATTGTCCAGTTGGGACTAGCCAAGCCAAAGGTCCTCCAGCGCATCTTCACCACGGTGACGGACCTGCTCAACACTGGTCGTGTACTGCACAAGATTCCAATCACATCGTATCACATCAGCAACCTCACCACAGCATTTAGGAATCTACAAAGTGGAAAGCATCTCGGCAAGTCCATCATCACAATCCAGCCTGACGACCAAGTGTCTGCCATACCAGCGCACGTTTCGCTTCCATCATTGGATAAAAACGGCTGCTACCTCATTGTTGGCGGAACGAGCGGCATTGGACTGGAGATTGCCCGGTGGATGTCGCGCAACGGCGCCGGGCATCTGCTGCTCGTCTCCAGAAACGCATCAACTGCGACAAACCAATGGATCTGCGACGAGTTTGAAGCAGCTGGTGAAGCTTTCGTGAGCTTGAGCAGCTGTGATGTGACGTGCATAGATGATTTGACAAACGTGGTCGACGAGTACAGCAGAAAGAGCGAGCAGAAGCACGGTCATCAAGTACCGATCCGAGGCGTCATTCAGTCTGCGGCTGTTCTTGATGACGGTATTTTTGAGAACATGTCCTTTGAGCAGTGGCAGACAGCCATGCGTCCCAAGGCGCAGGGAACATCTAACCTAGATCTCACCTTTAGAGATGTCGACTTGGACTTCTTTGTCATTCTATCTTCGGTGACTGCTGTCGTCGGCAGCGTAGGTCAGGCCAATTACACGGCCGGCGGTACATTCCAGGACGCTCTTGCAGCCCGCAGAGTCGCTTCCGGACGACCAGCCGTGTCCATCAACCTGGGCAGCGTCCGGACTACTGGCCTCGCAGCACGCACCGGCGCTGGTCCTCGTCTCGAAAAGGCCGGGTACCGCGCGCAGGACGTGTCCGAGGTTCTCTCGCTCGTCGAACTAGCGATCCGACACCCTCACCTCGGCCAGCTAGTTACGGGTATCCGCACTTGGTCTTCAGATGAGAATATAAACTGGCGACGGGAGCCTCGCTTTGCATGTCTACGCACCGGCAGCGAGGGGGACAATGCAGCCGCTGGTGCAGCCACGGGAAGTAGGTCCTCCTGGAAGGAGAAGCTAGCAGCCGCTACGACGTCGGACGAGACCATCGAGGTGTTAACGGAAGCTGTCAAGCAGCGACTAGCAGACATTTTTGATCAGACGGCGGATGACTTTAACACTGCACTCTCGCCGGCGACGTATGGCGTCGACTCCCTCGTCGCCGTAGAGCTGCGCAATTGGCTTCACACAAACATTGTCGCGGGCACGAGCATCTTTGACATAACACAGAGTAAATCCATCTCGGATCTAGCGATGCGTCTAGAGGCGAAACTCGCTGCCAGTAGTACTTGAGCAAGAAGACGAAGGTGGTGTCGCGCATCCGAGGCTGCTCGCGCTCGATTATCGAGAAAATACCTATACTGTGTAGATTTCAGCCTATTAATTAATATTTAATTTGTAAACGATCTTTAATATATCAAGTTTAGCTTGTACTTTAATAAAAGAATTCTAAACTTGAAGTGCATGTAGTCTAAGACTCAGCGTAGTGCTAGCGGTGCACCTTACCTACCCCTGCGTTCCCATTCGCTGGCGCACATTACATAATCAGCCCGCAAAACACCAATGGCCTCAACCCGACGACGGTAACGACCTCGCTTCTCTTCACCACCGCTCGTCCTTTTACCGGCTCCCGACACGACACGAACGGCCCGGACGCATCAATTTGCAACAGTCTTTTTCAGTGACTGCTGCCACCCTGTTCAATTGATACCCGCGACCCCCGATTTTCTTTTTGCCGACCGACACGATGGCGCAGGATATGCCCCCCAAGGCCGGCTACGAGCCCGTGCAGTACAAGGTAGGTCGCCGAGACGGCAGCGAGAAGAAAGGAATAGAGTCATTGACTAATGGCGGTGGAAATTGTAGCGCAACTTGCCTGCCAAGGGCTTCCGCCCGGGCATCATGCTGCTCGGTATGGGTGCGTTGATGGGATACGGCTGGTACAAGCTTGCTGGTGGTATGCGTGAGGCCAAGTAAGTTCTTTTTTTCCGTCGACGTATGATGGAAGTAGGAGTTGGACTAACAATGGTACTTGCAGTGAACTTGCTCGCGAGAAGATGTGGGCGCGCATCCACCTGATTCCCCTCCTGCAGGCCGAAGAGGACCGTGACCAGGTCCGCAGATATCTGGCCGACCAGAAGCGCGAAAAGGAGCTCATGGGTGAGAACACCAAGGTCTACCACTCCGACAAGTAAGTTTAGGATGCTGTGATACGAGTTGATACGGAGAGGGGATGTGGAAATGCTAACCAAGACTGCGTAGGTTCGTGAGACCGACATTTGCCATTTCGCCCAACGTTTCGAAGTAGACGGGACAGAAGGATTAGGAGGAAGAATCAAAAAACGTGTACATATACTGTTAGACTGCGGGACGGCAGAGTCGATCCTATTTCTTTTGTCTTGACATACCACAGAAGAAAAAAAACAATGCAAAAAACATCATCAACCAGACCAGAGGATATTCCACACACAAAACACACGCTTCCGTCCAGCTAACTACAAACAGAGACCTAACTCGACCACTTCACAACCCTGCAACCATTGCCTCGTCTACCGCAGCCTCTGCCGATGCTGCCTCCAAGACGTCATCCGTCCACTCCCACAACTTCTTCGCCAACTGCTCATCCCAGCACGCCTCAACACCCACACTCGCCCTCCCAACCGGCTCAACAAGCGCCATCTGCCCACTATCCACCATCCTTCTCACATCCGCGCTCGTCGCCGCCCAGAGCGCATTAAACGCCGCCTCCCGCTCGCCCCTCGCCACCCCCGGCCGCACCGCAACCGCCGTAATCCCAGTATACCGCCTCCCCAGCTCCCTCGCATACAGCAGACTCGCCAGCTTCGCCTGCGCATACCGCCTGCCAGCACCCATCCCAATCGTCGTCTCGTGCGCCGAGCGCAGCGTCTCGAACCGGATCCCACCGCGCGGAAGAACCCCGTGGCCCACGGACGTCAGGGCAATGTACCGCACATCCAGGCCCAGCGACGCCGTCCGCTGCATAACAGGCAAAAGCGCACGCACAAGAGCAGCGTTACCTAGAAGGTTGATGCCAATCTGCACCTCGTAGCCGTCGCTGGTCAAGGCGGCAGGGCACGCGGGGATGCCTGCACATGCGATGAAGAGGTCGAGCCGCGAGGGTGTGAAGAGCGCGGCGGCGCGGCGCAGAGAGGCCAGCGAGCCCATCTCGCAGGGCAGGAAGGTGAGTTTGGTCTTGACGCCCAGGGCGGCGGCGGCCTGGATGAGTGAGGTTGCAGAGGCATGCGAGCGGCCGGTGAAGTAGATTTCGTGGGGCGCGTGCTTGGCGAGCTCGAGGACGGTATGGCGGCCTATGCCGTTTGTTCCTGAAGGTTATATGAGTTAGATAATAACTATTTAAAGAAGAAATAATTATGAAATGAGGGAACGAACCGCCAGTGATAAAGATGACTTTGCCTGTTAGTGGAGGGATCTGGGTATCTGGGTCGAAAGGCATTGTACGTGAGCACGCTGAAATCATAAGAAAATAGACAAAACAATGCAAATGCAAATAGGGTATCATGAAAAAGTAGGTCCCTTTTTTGGTTCATATAGAAGAGACATGGTAGAGTTTGGGTTTTGATACGGAGAGTTGGGCGTAACACGGTGGCGCCGGGCCATCAGGCACTAACAGATTTGTGTGAGTGGAGGCGGGTTGTTTGTTAGTGAGGGATACCGAAGCCCGGGGGAGAGTTCGCGTGTCGGGGTTTCGTTCGGGCGTCACGAAAAGCCATTTTTGTCTAAAATTGGCGATTGGAAATTACATTAGCCTGTTTTTGAGGCGGAAATAAGGGACTGCTTATTACTAGACACAAGATTATAGTATTCACTACTAGCAATGCTAGTCATTCTACAGGAAGGATTCACTGATCCTTCTACACAAACCCACACGTTCACAGACTACAGCCACCGGCAACATAGCACAGGCAACAAAAAAGTACGCAAGGTTTGGTAGCAAAAAGACAATCAAATGATATCGTTACACGCCATGTCGCTAAAATACAAAGACGCCTCTATACTGCGCCGCCAAAGGGAAAAAATGTACCGAATACTAGAACCTAGTCGCTCGCCGCCTCCAACTCCGCAAGCAAGTCCCGCTCCAGATCGTCCTCGTCAAAGTCCTCCTCGCCGCCATTGGCCTCCTCATCGCCCGTCGGACCAGGTGTCGGCAGCCCCTCATCATCTGCCGTGTGCACCGCCCGCAGCGCCGACGTCCCACGGTTGCGAGACAGTCGCTGCTTCTTGGCCAGCACGCTCTCGCCCATCACGCCGGGCTCCCCGTCCGACTCGTCGCCTTCGCCACGGCTCTTGCGCTTGCGGCCCTTCTTGGTCGGGCTGTCCGATGCGTTGCTCTCTGTGTCGACTTGCGAGTCATCCAGTTCACTGTCCTCTTCACCATCGCCCTCTCCCTCGTCATCCTCGTCGTCGTCATCGTCGTCCTCTAGATCAAGAAGCTCTTGGATCTCCTTGTCCGCCATGTCCCAGTCAAAATCCTTGAGGTCCTTTGTGTCACCAGTCTCGTCCTCTGTTTCAGATGTCAGCTCGGTGGCTTCCTCGGCGCGCTCGCCAGTCAGATATGGGCTTTCGTCGAGACGGCGCCACTGACTCAAACAGTCGAGCAGCCAGTTCTGGTTGACAATCTTGATGCTGGGAATCTTGGCGGCCTGCTGAACCTTCTTAGTTCGCGGCCGGTCCGTTGAGACGACCAAGTGTGTCACTCGCTTTGAAATCGTGCCCAAAACCTGCGCGCCAAAGCTCTGTGCCTGCATGCCAATCTCCGACTCTTCTACGGGGATGTCAAGCGGCACCAGGCCAGAAAGAACAATGACTAAACCAGATAAAACGTCCGACTTGAGGCCATCTAGAATGTCGCCCACATCGGGCACCATGGACAGGTCGACACCATCGTCTACTGACGGGCGGCGTACGACATGGCTATTTCCAGGAGGATGCGTGGGCTTGGCGTGGCCGCGCTCCTCTCGTCTGCGGTCGTAGAGTTCGTAGAATGCTACATGAAGATCGGTGAGATGGTCCTGCAAAGCAACCAACTCCTCGTCGTCGTCTTGAAGCAAATGTTGGCGGTGATGGGGGTGTTCGGGGTCTGATTCCTGTTCTTTCTCGTCCTCCTTGTCAAGCTCCTCCTGTAGATGAAGCAGCGGTCTATCTGTCAGCTGCTTCTCCAGGGCCTGTTCTTGCTCGGCAGTCTGGTCCTCAATTGTGCCGTTCTCGCCGCCCAGACGAGCGAGATCATCCAGCGCCGACGACTTGTCTGCTTTTCCTGCTCCTGCCGACTTGTCGATCTTGGGCAGCGCCGGTCGTATATCTTGCCTCTTTGGTAAGAAGCTCGAGTTGATGTCGCCGATTCCCTTGAAGAATTCGTACGGCACCACCTTGATAAGGTTGGCCCTGTTGGTGGGCCAGACATCGGAGCGATCGTCGATAATCACCACCATGTCTGTGCTAACAGGGAATAATCGCTGCAGACTCTTGGCTGTGATGCTACCGTTCTCGTCACGGCTGATGACGCGGTTGCCAAACAGCTTTCGGTCCGGGTCGACCAGTTTGGCAATATTAAGAGCATAGGCGCGCGTGCCCATGGTGTAGACGTGAAGCTCGTACATTTGCGAAATCTCCTCGAGAAACTCAGTAAGCCCAGGTCGCATCTTGATGTAATATGTGCAGCCACTGGCCAGGCCGCGGGGTCCGTCGTCGTTGAGCTGGAAGCTACGGACGTCCTTAACGGCGTCGTGGTTCGGATTCGACGGGTCGCGCTGCCACTCCCCTACCGTCGGTTCTATGCAGGCGTGGATAATGGTCTGATCGAGATCGACCACCAGACTCAGCTTGCGCTGGCGCAGCAGACGCTTCTGCGTATCGTGCTCAGCTCGTGTGGCGACACTCTCGCTGACCATGAGGCCAGTCTGGTCGTGCGTCATGTTGATGGTGGCTCGGTCGATGCCGCGCTCTTCACTGGCCCAGTTGGTCTCCGTCATGTCGGCGCCGCAAAGCGTGCACATGCCCTGGATCTGGACCTCGTGGGCGCAGGCTTCTTCGACCATCATGCACCCTCTGTCGCCAGCAATGGTCTGGCCCTCTTTAATGCGCCATTCCTTGAGCGTGCCCTCGGCCGGGCTATCAAACTCGGTGTATGTGACTTCGTCGACCCATTCGTCGTCGGACACTTGGCGCCTCCACGAGAACTTGTATTCAATAATGTTTTCCTGCTTCTTGATGGTGTCGCCGGGCGCCTTGAGCAGCTTTGTAATAGTAATGGGGTAGTGCAGGCGGGAGCCTAGCGATACGAGCTTGTCGTACATGATTTTGTGCTGAAGCTGAAGCTCTAACTGCTATAGACAAGGGAAAAAGGATGTGTTAGCTGCGCTGCGTGTCTCGGAGTCACGGGGGGAATGCGGTGCGGTATCGTAATGCGGCGGACAGAGAGACAAACCTGTAGTCCCTATTTTTCTTTGTATATTTGTTCTTCCCCAATGACAGCGATCCGTTTAAAAAGCGAGATGGCAGGATCCGACCATGGCCACGCGGGCCTTGCGCGCGTAATGGGTGGTGGTGGTGGTGGTGGTGGTGGTGGTGGTGGTGGTGATGTTTAGCAGCAAGAAAGCAAGCAAGCTAGCTTCCAGGACGTGGTCGGCGGGTGAGCTGTCGTGCCGGTGTCGTAGTGGCGATGACGGGGATCTTTAATAGTGATGGATTGGTTCGATGATTATTTTCTAGCGGGAATTGGAGGCGGTGCGTGATGAAGGGGATTAAATGGCAGACGAAGCGTCACGGAGCGGTAGCTTGTTAGCGGCGTGCAGAGAAAAGTGACGTGACAGACGGCTGCTTGCTGGCTGCGACAGTGTGCTGGGCAGCTGGCACAGCTGGTTGGAACTGCCCGCAAGCGGGTTCCCTTTTAAGCTGCGCCCGCCTTTTTTCCGCCCTCGACAGCCTGGAGCAGGCGTGGCTGCGAGGAGCGGGATCACGTGGGCTTGCTGGGTGTTAGGCAGCGTCATGGCAGTGACTCCACACAAGCTTCTCAGCTGCTGTAACTGCCACTGCAGCTCTTAGTGCTTGTCTCACAGGGGGACGCCACAGCTGGGAAACACGGCTGGAAACGGAAGTACAGTTTTGCTGGCAGTTACCCTGGAGGCGACGAGTCGCTGGGAAAAAGTCCTCTCTGCATTTGGGATGAATAGGAATTGGGTCAATTATTTCATAGTGAATTTTTATAAATGCCATATTATCACTAGTATTAAATTTAGAATTTATCACAAACGCTACGTGGTGTGAATAGAAAGAAACACACTGTTAGTAACAGCTGCTTGTAAACATCACCAACTCCAGTCAAACTCCAGACTCATTACTATACACATTCATCCCACCATTCTCATCCTAATAAGACGTAGAAAATTTCTTACAAAATTGCAAAATATGACTGACCCACAAGCACAAACATCAAAACAAAAGAAAACATAATAATCATCAGCCAATCTGTGACAATGAAAAACTATCAGTCAACACATTCACTAACATAGACACATAAAATGTAAAACGTGAAAATATCATTATGAATAAGTAAATACTCTAGGCGCCATCTTTACTCTTCTATATACACGCAAACACACACAGAGACGAATCATCCATTAAGTAGGTACCTGCACCATAAGGATGATGACATTACCAAGACACAGTCGGATGGCATTAAGCAGGAGCCTGCACCAGCTTGAAGCCCTCCGAGACCATCTTGGTAATATCATCATTCTTATGCTGCAGCAAGCCCAGCGCATACGCCACATCGTTCCACTGCCTCTCCGTCTCGCAGCGGCCCAGACGGGCAGCCAGCTTCTCTGACAACTGCTTGGCGTGCTTGTCCTTCTCGACAAAGCCCAGCAAAAACTTGACAATTCTCTTGAAGCTCTCCTCGTCCATGTTGCCCGCGCTGAGCAAGCTAAACATGTCCACAAAGTGGTTGTACACTGCATTGTCCTTGGTGCTGAGCTCCGTGAAGAACATTCTCGCCAGGTCCGCAATACGGCGGTCCTCGTCCTCCAGGCACTTGGCCATCTCGCCCAACTGACCCTTGACCTTGACCTGACCGGCCAGAATCAAGAAGGTCAGCGTCATCAGACATGTTCGCTTGACCGACGCGTCGTCGTCTGCTAGACGGCGGTACAAGAAGTCGGTGTTCTCGTCAATCAGGTGGTTGAAGCTGACGGCCATGTCACCTAGAGCAATCACGGCGTTGGAGCGGACAGTGGCGTCCGGCGAGCGTTCCATAATCGTAATAAGCAGCGGTAGGTTGACCTCACAGTACTCAGACGACACACACATGAGCTTCGCCAGGCAGAGAGTGGCTGCAGCCTGAAGGCCCTTGTCGGCGTATGTTGTGTTGTTTGCGCAAACCTCAGACACCAGCGTGCCAAACATGGCCAGCAGCGAGTTGGGGCCGTACAGCAGCTCTCGCTCGCGAATATGCGTCATGGCCTCGGTAAAGTCGTCCTCCGTTGTGCCGCCAATCAGGTCCAGCTCATCAGCGTCCTCCTTTTCCTTGTCAGGCTTGGCCGCCGCCTGCTTCTCCTTTTCTTGCTTTCTACGTTTGAAGTCGAGCTCGCACAGTTCCAAGTGCACAATCTGCTTGATGGCAACGTGGCCCACGATAAACAGTAACTGAGACAGCGCCACCGCATTGTCTCGCTTGCTCGTCTTTTCGGGCTGTGTCACAGTAGGCTCTCCATCTTGCATAGGCTGTGTCTCATCTCTCGACGTCGGTCTAGAAGCCGATCCGCCAAAGACGTGGCGGGTTTTGCGGCGAATGACGTCTGAGCAGAGCGTGTCGGGGTGTTTCGAGATGGCGTAGATGGCATTAATAGCCTGCTCTGCCACTCCGTACCACTCCTTGCTCTCCGAGGGCACCTCGGTAATGGCAGCAAGGCGCAGGCAGACGGCGTGGTCATTGGGCAGGCGGGAGAACTTGGCTGTGGCCTCCTTGCCCTGGCGGCCAGTCGGGTTGATGCGGCGCAGCGCAATACAAGTGTACTTTGCCAGTTGCAAATCGCTACGGCCAAAGGCACCGAGGCCAGTGCGAAGCATAATCTCCATTTCTCCCACCACAATCTCCGGGTTGGCCGTAGCCAGCATACCAAGCACCATGATAGCGCCGCGGCGCTGGTTCTTGGAAATCTCGCGCCTCTGAACGCCATATACCTGCCATAGCTTGGCAATGACGGCCTCGGGGATGAGGTTGCCCTTCATCATGGTGGCCAGCAGCTGCTCGAGGGAAGTTAACTCGGCGGGGGTCGCGCCAAATGTCAGACTAATCATGTTGCGGGCAATGTAATTCGAAGCATCGTTGGCGCTGAATGAGTCGGGAGCCTCAAAGAAGAGTCGGCGGTAGCACTCAATAAGGTGTGTCTGCACGCCCTTGCCTTCATCGCTGTTGCCCTTGGTCCAGATCAAGCGAAGCATGCGGCGAATACCTAGCTTGTTCTGCTCAATGTTGTAGGCATCGCCAACCTCAAAGTAGTCAATAGCCTCAATGACTTCGCTCTTGTTGCGGGAGCCAAGCAGCTGGCAGATGATGATGGTTGCATCGTGCAGGACGTCAATAAACTTGAGCGCCTCGTTGTAGTAGCGGCGAGTGAGGGTGAGCTTCTGGATGGCCTCGCTCGTAGCGGCCTCAGTCTGGGCCTTGTTAATGGCCGCCAGCTTTTCCTCGTCCGTCATGTCCTGAGGCTTCTTGGGCGACTCTGCGTCAGGGTCCTCATCAAGGAGGCCCTTGGTAGAAGTAGCATCGGGGTCAAAGCCAGGCATGCCAGGAGGGGGCTTGAGAGAATTAAGCTCTTCCTCAACCTTGTCATGACGGTCCTGCCACTCCTTGCGAGACAGCTGGGCGCCGTGCATGACGTGGAAGGGATGTGTTTTGATGAGGGTGCCCAGGAGCTTAATGGCATTGCGGCGGACATTGCTGCTCTTATCCTCCAAGCTGCGGCAGGCAAGCTCAGCAGCCTTTTGGCGGCGCTTGGGGAACTTTTGCTCCAGCTCGCAAATCTTCATGTAGACCTGTAGCGCTCTGCAACGGCAGTAAGGGTTGATATCCAAGAAGCGCTCCTCCAAAACGTCAAAAAAGGCGTCAAGCTGTGTCTTTTGGTTCTCCGTGCGGTCCTCCTGGACACTAAGGTAGCTAATCATGTTACCGCAGACCTCAATGAGCGCGCAACGCAGAGTATACGACTCGCTGTCGAGCTGCTTGGCAAGCATGGTCATCTGCTTGATGACGATTCTAGGCTCGAGTTCGGAAATCTTGGCAATGAATGTCGACACCGACTTGGGGCCCTTTGTATCGTTGGAGTTGAATTCCTTGTTGCTGATTTCTCGCAACACCTCGTCGGCAAGCTGAGGGTAGTCGTATGTGTCGGCCAGAATGTGCAAAAACTCAGCCATGGGCTCCGACAGGTGTTCAAAGTATGTCAAGTTTTGGATGACGTTGATCTGCGCGGCATAGCCGTGGCCATGGTGCTTGACGGCCATGCAAAGCACCTTGAAGCAGTGCATGCGGATCGACGTCGCCTTGACGCGCTGCTCACTCTCCAGCACCATGTAGACGGGTCTGGTCAAGAGACCGATGAATGTGTCTCTCTCGCTTGTCGTGACAAAGATCTTGGACAATTTAAGCTTCATGACCTTGCACATGATGTCGAGAGCGGCCTGGAGCTGGGCGGCCGAGTCCCAGGCATCGTCCTTGGGAGCGCCCTTCTTGGCCTTGGTGCCTCTGCGGGCTACGGGAGCAGCCGAAGACTTCTCTGCAGCCTTGGCCTCGACGGCGGCAATGGTCCATTGGAGAAGAAAGCCGTATATTTCGAGCAGCTGCTTGTGATGTGTGAGCGACTCCTGCTCGTCTGGTGAATCGAGGTCGTTGTTAATGGCGTCGGCTTCGGCACTGAGACCGCTCATGACCAAGTCGAACACTTTGCTGAGGGCGTGGGTCGGGAGAAAGGACGAGAACTTGAGCAAGAACTGCAGCGAGTCCATGCTTGACGCCCGCATAATGGCATCTGGGTTGTCGGCGACAGCGTCCACAATGGGGTTGAGGACGGGGTTGAGGACCTGGTTGGTGAGGGCTTCGGGGTCATTTTCGCAGTCGAAGAGATCTCTGTCGGCTTCCGGCGTGGGAATCGTGGCCGGATCCGACATGTAATGCTTGAGCGCATCGTTGATGTCGAAGTTGATTGTCGCCATTGTTTACTGAGACGATGTTGTCACGCGCGAGGGCGGACGGCGAACGCGGGGGAAAGAAAAGGAAAGAAATTAAAAGAAATTAAACAGAATAAATATCGGATCTTGTTAGTCGTACAGCGTCGAGCGCATGCTGCGTCCTCGCCAAAAGAGACAATCTAGCTGGTGATGATGATTTAATTCCAAGGGTTGCTTTCCAACTGGCAAAGGTGGAGGTCTCTTTAGCAACGCATGTTTATGTTTTGTTTGGACGCGACGCCGCTGGCTGCCCGCCCGCCACTAACGTTCCCCACTACAGGGCGGCCCTTCCCATTGTGTTAGCACGCGTCGCAGGGAGGAGGGCAGCAGGTACAAGCGCCACACTAGTGCGGGCCACGCTAAGCTTTGTACCTAGTGACCTCTGTGTGTGTTTTTGTCGAGCCGCAGTGGTATTTGCAAGCTACTAGACGACTAGCTCCTCGTTTTGTGCTGAAGGCTGCTGAAGAAGACACTGAATTTTCTACAAAACCTTCCACTGTCCAGCCAATTCATAATCTAGTCTAGCAATTCATCATGGAAACGGCAACGCGCAGACGGCTTGACGACGCCTTTGATATACACGTCGATGCTGTTGCTACCGAAGAGACCGAGATGATGGTGGACGACGATAACATTGAGGATGTCGACCCAGCCGGCATGGAAGATACAGAGCATGACGACGACGACGAAGAAGAGGACGAGGACGACGACAATGACAGCTCCGACGATGACCAGGTCGAGCGAAGCGTCCAAGAAGACATGAACAAGCTGCAGCGAGACTTTCCCGGGTTCCGCGACAAGTATCGCCTAATTAAGCGTATTGGCGAGGGTATGTTGTCTTTTTATTTTTCTTTGGAACCACCAATTGACTGTTATCCTTCTACACAGGCACATTTTCCACCGTCTTCAAGGCCGAGGACATCAACTACGATCACTACGATAACAGCTGGGACATTGAGGACGACTCGGTCAAGTGGAACACGCCACCAGTCAAGGGCGGTGCTGTCGACAGAAATGTGCAGAGAAGCGAGCGCAAGAGATCGCGGTTTGTCGCCATCAAGAAGATTTACGTTACGTCCAGTCCGGCCCGTATCCTCAACGAGCTGGAGCTGCTGCACGACCTGCGAGAGTGCCCGTCTGTGTGTCCGCTCATCACAGCCTTTCGCCAGACGGACCAGGTCGTCGCTATCCTGCCGTACTTTCGCCATGGCGACTTTCGCGCGTACTTTCGCGACATGACCATCCCGGACATTGCCATATACCTCCGGTCGCTGTTCACGGCGCTCAAGAGTGTGCATCTACACAAAATCCTCCACCGCGACATCAAGCCCACCAACTTTCTCTACGACCCCGCCACGCAGCGTGGCGTACTGGTAGATTTTGGTCTTGCTGAGCGCGAAGGCTCCGAGAGCAAGCCGTGTCTGTGCCACGAGACACGGGAGAGCAGGAAGCATCGCCAGAGCAACTCTGTCTGGGCAGCAACAGCCACGACGTCCCAGTCGTCGGGATACCCCAAGAGCGATACTAGACCGTCTCGCCGCGCGAACCGTGCCGGCACAAGAGGCTTCCGTGCTCCAGAGGTCCTGTTCAAGTGCACAGAGCAGACGACATCGATTGATATCTGGTCGGTAGGCGTCATCTTGCTGACCATCTTGTCGAAGCGATTCCCCTTTTTCAACTCAGCAGACGATGTGGAGGCCATGATTGAAATCGCTACAATTTTCGGCTCTAAGCGCATGAAGGCGGCCGGTCTGCTGCACGGCTGCGTTTTCGAGACGAGCATCCCGACAGTCGGCCAGCAAGGTTTCACCATGGAGAAGATTATCCTTTGGAGCACCTGCCGCGGCGAGGATAAGCCTTTGACGGATGAAGAGAAGCTTGCTGTCCGCTTCCTGGAACGCTGCATGGACTTGGATCCCAGTAGGCGTATCACGGCTGTCGAGGCCCTAGACCACGACTTTTTAAAGATTGACTTGCCTCCCGATCTCGAGGCAGGCGATGATGACGAGATGGACATGTTGGAAGTATAATGACATTATATTGCATTGCATTGCGTTTTGTTGCACGATGCCGGAGAATGGAGGGCAAACAGCTTTTTGTTTCATTTTACGGAGATATTACTCGCATTGTATTGGAGTCTTTGACGGTTGCAATGGATACATGTGTATGATGATCATGGATGGTGTTTAACTGTTTTGTCTTTTTTGAATTATCTTGGGAGAGGTTGTCTGGGGATAAGAGGTGTTTGAATGGTTAGCATAGATACCACAATTGCATGATGCAAGTTTTCCGTTCCAAACCAATGCCTGCTCTTTAAAGACGAGGAGAATGATGAGCAACTCTTTTTGTGACGTATTAGACGAGCGACGCAACAGACAACAATTCACAGTCACCAATGACGACAGGACGGACAAGTATGGGTGATAATTTCGATTTTATTCGTTAAACTCCGTTCCAGAGTCCCAGATGCAATGCTCGAAGCCGACCAACCCAGGCCCGCACCAGTATGGGAGGGACCCTTTACAAAAAGTAAGTAAACCGGTTTCAACAACAAAATAAATCCACAAGAGCCCCAATGCCCTTGCTTCTCTTAGGTTCCTCTTTTTTCTCTTTTTAGAATCATCCGCCGTTTCATGATAAAACACTTTCTTCTTTCCGACGACTCGTCAATTACGCAACGAGCTCGACAACACCGCCAGCCTCCTTGATCTTCTTCTCAGCGAGAGAAGAGACCCAGCGGGCGCGGACGACGAGGGGGATCTCGGGCAGGCGACCCTTGCCGAGAACCTTGGAGTAGCCGAGGGAGAGGAGGTCGAGGACGGGGACGGTGTCCTTCTTGGCACCGGAGACGTAGGCGTCGCGGGTCTCGGTGGGGACGAGAGACCAGAGCTTGTCGAGGTTGATGACGGGCTTCCAGAAGTGGGCTTGCTGCTTGTGGAAGTAACGCATACCAACCTTACCGAAGTAACCGGGATGGTACTGAACGTTATTGTTAGCATTTCTTGTCTTGTAGTGTTGTGTTCTGCGGGCTGGCTTGCGGCTAGCCGTATATGACCATTTTCTCTCTATTGGGGACGAGAAAAAGAGAGCCAACCACGCAGAGCGAGAATTTCACAATCGTACCTTATCCATGTTGGTACGGTGGTGGTGCTGACCACCGGCCATACCACGACCACCCGGATGCTTTCTGTGCTTTCCTACACGACCGTGACCGGCAGAAACATGGCCGCGGCTTGAAGATTGTTAGCTTTCGTGGAACAAAGGGTAAACCAGTACATCGTTTACGGCATAGACGCAATGCGAACTTTAATTTTCAGCGAGGAGAGGCGTTTCTATCGGTTTCCCTAAAGGCGGTTCCGTGTCCAGGCGTAGTGGTGGCATGTCGATGGGATGTTGAATTTTCTGCGGTAGGGAAAACGACAGGACTCTCCGTTGCTGGCCAAAAAGAAGGAATTGCGTCTATTCGTTTACGAGAGATGATATCGAACGTACTGCTTGCGGGTCTTCGAGAAACGGGTAGGCATGGCGACGGTATTTGTGGTTGTCGCTTTCGAATGTGTTGCGTACTGGAAAGGACTCTCTCGATGTTTTTGCGCCTCTAGCAAATGTCGACTAGGGAAAGCCCACTCTGAAAATTGTCAGGCGAAAGCAGGGCAAACCAACCCTAACCAATCGCGGCCCTTGGTTTTGGTAGGCAGTGGTGGGGCCCAAGCAAAAAAATACAAGCGTGTGGGCAAGGTCATGTGACTGCGCTTTTCCTCAAGCGAAGGCGTTTCCTCGTTGGGAAGACTGACCCAATCTTTCTAAAGTGGGGCCTGCTTGGGCGAGGCCAGCTTGGAGCTGTGCCGCCGCGACTAAACGCGAAGGGCGCTGAAGATGATGATGATAATGAGACGACGAGAATGACCACCAAGGATGATGTGAAGACACTTGTGACCGGCCTGGAAAGGCTGGACTTCCACCATCCGTATACGCCGTATGATGTGCAGGAAACATTTATGAAAACTGTGTATAATGTGCTTCAGGAAGGGAATGGCCAGGTGGGCATTCTCGAGAGCCCAACAGGAACTGTAAGTAAATCGATTTATTTCTATTTATGAAGATATACGTGATATATTGGATGCTCTATTTCTGGAAAATATTTTATGAGAATTGTTTACGTTGAATTACGGCTCTGGGACCGTGCAGATGCTGACCCCTTCACAGGGCAAGTCACTCTCGTTGATATGCGCATCACTTACATGGCTGCGCCATTTCAAAGCCTCCAAGCACCAAGTTGAGCTGCAAGAGGCACGTTCTGAATTCAAAGATGAGCCGGACTGGCTGATTGACCAGCTTCTCCGCCGAAAACAGGATGAGCTTCTCAAGAGGTGGGAGGACCGTGAGAAGCGGCTCGAGATGCTGCGCCAGAAAGAAAAGATTTCTGAGGACCGGGCCAAGAAGCGCAGACGTATAGAAACACACAGTGCGTCGTTGCAATCAGAAGACGAAATTGACGCCGAGTTTTTGCTAGAAGACTGGGAGACGCGCGGTGCTCCGTCGTCCAACGACCCATTGTCTGGCCTTAGTAAAGAGTCCCGAGCCGTCTTGGAGCGCATGGGCCTAGGCAGCCGAAAAGGAAACAAGGAAGAAGAGAATGAGAACCTAGACGAAGAGATCAAGGTATGCAGCACCTTATACTTGTGTCGGGGTCCCCCACTAACAGACGTAGATCTACTATACGTCGAGAACGCACTCGCAGCTCTCCCAGTTCATCACTGAGCTGCGCCGCCCTCACTTTCCATCATCACTACCCAAAAATCTCGCCAAGGACACTGAATCGTCTGAAGTCGTCAAGCTACTGCCACTGTCATCACGGCAAAAGCTATGCATCAACCCGTCCGTGTCGCGCCTCTCGTCCGTGCAGGCCATCAACGACCGCTGCTCCGAGCTGCAAGGCGCCAAGTCTGGCAAAAAGTGCGACTTTGTCCCGCGCGAAGAACTACTTGCGCAGACACACGAGTTTCGAGATACGGCGCTCGCCACACTCCCCGACATTGAAGACCTGCACCAGCTTGGCAAGTCCTTGAGCGTATGTCCGTACTATGCGTCGCGCACGGCGCTACCCGGCGCGGAGATTGTCACGCTTCCGTATCCCCTACTCCTACAAAAGAGCGCGCGAGATGCTCTAGGTATCAAACTGGAAGGAAACGTCGTGATTGTGGACGAGGCGCACAACATCATGGACGCCGTGGCGAATGTCTACTCGGCCGATTTGAAGCTCAGCGAGCTCCGCCGAGGGCGACAAATGCTCGGTGTCTATGTGCGCAAATTCGGCAAGAAACTCAAAGGCGAGAACCGCGTCAATGTCGGGCGTGTCGGGCGTGTCATTGACGGTCTGTCCGAATGGATGACATCTGCTCTACAATTCAAGGTAAGCCATCTAGCTCATTCGCCAGCACTTCATCGCGACTAACACACTCCAGAACGACCACGGCATCGTCGACCCCAACGACCTCACCCGCCCCAAGGGCATCGACCAAATCAACCTCTTCGAACTCATCCAATACATCCAACAGTCCAAACTCGCCTACAAAATCGAAGGCTACGCCAGCCACATTGAATCCCAGCAGCAACAAGACCCCTCCCAAAAACCAAAAGCACACTCCTCCACACCCATCCTCCACACCTTCGTATCCTTCCTCATCGCCCTTACCAATCTCAGCACTGAAGGCCGCATCTTCTACCAGAAACTCACTTCTGCACAAGACATCCAACTATCCTACCTCCTCCTCTCGCCCACCCACGCCTTCTCATCCATCGCATCCGCCGCCCGCGCTGTCATCCTCGCAGGCGGCACCATGTCCCCCTTTGGCGACTACAAAGACCACCTCTTCCCCACGCTCGACGACAGCAAAATCACCACCTTATCCTGCGGCCACGTCATCCCCGCTTCCAACCTCGCCGTATGGACCCTCGCCTCGTCACGGATCGGAGGCACGACTTTTGAATTCAGCTACCAGCGGCGCAGCGACACCGAGATGGTCAACCAGCTTGGTCTGGCTATCCTCAATATCTGCGCCGCCGTGCCGGACGGCGTGGTCGTCTTCTTCCCATCCTACGGATACCTTGACCAAGTGTCAGAAACATGGCAGAAGAAGAATAGTGATGGTAGCCCGTCGATATGGGACAGGCTGCAGACCCGCAAGGCCATCTTTACCGAAGATAAAGGCGGTTCGAGCGACGACGTACTAGCTCAATACTCTGCGGCCATCTTGGGCCCAGAGGCCACAAAGGGCGCTATTCTGCTGAGTGTCGTGGGCGGCAAGATGTCCGAAGGCATCAACTTTTCGGATAGGTTGGGTCGGTGTGTCGTGGTGGTGGGTTTGCCATACCCGAATATTGCGTCACCGGACTGGAAGGCCAAGATGGAGTATATCGAGACGACGACGCTGAGCAGGTTGCCGCCGACACTGAGCAAAGAGGAGGCAGGGGCGCAGGCGAAGCAGGCCGCGCGGGACTTTTACGAGAATGCGTGCATGCGGGCGGTTAATCAGAGCATTGGGCGTGCGATTCGCCATAGAGGGGATTATGCGGCCATTGTGTTGGTGGATAGACGCTACGGGACGGAGAGGATACGGACGAAGCTGCCGGGCTGGATCCGGGGCGGCATGGTTATGGATAGTCATGAGAAGGGACTGGGTGGGCTAATGGGCATGCTTTCGACGTTTTTCAGAGGCAAGAAGTAGAGCTAATTCCTATAAATTGCATATAGTGTTGTATTTATATATGTGTGTTTACACAACTTATACAATATATAAATACATAGAACAGGTACGTGGTTTTATGTGTGTAGGGAGCGGATCCTAATAGATTAATACAATAGTACGAATTCTAATAATATTATATGTAACAAAAAAATCGAACAAAAAATATATGCATAAAAAGGCGTAGACTTTTCAGTGTTTCACGTGTTACAATCAAGTGTACGTGCTAGCCACGGCCGAGACTTAAAAGGTAAAGTCGGCGATAAAGGCAGCGTGGTCGGTAGGCCACTCGTTGTCGGCCGTGTTGGGGGCGACATTGGGCTTGCCAAAGACAATGGGCTCGGAAGCAACAGGCTTGACACCGCCGGCGTAGTAGTTGTAGTCGCCCTCATCGAGCGAGACGGCGTTGATGTAGGCGCTGCCCTTGGCGTCGGGGGCAAAGACCCAGGCGCTGTACGAGTACTTGGAGCCGTCCTTGGGGTTGTTGGTGCCCTTGTAGAGCGCGACCCAGTTGGTGCTGTCGACAGCAGCGACAGTGTAGTCAAAGGTGACGGCAGCCTTGTTGGGGTTGTAGACGAGCGAGTTGCCAGCAGCAGCAGCAGCAGCACTCAGTCTCTGTACTGTAATTACTGTACGGTACTGTACCCCACCACTGGCAAACATTCCTCCCCACACGCTACGTTAGCCGTCTACAGCACATCTTAGCCTCACCTGGCACGCTACAACAGCCTCATTTAGTGCAGTATTTAGCGGCCCTCTTTTTGCAGGCACCAATGCACGAAGCAGCCCCCAACTTTTTTCAGCCGCTGCAATGGATCAAGTCAGGGCGGCGCAAGGCTGAGCGATTTGCTACGATATGTTGCAGATGAAAAAAGGAAAAGAAAACATGAGACGAAACAGATTACACACTCCCCCGCTGCTTTTTATTTTATGTTTGTTCCTCAACCTATTACACTCTATCCCCTTTGCTGCATGTAGTGCTACGCCTCACTTTGTACCGTCTACGGCAGACTCTGCGCCGCTGTGGCTTGCGCGCGGCCGTCGTCGGCAACTTTCGTTCCCATACAAATAATTTTTTTCCCTCCTTTGCATGTCACCACAACCCAACAGGCGCCCTTTGCACGACGTTGCATCGCGCATGGTTCGAACCAATATGTCCCCTTTTTTCTAATCACCTGTTTGGTTTTCCTCTCGCTCTGGCGTGGAGCGGCTCTTTTCTATTTCCCCCCCTTCACTTTGGCCGGGCCGTTGCGCTTCCTTGCAGATATTTGTTTGCTTTGTCTCAAGAGCCGCATCGTCTCACGTCATCGGAAGCGCCGTCGCATAGCCAATATTTCTTTTATGCAAGCAGGCCCTGCGTCTGTGCTGTAGAATTTTTCTCTCCTTTCTTGATAGGCGGCGTGCCCGTCTGTTACACCATCAACAAACATCGCCAACGATGACAGAGGCGAAATCTTCATCGCCAGTGGCAACGTCCAAGCCGGACAAGGACGCGCAATGGTCCAGCGACAGTGATGCAGAGAGCGGCCTTGGAGTCACGCTGCAGTCAATTCTCAAGTCTGGCCGCGTCGAGCAGAATGGCATCGTGCCGATCCCTCTAGAGGATCGCAAGAATACCCGCTTCTTCAACATTTTTACCGTCTGGGCGGCCATCAATACCAATATTCTTGGGTAAGCTACAATTTTCTTCTTTCTTGTGAATCGACAACTAATTCGCGACCTATATAGTGTATCTTTTGGCATCCTCGGTCCCCTAGTCTACGGTCTCAGCCTCCGCGACTCGGCCCTCGTCATCCTCTTCTTCAATCTCCTCTCTGTCATTCTCCCCGCCTACCTCGCTACCTTTGGTCCCAAGACGGGCATGCGCCAGATGATTCAGGCCCGGTACAGCTTTGGGTATGTTTTTTTCTCTTCTTCTTCATGCACCGATCCCAACAACAAACTGTGTATACTTACCGTGAACTGGACAGTCGATATATCGTCTCTGTAGCCGTCCTCTGCAACCTGGCCACCATGATCGGCTTCACCATCTTCATTTGCATCATTGGCGGCCAGTGTCTCGCTGTTGTCTCAGGCGGCGGTCTCTCGCTCAACGTCGGCATTGTCATCATCTCCGTTCTCTCCCTCATCGTCTCGTTCTGGGGCTTCAGACTCCTCCACATCTTTGAGAGGTATTCTGCTGTATTGGCCGCCATCATCGTCATCATCACCACTGGGTATGCCGGCCGTGGCTTGACCAAGCAGCCCGCCGAGCCACCCGTCGCCACGGCTCGTGGCGTGCTCAACTTTGGCATGGCTGTTGCAAGCTACCAGATCCCCTTTGGAGTGCTTGCCAGCGATGTAACCACGTATTTCGACCCCAAGGTCCCCTCATGGCGCGTCTTTGCCTACACGTATGCAGGCCTCAACATTCCCAACATCATCGTCATGACTCTTGGCGCGGCCCTTGCTAGCGCCATGCCCTACAACGAGAGCTGGAGCAAGGGCTACGAGGCTTTCGAGGTGGGTGGCCTTCTCGGCGGCGTCCTCGAGCCAGGGGGTGTCTTTGGCAAGATCATTCTCGTGTTGCTCTCCCTGACGCTGCTTGGCAACACTTGCGCCACATTTTACTCCGTCACCCTCAACTTCCAAACCTTAATCCCGTGGCTTGTCCGCGTCCCACGTTACGTCTTCTCGTTTGTCGTCACAGGCATCATGATCCTCGTCTCCATTCTGGCTGTCGACAACTTCACCGAGGCCCTGCAAAACGCCCTCTCCCTCATTGCCTACTGGTCCAGCACATTCATCGGTGTAGTCATCGCCGAGCACATCTTCTTCCGCGGCAGGGACTTTAGCAACTACAACCCTGCCCACTGGGACGATGCTTCCAAGCTTCCACTAGGTGTCGCTGCTCTTGCAGCCAGCATTTGCACCATTGCTGCCGTCGTGCCGCTCATGGACCAGAACTACTGGCGCGGTCCGGCAGCGGCTAGCATCGGTGACATTGCTTTTGAAATGGCCTTTGTCATAAGCTTCATCATCTATGTCCCCATGCGATGGGTCGAAAAGAGGCTAACAGGCCGATGAGCCAGCCTTGTCGGCCCCGGTACCCGCGGGACCACCACGCATGACACTGCGTACACCGAATACGACAAGAAACTTGCTCACAGGGCGTGGTTGATGTCGGGCAACACTCCCAAACAAACAGATGCGTTACATCTGGTGCATTCTTATTCCTCTTGTTCAAGAGAGTCGAGTATTTCGTGGCATACCAACCTTTTTGGCTTCTTGTTTCTGCATTACATAGCATCCAACCGGCGTTTTTTTTGGCTCCTTCGCATCCTGTTTATATAGAATTGATCGAAATATAATCTTGTATTTTTAAGCAGTAGTTCCCATCCCGTTTGTGATTACCGAAAACATATCCTCAACAGCCGATAGTGGAATTAACAAGCTCAATGGCCTTCTTGACCAATTCGCGGTCATCCTTAAAGGTCAACTTCTCCAGAGCTTCATCATAGCTGTAAAATCCAATGTCAAACTTGTCCTTCTCGTGCTGGCCGACGGGATCTCCTTCATTGACAGCCGCCACAAACCACCAAATCAGTTTAAGGCCACTCTCTTTGAGATTCCGCGTCTGTAGTAGAATGGGCTCGCATATTCCCTTGTAGAAGCGTACCTCGTCGGGCAGATCCTCGGTCTCAATCGTAGGGCAGACGCGGGAAACCAAGTTCACAGGCAATAGGCGGCAAGAAATACCAGTCTCTTCCGTGGTTTCGCGCGTAGCCGTTGTTTGACGGGACTCGCCGAGGTTGCGACGGCCCTTGGGAAGGATGTACTCGCCTCGTTGGAGAAAGTGTAGGACACAGATTTCTCGACTAGAGAGCCGGAAAAGAATGGTACCTGCGCTTTCGACGAAGTTTTCGGCTGTGTATATCGCTGTCTCAAATGGCGAGGCAGCCATAATCACGAGGTAGTCCGCAGCGATGGGATCTGTGAGATGGTACTGTACAGCACATAAACGCTTGCAAGGAAAAAGGGACTCGTGCCGATGTTTATATTTTGCTGCGTCGCAAGGGTCAGACGTACGAATTTAAATCTACTGACTGCGCGTGGCCGTTGACAGCTGATGATTTGGTGCGGCCACTTGCGGTGAAATTCTTGCATAGAGGCAACTAACATGGGCTTGCAGAAATCGTCTTGGCCAGCAGTGCAAAAGATACTTGCAACGGATATGGCCCCTTCCAGTCCAATGTCGACGCAACGGCGACACTCGACGCGCCACCCTTCCGTAGTGTGAACAGACCTCTCCTGCGGGCAGGGCGCAGGGCTTGTACTGTAGCAGGGTTGGGACAAAGCTGGGTTGCCAGAGCCAGGTCAAGTCTTCTTACCGACTCTACGCGATGGAGACTCATTTTCTTTGTTGCTGAATATAAAAATGCTACAGTATAGTTCAGGTTCAGTGTCACTTTTACAGCATATTAAGTAGAAAATTAGAGCAGCCGATTCTGGGCAATGACGAAAAGTATACAGTATACAGTGTTTATACCATATAACCCATTAACAATTTTCCACAAAATTAGAGCCTTAGAGCGTTGCATCAAATATTGACGGCTGGAACCAGCCCACCTGAATGTCACCTACCTGCATGTGCGTGACCGCGAATCTCCTAGCCCGAGCCGTCCCGTCCCGTCATACGGATGTCGTGAATAGATTACCGTGCCCGCTATCCCACTTCCTTTGTTAGGCTCTGGCGCTCTCCATTCCATGTTGTTACCAAGTCTTACAGTAGCTCGTAGTTATGGAGGACGACAGCTACAACTGGTTCTACGGCATGTAATTTAAAATGCATTCAACGTTTAGCGAATAGTCATAGTTTATGTTTTATTATTAATAACGTGGTTCACGGGTGAGTGGGCCACACGGGTGAGTGGGCCACCCAAAAACACATATAAATTAATACAATTTTAATTCCACCAACAATTCCAATTTAAATATATTAATACTAATAAAATACTATATAATAAAGACTAAATAGACTTCTTAGGTAATTTTAAATCTTAGAGACTTTAAATAACTAGAATATAGCTAGATAGGAAAAGTGGGTCCAAAAATCTGTACTTTTAATAACTAACTATATTCTAAATTAGCTATATTTTTTGAGATTAAAATTGATTAAGAAAGTTTATTTTTCTTTATTACTTATAATTTCTATAGTATTTATATATTTAAATTGGAATTGTTGGTGGAATTAAAATTGTATTAATTTGTATGTGTTTTTGGGTGGCCCACTCACCCGTGTGGCCCGCTCACCCGTGAACCACGTTATATAAATATTAATTCAATTGCTACAATGCATCTATGTCTTGAATTGAAATATTTGTCAAAATAAGCAACCACTATGCTTAAATTAAAATCTCTACTTACTAGCCTAAAATAATACACTTTTAGTTGATCTTTTATATAGATGCCTCCAACCAAGTATCTAGTATCCTTCATGTAATAACATGCTAGAAAGAAGATTAGATCTTCCTTTTAAAGCTCATCAGCTGCTGAGTAGCATTTATTCTCTGGATCTAACGACCAAGGATGGTTGCAATGGCCTGGGGGCAAGTCGGTATCGTAAACAGTGCCTGGCGGACAAACAAAGTCGGCCCTTTTCATCCCGCCTTGCTCATAGCACCTATAAAACTTGTGACAGTCGGTTTCATGCGGAAAATATCCTTCTTCAGTGCACTGATTGATCGTCATCTTCGGCTGCGTTGCAAAAACAACGCAGCCCGTTGGAAGACAGAGTGTAATTGTAATGGCAGTATATAGTCGAACCATTTTTGTTTTTAGAGCTCGAACTTGTAAATGCTGAGGGAAGACCAGAGGATGTACTGCTTGCCACGAATGCAGTGTATTGAAGGAGAGTGTGTAATTTTTATGATGGCCGGTTTTTTCATGAGTGCTGAGAGCCCCAATATGCATTATATTTATATTGAACGTTTGTCTCAAATTTCGGCGGTGTGAGGTCTCAGGAGGGTCCAATGTACGATTGGTCCACGTCAACATGTCTCGTATTAATAGTATACTGTTGTGACTGTTGTGACATTGGACGTGTGTTACTTTACCAGAGAAGTGAAGGAATAGTTAGGTCACTGGAAGTGGTCAAGGAAGGAGAAAGAAGTGGAAGACACAGGAAAAGGAAGTGAATACAGGATGTATTCGGTGTATTTAACTAGAGCAGTTCCGACCATGGAACTTGAAGAAAACAACGAATTTTACTACAACCTCTTACCTTTTGATAACATGTGTTATTGATCCTTGAACCAACACATCCATTGCATAAAGACAAAAGGAAGATTTAGCCGTTGATACTGAAACTGAGCTACGTTGTACAAGACTGATATCTACTTCCCTACCAGGTTCGCCTACTCCATTATCGAGCGAGTTTCGATCGGATTCTCGAATTTTGGCTGCTATGAGCTGATGGTAAGGCTTGCTGGCGGAAGTGGCGACCGTTGATCGACTTGTTAACCTTGATCATTATGTGGAAACCTCAGGCAGTACCTTTAAAAGAGCACGGCTCAACTGCTAACGTATTTGGTTGGAGGATTGACTCACTCATCTGCAGCCACATGCGGATTGGCAGCAAGCGGGGGCCGCTATCCCCAACTTGGATACTCGTACAAGACCGACGAGTTGTAAGTCGCCCTGCCATGCCTGCCAAGCACAAGATGCTTTTCTGGGAGTCAGCAGGATTAATTTTTCAACTTGCTCAGCTGTAAAAAGACATCTGTAGATGTTAGGCCAAGATGCGCCAGCCGATAATATCATAGGATCGAAAGGGGCAGGGTTCGTCGCGCGTAGTTCGGCCGAAGCGGACGCCGTCGGATAGAAACAAGGCGCCCCCAAAAATAACTTTATCTTTTTAGTGCAATGTAAGTAGGCCCGAGAGGCAAGCATGCGTATTGTCCATTGCTGTAGTCGATTGAGTCGTCACGTTTGGCATCTCGCTTCATCGTCAACCCCTCTCCAGTAACAGTGCCGTATAAGTCACCATATAAGCGTTTCGTCTGGCACTGCAGACATTCCAACTTCTTTTTTGCCTTCATCTGATAACCAAAGCTCTTGGCCAAGCAATGATCGCCTGCGCATCCCCGAATAAGCACCATCAGGCTCGGCACGCACGCCCCCTACGTTCCATTCGCAATCCGCGGGATTCCACCCTGCCCGCAAGGCTGCTCGCTGCTCACACACGCCCGCCCCCCCTCTTCCCACAAATCTCCATCCCCGTCGTCTTCTCTCTCTTGGCCTTTTCTCTCCTCCTTCACATCACCCACGCTTCACAGCAGCCTTCGCAAACTCCCCCCTCTCCTCCATTCTAGCTTTATAAGTCCCGCCTCTCCGACTTCGTTGGGAGGGGCCTTCGGAACTTGAGGCAATGGACTCTTCCGGAACAGACTCAGTCGTTGCCGTTCGATGGAACATACCACGATTCTTCGCCGGAGAGTCTAGACCAGAGCGAAAGCCCCCTTGGTAATTGTCTCGCCGTACAGGGCAACGAATCTTGGTGGACGTCCACCGTCACTTCTGCACCACCACCGCCGCCGCCATACCCCATCTCCTCTTGCATTATCCCCGCGCCCGTGCCTGCACCGGATCCCTTGCAATTTGCCTTTGGCCACTCGGTTCCAGTCACCTTTGGCTACGACCCCGTCACCGCTGCTCCAATCGCACTGCCTCCTCACAATTGGTCACCGCCACTGCAGACAAGCCCCCCATTGGGAAGCGCAGCACCACTGGAGTCCCGTATTCCAACAACGACTGCCCCGGGGCCGCTTTCTGTCCCTGTTACGACAAGCCAAGACGAGATGGCTGCCCTGGGGTTAGGCCATGCGGTTCCCTTCATGGATCCAACAGGTACAGCTGACATCCAACACTGTGCGCTTGATGACAAGACTAACACAGGAGGAACAGATTACCTCTTTGCAAGTGAACCACATCCGGGTTATGCGCATCCTCTCCCCCCTGCCGCAGATTTAACTTCTACCGACACGTCCACCAACCCACACCTGTACAGTCTTGGGCAATTGCCTTCTGTGCATCTTTCTCGAAGGCCAGGCTCTACGATAGCTACCCCTTCATCCTCTTCTGTCTACCCCGCTACTCTTGGGTCACCTTCACCAAGCATTCATAGCTCCAATTCAAACAAGCGAAAAGGCCTGTCGCCCACCTCTCCAGCCGCGGACTCTGCTGGAGCGGGAGGTGATGATGACCAAGCTGCCATCAAGAGGCAGCGAAACACCATTGCGGCGCGAAAATATCGGCAAAAACGTTTAGACCGAATCTCCGATCTTGAAAAGGATCTAGGTGACATGACCAAGGAACGAGACGACTTGAAGCTCCAGTTAGCGAGGAGGGAAGCCGAGGTAGAAGCCCTTCGAGAGATGTTGTTACGGAAATGAGGGCCCACGTTTATTTGATTTTCGAGTATTTGTTTGGCAGTTTTTCCTGTCCATGTTTGTCGTTGTTTCCAGTACAGACAGCAACTGGGTGGTTTGTTTTCTTTGAGTTTGATTTTTTTGGGGTTTCAATTTACACTGTACGAACGTCACAAGTACCGTTTTAAGATGTGATTATGCCACGAGCGTGCATAACGGAGGTAAAGCGCCTTTCAGGATGGCAAACTAAAATGCCATATTGCGTCACCGTTTGTAGATCTCGTACCGTTGCGTATGCCAAGAAACCTCCTACACGAAGCGGCTAGCCTGTTGACCATGTCACTAGTCGTAGCAATCATAAGACTTGGAACTGATAAGTAATTGGTGCAGCTTGCTTCGGGTAACCGGCCAATGTATTAATCTGGAAATAAACACGGGCTGTGGCCTCCACGTTGCAAACTTCTCCATGGCGTTTGCCTCACTCGTCTTTCAGCGCGGCTTGTCCCGTCAAGTCTCGCTACCATCACGGCGGAAGCCGTGCTAGCCCTACGATCAGGTCTCACAATACGAGCTAAGCTATTCTGGCGCCTCATATGGTTGAACCTGACAGCGGCTGCCGGCGCGGAGAACGGGCCGCACTCAGCCTTCACCAGCCGTCCCATTTGCTTTTTGGCCTGGATTAATATTTGATTCCATCAGCTTTAAAAAAAAATTCACTGGAAATTAAATGGCTTGTTAGGGTGTGCTTGGGCGGGTAAAACTCTCAGCTCGCAGGACTCGATCAGAGACAAACGGTGGCCGGCTAAAACACAACCGTGGCGGGCAGAGGGCCGGCGAGAGCTGGGCATGGGACGCGAGCGCCACATGATCAAAGACCATAATGGGCAGTGAGGAGATGTTACTTTCAGAAGAGGTGTAGGGCTGCATGGGGCCACATGTACGAGACACCACCATGCGCTGTTGCAGATATGTATAAGTGTCAAAGTAGCTCTCGTAGCGGAGGAGGGTGTGATGGGTATTGTCAGCGCGTGCACCCGTTGAGCCGTGAGACTTTGCTCAGCACCTGCCGCTAGGCCAGGGGTGAGCACAGTTTACGTCCAACGGCCACGATGCAAGTCATTCCCTAGTTACCGGATACAAGATAATTTAGTGCATAAGCCAGAGGACGGTAGCGTGACGAGAAGCGAGCGAGCGAGCCACAATGGCTGCGGCAGTCAGTGCTTGCTTGAGCCACAAACGACGGAGACGCAGTAGCTGAGCCACGTTCTGGAATAACTTGAGAAAACTCGCCATCGAACAGGATGCAGGTGACGACCGAAAGCCCGTCGATCCAAGCAAGTAGAGCCTGTCGGAGCATTTCCTAGCCGTGAGGAATCGCAGGTATAGAAGGCATCACCAGACGCACCGCGCCAGTGCTAGCGGCAGTTGGGCGTGACTCTGCGGGCCAGTAAAATGTCTTCCCGACCCCTTCTGATGGCACTAACACGGGCGGGTGGAGGCGGCTAGTGGGAACTAAACGTGGGAAGATGGTGTGCACCAAACAATGGGCACTGCGCCAGGCTTGTTTGTTAGCTTCGCATGACTCCAGAGGAAAGAGAGATTTGCTTTTTCTACGTGGCGCTCCAAGGTGAGCGCTTTGGGAGATGGCAGGATGGAGGTAAAAAAGAAACTGAGACATGGATAGACGAGTGGCAAAAGCTGAAGAAGCTGAAGGAAACGGAATTTCTCACCTTGGAGGCTGCCGTTGATTGGGTTTAATACGTGCAAAGGCGCACCGAAACGGTTGTTCTGTTTGTGCTGACGCGGCGCCATGATATCAGTCGGGCGCGCATGATTGACTGGTGCAGCATTTGTGTATACGGTACAAGGATACGATTGCTGAAGACCCGAGTTCGCCGAAGGGAGCAGTTTCAACGGGCTGCAGTATTGCATGCAAGATGCACCAGTCAGGTCATGCTTCGGCTTGCATGAACCAAGTTGCTGCAGCTAAGCGTCCAGATCGGCGCTCCCCTTTCCCAGCGCCTCTTTTCTCACTAGTTAACTTTGCAGAGAACATATCTTTTGCTCCTGTCTTGAGAAATCCACAAGAATTGCGTAGATGGTGAAGTAAAAGAATTGAGTGCCAACCAAAACAAACAAGACTTGCACGCTGCTGGCCCGAGTCATGCGATGCAGTCCCCTTATGGCGCCTCACCGCATCTTGGCATCTCAAGGGACAAAACGCCCGCTGAAAGGGCAAGGCAGAAAAAGGCTTGAGCATCCTAGAAAAGTAAAAAGTGAGACATCAGAAAAGGAAGACGCTGTAGCGCAGCCGAAATGCTGGTTACCGTACAAGTGTGTGTGCGTGCGTGAGTGTGTCAGAGAGCCGCAAGCCATCTCTAAGCGATGCTTCAGACCCTTCACACCATATACAGGCAAAGTCAGCTTGACCCCAAGAAAAGAACATGAACGTGTCTCTACCTGAAGATATCTCATCTTTAACCTATTCTGAGAGGGCGAAACCTATCTGCGCCTTGCCACGGTTGCAACGATCGCGCAACGTCTCACTGCCGGGGATAGCGGCTGGGGCTTAAAAAAGAATCCCACTGGTGACATGGGCAATCGAGAGACAAAGTGATGCAACAATAACAGCGCTGAAATCTACCGTCGTATCCAGGTAAGAACAGAACACGGGTGCAACAAAAAACACAAGTCGCTAGTAGTTGCTGCCGTGTTAGTGCGCAAGCCAAAGCCCAGCCTGGGAATACATGCGAGTGTTGTTAAGACAAGGACCCGGAGATAAAAAAAGAAGTGACGCACCTGTCAAAAAAGAGCCCCAGAGACAGAAGATGGATATCGTCATCGCACAGGATGCATGCGCGGATACTACCGTTCATCGCTGCATAACTAAACAGAGTCCAAGTCTCTCCCACGCCGCACGGCACATGCGCTCGTGTCTCGTCTGTTGAAGCTGCTCACAGCCTGCTTCAGCAAGTTTGGGGCCTTTTGCGTCTCTGTAAAGCGATTAGTAGATTTTTTTCCCACCAAGACTAGATATGCGAGATACCTATGGTCTGAGGCAGCCCCCTAAAAAGGTGGGCGACTGACGTGCGGCACGCGGCCAGCCCATGATATAAGTGCAATGGCAAGCCCGCCCCCAACTATCTAAAGAATCATTTCTCATTGGATCGTTTTCATTTCGGCTCACTTACCTTTACCTCTCGCTTTTACCCGGATATTCCAGCTATCATCCCATCTTTCTTAGCCAACCCCTGGTCGTGCATACGGAACCCTACCTTCTCGTGCATGACAAGCGGTTAGCCACAAACTTTTCTTTTATTGTGTGCACCTTATTATTTCCTTTGTTTTATATAGAAGGCTGAGGCTTACCGAATTCAGCCGACAGACTCATCCTCCTTTATTGCCTTTGACAGGCAATAGAGAGAGCTGACTACACAGAGGCTGCGCCGTGTCTCGGTGCACGACACAGCGTTTGCTTGAACGAGCTCGCCACAGCAAGCCGAATTTCACCTGGAATTATTAGGAGAGAACAATTTTGGTATATATAACCGTCATCTCCAGCAGCTCACGTTATTGTATTGATAGGTATGTGCAGCGCGCTCTCGGTCTTCTGAGAGTGAAGCGATTCGTGCACTAACACGGTGTTCTTCAGTTATACTCGCCACGAAGTCGTCGGACATACCTACGTGCCCGGCGGAGGTACTCGTCACATTTTCATCTTTTTCGCCCACCTAATACTTAATAAGCTTACCAGAATCAGCATATAACACCAGAATGCCGATCATGGGCACAGCCGATACACTCACTTGGAGAACTGGAGGACCGCGTGGTGGTCACAAGAGAAGCGTGTCCGCCACCACGGCTGGCAACAGCAGCGCCTGGGCGATGAGCGGCGCGGGACGAGCCTCTGCAGCGTTGCAGTACATGCCTGCTCGGACACCGCACCTCAAGTCCAGCAAGAGTTTCAGCAGCAGTCACGCTGGCGCCAGTCTGCTAAGTTTTCCTGCCCCGGCCGTGAGCAATGGTGCTGGCCAGGACACAGACACAGCGCTAGGTGACCCACGACGCAGAGTTACAGTGGACTCATGGAGCAGCTCACGCGCCACCACCAGCATGCCAGCGCCGAGTGGTGGTGGAGGCGACGGGGCAGCCGGGGCTGGGACTAGGGAGAAGGACAGGAGGATGCTGCATCCCTTTGCAGCGCCGTTTCGATTCCCTGCAGCGCCTGGGCCCGATGCTGGGTGCGGGTTTGCTGCAGGTCGTGAAGCTGCTGCTGCCGCCGCAGCGACTGCTGGTGATGCTGGTCGTCACGGTATCAGTGACAGCAGCAGCAGCGGCGGCAGCATCGGCGGCGGCGGCGGCGGCAAGAGCGTCGAAAGACGTAATGATATGAGTGAAGCTGTGGAATTGCGTCCCTGGGAGAAGCCTAGCTCTGGCTTGATCAGCAGCGGTGAAGCTGGGGCAAGTGAAGTTGAAGATGGCATCGCTGGGCTTGGTGAAGGAGCAGCACGACGGGCGTCGCCGGCACTGAGCGACAGCAGTCTGGCAACTGTCAGGGCCGTCAAGCGCCAGTCAGGCACTGGCATTGGCACTGACACCAGGTGCACCAGCTGCGCCAGCTGCACCGTTAACCAGGACGGGCTCGTCAGCGCCTCCAGCGACGCCGAACCCACTGTAACTGCCACTACTCCGCCTCCCCACCACAACCTCAACCACCACCGCCAGCTGCTCCAGTTCCCCGCCTCTCGCTCGCCGTGGGCCCAGCACGCCAGGCGTCTCGTGTCTGCTTCTTCCTCCACCTCCTCCACTTGCTCCTCTTCCCTCTTCTCCGCCGACTTGTCTACTTCTGCTTCTTGCACCAGCTTAGCCTTGACCTCGTCGTCGCCTAAACACCACACTCCTTCGTCATCCGTCTCCTCGACTGCCTCGACTGCCTCTACTGCGTCCGTCGCCTCGTCCGCCACGACGGCGTCGTCTCTTTCCTTCCCCGCTCCGCCGCCGCTCTTCAGCTCCAACTCCAAGCACCAGCATCAGCATCACCGCCGCCGCTCCTCAAGCAGGCAATCGCCCGCCATGCCGGAATATCGCCATGGTCGCGCTGCCAGCCTTTCCATCACCGGCGCCACGGCCGGCTCGCCTCAATCTCGCTCTGGCAATGCCAACTCTGTAATGCCTCGCAGCCCGCCCAGTAAGTCTGCCTTGCTCCCCTGGCCCTGTTTCGTCTCATCGTGTCTTGCCTTGTTCTACGAACGCATCCCTTGCTTCAAACACCACTCCGCGGCTGCGCAAAGCCCTCACGCGGGCAGAAAAATCTACGTTTCTCCAAACTTCCCCCTCTTGCCCGCCCCTCCTCTTCAAGTCTCTTCGCTACAGCGGTGGTCGCGCACACACGACACCATGCAGATCGCCCGCATACCGCAGCCTTGCGCAATTTGCTAACATCTTTTGACTCCCTGTGTAGATACATCTCACGTGCCCTGTAAGTTCTTCCGCCAGGGTGCTTGCCAGGCGGGCAATGCCTGTCCCTTCAGTCACGATCTCGGCGCCTCAGCAGAAACCGTCTGCAAGTACTTTGCAAAGGTAAAAAAAGACCCGCAACCCTCACGTCATCCAATTCCGGCCCACGCCGGCGCGGCGCGGGAGAGGAACAAAGACAAAGAAAATAATTGCTAACGAATTGATAAACAGGGCAACTGCAAGTTCGGTCCCAAGTGCGCAAACATCCACGTTCTCCCCGACGGTCGCAGAGTCAACTACGGCAAGAATGGCTTCACGATAATACAGACACCTGGTGGGGACCACGCCTCCCCGACCTCGGCCGGCTTCGCCAATGTCTCCCAGAGCGCACTTACATCGTCTTTATATCATAATGACCAGGGCTTCGATGACCGCGGTCATCCGGGCTTGGGCGGGGATAATGGCAACGCAGACACGGGCTACTCTCTGCCCAGCTCTACGTATGGCTCGCCCCGCGACGGGTTCGCCTTCTCCCCCGCTACCAAGAACCTCTCCATCCTAGACGTGCCATTGCCCGCCTCCTTCGATTCCAATGGCATCTCCAACGCCGCCCGCTTCCCTGCCGCCCCATGGCCATCCTCTGTCCCCTCCAAGTTTGGCATCGAGTCACCCGCCGCATCTCTCAGCAACGCCAAGGACTCGCGAACCTCGGAAACACTCAAGCTGCTGCACAACTCTGCGTTCGGCGGCCCTTCAGACTATCTAGGCTCTGCCATTGGCAGCCCGCCAAACTCTCAGAGCGCTGTTGGTGAGGAGTTCTATGGCAAGCGAATGATGCACTCTGCGCGATACACCAAGCCCAAGATGCTCAGCTCTAGCGTCCCCAAGACCAGTGTAGATCACGATAGAAACAATAACATTAAAAAAGGCGACGATGATGATATCCCCGAAAACTACGTTCCCGAAAACCTGCAGGAACTCCTGACACCAGCCGAAAAGGCACGCCGAGGCTCCATGCGCGGCGAAAACGACGTTGGTGCCGACATCCTCACCAAGTACGGCAGCCCGATTGGAACCAGCCCGAGTCGTTGGGGTCCTCTGTTCCAGCGTCAAAAGGAAGAGGAAGAGCTCTCACGATCGGCCAGAGCTGTGTCGGCCTTTGGACATGTCGGCAGCCCTCTGCGCAACTCGACCCTTGCCCAGGAAATGAACAAAGGCAACCTAGCTGGATCTATTGGCTCCAACAGACCCTCGATGCGCATCGGCAGCGATTCCATGTCTGTCTTGTCGCAGCAACTTCAGGATAGCCGCTTAGATGATACCTCCAACTCTCGCCTTCACCCATCCTCTGCTCGAGGCCCTGCGCCAATTGGCAAGGAGCGCGCCGGCATCGAACGCCACGTCTCGACAGGAAGCATCAACTCTGCAGTCACCGGGCGTTTAACGACTCCAATCGATGAAGAGGACTCAGCGTTTGTCTTTAGCATGGAGGAAGAGGATGAGCCAGCAGCAAGAATGCGCAAGCGCACATCGGCCGGCTTAGGCATGGCCAGCTATGCCGGTGTTGCGGCAGCAGCCAAGGCTCCATCAGGCAAGGAAGCCAAACCTACAGCGCCTGCTGCTCCCACCACTAGCAGCTAGGGTGACGCTTTGAGATTGACTCCTAGTGTTTACAGCTATCTGATTCTGCTAGCCTCATAGAAGCAATTGCGTTGTTTTGGCGTTGTTTGTTTCGATATACCGCGCCTCTACAAAGACAGAGGCATCTTGTATCTAGTCCTCGTTGCGAAACGAGGCATCACACCACGACGGCCACACGGCACGGCACTCTTTTGCACACTTTTCATTTTCCATCACTCAGCTTGCATCCTCACAGAACACGCCCAATTATGGCATGTTCCAACGCTTTCTTTTTGCTGCTAGCGGCTGCCAGCTCGTCTTGCTATTTTATTTTGTCTCATGCTTGGATGTATTGTAGACTCGGCGCTTTGGGAAACAAATATATGTCTGTTTTGCGTGTTTTTTGGAGTATCTAGAGACTTGGTTTTTTAATGGTTACTTGCCTTTTATTTTGCTGATTTCTGCAACGTGAATTACAACAACCAAAAAAGGGTATGGTATGGTATGAGAAAAGTACGGGATTACGGATCAAGGGCGGTAGCAGAGGGCGAGGGAGCGAGCAAGCTTGAGTAGAATATGGCATGAAATGCTTTCTATACACTAGTACAAGAGACAAAAGAAAACAAATGATTTCGTTCTTCTTTCTTCCAAAAGAAAACCTTCCCCTTCTTCACCAACACTTTTTTAAATAAAAATTATCCACGCATCCCAGGAACGTGGTGCCGGCTTCTACGGGAAACCGCAGAAAAAAAGCCCTCGTCCATACGACGCCCCCCCGTCCAAGGTACCCCCATGGTTGCATGTAGAATGAAACAAAGCAGACGAAAGGCGTGGTTGTTATTGTACAGGAAAAAATACCGGCCGGAGCCGGCGAACGGGGGGAGGTCGTCCTAGCCAAGGGAGACGGCTAACATTTTGTCGATTTTGCGAAGATGCTTAGTTGGCATCGGGTTGGCTGAGGATGTACTCAACGGCCTTGTCGACTGCGCGCGAAGAGGTTAGCTACGTGTCCTACAGAATGCAATTGGACACTATATCACGTACCGGAGTGGATGGTATCGGCGTCCTTGTCGGGGATCTCGATGCTGAATTCCTCCTCAATGGCCATGACGACCTCGACGGTGTCAAGGGAGTCGAGGCCAAGGTCGTTGGCGAAGTGAGCAGTAGCCTTGATCTGCAGGGGTCAATTGTTAGTAGTTGTTTTCTCGAAGCAAGCAAAATCGTTAGCGTACGTTGGAGGCATCGTTGACCTAAGATGACGAATGGTTAGCGAGAAAAAAAAAACCTTGAGGAGCAGCAGACAAGCGCACCTTGTCGAAGCCCTGGAGCAGGCTCATGATGCGGCCCTCAACCTCCTCCTTCTTGAGGCCAGCCGAGGCGCCGTACATGCGGACAGAGACGGCGCGGAAGACGGGGGCGGCGGCAACGCGAGGAGCAGCAGCGCGGAGGGCAAGACGGGGGGTGACGGTGACAGGGCGGGCGGCGGCGCGGACGGCCTGGCGGAGGATGTTTGTGCGGAACATTGTGGATGTGGGTGTCGTCACAGAAGGGAATTGGCGTGTGTTGGGTGAGGGCGGGTCGGGGATGGTTGATGCAGAGGGTCGAGAGAGGTTTTGCGATGGAGGGTGGTCGTGATGATTTGGAGCTTTGGGATTTTCGGGAGCCAGCTGGGGGGCGTCACGTGATTGGAAGGGGGAATTCGGGCGATGCGGATTGGTTACCCGGGAGTGGCGAGGCGATGAGGCATTGGCAGCCATGTGAGTATTGAAATCTGGATATTATGAGTGGATATAAATTTTATGAATTGTTATTTTGGAGCGGTTATTTTTCTGTATTTTTAATGCATGTTTTGTGGCATAATTGATTTGGTGAGTGTACGAACAGCGAAATGGGCTGGCGGGTACTACCAGAGTAGATTAGGACGGGTAGAAGGTGACCAGTGTCAGCCTTATGTCGCCAGCTATAAAAGATTATTGGTATATACTACACAGTGGATAGATACACAGACGGATATATCATTAGAAATTTGCACAATAGTCGACTCTCTGTCCATGATTGGTCTAGACCATTTGCATTCATGAGCAATCCTCTCCTTTCTCCTCCTCTCATCTGAGTCACATCACCACAATCTTCATATTCATCGTCTATCCCATCACCACTTTTCATTATTAAGCGCCTCTCCACTTCACGGGCCCCTCCCGTTCTATACCCAAAGATCGTGAAATTGTGCGGATTGTAAATCCATAGGCGGGTAGCATGACGATTTCCAGGTCAGTCCCAAAAGGGAAATTTGGTTTCCTAATCGGGCGAATCCTCACTCACCGTTTGTAAGCTGCCCAAGGACCCCTCTGCAGAGGGGCGGAAAGTGGTTTGTACTTAAATGGAATGATTTCTCTTTTAAAATAAAAAAGTAAAATCATCATCATCATCTTTCCTAATCATCTAATCCTCCAAAAATCAAAACATAAACACCCGGCATCTCATCATGGCCCTTACCCGCGACTTCGTTGCCTCCGTCATGGAGCCGTACCTGGCCGGCGACTTTGAAGGCTTTGTCCGCCAAAAGTGCACACCTGACTTTACTTACGACCTCGTCCCTGGAGACATTGCCTCCAAGCTTGGTCTCACCGGCCCCGCTCAGCAGCACGAGTTTGCTGGCATCTTCAAGGGCCATGACGCCGCTGTCAAGATGATCCTTGAAGGCTTGACTGGCCGTGAGGTCAAGGATCTCAAGATTGGCGCCAGAGTGCTCAAGACAGTAGTCGATGTTGAGGACCGCAGCGCTGCCCTAGAGGTCGAGCTGTTTGGTGATGCCAAGAGAACCGATAAGCCCTTTATTCTCGCCAACGCCATCTTCTTGACGTTTGACGAGAACCTCAAGATTACATACTGGTCAGACCACCTTGACACATTCACATTGGCAAAGTAAGTTGTCGTCATTGCGGCTGCAGCCCAAACTTTACGTGTACAGAAACGAGACTAATGCATGGTAGACTTGCTGGCGTGGAAGAACTGGAGCCTGAGCTGCCCTGAGCTTCGAGAATAAAAGAAACGGCGCCAAGGCTGCCCAACGACGAAATGCTTGAAAATATGCATAAAAAGGGACATTTAGTTTTGGGCGTTACTGTTATTTACAATCGGAGGATCTCATAGCCTATGCCGAATCATAGCCTATATGGAATATACCACTCTGGGTTAAATTGTGTGAATTAGTGCCGGGGTTGCCTGTCTCGTGTTGGACGAAATGCTGCTTATGCGGTGTGTACCTTCCTGTTCTATACAATGGTAACGCAGCTAATACGCGAATGAGGTAGTGGGATGCAAAATCACGCGCAGCCTACGCACATGCTTCCCCTCACTCGCTGCTGGTGACCGATTGCGCAAAATGGTCACAGAGCGCTGCCGCCTTTTGCAACTGCCGCGCCCGCTGGTAGTCTTACCTGGTTCACTAATCGGCCTGTTACGTCTGCTGTAAGCAGTCCAGTGGCCGCTAGCGTTCTCAGGGGACCATCGTCTAGCGCAGACCAATCCGGGCTGGGCGGGGTCCCCAAAACGGGAATGGGCTGAGGAATTCGATCGCCGAACTGTTTTCGGGGGATGGTGGACGGGAGGGGGAGCAAACAACTGCTAGAGCTGAGATGTGCAGTACCTAGGTCCAACACCGGACCAAAAATAACACAGGCACACACCGTCTAATCTAGCCAACATGTACCCCTGGGCTGCTTTGGCAATTGGGCATACATACAGCAGATTTGAACCCTGGACTCTGAACCCTAGCGGCTCTTTTTCTCTCACTTACTACCACAAGCGCCGGGTGTGCGTACCGGGAATAAAGAAAAGGCACAAAAGGGACCTGCCAGCTGGCTGCCAGCTGTCGTCTGCCAGGTGCATGTATGCCCGCCAGATGTCGGCCGCCGACCCCTCTTCTCGCTTGTCCATCCAAACAACTACACTTACGAACGAAAAAATCGCGAATGTAAGCTAAACGGGCGTCTTTTGCTCCCTTTGTTACATGTGACCTAGCCTCGCTGTGCTACCGTACTACACATTAGCGACCTCCCTACTAGAGCTAGCACTATCTGCCCACTTGGTCCTCCGGCTCCCCGCGTGTCCGAAACTGGAACCCCCCCGTGGATTGTCGGCATCCCACGCTCTCGGGGGACGGGGACCACCAGCTATCCACTGACACGGGTCCGTTCTAATCTCGATGAATTTTGCCCATATGCACTCGTCATGCGGTTCTGCTGTTTGCTTGTCGTCTCACTTGGTGGCGGCCCCCCTTCATATTCATAATCATCCTTCCCGCCTCCCCCCCGTCCCGCCGTTGCGCCTGTCTGTTGCGTATAGCGTTTTGGCTGTGCAGACAGAAGCACCGTTCTCGCTGAGAGCGACCATTTTCCTAGACGACGCAGCAGTCTAGCCCGCCGCCCAGGGCTAACGACACACACCATGGTTTCCGGTCGTTGGAACCGAGTCGAGTTTACGACATACGATGGCCTCAAACTGCGCGGCAACTGGTTTGAATCACCTAGCGCAGTAGGCACAGCCACCTCGCCTGCAATCATCATGACACAGGGCCTTGCTCTCCTTAAGGAGCATTACCTTCAGAACTGGGCTAAACGCTTCCAGGACGCGGGCTTCCATGTTCTCATCTACGACCATCGCAACTTTGGCGATTCCGAGGGCTATCCCCGTTGCGAAGCGGACCTCGAGCGCCAGGCGGACGACTATTCAGATGCGGTTTCCTACGTCCGTGGCCTCAATGGCGTCAACCCGGACAAGGTGTTTCTCTGGGGCATCTGCCACGCTGGCGGTGCTGCAGGAACGTAAGTTTGTTTGATTGTTGGAGCTGGGGATGGAACATATATTGACATTTTCTTCTTCTTCTTAGGGCTGCTGCCTTGGACAGACGGATTGCCGGCGTGATTCTTATGATGCCCTCGCTGTCCGGCAAGTTTGATTACGACAATTGGCCTGCGCGTTATCGAGAGAAATATGAAGCTACGCGCCAGCTGGGACGGGATGCCGCCGACAACAAGGCGGATTTCGTGCGCTTCTGGCCGACGTCGGCAGCCGACCGCGCGGGGCAAGGCGAGTCCATGCTCACAGACGACGTCTCGTACAACTGGGTGCAAGGCGCATCCCGCCTTACAGACGAAGGAGGCAGCACCTTTGACAACAAGCTTGCCGTCACATCGCTGCACTCCATCTTTCGCGCCAGACCAGGCGCTTATTTCCCAGAAATCAGCCCGACGCCCGTACTCTTCCTCGCTGCTACGGACGATCCCCTCTCTACGGACTTTGAGACACAGGCAAAGACGTACAGCGCGATGGGCGAGCCCAAGGAGTTTGTTGCGCTCAACGGTGGTCATCTATCCAACTACTTTGGCGAGCAGTTTGAAGTAGGTCTGCATGCCATGCTTCAGTGGCTACAAAAGTATAGCCGATGAGCGGTGTTTTCATTTATTTGGAGCATCTGGAGTTTCTTTTTGTAACGTTGCAAGTTACATCTTTTTGGGAGGGAAAAGGCCATTTGAGGTTTAGGAGTTCTTGCTATCCGGAGCAGCAAACAGGATACATTTTGCCTTGCGTGTTTGGGAGGGCCAGTCTGATTTGATTCTAGAATATACATACAAATCTATACATGACCATTACTACTACTACTTGACGTCTTTGGCCCATTGAGGACTTTGTATTGGCGGCAACAGTTTTCTACTATCTTCGTTTAGCTCGGGTATCGAAAGGCATCGGGGTGGTAACCCTCGAGTCAGCGCGCATCGGACAGGGCTGAGGCGAGCGTCGACGCCACTATACTGTCAAAACGCAGTGGCGAGTCAGCAAGATGGTGTCGGAATTAATTTGCTAGTCAGCAGTGAAACGAAGAATTATTCGCGCGAAGCAAGCGAAGGATCCTCGGGCCGACTCAAAGTCGCGGCGTTGTGAGGCTGGTTCGACGCCGGTCTCGACTTTTGCGCTGCCAGCGTGGCGTGTTGGACGACAAGATATCAAATTTGGACTAAATTCATGGCGCCATGACGACAGTGTGAAAATATGCGCTGGCTTTGTCGTGCTGATAAGTGAAATTTTGCCAGAAGTGTGCCTAGTGCTCCCCGGAGTAGTCCACTGATTACGCGCATACACTGCGCTGGAAAATAATACACTGTCATGAGCTTGATAGTTACAATGATACTGATCGCCACATTTAAGCATAAGATGCTAACTTGATCCTAAGCGCAAGGCGGCTGCCCGTTGGAGGAAGGTCAGAGCTTTTTTGGGACGATCTTGTGGCGGGCGGCGCTTGACGCTAATCGCTCTAAACGCCACCACATACAAACTTTTCCCCTGTAGCAAACCGCTGCCTAACATTAGTTCGCCTTTTGCCTGCCGAATACGCCACTGCTATGGTGCTAGCCGCCGATATGGGCACGCCGCTGCCGAGAGAGGTGCTAGAGATGCAGATTGGTCAGATTGATCTGCTCATGGCCATGTATCCCAATGAAGGGTGCATCCATCTTGGCGAAGTGTCGCGTGCGGTTCTGGATAGCCTTCGAGGGTGGCTAGGGGATGATGGAGATGCTCCGGATGCTTCTTCGATACCGGAGGCCCTGGATGTGTCCATGACTTCAGAAACAACAGACGAGCGCCCTCGGGAAGTGAAGCTAGAAATGGCGTTTCCGCTGCGGTATATTGGCGATGATGAACCGGTTGAGCCACCGCCCGCCAAGATACGGCTACAGCAGGCAGCGTGGATGAGCAAAGCAGATACTGTGGCGCTTGCTACTCAAATACCACAAGATCAAGACCTCTTCTCGGCAATTGAAACTATCAATGAGATCATTTCTGCCTACGAACCGCCCCAGAATCAAACGTCTATCAGTTCTTCACAACCACTTACACAAGACTCCTCACTGGCACGCGTGTGGTTCTACTTTCCCTCCATCAGCACACGATCAAAACGTGACGACCTGGTGAACCAAGCACCAAGCTACCAGTTGACGGGGTTTCTGCTGGCCGGCAAACCGGGCATTCTGTGCCTCGAGGGCGGCTCGCAGGCCGTCGACGACTTTATGAAGTATATTAAAACGGAAAGCTGGGGCGATATCCCGTCCCATCACAAAAAGGTTAGCGAGAGGTATCGCCAGGCCATTGAGACAAGGGCATTTCACGACATGACGGAAATCACGGATCAATTAGAGAAACGAGGGGAGCGGAGTAACCGCAACGACATGAAGACACTAGAAGCGTGGTTAGGCGAACGAGGCCTAGGAGATGCCTTTGCAAAGGTGTTGATTTAAAAGACTATAAAGGAAAGCAAGGAGTGTACAGCATATATATACCAAATTCACAAAAAGGCTAGCCGTTGTTGTCTAGACTAGACGAGTTGGAAGCATCGTTGCTTAGTAGCACTTCACCCACTGCTGCAAACTCCAAAGACGGCTAGAGCAGCCCTGCGTAATCTCCTCTTTTTGAGTGAAGCAGTAGCGCTCGGACTGGCCGTCAAGGTAGGCGAGCTCGGCGTGGGCTCTGGCGTCCTTGTCGAAGCATGCCTCGGCTGAACGGTTTTTGAACTGAAAGTACGCGCAGTGATCGTTGCTAAACTTGACCGCGCGGCAAGCACCGTCTTCGCTGACACGACGGTGGTGACGACGCCGTTTCAAGTCTTTCGACAAAGTCGATGACGGCATTGTGGTCAGGGCAATTGCCTTTGTTGCAGCCGCCGTGGGCGGCAGCAGAGACGGCAGTGGCAGCGGCCACGATGGTGAGAAGCTTGAATTGCATGGTGGTTAAAGTAGAGTTTGTTTGAGTGCTTGAGTATTTGTGCTTGTGATGGATTGGATTGAGAAGAGCTTTGATGGATATGATAGTCGGCTTTCATACTTGTAAATAGTGCTCTATACTCGTTGAATGTAATCAACTCGAGGTGCTTGCTGACAAGCTGCCTGTTCGACGGGATTTATGTGCCGCTTGGAGGCTTAGTAGTATGAGATGAACATAGAAACCAATTAGAACTGCTGCATGTGATGACAAAGTATTTCTGGGATAAACTGTCGCTCCATGCTAGTTGTGTGTGTAATGCTCCAAATGAGGCTGTACAGTAGTATGGCTGTAGACGTCATGGGAGGGTTGGGATGTGCTCCACGTAAGTAAACTGCACGCTCCCAGGCTTGGGAAGAAATTCATGCAATGCTGCATTCATCATGAATAGTAAGCGACGGCCGAAGTCTCCAAGAATAGATGTCGTTCGGAAGGACTTTTGCAATTACACCGATGGTGAGTGAGGTTTGAAGCAAAGCGAACAGTGAGATCCAGTTAACACTACCCAATTAAATGTAGCGACTAATCTGATATTATATTATAAACGTAAAAGTATGTAAACAAGTTGAATTATATACAGCTCAGTAGAACTTGAAAGACTCGGTACAACAAACACTCGCGATAGTTTAGCAAACAAAGTACTTGTTGAACCACCAAATCTGAGTAATGCACTGGCTAGGTTCCCTCTCATAATCCAGACCAAAGCAGAAGGTTTCGGGATTTTGGGGATTCAGATCGAAGAATTGCAAAGTTCCTTTCATGGCACCTGTATCGAAGCAGGCTCTGGCCGGGCGGTGGTGGAATGAAAAAGAAGCACAGTAACTTGTGTCGCGTAGCTCAAAAACATGACATTTTCCACCATCAGACACACGAATACTTGTAGTAACAACATCACCACCGTTGTGGTTGGTCTCAATCATGTCAATGGCGGCGCTATGGTCGGGGCAATCGCCTTGCTCACAGCCACTGAATGCTGCAGCGGTGGCTGTGGAAGCAGCAGCCAGAAGGGCAAAGAGGTTGAATTGCATTTTGAGGAGGTAGATTGAATGAATGAATAAAGAGAGAATTTCTTTGCATGGGCATGATGCGGATTGGTTGACTTACAGACGCGAGATGTCATTTCTTTTATACTTGGTGGTATCACCCGCTCGGGCTGTCAGGCTCTTCTACTATGAGGGCTTGTTACTAAGGCTGTCTATACGAGACTCATGCAAAATACTAGGTACCTATTGGATGGAGAATATGCATACTTTCCCTCTTGCGCTGCACGCCACATAACGTTACATATGAACGAATTACTCACTCAGCACGGCCATTACTGAGCGCATCTACGTTAATTCCGAAGTACACCGGACGATTTGCTACACATACGACTTTCTCTTAGACCGGCGTAAACGAATATAGTACTAAGCTGCCTCAACCCACTATCCAACCAGGATGTAGAAGCTACGTTAGTTGCTATCAGTGGACAACAAACATGGCTCTCAATACGAGGCATAGACACTACGCCGCCTTACAGTTCTCATAACCTGATGACATCGACGTATATATTTCCCGAAATGATATTATACGATCAAAGAAACTGATCTGTGATATTGAATATAGTCAACATTATTTACAGAAGATACACTAAACTGCCACAACACCGGATCAAAGAACCAAATATACAAGCAACTCCACCAACTCCAAATATCTATACACATATTGTACAGATTATCTTAGTTGCAAGGAATCTCATTTCCAACAGACCAGATCTCCCCAGTGCACTCTGGAGCCCCTTCCACATTGACATTGTAGCAAAGCTTGACGTTGTTGTCGGGGTACTGCAAGGACGCGTGGTAGCCTCGTGTGTCAAAGCATGCAAGGGCGCGGCGGTTATTAATCCACATAGAGACGCAATCTGAGCTACCGGTTGGAATAGCGCGGCAGCCCCAGCGGTCTCGGAAGCGGATACTGCGCGGGCGGCCGTTTGCTTGGAGGCCGTAGTCGATCATATCGAGAAACGCGTTTCCATCAGGGCAATCCGTCTGACCAGCACAGGGATTGCCTGAGGCAATAGTAGTAGTGGCCGCAGCCAGAATAGCAAGTAGCTGAAATTTCATAGTGAAGAAGAAGAAGGAGAAGAGTGAAAAAAGGGGTGTGTGTGTTATATGTCTAGGCACCAGAGCGGCAATGCCTGTTTTTATAGTCGACAACGGTAATACGATACGCACAGAGGCATAGAAACAAACAATCGTGCTTATCATATTTAAAGTAGCCTTATGAAGAATATTTTCTGTTTCCTGTTCCGAGCATCCGACCAGCTCGGCCTCTCAAGTCAACAACTTCGCGAACGAGGCGTATAGGGCTAGGTTAGGCACTCAGCTGGACAGAAGTAAGGCTTACAGAAAGGCTTTGCCATGTAATTCTATAAAAAGCTATGTACTGTCTCATGAAAGCCTCACAAGACGCTGACCATAGTGTAGTCCGAGCACACCACCCGGCTTACTCGCAGGGAATGACCTTTTCCAACCACAGCAAGCTGGTACGGCACCTTGGAAGGTCCTCCGTGCCAAGGTCATAGCAGGTCTTGATACCAGTGTCATTTTGAAAAACATGTCCACGCATATAGGTCTTGTCCATGCAGACCTCGTTGTATTTGCCGTCAATGACGGTGATCGAGCAGTTCTCGGACGTGGCAAGGGCAAGGCCGCTATGGCAGCCGTAGGTATCATGGACACGGACGTGAGTCTCGTACTGGCCATTAGAGCCGATGGAGCTGAAGAAGTCCAAAGGCGCGTTGTGGTCGGGACAGTAGCCCTGGTCACAGCCACTCATGGCCGCGCGGTCGTTGAGGCCAGTGGGCGAGGCTGCTGCGGCTGAGGCTGCCGCAATGAGAGTGAGAGTGGTGAATTGCATTTTGATTGGTAGTAAATAAACGAGCGCAAGATGAGAATTAAATGTTTGTAAGATTGAGGATACTGAGTGGGCTGGCTTTTAAGGCGAGTGTTCCTTAGGCCTTCTATATATGATTTAGCGGTGATGTTGAACGATGTGCAGTACCACTGCTTATACCGGGTCTCTCGCTGCTCGCTGCATTAACTCTGGCACGATCCGGCTCCAGTACCGTATGCAGGACCATGTTAAACGAGTATGTGTCCGGCAATGAGGCTTCTGGTATCCGACGGCGAGGCGTTTCCGTATGAGTCTTACCAGGCGTAGGGCTGACGGCGTGTTCGGCTCCAGGGCCGGGGCCTTTTTTGCGAAGGTCCTATGGGATTGCGGATTTTGTAATCAAGCCAATTTAAGCGGCTAACAATCGAGCGTTCCCTGAAGGCAATTTATGCTACGTTACCATGCGAGATGACTACAGTCTAAGGTGAGCTGGCTTTGGTATAGCCTGCTCTGGGATTAGCAGGAGCTTGCCTCCATATTAATAACCGTGACAAAAGCTAGACGACGTAGTGTACTTGACACAGTTTGAGGCCTTTTAAAGGAAAATTTATAAAAGTTAATTAGCTATGATATATAAAGTTTGTGTAAATATATATTTAGAATATGTTTATGTAGAAATTTGTAGAAATTAATTAGCCAAGTGTGGAAAGAAGTGTATCCCATACGGGTTTCTATATTCAGAATGTCTGCCACCATTACCAAATACAGGCGACAGGACGGTTCAAATCCACGCCCCAGAAATTGAAGCCACAACTCAAAAGAGGCTCAAAGTTTGTGTCAAAGCACAGCTTGTCATTTGTATCCTTGTAGATCCAGCGCGCCCGGTTACGGCGAGCGCCAATGGACATGCTGACGGGCCGGCCGTTGTAGGTAATGTCCGCGCAGCCGCTGCCGTCATTGTCCAGCGCAAAGCAGGAGTGGTCGTCTTTGAAGCGAAGCTGAAAGTGCCGATCATCGCCGTGAAAGTGCTCGACCAGATCAAAGTCGTTGTCGTGTTCGGGGCAGACGCCTTGGTCGCATCCGCTCCGCGACTGAAGCGGCGTAGCTGCAGCGAGCGTAGTAGCAAGGGTGGTGAAGAGAGTAAAGAAGTGCATGTTGAAAAGATGAGATTATTGTTAAAATTGTTTTGCTATGGAAAACTACAAGGTTCTACCTACTGGTTTTGTAATCCAGTGATATACACCACACTTTAAGCATCATACGAATGACAATGGTTTCAATCTACACAGTACTGTTGTTAATTCCGACTTAGTCCGGATATAGCGGAAAATGGATATGGAAATCTGTAAATATTATGCAGGGTATGCTTCCATACGAGATCATGGATGTACTTACTGAGCGCCATCGTTTATACCCGGCTGTGGCCTTGCTAGCCTTCCACGACAGACCATCAAATGCAATCAGCAAAATATTCTGAAAGGCACAGATGAACGGATATCTCGGGTTGTAGTAAATTGTCTATCGAGTCACGCCGAATACGGTGGTAACGTATCCTTGCTTCTCGATGACCGAACATTAGCATACGAGACCACACGGCTCAGCTGAGTTATAGAAGATGGTAGCATCAACAACACTTTGACTCGTATGCGCTTGTAAAACAGCCTTGTCTTGGAATCAGAGAGCAACAGAACAATTCATGCAGACGATGGGGACAGAACACATGTAGAGACAATTATCTTTTTAGCTTTAACAAATGAAAATCTTCACCTCTCCATTATATACAAGGTGTCGTCTTCTTTTCTCCCTCTTTCCTTTCTTTTTCTTTCATACAGGTCGTCCTCCAGCGCGATACATTTCGCAAAAAGGAAGCCTCTGAAAAAAGAGCTAAAAACTACTACAAGGTGTGGTGGTTCGGGGGGTGTTTGAGACAAGGGAAACAAAATTCAGTGGTGTAAAATATGCGAGTAGTAATAAGGTGTGCATCCTCGTCCTCTCATCTGTCGAGGAGGCAGGAATTCTTTTTGCGATTTCTTGTGTGTCGTGTTGTCGAGTTTAGCGGTAAGGAGCGTCGGCGCGGATGGCAGCGGCCAGCTCAGGCTCCCACTTGTCGCCGTTGGAGAGAAGCTTCTCCTTGTTGTAAAGGAGCTCTTCTCTCGTCTCGGTGGCGTACTCGGCGTTGGGAGACTCGACAATGGCGTCGACGGGGCACGACTCCTGGCAGAAGCCGCAGTAGATGCACTTGGTCATGTCGATATCGTAGCGGGTGGTACGGCGGGATCCGTCGGCTCGCTCTTCGGCCTCGATCGTGATGGCCTGGGCAGGGCAGATCTGTAGGTAGACACATATTAGCAAAAGACTCTCCACGAAATCATCAAGAGTAAAAAGGACATACAGCTTCGCAGAGCTTGCAGGCAATGCAGCGCTCCTCACCAGAGGGGTAGCGGCGGAGAGCGTGCTCACCACGGAAACGGGGAGAGATGGGGCCCTGCAGACGACGTGTTAGTATGCCAATTGAGTGTTTCCAGTAATCGCGGCGGGCGGAAGCGAACCTTTTCGAAGGGGTAGTAGATGGTGTATCTGGACCAAATGTTAGCAAACCATCAATTCGGGACCAATTGCGCTTCTAGATACGCAGAAGCCACGGAGAAAAACGTACGGAGGACGGAAGAACTGCTCAAGCAGCACGTACATGCCTCTAGCCATCTCGGTCAAGAGGAAGTACTTGCCCAGCTTGTCGAGCGTCGAGTCCTTGTCGCCGGGCCACATGACCTGTCTGCTGGTACGGAAGTTGGTGGGAGGAGGACCAGCGGGCGTAGCGTAGCCGCGGATGGCAATGGCGCGCATCACAGCGCTGGCCTGCTGCTGATTCATGCGGAGGAATTGGCGGCGAGCGAGCATTGCTGCTGAGGAGGAGGCCAGAGCCGGGGCCATTGTGTTGTGTTGGGCGGTCGGGGGAAAAGGGCGCACGAGGTGAAGAAAGCAGCAGCGGGCCAATTGGATTCAATTGCGGACGCCCAGCGATGCGCGTTGGCGGTGCGGATTGGCGAGGGCGGTTGGCGTTGACGATGCGAGGGAAAGGCGTTTGCTGGCGGGTGAGGTTTTGTTTAGCTTGCTGCGGGATTACCAAGGTACAATGATTGGGCGTTGATTGGCTCGAGCTGGCACCGCGTGACCTGGCACGTGACCTTTACTGAGGCGCGACCAGCAAGACGTGGCTAACAATGGTTTGAGGATGGTAAAAAATAATTTTAAAATTGGAAATGACTAGTTAAATAAATAATAGTTGCTTGCGTCTCAGGTAAATTCTTTGAAGATATGGTGGCTGCGCAATGGCGGATAATATGGAAGACGGGCCAAAGCTCCAAGTTTCTTTTGTTTATGAGCGTAGAATATATTTACAAAATTTCAATACAAAGGTACACTAATATTGACAAGTCTAAGTTGGAAGGAAAGTGTTCAATCTAGGATAACTGTTCGAAGAGAGTCGACAAATGCCCGCTTGCGAGCCCATCAACTACGCCTCTACTGGTAGGAGACACTAAAGATCTTGAATTTTCCAGAAGAGGCATTCCATTGAACTGAGCCGTCCTTGCCAACAGAGACAAAGGAGCTGACTTCTACTGAGAGAGAGTGGGTGGCGCCGTTGGGGGTGTAGGTGATGGTGAACTTCTCAGCGCTGCCCATGTCGCTGGTAAGCTTGCCGCCCTCTGCAATGTACTTCTTGTCTGAAACAGACTGAAGATGGAACTTGCTGTTGGTAGCGGACTTATCACCATTGACAGCGTGGAGGATCCATCGCTGCTCGACCTTGTCGTGCTTGGCGTTACCAGCGGTTCCGCCGACGGAAGCGCCGTTGCTGAGCGCCATGCCGTTCATCTCTAGGGTCAAGTAACGGCCCTCAGTGAGTCCGCCTCGCACGGGCTTGAAGCCGCGCTAAACAATCTTTTTCAAGTCCTGCTCGGCGTTGGCCTTGCCGTAAGGGACAGGAGGCAATGGGGCGGCATAGTCAGACTGGCACTTGGCAGGGCCAACCCATGGGCCAGTGTAGTCACCGAGATCACCACCCGATCTGATTTCCAGGGTGTCTCGCTTCTTCTTGGGCTTCTCAGGGCTAGGAACCTCAGTGATGGTGGTCTTGGAGTAGTCAGGCTATGAGACGGCAGTATTAGTAAGGTAAGAGGGGGCGCATACGAAGCATTTATATCAGACCTACGTTGTCAAAGTCGAAAGCGTTGACCAAGTTGGACATGTACTCACGGCGCCAAGGTGTGATGCCTTGGTTGTGCACGTTGTAACCATTAGCCTTGGCCCATTCTTCGACAAACATGATGTCAGAGATGTGGTCTGAGATTTCAGTGAAGACATGAACACCAGGGGTCCAGGGAGAGATGATGTGACGGGGGACACGGCGACCTATGCCGCAAACAGTTAGAACATGGCATCAATGATTGAATATAGCCCTTTTCAATAAATGTTGGGGCACAATACGATACGAAAACAACAGAAAATACGTACCAGGGCTAATGGGGATCTTGCCAAAGTAACCGTCAGGATCTTCGAACCTTTAGCCTGCGCCAGACTCTATTCTCATAAACGGCAGGGGCCAGTTTAACTGCTCCATGGCTGTGAAGGCGCGGCCTCTCAACTGCAGCTCTGTTCCGCCGCCAACATTGGACCTGCGCGGTCGTGTCCGTCTGAGAGTGATTAATACTGGGTAAGGTGCCGCCTGATCGTCTACGCTTTGTACTTGGTGCCTTGCTAACATTGAATCTCTTACAGAGCCATGGGGGGCTATGAATTGTCTCTTTCTCAAAGCACTATGAAATTAATCACCGTGGATGGCGGATATCCCGTAGCTACCCCGTCGACAGGCAGCATTGGTGTGTTGAACCCGGGAGATCGGATCGATGTAGTGGTCACCCCAAAACCAAGTACCATATCCGCGGGACAAGAGGAGTATATGAAAGCGAAAAGCTGACTATTCATCCTAACACCTCGTAAGTTTATCTCACAAGACTTCAACGTTTGACAACTTATACCACACAAGTGCCAATGCTAACAGGTACTCAAGGAACATGCCTATAGAAAATTATGCCTTGACCCCAATCCTCACAACCCAACCCAAGACAGACACTACCTTTGCTTCGCAGAGAAGCGGTATCAGAGACGCCCAGCTTACAGTTGAGCGATGTACACGGGCCAGAACTCACCAGTAACCACCCAATTCATTCAGCCCCGGCAGAGAAGTCAGTGCTACAATCGGCACTAGGGATCCGTCCAGACAACTTTAATCGTCCTACCGGTAGTATCAACCGCACATCTTGGGTGCCACCGACGTCTAACACGGCTCTCTTGGCATTGCCACCCACAGAATGGAAACACGTTGTACAACAGCCAGCGACTGCTCAGGAGCTTGTTGTGCCACACTTTAAGACCTATGGCGAGGACCACTGGATTGAACTAACGATGAATAACTTTGATGAGAGAGGGCATCCATTGCACCTGGTACGTTGTCATGTCCTATTTTCCACTCCTTCTGTATCCTTTTCTAACACTCTCAAAGCATGGCTATGAGTCTTTCGTAGTTTTGCACGGCATATCAAACTCATTTCAAGGGTTCAACCCGTTTGATGAGGCAGCCGTCGCCGCAGAGGAACCGTTCAACACCCATACACCACTACGAAAGGATACAATTTATCTGCCGTCGATGGGTTACGCTGTGCTGCGTTTTCCGCTAGCTAATGATGACCTCTGGCTTCTGCACTGCCATGTGCTGTGGCATCAGGCGGCTGGGATGGGCAATGTGTCGAGACCTCGACACATTGCCAGCAGCTCTGGCCGCCAACAGCCTTAAGCTGCAGAGCATTGTGCCTGAGCTTGGCTTCTGGTACACCACCGACGAGCCCGACACGCACAACTGGGTTGGATTGTACAAGCCCGGCGAGCGTCCCGACAACAAAGACACCAAGTATCACTACCAGGTTGTGCAGTACGCCCTCGCCCCCGCGGGTCCTGTCTACATCAACCGCCGCAAGTATGATATCAAGTCGGGCAGGTTCGACACCTACCTGCTCAAATACGACTACAAGATTCTCGCCAGTCCCGTTTCCATTGACACGAACCTCAACAATGTTGCCGTGCGCTCAGGCAGCACCGCCGACTCGTTGCGCATCTACTACTCTACGGACCAAGCTGACAACACCAACTGGCTTGCCATCTACAAGGAGGGATACACGCCTACCAAGGAGGACACCAAGTACCACTACTCCAAGTGGCAGTACGCCCCAGGACCTAGCAACACGCTCACCTTTAGTCGATCCGACTTTAAGGATGGCAAATACAGTGCATACATCTTGGCGAAGAATGGATACACTGTCCTTGCTAGTCCTATCCCGTTGCCCCAAAATTAGAAAGGACCTATAAGAAGAGGTTGACATCTCTCTGTCTGTGTATAAATATAAAAATCTCATACAACTTGGAATCCTTGAAGTGTGAATATTTGGTGAATACAGATTTCACTTATAACAACATTGACAAGATTAACACCGTCGCATTATGATTGTAAGAACACAAAAGGTATAGACACGTGTTGTATATTTATTTATAAGAGAAAGTAAAGGTGCTACTATCAGCACAGCATGTTACCGGAACATGGCAAGATGAATAAGCCAAACGTCTTTGGCTATTGTGATTGTAATCCTTAAGAGTAAAGATTTACTTGGCGCCAGTAAGGCTGGCAAGGAGATCAGCAATGATGCTGAGGAGAGGAGCCAAGACAGTGTTGCCGAGAGCAGAGAGGAGAGGGGAGAGGGCAGCGATCAGAGCAGGGACAAGAGTGCCAATGAGACTAACAAGGGCACTGAGAATCTCGGCAAGCAGAGTGAAGACGGACTGCAGGATGGAGGCAAGCACCTTGCGGACACCCAGGACAGTCAGCAGCGCCTTGACGGTGTAGAGGACCTCAGAAACAAGCTCGACGATAAGACCGAGCACCTTGTCGTGGTCAGCAGCCTGGATGTCGATGCCTGCAGCACCTAGTAACTTTTGCAGAATCTCAGTGAGTTTGTAGTGCAGCTCAGTCAGCTGGGTGCCAGCAGTAGCGGTGCCATTGTCTTTGCTGACAGCGCCGCTCTGGACCTGCGCAAGCGTCGTGTTGATGGCGCCAGTGGTGACCTTGATGCTGTCAAGGCCAGTAGACAGCACGTTAATGAGGCCGGTGGCATCCTTGATGGGCTCGTCGCGCTTGGAGAGGAGCTCGCCGACACCGAGGTCGTCGACGACAATGTCAGTGAGCTGCTCAACAGCGTCATTGACGGTGTTGGTGGGCACAGAGGGGGCTGCAAAGGCAGTGGCGACCATGGCGGTCATGGCGAAGAGAGAAAACTTCATGTTGAGTGTTATTGGAAGTGAGGAAGTGGTTGTTGTGTGTAGAGCTGGTGAGAAAGAAGGGATGAGTGGGAGGATAGATGAGGATTTTATAGACGGATCCTGATGGATTTGCACGATTACAGAGAGTTTGTAGGATGCAGCCGTGATTATTGGGAAATGATGCCATGAGAGGAAAAAGAAAAGGCGAATATTGACCTGAAACTGACGGAATCGCAAGGCCAGGGTCTAGACATGGCCAATATTTACAGACGTGGTCGTATGACAGACGACCAATACAGCCTTGGACATGGATGACGGTCCGGCTAGACAAAGCAAGTTCTCCGTGTCCAGTGTAATCCCCGAGACACGGTGGGCAGATGGACAGCCATACATGCGGTCGATGCCGCCCATTTTCGCGGCCCTACAGGAGACGTAGAGATACCTGTCTGTCCATCCGGGTCTCGCACGATCATCCTTCCTTTTTCAAAAGATTCATGGCAGGCAGCAATAGTTTGGGTTGCACCGAAAGGAACTGCAAAGGATCAAAGGCGCAAGAAAGTCTAATCATGCCATGTTGTAAGCTTACAGCTGCTTCTGCAGTCCATGCTTGACAGGTTGTGGCTGAACGCCATAATCATCTGTTATTGCGATCGCCGGATGGCCGACCGTCTGCGTAGCCTTGAATATCCATCATATTCTCAATCGCATCGATAAAGTTATTGTTCTGAGTGCTCGCACGCAGTCCCGGAACAAACACCGTCTCTCCGGGTCCGGTTCCGCTTCCCAATTCGGCAATCTGCATGTCTTGGTAGTGACCATCGTTTCTTTTTTTGTTGCCTTCACATGTGAAATTTTGATAGGCGCGCCTCGTAATTAGAAAAACCCACGTGCGGTGGATAGACAGATAGACGAGGCCCGTTCGCGTACTTGCTGATAACACCATAGAACGGAATAAGTGGGCGTTTTGCGGATGTAACGCTTACAGGTTTATTTTTCTATCCACAGCCTCGATGCTAGTGGCTGGAAGATGCCGTGGCTGGCGATGGGGGTTTGTGATTGGGTGGGTGGCTGCTTTGGCCCCCAAGAGGGACGATCGCAAAGTGTCATCTGTCTGTTTGTGTGTTTATCTATATCTTTGTTGGTCTGTCTATATGGTGGGTGGAATTCGTGTGATCTATGGCGACATATTAGCCAAGAAATAAACCTGTGCAAACAGACGGATGCATCAGATACCATCGACAGACAACACACATAGACACATACATACATACATACATGCATTTACATCTGCACAAGGACAAACAGACAGATGGACACACAGACGAACAGACAGGTTATATGTATGCTTTATTTGTCCATGTAATTAATCTATACCCGGCTGGCCGCCCAGTAACGCTACGCTATGCTAGTGAATATAAAATAAACAACAAAAATTCTGGCCAACCACACAAACTCCATACGCAGTGTATACCTATAACACCCCCCTCTCTAGAAAATGAATAGGAGAAAATCTAAAAGCTGCGCTCGTAGGCTCCCCACCAAACACCCATATTCGCAGCCACCACCAAATCCAGCATCTTCTGCCCATCATCATGCACAATCAACTTGCCCATCTTGGCCCTCGTCCCACTCCTCCCACCACCAGCCTTCTCGCCGCCCAAATTCAACTCAAACGGCGACACCTGCCCATCATCCTCTTTATTCCCCGGCCAAATCTTGCCCAAGTGGCCCTGCACCCAGTCATGCTTCCCCCCCGTAGACGGCACCCCCGGCATGGGCAGATCGAAGCGCAGCTCGCTGACGTCTGCCGACGTCGGGCGGCGCCGGAGCAAAGCATCGTCCGCCGTGTACACGCCGTGCCCGTCATCCAGATTGCGCACGCACTTGATGGCGTTGCCGTTGAGTGCTGTATGAAAGACGCAATTGGTGCCCCAGGGGCTTGAGAAGACGTACCCGCGGCGCTTCATGCCGTGGCCCGGGTGGACGGCAGACAGCACGGCACCCTCGACAGAGTCGTCGCTGGGTTGTCGCGCATGGCCCTTTTTGGTAATGTGCTCGTCGACGAAGCGGTGGAACGTATCCTTGACTTCTTCCTTGGCGACGAGGATGCGGCTCTTGGAGTACGACATGAGGACTTGCCGCCGTAGCGAAATGTAGTCGATTTCTTGCGTGACGAAAGTCTCGCATGATACTTTGGCGGGGATGTGGCGGAACTTGGCGTATCCTGCGTTGGCGAGCTGGATGTCGATTGGTGGGCTGGAGGTGTGGTTCTCTTCGGGTTGCTGAGACTTGAGGAAGTCGAGCTGGTTGTCTTGTAGGGCGCCGGGGGATTCGAGCTGGTGCGAGGCGATTTGGCCGACGGTCCATTGCTCGCCGGTGCTGGGGTTGCGGCGGATGATTTCGAGGGTGAATGGTTCGGCGTCGGGGGAAGAGAAGAGGCCGCGTTTGCGGGGAGATGGTGATCTGCTCGTTGCGGTGCTGAATCTGTTTCGTGAGGACTGGGCTGAGCCGCGTCGTTCATATTGGGCGAGGATTTCCTGCGCGCCAGGAACTGGCTTGCGCTCAAGTGAGGTTTTTGGTGCTGAGACCATGGCTCTAGGGCCGACAGGCTTTCGAGGCGGTACGGTGGTCTCTGCCAACAGCTGGCGGTGGTCGTGGAGGGGCAGGTCCAGCATCCCGAGCGTATCGGTGCGAGACAAACCCTGTTCTTGCAACCGCGAGCTGTCGTGCGAGTTTGTCGTGGCAGCTCTCGCACGTCGCGGTCCCGGTGAGCTCTCTTGAAGGTCTTGCAGGGCAGCTATGGACGGCGGAGGAAGCAGTTCTTCTTCGTGTGGTAAGCTTGTTGTTGGTGCCAGAGGAGTTGTTCCTGTCGCTCCCACAAGTGAACTAGTATGTGGCGGCGGCGGTGGTGGTACTGCTGCTGCTACAATTGGAGCTGGGTTTGCATCGTCAGGAAGCGGCTTTCGCGGAATCGTCATGGACGAGGCATCGTCGCTCGAATGGTCTTGCTCATCTGGTCGAGGGGGTTTCGGCGGGGGGATATCGAGATCGGCACCTTTCCAGTGAATGTAGTATAACGATGCGGCTATATCTTCGGCTGTGACGTTTTTCGGCTGTGGTTTCGCAGGCGAGAGGATAATATCTACAGATTATATGGTTAGCAATGCATCAGGTCCCCAACGACAAGCAACGCACCTCTTGTACCGGGCACACGGCAGATATACAGAACAAGATCGTTCCTCTTCTTCTCTTCCGGTTCTTCCGGGTACTGCAGCGGTTCAAAGGCCAGCGCGTTGAGGGCTCCCATAGAGACGGCCTCTGTCGGTGCCTGCTCGTCGTCGTTGTTGGTGTGCCGCATTGTGTCGATATGCTTGGTGGGCTGTTTGGCGATGAATGCCGGACTGAGGAGCCCGGAGTTATGTATGCGACCTACCTCCAGCTTGACGGACGTCGTAACAGACAGAAAAGAAAAAACAAGGCTGTGTTCGAGACGGTGAGGCAGTGGTGATAATGTGATGCGTGATCCCCTCGTATCGGATGCTAGTGCGGGGGAAGCAGGCAGCGAAACAGCTGAAAAAAGAAGGACAGAAAACGAAAGTGAATAAAGATTGCTGCGTTTTCGTAACGAATGGATTTTCCACTTCCCTTTTCTCCCGCGTTTGCTTCCTTTTTAGCCGCCCACCGTCTTTTTGTCTATGTTTGGTAGAGTTGGTTGATTGGAGAGAACGTGGCCCGCCAAAAAAGTACAGAGGGGCGACGTCACCGGCCCGTGGCTGTGCCCGTTGTCGGCCGTGCTGTCCGAAGGAGTGAGAGGCCTGCACAAACAGCCGCGCGGGTAAAATTCTGGAGAAAATATAATCTTAAAATAGATATTGCCTTTTCTCCGTTGGATTTGATAACTAGTAAAATATTTGTTGTTGCGCAGCTAGAGAGTAGAGTCTGTTGGCGGTGTGTAGATGAATCGTACCACAAAATTATGGTGGCGCAGACAGAACAATGTTTGGCTAAATAGCTGTGGCAATAACAGAAAAAGGGTAAAATGCACATGTATTCTGATACTCTCCATCAGAGTACAATACAGAGTTGCGGCGCTGTTATATACATCGCTACCAACCAAAGAGTACTTGGGTCTTGCATCGTCATCAGACCAAGAACAGAAACGTCATCCACTGGCAACAAACAAAATATCAAGCTTTGGTGACAGCTGTAGGAGGGCGCCCGTCATCGCTCAAGAGCCCCTAAAAGGCTGAAAAATTCCTAGACAGTTGCACTCCGGATGGCGTGGGTGAGTCGCGATTTGCTAATACGCTGCGTAGACTGCAACGGTGACGATACCAACCGATCCCGTCAGCCCGCCAACCACCGCCGCTAACAAAATTTTAAGCTTCGATTCCATGCCATTGAATCAAAGACGGAAATCGAGTCATCAACTCAAAAAGATGCCTGGTTATATTTACCCATGGACGCGTCAGTAGCAAGCGAGGCTGCCCAACTGTTTGCCAAGACATGTACACGACACCGATACATTTGTTTGTGCTATAGAGACATGGTCGACCGGGGATTTCTGGATTTTGCATGGCAATAAGTTTGCAGCAGCTTCTTTGCAGCTATGGCTAAACCACTGGACACAAGATCAGGCTTATGCTATTCTATGAGCCAAAGAATGCGACAATCGCTAGAAAGATCCGATGGACTGTGTGTATAGTGATAGAATTGCAATTATGCTCCGATGCGTTTAAAAGTTACAGGCCCTTCACCTAGAGTCTTGCTGCCAGGCGGTGTGAGCGTCAGCTTCATTGCATTTGCCCTACCATCAACGGCCGTTGTAAACTGAACACCGGCCGCTTCAGCAGGCCTTGCGCCCACTGCCCATAGCCGGATGAAACCAAGCCAGAACTCACCCGAGACGTGCTCAAATACAAAGTCATGCTGCATGCCCACCGGGATTCCCACTAACTTATCGCCGTCCCACTGCACTTTCAGCGTGCCATAGCCATCATCGTGGTAGGTGCCAACTAGCTGGTCGGTGCTAATTGGTGATGGAAGTCGCGCCTTTGTCAAGTCCGGATAGTATTCCTTGATAAAGTCCATGTCATCCTCGTCAGGCACGGCGGGCGGCTCATGGCGGTCTTCTTTGGGAGTGCCCAATTTCTCATCAAGCAGCCGCAACGCAATGGACTCCATGGCAAGGTTTCCGTTGTATGAGTTACAAAAGGAGACGAATCCCCACTGCAGATCTGGCACCCAGTAGACATCTGCGGTGTGCGATGTGGTCGCGCCGCTGTGGTGCCACACCTTCTTTCCCCCTATAATACTGTGCATCCAGCCCAAGGAGTACCCAACCGGTATTGCGCCAAGCACGGTGCTGGCCATTGGTGTACGAACAGCTCGCAGCTCGTCTTGTACAGGCCCGGAATCCATCACATACCGTACCCACCTCAGGTAGTCGTCCACAGTTGATACCACGGCGCCGGCACCGAAAGCCTCTTTGAAATTCCGTCTGGGTGACGGCTCGTAGCTTTCCGAGGAGCCATCCCAGCTGTAGCCTTTCGCCACGGGCTTGCCGCTGTTTTCAGCGAGGTCCAGGTCCGAGTACGTTGATTCCATGCCCAGTGGTTCAAGGAGGACTTTAGTCACGGCAGACCACCAGTCGAAGCCAGTAATGGACTCGAGAACGCCGGTAAGCACAACGTACATCAGATTGCAATACTGAAAGGTTTCTCTTGGCTCTGCAGAAGGGGGGAGAAAGCGCAAGCTGCGCACGATATCCCGTACACTGCGGGAGTCGTTTGCTGTAATCCACGAAAGATCGTGCCTCGGCAGCCCGGACCGGTGACTAGCCCCATCTTCCAGCGTAATGTGCCGAGTGGCCCAGTCGTCCACCAGACGGAAATCGTCGCCAATGATGTCCGAAATGCGTGTCTTCCAGCCTCGTGATACTGTGGGATACGTCTGATTGTGAATAATACGCGCAAGAGTAGCGTCGAGAATAGCCTTGGTGGTTGAGCCGCCGTGCCACAGGGTGTCGCGGGTCACTGGTGCGTCTGGCAGGGAGGCATACCCGTAACCCTACTTTGTTAGCAAAATATACATGGTATTTGTTAAGACAAGAGTTACCTGAAAGTAGGTTTCATTTCCGTCGACGATACCAATAGCAAGGCCAGGCATGTGCCATTTAGACATTGCCGTGGTTACAAAGTCGTCGATATCGGTCGTAAATGGATCATGAGACTGCGGAGAGAGCGGTTTCTGGGCAGAAAACGCAAGCAAAGTCGAAGCGTTGCTTAAAATGATGTAAGCCGAAGCCTTCATATTCACAATAATTGGATCACGAATACTGGGAGAAATTAAAAAAAAAAATGGGATGCTAGGGCAACTTGTGCACAGTATTACATAGTAAATATTCTAGCCAGAGCTTCGTCTGAGGGGGCCGCGTAGATCCCGCGCCACATGTGGCTGATGTGTGGCGGACACTCTTTCGGGTTAACCCTGTATATCTCGAAGAGTTATTCTAGAAAATACATGCAAACGTTATCCCATCTCTTAGCCGAACCTCGTTCCTTAGGCGGGTGTAGGCGCAATCACGTAGGAGGTTGAAGCACACTCCCCCTTCGGGCAGGGTCCGCAGCAAGGGTAGTTGACCGTCGTGGTAGGAATAGGGCCGCACGACGGCGTCACGGTGCTGATTTTGAGACAAGCAAGCTGTGTGCACCCGTTGCAAACAATGCCCGTCGATGTGATGGTAGGGCAGGTGGCCATGGCGGCGCTGGCGAGTGTTAGTGGAAGTTTTGAGTCTGAAGAAGATATGCTTACCTAGCAAACAAGACAATGGAAGCGATTGTAAACTTCATATTGAAGAAGGGTATCTTAGGAGAGTATTAGTAACGAGTGTAGTTGTGCGTTTGATAAAGAACCGTTTTGTAAATCGCAACTGATCATCGGCTAGCTTATATACTGGGGAAGAGTGGCTGTCTTGCTGTCTGCCAACCGACCATCCGTCACGGATCTTGTACACCCAAAAAGCGTCATTATGATTACTCGAATCCTTCCGGACTATCAAGCCGCCGGATTTGCAAACCCGTTTGACAAGTACCGACAGGGCTAGCTGTTGCTAGACGCCATTCTTGGCCCCGGCATGAACCTCTCGTATTCCCGACGACGCCCTTTTGCACGTGGAATGAAGGCCTGTACCTCAGTAGATTTTTATGTACTGTATTTGGCTACATGGCAACACCCTCAAGGAAATCAAGGTTATTTTTGGTGGCTCATCGGAAGGAATGCGTGCGGGAGAAATTGGGGTTGACAACACCAACACCAAACACCGATGACCTAGGGGGCTGATGATGGAATACGAGGGCTGAACACCACCAGTCCAGGTATTTGTTGCATCCTTGGGCGTTCTAGGCGCACGCTAACAGCACTAGCGCAATACCTTATAATGACTGCCAAGAAGGAAATGCAGGCGCCATACGGGAATGCTTTGGCTCCGTAATAGTAAGGCCGGTGTAATGCTATGCCGCACATACAAGCCTACACACAAACGCATATACGCACATACGTCCCAAGTATACTAGCTCTAGCACGAGTAGCTAGCTAGCCACTGCCACTTTTGTCGGAAGGATCATGTAATTACTATATTTAATTTTGTCTTCTCATCTACACCTTTTTTGCTTCTCGTATCCATGTGAATCTACGCCTTCTTGGCACTGTGCTCAGCAACAAGGTCCGCAACCACCTTATCCAAGTTCTCCTCCTCAAGGCCCAACAAGTCCATAGCAAATGTAGGCAGCGTCGTCCAATCCGCGTCCACCGCACCCAGCACATAAACAATCTCATGCACAGCGTGATCGTCGCCGGCCTTGTACTTTTCAAACTCGCGCTCCAGCAGGGCATTCGAGTCCACCGTCTCTTTGTGCCAAACGGCCCCCGTGGCGCGCTCAAACGCCGCAACAACCTCCAGCGGCGTCACACAGAAGCCCTGGATATGCACAAACCGGTTCTCCGTGACCTCGGGCCGCTGCAGCACCGCCACCACGGCCTTTGCGACCTGCGGCATCGTCGACATGCTAGCCTTTGTCACGCCGCCATCCAGCAGCAGGGCCTTGCGACCATCAATGTCAAGACCTAGGTGTTCATGGCGGACAGCCCAGTCAAAGAAGTGGCCGCACACGATAGACGTCCATGTAAAGGGTTTGGAAGCGGCAGACGCAGACGCGGCAAGCTCGGCGCACTTCTTCTGCACGGCGTCCTTGTCGCGGTAGAGCTGGAGGTACTTTTGGGGCTGGGGCCGCGAGGCGTCGCAGCTGCCGTAGTCGGCGGGGATGTAGCGACGGACGCCGGCGTGGAAGGCGGCCTCGGCGAGGCGCAGGTGCTGGGTGACGTCCTTGAGGGGGAATGCGGCGATGACGGCGTCTTGGCCCGTCACGGCGGTCTGCAGCTCGTCGAGCGTCATGACGGGGGAAACGGGGATCGTGGTGATGCGGTCGGCGTGGGCGGGCTTGGAGGACGAGTTGGAGCGCTGGAGGATGGACACGTCGAAGGAGCCGGCGGCGACGAGGGCGTCGAGGACGTCGCTGCCGAGGGAGCCGTTGGCGCCGACGAGGAGGACTTTGCGGATGGGGGCGGTCATGACGTCGGTTGTTTAGAAAAGAAAGTGTCTGTTTGGAGATGGAGAAAATGAAGAAAGAAAGAAAGATCAGACGAGTGGAGAGAGAAGTGTGAGGGCAGCGGTTTGGATGGTGGGGTATTGTGTGGCTACTGTCGGCTGCGGGGGATGTGCGTGCAGGTGCAGCGAGGAGGGGTGACGTCAGAGAGCGATAAAGTGACTGTGAAAAATATAACATAATATTTTTCGAGATTATATAATAGTGATAAATAAAAAATGTTTTTAAATAGACGGATAATAGATATATTCAGTAGAAAAAGCATACGCTGCTGTTGTCTGCCGGCACACACGACCGGTCCGTGCTCCGTCCATCGGCGCCGTCCCGCCGCATCCCCGGTTCCGGCACACCTTCCTAATCCAGGCACCCGCTGTAAACACGCCCTGTAAATCTGCCACTACAGCGCCGTAGCCAGCACCCTTTCAGCACACTTTACTGTATCACCCATTGCTGCGCATCAACCACCAACACCAACTGTAAAAAATGTAAAAATACCAATAATTCCAGCCGTTATCTGTCTCGCCTACCCAAAATAGACACCATTTCCGCTTTCCACCATCTGCTGTGCTCAATACTCGACTGCCGCATTCGTCGCAACGCGTCCTGCCCACCACAACGCGCACCACGCAAAATACCAGTCCATCGCCCTTGAAGTCTCCCACGACACGCCTTATATTCCCAACGGCTTGCTCATTTTTCTCTTCTTTCTGTAACTACTCTCTTGTAAAAACCGCAAAATTCAGTCTACTCACTACTAGTCACTCTTTTTCTCGTCTTCTTCTTTCTAGCAAATATGAAGTTCTTCGTCGCCATCACCGCCCTCGCCGCTGCTGTTGCCGCTTCTCCCCTCAAGGAGCCTACTATTGACAGAAGTGACAGCCCTGCCTGCAAGGCTTGTGCTGAAAAGTGCTCCGAGGGCAGCGGGCCTATTGCTGGTCTTGCGTGCAGAGCCGTGTCCTGCGTTACCGCTGTAAGTTGCCCGTTTTCTAGTGAAGCAACAGATACTGATGGAGTGCGTGATAGTGCACCGATATTCTACCCACAATTACCATCTAGATGAAATGTACTATAATGAAAGCGCGTTTGATCTGATTATGTCTGTCTCATCCTGTCGTGTATGTACACGTGTGTACTGTGCATCTATACGCGCCTACCAACAGTCCCCCCAACCTGGGTCCATAATCGAAACGTGATAAAAAAAAGGAACGTATATGTTCATGGTATTAAAAAGTATACGGCATAAATACAAAAATAGACGCGCTTCAAACACCCCCACATATCATTAATTAGACGGCCATTGCGCGCATCCGCCTCTCCATGGCCTGCCGGCGGAGTATATCAAATCGACGCTCCTCCTCCTCACTCTCCTCATCCGGGATATAGAGTGACAGCGTATTCTCAATGGGATCTAGCGGCGGGCGCACTTCGCGGGGCTGGCCTACACCAACCCAACCCGTCTCGCGCTGCCTCATCCCCAGCCGGTGCAAGCCCGCGCTGGGCCGGATCCGAGCCACTGACACCTCTTCCGTGGGACTATCGCTGTCCGACGACGACGTGAACATGCGAATAGTAGATCGTGCAAACGAACTCTCTCTGGGTAAACTTTGTCTTAGCGTTTCCAGCTTCATAATCCACGATTGCAAGCTCGAGATGGACGCCTGGCGAATAGCCACGTCGTAGCTCGTCGTGTCAACTGTCGGCGGCTGCCTCTTGAGCGTTTCTAGACACGTTCTCAATCTTGTAAGTTCCTGGACCGTAGGTCTCTCTGGTACCGAGTAGACCGCTTCATAGATGGGTGGCGGGTGCTCCATGTCCTCGACGACATAGATGGGCGGGTGCTCGCCAACAGTAGCGCGCGTAGGAATATCAAAGTAACCGCCCTGGCTTTGGTCGCGCGGCTGATTTACGTCAGGCGCATCCATTTCCACGTCGATCGGAATACGAGACGCGCCTGATTCGAATCGCTGGCGGTGAAGGAGGCGGGATTGGCGGACTCGCTTGGATGTTGCGGCGATGCCCATGATGGTGACAGCGACAATGGCGACGCCGATAAAGAAGATGACCAGCGTGACAGACACTGCCATTCTAATAAGGGAGTAATAGCAGCGTGCTCTAGCAAAACGTATATTGTACGCAATGGATGATGATTAGATGCATGGGCGAGGTTTAATTCTACTGCTTGGGGCAGAGGCAGTGCGCCGGCCAGTGCCATAACATCTAGCTTTGAGTTTGGCCAACTGCATCAGGAACCCGTCCGTCTTCGGTGCAGAAACGAATAAACCCTGGATTTTCATTGGCCGCGCCATAGTAGATTACTGCGGGCGTGATGGGCTATTTCGGGGCCATGGCGATGTTTCCGGAAGGACGCATCCGGCCGGGGATACCCCAGGTATCCGACAATGCCATTGTTTGGCGACCCAAGGGTTAAGCTTTCTGCTAGCTGGCTGGCTTACTAACCACGACGATTGAATAGGTAAGCTTTGCTCGATGTTCCTAGAGTTGGTAAGCAAGGCAGAATCGAGTCTCACGGCCAAAAGCCAGGAAAACCGTGCATCGCCGGGCCAATTACGCTGGAACTCGGCGATTTCAGGGAACCAATCTATCGCTGGAATGCAGTCGTTGAGGCCGACTTCCTAATCCGGCGACGCACGTACTAAATTACCCTCAGGGTATTTCTCAAGTGTGCTTCATGTGCGTAGCCTTTCGTGTAAGTCGTGAGAATATGTCGCTGTAACAGCCACCACAGTAAAAAAACACGCCTCTTTTTTTTGTACCCAACCTTTTTGATTTTTAGTGTTTCTGCGCCTCTTCCACACATATTTTTGTAGCACACAAAAATCCGTCCCAACCATCTGCAGGACTTCAGGACTCGCTCTGCACCCTGAGACCGCCGCGCGCTGGAATGTGGGCATCCAAGACATGTCTAGGCTCACCACCACCACCAGGCAACGGTTTACCCGCCGGGCCACGGGGATTAAGCTTCGAACAAAGCTCTGGAATGGCCAGGCTTTGTCATCGCAAAGTGGTGTCTTGCGCAAAGATCCGCCATTGGCTCGTTGAGGGAGGAGACATTCCCCGCGGCGCACAATGAGAGCACACAATGTAGTAGATCCGCCGATCTAGCATACCGATGCCCGGCGTGCACATTGTTCGCTATGGATGCCCGGCGGCGGGATCCTCGCTTCCAACAAGTATATTAGGTGCCGCTTCATCCCGTTCTCCTCGACTTTCTTTCCCTTCTCTTCATCCACTACCAAGCAATAGCCTGCAGAACAAAAAGAGCCTTCTTCTTCTCCTCCACCAGATCAGATCTCTTTTGACTCTTCGAAACTTCTTTTCTTCTATTCGAAACTTCTTCTCTCTCAGGCCTATTCTCCCAACTCAACCTTCTTCTACTTCACTTCTCTTTCAACTACCAACCGCAATCATGCTCTTCACCTCCGTCGTCGCTGCTCTCGTCGCCACCGCCGCTGCTTCTTCCGAGAAGCGCCAGTCTGGCTTCTTCGACACCACCATCACCGGCGAGGACCAGGGCGTCCAGGCCAACGACCACACCCACGACATTGTCAACTCTGCTCTCGAGAACGGCCCCTTCAACAAGCGCCAGTCCTCCTTCCTCGATGCCTCTGCCAACGGCGAGCACCAGACTGTCGACACCAAGGACCACACCTGGGAGGTTGTCAACTCTGCCCTTGAGAACGGACCCTTCAACAAGCGCCAATCCTCCTTCCTCGACGCCAAGGCCAACGGCGACTCCCAGACCGTCGACACCAAGGACCACACCTGGGAGGTCGTCGAGTCCGCTCTCAAGAACGGCCCCTTCAACAAGCGCCAGTCGCCCTTCTACGACGCCTCTACCAACGGTGAGACCCAGCAGGCTTCCGTGACCGACCACACCCACGAGGTCATTGAGCAGATCCTCGCCAACGGCCCCTTCAACAAGCGCCAGTCGCCCTTCTACGACGCCTCTACCAACGGCGAGACCCAGCAGGCTTCCGTGACCGACCACACCCACGAGGTCATTGAGCAGATCCTCGCCAACGGCCCCTTCAACAAGCGCCAGGACTCTAACCTCTACGACCTCGACGCCACTGTCTCCTCTGGCACCCACGACGACAAGACCCACGACGATGACAACATGCTCGACAACTTCCTCCCCATCCGCGCTGCTCCTGAGGAGGCCACCCCCGCTGCTGCCGATGCCACCGAGTACACCACCATGCTCGTCACCGTCACCCACTGCCCTTCCTACGTCACTGACTGCCCCGAGACCAAGACCAAGACTCACACCATCACTGTCCCTTGCTCCGAGGCTGCCCGCGAGACCAACCACGTCGTGACCCTCAACAGCACCGCCCCTACTTACGTCGCCACTGCTACTCCTATTGAGACTGGCACTGGTGCTATCGTCCCCGAGCCCTCTTCCACTGCTCCCTTTGTCGTCTCTGCTGCCGTTTCCAACACTGGCTTCAACGCCGCTGCTGTCATTGCCGGTTTCGCTGCCGCCCTCGTCTTTGTTCTCTAAGCGATAGAGCCAACTGAACAAAAATATTTCCTTTTCCTTGACTTTGGCCGGCGTTTACCTTTTTTGGCAGTAATGATTTCACGGACTGATTTTTCATGATAACGACTCGACAACAAATATGGCGTTTTGGAGCTCCGGTTGGGCTTGTGACTTACAAATTTCCCATTTCCTATTTAAAACATCTTCTAGATAGAAACCAAATAATAATATCTTTGTTAACAAACAATAACCTGTTCTCTCTCTCTCTCCATTAATTCGTAGTGTAAATAAATACATACCTTGACTTGCTGGACTTGCTTGGACGGCAAGCAAGCTTGACACAAGCTGATAGACTAAAGTTTCTCTGGTGAATCGGTCAGAGGAACATATCGAACGCCAAAGAGTTTCTCGCTAGTGATTTCGCCATTCGCGTCTTTCGATATGCTCCAAACGTGTTGACCATATCCTGTCGCATCGTCGTCTACGGGTATAAAGATACTGCGACGCGTCTGTTAGCTTTGTATACTAAAGAGGATTCAGCTAACTTACCAGCCAGGCGCTTTGAGTTGCTCAATCAGTGGCTCATGTACTTCTCTCGCAGAAGCACCCACATGAATGACATCCCAACCGCCCTCACCATCATCCCATCCCTTGCGGCCATCGCCCACCACAAACTGCACTCTCCCCGAGGCAAGCAGCTCTCTCCCACGCTCACTTTTTCTCATGTTACCTTCGCCCAGCTCCTTCAGCGCTGTAATGTGCTCGACGCCAACAACTTTGCCCTGGTCACCAATGACTTCGGCCAGAACTTGTGTCAAGTACCCTGAACCTGAGCCTACGTCGAGCACGCGCCGTGGCGAAGTAGGTAGCAGATACTCCAAAACATGTTCTACTGCGCTCGCGTGCATATGAGGTGCTGAGATGGTGGCAGCGTGTCCTATGGCTTGTGGGGAGTCTTCGTAGGGTGATGAAGGCGCGTAATGTGCGCGATCAACCTGGCCTGTCAGCAGAGGCTCACCTAGACAGACAGAAATACGTACCTTTAGAAATGCCTCTTTTACCGCTTTATCTGTTATTAACCCGCGCCTCCACATATTTTCTATCAGCTCCGTATTGCTGCGACCTGAGCATTGCCACGCCATGTTGAGGCCGGCCTGTAGGGTGGGAGTGTGTAGAGGGCGAGATGAGAAGGGGATGGCAAGACTACGCAGGAGTCTAGCTAGATGGTTTCTGGCCGCCAGTGTAGATATTTCCCTTTTTGCGGTTCAATGTCTACATACGCGCTGGTTTCGATTTGATGTTGCAGGTGGCAAGATGTATGTGCAGATGTAGATGCACAAGTGACGTTGAGATGCGGGGTGGTGGCTCCGCTGGATCGACTAGATGGGCATAAGGCTGACGCCAGAAAGTGTGTTTATATGTGCATTCGTAAGCATTTACAATTACTAGAAACAAAGTATTATTTACTGTTTATTGGAACTGCGAATTCCACATTCTCACAAACATAATCTATTGACTGTCATGTTGATTGATTAGTGTGTATTCACTACAAAAATGAAATGCTTGCTAGAGCGACAGGCTTCTTCTACACTCATAAAGAAACCGAAAATGCAGTCCAATCCAAAGTTAACGCCGGAGCCAGATTTCCATCAATCTCGCCAATGCCCTTCTCTCGTATATAATATGTATAATAACAACGTCCTTGCTCGACATGTCTTTTAGGTTAGACGACATGCTCAGAAGACTCGCCATCCGCAATAATAGGCACATTCAGGCCGCGGCTCGGGCTCTCCATTATGAGCTGCTCCGTCTTGCGGGCCTGCAAAAAGTCGGCCACCGACTTGATCAGGATGAACCAGCCCGCCACCATGAGGACATACGAGAACCACTCCTCCACGGAAATTTGGTCGTACGCAGAGCCGGCTGCATCGGCAGCGTCCAGGTTGTGCGAGTTGGGGTCCTTTGGCGCAGCGTAGCCATCGGGGCCGTGTGCGCCTGGCGTCTCGGAGTCGAGGTCGTCGCGGATAGTAAAGCCGTACTGAATCATAGTGAGGCCCAGACCAGCTCGCGAGCCGTTCTTGGCAGCGTGTGTCGAGTGTAGCAAGTATGTCAGCAAGAAACCGACAAACTGGAACGATGTTGAAATCATGCCGTTCCATGCAAACGAAAAGACGGAGCCCACGGGCATGCCGTCCACGAAGACTTCGTCGTAGCCGCCAAGGCCGGGCACCAGGATGCTGGTCTCCCAGTATGGAGGGGCCTGGTCAGCTGCAGCTTGCTCGTACGTCTGGATAAAAGTTAGCATTCTGTATTTTTGTGTAATAGTATCTGGTGTCGACATACCGGTGGCTGCTCGTCCTTTTCAGAGGCTCCGTTGGTGCGTTCTGGTCTGGCAGACATGTTGGCAAATACGCCGTCGCTGCCGCTGCCTCCGCCAATAACTCGGCCTACAGGCGTGCTAGGGACGGGTGCATATCGCTGCTGTGTAGTGCTGCTTGTTGATGAAGGGGGTGTGGTAGTTGTCGGCGTAGTCTGCGAGACTAGGCGCTGTCTATCGTCGGTCTCGTCGTCGCTTTCGTCGTCGTCGCTGCCAAAGGCATCCTCAAGATCCGCATTCACCTGTCTATTCCGTGTCGTAGACGACGCTCGTGAGCGAAAAGAGGGCGGCGGTGAGTTGGGCGTGGCCTCGACAGGCTTGCTCTCGTGATGGTCGTCATCGTCTTGGGGGTTGACCTGGAGTCTGTCAGCACCCGGTAAAAGGTGTTCTTCATCGGTACATACCCTCGCGTATCCTCCCGCCATGTTTGCAGGTAGCGATTAATCTGGCGATGTAGCAACAAGAGGGATGGTTGAGTGAAGGTATCGTCGGGCACACGGCAAAGGGGTGGTGGCGAAGCCGTGCGGGAAACGGGTGACGCGGCGGTCGGGGAATGGCCAGCGGTGATGATGAAACGGTCTGAACGCACGCTGCGGTAAGACAAAAGGAATGGCCGCCGTAGAGACGATAGGAAAATATTAAAGGAAAAAAGAGTAGAAGAGGGCAAAAGTGTATAATATTATTTTAGAGGACAGGAATCAAGGACGAGGCAATCCATCTGTCAAACTTGGCGCGCCACCAAGAGAAACTAGAGTGACACAGCCCCTTCTTCCAGCGGCCTTTAGCGGACTTTGCGCCTGAAGCCCGGTGCCAAAGGCCGCTAAAGTGCACTGGAAGTTTCGACGCACCAGTGACACCTGGCACAGTTTCTGCCTGAGGCGTCGGTCTCTGTAGATGACGTACAGTGTACAACCACCACGCACCGTACCAAACACAGTACGCCAACGTCGCTCTCCATTCAGGTACTGGAGAAAAAAAGTCGAGAAGCTATCGCGAGGCATTGATTCACATTTGTATCAAGCACCACCCAACATGTCGCGAAACCTTGCTGTACGCTAAAACACCCCTCCACTGACTCCTACACACTGCTAATAATCCACAGAGGAAAATATACTCGGACGTCTTCGCCAGATGGCCCCAGCAGGCCCTGCGCCCCGACTACCAGTTCCAAGAGGTCCTGGGCAAGGCCGTCGACGCGCGCTTCAAGACACTCACAGCTGCGGCAGAGCAGGACGAGCTGCTCAAGGCGCGCGGCCTGCAATTCCTCCTTCAGGACAAGTTCCGCGATAGAGTACGATGACCCCCGTGCTTTCTTTCGTTGCGCTCCGCAAACTAACATCTGTCGCAGTACAAGCTCAAGGGCCCGATGCTCGAACCGAAAAGCCAGCCGACATATTTCGACGACCTAGTACGAGAGATTGAAGAGGCGCCAAACCGCAGCTGGCTCGGCCGTCTGGGCAAGCGCCTGTCTGGTATGATTCGCCTGCAATAACGACGTCGCGGGCAACCCAACACAACACAACCAAAAGGGGGCAGCGAGCGCGACGAGATATATATTTGTACGATACCCGCATGGCATGGCTGGCGCATGTAAAATTATAGATTTGTATTATTAGGAGCATTATTCACGTCACACAACAGTCTTTCAATCAAAAGGATATTTGGTTCTATATGTGTACCCGTAATCAAACCCAAGCGCCTAATCGAAATGTGTATATAACAGAAAACACAAACGTACAATCACCATTGCTCGTTTTTTTGTAAACCTCGCGGTTCAAAGTACCCGTCCTCTAGGGCGGTCTGACTGCCAATTTACAGGTACTTTCGCTCGGGGTCCATCTGGTCCATGAGCTCCATGCTCTTCTCGTACATGGTGAACACAATGCCGCCGCTCAGCACGAGTCGAGCCAAGCGAGGCAGGGCACCACTCCAGAAGGTAAGTATACCCTCCTGTTTGAAAATCATGGTTGCGCAGCGCCACGTGTTGCCGTAGAGCTGCTTGGCCTCGATACTCTGCATGCGCGTCTTAATGGTATCGAGCGGCTGCGTGACGGTCACAGTGACCAGGCCGGCCAGACCACCAATTCCAAAAGTGCCAATGGTGCCGAGCTTCTCGCCCGGCGCCGTGTACGACTCGGCCATTTGCTTGAAGAAGGTGTATGCTGTGAAGCGCGTGGCGCTGTTTGCCGACTGGCGCAGTGTCGTGGGCACAAAGCCCTGGAAGAAGCCGCGGATGCCACGCTCGCGGGCAATGATGGGCACGGCGTGCAGGAAGCCGCGCATGCGGGGTTTGGCAGACTTGCGGTCGTCAATCCTACAAACAAGACAAAGGTTAAATTGTGTTCTGGCATGTCGAAAGAGCGAAACTTACAGAGTGGTCTTGATGCTTTCGGTGGGCGTCACGGCGAGCAGCGATTCCGTCACACCGGCACCAAAGCCAGCAAGGACGGTTCTCGGGCCGGAGAGCTTGCCATTCTCGTCGGCGAGGAGCTTCTTGTATTGGTCGAAGGCGACGAATCCTAGGCGGCGGCAGTTAGCATGGGCACTCTCCCAAGGAGGGCAAGAGAACGTACGAATTCCGGCCTTGGCTGAGTTGCCGATAATCAGCGTCGTGCAGCCAGCATACCACTGCTTGCCAAATGGCGGCCAGGGCAGCTTCTGGCCCTCGGCGAGTCTGCGGTTAAGCTGTGTTCTTGTCTTGGCGACTGTCGGCGGGGAGGAGGACGCGGTTAGCAGGGTGTGCGTGTGTGAGAGTTGGCTTTGTTTTGTCTGTCGTCTTACATTCAGCAGGGTAGGTAATAGCTGGACAGAGACTGCTTGTTAGCTTGGACGTCAACGGAGGACGGAGGGGGACGATGACGCACCGATTTCAATCGCGCCGGCCGTTGAGCCAGCAATGATGGAGCGCAGGGGACTGGGCCCCTTTTTGTCGGAGGATTCCTTCGACATGATGAGTTGAGTTGCCGGCAGAGAGAATTGGCAAGAGGCAGCTCAATTGGGCGGGTTGTTGGGAGGCGGTAGGGTGGTGGGTTGTGGTTACAAGGCCGAGGTTGTTTGGCGGGCGGCGCGTGAAATATTGCGGCTGCTGGAGAAAAAGCTTGGAGTTTTTTCTGGGGGGCCGTTTGGCAGGTCGGCAGTGTGGCCCGATACCGGGGTCGCCCAGCAATAACATGCAATTATCGTATGTCAATTTATAAATTAGTCTTCAAAGTCTATATGCACCATTTCATATCTTTGTTCAAAAAATCTGTTTGTCTGAGAATTCATACTTGCTATTGACTTGGAGTGCAAAAACATCATGTGCGCTTCCTCTACCACTACTAGTAGCAAACTACTAGAATAATACATCTGGAACTTGGTTAATATTTACTAACCTGAATAAGCTGACCCATGTAGTATTGTGATATTAATTGATAACCAATCGCTACTCAATATTTGAGGAATAGTGAAGTAGTTACCTTCCGAAGATATCGTTGAGTCCCGATCGGCCTATCCCTACCTGAGCAAAAGTATTGACAATAAAATATCATAAAATGGGTTTTTGGTTTGCCAGTTTATATACATAAACTTTTCAAGTATTTAATTGAAACTCACATACCTTTACAAAAATTTGAAACGAGAAATGATGGTATGTGTTAAAGTTTGGTTGACAACAGGCGGTATAAGTGTGCCTACTCAAGGGTAGTGTAATAGAGGACAGCTGCCGGGTGGCCTCAGAACCAGGATAGGGAGGCTATAATATATCTCATGTATATATATAAGATATGTGAGGCTAGTGTTAGTTGTAACGGGAAGAATTACAATATTTTGGAGGTGAAAAAGAATAAGGAAGTAGTGGTGAATGAAATGTGAGGTGCTGTGATGACAGTACCCAGCTGGGGTCAGGTACTTATCGTAGGTTGATATAGTGGCTATCGACGAGCAATCCTTAAACATTCAATGAGCCAGTCTATTAAAAAAATAATATATATTTGTTTCATTTATGTACATCATCACCAATTTTGAAAAGAGCTGTTCTGGGACGCTCTCACGGCCTCCTGGTAGTCCCAACAGCCGTCCAGCCCAGCTTGCCGCGCTTTCAAAGTTGGTCTCTCAGACTCTTCCTTGACTAGCGATTCCCATCGTCCCCTTGTATTTGTCCTACAGGACGGTGTATCGCACCATAGGACGTGCTTGTTTTTCTCTGTCATTAGCCTCTCCATGTACTCCTCGTCGAGCAGACTCAGCCAACCGATGCTTGTTGGTTTCAAAACACGCCATAAATATCGCATCGACAGAATTATATGGTCGTGCACTCTAAGCCAAAAGTAGACTGCTCCACAGATCCGACATTCCAATGTGATTTTTCGGTCGCATCCGCAACCGTCAAACACATTAGCAATGGCAATATCCGTGACACATCTAACAAAACACCTGCATACTCCAGAGTACACAAATTGCTGAAGGTCATTCTCAACAGATATATGACGACATAACTTATGATAGTTAAAGCCATTCCGTATGAGCATTGATAGCCTCTTCTTTGTATAAGATAGTGATGGTGGCTTACGCAAATTGATACTAACAAGTCGCATGTCCCAACCATATCCTATCCGTTGCCCTGTCGGAAAAATCTGACTTGCAATAAATCGGGGAAATCCAGACCCTACTGTTGGATAGAATACATTATAATACCACTCTGGTTGGTGCTCTCGGTTCGTACAGATCGAATCGCAGTCAGCTGCCCATTGGTGGCTGCCAGAGGACTCAATATCTTGCCATGTAATACGCTTGCATGCGTGACGGTTACATGGTGTAAAATGTCCAGTTTGCCCAATACAAAGTCGCTGCTGACTGCCACCGTCGCTTGTTTGATTATCTTCAGGCATGAACAAGGCATTTAGGTGTTCATCATTGCATCCAGTACAAAATCGTAGACCGCGTAACGCTGATAGCCGGGTAGCTAGAAGACCACTTTCGTTGGCAGCGAGACATGGCAGGCAGTAGTTCTCATGATGTAACAGATTTGCTGTTTCGGCGGCCTCTCCAATAGAGAATCGATAGGTGTTGAACCTCTTGTGGTTGATCATGGATTTTGAATAGTCATGGAAACGGGCAAATTCTCGGGCATCGAAATAGGTCATCATGGTGGTTGATGTTTGACGAAGGCAATATAGCGCAGGTGCAGGCAAGTAGGACATGATGTGAAAGATTAATTCCACTGGCAGAGACATGAATGGAGAGGCATTGCTTGGCGATGGACTTAGATGGTCGTTAGAGTCATGCTTGTCCCGATGCCTATACATTTTGAGATTTAGTGCATTCCCAACCTTCGAAGCCAATCTTTTCGTCCATGACCGTAGAGTATCTTCCAATGATAGTCTTACTATGGCTGAACCTGAATCACTCGTCGAGACATCGCACAAGTCTGCGCTAAGATGAGGTACCCTGGGCCTACTCGTGCCGCGCGTTCGAGCGACTCCGAGAAAGAATCCTCGTTCTTCAAAGGTATTTAAATCCCAGAGCAAGTATGGTTTGTTCATTGTATATATTCGCGGTCTGGGTCTACTGATGTGAAAGCAAGCGAAATAAAGTAAGGTGTGTTTGAAGTTGCACTGTCGAGTAACAAAGTTGTCGATATAAATTGGAAGATTAATCCTAGTTTGAAATTAAACAGTAGTCCGTGTAGAGGTAAATTCTAGATATTTATATACTCGGCATGATAAGTAAAACTTAGTGTTGCAAAGTTTGTGTGTTAGTATACTTTAATACATGCAAACTTTGAGCGGAATTTTCCATACACCACTCTTTGGTTTACAAAAAGTTTATATGAGAGATTCTATGTTTGAAAATGTACAGTTTAGTTGGAAAGTTTTTAATAATAATATTACATGTATTAAAGTAAAAAGTTAAACGTGGCTAACTTACTACCCGACAGTTGCATGGACTCTATACTACTACAATAGCAAGGGAGTAGTACTTTATAGTGACCTATACTCTCTTCTCGTATGATACATATATCCTATTTCGGCTATTACTTTTACACCCATATCTGTCTATTTCAACCCTCTTCAGCTCTCTCTCTCTCTTTTGCCCCTCTTTCTCCCTCTTATCTACGTGCCCGCGTGAACAGTTTTGCTTTGCACCTTGCTGTCTCAGCCCAAACCACGTGCAGCCTATCCCAAAGCCTCATTCTTCAACATACCCGCAGTTAGGCATCCCTTACCCGTCAGACATGCATATCTTGTGCAGACGCTGAAAAAAATTCCCCATGTTGATTACCAATATGTCTGCGACTGCGACCGCGTGTGTTCTGTCTCTTCAAAAAGCCAGCTGTAGCCCTGCCTCTTCTCTCTTGTCTCTCTCTCCTGTCTCGGCATTTCGTTTTTACTTTCTTTTAATATATTCGGTCCCCTGGTCCTGACCCCCCTGTTTCGTCTCGTTCGTACCCGTACCGTCACATCCCGTGCCATTTCAGCCCCTCCCCCTCCCGCACCCGTTATTGCCGACACGCAGCCCTCGGCCTTCCGAAAAAAGCGCAGGACAAACAAACCGGCGCCTCTTTTGTCACGCAGGCAGCCCGGTCGGTGCCTGTTAATTAACAGCTTGGCGCATAGAGTGTGACTCTCGCCGCGTGTTACGTACAAGGTCCAGTCACGAGCTGAGTGTGAGGTGAGGCTAGATACTACAAGACAAAAAACTGCGCCCGTCACAGCCTCTCTTCGACTGTTTTCTTTTTTTCCGTTTTTTAAATTCGAGCTCACGTCAGAGTTTTGCATCCACTGCGGAGCCTATTTTTTTTCTGTTGCAGTTTTCTGCTGCAACTGGACTTGTGACAGACCCCATCTTATCAGATCCCCCGGCCTCGGCGGACCCATCTTATCTGATCCTGGTTCTCACGCCAGGCGCCCGGACACTTATTTTTCGCCGGTTAATCACGCTACCCTGCCAGCAGGGTGCGTTGGCCAGCACAGGGGCCTGCAGTTTCTTACTTTTTCTGCTACATAACGAGCCAACACCCGGGCTTCGACACCTTAGCAACCAACCTACACCATATATCGACTTTATACAATAATAGCGTAGTGTAGCCATGGCTTCGGCAGAGTCACGGCCGCTACTGGCTGCCACCAACACCGACACCGACACCGAAACGAACCCGAAATCCCCCTCTATCCACCATGTTACGCGTTCTAGAGCCGCCGGTGTGGCCCGAATGGACCGAGTGTCCGCTGCTATGACTTCGAACCAGCGTATCGGGCTCTTTTTGTCGATATTTATTGCCGGATTTGCCTATGGCCTCGAAGCACAAGTCCGCTCGGCATACCAACCTAACGCTACAGCGTCGTTTTCGCTTCACTCATATCTGGCAACCATCAACGTGCTTCGCAGCGTGGTTGCAGTTGCAGTGCAGCCGACTTGTGCCAAGATTGCAGACGTCGCCGGCCGATTTGAGGTTATTTTCGTTGCAACATGCTTTTATGTTGGCGGCATGGCCATAGAAAGCACAGCCAGCACCGTTTGGGTGTTTTGCCTAGGCGGCATCATCTACCAGATTGGCTATACGGCTATTGTGCTGCTCCTCGAGGTGCTGATTGCCGACTTTTCATCCATGCGAGCCCGCGTCTTCTTTAGCTATATCCCAGCACTGCCATTTGTTATCAACGCATGGTTGAGTGGAACTGTTACTTCAGCGGTTCTCAGCGTGGCTACTTGGCGCTGGGGCATCGGCATGTGGTGCATTATATATCCTATTGCTACAGCACCGTTGCTCATCATCTTGTACAAAGTCGAGCGCAGTATCCCAGCAGATAAGGCCCCAGAAGTCGCAAAGAAGTTGCCATTCTTTCAAGCCTGGCAGGCTTGGGCAGCAGATGTGTTTGACCAGTTGGATATTTTCGGCCTATTTATCTTGGTCGCCTCGTTTAGTCTTGTTCTGGCACCGCTGACAATTGCAGGCGGCACCACATCACACTGGCAGAACCCCGTCATTATCATCCTCTTGGCGCTGGGAGTCGGAGGATTTATTACATTTATTATTTGGGAAAAGAACTACGCCAAAACACCACTGGTGCCGTTCCATCTTCTCGCTGACCGTGGCGTCTGGGCAGCCCTTGCGGTTCGGAGTCTGCTCAATGTCGCCTGGTACATTCAGGGCACATATCTCTACACGGTGCTTGTCGTGGCATTCGATTTCAGCATCCAGTCTGCCACGCGCATTCTGTCTTTCTTTTCCTTCTTTGGCGTCATTAGCGGCGTGCTAGTTGGACTTGTTGTGTACCGCACCCGCCGCCTCAAGTACATCATTGTCATCGGCACCATTGGGTTTGTCATTGCTTTTGTGCTACTCATCCTCAACCCAGGCGGCGCTGGCGATGATTCCCGCGCCGGTGTTATTAGTGCACAAGTTCTACTTGGTCTAGCAAGCGGATTCTTTGCGTATCCGACACAGGCATCGATCCAGGCTTCAGCATCGCGCGACCACGTCGCCATTCTAACGGGCTTGTATCTATCTTTTTTCAACGTCGGAAGCGCCATGGGAACAGCTGTAAGCGGCGCTGTGTGGACGCAAACGCTCTACTCGTCTCTGCAGCACAACTTGGCGTTCCAGGACAATTCGACGCTGGCCAAATCCATGTACGACGACCCTTTTAGGACAGTAGCCGGATACCCAGTGGGCACCGACATTCGCAGCGCCATTATTCAGAGCTACGGCTACGTACAAGGTCTTCTTTGCGCCGCTGGCCTCGCTATATGTTTGCCCATGGTGGGCTTTGCCATGGCCCTTCGTAACCCGCGACTCGGCGATGCCCTCGTCCAGGAAGATGTCGACAACGAGGCATAAACAGAATACAACACATATTTCTACACACATATGTACACGCGAACAAATGGCGATCGGTTATAGTATTTAGATGTCCCTCGTATATACTATTATTATTAATATCTATTTCGTAACAGTCATATAAACGCAACTACTATTATACATGTGTTCATTTGCCACATCGCCTACTCATAACGGCACGAAACAGGGTTAGCATACTGCGTCATCCTCGGCGTGAAGCCGTAGCAAGTTCCCTGAGCCGCAATAGGACCGCCACTGTTGGACTGAACATAGACAGTCCATGCCGTCGCCGTCTTGGGATCATCTGCACACGCAACCAAGATACCCGCCGAGTTATGCAGCAAGGTATCCTCGTCCAGCGACCATCCGTCAAGCTGGACACCCGTGGGGATGTATCCCGTATCAAAGCCCACACGGCGCAGACCATGGCCCGAATCGTCATTTTCAATGTAAATCTGCTGTCTGACGCCCAGCGAGTAGAGATGCAGCTCGCCATTGTACACGACCAGCGTCGCGTGGTTATGGTTGTTGCTCTTGTCGTCGCACTTTGCGCGCTGCTCAAAGCCGTCCATTGTGACAAGCAGGCTGCGGTGGTCGGCAGAGAGCTTCTGGTAGTGAAGAGGGGTTGCGCTGGCTAGCGTCGTGCCCCAGCGAGGCGTGCCTAGCTCAGCAGGGAGCTTGGGAGATGGTGATGATGTTGGCGCAGGGCAGCTTGGAGCTGCAATGGCAGTCGAGGCCAAGAGGGCGGTGGCGACGAAGAATTTCATGGTGATGATGGTGATGATGAGAAGACAAAGATTGGTTTCCTTCTCTGTTTCTAAGATTTTTAATAATTCAAGTCAGAAAAGCAAGGGATGTGCATGCCCTTTTTAAAGTTTGTGCATGCTTCTGTCTCACTTACACGCCTGGTCGCCCTTTAAATTTCCAGTAGTTGCAAACGGGCCCGCCCTATTGATTCATAGCGGTGTTTAGTCCCTGTATTACAATACGAACTATACAAGGGGGACAGCTCAAAAAAATCGCAGGAGAGGATCGCCATCGCATCACATCAGCCAAGGCCGGGGCGGTGGCGGGCTCGGAAGTTCGGCGCACTCCAAACGTTCAAACATACAGTGTTTTCTTGTATTCCAAACTGCCGTACACACAAACTTTGCCCTAGTACCGTAGCAGTGGTGCGCCAAGATATTCAGTGCCGTGCTGGCAGCATCTCAGCGACTTCGTAAGCCAAGACAACAGGCAGGCAGCCTTGACCGGTTTACTAGAAGGCTGGGCTGCCAACACGAGTTGCGGCTATGTACCGTAACTACCATAAGCTAGCAGCCGATGTGCAGCAATGTATAGTGGTAGCACGCTAAGGAATACGAGGGCACGCGCATGAAAAGAGGGCTGCTTGTTCATTTGGGGGCGGTGGGCGGCAAGACAGCCCTCCGCCACCAAAAGGACGCCCGTAAAATCTGACAGGGAGAGAGAGAGAGAGAGAGAGAGAGAGGCTTGTTACTATTGCTACTGGGAAAACGGAGATAGTGAGCTAACAAGTGGCAGCGGGAGGCATCGCAGCCACCATCACGCCCAGTAGCCACCGGATCCTTGGGCGCCAAAATCAGGAAATGGAAATACCAAAGCTTCAGCAGCAACGTCATCATCGCGTGCCAGAAGCACAATTTTCCTGCTGCAGCGGCCATCGCAGCCCAGAACAACAGCGTAGTCCGCTAGTGGCTCGCCCAATGCAACGCTGTTGGCCCCCCTGTTCCGACGCTGTGAGTGGCCAAAACACCCTTGGCTTATGACGACACTGCTTGTTTTTTGGGGGGTGGTCGGCATTCGCAGGGTCCAAGAGAGTGCATGGTGTTCGATCATCGTGTGGTGTACTGCACAGTAGCGTGTCTATACATGTGGTTGGTAAGTGGTGATGTTTGCCGAGTTTGCCGTTGTTTGGGAACAAACACACACAGACGGTCACGAGGATGCTTTTTGTGTTCTACAGAGGCAGCAATTTAAGAAAATATTCACATTGTATTTCAAGATGAAGTGGTAGTGGTAAGTGTAGTAAATTAAGTAGTTATATGTTCATCTATAGACATCATCGTTCGGTCGTCATTGTCTAAAAAGACATTCCCAAAAAATCAACCAATGATGCACGCTAAACCCGTCTAAAGCAAACTCCCAAAATATCCCAATAAAATAACATAAAGTGCTCTACTGAGTGTAGACGCAGCTAGGCGCATCAGACACGGCGCCCGCGGTAGCCTTGAAGCTGATGCAGTTGCCGCCAGCGCCGCAAGGGCTCAAGCCGCCAGGCTTCATAGTAGAAACGACATAAGGAGCATTAGGCTTAGCTGTGGACGGGCACGCAACGAGATCCTCGCCCTTGAACTGCAGCTGGCCCTCGCTGCCCATGGCCCAGTCACCAGTAGTAGAGTCGCTAGGCGTCGCAGCACCGCCCATCTTGGCGTAGTTGATGACACCAGGGGCAGCGCTAGACTGTTGGACAGCAACCTGCTGGTCGGCGTCGCCAACGAGGTGCAGCTTGCCGTTGTAGATGTACATGAAGGCCTCTTCGGTGGTGCGGCCCTTGCAGACGGCGTCCTGCTTGAAGTCGCCGCCAATCTTGGCCAGGTAGAGGTTTCCATTGGCAGCAGAGACGGCCATGCCCTGAAGAGGAGAGCCTTCGCGGAGGACCTGGATGACAAAGGGAACGCCTTGCTGGGGAGCGCTGGGGACCATGGCCGGGGCCGCGGCGGCGACGGAGGCGAGGATGGTGGTGGATGTGATGAACTTCATGATGTCGGGTTGGAAAGAAGTGTGTTGTGAAGTGTAATATGTTTGTTTGTAGTAGGTAATAGTAGAGGTAGCAAGTAGTAAGTGTGTGGCTTTTTGGTAGCGAACGTCTAAGGTTGAATGATACAGGAATTTCCTCCTTCTGGCAAAAACAGGGCGATCATCGCAAGTCTTTATATATTTTGAGTCCTCTCAACTTTTGTCCTGCCACAAAAACAGGCAATCTCTCCCCCAGCCCACTCTGCTGATCGATACGAACAAACACCAGCAAAGGGGAACTTGCGACGATCCCTTGCAGCGAGACCCGCCATGTTCGTCATATTGCCCCGAGCTCCTATAGTGTGAACGGTGCCTTTTCAGTGGGTGAGACACTATATTTGGATGGCGGGGGCCAAAGCTTAGGGTCTCATTGGGCGCCGAATCAGGCTAGTGGCGCGGTTAGAATACGAGAAGAGCCCTGCTGGATGCGCAGAAGCGATGGATGACGTTTGCCCAGCCGGCACACGGGACGGGATTCAGGGACCCTGATTCTCTCGCTGTTTGCTGGGAGGAGGATGGAGAATGACGAGTCGGTGATGTCGGCCAAGCAGTGCAATGTATGTATAGACATGCACGTTATGCATCTCCGGGTCTACCTGTTTTTTTATTTATTTTTAGCTACATCATAACGATAGATAGAATAGACTGTGTCTCGATTAGGGCTTATTATGAAAATTTTCTTCTATATTTCCTTTCATTAAGTCGCGATGCGCCGCTGGTGTTGGTGGCGGAGCAAGGCTGGCACGGGTGAATGTAACAATTCATCACTACGAAAATCCGTATTTCTAAAATAGCATGGCCGAAAATAAAGAAACACGAGAAAGTCCAAGTCAAATCTAGATAATCTCCGATAAAACTTTAAAAGATAGATTATAAAGTATACAAGTAGCCATACTAGTTATATAGAGAGGATAACTATAGAGCATTACTCGTGAAATAATAAAAATAGGCAATGTTTGTGTAGTAGGCCGTGAAATAATAAAAAGGCATAAAGTTTGTTTTGCAACTCGAGAAATAATAAAAAGAGGCAAAGTTTGCGTGGTAGCCCGTGAAATAACTCAAACCATATTTGGAAGTCTCTATATCAACTATAACTTTATTCGATTAAAAGAGCGAAATGCTTTATAGGGGGATAGTATAATAATGTGTTATAATTGATCTTTAGTATAAATAAAAAGGGAAAAATTACAAACGAAATAAAGAAGTATGGCGCTGAGCTCTTACAAGAGCCAAAGATGCACGAATACGTCTCTGAACAAGTTAGTTGTCGTAGTCGTAGTCCTGCTCGGGTTCCTCGTAAGAAGGCTCCTCGTAAGAGGGCTGCTCGTAGTCAGTGTTGTTGTTGCCGCTCTCGGGGACAATGGGCTCCTTGCCGTCCTTGTCGGCAAAGGGGTCGTTGTGGCGGTCCGTGTTGCGGACATACTCCTGGATCTCAGCAAGATCGTCGGCAACAGCCTGGCCCCAGATATCAGTGATGAAGCCGTATACCATGTCCATGCCGGCCGAGATGCCAGAGGAGGTGTAGATGTTGCCATCGACAACCCAGCGAGCCTCGTTGATCCAGTTGGTCTTGGGGCCAAGAGGGACAACCTCGTCAAAGGACTGCTTGTTGGTGGTGGCGTTGCGGCCGTCGAGGACACCAGCACGGGCAGCAAGTGCAGAGCCGGTGCAGACAGTCAAGAGGTACTTGAGCTTGGGGTACTGCAGCTTGACAAAGTCGACAACGTGCTGCGAGGCAGCCGTGTCGCGAGTACCCAGGCCACCAGGGACAAGGAGGACCTCGAGATCGGGGCGGGGAGCCTCGATGGCGTGCGTGGCCACGAACGAGGCGCCAACGGGGCCCTTGCCGGGGACAACGCTGCTGACGGTCTTGTTGCCAGTGGTCAGGATGTCGACGGTGATGTTGGCATGCTTCTGGAGCGTGGCCAGTGTGTCCAGAGGGCCGTAGGCATCGAGCACCTGGAAGCCGTCAAAGAGGACAATGCCAAACTTGGTAGGCTTGACAGCGGGAGGCGTGGCGGCAGGAGGCGCAATAGCAGGTGTAGTGGCGGCAGGAGGGGCGGCGCTGGAGGAGGCAGCAGGAGTTGAAGAGGACTCGGGGATGCTCGAGGAGGCGGGCTCGGTGGCCTCGGGGATGGTGCTGGACACAGGGGGAGTGACGAGCGTGCTGTTGTCGGCGCGGATGGCGAGGCCCGAGGCTGAGGCCGTCAGCAGAGAGAGAAGGACAGAGGACTTGACAAGCATCTTGATCGTTGGCGCTAAAAGAAGGCTGCGGCTGAAAGAAGAAGAATGAAGAAGAGGAGGAGGCTGTGTATTAGATGAGGAGTGAGTGTCTGATGAGAATCGAAACAGAATCCAAGCGGGAAATCCAGCTGGTATTTATTTTGCCATTTGTCCCTGCTTTTTGCATTGAGAGTTATCTGCCATTCGCTTGCTTGTCATCTACAGCATCGCAACGGACACGATATTCTCTGCAACGCTGGCTTACACGGTGTAGGAGCCGTTGCGCCTACAGACGTTGCGTTGCGCTGGGCCCGCACGCGATGGCGCTGCAGCCTGCCGGTGCCTGGGCGCGCTGATTAGCGGAAGCCTTTTTTGCGCCATATTCTACTTAATTAATTTCATCAACGGCGCCCCAGTGGGGGAAGAAAGAGGCGGGTGGTGGCCGCGCACTGCAGAGCTTACATCGCCAGAAGCCGCCAAACGCGCAGACTTTTTGACAGGAAATAGCGTGCGGAATAGGCAGGTGGGTTAGGGGGGCGTGAGTGGGAATAGGGCGATTTGTAGGGCTGAACAAGCCACTCAATCAGCTAAAAGAGGAGGTCTTTGCTCCGCTGCAAGCCAATCAGGCTGGAGAGTAGACGAAGCACCGCCGCGTCGCAATGGCTCTTCACCTTTTCTTCCAAGCGCGTGCAGCAGCAACGGTGAGAGATTTTGCTTCGAAGCTAATGACCAATTGTGAAGCGAAAGGGTTGCGTGCTCTGCTCGCCTCATCGTCAGCCTGGAGGGTTCCCCTTGCGCGTGCTGTGTTGCAGAGTATCTCCCAGCAAGTGTCGTGTGCTATGCTACTGCTGCATTACTTTGCATCGTCTGGGCGGCCATTGATCGTCTAAGCGAACAAAACATCACCATACCAAAGATGCACAGCGGTAAAGTCATGGCTGCTGCGTCATGTTGCATCCCGTGACAGCTCGCTACTTCGCTGGGTTGCGCTACGGGATGCGACCCAACGGCGGACCCAGCGGACTGGACCAGGGCAACGACAGGGCGAAGGAAAAAAGTCAATCACTCACGTATTGCCCTGCTAAATATACCGAATAGAGTCACGGGCGGCCCTCTGCGCCCAGCTAAAGGCTAAAGTCGTCTGCAGGCACAAGGAGTCATAGCCTGATCTGACACGGTGATTGGCTGCGCGCAACGACACGCCCCCTCCAAACGAAAAGGCTGCAGCCTCACCCGTTCCCTCACCGGAGGGGTTCTTCGTTTCGCACAGCGGCGGACACTTTGAGAAGTACTCGCCTTGGCCCCCCCGACGATGAGGCAATGCGGCAGTGCTTGCAATCGGGCGGCCGCGGCGGAGGAACGAAGGTGTGCCTCGTGGATAGGCGAACGAAGCGAACGGGGGAATACGATGCGGATGACGGCCGTGGGCTGAACTGAAGTTATAAAAGGGATTGAGGCTGCCGGCTTGGAGGAAATGATATCCGGATCTCGTCCCTATTCTGTTTCTATCCATCTTTATTATCAATCACTCTTTTATAAAACAAAACAAACAAAAACAAACAGCACTTACACACTTGTACACCCATACACTTACACGTCTTCAAGACTACTTCGCCTGCTCAACAGCAACAAAATCCCAAGACGCTACCTGCCCGTATAGCTCTTTTTGTGTTAGCATGGCTGAAAACACCAGCAACAACAACACACTGCAAGACGCTGGGCCAAAGGACCCTGCTCAACTAGGAAAGCTCTGGGAACAACTCGAAAAGGAACTCCCGGTCGACATACACATTGATGAGACGCACAAGGATAAGACGGCTCTGCAGCTGCTAGAGTCAGAGCCCACGGCATCCATCTTCCACAAATTCGTCAAGGAGAACCCAGACATCCTCAAGACATTCAGCACAACTTCCGATGGAGAGTACACATTCTTTGTACCAGTCGATGGCGGCTGGCCTCCTGTAGGCAACACTACTGCAAGCGAAGTCGGGCCTGAAGGATGGCCTCCTCCTGGCAGACGGGCTGCTGGAGAAGTTGGACCCGAGGGATGGCCTCCTCCCGGTAGAAAGGTAGCCGGAGAAGTCGGACCTGAAGGGTGGCCACCACCTGGTAAGGCAGCTTTAGCTGGCGAGGTTGGACCTGAAGGGTGGCCCCCTCCTGGTAAGGCGGCTATGGCTGGCGAGATTGGACCCGAAGGCTGGCCTCCTCCCGGTAGAAAGGTAGCCGGAGAAGTCGGACCTGAAGGGTGGCCACCACCTGGTAAGGCAGCTTTAGCTGGCGAGGTTGGACCTGAAGGGTGGCCCCCTCCTGGTAAGGCGGCTATGGCTGGCGAGATTGGACCCGAAGGCTGGCCTCCTCCCGGTAGAAAGGTAGCCGGAGAAGTCGGACCTGAAGGGTGGCCACCACCTGGTAAGGCAGCTTTAGCTGGCGAGGTTGGACCCGAAGGATGGCCCCCTCCCGGTAAGAGAGAAGCTGGTGAAGTAGGCCCCGAGGGATGGCCTCCACCTGGCAAGGCCAACATCGCCGCGCCTGCTGATACTCCCGATGACGGCTGGCCACCACCCGGTTTGGCTGCCGAAGCAGCTCCCTCTAACGATAAGCCACCTGAGATCGGCTGGCCTCGAGCAGAGAAGGCTGTGGCGGCAGGTGAGCCAGAGATTGGCTGGCCCAAGCCTACAGCTCCAAGCACCGGAGAGATCGGACCTGAAGGATGGCCTCCTCCCGGCAAGGCCAACATTGCTGCTATACCATCTTCTGGTGAAGGCACCAACGGTTGGCCGCCACCTGGTAGAAAGGAAGCAATCCGCCATAACGTCCCCAGCTCTTCCAGCACGAACCCGGGCGGATGGCCTCCTGCTTCCAACACTGCTCTGATTCACGCCATCAACAGAGTCTCACAGCCTGGAAACGACTCAAGCGAGTCAGAGGATCAGCCTGCTGATAAGACGGCACCAGGTGACGTTGGGCCTGAAGGTTGGCCTCCTCCTGGCAGGAGGGCCGCCGGTGAAGTTGGACCTGAGGGATGGCCCCCTCCAGGTAAACTTGCCGCAGACGAGGTCGGACCAGAGGGTTGGCCTCCCCCTGGCAAGCGAGCTGCTGAGGGAACCGATGGAGGATGGCCTCCTGTGGGCAAGAAGGTGGCTGCTAGCACTGATGACGAGAAGCCCCCCGAGATTGGATGGCCTCGCGCAGAAGAGGCCAGCAGCAAGCCCCCAGAGATTGGTTGGCCACATCCACCACAACCTCCTGCTGTTGCTACCGCCAGTGACGAGAAGCCTCCAGAGATTGGCTGGCCCCGTGTAGCAGAGACTGCCGCTGCTAGCACCGATAAACCTCCCGAGATTGGCTGGCCTCATCCTGGACAACCTCCCGCTGCTACTGCCAACGACGATGGAAAGCCCCCAGAAATCGGCTGGCCCCGTGCCAAAGAGGCTACCGCAGACGACGAGAAGCCGCCAGAGATTGGGTGGCCTCGCGCAGAGAAGGATGCTACTGTTGATGCTGCTAAGCCACCAGAGATCGGTTGGCCGCATCCTCCACAGCCTATTGCTGCTGGTACGGATAAGTCTGACGAGATTGGTTGGCCTCGTGTGGCAGAGGCTACTGCTACTGTTGATGCTGCTAAGCCTCCTGAAATCGGTTGGCCAAACCCACCACATCCCACTGTTGCCGGCACCAACGACGACAAGCCTCCAGAGATAGGATGGCCTCGTACGGCAACAGATACTGCTGTTAGCACTGACAAACCGCCTGAGATTGGTTGGCCTCATCCTCCGCAACCTTCTGTTACTGGTACCAACGATGAGAAACCACCAGAGATTGGCTGGCCTCGTGCTGAAACAGACACTGCTGCTGATACAGCTAAGCCTCCTGAGATTGGTTGGCCCCGTAAGGAAGCAGACTCGGCTGCCAAACCTCCAGAGATTGGTTGGCCTCACCCAGGACAGCCTCCGGTTGTGAGCACCAGCGATGAGAAGCCTCCCGAGATTGGATGGCCTCGTAAGGAAACAGACGCGGCTGCTACCGCCGACGATGAGAAACCTCCCGAGATTGGCTGGCCCCGTGTAGCAGACACTACAGACAAGCCGCCCGAGATTGGATGGCCTCGTGTCGCTACTCCCTCCACCGACCTGCTCTCTCACCACATCGTGCCTCACTTCTTCACGACCGAATGGCTACGACACATGGCCAACATCCCCACGCTCGCCCGCAACAAGGTCAGCAACCGCCCTGGCATGTTCACGCCCTCCTTTGCAGCTTCCACCGGCGGCGTCATCAACAGCACCGTCAAAATCCTCAAGAGCAACGTCAAGGTCGCCAACGGCATTGTGCACTTCATCTCTGCGCCCCTGACCCGCCCAGCCGACCTCCTCAGTGTTGTCGAGAACCAAGCCAACGTGCCCGACATCATCAAGAACACTATCAAGCAGCACAACCTTATCCCTGTCGACCATGAGCAGACTGCCATCTTGCCCTCGACTGAGGCCTTCCAGCGCCTCGGCGACGAGACTGTCCAGTTTCTCTCGTCGGCTGATGGCGCGCCGTACCTGACTGCGCTGGTCAAGTACCATATTGTGCCGAATACGACATTCTACCGCACTTTCATTTGGCCCAAGAATGATATTGACAGACGTATTCCTTCCACTGAGGCCCCTTCGACTCATATTGGTACGCGCAATGTTCCCTTTGACACGCTGCTCAAGGATAAGGATGGCAAGGCGGAGCAGATTGACCTGACGATCCATCGTCATATCGGGTTGATTGATCTGGGCTTCAATAAGACTGTTGCGGGAGAGGAATTGGATGTTTCGGCTAACAATGGCTCCTTGCACGTTCTTAAGCGTGTCTTGATGCCTGGCGGTGCTGGCGCCGCAGAGGGCGCTGTGTCTGTGGATGACCTCAAGAAGGCTTTTGACGGATTCGCTTTGTAATTGAGTTTGTTTATGTATTTGTACCAGATAGTTTCATTATTATTGTATAAGATTATATGTTCAACTTGATGACACATTATGTTTGTGTGAATGGTTATATGTTGTCGTGTAAATTGCTTACATTTGCGAGTTGGCAATATTGTTGTCAAAATTCTTGGTACCAAACGGGAAATCAGCCTCTCCAAAGTCGTACTTGTCCATGGCCTTGAAGGCAACATCCGTGAGTTTCTCGTACGCAATTAATGGCTGCTCGGAGCCCTCGCGGTCTGTTGTGTCGAGATGGTGGTCCAGCGGCCACACATTACGGTAGCTAATCAGCGGTCTGTCGCCGTCAAAGTGCATCTTGTTGTCTCCAGCCTTGTACTTGTGATCATATTTGCCGTGTTCCTGGATCGCCGTGCCAATGTATGTTGCGTTGGCGCTGCTGTCAGAGAACCACAGCACAATATTCTCCCAATCGTGGCGATGTCCAAGGCCGACGGACGGCACATCCTTGGGGAAGTACCACGAGTACATGATGGCAAACTTGCCGTTGCGCTCAGCGCTACGCACATAGACTTGGCCTTTTCCAAAATCGCATTCGTTCGATTGATCGCCATCGCCTTTGTCTAGCCCATCGCTAGAATGTGTTAGCGATATAAAATTCAGTAGGGCCGCTCGACAGCAAAGAATTGCTTACTTGACGTTGCCCTGAGGGTCCACGGCTGGGAATGGCAGACAACCCGAGATTACCTGCAAAAAGGGCTTGTATCGCAGATACTGCTGGCCCAAAAGACCAGCGGGTACAGCCTGGTCAAAGGGCTTGACCTTGTCGTGTGCAAGGCGAGGCTTCACGGCGGCGCCTGAGATGGTCGAAGCGGCCAGGAGAGCGCTAGCCGCGAGTTGTGTAAAAGTGACCATTATTATTAGCTGAGGAGATATTGGTTGGCTTTCCGATCGGGCGATCCGCGACAAGTGCCGATGGGATTTCTTTTTATATTATTTGCCTTCACATGTTTTGTCTGGTCGCAATCCACCTGCTGCTTATGGGCTCGGTGTATTATTGCAAAACGGCCCGAATATCACCGCCTTGACCATGAAAGCGCTAGCTCGCTCCAACCCACGTGTGCTCCATTTGAAGTGGCGTCTTGGATGCGGCAAGCTTTCAGATGAACTATTTCAATGGCATAAATTTCATCTTCCTCATGGGGCATTAAAGAGGCGGCAGTGCTGGTGGCGTTCATGCAGTAGGCTGGGAGTAGCACGGTAAATCTGTAGCCAGAGGTCCAATGCGCCGCTAGCGTTTCATAGTCACTGGTCTAGGCGTTGCCGAATATTGGCGTATGTGACATCGATGCTGTTTATTCTATGTAGCTTAAATCTGAACACCTATGGCCCGTAGCCACCGCACGTATACTGCTTTGGGAATCGGATCTCCAAATTGCGAGTCGTCTCCGTCACTCCGGTGGACCGATGCTTCGCGCCAGGCGCTTGCTGTGGCCACGGTGCCGCGAGCCAATGCTGAGATGAACATGACAAGAGCCTGGCGTTGGTACGTCAATGGCGAAGGGTTATGGTTGAGGGCATAGCGGTTGGACATTTGCAGAGTTTCCTTCTCCATGGCGTACCGTCCAGGCAGGCCCAGTGCAAAGCAGAGGCGGTTATAGAGAATCATCTGTGCGATAAGGCTCATCTCGAGATCCGGCCAGTATTCATCGTGAGCGTCTCTCCCTCCATAACGTACCGTCATTGCATCGGCCCATCGGTAAAGCAGGCTTCGCTTAAGTATAACCTGGGCCCCCAGATGCTCCAGCTCGTCCGTCTTGTGACGGTTATCCTCCATGCCGAGCACCACGGTGCATCTTGTCAGAAACGTGAGGATAGGCATAAAATGCACAAAGTAGTCGAGGCAGGCTTGTGACCGATCCGTTGCTAGATGGGCGCCGTAATCATGGCCCTCTTCAGCGCCAACCACCACCGACAGCCACTCCACGCTGTCCAAGAATGGGGCCTCGTGGCGCATAAAGGCTTGCATTGACTGCTTCTGTTAGACGGCTACCTTGTAGGGCGTAATAATACAAACAAACAGAAAAACATACTATACTAGTCAACTGGCTTGTTAAGAGCGATTTTTCAAAATCCGTGCGGAATCGCTTGTGCCCGCGGTGCTCAATCAGCCGAGCTGCGCCTAGGGCATGGGCGAGCGTCGGCTGAGGGTCGTCGGTGAAGAAGGACTGCAGACACCAAGTTAGTCAATTCCATCAAATTAGAAAGTAGGATATGTTGGACAAACTTCGAAAAACGAGAGAAGCTCTACTGCGCAGAGAGTCTCAGGTGCCAAACACTGCACCGGATCGGCCAAGTCGTCTTTTAATTGCGCTATGGCGTCGCCATAGAATATTAAGCATTGTCTTTCCAACGCCGGTTGCGCTGATGTAAATTTACGCATCTCAAAGAGCCTCATGACATGAGAAAGACTCTTGAGCGCTGCATCTAGCGTAGAATTGTACCCGGCGCGGCGTGGCAGTTGAGCCACGTAAGAGAGAACCCCTCTTCCACGATACAGAATGTACTTGGATGGCGTAAACGGTGCAATGTGGTCCTCTGTTATAGTAGAAATCTCATGAATAAGGAGTATCAGATCTCTCACGTCAGAAGAGCCATTGAGCTGTGGAGACGAAGATAGTTGGAGGGATGGGCGTGCTACCAGCGGCCGCAGCTCCGTGGCAGTGGCAGCGCTGTTGCGACCTGGCGCGTAGCCATGGCACTGGAAATTCCCCTTGAGGCATCTCTTGCAGACCGGTTTGGACTCATCACACTTGACTCGTCTTGATCTATAGCGGGTGGTTGGCCATTAGCATCGTCGGCGATAGAGTAGGGGGCCATCGGCAGTTGCACGGACCTGCAGGTGATGCAACCAGTTTTGACCTTTTGTGACCACCTCTTTTGGCGGGTAATTGGCCGTTTGGTTTGCTTTCCAGTAGAAGCAGGAGCTTCAGCCATGCTGGGCAATTGAATTGAACAAAGTCAATATTCTGTACAACGTCCGCCTTGTACGCGTGGTCAGGAAAAGAGACAGGGTGGTGGCGAGGTGGTGCGGCATTGCATTTGAGGCTCCAGCTGACGAGGCACGCGTGCGGTACGTGCGGGCAAGGCTCCAGCCACTACCGTATTAGGTTTTTGGCCGCTGCAAGAGAAATTGTGTAGGATTATTCCTATTCTGATTATTTTTGACAAATCAAAAGGTTGAAAGTTAATTGGTGCGTCGAATGTGATATTTTTGTCGGCTGCTGCTTCTGGTCATGTTTCGCTGTTGATGAAAGCCTCTGAAGGTCTGGTATCAGTATCTGTGTCAGCCCTGTCCAGCCTTGTCGAGATTGTGGTGATCCCATCCTTTTAAAGAGAACTTACAGTTCTGTTTATTACATGGTTCAAGTTGTATTGGCATCGTCACGTCGGGCTTATCGATAGTTGGAGAGCAGGCGTACGGAATGCTTTCAATTGCTCGTCGAGAAACGACTTTGGTTGGCGGATTAACTGAATTCTAGAATCTCCGCTGTCTGCGCTGTAATTTATTATTCGATATCTCAAATCGGGGAATAACGTCGCACGGTACGATTCGTGTTGCGTGCAAATGGCATGCTGCTGCCTGGCGCCCGCTCTGGTGTTGGGACGAGAAACGGTGAACTCGTGGCGTGAGTGGCCGTAGCGCAAGACACCGCAGAATTCACGGCCGGTGCTCCGTCACGATTCCACGTCCACCTCGTCACCAAAATGCAAAATGCAAAATTTCCGTTCTTGTCCATCGATCTTAGGCATCCACGGGCGATCGGCGTTTTCAAACCATAAATTGTGTGACGCTCTACCATCGTATTGAACCCGAGCGCAACGGCGGCTTGGAGAGCTGAAGCCACCATCAACCTAAAAAGAAGTATAAAAGTCCCCCAATTGACCCTCGTTTTTCAGGATAAAATCCATCCAGATCAACCCAATAACAAACACTCACAAGTCAATCAATCAACCAATCCATTTCCCCTTCTTACCCAATTCACTCAATTGATCAAACACCCCTCTTCACCCACCATGCCCAAGTACATGATCCTCATCAAAGGCAATGCCGGCTCCGAGTCCATCCCCAAAAAGGGCGAGGTCAGCGAAGAGGTGGCTGCCATGAACAACAAGATGTTCAATGAGATGGTTACTTTCAACGAAAAGCTCATTGAGGCAGAAGTCCTCGTTGAGCTCGGCGGCTTCGAGTCCACCCACGCCGCCCACCGCATGGAGTACTCTGCCACTGGTGCGCCACAGATCACCCCTGGCCCCTTTGATCTCGAAAAGGAACGCATGCCATGTGGCTTCTGGTTGCTTGAGACCAAGGACGACGAAGAGGTCCTCAAGTGGGCGAAGCAGATTCCCTTCCAGCAGGGAGAGGTTATTATTCACAAGCTTGGCAAGGCTTCCGAGATGCCTGGCTTTGATGATGATCTGATGAAGAGAGAGGAGAAGATGGATGCTGCGTTGCTTGCTCGCCGCATCAAGTTTCAGAAGTAAAATATTAGTACTTCTTTAGCTATGCTACTTATGAATAAAAACAATGCTGTCATTACCGCACCAAATATGGAGTTCATAGGTACAGTGGTTGCCACGTAAATCTCAACTATACGAAAGGAATTGATTACAATTTCGATGTACAGATTTTGCGACTACACAGAGTTTGAATTTATATTACGTTTTTTTTTAAATTTTACTTTAGCTATTTTATTAATGTTTTGTGACATCAATACGCATGTATGCAAGTTTACTCCCTATATAGCGATTTTACCATAGAGTGACAGTCTCTATTAAACACAGCACAGGCCCTGTCAACACAGCATACAATAATCGCAATTATGAATATTAATCAACCATCATAACTCTCCTCCGATGCATTGCCGAATCGCCTAGGATTCTCCGCGGCTAAATCATCACGATGGCGCCTTGGACCGTGGAAACCCGGGTATAACAGTGCTGTAGGAGCCCACCCCGCGGATAAACCAGAGGCTCCCCATGGGATTTGTCAACGGCGCCCTCCACCCCCGCAACGTCGCTTGCGTATGCAACTCAGTGTCCCCCACGAACGCTTTTCTACTGCACGGCCCGCTCCCTGTTCCTGCATCATCACCTCCATTGTGCATTTACAACACCATCACATTGGGTACGTTGCAGCATCGTCAGCCTACCATTCCCTTTCATTTGTCATACTAATATAGAAGTTTAAAAAGAAAAAAATCGACCATCACATTTACAATGGAAGAAAAAGTGGTTGAGTCGCAGCAGCCACTGCTCCCTCAACAGTCACCAGCCCCCAAGAAGAGCCGTCGCTGGCTGATTCCATTCCTTCTCATCGGATGCTGGGTCTTGGCAACCTACGGAACTCGCTACGTCCCCCATCGCGGGCATGGCCACCGCCCTCACCGCCATGGCTCGCATGGCCATGCTGATGGCAGCGCTGCAGCCGCACAATGCCCGCAAGTTGAGCCTCTGCGCCCAACCCTCAAGAGCACGCAGCTTGACGAGATGGACAACTTCCTTGCCAGCCAGGAGTTCCGTGACATCACTGTTGAGCGAATCGCCGGCGCTATCCGCATCCCTTCCGAGAGCTACGATGATATGGGCGAAGTCGGAGAGGACAAGCGCTGGGATGTCATGTTTGATATCGCTGCCTATCTCGAAAAGACGTTCCCTCACGTCCACTCGACCCTAACCCTCGAAAAGGTCAACACGCATGGGCTCTTTTACACCTGGAAGGGATCTGAAGAATCTCTCAAGCCCATCATCTTGATGGCTCACCAAGACGTCGTCCCGGTCGACCCGGCCACCGTTAGCCAGTGGGAACATGCTCCCTGGAGCGGCGACTACGATGGCAAGTACATCTGGGGCCGTGGCTCTACCGACTGCAAGGACTCACTCATCGGTATTCTCGAAGCTGTGGAACATTTGATTGAAGCCAACTTCCAGCCCAAGCGTACCATTATTCTGTCCTTTGGGTTTGATGAAGAAATCTCTGGTGGTCGTGGCGCACGCAGACTCGGTGGAGCTATTCTCGAGCGCTACGGAAAGGACAGCATCGAGGCCATCGTCGATGAAGGCGCCGGTTTGGCCAAGGTATGGGGTACTCTCTTTGCACTCCCTGCCGTCGGCGAAAAGGGCTACATTGATGTCGAGGTTGTCGTCCGTATGCCTGGCGGCCACTCGTCCATCCCCTCGCCCCATACCAGCATCGGCGTTGCATCCGAGTTTATCTCGCTCATCGAAGCCAACCCCTACGAGTCGAAGCTGTACCCCGAGAACCCGTTCCTCGGCCTCCTTCAATGCGGTGCTGCCCACGGCCCCGAGTTCCCCAAGAAGCTTAAGAAGCTTCTCCCCGGCGGCCCCAGAACCTGCAGCAAGAAGGGCAGACTCGAACGCGAGTTGGGCGCGCTGGACCCAGTGGCAAAGTATTCCTTCACCACCTCCCAGGCTGTCGACGTCATCAACGGCGGCGTCAAGGCCAACGCTCTCCCCGAGCGCACCACGTTCCTCATTAACCACCGCGTCAACATTGGCGAGACACCCGACGATGTCATGAAGCAGATTACCAAGCTGGCCTCCAAGATTGCCAAGAAGTACAAGCTTACTCTGAATGCATTCAATGATGCCGAAGAGATCCCCTCATCCATCACCATCTCGCACCGACCTGATATCTTGTATCCTGCGCCTGTGACGCCCACTTCTGTTGAAGGAACGACCCCGTACGGTATCCTCGCTGGTACCACCCGCGCCTTGTATGGCGATGTTGTCATGTCACCTGGCCTCATGACCGGCAACACCGACACCAAGTACTACTGGAACTTGACCAAGCACATCTTCCGCTTTGGCCCTGGCTTTGATGTCAATGATCATGATCTCACGTTTAATGCACACACTGTCAATGAGAGGCTGAGTGTCGTTGCCCATATCAAGCTTGTGCAGTGGTACAGCTTGTTTATGCGCAACATGGACGAGGCCCAGCTGTAGTCGTAAAATAGGTGAATAGTCACGTTGCAATAAATAAAGAAATATTCAAGTTCTATAATTTTCCTCGTAGTGGTGTTTTCATTAACTGCGTGATGTTGGCTTCTTTTATTCGTCTGTTTTATTCGTCTGTTTTTTTGGTTCTGTGTGCAGCCTTTGCCCTTGGTCTCTAGCGTGAACTTGCGCGTGGTGGTTCACCTTCAGCACTCACGGCACTCTATTTCAACAATGTGTTACGACGCGTTGATTTTACACCTCTATTTTATCCCCACGACATTCGTATTTCAGTCTTTTCGATACTGCAAACAAAAATGAACCCGTATGAATGCGACCCTGCCTGTATCCCGTCCGACGACGCCTACGCAGATCTGCCCTCGTATGGCAGATATTCACCCAAAGGACGACGACTTTCATGTCGGCTTGAGATTCGCAAACTCGGCCTCAGACGAGTTACTGACCTATTGGAACTCAGTCGTCGTGCTTTGCACACCAGACATCTCCATCTACCGCGCTGATGACGGCGGACGAGACGTATTTGCTTTGGGCACCGTGATTGTCAAGTCAAGCCATTTGCACGCCGAAGAAGAATCAGACTGGACATTTTCCGATGCCAACGAATCAAAAGCTATGGAAATTGCCAAAAAGCTGTTGCTGGATATAAAACTACCAGAAACCTACTTTGCTGGCAAGGTGAGCTGCACCCCAGCTCTACAAGATCGACAAACCATCCAACGAATTGATGCAGATCAACGGGCACCAAGTCCTCGTGCAAGAGTGCCTCCCAGGTATCGGGCTCAATGTTTCGTATCCATATCTTACAGATGATGAGAAACACACGTTTAAAACGCAAGCAAGAGACGTCATCCGTCGGCTACAGACCGTTCCAATCCCAAGTTGCATCACAGCACGCAACCACATTGTGCCAGATCTCGATATGCGCAATAAGCCACACAAGATGACGGCGGAGAAAGTTGCCATAATATTTGACGAAAATTTGGATGATGATTTTGGATTCATGCACAATGATCTCAGCGACTCAAACATCATCGTCGACAACGGTCGCATTGTGGACATCATTGACTGGGAGAGTGCGGGCTACATTGGAAGAAGGACTGCGGCCGAAATCCATCGCCGCATTCGAACACCGCAGTTGGAGCACTACAAGAATGTTCAACTTGGTGAAGAGAAGCTGAACGAGATGATGTGGTGGAACGACCCGTATGATTAAGACAGGTGAACTGCACAGGATGCCTCCGGACATGGATGAGACCATGAACTGACCAAGATCCACTATACGGTGCTATATTCCGTTTTATACGGTCATGATTATTTGTGACTTGGATAACATCCGTGGTACTATTTACGTCGATTGAAAACCGTTTACACTGAAAGGGCTCGAACTGCTTCGTCCTTCCTACGGTCGACATGCCTTCCACTAAAGCAACCACCTCTCTGTTCCCTCGTTAAGTTGGGCCATTCTTTGGACGATGAGAGAAGCGAAGAAAAATATACAGTTCGAATATTTGCTGCTTTGGATAAACATCCAATAGATACGGTGATGCTTGTCGGCCACGCATGCGACCGAAGATAGTACCAATCCACGCTGCAACCTATTATAAATATTATTGTTGCGTCTAAGACTACCCGTATCACGACAAATGCGCACCACATTAAACTACTCAAACTCGCGCATGAACTTCTCGGTTACGTAAAATTGACCCTTGCACAAAAACCCAGACAGTGCGCTCCTATTTGCTTCCGAGATGTCTCGAATCGTCTTTCGATCTGAGGCATACTATTTACGTCAACTCAATCAATGCGGATAAGCAAGCCCAGCATACGGGAAGAAGCTGACACTATCTCTTCACGTCATGGAATGGCATGTTTCAAAGGAAAAACAGCCTGCAGTGGTGGTATAAATATCTACCTCTTCATATGCAGGGCGTCTCTTGTTTTTCGCACAGATTGTTCTTGTTCTGAAAGGCAACGAAGACGATACACAACGACAGTCGACAATGCGCCTTTCCTCCTTGATTCCATTCCTGGCTGTTGCCGCTGCGGCCCCGTCCGAGAAGCGATTAGCACCTATAAATACAGGATACGGCAACATCATGCCTGATCACTACATTGTTAAGCTTTTCGACGGTAGCGCTGTGCGTGGCGCATCCAGCGCAATGGCTCTTCTTGACGAAGAGCCTTCACATGTCTATGAAAGAGTTATGCGAGGCTTTGCCGCCAAAATCTCACCAGAGACACTGGAGAAGCTGCGCGCCCACAGCGACGTCGAGTACATCGACCACGACGGATGGGGTGAGGCTGCTGTTGAGCCTGGTTGGAACGAGACGCAGCCAGTCTCCCTTGGAGAGGCCGTGGATAAGAAGACACAGGCCGATGCTCCTTGGGGTTTGGGTCGCATCTCTGCCAAGTCACCGGGCGCCAAAGACTACGTTTACGACTCTTCTGCCGGCGAGGGCACCTGCTCATACATTCTGGATAGCGGCGTAGACACCAAACACGAAGACTTTGAAGGTCGAGCCTCCGTTGGCAAAACGTTTGTGGGTAGCGCAGGCGACAGGTTGGGCCACGGTACCCACTGCGCCGGCTCTGTTGGCGGCAAGATCTCTGGTGTGGCTAAGAAGACTAAGATTATCGATGTCAAGATCATTTCTGACAATAACAGTGTGCAATGGGCTCATCTGATTTCAGCAATGGAGTTTGTCGTGGGCGATAGCACGTCGTGTCCCAAGGGTAAGTTTGTCAACCTGTCCATCCAAGGAGGGCCCAACAAGAGTGCCAACGACGCGTGCACCAAGGCCTCCAAGGACGGTGTCTTTGTTGGCACCGCCGCTGGTAACGCCAGTAAAGATGCTGCGCAGAGCTCGCCTGGTAGCGCGGATGAGGTCTGCAACACGGGAGCTACAGATGACAAGGATGCCAAGGCTAGCTTCTCCAACTTTGGAGCTAAGCTCGCCATCTGGGGCCCTGGTGTTGGTATCATGTCGTGCAAGCCTGGTGGTGGTATGGTAAGTGTATCGAAATTATAGCATGAAGATGAGCGTAATGCTAACTGTGTGAATAGACTGGCATGTCAGGCACCTCGATGGCTGCTCCTCATATCGTTGGTCTCGCCGCTACCTTGGCTTCCAAGGACGGCGGCAAGGGCTTTGAGCTCTGCAAGAAGATTGTTTCCATGGCACACCAGGGCTTGGTTAAGAACCCAGGTGGCGGCTCGCCCAATGTTTTGGCTTATAACGGCATGGCCTAAGAAAATGGGTCGCCTGACTTTTGCCCCTCATAGCAATTAGACTGTATATGTTTGCATCATCATGATAGCTGTCACATACGAGTGGCTTTAATTGATATTTCTTACAAGAGAGGCTGGCTTGTCAACGGAATAGGCGGTGTTTAACTGTGCCTCATTTGGAAAACTACCATATAAAACTCTCTTCGACGAAACATACTGCGTGTCCTTGTTTGACTAACATCGCCACAGCCATTCTGGCTTCATCGATCATGCCTCCAGGGCCACAAATCAACACTCTAGTCCCGCCCTTTACTCCTTCAACTTCTTGTCTGATTGTAGAAGCAATTTCAACACGATTGCCGACTGATACAGATACCTGGAAGTTGCCCCATGTCTCTTCGTCATGACTGCCTGAGCTGTTTCCGCCTATGATACTGCGCACACGATCTACGAGTGCTTGTGATCTCGACACCCATACTAGCTTGTTGCTCGCGTGGGCAAAAGAAGCTGCCGGATGGTCTGTAATGTTGTGCAGAACGCCAGCAATTCCAACTCCGCCAGCAAGTACAAGAGTATTGGGATACTCTAGGCTAGGTCGGTGGTGGCTCATGACAGACGTATGTGATCCATATGAGCCTTCGACCCAGACAAGCACCCCTTCAGGAGAACCTGCATATTGTGCAAGAGTCTTGGTAACGCCATTCATCTTCCTCACGAGAAGTTCCAGCCCATGCTGCCCTCCACAGCCAGCATTCTTCTCCCCTTTACTGCTGCTCCCACTCTCGCTAGCACCATCGTGAATGACGGCCGAGCATCCGCCAGGACGAACAACTGAAAACGGATTGCTCTCCCAAAATCTCCAGGTAAGAGTTGGGAAGTAGAGGTAAACATGCCCTTCGGCCTCCACTTCTGGAATCACCAGCTGCAAGTAATCGTCGTCAAGCGCTGTGACATATGCACGTCGACGTCCGCTGAGAAGAATCCGGAGCGGTCTCGCTAGAACCCGATCAAATCCCCAAAAGGCAAATGCTATCAGCACCCACGTTTCATATCCCCACTGCCACTCGTACCGATAGTATATGTGAAGTAGGCAGCCAATCATGGCCAGGATGGCGAGAGTAAGATGAGATGCCAAGAAGACCGAGTAGAGCTCTTGACGAAATTTAAAGATGGAAAATGGCAACAAGAGGGCAAGACTGAGAGTAGCAACGATGCCCCAGATCCAGTAGTCCAGTTTACTCTCGTCTGCATAGTTGCCCTCTGTATTAGCGGGATCCAAGTAGAATGCAAGATAGAGAGCCGAGTGAAGGCATGCCTGCAGAACAGAAATTACGGCAATCCAGCGATGGATGAGGAGATAGGTAGAATGGGACCAGTTGGTGAGCCATAGCAGCGGGTTGTTGCGTGTGGAAAAGAGCACGGCGAGCGCGAGGTTGACGAAGCTGAGAACACCAACACGGTTGCTAATGTACACGAGAATCTGCTGCTCTAGAGTCTCATACCACGACATTGGGTCGCGAACGACGTAGCCGGCAGCACTAAAAACAATATTGAGCACCCAGATGACAAGAATGTAGAGCGCTTGGCCGCGTGTTGGGACGAAGCCGAGGCCAAGAATCGGAGTGGCGTGAGAAGTTCCAAAGGCAGGAGACTGCAAAAAGGCGGAAATACCCGAATGGAGGAATTTGGGAAGCGGTAATAGCGATGCACAGGAGAGAAAGACGGGCAGAGCGATGATGGTAGACATGAGGATGATTCTGTGACGGTTAGTGGTGTTTTGTGTGTGAAGGATTGGAGCAAACTTGCGCGTATTTCTCAGCCAAACGCTCCATGGTTTCGAAACCTCCCACGCCGTTGAAATTGCCCAGCCATTTCTTCTCATTCACCAGCATGGTGTCGTTGAGCATTGCCTTGGCGAGCGTGCGGGTAGGTGTGCCTTTGACTCGAGACAGTGCCTCCATGTAGCCGTACTTGGGCGCCGGCTGCACCGCTAATCGACCGACAATGTCTGTTTCCCATACATATTCCAGAGTAGACTTGGAAATATCAGCGCAGTGAGTATGGAAACACCAGGCCATGGTGGTTAGGTATGGATCATTGGTAGCCTTGCACTCCGGTGTCGATGGGGGCATTTCCATGTGCATGTCCATATCCATATCGTGGTCAGGCATGCAATTAAGCGTCGCCCGCTTGATAGTATCAATACAAGCATAGGCGCAAGGAGGATCATACATTGATATGCCGTAGCCAATGACGCCGTAGCGCCGTCTGCCGCCAGTAGGCTTAGCGGCGCATGTTGCTGCGAGGGCTAACGTTAGTAGATTCACTCGCATCGTCGAAAACTTGTTGGAACTGGAAATGGTCATGATGTGAATTATGCTGAGTCTATAGGATTATATATATCAATGTCGAGTCCGATTGAGCAAGATTCAGCGCGCACTCTAGTCCAAACTAATTTGTGCCCTGTGGAAATCTCGGCGCAAGGCTTGGCCTGCAGCCGTGCGTAATATGCAGCATCTAATTCGTTGTCTCCAAACATCCAAAGACAATACATATATTGAAGAAGAAAATGTTTTTGCAGGTGAGTCCCATTTGTGAGTGTCGCTGAAACTTGCTCAATCCACCGCGCAGAGTGTCATTGTGGGCGGCCAAGACTTGCAAATTAGCACTACTTGGAGGACGCGGGCGACGAGACGACCTTTGCTATTCTTCGAGAAGTTAGCATCCTCAGGCGAAAAAATGGAACGGGGGGAAATACCTCTTGATGCCCTCGCGAAGAGTGTCTTCGCCAACAGGGTACATGAGACGGAACCAGCCGGGGTGTGAGCATGCGTAGCCTTCGCCGTGATCGAGAACGACGCCAGCGTGCAAAAGTCTCTTCATGAGAACTCGCTCCGCTCTCCAGCCGTCCTCGTTGGTCTTGTCGACAAGTTCCCATTGCTCAGACTCGGAGTCGTAAGATCTCAAGAAAGGCGATAGGTCGATCCAGAGGAACAAGCCAGCATTACTACGACGGTTACGTTAGTTGCTGTACAGCCAATGGAACACGATACATACCCCTTGTTATGGAACTTGATGCCCGCTTCCGTGAGAAGCTTCTCACCGACTAAACGCTGCTCATAGAGACGCTGGCGAGACTTTTCTAGCAGCTCATCTACAAACTGCTCGTTTTCCAGAAGCTTTGCAGCAAGGTCCATGGAGAAATTAGACGGCGATGAGAATCGGCAGATGGACTGTGCAGCCACGGTAAACTCTCTGTTGCGCGAAATGACACAGCCTAGACGCATACCCGCAGCACCAAAGTCCTTGGCCATGCCGTAGAGAACATGGACCTGCTTAGGATCGATAAGACCCGTCGGATCAATCGACAAGACAGAGGTAAAGACCTCGCTCTTGCGGTCCTGGCGCTTGTACGTGGTCATGGCGTAAATCTCGTCACTGATCAGATGGATGCCCTTTTCGCCGCAAAACTTCATAATGGCGCCGAGCGAATCTTCCGGGTAGCACTGGCCAAGAGGGTTATGAGGGTTACAGATAATCATGGCTTTAATGGTGACGCCTCGCGCCTTGGCGGCCTCGTAGCCAGCCTCGTAGCTCTGGACGCAGTTTGCCGTGAACTGGTCGCGGTCGCCAACGTCGATCCATTCAATCGTGGTGCTAAAATATCGGTTAGCCTATCCGTCGCTAGAATCCAAAAAAAGGAAAAGGCGCACTCTGTTCGCATGACGAGGTCCTTATTGAAGGCGCCGTAGCAAGGGCGGCCCAACATGATAGCCTCGCCCGGGTTGCAAAGGACCAGTGCGCACACTTCATTCAGGTCCGTCACACCAGACGCAAAGGTGATTTCTTCCGGATCAATGCTCTGCACAGGCTGGAACTTTCGGCCCATGTACTTTGCCATTGCCGTGCGCAGGCGGAGAGTACCGGTGTACCCCTCGGCATAGGAGCACAGGGAGCTATCAAAATGGTTCTACAGCGACGTCAGCAGCCATAAGCAAGCAATCAGAGGGGAACATACGTTTCTGTTGAAGAATTCCGTGGTATCTTTATATATCAGCCACTATGATTGGGGGTTAATGCACGGTCAGATGCGTGTGCACGCGCAGCACCAACGTTGAAGGCATTGTTAAGAAAGGTGATGCCGTGCGGATTGGCCGTGGGATGGTACGTATTATCCTTTCCGTGGTGGTACGGAATCTTGGACCATTTCTGGGAGCGTGTCGAGAGCATTTTTGCGCGGCGATTGGCAGTTGTGTTGGCGGTGATGTCGAGTCGTGAACCAAGGCGTGAAAAGGATGCGCAGTGCAGTGCTCGGCCGGCCGGCCCCGCGCAGGGGAGGGGCTTGGTGCGTCAGTCCTGCGTGGCCTCTGACATGGTGCGGTGAGTGAGAACCTGGTTGGTCCGCTGCTGATGCGACTCTGGATCGGAGACACCAAGAATCTGCTAGCCTCGATTTGCGTGGTGATGGTGAGGGGTAGGTAATTTCGCTTAGTTTCCGTGGCGTGGTGTCTTTGTATTTTCTAGAAGGGAAATTTAAAATGAGCATGCCGCATTAGTGGCGATTTGCATCGGACGCCAAATCTGACGTGCAACGATGCGATGAATGAATGCTGGAGAGAGAGTTGGTTAATTGAACGGTGATTGTGTGTGTTATTAGGCAAGCACATGAAGAAGAGCAAAATGTATCACTGCAAACAAACACAAAAAGTTGGTATCAAAGAAATCTTTGTTCAGCTGTATAAGCCATGTCTAGTATGTCCACTCAAAATCATCATCAAAAAAAGGAAAGTTATAAAACAAGAGAAGAGAAATATAAAAAGACGACTTCCATCATCGCTTAGCCGATGTGGCAGCCACCAACACCAGCAGACCAGCCGAGAAGACGGTTGGCAATGTCAGAGGCGTAGCAGTGAGTAGCAATTCCGTCCTGTAGCAGGCCACTAGCCGCAATGGAGCCGGAGTTGTACATGCGAGCGGCCTTGTAGAAGGAGCTGACATCGTTGCCGCCGGCCTTGGCAAGGAGCTGCTTGAGACCGTCGCCAGAAGGAGTGCCGTTGGTACCGTCGCGGATCATGCCCTCAATGGTGCTGGAGGGGCAAGGGCTAGTGCCGAAGCAGGAGTTGGGGCCGTCGTGAGACTGCATGAGACCAGGGTTGCGGACACCGTAGTTGGTGGTGGGAGCGCGGACGCAGCCGTTGGACTCCTGCATGACAATGGCAAGAATGTAGCGGGCATCGACACCAGTCTCGCCGGAAACCTTGGTGATGGCAGCCTTCATGGCAGCACTCTCGTCGGGGGTGTTGTCGGCCTGGCCGAAACCAGTGCAAGACTTGGAGATGACGTTCTTCAAGTTCTCAGACCACATGTCGTCAAAGTTGACCCAGGTGTTCTCAGCGGGCCAGCCCTGGGAGATATCGCCATTGCCTAGGAAGGTCTTGCGGTAGCCAGTGTTGCTGGCATCGCCGTTGCCAGCCTGGGGAGGGTTGGAGAGCTTTGAGCCATCGTTGCTGGGGCTGGAGGTAGGCTGAGTGGCAGCGGGAGAAGAGGCCTGAGCAGGAGGAGCCTGCTGAGCGGGAGCAGACGAGGCGGGAGCAGCAACCGAAGGAGTGGGAGCAGCGACGGTAGGCTCGGGAGCAGGCTCAGTGGCAGCAGGGGAAGAAGCAGCGGGAGCCTCAGAAGCAACGGGGGCGGTAGGCTGCTCAACAGGAGCACCAGAAGGAAGAGGGCTTCCAGAAGCAGCAATGACACAGTCGGAGCCGTTGCAGAGACACTCAGTGCCAAGAGCAACGCTCATCCAGACAGCCTTGGTATCGAGATCGCAAATGCCAAACTTGTCGTTGCCGTTGCAGACAAGTCTGCCGGGGGTGCAGCCGCGGGGCCAGAGACCAGCAGAGGTGGGAAGGGCTGCAACAGAGGCAGCGAGGGCCAGAAGAGTGACGGAAGTAGTAGTCTTCATCTTGTCTTATTGGGTAGTTGTTTCTTGGGAAAAAAAGTTGGTTGATAGCCGCTCGGCGGTAGTCTGATTGAAAGCTGAGAAAGAGGTGAATCACAAGCCGCGCAGCGGGTAGAGTGAATTCAATGTTCTTGCAAAGAGAAAGAACGAAGAAAAGAAAGCCTAAGCTTTGTAGTTACTGTGCGTCGTAGTGATGAATGAATGGCGCCCTGCGCGAAAACTGGTCCTATTCGTCGAGAATAAGGAAAGTAGGCGTTTTGTGTGGTGGTAAAACAAGGGAATGGAAACGGGGAGACTAGCTGCCCTGACGACGAATACAACACAAAGTTGGCACAAGGGAAAGAGAAAGAAGAAGTGACGAAGACGAACTTTTTGGTGGTGAGCCAAGAGTGAAAAAGTGAAGCAAGTGGCGGCGGGCTCGTGCGAATATATTCTTTTCTGTGGCCGCGCACAACGGGCCTGGGGATGCGGATGCGGATGCTCCATTGCGGCGCATACTGCTGCACTCATCCGCTATAGTCCAGCAGGGCCCACCGGGCTAAGGAACAAGCCAAGTGGGTAGGAAAAAGAAGCCAAAGGGCCACTAAGGAAACAAAAAGAGGACCCTTCCGACTGGCTGGCGTGGGCTGTTGGGTCCCCTGAGCGAGGTGTGAAACTCAGGATCAACACGCAGCTTGCCCATGGAGGAGACGACTGGCTCCACCTGGTCCGCCCAGCGCCTGGCTAGTCGCACTTGTCTCGTAGCCGCGTGGGTTTGGGGTGGGCATGCGACCATAGCGCCATTGCAACTGTGGCCAATCACGACACCAAAGCAGAGATCTATTGCAACGCCGCAGTGGAGGCCGCTCCATGCTGCTGTCCAACCAGACTCGAGCTTCCCCTTGCTGCCATCCTGCACTACGACCCAAAAGGGACTAAGTCAGGGGATGGTGGCCTGCTGGTTGGTGTGGGTTTTCTCGGAGCTCCTCCTCTTCTCGACTTGTGGCTAGCGGGTGAATGCATGTCTTGCGTGGTTTACTTTTTTGTCGGGGTGAGTGGTGCTTTGCATGTGGGCGTTTCAGGAAGAACAAGGAGAAGATCGCTTCTGTCTGTCTGCCTGCCTATCCGAGTCGTCGTCAAGGGGCCTTTTGCTGGGCTCGTCAGCATTTGTTTCGTTTGTTTTGTTTGTTTGGTGCGTAGTGCTCGAGCGTTGAGACATGGGCCGAAGAAGAAACGTTGTGTGCATGGGACGGGAGGACAGAACAGCATCGGTTCAACAGCAGCGTGCATGTGCTTTTTGCAATCGTGTTTCTTTCTTTCTGTAGTATACCTTGGTAAAAATATTTAGTGGCTAGCCAGTCATGATGCAGCACGCCAGGGTTCAACGGCATGCCCTTTGTGGCTGTGGAAGACGCACAGAACTGCCGCTCCAGGGGGCGGTGCTGCTCTTCCTACTGGCACCACAGTGCTCCAGCCGCAAACCCCAGCTCAGAGTCTCTTCAGTGGTAGCGCATGCTCCCGAGACAACGCCAGCACACTGTGCACCTGTGTAGCGATTACGTGACTCTTTACAGTGGCCTTTGCACGCCAGCCACACCGTACGACGCCAGCTGGTGCCAACTGCCAGTGCGCCCACCAAAGACGCCGTGTGCCAGCTGTCGTGCGAGTCAACTGGTTCAAACCGCACGGCAACGCAGCACAAAGCAAAAGCCTCTCATCCGAGACATCAACCAAAAAAAGAATCAAGCTCCGAGCAAAAAAAGACAATCAGCAGACAGACGATAACGTCGTCGGCAAAATACACTTTACCGTGCGTGTGTCTCCGCTCACGCCAACTGCCAGACGGCGGGCCCTGTTAGTGAACCTTGCTGTTCGTGCTATACTTCGTACTGTCAGTACAGTTTGCAGCGTTGCATGCGTGCGCATCCCGGCTTACAGGGTGCAAGGGCGCTGTGCAAGGCCTGTAAAATCTGCAGGGGACGGACTAATGCAAAGGTCGTATAGAGCAAGGGGACGCAGGACGATCTGTTAGCTGCGCCGCTGTGCGTCGCTTCTTCGGTGGCGCTTCCAGGAGGGTGAAGCTGGCCAAGCGGCTTCTCCGTCCACTCTGCCCGCCCGCCTCGGAGAAACAAGCCCGCTGAGCGGCTAGGATGTCTCAGCTAACAATAGCAAGCAAGGAAAGGCAGAGCACGGGGATTTTGTCTCGCGCCGTGTCTGCCATTAGTACGCGAGGCGAAGCGATAACAACAGACTCCTATCCATACGACTAAGCATGGCCGACTCCTGACTCTGAACGGCTCGCTGGATGGGTTGGTCTTTGCGATAAGTCAGATGTGCTTCCTTTTTTTCTTACCGTGGTACCTGACTGAGGTACTTAGTTCTCCCTTGACAGCCGACTGCCTGTGCGCTTGCTTCCCGTCTCAGGCGAATCGCCAGACACTGACCGTGCGCAGGTCCAGTGGGCGAAACGCCCGTTGCAACCTTATATCGAGCACGTCACCTGAGGTCGGCAAGTTTGAGTTCTGGTTTCGGTTCAAGTCCGAGAATGACTGTGCGCGAGGCTCGCCCGATTTTTCTATTTTGCGGGGATTTTTTGGTTATGAAAATCTGCGATTGCTTGCGATCCCTATTGCCGACCGTAGTTTTGAGGCTATGCTGCGAAATCAGGCCACCAGTCTCATGCATGGTACGCATATAAGACATCGTGCGATGAAGATGGTTTTGTAAGTGACGCCGATTTAAAGTTAAAGTTTTTGATGGTTACAAAATGTTTATCTATGTATGGCGATATCATCAATTTAGTTTAACGGCACCGTCAACGCCCAATCGCCGGCTGATTCGCCTGGTTTATACTTTGACAAAGATCTTGGACCCGACCTTCATTGTACGAACACTCGCAAGAATGATTGTGGAAACAAAAAACATGACTCCGCACCAAACTACCATGCCGGTCCAATTTCTTGTGTTGCTGTCGCCGATAATTGCACCTGCTACAGGACTGCCGATGAGCGCTCCGAAGCCGATGATGGCAAAACTCATTCCCAATCGTGTTGCCCAAACGCTTTTATCTGGTGATAGGCTGGTGACTATAGGAATAGGTAGTGACACATATGGAGCAGATACAAAGCCGTATATAACAGCAAAGGCAACAACACCGCCTGGTGTCTTGATACCCAGCAGTGCAAAAGCCAAAACGCCCGAGATGATGCCAAAGACAATCTGCACATTCATAAGCCCGTAGTACCCAGCAATCCAGTTTGGTATCAGGCGGCCTAAAAAGGATCCTGTATTTAAGATGGCAAGAAGGTAGTTGGCAAGATTCTCGTCGGCGCCCGCTACTTCAATGGCGTAGAGCGAGATGAAGTAATAAAAGACGTACAGCCCCAAGAAGTTGACAAAGAAGCTCAAGCAAGCAACAAGGTAAGCTATATCTTTGAAATGAGACAAGTCAATTACTTTTCGCTTTTGTAGGCTTATGGGGAGGCGCATTCGCATCACAGCGACAGCAAAGCCCATTGTTGCCAGGACCATGAAGCCGATGATGCGTACCGTCCACGGGAAGCCAATCTGTGCTGTAAGTCGTTGTAGCATGATTGGATATATAACAGCACCTAAGCAAGAAGAATTAGTACATGTACCGCTGCCACACGCTTTTCTACATTTACACGTTTGCACGTACCGATACTGGATCCGCTCACAGAAATTCCAATTGCCAACGGCGTGCGCGTAGAGAACCACTGCGCAACGACGAACGATGCCGGCAAGAATATCAGACCAAAGCCAATGCCAGTAACAATTGTCTGCGCCAAGAAGAACTGGTAATATGTCGAACACAGACTAACCATCATCAAGCCGAACACTGTCACGACAGTACCAACGCCAAGCAGGAGGTGCAAGTGCCCAGCATCTAGCACCGGGCCAGTGAAGATGCACACGAGGTAACAAACGAGGAATTGTGTCGACCCAATCCATGCAATCGTTGATGTCGACTCGTTCTTGAGAATATCGGTTTCGTAGATGATTTGAAATTGGCCATATGAATTAAGCAAGCCGAGGACGTTGAACGTGATTGTCCAGGCGCCAGCAACCTGTAACCATGCTTTGAAGCCCCCATTCGGCGGTGGAGATACATTCGAATCATGTTCCTGTTTTTCCAACGATGCTGCGTCGGGGGAGGATGGCTGCAGCAGTCCGTTGTTGTTTTCGCGAGGCATCGACTCTTGATGTTGTTGTTCCATTGCAGCGCAACTACAGAGGACTATTCATCAAGTGAGATTGTCAATGGCAGGGATTTTAAAAGTTTCATAAATATGTAGCCTAGAGATCAAACGTCATTGCCAAGCGCCAGTCCAGATTCAAGAGATCGACGCCGGATTCATAAGCGAGGCTGCGCCCTTTGCGTGTAAAAGCAGGTTATCGCCACTCGGCGCCAGCCCAAATAGGAAATCAAATCACGGGAATAAGGCACGGCTCTACCGTTGGATTTGTAATGTGCTCTGCGGGGCATTTTGCAGCAACGAACCGTGTATAAAGAATGGCCCAGTTTATCGTATGTGGAATTCGACCGTGTGTTCCCCAGTTTGCTACCCTATGGGGGGGTTTCGCGCAGCCTGCCAGCCAACTGTGCATGGTCTCGGCCTATTGAAGATATAGAAGATGGTTAAGTAAATTCGAATACTCAAATACTTCGCTACTAATTCTTCACTTGAATCCGATAAAGCTGCTGAAGTTTGCTGGAGTTGTCGTCGAGCAATGCCGCTGGAGCAGCACAATCCCCAAGCTCGCCTGCTTCCAACACCATGACCTTATCAAAAGAGTGAATGGACGACAATTGGTGCGTGACCATAATAATTGTTGCAGCTTGGAATTCACTTTCGATAATTTCCGACATTTTGGCTTCCGTAGCCACATCAACACTGACACCAGATTAGTACGGTAGCCGCACGCAGCCGTTTGAGGTTGCTCACCTTACAGTGGGCTCATCAAGCAAAACAAGCTTGCTCTTGCGTAGTAATGCGCGCGCAAGACAACATAACTGCCGCTGTCCATGCGATAAGTGCATATCGTCCATACTTAAATCAAGAACAACTGATGCATCAGAGGCATCGACTGCATCCTTGCTCAAAGTAGGTCTCCCATAAGCCCACCCGCTCAAGACATCTCTTCATGTCAGCGTCACTGCTTTCGGCGGCTGGACTCAGGTTCTCGCGTAACGATCCAGTAAATAAAAATGGATCTTGGGTGATACACGTCACTCTCTGGCGAACAGTATCTTTAGATACCTGAGAAAGATCCAGGCCGTTGAGGGTGATGCTGCCGCTGGTAATGTCCATCATGCCAAGTATCGACGTAATGAACGAGCTCTTGCCACTACCAGTTCTTCCACATACGGCGATTCTATCACCAGCCTAAATTTCAATGGAAAGATTTCGAAGGGCAGGAAAATCCGAGTAGCATGTTGTAACGTTATCGAACTTGACGACGCCAGATTGGGGCCATGCTTCAGGCACAGGCTCCTTGGGTTCATCTTCAACTGTAGTATCCTCAGTAAACGTCCTGACACGAGAACCTGCACCGAGGGAAGTCTCGAGGGATGTCCAGAACATGAGTAGCGACGCCAGAGTTTGACTCAGGGTCATCATGTTCACCAGAGCGATACCAATGAAGCCGGCGCTGACGTTGGTGCCTCGAATGGCAACGGCAATACCAGTGAGTACTGTTGCCATTCCTGCGACAGTCAGACCAAGGACCAATGACAACCATCTTTGAATACAGAGCAGCAGATAGAACGGCTTCTGGCAGTCATCAAGCAACTCAAAATACTTCTCCTTATATGACTGGAACCAGCCAAATGCACGGATGGTCACAATGCCATTCATGGTATCAATAATGTGAGAGTAAAGAGGCGCTTTGCTCTCGAGCCTGTATGCTAGTTAGCATTTTGTTACGGAGACATGATGGACGAGACAAGAGGGAGCGAGGTCGAGGGTAGCGGATGTAGTGACCATAGAGCAATCAACGCAATCTGAATGACCGCAAAGGCTACATTGGCAGCCAGTTTCACCATTTGCAGCGGAGACGCTTTCATGAATAGCGTCTTTCCCTTCCACAACATGTAGGCGCTCTCGATGGTGCCACTCAGCAAGTAAGCCGCCGATGGCAAGATGCAGAGGATCGCTTCTTCGAAATAGACTGTTCATGGTAACAATATTAGTCCACCAGCCTATACCATTTCCTTTTCTATTGCGTTGATACTTACCGGTAAAGTCGAAGCCACTACGGCAATCTTGCGAAACCGTGGGAGCTGTGACTTGGGCATCATGGCAGCTCGCGTTGGCCATGAGCCTTGGAAACAACTGCGTCATTTTGTTTTTTCAACTACCGTATCCAAAACGGAGAGTTATCAGTATGGTATGATTTTAAGAGATACAATGGATGTCTCTTTTATATCTCCCTCTCCCTAACAAGAACGGGGGGGGATGCTTTTCTTAAACCAGGCTGCCACTACAGCGGGGGAAGATCGCCTACAGTGAACCCCCAGCGCCAGCAAAGGACGTTAGTGGGCGCCACAGTGGAGCTCACAGCCTGATTTGGCAGCTGGCAGCCAACAATGTTAGCAGTTGGCACACCTGGCGATTGGTCATACAAATCCTCTGTTTGGTACATGGCCGAAACGCGTACAAGGCTGCGTGCGTAATGCAATGCAGAAGGGGCTTCGACAATCGAATTCCCCGCATCTTTGTAGCCAAGGCCGCGCAATACCAACCACGGCAAGAGTCAGGATCTACCGGAAAACAGCAGACACACAGTATCGTCGCCATGAGTCCCCCAACCGAGTCGTCGCCGTTGCTGCAACATGAGGCCGAGTCTGCTGAGGAGGCAGCGCCGCCATTGCGACCAAAAGGTAGCTGGTTGCGATGGCCAAAGGTCACCAATCCACAGGCTATCAACGGGATGCAGATGTTTGTCATCTTCACGCTCACCTTCTCGGCGCTGCTCGCGTCCGTTCCTCAGCTCCAGCTGCTCGAAGGCGCCATTTGCAAAGAATACTATGCCGCTAGATCACCATTGGAGGCAGATGAACCCCGACCGTGCAAGATTCCGGCCGTTGAGGCGCGCTTAGCTAGACTAACGGGGATATCGTCCACGCTAGGGATTGCTGCGGAGCTGGTCATGGCATTACCAATGGGCAGATTGGCAGACCGCATAGGCAAGCGACCGATTATGATCTGGGCCGTCGTGAGCTACATGCTGACCTCTATGTGGACGTCGGGTGTGCTTTGGTTTTCCGATCGATTGCCTGTGTCGCTCATTCTGGGGAACTTTGTCCCATTGCTACTTGGTGGTGGTGAGACGGTGCTTGTTTCGATGCTCTTTGCTATGACAGCCGAGATTGCCCCGTCTGCGCTCCGGTAATTACATCGACCTGGAATTACTACCAAGAAATCATTATGCTAACGCACATTATACAGAGCAAACTACTTTTTGCAGCTCAGTGTGGGCAGCTTCCTAGGCCAATCGCTCGCCTCACTGGTCTCCTCTGTACTCCTCATCAAGGGCTATACATGGCTCCCTATCCTTTTGAGTTACATTATACCACCCATCGGTCTAAGCATCCTTGTTTTTTACCCTGAGAAACGTCGCTTGCCCCATCAACAAGAAACGCCAGCGGATGAACCCAGCCCTGGGGACAAGGTGACTCTCAAGCATCGTTTCACAGCTGCGGTGCGTGCGGCCGGCAGCACTGTCTCCATCATCAGCTCTCCATCAGCGGCCTTTATCATGTTTAGCTTTCTGCTTGTTAGCCCTGTCACAATGTGCGTTGCAACGTTACTTCTGCTACTTGTAAGGATGCGATTTCATTGGAGCTTCGCCCAGGCTGGCCTTCTTCTGTCGATTCGAGGATTTGGCAACATTTTTGTGTCTCTTGTCTTCATCCCTATCATCACCAAGATACTCATGTCCGATCGGTTCCGGTTTCGCTACTCTACAGCTCAGAAAGACTTGAGCCTTGCCAAGGTCTTCGTGCTGCTTTTGACAGTTGGGACAGCACTAGTCACCGTACCAGCCATACCCGGCGTTATAACAGGCGTAATCATCGTCACATTTGGCTATGGTTGGCTCGCAATGTGCCGATCGCTGATGGTGGTCTTTATTGATGAATCTCAACTTTCCCAGCTGTATAGTCTAATCAGCATGGTGGAGGCCATCGGAACACTCCTCGCCCAGCCTATTCTAAGCGGTCTTTTTAGCATCGGTCTTGAGCTGGGACCACCATGGGAAATTTTGCCATTTACGGTGACTACTCTACTCTGTCTATTGGCAGCGTGTCTTCTTTTCTTTGTTAGGCTGCCAACTTTGGGAAGTGGGAACCTTGTTTAGAGCCGCAGAACGCCGTGCACGGTGAACATTGCATTGACGAGGTTAAGGTTATTTAATGACTATGATGACTTGTACCCTTTGTATGTTCGTTATGTAATCGTAATTGTTCGCCTCTCATGTCGAGAGTTTCATCGGTCGCAACCTCTTTACCCGGGGGCTGGTTGGCACGAGCCTTGGGACTTCTTTCCAGAGCCCACTCCATGATGGCTGGAAAGTTCTTGCACGTATGCATCACTTTAAAGTCTGGAGCCCACAGCTCTGCCGTTTCATACCAAGTTTCTGTCACGGGCGTTACATCTGCATTACACATGATGGCCTGGCGGATGTAGTTGAGACAGTGTTCTGCGCCAGTTAGCTACTTAGACGCGGATCGGGTGTTAGTCATCGTACCCCAATGCATTGTATTGACGTCACCCTCTTCTTTGGGAGTGTAATAATCTGGATACAGCTGCTTCCGTAGCATGTTCTATGCCCAAGTTAGATCAACGAGAGGTTGTGTGCAAAGCGGTGGTGTACTATACCAAGCAATGGAGCTGGTGAAAAACATCCAGGCCGGCCTTCCAATAACCACGAATGAGAGTTGTCTCATCTCTCACCGAGTCGGCTTCGTCTCCTTCTAATAAAATAGTGGAAGCTATATATCATCCGTTAGCATCGTGTAAAGACTGAGCACGAATAGCATGAGGAGGCATAGGGGGCCATACCTGATTCCAAGTGATCCCATAAGCGGTCCATTTCTGGTGTCGGCGTTCCTACCCATACATTTGCATCTTTATATGTTTCGATTATGAGCTGACCCGTCTGATTGTAAAGCAAAGCGCCATCGAAGACCGTCTCTTCCAGGCGAATAACAGATTGGAGTGCTCCTATAGATGAATAAGCGAGAAGGTCACACATTAAACTGAATCGAGGGCGTCACTGACCTAAATCTGTGGCAAACAGCTTAAAGTCAGTGTTTGGCGATAACTCTATTGATTTCAAAAAGAGAACCAGGGTCGAAATCGCAAATGCAACAGTGGCAAGCCGCCAAGGGAGGGTAGCGTCTCTAACTGCCTGTCGGTGCTGGAGTATGATGGGTGTCGGTGGTCTCGAGGCTGGATAACCCTTCATGAGGTTTTCTTGCGACATTTTGCTGACGGTAATCTTCTTCAATTGTTTGTTTCAGCTGAACAAAGATTAGAGCAATGAATGAAACTAAGAATGGGAATTAAACCCTCTTCTTGTTCAGCTACCCTGAATCCACGCAATATGCATATGTCTTGTCAAACCTCTACCGGCCGATGGCAGTCAAACTATAACGTAATTATATACCCAAAAGAGAAATGTGCCGGCAATATTGCCCCATGTGCATGAACGGAGCAGACACTATTCTATGCGAGCATCAGGCTGTGAGGCGTTGAGGGGAACAAATCCAAGCCCACCAGAAGGGCGTATTAATCCACTTTCCAAAAGTTCAGAGGATGTACGGGCCAATCCACAAACAGAGCTCATAAGCGAGAGGCACTTCTGTAGCTTTGCGAAGACATGTGACGAGCCTTGTTGACCAGCTGAACAAGAAGCGCTCAAGTACCGGTCGAGGCGTTAACCTGCAGATTCGTTCCATATCTGGAAAGGCGAGAGGACTATGCGTAGTTATGCCACGAGACTTATATAAATGGAGTGCTAGGACGCATTTGAGCTTAAAGAACGTTCAATAATTTCGAAAACAGTTTCATATCCATTATTCGTCCCTTTCTCTTACATACTGTGAATTATAACCATATATTCAAAATGAGAACAGCATTCGTCTTCTTTGCTTTTGTTGCCGGCCTTGCTGCTGCTGCCCCCGGTATGTGTTTCCGTTAACAATTGAATACCAAGATATGACTCCTGACATTGACAATCGGTAGTTTCCGACTCGACCGACAACCAGAATATGGGCTGGGGCATTTATGCCAAGGGTCGGAGCTCCGACTCTACCGATGACCAAAAGATGGGATGGGGCATTTATGCCAAAGGCACTGACTCTGCTGAGAACCAGAACATGGGGTGGGGTATCTACGCCAAGGGTGAGAGAAAATAGGCTTAAACTGTGTAAATTGTTACATTAAGCCCTAATAAATAAATGTTCTTAATGTGCCTGGTGGCCTGTCGACTGTGGGAGATAGACGCCGCAGCGGTGGCGTCTGTGCATTCATACAGCTGATGTACCTATAGCTGGGCTTTTTCCAAACTCCCATGACGCGTCTCGGCTACTTTATTGAGGCGACTTTTCGACTCTACGACTCGGTGACGGGTTCGTTCCGAGCCTTGCATAGCCTGATGTATATCGGCACAAGTTCCGGAATGACGGGGAAGCTGAGAAATACCTTGATCGGCTAATTGAACGAACGTACTTAGTAGAGCTCTACAGTATATATTGTGGAGCATTGCAACATCCCCCAGCACTGAGTCAACTAACTATAGCTCGATAACCGATGTTTTCGTCTTAGAATCGAGGCTAGCTTCTCCACCACCCACGAGTAATTTCCCCCCAAGAAATGTAAAATCAGAGAAGCCCTGCTTTCTCTCTTTACACTAGCAAATCAAAAACTTTGTTTTGTATTCTTCAGCCGCCATAATGCGACTGCTCAAAGCTATTCTGGCTTGTGCGGCCGTTATAGAACCCGCAGCCACTGAAGCGCCTCCCAGCGCCACCGACACGGCTAATCAGATCAGCTACCAGGGTATTCACGTTAGTGGCGTCGAGGCCTTTTTGGGCGTGCCGTATGGCCAGGATACGGGCGGCGCCCATCGCTTCAAGCCACCGCGGATGACGGCCCCGAGATGCGGCAGCAAAATCATGGCGACGAAATACGGCCCGGCCTGTCCACAGGCGAAGACTCCTGAAGCTGGTCCTCTGCCGTTTTCCCTGACGCCTGTGACGAACATCTCGGAAGATTGTCTTAGTCTGAATGTGGTGCGGCCCAAGGGAACAACAGCGTCGCATAAGTTACCCGTCATGTTCTTTATTCATGGCGGCAGCTACCAATATGGTCAGGCCGCCGAAGTAACAATTCGACCGCACGGGCTTGTTTCTCAATCCGTGGCCAATGGCATGCCGGTGCTACATGTCGGTATCAATTACCGCCTTGGAGGTACGTTTAGAAGTTGTCTTGACCCAAGTTGATACTCACTCGTAGTCCCTAGTCTTTGGGTTTGCCAAGTCGGAAGCCCTGCGCGGTCAAAAGTCGGAAAATGCTGCTCTTCGCGACCAAATGCTCGCCATGGAGTGGGTGCAGAAGAACATTGCCTACTTTGGTGGCGATCCCGAGAATGTAACCATCTTTGGTCAATCATCTGGTGGTGTGTCTTGCGGTATGCACCTTCTTGCATTTGGCGGCGCCAACAAGCCGCTCTTCCACAAGGCCATCTGCGAAAGTCAAGTCCTGGAGGGTGGAATCACGCGTAACCTTACGGAGACAGCCATGATGAATGTCCTCAACGAAGTTGGATGCAATAAGTCTGATTCTCAGTCGCAGCAAACAATCGATTGTCTTCGTAGCGTTGATATGCAGACTCTTACTGATGCATTTGTCAAGACCAATCCCGAAGATCTTGCCCACAATTTTGGTGATCTGTGGCTACCGACAGTAGATGGAGACATTTTGCCTGACGCGCCGTCAAAGCTTGTTGCACAGCACCGTTTCCGCAAAGGCGTCGATGTCATGATGGGCTGGACCGACAATGAATTCGGATTCGTCATCGACTCAGATATGAAGACGGATGCAGATACCCGCGGTACCATTGCGGCCGTCTATGCTGACCTCACATCCGCCAATCTGGACAAGCTGCTTGCTCTGTACCCGGTGTCTGATTTCCACGATGACCCTGCAAACAACTTGACTGCCCAGGCATTCCGTACTGGACGTATAATTCGCGACGTCTTTTTTGTCTGCCAACCATTGCTGTTTGGCAAGGAGCTGGCCAACGTCGGATCCAGCGTCCACTTGTACCACTGGAACCAGACGCTCTTGTCGGGCTTGTTGAAGGAGGGGTGGAACATTACTGGTAGAGGCGTGATTCACGAGTCTGAGTTTGCGTACATCTTTGGCAACTTTTCCAACTATGATTACAAGGGAACGTCGCTGCCTGCTACGGCTTCCGATGACAGGCTGAGGATCCAAGCTTCGCGTACCTGGTCGACATTTGCCAATACAGGACAGCCGGGACTGAAGGGGCTTGATACCTTCCAGGGCTTTCAAACGGCGTTTAACTGTAGGGATATCTCGTTGTTTGTTGCTGGAGGTCCTCACCAAGGATTTACGCCAATTGATGGGCCCAAGGCACTGCCGCAGATCAAGGAGCAGAGGTTGCGAGAGCGCTGTGCATTCATCAATTCACCAGAGATGATTACGCAGCTTGGTTATTAATGAGAATTCAACTTGTAAATATTATGCTTTTAAGAGCCAGATGTAACATCTTGAGAATATCTTTTTATTTTGATTTATAGAGTGTCTAATTGGGTATGACATACGCTAATGACTTAAGTTATTTCTCCTCTTTATTTTCGTCGTCTTCATTTCCTTCTTCTTCGTCTTCATTTTCGTCTAGCTCAATTCTATACCTCTCCCAGTTTAGCTTCTCGCCAACATTCAGTGTTCTATAATCTTTTGCTTCTGCTGCAACCATGGCATCATATGCCTCCAGCGCAATCTGACGCGTATCCCGCTTGAATTCTCCATGTCCAGACGCCACCATCAGAAATCGTCGTTTCCACGACGCCCACCACTTCAAATTGCCAAAGCAGCGCTTGTTAGCGCCCTCCCACATGGCATCAGCTGCATAGATTGGCCACTGGGCGGCAGTAATGACCCAAGGTTCGCTGTGTTCATGCTTGTAATTATACGGAGGCTCGTTGCCCAAGAACTTGGCCTCACACAACCCTGCTCCCGGTAGGTTCACGATGCCTTGGCTGAATAGACAAGCCAAGAATTTCGACAGGTTGAGCCACTCCTGAAACTGTTCTGCTGATTTTCCCTGTTCAATATCCCATTCAGAGTAATATGCTTATTATGGAGCTCCATGTTAGCAAACGGATTATATTGCAAGGGGTACATTTTCTAAACTTACATTTAACTACGTGGTACATCGTAGACTCGAGAATCGATTCGCCGGAAACCCGATCCTCTACATCCCAGATTTGATGGCGTTTATCACATGGCATGCCTTTGTCGTTGACGTAGAGCCATGTGATATACACTTTAGGCGTAGTCCAAATCTTCTGCAAGAAAAGTAACGCTGGATAGTCCTCTGGGGTGTCCACGGGGATCTTCGCTGTTGCTCGCCACATTTCATGTAAGACGACGTCCTGTAAAGTGTGCAGAGAAAATATTCTGGTATCTCTGTCGAAGTCATCTTGATTTTCCTTCAAGTATGCAGCGCCTCGATCCACAAGCACCCTTCGACGTTCATTGTTGGTCTTTGTTGCTTGGTTGACAATGATGCGAGTGAGGCTGTAGACCGTTGTGTCGATGTCGTGCACTCCGTGCAGACAATCTTTTACCAGCGCCGCTATTGTCGCCTCCATATTCTTGAACTCGGCCTTGGCCGTCATTTTTTTCTTGTCCAATTTTGGGGAGGCAGAGTAATGTGTACAGAATAAATCGTCCCGTCCAAGTCTTCGAGGAGGCGAAACCGACGATGGATCACACGCAAGATACCCAAGCCGCGCGACTGTTTCAAAAATCAGAAGTGACGCTTTTCGTGTTACATGAATGTGGAGGGGATAGATTCCAGACAAAGCAAGAAATTGGGCAGCGGCGCTTATTTATAGCCTAGCACACTACGTGGCGCCTAGTATCGTCAGAGTCAGCCTTGTTCCACTAGATCGGGACCGTGCGCAAGTCAAAGCAATGCCGCCCCTAAAGAGGACTGGCGAGACTAGGGCGAGTGTTGTAAGGAGGACTGAGTAGTTTCATTGCACGTTGCATGAATGCATTGGGAATCGAGATGGCTGCTTTTCAGGATCTATGCTTTCGGGCTGGGAAGTACCTGTCCACGACTGTCTATAAAAGATTCGATAGCTCATCACAAGCTTCTGTCCCTGCGAAGCACACAAACAGTTGATTCCAGTTGTCTTAATTTCTTAACAACAATGAAGTTCGCAGTTTTAGCTACATTCACTAGCTTTGCTGCTCTTAGCTCTGGGGCTCGCATTGCACCAGTGCCCACCCAATACGACTGTCAAACGCAGTATAAAGGCGTATCTGGTGCCGCTGGTCTGCATAGGTTTTCATTTACATTGAAGCATGCTCTTGATACAATGGCCGAAGGTGGCACAAAGCCCCGCGCTAATGGGTATCAGTCCTCCCTCGATGTCATGGTTTCTTTGTTAAAGAATTGCATACTAACGAGACTCAAGATTCCCACACAATTTTGGCGGCCTGCGCCACAAGCTCGCCAACTAGGGAACTTGTCTTGCTATGTGCAATCCATGCTTGCTGCATAATGGCGCTAGTAAAAGTGTCAATCGCGGTTTGTATATCATCTGTGCTTTTCAGGCAGCCATCTACCGTGGCCTCTAGACTGCTTAAGAGCCTATCGATATCTAGCACGCCAAATCGCTCTGCCATTTTGTGTTGGATTCAGGCAAGGCCTGGTGAGGACAACTTGTAGATTGAAGAAAGTATATGAACAAGATAATGCGGCTAAGTGGATGGTACAAAAGACTATTTCCGTATTGTTTCGAAAAACACGATTCACCTCTGAAGGTGGTGTCGGCGCTTATTTGTATGGGTGCATTAATTACCACGATGCTATGCCGTCTAAGCGCCAGAGCCTGATGTTGGTCGCCTATGCACCGCCCCGACGAGGCAGACTAGATGCGGCACCAGGTCTCCCATATCATTGGATACTAGCCATGGATCGCTATATATCTAAGATAAAATGAAAATCATGAGAGTAATGAGTCAGGCGGCAAGGAGTCAGGCTACTCGCAATGAACGCAGTACTTCCAGGCGTTTCAAGCTATCCAGGCTTCTACACCAAAAAGATTGCATAGATGGCCAGAGTAGTGTTAATAATAGCAGCATCGAAATGCTAAAGACGTATCATCACCAGTGGAGTTCAAGCTATAGACCATGACGAGAAGGGGTCCGAGCGAAGCTATCGCGACTCGCCCTCGGAACTCTGTATATTCAGGATAGATTAGGCAATCATTTATAGCTTAAAATGTCTGTAATAAAATATCACTACCTACTCGGCAATCGTCGTTCTCATCTGCAACTCTTTCATTAATAAAATTCGCATCGCCTTGGATACAAGCCAATACATGAGTCAGACCCCCAGGCGCCCAACCACCGACTCCATCCACAGCCTTATTTCCTAGTGTGCGTCACGCCGCCAAAATTGTATAATATTGAAGACGCCCCTGTGCCTGGCTGATCCTGAAAATCCTCCCAGCTCAGACACCAATCTCGCCCACGATGCGCCAATCCGCTTCCCCCGCGCTCCTCCTCGTCCTTGGCGGCGCCAACATCGCCGAGGCCGGCTTCTTCGGCTGGGGCGGCTTCGGCACCACCAGCGGCCTCGATCCTCTCGATGCCAGTACTCACGCATGGCAGCGAGCCGTGGCGGCATCCAATGCCTCGGCTGTATACTCGCTGCCCGGCCGAGACATCACGAAGCCGTACCCTGGGTCGCCGATGGACGGCTGGAAGCTCAACATCACTGCTGTTGATCTGAGCCCCATCGAGATGGGCTGGGACCTGCGTATTATGGCCCCCGAGTCTCTCTACACGACGGTCGATCCAGAGACAAACGCCAATGCGACAGAGAGGGACGTGCTACGCAAGGCTGGCGGCAAGGTGATCCAAAACGTCGATGAGTCGTGGACATTGTGCCACTTTGTATCCTGGGGCGCCCAGAGCTATGAGCAGCCTGACAAGGCGCCGAAGAATATATCAACAAAGCCCGACGGCGACTGTAGTCCATGGATGTCGGATGCTTGTATCAAGGCGCTAGAAAAGGCAGCGGCTACTGCTGATAGAATGCCTGCTAGGATCACGCGCGACCTTCCTGTGAACCCTCGCACAGCGTGTTCCCCTCCGTATGACATCCCCAAAGAGTGCGATGGCGTGGATCTTGATTTTGACCGATACATTGCCAGTAAGTAGGCCTTTTCTGTATCTGATATGCTGTACTAACGAGACTCTAGCGCCGGAGCTGCCCATTCGCTATCTCACTGGTAGCACTACCCATCAGAATGGTTACGAGATGAAGGTGAACGACGAGATACACAAGGACATGAACGAGACGGTTCTGCCCGCAAACCGATCTGAGCTGATTTGGAAGTCACTGACGTCCGACTTTACCGCCGTCCTTACCGTCTTTGCCAAGTATACCGGTAACTCGACCAAGGACCAAGAGCCGGGTTTTGCACATGTCAGTTGTATCCGACCTGAGCTTAGCGGTGCGCACTCCAAGGCTGGTGTTTCAAACGGTAAGGGTGATTCGAAGAGTGGTGCCATGACGGAAGCTGTACACATCGCCGCTATTACCTTGGCTGTGGGTGCATTTATTCTGGCTCTGTAGAAAGGTCTTTTGACATGATGACGAAGTCTAGAGGATAGGAGTTGGTAAATAGCGTTGAAATTAATACAAATTTAATTAATCCAAGTCGGGTACCGGAAGGTGATCGACTAGCTTCATTCGCCGACCCAGGCTCGCCATGGCCTCAAGGGCGTTTTTGTCTTTGAGTGCGTCTGCCTCTTCCTTGCTAACTAGAATGAAATCTTGTCGGAGCACCTTTGTGCCGACGGCGACGTTGTATTGCTTGGCTGTGGACTGATCGGCTGGTGTAAACTCGACAATGAGGGACTCTTTGACGCCAAACACAGCATCTGAAGTTTCATATGGGTCGCCTCGGAGATATACAGCCCTTTTTTGTTACGTTAGTATTTTAATGTATAATGAGAAGCAGACTTACGTGATGAGATGGTCCCAGCCCTCCTTCTCGAGCATGAAGTGCATATGCGACGGTCTCCACGGGTGTCGATTCAGTAGCTTAAGCAGCTGACCTACTGGCCCATCATGTGGAATCGGATACGGAACCGGGACAATGGCCTTGAACCAGAATGTGCCATTATCGTCAGAATGCATGTAGCATCGCCCATCTGGACCGTCTCGTTCGTTATATTGTACGTCGTAGTGTCCTGTAGAGTCCGTCTCCCAGATGTCGACCTTGACACCAGAGATGGGGTTCCCTTGTGCATCTTTGACGGATCCAATAACGATACATGGCTCACCCTTGGGGTCTGAAGACATGGACTCGCCGTCAGTAATGGACTCGGCTTCATGTGTGTGGAATGGGCCTAGGAGTGAACCCTCTGTAGCACCAGGCGGCTTCGGGTGATCAATAGCGTCTACCAGAAGGGAGAGGCCAAGAATATCCGATAGCAAAATGAATTCCTTTTTGATTATTTAGCATCACTCTCTGATAGTAAATATTGAATGAGGGCACATACATGACGGACGTCGCTGGATATCTGCCCAACTTGGACGAGAAAATTGAGGGCAGCCATCCACTCCTTTGTGCTAAGGCGCGTTTCACGGGCAAAGTCGTGCATATGCGTCACTAGGCGCTCCATAAGATACTGCATGCGCGCATCACTGCCTTGGGAGTTGATGGCAATGGTGTTGGCTGTAATGTTGTCAATGTTGAGGTCCTTGAGGACGGGAGTTGTGTGTTGGGGTGTCATGTTGACGAGCTGCAGTGGGCTATACTAAACATACAACAGTGTAAACATGTAGTATAGCATAGTAACAAACATGGGGGATAGTACTAATATATACAGACTGGCCTATGGCGTGCATGCGTGGTAATGATTAATAACGGAAGCGTAAGCCGGCGCCGTGCGGGGCAGCAGCCGCCCGGCAGGTGTCTCGGAGCCGGGCTCTCATCCGGGGATCGGTCACAACGCTATCCTACGTCGTGAATTAAATACAAGAAATTAAGCAAAAGATTCAACTAGTATTTATATTTTACTTAGATGACTATGAAATTCTTTCGGATAATTACAGATTTATTTGTCGACACAGTGCTGCCCCGTCTCTCCCCGCACCCACACACCCGACGAATCTGCTTCCGATGCAACACACACTCTAACGCTGTGCTTTCCAATTCTTTGTCATGGCTTACAAGCAACTGCCTCTTCCTCCTCCGCCGTATCATCACAGTAGCACAACTCCATATAAGTGTCCCCTCCACCAACACCCATCCTTCATACGCTTCCGATTCTTCACCGCTCACTTACACGAGCTCAACAAACTCAAACATCACCTCCATCTTTCACAATAAATCCGGGTATTTCTCCACTTATACTAGCTCTTCCTCTCTTATTCGCATACCGCACACAACACCGAGAAGCATCATGTCATCCCTCCAAAACTTCACATACACATCCAAAACTCCCCGCGTCGTCTTTGGCTCCGGCTCCATCTCCTCCATCACCGCTGAACTATCATCCCTCAGCTGTTCACGCCCTCTCATCCTCTGCACTCCACGCCAAACACGCCTCGCACAGCTCGTCGATTTCCACCTCACAGAGTTCTTCGCCGACATCTACTCCCATGCCACCAAGCACACGCCCAAATCCATCACCAACAATGCCATCGACTTTGCCAAATCGCACCGAGTCGACGCCGTCATCTCCATTGGTGGCGGAAGCACCATTGGTCTCGGTAAAGCGTGCGCATATCACGGCGGCTTCAAACACATATGTATCCCAACCACCTATTCAGGCAGCGAAGTCACACCCATTCTCGGCGAAACCATCGACGGGGTCAAGACTACACGCTCAGACCCGGCTATTGTCCCCGACACCGTCATTTACGATGTCGATCTTACCTTAACACTGCCCCCGCAGGTCAGCGCATATAGTGGCATAAATGCGATTGCGCATGCTGTGGAAGCTCTCTACGGACAGGGAAAGAATCCAGTAATCACTCTGCTTGCTACAGAGGCTATTCGTGTGCTAGCTAATGCGTTACCAGAGATTGTGGCAGATCCGTTAAATAAAGACGCCCGGTCAAAGGCATTATACGGCGCATGGCTGTGCGGTTATTGTCTTGGGAGTGTAGGCATGTCTATACATCATAAACTGTGCCATGCGCTCGGTGGGAGTTTTGGTCTGCCTCATGCAGAGACGCATACTGCTATTCTTCCACACGCTCTAGCGTATAATGCACCCGCAGTCCCCGAGGCCATGGCGATTTTGGCAAAAGTGTTCCCGGACAGTAACGGTGATGCTATCCACGGACTGGATCTGTTATTGGATAGACTAAAAGTGGGTAGAGCGCTCAGAGATCTTGGAATGGAAGAAGAGGATATTGAAAAGGGCGTGGATATCGCAACAGATAATGTGTATCCGAATCCAAGACCGGTGACGATAATTGGCACCCACAGAATCATTCGGCGCGCATGGGCGGGAGAACCAGCAACAGCCGACATCTAAGCCCCTGAATTAAAAACAAAATTGGATTTTTAAATCCATTATACTTCTATCTATTCTAAATATTTTTTAAATGAGTAATTAGGCAGCCTGGCTCTTGTATAGCTGCGAAAACACGCTCGCGTCGTCGGCCAACAGGGTAGCTGGCGCACCAAACTCAGCGAGCTTACCCGCATCCAAAACCATGACCTTGTCAAACGAATGAATCGACGTAAGACGGTGCGTAATCATGAGAATTGTCGCGCCTGGAAATTCAGAGTCGATAATCTCCGTCATTTTTGCTTCTGTTGCCGCATCTACGCTGCTCGTCGGCTCGTCTAGCAGCACCACCTTGTTTTTGCGAAGCAGCGTTCTGGCAAGACAGATGAGCTGGCGTTGGCCGTGTGACAGATGCACATCATCCATGGATGCATCAAGAATCTTGGTAGCTGACACGCCTTCTCCAAGAGACTGCCGAAGCACTGACCAGAGGCCAACTCTGACGAGAGCCGCTTGAATGTCCTCGTCATTAGAGATGCCGTGCAGGTCCATGTTCAAGCGAACAGATGCGGAAAAGAGGTAGGGATCTTGGGTAATGCATGTAATCCGTTTACGGACTACCTCATTGGTGACCTGTGAAAGATCTTGTCCGTCTAAGACAATGCTACCCGACTGGATATCCATCATGCCGAGCATTGCCGTGATGAGAGAACTTTTGCCGCTGCCCGTGCGTCCACATATCGCAATCTTTTCGCCGCTCTTAATATCAATTGTCAAATCCTTCAGCGCAACAAAATCGGCATGCAAAGCTGTCAGATTGGTAACCTGTATGTCTCCTGATCGCGGCCATTCCGCTGGGGCCGTACACACAGGCTCCGGCTCAGCGGGCGTGTCTTCTGAAAAGGTCTTTACTCGCGACACAGCGCCCAGTGATGTTTCCAACGACGTCCAAAACATGATAAGCGAGGCAAGAATCTCACCAAGACCCATCATGTTGACCAAGGCAATACCAATGAATCCAGCACTCACGTTTGTTCCGCGAAGACCAACAGCCATAGCCGTGAGTGAGGTAGCAAGTATCGCAACAATCAGGCCAAGCATCACAGCTAGCCACCGCTGAATACAGAGGAGCAAATAAAACGGCTTCTGGCAGTCATCAAGCAACGAAAAGTATTTATCCTTGTACGATGCAAACCATCCAAAGGCGCGAATAGATACCACTCCGTTGATCGTGTCAATCATGTGCGAGTACAGCGGTGCCTTGGACTCTAGCTCAATCAGTCGAATTTGCTTTGATGTGCGGAGATAGAATCGCTGCAGCAGCGCCAAAAGACCAACCACAAACGGGACAAAGGCTGCAAAGTATGGCGTTGCGACAAAGGTCAAAATCCCGTATCCAATACACCCAGACAGTTGAAACGAAGTGGTGATGAGGGCAACTGGAAGCACTATATCCGCAAGCTGCATGTCTTGGCTGAACCGATTCACCAGCGTGCCCGTGTCTGTTTGCGAATGAAACGACATGGGCGCCTTAAAGGCAGCTGTCAACACCGCCTGGTGCAGTCGCGTACCAGACCTGGGCGTAATAATGATCCAGAGAAAGATGACGGCAATGACAAGGCCAGATGAACGAAGAAGTGTCCAGAGAGCATATAGACCGAGCCAGTAGCCCGTGTTGGAGCTACTATCGCTCTCGGCCCAGAGCTTCAGCCATGCCTGCTGGACAGACCCGAATGCTGCGTAGGCGCAGACAAATAGGCCAAACATGGAGAGACCGACTACACCTAGCGACGAAAAGTAGTACTTGTAGACCTCGAGGTCACCGATGCTGCGGTCAGCTCGGGCGGCGTCTTGGGCGGAGCGGATCTGTGTTTGCACAATGCTGGCATCGACCCCACCCACTGGTTCAGGTTCAGAGCGGTTCATGATGGACTTGGGGGTATCTGAACCAGATCCAGAAATGGAATTGTCTGTAATGCGGCCCTCGCTGCTGATAGTAATGACTCTGTCCATGACGGAGAGGCAGCGGGCAGAGTGGGTGGCGAGGACTAGTGTGGTTCCCATTTTGCGCATTAGCCCGGCCGGTCCAAAGACATTTTCAATGATGGATTCTTGCGTGGTTGCATCAAGGGCACTCAAAACATCATCAAAGATGGCGATTGGCTTGCGGGAATATATGGCTCGCGCAATGGCGATGCGTTGACGCTGTCCACCACTGAGACCAACACCCTGCGCGCCAACATCGGTCTGGTCGCCGTCGCTCATGAGTTCAAGATCCGTATGTAGGGCACAAGCGCGGATAACTTCATTGTACCAAGCCTCTGAGAATCCGTAGTCACCGATGACTTGCTCACGGATAGTCCCGGAGGAGAGCCACGCACTCTGCTGGCAGACAGAGACTTCCTTCGATGCCATCCATACAGTACCGCTAAAGATGTGCGCTTCGCCAACAAGGGCATTTATAATGGTTGATTTTCCACATGCAACTGGGCCGACAATCGCTACAAGACTCGAATCGCGAGACACCTTGAAGGAAATGTCATGCACGACGGGCGCGGACCAGCCAATGGTGGCATTGTGTAAGATGATGCTGTCCGTCGGTTCGGCAGGCGATACTTCAGACGTCTTTTCGAGAGTGGAAGTTCCGAACAAGCGGTCGTCTTGAATTGTCTTCTCATTGAGAAACGTCTGGATTCGTTGGAAACAGGCGACAGCGGAAAAGCACTGAGGGACAGAATTAAGCAGGCTGCCAAGGGGGTACATGATGACTTGTAAGATGGCCAAAGATGCAATGGCTTTGGACATTGTGAAGTCGTCCTGTCCTTGTAGCTTATTTGCAATAGCATAAGTTGCAAACGTGATGAGAGGTGCCACGGTGTTGGGCAGATTGGTTAGGCATATATTGACACTGGACAGCTTGCGGTAGTGTTTGGCGCGATCGAGTTCGCCCAAGCGAAGAGCCTGGATAAAGTCATGAATCCCATCCGAGTAGCCTAGCATCTTGATACTCTTCATATTGCTGAGGGCGTGCGAGGTGAAGTTGACGCGCTTCTGCACAGCCTCCAGCCAAGTCTTTTGCCGTTTACCAACATATGTTCCGGCGCGCAGGGAGATGGCTGTAGAGAGCACAGCAAAGATGACTGGCGCAATGCAGACGGCACCCAATTGTCTCTGCAGCAGCCAGATGCCAATTCCCAGCTGTAGAATTGATGCCCATGTATCCGTAATGATAAACTTCCACATGTCACAAATACGCTCGACGTCAGCCCCAATCAAGGTCATAATGGGTGAGTCACTGTTCGTGATAGCCTTTGTGTTGATGGCCTCGATATGGTTGTAAATGGAGCCAATTAGACCGCCACGGACAAGAGAGAGGTAGCGGAATGCCAGCTGCTCAAAAAGGCCAGTGGCAATCTAAACGCGTTAGTTGGAGCAAATGGATGATGGGATAGTACAACCTACAGTCAAGGTCACATAGATTATGCCAACAGCGCCAATAAGACCATAGCTACTGTTTCGAATCGATGGCGTGTCTGGGGAGAGGATGTTCTCGATGACTGCTTGGATGGTGAATGGCTGTAAGAGATTGCAGGCGACGACAATAAGTCGCGGGACGACAATCTTGGCAACTTCCCATGGCCACGCCCTGAGTGTGGCATGGATAATCCAGTACTTGGAGGAAGAGTCGGCTAGCCAAAAGAAAATTAGAAACGAAAGAAAATAGTTTAGAGGAAGGGAAGTGGCTTACTCTTTTTCAAGGCTTCCTGGAGCTGCTCAAATGCAGCATTGGAGTTGAGCTTTTGATGGATGACAAACAGGTCGCCTAATTTCAATGCACCCCGAGAGCCTGCTCTTAACAGCGGCACAAGCCACGTAAAGAAACTTCGTGAAAATAGTCCACTAGTCTCTTCTAGAGATAGCCTCGCGTATGCCTCTGCCAGAATGGATCGTTTGCCAATACTCTCCAGGACCAGTAGGATAACCTTGGCGGCCAAAGACGCAGAGAGAAGCCCTGCAATGGCGTTGTTGGAGTCTTCAAGAAGCCATGTCGTTCGTACGCGGGCAATATCTAACAGGACGGAGACAAGCAGAAAGCCAGTGATGGTAAGTGAAGGTCGCGGGCTGGCTCGGTGTGCTGCGGCAGAAGTAATGGCGAGGACGACAGCCACGCAGAGCCCTAGCGCAGACGATACAACAGGGATATTGGTGGCCTGGATTGGGTATATTTTCCAACATGCTAGTAATGCAATTTGAAGCAGAGCGAGGACAGCAATTGTGGCTAGCTTGAGGACCATTCGTCTGGATTTGTTGTTGACTAGCAGACGGCGGTTCCATAGCATGCGTGTTGCCTCGACAGATCCAACAATGACAAAGAGTGTTGAAGGCAGAATGCTGAGCATGGTTTCTTCGAAAAAGACTAGGAAACAGAGGACTAATTAGTACAAGGACACAGAGATGGTGTTGGTGATGTCAAATGTACCCGTGAAATCGAAGCCACCACGACAGTGTGGTGCCGCGGTCAGCGGCGAGAAGCGATCATCATTGCAATCTGTTGAAGAATTCATTTTTTAAACTCTTGATTACAATGTATACAATTCTTCATTGGCGAATCCATGATGCCAAGCACGAAGCGAGCTAAGCTTATTATGTAGGCGAACGTTGGTGGAGTTGGCATGTTCAGACGGCGTTTTTAGCGCCCTTTGGCTGCAGACACCGCTGTGGACTGCCCCGCACTGGACGCGTACGCAGCCGCATCATCATAGCCTTGTTTGCAGTTGCGTTTGCTTTTCGATTTGCAGAAAGAAATACAAGGTTTACATGATTTATCATGGGTTTTGACTGTTTACAAATGACTCATAAGCCACAATTTTCATGTTAATTTTACAGTCAGGTATGCGCTGCTGGGCGCACGGGTATAAGACTACATACTACTACAGACGACAGCCCTGTATGCTGTTGGCGTAATTTTTCTGTCGTGCACTCATTATCAAATCATATTCCGAGATAAATGTTCGTCGGTGTTGATGTGTGTGGGCAATTCCATAAGATGAATTGGTTATCCCCAGTAGTCGTATATACAAAAGGATCAAGAAAGAATCCAAGTGGAATGGCTAGAGTCATAGCCTGAGTCAAAGATACTTGACAGATGAAAGACAAATCGGAATAGAGGAGTGAACAGTCTATTGTGTTGAACAATAGTGCGTATAAGCGGACTACTGGTCCGCCTGTTATCTCTCCTTCGTCATTGACAAAAGCTTCCAGCGGCATCTGTGCTGGGTCCTGCAGTAAATCGACTAGAGCGCAAGAAGCGTCAATTGGTGCAGTATTGAAGTCAAATACCTCTTGATTTTCCTTGTCCCAAAGAAAGGTATCATCTACCTGTTCCCAGTTGTAGAGGGGTGGCGTGATAAACTATTCCACCTTACACTTTTATTCTTCCCCCATTCCCCTTAAGCAAACCATAAACGTTGAAGGTAAAGCTACCTAGTATTTATATTTTACAGTAGTTATTGTTATATTTTATGCTAATTGATTACTATCTATTGAAAAATCAAGAGACGTTGATTGTAGAGATAATACTGGCTCCTTCGATAAGTGACACACAATGAATTTATTAACTATCTGAACTGCGCGATACCACCGCCTAAGATTGATTAAGAGTACTTATGAATGTACTCATTCTATCGGCTATGCTTATTCACTATCCTTTCTTCCAAAACATCAAGGCCTGTCATCCTCTTCATAGTCTTATCCAAGACACCAATAGGCAACAGTGCCGCAAACCTAGCCAGGTTTGACATGGATCCTCTAAATATCATATGTGCTGGATTCTTGCGACTAAGGTCTCCTGCGACAAGCATTGCCCAGGTCTCCGTATCCATACGGTCCGATCCAGATTCGTCCTGCATCATTGACTTCTCAATTTCTGGCTTGGCAACATTGTATATAGAATCAGGTGGCAGCTCGCCGTTGGAAGTGTTGTTTGTCGTGTTTGTAATAAACGTCGACTTTACTGCCCCTGTAACAATGTTGATGACGCGAATCCCAAATGGTGCCAGTTCCAGGCGGAGGCACTCAGTTAAGCTCGCCGCAGCTGCTTTGGACGCATTGTATGCTCCCTGGAATGCCAGACCACAGCCCAGTAGGCCCGAGCCAGCAGTATTGTTGGCAATAAACGGTTGCATTGTGGACTTGAGCATCAAGGGTACGAATGCCTGAGTCGTGCGGACTATCGAGAATGCATTTAACTCAAAGAGTTTGTGCATTTTATCGATATCCAAGTGCATAATAGGCATGTTATAGCCTGTTCCGGCATTGTTGATGAGAGCATCGAGGCTACCGCCAGTCAGTTCAATCACCTGATCGACTGCTTTTGCAACAGACTCGCTTGACTCGACGTCCATTTCAACGCACTCGATACCAGCAGCCTTGACATTCGATAGCTTTGAGAGGTTGCGAGCAGAAGCGAAAACACGCCATCCTTGTTTGTGGAGCGCAATTGCTAGAGCAGAACCGAGGCCATGATCTGAGCAACCCGTCACCAAAACTGTTCTTTCTTTCTGCATCGTAATCAATAGAGTATGTAGCAAGATGAATAAAGGCCCGCGTGTATTTCACTGGTATTGGGAGAGTCTCCTTTTATATAATATATAGGTCAAAGTGTCGCTTTATTTCCGCAAGCGGACTTGCACCACGCCCTTCGCAACTTCCAATGGAACTCCGCCGTGGCTGTGCCATACACGCCGCAAAACAAAGTCCGCGAATAGTTTATACGCTATGCTCAAAGGGGATTTCTAATTGCCGTAAGTAAGCCTCCTAAATCATTGCGGGGTTAATTAATGCCTGGGTCGAATTACTCGTCAAGTGCTGTCTAAGCCGTTGCTGTCTTACGCGCGACATCCTTCCCGATTAAAACAAGATCTTCACCAGTTATCGCTATGGCCAACGGCGAATCCTACTAACACTGAGCCCTTCGCAGCTGCACTGTATTGAATATGACGTCACATTGATGAATCGCCACTCTCAACACAAGTTGAACGTGTGGTATAGTATAAATAAATTCAAGTCTTTAGTGTAAGTAGATCACCTCAGGAAAGTCTTTGTTTGGACCAGCCAGGACACCAGGGCCTTTGCTGTGGAGAGCAAACTCGATGAAATCTCCCAAATACCGCTGCAGCATCACCTTCATCCGTGATCCTGAAATACCGCCATACATAATATCCACGAGCTCTTGGTTGTCGCGGTGGCCCGTCACATCGCCAATAATGGGCATATCGTAGCCCGATCCATGTCCTGAGCCCTTGACGGTAACTTCGCGGACCCAGACATCCGGGTGATTCTTGCCCATGGCAGCAAGGAAATCAGCGTACGACTGATCCGATGTAGAGTTGTGTCCGTCAGAGTCGAAAATGAGAAATGGCTTGTTGATGCCCTGCTTCACAGCTGGACCAAACATCATACCGTCGAGATTCACACCTCCCGCGATTCTCTTGTCCGCTAGGATTGATTCAGCTGCTGCAGCACCGCCATACGACTGGCCGATAAATACAGTGCGCTTGATGCGCAGTTTGTCCAGTAAAAAGGTCGTATCCTTTGCGCGAACGGTCAAGCCGTACTCAAGTGAAGGGATTGTCTTTTTGATTTGGTTGCCGTAGAGGATCTCGCCATCCGGGTAGATAATCACATCCGTTTCGTATGGGTGATCTGGTACAATGACTTCGTAGCCGAGACTAGCAATGTGCTGCGCTGTCCACGAGTATGATAGACGCGTTGTGTTGAGACCCGTATCAAAGATAATTTTCGGGAATTTTCCAGAGCTGCAAGATGATTTGGACTTGCAGCATCCTTCAATCTCTAGCTGCTTAATCTCTCCTTTGGGCCATACCGTAGGCAGAATGAAGGTAGCAATGATTTCGTCTTCTAGGTTGGCAATGAATTCCGGCATGTACGGTACGCGGCATGTTTCAAGGCAATTGGCGATAGGAACTGGCGTAAACTTTGAAATCATAAGTCTTCGGGGCCGGCTGGTATTAAAGGGATCTGGCCGGTTGTAGTCGATGAGCTCTTGCGACTCCCATTTGACCTGATAGGGGCCATCTGTTGGTGGGAGTAGGATGGCAGCAGCAGTAGCCACACAGAGGTAAATTGGAATTAATTGCATCGTAATTGGCTTGCTATTTTCTAAAAAGGGTACCTATAATCCAATAAAGCTGTGATGACACCGCTGTAATTTATGTTGTTCCGTCTGAAGATCAGCTTGCCAAGCGCTCGGCGTTCATTCTGAGTGCCGAAGCCGAGACCGAGAGAGCTGAGCTTGGCTTCACAAAAGAACCTTAAATTATAGTCATGAGGCTGAGCATTAATTTATAAATTATATATAGTTAACACGGAAATGAGCTTATGTAGCCAAAAATACAGTTGCACTGTGGTGGCGCCAACTACCACACATGGCGGTATGCGGCACCAAGCCTTGGATAACTTACCAAAGCTAAGTCTCTACGAAATCGCCATTACGATAAAATACAAGTTGAATTCTGCAGGATTTAGAAAGCATATAATGGACTGTTTTTATGTGAGGCATATAAGCGATAATCTACTTCGGAGACATTCCACTCGCAATATGCACGGCTGATATGGCATTCACGGTCAGGATGCGTCACTAACAACTCTACATCTGCAACACTACAGCATGACATTCAACAGAATCGCTATATACGGCCACAGAGGCTGGGCCAGTTCTGCCATTACAAAATCTTTGATTGCTAGTGGTGCACCTATCAAAATTCTCCACAGGCCTGAATCCGACGTCTCCGGCGTTCCATCAACCGTGACAACCGTGAGCGTCGACGTGAATGATAAAGATGCACTCATCCATGCTCTTCACGATGTCGATATTTTAATGTATTTAATCTTAAACACATTTAAAACTGGGATTATATGCTAATATATTTTGCAGATCACTTGTTGGCCACGATGGCATTAGCAGGCAACTTGCCCTTGTCGCCGCTCTGCCGCATACCGACGTCAAGCTATTCGTACCATCCAACATGTCACATCAAATTGACGAAGACGGCATGCGGCTCGCAGTCAACAAGGCAAAAGTCGAGGTCGAAAAAGCAGCCCGAGATGCCAAGATTGCAGTGACTACTGTGCTTCCTGGCTATCTGGTGGAATCGTCCCTGGCCATACCGTACGTCCAACTTCATGCTTTATCTCCCCCATGGTTGATTAACATGTATAGAATGATGGGTGTGGACGCCAACAATAACCATATTTTATTTACAGGCAATAGCCAGCAACAGCCACTCAATCTATGGTATGCATCCCCGGCCTTCCGGTTGAAGCTATGCTAACCATCGCCACCTAGCACCCTGCGATATGTCGCCGCGGCATATAGTGCCATTTTTGCAACGACCCCTACTGATACCCTTCAGAACAGAGTAATTGGATTAGCTGAATTAATTGTGACTGGCGACGAGATTAGAGCAGCCCTGGAGCAAAAGCATGGCGCCAAGCCGCAAGAGTTCGTCATGAGCATAGACACCGTCGACCGCAAACTAGATGAAACGCTTGCTGCCGGTAGCCCACTTGCGGCCATGTGGTATTATCGCAAGATATGGGCAACTGGAGCATTGAAAGGCCTAGTGGGAGATGACATCTGGGAAATAGACGGATACCCCAAGACAACACTAGACGAGCTCTTGGTGCAGGGCAAGATGCAACCATACCGCGAATTGCCTGAACGCGTGATCCAAATCATGGCTCAATTTGATTAATGTTATTATATAGTACAGCAAATACATAGCTAGCTCACCCCTCTCAAAGGACACATTTTATTAACTCCACTATATATCTCTTAACATCAAAACACGACACGACACAACGCAACAACGCTAGACCGGATAACCACCATCGCATACCTCAATTCCAGGACATGTTCAATCTAAAATCTCATATTCAATTCTCTCGCATCTCCCAGTATTCACACCTACAATGACATCATTTGGACAGGCGCTCATAACCGCTACACAATCCAACTCTGCTCTAAGAACAATATACTCGCCAGCGTTGCACGCTGGAGGCACACATTCGATTCTACCTCCGCCAGACTCACGACCAAGTCCTGTCGTAATGGGCACATTCATAAACACATTAAATGGATCAGGTGTCCACTCAGTTGATATTGTGCCTGGCTCAAACAGGCCGTCGTCGGCGGCTTCTTCAAGAGCCAAATGCATGTTCTCAGAACAGCTTTCGTGCTCGTAGTGTCCCACACCCAGGTTTTGGTATCTAAAGCGGTCGCAGCACCCAAAAAGTGTGTCGTGGATCCCAGTTGTTGTATCTTCTATCAGGGTGAACATGGGAAGGCTCTTGTTAGTGTATAGTACGTCCTTTGTCACCGCTGAAGGGACAAGTTTTGATAGAATGGATCGCGTGCGAGATGCGGAAAAGTATTGCACACCGGAGACGAAAGGAAATGATTTGGTCATGTCATATCTATTGGCTATTGTCTTGTTATCGTCAACGATGAAACTGGTAGGGATGTCGGCTATGCTCTGCTGGGGAAATGCAAATGCCCAAAAGTCAATGACTTGGGTGCCCGTTGGATTGATGAGCTTCATCTTTTGTCCCTTTTTCAGAGCGGCATACCCCCCGGTACGGGCTGAAATTGTCGTGGGTGGCATGTTCTTTTAGTGAGTATCATGTAAGAGCGAGGTTGTAATTTTAGGCTATCGCTTATGTAGGTCAGCGGTAGGAACAAAGATATACCAAAAAAGACTAGAATATCTGTTGCAGCAAAATACATTCCTTCGTTACGTCCAAAGCCTCATCGTCTATGCCTGACTGCAGCCCATTATGTGGCAGCCGTCTAGTGCGGGGTAGAGACAGCCACCATCGGGCTTTGTTATTACCGGCATTAAATTTTCATATAAAATTGCAAGAAGATATGGCTCTGATTTGCAGTCGTAGCATCGTTTGTGTATACTTGGCTCTGTAGTACTGCTGCATATCGGCGTTCATTGGCTATTCTAGCCGCAGTAAGAGTAGCACATTTCATTTACACCAATATTGGTATTGCGCAGATATATTTGCATATTTACAAACTTAGAAATCCTCTCAAAGACAACTAGAACAAGTTTCCTACGTTACATTTTTTTTTACTGGCATGCAGCCTGGTCAATTGCATGCTCTCCAAAACATCATGTCGTCGCACTATAACCACGATCTGCCGAGGCAGCAATACCACATCAATTACCTCGTATTGCCAATAGGAATAATGTAATTTCAAATAAACCCTGTTTTTTCTCTCCTGATTCTCACCATTGACCTCGCCTCCGAGCCCATCTCGGCCGACAAGTACAGCGTATACCCCGGCGCCGAGTTCGGCGATGACGGCAAGCGCGGCACAGCCCGAGACCCCATGCCCGAAGCTCCGGCGGAGTTCCGAGTCGCGCAGGATCGCAGCTCGCAACAACATCATCAACAACACAGCGAATCAATTTCTATATAAATACAGCTTGGCAATCCCGCCTGTGGACGCATCATCTCCATTTATTCCCGGCCCAATCACAGAGCTCCTGAATATAATACATATTCCCAATCACATTAGCAACAACACTTCTCCTACCCAATGCACCCCGTCACAGCCAAGGCTGCTGCCTCTTTCACACGCAACATCACCACATCACTCTCTTCTACTACTTCAATTGCCAGAATGGCCACTAGCGCCCGCAGCGCAGGCACAAAGGACTGGTCCGCGGCCCAGTACCTCAAGTTTGCCAACCAGCGCACACGGCCGTCCCACGACCTCCTTAGCCAAGTGCCCATTGCCGCCCCCAAGCGCATCATCGACATTGGCTGCGGCCCCGGCAACTCGACAAAGGTACTCGTGGAACGTTTCCCCGATGCCAAAGTCAGCGGCATGGACTCGTCGCCTGACATGATCAAGACGGCGCAAAAGGAACTGCCTGGGTCGGACTTTGTCCTAGCCGATCTTACCTCGTATACACCCGAGCCCGACGCCGACTTACTATTCTCCAATGCCGTCTTCCAGTGGCTCGATGCCGACGCGCGTATCCCCATCATGAAGCACCTCATTCAGTCGCTGCCATCGGGGGGCGTGTTTGCGATGCAGGTGCCTGACAACCGAATGGAGGAATCGCACAAGGCAATGCGGCATGTCGCCGGGGAGGGCCCGTGGGCAGACACGCTCGCTCGGCACAAGCCGGCGCTGGACCAGTTCCAGACGCCTCTCGAGCTGTATAATGCGCTCAAGCCGCTGTGTTCGTCGGTGGACATCTGGCACACGCACTACCAGCACGTGCTGGGTAGCCATCAGGACGTGGTGGAATGGGTCAAGGGCACCGGGCTACGGCCGTTTATCGATCCCCTGACTGCGGAGCACAAAGAGGGCTTCCTGGCGGCTTACTTGCAGCAGATTAAGGAGAGATACCCGACATCAGAGGATGGTACGGTGATGCTGAGGTATCCGCGCTTGTTTATGGTGGCTGTGCGGGCGTAAACGAGAAACAATAGCAGAGCAGTTATAACAATTGGCTGCTTTGTAAATAGACGTTACAATACAAAAAGGTCATGTTTCACATTATGGATCACTGCAGCAAGGTTCGCGACCCATTTATTGTGCAAAAGTACTAGCGTGCCTGCTACAAAGTAACTTGTGTTTGCGCAAACCAATGCTTCGCTTGTTCCCTCGCTGCCGCCTCTCAACGACCCCGCGAATAGACGAGCAGAAAGTCATCATCAAGGACAAGTACCTCGTAATCATGGCGTACTTTAGGTGCATCCAGGGCATTTTTTCACATGGCTTGTGGATCTGGGGCCATGAGATCATTGGCTGATGATGGGCAGCCTGGTGCACGGCCAGCCTTGCTAAAGGCTCACCTTTACCATGCGCCCCGTTGGAGTGGAAATTGGCTAGCGTGCTCGTCTAACTCCCCAGCCCTATGGCTATTTGGTGACAGGGGTCTGTCTACTAATACGTATTAGTGGTTCGGAGGGCCTGCTGATGCATACTAAGGATAGTGTGTGGTAGCGCAGGTGTGCCGTGTCACACCGAGACTTATCCGAAATAGGTGGCATTTTATTTCCGGTGTGGGAAGTGATGCACGCATGGGCGTGCTTGCCTAGTGACATCCCCAATGTATCTATAGACGAGCGATAGCGTCATGGCCAATGGTTGCGTGTATATGGCCTAGCGTGGTGGTTAGCCCGTAGGCGAACAGAGGCCACAAGGCGCCTCACCAAGTAGCATGGTCCAGAGTTTAAGCAAGCGATGATGACATATAAATATCAGGTACTCGGGGCGCCAGAGTCCAATGGCCTTTACTCAACACGAGCATACTATCCTCACAAGACAAAATGCAATTCTTCTACGCCGCTGTAACCCTTGCCGCCATTGCCACGGCTGCCCCCGTTGGAGGTTCGTCTATAGACACAGAATTCTTGACTACATGTAACTGACTCTTGTAGTCCCTGAAGCTAGGGATGTCAATGAGGGGTCTGCGTTGGCCAATGTCCTCTACGTTGAGCCCAAGAGTGCCAACGACGGTTCTGCTCTCGCCAACAGTCTGTACATTGAGTCTAGGGACAACAATGAAGGTTCGGCTTTGGCCAATGTTCTATACGTTGAGCCTAAAGATGAGAATGAAGGATCTGCTCTTGCCAATGTCCCCTACATTGAGTCTAGACATACCAACGAGGGATCTGCTTTAGCCAACGTCTTGTATGTCGAGCCCAAGGATGAGGGCGGCCCCGTCCTAGCAAATGTTAGATACCAGTAGCTAGACCACTAGAATCATACTGCTATTTTAGGTATGGACCACTCTTGTCCGCCTTGTTCCCTTTTGCAAATGTAGAATGTGTAAGCGAGGATCAACCTTGCAAGTCGAGCTGGGACGGAAAATACGCCCCATTGTGAGTATGCAGCCTGCGTGCGCAATCTCGGTACACTGTCCGGAGATGTGATTTACTCCTCGTTCTCAACACATGGTGTGGCCAGCAAGGCGTCCGTAAGGCTGAGCCAACCGCAAGAATGCCTCCCACACCAACAGGGCCGGCGCGGTGTGTAGTACACTGAGCCGCAGCCTGATGTTCACACATCGGGGCGTGCAAGCAAGTACATGTTGTCGGCATCTTCCGTGCCCAGCTCTTTTGTTACTTAAACCCTCTTACAGTTAGAATTTGATGTTTGGTCTTCCTTCAACAACTAACTCACCATGTTTACCAAAAAATATGACCGCCTCGACGTTGACGACGTCGAGTCCACTCAGCGACTTACTTCCAAAGACCACCCCTCTGAGGAAACACTCTATGAATTCCCATTCCGCTCTTGGGAGAGACCAAAAAGTTACAAAACGATCGTCGGCTACACGCTCGTAGCTACAATTTGGTCGCTGTTGTTCTTTACCGCCGGCGTTCTCACCAACCGGGCTTTCAGCCACTGTGGGTTCGAGCGAGGATTCCCTACGGACTTGGGTATGTTCTTGTCTCTTACTCAAAGCCACTTACAACACTAATCCCCTTTCTAGACCCATTAAAGTCCATGCTGGCGACTGAGACAGTGAGGTTCCAAGGCCAGCTGTACTTTGCTGATAATGGTACTCTGTTGGAAAAGGGCCATGACGGCATCCAATACACCGGCGATCCCTCCGACGAACTCGACAATGCATGGAAGAAGCTCTTACAAGGTACTCCATCCTAATTCTGATTTATTTTAAAGACAACTAATTATTCAGTTGACGCGGTGGACCTGATTGAGTCTGAAGCAGACACCGTCCGTGGCAAAACCATCCTCAAAGAGAGCGGCCACTCAGTAGTAGGCGTGTCCGTCTTCCACCAGCTACACTGCTTGGTACGTGCCCCTTTATCTTACTCATACACTTCTCTAACAGGAGCAGAACATGATCCGACAAGCGGCTTGGCCAGACTTGTACAAGACTGGTGAATCAGAGCGTGGATACCGCATGCATCTCAGTAAGTCAGCCCCATACATGCGGGCGGCCACTCAGCATGGCTAATTCTCTGGTAGATCACTGTGTCGACTATCTCCGGCAAATCATCATGTGCAATGTCGACATTACACCGATGACGGCGAGCTGGAGCACGGTGGCGAACCGCCCCGTCAGTAACTTTGAGACGCTGCACACATGCCGCAACTTTGACAAGGTCAAGGAGTGGGTGGTAGCGCGCAGTGGACACAAGCACCCTCTGCCATATGCGAAGAATAAGCCAAAGCCAGTTTTCAAGTGGCCTGACTTGCATATCGGAGCGGACGGCAAGCCCATCAACACGCATAGTGGTAGCACACATAGTGGTAGCAATCAGCCAGCCACCGAAGCCTAGTAATAGTGGTAGTAGTAATAGTAGAGAATAGTATTTACATCTACCGGTTTCACATGGTATCATATTATTTACACGTCTTTATATCCGTGATCTTGGTGGAATCAGGCTGTTGCTTCTGCTCGTGTGGACGCAATAGCAGAAAATTGGCCCCCTGCTCCCGCCCATACAAATTTCTCATCATTCACGGCCTTTCCTTTAATCTGCGTGGCGACAAAGACATCTTCATCCTGACCCAATCCAAGCTGGTTCTGTGTACCAAATCCCGTAGAATACGCCTTTCCTTCATCGTTGATGAAGATAGTATGGTCGGTTCCGCAGCCAACCTGTATCACTTTGCCCAATCCCGGAATAGCAGTCGGCGCCAGACAGATTCTCGGCTTACCGCGCTCATCCCGTCGAAAGAAAGTTTCATCCGCAAGCTGCTCAGGTGTAAACTCAATACCGAGCTGACCGCCATCCATGCGACCCCAGACAAAACACTCTCCAGCAGCAGTTATGGCGACGGAATGAGAGCCTCCTCCAGCGAGTTGAATCACGTTTCGACCGCAAAGGCCATCGATTCTCGTCGCTTCTGGACGGAATGCCTCGTCTCCTCCTGCTGATTCGGCATGGCCCGCTTGTCCAAAGTTGTTCAGGCCCCAGCCCCAAACCTTGTCGCTGTCGTCAATTGCAAAGCAATGGTTCGGTCCGCTTGCAATATACTTTACTTTGTTCTCGCACGGTCGAACGATAAGAGGTCGAAGTGTATCTTGGATGGATGCATTTCCTACAGACAGGAATTGGTTCTGGCCACCGGTGCCCCAGCCCCAGATGGTACCTGTGTTGTCGAGGGCGAGGGCGTGGTTTTCGCCGCAGGCTATTTGTGTAATGTTTTGTAGACCAGCAACGGGGACGGGTATTGGTTGCTTGATGATTTTCGATCCGTCTTCTGCGTATCCAAACGCTTCCTTGCCATCTGGGTCCTGTACACACATGTATCAGTACATATTAGAATTAGGTGATAGAAATAGAGCTTACACGAAAGGTTCCCCATGCATACACCTGACCATCGTCCGTGAGGGCAAGAGTGCAGTTATCGCCGGCAGCAACCGACACAAACTTCGTGCCGGGTGCAAAGTGCACAGAGTCGACAGCCATTGGTGTCGATTCGAGCGGATTCAAATCGCCCTCTTCGTCGGAATCCTCGGCGTCTGCATCTCGCAAACCGCCGTCCCAATCTGTGCTGCGGCCTAGAGCATGGCAATCATTGACACCCCAGGTCACAATCTTGTTGTCGTTGGTCAATACAACATTGTGCATACCGCCACAGGCAATTCGAACAGCGTGGAACGCAATGTCTTTTGTCGGATCGAGAAACGGATTGAGCTTTGGTCTCTTTGCCTCTGTCACTTTAGTACCCAGGCCAAGGCCTCCCATCTCACCATCGCCAAAGACAAAGACGGACAGTGTCTCCCGGGGGTTTGGTACTGCATTCAATGGCGTCGTGTCTGGTACAACTGGTGTCTCTTGTACTGCTGGTTTCTCCTGTTCTGCTGGCGTCTCTGGTACTATTGGCGCCTCTGGTACTATTGCTATCTCTGGTACCACTGGTAGAGCGGCAGTTGGTGCAGGTGCTGCCGCAATTCCATGGGCAATTCGAGCGAGTCTGGTGCTTCTGCGTCTAGCCTTCTTGTGCGGACGCAGCTCTGGACCAGGCTTGCTCTGTCTGGGCTGCTCGGCAATAGGCGCCTTGCGTTTCCTACTGCCTGTCGTTGTCGTCGCCATTCTTCACTATTCCTTAAACAAATGTTCAAAGAAAGAAAGTTGGTGGCAGTTGGAGTGACATTATTGAAGCACTTTTTTTTTGGTAGGCGGTGACAGGGGGCCAGCAGTGTAGCCACCCTAGAGCTGGTGTTTGCAGTACGTGTCTGCCTGGGACAGCGGGCGCAGGGTTACATAAGCTGAGAAATTACCCGTATTGTGTAAGAATTAAATTTATAGAGATGGAAAGCTAATTAAGATTCCTAGATTAAACATTGGGTTTGTCGGGAACACGTTCTCCTGTCCGTCGCTGTGTTTGAAATGGTACTTAGTGAGTCGCAGTACGTACCCCTGGAAAGAAGGTTTGATATACGTCAGGGTTAGGGTTATGTTCACTAACCAGCACCCACCTCCCCTACAAGGTGAATAATGAGAATTGAAATCTCGGCCGTGTGGAAACAGCAGTCGGCGCTAGCGATGTGGCTGCAGCCTTGTCCGAATCCTGTGAAACCACCATAAGCAAGGCGCCACCTCGGGCGTTTAATTGCACCGTTATTACACCTAACAAATAAACCCAAAAGACAAAAACCCTTAGACCATCATTTAATGTCATTTTACCCCATGGTGTATGTCGATGTTATCTCGTCTGCAGATCCCACGTTGTATCGTCGCATCTTTTTTTCACTTTTTTAGCCGCCCACGTGCGGGGACCACCTTGCGATTTGCTGCGACGCCAACTTGGGAAGGTCAGATTTGGCGCCACCCGCTAGCGCCAGCTGGTACACCTGTGACACCTGGCGATTGGTGGCTTGCCAAGGGTTCTGTTGGCTGCTGTTGGTCGGGGCCGGGCACAGAGCCTCTTCTCCTCTATTTTGATTGCTCACGATACCCCTCTCTTCCCTTTGCCTCCTCTTTCTCCTCATTCGCGCGTGTTTGTTCAGCTTTGCTCTGCTTTGTGTGCGCTTTCTGTGATTTGAACCCAAACAGCGACAAGCATCTGTCGCTGCGACAATCCCCATTGTCTCTACCAAACTAGCCTGGTAGGACGGACTGCAACCATGGAGGACTCCTACGACATCACCACTGGTATCCCACAAGACAAAATCTGGGGAACCCAGTTGCGCACCTACTTTGACTTTACTCTCTACTTTGAGCAGGCTATTCTGCTACTGGTCCCGTCGGTGCTCTTCATCCTCTGCTTTCCACACTACATCCGGACAGTGATGCGCAAAAAGCCCGTGGTGCGCCGTAGCTTGCTGCTCTGGGCAAAACTGGTATGCAATGGATCCTATTTCATGCCCCCAAAATGGAAATACTAACGGCAAATTTGCACAGCTCTCGGGAACTGCGCTGATGGCCATGCAAGTCGCCGTCTCTGCTGCATGGATCACCTTTCCCCAGTTTCGATTCAACCTCGCCTTTGGCGCCGGTGCCTTGTCGTCGCTCGCTGCCGCACTAACCATTCTCGTGCTGTATATTGAACACGTCTATTCCCTTCGACCATCTGCACTTATTAGCCTCTACCTTTCGATCACCATTCTGTTTGACATTGCCATTTGCCGATCCTTTCTCCTCCGAGAAATGGAACTGCCCGGTGCTCTCACTGCTGCCACAATTGTCATCAAGATGACCATTATCCTGATGGAGGAGATAAAGAAGAAGAAAATCATCATCTCTGAACAATTGCGAGAGACCGTCGGACGCGAATCGCTCAGTGGGTTCTGGACCATTGCCTTTGTCGCTTGGATCAACCAAACCCTGTTCAGAGGGTACCGTCATGATCTTACCGAGGATGATCTGGACTTACTTGATGAGGGCATCAAATCTGGACCCCTGAGAGAACGATTTCGTGTAGAGTGGGAAAAGGCTGATAAAGAATCTCGCTTTGCCCTCTGTGGCGCCGTCATCCGGGCTTGCGGCTACCACACCATGGCCATCGGAGCCATCCTCCAACTGCTCCAAATTGCCTTTCAATTCTCTCAGCCCTTTATTATTGGTGCCATCGTGTCGGCGTTGATGCAAAACGAGATTGAAGCATCCACAAAAGGCGGCCTGATTGGAGCTGTCGCCATCGCCTACTTTGGCGCAGCGGTATGTTCTGCGATTTTGACTCTGTATATACAACTAATTGTCAATAGCTTTCCCACGCTCTTTTCGGACGAGCCATGATCAGGTACGGTGCCATGACACGCGCCTGTGTAGGATCGGCCGTCTACGACAAGATGCTACGGCTCCCCTCCTCCGTTCTCGACAAATCAGCTGTCTTGACCCTTATGAGCACGGATGTAACCACTGCTGCAACGTACATGAACTTGTTCTTGGAGTTCTTGAGTGCCCTTGTTGCCATTGTTGTTGCCCTCCTCTACCTCGGCATCTTTGTCGGAGCAGCAGCTGTTTTGGCACTCATCCCCATGTCTAGCAAGTTGCAACACTTTCAACGTCGTTCTTTTCCAACACTGCTAACCATTTTCCAGTCACGGCTGTGCTTACGGTCTTTAGCGCCAAAAAGATGCGAGCCGCCCAGATCAAATGGAATGAAGCTGCCGAAACACGTATCGGCATTGTGCGCGACATGTTGCAGTCCATGAAGAGTGTCCGTATGGGAGGTCTGACTGGGGTGTTCTCATCATGCGCCAGGGCTCTGATTGAGAATGAGATTGCCGCTTCTCGAGAGGGTCGAGCCTTCCATTCCGTATTGTTTGGTCTTGGTAGGTTATAGATTGCTCTGATAAATGTCAGCGCTAACAAAGGGCATAGAAATGTTCTCGACGGCCGTCGCACCGGTTCTACTCCTCGCTGGTGGACTCTTCTGGACACACCGTGCAACGGGCATGTCATCTAGTGACATATACTCCCTTATTTCTGTCACGGTCCTTGTGGTTGAGCCGCTCACTAGAGCAGTGCACTCTATCGGCGGCCTGGCGAGACGTTTTGCTTGCATCACTCGTGTTCAGAAGTTTCTGCTTAGAGACGAACTCATAGACATGCGCCAGAAGACATCGAATACTATGGCAGATGCGGAGAAGAGCACGTCTAACGTTGCTCAAATCGTCAACGTCTCCAGCGTACCCGACGAGGAGGGCAGGCGCCTCTTTAAGAATGTAAGCGCCGAGTTCCCAGCGGGTCAAACTTCCATGATTATCGGCCCCGTCGGTTCTGGTAAGTCCAGTGTCTTGGACATGATCATTGGTGAGTTCCCTATCGAGTCTGGTAAAATCGCGACGCATATCAACAACATTGCGCTTTGTAGCCAGTCTCCATGGATCCAGAACGGAACTGTCAAAGAAAACATTGTCGGCGCATATCCAGTCTCAAATGCTTGGTATAACACTGTTATTAGAGCTTGCTGCTTGGATACAGACGTCGCACGCTGGCCACAAGGCCACAATACACAGGTTGGAAATGACGGCTGTAATTTGAGCGGTGGCCAGAAGCAGCGTGTTGTGAGTACCATGCCGTCATCTTCCATGGCCAAGGCTAACACAAATAGGCCCTTGCTCGTGCTCTTTGCTCAAAGAAACCTGTACTAGTCCTCGACGATGTTTTTAGCGGACTGGATAAGACCACCTCCAAGTCCATCACTGAGAGTCTGCTTGGAGAGGGAAGCATTATAAAGGAGGCCAATACTACCATCATCATGTCGACAAATTTGAGTAAGTATCCCCAAACATAGTTAATGATCGTAGCTGATGATTTGTAGTCGACAATCTCCATTACGCAGATCAGGTTCTAGAGCTCAAGGACGGCGCCCTTGAAAAGATCGAAACTCAAAAGGCAATCAAAGAGGCTACCTTTATGAAGGAAGCCAAATCCGGAGATGTCGCAGAAGCGGATGAGTCTGTAACTGGGTCAATTGACGAGCATAAGGAAAAAGGCGCTGCTCAAGAACCCGAGGCAGCCAAAGCCAACACGGTCAACAGGACAAACCTCCGAAGCGACTACAAACACTATGTGAAGGCTTTTGGACTAGGTCCTATATTGATCATTATTGCGTGGACCGCTATCAGCGAGTTTCTCATGAAATCTCCAAGTAAGCATTCGCCATTTACAGAACAAACGACACAACTGGCTAACGCGTTTTCTAGATGTCTACCTTCGAATCTGGCTTGACATTAATCCTTCTGATTTGCGATATTTCGCTGGATTCGCTATCCTCGGATTATTCGGAATCACATCGTCCACTTCGTCGGTCTGGTAAGTCTTCTTGGCCAAATATCGTTGCTCCGTCTAATACGCGCAGGTACTTTTTCGTGAAAATGGTCGCGGTCTCGTATGGCAACCTCCACGAAACCATCCTCAAGACGACTTTGGGGTAAGTCACATATGTCTCAACACATTGCAACACTTTCTAACTGCCAGCCAAATGTAGCGCCACATTCTACTATCTCTCCAACACAGAGTCAGGCAGCCTCCTCAACCGCTTCAGCCAGGACATGGAGCGTGTCAGTCAAGATCTACCATTCATCATGCTCTATACGATCGAATGTGAGTTTTCTGTCTATCTAATCCATCTTCAGAGTTAACCGTCCATAGTATTCTTCATGGCGTTTATTGACTTCATCATCATCGCCAGCGGTGCTAGTTATGCCGGCCTCGTTGTTCCCGTCCTGTTCGTCTTCCTCGTGTTTGTGCAGAGATTCTACATGGCCACGTCACGCCAGCTGCGAAACCTGCAACTGGAAGCAACAGCACCGCTAATGACACATCTTAACGAGACGGCAAGCGGGATTCGGCATATCCGCACCTTCAGAACCGTGGGCAAGTTCACCGACGCTATGCTCGACAGGCTAGATTCGTCGCTCCGACCGCACTACCAGATGGAGTGTACCCAGTTGTGGTTGTTGTGCGTTTTGGAAATGAGCGTAACCGTCATGGCCATCATTGTGGTCGCTGTCGGTATCGTAATTAACAAACCTGGCTCGGCCAACGGCCTCGGTCTTTCCATGGTCACATGATTTCTCTTGGCATGGGAATATCGGCTACGTTTTCCATGTGGTCCAAGATGGAAACTGCACTTACATCGGTTGGCCGAATCAAGACGTTTGAGGAGGACAGCCCACAAGAGCCCGTTGTTGAAACTGAAGTAGCTGCCGATTGGCCTGCCCAGGGCCGAATCGAGTTTCACAATGTGTCTGCCAAATACGACCCCAATGGCGACGAATCCACCGTTGTACTTCACAATGTCAATCTCACTATTGAGGCTGGTAAGAAGGTAGGAATTGTTGGCCGCACAGGAAGTGGTAAAACGGCACTGATGATGTTGCTTGCCAAAATGGTGTCGTGTACCGGTGAAATCACCATCGATGGCGTCAACCTCAACTCGGTTGACAACGAGCTCCTACGGGCCCGAATCACAGCTATCCCCCAAGACTCAATCGAGATTCCAGGCACGTTGCGCTTCAACATCTGTCCTTTTGAGTACCGCGCCAAAGTGGAAGACTCGCTCATGATTTCGATTCTCACGCGTATGGGCATATGGGAGTATCTTTCTGAACGTGGTGGCCTCGATGCTGAAATCAAGGGTTTGAAGCTTTCTCCTGGTCAACGACAGATGGTTTGCATCACCCGCGGCATAGTGCATCATCTACAGACCCGGTCCAAGGTTGTTTTGATGGATGAGATTTCCAGCCAGCTAGACTATGAAACAGATAAGACTGTGCAGGAGGTGCTCGAGGCGGAATTTAAGGACTGTACAATGTTGACTATTGCGCATCGCACAGAGACGCTCAAGGATGTCGACATGTTGATTGAGATGGCAGAGGGTATTGCTACAACGTCAATACCCAGCAAGACTGTTGTTACTGGGGAGCCATCATCATCAGCTACTGCCAGCGAATAGGCAGGGTATATAGCACACAGAAGATTGGATATGCACTTAGATTATAGGAATATACATGAAGATTTGAGTTATATAGAAAGTCCACTATAGTATATATGTGCATAGATCGATGTAGAAAGACTATAATGTTAAACCCACCAGATATACTCACGTAACGATTCTTTAAAGCTCTTGTCAACTCGATATTCACCTTCTAGGACCGAATAGCTGCTTGTCGAGGAGCTCTATCTGCAACTTGTGAGGTCAAATGGTGCACAAAGACGTTCGATCCATCGACATTCTGTTGTCTAAACCATACGTTCAACGGCAAAGTGTCTTCTCTGCCCGAAATGGCGCGATGTTTGTTATTCAAAGCCATCATGCCCATGGCCCAGATTCCAAGGTTAGCAGTGAGCTTGTTAGGCCCCGAGTCAGCCCATGGAATGGACTTGTACTCAGCACCCCACGCAGGCTCGCCATCTGATGGGGTTTGGTAAAAGCGTAGAATAACAAGCTCCTCCGGAGTCAAGATACAGCCGTATCTGGTGTTTGTTGCAACACAGTACGTGAGCACTTGCTGGAATGGTAGAGTCCACGTGTTAACGTGCCGCCTGGGAAGCTCACTGTGATCACTCATCCATGTCGTACTCCGCACGCAGTGACCCCAGACTAACGGTGTCTGTGCATCATCCAGTAGATGAATAGACAAGCCAGGTGCGTATTCGTGGCGATCATGATGGATTTCCTTCCCAGGTGCCTGAATCGCAATCGGATGGGCTAGGAGACCAAGATTCTGTTGTAGTTGCGGTGCAGCCAAACTTAACGGCTGGTGGCATATAGAAGCATTCCAAGTAGCTATAAGCTCTTGAATAGACTGTTCAGATTCGATCTCAATGGAAAGTCCGCCTGGATTTTGCAAGACGTCAACGGTGATGTTTTTGGGATCCTCCAAGACATCGTTAAGAGCGGAAGCTATGTTTTCATAGGTAAAATCGTCCCATGGGACAATGTACGAGGGTGAAAGTGGATAGTACTCATTGTCTTCTCGGATTGTACTCTTGTCCTGACGTGAGGTGTCCAGTGTTGGATTCTTGTGCGCTAGAATAGCTTTAATTGGCCCGTCAAGAAGCATTGTTAGGATGAGAATGATCGCGTGGCGCAGATAAACAAAAGAGCAAGTGTGATCTAGCTTCAATTGGTTTTGATGTAATTTTAGAGGTTACTAAATATTTCTTCTACAGATAGTCTATTCGAGGTTATATACTTATTCCTGCCTGGTCCATTGTGGCCCATTATCAAGGCCTCGGCGCTTAGCCTCCGAGCCCCCACAACCTAATAGTCTGCATCGCACCTATGAACTATAAAGAGAACATATCAGTTATAATGAGAGATCCATTTCAATTCCTTAGCTTCTTTAATTTAATTTAATTTAATTTAATTAAAGTATTAAAATTCTTATTCTAGAAATTTACTTTAATTTTTCTTTGAGTTATACTCTGTCTATCCCCACTGTGACGAGTTTCACTAGGCGCCTCTGCTGGCGGCCCAATATGCCGGCCGCCGTGCCAGCAAAAGACATCACTGAAGGCGTGTAGATTATTTATATAGCACTAGCTCGTTCCTCTTCTCCAATCACAATTGGAATTTTACGGAAAGTTTTCATTAAGGGCGTGCTACCTAGTAACTTATCCACTAACCCAATGCTACTGAAATAGTCCCCATCCGAGTACACTTGGTTGGTTATTTGCCCTTGCAGAAGGTTTCCCATGCAGCCTGCATTCTTTCATTCTGCTTCGGTGTAAACTGATTGCGACATTTCCGATAATTTCATTAGCAATGTTCTTCTCTCATAATTTCCCTCTGCAGCCTAAGGCAACTTAGGCGGTGGCATAGGACATGTGGTTCTGGATGGGATCTTTGCCCGGCATCTTGGGGCAGGTATCGCGCTCATCGCATTTACCGCCGCGGCTATCATTCTCAGCGGGTGCATCGTCAATATGGTCACCGGGATCTTGGCAGCCGCCTTGAAACGTATGAAAGAGGTTCAATCAGTGACCAATCTCGTGAGTCTTCACTCTGCCGTTGCCGCCGCCCGCGGGCGTGCTTTTCCAGCCTTGGAGCGCCATGTCCTCGTCAAACTGCTTCTTGCTTGGATTCTTTACGGGGAACGCCGCATAGCCGCTACCAATATCGGCAAATTTCAGGTAGAAGAGGTTGAGTGCCGCGTAACTGCCTTGACGTAGTGTCCGCTTCATATCGTAATTGTGGCCCTGGCCCTTGTGGTCAGCTCACTCGGGATTAACTGTCCAGGTTATGTCTTGACATCAAATACAAAGCCGGCTTCTTTGTAGTTATCATTCACGACCTTCATCTGTGCTTCAACATCTTCCTTCTACAGGCGGCAAAAGACTTCATTTAGCAATACATAAATAGACTCGTTGGCACATAGCACGTACAGATATAGCCATCGTTTTTGTTCTTGCCTGTTGCCACAATGTGGACGTAGGTATCGATAGTGACAATCTCTCGGGAAGATGTACTATCAGAAGTGGAAATATTTCCCCAATTTTTCGTTAATTCTGCCAGATATTTGGCATTCTCTAGATGCTCGGGAAAAAAGTTACACCTTCGATTATTCCCAGTTGCAGCCAGGTCAACTTGGATAGTCACACACCATGCTGTCCGCAACCCGCTCCAGACGCGGGTAAGAATGTACAGCAACGGCCAGCCTCACGACTACGACAATCTCCTGCGCGACCAAAATCCATATCTAGTCTTAAAGACCCTGATGGGCGATCCAGCGTGCGTTAAACAAGTGTCTAAGCTTGATATATCCGAATGCGAATGGCGTCTACCGCCAAACTTTGTGCTGGCAGACTACGATGTACGTCGGTTCAACGACGCTGCTGCTCGTTTTGCGATGACGAATGGGTGGTTCCCGATACGATTTCCCCGGCGCAGGAACTATATCAGTGCAAAGCTATACCGGGAGATGCTAAAACGGAGGATGAATGCCGCGACGGATCTTGTTGTCCAGCATCACCCCAATCTTCGCGAGCTACGCTACTCGCCTGGCTAGATACACTGCATACACCGACCTGCCACTCTTGATAAATTGGAGCGAATACGCATCGAGGGCTTTGAATTTTCTCCTCACCTGAATACCATCCCACGCGGCGCTGACCGGCTCGCTCGGTGTGCGCCAAACTTGGACCACCTCTCTCTCCGGGACGTTGAACCAAGCACTGTGAGTCTCGTAGGCCATGACAATCTTACGACTCTCGACATGATAATGAATTGGCCGCCAATTGGGCGTTTTGCAACGGCCTTTTCAAAGTTTCCCGAGATGCACACATTTTGGTGCCATGTTCGTGTTCGAGAGTATCGCCCAGACGCGGCCGCACAGGTCCACGGCACCAACACGCGCGCGCTGGCCGAATGCGCAGACGCTGTGTTGAACCATGCACCAATGCGTAGATTCGAAATGAATCTGGTCTGGTGCGGGTAACGTCAAGACAAGGGAACAGCGGAGAACCATATTGGCGGGCTGGCCAAATCGAAGCTGCAGGTGCTTGGGCTGGGGATGGAGGAGCTACAACATCCCGGGTCTTATTCGTCAGATTTCTCAGTGGCGCTGCTGCCAAGGACGCTTCGCCATTTACACTTGAGGGCCCATCCAGAGCATGATTGGGGTCTAGCGGAGCTAGCTGCCCCTGTGCCGACGCATTTTCCCGGTCTTGAAAGAGTCATGTTGCGGTGCAAGGAGGGCTACGAGGGCAATGATGTCAACATGGCAGGCGAGTTTGAAAGCGTAGGTGTCTAGTTTGAGGTTCATGTTGAAGTTCGCCGAAATGGAACAGCGGTCTGGAATACTGGATTCAAGTATCCCTCTGTCGTTGACGATGAAGAGTAGCCGTGGTATTTGTTGGCATGTTGGCCCGTTGTTCGGCAGCCGATTAGCCGTGATGCGACGGTACGAACCCCTTGTAAACTCATACCAGCAAATGGTAATTTGATGAAACAAAAACAAGTGCGTTGCATTGATTGTGCCTGATTCCCGAGCGTCTCGCTCAGAATACCACGCTGTTCATGCGTAAAGTTGCATTATTGGTTCTTGGTCCGTGTGCAAGCAGCCAAAAAAGCACATGCTTTCTCTTTCGGCGGGGAATGCTGCCACTGCCACCAGCTGGCCGCGCCCGTCCGCCAGCTGCCCGCCAGCCGCCAACTGCGAGCTGCAAGTTCTAATGACCCATTCTGCCGCCCCCAGTATGTTTTCCCTTTTGCATCATCAACACCATCACGCAACATCACCACCACCAGAAATACCGACTACCAAAAACACAAGCACAATCAATCATGAGCTAGTAAAGCCGCATTTACCACAATCGTATACAACGCTCTCCCACCGCCGCGTGACATGACGACATTCGCAGACCTCCCCGCCGAGCTCATCCAACACATCACCTCCTTCCTCGAGCCCCGCATCCCCCGCAATCACAGCTTCCACGATAACCTCGTGCGCATCCGCCGCGCACGCCTCAGCACGCTTGCGCGCACATGCAGGACCTTTGCCACCTGCGTGAGGCCGCTGCTCTATGCAAGCATCGGCCCTGATATCAACCCGCGGCTGCTTCTGCGCACGCTCATTGCACACCCCGACTACGGCGAACACGTGCACGAGATCGACGCTCGCCGATGGTGGATGACGGGTGCGGCCGCAAGCCGCCTCTCGCCCGATGAGCACCGCGCCATTGATGAGGCCGCCGAGCGTTTCGGCATGGTAGACAGAGACGGCTTCCCGCACGAATTACGCTCTGCCGCGGGCAGCCAGGCATACTACATTACGGATGCGCTTCAGTTTCTCGTCGTTCTGCACTGTCCCTATGTCCGGGAGGTGTCGCTCGTCATGAGCCTCATAAGCCCGGGCATTACACGCCCAATAGCCCTTGACCATTTGCGAGTGCTTAAGCTGGCGTATGGACAGCCCAAGCATGGCGCCTTTATTGGCCAGAGCTATGCGTGGCTGTTCCATGCCGCCCCGAACCTGCGCGAGCTCAAAGGACACTACATCCGGTCGTTTTCGTCGGAAATCGTCCACAGCAATATTTCAGAAGTCTCGTTCAAAGATAGCGACTTACTTGAAGAGGACTTTACAGCGCTCTTTAGCAATTTCCCCGCGCTACAGACTTTCCGCTACCATTCTGGTGGGAGAGACATGTCGCGCGCACCGGTTGCACTAGGGTCGCTGTCCTCGGCCCTCCGAATCAACCCGCACTTGAAAACAATGGGCGTCGATAGCCAGCGGTACGCCGACGAGGTCCCCGCGTACCTGCAAGACAGCACCTACCTCTCAAGCCTCAGCGACATGAACGAACTAGAGACGATTGACATTAGCATTGAAGAAGTGTCCAACTTGGAGAGGGATGATTTGTTCTACTCGACGTTTTTCCCCCGCAGCGTGCGATACTTGATTCTGCGCGGGGCCAGGATGGACCGGTGGAACAAGGCGTGTCTGGAGGCTGCCGTCAAGGGGCCACTGGCTAATCTACAGAGCGTGACGCTGGTGGATGTGGCATTCAACGCTGAGCGTAAAGAAGAGTGGAAGGGTCGGTTTGCAGCGTTGGGTGTGACGCTGCGGTATGTGGAAGAGATGGGGCGCCGCTACGAGCCGTGGTGGTAATGTATTATGATGACGAGTCACGATTGTACATAGCAAGTATGCAAGCAAGCAAGCAGCTTTTGGATTTCAGCGGCACATGGTACAAGATGACCATTTTAGTTTCTATATCACCATATCATTTAGCAATATCTACCTGTATTTTTCCCTATTTTCATGCCCGCGAGTGCCCCCGTATACTCCCTACTATACCATACCCAATGGCCCTCTATGTGCATTTGCTAGTTCTATTTATGCATCGTATAGCGGTTCGCCAAAAGTATAGTCATGATTAGGTAGTAGATCTCAGCACGCCCTCTATGAAGTCCGTCTTTGCATCGCAATACGCATCCACATCTGTCTTATACTGTTCCGCAAGCCTCTTCTTCAGCGCAGCATACTCGTCCCTCAGCGTATCGTTCCCTCGCAGGGCATCTCGAAACGCGACATGCCTCTTCACCTCTCTAGTCTCATCAGCACAGACATACAAGTGGTGTCGATGGGCTCCTTTTGGCCTTTCAAACGCCTCTCGCTCCGGAATGCCCTTGATGCCTTCATGGTCGTAGCCCAGCTCGGCTAGCTTGGCAATCACGAGCGGCAAAACATCCCAGCTGGGGATGACTATATCCATGTCGATAATGGGCTTTGCAGCAAGACCGGGGACAGATGTGCTCCCGACATGCTCTATCCGTGTAGACAGACTACCAAGAGCCTCTTTAACGGGGGTCGTTAGTTGCGTGAAGAGAGCAGGCCACGTAGGATCATAGTCTACCACGATAATCTCACCCATGGCTGCCTCTGCTGTGTGTGGTACGATGACTTATGTGTTGGCTGATGTCAATGGGGAAAAGGCAGAGAGGTAGAAGGGAAATCTGAAGGTGAGAGAGCCAAAAATGAAGATCTGAGGATGGCGCCGCGGGGAATCGAATGGCAAAAGCGGAGGCAGCGCGAAGCTGCAGAAGATGAGAGCCTGGAGTACAGGTCCTCGTTTCTCAAAAGAAATTGGTTTATTGTTTAGCTACTCCACTGGAAAGCAAGCGAATTATTATCGCCTATAACCTGTTGAGTGACTGATTGCTGATGGTGAGCCTGTATGACAGCGGTGGGCAGTGGCGCGGCGAGCTCAATGCGGCTAGGCACAGCCTCGGCTAGTGAGTCACTGGACTCCTATGAACAGGGTCTCAGGTATGCCCCTTGGCAGAAGTGAAGAAATACGGAAAAAGGGATTTCAATTTGTAAAACGAGAATGGAAATATTCACAAAGAAGTAACGCCGAGTATTGGGCAGTTTCAAGACTATAGATGTATATCAAGAAGGTATACTTATGATTGGATCTACAGGAGCTAGAGTTCCCCGCAAATTTCTAAGCTTAAATCTATATACTTGAAAAGGCCATTACTTCAGTATAACCGCCAAGACAAAAGCAAAAGGCAATTAATAAAAGAAATACAAGAGATGATAATTAAGGAGAATTGGACAATAGTGCAAAGAAAAGAAAGACAAAAAGTAAAGGCCACGCGCGGGGATTGAACCTGCACTGGCAAAAGTAGAGGCAGCCGAAGCTGCAAAGTTTCTTAAAAGCCGGCGTAGCCATGCCACTAACCGGCCCAACTGAGTCATAGCTACTCTACTGAAAGGTTATGAGCTATTACGCCTTATAAGCGCAAGAAAATTGATTGGCTGTATGCCTACCCCAGTTGTAATGTGTGTAAAGCTGCTCTACAGGCTATAAGAGTGAAAGTCTACAAGGTGCTTCAGAGTATAAAAGATACATTCACAGTATGCCATTTGCCTTCAAATTGCATTATGACCGATAAAAGATGCAAAAAGCAACGCCCAAACCAGGGATTGAACTAGCAAAAAGTAGAGGCAACCGAAGCTGCAGGTATTCATGGGCAACGCGAGCGTATCCACCATGCCCCAATCGAATGTGTGTTAATAGCTACTCTACTGAAAGAAGGCGTCAATTATTATCCATTATAACCTCAGACTATTTGAGGCTTGAAGGGAGGTGATTGGCTGTATGTCCGGGCTGTGATGATGTCTGCATGATAGTGGCGGGCTGTGCACCAAGGCGGGCCCGCTCACCGAGTGAGTAATAGTTACAACAAGCCATCTATTCCAAGCATCAAGATTGCTTTTTTAAAAAAAACATACAAAGTTGTATTGTACAGGGTCGACCGAAAGAGTGTCCGCTCTCTCTGAATACAACGAAACATTAGCTACATCCACTCTTGGTTGAAATGTGGCTGATGCAGTGGAAATAATTTAGCAGTCAACTTGGGCAAACTACATGTTGCAGGGCAGTTTTCACCTACGCTAGTGTTGCTTCACCCCCAGCGTCCCGTCAACCGTGCCTTTTAATACCCTAATATAACTACCCAGAAGCTATTTTATCCTCACATGTCCTATTTAAATGTTTACTGTTAATATGCTAATAGTAAATGAATAAGATTTTTATTTTCATATACTTGCTTTTCTACTTAGAAAGGTATTTATAGAAGTTTTTCTTTAACTCGGATAAGGTATAGATGCACCTAGCCTACTTGTACCAGCCCTGCACGCCTCTACAGTTACGTCACACTCGCCCTGTCGTCAGAACCGTCTCCCTGCCCTTCCGTCCCGTTAGCCCAATACCGCCGTCTTTGGTGGTATCGTTGGATAGTTCGCCATGCCCACTTCCCTATTCCTCTGCTGCCCTCTGAGGCTCTCCATTTGGTGTCGTGCCCAAGTGCAGCAGTAACTCGTAGCCATGGAGGACGATAGGCAGAGCCAGTTTTTGTGGCAATATGATTACGAGGATCTTGACTTTTCTACACCTGTAGCTGTTGACGTTGAAGGCAGCGATGGCTCTCTGCAAAACAGCCTCGGCCAGTCGAGCGCAATCAGTCAACCTTTAACTATAGCAAATTATCCCCCCTATACTATCAAATGAGCTTTGTGTATAATGAACAAGAAGCTGCAGACGCTGGCCACTGACACGATACAGAATATCAAACTTTACCCAAGCATCTTTTGGCGGACAGAGCTAAAAGAGTCTCATTGACAGCGCCATCGCGGCGGAGTCGTTGAGCGAGACACGTCTCCCTAGTAAAAACCAAGTAAACTTCACAATCACCGAACGAGATGTACGGCCAATCAAGCTATACTTCCCGAAGTATAATATTTCTTAGTATAAACTTAATAAACAAATCAGGGAGTGGGCTGATTTGGTTTCCACTAGAGGCCGAGTATTAAGCATAAAAGTATTGTTTATCTTCAAGGTAAACACGTCTCCAGAAGCCCAAAGCAAGCCACCAAGACGTGGGGGGCCTGCTACAAACAGGCATTTTGGTGATCGTGCATATTTGTAAATAACCCGGGAACAGCTGTTTCTTATAGCACGTGGGAGGCCGTCCTTAGCATCCTTGACTGCCCCTCGCAGTGTAACATTGGTCCATATTGTTAGGAAGACCCAGAAGATAAGAAGAGATACCCTGTCGATAGAACAATTATAGAAGATCTTGTCGATATCGTTGTGAAAGGTCAACCATTTAACTATCATGCTGATATACCACCACACTTAGTAGAACGGTTACGAAAAGGGTCGAAAGCTGTGACGAAAAGAAAAGAGGCACCTGCAATCTATATCACGAATGTTCTTCCAGGAGGATTGCCATCTCCTACGAAGCGGGCTAAAATTCCAGGCAATTGGAATTTGTGATTCGTAATCATCGGGACCGTCCTGTCTCACAGACGAACGATGCAGAACGGATCTGGGAAACTGACGCCATAGCAGAGTTCACGCGCAACCAACGCTCCAACCTCAACAACTTCACCAAAAAGCACGTCCAATTCTTCGTTTCGAATAAGTTTCCGCTCGGCCTTGCAACATAATGGGTGATGGATGTGGATGATTGGCGGAAGGAGTTGGAAGAGCAGCAGCAGCAGATAGAAGATATCTTATAACCTCTAGCTAATATTCGCCCAATTTTTACAAGCCTACAGTTGCATAATTCGCTTATATCCAGCTTCAACATAATGTATATGTATAGAGGGGATAAAAGTGACCATCATGCGTAGAAATATTTGCACAACTTTCGATTAAAAAGCATAATAACGTTACACATACTCCGTAAGGATATGNCGATGCTGGTCAGCGTGTCTGGATGGTCCGGTCCAAGTTTCTGCTTTCGAGCCTCCATCACTTGCACCTCAAGCGTCTCTGCCTCTTCCCACCGCCCTTGGTTCCAATATGTCGATGCCAGATTTGCGATGCTGGTCAGCGTGTCTGGATGGTCCGGTCCAAGTTTCTGCTTTCGAGCCTCCATCACTTGCACCTCAAGCGTCTCTGCCTCTTCCCACCGCCCTTGGTTCCAATATGTCGATGCCAGATTTGCGATGCTGGTCAGCGTGTCTGGATGGTCCGGTCCAAGTTTCTGCTTTCGAGCCTCCATCACTTGCACCTCAAGCGTCTCTGCCTCTTCCCACCGCCCTTGGTTCCAATATGTCGATGCCAGATTTGCGATGCTGGTCAGCGTGTCTGGATGGTCCGGTCCAAGTTTCTGCTTTCGAGCCTCCATCACTTGCACCTCAAGCGTCTCTGCCTCTTCCCACCGCCCTTGGTTCCAATATGTCGATGCCAGATTTGCGATGCTGGTCAGCGTGTCTGGATGGTCCGGTCCAAGTTTCTGCTTTCGAGCCTCCATCACTTGCACCTCAAGCGTCTCTGCCTCTTCCCACCGCCCTTGGTTCCAATATGTCGATGCCAGATTTGCGATGCTGGTCAGCGTGTCTGGATGGTCCGGTCCAAGTTTCTGCTTTCGAGCCTCCATCACTTGCACCTCAAGCGTCTCTGCCTCTTCCCACCGCCCTTGGTTCCAATATGTCGATGCCAGATTTGCGATGCTGGTCAGCGTGTCTGGATGGTCCGGTCCAAGTTTCTGCTTTCGAGCCTCCATCACTTGCACCTCAAGCGTCTCTGCCTCTTCCCACCGCCCTTGGTTCCAATATGTCGATGCCAGATTTGCGATGCTGGTCAGCGTGTCTGGATGGTCCGGTCCAAGTTTCTGCTTTCGAGCCTCCATCACTTGCACCTCAAGCGTCTCTGCCTCTTCCCACCGCCCTTGGTTCCAATATGTCGATGCCAGATTTGCGATGCTGGTCAGCGTGTCTGGATGGTCTGGTCCAAGCTTCTGCTTTCGAGCCTCCATCACTTGCACCTGGAGCGTCTCTGCCTCTTCCCACCGCCCTTGGTTCCAATATGTCCATGCCAGATTCGCGATGCTGGTCAGCGTGTCTGGATGGTCCGATCCAAGCTTCTGCTTGCTCACCTTCATTACTTGCACCTGGAGCGTCTCTGCCTCTTCCCACCGCCCTTGCCTGGTATATGTCGATGCCAGATTTGCGATGCTGGTCAGCGTGTCTGGATGGTCTGGTCCAAGCTTCTGCTTGCAAGCCTCCATCACTTGCACCTGGAGCGTCTCTGCCTCTTCCCACCGCCCTTGGTTCCAATATGCCGATGCCAGATTCGCGATGCTAGTCAGCGTGTCTGGATGGTCTGGTCCAAGCTTCTGCTTTCGAGCCTCCATCACTTGCACCTGAAGCTTCTCTGCTTCTTCCCACCGCCCTTGCTTGCTATATGTTGACGCTACTAATGCTTTCGACGAAGTCACTTTCTCATCGTCTTTATCAAATATTTTCTTCATCGCTTTCAGAGCCCAGGTAGAAAGCTTCTCGGCTTCTACTCCATACCCCTTTTCAAGGGCATACCAGCCCGCTCTATGCAAGATTGTCGCCCACTCTTCCATAGCCTCCTTCCCGTCCGGGCGCTGTGTTGACACTTGCTGTGCATGTGGGAAAAGCAGCTGACATTTCGCCCAATTCTCAAAGTTTCCGCCTGGCATCTCTGCAGCAAGGTTTTGAAGAAACTGATAATTCCACTGTTCATAGATATTGTGTGCCTTGAGCCACGCAAATATGGCGAGCTGCACTAGTCTATGCATTTCAAATGTGGTCCCGTCTTTATTGGCTACAATAAAGGAAAAATTCCGTAGTGCTGTGATGTCGTTTTCAAACTCATCATTGTCACTACAGTTGGAGTTTTCATATGTCCAGTCACTATCGCCATTGCTTCCAATACTCTTGCCATCGTCAGCATCATCGTCGCTTCCATCCCTAATGGTTAACCCACTCACCGCGTGACGTGGATTATGTGCATTATCTATGGTAACGCGACCGTATTTTCCTCGCATCAAAACTTCCGGGATGCCCTGGCGATCACAGAAGCTGATAAGCGACAGTAGGTCCGCTGCGGACGGTCTGACGTCGCGAATGTAGTCAAATGATATTTGCCATGTGATGAAAATGGAGTTCTGAGCCTTTTCGTCTCGGCGAAGCCCTTCCACTCTATGACTAAGAAGCTTAGCTTTACTATTGTCGCTTTTGCGAAACTCATCGATATACTCCCGAACAGAGGATCGTGGACGCTTCTGGGAAATGTAAGCCGTTGCCTGAACAATAGCCAGTGGCATATATTCGAGCGCTGCAGTAAGCTCTATAACGCAAGCATCATCATCGTCTTGGCCAAGCTTATTCCGGAATAATTGTATTGCGTCTTTCTTATTCATTGGGTTGACTGGGATGATATCATCGCGATCAACTAGCTCCATTGCAGCGGCTTCACTTCGCGAAGTGACAAGAACGGACCCATGTTGGCAGTATGGGATGTATGATAACAGGTGCCTGGTAGATGTACCTTTTGCTGTGGGTACCGTTGCTTCTGGGGTTGATAAAGTCAAGAAACGGGCGTCGTCTACGTTGTCGAGAATAACAACCCAAGGCCCTTTTCTTTCGTCTTGAAGCCAGTCGTGTACCAGTTGAAATATATTCGCTTTTGGATCTTGCCGCCCAGGAAGCTTTATGCATGTTGCAATATCTCGGAAACCTTCTTCGAACCGTGCTTTATTGCTTGCATGGATCCAAAAGACCCACGTATCAGATGATCGCTCTCGGACGCGATAGGCATATTCAATGGCGATTTGCGATTTTCTTCCAAGATTAGATATTTTCAAGATACAACACGGCGTCTGCAACTTACCCAACACCGCCTAGACCAAAGAGCGCAGTCCACGAACCTGGCCTGCTACAGCTGCGATCGACTTGGTCAAATATCTCGCGCTCCACAAAATCAACATCACGACGGAAGGAAATTCGCATCGAGGGATTCGGCGGTATCTCTGGCTGCTCTATCCATTCATCAATAAATTACTACAGTCAATACGTCGTCGGAGCCTACCTTGGGTTAGATAGTGATTATGGATGGATGAGTCTAAGCACCAATATCACTAGTTAGCACTATAGTATACTATACGCGACGTAAACCCTTCAGCGATTGAATCAAGCTATGGCTCGGGTGGCATACCGATGTGATTGGTGCCAATGTACTGATTACCAGGACCATTATTCTGATTTCCTGTACTATTGTTGTTATATTGGCTCCCAACTCCAGTATTGACGTTCTGGGCACCGCTGCCGTAGTGTGCATACGTCGCTGCGTCTTCAAATCCGTCAGGTAGGGATGGCTCCATCTCGCCTACTTCCTCAATCGCTTTTGTCAAATTTTCCAGTCCTCTTCGAGATGTAACCATCGGGAATATGATCGTAAGAAGCTGTAGACCATCAAGAATTTCTTTAATTAGGGTCTCCACGCGACCACCCTTGCCGATGGTTCGAGCAGCTTTGATATACCGGTCGGCCCTCGAGTCACCGTTGGCCGGGACAACCTTTTTAAACAATAGCTGTAATTTTGCAGCTTTCTCTTCACAGTCTCTTAAGACAAGTATGAAAGTTGATGTAAGATCGTCGTTTGCTTCCTCTTCAACATATCGCTCTGCATTATCGAGAAGCTTTGCAATCAGAGGCAATTTTGCTGCTACCGTCTTGAAGTTGGATGGTAGACCAGCTTCGTCTTTAATAGCACTGCTCAGCTGGATCGTAGCATCGATGATGGAAATCACAGCAGAAATAATACCAAGCACTTCTGCACCGGACATTGTCGGGGTTCCACAGCCGAAGCACTAATACCTAGTTAGGAGGAATATCACAACTATCTATATCACTTACGCATACGTATAGCTATTTATTAGTAACTAGTCTCTAGATAGAGTAAACAGGAGTTTAATAGTTCTTGTTATAAGCCTTAAGAGGGATATCTTAAATACCCCGCACGCCAGCGCCAGTCGCCATACTGAGCTGCCTACCGACGCACACGTGATTAGTTAAACGTGCAGCCGACTTTTACACAATTGCCATGCACTATAAATCGCCCTGTAGATGTTTTGGAAGTCATCATTTCTTGGAATACTCTAATTTGATGCCCGAATGTCGGAAGTGACATTCTGCACTCTCCTTCTTCTGCCCAATATGCCTGATACACCACTTCAGGAACGTGCTAAAAAGCCAGTCTCGATTATGCGACTTACACCACTCTTTCTTCATAAACTCCTTTATTTTACCAAAATATTCTTCGATTAGGTTTAAGTCTGGTAAATATGGCGGGGGAAACACAATTTTTACACCTATAGTGGAGCAGATTTTCTCTAGCGCTCGTGGTCGATGAAATCGTGCATTGTCTATAATTAAGATTGATTTTAGTTCAGGGTAACATCTACAGAAGGGCAGCAGCCGTCGAATAAAGTCTTCGAATACTATACTATCTGTTGTCCCACGAAATATGGTCGTCAGCATTTCGCCTTCTTGCGTGTATGCTGTGATACACTAATGACGTCTCTCACGGACGAAGTCAGCAAAATGAACTGGTGTAATTCCTTCTGGCGCCCAGCCTTTCGTTCGTTGAGCCTGACTCGGTTCCCGTACACATTCATCAATAAAGACATATTAAAAAGACTTAGACTTGAGTATAGATAGCCCATACTGTTACGGACTGACCCGGGCCAGCTGGCAGAAAGGGTGTCTCAAGATAGTGATTAATTCGCTTAAAGAACATCTTCCAAAGTCTTCCGCTCGTGGAAGACTTTATATAAAGACCCTGGATAGGGGTAACAAGCACGTCGCCCGAGTGATTGACAAGGCCCTTACCGGGCCTTGATCGGCCTCTCTCTTCCTAGGTATAGGGTAGCGCTGGCACCCTTCGCGGAATGGGTATCGGGCATAGCCCGATTCTTAACACATACTGATATAAATGTCGCAAAAGCGACTCTCTTTGGCTTGCTACACGGCGAGTTACCTTCTTAGTCTATACTATAGACTGTAATATATAAGTAAGACTAAGCCAAAAACGGCTCTTTTAAGATCGATGATTGAAGGTGCATCGAGTGCACAGTTGGCAGACTAACACCGCCACGTGTGGCTGATATGAGGCAAGTACCATTTCTTTTTCTATTGCAAAAATGGCCGGACACTCTTTCGGTCAACCCTGTATAGAAGATTAAGATTAACGGAATTGGTTGAAACACCTTACAAGTGTGCGGTTTTCTTTATTAGTGTAACTATCTACGGTGATCTCTGCATACTTGTCCGTAACGGGTAGTCTTTAAACGGTCTCTGTGCCCCGCAGTTAGCCATCTATTGTATCCTGTCTCCCCGTGACTGCAGATCCCCCACGCGCGCACCATCGGAATCGGACTCCAACGACACAGCGCGCTTGGTACGCACCGACAAACTGATATACTGCAATCAGGCAAAGTACAATATAGCTCGTTGCTTTGAAAAGACATAATGGAAGAGCCTATCGACTCTGATGCAGCCGCTGAGCACCGCCGAGATGGAAACACTATCGATGCACGCCACGTCCTCGGCAAGATTGATCGCGCCTTAATGCCACTCCTCTTCATCACGTACATGCTGAATTTCATGGACAAGACGATTCTCTCAAGCGCCGCCGTGTTCGGTCTAAGAGAAGATACGGTTCGTAAGCCCGCTTCCAGCCAGTCCCATTCCACTCCAAAGCTAACTAATATTCCTTTGAAAGCACCTCCAAGGACAGCAGTATAGCTGGGTCAGCAGCATCTTTTACCTAGGCTACCTTGTCTGGGAGTATCCCACTACTCTACTTATTGCTCGTCTGCCCGTGGGAAAGTACCTTAGCGCCAACACGGCGTTCTGGGGCGTTACTGTGGCTGCCACTGCCGCATGCACCAATTTTGGCGGTCTCTTAGCCGTGCGGTTCCTCTTGGGCGTCGCAGAGGCCACCATCACGCCGGGCTTCATGTTCCTGACGTCCACGTGGTACACACGCGATGAGATGCCCACCCGCGTTGGCATCTGGTTTGCTGGGAACGCTGTCGGGGGTTTAGTATCTAGCCTTGTCGCGTTTGGCGTTGGGCATATCCAAGACGACATCCACCCGTGGCGCTGGATGTATATAATTCTCGGCGTCACCACCTTTCTATGGACAATTCCAATGTACTGCTTACTCCCGGATACCATCGCCAAAGCCAAGTTCCTTACGTCCGAGGAACAGCAAGTCGCTGCTCGTCGCATAGTTATAGCAGGTACGGGAAGCACTGAAAATGCTCGCTTCTCTTGGGCGCAGGTCCGCGAGTGTCTTATAGATCCCAAGGCATGGATGCTCTGTTTTATCGCCATTCTCAGCCAAATCCCCAACAGCGGCACGCAAAACTTTTCCAACATCATCATAACGTCCTTCAACTTTACGAACCTGCAGTCGACGCTCATCAATATTCCATATTCGCTGCTTTCCGCGGCCGCCATTGCCGGCACGGGCTGGCTCGCCGGCCGATACCGCACGCTTAACTGTATTCTTATTGCTGCCGTTCTGGTACCGTGTGTAGCCGGTGCCGCGGTGATTTACTGTCGCAGCCATATACCGTCGCATGGCGTACAGCTCTTTGCGTACTTTTTGCTCGCGCCAGGCCCGGCCGCGATGCCGCTTACCATGGCGCTCGTGCAGTCCAACTTTAAAGGCGTCACCAAGAAGATGACGATTACGGCGATGGTCTTTATTGCGTATTGTACCGGCAATGTTGCGGGACCGCAGTTCTTTCGTGCGGATGAGGCACCGACCTACAGTACGGCATTCAAGACTATTATTGTTTGCTATTCGCTTGTGATTGTGCTGGCTGGGGTGCTGCGCATGTATTTACAGTGGTTCAACGCGCTTAGAACAAAAATGGAGGGCATCCAAGGAAGCAGTCGAGCGGCAGGTGGCAAGCTGGGCGACGATGATAATGCGACAGATGCTTTGACAGGTGACCTCGCATCAGAGGCATTCCAAGATGTTACAGATTGGAAGACGGTTGGATTTAGATATCGGTTATAGTTCATTGTACATCTCATTCAGTCGCACTATGTTAGAGGATACATGGCAACAAAGTCTTGAAACCTGTCATCGTAAAGAGAGAACCCGGGACTGAGCAACTGATCAAGCCCGCTTGCAGAGGGATCAAACCAAAAGGAAGTCATCTCGTCCGCAAGCTCCGTTGATGCTTCAGGCTCAAGGGTCATGTCCATCCCAGTATCATCCTCACCCTCACCAGCAGGTCGTGTTGGTCCGACAGAGGATCGGCGCGTAACAGGTGCAGACTGCTTAAGAACATCATGTGCTCCTTGGAACAGGCGATACATGACGTTGGCACTCCAATACGTTTGCCGCAGATGTTCTAGCACAATCATGCAGAGCTGCAGCCTATTGGAGCCGAGGCTAGAGATGAGGGAGTTGGTGGACTTGCAGTCAAGCAGATGGATTTGCATTGCCGGGATCAACGCCATGATTCTAAACCCATCAGCATATTTTTTATGTATTTGTTTCACATAGACTTACATCATTGGACGGAGATAGCGAATTCCGTCTAGTTCAATTAATCTCTGGAGAATGGCATTGGTGCTGGCGGCGGCTTCGTGGGCTCGTTCAGCGGCAATTTTGGGCCAGTTTGGATCTTCATTGGATGTGATTGAGTTGAGGACAAATGGGCGATAGAGGATGGCAACAGATGCTCTGTTCAAATATCAGTGTGCGCTTTACTGGCGGAGAAGGGGGTATACTGACTGGAAGGAGAGTTGAAGCTGAGAGTAGTGAATCTTCAACTCGTCGCTGGTGAGCGTGCTATAATCCAAGGCCATTACCGCTCCGTCTCGAAGAAGCCGGTCATATCTGTCTACTTGGGATCGGGTAGGAGCCGGCCCGGTGACTTTGTAATGCAGCCGCTGAATGCCGCCTAGATTGTCGCTGATAGTAACAAGCGTGCACCACATATCGCAAAGCGCGTCAATATCACGGGGCAGATACGCCCCCAGCAGGGAGCTGGGCAGCTGGCGCAGCTCATCCGAAACGTATGTTGCCAATGGTTTTGAAGCGTCGCAGTCTTCCGTGTGAATTCGCATCGGACGTCCTTTGGCCAGCGACACCCAGCAATCCCGGACTACGACCGCCCACCACATGCGACTTACAAGGGCGGCGCTTATCTCGGGCGGGTGGTGAGACCGAGTGGCCGTCGGAGACCGGTGGAAGCCCATGGACTGGAGCATGGACACGGCGATGCCAATCCAGTACCACGAGCCGGTGTGATCCTGTGCGTCGCTGTACCAGAAAGCCAGTAGTGTTACGGATTGGGCCAGCGTAACTTTGTCTGTTCCTCTGTCAAGGTCGTAGAGACACTGTAGAGATAAAGTGAGCAACTGAAGGCCTTTTTCTCAGAAAAAAAGGAGAAGGGGAGCTTGCAAACCAACCTTTGCGCGCTCGTACATGGCTGTCTTGAGAGCTTTGCGGGTAGTGAAGCCAGCTCTGTTCAAGACATGTGGCTCGGTAAACTACACCCACAAGTTAGAATATAGTTTTATATGCTAGTAATTTGAAGGCCGAACTCGCATTTGCAGCAGCCAAGAGCATACTCCATAGCAATAGCGGACTGATATTTCTAGTTCCATTGCTGTGAAACTCTGTAAGAAAACGAGCCGCATCAATAATGGGCAGCGAGAAGTGAACATGGTGGAAGTATGTGCGTATTAAATCAGCATACAAGTCTTCTGGGAGTAGCGTGAAAGCGCCAGAAAGGCGCAAGTATTCCAGCTCGTGCGGTTTGTGAGTTGACACCGTCTTTGTATGTGCCGGTGATGGCTTGTCCGGTGATTGCGGATGGCAGAGATGATAGACGGAGAGTCGAGGCCCACGGCCATCGCCCATATACGAGTTGGTATTATCCTCTAGGTCTGGCACGCTAGTTGTGTCAGCATGCTCTAGGAGAACCAATGAGTCTTGGTCAACTGGCTGACCAGTAGATGGCTGGCTGGTAGATTGGCTTCCATGGGATATCCTATTCGCGGCATTGCGTTGGCGTCTTGGTCTAATTCAACCGTATCAGATTAGATTAGCAATGTATATGTTAATTAGTCTGTCCAATTCTATATTACCTGTGTTTCTTCCGGGGCACTGTAATACACGCCGCAGCGCCGTCTCCTCGGCAATTTGAACACGGCGCACCTGTCTGCGAGACGTCACATTTGACCTTGCGCCGGTTGCAAGTTTGGCAGGCAATACGAGACCGAGTGCGCCCCTGTTGTGCAGGACTACTGTCCGCCTCTCTCGGTGATTTCGCAGCGTTGCTTCGTGTTGCCTGCATTGTAATGTTTGCCGTTGCTGGAGATGAAGACGCTGAAATTGCCGAGCTCCATTTCTGACAGATGTGGAGAGTATTCAAACTGCCGGGAGATCGCACCGGTAAATTCGGTAAACTTTGATGCGCCACTCTTTTTAGCGTGTTCTCAGCTCAACTTGCCTTTAGCCACAGCAAGCAACATCACCACCCGCCTAGGAAATGCTTAATGATTGCTTTTTACCGATGAGGCGTGCCATCATGGGAAAGTAGTGGCAAAAAAATGTGAATATATAGGACCGACGTTAGCCCCAGCTTCCCCGCATTCTTCAGATTCCCCGGATCTGAACAATAGCACACATACATAGTGTCTTCCTACACAATGCAAAGGACTACCAAAGAAAAAGACGACATGTTGCCAGACGTGGAACAAATTGATACGGTGGACAACCAGGAAATGTCCAAGAAACAAGAAGAAATGTTTACGCCCGAAGAGGAACGTAAACTTATCAGGAAACTAGACTTTTGGTAAGTTGCTTCTCATGCATTCAGTCTTCCCACCACTGCTACTCTGCTAACACAACCCCCAAAAGGATCATGCCGCTCTTAATGGTCACATACATGCTGCAAAGCTACGACAAAGGCGTCATGGCCGCCGCCACACAGTTCAACTTCGCCATTGACCTCAAACTTACAGTCGTCACTGGTCATACCGAGACCGGCGGCCCCATCACCGACAACAGCAAGTACGCCAACGCGTCCATGATGTTCTACATTGGCTACCTTGTCGGCACATATCCCATGATGTTTCTGTGCCAGCTCTACTCTACACCCAAGGTTGTCGCGGCCGCCACGTTCCTCTGGGGCGGCGTGCTCATGACAACCGCCGCCTGCTCCAACTATGCCGGTATCATGCTCAACCGCTTCTTCCTCGGTTTCCTCGAATCGGCCGTCGCACCCGCATTCACAGTCCTCGTGACCTTTTGGTGGACGCGCCGCGAGCAAGCACTCCGCACTGGCCTGTGGTATAGCTGCGTAGGCGTCGCCACGACCATTTCGCCCTTGATCAACTACGGCCTGGGCCAGACGCACGGCAGCCTCCCGTCGTGGAAGCCCATGTTTCTCATCCTCGGGGCAGTCACTATCCTGTGGTCCTTTGTGCTCTTCTTCGTACTGCCAGAGAACCCTATGGCTACGAGCCGCCTGACGGATCGGGAAAAGATGGTGGCCATGGCGCGGCTGGAGCGCGACAATATTGGCACTACCATAGATAAGACGTTCAATAGGGCGCAGTTTTGGGAAACGTTTCGCGACTACAAGGTCTGGGGCGGTGCATTCATCATCCTGCTTACTGGTGTGCCGTCTGGCGCCTTGGGGACCTTTGGCACTATTGTTATTAACGGATTTGGCTTCAACCACTTTGAGTCGCTGGCGCTGACTTGTCCCATTGGCGCTGTGACATGCTCGTCGATTCTTTTGACGGGCTACATTACGCGCAGGTGGAACAATACTCGGTACTTGTCCATTGCTGTATGCGCACTCATCTCCATGGCAGGAACTCTGATTTGCTGGCTTGGACCGCGAAGTAACAGAGGGTTGCTATTTGCTGGCATTTTCCTTGTTGCTGTCCAAGTTGCGGCCGGCGGACTTGCCGTTGGACTGGTTGCGTCAAATGTTGCTGGCTATACCAGTAAGTTGTCCATTGTACTTTTTGGAGAGCAGTATGCTAACAATATCTAGAAAAGTCAACAGCTAGCGCGGCTACCTTTGTCGGATACTGTGTAGGCAACGTTGTTGGGCCCATCATCTTTGGGGCTTCTCCAGGGCCGCTGTATCATGCTGGATTTGTAGGCAGCTTCGTGTGTCTCTGTGGAGTCTTTGTGTTGAGCATTATGCTTGTTACAGCTTTGCATCTCGAGAACAAAAGAAGAGACAAGCAAGCCGGCGGCCAGGGCGAGGCGGCTTCTACGGCGCAAGATCTCACGGATATGCAGAACAAGAGCTTCCGCTATGTCCTTTGAAGAGGATTGTAAAAATATAGTTCATTCGCAAATTGTACAAATAATTTCTCTCACGAGTATGTGCCTTAAATGGTTGCTAGAATATTCTCAAGTTCCAATACCTCTCCTCTCCTCTAAATATACAATATGTGTTTTCCTCCCATGGTGCCCTTTACGCACGGCCTCGCGCCGTAATTGTAACACTCGCTGCTTCATGTCAATAATATTATTTCAATTACCAATACCGTTTTAAATTACTCGGTCTATATCCATTTATCCGCCAGCCCTGCTTTCAGCGCCATTTGCAGGGTAGTGTGCTGACGTCTCGGCAAAAAGGCATGCTCGGCAATTAGGTCCTTGGCTGGAATGACATAGTAAGCCAACCCAGCTTTGGTGCTATTTAGGGCCATGCTTGGGACGCTATAGCTCTATGGAACTTGAAGCTAGCTTATTCCTGTGAATTCCTGGTTACCTTCTCTTATCCATTACATCAACTCTTATCATACTGACTCCAATCACCATTTGCCACCATACTATACATCATTGACACTTAACTTGGTCATGTTTCCTAAGGCTCTCTATTGTGTTCTTCTCGCTGGCGTCGCCGCTAGTGCTTGCGCGAGCCCTACCAGTGGATGCAGCAAGGCGCTCCCTGACGGACAAGAGCCTGGAAATGTTTACAATGTGACTGTTCCTAGCGGAGGTGACTCTGATCGCTACGTCCTCATTTCCATTCCACCTAGCTACAACGCTGGTGCCAAGACATCGGCGATCCTGTCATTCCACGGTGGGCGCAAGACTGCCCAAGACCAGCTAGATCTGGATCTCTTGACCAGCACGGATTTCAACTCGGACAAGTTTGTCATTTATCCACAGGGCATAGATGTGAGTTACTTGGGGTTAATGCTATTTCCATAACACTAATTTCGCATCTAGAACTTGTGGCAAGGTGTCCCAGACGTCGATGTCGACGATGTCGCCTTCACGACCGCTATTCTCGACCACCTCCAAGATACATACTGTATTGATTCTTCACGCATCTTTGCTACCGGCAAGTCTGACGGCGCTGGCTTCGTGAACGTTCTAGCCTGCGACGCAAACTTGTCCGCCCGCATCGCCGCCTTTGCCCCCGTCTCTGGTGCCTTTTACATCAATACATCGCCGTGCCACGCATCCACCGTCGCCATCCCATGCAGCGCCAGCAGAAAGAATATCCCCTTTCTCGAGTTTCACGGCGGCAATGATACCACCATTGCGTATACGGGAGGTGCGCGCAAGGGTGAATGCCTTCCCACCATCCCGCACTTTATCCAGCAGTGGGCGGTTCGCGATGGCCTTGGGTCTAAGAACACGTCGTCATCCCTTGCGGACAATACCACGCGTTACAAGTTTGGCGATGGATTGGTTCAGCACATATTTGACTCTGTAATTGGCCATGATTGGCCCAGCACGCAGCCCAATGATGACAATCAACGTAGCGGACATAACGTCGCTAGCTTCAACGCAACGCCTATTATTCTCGACTTTTTCAATAGCCATCCTCTAGCTTAAGAGTTATAGTGAGCTATTCTCTAATTTAGTATTTACAATGTAAACAACGGTATATAGCAAGTAGAATTGGTCTTAAGAAGAAATTCTTTTATTATTGTACCCAGTATGGCTAGCGCTGACAGTGACATGCACTCGGCAAATAATGGGCTCGGCTCATGTTAGGCTTCGGTAAAATATGACCCGACTAACAAGCCGACAGTGACGACCGAGACCACATCGATCTACGTGCTATACTTATAGACAGAGCAAAGCCTTCAAAACTCAGACTTTGAATGTTAGTTTTCAATTCAAATTTAACAACACAATTACGGTACACTTCAAGTCCTTGTGCCCCGACGCCTCGCCAAAATGGAGCCGCGCTTTTCAATTCCCGACACTACACCGCGGTCCAGCAAAACGACGATTACTATTGGTGGCATTGAAGTCTACATATACGGACTGGGAGAGTTGCAGCACAAATCTGCTGAGCACATTAGTGTTCTATATTTGGCACACCAGCGGACAAGAACATACCTCGTGACGCAGGACATGGCGCATGAGATTCTTCATCGTTATAGAGGACATAACAAGGTGAAAAGAATGGAAACCATTGCCGTGACGATTAACATGAGAAATCATGGTGATAGAGAGGTAAGTTAAGTCAAGATAGATGAAAACGGTGGAAGAAGATATACAAAATAAAACAGGATGAAAACAAGAGTATTCCCTTCAGTCCATCCGCTGACCTGTATAGATTGACCCAATGGCAAACCAAACTTGGGACAACCGCAATGAGAACCACGGGTAAGTCGCAGCCTATCAAGTGCTTGAAAGCAACAAAATTCTAACAAAATACAGCATAGACTTGCTTTCTCTAATTACCGGGTCCGCTCAAGACTTTAAGCTCATCGCCAGCTTCCTACCAGCATACCTACCACAATTCACAACACATCACAACGTGATGATGGGCATCTCACTCGGCGGCCACACAGCATGGCATCTAGCGGCGCTGGCCCCCGGCCAATTCGAAGCTTTCATTATCGTAGTAGGGTCTCCAAACCTGGCGCCGCTTCTTTTGGATAGACTTGGAGTAGATGCTGCCGCGCTCGGCGTCAGCAAGGAAGAGGCGCACACTATTAGTTATGACCGCTTACTCGAAGTCATGGACGAGACTCAGAGGCGACGATGGCCTAGAGCATTGGCTGAATTTGTCCAAAAGCAGGACAGATGGGCGGATAGACACTTTCCTGATGTGCCGTTGCTGCTGTGCGCCGGTGAGGACGACACGCTTGTTCCGCCGCGGTACACGTGTGCCTGGTGGGACAGACGAGTGGTACTTAGGGGTGGTCAGGGAGACTCGCAAAGCATGTTTATACAGAAGAATACAGGCCATAGCTGTACCAAGGAGATGGTGGCTATGATTGCTGACTGGCTGGTTCATCTGAATACCAAGCGAGGCAGGGATTCGGCCAACATGTAAAGTAGGGAAGCTTTAGACTTGATTTATACAAATCATAAAGTATACTAAAGAACATGCATTGAAACTATGTAAAAAGTAGATAAAAACACAAAATGTCGGTGCCAATGCCAGGGATCGAACCGGCAAAAGTAGAGGCAGCCGAGGCTGCAGTAAATCTGAGCTGGGTGAACGAGTCACCACTGCTCCAACCAAAAGGTAGTATAGATATTAGCTACTCTACTGAAAATTACGTCAATTATTATCCATTATAATGCCTGGTGACTCAGATATCAAAGACGCTGATTGGTGGTATACCCTAGTTGTGGTTTGGTAAAGTAGGCTGAGAGACTAGGCAGCAGCTAGGCTATCCACCAACAAAGAGTAACAACCTCAACATACTACCAACCAGACTGGGCGCTACAGATAAGTATACACAGTAATAATGTATAACCGAAATAAAATGCAAAATCTATCTTTCAAGTCGTTGAAACTTATATAATACATAAATATATATATCGGCGATGCACATATAGATATCTATAAGTACTTAGATTCAAGTTACGACACGGCTCATACCCTAAATGCGACTCTACGCTTCTCCCCTTTTCCCCATATATCAGTCTCTCTTCACATGATACCATCACCATACACCCGAATAAACACCACCCTCTTGGATCTTATAAAAAAGAAACATTGAATTGATGTATGTATGTCGTCTACAATGTTAGCGGCCTCCCCAGCGAGATCCGGCACGCCATCTGGAAGGCCACCATCCAGTATGAACCCGAGTTCTGTCTCTGCTGGCCGATGAACACCAGCCTAGGCTATGAGACAGACAACTTTCGCAATGGCTACCCACAGCTTCCACTGACTGTAGACACCACATTTCCCGTGGCTATGCATGTCTGTCAGGAATCACGCGCCGCAGTACAACAGCTAGACAGCGATATTCGTTTTCGAGCCTCAGAGGCAGCTGGCTGCCCCGTGCCATTCAGACGGTACATGCCAGACTACGACACGCTCTATCTCAGTAATGATTCAGCACCGGTTCTCTGGCTCCATCACAAAGATGAATATTACCCTTCCATACGGCCAGTCAGACGCAGACCAACAGCTGCAAGACGCCTGGTGTGACATTATAAAGAAAGCCAAGTTCATTGCCTTGGAAGGGCCATTCTTCATGTCTTTTTATGACGCATTGCAAATATTGTTACAAGCTTCTTCTGTATTGCCAGGGCCAGATGGTGTATATTCCATTAGTGTCCCTTCAGACCAAAAGAAGCTGCCGTTTGTTGTGGCAAGCTCAACATACGATGAACATGGTATGAAATCATATCAACGATTCAAGCCGCCAGGAAGGCGATGCAAGCTTGTGGATCTCTCGGAAGAGGCGCTTAAAATGTATACATCTACACGAATGGAGGAAACTGGTCTAGGGGCATTGAGCCGGCGCTGCTGCCTGAAGCCATCGACAAAACGCGCAAAGATATATTTGCCTGGGACGAAGACGACCCATATACTCCTGATGATAGCCATTTGGAAATTGTTCCGCGGACATTTGTTAAATATCAGCCTGATGGAACGTGGAAAGAAGTCTGCTAGGACCGGATATTCGAGGAAGGGTAGGTAGTCTTTATCAAGTATCTGGGGCACCGGTATTAGTTGAAGATCGACCGGATCCCGAGAATGTCGAGGTGTTGGACGTTTATATACCATTTAAAACGTGGTGTCTAGAAGACGCAGAGGATTGGGTCGACAGAGCTTGGCCATATAGGATGCCTTTTGCTGGTAGTCTACACACGGTACCGTATGAAAATTTCTCAAGGTTGAATTTAAACACAATATACAAAGATGAAAGGAATTATACAAGTCTCACCTGCAGAACAATAAAAAATGGATAAGAGTGGGTAACGACTTGGGGAATCGAATCACCAAAGTAGAGGCAGCCGGGTCTGCTTTATAGCCAGGGAGAGACTCCCATCTGCTATCGCATAAGCTGTTTGTAGCTACTCTACTGCTAAAGACGAGAATTATTATTGCTTATAAGGTATAGAAATCCTGACAGTCAAAAATGATGATTGGCTGTCATCTGTTGTTCACGGTACTGGGCTAGGCAGCCTCGAGTCGCGATGGTGAGGCTGAGGCTACGATGCGATGTCTCTATCAGTTGGCCTCCAAGAACAAAAGCAGTTCAATGACAACACGAATATACCGTAAGATGCATATATATTAGTAATATTGATAGTATTAACTATTGTTTAAATGATATTTTGTTTATAGATACCCAAAAGAGTGGCAGAAGTCGGCGGGCAGCCGTTGAAGAAGACTCGGACCTGTTGTCTATAGAAATATCTATATGATCTGGACTTTCGTAACTATTCAAGTTAATACGATCTTGAATCAAAATATAACGGACTATTAAAAAAAAAGTCACTGACTTATCATGTGAAGAGCAACAAAAAGGGAGACAAGCGGCGACGACCTGGGGGATCGAACGGCAAAAAGCAGAGGCAGCCGAAGCTGCGGGTACTTTCGATTTCTTCAAGAGTTGATTGTAATGTTAGCTACTCTGCTTAGAGACAAACTGATTATTATTCATTATAACTTGTTTAACCAGAGAACGTGGAAGCCTGATTGGTTGCGTTGTTGGATGCTGGTTGTGGCGGAGCCGGCGAGCTCAAAACGGCAATACCAGGCACCAGTGACTCAACACAACATCAGCCAGGGCAAATATGGTTAGTATACAACAGATTCATAAATATTTTACTAAATGCAGTAGACGACACTATCCCATTTAATTACAGATATAATACTGATCCTGTAGATATATTGCGTCATGATATCCGTGTAAGCCAAGCTGTGTAGTGAGCATTACCTCTTACAACAGGAATGACAAGATCTTGGAAATATAACTTGAGCTTACATTCAACCGGCAAAAAGAAAGAAGACGGTCAAGGGAATCGAACTGGTAAAAAGAAGAAGCAGAGCGCAACCGAAGCTACGGGGGCTGAAAAGTTTTCGAAGAAACTTGCATCATCGAATGTGGCTACTCTGCTGAAATACATATCATTTATTACACATTATACCCAAGCATGCTTTGCGACGTCTGTATCCGCTGGGCGGAGCTGCATATGAAACAAAGACAAAAACATAGGAAAGACAACGTGACCAAGTATATAATGCAGAAAAAGAGAAAAGACAGACCAGGGACTCGAAGTGACAAAAGTGCAAAAGCAGAGGCAGCATAGCTGCATGTCCTTTTCGGAAGAAATGTCTACCAAGGCACCAGAAGCTCTGGTGACTTGTCATAGCTACTCTGCTGAAATGGGAGTCATTATCATATGTTATAAACCCTTCCTCCTAGCATTCTAGTGGCCTGATTGGTCCTCTCATTTCTGGGTGGTGGTCGAGGCAGGCAGCAGCACAGCCCAAGCCACAGCAAACAATCCTCTCAACATGGTAACAAAAGCAAATGCAATAGATAGATATATACACGATACTAAACCAATGTAGCTTGTAAATATATATACACGTAAGTCATCATAATCATCATGCTTGCATGCCTACTTGGCCCTTACCCGGCGTATCGTCACCTTTTCATCATTCAACTCCCATCCCACACCATCACTAGCCAATTGCGCCCAACGCGCATTCGTCGACTGCTCCAAGTATCCCAAGTCAACAGACATGTAGGACCGCCCAAAACACTTCAGCGTGTGAATACGCAGATCCTTTTCCGCCCACTCCATCAGTCTCGCGCGATGCCCATCCACGCTCTTCCGGACACGGTGGAACACAATATAATTATCGTGCGCGAGGGACGACAGCGCCGCGTCAATCTTGAGGTCTCGCACTTTATAAGCCCTTCTCAGCCCATACGCTTCAGACAGCTCGTGCCGGCGACACGCGGTATCGAGGATCAAGTAGCACACCACCTCTTGTAGCTCGACAGACGACAGCGGATGCTGTGTGTGAATAGTTCGCAGAAGGTGCAGAATCGCAGGGTGGTAAGACTCGGGCTGCTTGATGAGGATGGAGAGGCGGATACAGAAGAGGTAGGCTTGTTGGGCAAAGTCGTCTGCGCGCTTGGATGCCACGATGCCCTCGCGGAGCTTGCGGAGGGCGGCCATGAGGATGGAGAGCGTTTTTGCGTTGGCCGGGTCGGCGAGAGGTGAAGAAGCTGCTACATTGGGCCACGGTGACGAAGTCGACGACGTAGTTGTGGTGTTTGTAGCGTTGTCTTGGATTTCGAGCGACGAGAAGCGCCGCAAGAGGTCGTCGCGCTGGCCGGGGGCAGCGCAAAAGGCCATGTACCGATCGACAATCTTGGTGTAGTATTTCTCTTGCTCTTTAAAGTTGACGAGTCTAACCTTGTTAGTTGGATCTCAAGAAAGTATGGTCGGGTGACGCACGTGTTGTCGCCCTTGGACGGCAAGCCGACGCTCTCGAGGGGATCTTGGATGACGGGCTTTAATCTGCCCCATGGGCCGCTGGGGGCCTTTCCTCGCTTGTTTAGCATCGCAGTAACATACACTGTGCTATTTTATTTACTGGTGATGCAGAGAGACGGCGCCAGGGATGTAATGTTTTGTTAGAGTTGGAGTTGGAGATGCGAGGTAGTTGCTCAAGGTGGGGGCGGGGCAGAGCATGGTGTTTGGAATTGCGGTTGGTGTGGCAGCCACCACGGAGGATCGGGGGATCGTGGAGATCTACAACAAAGACAGATTCACGATAGAAAAGAAAACAATTGGCAGAACAACAGCAGATTGTATTGATACAATGCGTTCTATTTAACAATTTTACAGTTTTGGGTGGCGTCCGCGCCGTCCAGGCAGTATTTACTGGCCTTCGCAGAGCTTCTTGGCAGCAGGGAGGACCTCGTCTACATGGCTGGTTAGCATTTCATTACATTGTCTTTGTCGTTGGTAGAAGACGAGGGGGTAAAACATACTGATGGTCTTGTCCTGACCGCAAGCAGCAATGATGCAGCCGGCAGCAGAGCCCTGGAGGGTGTTGATGTTCTTGCAGAGGCAAGGAACGTCGTCGTCAGCGCAAGGGATCTTGGCAGCGGCGTCGTGAGCGCATTGGCGAGAGCACTCGGGGAGGTCAGAGATGCCCGCAGCGAAGGCGGTGGCAGCAAGGGCGGCGACGACGAAGAACTTCATTGTGATGGTTGTTGTGGGGGAGGGTTGGTTTGTGTAAGTGTATGTGTGTGAATGAATTGGAATGGTTTTCTCTTCAAACATCGACGGGAACCAAGGGTTTATATACCCATTCCGAATATACTTTTGTCCTCTCCACGGGGTTCGTTCCTCTCCCCAGGGGCCGGCCCTCCTAGGAACGAACCTACGTCCCGCATCATGATGGATCAACATATTTCTGCAGGCCCCGAGGGAGCGAACCCACCGACATGACGACGCCAGCCCGTCATCGCCTCCCCCTCGGCGTCCATCCGTCTGCGGATCGTCGCCGGGAATTTGAGCTCCGTCTGGAGGGATGGATATCCTCCCGCGGCGGTCAGAGACAAACATTACCGTACCCTGTAATACCCCCGTTGCCACCTACGTGAGCGATCGTCTTCCCCCTGACAATTGAATACCGCCTGGTTTGCACTTCGTCGATTCGCTGCCCGTTTGAAACAGATCCCCATATTTCCGGTAACGTTGGAGACGGCGGCGCCCGATGGGCAAGTAAGCTAATGCGACGCTACGGCTCGTCGGGGCAGAGACACCGAGAAAGACGGGCCGTCTTTTGCCTCTAAAAAGATAGAGTTTAGACGGTCCGTTTCAGCTTCTGTACCTGGTCGGCCTGGTCATTCGTCTTTCTCTTCTTTTTTTAGATTCTGGGAAAAGTATGTACACCACGAAAGAGAGGAAAACCAGCTGGAGCCGTCTGGTTGGCTGCATCTGGCAGAGGGTGGTCTCTGCTAGCGGAGCATCTGCAACGCACCGCGCAGGGTAGTAGTGCCGAGTGCATTGGAACCTACTTACTCCATACACCAGGCTAGCTTCTTGTTTGGGGTAGATGTCCGCCTCTTAGTGGCTCCGAGAAGCAAGACCTGCAGCGCAAGATGTACTGTATTGCTGGAATAATAAGCCAAGCCGTGCTGCTGCTGCTGATGTTTGCACGATGCCGGGTTTCAGCGCATTACCGGCGGTGGAGCAGATGCAACCTGTTTGCATGTGAATGCCTTTGTTTCTTCGTCTTTCGACTGTACATGCTTGTTTGAGATGGCTGGTAACTGGGTTTATGGGTGCAGACGGGTAAGATTCTCCCGATTGGCTGCTGCTTCTGCGTGCCGATGAAGATGAAGATGAGAGGGTGTGGTAGCTCCCAAGCACGTTGGTTGTAGGCCGGTCGTCAGTGGTGCCAGCTGCCAGGCACTGCCAAGAACTGCCAGCCGCCGATTTCAACAGCCGCCCGCATCGGCAGCGCCGCGTATTCGGGTTTGGCGATGACGGTGGTTCGTGCACACACGGCAGAGCATCAACATTACCATGTCCTTTGACCTGCCTGTTTTCAAGTAGATGGAGCGCAACGTGACAATCAATTGCGAGACATCTCTTACGAAACCAAGTCTCCTTACAATGGCTCGCCTCACTGTAACTCAAACACCAGCTGCATGGTAACTAGCCGTGTAGTGATGCTCACTGGCTGGCTCTATTCATATACATCTACATATGCTTGCTTTTTACAGTGTTCCCTGTACTGTACTGTACATACATCCCCATCGTATCTACTGTGTCGCGTCCAATGCACCGCAGTTACTGCGCAGTCGAAACCATTTCCCACCCGTTCGGCCCCGGCGCCTCAAACCGGCTACTCTTGGAAATCACCCTGCCCAACCCCCTATGCACTTCGGCCTGGTACGGCGCAAACGGCAGCTTCTCGCCATCAATCGAAATGTACCCGTCCTTCTGGTCTCTCGGCGTAATTCGGTACGCTTCTACTTTCTTATACTCGACGTGCTCGTTGTCAAAGAACTGGTTCGACTCGACCGACATGACAATCTTGAGCGCCGTAATCGGCCACAGGTTGCCATTGACCGCAACCATGTCCATGCATCCGTCTGACGGCAGCGATGCCGAGAAGAAGTTGAGATCGGGCGCCATGTACGCCATCTAGATGCCTCCATGTTAGCTTCGTTCCGTACTCAACAGCCTTCCATACGTAATGGGCGAGTACTCAATCGAGACAAAAAACTTACATTTCCGCAGTAGAAGTTCCCAATCTTATCATACGATATCGTCTCCCAATCCCCAGGCACCTCATCCGTCTCCGTACCAAACCGCAGCGCAGGCATCGGCTCATCATCACCAACCTGCACATCTGTCGTCTCCCCCAACCCCTCTTTATACCGCCTCTTCACATCTTCCTTCTTATCAGTGACCAGCTTTATGGATATATCGCACGGGTAGCACTTTCGTAGAAACACCCTCGACATAACACCCACGTCGAACCGCGCGCTGCCCATCCACCGTAAATGCTCTGTGCCCAAATCGCTCTCCGCGATAATTCCTAGCGACTGGCTCAAAAACGAAATCACCCGCTTGCCCTTTTGCGTAATAGACACCAGGTCCAGCGGCGTAACTACGCCCTTGATAATTGCCAAAGCGGCCGCTGCGGGCCGATACGACCCATACAAGTTGCACGAGAACGCATTCCCACTACCGCACGGGATATGACTGACGGCTATGCGGCCCAGTGCTGTCTTTGCATCAGGCCGCTTGGCCAAACCATTAAAGATTTCGTGCGGTGTGCCGTCGCCTGAACACGCGACTATCGTGTCGTAGTCGTCTATGTTGATTTTCTCTACTAGTTCCATGGCCTCGCCGCCGCGATTCAGTACAACAGCATTATGTGTGAGTCGAGCAGCGTCAAAGAGTGGCCGCACGACCGTCTCCCACTTCTTGACGCCATGGCCTGGCCCTGAGTTGGGGTTAATCAGGACTAGTGCTCTGCGGCGGGTCGGCGCTGCGCCGTATGCTTTGGATATAATCTCCTCACAGAAGCGTTGGGGTGTGAGGTCTGTTTCTTCGGTGGCCGGCTCTTCGATGATGTCGAAGGTCCATCGTTCATTGTCAATGGCGGATTTGGATGTTTGCTTCGCGTAGTCGACGGTCAGTTCGCCGTCCTTGACCTCGGCCCAGAGCACGTTGTAGAGGGGTATCGTGTGTTTTGTAACAGGGTCAGCTGTCGACGTTAACTTCTCTTCCGTAATCAAAGACATTTTTTGTAGTGTTTGTTCGTACCTGTGCCGCCTAGCCATAGCCGCGAGGAGCTCTTGCTCGCTGTCGACGCATTCTCTGCGCTGCCGGTTAGCCCCGACGCCATGTCGCGTGGACGTCGTCGTCCAGCGGAGCACTCACCGTAGAGAACCAGTTCATCGCCTTCAATCACAAGCCTTCGGTCCGCTTTAAACGTCATCTGCGTGTGCTTGATGGCCCCGTTGGCCGCCTGGAGAGCTTCCATGGTAGCAGTGACGCAATACAATATCAGCTCTGCTAGCTACCTCGTCTCGCGTCTTTCGTGTCCGCAAAAAGTCGTAGTAATACAGTAAAATATATCCTTATTCAGAATAGTAGTATGAATAATCGCCAGCGCACAATAAACGAGTGTAGATGCGTCGAAACTGCCGAGTGTCCCGCGTTCTCCGCAGTCGTGTGCTGTGGTGGAGTTTTGGCAGCGGGTGCTTTTTCCAAGGCGGGTGAGGTGACCAGCCGCGGCTCCGTAGCCGCTCCGTTTAGATTGGCCATAGCGCCACCCAACCAAGTAAATTAATAAAACAATATTTATGAAAACATGGCGTGAAGTTGATCCGTTTCTGGGGAAATTCGGTGCAATTTTACAATTTTGCGGCCGAAGGCTACACACACAATACAGGTTGGGTAAAATTTCACTTTTCATACATCAACTCTTTATATACAGGAGCACCGGCCACTCCCTGCCGCCCTTCGTTACGTATTCCATCCTTAATTATACCGTTCTTTCTGGTCATTTTCGCCTTTTGTAGTTACTCCAAGCATCTCAATGGTATAGATTCGTTCCCCGTATCCATTCTTGTAGTCTCCTTCAATGTGTGTACCTATGATTTCATAACCGCGCTTTACAGAGCGGCAGACTCAGTCTTGAGCACCTCAAGAACCTTCTCGGGCAAATCGGTAGCCGACTTGAGAATGGTGCCAAAGGCCGCGCTTCTCTCCTTGATGCGCTTGTCGCTAGCATCGAGCTTAGCAGCCGCTTTAAGGCAGCCAAGAGCCAATACGTATTTTCCTATTAAGATTAGTACACTGTTCATAGCTGGCTCATAGCCATTTTATGGGGAATCAACTTACTTCTGCGAGCGTAGACATCGTAGCCGGCAATCTGAGCATCGATACTCTTCGGACTAGCCGTCAACAAGGGGGTAAGGAATCTCATGGCAGCGCCGAGAGGGTCCTCTGTCGCCGCCAGCGTCAAGCCAAGCGGGTCCTCATCCTTCTTCTTGGGCTCGCCATCCTGGTTCAGGGCCTTGTTGGGGTCCTGCTTAGCCTGCTGCTCCAGGGCCTCGCGCTCCAGACGCTCCATCTCCTTCTTAGCCTTCTTGGCGGCCTTCTTCTTCTCGAGGGCCTCCTCGGCAGTCTCTTCGCCGTTGGGCTTGGCGGCAGCCTTGTCGGCCATGCTGACATACAGGTCGACAGCATCAAGAGCGGCGCGCGTGAAGAATGGGTGGTCGTGGACATGGTCCTCCCACCGAATCATGTCAATGTATGCGCGGATATGGCCCTTGCGGAGCGAAAAGGTGTGGAAGTCGAACTGGTCCTCTTGCCAGACATCAAAGATATTGGCAATCTGGTGGAAGCGCTTCAGGGCCAGACCAGTGTTGCCGGTACGCTTGTAGGCCTCGCCGTCCTCAGTGAGGAACCAGATGCACTGCATATCAAGAAGATCGGTGAGCGGGCCGCCGACGGTGTCTGCTCTTGTAAACAGACCAACAGTCTTGAGGGCCTTTTCGTTCTCGTTGTTGCGCAGCATATACTTGGCGGCCTTGGAGTTGATGTAGCGGTCCTTAAGGTCGAGCTTGCGAGCAGTGTCCATCATCTCGGACGCCTTGCTCACGTCACCGGTGTGCTTGAGGATACGTGCCTTGGTCATGTGGTAGTCGACGCTCTTGGGGTCCTTGGCAATGGCCTTTTCAATGTACTCCATGGCGGTGTCGAGGTTGCGGCTGAGGTGGTAGTTGTGGTGCTGGGCAAGATAGAAAAGCGCTGCGGCCTCACCCTTATCCTTACTAGTTGCATCGGCGTCCTGCGATTCGAGGTACTCCTTAGCGAGAGCAGCGAGCGTCTCTTTCTTAAACGAGTCCGAGTAGAGATGCTTCAAGTTGGCAAAGGTGGACGGCACACCCTTGTCCAGCATGAGCGACAGATAGGCCTTGGCCGCCGTCTTGAATTCGTCACCAGTCAAGAAATCGAGAGGAATGCGGCGGGCAGCGTCGCAGCGGGGAAGCTTCTTTGCGTACTCGGTGTAGATGGCGTGGCGGGCGGCGGTATCAGTCTCCTTAATGTTGAGGCACTCGCTGAGCTTGGTGTAGTACTCGGCATGTTCCGAGTTGCGGTCAATCAGCGCACGGTACGCCTTGGCAGCATCCTCCTTGCGTCCCAGCTTCAACAGGTATTCGGCACGGGCTTCCAGATAGGCAAGACGGTCGAGGTTGTGCTTGGCGTCCTTTTCGAGGTGGTCGAGGGCTCGCTGGTAGTCGCCCTGCTCGGCAATAATCATGTTCTTGTACATGACAGCCTCGGAGTGCTCAATGTCGGTACGGGCAGGTGTACCCTTAAGAGTTCCCTCGTAGGTGGTCAAGATGTTCTCGGCTTCCGTCAGGTTCTTGTTGAGATGGTGCGCAATGGCGAGCGCCGTCCATCCCTGGCGAATCTGGGGTCGGGCCTGGAGCATGGCGTTGCGGCTCTGCACGTAGCCAGGGTAGTCTCGCATCTGGACCTGGAGAGTAGCAAGATCACGCTGGATCTGAGCAGACCCAGGCTCAAGCTTCAAGGCAAACTTGTAAGCCTTGGCAGCTTCCTCGAAGTTCTTGTTGGCGCGGTACAGGATACCGTACACGTGCCAGCAAATGTGTGACTTCATGTCAGCTGTGAGGGCCTCTTTGCCGAGAGCAAAGGCCTCGTCCGACTTTCCCTGACCATTGAGGATCAGGGCCTTCATGGCCATGGTCTCGCCATGCTTGGGGACCTTCTTTAGGATGAGATCGGCCGTCTTGATACCGCGCTTGTACTGCTTCTCTTCGTAGTTGCGGATGACCTGGCGGAACTGGGCCGCCTCCTTGGGCGCCAGTGGTTGCGGCATGGCTGTGTGTGTTTGTGTGTTTTTATTTCTATCGGGATCGGTGATTAGGAATCAATCGAAATGCAATGTCGGGCAGAGAGTCGTCTGGTTCTATTTGCCCCGTGGCTAACTTTCGGTGGTGAACCTTGTTGGAGTCAGTTGTCGTGAAATCCCTCACAGATCGAGTCTGCAGATGCACGCAGATGGATGTTTCTTACTGTAAAAAAATATGCACACGCCAAAAACAGCAAAATCAATCCTGCTTGACCGAGCCAATGCAATCGAGAGCGCAGACACAGCTGTAGAGAATCGTGGGAGAAAGTGGGCGAAGCTGCCGCCGGCGGATCCTCGGAGCAAAGTGCGCCGCAGCCGGCCAGCGGGTGTCGAGTCGACCCATTGTTGAACTGTAGCTGCATGGCGGGGTGTCTTTTCTATGGCCTTGTGTCACGATTTCTTTTTCAACATCATACATATGTTCACATGATTTATCCCAAAGACATGGATGTCTATTAAATATACGGCATAATTCATAATATAATATACTTGATTTTCTTTTTTTTTAAGCTTTCAAAAATATATTGACATTGCGTATTAACCGATTTACCACCCTATGCTACTCAAGAACTGTAGCGCTCATACTTGACTCTAACCATCTAGCCATTGAAACATCACCAGCTATGCACTCTCAGCTTGAGACTATCATGATACAGTCGATATAAACTCTAACAACCTGACTAACGACCTACAACAACAACTCCGAGATGAGCCGAGCCGCAACCACATCAGCCGACCATGTCCGTCCTGTCTCAACTACCCTCAACTACCCTCGACTACCCGTCTTCAACATCACGACATCTATTAATATCCAATTTAGACTATCAAAATTCTCCGTTCTCCAATATATCCGTCTGCCACATTTTCCTCGCTAGCCAATATCGTACCTCGCTTCCATGACAGGGACCACTACCCCCACTCTGGCGCCATTTCGCTCCTTATGGTGTAGTTTAAACTTGCAAAGCCAGCTCCGGCCATGCTCCGGCCTTTAAAGATGACCCCCAACCGTCACCCAAAAACGATGAATGCAACTCAAATCACTTTCTTAGCCACTAAAAATGGCTACCGTTGAACCGACCAGACGGACCTGGTACCGAACAACCCTCTTCAATGCCTTTGTCATTGGAGCCGTCGGCTTCTTGGCCCCCGGCCTCTGGAACGCCATGAACCAGCTTGGCGCCGGCGGTGCCCAGGAGCCATATCTCGTCAATGCTGCCAACGCTCTTGTCTTTGGCCTGATGGGTATTACTTGCTTGCTTGGCGGCCCGCTAGCTAACCGTATCGGATTTGCTTGGACGCTGTTTCTCGGCGCTGTTGGCTATCCCATCTACTCGGCTGGCTTATACTGCAACAACCGATTCGGCAATGTGTGGCTGGTGCTCGTGGGATCCGTTGCCTGCGGTGTCTCGGCAGGTCTTTTCTGGGCAGCCGAGGGTGCAGTAGCCATTGGATATCCGGAGCCGTCTAAGCGCGGCCGTTACCTCAACATCTGGCTGTGGTTCCGAGTCGGCGGCCCGCTAGTGGGTGGTTTGATCGTCTTGATCCTCAACCATAGCGCTGAAGCAAAGAAGAAGGGCAAGGTCGATTCGCAGACGTATCTCATCTTTATTGCCCTCCAGTGCATTGCTGCGCCTGTAGCTCTGCTGCTCTCGCCGCCAGCCAAGGTCCAGCGAGCCGATGGCAGCAAGATTATCATCAACGCACAGCCAAGTTTCAAAGGCGAGTTCAAGGCCCTGTGGAATGTCTGCAAGCGCAAGGATATTCTGATCCTTCTTCCTCTATTCTGGGCGGCATACTTTAACCAGTACAGCGGCAACTTCCAGACATACTACTTTGGCGTCCGAGCCCGCGCGCTGATTGGCTTTGTGAGCAACTTTGGCACACTTCTTTCGTCACAGCTGATGAGTACGCTGCTCGACTACAAGAAGGTATCTGTCAAGCGCCGCTTGGAGCTTGGTTTCTGGTATATTGTCTTCTTGCACGTCTTGGCTTGGACCTATGGCTGGGTAATTCAAGAAAAGTACACCGCCAAACCGCCATCGTGGGACTGGGAGGATGCTCGCGGCTTTGTCGAGGGTTTCTTTGTTCTGCTGCTTTGGGATTTTGCTCGCCAGGCTCTGCAGAACTGGCTATACTACTTCCTCGCTACCAAGACGACTGATATTGCTGAAATTACCCGCTTCTCTGGTATTCTCCGCGGCCAGGAGAGTTTCTCACAGGCCATCAGCTACGGCATTAACACGCGACAGTGGTACGGTGGACGAGTGCCTCTTGCAGTCAACACCATCTTGCTGGTGCTCGCATCCGTCCCGACATATCTTGCATTGAAGCAGCACACGCCTGTTGAGATTGAAGAAAAAGTTCCAGGTTCGGATGGAGAATCTGCCGAAAATGTACAAGTCGCAATTTCCGAAAAGCAATAGTGTATAGTGGTGGTATGTAATGAATTGTATGCAGGCATGCTTCTAGATTTAGTATACAGAATTGGAGATATGTAATACACGTTAGTAAAAAATGGCAGAAATCTATGCGTCTTTCGACTTTTTCGCGGTTTCCCACTGGTCAACAGCCGTCTTCCACTGCGGTATGTCTGTTCCACAACGGCTCTGCACGACCTCCCACGTCCGCCGGCGCACAATGTCCTCAATCTCCTCCTCCATGTGGACTATTCTCTTCAGCTTATCGGTGCGACCCTCTGTGACTGTGAATCGAGCAGAGTACGGATCGAGTCTTTCGTTGATCACTCGTTCTTCATTTTGCTTCGCTTCGAGTTCTCGTGCTGCTAGGGTTGGATCCTCGGTATCCGGCCGACGAGCGAGGTCTTTGCAGTAACGCAGGGCAAGTGAACGCGACTCCCAGGCTGGAAACAATTGGGATTTGCAGAATGTGTCGCACTCTTTAACTGCGAGGCCCTTTGTCATCTTCGGTGTGCGCTGCGCCGTGGAGGACGGGTCGAACGCAGTCCGCGACGGCGTGAGGAGGGCATTGAGGTTCTGGTTGATGGAGTCGTCGACGGCCGACCGCGATAATCGAAGAAAGTCTGTCTTGTTGTCAGCTTATTATTCCTGATCTAAGTTGAGGTACGTACCTTGTAGAGCGCTTGGCGAGAAGCAGAATTGAGGGGTGAGTTCGGGAGCGGGATGCTGGTTGGTGGAAGCCATTGCCGGCGGGAGAGGCGAGGCAGATGCCGCGCTTGACCAGAACAAATGTGCCAGGTTGAAGATGATCGTTTGATATGCGTGGCGCGTTCGATAACCGCGAGGTCTGTGAGTGGTGGATGGCAGCGCTGATGACGAAATGCTGGTGGTTTGATGGTTCCTGATGACGTTTTCCCGGTAGAGCTACAGTGGTCTTTCCAGCGGGCGGCAGCGGCGTGTGGCGGGCAAGGGAGGCGGTGCGTGTGGCGCGTTGCTATGACGTCTGTTGGGCTGCTAGTGGGCAGTCCGAATACGCCGGACGGTGCTCCGTGGGCGGGCTCGGATTCGGGTGGGCGGATTGTAGTGGAAGCAGGGGCGCCAAATAACGAGATACGACTCTAAGAAAATTCAGGTAGATGCTACAACTGCTTAAAAATAAGAAATCAATTTTAGTTGATTTTAATATACCATATTTAGATCTACATAATTCACTGTTCGTTGGCGCCACCTCAGGCCCCTCCGGTATGGCGCTCATCCGGGGTCGCTCAATCGGGAAAGAAGTCAAGAGGGGGCACGTCCACACAACATTTTCCAAGCCTGTGTGTCTTTGTTCCTGTCTTGCTCATCATCACCACCGCAGCTGCGCCTCCTTTTCCTCTGCTTCGCCAGTTTTTATTTCCAGAAATTCCAATTCTGCTCGAACATTTCTACTGCAAGTCACCTAATCACACCAGCTGCTTTCTCTACTACGAACTCACCCCGCCAAATCCCACGCTCTCTCCCACCACCCCTCTCCATCATCATGTCGGAACAACCAGCGGCTCACGCGAGCAGCAGCACCTGGACGACCTTCCTCAAGGTACCTATTCGCAGTGTGTGCACCTAACAAGCGCCCTCTAACTTTCTGATCTAGTCCATTGCCTCGTTCAACGGCGACCTTGCCTCCCTCACGGCCCCTCCCTTCATCCTCTCCGCCCAGTCCCTCACCGAATTCTCTTCATACTGGGCCACGCACCCTACGATCCTCACGGCGCCCGCTGCCGAAGCCGACCCTGCCAAGCGCGCCGTTCTTGTTCTCAAGTGGTTTCTCAGCACCCTGAAGCACCAGTATGCAAGCCGCAGCGAAGAGTTTGGCAACGAAAAGAAGCCCCTCAACCCTTTTCTTGGTGAGCTCTTCCTGGGCACCTGGACCGATGATGCTGGTGAGACCACGCTTGTGTCTGAGCAGGTGTCGCACCACCCTCCCGCCACAGCCTACTGCATCCGCAACGAAAAGACGGGCGTCCAGCTCGAAGGCTACAATGCGCAAAAGGCGACCTTCAAGAGCACTATTATCGTCAAGCAGATTGGTCACGCCGTGTTGACTATTCCTGTTGGTGGTGAGAAGGAGACCTACCTGATTACACTGCCCTCGCTGCACATTGAGGGTCTCATCTTTGGCGCGCCCTTTGTCGAGCTTGACGGATCCACGCATATTACTAGCTCCAGCGGTTACTCGGCCAAGATTGACTACAGCGGCAAGGGCTGGCTGTCGGGCAAGAAGAACTCGGTGACGGCGACGCTATTCAAGACTGGCAGCGAAAAGGACGTGCTCTACAACGTGACTGGCCAATGGAACAAGGAGTTTGAGATTTACGAGGGCCCAGCTAAGAAGAACTCGAAATCGACCCTAGTCGAAACATACGACGCTGTGGCCGTCCCGCAGACCGAGCTGAAGCTGAAGCCCATTGAGGAGCAGCACCCGCTCGAGTCTCGCCGCGCCTGGTTGGGCGTTGCCGAGGGCATTCGCAAGGGCGATATGGATGCTGTTCATGTGGAAAAGACCAAGATTGAGACTGCCCAGCGTGCGCTGCGCGTCAAGGAGAACGGCGATGAGAGTACTTGGGAGCGCCGCTACTTTACGGCGGTCGAGGGCGAGGATGCGACACTAGAGCTGCTTGGCGCGGCTGGTTGCGTGCCTGTCGACGGCGACAAGGACAAGACTGGCGGACTGTGGCGCTTTGATGCGGCCAAGGCGAAGAAGGCGGCGGAGCAGAAGCTGACGGCCGATGAGATTGCGTTGGCCAAGAAGCAGTGCCTGGGACAGTAGAGGGTCGAGGCTGAAGAACCTATAAAATACACGATGTGATGTGAATAACTTATTACTAAGAATGAATAGACTTGTACCGTCTCTAATGCCACCCACTCAGTTCACTAGCAATGTGTCTGCCTGCATTGTCTTGTTTTTGTAAAAGCACACGCTGTTATATATATACCATATTTCTCTCTCTATCTGCAAGGTCGAATCTATGGTCCAGACCAACCATTCCTTTTTTCCGTCAGATCTCCCTCATTCTACAACTCTGCTACAGAGAGCGCTTACAACTCTCCTACGGCGGGCGCAGAACGGCGAAAGTGCTCAACAGACGGAAACGTCTCCGGCGCATCCTCCCTCAACGTTGTCCCAATCAAATGGTCAAAGCTCGGCGCCGTCTTCACACGCGTATTATACGGCGCAAAGTCCCACAAGTACCCCAACGTCCTCAGGATACTCGTGGCATGATAACTCACCTCCTTCCCGCACGAGTTGCGGCCCTTTTGCTCCACGACCGCCGACGCCCACGGCGAAATCAACCAAGTCGGCATACGTCCGCCCAATCTATCAAACTGGAACGTGTAGTCCTTTCCGGACGGCGTCGTCTCCGTATGCGTCAGATTGTCTGGGCGCGCAGCACGCGGCGGCGCAACGTGGTCGTGGAACCCGCCTGTCTCGTCAAACGTAATGATGAACATGGTCTGGTTCCATTGAGGGGAAGCGCGCAGGGCCTCGTAGACGTCCTTGATGAGCTGCTCGCCGTCGGAGACGCGGCCGGTCGGGTGCATCGAGTTGGTGCCCTCGCCGCAGCAGGACGGGTTGATGTAGGTGAGGTTGGGGAGGGCGCCGGCCTTGGCGTCCTTGTAGAACTGGGGCATCATGACGACGCGGTGCGTGTTGTTGCTGGTGTATGTCCATTTGAACCAGCGGGCGTCTTGGATGGATGTGTCGACGAGGTAGTCTTTCCATTCGAGGCCGAGCTCGGTGGCTTGTTGGAAGATGGACTTTTGGGGCATGCTGTTGTATTTGAAGTTGTTTTTGCCCTTGCCGGCCGAGGTGCCCGAGCAGAGGGCGACGCGGTTAGGATTGGTGGGCTAAAAAGACAGAGAATGTTAGCACAGGAGGTGTGTGGGTGTTGGGAATGTAATAGTTGGATATGATATGATGTGTGTTGGTGATGAGGACGAGAAGAAAGACGTACACCGGGAATGTCAGAGTGCCAGTGGTTAAACACGACAAAGTTCTTGCTCAGCTCCGTAATCACAGGGACCTGGTCCTCCGTATAATAATTGATGACCTGCTTCTTGAGCACCTGCTCGTCCTGTTTCCCATTATAAATGCGAATCTGCTCCGTCAAGAACCCGTCCATCTTGGGCGTCAATTTACCCGACGTAATCGCCGCATTGTCCGGCACAAAGGACCCGTAAAACTCCAAGTTGTTGCCCGAGATGGAGTGATCAGGATCGTCAATAATGGAATCAAAGTCGAGGGCTTCCGTGCAACCCGTGACGGCAGGGTTGCTAATGTTCATCGGGTTGCAGTAGGGTCCCGTCTGGATGGGGTTCTCGAGACCAGGGACAGTCTGGCCGCCCATGAGGTTGTCAAAGGAGCGGTTCTCCATGACCATGATGACGACTGTCTTGATCTTGTCACGCATGTTGGCAATGGACTCGGCCGAGCCGGCGGGGAACGAGGTGCCCGTGGCAGCAGCGGTTGCTGCCAGGGCAAGGAGATGTGTCAAGTGCATCTTGGAGGAGTCGATCAGTGACAATCAACCTTGTATATAGATCTGAAGCAAATCAGTGATAACCAATCAGCTTTGTAGATCTGGTAGCGAATCACCTTGAAGATCGTCAGCGAGGCGGGCTTGGCTCTCCCTCCATATTAATACTTTTGCCGTCCCGCATCAATGGCCTACTCCCCCAACGGTTACCGAACGAAACGCAACCCTGCTAGCTACAGCTGCTGCTAAAAAAGTAATAGTCTGCGCTGTAATAATGGTGCCCAATCACACTGCGAGCCGGGAGCATGCGGGATCGACAGAGGCTGCGCCGGCCCATACACACCCGCTGTAATTGGCCCATCGGCATTAAAAACCCCTTCCTAGCGCACGGAGCTAGAGATCCAGCTTTGGGCCGTGGGCGGGGTTGTGAGTTAGCGAGAGGGGGCGCTGAGAAATTGGTGCATTCTGAGTGGTAGAATGGCGGGATTACCAGTGAAACAAGTCCGGCGGTCGGTCGGCATGCCGGTTAAAAGCAATGCGTTATTGCTAGTGCTGCTGGTAATAATAGGATGTATGCTGCTGCTGCTTGCTATCCATTAGAACTGCCGCGTGCATAAGACGGACGCTAGACTAGGTTAGCAACGGCACTGAGTTAGCGACTAGAAAATGTCACAAAGCAAATAGACACACAGACAGGCACGTCTTCAAACTGAATAACACTTTTTTGCTATGGATGCCTCTTCAACAACACTCCATTCGCCGCCCATTGCAGGCATGATGATATCTTCCCCTTATTTTAACCATTAATTCATATATTTGTTGTGTTTTTTATATTGTACTCGGCGCTAAGAGTCCACGCTTACAGCTGGTTGGCGCAGTTGAAGTCCTGGAGAGCGACAGTGACACGGGCAGCCATGGTCTTCTCACCCTCACGGACCCAGACACGGGGCTAAAAGAAAAGATATTAGTAAACAGATGAAGAGAGTGACAGTCAAGAAAACTTACGTCGAAGAACTTCTTGTTGGGCTTGTCATCGCCATCGGGGTTGCCGACAGCAGTCATGAGGTAGTCCTTCTTGTTGAGCATGTAGTCGCGGATACCGGCCATGTAGGCAAACTGCATGTCAGTGTCCATGTTGACCTTGACGACACCGTGGTTGATGGCGTCGAGGTACTCCTGCTTGGAGGAACCAGAGCCACCGTGGAAGACAAAGTAGACGGGCTTGGCCTCGTCACCGCCAATGGCAGCGTGGACGTGCTCCTGGTGCTTGCCGAGGAGCTCGGGGTGCAGCTTGACGTTGCCGGGCTTGTAGACACCGTGGACGTTGCCGAAGCCAGCGGCAATGGAGAAGTAGGGGGAGATGGGAGAGAGGGTGTTGTAGATGTTGAGGATATCCTCAGGCTGGGTGTAGAGAGAGGCGTTGTCAACATCCTCGTTGTTGACACCGTCCTCCTCACCACCGGTGATACCAATCTCCATCTCGAGCCACTGCTTCATGGGGGCAGCGCGCTTGAGGTACTTGGCGGTGGTCTCGACGTTCCACTCAACAGTCTCCTCGGAAAGATCAATCATGTGAGAAGAGAAGAGGGGCTCGCCAGTGGCCTTGAAGTGAGCCTCATCGGCGTCGAGCATGCCGTCGAGCCAAGGGAGGAGCTTCTTGGCGCAGTGGTCGGTGTGGAGGACGACGGGGACGCCGTACGAAGCAGCGACGGAGCGGATGTAGTGAGCACCGGCAACGGCACCGGCAATGGAAGCGGCCTGGTCACCGTTGGCGACACCCTTGCCGGCAAAGTAGGCAGCACCACCCTGGGACATCTGGAGGATGATGGGGGACTTGGCATCGCGGGCAGCCTCGAGGGTGGCGACGACGGTGGAGGAAGAGGTGACGTTCTGTACAGGTATGTTAGCTACAACATCAGATGCAGAGACCAAAAAGAATACGTACAACGGCGGGAATGGCAAACTTGTGCTCGCGGGCGTACTTGAAGAGAGCGAGAACGTCGTCGCCGACAATGACACCAGTCTTGCGAGTCAAAACGTCTTGGGCACCCATGATTGCGGTAGTTTTGGTTGTTGTAAAGAAAAGTCTACAGTTGAAAAAAAATGGTTAGAGATTATGAAGGAGAAGAAGATCAAGAGAAGAGCAATTGGGGCATGGCGGGGTTTTCTGGAACAAACAGCAAGGCTTATCGATACCCAACAGAAGAGAGAAGCACTGACTGCTACTGCTGCTGCTATCGCAACGGCGTCAGATCTGCGGCTTTTTCCTCCTTTCTGCTAGGTTCAATGGCCATCTGTATCTTATCGCAGCTTGGTGCTCCTAATCGGAGGGCCAGCAATCCCAGCCTAGCGCGCCTTGGGAGCTTCTTTGCTGCCGCTCAGCCCAGCAAAAGGAGGGGCAGACAGACAAAGGCGGGTGGAGCAATAGATAAGAAGAGAGCGACAGCGGACGTGAGACTTACTAAGAAGAGTGTGTGTTATCAAACAGTGGGATTGGAAATGCAGCGTCTGTGGTTGGGGACGAAAGAAGCTGGAATGGTGATGATGGATATGGGAAAGGAAAAGAACAAGTTCACAGAGAAGCACAGAGGGGGAAAGCAGAGGCAAGGCGGGGCAGTCACTGGCTTCCTGCTGTAGCCGAAAACCACGGGCCGCCGCAGCAACGGAGCACGGAAACTTGCGGAACGGCGCACGTTGGGCGGCCTTCCTCATTCAAACAACGCTGCTATTACATATTCGATTCTATAGTGGACTGCAGGCAATGTCAGGTGCCATGGCACAATTTTTCTTGCTATTTCTAGCGCGTCTATAGAGGTTCTATGGGCGAGGGAGGTGCCAAGTACGGGATGGACGAGGCGAAAGAGCCTCAACAATTTTTGGTACGGCTGCGTTTGCCTTTATGATTTTTATGCGGCGCAGTCTGTCACTAAGAATTCTAACAATAATTTCAGTAATTGTAAATATAACTGTAGAATCTCCCGTATGTTTTACACAGCCATTGAATTACTGTTGTTGCCACATAGTCGGCCTTTGTTCTGCTTACTCTTGTCGTAGCCCATCATCCCCAAAACGTTGCCCCTCCTCTCCTCACCTCTCTCCTCGCAACCCCACTTCCACTGACCCACCGCCCTACAAAAAATCTGCCGCCCTTGGGTCTTAACCCTAATTAAGACTCCGCCCTTCAACAAAGTTGATTAGCTTCCTTAGCTCAGTTGGTTAGAGCTTCGTACTAATACTACTCGCCAGAGCAAGTCTCAGTAATGCGAAGGTCGCAGGTTCAAGCCCTGCAGGGAGCAATCGTTCTCAACGCTAGTTGACTTTGTTTTTTTGTCTTTTTTGCCTTTGATCACAAATACTCAAACATGTTCTATGATGGTTTCTTTTTATTTTTCATTTTGTTATGCGAAATTATGCAGGAAAGTGACGTCGCCTCATGATATGTTAATTGCTCCTGGTGGTGGCTGGCTTGTGCTCCATCTACTGATGTTGTCTGGCTACCCGAGACCACACGCACGATTTGAATAACCCTCTCAAATAGGCACAAAATAAGGTAAAAGCAGGGGAAATGTTACTGAAATAAATTGACATTATGCCTAGATAAACAAAATAATATCCATCAAATAACACGCTCAATACATTCGCTAGGTTACAGTCAAACAGACACTACAGTCTTACATGCTCATCGGCGGCTGGGAACCTCAATCGCATCCGACAACGCAACAAGGGCAGCCATGAGTCTCTCCGTCTCGGCATCCGCACCAGAAAGAGTCTTGACACTCTTATCCTTGTTGGGGTTGATATAATACGGTCCGTCAGCAGGACACTTGACGTCCTCGTCGGGCATGGTGCCGTTGTTAAAGAAGGCGTGGACATGGCGGGCCGCACATAGCGAAGGCATGGCCAGCGAGCAGTGGCCATACGTCTCCACTTCAATGAGCCTGGAGTCGACAAAAATATCGCGGGCAACCTTGGCCGACACCAGAGGGCAGATGGGATCGTATGTAGTGGACAAAACCAGCACGGGATGGAGCGTCTTCACGTGGCGATCTGGCACAAATGTATGGGTATGTGGAATCTCCCATTGCGCGCGAATAATGAACTCCTCCATACTGTTGGCAGCAAATGACGACTGGCTCTCAATAAAGGGAATGGCCTCCTTGAGGAGAGCCTTTCTGCTAGTGGGCCAGAAAGACTTTCCAGATGTGCCGTCGTTGGATCGAATAATAATGTTGTGCTCGGGCAACAGGTCCTCGGGGCCTTCCAGGCCAAATGCCAGCAGGGCGGCTGTTCCGTTGCCCTTCATGAGCTGCGCCGTGACGTCGGCCAAGCTGTACCAGGATGCGGGCTTGTAGAGGGCTCCGAAAAAGGCACCGAACCAAAGCTGCGAATAGTCAATGGTGCCAAAGAGCGAATTGTTGACATACACGGGGTACGGGTCGTCTTTGAGTTTTCGGATAAAGTTGGTGACATTCTTCTCGAGACCCTTGGCGTCGTTTCCAAATTCTGCTAGAGGACAGTCGTCACCAGCCTTGACGCACTCGTCAAAGAAGCCGTGCAGCACATTGTCCGAGTCGTGGAAATCCTCAGACTCAATCGTCCCGTTGTACCAGTTGAAGTGGTCAACAACGCCGTCCACGGCAACACGCTCCGAGCGCTCGGGGAACATGTTGGCATATGTCTGGCCCAGGATGGAGCCGTAGCTGAAACCCCAGTAAATCATATTCTCTTGGCCAATGGCATCAAGAATACTGTTCATATCGGCTGCTGTCTGGGGCGTGTTGATGTACTTGCCGTGCTCGCCAGTTGTGTCGGCGCACGAGTGGGCAAAGTTGCCAGCCCAGTTGTAGAGAGAGGCGGCCTCGACAGGGTCGCTTGGAATCTGGACAGAAGTAATCGCCTTGCGAACCTCGCTATCGGGGAAGCAAATGGCCTGTGGCTTGGAGCCATTGACACCGCGGGGATCAAACGAGAGAATATGGAAGTCCTGGCCGACAATCTCCTGGATGGCCTTGCCCTTGCGGAAGATGAAGTTGACGCCGCTGCCGCCAGGGCCACCGGGGTTGACAAAGAGGTTTTTGGCATTGTCGTTGCCGCGAAGACGAGCCACGGGGATACTGAATTTCTCGTTGCTGGTGGCATACTCGTCGAAATGGTTCATGGGCACATCGATACGGCTGCACTCCACGTTTTTGCCCTCGACATTGCCGCAGACAGTCCAGTCCAGCTTCTCGCCGGGGTATCGCAATGGGCCGTCTGCGCGCACATAGGGCACGAAATAAATGATTAAAGCTGCGCCAATCAACATTATGGCTCCTGCAAGGGACCAAAAGACAATCTTCTTTCTGTTGAGTGAGGGAGTGCGAGCTGGTTGCTGCTGCTCTGGTTCGACAACAGCGTCGCTAGCTTCTACTACAGCTGGTGCATCGCGAGGATTCGCGGGAAGAAGAGGATCGCGTTCAGACATGGCAGTGGTTATTTAAGTAGTCTCAGCCTGATAAGAGTCTAGTGCAACAGCGGCAATTGACACGTTAACAAGCAGGATGGGGTTGCATCCGTGAGGGGGAGGATGTACCACACCATACGTACTTTTGTAGTAGACGCAACAGGACGGGATGGGTGACGAGGCATCACGTGATGGGTACAATAGGTAAACAAAAGTTATACGTAGTCTATCTTTCAACAAACGTATTCTAAATATGTATTTACACAAACTTTATATGTACCAGTCATCTAAAAACTTGACACATATAAAGTATTTATATCACACATAATATTGTACAAGGATTGATAAAAAAGGTAATTTGATAATATATGTTAAAGAATATTTGAGAGAATAAACGAGTCTACCTGTAACTTTTGCTTACCCACTGTAGCATGTCACTGGTGCCTGGCTGCTTGTGTAACACAGATCCCTCCGTCTGTGTAACCGTTTTGCTGGCAGGGTAATTAAACGGCCAAGTTACATAATCACAATTCTCATTGCCTTGCATGTGCCACCGGCATGATTCTCCAGATTGTGCATCGGGGCCACTGTATATAAAGTAAACCCCGTTTCCGACACCGCTACGCTAACGGTGCTTCTCCAGGTCTTGGTTCCAGCACTCGACCCACCATAGCTCCGAAGCCTTATGGCGGTGCAGCACCGTATGTCCGCGGTTGGCGGTCGGCTGCCCGGCTTCCGACGTCGCAACCCCGCCCAGGACCTCGGGAAACCGGGTGCCCCGGATTTTATGGTCACTGGAGGCTGTGTGTATGCTTCCGGACACCCTGCTTAACTTTTGAGGTCTTTTCTCCTTCAATTCATTCCATTCCACGAAACTCAAACGTCGGATTCATCAATTTTTATCAACATTTTATTTACTATAATTCGTTACCATTGTTTACATCATGCCGCCTCCTAACCCCGACTGGGTCCAAGCCCTCAAGCCCTCCGGCGTCCAGGGCACCGAGCTGCTGCAGCAGGAGAGAGCAAAGTCCGATGTCGACGTGGACCGCGTGGCCAAGTTCCTGTTTACCAGCGAAGTCTTGGAGCGAAATGCAAAGATCCTCAAGACGCTGCAATCACACAAGGTCTTTGACAAGTCGGGCAATTACTTTAATGGCCGTACCGACCGAATCAAGGCCGCCCTCGCTAGGGGCAAGAAGCTTCGACAGCTGTCTGTCGAGCACAAATGGACTCCCGCCGAGTTTGTTGCCGCCAACGACTTAATTGGCGAGCCTACTCCCTACGGCCTGCACGAGCACATGTTCCTCAAGACGCTTCAGGAACAGGGCACCCCTGAGCAGCACAAGCTGTACTTGGAAAAGGCGCAAAACTACGAATACATTGGCTGCTATGCCCAGACCGAGCTTGGCCACGGCTCCAATGTCCGCGGTCTCGAGACGACGGCCACCTGGAACGGCGAGGACAAGACTTTTACGATCCATTCGCCCGCCTTGACGGCGTCCAAGTGGTGGATCGGCTCTCTGGGCAAAGCTGCCAACCACGCCGTCGTCATTGCCCAGCTCATCATTGACGGCAAGACATACGGCCCCCACCCCTTTGTCGTGCAAATCAGAGATCTCAAGACACACAAGACCCTGCCCAACATTCACGTTGGCGACATTGGCCCCAAGTTTGGCTACAATACCATGGACAATGGCTTCCTGCTCTTCAACAAGGTCAAGGTGCCGCACGTCAGCCTGCTCGCCCGCTTCTCGGGTGTCAACCCAGAGACTGGCAAGTACATTAAGCCACAAAATGCCGCGCTTGTCTACGGCACCATGACCTATGTCCGCTCCAACATTGTGTTGCAGTCTGGATCCGTGCTGGCCCGTGGTGTCACCATTGCCACTCGTTACTGCGCTGTCCGCCGCCAGTTCCACGATCGTGACAGCACCGACCCCGAGGCTGAAACTCAGGTCATTGACTACACCATGGTCCAATACCGTCTGCTTCCCCTCATTGCCACCACCTATGCCCTGCACTTTACAGGCCGAGCCATGCTCCGTCTCTACAGCGAGAACCAGGCTCGCATGGCAGACGGCAAGGCCTCTGCTGCTACAGCAGCCCAGACACTTGCTGACTTGCACGCCACATCCTGCGCCCTCAAGGCCTTTTCATCTCATGCCGCCGCCGAGGGTCTGGAGGTGAGTCGCCGCACCTGCGGAGGTCACGGCTACTCTGCCTTTTCCGGCATTGGCAGCTGGTACGCAGACTACCTCCCCACTGTGACCTGGGAGGGTGACAACTACATGTTGACGCAGCAGGTTGCGCGATACCTGCTCAAGGCTGCCCGCGCGGTGCTTGCCGGCAAGCCCGCCGACAATGATATTTCCAGAATCCTCGCCGAGTTTAGACGCCGCCAGGACATTGGTGCTGCGTTTGACGTGCTCGACGACGACGAGGACATTGTCAAGGCGTTTGGCTGGCGAGCTGCGTTCTTGACCTTTGAGGCCCACAGACACCGAGACGAGAACAAGCAGTCGTGGAACAGCCTGCTGATTGACTTTTGGAGACTGTCTACGGCCTTTTCGCAGTACTTGATTGTCAAGAACTTTTACGAGACCCTCCAGGACCCAGCCACCAAGGCAGCCCTGAGCATAACGGAGCTTGGTCTTCTCCGCAAGCTCTTCTTGCTCTTTTCACTGTACCACTTGCAGTCCAACGCCTCTGAGTTCTTTACTAGTGGCGCCACTACCGTCCGCCAGATTCAGCTGGCTCGTACTACGCAGACGCTTGCCTTGTTGAAGGACATTCGCCCCCACGCCGTCAAGCTGGTCGATGCTTGGAGCTTCCCCGACTGGCAGCTCGACAGCTCGCTGGGCCGTGCTGACGGTAAAGTGTACGAGGACATGTTCCACCGGGCGTCACAGCTGAACCCGCTCAACGATATAACGTTTGATTCCAACCCCAACTCGCCTGTATTGTTCCGCGAGGACAAGGCTAAGTTGTAAGCTGGAGGCAGGCAGATTAGACTGCAAATGACAAGCAAGAGAAGACCGAGCATATCGAATTAGCACGTTATTTTTATGTTTTGTATTTTGTACTTTTTACGATTTTTATTGGCTAGCAATGCATGCATTTATGACTATTTCATGTCTCTTTAGTACCTGTCTGTATATGTCACAACCGTCCACCTGCACAACCTGTGTTGAAAATGTCCAAATAATTGTAAATAACTGGAAAATATTCTTCTCGTTTTCTTTATTACGAATTTTCACAAAATTAAATATTACATGTTTTGACCCTATTTGTGCTGCCAATTTTGGCACATGTCCGGATTAGTCACCTTATGTTATAGGCGACCCAGAAAATATCGTCACTCCCTCTTCTGGCTTCTTCTTCTTCAACAACCACCACAGCCGCCATGGCAGCGGAAACAACAGCAGGCTCACTTTTTGGGCTCAATGCACTTTTCGAAAACCCGCTCTTTGCAGGCGGCATCGGGCTTGCGGGCCTAGGCGCTGCTGCCGCATTTGCGCGCAAGGGCGCCGTCGCCGCGCTCGGTGCAGCCCGCCGACGACTTTTAGTTAACGTCGAAATCAGCAAACAAGACCCCGCGTACCCCTGGATCCTGGCCTGGCTGTCGAAACCGCGAGAAACACCAGGCTTCATCGCATCGCGACTTACAAGAGTCCACAACCTGTCCGTCTCGACAACCACAGCAGCCAAGGGGCCAGCAAGCGGCTCCACGAATGCGCACTTCTTCCTGCAGCCCGGCTACGGACGACACATCATAAAATTCAACAATGCCTTTATCGGGGTCAACCGCGAGAAGCACAACACAGCGAATATGAACACGGGCGAGCCGCACGAGACGGTGCAGCTCACAACGCTCTGGGCACACCGCCACGTCTTTGAGGATGTCTTTGCCGAGGCGCATACGCTAGCGGCCAAGGCAAACGAGGGCAAGACGATTGTATATGCCGCGAGGGGTATGGAGTGGGCGCCGCTAGGCGATCCGCGCAAAAAGAGACCCCTCCCGTCTGTCGTCTTGGACGAGGGCGTCAAGGAGGGCATTGTGGAGGATGTGCAGGACTTTTTGTCCCGCCAGCAGTGGTATGTCGACCGCGGAATCCCGTACCGCAGGGGATACTTGCTATTTGGACCTCCAGGTAGCGGCAAGAGTTCGTTTATCCAGGCGCTAGCAGGCGAGTTGGACTTTGGCGTGGCCATGGTGAATTTGAGCGAGATGGGCATGACGGACGATAAGCTGGCGTATCTGCTGACGAAGCTGCCGAAGCGGAGCATTTTGTTGCTGGAAGATGCGGATGCCGCATTTGTCAATCGCAGACAGAGAGACTCGGACGGGTACAACGGTGCGAGCGTAACGTTTTCTGGTCTACTAAATGCGCTGGACGGTCTTGCGGCAGGTGAGGAGCGCATTGCGTTCTTGACAACGAACCATATTGATAGACTGGACCCGGCGCTCATTCGACCTGGCCGTGTTGATCTGATGGTCCGTATTGGCGAGGCGTCCAAGTTCCAGGCGAGCCAGATGTGGGATCGCTTCTATGGGGACGTGGATGGCGATCATGCTGGCCGCACGCGGTTCTTGCAGCGTCTGGAGGAGCTGGGCTTGTTTGGCACACTGCCTGATGGCAAGCCGTCGGGACTGCATACGAGTGCAGCAGCTATTCAGGGTTTGTTCCTGTTTAACAAGAATGACTTGGAGGGCGCAATCTCCATGGCCGATGGGCTGGTGCCGCAAAAGTTTGAGGCCGAGGACAGCACGCTGGTCAGTGCTGCAAGGGGGAAATTGTAGAGTGTATAATAACTGGGAAAAAGCTCATGATACCCGTGTAAGAATACCATTTTTATGTATATTAGTATAGCTGGGGCCGAAATACATGCTCAAATTCGTGAAACAAGAAGACGCGAACTAAGCAATTGCGCTGCGATAATGGAAGCTATTCTATTTCTGGCTACAACGCGGTGTACCCAGCTGGACTTTGCGTCCCTGATAAACAAGATTCACCTTCATTCCTAGTGGTGTGCAGACATTACCGATATCGTACCTCGCCCCTTCAGCCCGCCATTTTGCCAGGCATTTCTCAAAATTTGTTTCGTTGAATGAGCATTGGCTATTACTGTACTCAAACATGTCTTCGCAAGGCGTATGCTTTTTCGCAAAGATACTCCAAAACTCTTTGCTGATGGAACTGTACGTGTATCTCTTTGCAACCATGCCGACAGGGGTTGACACTCCGCCATTACCCGCAACGCATAGTCGAAGGTTTGTGGGCTATGTTTGAAAAAGTCGAGTGATCTCTGGCATGACTCCCTCTTGCAGCCCTGGATCATTTCTTGCGTGCAAGGGAGGACGCACACACACGAGGAAGTGTCACTGCCACCGCACTGAGGTTGTCCAGATGGGCAAGGAGCGTCATAACCGAAATGTGGTACATAGCCAGGCCGACAGCCGCCGTTGTATGTACATTCCGGCGGAGTGACGTCGCGAGCGGCACACACAACGGATAAGGAGAGGATAGAAAGAGGATGTAGAAGATGCATCGCTGGGCTGGCAACGTCGGGAATAGCGACCGAGTTGGGCATATTTGATGCAAACCGGCACTTCAGACCAAGACAAAATAACACACCGGATGGACATTCGCAGATCACAACTTTATCTCACCTAATGACTTCTTCCTCGTTGCGGTCCAGATGGACTCGTCACGCTCGTATGGTACCGCAATGATGGGCGGTAGATGGGGATTGGAACGCCGGCAAGAAATACATGGGGAAGACCAAGAGAGGCATTCGTCAGTCATGTTTACAAGAGCATTGAGGTTTGCGGGAAGAACAGTCAGAATTTGGGTGATACTTGTTGTCCTGTTCCGATTAGCAACTGATACGCGTTGTTGTAACTAGGGGTGAAGGATGCCGCAGCTCCTCCATACAAGCCACATTACCAAGCTTACAAGAACAGCTCCAGGGTGTATGTATTGGTGAGAAGTATGGGAAAATACATGCTCAACTATTTCGATCGCGGGTGTAACCAAATAAATATTCCAATGCGCAGTATGGGGATGTGGCTTGTATGAGTAGGCAGAGTGAGTGGATATCGCTGCGCGGTGAGCCTAATCTGAGGCTGAGTGAGCGGCGTGAATCACAGCCGCCTGTTTCTGTCGACATTTAAGTCTCGAGTTGCGTCTACCTTGCATCGTTGGTTTTGTTATAACAAAACGTTTAGTTGAAAATTAAATATGCCTGCACAGCCAACATTGGACGCCTGGCTTGGGTCCAGAGCGCCAAAGCAACAACAATCACAAGATGGACAGCGCACATCACAATCACCAATGCCACAGAGACAGTCATCGCCGGATTGGAATACCCAGTCGACAGAGGCTTCACAGACACAGTCGCAAGCTTCACAGATACCATCGTCACCAGCTCCGAGCGCAGCTTCAAGAACAAACTACCAGGCACGCAGAGAGGCATTGGCCGCTACAGCCGCAGAAACACGCACCGTCCTTCCTGATATCCTGCGCAAATTGCCCAATATTCAGGCCGCAAAGGCAGAAGCCCTATTTCTCGATCGACTAGCACCGCTAGATCCAGCAGACTGTCCAGGACACACCAAGACGGCCATCAGCGTCATCAACGAAGACACATTCAACGCAGCCATCGCCCTCTCCGCATCATCTCCTTCTCCTTCTTCCCGCGTCGCCGTGCTCAACATGGCCAGCCACTCCTCTCCCGGCGGCGGCTGGATCCGCGGCGCATTCGCCCAGGAGGAAATGCTGTGTTATCGGAGCTCACTCTCACTGTCCCTCCACCGGCGGTACTATCCATGGAAGCAGCGCATGGGGCTTTACACAGGCGACGTGGTGATTATCCGCTCTGACATGCCCTCTGGACACAGACTGATGGGACACTTGACGCCGGATCAGCTTCCCGTGGTGAGCGCAGTGAGTATAGCGGCGCTACGAACACCCGCGGTTACAACGTCGACCGTGAGATTGGCGGATGGGACGACGGTGGATGAGGAGATGTATGCGCGGCCACAGGACCGGGACCTGACGAAGGATAAAATGAGGCTGTGTCTAAGGATAGCGGCGAAGAGAGGCCACGGGAAAATAGTACTGGGGGCACTAGGGTGCGGCGCGTTTAGGAATCCGCCGGGCGAGGTGGCTCGGTGCTGGCGAGAGGTGTTTGCTGAGGCCGAGTTTGATGGCGGGTGGTGGGAGAGTGTGGTGTTTGCGGTGTATGATACCAAGGGGGAGGGCAACTTTGCTGTATTTGAAGATGTTTTGGGTGGTGTGGAGGTGTAAAGGGTTTGATGATGTGATTTGTATTATGAAGAAATCGGGTAGTGGTTTCAGGGGATTGCATAGCATAGCGAGCATTATATATGAGAAGTGCGCTGCCAAGCAGCTTCTGTTTGTTTGTTAGTTGGCCTCTAAGTCTATCTGTATATATGATTATACGATTGGACTGTTTTGTCGCTCATGACAGTCAGTGAGAGTCAGCATTTGCTTGTGAGTTGCTACTTGCTCGGTCAACGACCGAGAGAAGTTGTCGATCACCAATCTGTTGCAGAAGAACACTCTGAGGATATATAGCTACACTCTATTTACTGAACTATGGCTCGATTGCACTGGGCGACCGACCACCTGCACCTGCATGTTTCACACTAGCAACTATACCACTACGTTGTATCGTTTATGTGAATGATTTACCAGCTCTCCAATGGGCTGTTTCTCCAATACCTTAAACCTCCCCCGCATACCGCCTTATGCGTGTCTTGGCCCGCAAACGTCATGCGCCACGCTTCCTACGCCATCACTCTACTTCCCAAAAATATCATAGAAAAATCCCCTCTAAATAGCCCCAGCTGGAACCTGCACTATACAGCCCCCAAGCCACTACCTGTAAAGCCCCCTATAAAACTGACAACGCTCTTAGCGACCATAATGTCATTGTCGCCTCCATGGCGCCGGTGACGTGATCGCGAAACCCACAGCGCTCCACCCGCCATTCTTAGTGCAGCCACCAGCGTGAAGAGGATAGCCGCAACAGGAAAACGCAGCAAAACGGCTGCTTGCGACCCTGCCGTGTTTATCTCTTTTCTTTTTATCGGGGATTTTTTTTCTCTTTTGCATGTGTCCATTGGCGTCACTGCCTCATCTCAGCTTCTGCATCCCCCGCCCTCAGCGTCGCTGTTTAAATACCACGGCACGCACACCACCCCAATCTGCGCCGCATCTCTGTTTGCGATAGGGCTTTTGGATACAGTGGATCACAGCAGACACAATGCACTTCTCAACCGCAACAACAAAGGCAGACCATGCTGTGTCGCCGTCGCCAGAGCTGCACGATGGCCCAGCACCGGCTTGGAACACGGAAAGTGACGATGCGTCGGCCATGGACGGCGACTCGGGCGTGAAACGAGGTCTGAAGAATCGCCATTTGTCCATGATGGCATTGGCTGGTATTATCGGGCCGGGCTTGCTTGTTGGCGCTGGTGGTGCGCTACAGAGCGGTGGCCCGGCGTCGCTGCTCATTGGATTCGGCGTTATTGGTAGGTTACAGCAGCAGCTATGGCTTAGCTATTTATCATACCATTTTTATAGTTTGAGAGTGAAAGATGACGAGCTAACAGGTTTCATTCACAGGCATAATTGCATTCTCCATCATGCAGTCCCTCGGCGAAATCACAACCCTCTACCCCGGCGGCGGCGCCTTCATCTCCCTCGCCGAGCGATTCGTCGATAAATCCTTTTCCACCGCCGTCGGCTGGAACTACTTCATCATCTGGGTTTCTGTCTTGGCAAACGAGTACAATGTCATCTGCAGCATCCTGACGTACTGGGTCCCGCAGGTGCCCATCTGGGCCTGGTTTCTGATCCTCTGGACCGTCTTTATGGGCTTCCAGCTTTTGGGAGTTGAAGCCTTTGGTGAGGCTGAGTTTTGGCTAGCCCTGTTCAAACTGGTTGGATTAACGGCGTTTTTCATCTTTGCCATCATTTACGCAGCGGGCGGCCTCATTGGCCAGTCGGAGCCCCTGGGCTTTCGGTATTGGCACGATCCGGGAGCGTTTAACAACCACGGCTTCCGCGGTGTGGCGGTCGTCTTTATCTTTTACTCGACGTTTTACGCTGGTGTCGAGTCGGTGGCTGTCGCTGCTACCGAAACTCGTAACCCGGGTGTTGCAGTCCCTCAAGCCATTCGTCAGATCTTTTGGCGCATCATCTTTGTCTACATGGGTTCTGCGCTCTTCTTTGGAATTACATGTCCTGCCAATGCGCCCGGTCTGGCGGGCAACGAAGACCCTAACGCGAAAGCCCTCCAGAGTCCCATGACTATTGCGATTCAAAAGGCAGGCTGGGAGAATGGAGTCCACCTGATCAATGCGTTTATCTTGATAACGTGTTTATCGGCCATCAACTCTTCCATCTACATTGGCTCGAGAACGGTGCTGTACATGGCGCAGTCGGGCAAGGCGCCGCGATTCTTGGGCCGTGTCAACAAATGGGGTGTCCCCGTCTGGGCCATTCTCCTCACCAATGCGTTTGGTGCGTTGTCCATGATGAATGTGTCTGTTGGTGCGAAAAAGGCATACGGATACATTGTCAACTTGTCTGGTGTCAGCACGTTCTTGGTCTGGGCAGCAATTAGTCTCATGCACATTCGCTTCCGCCGCGCCTGGGCAACACAAAAGCGTGATGTCAATGAGCTTCCCTTCCAGAGTGTTTTTTATCCGTACATTGCGTATTTTGGACTGGCGGCCAACATCTTTCTGGCTCTTGTGCAGGGCTGGACTACGCTGTCCCCGTTTGTCGCAGGCGACTTTGTCGATGCGTATATCCTGTTGCCTCTTTTCGGTGTGATTTATATCGTCTGCAAGCTTCTCTGGAGAGGAGAAGATCCGCTCAAGAGAAGCTGGGATATGGATCTTGACAGTGGCCGTCGGTTGGATCTGGATAGAAAGGCTGGCGATGGATTGGATGGTGGTGAGCCAGCCAAGGTTTCTGCTTGGAAAAAGATATGGACTAGTTTGTAAGGGAGAGGGAGGACAATTGTCGTATATACACAATATTTTATATGTAGAAAGTAGATAGGCATTTCCATGGTATGGGCTCGTAGTAACGAGTTTGACGCAGGCGTTGGGCAGTAGGCCAGCGCAAGAGCACAAGAGATACATATTTTCATGTTATAAAATCGTACGCATGGTTTAACCTTGATCCCTGATATTTCGGTTATTTTCTTACATTTATTTTTCGCCGATGGCTTACTTGGACTTGGTCACCGTTTCTAGTGCGGATCGTGCCCTGTTAGCGCTGTAGCTAGCAACTACCCCCGCTGCGATGCCCGCCACGATGGCCGCTAGGTTACAGTGGAGGCCGCCTCCCCACAGCGGCTCTCGCTTCCGAAAAGGCGACGCGCCTCCTTGTGACGGAAGCTGGCCACGCAACTTTCCACTCTCCCCTCGCATCATCACCGCCCACGACTTCGCCATCGCCATCACCGTCCCCTCTGCTGCCTACATGGAAAATTAGACGCTTATATAATAGGGAAAGCAGCCATCTCCTCTACTAATAATACTACAACCACGACTCCTCCCACCGCCACCGCAACAGCAGCTGATGAGCTTTCTCGACACTTTCTCGATAGTCGCAACCACCACCACCACCACCACATCTACACACACATGCTTCTCTCGCACCAACGCAATTAATTCAGCGGCCACCGTGTTCCGCCGCCGCCGCGTGAATGCCGCCTCTAAACCCCTTCCTGGCCGCCTTCTTCAAGAGCCCCATCCCCAGCCAGTGTACGCCCGTCCACCATTTTGTCCTCCTCGTCCCCAGCACCGATGTCCTCCTTACCCACCGCGAGACCGACTCTGGCGCCTCCAACCGAGATGTTATAGCTTCAGAAGACTTTCTAGCCAGCCATGTGCTGCGCATACCTCCGTCTGGCGCCATGGGCGCTGGTAAGGACGGGGGCCACACGCTGCGGGATATGAAGGGGAAGGCAAAGCCCTTTAATACATTCAACAGCAGAAGCATAATCATGAAGGATTCTTTTATATACACTAATAAAGGTATGTATACCTATATTTATTAGTGACGCAGCTTCTAATTGCCACAGGCTTCAAATCACTTGCGCAGGCGCAAATCCTCAACGATGCCACCTGGTACCCCGACGTCTTCGAAGCGCGGCCGTGGCTAGTATACTACATATCGAAACCTTTAGTTGGCACATGGGAGGAAGTCAAAATTATTCCGGCAGTGCTCCCTGATCCGACAAAACCGAGACCCCCCTCCGAAAAGACGTCGCGACTCAAGCCCGAATCCTCCGACACTCACCCGAAGAAGAAGGACATTAACAGCTTCCACGAGCTGCTCAACAACTTCCCCATGATTGCGCGACAGATGCAGCCGGGGCTGGAGAGCTTGTTCAATGAGTTTACCCAAGTCTTTCAGAAGCCGTTACCTCCGCCGCCCTCAGCAATCGAGATTCCCGATCCGAGACCAGATGGGCCCATCACCATGGCCATGAAGCGAGCCCGATCGAATAGCATGAGCATGATTAATACAAGTCAAGACAACCATACTGAGTTGCCCGTCATGGAAGACTTTTTCGCCGAGGACGATGAGGATATTATGCGAGCGTCTCTCGAGACGGCCGTCACGACCGCCATTGATCTTTTCCAAAACGTGGATAAACAGCAGCTGTCGTTGCTAGGAGCTACTACCGATCTAACAGGACCACTGGTAGAAAAGCTCCTCGAAAGATACATTACCGAGAATATACACCACTTACTCTTTGCCAAGCTCTGCTCGCTGCGTCGACCAGAGGACTTGGAGCTAGAGGCCAAGATTCGCCAAATGGAGCATATTGACATTTCGCAGCTTGGTCTGAGCATTGATGGCGGCCTCAAAATGAAGCATGATCTCATTATTCAGCTGGGACCTGCCATTGAAGAGTTCAAAAAGCTCTCCAATGCTATGAGCCCTCAAGAAATGCTGGATCTCTTGCTGGCCACTATGAAGGCAGCCTCCCAACTCACCAACCCCTCCACAGAAGAGGATCTAAACAGCATGTCGGCGGAAAAGGCCATCATGACAGTCAATGCGGACACATTGGTATCTCTCCTGCTCTACGTCGTCATCCGCGCACAGATCAAGAACCTCCACGCCCGTGTTAGCTACATTCGCAACTTCATCTTTGTAGAAGACGTCGACAGTGGCGAGATGGGGTATGCGCTCAGTACCTTTGAGGCTGTGTTGACATATCTTGTTAGCGACTCTGCTGGACTGCGCCGCGCGAGCCGTAGAAACAAGGCGCTCTGGGATGCTACTAAGAAGGCGGACATGGACGAGCTTCGCAAGATTATGGAGCCATCAAACGGAACAAACGGAACCGAGGAGCGTTCCATGCACGATTTATACGACTCATCCACCTCGAGCCGCCGAAATTCGGTATCCTGGGGTCTCTCCAACGGATCGCGGCGGTCGTCCTTTACAGCACCAAGCCAATCGTCAATGGGATCCGGGCTTAGTCACGTCTTTCCGTTTCAAAGCACCGACTCTGACGATTCTGACCAAGCGCCATTTAAGCGAAAGATTAAGAGAGTATCCATGGATACACGGAGTCTTTCCAGCTGCTCTGAAATCTCCTTCCACTCACGGACTGGTAGCATTGGCACTATTGGCAGCGCATTCGAGGGCGACATTTCTGTTGAGAGACTAGCTCAAACGAGTGACTCGTTTGGCGAGTCGGTGCTTATGATTGCCGTGCAGAACCAGCATCCCAACGTCTTGCGATATCTGCTCTCACTCCGCGGGTACTTTCCCTGGGAATCTGTTGTAGAGGATATGAACAATGAAGACACTACGTTGCTGAGTGCCGCCGTGCAGCTTGGGAATATGGAGATTGTTGAGATGATTCTGGACTATCTTACTGCTGGCTCGACGCACGAACAGCTGCTGCAGTATATCCAGAAGCAAGACATCTGGGGCCGCAGCGTTGGACACTACCTTTTTAATTCACCACCCCTCATTACACGTATTGGACAACTCATTTCTTGGAAACAGCGCGACAAAAACGGGCAGACACCACTGTTTGCTCTCTGCCGATCATATGATCATACAGATTACATTGAGATGGTTGAGTCTGGTCTTAAGGCCGCTAGAATCGCGCAGGGAGACGGACTGCCTCTCCACGTCGATCAGCATGTGGACGGCAAGGGAAACACTCTTCTACACATTATGAATGATCCACGTCTAGCCTACAAGATTTTGCATCAATGCGACGTGGACGTCAACTTTAAGAACAACAAGCGCTTCACGCCGCTCATGGTGGCCAGCAAGTACGGCCGATACGACATGGTGCGGTCCCTTTTCGCCGATCCGAGGGTAGACCTGGCAGCGCGTGAAGCAAGGGGCCTCACGGCGGTAGAGCTAGCCAAGGACGAGGACGTTCGTAACAAGATTGACGACCTTGGCCTGTTTAGCATGCCCGCAGCCGAGGACGGCAGGATCACGGGCGTCGTGCGCGGCTTCTTTGTTGAGGATGGGACGGTGCGTCTTGTTCTAAAATCGGCTGCGCCCACGGATCACGACAGCTATACAGTTACGACAAGCAGACGTTCGCAAAGCGATTTTGAGCAGCTAGGCCGACTTTTGGCAGAGGAGAATCCAGCGTCGTGGATCCCCACCATGACAGAAGTACGGTCGCCGTTTCAGCTACCCTCGAAACCGTCGAGGTCACTGTTGCGAGATATGCAGTTACGTGCAGACTGGTTTATGCGTATTATGCTGGCACATCCGACGCTTGCACGCCACGAGATGCTCTGGGAGTTCTTTCTTGTGCCGGAGCTGCAGCTGGGTACCATGGAGCAGCGATCCAAGCTCAAATCGGAGGCACGCCGGGACCGAGTGCGCGAAGAGTTTGAGCCGGTGCGCGACGTGCGCGAGGTGGAACAGTTTGTCAACCATGCTAAGGAGATGGTGCGCAGCGTCAACCACGCAACAAAGAGCGTCACGCGGCGGGCCAACAGTATTGGCTTGGCCGCAGCCGATCTCTACGAATCGTCAGTGCTGCTGCACCGCGCCGTCGACACGCTGCCGTTCTTACCAAAGAGCTATCTTATGGGACTCGACATGTATGTCGCCTCGCTGGCCCCAACCACAGCAAACCCTATTGCCACACTACACTCGACGCTGCTGGCCACGCAGTCTACTATCCAAGCACTCCTTTCAGCTTTGTCGCGGCCCACGACAATCATTGGCCACATCTCTAATGCTAAGCGGGAGGCGGACCGTAATGACGCCGCAGCTGGGAAACCGACTCGCTGGCCGCTGGGACTCTTGGATGATACGCGCCAGCGGATGCACGATGAGAAGGAGAAGAAGGCACTCAAGTGGCGTGAGGAGAGCGAGTATCTGAGTCGCGAGCTGAGGTATACCCAGCAGACGGTGGCGGGTGAGCTTGCTGGTTGGCAGAGCATGCATGATGATATGGGGAGGAGGGCTCTGAGGGAGTATGCGAGGGGAATGGTGTTGACGGAGAGGATGCGACTGGAGGGGATGGAGAGGGCGTTGAGAACGCTGCGTGAGGGCGGGCCATAACAAAAACCCCTCAAACCAAAATAGACTTTGAGTGTCTACATTTCTTGTCACATAGCAATAGCGCAGCGAGCATATACACAATTGAATCATACACTGGCGCACACGACGCCAACCAATTTCAACATGCGCTTATTTCTTTACCGTGCCTCTTACACAGTGAACAAAGTAATGAATATATAGCAACGCCATTTTACCGGGAATAAAGAATGCGCAGTGCCAGTGCAAGTGCCGGATCGCGCCACCAAGCCAACGATGCAGCTTGGCTCCATTCGGCCGGCTGCGGGGTTGCATATAAACCAACAGCAGCTATGTCTTTGCAATCCCAACTCGCTAATTATAACTCCTACCATCGGTTACTTTAAAATTCAACTTGCTATGAAGGCCGCACGGTACTACGGTAAAGAAGATATTCGAGTGGAAGAGGTCCCCGAGCCGACTGTCCAGCCCGGCCAAGTCAAGGTGTGTCCATCTCTCTTACAAACTTACACATATCCAGTATTCCACGCTGCAATTCCATTCTCCTTTCGATTGCCACAGCTTGTAATCGACAAATATTGTCAGTGCTTTTACTGACAGGTTAGATCCGCCCCTCACACGTCGGCATCTGCGGCACCGATCTCCACGAATACCTCGGCGGCCCCAACTTCTGCCCCGTCCACGCACACCCTCTCTCCGGCGAAACCATCCCAATCACGCTCGGCCACGAATTCAGTGGCATCATCACCGAACTCGGCCCTGGCGTCACCGGCCTCTCTGTCGGCCAAGGCGCAGCCATCCAGCCCACGCTCTCCTGCGGCTCATGCCCCGCATGCGACGTACAGGCCCCGAATGTATGCCATAGCGGCGGCTTCGTCGGCCTCTCAGGCGGTGGTGGTGGACTCAGCGAGGCCGTCTGTGTAGATGCGAAGCGTGTGTTTGCCCTGCCGGATGGGTTTGGGCTGGACCTCGGGGCGCTGGTTGAGCCACTGGCGGTGGCGTGGCATGCGGCGAGTGCGGCACCGCGCATGGATGGGGAGAGTGTGGTGTATATTGCGGGCGGGGGGCCGATTGGGCTGGCGCTGATTCTGTGTCTCAAGGCTATGGGTGTGACGAGGGTGGTTACGGCGGAGGTGGCGAGTAAGAGGCAGGAGTTTGCGAGGGAGTTTGGGGCGATGAGGGTGGTGAATCCGGCGAGGGAGGATGTGGTGGCGGTTTTGAAGGAGGTTACGGGTGAGAGAGGGGTTGATGTAGCGTTTGATTGTGCGGGTGTTCCTGCGAGGTATGTGCTGTATTTGGTTGTGTGTGAAGAGAGTTGGTGAGAGTGGTGATGTGGCTAACGGTATGTAGCATCAAGTCGGTATGCGAGTCTGTCAAGACAAGAGGCGCCATTGTGAATGTCGCGATTTGGGAGAGGGAAGTCCCGTTTAATCCCAACTGGCTGACGTTCAAGGAGAGCACGTATACGTCTGTACTGGGGTATAATGCGGAGGATTTCCAGGCGATTGTGGACCGGTTGCGCGATGGTGAGTTTTACCTGCGTGTTTGTGAGTAAGAGATAGTAGAGGGTGGAAACTGACGTTATGTTAGGCACTATTCAGCCGGGGCAGATGATTACGGCAAAGATCAAGTTGGAGAATTTGGTGAAAGAGGGCATTGAGGCGCTGGTGACGGATAAGGATAGCCATGTGAAGATTCTGGTCGATATGGCTGCCAGTTGAGGGCAAACAGAGTGGAGGGGAGGTCAGGGACGGAATAGAGTAGCGTGGAGTTGAGTCGAGTTGTTTGGGCTTTACAAGAAGAGAGTTTTCTATATTGAGAATAAGTTGCTTGGTAGGTGAAGCGTTTGTTGTTGCGGGATTTCTCTGGAGTGTAGCGTTGTATAATGGTTGTGTCTTGAACAAGACCTGTTGCTATACATACTCAATTATGAATAACATGGCCATGTAAATTCATTTTCATCGTCTTGGGGTTACTTGACGTTCTATTTACACTATTTATGTTGCAACTTGCTAAGCTTGGGCCGAAATTCTAGCTTGTGTTTGATAACACTGTGCCATCAAACAAATAGGTACACGAAGACTATTGACTCTCACTCATTCAATTAACCGCAAAAACACATACTTTTAGTTATAAAATAACCCAATTGGTTATTATTAAATAACTCCAAATAACTCTAAATTTCTCATATATACCCTCATATTTTATTTCCATGTTGTATACCCCTAACTGCTCAATTCGTTTGCACCGTCCATGGTATAGGGTGGCTGGCTCTCACCGGGGTTAGGGTTATGTGGTGATGTCCCCCCCCCCCTTTGTACAACCGCTGCCCGCGACACGCAGCTATTTTTAGTCCACCGCATTATTACGCGTCCAATTTATTCTATTTCACTTCCAGGGTTGCCATCTCTTTGACTTGACTCGTCCATTCACTGCTGCTCATGGACAATCTCATTGTCGGACTTGTCTGAAACAGCCGCCCATTCCCACCAATCAGGCAGCCCCCTCCGCCCTCCCCATCTGACGACCAAATTGCAAATCCGTTTTCTTCTCATCTTCCGTAGAAAATTCTTCACTGTTACTGCGCTACTGCAAGTACAACACGCAACAACACGCTGCTTCTCTGCACGCGCCACGCTACGCGCCACAGCTTCCTTTCTTCAGCGCGAAGCGTGGCGCAGAACACGCTCGGCGCGTGCTGACGCACCAATCACACCGTCGCATCGCCTACGCGCCCGCGTGGGGAAGCTTCGGCGGGGCAAAACGACCAGAAGCCCAGCGCGGGCGGTTCGCGTGAGGCAGTGCTGCTTCAGCGCTCTAGGGCCTCGTATACAGTGGGTTCATGCGCTGAAAATGGTCCCATCCGAGCCCAAACTCCCCCTCCAGGCTCTAAGCGCCGGGCTGCCCAGCGCGTAGGGAAATTGCACTTTCATACTGTAATACGTTAGTACCTCCCGGCGTAGCAGCAGCCGCCCGCTGGAAGCACAGCAACGGCGTACCTGACTAAGATTAAGGTTTTACGGGCGCTGCTGTGTGTGTGTTCTATTCTGGTCTCCGCGGTGGGACGAACCATTTCACAAGGCGCTTAGAAAGTGGCCGGCCGGCTGTTCTATTCCAAAAGAAAAAAAGAAAAAGAATCAATTGTGCCATTCATTCATTGACACGAATATACCACGGGTAGTGTAGTTAGTTCACGTCGTCTTTCCTTTCGACACGACTTACACGCAGACGCGCCAACGCGGCACGTGCATGCAGCTGGCAGGGCAGAGCAGACACCTGGCGCAGCTGGCGGTGCCCGCGTCGTGGGTTTCCCAATTAGGCAATCAGGGTTACAGCGGCGCACGACATGCCGGCATCTGACTGGCTCTCGAGGGGACATCGGTAGCGGGGCTTGCTTCTAAAAATGAGTCAACCGTTGCCGCTGGGCCTGTAGATGGCCGCCTGGGGCCGACGTGTCGAGACGGCGAATCAGAGGCGTGCTGACGCTACTGCAGGCAGAAGAAGCCCCTGCTGCCGCTGTGTGTACTGCCGGATGCGTATGCGGGTAATGTTTCGTTTCCTTCTGCCGCTAGCTAGTGTAGAAGAGATAGATGGACCAGATCCACCGCCGCGGCACTGACGGGTTGCGTTGCGTGCAGTGCACGTACACGAGATCGCCCTGCGCGTCCCGGACGTGCAACTAGAACAGACAGCTCTGCATCGATGCTGCGCATAATCCATGGGCCGCGGCCAGGTTCCTTGGACTGGACCATTCTCAGCCTCTCGTCTCGTCGAGGATAAGAAGCTTCGCTTGTCCACCCACACACAAGTCTCTTTTGCTTTTACTTGTCCACCATCACTCTTGAGTCGTGCTTTCTTCCCACGGCCACTTAATTCCCTCTTTTTTTTTTGTTTGTTTCGGTTTGCTGGTCAAGCTTTTTGTTTGTTTTTTTTGTGCCGGCCACAAAGTATATACACATACATTGCATCTGGAGCAGGATCTCCCCTTACAACAGCAGCCGCAACCATGTCCGCGTACGTTTTTTCCCTCTCCAACAAATCAACGTTGGCAAGTTAACTAACTGTCAAACAGTCTGGCAGTCGACGCCCAGTTCCCCTACTTTGACCAGGCGGCTCTCATGAACGCCTACTTCCCCTTTGACCAGTCCCTCCTTCAGCAGCAACACCAGCTTCACCAACAACCCCCCTCGCCACCCGTCGAACACACTCGCCTCGCCACACCTCCCAGGACATCCACGCCCATCCGCCAGCATGGCGCCCTCTTGCTGCCTCGCATCCGGCCCCAGGACCAGAACCTCGGCGAGGCCGTCGCTGTTGCTCCCATGCCTACAAAGAAGCGCCGCTCCCCTGCTGGCATCACCAAGAAGAGACCCGCTGCCCATGTCCGCTCCAAGACGAACCCGGATGCTCTGCAGCAGATGGCCATGAACATGGCCTCGTCGTCGGTCTACATGACGCCTCCTCCGGCCGATGTCGACCACCAGCTGCTCAATGCCAACATCAACTTCCAGCACCTCTACCAGCCTCTTCCCTTTGACTTTTCCCGCCGCGCCTCGTCGGTGTCTTCGCTTCCCGCTGAGTCTATGCTCCCCGTCGAGCCTGTCGACTACCGCCAAATGTCCCTTGATGTGTCCCAAGACATGTACTCGTACAGCCTCCGTGACGACTCGCCCTTCAGCGTCGAGTCTACTCCCGACCCTACCCCCTCTACTACCCTCCTCTCGTACCTGAGCGCCGCGAACCCTGCTGCTTCTCTTGTCCGAAGCATCTCGTTCCCCATGCGTGATCCTACCATCAAGCACTTCTGGTGGGACATTCGTGCTGTCCGCCCCTGGGCCGAGTTCTCCCTCGCCAACATCATGGCTCTTCCTGGCGCTTCTGATCTCTTGTCTACGCCCGTCCCTGCCCCTCTCCTCCCTACTACTCCCGTCATCTCTCGCCATCCTGAAACCGAGGCCGCTCTCCATGGCATTTACGCTTCTTCCTACCTCCCCAAGCTCAATGCTGCTTTGGCTCTCTCCTCCTCCCGCCCTATTCAGCTCCATGTCCCTGCTCGTCTGCCCGCCTCTGTCAACGATCACGTCTTTGTTGCCAGCGCTGCTCATGACCCTGCTACTGCTGCTGCCATGTTTGGCGGTAAGCCTTCTGCTCGTGTTGTCGGCATTGTTCGCTCTTTTGACCGCTTCAACACTGGCATGCGTGCCGAGGGCAACATTAAGCGTGTCGAGTACCTCCGTGGCCTGGCTGCTATTCACCACGCCATGCGCGAGCACAACTGCCGCTACGGCTTCATCCTGACTGAGGTCGAGCTCGTTGTTGTCCGCAACGGCACCGAGAACACTCCCTTCTTTGGTGAGCTTGACATTGCCTCTGTCCAGCTCGGTGTCGCTTCTGTTGACCCCACTGTCGACAATGCCACCCTCACTGCTTGCCTTGCTCTCTGGGGTCTCTGCCAGATTGCCAGCGACTCTGCTGTCAATGTTGGTCATGCTCCCTACATGGCCGAGATTGGCGCCCCTGCTGAGGGAACTCGCCGCAAGGCCAGAGCCCGCGAGTCTTGGATCCCACAGCCACAGCTTGCTGAGAAGAGAGAGGCCAAGAGAAGCCGCGGCTGGATCTGGCCCGAGGATCCTATTGGCAAGAAGGAGGTTGGCAAGCGAGGTGTAAAGTACAGCAACCCTTGAAACAGAACAAGTTGTTGAGGAGACTCTGGTAGTCTCAGGTGTTTTTTATTCTCTAATCTCATGTATCGATGGTGGATGATTTCATGGTCATGATGAAACGATTCTCTATTTTGTTTTGTTTTATACTGTTATAGACGGTGCTTTATTGCAAGAAAGAAAGAAAATATTAAATAATACCCAACACTTTATCTTACAATGTCTTTTGTCTGCCCCTTACTGGGAGGTTAGCTAAGGTTAGGTAGTAGTGTATACTGAGGAATTATGGATATAGGCTTCTTTAGACAATCTACACGCTGTCCATAGCAAGATGACACAAATGTTTGCTAGAGAGAGGTTGATTAAAGTGTAATGTATTGCTATATACTACGTTATGGCCGCAGCCAGTCATGCCCCTCGGGGTTCTATGCGCCGTGTCCCATTGACAGTTTCTGTTTCCATTCCCATCGTTAAAAAATAATCGTTCCCCAACACTGCCGGGACTTTTAGTTGTGATTTGATTCCATTCATATGTTCCGTATTTTACTTGTTTTTGCTTTCATTATGTAGGAAAGTGCCCGCTTTAGTTCTTGGCGGCACCGGCCTTGATGACGAGAATATCACCATCCTCGACAACGTAGTCCTTGCCCTTGGTCATCATCTTGCCCTGGGCCTTGACCTCGGCTTCGTCGCCGAGCTCCTTGATGGCGCTAAAGTTGTAGACAATGGCCTGGATAAAGGTCTTCTCAAAGTCGGTGTGGATGACACCGGCGGCCTGAGGAGCCTTGGTACCGTTACGGATGGTCCATTGACGGACCTCATCGGGACCGGATGTGAAGAAGCTGCCAAGCTGGAGGGTCTTGCGCATCTGGAGAATGACCTTGGGCAGGATAGATTCGGCACCGACGGCCTTGCACTCCTCCTTGGCGGCCTCTTCGGTCTCGAAGCGGGTGAGACGCTCCTCGAAGGAGACGGAGATGGGGATGATGGGGTCGCCCTTGGCGTTCTCGTTGACCCACTCAACAATCTTGGGAAGATGCTTGTTCTTCTTGCGGATGTAGTCCTTCTCAGACAAGTTGACGAGGAAGACGACGGGCTTGGCGGACAGGAGGAAGAGAGGGTTGATGACCTCGACCTGTGCGTTGCTTGTTAGCTGTTGTCCTTGATTGGATTATTTGAAAACCAAGACGGATAACGCATGTTGTTTCAGAACCAAATTCTTATCTCATGCACCTCAAAGCGTTATTAAATAGAGGCGCTCGAAGAGCTGGGTTTAAAGATCAGGCCACTGGCCTTTTATCATCATAAAAACATGGCGGAATCCGTCTAGAGTTGGTTGAAAGGAAAATGGAAAACGTACCTCCTTGGGCTGCCAGTCACCCTTGCGGACATCCTTGCCGTCCTGGAGCCAGGCAAGAATCTTCTCAATGATCTCCTGCTCGGCGCGGGCCTTCTTGAGCTCCAAGCTCTGGCCACCCATGCGGGTCTTCTTCTTCTGGTTCTCGAGAGCCTTCTCGACAAACTCGATATCCTTCAGACGAAGCTCCTCGCTGATGATGTCAAGATCACGGGTAGGGTTGACATCACCCTCAATGTGGATAATCTCGGCATCGTCGAAGCAGCGGACGACCTGGAAGATGGCATCGACGGCACGGATGTGAGACAGGAAAGAGTTACCGAGACCAGCACCGGTAGAAGAGCCACGGGTAAGACCGGCGATATCGTAGACGGTCAAGTTGGCGGGAACGCGGGACTTGGGCTTGTACTTTTCGCAGAGCCAGTCGTAGCGCTCATCAGGGACGATAACGCGAGCCTCTTCAGGGTCGATGGTAGCGTAGGGGAAGTTCTAAAGAAGAAGAAAAGTCAGCAAAAGTAAAATTGGGCGACAGGGATCTTTATATAGGGGCCCACGAACAGCAGGGTTGCCAAGATCACACTTGGTAATTGCCTGGAAGAGCGTGGACTTGCCGACGTTGGCGAGACCGACGATACCACTCTTCAAGTTGTTGCCGGGACGACCCAGAGGGATCTTCTCCTCGACGACGGGCTTCTTGGGAGGCATTTTCTGTCTTGATTTCGCGTAGCCGCGGGTTTGCTGGAGGGGTTTGTAGGTGGTAGTAGAGCGGGAGGATGCTGCGATAGCAAATGCGGCAGGCCGGGCTGCGCAAGAGGTTAAAGCGAGGTTGGAAGAAGAGAAGAGAAGAACAAGATGCCTGGGAGAAGACGTCTTGGACCGAAGGAGGCTGTTGCTAAGAAGCGTACAGCCTAGAGAGGGGTATAAAGAAGAAAAAGGGGCGAATTGGACGAGGAAACGTCTGTTGAAAAATTACCCAAAGACTTATTAAAAAGCTACAAGGTAATATTGACAGAGACGACGGAAAAACAGAGCTTGACGTCTGTTGTTTTTCTGGTGCAACAGAAAAGGGAAAAAAAGGAAGCTGTAGATGTGGACAGCGGGAGGGGTGCGGAAGAAAATGTGTGTGGTTTTTTTTTTTCGCGGGGCTTCCCCACTAAAGCTGGAATTGCAGGTTTGTCGGGTAAAGACTAGTTCCGGCTTCCGACGCTGGTGACGTCTGTGGGCCTGGATGGGGGATTGTGTTTTAGTGGGATGCTGTGCTGAAACGCCTGCTAAACCTGGGTCGCCACAGCAGGCCACAGCAGGCCACAGCAGGCCACAGCAGGCCCCAGTGGGCTGACGGCAAGGTTTACAGCAGGCTTTACAGTGGGTGGCTACTCGGCTGCGAACAGCTGCGGCGGCACCGGGTTGTGACATGCAACCTGGGCGTTTTTGGGGCCCGTGATAACCTCCAAAACAAGCTTTGGCTGCGCTTTGTTGTTTCTCATCTCCATCACCCGTCGCAGATTTTTTTGTCGACTGTATTTTTTAGGCGTATTTTTGGCGAATCTGTTGCTCCATCTCACGACATTAATTATTTGCACAATCAACCCTTTGCTCTACGACATTGCCCGACTTCGTCATCGCGAGCTGACGAAGACGGCCAACGCAGCTTGCCGAGACATCCAGAGACACAGACACATCAGACGACGACATGTCGACTAAGAGTCAGCGTTCGTCGACAAATCGACACAGGTCCACACTGTCGCTGCAAAAGACGGAAATCGTCATTAATGTCTACGATCTTCTCCAGGTTTGTTCCTCACAGCTTGTTTGGCTCGACCATTGCTGACAAGCATAGCCGTCGCGAATGACATCCGCGTTATGGACCGTCGGATCCTCGCTATTACACTCGGGAGTCGTCATCAACGGCAAGGAATACGCCTACGGAGGCCATGATAAGCGCGGCCTGACGGGCGTCTACTGGACAAAGCCCAAGACGGAACCCCCGGGCGGCCGGTTCACCTACGAGATCCTGCACGGCTTCACCCTCGCCACGCCCGACGAAATCGAAGCCACGCTACAGCTGGCGTCCAACGAATTTCTCGGACCTTCTTATAATCTTCTGACAAAGAACTGTAACCACTTTACCTCGTTTCTCTGCGAGAAGCTGACAGGAACCCCTGCACCAGCTTGGCTGAACCGTGCCGCGAGAATAGGCATCATGTTCCCTTGCCTAGTGCCCAAGGCGTGGATCGAAGCTCCTGAGTATGACGATGTGGAGGGCGAGCTACTTGAGGACGAAGAGAGCGCGGCAAATGAGCGCTCAAGAATGCTGACGTAGAGTTGCCACAAGCCAAAGCCACCCACACTAAGGAGAAGAAGGAAGAACGATACCCGATACCGCGTTGCGTTTACTGTATTTTGTCATTGGATTTTGTACGGCGCCACTGATTTTGTTGCATTTGAATTGGTTTGGATCTGTTTACTAGATATACGCTCACACATTTTTGTTGTTACGGCGTGGCTCAGTCACAAAGCTAGCTCGTCTCAGTCATTCGAAAATCTTGTCAATGAAATATGAAATATGTATTGTACAATTGATATCTTGCCTCGTCTTCGACCCTTTTTAATACAAAATGCGCCCAAGAAAAATGATGATTGCTAATTTACAGACGTCTGGGCTTCTTGCTCCTTGTTCCGGCAAACTTGATGCGCGTCGAGTCCGTCACGCGCACAATCTTGTCGCGCAGCACCTTGCCTTCAGGGCTCAACAGCACCTTCATGGCCGCCTCACGGCCCTGGCCGAAGCCGCGCATGACAAGCTCCAGCTTCTTCATCTTCATGGGCCAGCCATTGTGCACGAGACGCTCCAGGACGTACTTGCCCAGCGAGTAGGCAGCGTCAAAGGTGCCGCGACGGGCATTCTTGAAGCCAATGTTGCCGCAGGACAGCGAGATGATGGCCTCGCGGTTGGGCTTTGTGCAGGAGATGTGCGTGTTGTGCTTGTGCGAGTAGATGTGCAGATGGTACGGCTCGTGGTCTTCCGTCTTCTTGCTGGGCTTGCTGCCGTCGTTGCGAAGCATGCTGGTGTCGACGGCGCTGGATTTCGAGAGGGCCTGGAAGACGGCACTTTTGCTGAGGTCCTCAAGTGATGAAGGGGGCTCCTTGGCTGCCATTGGGCTGTAGATGCTCTCGAGGAAGGATTCCGAGTTGGATGTCTTCTTTTCTTCGCATCGTGTCGGTGTCGAGGAGATGTGGCGGACGACGATGGGAGTTGTCGCGGTGCAGGTTCGGCGGGATATCGACTGCGCCATCAGGCGAGTCGTTAATGAGCGACTCATTTTTTATTTGTGGTTGGGTTTTAATGCAGCAATTAAAAATGCTGGAGAGAGGCTGTTTTGCTAGTAGTGGTGTTTTCGCCCCGTGCCGTAGCAGCAAACCCCGAAAGGGGATTTTTTTTAAGCCGCCGCAGTTTTGCCGCGCTCTCAGGTACAACCGGCACCCGAGAAGCCCATAAAATTCCTTTTCCTTCCACCACGCTTTTCAAGGTCAGGCAAATCCCCCTTTGTCGAACCGCATCTGTTTTATTAGTATTATTTATTTTATTTGTGTATTTGCAAGAGACCATTCATCATGAGCTCTCTTGTGCGAGGTGCCGCTGTGTCCCAGGGCTCAATTCGCCTTGCTCACAGTTATGGCGCAAACCCTGCGTATAGGAGGCTCGCATCGCAGCTTGCCACCGCTGGCCTGCGCACCAGAACCCAATCCGCATCTCCCACCATCTCCTCGACATTAACATCCCAGTTCCTTCCTTCCGACGTCCAGCGCACAATGGCCCGCGGCCTGTCCGCACGATTCCTGCACACGACCGGCCGAGCCTTACAAGACCAAGCAAAGCCCAAGGAGGAGGCGCCCAAGAAGGACGGCGCCGCTGCCGCTGCTGAAGGCGAGGCCGAGCAGAAGAAGCCCGAAGAAGAGGGCGAGAAGAAGACGGAGGAAGACGGCGAAAAGAAGTCCGAGGAGGGCGAGGGCAAGGACGGCGAGAAAAAGGAGAAGAAGGACGACCTCCCTCCTCCCCCACCACACGGCGACAAGACCCCGTGGCAGGTTTTCATGGAGACCATGAACACGGAATTTCAGGCCTCCAAGGAGTGGAACGAGTCGACCAAGCAGATTGGCGCTGCCGCCACGGAGTTCTCCGAGAGCGAGTCCGTCAAGCGTGCTCGTGAGGTCTACGAAAAGTCCACTGGCGCTGTCTCCTCTGTTGCTGGCGCCGCCGTCAAGTCGACAGCTGGTGCCATTGGCAAAGGTGCCGCCTGGACCTGGGACACGGAAGTGGTCAAGGGCGTCCGCAAGGCTGCCAACGCCACTGGTGATGCCCTCGACACCGCCACCAAGCCTCTCCGTGAGACCGAGGCCTACAAGAACGTCAAGAATGTCATTGACGACGGCAGCTCATCGCGCTACGGTGGCTGGACTGACAAGGCCGAGCGCCGCAAGAAGCGCGAGGCCATGGACAAGGCGCGCGGCGGCGCCCAAGTCTTCCAGGAGGATCCCGAGGCCGGTACCGGCGTCACATTGCACAAGGATGCCGCTTGGAAGGAGGCGTGGCGCGATTTCCGCGATTCCAACAAGTTCGTCCAGGGTGTTTTCAGCATGAAGGGCCGCTACGAAGAGTCGGAGAACCCTCTCATCTCGACTGCCCGCAGCATCACCGACCGCATCGGCGGCTTCTTTGCCGAGAACGAGACGGCCCAGGTCATCAAGCGCTTCCGCTCCATGGACCCCGCCTTCCAGGTCGAGCCTTTCCTCCAAGAACTTCGCGAGTACATGCTTCCTGAAGTCCTCGACGCCTACGTCAAGGGTGATACCGAGACGCTCAAGCTCTGGCTCTCTGCCGCCCAGTTTTCTGTGTATGAGGCCCTCACCAAGCAGTACCTCCAGGCTGGCATGAAGTCTGACGGCCGCATTCTCGATATCCGCAACGTCGATATTCTCCGCGCGCGCATCCTTGACCCCGGAGAGGTCCCCGTCTTTATTATCACCTGTCGCACACAGGAAGTCCACGTCTACCGCAACGCCAAAAGCGGCGAGCTGGCCGCCGGCATGGAAGACAAGGTCCAGCTGGTCACATATGCCATTGGTATCACCCGTGTGCCTGAGGACGTCAACAACCCCGAGACGCGTGGTTGGCGCCTGATTGAGATGCAGAAGAGTGGTCGTGACTGGTACTAGTCGAACAAACTGTAGCAACGACGAAATGGGGGTTGAAAATGCGGGGACGGCGAGCACGTGGCTCGTCTTGTGTTACTATGTATTGTATAATATTCTCAGCATGGCGTTTCGACATACTAAAAAAGAACGCCCCTATAAAACAGGCAGGAAAAATGGTTGGATGCAACAACAAACACCGCTCTTGGCGCTCCGTGGTTGGGCGTTTGTACTTTTTTTTATAATGAGGATAGAGGGTATTCTAATTTAACTATCACTAAAACTGTTACAATTTGATGTCATTATCATGCGTGTCCCGTGTCCGTGTCTATATACTGTGATTCGAATCGTCCCCTTCAGTCTGCTGCGAATTGATATGCTGCGCTCTACTCCTTCTCCTTCAACTGCTTTCTCACCTCCATCAGCGCCTTTCCCAGTAAATTCTGGCCCCAATCCGCGCGCACGGCATCTGCATGTTCTGCACGATACCCGATTCCCCATATATCATCATATGGACTCGCCTCGACAATCTCAGCGTCACCCGTCGCCAGGAGCTGCGCCTTGAGAGTCTCGTCGCGGAACTTGAGCATATTTCCCTCAAAGACGATTCGTTCGCGATTCGCCACCCATATGTCTTGGTCGAAGTTTTTGACTTTGCGCCCGAGAGACTTTACGTCGCGTGGGTGTTTGGCTGTGAGTGTGCGTGCGGCAATGGCTGTGTCGTTGAAGAGGATGGCTTTCTGGTACATCATGTAACTAAACAGATTAGTATGTAGGACTTGTAAAATAGAAAAGGGAAATGTACTGCTCAGCTGTCTTGTAGAATATCGAGGGATCTTTGTCGTCTGTGAATGGTGAGGCGAACCATTGAGAGAGGTAGCCGGTCTCTGCGACTGTTTCGCGCCAAAAGTACACGGGGGAGTTTTGATTCGACATTTTGATTGCCAATTGAGTTGATTTGAGTTTGGAGAGATGGAAGGAACATCTTTGGAGAAGGGACATGGTGGTTGGGTGTTATATCGGTGTTGCGGATGTGAGGCTGACAGGGCCGAGCGTGAACTGAACTTTGTGTGCCTCGTTGAGTCACTCGGCATCCCATCACCCCACAACGCGTGCATGGGATTTCTACGCAGATGAGAAGTATAAATTCAATTTTTAAGATTTATACTCGTCTGAATGGTAATATGAAGGAAATTTATGTCTTGTTTGCTCAAGTCGACGCCCACACTTGTGCATGCGCAGTCACGTAGCCGTAGCTGGCACGCTAGTTGATGGTTGCATCAGATCGTCATTTTGCATTGAGCGAGTCAATAAGCAAAATATTCCTACTAAAACGCCAGTCTGAATCTAAATAGACAATTGCATAGATTGTCCTGAATTAAGACGAGACTGTACGGATTGTGGCGCTTGGCCGACATTCATACTTGCAGTTTAGAAGTTGTGGTGGTGTTGATCGATTAATTCCCTTTGTGACTAGACTATTATGCTGCTATTTATTCTGACGGCTACTTTTGCCTATTGTTCCTAGTTCTAGAGACACAAATTCCAAAAAAATCTCTTCCAAGCTAGGCGATTATGATCTGTCGAATCCATCTAGCACCAAACCCTGATTTCTTGATTACCACTGACCTCCCGTCTTGGTAGCTAAACATGCAGGTATAGCTCAACATCGCCATCGTCATCTTCATATTTTGCATCTATAAATTCAATTGTAATCTTACTGCGTTTTAAGAACCGACCCACCTAGTCTCGTTGCTGCGTCTCAGGTGATCGAACCACAGTCTTCGTGAACTGAGGTAGACCCCTGGCCTTTGCATAATGTAAGGCAAGTAAGTCCCATCGACCGGACGGATTATTTATTCCGACGACACGAATGGACGGGGGAAGGAAGGTAAACCAGACATCTGTTGAAGCAGATGGGTATAGGTTATGGCCATGTTCGTAAATAACGATTGTCTCCAATCTCTTCAGACGTCTCAACGTCTTAATGGCTACCATGTCTTCCGTAACCCCATCGACACACCCCAGTAACCCTATTTCCTCGTCGTTCCATGATAGGCCGAGGAATTGCAGGTTGGGGGCGTGCTCTTCAATAATAGCCATTAGCGCCCCTGGCAAAACTATCCGACTGTGGTCGCTTGGAATCCAATGTTGCCAATAGACAAATTTGCGCAGATTTGGGAGGTGACTCAAGATATTCTTTAGCAGAGATTGAGAAAGCTCGCAAAATCCCAACACCAGTTCGGTGATGGATGTAGGGCCTAGCCCATATTTCATGCGTGATTCTGGTAGATGATGGAGGGTACACTTGCGTAGTTTCGGAGCAGACCGAACAATTTGCAAGTATAGGCTTAGTTTAGGAGCATAGAAGTCGTAACGGATGAAGACCTCTTCAAGGTTCCGAAACCCACGGCATAACTCAGCAGCCTTTTGCTGACCCATTTCGAAAGGGTCAATGCTGCAGTCTGTGCGAGCTACGCTAAGCTTTTTGATGTTCTTACATTTCAGAAGTGTGATGAATTCTAGCGCCCGAATGTATTCATCTGGATAGAGGAGATATATTTTCGGCTTTTCAGAAGAATCAAAACAGCTGATACCACACTCCTTTCAATAGATTGGACAAGGTTGAGGATAGGTTCGGAATACAGACCCGTGAGAGCTAGTCTGCAAAGTGACTTATGGTCAACAGGGAGGTTGATATGGGAATAAACCTGGAATTTGTTAGATTTTGGATTATATCCTGCAATAATGTGTATAACCTCAAGCAGTATCTCATCCGAGAAAGATATTATGGACAGCATTGCGATGAGCCCGTGTGGTGAGATGCAAGTGAATGATGCAGGAACATTGTGGTGAAGGCCGGTAGTTATACCTCAGCTCGCACGAATCCATTTTGCCACAATGATATGAAAGTGAATGGGAAGCGACAGGATGAACTTTTGTTTGCACTCTCAGGCCACTTCATTGATCGCGATGCTCGTGGCACTGTCTGCGTGTTGGTGACGGAGTATCCTACCAACACTGTGTAGTAGACACCACCTCTGTAACCTCTAAAAATCTACAAATAATGAAAAGATTTATTACAGTGCAGTTCGGGTTCAGTGTCACTTTTTCTACATACCAAAATTTACACGGAACAGCTAGTTTTGGCCAACGAAACAAAGTATACAGTGTACACCCTTAACATTTATGGGGTAATACGGACACGCTTTGGGACACAGAATTAGACGTGTGCGGTGTTCGTCCATTTCGGCGCGCTATTGTGGTGCAACACTCCCAGTCGGGATATAAAACAACCCACCAGCACTTCTTGGCTCAAGAGGGGGCCTTGAACATTTTGGACGTTTTTCCCCCTCATTTCTACTACGGAAGCCTCTATTCCTTCCTAGTCTTCATCCGCCATACTTCTTCAACCGACCCAGAGCCTTCTCAGAAGTGCTTTAGGTATGTCACGTGACCATTTAGGCAACAGCGCTGGCATACATGCTTGTGTGTCTTGACGGCGAGCGCCACCTCCACTTTGAGGAACGGTTTTTGTTTCCTTCAGCCTTCTGTGGCGATTTATTATAATATAAATGGTCTAGAAATTACCTGTATTGGACGCACTGAGAGAAATTGTTTGAGGTTTGTTGGGTTGCAATTACTTACGTTGGTGCGATTTATCAGTAATTGTGCTTATCATCAAATACTTGGGGGTACAGAGGCGTTTATGATGAGAGAATGAGAGCAGCACTTTTCAAATAATTACTATTTTAAAATAGGACAATATAAATGAGAAAAAGATATGGGCGCCGACTCCAGCAAAAGGAAACAATAACGAAATGTGTCTATGTAAATCACCAAAGGTAGTGACGTGAACCCGCCCCACGACATGTGTACTCAATTAGCCAAAGTCATCCCCGTTGGGGCAGGCCGAGTGATTTCAGCCAACCAAGGCGCTGTGATGTGCGAAGGGGGTCGGTTAGTAGTGCTGATAATGCTGCATTCTCCGAATTGGAACATCTCTCTCATCATGGATGTCATTCGATCCAAGCTTTCATTGCTGACATTGTCAGTGACGCCGTCAATCAACGCCATCTTCGTCGGGTTGAAGAAGTATTGCACAAGACCTTGAGCAAGAGAAAATCGCTGGTTTTGCTCGTAAGACAGGTTGAGAGTCGAAAACTGCGAAAGTATACCACCATTTCGCTCGACAATAGCAGACAGTCCAACTCCAGCAAGGATACGCTCTAGGACTACCTCACATCCTTGTTGGTCCTGCGCTTCCATAATCTCATCTGGAAGCAGGTTCTTCCTGATGGTTGCATTATGGAAGAGAATAGGATCCTGTGGTATGACAGTGAAGACCGAGTTGAATTGCTCTCGGGGGATTGTCCGAGCCTCAATGCCATCAATCTTGATGGAACCTGTGTATGGAAGCCAGGCAACCATGGAGAGGAGAAAGGTGGTTTTTCCACTATTCGAAATATTAGTGACTGTATAAACGCAGTGCCTAGACTGGAACAACATACCTGTTGAACGTGCCGCACAGCGCAGCTTCTCGTCCAAAAATGCGGAGGTTAATACCCGATATTAGCGGCGGACTGTTGGGGAGGCTAGAAAAGTAAATATTGTTAGTGCATATACTGGATTGGTTGAGTAAGCCAACTTACTTGTATCCAATAGAGACATTCTCAAATTCAATCATACAGCGCGATGGCCACTCTCCTTCAATCCTCGCCAAAGCCCGCTCTAGTTCTTGTGGAATATCCCGCATGAACTCTTGCATTTGTTGTACAACCGTGGCGGACTTGTCTATAGTTGTCAGATTCTCAATAAGATAGCCGATGGCAAGCTTTATGTATAGGCAAAGAGACAAGCCAATACCAGCAACGAAAGGACTAGTGCTCTTGGAGGAGACCAGGACAATGTAAGCTCCAGTGAAAACCGCCACAAACAGGTCAGACACCATGGAGAGCCATCTCTTCAAGGCCAAGTGATGACAGAAGACTTGTTGAGAATCTTCCAAAATGCCATGCACCTGGGTGGAACGGATTTCTATCCAGTCGAAGCTCTCAAGATAAGCCAAGCCCGACACGATTTCGTCAAACTCCGTATAAACGTTTTCAGACGAAGTTAACTCCATGTAATGCAGTTGAAGCGAGGACATGCGGTAAAGGGATCGAACTGAGGAGAACGCCCAGATCACGCACGGCACAAGAGTCAAGGTCCAGATGTTAGCCGACATCAAGACTGAGAAAAAGACCACAATAGAGGCGGTTACTATTAAAGGCAATTAGAACATGCTACTATTGAATGTGTTGATCGAGCTTACTGTATAGCAATCGAAATGCGGAAACTGGTAGGTCGTGTGAAATAATTCGCAACCCCTCCGAAAAGCTATGAACCATTAGTAAATGAGCATGAAGAGCACAACAATAGTACTGACAAATTTATGGCTAGATCGGCTTTCTTAGGCGTCAGTGCACTTATTGTTGATCTGTAATGACGTTAGATATTCGCAAAAGCAAGAGTTAGCGATAGATTCAAAATACTTGAGAGTAGCTTGTAGCATCTGCTCATGAATGGTGGATAATCCCGAGTGCAAAAGGCATTGAAAAGAGCTAAAAAAAAAAAAAAAATTAGCATCCAGCTACTTGCGCCTTTGCAGATGCTGAACTTGCATGGCGGAAAAAGCGAAAAAGGGACCACTCAATGCGGTCGCTGAATACACAAGTGCATCCGGGAATGGCTTCGAGGTCGTGGTACTAGCCCAAATGCGGAGAAAAATATCTATAGAAAATCTTAGAAGGTGAAGATTTGTAGAGAAAAAGAGTAACATACGTGGAAAGCCTTCCAGGATGACAGTGCATACCAACAATGCTATGCACACCATGGCAGTGCTAGATCGTAGATATTGGCAAAAGACCGAGTATGTACCTGTTTCAAGGTTGTTTGTTAGTAGTGGCCGTGGGCGTAGGCCAGATGCAATGTCCTTCGAGAATTCTTGTAGCTTCGTGACCGCCTCAGCAACGACGGGCTCTTCTATTTGTTCAGCGTTATCGGAATTGGTGGTACTTGGTTGCGGGACTGCTGGTGTTGGCAAGTTGGCAACATTGATGTGGGACACTCGACCATTAGCCTCGATTTTGAAAAATTGGTCGCAGATCTCGTAAAAGAGGTCTATCTTCAAGTATTAGCGCTGGATTTACCAATGTTCACCCGAAACAAACCTGGTTTCAACGTAGTCATAATCACAGTGGTGCCTCGTCGTAGCACACCAGTGCGCGAGAACAAGTTTGCAATAAGACTGCTGGCCATATGCGGACTTTGGGAGCTTAAGACATCGTCCAGAAGTAAGACTGGAGCTTTCGAATAGACAGCTCGAGCAAGGGCCTAGATAAAATTAGGCATACTCAAGTAAATGTATGGTGCGATTGACTTACCAGCCTTTGACGCTGACTTCGATTCAGATTTGCACCATGCGGGCCAATAATATATCCTTCACCTAGCCTTCGGGCTTCATCTTCAATCATGCATGCCTGAAGAACGACATTGAACCGCGGGCGTCGGAACTCGGAAGGCCCAATGATGTTTTCACGGATTGATTTGTTCTGAAGCCAAAGATCTTGCCCGCAGTATCCGAATATATCACCACTAATGGTAATGCTCCCTGACACCACAGGAGCACGACCAGAGATACTGCGCAGTAAAGTCGTCTTTCCTGAACCCACATCTCCAGCAATAATGGCAAGTGATCCATACGGAAGCGACATATTTGCACCTCTGATGACGGGGAGAGAACCTGATGACGGGGTAATCGTAGCGTTGCATACCTGGACTGGTGGTAGAACCTGCTGTGCTGGGTCGCTATCGCTGGTATTTGTATGTCCTGCTCTAATGAATCGTCGTTTGCTTTCCTCATTGGTCGAAAGATTAAGAAACTTTTGGATACGAGTGAATGCTGCTGATGTTGCCGACCAGTCTCTTGGGAATTGTAGTAGAATTCTAATATCATCTGTAAACCAATATAGTAGCGTGAAGCATCTGATTGCGATGAACTTTGCTTGAGTCGATTGTAGAATCGTACTATTTATCGCAATGACTGGAAGGACACTGTGGGTTGAAATAACTGGTAGAAACATTAGAGCCTTAGATAAGCAGCTATTAGGAGCAATTGACTTACGGAGTCCAAAATAAACCGCAGCGAGATAATGATGAATTGTGCGACTTCTGATCTCAGCTTTAAAAAGACTGGTGATATTGAAAGAGATTACACCAATCCTATTCGCCATTTTGATAGACTTGAGAATTCGAATAGAGCGAATTGTCTCAGACGCGCGGGTTTGCGCATCTACAGCCCATTTTTGGTGAGATTGAGCCAGAAGACCACCGAGATAGTTGCAGATAACAATCGCAACTATTTTATCAGGTTATTATACATTCTCAGCGACCACATGCAATTGAAAGACTTGCCTGAGATGGACAATACTGATAAAACTGTTTTGTATCCAAAGTAGTCGCAGAGAAGATATAGACAGAGGAAGCTATCAATACAACTTGATATGCCTTCCTGTAAGAGTGCGTAACTTTGCTGCACTTGTTTAACACTGTCGATAAGTAGTGACGAGTCGACATTCTCGGTAAGGTCATGATCGGACAAGGCAAAAGTCTTTTCGAATATGGCAGATGTGACCATTCCGCGGGTCATAATCTCCGCGCTATTATTAATAGATGTCGAATAGGACTTGGCAATCTATTCAAGAACTTATTAGTTTAAGCTGGAGAAATGCGCGCCGGACAACGTACAGTAAGCGCAAGAAGGAGCATGGCGGTTTGGAGACTGAATACTATCGTTTGAGAATCAAGTCTAGAAATCGAGTCCTCCTGCTGGGAACGATCAAGATGCTCTATGAACGATTCCACGATGAAGGGAAAGGTGAACTTGATACCAGAGATCATGAGATTGATGCAAGTAGTCTGCAAAAAAGACCACTGACAAGCTGCAATACAGCTGTTAAAAAGAGAACGTTCTTGTGCACCTAGTTGACTGAGTTAGTAGACTAAAGCAGCATCAAAAGACTTTATACCATCCATACCTTCCTTCCAAAAAAGACGGAATATATGATTCAAAGCCCGGCTAGATGTCTTTGACGGCATGAGCCACAAGTCCTCTTGAAGTAGGGCTCTGCGATCCGCGTTCAAGAGAACGTCGAAGACCCAAAGACCGAGAGCGTCGGTCCAAAATCCAACAGTTTCGCCTCTGTGCATTGTCTGTTGGATCTTTGCTGGTATGAAGTCCCACTTGGAGGTCTCATGTAAGATGAGCAGTGAAAGTTTTAGCATCAATCCAAAAGACACAAGTGCCTTGAACAAGCCAGGCATCGCAGCATCATTCGTTGTCCAGCAGAATAGACCCTTCAATATGATGTCCGCGGCGAGATAGAGGCTGATTCCAGCAGAAGGAGACGTCTGAGTTTTGTGACAAGTCACAAAGAGCAAGCTGAGGCATATTGCTGCCCAAATATCGAGTGATTCCATAGTCAGGGCTGTCATTTGAAGTAGTGGTGGCGCGCCAAGTCTTGAGGCATGCGTCAGCACTTCAATGATGCAATGTGCAGCGGCAGTTATCTACACAAAAGTTAGTATGCTTAGTCGGTAAATATATAAAGATAAAATGGTACCATCTTCATTCGAAGCAATGAGTCAACGCCCCGGGTTACTCGAGCTTTGTGAGTCTCCTCGTAGATGCTCCATGGCGCGGAAGCAAGAAGATAAATAGCGGGGAGAGTGTAAACCGACCGCGAGAATGCAGCCAAGGTGTCCGAGTCCATGACGGAGGACTCGATAAGTTAGATGCAAAACAGTTAGTTCGTATCGCTTGCTTCACAGTAGAGAGTTGTCAAGGGCAGTGGATAACAGGTGGTAGGGGAAAGCATCGAGGCAAAACGGAGATGTAGGTGGGCTGTGGCATATTGATGTACGATCGGGCTAATTGAGCCATGCATCGCTAGTGAAGTTTCAGGCGCTAAACGCAACCGCCACAATCCACGCTGGCGCTGGAAATTTGTAGAGCGCGGACGCCCTTTTCCCACAACGGACAGTGCTCTCCCGTGAAATGTAGAATATATGGCTACAAAGGACTCTACAGATAAGATTGTCATGATATTTACTATGGTACAGTGATATATATTACGGCTCTCTCTACAAAACTTTTCCCATGCCACTGTTGAGTTCGACCGACTCACAATGATCGCTAAGCTTCACCAGCCCTGGCCACCGCCGATATCGGTTTGGTCTACGGATCTCGACCAGCCTTGGCCACCGAAGCCATCTGTTTGGTCTGAAGCTCTTGTCACACCTTTGGTGATATCCAGGGGGGCTGAAGCCTGATTAGAATCTCAGTAGAGAGGCACAACCTCGTACCAAACTCACCTGCAATAGCGCCGCCGATAGCGCCGAAGGCAACCGCCACGGATGTGAAGAAAGCCCACTTCATGTTGGTTGTAAAAACTATTTTTGGGTGGCGATGGCAATAGAGTTCAAACTGGGATGTTGGTTGTGTTGGTTCTGCCTGCTGTTGGTCGAACCGGTGTGTCGGGACTGTTGGTTGTTGGCTCTAAACCTAACTGGGGTGGGGAAACAGCGAAGTTAAAAGAGGACTGTGCGGGAAATGGGGGAATGTGATCACCCCACGACCGCTAATTGGCAGACCGCCTTCACTGGGAGCCACTGCGAATACCACTATAGCCAAGTCAGCTACAATTATTGGGCGCTTACAGGTGCGAAATATGGAGTTTTTGATTCACAAATTGAACCAGTGTAGTAATTTAAAATAACTCTGGACTTGATAGTATTATTTCTATTTTATTTAATATTTTTTTTAGCTATATTTAACACCCTATAGTGTATATGCAGATATGTAGACAAACTGCAGCGGGCCATGATTATGGGCATTGAGCAGCCCTTGTGACCAGTCACCGAGTTACTAAGCAGCCACTAAGTCACATTCTCTGCTCAGAGTAGGTAATAGTTTGCGCCCACCAAGGTTCCTTTGCAGCGCCACTTCTCCCTTTACTGTAGGCCCAAAAAAGGGACCTCCTTTCCCTGAAAACACGGCCCGAAAAGCCAGAGCGTAAGCCAATAGCGCATCCCCCCACCCACCCTCATCCGCTGAAACCCACCCATCGTTCCATCATCTCTCCACCATCTCTCCACTGCAAGCCTCTGCCTCGGCCGCAAAGCCAGTTTTGGAGCCAACGCCGCCGCCACCCGCTCACCTGGCTTAGCCATGAGCATGCCAACGGGTTGCCCATCATTTCCGAGAAATCACCTGGGGCTAACGCTCGCTGAAGAAAAACAGGACCGATGAGACCAACCCCAGCGCAGTCGAGGCCCTAGCAGAGCAGGGGCGGGCCAGAGTGGAACGGCCGGAGCCTGGTCCAACCAACAACGGCGGTCCCATGCATGTGATGTGATGTGATGTGATGTGCAGTCTTAGTTCCCTCTTGCTCGTCCGAACCCCGTCGATCTCGAATGCTATTGGTCCAAGTGTGTAGAGCGTATCTGGCCGAAGGTTCCAGCCCAAACAGCAATCGCGGTCTCTGTTACTGGTCGTCAATCACGACTGTCAGACAGGTTTGGCACCGAAAATGCCCCTCTGCAATATCGCCTCTATGTCTAAGCGATTCGATACAGGCTTTAACATAGCATTCAAAACTCCTCGCTCGCAAGCCCGCTTGCTCCTTACGTCTGGATTTAGCGATAGTCTTCATGACGCCAAAATTTTCCTCGATAGGATTTTTCCTGGGGCTGTATGGTGCAGTCATGAATATCGAAACACCAGCCTCTTCGCACATGCGTTCGATCTTATCTGAAAAGTGAAAAGAGGCGTTGCCAACACCATAAGATCCGCGGGGAACGGTCTAGTATGGCGCAGAAGCTGTTCTATGAAGTCTTCAAATAGCGCTTTGTCTGTAGAGCCCGTAAATACACGTGATAGTTTAATGCCTTTTAATGTGAATGCAGAGAGAATTTGGACTCTAGTATCCTTCTGAAACCTCTCTTTTTGGATGGGGGTCGTATTCTTTTTCGACCAACCTTTAGGGCGAAATGTGTCTGATACGTTCATACCAGACTCGTCGAGAAAGACACAGTGTCTTGGCTTGACTTCTGTTATATGTAGTAAATGATTAAGGAAATGTCCAAGTTCTGGTCTCTGTTGTAATGCTATATGCCACATGATCTTCTAGGTAATGTCCCTAGATTATATGATATACATAATGCTAGTAATAGATATATTAATATCTATACTAAATCTATCTTAGATATATTTCACTATGTTGAGCCACGTTATATTAATATCTTGCTCCTTTGAGAGTCGATGCAGTAATGATTTGACTATTATGGGCATGATCTTGGGATCGGGGCCTGTTCGAGCTGGGGGAGCCGTCGGGGTTCCAAATCGTTCTAGTTTCGATCGGATTCTACTGACGGCACGGGGGTGAACTTTTCGATCAAGGCTGGAGACATCTTTGGCTATGGCCTTATTCGAAAGATCTTCGCGAATTTTGGCTACTGTATAATGAGCTCATGGTAAAACCTGTTGAGGCCGGCTGGTATAGCTTCAACTGATGGCAGATGGAGCAGTTTGTGGCCATTTGGTCAGTGACGGACGACTTTTAAGGCCACGTGGCAGCCTTAGGCAACAAGGTCTTAAAAAGCACAGAGTGGCTGTGTTAAGGCGGTTCATAATGGCGCCGAAAAACGCACTGTGCTGGGCCCCACTCTCCTAATCAGGAATTTTTTTTTAGTTCAAGCGCAAAGTGACACTGAACCCGAACTGCACTGTACAATCCAATTATTAGTGTAAATTAGACTCTGACAGAATATTTCTAAGCTTGGACTAGTGCACTGCCGCTGCATAACCACCCTGAGACGCTTTCCCCTTGGTGCGGTTTCAGCCTGGTCTCCAACCAGCACCCGAGATATTCCTAGTGGTCAGACTCAAAAAGACCCATCGACATCAGACGGTAGCCACTCATACCGCGTATAGCGCTTGTATCATATCAAAGCATGACGCCAACGTGCCCCAGACACTATGCTGCTCCGAGCCCGTGATAGGCTGCGGCCTGGCCGATGCATGAAGCTATGCGACGCGCTTGGTATCCGATCTTCACCAGATTAAGCGTCTCTGCTAGATTAAGCCGCGATAACCGGGAAGCTTGGCCCTGGAATTCTGCAGCAACGTTGAATCTCAAACACTAGCCGCTCGAAAGGCCAGGTCTATAACCGACTACACCATTATGCACTGGAAGCTAAGCTTTCAATGACAGCATCAGTTCACGATCAAGTCTGAAGAATGATCTATAAAAGCGGCCATTGTATCATCTCTTCAAGTACCATTTCTCACAACCAACCAGCTTATCACAGCCCAAAAGCACTGCCCAACTGTTTACTCTCATTTTGCTTTTCACGGCTACCCTCCTTTCACCATGGTCAACTTCAAGGCTTCCGTTCTTCTTCTTCCGTTTCTTACCCGCGCCGCTCCCACCTACGACGCCGTCTCTACCGACTTGGAGCCACTACTGGAAGATGCCCCGACTCCAGTGATGGATGAATTCCCCGGCGACAAGGTCCAAGCTAGAGACGCCGAGGGCGACGACGATGGAAGATACGTCGTTGATGAGAAATATCTCACAGATAATGTTTCTCGTCTCAAGGCTCGCTTGGAACCTTGCAAACCTATGAAGAACAACATCAATTGCGCTATTATTTTGCATCTTCAGCCAAATGAGATCTGCCATGACGACCAGAAACATATGTATCGCTGCGGCACCCTCATTAAGGCCTCCAACAAGGGTCAGGCTCCAGAGGCGAAGAATAGCACTGGCACAGACAAAGACGTCAAGTCAACTAAGGAGAGAATTTTGTCGCAGCTTACAAGTCCTCGGTGTTATGACAAAGACGAAAATATCTACACGTGTCTTTATCCAATCAAATCTGTCAAGAACAACACAGGGGCTGAACCGGAGGCTGCCCCTCTCATAGAGGACACAACCATTGAAGAACCTGGTCTTGATGCCACACAGGAGAAAGCCGAGGGCCCCGGTACCGACGGGACGATCGCCGCCAACGCTTCTCACCCTACACCCCAATCAGCCTGTGGACGGCGAGGTCGCTGCCCTGTTAACCATAGACTGGTGATTTGCCACGACAATTTCGGTCAGCTTCGCAAATGCGGCCCTCTGATTGATCCTTCTAGTGGTCCTCGCCACGGAGGACCACACCACGGAGGACCTGGTGGCTTCCGAAACGGCACGTTGAAAAACATCACCAGAATTATTTCGGGCTCAAATAAGAGACACCAACCTACAGCCACGCCCATTCTGGAGGACTTGGTCATCAAGGAGCAGGGCCTCGAGACTGTGGAGGAGGAGGATGAAGAAAGCGAAGAAGGCAATGCTGCCGAGACGATCAATCGTAGAGTTGTGACACCTCTCATTGCACCAGAACGCGATGGTGCGGCCATTCTCCGAAAAAAAATCCTCCTATGTCATGATAACTATGGCCATCGACGCGAGTGTGGCCGTATCATTCCTGGGGACAACAAGCCAGTCCGCCGCGTGACATTCAGCGATGTTATCGAGTATGCGCCGGATAGCAATGACGAGGAAGCAACTCCTACGAAGCGATTTGAACCTCTGCAGGCAGAGGCTGAATCGCTTCTTTTTAAAGATGAAGAGTTTGATGCGGACGATGAGTCCGACTAAGACGACTCTTGTGAAGAGTGGTTTGGCTGGTCCAACCACGACAACGACGATTCCGGGCTGAACCCTTTGCATTAATCTATATTTTATGCGAGCGAGAAATATTTAATTTTAGAGTATAATAGCATGCGAATAATATTAGATTTTATTTTGAGGTGTATAGGTCTGTAAGTCTCTATGTCTATAGTTTGACGTCTTACGGCGATAATCCCAACCAAATGCCACACGCACAGTATGTATATCTCTTAACTGCGAAAAATGTCTTGCGAATTTCTACTCGTCACATAACACGAGAGTAATACGACTCGTACTTTGCATAGGGCTTGGAAACACCGTGCACGGGCGCCGACGGCGTACAATCTCGCTGTTATCGGGTAACGCGATCTTCGGGCGCGGGGAAGCGGATACAAATCTATTTAGTGGCAATGTGATCCGCTATTAGCCAGGGTGTGCCTGTCAAAGCCTATATATCCATGTCTGCAGATGAAGAATATCAAAGTTACTTGTAATTCGCTTTGTTCATGCTTTATAGAGAAGTACCAGAAATATAATCATGCAGCCCCCTCAACATGGCGTTGTTTATTCTCTTACACAACTCCATAGCACAGGGAACTGGGCATGCGTGCAGTACCTGTTCATGGCGAGGCCTCTGTGAAAAATTTTCAACCTCACCGTGGCTGTTTCAGGATTAGACCGCTAGTTTACTGTGGCTGAGTGGTACCCAACCGCTGACTCGCCAATTGCACAGCGATGTGTTAATGCAGCTGGTTGCCTCACAGCCAAACGTTCACGCGGGCTGGAGTTGCCTACCAAGCCACCACCCACCAGGCTGAGCCTCCAAGCAAACAAGATGGTGGTCTGGGCCACGATGCGATTGGACCGCGGAAGCAGCGTCCTCTTCCACTGGCTGACCGACGGATATAGAAGGATCGGGCCGTTCCCCTAAATTGGGCACCCATGGATTGGTTCGCTATGCGAAGCTCACCGTTGAGGGGACTGTATGCAAGTCACTCTGCTACCGAGCAGTACTTTGAAAATCCTACATATTTTTGCTTTACATGTTGTATATTTAAGTAGAACAGTACAGGTGTGTGTTGGCTGCGCTGGGCCAATCAAGGTGACTTCATGAAAAAGCGAGTCCTCGCCTGTGTATAGCCACTTGGCAATGGCAACCGCTGATGTATTTAGACTAAACAAGGGACTGTATAAATAAAAAGAAAAAGTTATATTTCATATTAGGAATGTATAATAATATAGTTATGTTATTTACACACGTAATTAAATACATATTTTCTTATTCCAAAGAACAAGCAAGTACTGTACAAACATAGAGCACACGATGATGACGATCTACGCGGGTTCGCAGCTCGCTGCAGAGCCAGCGCAGTCACACCTGGTCATGCAGAATGGGCCATTGTCTCAGCCACTCACGAGAATGAAGAGCAAAGCAAACAGTCTCGACCTAATTCGAAGTAGGTATATTATGGTTTGTTAAAGCCGCTGTCTGCCTCGTCATGTGACGCCTTGTCAAGTTCGGTTGGCGTTTTGGGGGTGGGCATGCCAAGTATAAATAGACCTATATTTCCGGTAGTATTATGGAAGATTTCCGCCAGAGAGGCTTCCAAATTATCGACCCTACATGAAATGACCAATAATCTCATTCTCTACCACCACAATGACTAGTTCTGCAAAGCAGCTCCGACCAGGGTAAGTTGTTACCAGAAATACATGTTATGTATCCCATCACTCATAGAAAAACAGAACTGTTGCTATTGATTTCGGTACAACAGGAGGACGAGCTGTCATCTGTTTTAATAATGATCCGGACGTCAGACCCCCGATCGCTATCAATCATACTTTTCCCATCGACTATCTGCAGCCTGGAGCCCAAATCAATTTTCCATCCAATGCAGACCTGTTATCAGAGGGGAACATCCCTCCTTTATCTCGTCTGCGCGCATCAGAGTGTGGAAATCTAACCCTTCCTGTCAAAATGATACCATATCTGATTCGAATGCACACCCTCGCCTGCAAAAGGCCCCACGCAAGCAAGACTGTTATTGAACGCTTCTGCGGAGAGATCCCTCAGCTTGGTGCGTTTTATAGCATATTTTGCGCGCGAGATGTCAGTGACAAAGAAAGGATTATTCGCCAGGCCTACAGAGTCTTTGCGGCCCTTCTTCAATCGATTGCCCGTTATGCACAAGACCAAGCGTATACATCTGGAATCAAATTGGAAAGAGTCGCCTTCACTATTCCTTCCAACTGGGACAACTGGACCCAACGGCTTGTCCTAAAGGTTATTGGTATTGTTTGGCCCATGGTCTCGACATACGACATTCATATTATCTACGAGGCAGAAGCCGTAGGTCATTACCTTTTTCGGCTTGGTAATATCCGGGCTAAAAAGCGCCCACTGCGAGTTTTAATAATTGATTGGGGTGGTCATACATTGGTAAGATCTTATTCTTACCAGACTAGGAAGCCTGTATATACTGACTGATGCGGATTTTAGAACACGGCCATAGTTGAACTTCAGCCAGGGAAGCGGGGGATAGACACGGGACCCGTCTTCTTCGATGTTGAAAATATCTATTGTGAGTGATGTCATAGCTATACCGTTTTGACCACCAAGTATATTAATTCGTTATCATGCAGGCGAGCATCTAGGCTCAGCTTTATACGTCTCTGCTTTGAAACAACACATTATTCAGCAAATTGATCAGAATGAAGAAGTCAAGGTCGCCAAGAAACATCGAGATCGTTTTATTGAAGGTGTGCTCAACGACTTTTTGAACAGGAAATTGCAGGGCCTTCACAAAGGCCAAAAGTCCATGGAACTGGTCGGAGACGTTTCACCCCAGTCCACAGTTTTATTAGCAATTGATCAAGCAACCTTGGACCAACTATACACGACATACATTGACAAAGGTGTCAAGAAAATCAGACGATTGATGACAAAAATAGTGCGAGATAAAGCTAACTCGCTCGTTGATTTTGATATCTCTGTATTCGCAAACGGTGGCACACTCAGAAACCAACATATTCACGACGAACTTGCTAGTTTTGCACGAAAGAAGGGGATCAGCTACATAAATTCCCACATGGATCACATTCCTGGTGATTAGTACGTTACGAGAAAATACCTGCGTTTATGCGACAAATAGCCACTACTGACACAGTCAATAGCAGATCTATCGTCTCTCGGGGCGCGGCGCTCGCGGTAGCAAATAGTGCGTCACTCAGAGACTACATGACGACGTCAATATTTGCAATTCGGCCCAGAAACTCCATGCCGGTCACTGAAAAGGTTCCAGTCATTTGGAATAGTGGAAAAAGCTATGTGCAACGCCTTAACTTGGACGGGCAACACGGCGCTACAGTGTCACTTGTCTGTCAACCCTTTGCCTGTGATAAGGACGCCACAGAGATACCTCTTCACAAAACCTTTCAGCTTGAGGTGATGCCGCAATTAAAAAAAGGCTCATATGAATTTTCAATGAGCTTTAGGCTGACTAGTGACAGAGAAAACAAAGGAGTAATAACTCTCAAGTACTGGATTGTTGAGAGCGAGACGCTAGTGACGCTACCAACACAGACTCTTTATTTTGATCCAAGCTCAACTGTCGCTTTCATCGAACGCAGCGCAGGCGAACCAATCCACAACTTGGACGATGAACAATTTCATCAAAAGGGCTCCCACCTGTATCGGAAATGGCAAGAGGAACAGCTTGACAAGGGGAGTGACTTTTGGAGAGAGGCTGTTGTCGACGATGTCAAAACCCCTAAACTGGATGCGGCTAACCTGGCCTATGTAATCGAATGTCGGCAACTGGAACCAATAGCCAAGGCTCCTCATCCATCCTCATATGCAAGCATGGAAAACGCAGTGCAGAGTAGTGGCAGCCGATCTTCCAAACGCGTGGCACCCACGCGGCTCAGTATCTCCGAAGGGATAACGAGTCAGCGAAAGTCGAAGAAGTCGACTTTACAAGCGCCTAAATCTAAAGTGAGAGATGGACTTGCTCTATCGAATCATGAACAGTCACAGTTGAGTAGCAAAGGCAAAGGCAAACAACCACAACAACGTCCAGATACGTCATGGGGTATTGAAAGAGACACAGAAGGAGCAATTAGCCGGGCGCATAGGATTCTTCAACCTAATCCTAATCTTGCGTGTGACCCTGGTCAGACTGTCGTTATAAGTGACTCGGGTAGCTCTCAAGACGACGACAGCGATGACGACGACCGAGATGATGGTGGTAATGAAAAGGAGGCGGATGTGAACCATCACTCTAAGGACAACCATAACGCTTTCAACGAACTCGCAACATTTACAGCGATAGAGTCTCAGCTAGCAACAACAAGGGTCGGAGAGGAGCCACTTGCAAGAGCTAACCGCAATATTGAGGCAGCTCCTAGCACTAGGCAGACTGATCCTCTGGCAGTGGCTAGTCGGAGTCGCATCTCCATTTCGCGAACATCCTCGAGACCAAGCAACGTGGCAGAGATGCAGAAACTTTTCCGCAAGTCTCTGCCAGGCGATCGTGAGCCTACTCAACAGCAGCTACAGGAGTTGGTTCAGCTTGTCCGAGAAGCTTTTCATTGGCGGCGAGCTTTAGAGGCATGGGTTGAAAATAACCTCGAGACACTGTATAATTGAGTAGATAAAAGTATTGTTTGGAAAATTTAACAATTCTTCATTAATAAACAAAATAGTAGGTCTATTCTTCTCCTGAAAACAATGCAATAAACACAATACAGCTAAATCCACGGGAGCCATTTACTAGTCTAAGAATATTTGGGGGCGAAGATCTAGCCGCCCCTATACTAGAAGAGAGGGAGCAATATGTTTTCGTAAGAGTAAAGTAGTTAAAAGAAGAACTAATACCGAAAGCCGACACAAGTATAAACTGAGAGAATTTAAAATCCTCTCTTGTGATGCCGTCGATAAGTAGGCCATAAGCAAGGCTGCCCCTTTCAGCTGGGCTAAGGATAAGCCGTTACGTTACTGAGCATGGTTGATAGCCAATGTTTGGTTTTATGCGAGGCAGATGCTAGAACTGAATATATGTTTAAAAGAGCAAGGGTAGGGTATAATACAGGGAAAGAGCCAATCTGGCCAACGAAAGAATAAAAAGCATTCAGAAATGGATCTCGCTATGGCACAGTGCTGGTATTGGTAATCCACCGATTTCCCACGAACTTATCCATCAAAAACGAAGATTTTTTACGAGCTCGAAAAAGAATACAAGTGTTGTACTGTTTCCACGTTTAGGCCAGAGAAAATCATATACTATTCTCCAACATGGCGCGCACCAGTATCCGGGGGTTGTCCCGTATGACAGCTAGGCGAGCATTGTTACTATGTTCAAGATGAACACTGCACGTGATGCTGCGTAAATGTATCACTACTTGCGAGATTCTGACACCTCTTCACAACTTTGGACATCACATTGCCCTAGAAGAAATACAATGAACACAATGGTACAATTAAACCCACCAGAGCAATTCGCTACGCTTCCTTCTGGATGCACCATCTGCTACCAAGTCTGCGGCGAACAGACATCGGCACCTCCCGTTCTCATCATCGCGGGCCATGGCTCATCCATGACACAAAAGATTGGCGGCCTCATCAATCTTCTAACGAAGCAATCATACTGGGTTATTCTCTTCGATCACCGCGATACAGGCCTCTCATCAGTGTTTCCCACACCGCCAGAAGGCTCCTCAGAATCTGCCTACACCATCACTGATCTCGCCGACGACGTCATCGGCCTCATCCACCATCTGCAGCTTGACGCCGTGCACCTGGTAGGCTTCAGCATGGGCGGCCCTATAGCGTGGCAAGTGGCGGCAAGGTTACCAGCTAAAGTCGCTAGCCTAGCACTGTGCCTGACGAGCCCCGTTGGCCGCCAGCAGCTCCCTACAGATAACCTCCCACCAATGCACCTCGAGGGCCAGTGGCTGCTTGGAGAGGCATTCGATCCGCCGCAGGACGAGAACGCCTACGAGGCCTGGGTCCAGTTCTACATGGGCCTCGACTTGTGCCTTGCTACGCAGCCGCCCACTGCTGCCGAACGGAAAGACTCTCGTCGGCAGAGCGAGCTTACCTACCGCCGAGATCGAGAGGGCGGCACAGTCTTCAGCAAGTTTCACCATTCAAGGGCCTCGGGGGTCCGCTGGCCGAGAGAGATGCTCAAACAGGTCAAGTGTCCTACGGTGGTGATCCATGGAGCAAAAGACCAGTTGTTTCCGGCGGAGCATGCCGCTGCGCTGCGCGACGATGTCGACGGCGCAAGGCTCGTCGTGTTAGAGAATTGCGGGCATGAATTGCCCCATAGAGCACAACAACCAATGGTCGATGCCATTTGTGAGAATATGGCGAGACAACAACGCTAGGCACAACAGAGGTACACTTTGACAGATACCGGCTCCCCACTCGGCATCATGGTCCGCATTCCAGGTGGGACGTCGGTGCTGGGGGAGGGGCAATGAGATTTCGGAAACCGAAGCGCCCCGTACCATTGCTGTGTGATTGTCCAGGCGGATTTACGTCTGCTGGAGCTCAAGGTCGCCAGGGTGGCTTCGTCTGAAACCCCCACTAATCCAGGTCTGGCGACGGGAGGCGAAACTCTATTTTCAGCTCACCGTTTCCCCTCCCACCATCCGTAGCCTCCCCAGAGACTGATGCCTAGTAGCTTTGTCGGTTTCCACAGCCTGATCATAACTGATGGCAAGAAGTACTTTCCAGCCTCCCTCGCTGTTGACGTTGTGGTGGCGTATATCAGCCACATATGGTCGGGATGTATGCAAGACACCACGCACGTTCGTTTCACGGGCCTGGTTCCCCTAATCCCAGCCATAACTAGTGTGAACGCCACAACTACTACGTCGAGGTTCTGGCGCGGGCAAGGATTGGAAGTGTTGTGATTGGAAAACGGCATTCTCCGCCTGTGACGACGGTCAGAAACCACGGCGCTTATAGATGGAATCTGTTAGAATCTGGGTAGGGCACGGCGGGGGGTCGCAGCGTCGAATCGTGGCTGCAGACGAGCGAATATCCCTGTATACGATACATGGCGAGGTAGTTCATGCCTGTTCTATGTTCAGTGCCAGTGTAGCCGCCAACAGACTCCCGCAGTGCTCACATGACACCCACCAAGTTGTTTGCCCCTACATGGTGGGTTACCCTCGAACTATGGGCGGTTAGACTGCGTACTATGCCTTGTCCGTAGCGTAGCCAGCTATTAAGTCCATAGTGTTGTAGGGCTGCTTCGTCTAGCACATCAAAGCAAACTGGGCTAGGGACCGTCTGGCTATAAATATCCTCTCGATCCTCACTTATACAAAGGACAAGACCAACATGCAGCCTTATCATTATGGCCTACAACATCTTTTACACGCGTCTCAGTCGAACAAGTCAGGCTATCGCCGCAAGTCCTGAAAAGTATGCGACAGTCCTGTTTCATTGTGTGAGCCCGGTGCTAACCTGTATACTGCTAGCCAAGCGACATTGAGCATTGATCTCGGTATTCGGAGTGTCAGACTTTGTCTGGATTGTCTCCATCTTGTTCAGAAGAACAGACCCCCTGTCCCAGTACCCTATCATCTGTCGCAAGTGAAGGATGACTTTGACTTTAACCTTCCTGTCCACATCGACATGTTTGGAGCGGACAGGGACCCATGGCGCTGCCTCTACGCAGAGGAGAGCAAAAGGACAGTCCCGGCTAAGCTCCTCTTTGTCGTCATTCGCATAAGTGAGCTGCGGCACCGCAACAATTTTGATGACAGGAGTGTTGCTGATCGATATATGCGATGCATTCCGCAGCTTAGGGCGTTCTTTGCCCTGCATGACGCGCATACCGAAGCGGAACAAGAGGAGGCTATCGCTCGCGGGCTCCAAGCATTTGATTGCTTGCTTCAAAGTCTCAAAATTGCTGCTAATGCTCTGGCCGTGAGGAAGAAATATTCAATTAAAAAGGTGGCATTTTCTGTTCCAATGTATTGGGACGAGTGGATGATCCATCACCTTCAGACAAGGATTCAGGCGGTTTGGAATACGGTTCCGCTGGAGGATATCCTCGTTTACCATGACTCGGAGGCTCTGCTGCAACTTTTCGAATATCAAGGCTGCTTCCGTGTACAAAGCAACACCCAGTTTGTTTCAGTACACTATAGTGGTCATATTCTGGTAAGTGTTTGCGAGAACTGGCCCGCTGCACGTACATGACTAACACGATATCGTCACATCATAGCAAGCGACCACCGTGCTCGTTCGACCAATTAGGAACCAGAAACCCGAGGTTTTGCGCTCCGATTGGTCCTTTTGTAAGGAGCTCATGTCGATGTATTCTTGTTTATACACTGACAATTATAAGCGGAACATGGCGGATTGCTGGCATATAAAGCTGCTCTCCGGACGGAGCTATACCGAATCATCGAACAAAAGACGAGCAACGATACAGAGAAGGACCAGCTCGTGTCTAGCGCTCTACAATACTTTGAATCAAATATCCAAGCAACCGTTGGAACAGGTTCATTGCAACTGACTGCAGCGACCGACCGTAATCGGAGCATGACTATCTCTGTTGACCGCGCTTTCAACCAGCGAGCCCATCGCCAGTACCTTGCCAACCCAGTCACCCAACTCATTAAGCAGTTGAAGATTCTTAACCGAGATCGACTGCTGCAAAGTCCACCGCGCGACATTTGCCTCCTCCTCACCGGCGACACATTTCGCCATGAGCCTTCGCGCCAACGAGTCGAAATAGCCGCTCAAGAACTCAACATGACTGTGCGGTTCCCAGAACAAGAGCTGGAACAGGCCAAGAAACCAATTAGTTCGTAAGTGAACAAACAATTTATCTTACATTTGACTACTCTCTAACCGATATAGGCGCCAACTGATGTGCTTTGGTGCGGCCATCGCCGTCAGACAGCTCCCCACGGTATCCGAGTATTTTGATACTGTGGCGCTGGGTATTGCGCTGGGCGATCCCGCCAATCCTAGTGAGCTAATCAATCTACCCTGGATTGACAGGGAAACTATCCAGGGCCATGTAGACATTCAGAGTTCATCTCCAGAACACGCTGATGCGTGGCTAGTATGTCGTCCGCGAAGTCGTCTCCCGAGTACTGTCACTCCACTCTTCAACAGCTACACTGTTATGTCTAGTCTCGGACGCCTACGAACTGGTCGCTATACTATGCGTGTCTTAACATCAACACACCAGCCTCAGGGTGAACCGGTAGAGAATGAAATGGTACTGCTCTACAACCGCGCCTCTATGGCGGAGGCTGGAACCACCCGCTGGAAAGTCCGAATGAGCACAGACTGTCACCTGTCGCTCGACTTGCAGATTCAAGACGATGTACTACACATCAAAGGGCAGCCGCTTGAGGATTGGGCTCAGAATGTCAGAGGGAAACGAAGCTATGCTGCATGGGTCGCGACGAACAAGGATCCTGCGTATCGGTACTGGGAGACTCGTACGAGATTACCGACTCTCACGTGGGATGCAGGCCGAGGAAGGCTGTCTATTCGTAGCACGGGAGCGGAAAGACGAGTACTACGCCCTACCTCAGCGCGCCAGAGACGCGCAGTGTGCGTAGGGGCGCAGTGTCCGGTTAGTAGACGACGGCGAGGTGGAACGCCAACATGTCCATGCGGCCGGTTGGCTTTACCCCGAGGGATCTGAATCCAGGCGCAGACGACGCCGACTCTAGTTTATTGAGTAAACCCCATCTATGGGGTGGGCAGGCAAGTATTTTACCACGTAGTTTATATGTAAGTAGTACTGTATATCAGTAGAGAGTAGACGCAAGTCAATCTGTTTGTCAATCAATTTATATTTGTACCTGTCAATCTCCCTTCCTTCAAATAGAGACATTGGACCTATCAATTGAATCTGATTCGCACACAAACACACAGTGATTATATTTCAATAGCAGTGTATTGACGAGCGCTATATGAAATATCTAATTGCACTTGGCGTTTCCGGAGGCCCAAGTGCATGTGTGCGTCTTGCCGTCATCAGGGCACTACAATGGTTAGCAGTCACGCTCGTATCTGTTCGTATCACCTAGAAATAGGGAGCAAATACGTAAGAGAGGGATACATACAGGGTGGTCAGAAGCACAGGGGATGTGCTTGGTCTTGCCGTCCTTGTCGAGAACCAGGCAGGTTCCCCATTTCTGGTGATCGTTGCCGCGGCGGACACAGTTCTACAGCATCAAGATCAGTCAGTCAAAACTCTTCATATGCTAATTATGAATTCAAAAGATAAACTTACACCCTTGAGAGTACCGCGGGGGGCAAGTCCAGCCATGCTGGTGGCGAAGAGTGCGGCAGTAGCGATGAGGACGGTGGACTTCATATTGAAAAGAGTAGAAAGTTGAGTGAATACTTGGTAATTGTTGATGTGGTAGTTGTGTTATCAGTGATGATGATAATTTCCTTCATTTTTAGCGGCATTTCTATCCCTTTTTATAGTCGAGGTTGGTACAGTTGCACCATGTAAGTTGAGACTGTTGACCGGAGCTGTCACCGGTAGTGGCGCTCGGATCAGGCTACCGAGCGTCAGCACACAACACTCTATTAAGAAGTGGCCGAGGGGGAAATGTCACACATGCAGCATAATCAAATAAACTCAGCCTGGCCAATGTATTATAGAAACGAAAATGGTTACTCCTTCCGCAGGTTGCGCCATGCTTACACTCCGTGCCGTGTCAGGCTGCGATCATCACCCATTCAAGATGGACAAGTGCCGATCCGGTACGATTTACTACGCTAAAACTACTGCTACAAGCCATGTACCCCTCGCTTAGAAAGCTTGGCCTCGAAGTTTGCTTAAACGAGCGTCATACTTCTCTCCGGCAGTCCCGCGAAAATCCCTAGACCTTCTTCTCGACTGTCAACCAGAGTCCTCCATGTTCCTCGGCGACATAGCGTCCCATCATCGAGCCTTGTCAGCGCCAATCCATGGACCGTGTATCCGAGCCGGTCTGCCGATTCGAGGCGAAGCGGCAGACATAGCACCGCCTCTGCAATATCGGCCTCTGTGTCGAACCGCACTGCCCATTCATAGTCGTAATCCGTGCTAAACTCGGGAAACGGCTTACCAAGGCACACCTCGGGGACATCTTCGTCGACAAACTGCCGGATCAGCACTTTTGGATCACCATGGAAGCGTGGCGAAGTCATTCGAGGGTGTAGATGCGCCAGAGCCAGCTTTCCCTTGACGACAAGGCGCTCCTTCAATGGATTACCCTCATGTTGAGACTCAAATTTGACAAACTCGCAGAGCATATCTTCCTTCTCGCCATCAAAGGGTTCCGTGACAGGGAAATTGAGTTTTCCATCAAGGGATGCCCAGCTCCATGACGGAACGTCGGCTGATACGATGCGAGTGCCGTCGTCCACCGTCCACATCAGGCTGCCGGGGAGCAGAGCCTGCCACATCCCTGCCGCATATTGAATGTCTGTACATCCACGCTCCTGTAGCATGAGTCTCATGTGCTCTGCAATTCCCTGTAGCCCTTCGAGTTTGTCTCTTGCTGTTGTAGACTTGCAACCGGCATATGTCTCCAAGAGACGCACCCAATCATAAAAGACTTGGTGAATGGGCCCGTGCCCGGCATCCCGAGAAGCGGCATTGATGAGCGACTTCCACGGCACATGAGTCCATTTTCCATCAGACTCGGGAGCCTTATTTTGGTTGCTTACACCGAGGAGCTTGTAGATGCTGCCTAGTTCCGGCTTGTGCACACCGTGTGGGTGGATTTCGGCACATTTGGAATGATGGCACTCCCAAAAGACCATGGTGCTGCCAAAGTGCACCATACGTGGGGCAAGGATACGGTCTGAGATAGCTTGAGCGCTATGAGAAAGTGGGTTGGCGTTAAATGCGCTCTCCCATCCCTCGGGGTGCTCGCAAGACGAGAGGTGTGGAACGGTCGTCCCATCTGTATCGATGGGGAAGTCAAACACTGTGGGCGCCACAAGGAACGGATCGCGTGTTGAAAAGAGGCCGGATGAAGCGCTCGTGGTACCCGAGACTCCGACAGCCAAGAAGGAATTTCGAAAGACATCCGCTCGTTTAGCTGTTGCTGCGGCCACTTCTGCCGCGTCATCTTGGACAGTGCAGAGCTGATCTATCCAAATGTGTGCAACCCCGAGCCTAGCTGCAACAGCGAGAGTCTGACGAAATGTCAGCGGCAGCAGAGTCCACGACTGGGGGCTAGAGTGCTGGTCCAGATTCTGGCGAGTAAGCTTGACGTTGTCTGCATCATTGCAGCAGTGGCTGACTGCTATATAACGGGAGCCAAGTCCGACCTGGGTGCCAGGGACAATTTGGAAAGTCAAGTCTCCATCAAGTTGCTGTTGTATCTGAATCAACCGATCAGGCATTAGTTTATCTGGCGGCTGTCTGTTGCAGCGATTGTGAGATTCGATACAGGTGTTTAGCCAGGACTGGATTATTTTCCAAGTCTTGTCATCGCCCGTCGAGGGACTGATGTCGAGGTTCCAGTTGTTGTCTTCGACTATTCGTATTATTAGCATCACATTCAAGTAACATAGACACCAGGGAAACTTACCATGACGGCACAGTTCAAAGCCCCCCGAGGCACCGTTGACGTAGACAAACATGACGGGATTTTCCTGGAAGCTAATGGCAAAGAGGGAAAAGTACCCGTAGGTGGCAATCTTTCCTTCTGGGCTGTCGACATCCGCTGCAAAGATTTTGCACATGACGCAGCCATTGCGAACTGATCTCTCAAAAGACTCGCGGGATTTGTGATGTCCAAAGACGTACTTTTCTGGATGCAAAGCCTCGGGGTTGTGTTCGACAGCCTGATACGTGTCGACTCGGGTGACAAACTTGTCTTCCTGCACTTCGCCTTCTTCTTCAGAGCTGTGTTCTTGGAAATCTTGCAAAAGGGCCACACGGTGGGCTTTGGTAGGATCCCAGATGCCTTGAAGGCCAGTAGTGCATATTTTGCAGAGCATAATGGGTAGGGCAGTTAGGGAGTAAATGTGAAGAATTGGTGATGGTGATGGTGATGGGCGATTCTGGAAAGTGATGAGAATGAGGGGTGGCGGTCCATGTTTATATGCATTTTCGTTTCTTGTGCGAGCCTGTTTTGATGAAAAGATGCTTTTTCGGAAAAGGAGGGTGCAAATGACAACTGCAGTGGCAATGCCAGTAAAGCTGATGATGTTTGCTTGTGGTGGAGGGTGTTGGTGACGAAGGTGGGCTCAGGGTGGGGTTTGGTTGGGTTGGTGGCGCAGATGCAGATGGGGGGGTGCTGTCTGTCACTATAAAACCTATTCCGTAGTGGAGGGTGCATCGCTGGGCGTTGGCTGACGGTGGGGGGTGCCGTGTGGCGTGACGAAATCTGTGGCTCTCGGGTATCTGCCTCATTCGGCACATATAGTACACCCCCTTCTCTCTGGCCGCAGAAAGTCAATGAGGTATATAAATGCTATGGATGATGTAGATTCCATAATTATGAAAACACTACATATTAATGATGTATCGATATTAGAGGTTTTTGTCCACCAAGCCTTAAACGCTCAATACGCCACGCTCGACGCGAAGCATCCTTTGCCAGAAATATGAATAATGATTGTAAAATAAATGAGAAAAATATTTTCACTGTTACTAGAGACTATTTTAAGGCAATAGACAATATTTTGCATTAATCTTGTCGCAAACTGCGTCACTTGATCTATATCTCCTGAACCTTTGTATAGTTGTCGTCAAACATCGCCATATTCCTCTTTAATGCCTTCCCATTCTTCCTCTGTAACCCTGCTCCAATAATTAGTATACCAGCACAAGTCAACCTATATACCGAAACAGAGTGCACTTACTCAATCGTGGCGCTTGGCGGCATCGTACCCGCAAACCCAGTCTTAGCCTCTAGCATACAGTACAGCCTCCTATACATCTTTGTTTAGTATACATCTTTTATTAGGCTTGATGATTCGGGTGAGCAAACTCTTGTTGGGAATATATCTCTCGTGATCAAAATCTTGCGAGCAAACGATCACGCAGCGGACCTAATTCTTGTTAGTTGCAATTCCTGAGGCAGTTGTTCCTTCACTAACCCTTCCCATATTGAAGATACGTAAAATACGAGAGTGAAGAATTTAAGAAAAGGTTTGAAGTAGAGAGAGGACTATAAACACAGACTAGCTAGTCTATATAGCTGCGAGGGAATTCATCCCATTTTATACCTTAGGTCCCGCTGCTCATCTCGGTTGAACTTCAAAGAGCCCACTCAGAAAATGCAACAGCCCCTTTCTATTATCGTGGGACTGGCCAATTATTAGAGGTAGCTATGCTAAGTTTCTTTGTGCTGATATTTACTGAGTGCAGCGCTTACCACCATGTTCATTGGTCCCAATCGCAGGATGCAGCCTGAAGGATCGGCTTGCATGCGGCAACATCCACAGAACCCATCGCAGCCGCTACGCCATGCTTCTCTTTTAAGGAGGTTGTTTGTGAGCTAAATATTATAGCTTTCCGCAGCGGGGTAACTAGTCGTCTTACCTAACATCTGAAACCGCGTCCTCGCGTATATATCGAGACACGTTGTACACGTGGTTGCTGGTGACAGCATGGGCGAAGCGTAATGAGCCGAGCCTGAACCAGTCCAGTCGGGGATATTGATATCTATGTTTCATTCATGGTACTCATCTATTGTCGTATACTATACTACATTTTCAAGCCAAACCGGCCAATCCACCCCGCATGCACCTCGATGCTAGCCACACCCTCCGACTCAGCCTGCGCTACCCACTCCGTCTTGGTATCTAGTATGGATTTACACACGGGTTCGACAATAAAACCCTGCAGTCGCCATGCTGTGGTCTGTTTCCGCGACTGATGCGCCGCCAGTGCCTGGGCTGCCCGTCTCTGAGCCTCGACTTCGTTGCGCTGTTTATGTTCGCTATTGAGCGCGACGCGGACCCGCGATATCAACGCAAACGCCAGCCACGAGTTAATCACCAAGTCGAGCCATCGTCTGCAATATTCGTAGTCGTTACAAAAGGAGCATTCTTTGGTGAGCACCGTCACAATTTCAACGTGTCGAGCTGGGTGCATCCGAAGCCAGTGCTCCATCTCGATAAACGCTTCGTAGCCCTTGTCGAGCTCATTCAACAGGTGTTGTTGTCGTTGCTCAAATTCGGACGGCGGTATATCGAGTTGCTCTTTGAGTAGCTGCGTCGCGTCAGCCATTGCTGCAAGGACAATGACTGAGGCTACACTATGTAGCACGCCCATTTCACTTCGATCGCCGCTGCGGTCGCTCGGTATAATAAACGATTTACATGTTTCCAGCCATGCATCTGTGTTGAGGAATATGGGGGTATTGTTGAAGAGTGAGAGCGTGACCTGGGCAACGTTAGCAGATGGAACTTCTATCCCGCAGACACAAGAAGCGGCAGGCGGCCTTACGAGATAGGGGACTTGAGGTGCAATCAACGCCTTTTCAAAATCACTGGTAAAGTTTTCCGGCCCGCGGTGCTTTATTAGTTGAATAGTGCCGTTGACATGCTGTATCGATGCCTGCGTTCCGTTGCTTCCGAGGCACTAGCGTAAACAGTTAGTGACCTGTCTTGCAACTGTCTTGGGCTGGGTAAAAAGAGACGCACCTCGTAATATGTTAATAATTCTGTCGCACAAAGGACCTCGGCCGATTTCGACCGCACCGGATCCTCCAACCCCTTTTGTAGAAATCGGATCGCTCGCGTGTACAGCGCCAGCGAGTTTTGTCGATTGGGGACCTCGTTGCCGCTCGTCAACGCACCGTAGATTTCTCGGTACGCTTCTGCAACGCAATGTACTGCACTATCTAGAATCTCATCGTACCCCGATGTTTGCGGCAAGTATCCCAAGAACGACTGGAGATACGTCTTGCGGCCGACCTGAAACTTGATGAGGCTCTGCGTATCGCGCTCAAACATCCGCGAGACGGCCGTAGGTATTCGAGGCGCCAGATAAAATATATCCTGCACGTGAACCGACGAGTTAAAATGCGGATGTAAGATCGGCGACGCACACATTATTTTTGCTTCGATAAACATCTCCTGCTGCTTTGCCGGCCACTGCTCTTGCGACTGGTACCCTTTGCAGACGAAATTCCCCTTTTTGCAGCGATTGCAGTGCGGCTTTGTCTCGTCGCACTTGATTTTTCGCGCTCTTTTGCCTCAGTATTAGCATCTACACGGGCCGCCTCGGCATCTGCATCTGCAAAAACGTACCTGCAAGTCAAACACCCGCTTCGTCCCTTGGGAGCCCATCGCTTCATGCGCGGCTTAGGGCGCTCCGCTAGCGCTTTCTCTGTCATTGTGAATGTCCGAATCTATGCATCTCGTGGCAGACCGCGGTGAAGAAGGGGTAAATGTAACCCGTGGTGGGCGATCGGACAGGATATAAAGCGGGGGAGACACGCCCAGCGTCGCCGCACAGTAGCAATTGCGATTTCGGATATCGTCAGCACGGCACACCGTTTTGGCGATCGGCAAGGGCACCGAAACAGGCTAGACTCAGGATGTGACGTTGCCAGAGAAAATTAAGAGCTACGGGCTTCGCCGATGCAGGTGAGACTACCGTGCGAGCGGTCAGAAGCTGAAAAGAAAGAGAAAAGGACGAAAGAACAAAGCCCTGCGACGGGCGGCAATTGTCTGAGATTATAAGTGCCGCAGCAGCCGACTTTCAGGTCGATCAGCATTCCTTTTTTTCTGGGGGCAGAAGCACAAGTCTCCGCTGAAGCCTCGTTCCCAGGGAGCATTTTGAGGCTACTTTTAGCGTTAAAAAGAGGAGCCGCAGCAGTGGGCACGATAAGAGCGGCAGCCTCAAATGGTGCTGTTTGCAGAGCAGAGCAGAGTCAGGCTGTGGGTGGAGGAAGGGAGGGCGTCATTACTCGTATTGCACATGTGTTGATGGTGAAGCTGAAGGAAGATGTCCGAAGAATGTGTGCGTCTGTGCTGCCAGCTGGCCACGAAACACTATGGAAACATGAACAATGGTTACAAACAAAATACTCATTAATCATTATTAGTACACTCCAGAGATGAAGCCGCCCACGATTCAAGCATCGCCCACCACCGGCGTCGTAGCCTCGTCAATGGTCACGCCAAATGTCTTGCTCGCTATCCCATAGCTCTGCGCTACAGCCGCGCTTCCATAGACTCGCATCTCCTTTTCATACTCCGCCGTCAATCCATCTCTATATCCGCCCGCCTCCGCAATTAATCTACCCAGCAGGGCAGAATCTCGCATAGCCGTGTTGGCCCCCAGCCCTCCTGCAGGCGTCATGCTGTGAGCCGCATCGCCAATCACCGTGACGCGCGGCTCATTCGTCCACTCCGGTACACCTGACGGCGTCGAGCATGTAATCTTCCAGAAAGCAGCATCCTCGACATTCATCTGCTCAAACAGCGGCTGGAAGCGCGGGTGCCAGTTCTTGGTGATATTCTTCGCAATGTCCGCTGCTGTCTTGCCTACAATCGTGTAGTCGTCGTTGGGCGCCTTGATGACGCCTGGCGACCCGTTCATCGTCCACCCGAATTCCGTCTCAGGGTGATCGGGATCTTGTGGGCGCACGTTGAGAATAACATTCGCCACGCCGCCGCCTTCTCGAGAGGTGTCGCGGATCATAAAGACACCTTCTCCAAGATTCTTGAAAGCTGCGACGGGTGCCTGGCCGTGAATGCCACGAGCACCAGTATCGTATGTCTTGAGTTTACCGCCAGAGACCTGCTTTGCGATTTTCGAGTAGACACCATCACCGGCGATGAGTAGCGATCCTTCGATCGATTCGGTGCCGTCGGCAAACAAGGCGATGACGCCGCTACTGGTCACGCGATAGCCTGTGACCTTTTTGTTCCATTGGATGTGCTCTTCCAGACCCTTGGCGAATATCTGGCGCATGTCGCCGCGGGCCATACCCACGACTTTGCCTCCGCGTGATTTGAGACTGCTTGAACCCTCAAGGCTGGTTGGGCCGCCCTCGCCGGTGATTGCGTTAAGACCGGTAAGGCCGCTGCCGCCTGTCTGTCCGCTCCTAGCCCAAAAGAGCTTCCAGAGCTCCGGGTCTAACACGGTTTCGACGGCGTCGAGGCCCTCTGAGGAGAGACGCAGGCGGTATCCCTGTGCGCGAAAGACGAATGAGGTGTCGCGCTCAAAGACTTGGAAGGGGATCTTGTTTCGGCGGAGCGATTGGGCAAGCAGAAGCGACGAGAGGCCGCCTCCGGAGATGAGGACGGGCTTTGTGGTGACGGTCATGATGTAGTGATGGGATAGTTGGTGGTGGTCGATGCTGTGGATGGAGTGAACCGAATAGCAGCGGCTGTTGCTTTAATATCAGATCCGGCAACAATTGGGACGCTAATCTATCTGATTAATGGATCATCAAACTGGAGCCGGCAGTCGTGTAAGCAACCGCGCGGGTCGCTGGCCGCAATTGTAAGCCACCGACTTGAATTACAAACCTTAAAAAAAGTCGGCGCTCCTACTTCCGAGCGCCGACCCCCGCTGCCGGTGACGCAATTCCGCACAGCAGGCGGACTTTCGCCTACGACCACTATTGCTCTACAGTGACCGATACACATTTGCCGCGACTCAAAGACATGTACAATGTTGGCTTCAATGTTAACTGGTAAGCAGTCTAAGATCTTTTGGCTGTGGATAAATATTATGTCCATCGATTATATAAAAAGATGTCTCGTGTGATTTGAACCCTTGGTAGGAAAACTAAATAAACCAACTATAAGCATAGAAATAGAAAACAAAAATAACGCCTGGCGCTCAACACTATACACGTGCTGGGCGCCCAGGGTCCTGTAGGCGAGCCAATTCTAGCAAAAGACGGTGCAGGTATATGGCAATATCCTCTCTCCTAAGAGTTTTCTGATACCACTCAGCGCCCTGCTCTGCAATTTCCATAGCGCGCCGCTGGCCTTGCGGGGTGGACAGCAGATATGCCACTAGCTCCGGAAGTTCTCCCATGCTTTGGCTGACGGGGATATAGTGTACCCACGGCACCAAGCGATCATCATGCCACTCGCGCAGCAGAGTCTGTTTGAGGGGTGTCGAGTTGGACGCTAGCAATTTATACCAGCGCCCGCTGATGCCGTTGCCATCAATGTCAAAGACTAGGCGGGAACGCAGCGCCGCATCCTTTTGTGCCCATGATTTCAGGCGATAGAAGAATGCCTGTGTCCGCCTGGGTAGCCGATCACTCTGAAAGACACGGGTGAATGCTACATCGTAAAGGCGGCTATTAATAAATGAGGAGGAGATTCGTTTGATATGGTCGCCCTTCTTGGCGAGATACGAGTACTTTTGCCCTTCCAAGTTCTGGACAAAACTCACAAAGCGTTGTCTGTGAAACTCGTTCCATTTCGAGTCGGTTGCGTAGGCACCTGATGTTGAGCCGGCCCAGTATAAATTGTTAACTTTGTCACGCCACGTCACGTCGCCTTTAGCTTCGTAGACAAACTCCCTCTCAATGTATGCCGGACTGGGAAACAGAATATCGCCCATAGTGGATGGGGTTCCGGTGGATAAAATAGGAACCATACCCTCCAGCAGACGCATGGATGCTGGGCTGATAAACATGCCGTACATATGCTGGTATTCGGGATGTTGGCAAATGGAGAGGCTGCTGGTCATGTCTTGCACAAAAGGCATGCCATATGTCTCGTACTTTGGCTTAGGCTGTTCAGACTCCTTGTGGCGGCAGTGCTGCACCATCTTGGACCATGTGGAACGATGCGACAGCAGTGTTGCTTGAATGCCAGTGTTGCCGGACTTGTCTCCCGGGAAAACAACACGCGGCTCGTCGATGTGATTAACAAGAAATCGGACATCAGGAATAGCTCCTCCCAGATCCGGCAGCGTAATATTGTTGAAGAGATCACGTATGTGTCGGTCGATAATGCGGACCGGATGGGTACAGCTCGTCTTACCAGACTCGCTGTGAAATGTACATGTCCACACGTCATCGCCGGATGACTGAACGGCTTGTATCGCTTGACGAATCTGCTGGCCACTCACTGCCCACAGTGGCGCCAAGGATTGATACATGGTGTCAAATTCGTCAATGATGACGGATTTTTGCGACACGGCCGACTCAAACCACTCTTTATAGCCTGGTGGAGGGTCCATATTGTAGCGGCTGCGGTATTCTTCGGATGCTGCATGGTATGTGCGGGACTGCTTGGCCAGTAACTCGTGAAAATGGCCCTTTGCACTGTCGATGATTTTCTCGATGGGGTGCTGCTGCTCAGAGCTGGCTACTGCCATCACACGCGAGTGTGACTTGTGGATAGCGAGCGTGTCGCTCATGTAAGGAATGACTGGGATCAGCATCAGCATCCAGAGCAGCTGTTTAGTTGCGGCCGGCCTGGGACACAGAGAGATGAATTGCCCCAGAGCAAGGCCAGCGCCGACCAGATGGCAGATGGTCTCGCTTTCGAAAGATGCGGTGTATGGGCTACGAGTAGCAAAGACGCTGAAGATTTTAATTATGGGCGCAGCTGTCCATGATGCAACTTGGGCCTACTCAGTGTCAGTTTTATGCTTTCCAGGTGTATGGCGCAGTAACAAACCAAGCCGTGGTTCGAGCTTGGCTGTTCTTTTCTTACCGTCTGTATAACAAAGGTCCACGTCAAGCATTTGGTCATGGCAGTTGAAAGCATGAGCGAGATTTGGAACGGGACGAAGCCCAGGAAGAGCAGCTGTATAGCCAACGACAGTAGCAGCAGGGAAATGACACGCGGCGCAAGCCGGTGTATTGATGCGTTTAGATCGACATAGGGAACTTGATTAGGGTTAGTTGATGGCTTAACTAGCAAAGTGGTATAGACAGCGACGTAGCCCAGTAACTGGGCGGTGGACATGGTGAAGCCTAGGATGCTCCATCCGGACAAGCTGTATACGCCAAATAATGCGATGGCGAAGGCGGTTATTGTATTCTTCTCCAGCGATACTTTTCGATATAAGGATTTTTCTTTGAGCAAATGGACATCTGTCCGGAGAGTAGATTCGATCATGAGTACTATAGGTATCAGCAATGGCTATCACCACAAACACCAATGCGCGTTAGCTGTAATTCATAGGCTTCATTTTTACAGTCATTTTCTAAAGGGAGGCACCGTTTTTCACTTTATTCTTTAGGTAACGGAACTCACCAGGAAGCCAATGACTGCATTCTCAGCAGTAAAAAAACAAGCAGTAGCAATTCCAAGTGCAAACAGCCAGCTGGACCCCGAGGAAGTGCCAGACAAAGAAGCCGAGGCAGACGCATCGCCACTGGACTTGGCTTTCCCGCTGCCATACAGAGGTAGGCTACTCTCGTGAAGACGACTGCGCACATATTTCAGCGAGATGGGCAGCAGCATCCAGCAGAGGACTTCAGAGTATATCTCGGCTTGCCGCGACGTGAGGTGCTGCGTGGCGACAGCCGCCAAAAACGCGGCAAAGGGAGCAACTAGCTGTCGTCTTCCACGGCTGTCGACGTCGCGGTGATGGACGTACCCAGTCTTGGACTTCCACATGATGGAGGTAGCAGCGGGCGTGTTGGCTGACGACCAAGCACGGTAGCGAGAGCTTATGACGTCGAGGAGCAGTAGGCGGAATCAGGGCGATTACTCGGACGCATTGGTCAAAATTAATTCAATTAACACACTGCTGTTTCATACTGCTATGAAATGAAGCGAATAGAAATGCAGCTGGAGAGGATGGGAAGCAGAAAAGGTTGATGTTTGTTATTTCTTGGCGGTTTCCCTTTTCAAAGAACAGCAGATGGGGCACAACCGCGTACGTCGTCCAGCGGCCTGAGCGCCTACGGTGGGGTGACCAAACGCCCACGTCTTGGCTCGACGGACGCGCAGAGAGTAAGTATTTAATTCAACCAATTAAATGAACATAATGCCGCTATAAGTTCTTAAAAATAGTATTGTCTTCATGAGAGATCAAAGATCGTGACTGCACTTAAATCAGGCGTTTCTCCAGCCTTAGTTGTTGCAGAGAAATAGAAGCCTCTCTAGAGAGGCTGTCTGGGCGCCCACGAAAGTTTAATAATGTTGATTTAAGAAGAATATTCCATTCATTTACTAATAATATATTTATTAGAAATGTACTTGAAAAGTGTCTCTCAGGAAGAGTAATCTACATGCTGATACTTAGCTGTACCTCTTTTTTATAGAGTTGGGCTCTCTGGATCTTTAGTTATATAAAGCAGTCTCGCTGTGTATTATTTCTGACTTTGTTAAAGCCAGTATTTCCTTTATAAATTACATGAATATATTTTATTTAATATCGTTTCTATTCTTCTCTTATTCTCCTACATAACCTTTCCTATATACCTAATTTCTACTCTTCGTCTCCATCGTTCTCATCCGTTTCATCCTCTGTGTCTATTGAAGTAGAGTGCATCCTAGATTCTTCCCGCCTTGCTTTCTCTCTCTCCTCCCTCGATGCCAGCATAAACAAATCCACCGCATCTGATTCCGCGGACCTGCCGAAAAATACACCCCAGCCCTCCGGCTCATCACTATAGAGGTATCTCGCCCTCAAGTCCGCGTTGATCCATATGGCAGTTGTTATTCTGCAACCAATAAATCACATGTTACAAGTTGTTAAATAACATAAAAATGATAATTAAAACAAGATGCAAATTTTAAACTATCTATATACTTATACATAGATCAAGCAACCGTTCCTCAGACACGGTTCTTTCTGCGTCTATGTTGCTTAGCAGACGGGCTCTCTGGTGTGAAGAATTCATCCTCACAGTTGGAGCTCTCTTCGTCTATCCTGGGCACCCCAAGTGCCTGTATTTGGGCCTGAATTTTGGCCATAGATGAAGTCAGGTCCGCTAGAGTGGCACGTAAATCACCCATCTCAAACGCGGTCGATTTGCTGCTATTAATTCCGTTTTCTTCTTCATCGTCAAGATTATCAAAACCCCGCATGTCCTTGCTGCCGTATGGATTTTGGCTACGCGACCGGTGAGGTTTGGGTCTCCGGGCACTATAGCTTCCAGGCACGCGTAACGGCTTGACTAACTCCGGCGTAGAGGCTGAGTTATTCTTGTTGTACCCGTTTCGGCGCTTCTCTGTTGATCCAGCTAATGTTGTACCTGAATATGAGGGGGAGACGGACCTGGATATACTTTTTTTACTGTTGATAGGAGTAGCGACTTCATCTTCTTCTCCTTCTGTTTCCTCCTCTGTGCTCTCTTCGGCTTCGTTGTCGGTTTCGTCGCCACCTGCTTCTCTCTCATCCTTTTCTTCTTCGTCTCTTGCTGCTGCTGCTGCTTTGATATTTGAAGGCTTATTCTTTTTCAACCCTTTCGTTTTATAATCAGTCTTTTTGTCGAATAATACCGTTCTTCCCGAGCGATATTTGGGTTTCTTAACATTTCTCTCCTTGAGCTCTCTCTCATGAACAATGAGCCATCGCTTTATATTACTGGATATAGTTGGTTTAAGTTCGTGAATAAACCAAGTATGAATGTTTTCAAAGATAACCGTTAGCCGCAGCGCATCATTCACGGCTTTGACATCGCCATCCCATAGTAGGCTCATTTTCTAGTCCAGTGGTGTTAGTAATAACAAAGGGCTACCCAATAATACATATTCGACTTACTATGCCGCCCTTGATAACATATACTACCCACAGTTTAACCTCGCTACCAATTGTAGTCATAGTCAAAACAGGTGGGATTTGTGAAAAGTTGTGGTTCCGGATATCCCACTTGCAGAGCTTCTCAAACATCAAAATGGCTGCAGAACCAGCATTCGCAGCCTGGCAGTAGCAAAATTCCTTGGCCTTCTTAGCCGCTTTGAACTCAGCAATAAACCATGGGAAACAGAAATAGTCGGGTTTCTTGCCGCGGCGTTTTGTTTGCTCTGGTGGGAAGGGCTGGATATGTGCCGACAGACCCTTTTGCGCAAGTAGCCGGAAAGTCGTTTCAGAAAAGTGTATAAAGTTATCCGATTCAAAGTGCTCTTTTAGAAACCACGCTTTGGGTATCTTCAGTTTGCTTATATAGTGGTCATTGTATGCGGGAAATGCCGCTATGTAGTCTGGCTGCGGCATTGTGAGCCCCTCGCGTCGATGTACTCTAAATCCGTCATGGCGATTAAACAATGTCCAGCGCTTATCTCTAATACTATTATAATAGTTAGTAAATTGTTAAATACAGGTAAAACAAACTAGAATTATTCTTTTTCTTTTCTTTGTTCATTACTTACGTCCTAAAGTGGGCATGCAGAAATTTGGAGACGGCGGTCCTACGGATATCTTAGATAACACTCTGGAATCGGCCTCATCAGAGGTATCTTGGAATATGGAATATATACGTACCGCCGGCTGTCATGTCTATCGATCTTGCTGAATCGCTCGAACGGTGTTAAAAAGCGCCCTACATAATAATCTACCCATTTCGATTCGTTCGTATCCGTGGCTTCTGCTATCTCAATGGCCGCCTCGGCGTTTTCTTCGGCTTCTTCGAGTTCATTCTCATTAGCCGCCGGATGTAGCCTGCTCACGTCATTATTGAAAGTAACAATTTGATTCTTGAATCGCTGAATATGCAAGGGCAGGTCGTCGCCAACTCTGTCTATGAAGACAAGACAATCGTTCAGCGTAGTCTCTTTCAAAACCATGGTGAAAGGGTTGACATGAACTAAGTGATATAATTTATGCGGCCATATCTTCACTGGTCATAAGCATTCAATAGTATTGAGATTGAAAGCAAGATATAATGCATGTCATCTATGTGTTTTCGGCGAGGCTGGGCGATAGAACTGATGGAGGAGGGCACCAATCACAAGCTGCATATAGGCGCTGGACGTGTCCCTGCAGACGTTTGCTGACAATTATGCCGCGTTTTAGGCAAATCATCATGTGAGCATATCCGGGTGTAGCTATGGATGCGAGAATAGCGCGATTAGTATATCGATCTACCTGACTTGGATCAACGGAAGGGCAAGGCTGTAGCCGCTAAGAGCGGCATCACAGTATATAACATCTACTTGGTACAGTAGGCTAAGGCAAGTGTAAGGATGTATGAAATGTACATATATTTAGCATTTGATTTACGTCCAGGCTTCCCGGGGATACTATCCCTTGTGTCTCAAGGCTTTGGCCATGGGGGGATGAAAAGAGGGTGTAGGTGTCTCTCATTCTCTCATTGTGCTCAAATGGGACAAGAAGAAGAATTTCAGAGAATCATCTATAATTATTCCTAGAGATCAGCCTTTGGTTTGTTTTTTGGTCATTTTTTTTCTTGCCGCTATTTTGTACTCTATCTCTCCGCCAAGCAGCGCATCGGGCGGCCCGCTAGGTCTGTCTTCTACCCCAACACCGCCCACTACAATTGGTCTCCCCACCATCTTTCCTCCTTCACCTTCTCATCTCCAGTTTCCCCTTTCACTTTCAGCCACAACGCCATGTCTTCTTCTTGATTCTCATCAAAAAGCAACATCTGAAATCATCACTAAATAATAATACGTTACACTGCGGGATTTCACCGACACCATGCATCAGCTACCGGAGAAGCCCCGTAATACACAACCAAAACCTCGCTAAGCGCCACGACAGGCCCGTAAATCCCAATTTAGGCTATCCCCTCAAAAAAGGGCCCTTCTGCAAATACCGGAGCCATCGAGCTGCCTAAAAGAGGCATTGCAAAATCAATTGGCCCCAGTCTCGACCAAAAGAACCTTGGTTCTGGAGCAGAATAGGCAGCCAGCAGCCGAAAAACCTCTACGGCACATCTTCACCGGCGTCATGCTCGGCGTCATCAATTTTGCCAAAAGCCAAAAGATCCAACGCCTCGGCTGTGTGTCAATGCCAAAGTTTAATGCTGTTGCAACTCGACTCGCCCTTTTGCGGACGACGTCCGGGCGCACAGGGCAGACTAGCGGGCATTACATCTCTTGCCCACCAACCAAAAGTGCCCAGAGTCAGCCACCAGATCGCTGGGACACCCCCAAACTCTCACAAAAACACGGCAGAGGATAGCACGCCACCGCCCAGAGATGAACCCCGGGTCCACACCCCAGAGGCCCATCAACCCCATCTGCAGTGGTCATCCATCAGCTGCGCACGACTCGCCCGTAGCAAAAAAGTCACAGGCCAATTCTGCAAGCACTACCCAACTAAGAAGGTCCGTCTTCCCCAGTGGGCTAGCTTGGCCTGTAGCAGCATCCACTTGCGCACGCGAGCTGCACAATGACCATAGCGCGGGCTCGCCGGTATCTTGCGGTAGTTGATTTGGGGTAATGGGGCCGAAAAAAGTTGGGGGAGGCCACACGCCAAAGACGGGATAAATATCGACAAAGTTCCCCCTCCCACCCCTTGGACAGGCTGGTGTTGTTTCCGTCACGCTTCTATCCCTTCCCAAGTCTCACATACTCTTCTCTCAGTATGCGTTGGGCTTCTACTGCTGCGGCTGCCGCCCAGCTGCTTGGCCTTGCCAGCGCCTTTGTGCCTATTGCACCCCTCGTTCACCAGGTCGACCCTCACGCCGCCAACGTTGCCGGCACTGACAAGCTTACACCCGCCGCTCCCAGCTACACTGCCGGCTTCTTCGACCAGCTGATTGACCATGCCAACCCATCCCTGGGCACCTTCAAGCAGCGCTTCTGGTACAGCGCCGACAACTACAACGGCCCCAACTCGCCCATTGTTCTCGCCTCCCCTGGCGAGTCTGGCGTCGAGGAAAAGTACATCAACTTTGGCTCAGCCTACACCCCCAACGTGTATGCTGCCAAGCTTGGTGGCGCTAGCATCCAGATTGAGCACCGTTACTTTGGCAAGTCGCTGCCCTACCCCGAGGACCAGCTCAACACCGAGACCTACCAGTACCACACACTCGACAATGCTGTCCAGGATCTCATCTACTTTGCCAAGAACGTTGATCTTCCCTTCACCAACGGCACATCTACTCCCGATGTTGCCCCCTGGGTCCTTGTAGGCTGCTCCTACTCGGGTGCCCTCGCCGCCTGGGTCCATGCGCTGTCTCCCAACACCTTCTGGGCCTACCACTGCGGTTCTGCTGTTGTCGAGGCTATTGAGGACTTCTGGACCTACTTTGAGCCCGTCAAGGCTGCCCTTCCCAAGAACTGTACCGCTGATTGGCAGCGCATTGTCAAGCACGTCGACTCTGTCCTTGACAGCGGTGACCAGAAGGCCAAGGACGACCTCAAGGCCAAGTTCAACCAGACCGGTACCACCGACGTTCAGTTTGCTGAGGCCATGACCGGCTGGTTGGGTAACTGGCAAGGCCAGCAGCTCTACTCTGGCTACAGCCAGCCCTTCAAGGTCTGCGACTACATTGAGAACCAGTACCCCGGAAGCAGAACCCCCAACCCCGATGCCAACGGTGTTGGTCTCGACAAGGCTATTGCCGGTTTTGCCAATGCTACCCGCGCTGCGTGGTGGAACATTCCTCCTTTTACCGGCCTCGACGCCAAATCTTGGAGCTGGTACCTCTGCAACGAGCCGTAGGTTTTTGTTTTCATCTTTCCATGTCCAATACTAACTGAGAGCAGTTTCGAGTGGTGGCAGGCATATGCCTCGGCCGATACCACCGGCTTCATCCCCAAGCTCTTCACCACCAAGGCCGCCATCAAGGAGGCGTGCCAGGACGTATTCCCCGACGTCAATGGCCACCAGTACGGCCTCAAGAAGGGCCGAACTGTCGAGCAGCTCAACAAGCGCACCGGCGGCTGGAACCAGGTCAACACCAAGCGTCTCATGTGGATCAACGGTCAATTCGACCCCTGGAGAGATGCCACCGTCTCCTCCAGCCGACGCCCTGGCGGCCCTCTCAAGAGTACCAAGGCGGCGCCCGTCTTTGACATTCCCAAGGCCGCCCACTGCAACGACTACATTTACTACAATGCCAATGCCAACCCTGCTGCCGTCAAGATTTTCGACAGCATGGTCAAGCAGATTGTCACCTGGGTGGATGAGTTTTACGCTTAAACAGTGGCCGGCCTCAAGGCCATGACGAAATGTATATGCATAGACATGATATAGACTTTTTAAATACATGTAAATAACGTTTATTTCCGTCTCTTCTGTTCATCATTGCCTATTTTCTGTGATATCAACCTTATTTCCAAAAAGCTTCTTATGGCCCGTTACATCCGTTACTGGCCGTTGTCGATCGTTGACGCATATAGCTAAAAAAGCTACCCCATGGGGCGCAAACTCTGTCTCCAACATCACCACCACCAACCATCAACCATCAACATGCCACACCTTGCGCATGTCTCCGTCGTCGTGCGCGACTATGACGAAGCATTAGCCTTTTACATCGACAAGCTCGGCTTCACACTCGTCGAGGATAAGCCTGTACCGGAGCAAAAGAAGCGCTGGGTGACGATCCGCCCGCCTGGTGCGCCGGAGGGGGCGACGACGATTCTGCTGGCGCGCGCGTCGACGCCGAAGCAGCTGGAGACGGTGGGGAAGCAGACGGGGGATAATCGTGTGTTTTTGTTTCTTGCGACGGATGACTTTGAAAGGGATTTTAAGAGGTTTTCGGAAAGGGGGGTGCGGTGGGTGAGGGAGACGAAGGTGGAGGAGTATGGGACGGTGGCGGTGTTTGAGGATCTGTATGGGAATCTGTGGGATTTGGTACAGTTTAACCACTAGGAAGAGTTCCGGGTCAATTAGGTTCAGGTGTATGAAAGCTGGGGGGGATGAGTGCGAAAGTGGTTCGGAGATAGGGTGGGATGCTATACAAGTTGAGGAGGGTGTGGTGTGGTGTTTGGGATTGATGGTCACAAATTTTTGGAATGAGGTAATTGGGTTGATAGTTTGGCTTGAGGTCGTACAAGGTAGTTTGAAAAGTTAAAAGAGGTTATTGGAATGATTGGTAGTGGGAGTAGGTGGAATAATCTAGCAGCGTACGTTGCTGTGATTATGTGGTATTTGAAGTCTGTGGGACGAATGAAATGACGCCTGCTAATAATACAATTCCGATTACTATCTTCTATGCGTGGAAGCAGTTGCTCCAGTGTGGATTCTTGCCAGTTTCACTATATCACAGTTAGCTACGTCTCTTCGATTGAAAGGCATTTAGATGGTGGACCTCCAGTCGAGGACGGAGGGAACTTACACATCACCGCTTGGAAACTGGTTCGGATCATCTCTCCTTGGAGCTGGCTTTACTCTCTTGTCCCACCCAAACCACGCAGCCATCTTTCCCGGCTTTTTTCGTCGCTGCTTTCCTACGCCTGTGTTTTCGGCCTTGCCTGTGCCGGCTTTGAACGCTTGTCGTTTGCGCATGTTCTTCTTCCGTTGGCAGCCAAACCACCAGACGAGTATGAAGACGACGGCCAGTGGGATGGCAACAGCAAGGCCTATTACAAGACTATTGTTGTTGTGGTTTCTATTCGCAACGCCGCCGAGGGCTGCTGTTATTCTATGCTCGTCGGGTGTCAGTATAAGACAAGCCTGTGCGGTGATGTAGAGGAGATTACCTTTAGGATCATGGTGGATATGGTATACTTATTGGAAATTCAAAATTTTAATACATTATAAAAGGAAGTGGGAATTGAAACAGCTAAATAAATAAGAAATAAAAGAAAGCTCCAATGCCAGACACAGCCTTGTGGTCGTCCATGATGTAATGGTGGAGTTGCACTGCCGCAGCCAAGACCCTCGGGCGCTGAAGGATGTGCTGGTGGCGGGGCGGCAGCGCCTACAACACCGCTACAACAAACAACCTCTAAACTCTACACATTACAGCCTTGCCAAAACCACCACTAGCCTATCGCTACCATTGTTCCTGATATAAATATATACTACAACACTAACGGCATAAAATCCCATCATAATGGTCTACACGATTGTCGTCCACCTCTACGCCAAAGAAGGCGAGGACAACATTGCCCGCCTCCACGCCAAGCTCATCGAGGCCAGCCGCATCTACTCGCAGGACAAGGAGACCATTTCCTGGTTTGTTATGCAAGACACTAAAGACCCGCGAGCATTTACTATTGTCGAGAGATATGAGAAAGAAAGCGTACGTATAGTTCCTCAGTCGTCTGTTGTGCGGCAGCTAACAGAAGACCTCATACAGAGTCAAGAGTATCACCTTAACAACCCGTACTGGAAGACATTCGATCCATATGTGATTCCCCTGCTGGAGAAGCCCATGGACTTGCGACGATTTGAAGAATTGGACACAAGCAAGGCCGTCGAGGTGCCCAAGTAGAGTGAACCATGGAAAATACCCCTCAACAGAGCAGCTTTTGATACGGTGTGGGAAGCTACGATAAGGTTGACCAGGAACATAAACAATCTGATTATACACTACGGCATCAATTACGCTTATAAAAATCTCAATTAAAAGCTACAATCTAATTCAAAATATATACATTGCATTTTTATTACTAAATTATATGCAAACAATTATTTACGGCTGATCTGAGCTCATCGGCGAATCGTCAAGGGTAGCTTACCCGCCTCCCCGCCAATCAGGATCAGCGTATCCGCCGACACGGCACCTCCGGCTCACCACCAAAAACTTGCGTCACCAGCAGAACTTCAAAGAAGCATCGGAGAATTCACGCAGCGCCGCCTCTCCGCCCGGCCGATTCTTACAAAAGCCCGCCGCATCCCATACACCTACGAATCCTACACATATATACACACAAACAAACACACAGCATGGACTACGTGCAGCAGCGAGTAGCCGAAGAAGCGGCCCGTCTCGGCGCCAGGTAAGCAAAGCAAACCACCACCACTAACCTCACCACCACGTTCTTTAGGGCTAACCGACGATATTTAGCGACTCTCTCTTCACCCCCCTCAACGTCATCCTCTTCAGTGCCGTCGCCTACGCCGCCTACGCCTTCCTCAAGACCCCCGAGCCCGCGACCCTACCTAAGCCCCCTCCTCCCGTTGTCTTCAAAACATACACCCCGCGCACGCTGCTCCCGCTCAACGGCGAAAACGACTCCCCCGTGCTGCTCGCTGTTCGCGGCCGCGTCTTTGACGTCACGCCCGGCCGCAACTTTTACGGCCCGGGCGGTCCCTATGCCAACTTTGCCGGTCGGGATGCTAGCCGTGGTCTCTCGCACGGCAGCTTCGATGAGGATATGCTGACAAAGGATCTGGATGGGCCTTTGGATACGCTGGCGGATTTGACGCCCGATCAGGTCGAGGCGCTGGATGGTTGGGAGTCGAGGTTTTTGGAAAAGTACGAGGTTATTGGCAAGTTGGTGTCGGTGGAGGAGTATAACAAGATTAAGCAGGAGAAGGCTTAACTGCGAGGTGTTGAAGAATAATGGAAATATAAGAATGTCAAAATTACAGCTGTCATGAATACAGAAAGTGTACAATGGAATCAGTAGCCTTGTGCACCACTGCCTGCTTCATCCGCGCAGGCATCTCTCGTTGTGATAACAAAGTACGTGCTATCAATTACACTTGGCGCAGCCTTCCGGAATGGCGCAATAGACCCCGAATCCAGCTGACCGCTATGCGCCCGCTGCTGTGTGCCTCTTAGCAAGTTTGAGGCTCACACTGTATACTTGGTGACGCCGGCTGTAGCCTCCCTCTGCTGGCGGCGCGCGCAACCATCTCATTCCTTCTACTTTGTAATAAAGCAAAGGGAGACACGTCTGCATCTTAAATGACAACTGACAACAAGGCCAAAAGTCCCGTGACGCTGCGACACGACTCGGTACTTGCCATTCCATTTCCGTCGCCGGCCGACGCCACGCCGTCCGTAAATGGCCGTGGTCCACCTTGATGGCACTGAATCGCCCTACAAACTCGCCAAAGGCTAGCCAAAGGCTAAAAGGGCCGCCTAAAACGAGGCGGCATTCACATGTATCTTTTTCTAACGGTTCTCATGGCGTAGATACTTTGGGGGGCCGTGCCATACCGCTGGGTCCGGTTGTCGGCGCCACACTATTACACGCTTACAACCGCCCTGGCGGTCAATTAGCTTTTTCTCTGACGACAGTGACGTTTTCTTCTTTTTCTTCCCTTTCCAACGTTTCTAGAACAAAGTTCCCCTTCTATCCTTCGTTTGATTCTTTTATAAACCGAGACTCGAAGTCAGTCAGTCACAATGACACAGTCGTCGCCGCTGCTCACCGTGCCCGTCGAGATCCGCTACATGGTCTACCAGTACCTTCTCGACGCTGGAAAAGAGCGCCGAATCACAATCCAGAATAAACCAGGTCTACCGCTCTCCCGCAACTTCGACCACTTTGGCAACAAGCGCCGCACGCCGTACTATGTCCAGGGCAAGGCCATGGACCGGCGCGTCTACGAGACAACCTACGCCCTTGCCGACGATACGGACGTCCAGATACATCCAGCCATTCTCGCCGTCAACAGAAAACTGCGCCGCGAAGCCTCCGAGTATCTCTACGGCCGCCACTCGTTCCACTTCGGCGACCACATCGAGGCCGTGGCGCCGTTCCTGCGCGACATGACCTCCCCGACACTCGACTTGCTCAAGGAAATCACAATACGCAAACGAGCGCCCCTGCGCGGGCTTGAGACGGATAGCTCGTCGTGGCTGAATATCTGCAAGCTCATCTCGACGCTGCCGCGACTGCGTAAGCTACGTTTGATTGTGGAGGGTGGATGTCCCACGCGGCCGTGGGACGGACCCCAGATGCTCAATGTGTCGGATATCAAGCTGCTGCATGCGACGAGGCACGAGTGTCTAGATTGGGTGACGGGATTGGGGCTACTGAGGAGTGTTGAAGAGGTTGAGATTTGCGCAGAGCTCGGGTTCATGATGGAGCCGACGACGTCGCCGGCGCTTATCTATGCGGCGCTGTCGGCGTCGATAGAGACGACGCTGGTGGAGTATTTGAGAGTTGAGATGGGTATTTCGGCAACGGCTGGAGGCGAGTAGTGTATATGTGATGAAGGGATTGAATTATGACTTGACGAATCTGTAAGAGAGCGCTGGCTGTTGCGCTGTTTGGAATGAGCATCCTTAGTCGCGCTTGACGAACGTTTTTTGCGTTTGGAGTATTATTGGTTATTGTAGTTGGAATCATGTAGATAGAGCTAGTACAGGGTGTAGTAAAATATAAATAATCACGCCTGATGTCATTCTGTTAGTAGCAACATGTTGTTTGTAGGATGCGCCCCCATTGGAGGCAATTGCACCCAGGGGAGGCGGAAAGCATCAATTCAACTGATTTTCAGTAGCCTTCCATTAACAAGGCAATACATTTTGAGAATAAAAAGCAATCATTCCTGTCGGAGAATATTCCTGTCGGGTTTGCTCTGGAATGACGAAAGTGACATACTTCAGCTGCTACCATCACGTGACAGACGTTGCGCGGCTCCGTCGTCACCTCCGAGATCCTCTACCAGAGCTCACCGAAGCTGCTCAGCATCCTGCGACTCGGCAGCCACGCAATTCTTTTGTGCAAAATCCCACGGAAGCGCCTTCTAGACCGCCGCCTGCACTCGAATTCCCTTTTGTCTCTTCCCGAATTCCTCTGCAAGTGACTGCAGGCCGCACAACGGGCCTCCTGGCAGCTTCTCTGCTTTATACCCCGCTGGTTCCGTCACAATGTCGACAATGGCCACATCCGCGCCGCCAGAGGACCAGGCTAGGCTCCTCGAGGATGCTCTGGTAGCCGTCCGCCAGCAGACATCGCTCATGCGCAAATGCATCGACACGCCAGGCAAGCTGATGGACGCTCTCAAGTGCTGGTACGTCATCGCCTCTCCCATGACCCAACCGTCACCTCAGACAGTTATTGTTAACTCGATTCTATAGCTCTACCCTCGTCTCCGAATTGCGAACAAGCAGCCTCGGCCCCAAGCAGTACTATGAACTCTATATGGCCGTCTTTGATGCCCTCCGCTACCTCTCCGTCCACCTCCGCGAGAACCACCCCGTCAACCACCTCGCCGACCTCTACGAGCTTGTCCAGTATGCCGGTAACATTATTCCCCGATTATATCTCATGATTACAGTGGGCACGGCCTACATGTCCATTGCTGAGGCCCCCGTCAAGGAGCTCATGAAGGACATGATGGACATGAGCCGTGGTGTCCAGCACCCCATCCGCGGCCTCTTCCTGCGATACTACATGTCTGGCCAGGCGAGGGATTACCTGCCCACCGGCGACAGCGACGGCCCCGAAGGCAACCTCAACGACTCCATCAACTTTATTCTTACCAACTTTGTCGAAATGAACAAGCTCTGGGTCCGTCTGCAGCACCAGGGTCACTCCCGCGAGCGTGAGCAGCGTATCCGCGAGAGACGTGAGCTCCAGCTGCTTGTTGGCAGCAACATTGTCCGTCTGAGCCAATTGGTCGATCTCCCCACCTACAAGACTAGCATTCTTAGCCCGCTGCTGGAACAGGTCGTTCAGTGCCGCGACGTCCTTGCCCAAGAATATCTCCTCGAAGTCATCACTCAGGTCTTCCCCGACGAATTCCACCTGCACACCCTCGACCAGTTCCTCGCCGCCGTGTCCCGCCTAAACCCTCATGTCAATGTCAAGGCTATCGTTATTGGTCTGATGGACCGCCTCTCCGACTTTGCCGAGCGAGACGGAAACCCCGAAAAGACGTCAGAGCGCGGTCAAATGGAAACCGAAGCGCTTGCTGCTTTGCTAGAAAAGACGAAACTTGAACAGGAAGCTGAAAAGGCCAAGCCAAAGCCAACCGAGGGCGACGAGGGTGACGAAGCAAACACCGAAGCTACCGCGGCCGAGAATGGCGACGATGCTGATAAGCCCACTGAACCTGCCGACGGTGAAGAGGCTCCCAAGACAGAGGGTGGTGCCAATGGCGAGGGTGCTGATGCTGCTGCCAAGAAACCCTTGTATGAGGTGTTCTTTTCTCAAGTCAAGAACCTAGTTGAGGCTCAGCACTTGCCCATACAAGATACCATTGCGCTGCTGGTTTCTCTCTTGAACCTTGCTCTGAACAACTACCCCGATCGCCTCGACTATGTCGACCAGATCCTCTCATATGCTACTATTAAGACGAAAGAAAATATCAACAATGCCGACCTTCACTCCGTACCCGCTCAGCAAAGCCTACTTGCTTTGCTGCAGGCCCCTCTCGACCGATATGTTTCCATCTTTACTGCCCTATCCCTGCCGACCTATGTCTCGCTTTTCCAAGCCCAGTCTTATCCCACCCGTCGCGCCGTCGCTGGTGGTATTATCCGAACCCTACTAAAAGACCAGACCAAGATTAGCCAGGTCGACCAGATGGAGCATGTGCTCAACATCATGGCTGTGCTTATCAAGGAGGGCTCCCAAAATGGCCAAGGATACACGGGCAATGCCCCGCGCAGAAACATTGAAACAGACGAGACGCTACAAGAGCAGGGCTGGTTGGCCAGACTCGTTCACTTGGTGGATTCCGAGACCAACGATACACAGTTTAAGCTCTTGCAAATGGTCCGCAAGGCGTACGCTGATGGTGGAGACCGCATTCGCACGACCACACCACCTCTTATTACCGGCTGCCTAAAGCTTGCACGACGATTCAAGACTCGTGACGGCCTCGACGACAACTGGGAGACGCAGAGCAACGCGCTGTTCAAGTTTATGCACTCGGCACTTAGCACTTTATACTCTCGCGTAACTGGTGCTGGTGTTGCAGAGATGACACTGCGCTTGTTCTGTGCTGCTGGTCAGGCTGCCGATATGACAGGTTTCGAGGAAGCCGCATATGAGTTTTACGCGCAGGCGTTTGTTATTTACGAAGAGGCTGTATCTGATTCCAAGGCACAGTTCCAGGCGGTTTGTGCCATTGCCACATCGCTGCACCAGACGCGAAACTTTGGCAAGGAAAACTACGATACTCTTATTACCAAGTGTGCACAGCACGGCAGCAAGCTCCTGCGCAAGCCAGACCAATGCCGAGCCGTTTATTTGGCCAGCCACTTGTGGTGGGCGACGCCTATCCAGGGCAACAAGGAGACTGAAGAAACCGATGTAAGTGATTACTGCAAAACCTAATGGGGAATGCAAGATATGGAGGCTAACTTGATACAGCTCTACCGCGATGGAAAGCGAGTGCTTGAATGCCTGCAGCGTGCCCTGCGCGTGGCCGACTCGTGCATGGAGACAGCCACTTCGATTGAGCTGTTTGTCGAGATTCTCGACCGCTACGTGTACTACTTTGACCAGCAAAACGACTCTGTGACGACCAAGTACCTGAACGGCCTGATTGAGCTGATTCATTCGAATTTGGCGGGCAACCAGCAGGAGTCTGCGTCTGTGGAGGTGAGCAAGAAGCACTTCCACCAGACACTGGAGAACATCCGCAGCCGACAGTACGAAGGCATCGTGTTGTACCCTTCGTAAGCGGTTTACGAATGTCTTGTGCAATCTGTAGTCTACTGCTTAAAGACGTGTTTGAAAAAAGGATGGAGGATGGGGGAATGCATGCGGAGGCAACGCTGTACATTTTACATTATCCTTTGCTAAGCGAGGATACATTTTGTTTTTTCTTTTGCTTTCTTTCCATGGAACAGTGCGGTAAACTAGTTTTCTTATAGTCTCTCGAAAGTTCTATCAGTGTGGCGGAAAGCTTGCTATAAAATCATTAAGAGAGAGAGAGAGAGATCAACTATAATGAATATTCATCAACTATGCAAACTAAAACTCCTTGGTATGGGCTTAAAGATCACAAGCTTCCTTTTAAGGCGTATAGGTCTATCCATCCCCCATAATCACATGCAGCTAAACTTAAATCAGTAGATCAGTCTACATATGTACCATTCCCTTGGTCCTTACATACTACGATACGAGAAGTTCACTGGCTTGGGTCTTTTAGCCTACATCGGGTATCGATAAGTACCAGGCAAAGGTGTTGCCTGTCACTGTCAGGCTTCTCGCTTAGAGAGGCGGCGGGTTGTCACGGCACTAATAACACTAGTCTCAGCGGTCCATCTGATGCAGGGTGCAAGCGATGCAGCGCAGATCCCCGACCTCGGCACGGCTGAAATCTTCCACACAAACAGTGTACTTTCAATTAAGCCAAATAATCGTTTGAAAATATCCAAAAAGGGCCTAGTTGGTGTCTTAACAGGTTTAGAGTTGTTAAAGCTATAGGAGGTCTTTTCTTATGCAAGCATAAGAAAACACAGATGCTCGCTTAACTCACAGAGACGAATACTGCATACCTGAACTTACGTTATGAATTTTCAACGCTTAGTTTTCGCCTCGGTACGCAAACTGTGGCGTCCGGGGAAGCTAGCTGTCATCAGTCTGTCAGCCAGAATAGGAAGGTCTTGACAATGTCGCTTGCAGCTTATACGGATATAAAAGGCTGGAACCAGATAGCTGGTTCAATGTACGCAAGCATACGTATTATGTTATGTAAGAGCTTGAACAAGAGGGTGTGCATTAGAATAAAGTTGCGTAATATATGTTCGTGTAGATGTCTGTAGACTGGCTATAAGAGCCCTTCTTTTCCCAAGACAAGACATATCATATCAAATTGAACCAACTCAGCCTAGTTACTCTCTTGCTACAATAATGCGTCTTCTCACTACTCTTCTCAGTCTTTCTCTAGCAATTGCTACTCCCATCGAGCATGCGCTCTTGACAGTGCTTCTGATGTGGATAAGAATGGCAGCATTCAGAAGCGAAGCTCTACTTCGGATGCGTGGGGCGGTGCCATGCAACAGGGCACGGGCTGGTACTATGTTGAAGGCACAGTGACGGTCCCATACGTCTCTGGACAAGGCTCCAACTATGCTGTCTCTGCGTGGGTTGGTATTGATGGTATGTTTCTACGGCATGTTAGTTAAGCGCGCTTCTAACATCGTGTCTAGGTTGGTCATGCAACAACGCCATCTTGCAGACAGGTATCAATATCTACGGCGATGGCACCCTTGGCGGGTGGACACAGTGGTACCCTAGTCCATCTAAATGGTATGACACCCGCCTGAGCTTCCAGGCCGGCGACAACATTCGCATGACTGTCTCAGCTAGCTCTGCAACTGATGGCACCACCACCCTCACCAACCTACGTACTGGCCAGACCGTCACCCAGCAATGGTATGGAATGGCCCCTATCTGCGGCAATACGGCGGAATGGATTGTCGAGGACTTTACCGGCTACGATGGTTACCATGTACCGCTGGCTAACTTTGGCTCTATTCCCTTCTACAATACTGTTGCCTCTGGAAACAGAGGTAATGTCAACGCTGTTGGCGCTGATATTGTCAATATTGTGGTTAACGGCCGATACAAGACGGACTGTGGTTCCAATCAGAATGGTGTTCAGTGCAACTACCTCAATTAGGCCCTGTCTGATAAGACGTGTTAGAGGGCGTGGGCTGGTATAGGCCTACGGGAGCCTACGGCAAATTGTATAGTTCTAAAAGTAGTGCCCGCAGAATCTGCTGTGGGATTATGTCTTTCTACTTGTTGGCTTTTATGCTATTTTATTATCGATAGTTACATCTTTATATCTTTATGTCTAGTGTTACCTGTGGGTGTTGTAAGGACTGCGGGGGATCTAATGACAAGCTCTCCAAACCCCTAGCGTTATTTCTGGCTTTCTATATATTAGTTTTATTTACTATTATTCTCTAAGAAAATACATGAATTTTCTACCTGACTCTTTGTTTGTACTGTATGTGTGCTATGACGGGTGTTTCGGGAGACAAGGGGAAGGGGTCCGAGGGGAAGTGAATCTACAATGTAACCTTGGTTGTCGATGCAGCGTATCACTTGGCAAGATGAATTCTATTTTGAAATACGGTTGCTTTACCACGTTTTACTCCCATTTTACTATAATTTTTGTTTTGTTTGGTGTTGTTTATTTAAATTGCGCAGCACAACCCATCTATTGAAATACTCCGCCACACTTCGCCAAGCCCCCCCCCTAAAACGGCTCACTGTAATGCGGGTTAACGGCGCTGCGCTTTGGTAGGACCCAGCGCATGCTGCAGGTCAACTCCAGGCGCTAACAGTGCTGTAACAGCAGCGTGGCCAGGCTGGCGCAGCGCAACGCAACCAAAAAGAGGATTACGTGGGAACCGCTTCGAAACGCCAACTCTCTCCTTTGTTCATTCATCACCACCGACGCCACGCAAAAGGACGCATCGACAAAGGGGGGAAGCCATCATCACGACTGCGGCTGCTTTTCTTCTCTTTGCTTTGCTTTACACTCTCTTGTTTTCCTTTTCCTTCTGTAACGTGCTCTACAGGACACTGTATTCTTCCACTGCGGCCCGCCTCGGCATCGTCATCGGTCGCCTGCGTCAGCAACAACTTCTTCTTCTTCTGTACTATAACTAAGCGACGTCTACGATTTATCTCATCGTCACGAACTTGCACCCATCTAGATACATGTCATCATAGCAAACGAGGCCCCCGCGCCAATCCCTATAATCAGCCATGCCTTCAGAGAAGCAGCCCTTCTACGACCCGGTGCCTCCGACATACGATGAGGCTCTTGCCGGCAGCAGTCGACGCCGCGAAGATGCCTGGTCCCAGCGCGACGAGCGTGATGCTCCCAACACCGAATCAGAGTCGCTGTTGCGCCAGACGGGTGGCACATCTGCCAGCTCGTCGTCACGCCGCCCCCACGGATACAGACCACCGACTGTCGAGACGGACGACGAAGATTCCCTGTTTGATGGCCTGAGCGATGACGACGAGGAAGACGAGGTCCGTCAAGTGATGGAAGAGATGGACATGGAAGAACCCGAGTCGAGAACGTCGCGATGGAGAAAACGTATGCCGTTTGGACTCTCGCTCCCGCGGTTCAAGTGGCCGAGCTTCCCGCGCGTGCGCATCCAGTTGCCCTCGGGCCCTGGCGGCGAGAGTAGCTCCTCCAATAACGATAATAATAATAACTCGGAATCGACAACGACCCCGACAACTACATGGACGCTTCCGGCTCTCCCCAAGATTGATGGCGTGACGGTGCTGGTTACGGTAGCCAGGCTGCTCGCGCTCTTCATTCTGATGGGCTTCTTCTTCTTTTTATTTACAAGTGGTCTGCTCGTCAGCCCGTCGCAATCGAGAGGCGGAGGACGATACCCGCCGGCGTCTGTCGAGCACCATATTCTCAACAATATCAAACCCGAAACAATCCGCCACAACGTGGAGCATTACTCCAAGTACGCGCATATGGCTGGCACAAGGGGCAGCAGGGGACTTGCGGACGATATGTTCAAAATGTTCAAGCATGCAAAACTACCTTATTACGAGGAGGACAAGTATGAAGTGTATCTGAACTACCCCAAAGAAAATGGCCGCGCCGTCGAGCTCATGGACGCTTCAGGCGAACACGTCGAGTTTAGTGCTGTACTAGAAGAGGACGAGCGCCACGTTGAGACGAGCGGACACCAAACATATGTCTTTCACGGCCTGTCGAGATCGGGCGATGTCAAGGGTCCTCTTATATATGCGAATTACGGATCTAGACGAGATTTTGAGAAATTAAAGGAGGCAGGCATCGATACCAAGGGTGCCATTGCGCTTGTTAGATATTACGGCCCCGTTGACACGGCAGGCCTCAAGGTCCAGGCTGCTGAGGCCGCCGGCTTTGCTGGCTGCTTGATATACAGTGACCCTGCGGACGACGGGTTCAAGAAGAGTAAAGAGGCGCCAGACGGTAGCGGAATGCCCAAGGGTGCTGTTCACAGAGACACAGTTGCCCTGTCACATCTTGTCATGGGCGACATTCTCACCCCCGGCTGGGAGAGCAAGCCCGAACTGCCGCGCCTGGAGATGCAGAATGTCCACATGGTTAACATTCCTAGTTTGCCGCTTTCGTGGCGCGACGCCGAGGTCTTGCTGAAGCGTCTGAAAGGACACGGCGAGATCGTCGCCGAGAACTGGAAGGGTGCGGTTCCTGATGTCGAGTGGTGGACGGGCAATGTCACATCCCCCATTGTGCGACTGAAAAATGAGCAAGACGAAGTGAGGCACCAGGAAATTTACAATGTATACGGAAAGATTCTCGGCCAAGAGCAAGGCGGCAAGTCCATCATCATTGGCAACCGCCGCGATGCCTGGTCTTTTGGTGCCACTGACCCTCACTCTGGCACAGCCATCATGTTAGAATTGGCACGCATCTTTGGCGAGTTGCACGAGTTTGGCTGGCGTCCGCTGCGCACTATCGAGTTTATGTCTTGGGATGGTGGCGCGTACAACAATATTGGATCTACTGAGTATGTCGAGATGAACCTGCAAAGACTACGGAACGACGCTTTTGCATACATTGACCTCAATGCCGCAGTCTCTGGCCGTGAATTCCGCGCATCGGGATCGCCAATGTTTAAGAAGATACTGCTCAGCGCGCTGGACCGAGTACAGGATCCATTTACGACCAAGTCGATGCGTCAACTGTGGGAGGAGCGCCGTGGCGAGATTGAGAATCTCGGCACGGACAGCGACTACGTAGCCTTTCAGAACATTGCGGGCACCAGCTCACTTCACTTGGAGTTTACCGGCAACGTCTTCCCGCGCCACTCGAGCTTTGACACGCACGACGTTGTCGAAATGCATACCGATCCGGGCTTTGAGTATCATGTCACCATGGCCAAGATTGTATCCTTTATTCTGTACGAGCTAGCCGATCTTAATATCTTGCAGCTTGACCTGCACTCGTACGGCGAGAGTCTGGGCCACTGGATCGACGACCTGCAGCAGTGGATCAACGATCAGCCCGGCCATAAGGAGGACAAGCAAAAGTTTAGCCTCGACGAGATGCGCCAGGCCGTAGATACAGTCAAGTCGACCGTAGCCCACTTCGAGGAGTGGGAACAGTCGTGGAAGGCGGCCACGCGCAACTCGCGCGGCTGGGAGGACGACCAGATTACGGAGCTGCGCAAGGCATACAATGACCGCATGGGTCAGTTTGAGACGGCGCTCCTCGATCAGTCGCAGGTCGGCGGTGGATTGCCAGGCAGAAGCCAGTTCCGACACATGGTGTTTGGGCCGCAGCTGTGGCCGGATCGCAAGGATGCGTATTTCCCACTGATTCGGGATGCTATTGTCGATGGCAATTATACTGTTGCGCAGGAGGGCGTGCAAAAGATTGCAGAGCATATCCGGCGTGCGGCGAGGGCGCTTGAGTCGCCTACTCATCAGTCACTATAGGCCGGCTGCTACTGCAAGTTATGTATTTATGGCGTTGGAATTGGCATTTGTACGATTTGTTTGTTTGGAAAGCATGTATATAGCGACATCATTACGTATTTTCATACACTTTTCTTTTTGGTTCTGACTACTGTCTGCACGCTGCACTGAATTCAGATTTGCGACTGCAAACCCGAGGCTGTACACTTTTCATGATGCATGTTTTAATAAGGTAACAATTTATTATTTTGACTCCCAACGCCGTTTCCAATGCTATAATGTATAAAAATGCAGCCCATGTAAACGCAAGTAAAAACTCATCCGCCGCTTTTGCTATGTACTATCCCCGTCAAGACTTTCGTCTATAGTGTCTCTCGTCTACCATTTAAGAACACCCTGGGGGAAAAACTCCTCAATCAATTCCATATAATAAGGCTTAAGCTCCTCCACGCTCGGCACATCATCGCTCTTGCTATACAAATCATACGGGTTAAACGCCTGCACGGCCTTGAGCATATCCTCGTCCCGCTCACACATGAGATCGCGGTACGCGCCCTCACGGTGCCACGGGTAAAACGAGTGGTACCGAATCATGGCGAGCGCCTCAGCGGGCAACAAACTCTGGTCGCGGACAACATGGTACAAGTACTCGTCATGGCCCCAGGACAGCATGACATTGTCGAGGCCGCAGCCCTTGGTATAGATGCCCAGCGGCGTGGAGTAGATGGGGTCCTTGGTGTCCGGGTTCGCAGCAAACGTCTTGGGCAGAATAATGCGCTCGTCAAACTTGCATCCGACGGGAAACGTGTCACCCACAACGTCCCACTGGCCTTGGGTCTCGAGCTCAGGGAAGAAGAGCATCAGCTTGCCCAAGTCGTGGATGAGGCCGGTGATTTGCATCCAGCGGGGCTTGCCGTCGCGGCGGATGGCCTCGGCCGACTGGAGGAGGTGCTCGATCTGCGAGAGGGAAGTGTCCGGGTCAGACTCGTCCACGAGCGTGTTGAGCTTCTCCATGGCCTGCCAGATTGTGAGTTCTGGGCGGACGCGGGAGGCCGAGTGGAAGCGGTTGCGGGCGGCGAGGTTGTATGCGACGGTCTGCTTGGCGTGCTGCTCGGCGTAGAAGTTCTGGACGCGGTCGCAGGCGGTTTCGTACTGGCGGAAGGTGGATTTGTCCTTGGTGGCGTCGAACTGGGACGACTCGTCGTACTTGATCTCGTTGACGGTGTCGATGAGGTCGGAGACGGAGTCGAGCTCGGGGCCCGAGGGGACGGGGATGGCCTTGGTGGCCGGGATGAGAGGAGGGGAGATGGCTGTAGGGGCCATTTTTCTTTGTCTTTCTGTCTCTTTAGCGGTGGAGATGAGATTCGGTGATGTTGCGTGTGGTGTTGTTTACCACTGCTGAGATGTAAATGGGAGGTATGATGGTAGCACGGCAGCGGGACGATAGATGGGAGATGAGAAACGCCAAAAAAACAAAGCTACGAGGGATCCATGGGAATAAATACTTAACATGTCACGGCATTCGGCAAGTCCAAGCCTCGACCGCCGTTGTGATGGTCGGGGAGATCGTGTAAGCGTGCGGCCGGCGGGCATTGACAAAATAGGCGATTTTGAAATTTCGCTTCGGGGGGAGTTGCTGGATTAGGAGATTTGCCGGCGCGAAATACCGAGTAAGGAAATGTGGGGGCGCGGGGGGGACCCCCACGTGTGACGATGGAAAGCGAATAGAAGAATTGGGATTTGGCATTTAGCGGCGAAGCGCGAGATGCGTGACGTGATGAAGCGAGGGAATTAGTGCGGGGATGTGTCTGTCCTGGGAAAATGTGGCGTGTGTTTAATTTATCGAAGGAGATGGATGGGTGACGTGGGAATGGAAACAGTGAAGTGGAGGGGGAAGATGTTGATGGTAGTGGTGGGAAGGCGGCAGTTCGGTTGCAGAGAGAATGGTGAGACGGCAGATGAAGAAGGCAGTGGAAGAATCAAGAGGAGTTGTATTAAACATCAGAAGACAAGGAGGTCGTAATTAGGTTATAATAGAGTGTATTTGCGGTACATGTCTAATTGTTGTGTGACATGTAGTGGAGGGAGCAGGGAACAAGCGGTGGTCTGGGTTATGTAACGCTATTCTCGCGATCCCCCCCGTCATCTTCTGAGCTGAAAATAGTCAGTAATGTTGTATAATAGGTCATCCGTCCCATAGCCTAGTGGCTTATCGATATTACGTTGTATCCATAGCATACAATTTATGAGACGTCGCCTGGTACGTGGAGGCTTGTAGGTGGTATACGCTGTCCAGAGATACTCGTACTATAACCGCTCTATCCTGTGGATTACGGATATATTGGAATATAATTAGTTAGCGTCTAGTAATCTCAATGAGCCTTTGCCAGCTTTGCTCTGAGTATCGCCATTAATAAGCCTGCATCTGCATCGTCTACTAGGAAGATCGACGCAATACAGGCAAGCAAGCAGATAATTAGCAGCTAAAACTAAGATCAAATATTCCAATATTCAATAGATAATTCTCTTTCCATCATTGTAAGCTGCTCTTGGCCATCTGTCCTTCCCAGCCCATAGCGGTGCTGGAGCTGACCTAGGCTAGGGTTAGGGTCATGTCAGCACAAGAGCGGATCATCTCCGCATTGAGCAGCCTCGCTCAACACTTGACTCGGGCCAATGCAACGCAACCAAATCTCCCGACTCTCCCCCTCACCTCACCCTCAGCTGCCGCCTTCTTTTATTATTTCCGTCACCCTCCTCCTGCAAATAGACGCATCAAATGCCCTGACATGGCCGCCAACGACTACTCCGGCGCGCCGTCCAGCGCCACCTCGGCACCCGAAGAAACCGGCTCCCACGCCGGCGCATGCACCCTCTGCCGCCGCAAGAAACAAAAGTGCTCCCGCGACGATCCGTGCCGGTCCTGCATAGCCTCTGGGAGTGTCTGCGTTTACGAGGACGGCCAGCGCCGCGGCGCCAAGCCGGGATACATTGATGCCCTCGTCAAGCGCATGGACACGCTCGAAGCTCTTGTGCTCGGCCAGTCCCTACTGCTCTCCAACACATTGTCCGCCGAGGGCTTGCCGCCCGTCCAGGAATCGACCAATCTCGAAGATCGCCTCACTAGCGTCCGGCAGGCCCTCCTTAAACCGCAGCCACAGCAATCGCTGCCCGTCCAGGCCAAGCGACAGCGAACGCAGAGCTCCGTGGCAGACTCGCCCGCCTCAATATCCTCGGTGCCCCCAAATCCCGCGCCGGCAAGTGTCTTGGGATCGTCTACATCGAGTCTGGCTGCCCGACAAAAAGTCCTGCCTCCGCCGTCTATGATGCGCGACCTGGTCAATATATACTTTACTAGGATTCATCCGTGGATTCCGATTCTGCATGAGCCGACTTTTGAAGCTATGATGCGCGCCAAGGACGGATACGGGCAGCCCGCAGATGTTGTTCTCCAGGCGATTACTTCGGCGACCATTCGATTCTACAATACAGATAGACAGACGCAGGACCTGTACCACTCACGTTGTCATGATGCCGTTGTGCTGGCGTCCATGGATCGATTTTCTGTGGAAACGCTACAGGCGAGTATCATTCTTGCCTTTAATACGGTTGGCGCAGGTCGTGGACCGAGAAGTTGGTCACTTGTAGCGTCGGCCACGCGAATTGTTGAGCAGCTCGGACTGGCAGTCGAAGAGGAGGATGCTGCTCAGGACAAACTGCTCAATCGTATTGGATTCTTGCCGTCCGCAAAGACACCCACCGAAAGAGAATCGCTCAGGCGCATTTTTTGGTGCATCTTCTTGCAGGATCGCTTTTGTTCCGTATCGACTGGCTGGAACACGTCGCTCACGAGCACCGATATTAAGCGCAGATTGCCGGTTGAAGGCTGCTTCTGGCGAGACCGTGTCGATAAGAAGGCGAGATACTTCGACATTGATAATTTGACGATTGACCCGGCAGACGATATTGATGCCATTGGTGGACTCGCGTACCTCGTCGAAGCATCCGAGTGCTTGAACCGCGTGGCGACCTTCTTGCTGCGCGAGACTGTCGATATTTCCAACAACGATTCCCTACGCAGGTGGTTTGAGCTCTTCCAGTCGCTCGACGCCATGCTTGTCCGCTGGAAGACGTTCCTCCCAGCCCGCTGGCAGGTTGCGGGTATCGATGCCACAGGCAAGATGGATGAGAACTTGACGCTTGCGCATATTACGCATAATACGAGTGTCATTATGCTGCATCAAATTATTGCCTACCCAGATTCCACGTTTAGACACCGCCTGCCCTCACAGAACGCGGCAAAGACCTGCAATGCCGCTGCCACCGAGATTGCCACGATTGCCGCCAAGTTTGTCGCCAACACAATTGTCGTGCTTCCTCCAGCATTGTCGTTTTGTCTGTTTACAGCGGCAAGAGTCCTGTTGGCAGACTCGAATCACTTTGGCACACCGCTAGACCAAAACTTTGAGATTCTTCTGCAAGCACTTCGAGAGGGTTCCGCGCGCTGGACAGGTGCCGGGCAAGTCCACGGTTTTGGTGCAATGGATAATCTGGCAGGCCAGTTTGCTGAGCGAATTGACGCTGCTAGACGATCCAGATCGCCCATCAACGTTCGCAGTGTGGCTCTCCTTGAGGAGCCACAAATTGTTTCGTTTGCTAGTCCGCCTGTGCCGGAAGTGTTCAAGGGCGGCGAAGCAGTCGCTGGATTGGGTGTTGGCGTCGATGAGCTGTTCAGCATGTCTGGAACGGGCGTTGGTAACTTTGAGAGAATCTTTACATGGACCGACGAGATGATTGGGCAGTAGGCAACCAGTATGGGTATGCCACGGAATGGTCACATCACAGCAGGGTGGAGGAGGTAATATTTGGACTTTGACGAACAAGTTTTGATTGATTGAGTGTACAACATGTATATAAAACAAGGAATGTAAATACAGTGGCTAGGAAGGGACTTGTATCTGCGATATATATATAAATACAGCTGGCTCACGCCTCAATGGTATGACGAATCTTTTCAGACTGCGACGTCTCTTCCAGTGACTTCTTGACTGGGTCCGGCGCCTCAAAGATGGCATTCATCTCTTCCAGTGTGCGGTTCTTGGTCTCAACGAAGAAGAAGTAAATAATGAGGAACTCAATGGCGTCCCAGATAATAAAGACAATGTAATACTTGTAGCCAATTGCTTCAATGGCAATCGATGACGTGTAGAGACCAAGAATGGACGCTGCCGACGATACTAAGTTACCGAAAGCGACACCCTTGGCGCGTGTCTCGGTAGGAAGCGTCTCTGCAATGTAAAAAGGTAGTAATGGCACGAGGCCAATGGAGAATATGACACTAAACAGATAAATAAAGAAAATGCCTGCGTGGCCTGCGGCAGGATTGGCGTAGTCGACAGACAGCTTGGTGCAGCCTGTAATAATGGCCATACAGATGCACATGCCACCTACACCAAAGAGCAGAAATGGGCGGCGGCCAACTCGGTCGAGGAGCAAAGCGCCTAGAATCGCAGCAAACCACGACACCACTGGGTTCAGGGCGTTGAGGAGTAGCTGCGTCGGCGCGTCTCGGATACCTGTCTGCTCGACAATCACAGGGAAGTAGTAGCTGACAAGTGCATTGCCAGAGTACTGTCCAAACCAGGACATACCTGCTACACAAATCATGCGCCGGCGGGCAGAACGCGTCTTAAAAAGGTCTCGGTAGTCCCACCACCGCTTATCGGCGCCGTCCTTGTCAATGGCTGCGGCCATCTCGGCCATCTGTAGCTTAACTGCTGGGCTCTCTGCGTTTCCATCTCCATGCAGCTCGACAAGAACAGCACGGGCTTCGTCGGGCTTATTGTTGGCCATCAACCACCGCGGCGTCTCCGGGCTGAACATGATGCCAATCGCAATCGTTGTCGAGGATATCATTTGAAGCCAGATGGGTAGACGAAACGAGCGCTCGCTTTCGATAAAGAGTGTGCCGTAGGTGATCCATGAAGCTACAATGGCACCAACGAAATAGTTTGTTTGCATCAGACCTGACAGAGGACCGCGCCAGTAGGGATGCGCCATTTCAGCGACAAACATGGGCGCAGATACATTGATGAAGCCCTGGCCAAAACCGCACAGAAAGCGGCCACCAATGAACATGCCCGTGTTGATAGCGGGTGCTTGGATGCACGTTCCGAGAATGACAAAGACGCAGCCGGCAAGGATGCCGAAGCGACGACCGAGCCAGTCGTTAATAGGGCCAGCAAAGGGCAGGGCTGCCAGCGAGCCAATGTTGAAGATGGCAAAGACAAGCCCAGTCTGGGCACCTGCTGCTGAGAGGCCAAAGTATTTCTGGTATTGGGGCTGCATGGCGGTCATGTTAGCAAACCGAGTCGGTCATCACCAGAAAAGGGGGAAGTGATACGCACCATGGCATTGATAGCGGGCATCAGGGAGCCATCGTAGCCCTGGAGGATAATGCAGAGGTATCCAAGCAGCAAGATTCCATAGAGCCGGAACATGCGTTTCGACACCGGGTTCGGTTTCTCCAGGACCAGCGACGAGAGCTCAGTCGTGGACGTCATCGTGGACGAGTCGCAGTGTGCAAAGTGAGTGCGGGAAATATCTTTGGGTGGTGTGGAAGCGCTCATCGTGTGGCGATGGGACGGAATGGTCCGTGTTTGCGAAACAGGAGCGGATAAGGGTGAGTGATACAGCAGGAGCACCCTCAGCCGCAGTGAGCTAAAACTCACAGCTGAGTGCGAAGCAAGCAGCGCACAGTGAAGCTATCACCAGACAGAGGGCTAGTTACGCGCTATCTGTATCACGGACGACTGCCGAAGGGGCGATCGATCGAGGCTAGCAAGGCACCAAAAAAAAGCAGCCAAGAAAAAAATAGAATAATGAATCGGGAATTACCCCACGGGGGCCGCGCGATGTGTGATGGACGGGACCCCTGTGCGGCGTGCAGGATGCAGTGCCGCAGCCTGAGCGCCTGTGGGGATGTGTTGTTTTGGCGGTTGCGGGGGCCGTGGCGGTCGACATGCAGGGGAAACGCCCGGGCCGGCCGCCGCCAGTGCCCAACCACTCGCTGCCAGTTGGCGGGCACCTGGCACACCTGTGGCACCTGGCGGGGGTGATTGTCTGCCTGATAGCGGGGTGGTGGTTCTCCAGCGGCACGGAACCCGTGGGCTTTGCTTTGCTTGGCCACCGCACATACGTTGCCTACGCAGTAAGCAAAGATTGGCAGTATTACCTGGACTAGTTTTGCCTGGGGTTGAGTTGCTGCTTTCAGTGTAGACAGGTACTGTACAGATCCTGTTCGCCAATAAGCCTTGCCTCTTTTCGCCACACATACGGGAACGCAATGCAGACCAAAAATTACATCAACGGCCAGTGGCTGGAGGGCAAGGCTGGACGCACATTCCCCGTCTACAACCCTGCTACGGAGGCCAAAATCACAGATGTCCATGAGGCAGATGCCGAGGATGTCGATGTTGCCGTGGACGCTGCAAAGGCCGCTTTTCCCGCCTGGCGGGATCTCTCCATGTGGGATCGCGCGGAAAAGTGCCTCAAGCTTGCCGAGCTGATTGATAGAGACCGTGATCAGATTGCCAATCTAGAAGCAACGAATATGGGCTTGCCAGTCTCGTCATATCTTCCGTGTATTGACGGAGCCATTGGCGGCATCAAACACACCGTCGGCTTAGCACACGATATTCATGGCGAGACGTCGCTCAACACACCTGGATTTGTCACCTTTACTCTTCGCCAGCCGTACGGTGCCTGCGCTGCTATTATCCCTTGGAATGTGCCCATCATTATGTGGTGCGGCAAGGTTATTCCGTGCATTGTTGCTGGAAACACCATTGTCGTCAAGTCGTCAGAAAAGGCGCCGTTGACATCGCTCAAGCTGGCTGCTCTTGTCGACGAAGCCGGCTTTCCTCCTGGCGTTGTGAATATCCTCTCTGGGTTTGGTCATACCGCTGGTGTGGCACTGTCGACACATATGGGCATCCGCAAGATTTCATTCACAGGCTCAACGAGGGCCGGCAAGGCGGTGCTGGAGGGCGCTGCCAAGAGTAACATGAAGAGAGTGTGTGTCGAATGCGGTGGCAAGAATCCTGCCGTGATTTTTGAAGATGCAGATCTTGAGGCGGCCGCTGAGGCAGTGTCCAACTCGCTCAAGTTCAACTCTGGCCAGATCTGCGTGTCGAATTCGAGGGTATATGTCCATAAGGACGTCCTACCCAAGTTTGTCGAGCTGTTCAAAGCCAGATTCACAAGTGTCAAGACTGGAGACCCGCTGGATAAAGAAACAGACTTTGGGCCACAAGTTGACGAAACACAGTTTACGAATATCCTGAGGCTAATTGACGAAGCAAAGAGTGACGGCGCCCAGCTTGTAGCCGGAGGATCTCGAGCTGCTGAAAATGGCTTTTATATTCAGCCGACCATATTTGTTCAGGTTCCTGCTAATGCGAACCTCCTCAAGACGGAAGTGTTTGGTCCTGTGGTGGCCATTCAGCAGTTTGACGACGAAGACACTGTGATAGCAGAGTGCAATGACACGGAATATGGGCTCCACGGGACGGTTTTCACAAAGGATATATCCCGTGCATATCGCATGGCCAAGGCCTTCGAGGCTGGCATGGTCACAATTAATTGCAGCAGTGAAAATGGCCCGTACGATATGCCGTTTGGTGGGTGGAAGCAAAGTGGAACGGGCCGTGAGAATGGGCGTGTCGGTCTCGACTCCTACTTTGAGACGAAATCCGTCACACTAAAGCTATAAATGATATTTTTTATGACCCTGGAAACATACAGCATTTAATTGCGTCGTATATGATTGGCTGTTATTCCGTCTGTAAGCCATGCAGGCTCTGTGTGTGGATCGGGCATTCGGTGAAGTGAATGCCGGGTAAGGCTCGGTATACCAGCAGCAGGAAATCCGAACTCAACAACATCGCCCAAAACCATCGTCTAATTTCAAGCCCAACGCCACACCGTCTCGTCCCAATAAAAGACACCAATAGCAATCATGCTATACGCTGGATAAGAAAATCCCCTCGGCATGCCATTCGTGGCAATTCGGGCCTGGATCGCCGCGCAATCCCCACCACCCCGCGGGCCGGATTCGCTTGGCCGGGCTAGGAAAAACCAGCGGCGTCGGAGCGAAGGGCCGATAGCTTTGCGCCCTGCTTCTATTTCAGCCTACATCACAAAATTTATCTTCTTTTTTCCATTCTGTAGTCTGCATTGTTGTTTTTTGAGCGAGTTGTCTCTTTTTGTTTGTCCTTTTTACCAATTATCATGGGCGCCGAATCCACAGCGCGTCAGCTTCATGACGGCTCGCAAAAGGCCACGGCGACGTTACCCCAAGACCTAGCCTCACGGTTTCGGCACTTGGCTAAGCTATATCTTGGGCAAGATGTGGGCGATAAGATTATCAAGATAGCCACAAGACAGCCTCCAGAGGAGGGATGGTATCCGCACAGAACTTTTGGAGGCGACAATTACGCTTACAAGTATGAGCCTGCCGCGTGGTGGACGGCTGGCTTCTTCCCAGGCAATATCTGGAAGGTGTATGAGAGGTCGCTTCATCGGCAGCAGTCATACTCGTCGCAGGATATCTTGGATCAAGCGCTGCGGTGGCAAAAGGGCCTGGAGCCCGCGCAGTATGATACTTCGACACACGACTTGGGCTTTATGATACTGCCCAGCTTCTATTCGCATTATCGACTCTGCGGCAACGAGGCCAGCAAACAGGTTGTCCTTAATGCGGCAAAGTCATTGTCATCACGGTGGAGCGAAACCGTACAAAGCTTGCGGTCTTGGGACCGTGTGGTTACAAAGCGGCTCAACATTACCGACACAGAAACCAACTTTCTCGTCATTGCCGACAATATGATGAACCTCGACTTACTATATCTTGCCTCCGAAATGACAGGCGACCCAGAGTATGCGCGACGGGCGACCATCCACGCGCGTACATCCATCAAACATATTATTAGAGACGACTATTCCACATATCACCTGGTCAACTTTGATCCAGCCACTGGTGCCGTCAAGGCAAAGTATACTGTCCAGGGATATGCGGACGAGAGTGCCTGGGCTCGTGGCCAAGCCTGGGCGCTTTACGGATACGCAACCGTGTACAAACATACACGGGATCCAGAGTTTCTCGATGTGGCACGGCGGCTCGGCGCATACTTCTGTCGCCGCGTCGAAGAGACTTGTCCCGCGGGTGCGGTGTGGTGGGACTTTGACGCTCCCGTACAGGGCAGCGGCATCCGCGATACGTCTGCTGCCATGGCGGCGTGCTCGGGCATGCTTCTGCTGTATGAGCTCACAGGGCTCTGCGAGATGCTCGGCACTGTCGCCACGATTCTGGAGTACACGGTGTCGCAGTCAAGAGTTGCCGGAAGCGACACGGTTGTCGTCGGAGCCACAGTCAATGCAAACAAAGATGCCTTGACACCTAGTTGGGAGACTGGGCTCGTGTATGCCGATTATTACTTTTTGGAGGTTGGCAACCGCATGCTGGAGCTGGGGTTCTGCGACTAGAAGAGTCAAGCCAGTCCAGGTGGGGGTCGCACTGACGGCGGCCTGACTTACATATACCACGAATCTCATATATACATCCCTATAGACGAAAAGAATTAATGCAATTCTAATGAAAAAAAAGAAGCTTTTATGCACATGTCTCTGTTTTTTTATGCAAAATGGGAAATGAAAGCATGCCATCAGGGTTGGCCGTTGATGTTGATACCAGTCCAGCCCAGCCCAGTCTGCCGCGGTATGGCAAACAAAAGTCTTGCACTGTGGATATGCAGGCTGCAGGCCGCCCATGCATGGCGCTTTGTGCCGGCTCTCTTACGTATTTTGTATTCCGCTGTATAATCCCGCGAGTGAAAGATGATGCCATATTCATACATAAAATGTCAAAACTCGCAATCCAATCCGCACATTTGGTTTTCCGAGCAGCAATTTTGGGGTTTTTTGCCACACGACACTCCCCCGATTCAGGAACCCCAGACCGTGCCACGTACACTGTATCCCTAGCGAAAACCAGCTGGCGCCAGGTGTCGCAGCTGGCAGTGGTCGTGCGAGTCGCCGAACAGTGCCCTGGCCAGCCACACTGTGTGGCATCACCGCTAGGCCCAGAAGAACCTGTGTAGACCGCCTTGAAAACTTCACCACTTCTCTTCCTCCGTACGGCGGCCAACCCGGAGGCTGAATAACCGCCGAAAATAATTCGTTTTAAAATTTTAAGCTTGTTTGCTTGACGCATTCTACCTATTCCGAGTATAAAATTGTCGCGAGCACCCGTTGCTTGTGCATCCCGGACGGCCTGCAGACTCCCATCGAGCCCTGCGATCCTTGCTCGTCAACCACCCGCACGTGGCCACTGCAAATCGGCACGCATCCCGCCAATTCAGCGCTTACCGCCCTCTCTGCCGCATTTGCCAGCTTGTCTTGAGACTACCGACATTTCTAGACTACGCTTTTTTCCGCAGCGACCGCTCCTCGTATACGCTTTTTCCCCCGGACGTTCTGCTTGGGCCTGGCTGCAGTGGGCAGGGGCCGCTGGGGTAGAACATACACTGTGCAACTAGGCTTCTTGCCTTGTCTTGCCACGACACTTCGCTTGTTTGCGCGGCGTCGGGAGAATTGCTCCTTCCCGAGTTTGCAAATAGCAGTTTGCATATTGTTTGTTTGTTACTTTCTTTTTCTTTGCCCGTCAGACGGCTGCTTACACTCTGTCAGACTGCTGATACTGCTGCTCGTCGACTTCGATAAACCGAATATAACAAACTCGACTGCACAGACACCTAAATCTGTGTTATACAACTCGCAGGTTGTATTCTCTTTTCAGCACCAATCGATCGAATAATACTGAGACATACCGCAGTTCGCCATGATTTTGGCAGACCCAGGGCTGATTGTGCCCGTGTTGCACTATGTGTACCCTGCTGTCGTCTTTTGCTACTTCATGAGTCTCTCGGCCATTGAAACCTTTGCTCTTCGTCATGTTAAGTACCCAGAGAGGTTCAATCCCAAGGAACGAACAAAGAAGGCGGCTGCGGGTATGCTTCTGTTCTTCATTGCCACATATGTCTTGCAGCTCACAGCCATGTTTCTGCGTGCTGTCACAACCCATAACTGGGGCGTGGATGATGATGCTGTTATTGGAAGATTGTCATGTATCTTGATCTTTGGTGTCTTGCTCTCTCGTTGGATTGGTACACCCAACCCCAGCTGCGACCAACTGCAAGGATCCGTCATGATTGGACTCTTCTTCGAGGTTGCCTTGATTGTGGCCGCTGGAGCTACACAGAATCTCATTGTACACTCTCTATATGATGGTCTCGATATTGTCATGGCGGTGCTGCGCATCGTCTTGCTAGGGTCCTTCCTTGGCTGGACTGCCGCTCAACGCTTCTCAAAGACACCTGCTCTCGACCAAGAAACGGAATCTTTGCTTCCCAAAATAGGCGATGAAAACGGAGCGACAACTACATATGGTGCCACACAGCGACCCCAAACTGCTGATGACGATGCGGAGGATTCTGCATGGGAAAGAAGACAGAAAGTTCAGCGACAGGCTATGGAGAAGCGACTCAAGGAACATGAGAACTGGTTTGAATATGCCAAAGGCTTCTCTGTGCTACTGCCTTATGTCTGGCCGTTTGGTAGCGCTGCTCTGCAGCTTCGTGCTATTGGCGTCATTCTCTGCATTCTGGCCACCAACGCACTGCACCTATTAATCCCCAGACAGACTGGTATTATCATGGACAGCTTTACTGGTCATGCTGCTACTAGCCCATGGGTTGCTGTTGGAGTGTACGCTGCTCTCCGAATTGCATCATCGGAATGCGGTGTACAGCTACTCCAACAATGGTTCTGGTTGCCTGTCAAGTATTACGCTCATGAGACGCTTGCTAGGGCAGCCTTTTCCCACATTATGCACCTCTCAGCCGACTTTCACGACTCCAAGAGCTCATCAGACATTTTAATGGCCATTCATGGCGGCTCTGCGATTTCCAACGCCTTGGAGAGCATTTTCCTTTCCGCCTTCCCCATGCTTGTCGACATGGGCGTCGCTGTGGTCTACCTGTCCATCAAGTTTGGACCTTATGAGGGCTTGGTCACGGTTGCAACTGGTATAATATTCCTCCACTGCGCCAGCCGCCTCGTCGAACAATCCAAGATTATTAGCCGAAAGCGACGCAATGCCCATTATCGCGAATACCAGATTCGACACACCGGCCTCACTGGTTGGCAGACAGTTTCTGCATTCAACCAGATTGGCTTTGAAGAAAACCGCCACGCCGACGCAGTAACGAACCGCTGGGCTAAGGAAAAGCAGTACGTACTGGGCTGGCAGGTATCCATGGCCTTTCAAACTATGCTTCTTACCGTTGGTCTCTTGGCTAGCGCCGTCATTGCAGTATTCCAGATTCAAAACGGCCAAGCTACGTCTGGTGAATTTGCCATGCTGCTCATGTACTGGGCTCAGCTCACGTCGCCCCTCCAGTTCTTTGCCAAGCTCGGCAAGAATATGAGTGACGATCTTATTGACGCTGAACGACTGCTTGACGTGATGAAGACCAAGCCCAGCGTCGACAACAAGCCCGGTGCTAGACCATTCAAGTACGGCACTGGCAATGTGGAATTCTCCAATGTTGTCTTTAGCTATGACAAGCAGAAGATGGTAATCAACGACATGAGCCTGTCTGTCAAGGGTGGTGAAAAGATTGCCTTTGTCGGTGCCACTGGTGCTGGAAAATCGACACTCTTGAAACTGTTGTTCCGCTTTTATGATACCAAGTCGGGCACGGTCAGCATTGATGGTCAAGATGTCCGCGATGTCGACCTATTTAGTCTCCGCGACCGAATCGGCATGGTGCCACAAAACCCTACGCTCTTTGACGACACCGTTCTCAACAATGTTCGCTACGCCAAGATGACTGCTTCTGACGAAGAGGTCTACGAGGCGTGCCGTGCCGCTTGCATTCACGATAAGATCTTGAGCTTTACAAACGGATACAACACAAAGGTGGGCGAACGCGGTGTCAAGCTTTCTGGAGGTGAATTGCAGCGTGTGGCGATTGCTCGTGCTATTCTCAAGAGACCTGATATTGTGTTGCTTGACGAGGCCACGAGCGCTGTTGACACGGATACTGAGCAGCAAATCCAGCAATCGTTTGAGGGACTGTGCCAGGGCCGCACCACATTTATTGTGGCTCATCGCCTGTCTACCATCAAGAATGCCGACCGTATTGTTGTTGTTGAGAATGGTTCGATTCTTGAACAAGGTACACATCAGGACCTTCTTGCGGCCGGTGGTCGATATGCATACCTATGGTCTAAGCAAGGATTTGACATTTGCGAAGCACCCGCTTCCAAGGCAGGTGCTCCAGTTGTCGATATTGAGATTAGTCTTCCGCTCGCCACTGTTGTCAAGCACGGCCTCAAGACATCCACACCAAAGACAAGCCAAGGACTGTCAACGGATGATGAGGCTCGCAATTCCAAGCTCAACCCTATTGCCGCCGAGTTTACCCCACGCACTGGTGCACAGGTTGTTACGTCCGGCCCAGAGACACTCGAAGCGCGAACCAAGAGTGTCAAGGTTGACGGTGGTGCTGATTCATCCGATGGAAACTAGCAGTTTGAAACGGAGGAAATGGCATCGCTGCGAAAAATGAATACGGCGCTTGAGCTGAAGCACCCGCGCTACTCCTGTCGCGTTCAATCCAAGAGCGAGCCCAACAACTGGGAACAAGAATCGTGCCAGGGCGACGACAACAACCATGATGCAGGTAATCAGGCTGTAGCCGGTACTGCAGCTAGAGGAGCTCCAGCAAACCGTGGACAGTCGCATCGACGCGTGTCGGCGCCTCCAACGCAACCCGGATCCAACATTCCACGACGCAAGCCGCCCAAGGCTACGCACACTCAAGTGCTTCGAGATGTGCCAAGCGTGCCTGACCTTGGCGACGAAAACCAAATTCAGCCTGTTGTCGATGCCAAGTGCGACAAGACCGCCAACAAAGATCATGTCGGCACCGACGAGAACCGACCTCCGATTAGCGACGGTGGGTTTCGCGGGCGTGGGCGGCGCGGCCGGGGCTTCTTTCGTAGCCGCAGAGGACGAGGCCTACGAGCATCTCCATCAGCAAAAGATGGAGGCATTGATAAGGCGTGATAAAACTTTTACGTTACTTTTTATTGTATTTATTTTGAGCCTCTGTTGAGGCATGCATATGTAGCGGGCATCATTTTAGAGGATTGCATTCACACAATCAAATAATACGGAATTCATATCATATTTTTACAACAATGTGCTTGAAGTGACCTCTTAATAGTTAAGTGTGCACATTATGTTTAATTGGCATTTATCTGATGATGTTTGTGGACAGACTGTTGACAGAAGGCATCATGATGACGCACCAGCGGTGCTTTGCGGCCCTTCATCAGCCACTGCAGCCTTGTCCATTGTTTATTCTCGAACATGTAGTCGAGAATTTACCACGTGTGTCAGCAGTAATCGCCCCGATCTCCCCTGCGGCATTAACTCTACGAATTGCTGCTTCGGGCTCACGCGGCGGATTAAAAGTCTCCGGCTTGTGCTTCTGCTGTGGCGGGCTCGGAGGGTTGATGCCTTGGTTTTTGGTGAGATTAAGGATTGCACTAGTAGCTAGAGTGCTGCAGGTACGTGAAATATTGATTACAGAGCCAACTAGTAAACGAGAAGCGGTACGGTCGGGTGAGAGTAATAGGGCCGAAACCTGATAAGCCAGTAAGGAACAAGCTTGCTTGGCGGAGAGAGGAGTCCAAGGAAGAAGGTAGGAACGAGAGAAAATATATAAAGTGAAGAATTCTCAATTACTTTATAGCTGTATTGTACCTGACTATCATTGACAATCTTTACCATAACGGAACAAAATGCGTATCTCTCTTAGTGCTGCCCTCCTCGGCGTTGCTGCCGCTCTTCCCGGCCGATCGGCATCCGGCCCGCCCCCGGGCTCGCACAACGCCCCGGCCGGCCTCCCCTTTCCGGACATTGCTGCCGTCAAGGCTGTTCCTCAGGATAGCTTTCCTAGTTACACCACTGGCGGCCTGAAGCGCATCTCTGCCAACCAGACCTCCGAGACGCTACACAAGCGCTGGGAATGCAGCCGCCAGGCAACGCTTACATGGGGCGACCACGACGACGGCGGCCACGGCGTAGCCATTACCAACGACGGCAACGACTGGCGCGGGTTTTACATCTACCACAACTCGTGCGACAGCGTGCCCTGGAAGTACATCTGGATCGAAAAGGGCAAGACGCAATGGGTCTCGTTCCCCGCTGGCTTCGAGGGCCGTATCCAGCGCGGCGTGGACTCGTTCATGCTGAATGGTAACCCACAGCCGTTGGGTACGTGGTTGGAGTTATCGTGGGACGCGGATGGTACGGGCTGGGTGGATGTATCGCTGATTAGAGGGTGTGATGGCGGCGCGCTGGTCTGGGACCCGAGCGATGGGAATAAGTGGAAGGGGTTTACGCAGTGGATTCTGGATGGTGCGCCGAACGGGGCGTATGATATGAAGAATGATGGGCAGTGGGTGATTAAGGCGACGGAGGGGGCGGGTGCGGTGGTGAATACGGTGCCGAGGGACTGGGTGATGCAGAAGGTTGGGGCCGAGTATGTCTATGTGGATGATGATCATGCGAAGCCGGTGATTTCGACGAGGGCGGGGAGGTGGGCGACGTATTGGCCGGAGGGGAGGGCTTAATCTGCATGGTCAAAGGTCTGGCAATGATTTGGGCATAGACTGTGAGTTTACATGTTGAGTTTATATGTTGAGTGTATATGTGTATATATGAATGGATATAATCGCGAAGGTTGCTGGTTGTTTATGCAAAACAGAAAAATTGTATATTCAGTAGGCCAGTCTACCTCTGGATCCACGTCTTTCAGTCTCAGTCTTGAGATACTCATTCCAAAGAATTCAGCATTCGGACGTTCAAATCGGCATCTCTGTTCAAGCGCACAATAAAAATTGTGCAATCAAAGAAGGCCGCCTCCAGGACGTCAAATATTCGACCCATCTGCGGAAGGTCGACTTTGCTGAGCGCATCATCAACAATGGCAATCTTGCAGCCCATTTGTGCTTTGTAAATAGCGGCCCTTGCGACATTCATACATATGCGTTGGCCATATGACAGGTTCAAGTCCTTAAGTGGCGTCCGTAAACCGCTTCGTTGGGCGGTGATGAGGTGCCACAAATTGAGTGTTATAAGGACCTGCTCCAATACCTGCATATGGGGGTAGATTCTGCCGTTCCCGGTGATACGCGTTAGAAGCAGATTATCGAGGACATTGCCCTTCAGGTCGAGTGGCTCTTCAATAACGGTTGCAACGTTTCGACGAAGTAATCTTGGAGGAATGTTGCGAAGCTCGATGCCTGAAATCTTGATAGATCCTTTGTATGGGCGTAGGCCAAGAAGTATATGGAGCATAGAAGATTTGCCACTTGTGACTTTAGTTAGCCTCCAGAGTTGTGTTTCGGCTTAATCATGTCTTACCATCCGTTGTTACTGCATATCAGGATCTTGTCGCCTATCTCCGCCCGCCCATTCAATGTACTATACATGTGTGTTAGAGAGGGATCTCTGTATTAGCGTCCTGGTGACATAGACTTACACGGTGGACTTCATCTTGGCGTTTCTAAACTCGACAGCACCATCGTGAGACCATTCGCGGGGAATGTCAACACTCTCGGTCGCGAAGCTTCGCATTGCGTTTTCGTTGAATGATTGCATGCTTTGTACGACATCAATTGCGTCCTCAGTAAGAAGCCAAGTTTTCGGTAGCCGCTGTAGAGGGGCATTGAGTCCAACAGCGGTGACAATAGCGAGACCGAGAGATGTTGCACTGACATCCCCCCTAGTGAAAGTAAATATCATAGCTCCGATAATTAATACTAGATTAAATACATCGGCGTTCAGTTGTAGCCATTCGAGGTATCGTAATATCTCATTATGGGCTTTGTATGAAGCTCTGATGTTTTGAACGAAGGTGTCCCAGTACCATTCTTTGCGCCGCAAATTGTCAATGTGCGTGCGGCCAGAGAGTGTTTCGGCCAAGAAAGTTTTGACGTTGAGAGTAGCGGCGCGAGAGGAGCGATAGGCGCCTCTGGCATGTGTAATAAATGTCGATTGGACAACATATAGGAAGCTAATGCTCAGCACTGCTAGGTGAATCGAGGATGTCGCGGATGCGACAAGGACGCCCAATTCGAATATGATACAAATCAGTTCTGCAAAATTGTCAACTGAGTTTAGAAACGAACATGTTTAAATATGTACCATAGGCAACTTTGTACAATTGCTGGGGGAGAACTATACTGCCCGTGACGAGGTCGTGGCCGAGACTAGAGTGTATCAATGGATGGAGCACCGTAGAAAAGGATTTGATAGAACGTACAAGTCAATGAGTTGATCTGTAGTGTATTTCGAGATCTCCCCCATATTTCCCCTGTAGCTTAATTAGTGAAATTGCGTCTGAAATTGTGGAGCTTTCTTTACAGATAAAGTGTAGGTTTACCGCAAATTGACTTCAATTTCTAGAGGTTCTCGGAGCAGTTTTCAGAATCCGGGGCGCTGCTTTTAGACGTCAATTTGCAGCAAGAGGTAAGTGGCCCCACTCCACCATTAAGTACCCCTGCCTCTTCCTATTAGCGTCCAGTCTATTATAAAATACTATTAATTATTTATAACAGTGGACGGCTCAGACATTTTCTTTTTCGAATTTGGTGTATAGACTCTCCAAAAATAGCCATAAAAAAAGTACCATTACGTTTTCAACGCGCGCCGGAGCATTGCCGATCGAGACGACAGAAACTTGGGATAGATGGTGCCGTTAAAAAGCGACATGCTCCTACTACGAAAGTTAATATGCATGGCGTCAAGCAAAAATGGAAAACGTAAGAAAATATGATTAAATTATTCCAGCGAAATGCTTATATGTCCATAGGCACTGCATATATTTATCTGTTGATGCATATGCCCACCTTCAGCAATCTACTAAAGAAGACATCATGACTTTCCTGGAATGGATGCTTGATTCATACAAAAGAATACGGAAAAGAAGTTCTGTCCATGCCTATAAAAGAATTCTGTTTCAAGTATACCGGAAGTCAGTGGGCATAGACTTTGACAAGAATGGAAATGATGAAGTCAACAACGTATGTTATTTTGCCTCCTCAAAACATGATGTTGTCAATGCTATACCATCTGCTTATAATACAATAGTTTATCAACGGCTATTTAACTATACGCTACAATTTGGATACATCCGTCAACGAAAAACCTGTTATGGATGTAGACGATGTCTACCTTGTGCAGCATCACAATTGGGTGCATGACACATCCATTTTCACCGACGAACGCCAAAGGATACAATTGGCATGTCTCATAATCTTACAAGCATACACAGCAACGCGACCAAGAGCTTTTTCTTACAAGAAACTGAGCAAGACAGCCATCGACGATCACTATTTCGGTCGTGAACAGGAAGATAGTATGAATGAAGCAGAGGAGTGGGACCCAACTGAGGATGACTTTAAAACAATATGCTACAGGGATGTGGTATTAGTCCTCTTAAAAAACCCAGATGGAGGTAGAGATCTCCCAGTCTTAGAAGTCACGCTCAGATATACAAAGGGGTGGGAGCGAAGAGAAAATCCGTGAGTATAGCTACCTTATTTGGAAAATATTGGCTGAAAATGATATAGGAAAACTTTTATCCTTTATGAGGTTGATGATCTATTATTTGATGCCGTGCTTCATATGCTCGCGCTCGCCCTCTTAGACCAAGCATTTAAATCAAAAGTCCGAACAGTTCATAACTTTTACAAGATTAGGGTTCTATCTCCACGGCACTGTCTCGAATTTGAATGGGAAGATACGAAAATAGACGTACCAGTCTTCCGACAGGCGCTACCGGATAACGATAGGGTGGTCAGGACGTCTGCTGCTCAGGCACTTCACTATCATACTTATCTCTACTACCTTCAGAGACTAGGGCTAGTGACTGGACTTATGCAAATCTTGAACCCATATTGTATTCGCAGAGGTGCTGGTGAAGGTGTTGAAGGTGAGCTAACAAACCTAGTTAGTCTTGGGACATGTACTAACTTGTTCAGCGGTTGGGACTCAGGCACAGCTTCAACAGGTAATGCACCATATAAGTGCAGCAACCTACCAAGCCTACATCAATCAGCGTATCTAGTGCGATACAGTGGCGGCTTTTCTTGAACGGCCTTCAAATAAAGCACTGCTAAAAGCAGCCGGTCACATGAGCCGTTACGTCGATCCACGAGCTCCCACGAGTGCTAGTGTTGTGGAGCTGAGTAAGATCAGGACTAACCCAGCACTTGTCACAATCATAGAACTTCGTAATACTCTCAGCATAGAAGGTCGTCGAGAATCAGGTAGTATTAAGAAGGCCGAAGCATCTGGCACGAAACTATACCAGATGTACCGAGTTGCAGAAAACAAAGTACGCTCTACAAGAATATATCTTCGCAAACTAGCAAATACCTCAACGAGAGAGGACTTTTTTAAAACAATTAACACTGCAGAAATTAATGCTCAGCTACAAGACGAAACGCAAACCGTGTTGGACCTAAAACCCAATTCATGGCAGCCACAATCTTGTTATAATCTCGAGGAACACAAACTCCTAGCAGAACTCATTTGCGCCAATACATCCCAGTTGAATGATGAAACGAAGCTGAAGCATAGACTTTATACTACTCACATAATGGTGATACTAGGCCAGAAGAAGGAACCTCGACAGGCGCAGTCCCTCCCGAAGCGAGATTTGGAAACTATACCCGAGAAGTGTGATAAGACACAATGCTTCATATGTTTCTGGGATTTGACTGTATCGCCCAGCCAACGATTTCATAAATACTGCTCTCCTTATCGTGCCAGAGATCACCTTTTCTCTCGTCACTTGAAACGCATTGGGGAACATTCTATTGCCTGTCCCGACCCGAAGTGCAGAGAGACGAAGGCTATTTTCAAGGGGAGTCGCGCCTTTCAAAGTCATTTGGCAAAGTTTCATGACTATCATGATTTCAATAGATATAACTGTTGAGAGGTATTTGACCGCGAAGCAATACGAGCGGAGTTACATTACCTTCTAAGAGACGAAGAACGTAAAGGCTGCGAGGGGCAAACTGCAGGCGTGGGGTTGGTCACTGAGAGTGAGGTTACCGAATTCATAAATATAGGTTGTGGAGCAAACAAATCACTGGTTGATAATGTATGAAAAGTTAATAGGGCGGACGAGATTTTTATAAGCTTAACAATATAGACACTGTTGCCGCTGAAGCATTGAACAATAGTTCGGTTGGTTTGGGCGTGGACCCTTTTCACAACGGGAGTTATTTGGTGCATTCTAATAAAACAGATTTTCTGTTGCTCGAATTAAGCTTGTTTTGGATCCAAGTACGGACCAAGTAAGCCGTAATTAATGCGACCTAGGCAGTTTTTAATAAAAAAATAGCAGCTTGCCGGAAATGATTGTTGAACCAGGTACGAGCTATCGTCTTGTCTTACATTTTCGCAGGGCTTCAAATTGCCCTAGGCTGAGCTACAGCGTTGTCCGCTTAGGTAGCAAGATAGGAGCGACTGACTCTGCAGCAGCAATGCATCAGACTGGTGGCCATTAGGGTACGTCCCCGCAAAATGCATGGTCGTTGCTGAAAGCGGCTTCAGCGGGGTTAGAGATGGCTGATGTCGAGAGGAGAGAGGCAAGGGTTACGTGTTAATTACTGTTGCTGTGATATTGCTACCGTAGGACTCGAAAGGGGTGTCCGCTTTTCGACTATACTATTCTTATAAACTAAGTGTGGCTGGGTGTGGCTGAAGAGCTACGCTTGTACCTTGCTTGTACAGGGTACTGTACAAACCGACATGGATGTCGTGGATTTGCTTACTTAACAAGTTTTAGTAGATCTTTTTTTGACAGAGGCCAAAAATGGCTCCTTGTATGGCTCGTATATTATCACTAATCGACTGTACTCGTAATGAGAGGAGCACCTTTCCAAATCAAAAACGTGGCTTCCAGCGAACCTTTGCGTGTACCCATATTTAGCCGCACCGCCCACCTAAACTAGCGACATTTCCCACTAAATGCGTGGCATGTGTGGCAGATCTAACCCATCAAAGGTCGAGATTCAGCCACTGAGTCAAGCACCATTCTATCACTTCTTTTTGTGGAAATTGTGGCATTTTTCGAGATATATCAAAACAGAACTCGATGAGAATGGCATGCAAGCGAATGGAGACAGATGGAAGCCGGTGCAAAGGACACGTGTTACTGTCCAGGCAGCCGCGTAACCTGCCTCCCTACGTAGCGTGAGCTGCCTTGCTTCCTGTTGTGAGATTCCAAATGGATATGGCATATCCTGATTTTGATCTTGAGAACTACAGAGAATACTGCCCAAATTATTAACACTGCATCTCTGGATCGGTTAGTAGTCCCAGCGTGATTGAGCCCGTTGAGGAGGTTATCCGTACATCATAACCAATTAGGTGATAATCCGATAATAGTTACTTTCCCCGATTCAGACCCAAGTACAATATTAGTCCCTGATACCGATGAACAGCGCGGCCGAAACTCAGCTGGAAGCCAGATTAGTTTTCTATCGCTCCATGTAATCCAATTTTCGCTGATCCCAATACCAAAACGCTCCAGAGACAATTGTGTTGTGTCAAGAACACTGCCTTGGATGGCAAAAGCACCAACATCAGTTGTTATATAAGAGCCATTTTGGCTGAATTTAAGGCACTCTGAAGAACGTCCAACATATAGCATCTCCACGCACGCACCCGTGGTAGCGCGCCAGATTCGCACCGTCTCGTCCTTTGAGCCTGATGCCACGAACGTCGAGTCGGGCGAGAAGACAACAGACGTAACCCAGTCGCTGTGGCCCACCAGTATCTGCACGCACTCGCCCGTGTCGGCGCGCCAGATTCGCACCGTCAAGTCGTATGAGCCTGCCGCCACGAGCGTCGAGTCGGGCGAGAAGACCACAGACGTAACCGCGCTGCTGTGGCCCTCCAGCATCTTCATGCACTTGCCCGTGTCGGCGCGCCAGATTCCCACCGTCTTGTCGTCTGAGCCTGACGCCACGAACGTCGAGTCAGGTGAGAAGACCACAGACGTAACCGCGCTGCTGTGGCCCTCCAGCATCTGCATGCACTCGCCCGTGTCGGCACGCCAGATTCGCACCGTCTCGTCGTATGAGCCTGATGCCACGAGCGTCGAGTCGGGTGAGAAGGCCACAGACGTAACCCAGAAGATATGGCCCTCCAGCATCTGCATGCACTCGCCCGTGTCGGCACGCCAGATTCGCACCGTCTCGTCGTATGAGCCTGATGCCACGAGCGTCGAGTCGGGTGAGAAGGCCACAGACGTAACCCAGTCGTTATGGCCCTCCAGCGTTTGTAGACAATTATTCCAGTACTCTTCCACATGTGATTTCAGGCAAATCCATCCAACTCCATCTTCAGAATTTTCGAACGTGGTTCTGACTTTACTCTGCCTAGGTGTAAAGATCAATAGGGAGAAATATAGCTGAAGAGGGGCTGAACTAATAGTAGACATATATGTCTGAATAAACCGAATTGCGTCCTCCAAGAAAATCAAGGTCGTTGGGCTAGACTCTTCCTATAGTATAGTCAGTCTATAAACTAGGGTATGAACTGGAATATCCAATAGTGAATCTTTCTTACATTACATCGTGATCGTAAGGTTCGGAGAAATTCAAGGCTCTCGGGGACTCTGCCAACAAGAGCTAGCGCCTCTATCCAGTGTAGGAAGTGCTCTTGCAAAAATAGATGTACATCTGTACCGTCAAATACAGAAAGGTCCGCCTTTTCGAAGTGATAGACCCAATACTGGCAAGAATATTGCACTTCCGGTGGTAAACAACGGTTGATTATTTCGGATTGGATATCAGCTCGAGATGTGCCTGGAAATTTGATATCGCAAAGGTCCTTCTTCAGACACTGCAAGACACGCAGACAGTGGGTTACCAGATATGCATGAGTTTGCTTTCCATCCACCCGAAACGGCATTGCAGACTCTGTAGGAGATAGAAGGAAGTCTCGAAATGACAGATGTAGCAGCCGTACGGGCGCATGTGCTGATGCAGGGATACTGAGAACAGAGTGCAGTAGGTCTAGCCTGCTTTCAATGTCGTCCTTGGATATGCCCAGTAGTTCCGCCATTGAAGATGTTGATAAAGGACTCGCGAGAAGAATAATAGGCCCAACAATGTGACGGAATTCGCGGATAATTTCTTCTTGTTGGCCAACCAAAGCCTCTGCCGGTATCAGGTTGTCCAAGACAGACTGGTATGTTTGTCTCTAGTTGCGGCAGCCTGTCGCCAGATCGAGAGAGCATTCTGTCCAGCAGTTTCCTCGGTGTTCCAATTCTTTTGTCACTGACAAAGCGGCAAATAGTGGCGGCAACAATGAAGAGCGGAACAGCCATATTCACAAGTCTTTCGAAACTAGATTGGCTTGGCCAGTCTACGGTGAGGTGTCGGTCTTCTGGTACCCGGCTATTAAACTCTGCCCGAATTTCAGATAGCTCGTATCTCAGAAAAACATCGATATCATGTTTAACCACAGGTTCAGGTATCTCATGCAAGATGACGCGATAATTTTTCCTCCTGACCTCAAACTGAGAACGAAAAGGCTCCTCTGGTCGGCTAGTCAGGAACATTCTGACGCGTTCAGGCAATTCAGTCTCAAACCGAGAAACTAAGTAAAGAAAGGTCTTGATATCGTGTTGGGAGCATTCGTCTAGTGCATCAACAATGATAACGGCAGGTCCTTCTTCCATATCGCACTTTGACAGCGGTTCAAGTAGAAACTTCTGAAACTGCTCGGTAGAATTCTTCGTGGTGATCGAATGGTCCGCACTAAGAGCCGCTGCAACATGAGAAGCGGTCGATGGCCGCTTCGCAATCAAATCAGCTGCAATAGTCATGAAGAACTTAGACAGGCTCCCTCGATCAGACTCTCCTTTCTTGAAAAAGAATGAGGCACCAAGTTGACGGCTTTCGGCTAAAGACCTTGCCACAGTGCGAGAAATTGTTGACTTCCCCGTGCCGGCCATTCCCATTAACAAAAAGATTGGCTCTGCACTTGGGTCTTTGGTCCATCTCGCGATTTGCGCGAGCAGTTCCACTCGTGTATTCGGCAAGCAATATCGATTATGTTCTTGAGCATAGGAGTCGAATGAGGCACCTTCCGCAACGCAGAGTCGGTCGAAGACCATGGTTTCATGAGTATTAAGCACCGTCTTACTATTTATGATATCATTAATCAAAGTCAAGTAAGAAGACGTTCGAACAGCGCCCCGACTTACCCGAGGGTCTGTATCCCCGCTTGTACTTCAGCCACTGACGATTGGATGCCTTTTACATCTCTACTGACTTATATTCAATTAATACATGTTTTATGTATTTATAAAAAAGAGACTAACCGGAGTTTAGTATATCTATAGCTCGCGTTGTGTTCTCAAGCATTGTTGCTGGCACATATTCCAAGAGTTCCCTCGCATAGGCTGCCGCAGTAGCCGATGCATAGCGCTGCCATTGATCATTCTTGTGGGAATCAGCATAGTCGCAGATCCCCCTGATTACCAAGCAAGGGAAATGGTCCATCAAGCCAGCAGCTTCCATTTCAACACAGAGGCATTCGCTCCCTGCAGACTCTGCGATCTTATCCCGAGTGCTAGCATCCTTGACAAGTGTGTTTCCGGAGGCGATGATGCCGTAGTGAATTTCGGGGTCTGTTGTTTCCCGTTTAGCACGTATGATCTCTTCTGATAGATGACAGTTGTTACAGGTGTGTCCATCGATATGTTCATATGCGGGCGAGAAGAGCCGATCATTCTCACACCCTTGATGAACATACCCAGGTTCTTTCTTTCTGGGCTTCTTCATCTGTGGCATTTTAGACCACATCGCTTCGAGGAGACTTGGAATCTTCGGCGCAGTCATCTCATGTTCCGCCTGTAAGGCGGCTAGCGCGCTGAGCAAAACCGGAGGGGGCTTGTTCAGCATACCTTTTGGTCGCCAATTATTATTAGCCATTGCCTTACCAAGGTCATATTGAATAACACCGCCAGTAGTTTCCTTGGGCTGGCTGACAACCACGTCGCCTAGCCGAACGTCCTGATCCAGGTGCCGAGGAATTCCACCCCCAATTCCAACGAGGAGCCCGATTTTGATTGCGGGCATGGATGCGAGCAGGTTTGACGCTGTCGTCGCTGCAGCCGTCGTGCCATATACGCCGGCTGGAAGCGATGCTATGACAATATTGTGCTTGCCGATGCAACCCCATGTGTATGAATTTGTATCTGATGGATGTTGGTTAAAGTCTGTTGGTGGTTCGTGGCGGTCAACGAGCTGGGCTGTCGCGGCCGCACGCTCGATGGGGAGCGCGGCAATCCACCCTATCGTATATGACTCTGCGCTAATAAAGGCTGTCATGCTTAAAAGGCAGTCGCATAAAGTTCACAGAGAACCAGAGAAGATTACAAAGATGTTGTCAAACGTCCCGGCAGCGGAGCACGCGTTGCGTGTTAAGTATGGAAATGGACCGGTGAGGCGAGGGGCAAGCTTGTTAGGCTGAATGTTAGGCTGCAATGCAAGTCAGCAGTACGATCAAAATTGGCCGATTGCATTAGACAAAAGTAAATTTAAGTTATATTTCTCTGGCAACTCTGTATTATGTCTCTTCAATATACGATAGTGTTCTCTGGTCAGTTTATGTTTTTCTTAGGACATCTTGTTGACACTGCTGTTGCCTGAGAGCTGCAACTGTTGCCACGAACCCTGCCAGTAGCATAGCCCCCAGCTACCGTCTCCCACATTTGGTAGTAGTGTCGTGGTCATCGTCATCAAAGTACCTTTTTTGGCCAGACTACTCGGGGCAGAAAACGAGCTACAGGGGGAACTCACTAAATACGCCCGCGACAGAGCTGTACCGTTACAAGCGTAGCTCTTCAGCCACACCCAACCACACATAACCCACTAAGCTACAAGAATAGTATGGCGGAAAAGCGGACACCCGTTTCGGTTTGTTTGGTATCTATATGATAATATCGTATTTGTACTTGCTTGGAGAGTTTGAGAAATGGTCTCTGTGCGGCTGGTATATACCTCATGCAAACGTCGTGTTGAGAACCAGGCTCCAGGATGATACGGAGACCAACCAAGCCAACCAGCGGCCACCAACCAACCTACAGTGCATGATGCCTACAATGCATGATGCCGCAAACAGATACCCCGCCGCATTCTAGTGAGAGAAACAAGGCTGCTGCAGGTTTGTTCTGACGACTTCCCCGCATCCATCTCTTAGGTATTTACGTTGAATTTCACTGCCATCGTTTCTTGTGACCGCAGTCTGTTGGTACATAACCCACAAATCCGGCGCTGAAGTCGTCGGTGTGTCTAAGCCTGCGTTCCTAGCCATTCTATCGACATGTCCACGGGAACTTCTAGCGAGTCAAGAGTTCACAATGACTACACCATTGGATGGGTCTGTGCTCTGCCAAAAGAACAGGTTGCCTCAAAGGCCATGTTGGATAAAGTTCATCCGCCATTGCCAAAGCCAGCTACTGATCCGAATACGTACACACTGGGGTCGATCGGACAACACAACGTTGTCATTGCTTGTCTGCCCAAGGGAAGATATGGGAACAACATGGCGGCAGCCACAGCGGCTCAAATGGTTCGAACATATCCGTCGCTTAGGGTTGGCCTTATGGTTGGCATTGCTGGCGGAGTGCCGCCTAAAGTCAGGCTTGGGGATGTGGTCGTGGGCATACCGAAGGACGAGTTTCCAGGTGTTGTGCAATTGGATTTAGGAAGAGTTACCGACGGGGGCGTTTTTAAACGGACAGGAAGTTTGGATAATCCCCCTAGCTCGCTTCTAACGGCCGTTGGTGACCTAGAAGTGGCCCATGAAATGGAAGGGCCGAGAATACCGGAATACTTGGAGCAGCTTGCAGAAAGATGGCCTAAGCTGGCGCAAAAGTATACGAAATCCGCGTCACTGGAGGATGTGTTGTTCAAAGCAAGCTATTCCCACGCTGGCCAACCCGTTCCAAACAATGCCGGCGGGGACGAAGACGAGGACGAGGTGGAGGAGGAGTACGACGACGACGGAGACGAAGACGATTGCAGGTTCTGCGACAAAACCAAGACTGTGAAACGAAAGCCACGAGATATGCGTATCCACTACGGTCTCATCGCCTCAGGTAACCAAGTTATCAAGAGCGCGGAACACCGAGACAAGCTCAAGAGGGACCTTGGTGGTGGTCTTCTTTGCATCGAGATGGAAGCAGCTGGAATCATTAGCTTTCCCTGTCTAGTCATTCGGGGAATTTGTGACTATGCGGACTCTCATAAGAATAAGAGGTGGCAGGAGCACGCTGCGGCTGTGGCGGCGGCGTATGCAAAGGAGCTTTTGGGGCATTTGCAGCCAAGTGACGTGGAGAGAGAAAAGACAATGAATGTCATATTTGACGAGGGTACGTAAAGGAGATAGAAGGAGTCATCTTGTCCTATATTGTATAATGCTGACCTGCTGTAAAGTTAGAAAGAACACACAGCATATTGAATCCATGGCTGCGAATGTAAAAGAAGACCTGCGCAGCTTTCAGTAAGGCGGCAACCTTTTCCCTCACAACCTATTTAACTAACCGCCGTCCAATTAGCACAACCATACTTAATGGTCAGCAGAGGATGGTGCTTGACCGCCTCCCTATCGCTGAAGGTGCCTCCTTCGACTCTCACGCCGAAGAACACAACCAGACCTGCTTGGAAAACACACGAATCGAATTACTCCGCCAAATACAAGCTTGGGTTGAGGATCCATGCGCGGAATCCATCTTCTGGCTCAACGGAATGGCAGGGACGGGAAAGTCTACAATCTCTCGCACCGTCGCACAGTCATTTGCAGATAGAGGCCACCTTGGTGCTAGCTTCTTCTTCAAGAGAGGAGAAGCCGATCGTGGAAGCCTGGCCAAGTTCTTCACAACAATTGCGGCTGATCTAGCAGTAAGAGAACCAGCCACCGCGTCCCACATCAAAGAGGCCCTCGACGCGGATCCTTCTACGCCAATGAAGAACGCTCGTGAGCAGTTCGATAAGCTCTTCCTGCAACCGCTATCAAGAAGCATAACAGAGGCAAGGAAAGATAGCCCTACAGTCATTGTCGTTGATGCACTGGATGAATGTGAACGTGATGAAAATATAAGGCTCATGATTCACCTGTTTTCTCGCAACACGACTAGACAATCTGGACAAATAAAAGTCTTTCTTACCAGCCGACCTGAGCTGCCGCTTCGCCTTGGGTTTAAGGCAATTGAAGGTACTTATCAGGGTATAGTCTTGCATGAAATGCCTGAACCCGTGGTTGAGCGCGACATCTTCACTTTCTTAGAACATGAGCTTGCAGAAATTCGAGACGAGTATAATAGTTCAGTATCGCAGGACCGACAACTTGCTACAGGCTGGCCTAGCCTATCCGACATCCAGTGTCTGGCTAAGATGGCTGTTCCACTCTTTATTTTTGCCGCCACTGTTTGCCGCTTTGTTTCAGATCGCAGATGTGGTGTCCCCGACGAGAAACTCAAGGAAATCTTAGATTTTCAGTCAAATAACGGATTACAATTGGAACAACTGGATGCAACATATATGCCTGTCTTAAACAAAATGATCACCGGCTTATCTGATACTCAACGGGAAAAGGTACTTCAACAGTTCCGTAAAGTTGTCGGCCCAATTATCATTCTCGCAAGCCCGTTGCCAACGTCTGCTCTAGCCCAATTACTTAACATTTCCAGACAGACTATTGACGTCAAATTGGATATGCTTCATTCAGTCCTAAGCGTCCCGGTATCTACTTTGTCTCCTGTTAGGCTATTGCATTTGTCGTTCCGAGACTTCCTCGTGGATCCTAATAAGAGCGAAATAAACCCATTCTGGATTAACGAGAAGCAAACGCACAGCGACATGGCAGGCAACTGTCTGCGTATTCTTAGTGAATGTCTCAAGCAAGACATTTGTGAGATAAAAGCTCCAGGTACACCTCGTTCAGCCATAAGCTCTCAGAGAATTGACACCTATCTACCGCCAGGGGTACAATATGCATGTCTTTATTGGGTGCATCACGTGGAAAAGGCCGATACTTTTATTGCGGATGGTACAAAACCCCATGAATTTTTGATACTACATTTCCTCCATTGGATAGAAGCGTTGGCCCTGATAGGTAGGGCTACAGAGAGTTTAAGTCTTATCAAGACATTGCAATCACGACTTATGGTGAGTAAAATATCCTTAGCATTATAGCTACCCGCTGGCTCACCACAATTTAGTCCGAAAGTAGTATAGAGCTCTCGCACTTCCTCGACGATGCAACCCGCTTTCTACGTACTAATATGCCCATAATAAACACAACTATTCTTCAGATATATTCCTCCCTCATTATATTTACACCAAAGGCCAGTAAAATAAGAACCGTCTTTGAGGATAGGGCTACATGGATACACCTTAAGCCAAAGGTAGGGCGTAACTGGAGTCAATACATCCAGACGCTCGAGGGCCATACCGGCGGGGTTCAATCTGTGGCCTTCTCGCATGACTCGATGCTAATAGCATCAGCCTCTAATGACAAGACTATACGGCTCTGGCGTGCAGACACGGGAGAATGTATCCAGACGCTCGAGGGCCATAGTGACTGGGTTTGGTCCGTGGTCTTCTCGCATGACTCAATACTAATAGCATCAGCCTCTGATGACAAGACTGTACGGCTCTGGCGCACCGACTTGGGAGAATGTATCCAGACGCTCGAGGGCCATATCGATGGAGTTCGGTCCGTGGCCTTCTCGTATGACTCGATGCTAATAGCATCAGCCTCTCATGACAAGACTATACGGCTCTGGCGTGCAGACACGGGAGAATGTATCCAGACGCTCGAGGGCCATAGTGACTGGGTTCAATCTGTGGCCTTCTCGCATGACTCGATGCTACTAGCATCGGCTTCTAGTGACGAGACTATACGGCTCTGGCGTGCCGACTCGGGAGAATGTATCCAGATACTCGAGGGCCATGGCAGCGAGATTCGGTCCGTGGCCTTCTCGCATGACTCGATGCTAATAGTATCGGCCTCTGATGACAAGACTATACGGCTCTGGTGCACCGACTCGGGAGAATGTATCCAGATGCTCGAGGGGCATGGTGACTGGGTTCAATCCGTGGCCTTCTCGCATGACTCGATGCTAATAGCATCGGCCTCTGATGACAAGACTATACGGCTCTGGCACACCGACTCGGGAGAATATATCCAGACGCTCGAGGGCCATAGTAACTGGGTTCAATCTGTGGCCTTCTCGCATGACTCGATGCTAATAGCATCAGCCTCTGATGACGGGACTGTAAGGCTCTGGCGCACCGACTCGGGAGAATGTATCCAGACGCTCGAGGGCCATAGTAACTGGGTTCAATCTGTGGCCTTCTCGCATGACTCGATGCTAATAGCATCAGCCTCTGATGACGGGACTGTAAGGCTCTGGCGCACCGACTCGGGAGAATGTATCCAGACGCTCGAGGGCCATATCAACGGGGTTCAATCTGTGGCCTTCTCGCATGACTCGATGCTAATAGCATCAGCCTCTGATGACGGGACTGTACGGCTCTGGCACACCGACTCAGGAGAATGCATCCAAGCTGTTAATCTTGGAATCACTTCATATTTCCTATCATTTAAACCAAATACCTTGCTTCTACTAACTGATGTTGGCGCCATTGCCATATATCGCATCGGCCCTATATCAACTTCTACACATTCTTATAGCAAGGTAATATCTACGAATCCTTCTGGCTATGGCATTAATAGGGATAGGTCCTGGGTCACGTGGAATGGAGATAACTTGCTCTGGCTCCCAGTAGAGGTTCGGCCAACTTGCTCAGCTGTGTCAGGACGTACTATCGTAATTGGGTGTGCTTCAGGGAGGGTATACATCATTGGGTTTTCGCCAAATGATCCTACTACATGTCTACAATAGCCTAACATTTAGGGTTAAATAATCTACTCTCTTATTTCATAGCTTTATTTAGGACGGTCGAAGGGGGCTAGCTGCTCCCGTTGCCCGTCCGATTCAGACTAATCGAGAATTAGCAATGGTGGTCAAGTTGGTTGTTTTAGATTCTGTTGAGTGGAATTGCTTTCCTCTTACCCTTGTAGTTAATATTTCTATTTCTGATACTGAAATAACTGCTTAGGTCTTACTTAACAACTTTCTATCTAACTTGGTTCCTATATGTTGACGCTCGGTCGGCCGTGTGTTGTGCCTTTAATCTAACCATCTCATCGTCAAAATAGCTGCCAATCTGCCTCATCCTCGATCTTCTTGGTCTAGAAGCTCGGTTTATATTGAGAAGAGTTTCCTTGGTTACGTTATCCTCCATCACTCTCAGACTCGTACCAGTCAAATTAGAAGTCATGGCTCGGCTCGTAATTAAGTCAAGGGCAGCCTGTAATTCTCTCGCGAACTCGTCTCTTTCTTTTTTATCTTGATAGCAGCGTTTCTGTCTCAGAATATTTAAGCTGAGCTGTTCGAGAGGCTGTTTGTCGCGGACCTCTGAGCCCTCGAAGTCGATCACCATAACATTGCCGTTCGCATCATACAATATATTACGTCCCGCAACGTCGCGGTGTAATACTCGTAGTCGATGAATTGCCTTCAGAGCCGCCTTCACACCGCCCACTAAGCTAACTTCCTGCGTTGCATTTACACATTTGGGCAGAGGTTCTCCAGCCCAGCTAAGAAAGAGAAACTGGCTATAAACGCCGCCGTCAAAATGGTTAGGGAGCACCAAGTCAACAATACCAACACAAACGGGTACAGATCTGCCTTGGATGGGGCGTAGTCTGTCATAAATGCTCTTTTCGTGAAGTAGAAAATGTTGATCAAAACTCTCCATGCCTTTCGCTACCATTGTATAGCCGTGTGAAGAGAGTGTCACCTTGAACAGTACACCACGGCGGCCCGACAAATAGAGGCACATGCAATCTGCGTTGTGGCCACGGTCTGTTCTAAGCTGAGTTCGTATGCGCTCTATAAATTCGGCCTGCTTAATATGATGTTGGCCGTGGGTTGGTAGATTTGGACAGGCTGGGTCTAGCGGTCCGCCATTTGCCAACCCGAGCAAACATTTGTGTGTACAAAACAGTCGATCTTTAATATTAACTGCATTGGTTTGAAGCTGGCGCTGATGCTGTTGGACTTGCTGGTTCGAATGATTTCCACTGCCATGTTTCGTTTTGTCACTCGCCCTGGCGGTCCCATCCGGAGTCACTTGCTGGTTGGTCTTTGTGGATGGGTCTGGAGTTGGCGACGGGGGATCATCATCACTTTCTGAATGAGACAAGGCCGGATTAGAGCGCTTACAACGTGAACGTGTTTGAATCGGCGATCGCTTGAAGCCTTTCCACCGCTGCGGCCGATACGACGGCGCATGGCGTTCTTTTTTCTTTGCCGAGATGGGGATTTTGCTCAAAATGTCGTCGTACTCAACAACCCAAGTGTCAAGCTTATCTGCTGCATCGTGCCATGACTCGGGGGGTGGATCGGCGGCCATCGCCTGGAGCAAGAAGGCGAATACTTGTGCAGTGGCTGTGAAGTGAAGCCCATTCTCATCGCTGTCCACGACATCTAAGGCAGGTACGCGAAGTGCAACCTGGACAGTAGCTGGATCATCTCCAATGTGAAGAAATCCGAGGATTTGGCCGGTGCAGAAGTAGCCGTACGGTATGCCCTTTCCGACCATATATGAAAAGAGCTGAGTAACAACTGCCGCAGAGAGAGCTCGAGAACTCGACGCAAAGCTATCAACATCTTGGTTGATCACATCACGATCAGGTTGGATCTCTGACTCGAGACCAGTAACAATCTCGTCTATACCAACTTTGTGTGGTGCTTTATATTCAATTGCGAGCACTGGGATATTCCGCCCATCGGAGGTTCTGTAAATGCAGAATTGATCCGCTCTGTTGCCCTTTCCCCTTGCTCGTCGCCGCGTTGTTTGTTGTCGATACTTCGTTCGGGACGTCGATGGCCCAGCTGGTGCCACGCTATCGCCGATTGACATCTGTTCGAGTGATTCAGATAGGGTGTTATTAGGAGCGGTAAGGTTAGTATGGCTCTCAAAAGCAACCGTCCCCTGCAGGCCGAGATTTTCCCTCAACACTGGGTCTTTATAAGACCTTTCGACCAGCTTCTGGACAGCATTCTCTACCACATCACGCTCAAAGTTCCGAAGTCCAATCTCACTACTAATAGGTTGAAGAATGGACTGAACATACGCTAATTGATGCTTTGAAGGAAAAGCGGCTTCAGAGTAGAACTGTGGGCTGGTAGATAGTCTTTCCCAGACTTCTTCTTGTTTTGCTGCGAAGTCATGCCATGGGACGATGCGTCGAGGGTATATCCGACCAGCCGGATTCGTAGCATCGCCTTTTGTGGTCGAGGACGGGTCAGTGACGACTTGAATACTAAGATCCAGTTCATGCGTAGCCCCGAGATACTGTTCAAGTGTTTGTGGTCGTGACTCCCTGGCAAGTTCCTCCGCGACCGCAAGTCGATGTTCTTCTTCTTCGCGTCGACGTAGAGCTTCTACGCGTCGATTTTCTTCTTCTTCACGTCGACGTAGATCTTCTGCGCGTCGATTTTCTTCTTCGTCGCGTCGACGTTGTTCTTCTGCGCGTAGACTTTGTTCGGCAGCCTCACGTCGGCGTTGTTCTTCTTCACGCAGGCGTTGTTCTTCTTCGCGCAGGCGTTGTTCTTCTTCGCGCAGACGTCGTTCTTCTGCGATAAGGCGGCGTAAATCTTCCAATTCCTTTGTCGACATATTAATGATAAGCGTGCTGGAGCGTTGTGCCTCACAATGCGGAAATGGACCATCCACTTGCGAGCAGCCCCGGCGGAGCTGTCGGAGCCACCTGCGCCCCTGCCCCACAGTAGTTGCCGGGAGTAGCTAGCAGCGCGTTATAAATTTAGATGGGGGGAGCCAGAGGCGGTGCCATTTGTGCAGAGGGGGGGAACATGCCGCCCGCGATTCGAGATGCATTTATCTAGTAGACAAATTGTTCTTGGAATGCAGCTATAGATGGAGCTAGAACTCGTCGCTGTTCGGTATATGCTATACTAGAAACAATGTACCAAGAGGAAATGGTCAGGTCTCGGCGCATCTTGCGCCAAATTAAACATGGAATGAGAGAACTCGGAAACAAGTACTATTTAGTAGGCCAGGATTTAATTGCTCTAACACTGTGGTAGAGGTTAGAACTGGACAGTGTGAAGTCTTCGCGCCATTTATAGCACAAGGACACTACCCGACTTCCAACAGCTTCTACACTCACGCACCAATGTGCTGGCCCACCACCATCACTTCGTCATTTCCAGCGCGTTAAGCCCCAAGTATCGCTGCCTCAAGCGCTCCAGCAAATACTACGACTACCACCACCACAAGCGCTCCGCTCTCATGTTGGATAACCATTTGCGTCGAAAGCCATTATATTTCCCTTTTTTCAAGTCTTTTTAGCCTTGCCTGGCTATTTTCCCTCCCGTTTGGCTTATGTTCGTGGTTCACTAGAGAAACCTGTCCAGTGGAAATCGGCAAGCAGGAATCATAAAACAAAAGGCGTCAAACGGGAATCAACAACTGGAATCACCAGATAAGAATTAGCAAGGGGTTGAGTCAGTAACCTCAAGACTGGAATCGTCAGACTGGAATCGTAAAACAAGCCGAGTCCAGGCGCGAAGCCACACCGACCTAATTCCTCCAGCGTAACCTTCGGACGCTAACGCATCCCACACCCAGCCTAGTCCGTTGCCTCGCTGAGCGCCCACACTGGGGTGCCAGCTTGGTACACACATCAAGCCTGGCCGCCACCTAAGCTTTTCTCTTTCACGCCACACCAAGCTTTTGTCCTTGCCACTCTGACCACCTACATTTTCCTGTTACAGAGCACACCAGCCACATACACCAAACCATTCAACCGCACACTAAGCTTCCCATTTACACCCAGCCCAAGCCACACTGAGCCTCACAATATTCTGGAACGTATTTAGGTAACACACTAGCTGGATCCAATACACACTGAGCTTTTACTCAAACAGTTACCAGCCCATCATAGGGACTGGGTTTGGATCGTGGTTTGTGGCTTAGCGCGACAAGCCAAACCCAACTTGACGCGACACCGAATTGAGCTCCAACTAAGTTCCTGTAAATATTAACTATTAGAAAGAGCTAGGTAAGTCGGGTTTTATGTGATCTTTGATTTTCTTGGCCATTTGGGGCAAATACAGCGATTCCTTAGAAATAACCGCCCGTTCTACTCTGGCCGCCAACTCAGTGGCGACCTCAATGATTCTGTTGGGACATTGTCCATGAATCGTAGCCGCTATCAGGTTCATAGTTTGGCGATCTGTCCTTTTAAAGTCTTTACTAAGTATAGTTAGTATTGTTTGTATGTTGAGTAGAGGCGACATATACAAACACAATTGATTCCGCCGCTTCGGAATAAAGAAGCGCAAGAGGTGGCGATGGCCCAGCAAGATCTAACCAGCTACGACCAGACCGCTTGCGTTCTTTTAACTCGCAGGCCAACTTACTTGAGCTCGATCGGCCCTCCTGCGCTGCGGCGTATATGTTCATGGCGGCGCTAGAATCGCGATAGCAAGGCAGTCGCTGCATCATCCCGCTCTCCCTTTCAGACTTGATAATATCTTCTAGGGAGTGGAAGATTCTCATTAACTGAATGTATGCCAACCGCCGCAGCAAGTATGTCCCATATTCTCCTAGTATAACTCTATCCACAGCCTTAAATGCTGCAACGATACAAGGATCGGAGCTAGTGATACCATTCGGTATCGTGGCTTCGCGTAGCAACGAGAGCCAAGCTTGCACGATGGCTTCGCAGTTATCAGCAAAGACGCTGAACGGGTCATTTCCAACGATCTTTTGAGAAAGAGCAGCAGCCCTTGCCAGCCTTTTCTCTTGCCTCTTGCCAGCGCGGCAATTTGAAGAACGTGAAGCCCCTTTTGATCTCGGACGACGGCGCATCACCGTCATTTCATGAAAGTTTCCCCGTTATTCTCTTTAAGTGAAGACAGTTATGTTATAGGACTGGCTCTCATGCATAGATACAATTTCAAGATTTTACTTTCGTGTATTTCTGTAGTATGCGGTATTCGGTTGGGGACCACGAGAGCATCAAAGAACGTGATGAAGGTCTATGTTAATTTAACCTATATTTTTAAAAGGGTGAGAGGTAGCTTAAGGTTGTTTTGATATATAGAGCCGGAACTGTACCAGGATTGATATCAAGGTTCTGAATCATGATCGCTGCTTTCAGCAGTGGCATTCCTTGGGAGTGTTTTCTGTAAGACGTTTTACTAAACAATAGCCGAGAACGTGCTGTCGTACAAGCGGCTATTTGTATTGGATATAAGATTTAGAAAGAAATGCCTACAAATTAAAATTAGTATTATAACAGTAGACATTGACAGATAACAAACCTTAACATGAAATAGAACACAACTATACTGGAGACATAGAGCCCTACTAGAGAGCTGTAGTAGGTTGGTTTATTGCCGTTGGCATCCAGCCAAAATCGAAGATAAGCATCTGTTATAACATTAGAAAGCAAATGATAAGATAACAGCTCTTACACATACTTGGAAGTAGCGTTAGTAAGATTGCTATAATAAATGCTACTACCCAACAGCGGAAGCTAGTTGTTTGTAAATCAGCAGAGAAAAGGAAAGCAAGAACTTGCTTTCTATCCTTCATTCGTAGCATACGAATAACTTCAGGTAACTCTTCATATCGTAGTAGAGGGTCTTCGTCTTCGGTGATGAACATTTGGCTGGGTCGTTTAACGGCGCGTCTTCGGGGCAAGTCCTGGGTATCGCAGACAAGATTTCCGGCGGTCGTAATGAGAAATCGGTCATCCATTACATGTGCAAAATCGACTAAGTATAAATATAAGGAAGCTTACACTGTCGAGCTGTAAATATTACTGTCGTGTCTAGCGCACGAAGAAGACCATATTCTCGCGAAAAGAGCGCATTGACAATGGCCTTTGCACTGTCTTTATCTAGTCCTGAGATAATATCATCGAAGATCATAATTGGGGCTCTGGAGTAGACAGCTCTTGCAAGACCCTATTCTCTGTAAGTTGTATAAACGTATAATTATGTACGATCAACGTACAATCTTTATCTTTTGGCTTGCACTTAGGCTCGAGCCGTTATGACTGAGCTTTGTGGCATCGCCTTGTTGTAAGCTTCCAAATTCTTGGACGAGGCCACAGGCTAGGACCACAGTGAGATACCACTCAGCATCCATGACATAGCATCCAATAATATTGCTTCGAATAATATAACTCTGTAACCAGTGGTTGTGGCCGCAATATGCGATACTTTCATCCGCAACTTCTAAAGCTCCAGCCGAGAGATTAATATCTCCAAGAAGTGCTTGCAGCAACATGGTTTTGCCAGAGCCTGTTGGTCCAAGGATAATAGAGAGCTTTTTGCTTCGTATTTTAAGTGAAATTCTCTGTAGTCCCAAATAGTTAGGCGTGGCTGGTATTTCAAGCCTCACATTGTTAGCCACAATTTTATTTTCAGTTGCTTTCGATGGGACCTGGATCTGCCGTGATTGAGATGCTGAATCTGTAGACAGTCGTAGATATGCGCCAATATTATTAAAGTTGATCCCGGCACCGAGAAGGGCATTTGTTGTGACTATTGTGACATTGGACGTGTGTTAATTTGCTGGAGGAGTGAAGGAATAGTTAAGTCACTGGAGGTGGCTAAGGAAAACACAGGAAAAGGAAGTAAATACAGGATGTATTCGCTGTATTTAACTAGAGCAGTTCCGACCATGGAACTAGAAGAGAACAACGAACTTTTACCACAACCTCTCACCTTTTGATAACACGTGTTATTAATCCTTGAACCAACAGTATGTATTGTTTTATTGGCAATATGCCAGGATTTTGACAATACAATACAATATGCTTGTGTGTCATATTGCGAAATACAATATGCACCCTCTGGCAATACAATAATATTGCGAGGGTGCTCATATTGCCAATATTGTATTGTTTATATTATTTACCACACTGGCCTTTACTTGCAGCTATCAAGCATGAAAACATAGAAGCCGCTCGATTACTACTTGAAACGGTAGTTGTGGATTTGAAGGTAGAAGATAGGCTTGGTCGATCACTAGCTTATTGGGCAGCTAGAAACCGAAACCGGCCAGCTATCGACCTTTTAGGCGATCACGGTGTGCTGGCTGATGTACTGCCTGAACTCGACAGCAATATTATTCCTATACCAAACGAATATGGAACACTTTCCTGTGACATATGAGTCACTCGTATTGCGATAGGACAAATCTACCGTCATTGCCAATTTGCGACGGGAATGACTTAGATATATGCGACGAGTGCTACGAAGCTGGATTCCGATGCCACGAGGGAACACATGAACTCAAGTATATTCTCGCCTATTTACACAGTTAATTACAAAGCAGTAAATGTTTGTTTAGAAACCAATCGATAAACATTATCTGTTTCACATTAAGAGCGTTAGAATATCTATGTGAGCTGTTTGCAATGTAGGGCTGGGCAAGAGATATGGCCTGCGGTGTTTGAGCAATAGTGTCTAGTAGCGACAAACCGTTGTGGGCCTCTACCGAGCCCCAATGGCATGACACTCCTAGAAGGTGATCCAACAATGAATCCTAGCGATTAATATTACATTTAACGGATATACAGAGATTATACCTTTTCTGCATAAACTATTCGGAAGTAAAAAGAAGAGCGGACTTTGCAACGGCTATTTCCCAATCGAGCCGTGGGATCTCCGCCGGTCCGCTGTTCCGCTCAGCCTCGTCGGTTAAGAGAAAACAGCGCTTCCCCTTCCCACCACATCTTTTTTCTCGGTCTTTTTTCAAGAGAACCTTTATTAAAACAATAATATATTTTTACCGGACTCTGTATTCTTTTATTGCTAGTATGACATCTCGAACCTACGATGTCATCGTCTTTGGGGCGACGGGATACCTCGGCCCTCTCATCAGCCGTTACTTGTCCGCCAATGCGCCAGATTCCTTGCGATGGGCTGTAGCTGGCCGTGATAGCGACAAACTACACAATCTCTGTGATTATTTACAAGAAGAATTTCCGCAGCGCAAGGCACCCGCCGTCCTGGTAGCCACACTTGATCCCTGCGATTTGGACAGGCTGGCATCCAGTACGCGACTGGTCCTCAACCTGGTTGGCGTACGTCCTTTATATACTCTTTCGTCTCACATACTAACGCAAAGTAGCCATTTAGTAAATATGGAACACCTGTCATCAAAGCGTGTATCCGCAACTCTACAGCTTACGTCGACTCCACAGGCGAACACACATGGAGTCATGAAATAGCGACCACGCTCCACGACGAGGCAGTCTCCCATAAAGCCCCAGTACGTTCCTTTGTCATTTAGTCTCTCTAATACTTACACTCGTAGATTATTCCTCACTGCGCTATTGAATGCGCTCCCCCAGATATCATGACCCATCTCCTCGTCAAAAAGGCTCGCGAGGCAAACCTCGTCCCCGCCGGGCCAGTCTACTTCTCCATCGACCATACCTGGCCAGGATACAGCGGTGGCACCATTGTAGCCATTCTTGGTGTCCTTAGTAGCTATTCGCTGTCACAGATGAATGCGTCGAGCGCACCTCTAGCGTCCTGTGTATCAGACGCGGGACCGAATACACCACCCAGCGTCGCTCTCCTACCAGTAAGATACGACTCGTTCCTGGGTCCTTTGACCTTCAACCCGTCTGCCATGGCGGATCGGTCGGTGGTTATGCGCACGTGGTCGCTGCTTCAGAGATATGGAAGCGTGGGAGAGAAGTACGGAGAACGCTTCATGTTTCAAGGCTATGCGCGGACTTCTAACCTTGTAAACGGTTGGCTGTCGTTTATAGGGACCTCGCTCATGACGCTATTTGTTGTTTTTGTGCCACCACTGCAGCGCTTTCTGGCTTCGATTGCACCAGCGCCTGGCACAGGGCCGCATGTTGATGAGACGGATAAGCACTACGTAGAATGGCGGGCCATTTTGCAAGCCAGCTCACCGGACGAGTCGAAGCCTTCAGCCCGGATCACGGGGGTTTTGAGAATGGAAAAGGATGTGTATAGTTGCTGTGCGGTACTGGTTGGAGAAGCGGCCCTGTCTGTTCTTGAAGTACTAGATCATGGGGACAGTACATCACTCGTGGGCAAGCTTCAGGGCGGTGTTTTGACGCCAGCAGCGATAGGGGCGACATATATCGACAGACTGCAAAGAGAAAATTTGCATGTTGTCATTGACCTGAAAACACCTGGAGGGGGTAAACCTTAGAGATACACATTCGCTTTAATAAGCTAGGTATTTTTAGCGAGCAGAGATACAGGAGAGCTGGAAACATTCAACAGAAGCTCTAGGAAATATTTATAATGACTTGTTCGACAGGTTAAAAGCAGGACGATTCAGTATAATAGAGGAAAAAAGAGACTCGAAGAAACATTTTAATATTTATTGTTCGGTTTATCGCATCCTTTCTCCAAATCTTTTAAGCCTTTGACTGCAGTTCCTGCCCCTCTAACAATTACATCAGTTCGAAGCTATAAAACAAACAATAAAAACGATAGGGTTTAGTTCATAATTTATAATCTTAACTTATAAACTACTATATTTTTTTACTAAAGTATACAGGAGTTTAGACCATAATTTGCAATTCAAGTACAATAAAAATAGGATGTCTCGAGTATTGGAACGATCAAGACGTTGGCTGGTAGAGGGTCTAGGGGGCTTGGTCTTGGCCCGACCTTGTTTGCTATGGGATTTGAGCTCGAAAGCTCGAATTCTTTTTAGTTACATTCTCATACTATCTGCTCGAATCATACTTCTTTCTTCCCGTATGTGCATGCGTGTGCGAACAATAGAAACGAGGCTGTGGCTCATCACGTGTGAATGTTGGGGGCGAGAGTCCGAGCGCTTCGGCTACTGTAGGTCTGCTCTCCTCGCGAGGCTCAGGAGGCCTGTTTATGTATTTTTCATCTTCAATGTGATTTACGACGCCGTTATAGAGAAGAAATTGGAGGTACATCTGCTACAACACAAAGCCCGTTGACAAGACGCTCCGCGCCAATCGACGGCTTGCCCGTATAAGCCATGGCGCTACCGCAATCCGACGCTGACACTAGCCGCAACGCCCTGCTCGCCTCCCCGCCTTTATCAGCGGGTATCCCCCGTAAGCCAGTGCCATCGCCGCTGCTGTTTAAGCACGGTGGAAAAGAGTACACCTCGGTGCAGGTGTCGTCGGCTTTGGACGACGTGGATCTGGATGGCTCATCTTCAGGGAATGATGAGCGTCGTCAGAAGCAGCAGCAGCCGCTTGGAATTGTGCCAACCGCCGTTGTGTATCGCGGCATAGGCGCGTCCCTGCGTATCTGGAAGTGGGAGCTGATATCACTGCTCGTCAGCTACCTCAGCTTCATGAGCATCATTGCCGTGCTGGCAGCGTTCCAGGGCAAGCTGCTGTCGTCGTGGAGCGGCCTCATCTCCATCAATGCCATTATTGCCATCCTGGCCACCATCTTCAAGGCCGCACTGGTGCTGCCCGTCACAGAAGGAATCAGCCAGCTGAAATGGCTGTGGCTGTTCCAGGAGCAGCGCAGTCTCGTCGACGTTGACCGCTACGACCAAGCGAGCCGAGGTGCTTGGGGGTCCATCTTGTTGATTGCGCGCCAGTTTTCAGAAAAGAAGAAATCGTAAATGCTCTCTTTCCTTTCTTGCCATTGTCTGTCAGTGTACTAACTGTCGTGTGTCTCTCTCTAGTTACTTGGCCAGCCTCGGCGCCTTCATATTCCTCCTCACGCTCATAACAGATCCTTTCTACCAAGCAGCTGTGCAAGTCAACACATGCTACCACAACTCGACTGCGTTGGCCAGCGTGCCGCGTGTCAACCATTATACTGCAACCCAAGGCGCTGTGCACGATCGAGCGTTCCACGCCACTGCAGATATGGACATTGCCGTTACTCAAGGTATGGTCTTGCCACCGCGAAGTGGCTCGGACAGCATTGCGCCATCGGTACTCTGCTCCACGGGCAACTGCACATTTGGCGATAATGAAGGCGTGTCATTCAGCACGCTCGATATGTGCCATGTGTGCGAGAACCTGACCACTCAGATACTGACGCGCAATATCACCTACGAGGCTACGACTACATCGGATGCGTCTTCCAGCAACAGTAGCAGTAGCAGTGCGACCAATGGCCCGTCAGGACGCAAACTAAAGGTGCGCCAGTCCGACACGACATCAAACTCTTCTCCTCCTACGTCCTGGACCGAACCTACATGGATTCTAGAGAGCGCTGGTGGAAATATTACTATGCTCGCTTCTGGTGGCCCGGTCCTAAAAGTCATCTCTTTGAATGACAACACCACGTCCTACCCCATCGGCCCATGGACCCGGAGCAGCATACTTGAGTTCCGGGCGTTGGCGGCATTGGAGAAGAAGAATTGCACCGGCCCACAAGACTGCAGCTCGACTCCGTTTGCCTTTCAGTGCTCGCTGAGGCCGTGCGCCAAGACCTTCAAGGCCAGCATGAAAGACGGCAAGTACAAGGAGACGGAAGTTTCCCGTGAGTACATGCACAGATCCATGACGTACGCCTACGAGATAGCACTCAATAGGACCATTGTCAACGGAACCTGGGTCAACTGTAGCCCCAGCGACAACGAGACAGAGACCAATTCGTATCAATATGCGCTTCCCGAGCCGCCCGATATCCAGCTCCAGCCTATTGGCCCTCACCCGCCGGTTCAGCCAAACGCCAGCGTTTGGTACCCGCGGCATTGCGTCTATGCCATCGAGACGGCCGCGTCCGTCGGCCTCGAAGCATTGCTGAGATTCAGTTTTGACAATAACAACATCACTAGAGTAGGCCCGTTGGTGCTGCCGACCAACTCCTGGGTCGCGAATCTCTGGGCCGATGGCAATATATCCATGGCGACGGTCAACAACTTCACCTCGGGCCTGGCCACGACGCTGGCCGTGCAGATGCGCAGGACGATGGACAAGAACATAGACGTTAGCAGGCAGCTGGGCCAGACCATCCAGCGAGATACTTGCATCAACATCCGTTGGCACTACCTCAGCTTCGGCGCCATCGTCCTCGTCCTCGAGACGGCGTTTCTGGTGGCTGTCATCTTCACGAGCCACCGCAGGCAGTGGAACGCCAATTGGAAGTCGTCGTTCCTGGGTCTCTTGGTCCCGCAGGCTGGTCCTGATGCCACGCAGCTCCGCAGACAGAGTATCTCGGGGCACGACGCCGAGGATAAAGGGAAGCTGCGCAGAGTTGCTAAAGATATTAATGTTTCGCTGGCCAAGGTGGGCGGGCGTTGGCAGCTGCATACGGTTGAAAAGCTCGACTAGCTAGGGAATTAGGACGGCGTTCCATATATTAACCTACATACTACATATTGATTAAACTCTTTTTTTCGTGAAGTCAAATATTGTTACCGTGATGACAGCAATCATGGGCTTCCTCAGGGTTTATGTGCTAAGGCTGTTACTTCCATATACCTACAGTATCACATAAACTAGTTTGCTCTAATATATTATCTTAATCAATCTATCTACGTACTCTTAATAGAAAGTATTAAAGCAAACTGTAACGGGCTAGACCCGTGGAGGTCTCGGGTAACTCTCGACCAGGGGCCCATATAAGTCATACAAGAGGCCATTCCAGCTCGCTGGAATAGCCCCTTTTCGATCCCTTCTTCATCTTCGGATACTCGTAGTAGTCGCTCAGCTAGTTGTCAATATACTCGGTTGATACCGTTACACATACTTCGAGTTGTTATAGTCTATTTCAAAGATATAAGGTTTACAAGAGACCGATTATAGGATGTATGCTATGAATTGTTCTATGCACTCACATTTGCGGTGGAAAACAGATGCGTCCACGGACGTTTCGCACCAAGACGGCTGTTGTGGAAACAACAATGCAGGTTACATTAGTTCTATATATACCTTAGCTAATTAAGCTACGTACTTTGTAATTCAACGTGGTTCTCTTTTACCTACACTTAGTACGCTCAAGAATCCAACATTGAATTGTACGACTGGGTTACATGCATGCACCCTGTGTCATATGACTTGTTGGCTACAGCCACCGAAAATTCGACCTCTCTACGTGTGGTTTGCATACAACAATTACCATATTGTTGTTCAACAACTGTACCTATATCGACCTAGTGCTATGAGAAAGTTCTCTGCAGGTGCCGCCGACCGTGCAGTGGACATCCTAAACTAACACAGCATTATCCTATACAACAGACATTCCATCAAGCTGTTGTGAAGATGTCTCAATTGATCACAAAATCAGGCAAGCAACAATCCCCAGATAACGCTAGACTGCACGCAATACCACTTCATCAGCAGAGCGTGTAATGAGGAAGGATGACACCTTTCGGGTTAAGGGAATACCTCTAGACTGGGATGCAGACCAACTCCAGTCGGCCTCGAATGAGCAAGATGGTGCAGCACTTCCAACTGTGAAATCTCTTGCGCTGGAGACACATGGTCGATCTTTGTCTGCCACAGTCAACTTCGAAAGCCTTCCCAATAGCATGAAAGCTCTTAATAGAGAGCGTAGTTGGAATATCCATCTACCTAACAATTCTGCGCCTCTGAGCCTGGATGATAACTTTTATGGCATGACGACAATTTTCGCTCCACCGGCAGAGCACCACAAAGTTGAGTACGTAGAGCGCGATAATGTAGATTCTTCGGTTGACACAAGTAGCGTTGTTGCGATTTCGGGACTTGGTGGGCATGCATTCGGCTCGTTTAAGAAGCGAGGCGGCAATTTCATGTGGCTCCGAGACGCACTGCCCTTTGACCTTGGAGACGAAACAACTAATGGTCCTATGGCGCGGGTGCTCATATATGGCTATAATTCGAAAGTTGCCAATAGCCACAGTATACAGAACCTAGAGGACCTTGCTACAGCATTCCACGCAGGTCTTCGGCAGGTTGTTGATAATCAGAAGCGACCCATTATCCTAATCGCTCACAGTCTTGGAGGATTGGTTGTGAAACAGGCAAGAGCTCACTCTACGGCTGATGGTGGAGTACTAACAGGTAGGTATAGGTGTTGATAACTTTGTCCCAGTCTCAAGATGTCAAGGATCAGCAAATCTTCCAGAGTACCTACGGGATGGCTTTCTGCGGCGTTCCTCGTCATGGAATGAATATCCAGTCACTTATTCTGATAGCGAAGGATGGTCATAATCGCTTCCTTATCGAGTCGCTCAACAATATGCAGCCACAGATTCTACGCCGCCAGCATCAGGATTTCCTCAAGGCGCTTAGCAGTGAAAGCAAATCCGAGATCGTATGCTTTTACGAAACGTTGATGTCTCCAACAACAGAGCAGGTATGTATACTTTGTTTCATTGCGTGTTTTCGTGTGTTTTTTTCGTGTGTGTTAAGCATTCTAGGATATAAATGGCGAATGGGAAATGACAGGACCCGAAGCACTGCTTGTCACCCGTGAATCGGCGACAACTTGTCGGCCTTGGGAGGCCGGTCCCGAATATGCATGTGCGATTAATCGTAGTCATTCAGAGTTGGTAAAATTTAACCACCATGATGCCGACTATGAGAACGTTTGCGAAAGGCTCCGTGGGCTTGCTCATAGAGCAGTGGCAGCAAGTAAGGGCCGCCCTGAATTGAGGACCTCAATTCGTTAGTATCCAATGTATATTACCTATTTATACTGAGATGCTAATATCTTGAAGTGCCTCGCTTTTTTGAGTCCCACATAAACGTCAACAATTTATTGGTTGAGAAGACGTGCTTGCCCGCCTTCAAAATACTCTCTTCAGCGATAACCCTCCTCAGACGCTAGCAATGTTCGGGCTTGGCGGTATAGGCAAGACCCAGGTTGCAGTACAGATGATGAATTGCGCTAAAGCTAAACAAAATGATCCCGGAGGAGGCTGAGAAACTCCTACGCCAACTGCTAGCACAGAGTTACTTTGGGGATAGCGAACCCGTTGCGGCGCTTTTACAAGAGCTCGTGTTTCTACCACTGGCAATTTCGCACGCGGCAGCATACATTAAACGAAACCGCAGACCCATTACGCGCTACCTCTCTCTCTTGCAGGATTGCGGGGAGGATGGTGGAGAGTCATCCAGATCGACTATTGGCAGAGAGAATCTTTGCAGAGGCATACCTAGAACATGGTCAGACAATGCAGGCTGTGGAACTCTTGCAAGATATTACCAAGATACAAGAGAAAACACTACCGGAGAGTAGCCCATCTCGACTAGCAACACAGCATGCACTCGCAATCGCATACCTTGCGAACAACCAAGTTAAAGAGGCAATAGGGCTTACGGAGTATATGGCCAACATACGAGATGCAAAACTAACGCAAAGTGGTCCAAATCCACTAGCATCACAAAGTAGCCTTATACAAGTATACCTTACAAATGGCGAAGTTAAAAAGGCCCTAGAGCTTATGGGAAATGGGATCGGGATACAGGCTACAACAGTGGTGCAGGATGACCTAGATCGACTGATCTCACAATGGATCCTCGCAGAAGCATGTCATCAGAATGGCCAACATGAAAAGGAACTAGCGCTTATGAAGCATTCGGCTAAGACCTTGGAAGTAATAGAACCAGAGACTTCTTCACTCAGATTGACGGTCCAAAGTAACCTCGCATTAGCATATCTTCATAATCGCGAAATTGCGAAGGCAATAGAGCTCTCTGAATATGTCGCCGAGATACAAAAAACGACAGGAGTGGAGGGCGACCCATATAAACTAAAACGTTTCAAAATAGCATATCTCATTAGGGACATGGAGAGGCTTTGGGAGCTTCTTGCTAAGAGAGTGAGCATAGTAGATGGACCAACCGACCTTAAACAGAAAGTATTGGCTGAGAGAGCAGACATAGTAAATGGACCGACGACCGACCCTCTAATGAAATTACAGGAGTCTCTTTTATCTTTTAAAAAAAAGTTGGGTATCAGAAAAGGACGTTTAATCGTCAATACAATATGCATTCCAATTTATCTCTGAGGCCCATTCAGACATGCAAGTTCGGAAATTTTTCTATTTTCAGAACTAGCAGAAAGTACAATCGTCTATGGCATACTGGCACCACCATCAAGTTACCGTTCATTCCCTACGACGGCTTTTACCATCTGCAACGCAGAACTGATGGCAGAGCGGGACTATCAGCAGGAGATCATCGCATACAGGAACACGGACATTAAATGTACTACTCCAAGACAGAACAGGAACTCCTGTATCGAATCAGAAGTCAGTGCCCGTTGAGAAGGGCTTATATCATGATATCATGTATATTCCACTTTGCTATAGTCTATTTTCATATACTCCATGCTTTCATTCATACCCACCAATCGCTCTACTGCTGCTGGCCGTTGCCGCCCTGGCCCTGACCAGCGCCAGGAGCACCAGGACCACCGGGGCCCATCATGTTTCTAGCCCTGTAGCGCCTGCGTTAGTCACATCTTCACCAATTCATGGATACAAACTCAAACTTACATATCCATCAGGTTGGGGTCGTTCATGAGGCTGCCGAGGTCAGGCATGCCGCCGCCGCTGTTGAACTGGTTGGCCATATCACGGATACGGGGGTTGCTCATCAAGTTGTTCATCATGTCCGGGTTGCTCATGAGGTTCTGGGCCATGCTAGCAAACATGGGGTTGTTCATAATGGACGCAAGATCGGGCATGCCGCCGCCACCAGCACCACCAGCACCGCCAAACATGGACGCCAAGTTACCCAAGTCAGGCATACCGCCGGGCATACCACCAGCAGCACCGCCAGCGCCGCGGGACAGCGCATCGCCCTCCTCATCAGCCTCATCGACACGGCGCTTGGCCGTTTCGTAGCCCTTCTTCATGGCATCCGAGCCACCGTTACCCTCATACTCAATACCCTTGCCGTAAGCGTCCATGGCGCCCTTGGCATCGCCGAGCGCAAAGCGCGCAAGACCCAGGCGCGACCAGGCCTTAGTGTAGGTCGGGTCAATGGCGACAGCGGCCTCGGCATCAATCTTGGCCGACGTGTGGTCCTTGGCGGCCGAGTGCGCGGCAGCACGGTTCGAGAGGAAGATGGCGTTGGTGGGGTGCAGCGCAAGGGCCTGGGTGTAGAGGTCAATGGCGCCGGGGTAGTCCTTCTGGGCCATGGCGGCGTTGCCCTTGCTCTTGAGGGCCTCGGCCTCCTTCTTCTTGTCCTCGGAGACCTCGGTGGGCGCGCCGGCGGCGGTGTCAGCGGTGGCGGCCTTCATCTTGTCGTAGACGGAGAAGATCTGGAGCAGGTTCTGGGCGCCGACGGCGGAGGAGACGGCGGCAGAGTCGGTGGGGTCGACCTTGAAAGACTCGGCGATGCAGTTGACGGCGACGTCGATGGAGTCCTTGTCCTCGGCGGCGAGGGAGCCGTCGGTGGCCGATGTGTTGAGGAAGTCGCAGATGGCGAGCGCGAGGCGCTGCTTAGGAGAGGACTGTGAGATGAGGGTTAGTGGATTTGGGGTATTGTTGAGAGTGACAAGAGGGGATTGTGATGGGACGTACCATTGTTTTGTAGTGGTGAGGGTGTGAAAAGGGGTTGTTGAGAGAAAGAGAAGAAGAGACCGCCACTTTGCTGGGTGGTGATGTTTGCCGCGGGAAGGTTTTGTTGTCTGGAAGGGTTGCCCCGCGGTGGGGCTGCGTGTGCAGCGGTAGCCTGCCTTCTGCGGACGTCGGCGGACGGGAGGGTGGTGGATGTTATTCTACAGTGAGAATAAAATAATAAGGAAAATGTAATAATTATAGGCGTCTAACATTCATCAATCTAATTTTGTGGTTTTGTTGAAAGAAAGATGTTGGCCAGTGTAATGCGACAGTTGATGCAGCTACCCTGCGGAGTTTGACCGTTGTTAAGACTCACTTAGACACTTACATTAATTTGAGAAATGGTGAGTAAAAGATAGTTTAATAATAAAATCGTTAAACTTCTAAATGTATTTTTAATAAAAGAGTAGTCAAGTTATGCTATATTGTAAACGTACACCTGGTACACTGCTCCCAATGGACGGCATACTTCATCGTCCCCCTAGAACTATCAAACGCCATACAACCAAAGAAAAATCAACAAAACTCTCAAGGATTGCCTACTTGGCTTTTTTTCGCGGCCGGTCAACATTCTTGACCCGACGGCTCTCCATCGCAGCCACCTTGCGCGTCTTGGCATATACCCGGACAATATCCCGCAGCACCACAAAGATACACCCGCCAATCAAGCTTCTGCCCCATTGCTGCTGCAGAAGGCCGGGGCGCTGGCGAAGCAGCTGGCTCCGTGACGAAAGAGCGGTAAATTTCGCGGGAAGTACCAATCTCAAAGCCTCACCAGCTGCGAAGGAGATGCCTGGCAGAACGAGGGCGCTGACAATGGTGTTGGAGAGGTGAGACAAGATACCGCCGAGGCTCATGCGTTGCGCTGGAGGGGCAGGGGCTTCATGGTTTGCTGCCTCTGGTGCGGCCGCTGCTGGTTGTCCATCTCCTGCTGCTGGTGCTGCGCCGACTGGTCCATCTGCAGCTGGCGCAACTGCTGCATTCTCATTATTCGGCGCTTGTCCTGCTGCTGGTTGTGCCGGTGCAGCCGCTGGCCGTGCTTCCTCTTCTTGCTGGCCAATCTCAATAGCAAACCCAGGCTCGTGGGGACCCTGACCATCGTCCTCTTCAATTACCACTTCCAATACTACACGGTCGTCACCCTCTGCGTTTGCATTATTGGCACCAGCAGGCATGCCTTCGTCGTCCTCGCCACCAAGCGCATCCACAAGCGTCTGCAGCATTTCCACAACGCCAGGCTCCCGTCGATCGTCTAGTCGTCTATGTGGTGCTCCCTCTGGTGCAGGGGGCTGTGGTGGGAGGCCCAGTATTTGCCTATTAAGCTTGACCTCATACGGCAGCACCAGCTCGCGCCAGAGGTTGTAGTATATCGATCGGATATAAGGAAAGACGGCCATGGCTAGCTGTGGTGATGGCGGCCAGGCAATAAACTTTTCGTCGTGTAGGACATGGTACACGCCGTACTGTTCCCCGTTAGCATTGTATTAAATGATACTTTTTTGCAGACATACCAGAGAGGCGGTTGGTAGAAAGATGCGATTGCTGAAGCCAGGAAATACTGTGGCCAGCATCAACGCAGGTGCAACATTCATCAGCACAAGTGCGCTTGAAGCCCTCTCGCGGGCAAATGAAAGTTTATTCTCGCGGCCGTTAATGAGAGTGACGGGCCCGAGTGCGTATGATAACAGCGCATCCTTGCCAGCAAACGTCCAGAGGGCCATGGCGCCGTACATTTGCAAACTGAACTGTACACCCATGGAGACGGCTGTAAAGAGCATGTAGGGGCTAGCGCGAGTGAAGCGGCGTTTGACGCCATCGGAGAGGGCAACGATGGGATCCCAGCGGCCCTCGAGCTTAATGAGCGACTTGCACACGGGGCATTTGAGTGGGCGATTGGAGCGCTCGCAGTCTGTCACCCACGAGAGGATGCAGTCTTGATGTGCTTCGAGAGTGCATGGGCACGGATCGACCCATGTGCCAGGGGCATCAGAGGCGTCTTCATCGGTAAGGCAGATGAAGCATCGCTTTGGGCTGTCGATCGGTCGTTTGTCGTCAGCAGACGAGGCAGTCGCGGCGATGCCCGTCATGATTGTGTAGTCGTGTGTTTATTACTGGTTGCGCTGGTTGTTCATGTCGGTGGAATTAGAAGGAATTAAAGAAAGAGAGAAGAAAGATGAACGGAGCGGTAGAGAAAACAAAGTGAAGATTGTATGAAGAGGATGACGTGTGTTTTTTTGTTGGGGGAGATTATTTGTGTCGTCCGGCGGTTTCGGAAAAGGCAAGCAAGCAAGTAGGCGTTTGCAAATGCTCCGAGGCTTGTCAGTGCGCCGAGTTTGGTGTCGTCGTCACGGGCCAATCACGGGGCCAAAGGTTGGTCCGACCCGCTGAAGGTGCCAACTTGTAGCAGCGATTACATCACCGATAGGCAAAAAGAAGAGGGGGGCATAATGCTGCAGCAGGAAGCATCATAAAAAAACAGAAGAAGGGGAATAAAAATAATTATAATAATGGACAACTAATTTGGAGATTATATTTCTGTTCCGGTCCGTATATACCATATACAAGGCGCCAGCTGAAGCTGTATCTTTACATTGCAGGCCGTGCACACTGCATCATTTTTTACCCCACCTCCAGCCGCTTGTACTGGCTAGCATCTGCGATTTCAGGGTCTTCGGCCTCCCCAAGCCGAGAGATGCCCCCCTCACAGTAGAAACATGCACAGAATAAGGCGCAGAGTAAAATCAATGTACACGGGAATCATCAAGTTTCAATTTAGTAGAACAAGCAGCATTCGCAACTCTCACAAATTTACACTGACAACCATACCCCCGCAACCCGTTCTGAACCAGCAGCGCAGCCCAGAATCAGGATTCCTTGAAACTCGGGTATCACCCCCGCCAAACGCCGGTATCACATCATCGTCGTCGTCACCATCGTCTCGTCTCATTCATCTCATCATCATCAGCTAGTTCAAAAGCGTAACACTGCGATTCCAGTAGTTTATTTGTGCTAAGAGAGTCCACATGTTAGTATATAACGGCAGAGAGGGTAAAGAGGGGTTCACGTACGGGGCAGTTGGAGCAAGTGCAGCCAGAGCCGCAGTTGCAGGTGCCAGAGGTAGAGCAGCCACAGTCAGCCATGTTGATGAAGAGTAAAAGTGTGTGGTTTGGTGGTGATGGTTTTCAAGGTGTTGTTGGAGAATGGAAAAAGACAAGGAGAGTGAGGGGTACAACAAGGGCAAGTAAAGTGGGTGGTGGCTGGGCCAAGTCTGCCTTTTAAGGTGGCAAACACCAGCAGCGCCCTTCGGAGCGTCGCCCCCCAACGCAGTCACTAAAACGAACCACTAATTCCATACACAGCACGCACAACAGCCTGTTTCGGTGATGCGCCGATGCCTGCATGCGGGGTGGCGCACTTGTTGCAACCCAGTGGGACGAGCTAGTGGCCGCTAGTGAAGCATCAGCCGCTGCAGATCATACCAACAGTTGCATGCCAGCAAGCAGCCAATGTAAAAGAAAGGAATACTCAGCATAAATATTAGAAAAAGGAAAATGCACACGAACCATACTGCAAATATGGACTCTTTAATTTTCATCAGTGGTATATCATCAATTGCGCATGGTCGTGATGGGACATCCAGCCGATCTCGGAACACCAACACAAACATCAAGAAATTAACACAAAGTCAAATGCATTTTACACGTCATTTTGCATTTCACTAGTTCCCAATGCCAGCTTTCAGAACAGACTGCGCATAAACCCCCACAGCCTCCCCTCGTTCTCGTTGTTCTCGTCGCGAAAAGCCGCATAGGCCTCGTCTTCCTCATATATGTCCTCAGATACCCTATTAAACGCCGTCTTGCGTGGCCGCAGGTCCGGATGCTCCGTTGGATACTTTTCCAACAGCTCTTCAAACCGTTCAAATAGCGCTTTGCCCTCTTCCACTGTAGTCGGTAGATACGGACAGTCTTTAACCCTAGAATAAAAGGTGGCGCCGTACTTTTCCAGCACCAGCGCTTCCTCATCCATGCTCCGCGTCCATGCGAGGGCAGCCTCCAACCCGTATGGTACGTCGGGCAACATTGGCTTCGGTATTTTCGCATAGTTATAAAACGTATCCCAGCGCCATTGATGGATGTTATTATATCTGGCCGCCCATACGCCTCCTGTGCTCGGATAGGCAGCAAACACAGTAGGTGGGAAGTCGTCACCATACAGCACTTTGTTCTCGATGCTGTATTGATGTCGAGCATAGAAGCCCCAGTCACACCACCATTGACCCCCAAGCTGCATCAATTAACCGCCACCTCGTCCTCATTATTGCCTTCTCTCGTTGTATCATAGCTCCGAGGGAGTCCAAGGTAGACAAGGCAAACCGCATCTAGCCTTGCAATCACGGCGCCACCGACCGAAGGTCGTCAAGACGAGGCGTCGTCTATGTTGATGACTGCGAGTCTTAACAGTTAGCTGTCCTTCTATCCCCACGTGTCTGCCTATTTACGCCTTGCCTGGTGGTTGCTGGTCTGGATCAAGGTGCTCTGGATATTCCATTATAAGCAATACAAGGTCTGAATACAGTGAAACCAGAGATCTGCAAAGTCAATTCCCCGGTACACGCTGTCGTATCTGTAGAGGTTAGCGATGGGTGGGTAGTGTTGTACTTAAACCACCCTTTGTATTGGTTAGTGTCGTATGCCTCCCCCAACACCGCCAACCTTATTGTCCTTCGGCCTCATCCCGCAAATCACGTTTCCTGCTACGCTAAACCGAAGCCGTGTAATAGAACTATACAACGACTGTCGAAACTAGAGCGCTGACAAGCCCGAAGACAAGGAGCTCGAGACTACGCCGAAGTCGCTAGAATCGAGAATACCACCAATGACGTCACACCGGCTGCTCAAGGTCAACGTGATTGTTTCGGGAGCGGACGAGAACGACTTCTTAAATGGGTACATGTTGGACAAAAGTAATGCCAAATGTACATTTTTACTGTGAGCGTGATTTGTTCGATTGTGGTCAAGATTTACCAGCGCCCCGTTTGGGTTAGTGACTGTTTATAAGTTAGTAGGTGTTGCGTCAGCTCGGTTCAGCCCTGCTGCGCTTGCAGCCAGCCCAGCCTCAGCAGGCATTTGTAATTTCACTCCTCTGTAACGATTTTTCGATGCATTACAAATTCCACCAATATCGTTAGCTTTGACATTCACGTATCAATCAGAGCAAGAGCAGCACAGCAGGCATCATGGGCAGCTCCAGCGACAACGATGATGCTGAGTCTCACCAGAGCAGCTCGATCCGCGTGAAGCGACGACCAGTACCTCGCAAGGGCCATCGAAAGTCTCGCAACGGCTGCCTGACGTGCAAGAAGCGCAAAGTTAAATGCGACGAGCTATCACCGCGGTGCGGCATCTGCACTCGCCTTAGCCTCAAGTGCGTCTTTGCAAGCGACAAGTCGGCGTCTCCCGAGAGCAGCTGCAACGACTTGGGCCCTGCGCGAAGCATGTCTACGGATCCCAGCTGGTTCAGCATAGCCGATACGCGTTTCCTTCAGCACTTCCTGTTCGCTGCGTACCCGACGTTGCCCCTAGACGGCTGGACCGTGTGGCAAGGCGTCTCGCAAATGTCCTACGAGGTTAGTAAAATCGTTCGGTGTTGCTGCTGCAGCAAGAAATGATACTAATCGCAGTTGAACAGTACGATTTCTTGATCCATGCTATGCTGGCGCTGGGCGCGTCACATTTGAATATGCTGCTAGGAGGGACGTACCTCGAGGCAGCCATCCAACACAGAGTTACGGCCATCAAGGGCCTGAACAAGTTTCTGTCGAGCGCGCACTTGAACCTGCACAACGCCGATGCTGCGTTTGCGGCGACGCTCATCTTGGCATTCCAGTCGCACCAGATGGGGGAGGGCCTGATAGAGTTTCTGACCATGGTCCGCGGATGTAAGCGCTCGCCTTGTTTGCCTGCTAATTACTTGGCTAACTGTGGTTCTTGAATAGGCCATCTTGTCGGCGTTCACGCCATGGCAGACTTTGATAACTCCCTATTCCGCACATTCGAGAGGGAGTATTACGTCAAGTCCGCCTCACATCTCATGAAACCCACCAACGCATTTGCAAGGTTTGGTCCAGAGATGGTTCGAGGGTTCTGCGAAAGCGCCAAAAAGATGGCGCCGCTCTGTACCAGCGTACAGGATCTCGAATACCTGGCACTGCTTCAAAGAGTGGCCACGGCGACGGTGGACAACCCTCTTCTCGGTAAGCAGCACACTTTGTCACAATCAGCAGACGGGACATGACTAACAAAGCTACTGCAGGCTATCGAGAGCATACAAGGTTGCACGACAGGCTTGGTTGGTCCACACCAGAAGAATTTTCGAGGTTTATAGATCCTCACAACTATCCTGCGCGGCTCCTCATTCTTCACATGCTTATTTTAGACAACGTTATGGACTCGAGCATCCGCGAGACTAGCACCGCCACCACGGGCAGCAGCATTCGCCACACTTTCGTCTACAAGCCCAGAATTCTTCTGGTGTGGGCTGAAGAGATTGCAAATTCATTGCCTGCCGAGTATGTTCCGTACAGCGAATGGCCTGTGCAGTTTGCAAGGCGCATCAACCGCAATCAGCAGCAATTGTTAGACTGGCCAGAAACAGCTAGCGCAAGCGCGCAGGCAAACGTGACCGAAATTATGATATAAAGAATCTCAAATTTATTAATATAATGATCAATTCATCTATGACGCGATACTATACCCCTTGGTTGCAATGATTCTAGGAATAACAGAAGATTTACACCTGTTCTTCAGGAGTGCTGATCGCTTCGGACTTGTCGCCCTTGTTACCCTGACGGGCCTTTCGGCTCTTGGCCTGCTTCACCTTGGCCAGGCTATTACCAAGGTGCCTCGACGGATGGTGCCAGCAAAAGATACCAATGGCGATAAGCATTGGAATCGTCTCCCAGACCCAGAACAGCCACTCGGTGCGGAACGCATAGCCGTTCATGCCTTCGGCGAACTCGCACACGCGATAGACACAGCGTATCATGATGGCAATGCTCGACACGTACACTGCGAGGACGACCTTGTGCCAACCCACCGGAGCATCATGCAGCGTGTAGAGCTTTGCCAGGTGATGGAAGCGCACAAAGATGCACAGGAAGATGCCGAAGCAGACGAACTGGAACGCTAGCCCGCCGACAAGAACCCAGCGCCCAATCTCCTCGTTGGGGCCGACCCAGTTGTTTGAGCTGGCGATACCGGAGCCGCTGCCCTGGATCAGGAAAGCCAGGACGTCGGTCGTGACGAAGATGGGCGTGAGCAGGCGGCCGGGGATGCCGAAGATGGCGTGGTGTGTGCTCGGAAGGACGAGCGGAATCAGGCGGCTGATTAGAAGATAGTTTCCGGCGGCGACGAAGATAGGAGCGAGCACAGTGAAGGTGAGCGTCATAACAAATGGGGGCTGCAATGTCGCGTGTTAGTCAAGTTAGAGAACTAAAAGAAGAGGGCGGCGACACACCAAGTCGGTCTGGTGCTTGACGGAGTAGACGCGGCACACGTAGCCGGCGACTTCTACAGCAGCGCCGATGACCACGACAATGAAGTACCACGCGCGGTACTTGATGAGGGTGAGGTACGTGATGGCGAGGAACAGCAGGCAGTACACGATGCAGCCAATCACCGCGAGGGCGAAGGATGGGCTGTACATCCATACGGAAGTGTCTTTGTCGGCCATTTTGATAGCACAGGTTCTAGAAACGAGTAAATTTGAGCGTGTCTGTATTCTACAATCTATTTTATTTCATTCTTTTGCTGCCACTATATACTCGATGCTCTGTTCGCCCGTTTACGAATCGTCGGATCGGAAACCGACAGCTGGGAATAGGCACAGCCGGCGTATTTCGCATTCCCATCAACCAGGGCCCCAGCAATTTAACGCTATGATTGGCCGTCTATCAGAAAGGGGGACAGCCTCCTTGCTTCAGCCCTTTGCTCTTGATGCTGTAAGTGACGATCTTGCCTAGTCTTCTTCCCAATCGGGTAAACGATGGCGCGGCTGTGCTGTGGGCGAATCCGACGAGACCGAGAGGGCGCTGGTTGGTGACGCTATGGGGATCCAAGGGCTTGGTTTGCGTGGTGATCCAATAAAAAAAGCGTCATGTTATTTAATAAGCTGTGCGTTTTTTTTTTTGAGGAATACTATTGGAGCATTATCTGGTGTTGATAGCTACAGTAAGGGCTGACGCTGAGTCTGCGTTGCGTCACCGCCATGATTCGATAAGCTCGGATTCTAAACAGGTGCTGCTGAAGGTGGGTATACAGGGCTAATTGGGTGCTAAATTTAACGTGACCTACGGGCTATACCCTTTCAGCCAGTCGGTCAGGGTTAGTCCGTAACATATAGTGCTTTTAATACTAAGAAACTTCGGACTATTCGGAATCTCTGCCACAAACGTTGTGTGCAGATGGATATGCTCTTTGTACATATCAAATAAATAGCTTATAATAACACAGAATCAAGAGAAGAAAAGTAAGTGTTCTTTTGGCGCCGCTTGTCTGTACTATTTCTCGCCGTCTGGTCGTTCTTACTATTGAAAAGTTTCTTTAGGTGTTTTGTTATCGGTACCGTAAGGCTGAACGTAGTACTGGGTGGGTGGTGTTGTATTTCGCCGAGAAGCCTTTGTATGGGTTAGTGTCGTGTGCCTCCCCCAACGCCGCCAACTTTATTGTCCTTCGACCTATACTTCTCATTTTATCGTCAAATTTTATATGATATCGTGTTTCATGCATTGTTTTAATTTCTACAATTTTATTTTATTTGTTTTCCTCCACCTCGTCCTCACCCCCTCCTTCCTCATCCACACGACGTCATCTCCCCCGCCAACTGTACCAGCTGGCGCCAGCTGCCAACACCCGACAAGCCCCTCCATCTCAAACCTCCGAGTAATTGCCCGGCGCGCCAACCAACACATCCACCTCCCGCCTCACCAAATTCTCAACAACTCCTGTTTCCCTACTTCGTTTATTATTCCACTTATCCCGCAACACCCTCTCCTCCTCGTCTTCATCATCACCACCTTCACGAATCCTGCCCACCATGTCGGGTCAAGTCCCCGTCGCAAACGCCCTGTCCGACATCTACCCCGCCGCCGCCCTCGCCCAGCAAGGCCCGCGATGGAACACCCTGCTCTCTAAGTTTAAAGACGCCTACGGCCACGATGCCGCCTTTGTCGCAAGATCCCCCGGCCGCGTCAATATTATCGGCGAACACATCGACTACTCGCTGTACTCTGTCCTGCCCATGGCCATCACCGCCGACGCCATCATCGCCGTGTCCTCTAGACCAGTCGCGGCCGGCGCAACATCGTTCAAGATTCGCATTGCCAATGTCCTCGACGACAAGTTTGCCAAGGGCGAGTTTGAGGTGCCTCTTGACCAGGCCTCCGAGATTGACTCTACAAAGTTTGAGTGGACAAACTACTTCAAGAGCGGCCTCAATGGCGCCCTGGAGCTGTTGCGCAAGAAGAACCCTGAGCTCAAGGCCGTCGATATGGATATCATGATGGACGGTACCGTGCCTGTAGGTGGCGGCCTTAGTTCTAGTGCCGCGTTTGTGAGCGCGAGTGCTCTCGCGGTCCTCTATGCAAATGGCATCGCCAGCGTCGACAAGAGGGAGCTTACAGAGCTAGCCATTGTCAGTGAGCGCGCCGTCGGCGTTAACTCCGGAGGGTAAGTTCCGTTTTTTCTTTACTATAGACACACAGACTAACCACTCGTAGTATGGATCAATCGGCCTCGGTCCTCTCAGAAGAAGGATCGGCTCTCTACGTCTCCTTCTCCCCCAGCCTCGACGCCAAACCCATCAAGTTCCCTCAAACATCTCCCGAACTCTGCTTCATCATCGCCCAGTCCTTCATCACCTCCAACAAGCAGGTCACCGGTCCTATTCACTACAATCTGCGCGTCGTCGAAGTCACCCTTGCTGCCGCATACCTCAACGCCGTCCTCAACCCACCTGGTGTCGAGCTTCCCAAGGACGCAGGCTCTCTTGGTCACTCGCTCCAGGGCTTCCACCAGACCTACTTTTATCACAACACCGCCTCAGACCTCTCTGCGCCAAAGTCACTTACAAAGGAACAAGAACTTGAGAAGCTTATTGCCCTTACAAAGGAGACCCTCACCAAAGAAGACGGCTATACGCGCGAGGAAGTCGCTGCTGTGCTCAATACTACGGTCGCCGACCTCGAGCAGCGCTTCATGTCCAAGTTCCCCGTCCGTGCAGACAAGTTTAAGCTTCGTCAGCGTGCGCTCCACGTGTTTACTGAGGCTCTCCGCGTGTTACACTTCCTCACACTCCTCCAGCAGCCAATGGATGCTGGTGCTACCGACACATCAGACTTTAACCAGCGTCTTGGTGCGCTGATGAACCAGACACAAGACTCGTGCCGTGACTTGTACGAGTGCAGTTGTCCTGAGATTGATACCATTTGCTCAGTCGCTCGTGCTGCTGGCGCATACGGATCGCGGTTGACGGGTGCTGGCTGGGGAGGCTGCAGCGTGCACCTTGTGCCGGTGGACAAGGCCGCTGCTGTCAAGGAGGCTCTAGAAAAGGAATATTACTCGAAAATGACGTTGACGGACGATCAGAAAGAGCAGGCTGTAGTGATTAGTCGGCCAGCCCGTGGAAGTGCACTCTACTTGACCGAAAACGGTGTCAACTAGGGCATGGAGGGGTCATGTTTAGTAGCTGTATTAGCAAGCCTTTTAATCTATCGTAGAACCGACTGAAAGAGTGACCGCCCTCTTCCACTTTAAAGAGAATGAACACTTGCTCTCGTCTGCAGTTAGCCGTAGTTGTGAGATGAAGAATGACGACTACGCAACAGACCTGCCACAAGAATCCATTGATACAAACGAATACAAAGATAATAGGTTCAGTAACTGTCATATTTTCAGATATTTCCACTGGTGACATTTTAGCCCTTCTCGATAAGGCGGCAGCTCAGAATGAACGAAGCAAATCGAAGGTCATGAGTAGCGACGCGCAATTTCAAGCCAATGACACGATGGTATCAAGTATTGCGCAAGCTTTTTATCAACTTTCTTCTCAGGCAACTACTTGTATTGTTTCTAATCCCTCATGTTATTCTTCAGAGGGTAGACAACCAATTGGATGCCAATCGTCTCACTTTACAGCGCGTCATCGTCTCTGCTAGGAACATTGCGCTAGATTTGCTATCTGAAGAGGAGATTTCAAGGGAGATGATGTATAGGCTACAGATGAGTGCATTTTCCATTCAAGAGCACGAAAATTACACATCGACTTTCCAGGATAGCCCACATGATGGGACAGTAATTAGTTCGACGTCTCCAGCATCTGAAGCACCTGAGGCACCTGAAGCATCTACAACAATTGAGTCATCCGATGATATTCCGCCAGAGATTCCAGCTCATGAAACGAATCAATTAGTACTATTGCCTATCTTGGCAGAGCTTGAAACAGCTCGTCGAGAAAGAGACGAGCTCATGGGTCAAGTACAGCAACTGGAGCATGATCTTCAAGAAACCGTGACCCAAATGACTGAAAAACGACTGGAAATAGAAGCTAGGGTAGAAGAACTTCAAATCAGAATGGAAGAAGCTGAGCAATTACGTCGGGAAAATGATAATAGGACTGTATTGGCAAAGATTAAGTCTTGGATTAAGTGGTTCAGTAGCTGCTGATCAAGGAGCTAAATACATACAAGGCGACTCGCTAAGCGAAGCTAGCGATCAATCGATGCATGATGCCATGTTCCTCCGGGGTTCGAAGATATCCTTGTTAAAATGGTAGATGTCATGACCTTTTGTCCCCATTCTGCCTAGCAAAGCAAGTAAGCGTGGTTGAAAACAAGACATGTCAGGGAATAGAGGAGTTAATAGTCGTGTGTACGACCGGTTGCTAGAAAACTGGTGGCCTGTTTTAGAGTTTTACAAACGAATTACTTTTTTTATTATTATTTCTCCGTTAGTGAAACCATATAACAGGGTTGTCGAAAGCGCATTATGATCTCCAGCAGTATAGACTGCTTATCCCAAAGTACAGGGACACACGCAAGTTACACTAACTATTTACACGTATAATATGCTCTATAATCAGGTGATAATATTATAAATATGCTACTTGCGCGTATTTCCGTGCAAATCCCTCTTGGCACAGTCTATCCGGGCTCTTCTCGGAGACTTTTGCCGGTGTAAGTCAACAAAGGTGGATATAAATTAGCGATTGTTACATCACGAGCAGGATCGTGAGCGCCGTTTCAGTAACCAGGAGGAATGACTCTAGTTGTTTTATACCAACGTTCATGGTTTATATATTCTAGCACATTGATTTAATGTATGTTTATACACATATAATTATTATTAATTGCGGCCGCAGGAAGTGCCGTTCCGTTATTCCCGGCGGCTGGGGTCCGCGATGTCTTGGCAGCTTACACCCCCAGTAAAGTGCCTTATACGATATCCATTGACATCGTCATCGAAACGCCTTATATGCTATGTACGAATGCATTCAATGACGTCGCTTGTGCCGTCACATTGAGATCTCTCAGTCTATAAAAAGGGCCATATCATTCGCACAATGCTTCCGTCCAGGCAAACCTCACACACATCATGAAGCATCTCACTCCTCTCCTCCTTGCCGGCTCAGCCGTCGCATTCACGCCCCTCTTCGAAATCCGTGCCCTTCACAATGTGCCTTCTGGCCACCCTACCGGCCTTGATGCCGCCTCGGCCTACCTGAACCTTCCCCAGTCCCACGAGGCCGTGACCGTCCTGGCCGCCATGGGCGCCGACTGCGATCGCACAGGCGACCAAAAGGCATGCTTTGAGGCCTCGGAGAAGACCATTAACCCTTCCAAGAAGGTGGGCAAGTGCGAGGACTCTGAGGAAGACTACAGAAACGACGCCGATGGCGCCTTCATCGCTGCCAGCCTCACTGACGACTTGCTCGGCGAGTGTGGCGAGACCTACTGCTCCAACGACGTGAAGAAGTGCCGCGACACCGGCCAGGTCAAGCTGTGCGGCCACATGATTGGCGAGTTCACGTCTGAGGGCAAGAAACAGATGGGGGAGACTATCAAGGCAGCCCTGCGTAAGGGCGCGAAACTCTCGTGCCAGCGCGGCCAGCTCGCCGGGTTGGACTTTTGGGTCAGCATCACGCCCAATATTCTTAATGTTAACATATTTGGCGGCGATAACTCGGGCCAGTTTATGCAGCTCAACATGGAGAAGATGGACGACAGTAACTCGTGCAGTCCCTTCCTGCAGGCGCTGGGAAGCATCGCGGGCATGGTGCCTGAGTTTGGAAGCTTTGTTGGTGGAACAATTGGCGCTGTCTGCAGTGCCCTTGGTTAGATAAGACACTCGACCCATAGCAACGTTTAGAGGAATAAATAAGAAGAGTGTTTATTCTAACAGTATAGAAAAGTTTAATTACGTCCTGGGAAAGACTGGCGCAAGGTGGACGTAGCATATCTGTGGTTTCATAAAGAGCCCATCCAAAATGGTGTCATCTTGAAATTCCTGGGGGATCTCACGGAACTCAAAGGTCCATACCAGAAGCGTCACAATCAGCTTCAGCTCCATAAGCGCCAGCCGCTTGCCCCAGCAGGTTCGCGGTCCGTTGCTAAAACTCAGAAACGGCCCAGCGGCGCTGTCATAGACCTGGCGACCCGTATCAGGATCTGCGCGTAACCACCTCTCTGCGTGGAATTCGTTGGGTGCAAAGTCGCTCTCGCCCCAGTCCATAACAGCCTCTTGCTCCTTATAGGTAGTGCTGCGTCGCTTCTCATCGACTCGGACACCTTTTTGTGTCATCGTAGGCCCTGATGTGCTTAACATCAACGTGGTGCCTCTCGGGATGTGGTGGCCGAGAATCTCCATATCGCACAGTGTTTCCTTTGCAATGAAGGCGATGGGGTTGGATATCCGGAGCACTTCCTGGATGAATGCATCAAGGTATGGCACGTTAGTTTTGATGATGGCGTCAAGGTCTGGGCTTTCATTATTCGCCAGGGGGACTGGGTACGCTTGATGTAGCGCATCACGGAGCTTGCGTTGAGTCGTCTGTAGGTTGGAAAGGTGCTTGACAACTAGTAAACGTTAGAAGGGTCACTGAGATGGTGTGGCCGTACAACTCACGAAAGCAGAGGGTGCTGTGCGTAGAGTCTTGTCCACCCAACAGATAGCCAAACACGCTGTTGATGATTGTTGGAGAGTCGTACACTGCATCTCGACGACTGGCCTCTGCAGCGCGTCGCTCTCTCAGAAGTATGTAGTCTATACCAGATGCAGGCTCACAGGAGTCCCCATCCGCCGCGATTTTGCGCAAGGACGCCTGTATATACGGTGTGATGGCAGCTGTCCTGGTCTGGAATGCTTCGTAAACAACTGGACGGGTATTGTTGAAAAGATGGAACAGTTTTCGGAGCGGCTGCTTGTAGCACTCCGAGGCAGCGCTCCCTATAATACCCATGGCTGTGAGCAGTCGAGGATTCTGTATAGAGGCGAAACTGGCAACTGGTCCACCTGCCATGGCTAGAGAGATAGACTGGGCTTCTTTGGAAAAGTCTGTTCTATCACCAAATGATTGACCAAATGCAGCCGCATGGATTACAGCGAAGGTAAGGCGGCCCAAGTCGTGGTCAGCATCAAACGGCAGCGCATCAGCCTTATTAGCCTTGGCCTTCCACAAGTCGATGAATTCTGTTGCCACTGCATATGATGCAGGTGCGCTGGCCTAAAAACAACTATTAGCCTTTCTATGGTTCAAAACATATTTCCTCATGCTGATACAAACTCACACTGTGTATAAACTTGGGCGTCATCAAGTCCTGGACCAAACTCTTCACACCCTTATACCGTGCGTCGTGCTCTTCCATGGCGATGAAGTGTTCTGGCACCAACCCTCCCCAAACCTGGGTATTTATGCTGCCGCGTCCAAGATCGCGTGCTCTGCGCAGCAGCAGGTCTTTCACTTCGCCGTAGTCGGCTATGATGATCCACGGTCGCGTAAACGGCATCATGAAGGATTGGGCAATGGGAGATCCCGCCTCTAAAGCAATGGATGACCAAAGTGATTTTGCTGTTAGTCCGCGCTTCTGTCGCTTCTCGAATTCGGGTAGGTCCCCCATGATCCTGTTGGCGGATGCTGCATTGTATGGGATACCGGGGAAGGGTCGGGGCAGGGCCAGCCGATAGAGGACAAAAAGGCCAGAAAGGCATAGGAAAGCAGAGTAGATCATTACTGCCGATAGCGTATCTTGAGTTGTGTCCATTGAGTTTTGTTCTTCTTGGTAAGTACGTAGACGAGGCACAGGGAAGATACGACCCATCGGCCACGAGAATAACGAGCTACAGTTTATATACATAATTATTCGCCGCTTCATTCTGCCGGAGATCTGCGCTCGACTTTGAGCTTCCAAGAATCTACTTTTATCCTACAGCTAGCGCAAGAGTCTCTTGTTGTAAGTCGCCACTAGTGCAAGATCATGACCCCCGACCGGCGAGTTTTGGAGCGTGTAGGTGGGATGCCCAGCCCGTAGCGCTTCTGAAAGCCCCCGATCGGTAAAGATTAAATTTCCGATTAAGAGTGCATATACTGTAGATCCTTTGTATAGTTAAGGTATTACACCGCTCACCGCATGTAAGACGAAAATCTGGACTTTTCAGCGAAGAGTATCTTCTTGGGGAGGGTTAGCTCAACACTAGAGAGATTGTTCACTTACCCGCAGATAAGGGAGCTGGCTAATGCTCATGGGGTCTATTCTGGTGCTGCTCTCCAAACTGTATACGTTCAACCTATTGTTAGAATTCCCTCACTCGTTCATAAACTCACGGGATTGGAAACCAACGCATCGGGTGCATTGTCCATGGCTCTCTAATACAACACTACGCCCGCTGCCAGATAAAATCCCGAATCTCTTCGGGTCTCCTCTGCTATCAATCAGTGACCCAACAGCTTGTACTCAAAGCAAACACTCATCATCAATGGCATACCGGGTGGCCTATCCGTGGATGCGGGAGATGTGCACAAGGTTAAACTCCGCGGGACCGTTTTCCAGAGGGGCAGTGCGCCATACAGATGTACCGGTACAAAGGCCCAAGTACAGTACAAAGTTGACGGGACGCCTATGTTTGCCTGGGTACAGTCGACTGTTCTGGCCGTTGTGGTCCGTGGAGGGACAAGCAGCTCTCTGATTCGCTCCGGCGACGCGTCTTGCCGGCGAGCCTATCTCAACGGTCACTAGAATAGATCAAACTAGCTTTCCATTGGCCGTCTTTGAATATCACTCTAGCGCAGCTTGCATGTCCCAGTTGCGTCTATCAATGACTCCCTCTTCCCTGCATTGGCGAGGTACGCCACTAAGATCCCTTGGTCGTTGGGGTACACGGCGATCCAGACGCTGCGCAGGGCTCCGCGGGCGTAGCACCAAGGACGGGTTCCTAGGAGATGCTCCTGCACGGCGCCTGGAATGGAGCTTGTGTAGCCATGGCGATCCGGGCTCATGGTCGCGTCGCGGCAGCCGACGACCGCTCTTCCTATTGTCGTTTTGTATTCATCGTCGCACAGGCCCACGTACGGCGGGGTCAACCAGATGGACCCCTTTGGATTCGCGCGGGGGCGGGCGGTGGTGTGGAGAGGCAATCATGTTGCTTCAAGGTTTGTGCTTTGTTGAAAGGTCAAAGGCAGAGGCAGATGGGGTAGTCGGTGAAAGTTGGCTGGTGCTGCCAGCTGGCACGCCTGGTACTTCTGGCACTGGCGGCGCAGTGTCATGGCAGTGCGAAAATAGGCACCAAAGGAAATAATCCCTCATTGCTAAAATTCTCCACCACTTTTGACAATGCACACATCAAAGGCTAGACATCTTCGATTGTAGTTTAGTGCCCGACAACGTCGGCCAGCCATCCCGCATCGATGTGGCATCGCCCAAAATGCTACCCTTGCCACCCACCTATTGTCCACCACAACGCCAGGCGATGCGCATCCCCCTCCACCCACCTCCAGCCATGTCTCGCTGCTTCACCTTTCCAAAGTGGATAAAGCGGCGCCTCCGGGGTCATTGAGCGCTGGCCAACAATCTACATTGGGCCTGTCAACTCCACTGGCATTTTTGTGGTAATATTCTTCGCTTCAGAATGGAGTTCTCTCGGCAAACCCGGCTGAGCATAGCGTTCGGCTAGCAAGGGCGTGACTTGATGGAATCCCGATACGCCGCGTGGCAGCCAGATTTGGCTTCTCGTGTCCGGTTATCGCTGATGGAGAGCCGGAGAAGGCCCAAAGAGAACAGAGGAAAATAAGCCAGCAATGAGGCTACGCTCAAAAGTCAGCTGCAATCACCCTCTGTGCTAATAATTACTCACTCACGTCGCAAAGGCGGTGGCTCACTCCAGCCTCTGTCGGGCTCCCAAGCCTGTTTCATCACCCTGGGTGTACTACAGCCTGGCGCCTCCCAATCAACAGCCAGAGCCGCACACCACAGGGTCATTCAGCAAGCCACAAAGAAGGCTATTGTGGGCCTTCTAGAAGGATTGTCAATGGAATGCCCCTCCCACCCTCGCTCTGGACGCCATGTTTGGCACCCTCGCGAGATTATTCGCTTCCTATTGTCCCTTCGAATTTCCTCCTAGAAGGCCAGCCACCCAGCCGGGAACAATGCATAAGACGCCAGAAAGGAGACTGCTAGTCTGTGGCGTACCTAGTCATCTCCTCTAATTGCCTCTTTGCATTGCACCATGTCCAGGTCATGCGTCCTAGGTTAGAGTTTCGGCTCGCCCAGTCCACCGTCCCATGAATACACCATTCAGCGCTTGGACCATGTACGTGCATCTTCAGCTCCGTAGAAAGAGCAAGAACCTGGCGGTCGCGAATAGAATCGACGCGCAAAGGCGGCGTGGGTAGTCTCAAGTCCGTTGATAGCTCCGCTGCTTCTGCCCTCCTCCTCCTCCTTTCATGGGTCACGGAGGAGCCGCGGAGTGTCGGACTGTTGGGGCCACCTGTATTTTGACACAGTGTTACTTTTTTATTCCAAGTTGGTATGCTCTGCTATACTGGGGGTTTCCATTTGTGTAGCTGCTCTAGCGGCAATCTGATGCTGGCGTCGTGCGCGCGCGGGCCACGCCGTGGGAAAAGGCCCCCATCAAGACAGCAGCACATTACGAAGAAAACGATCGCCTAGCAAAGCAGTCTCCTGAAACATCGGTTTCTAGCGCCCCATAGGTAGTGATTGGCCAACATGCTCGTCTAGTGGTGTGGTAGCCAGTCGGAGACAATTCAGCCACGCGCTAGATGGTGGTCTCTGTCGGCGCCAAATGCTGTTCTTTCAGCCACCTTGAGCAAACATTGTGACACCTATTCCGCTTTGGGATGGTTACGTTCTTTACTGTCTTCTATTGGACAGAACACCTGATGAGAGCCTGATTTTGTCCATTCATTGGCGCCACGCAGGGGACAGGCTAGTGTCAACCTTGCGTGGTGAGAATGGAAGTTGGAACTCCGTTTCGGCCAATGACTGCGGCCACCCACATTCCAAGCACTACTGACAGCTGTCTTTTTTGGGTTTCGAGTTTTGCAAAGACCTCATGCAATAGGCTTCGTAATGGTGAGTGGCTTACGGTGTCTGTTTTGCAGCAAAAAGGCGTGGCCAGTGGGCCGACTCCCGCCTAGAAGGTTCGCCGCAAACACATATCCCAGATCACACACCAAGTGTGCGCTGATCATGTACTGTACCGGCAGCCACATTCATACGAGTACAGGAAACCTGTCCGACTGGAATCCAATGTGGGGTTTGATTGCCCCTAACTGCCCTTGTCAGCCCTGTCAAGTCATTCGCTGGCACGCTCTGTATAGTACATCGCCCATTGTCCATCTGGTAGGGCAATCCCCCTGGTCTCGGCTGGTTACTGTCAAGCACTTCGATTTGATCCCGGTGGCGCTATTCACTCCACTTACATCCATTCATACAGTCTGACTCTTCGAGGTACTGTACTTGGCTTGAAATCTAACAATAGGCAGGGACCTAACCTGGTCACGCCGCCCACCACCTTTGCACCCTGCCCTGCCCTGCTCAGACTTGAATGGTGCTGTTGTCGCTTCCCTATATCGCGGTTTCATGGCTTGCTCCGATACTCGTCCAAGATTGTGGCATCCATCCCATCCTATCCCCAGATCATAAAAGGACCCATCCTTCCTCGCTTCCCTACCCATCGTTTCCCCAGCAAGCGGCCTTCATCGTCTTCATCGACTTCACATCCCCAACCTATCTCCTCTCCGTTATAAAGAAACCTCGAATTATTCTTTCACTTCATCACCATGATCGACCACAACGACATGGCCCCTCCTGACGACACCATCCAGGCTGTTTTCCACAGTCTGCTCCAGAGCTTCTCCGCTGCCCAGCTCCATTCCATCATTGATGACACTGCAGTCAACACGCCCCAATACCCTTGTGAGTTTAACTTCCCGTCGTCTACACACCATCAGCTAACTTTCAAAGATCCCGTTGGCATGCAAACACCTCCCCCGTATCCTGGTGAAGCCACAGAGTCTCTTTACACTAGCTCGCCTGGTTTCGTCGCTGGTGACCGCCCTACTTCCCTTTCACCCTCTCCCAGACTTCGGCAAAGACAGCGCCGCCGTTCGTCAAATAACCGGCGCCAAGCTGTTCCACGATCCACTCCAGAACAGCCTGCTCTTCCGCTCGCCGATCGTGACCGCAGATATCTCTGCGGATACTGCCAGGAACAAGGCATCCACAAAGCCTGTACTCGCCGAAACGACCTCAAACGACACATTGGCCAGTTCCACCTTATCAAGAAGAACAATGTCGATAGGCTCTTCTTATGCTCCTATCCCACTTGTGGCATGGTCTTTGACTTTCCCAGCGCTCATGCCAACCACGTCAAGGAGTACCACAGCGAAGATGGCAAGGAAAGTCAAGAGGGCATTGCCGGAACCATCACCTGCTGCACTCGCACCGTTTTTGGTTGTGGCTTTGAAGGTTGCATGCTAGTTTTCGAGGCAGAAGACCCCAATGACGTCGAAGTTTGCCTCGACCGCTACCTTCAACACGTCGTCAAGCACTACACAGACATTGCCGTTGGCGACTGGACGTACTCCGCACGCATCCGCAGCCTCCTCACACAATCTTCCACTGCTGAAGCGTGGCTCAGATATACCCAAACACACAACGAACTTCTCAGCTGGGATCCTCAGGAAACGGTTGCGCTGCGCAAGATCCTCGAGACGAGACACTTCAACGATCCCGAAGAGGTGGTCCGATATGCCGTTGCCAAAAGTATGGCGCACATTGACAGTTTCAATGGCCCCGAACTTCACTATCCCATCTTAAGTCAATGCAGTGCCTGCAACCCGCCTCTCGCTACTACATCGTCTCCTCATCTCCCAGAGAGTATTCCTGAACCGATGTCAATGTTTGTTCACCAATACCCTGACACAGCAAGACATCATAGCCACGGCGGAAGTCCTCCTCAGCCTCCTCTACAGCAGTCTTTCCAAGCCATGTACTTGCCACACAACCAAGTGGGCTCCGAAACTTACCTGTACACAGGCTCCCCGATGCTTGGGGGAGAATCGCCCATGGTCAACGGCAACGCCTACTTCACAATGCCTGCATCAAGTGACTTGGTTTGAGAATGGGATCAAATAAAGGTCGTGGAGTCTCCTGTCCTTCTCGAAATTCTATGGTTTGTGCCGTACTCAACCCGCCAATAGATTTATTGGTGATTAAAGGTGGCACAGAGTTCTCCACGAATCGAATGCAACTCAACCTAAGGCGATGCTTTTATGATTATATCCCCTAATGTTTAGACAAATAGATTTCTTTTTAATGTTAGCTATAATGTTTCAATTTATGCTCGAATTTCAATCTCTAATAATGCTTTACCACACTCATTCGTAGATGTGCGCTGTGCTGATACAGTGTACCGGGTAGCTAGTCACACGGTATCACGTAGCTGTCCAGGTATTATGAGAAAAGTTCGCTAAACATAATGCTATTGTTGACTATTCTATATATAAGATAGAAAGAAGACAACAAACTTGAAGAAGGACAAATCCCTCTCCTCCTTCCACAGTTTACTTCTCTATTTATATACAGGATTGTTGTGGTCCTGCCAGCCGGCGGCTTTCCTTTGCCAGCTGGCAAACACTTGTTGTTGAAACTTCTTTATTTGCCAGCTAGCAAGCGAACACGTCGCTTAGCAACTGTTTCGACATCGTAACTGTTGTGAGTGTTGTGACCGACAGACTATAGAGCGATCCAGCAGGTCGTGACACACGGCCACCAGAGAGCCAAGCGAGGCGTCCAACTCATCGCAGAGCAGCTGGAACTTGGAAATTCAATACTTGTCTAGAGCTGATAATCTACTTTGAGCATCACAGCCCGAGAACTATACCAAGTATTCGGGGCTGTTGCCGCGTTGGGCTCATTGATCCGTTGATGGCTTGCAAGCAGCACCTTGAGTGGCGCTGGCGGCCGGCGACTGCACACACACCATCATTGAGTCGCCCAATAATGATTGCAGTATAGCATGCCACCACTAGGTATAAGGTACCGTGGCACCGGCGATGGCAACGATTCCAGAAGTTCCCGTATGATAATCTGCTTCAGTGCGGTTCGCTCGTCTATACCAAGCCACTACTAACGGGGCTTGCCGCTCTCCCGCTGGAGCGGTGCCGTTCCGTTTTTGACTGCATGATTTTCGACGTCACGAACGACTGCAGCCCCTGAGGCAATGCAGAACCAAAACATGTGCTCGCTTGACATGATTGGCGCAAGGGTCACAATACACACGAATTTTAAAACATGCAGGAGTAGGTTGTCGAAAAAAGAACAACTCGGCAGACCTTCTAGAAGTGGCTGCTGAAACACAGCATTCCAGCGCCCGATTCGTCTCACAGGACACGGCCTGCCCCTGTGGCTTTTGCTTTTTCCTTGCTTGCCAGCGCCGTAAAAGGAAATGGCTGCATGATTCGAGGATCTCCGGGTGTCGTAGAAACGAAAATGTACAAAAAACAAACCTGGGTGCTCCTTTCGGCCATGAGCGACAGGCCGCTGCAGAACATGAAACACTGTGCCACGTTGAAATGTTATTTTCAGCTTCGGACCAAGACCGACCTCCACAATGTACGTAGGACGCCATAACCCGCGAGGTGATGAGTGGCGCATTTTCTATTGATCAGTCCTCGTGTGGATAATATTCTGCATTGTCATATTGAATGGCCTCATGAGGCAGAACTAGCCCATGCCTGCCTCGCGGATGCTGCGGACACCAGGGTATACTTGCAGTACGAGGGCCAAGAAACGGAGAAACCTTCAGTATTGCCTAATCATGCTGCTTCTGATTACGAGGCTGTGACGCATGGGGGGATATCAGCCGCGACGCCCTGTAAGCAGTGTGCCCGGAAATCAACGCATGCATTCATCCTTGCCATGAGAGCGGTCAAGTTTCCAACCTTAGTTCCCCAGCCCGACCCGACCAAGCGAGGAGCCAGGTCGGCGGACGTCAGGGGCTTAGCCAGTGTGCACAGCAGTCGAACTACCAAGGCGCTGATGTCTTAAAGGTAGTTGCTAAGGTCGGTAAGCGACAAACAGAGACAGAGAAAATGAATGACGATACCTGACACAAACGTCAATACCGGCCCTCGGATCGATCATCGTAAGCGTGACCGACGAAATTCCAGAGGCTTGGTCGACGCCGTTGGCGACAGCCACGACGGGGCTGCCGTTCCCCTGGGCTGTTGACGACTCTCATTCGCTGGGAAGTCAACTGTTGGTGGTGGAAACTTGCGCTAAGAATGCAGGGGTGGTCACAGCCCAGTGAACAGCGCTACCACAGCGCGCACCGATAACCGTAAATCGTCCCTGACATTGCGGCGCAATTTTGTAGTGTCTCGGCTGCACTCTAATAGCGCCGAATACAACATGCAACGTTGATGTTTTCGATGTATTATTGACTTTATCTGCGGACCTTTTTTTTCTTTGGTTACTTTCGTATAGAGTAGAAAGTTTAACGACACAGGGCTCTGCAGCTGTCACGGCCGTTTCTTCGCGCACTGGCCAATCTAGCATCGCTAGCCTGGACCGCTGAAGACCAGGACGCCTGGTCAGCATCACTGCTCCATCCAGGGCCGCGAAATTGCACGCGACGTCCCTTGACCGTGTTATTCTGTGCAAGATATTAGCAGTGGACCTTCAACGGCGCGTGTAATTGAAGACGCCAGAAAGAATTGCGCCACGCAATGGATGCTGAATCAGCTGGTGGATATTTGTTGAGATCGTGTTAAGATCATCACTCTGCCCCTGTTCGTTAGGTGCGTCCATCGCGGGATGATTTCGTCGCATCCTACCGTCCTCGGGTTGGTAGGGCCACGGATTAATGTAGCATTTCCATGTAAGCCCTAGAAAAGTTTCATCCCGATTTTACACGGATATCTCAGTCGCCGACCTAAGTGCCTGGTATAAGAGAAGAACATCTTCAAAGGAGACGTAGCTCAAGGTGCACAGCGCGGGCAATGCAGGCCAAGTATACGCATAGCGCCAGTTAGCAGCGCAACAAAATAGCCTTGTAGGCATGGCCCGGGTCTAAACGACACACCCAGATACTGGTTAGAGTGGCACATGCACTGCCCAAGGTGAGGAGAAGAGACATGTTCATGTTCACGCCAGTGCACGGTGTTAGTGGTCGTACGCTGTGCCTGAGTTCGATTGGCCGGGCCGTCCCCCGCATCACTCGACACAACAACTCAACGCTTTTCTCACGTTTTCGCTTTTGAACCAGGCTCAATGCTTGTTAGCGTCAAGAGCGAAATCAAACACCGGTGGAAGGTAGCATCGTGTGTCGACCTAGGCTCAATTGAGTACAGCGTGGTGGAGATGCAGAGCCGGAGCATGGTCTATCCCTGCCTGTAATTTGTCACTTTACGACAGGCGATTTTAGTGCAAACGGGATCAGTGGTCGCTGGTCTGGTCTGCCCATTGTTGTTAGACAGGACGATATTCCATCCGAAAGACGGAAAGCAGTGCGATCAGTTCAGATTCAACAAAAGGTCGTGGTGTTGGTCCCGCTGTAGTTTCTATACGGACTCGGGTTACTCCAAGAGGCGGTTTGAATGATGAGCCGCTGGTCCTGCAGACGATGCGACCGTGGCCCACGCAATCTTGACCTGCATGATGCGTGTATTTGATAAGTTCCCTTTGGCGGCGAGAGATGCTATTTTTGGGTGTCGCTGCTGTGGTACTCGCTTCCACAGGCTTTGCGTGTTTCTTTGGGAGGATCCTGCCGACGTATCCAGTTATGCAAGTCGGAGATTTCTTCACCCTCCTTCAATTTGACTAGCGTCAAGAGATGTGTTTTGGACTTGAAAATAAACAGTTTGATGAATATGAGGAAATGACAAATGGCCTGTTAGGGTCTGGTGGTGCAGACCACAACTTCACTGTTGGGTAAAAGTCTGGCTGCCAGCTGCTAGGTGCTCAGCGCGGGTGATTAGCAGTTGGTGCGGCTGGCGCAGCTGGCACCGAACGACTCTGGGCACTTGGCGAGCAGGTGGCGTTGGGACTTCGGTCGGAAGCGAGCATCGCCGGGACCTAGCTCTTCTCCTCACACATATGTTTTCTAAATCTTCCGACTGGCTAACCCAAATCAAGCCCATGTACCACAGCTTAAAGAACGCACTGGGCGCTGGGAGAGCGACGTTGCTCGCTGGTGCCAACTGCGGCAATAGGCTGCCAACGTCGAGTATCAAAACCACAGTAACCTGTGTCTGGAAAGTGAAGAAACAAGCTATGCAGTAGCTTGGCTTGGCCCGCTAGAGGTTGGGCATGTCGGCGTTATTACGAGGTATCATTATTCAAGCAGCCCACCGTCCCTAATTAATCTTGATGCGGGTTCTAATACCAACATCGCAAGCTCTCCAGATAAAATCAATGCACGCCATCGGCCACGGTGCAACTCGATGGACTGCGTTGGAGCCGCGCCCACTGTCACTGTCACCTCGTGCTCCCACATCTTTCGACAAGCGGGCAATGATGCCGGCCCTGGTCTGTCAAGTTTACAAGGGGTGAAGCCATTGTCCACAGGCGTGATGCCCAACTTGACCTAGCGCAGCTTTTCTAGAACGCAGGCTCTCCCAGGCTAGGCCAGGGGGGGACGAATCCCCATGGCTAGCGTAAGAGAAGAGTGCCACCACCCACGCTTGCCAAATTTGGTCGTGGTGCCTTTCTCCTGGTACAGGGGAGCTGGCGGAGATGCAGCTGGTCAGCCGACGGGTTGACTCGCGCCGCAAGCACTTGGTGGTAGTAGCCTGGGAGGCAATGCAACGCCGTCCCCACTACCACTCTTGTTCTCACCCACAGGATCCTAGGCCATGGCTTCCGCCTGGGGCCCATTCCGTGCACAGACTTCGTCAGCGGAGCCTGCCCGACAGGGGACCAGAGAAGGTACACACGCCAGCTCCCAACCTTTCTGTTTCAGGCTCGTACCGCGCTGTATAGTCCCTGAAACGGGGCCACCAACAGTCGTCGACACCATCAACCAACAGCGCCCACCGACCAAAAAGCAGTGTGGTTGCAGGGGGGGGCCGGCCATCCGCTTCACGCTCTTCCCGCCGACCTGACCCTCTTTCCTCTCAGCCTGCTTGGCCATCAGCAAGTTTCTCGGGCGGTCTGTTAGCACCTTTTTTTCATTGGTACCGTTGCTGATTTCCGCGGCGTGGCTCCATTCTAGAATACGCAGCCTGCTTAGCTCGCCTGCGCGGTTTTGTCTTCTCCCAGCCAGTCCCGCCCACATCCTTTTCTCTCTACTCATCCTCCTTCTCACCGTTTCTGGCCATATTCTGCCAGAGGGTTTTATTCGCCTCTTTTTCAACTGTCGCTCTTTTATAATTCTAATCCAAATCGATCTGCAAGAGGCAGCGCCTCCAGCCCGATAATTATTTCCTTAGAAACCAACGTTTACGCTCATCTCGTCTCTATTCCCGTTCGAATCAGCTCAGGCACCACCAATCACACGAATATACCCAAGCTTCATATTTCACATCTAGTTCTCGACGATACCCTTTACCTGCTGGTCACTAACAGATTGCGCGTCTCTGTTTGCTTTCGAACAATATTCCACGGATTAGTATATTCGAGAATTCTTATCACACCTTCCCGCGATTAAGGGCTTGATTGTGCTGGCGCCATCCTTTGCTTCGCTTCTATACGTTGACGGCACTCCGATTTTCTACGCTTATTAGTTGAGAGCACCTGTAACCTACTTGTGCAATTTTCTTTAAGCATCTTAGTTAATTCGTGCCTCATCCGGCGGAGCCGGTTCCTTCACTTCTCACAACCCTCAGATCGTCTATTTTCACGATGTTCCCTTTCAATGGACAAGAGGACAACAGTCCCAAACCCCTTGCTGATGAAGACCAGCAGCTTCTTTCTGGTCTTGTTCACAAGTATGGCGTTTCAAGCGTCATGTATGCTCTGACTGGATTCGGAGAATCATGTAAGCATCTCGTCTCACCACGCATGTTTCGGTCCCGACTAACATTCCCGTAGCCCGAGCGTCGATCTTCTCTACCAACACTCTCATGAGCAGCACAAACGCCAGTATCAACGCACCCTCTCTTGCCTGGAGCAGCTCCGACGCCTCTGCTTGCCGCTCCGATGGCGCCTCGCTTCACACTGCCTGCACATGGCCCGATGCCGTGGCTGAAATGCCTGTCATGCACGATGGCGAAGGTGGCAAGCTCAACGAACGATCCTGGCTCGATTCACCTGCCCCGATTCCCTCGCCCATGGTTAACGGTGACGCACCATCGCCTCGCTTGATTGCCCCGACCGGAAAGAAGTACCAGTGCCCCATGTGCTACCTCGACAGCAGCCCCGTCGGCTTTGGACGCAAGAGCGACTTCAAGAAACATTTGCACAACTTCCACGGAGCTGATGTTGTTTGGATTTGCTGGACTAAGGGCTGCAACCTCACCTTCTCGACTGAACGTGCCTACAGCACTCACGCCAAGGAGGCTCATCGTATGAAGGCTCTTCCCAACAGCGCCGCCCGTACCGACCTCTGCCCCCAACTTGTCTTTTCTTGCGGTTTCACTGCTTGCAAGGACAGAGTATTTGAAGCTAGCTGCGCTGACGAATCCAGCGCCACTCGTGACAAGCACTTTGAACACATTGCCAAGCACTTTGAGGACGGATATGATATTAGCACCTGGGAATACAAGGTTCAGATCCAGAATCTTTTGCGACAACAGCAAGTCAAGTCTACATGGAAGACTTGCATTTTCCCCAAGGAGAAGCGACAGGCACTTGTGTGGAAGCCTCGTTCCTCTGGTGACTTGAAGCGTATTCTCGAGTCGCGTCACCTTGGCTCCGATATCTCCAACTTGGTTCGCTTAGCTTTCATTCTTGGAAACGCCCCGTTCTCGCTTTCCGCTACGCCACCTCCTGGTGAACTTGAAACATACTTCCAGCTGCCGTACCTCAACACATGTCCCACGGACAAGCCTGCTAGAACACCAAGCCCGTCTGGCATGAAGAATGAAGACGAAGGCACGTCGTCGTCATCATTCAGCCTCGCCGCCAAGTACCGCTCTAGCACACAGACTGTTTTCAGACTACCCACACGGAACTCTAAGCGTGTATCTCGCCCTCCCACTCCGGTGACGAGCGAGCCTGCAAACGACGTTATGATGGCAGACGAATCGGCGGCTGGCCCGCACCCGACAACACCCTACCAAATGACCAATGACAATGGCTGGGCGGGTGATGCATCCAAGTTCACGCCTGACGACGACCTGCCTAAGCAGATGCACGGCCCCATGGATGGTTCCATGATGTACCCGATGCACTCTCAAGAGCAAATGTACCAGGGCTGGGCTGGCGTTGATAGCATGCACCATGGCATGGACTCGCAGATGCACCAAGGTATCCCCATCATGGATGGTATGCCGTATCAGCAAGACCCGGTTGTTAACACTGGCCTCTACAACTACGCCATGAATGCTAGCCAAGTGTCGACTGTTCGACCTGGCACACCCACCCCTCACAAGCGCCCTGGATCGTGGACGCGGGTGATGAGCATGGATACTCTCCGTCCTAGCAAGAAGACATCGACTATTTCCATGAACACGACGCACTCGTTTCATGATGCGCCTGTGATGATGTCAAATGGCATGAACATGTAGGGTGTGAGCCGCGGACAAAACGCCCCGTGAGCCACTCCTTTCAAACTGGTCTGCTACTACCCGTGACGACTTGGTACATACATTTTTGGCACCACATATCCTCCTTTAACTTTTACGGAAAATACCTTTTTCTTTCTGCTTCACGGCAGGTACTTCTTTCTTCTTCTCTTCTGGCTGCATGCAATGTGTGGATGCAACAGCCTTTGTTATTCTTTTTTCCACACGCCGGGTCACAGACTTTGCTCACGGGGATGCTCGTCATTGGACAGCTGCACATGCTCACCAGCGCTTGAGGAGCACGGATAATGTAACTTGTAATACAGCATGGCGACTGGGATATTTGTTGGAAGGCTTCGCTGAAGCCGGGCTGTTTTTTTCTTGTGTTGTGTTTGGTTTTTGATTTTCTGATCATGGCATACTCCCATAATCAGCCACTCTCCCTCAATTCTTTTCCTTATTTGTTTTTCAATCTCTCTTTTTTTTCTTTGCCCCAATCTCCTTGTCATTTAAAATACCATCGCACTTTGTCATTTAGGCCTGACGGTAACTCTGTTGGAAGAGGCTGTCGGGTAGGGGGGGTTCAGGGTCGAATTGGTTCTGGTTTCTTTGGCTGTTTTTATCGTTTAGTGATATTTCTATAGTTGACTTCGAACGTGAGCAACGGCCTCTGCTGCATGGATGCTAACGAGGTTAAGGCGCTGTGAATTAAAAACCATTGATTAACTGCACTACGCGACCATGTCGCTAGATGTGAATGTTTGATGTCTTATTGGTCGGAAGATAAGCTACAGCACGAACCAACAGTAGCTACGGGGGGGGAGCAGATCTCGGCCGATCGGAAGGACAAACCGGGTTCACAGAAACGGCGTATCATGACGGCTACTATGATCCGGCAGGAGAGAGATTAGTTTCACACCGACGTTGAACGAGCGCGACTGTGTAAGTGCACGGCTTGGGTTCATTCGGCGACTGTCACGTGATCTGGGGGAAGCTGGGCTGCTGGATGGAGCGTGGCGCCCGGTCTCGGAGGGCAGTCATTGAACCAACCGATAGCGGATATCAAACGCCATGGGTTGATGCGTGTGGCTGCCATTGAGTGGCCTGTTACTTGTATAGAGCGACCAATTAAATTGGATTGGTTTTGGTTTATTTTACCGAGGCGGACTATAGGAAAAAAATGAGACGTTTGGAAGAAGATGTGTAGTGTGGGAAAAATAGAGTTTTGGCAGAATGGTGAATGAAGGGGGCGCTGTGTTTGCCACTGTGATTAGTTTTGTCTTTTGATAAACAGGGAAATGAGATGCAACGAGAAGTTTGCTTTTATGGTCAAAAAATTGTATACTATTACCATAGACGTCTTTCGGCCATCTGTGTTTGTCTTGCTCTGATAAGCGAGGTGAGTTGAGTGCCGTAGTCTGATGCAGCTGGCTCCGTTGGCCGGACGCGGCTCGGGGGAGATACGGCGGTGTTAGTGGCCATTTTAGTGCGGGGAGACAAACACGAAATGGCATGTGCTTGCAGGAAGCAATAATACCAAGGGTGAAGAGATGCAGGCTTGCCCTGATTACATTTTGGATTGTGAAAAAAAAAAAGGGAAAAGGAGGGCATTGTCCTGTAGATATACTATTTACTATCTCACACAAGAAGGAAAAAAACAGAGCGCTTGGGGCCGTTTTGCCCTGGGTTGTCTCGAGTCAAACATCAGCACAAGCACCGGGGAGATGCACTGCTCTCCGGCAGCGGCTCCAGCGTTTGCCATGTGAGGCGCTGTAATTGGCTGTCGCAGTGGGCTTTGGCTGCGCTACTGGGCTGGGTATAGTGGGCGGGCGATCCACTGGGGTGCATTCCAGGGTCATGAAAGAGAGAGGGACGGACCAAGTTCTAGAATTGGGCTTGACAGACGTCAAATAAAAAATACTGTATACTGAATGAGGCAGTGACCGAAGAAAAAAGCAAGCTACAGGAATAGGCAAAATGGTGCTATCTTTTGTGTTGCGTCTTTTTTCCTGGCTGGCTGGCTAGCTGCATTCTTTGGTAGTGGCATACACTAAGTGACAGCTTTTTGCGGCTTGCGCGCTGTAAGATGGTGTGCCACAGCGCATTTTGGGTGGTGGGGCAGAGCCTCCGATGCGCTGCTCCCCAAGACTGGAAAAACAGAGAAAAGAGTCATCTCAGTCTGGCAGCCGGCGCAGCTGGCGCACTTGGCTGGCACCTGGCACCTAACAGGCCCTTGCCCGTACGGCCGGCTCGTTATCTTTTTATCTTTCGTCTTCCCATCGCCCCTTCCGTCTTGCTTTCTTCTCCGCCTTTTTCTTCTTTCTTCCTTCAATTCAATTACTCTTCCTTCCCCAGATTTCATTATTTTCTGGTCAATCATCTTTGTCGACAATTCGATTTTTCTCTTCATCTTCTGCTGCCCGTGTCTGCGATCCCCCAAAGCAGCCATACCCCACGTGTCTGCAACCAGCGGCCCGTCGCCCAGCCCAACCACAGGCGCCCGAAACATAATCAACCACACAAACGCTTCTTCTCTCTAACTTGGAGCAACCGCCATCATGCTGAGAAGTCGTCAGGCCACAAAGGCCGCCCGGGCCATTGCCCAAACACGCTGCTTTACCTCGTCTACCGTCCCCGTCTCGTCGAGAGCCGCAAAAAAGTTCCCTTCTGGCCAAAGAAATCAAGCTACAGCTGCCTCGCCTGCAGCGTAAGTGCTACTCGCTCGTGTGGGCTCTTTTTTTGGGCGCCGGCATCGGCACGCACAAGCTGCTGCGTCCGCTTGTCGGCGACCATGGAATAGCCTCACATTTGCTCGATTATGCCAATTGAAACTAACAATTTGCAAAATAGTAATGTTCGCCCTACTCCTAGTCCCTCATTCAACGCCGAATCCAACCGTGGCCATGTCCAGCCTCTGGTCAACCAGCAACGGCCTGAGATGGACGAATCGTAAGAGCCTCCTTAGAGATGCTTCAATGCCAATTGTCCAACTGACAAAATTTCCATCTAGATTTATCGGCAAGAGTGGTGGTGAAATCTTCCACGACATGATGCTCCGTCACGGCGTGAAGCACATCTGTAAGCTCATCCACGCTGGCTGCCTGTGATTATTGCTAACAAGCCTTTAGTTGGTTACCCTGGCGGTGCCATTCTCCCCGTCTTCGATGCCATCTACAACTCAAAACACTTCGAATTCATCCTGCCTCGCCACGAGCAGGGTGCTGGCCACATGGCTGAAGGTTACGCTCGTGCTTCTGGCAAGCCTGGCGTCGTCCTCGTCACCTCTGGCCCTGGTGCCACCAATGTCATCACCCCCATCCAGGATGCCTTTTCGGATGGTACACCTCTGGTCGTCTTCTGCGGTCAGGTCCCTACCACCGCTATCGGCAGCGACGCCTTCCAGGAGGCCGATGTTGTTGGTATCTCACGCCAATGCACCAAGTGGAACGTCATGGTCAAGAGCGTTGCAGAACTCCCTCGCCGCATCAACGAGGCCTTTGAGATTGCCACCAGCGGCCGTCCTGGTCCTGTCCTTGTCGACCTGCCCAAGGATGTTACTGCCGGTATCCTGCGCCGTGCCATCCCCACCGAAGTCGATATCCCTTCTCTGCCTAGTGCCGCCTCGCGTGCCGCTATGGAGTCGAGCGATCGCGTTCTCAGCAACTCTCTGAAGCGTGTCGCTGATCTCATCAACAAGGCTAAGAAGCCCGTCATCTACGCCGGTCAGGGTGTCATTCTCTCTGAGGGTGGCCCCGAGGCCCTCCGCGAGCTTGCCGACAAGGCCTCCATCCCCGTCACCACCACTCTCCAGGGTCTCGGTGCCTTTGACGAGCTCGATGAAAAGTCTCTCCACATGCTGGGCATGCACGGTGCTGCCTATGCTAACATGGCTATCCAGGATGCCGATCTCATCATTGCTCTCGGTGCGCGCTTCGATGACCGCGTTACTGGCAACGTTTCCAAGTTCGCCCCGGGAGCAAAGGCTGCTGCTGCCGAGAAGCGCGGCGGTATCATCCACTTTGAGATTATGCCCAAGAACATCAACAAGGTCGTTCAGGCCACCGAGGCCATTGAGGGCGATGTTGGTGCCAACCTGCGCCGCGTCATGCCCGAGATTGAAACCCGATCCATGGCCGATCGCAAGGCGTGGTACGACCAGATCCAGGTCTGGAAGGAGAAGTGGCCTCTGTCGAATTACCGCAAGGCCGACCGCGACGGACTCATTCAGCCCCAGACCGTCATCGAGGAACTCAGCGACCTTACCGCCGACCGCAAGACCGAGACATATATTTCCACTGGTGTTGGCCAGCACCAGATGTGGACAGCCCAGCACTTCCGCTGGCGCCACCCACGCTCCATGATCACCTCAGGTGGTCTGGGAACCATGGGCTTCGGTCTGCCTGCCGCCATTGGTGCCAAGGTCGCCCAGCCTGATGCCCTTGTCATTGACATTGACGGTGACGCTTCCTTCAACATGACCTTGACCGAGATGTCCACTGCTGCGCAGTTCAACATTGGTGTCAAGATCATTGTCCTCAACAACGAAGAGCAGGGCATGGTTACGCAATGGCAGAACCTCTTCTACGAGGACCGCTACGCCCACACGCATCAGATGAACCCCGACTTTATGAAGCTGTCCGAGTCCATGCACATCCAGTGCCGTCGCGTTGCCAAGCCTGATGAGCTGCGCGATGCCCTCAAGTGGCTGATTGACTCTGACGGCCCTGCTTTCCTCGAGATTGTCACCGACAAGAAGGTTCCCGTCCTGCCCATGGTCCCCGCCGGCTCCGCCCTGCACGAGTTCATCGCCTATGATGGCGAGAAGGACCAAGCCCGCCGCGACCAAATGGTTGAGCGCACCAAGGGTGTTCACGGAAAGTAAAAAAGCAGCAGCTGCTGTGTAGTAAAATGATGAGAAGGATAGGAGAAGGAGGAGAGAATTTATTCATTTTGGGGCATTTTATACCGCCTACGGGCGTGGAGTTTGTTTACTTCTTACCAGTTTGGTAGCTATTTCTTTTTTCCGAAAAGGAGAGGAGTGTGGATGTAATTCTACAGCAATGTATCTGCTTGCATATCGTTTGACCTGTGTTTATTCTTCGTGACTGTCATTTGCTATGGACTATGTATAGTAGTAGACGTGATGGATAGAGGGGAGTATGATTTTGAGAGACGTAGTCACAATCAACGTCGATCATCTCGATAACCACTTGGGCTCATCGCTTCCAAGAGCCTTGGGCATCTCATCCCAACCCACTCGTTTGCCCTCCACTTCTGCACTATGCTTAACAAACGTCATCTTGCCAAACCCAGTATCTCTCTGCTCCTTCATGTCAGCAGGTACGTCATCTTTGCTAGGATAAACCTCTGGCAAGTTAAAGACGTCGGCATCATAATACCCCAAGTTGCACAAATACTTCATTGCGCCAGCAAGCGAGACGTCTACTAGCCACGAGCCACCCTTTTCTGCTCGATGGTACGCAGCCGCGCATATCCCCGTGGCAAGCAGGTATCCTGCTGCATGATCGAGTACTTGGTACGGCGCCATCTGCGCTACCTCGCCTTTCCCTGCGCACTCTGCCTCACCAGCACTCATACCCGAGCACGTCTGTACTAAAGAATCGAAACCACGGCGCTGCGACCATGGACCAGATGGGCCAAAGGCAGACATGTTGGCGTAGATTAAGCGCGGGTTAAGCTTGGTAAGAGCGTCAGGTGAGAAGCCACGCGCGGAGAGGCTGCCAGGGCGGTATGCTTGTATAAACACGTCTGCGTCCGCAATGAGATCGAGGAGGGTTTGTTTGTCGGTTTCGTTTGTAAGGTCTAGCTGGATGGTGCGTTTGCCGCGACTGAGGTCGACATCTAGCTCAGGTAGGGATGGGAGATTGGGCGATGTCACCCAGAGGACATCGGCGCCGTGGGCAGCAAGGGCTTTGCCTGCCACTGGGCCAGCTATGACGCGCGAAAGTTCGACGACACGCAGGCCTTCAAGACAGCGAGACGTTTTAGGGGGCGATGTTGATGGGATAGGGCCATGTGAGAGCTGTTTTAGGAGGACGGGCGAGTCAGAGATGGCTGCTGATTGGGGATGCTGGTTCCATTCGTCTCGAGTGCGGAGAGCGTAAACTGCCCCTGTGCCGTTTCCCGTGGCGGCAGTTTCGTAGTCGACCTTGGTCCATGACGATATGGCCTCTGCGACTTGCTGTTTCGTAGCTGTATGTGGAAGACCTAATGGCTGCAGAGCGCCAATGCGGTGATTGAGAAAGTTGTCATGGATGCGCACGTAGCCGTCCTTGGCTTTGTAGAGGCCGCCAATAGGACCCCATGATGAGGCAAGTGGCGGTTGGCCTGCGTCAAAGGAGTAGAGCCGGTGGGAGTTTACTTCGGCGGCAACGTGGCGGAGTGGCACGATGACTTTTGGGACGGAGGATGGCGACGAGACGAAGGCGGCGGCGAGAGCGGATGTGGCGACTGTTGCTTGGGAGAGGGTTGAAAGTTTATGTGTAGATGGGAAGAGGGGGGTGTCGCTGTCTGGAAGAGAGAGGGAGAGGAGAGCGCTGGAGGGGAGAGCGAGGGATGTCCATATATCTTGGACGACGGCTTGTGTGGTGAAGCCGACGCGGGAGGTCATTGCTGTCGTCAATAATTGAAGGTTTCACGGATGCTGCAATATGGAGAATGGTAGTAAAAGGAGTTAATAGAAGAGAGGGATTTTATATGTATTAATATCAGAGGGAGGCAGAGTATGCCGAGGTATGTGTTCGTGATGTCGTCAGTAGCAAAGTGAGGCGAGGCCGGCTTTGGCTTTCCGGGTGGAGCTGAGTTCCGGCTGGCCGGGCATAAGGCGGCCACGAGATCACGGCAAGGGCGCGGTGCTTAAGCCGAGGAGCAGAGACGGAGGAGATTAATTTTGATAAATGTCTATGTACATTGGTATAAAATGTCATCTAAAAATGCAACAAAATGTCTGATGCTATGAACCAAAAACGCCGTCTATATGGCATGTACCGGCCTGTATATCTCTCTGATGCGCCAAACCGTGTAGAATATAAAATGCAAAAAGCAAAAAGAAACCATTATGAAGATTCTTGCTGAGCCTCTAGCGCAGCCTTTTCATCCGCCGTCAGATCCGACGAGGCCTGGCCCATGCGGATGGTGCATGTGAAGATCGCCACGACGCCGACCATAGCCACGCCCACCCAGAAGCCAATCTTGAGCTGGCCGGCCTGGTCAATGCCGTCTTTGCTGTAATTGATGGCAGTCGACACGGCAAGCTCACTAACACCGAGCCAGAATGACATGGCAAAGTACAGCAGCGAATTGATCCAACCAGAAGCCGTAGCCTGCAGGCGGTGCGGCATGGCCGTCGTGATGTAGACGTTGGTGACGTTGAAGAGAATATCGACGCCCACTGTGCCGCCTACCATAGCGGGGAAGACAAACGCCCAGTACAGGTAGCTGAGTGAGTGGCCGGCTGTCTCGGGGATCAGCGCAAAGAGGACCACGGACAAGAGGAAGCCGCCGGCCGAGATGAACATGAGGACGGTGTTGGGGATTAGGTGCATAACAAAGCCGCCGGTAAGCGCGAGAATCATGCCGCCGACGGCGAGAGGTGTGAACCAAGCCGCTGAGAGGATGGGCGATATGTTGATGACGGTTTCCATGCTATATGATTGTTAGAACATGTTCGATAACGACAGGAGTAGTGGAAGATAGAGAGGTGGGACTTACTAGAAGCTGGTGTAGAATAGGAAGATACCAAAAACACCATACGAAAAGAAGAGAATGGTGTAGAGGCGCTTCATGTACTTTGGGCGGAAAATGTCGGCAGGCAGTAATGGTTGCGCTGCCACCCAGCCCTCGATATAAACGGCGAGACCAAGTAACAAAACACCAATGATAAGTGTAACGTAGATGTATGGCGTCTTCCAGCCGTTGGGTGCGTGACCGCCATCAATAAAGGCAAAGTTGATGAGAATGACGCCCGGCAAGATCGTAACGACACCCAGCCAGTCCATCCTCATGGCAGGATCGCGCTTGTGTGTGCCGCGTGGGATACTAAAGAAGCCCATGGTGACAACGACAGCGACAATAATGGCGCCAATGTAAAAGAACCACTTCCATGTCAAGAAGCTGGCAGATACGGCGGCAATAAAGATGCCCGAGTAGAAGCCGAGACAGGCGAGGGCACCCCAGATGCTAAAGACGAGGTTCTTGCGCGGGCCAGGGCGGTACGTCTGGCCAAGAAGCGCCAGGCCAGCCGGCACAAAGGCCGCACACCCGACTCCCTGCATGGCACGGCAGATGATGAGCATGATGGGGTTGATGCTGAAGCCGCAGATGAGACTCCAGACCATCATCCATGCGTGGCCGAGCAGAAAGATGGAGCGTGCGCCGTAGATGTCGCAGAGGCGGGAGAACGGGAGCAGTAAGCCCGCGGTAGAGATGCTAATGGCGGCGGTTGGCCAGACGCGAGACGCCTCTTCGATGCCGAGATCGACAACCACAACAGGCAGGATGACGTTGAAGCCGGAGATGAAAAACTCAGACATCATCATGGACGCCACAACTGTGATGACGAAGCAGACCTCGGCGACGGTGGACTTGAAGACGGCTGGGCGCTCACGGCCAAGACGTTCGATATCTGCCTTTGTTAGGACATCTGGGCAATTTGTCGATGTGGATAATTCTTGCGGGAATCCAGGCGCAAGTTCTGGCGGTGCGGGATGTTGGCCGTGGTTCGACAGCGTGGCCGTCAAGGTGAGCGACGCCGGTTGTGTCATGGTGAATGATATTTTAAACTTGATTCTTTGTAACAAAACGATCCATGGTCTATATCCACGGGACAGACAGCAAGCTCGCTATATATGTGTGCGTGAAGACAATGACCCGGGTCCAGGCAAGACTTGTAATCGGAGAGGCGTCACGACTTTGATTAGGAAGCAAAAAAACGAAACGGCGGGTCGGTAGCCGTAGCCGAATGCACGAGTTGCGCGCTAGCTTCCGTATGGAGGAGACGCCACGAGGGACAGAAAATGCTTAAATGGCTGTTGTAAGTTATTGCCCTGATCGGGATAGGCCTGTCAGCTAAGAGAACACGAAAACGGGCGCAATCTGGGGATCGGCTGTTGATGGCATGGCGTGCATGATGACAAACACCGCTCCAGAAGCAAATGGGAAAAAATGTTCTACAGTGGGCTGAACTAGTTGACTGGGTTGGTTGATTTGTTGTTATGACGCCGCTCCGGGGTTGCGGGTTTTCGGCGCCGGTCGAGTTGCGTCTTGGCTGCCTTTTCGGGTTTAGCGCCGTGTATTGGTCGGCGTCCGCGGTACGGAGATGCTTTGTGGTGTTTGTTTGTTAGTTTGTTGTGATGAATATATATTGAGCAGATAAGAGAAAGTTTTGCTTTGGGTATTGTATGTTTGAATATTATAGACGGATACAGGGGTGGTAGTATTGTGGTTGCATTGCAGATGTTGTAGGATAGTGAAACTCGGCATGGGTGTGGCTAAGCGAGAGACACTGGTATATATTACTACCCGCGTCTGGAGCGGGCTGGGAAAAGCATAGTGAGTGAGTATCTGAATTACTCTGAAAAGAGCTAGCAAAACTTCAATATGTAACATTTTATATCCGAGCCGCATCTATAATATCTTTCACTTTGTTGTAGCAAGTAGTTCGTTCGGAATGAAGAGTTGTGCCTAGAAAAAGGCGGTCTATTGTCGCCAGTGATTTAGTAACCTTATATTAGCACTATGACCGGCAAATCTATTATATATTAAAAATATCTCAAATGTTAAGAAGTGTATATCAACTGAAAAAAGACAGAAAGAAAGAAAGACCAAGATTACTGTATCGGGTAGTTTGCGGTGTTGGTCAAAGCGGAATATCTGGCTACGGAATTTCAGCAAGGACATCGTCGTCCCAGGCTGCCGTCAGCTCCCCGATGGCTCCCCGGTGGCAAGATGTTAGCTCTTATACCACCACACCCTACGAGAAGAAGTGCAGTATCAATTCCTTCATTTTGACATCAGAATTCTTGAGCTGCCAAGATAAAGGCCGTTCTAAAACAATAAAAAAGTTACCGGGCGTCGTGAAGCGCTCGCTATTTCGGAGATGGACGAGTTGCGAAGCATTGGGCTTGACAACTGCGCTGAGGGATGGTCAAAGCCCAAGTAAACGACGTACTTTCAATTTGAATACCAAATGAGACGTAGAGATGTAGCTTCCGAATAGATTAATTATTATATCCAACTTCTATGCTATCCTAGGGGGTATATGGCAAATTTACAATATCAACATTTCTTTCTTCACGATCCATTCAAAGTCACCCATAGCACACTTAGTGTGCAGTGCCGTAATACTCCTTGACTTGCCCGGCCTGCTGCGATCCCGATCCTGATGGCTGAGGAGCATGAGCAGGCTGCATGTATGCCTGTTGCTGTTGCGGCTGCATGTACGGTTGCTGCGGGTGCTGCTGGTACATGGGCTGAGGAGGCGTAGGGTAGACCATGGCCATGGCAGTTTGTCCATTGGCAAGCTGGACGGGCTGGAGGGCCTGCTGCTGGGGGACAACGGGCACGTAGACGACAGGGACGACCTTGTTGGTGTTGCGGATGTGCGTATCGGCGCAGGCAGTGAAGAAGAGGAAGGTGACGAGGGCGTAGACAAGGAACGAAACGGCCGCAATGCCGCTGGCGAGGCTGAGCTGGGTACGCGTGGCACACTCGTCGTCGTAGTAGTAGCGGTTGGTGTAATCGTCATCGCCGGAGCTAGAGCTGCCGTAACTAGAGCTGCCAGAGCTAGAGCTGCCAGAGCTAGAGCCGCCACGTCCAGTTGTGTTGTCTCCACAGACATCTACCGGCCAGGATGCAACGACAAATGTAAAGGAGCAAACAATAATCATAGCAATCCAGACAATGAGCCAGACACCGACGTGCGCACCGGGGTGGATAGCACCCTTCAATTTGCGGGCGGCAAGTGTAATGAAGTCGGCAATGATCCAGATCATGGCGATGAAGAAGACAATGGAAACCCAAGCCATGGGGTCACTATATTCCCCGTAGAAGTTACGGGAGTAGTAAGGCATGTCGCTGTCACCACGATAGGGAGATGCGCTCCAAAAGCCAAGCGATAAGCCGGCGCCGAGGACGCAAAGGACAAAGGCGGCCACATTGAGACCGAGCTTGTACAGCCCCCAGCCACTCTTAAGGACGGAGCTGCGCTCTTGTGCCGCGCCGCTGGTAGCAGGCACAACCGTGCCGTTGCGGCGATTAGCCTCTTCGCAGCAGCGGACCCAGATGACAAACGAGAGGATGGTAAGGATCCCGGAGAAGATGAGCCCGGCAAACTCGGCGCGGAAGCGCCCTTTGGCGGTTTCATGGTAATCGAGATAGTCGTCAAAAAGGACGTAGTAGCCCAAATCGCCAAAGTGGAATCCCCAGAAGCCGGCAATGCAGGCCATGGACGACCAGATGAGGAACCAGCCAGCCGTACCTACAGTAGGGTTGAGCCCATTGGCCTGCTTGATGCCCGGGATGTAGCGAAAGGCCAGCTCCAAGCCGATGAAGACGAGAGTAAAGATGGAGAGGCAGATCGCGAAGACGGACAGGCCGTTCATAGAGTCCCTGATGTAAAACCTTGCAGGCACGGCCTTCATGTAGGCAGCGCAGCCTAGAGTGCCAATGGCCAGCAGCGCGCAGAGGGTGTAGAGCGTCAGCTTGGCCCATTTCCAGCTGTTGGGCTCGGCCGGGTAGTAGTCGGCAGGAGCCTGCTTGTTGGCGACATGGCCATTTTCCGAGTCAAGTTCGGCAGTAGGCTGCTCAGGAACAACGTGCGCCTGGTTTTGATACTGTTCGGCCTGTGTCGCGGGAGGAGGGACAATCGCAGCGCGTGCGGCTTCGGGAGAAACTTGAGCAGAGGGAGTCGAGTGAGCGGCGGCCGAGCTGACTGGTGAAGGAGCAGCGGCAGGAGGAGCAGCAGCAGCCGCAGAGAGCTCGTGTGCGGGCTGGTGCTCGTCGGGCATCGTGATTCAAGCTGTGGTGGTGATGTGAAAACAAGTGTGGTGGTGGTGGTGCACGAGCGGTGCGGGTGTGGTTATTTTTGTAACAATCTTTCAATTTTTCTTAAACGAATGGACAGGCGACCAAGACAAAAAAAGCGTGAGCTCTTCTTTTTCTTTGCTGGTGCCAAAAAAAGAAACGAAGCAGTGCGTGAATCACGACAAACTTAACTTGCAAGGCAGAAGCTGCAGCTGAAAAAATCACAATACGAAGAAAATAAGACACGAAAGGGGCTGAGTGCAAACGAGGCTGCGGGTGGAGGCGCAAATCTCCCCTAGCGGCGCCTGTAATTGGTGGACTACAGCGCTGGTGGGGTGTTTTGGGGTTATGCTTCCAGGGGATGCTACAGGGCTGGTGGCGCTAAGCGAGGCGCTGTATTTTTAACGTAGCATCGGGCACCACCAAAACACGAGGAGGACGAGAGACGAGACAAGAGAAAAAAAAATAGTGATTCAAGCGTAGGCATGAGTAAAGATTTTACTCACAAACAAGAAAAATCGTGGCAGTAGTTTGGGACGGGCGAATGCATTGGTGGTAGTGGATATACAAAGAGTTCTATAAAGTGTGGCGTCCCTTGGATAATTTAATGTCGGCATATGACGGGAAATAAAAACATAATGCACAAGCCCAGAAATAGAAAACGAGGCGGCCGGGTTGCCTATGCGGACTACCAGCAGACCTAGCAACGGCACATATTTATTCGTCGTTGGTACCTATCGTCACTGTATTAATTCGTAGATGAATGCAAATAAACAGTGAATATTGATTTTTTTTTTTTCAATTAATGGTGCGAAGACTTGCCCCTAAGCAGGCATGGTCATAGAAACATGCGAATCCGGTAGACCCTCCGAAAGAGGTTAAATAGTACATACACACATACCTAGATACATTTGAACGCAGGTCAACATACACAACACACTCTATTGTATACCTTGGCATAAAGTATCTCATTTTAGAGGTGCTCCTCGTACACGCTCAGTATACGCTCTAGAAACGGATTTTTGGTCGCTACATCATACAGATATGATACCGTATTGTATATGGCTAGTAGGCCAAACACCACCATACATACAAAAGATATATCCTGTATCTGAGCTGTAGGACACCTTGAAAAAAAAATAAAGTATCGAACCAACATCGTACTATTCCAATAGTTGTTCTCAAGCATATTGATCGTATATTACCATAGCGTGGGTCGCTGGCTGGCATACACCGACGTCTCAGCTATGGTAGTAGATGTTCCTTTTAACATTATCATACCCTTCGACCGGATCGCCACAATAACTAGGATTGCGGCACAACGATGCTCACGTGAGCCAACACAGTTTGACATTTCAAAAATAGGGTAATAGTGAACGACAAAGGAACTCGATATATTCAAGACTCGAATACACATTTTCACCATCTCTTGACCAGGACCTTATCCTCTACTCTATCCGCGCTTGTTCTCATCTCGCCAATTGCAATGCCTGCCCGACCAACCTGGACAGAGGAAAACCTGCAAAAGGCGATTCAAGACGTGCGCGAGGGGCGTCTTCGAGCCATAGAAGCTGCCAAGCTGTATGAAATTACCAAATTCACGCTTCATGATCGTTTGAAGCCCGGAAAGAGTATGCCACGATAGATCAGGCCAATGCGAATCGCAAGGTTCTGACCCCTGAGAAAGAGAAGCTTCTGGCAGATTGGTTGATCTTGCATCAGCGTCAGACCAAATGGGCCCGGAGCTTCGTTAGATGCGTCGTCGGGTTACTTCGCGAAGAAGTCACGTACATGGCAAGCCCTGAATGGCTGGATGCCTTCATTGCTCGCTATCCCGAGCTTAAGTCGATCATAGCCGCGCCCGGAGAGAGTGACACCACGGCCAATCAAGCAGCCCAGGACAGGCAAGCCAATGGGAATCATAAGAGGCATCGTTTGAGTCGGGAGGAAGAAGAGGAGCTGGCAACTCGGTTGGTTGTCGAGCAGAGCATCTGGACCTGCATAACCCCCCTCGAGCTTAGGCAACTGGTTGGGCTAATGCGTAACGAAGCCGGGTATGTAGCAAGCGCGCAATGGCTGGATGGATTCGTTGGACGCCATCCAGTACTAGAGCCGGGCTTGTGATTGCGCGGGTTGGCCTAGGAATCATTATTAGCCCAGCATCGTGCAGAACGTCATGCATCAACCAAACAACCACATCTACGCCTATCATGCACCAAACACCGTACACCACAACTACCCACTCAACACAAACACAAACACAACAACTACGACATACCCGCAACCTGAGGGATCCCCTCGATATTCACACCCGCAATCCACCCCACACGATCCTTGACAAACAGCTCCGTCTGCGGCTTCAGCTTGGTCTCGTGCAGATTGAAGTCGTCCACCGTCCCAATTCGCAAGAAGTTGACCCCCGGATACGCCGCACCCTTGCGGTACATGAGCGCACCGCACGTCTTGCAAAAGTAATTGGTCATGGTCTTTCCTGACACAGGCGTCTTGTCTTGTGCGAATGTCTGGAGGTTATCTTGGCCGCGCAGGTGCCGGAGATGGCTGTCGGCTATGGTAAAGTTGGATGCGAACATGGAACCTGTGATTTTACGGCAATCGACGCAATGACAAACAAATGTTCCAACCAGACCGGGTTTCTCTGTAGGCTGCAACTCATTAGTCTCTCTTTTTAATTCTTGCTCTTTTTTTAATCGTGTGGATATGTCCAACATACAAAGGCGAGTTGAACGGCGCCACAGAAGCATGTAGCCGTCGCCTCGGTCTCTCTGGAGTATGCCCCGGGTGCAATGTCGGCCAGCGGCATATACGGTTTAGATTTATCGCAAGAAGCAGCCATGATGAGATTTTCTACTGTTATTCCTAATACAACAAAGAGGTGTGTGGTACGTCAGCCCTTTTATACACCCCGCGTTGGGGACCTCGGGGAGGTGGGATCTACATAGCCGAGCGGCGACTTTTCGGTGTGCGTCTACAATAGCCTGACATTAAATAGTAAAACCAGATATATTGTGTATACAAAATATAAGTTCATTATAGAAATGTGGTATAAAACTCGTCATAATTACATACATGGCCCCCAGTGTCTTTCACCCTATATAGCAAAGGCAATCGCCGCAGCCGCCAACAGCACAGCAATCTGCAGCGTCGACGCACCGCCCGACGACGATGGTGACGCTGTGCCCTTGGTTCCGGTAGCTGACGGGCTCGTCTTATCCGTGGCTGAAGGTGTCGATCCCGACGGCACACTTGTCTGGCCATTGACGCAGTTTGTGCTGGAAAAGTAGTCTTGCGTGTCCTTGAGTGTAGAGGTAAAGTTGGACGAGAGCGTGTCAGCCAGCGACTGCAGGCCCTTGGGGATCTTAGACACCGCAATCTTGACCAGGTCGCCCGCATTTGTGCTAATATCCGTCAGGCTCTGGCGCACGCTGTCGCACTCGCCCTCCTTGGCCACTGTGCTGCGCTTGCTCTTCAGGTCCGAGTTGAGCTTCTGCGCATCGGAGTTGAGCGTCTGCAGCGGGCCCGTCAAGCCAAATGTGTCGCCGCCCTCGAGCGCAGGTAGGCCCTGGAGCGTCGTCTTGCCCTGCTTGATGGCATCGAGGAGTGTGTCGAATGCTTTGAAGACGGGTGTCTTGTCGCTTGTGTACGAGTTGATGGCAATGTCGAGGTTGGTGATGTTTGCGGTGATGGAGTTGATGACGGCCTGGTACGGCGCGGCGTCTCGGGCCACGAGCGATGCAGAGGCGACGCTGGCAAGTGTAATGACGGATAGCTTCATCTTGTTTTCGATTTGGTTGATTGGTGAAAGATACAAAAATAGGGGTGAGATGCAATGGTGTCTTTATTGTTCAAAAGAAAGCAAGCAAGTTTTTGAAGTGGCGGCGAAGAGGCAGCCCTTTAGAAACCTCGGCCGGATTAGGCGGGGAGGCTGAGCTTGCCTTGGAAGAATCTGGGGAAAGCTTGGTTGATTGGCACGCTGCGTTGACGTCACCTGCCGAGACAGGTTATTTCACAGCCACATAGAAAACAGTATAGAATATTGAGAAGTGAGTGGCAATGAATTATAGGCTTGGTATCTTTCTATTCATTTCGCAATACATCTAGGAATTTCATTGTAAACCGTGGTAGAGGGGCCCCAGCTCGGTGAATAGCGAGCTATTTCGGGGTGGCGCTAGTGGAGGCGCTAATTAGGCACATCTCCAGCTGTGCCTTTGCCCTTGTCTCCGGTAGCCTGGGCCTTTGTTGTGTCTCCAGCTTCACTGTCGCTCACGCTAGATACAGCATGATCCTCTCGTGGATTGGCTGCACTATGACTCTGTATCTCTTCCTTCTTCGCATTGAACATACGCTCTTCACTCAAGATGGACACATTATCATCGCTTCCATGGGCTGGAATATCTTCGCTCTTGGCAGTCGTAAACAAGGGCTCGGCGCCAACTGGTCTGCCTTTGCCCTTGTCTTGCTTTTCAGCTTGGCCAATACCGTCATTACTCACCGCAGTCTTGGCTTCACCTGTATCTCTCCTCTTCGATCCACTGCTAATATGTTCACCGGCATTGGTATCGCCATGTCCTGCGGCTGGTGGTGCATAATATTCAAGCAGGTTGCCTTGGCGTGGGTGGTTGCGTTGCCGAGGTTCTCCTGCTGCTTGCTTCCGCTGCCACTTTTTCACAGCCTTTTCGTTTAAGTAGTCTAGGTGCTTGTCCATCCTTTTTATCGACACAATGACGGCCCATACGGCGACAGCCATTGGTATTGATCGTAAGATGCTTGTTAAACATTAGCACAGTCTTGTCGTAGTCGACGGAAAGGAGAGAGGCAACATAGACATACATGACGGAAACAGTAAACTCAAGCACCGCGAGGTTAACTTGGTTTGTATCGTCTGACGATGAGTACAGAAACTGGTTTATATCCCCTGCGTAGACCACAATGGCGAGTGCACCAACGACAATCGCTCCAATATCAGATGCAAAGCCAAGTATGGCGGTCTGCCAGCCAAGGTTGGTACCATGGAACAGGGATAAATACAGACAATCTGCTGCAACCGCTATCGATGCCTATACTAATTAGAAATGGGTCAGGTAATTGTAGTAGTAGTAGAATACATACTGTGATTAGACTCTTCAAGACGCCGTCGGCATATGCATTCCAGATGGGGCGGACTTCAATCAGGATGCCTTTGAGCCATGCCACCGTGGATACTATAAGAAGCCCTACGCTGACAAGCAAGAAAACCACTCGCAGTATTATAATGAATCGGAGCCTCCGTGAACGCGGCAGTTTCTCTTCCTTGTCGTTTAACCGCCTAATTGGTTTCCATTGCGGTGGCTGGCGCTGCTCTGTAAGTGCTGCGACTGTCTCTGGTCGTGATACTGCTTGCCCAGAAGGACCAGCTTCAGTTGTTTGTAATTCATCCTGCCTACTCGTCGCCATTGTGTATCCTAGACCGAACTGGAAACCAATTCCACACGATCCAAATGTAAGAGACGCATCGTGATTTTTATTCCTTTTCATTGCGCACTAGTTCGCCTTGCTGAGTGAGCGCACAAGGCTGTGGACCTAGGCAACCGCCCATAAATAGTAGCAAATCCCCACTGAATATCAGGGTTTGTTCGTACTTCTTCAGAGATACCTAAAGTTTGCTTGTTAAAACCCCTGGAATCTGCGATACTGCAAAAGTTTGAGAGGCTATGTGCCGCCGTGCGGGACAGTCGCCAGGTGCCCGCCAGCTGCGAAGCCTTCCCCCATTGCATGTTATTCCCGCTGCATCCCCGCTGCACCCTCTGTTCTCAGTAGCAGAATGCTGTAGTTCTCTTTTCCGCTAGTGCCTGCCCATCATCCTCTTTCCGTTGTTGCGCGCAGGTTGCATCGATACCCCAGTTTTCCACAGACGCAACGTCACAATGGAGCTCCGCGAAAATGGTCGTAGCAATGGAAGGGGAACTGGCTTTTGCGGTGAGATCAACAACGTGGGCGTTTTACAATGCATGCAATTGGCTCCCCAACTCGTGTAATAGCGTAGCATAGGGTCCTGTCCCCTCCGCTTAGATGATGTCTACCCTCGGCAGTCCCCCTCCATCGGATAATCTCATTATGCACCGGATAGCCTCGCCTGTTCAAATGGTGGCAAGACCTCTTCGCAATGTCTGCATGCATTGCATACATGGGGGACGCCATCCCCCTGCAAGCGGAAGGTATCATCGCAATTACTCTCTCCCCCAGCAACCCCTCATTATACCCGACGGGTCCAGTATTTAGAGCTAAACCACTATTCCCCGACCTCCATTGGGGTACGGACGAACCTCCACCTATAATTAACTCTCCTTCCCCGCGGGGCGACCGAGTTCCATTGTAACCCCCCCTGCACACTTTGCTTTTCCATTTCCCTTTTCTTACAATGTTGACAAAGACTACGCTTTTAGCGTTGATCAGCTGTGCCGCAGCCGCCGCTTCAGCTTCAGCTCCTAGTGCGCAGACGGCCCTCACTGGTAATGACTCCAAGAAGGACGGTGTACCTCAGGTCTGGCCACCGCCCCAACAGATCTCGCGCAATGGTTGCGGCATCAAGCTCGACGGCGATGTCACCATTGTGACGGGCAGCGCCAATGACACTGCTACGGTTGAAGTGATCAAGAGCATTGTTCAGGCCGCCGGTGGGCGCGCCACCGTCGCCGCAAAGTCCACTGGCGCCGGCGTCCAGATCTTGCTGGGCACCGATGCCGAGAACGCAGACGCCGCCGCCGCCGCAAAGGCGCTGGGTGGTGGCTCGGCCGCCAACCTAAAGGCAGAAGGCTATGTGCTCGCCACGGGCAAGTACTCTGGCCAGCAGAGCGTCGTGCTCAACGGCGTCGATGTCCGCGGCACCTTTTACGCTGCGCAGACTCTTCGCCAGCTGAGTGACGGCAAAAAGGGCGTCCCCGGCGTCCAAGTGCGCGACTGGCCCCTCATGCCCATTCGCGGCTCCATCGAGGGGTTTTACGGTATCCCTTGGTCCCACCAGGCCCGTCTTGACCAGTACGTGCTCTACGGCAAACATAAGCTTAATACCTACGTCTACACCCCAAAGGGCGACAACCTACTCCGCGCTACTTGGCGCCAGCTCTACAGCGGGGACGACCTCAAACAGCTCCAGGAGCTCGTTGACACGGCCAATGCCAACCACGTGGACTTTACCTTTGCGCTTTCGCCCGGCTTAGACCTGTGCTACTCGTCCGATGCCGATTTTAATGCTACTGTCAAGAAGTTTGACCAAGTTCGTGGGCTTGGCGTCCGCAGCTTCTACATTGCCCTGGACGATATCCCTCTGCAGTTCCACTGCGATGCCGACAAGAAGCGCTGGCCCAACAAGGGCGATTACCACTGGCTCGCCGATTCCCAGGCCTACTATCTCAACCGTATCCAGAAGGAGTATGTTGAGAAGTACGGCTTGATTGACCTCGAGACGGTGCCCACAAACTATGCCGGCAGTGCTCCCGACCCTTACAAGGGCGAGTTTGGCAAGCAGCTCAACAAGAAGATTCGCGTCCAGTGGACAGGTGAGGGCGTCTTTTCCGATGCCGTCACTTCTGAGAGTGTTGTCCGCGCCGACTCTACCTATGTCACTGACAAGCTCTTCATCTGGGACAACTTCCCCGTCAACGACAACAAGCCCTTCCGTCTGTTCCTCAACCCTCTTACCAAGCGTGCCCTGGATCTGTACAAGCACTTGATTGGCTTCACCGCCAACCCCATGGTCCAGTCGTATGCCTCTATGCCTTCTCTGATCAACTATGCCGATTACACCTGGAACGGCCCTGCCTATAATCCCGATGCCTCCATGGCCGCTGGTCTGCAGGAGCTTGCTGGCCCAGATGACAAGGCGCACACTGCCTTACTCGCCTTTTCCGATATCAACCAGAACTGGCCCTACCGCAACGACACTGTCAACGCACCAGAGCTTAGCAAGGCCATTGATGCCTTTTGGGAGGCGCGCAAGTCAGGCGACAAGAATGGCCGCCAAGCGCTTGTGGAGCGCCTCGCTCTCATCAACACGCTGCCCGATGTCCTGCCTACTATGGCGATGAAGGCCTTTGGCGCCGAAGTGGCACCATGGTCCACACTCGCCATGCAGTGGGCCACCGCATCGCAGCATGCCATTGCCATGATCGACGCCGTGGATGCTGGCGACAAAGCCAAGGCGGACCAAGAACACAACCACGTGCTCGAATGGGTGGAAAAGACCAAGGCCAAGACGGTTTCTAGCCTGAGCGAGGACGGCACCAAGATCGTTCCCAACTCTATTACTCCTACTACGGGAGATGCCGTCTTTGATAAATTTGTCGCCGATGGCAATGCCATTTACAAGGCTGCTTAAGTGATCTGCTCAGGAACCATGCTCCGTACCCCCTTTTGTATTATATCCAGAGTAAAGCTGAGCATTTGAGTCAGTACGGTGTATTGTAGAACGGGACATTTACTGTATCACGGCAAACAGAAAGAAAAATAAGAATTCTGGCCACTAGTCATGTGAATACATACCTGCAAATATACTTTCATCCGAAATCGCAGTGCTATATTCTTTGTGGCTTCGGCGACTAATGCAAGGTTTGCCTGATACAGCAGCCCTACACTCTTGGAAAAAGAAAAAGAAAAAAAAACAGGAGCACGTCCCCTCTGTAATCTGACTCTACCCCATTGGCTCCTTGCACCGCAATTAGGCAATTCCGTCATGTGTCGGTGAATGGATCCCGTATAGTGTGATCCGCTAATCTTGTGGGGTATGTCGATTACCCGCTTGCTGTCGGCCTACTTTGGGCAATGATGCTAGTGACTAAGATGCTACAATGGCTAAATGGTAGCGGGCTTGCAGATGAACGCACGGTGGTCGCCCACTGTGGCTGGGAATATGTTGCCGGCGCTTGGAGTTTACATAGGGATCAGCAGGGCAGAGACCACCTTACTATTCCAGTTAGACGCTAATCATGAATCATACGTGTGGTGCGTGCCGCCAGACTTGCCTCTTGGCATGCAAAGTCTATATAAAGCGTCCAAGATAACCCTCTCTGTTGGCCGACGAAATTGTCCGTTGGTTGAGTCGTCTTCTACTAATACATTTGTTCTCTTTCACTTCTTCTTCGTCTTCTTCTTCCTCTTCCTCCTACCTAATCCCATCATCACCATCCTCATCATGAAGGTCGCTGCTGCTCTCGCCGGCCTCAGCGCCGCTGTTGTGGCTGCCACTTCTTCCTCCGCCTGCCCCAGTGACAACTCCCACGCCACTGGTGATGCTCTCAAGAAAATTCTCGAATACAAGAAGAGCTCCCTACAATCTGATGGCTGGCTACTACCGCATCTGGACCGACACTGCTGGCAACCCCGGCGGTTCCCAGCGCATGGATGATCTCCCTGACTGCCTTGACATTGCCTTTGTCTTCCCCGAGGGCGGCGAGCGCAATGAATTCTATACCATGCTCAACAGCACCTATGCGCCCACTCTGCAGAAGCGCGGCACCAAGGTGGTCAAGACGGTCGGCATTGCTTCTCTGACCAACACCAACTACCCCAACACGGCTGCCGGCTATGCTTCGTTGGCCAAGTACCTCGTCAAGTACCAGGTCACCGATTACGGCCTCGATGGTCTTGATGTTGACGTTGAGGAGCTCAGCGGCACCCGCCTCCAGAAGGCCACCGGTGTCTTCCAGGAGCTCTCCAAGCTACTTGGCCCCAAGTCCGGCACCGGCAAGCTGCTCATCTTTGACACCAACCAGAGCGGCGCCAACTCCCTCTTCCGCGCCGTCTACTCCTACGTTGACTACACCCTTGTGCAGTCGTACGGCAGAGCTGCCAGCTCCTACGAGACCACCTGGAAGACGTTCCAGAACTACATCACGCCCGCCACCTACATGATTGGCTTCTCCTTTAACGAGGGCGACAACACCTGGCACGACACCGATGCCCCTCTCTCTTCCAGCCACGCCAAGGCCATGGCCACCTTCCAGCCTTCTAGCGGCTATAAGGCCGGCATCTTCTCCTATGCCATTGACAGAGACGGCAACAACCCTCCCGGGTCCCTCTCAACGGTGCTAGCACATACGACTGGATACGCGAGCTTATCAAGGAGATGAACTAGGACACGTCCTTGTGCAAAGATTACTACAACAGGACAGCGACCAGAGATGTGCAGTGGTACCTGGTAGATGCCACAGATATGAATATTCAGGAACATATATAAATACATACAGGTCCTTGTCCATAGTACAGAGATTAAATCCAATCAAAACAGAGTCCCATACATGGAATTCATCCCATCTTCACTAGTACATAAAAGTTGTCTTCGTATTCTTGTAGTGTTATATGTGCGTGTATTTATTTTTATGTACTGTATATACTATATATCATATTTGTCATGGCAGCCATACACGTTACTTTTTGGTTTTTGATTTTCCAGCAAATAGATTGCTTAGTGGGTAATGGCGATACAGTCCTTGAGGATGTTCTTGGACACGCTGTACAGGTTCTTCTTGTTGGGCTCGTCACCAGGCTTGCCGAAGCCGTAGAAGGCATCGAGCTCAGCACCGACATCGAGAGAGTAGTGGATGGAAGAGGTGCCCTGGTTGCAAGTGCCGGGCTGGTTGACATCAGCACCAATAGCAATGGCCAGGTAGGGGGCAGCAAGGGCAACACCGCCAGTAACGTGCTTGGTGAGGATCTTGCCAGAGAGGTCGAGGGTGACGAGAGGGTTGATGCGGGCAGTGGCATCGACCTTACCGGAGACGGTAGGGCCAATCTTGTGGAATTCAGGGGTGAAGCCGGTAGAGCCCTCACCAATGGCAATGGTCTGGCCGTTGGGGACGGCAAGCTCAGCACCAAAGACGGTGGTGATGCTGCCCTTGATGTCACTAACGGAGATCTGGGCATCGAGGGTGATCTCGGGCTGGATGGTGACAATGTCGGCAATCTTGAAGGTGGCCAGGGGGATCTTGGCAATCTCAATGCTGTTGGAAAGGTGCGAGGTGGTGATGGCAGCCGAGGCGGTGGCAGAAACGGCAAAGCGGACGCTCAGGTTGTCGGCGGCAGCAGCGGAGGCAGTGAAGCCGTGCTTAGTGGAAACGGTGATGTCGGCATCCAGAGAGCCGTGGGTACCGCAGTCGCTGCAGTCGACAGAGAGGTGGGCAGGGCCAATGGTGGCATCGTAGAAGTGCTTGTTGTAGGTGTGCTCCAGGCTGATCTTGACGTGCTTGGTGTAGCTGGCACGCTTGCTGTTGTGGACAAGCTCCGAGCCGTGGATGCGGACAGAGGCATCATCGACAAAGTCGTCCCACTGGGGAGCGGCGGCAACGGCAAGGTTGGCGACGGAGCCATCAAAGGTGACGCCGCTAATGTGGTAAGGCAGACGGCCGTGCTCACCACCACAGCCGGGGGCATCGACAACGTAGATGATGTTGTTGGCGGGGTTCTGGGCCACCCAGGACCAGGCGTTCTTGGCGTCCTGGACAGACTTGCCGTTGTTGAACTGGATCTTGATGTTCTTGGCGTTGGAGCAGTCGACAGACTGGACAAGGTCACTGAACTTGTGAGAGTTGAGAATGCGGTAAGCAGGAGCAGCAGTCACAGTCATGTTGGCAAGGAGGCCTTAAGTGAAGACGTTAGCTGTTGATTAGATCCACGGGTCAGATAAGAGGTGAGACACTTACCCTGGTCAGTGTGAGACCAGTACAAGTTGTCCTCAGTAGCCAGAGACAGGTCGCGGGCGGCAGAGGTGTGGCCAAGACGGCCAGTGGGCGTGAAGACGACATGAGGAACAGCAGTCGAAGCATCGACAGCATCGACAGCACGCTCAATGGGGCCAGCAGCAGCCAAGGCGCTGAGAAGGGCAACGTGGAGGGCAATCTTGGAGAACATGGTGAGCAGGCAACTTGTATCTGTCTTGATATATCGAGTCTGATCTGGTAAGAGTTTCGATTTTGTAGCGGGATCACGACGCCATCTTATATCCTTCGTCAGGCAGACCCCAGCTCATTCACGAAATCCATAAACGATAGCGGATTTCGCCGAGTGAAGAGCTACCATGATGACCGTGACCGTGATGGCAGGAGACCTGGATGCGGAAATGCCGCGCGCATGTAAGCGCTAGGTTACATTGCAGGGAAGCTGAAGCATGATGGGGGATAGACAGATTTCAGGGACCGCCGCTACTACCACGTTGTTTGCCTCGAGGCCACGGGTATCCGCGTGCACGAACTAGTCCAGATGACTATGGTTCATGCCATGAACACTCCAAATAACCTTTTTTTTTGCTTCTGCCCGCCAACAATGCAACGCCCGTGATCGCCCCTGGATGTCTCTGTTATGCTAGTAGTTTGTTTGCTTGCTTGCTTGCGGGCCCCCATAGCTAGAGCACGTGTCTGTCTTGTAGATCCGCTACTTTCCGTGCTTACTTGCGTAGAGATACTTTTTTTTGTTCGTTCCAGATCGCATAGCGCACGGGACGAGGTGGTTGGATCGAGCTTGGCCGTCTTGGCCTACCGATCCTGGAGCTGAACCCACGCTCGGTGCCTGTTTGGGGATGGGCAGTGGACGCAGGGTATGGCCTATTTGGGCGTGATTGCGAGAACAATGGCCCGGTTGGGTTTGCCTGCCACGGCGGCTGTGATGCAAAGAGGTTGGCATTCCGCGATGCAATGGTTCGTCAACGGTGAGGCTGAATAGATTGACGGCAGGCAAAGCAAGGCATAATTGCATCAAGCTGGCTGCTCGCCATCTCATTGGCCTGTTAACACTCTCGATCCGGGTGAGAGGCGGCCGAAGCATGTCGATCGTGAGGCTTGCTTTCCAGTTTGGGCGAATCCCGCTGGACTTGTTCGCGGAAATCGTGCGCTGGGTTCGGTAGTGTTGCCCTGTTGCGGATCATGGTATGCAAGACAGACGAGTTGCCGTTTTGCACGGTGATAATACGCGGATATAATATGCCTATAGCGGATTAGTTCCGCTGCACACGCTGCACGCAGAGCCCGTGTGTATCTGCGAGGTGGAAGGTTTCTCGAAGCATTTCTTTTGAGGGAGCGTTAGTCGCAGAGACGGATTGGGTTAAATGTTCAATGTGTGCTAAATGTATCACTTTTGCGATCGCGTATCGTTTGCCCAGCAGTGGCGCCGATATGGTCTTCGATTCAGCCGTGAGCCACCGCCACCGTTTTTCTTCTGCACGTCACCGTTGTATTCATCCGGAATTAGAGTTGTCTTTTTTTTGTTGTTTCGAGTCTCAGGCTGTATTTTAGTGATACATTCTTCCGGAATAGTTAGATGAGACGTCCAGTCTATAGGGGTACATGTGTGGCAATATGGTTCCCATGCGCACGCATAGACAACACATAGCCTCACTATATGAAGAATTATCCAATCGCAATGAATTATATTTTATTGCCATTGTTCCCTGCATCGCCAATATAAAATATTAATTTACAATATCCGCCGGCTATGCGCAGCTCCGGAATGTGGCGTGCGCACTGCACTCAACGCTGCACTTACACCACCACCACCAAGAACACCACCTACGCAGCACTGACGTCATAGGGCAGCCCTTCAAGTCCTGCATATTGAAAATGCAATTGACTCAATATGAAACCATTGGAATAACCTATTTATTCTCCGGTAGCATGATGCATGCTGCAAGCCCATGTATGCCGGCGTTGGCTGCTCGGACCGACAGTGGACGTTGCGTTGGGCGTGGCGGCGCAAAACACCAACGATCCTAGGAGCAAAACTCCGCATGTAATATGGAAAAATCCGTTAGTTTGACGTTTTCTCGCACCGTCGGGCTATTCGGTAGTTCGTCTCATGATCCGTTGCCCATCATGAGCCGAAGTGTGTGATCGGCACGACCTAGTGCACTCCCAGTTAGCTCCAAACGCACAAGCAAGCACCAGCGTTAGCCCGGTTAGCGGGCAATCCGGCTCAGCCTTGCCGCTGATTCGCAGGGATCAGCAACAACTTTGATCCATGGCATTTTAACTTTGCAAAAGTAACTGTTGCCAAGTCAGCTTGGAGCCTCTTTTTCATCCAACGTAATCCGAACAAGAGCGGAGCCTCCATCCAAAGCTGTTGAACTCAAAGTTGGAGGCGTTCTTACAAGTACCAAACTCTATCACTTTTGCCATGTTTCGCAACGCTCATCACAAAGTGGGACCTGGAAACTCTGTTTAGTTTTAAAAATAGCATGATCACAGCAAATCAAGGTCACTAGCAAAGATTAAGAGAGATAGGAGAGCAGAAAGTAGGGTGAAAAAGCAGTTGTATTAAGGTGTGTGCACGAAGAAGAGAAATTTGTGATACGTAGGCGGGCTATGTATGTGTATGTGTTTAGATGTGGAGGCAGTTGAGGAGGTTGACGTTGATGAGACCGCCCTAGTGAATTGGTCAGTATACTGAGAAGAAGCATCCGATAGTAGAAGGATTGAGAACATACAGCACCGTTGCCGCTGCAGCAGTAGGTGGTCTGGCTGGCCTGGCAAGTAGCGCCAAGAGCAAGGACGTTGCAGAGCAGGTTGCCGAGGATGGGGATAGCAGAGTTGCAGCAGACAACCTGGCCATCGTTGTCGCCGTTGATGGAGCAGTCACCACCCTTGGGAGGAGAGTTGGTGGGAACGGCGGCGACAGCGGCAATGAGAGTGGCGGCGATGGCGAACTTCATTTTGAAAGTGGTAGAAAGGGTTGCTTTTGAAAAGAAAAGGCTTTGTAAGTGTGTGAAGATGGTAGTGAATTGGAGAGTGAATTGAGAGCTGATGAGGAAAGGAAAAGACGAATTGAAGCGGAATCAAGAGCTGTTTATATACTTTTTTCGTCTGGTGAGAGACAGCCCGTCTAGACCAAAGAGACGACGATACCGGCATCTCCAACCTTGTCCTCCTCCACCACACCCAGGTCTGACTGTGTGTACGCACCCGTACACTGTACATGCAAGCCACAAGGGTAAATTTCAGGCCCGTCTGCCCAATTCGTACATGGAGCAACGATCGACTGGAGATGATGCTGTCTTGTCTCCAGTTAGCTGGACCCGGGATTCTCACTATGCGAGCCAATCGCCACCTCCTACCTTGCCCAGCCTCGCCCCCCTCCTCCATCCCACTCACACACACCCATCAAGAGCTTCAGCTGTGCGCGCTACTGAGCCTGGCCGCGAACTATCCGAGCTGTAGCAAGTACATGGCTCAACGAAAAAAAAAAGCATAATGGGCTAGACTACAACTTTGTGCACTGTGGCAAACGGAAATGAACACAGCCAGCCATACAGCCAGCCCAGCAAGCCCTCTGCGGCCGAGTACATGGGATGTAACCTCGCCGACGGTGGCTTGGACTTTGAAACCCGGATTGAGGCCCTTCTTGGCCCAAGTTGGGATCGGCACCAATCCGAATTGGCCTGCATAGGCTGTGGCTGCAAAGTAACATGTACGAATCATCCGTGTGCATCTTGGTTGGCCTCGGAAAAGCAGGGCACCAGCAGCAGCAGCTGTATGGGGGAGCAGCTGTTGTAACAACCCATTGTCATGGCAATTGCTCCCTTTTCTCGCTTGCATATACCGTGCATAAAACATTCTGCTGTCTAAGAACTACAGTAGCTAGACACCCCAGCTCGCCGTCCATCTGCTGCAGCCCAATCACCGCCCAAGTCGCCTGCCTACCAACAATATGCCTGCTTTTCGGCCCTGTCGCATCGGCATGTCGGCGCCGTAGCCCAGCTTTGCATGGACCTGCCTAAGACTAGTGGTTCTGTTTCACCTCGCTGCCAGGATGCTGCAGGCTGCCGACTGCGACACCATCGACGGTCTTGGGGCCCAGAAACACAGCGCAATACAAAACATAAAAAAAAAGTGGCGTTTTTTCTCGGAAAATTATCTTAGCAGGCTGACTGCGCTGTATTACAGTCCTCACCTCCTTAGTCACACAGCGGCGCCTGCGCGCATCCGCTTTTTCCACAGTGACGCCTCCAAAAAGCGGCTGGTCCATGCATTAAGGTTAAAGGCGATGCGCCGCGGGTCAGACACTGGCCGGAGCGGCAGCGCCTATCATCCTGGTCTGACAGCGCCCCGGGGAATGGTTGAGATGCAACCTGGTTCCCCTTTAACCGCTGTAGGTGACCGTTATTGCGGCTGACCGGGGGGGGGAGGGTGTTGGAAGAGGGTGGTAGAGACGGGTAGGCAAGGTGGTAGGCGAGAACTAATACAACGACGTAGTGGTGGCCGATGATCTCTCTCGGTTTACAACGGGGGGGGGCAAAATGGATGGATGGTTGTATGGAGACTAGGTCCATCCGTTCTCGCCGACTAATCGATCCCATCTGGCGCAGCGAACCCCCCGTAGGGGGCATAGCGCCCCGATGTGCCGTGTTTACCCACAAAAAGCTCATCAAGCCACTATTACTGTTGTTGCTTTTGCCTCCGCCTCTCTCTGTGTCTCCTGTTTCTCTCTGTCACTGGGCAAAGCAAAAAGGTGTGGGCGGGAAGACCAAGGCGGGCCTGCATGGGGCTTGACAGACAACGGAGACATGCATCCAGGCTGATCTGTTTCCTCTCTTGAGCCATTTTTTGTTTTTCCTGTTCCTTCTTACGAGACAGAATGCCCAATTGAGCACTGCCAACCTGTCTGTGCATGCAGCGCATGGTCCCCTCCCCGGGGGGCCAAGCGGCGAGGTTCTCGCCCTCAGTATACGGATCATCGTCCTAGCGCGGTTCAGCTTCGACGCGCTCCATCGCAGCCTCCTTTTGCTGTTTCGGCAAATAAAATCGAGCCACCTGGGCCCCGGCCACCACGGGACAGGACCCGGCCGGCCGTGAGAAGGCAGCAAAAAGAAAGTGGCGTTCCTGGCGGGCGGATGCATGAGTGTTCCTTGATTAAAAACATACTTTTCTTACCGGATATTTTGGGACCGGTCAATGACTTGTGACGAGACAACAAAAACTCAAAATCCAAAATAGCACCGGCGGACAAAGGCAAAAAGTCCGTCTAGAAAGTAAAAGCGTATTCCATCGATAGCATTGGTGGGATTCAAGCCTTGCGCCGGAGATAATAGCCTTTGACAACTAGGCTGTCTTTGGAGAAGGCGGGGCGTCTTAGTTTAGCGCCAATAACTAGTTAGCTCGTGCCGTATTATGCGACACTCGCAAAACGGGTTGCGAGGCATATGTGACGAGCAGCCGTACTAAGGAGTAGTAGTGTGCAGAAAAGTGAAGCTGGTTCCAGACCAGCCAGCCTTGTTGAGAAAACTACCACCCAGAAAAAAGTTACAGCGTTACACCGGAACTAAGTCACTTCCGGAAAACGGGGGAGGGGGATGCAAGCCGAAGCGCTGTGCTTCCCCAAACGGTGTGCTTTAGGCGCCAATGTAAGATGAGCTGGACAGCTGTGCGTACAGTGCGTTGTCATTTCTTTTGTGGAGGTTTCTATGTAATATGTGCCTACTGGGGTTGGGTTTCATCCGCGGAAAGAAGAAACCAATAAAAATAAACAAAGTTATATACAGCGAAATTTTAAAACGTGAAAAAATAGGGGGAGGGTATATCGTTAGATGCTCGCCATGGAGCGAGGGGCCGGTTTCCGGGTCTGAGCCATGCCCCAAGGTATCTTGAGTTTGTGGCCGATGCTGTTCTTCTTTACATCGTCCACAGTAGTAATGTGCGTTACTATACACCCGTCTTCGTAGTACTTGGGTGCTGGGAAGACGATGCGGTGCATGTTGCATACAAAGTTGCCGCGCACGCACTGGCAGCCGTCCTCGGATCGGCTCGACAATACTGCTTCCTCTTCAATCTTGACGCGAGTCTCGGCCAATCGCACAAGTACATGGCTGTCAAAAGGGCCTTCACGGTGCGGGTACTTGCGCAGCAGCTCGATGGCCTTGCGTCGCAGGACGACATCGCGGCACACCGCGGCCAACGAGTACAGCGGCTCGCCTATCATGGTGACGAGCGACGCTAGCTGCAGCTTGTCGCTCGGCTGTCCACCAGCACCACTCGCTCTCGACAGCAGCCGCTCTGCCAGTTGTACTAGCCGCGTGAAGCACGGTTTGCAGCGGTCCCAGCCCAGCTCCTCCTCGGCAGCGTCCATATCGAGGCACGATTCAAAGCACAGCTCCCAGATCCGCAGGATGGACAGCCTTGTGCCCTCGATGCCTGCCTCAGCCACCGTTTCTCGCGGACTGTGCGCGCCGCGATGGAACGCATGGAATCTGACCTTCCACGTCGTAAAGGCACGTCGATACGGATACCGATAATCCGGCGATCTTTGCCCCGTGGCAGTCGACCACCAGTATCCTTCTCGGTTGGCAACCCGGAAGAAGTTGTGCAGCAGCGGGAACAGGTCGACATATGCCTCTGTTATAGACTCAAACGGTGCTGAATGTAATGGCTCTGTATCCTGTGGTAGATCCCAAGATGAACACGGTGCCTCGTGAGGGGCATTAGTGACAAGTGCCTCGAGTTTCGTAAAGAGGGGTGCGATCAGCGCCGCCGACGCAACCACATCTTTGGGCGATGGATCTGTCGCCCAGTACGAGTTGTTCCCCCGTCCCATTTGCTTGAATAAAAACAATCCTTTGTATGCGTGCATCGTAATCTCCCGCAAGTCGCCTTGCAAGTTGCAAAACGACGACAGCAGAATCGACCCCATCAGTAGCGCCTCCTGGTCTGCAGCAGTCGGGCTGTCGGTAGCGATTTTCGTCAAGCACGCAATCGACTTGTTACACTGCCGCAGCCCCATCTCGTAGTACCCGTAGCGCACCGGTGACCCCTCGCTCAGCTTCCACCTGTGCATCGAGGACATGGCCAAGAGGGCGTGCCATATCGCTGGGTAGACTCGACTCGCCTGCGGTGCGACGACGGTCCAGAAGTCCCCGTCAAACACGCCCGACATTTGCGGCGCTACATGCTCCGTATATAGCGAGAGGAGCTCGTGTTCCACCTGCGTCGGCTGGCAGTTGTATGGCGACACGCCGGCGTGCGGCGGACTGGCGACCAGCGCCGTGGGGGATATCGGTTCGAAAACGGGCCTGCTTTGCTGCTGCTGCAGCGCATACGGATACTGGCATTCGCGTCCTCCTACAAGACATCGTCGACAACTGGGCTCGCCTTCATCGCATTTCAAATGCCGTGTGCTGTGCGTGACAAAGACAGTGTGGTTAGCGCTCTGGCTCCGCCAGGCTACCGATCCTCGGCAGCGGGCAACGGATGTCGCGGGGGGGTTGCGCTCTCTTACCGGCACATGAGGCAGCCCGTGCGGACTTTTGTCGCCCATCGCTTCTTTCGCGGCGCTTTGTTCTGCTTCTCGTCGTCGCCTGATGCGGACATTTGTTGATGAGTTTGGTTGGTGCAGCGTCGCAGCAGCGACCGGCTAGTTCCAAGGTAACTTTGGTCTGAAGAGGGCGCTCACCAGACTCACCGGCATCTGATTGGCGCTTGGTGCAAGGCTGATGGAGCTGGCAGATACAAGGCTGAGTGCCGCTGCCAGGTGCGTTACCCTGTATGTTGTCTTTGCAGACGTGTATTGCGCAAATGTCGCTATTAAATAGTTGATTTTCGGGTTTGGAACGAGAAATTGGTTAAAAGTGCAAAATAATTTTTAGTTGGATAATTAATTAAACAAAATCTATAAAACTGGTTGGTAACCCAACTCCAGCCCAGTCTTAATGATTAATGCTGCTAAAAATTGCTACCAGCGCAATAGCCAAACAACACCAGCTCGTGCAAAAAATCGAAACCAAAAATTTACCTACACATTCTCATGCCACCACGTGAGAAATATCTTCTAGTTATCCTTTTTTATCCAGTCTTTACGCAGTGGTCGGGGGGACCTTCAGGGTTTCCCCACCACGTTGGGAAGAGGTATTGTTTACCAAACGCGCCAAAGACGGCAATGGTCATGATAAAGAGTGTGATGGAGGCACCGCCATCCAGGGCGGCTCCAATTAGATAATTGTAGCGGTTAAAAATCTTGGGACGGTAGCGGCGCAGGTAGACTTGCGAGAAGATACCAATGCCAAAGCCGGTCCAGTCACCCGCAGCCAGACCTCGCGGCACGCGTAGGCAAGCCACGGCCAGGAAAGGCGTGTTGATTTGCCATTTCTTGGTGGCAGGGAACAATTTAGTAATGCCTAAGTGAATTACAGGCAACAGAGCGCCGATACCAAAACTGACAGAGACAATTGGGTATTTGCCGCCCAAGCCGTACATATCCTTCACCATGGACCACGTCACCAGACTGGCCAAGTCACGCTGGAACCACGCGCCGGACCAGATACGATTTCCGAGCGGATCAAGAAGAATTTCGCGCTGACTCTCTACCACACTCACCATGAGGGGGTAATAGACCGCTACACCTAGAATGGCACCGTACATTTGGATGCCCAGCATGACGCGGTGAGGGATCTTGGTGTACTGCCCCAGCTTCAGCCAGTAGCACAGACGCACGGCAAGCAGCATCATGGACGTGTTCCAGTTGGCAAAGTACAAGCTAGCCAGCGGGCGGGCAGGGTAGAGGGCACCCGCCATCATGTCTGAAATGGAGCCGATGATGAAGAAGCCGTAAATGGCGGTCATGAAGCAAAGCAAGGGGGAAATGGCAATGGCCGTACTAAGTGAGACAATGTAGCCGGCGACGGGGAGGGTGGTGTTGCCCCAAATGTTGACGACGAGGCCGGAAATGACTGTGGCTGCAAAAATGGCGCCGTACCACCACAGGGGCACTTCCTTGTACTTGCGCATGGCCAGATAATGGGGGTCGGTCTGGGTGCCCGTGCGGTATTGCTTCCACGATTTCATAATGTCCTTGTAGTAGAATAGGATGATGTGCAGAGGGATAGCACCAACCGCCATGTTGGAGCCGATGATGCTGAGAATACTCGAGGCCGTCAGACTCGGCAGGCCAACTTCTTCCAGCTTCATGGGGCCGATGATGCCTTGGCTGTCCGTTATCTTCTTGGAGTCAAAGACGGTGCCGTTGGGCAGGAACATGGCATGCGACAGGAAGGGATACTTTCTCGCCTCAAACGTATTGGTGTAGTAAGCCAGCGGCAGGATGAGCGTCGACATGGCGATACCAATCCACAAACTGATCTGTGCCTTGAGCGGGAAGGACAGGTTCCAGCTACCAATCAGGTTCCAGTCGAGCGACAAACTCAAAACACCGAGACCTTGGTTGGCTGTTGAGCCGCCAAAGATGGCTGATACAATCTTTCGCGTCTCCATGGGCGAGCGGATGGTAGCCAAGCACGGGATGGAAATGGCCGTGAGCCAAGGCATCATGTACGTCGGGATGACCTGCCAGATGGCTGTGCCTGTGGCAACCCAGCCGAACTTCTTCATGGCCGACTTGTCGACGTCGGTGTCGCCGCCAAAGTGCAGCTTCTGGAAGAGCGTCACGGCGGGCAGCACGCCCCAGTACACCATTTCGGAGGGGTAGACCACAATGGAGCGGAGGAAACCGGCGACGGCGAGACCACAAAAGATGGACGAGAAGATGGTGAGGATGACCATCCAGGCCGGACGAGTGATTTCAAAGAACAGGCGCTCCGTGGCGAAGATGTTGACAGCCAGATTGCCGTTGGTGGAGGAGCTCGACAAGAAAGTCGCAATGACGTGCTCTTTGATGGTGAATGGCTGGCCAAACTTCATGAAGCGGCAAGCACTCGCAATGTACTTGTTCTTAAAGCGGTCCGCGTTCGGTGTACACTTGGCCCAAGCAGTGCCCATGGCATACACAATGACTGTTTGGCGTACGGTTAGCCAAAAAGAGAATCAAAGAGAGTGAGTACAATTTCTACACATACACAGCTCAAAAATATCGGAAATGTTAATATTGACGGGTTTGAACATGGATAGACCGGTGGTGGCACTGGAGAGCAGCGTGAGGATAGTGCCAATGGTGATGGAGCGGAAGGTCAAGGCAGCGTCGCCGTCATCTCGGTCCGAGATGAGATATTTGGCGACATCATGGCCTGCGAGAAACAAAAAGTTAGTGGTTTATACAAAATACGCTGCTTTTCAATCCCTACCTGTTCGAATGACGGGAGCCCCGTCCACATACTCGGGCTTGTCCTCGTCGTCGTCCTCGTCAATCTTGGTTACATGCACTTCGCCGACTTCTACTTCTGTAACACTTTCTTTGGAGGTGGAACTTCGCTTTTTGAGCCCGGTATCCGCCTCGCCCTTGGAGATGGGTGCATTTTCGGCGTTGGCGGCGTCCGTCTTGTTCGCCATGGTGCTTTTTGGTATACCGCTGGTGACAAAGTTAGACCATGCTTTGTTTTTCTTTTGTGCGGCGCGCACAATCTTTTAAACTTTTGGTCTATCGCCAGCGGCTTTAGCATCTACACTGTAAAAACCGTATTATAAATAACCCTAGAGCCTCGCATCAGCGGGCACCTGTCTCTGACCACGGCGCAGCGTCGCAGCAGCACCCGAATATAGCCTGCCATCGGCGCCCCAGCGCTTGCAACATTACTAAATATTACCGCTGGATGGGCTACCAATAGAGAGTTGCTTGGTCTGCTTAGCCAACCGCCAAAGACAAAATACGAGAATCCAGCGTGTAATTTGTGCCCGTCGCCGCTGTCTTAGCTTTCTTAACCCCGAAGAAGGCGGCCCTAGCAAGGCCTCAGTTACGTCCTGCCAACCCATCTCTAGATACGTAACATGGCAAACAGATGCACGCGGTTTTCTGTGTTTCTGGATATAATACGCGTATGAATCTTTGCTGGCGAGGGGTTGGGTGCTGCGATAAGCGCGCTTCGAGACTGCCAGTGCGGCCAGTCCTATCTAGGCGCCAAAAAGGCAGAATCGTATGATCAACTGTACATAAGGCGATTTTTCATATTATATAGCGCCCGAATTTATTCAATAGTTGAATTTTTTTTCGCTACTGTATCTACGTTGTCGTGACGTTGAGGACGAAGTGCTGGAAGATACAGACTAGCGCGAGACTTTTCGGCGGCAACAGCAGCAGCAGTAGCAGCGATTGGTAGTTGCGTTGATTGGTTGCGTATCATCAGTATGCTATGTTTATCTGGCACTATATTCAAAAAACCGGCGCAGTTGGATTTTGCCTCGATCGGGTTGTTTCATAGGCCGAGTGAGGCTGTCGCAGACGATCAAACGAGAAGCCCGTGGCCGTGCCATTCGTGGTTGGCTCTAGAGTATTGTTGCGCGCCAGCAGAATTATGCTTAGTGATTAGAGTACAGTATAACACTTGTCAACTGAGTAGCTTGCCTGGTCTGGTACCTCAGAGCAGTGGGTGATGCTTTGGCCGTCTCGGAACGCTTGCCATCCCGCAAAGGTGCTCATGCAACTGCAAGAAACACCCAGTTAATAGTGTGCCGTTGATTACAACTGTTGGTATAACCTGATCTAAAGGAATAATGTATCATGTATCCCATGTATTATATTGAAATTCTTTCGCTGTTCTTGCAGGACAGAGCTTCCGTTGTCAACCACCCACCTTGATATGTACTTTTGCCCCAAGTAAAATTTATCTACTGTAGCTGTGGCACCATATCAGTTTATAATGGAAGAAAACCTGCCTACCCAGGTGCGCACCAGGTCATCTGCGGCTGCCAATCCGCCTTGCTGATCCAAACCATAACGGGGAGCTCAGTTCGCATACTTGTCAGGTATTATGACGCCTTGCATCCACTATAATTGTCAGAAAACCAGATGATCCCTACGCATGTTTCCCCGCAAACACCGCATTTGCCGTTCCCATTTAGGTATTTTATTGCCGACACCATACTCCACGATAAGTGGTCGCGTGCTTACTTTCCTAATCCAGCGACGCCCTTTGCAAAGCAAGAGTCAGCACCCGTTCTAGTCCAATCAATAGCGGCTTTCTAAGCACCCTATCGCAGCCCGTAACTCCCCCACGCCCACCACGGCACGGTGGTCCCGTACCACTCTCTCAGCTTTTGCACTGTACTTCAGGCAGAATTGGGGGGCCTGGCCTACTTCGCTTAGCCGGATGCTGGGGAAATTAATACTGTGCCTCCACTAGTGGACTCTGTTCGGTGATGAATCGGGGGTGGTCTTATACGCATTAGAGTAGCATTTCAGGCGCCCGATGCATTGACAATTACACCTGCTCTAATTGGTCTAGTTGTTCGGCAGTGAGATTTACTTAAGAATCGCCCATGCGGCACATGCTAGTTTTTTTGGCCCCTGTGTGTTCCTGCAGAACTGCAATTCCTATAAAAATACTCACTAAAAATAGGAAACAAAGAAAGACAAATAAAGATGCTTCTCCAGACTGCAACAGCCCTGCTAAGCATTGTGGCTTCGGCTACCGCCGCCACCGTCCCTACCAGCAACGTCAAGGGCGCCGCCTTTGACCGCTTGGCCATTATCTACTTTGAAAACGAAAACTATGCCAAGTCTGCTGGCGACAGTAAGTTGACCTTCTTTTTTTGTTGTTTTGCTTTGGTGACCTACCAAGCCTAGACTCCGGCATCCTAACTTTTATTCCTATAGCCAACTTTGCATGGCTCGCTAAGAAGGGTATCAAGCTCACCAACTACTTTGGCGTCACGCACCCTTCTCAGCCCAACTACGTTGCTTCGGTTGGCGGTGACTACTTCGGTCTTCCGGGTGACGGCCACGCGGAGCTGCCCTCCAACGTGGCCAGCATTGTCGACCTGCTCGAGTCCAAGTCCATCTCGTGGGCACACTACCAGGAGGACATGCCCTACACCGGCTTCATGGCCGAGAGCTACAAGAACCAGAAGAACGGCCGCAACGACTACGTCCGCAAGCACAACCCTGCAGTGCACTACCACAGCGTCACCGACAATGCTGCCCGCCTCGGCCAGCTCAAGAACCTGTCCCGCACCGACACCAAGCACTCCGAATTCCACAAGGACCTTGCAGCCGACAAGCTGCCCCAGTGGATGTTCATCACCCCCAACATGACCTCGGACGGCCACGATACCGATGTTGCCACCGGCGGCCGCTGGTGCCGCTCCTTCTTGGAGCCTCTCCTCACCGATGCCAAGTTTATGAAGAACACCATGGTCCTCATTACTTGGGATGAGGCTGAGATTACCCCCAACGCCCCCAACCAGATCCTCGGCGTCTTGCTTGGCGATGCTATTCCCTCCAACCTCGTCGGCACCACCGACAACAGCTTCTACACCCACTACTCTTCCATTGCTAGTGTGTCTGCCAACTGGGACCTGCCCACCCTCGGCCGTTGGGACGTCGGCGCCAACGTCTACCAATGGGTTGGCAACAAGACGGGCGATGTCATCCGCACTTGGGACAGCTCTTCGAACCAAAAGAACCACTACTACGCCACCCCGTACGCTGGCTACCTCAACCCGGACAGCGACAACCAGCAGATTCCCAAGCCTTTCCTCGACTCCAACGCCGCTGGCCGTCCTGTCCTTAAGTCGATTGTCGATGCTTGGTCCAACAGTGATGCGCCCTCGTACTACTCGGACACCATTGAGGTCGCTGACGGCCGTAACCCTCCCGAGGGCTACGAGTCCTAAAGAGTGACTTAGTTAGGGTAGTCATCGACTGGACTTTGAGTCATATATTCTTCTCCTTTCTGAAAAAAAAAAGACAAGTTGGAACCTTCTTGTACATACCATGTGGCTTTGGCTAGAGGACACCGGAGTTGTCCGCATCAAGCATTGCTAATGATGGCCACTTATATACTGCCTACAAATAAAAGCATATTTTATACATGCTCATATTTTCTGTAATTTTTCTAAATCAAGGCACCACATGTTTATTTTTTACACTACCAATCTTGGCTCGTCGGCGCAGTTCCGAATCGGGCATCATGGCGCGCTCCGATTGCTTGTCCCGATTTGGATGCATCGAGCGCTGCAAGGCTGCCTCCCAAAGGAAAGCGAAGAAGACGAAAATATAAAAATGAGGTGAAATCCGCCCATCTTTGTAGGAAAAGTTTGCGTCAAACACATTCTATTACCTTTGAATTCTTCTCTTACCATGAAGTTCATTACCACCATTGCAGCTCTGCTCACTGCAGCATGCCAAGTAACGGCCAAAACCATTACCATTGAAGTCGGCCACAAGGGAAACCCGTACTTTAAACCGGATTACTCCAAAGCAGACGTTGGAGACGTAATCGAATTTCAATTCGATTCCAAGGAGCACAGCGTTGTTCAGGGCAACTTCTTCACAGGATGCTATCCTATCGCAGACGGGGGCTTCTATTCCGGCATGCAAACAAGCGTACGTCTCTCCTTATCTTTTTATCAAGAACCACACTAACAGTAGGATCATAGCAAAATGTATTCCGAGTTACTGTCAAAAACAGTGATCCCATCATGGTCTACTCGTCGTCCGGCCTCGAATGCCAGCTCGGCATGGTCGCAGTCATCAACGCCGACGGCCTGCAGACACTGACGGCATACCGCGCCAAAGCAAAGACATCCTTTAAAAACACGAGCCCCGATAAGCCCTTTGGAGGCGAATTGAAAAAGAGCGACACCAAAACTTGGACATCGTCGGCGTCAGCACCATCCTATGCTATGCCCGTTGCTGGGCTGGCGCTTTTTGCTGCCGCCGCACTGGCGTAAGCGAGTCACTAGAGACAAAAGTATAAATGTATAGATCAATTTTTCTTTTCGAATATTCTATTTCGTCTATAATAGCATAGTATTATGTACATGTATCATTTCAATCGTATTATTTTAGTTGCTAATGGTGTAGTCGGTGACGGGGATGTTAATGTTGGTAGCCGTGCAAGTAGAGTTGCGCTCAGGGTCGAAAGAGCAGTCGAGCTGGAACTCGACAGAGCCGTGGTAGGCGATTCTGCTACCGTTGGTGCAGGTGCCAGAGTAAGAACCGCTCATGTAGCGCTCGATGCGAGCAGTCGAGGACTCAGCAAGGCTAGAAGCGTAGAAGTTGACGATGCTCTCGGCGTGGGAGCTGCAGAGATCGATGCGGCCACCACCAATCTCGTAGTTGCGGTAGCCCTTGTAGGTATCGCGGCAGTCGGTCTTGGGGCCCTTGAGGGTAATGTACTCGGGCGAGCCGTAACCCCAGGGCTGGTAGGTGCGGAAGCCAGTAGCACAGACAGGAACCCAAGAGCCCTTCTTGTTGTTGCGGCAGTCGTCCTCGGAAATGGGCTGCACCCAGTAGTTGTCGGCAGCGTTGCCGGTGTAGCAGCCGCTCTTGGAGCGGTCGGTGCCGAAGCAGTTGAGGCTCGACGAGCCGTTGAACCAGTGAAGCTCGTCAATGTTCCAGTTGGGCGCAGGGCAGCCATCGGGGACGCCAGCAGAGAGGGCAGGGACGGCTATGGCGGCGCCGGCGAGGAGAGTAAGGAGAGCAACCATTGTGATTGGATTGGGATGTAAGTTGAGACGAAAGAAGATGTGTACAAGGTTGCAAAGAAGTCGGTAACAATGGGAAACAAAACAATGACCGGCCGGATCGGGGTGGCTTTTAAGTGAGTGCCGGGTCCCTCTCCCCTCCTTGTCACCCAGGTACCTGGAGCCGCCGGCAACGAGAAAAATCTATTACTGGCATAACCTTTGTGCTGCCCGCAATTTTTCGCTAGCTCGATGGGCTCGACCCATGCGGCGAGCCCGTATCGGGTGGGGGCGGGAGATGTGAGATTTGCTGACGAGCCCCTCCCCGGTGCGCCGCTGGCCTAGTGTAGTCTACTGTAGGAGGTTTTTTTCTTCTGGTTCAGCGGATGGATACGCTAGAAAAACATACGATGCACCCTCCCTGGATAAATTGCGCTGCGCAGGGGATAGAAGGGTGGCGATCTGGACCGTCGGGGCGAGGGGGCCGGTGATGCCTGGCTGCAGCATGGGTAGGTTTTTCTTCGTTTCCGCTGCAGACAAGGGATCTTTTGCCTGCAGCAAGCTGAAGCCATTCACGGCGGGAGAATCCACGTCGTGCTTCCGCTGCGGGAAACGAGTAGTAGCGGCCGATTGACGACAACCATGTGCATTGAGCCTGAATAGATGCAGCAGCTGAGAGGCAATGAGCTGGATTAGTTACAGCTGCAGTGCAAGCATAGACCTCTGGCCAAGCCCGCGGATCCGCTGCGTTCCCGTCGAGCCGGTGTTAACGTAACATGCCAATGTGCCATTTTGCGCGTTTAATTTATTCTCTTGTCCTTCTCGGCGGATAAGCGACCGATTAAAGCATTCTTGACCAATCCGGACCAGATGAGAACGAGAACTGGAGAGATGGATGCTTTTTGTATTAGTTTTATTCTACATATGGAGGAGGTGGTGTACATGTCTGCAACGCTATGCCAGTTCGACAGGCCATCCCTGCTTTGATGTCTCTGAGGTCAGTTCGTGCCGTCTTGACCAGCGACCCGGGAGCTCATGGGTAGAGTTGCTTGCTGTCTTGTTCATGTTTTTCATATTGATATATTTCGAATGATAGTATGACAGTGGTAGGTCGGTTTTGCTCTCAAGTGGCGTCGCTAGGCCCTGTGGTTGTCGGTCTCGATGTCTTCGAATAAGCATAACGATACCCGCAACCACGACGCCAAATAATACCGACCGCGCCAAGCGCAATGGCTGCAATAATACCCGCTGGTAGTACCACCTGTTGTGGAGCCGGCGAACTGGCAGTTGGCGGGTTGCTTGCCGACTGAAGCTGTGGCGTCGGTTGTACGTTACTGGACGACTGCGTAGAAGAGCTAGTGGTCGTTGACGCTACTGTAGAGGACTGTGTTGTTCCTTTGCTGGCCGCTGAGGCAATAAGGACCGATCGCTTAATATTGCATCGAACGTTATTCTCGGACGCAGGAGAATTAGGCGCACAGCGTGTTCCTGCTGGGCAGCATACTTCCTGAGCACCAGCAGAAATGTCCTTGCATGAAATGGCGCCTGGTTGCCCGCAGGCAGACTCTTGGTCTATATAACATCCATCGTCATCACCACTAGAGATACAATTAACAACAGTATATAATAATAGTAAAGCGAAGTCAACATACTCCCCATACAGCACCAGCCCACACCTAGGTACTGATGACAAGACGGATAAGGAGCGCCATCTCGGACACCTGATACGCTAGCAGGAGACAATGGAGAGTTAGTAAAGCCACGTACAACATAGAGTATTGTTCGGTACACAAGTGCTCACAAACGAGTTCTTGCCAAAGGTGTCGCTGCACACGTCTCGTGTCCAAAGCCCGGCCGTGGTTACATTGACCTCTTGGTCAAGATTAGCGCCGCTCCAAGTAGCACTGGCGATCGATATAGAGGCTGTGGCTGCTATCTTGTAACAAAGAAGGGGCAAAAGCAGATATGCAATCCGTTGATGAGCGCACTGATTTTTTATAGAGATGCAGCTTCGTTTATGCAGACGCAAAAAAGAGCGAACATTTTATTTTTGGTTCAACAAACAGTTGGCATCTATTTTTTATATATGTTGACTATGCTATGCGTCTTTCAGGCTGCAGTTAAGTGCTGAGCAAATGTGGTGGCGTAAGGGCCTTGAGCGGGTTTTGCGGGCGCGTAAATTCTGTATCTATAACAATAACTACCATTCAGTATAACTGCTTATTTTATAGCTTAAATACAATGCCAGAAGAGTATCTAAATGGTTTTATTTTACAGAGCAAAGCTATCTTATTATACCGTGAATTAGGGTAAGGTTACATTGTCATACCGAGTTGCACATCTCTAAGAAGCATTCACAGCCACTCATTAGCGCGGCCAGAACCTCAAACAAGCCCTGTGGAGCCACGCTGTAGCCGCTGACATCTCGGCGGTTACGAGGACCAATGATACAAGTGGGCTCTCGTTGCTAATATCGTGGGCGGCAATGCTTGGAGGGTATGCCTTGCGCGACGCGGGTTTTCTAGCCAGATAAGAAGACTCTCTTTCTGAACCTGGAAGTTTCATCTACCCTTTGCTTGCATTCTTTTCTTCCCTTTTACCTCCATATACCTTCAATATGATGAAGCGACGGGCTTATAAGCTGCAAATACTGCCAGCAGCACTCCTCATCGGAGCTCTTTACTTCTTTACAAGAAATGTCCCATTCTCAGAGAAATATGTTTTACCATCATCTTCGAGTCGAATAATGCCACAGTCACCAGACAAACCGCCGATAGCGCCTGTTTTTGTCACGGACAACACCGTGGAAATGGTAGTGGCCAGCACCACAAAAGAAAATGTGACTTGGCTTCACGACCATCTTCTTGATTGGCCAAAAAATATATATGTCGTCGACGATGCGACTGCCGAGCTCACAGTACCTCGAAACAAGGGCAGAGAAGCCATGGCGTTTTTAACGTATTGCCCCCTAACCCAACATAACCTTGTCATCCTCAGCTAACAACCGTAGGTATATCATTGATCGCTACGATTCGCTCCCCTCGACAGTCTTATTCCACCACGCAGAGCGTTTCCAGTGGCACAACGACGATCCAAACTACGACGCCGTGGCGCTCCTCCAGAACCTACGACTAGAGACTATCCAACAAGAAGGATATGCCAATCTGCGTTGCGCGTGGGTGCTCGGCTGCCCTGCAGAGATTCGGCCAGCATATGACGAATCATCTCTACAGCCCGGCGATATCCTTGCCGCGAAACACATATACAAGCAGTCATTTGAGCACCTCTTCCTGGGAGACGCCGTACCCGACGTCGTGGGCGTCACCTGCTGCTCCCAGTTTGCAGCCACTCGCACCGCCATTCAGCGCAGATCACGGCAAAACTATGTTAGATACCGTGACTGGCTCTTAGCTACTGAGTTGCACGATGCACTCAGCGGCAGAGTCTTTGAGTACGCCTGGCACAGTGAGAACAGCCCCTGCCCGTCTCTCCGAGATCATACATACACGGTAAACGACTAGCACACTGACCAAAAGAAATCTAGTTATATTCGGCAAAAATGCTGTACACTGCCCGGATGCAGGATCATGCTACTGCAAGCTCTACGGACTATGCAATCTCCACTGCGATAAGCAGTCGTGTGAGGGCCAGTACACGCTGCCCACCTACGCCACTTTACCAGCTGGATGGCCGCGTCTTGACTGGAATGGGGAGGATAGGAACTGGGTCGAGCCGAAGCGGCGGTCAAAATAGCCTCATGAACAAAATACCAATATATCGTAAGACACTCCGAATTTGTAAACTTCCTTTGTGCCGTCTGCTCCAGCGGTGTACGCAGCGGAAACCCTGCCCCCCAAAAGCGCCTATACTGGCGTCGAGCCTACGACGGACAAGATGTTTGCCAAGCTCCAAGAGCGATTCGCTGCTTCCTGTTAAGCAGTCGGCAAGAATTTTTGTTTTCGCAGTTAAACGAGGATCCAAGCATTTTGAATTTCAACGATATCAATTATCGATTGAGAGATGGTATCCTAGCATAATGAATTTGGCAAATATAAAACAGTTTCCAAACGTGTTTGCACGTACGAACCATAATCCCTGGCTGCTACGTGCTGCTGGGTGATGCTTTTTGCGCGTCCCTGATATAGACTGATCTTCGCTCCAGTTGCATTAAAGGAGGGCAGCGGCCATCGCCAACCCAACCAGTCCTAGAGGTAGCAGCCCAAATGTCGCCCGCTGTGAGCCTTCCGAGGCCAAGAGAGCCGACTTGAACTGCGGATTATCTCGTCCTAGACATTGGTGAAGTTGCCAAGGATTTTGTTATGGTTACTAGTCGTATTGTAGTATTGTTTTGGGATTAGACACCGTGGGTAACATGAGTCCTCAAGGGTGATGTGTATAGATTCGCAACAACGCATCATGGCTGTTCCGTTATACGTTCCGGTAGACGATAGGCCACATGCCACGGCATATTGACCTTTTGGGACAAAAAAAGTGCCGTCTGGAAGGCGGCTGCCTGTGAGGCAAGCCCCGCCTAGATCACTGGTAGCATTTAGACTAGGAGGGTAAACGACATCCATGGACTTGTTGAATGCCATTGTAGCTTGTTATGATTATATGATTGTTTTATGATAGTAATCGTGGTGTGGAGTTTGCTGCAAATCCCTTGGAGATCAGACTGCCAGAGTTATGAAGACTCTCTGGCTGCACCTCTCGACGTCACTGTTGGCAGCTCCTTCTGGAGGCAAGGCTGTCGGGCGCTCGCTGTAAACACCGTCGGCCGAATGGTCTTCCTTGGCATTGCACGCCGAAGACGTCATGTGGAAGAACCAATAAAGGATGGATCCAATATGTGTACCTTGCGCCACCGTCGCCCGACGGTGTACGGCGTGTGAGATTAGCCCAAGATGGGCCGAATTGGGCAACCGCTGAGGATGGCGCGCCCTGACCAGTAGTGAGCCACACACAAACATGTTTCTACTAAATGAAAGCAAGAAGAGTAATGAATCTCTATCATTTGGACAGAGAGTTAGTGTGGGACCTTGCGAAAAGGGCAAAAAAAATAAATGCGTGATCTGGGAATCGAACCCAGGGCTCCCCGACGTTGCTGATGGCAACGGAGAATTTTACCACTAAACCAATCACGCTTCCATATCCGTAGCGGATTTATTTTATATTATATACCTATTGTACCAATTTTTATTAGCTTCTGTCACAGATTACGCAGTTATGGCCCAAACGTAAGCCAAACTCACGACAAAAGTAAATTCACATGCTCTTGCAAGATCTTCAAAATGACAAATTTATTTGTATGTGTGATTTTTTATATACAGCTATGTACTGTTATCCAAAAGGTAAACTTTTAACCACCGGAAACACCACCGGCGCCAGGTCCTCCGAGGAACATGTAGCTGCCCCAGTCGCCACCACCGTCAAAGTGAGGGTCAATAGTGTATCTGCTGGTGTCGTCCTGGAAAGTACGTCCGTTGTAGTTGGTCTTAGATCCATCGAGGCCAGTGAGGGTGAGAAGGCGGATAAAGGCAGACTTGCCATAGCCCTCGCTGGCAAAGTGACCGCTGCCCATGTCGGTTGTGGTGAGTGCGCCCTCGTCCTGGTAGACTTCGCCGTACCAGTCGACTCTGTTGGTCTTGCTCTCCAGAGTCTGGTCGGCAGTGTTTCCGTTGCGAGTGAACATGCTGGCAGGGTAGTAGCCGATCCATTTGCCGTTAATACCAATCCACCAGTTTCCTTTGTCCAAGAGAACATCAATAGCGAACTCGTTAGCATCACCACCAACAGTGGCCAGAGGAGTCATCTCCATACCGGGGTAGTAGGTGTTGTCCACCTGAACCCAGCCCTTGTGGTCGGTGTTCCAGCTGCAGAGGTTGTCACCGTAGGTTCCGTGGCCGTTGGTTGTGTAGAAGGTGAAGAGAGTCGGGTTTCTGCCGTATCGGGCGTAGTGAATCCAGCCAGATTCAACGGTCTGCAGACCAGTATAACCAGTTCCAACGACGCCAGGGACATTCTCGCGAATAGCAGCAAGCTGGAGCAGCGAAAAGTCGCTGTCGCTGTAGACGTAGGCATTGTACATGCTAAAGTGGCCGCTGGTGCCGTGGCCGTCCCAGTTCTGGGAGGACGATGCGTACCAGTGCTTCTGAGCGTACTGGCGTCTATCGATGCGAGATTTGGGCTTGGAGCCAGGGGCGGGAGGCACCACCTTGGGAATAGTCATCTTGTTGTCGCGGCGCAAGACTGGCACAGTACCGGGAGGGCCGGTCTTGAGGTTCTTCAACAGGCTCTTGGTAAGCTCCTCGTTCTCCGTGCTGTTGTTGGGAAGACGACTGGGCGGCGATGCAATAGATCCCTGCGACTCAGGCTTGATCCAGTCAAGAATGTGGCCATTGTCGAGATGCGTGGTGTGCACGACTTCGACATTGTACTGTGCAAGCCACGAGGCGAGGACCGCAGGGGAGAAGAGCGCAAAAAGGGTGACGGAGAGCTGCATCGTGATAATCTTTCGGTAATAAGGAATACTAAAAACTATCTTGCGACGACCAGAAAAAGTCTAGTGCAGCTCCCATCTCCCTATATATGCTACTGTCATCTCGCGTAATCACAGAGCATCAGCATAATCCACGTTTATGTGCCGGTCGCTGGCCAGCATCGGACCGAATTTTCCCACCAAAAGTGGAAGGTCATGGAGATGCCATAACCATGCTGACAGCACTAGCGTACGGGCTCTCCTGATCCGCCTGCCTTGCGCGGGTTGTCGTGTGTCAGCGGATGCGACGCTGAAAGAAAAGCTTCAACACGGACGACTGCCGAAGCGCCATTCGGTTAGAATTGCCCCGCTACGAACGCCATCTTCTTCAATCACGGTGTCAATGACTGTAGAAAAAGGCAGTTAGTTGCGAATGAAATATATAAGAGGTAAGAGCAGGTGTTTAAAAAAGAAGGTCGTATAGACAGGCTGAGTCTTGTACTGTAGCGCTCGCTAGGGATCAAGCAACGCAGTTATCTCTGCCGTTGAGCGTCCTCTGGCTACAGCATCAATTATCAAGGTCGAGACGATAAGCGGAGATTTTCTTTCAATTAATCCAAGAATATACTAGTAGAATGTTTAAGTCTAAAGACTATCAAGTAATTTATCGGTAGACCTTCTAGGATCGACACCCGAATGTTCGATATCGGTTTGGATGTAAAGAATACCATCCTCAAACACAGTTTCGGCAAAAGCTTTCTTCAACGTACCAAAATCCAGGAGCCAGAAAACGACCTTCTTTGAAGCCATTTCTTCCAAAAGGGCATCGCGAATCATCTCACCTTGGTCCACCTTGTCGTATTTGAGAGTGCTGGCGAGGCTGTCAAAGTACTGCCAGGTGAGGCGGCCGATAGAGTCTTCTTCCTTTGCAAGTAAATTTGCAGCCTTGAGCTGGGCAAACGTAGTCTCGAAGTTTGATTCAAAAGTAAACTCAACACCAAGAATCTTGTTAACTACTTGCTCAATTTTGTCAATAGAGACGGTATAGTCCTTTGCAATGCCCTGACGAGCTTTGAAGGACAGCCTCTGGTCACCAGCACCCGTCGGAGCACTGTTGATCGCTACTGTTAGGTTCTTTTCCTCAAACGCGTAGAGGATTCCCGTCCCAAGATGGTTTTCGTGAAACAGTATGACAAGCTCTCCCTTTTCGGAAATCTTGGCACCGCAGTATGAGGTCTTGCCCTCAAGGTCGACATCCATTGTCAGCGAGTGAGCGGTGCAAAGGTCGTTCAGCTCTTTAATACGTCATCGCCGTTCCTCCGCTTATATACTTCAATTAAGCAAATCGATTCATCGATGTATCTGCGATATATCTGTTAGCTCAAAGCTATGACGTACCAGGATTCTGGGGACAGTACTGGTAAATCATACTGCCCGGATATGCTTCCCTATAGTCACCTTTAGGCGCGTAGGCAAAGAGTGCGAGAGCATCGATGTCCACGGTTGAGTGGTATAAACTAACAAAACGGTAGAATGCCAAAATGCGTCAAGATTCTAGCAACCTCATCAACACTGGGATTCTGGGGCTATATATATAGTTGCAAGCCTCGTGCTTCTTTACTGATTTGTCCACCTCAGTGGCCTTAGCCTTGACGTGGTATATACTGCTCTCGTAAACTATATCAATCTATCGTGGTAGCGAGTATTGAAGCCTTGTTAACCTTCTACTCGCATATAGGCGGTATCCACGCGATTCGCGTATACACCCAATTAAGATACTTACCCGAGACCTCCACTTGGCGCAACTTGCAGGCCCTATCTAAAATTACTGGCCGTAGTGTGCCTTCGTTCCTGATTTCTCTTTTATCCTGTGCGCAATCTCTAACCCCTGTAAGCCATCTACAGAATAACGCGCCTTGCGAATGGGTGCCTGTTCTCGATGAATATAGCCGTTAATTGACTTGAGGTGACACTTGGTGCCTATAGGAGCGAAATCGGGGGTTTACGAGATAAGAGAATTGACCGTCGAACTAAAATATATTTAGATATATATGTGAATAAAATTTCGATTTTTACTACTATCTGTTCTCAAGTTATTTAACTTAAAATTATAGTTCTGTGACCTTTTTAGCTGCTGGTGGGGAGCTACAGTAGAATAAGTTGTGAGCGCTGTTAACGTGGCTTTTGTCGTCACGGCCTTCTAGCCGCTAGATATTTACAAATCACGGTGCCTGTTCTGACACCGGCACTTTGCGTAAATATCGGCTTGGAAAGGGCTTGATAAAAGCACCATTATGGCCACCTGGAAGGCGCATACTGCAGTCGTCAACTACAGTGGCGCTAGTGCACACCGTACTCGTCAGGCAACGACTTTTGCCCTTCGTTAAGTTGTAGCCTGTCCATCGTGAGTCCCTGTATGCATGTACCACTGCTTGGTTGGTTCTGGTACTAGTGCCCAATTTGGCCTGCCGGACGCCACACATCTGTCCTGCACATGTTCCGTCCATGCAGCCTTGTTCGTACGGCCGTGAGTCAACCGGGCCAATCTTTGCATTTTCTTACGCCGAAGTGCTGCCTGCCGAGACTGCGTTTGAGCCGCACCGCCTATGAATCTCTCGGACACCATGAAAATTCCGCACTAGGCTGCAAGTTGCGCAAGTTGGATCCCACCCACCATCTTCGGATGATGACTCTGTATTGGTGACGCGTATCGTTCCTCAAAGTCCGAGATTACTCTCCAAGATAGATAACCATGAACAAAATATTTGAGTATAATTACTAGAGCCATCCCGTACGAACCCATCTGTTGATCAGCCCACTCTATCCCCCTCCTCTTAGCAACTATTGTGTTATCACCGGCTCCACATTCCGATCCAGCAATGTCCGATGCGCAGTTCCAATTGGCCGCGGCATCAAGGTTTCCCATGGATACCGAGTTCGCGGCCCCTCGTCGTCATGTCTTTTCTCCAATTTCCCCCTCCTCATCATCACCAGTTCCCAGCACAGACAACGCTACCATGACTGATATCCCTAACCAGATGAAGGCGCTTGTCGCCAACCAGGGCATCTTCACCCGCGTGCTCAACATCGCCCGCAAGACCACTTCCGCCAATGCCGCGGTGCTCCAGACCGTCCCGGTGCCGCAAATTGACAGTGACCAGGTTCTTGTCAAGGTCACCGCTGTGGCCATCAACCCGACCGATTGGAAGCATGCCGACATGTTGTCGCCCAAGGGCTCTGTCCTCGGCTGCGATTTTGCTGGTGTTGTTGCTAAGGTTGGCCAAAATGCTTCCACCGCTTGGAAGGAGGGCGATCGCATTGCCTCCTCCGTCCATGGTGGCCTCTACCCCGACCGCGGCTCTTTCGCAGAGTACCTCAAGGTCGACAGCGATCTCGCCTGGAAGATCCCCGAAGGCGTTACGGATGAGGCGGCTGCGTCTATTGGTATTTCGGCCGGCACATCCATGTTGAGCTTGAACCAGGAGCTTGACGTGCCCTGGCTATGTGGCGAGCCGGGTGGCCGAACTGATACCCCGGTTCTAATTTATGCCGCCTCGACAAGCACAGGCTTGCTTGCTATTCAGTTCTCCAAGCTTGCTGGTGTCAAGGTCGTTGCCACATGCTCCCCGCACTCATTCGATCTTGTCAAGAAGTACGGTGCTGACGACGTTTTCGACTACAAGTCTCCCAACGCCATTGACGCCATTAAGAAGGCTCACCCCAACATTGACCGTGCTCTTGACTGCTTTTCCGAGGGCTCATCCTCTGATTTCTGCGCCAAGACCCTCGGCCCATCTGGTGGAAAGGTTGTTACTCTCTTGCCCAACACCAAGACTTCCGTTCCCAACGCCACCATTGTACCCATTCTGATGTACACGATTTTGGGCAAGCCGTTCCAGATCCTTGCCCCCCTTGGACCCAAATTCCCGGCAATTCCCGAAAACAGAGCTGCCGCGGTTCGCTTCTATGCCGGCATGTCCGACTTCTCTTCCAAGCTGCAAGCACCTCCCCTGGAGGAGGTTAGCGGCGGACTCGAGGGCTTGAACGCTGGTATGGATTGGCTTCGAAAGGGCAAGGTTTCCGGAAAGAAGATTGTGGCCAAGATTGGTTCCAAGGAGTAAAAGGCTGGCTGCTGCGGAAATGTCCCCAGATGAATTTATGCGTGCACCTTTTATATATAGTTTTGGACGCTCCTTGATGCGCGAGATATCCCGATTAGTAGAATCATTTATATTTATTCTGATACCCTTCGAAAAAATAACTGTTCTTTATTTTGCTAGGCGCGCAATATGATACGAAGCTACTACAGTAGCGCCATGCTCCACATCAGCAAGATAAGCTCCAAGCTGCGGTTCAGATACGCCACTAGTCTTTGGCCATCATCCAACACCATCATCAGATAGCTACAGCTTCGCAATCCTTATGTCTTTACAAGATAGAAACCCTTACAGGCAATTGCCCGATGATGCAGACATCATTGCTACACTCCACGATGTCAAGTCCATCATGTTTTTGCTCGCATACAAAATGGGCAAGGAAGCTCAGCTGACAGACGAAGGCATCGCCGACCTGAACCGCTTCGCCAAGATGCTTCGCAACATCGAAACTCGCAAAGACATGACCTGGCAGATTCTCGATGAAGCCAAGGCAGAAGAATTTGTCGATCTTCTTGTCAAAGAGCGCTTGGCGCGGGAGGAGGACGTCGGTGATTCGCCTCCATTTCTCTTCTCCACGCGCCTCATGGAGCTGAAGCATCACTGGCAGGAACAGCGGACCACGGCGCCTAGACCGCAACCCTGGGATCCATCGTTCTCAACTACATATATTAAGCCACTTACAAGCGGCGATGAAGCTGCCGCATCCCTCACTGAACTTGGCATGACTGCGGCGGAGCTTGCTGGCTGCGATGAGGCCTTTGCCGACCACTTGCGGCGCAGACGAAGAGTCATATCCTATTTAGAACAGCATCCCGCTGATCCAACTGGCTGGGAGCCAGCACCAGGCGTGACAATGGCAGAGGCTATGAAGGACTCGAACAGCACAACTGATCCGGAAAGCGTTGCAAAGAGCGAACTCTGGGTACCAATCTACAGATCAGCAGCCGACATTGACCATCTTGAGTTGTTGACGCCTCCTGGCTGGAAAGATCCTGAAGATCCTGCTTTATCTCCTGAAGAAAAGACAAACGTCCAAGAGAGCAATGAAAAGGCACACAAGGCAAGATTAGAGAGCAAGACAGACCCGAGCCGAAATGCCCAGTCTACCGTTGGATTCCAGGGCTTTGCGCGTCACAGCTAGACATTGTATTCAATCAAATTAGTTAAATTTATTCTATTTCATTTATTTGTATGCAATCTTGGACGTGCTGCCTTCTCCTTGGGTGCCTTCTACCTGGGTCGCATAAGCAACGGCCGAATTTATCAATTTCATGCGGTTATTCTCAGTTGATCTCTCTGGTGACTTGGCAAGCTTGGTGTAGATCTTGTTCAGCTTTTCTTGAAAAGGCAGTTTGCCAAGCGCTTCATATTCTCGAATGTAAATTCTTGGTTCAACGCGCTTAATAAAATTAAACGCACTTTGCAGCGCTGACCTGTTTGATTCGGCATCGAAATACCCATCAACTTTGAACGATTCATGGTCGTTGGGGAACAAAGGAACCAGCTTGTACTTTTGGTACCCCCACAAGCGAACTTTAGACCCCATGAAGGTCATTAACCACATGGATGGCTCTCGCATTGCGTCAATATATACAGCAGCCTGGTTCTGAATCTTTTCTTCCATGGCTGCGACGTCTTTTGCTGAGGCAAAGGCTGAGCACCCCATACCCATCACCAAGTAGTCCGTGTTGCGCTCTGACAGTACGTCGGGCAACATCTGAATGGCAAAATCCATGCGAGGGGTATTCTGACCGCTAGGAAGGTTTGGGGCATTGATCATGATGTTGTAGGAGTGGTGGCGGAAGAAGTAGGTTTTGAGAACCCAGTTCCAAAACCCAAGTGCCGCGTGCTTGTCGCCAATGGTGGCGTCCATCTTGAGCGCATTGAACATGAGCATGTCGATGACCGACTCTTTAACATGGCCAGAGTAGTCCATCTTGAGTATTTAGCCTGGAGGTTCTTGTTTCTGGGTATCTGGTCGTCCTGCCTGGAAGCCCGGCTTCCATGGCGTCTTCTTATAGCCCAGACCACCCAGGTGTGCAACACTGCTAGCATATCGATGCAAGTTGCCAGTGAACGGCGGATATTTGCCGCTTCTTCACCAACGTATATGGTTTGTTGCACAATGCGTGGGCGACCACATGGTATGGCGGGATGGCGCGTGAGCGGTGCATCTTGCCGTGCGCCGAATCCAAGATGCGCATTGTCGGTGACGCTACGCTGGCTGAAGCCACTGCTGAGGCGGAAGTGGTGGGAGTAACGGTGTATTGTTCATTAAATAAAATTTGTGCATTACCGTACTGATAACTATTAATATCCCCATCGCGACAAATGGGCGTCTAATCTAGCTTCCGCCTTGTCACGAAGCGCCTTTGCTTCATGTTCCTCCAGCCATTGTCCATCGCCGAGGTCTTCGGGGCAAATATGCCGTACAAATAGCCAGACATGGCCAAGAAGTTCGGCACCCTCGATATCTTGGGGCTTGGTCATTCCGATATCACCAAGGGCGTCGTTCCAGAGATTTGAGAACGTTTCATTATGCAGCTTTCTGCCCGTATCACGCGAATTCTCATATGTATTTGTGAAGAATGCCATGTGCTGTGAAATAGGCGAGCTGAGAAAGACATGATCGAATCCGAGAATGCCCAGCAGCGTGTTCCCATCCACAATGACTAATTTGGTGAGGCTGCTGTGAACAAGTATTGGCTTGCAATTTGGAAGTTGGTCCAAGACCTTGTCGATGCCTTCATCGAGAAATAGGTCAATGCGTTTGCGCAGCTCCGGGCTATGTCTCCAGCCTTTTATGCGCCGCACCTTTTCGCTAACATCGAGCCGCCAGCGGCATTTCGCCTTAATAAATTGTTGGTGGGTTTCAAACGGGCCGCCGTGGACAAGCGGAGCGGCTGCTAAAATATTATTGCTGTCGAATGTAACGCCGCCGAATTTGCGCAGGCCGACGGGAAGTTCGTATTCTTGGAAGCGCTTTGCTACATCGGCCAGCTGATGCAGCAGGGGTCGGATACGATCTTCGTCTGTAGCCAGCTCCTCAACGGTTACTGTGCTACCACCCATGTGTCTCTCCAAAACCCAGCGGTTGGTTGGGCTGTCTCGCCAAGCATATACTTCGGGGACGAGATGCTTCTTGTCTTTCAAGGCATCTCTGGCCACTGCATAACCAGCAATCATATGTTTGATCGCATAGCTTGCTTCGCTCTTCGGTACGCGGAAGACGAGCTGTGTTGTGCCCACCGGTATCGGCCTGCTAAAGGGCATGAGGTTGCCTTCTCTGGCAACGGCTGGTTTAGTAAAAGGATGGACAAGGTTGAGTGTTATGGCGAAGAGATGGCTATTGGAGCTGCTGCGCAGACGTTCGACGCGGATCTGGGATCGCGGAATGCGGAATTGGTCTTCCAGCACATCTTTAAGCAGGCCCTTCACGGATTCTTGGATTGCCTTGGGCGGCAGCGTAGCGATGCTGCTGAGCATATTGAAGAGCGGCGCGTAATGTCGTCGTTCGAATTGAGTCGTGCACAACCGTATTTTTGCAGCTTTCTTTTTGACATGTAAAGGTAAAGAACTCTACAAGACATGCCAAAATCCGCCGATCAGACTGGAAGGTTTAGCTGATGGAGCTCTGCTCTGTCGCATTGACCAACCGGCATCCACCGTGAACGACGGCCCTTTCGGGCACCGCATTGCAACGGCGCAGGCAGAGCGGACAGGCAATTCCGCGCCAATTTAGGCGGCATAGTCTTTTGGCTTCAGCCCTGCCCTGCGCTGTCGAGCATGGTTCCCCGCAGAAACACACCAATGAAGGCGGCTCATGAGCGAGTCTGTGTTAGAGCGGGAGCCGGTGACCGCAGAAGCAAACATGTCGCTTTTTTGGTTGTAGATTAACCCGCGGTTTTCTGATGCATCTGATTGATTAAATAAGCGGTGGAACGCGGATCTCGCACCCGTCTATGCTAGGTATTTTGTCCCAAGTCCCCTCCTCTTTGGGCAGTTCCGCACCCACCAAAACAACGCAAAAGGTTTCACGAAACGTTTCAACGGCGCTATAAATAATGTTTTTTTTTTAAAAAAAATTAATTAAATGCATAGCAAAGTTCTAATGGACTAGTTCTATGTGACACAGTATACCTAAATATCTCTTGACAGAAGCATGTAATTGCACAACGGCGCGATGAATCCCCGCATGGTCGCCCGAGCGCTCAACGCACGGAAAACACCAAACAATATGACGAAATTGCGAACCAGAGGATCCTCCCGCTGGATTAATGGAAGAACCTGGGATTCCTCAAGCGAATGCTCGCTTAGCCGCCGCGGGCGAAAAAAAAGGCAGTATTGTCCCTACAATGTAGCATCATCCCATGGGTTGCCGGCGCGATCCTACCATTCTCCGCTCGCGAACCTGGTTTCCTCGCATTCAGCGAGGCTATAAAATAACTCCTGACCCTGCTAAGACTTGGATTGTTCGTCTATTCTACGTTAATTTTCTTTGAAATGGCTCTCTTTTCAGAAAATGCGGCTTGGCCGTCCCACGGCTTCGTCTCTCAACCACCCACCTTCACTGTCCCTGTTTTTCAATACAATAAAACCGGAACTACAGATCCTGGTAATCTTGTTCTCAGTGCTGGTGGCAAGACTTGCCTCATTGCCTCGGATGAGGGCGAGTTGCTCTGGCGCTTAGACGACAAGACACCCTTCGTCACCAATTGTCTTATCCAGAAGCTAAATGGCACTGATGTAATTGTGTACAATGAGGCATATTTCACGGACCAAAATGTTGGCTTTGGTTACGGAACTGTTGTGATTCGTGATAGCACCTATCAAGTCATACACAATGTCACTTTGAAGGATCCGGAGCTCACAAATTCGAGAGATGGAGATTGGGCATCGGTCATTGACTACCACGAATCCACGCTCACTGAAGAGGATACAGTTCTTGTGGTCGCATACAATGCCACACAGTTAGATCTTTCGCCCTTTGGCGGCCCATTGAATGGGTGGGTACATGTGCCGTTGATCTATGAATTAGACGTCAAGTCCAATGATATAGTGTATCGGTGGGACGTCATGGAAAACGTACCTCTCCAGAGCTCCCATGCCTTCTTTGGAGGTGTTCATGGCACAGGAGCTACTAGAGACAAGGTTTGGGATCCCTACCATGTCAACAGCATTCAACCCTACAAGAATGGATTTTTGTTCTCCATTCGCAATGCTGGTACCGCTATCTATGTCAACAAGGCAACTGGTGAGATTGAGTGGACACTCGACGGAGTTGACAGAAACGGTGATTTTAAGATTGACGGAGATGAGCAGACATGGTTCAATTGGCAACATCATATCCGTATTCAGGATAACGTGCACAATGACCGCCAAATTCTGACCGTCTTCAACAACTTCAACGACGAGATGACAGGGCGCAATGAATCAAGAGGTGTTATAATAGACCTTGATCTACACACCATGAGAGGTTCAAAAAGAGGCACGTTTCTAAGTCCTGAGCACCCAGTTTATGCTTGGAACTCTGGTTCGGTGCATTTCGACCAAATCACAAATCACACTATTGTTAATTATGGCTCTGGCACCGCAGTCATGGAGTTTGATGCAGATGCCAACCCGATTTACAGACTCGAGTTTGGCAACCCAGTCGAGGGATATTCCTACCGCACCATGCGGACACTGTGGAAAGGATATCCAAAGACGAAGCCCTCGGTCAGGGCATGTGGCAAGGATGGCGAACTCAAAGCTTATATGAGCTGGAATGGTGCTAGCGAATTGGTCAAATGGAACGTGTACGCCGGTATGAGCGCAGAAACCATGGATATTTCCGCCTGCTTGGATAAGACCGGGTTTGAAACAGAAGCAGCCATACCTGATGACAGTAAGTTTATCAGAGTAGACGCTTTGGACGGAGATGACAACGTCCTTGCTTCATCATCAACAGTTCCTACCATGAGCACCTGCTGAAGAATTGAAAACATGTCTTAATTTCATTCAAATATTTTACAGAATATATTTCACTGTACGCCAGCTTCAAGAATAGCAAATGTGTCGTTTGTCGAATCCAATTCAGTAAGTGCATCCATGGGCAAAGTGACCATGGGTGACGTATGCCCAATGTCAACGTTAAAGAGAATTGGGAATGGATTCTTCTCTGCCAATCGTCCTTCGCAAAGCAATGATTTGAATACGCCTGCATATTCTGCCATCCGCTCCGGAGTTTTGTACCCGTAGGGTCTGCCAATAATAAGACCAGCAGCCTCTTCGAACATGCCATGCGCAATGAGCCAGGCAAGGCCGGATTTGACTGAATCAAGATCTTCCGCATCTGATCCAGATGTTTCGATAAAAATAATCCGTCCTTTCCAATCCAGTTGAAATGCTTTAACTCCATTAAGTCTTGCAATCACGGATAAACATCCACCAAACAAACGGCCCGTTGCTTTACCAGGTCGGAGCCACTCCCAAGCCGGTGTCGGACTGACGGCCTGGGCGTCCAGGGAGCTGGAATCTCCAAAGAAAGCAGGAAAATCTGAGGCATAAGTCAAAGACTTTGGAATTTGGCCTAGACAAGTGTCTTTGGTAATAGCGTCCAGCATAGCCTGAAGGCAAAATCCACGGGGCGTCCCCGCATTATCAGAGTCATCTACTGTCCCAAGCTCGGGGATTGCACTTGGACCATAGAATGTGCGAAGACCTGTGCAAGCGAACAAGAACCAGTGTAACCCTGTCATGTCGGATAAGCCAATGACAATCTTGGGTTTAGTCTGAATTAGCTGGTGCAAATCGGTATCAGCGACCAATGCGGGGAGCAACTCTGAGAAGGCGTCGCCGCCAAACGTGCAAACAATAGCTGTAACTTCATCATCCTCAAACGCACTGTGGAGCTCAGTTAGGCGTTGTGTGATTTCATTTTGTACTCCAGCGACCGAAGTAAAGAACTCTTTCGTTTTGTAGCCACGCGCACAGAGCGCTGCTGATGCTCGAGCTAAAGCAGGCTCAAAGTGTTTATTGAGCCGGAGTGAAGGAGAAATAAAGCCGATGGTATCTCCAGGGCGAAGGCGACGGGGTAGAATTTTCTGAAGCATTGCTAGAATAGTTTATCAAATGGTCATGATAATGGTCAAGTTGGGCTCAAATGCTGATGGGCTCTACAGCTGGTTTTATATGAGCCTACGCAGCCTCGTTTCTCAGCGCCTCTTACTACGCTTAGATAATCATTGACAGTAGTCCATTGGGCTTCCCAGATGCTTCATTTGTATATTTATAACTGATACGTTAAATATCTCTAATTATTAGGATAAATATCAGCTTGCTCTAGATCAGCTAAAAGCTGCCACCACATGGTACCATCCGCAGCATTCTGAGAACGAGCACCTTTTGTCTCTAACCATACAACCACGGCCTTGGAATGCATTGAAACATACTTGTATAACCACCAATTAAGCTTGAACCGACTTAGTAATCCATACCAATATCCCAACAGCCACATCGCTCGCTCATCTCCGGCTAGTAGTAGATCTCCAAATCGTCCGTCAAGTTTTCCGAAAAATGACGTGTAGAGAAGGAATGATGACGGCGAAGCTTCAATATTCCTCAATTCTGCTAGAATACGAACGGGTTCATAGAACAAATTGCTAGTGCCGCCATTATGGTCAAGCCCACAAAGCCGTAACCAGTGGAGGGGCACATTTGTAAGAGGTTGCTGATTGCTGTTATGGAAAGTAGAATTCTCGTCATCTGAAGCTTGGAATATCCAACTCAAGACAGACTCTTCGCGATACGCTGTTGTATGCAGCAACAGCGATTTCAAGCCTAACTGAAGATAGAACCAATCAAGTCGTTTGGGATTGTTGCTGAATATCCACGTGCTCTCCAATGTAGATGAATCATCCGATGAAAAGGCTAGTAAATTGAGCACCATCGTTGTAAATATCAATGCGTCTGCTCTTCCTGTGGTAGTAATTGGTTTTGCTAAGGCCTCCCTAAAAAGACCAATAGCCACACCTTGCTGTGCATGTTCGGCGACTCGGCAGGCCACAATAATATGTTTTGAATTGATCGTCGAGTCTGCAGTTTCGTACTTGTATCGTAAGTGAGATGCAGCCATAGAAAGCATACTATGCAGTAGATATGGCTGTGCTCTCCCAAGTTGAATAAGAGGTAGAAGATTGTCACCCGTGGCCTTGAAGACCTCCATATTCGAAAAGCTATAATGCAGGTGGTCTAGCAACAATGTTCCGGATATTCCATTCTCAATAAGTGATGGCTGATTAATAGTTTTGAACATCGATATGAACGGTAGCTCGATAGGCATGTCGATACAAGATCTTGGCTGGGGTTGACCTCTTCGACCAGTGCTGCTATACTGACAAAAATTCCCAAGTCGTTTGCATCGTGCGCATGTTGGCTTTTGCTCATTACACTGTGATTCTTGTCAGACATAGCCTGTCAAAAAAGCCGACTCCACAAAAGGTACCTTAACTCGACTAGTTTTACAATTACGACAGCCGCCGTACGACTTCAGGTGCGACCGACGCTTCGTGTACGGTCGCGTCACGCCCTGTTGATATGGTTGAAATGAGAGAACTTGATAGGTAGATGAATCCATTTGCCGTCTTCAAAATGTCAACGGTACACTACCATATATCTGGCGGATAAACAGTGAACTGTAGGGGACTACACGTAGCTATTGAATGAATGGATAGTTGGCCGCAACCACTACAATTGTATTTTTGGATGATGACGTACTTGCAGATGCTGGCTCAACATAGCTTAACCGATACAATAGCTCCAGCTGAGCGCTACCATAATTTACAGGTGGAGTGGCCCCTCAGGCCAGTGGCGCAGCCGTCGTTTTCCTCTTTCGGACAGCATCCTGGTGTGAATGGCCGTTTTCCTTTTTAGGTCGAAGTAGTAACCTCGCACGGAAGGCTACTTCACTGAGAGCTATAAAAGGGGACCAATAACCTATGGTTTGCAGTCTCTAACTTCACATTTTTGTTTCAAATTACTACCATTCACCTTAAAATGCATTTCCCATCTTTTGCCATTTCCATTTCGGCGATGCTCTCATGTGCAGACGGCCTTGAAGTTATGTTTGAAGCCAACAGCCCGCTGCCTATTCTCCGGTTGCCCTATGGGGCATGGAGAGCTGCTACCTACAACAATGCATCCGATGTATGACTCCTTATTTGTGATATTTATTTACAATAAATATTGATCGTTAATATAGATCTTTGTTTTTCGAAATATTCGTTATGCTGCGAACCCGACTGGCGCTCTACGGTGGGCGAAGCCGGCGGTGCCAGAGTACATTGATACTCTACAGGATGGTACATACGGACACAACTGTGTTCAAGTGATTCCGCCTCCCCCATTTGATACATCTCCTATATACAAACATCTAATAGCGAATGCTGCAGAGGGTAAGTTATTCTATTACTCTTGCTACGAAGTATATTAATGTTTATCCTAGACTGCCTCTTCCTCGATGTTTATGTTCCTGGGAAGGCGCTACGCGATACTAACTTGCAACTCCCTGTTATAACATGGATCCACGGAGGCGGTTTTGTCTCTGGATCCAAGGATGAGTTTCCTGGTGTATTTAACGGAACAAATCTGGTTCAAAGAGCTCACAATAATGCTATTGTCGTAGCTATTAATTATCGTCTAGGTGGATTTGGGTTTCTCACAGGCAGGACCGTCGAAATCGAAGCAACACCAAACGCGGGTCTCCATGATCAGCGGGCAGCACTTGCATGGATACAATCATATGTCTCACTTTTAGGAGGAGACCCTGCTGATGTGTCTGTCTGGGGAGAATCTGGTGGCGCTTCATCCATCCTCTATCATCTTGTGGCAGGGGGAGGGAAACTGGATCCTCTGTTCCACAAAGCTGTGGTTCTCAGCCCAGCCTCTGGTCAAAGCGTTGACCGTATGGGATTCTTGGAACGCAAATTTGAGTCATTTGCGTCTTTTGCTGGCTGTGGAAAGAGCGTTACCATGGACAGTATAACATGTTTAAGAAGCGCAAACTTATCTGCCTTGACGGAAGCCAATATACAAGCCTTCCCGGGTGCAACGCCAGCACCGGATGGAAGTTTCATTCACCGGAATCCCATCCTTGAATTTGAACAAGGGAACTTTTGGAAGGGGCTAAAGCTGCTAATCGTGTCTCATGTTGCCAATGAGGGACAATTATTCAGCCCACACCCATCGCCAACCAACTTCATCAATGATACTCTGGCACGGTACTTCCCATCATATGCGCAAGATCAACTATCGTTGCTCAACACGTATTACATCGATCGGTATAATGATAATAAGACTCGAAGAGTTGAATCTTTTATGCGCGACCTCAACGTTGGTTGTAATATCCGCGCCGTCGTGGAGGCATACGCGCAAATTACCCGAATACTACAATACAGTGCCACCCCTGGCACGCATGGTAGTGACATGACGGCACTGTGGTATGATGCAGCATCTTGCAATATTACCAACCCAATATGGGCAACCTATCAGCGCTATATTCTAGCTTATGGTCTACTAGGAGACCTGGCAGCCGAACCCCATAAACCAAGTCTGCTGGTATGGCCGAAGGTCGCGGGTGTAAAAGCGGAAGAATTTCAAAATTTGATGGATGTATCCGATGCGGGCTTCAGGTTAACTAATGATCACCAGATTTTGCAGAGCACCTTTGAACTCTGGAAAAATGCTCTTTGGGAAACTACACTACGCGGTGGATATTAGCTGCACTGGACAGATTCTAGTCTCATATTCTATATTCTAGTTCGTAATGAATGGCTTCCAATCGAAATCTAATTGCTTTTATTGATATAAATATCTTATATCCTAGTTTGTTCAAACATTCTTGCAAGCGTTGGGGAGTTGAGCCAAGAGCTTTTCTACACTGCGTGTTAACAAAGACCATTGTCGCCAATGTCGCTAGAGAAAACGTACCACGGACAAAGTCGGCGCCACAAGACGCGTCCAGGCAAGAGCGCGCCTCGGCCTTGATAACTTCAACGTGGTCGCAAAAACATTTATCGTCGTTGGCTCCAGTAGCACAACCTGGCTTCTTGCGAGCGAATTCCTTGAGGCAGTGGTGGGAGCAGTCCGCCAGGCCGTTGATGCCAGTAAAGCGGTAGGCCTCAACCGAGGCAAGAAGGAGAGCAAAGGCGATGGTGAATTGCATTTTGAATTGATTGAATAGCTTATGATTGAAGAGATGAAATTCGGCGAAGAAAAAAAGAGCTGCGCCGGTATTTAAGGGACGATTTGTTTTACACGTACCTCGTCGGCGCGGTGGAATGCAATACCCTGCATCGATCAATGAATAGGATTGAATTCGTAGTTCCGTTGCGCATCAATGTATAATAAATTATTAAAAATATGTTTTCAGCCATAAGTACTAAAAACAGGATTATGGAAGTTATTAACGTATTTATCAGTTTTATTTCCCAAATAACTTTGGATGAATAAATGTAGGTCACGCTCTGGACCATCTACGAAGCAGAAAATCTGACCGGACCGTTTTACAGCGACGAATTCTGAGGTGCTTTTATTTAAAAAGTAGAGATATATTAATACAACAAACAATACCTCGAAGCAGAGGGACGAGTACTACGACATTCCCGAGTTGGCTATACCTAGTTTTTCTTGCTATCAGCCTCAGATGCCTGCGCTTGCTTGTAGATTCCCCACGCAGCAGCCCAATCGAGTACGGTAAGTGTGGCATCCAGGACTGTGATGATATCGAAGCCTCTGCCCATAATCCATCGCTGAGAGGTAAGCGCTGTGGCGAAGTTAAGAACGGCCTGTGAACTGTTTCCAGTTCCTAGAACAACCAGAGACGTAAAGTCAATCGGTCGGTCACCATCCTCAGAGCCCGTAGAGAGTAGTCCGCGTGTTCTTTTCTTGAGAATTGACCAGAATCGAATGGCAGCAAAAAGGAATAGTGGAAAGTTCATGGCTCCAAGATACGCCATCACGTCGTGGTGCCAGGCGTCCCCGCGGGCGAGGGAGCGTATAGCAGCATCTGGGGAGTGGCTGCGTAAGGAGAACTTCTGCATAATACCGCGCTGTTTGAAGCAGAAGTAATAAAAGGCACTGAAATCATTAGCATAACCTAGACAAAGTATTTTGATGCGCGCACCTAAAATGCCATAGCTGTCGTTGTTAGCTTAGTCAGTACATTGCGAAAAGCAGGCTGCTTACTGCGTTGCTAGCGTACAAGGCCTTCAAGGCCGTTCTATTTGTTAGTAGGGCTTCCATGTTGGTCTGTGTTACGTATTGGCCTTTCGTCGTGTATAATTGGTGCGGCTGACTTTATACGCAGCGTCTCGGGAGTACTGTCGCCAACGGCCGAGGTTCTTCTCAGCGCGTCTCCACTACTCGGAGAGATCGCGGTGAGATTTGTAAGGCACGTGCCACCGAACTGAGAGCGTAGAGAAAAATATGTACATAAATAAACACAAATTTGGTACGGATTAGAATTGTAACTAGTTGTGTTGCGAGGGACGAAGAAAGATAGAGTGTTGTAGAATGTAGAGCCAATGGGACGTGTCGCCCATCTTAAGCCACCGTAACAGCCAAACCCACTATGTTCGCGACGTCTGCACAACATGATGAAGGTTGTAGTGGCACCAATAAGGCGTACTATGATCCATAATGGGTTAGACCAAGTGGCTTCGTGTGCATGGAATACGCTGCCTGTCAAATTTGCTGTTTCCTGTCGTGCCGCGACGCTCCCAGACGTAGGTGACTCATGCTGTTCAACTTCAAGTGGTAAAAGCTTTTCGATTTGGACATCGACGTGTCTCACCATTATTCTCAATAATGTAAGTCATCTATATAACAACAGTACTCTTTAAATAGCCGTTCGTTAGCCAATCACAGAGCAGCATATGCCGTTCTTATATGAGATCCGCGGAATGACTCATTATGAGCCACCCCACTGATGCAATCGAGCCGTTAGCCTAATGCAAATTAAAACCAGGGTTAGTACACGTCAAGATTTCTAATTGTGGGTAGAGATACTGCAATACCAAGAGCATATTACTTCGTTTGAGAAGACACAGAAATGGTCAATTTTTAGTGGTTAAGAAGTTGCGAAAATTACATTTATAGCTAGCAAACTTGGCGCTCAATGCGCAAAATGGTCTGGAGTGGTACAATGAGAGACTATCTACTCAAATGAGGTTTGATGAAGTAAATTGAAGGAAGAAGGGCAAATGTAACTGGAAATCGACAGGTTAGCAATTAGCCACGAAGGGATCAAATAAAAAAAAATGATGAGAAATTCCGTTTATCAGACGATGTCGCTCTTCCAAAGCTATTTGATAACCGGAGGTCATAGGCTATGTTACTCCTCATATCGGCAAAGTTCTTCGTCATTGTGGAATTGTTATTGAAAGCTCATAATCTTTCAAAGTAATAAGAAAAAAAATCTAGGCTTACTGTTTAGTATGTACTTCCATCATCCACAGCAGTTTTGCTGTTGAAAAACATCTTGACAAAGAACCCGATGATTTATGGGTGAGATAGAAGCTGACATAGAAACATATTCAAAATGATTGCTAAGACTATGAATACTACATGCTGTGTAAACGGCATATACAGCCTTTATATGTGTGAAATAAATGCGTGCATCTCAAATGACTTTCGTTTAACAGCCACTTACAGCAGCCAAGCCAAGAGAAGTCCAGGATCTATGAGTCCGCAGACGCAAGAGGCAGGCTGAACTACCCGCAAGGAAAAATATGACTCTTTCCATTTAACTCAAAGATGATTGGTCAGTAATCTCGCCGACTAATACGAACGGTTTAGCATCCCAGGGCCAGTTAGTGACCCATTAAAGGTAAACACGAACGTGCCTCCATATGGCGCAAATACCAACGTCAATAACTATGGCGCTATGATTGCATATATTACAGCGCTACAACGAACTCTTCTGGGCAATTCCTAGCCGTTCATGTTTGGTTGGCCCGATTTGGACAATGCCATCAGCCGAGACGCGGTTTGCTCGATGCGCACTAGACCCGTAAGATCCACACTACAATGTCACGGCCCACACAAGCTCTCGCCATCGGCATCTTTAAGCTCCGACGAGCTGGGAAATATCCCCTCCCACCGCTCTGTTTCGTCATTGTTTCGTCTCATTGTTATTTCTCTCATACAAACAACTTATTGTTCATCGCAATGGATATGGGTAGGCTAACTCACCAAGTCATGCGACGGAAATATCTACTGACAGACTAAAGACTCGATCCTCGACAGCGGCTATGTGCCGCACTTTGTGATTCGGCGCGGAATCAGAATGCAGTTGCGCGACCGTATCAACTCCATCGCTTCAGAATCCCTCGAAGTTGCCAATCAGAAGAAGATGGAATTTGTGCAGAAGCTACGCACGCAGCCCATTGCCATTGAAACAGACGCTGCTAATGAGCAGCACTACGAAGTTGGCGCTGGTGTCCTTGCGGCTTGTCTAGGCCCGCGAATGAAGTACTCTTGCTGCTTGTACCCTACCGGGAAGGAGTCTTTGGGCGAGGCTGAAGTTTTGATGCTTGAATCCTATCTGAAAAAGGCGCAGATCGAGGACGGCATGTCGATATTGGATCTCGGGTGAGCAAGGCTGTTGTGTCTACTATACCAAAGCTAACTGGATTTAGATGCGGCTGGGGTTCCGGTGCGCTATTCTTCGCCGAGAAGCTTCCCAAGTCACAAATTACAGCCTTTTCAAACTCAAAATCTCAGAAAGAGTATATCGACGGCATTGCAAAACAAAAAGGCTTCACGAATCTCAGAGTGATCACTGGAAATGTTGTCGACTATGAGTTCGAAGCCGAAACCCTTGATCGCGTGGTATCTATTGAGGTATGCTCCCACGTCGCAACTCAGACGATTCATTAAACTAATTTTCTAGCTTTTCGAACACATGAAAAACTACAAGCTGTTACTCGCGAAGCTGTCGCGTGCCCTCAAACCCAAGGGCAAGCTATTCGTCCACATCTTCGCGCATGCGACGTCGCCGTACGACTTTGAGGATGGTTGGATGACGCGCCACTTCTTCCGAGGCGGAACGATGCCATCGGATGACTTATTCCTATACTTTCAGGATGATCTACGAATCGAGAATAAGTGGTGGGTTAATGGTAAACACTATGCCCAGACGTGCGAGGACTGGCTCAAGTGCATGCTGAAGAACGAGAAGGAGATTTGGCCGCACTTGGTTGAAACCTACGGGCAGGAAAGCGCGTCTACCTGGTGGAACCGGTGGCAGATCTTTTATCTGGCTTGCGCGGAGCTGTTTGCCTACGAGGGAGGGGATACTTGGGGTGTCGCCCATTATCTATTCCAGAAGCCCTAGGGAATCGAAATGTGAAGCCGTCTCTAATGATACTCTAGGTGGACCAATGAAACAAGGTACATGTGCGTCGGCGGCCATCAGCCACTCGTTCAACCTCTTTTGTAGCTCTTGAGCCCCGCTTAGAGCATTAGCAGCCTTATTTACGTGGTTCATGAGTCGTTTAACTTACCGCGGGGTCAAAATTATGATGACAAGGCGACGAGCCTCATTTGGCGCCACTGATGCGCCAGGGCTGAATGTCTCCGAAGGCTGACCATAAAAACCCCTTTACCCATAGCCCAAGACGACATTGTAAGAATTATCAAATATTATTTCAAATATCCAAAATCAATATGTCTTCACGAATAATCGATACCTTTGAGCGAGATGGGCCTGAGCGCAAGACCAAAGTCATCGTTGCTACTGTCAGCAGGTATGTTTGCATCATCACGTTGAAACACCAACTCTGCGGGTGTTGAGGCTAAGAGTGCTAACGTTGAAAGGACGGCTACCATCTCCATGTACCTGGCCGCCCAAATCCTAGGTTATACCCCATATCACATGAAAGAAGCTATTTTTGATAGCGAATGCAAAGACCTCGAGGTGATTAATGAGGCATTGGTTGCTCAATACAACCGTTTCTCTCGCATCCAGCGCTACACCAAGGGAGACTGGGACAAGTTTTTCAAGCAATATGATGTGAGTCAAGGAGAAGGGACTTTTGCATTATAAAAGCCGTATTAATTGTGCTCAGTTTATCGTTGAAATACCTGCCTTCTTCGGCATTGATATGTTGGAGGCATATGCAGACGACCCGGATGTATTGTTCATTCTAGTGGAGCGCAACCCAGACCGATGGGCCACGTCAGTCAACAAGACCATTGGAAAGGGTACCCAAGGTTTGTTTAAATTTCCAATGAATATCTTGACTCCATGGAACAAGCAATTGCATGTTTTTACCACGTTTAACAAATACTGGTATGGCGTGTGGAGCAGCTCAACCACCTACGGCGCTGCGGACAACCACGCTGGCCTGTGCCGCGCGTACACTGAATAGTAAGTGCCTGAAAAACAATTATTGTATCAGTAAATACGATGTTAATACCATTATTAGCCTCTCTACGGCCAAGAAGATCTTGCCAAAAGATCGCCTACTGCACCTCCGATTGGAAGATGGACTAGACTGGGACAAGCTGTGCAACTTTCTAGACAAGCCTGTCCCGAAAGAGCCTTTTCCTTGCGAAAATGATGCTGGCGATTTTGAAAAGGTCATTGGAGACTGGATTGGTCCTCGTGTGATGAATGCAGCGCTGAAGCTTGGATCTGTTGTGGTCGTCGGGTTAGGATTAGCTGGTGCCTTCGTTTGGAGGACCCAAGGAATCTCGCAGAAGTGGATTTGATCAAATCGCAGTTTATCGTAACTCAAGTATATTTATTTGAATGTTCATGTAAATTATCCCAATATTGTGAGCTTTCTTAGTAGCATCTCGTTACAAAATCCTCTGTACAGTTTCTTCAATCTCTTCCATCTCTAGACCAAGCACGTCATTTGACAAGACCTCGTCCTTGGCATAATTGGATTTCAAACCTGGAATGTTTGAGAAAACAGTCGCCCGGACCAGAGTAAGAGCTCCGCTGTAATCGCCATTGGTGAGCTGTTTGGTGGCTTCTTGCACTTGCGTTTCTGTCTTCACATGAAGAATATCCCATTTCGAAGCTGTGGCTTTCTCCAAAGCCTCGACGATTTTGTTTTGTGTAGTTTCCACAGATGCAACGTAGATGTAGCGGTTCGACACTTGGTCCCAATGTTTGAGTGCTGCGATAACAGCATCACCAAGCTGCTTCTCATTGGTCATGGTGAACGATTTATTGCCGTCATCCCAAACGGTGGCGCGCTTGTTTGGGATATCGAATTCCAGAAAGCCGTTCAATAAGCCCTTCGCGTAGTTAGCATTCAAATATCTGGAAACAAATTCTACAAAGAAGACTTACCCAGTCTAGCAGTCCAGATGTAGCAATACCGCTCCACGAAAGCCCTTTGGGTTCCTGTTCTCGGAGATACGTGATCAAATCAGCCTTCTTGGAAAACAGAGGGAGCAGCTTGTTGACAGCTTCATCCTGACTGCTCGCGGAGAACTCAGAGGGCATGAAGTGACGGACGCCAGCTGCAAGAGCGCAATCGATGATCTTCTGCTGTTCGTCAAAAGCTGCTGCTCCAACAGCGGAAATAATTACGTCTTGGCCACGAAAGGCATCGACGAGATCACCTTCGCTGAAGTCCGATCGATACACATTGGGAGTTACGAAAGTTGCATCGCTATCAACTCGCGTTATCACTGTAACAGAGTAGATTTGAGCACGTAGCAATGCTTCTAATATGATCTTGCCAATGTTTCCGCTGGCCTAGCGAGAGTTAGTGATTTAGTGCATGGCTGCGGGGATCGACATACACCAATAATGGCAACGTTCTTGAAGGCCGACATGTTCTGCTAATTGGATCGATGAGTGAGTAAATGGATGTTTCTTTTATTTTTCAATGGTATCATGTCCAACTAGGAAGGATATAATCAAAACATTTATACGTTGAACGTCAATACTTGCTGACTGCTGTCTTAGCCACGAACCTCGTCTAGGCTCCGTCTTCCGCCCTCCGCCTTCCGTTCTCCGTTCTCCGCTTTCCGTCTTCCGCCACCTTGCGTCACGCAGCCTGATAATCCCGAGCTGTTCTTCTCTTTCCTATTGAAAGAATTTTACAAAATAACCAAATTTTGCTGACGAATCACATTTGCTACAATGCCCCGGCGGGTAATCACTCCGGGAAGGTCTTGCCTTGAGTGTAGGCGACGCAAGATCAAATGCGACCGTGGAGTGCCGTGTGAATATTGCAGAGTCTCCGAGATCCAATGCGAGTATCCTTCTCCGACGCGCGGGGGCTTCAGGGGGAAGGATGATGCTCTCCAAAAAAGAGTAGAGAGCCTTGCAGCTACTTTGAATTCCCTATCTGGACAAGTGTCGGAGATTCAAACCCAACTCCAGGACGAAGTGTTGCCCGGGGAGAGACCGCGCCCAGTTCCAATCACACCGGGTAGGTACACCCTGCGTAAATAGACGGCAGCCTTGTACTAATAGCATTCTATAGAAACTTCAGTATGCGCTACCAATTTATTGTCCTTTCCTAGCGGAAACTCACGGTCAACTCAGGTGGCCCATCCACCACCGAGTACCGTCACGATGCTTTGGCAGATGTATCTTGAAGTCATTGATCCAATCGTCAAGATTTTTCACGTTCCGACCATGCAAAAACACATTGCATACTCTATTCAGAATTTGACAAGTCTTGATATTGGCACACAATGTGCATTGTTTGCCATTTACTACTCAACTACCCTTGTTATTCCTGATAAACACTACCAAAAATATCTTCACGGAGCAAAGGACACCCAGCTTAAGAAGTAGGTACAACATATACTGTTATCTCCTCAAATTAATCTGACTGGTCATAGTTATCGTGTCGGAATTGAGGAGTCACTAGTTCAAGCCAATCTTCTCACTACTCACGACTTTATGGTTCTCCAGGCTCTCACTCTCTATATTGTAAGGTGACTGCTAATGTTGGCGTCCTATATACTAACTTTTGCAGACATGTGCCCGAAGTGATCCTAAAGCACCAAATATGCCCTCGTTAGTAGGCCTGGCTGTCTCGATCGCGATGAAAATGGGCCTCAACTGCGTCGATTCCATGACTAGTCTCACGCCGTTTGACATGGAAATGCGGCGGAGGCTGTGGTGGCACCTATCAACGCTGGATGTTAGGATTGCAGAAGATTATCAAGTGCCACCAAATATTCTTCCAGCGTTAAACACCACCTCTTTCCCAGCAAATACGAACGACGGTGCGCTTGATCCGGCTATGATGACCACCCCACAAAGCGAGCCTCGCCGAACAGATATGTTGTACAATCTTACACGATTCCAAGGAAGCCATTTCTTGAGAGAAGTAGTTTTCTCAGATGATGTATGTGTTAAACAAGGCTACAAGATCCGTACGAACGCCGAAAAATGCGCTTTCATCGATGAATTCTGGGCCAAGATGGAGAATACTCTACTCTGCCACTGTGACGCGTCAGTGCCAATCGATAACGTCACAATAACGTCTATCCGACTGATCTTGGTCAAATCCAAGCTAACTATAATGAAGCCAAATCCTCTTCAAAAGCAAAATGCCCCAACGCGAGAAAGCTATCGCAACACATGCAAGCAAGTGCTTGAATATGCATACGAACTGCGACAGTATGAGCCTGGCAAGAAATGGTTATGGCTCTTCCAAACGTATATTGAATGGGATGCTCTGGCATATTTGCTACTCGACCTCTCCTTGGCTGCCGCTGACGATACCGATGGTCTATGGGAGACAGTTGAGAAAACGTATCAGCATTGGGCTGGTACCTCGAACGCGAGCACGGATCGCCGATGGGTACATATAACGGAACTACATGGGAAAGCGGTGGCTGCAAAAACGGATCTATCACCTCTTCCAGAGAGGAGGCGAACGAGACAAACGATTCCGTCTCCGTCTAAAGATTTGCACCATGCAGGCCACTCCCCGGATCAGCAGATGACGGCCGAATCGAACATCACCATAAATGCGGATGCCCTCTGGTCGCAGATTCTTGGGCCTTGCCCATCGACTACAGCCGACGAGCCGCTGCCAGTGAACGCTGTAGACCCTAGTTTTATTCCCTCATCCGGGTCAATGCCAGATTGGGATCATTTATTATTCGATAGATACTGGCAGGCAGTGGGCTAGGCTGTGCAACAATGGCTGGCAAGGTTAGACCGAAAATTTTATTAGCGGGCACTCGAGCCAAGCGAACATTGTTTGGAGGGCCGCATCCAGATTAGGGAATATTACCGGGATTGCTTTCTTTAGCGCGAACGCTGACCTGTACACCTGAAATAATGTTAGTTCGTGGGACCCTTGGTTGATGAGACGTCAAGAATGGTACTTTACGCCGCTCGTTCGTGCCCGGTCAATTGCTAACATCCCAGTCGGTTTTTTTTTCCACATCCTTTCACACAAAATGCCTCATGATGATAAAGTATGCGCCATTCTTTGCACACACAAGGCTTCAAGTATATGCGTTATGGATGGACTTAAATCGGGCCGGCCCTTGCAGGATTTGCAGTATCGTTCACGGGAAGCATCCATCCGAGTGGATCACCAAGCTTAGGCCACCTGCAAGCTAGGCGAAGTAACTACGCAGAACAATGGCAACGATTGATGCGGATGGTGGTATTTAGCGGGGGTTTGATGTATAAATCGAAGGTAGGCCCCCCATTGCAGCGGATACTGGAGTTTGTTGGTCCATTCCTCGCACTGATATACAACCATGAGAATCCATCACATTACAGCTCTCGCCTCGGTTGCGAAAGCAACCCTCTTCTGTCACTCAGAATCGTCGCCGAATCCCATCGCTAGCCAATATCCTCATCTTACCACCGGCACAATCAATGGGACGGTTGCCATTATCCCAGTTCCCCTGTCATATGTGCGCAGCATTGTGCCGGTGGAATATCCCATCTTGACGTCACAGTACCAGGCCTTGCTACCATGGTTCCCAAAAGACATGTTTCCTATGATGATGCAGACTGAGTTGGATCATGATGTTCAGAATTCTGGCATCAAAATTCCCGACTTTCAGCGAGGTGGCTTTTCATTCCCTTTCATTGACAGGCTAAATGATGGGTACACTGGTATGGCCTATGGTGGCAAGGAGCTCATTAGCGCGGTCAACATTGCTGTCCTGGGTACCGCCGCGTACGGATACAGTGTCATCTCTTCCGTCTTCGATCCGCCCTGCGACGCATACGAATGTGCAGATATTCAGTGCAAAAGCAGATCATTCAAAGCGTTTGACGTGCTGCGACCTCTGGTAGGACCAGTACTCAGGACAAATTTCACCGACTCCACCGGCTCACCGTATCCTCTTTCGTTGTAAGTCATGCTCTCGTTGCGACGACTACATACTTGGACAAAATAGACTAACATTGATGCTAGCTACAAAAATATTACCAACCAGCCGCAGTTCTCAGATAATAAGTTGGTCTGTGATAACTATGTCCGCCTCTACAACGCATCCATTACGACCGGCGAGTTTGCGCCAATCGCTGTGAAAGGCACTGTGAGTGTGGTTGCCCCATTACTCCCCGAGACAACATCCTACAGTGATGTATGGGGGCTGAGAATGGATAATGCATTTATTGAAAACAACTTCAAGTCATGTAAGAGTTTACAGGGTTATACGTTCTCCGATTAGATGCGGCCTGGGGCTCTGTTTTGCCCGCCCAGGAGCAGAGAGTACATATGGTATCGCGGTTTAAAATTGAGGATGATGAAATCAGTCTATAGTAAATCAATATAAGAAAGCACAAATAACTCAAATGAGAAGTGCACTGCCGATTTGGGCACATGGTTTCTGGCCGATACCCGCCGGGCTGCGAATTCCGGCTTCATCCGAAATAGACGTTACCCGGGCGGGCTGTGAACGCCAAGCTCGCCAAGTCAGGCCACTCGCCACAAACACTACACCACTTGTTGCGCCACAGATCTCGCCATAAATTTGGGATGGTAGGGATATCGGATTGAATAGGATGGCTTTTATTAGCTATCTTGTCACAGTTATGGTGAGCGAATGATATAAGACATTGCGTATGCAACGAGCGTTTGTTTAGCAAGCTAAGATACAGACCATACTAAATATGTCACGAGTTTTTATACCAGCTAAACTTACCAAGTCGCTCCCGTTAATAGTGGCTGGAGTTTACAGTAAGCGCTCTCATATAACTGAGTGGAAATGGTGCTCAGCAAGACTTACAAGAAACAGCATTGATCGGCGTCGGATACGCCGCGACACAACTCCATGCACGGTCGGCAGAAATGGACAGAATTTTTAAACCATACCACAGCACTGAAAGTGAGGATTTACGGAGGAAAACATTTGAAGGTCACTCTGATCCACGGACGAATCTTTTAAACTTCTTGGGTTGGGATTAAACATCGCTTCCCGACGTGGTGTTGCAGGCACTCTCTCTCCTCAAAATATATATCCCCTATTTATTTAAATATACAAACCGCCTCAATACATGGTATTTATTTCTCTGACAATGCGAGAGTGCCAACCAAGGCCCGGCCTGGGCTTCCCCCCTCCACCCATTCTTCCGGTGGAAACAGGTCAAACATGCCCACCTTTCGCAGTACTGGCACCGCAGCTCGAATAGCAGGTTCAAGAGCCTGCCTTTCCTGTTCGTTCCCTTTATCGTATGCCTTGATATTCACCAAGAGGGCCCCGACCGTGCCGGTGGGCAGCTTGTCGCCGTTTGGAAGTGTGACGACGGGGAATGATCCTGCGGCCGCTCCAAGTGTTTGATTGTTGATCTTGTGAAGCTCGGATGCTGTGGAATCTGTAGCTTCGTCTTTGGTGTGTATCTTTTGGACAAATTGCGCTCCAAACTGCAAATTACCATGGCGTAGTCCCATGATGACGTGTTGCGGTTGGGCAGCGCGCCGTTGGATCGAGGGGCGGCATATTTGAGCCACGAGGCGGAATTGGGGAACAGATGCCATGATAGCAGCTACAGCAGTATCGCTTAGTGCTAGCAGATATCCAGTCGTGAAGAAGGATTGAAGAGGCAAGGTTGGCTGAGTGAGGTGCTTTCTTTCTGCGTGTGGTTGTCGTCAGCTTGCTGATCCACTTGGCAGGGGATCATATCTGAATAGAGTAACATCCATGTTACATACCAAGCCTCCGAACAGGACTCTCCACGGCGATGGAGACATAGCGTCGAGTTTCATACAAGATTTAGACTTAAATGGAAATTTTAGTACTAATTGAACAAGGAATATTTAGACGAACTCTTTGATGTCAATATACGTGGAAGAGAGCCACTGTCAATGCCAGGTGTAGCTGATTCATACACAGTCAATCACGTCCAGTACATTGTTCAAGGTGCTTTCTCATGGGAAACGATACGCTGCATACCATCGGATATCCCCGACACATGTTCTCCTCGCTTATATCCCCGGACCAACTCAGGGTCGACGAACAGAGATCACCGACAGCCCGAACATTCATCTACACGCGCACACGATGCCTCAATTCGGAAATACCCCGGCATGAATCTTTTCTCCTTATACGAAGAACCGAGCAGACGCTAATTGCAAAGTTTGGCTTTAATCGACGTCATGATCATGCTGCTAGCACGCGACTATCGTCGGTCGAAGCGAGCGGCTGTTGCACTAGTCTCCACCATCGCCTTTGGATCTTTTTCAGCTATAAGCAGCTGAAGCTGTGGCTCCGCGCAGATCTATGCCACAGCCTTGAAGCATAAACCTAAATAGAGAGAGATCTACTTCTCACTTGCCTAAATAACGCCTCGTCTGACAGGATGCTATTCCCATGTTTACCCAGGCGCTGCGTTCCGACTTCAATATCTGCCTCGCGCTGGGTCAACTCGAAGAACCGAGAAGTACGAGCCGGCTTCGGATGAATAGAGAAATAAATCTTAAGAAAATTTACAAAGTCATGTTGTCATATTACTATAGATGATGCGTGAGATTCAAGTATAAATAGGCAAGATATGTGCTCGGTCTAATTGAATTGTTCATCACCAACACCCTCAACCTACACTACAATCCCAAGTCTTTATTGCAAACTTTTCAACCATTCTTCTTTTTAAAAAAGACAATCTTCAATATGCAGTTCTCTACCACCGTTGTTACTCTTGCCGCCGTTGTTGCTGCCGCTCCCAATGCCCAGCAGGCCGCCAAGCTTCGACAGGACAGACTCGAGCTGTTCAAGAACGAGGCTCAGATCATCCACACTGATGCTGCGCAGGCTGGATGTGACTGGGGCAGTAAGTATTTTTATTTTTAGGAATATTATCCACCTTCTAACTCGTTCTTCTCTACAGAGTGCATCACCGCCCTCGCTGGTGAGACCGCTGCCTGTGGTGCCGCAGCTGTTGAGCTTGGCGCCAGTACGTTATACCTTAGGGATGGTACTAGTAGCCCTGCTAACGAATTTCAAAGATATCTTCGCCGACATTGCTTGCATTGCATCTGTTGGAGGTGCCATCGTGAGTCCATTTACACCCCGTACTGTTTGGTTCCATGCTGACACCATATAGAACAACGCTGCCTGCGCCAACTGCCCTTAAAGTTATTGCACCAGGGCCCTATTAGAATTATAGGGTACAATGTTCAAAGCCAGAAAGTTCTCTCTGACATGGAAAAATTGAAACCCACATGGAAGCTATACTCGGGAATGTTCATAGAACAATGTCGAGAATCTTACTTCTGCAACCGTGTTCCGTCGCAACGACCTTTATCATGTAACGATTCGATCTTTAAAAATGCCTGTATGTCTTCTGTTGCTCTGCATTTATATCTTCTATTATTTTATAGGAAGGCCGTGGAAATATGGCTCTGTAATGTCATAGCGGTCTAATGCTACAGGGTATCGTGGGGTATGTGTTGGTCGGCATCCATCTCCAGAGGCGCAAACGAATTATCTCCTTCCATCTCCATCACCACATCCGAAGATATTTCACACAATGGGGTTTCTACAACTTTCTTTTTGACATCTTCCTTTTCGGGCTGTATTGTTGATTGATCAGGTGCTTCGTTCGGAGAAATTGCCGTATCCTTTCCGGGTGCTAAGCGCTCAATGTCGGTCGCAGCACGTCTCTTTCTTATCTTATTGAAAAACAGTCCCCCAATAGCCAAGCCAAGCACAACTAGGGGAATGAGAATCCCAATCACAGCTTTAGCACCTGTCGACAACTCGTGGCCTTCTGTTGGGGCACCGGGGAGTGTCTCGTGCTTGATATAGATCATTTGAACATCAAAGGCGTAGCCTCTGGCGTTGCTTGCTATCGTCAGCGGCGAAGAGTCGTCTGTTTGTGTCGCGCAACTTGATCGGGTAAAAGTCGCCCCAGCATACGCTGTGGATATACATGATCGACCGCCTCCATAACAGGCATATCCGCTGTAACGCTTTTGTTAGTAAACAAGATTGACGAGGATGCTCAGCATCGTGTGCGGGGTGCTTACCTTGGACAACATCCGATGGCCATTTCTCCGTACTGCAAGGCAGCCCAAGCTAGTGTTTTACCTTGCAAATCTGTCATCTGAGTTTGTGGTACCATTGTACAGGCTCCTTCATAACCGACAGGACAGCGGTCTCCCGGCGAGTATACGGGAATGGTCTCGAGCTGGTGCCCACCGCCGAGCTTTTGAGAAAATGTTTGTATGAATTGGCTCGGAAGGCAACCATCTGCAATTTGCACATCTGCACAAAGGCGACCTCGTTTAAACGTCCATATTACACTTAGGGAGGGCTCAGCGCTGGTATCTGCGCGGTAATCTGCAAACTTCCCCAATGTTGTACAGGACTGTGGTGGCGTAAAATCGGTAGTTAAGGGCCCTACGACCACTTTTGAAGCTGGCAGTGGGACAAGGCTATCAAATACTTGGCCAACTACCCGAATATTGGAAACGCTCGTGGACTGTATGTGGGAATCTGCGCTCTGACTACCAATAACTTGCTTTCCTGATATTGAGGCACCATGGAGGGTAGCAAATCGACTTTCTGCAACCGTTGTTTGGTGACCGATACCGGACTCTGGAGCAACCAGTTGTTGACCAGTTACAGTTACTGAAGCAAGTGGAAGGGTACCTGTATTGAAGACTGGGGTGTTATGCGCTGAATGGATTTCTAACGCTGGATCATGCCGTCCAGTTCCACTGGGTACTGCGGGATAAGACTGACCTTCAATGCTAGGCTGCGGGCCTTGGAGGCCTTCTGAGAGGATTCCAGGCTCTTCAGGATTCGGATGTCCGTTTCCAGGTTTCGCAGGAACAGGGCCAACTATCGTTGAATAGGAGCCGTCGATGTTTGTCTTGGTGTATGTAGTAAGGTATGGAGTGACGACTTGGATTGGGCTAACCCTCGTATCAGGTGCTGGCTTAAGAATCTGTGAACCAATCGTGGTTAAATTATTCCTCGATGTGCTTGTTGAGTATGATAGCGCGGTAGTGTCTATAGTACTGGACGTGGTAATAGATACGCTGTGGTCAATGTTTCCATATGTAATTGTTATCTGGTGAAATGAGGTCGCATGATCTTCGTCGGTTGAATGTGCTTCTGTAAAGCTTGTGGTGGATTGAGTGGCATCGTTTTGAACACCAGAGGCGATTGCACGTAGCCACTGCGGCACGGCCATTTTGTCGTTGTGATTCGATTAAAAGAGTGTATTCAGCAAGCTCTTTAGATGTGTGAGTTTTAGCCAAAGCATCCGTATTTGAGGAGAACCTCTGCGCGGGCATGACTTCTTCAAAAATACAAAGCTTGTTCTTCTACTAGCGTCGGGCGTAGCCTTGTTTGGTAACTGGTTTGCTAGACCCTACAAAGAAGGCTGCGCGACTCCGCAACAGTGCATGGATAAGCTTACTGTGCGCCCAACTTCAGCTCCTACGAGTTGAAGATGAGATTTCCGCAGTTCCAATGCGCTACCTTGTCAGTGACGAATGAATCAAGTCTCTTGTCCGACCCGCTTTGTAATCATACCAAATATTCCTTTGATTTGACTTATGCGTTCTTACTGGCTCTAGACTTTGAATCATCGCCAGTCAGCAACAAAGTAAACGGAAATTGGTGAAGGTGGTTATAATGGCTCGCTACTTGTTGGTGTGGCTTGGTAGATGTGGGACCAGTAACAAGGATGCCAGACCGGATGGTTGGCGCAGAATTGATTGGAGACCAAGACTATTGGAGACCAAGATTATTGTAGATATGTACGAAAAGTAACACTTATATATCAAAGAAGTTCATTGCCCCTGGCTAGTGACCTTTTTCAAAAGAAAATCGTTTGGTTGTGGCCTGTGGCTCTAAGGCAGATGCCTCATCATGAGGACTTAGCGGAGAAAGGATCACGTCTGGAGTCCCCAAGCGGTCTGCCATCGCTGTATCCTTGATGGTAATGGTTGGTTGGGTCTCATGAAAGTTATTGTTGTCAAGTTCGACCGGTGAGAATGCGTCCTCCGGAACTTCCACAACACCCGTGTCAGCAAGTTCGTAGATTTCCATTTCGTTATCTTTTCCATCAGCCTCTGCTTTAAATGCCTTCATGTCTCCTTGCAGCTCAACGGTAAGCTCGGAACTCCCTTCTAGCTCATGTTCGCTCTTTTCGTTTGTAGTTGCTGTGGTTTTGCGGCGTTGGCGGCGACGACGCCTTGATAGTATATACCCGACGAGAGTTATTGTAATGACCGCCAACCCAACACAAGTTCCTATTGCTGCTTTCGCGCCACTTGAAAGGCCATGATCGGCTTCCACATTCCGTATATAAACAACTCTCGGGGCACAGCCTATCGCAATGGTGCTAGAGCCAATACTCGCTGTTAGCGGCGATGAGCCATCGTTAGAGCAGGCTGTGTTAGTGACCAGAGCGCCAGGTGTCGCGGAAGAGAAACAAGAGATGCCGGTGGGCTCACATTGATACCCTCTATAGACCATTAGCAATTGTACGAACTGATGGATGCGGATAATAGTGGTCATACGATGGACAGCAACCTACGGCAGTCTGCCCCGCATTCAACATCCACGAGACACCAGTCATCATTGTGCAAGCTGAAGAATACCCAACCGGGCAACCTAGCGCAGGTGAAAAGACAGGCAAATGGGCATCGGCGCTTTTGCCATCTAATGCTGTCTCATAGCCATAGCGCTGTCCCGAGATATACGGTAAGCAGCTACTGTCGACCATGTCGGGGATGCATCCTGCTGCATAGAGCCAACCCCATGATGACTGCAAGCCACCGTCCGGCTTGGTTGTTACTGTCGAATTCAACTGCCTTATTCCTGCACACGACAAAGGAGCTGTGAAAGACTCATTAAGCAACCCTGCCGCAGTCGCAATGATGCTGTATGTGACGCTTGAAGTGCTGCTTCCGGTAGGCTGACTTGGCAGAGTCGACCAGGGAGGGGGAGCTGATTGAGGTCGGCTGGAAGACGACGTTGGTATTGGTGATGGTTCTGTTGTGCTCATTGTAGGCAAGATTATCCCAATTAAGGCACGGACTGTCTAGTATAATGCTTTATTTAGAATTGGCACGGTCGCTCGCAACATGAAAATGAAAATGAGTTAAACGCTAGCCGCGATGGGCTACAGTCAGCAAAGTGAAAAATCAGGCTGTGGCAAGCCCAACCAGCACCAGGGCTTGCCACGCACGGTCTAGGCTAAGTTCCAAGAAACCATTTTAACGAAGCGTTCAAAAATCATCTACTCTGAATTGAGAGTTGGGGAATGCATGGAAATGGCGCGATGGGCATTTCTTGCATATCACACCGTCTTCTGCTTTCCCCGCCGCTGGCCTGGGTAACACGCCACTGTTGGGCAATCGGTTTATCACTCTTATCTGACAGTTGTCGGCGCTAAGGCCATGTCGTGCTGGACAAGAGGCCCATTCTTGCAGTCCGCGCGTTTCAAAGAACCACTTGGAGTGCTGGGCCGTCACTACGCTGGACGAATGAGAGTTGATGGTCAGTGTTCACAACGCACCTCTGCCCATGCAGGGGCGAGCTTGCTGTTGTTAGCTTTTCTTCTTGGCCCCAAAGTGGAGGTCAGCGACGCATGTCTGCGCTCATGGCTGTTAGCTTCGGCCTCAATGTGTAGTAGCGGCGTAGAGTAGCGTGACTTTGTTTTTTCAAAGGCGGCGCTAAGCTAGGCCAGGAACAAGCTCAGGCCGACGGCCTAGCTAAAGGGTTCCAAGCTCGGAACGCCGAAAGGCATTCCAGGAACGGAAGCTGAGAGATTTTGTCTTATCAAAATCGCTATTGGAAACATGGCTGGCAGTACACTGTGCATCTACCCGGACCCGGCATCTAAGAACAATGTCGAGACCATTCTTTTCGGGTCGGCAGCCCCGCCGTTTTCTTTGTTCTTGATGTGATCGGCAGGGCGAGATATCTTCCTATTGGGTGGCCCCTATTCACAGCACGGGTAAGCTCAAGCCCCATTGTTTTAAGTGCCTTCCCCTGCTTGGTAACCCTTGCTTCCCCTTTGGACTTCGGCGCTAACCAGTCCCCTGTTGTTTCTTGAAAACGTTTCATCTGGCAGAATAGGCTTTCCTCCGGATGAAGAGAATCAATTGTGTTTGTGACTGTTTGTGCCCTAAGCACACAGTGGACGGACACCACCTTGGTCCAAGCACACGGCACCAATGCTGCAGGCCCCAACCGCGCGCTTGGTTCCAGACCCCCTCTTCGTCCAATGACAGCTTTACAACAATAAAGTGTTGGCCCCCAAATTAGTTCTTTGACCTGCTGTTTGCTTCCCGCTGCTCAGGCCCTTTTCGTCCCCGTCGTGCGTTATCTGTGTAACTTGCCAGGTCCATCACATAAAGGCGCTCTCTGTCCCTCGTCCGTGACGATGTGGTAAACACAAATCAATCTTTTCTCTTCTTTCGGTATCATTTTGTCTATTGCTGCTGTGCAGCTAGTCTCTCCTTTACTTCAACTTTTCTCTTCCTCCATTCCTTTGCTGCGTCTATTGCATAGACCAGCCCTTTTACCCCAACACTAGAAACCCAAGCATTGGCCATCTTGCCTCTTTCTATTGTATTCTTTTTTCTTTCATTTTTTTTTTTAGCTCGCAAACATCATCATGCGTTTCTCCACTACAGTTTTCATGGTGGGCGGCATTCTTGCCAACTTGAGCTACTCTTCTCCCTGTGCACCAGCCCCCAAGCCTGATGCCGTTGCTCAAAACCAGGTTTCGAACCCAGCTACTACCACCAACGCTGGATTCCCAATCGTCAACATCGACAAAGCTTCTACCCAATCTCAAAATGGACAAAACAAGCCTAAGGGCAAACAAGGAGGTGAAGGGGACGAGGACGAGGACGAGGACGAGGACGATGATGATGACGATGATGACGATGATGACGATGATGACGATGATGACGATGACGATGATGATACTGTAACTACCTCAAAGAGTCAACAGCAATCTCATCATACTAAAACTCATCATTCTGGTCATTCCAAGCCAACAGGCTCTCATCACCATACCGCTTCGTCACACAAGCATACGCCTACATCCAAAGCAAAGTCACCTGAGGCCACTTCGCAGCAGACTTCCGAGGAATCCCCAGCATCAACACAACAATCTTCTGCTCCAACTGAGCTACCCGCATCCAACTCGATCCAGCCAACCGGTAACTTGCCCAACTCCCAGAACCCTGTCAACACCGTTGCTACCACGGGGTCCAGCGCTGCTCAACCGACAATCTCCACCGTTGCCAACACCTCGGACTCTATTGAGACGACCAAGCCAACCGCTACTGCTGTGGCGCAACCGTCAAGCAGCACCACTGCCAAGCCAACCACTCCAGCGACTGGATCTGACGGACAGGTTTGGAAGCCAAAGGTTGGCCAAACATGGCAAATCATTCTGCGTAATACTATTGACAGCCAGGTCACTAGCTTCACACCTGATGTTGAGATCTGGGACCTTGATGTCAATGAGCAGTCTGCTGAGGCAATCGAAAAACTACATGCCGCTGGAAAGAAGGTCATCTGCTACTTCAGCGCCGGCTCATGGGAGAACTGGCGCGCTGACAAGGACAAGTTTGATGCCTCTGACCTAGGTAATGTGATGGAAGGATGGCCCGATGAGAAGTGGCTCAAGACTGACAGCGCCAATGTCCGAGCCATCATGTCCACTCGTATCGCACTTGCAGCTTCCAAGAAATGCGATGCTATTGATCCCGACAACGTTGACGGCTTCGCCAACGCTGACAATGGCGCCGGTTTGACCAAGGCAGGAGCCATCGACTACATCAAGTTCCTCTCCAAGGAAGCCAGGTCTCACAACATGGGCATTGGCCTGAAGAATGCGGGCGAGATCATCGACGATGTTCTCGATGTCGTTGATTTCTCCGTCAATGAACAGTGCGCTCAATATGGCGAGTGTGGGACATTCGCCAAGTTCATCAAGGCCGGAAAGCCCGTTTTCCAGATTGAATACCCCAACGAGAACAAGAAGAAGCGCGAGGCGATGAGCTCAGCTGCGGAAAAGACTTGCCACTCTATGGAGTCGTCCAACCTTTGGGGATTCAGCACCGTCATTAAGAATCTCAGCCTTGATGGGTGGGTTCAGTACTGTGATGGTAGCACCTTTTCCACCAAGATTTCTAAGTGAGCGCTTGACAGCTAACTCACCAACACCCTGGCGCTCGACTCTGCGCGGCACCACGCTCCTTTTCATTCTTCACACTCGTTTATGACCCTTTTATGATGCGTTTCTTTTTACTTCATTCACTCAACATCTCAATTCAGAGATTTTGTATTTACAGTTCTGTTGTTTTTGTATTTATAAAACCTTTTAGATAGACCAAGCCTTAGGCTCACCACTGCGGCGAGTCTGTTCAATATAGCAGTTGGCTTTCATGCCAGACAGATTGAATAAACAAGACGGATTTATACTCGCTGTCATATGAGGTGTGCGATATATGTGGACTTCTGTTGTGTGCGAAGACAGTGTCCGATCGACCAAGATCGGCGAAACTCGCTGCTATCAAATGAAGTTGAGGTGACTTGCGATGGTGTTAAGTGTTGCTGGGGAAGATAAATCTCGAGCTGAAACCGGTATACTACGATTCACCATCCATCGACACCACGACAGTCTTCATCCAACTTGTGCTCAATATCCTTCCATACAGTGCTATCTCGTCACCTATCGAATAATTTTCGAATCACAATATGTTAAAGTTTTATGACAGGGAATTCATGTCTGGTACCGTTTTCATATGCTGTAATGTCCCCTATGTGTCGCAGCTGTATACTTCTAGACTTTTGCATCGCCAATCTTCCAGCATGCGAAGCATCGAGGCACCTATTTTTCGCTACATAACCATATGTATCGTTATTGACACTACCAGGAAACGGAATAAGCGACCATGTAGCCTTATCTGAAAAATACATTATTCAATCCTACCTCAGCGCCGCTGGACCAGGACTCACATGCGCCTCGGCATGTCTCAGTAGCAGTGGTGTACTATTCCTGGCACGATCCCTAAGGGGATAGGGAACGGTCCATCGTGAACGTCAAAGAAGTGATATTTGAATTGCAAGAGTCATCCTAAATTCATTTATTCAATGCTGAAGTACTATCTAGTGAGATGATGGCTTGGTTGGTCTGTTTTGGCAGAGCCTGTGGCGGCAAAATGGTTGCACGTTTGTGTTGCAAATTTCTACGTTCCTGGTAGAACTACAGATTTGAGATTCGGTTTCGGTTGGTGGTCAAAGAACATAGACAAATAAGGTAAAATGGTTTATGTTACATATAGTTCTTGGAATCACATTACCATTGTCTATGATGCTATGTTTCCCGCGCCGCTTTATATAGTCCGGCAGCCACAACAATTACTTTCGCAAAGCTGATCCCCATATGCATTAGTATTATCAAGGCAAAATGCGATCCATTTCCGTGGTACTCTCTACTATTCTAACAGCAACTTACGCGCTGCCGTCAGCCGACAAGATCTCTCCTGATACCATTAACATCGGCTTCGATGACCCTGAATATGGTAAACATGCTTTGACTATGGAGAAGCTTATGCAAGAGAAACTTCGATTCTGGCAGGAAATGGAGGATATTGGAGGTTTCAACGATACATATGAGGCTTCTGGGTCAAAGGCTTGCTCAGGCGGCAAAGCTGGTGAATACAAGTGCAGCAACATCGACCTCATGAGCTTCCTACCCCATTCTAGCCTGGGTGGCAAGAGCGCGAAGGGCAATGATGTCTGGGGTGAGTTAAATACAATTTGAAAATGTGCAACTACTAACGCATTTGTTAGGCTGGACATCACCTGATGGCCGTGAATTTGGCGTTGTTTGCCAGTGGGATGGAACGGCTTTTGTCGAAGTTAAGAAGGATGGCAGCATGGTCTATCTCGGCCGATTGAATTCCCAGGCAGGAGCATCACAGTGGCGCGATGCAAAGGTTATCGCCGATCACGCCTACATTGGTGCCGAATCCAGTGGCTCTGGTATGCAGATTTTTGACCTCAAGCAGCTCCTTGACATCAAACCGGATGCCCCAAAGATATGGGCGAAGGAAGATGTTGTTTTGTTCAAGGAATTTGGAAACTCTCACAACATTGTCGCCAACCCCGCAACACACACCATCTTTGCAGCCGGCACGGGCAAGGATCTCAAGTGCAAGGGCGGTCTCTGGATGGTCGATGTCAAGGATCCCAAGAACCCCAAGGATGCAGGCTGTGTCGCTGAAGATGGCTACACTCACGATGCTGATTGTGTCATCTACAATGGGCCACACAAGCAATATCAAGGTCGGGAAATCTGCTTCAACTACAACGAAAAGCAGCTGGCCATCTTTGATGTTACGGAGCGCTCCAAGCCTAAAATGTTGTCGAGAATGACATACAAAGACGCTGTTTACTGCCACCAGGGCTGGATCATTGACCCCGAAATGAAGTATCTCGCGTTTGATGACGAGGCTGATGAGAACTTCGGCTGGGGCCCTGCGAAGGGCGGCAAGACCATTACATACATTGTTGACATCCAGGATCTGACTGCTCCCAAGATTACTGGCTACTTCCAGTCTTCGCAAAAGGCGAGCGACCACAATCTGTACTCCATCGGTGGCATTGTGTACCAGTCCAACTACGGTGCAGGTCTTCGTGTTATTGACATGCGTTCCGTTGTGGAAGACCCGACCGGCAAGAAGTTCCAGGAAATTGGCTACTTTGATGTTAGACCTGAAGACGATGCTGAGGGAGGCAAGCCAGGCTACGTCGCCGCTTGGTCTGTCTATCCTTTCTTCAAAAGTGGTCATATTTTGATCAACAGTATCGAACGTGGTATCTTCTCCGTTAAAATGAGAAGTTAAATGAAAGCTAGTACGAATGTCCGCGAAAGGACTGCGAAGTCAGCAGAGAACATGACAGTTTATCTTGTCTGAGATTACTCCAAATTGAATATAAGTTATATATTTATCTGTGAATATTTTGCGGGGATTTTATAAACACTCTTACACTTAATTTATCAATAGCAGAGTAGGCGTGAATTGATCCTCTCCTCACACTCTATCTGGCTTGCCAGCTCTAGTGTAAGCCGAACTCCAGTTCGTGCATAGCCATAATATGCCGGCACAGTTGTGCTCCGCCACGTTTAAGCGCCCACTGGACCTCCCAAGATGCACGCCGAGCAAACCGTAATATATTCAAAGAAGCAAAGTCCAGAGGCAGACGGGCAGCTACTGCAAACCCACAATTAGTTTGTTAACGGTTCAACGCCTGGGATCTACTTGTCGGAATTCGGCACGGGAAACGTCCACAGGTGTATGTGGTCGATGGGGGCTGTGCAAGTGCTGGCAAATCAGATCCAGCGAGCAAGCGCCGATGGTCCAGATGCATGTCATACACGCCCTGATAGGCCATTGAACCTTGCAACTGCGAAGCGATTCTACGAAAACCCAGCATCTATGTATACTATAACTCGGCTCCTTTGGTAGAGCATAGCCACGCTCCTGCACGTAGCAGCGGCTCACGGCCGGGATATGGATGCCGGGGGCTTGTGTCGTTTGTTCTTGCGTGAGAGCCGGGACGTGACATATAACTGTCCCCCAGAGCCTTCTCATTATTCTAATACATCCAATTCTACAGACCAAATCTTTTAATCTTATTTTTGTCAAATATTCCCAAGATCCATCACACACATACACCATGGGCCTCGTGAAAGACGCTCTCAAGCTTATTGCCATTCCCGTTATTGTGGCGGTGGTCGTGATCGCCGCCGCCCTGTTCATTTTCTGCTGGCGTAGAAGGCGTGCAGCACAGAAAGACCTGGAAAAGGCTGCCGCTGAGCGACCGGCCTACATCTGTCCTCCACAACCACCACCAAATCACGCGTACAGTGGCATGCAACCGAGCGAAGTGACCCAACCACCGCAATACTATGCTCCCCCCAAGTGAGCAGCCAATCTTGGGCCATATCTGACAATGGGCAATCGAATCAACGACGACTGTCGCGGGCGACGGTATTGTGTACAGCATGGACGGCGATGGGATGTTGAGGAATGCCGCCAGATTTCATGGTGCTATTTTTTTATCTGGGCCTTTAATGGAGTCATTTGCATATTGCATTTTATTTATAGAGCATGATTTATGAAATATTCCATTTAACTGTCTATGAACCTCGAACAGTATTGGTAGTTGTGATGTCGTCGGGTGTGGTGGCGCCAGCCTTGATCGGAAATATTTCGACCTTCGTGGCTCCTGCAACACTACAGATGATCTTCGTCTTGCTTTATAAATACGATCCAAAATGATACCTTAGATTCGACGAAGTGTATCGGTAGATCCTCCAAAATTAAACAGTGTCGCGGAAGGGGTGGACGGTTTAGCAGACGAAAACAACCGTAGCGTCGTATTGATGCGTGTTAAGCGACACCAGTATCGACAGCTTCATACTGGCACATAGCCCAAATTGTTTAAAAGGCACTCAGTCGTCGCGTGATAAACTACCTTTTTAACATTCAATACCAAATTTCACAATGGCATCATTCTTGACACGGAAAGAATCTCTTCTCGACTATGAAACCCGTCACCTATCAATTTCTCCTCGGGTCATTTGCCGCCTTCGGTTCATTCTTGTTCGGATACGATCTCGGGGTCATTGCTGAGGTAATTTCCACCGATGACTTCAAAGATAAGTTCCTTCATAGCAATGCCAATGAGAAGACAGGCGCAGTGGTTTCGTTGTTTACCGCTGGCTGCTGCTTTGGCGCGGCACTGTCTAGTTATGTCGACATCCTGGGTCGACGGGGAACTATTGTCCTCGCTAGTATTATTTTCATTATCGGCGGCATGATTCAGACAGTCGGGCTGGTGATTGAAATGCTTTATGTTGGGAGACTAATTGCAGGTTTTGGAACCGGGTTACTCGTAGTAAGTAAGGAAGACTACATCGCCGCATCTGTTTACTAACTAAAGCAGATGATTATTCCCGTATACCAATCTGAGATTGCACAACACAATATGCGAGGCCGTATAGCTACGCTTCAGCAGCTGTTTTCGGCTCTTGGACAAGTGACAGCTACCTGGGCTTCGCTCGGCGCATATTCTGCATGGAATAAGACAGACAGCCGCTCATGGCGCGTGCCTTTGGCACTGCAAGTTATGACAGCTATACTACTGGGAGCCTTCATATTCTTATTGCCTGAGTCACCCTGCTGGCTCTGTAGCAAGGGCCGCAATGAACAGGGTCTTGCAGTTCTTGCGCGCTAGCACGCTCACGGAAACAAAAACGACAACTATGTTCAAAACGAATTTCGCCAATTTACAACTCTCATAAACGACACAAGCGAGAAACCATAAATGGGTTACAAGAAGTTATTCTCTTCGGTGGCAAACCTGCGTCGCACAATTTTAGGTACAATGATCCAAGCTGGATGTCAAATGACTGGCGTCTCAGCGATCCAGTACTTTTCTCCGGAAATATTTGGCCAGTTGGGCATTTCTACAGAGTCAACATTATTATTTGTTGCAATCAATGCATGTATTGGCTTATGTGGTACGACAGTTTGTATCCTTACGATCGACAGGATTGGACGTCGTCCACTTGAAATATACGGCTCGTTCGTCATGGCTGCGACTTTTCTCGCCAATGCCATCCTGATTAAGCAATTTCCCGCCGACAATCCCAACTCCGCGGCTCATTGGGGCTTTATTATTATGACTTGGGTCTTCAACTTTGTCTTTTTTATATCCTCAGCTCCACTCTCCTGGGCGATTCCTCCAGAACTTTGGAGCACATCGCTGCGCACGAAAGCGGTATCGCTGGGTGCGATGACATCGTTTGCTTTCAACACTCTAATTGGTCAAATTACTCCTCTTGCTATTAACTCCATTGGTTGGCGGTTTTATCTCATATTTGTTATCTGCAACATAACCAATGGCATCTTCTTTTGGGCCTTCTTGCCAGAGACAAATGGCATCAGCTTGGAACAAGTGGATGATTTATTTCAAAATTGTCCGCTGTTTATTCCGAGCTCCAAAGGCTATTCAACAAAGGGAAGTTGCTTTCAAAAGTAAAATTTATATTCATCTCGGTGGGCTCCATTCACCAGAGAGGATAGCAATGAAGAATAGTGGCGTGAACATAGACCATGATCATTTATCCTGTCGGACCCGCAAAAGTATTGATAACTTTATATATACAATAATAGTATCAAATATATACAATTTAGTTGGTACCGGAGCAGGCAACAAAGTTGTTACCACTGGCGCCCTGGTGAGTAATAACACCAGCCTCCTCGCAGTTGGCGTTGATGATGACGCGGTCAGCACCAGGTTTGCCTATTATGTTGTTAGTAAATAGGAATAATGCTGTAAGCAAACGAAGTCACAAACCGCCGTTGTATATCTTGCCGCTGGAGAGGATGGGGAACTCGTAGTAAGGTCCGCTCACTCCGTTGAAGTTGAAGCCCTCGTAGTTGTTGTACTTGTGAGGGTAGGTGGAGCTACCAGCAGTGTCGCCGTTTTGAACATGTTGGCAAGACGCCTGGGAAGCGGAATCGACAGCACCGGCGGAGTAGTGGGTGCTACCACAAGTAGCAGCAGCACGGCGCTCAAGCTCAGCAGGAGCGGCGCTGACGACGGCGAGGACGGAGAAGAGGGCGGTAATAGAGAACTGCATGATGGGCGGTGGGGATGGCTGAGATCACAAATCACAGTAGAACACGACGAGCAGCTCACAGGACTTTTATAATTCGGTCCATTGAGACGCTAGATCAGCTCTAGCTGCTGAAAGTGGGCGGGAAGAGCGGGATTGCCATAGCCAAGGCCGTCAGCACTATCTCAGCAGACACCTGAGTGGGCGATGTGAAACTCGATGTGGAGAGTAATGGGGTCGCCTAATGGACTTTTGGTCACCGATCGACGCAGACAACCGCAGATCAAGCCACTGCCCACTTGTTACGGCACCACGTGCAGCTGAAGAACTCAGGGCAAGGGAAACTTTGTTCACTAGTGCCGGCTCTATTGATCAATGCATCGTCTGGGGACAGGTCGAATGCCAGCGGACAAAAACAACCACTGACGATCACCACGAAGAAGTATTTTGGAAGTAGATGAGAAAAGACAATAATTATAAATGCTTCCTAGGATATACTAAACGGTAACATACATTTTTGGCTAATTGAATCGAGCAAACTCCATGTTACAGGCGTCCGGCTGCACTTCAGACGCAGCCCTAAGGCGCTCGGTATTGGGGCGCTATGGACCCGCGTCATGTAGCTTGCACGTGCTGTTGTTGATGCTGGATTTGATGCACAGCAATTGCAAGTGGGTAGAATCTAAATTTTGGCAAATTTCCCAATCATCTAAGCATAGATGTTGGCCCATCCGCCTTTGATACATTCGCTGGTAGCAAAGACGCGACCGTTGCGAATCAAACAGCGTGGATCGTATTTTGCCTTGATTTGGATAAGCCGCTCAACATTATCGCCCCAAACCATGCGGCCACTGTCACCCGGTGATATGTAGTTTGGATAATTGGCAATAAATCCTCCGGTTTTACGCTGTTGGTCATATGTGAGTTGATTGAATGCTTGAAGTGCAGCTCGGGCACAGGCATCGCCAGTTGCACGTCGATAAGCTGGTGTAAACAACATTTGATGACCGACTTTGGAATGGGGCCAGGCAGTATCAGTATCAAGCTTAGGAAGCCTTCCATTGAGGCCAGGGAACATGTACTGGACCACCATGGAAGCTGAGTATGGATGCTCGCCGGCCAGAATTTGCTGGTCGATGTAACGGCCAAATGAAGACGTCAGTGTTTGAAGGAACGCAACATCAATTTGTGATGTCTGCGGCCCGTAAAACCCACGCCGATATCCATATGGATAGGCTGCTTGGCCAGCAAAGACCAAGTCCGAGTAGTATTTACTCGTGATAACGGCACCGTTCTTTGTATTGATACCAGAAAAGATGCTGGCAAACGCGGCGTTATTGTCTGGTTGGTTCGGCTGGGTTGGGTCGTCAAAATGAACCGTAATCAGCAAGGTGCGCTTGGCGTAGTCAGCTGGGGTGGGATTTTGAAGCGTCGAAGGTAGGTAGCCGTAGCTGTAATACACAACACTAAATGGATCTTTATTGTGTTGAAACCATGCAACTGTTTGCTCTTGTAGTCGAGGGACGTCGGCATCATCAATGTAGTAAAAGCCGAGGGTGCTTGTTTTTGGTTCCCGGACTGCTTCCTGCCAAAACCTGGTGACAACTCCAAATTGTCCACTTCCACCTTGCAAAGCCCAAAATAAGTCACGATACTCGTTGGTCTTCGTGGCCAAGACTATCTTCCCATCCGCCAATACAACTTCCATCTGTACCAAGCGGTCGACCGCAAAGCCGTGAGCGCCAGCAAGGAATCCAATGCCTCCACCAAGAGAGAATCCTCCCGCTCCAACATTGTCTACTCTTGCTCCCACAGCGGTATAACCACTTCCGTTTGTTGCCGTCTGAACCTGTCCCCAGGTGGCGCCTCCTTGGTATTCGATTGCCACGATTGTCCTTCCATCGCTGTGGCGAAAGTCATGAGCAACGCGAGCATTGGACATCTTGGAAAGATCCAAGACAAATCCATACGCGCTACTAGCATTAATCATACTGTGGCCACCGCACACAATGGCAAAATCGTTTCCCGTTGGTGACATGCGGGCTGCACGCACCGCAAAGCTGACATCTTCTGTCGAACCAGGATACACGACAACCTGGGCGTCTTTGCTGAATTGTGTACCCCAATAGCGTTGGGCATTGTGCTTTTGCAGGGGCTGTCCAAGACAAGAAACAGCCGCACTGTTTGATAGTTTGGAGACAAGCCATTGTAAACCATGATCTTGACGCACACAATCACCTTCAACAACAGGAACCGCAGCCACAATGGCCGCTAAAACAAATAATTGAATGAACAGAAAATGCATCGTCATGATTAAGGGAGCCGATAGAGCTCAATTTGGTACGACGGAATTATGGTGACCTTTTGTAGGACATGTGCTGGAGCCTTCTGCGGGCGCAGAACCAATATAAAATGCAAACTTTACGCCTCCATGCGTCATATTCCTACTGACAACGACATACAAACTTCCATTGTTGGTGGCTTGAGTAAGCTTTGACCGCGAACTTTGGTCAAGTGGCACACGCAAACACATTCAACAGTGCCATTGTTTGCCATGGCGTACTTGTGTAACCTGCATTGTTGGCCCCGAGCATGAGCACGAACCAACATGTGTCTGGCCGCGTCATACCAACGGTTACACTAACGGTCTTTTTTATTACGTTTTCGTCCTGACGCCGAGGCTGTGCGACAATTTCCACGCGCAGCCCCGTGCTGCATGTCGTAGATTCGCGCTGAAGATTGTCGCGATCTCCAATTCACTGAGGGAGGGTCCCAACCATCGGCCGCATGACTAAGAATTGGCTGCAGCATCAACTTTAAGTAATATACCCTCTCCTCTTTATCATGTTTTATCTATCAAATGTAGTCTAATCGATTCCAACTTGTTGTTTTGTTTTCTCAAAACAGAAAACAGTTGTCGGCTGTCCAACAGAGGCATCAGCTACCCTATAACGAAAGTCTGGTAATAAAGTCAGAGCAAAGACTGGAGGCCCATCTCCCTCTTGCCCTGCCTATCCTATACTTACTATATATAGTTGCTATCTACTCCCTTAACGGGCCTGACCAGAGATATGGCTACGTAGACGATACAGCTATGCTATTTATCGGCAAGACACTAGAAGAAACGTCCTGTAGAGCAGCGGAGGCTATCGCCTCTATGGAAGACTGGAGTCGTTCTTCAGCTATTACATTCGACCCCTCCAAGACCGAGATTATGCATTTCTCCCGCAAGAACAGCCAGGGGTCACCATCTGTCACCCACGGGACTAAGACTGTCATAGCAGCGACGTCCATGCGCTGGCTTGGAGTTCTTCTAGACAGGAAACTCATATTTCGAGACCACGTTATATTCTGGAAGCAAAAAGCTGCCCGTATCGCCGGTCTTCTTCGTAGTTTAAGTAATACTATCTCTGGTATAAACCCAGCTGCGGTCAGACACGCGGTTAATACCATCATTATCCCTGTGATCCTATATAGGATCGAGACCTGGCTTAACGACGACCCCCCTCTATCTGGAAGAGGTACAATATACCAGATCCCTCGGGGTAGACTCGATCTAATCCAGCAATGCCTAAATACTGCCTGTAGAGCAGTCCTACCTGTTTGGAAGACTACCCCAACTACCTACCTGTGGAAGGAAGCGGGCATCCCTCCTGCTAGCGAACTAGTGAAGGCAGCCCATTCTCGTATCTCCCTCCGGATCCCTACACTAGATGAAAAACACCCTCTCCGGGCCCGGCTTGATGACCTCAATCGACGCCTATCCCTTGAACGGCTCCCAGCGGCTAGCACTATAGTTGCGCGGAGACATATCCGACTCCTACGAATCACACGGCTACACGAGGATATCGCTAGCTCTCAATTGATTCCAGACCGTTTTAATACTTGTATACATACTATACTAAACAACCACTCTAGGGAAAAAGAAACAGAATTACACCTAGCTTGGCTCCGCACAAACCCAGCTGGCTTGATAGTCTATTCTGACGGTTCTAAGCTAGAAGACGGGAAAGCTGGCTATGGCTATATAATCTACGACACAGGCAAAGAGGTAGGCTCAGGCTTCGAACAGCTTGGCTACCAGGCTTTCTATCCATATTCCATATTCCATATGGAAGGTTTTGCGTATGGAACACAGAGCAGCAACCCGTATGGAATTTTTCCATACGTATGAAAAAAAAAACGATAACGTAATCAAGCCTACTGATTCGAGACTACTTAGATCGATTCCGTTAAGGGGCTCGCCCATCCTGCATGCTCGCCTTTTTCTCCGCTGTCACCGCCGCCCGCATCCTCGTCTAACGCATTCAATCCATCCAATAAATTTCCTTTTGTTATCCCGCTTTTGATCCAACTTTTCATGCACTCTCCCTTCTTAATGGTTTGCGCTCCTAGCTGGCATCTGTCCCATGAAATCGTGCGTCTTGCCCCGGAAAACACCCGCTCCGGCTCGGCGGACATGGCAGGCACTGATAGGATGTCCACCGCCATTCGCGAGAGCTCTGGCAAAGCTAGCAGCGCTTGCAATGCCTCCTTTGCATCTGGATCGACAAAGCGCACGCAAATTCCAAGGAATGCTTTATGGTTTGGAGCCGACCAAACGTCTGCGGAGAGATGCAGCTTCCACGGCGTCGACTGCAGCTTCCTCCGCAAGATATCTTTATGAACACTATAGGAACTCGCGACGAGCTTCTGTATAGAACCGTTCGAGAGACTGATGACATCATCTGCCATAGGATTGACTGCGGATATGAGCGCGTGCAACTCCGGCCACGAGCTGCAGTTGTAGGAGAGGTTGCGGACCGTGACCAGCTGAACTAGTGCCTCGCGTGCTGCCTTGGGGTTAACGGCATCTCTTAACACGACTTCCTCTCCAGCTAGCCTCTTTGCCGCGTGCACCTCCCCAGCCTTAGCGAAGGCATCCTGAATAAGGCGATCGCGCTGCCTTTTGACAGGATGCTCTGCCGCCTCTACCTCAATATCATGAACCTTGAACAGATGATTTCGGAACGTCGTTGAGACACTTGTAGAGTATGTTGGATTTATACAATACCTGCAATAGTAAATCTTTTCATTTTTACGACCGCAGCGGCTGGGCTCTAAGCCGGTGGGGTCGCGGGCGTGGGCCCAGGTGCTCGCCGTAGCCTTTCGCTTTCGCGACGGTCGCTCGCTGGAAGAACTAGCAAGTTGTGGCACGCCGCTGATGGTGGATCCCAGCGGCAGGTCCATGGCGGACATTGGAAGCCGCCACGAATCTACTGACCCTGCGGACGTTCGCGATGACATTACAATCGGTGATGCGAGGGTGCAGGAGGAAAAAACACAATGATACCCCTGCAACATGGTACGCTAAAGGATAATCAATTCTCCGCCGTATGGAAAACCTATTCCATACGTATGGAATAGTATCTCGACGTATGGAATATGGAATATGGAATATGGAATATGGAATATGGAATATGGAAAATTCCATCCATACGCGTATGGATAGAAAGCCTGTTGGCTACCGCGAGGTCTTTGACGCTGAAATCACGGGAGCTCTCTCTGGCCTTAAACACGCATTACACCTTGATAACACACGCCCAATCACTATATGTGTTGATAACTCAGCCGTAGTTAGAGGTATTGGAGGCACGGCCCCTATGTCGTCCAGGTCTGAATTTCTCGACTTCCAGGCGATCGGCGATAGACTACCTGGCAGAGTGACTGTTAGATGGACACCTGGACACAAAGACATACCTGGTAACGAGGCAGCGGACGCCCTCGCCAAGAAAGGCGCTGCGAAGCCCCTCCGCGAGCTCCCCCCCTCTATCGCGCAACGCAAACGGGAGGTAAAAGGCCTACTACCCCAACTCTTCAAAAGATGGTGGGATACTGTCCAGAAGGATACCTACCAGCACATGGGGCTGAAAGCCGATTTGAACAAACATCCAGAGCTAGCCCTCCCCAGAACAAAACTCCGATATCTTCTAGCAGCTAGATCACACCATGGTGACTTTGCCGCGTATCACCAACGCTTCCACCATGATGGCGCTCCCCTGGAGTGCAGCTGCGGACACGAAAAGACACCAACACACCTGTTCTATTGTCGAAAAGTCCCAATTAGCCTACGAGCTCGGCTGGCACCCGATGATTCGAAGGCTATTGGTCGCTATCTCGGCACAGAGTATGGTGTGTTCTGCCGAATTGCGGAGGTGTACTTCAAGTATATCTGCCCATATAGGTAGTGATACCTACACCACACGCTCGGTAGTGATGCGTCATCATCACTCCTTATAGGAGCTTTCCTTTATACTAGCATACTTTCCTTTGTCGGCCACCCAGCCATTCCCCTACCTAGATAGAAAATTCTGCTTGGGAAAGATTCCCACTGTTCACAGGGTGCACTGGCCCCCAGATATAAGCCAGCTGTCAACAGGAGCACAGGTGATACTGTGACTTTCTCTGGATCCCGCGTCGGGTAAGGAGCTGGAAAATTATCGCGATTCTGTGGTGTGTACGAGGGAGTCTTGGGGAGATCAAGGGGGCCCGAGGGATAGCCCCTTGGCATGGCGTTGCACGCGTCTCGTACGTAAGCAACTGGGCCATCTACGACGGCCCCTTCCCTACAGTTTCCACTCAACCCGTACAAGGATTAAAGCCACACGTGTCACGACCTGCTGGATCGCTCTATAGTCTATCGGTCACAACACTTACGACAGTTACAATGTCGACATAGTTGCTACGCAACGTGTTCGCTTGCTAGCTGGCCAATAGAGAAGTTTCAACAACAAGTGTTTGCAAGCTGGCAAAGGAAAGCCGCCAGCTGGCAGAACCACAACAACCTTGTATATAAATAGAGAAGTGAACTGTGGAAGGAGGAAAGGGATTTGTCCTCCTTCAAGTTTGTTGTCTTTTTTCTATCTCACTTATAGAATAGTCAACAATAGCATTACGTTTGGCGAACTTTTCTCGTACTACCTAGACAGCTACGTGACAACACGTCTTATGCTACCCTATAGCGCCAGATAGACGTAAATAAACTACTACTACTACTAAAAACTACTACTAAAAACTACTACTACTACTAGTACTGCCAGAGCAAAGACATCCAGGCAACTTTATATACGCGATTTAAATAAAATATTGAGCATAGTAATCATAGAGGCTCACCATATCGACAAGAAAATTGCTCGTTTTAGATGCGAAACCGCTGAATATTGTTCTCAGTCCTGCCAAAGCACAGGAAATTGAGAAGTAAAGCTGTAGCGGCACCTTGACGGAGGACGAATTCCACCTGCCATTTTGGGACACAAGTAAAACATGAGTCGACTTAATCCCGTGTGCGCAAAACACTTGGCTCAGGGCTTATAGATACGTACGTCTTGCGACATTTTCTATCGCTACTATACATACAATAGACACACTGCAGATTCCATTATCAATCGAAATCTATCTGCCCCGTTCTTTGACGGAATCTCTCCGGTCGCGCTGGTCGCCTTATTGTTACAGGCCGACCCTAAGCGGAGACGGCAACCAGTACCTGAGTCTTTCACCCCACCATTCAACCCCGCCATCCCTCCCACGAGCTCTTCTCCTTCATCAACAAATCGTCAGTTTAAGTTTGAGAATCATGTCGGTCGAAGATATTCTAGCACAAATCCCAGCTGCGTTCCGCGGCCCGGGCGGCGCCGTCGCAGTTTTGAAAGATGGCGAAGTCATCGGCACCAAGGTTTGGGGCTTTGCAGACATGCAAAAGCGCATTCCTGTCGGCACTGATACCATCTTTCCCATCTGCTCGATTACCAAGCACTTACTTTGCGGTCTAGTCACCGATCTCAAGTCGAACCCGACCGAAGCTATGAAGGCAACTGGACTCGAGCCCTCCCAGCTCTTCGACAGGGAGCTCGCCAACGTGCTGCGACCTGAGCTCATCAACAACTCTGGCCTTACATTTGACAACCTCTGCAACAATGTCTCTGGTATTCGCGACTACTGGGGACTGACTGTTCTTTGGGGTGCTGAGCCGGAACAAAAGTGGTCCATTGAGCAGCATGGCGCTCAGATGCTCCAGCGCTTGAAGTCGTTTCATTTTGAACCCGGAACGTCATACTCGTACAGCAACACAAACTATTTCGCCATTGCTCGAGCCGTTGAGCACGCCACTGGCCAGCCATTGACGGAGCTCCTACAACAGAGAATTTTTGGGCCTGCTCAAATGAAGACCGCTAGCCTGTGCGCCGACAGCTTCACCCATCCGGGTCCTCTGATTGCCTACGAAGGAACCGAGAAGGAGGGTTACTACCCTGGCATCAACAGAATCGAATGGGCTGGAGATGCTGGCGCTGTTGCGTCTCTCGACGACATGATCAACTACGAACGATTCATCGACTCCACACGCGACCAGCCTGAGAGCTGGTACCGCCTCAACTCCCAGCAACAGCTGTTCAAGGATGGAGAGAAATCAAACTACGGCCAAGGCTTAGCCAAGATGTTTGTTGGCGACCATGTTGGCATTGGCCATGGTGGTGCACTACGTGGCTACCGTCTGCACCGTGTATACTTTCACGACGAGCGCCTTTCTGTAGTCGCCCTTCTCAACAGCGAGTACCTCCACGCCAATGATGTTTGCTCATTTGTCGTAAAGAAGATGTACAATGTTCCTGAACCAGAAAAGCCGATATGTGAGGCCAGCTCTGAATGGGCTGGTATTTACCTGGACCCAGTCACTGAACTTGCTATTATCGTTGATGTTGTGGACAAGGTTTACGTCAATGTCAAGTATCACCGAGCCACTGAGAAGCTATCTACAGTTGACGCACGCACAGCAAAGAAGCCGGATGGAACATTCGAGGCCAAGATCGACGGCGACCAGCTTCACGTCTACGTTGTCGGTGAAAACCGCCGCATTGTTGCCAACCGTGTTGCCAACGCTGAGGTGTCGCCCACGTCGTCTGATCTTGCTGGTCAATTCCACTGCACTGAGATTGATTCCACTTTCAACTGCTCAGGAGCTGGTAGCCTGATTTATGGAGCATTCGATGGATTTTTGGGCAGGGGCCCTATTCACCTTATGCGACCACTCGCTAAGGACATTTGGGCTCTTGCATGCCCCCGCGCCATGGACTCCACGCCACCCGGCGACTGGACTATTATCGCGGATAGGGGTGAGAGCGGAAAGGTTACGAAATTACGAATTGGCTGCTGGTTGGCGAGAAACTTGGAGTTTGTTCGCGTCAACTAGTGCCAGGGCGTAACGTACAGCAAAAATAATAAATACATATATAAGAAATTACACTGCCCTGGCCTGTGAGAAGGGCCTTTGTTCAGTCCAACAAATAGAGGGTATCATATTACTATCGCTGAATGAATTAAAACAAAAGTTGGCATTGTCACCATCACTACAGCCAGACGGCTAATCTTGAATGCCTGATATTTGTTCGGGATGCCATGGCGACAATTCGGACTACAAGCAGCGCCAATCTGATTCGGAGACTGTCACTAGTTAGCTACGGTCGCCACGCGCATATCTTGTGACGGTGACATACAACTGCATGGCGGACCTTGCAAAGTTGGACAAACAAGTTAAACAGGTGATGCGGTTGTTTTTGATGCTAAACCGACGAATTTCTGATCTGAAATCTAGCGAGATGTGCTTCCAAAATCATCGATAAATGCCCGTCACATCATTTGAAGCGTGTATGTAGGATGGAAGACACTTTAAAGAAAATCTGTCGGCTAAAAATGACTATAATGCGACTATGCGCATAAAAGAGCAAAGCGCCATGGGAGATGTCAAATGGTGGGGTTTGTGGCTAATGCCGTTACATTTGGTAGACGACAGCACCACATTTGGGCGAATGCTCCATCAGCACCATAGTTTGGGTCACATCTGTGCAATATGGTTAGCGTAAATGATTCTAAAAGAAGATTACCACTCTGGATACTACCAAAGCAGAGTTGTTTAAACCAGCAGTAGTATGCAAACCGGGGTTTGCTACGGAGATACCAGGGATCACGGTAGGCTTCAACGGAGATAGAGCCCTATCGCCTTAACTGCGTCAGACTCGATCTCACGGAATGATTAAATAAAAAGCTCCGCCACGAATGCATTGCGTAGGCTGTCCAAATCATCGGAATCAATGGGTTTATCGCACCGATCATCACAAATGTGCCGACAGGCCTTGTCCGCGCTAGTGTGAATCGCGTGAACCATGACACCTGATTGGTTGGCTCGCACTTTCGATCGGAGCTCAGTGCTGTCACTGGCACCGACATGCATTTTAGCGTTCGCCATATCCGAGACTGACGCAGTAAAGGAGAAAAATCCATATAATATTGCTCCATGGGATGCTCCTCTAATCATTCTACAATTCAGTTGACGCAAGTTCGAACTACTTTTATTTTACATCCAATTCATAATCTGCACCCAAACCCATCACACAACCTTTGCAACATGAAAGTCATAATCATTGGAGGTGGCATCGGCGGACTTACACTCGCACATGGGCTTCAAAAAGCTGGTGTTCCAGTCCAAGTATTCGAGCAACAGGTTTGACACCATAGCATCCTTACAGCGTCAACTTATTTTTAACCATATCTTTTTCAGGCTCATAAGACCGAAAATCTCGCCGGATACGGCATCCATATCGATCGCAGCGGTCGCCAGGCACTAAGGGCCTGCTTGCCCCTATCCAATTGGACTAGACTCCAGGGCCTGTTTACGTCTGCCGGTACAAAGCTATACTTTCGCGATCCCCAGCTGAATGTCTTAGCGGAAAAGGACGAGGCCGAACTCAGCGGCAAGCCCGAACAAGAAGTCGAGCGTAGTGGTATACCTAGAGTGGACCTGCGCGACGCGCTCTTAGACGGGCTTGATGGTGTTGTACAATGGGGTAAAGCTTTCGAAAAATATGAAAAACTTTCCGATGGCACTGTTAGAGTCTACTTTGACGATGGCACAACTTCTGATGGAGACTTGCTGATCGGAGCTGACGGTCCCAATTCCAAGGTCCGCCAGCAGGTATTACCAGTTGTGCAGCGACTCGACCTCGGCGTAACAGCCATCGCCGGTCGGTATATTTTGGACGACGAAAAAATCAAGAGACTGACACCAGAAATCACGAACGGATCGCTCAATAATATTGTGCCTACTGGTAAAGGCTGGATGTTTACATCTGCATGGAGATCACGACCAGTCGCAGATGAGAAGAAGACGGTTGAACAGACCGCTGGCCGAGTCGCCGAGCACTACGTTGTCTGGGCATATGTCTTGCCATCCAAAGATGCTCCGGAGGGTGCAGAACGCAGGGATCTTTCAATGCTTCATAAAATTGTTGCAAAGGGCATAAAAAACTGGTCTCCAGAACTACAAGAGTTGATCAACGGCGCGGATCCGTCAGCTACCAAGTGCTTCCCGCTCAAATCGATGCCAATCCTGGAGCCATGGGATTCGAGCAGCGTTACTCTGCTTGGAGATGCGATTCACAACATGACTCCAATGGCGGGCAAAGGAGCCAATACTGCTCTTCGGGACGCCGAAGTTCTGACGAAATTTCTTGTCGACGCAGCAGCTGGTAGGACGACATTGCTGGAGAGCGTCAAGTTGTATGAAGATGAGATGAGAGGGTATGCGAACGAGGCGCTGGGTATGTCGACGCAAAATGCGCTCAATGCATGCAACGGAGGCACAATACAGCGTCTCTTTTTCAAAGGCTTCCTGTATGTTGTTGAAACGTTCCCGTCTGTAAAGAGAGCTACTTTGGGGAAGACGGCTGCGAAGTAATGCAACCAAGGTTGGCGGGTGACATGGTGTTTCTGGTTAATCGAATAGACTGGGGAATTATACCACTGTAAGATACTGTTAAATAGAATTCCGAGCGAATATTAAAACTTTACGCAAGTCTGGCTGAACAGTATCCAAAGGGCTTTTTGCAGCACGCACTCTGTCTCATCGATGTTATCCAAGATCGCTAAACCGTGGTTGTAAACCAAGTGCAATGCTGTCGGCCCTACACCATAGCGGAACTATTGATATTCGAGTTTAGATCACCTGTAGTAATTAAATAAAGAATGATTCGAATGGATTTCATTTGTCTACAAATATACTGGAATTGTACCCTTGAAATAGCATTCTTTCTCAAAGCTTGCCGAAATAGGCAGCCATGTCGGGATAGTTGGTCGAGCCAAGACCTGACGCCGGGTCCCATCCGGGCGTGGCATCGAAGCTATTGCCATTGCAAGAAGCAATGTTCGTTTTATTCATACCTCCAACAGTAATGTCTGTGAACATTAAAGGGTTCTTGTACAAGGCGGGATTCACAAAACCGATAGGGGGCTTTCCCCGCAGCGTGTCGATTTTCGTTGATCAGGTTAAACATACCCGCAAAAAGAGGTGCTGACATTGAGGTGCCTCCAGAAGCATGAATATCGCGTCGAAAGCCATATACACCGCGGATCGCTAATGCGGCAATGTCAGGGTACGCCTTGCCAGCCATATTGTATACGCCACCGTTGCTGTCCTTGGGTACAGTGCCATCGGTGCGGTTGTACCCCTTGAATGCAGGAGTATGATGACTGAGGAATTCTGATATAGCATCATTCTGATAGGCTGGTCGAGGGAAGTAATTCGAGAATCTACCACCTGGGGAGTAGCGCGAAGCAGGGACAATCAGAGTATCGCCGATCTTGCTTCCTGCTGGTAGCTCTACACCACCGACAGATGTAATATATGGGCAACCAGAAAGAGCTCCTGGCTTGAAGATCGCGCGATCAGAGCCTCCACAGTCGTCCCCGTGGCCACCGGCAACGCCGCCATCTCCGGATGCAAAGAAAAGCGATGTACCTTAAAGACCTAGCTTCATGAACTCGTTACACCGACGCTGCATATATTTCAAAGGCCATTTACTTTCTTCACCGCCCCATGAAACAGAAATAACATTAGTGGGCTTGAATTTGCTGCATTCCCTCGTTGTGTCATTACCATCAATGGTTGGGTCGTCGCCGCCCTCGGCGGTGCAGTATGCGCCGTAGATGGCATCCAAGAACCCATCAAACATATTGTCACCACTCGCTTTGACTTGGTATTGCTCTGCGTTTTGAGGATAAATGATGGGATAGATCATAGCAAAATCGAGGGCAGCCTCGCCATCCGCAAAGTAGTCAGTAGGTTCGTTGTTCCGACTGCTTTTGAATCTCATTACGCGCCTCATATACGCCCAACAGGTTGTTAGAATTAGCTTTGGCTGGCGCATTTGCGATTTTATGTATCATTTTGATGCAAGCGGGAGTCGAGTATGTGCCACAGTCGTCCAAATCGCCACTAATGTTCTTTGTTTCAATGGCCATCGGGACGGAGCGAATGAGGTCTTGGAAGATGAAAAGCCAGGTGGCAAGGGTGATAAATGGATCTGGAAAAACAGCCCTAGGCAACTTGAAACACGAATCAATACCAATGATGTATTTGATCGCTGGAACGCATTTAACCCGCCGGTAAGTACATGCACAATGTCTACTGGATGACATGCTAACTACGAGAAGAAACAGTCGAACGTGCCTAGAACAGTTAAATCAAGGAACGCCGGTCTTTTTCTGTGTGAATTTATGCTCTACTCTAGCATGGAGGAATTGAACAGAAAGAATGACATGCGACCGGTTACATTTTTGCACATGTCGAGCAATTTGAAGTTTGTCGATCAAGGTGTACAGTTCACACAGAATCTCATTCGGGCCATGGTAGAAAGTGAAGTAGCTAGAAAAAAGACGTTAGGGATAAATTAGTGTCTGTATGGTATTAAAAATTATGGATATAAAAGTTCCACCTATAATTAATTATTTAGAGCTAAATAGATAACAGTGTCTTTCGGTTGTGGCTTCTGAGCTCGGTGGATTTGTAGCTGTTTTCTGAAATTATGTACCATTGATACACCATACAATCTATAACGACTAAACACTAGTAATTGAGTATAGATTATGGTCTAGACTTTTCTCGCTAAAGATACAGTATGATGCGAAAGCATGATTTTAGGCGCTATACTAAGACAGGCACGGGTAAAAATACTTAATTCTAGATCGTTTACATGATATATGTGTAAAGCGCAAATACTAGAAGAACGTCTCATTTATACAATGTAATTATTTAAAATGAGCGATTGCCAGGACAAAAAACCTGCTCTCTCGTTTGTCTAGGAAGAACGTTCCAAATCACCATTTGCACAATGAAAGCTATTCTATTCTCGGCTTTGCTTGCCTCTGCAATCGCGGCGATTACTCCGTCGACTTTTGAAGATGGGAAAACATACAACTTACATCAGAATTTGACCTGGTCTGAAATTCATCAAGGTATAACAGTGCATTTGAGAATATTTCTAGAAGCTAACATTTGGCAAGTCGAGCATAGTTCTCTGAGCAACAAATGCGACTCGAAGATATTCTTAGACTTCCTGCTCCAGAATTGTTCTCCCACAGCCGACAGATCTGCCAAGGCTGCACAATCCATCCCTGATGTTGAATGGGAGAAGATTTTTCGAAGACGATCTATGAAAGCTGACCGCGACCGCATCGAGGAAAATTCAAATGGCTATCTGCCGAATGTGCAAAGCCAGATTCAGGAAAAATAAAAATAACTGCCAACACACGGAAGGTTGCTCTACAAACAAGGATGCTTTGACAAGCAAGATGGACGGCGGTGTGCTGACGATTGCCTTCTGCCCATGGTTCTATTCAGTGGCAGATGCAGATCACGATAAAGTGTGCCAAATTCGAGGATTTCCAAGGCAAGCCCCTTATGCCCTTGTTCTCATGTCTTTCCATCCGGAGATTGGGAATAAGTGGGATAGCGAAGATTATACAAAGAACACATACGGGTATCTTATATTGTCGCATTTGTACGGTCACCCAACGTGCGAAAAGTCTTACGATAATGGCGAAGTAGAAAACCTGCTGCGGTTTAATGGCCGCGAACTAAATTCAGTTGAGAGATTGCTATTATTTATTGAGGCTATAAATGTTCTCTTGTGCTCCTTGTTAAACCAAGAAGAGCCCGTCTCCGGTACCTTTACTCTTTAAAGAGTGTCCTTAAGCTTCCTGAGACCAGCGGCAATGACTCGACATGCCCACGTGGATGAGCACTACTCCGGGATCCCTGATATTTATAGAGCGATGTGTCCCGCCATACAATGCCAACGACCTTTTGGCTGAAGTCGGAGTAGTAACAATACAAGCCTTAGTTGCCCAGAAGTAATCAGCGAAAGGTTATTTATCTCGGCTATAAGCAATTCCTAGAAAAAAGCAATAACTAAATCATCTAAACCAAAAAAAAAATAAGTGTTAGTGATATTTTAGGACGCAAAATACGGCATGTCTTACTTCAAGTTGCAGCAAGTTTGGCCAGACGGGCAGTTTGCAGAAGGGTAGTAAGGCCCTTTGCAAGTGCCATTGGGGACACAAGTGCCGGTCATACCATTGGCGATGCAAGTACCTGCAACAGCTTGGCCGGTAAAAATGGCAGCGGTGAAGATGAGGAAAGTGGTAAGTTGCATCGTGGTGGGTTGACTTCAATGAAATTGTAAAGGAAATCCTGAGAAAGCGTTCTGTAGCGAGAGTGATTGTGTTCATTATAATATTCGAACAGGTGATTGATAGGCTATTAAATACTTCAGCTGTTGTACCATAGATCGTCGTTGAAGTAGACCCTTTTCAATGACTAAAACTCTTACTCAATAAAGGTTGAAAATGTGTGACGTGAAGCTTGACCATCTCTCTTAGAAGCAGACGAGTAATCTAGTGGTCTAGTAGTAATATCGAACTTGATCCCCTGATTTCTGTAGTCTATATTATCTCTAGTAATAGGAGCAATAGCAAGGTATATAGAAAGAATACTACTAGTTTAGGTACATCAAGTTTACTGTGAGCTGGAGGATATGTTATGAACGGTTGATGTATTTTCTCTTGCTTAAACGTAGTATATTCAACTTTTCCCAAGTCGTAATTCTATCTACCTAACAGCCTCCAGAACACCCGAAGACAGAATATGAACCAGTCCGATAATACATGTCGGTGGTGACGCCACAAAGGGGTCTGCCGTATGGAACCGCACAGCTGACATCTTTGTAGATTTGTACACAACAGGTTTCACCCTTGCTTGGAACCCAATCAATGAAATCGCCCGCCACAGCACTCAGAGGTGTGCATCCAGTGTTACACTGGCCATCCAGGGGTCCCCAATATCCGCCTGCCGAGTGTGAATACCAAATTTGCCACGCATGAGTGGGATACATTAAAGTCAAAGCGGTAATGAACTTGTAAAACATTTTCGAGAGTATCCTTGACGTTAAGGAGAGTGTTGCTAGTGAATGGAGACGTCGAAATTGACACAAGACTTGTAGGGTCAGTTGAATTGTGTCAATGGATCGCGGGGGACTTATAGAAATATTACATATATTTATGTCTCATATCTTGAGCCGCAATTTACTAAATTCGGTCATTAGAAGATTACTATACTAATATATTAGTGACTAAGTGACAACAAAATAGCTGATGATTAGAGGTCAGCCTTACATGACTAATGTTGATTTATCTGCTCCCAAGGCGTATAATGTGAGCCTATTTGGTTCGCAACGAATTCATTATTGTTGAATCATACAACTAATAAGTGACTCTATCATTCTAATGCAACAAAACGTTTCTACTTGGTGTAACAAGTTAGTAAGAACCAGACAATGTAGAATATTGTACTTTCAATTCACAAATTCGATACTAGACGAAAAAGCCGAAAATGCAGATAAAATACCGAGCCCCCTTCCGGAGGATATGCGTTATGGGATAAAAGTATCAACAAATACTTGGTATATGCCATTTTCAATTGCAATTAAACTCGTCGATTAATATTAAACCTTAGAAAAACCGAAGATAACCTTCATAGAGGGGGAAGTAATAGCTACATTTATAAAGAGTGTAGATTTGTCTATATCATCTACTCACCAAGTCACGAAGCACTCCAGAGAGTCGCTGACTGCGGCTTATATGCTGTTCGTGCGCCAGTCGCGTAGAACGGCTTAGCTCCGCGGTGTAGTAGTACACGACGAGCTCATCAAAACTTGTAAATGCAGTGGCTTGGATTGTGTCCATAATAACATGTAAACTACCAAGCCTTTGTAGATCAACTTCTGTGTTCTGTGTGCCATCTGCGTGAGGGGAGTCTATCGTCGGATATGGTATTTCCATATCCATCGCAGGCGGCGTGCCCCTCTGACTGCTTAGTTCCAAGGCATCTTGATTAGAACCTTTGCCAGACTCATCCGCATCTCTTAGTTGTGGTTCTATCGCCACGCCGATTGCGCTGTCCATCGATGTGTCCGTCTCAGTAGATAATTGTATTGTAGTGGCATTTGTATTATGTGCATTTGATATCCATGGGTCGCTGAAATAGACTGCTGTCTGTGAGTCCATATCGGCAAGCCCATTAGTACCCAATTGCGTTGGCGCAAACGGCGACAAGGGTGCCAGACCTGTGCCCAAAGACGGGGACGCTGGGCGGCAGTCTGGGAGGGTTAAAAAATAGGAGCTTAAAGCCTGTTGATACAGGTCATTCCGCCGAGATGCTCCTGAAACAGCCTGTGAGCTTGGAGTATCAGTTGATGGATGAGGAAGGCCGAGGATCTGGTGCATGACTGTCTCATCGTCCGTAGAAGGCGACGTTTGTGCGTATACATGCGGCGAGTCTGCCGTGCTCAATGGACTAAGACACCTTTCAAGAATCCGCTGCCTATTGTTCTGTATCGAAATTGCATCAAATCCACAAGTGGCATGTTTTTGCTGTTTTAATTGGTGGAATTGCTTTTGAAGAACATCGAGCTTGTCAAGGCGATTCTTGACGCGTTTCCCTAACATTGCAATCGTTAATATATGCTTCCACGCGAGCATCAGTGATGGTTCATACGGTATGCTCTTTGAGCAAGTCGGTTTTGTAATCTCTTTTTCAGAACAGGATCAGTAATGTCGATCGAATTTCCTTCTTCTTCTTCCAAGGTTATGCTCTCGTGCGCTTCCGTAGATCCAGCAAGGGAGCAAAGCCTCTGGCTGTGCCTGGCGATGCGTGACGCCGGTGATCGAGCACTTGACGCCATTAGTGAATTTCTGGTTTGAGTAAATGGACGGCAAGTTTAAAAATCTGGCGTAGAGCATACGGGCAGAGAAAGCGTAGAGGTTGTGATGACAGTCACTATTGATGAGAAGTAGTTCGCGGGGTCTGAAGTTAATAAAGCAGACTACAGGCATTGGCTTAGCTGCTGACGTGAGTTACATTGTACACTGCTTTAGAGATTATCTAGGAAATGATACCAAGACGAGCACGTGTACTACCTCTACGCGAACGTTGAGGTTTAGCTGGATCTAAGAGACGAGAGATTCTGGTAGGGGTATGTTTCACCAGAACACTTTGGGTTCGGGTCTACATAACCCGACCAGCTATGATTCATTATCCTGACTCGTAGCCCATCTCTTGCCATTGCCCTCGACGCGTGTTGATCGGTTTTGGTTGGATGTCGCTAAGCCACCAACAAACACACAGACCACTTTCCTACAGCCGCTCGCAAATGCCCCACTGCCTCTCCAGCTTGTTGATGCGCCCGTCGCCCACACGTGAGATCGGACCAGGTATCGGGAAATGGTGTTGATGTGTTCAACGTTGTGGCATGATTATGCTGAAGGAGTACGAAAAAAAAACTAGAGAAGATAGAAATAAAATAGTATACAAGAATTTGAATAGAGTGACATGGACAAGTACTGCTCTAATATACTTCACCTTTGTTTCTACCAGATCATACTCTCACTGTGACCGCCCGGCAGGTAATCGTACTATAGCTTTCGGCATCCGCGCCGGATATCCGCCAGTGGCAAGCCCAGCTTGGCACATGGCACCGTCGCGCAGTCCGGTTTTGCAGTCCTTACCAATCTCCTGCTTATACAGTGGAGCAGCCTGAGATACTATTTGAGAACTTTTGTTTCGAATGATCTAGACCAATGCCTCGGGCTAAAAAGAAACGTCTCTCTTCCGAATTACCAAACTTGGCAGCGCAGATGCCGCATTGCCGACGGCGCTGTCTCAATCGCGACGCCGATCTTGAGGAAGCAACGGCAGCCGAGGATCAGCGGTAATGATCGCACTGGGTTGCCTTCTTTTTCGTTGTTGTATAAAATACAGTAGCCTGTCGTTGACGGAGCAGTCAGCTCTCGCGAATACCCCATTTGATCCTGACAGGCACTCCCAATCAGGAATGTTGTGCGATGTAGACTGCTACGGAACAGCCGTCGGCAAAACGCGCACTTTGGTCGAGTTATACGCGAATAGTGGCCAAAGAATACTCCAAGTATGGGATAGTAATGGGTTTAATCAGAAAGGTTCTTTCAATTTTTCTGGCGCGATTTCATTGGTACCATCAGGTTTCGCTACTCGCTTCCTTATAGCACGACCTGCTGATGATTGGCGATTCGCCTGAACACCTGCGCATGTCTACGGCGGCGAATCTTGAGATAAAAAGCAAAGTACACATTCTGGCCTGCTGTTACATTTTTGAAGCAAATGAATATGACGGGAAAATGATACCAATCGCTCACGCGTTTGCGCAGATGCGGAAGTTGTATACTGAACCCTTGGGCCTTATCGTTGGGGTGTAAATATAAGTCGGATGATACAAGTGGTCAAAGCTTTGCGACTAGCATTGGGCTTTCTAATGCTAGCCTATTCTAGCACGGTCGGCGTAGATCGCAGGCTTGATGTCAGCAGACCTAGACGACCCCAAACTACCTACTAGAGGCAACGAGCGTCCAGAAACCTCGCAACCAATGGCCAGTTAACGAACACAGAATGCCTAGGAAAGGATTTGAGAAAGTGCAGACCGGGTGTCTCACCTGCAAGTAAGTCACTGTTCTGACGTGGAAATTGCGTTCGCATAAATACTCATTCAACACTCCACGCCTACTAACCGCGGTCTTTGACTTCATTTAGGGCTCGAAAGGTGAAATGCGATGAAACGCAGCCTACATGCATGAGATGCCAGTCTAGCCGGAGACACTGTGGAGGCTACCGCCAGACATCAGCCAGCTCCTACAAGTGGCAATACCTCCTGTCACCGCACTCTGTCGTCCACCGACGCACAAATTGCAGCAACGCCGATCAAAGGAGTCTCGCATTCTTCCACCGAACCCTCGCTCCGGTACTCAGTGGACCGCTACGCAACCAATTCTGGACAGTCCAGGTAGCCAGCGTCGAGTATGGTCTCGCCGGCGCCAAGCACGCCGTCCTCGCGCTCAACGCGCCGTTTGAGCATTACGCAAACCGGCAGTCTACTGCTGATGCTTCCCTCCGTTCTGCAGTGTATTATAATACCAGCGTGAACATTGCCATTGAACAGTATAATAAGGCTATAAATAGCGTCCTGGCCTGGCGGATGACCGCTGTCTCCTTGGAAGCAGTTCTGGTGATCTGTATCCTGTTTGTGAGCATAGAATACGCCACAGGAAATCCGACAGCTGCAGTGACGCACTTGAACCACGGCATCTCCCTGCTGAGATCATCACGTCTGATTCCGGAGGCCATAATCTCTCAGTTTCGCTACCTCAGTGTTTTACCGCGTTACTCTGGGGCGGACATATCGTCGTTTTGCTTTATTGGGGAGGGTTCGGAAGCGAGGATACACTCATTGATTAAGTTTGTGGATTTAGGCGCGGCGGAAGCAGCACTTAGTCCCCTCGTTTACAAGTGTGCCAGACTGCCCCTGTTGCAAGCCAGTATCACCTCCGATGCTGAAGTGCTCCATCGGGAGTCGCTGCAGCAAGATTTAGACCGATGGTGGTCCCTCTTTATGGATCTCCGGCGAAGAGGCAGTGTGCGAACGCCAGGAACACAGCGAGCTATAACACAGATATCGCTCGTGCAGGGAGCGGGTCTATTGGAGGTCAGGTGGCTAGTGGCCAAGATATGGATGGACACGACGCCACTACAAGATGAGCATGCTTACGACTCATATCTCAATGGATTTTGTCGCATTGTCAAAGCCTCGAGCAAAGTGCAGGATGAGTGCTCTGATATGTCAGATGCACTGGCATTTAATATCGGCTACACTGCGCCTCTCTATTTCACAACACTAAAGTGTCGACAATTTGATATCCGTCTTAAAGCTCTATCATTGATGGAAATGTTATTCTGTAGAGAAAAGGCCGTCTGGCATCAACCGTTGCTATGTGCCGCGGCGAGGCGAGCCATTGAGCTGGAGCATGGGGTTAGCCTGTATCGTCATGACAATACATATCTCGCGAGTGCGGAGCTAGGTCCCCATTTGGTTACATCTGGGCTACTTGTGACAAGAATCGAAATAGGTGCTGCCGAGCTACTCTCGAAGAGTTGCGAGTCGTTCATGGAGTATCGTGTTCCCTTTCAAGTGTGGACTGAAGGCAACGGGCCGCACACAATTCTGCAGAATATCAAGGTCTCAAATTGCTAGAAAAGAGTGTATATTTTAGTTTCCAATAGAGTAATAAAGTAATAGATAAATAGATGATGTATTTGATGTATAAGTAGTCTCTTTGCGTAACTAGGTTATCTTATTTTGCCTTTTTAATGATCAGCATCCCGTCTTTATTACGGAACATGTACATGGACCTCTCATGTAAACTATGTCTTTGAGTATCATACGTTGCCTACTTTGCAGGTTTCTGGTTGTAAGTAATAAGCGATGGAGTATTGCCTTAAAAATATAAGACGGTAATAATATTTTTAGCCGTCTTCTGATTATACTAGCTTTCGGTTTGTTTGCCATTGCAGGTTCGTCGGCCGCGTGGTTAATGCTGGGTAGCGGTGCCGTAGCAATGAACATGGCAAGGATCTGCCACGCGTTGTTGAACCTCAGTGGATTTATTATACGGGTTACCTTCCTTAGAGGAGGTGTAGCGCTTTTCGCTCACGGTCTCGCTCTCCGTTGGTCCAGATGCTCATAGTAGGCTTGCCGTTGTCGTCAGTCCAAGCGCGATACATGCCAGCACAGTTGCAGTCCATTAAGATCTCCGATCTCCTCTCCGCGACGTTACCGTCTGCGTCTGGCAGAGATACAGTCTCGATGCCAATCATGCCGCCCTAACCTTCGCCAGTCGTGCCCCATCTCCCCTCAGCGCTCTGCTGAAGCGCGCCATCGGGTCCCGCGACCTTTGCCACGGCGACTGCGCCTGGTACCGGCATCCACTGAGCCATGCCGGCGACGGTGCGCGCTGCAGCAATACGTAGGAACGAATCTCCCGTTACCGTGCTAGACAGATCAATAGAGCGACGGACAGTCTTGGGGTACTCCGTCTCATCGTCTAATAGGTGGCGGCGGTGGTAAGACGATGTCGGATCCCTTGCCTCAGTCCACTCCTCCGCCCAGAACCCTGCCCCGGGCAACGGCGTGTCTCCAACCCTGCCAGAGATTTTGTTGGTCAAGCCCCCTGTGCTAATCGCAGCGCATATAACACCGTGCTCATCCATGGCGACGGCGCCGCACGTACCTTGAGGCAGGTACTGCTCGGCATCCCACGTCGCGATGCCGTTTCCTAGGCGTTCCTGCTCCAGCGCAACCACGTGTTCGTCCCATCGCTTCTGCGTGAAAAATAGGACTGGTCGACCAGCTCACAGCCATAGCGTTCTGCGAGCTTCTCAGCGGCGCCCCCGTAGATCAGCGTATGGCCCTGGGCGGAAGAGACATCAATAGAGTCGGAGGAGGCACTGGAGGAAGTAGAACGCGTAGCATTCAAAGGCAGCGTTGTCTTGGATTTATTGCTGTTAAGAGCAGGCTCGAGCGACACTTTAGCCTGCAGATCCTCGTCTCCATACTCGAGTGACCGCCTTTGAGACTTAGGGAGATATTGCTCAGCACAAGCTCCTCTCCCTTTCCGTAGGACGCAGAGACGTTTCGAAACTCAACCGTCTGGACCAACAGTTCCTGGCCATGCGCCCCGCCTTCTGGGGCCTTTGACGCTTTATAATCCGGGTTGCTGACAAAGTCTTTGATTCGCGAGATTGCTCCGAGCGACGTTTCTAATTGCATCCAGTTAGTAATAAGTTGTGTCAGCGACGTGTTGAATGACAGGAGGTTAACGAGCGCAACGCCAACTGAGCCAGATGTACTCTTGTTTGTGACAAAAAGAACTAGACCTGTGAGCAGGATCGCTAGCCTTGCAACCAGGAGGTCCAGAACGACCTGTAGCCATTGCTGCACACTGTAGAGTGCGTAAAATGGCTTTTGGGACAGGTCCAGAAGCTCATCGCCGGTTTCGGTGAACCTGTCTTGCCACTGAGAGGCGCGAATGGTGGCGCCTCCATCGATGGTCTGCAAAGAGTGGTCATACAGGGGAGCCTTGGACTCAAGACCAAGAAGTCGAATTTGGCGAGACGTACGCAGATAGAAGAATTGGATGGCGTACAGAACTGCAACGCATATGGGAATGACGGCCGACATGTATCCGGAGCCAGTAGCAATCATGGCGCCCTGGGCGATGCACGTTAGCAGCATCTGTAGCGTGATGCCAAAAGGCCACGGGGAGCTGCATATTCACTAGTGACATATCCTGACTGAATCGATTGATAAAGCTGTCAATCTCAATCTGCACAAGCTGCACCCAAGGCATATCCATGACAACATCGAGGAGCAGCCGGTGAAGCTGAATGGCGGACTAGGGAACAGCCCAGACAAAGAAGTAACTAGAAGGTTAGTAGGCGTGTCTTCATATTTAGGTTTCGCGTTGTAAAACGTACCCAATGGACAAGCCAATAGCTATTACGCTTAAGATGGACAAGACTGTATAGGTGACAAGGTAGGTAAGACCCCGTCCAGGCAAGGAGCCGGACCACCATGAGAGCAATACTTGCGGAAACACGAGGCTGACGACATAGAGAATGGAAAATCCTAGGATAAAAGCAAACGATAATCGGCCGATGGAGTTAATGTAATAGGAATAGAGGGTTAGGTCTCCGCTACTGCGACTTTTGGCTGTCGTAGAGATTGTCGTGACTGGGCTAGCCTTTGTTGCCCTTGGACGGGCAGTCTGCTTCTCCGAATCAGGCACCGGCACATCTTCAGAACTTTCAGAGCGGTCCTTGGGTAGTGATGAATTTTGTAGGAGCGGACAAGTCGCCAAAATATCAGTGTAGCTTCCCTCAGCATCAATGTGGCCTTTTTCAGAGAGAACAATCACCTTGTTGGTAGCAGCAAGAAGCTGATCCGGTGCGACCCTCACTATCATGATGCCAGCCTGGAGCTGACGGATGACGCCAGTCGGGCCAAACAAGCGCTGGAAGATACGACTGGCTGTGATGGTGTCTAAAGCTGTCAAAACATCGTCCAAAAGAAGAAGCTGCGGTTTTGCGTAGACTGCGCGTGCCAACGCTACTCTCTGCTTCTGCCCGCCAGAAAGCTGTAGCCCTGAGGCGCCCACCACCGTGTCGAGACTGGTTGGCAAGTTCTCGATGTCCGAGGTCAAATCACATGAGAAAAGTACCTTCTCCAACCACGATGCATCTACATGAACGTCCCCAGTAATGTTGTTCTTAATGGTGCCGTTGAACATGTATGGCGTCTGCTGGCAGTAGGCTACTGATGTGGCATGCATTGACAGCCGGCCCCCAGCGCAGGACACTTCCCCCAACACTGCTTTTAGTAGCGACGACTTTCCGCAACCAAGGGGACCTACGACGGCAACAACCTCTCCTCGGTTCACAGTAAAAGTCATGTTGTTGAGCTGACAATCGCCATCGTTCCCGTATCGAAACGAACCGCCTTGAACACGGACGAGTTCACTTCCAGGCAGAGCTGCCAGTTCCATCGCCATGTCGTTCGGGTGAATATGAATGGAGTCACCTGAGTTTATCTCTGCGAAGAGGTAGTCTTGTATCCTATCGAAGGAGCCTATGCCAGATGTAAACTTGGTGAGTGCAAGAGATAAGAGTGCAACGGAGCTGGCAAGAAGGGCAATCAGAGAGAGTGAAGTGAAGATTTCATCTGGTTTTGGGACTTCTGTGGCAAGATTCATGCGCGTTACCGTGTACAAGATGATGGTAACTGCTGGTGCCAAGGCCGTGGCAGAAGCGTCGAGGACATTGACGCCGACAATGAGAAGACGGAACGGCTTGGATGCATCCAGTTCCATCTTGCGAAATCGATGCGTCTTTTCCCCTATTGTCGCTTCTATCCCGAACATCTTGAGCTGGCGCATGGCCTTGAGAATGGTAGCGGTGAAGTTGACACGCTCCTATACAGCCTGTACCCAGAGCCGCTGCTTTTCTCGCAATTTTGGAGCGATGAAAGCATCCAACGATGCAAAGGCAGCAACAGACGGATAGCCAATTCGCAGAGCCATAAGAACAAAGGCTATAACAATTTCAATACTAGCAGCCCAAATCTCATTGACATTCTGGACGCCCGTGACAATGCGGTCCACATCAGTGCTCATAAGAGTCAGAGTATTGGCTCCAGCGCCAAACGCCTGCTTGTGATTGAGAACTCTGGCATAAATGGATCCCACTAAACCTCCACGCATGCTCGTCATCATTCGAATGGTTTGACGCTTGTAAGTCGCATTTGCGGCTGCCAATGACGTGTATAAAATAAAGACAGCACCCAATATGCCAAACTTTGCACTGTCTTGGTTTTGGGTGCTTGGACTGGAAACATGTTCAATGAGGTCATTGAACAGGAACGGCTGGGCGTACTTGAGGGGTATGACTATAGATCTCGCCAGAACGGCCCTTAGTATGATCCATTTTGCACTTCCAAACGTATGTCGCAACAACGTATGCTTTCGAGATGCTTTGTTTTATCGCCGCGCCACCGCCGGTGCAGGTCTGCTGTGAGAGCCTTCGCTTTGAGATTGTCATCCAAGCTGTAAAGATTCTGCTGTGTCAGCTCGGAGCGGAAGCCTTGTGCAAAGAGACCGTTGATCCACCATTCGGGAGACGGTTTTTCGAGCCCAGCTGCGAGGCATGGAACTTTTTCCTGCCCCTCGACAGCAAGAAGCAGTACCCTGACGGCAAAGGACGCGGTAGCAACAGTAGCAAGAACAAGGCTTTTCGGTTGAAGAAACTAAAGCGTCCGCACCTGAGCTGTTTCGAAGAAGGTGGTCATCAGCAGATAGAGGCAGATGAGAGTCGACGGTCGGGTTATGCGATTGTGTTCGTATTGTGAGAAAACAAGCAAGGCCCCAGCGCCGATCAAGGCAGCGACAGAAGCGACAGCAGATGCCGGTGTCTCCAGTGGTCCGGAAGTAGCCCACAGCACCAACGATGCAGTCTTTAGGGCGAGGAGGAGACTTGCAGCTGCTAGCTTGGCTCTGGGAAGACTGAGAGACTGTAGCTTGTGCACCTTTGGGAACGCGTTGTGCATCCAGAGCCAGCGAACCGTACCACACAGGATAAAGCATAACTCAGGGATCAACGTAAGAACCCAGTGCTCAAAAGCGAGTGTAAAGTCGAACTGTCGGTGGCAGGGAGCAACACGCGGCCCAAAAGAGCTGTCGGTGGCGATGGAGCAGTCCATAGTAGAGAGCTGTGTTTTTCTGTCGACAGGTGCTTATTTCGGCTATTATCTATGGCGAAGCCCTACCCGGCGCGAGTGTGAAAAGAAATAAAACATGGTTGGAAGGGCAGAGCGAAATCATATACATGAGGAGGAGGCTGTTTGTTGGGCGCTTGGTGGCAACCTGGCAAATCAGGCTGTATGGCTACACCGACCTTAACGAACAGCATTTTAGTCATAGGGGAGTTTTTGGGCAAAAAGCTTTTGACCAAAGAACTTTTGAGACCAGTCCTGTTAAAGGATCAGGAACGCTGGTGCGAGGTGGTGCGCGCATGGCATTGCGGAGGATCGACCTTGGCACGACGGGTTTGTGAGCGCCCCAGACTGGTGCCTGATAGCGCATACCAGGCTGACTGTTCCAGCGGACGGTTCAGTGGCGGCTCTCGCTGTGGTCAGTGGTTTGCAGTAGGCGCTAGTGCCGCACTTGCGGGCGTGGTTTACAGGGGAAGCAGGTAAACACGGCTGTATGGCTGCACTGCGCTTTGGCTACCGTTTACAAGCACAATATTTGCCTACTATATCGTATTTGATATTGTTTAATATGGTAATAAAGCATGAACCGGACGCTATACGTGGTGTCTAAACAAGGGAAGTGGGCGTTGGGCCTTGAAGCAGAGGGCGAAGCGTACACCAGCGCCGCAATGCGCGTGACAGCGCCATTTACGAGATGCGTTGTTTTTTGCTTTTTAGATCAAAATCTTATGTCAAAAAGCCAAGTGCAATATTGAACTTTGATGGAATGTATTCAATAAAAATTGCGCGCGGTTTGAGGGCTCCTCAACAGTATCTACTTTACTCTCTTTGTAAAAGTATCAATATTGGGCGGGTTACGGTTGACAAATGAATTTTTGTCCCACAACTCTAATTATCCCTTTAATTGGAACTTAATTGCCAATCTGGATAGAGTGAACGCTCATTGAATCGGTCAACTTGTCGAGCCTGCGACATTTGGGGTGCGTGTTCGAGTCGGCGTCACCACCGAGAGTGCCGACTCTCGTCCAATCTGATCAGGACGGACTAAGTGAAGAAGAAAGCAAGCAGTAGTTGGTTCAGAAGTGATGTATTCAAGGCTCTTTCTTGCTCAAAGGTAGTGAAAATGGCTAAGTCGTTAAGAATAAAACCATGTATAAGATGTCTACTCAATTTCAAACTGGGGAGCTGGATCAACACGCTTTGATTCCAGCTAAGTTTAACTCTGAGCTAAGCTTTTACCAACCGCTTTGGATGCCGTCCCACGGCTAGAAGTGGCCGCAATGTGTCCGACATTAGCTGGCAGGTTAGCTCCACAAGTTTATTAAGTTTTGAACGACAAGGACTGTAATTGTCAGTCTACAACATTCCAGTCCCAGTCACAGTCCTTTACAACAGGGTAGCGTATTTCTAGATTCCTTTTTTTGCTCCACAGTAGCACAAGTTCACAATAAAATAAAATAAAATTGAAGAGATAAATTTCCATCTCATAGCGTGTTTCAAGGGTCTTTTCAATACAATAACAGACGAAAACATTTACGTCAAGTTAAATAACTCGCGCTCGAGCGAAAACCTTGTAGTGTCTTCAAGGTTTTAGAAATGGGCTCGGGGCGCCATAGCGCTCATCGACCCACCAGTCTGGTGGATAATGGCTGGTGCGGCTCGGAAAACTTCCCAGCAGTTACCGTTACGCCGTGGAGACGGGATGTGCGGCATAGAATACTACCGCCGCACGCAAACAGAACATGGCGCAGCAAATTGACAGTAAAAGCGCAAAGTATAACGTATTATACTTTTTCGGGTCGACAGCTATGGGAGCTGTTTGCGGAACCTCGTCATTAGACGCTTCTGTAACAAGTATATAAGTAGCTCAGCCTACTGCTGCATGTGTATGTCTCGAACTCACTACTTCTATTATTCTTATACAACTTTATAATCTTTGCGTATTCAAAATGAAATTTGTCACTACTATGACTGTTATGGCCACTATGGCTATTGCCATGCCTACTCAGACTGAAAACAACAACAGTCAGCACTCCGGCGGTGACTGTAGTATCACGGGCAACAACTCCGGCTCGGTTCATTGCTGCGAGAGTGGAGGTATTCTGAGTGGATTATTCTGCAATGTGCTGGCTATAGGAGAGACTTGCGATGTCGGCCAGCACGTTTATTGCTGCAACAACCAGTCGGTGCGTATTTGTTATGTACTGCAATGTTATAATGCTAATTATTTGCAGGGCGGCTTGATTAACCTCAATCTTCTCAACTGTGTCAACCTTTAGATATGCGAAATAAAACTGGTGTTATCAAGGGCGATCCTGTCCGGGTACATTCAAGAACTAAGAATAATACTTTAGATAAAGTAAAATTGTCTAAAATAGAACCTTTAACACCAAGAGCTTTTTCGTTATCAGTAGTTTGCTGTATAGTGTATCCCTAGGTGGTGCTCTGGTGGTCTCAAGACCGTATCTCCGCATCCAACCTGAAAAGACAACGTATCGGAAAACGCATCAATTTATGCCTTGTACGCCTTGTATGATGTAGAGCTTCCGTAACTGTTTAGATCTCCAGTATTCTATTCGTTATATTATAGTAGGCCACATCCCGTTAGCTGAATCATAAAGCCGGGTTTCGTGGTAAGGTTGGTCAATAAATGCAATTAAACTCCGACATCACTACAGGCAAGCCAACGGCAGCAGCATCCGCTCTATATATTTATGATAATAATGCAAATTTTCCTTAGACGAAGTAGTTCCCCGTCGAAGATTCTATGCTACTGTCGGCTACCACGACCCATATGCTACGAGGCTCGGCTTAGCGTGCCCTAACCAAGGCACGCTAACGTCATAGTCACAGGGGCCGGACTCTGCGTTCAGGCGAGTGTGCAGCCTAACTTTAATCTATAGCCTCGACTTATACATTCTCCTCGGCAGCTAGTAGAGCGCTACCCTCCAACATGACGAACGTTGATCTTCTAGGCTAATTGTCAATATCTGTTGCTGAATCACCCACTGGTGAACCCTTGTGGCTCAAAATGTCCTGTTCGAATGAGTATCCACCTGGAGTGCCGAGCAAGTTCTCACCTTCCGGCGATGTCCAGCTCTTTCCCGGCAACACTGTCGTCGCTCATATTCCCCCAACCTCGCCTCTTCTAGCGGTCCTGTACCAGCTCTATGCCTCCATTAGCCAACAGAGTACTCTGCGCACGAAGGTTGCTCTCCTGCCGCCGTCGTCATGGCACATGACTGTCATTGAAGGCGTCACAAATGCAGACTGCGACCCGGCTAAATGGCCGCGGGGCAGATGCGTGGCACCTGTTCAAGACTGCACAGAGGAGTTTGCAGACAATCTTAAGGATCTGAATAAGTCTCCGGTCGAAGACGGGCTTAGTCCGCCGTACTGTGCGCGAGTTGTTGGGCTCCAGCCCTTGACGACTGGCATTGCGCTGCGTCTCGAAGCGGCCAGCAAGGATGAGGACTTGCACATCCGCTGGCTGCGTGAACGTATCGCCGATGAGGCGGTGGGTTTCCGAATGCCGGACCACGACAAATACGAGTTCCACGTGTCCATAGCGTACCTGCTTCCGTACCTGGGCGACGCCGAGAAAAGAGCCTTGAATACAGTGCTGCAAGAGATACTTGAGAGATTCCCACAGTTCTTGGAGTTTAACTTGGACTATGTCGAATTCTGTTCATTCGAGAACGTGTTTGCGTTCGACCGTGCATCACTTGTGGCGGACAAAACAGCTGTGACTAGTCAGGAGGAAAAGTCCAAGATCTTAGAGAACAGCCCGGCTCGTCAGATGCGCCCGTCCGTCGACGCACATCGCTTGAGGTGGATTGTAAAAGATATCCCCATGGACGCTCCAATTGACCCAGATGATCCTGATTGGTTTATGGCCATTATGGTTATCGAAGACGCTACCGATAACGATTCTTCTACCGTATAAATCCAAAGACGGAGAGCTACACCCAATCCACAAAAACTCTGTGTCTATAGTCCCTCAAAAAGAGCTCACAGTCACTCTACCGGCGCTTTACAACTACATTGCCTATGACGAGGATGACCCTGAGGACTATTCCGATTACGATGAAGAAACGGGTGAGCGGGCGTATGATGAACCAAGGTGCGAGATTAAAGCTACTAATGGCGAATTTATTACGATTGGCGAGTATATTGACGCCGTATACCCTTGGCTACAATCCTTACGTGAACGATACATCGGAGATGTACCTGTTGGTTCAAGGATCAATAACACGTGTTATCAAAAGGTAAGAGGTTGTGGTAAAATTCGTTGTTTTCTTCAAGTTCCATGGTCGGAACTGCTCCAGCTAAATACACCGAATACATCCTGTATTCACTTCCTTTTCCTGTGTCTTCCACCTCTTTCTCCTTCCTTGGCCACTTCCAGTGACTTAACTGTTCCTTCACTTCTCTGGTAAAGTAACACACGTCCAATGCCACAATAGTCACAACAGTACCTCTTCCAGGATATTACCTCCCGGAAAACGTAGAGCTTTGGGTAAAGCCATCGACTCTTATCGGGAAGCTCGAGCTGATAGTCTATGAGCCGCCTTTGGATTACCCGGATGCAGAGAAATGGGGGTGGAATCGGCGTACATCTCCGTTGCAGGAGATGTGGTTGGCCATGGCACAGACAGCGTGGGCCATTGAAAATTGGGAACTGTAATTGGATCAGACGTATCAGCACAGCAAGTAGTTAGAGCTTTCTTCCTCACATTTCGCGATTTTGTCTCCGCCTCTATCAGTTTGTACAAGTACATTAACGTTCGAAATAGAATCTTTATTGTGGGTTAAGCTCAGTTTAATTAAACATTTAGATCTTTTGTTAATCGCTCCTATTATCTGTTTTATTTTGTTCTCTTTTCTACAAAACAAGACCAAAATGTGTACCATTTCCATTTTCGCTTGACTGTTGTATACATCGCACAAATGGGCACCTTGGCTCAGAGCTAAACAAAGCCTGCAGCGCTGTTTGCATGCACAGCATCCGCTCCGGAGCCGAACTCATAGTACAACTATTAATCGAACTGCTTTTCGCTTGATCGACCGCGAGAACTGCAACAGCAAGTAGTTGCCCACCAGAAAATAGCGGCGATCAGAGCCAAAACGACCCCGATCCAAGCGATAGCTAGAAACGTGGTGCCATTGGAGCCGACGACGCCATAGTTCTTCAGGTCATTTTCGATGACATCCATGATGATGGCTGACATGGCTGAGACCAGACCAGCCGCCGCGCAAACAAAAACAACCATGATAGCAGCGACTATCGACTGCCAGGTAGACACGCTTCTGGCAAAGACACCAACCAGAAATGTTATACCAAGAACCAGTAGACCAAAGATCAAAGCCACTTGGGCACCCTTCGTGATGTTGCAGAAAAGAGATAGAGAATCCTTGAACTTTTGAGATAGCATGATCTTGCCGCCACTGGTTGAATCAAGTTGTCCTGCGTTGTCGACATTGAGCCATGACGACGCCCAATCATACTGCGCCTTGGTACACTGCCGCTGGCCATCATTGCCTACATAGCAATATCCCCATACGTTAATCTCGTAAGTGTTGCTCAGATTAAGGTCATTTGCGGTAAGATTTGCCTTTGGTCCGCCGGGTGTGATGCTGCCTGGGATTGGGTTACTGGTAGAGGTGGTCGACGGTTCAAATGATAGCTTTGTCAAGTCGACTCTAACAAGCCAGAGTTCGTTATGAGATACTCCAGAAAGAGTCGTAAATAGTACGAGAATCGTAGAACAGACAATGAGCAGGAGTGGCAGAGCTGCTTTGAAAAGTTGGCTACCGTTCATGATGTTGAAGGTTCTGGACGGACGGGTGTGTCTCTCTGATATGTTGGGTTTCTTGGGGGTCAAAATCGGATAGAGAATGAATTAGCAGAGTGTTAATAAAGATAGCAATAACAGATGGCGGGATAGAAGGAGCATTTGGATCCTTTTATACATGTTATCAGTGCTTCCACCCAGACGCCATATTGGGACGGAGGCGCCCCCCACGTAACGCCAGAGTACAATACAGAATACGGAGCAGGATAGCTTCAGCAGGCCAAAACAAACGCGTAAAACTCTGTGGCTCAGCCCTGGAGCAAGCCTGATGGCTATTTTAGGGTTCTACAGCTTGCTTTGGTGGATATGCATGTGGATTTTCTCGAACTCCCAAAATTTGCAAGAATGCGCAGTTGGGGCTGAGGCGATTGAACCCGGGCGTACATAGAACTGCGTGTGTGCTAGCGGGGATATTTTACCAGCTTCCCGCCAATTATATGTCCTCTGCCGTATAATATACAGATTAGATTAGCCCAGGAAGGCGTATAACGTGGATTGATTACCGAGCTACCCCTGTCTTAATCCACAACTCTGTGTGGGTTTTGAAAATTCACGGTCGAGCCAATCAGACAACAGCGGGGAATATCTTGCTGTAAAAATCCGAGTGAGAGCGCATTTGCAACCCAGCTACTATTGCAACGAACCCAATTCCATCACCCATATCTATATTTACTTCGTCACGTTATAGTAAGGTAAAGTATGGCTGATACCACATCACCTACTGTCTATGTGAAAGCGCCCAAAACGGCGACCAAGACAAGGCGAAGTACCCTAAGGACCCGCACAGGCTGCATGACGTGTCGGTAAGAGCAGACACACCCTTAAAAGCTAATCTATCATCGTGGCTAATTTGAATAATAGAAAAAGAAGAATTAGATGCGATGAGACACGGCCTGCATGCCTCAAATGTGTAGCAGCTAGGTGGGAATGTGATGGATATCCCACCACAGCTCCCCCTCAACCACTTTTACACATCACGAGCTATGCAATCCCTTTCCAGGTGGTTGGATCGCAGAAGGATCGGCAAATGCTGCACTACTTTTGTGTTCAAGGGTCCCATGATATTGCTGGCTTCGTGGGCGCTGACTTTTGGACTAAGACAGTGCTTCGCGAGAGCCGAGATAATCGTATCATCCGCGCCGCCCTCGTTGCATTAAGCTCACTTCAGTTGGAGTATACCACTACTTCACCAACGTCGGGCTATGCGACCAGGGCACGGGCATATGCAGCTACACCAGAAACTATCATACAGTATGAGAGAGCTGTTCGCCTACTTCGAAAACGGCTCACATCTCCCGCCTCCAATACTAGTATGGTAAAGACTGCTATTATATGCAGTGTTTTGTTTTGCGCGTTTGAGACTGCACTTGGGCAATCACATACCGCCGCACTGCACATAAATAACGGTCTACAAATGGCCGCCTCTTATCGCGACAGTCTAACAGTCTCCAGCATCCATTCTGACGATGACTTGCTTAATCTGGTTATGATTCTTGTAACGGGCTAGGCCCGTGGAGGTCTCGGGTAGCCCTCGACCATCTAGGCAAGGGACCCATGTAAGTCATATAAAAGGCTATTCCAGCTAGCTGGAATAGCCCCTTTTCGATCCCTTCTTCTTCATCTTCGGATACTCGTAGTAGTCGCTCAGCTAGTTGTCAATATACTCAGTTGAGACCGTTACAATTCTGGAACGCTTGGATCTACAAGCCTGTCTCTACGATACCAATCGCATTATAGCCCCTCCACTTCTCCCTGAATACGAAGATAAAGTGGCACGGATACTGCAACAAGACGTATTCTTGGGGCTTGATGATGCAAATACTGCTTTGATCAAGATTCAGATTTGCCTTGTTCGCTTTCTAATTACGTTTCAGCATTGCAATTTTGAACTGCTTGAGAGCATTCCATCATTTGCGTTGCAGCAGAGAGATATTCTTGTAGGACAGCTTGCTATGTGGAAGGACAAATTTGCCCGATTCACATCTACAAAAGCTCTGGCCAATGACCATAGAACGGCTTGTGCTAGTGCAACGATATTGGTTCAGTTTCACATTTGCCAGATGCTTCTTTCCGGCACTATATCATCAGAGGCGGATATGTTTAGGCAATCACCAAACGGTCCAGCAAATTTTATTCTACATGCTGTCTCGCAAATCCTCCATCTAGGCGACCAAAATAACGACAGCAAAACTCAACGCAGCTTCTCTCTAGAAACGAGTGTTGTAGCGCCTCTGTTTATGTTGGCTATGAAATGCTCAGATGAGTCTGTATGTAGCAAAGCCCTCCACTTATTGACTTCTTTAAATAGGCGAGAGGGCCCATACGACGCGCAGAACATGGCGGATATTATTACAAGGCTTGAGAACCGCAGACGAAAGACAGTAATGGCTGAAAGTGAAAGATCCAGTTTACCACTGGAGAATTTGCTCCTTGTAAATCCAGAGGGAATTTCAGGAGGGATGGACTGTCTTTTGTATTATATTTAGCTGTATTACATCACTAATTATAGCAAACGTGTTCGTGCTAGTGGTGCATGGCTAATGGCGGCCGTTGACTCTAAGGTTATCGTCAGATCGTCATGCTCGTACTTCTATTTCTTCTCATTTGGTAGCACAGTAGAATGGTAAGAATAAAGCGACTGAGACCTTGTAGCAGGCTTTATATAGATACCATAAAAAGCAAGAACGAGTCGCTAGGTTAGCAAAGAAAACAACTCTTCGGCGGCTACATATATATTTGATATGTTAAACAATTCTCCTTGTAGATTCTCCCAACGCTTCTGCTTGCTGCTGGTCGTGTGATCCTGCAGGGTAAGTCAATAAGGCGGAATTCCACCCAACACAACGTTCAAATAAATGGCCCAGGCAACGGGAATCCACTGTTTGACCACCCGATAACGATAAAGTGATTCTCTTCTCTCCAATGAGGGTTATATCACCATCATAGAGTTTATTCAGATCGCCGTTCAAGGCGCAGGCGTGGATCATGTCTCGGTATTGGGTATCTTTAGCGAAGACAACGTCAAAGCTGGGCTCCGGTAAAAATGATCGCCTGACTCGTAAAAAAGTTTAAATTCAGACGCTAGTGCTAACTAGCGCTACAAATCGTAGAAAAGGTCACTACAAGAAGCATCGCATCCCTTCATTTATCCGCGGATAGCAGCCCGTTGCTATTGGTGTGGCTTTTGCGAGGAGGCCGCCCGCAATGCAGCTGAAAGCAAGCCGCGAGAGAGATAGAAAGAGTAAATAAAGCCTAATGGCAGCTTGTTTTCTAAATGCAAAATATTCTTTATTATTATTTTTTGTATCCTTTTATGTATACTTACCGTAAGCAAATATGCCGTCACAATTCAATCCTCTTGCTAGCAGGCTCAAGGGCTTCATCAATAGCCAGCTCTCGAGTGAGCCGCCTGCCATTACACTAGCTCCTTTGGCGCAGCCTATGTTTCGCTTTCAAGGCTTCATTGCGCAAAAGCAAGAGGTGATTTGCATCAAGGAAAAGGCATTGTAAATACTCAATTGCAAGCCGATATTCGAAGCTATAATACATTTACACGGCTGCAATCAACAACCAAACGGCGCTGTACAAAGTGTGGAAATACTGGGCATAATTCACGAACTTGTAAAGTCACTTAAATAGAGGTAGAAAATTTATTTACATATATGAATATATTCTTTTCTACACTACGAAATTCTAATTACTTATTTTATTGATGATATCTTCAAAAAGCGACCCGCTCGGTTGTGCGACCCGCTCGCTTGTGAACCACGTTACGTCATTACTCCCGAATTGCCTTGAATAGCTTGCGATTAATATAACCCCTTCACAATGCTTAGCTAATGCCCATTGTTGGAAGCTTTTCGTTACTTGCCCTTTCGCTCCACGCGTATTGTAGTATTTGCCATGCATCTAAAGTACGACAAGTAGAGTAGGCTACTGAACAGCGTTTCGAGGTGGACTTTATGCAAGAGTGCTGGCATTTATGTTAGTGGCTCACCCTCCCCTATCATTTAAAGGCCTGGCTGCACGATGAGGTCAGCCGTTGGCGACCCTGGTGGTGGTGCCGTGCCCCACCGCTGGAATGGTACTGAAGTTCACTGGAAATGTACATGCTGAGCCAGGCTTCTTCCCTCCTGTACTCTCATGTCGCCTACAGAATGGAGGGCTTTACCAACAGGTTGAGGAACCTTCCCACGCCTACATCGCTGACTTGGCCGCTGCTGTTCGGTATCTTCATCGCGTCTTATATAGTGCGCAAGGCTATCGTTTCTGTCCGCCTTTGGCAGTTTCGCGGCCCGCCGTTGACGGGTCTTACCAACCTTCCTCACAGTCGCGCCATTCTACGTGGCGAATGCCATAAGTGGTACGCCCTGGCGAATGAAAAATACGGTTGGTGAATTCCCGCCGTTTCCATATTTGTGTCTTTCGAGCCAGTAGCCCTCAAATAGCATCTTTTCCGCAACGCTAACTCACTCTCGTGCCCAGGCCCGATTGCCCGTGTGGCGCCAAACATCCTGGTCACATCTTCACCCCAAGTTTGGGCCCACGTCAACAATTCTCCAGGATACAAGCGCTCCGACTGGTATTACCATGCTTGTCGCATTGAACACAGAAAGGACAATGTATTTAGTCAAACTGACAATGCGAAGCACGAGTTTAGGAGGAAGCAGATGGCCCCTGGGGTAGGTTTATTATGAACTTTGCTAATAAAGCTATCGGAGTGCTAATACTCATACTACGCCTCAGTACTCAGGAAGAGAAAATCCTGGTCTAGAGGCTTCCATAGATGAATTCCTTGCCCAATTGATTTCCCTCATCAGCTCCAAGTATCTCTCTTCGGACGACGGTATAGTCCCGGTGGATCTCGCGCGCAAGATACAGTTTTTCACACTCGACGTAATCAGCAAGATTGGCCTAGGAACTCCTTTTGGTATGTTGCGGTCCGATTCGGATATAGACGACTATCTCAAGTCTAGCGAAGAGGGCCTTGCCGTGGGCAACAGCGCCCTAGCGCTAGGCCTCAGCTGGCTTGCCCACTCGCCATTCATTGGCCGCTTTATTGCCCCGTTCCCTAAGGATAACACTGGCTTTGGCAAGATGATGGCCACTTGCTTCCGCCTCGTTGATGATCGCGCTGCTAAGGCAACCGAGAAACACTCCGATATGCTGGCTTCCTTCGCTCGTCATGGTTTGTCCGGTGCTGAGCTACGAACAGAGGCGCTTGAGCAGATTATCGCAGGCTCCGATACCACCGCCACTGGTATTCGTTTCACGCTACTGCATATCATGACAAATCCTCGTGTACATTCGAAACTGCAGGTTGAGATTGATGGAGCCGTGCGAGCTGGTCGGGCTCCCGCAAGCGGATCAGGGATTATTTCCGCCAACCAAGCAAAACAGCTTCCGTACCTCCAGGCTGTTATCCGAGAGGCACTGCGCGTTACCCCACCAGTCGCAAACATATTCTCGCGAGACGTCCCACCTAATGGTGATGAAGTTAAAGTCAATGGCGAGACAATAGTTTTACCTGGTGGGGTTTGCATCGGATACTCAGCCTATGCGATGCACCACAGCAAGGGCATCTATGGCAATGATGTGGACGCCTTCAGACCCGAACGCTGGTTCGAGCCCGATGCCGATAAGCTGAAACTCATGCTATCGACCAACGAACTGGTGTTTGGCCATGGCAAGTTCCAATGCCTCGGCAAAACTGTCGCCCAAATGGAGCTGGGAAAGGTTATATTTGAGGTAAGTGCGAGAAATCTTGGTAGAATATACGCTCCGTTCGAATGCAGTGCCGAGGTTAACACTACGCATATAGCTTTTCCGCCATTTTGATCTTGCAACTCTTTGCCCTACAAGCCCGTTGAAGTCGCGCAACTGTCTTGGTTTATTTCAAATAACTGACATGTGGGTACAAGCGACTAGGCGGCCCTTATATTCTTAATATGAAGAAGTCAATATACTCAGTTGAGACTGTTATAGTGAAAAAAACAAAATAAGCAGTTTAGACAAACAGCGTCAGTAGGGTCGATATTATTCCATATCTAATCTATTTCTCACTGAAGTAATATCGGGAAGTTCACCAGCTCGGACGAGATTCTCCAATTCTGCCTTATCGGCCCATTTGTTGTAACACTCTATATAGTCTTCTGCTAGAAACTCTTCTATCGCCCTGCCTATCCCACGGCCTCGTTTTCTGTAATCATCCATATGTAGTGTTCCAGGCCATCGTTCCATGCCTGATGGAAAATAACCAGCATGTTCCCAATCAATGAGTGCGTTAACTTGAAGAGAAGATCGATCAATTAATATATTATGAGCCGCCATATCGCCGTGCTGAAAAATATATCCTGGCTGCTCTAGTGGTATTGTCTTCCAGGTCCTTGGGCGGTCCCATGGCGGTTCAGCATCGGGGCAGATCCAAGAAGGGGGCATCACGAATCCATCGATGCCACGCTCCCGAGACTTTAGATTTGCAAGTTGTGGTAAAACAGTTTCGTTAATAAATAGAGTTGCATTTGTGTGGGCCTCGTCTGAACATATCTTGCACGGCGCAGTATCCATGTGTTGTTGGCCCAACGGTTTTAGACAGCCCTCAGATTCCATGATATCACTTAGGCTGATACCACCGACACGTGCAGTGGTTAAATATTTACAGCCATCGGAAAGTGTCCCATGCGCAAGTAACTGAGGAACAGGTATTGTTGTTTGGGCAGCAATCAGCTTTAGTGCCTTGGCTTCGTTATCGATACGTTCGTGATTCCTGTAAGGAAGATTCTTGTTAATAACCGCAAACCAAACACCAATAGTGATTCTTACCAGGATCTCCACCATGTAAATGGAGTACCATCAGGATATGGATCATATATTGGAAGCCTGGAGATCTTTGTGAATGTTGTTTCGGTAAAGACATATATGACATCATTCGACTGTTCGCGACGTGTTTCTCCCACTAAGGCGTCTTTGATTAGCGAAACAAAATAAATAAAAATTAAAAAGAGTTATCAGATAGAAATTACAGTCTTTAATAAGTGTATCGAAGTCTTTTAGTTCGGATAAGGAAGTATATTGCTCGCTCATTATATCAGATTGATAATAAAAAAATATGGTTAAGATAGAAAGACAAGATAAAAGTAAAAACCAGACAAGCGATTGATTTTATATCTACTGTTATCTAATCCCTATCTATTATCCAAACACGGGTAGCTGGCCTTTGTCTCCACTTATGTTTGGCATGGCAACCAAGCTTTCAAGACCAGGACGAGCCAACTCTTAGATAAATAAACCCGACTAGGATAACTATTACTTCTTATGTATAAAATCTTATAACCTTAGTTCTACCGTAATTTTTAGCTCTATATTCAATCATCACAAGTTACTTTTCTCACAATACGTTTTACCACACTTCAGACATAGTTGGATAGAATCGGTGATAGTTGCGTTACATGTGCTCCCGTCAAGAAGCGACACAGATGTCGTTGCCCGATGGCTTGTGGATACTGCTAAAACACAGGGCTACAAAATCGCTGTGGCATCGCGAAAACCAGTATCTACAGTTCGGCTTAGAAGCAGAGCTCGCAAACTAGCCAGCAGCGCAGCCGCCCAATCAAATCAAATAAATAAATCTATCAAATAAACAAACAAACAGAAGCAATTTGGAGGTTCAAACAATCAAATCCAGTAGGCTCTAGATTTGATATATTTGATCAAATCTGTAGGGTATTTGTTATGTCTCACATTGCTATGCCACGTACCAGTAAGACGGTCCTGACTTAGAAGATGAACACAGTGCCCGAGACAAGGGAGAAGAGTATACCGGTCCAAGTCTTAAGGCGGTTTGCCTGGCTGTAACCAACCAACGTGGAGAAGGTGCTCGGGGAAGAGGTAGCCCGTAATCGTCATAGCGCCAATGACCCCTAACATCTAGGGCGTTGAGTTGGGGTGTGGTGTTGCCTGGCTGCCCTGTGCTTCACCAGCCAACAGCAATCAAGCAATCCACTGTGACGTCGGGCTGTGGGCGGGGCACAGGCGCCACAGCCGAGTTTCCAGGATGTGGTATGCGAGCTGTCTTGACTACTACTTCTGCGGCTGTATTCATCCATACCCCAATAGTCTAGTTGGGTTGCTTCTCTATATTGTCTATGCATTTCTTGGCCATAACACGCCTCGCTTCTCTGCTTGTCATTATCCCGGACAGCGCAACAGCTGTCTCGCCTTAAAAACTTCTCACTAAACCCTTCGTCATGGCCTCAATAGGCAAATCGCAACCTCTCCGTTCATCGTGCGATTGGTGTCGTGCACAAAAGCTACGCTGCGTCCCGGTCCCTGGCACCGCACCGCATGCGCCGTGTCAACGCTGCCACAGAGCGAAGCCACCGCGAACCTGCCATTTCTCGGCCAGGTCGCGATCCGGTCGAACGCCCAAGGATGGTGAAGCGAAGCTTCCGCCAGACTACACAAGGAAGCTGTCTATGCCGGACGTGGCGTGGACAAACATGATACCGATGCCACTCTCCACGCTGTCGTCCTCGGGTGACAGCGCACCTCCGTCCGTCGTGTTACCCATGGACAAAGACCAGGACGGCCCCTTGTCGGATGATGGCACCGCTGCATCAACCGTCAATCAACAAGATGGAGCGTTCAATGGTCTACTAGGAGCCGAATCGACAGAATCGGATGTATCGGAATGGTATCCGGCGCTCAATCGAGTCTCATCGGTGGCTGACAAGTACGGCGACACAGCAGACAGGGAGATTGCCTTCTCGATAGCAGGCGTATCTGCATTTGAAGTAGACCTCGACTTTGATGCAAGTCTTGCTTTATTATCCGAGGAGCCGCCCTGCACCGTCAGCTTGGACTTGATCACGCAAGGCTCTTGCGGTACGGTTGAGCTATCTAGCCTGTTAGCAGACATGGCACGATACGAAACGCAGATGGCCATGGTCTCTGGCGGCGAACTCGAGTAGTATCCAATTGGAGACGCTCTGTTCCTGTCTCAGCGCTTCTGCCATCTGTTATCTAACGAGGTTTACAACACCTTTGTGGACCCGGAGGCCCTCGATACGCCTATTACGCTGCTCATGCTCTCTTGTTACATGATGCTGACGCGCATCCTTTCCTCCGTGCTTGGGCACATGACACAACATCTGCTGAAGCTGATGGGAGCGCACCAAGATAACCTATCCTCTGCAACAACATCAGCCAGTATCCTGTCGTACCGCGGACTGAGCCTCGGCGAGCTACAACCGAGCGCGGAGAGAGACCTTGCGGCGAGGGTGAAGAGAGCCGTTTCTCTCATGCTGGACTCGCTCCACGCGTCAGAAAGGGCAATGGGGCTGGCGACTGGCGCTATGGTGGCTGTTAATTTTGATGAGCCGTCTAAGGAGGATCGCTCAAGGCCGCCTGGAGGCGCTGGGCTGAAAGTGGCAGCTGTTGCGAACGGGGGACCGATGCTGACGCTGGCAAACAGCCGACTGCATGAAGCGGTGCTAGAGCAGTCGGGAAAGTTGGCTGGCAGGGTCAAACACTTGAATATCTTGCTTGCGCGTTTTTTAGACTTGTAAATGATAGAAGATGCTAGACAATTGGGCGACTGCACCCTCTAGGCAAATGTAAATCTGTTTTGCTCCACGGACAACATGGTTACACCGGGCCTGCATGATACATTTAAGACAGCAGGTGTCCATCTTAGCACATGTCGTACTATAGTTCTTGCTATTCCTCCGCCTTCTGAGACACTGGCGAAGCGTCGTCCGCGACAAAAGCTGCCGTGGACGTCCGGGGAGGAGGGGGGGAGGGTAGCGGCTTGCTGGGACACCCAAATCCGGGTAGTTCACCCGGTACACAACCCTGACGACAACTGCTAGCACGGTTTCGCCCTGCATGTGCTGGAAGAGGGCTCATGCGCGTTGTGACATTTTTTTGCCGAAGTTCGAGCCATGCCCAGGGTGTGCGGCTCCGTCCGATGCCCCGTTGAGCTACTCTCTCCGTCCGATCCTCCGCGGCCCCACCCACCCCGGGCGAATGATCCACAAGCTGAGCAATTGCACACGAGGGTTTGGAGGAACGGGCGGTGCAAGGATGTTGGATTACTGCCTGGAGATGCAGCAAAATGCAGGCGAGAGTTGCGGCTGCGTAGTGAGGCAGAAGAAGACAACATGACTAGTAGCGCATGCTTAAATCCGTGCCTCCCATCCGAACCGCGGCGCATTACGGGATTCCTCTGGATCTGGGCGGATGCTCGTCTTTGTTTACACTTACGTTGAGAGTTCATATATATATAGCATCAAAACAAAAGCTAAAACAAATACTGTGGTGCAACTGCGATGATACTGGAAACGGCTCCCTACCCTGCGAGACTCGAGAATCACTACCGCCCTCAGAATACCGTCTCGTCGGCAACCGCACCATGCAGCAAGGCGGGAAGCAAGAGCCCGTTAGCTCGGGGACGAGCACAGACACAAACACAGAAAAAGATGTCGAAGGTGGCAACACGACAGCAACGACTGCGACGATCCCTACTGATGAGTCTTCGGAAGTCCTAGATCCACACATTGTGGGCTGGAACGGCCCCGATGATGCAGAGAATCCCAAGAACTGGTCCAGCGCGAAACGGTGGTCGCACATCATTCTGGTGGCCATGCTGGGTCTTGTCACGTATGTAACGATTGGGATTGGGATTGTTGTTGTTTTTCAGCTTTTGGTGACCTGCACCGGCCTGCTAACACGCTCGGCAGCAACTTTGCGCCGACCATCTTTGCGCCTGGTATCAGCCAGCTCAACGAGGAGTTCCAAATCACCTCGAGCACCATCAGCACCCTGGCCATCACGCTCTACGTGCTAGGAATCTCCATCGGGCCCATGTTCACGTCGCCCCTCAGCGAGGTGTACGGTCGCCTCGTCGTGTATCACGGAAGCATGATTTTGTTTGTCGTGTTTGTGATTGCCAATGCCGTGAGCCAAAACACCGCAGAGTTTCTCGTGTTTCGATTTCTCTCCGGCTGCGCGGGTGGCACGCCGCTTGCACTGGGCGGAGGAACCATTGCTGACGTCTCGAAATTGGCACAGCGAGCGCTGGCTATGGCTCTATTCAGCCTGGGTCCCATGTTTGGACCGGTGAGTTTGGTCGTATCCTTTGTCCTGTCTCGTTCCTCTCTTCCGCCCTTTCTTTTTACTTTTTTTTGCATATTTACAGGGACGGTGTACTGACATAGGGAAAAACGTCTAGGTTCTTGGACCGGTGATTGGAGGCTTCGTCGCCTCCGCAAAAGGCTGGCGCTGGACCTTCTGGGTCCTGGCCATGGTCGGCGGCGGCATGCAGCTCATCAGCTTCGCCATCATGCGCGAGACGCACCCAAAGGTGATTCTCGACAACAAGGCGGCAAGGCTCCGCAAGTCGAGCGGAAATCCAAACTTCCGATCCAAGCTCGCGCGCACAACCACGCCGGCGCAGGTCCTGCTCCAAGTTCTCGTTCGCCCAACCACGCTCCTGTTCCGCTCGCCCATTCTGCTGCTCATGTCGCTGTACATGGGCTTCATCTTCGGCGTCATGTACCTCTTATTCAGCACCTTTGACGCCGTGTTTCAGGTGCAGTACGGCTTCAGCGTCGCCGTTTCGGGCCTCGTGTATCTTGGCCTGGGTCTGTCGGCTGCCACTGGCATCGTCTTTTTCACCATCTTCAACCCGCGTATCCAGGCCGCCCTCATGAAGCGAGACGGCGTCACAACGGTTAAACCGGAGCATCGCTTGGTTCTAATGATTTGGTTTAGCCCAGGCGTGCCCGCTGGCCTGTTCATCTACGGCTGGGCGACATACTACAAGGTCCACTGGTTCGTTCCCATTCTTGGGACCGTGCTTATCGGTTACGGCGCATTCTTCGTTCTGGTACGTTTTCTTGCTGAACAAGGTCGAGGCTTATTCTCACAATCAGCAGATGCTCACTCAACTCTACCTCGTCGAGCTATTCGGGACAAAAGCGGCAGCCTCTGCTCTCGGTGCCAACATCTTGGTGCGCTACCTGGGAGGCACGTTTCTGCCACTGGCCGGGCCAAGCATGTACGCGACGCTAGGCTTGGGCTGGGGAAACAGCTTGCTAGGATTTGTATCGCTCGCATTCATCCCTGCGTCTATATTCTTGTACAAGTACGGGGAGCAGCTTAGAAACAAGTCTACCGTGAAGGTTTGATATCTGAATGTAGCTGTGGTAGGTTCTGGCTTACACTGGGGTGGCCGTGGACGGTTATTAGATCGTATTCAGGCCAGGAGATGACCGGACGCAAGTAATTAGTTTCTATTCTACCTGGGAATTCAGACTCCTTTGCTTTTATTTTATCGCAGAAATATTTGCTCTGCCCTCAGCGAAAGTGACGTGGGCGATATGCGGCTTGCAGGGCTGAAATGGACTGATGCACGGAGGGAGTGATGCAGGCCAAGCCTAGGTGCGCTAGGCGTATTGAAAGCAATGGAAAAAAAATAGGCAGACATGTGAAATCTTGGCCACTTTCAGCCTGAAAATGTGATAGCCAGCCATAACCACAGACACAAAGTGCTAACTCCGATTTGGTTTCAGAGCCTCGCCACAGGCGGCGGCCGTCGACTCATCGAGCCTACCAATACCATTAGGTCTGGGTCTCGCGCTCCACCAGCGCCGCCAGCCGTTCCACTAACTTCTGAACCCCGCCTCGCACCTCATCGACATTTCAATTTTCTCAACTCTGCGCAACAATCACGCGCCGCCAATGGCAAGGTCATATTGCGTGTAAAGCATCCGAAGCACTCTCTGGAAACACCCATATACTCCTGCAACCGTTCCCACGTCGTCGACTGCGGATACCACATAGTTGGCTAACGAGATGGCGCCGTCCGGCATGGACGCAGCGTCCTTGGAGATGCAACCATCGCCGCCTTTGCAGATCGAGGCATCGGCTGCAACGTCGCTGGTGCAGCCGAGCCAGCAAGCATCCACAACAAAACCCAGCACCGTGAACCCAGGCCGTCAGCGAGAGAAGCCCCATCTCTCGTGCAATCTATGTCGCAAACGCAAGTGAGTAGCTCGTAGCCTTGAGTCACGTCACCCTTGGTGCATACTGCTAACCATGCATCCGCTGCCATAGGCTGCGTTGTGATCGCAAGCAGCCTTGTTCCAGCTGCGCCTCTCGCGATATCCCCTGCAGCTATGTGCAAGGCGGCGCTGGCGTTGCCGGTCCGACTCTGCACGATCGCCTAGTTCAGCTGGAGCGCCTCATATTGCTACAGATGCCGCTTTCTCAAGGGTCCCAAGGACAGCATCCCGCTGCGCAGCCCGGTAGCATGCATATGGATGGTCCGCAGGATGGCGCTGGTGTTCAGCCTGCCGATTCTAGAGATGTCCCTTCTGAGCGCGGCAGCCTCCACGTAGGCGGCTCGGAACAGCGATACGTTGGCGGCGAGCACTGGGCAGCCATTCTGTACAACATTACCGACTTCAAAGACCAGCTTGAGCGACAAGAGGACATGTCGCTGCTGGAGCCGCCGGGTGCATCTAGCTCTGGAAATGCCCAAGAGCCTGACGTCGCCCGCATCCCTCCCGCACGTCGCGCGCTCCTCCTCTACTCTTGTCCTCGGCCAGCATCCCGTGAAGAGATTCTGGCCGCACTACCGCCCAAGATCACAGTTGATCGCTATCTCTCGCGTTACTTCACGTGCTTAGAGCTAGCGTCTTGTATGTAACGCAACGCGGTCCTGCTACCCGTAGTCGCTCACCCTGTCTAGGCACCATCCACGGCCCTACCTTTCTTCAAGAGTACGATGCATTTTGGGCGAATCCATCCCGAGCCTCCATAATATGGATTAGCCTCCTGTTTGGAATCATATGTCTCGCAGTCACCACATCAGATGTTGCCGAGGCCGGCCCCGGATACGAAAGAGATCTGGCCCTTCGCCAGGTAGATTTGTATGTTGAAAAGATTGTGCAGTGCCTGGTCTTGGGCCAGTACACAAACACGGGCCCGTACGTGGTGGAGAGTCTGGTCCACTACATGCACATTGAGTTTGCCATTTGCACCGACGCGAACAAGGACGCGTGGTTTGTGCTTGCCCTCATCATAAAGATTGCCATGTCGATGGGCTACCATAGAGACCCGAGCTACTTTGCCAAGCTGACACCGTTGCAGGCCGAAATGCGTCGGCGGCTGTGGGCAACCCTCGTGCAGGGGGACATCCTCATATCCAGCCAAATGGGAATGCCTCGGATGATTTCAGACTCGCAGTGGGACACAGCCGCACCCCAAAACTTGAATGACTCCGATTTAGCGGCAGAGCTGACACAGCTCCCCGCTTCTCGGCCCGAAACGGAGCACACGTCGTCTTTGGGTATTATTTCGAGGATGAGGATACTCAAGGTAGTCGGCCAAATCACAGATCTGACTTCGGCCGTTACGCCGTTTAGCTACGCCGAGATCACCCGCTTCGATGGGCTATTGCGAGACGCGCAGGCCACCATCCCACAGCTCCTCCAGCCCAGGCCGCTGTCTGCTAGCATAACTGATTCTTCTCAAGTTATTATGGCTCGTTTATTAATCAGCCAAATCTTTTACAAAGGCCAAATTATGCTGCATCGACGCTTTCTTTACCTGGAGCCCCCTCCTCAAGAGCAAGCCGCGTATACGTATTCTCGCAGAGTTTGCCTGGACGCCGCACTTAGCTTGCTGGACATTCAGCGCATAATGGACGAGGAGACATGCGCAGCGGGACAGCTGCACATGATGCGATGGCGGTTGAGCTCCGCCATCAACCACCAATTCCTCACGGCTACCATGATACTCTGTTCGCTCCTGCATCGCGGCATAACGATAGATAGAGACGACGAAATTATCACGGCGCTGAAGACTTCAAGAACTATATGGATGCGGCATTGCGGTAACTCTACGGAAGCTAGAAAGGCAGCGTTGACTATTAGCTACGTGCTTGGGAGGGCTTTTGGGGACGCCAGCCAGGAAACTGGTGGTTTGCCCCTGGATGAGGTCGCTACGAAAGGTCTACCTTGGCCGACCGATGCGAGCCTCAACAATCTAGATACCGAAATGGGCTTTGATCCGCGTCAAATGCTCAAGGACCTTGTCCGACCTGACGGTAAGTTTGCGCCCGCCGATTAGACGAGCCGATACTAAGCCCTGTGACACAGCGGGAGTCCCGTTTCAGCCGGACGTGTTTGAAGGATACACGCCGCCCATGATGCAAAATGGAGTTCTCTCCATGTTTTCCGGCGCCCAAGAAGCTCCAGATGTGCACCTAGGGTCGGCGGACTGGCTGTTGGATGGAGCCTAGTGTAGCCCAATTTCAAGATAAACGGGCGCCACTTTTGGCATTCTAGGGTGTATTTGTAAACGAAAAGGAGCAAGAAAGAAACAAGCTAAAGGTAGGAGGCTTCATAGAAAGTACAGCGCACCTCAGTAATCCCAATACACTATCCCAATACGCTACTCCCCTTCCTAAACGCCAGGGCACGTAGTGCAAGCAGTGGCAACTTGCATTGTTTTCAGTCTCTGTTGTTATCAACCATTTTTTTTTTTAAAAAACACTAGACTAGTCCTATACACTTCACATGTGCCTGCCAAAAAACTCAAGAACGGTCTGGTAGCCACGGGCATATTCCTCCCTGACTCTGGGGTCGGAGAGATCGGCGCGCGCCGCCATCCAGCCATGGACCTGGTCGGCAAAGGTTTCGACATGATGGGGCACGGAAAGGCCGTCCTTGAAGGCGGCGACGTCGGTTGCAGGATCCTCGCCCGACGCGAGAAGCAGGTACGGGACGGAAATGGACTTTGCGCCGTCGGGGTTGATCATGGCAGGATGCACACCGGCGGCGACGGCGAAGGGGTTGGAGGATGTCGACGTGACGAGCTCGGTCACTTTGCCGCCCCAGCAGTACTGTATGTAGAAAGCGCAGGTCAGATAACGTTCAACAATGGCAGCGCATGGCTTCATGTGTCACTCTGATCAAACGTACCCCAATCAGACCCCATTTCGTAATGCTTGGGTAGGCAGCCTGCAGGCTGGCGACGAAGGTTGGAAGCTTAGCCGCAACGGCATTCGGATCGTTTGCGCCAAACCAGGCACCCAAGCTCTGTTGCTTCTCCGGCGTATCAGGAGGATACCTATTCAAGGGAAGTGCTATTAGCGTCTTGGCCTTTCTCGCTCGCTGTTTTTGGTTCTCAGTTGTAGCGTTCTTGGCCTTACCATTCCGTTGGGCAGGGGCTGCCGTTAAACCAGTCTGGCATAAAGACCTTGTACCTGTCGCCCTGAACGCCTGCGCTCAAAATGTCTGCGCCCTGCACGGTCTGATCAACGAAGCCGAATATATCGAAAATGGAAACAATGCCCAGCGTTGCCTCGTCTGAGCCTGTAACATCTATATTTTATGAGAATTTGGTCAGCCTTTCTTTGCGACGCAGGTAGACGTGCCAAGAGAGCCCGGTAAGCTAGCTCGCTGTCCCCTTTCCCCCTTCTTACATGTCTTGCTACCTCCCAGCTGTTCGTAGCTGCCCTTGGCAACGTATCCTTGGGCCACGACAGGTGGAATATTACAGCAGGCGCGGCTGTGGCCGCTTGTAGCGGGCATCGACGACATTCTGCCGATGTAGCCAGCAGCAGCGTAGGCCGGGTGGACGGGTCGTGACGGTTGCAGAGCAGACGGGCTGGTCGAGAACAATGCTGGAGCTGCTGGAGCTTGTCGCTGGATTCTTGCTGCTTGTGTTGCCGAGGCGAGGCGAGAGAATCCAGCCGATCGTGCGGAAGTCCTGGTTGCCAGTCGGCCTGATTGCCGCATTTTAACGGACGTAGCACTCGTGATTGGAATGAATGGTAGGCTGGCTTGCTGGGTGACTTCAATTGCTTGTGTCTTTGCTTTGGCCGAAATCATCGTATAGTAGCGTCGTTTTATCATCCGATTGTCCGACGCAGAGCGCACCCCTCGGCGTCCTCTCCGGGCGCGACGGCATTACGTCCCGTTAGCGCCGCACGGCGCGAACCTTGCAATGCACCCAAGATTCAAAGACAGGCACTGTAATGGCTTTCCACGGAGCACGGAGCTTTCATCTTGGCCCGCTTTTTGTTAGCCGAAATTAGCCTGCGGCGGCGACCCAAGCACGGACGAGGCTGTGCCGCCTGCTGCTGCCTTTTCTCCGCCACATCGGAGCGATTCCGAAATAGGCAACCCTGCGATGGCTGCATTGCGCCGACCGTGCTCCTGCATGCAACGCATTTCGCAGCAAATCGCGCTGTGCCTAGATAGATAAAACAATTGCCGCTACAGTAGATGATCCGCATCATCTTACCTCTCATCTCTCAGATACGTCACTTGCGCACCATCATTAGACCTCGCTCCGTTATACTGCCACAGCCACGACCACGCCATCCGCTTCGCGAAAATAATGAGCAGCACGGGCGTCTCAGCAGGACCGGCAGTGTTGCCGGCTCCGACCTACCTCTTTAGCGCGACCGTCACTCTCGGCCAGCGCCTCGACCCTATCCCTCTGCTCGAGGGCGGCAGACGCGTTGTCGAACCCATCACGGGCGGCATACATGGGCACTTTCGAACGTTCGTTGGACCGTTCGTTCCGTTTTAAACGTTTTACGCAGATTAAATCGTTAACCGTTTATTAAAATCCTGAACCCGTTTGAACGGTTAAACGATTAAGTCCACTTCCAAATTCGGCGTAGATCCTCAATGGGGCCTTTAGCCCTCAACCAATTAACTCCGTATTAGATCAAAAGTGTCACCCGTGGCTATTCCTGAGCAGCGGATTGGCTAGAATAGATTTAATCCTTTAATATTAAGACAGGTGTGCAGTAAATAATGTGTAATCTGGGTTAGAGCCCCTGAGTGTAAATTTGAAGACATCATACTCTTCTTTTTAAGTTATAGCTCTTCTTACCTACGAAGACAATCATTAAGAGCTAGGCTTCTTCTAAAGAAGCACATTGACATCTTCTACACTATGTCATCCGACATTTCATCAAATATAGAGGCACCAGAGAGCGCCCTAGATATTAATGGACTGCCGCCAAACTTCCTGCTCATTATGGACATCACGAAGGCCAGTGAGGCTAGTAGTTGACCACTCATCCAGTCCAACTGAGTGAGCTTCCAGTTGATTCAGTCCAGTTGGCCTTTTTTTAGACTGGGTCGCTCAACTGGATAAGCTTCAACTGGACTGGTTAGTAATACAACTGACTCAGTTGAACTGGCAGTTGGACTGACTAATTATGTAATTGTGAAACAAGTGGCGGTCTCAGCGATAGAAGCATGAAAACGCCTAGAGAACACTACTTGTAGTATAGTTTTTTTTCAAATATTAAGGACGCGTTTAACACTGTAATTAATTTAGGGGATAATATACGTAGTAATATGCAGTGTGCTTATATATTAGAATTACAACCACTATTCTCTAGAAATCACTTGACTCTATTACCTCGGAAGTTATCCCATTAATTCAAGAGGTATTATGGCTATCCAGGGTAGCCCTACTCTAGGATCTGTTTCCGAGGGGGGCTGGAGTGATACCGGCCTGATCTTCCACCCCCTTTCATCGTCGCCATATATCCCTCCAACTAACGCTGAAGAAGATAGCACCCGCGAAGCCAATGAAGGAGAAAAGCTTGCCTCTAAACGCACATCCGAAGTGTGGGATCATTCTTTTTATTCACGACATAAAATTACTACCAACTCAAAAGGGCAGAGTATTTGGAGATGCAAATACTGCACTAAAACCTATATAGATGCTGGTGGAACTGGCAATGCAAGAACTCATCTTATCAAACATCACAACCGCCAAATTCAGACGCAGAATGAGAAGCGTATCAAAGGATATCAACATACCATCGATATGGCTCAATTTCGCGCTCAATCCGACGCGGCAAATCATAAACGTCGAAGGCTTGATACTAGGGATGGACATGACGATGGAAAGTATCAAGGATACGAGCTTGATCCAGCTGTTTTAGAGCAGTTATATGTTGCGTGGATCACCACTTGTGGGGTGGCTTTCGAAATGGTAGAGAGAAAAGAATTCAGAGCGTTAGTATGAGGTCTATACTGAGCTGAGTTTATCTATACTAATTTACTCTATTTTAGATTTACTCGATATCTTAATAAAACAGTCGACGCATATCTTCCTAGTTCAGCAGATACCATTCGTGGATGGACAATTCGAACTTTTGAGGGTCAAAAAAAGAGGATTCAGAAAGAAGTACAAGAAGCTCTCTCGAAAAATTCACATAACCGTTGATCTCTGGACTTCTGGCAACCGCAAGTCTATTTTGGGTATTATTGGACATTATATTACAAGAGAAGGCAAGTTAAAGCACAGTGTTCTTGCAGTTCGCGAGCTCCAAGGTGCTCATAGTGGTGATAATCAAGCAGCTGTTGTTGCTGATGTACTTATGAACTACGAGATTGAGTATAAATTGGGCTTTTTTGTCGGGGATAATGCTCAATCAAATGATACTCTTTGTATTACTCTTTCAAAATGTAAGTAGTCTGATAAACAGGTCTAGTATAATACTGATTTTTTGTATAGGGTTAGATCTTAATAAATCCTTCTTTTGGGATCCAACCTTTCGAAGACTTCGATGCAATGGCCATATCATCAATCTCTCTGCGCAAAGCTTTCTATTTCCTAATATCCCTGATCGCGACAACATAGCGGCTTTGGACAACCAAATCAATGGTCAACTTCCAAAGGAATTTAATACAGAGCAGATGAAGGTTTGGAGAAAGAAGGGGCCACTTGGCAAGCTGCATAACATCTCGGTTTATATTAGCCTGAGTACGCAGCGTCTAGATGCGTTCAGGATGGTTTCTGGAAATCTACGCCTCCCCCGAGATAACTCAACTCGATGGAATTCATGGTATCGGATGCTAGCTCGAGCACTGATACTACAAGATGCTATTAATACTTATACCTTGATGAATCGAATAGATCTTCAAGATGATATACTTAACGACAATGATTGGGCACAGCTCGAATCATTAATTGAGTATTTAGAAGCATATGAGCATGGTACGCTTGCTTGTGAGGGTCGATACTCTACAGTGGATACAATTATTCCAATTACGGAATTTTTACTTGAGATCTTTGAGGATGGAAGACAAAAGCACATAAATGATCCATTTCTTGGGCCATGCTGTCAAGCTGGCTGGGACAAGCTCGAGAAGTATTACAACAAAACGAGTGAATCATGTGCATATGTTGGAGCTGTTGTTCTTGTCCCTACTCATAAATGGCGATTCTTTGAGAAGGGAGTTGTATGGAAGAATGATTGGGTTGAAGATGCTCAGACTGCTGTTCAAAAAGTCTGGGAAGAGGAATATAAACAGCTTGACTGCCCCTCTCTGGTTTCTCCTCCACAAAGTCAACAGAGCGAGAAAAAGAAAGAAAATAGGTTCAAATCCTGGTCACGGCAGCATATAAAGGTTCCCGAGGTTATTGATGAGTATAAACGATACTATAAGGAACCAGTAATGGAAATGGACCCAGATGAGGTATTTAATCCAATTGAATGGTGGCAGGAGTCTACAAAGCAAAAGATGTATCCAAATCTTTCGAAAATGGCTTTAGATTTGCTCTTAATCCCAGCTATGTCTGCCGAGGTTGAAAGACTATTTTCAAGCTGCAAAATCACAATTACAGAACGAAGGAACCGCATTGGAATTGATGCTGTAGAAGCAATTGAGTGTTTGAAGTCATGGTTACGAGAAAATAACGTCGCATGGGTTGATGAGGATTGGATAGACCGATGGGTAACGGAGGTGGAGGCAGAAACACAAAAACAAAAGAGTAGCGAAGTGTAGAGTGATTTGTATATTCAGAAAAATACACTATAATAAAAGAATAGAAGCGAACATACTTTACAGGCAACTCTTTTTAAGGAGTTAATAAATACTATCGATAGCTAAATACTATCGATAGCTAAATATAGTAATCCAGTCCAACTGACAGTCCAACTGACAGTCCAACTGACAGTCCAACTGAGTGGCATCCATAACTCAACTGAGTGAGGCGTCACTCAACTGGATGGAGCGTCAACTGGACTGGTTATGTATCCAACTGACTCAGTTGGAGGGCTCAACCCACTCAGTTCAACTAGTAGTTTCACTGGTCCTAGGGTAGGAGCATTGTTCTGAAGCCATGCTGGATCGCAAAGTCGCTCAAATGAATGTAGTGGTGGTAATGATTCCATATACTTAACAAGAAGTTGTCGTTTAGCTGGTAGTATGCTGTGCGTTTCTATTCGACGGAAATGTTGTAATAATGCGTCGGATGTTGGCTTTAGACACGTTCGACATCCTTTACAGATAATCACCTGATGACTTGTATTATAATATAATCCTTCTTCTTCTGCTGCTGTCTGTATATCTTTGTTATCTTCATTAGGCGTAGTAGTCATGATGATGCGCTCTCGGTAGGTATTTTCTGGTCTACTCTAGCGATAAAGAGCAGACTTGCGAAATAAGAGAGCAAGGTTAAAACGTAGCTATAAGACGATAAAAAACCAAACGAGATTAAATCTAGTTAAATAGACTAGAAGAGACTATAAAAAATAATCACTCTTTACTCTTTTAAGGAAGGAATAGTTGGTATTTTGCGGATTATGCTAGCGTAGGTAAGTTCTCTGTCGTGCGTGCGTGCGTGCGTGCGTGCGTGTAAGTGAGCGAGAGGAAAAAGCGGTGGGGGCGGGCGGAGAGGCCGGCGCCTTTTTCTACTTGGGATTCTGTCGTCTTGATCGGTTTTTTTTTTTTTTCCCCTAGCAATAGCTGGCGTCTTGATCGCTCCATTTCCACCTTTTCGACCTCGAGTGGGGCGACCCCGGGCCGCTCTAGCCAATCAGAGGCCCGGAAATGGCCGATCAAGCTCATGATCGTGCCGGCATAAGAGCTAGAAGTTAGTAACCTAATGTTAGCCAACATTACCACCATTCCGCTCCTTCAGCAATCTGTTCGCCATCTCCGCAACCATGGCCTTTCGTGGCGGAAATGAGCGAGAATCCAAGTCAATTATATATCGAATAATTGAATCTTCTTCCAAATCTGTCAATTTTCGAGAATTGGTCGTACAAGCAGGTCGTGCCATCCGACCAGCTCGACGATAGCCCAGCGTACTAGGTGGCACATTGCAGATAGTCGCAGCCTTTCTGGTACTTAATTTTGGGTTATTCTTGATTGTCTCTAACGTGAGTATAATATTTGCTTCACGAGACATGATAATAGTGTTTTTTTAGATTTAAAACAGAATTTATTGTGTTCTATCTGCTTAAATGACGCAAAGTGGCCCGCTCGCTTGTATAACCCGCTCGCTTATAAACTACGTTACGTACTCTTCCAACTTTGTATTAGTGTAGAATGACATCCTTGAGCTCCGTCTTGGGCACGATCATGGGCTGCAACTTGTTGCGATGTGTGGTGGCCTGCTCAAAGGCATACGCCACACGGAACATCTTCTCCTCAGAGAACTTAGTGCCGGTAAAGCCAAAGCCTACAGGTCGCGAGCCGCCACCCTCGACAGGAACGCTTCCGGCCGGTACACTCATGACGGGATATCCAATGGCAGAGGTGTAGTAGAGCATGGAGTACGGGTGACCAACAAGCATATCGAGGTCATGCTGCCTGAGAGCCCAGTCGATACCCTGGTCGGCGAAGATCTCATAGTTGAGCAATGTGAAGTTCCAGAAACGCGCATCTGTGTTACCGAAACCCTGCGCCAGCGCGTCATCCCACAGCTTGGTGTCAACTTCGGGGTAATTCTCGCGGGGGTCGGTTCGCGTGTAATGGACCAGGTCCTGAACGGAGCTGATATTGTGGGGGTTGACTGAGAGCTCATTGAAGTAGTTGGGTGCGTCGGAGATGAAGTCAATACCCAGCCGTGACCAGGTAACGTCGTTGAGCTCCGACAAGCGTTTGCTTCCAGGCATGTCGAAGCCTTCAACGACAGTTGCACCAAGAGACCGTAGCGTTGCTACCGCAGCTTTTACCAGCTTCTTCTCGTTATCAGAGAGGTTCTCGTCGCCTGTAAATGACTTGGGCATACCAAGGCGGACACCATCTAGACGCTTGTGCATGCACGATGCGGTATAGTCAGGGATCGTCGCAAACGGGATACTGCTTGTGTAGTTATCACGGTGGTCGGTGCCTGCAATAGCAGATAATAGCACGGCAGCGTCCTTTACCGTCCTGGCCAGCGGCCCCACGCTATCCTGATGCTGCGAGATAGGCACAACCAAGTACCGCGACGTCAGACCGACAGTCGGTTTAATTCCGACCACATTGTTTTCGTACGCCGGTGATATGATAGACCCAGCTGTCTCGGATCCCAAGCTGGCCCAGGCCAGCCCGACCGACGACGCCACCCCGCTGCCCGACGACGATCCGCCTGGGCTCTGGTCCTTGTAGTAGGCGCCCTTGGTACGCCCGCCCACGCTAGACCATGCATTAATGTCGTAGTTGTATGTGCGCCAAGCTGCCCACTGCGACAGGTTGGCCTTGCCCAGCAGGATAACGCCGGCCGAGCGTAGCTTGCTAGCGATGGTGCTGTCGCAAGGCACCTTGGCTCCCACCAGTGCATACGAGCCTGCTGTATTGTCCATGCTATCAAACGTCGCGATGTTGTCCTTGAGGATGACGGGGATGCCGTGCAGAGCGCCGAGGGACGGACACGGTCCGCCCGAAGGGCAGGCTTCCTTCCTCTCATAGTCTTTAGCCTCCGCAACAGTTAAGGCGTCCGGGTTGAGCTGAATGATGGCGTTAAGCGAATTCTGCGTCTCGGTGATGCGCCCTAAATACGCCTTGGTTAGATCGACCGACGTGAAGGTACCTCTGTCGAGGCCAGCGCGGAGCTCCTCGAGGGTGGCATCCAGAAGACCTGGCAGCGCCCTCGCTTTAATTGAGGCAGCAAGCGTGCATGTAAGGAAAACCCCAATAAAGGGGATTAAATAAAAGGAAAATCGTGCTAGCATTGTCACTGGTGTTTGCTGATCTCGTGCTGGTGCTGGTGCTAATAAAAGGAAGCAAAAAAGCAGCCCAGCGCAGTAATAGCTCTATATATCCATTCTATACTCTAGACACGTTGCCATCCGCGAGAAGAAAATGTCACAGTGTCTGTGGATTAGCGGGCAACGATGCAATGGCCATCCAAGATTATGCCAATCACCTAATGTAGCATCTTAGTTGTGTCAGTTACATCGTTCGGCAGTGGATTCGGTAGCCAACATTAAACTTGTGATAGCTCCAGTTTAAGTGCAAGAACCGAGCTCAGTCTTCTAGGGTACCATAGGATTAATAAAGAGTATTACAGACTGTTGTGACTATTGTGACATTGGACGTATGTCACTTTACCAGATGAGTGAAGGAACAGTTAAGTCACTGGAAGTGGATGATATAAGAAAAGGAAGTGAATACAGGATGTATTCGCTGTATTTAACTAGAGCAGTTCCGACCATGGAACTAGAAGAGGACAACGAACTTTTACCACAACCTTTTACCTTTTGATAACACGTGTTATTAATCCTTGAACCAACAAGCTCTTTAAACAAAACATGACACAATTAAGCAAATAACCACAAACTACTCATGATATAGAGTATTGAATTTTATATTTTTATCTAACAAAACAAGTCGTTTAACATAGAATAGCACACTCTCTAGAAATCCACTTAGAATTTGCTAATAGTAAGCTTGGCGGGGTTAGGCGACATGGCCTTATCGTCCTCGCACTCCTGCTTACCAAAGAAATGCGTCCAGGAACTGTAGGTAAACACATTCTTGAGTAGATCCTCGTTCTCAAAGTCCAGACCCAGGCCACTCTTGGGGTTACCACCCATAGCCCAGACCAGGAGCGCGTGCTGGCTGTAAATGTAGCGCTCGATGCACATCCCGGGGTAGTCGAAGTCTAACACAGAAAAGGCGATAGGGCAGATATGTGTGTTAATAGCCTTATCACCGGCAGCGGAATAGTACCATAGATACTGGCCGTCGGCACACATGTTCTCAGGGTCGCTGCACAAGTAGTTGATGTTGTCGTTTTTGGCGGCGCCGCAGCGCTTCTGCATCTTGCCCAGTATATTGGCCACAGTATCACGCGTGGGCTTGTCCGCCTTACCAAAGGCCTTAGTAAACGTATCGTCCGGCGCCGTGCTAGCCAACTTCTTGGCCTTTTCAATAATAGCAGGGCAGCTATCCGTGATAAACTTAAACTCAATACCACACTCGGCAGCCTCCTGGGGTACCTTGCCGCCTATACGCAAAACATTAGAAAGCCTATAGGCTTAAGAAATAAGAAAAAATATATATACCAGGGTTCTTGGAATCAACCATAACCATCTTACCGTCCAAGCGCATAGCTTGGATCTTCTCCTGCGCCGAGGGGGCGGCAGCCGCCAGAGCAGCGAGGCTAGCAGTGATAAAAGAGGACTTCATTTTTGAATTGGGAGAGGACAAAAAGGTTGATCTTGTCGATAACTAAGTCTAAAGATGTTTAGTTTTTAAGACGGGTGAAATTCAGCGCTGGTGATAGTCGGTCTAGAAAATGTTGGCCGAGGCCCGATATAAATACTCTAAGCTATCTCCAGAACCGACATCGCTAATGATGCTATTTTGTATTATTCTGAATATTCTTCTTATTAATTTGTCCCACCTTTTTAACCTACTATCTGAGAATTTAGCTTTAGCGCAAGCACTATAGCGAGAAGTTGTAGCTATTTATCGGTGGTAGTGTTGCAATAGACGCCAACACTGAACACTTGTATTACAGCGTCAATACGTATTACAGTATCAATATCCTTGTACACTTTGTTTCTTAAGGCACAGTAGCTTCCGCATCCGAAAAATAGACTATAGATAAGACATAACATAAAATCAAGGGCACAGGCTTGACTCGCTCTCTACGGTCAAGACACTGGCCCAGTGCACTCATCGCGCAAGCGAGGTTACAGCTTAACAAATAGGCAGCGACGACCTACTCTGGTATTGCGAACCGTAACGCGCCCCGTTCCCGCTTTTGAGCCAATCACGTCTCTGGATCTCTACCCCCCCATTTCCCATCGGTAAAACGGGCCGCGTTTCGATCTTTTGCCTGGGAACCGGCGTGCGTTCCCAGTCGCCGCCCACTGAAATGTGCCACCTCGCGAACGAGACGCGACCAGTGTGGTTGGGAACGCGGCCCGTTTCCTCTAGCCTACCCGGCACACTTTCAAACGAAGCAAGTGCATCTCTATCGCTACATCTACAATAGAAATATCAACTTTTCATTGTCTTCTATAATACTGCCAACAAAAATACGAAGAGAGAAAGATTAAAATATCAGATATTAACATTGTTATGCTGGAAATATGCTGAACACACTGCAGCGTAAGAAGCTAGACGCGCTCGACCTGCATCTCGACGAACAACATCGAGTAATCCTGTGCAAGACGTGCAAATTTGCAATCAAGCCGGCTGGTGATCGAGTAACACGACATCTTGGTGAGAAGCATGGTATCTCTCGTAAGGCACGAGTTGGACTATGCAAACTCATGATAATGCTGGAGCTGCCGGATCCTGCTACGCTTGCACCAAGACCAGATAATGTACAACCGCACCCTTACCTTGAAGTACGCACGTGCTTCTCCTGCAAGCTATGCCGGTTTAAAACGTCCAGTTTCGATCTCATCAGTCGCCATATCCCGAAGCAGCATAGGGAAATACGCCGACCGGGCTCTAAGGGGGTCTGGATCCGCGACTACATCGACAATACGAGCAGCTTCCAGAGCTGGCAAGCTAATGACATTACCAATACATGGCGTGTCACTGTCGCTAGTAATCCAGGCAGCGAGATTGCTAGTATTAGGAGGCTTGCCGCGAACAGTACAGACGCACAGAGCAACACCGTCGACCCACGTCAATCACTTGTTAAGCGACTGAGAGAGGAGGAAATGCAAACTTATATTCCTGCCGTTGCTAATAGTAGCGGTAAAGATGCGGCATTGTCGCAGCCAGCGCTCATGACGAATTGGATGCGCCGAACAAGATGGCACCAGACGTTCTTGGAGGCTGATCGTCCTGCGCTCGTTGCGCTCTCGATACTACCAAACCCATACCAGCAACAACGACCGCTGCGTGTACAGTTGAGCAGTGGCGTAATGCTAGAGAGCACAGCGCGAGATGAGCAAAGGTTGCATACTATGATGGGCGCGGTGGATCGACTGATGGACCGAGCTGGTGAGACCATACGCAATACAGACGTTGCTGTGCGCCGCTGGCTTCGCGGCCGTTTCCCAGACCGACCATATAAAGCACCGTTTGAGCTAGTTATCAGCACACATGCAGAAACACAGTATCGGCGACTGCTGAAACGTTGCATCTGTATTTGGGTCCGTCTGTGGCATATGCCACCGACAGTAGCGCGTCTAGTTGCCGGCCGCACTGTGACGATGGAGCAGCGCTATGCGCTACAGGCCTTATGGTGCGATGTAGACTGGGAAGTGTCCGTTCTGGACGAAGATGGTATAGTCCTGGATGAAGACGAGAGCGATACAGAGAGCGATACAGCGAGCGATACTGAATTTGAAAGCGGTGATGACAATGACAGCATATGCGGCAATGACAGCTCAAGTGAGAGCTCTACATTTTCTACAAGCAGTACACTTCCAACAGACAGCCAAAGCAATGGTTATACCGACCATGGCAGCAAATCGTCAACGTTGCCAGATAATCCAGATCATCAACTGGATGCGCTACTTAGCTTTTGCTTGTATATGGTGAAGGAGGAATTCCACGATGGGCAGGCAAACTCAACGATGATTGGGTTTTTTAGTGCTATATGTGGTCTCTCACTGCCAGATGGCAAGGAATATCTACGCCCAGCACAGTTCACAACACATATAGCAGGGCTTATATACTGTATTCGACTGATCGCTATTGAGGCAACCTTGCCGCTACGAGAGCATAAATCGATCCATCTTGCAGCGCGCCCCTCGGTTGGTCAACTACAGCTACTGCAGACCATGAGACAACCGTATCTTTGCGACGGCACTATGTCGTCTATGGGTGAGCTGCTGAGTCTTCTTGCGTTCGGTTATGCTCATCGGAGCGCAGAAGGCCCAAGTTTTATATTTGAATGGAGCGATGATAATGAGACTATCTCCTGGGAGGGTAGCGGCATGCTAGCAATGAAGGCATTTCGTGGTTTTGTGCATGATCTCCTTCGCCAAGCGGAGGCGCTATCAGAAAAGCTTCTGTATGGGTGGCAGGGGCCGCCGATAGATCTCTCTACTATTCATGATCGACTCTCAAACAAAGCTAGTGGATATTCGTTTCTAAACGACCCTGCCAATAAACTTGAGCATGCATACCTTGAGGTGTTCCAAGCTGCAAGTCTATCACCACTAGATGCGCTGCTTCGGCCTGCCCAGAACGCGACAACTAGTGGAGAGTGGGACACCAGAGCTGCCGCACAGTACATCGAACAGCATGACTACCATTTAAAGCAGCTGATGTTGCTAATAAACTTGTGTGGAGGGCAATGGTGCCGCATTTCAGAGCTACTAACTATTGAACGAGTTAACACGGCAAGCCGCATACGTGGCATCGGCTTCTATAAAGGCGAGCTTGCTACAATTATACGACATAGCAAAACACGAACAACGACGAATAACGAGTTTGAAGTCGCCCGCTTTCTACCAAAGCCGCTGACAATGCTAGTATTTAAATACCTAGTCTATATACATCGAGTTGCGGTTATAATCCAGAGACGATGCTTCCATGCGCCAGAGAGTAACAGCAGCTTATTATTTCAGCCGCTGTCAACGAAGCGCTTGTGGTCAGCGGCAACATTCTCACAAGAACTCAAGTATTACACAGCAAAGTACAAAGACATTGGCTTTGCAATTGGCGCCCAGGTCGCTCGGCAGCTATCCATTGCGATTACGGATCAGCACATACCAGACGCCAGCTACACATTTGACCGAAGAGAAGATAAAATAAGCGATACAAATATCAGCGCCGTATACGCATGGCAGAGCGGACATAAGCCATCGCAGCGACTGTCAACATATGGATTAAATGGAGCATATCCCGACCAACTACAGCCGGCGTTACTACGGGTTTATCGTCATGCGTCACGACAATGGCATATATTTCTAGATATAGACGCATATGGCATACCCGATCAAACAAAAACAGTAGCAGAATATGCTATGCCAGACACATCAATATCTATTACCCATAATACTATCGACATAAATACTATTACTGCTAGAGAACAACCAGAAGCAGTAAAGTCTATAACTAGTATACATACAGAATCTTTATCGATACAACCAACTACCAACACTGGCACTCTGCATAAGAATCCTCATACAGTGGTTATATCACAGCTAGATAGCTTACCAGAAGCCCAGCGTCAACATATCGGCCCATTTAGCACCTTGCCAGAAATTGGATTACTCGTTTGTCGAGTATGCCGAATTTGTGTTCTTGTGGATGAGCTGCCTACCCATCTACGTAATACTAGTCATATTAAAGCTTATACGCTCAAGCAACGTCGAGAACTTCAAAAGCGAATTAAGAATATACCACATCTAGCCCAAACACAAGCAGATCTGGTAAACTTCCAATACCCATCAGCTGAGAGCCCAGCACTACCCTATCTATTCCCACCCGAGAGCGATGGACTACGTTGTAATATGTGTGAGTACACAGTCCGAAGCCTTCAGCGTATGCAGGAGCACTGCCGCATACAGCATGGTTGGATTAATGATTACGGAAAGGGCGGCAATATACGTATAAAGGCATCAATCCCACGCAAATTACCATGGATTAATAGTGTGAAATGCCAGCGACTATTTATTAGTCGTGGAGCATCAAGATGGTTTGAGGTCTGCAAAACAACAGAGCCTATTGAGATCTATGAGACTCTAGATTGGGGTTAAATATTTATAACTATACAAGAATAAGAAAAAATAACTATTACTATCTAATTTGCTCTAAAATTCCTACTCTAGTATGAGGGCGCGTCACACGGAGAGCATCGACAAAAAAGAAAGAGCGCGTATCGCGGGCCAGATTCGCGAGATAGCGGGGTTGATAAAGAACCAGGCTGAATTACGCCATTATATATTGCCCGATCGAATACCAGAGCCAGTTCCATATATTGCCGCACCAGTCAACAATAGGTTGCGGTGTAGATATTGCCCGTACATAGTACGTGCCGTGCGCAGAATGCAGCATCATTGCCGTACACAACATAATTGGACCAACGATTGGGAAAAGGGAGGCAATGTGAAACACAAGAGCAAGGAAAGTCGTGATTTACCATGGAAAAGCAATATTCGATGTCAAAGGATGTTTTCATCCCGGGCCGCGAGCGGTTGGTTTGAGGTGCAGGGTAGCGACGGCTGCGTTGGCGCCGGACAAGCAAGTATCGCCATACGAAGCAGACAGACAGTCGAGAACGAAGAGGTTGACATGGAGAGTAGGCATGAAATTGCCGGGTTAATTAAAGGCGTTATTCAAGCGCAAGATCGGCGGTTTATGGAAGGCAGCCAGACGCAGCGCGTGGACCAGATGCAAGACAACACCGACGCAAATGCATGGTTACGGCGCACCGGTTAGAGTCAGCATTTAGAAGAGCTAGACGTATCCGCATTACAAGATATACAGAAGCCTAACAAATAGGCAGTGGCGCCTCGACCCTAACAAATAGGCAGTGGCGCCTCGACCCTCAAGGTCGGTTTTTTAATATGGGGGTAGGGTTAGGGTGAAAAAAAGAGGGGTCAAGGTCGGTTTGAAAAGAGGGGGTCAAGGTCGGTTTTGCAAAATACCGCAGATAGAGCTAGAGAAGTATTTTAAAATATTACATAAAAGTAGTTCAATTGTAAAAGTAGATTTATAAAATAGAATAGTTGATTAGAGTAATATTGAAGTGTAGAGAGAGGCTAAAGTATCAACACAGAATTTCCCAATTAGGCAAGTTGCGGGGGCGGGCTACTCTAGAATTGCTACCTGTAAGATCGTCGACCTCCCCTTTGTGAGCCAATCAAATCTGCCCAGTCCCACCCATTTCTACCCCTTGTTTTGCCACACGCAAACTCGGCGATCTTCCGTCTTTTTGACGGGAATAGACAGCCCCTTCCCAATTCGTAGCCACCAAAAACGCGCCGTTCACGAACCAGCCGCGACCAGTGCGGACGGGAACGCGCCGACTTTGAGGGTTAGCCTACCCGACAATTTCCAAGCGGACAAGAGCCCCTTGATTCTTACCATATTCTTATCAAATAACGCATCATATATATATATAATTCGAATAACCATCTATTCTTTCATTTGAATCATCCTCCAAATAGCTTTAGAATAGCTTGTGGTGGCTTTCTTTGTAACTGAACATGATCAGTACCAAGCAGCGCCAGCAGCTGGACGTGCTCGAGCTGCACTTGGACGAAGAGAACCGCGTTATTATTTGCAAGCTCTGTCAATTTGCCATCAAGCCAGCAGGAAATCGAGTAACACGGCATCTAGCTGACAAGCATGGCATCTCTCGCCACGCCCGAGTTGGGCTACGCAAGATTCTCACGATATTGGAGCTGCCAGACCCAGCAAAGCTGCCACCACGACCGGACGGATCGCCGCTGCACCCATATCTTGAGCGACGCACATGTCTATGCTGTAAGCTCTGTGCTTTCAAGACAACTAGCTTGGATCTTATCAGCCGTCATATCCCAAAGACCCATGCTGAAATATGCCGACCGGGCCGTACGGGGGTCTGGATCCGCGACTACATCGACAGCACCAGCAGCTTCCAGAGCTGGCAGGCCAACGACATCATGAACGCATGGCGCATTGATGTTCCCGTCGCGCCCAATAGCGAGGGAGCAGGTCTGCAGAGGCTAGCTGCAAAAGGCACAGAACCAGACATGGTCGATCCACGCGAAGCGCTCATCAAGCGCATTCGAGAGCAGGAAATAAGAGCATCGTCAGGTATTGGAGAGAACAGCGAGGCTGATCCCGCGCTGTCGCAACCGGCGCTCATGACAAATTGGATGCGCCGCACAAGATGGCACCAGACGTTCTTGGAGGCGGATCGTCCTGCGCTTGTTGCGCTCTCGGCGCTGCCGCACCCATACCAGCATCAACGGCCACTGCGCATACAGCTAAGCAACGGTATGACACTAGACAGCGCAGTGCGAGATGAGATGACACTGCGTGCCATAATGAGCGCCGTGGATCGGCTGATGGACCGGGCTGGCGACACGATCCGGAACACAGACGTCGCCATTCGCCGCTGGCTACGTGGGCGTTTCCCAGAGAGGCCCTACAAGGCGCCGTTTGAGCTAGTCAGCAGCAGCCACTCAGAAAAGCAGTATCAGCGCTTGCTTAAGCGCTGCATCTGCATTTGGGTCCGTCTCTGGTATATGCCGCCGTCTGTAGCACAATTAGTCGCCGGCCGCACGCTCACATCAGAGCAGCGCTATGCATTGCAGACGCTTTGGTGTGATGCCAACTGGGAAGAGGCAAACATAGATGGTGATGTCTCTATGGAGGACAACGAGAGCGAGGGGAGCGAGGAGGAGAGTGAGGAGGAGAGCGAGGCTGAGTTCGAAAGTGGCGATGACGACGATAGCGTATGCGGCAGCGACAATGCAAGCGATATCTCGAGCTTCTTAACCAGCAACACATTGCTAGCAGCAAGTCAAAGCAGTATAGACTACACCAATAAAGCAGATATAGATCAACACAGCGAGGCTGCAGACTCAGAGGCATAGCAGGATGAGCAAGTCGATGCGATGCTGACATTCTGTCTCTAAATGATAAGAGAGGAATTCAATGATGGGAAAGCAAATTCGACAATGCTTGGATTCTTCAGCGCAATCTGCGGTCTCTCTCTGCCAGATGGAAAGGAATATCTGCGCCCAGCCAAGTTTAAAACACACATCTCTGGGCTTATATACTGCATTCGATTAGTCGAAATCGAGGCAACACTGCCGCTGACAGCATACAAATCAATCCATATCGCAGCGCGTCCCCGAACAGGCCACTTACCGCTACTGCAGACCATACGGCAGCCCTAACAAATAGGCAGCGACGACCTCGACCCCAAGGTCGTTGTTTTAGTATGGGGCCAGGGTTAGGGTGAAAAAAAGAGGGGTAGAGGTCGTTGAAGGAACAAGGGGTAGAGGTCGTTGAAGCCAAGTTTCGCAAATAGAGCCAAAAAAGTATTTTAAAATATTGTAGATAGAGCGTTTAATTGTTAGAGTGGATTTATAAACTATAACACTCGATTAGACCAATATTGAGGCGTGGAGAGCAGCCAAAGTATTAACCAAGAATTTCCCAATTAGGCAAGTTGTGGGGACGGGACGTCGATGTCAGTGGGGTCAGACCGGTCGGCGTGGATAAATCGTAGCAAGAACAACATACAAGAGAATAGTTCCGACAAGATATACGTTTCAAGTCCATTAAAAGCATTCGCAAAATGAACAATATTGAGCCATTTATTTACGATACACGATTCCCATTCGTGTTTTGCACCGTATGTCGTTGGGCGTACGTTGTGGACGAGCTGTCGAGCCACATGAGAGCGCGTCACACGGAAAGTATCAGCAAAAGCGAAAGAGCACGTATCGCGAGCAAGATTCGCGAAATACCAGGGTTGATAAAGAACCAGGCTAGATTACGACATTATATATTGCCCGATCGAATACCAGAGCCGGTTCCAAATATTGCCGCACCAGTCAACAATGGGTTGCGGTGTAGATATTGCCCGTACATAGTACGTGCCGTGCGCAGAATGCAGCATCATTGCCGTACACAACATAATTGGACCAACGATTGGGAAAAGGGAGGCAATGTGAAACACAAGAGCAAGGAAAGTCGTGATTTACCATGGAAAAGCAATATTCGATGTCAAAGGATGTTTTCATCCCGGGCCGCGAGCGGTTGGTTTGAGGTGCAGGGTAGCGACGGCTGCGTTGGCGCCGGACAAGCAAGTATCGCCATACGAAGCAGACAGACAGTCGAGAACGAAGAGGTTGACATGGAGAGTAGGCATGAAATTGCCGGGTTAATTAAAGGCGTTATTCAAGCGCAAGATCGGCGGTTTATGGAAGGCAGCCAGACGCAGCGCGTGGACCAGATGCAAGACAACACCGACGCAAATGCATGGTTACGGCGCACCGGTTAGAGTCAGCATTTAGAAGAGCTAGACGTATCCGCATTACAAGATATACAGAAGCCTAACAAATAGGCAGTGGCGCCTCGACCCTAACAAATAGGCAGTGGCGCCTCGACCCTCAAGGTCGGTTTTTTAATATGGGGGTAGGGTTAGGGTGAAAAAAAGAGGGGTCAAGGTCGGTTTGAAAAGAGGGGGTCAAGGTCGGTTTTGCAAAATACCGCAGATAGAGCTAGAGAAGTATTTTAAAATATTACATAAAAGTAGTTCAATTGTAAAAGTAGATTTATAAAATAGAATAGTTGATTAGAGTAATATTGAAGTGTAGAGAGAGGCTAAAGTATCAACACAGAATTTCCCAATTAGGCAAGTTGCGGGGGCGGGCTACTCTAGAATTGCTACCTGTAAGATCGTCGACCTCCCCTTTGTGAGCCAATCAAATCTGCCCAGTCCCACCCATTTCTACCCCTTGTTTTGCCACACGCAAACTCGGCGATCTTCCGTCTTTTTGACGGGAATAGACAGCCCCTTCCCAATTCGTAGCCACCAAAAACGCGCCGTTCACGAACCAGCCGCGACCAGTGCGGACGGGAACGCGCCGACTTTGAGGGTTAGCCTACCCGACAATTTCCAAGCGGACAAGAGCCCCTTGATTCTTACCATATTCTTATCAAATAACGCATCAAATATATATATAATTCGAATAACCATCTATTCTTTCATTTGAATCATCCTCCAAATAGCTTTAGAATAGCTTGTGGTGGCTTTCTTTGTAACTGAACATGATCAGTACCAAGCAGCGCCAGCAGCTGGACGTGCTCGAGCTGCACTTGGACGAAGAGAACCGCGTAATTATTTGCAAGCTCTGTCAATTTGCCATAAAGCCAGCAGGAAATCGAGTAACACGGCATCTAGCTGACAAGCATGGCATCTCTCGCCACGCCCGAGTTGGGCTACGCAAGATTCTCACGATATTGGAGCTGCCAGACCCAGCAAAGCTGCCACCACGACCGGACGGATCGCCGCTGCACCCATATCTTGAGCGACGCACATGTCTATGCTGTAAGCTCTGTGCTTTCAAGACAACTAGCTTGGATCTTATCAGCCGTCATATCCCAAAGACCCATGCTGAAATATGCCGACCGGGCCGTACGGGGGTCTGGATCCGCGACTACATCGACAGCACCAGCAGCTTCCAGAGCTGGCAGGCCAACGACATCATGAACGCATGGCGCATTGATGTTCCCGTCGCGCCCAATAGCGAGGGAGCAGGTCTGCAGAGGCTAGCTGCAAAAGGCACAGAACCAGACATGGTCGATCCACGCGAAGCGCTCATCAAGCGCATTCGAGAGCAGGAAATAAGAGCATCGTCAGGTATTGGAGAGAACAGCGAGGCTGATCCCGCGCTGTCGCAACCGGCGCTCATGACAAATTGGATGCGCCGCACAAGATGGCACCAGACGTTCTTGGAGGCGGATCGTCCTGCGCTTGTTGCGCTCTCGGCGCTGCCGCACCCATACCAGCATCAACGGCCACTGCGCATACAGCTAAGCAACGGTATGACACTAGACAGCGCAGTGCGAGATGAGATGACACTGCGTGCCATAATGAGCGCCGTGGATCGGCTGATGGACCGGGCTGGCGACACGATCCGGAACACAGACGTCGCAATTCGCCGCTGGCTACGTGGGCGTTTCCCAGAGAGGCCCTACAAGGCGCCGTTTGAGCTAGTCAGCAGCAGCCACTCAGAAAAGCAGTATCAGCGCTTGCTTAAGCGCTGCATCTGCATTTGGGTCCGTCTCTGGAATATGCCGCCGTCTGTAGCACAATTAGTCGCCGGCCGCACGCTCACATCAGAGCAGCGCTATGCATTGCAGACGCTTTGGTGTGATGCCAACTGGGAAGAGGAAAACATAGATGGTGATGTCTCTATGGAGGACAACGAGAGCGAGGGGAGCGAGGAGGAGAGTGAGGAGGAGAGCGAGGCTGAGTTCGAAAGTGGCGATGACGACGATAGCGTATGCGGCAGCGACAATGCAAGCGATATCTAGAGCTTCTAAACCAGCAACAAATTGCTAGCAGCAAGTCAAAGCAGCATAGACTACACCAATAAAGCAGATATAGATCAACACAGCGAGGCTGCAGACTCAGAGGCACAGCAGGATGAGCAAGTCGATGCGATGCTGACATTCTGTCTCTAAATGATAAGAGAGGAATTCAATGATGGGAAAGCAAATTCGACAATGCTTGGATTCTTCAGCGCAATCTGCGGTCTCTCTCTGCCAGATGGAAAGGAATATCTGCGCCCAGCCAAGTTTAAAACACACATCTCTGGGCTTATATACTGCATTCGATTAGTCGCCATCGAGGCAACACTGCCGCTGACAGCATACAAATCAATCCATATCGCAGCGCGTCCCCGAACAGGCCACTTACCGCTACTGCAGACCATACGGCAGCCCTATCTTTGCGATGGTACCATGTCACCCATGGGCGAGCTTCTCAGCCTTCTTGCCTTTGGGTATGCCCATCGACGCGCAGAAGGCCCAAGCTTTATATTTGAATGGAGCGATGATAATGAAGTCATCTCATGGGATCATAACCATATGCTATCTATGACCGTATTCCGAGGCTTTATACAAGGCTTGCTCTCCCAGGCTGAAGTATTGTCGGACAAGCTGATGTATGGATGGGAGCCGCCACTCTTAGATCTTTGCGGCATTCGAGACCGGATGTCAAACAGATCTATTGGCTATTCATTTGTTACTGACCCAGCAAATGGGCTGCAGCATGCATATCTCGAAGTCTTCCGAGCTGGAAGTTTATGTCCATTTGATCCATTGCTCCAAAAAGACCAAGGGGCCAAAAAGAGCGGAGAATGGAGTACAAGGGCCGCAGCACAGTATATTGAACAGCATGACAGCTATTTACTACAGCTGATGTTACTGATTAACTTGTGTGGCGGTCAATGGTGCCGTATATCAGAGTTATTAACTATTGAGCGAACTAATACTGCAAGTCGGCTGCGTGGTATTAGCTTCTACAAGGGTAAACTAGCTACAATTATACGGTATAGCAAAACGCGGACAACAACCAATAACGAGTTCCAAGTTGCTCGCTTCTTGCCAAACCGTCTTACTGTGCTGGTATATAACTATCTTGTATATATCTATCGAGTTGCTACCATGATACAAAGACAATGCTTACATGCACCAGAAAGTAACAGCAGCTTACTATTCCAGCCATTATCAAGAAAACGCCCATGGACCGTGGCAGCATTCTCCAAAGAGCTCCAGCACTACACAAGCAAGTGCAAAACGATTGGATTCCCTATCGGCGCACGGCTTCTTCGGCAACTCTCGATTGCTATTACAAGCCAACATATCCCAGATGCCAACTATAGCTTTGATCAAAGAGAAGATAAAATCAGCAGCACAAGTATCAGCGCTGTATATGCATGGCAGAGCGGGCATAAGCCAACACAGCGACTGTCAACATATGGGCTGAATGGAGCATATCCCGACCAACTACAGCCGGCGTTACTACAGGTCTATCACCATGTGTCACGACAATGGCACATGTTTCTAGACATAGATACATATAGTATACCCAAACAAACAAAAACAGTCGCAGAAGATACGATACTAAGTACAGCAATACCTGCTGTATATCACGCTATGAATACAAACAATACGAACCTCAACGAAAAAACGCAAGTAGTAGAGTCTACAACCAGTATATCTACTATATCTTTACCGATATTACCAACTACAAATACTGGCACTTCGCATCAAAATTCTACAGCAGTTATCCCAGAGCAAAATATCTCGCTAGAGCCCCAACGTCAACATATCGGCCCATTTAGCACCT